CTCCTACAGCAGCTTCCATTCAGGCTGGACGACTCTCCTTTGCAAGATACAAGTTACGTGACCGTAAAAAATTGCGGTTCTTGGTGGAAACACTCGAGGGATCTCATCTTTGGAGAGAACCATCCGCAGCTACGAAAGCGACTTTCGACTCATCAGTTCTACATGGTTTGAATGCTGGGATTTCCATCCTTTGGCCGAATCAAATTATTTGGCCATATTGCCCAGTGGGATATCAGGTTGCGAACTCTCCGATGCTCTGTTCTGCTCGTCCCACTTGATGTTGCGGAGGTTATTTTCCGCGCGGCGAAGTCGTTTCAGCTGCTTATCCCGACGCCAACCGTAGAATACTAGGCCCGCAATTATAATCACTCCTGCGACAACTCCGACCACGATTCCTGCGATGGCACCACCAGAGAGGCCTGACGACGAAGACGAGCTCGACGTGGTAGACGAAGACGCACTGCTTGAGGTTGAGGTGCCGTCTGAAGAGTCATCGTCTGAAGAGTCATTGTCGGAGATGGTAAAGTCTTCCGTGGTCGCGTTGAAGCAGGGTACGGAGACGTCGAATTGGCTGGTCGAGACAAAAGAAATGTCGGCGCAGGCATAGAATGTCTCGTTCTTGTCTGTGTCGAAGTCTGAGGTGTATTTGAGCTGCAAAGTTGCATTTGCGCCGGCCTCGACATCGGTGGGAGGATTTGGGACAGGATAGCAAGTGTGACCCTCGTCCACCTCCGGAATATGTGTCGCGGCGATGATCTCCTCAAAGTCATCATTCGAGGTCGGGTCTGTGAAGGTTTCATCAGTCTCAAGACAACCCTGGGGCGGAAGGTATGGGCCAAGCTTACTGCTGTTATAAGAAATGGAGACTGTCATCTCCCATGATTCGTCCTGTGCCACAAGAGAAACCACTCCATTGACTACACATCATCAGTTGGACAGTTGCGGAATGCGGACAGCGACAACGTACGGAGGGGGAAGATGGTACGGTTCCCCGGCGCCGAGGCGGAACCGCAGGGGGCGCGGTTGTCGACATCGGCGCCCCAGAGTCGATCCGGTGGCCACATAAAGGCGACAGGGCCCATCTCCTTGGAGGCCTCCTCTCCATGCTCTTCTTGTGCTCGAGCCCGGCCGGCAGTGTAGGCCAAGAGCAAGAGCAAGACGTTTGGAACTGACAACATCTTGTCCAGGCTGGATTGAAATTGCTGGAGAGAGTCTGGTTGCTGGCAGACTGGATGTATTGCGAAATTGATAAGATCACTTGACAATCCGGGTAGGGGGTACGAGAAGACAAATCCCATATATAAGATGGGCTAGGACTCTGCTAGCTACCTCTTTTTCAGTCCATGTCCATGGCGTCTGCGGAAAACAGGACAACCAAGCGACATCGGGTTCCCAAGACCCACGGCCAAGGACCATGACACCAATTTCATGGGAAGTGCTCTGGCCGTACTAAAGCGAGCACGAACGGCTACCACCGAACGGGTTGGCAACCAGCCATTTATTAGCAACAAACCCATTAGCTACACTTGGCGCCGTGCAACTACTAGTACTGTAGTTGACGAGCGGTGCGACGGGCAAGTCTTGGGGGAGGAACGGATTGAGACATATCTGGCCAATCTGATAAACAAAATCTGTGCGGGACCCATTCATTCTCCGCCGTGCTGTCATTGGCTGCTCTCCAACCTCAGAAGCCGTGTCCAAGCCATCAACATCGACTACAAAGCCTTGGACATACATCCGGAAGGTTGCAAATGAGTGGTCTGATCCTGGGCCTAGCAAAGATTGCGGTTTTCGGCACGGAACATTCCTGCATGCATAACATGTCGGCAATGTTGAAGTTTTCCGCGCCAAAGAGGAGCTGTATGTACAAGCATGTTTCCTTTTGGTGCATCTTATCTTTCTGGTCCACGATGGTCTCACTCGATTCAATAGTCTATTCCCAATACCTCTTTTCGGCTCCGCCCTGGGAATTCCACGTTGTGGTTGACCAGGAGTTGAATTCTGGGCGTTGCTGGCCAGCTCCTACCACAATGATCGACCGTGGCATAGTTCTATTGCTGATGGTCCACAAAGTTTTGAAGAAGTGATCAGTCTCTGAGAAGCAAGTCCAGGCCTCGTCTTGAAAAGAGGGTGTGCTCTGATTAACGAGCTAATTTGTGTGACTCGTGAGTGCCTCTGAGCGTCCCACCTCTTGCGCCGAGTCTATTTGGGAGGATCAATGTCTCTTCGTTTCCTCTACCTCGAGCGCAAGTTGCCTGGACTTGGATCCTCCTACCGCTCCCTTCGAGCCAATGTCCTCCGAAATCTTGTGCTCCATTCTTCCGATTTCCGAAGTGTCTGAAACCTCTTCCGAGGAATCGAGAATCACGTGGCTATCAATATATTGTTTTTCAACGATTTCTTCTTCTAAACCCAGTCTAAAAGCAACCCTCTTGGGTGTGGCAGAAATAACATCATGTCTAAATAGCCCATATCCAGCGCTGCTAACAGAGGTGGATAGGAAACCACCATTGCTGTCCAAAAACACAGTTTTGGCGAGAACGAAAGAGAACAATGCACTGTCGGAAGTTGGGTCAAGTGTCAAAAATCAATCCTTTAGTGGATTATGTGGCTTGAACGCACTCTGAGTTCAAAAAGACTTGTCAGCAACGAGAGGAATGGAGCTGAACGTGCATGTGCTGAATCGAGGATCGAAGTGTCTTACTGGTCACGCGCTTCAGAAGATTTCATCTTCAGTCTACGCTCAACCCTCACATCTCGGCAGCCTCAAAGGTGAAGTTTCCATGGAGAATTGGCGAGAAATCAGAGAACATGTAACGAAACCGTCACCCGTCAGGCGTCTCTCTTTCTCTCTATGATAGATCTGCTTTTACAATTTACAGTGATTGCTCCGTAATCTGTAGAGCTGATTGAGACGTTGCTACATAAGATCAATGGAAACAGGTTCTTTGGATTAAAGCACAACGTTCGTTGTAATTGTATCAGTAAATAAGACAGGTCACATCCCCAAGGTCCCCATCTTGATTAATAGAGAAAGATAGAACAAATATCAATACATATCCCTTGACACGTTTTCAAGAGATGCCGTCAGTCGGCGTTGTGATTGTCTCCATTAAAGAAGAGCAGCTACAACAGCACCAAAGGACCACATGAAGATGTTATCCACGCTGTTGAAGGTAGCAGCGCCTGTGTATATCGCCAGGGTAGGAGCGATGGTTGTAGCGGCCTGTGAATTTTTTGGGTCAGCAGCAGCTCTACATAGAGGAACAATGCAGGTTGGTACCTCAGTGGTTGAAGCGGCTCCCCAGGTGCTAGAGACCAGCGTACTTCCCTCGCTCGAAGTTGGGACACCAGATGCAAGCGTGGTGGCGGAGGGTGAGACAGCGGCGCCGGGAGTTGTAGTCTCACTTGCTGAGGAAGTCACTGGTGCATCGGTGTTGGAGGTAGCGACTGGTGAATCGGTGGGAGTAGTGACCGGTGTGTCGCTGATGAGAGACACAGAGACGATATCTGAAGCTGTTGGAGTCGTTGGTTCCGAGGAAGTGGTTTCTGTTTCTACAGGAACCGCTGGTTCGGGAGTCGTGTCTAAACCACAAGTCGTCCCGGCTGTGGTGACACTGTTGCCATAGTATTGCCAGATATCATATGTCAAGGCGCAAACCATGCAGGCGTCGTAATAGCTAAGGAACGTGGCACTCGAACAGAAGTTTTCGGTGCGAGACTGTGTGATCACTCCACCTATTGGACAAGATACGTGAGCATCTCGCGCGTGGTCTGGGATCTCCGAAATACATACCACAGTTGGCGTGACAATCATAGAGAGGAGTACCAGGCTCTTGACGACGGTGGAGGGGGACAAAGTCTGGGTACTCAAAGGCGGACACGGTGGCAATGCCGGCCACCGCGAGTGCAACAGTAGAGTAACGCATGGTGGGATAAGGAACGAGTGACTGGAGTAAATAATTGGGGTAGACAAGCAAAGGTAGGGGAGCTTGCAGACTCGAAATAGGAAAACACCATGATCCTCTCAACCTCTTATAGAGCCAATATGGTGGTCAGAGCATTGTGATTGATGTTTTGGTTCTGGCCAGGACAGGCATTTGAGACCCGGCCCGGAACAAGCAGAACTGGAATGTCTGCAAATAAGACACGCCTTTCCAAGACTGTTTGACTGATTAATGTTGAAAACTCTGACATTTACCAAGGAGGAGCAGGATCCGTACTCTATACTATCACCTTGGCAACTCCGTTGACGCCAACTCGACAGGAGACTTTGGGTGTCCTATACAACTTGGCGGCCCATTCCGACCAATCGCCTTGCATGCCGAGGTCGGCATTGGTTCGGGTCTAATCAGATACTGTGGGATCTAATCTTATCACTATTAGCCTTAATCTATATTAGGGATCTAATCTTATCAATATCAGCCTCGGTCTATATTGTGGGGGAGCGGCATGTCTCACTATCGCTCAAGCCACGTTTTCGAAAACCACTGCGTCATGCATACTGTGCTACTAGGACCGGACTCGCCGGCTCGCTACATGTCGGCCTTGGCGCCGATTCCGGCCTATCACTCACGCCGCGCTTTCCGCCCTCACAGACTCCATTCCAGCTTGACGCTCCGCCCACGGGGTGCAGTGCGCATATAGAGCTGCCAAGACCCCTTACTCTGGTATACCAGGCAAGATAGATAAGCTCAGGACGAAATGATAGGAGTCTCTGGATCGATGCATCTCTATCAAACCAAAAACAATCTGCCCCTGGATCCTCTCTCTTGGTCGCAATTCTCGTGCCCAGGAGACCAAGATAGCGACCATGCCCCAGAATGGCGGTCCCTGCGATCAGAACTTGACAACAAGTCCACGGCTTGCTCTCGACGAAGCTCTTCTATTTGCTCCTGGCCGCATTTCCAATTTCGGCTCAGACTGGCATCTTACAAGTGTCCAAAATATGTTGAGGAATAGACTTTTGCGTTTCTTTGATTGTTTGGGCGATATCGGTGTACAGATGACATTGCTATAACTGGAACAAGAGCCTTGCAGTTCATACGTGGCTCAAGCAAGAGACTCATGCTCTCGTACGTTCGTTTCGCGAAGATCTAATATCATCGTCCACTCATTCTTTCCTGAGCATCTTTGCATCCCGTCCACTCGTTTACACTCCTTTGTTATGATGAAGTCACTCATTTCCCTCGCGTCTCTCCTCCTTTCCGCCACGGTTTCTGCTCAAACGCTGCCGGGTTCGGAGGACGGGGGCACCGCATCTCCTGCGGTCATATCCACGGGGAGATACATCGTTCAATTCTCCGACTACGGATCGAAAAAGTTCAGAAAGCGAGATGGCAGCGCCGTGAGTCGTCAAAATGCCAACGTATGAGAGCAACTAATTCCTGACTGAACGGCTCTTAGGAAACTTCTATCTTCTTCGAGACTCTTCAGAGTAACGGCCAGTCGGTGCAACCGGCCATCAGTTACACCTCATCTGTGTTTCACGGTGCCTCATTTGACTTGGCTGCATCGGCTACTTCAAGCGAATCGCTCGCGGATATTCAAGCCCTTCCTGAGGTAGAAAAGGTCTGGGAAGCAGGCTTGTTTAGTCTGCCCGTCGAGCCCGCCGGGACCACAGCAGCCGGTACCCCTATCTGGAGTCCACACAATGATACCAATGTCGATATGCTACACGCGCTGGGATATGACGGTAGCGACGCTATCGTTGCCGTTATTGATAGTGGTGTTGACTATACTCACCCAGACCTCGGTGGCGGGTTTGGTCCGGGGTATAAGATTGATGCTGGCTATGATCTTGTTGGCGATAACTACGAAATTGGCAGCCCCTACCAGCCTGACAGTGACCCGGCGGATTGCCATGGCCACGGAACGCACGTTTCCGGTATTATTGGTAGTAACAATGAGGTGGTACCTGGGGTGGCTCCTGGAGCAACGTTGCGCATGTATAAGGTATTTGGTTGCGCGGGAACTGCTTACGAGGATGTGATTGTTGCAGGTTTTATCCAGGCCTATGAAGAAGGTGCAGACGTTATCACCGCGTCTCTTGGATCGACTCGCGGGTTCCCCGAGAGTGCTGTGGCGGTTGTCGCAAGCAATATACATGCACAGGGCAGGCTGGTGACTATAGCTGCCGGGAATGACGGCGCAACAGGTGCGATCAATCCAGGCACTATCCTGCACCGGCTCCTAAGTTTATGTTTTACAGGACCCTTTTATACCAGCAACGGCGGCAACGGATACGGATCTCTGGCCATCGGGAGTGTGGCTCATGAAAGTCACGTTGGTTTCTTTGCGATTGCGCACTCGAGCAGTGGTGAATCGCGCGAGATCGTAAGATTGTAAATGGCAGATTCTGCAGGAACACCCTGACGTTGGTTTACAGGTCTACTTGTCCGACACCCAAAGACAGTTCACTCTTGACGGCACCTATTCTTCTGCCTGGTATCCGGATACTCGAAACATCAATTCTTGCAGAATGTGGTCCGAACCGGCTCTCGGCAGCGACGTTGTCGTTGTCCTACCGTGAGTGACCACGCAACATTGCTAGTGGACATTCCGATTTTCTGACATGTCACAGCCGGGGAGACTGTGTCTGGCAGCTGATGGACAGCAATGTCATGGGCAAGATGAAATGGGTCTTCTATTACAACACTGAGGGCTCAGACTGGGAGGTTCCTGATCGAGCAGTGTATCTACCCGTTGATCAGCCGGAGGGATGTAAGTGTGCCTCTGAATCCACCTGGTGTGGTTTGTTACTAATACCGTGCAAAAGTCGCCTTGATCTCTTACGACGATGGCATGTGGCTTGTCGGACAGTATGAGCAGAACTACACTATCACTTATGACTTCGTGCACGACAATGTTCCAGTGCCCGTGGAAAAAGGAGTCGGTTCCGGAGCAGGTGGAATCAGCTATTTTAGTTCGTGGGGTCCGACGTTGGATGCTCGAATGAAGCCTGAAATCTCAGCCCCTGGTATTTCCAAAGCTCCAAATCCTCGTGTTTCATGTTTTCGCATCGCTAATCACCACAGGTGGCGATATTTTCTCAACTTGGCCGGTCTCAAAGGGCAGTTATGCTACCTATTCGGGAACTAGCATGGCTACTCCCTATGTGAGCTTCTTTCTCGCGTTGCTCATATAGACAGTACTTACAAAGTGCCCATCTAGGTTGCAGGTGTGGGTGCACTGTTTTTCCAGTCTCGCGGGGGACGTCAAGCCTTGGGTGGCGAGGCAGCAGAACTTGCTCGACAAAGGATCATTGCCAGTGGGAGGCCTGTAATATCTTACGACGGCACATCCAACTTGGCGTATGTGGATACTCGTCTCTGTGTTGCTCTCCCAAGCTAACAAACTCTCTAGCTCCGTTGCACAACAAGGCGCTGGCTTAATCGATGCCTACAAAGTGCTTGAATACGTGACCACGGTCTCCCCTCCAGTTCTTCACCTAAACGACACAGACTTCTTCAGCCCTGTCCATACTGTATCGATATCGAACCAGGGAGATGAGGCAGTTACATACCAGATTATCCATGAGCCAGGGTCCACAATCCTATCCAAAGGGCGTGGAGATGCCTGGGTTACTACCTCCCCGTCGACCGTGTCTGGTGAGGGTAACGTGGCAGAAGTGCAACTTTCGGCAGAATCGATTACAATAGCACCAGGAGGAACAGAGTCACTTATGGCCATCTTTACTGAGCCGTCATCCCCGGCGGCCAACACTTTACCTGTTTATGGAGGTTCGATTGTGGTGGCCGGCTCTAACGGCGAGGTAATCCGGATTACTTATATGGGTAAAAGCAGTTCTATATTTCGGTTGGCGCTATACTAACGCGAGATAGGTATCAAAGGCTCCGTCTACGCCAGCGATATCTGGGAGTTCGAACGCGGCGTCCCGGTATGGCTCAGTGGATATGGTGGCTATATGGAGGAGGGCTATAACTACACCTTTGATGCTGGAGAGACTGTCCCAGTACCGTACTTCAACTTTCTATGGTCGACTCGAGAACTCAGCATCGATGTAAGTTCGAACCTATCTCTTCCTATATCCACGAAGCTCACTGCAACACTTTACAGCTGGTCTACCGCGACTGGAACGAAACCGACTGGTCCTATCCTTTCATTGGCGACGAAAATAATTGGCTTGGGTCCATCAGGACTCGCCCACTTGGACTTGCCGATGAGGTTATCAACTTCCCCCTGACCCTCTTTCCCCGAGTTACCGGCACAATCGAGGCCTACTCACAGCCGGTGCTTGCCAACGGTACCGAGATTCCCAGTGGACAATTCAAGATCCTTGCTCGAGCGCTACGCACCTATGGAGACTATAATGACCCGAACGACTGGCAAATAAGGGTTTCGCCCTGGTTTAATATCGTACGGGGGGAAGAAACGACCACGACCACAACGTCGACGACCACCACGACGTCAATGACTACCACATCTTCAATGACTACCACGGCCACACCCACCACGACGGAAGCTCCGAATTGTGCCGTGACCCCTCTGGTGCTCCAAGCTGTCAATGAGGGTGTGACCTACAGTCTGTACAGGAATTCCGACTTCCTAGCCCTCAATATTGCGGGCTCCAACACGCCTTTGGAATTTGCCCTCACAGCGGAAAACCACTTACGTATTACCACGCCAGGGAGCAGCGTAGTCAGTTATGGAAGCGCACATACCATCGCCAGCAGTCTCGTCTACGTCTACTCAGCAGGCCGGATCACCGGCTCATGGAGTTACATGGTTTGCCAAGTTGAGGACGGCCAGCTTCTTTGCACAACAGGGACCAAGACTGAATTTTACTACTGTGGATCTGTACCAGGTGACGGCATCTTGAGACATGGAGCCGAGGTCGTGGAAGGCTGTACACCAGTGACCTTTGTCGCCACCCTCAACCCGGATCCTCGCTGTGCTATTGGTACCAGTACCTCCAGCACTCTCAGTACCACGACTTCTGTGCTTGCTACCACCACATCTAGCAGTGTATCGACGCTGACCACAACTACCAGTGTCTCTACCGCGACTACGAATACAACCGCGGCCGTCACCTCTACCACGGTCGCTGCTAGTACGACCTCTTCTACCAGCCTATCGACATCCACCTTGTCTAGTACCTCAACCTCAATATCGACGACAATTTCGGCTGCTACATCGACAACAACTTTGGCTGAAGCTTCAAGTTTCACATCGTCTGGAACTCTGTCAACTTCGTCTGCAGTTTCAGAATCTACTTCAGTTGGCACTTCTTCGTCTATGCCCGATGCTACGTCAGCCATGACTTCTACCACTTCCGCAGGGTTCACCTCTTCACAAGTGACACCGACGACAGTGGAGACTACTTACATCGCCACTTCCACATCTAGTACGACAATTTCGCCCATTGGGCAAACTACAACCTCGCAGATCGGCTCGTCTATCTCAACTGGTTCTGGTGTACAAACATCCAGCATGTCAAGCACGGCAGGTACATCGGCGACCGGTAGCTCCTTCGGCACAAGCAGTATCGCAACATCACAGAGTGCAGTGGGACCCCTCCCCGGTGAACCCGATTCTACCTCCTCCGCGGTTCAGACAACAGGACAGGCAGCAGCAACCACAACCACGACGACAACGACGAGCTTGTTGACGACCACAACCACGACCAGTCACCATGGCACTTGGCCTCGGTTCAACTCGAGCTCCATCTTCACTTCTAGCACGGTGTTAAGCTCCAGCCCAATCGACGTTTTGCCGACGACGGCCGGCACCACCACTACCAGCATTGGCAAACCAGGATGGCCAGCGAAGCCACATCCAACAACGTCTGCAGACTGGACCACTTCGACCATCTACTCGACGACGAAGATCACCATCACGGCTTGTCCTAGCACTATCCCCCGATGCCCAGCTGCGTCGCTCACCACCTCGGTGACGACTATGGTTGTCTCGATCACGACCACTGTCTGTCCCGTAACTGCCACCCCGACCGAACCTGAGTTGACCGGCCCTAAGCCTGCCTCCACCGTCACCGAGTGGGAGGGACCCCACAAGTCCAATGCGGCGACATGGCCGTCCCATGAATCGGCGTCAGACACGACCGCCGCCAAAGGACAACCCTCTAGCCCTGCACAACCTCATCACGGCCCGGACGGAGCTGACGACGATGATGCCAAAGAAATTGTTACCGTTCCAAGCGCAAACGGCTGGGTTGTTCCATCAGGTGCCGGAGCCACTGTCACATCCGCTGGCGCAATCCCCGCACATTCTACGACGCTTGACGAAACCTCAGGTGCCGAAGCCACTGTCATATCCACTGGCGCGATCCCTGCATCTTCTACGACGTTTGACGAACTCTCTGGTCCCGCAACTACGCCGTCCACTTCGACTTCTGACGCCCCACCCGCCGGCCAGGCGACTGACAATATTGCTCTGTATACCGGCGGGGCTTCTCAAGTTGGATCTACCGGTTCTCGAGTCTTGGTTGGTGCCGTTATTCTGATGGCGATGATTGCCATGATCATGTAAGGGAAAGATGTAACGGAAGCTTCTTTTCACCGTTTGGATGGAGATTTGCATGCGGCCAGTGTATTTGTCAACGTTAGACATGTCCGAAAAAGTGAGCAGTTGTGGATCCACTCCATAGCCATGGTACATACCGCCTTCATATGAGTGAGAACATGCTCCGGAGTCCATGTGGATCGGTCATCCCTCTTGTAGCTAACTTCTCGACCCATCTGAAATTCTGGTCGATATTAAATTGACACCTTCTGGTATGGCATTGTTACCTTTCCGCAGTGACAGTAGGACTTCTACTCTGAAGCATTTACCTTGGCTAAGTCTTCCTAGCTGTCGTCGGGTGATCAATGCTACTTTGACGCATGGGTTGCCAAAGCTTTTCCTGATAATCGAAAACAAGCTGCGAATGAAGATCCACTCACCTGCTGGCACCTACATTTGACCATATCTGCGAGTTTTAGCACTTATACTTGAAGGTAGGGGGTCCAAGCGCAAACCCATCATGTTACTCCTTGTACTTGCTGACCGGACAGCTTGGGATGTGGTGGCGAGCGAAGGATAGAGAAACAAAAAGAACAGCTTCGACAATTCCCATCTTCTTGGTGATTCAAGTCGACGTCGATATAGCCGCAAACAACGCTAGGGCACCATAGACGACCACGAGCGTGAGCTGAGATCACCAACAAGCTTGGTTGTTGCTTTAGCTGCCGAGGAACAAAAGAAACTGACAATCTCATTGCGGGTACCTCCACCAGTCGTATATCAAGTGCAAGTGGCTCGCGGATGGGTTGGCAGTCTCATCCTCGTCGACCTTGTCGATCTTGTTGTATTGTGATGTCTGGACGGGGACCAGAGGCTCGAGTTTGAGGTGCTGCATGACTTGTCGCCCACCTTCCAGTGGCACATCGTAGCTTCCTTCCCTGGCGCCGATGGGGCATTGGCAAAACACGTTTGTGGTATTATTGATGAACCTAGTTTTCGAGGAATGGGCCTTTGAGATAGCAAAACTGTCCCTTTTCATGCTTCAGCATCACGGGGCTGTATGAATGAAATGCCGTTGCTACGCACACTGTCTAACCGCTGGTGGCTTCATCTGCATCTTCTTTCTGCTCTCGAGGTGCAAGTTTGATCTTTGCCTGATCCAGGAACCGGAGGTGCTGGTCGATCCAGTCCGTTGACCACCACAGCTCCGCATAGGTATCTCCTAACGCATCCAGACGCCCCTTCTCCCTTTTGATCATTTGCCATTCCTTTTCAGCCTCCATGACGTATGTCATGTATTTCTCCGGACGGTTGAACTTGTCGACGTCCCTCAAGTTTTTGTAACAGTTCAAGCTGTTGCAGGCTCGCATCTCTGTGTATTTGGACGGTGCCCTCTGGGAAGGGCTGCTGCGATCGTGGGTATAGTGGGCCAAGGTTTCGACAGACACTGAATCAAAACGCCACTAGTCAAGTCAGCATGTGACTTTGATTGGTGCAGGATCAGTGAGTGAGAAGGACAAGGCTTGTGTCAAGTCATCAACAACTTACCTTCTTGTAGAAATCAATCAGTTCCCTGTGCTTTTTGGCAAACTGTTCTTGATGCTGACTGGAAGGAATGACCCTTTCGAAGGCGCTGACGGTTTCGAATACATAGTACGAGCCCAGAAGCACGAAAGGACAAATCTGAACCCATATGCGTCTCTCCATCTTCTCCGACGATCTCCTGCCCCATTGCTGGCCCGATGAAATAATGCTTGTACGGTGCTCTTCGACGTGGTTGAGAAGAGAAAGCTTTTCATTGATGAATTTTGCCGTTGCAAACATATCCTCGGATGCAATGGAGTGAGGCTCAAGTCGGGGGATTTCGGGGTAGGATCGTGGAAAGGAAGGGTATGTTCGAGGCATTTTGGAGTATGCGAGCTGGAAAGAAGTTGTCTGGTTTCTGACATGTGGCTCGACTGAAACGAGTGCAAAAAAGAGTTTCAATGAAGAAAACAGACCCAGGTTCCCCTGAGCTGTTACGAATCGTATGGAGTTGGGAATGCAGATACAAAAAGAAAATATCTGGTACGTGGGAAATATAGGCATCCAATACTAAGCAATCACCCAGGGTACTTTAGTAGATACTAGTATTACAGTGAATAGTTTCAGGCTGTCAATAACACAAAAAAGAAGTATAATGTGCGGGCACTGGAGTTGAACCAGAAACTTTGTGAACCACAACGTGCATTACCACTCTGCCAACCCGCGGTTATATTTGATCCCTGATTGAGATACAAACATTGGTAAATTAAAATATACAACTACTAATAACCTATGTATGATGGTCTGCAGATGTCAACATTATTATTCAACGTTATGATGCAAACAGAGCCTGTACCAGAGTAGGAGATCATAGAAACAATGGGCTCAACAATGCAGCGGCAGCAGTTAATGATCGACATATTTAACCTCGATAGCAAGTTTCTAACATATACTCAAGAGTATTTCGTATCTGTACGTACGGACTGTGCCATTCTGTTTTTAATCAATGCCCAATAGGAAAGCTTCTTTCCATACCATATCGTAAGAAAATATCACGAAAATTGCGCATACTAGCAGATACGATGAAGATGAAAGGTATACTCGTATGGGCTGTCAGGAGTAGACGAAACTGTGCACAAGCAATGTCAAGGCAGGGGCATTAGATAAAACAAGAGGCACTCGGCGCAGTTCAGGCGTTCAATCTATTAACTGGCGCGTTTTCCAGTTGTCTACACAGCTTGAGAGCCGGCCGCAACCGTCTGAGCTGCGGAGAGCTGGAATTGCATCGGCCTGAACAAAACATCTCACCACGCTCTCTGGCCACAATTTCAGCAATGAACTCGACAACACCAGTCTTGTCGGGCTTCGTCAAGTCGTAGAAATCAAGCTTCTATTGAAAACATTAGTGTGTTGACCGAGCTTGTGGCAATACTGGCTGTTTACCTGGCCGTCGTCCATGAATCGCTCAAGCTTGAGGCGCACATCATCCTCGGAGCGGTCGATGCCGTCGAAGTATACTTTGAGGAGTGTTTTCAACTTTGACTTGTCGCATAAGGTCGGCTTCCGGGATTTTAAGTACTTCAGCCATTGTTTTGCGTCCTTCGCTTGCCTTTTAGCACGATTCGCCTCCTCTTGCCTACTAGCGGGTTCCATCGGCCCTAGTGAATTGACATACCGCTCACGGTAGCCATCAACGAACGTTTTCCATTGTCCTAGAGACAGGCCAGCCCACTTGAGGGGTGTGCACGTCATTTGAGGGGCGGCAAATGCCCACTGCTTTGAACCGTATTTCAGTACGGCGTAGATTTCGATGCCTTGTGGATCGCCGTCCGAGGCATAGAGAAAAGGAATTTTACGGCAGGCAGGGTTGTGGGACAGCTGATTCAAGAACTCCCGCGTGGCAATGTCGGGGTAGCCGTTTGTCTAGAGCATAGTCAGATACACAGCTGAAAGAATAAGTAAAGGTACCTTACCGCAACAAATATCACGCCTCGTAGGCGGGCATCACCGGACAACGTGGCAAGTTCGTCAATGATGCTCTGGTGCTCGGAGACGATGACCGCACGGACATTTGTCGACACTTGGAATATGCTGAGCTTTGTGGTCAAACGAGGGATGTTGTGACATGTGCCGCCATGGAGTGCCTTTCTGAAGGTCGTTTTGGTCTCCGCAAACGACCTGGCGCTAAAAGCTTGCTGCGCTGATATTTTGACGCCGTCAGGTACGAAGACCAGGCCTGATGGCTCTGGTTCCACCCCCAAGAGGAACGGGTGGACTTCGAGTGTCAATGCAAGATCGTTCAAGACCTTGGCTGCTTGCTCTGGACTCATTTCGTCCGACTTGATCTGAGAGCTGAAGGCCCTAGACTTGTCGACGCGCTTGAGACACGCATTTTCGGCACAAATCTGAGCAATATGTGAGAGTCTTCCGAGGTATTGCGTGTCATAATGGTCATCGGCAGGCTTGATCGACTTGACTTGACTATGTTTAGTTTGTCGTAATATTCGGGAGCCGTTGTTCACTGCCTCCAATTTCCTGAACTTTGACTGTGAACTGATTATGGAGACCTGCTCTTTGGCATCTATTTGGTTCACAAAGCATTGTAACTTGATGATGATGTCTTCACACTTGAGAGGGGTCCTCCAATCCAGGTTGATGAGCTGGGGGCGCTCTGAGGCCATAATGACTTACTAGAGAAAGGATTGGCTCTGATAGACACCATATTCATGAAGAAACTCACTTGCAAGAACTGTAGGAGAAGATATCGAAGTATGACTTCCTGAACAAGGACACCCAGGTTCCCCTGGGGCCCGTACCGAGTAGTGGAGTGGCGGAGACAGTCGACGGAGGTTGAACTCGTCTAGTAAGGACACCTAGGTTCCCCTAGAGCCCGCACGAGTAATGGCGGAGAGGGTGGAAGAGACGGAGAGGACACCAGACGACAACAGAGAACAGGAGATAAATCGTCTGTAACAGGACACCCAGGTTCCCCTGGGGCCTGATCAAGTCTGGCAGAAGAGAGGCAGTCCACACTTCAGCGAACACAACAAGCTTGGTAGGAGAGGAGAGGCTTGCAGGGAATATCTTCACGGGCAAAAACGAAAGGAAAAGAAGAAAATCAACAGACATGGTAGAGGGTACCGGCGCGGGTGCGGTGGGTGCGCGTGGCATTGCCACTGAACGCAGGCAGAACTGCTCTCATTGGCCGGTGACAGCATACGATTCATTGCTGCAGGACTCATGACTAGTACCCATGGATATAGGTATAAGTACCTTCTCTGCCCGTCTGCAGTGTAATATTTCTTTCTTCTTCTCTTCATATACTCGACTTGCAGGGCCCCAGGGGAACCTGGGTGTCCTTGTACAAACAGACCCTTCCCTCCGAGTTTGTCAGTTCTGCAATCATCATGGCGGACGCATTTGAAGACAGGCCGCTGCAATACATTCGATCCGGTTCAAGATTCTGGGTTGAAAAGCCACCGCCGAAGAAAGGCGACTCCCCTGTGTCGACAATGTCACCGAGCGATTGGCCTCCAAAAGGTAAGCATTTCTTCAAGCAAAGAAAAAGGGCTTTTTCTCACGGATGGTATAGATCCTGCAAGCCTTGCTGCCCTTGTTCGTGCCGGCGTCTTCCAACAGTGGTAGGTCGACCGTTGGCTACCAAAAGCCAAATCATCCACTGCTGCTCCCGCCGCCGCCGCCGCCCCTGTCCCTGCCACCTCCACCATCAGCACCAGCACCAGCACCAGCACCACCAATACCAATACCAACGCCGCCTCCCCCGCCGCCGCCGCCGCCGACGCCGCCACCTCATCTACCATCCCTCCAGCAGCATCAAGCGTTGTTGTCCTCTCTTCCTCCCCTCCGGCCTAACCGAGTCCGTCAGTCAGAAATGCCGCGCCATCCATTGTGGCTCCAGCACCCTCCACGGATATCAACTCGCCTTCTGCCAATCTTGATGAGGAGGATGAAGAAATGATGAAGAAATGATAGAGTGGGAACCAACCCTTGCTCCTGATGTCACCGTGATCAAGGCATATCGCCAACTTGCGCCAAAAACGGTCCAATTGATACCAAAGAAAGCCAGAGCAAGTTGGAAGGGAAAGGGCAAGGGCAAGGGCAAAGGCAAGGGCAAGGGCAAAGCAAGTGAACAGCTCTGGGAGCTGGACTGGATCGGAGCCTTGGGAAAAAAGGCAAATAGCGACTATGTTGTGAACATCAAGTGGCAAGGGTATGGCTATGAAGAGATGACCTGGGAGCCACTTGGCAATGTCCCACAGGACATCCTTGATGTGTACTGGACCGAGCATGGAACGCCAGAGGAGCAAGAAGCCGAGATGCTGCAGCCGGCAAAGAAGAAGCAGAAGACGTACGCTGGTCGTCGTTCTGTACGCAATTGATCATGTTCCATCTTCCCTTGAGGCCTTACTCCCGTTCCACACTATCATCATATTGTCGAAACTGTGGCGCCAACCATGAAGCTTACCGCGACTTTATGATAATATCATGGCTGACTAATCTCCGGGCGGCAACGGACTTGGGCGTGATGAATTTCAGGGCGGAAATTCGAAGCTTTGAAACCCGTCATGTGCATCAACGCTTCGATAATCAAGTTCCATTGTCTGCCCAGCAAAAGTTCTTCCCTCCTGGCAGCGTCATCAATCCTTCTCATGTCTACAACGATACGTAGCACGCAGCGTCCACCTCGGTCGTGTATACGATGTGCCAAAAAGCGGATCAAATGTGACAAAAAGATACCATGTCAATCCTGTGTGAGCCATGGGCTACAGGCGTCTTGTTCTCGGGAAACAGTGCGTGTAAAGGGCCAGATCATATCGTAGGTGTCACTTTCATACATGTTAACATTTCCGTTGTCCACCATCCAACATGTCTGGTGTCACGCGTCCAAGTGTTAATTCACACATCACAGTCCCAATCCTCAAGAGGTAGGCCCGAGCTACGCGGATCTGCTGGAGGAAAATCACCGCTTGAAGACAATAATTGAACGATCGAATCTTTACCGCCAGACAACCGGTTCATCTCACGTTACCTACGTGTCCGCAGTTGAAAGTTTCGAGGACGCATTTCTCTCAGATATTCATGTCGCACACCAACAAAAAATACGGGGACATGCAGATATACTCGTCCCGTCCCGTGCATGCAGCGAAAGGATGCTCGAGCACGGATTCATCTGGACCTCTTGGATTCACTATGCGATCCATATTCCGACTCTGAGTTCAGAGCACGCCCGATATTGGGATGAGGTGGATCACAAGCCCTTGCTCTGTCAAGATCCTTTCTGGTTGGCGATATATTTCGCCTTCATCGCGGTATGGCTCTCTATCATGATATCATATGCTGCAACAGCGCTGATTTATCCGAAGGGAAGTCTGCTCTTCATGACGACGGAAGAAGTCGCAGAAGCTGGCTTGCCACTTGGTATAGTGACTGACGGCGAAATGATGAGGAATTGGATGGCTGACATCAATGCTGCCAGATAACGCGATAGAAGTACTTGGGAACTGGTACGATGCGTCCATTCATTTTCTTGAAAAGGCAGACTACCTTCGGAACTACGACATGCGATCGGTCCAAGCAATCGCAATCCTCCTCGGCCTCTTCAAGAATTTCGGAGACTTCAATCTCCACTCGACACTTCTCGCAGTGGGAATCCGCATCGCCCAAACTCTTTGGGTGAATGCGGAACGCCCAAACAATTCCTTGGTTCTAGACGAAATCTATCGCAGGGTATGGTGGACTTTTATGATATGCGAGTGGCTCCGAAGACCATATGGACCACCATGCGTCCGTGAGATCGACTTCAACATCGCCCCTCCGTTGCTTCTCGACGATGACGAGCTCCTCGACCCCACCTTGGCCGAAAATCCACACCTTGCGCCACCTAAACCACGTCCAATCCAGTATCATATGGCCATGATTGAGATCGCACGATGCTATCACGCCTTCAACATGGAACTGGGATATGTCTGCCACGATGAGACGAAGCTCGAGGCTTTGGTCTTGAAATCGGATGAAGCACTCGCAAGTGTCATTGATAGACTTCCCCCTCATCTACAAGCAGGTTCGGAAATTGAGGCATTGTCGGACTCGGATTCGAATGGTGGAGAGCAGTCACTGGATTGGGCCCTCTGGCAACGAAACAGCATATCTTTGGTTTTTCTGTTCTATCGTATGGCCATCAACAGGGTGCTCCAGCAACAATGGATCCGTTCGCAACACTCGTACGTTCGAAGTCGGGCAGTGTGCCTCGGATCGGCCAGAGCCACAGTATCCCTCATTCATCGGTACAGCTCTGCCTTGGCACGGTACAGACCTTGGTATGCTATTTCCCCGAATGACTCCATATGTCTTCCCCTCTCTGTTACTGATGCTATACTTCTGCAACGTCCAGGGCAACGACGGCGAATCTCTTCTCAGCGGCTATCACCTTGGCTGTTGAAGCACAATTCTGTGACGAACATACGGCAGCAGCCTACTTTGAGGACGTGGAGCGTTGCATTGCCTTTTTCGCTGATATCAAGGATCAAAGTGTTGTCGCTGCTCGTGCGATTGCCACTCTCCAACAATACTTATCTAAACCGACGGATGAGAGCTAAAAAAAAAGTCTGAAATGTTTATTGACTTCCAGAAATTACTCTTCGCGTGCCTATCAGGAGTCACCAAATGTATAGAAGTATGGACTGCCAACTTCATCAGTTCCAGCATTCCACTTAGCAAAGCCTCCTTGGAACTGCAGCTCTATATAGTCTCATAATGATGACCAAGATCATCATGATAATATTTCAAGTTGATCCTATCACAACTTCGTGGAGGTGATGTTACCAATCATCTTCTCGTCAATGGCGGCAGGTTCCTTCCCAGACTCGGTACCCTCCAATGTGCGCTGCGGCGTAACCGAATCTTCGAATAAAGTAGCGAGTTCTTCTTCTGTCTTTCCCTTGGTTTCGGGAAAAGTGAAATAGATGATCGCAGTCTGCCATGATGATGAGCTTCCTGCGACAAATTGTACGACCAAACAGTCAGACTTACCCCCAAGATCAGCATTCCAAGATAGAAAATGAAATAGTTGTATCCAATGTGATCCAGTGCAATCGGATTGACATATTGATTGATGGTCAAGGCAGCCTCAGACACGGCAATTTGAACACCCATGCCCTTTGCACGCATGGGGTAGGTGAGGAGTTCCGGAGGGTAGCCGTACAACAAGGGATTATTGGCGAGATTGAAAGCGGCGTCGTATAGGAACAGGAAGACCACAACAGTGTAAGCTGCAGCCTTTGATCCGTGATTGGCGTACATGGCACTCGCAACCGTCAGTGGAACATTGGCCAAGATCATGCCGATGAAAGACAGAAGCCAGAGCGGGCGGCGACCGATCCTATCGGCGAGGAGTGCGCCAAACATGGCACATATCAGGTTCCAGATTTGAAGACCTCCATTGATTCCAGTCTGAGAGGTGGTGCTCGTGATGCCAATGCTGGTCAGGATGGGAGAGAAATAATAAGAAATAACACCTTGACCATTCCATAGAGTCAGTAGTGCCACTGCGATGACAACGCCCACGCGTTTGCGGTTTGCGGAGGTGCGCCAGAGTATACTCCATCCTTGGGCTTTTGCAATTCTTCCTGCTGCGACGGAAGCATCAATCTCCGAGAGCTCGGACTCGACAATCGATGCAGTTTCGTCGCCATTTGCATGATAACGACCTAAGATTTTCCTCGCTTCCTCAGGTCGTCCTTTGGCATAGAGCCAACGCGGTGATTCGGGGAGGCCGAAAACGACGGAAAGTGCCACAAATAAAGATGGTAGACCTTGGATGATGGACGGGATTCTCCATGACCAGGAAGTCAACATGTGTCCCGTGCCGAAGCAAGTCCACGCGGCGATGATCGACCCCAAGTACCAGAGAACATTGAACTGTGGTCGAAATCAGCCCGTTTCCGGCATAACTGTTGTGCCATTAATACTTACACTAGATGTAATCGTACCACGCATCCTCGGATGCGCCAGCTCAAAGAGTAAAGCCGGCCCGGCGATGCAGGTAAAGCTGATCCCCATCCCGATCAGAAGTCGTCCCACGATGAACATATCCGACTCTTGGGCTGCGGCCTGAAGCACAGTTCCAACACAGGTGGTTGTAGACCCAACCAGCATGCCAGCACGCCTGCCGAAGCGATCGATTATTGGTGACGCGATGAAGGCGCCCGCGAATCCACCAATGAAGACCACGGCTGTGATCAATCCAAGACGTGAAGAGTTTGGATGGCCCATGTCTGTATAACATTGTAAGCAGTTAAGTTCAATTGGGAACTGAGATTTGGAACCAACCTGCTACCCACGGCTTCATAGACTGGAAGCTACCGACGACGACCTCATCGTAGCCCGTGGTCATTTGCGAGATAAGAATGCAAACTTGCCACAACACCAACTTTCGTACTCCGGCATCTTTCCACCATGCTGCGGAGCCAGCAGTGTAAGTTGGCACCGGGCTAGATAATGACATTTTGTCAATGGATGCTATATTTTTCCGACTCAAGTCTTCGAAAATAAGTCTCAGGTTGACCGTTGGTCAGATTTCTGGAGCGATGAGAACAAAACAACTGAGTGCGACATTCATGAGAAACATCGTGCGCCTGCCTCATTTTATGAATCAAGACTTCGTGGTAGGACGATGAAATGTCGTCCAACCTTCATTGATGATATCTCCAAACCGGTCATTGGACGAAAGGGGGTTATCAAGAATCTTGCGCGAATCTCGCCCGAGATGCCATTTTTCAGCCAATGACAAAACGTGAATGGACTCGGGCGAGCCTCGCGCGAGATGCTTAGTGCGGCGGCTGAGCTTGGGGGGACGGTATTGGAGCGGTGTTCGGCGAGCCCAACATGTGCAGATATGTAGGTATTGAAAGAGAGAAGACGGCTCTCTTTTTCTTTCCAGCAAAATCTCTGCCTGCTGTCTTTATCTACAGACTGTTGCTGCAAGTCAAAATACCGCAAGGAGAATCCATAGCCATGCCTCATTCAACTACAGAGCAAGAACAAACTGTCAACACTAGCAAGAGCCATGGAGATTGGCGTGACGACCTTTTCCGGGATGGTTATGTTGTGGTCAAAAATGCCATACCAGAACAGAGGTGTCAATATTACATCGACCAGATGTTCAAATGGCTCGAGAAGTTCCCGTTCGGCTTCAAGAGGGATGATCGATCCACGTGGACTCCGGAGCGTCTTCCCACTCATATGAAGGGCGGTATGTATCATGGCTATCGAGTACAGCATGAACGCTTCATGTGGGAGGCCAGACAGTAAGTACTCACAACGCCGTGTGCTGAAATTGTTCTGACTTGGATGTCTAGGGAACCAAAAGTTTTGCAAGCGTTCGCCAGACTCTGGGGAACCGATGAGCTGTTGGCTTCCTTCGATGGCATGAACTTCACTTTACCGTCAGGCACTCAGCTGCCACCTACGGAGCCCTGGCCACACATTGACCAGTCTCCACGCAGAAAAGGGCTTCAATGTGTGCAGGGCATCTTGAATTTCGCTCCCAATGGCATTGACGATGGTGGTCTTCTCGTCATGAAGGGTTCACACAATCTTATGCAGGAGTTCTTCAAGATCCATCCGGACGTGATGGACAGACCGACCTGGGGCCCAGACGACTGGTTTGGCTTCTCTCAGGACGAGTTGAACTGGTTTGAAGAGCGAGGCTGTGAGATTCTCAAGGTCTGTGCAGATCCTGGGGATTTGATCTTGTGGGACTCCCGGACGATGCATTTCAACCAAGTGCCCAAGAGTCAGAACCTCAGGGCCATTATTTGTGAGTCAGATGCATTACCGCCTTACACTCCATGGCTGACTCCGCATAGATGCGTGCTATACACCTGCATCCTTTGCATCTTCCCAAGATCTCAAAACCAAGGCCGAACTCTTTGATCAGAGAGCTGGAACAGTAAGATCCAAAGATGCTCACCTTTTCATGCATGGCTGACTTTGACAGACACACTGGCCGCATGCAAATCTCCATCCCAACGTCGAAAAGAAACTTCGTCTCGGAAAAGAAGATTCGGCTGAACGAGATCGTCCGTTCGAGGAACCTGAAGAGTCGGAAATCGTGTTGAAGCTTGCAGGAAAGCTAGCCTACTGATTTACAACTCCTTGGCTTGGGGGTTTGCTTCAGCAACTCCGCCTTTCTTTTCGGGATTCCAAACCCCCAATTCTCGTTCTCGTGTCTTCTCTTATCGATTGATCTTCTAATTCTGTGATCCTCGCCGCTGCATATCACGAACGCGCAACTATCATAGTGCGCAACTATCATAGTTTTTTGTAAACCAATGTGTTGAAGTTCTTTCATCGCTTCTCAGTAATTTCGCCCTTCTTATTCTCCAGGCTTCTCGTCAGAAAAGATCACCTATACCAGCTTGTCCGAACCCGGATTTACGACCATGTTGAGCTCATAATATCATTTTATACACGAGAACTATACATCCGCTATCGTTAGTTATGATAATTGTCGTAAGAAAGCTCAATTACTAGTGTTTTATCTCGGCTTCTTCGTGCCTTGTAATTAACCTTTTATATTTTGTGATCATCTTTCCCAGCTGGACCCGGATCTCTGTCATCGGAGGGACAGGGACAAAGACCAATCTTCCGACGTTGCGACAATTGACAATCTCTTCAACGACGCTTTCGACACAGTTGCGACGGTGCTTCAGAGTTCTGATGATACTCTACGTTGCCAAGTATCAATGTTATAACATTTTGCTCTAAAATTTCTTCAATACCGCCATGCCGCCCAGTGTACTTGAACACTTCTGTCTTATATCAACCAAGAAAAGAAGCGGCGATAGATGCGTCCAGGAAGTCTGGCCTTTCCGCCTTTGGCATCCTCGGCTTCCCGCTTCATCGCCAGATAAATCTCCTCTTCTTCCAATATCCTGCGTCGATCGGTTTGCAGATCAACCTCGTGAGGCTTCAAGATCTTGGTTTTGTGGATCCATTTCCAAGCAAGGTACATTATGATGCAGACGGGGAACCCAATGTAGCCGGTAATGAAGTTCTTGTAGTCAAAATTCCCATAGCTTTTGGAAGGGATAAAGACGGTAAAGTTCTTGAAGATGCACATTAAGGAGGTAAAGGCCAAGGCGATGTAGGATCCGGTCAGCCCAAAGGGGGCGGTATATGCAAGCTTGTCGTTGGTGATACCGTGGACTCGTCGAGCATAGATGAAACGGATGTGTGTGAGCAAGAGCGCGAACCAGGACAGCATTCCAAAGATGCTCACGACATTGACAAAGTAGAGGAAGATCTGTTGGCTATTGCCAGAGACGTTGAGGAAGGCCAGGCAAGAGATCAGACTGCCAATGATGAGATTCCAGACTGGAACTCCTCGCTCGTTGGTGTAACCGCAGAACTTGGGCGCCTGTCCCGTCCTGGCCAGGCCATAAAGTGTTCGGGACGCGATATAGAGATCGGAGTTGGCGGTCGACAGGACAAACAAGAGTATGGCGGCGTTAATGATGGCTGGCAACACCTTTATGCCGCTCACCTTGATGGCCACGACAAATGGAGAAGCACTTGCACCAGTGGATGCCTTGTTGGCGAAGGCCAGCTCGGTCGAATTGTATGGCACAATCATTCCAAGGAAGAAAACGGAAAGGCAGTAGAAAAAGATGATTCTCCAGAAGGTGAGCTTGATGGCACGTGGAATGGTGTGGCTGGGATTCTGTGCCTCTCCTGCCGTGACGCCGACCAACTCCGTGCCCATGTAAGCGAATGCGGCGTTGACAAGTATCGAAACAAATGCGACAAACCTTCCCGTGTCTCCGTCGATACCGGGAAATTCGGCGAAAGCTCCAGGATTCTTCCAATATCTGAAGCCAGTCCGGTCATGGTTGGGTCCGCCACCCAGCGCGAGGACCAAGCCTAGGATGATGAGGCCAATGAATGTGACAACCTTGACGCTGCTGAACCAGAACTCGATTTCTCCGAAAACACCTATTCCGATATAATTGACGGCAAACATGATAATGAGGAAAATGGCTATCCACACTCCTGGATTCACCTTGTCACGAGGCACCCACTCTTGAAGAACGACAGCAGCGGCAGTAAGCTGATTAGGGCTTGCAAGGAGGTACTTGAAAAGGTAGTTCCAACCTGTGGATTTATAGTCAGCAGGGCTTCGAGTTATGGATGGACGGGCTAACCTAGAGCAAAGCCGAGAGCTGGATCAACGAAGCGGGCAGCGTAGCCAGAAAAGCCAACACCAGTGGGTAGGTACGTTGCCATCTCGCCAACCGCGGTCATCGTCACATAGACATTGAGTCCGACTAGGGAATAAGCGATGAAGAGGGACGCGGGTCCTGCCCGTGCCAGTGCAGCACCCCTAATATGGGTTAATCGACAGTGGCCTCGCAGAAAGGAGAATATGTAATACTCACGTTCCGATAATGAGACCTGTGCCGATTGATCCCCCAAGAGCGATCATAGAGATGTGTCGTGCCTTCAGTCCTCGATGTAAGCTATTGGCAGGCAGCGGAGGCAAGATAGCCTCGACATCACCCTCGACAACCGAGTTGGTTGTGGAAAGGGGAACATTGGTTTCTTTGGACATGTTGTGGTAGATAGAGGCCTTGTTCGACCTCTCCTGAGCAAGTAAGAATGTAAACGATGTCTTCCTAATATATTCTAGAGGCATGAATATGAAAACATGAAGCTTGATGCGAGGGCAGCTGATTTATATGTATCTATCTCAATGCTCTTACACTCCGAGGTCATGATCCCGTTCAGCAATTGCCTTTGCAGATAGATAAGACATCCCATCGAAGCGGAGCGTAGTCCAGCTGATGGCCATCCTGATAGCATTAACCCATATCAGGGTCATAGTGGTGGAGACTTGAGGAGTGTAGACTTAAGAGAACTAGACTGCGTTGACTGCTCGCCTCATGGCGTGACTCGGGATGCGGTGCCTATTTCAGAACTTGAAATGTCAATATCCTAGGTAGCTGAAGAATCCTCGAGAGTGGATTTAGATAAGGCAGACTCACTGATAAATGTGATTGATATAAAGGCTAACGGAGACGGGAATCTACTGATAATCCTGGCCTGGTCGTTTCATGAGCTTCGGAATGCGTTGCACATTGGCAAACTCAAGATAGACCCTTTAATCTAGTTTGCTGATAGGATACAGGCTTCTCCCAATGAGCCAAAAAGATCCTCAGAGCCCTCGGCCCGCAGACGTAAGCAGATGATCATAGCGCCGCCCCATAGAGTCAATACACAACCTTGACAAGTAGCTCTGGGGTGGGTCATTGCCATTGTCCGGTAACAGCAATGCATTCCGACAAGGCAGTGTACGCCCTGCGACTTCAAGAAAGTCAAGTGTCCAAGACATATATAAAGCAATCATGCATTTCGAGGTTCATAGCTCTTCATAAATTGCTCTACCCGATGACCGAAAACAAACCGCGAAAAATGCTTGTCGATTCAGAAACTGGATACGACAGTGCCCCTACGGCCAGAAGCAATGCTGCGCTTTCACTCGCGGCACAGAAGCATTGTTTCACCTATGGTGCCGAGTTTCTTCCGGACGTCATCGTTCGAGCTGAAGGCATGTATCTGTGGACAGCATCCGGGAAGAAAGTCATGGACTGGACATCTGGACAAATGTCCTGCTTGCTCGGCCACGGACACCCCGAAATCGTCAAGACAATCACAGAGAGTGCCAAAAGCCTAGATCACCTCTATAGCGGCATGCTATCGCCTCCCGTGATTGATCTGGCCACAACACTTGTTGGTCAGCTCCCAAAAGGCCTGGACAAGGCAATGTTCCTCAGCACCGGAGGTGAGAGCAATGAATGTGCTATTCGGCTGGCGAAGTTGTACACGGGCAAGTTCGAAATGGTGGGTTTGGCAGCTAGCTGGCACGGTTCGACCTCGGGTGCGCAAGGTGTGCAGTACAATGCTGGTCGGAAGAACTGTGGCCCCTTGGTAAGAAAAATAATTCCTTGGAAAAGGGAAGAAAACTTTGGTTAACCGTTTCCTAGATGCCCGGAATGCATATGTTACCCTCTCCGGATGCCTACCGATCGATCTTCCGTCACCCTGACGGATCTTATGACTGGGAGACCGAGCTCAACTATGGCTGGTCAATGATCGATAAGTCCTCTTGTGGTGCTCTGGCCGCGGTCATCATGGAGCCTGTACAGTCGAGTGGTGGTATGATCACAATACCTCCAGGCTATATGCGGGCGATGAAAATACACTGCGAGAAACGCGGTATGCTTCTTATCGTCGACGAGGCGCAGACGGCCATGGCTCGCAGTGGCGACATATTCGCGGTCAACCACACCGACAACGGTGGAGTTGTGCCAGACATTCTGACCATGAGCAAAACACTGGGAAATGGTCTCCCTCTGTCTGCTGTTGTGACGAGCAATGCGATCGCCCAACATACGCGTGAGAATGGATTCATGTTCTACACCACACACGCGAATGACCCTTTGCCGGCGGCGGTTGGTCTGAAAACAATGCAGCTGGTTCTTCGAGATGACTCGGCGTTGCTGCATCATGCTCGCAATATGGGAGCCAAGTTACACGCTGGCTTGCACGACATCATGTCCCGATACGCATGTATTGGCTACATTCGGGGCCGGGGTTTGATGGCGGGTGTCGAGATTGTGAGGGACAGACGGCAGGGTACGCAAGCCGACATCGAAGTAGGCAAGCGGATCTCGGCCAAGGCGATGGACTTAGGACTCTCGGCGATGATCTCGGCCAAGAGCTATTTCTCAGGATGTATCCGCATTGCACCACCCATCATTATATCGGACGAAGAGATGGAATGGGGACTGAGGACGTTTGAGAAGGCCTTCGAATTGACCGAGGGATCGGGACGAATTTAGCCTAGTGCAGTGGATGGGCCGTAACACTTTGACGAGAAAAGGTGCTTCACTAGTTGAGAAACTGATTATAGTTGTTGGCTGTATAGCGACCGTCGTGTGACTATCCTGGAAAGCCGGTAGATTGATAGGTTTAGTACTAGAAGGAACGAAGTTGACCTGGCTCCAGGGTGAAGGCGCATTACTGTTCAAGACAGTATATTGCTCTATTATTGAGCTGAAATGCAAATAAACTACATATGACAGGCGCAGTATACGAAGTGAGTAGAGCCGACCTCTGTAACCGGTGAGGTATTTAACAGTGGAAGTTCAGCATGGCACAGCCTTTCCCTCAGTGATGCGTTACCCCTAACCACGGTTTGCTTTCGGTGCTTCCCGCCTCCCCGTGTTGCTCCAAGAGGAATCAGATATAATTGGACAGACTCGACTAGATAGAGGACGAACCGGAGCACGGTCTGAATCTTGGAGAGACAAATGCGTGCACAAAACAACCGAATTGCTACACGAGAAGAATGTCAACCCCCTGTACCCTCATCACTTCCCGCCAATCGACGATGATCTGGCCTATACCGTCGATGTCGACCAAGTCGTCATAATCATCTTCATCGTCATCAACATCTTCTGCCTCACTAATGACACCTACTTGAAGGTAGTATCTCCGTCTACGCTCTTTCCAAACCCCCTGCACCACCTTCGACACATCGCCTCTATTGCCGATGCCGCTTTTGCCCAACTTCCCCAGCCAAGATCGGGCAGTTCGCAGCTCTTGCGGCCGAAAGCATTCCACCGCAGCCAGAAATACCGGCCACAGCGAGACGTGGGAACTATCCCTGTTTATTCTGTCGGCTGGCTGGTCACATGAGAGACGCGCGTCAATGTTTTGGATGCATGCGAAAAGCCGAGAGGAGTATGGAGTGAGGGCGCTGGGGGCCGGGTTGATGGTCTGGCGTTGAATGAAAATAATGATGCCCAAGGTAAAGATGGTTTGATGGGTATCTCGAAGGCTCGTGGAGTACTGGGCCTGCCCCGTCGCCAGAGCAGACAATCTCTCTGTGAGCTTGTTGATTTTCGACCGGTAAACCTCGGACAATCCGTGCCTTTTGACCTGGCGGATCAGGGTCACAGCTTCACTGAGCCCTTCCGCAGCTTGAGGGGCCGCACCAACGGTGAAACCAAATTCAAGTCTGCTTGATACCGAGGCGATCATGTCTTGGAAGACATGAGTGTCACTTTTTGGCTCGACGATTTCCTCCCAACTGACGTGATCTCTCTCGTGCTCTGTGGGTGCATCATCCAGGTCCAACTCGATCGACATCCGTAACTTTAGCATACAGAGGCTTTGCGTGGTCAACCAAGCGGTCTCTGAAAAGAGCCAGGGTTTCTGTGGGAGAGATTTTGTGGCCAAATCCCAGGCAATTTTCAAGTGATATCGCCATGCGACCGAGCCTCCTCCATAAGTCTGTGTAGCTATCTTAGTTCTGTCCTATTGACTTCAGAAAAGAAAATTGCGTCTTGCTTACCTCTGCCATGATCAGGGAGAGGATACTCGCGAGGACAGCGCCATAGTCGTATTCCGTCGTCTCGCTCAGGTAGGTTGACAATGCCTTCAGGCTCTCCGAATAATGGCCCATGGCCAGTACTTTCATGTGCTCTGTGCGATAGCCAATGTTCTCGAAGTGGGCAGCTGCTTGACTGAGAATGGCGTGACGGATGGCCAGATATACTGCCGAATCATCACTCAGCGCCATGGATGGATATCGGGTCTTCCATGGGTTCCGAGAATCCTCAAATGGCATCATTTTGGACGAGATGACCGAGACATAGTGTTGAAACAAAGACCGACTTTCCTGGTCCAACGGCCAGATTGGCCATACATCTGAGGTTATCGGGAGGTTCTCTGGAGGCAGTGATGGAGGGTCGGTCTTGGGATGGGGAAACGACAGAACAGAGAATGGTCCCAGAACAGCAATCTGTGCTTGTGTCCGATCAAACTGAGCGACAGCAGTGTTGGTCAGCGCCGAGATGATTTTATCAACGCTGGGTCCATCCAATATCCGTCGAGTGGCCCAAGTTGACTGCGGAGGTGGCATTCCTCCTAAACCCTGGTGGTTGGAGGCTTCCTGGTTTGGCGGCAGCCATATAATGTTGGGCCCGTAACCTGGGCATTTGTGTCCGGCTTTCAGGCACCGCAAGCATGCCGGGCGTTCGCCCGTGCACTTGATCTTTCGACTTCGGCATGTTCTGCAGCCTGTGAACGTCTTCGGCATATCTAGCAGTTTGTCAAAGTTGGCTCTCGCCAGGCAGACTAGTGGTAGGCGAAGAAACTGGCGCTGCCTGAGTTCACAAAGTTCAGGGTCACACTTTGAGTCGTGTGTACCCTAGCAGGTAGACTCGAATCGTGTGCGGAGAGGAAGCGAAGTTGTAGCAACGCCGGACGTGATACAAATAGATCCATTAAAAATCCCCCTCCACAATGCGGATGTCGATCTTGATAGGCCTGGTATGCGCCCGAAGCGAACCGGTCAAGTGGAGCGCATTCGCCCGAACTTTTCAATTCTGCAATATATCCCGAACCCCATGACTAGTCATATCTCAGACGTGGAATTAACGTATCATCGAAATGGTTAACCGACGGGTGAGTCACAGGCGTCTCAGCAACGTATAGCACGTAGTTGTAGCACTGATACACGCAACTAACAACGCCAGCGTCGCAGACGAAAGAGGCTCCTTAGGCCAGTTGGCTGCATGAAAGGCCTGAGTTTCGGTCGGAGCCATGAAGTGGTGAAGGAAGATTGGCCTAGTCGTTAAGACGATGCACTGAAATCCAGCCAGTATTCTCCTTGAGCAATGCCTCACATATGCAGATGTGGTGCTTTTGTCCTCAACAAAGGAAGATGTATTAATTGGATGGGATTTTTGAATTCGCAGGATCTGCCATAAACTCTATATTATCGGTCGTAAATAGGAGCCACCGCCGCCGCCCCAACACATGCCGATAGCGGATGACTTGACGAATACTAGTAGTACGCTTGTCTATAGATTGTTAAAGCAGCAAGTGGGCGGGGGATTCGGCGATTTCTTTACCTCTCTTGGAAATCCGCCTCTTTGAAAGGTTTACTAAGCTACAATACTTAACACGCAGCAGGACAAAACTACTCAGTGGCTTGTCAATGCATAGAAACAGTATGGAGGACCCCGATTCTGATACACCGTATGTCTTGTCTCAGTCCCATCCAAAGCTCCCTTATTGACCAATTTTCTAGTGCCCTTTCTGGGCTTGCTCTTCAAGCTCTGGAAGACTTTCGGGCCGAACAAGCACTGCAATTTGACGGTTTTGAACAGCTGGACTATAGTCACGACCTAGCGATGAGCAATGACAAGGCCTTATCTATGGAGATGTTTCCCGAGAATTGGAATGCCAGCCAGTTTTGGGTGGGCCGAACTCCACTTGTCTATGGATTGTTCCTAACCCGGCAGTGAAAAAGTATGATGATGCATCTGCTACCCTGCTCGCTCAACAGCTTCTCGATGGCCTGACGCCTCACACCTGTATCGCAATAATCTCGACCCCAAGTGTTTTCATACAGTTGAAGAAGCTCTTAGTACCTAACCTCTCCATCTCCAAGCCTATGTTTGCTAATCAGAGCAAAGCTGAAGGGGGGACCACAACCTCAAAGACTATCCCTCTTGGAATGGGATGAACGCTTTCACATGTTCAGCGAATTCATTCCCTACGACTTTGAAAACCCACAGAAACTGGATCGTGAGCCATGCCTAGTCATCACCCGATCCTCTCTACTCTACACGATATGCCAGGCAAAGCTAATCTTCTACCCGACAACTACAGCTGCTTTGAAAGGCATATTCGATCGTATCATCTGTGATCCACCATACCACAGCGTGGATTGCCTAACCAAAAGTTCGTGCTAGCTATTCTTGATGCTTTGTCCCAGTTTATGTCATGTTTCAAGACTTACACGAAAGGAAACAAAGTCTCTGCAACGGTCTCATGGCTGCTGAAGCCTGCCCCAACCCAACCCAACACAGCGGAAGAGAGCATACACAACAACAGGGTCATTATTTTTACAGGGGATACCATGGCTACGACCATCCCAAAGCTTTACCCGAACCACTTTGCAACTACGTTCTCGCCTTCTCATACTGGAAATCGCCTCAACAACCGGTATCGATGCTACGCAGATTACGAATGTCCTGAATGGACAAGGCTAGCGGAATGATGAAGATTGGAAAAAGAAAATCATCAAGGGGCTAAAACAAGGCTCCCAACTCGGACTTCAAGCTATATGTTTCTAGGTTGAGGTTGCGAATTGATAAGAACCAAAGACCGCGACACTGAACAACTGTCTAGTTGTATATTCAACCTCCTCGCTATCTTTGCTCCGCCTTTAATCGATGCCCAGTCCATTTCTCGCCCTCGAGCCTGTGATCGACTCGTAGAAGCCATCAAAAGCCCTTCGGCAACACTGACCACGCCCAACGCTTTCTCCTCTTGGAGCCTTCTGGTCACAACTTCTAATTCCACTGGAAGTCCATGCATGCCGTCACGATCGTATCTTTCCCAATTCCACTTATCCACGTTGTTTCGCGGCTGATACCCGTCATCGTGTACATCAATTTTCTTGTCAACCTTCCCTGCCGGAAATACCACCGCTGGGTAGTCAAGAAAAGTTCCACACTTTGGTGTAGCCTAGGTGCTTTGATCACCAACCTGTTGCTGAGCCTCCGCTGCCCTGCAATGACGTCCACGTCTTAGCCGTCTTGACATCAACGTTTGTTTCCCGGGCTGACTTACCGTTTGATGAAGGCTCTGGTGACTTGCTCTGCTGCCAGTTCGCCTGTCGCCATGATTCCCACAAGCACATCAACATCAGTGAGGAGTGTGATATCCCGTGGATTCTCCTGCCCAAAAATGACACCATTCACATCAAAAAGAAAGAGTTTTATGGCCGCTTCACGTTCGCCGATTTTTGAATTGACGACATCCTCCCAAGCCCTAGGGCTGCATCCCTCGTTCGGCTCTTTCATGATTCTGTTATGGTATCATTCATCACCCAATATGGTGTCTCAGGCAAACCCGCCAGAGCCCAGCGTGTGTTGATAGCCCTTGTTCAATGTACTGCGGCAACGTGATCGGATTCTTGCATCGAGTCTCACGCGACAGAGGTATGCGTGGTGTGTTCACTCCTGTACGTGGGGTTGGTTGTCTTGCAGCGAATCATGCATCCACAAGGAGAAGTCCGAAATGTTCTGCTTATCACGGCACACTGCAGGCCGGATCAATCCAACACGCCAGTTTCCACCATGTCCCCAGTCCAGAGAGTGGGGGAAACGTAAGAGGCCGACATGGATTGGTTCGACCACTCTCCGAGAAAGACAAAGTGGTCTCCATTTGAAAGCTTTGAGGACCGTGGCTCGACCGGGCGATGGCAGGAAAAAGGATCGAACTGCGCCGCCATACATAGTCGCCCGATCCGCAATGATGAAACGAGCAAGATCTCAATTGTCATTGCCCAGCATGTCTCCTGGTGCCAACGGCGAAGAATTTGCGACGGGTGCGCCCCAGGTAGATGGCTTTGCGGTTAACCAGGATGATGTCGCAGATATCGTGGTTGCTGGCAGATTCAATCCCATGATGGTGAAGGCGGTGGACTAACTGACGAGGATGTGTTTTCATGGAGCTACTTCGCTTGTCCGACCGCTGCACTGAAACAAGATATCCGGCAAGCCACCTTCATAAAATGAGTGGCACCGCCAAATCTCAGCAGGGGCACCCTTGAAGCCTTTCAAAGGCGGTAGGTACACCTAAGGATAGGTGGAACGCCCATTCCCATCAACCTCACGTGCTGCGCTGCTTATATCATTTTTGCGGTGTTACTCGTTTTGTAAGGTGGCTTGCCGGCCAGGGAGGACCATTTTGGCGCGGAGGGGCTGGGGAATACAACTCCGGTTTGCAGATCGGCTGCTCCACTCTCAAGGTTGACATGCATGTACCGAAGTTTGTTTCGACTTCATGCCTTGAGTAAAGTGAAGTAAATAGTCGTGTTGCGCCTGCTCACCTACAGAGTCGCTAATGGATTCGCGTCGGACTTGCAAGGACTCGGTAGTGAACACAAACTTCATGGAAGGAGCAGCCAAATGAGTTCGTTTCGACTGCGTGTCGGCTCGAGGGTCTCAACAGTACCAAGCTGCGCATCTCTTTGCATCGAACAGAAACTCCCAGTCCTTTGCGACGCCTCCATCATGCTTGAACCTCAGTAATCGTCGGGGCCGTCCTTCAAGCGCAATCGAGCCAGATCTTCCGGCGAAATTCTCCAGAGCTGAAGGTCAACTCTTGCTCTCCGTCGGAAAGAAGCGTCGTTCGTTGACCGAAGTTAAAGGAAAAATGTCTTGGAAATTGGCTGAGTTGAGGTGGCGTCAGGATGTGGGATTGCAGGAAAGCTTTTGGGAGAGAGATGAAGAGGCACCTGAGGGAACGCATAAAACCAACACAGGGACCGAAGCACGTGCAAGTAAAAGACGGACTGCAGGTCACAATCCTACATGGCGTCGTCTGTCGTTGGAAAACAATTCGCATCTGTGCACACCACCACAACACCAACCTCAGAAAAGACTTACAGATCCTCACTCATCGGTGCTATCGCAAGGAGTATTTGCATCTTCTGCAACTCCTCTTTTGAATGTCCGTCACAGCACAGACAGACTTGATTTCCAAGACTCTCAAGCGATCTCAGACTCTCAATTCATTGTCGCAGCATCCTGTGTCTAGGAGACACCAAATCGGTCGCCTTCAAATTCACACCGTGGTTCCTTTCAAGCGCAGGCAGATGGGTCAGAGGCAACTCCTGCCGATCTGAACGGTTGGTCGTCACAAGTCTCATGAACTCTCAAATGTGCTGACGGCAAGGCTGTAGCGGATCCTGCGCTCCAAGGCTGGAAACCCCAACATTCAGTATCGATATCGGACACGAACTTGCGAAAGAGAGACTCCTGGTCGTATCAGATTCCAAACGCAGCTGGTATGAGTCCCTCACATCTGCATCCGAAATCCACTGATCGTAATCAGATCACAAAGCTTTTGAACATCCACCGACGCAAACCTTCCTATCCCATTCCCCACTGCACGTGAGTGGGTTCCTCCAGTGTATTCCGATCACAACTGACAAAGATCAAGAGACTGAGCCTCAGCATCTCGACGGTCGAAAGCGAAGTGGCCCGTACCCCAATCTTCGCCACCTCAAGCGCATTATTCGGGGATTTCTCGCACCATTCAGACTGTCGGCAAGCACCACTTGACCATAGCGCGACTCTTCAGAGAAGTAGGAGCCATTCTGTGTCTTCGAGCATTCCAAGGACATCCATAGGGTCGAAACACCGGTCGGATTCATTCCTCCTGCAAAGATACAAAATGAGTGACGAAACCTCAAGTTCATCCGGACGCAGGCAAGCTTCGCGAACACTTTACCCAGACTTGACATCAGCATACGCACGAATCCAAGGTCGGAGGACGGTGAGCACCTTGTCATCGCAGGCTGGTCGAGAAGAGACGCGCTTTCCGCTCAGTCCGACGAGTTCTTCGAGCGAGGAGAATGAACATGATCGCTTTGATGCACTGTCGGTTGGGAATGAAGTCATTCCACTGCAGGACCTATCTTGTCAGCGGGTACAATCGGCCCACGGAGTTCTTCATGAGGCAGACCATCATCAAGAATCCAGCGCAATCCTGGAGACATCCGATGATACTGAAACAACAAGCCACACTGAAGACAGATTATCCGCCACAATTGACGACATTGTTTCTCAATATGCGGACGACGGAGCTGACGATTCGTCTGCTTTGCCCATTCTCCAACCGGACGGACATCAGCTCATGCACGATCATGAGATCCATGAGACCCAGTATGGACAGGATATCAATACTCCCCATGACAGTCGCAGTATGTTTTTGAGTCCCCACAACGAAAGACGTTCTGTCGGTGGCTTGGCTCTTGAAGAACAACAAGATGCAGACCGTTCTGTTCAAAGTATCGCAAACTCACAGGGAGATAAAGAAGAGTGGGAAGCTTTGCCGGAGAGTAGTCGAAGCGGATTTTTGACTCCATCGTGGCAGCGGTTTCGTTTGACAAAAAGAGAGACCGGCGATACATCCGACTCAAGTTTCAATGACAAGACCCCAACAACACCATGGGATCCTATTTCATCCTCAGCACGAGGCAATCTTCCACCTGATCTAGCTCACCGCCAGACTGATTTGCACGCACCGAAACAGCTTACCAGAAACAAATATAGTGGCCCTGGAAGAGAGCAGCAAGTGCAAACTGAAATGCAAACAACGAGCGGACGGAGTTTTCTGCGTTCAGGTCAAAACCGCGCTGCAGGTTCCCTCGGCACCCTAGGAGAGCTTCCACACGTCCAGACTCTGGCCAGCCCGCGCCCATCAAGACATCTCACTCCACTCACAGATTCAGTCCTTCCGTCAAGCTCCTTGTTTCCTCGAGCTCGGATCAGTGCTCTTTCATCAAGTTCTCTGCTTCCTCAGGATATGGGAAGGATCATGACACCACATCCACCCCCTCGAGCAGCAATGAAGCCCTTGAACGAACCTACAATGCCTCATGGGCAAGGATTCTCCAGATCTCGAGATGGCCAGACGGCGCAATCTGCTACCCCTTCCAATCAACGCCTGACCACACAAGCTCGCATCTTCATCCCTAGAAGTGGCTCGGGGAACGCAGCCACAGATCCAGGACGCACCCTTGACCAACAAGGTCTCTCCGCCGGGTTCAGAAAGATGGCCTCCGCAACGGAATCTCACAATCGCCTCTTGACCGAACAACTTCGAGAAGGCCGCTACCAATCCAATGACGCTGGCATCTCCCGCTTCCTGCGAGACACCGTGCAAATTGGCACAAATTCCCTACCTTCACGTGTCAACCGTTCTGAAAGCCTTCCAAACAGTCGTGGAATCAAAACAACAGGCAGCAGTCTTGCCAACTATTCCTCCGATTCAGTTCCGCTCAACAGACCGAGAAACCACGGATTGGGTAGCTCAATTACTTCAAGCCTCGCCAACGCTACTCAACATAAAAACAACTCCACTCATAGCACTACAGCTTCCCTTCTCCCTGCTGACTGGACACAAAGCTTGGACACTCTTGGTTTGGCAGCTTGCCCGACATTTCCGCTCACCGCCCAGCAACTTGGATCGCCCGGACTTCCTGGAATTGGCTGGGTCCCCTTTGCTCGTTTGCAGACCTTGGATAATGGCGAGTGGTTGGAGAGAGCCTGGTGCGCTGTCCATCAGCAAATGGAGTTCAGCCACGCCACCCTGGCCAAAAACAGGGCTGAGGCTAGCTCCGTCGACATCCAACGTCGAGCTGGGCGGTTCCTTCTGGTGGCTTGCGTGGCAACATTCTGGTTTGGTGGTTTTGCTCTGGCCCATGACATGGGCGAAGGGGGCGCCTTGTCCAGCGGGGCAATGGCAGAGTTGACCAAGTGGCTCTCGGGCCGAGAGGATGGTGCCGTCGCCCATGTCCACCCGGTGGACGCTCGACTGGCCCGAGCGGTCGAGAGAGTTGGTTTGTTGGTGGTTGTTGGTTTGTTGTTGGGCTGTGCCGGCGTCCTGGTTTGGGCAGCCACCATCTAAGTGGCAAGAGGCGGGAGATCCCCTGAGGTTAGAATCTGTATTTGATAATCAATCACACCTCCTGCACAGAACTCCCTGTCATCTTTGTAATTGTAGCGGGCATCCTTGTCACGAAGCGAAGTCACATCCTTCATCGACAATGGCATACAATACTTTGACATACCGGTTGTCCACAAATCAGGGCAGAAGTTCAACTTTGGGAGTCGGACTAATCCTCCTCTACATACCCTAAAGCTTGACCGACTTTGACCTTCTGGTTTCGTTCAACAACCCATTTAAACCCACCATTCCCCTCCTCATCACCAGCACTACCCTCGTTGAGGGATTTTCTCCGCTGACCAGCCGGTGCCTCAAACACCAATACAATACTCGATCCAAGCTTGAAGCCACCCATCTCTTCACCTCTCCTCAAAGCATGGCCTCCCAGAATCTTGCTCGCATTTGCGTAGGTGGCTTCGCTGAATCCAGCGTAGGGTTCGCCCCTTTCAGCGGCCGCTGCTGCCTGACGATCCGCTTCGGTATCCGTAGTAAGAGAATTCGTCCGTAACTCCTTGTCGAAATTGATGACGATGGAGCCAACATTGGTGGCACCAACAGGTATATAGCTGAAGAATCCATATTTCCATCGGCCAAGGAGAACAACACGTTCATTGAGGGTGAAAAGCCCCGGCAACATACGCTGAACATAAGGCGAGACTGAATACAATTCTCCCGCAAAGTGGCGACGTGCGGTGCAAACCCAGCTGACAGGAGAATGAAAGCGATGATAGTCACCGGGAGCCAGATACACGACACAATAATAAAGCTTTTTGTCGGTGCTGGGAGAAGAGAAAGGTGACCACCAAGGTTGAGTTGTGGCCAAGTCAGCTGACACTGCAGCCTCGGAGGATGGACGTGATTTTATAGAGGCATCTTGTTTGGAGTTGCCCGTCTGTTGCGACCCGGACAGGAAGTCGGGTAAGGTGTAAGATATGCCGTTGACATTTGCAAATTCCTCCTCTGCGGATATTGACTTGGCTTCTGGATCATCCGATGCAGGCGATGTTTCGGCCTTCGGAGGCGCAAAGATATTCGACGGAGCTTGAGGATTAGGTGAGGTAGGGGCGATTTTCCCCAACAGAGCATCCACACTGTATGTCATGCCTTTGACCTGCTCGACCTCACCATTCTCGATCGTGCCAAACTGCAATACTTTAGCGTCGGCCGGAGATAGGACAGCGTTGGGATTGGGATCGAGAGGTCGAATGCCTGGCTTGAGCTCGCGGTAGAAGAAGGAAGCCAGGTTGGGGTAGGCGTGAAGATCTGGTTCAGCCATCTCCTCAAAGTTGACACCAAATATCCGGCCATATAGCTTGAAACCCGGCACACGGAGGTAATATGGAATGGTCAACTCATTGAAACGTCCCCAAACTCTTGAGATTGCTTTCAGCGGCAACGTTGACATTATCTGTACCTGCCAGCCTCCTCCTGTGGGATAGATTCTCTGCCGCCTGGGCGGCCGTCCTCCATCCGTCTCGGAAGAACCTTCTTGTGCGCCGCCTTCCCTTGCTCTGACTCGCATAAACTGTAACAGGCCCAGAAACCCAATTCCCAGACCAATTGGAATTGGTTTCCATTCGATTTTCGTTTCCCTCCATGCTTTTCCAAGCCGCGAAGTGAAGCTCTCCTTGCCATCCCCTCTGCTTTCTTTCCATCTTTTCTGAGTGTTGCTGAAATGGCTTCTCTGGTGCAATTGAATGCGACCGTACGGGAATCTTAGAGGTTGAAAGGAGCATGGGTCCGACAGCGGATGAAGACGTGAGGAAATAATGAAGGTCCGCCGGTAAAGACACGTTCTGCCGACGCTGGCACCAGCCATATTTGCAGATTGGAAGATTTGTCAGGGAAGCATGTACAACAAGTAAAGAGATGGACACAGGGTTGGGAAATGAAGCGAGATTGACTTAGCCAGTTGGCTTCAAAATGATGTTGTCTTGAAGGAAGGTAAAGATATTTGGCAGTTCAAGGTATGACGAGTGAAGATGCACCCGCTGCAGTTTATGATTGGCTGATTTGATCCTCCGCCGCTGCGATTGCAGAACGCGGACTTCGTTTTTGTGAGATTCCTACCACTCTGGCTACAACAACCTGTCGATCCAACTGCGACTGTTGTGTATCTACATCTCATCTCGTCAAATTGACTTCGTTGGTCATGCGTTGGAGAAACAACTTCCTCTTTCACCATGAACGGCAATAGTCGCGAACAATCCTCATCCTCCGACCAACCACTCTCTACCTCACCTTTGCAGCCTGATCATGTCTATCTTAGAGTGATTTATTTGGTCACAGGAGATCCCAGGCCACCTCTCAACCTCGGACAGGTTGATCTGGGCACCACGATTCTGGCGTTGAAGAATCGAATTCAAAATGATCTTCCCGAACATCCAACTCCTCTCGAACAACGTCTTATCTATCAAGGGCGACCGCTTCTGCGAAACGAGGCCACATTGCGAGAGGTCCTCCGACTAGAGGTATTTGCTTCGCTATAGTTCTTCCTAACTTTTCTGACCGATGTCTTAGTCTGGCGCTGCGTCTGGTCCCCTACCATATACGATCCATATCGTAATCAATCCCCGTTCAGATGCGACGCCTCCGAGAGATCCTCCCTCAACTACGCATGGGCTACCTCCTCCGCCAGCTACCCGGCCGACAGAACGTGTCAACCCATTCCGAGCCGTTGAAACATCTGCCGCGAGGCTTCAAGAGTCGCTAGCTCGGATTCAACAACAGATTGAAGTGAACAGAGCCGATCTGTTGGGTGTGCAACAGAGGATAGGCCTCCAGCATCACAATATACATCACCACATTGCCACTGGTCAGCCTCATCACCATGTCACCGTTGGACAACCTCTTCCGACTCATGCACCATTCCAGATAGACGTGAATGGTCAAGCCATCTTTGCCGCGCCGACTCCTTTGCGTCTCAACGGCGGCCAGAACTTGGAGCAACCTGATCGTGGTCTTCCGCAGGTGCCTTGGATCCCAACCCAGAACGGTCGCGGTGCAGGTCAAACAGTGCCATCAATGTTTAGAAACCCTGCAGTACCTCCATCTGTACCTCAACCTGTCCTGGCACCTCAGCCTAACGCGGCGGCCACAAGTACGAATCCACAGCCGAATGCTGAAGGAACTCAGGGACACCCAGTCTCTCATGCGGCTGCTGGGCAACAGACCAACACAGGATTGCCACCTACGCAGCCTGTTTCTGCATCTGGACATCAGCAGGTCCATCATATGCATCAGCATCCGTTGTTGACTGCCGCACAGCGTGTATCCAGCACGATGCCGGAGCACCATCATCCACCTCACGTTCCTGTCCAATTTCCATCTCAGTTTGCACGGTCTTCAGTAGAAAATCTTCTGCCAACAAATGCCGTTGCTTGGATAGTCTCGTCGCCGGCTGGCCCAGAGGCGTTGTTATTCCAGCCCGGACATGGTTTCTTCGCCACGACACAGCAACAAACACCTCAGCAATCTGGTACTCAGTATGCATCACAGGGGCCGGCACCTGGTAATCAACCTATTGCGGTTGTACCACTCCAACCGGCAGAAGAAGAAGGCCCTGTGAACATCAATGTGCGGATTGCACAGCCTAGGAGGAACCATATGCCGGCGGCACCAGCTCTGGCGCAAGTACGACGAAACGAGGCCGATAATGACTTGTTTGCTTTTTTGATCCAGCGAGGCTGGCTATTTCTGCGCCTATATCTTTTCATGTTCGTCTTCTCCGAACCAGGAACCTGGAAACGGTGGCTTCTGATTGTGACTGCGGCCATTGTTTGTCTTCAGCCCAGGAACGGCCCATTTGTACGGGCATTGGCCGCCGCACGCCGGCATCTGGACAACTTGATTGCACCCCCAGCTCCACGACCTCAGCCCGCCCCTGCTGCCGAGGCACGACAGCAACCACAGGTTCAACCTCTCCAAAATGCTGTCAATGAGATACCTGTTCTGCGCCCGGCTAATGTCCGCGGCGCGGTCCAGATCACTCCAGAAGAAGCTGCGGCACGACTCAATCGACAGCATCATGACGGATCCGCAAATTCGTGGAGAGACACGTTTTACCGCATTGAACAGAGTACAGCACTGTTTCTGGCAAGTTTGATTCCAGGCGTGGGCGAGCGGCATGTTCGGGCGAGGGAAGAGGCGAGAAGAGAAGCGGTCAGGCTTGAACAAGAAAGAATACGTGCTGAACAAGAGGCTGCCACGCGTGCACAAGCGGAGATTGCAGCGGAGCCTGCCTCTGGTGAGAATATGGACCACACCGTCGCTGCAACAGCTGAGGAGGCAAAAGCAAATGGATCTGCTGTTGCAACGGTCGACGGATCCATTGAGCAGAGTGCTTCGAGCTCTGTGCAAATCCATGAAGACACCGCAGAGGTCGAAGGGTTGCGGAATCGGAACATTTGAAGTCCCTATCATTGCGCGTCTCGTGACGGATTGCCTATTGAGACGTGTTGCGGTTGACTCACGGTCGTGACTTCATGTTTTGTAGCGAATTGAGCGGGATTGCAAAGTCAACGGGTTGGCGACTAGACTGGCTCAGTTGGTGGAATATGATTTGATGACCACCTTCGGGATGACCATGAATCACCAGGTTGCGTGACAGGATCAGGTAGCCGAAACTCGTCTTATCATCTTTCGCGGTTTCGTGAGGATTCCCTTGCCATCTCGCCCCTTTTGAGATTCCGTCAATATGAAAGGGTTCCCGTGGTGAGTCTTCTGTCCGCCATGCCTGCAAAACTGCGCTGCGAGCTATGCTAGGATTGAAAGACCGCTGTGAGCGACGTAAATGGACTGAGAAGTGCCCAGCTAGTAGTATGAAGGCACGGCTTTCCCCGGTCGATACCCCGTCCAGCCAGTTCATGCCCTTGAGTCAAGTCGGGCCACTAGATCCGACTGAAAACAAGCCATGCTGGACGGACTAGGCTGCATTTTTGCACTCCGACTCGAAATCACGTCATGATAATTGTCCGGCAAGGCTACCTCCTCTCCCGAAGCGACGGCGTTGTCCATCACGACCCTTCCCTTTCCCGTGCAAGGGATGGTTCTTTTCCCACTCCTCGTCGGCTCTAAAGGCATCGACCGCCAAGTCCAAGTTATAGTCGGTTCCCTTCAGATACAGGGAGGCGACATTGTAGTCTGGACATTTTGTCGCAACCATCCATCTCCGCACTTTGGTCTTACGCTCTTCCTCTTCCGGGTCCGGGGGGGTCGACAAAGGCGGCCCCGTGTAGTGGGACTTGGGGATCAAGATCCACCTGCGGGCCGCAAGCAGTTGATCAGAGTAAAGACCATTATGCCGCCGGAGGACTAGAACGGGCACATTGTACGCCAGAGACAGAGATTGTAATGAGTCTTCCGCGCCCACAAAATGTACGGTGTCATCGGTGTTCTCGGGAGGCGCTATACTCTGATCAGGCACTCGTCTCGGTGTCATCGCATCGTCGTACGAGGGTGGCGGCGATTCCGCTCTGCCGTGCTTCGGGGAAGTAGAAGTCTTTGTGTAGGAGGGAGGAAGTCTGAGGCCATCTTTCGGAAGCGCTGATGGACCCGACGATATCTGGCAGAACGGACAGTAGGATTGAAATCGGGGGTTGTTGTATTGACAAGTGGCGCAGATCTGGCGGGAACAACACTCCAGGCGACGATTGTAGAGCAATGGTTTCTCGGACTCGGGGTCGTAGGGCACTTTCACGTCGGTCAGAAGGGTGGCACAGGTGCAGCAGGAGTCAGTGATGGACATTTTGAGAGATATTGATACGACCGGTGGGATATGAAAGGAATAACGATCGACTCGTTGTCCATGAATATCTAGTAGGGAAGTAGTACGAATGTCTAGACTCGGTATTGGCGGGTTATAATATTATCGATGACATCAATGACGAGGACGTTACTCCATTTCGGCTCCAAGGTTGAAACTAACCGCGTCTCTGAGTGTTGCTTGACTCCAGATTCTGTATTGTCTCCCCAATTACGTCTGATTTCTTTGTATATCGGAAATGAAAGCATTTGACATCCATCGTAACGGAGTCTATCCAATGTGTTCATTGCAAGTCCTCTCTACTTGCGGAGAGCGCAGTCTCCCACGACTCTGCGTTTCCACCTGTTTTGACTTTTAATGCAGCTCCATCCATTGTGTCGAAATTGATTTCGGGGGGCAAGATTGAGACTATTCTCTTCCCTCGTTGTGAAACCAACCCAGAACATCATCGGGTTTGGGCATTGTGCAACCGCGATCTTCTCCTCGGCGCTACAACTTCGCAAACGAAGGGCAGCAGAGGCCCGTCTTCCTCATACCATGTGTTGAGATGATCATTCCAGCTGCGTTCTGGTGGGAAGATCTCCATGCCTCGACAATCGTCGTCGGGCCGCGAGTCTCTGCATTTTGACTTTCTCGATTGTAAATGGTGTAGATGGTCTACCCCATGACACTGAACAGTAGACACAGATAGAGACAGCTTTTGGGCGAATTTTGGTTGGCCGATATTACGGCGCAGAGACTCCTCATTTGGGTGTTCCCGAATAGTCCTCCAATCCAGTTCTGGAAACCTGATTCATGTATCCTCGAAAGCCATACATGCGCTGACTGTGGCTCGATCAAGGCTTGGGAATGAATTGGTGCCATTCCAAAGGCAACTTTCTTGAAATGCTGCTGATTAATCTTGTTGCGCGGCCTTTGAAATACCACGCCGATTCGATCCTCTCCAGCAGCAACGCATAATGCGCCAATAATATCAGAGCAGCTGGGTGCCGTGCCTTGAGAAGTGTCATGAACTTGTCAGAGACCCGCACTGGCCATATACGCAAGACATCCCATGTGGTGAAGACTTGAGCCGATCGCGAGCAGGCGAAGGCTAATGCAAGCTCCGATGCTGCTTCGCGATATGTTTCGAGTACGTCGTCTGACCAAGGGCACTGGGAAGATTGGACAATGACCGAGAGGAGATTTTCGAGGACGGCAGCCTCGTCCAAGGTGTCGACACCTTCGAAGGGCGCTTCCAATGCAAGGGCGAGACTCTTACATGGACCCGACTCAAGGAAGTCCCAAACATCGCCTAGCATAACACAACCGCATCGGAGGAAATGAAGCCAGCTAGGGATGACGTCGTCATCATTCTCTGTGACCAGAAGGAGGCTGTCGTCTTGTTGTTCTGAAGCCCACGCGTAGAGGACAAGGAGATGCGTGAAGACCAACACGGCGTGGCAATTCTCCTGAGTCGTGTTTGACACGGCAGTTCTGAAAAGGCCCATGGCTTTATCCTGGTATTTGCTGGCCTCGAGGTAGTATGTCTTTCGCTGCTCGGGGACGAGATAGGCGCGATGAAGTGATGTCACCGCAAGGATACCGAACATGAGGAAATCATGCTCGTGAGCCAGCTGACAGACTGTGTCTCTCCACAGAATCTCGGTGTCTGCATTGGTGGCGATTGTCCGACTGGTCGAGTCTTGATAATGATGCAGCAGGAACTCGGCATCGTGCTCAAGTTCCAGAGATTGGAGCCCGCTAATATTGCCCTCAGCGAGCCGCACTGAACCAGGAGCAATCATTTGTTCAGGGAAACGTTTTGCCTCGTCAGAAGTGGAAATCACAGTCCTGTCGTGCATGGCCTGGGTGAAATTGTCTCCTCCATCCAGGGCATTGCCTCGCCGTACGTGGCCTGTGAAATAGTGCAAGTTGTTGCCGCGGAAGAATGTCTGGACTGGTACGCGTTGGAACGTCAAGTTATCATCTGCAACCTCGTGCTTGACCAGTGCCCAATGATTCCTCATCCGCTTCTCGGTCAGGCATAGATGTCCACAGCCATCAAATCCGCACTGCAAACCATTGAAGATCGGGAGGTGTGGAACGGGAAATTGGTCGGCTTCCGGTAGGAGTACATGTTCCGGGTCAACAAGGTCGAGCCCCTGCACAAAGTCCACGAAGGACTTCCGGTCCGACCGATAGATGTGGTGAATCTCTTTCAGATGCCTAGACACTGCCTTCGGCGGTACCGCATAACGACAGCCTGTGCAGATGACCACACGATGTTCCGGAGAATAATGGAAAAGCTGGGTCGGCTGCATCTGCGCACGCACTGGTGCCTGACGATTCATTCAGAGGAGGATCGAGCCATGAGTTGGCAGACTCAAGGGGGGTCAATACTCAATGTTGTTTGCAAAAAGTCAAGTACTGTGGTGGCATACCCAAAAGGTAGATGTGATCGTGACTAGTGCCACAGATTGCCTGGCTTGACGGCTTTAACGGCGATGACAGTTACCCTTTTTGAAATGGCCCGCCCCCACGGACCAAAATCACCCCTGCCACCACAATCGTTGGACTTGCAAATCGCCGGTGCCGTTCCCAATCAGAGTGACGGAACTGGCTGCAGATGGATCCTATCGCGACTAGCCAGGCAGCAGCGAAGCCTTACTCCAGTCGGAGTCTCCGTCGGTTCTCGATATCCTACTACCTATATCGAGGATTGTGGAAGAACGGGAGACAAAAATGCCACAGTGGATAGCAAAGATGATATGTAGCGGTGGAGTTGAGGGGTTCTGAACTCACAGTCCTTGACCTGCGACGGCGCGATGTTGGTCCGATCAATTTCACAACCGTCGACTGGCGCAACTATAAGTACCAGGCTGGGTGTTACAAATCTGATTGCTGGCTGCCCAAACCTACCCTCCAACAGTTTCACATCATGTCCAACTTCACAAGATCAATTCTCATCACTGGAGGCACTAGCGGCCTCGGACTTTGCGCCGCAGCTGAGATTGCGAAACAACATCCTGAATACCAGGTCATGGTGGCATCACGCAAGGACCCCGACAATAGCGCGGCGGCAATCAACAAGAAACTCGGCCAGAGTAACGTCCAGTATATGCCACTTGACCTTGGACACCTGGAAAATGTCCGATCTTTCGTCAAGACTTGGGGAGAGAGGAATTTCCCTCCGATTGCCGCACTGCTGCTGAATGCTGGGCTTCAAAACCCTGGCAGCGTCAGATACACCGCCGACGGGATCGAGTCTACTTTCGGCGTGAATCACGTGGGCCATGCGCTCCTTTTCTATCTCCTGCAGCCTTATTTGGCTGACGATGCCCGTATTGTCGTGGTTGCCAGCGGCACGCACGATCCAGCACAGAAAACCGGCCTTCCCGACGCAAAATACACGTCCGGAGAAGAGCTAGCTCATCCCTCTGATGCAACAGTCAACAACCCAGGCCGACAACGCTATGCCACCAGCAAATTGTGCAACATCATGTGGACATATGCCCTGCAACGACGTCTCGCGCGGCTTGCGAACAAGAAATGGACTGTGGCCGCTTTCGACCCGGGTCTGATGCCTGGCACAGGGCTCGCAAGAGACGCAGGAGTCATCCTCCGTTTCGTCTGGAATCGGGTGCTGCCTTCGCTTGTTCCGCTTCTCCGCCTGTTGGCATCGCCAAATACCCATCTTCCCGAGGAGTCGGGAGCCTCCCTAGCATGGCTTGCTCTGGATGAGAAAGAACGCTCGACGAGCGGCCTCTACTACGAAGGCAGGAAACCGATCAAATCCAGCGTGGACAGTTATGATGAGAAGAACCAGGAGGAGCTTTGGTCATGGACTGTGAAGTTTCTGGCGGCCGACGACAAGGAATTGCATGACTTTGAAGTCGTCGCTTGAAAGCCAGGAGCGAAGACTGCATGGTCGCATTTTGGAGCCGGGATGGGTAGATGAAGCGCAGCTGATCCAGTCCTCGCTTTCGTGTGTCCGTAGCAGCACATACAATTAGCCAACAATGCTTGACCAGTTACTGTATGGTTTCGTCAACTTCCGGCTCCCGCTTCGTCAGGGTCCACCCAATCGGGGTCTGTGTCTCTTTGCCTCGCCCCAAGCCGTCTGACCTGCTCGTGCTGCACCTCATCTTCGGCTTGTTGGCCCTCTTTCTCTTTCTTAACTTTCAACCTCAAGCGACCTTGAGACCCTCGCCCGTTGAAATCCAAGGTCCATTCCAAGGGTAGTTTCCCTTTGCGACCGCCATCCGGCGTGTCTTCAGCGTCGGCACTCACCCAGCTATATCCCGCTTTCAGTATAACATTAGCAAGAATGGTGAAGTAACCCCAGCCCAATCGACGTATCTCGTAAGGAGGATATTGGACGATAACGCGAGGGTTACGGAACGTTGGATGCTGCCAAAGAGATGTCGGTTCAGTGAGCGTTAGACGTCGGTAACGTCACACTTACTAGGAATATCTGCACCTCTTCAATAAAATCTGTCCTCGAAGGTCGCACAAAGAACTTCCAATGGTGTTTGTTATGAGACTCGCCCTCAGTTCTGACCAATGAATGCTCGTTCCCGATGTACACCGTTAGCGTCTCGATACTCTCACCGAAATCATCTTCTTGAGCCGTTCTGCTCTCGGTCTCGCGTGCTTGATAAGCGGCTAGATACTGTCTTTGCAAGGCCGTCTCTCTGTCAGGATCTAACGTCGCCGTGGTCGGCGTCCGGCACAAGGGACATCTCGTCTCAATCTCGTTCGGTAGGAGGACGACGGCTCGGTCATCCAGTCCCACGGTTGTCATTTGGGACGTGATTAAAACATCTGCCCAATGGGCCATACATGATTCACAGAGCGTGTGACCGCATCGTGTCCGAACCGGTCGATAAAGAAGGAGGTGGCAAATGGCGCACAGGTCATCTAGATCAATATCTTCTTCGTCTTGCGGAGGGCTGGTCACATCAATATTCGGTGTTTTCTCATCACCGGGAGACATGGTGTCGCATGCCTTCCTTTTCGTCGCAACCACCTTGTGAAAGGGACAAGACGTTACGGATTGAAGTTGAAGAATTCTGACGACCATCTGTCTTGGAAATGCCGTGTAATGTACGGTCATGCATTCAAATTGCAGTTGCAGCCCATGCGTCCGACAGTAGAATTATCATCTAATCTAATCTGTTCTGGCATTGCCGGGTGGAATGACCTGCGGAAGCGTCGGGAGATTAGATTTATGACCAGCACGCCACGCCAGGGGCTTTTTGGTTGGAGCCTGGACTGCGTGAGACGTATCCCGGACCCATCGAAACAACTCATCGAAAAGCGTTGCATGACACTCCGGTTTTCAGGGAGGCAAAAACAACTCGATAACTACGCATCAACCCTCGAAGTCCCTTTTGCCAATGCCCCCTTGATCCGAACCGAACTTTTTCCATCCTCATTACTTTCATCCTCACTTCCAGTCATTCCTTTGACCTTGTCTTCCACTCTGTTCCAACGTTGCAGACTCACCTCGACCACTCCTCCGTCCCTCAAACCTTCAATCGACATCCAACCTCCGATCGATCGAAACCGAAGATGCCCGGCCGTACACTCCCTACCATCACTCGTGCAGAGGTGGAAGCACACAACACCAAAAAATCATGCTATGTGACAATCGGCGAACGTGTTTTTGATGTAACAGATTTTGTCGACGATCATCCAGGAGGTGGTGAACTGATCCTCGAGTATGCGGGGAAAGATGTGAAGCAGATCATGGAGGATGAGGTGTCACACTACCACTCTGAAGCCGCCTACGAGATCTTGGAAGAAAGTCTCATCGGATTCATGCCGACCGAACGCGTCCTCAAAGCTGCCGTCAACTCATCGCATCCTGACCAAGTCGTGCCTCTTCCCGCAACGGCAGAAGGCAAGGAGGATCTGAAGGCGGAAGGCGTGGATACCGACGGGCTACCAACGCGACAGATCTTCGAGACCACCGGAATGTCTTCTGAAGAGGACCTTTCCAAAGACACGGACCTCGAACTCGATTGGAAGACACACAAGTTCTTGGATCTCAACAGACCTCTATTCCCGCAGATGCTGTTCAGCAACTTCTCGAAAGAGTTCTACCTTGAACAAATCCACAGACCCAGACATTATCGCGGAGGAGACTCTGCACCGCTCTTCGGAAACTTCATGGAACCGCTCAGCAAGACGGCCTGGTACGTTGTGCCCATTATATGGCTTCCACTGGTTTTCTACGGCTCGTACGTGGGAATATCACACCTCCCGCCGGTTCAAGGCCCGGCATATTGGTGTCTCGGTCTCTTTCTATGGACGTTGGTGGAGTACCTGATGCACCGATTCCTGTTCCATATCGACAAAGCGATGCCTGACCACCCTGTGGCTCTGACACTACACTTCTTGCTCCACGGAATTCACCACTATCTGCCCATGGACAAGTATAGGCTGGTGATGCCGCCCGCGCTGTTCCTCATTCTGGCCACGCCTTTCTGGCACCTCGCGCACGCTGTGTTCCGGTACAACTGGTACGTCGCTCTCACGGTCTTTAGCGGCGGCATTTTCGGCTACGTCTGCTACGATTGCACGCACTACTGGCTCCATCACCGACAGTTGCCTAGCTATGTGCGTGACTTGAAGAAGTACCATCTGGCCCACCACTACCAGAACTTCGAATTAGGGTAAGCCAATGTCCACAACGCTTGTGCAGGTATCAGATTACTGACCGACTCTTAGTTTCGGCGTGACGTCAAAGTTCTGGGATCTCATCTGGGGCACGGAGCTGCAATATGCGAAGCCGATCAAGTCTTCGTAAATCTATCGACACGGTGCTTACGCGCCCGAGATTATACGCCAGGCTCGTCACCGTCGCATCGAGACAATTGTACAATACCGCGCAGGGTAGACTTGGGGACTAAGCCGGCAATCATTTGGAAATGCACGGAAAGTTTTGTCCATTGGCTGGTTAGCTGTTGTCTTGGACTGTTATGCATGTAGTAATATAATTAATGAATGGCGCTGTATCAAGCCAGTTGTACTCTGAGTTTTGTGGTGTGAAATGCTGTGGCTTGCCTCGAGATTGTTCGGAATGCATACTACAGCGCCCTTTGGAGCAAAGTGGCTGTTAGCAAATGGAGTTGACGAGTACAAAATATTCCATCGCCTGGAGTAGGCCGGCACTGCTACCCGAAAGGTTGAAACAAGCGATCTTTACAAGAATTGTGTGAATCAAATGTGCAGATGGTGATTGAAATCGAGACGCGATCTCAGCGTCTGATCGCCTATACTGGTTATAATTGTATGGTTCCTGCCATGCCCAGGTCAACTGTCGTAGTCATCGTATCCCGCCAACCAAGTATGTCTGTTTTTGTGTGCAAAGCAACTCCAAACTCTCCCACGGCCATTCTTCTCTTGACCTCCTGCCTAACGCCGATTCGCAGATGCAATCATCTCAGATGGCCAGAGGACCAACCGATACGCATTATCGTTGTTGATGCAGACATCACAAAGTCGCCGTGGCTTTCGGCTCACTCAAGCTCGTGGTCCAGCCGAGCCAGATGAAAGGGTTGCGCGCGCGTAAGCGGAAGATGGGATGCGCTGTCGAGCAATTCTCGTCGGCTGGGTTGGGATCAGCTGCACGGGCGGCAATGACCGGCGCCACGGTAGGTTCAGGTGCAGAGTCTGGAATGGGAACAACAGTCAGCGAAATCGTTCCGAAAATCTGGGTTGAGGTTGAGGCCAGTGAAGGGGACTCCGAATCAATGGAAGTTGCAGAAGAGACTGTGATCGACGGTGACTCGGCGGTCATGTCCAGGGGAGGAAATGGAGCGCCGGCGGGCATTGTCATGACATAACCATCCGGCATTGTCATAATTGAGCCAGGCATCCCAGAAGAGTCAGTCGTTGAGTGCATCATCGTGATAGAGCCAGCAGTGGTGGGCGTAGGCACGGTTTCAGAGCGCATCGACTCGAACCATGGATTACCATCACCATTTCGTCCATGGCCTAGGCCTGGTCTAGGTTTCCCATGGCTGGTTCCATTGCCGCGTCCGCAAGTATGGCTGCAATCGCCGCCTCTGAAAACGGAATGCGGTTCACCCGGGGCAAAGGTTGGCTGCATCGAACGGAGAAGAGCCGAACGAGAGGGGAAAGCACCCGGAGCAGATGCAAACATTGGAGGGGTCGGCTTACCGTCACGCTTGGTGTACCTAGTGCTGTACACGGTTTGATAGACAGTTTCCGTGATGGATTCGTATTCGGTGAACGTGGCGACGGCTGCCTCAGCGTTTGGCGCAGCAGTGACTTGGGGGCCTTGATGGTCACCCAGACTGTTTAGCAAACTGAGGACAGACGACAAGCTACTTTCAAGACCCGACTCACCATTGTTGTTGCCTCCACGACCCTGCCCAAAATTGTCGGTCTGTTGGGCTGGTTGTGCATCGGTCGTTGAGACGCCAATTGGTATCACGGAGAAGGATTGAGTCTCAATACCTGGGCCAGCCGTGGATCCGGTATGGACGGTCAAGAATGCCGGAACACCAGTGCCGGTTGAGATAGCAGCGACGACACTAGCTTCGCTGGCTCCACCAGAAACAGGACCGGTGGCGGAAGCTGAGAATGCGATAGTTGAGCCTGTAGAAAAGGTCAGTGGCTGGGTTGATTTTGTGGGCACAGACTTGGAAGTGACGGAGACAGATACTCCGGAAAATGGAATGGACTGACCTGTGACCGCGGTTGGGTTGGCAATGTCGGAGAATTCAGTGGCGATGGCAGCATAGTCGACCGGCTGGCCTTGAATGAATTGAGCCTGAGCGTTGGAGACAGCACCAATGCCAGCATCGTCCACAATGTCAACATCCATGCAGGTGGTGTATATTTCTTGCTTGCCATTGGGGAATCCAGAAGTACCGGGCATTGTGGGCCAGTCCCACACCCAGTAGAGAGTGTAAGGTTTGCCGGATGGAGCATTCGAGGGAAGTTGGATATCTTGTTGGCACCAAAGATCACTTCCCATGACAGTGTCGAAGGCGTGCTTGAACTGCTGCTGGCGCTGCTGAGAAATCGGGCCACCATTGACTTGATAGCATTGACCATCATCGAAGTTTTGAGTGGACAAGAGAACACCACGGCCATCACCGCCGGTACCTTGGGCGTTCCAGACACGATGAATGGCGAGGAAAGAGTCGTCTGGACTTGGCTGGGTGGTGCCATAGACGTAGACAGTACCACGGTTTGAAGGCTTTCCGGGCTGATTGTCGGGAAGAGTGACATGGCCATTCTCTTGAAATCTCAAAGCAACCGCCGATCCAGGAGCTGCCTGCAGCCTAGGACTACCGTCTGTCTGAGTCTGGGAGGTCTGAGTGGACTTGCACATCAGATCTGTTGATTGAATCTGGTTGATAGGACGGCCATCGGGAGGAATGAGGTTGACCATGGCAGGATCACCGAATCCCGGAGTGCCTCGCAATACATTTCCACGCGGGAATCCAGGTTCTCCGACGAGAGTGCCGTTCGGTGCAATGACCATCAACTGTTCGATCCAAGTATGAGCAGTGGTAAAAGGAGTGGCTGCTAACACCGCAAAGAGGGCGTTGCGCATGAGGGATTTGGTTGAATGCATGGCGGAATCTGTGAAAGCAATAGATTGTGTAGATGAGCTGTTTTCGGCCGGCGAAGAATGATATCTGGTTCGACCAGAAGCAGAGTCTTTGGTATCTGCAACAGTGGTGGTGTTTTGCGAGAGATTGGTTGTTCTGGTGGTATGAAAGATCGGATGTGCTTGTCGACTACGGTTGAAAAGATTGGTTGCCCAAGTAGTTGAGCTTCAAAGAGAGGCAGTAAAACACACGGCACTGCCGTTTCAAAGGAGTGAAAGAACAAACAAAGACGTGATGGTTCAAAGGAGTGACTGAGTAGGCATTGATGATTTAGAACAAAGAAGTAGACAATGCTTGCGCAAGCATTGTGTGTGTTGTCTTTGTAAAAAGAACAATGGGAGGCGAGTCGTGCGCTAAGCGAGACTTCACTTGAGGTCGGCGGCCGCCTGGCGGATGGTATGCAGACTGACAATGCCTTTGGACCATCCAAGTGGAACGTGGAGTATGAATATGGGAACTTCGATCTGCATCTAAGCGCAAGGAGTCAAGACCGACGTTTTGCGGCTGGAGGCTTGATCCAGGCGGTCAGGCCCCTTTCCGGGATGCGGTTTGCGGGATAATAGACGTAGAGTTTGCCATCTACAGGAGAAAGACTGCGGAACTGGGTCCATGGTAGACAGGATCTATTAAGGTATGGAGATGGACATCCAATGAATGGCCATTTCATGGTAGACTCATGCAGTGCTCAGGGTTGGATGCCGGAGTGGCGCTGTTTCATAGCCTTGACCTTCGCGTGGCGTGCCGGGGAACAACTTTGGACTTGGTTGGTGCGGAACATACGGTCAATCTAGGTTGGATAAAGCCCACAAAGATCCAGTCGAGACCAGATCGCAGTTGTCAGTATCGTCTGGCTGGCAGACATTACTTACCATACTAGAATGCTTCTGCTGTTCTCGATTGTTCGAGAGACAATACCACCACAACTTGTTGGCCATGTGAGGCAGTTGGTGAGGAACGGGTGAGCATTGACCTACGTGCTTCTTTCACCTTTCACCTGCCACCGTCACTGCGCAATTGACGAGGCAGGCGACCAGGAGTCCAGCCGCACTCCGCGAATGCCCCTTTCATCTCGAATAAAGGGTCGCGTGCTGCTGTCAGGGCTCACTGAAGGATAGGGAGGAAGCTCAAGAAAGGGTGGAAGGGGCTGAAGGGGCTGGGAGGTTGAGAGACGAGGTCACTTCAAACATTAGCGCGTGTTTCAAAATCCACGTTAATTCTGCGCTAGTCCCATCTGGGCCGCCATTACCAGCCAATCACTGTCTCTCAGGCTACCCTTTCTACATCCGGGTCACTCTACAACTGGCACGCAATGCGACACCCTTCTGCCGCCGCCGTCTACCGTCTATTTACTGCCAGTCGTTCGAGATCGGAACACTTCTTTCTCTGTGCTACGTGCTCGAGGAATGTCACACAAGGTTACGGAGGCAGAGATTGGGACCTTATTATATGGTCGGAGGCGGACATACTCAAGTGTCATGGTGGCTCGACCCTGACTATGGGTCTTGCCATTGAGTTCGTGTGACAGCCAGGTCCGTGCTTGTGAAGTCGCTTCCAGGGATCTGCTGGAGTCTTCGTGCATGGTGACACACAGGATAGGCGAGGCAACTCATCTGCTGATGCATTTGTAGATTAAGGGACGCCCCCAGTCTTCTGTACCCGTCTTAGCATTCATCATATGTCGCGCAACCAAATATGCATCTGGACTACAAGACCGAACCAAGGACCCCGGACTCCGGACTCCGCGCTAAGTTCGGCTACAGACCCCAATACTCTGGGAGAGGAGAACATTGCGTCCCCAACCGAAATCCAACAATGAAAAGTTTGACGACCGGCGCGAACATGGCAGATCATCGTCATAATTTCCAATCAACGCTTGAACCCACTCTCCTCCCGCAGCCAACCTGCGAAGTCAAGCATGTCTTTGTTCAATCTGCGGCAAAGCTGCAAGTCACCACGGTAGCCTTGATCGACGAACCACTGGAACATAAGTGCCAATTCCGGTACCATCTTTTTCAGAAGTGTGGCCATGAAATTGTACGATCGCGGCATGGGACGGCCCATGACTCTCCAGAAAACTTCATTGGCTTGATTTTGCGTAAGCTCGTCGCCTACGATGCTGATGGCGGCATTCTTGTACTCGTCCGACTCCGAGGACTTGAAAGCCAAAGCAGCGAAAATGCCAATATCCTTGGTAGACACCAATTGTAAAGGTTTATCACCCATGGTGGCCCACACCGCGGTAAACACCCTTCCAGGTAAATTGGGTGTCAAGTTTTCCATGAAGGCCACCGGCCGGAGAATCGTGTATGTCATACCGGTCCCTCTGGCCTTGGTCTTGAGGTGTTTCTCGACGTTGAACTACCACCAATTTAGCAGGCATTTGCAACAAGAAGTGCTGGCTTTTGAACGTGCCTTTGACACAAAATGCGGGACGTTTGTGGCGTCCACTTCGGACTGATCGGGACCACCTCGGTCGACAGAAGTATAGACAAAGTGCTTAACATCGTGTGCAATGGCAGCATCGACCAGGTCTTTCCCTTGCTTCATCTCAACGTCTTCCGCCTCTTTTTTGAAAGATGGAATGGTAACGCAAAACACTCCCCAAATCGCTCCCACTCCGCCAGCTAATGTGAAAATACTTCCGGGTTCTTCCAGACTTCCTTCAATGAGTGTAACTTTGGGGTTCGAGGCAAGGCTTCTCGCGGGTGCAGAGGTAGATTTGCGGGTCAAGGCCAGGATCTGGTATTCGAACGGAGGAGGATCGGCAAGGAGAGCTTTGATGACAGCACCACCTTGCTTACCGGTTGCGCCCGTAACGAGGATCTTTCGAGTCGACATGGCTGTTTCTGAATGGGATTAACCTGGACGTGGTGAGGGGAATGGATCAGTTGGCGTGGACGAAGAAGAACGACCCTGTTATCATATCACCTACGCAGTCTAGGCATCGTCCGCAGGCCGTGGATTGACGTCACCTTGAAAGCATCATCACTTCTACTAGTCTGCCGGATCCTGTACCCCAGTTTTGTTCAGCAGACACAGTTTCCGTCGAAAACCTGGGAACGAGCTTGTACTGAGAAATATGAGGTGTCGCAGAATGCCACTACTGTTGTGCTAAAGATGTAGAAAAAGATTTCGTGCATGGTGCTACAGCCCTTAACTCTGCGCGACGCGCCCCGGCACGTGCGGTGGCCGTGAGCGGCCCACTAAAAGCCGAGACGTGTTTCAGCCTCAGATGCCTCGGTCAGCCTTGGGTCTGTCCATGTTCGTCCTGTTTGTGCCCTGTGTATATACATGTGGGAGCTCATTTCTGAATTACTGATTTCTGTAGAATTGTCAAGATGTGACAACCACTTTCACAGGTACTCTTCCCCCGTCTTCTCCGTCCTTTGGCTGATTTGCAGCCAGGCGGAATGCCATTTCGCCGTCGGTAAGTGGTACACGATGTGTAACAAGATCTTCCGCAACTCCGTCCAATTGACCACTTGCAAACAGCGCAATGGCGGCCGGGTAACAGTTGGCATATCGGAAAACACCGATAATGTCCACTTCCCTCAACGCCGCCGCGCCCAAAGGCAACGTTTGAGTCGGTGTGCCCATTCCAACCAGCACTAGCTTGCCACCCGCTGTAGCTGCGAAGATGCCCATCTGAACACAAGACGGTACGCCGGTACACTCAAACACTCGGTCAAATCCTGACTCCAATCCAACAGAATGGCAAACCTCGGTGGCCAGCCCTTGAGCTCCAGCCAGAGTCTCCTCGATTGTGGGGGCGGGTGCCCTGCGTGGCAACAGAAACGTCTTCAACTTGTATTTTCCACCAGCGAGTCCAGCAGCAATCTTCAATCTCGGGGCATCAATGTCGGCGATGACAACCTTAGAAACTCCAGCGACAGACAGAGCAGCCGCGGTCAGCATCCCAACAGCACCGGCCCCAAGAACGAGAGCAGTTGAGCCGACTAAGGGGACACCGACCCCTGAACCCGCGCTTTGACTTCGGTTGATACCGTGCAGTGACACGGCTAAAGGCTCGACGAGGGCACCTTGTTCGAACGTGACGTTCTCGGGGAGTTCGTGGCACATGCTAGCTGGATGTGATATTACAGTCTGTAGAGTGCCGTCCGCGTGCGGGAAGGTTTTGGCCGAAGACTTGAAAGACAGTTTCGGACACAAGTTGTACCGGCCGGTGGTGCATAATGAGCATGACCTGCATGGAATGCCGACTTCTAGGGCGACTCTGTCTCCAATCTTGAGACCTGACGAAGAGACAGACCCGGGGGCCGCTCCATCTTGGATCTCGGGAACAGCGGTGACAACGCCAGATGCTTCGTGCCCGAGGACAAGTGGTGCTTGGATGACAAAATTGCCATTTCGTCCATGGTGGTAATAATGTAAATCTGACCCGCAGAGACCAGTAGCCTTGACTGCTATTTGGACTTCTCCCGGTCGAAGTGCAGGCTGCGGTCTTAGCTCCTGAGGAACAGAGCGTCAATAAACAGTGTGCTTCCAGATCTAGGACCCAAAGATTATCTTACCAATCTCAAGTCTTTGGCGCCGTGCAGTACAAGCGCTTGTATGCTTTCTGAGGACGACATCCTTGACGCCCAATCGATCTTGCTCAGACTGCTATTGCCCTCACACCGTCGTAATCATGATATTTCGTTTCGAATCAAGAAGTCGACTAGAAATCAACGTAAGGTCCGCATAAGACGGCACGTTGAATACAACAGGTGCGCAAACCATGTGAAGTCGAACAACTTCACGAACCCCCACACACTGTTGGTGTGCAGTGGGATGTGCGGATTTTCCTCCGACGCTGCGAGTCTGGCAATTTCCGGCGAGAAATAACCCGACAGACTAGACAGGCACCGGCAGTCGTGGGGTGCTTGTGGCGGAATTGAGTGGGGCTTAGTAGTAGAGAACAGCGAGGTCGGCAATAGGCGATGCGGGGAGCATCAGGTCAAAAGCCGATCTTTCGGACAGTTGATTCCTGTGGGATGATCTTTCCTACGGTCATAGAAAGATTCCACATTTGCTTCTGAGGTGATAATATCTGGCCGACAGTCCTTGATTTTCTGTAACCAATCCCACTCTTTTCAAAAATCGACGCGATCTCACCGCAGGCACAGTTCCAGGCTCCATTGCCCGCAAGCCCTCCAGCACGATCCACGAAACGCACATCTCGCGATAGTGGCCTCACACGATGTCCAAGCCCGCGGTTCTGTTAATTGGCGGCTTGACCCATACCAACACAGAGTGGAAAGAGTTTGGCTCCAAATACGTGCTGAAAGAATTTCGCAAAGGGACCCGCGAACAATTCTTGTCCAACTGCAAAAACGGCGAATATGACGACGTCGTTGCACTATATCGTTCAAATACGTCTACCTCAGAGACTGGCCCTTTCGACGAAGAGCTGGTGTCTGTCCTCCCTAGATCGCTGAAATATATCTGTCACAACGGAGCGGGATACGACAACATTGACGTGGATGCATGCACACGCAAAGGGCTTGAAATCTCCAGCACTCCTATCGCGGTTGACGATGCTACTGCGGATGTTGGTATTTTCCTGCTGCTGGGTGCTCTCAGACAGGCATGGATCCCTTTGACTGCCATCAAAGCGGGAAAATGGAGAGGGAACACTCCCTTAGGGCACGATCCTAAGGGTAAAGTCCTCGGAATCTTAGGTATGGGCGGTATCGGCAGGGTAGGACAACATTTTGAAGGTGACGATCACATTTGCTAACTGGATACAGGCCATTGCAAAACGTGCTCGAGCGTTTGGTATGAAGATTGCCTATCACAATCGGTCGAGACTACCCCCAACACTCGAGGAAGACGCGACATACCTCAGCTTCGATGAGTTACTCGCCCAATCGGATGTCCTGAGCCTGAATCTGTCTCTCAACGCCAAAACCCGTCATATCATATCAGCTCCTGAGTTCGCAAAGATGAAGGATGGTGTGGTCATTGTCAACACCGCTCGAGGGGCCCTGATGAACGAAGAAGACCTAGTTGCTGCACTCGAGGATGGCAAGGTCTCATCGGTGGGGCTGGACGTCTTTGAGGAAGAACCCAAAGTGCATGAGGGACTGCTGAAAAGCGAGCGAGCCTTCATTGTACCGCATATCGGCACAAATACCTATGAGACACAGAGAGAGATGGAGCTGCTGGTGCTGCAGAACCTGGAGAGCGCAGTTGACAAGGGGGTGCTATTGACACCCATACCGGAGCAAAAGGGCAAGCTGAATGGCCACTTATGACCAAGATTAATGTCATACATAGTTTCTGATGCGGTGTTAGATCCCTCCAGCGGCATGAAAATCATAAGAAGTATTTATTACTATTAACATGGACACCTTGCTGATCTGATTTGCTTCTGAAGTCTCCCATTGGCTTGTGAAACAGCGCATCCAACCTCGGCACAGGCCAATTCCCCGGACCTGTCAATAATAGAGTAGCTTGTGGCGCAGGCAACGCACCCCAACTCCGGTCAAGGCATTCAGTGTCTATCTCCAGCCCGATTGTTGCGTCAGTGCACATGCCATACTTCTCTCGACCACGACGTTGCAGAACACACCCAGGCAAGCACCTCCTGTCTCCCTCATCAGAGTGTCTGCAGACCCATCATGTCCCAACACAATCCCAGATGAGCGCCTCGCAAAGACACTGGCCTCATCTCCATCGCCGCAAATATGCCGGTACAATCAAAAGAGGACCCGTTGATGGTTCTGTACAACTACTATCTGAACCTGCTTCGATCTCGATTCCGCCAAACACCCAAATCTATCAAACTCGCAGCTACATCGACACTTGTTATCTCGATACTATTCACAAGCTACGGCGGTTATAAATGGTGGCAGGACACATCGAAAGAGAAGGCCCGGGGCCGGAGACTTGTAAGGAAGAACAGTGGTTTGAGAGGAAAAGATGGAGAGCGCATCATCTATGTGCCCAAAGGCGATACTACCTCCAAAGTCATCATCCATCCTACGCGGCCGACCACGTTCGATGCCCATCGCCGGCTGTTCCTTACCCCTCCGCGAGTCACTCGGATGGGAAGCGGTGCGTCGACACCGGCATATGGACCACCTCCACAAACAAAGCCTGGCCTCAATTTGGCTTTCCTGCATCAGTTCCTGAGTCTGTTGAATATCATGATACCCCGGTTTCGAAGCAAAGAGACGGCGTTGCTTTTGAGTCATGCCGTGTTTCTCATCCTGAGGACATACTTGTCTCTCGTTGTGGCCAGATTGGACGGCGCCATTGTTCGAGATCTTGTCGCCGGCCAAGGGAAACCTTTCATCTTGGGCATACTCCGATGGCTATCCGTCGGCACTTTGGCTTCCTACACTAACGCCATGATCAAATTCCTCCAATCCAAGATTTCCATTGCTTTCCGAACAAGACTTACTCGGTACATCCACGACTTGTACCTCAATTCAAATCTGAACTATTACAAGCTCACCAACCTCGATGGCGGAGTCGGTCAAGGCGCAGACCAGTTCATTACACAAGATCTTACACTGTTTTGTACATCCGCAGCGTCACTATATTCATCTTTGGGAAAACCGCTTGTCGACATCTTCGTCTTCAACTACCAGCTCTATCGATCCCTTGGTCCGCTTGCTCTGACAGGCTTGTTGTCCAACTACTTCGCAACAGCGACTCTCCTCCGCAGACTCTCTCCGCCCTTCGGAAAACTGAAGGCCGTCGAAGCCAGGAAAGAAGGTGAGTTCCGTGGTCTCCACGCACGCCTAATCGCCAATGCCGAAGAAGTCGCCTTCTATGGAGGCGCCGAGGTGGAGAAGGTGTATCTGAATAAAGCATTCAGGGAGCTGCGGACCTGGATGGAGGGAATCTACAATGTCAAAGTCCGGTATAACATGCTCGAAGACTTTGTCCTCAAATATTCCTGGTCGGCTTTCGGTTATATCATCACCTCCATACCCGTGTATCTTCCAGCCTGGGCGGGAATGACTGCCGTTTTGCAATCAACTGACTCTGACGGCCCGGAGATCTTGGAAAAATCTCGAGAAAGATCGCACATGAAAGACTTCATCACCAACAAGAGACTCATGTTGTCACTGGCAGATGCTGGTGGCCGGATGATGTACAGCATTAAAGATCTTTCCGAACTGGCAGGATACACTTCGCGGGTCTATCAGCTCATCTCAACGCTCCACCGGGTCCACGCCAGTGCTTATGCCCCTTCCCATCGCCGCAGTCCTGGTCGGGTTGAACTATATTCGCTGGCGGACGTCCAAGGAACGACCTACCTTGGATACGATGGCGTACGAATGGAAGATGTTCCAATCGTCGCGCCCGCACTCTGGCCGTATGGAGGGGATGAACTAATCGAGTCACTTTCGTTCGTCGTGCACAACGGCGAACATCTCCTCATTTCCGGCCCAAATGGCGCAGGCAAATCATCCATTGCACGCATCATTGCCGGTCTTTGGCCTGTCTACCGCGGACTGGTATCCCGACCACGCAACACCGGCCAAGACGGTATCATGTTTCTTCCTCAACGCCCATATTTGAGCGTGGGTACGTTGCGAGACCAGGTCATTTATCCTCACACGGAACTGGACATGCGAGATAACGCGCGACGAGACAGCGAGTTAGAACAGATCCTGGAAGACGCGAAACTCGGACATCTCCTGGCACGCGAAGGCGGATGGGACACGCGCAAAGAATGGAAAGATGTGCTGTCCGGCGGTGAAAAGCAGCGCATGGGAATAGCAAGACTGCTTTACCATGAACCGAAATACGCCTTCCTCGACGAAGGCACTTCCGCCGTATCTTCAGACGTCGAAGATCTGTTGTACGAGCGCTGTAAAGAGAGAGGCATCACTGTCATCACGATATCCACGCGGGCCAGTCTTCGCAAGTACCACACTTTCAATCTTGTCCTTGGTCTAGGCGAGGAGGGCTACGATTGGGAAATGGTACGGATTGGGACGGAACAGGAGAAATTGGGCCTCGAGAAGGAGATCGGCGAGCTGAAGGAAAGACTTGCCAAAGTGGAGGAATGGGATAGGCGGAAGAAGGAGATTGAAGAGGAGCTCGGTCGTGTTTTGGTGGTCGATCAGGAGGACGAACTGGAGAAGCCAGCATATCTTGATCAGCGGGCGGAGGGTGATCCACAAGCTGCTGTTTGAAGATATCCGATATGCTGAGTAGAACAGGGTTCTTGACATGCTCTTCTTGACATGCTGGGATGGTATAGCCTTTCTGCTTCACCTGCGGGCGATTTTTCTCTCTTCCCAAGCACTTTTAGCCTGGGGTTCGTGTCATTCCTGCCTTTGGAGATACCTAGGCATGGGAACATTAAGACATGCGATTTTGGCAACGTTTCCGTTGCGGCACCTAGCTGCCATACAAACGATCTCCAGAGTAGACAGGTGAGGCCTGGTCAATTCGAGCTTGGAACATCGACGACCCTCCTGTGCAAGATTGTCTTGAATTTCTGGCATTCTTTTTCTGTTCTGGCAGCCTCAACAGACCATTCATTATGCATAGATCAATGGCACTCACTTTCCTTCTCTCGACCTTGCTCCAAGATCAGCTGCCTTGGTTCCCTCGTAAAATAATCCAACTTCACTTCGTCCTCCCGAACAGCCACAACGGCCACCCACCCAGTCACTTACATTCACTTGCCACCCGGGAGGCCACCAGCCGACTCTTAATTCGCCGCAAGCCAACGCACCCGGATTATATGGTTTATGTACCAAACTCACCGAATTTCCTTGCAATATCGCAAAGACCCCCAGCCGAGTGAATGGAATGGCCACCCTCATGGCCTAGTCAGTAACCCTGGGCGAACCAAAGTCGAACGACCACCGCTGCAGGCCTCAACACCCGTTAACCCGGTTCGAGTCTCACTGTCTTCCCCATAGACTGGATTAATTGTTCAATTGGACCAATGCGAAACCGACACGATGCCTACCAGCGATGACCAAAAAGACCGCGATCTATCGAGTCCTGCGAACCCGGGCTCACACCAACCAGCCAACCTGCGAACGAGCGAAATCCCTTCCAAAACGGAAAAACCCTGCGAACCCGGGTTTCACTTCCCACAACCCTCAGCCCGAGGCTTGTGGAAAAAGTTTTTTGGGTCTTGACTTGGTTTCCTTGCCCTATGCTGGGTTTAGATTTGTCGTTCGGTAGGTGGCACCTCTACTGGTGCATAAAGGATAACAAGTTAGACTGTCAAGAAGATGGAATAGCCGCTGGCCTTGAGGCGCTTGAGGCTGAGTAGAGCATGGGGAGGAACATGGCCGTGGTATATTCGGTGTGATTCGAGACATCTGTGTTAGTGACGGAAAGGCAATGGAGGAATGATGGAGCTGAATATTTTACTTGCAGTCGAAGTCTTGGTATTTTATATCAGCACTTACAGTTTGCTACCAACACTCAGCTGTCAACCACCACTGTCCTTCCAGCTCAATACTCTCAAGTTTGCCAACACCTGCACTGCTTAGCTGCGCACAATGCACACATGTAGGAGCATTGGATTACACCCGCGACTGCCGGGAACTTCATGGGCCAGCCCAGAAGTCGACCTCCGCTCAGCCTGCATCCCCCCACCGTAAGACATTCCCCTCGAAAGAGCCGAGAACTCTTCCCAACCTACATGTACCGTGGATGATACCCAAACACGTCCCGCTCGAGCTTGTGCATGACATCGGAAAGTATATGAGACCCTCTATCGCCATTTCGGTCAGCACCATGACCAGCATTTGAAGCCCTAGCCACACTGTCGACCGACGTACCCTCCGCCTGCGCGAAATACGAGCGAGACATGGCTACCATTGACTGTGGTCTTCCCATAAGGTGCGGACGAGGACGAGTGACATAGCCCCGAAACGCGTGTCGATGGTACTGACGAGTCTGGATTTCCGTTTCCGCTTGTTGGTCTGCTTCACGAGTCACCACAACCCAATCGTCATCTTTTTCGGCTGCTGATGTTTCCTTCGCGTCCGGCCCAGCAGTTGGAATTGAGATTTCGGCTTTGGACTGCTTGACCGGGTTCTTGCGAGCTGGGATGCAAATTATGCGAGGTGGGAACGAGGGTCTGGACAATCTTACCATTTCAGCGGATACTGGTTCGACAGCCATAGCCTCAACAGATGCGGTATCTGCATCCGAAATATTCATTGACGACGGACCTGTGGCGGTGTCGCTTCGAGCCCGGCCTCGCTTGGTCACCGGAGTAGAGTGGGATGGAGTGCATTGTTTGTGTGAATTGGAAGCACTTACATAGACATCTTCGCCTGCTGTCTCTTCCTCAGCTGCATGCACCGGTTCTCGTTCTATGAGAAAGCATCGGCCCTGTCGCTTCAAGGTGTCCTTTCTGGGGTTTGCCGGTGTTGGTGCAGTCGATGGGGCTGCGGCTGTCTCTGTTCTCAATTTCACAGCAACGGGAAAGCTGTCAATGTCAGCAACTTGCTCACCTACCGTCTGCTCTGCAGGGTGGAGAGTTCCCTTCTCAACAACGTTCACTTGCGCGCTCATAGAAATATCCATAGCTGCAGGACGAACACCAACTTTCGTCGCCATGCGCCGTACCAAGGACGTCGTGCTCTGCTTGACTGTCGTCAATGAAGTCATGGATACCGCATTGCGGAGTGCCTTGTGTGAGGCGCCTCGCGTAGATGGACCCTCTTTGTCGTCACTTGAAACAGGACGAGTAATCGGCTGAACTTCAGACGGCATCAATGCAGTGCTCGAGCTTTTTGGTAGATCTTTGCTGATGCGACCGTTTGTCGTCGACTTACCTTTGCGGTCAACGCCAGTCACAGATTGCGGCTTGTAGTGTGTTGGATACGTCTGACGCAGCATCATCAAACTCTTGATGGCTTTATCAGGGTCGTATTTCGCGTATAGTGCAGCCAGAGCCCGGCGTGATTCGCGTTGAGAGGACCGCCCTCGGTCTCGCTGCCGCTTAATGCCATGCTCCTGGTCATTGAGAAGTTCGAAGCCCCCATTTCGTTCAATAGCGAAAGCTTTCGCGATCCCTCTCTTGGCTTTTGTTTTCAGCTTCATTCTCAAGACCAACTTCGGTTCTGGATCCTTATTGCTTGCGTACATGTCAGGATATGTGCCTCGAAGACTGACAAGTTTCGCAGAATTGCCCTGCATGCGCTGGACCCGCAGCGCCTGTCCTGCCTCGAATATCTGCTCCAGAGATGCACGACATCGCGTCAGATCTTCATTTTCCTTGATGTGTCCGCTGAAGGGTGCGATGCGCGAGTATAGACTGCGAAATAGCGTCCCGGATAGGCCTCCACGTGTGTGGGAGTTGCTGCGGGAATGGAGCGTGTCGAGCAAAAGGGTTCGCGCGATGATCAGATTGTTCGAAGGATTTGGGAAGTCCGGGAACGGTTCGACTTCATCGTGAGAAATAGCTTTCGAAGGCGAGTAGCGGCATTTTGGAGCAGGCCAGGTAATGTACGCCGAATCGAGAAAGGGGCCTGAGGAGCCGCGCTCGTTGCATGCCATGGTCGTCTCTGAACGGGATGAGGTTCGAACTGGAATATTTAGTGTTGATGGTACAATAGTATCCCGCTGAGCTGCCATCTTCAACAGAATGCACACAAGGTCTACAGTCCCGTTCTCTTGGCACAAAGTCCGGCTTTGCGTCAACGAGCTTGGGATGCAGGCAGGGAAACCCAGAAAGAGAAAAATTGCACCGACAAACTAGCAACGCCAGGCTGCCAAAGGAAAAACAGGAGGGCGACTGCAAAAAGCAACTGGATTGAGACCACGATCCGAGACAGTTATACGAAGAGGGAAGATTTAGAGCAACAGACAATCAAGGAAAGAAGTATTGTTACTCACAATGAACAAAGGGACACGTAGTATGCACAAGGCGACAACGCAGAGCGTCTTCTTACTGCCTCCATTCACTGTCAACAATGCAGGGCCAAACAAAGAGAACACGGAAAGAGAACAACGAATAGTTTAGCTGTGGTGGATTGAATGCCAGAGCAGATACTGCAGATACTGCTTTTGGCCGAGGCAGTCATTGCAGCGCAGTAGCAGCGAATAGCAGCGAGTAGCAGCTCAGTAATTTTGATGTATTTGCCTGTACTGACCTGTAGCCGATACAGTCTAACATGGCTGAGAAGCTCGTGGTTTGCAAACGCAAGAAAGAAAGGCGCTGGATAAGTCCACTCTAGCAAAGATATGAAAGTTCGAAGCCATGTCGCCGGGATCGACCATAGTGTCGCAAACTCAGCAAACTCAGCAAACTCCAGTTGATTCTCCGAACTCCCTCAAGCCCGCCGTCCTGGGCTATCATTCTATCAGCGCAAGGGGTATCATAAATGTTGTACAGAAACTTGAAAATGAATGTGCAGGGAACTGCTGCAATGCCTGCCGGGGTTCTTGTCGTTCATCGGCCGTTCCAGATCGATCTGGCCCTTTAATCAAGGTTCGGAAGACCGAAAAGGTAACCCAACTCTCGAACACTGAGTCTGGCAACATTACGGCCAGCTGATTCGTCGAGCGCGGTTTCGACGAGTTCACGCTTTCTCTCCTGTAGAGATAAAATCCGATCTTCGACGGTGAACCCTCCGATTGTGGGCTCTCTGTCCTTGGGCACCGCATCTCCTTCGCCGATCAAAACTCGATGGACCGTTACTTCTTTGGTTTGACCGATTCTGTAGCAACGGTCGGCGGCCTGATATTCCACAAAGGGATTCCAGAATGGATCGAGCATCACCACATGGTTTGCTGCGGTGAGATTGAGGCCAGAGTTGCCGGCTTTCAAGCTCACCAGTATGACATTGCAATTTGGGTTCTCCGTGAACTCCATAACGGCGTCGTTACGTTCAGTTGCTGTCATGGATCCATCGTACCGGACATAGTTGCGGAAATCTCGATGATCAACAAGAGGGACTTCAAGGAGATCGAGGAACGAGGTAAAATTGGAAAAGATGATGGTCTTTTCGTTTTCTCCACGAGCCTTGATCTCTTCTAGAATTTCAATGGTTTTTGTGATTTTGGCCGACGTCTGGAAATTCTTTCTAAGACGTTTGAGATACTTTCGTTTGGCGGATTTGTTCCTCAACCCTTCCTTTCGAAGTTGTGCAAGAGTTTTGAAGGCATCGCGTGAATGAAACATGTCTTTCGACTTAGACTTCTTTTGCTTGCGAGGTCTGGAAGCTGGCTTCTTTCCCTTGCGCTCGGGCTCCGAATTCTCGTCAACATCATCTGGGACAATGAAGCCATTCAAATCGTCGCTCTCATCCGAGTCATCAGAATCAGTCTCCGAGTCAGTGTCATCATCGTCGTCATCCACCTCCGCTTCGGGTTCAGGTAGTGCTGGAGCGCGTTCCGGGCAGTGAACACGAAGGAAGCTTGTAACATCGGTGATTTTGTTTGCATCAATCTTGGCACGGCAATGAGGACATGTCGGCTGGACCTCACTGTCAGTTGCGGCCTGATCAACCAAACGACTGAGACAATCGCTACACAGTGCATGGCCACAAGGGAATATCGAAGGGTTCTCATCGACGTCGATGCATATTGGGCATTCAAATACGTCGATATCCTTCAACCGCTCGACAACTTTCTTGTGCAGCTGGGCAGCGTTTGCCAGGAGAGAGTCAGTGTCCAGTTCACCTGTCCCCTGAAGAAAGTCTTTGCTCTGCACAACAAGGCCGGGATGACAACAGGCCTGCCGAAGTCGGAGAAGCAGAACTAGTGCGTGAGAATAGTTTCTGCCAATACCTCCTCTGGAGATGTATCTGTTGAACTGGATTTGAGCATTTGTCTCCAAAGCTTTGTAGAAAGTCAGCTCGTCCTCGTCGAAAGTCACCCTGTCCTCTTTAATCGTCTTGGGCGGAAGCTGAAGAATGGGTTGACCGTTGATTTTGGAAGTCTTGGTACGTCGCAGCAATATCGCTCGGAGGAGGGCCTGCAGCGTTGTCATGGCCTTGTCCTTGTTACCGGTACGGTTTTTGAGAGGCCGAGAGATATCTCTGCTGAAGTGGCTCCACTCATTGTACGGTCGGATCCGACAGAATTTGACGAGGCTGAACAGCTCCTCCACGCTATTCTGCATGGGCGTGCCAGTAAGCGCCCAGCGATAGTCTGCTTGAATATGACAAGCAGCGACAGCAGCTTTGGCGCTTCTGTTCTTGATCCACTGCGCCTCGTCGAGAATCACTCGGTGAAAATGAGATCGGTCGCCAAGTACGGGACATTCCTCAGCAAGGGTAGGACGTGCATCCGGTACCAATTTCAATTTCTCTTCCCAGGCTAGTTTCCGCTTGAATTCAGAAGTCAAAAGACCATATGTCGTAAGCACAACATCGTACGCTTTCAACGCCGACCACGAGGTTTTTCTTGCGTCCCCGTACAGAACAAAGACGTTGAGCCGATGTCTTGAACGTACCATCTTCTCGAGCTCTTTCTTCCATTGTTGCATCAGCGCGACTGGAGCAACGACAAGTGTAGGTCGGTGTTTGTTCTCTGGTGCTGGCCGGTCTAGCATCAATGCAATGCTTTGAATGGTCTTTCCAAGCCCCATATCGTCGGCGAGGATGCCACCTTTGTTGGTGCCTTCCTCCATCTTTCTCATCCATGTCAATCCATAAAGCTGGTGCGGCATCATAGTCACTTTCAAGCCATCTGGCTGCACAGCGACTTGATCGGCGGCAAACTCTTCGTCAGGTCTGATATGCTTGAGCAGGTCTTGTAGCTCCTCTTTGGTGTGAGCTGGATCTTGATATTCGGGTCGCAGGTACGAGCGTGGATCTAGATACCCGATGTCACCCGGTCCCAAGCCAGGTTGAGCAGTACTTGATGAAGGATATGCTGGGTTCAGTCCAAGTGGCTGAGGAGAGCCGCCTACTGTCGCAGTAGCGTTGTTGTATGATGGCGAGTTGTACACCGAGTTTCCTCCGACGCTGGTATAAGGTTGCACCCCTGGAAAGCTTCCTGGCATAACCGACGACGACGAATAAGGCGCCGGCTCAGGATTAATGCCTGCGGTCGTCGCGTGACGAGAGAGGAGCTGGCCGTGCGTGACAGGCACCCTTGAGGTCGAAGAGGAGGAACTTGACAAAGGCCCAGGCCCATAGGCAGGTCCAAGTGCATTTGCTTCCATGCTCGGGCGATTCACCCTGGGCTCTGATTTAATCAATGCAGAGGCACTGGTAGATGGGCGTCCGGCGATGGACGTCGACGGACTTTCGTGTGCTGCAGGGGTTTGCATGGTCGAGCGACGATTGATGCTTCCATCTGTTTTGAAGAAGGCCTGGGTATAGTCTGAAGGACGAGCGGTAGGACCAGACTGGGTTGACGAGAAGCTATCATTCTCGTCCACTTGAGATAGGAGCCTTGCAAGTCTGGCATCTTCCTCCTCTTGCTTCTTCCGTTCTTCGTGTCTTTGCCAGAAATCGCGATGCCGATCTGCCTCTTCCTTCGTGAGGTCACCGAACAACGAGGTAATAAATGGATCGTCGAAATCAAGACTATCGAGACTGTTCATGGAGTCGGCGGGGGAGGCTGCAGCAGTGACAGATGAACTCGGCGTAGTTCGTCGGGATTTGGAGGAAGGTCCAGGAGAGTCTGCATTCGGATCGATGTCGCCTCTTTGTCGTTTCCGATTTGCTAGAACCGAGCTTGGTGGTGGCATGGGATCTTCAGGTTTGGGAATGTACCTGGAATTGGCTGTCTCGGAATGACCGCGGTGAGTGCTCTTCTGGCTTGGAATCGCATGAGAGTTGTCTCTGGAAGATGAATCTCCGTCGCCTTCTTGCTCAGGGCCAGATCGCAGCGCACGGAGCCGCCTCCTCAGTTGCTTGAGATTGTTCCGTATTATGTCCCTCGAATCTTCCGTTTCCGAGCTAACTTCATCGTTGTCGTTGAGACTGTCAAGAAGGCCCTCGTTAAGAGCGATATCATCTTGAACATCCTCAATCTCGGCAACGCGAGCACGGTCCATTTCTTCGGCCATTCTTGTGGTGGAGATGTAGGATGTGTGGAAAGGTGCTGAAGAGGCACTTAGATTGACGCGTCAAGGTGGACGCGGCGCAGTCAGGCGACCGCGCCCCAGGTTTGCCTTGTGTGGGCGACAGAATGGAGATTGATGAAGCGAGCGATCGCCTGTAGAATGGTCAAGGAGAGGTTTGCGGGCCCAGGAGTAGTAAGTAAAGCATGTGTTGCCGAATCGATGGAGGAATTTGAAGAGGAACAGTGAGTGCAGTGCAGTGGCGAGGATATGGGAGAAAATCTGGGGTTGACGGATTGACACGCGGTACAAAGTGGCGTAGATTCACTGCATGTCACGGCTGCCTTTTTCAAATGACACCGCCTGCGGAAGAGCCGCAGAAATTAAAGAGTTTTATGAGTCTCTACTACTACCAGGTACTACGTACTAGTAGTCGTGGTAAATATACCTACCTACACCCAAGCTTGATGCTGGCACAATGCAGCGCGGAAGCAGGCATCAAACGCTCATTATCTATCATCTTCACCGCCACAAAGGATCTCCGTTTTCCACAAGTCATAGTCATTATGAAAAGAATGCGCCTTTAGAAGTCACCGTGCGCTTCTTCTTCCAGCACAAACGGCCCTACGTAGCAGGTAGGTAGCCGACACCATGGTAGCACGATAGTATACTCGCGGGAGTGGACTTTCAGGCTGAAGCATCCCAACTCTTCACTCTTAGCTGGCTACTCTTGCAGCACCTCAGGCATGTCTCGTCAAGAACGACAGCGTGACAGGAATGACGATTGCAGCCGTCCATCGATAAACCCCTCGGTGCGTGGAATGAGCCCCAGAAGGCTTTTGTGTGTGAAACGAGGCGGGACAGGAGAGTTGTGGAAAGTGACACATTGGTAAGGGACGAGAGAGGATCCGAATGGGATCGCATCGATACAATTGAATGTTCTTCATCTTCAGGATTGTCTCGCAGCGGCGTAAGGTACCACCTGGTAGAGTAGAAAGTCTTGATGACGGGCAGCTAAGAGGTGTGATGATCAGCATTTTGTCCTGGGCTCCCCGCCTTCAGGGCAGCAGCTACTACGTAGTAGTAGCCATGCAGTGACCCAACCAATCTCTTACTCGTAGGCTAATAATAAATCTCCTTATCCCCTCGCAGCCCACTGCACCTCTCCGCAGTCTGCAGTCTTGGATCTTCGTCGGGTTTCTTCCTTCATGGCATCATTCGATGGCCGACCACAGCCCTGCGCCGATGAAGCGCGTGTCAAGAGCCTGTACATTCTGTCGTGCTCGCAAAAGCCGATGTGATCTGTAAGTACGACTCAAATCCCCATTGCATCGTTCTTTTCCTGCCTGCACCGACAGCACCTCCTAGTGACACTGAACTGTCGCTCGCCCTGTGCTTTTCCGTGTTGTGTTGCAAGCCCGCGGCCCAGGTCCACTGCTTCCCCAGATCTTCCCCCATTTTCCCCGGAAATTCCCAAGCTGCTCCCTACCACTGTACCAAAATGCAATAGCCGTCAGCATCGCCAACATGCAAATCATCTGCTCTGGCTCTCCCTCATATTGATCATTGCTGCAGTGATGTTTCAGGCGGCAAACCTCCATGCGGACGATGCAAAAAAGACGGCCGGGAATGCATCTTAGCGACCTCCAATCGTGGTGGCAGTCGCGTCAGGAAGAAAACTCTTTCCAATGGCAGACTGGCAGCTTTGACCAACCCTCGCACGTTGACGACCGTAAACGAGCCTGAAGCTACTGTACAACTACAACATCCAGCTTCCCTGGAGCCCACGAGGCATGATGACACCTCCCCAGCCTCATCTATGGGAGATACTCAGAACGAAGCGCTGGTTGTGAATGTCGTGGAGGATGATGATTCGGCTTCCACTGCTGACAGTGGCATCGGGAATGCCATACCCAGAAATCCATCGGATGCATGGCAACTATTGAAAGCTGTAGCAAGCCGAGAAGCGGATCATCTGCAGGCCATTGCGAGCGGGAAAAGTCAGGACTACTCTTCGACCCAGTTACCTCCAAGTGGGACCATTTCCGAACCTCGAGGCTCCATCAATGGGATCCATGCCGGCATATCAAGCTATCGGCTCGTGCGAGAAGGCTACCTGACCCCCGACCTCATTCAAATACTTGTCAGACGATATGCCGAACATTATCATCCATATCTTCCTTTGGTCCCCCGAAAATACTTCGATCCAGCGCAATTGGACCTCTTTGCCGTCAATGACAAACACCTCTTGACTGCTGTGCTCACCATTGCCTCCAAAGACCAGATCGACCAGCCGAATGTTCATATCTGCTGTTCGCGATATATGCACGACCTCATCTCCGGGATTGCGGCTGGCCATGACTGTGAAGTGGAAGCCGTTGAAGCTCTGCTCTTGCTCGCCGAATGGGAACCTCAGGGTCTCCGTAACCGGATCGAAGCTGTGGGAAGAGGCGAGGAAGACCGATCGGCTTGGATGCACGTCGGAATCGCTCTTCGTACCGGCTATTTCCTGGGCTTGGACCGAACAGCTTTTCGCCAGGAGTCAGCGGAGGAGGCCAAAATCGATGGGCGCAAGCGTCTAGCCTGGGCCAACTGCTATGTTTCGGACCGACTGATCTCAGTCAGGATTGGCAAAGCATTCTGGTCTCGCGGGCCTGGACCCATGACAGGTCTTTCATCTCAAGATTTCCCGTCGCTACAACCTTTCAGTCCCGGGGACGAAGACTACGCCAAAATCATGCAAGCTACGCTTGACTTGACACAGCTCTACTCGAATGTTCACGATGTCTTGTACTCAGGAATGCGCACGAGCGGCCAAATGATGCTTATGGGAGACTACGTCAAATACGTGGACGACTTCAGAATGGCCATTGCGCGCTGGAATACCACCTGGGGAAGTTTGGAGTGTTCGCCACATATCAAGATTACCTTGCAGATGTCTTACGAATACCTGTGCCTCTATACCAACGCTTTTGTATTCCAAGCGGCGATATCTCAGGCAATTGCCAATAAGCCCAAGAGCGATGCCCACCCTCTGAGAGACCATCTTCGGAGCGTCTTCAGCAATGTGGGAGCCATGCCGGATGCACGCTTCATATGGGCCAGTGTTGCCGCTGCCAAAGCATATCTGACATTGCTCAGTACCCATATCGATCCCAGCAGATGTCTACGGTACATGCCATTGAGATATTATCTCTACAGCATCTACTCTGCGGTATTTCTGTACAAAGCCCGGTCCTTTGGCGTGATGACGGACATGGAAGAACGACAGGTTCGACAGCTGGTCGGACAAGCCATGGAGGTTCTCAGGAGAGCCTCTGTGTCAGCTCAGGATCCCGGTTCGCGTTATGCCCGACTCCTGGAATTGCTGTGGCTGAAGACCCCGAAAGGCAGTTCTCATGTGCAACATCACATGCAGTCTCCCGCAGCGTCCGATACTCAATTGTCGTCGACTGGAAGCGTGCGAGTGGACGCTCAGGGTTACATGCAGTACAGCCCAGCTAACGACTTTTCATGGCTCGATCTTGAGGCGGTCGGAGAATATGTCTCTGGCGACCAGATGCCAGGTAGTGGAATCAGCCTCCTTGCGCCTATGGTTGGGTATGACGCACCGCCCTCGTTCATGCCTCAGGCGCAGGGCATGCAATGGCAACAGCAAAACAGCGGTATGAACTGGCCAATAGACGGATCAGGCAACCTCTTTTTCTAAGTAGAAAGGGTTGCGGTATTGACAAGCCGAGTTTGTTCCCCCTACCTCCTGCGCTGTTCTGGCCGCGTGCTGAAGGAGATTGTCGGCAATTGAAGTTCAAACCCCGACAAAGTGGCACAGTGGCCCGCGATCCACCAGGGTCTTCAAAGCTCCCCCGCACTCGGTCCCAGCAAACGGAATAATGGGAGCAGTTGTTATTGGGGCTGCTTTACCCATCAGCCCTTGTCCCCAGTCTGATGGACGACGAGATCTACGCAAGCATCAAATAAGGCCATATCTCAGTGCAAGGGCCAAACTAGTCACCAGCATCCAGCACCGGTGCCCAACATGTCCGTGGACAACGAGCTTCGGGGCAGGCTTGCCCTGATTACGGGGGCATCCGGAGGGTCAGTGAAACTGGGTTTACGCAGAGCCTCTCACTAACATTTGCAGGATTGGCGCAGGCTGTGCCCGAGATCTCTATCGACAAGGATGTCATTTGGCCCTCACATATTCCAAGAACAAAGCGAACGTCGACTCCCTCGTCGCCGAGTTGCAAGCCTCTCCATCCGACCAGAGAATATCCTCCCACCAAGTTGACATGGCATCTACAGAAGATATGGAAAGACTATTTCAAGAGATCGGAACGGAGCATAGTCAGGGGCCTGACATATTGATTGCAAATGCCGGGTACGGAAAGAGGATACCTCAAATACAGGACATCAGTTACGAAGAGTGGGATTATACCATTCAGATCAACCTGCGAGCGCCTTTCGTTCTTGCCAAGCTAGCTGTTCCTCACATGGCACAACAGAAATGGGGTCGGATCATCATGATGGGGAGCATAGCAGGATATGGCGGAGGCATCAACGGCTGCCACTATGCAGCATCGAAAGCCGGTCTCATGGGCATGGTCAAAAACCTGGCGCTGAAGCTGGCCAAGGATGGCATTACTGTCAACGACGTTGCACCTGCGATGATAGGCGAGACCGGAATGATCCCAGACGCCAAATTTCTTGTGGGGACCCCTGGGGATGTTAAGAACATTCCAGTGGGGAGATTAGGCACAACTCAGGAATGTGCTAATGTCGTGACGATGATATGTAAAACGGGGTATTTGACTGGACAAAGTATACTGCTGTCAGGAGGACTGAAGTAGATGTCCAAAAATGAGTGAGCATCGTTCAATATAGCAATCAATTTACCTAGATATACCCAAAGTTGAATAAGAGTAACGCCTATTGTCAGTCTTAGTGGCACTCACGTCATCTTTGATAGGCAAACCTGTGGACGAATGGAAGAAGAACGGCGACGAGTGGCCCCTGGTGGATGCACCCTATATCCGTCGAGGCCGTGAAGCCTGCGGGGAGCTCAAGTTCAAGTTGGGGTTGTCAAGTCCACCAACTTGAGATTCAAGACGTATCATTCTATTGTATCAACCTTCCGCAGAGGTGTAGAGTCCTTGACCTCTACCTTCACCCTTTCACCCTCTCCCAGCTCTAGTTGTCCCTGCGACATTGTCTTGTCCGAAGAGGGTGCCGCCGATCAATAAACGGCAACGGCTCTTCACTCCGCCTTCTGTCTCTACAATGGACAATCATGGCGGTTCCTCTTCTGAACGCTTCATGGAGCTTACGCAGAATCCCCATCATCGAACTGCGCCCAGTGAACCCTATCGCCACGTAGCGAATCCGAAATTGCTCCATGGCGAAGCAATCACGTCGGCCATTCAAGGCGAAGACATGGTTTCTCGCCATCGAACCGCGTCAACCTTTGACACGGAGAGTCAGGCTCCTACATATTTGTCCGCCACCGATCCTCTAGATCTCAGCCGCCGTCTGAAATCCAAGTCCGAACTGGACCGCATCACGGCGAATACCGCCCGGAAACGCAATGCAATCTGCAACCCTATGGTCATTGCAGGCCAGGCGCCGCAGTCCAAAGTCACCGACTTTTACGAGACACAAAATGAACAGATCCAGAGGTTTTTGAAGCCGGTGGACGAACATGTCAGGGAAGCAAGAGACGCACAAGCATCTAACCACCTGCGGTACCAGATCGCGGTGTATGGCAGTTTTGTGGCCAACATCATCCTGGCCGCGCTGCAACTGTACGGGGCCATTTCGTCGGGCTCCCTATCTCTCTTCACCACGATGGCGGACGCGATCTTCGACCCCATGTCCAACGTCACTTTGATCCTGTCGAACAAAGCGGTGCAGAAGGTGGACGGGAGGAGATTCCCGGCGGGAAGAGCGCGCATCGAGACGGCCGGGAACATAGTGTTCTGTTTCCTCATGACCGCAGTCAGTCTCATCCTGATTGCCTTTTCCGTGCAGGAGCTGATCAGGGGCCACGAGAGCGAGACCAAGAATTTTCACCTCCCGTCCGTCATTGCGGTGTCGGTCGCCTTCTGCACGAAGCTCGGCCTGTTTCTGTACTGCTGGGCCCTGCGGAACGCGTACTCGCAGGTGCGGATCTTGTGGGAAGACCACCGAAACGATTTGTTCATCAACGGCTTCGGTGTGCTCACCTCCGTCGGAGGCAGCAAACTGCGATGGTGGATCGACCCTGCCGGCGCCATTGTTCTGTCTGCTCTCATCTCCCTGCTGTGGCTACATACCGCAGCCTCGGAGTTCCAGCTCCTCATCGGTATCACTGCCGACACCGAGATGCAGCAACTGATCACTTACGTGAGTATGACCCACAGCGACCATATCAAGCAACTCGATACCGTTCGAGCTTGGCATTCCGGCCCGCGGCTGGTCGTCGAGGTCGACGTCGTCATGGATCCCCAGGAGAGCTTGCGGGTTTGCCACGATGTCGCCGAGGACCTGCAGATGAAGCTGGAGAGTCTGCCTGATGTAGAGAGAGCCTATGTCCATATCGACTACAATGGGCATCATCCGCCAGAGCATTTCTTGAAGAAGGAGCTGTAAAAACCAGGCCCTTGGGACAATCCTAGACATTTACGTACCTGAATGACATGAGATAATGACAAGGATACACCTATACCAACTACTTCACCTGATAGCTTCACGTGTTACAGGTCCAATTGGCACCGCAGCTTTTTTGGCCGCGGTTTCTGCCTACGAGTCTTTCCACGGCCTTCCCTCCTACTACTACTAGCTGTAGTCGTCAATCGCCGGTTCGTACGCCGTGAATGCCAGATCCATGCACCACAGACAAAGACTTCTCCTTCCCACGCAATTGACATGACCTCTAGAGTACGTCGAGCCCTAACCTTGGAAGCTAGGTCTGGCTCTGGCTTATGACGAGTCACACTGAGATGCAATATCCCGAACGCAGCAGGCAGGGCACTTTATTGATGGGAATTCTAGTTCAGAAAATCTCGATTGTGATCTTCTCAAGACTGCGCTGCTCATGACGTCGCAATAATCAAATCCACAGGCACGCTGTACGTATTATGAGCTGCAGTTCCTCCCTTTGGCCCTCTTCCCCTCCACTGCGCACCCATCCTCGAGTCCTCTGCTCATGCCCCCGGCTGATGTTCTTCGTTTCACTTTTCGTGTGATTCGTCGACAAACGTACCAATAGTAGAAGTCACAAACGCCCTGTCCATGATCCAGCCTCCTCGATCGTTAGCTCCATGGCCCTCTGATGCTCATGTCCCTCCACGCCGTAAGCAGTACCCCCTGCCGCTGATGCAAGTCGCGATAAGCAAAAAAAGAAAACACGTTTGCCAGCCTGGTCATGTCATACAAAAGTCGAGTTCTCGTAAAGCAAATTGAGAAGTTTGGGAGAAAAAGAAAACAGCGCCGACTTTGCAAAAAAGTACGTTCTGGCGGCAGCATTTCCCTAGAGTTGATCATCTCTGCGGATACTGCATCCCTTGTTGTTGCTGCTGTGCTTGCATCACTTGTTGAGCTTGTTGCATCTGCATCTGCTGCATCTGTTGGGCCTGCTGTTGCTGCAGAGCGGCTGCCATGTTTGGATTCATTCCCATCATCCCATTAGGCATTCCGCCGCCTTGTTGTTGAGCTTGTTGCTGGGCAGCCTGTTGGCGCATCTGAGCTTGTTGAATGGACATCTCCGCCTGGCGTCTGCGCACCGCTTGTATGGCTGCACTTTTGGCCTGTGTTGTTACCTGCTGGAGCTCGCTGGGCTGCAGCATGTTGGTATTACCACCATATTTAGCAGCAGCTTGTCCCAGGAAACGCTGTTGGTAGGCCGAAAGGGTGGATTGATACAATTGCTGCAGTGCAGGGTTTATTTGCGGCCGCTGTTGTTGAGAAGGAGCGCCGCCACCCATCATTTGAGCTTGCTGGGCTTGAGCGGCAACCATTCTCTGTTGCTGCTGCGCATGCGCCAACTGCGAGGCTTGCTGTTGAGGGGTCATATGATTCGGTGCGGGTGAGCTATGGCCTTGATTGTGATGTTGAAGACTCTGCATTTGAGCTTTGACATGTTCGGCGACGGACTGCTTATACGCCATTTGGCTCTGCGCGGGATTGGGCGACATGTGCTGGCTCTGAGGTGTACCTTGCTGCATTGCCTGCTGTTGCTGTTGTTGTGCTTGCTGTGCTTGCTGTGCTTGTTGTCGTTGCATGGCTGCTTGTCGCTCTGCGTGGGCTTGTTGATGTGCTTGCATCTGTGCCATCTGAGCATGTGACATCTGCGGCGTACCATTAGCCATCTGTTGTTGCATTGCTGCTTGCTGTTGCATGGCTTGACGACGCTGTAGATCGGCGAGCTGTTGCGGGTTCATTTGTCTAGAAATGCCATTGGGAAGTTGTCCCTGCACTCCCTGCATCATTCCTGCGGGCATCATCTGGGGTGTAGGAGCCATGGTACTACCGTGGGGGCTTGGCTGAGTGATCTGTTGTGCGGGAGTGCCTTGTCGTAACACTGGCGTTGCATTCCTTGGCGTTCCGTGATGCATTTGTGGGGTCCCGTGACGACTAGGATCTTGTCCGCTAGGGGCTCTAGCCATCGGGGCGCTGGGGTGGCCATGTTGCACCGCAGAGCCCGGTCGAGCCGGGGAGCCATGCCCTTGTTGTGAACCTGATACAGCCATAGGATGGCCTCCTGGGCCAGTGACGACCGGCGATGAAACCGCAAGAGGGGTGCCTTGACGAATGACGGGAGAGCCACGTTGTTGGGCGGCGAGCATCTGGCTCTGCATGTTTGGAGGAATGCCATTGACATGTTGAGACGGAGGTCTTTGCGCAGCTTGCGCCTGCTGTTGCTGCTGCATTGCCGCCTGCATCTCCTGTTGCCGCGCACGCATGGCTTTGACCTCTTGCGCTCGTTGCATCATCAGACGTTTCCTCTCTTCTTCCTGCAACCGTTCTTGTTGACTCCTCCGAGTCTCGTCTTCTTGCATCTGCCGATCCTTCTCGCGCTGTTTCCGCTCCGCGATCTCTCTCTTAATGTTATCGAGAGCATTAAACTTCTCGAAGCGCGGTTGGAACAATGCTGCAGCAGCTTGGCCGTCGACAGCACCGGAGTTCGCGGTTCCAGTACCACCGGCTGTACGCTCGTCCATAATGAGCATAAACTTCTCCTGCTCTTTCGCATGAGCATCCTCCGCCGCAAGTTCCGCAAATGTCCTCTTCCGGCGTTTGGGCGACGGAGGCCTGGCATCGCAAAGGGGATCTTTCAGCGTGTCAATCAGAGTCTCGGCTTCCTCTAGGCTTTCCACCGGATTCAGATATAATGGGGGAGCAGTGGCATTGGTGATTCTTCCCTCATATTCCAGAAGATCCTTGGGGTCTATCCTCAGCTTTTGTTTCTTCAGGGGCGGTCCCTTCTCCGTTGACGGTGTCGGAGGCACGCCCGACATGGGAGTCTGAGGGGCTGCAGAACCAGCCTGCCTGTTGGAGGTATTGGCTTGGGACTGCTTCCGGTTGACAGATTTGGGGTCCGGTGCCATGGCGTCAAGCACAAGGTCCATATGTCGAGACATGATCGTCGGTCGTAGCGCGACATGGTAGATTTTGGGCTGGGGTTTCGATGGCTTCGGCGCCACATCAATAGTGTCGTCAGAATGAAGCGCTTCTCTGGCATCGCTGGTTGCGGAATCTCGACGTTCGTGTTTGATCGGCGGTGATCTGGCAACTGACTGTTCCTTCGAAGGGTAAGGTACATAAGGTGAGGGAGTGATGTATTGGTTGTAGTTGTGTATGGAGAATGGCTTTTCGTCATCTGCCGCTGCATCAGATGCAAGGGCATCCTTCGCGACGGACTTGTGGTCCACAACCCGGACAATGAGCCATCCATCGTAGTATTTCACGTCCGACTTCCGGAGCTCTTCCACCATGTCGTGCGGAATGGTGCCTTTCGCCAGATGTTCGATAAAGATTCGCATTTCAGAGTGATAGCTGAAGCTTCCGTCTTGCTGGTCAAAGCGAAAGTGTGTAGGGTGTAGATGGACGATCAAGGAAGGTGGACACCCTTTGAACTTTCGTAGAATGTACGACGCTTTTGGTACTGCAGAGGAACTGTCAGTTGGCGCACAAAGATGTGGCATCGGCCTGGAGAGACAAACCATATGGCTCCGGCATCTTCTTTGGCACTCGCTTCTCGACTGCATTGTCCGCCGTGGTGTTTCGTGTGGACGGACGTTGCATTCGCCGATTCGGCCTTGCCGTGCCATTAAGCGCGGTACCATTGTTCGTGGCAGACGTGGGAGTTTGGTTCTGTCCTGGTAGACTTTTCCTGGAACTTGAAGGCGACGATGAAGGTGCCGTCGGCTTAACGCCATTCATGTTCGTCTGTAACACGGGCGTTGGGGGTTTCTTCATTTTCGTGGCTGTTCCAGACGGCTTGGCCATGACGGCTGCCATTGTGAGGACGATGTTTCGCTTTGAATACAGAATCCTGCTCTTCCAGAGATTTCACCACCTATTCCGAAGCAGACGAAACCTCGTGGAAAGGTTCTCGGCCAGTTTGCGACGATGCTGGCCAGACGCGCATCATGAGGGGCAGCGACTAGGTTTGGTCGAGAGTTCAGGTGCAATCTGGATGTATGGCCAGTCGGGTCCTCGGAGGTACGTCGTGGCAAAGGCCAGCAGGGTCAGAAATTATACTAAACAGAGTCAAAATGGATGGATATGTTGAGAGTGTTGATTGTTGGTGATGCGCAGTCGCAACACGGTCGAGGTCTCATTAAGGTCAGTTGGGCTTGGCGCTTCTCCAATTCCGCCCGGCTCACGTGGCTGTCTGCCTGCCCCTGATTTTGAGGCCTTGCGGACGATTCAGTTAATGCTGGACAGATTGGCGCCAGTGAATGATCGAAAGAACTTGCGCGTCAACAATGACTACGTTCTATGCTGAGTGCTTGGAAGGGTGTACCCATAAGCTTGTTTGTTGCCACTCATGCCTTCCTCCCTAGGTATATTCAGATTGATGACCACTGAGAGAGACGAAGGGTCGATAGCTGAAGTGCAATCTTTCAAGGCTGACGCATGTGCTTCAACAAGATGATATCATTCCATTCCGACGGATTGTAGACCGCAAGAGGCCTATACCGAGAAATCTCCCTAACCGCTATGCCGACTCCAAACATAATCACACCTGCCCGGCAGACTTCTGAGCCATCCTCGCATATATCGGGCTCGGGTCAAGGTAGATCTCTGCCCTGTAAGTCTTCAATGAGCCATCTGCAGTCTCACGCATGAACAATGTGGCGAATCCTGGGATAATGATATCTTGAGCAGCGTCGTCTCCTTTGACACGATAACGAATGCGCGCTGCCTGGTAGATGCGCGGTGCAACGAGATCAAAGTATAAAATCTCATGTTCCATCAGGTCCAGCAGCGGAAGGTATTGGCTAAACATATCTCGCACGTCTGCTCCTTTCAGAACCGGGTTGTTTGCATACTGGAGTTCGATATCGTCCGTCATAAACTCGCCACACCAGAGTGCTGCATCGAGAGTTGCACTTCCACGGTGGAACTAAGCATGGGGTCATACGTCAGCCATTCCATTGCCGCTTATCAAAAGAACAGAAACCCCCGGTGATCTTGTAGACACTTACTGCCTCAAGCCACGCCTGTATCTTCGCCCTTTGCTGGTCTGGGTTTGCGGACATGGCTGCGTATGGCCTCAATCTGTCTGTCGAGCCAAGGTGCCGCAGTCTTTCTGCGCTGAGATACTTTGAACTTTCTGTCCCATAATCCTCCCTTTCTAAAGGAGAACCGAAGTTGAGATGATTAATCGTTGCATTTGTCAGCGGACAATAAAGGCGTGAGAGACCCGGGGGTAGGCTAGCCACGCCTTCCCATAGTCCCGCCTCTAGGTCAAATTGTGGGAAAGCATATAGGGCACTTGCGTGTTGTCTCGATGTCGTAAATGTGATCTTTGCCGCATTGCCGGCGCTATTTGGAGATTTGACCTGTGTAGAAGCCGCGCAAACAGTTCTGTCGGTGAAGCCGCTTGAGGGGCGCATATCCTACCTTTGGATTGGAGAGTATCGTTCATTGTCGTTAGAGAAACATTGCACCGGAGCTGAATTGCGAGCTCTGTAACATTGGAGAGTCAATCTGGCCATGTTCAAATGCGGCGGCGGGAACTATTTATGGAGAGTTCAAGCCATCAGCGCCGCCGCAGAAGGGTCTGTTCTTATGTTTGCTATATCAGCTATGACTCCTGGGAACCCTAATTCTGAGTGCACTTTGCTTTGGTCCTCGAAGGAAGTTTTTGATGACCGGGATAAGCTATTCTTGTACTACTGTGCAAATGCCTGACGAAGCAGGTTCAGAATATTTTAGATATTTATTAGGCTGAAGAGCCGAGGTCCTCAAGGCTGACAACCCTCGACTAGAAAAGTCCCCAAACAGATGATCAGCATTCAGTCACTGATAGCATTTGCACCATCATAATACACTTGAATATACCTATATCGAAAGAATTTCGGTAAACATATTCATATCATCGAGATCAGCTAAAAGAGGCCGTTGAGCTCGCTGTTTGATTGATAAATGGGGACTTCATGACCATGACCATTAACATCATCCATCGCATCGGCGCTATTCCTTCTCATCGACACGCCTTTGCCAGTCCTCTCCTATTTTCAAGCTCTCCACTACTGCAACCCGTTTCCCAAGGCCAGTCCTTTCTTCCTTCTGCCACCATGTGTCGGGCTTTTGGGTAGTCGCTTCGTCATCTGTGTCAATCAAGCCGCCATGGCCACCCTCATCACCGATAACGACGACGGTTTGCCGCACCCATCCGGAGAGATCTGAAACAATTTCCCCGTCTCGACCACACAGAGATTCCTGGATGTACACAATCTCGGGCGCAAGGCTCCGCAGAATATGCTTGTGTCCGTTAGGTGAAGTATAAGGTAAGATCAGGGTTTCTTGGTCGACGATTTCTGTGGCTTGGTTGCACAGAGTCTGGTAGAGGGAGGATGGTTCTTCAAGTGGAATGTGATCCACGGGCGCCATGATACCCTCTTCTGACCCAGAAGGGAAATCTCCTGGCGTTTGAGCTGGAGTGTGTGCATCGGTTTGACTGATGTTCGAGAAAGACGACGTCATTGACTGCGAGGTTCCCCTGGCGGCGATAGGGCATAGGGGATGTGTCTTCAGATCGGGTGCATAGATGAGGACAAAGACTCTTGTCGTATCTATGTCGACATAGTCGCTTAGATGCGCAAGAATAGACTGTTACCAAGTAAGCATGACATACGTCTTGAGTATAGAAATCGGTGGCACTTACGGCATGCTGGCCCACCTCCGACTGGGCATCGATGTCGGAGGCAACTGCAGACACAACGACGGCCACATTCCTTCGTTTGTGTCTGGCGATAGACGCATATTTTGGGATTTCGACTTGCCCGGAGAAGAATTCTTCGGCCGTTCCGCGCCGCCGAATGCCCTGCGTTACCTCTCTTTCATTGTCCCGTTGTTCTGCCTCTTCGCTCCACCTTTCGTGATCCTCGTATGCTTCCGTGCTCCCACCACCCAACGAGTTGATGGCGGCACCGAACATTGCGCCCGCTGCCGCAATGCCGGCCGAAAATGGTTTGTTGGCCCAGTCATAGGACTGGGCTTGGGCTTGAGGTTGATCATGGGAAGGAGTCGTTGAGCGGCCAAATCCAAGTGCACTCGACATCCTTGCGACCAAACCCGTCTCCTCTGTTTGGTAGGCCGCTGTTGAGCGAGCAGTATTATACTGTCCACCACCACCAGGGAAGCCTGTTGGCGGCGGACCCCGATACTCTCCAGGTGCAGGAGCTACAAATCCACCAGGCTGTTGCGGGCCTGGCATCATAGGAGCTCCAGTCTGTGGGTAATCAGGGCCAGACATTGGGACACCCGGAGGCACCGCACCACTCATGCTTGCATACCCTGGAGGCGGGACACCTCCCGGGTAGTGTTCGTCTTCACTCGAGTCTTCCTCATCATCGTGCCGTTCGCTCCAGACCCAAGCGGCCAGGCCAATTGTTGCTGCTGTGACAGTGAGTACCAGCGGCACCCAGTAACCGAACGTTGACCTGTTGCCTGAGTATGCGTAGCCCCCGGTGTTTGTAGTCCTCCGCCTGCGCTCCGTCACCTTGTATTGGTAGGACATTGAGTTCGTGTCTGAGTGGAAACTTGTAGGAACGATTCTGCCTGGTCATGCAGATGCTCCGAAGGGCTGCTTGAACCAACCTCAAAGCAAACTTAGGGATTGTCGAGCCTGACGCAGGCGGACGCTGTCACCGAATGTGGTGATGCTGATGTTACCAGGTCCGGCCGAGGCTTGTTTCAAGCCGGGGTTGCGCTACGGTCCTCCGCGCAATGGGTTCAGATGGCACAGACGCGCACAGACCCTATAGTGCAAAAGAACTTCTCGAAGGAATGCAATGAAGAAGAGAAGAAGCACGGCCGCCAGAGAAACAGTGAGGTAGACCAAATAAATCCGTGTGGCTGGTTACGCATGAAGCTGGTTCCGTCCTAAACAAGCATGGGATCCTTCCCAGCCTGCGGCTACGTACTCACGCTTCCCCACATCTCACCACTGACAGACAAACTGTCTGACAGGCCAATGACCTGTCTGTTTGCTGAGATGACCTGATCTTGCCATGGACAACGAACAAGTGAGTTGAAACAAATTCCTCCTTAAGCTCATACTCTCCAACATTATGGACTCCTCTTCAATACGCCAACGAGCGCCAAAGGGACAACCACCCTCAAATCCTTCAAAGCGTGCATATGCACAACCTGACGAAGTCGAAGACGCGAATTCTCCTGTTATATCGGTCCTCGACATCCTGCGGATAATTCTCACACTCATCACGGTCTCCTCTGCCTTGTCATACTACCTGACGTCGGGCTCGTCCTACTTCTGGAATTACAATCCGTGGTTCGCAAATCCCTCACAAGTCGAGCGTTGGTGGAGAGGCCCGTTACTCCTGACTCCAGAGCAACTGGCATTGTACAACGGTACGGATCCTAAGAAGCCGATCTACCTTGCAATCAATGGCACAATTTTCGACGTGAGCGCAGGAAGGCACACGTACGGTCCTGGTGGCAGCTACGAAGTGTTTGCCGGTCGAGATGCCAGTAGGGCATTCGTCACAGGGTGTTTCCTTGAAGATCGAACAGGAGATCTGAGAGGAGCCGAGGAAATTTACATACCTATTGACGATCCAGAGGAAGAAATCACCAGTGGAGCAAGGAAGACACGAGCGGAGAAAGAGCGCAGAGCAGCGAGAAAACGTGTGCTAGAAGAAGTAGGAAAGTGGGAAAACTTCTACAAGAACCATAAAAAATACTTCGAGGTTGGAAAGCTGGTGAACGTGTCTGAATACACAGGCGAGCCACCGAAACTGTGCGAACCTGCTCAAAAAGGAAGGCCGCACAGAAAGAACATGAGAAAAGTAGACAAGACAAATGCGCCAGGTAAACCAGTGCAATAAACACGAAAATCACGTTGCGAAGGAGCGGTTCGAATGTTCCTGTTTTCAAATGGTCTCATTGAGTCTTTTTGGCTCGGCGTCATCTGTAGAAGCGTACTTGACACGAAGAGCATCGGCGTGTGAGCTGGAGGCTTGCGTATTGAGCACTTCCATTTCTGCTAGTCATGCATCTTGTTCCCCCATCAGCGTCCACCATTCCGCAAGTTGTTCATTTCAGAAACATTCTGCCAGCATCATCGGCGCGAAGGAGGCCAAGGTTTCCCATCGATCCGTCGCTGGCTCTAGCGAGTTTTCTCCATTTTCCCCATCGATACGTGTGAAGTCATCTAATCACCACCGGCGGCCGCTCTTGTGTAGATGCTGCCAGTGTGATGGCTCACAACCTTGCTGATGACACCCCGGTCCTCGAGGTCAGCGAGGGCCTTTCGTGCTAATGAACCATTGATCTTCAGTCTGTCGACCAAGACGGCCACGGTGATGAGACGGTACGATTGGACGTCCTTGTTGAGTTTGTCGGAAGTGGCCTTGTCCAGAACCACGGCGTGCTGGGCCTTGTCCTTGACTGCGCGATTAAAATAATATGTCAGCCACCAGTAGATTCTAATTCTCGAGCGATAGATAGTGTAATAAGGCGTGAATATGAATGCCAGGAATTAAGCATACCCTTGCCCTTGGACCACTTCTTCTTTTGCTTCTTGCCGCCGGAGGATGCTGCGGGTGCCTATTTCTCCATCAGTAAACTATTCGGAGACTCGGTCGGAACGATTTGGGCCATTTGCGTACCATTGTTGCGGTGTTTGTCTTGATGGATGGTAAAGGTGAACAGATGGTGAGGTCGAGGCCGAATGAGAAGTTCTACGGGCGCAGTTCCAAGAATGGCAATAGGGCATAAGTCTTGGCATTGCATTTAAAGCGGCGTGAAACAAATTTTGTAGAGACTGAGCCTAAGCAGAGAGAACAACGAGAACAACGGTATCTATGGGCGATTTGAAGATCACAATTATGCGCATACAATCTTATTGACGTCGATTACTTGCGCTGTCTTTTTGATCTGCAACCATGGCTTATGGTATGCCATCTGTTGGTCAAACTTTTGGGTATCGTCCTTCGCTCATGCTCTCATGCAGAATCCTCGAGATGCAATATCTAGTAGAAAAACCCAATGATTTTTCCGGAGACATGCTTTCTCCTGGCCTCCTCGTGGTCCATAATGCCGGCGCTGGTGGTCAGGACGATGTACCCGAATTGACGAGACGGCAACAGCTTGACAACCCACTTCTCCAGATCACGAAGTTGGACGTTGTAGCGGGGGGAGATGACACCGGTCTTGTTGAGACGACCGTTGAGCTGGATGACAATTTTGCCGCTTCGGTGGTCATCAACTTCCTCGAACTCGCCAATGTAGCCTATAGAAAACGTATATTAGTAAAGCTGTCGAAGAATGTTGCGGCCGAATAAACATGTACAAACATAGTTGAAACGAAAGCAAATGTGTAAGATCGACCGCGCAAAAATTCAATCTTTCGGGTACTTAAAGGGCAGAGGTCGTCGAGGAATATTTGAAACCGCCGCCTAGTTATCAACCCGAATGTAAAATGAACGCTTGTGCTTGATCCTTCTCTTTTCTGGGCTATTTGACCGGGAAATCTTGCGGATCCGACTTACCATGCTTCTGCATGACAGACAAGAACTTGATGATGACCTTGGAGCTGGGTCGGATCATGACTTGGCGCTTGCCGGCCTTCTCGGCGTTGTTGATGCTCTTGAGAGCATCGTTGAGAACGGAGGTTTTGACCATGTTGTCGGTTTCGGGTTGTCGAGATTCTCAAGTCGTGTAAACTTGGACTTGAGGTGTCTGCAAGTAAAAGAACTCGTTAGTCTCCAGTAGCCTCGAGCACGAAGAGTGCCCAGTCAAGGGTTCTTCAGCTCGTGTCGCAAAAGATGAGCGTGTCCCAAACTGCGCCCGTGTCCTGGAAATTTCACAACCCAGGAGAGCGCAGCCGGATTGCTCATCTTAGGCTAGCTGAAGATGGTTGGAAGTCGAACATACCTCTGGAAATGCTGATGTCGACGAAGAAGAATTGTCGGTGTCGTGATGTTGAGAAGACTCGGAACTGCGCCAGTCTCTCACTACAGGAGATGGAAATTGATTGTGCTCCGCCAAGATTTAGTTTGACTATCCCCAATTTGGCACAGGTGCCGACGCGACCAATCAATATCTGCCAGGCTCTCAGCCTTGTCACCACAGCCTTGTTCGTCCACTATGCGCCCTCTATACCCTTGAACCCATGTAGGTCGTGAAACCAGAAAATTGATGACCTAGTTCTTCAAGTATGACTGCGTGAATGGGCTCGGTGGGTTTTACAGACACCTAACACAGGCGTAGCCTGTAGAGACGTGCGTGACGATCTGACGTCCTGGGTATGTTTTCCAATGTGGACCGCGGACCTACAAGCTGTTCGTCGCGGCCATGCAGCTTAGTAGGTATTGAACGCTTCAATGTGATTTATTGGAAATGGATCTGTATAGCAACGTATACATACACGGGACATGGGCTGACACCCTGTCTTGTGGACATTTTCGGGTTTGGATCTGACATATCAGCGGAGGGCCAATCGATAGCTATGCAGAATATCAATGGTGTGTCAAGCAGAACCTCTGAATCCGGCTCTTCATAATTTGCACAGCTCTTCCCACGAGGCTGATGGCACGGCCCTCCCATCCCTAGCATCCGACAAGGCTTTCAGGAGCAAGGGGCGCGACACGTGACAGGCCTCTGGCTGTATGGCTTACTAATCAGTCGGTCATGTCGTGGTGGAGTTCAAATTCCGTGCGATCAGGAGACTCGCTGCTCATCCTTACACAGTACGTTTCGTACCACGGCAAGAGATAGTACGTATTCTTTATATACACACGACTTGACTGCTATGGGTGGCATGCCACTTACCATTGATGGCATGTACTGTGTATCTTAGAGTGGACTCGGACGGATCCCAGTGGACGATGTGACCCGCCGAATTCTACGCGATGTCTGCTCCAAAGCACGCCATCGCCGGCGCATTTCGCCTTGTCGCAATTGATAGGTACCCTCGCAGTATGCCGGCCCGCCAGGCTCAGATGTCGAACCAAGATGTGATAAGGCTTGTGGATTCCGTGCTCGGACGCTGTTTTTTAAGCAATGTAATAAAAAGCTTGTCCGGTGTCCCTTTTCTTGCCAGATACGGTAGATCTTGCACTGTCGAGGCTTTGATTTTCGAGAGAATCCACTTGATAGTTTGCTGTGTTTTCTGACCGCGAGCATGGCTGTCCGGAGCGAGAATAAGCCGCTGCGCGTTGCGATTTGTGGCGGTGGCCCAGCTGGACTCGGAGCCGCTATTGCGCTGTCGAAGTTGCCGGATATCCAGATCTCTGTCTTCGAACAGGCCAGAGAGCTGAGGGAAATCGGCGCGGGGATTCGCATTGGTTATAATTGCTGGAGAGTGCTGGAGTTGTTGGGTGCGGCTGATGGGGTCAAGGGACATCATAAGGTGTCGGTGGTTCATCGGTATGTTGAACGTTTGGACGTTGCTCTCTCATGCCTCCCCTTCACCTCACTAGGAATGTTTTCATGGCATAGTACTTTTCCTTCCAAGTTCCCACCCAGAGTGTTCCGTCGATATATGGACAGCTCGAGAGACCACGCTTTGTTGCTGGATGGAAGATCTAATCGGCAGTAGAAACGCCCTTACCGGAGAAGTCGTCGGAAGTGCCGGCCCTTCCAAAGTCCCTCTGAAGTACCATCCCCGCCGGGTGCGAAGGACTCGGCTCCAGAAAGCTCTGATCTCCAAAGTGCCTCCTGGCATCATCAAGCTCAACAAGCATGTTTCCTCAATTGAGGATCTGGGACAGGATGGTGTGCGTATCGTGTTCCGTGACGGCACGGAGACCACTGCCGATCTGGTCGTCGGTGCGGATGGTATTCGATCGGTAAGTCCTTCAGCTCAGATTTGCGGTGTCTGCTTCGGCCACGCTCTGTTGTGGAGCTCTCCCGTTCTAACCGATGTTCAAGACTATTCGGGACAGCATATTCCCGGAGCACAAGATCAAGTTCACAGGTAAGTGACAAGTCTCGGTTTCGTGCTTCCGCGACTCCCACTGCTTTTCCAGCTTCGACACTCTGGCTATGTTGGGAGAGTATTGACGATCTCCCATATAGGCACCACCATCTTCCGCGTCTTGATCCCGCAGCACACGATCGCCCACATCCCCGACCTGACGGCCGCAACCCAGTGGTGGCATGGCCCTGCAGGACACGTGTATCACTCGCTGGTCGATGATCCAAGCGAGGTTCCCGAGCAGGAAAGGCTGTTCGAGATCGCAGCTCGGACCGTCGTCGATCCCGAGACAGACGCGGGCCCGAAGTTCAGCTGGGGCATTCCTGCTACCAACGAAAAAGTCGAGTCACAATTCAAGGTTAGTCAGTCTTCAGTCTTCATTAGGCAGGCATGCACAGCACCGAGCTTACCCCCACGACGCTAGGACTATGACCCAAGAATACGAGAAATGCTGGCCCAGGTGCCCGAAGGACAGTGGAAAGAGTTCTCAGCATTTGCCGGTCCGAGACTGGAAACGCTAACGGGCTGGGATAAAGTTGTCCTGCTAGGCGACGCGAGTCATCCTCTTTCGGGTTCGTTTTTTGACATTTCTTTCTCTCCTCTCTCCATCATCCTATCCTGGTTATGCTCGTCACCCACTTACTTACACGCACATAGGTGCTTTCGGGTCCGGCGCTGCGTTCGCGCTCGAGGATGGCTGGATCCTCGCTCGAGCAATCGAACACGCTCGCGCTGCTGGACAACCGCTTGCGACAGCGCTGGAGATTTTCGACGCAATTAGATCCCCATATTATCTGAAAATGTAAGTCGTTGTTCTCCCCGGCATATGGGCTGATTACCAAGCTGACAACAATGTCCAGGTATCAGCATCTCGACGACCAGAAGCGTAAAATGGAGGAGGCGAAAGCCGCCAACCCAGACGCCACTTTCACCTCATCATTGAAAGAGAGGGTGTATGCGTTCGGTAACGAAGAGTCGCTGCCGTGGGTATACTACAACAACATCGAGGACGTGTGGCAGTCATTCCTGAAAGGTCAGATCAAGTCGTCGTCGTTATCGAGCAGTGTTCCACAGGTTGTCGCGTCGCTGTAGACCTTACTTGTCCTTGAACGAAAACGATGGATGGGGCACCACCCCCGAATTAGACAAAGACAGATTTCTCTTCATTGAAGCCGCATGGGCGAATTAAGTGTTCAGATTCGACCGGTGGAACAACAGTGAAGGCTTCCAGCCACTACGTCGCTTCTATGCACTTTCTCGTCTGTGCCGAAGTCAGTCCATGGCCGATATCTGATCCTTGTTTGGTACATGCAGTGCCTCGTATGACCGCTTTAGGCCTGAACGCGTCTTGAAGGTAGGACTATTACTAACGACTCGGAGGTCGCTTGTCAGCATCCACTCCTCTTCTGGACAGCCTCGGCTTATCACCCATGTAAGATGTGTGGAATCGCACTTTGCGGCTATCACTCAATCCTCAGAACATACTCACATTCAATCAGTAGGTTTCATCACTCATTGGTATTGATGTGACCACGGTTTCAAGTGCCCGCCGCTTGATTGTGGAGTGGGTGTATGGTGTTGTCCAAGTTGAACAACAGCCTAGCCTACCTAGAGTCATAGACTATCGTCGCCGTTGTCAGCATGTCGTATACCCCTATCATCATAGGCGTAGGCGACCACGTCAATCGATCGCCGTCAGTGTCCGAAGCCCACGAGCCCCTGACACTCATCCTCACCGCGATTGACAATGCTCTGAAAGACACCGACCTCCCAGCGTCTGGGATACAGAAACTCCAATCATCCATCGACAGCATCGACGTCGTGCGCACCTGGACCTGGCCCTACGATGACTTGCCCGGCGAGATTGGGCAGAAGCTAGGCGTCGATGCGCGCCACCGCTGCTATAGTGATCACGGGGGAAACAAGCCGGCCAGACTCTTCGATGAAGCCGCGAGACGGATCTCCAAAGGCCAGACCAGAGTTGCTGTCGTGACTGGCGGAGAAGCATTGGCGTCATGTACGATTCCCCTGCCTTCCAGTCACTTTTAGACTTGACAAGCAAGCCCAAGCCCAAGCCCTAGTCCAAACCCAAGCCTTTGATGGAGATGCAGTCCAAGCCCAAGCCCTTGACGGACAAGCTGGACTAACTAGCGCCTCGTGAATCGTGATAGTGACAGCATGCGTCGCGGCCAAGAAGATGCCGCCGCCTGGATGGACAAAGACGAAAGACAGCGTCGACACAGTGTTTTCTGCCACGACACGTGATCGAGGAAATAGTAAGTATCAAGCCAACACAATCAGCATCCGATCTCTCGACGTCCCCTGGCACAGTTCATTCGGCTGACAGTTTTGGGTTGGGTTTGTTTCAAGATATCGGTGCCGACCACTCCATCGGCGCCCCGATCCAGATCTATCCGCTTTATGAAAACGGGTTCCGCGCCCACCGCGGCCAGTCTATAGTCGACAACCACCAAGAATCGGCCCAGCTGTATGCCGAATTCGCCAGAGTGGCGAAACAACATCCCTATTCGTGGAGTTATGGCAAGAAGGCGAAAACACAGACCGAAATTGGGGCGGTGACCGAGCAGAACCGAATGATCTGTTTTCCTTGTACGTTCCACCTCAGCTGTCTGTATGAGAAGTCAAGGACATCATCCTTCAGGTTGGAAGTTCGGTTGGGTGGAGACTTGCTCGCTGATTGATTCCTGACTCCTGACTCACTAACTGAATCTCGGGGTAGATCCGCTCTTGATGAACGCCTTCAACACCGTCAACCTCGCCGCCGCATGTATTTTGACATGTACCGAATATGCCGAACAACTAGGCATTCCAAAGACGAAATGGATCTACGCTTTAGGTGGAGCAGGAACGCAGGACAGTGAAAATTGTGAGTTGAACACTGACATCCCAGATGGTGGTCTCTGCTTCAATTGGAAATCCTGTATTGACACATATAGTCTGGGAACGACCGAATTACTACTCAAGTCCGTCCATCGTGCGGTCAATCGACACGGGCGTGGCCGTTTCTGGGCTGGCGAAAGAGGACATTGACTTGTTTGACTTTTACTCGTATGTACCAGATTTTGTTTCATCTGTCTGTCCATCTATCTGTCAGTAGTACGTATAGGCGGACACTGGACAGACAGCTGGGCGTTACTTACTTACTTCCTGACCGAACGACTGACCGGAACTAGATGTTTCCCCATTGTGCCAAAGCTCGCAGCTACACATCTCAATCTCCCCATCACGAACGGCAGAAAACCATTGACTCTTCTAGGCGGATTGACCAGCTTCGGAGGAGCAGGCAACAACTATTCCATGCATGTCAGTTTTATCCTACTCAATCTGTGATTCTGCTCTCTTTTCCTTTGAAGCATGCCTCCTTTCCCCCTCCCACCAGGTCACGCAGAGGCCTTCCACTTTAAATATCTTCATGGCCAGTTAGTTCTCCTACTACGCTATTCAAGAGAGACAGCAAATAGACTTGGTCTAGTTATATGATGGAAACAGGCTTCGTCTAGTTATATGATTGCTTACTCACTCACTCTCTTCTTCCAGGCAATCACCGAAATGACCCGCCAACTACGACAAGGCAAAGGCCGTTATGGTCTCATCCTCGCCAACGGCGGCTGGTTGACTTACCAGCATGTGCTTTGTCTGTCGACAATGCGGCGACGAGATGGCGGCCCGTATCCGGCGGTCCCTCCGTTGCCGGAATACGTGACTGACGTTCCAGTACCGCCGGTCATTGCCAAAGTCCAGATCCAGGGTGAGGGTGAGAGTAAGAGTGAAGACACTGGAGGCGAAGTTGAGGCAGTCATTGAGGTACGTGTCCCACTGAGACGCCCGTCGTGTATATTCATCTTCGTCATACTGCATGTTTATCAAATTACCCCTGTTTCACTCCCCTGGAGCCGTACGGGTGGATGGGCAGGATATAAGGTATACTATACACCACTCTCCTTGCGTGCCGTGAGAGGATTAATGGTTTAACGGAGAGACCTACATGCCCATCGAGTCATCGACCGAGACCTGCTGTTCTATACTCGTTACCCACTACCCACTTCCATATTCATTAATGACCTGTCGTTTCGTTGCCTTCCTTCCTCTTGGGCTCCAAAGACGGAGAGAACTGTGACTTGTCGAAGCCACGTACAGAGTGTTTCCAACCATTGTTGAACTCAACACCTGACTTCCCTATACATGACAATGAGTCAATGACAATATCAACCGAGTTCTAACTTCTAACTGACTTTTCCACTCCTTCCAGACCTATACAATCGACTACGACCGCCACAACCGCCCCGTCTTGGCCCATATCGTCGGCCTCCTCAAGACCACACGCCACCACCATCGATTCCTCGCGAACCACGCCGATCAAGAAACACTAGATTTCATGGCGACTTGGACTGAAGAGAAGATCGGGATGGCTGGTCGGGTGTGGTATGATCCAGTGACGAGGAGGAATTTGTTTACGTTGAAAAAGAAAAAGAAAGCACATCACGACGAACTTGAAGTGGACGAGAGGAAGGACAATGAAAAGAATGGGAAGTTGGTTGGGAAGTTATGATTATGGTAGATCTTGTCAACCCGAACGAAATTTTCCATACAAGGGCTCAGATTCGCTCAAGGACTAGGGGGCCGAGATCTGTTCTGTTCAGGGCCGGATAGTGGCTAGGTAATTGTGACTTGGACCCTTCTTTGTGAGGATGAATAGATCAGAAGTTTCGAGTCGCTGAGTTTGTTTACTAACTACCAAGTGTTGTTGTGATTGGTCTCCCCTTGGGAGTAGAATAGGACGGAAATATCACGGAGAAGACGACTGACTGACTGACTGACTGACTCCCTCACTCACTCACTAATCGACAAGACAAAACGAACAAGGGAGGGAGCTAAAAGGGGCAGGTGATATGGTTCAAAAACACCCAGCTCGAACAGACAGAAAAGCATGCTGGAATGTCCTGATTTCTACTGTCTGATTTCTGATTTTGGATTCTAATTTCTCATACACAAGACTATCTCCTCGAAAGAAGAAGGGTGGTGGTGCACTGGTGGTCATGACAGCTCCCTTTCGTCCGATCTGTCCGTCTCTCTCTGTGTGAATGATTGGAAGGTAGGTAGCTTGACCTCTTGGTTTCTTTGTGATTGCAATGTCCTTGGTCAAGTCCTCACTCCGGCTCAGCTCCCAGCCCAGCACTGCGCAACTCTTCCTAGCAAATCCTAGCTAGACGTAGTCAATCCCAGCCATACGCAGCCAACCCCAGCCACACGCAATCAAATTCCAGTGCAGTCCGACTCCAGTTTCACCTGAGACATCCTATCGCGATTGCCGAGGTCACAGGCATCACGAGTGTCTTCGTATGTACTGTTCTCTCAGATCTTGCGACGCTTGGAGTTGACAGTCGCGATCTAAGCCCTCGCAGCCAGCCCGGCGGCATTGACAACTGACATCTGCTCGTCCAGTCCGAAACCACGAGGAAGCTGCAGGTCTGGTTGGTCAAATTCTAAGGGCGGTATGTCTGCATCTTCCAGGGCTACCTTCTGCATTGGCATGTCCATGATCCACTTCATCGCAGCAGTGGGGTCGTTGTCTGCGATTGCACATTGGTTGCTCAACTTAGTCTTAGCAGAAGTATTGACAGCCTTGCCCTTTCCCTTGTCAATCCCCATTCCAGTTGCAAGTTGAGGTTGATTCCCTGCTGCCATAAACACATTTGTTCCTGGGCCAGCATTGTTGTTCATAGTCGTCATTGGAGGAGGCAGCATACCTGCTGTGGCGGTGTTTGCCATCAGCGAATTCAATTCCGCTACCACTGACGCAAGGTCGTCCGTGTTGCCCAACCGAGAAAGCATGTTGGTTACCATACGAGCAGAATCGTCGGTTAGTGCCACAATGGGTTGCGTCTCCAGATTGAGAACAGCCTCTGGGCTCATAAGAGGTCGCTTTATCTCCCACCCGGGGCTGCTCCTATACCAAACCACGCCGGTCCACATATCCATGACCATGTCTTTGTCGTTGCGGTATCGACGACCTCTACGGAAATTGACGATATCCCGGGCTGTGGCGATCCAGGTGGCGAGTATGTGACGCTGTCGCGCCATTGCGCTCACATAGCGCTTTCTGACCTCACGTGGCTGCTTCTCCGCTGGGAAGGTCGGTGGGATGGGCTTGTGGTAAATGACGACCAACAGCAACGACTTGAGCTGTTTCGCTTGCCAACTGCCGACCATCTCAGACTTAGGGAGGGAGAGTTCGGGATGTTTCTCAAGCCATTGTTGCAGATTGTGTTTCGCTTGTGTTTGCATATGGTACCGTGCTTGGCGATCGCATTCTATGATAGATGCGTCGTTCATCACTATGAGCCGGAACATATGACGGGTCATGGCTTCCAACAGTACCCAGTATGCTGCAGACAACCATCTGCGATGGAGATAGGTGAACTGACGCATACTCTTTTCGCTCTCCACAATCTGTTGGATTGTCAAGTTGCCGAAAACATGCAGTGCTTGGGGGGTGTCTCGCTTCAGAGCGGCTGACGCTGCGATAATCAAAGGGTCGATTGGTATTCCTTGGTCGACAATGGTGTTTTGTTGTGATGGACCAGCACGGCTTGGAGCCACTAGTGCGTTCGCAGTCGCGTTCTGGGGTAGGATCTGTGATGGGACCAACGGCTGCTTGGGTGTCTTTGGAGGAGTAGCAGGATCAGTACGGAATGCCGGAACTCGGGGTCCTATGGCGTAGAGACAGACCTCTCCTGCAACGATATGACTGACTAACGTCCCCGTTACTGCACAGATTCTTAACAGGTCTTGATCCTGGGCATTTATCACTTCCTTTAATATAGAGACCGTGGTGACAGGTAAGACAGGAACTGTAAACAAAAAAGCTGGTCAGTGGCAAGTCTCACCACACTTTTTAAGGGCATAAAGGAGACATACGCATTATGTTTTCGCTTGATTCATGCTGTCTCGGCAAATTGCGCAAATTGTCGTACTCTATTTTTGCCATGACAAACGACGTCCAATCCATCTGTTCGCTTGCTCCAGGCCAGTGTTTGACCTGATGGAATGCATAGAGATGAGTGACCTCGATCTGACCGCGACGTTTTGTCTCACCCGTTCCCTCTGCGAGGAAGCTGTAGAAGCAGCGGCCTTTGCCGAGGCGAGCACCAACAATACCCAGCATTCTGTTCGTGCACTCGTCAGAATACTCCTGTAGTGCAATTGCTTCAGGGATGTCAGTGCGGATTGGTGGGATAGCGATGTCGATCACCCAGTCTCTGTAGACGAAACGATGCGGCGCATCTAGAATCGCTTTTGGGCTCTCCGTCAGATCTAAGACCGCTTTTGGTTTCTCCGTGGGATCTGAGACCACCTTTGGTTTCTCCATCTCGGCAACAGGTATCTTGAAGTGGTTGTCGCGCTGATGATTGATGGGGACGAAGAAGGAAGATGATTATTTGGTTGCGACAGTACAAAAAGGTGCGTCAATTGTTGTAAAGCACACGCGATAAAGTGAGGGAGATGTGAGAAGAAAGTAAACAAAAGAGGTGCGCGAAGCGTCTAGACATTGCGCAGGGTGTTGCTGATACAACTTGGACATCGGGTGCCCGTCGTAGGTATATCATGACACCTTTGTGACACTCCTGAGTTGGCACTGGGGGTTTCCAGCTGTCTTCCCGGTATGGTAGACATTCAATCCAAGATCATTTGTTCACTGTCTTCGTCGGCCTCATCGCTTGCGTTGTCCACGCCCGTGTAAACCGAGCTTGTATCTAGTTCCTCAGGGTTCAGACATCCAGAAGCATCGATTTTGTCCATGAAATGATGTCGTCTTATTGAGCCGCTGTTATCGTAGGCTGGTTGCTGCACAGGTCAGCCAAAGACAAATCTGATCCAGTTCGCCTTCAGCTGCTTTGTCCCGTCTTCTAACGACCAACCCCTGATCTCACAGATCTTCAGCACAATCTCTCTTAGCAGACTGTCCATCGTCTCTCCGGCGCAATGGAGATCACTCTCAATCAAGATTCGATCATCTGGAACTGCCTTGATGACATTGGTGGCCTTGTCAGACGACGGATTGGAGAAGTTGATGGCGGCCGAAAACGAGAAATATATGTCTGCCGGTACGGTGGGACTGAGGAATTGCTTCAGCGCTTCCGCAGGCCCTGAATACGAATGCATGCATATCCGAGGTGGAAAAGGCAACGGGCGCTTGCTTTTCTCAGCGTCGTTGTCACCATCACCAGCCGCATGAGCATGAGGAGCACTCGAATTTCGCTTCCGTTCTCTTTTGGACGGTCTCTCGTGACCTTTCCACATACTTTGCATGAGATCAAATACCACACCATGCGCCTGGACGCTATGGACAGACACGGGTCGTCCTAGCTTGGCGGCGAGGTCGAGCTGGGCTCTCAGAATGGCTTTTTGATGCTCAATGCTGACACGGTAAGGGGTGAGTGGCCTTCCCTCGCGGGACCCAGGGGTATATTCCTCTTCCGAACCACCAGTCTTGCTGGATGTATCGCCCGTCATGGCGCTTGGGCCTTGTGGCAACCGGAACGACCGATCCAAACCCACCTCTCCTACGAGGGCAAAGGGGAATGCTTTCAGCCTTGATTCTGTCTGCTCGAGGAATTGGCGCAGCGATCTGGGCGCGGGCAAAGACTGCAAGAAGTCCATATCATCGGGCGCCGGTACAAGAACGGATTTGTAGTGCTCAATTGCGCTGGGAGAGGCATCACTTTCCACGTTGTGCATTTGGTGTGAGAACCAGGGATGCCAGCCAAATGCCGGAATCACGTATTTGGAGGTTCCCTCTGCAATATCCTGAGGCGAGTCGACTGGATACATTCTCGCAGCATTTTCAACCATGTCCTGGTCTTGAGACCTTGTTGCCATAACTGTGAGGACTCGAGCTTTCATCTTGGCAATGTCCCTGACCGATGCCATGATGTCCGTGGGATGGCAGTGGGCGTCGAAGACCCCACTCTCCCACATGGATTCGAGGTCATCCTTGCTGCCATTCATCGTCCGTATACCAGACAGTTGAACACAAAGTGCAATGTCGTTGGGAGTGAGATGCCTGAGAGCAAGAGGAACAAAAGCGAGCAGATCGAGAAATGACATTTGAATTATTCTGATGCCATGACATAATGTCATTTGATATTTTACGCACTAAAGTCACGTCATTTGAACCCAGCCAGTCTTCTGACGAGCTACGAACAAAATAGGGAGTACTACTGCATGGTATAGTACGTACCTAGTATACAGTAGACTGTGAGGCATAGACAGACACAGTGGGGTGACATATAGCATCCAACATTATGAGATAGGTCGTAAATAGTATAAGGTATTCAACTTTCACCGTGAAGTCGATGTTTTAGTATTGCTCTACGGCTTCGCATGAAACAACAAAGTCTCTGCATGCTCATACCACGAACTCCTTCCTCAGCATCAATGAGGGTCGCTCGACTAACCGTGAACTTGCATCACGACGTCCCACAGTCATAGTGTCTTCCTGGCTTTCATAGCCAGTGTCATTGCTGTGGGTGCTGTGTCGTCGTGACATCTTCCCCTGACTGTTGTGTGTACTCGACATGTCAGCCCCGGCAACAATATCATGTGGTAGATCTCGAACCTCTTCTCCGCCAGCCAATACTGGCATATCAATCATCGGCAGCCGTCGGAGAAGATACTGGACCGCCGACCTCGTCAGCAGGTCGTTGTCCGTGTAGTCCAGCTTTTTCGAGGAGAAAAAGGCCACAGCCCTCTCTTGGTCATGCTCATAATCCATCATTTGGAGGGTTTCGGCGCAGTGCAGGCAATTCATGATACCTGTCCGGGCAGACAATGGCGTGGAAGAGTCAATAAAGTATGGAGGGCGTACGTCCGCAGTTGATGGTGTGCTCGGCGAAGAGACTTGCATGGCGGTCGATGCTCGAACAAAACAGGCACTTCGGGCAGTGTTACTGAACACCGAGCTGGCCGCCAACGCCCGCGTTTCAGCTGCTGACCCCGGTGGAGCAATCTTGAGTGCATTCGACAAAAGTTCTTGCAGCAGCTCAGGGGCTTCCGGACCCTCCATGGCTAGCTCTAAGGCCTGCGTCAATGAGTAGGTAGACCGCCAGGCGGCAACCGCGTCAAGCGGCGATCGGACAGCGTGATCCTCCACAACAACATCCAACAGTGGATTCCTGGAATTCTCCTGGGTAGGCCGGTCATACATCAAATTGTAAGCCCGCTGGCACACCGTATCAAGAAAAACTTCGTCGCACTGCGTGTCAAGCATCTCGGCGAGATACGGTGGCAGACGATCGGAGTGACGCAGGGGTAAGCTGTCATGTGTTTGCTTCGCGCGGCTCCATTGTCGATTTGCGAAGAATTTCCCAACGCGGTTAGCGATGCTGGAAGTGACGGTTCCGAGTGCGCCCACATTCCACAGCAACACCCTGCAGTGTAGCGCCTTCAGCATCAGTCTCAGTGGCGTGCTGGGTAATGTGCCAGACCCAAAGATGGTCAGAAGAACTCTGCTCCTGCTAACCTCGACGTCTCCGCCGGCCAATTGTGCATCGATTGCAATATCCCAGGCTTTGATCCGGGCCACGTCATCGTCGGCAGTGCGGCCAGTAAGCCAGGCATACGCACGCGCGCCAAAGAGATAGCCAAACGTGTACTTGAGCCACTCGGATGTGATGGCAAGCCATTCTGGGAAAAAACTGTGGTGAGGGAGGTGCAACGCCTGCATGCTGGTGCTCCACGCCCGCCGTCGGACCTGAATCGGAGACGCCGGAGCTGGGGCCTGCGAAGAACCAGTCCCAGCCTCCTCCACATCTTGTTTCGGCGGAGGCTTCGAATTGAACAAGTATGAGAACACGAGGAAAGCCAGGAAGGTCAGGGCAATAAACCCTTTGGCCAATGGAAGGATGCCACCAGTCTGGCAGAATTGACTGAAGGCGGCCAAATAGATCCGTGGGGAGCGTAAGAACGCCCAACCGTCCAGGAGCTCGAGTGGAATGCCAAACAGACCCTTTTCCCGAGAATCCGTGCCGGTGTCTGATTCAGTTAACCCGTCCATGACCATAAGACCGGCCAACGAGCCGAGCATAACCCTCGTGGGCCACTTGCCCTTGAGACGCGAACCCTCTGAGGGCCGGTCGTAGATGTGCCCATAGTGTTCTTGTGATTGATTCTGTCGTAATCGCCGCCAACTTTCGGGGAGCGGGATAAGCCCTTGGGGCGGGCTTGAAGCTCTTGTACTCCCTAGGCTTGGCGACTGGGGGCTCGAGACGGTTGGAGACTCCTCGATGATGGTGTCGCTCGTGAAGGCAGCAGCTCTTTGGGCATCATGACCTCCTCGGGCAATGACCCTATCCAGAGTTTCCAGTCGGTCTTTTAAAGACTTGTTTTCCTCCTCGAGTCGTTTTGTGCGGAACTCGAGATGGCGAATATATTCCACAGCTTTGGTCAGGATTGAAGCTTTGTTGAGCTTGTTACTGGGAGTGAGGCCATCCAGGTCCTCTTCCTCGGAATCTCCATTGGAGGCGTCTTGGGGTTTTGCTTTCTTGCCGGTTCGGAGACTGGGCACGCTGTCCCTTAACTCCGCAATCTTCTCGTTGAGATTGGCCCGGTATCTTTTCTCAATAACGTTGTGCGGACGTTTCTTCGCCGCCGGAGTCGCCGCATCTGTACGGTGGGAGGTAATAGGAATATCGGTAGGAGACAGCTTCCTTTTCAGCATCGGTCGCTCATAACAGCCTGTCTGATCTCGAAGCGTATCTCCGCTGAGCCTCAGTTCCGAGCTTGACCGAGATTGTGGTGATGCCGAACTATGCCGGGGGGTTAGAATGTCGAGGGCGGAAGGGGCGGTGAGGAGATCGTTCTTGATATGTGGTAGGTGGCTGTCTCCGTTCGCTGTGGATGAAGGAGATATAGGGAGATGAAACAGGCCGTTCTCGGCTTCGATAAGTGTCGCGTCCCGAAAGGAATCGCCTGCAGGCGCGTTTGCGGCGCCGTTCCAGTCAAGCCATTTGTCGAATTCGCGGCCGGCAGAGTCGAGATTGAGGCTCGAGTCGGTGGAGGATTGCACGGGGGAGATCATGGCCGCTAGTCAACCGGATTCATTTGTCTTGAGAGCACCAATATGGCGGACACTTGAGGGCGGACGATAGGATGTATTTAAACAGACCTTTGTCAACAGAGATGTTGGAGGAGGCAACATTCATTCAATGATTGACGATGATAATAACTGATGAGAAGCAGCATGCAGAGGTCCCCTGGATAAGCGACCAGACACTAAGCCCCAAGCGGTGCAGCACCGCAGCCTGCAGCCTGCAGCCTGCGTCCTGCGTCCTGCGTCCCGCGTTCCTTCGCTCTGCCATTTCTGACGAACTTACTCGGACCGCCAACATCCGACGAACTCAGCCACAACACACCACCAACGAATCGAGGCGCACTACCTCGCACCTCTCCTTGTTCACGGTGTCGTCGATGTACCTCCCTCCATGTCCGGACCCCTCTGTACAGAGATTCTTCACCGTCGCTTGTCGGGTGGCTTCTGCCCGGTGGCTGGTGTGCGAAGATCTTACCCAAGATTCAGAGAAGCGAGGCGAGGGTGCCCTGAACTTGGAAGCCTCGCGTCTACGATGTGGTTTAGCGAGGCTCGCATCAGTGCCGAAGGGTGTAGGGAGCGAGAGCGACAACCTAGGCCGGCCATCAACAGTGAGCAGACCAGCTATGAATACTGATTTGAGATAGTATTACGACGACCGGCAGAGGGAGACAAGGCAATGGGCTGGATTTGCTCAATGGTGCCTGCATCGCTAACCACAAGCTCATGCACGAATTTCCAGTCAGGTCCGTCCCTTGTGCTTCTCGGAACTCCTCTGCCTCAACGCCACACGCCCTCGTCTGTTCCAAGCGATGCCAGCTTTATGTAGTTGCGCTGCATGCGGCTGGCGGGCTCTAAAAAGTTGATGCCTACAGTCCAAGTATGATGATGATGATGATGTGATGCAGACATCTTCTGGTAGATATTGGAGTACCTTACGTCCTGGTCACGCGGGGGGTGCCAGCGCAATCCTCTCCAGATGGGAGAGACTCCAGTCTGCTCTGTGTTAGATCCTTCCAACTGCAGCGTCGGCTGGACAGTGAGGCCTTGATATCGTCGATCCAGCTCCGTCGGCTCACGAAACGGATCGGTCGGAGCAGAAACCAGAGAGCCAAGTGTCATGAACGAAGAACTTGTCTGATAGGAACGATAACTATCCGCTCAGGCAGTGTTCCTGTTCCTTCATGATTACCTTATTACTGGCAGATGGTTGTCAACCCTAGCACGTAGCTTATCCCTTCTAGCCTGACTGACGCGTCACGTCGAAAGAAGCGAGGATAGTAGGATGAGAGCCGCCACGAGGGGCCTTAATTAGCAGTGTACCGTCTAGGGAGATGTTGTACGACGCACAGAGGCTGTGATGTTGCTCGTTACCGCTTTTCTTGGAGTTCAGGCTCGAGGACTGCACCGTGCATCTCCCGGTGAGTGGGTATCGGGATTCATATTCCATCGCAGCCATGTGTGATGATGCGGTGTGGAGAGGGACGAAGTTCCGCCTGGAAGGGAACTGAACAGTACAGAGCCTCAGGGATGGGAAGACTGCAAACTACGCCGGACTCGAATTGGAGTTGGAGTGGTAGTGGGTGGGCAAGCTAATACATGTTAGCAGATATCTAGCGAATGGTGGCAGTGATACTTTTGTAGCTGCCAGCTTTAGTGGGAGCCACAGAATTTTAATATCAGTCAGTCAGTGGAGCGGAGTTCTTCGTAGCTACTACTACCTAGGTAGGTACCAAGGTGGACGGTGGTGCCGGTGAAGAGGTACGTACCTCCTACCTAACAGAGTAGGTGTACAAGAAAGTTTCTCAGGTACAGTCTTCAGAAGCTATAATCTTCTGTATAGGTACTTCATCAGCACATATACCTTGAGTCTCTACCCTGTGAATAGTAGCGGCACGACAATAATATGGACTCTGAAATAACCACTGGCCGTGCCCTCCCCAATCTCTCGTCCCCTCCGCACAGCCCTCGTGAGATTGAACGATGATTGAAGGAAGCAGGGTCGCTTCGTGTTTCGCCCGTCAGCCCCTGTAAATCAACCCCCATCTCGTGGGATCTTGTTGGCTGAAACTCCACGATGTGGCGCCCAAAGCGCATGGCATCAAGGGCGCTTTTCTTTTCCAGTAGTGGCCGCCGCCCGCCGCCTCGTCGTCGGTGCTTTGCTAAAGAGTAGAAACCACTTTGCTAGACGCTTATCGTCATACCTCATCCACCATCGCTGTCGTCTGTATCCACCGTCGACCAGTTCATCCATTCATGATGTTATTTGCCCTGCAATTCCAATATACAGTGTGGCCACTTTTCCTGACACTCTGCCCTGCATTATTCCTGTTCTTCTTGTGCATCAACGGCCCATTCAAAGAACATTCTCGGGTCGCCTATTGCGGTGGCAAGCATTTCATACATTCATCAACCAGTTAATTGATGCCTGTGGGACGCTAGAATCGTAACCGATCACGAGGAAGACGTCAATCCGCAGTAGAGAGTCGAACTGGCTGGTAAATAAAATAATTCCTCCACCGGCCGATCAACCGCCTTATCCCGGCCCCTACTCTTCCTTACTACTAGACTGCTACTCATCATCCTCCTTCCCGCATGCTACAGCCTACAACTGCAGATCACGCACAGAGTCTGTTGAGAGTTGTTGACGGCCTAACAACATATATTCCATGTGCCCTCTGACCACAGCTCATTTGTGTTTCGGGTCCACGCTACACTGGCATTGACGGAAATCACAACTGCTGATCCTGCTTACCAACCTCCATCCCAACTTCAACCTGCTGTCCGGTCTGCAGATCCAAAACCGACCCCCGGCAACCCTCTCCACCTGGCACCACGTCTAACCCATACGCGAGACAAGACTTTCAACGCTCGAGTCTCAAAGCCAAGAGAGAGGAGGAGCATTAATCAGACCCATCAAACCAGACCTTCATCTTTAGTCGGCCACTTGTACAACCCGAACGCACACCGGCGAATACAAAATCACCAGCAAGCCGTCTGCTGCCCTTTATCAACCTCTGCGTCCTTACCTCCTCGACAACCGTTATACAAGTCACCCAACGTCTTCTGCGCTCGACTTCCTCGCGACAAGATAGACACTGTATCACCAATCCAACCTACATACACCCGTAACGTCGATCATCTGACAGGGCCATCTCCTCCCGGTCCAAGGCCTCCACGAGTGCGCTCAGCTTCTCTGGGGTGGCATCCGAACTCCCAGGCACACACATATCACCATCCTACGGCTGCCGCATGCAAAACACGCCTAGTCGTCGACTAATCGTCGTTTTGGGGGAAATTCGGTGACCTGACACTCAGACACACTTCGTCCGCTGTCTTTGTATCCGAGCATCCTCAGTCTCGATGGGTCACAGGATGAATTCCGACTCCTATTCAGGACGCTACACACCTACCTCTCCCTTGTCTCCCCGGTTGCCTGCGAACCACCAGCCTCTGTCCTCTCAGTCGTCTCGTCCTCGAACCGCACAACATGGTCGTCAAGCATCTCGAAATATGCATATGAGTCTCCCCAGATTCCATCCTTCCAACTTCAACAATCTTGACTCGCCTGCCACGCCCTCTTCGACAGTGCAGAGTCCCGCCATCAGCATTACCAGAGTCACTCAACCTTTGCAACTGGAGTCGCCCCGGCTGATGCGAGAAAAACAACGCGAGTTCTTGGAGAGGGCTCATCTGTCGTCCAAAATCGCGGCTTCCTCCATGGGCGTCAAGCCTGGCGCACCCCGTTTGGATCCGCTCGGCAGCCCCAAAGGCCCCGTCACTCCTCTTGCGCTGGAGGAAGCCGGGGACTATTTTCAAGTGGTCGGAGCCGGGAAGGTCTCTCCAGCGGCGAGCCCGGGCGGGCGGAGTCCTCGAAGCGACATGTCCGACAAGGAAGAATCACAGAAGCATAAAAAGGTTCGACAGTCCGATGTCTATCTGTAATGGAGATTAATGACCTCGCCCAATTCAGCACACAGGACGACCTGCTTGAGGCTTCGAGTTATACTTTGATGACGATCTGAACGACTTCCTTTTGTAACGACTGCATCAGATTTTGGTGTTAGGGTCATTGCATTGTTACCAGCCAGCCGCCCTTGAGCTCTGCTGTTGTTTGGATATTTCATTCGCTCTTCGCCACAGTCTTGAGGAACATGACCTTTTCCGGCATGTTTTCCCGACTGCGCGGCAAGACTTTCGCTGGAGCTGCCAGGTGCAGCTCATATAGCTATCCATATTTTCCATCTGTGCATTTGGTATAGGGAAGCATTCTGTTGGCATATCAATTCGGGGGACGTACCATATACAATGCACCAGAGTGATGCGCTCTCAAATATCATACAAGAATCAATCAGGGCCAATTGGTTCAATTATCATCATTTGTACGAGTGACTTGTATTTGAATGCCCTGTAAATCTGCACCCTAGACCCTCTAAGGGGCAAGAGTCCAAACTGTGGCTTGATTTTATAAATAAATGTGGCATGTGGCGGTGCAGCTGAACCTCGACGAGCGCGGATTTCTCGACACCCAAGTTCTGTGTACCGTATACCGTGGACTGTGGACTGTGATACTCATTCCGATCTGACCAACAATTCATTGTCTGAGGCTTCACTGCTCTCACTTCTCGTTCACATCTCTTCTTCCTCCAAAGCCGGGTCCCTTGGATCTCACCTCTACAGCGTGCGTCTCCTGCGTCTGCCGTGCCCTCAACATCCTCCCTCCTGTCTCCTCTCCACGTCGACCATGCTCCAAGTTGCGCAACAACCATTGAGGTGACACCTTTCCTTTACCGCGCCGACGGATTCAGAACAAGCCATGGCCTACTTCGACATGCGCCAGAAGCGCAGCGGGAACCGCACCACTTTTCTCGGTGTCCTGCTTGGTGTTGTCTTCATCTACTTCATCTACAGTATTCGAACCGCACCCGCCGGAACCTCAGATCCATCCCTGCGGTCACAAAGTGCGCTGGTCGCCGAAAATCCCCTCTCACCACCCACCTCGGGCTTCCGCAAGCAACAGAAAGTCGAGGGTTCCGACGCCGTCCTCCCTCCGCCTCCGGTCGTCCACTATCAACTCAACAACCTGACCGCGTCAGCCTTTCCGGCCTTGAACAACGAGAAAATCCTCATCCTGACCCCCTTGGCCCGTTTCTACCCGGAATACTGGTCCAATCTTGTCGCGCTCAATTACCCTCACCAGCACATCAGTCTAGGCTTCATCACGCCCAAGACAAAAGAAGGAAATGCGGCAACGGCTGCCCTACAAGAGGCCATCCGAAAAACTCAGTCCGGCCCGCAGGGACAACGATTCCAGTCTGTAACGATCCTCCGGCAAGATTTCGACCCTCCCATCACCTCTCAAGATGAAAAGGAGCGTCACAAGATGGAGAACCAGAAAGAGCGTCGTGCGTCTATGGCTCGCGCACGAAACAGTCTTTTGTTCACCACCATCGGTCCCCACACATCCTGGGTCCTGTGGCTGGACTCAGACATCATTGAGACACCGCCCACGTTGATTCAAGATCTGGCCAGCCACGACAAAGCCATTATCGTCCCCAATTGTTATCAGCGATATATTGACGATAAAGGACAAGAAGGTGTTCGACCTTACGACTACAACTCCTGGAGAGATAGCGACATTGCTCAAGAGATGGCGTCTCAAATGGGACCGGACGAGATCCTACTGGAAGGGTATGCTGAGATGCCTACATACCGCACTCTGATGGCAATGTCGGCGAAGGTTGGTGCTGACCGTGACGAACGTCGCCTGATGCCCCTGGACGGTGTTGGCGGCACCGCTTTGTTGGTCAAAGCCGAAGTGCACCGAGATGGCGCCATGTTTCCGCCCTTTCCCTTCTATCATCTCATTGAGACAGAGGGTTTCGCCAAAATGGCCAAGCGTCTTCACTTTGATGCTTTCGGCCTGCCCGACTATTTCGTAAGTCGACGTTTCACGATTGCTTCGTCTGTCGTTTGTTTCCGAGATACTAACCTATGATTTGACAGGTGTACCACTACAACGAATGATGGTCACGCCCTCTGTACCAACAAACTAGACTCGAATTGTCCCCATCCATGAGAACGACCACAACGCTCGCTCACGACTTCACACCATCGACTAGCTCTTTCAGCAGCTAGGGTGAGAGAAGAGCCTCCAATCCACGCTCCAAACCGTGGATGAACTATTATTTCGGTACCACGTTTGTGCACTTCGATAATGGCGCTCAGGGTGCATGACATGTTGCAAGCAAGGGGACCGGAGCCAACAGAAAAAGCATTGTCTTCTTCATTTTGCTATGCATGGCTGGGCGAGGCAGGAACAAGATGAATGACATACACACACAAACACACAAGACAAGACAAGATAGGATAGCTGTTTGCTGGATGCACCACGGCATGGAGTTTAGGGAGGCATCTCTTCCATTTCGGGGAGGTTATGGTTTGCTGGTCATTGCAATGCTAGAGAGCCTGCCAACGACGGCTGGACTGGATGGACTGGAGCTACACTGGGTCGGAATGTATCACACCGGGCTGGAACCGCGCAGAAGCAAGAAGACACCCGATGAGTCAATGAAATGGTTCAGTCTGCTCTTTTTTCTTGAACTGGTTCAGTCTGCTCTCTTCTCTGTGTCTGCAGTTGTTCCGGGACTTGGCCTTGCATTCATTTCAGTTCTTTCGGTCTCGTTCTCTCTAGTCTTGTGGTCTGCTTTCTGCCATCGGAGCGAGCTTGATACCGGTGTAACTGAAGAAGGTCGGCAAGGAAGGCGTCTGCCGTTGTTGTCTATCGGTCACAGAACCATCACGACCATGTCGGCACTGCAGCACCTTCCTTCGCCCCGTAGGCATTCTCAACGTGGATATCTGGCCATTACCGCTCCTCTCGTAAGTGTGTTTTTGCGCACGACGATTTAGACTTAATCCAGGGAACAGCAGGATCAGACACTACCATCCCTTGGGATACAGGAACCTTCTATCACCACAGCCTCTTCAGATACCTTACAAGGTTGTATTATGTACTAACATTCGTTCCTATGAACCAGGCCATCCTCGACTCTATTATTCCTCTATTCCATCCAACGACCCAGCTGGCCCTGTTGTTGATCCTGACTCAAGGCTCTCTTCATCTTCCTATACGCACTAGGCCTATACGGCTCCCAGGCCTTGCTCCGCTTCGCCAACTTCACCAACTTCGGTGGATCCCCCGTACTCCTCCCCGTGGTATCATTCTGCGGCAGATTCGTAGTAGTGTTATAAATCGAGTTCATCGGCGTGACGTCGAACTGCACAGTCGCATTCCCCTCCTTGAACGAACTGATCTTGGGCCCTTTAGTCAAGTACGACGACGTGACGGGGGTCTTGCCCGTGGCGATATCGGCGCCGCGGACGACGCGCTCAAACATCTCGAGCGCGACCAACGGCTGGAAGAACGGCACGAGATGGCCGGACTCGTAGATCCTGACAAAGGCGAATTTCCCGGCCTGGCGCACCTGGCCGTGCACGACGTCGTCGGAAGTCGAAATATTGACGAACCCGGCCGCCGTGTAGTTGGTGGCGTTGACGTGGTCGGCCACAACCTGCCCGCCGAGCCAGTTGCAGTTGTAGTCGGCGTCGCCGAAGTACATGGTCACGGAGACGTTGTGGGCCAGCATGTCGCGGATGGCCTGGACGGTGCCGATCTCGCGGTCGTCGTCGCCGGTCGAGCCGAACGCCGTGCCCACCGCGCTGTTGGACTCGGTGTAGTTGACGTAGGCGCCGATCGCGTGCTGGACCGGTTCCGTGTTGAGGTAGTCGATATAGTAGGACGGCGGGAACGGGTTGGGCGTCAGGTAGCGGAAGTCGTATTCGTCGCGCTCGAGGTAGATGTCGTACAGGTTCTCCACTTCTTCGTAGCAGAAGTTGTCGGCCGCCGAGCAGATCTCGTTGATCCCGTGCGTGTTGCAGTCTACGGTTTGGTCGTAGCAGTTTCCGGGGCCGTAGAGGTTGTTGTAGAATTGGTCTAGACGACAAAAAAGAGGGATGTTAGATAGGGTTAAGCCCGAGATAGAGACTGTTTGAGAGAGAGAGAGAGAGAGAGAGAGAGAGAGTGTGTGTGTGTGTGTATGTGTGTGTGAGAAAGAGAATCAACATACTTTTCACTGATTGATTCAATGGATCATATCCATACGTATTCCCCGGATAGACGCTGAAGTTGTAGTAGGCCTGATACTGGATCAGCGGATCATACCAGCCATTCCCAATCATGCCGCCGACCAGCGAGATGTTGTGGGCGCCCGAGATGTTCTTCGCGTTCTGCTGCAGAAAGTAATCCGAGAACAGCGGCAGATAGTGGCCGCCGTACGACTCGCTCGTGAAAAACACCTCGTGTCGGGAATACTGCGGAAACGCGCCCATGAACCCTTGAAGTGTTTTCCACATGTTCGGCGCCGCCGCCGGCGTGCTGTTGGCCGTCAACGACTCGTTGAAGTACGAGTACGTGCCGCAATCCCAGTCGCTGGCGTATTCCGGGCAGGTGTTGTTGGGCAACTGCACCAGCAGTTCCGTGCTGGGATCGACGTACGCCGGCACGGGCGTCGAATAGCTGAACCCGACCTGCGTCGGCTGGTCGATGAAGATCATGTTGCTCACGCTCGACCACGAGTACGGATTGTCCACGGCGTCGCCGTCCGCCGTGACCCGGCACGGCCCGAGTTCTTGGAACATCCCGATCATCGACGACGAGCCCGGCCCGCCGTTGATCCAGATGGTCAGTGGCGCCTCGGCCGGGTCGACGTTGCGCGCCTCAAAGAACCACCAGAAGATGTGCTGGTCCGGCGCCACGTCTGCGTAGCCGGCAAAGCTCTTGACGTCGGGGTCTTGCTCGCAGATCCCCGCCGGCACCGTCTTGTACCGCACACTGACGTTCGCGTAGCCTTCCTTGCTGGTCAGGTTCTTGGGCGGGCTCACGAACTGGCCGAGCACGACATCAAGTCCGGCACATGCCAGCAGTAACGCTGTAGTGGACAGTAGACTCTTCATCTTGCTGGACCTGACTGATGCTATCCAGAAGGTATTAGGTATGGACAAGAGGGTAGTAGAGAGCAAGGTAACAAAACTGCAGAGCTGCACAGAGTACTAGAAGACTGAACAGTAAAACCTGATCTCGTAGACCTCGACTTGAGCTGATGATGTTGAACCAGCGATCTGCCACCCTCCTGCCCTGGACGGACATGGGCTCTGTTTTGTAGCTCGCATCGGAACATTTCAATGTCAGCTTTCATGCTCCAACAACCAACCGCCGTTCGGTGCCTGGTGGCTAGTAGAGGGGCGTGTGCTGCAACCTGGGGCATCGATGACGATTCATCCAAACCAGAGTTACAGCTGCCCTTTGCGGCGAGCTGATAAGACCAATGGCGTAGTGCCTGAAGCTTTGTGCAAGCATCGGCTGATGCAGCCTCCCGTTAGTGCTGAAGCTTAGCACCAGACGGCCGGAGGCGATGGGATATAGTCGGGAGCAAAGGTGACATCGGGGATGCGGTTCGCCTGGATATCCACTTTTGGTGGTGGTGTGTTGGAGTTGGAGCGTTGGAGCGTTGGTATCTTTTTGCCGCAGACGAAGATAAGGCGATGGACTTGTTCAAGACATTGACGCAATGTGTCTGATCTGAAGAGCTTACCGTTTGAACAAGCATCATCTTGATCAGAGTTTGAGGGGAAGTCTCATGAGAACTCCCACGTGTTTCTATTATACTTCGTAGAACGAAACATATCTTGAACCGTTCCTGCGGTGCAATATATAACTGCATGTTCGTTGATAAGTGGAGGGTTGCGTTATCATTGTTATCAAGCGAGACTCGACATACCCGAGTGATTGCTCCGTTCCCTATCGATAATGCTGTAATGTGTAGGTAGTCATCCCTGCACATCTGTCCAATTGGGAGCGTCGGATGATTGACTCAGCCTTGCCCCTTTTTAACCTGTCGCATTTGGATTTCCTTCTCTCCCGGACCCACCCATTCCAGAGCAATGGAAGCAATACTGTGTACGAGGTATTCCGCTCGGTATGGGCTCACAACAGGAATCATATCAATAGCACACTAGATAGCAGCAGCATTTGATAGGAATATCTTGCATTGCAATGTATCTGAGGGCCAAAATCGCCGAAAACTGAGTGCGTATGTGGCACATAACCGCATGTGAGCTTGAGAAATGTCGAGAAAAGAAGAACCCCATCCGTCTGCATCACCTCGCATGTGCAACCATATCGCTAGAGCTTCCAGCCCATCAATATCAACTTTTGGTCATGAGCCCATTGATGTCGTGAAGCATTGCAAAGAAAAACAAACGCCATGCGGTCCCGAAAATGCACTCATATCGCCAGGGCCGTTTGCCCACCAAATCCCAATAACATCACCCCTCAAATGTCAGTAACAACCATCGTTGTCTTGCGTAGAGTCGAGATCGTAATCTCCTCGTAAATGGTGTCATCTTCTTCCGTTTTGATGACCTCCTCCACCTTGAATTCCATCAGGCTGTAATCCTGAATCCAGATTGTACGAGTCAGCCCCGTCTTTCCAGCCGCAGCAGCGTCGAAGTCGTCGTCGATCTCGTAGGTGACTTTGACCTTTCCTTCCGCAATCAACTGCTGTTCATCAATTCCATCGTCGTCCTCCAGCTTAACCTTCTTTGCCGCTGGTTCCTTGATTCGGCGTAGCGTGGCGTCTCCATCTGCCGGTACATCCTTGATGTTTCGCTTGACCAGATATTCCAGAGGACAGACGGTGTTCTGCCATGCGTAGCTTGATGGCTTGACCCGGCCACTGCAACGAGCACAATTGCGACGATGGCGCCAGAAATCTTGATGGAGAAGCATCTTTTCCTCGTTGTCCGGCATGACGGCGTCGAGATGAGTGCACATGTCGTTCTCGTTCGTGCATCCTTCTGGTACCTAACCAAGAAGTTTGGCCATGCCGGCAACGTGTGTGTCGACCGCAAAGACAGGCAGATTCATGTTGAATCCCATCAGACAGCAAGCCGACTTGACGCCGACTTGTGGGAGTAGAACGAGCTGGTCGAATACGGCTTGCTTGCCGCCTTTCTCGTAAGCTTCGTAGATATAGTCGACAGAAAGCAGACCAGGGACGAAGTCAGTTGCTCCGTGTTCATTTCCGTCGTATATAACCTCGCCAGGCTTTATGCGAGTAACATTCGTCTCATATACTGCGTCCAGAACAGCCTTGATTCCATTTCCCTTGAGGTTCTGTAGACCCGTCTTCGTGAACACAGCCTTGAGCTTGTCGACACTCTGTTTCCTCATGTCGTGGTAGTTCGGCATCTTCCCAACCACCGCTTTGCCGTCCACATAGAACGGATATGCCACGATCATGGTCTGTTGTGCATCCAATGCCGCCTCGTTCGTGCATGATTGTGACAAGATGACCCGGACGATCGAATCGAGCGAAATCCTGCCTCCAGCATGGAATGGAGTTGAAGCATTGCCTGTTGCTTCTGCTGCAATCTTCATTGCTGGCCTCTCATGCTTCAAGATGTCTCCAACAATCCCGAGGTCTGCGAGTGTTGGTTTGAGGTGTGTGTATAGGCGATCTTCGCCGAATTCGAACCTATATCGATTGGTATATGGCTTCTTTCGCTTCGGAAGAGCCGGTCTGCGGTATACAGGCTTCTTGGCCTTGTATTTCTTGTTCTTGAGCTTCGAAACATCGAAGCCAGGCGACAAATGGAGGGTCAGAAAGCCTATATTGGCCTCAAACGACGTGTTCTCCTGAGCCGGAGGAGCAGGCAATCGGCCACGAGGGCGGAGTGTGCGGCGAGGAGGTGCATTTACGACTATGTCCGCCTCATAGTCGATGTCGTTGGCCTTTCGTTTGACCATCTTGAGGCCTGGAGAGCTCTTTGTTAGTATATTGTCGTTCAGGGGTCAGAGCCTTGTCTGGCTCGGCGTTCTAGAGAGAGGGGGGGATCGACGAAAAGGGTAAGATATTCAGCCTTATATAGCTCGGCGCCGTCGTGATTTGCCCCACTTTTTCTTCTCTTGTGCCTGGAGTTCTGCTGTCGTGCAGCAGCTAATATCTGATATACAGCCAGGGCAGTCACTTTGTCCAAGGTGTGTTTTTCTGGACATGCTTCCTTGCCCATAGTTGTCTCCTGATGCTCTTATGACTGATACCCATAGTGTGGTTGGAGATCTCCAAATATTCATGTCCACGTCAAATACGCAATTCTCCTGGAGATCTCCGTATTTTGAAACATATATAGTATGCCTAGTACACCTGATGTACTTCTGGCAACCATATATATACAGCCTGTATGCTGTACCCAGAGATCTCCAGGTCACCATATTCATGCTTGATGCCCAATATATATGGCAATTTCCCAACAACCATATATATCTGTCTTGGACACTATATCTGGACATCTCCTGGTCGCTATATATATAGCGTATGTCCAGTATATCTGGTGACTTTCTAGTAGCCAGACAGACACAGCAACTATAATAGATCAAGAGAACTCCTGATGACCATACACATACTGTCTGCCCGATACTGCCAGAGATCTCCTGGTAATCTTTTGCTTGAACATACATGGTGCTTATAGTGGGCTTCTGGTATTCTTCAAGTACAATATAGGTGGTGCTAATGGTGGTTTCCTAAGGATATGATGTGCAGATTTGGCTTGGGAGTGAACCTACTTGATGTCTCTATATATTCAAGTTAGTATTCTGAAAGCCGCCAGTATATCAAAACATTGTAATATAGTAAGAGTAAATAGACGTACCTTTTATGCAGAACTGACACTATGGTGATGGAAACATCAAGATTGAAAATATGAAAAGAGACAAACATAGATGATGGGCGGCTGCCTGGGTGGCAAGACAAGCATCAGGACAAAATAAGCTTAAGGAGGACGCTGGTTGTCTATTGGACACCATATGTCCTATTTGGGAAGAAAAGCGGAGCCACTCCATACTGTCTCCACTCTCAGCGAAAATGGGATCATAACACCAAGTTTGGTATCTTGTGTACCTAGTACAGCAAGAGCATGGAAAGGGATGTCCATAGGGCTACTAGTATGTAGGAATGCTATGGCAGAGGCTCTGCTCTTTGTTACTGGATGCATCTTGTTGTAGAACACCTCTATCCATAGGAAAGAACGACAAAAGGATGCAGCAAAAGGTATCATTGTGTGCCTATCTCAAGATATCCAGGCAAAGAAGCAAGCCAGACGCTCTGCTCTTGAGCATGGCATACTAATCGAGTATCCACACGAGAACTCAGCCTTGTGCCTCCTTCGGCGAGAGGTATTTCTTCCAGCCATCACCCAAGCTCCGGATCTGTTCCTCGTTGTTTGCCTTCCAGATCTGATACTCCTCCTTCTGCTGCCCATCAGCCTCGTAGAGACTGTATTCCAGCTGTTGCCACAACTCCAATTGCCTCTGGAAGCCCGCATTTGGATTGACCTTGGCCCTGGAAGAGCGGACAAAGCGCAAGGCTGTGTCGAAGTCCAGATTCATGTCCTCCATGACAAAAGCAATGATGACGGATGCGGAACGAGAGATTCCCTTTTGGCAATGGACAAGGACTCCACCGTCATTGTTTGCCAGACCGGCTTTGATGAAGTTGAGTGCTTCGTCCAGCACTTCCAGGAGGTCCATGTTGCCATGGTCACGGATGCTGATCAAGTGGAGAACATGGTCTTCTTCATGGCCAGGCGACACTTGTGGCTGCTTGTCTGGACCGTCAATCACAGAGAGGACATAGCGGATCTCAGGCCGACCGGGAGCAGGATAGTTCGGGCTGAGGACTGCACGAGCAGTGTGGATGCTATTCACAGCTCGGTTAGAGACTCCAGGACACAAGAGGATGCAAGAAAGGACGTCTAGACGTACTCTGACAGGTACAGATTGGGGAGAATCTTGTCTGGAATGAGCGGAGCAGACGTGGTCGATGGAACGTTGGTAGAAGAGGTGCTCATCTTTGCTGTCGCCGAGAGTATTGTGGAGAATCAACGCCGAGGCTCGTCAGGAAAGGTATGTGGTATTCAGGTTGCTTGCTTATTGACGGTTGGGTTTGGTAGAGAGAGGGTGGAAGCCAGCATGTTGACCGCTTGTTTACATGCAGTATGCAGTGCGCAGGTAGAATGGGATTGCCTGCTAACACAGGGGATTCTGTCTGGCAGAGAGTCTGGCTGCGACAGTGAGATTCTCCCTTGTCGACCGCCATAATCCCCTAGAGAATAGAACCTACATACTACCCTGTGTTCGGCGCATCCAAGCTCACCGGAGGAAGAAGGCCGGGAGTTGAGAAGCTTCCACTTACAGTCTCCATGCAGGCTTGCTGTCTCAACGGTTCAAAACAGCAGCGGGCCATCGAGAAGCAATCCTACCTCAAGTTGGACCTATGGTGCGGAATGACATTACGAAGAGAGAGCACGGGGGCTTACAGAAGAAGAATCGTGGTCGCCTGAGCACCATGGAGCTGTCATTATTTCTCGGCATTGCTATATCGCAGCCAGATACTGCCCACTAGTTCCTCCCTCAGAGAAAAAGCCAGCAATCCACAGCAAACAAGCCTATTCTGTTTGCAAGGTGAGGCTGTGGGGATTGTTTTCGGGTTTGCCAATTGACAGCGCAAAGCCTTGTTGCAGGAGGTGATTGTCTGCCTCTGAGCCAGGGCTTCAACGGTAGTTCCCCCATACCAGGCTGTTTGGGAGCATAGAAAGCAATCAACAACTTCCATCCTGGAAAGGGATAGTCTCCCATCATCACTCATTTCAAACTCCCACCCGTTATGTCCTGCCGTGGATTATGATCGCTCATGAGGTTGGAAAGACCAGGGCGTAACTGCTCGGGGATGCGCTGAAGTGCCAAATCGAATGATGGTGGGCAATCCATGGATCAAAGCCTATCCAGCAGCCTGACAGTCTGTCAAGGCCACAGCCTGTGCAGCATTGCATAGTGTTGCTGCTCGGTGCAATCTGGGCCAGGTACGGACACTGGCCAGTGGTGGCTGAGGCCTGAAGTGCCGGATCATGCAGTCGTTGCTCCTTTGGCAGCCATATCCAGACAGCGGTATGTGGAGCACACACAGTCATCTCTCCTGCTACTGTCTCCTTGTGTCCAAGCCTGACAAGGCCAGTGGCTCGTCGTTCACATGAACAATCTCGGCGTAAGCTCTTTCAGGTTGTTGTTGATTCATTATTCAACTTGTTGCTTCGTGGGAGGCTTTCCATTTCTTGATTCTCCTGCTGATATCACCCTCTGACTGTTGCATAGGGTTGAGCTTGCGGTCTCTGACCATGGCTTTGATATCATCACCATGCTTTTCCACCAGTTTCGCAATCCACTCTTCTTCCCTCTGGCTCTGTTTCCTTGGACGCTTCGTCTTGGCCAAGAGTGCTTCCTCTTCTGCTGCTTGAGCTTCAAGCTGAGCAACCACGCTAGATTTCTGTTTCGACTGTGGTTTCTCCATATCCACATCCATGATGTCGTTGAGAGGATCATTCAAGGGGTTGTCGTTGACCTCGTCAGTCTCCGCCCGGATGACCCTGATGATGCGCCCCGTCTTGGGATCTTTCTCAACCTGAACTTCTTGAGCGGTGATTTTGGTAGCAGCTCGGGGTCCCGTAATTGCCAGGGAGTCTCGAATCTCTTCCTCAATGTCGCCATCTCTTGTTCTTTTCTTTTCAGTGCCACCAGTTGCAGCGTTCAATCGGGAGGACAGGCCAAGGCGTTTGTAATTTTGCGATACGGTGAGAGTACGATCCCTGAAGATATTAGCTGTGGTCAATTCTCACGATATGGTTGATCACCTACCAGTTTTTGGCTATTGTCTCATTACCCAGGAAGTTGACCTTTTTCTTCCCAGCCTTTGTCCTGTTCGACTTGGGTCTGACTGTCGGCTTGGACGATCTGTTCTTCTTTTTCTGTCTTTCACGGCCCATATTGACTTAGTGCTTCTCAGCCTTGCTTTGATGAGAACTAGTCTATGGTATGCGACGGTTGCAGTTTAGTCGTTCAAACATTGAAAACATTCAGTCGTTCCCTCAGATCCTCCGCAGACAACTTTTTCTGACATCTTATCGATAAGATTTCGGCAGACCTGCCATTCAGGGGAGAAGCATAAAGGCATGTCTGACAGAGACCTGTTGGAAGAATGACTGCCTGATATCCTATAAGTTGTCCTGTCAGACAAGCAAGCTGCCCATTGACGATGTACCCCTGAACTGTGAACTGTCCCTCTGCAGGCTACATGCTCTCATGCTCTTATAGATGTCTCCTCACAAAGTCGTGTGCCGACAAGATACTCCCACAACTCTGTCCACCTCCGTCACGACACGATGGCTTATACACGAGCCATGCCTTCCAAGATAATCAAATACATTCTGTATGCCTTGTGTCTCGGCCTGGCTGTTTCTGTCTGTGCAGAGACACTTCTCGGGCAAGAAAAGGATATAGGACTATTGACACCCGAAGAAATCCAAGAGAATCTCCAGGTATGATGTGACCACCGGACTTCTTAAACCAGCCAGCCATGGCTCGTTCCGTCAAACACTGCAGTTACTCACAGCAACGTGTGACAGCAATGTGCCTTTGTGCAAAACCTCTCCGAGCATAAAGTCAAGAACGGCCCGGCTCAGACCTCTCTGACCACGAGACTTTTCGAGCTCTTGTTCCCATCCTCGTCGCCCGCGATCAACGCGCTTCTAGCAACAGCATACATTTCCGGCCCACCGAACTTCCTACTCGCACTATGTCCACCGAACATCGACCCATCGTCTCTGAGCGTCATGGTCGCCTTCGCGGTCGGCGGGTTGCTGGGCGACACTCTGTTCCACCTCCTGCCCGAGATCTTCCTGGGCGAAGACGAGCACGACCGAGTCAAGTTCGTCATGGTCGAACCGAATCGCAATCTGCTACTAGGAGTTGGGATCATTGTGGGGCTGGTGACGTTTATGGCTATGGACAAGGCTCTACGCATCGCGACAGGAGGAGGTGGACATTCACATGATCATGACCACTCCCATGCTTCCGCCCCAGCAAATAGTGCGGAGGGAGCTGCATCTACATCATCAGGTGTTGTAAAACAGAAAGCTGACGGCGGTGAACTACGCAAGCGCAATGCCGGTAAAGAAGATCACAATGACAACGACGACAAAGCCGGATCGGGAGCCGAACACGATGCTACGTCTACGCCCACTAACCCGTCGGTCAAGCTGGCGGGCCTGTTGAACCTGATTGCCGACTTCACACATAACATCACCGACGGGCTGGCCTTGTCCACCAGTTTCTATGCCTCGCCTGCATTGGGCGCCACCACGACCATGGCCGTCTTTTTCCACGAGATCCCGCACGAGGTCGGCGACTTTGCCCTTCTGATCCAATCAGGCTTTTCCAAGCGCAAGGCCATGGGCGCTCAATTTCTGACCGCCGTGGGTGCCTTCCTCGGCACGTGTATTGGTATCTTTGTCCAGGAATACGGTGGTGCTGGGGCCGCTGACACCGTTGGACCGGTCAAGGGCATAGCGGGCACGAGTCTGCAGTGGGGAGATATGCTGCTGCCCTTTACGGCGGGAACATTCCTGTATGTGGGAACGGTGGCTGTCATTCCCGAGTTGTTGGAGACCGGGCCGAACAAAGGCCAAGAGCTGAAAAAGACAGCACTCCAGTTCGGCGCCATGTTCGTGGGGGCGGCCATCATGGTAGCCATCTCATGGTCATAAAAGTAATGAGACCGTGAATGCCTGTCCATAATGGAAAAGTGCATTGAATACAGCAATGATAGAGCTGCGTTGGGCGTTGTTGGCCTGCTATGTTGGCATTCACTGTTTGGCCATTATCTGTACTTCAGCACTGGCATCACTTCTGAGCAATGCTAGAACCAGCCCGGCCACATTTCCAACCCATTCCCGCCAACCCAGGGCGTACCCGGTGCCCACCACACCCTTACAGATCTCCCATCCATCTCGACTGACGGGATACTGCAACTTGGGCGGGATCGCGGTGCTGACGCCAAGCAACATGGCCCAAGATGCGTCGGCGCAGACACTCTTGATATTGCTCAGTGCTCTCAGACCTTCCTCGCCGCCAAAGCGACCATAGCCGGACCCCTTGACGCCGCCAAAAGGCATCGAACAAGCATAGAATGCGCCAAAGTCGTTGACAGCGACCATGCCGGCCTTGATCCCGGCAACGCACTTGGCAACGTTGGCGCGGTGATGGCCAAACACGCTTGCACCGAGAGCGTAGGGGGTTGAGTTCGCCATGGCAATGGCGTCGTCCACGCTCTGTGCTTTCATGAGCAAAAAGACGGGCGCGAAAAGCTCTTGCTGCGCAATCTCCATGTCCACGGTGACATCGCCGAGCAGGGTGGGCTGAAAGTAGGTTCCGTTAGGATAGTTAGGGTGGAGACATCGCTTGCCACCGCAATGAAGCTTTGCGCCCTGGGCGACGGCCGAGGAAATAAGCTCTTCGAGGCGTTGGAAGCTACGGGACGAGATCATCGAGCCCATATCTGGAGGGTCATTCGCAGAGGACAGGAGGACAGAGCCGAGACGCAGTGAGTGGATCTTGGGAAGCACCAGGCTGAGGAGTTTGTCGTGGATTCCAGGAAGGGCGATGACACGCTCGATGCCAATGCAATTCTGGCCAGCGGATTGGAAGACACCACGCATCAGAATGGCGGCAACATGGTCGATTCTCTTGAGCGTTGTTGCATCGTCCAATACAATCGCCGGATCCTTACCTCCCAGTTCGACCGTGACCGGAGTCAGCGCCTTGGCTGCCGAGCTGCAGACCTTGTGGGCAACTTCTCGACTGCCAATAAATGTGATATGACTCAATCCAGGATGACTGGTCAGATAGTCCGCAACTTGGGGCAGACAAATAACATTTTGCACCAGGTCTCGACTGTGACCACATGCCTGGAGGCCGCTTCGTATCAGATCCGTGAAGTAGAGACTGCTCCAACATGTCTGTTCACTAGGTTTGACGACGATGGCATTTCCAGCGAACAAGGCCGAGATCACTGGCGAAATGAAGTTGTGGAAGGGGTAATTCCAGCTGACACACGCAGCCACCACCCCTAACGGCTTGTAGATGACCGTGTTGGCTTTGTAGCACATGAGGAGGTTCGTCGGCCGCCTTGACGGCGACAAAGCCTTTTCCCCATGTTTGATTGTCCATTGTAGTTTTTCCACAGTCACCAGGATCTCTCCGAAGCAGGCATCAATCTTAGTCTTGCCGCTGTCTAGACAGCATGCCGTGACAATCTCTTCTTGGTGGTCAAGAATATGTCGTAGAAGGGTACGGAGGACTCGACGACGCTCGGAAAAGGCGGTTTGCGACCATGGAAGTTGAGCTCTGGCGGCAGCGGAGATGGCATTGTCGATTGAGGAAGGTGTCGAAGGAGTAATGGGCGCCCCAAGGCTGCGGCCATCCGCTGGACAACGAGGGTAGATCAAACCGTTGCGGATCTAGCCCGGGTAGTTAGTATAATGGTTTGAAAGCAGTGAATGCACCGGCTTTGGTGTACATACTTCAGACACATCTGCAGATGGGTGGTCTATCCCTTCGAGTTTCGCACCGTAGGTGGTGTTCAGTTCTGGAGGAGGAGAGATAGTGTATCTGACAGGACTCTCGTCTCGCAAACGGAAGGCATGGGATGCGAAGCGTACACAAAACAAAAGGATGCCGACGGGCAGCAGGGCAGTCAACAAGAGTCTCTGGCTGAAGCAGCCAGTCAGGCCTTCCACAGGCCAGTCGAAGTCGGGCACCATTCAAGTTGAAGCTCTCTTTCCCTAGGCAAGACACTCGGTGGAACTCGTATTCGCCAAATCTATGAGGGGATTCGGTCTTCTGCTTCTCGAGATAGGTGCCATGTACATTTTACCAATGAAAAGTACTGTCGCCTCCGCCAATCATCTCGTCAAATTCGCGGAAGTCGCCCCAGATACGATATCGCGTCGTGTGGAATCAACAACTTCGTTGAACGGCCTGGCCCTTGAGACATTCCGCAAGCACTTATGTCGTTTTCTATTCCTTGACTAGTCTTGAGCGGGAGGTCGCAAGTTGGCACCAAAACTACCTGGGATATTCTTGTGCTATACCGGTTCTTTGGGGAGGTGACTTGACGCCTCGACCGGTGCCCGTAGAATCGATGATCGATGATCCTACGTAATGTTTTGTAACAGTAAGCTGTGATGTTCCCAGCTAACAGATGCGATGCGTTTGAGCAGACATCCAGAGAGCCTGACCACTGCTGTGGAACGCTGTTTGCTATCTGCACCGCCACCTGCGCTGGAAGAGGTTCAAGCCACAAGCCACAGTAGAACGCCACTATCTCCGAATTGCCCACATACCAGGTAAACAAGATCCTGGACAGAGCGCCACAGACGCCACAGCAAAAGCTCCGATCACCAGCCTTACGCTGCACGGATCAACAAATGACGTCGACGCATTGTGCTGGGACAAGGATCCGGTCCAGCATCTGCCTTGTTTTCTCTGCTCTGGCGCCGCATGACGTTCGTCTTTGGATGCCCATCTTGTCTTTGACTGGCTTCCTGCCGCGATCCTTGCCCTGTGCCACTAGGATTCTTCTGTGTTCGGTTTAGTGCAACGGCATGCGTCCGGGGGGTTGGCCGAGATGTGCCCTTTTCTTCACCATTTTCAGCCTTGGGCGACCGAGATTGATTCCAGATGGACGTCATACCGCTGGTATATCACTGGGACAAAGCAGTTCACATTGGCCAGACGAGGCAAACCGGAGGATACTTGCAGGCGCTAATACCGAGTGAGAAAAACACGATGTGGACTGGATCTACTAGTAGGCCAGGACGACATCGACAAGTGAATGATGTAGTGATGTGGTCGGCGGCGGTGATCATGATACAAAGGGAAGTGACCACGCCGTGATCCTAGTAACCCAACCTCCTTTTCTGAATATTCCAGACACCTGATCTTAAATAAATCAAGCCACCAACCTTCCTTCACCTTTATTAACCCTCAGACCCTCAACCTCCAATCTATCTGTGCACAGACACATTCATAAACAACCCAAACCAAACCTCCAGACATCACACTTGCTCCTTCCTACACAAGAACACCAACTTCCACACACTTAGCCTCAGAAACAATCCAGTCCAGTCACAATGGGTGCCGTCGTCTCATGCGTAAGTCTAAGCCTGTCAAAAGATGCATTTTTGCCAATAACAACAACTGACCTCCTCGCCAGTTCACGTCCATCTGCCGAACCATCGGTTCTATCCTGATGGCCATCGTCAACGGAATCGGCGCTATCCTCACTGCCATTATCAGCGGCATTGTCTCCCTCTTTGACATCATCATCTCCTGCCTGACCTGCGGCCGCCACACTCGGAGCCGGCGTACCCATACAACGAGTACAGTCTAGTCCCCGGGCTCTCTCAGCACGACCGAATGCAAGCTGGAGAGAAGACTTCGAGAGAGTCCGAAAAAAAAACCAGGATACTGTTGGATGAGAAGACCGAGAGAGAGATTTCGACTTGAGATGGAGTGGACGCGAAGCGGAGTTGGCCACGGCTGGAAGAGGGACATGAGCATGATCTCGCCATTGGTCGTGGTCGATACGTGGTGGCATAGATTGGCAACTCGCACCCGCATGGCGCATTTTTGTACTTTATGAACCTTCGTGTTCTCGATACCCTTGATACCATGCGCATAGCCTAATGAAGAAAGAAGGCGTGATTTGAAAGACACAATGCTCGATTCTTGCCTCGACTCCTCCCAGTATTATATGATTGTCTATGTGGTATCCTTAACACCATCTCCCAGAACCCATTAATTTCCATGCGTGACTTTGAACGCCGTGCACTATCCATATCATGAAGAAAATGTTGCAAAAGCCCGAATACACGACTCAAGTCGTCAGTGTGATCATTTGGCCTTCCAATTCCTTCCGTCTCTTCGCCTGATCGATCACATTCTCAAAGATCCAATGCCCGACATCCGCTCTCTTGATACTATACCCGATCGCCGGAGAATCTTCAGTCCCGCTCCTGACGGCGTGCAGTCCAACGGCATCCGTACACGACACACCACCAGACAACAAAGTCGGCCGAATACCCACGACATTGCGCACCACGGCCTCGTCACCCTTGCCACTCTTCTCCGCCTCTGCACGATACAGATCCTCCATCTTCTTCTTGTCGGCATGCGGAATGGCCAGCATCTGATGATACAAGAAGCGCATGACAAACGGGACATCCTCCACGCCGCGCGTGACCCCTGTGGTCGAGACGAACGTCAACAGCGGCTTGTTGTTGGTTGGGTGCTGCTCGAGTGCCGCGTTCTTCTTTTCGGAGCTGCCATGATATACCTCGCGCAGGGCCGTCAGGAGCGTCCGCGCCGCCTTTTCGCAGATGGTCGGGTCGTCCAGCGTCGCGATGTGGCCTGGGTGGCACCAGTCGAAGGTGAGCTTGGGCGAGCCGCCGAGGCCGGTCACGATATGCCAGTCGCCAGGGCTGTGGTAGTGACGGCCACCTGTAGTGGCTAAGCTGAGTGTTCGTTTCACAGCATCGAGGTCGAGAGCGTTGCCTTGGACAATGGTGAGGCCAGTGTTGGTGCCACTGGCGTTGTCGACATCATCACTATCGTTGTGAATGAGGGCTTCGTCGACACCTTGACGGGCTAGTTGAGCGCGTAGTTTCTCGGGATTGCGCACGAGCGCGATCGCTCGGTAGCCTGCTTTCAAGGTATGGACGAGGGCCGCGTTGACCACGCCGCCCGTGGCGCCGAAGAAGACGACTGTTGGGGTTGTTTGAGATGATAGTGGGGAGGTCATGGTTGTTGCTGTCTCGGTTTGATGGTTGTTGCTGTAAGAAAGTCCTGTATTGCTTTTGAGGATTGTTCTCGTGATGATCTCCCAACTGAGTGCTGTTGCTGTTGCTGTTGCTGTTGCTGTTGCTGTTGCTGTTGGTAGTGGAAGTGATTGAAATAAACCTCCCACCTTGAAAACTCACGGATCATCCATACCTTTATACATCTCACCACTTTCATGGCGTCTTGCCGAGTCCATGAGTCCAGGCGCACTGCTAGAACAGTGTCCAGAGCAATCCAAAGACCGCAAGACCCGCCGATCGTTGTCGCAATATCGCGCTTCTACGAGGCTGAACTGTCCGATGGAGAGGCACATGCGCCCGCTGAATGAAGACGCGGAGGAATTGTAGCGGGGAATCGGCCGAATTGTTCCTCCGACGGGGAGGCGTATGAATTCCTATTGGTTATAATCTTCCGGCATGATTGTGATTGGCTGCTACCTCTGAACAGTCGGAGGGCCTGGATTTTCGGTTGCCTGCAAGTACAATGGACTTGGATTGGATCGATCAATCCTCTGAAGACTCTCAGCCTCATCAACTTTCAAGGCGGCGGGTTTTACACATTTGAGTCTAGCATCATTCAAGCTCGAAATATATTATCACATTGTCGCACTAGAATAATGCTCTTCATATTCGTGTTACGGCAGATCTCTTGTCCTGCAAGTTGTGGCCTGGTCTACTCCGTTGCTTTCTTACCACGGGTCTCAAGATTCATAACAGGGATGAGTGGTGATGGGGGAAAGGTGGCCAGTCCGTCAGCAATGAAGTTCTTGGAGTCGGGTGCCGCTTCCATCACAGGATTCAAGCAATTTGACAACTGGGCATACGAAAGAAGGCGGAGAAAGGAGAGGTATTTCTCCTCATGATTTAGGTGAACGTTAGCCAGCGCAGATGAAGACTCGGAAACGACGTTGACCCCAATATAGCTGAACATGTCCTCGGAAAATGAGAAAGTCCATAAATATTGAATACCCCCAACTTGAAACTCCTCCGTGCATGCGTTTTGGCTGACAGGAGAGAACGCCCTCAGTGACCCGCAGTGGTCGCACACACCACCCCGGGCGGCGACGTCTTGACAGTCGAGGTAATTCTGCAGGCACTGTTAACTTGTGATCTAGGAGTTTGTGAGAGTACATACGTTGCCCAAATGGTCTTCGTGGTCCAGACAGTTTCATACACCCTGCTAGTGCGAGTGCGTGTAGGAGTTGGCGCCGTGACCGTCGTAGTAGTCCTGGCCTTGCCAGAATATGCGGTCACAACTGGTGGTGTGCTGATGAAGTGTTAGCCAGCCGCTTTGGGCATTGGACTATCTAAAGAGCTTACATGGTGGAGGTGGTGGTGGCATTCTCAGTGTCAATTTCTGTACTGGTTGGAGCTGTAACAGTCGTGTATGACGAAACCACGAGTGTAGTCTGCAGGTAGGTCGTTGTGCACAGATCTGTCGCAAGTCAGTCTCACGCATAACCCAAGCAATGACTTCCACTACCTGGACCTCGTTTGAAGAGCTGGCCATCTCGCGATTGGATGGGGCTGCGTTGACCTGATCGTAACAGTTGTCCTTCACCACGACGAATGCGCGGAACTGCACTCAACGTCTCACTGCTGGCTGCGAGCGACGCTTTCGAAGGGCGGATGGTGCAGGTCGGATCCCTCTTGGGTGGCTGCGTCCGGCAAGTGGTTGTCACAGTCGTTGTCACGGCCTTTTTAGAAAAAACTCGGCTGGTGCGAGTGCGTGTCGAGGTTGACGTCCAATATACCGTGACTTGTGAAGGCGTGGTGGTAATGGTTCGCGTGGAAGTCGTCGACGGCACAGTTGTTGTCGAGGGTGGCAAGGTCGTCGAAAAGACGTTGGTAATTGTGGTCGTGATCGTGGTGGACGGCGTCGATGTGACCGTGAAGGTAGCAGTAGGAGTGGAAGTGACCACCACCGGCGGCCCGGCGACGACAGAGAAGGTTCTCATCCAGGCGAAGGTCAACCCTTCGATGATCACTATCCAGTTACCGGACCACATGCTCGATTTGGTCAACTCATCCCCAGGCACGTTGCTGGTATGGGTATCAGCAAAAGCCTCGCATACGCTGTCTCATCTCATACCATGTTGACACAATGTCAGAGCCGTCAGGCTGGGTGGGAATGTCGGAGCAGAAGTATTCATCGCCATTTGGATCGATAAGAATGGGTGTAATGTCACCTTGACTGTCAGATGGCTGACAGCCTTGTCAATGTCAGCACCCGATCTGCCATGGGTAGACTGGTCGCCTCACCATAGAACTCGGTTCCAAAAGAGAAGAAATCTGGAGACGTCGTATTGATACAGTAAGGACCGCCGCCGTCTACGAAGTCGTAACCATATGACAGACAGTCGGCGGCAGACTGACCCGCCACCGCCAGGAAAATATACAGCGAACAAGGTAACCAATGCATAGTTGAGAAAAAGATTGGAAGTGAATTGACAATTTCCATGCGATGGAAGATTTTAGAAGGCATATATTGAAGGAAGCACAGCCGTTGTATTCAACCAACGTGCGTCAACTGCAAGGCAACACAATCGAAAGCCTCACGCCCTCAACTCAAAAGGCATTGTCATCTAAGACATCTTACCTTCCAGGCCGGGAGGACATTGGCGAGACGAGGCTGCATCCCTGGATGGCCTAATTCGGGCTCCGGTGGCTGAGACAACAAACAAGCAGAGACCAGATCGACAATGATGCAAAAAACTGCAAGGTGTGTGTGCAACCCAGAAAAGCAACGATTGCATTCTGGATCCATGTCTCATGAGCAATGCGGACATTGCAAACAGAACAAACCGTACAGATTGGCATCACAGGGTCTGGCGATGAGCATCAGAGGATATCCGCCACTCCGGCTCTGCAGAGCCTCGATAGGAGGATGCGGTGTGACGATGAAGATTCCATTTACGGCGGCCCAGAAATGAAGAAGTCTGAACAGGGTGAATCACCCACAGAGAAGGGATGCAATTTCAATTTCCATCGAGGGATTGCGGCCCGAGATCCCAGATGAAGGAGCCGAGTTGGGGATGCAAGAAGTCCTTTTCTGGATCGGCGTGGCTCGATAACAAAGTGGACGAAGGGGATGAAGGAGCGAAAGGGTGAAGAAGTTGATGCGAGGGTTGTTGTTGGTGTTTATTGAAGCTGCTGTGTCACGGCGCCGAAAGAGGCCGAAGTCCGCAGCTGATCATGTGATATTGGGTCACATGACCTTTCCGCCCCTTTCGGGACTTGTTCATCAAATCAACTCCATCTCTTCCATTGCACGTCGAGTATTCGCTATAAGCATTTCTTGCAGGCCCCCTTGATTGCGGCCAGGCCGGATTGAAAGACTGGACTGCGACAACAGCCTTACGGAGATTGCATGCATGTCTTGCTTGTCTCGGTTGGTGCCTCCCCCACACGAGGCCCCCGCCAGGTTCAGTACCGCTGAACCTCGATACGATCATGATCCGGCGGTGTTGCCTCGAATGTGACGACAATCCTTCCATTGTAGCACGACAAGCTCTGGAACGCTGTCAGGGTCCAAGACATGTCGGTCCAGTCTTGCGTGTACCAGATTCTGGACCGCAGGTATGCAAAGCGGTGGAAGAGTATCTGTGAAAGGGGCTCGACGTTCCCATATCAACAATGAGCCTCCCTTTTCCGTGTGCTTTTCCAGATCAATCTACTCTGTTTTTCTTTCTAGTCGCTCGCTATGTTGCTCTTTCTGTCTCTCATTTCTCTATTGCTTAGCCAGGCTCTGGCGGCCTACCTCCCCAAAGTTGAACTGATCCGGATTGACAATCATCTGGTGCGAAGACAGGCGTCTACGACCTCGACCAGCTCAGCCACGACCACCAAGAAACCCGACTCACAATGCACCAATGGACCACTGACCCGCCAATGCTGGGGCAATGGATTCAGCATCGCAACCAACTATGACAACACCTGGCCCAACACCGGCAAGGTGGTCCAGTATCATCTGGAAGTCACCAACACCACCATGGCATTGGACGGTGTTTCCCGAGTCGTCTATGCAATCAATGGACAATACCCAGGTCCCACGATCCGTGCCAGCTGGGGTGACACGCTGCAGATCACGGTTAAGAACAGCCTGACCACGAACGGGACCAGCATGCACTGGCACGGCCTGCGCCAATGGCACTCGAACCATATGGACGGCACCAACGGCGTGACCGAGTGTCCCCTCGCCCCAGGCCAGTCACGCACATACACGTTCCTTTGCACACAGTTCGGCACAACATGGTACCACAGCCACTATTCCGACCAATACTCAGACGGCGTGGTGGGCACGATGATCATCGACGGCCCAGCGACGTCCAACTACGACATTGATCTGGGAGCATATCCGATCAATGACTGGTACTACCGACCAGCATTTGAGCTGGCGCCTTTGATCCAGAGAGGCGGCTTCCCACGTGGCCCACCGCCGGGAGACAACATCCTCATCAACGGCACAAATGTCAACGCCAACGGCACCGCAGGCAAGTACAGTCGGACCAGCTTGACCAAGGGCAAAAAACATCGACTGCGACTCATCAACACGTCGACCAACGACAACTTCAAGGTCGGACTGGATGGACACAACTTCACCGTCATCACGGCTGACTTTGTGCCCATTGTACCGTTCACGACGCAGTGGCTGTTCCTCGGCATCGGCGAGCGGTACGATGTCATCATCAACGCCAACCAGCCCGTGGGGAGCTACTGGTTCCACGCCGTGCCGCAATCCGGCTGCAGCAGCAACTTGAACCAGAACTCCCTCGCGATATTCAGCTATGTCGGCGACACCTCGACGGCTCCGTCCAGCTCTGCCAAATCTAATGCCCCGGCCCGCTCGGACTGCGCCGATCCGAACAAGAACTTGGTGCCGTACGTCAAACTCGACGTGCCGGACAACTACACGATCCCGCAGGAGTCGCATCTCGACGTGGGCTTCGCCATCATCCAGAACCAAGCGCAACAGACCTTGTTTCAGTGGAACCTGAACTTCACTGCCATCCAGGTCCCATGGGGCAAGCCGACCCTGCAGTACGTGCTGGACAACAACTCGAGCTACTCGCCGGAAATGAATCTGATTTCTCTGCCCAACGCCAACGCATGGTCGTATTGGGTCATCCAGGCCGTGGCTACGATCGCTCCTCCCATCCCGCATCCAATCCATCTGCACGGCCATGACTTCTACGTCTTGGGCGCGGATGCCGGCATCTTCAACAATTCCCAGACTCTGAACTACAAGAATCCACCGCGTCGCGATGTTGCAATGCTTCCCGCCTCCGGATATCTCGTCATCGCTTTCATCACCGACAACCCGGGCGCGTGGTTGATGCATTGTCATATCGGATGGCACGTCGGATTAGGCCTGGGGGCGCAGTTCCTGGAGGAGCCTGACCAGATCAGAACTACATTGGCCATCGGCCAGGACTGGAAGCAGGAGTGTGCGCAGTGGAACGCGTATTCTGCAACCGCACTCTATACGGAGCAGGATTCAGGTTTGTGATGGTAGCAGGAGTATCTGCAGATATGTCGGCAGCCAAGGACGACGAACGTTGGCGTATGCAGCATCCAGTATGTCAAATGTAGCTTTCTTTCCTTCCTTGGCAATTGTATCACAATGGGTCGGAACTCGCAGAACAACCTGAAGTTAGAGATCACATCAATCGGTGTAGGCGGATGTGCTTCCGTAGCCTGTGCATTGGGTCATTACAAGCGGCGCCCGCGCTTGACTCCATGTCTTCCTTTAGCTGCTCTGCAAGGCCAATGATACCTGTACCGATCACTCTGTCAAAACAATGACATGCGAAGTATGCACACATCAAACACAGTGGAATTTGTTTTCTGTTGTATGAAACCCAATGAATTGTTCTAAACCACTATACACAATTCGCTCTCCGGAATGTTTGAACCACCCAGATATTTTGCCATCCTGCGGATTGCTGCGGCGTCTACAGAACAGACAGGTTGGGGAATTTCTCCTGTAGCGCGTCGACAGGTTAGCAATGATGAGCTTCGTAACGGCCAAAAGAAAAGGAGGGACTCTGCGGTGACGCAGCAGGAATATATATCGTACCAAGTACCCAGGAGGCATCCATCGGCCCTTCTTGACCAAGTTGGCGGTGTACTCGTCGATTTCGGGTGCCGCGGCAGCGACCTCGTCGACGGTGGTCTGATCCCATGGACGGGCACCCTCGATGTCGTTCAAAGCCTTCTCCAAGCTCCTCAGCTCGACCTCGACCTTGGACTTCGTCTCCTCGGCATTCTTGAGGGCGATCTGCTCGAAGCTCTCGATGGCCTTGAGCTGCTTGCTCACGTCGTACGTCTTAGGCTGGAACGTCTTGAAGTATTGCTCGATCTCGTCGATGACAGCCGTGTTCTTCAGCACCGAGCGGTAGTGGCCGAAGTCGACCGTCGTCGGCTGCTCGGAGAGAACCTGCACCCGGCGGCGGGCGTCGTCGTTTCGCTTCTTGAAGTTCGCAAGCGCCGTCGCCGTGCTGCCGCGGAGGCCGAGTTGGGAGCTGACTTTGCTCCAGTCGAGCTTCATTGCTGCGCGAGACTGGTGGGCACGTTAGTCCATGACCTCCCATTTTCCGGGTTGTCGCCTCTGCTAGATGCTAGCACAGACACGGGTAGAGCTTCTGCACGTACTTGAGCCATTTTGGCGGGTTGTGTGGAGGGGTGCTGGTGCAGTCGAGAGCTGGTCGTCGAGCTTTTGTCCTGCGAGGATTGAGGTTCCAGTTGTCTTGTCCCGAGCTCGGCAAAGATCCCTGAATCGGTGGCACAGTCACGTGATCTCCACCGTTCTCCAAGGTCCCTTAAGCCCTATTGTGACGTCGCGCATTTACTTTAGGTACTATCCCACTACTATGAACACGAAGCGGCTGTCTACCACAACAGGTCGCCTATCGCCTGCAGATATAGCAAAGAGGGTAGGTCAGGAGTTTTCGGCTTTTTCGAGCATGTCACAGTGTGCCGCTTAGCATTGCATTCTAAAATGCCTAAGTTGGTTCCTCAATCTCGAGGAAAGACCACTCAAAGCCAGGCAGATCCACAACTTTTGAGTGCTTTTGATCATACACTTAGCGCCATAATGGAGTTGACAATGTCATTGCCATTCTCCTTGAGGGCTTTGATGGCTTTCTTCCGCGACACCGAGGCCTGGGTCATGACCAGTTCGATGTCCTTAGCCTCGAGACCACTGTCGTCCACTTCTTCGTCATCATCATCTTCCTCCTCGGGCTTCTTGTCTTCGACGGCCTTGCCCTTGCCATTCTCAGCGCCGTGGTCGTGACCAGAGTGATCCGTGTTGGCGGCTTCGGCGGCAGCCAACTGCTGAGCAGCGGCGGCTTGTGACTGGGAGTTGAGATCTTCAATCTTGGCCTCCCCGAAGATGCTAGTACTTGTCAGATAGGATCTGTTGTGCGAATTCAGATTAAACTCACATCCAGGTGTTGCTGGTTGGCGAGCGGTAGACATCAGGGTTTGAGATGACGAAGAGAATCTGTAGCCCACACGTTAGCCTCCTGAAAACTCATTCAGAAATCGCATGACCGGAGGAGATAATCTGGCTCTCTATCTTCCATCTGCGGTGGAGGTCACTTACACCCTTGGGTCTTCTCAACGTGACTCGTGTGATGCCCGGGACATGCTTCAAGCCCAACTTGCCAATAGCCTTTCGCGCCTTCTTCTCGTTACGGCTGTGGACTGCGACGGCAGAGCCAGCGGGGATGTTAGCCTCTCCCTCTCCCGCACCCTCAGCCTCGGAGTCGGATGAGCTGGACGCATCATCAGCCGCGACCTTCTTCGAGGGCTCGTCGTCTGGAAGTTCTTCTATTCTCGGGTTCGCCATGATGACAGACTAGGAAGTGATAGGTGGGATGTTGTATAGCTGCGCTGGACTCCAGGTTAGCCAATGTCGCAACCAAACTGCGCTACAAAGCCCTTGCTTTGTTCGCCCTCTGTCGAGATTTCGTCCAAGTTTTCTGCAGGGAAATGCTTCTGGGGGCCAAAGTAACCGGGAGACAGCTTACAATTGTGTCGTTTCGTGTCGTTGATGCGCAGCTGAATTTTGTCGATTTCGATGTCGAAGCTGGTTTCGATGTGGTGCATTGACGCCGAGCTCCAGCAGCACCAGGTCTTGGCGGTCCAGATCTAAGCTGGCGCCGCTTTAACCAAGCCTCATTTAGAATTTACGTAGATGGTTCACCTCTAGGTTTAAGTCCTCAGGCCCAATTCCTTAAACTTATACGAACGATAGATAAGTCAAAAGACCCCTGTCCTTTTCCCCAGCTCGTTCGAGCCGTGTGAGATATCATTCGGCATCAATTCTTCCACCGAGCACCCTTGTCAGACCCGAGCCTGAGGGGAATGTCTGGGGTGAGAGATAGCCAACCATGGTATGATTGGACTCCGAGCGTAAGGTGCCAGATCACAGGCTACAACATCTCTGAAGACGGCCTCGAAGATAACACTGTGCAACGGTTCTGCAGGATGACGTCTTCCATTGATGTGAAGAGATGAACACTATACATATATACAGTGGCATTGCCAGGTGAGTTCTGCTCAGCAGCGATAAGCCACGTTGCTCGTACACCACAAGAAACCGAGATCGAAATCGCATACTAGGATTAGACTGTACTTGGCTGCAAGGCTTGAAGCGTCAGGTAACAACCGACTGTCTTTCGACATGTCTCCGCTCTTTGAGAAGTTGAAACCGAGCAAAAGCGATGGCATGAGCGGCATAGGAGCAGATCAAGGCGCACTGGAAACGTCTGGTTCGCCTTCTTTCAATCCTACAAAGTCGGCGGATCAAGAAGGTGATCCTGACCTTGGAGTAGGAAGCGGTGATGGCAAGGGTCAGGAGCGAGCTCCCAACACGTTCGGCGGGCCATCCTTTGGCCGAACCAGTCAGACCTCTAAGCATGACTCGGAGCTGCTGAACAAGTTGGATCCCAGAATTGGGTACGACGGCGACGAAGTGCGCGAGCAGGACTTAGAGCAGTATGAGAAGAAGTATGGCAGGCCAGAGCCTGTTCCTGACGCCGACTCGCGTGGAGTAGACATGGTTGGGATCGGTCCGGATCAGAGTGCACTCAGGGAAGACCCAACCTTTCGATCACAGGAACAGGAAAGGTCGTATTGACCATTCCCAATGATACTTGAAGAGATATCGACCTCTCCCACGGACATCAGAAAGATATCTGGGTATGGGATGAATTTTGTCGCTGAGCTAAACAGCACCACTAGTGAAGATGCTCGCGAGAAACCTCAACGCACCGCTTTGGGAGGGCCGGGACATTGAAGAAATGATAAGTCTTGAATATGTTGCCTGGTTCAGGGCGCCATGATCGTTAGAGACTGTATCGCAGTGCGTTGTGTTATAACAGTGGTTCAAGTTGTTAGCTGTATCACTAGTATTTGGTTTATCAGCAACTTGTACTTCTCCCTCCAAAATGAGGCTGTGACGTCAATCAATTACTTTGACTTCCACTCCGAGTCCTTGATATGTGCTGAGCTTCAGAAGTAGGCAATACGTACTACTTAGTATCTCACTTTACAGCTTCCAACATTGTGCCCGTGTCATGTTCCGTTCCGGGTCTGGCTGCCATATGATGCGATTCGGGGTTGTTAAATCTCAGCATCCCCCAGCTGAAGCCTCGTCGAGACCAAAGCACCGGCCACAATCAGGGCTGTCTTTTCCCGAAGCACACCTATAACGATGTCTATCCAGGCACTGGCACGTAGTTGCCAGCGTCGGCTCATTAACGCGCGACGACCGTTCAGCAGAGATGGCTTTACCAAAGACCAAATAAAGACGGCAGAATTGCAAAAGACACCCCATACCCCGAACAACGTGGTGACAGAGGTCCCTCATTCCAATGAGCCTTCGTTCATCGACGTCCCAAGCCCACTGTGGTATCACAGGCTGGGCCCAGTGCAAGATTTCTTTGGTTGGTTCAGTCGCGTGCAGCGGCAAAGACCGAAGACCACTACACTGGCGACTTCTTTGACCACATATCTCTGTGGAGATCTCCTGGCGCAAGAAATGGGAGGAGAGCCCTATGACGGCGGTCGAACGTTGAGGATGCTTGCTGTGGGAGGGGCGGCTTCGATCCCAGGGTATAAATGGTAGGATACCGCTTCTGTCGTCTTCCGTGACTGGAGGCTGTATGAGCGGACGGAGTGTTGACATTTGGTCTCCATCCAAAGGTTTATGTTCCTGGGCAGCCATTTCAACTATGCCTCCAAATGGACGTCGATCATGGTCAAAGTCCTCATCCAGCAATTCCTGTTCGCGCCCGTCTTCAACACGTACTTCTTCGGCATGCAAGCCGTCTTGACGAATCAGCCTCCCTCGGTCATCATGCACCGTGTCGTGTCCACGGTTCCGGAAAGCCTGGTCAGCTCTGCGAAGTTTTGGCCGTTAGTCACCGCCTTGAACTTCACCCTCATACCCGCCCATCTACGTTTCGCGGTCTCGGGTTTCTTCGCTGTGATTTGGCAGACGTATATGTCTTTCCTAAATCGGCGGGAGGAGAAGACAGGGCCTACTGGCACGCTGGCCGACCAAGCTCGACAGAAACTGTACGAAGATGCCCCGTCGGCTTCGGTTGCTGACGTTCTAGACAGTGTTGATTCAGGAAAGTCGGCATAGAACCTTGTATTTTGATGGTAGGACACGGATTCGATTCATGAGGACTGAGTACAGGTTTGCGCTTGCGATTCAATTATTAGTCGGCTCTGGCAACGTGTTAGGGAAACGGCAGGATTGGGCACCTGATGTCCCTTGGGCTCAACACAAGAATGGGATCGTTGTTGCTCGGCGGCCTGCTGGGAGTCACCGTACTGGCGTCATTGTCAGCTAGCGCATGGCGACTGGGTAGAATCAAATGTTGCAACTGACAGTCTCGATTCTACGATTTTGGGCGAGCTGGGCAACCAGATCAAGCATCCGCCATGACCCAACGAGTCCATGGCCACAATCACTTGCGCAGGCAGATTCGCTTGTGGTCATAGGTGTTTCCAATAACCCCGAGTTGCGAAACAGCCGTGTGGCAGAGTGTCAGAGTGTCAGGGGACATATCACGATCGTATACGAGAACGTCCTGTTGTTCCAGCGACAAGCGCAATCTAAAGAAGAAAGCGGAAGACAAGGAAAAGGCTGGATCGCACGCAGGAAGTGTTGGACTCTGCTGATTCAGATTCGAGACAAACCAATGCGATGGTCCACAAGGTTGAATTCAAAGTTGAAAGAGTTGAGCATGATCGGAGTAGCACGGTTGAGTCCTGCACCTGTGTGTAAATCCATCCTCAGTCGCATCTGTCATAATGCGCGATCGATCAAGCTTGTGATTTGAAACCATGCCGCAATCCATGAATTTTATTGAATCATGTCCTGCCTGAAACCCGGGCGGGAAAAAGTAGGTAGCCACACCACGGATGGGGGGTTTGTCAATTGCCCCTGACAATTGGGGTTTTCACGACATGCCCACAACCCGCATGCCTTCCATTGATCTTGAAAACGTGTCAAACTGCATGTGACGCCTGAATCAATGCCGAATTTATGCCTTTGCCGCCGCCCGGATCTTTGCCTGGGCCTTCAACGTCTCGAATCGCGCCTAGATATCCTGTTCGTCAGCCTCAAGTCCTCTCAAGACTGTGGATATGCGGAGTGGGCGTCGGCGTTTCTGACATTGCCGATCGCCGCTGTGGAACTCACCTGCTTCTTCAGCCTCATCACCTTGAATCGCTCAAAGTCCGTCAGGTTTCTCCTCCGGTCCTGCTGTTCTCTCTTCTTGGCCCAGGATGACTCTGCCCACTTGCTGTCGACATCGTACTTCGCCCACAGCTTCTTCAAGGCACCGGTGCCGGAAGCCTTTGGTAGGTTGGGAATGACCCAGGGTGTAAGAGAAACGGCGCTCGTCTGGATGGGTTGACGGGGAACAGCTGCGCCTTCTTTGGTTGAGGGACCGTCGATCAAGATCTAAAAAGTCCGCGGTAAGCCCGTATTCCTTCAGCGTCGGTTTTTGGACACACGTACCCGACCAGGGTCAATGATCTCGACGATAGCAGCCAGCTTGCCATCGTAAGGTCCTGAGCGGAGGGTCACCACTCTTCCGACCTCGATCAACTTCCACCCAGCCGGCTTAATATCGACGTTAGACATCTTGCCGAATTGACTGCGCGCACGATCAGTAACGGTGTCGACGGTCTGCTGAGTCGGAGGAGGATGTACCAAACGGTTGTGTGTTGGGAGATTAATTGTCGCTGGTTGTGTCGTCGGACAAGTGTGGTGCGGCTGTGACTTGCAATTCAAGTCTGTTAGTGGCACATGTGTGCGCCAAGGCCGACACATCTAACATCCCGCCAAGACCGAAATCTTGGCATCAGATCTGCAGCCGGCAAAAGTTTTCGACTGAACTTCAACTTGAAGTTCTCGACAACCATCTCGACCACTGCATGCCGTTTGTTTTCATGCTGTGGTTACTCGCTAGCAATGTCTGCGTTGCTGGATGTTACAGCTCTTTATGACAATTCATCATGATGTCCTGGACCACTTGGGTCTTTGAGGTCTGGTATACTGACTTGCATTTGCTTATCTGATTCCAGACCACGGCAAAGCTCTGTTTGAGTGTGACGGTAAGCAAACCACAGCTTCCTTTGCTCACCCCAACATCTCTATTCTGATGATATAATTTGCGATTGACTTCGGCACTGGAGACTCTCGCCGGAGTCTCATAACAGTGCTGGGGACATGATATTGAATTCTTACATATGCTGAACTCGACTACTCGCCACTCTTTGAATTCCGAGCCATCTTCAAAATATAACTCCGACTGACAATACCAACAGGTTTCCTTCCCTTGCGAGTCCAGCTTCGTCGAGTGCTGTCCGTCTGACATGGCCTCGATATGGAGAATATCTGATGTCTGCTACGATGCTATAATAGGCAGTTTGCCGTCGCTTTAAGCATCCCGTCAAGCAAGGTATGATTCTTTTCTCTCCAAAGCCTATCTCCGATGATTAGACCACTATGCACTAGATAGTAAATGATCAAATTTGAAATGATCGTACCCCATCACCAAGATCTCTGAGGGAATCTCCATCTCCAAACATCTCCATTGATTTGCAAGGACTGATGCTGACTATCACCAGGTGTAGGTACCAGGTAGGCATTGAACACAAACGCAGACTATTGCAACCTCATGACAAGACTTCGCCGTGGCCAACCGAGAGACTGGATTCGGGCGCACATGGCAGTGCAAGGCAAGGTATATTGGAAGTGTGTCAGACACAGTATCCGGCTCTCAGCAGGAAGTGTAGATGCCGTCCACTGGTCGTGGACATGCAACCAGCCATGGAAGCCTGCGCAGCGCCGATAGTCGACTACACCACGTAGATTTCTGCCTCCCACCCTAGCATATGGAACTGGAAAGTGTTTGTCCATCGTTCCACGGATATCTTGACCCCTTGCAAGATAATCTACGCTGTCCGTATCACAAGCAGGAAATAGCGTTCATTCTTCCGCAATCATGTCACACTGTGCTGTCAGTTGCTTAGTCGGGTCTCTACGAGCCGTTTCAATCGCAGTTGGCTGCAAAGATGAAGGTGACATGCGGTGGTTTAGCAGATCAGGGGAATTTCTTCGTTGCCCAAGTGCAGTGAGATTCGGCCATCCCATCAGCTCTCTCCTGGTGTGACCTGGCTTCCACAAGGTATGTTGGCGATGTGTTTTACTGCCACGGCCGGACGATCCTAGAGGTAGCAGCAAAGCACAAACGGATCGGTACAACACAACATATGCGAACTCAACGCAAGCTTGCCTTACATGCCGGCTCTGTTCCACAAGCGATTTGATCTTGACATGCGCTGTTGGACCAGTATATCGCGCAATCCCTCCTCTTCACTTGATGGGCCAAGGTATCAAAAGTCTTCCCAGTCGTAACACATGTAGACGGGGCGGATGCTCGACACGTCGGGTGTGAGGTCCTGGTGGGCTCCTATGCTGGGAGCCCTGAGCGCAGTCCTGGCTGGCATTGCCGAGTATCCGATTGGCTTGCCTGAGATCACCTTTTTGGTATCGATGCCGAGAGTGCACTCCAGTGTGCCGCTGGAGGGTGACATAGTAGGCCGGACGAGGAGACGTAGAGTATCGGGACAGATCAGTCGTGTAACGAACCTTCGGCAGGGTTGCACGGAGAAGTGATACAGGAATTAAATGCGAGGGTGATCCGGAGCATGACCAGGGTGTTCAACGCAACCCACTCGTGCCGTTTTCTTTGTTTCTAGCGTCCAAGCTGCAAGCCGCAAGGCTTAGGCTCCTGTCTGTCAACCTGACCTCCTCCATCTTCATCCACCCGAATCGCGTAGACCAGCACCCAAATTCGAAATGGAGGTGTGTTGAACACGGAGACTCGCGGGAGCGGATAGGAGCTGTGTGATATGGGAGGGATTTGGATGGAGGTTCAAGGCCACGACTGGGGCTGAAGCAAGAACCCGAAGACAGGTTCGCTGGCGGTGAAACAAGACATAAAACTCATACTGCACCGCGGCAGAGTGTCGAAGGTGAGAGACTCATGACAATGGCAAGGCAATGAGCCCTAGTTGATGGAGGTGAATGAACACTTCCGTCGTATGTCGTTCTGAGAGTCCAGACTGCGCCGTCAGATCTCATTCACTCATTCACTCATTGACGACTCACTCCTCCATGACCACTACTCGCCTTGTCTCTCATCTCTTTCCGCTTCTACCCTCACGCTGCTGTCTCCTTCTCTCCTCTCATCTCCGTGTCTGTGCGACACTGCCCAGCTCTTCAGCAGACCTCACTTGTACCTCAGACAGCACGCTGGATATCGTGCGTCGCATAGCTGCTTACGACACGCGCTCGTCTCACTCACTCATCTCTTCTCACGCAACTCATTCTCTCCTTCCAATCTTCCTACCTATTGACAGCCAGAACTTGTCCTCCATTCCAAATCTTCAGTTGAGCTCGCTCTCCGCTGGTACGGATGGCTTCCTCTGCTCCTCCATGTGCCGGCGCCCAGCCTCGCGGGGTTGATAAGGACCTCGATGGCAGTGCCACTGCACTCCAGCCGTTCTATGCAAACGGCTACGACATGGCCTTGAGATTCAATACCGATGGACTTGGCAACACCTACATCGGCATTGTCATCGCGTGGACGTGTCTCTTGCTCCCTGCCGCCATCTTCCTCATCCGTCACCGAAACCTGCCTTATCTGCGCATGCGCAATATCCCGCTTGCAATCAGTGCAGTCGCTACTCTTCACGTCTACTGGGTTCTTTGTATGATTGCATATGTCCTGAATGGATATTTCCCATGCGCCACGGAATACTGGATCATGAGCATTTACCTGCCGCTGGGGATTGCTTTATTCCATGCGACAAATACTCAACTGCTCTCCATAGCCACGGCCCAAAAGAGATATGCCCGAGGTGATGCCCTGCTGGAGCCGCAACTGTCAAGGAAACCAACTGCACGAGGTTGGCGGAAGTGGTGGGAAACTCTGAAGGCATATAATGCCACAAAGAACACCATGGCATGGATCGGAATGGGTATGCTTGTGCAAGTAAGTGATTAGTCTCGCTACACATCTGACCCAAACTGACAATCTCAGCTTTTCGTCACCTTGTTTGTATTCCTCATATCCCGAAAGTTTCACCCTAGCTTTGGCATCACGGGAGTGGTGACCTCAAGGGCCGCCTGCCGAAGAGGATGGGAATGGTGAGATTAGCAACATGCGTCGCGCACTTGATACTGACATTGAGACAGGTGGCCTTCAATTGCCTGGCAGCTCTTTTGGGCCTGGGTTTATGCCCCTATTCTTCTTTGGCGAGTCCGTGGAATTGACGATGTTCATGGCTGGCGGTCACAAACTGTGGCTTGTGTCATTGCTGGGTATGTATTCACGGCTGATAAGGGTGACCTTTGTTAACCATACCAGAATGCCTGCCTCCCCAATGTGGTTGATTGCACTTTACGCCAGTCCCATGAAAGCAGTGAACAAATACTTTGCTCCACCTTTATGGTAAGCCCTTCCTTTTCAGTGAGTATATTATGCAGCACGTAACTTACGACCCCCAGGTTCTCTGCCTCTATTGTGATCATGCAAGCGTGCGTGATATTCGTGCCATTTTGTCAGATCTTCAAGAACCGAAAGCTTGAAAGGGAAACACGAGAAATCATTGCAGAATGGGAAGAGAAGAACAAAACAGATGGCTCCTTCACCTCCAGTTCGACAAAAGTCGAAGCCCGGTCAAGATTCACAAGTCGCCAGTCTGTCAAAAGCACCACCAACAGTCGTCAAGGGGAGATGTACACCATGAGTGCCCTAGAGAAGACTCTGCAATTGAACCCGTCCCCTCTACTCATGTTTTCGGCATTGAAAGACTTCTCCGGAGAGAACATCAGTTTCTTGATACACGTGCGTCAATGGAAAGCGAATTGGATGTCTGCGAGTCCCCGCTCCGGCTTTCTACGCAAACAGGAACCCTCGAAACCTCACGATCCAGTCTTGATCCGTCAACAATTCCAACTGGCCGTCGGCATCTACGCTTCGTTCGTCAGCTTAAGGTACTCGGAATTCCCCATCAACATTTCGTCTGCTCATCTCCGAGACCTCGAAGGCGTTTTCGAACAATATGCTTCCCTGGTCTGCGCCGAGCCAGCCGCCAATGCCGCGACTCCGTTCGAGAACCATTGGTCTTCCAACTTCTCAGATGACCTGGAAAGTCAAGGCGGCAAGGACGGATTATCCATCGTGTCGACGGCGGTCGGTGAAGGTGCACGGGACGAGCTGATGAAGCCTGACTCAGAGCGTGTCGGCCAGTTGCAGGAGCTCAAGATGACCAATTTCGGCGACCGACTTCCTTCCAACATTGGAATTCCCGACACATTCGGTCCCAACGTCTTCGACAAGGCTGAGCTCAGTATCAAAGAGTTGGTCTTGACCAATACTTGGGCCAAATTCGTCAAAGCCGGGTTCGCGCAGAACACTACTCAGGAAGGCTTCGCCGCACGGTTTCAAGCAGCGGTCGAATCCTGTCGACGCAGACTTCCCAAAGTCGGCGGTCGCTTTCGAAGATGATTCATAAGCCATGCTGCACCCATCTCTCAAGTCTTCGGCACGGGGCGGAGGGCGGATGGGTGGTCATGACGATTCATGGCGTTTCAAGGTATGGACGGAGCCAAGCGAATGCCGCAACAGCAAGACCCCGATGGATCGAATGGACAGGTCGGGGAAAGGGGGGACTTGACACACAACAACTCGTCACAAAAATGCCTCTTTTGCTCATGGTAGAGTTGCAACATTGCCAAAAAGGAAGAAAGACGAAAACGAAGAGCCGTGTTTAGTCGAGGCAAGATGAAATGGCTATCTGGGTGGAGGCATGCATGGCGAACTGGGCTTAAGATTCGGAAATATCCAAACGTGCTCACTGCAGACAGAGCTGGCAATTGCTGACACATGGACGTATGGACGTATGGACGTATGGAAGCATGGAATAAACCCCATTGAATATGTGGATGGATGAGCCTCCTCAAGCCTGCCGCCTCCCAACATGGTTGCAGCTACTATTACTGACTGTATGGCAATGATATGAGCTGATCGATAACATGGCTGAGCCCTCACTTACTTTTTTGCGGTAGATCTCTTTCATTGTCTCTTTCGTTGTCTCTTTCGTTGTCTCTTTCGTTGTCTCTTTCGTTGTCTCTTTCGTTGCAGTAGTGCCGACGTAATACAAGGGCAAGTACGGGAGAGGTTGTGTGCCGTCGTGTCTTTTTCGTCTGTCGTCCAACAGAATAGATATCATGATCACGAATTAGAACCATTGACTTGCATATAATAGACCCCTGGGTTATGGTCAACGACGCAACAAAGTGTAAAGTAGTTTCTTTTCCGTCAGAACTAATCATTACATCGATCCATCTATCTATCCATACTAGTATAGTATAGTATATTTTGCTCACTCCCTTCTTTTAATTCTCCTCCTCCTCCTCCTCCTCCTCCTCCTCCTTCTTCTTCTCCTTCTCTGTTTTCTTCTCCTCCTTTCCTCCCAATAAACCACCAACACGGCGTAAAGATTCCCTCCCGCCCCCCCTCGACCGCACTATCGACACAATACGCCAAAGTGGTCATAGCGGCACAAGTCCCACGATCAGCCACGCCCAGCCGCTCCAGAGTCCAGAGCACAGCGTAACAGATCCGCCGCGGCCATTTGGACATCTTCCATGCGGTGAAGTAGTCGGTCCAAGTGGTGGCCTGGGCCGTGTTGCCTTCGAGGGGCCACCACCAGTTGCGATGGGGTGGTATGAGCCTCGAGGGAGTTGAATTTGAAGTTGAAGTTGAAGATGGCGGTGCGGGTCGTAGGTTCAATGATGACGATGAATATGACGTTGAGGCGTTTGTTGTGGTTCGTTTCGTTGCCGGCGATGATTGTGATTGTGATGATGATGGTGATGTTGTTGTTGCTTGGTGCACTGGGTGTGCAGGAATTGGGTCTGCAAGAAAGGGAACCAAGACTGGAGAATCAAGGTAGATATGATGATGGTGTTGTTGAAGTTGATGTTGTTCATTCTGCGAGGTATGGTCATGGTTATGGTTATGGTTGTAAAGCCGGATATCAGTGCCATTGCCATCTCCATTTCCTCGCTTCGCCGATAACCATGCGAAATGCTGTGCATAGTCTTCATCATGAAAAACATCAAAGCCCGTACCGATCATAGCCGCGCGCGCCTGCTCGCTCGTGTGGAGATTACACAGGCCATTGCCGCGTTCCAGCCGGTTGCGGATGCCGATATGTTTTGGATCCAAAGGGTCGAACTTCTCCGTCATGACCCATTCGCTGAGACCGAAGACGGCGCCGGGTTTCAAGACGCGCCAGATGTTCGTGTAGACTTTTTGCAGGGACGGGGAGTGGACGGTGGCTTCGATGGCGTAGGCGGCGTCGAAAGAGGATGGTGCGAAGGGGAGGTTCTAAATCAGGATTAGAAATGAGAAATCACTTTTCCCGAGTCAACGGACGGGTAAACGTGTTCGTGAAAGCGAAAGAAAGGAAAGAAAGGAAGACAACGAGAAGGAATGGTGGCTCATATGCAAGGGTGTAGGACTGGACAGAAATAACCCAGTCCAGCAGAACGAACGCCAACCCCCTGCAGGCAGCCAATCCAGTCGGTGGTCATGATATATGATGAGGAGGATACCCAGATATCAAAGATCGGAACACGACGGACGATGGACTCAAATCACTCGAACGCTTCGAACCACCTACGTACCAAGAAATCAGCCTTGACAAAAGTACATTTCCCACTCAACCCCTCCAGGGCAGTGAGATAGATAGCCCGATCGACTTGGGCCTGGTTGATAGTGACACCGACGACTTCGCACCCGACGAATTTCGCAATCTCCCGAGCCGGGCCGCCAATGCCGCAGCCGACATCGAGGACTTTCATGCCGGGTCGCAGTCCCATCAGCAGGGCGAGACGGTGCTCGTAGAACGCCAGGGCCGACTGGATCGTGTCGTGCGGTGCGAACGGCGTATAGTGGAAGTGGGTGCTCCAGCCGTTCTCGTATGCGGTGCTGGCGAAATCGTAGTATCTGTTTTGTTGAGGTTAGTTCGAACAGAGCAAAGAGAGAAAAAGAGAATATCTTGCTGAACTCGATATTTTCATCCTGCTGCTCTCAATATTTGCCGGGTGGTGGCAGGCAAACTTGTTTGAGAGAGTCTTGCCAGGGGAAAAGGGATAGATATATCAAGAAGGGAATCAGATCAGATCAGTGCAATTCAGCCTTACGAGTCTGCCAGTTCAGCCGCCGCAGTTTGTCTTTTGGTGCGCTGCTCTTCAGTCACGGTGGTCTGGTCGTCGTTCTGGCCGAAGCGGGAGGTATACGCCGACACGATGTTGGCGAAGGTCTTGTCCGGTTCCGGTTCAATGTTGGCCAAGGTCTTGTCCGTTTCCGCTTCCGCTTCCGTTTCCACTTCCCGTGAGCTCTGTCGTCCGGATGCCATGATCGACTGGTTCGTTCGTCTCCGCGGAGGACAGTGGTAGTCTTGATTGGACCATAAGAAAAAAGAGAAAAAAAGAGGTTAGAGGGACGAGGAATCACAATCACACGAACATCGACAGTCGTCAAGGAGAGTTTGTGCTCGGGTAGGACGCATGGCCGTGCTCGAGAGGAATGCTTGTATTGTTGTAGAAGAACAATACCAAGCAAGCCACAGCTCAGGGTAGTATGCAAGCTTTGCAATGCGGGTCGGCGTCTTACCTTTTGAGCCCTTCTCACGTGGTATCACCATTGCAATGACAACACGATCCGTTTGGAAGCTCAAGAAGAATTCCGGGGACTTACCTGTGGAATGGGAGCGAGTACAGGCGGGTGGATGACAGGTTGTAGAACAAGCACCGTCCACTGCCAGCACGATAGTAGTAAGTAGGACACCCGAGTCATGATCGATGCCAACGACAAGGCAGTCATGACCCCAATCGATCTGCTGTATCCATATATCCATCATGTTGGTTGTTTTGTCCCTCAAGGCGAGACAGAGTGTGCAGAGGGAGAGAGGAAGAGAAAGAATGGAAAAAGACAAAAAAAGATACCGTGGTCATCGATTACGGTCACGTGCTCAACACCCTGGTGTCAATATCAAAAACTTCATCAATTTGCTCTCTAACCTGCATCGGTCGGTCGTTTTCTATCTTCTGAGCACCTAGCCGAGGGTGAGACATCCTCTGGAACAATACAGGGGGAACTTGGCAGACCCTGAACCCCCTCCTTCAGAAGATGGAAAACAATCTCTTCATCCACCCTCCAGGATCCCGTTCCATGATGCACACTCCTAGCTGCCACATTCCATGGCTTGACCACATGTCCAGAGCCAATTCTTTGCTTCAAGCGCAAGCGCAAGCGGGTCATTGTCATTGCGTTGGATGTTGCTTTTGGTCGCCGTCATACAATGCTCCATGACCACAACCCTATGCATGCATCTCGTAGGGTCATGGCCCTGTCTATTAATGCTGGGAAGCCGAAGGCTCTACAATTTGTCTGTAGATCATAGTTAGCACGGTCCAGCAGGAAGAAACATGAAAAAGACTTACCGTAGTAGTTGTCATAGCCGGGAACTTGGGGCTTGAGACCCTTTCTGATACGCGCTTGCTCGACGACCTTGCCGGGCATGGTGGCGGGATCAAGCGGCGAACCACCGGGAAGAATTTGCCAATGGTCAAAGACGGATTGAGGGAAGGCTTGACCACTGGTGGCAGCACGCAGATCGGCGTTGAAGCCGAACGACTCCATGACGGGAAGGTAGGCCTTGACGGTGAAGAGAGGAGTACCAATACGCTGTTCCTCGGAGAAGACGTGACCTCTTCTGCGGGTAAGAACACCGTAGATACCACCCATGGCCTGCTCTGGAACTTGGATCTCCACCAAGAAGACGGGCTCTTGGATACCAGGCTCGGCAAGGAGAGTGGCGGCATAGAGCACACGTCTGGCAGTGGGGATGATTTGACCACCACCACGATGGATGGCATCGGCATGGAGGGTGACATCCATGATGTTGAATCGGATGGATCGCATAGGCTCTTCGGCAATAGGACCCTCGCGGGTGGCCCACTGGAAACCGGACACGAAGGAGTCCTTGATTTCGTTGAGGTATTGGACAGCCTTGGTCTGATCCACCAACAAGTTGGGACCGGTGGTGTCGGGACCGAAGGCCCAGATCTTTCGAGCATCGGTCACGTCCCAGCCGTGTTCGTCAGCCAGGATACGGGCACGGGCCTTGAAGTCGTCACGAGGGGTGATCTTGCCCTCCTCAATTTCCTTGGACACCTCCTCGCTAAGCGGTTCAGCGACAACGTACAGACGGTTGTGCTTGTTGGGTGACTTGGACAGAGCAGTCATGCTGGAAGTACCGCCAACAGTCTCGCGATACGAGACGACGGGGTCGCTGATCTTCAGTGGCACACCGGCATGGTCTTCTTCCAAATCCTTCAAGCAGATTTCCAGATGAAGCTCTCCAGCACCGGCAACGACGTGCTCACCAGATTCAGAGATGGAGGTCACGACACAGGGGTCGGACTTGGACAATCGCTTAAGACCTTCGACCAGCTTGGGGAGATCGTTGGCGTTCTTGACCTCGACTGATCGTCGCACAACAGGCGAGACGGAGAACTTCATCACTTTCAGGTTGTGAGCGGTGTCGGAGGTGGTCAAGGTACCGGATTTGAGCAAGAACTGGTCAATGCCGACGAGACCGCAAATGTTACCGGCCGGGCAATCATCAATGGGCTCAACAGTACGGCCCATCATGAGGACGGTACGCTGGACAGCCTTGATGAACAAGTCCTCCTTCTTGCCTGGGGTATAGTTGGGACCTTGAATGCGGACCTTCATGCCGGAGCGGACGGTACCGGCAAAGACACGGCCGAAGGCGTAGAATCGACCCTTATCCGATGTAGGCACCATCTTGGAGACGTAAAGCATGAGATCGGCCTTGGGGTCACAGTCGCGGATAGCAATGCACGCTGCGTCGTCGGCTGGACCTTCGTAAAGGGTCTCAGCACGGTATTTCTGGGCGGTGACTGGGGATGGCAAGTGGATAACCATCATTTCCAAGAGCGCATCGGCGGCCGGCAAGAACTTGCGCATGGCAGCCTTGAGGAGACCCTTTCCAGGCAACTCCTTCTCCTCGTTGGTCAGCTTGATGTCGAGCTTGGCGGTCAGGTTGACCAGCTCTTCAACCTTGCCCTTCTGGAAGGCATCGAAGATCTTGAAGATGGGGTCCAGGATGAACTGGTTGAAGGCACGCTCAAGGGTCTTGCCCTCAAAGTCGGCGGTCTTGGTCCACTTCTTGGTCTTGGGGTTGAAGTAGTTGTCGCCCCAGAGACGTTCCATCATCTTGGACTTGTCAACACCGAACTTCTTCGCATACCGGATGGCGAACTGTCGGACGGTGAAAGCCCAGCCGTGGAGACCAGAGCCGAAGGCCACAGTACCCTTCTCAGGCCAGACCTGGACATCACCCAAGGCCTTGTCAAAGTACGTGGAGATGATGACGTTCACCGACTCGATAGTACGGAGGAACGATTGGTACAGATCCTCTTTGGAAACCTGCAATTCAAGGAGAGCGCGGTCGACCTTGTTGATGATGACAACAGGCTTGATACGCTCACCAAGGGCTTGTCGTAGGACGGTCTCGGTCTGGACGCAGACACCTTCAATTGTGTCGACGACGACCAACGCACCATCAGTGACACGAAGGGCAGCTGTGACTTCCGAAGAGAAATCAACGTGACCAGGGGAGTCGATCAAGTTGATCAAGAATTCGTTACCGGCAACTTTCTGTATCCATGTCAGTCCATGGTTAGGCAAGTCGCCCACGGCTCCAGACTGTGACTGACCTGCGGGATGTCCTTGAGATCCTCCTCGTCGGGCAGGTGGGCATATAGAGAGATGGCAGTGGACTTGATTGTGATGCCTCGCTCTTGTTCATCTTTTCGGGTATCGGTGAAACGCCTGCAAGAGCACGACTGTCAATCATCCAAACTCCAAGACTGGTCTGGGAAGTGAGACATACGCTTCACCTGCCTTGGCTGCAGAGATGATACCGGCTCGCTGGACGAGAGAGTCGGTCAAGGTCGACTTGCCGTGATCGACTGCACCATTGATCAGTGATTGTATCTCTCGCGATCTTTTCAGAGAACATACCGTGAGCAATGACGGACATGTTTCGGATATTGGCCGGGCGGTCCATAAGCTACACCAGTCAGTATCGAGACAGTCGGAGCAGGAATCCCAGGAAAAGGACATACGGCCCGGATCTCTTCCACCGTAAAGCTATTCGAGATATTGATCAGCATCTTTTATCGCAACAGTTTGGGGGTCTTGTCTGGCAAATGAAGGGGAATGCCCTGTCCTGGCACCTGTCCAGCGAATCTCCCGCGCTTTCCCGCATTGTGTAGAAACACATCCTTCTCTTTTCCGTATCGCAATCCCAGATGCCAGTGCAGAGATGTGTGGTAGACAGGATGTGACCTACTTGACCATGTTGGCGGTGTTTTGAGGATATCTGCCTTTGAGGCGGGGTAGGGCGCTCCGGTGAGCTTTTGAGTGATGATCGCGAAGTCGAGGGCTCGCTCAATCTGCTGGAATGCCTGCGCGTATCGTCACAGACGAAATGAAGGCGATGAGACGGAGCTTTGAGCTGGCAGATGCAGGGCTTATAAAGACTCGAAGGAGGTTGCAAGATCTTGGGGGATGAGAAATCTCCTCTCTTTGCAGTGGGCGGCGCCAAGACAGCAGGTTGATGCTAGTGGAGTGGCGGTGGATGACTGGGTGACTGACTGCCAGTGCACGGTAACAGTGACAGTCACAATATTAGCAGGTAGTACATGTTATGAGTTACTACTAGTAGGTACCATATAGTTACAGAGTATACTTGTGGTTCCTTAGGTGTCTTTCCTGGGTATCTACTACTAGCAGCAGCGGTGCACCGAACTGCAGGCAGCTTTACACTTTCTTAGAAATCCAATTTGAACAATTAAAAGGTAGCAGGCCCCGCCGGGGTTTAACTCCAGCTTTATCTCCGTCTGCCACCATATAGAGTTCACGTGACTCACCCATCAGGTACCAAGGCTGACATAATACCCTGCTGTACCTATAGGTACCTACAGTAGTGTAGGCACAGTTGAGTCACTTCCCTCCTTCGGCAGCCTCGTCACATGTCGATACCCCTGAGGCTTCCAAATTATAAACTCTTATGTTGGAGTCAGAGGGAACGAATCCATTTGTAAAGCATTGGGCTCAATATCGTACGTGGTTCTATGATGACTCCTTCATTGTGACCCCTGTATATACTTTTCCATCCAGCCCATGCACCTCAACGCCATCGCTAATCCAGAATATGTACTCTGTATCGATCAAAAGACTAACTTGCTCCGAGGATCTTTGCGTATGCATCCTCCACCTCCCGTGCGATCTCCAACAGTGACACAATCGCCACGGAATGCGTCGCTTCAGGGAGCTTGTCTCTTTGCAGTCCGATCCATTCCAATGGCGGCGTGGCCTCGCCCATATCGCGCAGCTGAGGTGTGTCGATGATCGGAGGTTCCAGTGGCACGTAGGTGAATTTGGACTGGGGCACGTTAACCACCGCAGTAATCTTCTCCCGCCCACCGTTCTCTCCGTCACCTTGTGGTTCTGCAGTGATCTTGACAACTGACGGCGGTAGCGGCTTGCCCAGTCGTTGTGCCAGAGCCCGCGAGTGAGTTTGCCACATACCACGGATAAAGCTGATGCGTGCATAGTTCCATCCCACATCAACCTTGCCTTCGAAGACGCTCTTGAAGATGTACTCAATCACGTTCGAATCCGGCCGCTGCCATGTCTCCATCGACGACACTAGCCGCGGAACCTTGACAATCGTGCCTCCGCGTGCTGTCGTTGCCCTCTCAATCACATCAGGCACTGACACCTCGCTTAATGCCTTGGTTGTAGCCCGGTTGACGCTCGAAAGCGCCACCCTGAGCTGCCCAAGCGTCATCCCCAACCCGCTGTGAGTTTTGCCCTCAGTCGTTGCCACGGCAAACCGTGCCTGGATCTCGGTCGCCTCGACTTTCAGAATCTGAGTGTCAAAGAATGTGTTGGGAAAGGCACCAAGATCAACGGCTTGAAGCGTGACGACAACATCCGTATGCAAACCAAAGGTGCCTTTGCTCGCGGACGTTGGTTTGGGTGCGGCCTCGGGGACAGACGCGGTCCAGCTCCCCGAGGGAAAGACGGATTTTCGCCGCAGGAATTTGTCCAAATCATGTAGGGATGTTTCGTACGCTTCTTGCTTCTCCTGCACCAGCCTTTCAAATGCCTGCACCAAGGCAAGTGCTTGTGCTGCAGTGGCCGTAGTGCAGAACACCTGAACCTTGCCGCCGTCGACCAGTCCCACAAGCCGATCACTTTCGATACCTTTGCCTTGCCGCACGTTGTACATCAAAAATTCGAAGGAAGAGATGTCGGCGACGGCAAACGGTTGATAGTCGAATGCCGCCTTGACTCGCAAATGTTCAAACCCGATGGATGCTAGGACGAGCGGGGCACGATTCTTCGCAGTCGACTCTTGCGGCCAACGTATCGATGTGCGGGCGCGCAGGTTCTCCAGCTCGACAAATCCACTCATCCTTCCCACGCTATCAACACCGACCTTGTCGAGTCCAATGCATAAATTCTGCTCGGAATCATCATCTTTCTTGGACGAGGCCCAGAGCTGGGTGACCGTAAAGACTGTTTTTCCCAGCCCCTGTCCAAGATCGACCTGGAGCTTGACCTCCTGCACAGAAACAATGATGTGCCAGGGCAAAGTGCCTTTGCCAGAAAGCTCCTGGAAACGCTGCATTGCGTATGCCTGCTGTTCCTGTGTGGTTGCCGCGGGAGCACTAGGTTTAGATTCTCGGCGTAGCTCAGCAGGGTACCAGATCTCCCGGAAAAGAAGGAAATCCTGCACCTGCTTGGCGTTGATATCGCTCTTCATAGGGCTGATGTTAAGGACTGCTGAGATGCCTGTGGCGGCACTCACATGCTTACTGTTCATCAGGGACATGGTGATTGTATCTACTTCGAAGGTGGCAGTCGACTCGCGCGAGTACACGTGTTGGACCGACGCCTCGAGTTTGTTGAACGTTGTCAGAATCGCGAAGAATCGTTCTTGATCGGGTGCAGAGACGGTGTTGGCAGTAACAAAGACATCTGCGAACCTTGCCGTTGCTGCAACCCTTGCAATAGGTTGGCAGCTAAGACTAAATTCTTGTCGCTGAATGTAGAGTCCAGCATTCAACTTGCACCGCCCCAAGATGGCTGTCGGATCGGCGCTGGCTCCTGTGACATTCGCAGGAGCGGCGGTTGTTTCTCCTTGAGACGTAGACTGCTCGTCTCCAGGTTTCCTGTCGCCAAAGATTTCTCTAATGCTGGACGAGATCTCGCGGATCAAAGGTACGACTGTTGGGTACAGAGTATTCGATGAGGCTGCGACCTTGACCTCGGTACTGAGTGAGGGATCCTCGAGGCCATTGTCATTGTACTCGACTTTCAGAGCCACTCCAGGCGACTGTAGAACTGCTGAAGACGCATTCTCTCCTTGCACGGCTTGCCCATATCGTCCTGCACGGGATCGTTTCTCACCTTTCAAGAATGAGAATACCGAATTCGGCTGACGCACTTCCGCCCGAGGAGAAATGTGCACTACGGCTCCAGCAAAGTCGGCATCAACCAAAAGAGAAGCCAGGCGTTTCTCCCCCAAAAAGCTTACTCGTCCCAGATTAGGGGTCTGCGGACTCGTCTCGCAGATTGACTTTGCATTCCGCAATTCTTTGCTGGTGTTGGCGAGGGACATTTGCAAGGCATGAGCTGGGATGACAAAATCGGAGGCAAGCCGAAGGTCTAGCGCCTTCCCTTTGGCATGAAACGCGAGCCGCCGGTCATGCTTGGTCGACAAATAAGCAGCTCCAAAGATAATCTCGGGAAGTAAAGCTGAATTTGCAGTTCGCCGAGTTGGAAAATCAAATTGAGACTTAGGGACGATCTGTAGTTGCGTATCGCGAATCGAAAGGCGGGCAGTTCCCTCTTGCCGGGTTTTGAGATCGACTTTCCGAACAGAAAACACCAGATCTTGGACCTGCCTGGCTGGTAAGTGTGCAGTGTCTCCCGTCATATTCCAGCGCAGATAAATGTTCTCAAGATCGACCGCATAGGTGGAATCGTAGAGAGCAGGCGAAGAAGTTCGATGAGCCGAGGCGGTATCCGGGGCTGCGTCTGATTGCTCCTTTGGCTTCAATCGTTCCGTGAGCCCAGCAGTGGTCATTCTTCGGAGCTGCCGAATATTATTTGCATCGTCGGCGAGCTTGATGGACGTGATACGATCTTGTATGAATGCCAGGATATCGACCGCGAGCGTGGCAGTATCTTCAAACAGATCGACCGCAATCCCGTCACTCCACGTCCGGTAAACGTGTACCCTGCCGGCTTTGCCGTCGCTCTCCGTCTTGCCCGAGGCTTTGAGGTGTACGAGGCACCTACCGGCATTCACTCGATCCCGTTTCGTTCTGCGATACACAGCTAGGCCGACTCCCTGGGAGTCGATAATGAACTGTGGCTGCTTGTGTATAGATTCAGGATCATCTGTTTCGTTGTGGATGAAGACTGATGTCCCCTCGAGCTTGAGCTCCATCTCTGCACAGTAATCTTTATCCTCCTGAACAGCAGGGGCGCTCATATGGACTTTGATGCCGGCAAGCGTACTGTGGACTGCGAAACGTAGTAAGAGTGTGTTTTCATTTGCGTCCACTTTCTGGACCTTGGACATACTCCCAGCCACTTGGTCGATGGAGGTCTGCACTTCTTGAATGGCTCTTTTGACTTCCGGTATGATCTGTATAACTCCGGGTTGGTTCAATGCTTCAAAACACGCTCGGATCCCGCGAGCCTCAAGGTTGATCTCCTCCACTGTGGCACGAGCACGGACAGCGATGACACTGGCAGTTTTGCGTACAGAGAGTCCGCCATTGATAGCCGGCATTTTCAAAATCGACAGGTTGCCTTCGGGAGTTTTCGTGGGTGCCTCGAATGAATGTTCATGCTCTTTGATGTCAAAGTGAATGTCATGTGCGCCGTCTGCTCGTGGCAACACGGAAGTCCTCGCAACAAGACCAGCAATGGTATAGCGAAGGGACGGGACGACCGCAAATGTCAACCTGTAATCGTCTAAAAACATGGCGACATGGAGGGCGAGATCCAACTTTTTCTCGGTTGTACGGCCGTGTACATCTTGTTCACGCTCCATGCCAGGCATCTCATCCACTAGGGTCATGATCTCACGCGCCTCGTCCTGGAGCACCGAATCGACGACCTCGAGGAGCATCACCGCGTCTTCCTTCATTTCGAACCGATATTTGTGCGATGCTGCACAGATTTGTACCACTGTCTTCTGCTCATGAGGACTTGCAGTAGATTGGGGCCAAACGGAACCATAAAACTTTGGAAGGCGAAGCCGCCACGTGAGGAGAGTATGTGAGTGGCTTTTGAATCTTGCCATGGCAGTGTTCGCAGCCACTGTGAAAGAAGAAATTGTTGGCCCCAGGTCTCCTGTGTCAAAGGAAACTGCGCTTCGAAAGCTTTCAGCACCCCATTTCAGTTTGAGATTGATCGTTGTAAGGAAGACGGATGCCGCGTCACTCCCCACAACGACGGTGAACTGTTTTCTTGTCGCTTGGTCGGAGGTCCTGGCGGTCTTCGCCTGTCCACTTATCTTATTCCTAACTGCTAGTGGGTTGCCCAGTTCCACAATCTGCCGGATCAGTCGTACTAGAGCCCAGTTCAGATGTAAGGAGGTGTCCGCGAGATAAGCCTGAATAATGACTCTTTGACCCATCTTGTCCGCTGCAATATCATCCATGGCAGGTTGCATGAAGAGGTTAAGGTCCAGACCCAAGAGTGCAAGGTCAGTTTGTCGAGGACCGGGATCCAATATCACACCAACCTTCCCAACGAGAATCTCCGACCGCACAAGTATGCTGCTTTCGAGTCTTTCTGATGTTCCAGCGATAGGACTGTTGAACAGAGAACTCATGATCGGAACTTGATCACGTGCATAATCCCAGCCTCGCCACTGCTGGAAGGAGGAGAGCACTTCTTTGCGGGCAGGATCCGTTAGTTCAATGTCCTTACAGCTGCATTTGTCAAAAACCTCGGTGCCGTTCAATCTCTCAATTGTGGAGAATATGTATCGAAGTCTCGACATGATCTTCCAGGAATCCGTCAGACGAACATGTTTGTCAGCGCTTCTGAGGACGTAAGAAGGTCTCATGAGGAAGATAGGATCAGGCACCGATGAGCCGCGTTGAGTCAAGTGGTAAATGAGGTGTCGTGTTTGGGCGCTCTGATCAAGGCCCACAAAAGCAGCGGCGATGCGATCAACCATCGAGTAAGTCCTTTGTATGAGGCTGGCCATATACGTCAGCTGCGGAGCCCAGAGGACAACGTCCAAATTGCTCAACTGCAACCTCGAGCTCATCTCTTCCTTCAAGGATAACCAGAAGCCAATTTGTTCCAGAGATAACCGAGCATGGGCGGCTCCTTTCCCAGGAGACGATGTAGTATCACTGACAGATAAACTGACGCTGTCAATCGAACCGTATGCCAGGTGGCCTTGAGGCTCAACCCCGGATCGCGTCTCCCTCTTGGGGTGCAATGCTCGATACATGACGCGGCTGCGCGCAATTTTCACATCATACTGGTCTTCTGAAGGCGCATTCGTGTCGGAACTGCCATTTGGCAGGTTGTTAACCAACCTCACATGCGCAAACGGCATCTCGACTGCGAAGTCCATGACATGACCTTGTCTGTCATGCCGCTGATTTTCCAATATTCGCTCCGTCACGGCGATTTGCAATTTATCCAATTGATCAATCGCGTGCTCCACGTTCAGTTCGCGAATCAGCTGTCCAATAGACAGGAGCAGTTCAGGGGTACAAAAGCCAACCAGACCATTGTCGAGCGTGCAAAGAAAGCCATTGTGAGGGGTGTTCTTAAATTCGGCCCCCGGCATATAGGGGTCATTACCGGTGGGTGGCACCATGGAAGGATCGTCGGGGGGTGGCATGTAAGGAATTTCCGGCATATTTGCAAAATTGGGTTGGACCTCATGTAGAGTGAAGTGTGGAGCGGCCCAGGGACTAGCAAAGGTCACCATCGCTGGGTGCGAGTCCGGATCTTGAGAGTGGTCTCTTCGTCCGCGGCTGCTGGAACGGCTGTCGGAATGGACAAAGGGAGGTGCCAGGTACGTCTTTTGAGTTGCTGATTCGGTGTCATGTTTGCCAAGCGACGAGTTCGGTAGCTCGACAGTGTGGTTCGCTGCGGAGGGTGCACTTTTGGACAGAGACGAAGAGCTCGATATAAAAGAGCTGGGGCGGTGGGGAGCGCGCTTGCTAACTTTCCGCTGTCTGGCTTCAGAGAAGGACATCTTTTCAACTCTGCCAACAGGTTCGGGCATAACCGGTAATGGCATCGATGGCGGTTCGCGGGCCCATTCGGGCTTCCTGTGGTTCGGCGGATACTGTTTCTGGGGTCGCAAAAGAAATTCCGCTCTATGCGTTCGTTGATCGTGATAGAGAATGTGCTGTTGCTGTAGGGCCCGAGTCTGGGAGAGATCATCTGTCTTGTCAAGCATACCGAGCCTAAAAGAAGCTTGAAAGCAGGCGAATGTGTCCACAGAGGTTGACCCACGCTCGTGACAGCGGAGAGCAGATTTGTAGTCCACCGCTGCTAGCAGAACTTGAGGAATGTTGACTCGCATTCTCTTCGCAAAGTTGGAGTCGGCCCAATCCCCAAGTGAGATTTCTGCCGTGGAAAGCTCAAGCAGAAAGGCCGCTCCATCAGTGACCAGCCATAGGCGCAAGCCGGCCACATTGGCCCTCAAGAAAATCACGTCGTGAATAACAGACTTGTCGAAGGGGGGCAAGGAATTCTCGTCATCATCCAAGGTAAACATGAATGCCGTGATTGAGCGTATAAGGGTCTGTACAAACTTGGAGGAGCACTCGCCGGTCACTTCTCCTATGTTGAAATCCCAATTGCAGACGTAGGTTGGCTCCGTTGGCGGAGCACCAAAGAGACGGTGCCCGTACACTGCGACGCCGTCGATGAATAATTGGCAGTTCGTGATATCACTTATCGTACCGGAGTCCGTTTTGGACAAGGACTCCAGAGAGGCTTCCAGAGGACTTGAGCTGACCTGCAAATCCATGTAATAATTGGTGAATCGCATATCTGCCTCCACGAGAAGAACATCGACGCGGAGATTCTCCCTCTGCGAATAGATGTTGGCCGGCATAAGCACGGCAGAACTGTCTGCCCGCACCGTCAAAATGACATCAAGGTCATTTTCTTTCTTAACTGGCAGACGTGGCCCAGGGTCCTCATTGCCTGCAAGTATGTTCTGATACTCCTCCAATGTTCTGAAGTGCAAGTGGTCGCCAAAGTAGTTTTCCTTGACGTTCATAAAATAGCGGATCAGGAAGCCCTGCAGGTTGAACTTGGGAGCATAGCCAGTAATAGTCATGAAAAGTGAATCCGTCAAGTTCGGCGCGATGGCGGTGTAGTAGTTGTAAGACCCTTCCAGGTTGAGCTGTTTGAGAGTAGCCATCATCGAATCCTCGGCGAGGGTATTCAGAGTGTTCCAAACAGGCGTAATCAACTGAAGTGAGGCATTGTGGCCTTCCGCAAGAAAGTTGACGCTGCTTTGGCGGGGGGAGAAGTACTGCATAGGTATCTCAACGTCACCGTCCAGCTGTTGAAAACCTAGGATGAGAAACACGTTTTCCTCCAGGTCGCAAGGGCTGTCGATGATATTGTAATCGTTCGCGTTGAGATAGAGTTTCAAGTCGGGAAATTTCAAATGCAGTCGATAGAGAAAGGGGACAAAGGTCATGTAGTCGGGCTTTTGTCCAGCGGTAAAGTCGGCTATGAGGTCGGTAAGCAAGAACATGTGATCCCTAAGAAGGAACATCTCCATGGCGTTGTTCTCGATGTCGAAGGCCCAACTGTGAAGATCGTTCCAACCCAATGGATTGGATAGATCACACGAGACCTTCTGGGACTGACAACGCCAAAGCATGGCGTGGTTTACACTGGAGGTGGCCTTGGTGTCCCGGAGGTCGAGACTCAAATGATTTCGGAAACCGTCTTTGCGTGCCACCATGTCCATGTCGTATCGCACGGTAGAATCTTGCCCAGCTGATACAGACAACCAGCCGAATGGTCGTACGTCAGGTCCGAGTTGGGTCTTCTGCGATCGCCGAAAGCGGAAGTGTCTCTTCTCTCGTTGCTTGCGCAGGGCAGCCGCCTCTTTCACGGTATGGGCTCGTCCTCTCCACTGCCAGTCTTTTGATCTCTCCCTAGTGGGGACGCGGAGAATGACTTCTTCCTCAAGATCAACCCGAATCGTCATCACCGTGCTGACACGCCTATTGCCCATGTGGAGTGCAGCTCCCGGGGTTGAAGCGCGATACGACGTCGGCAAGAATGTATTTTGGATTTCGATCCGAAGACGATCAGCCCAGGGGCCGTAATTGACGTAACCACCTTTCACAGCTAGATCAAGGCCGTACCCAGGAGGGTTGGACAGGTTGACATCATCATAGTCCTGCGTCTCGAGCAGGCCAGAGGGTTGTTCCGTGACCTTACCGGGAATATCCCAATAAAAGTTCAAATGAACGGCGGGTGAATCCAGGATTTGTGAGAACCTGGCATACTCCACATGAGACCAGCCTTCGTGGTCATCGCGCTCGTCCTCGTCCATATATCGCCCCAGACCATGCCATGACCTATTGTCGTCCTGGAAGTCGTCGTACATGTAATGCATGTTTCTTTCGGCCGTTTGAGAGGCAGTGGTTCTTATGGAGCCTCCCGAACTGCCAACACCGGGGAGAAGGCGCCTGAAAACGTGGAAACCCTTGGCTATGCGACGAGCCCAGTCAAACTCCATAAGCCACCAGCGTCGTGGCCCTCTTATCGACTCTGCCGCAGAGACAATCCTTTCCGCCGCAGCCAGCTGCGATCGACGATACTCGGGATTTGGTTTCATTTCAACCTTGGGACGGTCAATTTCAAAATCAAACACTTGTCGGTATATGTCAGATGGTCCAGCAGCCGCGGCGTCAATGTGACCTCTGGCAGATGCAAAAGTCGAGACAACAAGCGCTCGAGTGTTCTCATTCCCAAGAGATATGGCACCTTTGGAACATTCGACTGCAACCGGCAGCATGCGGATCAGAAGGGAGTGGATGGCAGACACATGGGCTACAGGTCCACCAGGGTTTGAGGCGGCGCTGTTGTATGTGTCGACTCTTGTCATGGGAGCCAAATCGTCGCCTGGCTCGAGGTCTCTCTCCGGCTTCTCCGTGGAACTGCCGGTCTCCGACATGTCGCTGGCAGAGACAACCTGGGACCATAGATTCGGCTTCCCCCTACGGTGATGGAGTGTCCCATGACCGCTTTCAGACTCGTGACCAGTTGTGTGGGTTTCCAGAGGGCTCTCCTTTTCTCCTTGCACTCCTTGGGCATCTTTCACGATGGCTTCATAGAGCGGTGTGCGGTTATACACGAACCATTCCAAACCAGACATGTTGATCGCAACCCGAGCCTCTGCAGTTCCGGCTTGTTTGGCTCGTCCCGGCTCTTGGTCTGGCATTGATGGTTTGGATTGGCTAGAGCCATCTGACTCCGATCCTTGCTTCTCAGCCCCCCAGCCATCTTGGTGACTATCGTCGAAAGCAGTGAGGTCGACCTGACGGGTTGTTCGTAGCCAGTACCTCCACGTAATGTAGCCATGCTGGACCAATATAGTCTCGTTCTCGCCATGATAGCGGATGCCCTTGAAGAAGATTCTACCTGCTAGAAAGGACAACTGCAGAGACTGTATGTCGATCCACACCCGGTACTTATGCCACGTCCAGGCTCTCAGGCCGTATGAGACAAGGGTCGCGAAGAGGCGGTTGAAGTAGAAGAGGAAGAAGAGCGCAAGACAAGAGCAGGTGACGAGTTCGACGAACCATGTCCTTCAGAAGAGTTAGCTTGTTGGTTATAGCAGGGCCTTGAAACATTGTTCATTTACCAATTGAAGGAGGTATTCCTCGAGATGGGCTGTCCAACAAGGTCATCCATATCCGATGTCGTGATCGGGGAGGGTTCGATGCAGCGTCTGCTTCATGACTGCACCGACGCCAGACCGCGGGAACTCGAAAAGAAGTGCTGTCACGAAACCCTCAAGAGCAGACAACACATGTGGGCATGACAAGTATCCTGCTCTACATTGAGCGAAGCGCCCGACCGGAGCAGTAGTTGAGGGTGAAAGACGGAGAGCTTCACGTCTGTTGAAGTAGTAAACAGTCAAGTTGTAGAAGTACAAAGTGATCGCTGCTGTCGCTTGAACGAGTGGAAGATGATTGACCAATTAATCCCCGCAGGCTTCCATCAATAATGGGCGTCACGATTCTCATACGTAGTACTAACAACTATAACGCACGCGTTCAACATCCACAACCAACATCTACATTTACATCTACATCTCCATTCGCAGTGAACTCGTGCAGCCGCAGTTCGAGATCTTTCGTGCCTTGCCTGCTTCATGCCAGGATGACCACCAAGCCTCAATCCGACCGTCGGTAGCTTTCACAGCTACGACGTCTTCGATCCCCCAACCCACCGCCAGGACATCCGCGGCCATGATAGCCATACTATCCAGCAGCGGTGGAACAGGCAACCGCCTCACCAGAGTGACCATCATTCTCGCTGGAGTCGCTTCTCTGGTTGCAACGCTCCTCTCGCTCCTGTGCGCATCTCTGTACACCATGCACTATGCAATACAAAGACTGACAGATCCATAGATCAATATGGCTCCAAACGAAGAACTACAGAAAGCCTCTTCTCCAACGATACGTCGTTCGAATCCTGCTGATGGTACCCATCTACTCGGCCGCATCGTGGGCGTCGATCGTGTCGTTGAAGGCTGCGTTCTACCTCGATCCCCTACGGGATATCTATGAGGCGTTCACCATCTACACGTTCCTGCAACTCCTCGTCAACTTTCTCGGCGGTGAGCGTGCTCTGATCATCATGATGCACGGGAGGCCGCCGGTGTCCCATCCCTGGCCGATCAGCCTGTACTTCTCGAAAGTCGACATATCCGACCCGCACACGTTCCTGGCGATCAAGAGAGGCATTCTGCAGTATACCTGGCTCAAGCCAATCCTCAGTGTGGCGACAATCATTCTGAAGCTCACCAACACATACCAAGAGGGGTATATTGGCTTGACCTCGGGCTATCTGTGGATAGGCATTGTGTACAACCTCAGCGTGTCAGTGAGCTTATACTCGTTGGCCATGTTCTGGGTCTGCATGAACGAGGACCTGAAGCCGTTTCGGCCCATGCCCAAGTTCCTCTGTATCAAGCTTATCATCTTTGCTTCGTACTGGCAAGGGTTCTTCCTATCTATTCTTCAATTCCTGGGCGCCATCCCCAGCAACGTCCCGGGCTACACTGCGGACAACCTGGCCGCAGCCATTCAGGATGCGTTGATCTGTTTCGAGATGCCCATGTTTGCCGTCGCGCATTGGTACGCCTTCTCATGGCACGACTACGCCGACGTCACGATTTCGGCGGCACGAATGCCCGTCAAGTATGCCTTGCGAGATGCTTTCGGTATACGAGACCTGATCGAAGACACGAAGGACGTCTTCCGGGGCAAGCAATATGACTACCGCACCTTTGATTCGGGAGACAACGTCATTGCGCACGAAGAGTCTCAGTCACGAATCGCCAGGATGATGGATGGCATGCGGTACGAAAGAGGCGGGAAGGGCAAGTACTGGATACCCAAGCCGCAAGCAGTGAACAGTCGAACGCCTTTACTGCCCAAAGACGGCTCATCAAGACCTCCTGCGCCAGAAGCAAGGGGCCACGCTCACGATTATCGAGCAACCGACCCTGACTGGGAGATTGGAATCGATCCGGAAGACGAGAGACTATTCAACAATGCCCGAGCGTTAGAGTTCGGCGATTGGAACGTGAGTGTGCTTCTTGCCCCAAATCTATGATCCCAAAAGCCCCCGATCAATAATCACTATACTGACTTATCTTCTTTCCTATTCCACAGTACCCAGTGATCACTGCGCACGAAGCTCGACGAGAAGACTGGATGCATCGAGACCCGAATCTACTCACCACTTCCACCAACCGCAACCTCCTCCAGCCCACGCGCGACCACCGAACCCGTCGACGCAGCGAGATCCGCAACAGCATCCAGAAAGGCAAGAACCGGAGCACATCTCCATCCCAGCGGTCCGGCTCGCCGTCCACTGACCAACCCCCCGCACCGGGGGCCATCGAGACAAAACTCAAGCGAGAGCATTCGCCCGCCGGCTCAGGCAAAACCGATGAAGACCAGCTGGTCGACCTGATCGTCGAAGACACCGAAGCTGAAGAGACCGAGCGCGTCCGCGCCCGGAAAGAAGGCGGCGACTCCTGGAACCACGGCGAGCACCGACAGTTCGTCCGCACGTACAGTTTCGGCCCCGACGCGCCGGAAGGGCAGGAAATTAAAGACGGCTGGGACCCCGCCGATGTCCCCGCGACGCAGCCGCCCCCTGAACACGCCACCAGCGACGACGAAGAGAACGCCGTGGACGGTGCCTCGGAATCAAAGCAGGAATCAAAGCAGGGTCCGTCTTCGAACGGAAACGGAAACGGTGCGGATGGGAGATATGGAAGTCTGATCGAAGAAGACAATGTCTGGGATCGGGGCTGACAGCCATGAGGAGCAATAATTGTCTCCTCTCCTCTAGTTAGCCACCTTGTCCTTCGCATTGGCAGGAGTGAAAATCACTCGATGATATGGAAGGGTTTCAGTAGTATACAGCGCCTCGGCGTATTGCGGGCGATGTGAGCGTTCAAGCGAGTAATCAATATCATTCATGTTTCCGCCGCTCACAACTTGAACTTTGATCGTGCTTGGACTTCTTCGACGGGTAAAGTGAATATGGGTTCCTGATGATGATAAATTTACATAAAACATGGCTTCTCGGTTTGGCGAATTGCCTCTTCACCTCCCCAAGACCATTAAATCATACATAACAAGACCTCGACCTAGTATATTCTGGGATCGCACATGGAGGAATATATCCACATATAGTGAGCATGATGTGAACAAGAAAACATAAAGGATTATTTTTGGGCTTTTGCAATGTTCTGCATGAACAAATTCTACATGAACAAATTCTACTATGATGCAGATTGTGGCCGTCTATCGTTTCTATCATGGGCCAAACTCTCTCCATACCACTATTGCAGTAGGTAGTGAGCGGTACGCGGAGAGGGAACAGCGACGGTCGCAGAATCCGACTATTCAACTCGTGAGACGCCCATTCCGTTTTGTCGTCCTCAACTCCGAACTCATTCCTCATTCTGTGCCCGTAAAAAGCGCGCCAGTGTGCCATAAGGTATGCGTTGAACAAAAAGGAAACGCGTTGTATCGCGCGCATAGCATAAAGAACAGCCGCAACACCTTCGAGAGATCGAGATGTGCATCTAGTCATCCTCGTCAGAGAAGACCTCCTCGCCTCTCTTGCGGCGGGCCATTCTGTCCTTCTTCTTCTTCCTCAGCTCAGAAGAAGTCAGCTTCTTGGCCTTCTTGTTGCCTTCGATCTTGTTGCCCATGGCGTCGAATTTCTCCTCCTCATCGTCCTTGTCGGTCAGACGAGGACCGCTACCTTGGCCTGTAACCCAGTTGTGACCTGAAAGCCAATGTTAGTAACAGTTCCTAAAAAGAGCATTTTGGTTGTATTGTTAAACTCACCTGAAGGTGTCATCTTTCCGTTCACGACGGACCAGACCTCACTGGTCAAGCTCTCCGTGAACTCGGCGTTGTGGGAGATGATGACAACACCACCCTCGAAAGCCTTGAGGGCTTTGGAGAGAGCGCCCAAAGAGTCACGGTCGAGATAGTTGGTGGGCTCGTCCAGAACGATCAAGTGAGGACGTTGCCATGTGCAGGCGGCGAGCACAACCTTGACACGCTGGCCACCGGAGAGACCGCGCATGCGAGAGTGAGAGACCAGCTCGGCGTCGAGACCGAAGTTGGCGCAGTGCACCTCGATTTCACGACGGATCAAAGGTCGGAACTGACCGCTGGCCAGGGCCTCCTTCTGGTCGACCTCGGCAACCATCTTTTGGTGGGAATTAAGAATCTCAGATCGAGGAATCCAGGCGTTGTCGGCAGTCATCATAGGGGTCCACTTCTCGTTCTTCATGCCAACGTTCTCACCGAGAGCGAATGAACACTCATACTCGTAGGAGTTCTTGAACTTTCTACGGGCGTGAATGCCGATGACACGACGCTGGGTGCCATCAATCTTGTAGATCTTGTCCATGGCCTTCTCGTCATCCTCAGTGACGATCTTGTTGGCGCGGTCCATGGTCTCACGATCCTCACCGGTCTGGAAACGCCATTGAATGTACTCCGAAGGGGTCTTGTCGAGATGGTTATCGATGTGAGCGAAAGCGTGTTGCTTGATGTAGGCAATACGGATGTTCTCGTGTTGGTAGACATCACCAGATGTGGGGATCAATTCACCAGTCAGGACATTGACGAGAGTAGACTTGCCAGCACCGTTGGGACCGATGACAGCAATACGAGAACCGAGAGACACCTGGAAGGTGATGTCGGAGATCTGAGGCTTGTCGGTTCCCGGGTACTGGAAAGACATCTTGTTGACTCTGACAATAGCCTTGGCCTTGGTCTTGACACCCTCAAGGAAACCTGGCTCGGGGAACTTGAATTCCAGCTCGGAGGCACCGAGCTCGAAGTAAGAACGAGCAGACGGCACGCGCTTGGCGAACTCGGTCAGGTTACCACGGTATCTGCGCAGCTTGAAGCGCTCGTAGTGGATGACGTGCTGGATGACGTTGTTCAAGAACTTCGAGTCGTGAGAGACAATGATGGAGGTGCAGGGTGAATTGATCAAGTATTCTTCGAGCCAGGCAACGTTCTTGACATCCAAATGGTTGGTGGGCTCATCGAGCAGCAGGATATCAGGCGACTCGAAAACAGCACGAGCGAGAGCGAGCTTCATCTTCCAGCCACCAGAGAGCGAGCCGATCGGACCATCGAGCTGTTCCGGAAGGAAGCCGAATTCGAGGAGCTTGGCCACAATCTCGGAGCGGGGAGTGTCAATGTTGACCTGTCTCAACTTCATCTCGGTCCAGCCGACGACGGAGAGTTCAGTGTCGGCCGCGTCAAGATCGTGCTCGACGAAAACGGTCTTGACCTCGCTCTTCTTCGGGAAGCCCTCGACTTGCTCGTTGTTAATGGCACGCATCAAAGTGGACTTGCCGGAACCGTTGGGGCCCAACAGACCGTAACGCTGGCCACGCTTCAGGCGGAGATGAGTTGAATTGAGCAAGATCTTAGCACCGTAGGCCAAGTTGAAGGTGCAGTTGCAAAGATCCTCACCCTCTTCATCATCGGGGTCTTCCTCGGCCTCTTCCTCAGCGCCAGGGGAGGCGCGTTTTCGAAGTTGCTCAGCAACCGATTGTGCGTCAGCCTCGCCGACAAGAGTCTTGAGGTATTCGACAGTGTTTGAGACCCAGTCAGCAGAGTCGGTGACCTTCTCGTCGATCAACTGACCTGCAATAGCAGAAATGTATTCAATGACCGGTTCTGATTTCGCGGAAGCGCCCTTGTGCGTCTGCTCGAGAATGGATTTCAGGATGGCTGACACGGTGGAGATTTCACCAGCAGTGGAAACCTGGGGAGCAGTGCCGTCCTCCTTGACTGCACCGACACGCTTGAGGGTCTCGAGAGCTTGTTTGGTCTTCTCACGAGCCTCGGGATCGGCCATGTTCTCGTAGTTCTTGGTAAGAGCAGGCATCAACTTTGGCAAGAAAGCAGCGACGATCTGGGGATCCTCGACCAGTTTGCACATGTTGTCAACAATGACGGCAGACTTTCGCTTGATGGCGGTCTCCCGCTCGGCCAACCCACGCTCAAGCAGGGGGACCATGATGGCGAGAGTTGGCTCGTGGACATCGGTAACGAATGTGGTAGCACCAAGCAAGTGAATCGTCTCAGGGACGTTCTCAGGCTTAGCGATACATTTGATAAGTTCCGGAATGAATCTTTCAATATCCTTGTTCTCGATCAATTTGCAGACCTTTTCCATGGTGCCATATGCCTTCTTCTTGATCTCAGGCTTCGTGTCCCACATCGATTCGGAAACGATGGGGATGAGCGTAGGGACGAGGTAGGAGAGCTGGGTGGGCGCGGTTTCGACGAGAGCCTCGATGCAGTCGAGACCAGTCATCTTCTCGGGCCATTTCTGGGCAGTGATGATCGAGTTTCGAATGTGAGGGAGAACGGCCTTGACGGCATTTGGGTTGATGGCCTTGACGATAGCAAGAGATGCGGCCTGCGCAGCGTTCTTGACAGAGACCATCTTGTCGCCAACCGCAGCCAGGGCCAGCGGAAGCAGGCTGACCAGGTACGGCTCCACGCCGGGGGAAAGGCTGGAATGCTCAGCAATGGCGCGGATGCCATCGATGGCACGCTCTCGAACCAAAGCATCCTTCTTGTTGGCCAGCTGCTTCTTGAATGTTTCGACGGCCTTGAGAGGCACCTCGTGCTCCTCAATAGGTCCATTCAGAAGAGTAGCAACGTTCATCGCGGCTGCATTGGCCTCATCCTGAGCCTTGGAAAGCGACAGTTTTGTAAGCAGTTGCTCGAGGGTGGCGACCGACTGCTTGGTCTCTTTTGCGGAGGTCGTAGGAGTGGAAGTCATTGTGTCGACAGCGGGCATTGTACGGAGGAAATTTCGAATGGGGCTGTTGCGAGGAAAAACGTTTTCAGAGTCCGACTTCTGGTGTAGAGAGAAGTCAAGGGATGTCAGAAAACGGCGGTCTGGCGGACTGTGAGGAAAAATGCCCACGGACTGCGCTGTTGACGCAGGTGTCGCTCTAGATGGCGTCTAGTCGTAATAAAAAGACAAGAGACGATGCAAACACTCTGTGAGAGAGATGCAGAAAAGGGGGTGGTGAGAGGGTGGATGAATTAAAATCAGAGTGGAAGGCGTAGATGATGAGGAGGAGAGTATTTATTGAATTTTTCCATTTCACCTCTCGCCGACCCCGAAAAGATTTTTTGTTAGCGCCCCCATCATTCTTCTACTGCTTGCCGCCGCCTGCGCCGGGAGCCAGGCAACCAACGTGGCCTGCCCAGCCCAAGTAAACCCAGCGCCCAGGAGTCTACAGAGTACCTATGCTACTACAACATGCCTGACATACAACAACGAATACTACCAGACTGCATCTCCCGTAATGCTCGAAATCCTCGTCGATCATCGCCGTCCCTTGGAGCGTGTCTAAATGAGTTGGAGGACCCAGAAGCACGACAATCAGGGTCCTTGAAAGGTCCCATGTACGAAGAGACCTTACAAATGGCCGACTGCGAAATCTGCCTGCGCTCCTCAATCTGAGGGGACCTATTTTTGTCGCCACCATCCCTCCCCCCTTGAGCTTCCGTCTACGAACTGTTGTCCCAAACCCTTTTGAGCCCCTGTACAGAGTGAATGTTGTAACAGCCATGATGCAGGCCGAACAGAACATGCTTCATCGCTTCAAGCTACGTTTTTACTAGTTGATAGCCACGTCAGATCTGGCAAGCCCATCAGTCTTACTTCTACCACAAGAGCCCCAGGGGGCATTCTGCCATACAGACAACAGGGGGATACGATCGGCCGCTACTGCGCCCCTTTCCTTCTCTTCAACTTGACAGAGCGGTCGGGGCCCCTCGAATGACCAATGTCCTCCTATAATCATTATTGCAGTGGCTGTCCCAGTCGAAAGAATCTTCCCTTGGAGCGCCAGGCGTGTATCGAGGGGGGACGCCTGCCTCAAAAACTAATCCGCCACTATCGATAGGCGGCGTTGGGACATCTTGATAAGCAGATTTACTGCCTCGCTGCCACGTCCCCTGGCCAGTGGCTATGGGCTGCGCTCCTAACCATTTTCGTGGAGATCGGCATTTTCTCACAACGCATGGCTCTCCATTGGTGGAAAAGGCTCAGCTGGGCCGCTCTTTGTTCGGGCTGGAACTTCTGACACCGTCTAGCGGCTCTTCCTTGCCACCAGATGTCACCATGTGAACTCTGAACGCATTTTGACGAGGCTCGACTTTGCTTTGTGGACGAGGCTCTCCGCAGGTAAGGAAGACATTCTCCAAACCAACTGACCTGGAGCTGTTTGGCAGGGACTTGATAAGGGGCAATTTCTGGGACACCAATATTGTCCTGCATTCATCTGTCCTTGCCGGAAGGTAACCGTCCCAGGGCAGTGTCTATGCGCCTATGCGTCTATGCGTCTATCCTCCTTTTCATATGGCGAAGTTGTCGGCTGTCCTCGTTGAAGCGAGCATGCGAGCCGCCGTCCGAGAGTGATCGGGTGCCACGGACCTCGCGTCTCGCCACACTCTGTTTCCCCAGATGTCTAGGGTGTTTCTATGACTATACTTGATTGAGGCAGATCCACTTTGGTTGCCCCGAGCCTGGTCAGTACCTCAGTAAAAGTGCTAGAACGAGGTTCAAGTTCAACCCAGAAATAATCTGGACGGTCATTATCTGCCTGCTATATCAAACATCGTCCAGAGCAATCCCAAAGGCACAAGGTAAGGCCAATCGTTAGCATCTCTAAGTGTCGTTATCGTAGCTCGTCTGCGGTGAGATCTCCTCACAAGGTCGTCTAGGAGGCATCGAAAGTTCGATCAATGGTGATGATGTCTATGCCTCCGTCGGCGGCCATCACTGTCGCTGTCGCTACTCCCGCTACTGCTGCTGCTCACACTCCGTCTCCGACTGCCGGACCGCTTGCGCGAAAGGCTTCGTCGGCGGCCATCTGCATAATGGTTGCCATGGCCTACACTATCGCCCTCTCGCCCTTCCTTCTTCTTTTTCTTGCTCTTCTCGTGTTTCTTTTCCAGCTGGTGTCCGGCGTAGGCTCCCGCAAGAGCCCCAGCAACGGTCACTAAGTCGCTGCGGTGTCCCAGCTCTCGGCCAGCCCCTACTGTCATCAGCCGCCGATGTGCAGTGTGGACTGGAGCACCCCCCAGCTCGACATTGAGTGTAGATGTAAGTACTTACATGTGCCCACTGCGCCGCCAATCAGGGTCGCACCTAGGTCTTTTGCAGTTTTGTGGTCATGTTTCTCACCCTTCTCCCTTGATCTTTCCCGGTCTCTTCTCGAGCCTCTGGAACTGGGGCGGTCATTGTATTGGGGTGGAGGAGGGTAATAGCTTGCATCGCTGCCACGGTATTGACTGGCAGCATATTGACCGGAGTGGCGGCGCTCGCGGCCATGCTCGTACTCATTACCCGTGTACTGGCCAACCTGCATGCCAGAAGAGCGCGGCGAGTACCGGTATTGATCCTCGCTAGGAGGTTGGTAACCGTAAGAACCCTGGCTCCATGTCAGATGGAGAACAGGGGCGCAAAGATGCCATGACTGCAGATGTTACCTGAGTTGCGTTGGGCGAGCTGTAAGCTGGGCCAGTGTACGGCTGATGTCCCTCTTGCGCTCGCGGAGGAGGCGGATAGCTGTTGTAGCCCCCGGCAGGCGCAGGAGGATATGCGTTCGGATTGTAATGGTCAGCCATACTGATCTGCAGAAGTCACTACTAGGACTACTGCGCGCGAGGTCGGAATTTTGCCAAGTTGTGGATGAGAGCAGAAACCTCATAAGACTCGGAGGCTCAGTCGCGGCCTTTAGTCATATCCCTCAACGCGGGGGCGAAGCAGGTGAACAGGCTACGGCAGGGCGGCAGAGAAGGCGAGCCAAGGGTTCTCATTCTTCCCTACATCATATCCGGTGGACATGATAATGATTGTACAGAGTATCTGTTTACAAGGGTACCTTACATAGATACCTACTTTTACTACGTCGTACCTTGCGCAGAGGAGGTGCGGCACGGCTATATATGGCTCGTCGGAGGTTCAGTTCGCGAGGAGATCCAGAGCTTATGGACGGCAGTTTCCGTCAGTTCCGCTGCTGAGGATCCGAGCAAGACACCTCCACAACTTGAAGTGGAATATTGGGGTTGGAATAGCCAGCTCTTTTTCGGAAAAGAGGGACGTCCCAGGGCGAACAACGGCAGAACAGATGATACCCTGCTAGCCTGCCGTCGTCGTTTGTGCTCTGTACAACGAATATACAATCCATCTCAATCCCTCTTATGCAACCACTTTAACAGAATTCTGGTGGCTCTCATCGCTCTCCACCCAATGTGTTCGGGGCCATCGGCGATGGCTTCCACATGCCACGCTCGAGTATTATTACTAATCTTGTGCCTAGACGCAGTTTTGACTTCCTTTGAGCTTCTGTCTTCCACACTGTCGCAGTGTCGTGGCGGTCATGCAATGTCTCTGGCAGGTCGATATTCGGTCGGGAGGTGTGGAGGAGGCATGATGATATCTCAGCACAAACATGAGACACCTACTACCTACTAGGTACCTACCCTTAGGTAGTACATACCTACACAGTGCAGAGAAAATGCAGTCCGAATGGAGTACTCTCTACTTCTCAAACATGGCCTCGAACATGGCCCCTGGTGCGGCGAAGCGAAAGCCTGGCTTCAGCTTGTGGGCAGCTGAGGTCTGAGCGAGATACCAACCAATCACACCGTGGCGCCCAGGAGCGTATCTCTTGGCAACCGGCGCTTTTCGGTCACGGTGGAACTTGAAGAACTGTCCCGCCAGTCGCCTTGGAGATTTCTCCCTTCATCCCCCTCAACCCCCTGCGCCCGCCCTTCGACTCTTCCCGGCACCAGTTCCGGCTCTCCCTATCGACTCTCGACTCGGACCACTGCGTGAACCCCTTCGGCCTCGCGTTGCCTCGCCCTCGAATCGATAGTCTTGCCGACTCTTCCTGAGTCGACTTATGCTTAATCGCTAGTATGGCCCGCCATTGGCCTCGAAGCCTCCGGGGGAAGCCATAGCTTGTTGACCACCATGTCGTCGCTGTTAATCGCACACCGAGCTCCATCCACCCAAACATCTCTCTGGCCATCCCAGGCAAATCCCTCAGTTTGACACCTTTTTTTTCTGCGGTCGGCGTCATACGCTGCGATGAACGAACCCCCTGGTCGGAGGGCTATGGTCCATGTCAAAGTTTGTTCCTGCCAGGTAGGTACAAGAACCGATTCGAATGCTCTTTCAGACACTAGTAGCACGATATATATACCACGCCCGCCCCTCCCCCAGTCACATCACTCCCCCCATTCATTCACCAAGACGTACTTCGAGAACCGACGTTTCTAGTCCTGTTGGAAACAATCCCGCCGCTAGATACCGTCTCTCCTGTACCTGAACACCATTCCCGTGGGACCTCTCACCCTACAGACACATAGACGCCCTACACAATGTCGACTCCCCAGGGCGATGGCGCCGGCGCCGAGGAGCGCGGGAGCCCTCGTGCGAGCCTTGAGAGACGTGACAGTCGGCTCACTCACGCATCTACCCGACGATCGCTCGATCGATATGAAACGAGACCTACGCAAGATGCCGCTGATGTCATGGACATACCCTACGAAATCCTTAGCGATGACGCCGATTTCGCCGAATATACCGAGGAGACGGCGACTGGTGTCATTCCCAAGAGGACGATCTCGCGGGTCAGTGGGAAAATGGAAGACCATGAGTTGGTCACCTTCAAGATCAACGATCCGGGGAATCCGAAGAACTGGACGAAGCCTTACAGTATGTCCTCCTGATGGGAACACCAACAATTTGAGCCTTGCTAACTCGTGGTGCTAGAATGGTATTGTACCATGGTCGTGGCTTTCACGTGTTTTGTGGTGGCATTCAACAGTGCCGTCATCACGGCCGACTTGGAAGGTGTTTCGGAAAGGTTCCATGTATCCGCCGAGGTCTCGCTGTTGACCGTCACACTCTTCGTCATCGGATTCGGCGTCGGGCCCCTGGCGTTTGCACCGGCATCAGAGCTTTTCGGCAGAAAGCCAGTCTACATCATCACACTTTTTGTCGCTCTCATCTTCGAGATCCCCTGCGCGGTCGCGAAGAACATCGGAACGCTCTTGTCCTGCCGTTTCATCGATGGCGTTGCCTTCTCAGCGCCCATGACGCTCGTCGGTGGTACTCTGGCGGATCTCTGGAAGAACGAAGAGCGAGGTGTTCCCATGGCTGTCTTCAGCGCCGCTCCTTTCCTTGGTCCTGCCATCGGCCCTCTTGCCGGTGGTTTCTTGGGTGACGCCGCCGGATGGAGATGGCTATACTGGCTCCAACTGATCCTCTCTGGAATCTGCTGGATTGTCTTGACTTTCACTGTCCCCGAGACGTACGCGGCCGCCATCCTCGACAAGCGGGCGAAGAAGATGCGCAAGGACACTGGAGACCAACGATACGTGACCGAGAAGGACATTGATGCCAAGCCCATGAGCCAACAACTCCGCATCTTCCTGTTCCGACCTATCCAGCTGCTCTGCCTCGAACCCATCGTCCTCTTGATCTCGCTGTACATGGCCGTTCTTTATGGTCTGCTGTACATGTTCTTCGTGGCCTATCCCATTATCTACGTTGATGGAAAGGGATGGTCGGAAGGCATGACCGGATTGATGTTCATTCCACTGGCCATTGGTGTGGTTCTCTCCGCCGCCTGCTCGCCTTTGGTCAACAAACACTATCTCACCCTCTGTGCGAAAGCCCCCAACGGAAGACCGCCCGCAGAAGCCCGTCTGATCCCCATGATGATTTCTTGTTGGCTTATCCCGGTCGGATTGTTCATCTTCGGTTGGACTTCTTACTCTGACATCTCATATTGGGGTCCCATGATGGGTGGTTTCCCGGTCGGGTTCGGATTCATCTTCCTCTACAACTCCGCCAACAACTACCTTGTCGACACCTACCAGCACCAGGCTGCCTCGGCGCTCGCTGCCAAGACTTGCATCCGAAGTTTCTGGGGTGCTGGGTCCGTCCTCTTCACGACACAGATGTACAACACTTTGGGCTACCAGTGGGCCAGTTCGCTTCTGGCCTTCATCGCCCTGGCATGCTGCTTGATTCCCTATGTCTTCTACTTCAAGGGTGCCGCCATCCGAAAGCTTTCCCGGTTTGCTTTCCATGAGGAGGGTGAAGATGAGGTTCCCGCAGGCGAGAAAAAGGTGTGAACCAGTCCAATCGGAAAGCCGGATGGTTCGACCTCAAAAACTTCAAACCCACGTCAGCCGAGCAATCGGTTGACGAACAGGATTGAAGTCTCTTCCAGTCCGAAAATGCCGAGCTGTCAAGCCTATATAATGGCAATAGTTCGTCTCAATTGTTGAGACCTGGCGGGGTCCGTGCCCTTGATGACAGGCGCTCCAAACCCGGGCCCTGCCAAAGGCGACCGCATTCCTGCCACGCCGGGGTTTGCGGATCAAAAAAGTGGCCCCACGGCCTCAGACCATGTCATGTCAACGAGAGAAACCCTCAACAAAACGTTTTGTGGTGACAAGAAGTTGAACAAAAGACCACTCGTGAGGTATGATATTATATTTTGAACGGTGTTTTAGCAGGGCCCGAAGCGGCGGAAGGGCAGGAGTTTGATTTATATCTATTCAATCACATATAAACTACTAATGAATATGCAATTTAATACAAACAAAGATGGCCAGATCTGTATCTATTTATCATTTCTTCGCATGTGTGACAGGCAGGAGGGGATTTCCCGCGCGGTTCCGCCAAAGGCCCTCCAACTCGTCGCTCAGCATCACATTATTTATTCTCACTCCAACCCTGTCCGGGCGTTTTGGGACGACCGACTGACGACTACCTACTATCTGATCCATCTGGGCAAACGAGCCGAGGAGACCCTTTTGGAGAAAAAGCACCATTCTCATTCTCAGGGTCGTCCCTCCAAACCCGCGAATGGAGGTTATCCGGGACCAGACATGATGATGCGGGAGCACACTGAGGGGATCCTATCTCCTGTCGTCTATCACTGCCTACCTTACACCCTTTCCCCCTCCGAGGTTGTACTTGGACTCCTCAAACTTGAACCAAATTTGGAGCAGGTGGTGCTACTACAATGTCGAGGAGCTTTCCTCGGCAGATGTTGAATCACGACTGGGCAGGGGTCAAGAGGTAGGTACCTAACAGTATGTAGGTATACTGCACCGATGCTTACCCGTCCGTCTTGGGGTGATGGAAGCAAATGCTCTGGACTTGGGAGTTGTCGCATTTGATGGGTTTCTCCTCACAATGACCCTTATTACTCGCCCCCCAAGTTGCTTTGCCTCTTGGTCATCATCCATCTGCTGTTGGTTCTATCGGCGGTGATCTTCGTCAAGGTTCTTCGTGACACCTGCTCGACACAATAGTCTTTCTCCACTACTGTCATCAAACGCACTCCGTGAAGCTCCAGTTTTTGTTGTGGTCTGATCGTTGAGCTCGCGTCGTCTTGTTGGTCGGGGCGATACGCTCGTATTCTATTGTCAGAATGGGCTCGATTGGATACAAGACGGCAGACGAACAATATGCGCATCCTCTGATCTCGGAAAGAGCCATCGACGAACACCGGCCCCTGAAAGTCATCTACGTGGGAGCTGGGGTGTCAGGGATCTGTGCAGCCATTCAATTCCCCAAATATGTACCGACCATCGAGCTTGCCATCTATGAGAAGAATGCCGATGTTGGCGGGACGTGGTTCGAGAATAGGTACGTTCCCATCGGTCATCACAATACGTTGTTTATTGCATTGAATGACAATGCTTAATCACTTCTCGGTGCCAGGTATCCAGGTTGCGCGTGCGGTACGTGAATCATGCAGTGGCACTAACCGGAAAGTTGTGTGTGTGACTGATAAGGGACCAAAAGATATCCCTGCCCATTCCTACCAGTTGAGTTTCGAGTCCGACGTGACTTGGAGCAAGTTCTATGCAGGGGCTCCCGAGATCCTTGAGTACTGGAGACGCGTGGTGGACAAGTACGGGGCGAAGAAGTACATGAACTTCGGGCATAAATGTGTCGAGGCGCGGTGGAACGACGAGACGTCGAAATGGCACGTCAAATTCCGCAAACTGGATACCGACGAGATCGTAGAGGATGTCGGGGACGTGTTCATGACTGGGGTCGGCGCGCTGAATGAATGGAACTGGCCAGATATCAAAGGCCTGCACGACTTCAAGGGCAAGTTGATGCACAGCGCCGATTGGGATAGCAGTTTTGATGCCACGGTACGACTTTCATCTCGATGACAACATGACTTGACTTTGCTTTTGCTGATGGTATGGGGTTGGTGTTAGGGCAAGCAAATTGCCGTCATCGGGGCTGGCAGCAGCGGCATCCAGATCGTGCCGAATCTGCAACCAAAGGTCCAATCCATGGATTACTATGTACGCGGACGCACATGGATTGCAGCGACATTCGGCAACGAGCTGGTACGCGCGCGCAACAACGGACAGGACGGCAACTTCGAGTACACGGCCGAAGAACAGGAGGCGTGGAAGAAGGATCCTGAGTTATATATCAAGTACCGCAAGGGTTTGGAGGTCGGGATGCAGGGGACATTTGCCCTGACGCACCGAGGCAGCAAAGAGCACGAAGAGGCATGGAAGGCATTCCGACAAGACATGCAGACGCGACTGGGCAAGAAGAAGGAAATCGCCAAGACCCTGATCCCGGACTTCCCTCCTCTCTGCAAACGCCTGACTCCCGGCCCAGGATACCTGGAGGCGCTGGTGGCGGAGAACGTCGACGTGATCCCGACGCCGATCGACCACGTCGACGAAACAGGCATCACCACTTCCGACGGGACACACCGACGTGTCGACGCCATCGTGTGCGCGACGGGCTTCGACACGTCGTTCCAAGGAAGATTCCCTATCTACGGCCGCGGAGGGACCAATCTGCAGGAACGCTACAAGGTGCGGCCGGAGACGTATCTGAGCGTCACCACCGACCGGTTCCCCAACTTCTTCCAGTCCCTGGGGCCGAACGCCGGCGTGGGCAATGGCAATTTGCTGATCATCATCGAAGCCGTCGCTTTGTATGTGGCGCAGATCCTGCAGCGGCTGGCGCGGGCCAATGTCAAGACCATCGAGCCCAAGAGGACCCAGGTCGAGAACTTCACCAACTACTGCGACGCCTTCTTCAAGCGCACTGTCTTCTCCGCTGAGTGTGGAAGTTGGTATAAGGCGTCGCCGCCCGATGCCGGTCCCGAAGAACGCAAAAGAGGGCGCGTGACGGCCTTGTGGCCCGGTAGTAGTATCCACGCTGTCAGGGCATTGGAGAAGGTCCGGTTCGACGATTTCGACATGACCGCGCTCGATGGGAATGAGTTTGGCTGGTTTGGCGATGGCTGGGCCGTGGCTGAGAGGACGGGCGACGTGCAGGGCTTGACGTGGTATCTCGACGATACTGGGTTCACGCATGAGCCGCTGGACAAGGGGGAGACGCTGGTCGTCAATGAGGATAAAGTGGTCAGGCATGGCGAGGAGGATGGGGTCAAGAAGGGGCAGGTTGTCACGGAATATCGAGTTCCTGATGGAATTGTTGCGACGTGAGATGTGGAGAAGTTGAATGCAGGTATATATTATATATATTGTATACCAGTGTCCAACAGAGTCTCATACAGTTGATTCCTGGTTAGGAGGGCTGTATCGAAGATTCATTCGCATGAGATCGATATATATACATATGTGTGTGTGTATATCAACATGTGGGTGTCAGTATATCCTTGTAGCCATACTTTCAGTGTCCTGTCTTTCATTTCAAGAAATCCATCTATATTTCTGTCTCTGTCTCTGTCTCTGGTTTCTAGATCTCACTGCAATATGAACGCTGCAAGCAAAACTCCTCCCTAAGAATAGAAGCTGGTAATTATCCCCATCAAGTAAGATATCTCATGCATCCAACAGATCATCTCCGCCGTCACGGACGAACGCGGCACAGCACGCCTGACAATCTACTATCTATATGTCTACCTAGGTATCTATCTATCTACCTATTCAGGGATCTACGACAGTTGAGTTGATCCTCCTGACCATGAACAGACATTCCTCTTCATCTTCATCTTATATACTGGAATGGAGCCGACATAAAAGCCCCCTATCTTCATGCTGCGAACGACCATGGCGTCTTGGAAACATTTGAGCCTCTCCATCTCCGCCATCCTCCTTCTATCTACCAGCCTTGCTTATCTTCTGTTATCCCTTGCCCCTCATACTCCTTCTCACCTAATCAAACAGCATCAGTCTTCTCAACATTCCCCATCACCAGCTGCTTCTGCTTCTTGTTCTCCTCTTAAAGACTATCATCAAGGGTTCCATGCTCCAGCGAAAAACCCATGGATCGAACTCGACGAGGAGGAAGCTTCACAGATCTCCGCCTTCTTCCAAGAGACATATAATCTGAAAAGAGATACTCATTCTGAGTCTGACTCTGAGTCTAACGATGCCTCTAACGATGCCTCTACATCCAAGTCATCCAAGGCTTCATCCAAGTCATCTAAGACTTCATCTAAGGCTTCATCCAACAGCACCCCTGTCCCCCAGATCCATCTCATCGAACTTCTACGTCCCAATAAATCCGACGTCGTCAACTATCTGGACAGCAATGGGCCCCTTCCCGAGCGTTGGGCTCGTGTATCGAATCTGGAATACAACGACAGCACGAACGAAGTATTTATCGCGGAATACATGGTTGGACCACTTCCAGCAGTGTCTGTGTCGTCCGTTGAAGGGCGTGGCCGCGAACGCAACAGCCAGGACGAAAAGGATACCGACGCCATCGACCACCACAACAGCTATACAAAACCGCAACCCCAGATCCACCCCCTAACATACTGCTACAACTCCGGCCGAAACCGAGTTCAAACCCCCCTGGCCGGTTCTTTCGCTCTTCTCGAATGGGCCCTCAGCATAGGCGAGAACGCATCCGACATCACGCAGGATCTGCTCGGCGCCGCCACGAACCGAGACGATCCATCAGACCCGGCCGCACTGGTGATGGGCTCGAGACCGGCCCTGATCGAAGCCGGCAGGATGGTGCATTGGCTCGAGTTCTTCAGCGCGGGAATCGCCTCTGATAGTCGCAGTTTGCTTCCTCAGGGGTTATATGTCAAAGTGGAGACGCCGACGCCGGATCCTACGACCTGGATGACCAAGCAGTGGTTCTATAATGGCGTCTTGTACGATAATGATACAGCGCTGCGTGATGCCATGGCTGAGCCGGGGTTTGTTAGGCTTGAGAGGAACTTGGATGGAGAATGGACTGATACTGAAGAATTTGATACTGATGCTGATGCCGACACCAACACTGAAGAGTTTGATACTGACAGCGACACCGATGCTGACGCTGAGTTCTCGAAATTCAAGTCTGATCCCTCACGCTCACGCTCACGTTCATCCCTCCCCCCAATCTCAATCCAACCCTACGGCCCTCGCTACCACCTCGACCGCCACGAACAATATCTCTCGTGGATGGGCTTCTCGTTCTACCTCTCCACCAATCAAGCGACAGGTCTGTCTCTTTTCGACATCCGCTACAACAACTCCCGCCTCATCTACCAGCTCGGCCTGCAGGAGGCGCTGGCCCACTATGCTGGCGTCGAGCCGATGCAGTCCGGCCTCGAGTTTCTCGACGCCTTCTTCGGCATGGGCAGTATGATGTTCAGCCTGGTCCCGGGCCACGACTGTCCCGGCCACGCCGAGTATTTGGGCATGTGGTACCACAAGGGCCCTGGAGGGAAGATGTATCGCAACAGGAACGCCATTTGTGTCTTTGAATATACGTCGGACGCGCCGTTGCAGAGACATACGTCGGCGTTCAGTGCCACTGTTAGCAGGAACACGTATCTTGTGGTCAGGAGTGTGAGTACCGTGGGGAACTATGATTACACTGTAAGTTCGGGTGGTGATGATTTCTTTTCTTTCCTCTTTTCCTCTTTTCGTCGTTTCCTTCTTGTCATGCGGTTGCTATTGCGGATGTGGTGGCTTTTGTCAAAATCTTGTCAAAGTCGTTGGCCTTCTCTGCTTGTATTTCAAACCATGTCATCCAATCCCAGTTCTTCAACAGTCGTCACCAACTACATCTATCCATCCCCACGGCTGTCTACGACTCTACGTCAAGAGCCCATCACAACCCAGACGTCCTCCTAACCTCACTTGCATTATAACATGCCACTACCACTACATTACCTGTATCTAACTATACTTTCTCTCTCTCCGTTGTATAGATCGACTACATATTCTACCTCGACGGGTCCATCGAAGTCAAACTCCGCGCAAGCGGCTTCATCTTCGGCGCCTTCCACGCTGAACCGCGCTCGTCGTCTTCATCATCTTCATCATCATCATCACCTTCCAAACGCGAAGCACACACTTCCCACCACAACCCACCCTCACCCAACACCAATCCCAACGAATACGGCTACCGCATCCACCCAGCCGTCCACACCTCGATGCACGACCACGTCGTCTCGTTCCGCGCAGACCTCGACATCTGCGGCCCGTCCAACACGTTGATACGCACGGCCATCGAACCCCTGACGCAATCCTACGACTGGGACCGGCCCGAGATCCCCGGCCCCCGCAACACCATGCACATGGTACACACGCCGGTCACGCACGAGACCGGGCTCAACTGGCCCCGCAACAGCGGCGAGATGTACCTGATCACCAACCCCAACGCCACGAACAGATGGGGCGAAACCCGAGCCTACCGCATCCTGCCCGGCACGGGGATGGGCAGTCCCGCATCCCTGACGATCGTGAATTCGACGACGCTCGGCCGTTCCGCGGCGTGGGCCAGTTCGGATCTGTGGATTCTGAAGAACCGGCCGGTGACAGAGCCCGCGGGGGCCCATGCGTGGAATTACCTGCAGCCGTTGGATCCGTTGGTTGATTTCGAGAAGATGGTCGACGGCGAGCCCATCGAGGAGGAGGATCTGGTGGTGTACTTCAACTTGGGGGGGCATCATGTGCCGACGACCCAGGATGTTCCCAATACGTTGATGCATACTAGTGCCAGTTCGGTCATGTTTGTGCCGTTCAATTATTTCGATCATGATGTCTCGAGGGCCGTGAGACAGGGTGTTAGAGTGGATAGGAGGAAGAAGTGGGGAAAGAAGGAGGAGGAGAAGAAGAAGAAGAAGAAGAAGGAAACTTCTACTAAAACTACTACTGCTACTACTACTGGTCGTGGTTGTGGTGGTGATCGACACGGAGGTCAAGTTGAGACTGGTGACGAAGACGGAAAGGAAGAGCGAGAGAAAGGGAAAGATGAAATTCGCCGCACAGCAGCCCTTGGTCGAGGACGACATACTGTACGAAACGATGACACGGATGAAAAGATTGATATGGCCACTGAAGAAAAGAGGCCAGAGGGTGATGACAGTGACGATGATGATGACAATGCCGACATAACATATTTCGGCGGCCACTATACATCCCCCGTCCTGGTTTCTCAAGAAATGCTCTCCCCGGATCTCAGCAATTATATGAAAGAGCGGGATGAAGAAGAAGTCGGCGGCTGGAAGACCGTCCGGAACCGCGTCGGTGGAGGATTGCTTGGTCTTTTCGTCGGGAAGGAGAGGGGGGAGTTGGGAGACGAGGACAACGACGGCGACGGCGACGCTGATCGAGGTCGAATGGATTGGTGAACAGTGAACACTGAACAGTGGACAGTGGACAGCGGACACTGGACACTAGAAAGATATATACCATTCAAGAATCAGGATCGTGTTGAGCTATCTGGTCTAGGTTAGATAACGCAGACTCTGGCAAGGTCAGGTCAGTGGATGTCATCGAGTTAGGGAGAAAGAACTGCGTATGATGTGTGTGGTATGGATGATGAGACTATGGTTCACGAGAGAAAGGATACAAGACGAGATATATGAAGAGCTCTTCTTGCTGTCTGTTCTCGGTCATGCTTCTCATCCTGAAGGGGAACATTCTTTCCTGTTCCTGTTTCCTGCTTGTCTCGCCGATCGACAATGTATGGAAAACTCTCGACTTTCTCTGTTATCTTGTAGGTGTATCTCGACTCGCTCTGTCACCTTGTTGGTATATCCGACTCGCTCTATTATCTCAATGCTGTACTCACTCCCCAGAGCAACAAAGATTTCTCAACGCCACCATCTTATCCAAAGATTCACGAATACTGGCCCTGAAACCGCTGCCGCTCCTTGGTAAGCCGACGAAGAGGAAACGAGAACGGAAATCTATCGCGCCCTCGTTTCTTGGTGTCACCGTTTCCCTTGTCCTTTCCAGCGGTGCCGAAGATAGCCATGATCCCCGAACCAGAAGCAGAACCAGACGCGCTGTTTTCGTTTCTGGTGACATTGCCGATCGTTTTCGTTCGATACTGGCCCGGCCCGCGGCTACCTCTCGGAGTCGCACCACCGGCTAGTTCATCGAATGGATACAGATCCTAACATAGTGACGCAGTATTGTTAGCTTGTGACTCTTGGTTTTCCAAAATTCGAAGACATGGCAAGAGAGTTCTAAAATATGCGAGTAGAACAGTCCTCTGCACGTCTTTCGCATGCATATCAGCTGACGAGCTGCCGAATTCCAAACACCCCTGCAGGAGTTATACATACCTCGACGTAATCCACTATTGAACTTGTGTCGGAAAGTGTCAGGGGGCTGATACTGGGACTGCGATTGCCGGTAAGCTCCCCTTCATCTCCACTGTGTTCTGCAGAGTGACCGTAAGAAACTCTTCGGCCGGGGTGAGGTTCTTCGTGAATCGTGGTGAGACTGGGACTCGGTGAAAGTCTGGACCGTTCGTAGATGTGGATTCTGGTCAATGGAGTCGGAGCAGGAGCTGAAGCCACCACTTGACTATCAGAGACATGGCTCTTCACGCCCTCAACCCGAACAAGGGATGTTGAGCTGGGATTCAAATTCGAGCTTGACGTTGTTGACGTTGATGTTGGTATTAATGCTGTTGATGTTGTTGTCGTCGTTGGTACAAGCAACGTTAGACTCTCGTGGTCCAAATACCCGCGTACTCCATCCGCTTCAGGCCCCTGATTCATCGCGGCAAGCAGACTAGCTCGATTTTTATGTAGGGCTCCACTTTTCGTCTTGTTGTTCCCGTCCACCGTGGAAGTCGTGTAACTGTTCGGAGTTGTTGTTTGAGGCACAGCCGGCCCACCTTGCATATCGATCCCCGCTTCGTCGCCGTACAGCCAGATGAGGTTGAAGAAGAGGGCTTTGGCGGTATTATGCTGACGAACGAACGGAGTCACATTCATGGCCAGCGTCGACCGGATGAAGCGGCACGTGCCGGTGTTGGCAATGTGCCATTCCCGCCGGGCTTGATCGAGCTGGTCTCTCGCGTCTTCTTTGTTCGGCGTCGCGAGATTCAACTTCGCTGCGTTGGGCTCCGTCCAGTCGCCGAGAAAAAGGTTCGACGAGTAATTGTTGGTCAGGAGGATTGGCTGGACGACAGCGCGCCAGGAGTGGAAGTTGGATTTGCCTAGGAGCGGGTCGATGTCGTCGACGGAAGGGAAATTCATGGAAGATAAGTATGTTCGGGAGGAATAGGGTGCTGACGACATGGTTGGGAGTCTTGTCCGTCGATTCTGGATTTCGGAGAGAAAGAGAGAGCCCAATGTCAGTTGGACGAGATGCCAAAGTCGTTATATCAGCCCTGGTTGTGGTTGTGGTTGTATGTTCTGGTAGTATCCAGTATTCGATAGACATGTCGAGGCCTCTCCTGACTCACTTATGTCTTGGTCTTGGAAAGTGGTTGCCAGCTCGACGAGGACATGTACATGAAACATTGGACTCAGCTTGTTGTTGCCCTTTTCTTTGCTGGGACTTCTCATTTTCATATATCGTAAAAACAGAAGTCGATTGATTGCCTGGAGGGAAGGGAGACCGTTGAAATAGCCGTCAAGATTGGTTCTTTTCTTTGCGAAAGACTTGATTGCTCTGAGCAACTTGTCAGTCCACAAGTCATACCAGATGAAAACCTGTAGTTTCACACACGACCTGTCAATAGTGATAATTGACATCCCTACCTAGTTGAAGGCGCAAGTCTCCAGCTCCTTCAAAAGTAACCTATATCGACGCCACGGTGCACATAGCAAGGCTCAAAAGAGGAGCCAGTTAATGATGAAAAGAATGGATGTTGAAACAGATAGGTAGAAAGAAGCCTGAGCATGATATGAGTCTCGTCAAGCTTGGAAGCCTCCTTCAGGTGCCATTTTTTGCCAGCCAAAAATTCTGTACACTTGACCGGCGATTCACGCTTTGCGTTGTCCACTATACCATCAGAAAGTCGTGCCAAGTCTTCACTCTTGATCGAGGCGAACCTCTCACCCATTGATCGTCCCGAGCATGCTCATCCCATTGCACTTAGTTATTTCGTGTAGTCGCCAGCGAAACGCAAAGTCGTTTATAGTGTAGGAACAGTCTCCTGGTGACGACCCTGTACATCAGCATGCTTCACATCCTTCAAATCCGCCTTGACATGATCGAAGTGATACAAAGGCTTGAGCGTGGCAGACTTGCGCCAGAAGACATAACGCTGGATGAACCAAGGCAGCCAGGTGCCAGTCTGGTACTTCCAGAACCGCCGCATCGGCACGGCGAAGATATAGTCGAGTTCCTCGAGGGTACGTTGCTTCGTCTCCGGGACGAAGAAGAAGATCATAAAGAAGGCACACACGTTCATGGCAGCATAGAACCCGAAAGCGCCGGTCGGGGTGAGCGCGGCCAGCATCCGGGGGAACGTGATGGACAGTACGGCGGCCCAAAACAGGCAGGTTGCGACAGCCCAGCCCATGCCGACTTCTCTGTGAGACAAGGGGAAGACCTCGGCAGAATAGGTGAAAGGCACCGGTCCCTCCCCAGGAGAGTAGAACGCGGCGAAAAGGAAGATGAAGAAGGCGATCAGGCCTAGATGCGCCCGGCTCTCCTCGGGGATGTAGAAGCAGAACCCTGCCGCAAGGAGAGTCCACGCCATCTGTGGGAAGGTGAAGAGTAGCAGCGTCCGGCGGCCGAAGGTGTCGATGGTGAAGAAGGCCGGCCAGGCAAAGACAAAGTTCACCAGTCCAAAGCCGAATGAGGCGAGAAGGGCCTCGAGCCGGGAAGCGCCGGCTTGCGCGAAAATCGTCGACGAGTAGAACGCCTGCGCACACTGGTTAAAAGGGCAAAGAGAGCGGCCTCCCTGGACAAAACGGAATCTGACTTACGATGATGTTGATCCCACACATCTGCTGAGCAATCATAACCGTCCACGAGGCCAGTGTGGCCCGCCGCACGCGAGGAATCGTGAACAGCTCCCCAAACCGCTTCAGGTAGTTGGTCTCTCCGATGATGTCGGCCTCGACTTCGACCTGTGCATTGATGTAATACAAGTCACGCGCAGCCAGCAAGTCATGGTTGCGAAGACGTCTGAGCGACTTGTATGCCTGTACGAAGCGCCGTTTCTTGATGTACCATCTGGGCGACTCGGGACAGAAGAAGATTCCAACGGCCAACGGCACGGCGGGAAGAAAAGCAGAGCCAATCTGCAGCCGCCAGGCAATCGCCCCGGTATTGTATACAGCAAGATTGGCCAAAAAGCCGAGGAAGATCCCAAAGGCTGTCCACATCTGCCAGGTCATGACGAGCGCGCCTCTGCATTGAAGACCGAAGTCAGCGCGAGCTCTTGAGCACCAACGGGATGGACAAACCTGATGGCAGCAGGGCTGTTCTCGGCTGCAAATATGGGAGTTGTAGAGCCTTTGAGACCCATGCCGATACCCATGAGGAGACGGGTGACGAAGAGCTGTTGCCATGTTTGAGTCACTGCTCCACCGATGGGAGTGATGATGAGGAAGACCGCCGAGACGAAAATGGCACCACGTCGTCCAATGTAGTAATTGATAGGATCCGATATCCAACAGCCCAGAAAGGCGCTCGCGATATACGGGGCGGCATTCACGAGCCCAACGAGCCAGTTGTCGCGGTCGTGATTGGGAGTGTCAGGCGATTCCTCCCCTGCTCCGATGCCGAACTCCTGAGGGAAACTCAAGTTGGCGCCATTGGAACCGGTCTGATCCCAACCCTGGACAGCAGCACCAAGAGAACAGATCACGACGGTCACGTATAGGGACAGGGGATGTTTCCATTTCCGTGTAACTTCAATCCGAAGAGCCTCCTTTTCATCTTCTTCGAGATCGAGGCTTTCATAGTTTGCTGGATCTTGCGCGACCAGAGCCCCTTTCCTGAGCATGGGGATAATGTCGGTGAGATTGTTCTCCTCCGCGAAAGCGTCGACGTCAGCAAGCAACACATCTCGTGGAATGTCGGCCAACGGATTGGAGATCCTTGGAAAGGGATTTAGTCAAGCCTTTGTGAAGCTTCTATGCAAGTGAACTCTTACTTGGCATCGAGGTTCTTGTTGAGGTTGACGGAGGCCACTGTTGAGCGGCGCCGTCTCTCCTGGGTTGGCCCATCCTCGAAGTATTCTGCTCTTTTCTCGGCCATGATCAGAATTTTGGGTCAATGTCTCCAAGAAAGGCCAGAAGCAGAAATGAAAAGCTCGAGAGCTCGACTTCTTTCAGGGATATATAAACGACGAGGACACAACGAGAGGCATGCGGGGGGTCGAACATCCTTACCGTCGACCTTCATGTTTGGCTGTTGCAGGCCTGGGTGAAAGCGATCTGACATTGACGCCGCATAGTTCAAAAACTCACACTTGTTCAGTTGGAGTGGGAGGGATAGCCAAGATCCTAACGGGATGCACAAAGTCATCTGTCTTCCCCGTTCACCCCCGCAATTGTCCGCCGCGTGCGCCGTGGAGGAGATTCGAAGCGGCTGGACACTAGGTGGATGGTCCAACGGGACACTCCGCCCGCCCGCTTCTCGAAGATGCCAAGTAGAGGTGGAGGGAATGTTGTCGACTGAAATGAGCCACCTACGTCGCTGTCTGCCAGCGCCTGTGGTGGAAGACGAACCATCTGACCCTGGGAGAGCTGCAAAGTTCTCTTTGCATGCGGAGAGGTAGACCTTAGCGCCAGCTCCGAGTCGAGCTGGAATGACAGGAGGCCACAGTGATCTCCACAGGTGGCGATATTGCCTTGGGCATGAGGTTAAGACTTCCCTCCGCAATAGCAAAGGCAACGTTAAATATGTACCTCACCTACCGGGAGAAATGCAACGGTGATCTCCACGCCATCTGCGGGATCCTTTTGGTGTAATGTGTCTTGAGACCCATAGAAGGAAAAAACAGCTCGTTGGGATTCCAGATCTTGCAGGGCTTCGTGCGTCCAACGCTGAGCACGTCTTCAATGGGATGTGGTATGGAGTCAGTGAGTTCCAAGGACTCAGCCATCGAAATCAATATCGTCAGCGTGCACCGGCCTGGCCTCTGGTCTTCTTGGATGACGTGGCAAGATAGAGTCACAATGAATGACTGCCTTACTTGGGACAAGGCGACCGGGGATATGCTTGACGCCTCAAGAGAGGTCTAAATTCACAGGAGCCAAGTCGTGTCGGGCACTCTGGCAGGATGCCATACATATTGACTTGGGGAACAATCTGGGGATGAGGGGTTCCAGGATGTCAGGAGGCTTCCGCAACGGTATGCAGAGTAGATGAGGTGGGAAACTTGAACCTGGCTGAACATCAGTTCGATGTGAGACCAGGAAGGAAGCCGCAGATGTTGATGCCAAGAATGCACCGGACCAATCAAAGGGAGGGATATCTGCATCAGGCTGGGCGCCGAGACTTCCACCGAACTCCAAATTCGAGCATGAAGTTGAGGGTAAGCTGCAGTGACGGTGATGATGATGATGATGATGAGGAGGTGTGTTCTAGCCGTGTTCCAGCCGATAACACCCTGTGCCCTCCCAAGAGAGTAGTCACTTCTTGTCCTCTTGAACTTTCAATATCAACTGTCCTGTCGGTAACTGCTGCCGATTCTACCTAGCTTGCCTCCAATGCCCTAGGTTGTATCCGATCTGTCACCAGCGGACCTCATTGCCGGGCTTTGATCACAGTATTAAGAAACACGTCCTGCTGGCTTAGCCACGCCGAGATCGAAACACTTCACCGTCGTTGTGTAGTCAGTTCTGTAGAGGCATGACCATGGCCTTGCAGCGTTTGTTTACTGATGATCGTCCGTTGAAGTGGCAACGAGATATCATTTGAAGATAGAAGAAGCAGACACGAACAGACACAACGAGATCCGGACGATAGACCAGCAGAGATGGGTAAGATGGCGGGCATAATCAAGGTAGCGCGCACGGCATACGACTAACTATCATGTGTCAAGTCGACGGTGCACTTGACCGCCTCTCGAAAATGGCCCGGTGTCGAGTCACCAATTGAGCGCGGTTCAACTCCATTGCAAATACACGTTGCTTACTGTCAAGAGCGCCACGCGTCATGTATGGGAGCAATGAATGAGAATACCTCGGTGGCATAACCGGCATGAAGATGAATTGGAACTTATATGTGGTGATGGAAGATGTTGTGGGTATACATGTCCCGATATATATGTCTGGATATGTGGTGATTGCACAGTCGGAAGCAACTTACTATTATTACCGTCCTGCGGTGTTCATCAATCCAAGCCTACCCAAGTCATGGTCCAGCTCAGGGATCCCATTCCATCTCGTCGCTGCAGACAGACTGTCCGGGAGACTCACCATGTGAATGTGGTTGCAGCCTAGGATTTCTCTTTCGCCAGTGCATCTTCCATCTGTATTGTGCCCATTGCACATGCGTTGACTGGGAAGCGAAGTAATGTGCGCTCCACGGAGCCCCGACCTTGAACTGGTCCAAGATAAACCCCATCATCCGGCTGATAGTGGAACTCACATAGCGTTTTGCATCCTGACTCTCAAAGAAATCTGCCCACGCCTGCAAATGCTCACCAAAGACCTTAATCGTCACATTCTCTTCTCTACCTTGCTCTTCAAGAAGCGACCAGATCAGAAAATCGCGCACAGGCTGCTGAGTGTGGAACAAGGCCCAACCGACAAACCAGTGTTCGTGTGGTGACCATGAGTAGCGGGCGAGACGGTCACGGTGATCGAGTAGATGGTCGACAAGCGCTCTGTTCTGGTCACGCCAGCTGTAGTTCTTGCTGGCCATCTCGGAGTAATAGGCATTCCAGTACTCTCCGGAACGGAAGGCATGGTACTCTGTATGCTCGTTGAGACCATTAGGGTGTGTCTCAACAGCATGTACTGGTTTCATATTGTGAGGGTATCGCAGCAGGTGGACAGAAGCTGCGGGAATGCCTGAATTTAGTCAAGGAGTGTGATCCCCCGTATGTTGAAGTCGCTTGAACGAGTATTAGCCCCGCAATGGATCCGGGTTATCCTTGCCTGTGAGAAGAGTAGGGGGTATATTGACCACGACTGATCGATCGTAGTAATATCCGCAACGAAATGTCCTTCGCGGCCGTCAGCGTATAAGATCTGTCGGTCAGAATGACATGCAAGCGAGGAGGAGACTATGATACAGAGCAAAATTGTCAAGTTTTTATTGTTCGTTGATTCTCTTCGATATTTCATTGTTCACCGCTCCATCAGGGCGGCCTTTGACGTATCTCAGCTGTAGCCAAAGCATGTTTCTTAGAGTTGTTGAGGCGTCGTCTTTGTGGCAAGTAAGAGAAGGCACAATGGTGTGAACAAAGCTGCACTGAGGCATTCGAAAGCTTTGTCACCATCTTGCTCGGATTGTCCGACAAAGAGGGTGGCCAGTGGGAATGCAGATGCATGCCAATCGAAGAGATGGTACCGTGCAGATGCATACCGCAATATTGGAAGGGCAGGCAAGTCTCGGGTCCCTGTCCGCTTCCTATCCGCTTGAGAGAGGGTGCCAGACCCTTCCCTGGCACAGCTGTCGCCGAGATCCCAATGTTCTCCCATAGCGGGCAGCTGCTATCGGCCGATTGCAGATTCAGATCAGACGGAGCCTTCGTTGTACGCAACAGAACAAGAATTCTTTGGACGCGGGAACCCCAGGTGTAGGCCGAGACCGCACAACAGTCAGAAGCTCCACATAGAACATAAGGTTCTACCGACCGTTTGTCCGTTTCGGATACTCTGCGGGAGAGGAGTCTTGTGAATGGGTTGGCAACTTTGGCACCAATGATGGGAATAGCGAGAGTGTAACTGGAACTGTCGTAGGCGTTGGCATCATATCTTTCCTTCCTCGGTCATTCGTCGTATGCGGCTGAGCAGGACATTACCCTGCTTTCCCAGCTTTGGCTTTCCATCCTTTCCTGGTCGTTTGGCCTTGGTCATGGCCCTGCGTTCTTGTTCTCGAGCCTCCCGGGCTTTGCGCTTCGCCTCGATTTGTAGCCTATGTTGAGCCGCTAGTTCCATCTCCTTCTTATATCGTGATTCCTTGGGTCGGCGTTGCTTGGCCTGATGGTCGGATTCTCTGGGGTTGCGCCACGAGCGATTTTCTCTCGGCCGATTCTCCTCGTCTTGGTTGGTCGCGGGAGCCGCAAGCATAGCCTGCCGGTCAGGATGGAGTTCAAGGCTTGCAGGAGGTTGGTCTATTCTGTCTGTGTCTCCGTCGTTGCCAGCTGCAGTGAATGAAGGGGTGGGCTCGGTGGCTTCTTCTTGGGCCTTTATTTTGGCATAGGCCTTCTTAACCTTGGCTTTCTGAATCAGGTCGCGCTTAATCTTTTGTGCTACAAATGGTCAGTCTGGTCTATCGCTCTCGCTCAAGAGTACTCACTCTTGCGGCGGTATGTGCCATCTGGCAGATTGGCTGGTCCAACCGAGAAACCTTTCCTCTTCTTCTTGTCTGGTTCTGCAACGGCATTGCCAGCATCATCGGCAACTCTCTTGGACCCCATCTTGCACGAGATAAAGAGTGATATCGTGGAGTTCAGGGTAGAAAGCAATGCCGACTGACTTCCACTGCGTCCAGGCGGCTGTTCAGGAAAGACAACGACGGGTTCAAGTTGTTCATATCCACCAAAATGACTAGTGATGCAAATTCGCGTCGGAGCCAGAATTCGTAGACGCGGGGAAACTAGACAAATTGTCCCGGACAAAGAGGATTTTTGTCCCGCCTTCTCAGCCAATCAAATAGTCTGATTCTAGGCTACGCGAGTCCCGCTTCGTCGGTGATTTTAGGCTCGGGGACTAGCGTAATTAGCGTTTGTACGAGACTCCGCTTTGCCGGGACAAAGTGCCCTCAAAACAGCTCTATTGCTGAACTCGAACACAACAATCAATCCCTTCTTCTTTTCCCATACTAGAACACAAACTCACTGGAGCTTGTGTCCAAAGGCGAGTTTCATATACGCATCTATCTCAGTGGAGCACTATTACTTCTCTGCTATTCTGCGCGCTAAGGTATTATAAATCTATCGATATTGCTACTTATAGAGGTATATCGCTGTAAGTACCAACATTATATACAAAAAAGAAATTTCGGCTGACGCCGTACCGATAGCCTGCGTAATCGGTATAATGGCCGATCGCTCTAACTAAGTCTACTGTAGTACTAGTACGAGTACGTAGAGTACGTTATGACATGCTGCTTGAGACAAGCCCCGACAAGAGGAGTCATTCTTTGTTCAACTTCAGAGCATAACGACCGTCTCTTCTTTCTATACGCTGACTTTATGCAGTCCCTATGACCTACCACGCCGTCTCTCCCCTCAACATGGAGAACACTCGCTAGGCTTCGTCTGTCGCTAATTCTCGCTACCATCCGTGATGCAGCGGTAACTCCTCTGTATCGCCGCCCTTCCGGCATCCCGCGAATAGCCCGCAATGCCTCTCGTCTCGATTCGGTTTCCTCTGAAGGCTCGCTTTGACGGATTGCAGCCTTCAATACCTTGCGCCACCTCATAGCATTGGCAGGCTGCTCTTGCTGAGCATGCCCTTTTTCATTGACACTGAAGGCGTTTCTGTACGAGCTTGCAAGAGAAGGAAAGTCTCACCTCATTCAGATATGGCTCGATACTCCCTGCAGACACCTCATGACGCTGGAGCCGTGCCCCATGCCGCAGACCCGGAAGTCCTTACTGAGGTTGAGGAGGAAAAGTGTCCCGAACCGAAGGAGGCACACATCAAAACCAGCGATCGGGAGGAATTGATTCAGTGCATCAAACGTGGTCAACGACCAACATGGGTTCCTAAGCCGGGGTTACAGGCACTCTGCGCGGACTCTAGGACTGAAGGAGATGGATCTCGTTCCAGCGTTGCTCAACCTGGTGAATTGATTGATCTCGAACCGTCCGAAGACGCTGCGCCGCAGCATGCAGGGAGTCCCCCGATAGGCGAGGAACATGACTGGTGTGGCACAGATGCTCTGCGTCGGTCTCTATCTGCATTGCATACGGGCGACTTTCACCAACATTCCGAGCGCAGGTCGGGTGATATGCAGACGCCTGCGCGGCGCTCACTGCAGTCTGCCTACAGCATCTCTCCCCCTTCATGGCTGTTCGAGTCTCCGAGAGTGGGACTTGGGTTGACAACGACGAGTCCTCCGTCGGACACGTTGAAGCGAACAAGGGCACCTTCATTAGGAGGCAGTCTATCGTCCAGCTTTGTCATGAGAGTCCCGACGAGCCCGCTTGTTCACGCCATCAATAACACTTCTTTGGATGTCTCGCCTACGAACTCACAATCGGCTGACGCCAGAGTGCCCAGCATGGCGAGAAGTAGGACAATGCCTCCCAATGATTTCGAGGCATTGCAGATGTCACCGATCGATGATATTCATGCAAAGCCCAATGGCGCCTCTCCACCTGCCCACCGCGAGGGGCTTGCGGCGTTTCAGGGTCACAGAACCCGTCGTTCGTTGACTTCGTTCACATACCAGCCTGCAGCTAGTCCGCAATCCGTGTTTTCCTCCAATTCGCGTCGGCCGTCTCTTGCTTCAGACGCTTCCCCACGGCAGCGAGCTTCCATGGTGGGCTCGTTTGAAGAATCTATTTTGCGAGGGAGGATGTCTACTCCGCCATCCAAACCGCTTGACTTCGTTGCACAAATCGGCGTTGTTGGAAAAGGAGACTGTCCAGCAAGTCTCAGATGTCCAGCCCACGTCACGGTACCCTTTCCCGCGGTTTTCTACAACTATCCATCTGCAACAACATCCCGGTCCATATCGGATGACAATCCGAGCCCCTATGTTGGCGTTATCGACCTCGAACACAATTTACAACCTCCGCAGCCACCTTCGCGCCGCACCCGTCGCTCACGAAGTAGCCTTGACCCAAATACATCATTAGATGAGATCGACAATCCCACAAACACGCCGGTAGGTCGAGCCCTCACGCGAGAGGCCCCTGAGAGAAATGAAAAGATACCCATGCCTGTTAAGGTGCCTCCTGGAGGAGCGTATCGAGTACCGCAGAAAGGGCAGCTTCAAATCATCATCAAAAACCCCAATAAGACAGCGGTGAAGTTATTTCTCATCCCTTACGACCTTGAGGGAATGTCTCCCGGTACGAAGACCTTTGTGAGACAACGAAGCTTCTCATCGGGGCCTATCCTGGAAGCTACGATGCCTGAACAACAAGCCAATCTTGCTGCACGCGACCCGCTCAGCAAGAAAGACATTCTCCGATATCTGATACATCTCAAATTTTGTTCTACGGCGAAAGGCCGATTCTACCTCTACGACAATATTCGCGTTGTATTTGCCAATCGAGTGCCGGACGGCAAAGAGAGGCTGCGGAATGAAGTGCAGTTGCCAGATCCTAGATTCAGTCCCTACAGACAATCGACCGAGGCCAGCTCACGTAGCCCAAGCCTTGCGGACGGCGGGTATTCTCCTCAGGGGCACGTTGGCATCTCACCCGATTTCGGGAACCTTGAGAACAGCCTAACCGCCGGCGCCAGCCAGCATCAGAGCAGCAGGCCAGGGCATTCAGCATCCCTTCCATTTCACCTCCCACCAAGGCCCGTCCCACAGTATCTGAGCGGCCAGAACCCTGCAGTCTGGACAGAAGAAGTGACTATGACGGACGCTGCGCGCGATGTGTCTCCAGTGTCGGGGTTTCTGCCTTCGACATCTTCGAGAAGTTCACCGATACCCCTACCGCAGTCCAATGAACCTTCGATCCTGCGAGGGTTCTCTCCTGCACCAGTGGAGGCCGGGGACGGACTGATATCTCGCAAGCTCAGGGAGTTACTCAACAACGCCGGCTCTGAGCAGAATAATTGACAGGAGACTTGTGCGCGTGCTTTTTGAAGTGGGAATCGAATGTCTTTGTGCGATGAAGTGACGCGATTGGCGCAGGATCTGGATACCCACACTGGCACTACATGGCTCGCGAACGAAAACCCGTTCACATAAGTACATATCAGGTAACTCACCTTAGGTAGGTTATCCTGCGCACGTTGATCTTAGAGATGGACCGAAGATAGTCGATTCTACGCTGAGCTTATTACCTGAGAACCCGACGAGCGCAACGCTGCCTGAACAGCTAATTTCCGTATACGGTAGATTCCAAAGATATGAGAGCAACTCTCTAAGCCTAGGGCCTATCCAAGCTTCCGGGCGTCGTCAGTGTTCGGGAGCATTGTAATTTGACTCGTTTTCCCCACCACCTGCCGCCTACTAGCCTATAAGGAGCCTACCAGTAGGTACTTCCGGATTCCCATCCTACTGCCTAGTATCTACAAGGTACCTGCCCTAAGGTACCGACCGGCTGTGTAGGGAGAGTATAGCAATCTGTATCAAGGCTGGCGTTGTCGCTCCTGCTTTTGCTTCTCTAGTTGTTCAGACCCCAGCTGATCGATTACCACACGGATCAGGTGGCATTATTCAAGAGGCCACTTGTAGACGCTGAAGGCGACGACCAAAGCCGGCTTGGAAGACCGGTCAGCTGTTGTTCCCCTGAGAAACACCATGCACTCCTCGTCGTCTATTGGACAGGTTGTGGTGGCCTCGACTTCCCTCCACACGAAGGCGTCGATTGTTGCTGGTCCTCTTCGTCATCGTCCTCACGCACAGCCTACAGGTTGTGCAGCGGGTCAGCCATTAGAACCAGGCAAGCTCCCACACTTGCTCCATTGTGGCTGATAGATTGCAGAGCTGACGGCACGGATGGCCCCCTATAGATCCAGTGAACGCGTCTAGCAATCCGTAGGGGCCGAATTCCGAGACTGCAGTGGCTACTCAGAGTGTCCAAGTGTGCAGGTAAAGGTTGCATACCTCACTACCTATAGGTGCCTATCGGAGATAGGTAAGTAGTAGGTAGGAACCCTGAGATAGATATCCCAGGCATATAACAAGTGCCTGTGGATGCGTGCCGGGGCTACTCAGGCTTCCAAGGCAGCGCACCGTTTAACCAACCTTAACTAGATGTTAGCATATCTCTAGGTGATCCACCGCCATGCCATGCACTGCGACACCTTAACATCCTAGCATGCGCACGTTCGTCCGCCACCTTCGACTCTGGACTCTCGACTCTCTACTCTCGACTCTCTACCCTCGACTCCGTCGTGGCCATCCTCGTCCTCATCCTCGTCCTCACGATACTGTCTGTCCAACCTTGAACGTCCGTCTTCCTTCACACCTCCATTCGACCTCTTCAATCATTGCCTACGCATTCTCCTTTGGAACCATCACTTTTTCGGCCGCCTTCTCAATGCAACAATCGTAGCCATACCTTCCCTCCCGCTTTCGTCCCCTCGTCGATGACCTGGGGGGTCATCCGCATCCAGGTTTGAAGATGCACAAGATCAGCAACTTCACTGGTCAGGCCCGTCATGGCTGGGAACGGATGACTCCAGCAGCGTTCGGAATGTCCAGATTTCATCAGGATATGCCCACGCCGCAACCACTGAGACGTCCACAAGGTTCTCCCGCAATCGTGTCACCACCCTCAGCCGAATCCACGATAGTCAACCTCTCGTTCAACGTCCCCCTGGCCTATCACCTCGCCGGTCCTGAACCCGAAGACGTTCTGCATTCGAGCCCCGGTGCATTTCAACGATGGACCTTCCCGGAGGGGACCGCCGACGGCACACCGATCCACAAGCTGCCTGTCCATGTGCAGAATGAGGAGAGACTGCGGTCATTGTGCGCTTACATCAGTGAGCAGAGTGGAGGCCGTATACAAGCAACGGTCACTTCCTCGGAGCCGAAGGCTGGGCCTGCTCTGCATAGAAAGTCGCAGGGATTGGTGACAAATGTCTGTATCTCTGGCGAGGGGGAACTGGTCTATAAGATGAGAGCCAAGATTCTGAATGAGACTCCGATCATGATGGTATGTCGCTTTGGAGTTTGGACATTACCGTTGCTAACAATCCAAGCGTTCCGCGATCGTTGATATCGATCCTGACTTGATCCTGGACGGTGCCGAAACGGGCATCCGCTCCAGCGTGCTGAGCCATATTGATCTTTGTGCCAAGTATACCGGGACCGATATCTTTCTCTTGAGACCTCGCAGTGGAGATGCCTCCTCTACCGGCATCTCTTACGGCACAGGCATCGACAATGGCCTCGACCAACGTTATCGCGTCAACATCTTCGGAGACATGGAAAGTGTCGAACATGCCAAAACCAGGGCCTTGATGATGATTGATCAAATTGTACACTCCTCCCATGACTTACACATAGGAACCCAAGCTTACGTGTGAGCAGCTCAAGCACAAAATCGATGTCATCAAACTGGAGGTCACCATGCACACTCTGGTCTCCGGTCGCACAGGAAAGAACATTAAAATGATCGAATCGGCGACCAAGACTGCCATCTACTTCCCGCCCCCGTTCCCCGGAGTCTTTGGATACGTTCCACCACATGCTACGCGCCGAGCGGCAGACGAGATCTTCATTACCGGAGAGACGCAGGAACGGATCAACCAGGCAAAGCAGAAGTTGAAAGAGCTGGTTGTGGGCATCAAGCTATATTCCAAGGATGTTATGGTTTCTGCCAGTAAAATCGACAACATCCTGCTCGATCGACTGGACAAAGTACGGAAGATCATGGAGACCAACGGCTCTCACGTACTGTTCCCGCAACTCGCAAGTCAGCGAGGTATGGTACGAGTCCAAGGCACGGACGTTCTGCACGTCGAAAGGACAGTCAAAGAGATTATGGCTTTGGTACGTGACTTATCCCCCTCTGTTTGGGTGTCCACTAACCCAAAAACCGAAACAGGCCGGGCAATTCTTCAGTGCTTCATGGTGGCTTATAGTCCCCGAATCGCCGCAAGGTCCAGGTATCCGCGCCCCGTCACCCGAGGACGTTCGGATCATGTTGAGCGACATCTGCACAAACTCGGGTGCAGAAATCAGCTTCGAAAAGTTCACATTCACCATCAACGGCTCCGATGACGCTGTCAAGGCAGCAATGATGGTCATCAACCAAATCCCTTTTGTCAAGAGAACGCCTCATCAACTGAAGGTCAAAATCGAACTTGCCAACGAGCACAAAGAGTTTGTCAGTGGTAAGAAGAACGGCAAGATCAACAAGATCATGGGTCAAAGTATAACACCTCACGCTCCAACGAGTTTCGTCGACTAATATTGTAATCTAGGCAACGTCCAAATCATCTTTGACGGCTTCAATGAATACAACTTCTACATTGACGTCGTAGGTAGTCAGTACGAAGCTGTGAAAACTGGTCTGGATTTGGTGGAGCAGGAAATGCCGGCATCAATCTCCTTCCATGTCCCGGACCAGTACCACAAACGAATCATCGGGATCGGTGGACAACACATCCAACGCATCATGAAGAAGTACTCGGTGTTCGTGAAGTTCTCAAATGCCATGGACCGCGGGGGTGTCGGAAAGGATGATGATGACATCAAGGTCGACAATGTCATCTGCCGGACACCTGCACGCAACGCCCAGAGCTTGGATATGGTGAAACAGGAGATCATGGATATGGTCGAGAAAGCTGTAAGCGAAGCTGACCCCCCGACGAATGTCTGTGTGCTTACGAAGTGATTTCAACTAGGACGCCGAGTTTGTCTCCGAGACCGTGGTCATCAACCGACTCTACCATCGCGAATTGATTGCCAGATTACCCGAGATTGAGGATCTTGAGAAGAAATGGAACTGCAAGATCGACTTTCCCAACACCGAGCAAGCCAGTGATGTTGTCACCATCTCGGGACCAGAGTATCAAGTGCCACAGGCTGTAGACGCCTTCTTGGGAATGGTTCCGGAGAGCCACGAGATCGCGTTCCAGAAATCAGACGACCTGGAGGCTTTCTTCAGCAGCCCGGAGTTCTACAACGACCTTCGCTGCAAATTGAGGAGTCAGTATGAGGTGGATGTCCACTCAAATCCGAATCTCGGCAGCTTGCCGAAGTCTGCTACCGCTTCAGTGGAACGCTTCGTCAGCCCCTCCGAGGGGAGATTGGTTCTCACGTACACGCGGAACAACGCAGGTGGTCTGAAGGATGCCATTGACTACCTTATTTCGCAGCTCGTTCCTCATGGTCTCGATGCGATGACTGTGAAGGGGGCCATCCCACGGCCCAAGTCTGACTCCTTCGAAGACTCGCTCCCATTCTTCGATTCGAAGCTCTTGCAGCACGCCCCCTCCCTCAACACCGGCGATTCTCCGACACGTTCGAGTTTTGCAGATGGAGACAGTACCCCCGTCTCCGAACGTGCCTCTCTGTTCGACCGTCTTCGCAAGCCGGGCAGCATCTCCTCCTTCTCGTCTTTTATGAGCCGCAAAAACCAGAACAATTCGCCAGGGACGTTCTTCAAGCACGCCTCTTCGAACGCCAGCAAGGCCTCGCTCATCTCCATGGAGAGTCGTGAGAGTGGTTACCGAAACTTTTGGAACGACAGCGGGGTCAACCTTGCCGAGGAAGATGTTTCGGCTTCAGTCAGTGGAGGCTGGCCAACACGATTTCACGACAACAAGTTCCCCTTTGGCACGGGGGGTGGTATGCCTGGAGACCGGACACCCAAGCACGAGCCGCCCCGCGCCAGTTTTGACTCTGGAAGGCCCCCGACCTCCCATTCCCTTTCATCCTATCCCGCTCCAATTGGGCCACATTACAATCAGATCCCAGGCGGCATGAGCGGATCCGCCCACAATTTGAACCTGCCTTTGCGCTAGACCTTGGCCAAGTCTATGTTGACCGGAACGACAATGATACCCTGACATCGATATGGAACCATGATTATCTACTCTTATGTCCAGCGAGATACCCTTTATTGCTACCACGGAAAAGAAAAGCCATGAGGAGGAGCGCTGCAGTTTTGATGTGTTGCTTGTGACGGCACTCAGGCAACAACACGTGTTCTTGTTTGCCTTTCTTCTTTTTTGGTTTGCCTGGGAATGCAAAGACTTCCCTTTGTTTTTTCACGCTTTTGACGACACTCCCTATGCCTGTGATTTGGAAGATACCCGGCACGCTCTGATGCAGGCGGTTGTTGCTATGGTGCGGTTGGACCGCTACCGAAAAGCCAGTATTGCGCCAATTGGTCACCGAAAAGAATGAGATATACCCCCCGAGTTATTTAGAGGAATGCATACTGTATTATCTGTTTGCCTTCCCATGATCGAAGACTGCAGTCATTGATACATGTGTCCGTATCAAGGAGAATACTTGTAGTAGGCCGTGTACTGTTGTTCTGAGTGAGGCATGCCCCTGAAGCCCACACCCAGGTCACGTGCGTGGAGGGAAAGTTGGGGATTCCCGATTTTGGTGACGAAGCAACGCGATTTGTTCATGGGAAAGTCGCGTCTTCAATGCCGGCGACAAGTATCTCCTGTTTGTTGTCGGAGCAAACAGATACTCTGAACACACGCTTCCAGCAACGCTTCCCCTTCACCGTCCTCCCTAACCACAACCGTGTCCTCGATGCCTCATCGCCCTCCCCTGTCATGCGACTTTTCCACGAGACGTTAAGTGCCAGACATGGCCGACCTCAACATCAAGAACGGATGTACAGTCCAGACTCAAGACGGAAGGGAGGGGACCGTGCGGTATATTGGTCCCCTACACATTGCGGCCGGAGAATGGTTGGGCCTCGAGCTCCCAGATAACACGGGCAAAAACGATGGCTCGGTCAAAGGGCAGCGATATTTCCAATGCGCCCCGGGCTTTGGTATCTTTGTCCGTCGGGAGTCTGCGGTCAAGGTCGTCAAGCAGCCTAGTCAAGGCCCCAGGCCAAGCGGCAATGGGTCTTTGACTAAACCCAGGCCGTCGAGCGGAGTGACTGCGGATGTCGCGAGGAAAAGACAGAGCCTCATGAGTGCAGGTTCCGCCGCAGGCGGTGGAGCGAGGCTGTCCATGAGGGTATCTATGACCGCCCGTGTTGGCTGTACAGTCCTGCTGACTTGGATTGCTAGTCTCCTACGAAGTCGCCTACCAAGATGGTGCCCTCTTCTGCCACTTCGACCACTTCAACCCCACGCAGCGGCACGCCAGCAACGACTGCACGAACGTCCGACTCGAGCACAAAATCTAGGCTTAGTACTGGTGGGAGGACGTTGATGGGCCCACCCGCCACTACGACATCTAAGACCAGTGCGGCTGCAAGCAGAATGTCCGTTGGAGGTGGTGTCAGACCTTCATCAACAAAGCCGTCCTCTGCCCAACCTCGAGCTGCACTGGCAGGCTCGAGGCTGTCAATGAGTAGCCGAGGTCCTCCTCGAGACGACAGGGCTCAGGCCCCTCCCACCAGCTCTGAAACACTTCGGTCGCCTCCGATACAGGAAGAACCGCCGCCAACTATACCTCCGACGGAAGAAGCCAGCTACGAGCCTTCGGAATCGTCAGTTGCGGACCTTGGAGTGCCCGCCTCGACAGCTGCTCCCAAAGAGACAAACCGGGTATTAAGTAGCGGCTCGAACCTGCCAGGGGAGGACAAGTCGAGGCATACACAGGTCATCAAGGCGTTGGAGACCAAGGTTCGCACGTTACAGAAACAGAGGCAAGAAGACCAGGCAAGACTTCAAACTGTGCAGGAGCTAGAGAGCCAGACTACAAGATACGAGAGTATCATTCAGACACTGCGAGAGAAGCTCAAAACCAATTTACAAGAAATCCAAGAGCTGCGGGCCAAGTACGAAGATGCTGAAAGCCGTGCTGAAAAGGTTCCGGACAAGAGTGCCGAGCAGGAGTCTGAACTGGAGCTCGCGACGCTGGACAAGGAGATGGCCGAAGAGCGTGCGGAAATGTTTGAGGCCGAACTGGAGGCATTGAAGTTGAAGCATGAGGAACTGGAGCTTGAAGCCGAAATCCTCCGAGAAGAGAACCGCGAATTGACATCCGTCATGAGTCCAGAAGAAAAGGCGAGTGCGGGATGGCTTCAATTAGAGCGCGAGACAGAGAGGCTGCGGCAGGCGCTGGTGATGCTTCGGGACATGTCTCAACAAAACGAAAGTGATTTGAAGAATGAAATCAAAGAACTTCAGCAGAGCTTGGACGAACACCAAGGAACGGCTTCCAAATACGATGAACTGGTGGCCAAGCTCAATCGATCCGAAGAGACCAACCAACACTTGAGGGAACAGCTCGAAGCCGCAGAAGCCAACGACGATATGCTCGAAGTCATGGCAGCCGAGCGAGATCAAGATCGGCATATGATCGAGATGCTAAAGAGACAGGTGCAGGATCTCGAGGAGCATGTCCAAGTCACGGACGAGCTGGAGGCATTCCACGTCGACGAAGAGAAGCGGCTGCACTATCAGTTGAATGAGGTCGAGGCCATGCTTAACGAAAAACAGCGGCAGACTGGCGAGCAAGAGAAGATGATTGAAGATTTGGAGTACACCTTGACCAAATTCCGAGACATGGTCCAGGGACTTCAGAGTGACATCAACGAACTGCGGCGGTCGCGAGAAATCAGCGAGCTCGAGGCACATGAGATGAGCAGCAAGTCTCGAGCTATGATGGATCTCAATCTCAAGTTGCAGAACTCGGCAAGCAAGACTCAACTCAAAGCCATTGATCTCGAATTGGGCAAGATGCGAGCCGAACAGGCGAACCTGCATCTGGAGATTGTGCAGTCCTTTGTGCCAGAATCGTTTGATGTGGACAAGAGGCCGATCCTTGCTCTTTTGTGCTTCAAGCGCATCAAATCAAAGGCCGTACTGGGCAAGACCATTCTGGCAGAAAGAGTGCGGGACCGACCCGAACTTCTTCAGGACCATCCCATGTCTGTGTTTGCCATTATGGAAAGAATGAGTCTCATTGCCAATCTCTGCGACAGATTCGTGCAGCACATGTCCAACTGTTCTCCGGCGGAGTTTATGAGATACGGAGGGGCACCTTTTGAATTGGAACCAGTGGAGCATACGATGACTGGGTGGATCGAAGCCTTGCGTCGTGATGAGCTCGCTTCTGAGGGTCCTGAGCATCTGCAGCGCATGGCTGGGATTCTCGTTGACATGGCGGAGAAAGTGCTTCCCGAAAACCATGAAACAAAAGCAATGCAACTCCTCGCGTCCATCGCCATGGTTGGGACCTACACAGAGAACATTGCCGGCCAGGCCCAAGTTCTCGACCGGGCTGTGCAGGCCAGGCTCGGATCGTCGACTGGGGAGGACGAGACTTCTCGGACGTTCGAAAAGCGAATCGACCTTTTGGGGATCAAGGCTCGCACGGTCAAGTACATATCCAGCAAAGTTGGGCACGCTCTTGAGGAGCTTCAAGCACGCTCGATGTGCATGGCGGAGTCGACATGGAGTGCTTTTGCGGAAGCCGAGCTCTGCGCCGAGTCTGCTTCTCGACTCACGCAGCAAGTAGGCAACGCAGTCCTGGACACGCTCAACAACAGAGACGAGAGAGAGGTACCACTGTCGTACAACGAGATCATGGATGTGATGGCGAAGGCAGCGCAGGCGTCGCAGCAAGAGGATGGCCAGCAGACGAGTAATACTGAGGCAGCAGCAGATTTCTTCGACATTGTGACCAAGCAATTGCAGCTTGCTCAGACGAAAGTGGACGATCTGCACACCAGATCCGCCGACGTTTCGTCCGCGATCGAGTTCGAGAAACTACCGGCCCCGTGGGTGGTGCGGGCCAAAGAAGTCAAAGCGCAGAAGGTGCTGTCGCAGGACCTGCAGGAGGAAATGGCCCTCTTGAGATCGAAGATCCAGGAACAAAGCCTGCGGATCGGCGAGAAGGACAAACAACTCGAGGAGCAGCAGGTGCGGGTCGAGCTGCTCGAGGCACGGGCCAAAGAGACCAAAGTCAAAGACGACGCCGTCCGAGCCATGAAGGAGGAAATCGAGAGACTGCGCGCCGAAAACGCCGTAGTAGCTCAAAACCTGCGCAACCTCGAGACAGAGTATCAGACGATGCTGGAAGCCAAAGCCGTGCAAGAGACCGAGCTCGAGGGCGTCAAGCAACGCAATCTCTCCAACGGCGACGCGGGCATGGCGGCGCACAGTGCCGCGGGAGAGACTGTCTCGGCGCGTGCCAAAGCCGAAATCGATCTGCTCAACGTCGAAATCGCCAGTCTACAGGCCTCGGTGCGGTTCTTGAAATATGAGAACTATCAACTCCGGATCCCCGTGGGACAGATCTCCAGCAGGGCCGCAGAGCACGCGTGGCTGGACCCCGGTCTTCTCAAGTCGGCGGGCGGGGCTGCAAAGGATGATCGTCTGAGACGGAAAGAGCAACAGCGTCTCCGGGAGGAGTCGAAGGATATGTTTGTCGGGCTGATTGAATTGGCTAAAGCGGCTAAACCGATCAGATTTGGAGCTGGAGTGAATGGTGTTGTCCATGCTGCTGTCGGGACTACTACTACTGCTGCTGCTGCTGCTACTACCACACCACATTCTCGACGAACGCAAGCCCGAGCTGGACCTGGACCTGGAACAGCAGAGTCGCCATTATACAAAATCCTCCGCTATAAAGAGGAGCTGGAGCGCTGGACCGATGCCAAAGACGACCTGGTCCGCCGAGCGCGCGTCATGGTCCGTGTTCGACCGACACCAGTACCAATACAACCAATCCATCGACACCAGAGCAGACGAGACCTTGTTGACAATAACAAGAATGGAGATCGGAACAATGGTGGTAGTGAGGGTGTCACTGGAAAGATGATCCCCGTGGTGGGAGAGGAAGGAGGAAAGGCCGAGGCTGAGGCTGAGGCCGAGGCCAACAACGGACTGGATTTGGAGTTTGGGTCGACTGTGGATGGGATTCGTGTTGTTGAATAAGAACGACTACCTTAGGTACTTTGACTTTGACTTTGATTACTGAGTATCTGGTATAGTTCTCTACTTGCAGAGGACAGAGTACACAGTACAGAGCAAGTACCTAGGTACTCTTGTACAGAGAATCTCACAGAGAACCTATCTTACCTCAGGATAGGTGGGTCTTTTTGTTGTATTACTTACCTAAGGTAGTCTATGGGTGGGCATCAATGTTCATTTCCTTGTCTCTGTCATTGTCAGTGGTCAGTGGTCAGCTAGAAGCTGGAGGTGCGAAGCTTTGAGAGTGGTTTGGACAATAAATTCAATTGAATCCAAGGCAAGGCTGACAAGGGTTTTGTTCCTTCGTGGGGTCTCGGGGTTGAAGTGGTTGAGTAGAAGATATAAGCCGAGCATTCCCTTGTGGACAAAAGGGGGCCAGCGAGGTTGTAAGGGATCGATCCATTTCTTCTATATGGAGAAAGGCGTGGAGGCTCCTATGGAGTACCTACAGTCAGCGGCAGGTTTCCTTCTGTCCCATTACAGTCAATCGATTCTAGGATCCAGGTCTTGAATCTATTGCTTGTCTGCCCCGCCTCGATGACAGCGAGCTAGAGGTCAGAAATGCCGCCGTCCGGAGCTGTTCCATACTGTATGTCGGAACGTCCATCTCGGAGGCCGGCGGGCTCTGACGCTATAGTACTATACCATTGGTACCTCCCCACTGCAGGTAGCACGTCCCTTAGTAGTGGGTTGCAGAATACTCCCCGAGAACATATCATCTCCATCTTCGAGAGGCAGTTTGGATATGACGAGCGAGCTTCTAAAGCCGTCCGAGGCAACTCCGACATGATGATGTTGCAGAACAGCAGTCGGTGTTTGATTCCTTCTCTTCATGAGGGTTTCGCCAAGTGGGGTGTAATCTTGAAACACAATTCCCTCGAGACATATGGCGAGCAAGTTAGGGTAGGTACAGGTAGTTGGCAAGTTGCTGTCCGGGGTCCGCAGCTCTCTCGATGGCCCGGTGTGCGGTGTGTAACGTGCTAATCATGATTTTCTTCGAGGTCGAGTTTCAACCCCAGCTGTTTGGCAGCAGAGGTTGTACGTACTAGTAGTTGATGACTGACCCACTGACCCAACGAGCAGCGGTGGAGACAGGAAGTTGAAGTTCAGATAACGTCGATCAAGCGCAGGATGCAATTGAAACTAGAACCTGATCAGCTAGAGACCCTCGACAGCTCCAGGAGACCCGGAGTTTCGATGGAGAAGGAGAAAAGCCCAGTGTGGCAGTGCTGGCTAGTGGATGCCATTTCGCACATTCTGATGGGCCGATGCAGGTCAAGCTCGCAGCACAAGCCGACGCTAAAGAATTCGACGCGCTTGGAAGAGAAAAGAGAGAGAAGATGATGATGTCGGATGGCGGGAGGATGGAAGAGAGAGAGGAGGGAGGAGGAGGATGGAGACAGACGAGAGGGCGCAGGCGATGTTCTTTCTGTCTGGGTGAGGATGAGTAGAAGGTCTTCTTTGCTGTGCTGAAAGAAAGTCCCTCACCATCCCTCTGTACCTCAGGTGTCTGTTCTCTGGTGTCACGGTGAGCTTTAGACTTCGACTCCAGACTCAACTTGAACTTCAATCTCATCCCTCCAGTCGCCAAGTACTTGGCGGGGGAACGGCTCGCCGCAAGCACTGGCAGCTTCAACTAGTACTGTTGACCTGGAATTGGAATGGGAATTGGAATCATCCATCGAGCCTCGAATCGCTACTCGTTACCAACAAACCACCGCAAGCGACGACCGCAGCTACAGCTACGCAGCTTACACCTCACACCTCACACCTCACCCTTCACACCTCTCACCTACCGCAGTCCGCATGTGGAAGCTCCCGTGGTAGTACTATACTATTACCCTTCTAGTTCTGCCACTCTTGCTTCTCTATCTCCCATTGTTCTTGTCCGTCTCCGTCTGGCGCGTGCTTGTGCCTCTAACGAATGGGTATGTTCATCTCCCTCCCCTCTCCCTGTATTCCTACCCACACACTACCCCTTGCATCTTCACCTCCGTCGCTGTTATTTTCCGCAACCTCGAGACGTCACCACTGACTCCAAGGCCGCCATGGCGGTGTCGAACAATGTAGCTGCAACCAAAATCCGCAAGGTCTTCTACTTGACTGGAATCTCACAACATCATCATCGAGAAGACATGCCCGCCGGAGAAAATGGCCTCAATGGCGACGCAGACCCCAGTGAACGAACCAGTCTGCTCCAGCGACTAGGCAGCACCGACTCGGGCACCCCGTACTACAAACACGAAAACAAAGCCATAAGATATCCATCCCTCGTGCTGCACACGACGTGGGAGATCTTGAAGACCAACTATGTGAACGTCCTGCTGGTCTTTGTTCCCGTGGGCATTCTGGCCGGCCTGTTGAACTGGTCGCCCACACTCCAATTCGTTCTCAATTTCATCGCCATCATCCCGTTGGCGTCATTGTTGGCCTTTGCGACGGAAGAGCTGGCCATCCCACTGGGACAAACCATTGGGGGGTTGTTGAATGCTACGTTTGGAAATGCCGTGGAATTGATTGTAAGCACACGGAAAGGCTGGGACGTCCGGCACAGACACCTGCTAACATTTCAAACCAGGTCAGCATCATCGCTCTGCGCAACAACCAGATCCGCATCGTGCAGGCCAGCATGTTGGGGAGTATCCTGTCCAACATTCTACTCGTCCTCGGCTGCTGCTTCTTCGTGGGTGGCATCAGATACAAAGAACAATCCTTCAATTCCACCGTCGCGTCCACCATGTCTTCGCTCATGACAGTGGCTACCTCGTCCCTGATCATCCCGGCCACTTTGTATGCCGTCATGTCCGAGGGAAAAGCGCAGGAGGATAACATCATGTTCTTGTCGCGCGGGACCTCGATCATTTTGCTCCTGATCTATGTCGCATACCTCTACTTCCAGCTCAGATCGCACGCCGAGTTGTTCGACGATGCTGAAGCCCAGGAGAACGAAAACCCGGAAGACCAACTGCTGGGCCCGTGGTCGGCCAGCGCTGTGTTGGTGGTCATCACTCTCTTGGTGGCCATTTGCGCCGAATATCTTGTCGACAGCATTGACGCCATTGTCGAGGAAGCCCATATCAGCAAAACCTTTATCGGTCTGATTTTGATTCCCATTGTGGGCAACGCTGCCGAGCACGTCACGGCAGTCATTGTGGCTTGGAAGAACAAGATGGATTTGGCCATTGGGGTCGCCATCGGCTCCAGCTTGCAGATCGCCCTCTTTGTCACGCCCTTCCTCGTCATCCTCGGTTGGATCATTGACCGACCGATGACACTGCACTTCGAGACGTTTGAGACCGTGTCTTTCTTCCTCGCCTCACTGGTCGTCGTTCTCTTGATCCAGGACGGCAAGTCAAATTATCTGGAGGGCTTGCTCTGCTTGGGCATGTACACCATCATTGCCATGGCTTTCTACGTCTTACCGGACGATGGAGATTCCGGCCTGAACCTGGGGAAATTGGTTTTCGGTGGAAACGGTGGGAACTGAACGCCTGATACAGGGTTCGGTCCAGAAAATCGAGAATAAGTGTTGCGGAGCTTTCAGTCGTCTCCTTTGTCAAAGTATTGTTGATTGAGGTTACTCGCTCGGAGTCAGTCCTTCGAGGCATAGCCAGGTCGTGAAAGCGTGATTATTCCGAGGGCAATGGGCATTGTTGAATTCAAAAGGGGAGCTGAGAAGCTGGGTCTGTCTAGGACTGGATGGCATTTGTAACATTTCGATACCCAAAAGACGAAACAGTATTGATGGGGTTTTTCCTGATTGTCGGGCTAATTCAAGTATGAAAAGGAGATACGGCAATTCGTCTCTACTGCAATGAATAGCCCAGTATGTGTAAATAACCCCACTGACTGTTGATTGGGCTTTTGGAGGGTTACTTTTCGATCTATGATGCGGGAAGCGTACCAAACCCGGCATGGCACGTGACCTTGCCAAAAGCTTCAATTCAATCGCCCGAATTGCTTCAAGTTCGATGCAGTCATTCATTGTCAATGCAGAACCAGATGTCTCGACCAGCGACATAAGGCGTTGAGATCAGAATCCGATCTCTTCCCGATTAGTATCTAAGGGACCGTCGGTGTGTCCAAATACTAGGATACTACTAGTAGTCAACCACAATGCCTCCTCGAATATCTCTCTTCACGACAGCCCGCTCGTTGGCCTTCCGACCCAGTCCCACCGTTGTGCCGCAGAAACGGATAGCCGCTGTCCCTACTCCCTCTCCATACCTCCTTCTTCCGGTCCAGAATCGATCGGCCAGCGATGACGCCTCGAAGAAACCCGCCGCCGCGGCGACGACTCCTGTCCATCCAGACTTCAAGGGTCCGAACATGGATCAGTTGCCGCACGTGAGTGAGGAGCAGGCTGCTCTGGATAAATCTATGGGAGGGACGCCGCCGGATATCGAACAGGGCACTCCTGTGCAAGAGGTGAGTTTTTTCTGGGGGGTCATAGCATAGCATCTGTGAGAGAGAGCAGATAGCATTGCCAGAGAATATTGGAGGACTGACACCGTGTCGTCTTCTTGACAGATCCTCCAACGAGATAAAGACGCCCAAGAGAAAGCACCGGAAGTGCTGAAACAGAGCATCAACGCGGGCAAATCACCCGCCAACAGCACACCGTCTGGGTCGCGATCCTTTTCGACCGCCACGAGACGAAACGCCGAAGGTGGTTCAGCCGGGTTGGTCCAGTTTGAAGACACGAGAGCGGTCGGCCTCGAATATCCTGATGCGGGCTTCGGACATAAATTCCCTCTCCCGGACATCGCGAAGTTTCCCAAGACGAATAATTTCAGGAAGCGCTACGATGAGGTCGTGGACCAGGTCACGCGGAGTTTGATGCGGCATGGGAAATTAAGTCAGGCGCAAAAGGTGAGAGTTTGTTGCGGCAGACAGAAATCTTTGGTTTCCTGTTTTCCTGGTTGCGGACTGGGATAGATACTGTCCATTGCAGCGCCCGTATTCCTAGCTTTTGGACCGGTTGGTACTGACAAACTCTGGCGTCGCAGAATATGGACGAAATCCTCGACAACCTTCGAAAAGCTCCCGCGCCTTCTTCCGGCGCCGATACCCTCAAGACCAATCTCCCGCGCGACCAACTCCCTCTTTCGCCCGTCCAGTATCTGACCGCCATCATCGACTCGGTGGCCCCGCTGGTCAAAATCCGTCAGCAGAAAGGTATTCTGGGAGGTGGTGCCGCCATGCCCGTGCCGGTACCTCTGCAACGACGTCAACGCCGACGTGCCGCCATCCAATGGATCCTCGCCGGCGCGGAGAACAGACGAGATACAAAGCTGGCCGAGCGCGTGTCCAAGGAACTCCTGGCTGTCGCTGAGGGCCGGGGGACGGCGTGGGAGCGAAGATCGAGACTGCACAAGATGGCCACCAGTGCTAGAGCCAATGTTCGCATTGGCCTGAGTGGGCGTCCTGGGAGGGGGCGGCTGAACTGATGGAGGGGAGTGAAAAAGCATGACACCAGGAGTCAAGATCCAGAACCTGATTCCTGGGTCGCAGGAGGCAGACTACCATACATGGAACTGGGGACCTCCATGGTGGCGGAGGTTTGAAGAAGCATCTCTGCACTGGAGGAAAAGGTCCGTCATGCATTGCATCAAGATTGGTGATGCCAGTGCGGGTTTGGAAACGACAAGAGCCTTAGGAGATTCCTTTTCAAGCAGGTGGGAAAAGCGATATTGACTACTGGTCATCGAGTGGAATTTGTTCTCAGGCGGGCAGCATATTGCAGTGCCTTGTGTGTAGTATGTGTGTGGGTGACTGCCCTGTAACTGTGTCTGTCTCTGTGTGTACATTACTAGTATCTCGATCTTGAATCCAAAAGAAGCATGTCGATGAAAAGATGTTTGCACTGCGCTGTCTGTACCTCCTGGGATATGCCCTTCTGGCCGTGCAGACTGACTAACTATCTGTCGAAAGTTCACTCCACGTAAAGTGATCTCCTTCGTACTATTTGGGTCATCTTTGAAGTCTGAACCGTAGAGTTCAGCCTCGTCAATGGTGGCACCCTCACTTTCACCTTCAGCCTGATCAGGCATGGCTTGGCACTGATTGGTCGATTGCCAGTGCAGTTCAACATGAGCGATCAATACACATACACAATACATTTTTTGGATGTCACGAATATAATAGTTAGGACCTGATTGATTCAACACATTCTTTTTGACTTCCTGTCACTCGCCATCGGATGTGAGTGGGCTGCTTTTACGGATTCGAGAGTTGATATTCGATGTTTGATATTCAGTTACCTCGAGCACCGACTGAATGATTGAATGATCGATTGATCGATTGATTGATCTCTTCATTTCTTTTCGTTTTTGGCTTCTCTTTTTTTCTCCCACGCAAAGGCGAGGAGGGAAGTTCTGTGGGAGCTTGATGACCATCGGCTCCTGGGACTGGACGCGGATCCGGACACGTCCATGGACATGGACTCGGACATGGAGTCGGGCAAAGACAACATGTGTGCGAACACAAGGTCGAGGTCAATGTCAACGCCGAGGACGAGGTCAAGGCCAAACACTAGGACGAGAACGAAACCGAGGTCACGGACAATCATATGATCATGAACACGGCTATAGATTCGGACATTATGGCCACGTCGTTCATTCCCGGACACATGGCTCTGTCAGTATCTTCAGCTCTATCACCAACGCCAATGCCAACGCCAATGCCAACGCCAACGCCAACGCCAACGGTTCGAACCGTGATGGTCATGTCAAGAGTACGATGACGATTACACAATGTCCTCGTTCCTGTCGGCGATACTGTTGTCATAAGGATTTGCTGAGCGCGAGTATGGGTATCTTCGGCAGCAGCAGCAGCAGCAGCAGCAATATAACATTAACAACGACATATCCACCTCGACAAACTATACCGCCACGGTCACAATTCCAACGACATTCTCATTCTCAATCTCAATCTCACCCTCAATCTCGTTCCTACTCATCAACTACTAGTACGGCCCAAGCACAACGCTATCCCAGATCGACAAGTGAACAGACGTACCAGGACCATGACCATGACGATACTATATCAGAAGCAAAAGAGCAAACCCTCAATCGAATCACAGACACGAATCTCTCTCGTCTTCCTCAACAGACCAGCAAACCCAAACCTGGGCCATCATCCAGACACTCTCACTTTCACTCTCACTCCCAATCTTCATCTCCATCGTCATCGGCATCTTCATCTTCGTTATCCGTATCTTTCGATCCCTCATCACCTCATCACGATCTCGAATCTTTCCACCGTCACGCCCGCCGCACAGGTCTGTCCCCAACCAGCACCGTCTACGCAGGCACGCGCTACGAATATCTCGCCCAAGCCACTTTGCGTTCTTACGGGTTTGACTTGCATCGTGTCGGTGGCCGGGGGGATAGGGGTGTTGATCTTGTGGGTGTTTGGAGGATTCCGAAGTCGAAGTCGAAGTCGAAGTTGACGCCGAGGGGTTCGCCTTCGCCTTCGCCTTTGCCTTCTCCGATGAACGATGACACAGATGCACTAAAAGTTCTTGTCCAATGTAAACGACTTAGAGGGAAACATGCGAAAATCGGACCGAACCTCATCCGTGAACTGGATGGGGCGGTGAGAAGTGCTAGACACTCGGCTCTTTGGGATGTTGTGTTTCGAGGGTCACGGTCTGGACTAGATTCACGGTCTGGACTAGCTGTTGGTGTTGGTGTTGGTGATTCACGTGATAGTGGTGTTGACAGTGATGTTGACGCTGCTGGAGCTGACCATGATGCAAACGCAGATCCTGGTATAGATACAGTCGAAGTGGACGACACACCAGCCATATCAGATACCACAGCAGGCTCAACGATCGGCGTTCTCATCGGCACAAGACCTGCCACGAAAGGTGTGGTGGAAAGTATGCGTCGGTCGACCAGGGGATTGGTTTGGATCATGATGGAAGAAATTGAAGTTGAAGAGGAACAGAAAGAGCAAGATGAAATCGAAGCCGTAGCTGAAACTGAAACTAAAAGGGGGACCGAACTCGAACTCGAAGGAGAAGGAGAAGTTGAAGCTGAAGTTGAAGCTGAAGCAGCAGCAATAGGAGAAGGAGAAAGAATTGAGCAAAGCGAGTCTGTGTCGACATGCAGTATTCCGGACCGAGATCAATATCAAACCAAGGACACTGATAACCACAGCCCCAGCAACAGCCCCAGCAACAGAAGAACCAAGAATACACCAACCACCCCATCAACCAGAAATGGCATTTCTGACAGAGTCTCACCTGCTCATCCCCATTCCCATCCTATATCGACGGTGCGAGGCCGCGTCGTCCAAATCCTATGGAACCAAGCCGCGCGCGACCTGGGGCTTGAGGGGATCGACGTGGTCAAACGGTACAACGGCAGCCAAGGAAGCGATGCCGAAGGAGATGAACAGGAAGGAGAAGAAGAGGAAGTGGTGTTGATGCGCTCCGATGGTGGGATTGTTTGGGGTGGTAGTACTGGTGGTAGTACTGGTGGTAGAAAACAGTGGTAGACAAACACTCCCCTCTCCAACTTCCAAGTAAAGATGATGGATAGGTAGAACCACTCGTTGGACGGGAGTATTCCTCCAGATAGGCATCGATCCAATCTGTGGTGACCTTGACGCCCTCCTCCTCTTACTTTTTACTTTTTACCTTTTATCAAGTTTATGGAACTACACGACCATCGCACTATTCCATTCCAATCCAGCCCACCCTAACCCATCGAGGGGAAGTCGAAGAAGAGGGTCTTTGTAGGGTTTGGAAGAGTAAACGGGAAAACATATCTCTACTCTATGGGTAACTACCTAGGTAGCTGGATGCATGGACCGCTGTGGGAGAAAGTTCCATCAGGTGTCCTACTTCTCGAATCGGATATGCTGGCATGCAGTTACAAACGTGGTGGCATTGACATCCGTCCCTTGACATTGACGTTGATAGCGTAGCCTGGCCTCGTCTCTGGATGGGCAGTACCAGCACCAGCACCAGCACCAGCACCGACGAGTGACTGAACCTCGACCTTGCTATCAAACCCCCGGCCGATTATTGACAATCTGACAGACAGACGACAAACAGACAGACACACAGCCTGATTTGCTAAGAGAACAACTGCTCAATGCAACCATCAGATCCATTTACAGCTTCGCCTTGACGGGGTCCGCTTTGCCCGAGTCCAACGTCGGAAGCAACATGTCGCGAAGATCGTTGGCGGCTTCGTTGAGGAAGAAACTCATTCTTTCACAGCCGAGGTTTTTGGACACGACGTTGAATTGTAGACTGTAGGTAAACGAGAAAAGTCAGCAAATTAAAAAGAAACTTTTTCTCGACAGGAAGAAAGAGGAGACAAAAGAAAAAGGAGGTATCGGCAGCCCCTAGCACCCAGATCAAAGATGATGTTGCCCTTCCGACAGAACAAGAGACAGACAAAAAGGTCATTCCAAACAAAACACATCAATACATACCTGTTTTCATTGATCATATAAGCAATCCCCCACCCCTGATCAACCACCTGACTCCAGCCATAGCCGTTGAAATACTCGGAACTCAACTGACTGGTACTGATGTACCAAGTGGACGAATAGGCATAGGCCGGGTCCTTGTAGAGGTCGGGCAGCTCTTCGCCGTCTTTAACCAATTTCTTCAGTCCGAACAAATGTCGGTCCACGCCATACCCCTCGGCCGCGGCGGCGGTGTATTCCACGTGAGCCTTGACGGCGGCGCGGAACAGCCGTTCCAGTTCGTCGCGCGACACGGCCGGATCGGCCATGGCATCACAAAACGCCACGGACTCGTCCGACACCGACCGTGTGGTTTCGGTTCGACCTTCCTGGTATTTCCTCGTGGCGGCGGACTCGTAGGTCGGCCGGTTCTTGCCGTACATTTTGTGGTAGGCCAGCTGGATCACCATCTGCACGTAGGCGTCGGGCGAACACTTGAATTTCTTGATCAGTCCTTTGCCATAGCCCTGATAGGCTTGGACACGCAGGTCGTGTTGCGCAATGACTTTGCGGAACTGCGCTTGGGCCGTGGCCACATCGTCCAGCACGGCGGCGGAAGTTTCGAATTTTAGGGGGGTCGGGTCAGGCAGGTCGGAGCGGACGGTCGGGTTGTCGAAGTCGAGTTTGTTGTGCACGATGAGCGCGTTGACCGTGTCGCAGAGACGGTGGGTGGCTGTGCCGTCCATCATGCTGTGCTCGCCCATGAACCCGGCTGTGCCGTTGTCGTTGACGATAAATTGACACGGCTTGTCGTACCATCGGTTGGCGCCGTCTCCGTGCCAGTAGACGTGCGACCGCTCTTCCAGGGTGATGGGGGTCGTGGTGTCCAAGCATACGACGAATGAAGAAGCCTCGATCTCTTTCAGGACGGAAGCGTTCAAGGGAGATGCTGCGAGAAGGTTGTCGCGGGCTTTGGCGCCCTGGTCACGGGGGAACGACGTAAGGGCGCCAATGGGATCGGAGGACTGTGCACCCTTGTACACCTTGTTGAACTGCTGTTCGAGCTCCGAGGTGTTGATTTGTTTCCCGTTGATGTGCGTCTGGATCTTCCAGAACTGGTTGTTCCGTATGACGATGATATGCTCGTTGCCTTGGGCCGGGTATTGAATGGGATAGTCCGAGGGAATCGCCGCGACTCGGGACGTGTTGAACATGTACTCGTAGCTGTTCATGGCCATGGGCTTCCCACGCATATACTCCGGTTCCAGGCTCTTGTCGTCACACTGTCGTTTGAACTCGAGAGCGGCCGTGGTGATGGCGGCCGCTCGTTTGGCCGGGTTTCTTCGCCGTCTGTCGTCGCGGAAGGAATAGAAGTAGGACACATAAGGCACCACGGGGTCGCGGTAGCCCAAGTATGCCGCCTCGTTCCACCAATCTATAATCCAGTTCTTGACCTTTGGGTCTTGTGCCTTGGCCACCAATCTTTCTTGTAGTTTCTGTCCTAGGCTCCCCGGCTCTTTGAATGCGGCCACGGCCTTTTCTGACGCCGCGAATTCCTCTTTGGTGAGAAGAGGGTGTAGACTCTTGAGGTAGCGCGCGGAAGTCTCTTCGAGGGACGGTACTGGCAGTCTCGGTAGGGAATCCTCAAACCGATACATGTTCCCTTTAGTTTTGTCTTCTCGGTATTCTGCATTGACTCAGCACTCTTCTGCACCAGTTTCCCTTCTTTTCCAACAACTCACCCTCCGCTGACCGGAAATGGAGTCCCGTCGAGGCTTTCCGTTTGTTCGCAGGGGCCATTGCAAATGCCTAAGACGTGTGAGTGACTGCAGATTGACGGCATAGTTACTGGTTGAGGTCTCGTACCTTGACAGCTACAGAAGTCCTAGAAGCTCGAGGGATTGCGAGGAGTGATGAATGTGTCCGCCCTATGGAGGAAAACATACCCAAATCACAGGTGGAAGGGGGACAGCAAGATGTATGGCAGGACAGGAGGATAGAAGATTTCGAGGCTGCAGGCAGAGCGCGATAGGATGAATATCCGGCCGCACGACACTTTTTAGGTCGGAATGGCTTCGGACGAAGATGCAGGGCCAGAGAATGAATTACCGCGGCGTTGGTAGAAGTTCCCGTGCAACAAGCGATCGACCGACAACCGACAGGGAACGTACAATTGGGAATGTGAACTCGACGATAGCAAATGCCAAATGGCCGAGTGTGTCCCTTCAGCCGAGGTACAAGGACACACGGGAGAAAGAATGCATTTGAACGGTGCGGAGTGGAAGAACGATATTCCGGTGCCAAGGAAAAGCATCCGGGGGAAACACGGAGGCGGGCGGAGACCGGGGAGCGGAGATCGGGCGGTGACCATGACCATGACCATGACCCTTTTCTCCGGAACATGGGATCGATGGCAATACTGGGAGTGTAGATACTGTTGAGTAGCATTGATAGCATTTGTAGCATTGAATTGCTAAAGTGTACCTTTATTGAGTCATTGACCTACAGAGATCAAAACTGCTGTTGACTCGCTCCCCATCGATCGATGTTATTCTTCGTCATTATACTCTTCCCCTTCGGCAGCATATCTCTGCAATGCCTTTCCCAGCCCAACTGGTTCTTCCCCCAGTTCCCCATCACCCTCGTGCCACGACTCCATTGCATTCAGACTGCATAGATGTCTCATGGTAGGCCGTCCATGAGGACAATTCCACGGCTTGTCGATCGTACCCATATGCCTCACCACTCTTTCCATCTGCTTCTTCGACAATGTCTTGCCTATCATGATACTTGACCGACATGCCCTCATGGCGAACATCTTCCTGACCTTGCTCGGTCGCGGCACCCCTGCTTCGCTGCCACTCGCAAGCCCAGGAGCTTCGGCAAGAAGATGAATGAGCTCCTCAAGATCTTGGGTGTTGAAGACGACTTCCTTGCTCAAGGGTAAGCTGACAAGACTGCACCGCTGTCCAACCATGCTGTCACCACTCATGTCGACCTCAACCACAAAGCCATTCTTCTCCAGAGCTTCCAAATTCTCGAGCACTATCTCTTCCTCCACCGCCGTCAGATCGAGGATGGCTGGGCGGACAAGTCGTTGGTTGCCCACAACTGTTTCAGCCTGCAGTCTTTCAAAGTTATATTTCTCGTCGGAGGCGTGCTGATCGATAATGAACAACTCATCTTGGCGCGAGCGCCTCCGCTCGTTCGAGGATCCTTTGGCAGGCCGTACCGCGATGATGAAGCCAAGGTTGAATTGCCCTACAATGAGCATCTCCGCAAAGTCTGCTTTGGACACTGTCAAAGAAAGTTGCGTCTCGGCGTCTTCTGCTGGCGTAGCGACAGTTCCAACCGGTATGTCATGGCCATCAGAGGCGCCCTGGGCCTGGGAAAGCTGTGTCCTCATATGCTGACGGACAGAATCAAGGGAGAAGTCAACAGTTGCGAGAAGATTCGTCGTTGAATCCTTCGTTTGTCCACCAGCAAGTGCTTTTGTCGCTCGCCTCAAATTGTCTTTGCTAGGAATGGAAGATCTCTCTTCGGCAGCTCGAATCAGTTCAGTTACCCGTGCTTCTTCGACCCGTTTCTTTTCTGCTTCATCGACGTAATCATTGTCAGATCCATTGTCGGTTGAATCGGCAGGACTGCGGCCACCATTTTCCCGCTCACTGCCGTCTACTCCGGATATCTCGAGCTGAGGCTCTAAGGCAAGGTCTTCTTGGTTCGAATCATCCTGGGCAGAACTAGATGCGGTAGAATGGTCGGCTTCTTCTCCTCCACTATCGTCTTCTTCTAATTCGTCTTCTTCGCCCTCCTCTTCCACGTCTTCCCCCTCCTCTTGTTCTTCCTGATCATCTAGTTCCTCATCAAACGAGTCGCTTCTCTCAGCTCCAAACTTCCACAACTGCTGTGAGAATTGTGTCAGTTGCGTGGGTTTTGCAGGATGTCTGCCGATCTCATCCGCTCTTCGCTTCCCAGCCTGGTGCTCTCTTCTCTCGGGTGCTCTGGGAAATTGTGTACCTAGAATCGCGGTGATGGTCTTGTCGCCAACCTGGACTGTGGCCAGCTCCGCCGGCATTCTTTTGGGTCTCATGCGATCAAATGCATTGGGAACCACACCAGATTCCTCTTTGGCTGTTGACGGCATCGTAGACGGAATAGCGGAAGAGTCTCGAGTGTGCACGCTGTCCTGCTCGGATGTTTGTTGGCTGCCCATCATTTCATCCACATCATCGACTTCAGCCTCGTGCTGGTCTGGTGATTGGAAGGGCTCGGACATTGCATCCTTTGCTCCACCTTCCAACATAGAAATATCACGCACGTCGTCATACTCGTCCCAGTGTGCAGTCTTCTGCGCTTCTTCGTTGAGTCTTTCTGCCAACTTTCCGGCGCGTTTCTCCCGTTGTTGTTGAGTCTTCGCTTGTTGCTTTGTGTCCAACTCTGATTCGTCCCTCGTGCTCGTGAAGCTCTTGAAGTGATCCCGGAACAATGTACCGGCGTTATCCTCTTGTGCCGAGCCCCCTTCATCGAAGTTCTGACTTTCTTCATGACGACTAGATTGGTTCGACGACAATGTTGGCTGGCTTTCCGTATCAGGTAATGCAGAGGACAAATGTCTTTGAAAGCTCAATTTTTGGAAAGCAGGAAGCTTAGGCGTCTGCAACTGTGACTGAGGGACAGTTTGATCCTGCTTGTCAAACATCTCGTTCAATGCGGCCTTCAAATTCTCGGTTAAAACGGCTGAGTCATGGAGGAGTATAGTTCGCTTGTCCGGCGATACGTTGACGTCGTAGGCATTCGTATCCATTTGCAAGTCCGCAAAGATAAAGGGGGATTGGGATACGTTGAAAGCTTTGTACACCTCGTTAATGGCTTTTGCAATTTGTGGCAAACCACATGGTCTGCCATTGACGAAGAACATTTGACGATCTGGTGTTTGTCTGCCTTCACCAAACACCGGCTTGGATATGTGACCCTTGACATGGATTCTGGAATGAGTCTTGTCTTTCTGGACCATTTGTGTTAAGGTTGGTCGGAACTCCAACTCCAGATCCAAGGGAACCAAGGCAGCCAATGTCTTCGCTCCATATACATTTGCGATGTTTTCCCGGGTGGTTGCATTGGCCTTGGTTGCGAAGACCGTCATGCTCTTCCCCCTGGGCATCGTATTCTTGACAGTGAATTTGACATTGACACAGACACATGCATAAGCATGTAGGAGTCCTAGCACTTTGCCGTACTCTCTTTTGATGTTCTTGGTCAATTCTTTGCGTCGAACCGGTAGGCTTTCAAACAGTCCCTCCACAATAACGGTGGTGCCTTTCTGACAAGCAACGATCGTTGTTGACTTCAGTCTACCAGACACATCAAATTCGAGCCGTTTGCCCTTAGGTGCCTCTTCTGCTTGTGCGGTCGTGATGGAAAATTTCGACAGAGCACAAAGAGAAGACAAGGCCTCGCCTCGAAAGCCGAAAGTTTGCAAGCTGGATAGATCATCGTAAGTAGACAATTTCGAGGTATAATGTTTCAATGCGACGGTTTCATAATTTGTGGGAGATATGCCAGCACCGTTATCCTGTACTTCCACTGTGTCCAGACCATTGTTACGGAACCGCACTTCGATGGAGGTAGCCCCGGCATCAAGACTGTTCTCAACCAGTTCTTTGGCTACAGAACACAAATCAACGATGACCTGTCCAGACTGGATCTGGTGTACGGATTTGGCCTCGATGGCCTTGATGGTGGCCATGCCAGCCCATGTTGATGAAAGAAAGGGAGAGAGGTCTCAGGGTGCGTGGTATGGCATGGTGATAATATTGACCAGGGCGCCTCACAGAAAGTGGAACGGGACAGTCACAACATACAACATCGTGAAGGAGCCAAAGTTGGAGGAAGTTTGGAGGCAGTTGAGATCAGGCTGAAACGGTCGACACGTGATATACAGACTAGACCATAAACAGAAACGAGGCTGGAACGTCAAGCATGACGTCAATTGGCCCCCTTGAAGCGGCGAGATTTCGTTTCATCTTGAAGCCAGAGGCGAACATCAAAAGTGACCTGAAGGCGATACTGCGTCGATTCGATATCTTTTCAGCGTGGCTTTCGAATCTCCATTACAGTCAGAGCGTTTGGGTTCCAGATAGGACACTTCTATTTCCATGTTACAAGAACTACCCGTTGAGGTCATCCAACAGATTGCCGGATACTTGCCCACCGCCTCATCAATTGTCAATCTCTCCCTCACAAACCACAAGTTATATGATCTTGTTTCAGCCGACCACTATGCTATCTTTCGGGAGTTTGTGCAAAGACAGTTTCCTTCCATCCGAACGCCTCCATTCTGGAGAGATGCTGCTCGCGTCTTGACATCGCGGTCTCGTGCTTGGGACCGTCGAGCATTCATTGCCCGAGAATGCTGTCCACCGCCCGACAATGTTGACTTTCCACAAGGATACAATCCAGGCTATACCGTCGGCTATCGGCCAGTCATTGACAGTTACCAGGTGTGGCAAGGAGGGTCTTGGTCTAGTCGCAAGGAAGTCCTGGCCTGGGGAGCAGCAGGAAGATTGAGGACGCGTACCATCAAAGACGGAGTAGCCACCTGGAGCTCTTTGAGGATCCCCGAGGATTACAGACAAGACCTCGACATCCTGGATGTCCGACTTCTGCTGCCGCACCAACATGAAAACAGCGATGGCGAGACCATCATCCTGAGGAGGGCCAACCATGAAATAGTCAAGGTCGAGACATCTTCGAAGTCTGATCATTTCACCGAAAATTCAAGATATGTTATGCGATCGGAGGAACTGTCGTGCATGGATATCACCAGAAGTGCACAGCCTATCCTGGCAGCACTCGATAACAGTTCCATCCATCTGTATCCGGTCCACAGTTCAGAGCGGAATGTACGCCCCATGGACAGTGTTCCGATCCAGGAGAAATACACTGTCCGCAAACGCATGCGATGTGCCAAGTTTCTGTCAGAGGACACATTAGCAGTCGGGGTGCAATTCCTTGAAGGACGAGACCGAGCACCCATTGATCTGTACGACATCAGTCCTACCGGATTATCGGTCAGACGACTTTCACAAACACTGTCATTTTCCGAATCCATTCATGCCATCTCAGGGAGACATAGCGCCAATGTCATTATGCCACTGGACGACTTCGGGACGAGCACCCGCCGGCCAGGACAAATCTTCCTGTCCGGTTGGTCCGACGGGATCGCTAGACTTCACGACACACGGACACCAACACGCCCGGTTGCAGAGTACATTGATTTCGTGGACGACGGGCAGATTCTGTCGCTGTTGTCCATCGGCCACGAGCGGTTTCTTGCAGGGAGTTCGCAAAACGGGTGTCTCAAGACCTTTGACCTCCGCATGCCAGGAGGACGAGTGTATTCATACCTCGAAGCTCGGTCTACATCTAGCAGCAGCAGCAGCAGGCGTGTCGCAACCCCTGATGTGCAACTCTCAACGGAGTCGCAGCCCTCGAACGCTCGACGAGACTTCAACATCTTCCTCACCCCGCCTATAAACCATGGCGAACGGCTGTGGCAGCCACTCTCCCGCCGGCCCGGTCGACGATTCAATCGTTATCGCGGTTCCGTCTACTCTCTGTCAAGCCCTTCACCCATGTCACCTACCATCTACGCCGGAATTGAGAACCACGTCATGCAGCTGGATTTCGTATCCACCGACGACTTTCGAAACGATGTACCCGGTCTTGTCGATCCGATTCTGGGGCTTGACGATAAGACGACCCACATCTTCAACTTCTCATGCTACGAGCGGCCACGAGAGGGCCGGGAGAGTACTGATCCCGTGTTGTTGAGGAAACAGCTGAGTCTGACCAACAACGACCGGAGAGATAGCCAGACTGGCCAGGGAGAGAACCACGGTAGTCACGGAGTGGTGGAGGATGGATGGGACGAGCGGTGGCGGTTGGAAACGTACGATAGAACGCGAGGGCGGAATCGGGATTGGGGTCAGGCAAGAGGCTGATCAACCATGACAATATAGACCATTGCAGACACAACACTGCACAGCAAATGTTGCGGATCAGGCTGCTGGCATACTTTGCCTACAAGGTCTCTACCTACCTGATGGTGGACGTGTGAGACGCGTCGTGTAAACCAAGATGTTACACGGAAGACTGAACGTGCCAGTACCTAGCGAGGCTACCTAGTTAGGTAAGTTAGAGTAACGGAGATAAGATAAGACAAGACAACCGAGCATGCTACTGTGCTAGACTCTTATGCTCTTCACGTGATGAAAATGCTTAGTCACCCACGATCCGAGAGTCGACCTGTACTGCGGTGTTTGAACTCGCACTTTGTATCTTTGTCCTCTCACATCCATCAACTCAATCCAAGGCCAATTTTCTCTCGCATCCACGCCATTCTAGTTGTCCGTAAGACGATACTACCAAGACCTCAGGACAAAATGTCAACAACGCCAACAGCGAAAGCACTCTACCGCCGCCTCCTCCGCGAGCTGCCACCTCTTCCCTCTCCACGCCACAAAGCACCTCGAACACCCATCCACACGTCCATCCGCGCCCATTTCAGTCAGCCCCTCCCCAACACCAGTGAAGAATATATCCGCGCCCGACACCAAGAGATCGAGCAGTTCGTGGCCTATCTGCGGGCGCAGCGGATGTACGGCACCCTCTTGCAGCGGTATAATCCCGGAATGGGGATGGATGAGGAGGAGAGAGTCCGGTTGACGGCGCGGAGAGTCGGGATGGATCTGCCGGTTGAATATGAATGGAAGATGAAGCGATAAGTCAAAAAGGAGAACATAAGAGAGGAAGTAAAAGGACGAGTAAGCGATAGGAACCTCGCGGTTGGACTTGGGAGAACATACGACCAACCTGGAGGAACGAACGTGGATGGGAATCCCTTGGAGACACACGACAGCGAAAGTGCTTCAGGAGTGGGATTCTGAGCGACGGATTCAGACATCAAGGTCAACTACCACAATTACTAGTCGGATATGAGTTCTACATTCAAGGAGAGAAGATTGCTACATGCCGACTGGGACGAGAGAGCTATCAACTGTCGAGAACTCCAACGATTTGGTCAGCACAGGATCCAAGAAGCATAACCGGATCATGCAGCTCGGCAAGAGACTGACAACGTTCTTGACAATACCAAAGCAACACACGATCTTCGCGGAAAATCCTTCGATATGCTAGAGGATGACGCCCGCGAGCCCGACGCCAGAAGTATCGACCTGAGACATAATCATCTAACAAGCAAATATCGACACGACTCGACCCCTCAGCGATTTCCAGTATTGAACTTCCGCTCTGCCTTTCGCAAAGAACAAGAACAAAAACATCTCGCTCTACGAACGATCAATCCAACAGCACCAAGCAAGGGCAGTTTGTTAGCCATGTCTCTCCCCACAGTCCAAATCCACATGACCAACCTCAAGATTGTGGAGGGCTGGGGTATCGACCAACAATCGCTCATGCAGGCAGCTTCAACTCTCCCGTCTCTAAGGGCATCACTGGTCAGTCATTCACGGCCCCTTCGACTCAAAAGGGAAGAATCATGTATATATATATATAGAGTCTCTGGCAGTGCCAAAGACTCAAAAGTTCGGCTCCACGCACACCGCGAAAAGCTTCCCAGATGATTCTCGGCGCGTCCTCAATCAAGACATTCAATGACACGGGTCAATCTATACCGTTCTTCAATATCAAGCCCCGTCTTAGAAGGGTGACGAATGTGAGAGGGCCCCATTCAACGCTGACCAGAGAAAGTGGTTTTCTTTGGGCTTCGACACGTTTTTCCATCCACGAGCAGTGATGGACTGCATGGGAGCCGGACATGATTAGATGTACCACAGATATACAGGGGGGAAAGCGCTCAGAATGGCACATGTCATGTCCCCAGGAGAGAATCAAAGAACACAACGTCTTGTCTTTAGAAGGATGTAGATAACCATCAAGAAATACTTCAGGATTGGAAAATGCCTGATCATGATACCATGTAGTTGCTCTCCTAACTTGCAATATCTAATCCACTCATGACTATTGTAGTGCCATCAAGCACCAACCCTACCCTTGAGAAACCGTCACATCGTATCCTCATCAAATCGTCCATTCATATCACTTGAATAGGTCGTAAAGTGCCTTGACTTGCCGGCGCCAGACACCAAATACAAAAAGGGATCCATCAATCTTGCCCATCTTAGCCGGGATATAGTGTGCTCCTTCTGTAGTTCTGTCCGCATCATTTGACCACTTTGAACAGTACAGGCTCTTCTGGCCTTCAAGGGAGCATTGAGGACGACGACGTTCAAAGTCAACTGTCCTGGCCATGCTGCCAACCCTTCCACTATGGTGGAGGTAGAGCTGAAGAAGAAAGCATCCTTGCCTGTTGTGTATCTGGACATGAGGCGTGTCGGATACAGACACGTTCACATCTTGGCCCGTTCTCGATCTGTACCTGGGATTTTCCATCAGGTTTGTTGTGGGACTGCTGGTAGGAGGATGCGCTAATCTGAAGCAAGAAGGCGTCCGAACGTCTTCAGACACACATTCAAGAGCGATATGTCGTTTCTCTAGCATAGATTGAAGCCTTCTTAAATATGGAACGCCTGAGCGGCCAGTTCGAACTCTTGGCGTTCTTCCGTCCACAGGTCGTTCCAGTTTATGAAGTCCCCGAATCCCCCAGGCTCTTACATCTCCATGAAAACTCCCCTGATAATGCCATCCAAGTCCGGGTCCATTTCCGAAAACACCTCGGGCTCGAGAGTGGTGTCGAGGACCATCGAGCCGTGGTTGGTTCCTGCCCAATTGTGGCCTGTATCGTCGAAGGCCTGGACATCGAACTGGTTGTCTGGATTCTCCTGAAAGTTGACGACTCGTTCGAGGCCAGGTATTGTTTCAGATGCGATATCAAGCTGCACTGGTTCGGAGACTGTCAGTGCAGGATCGTCCGTACTCATATCCAGGACAGGAATGTCGTCAATATCAAGGAACACCTTCTCGTACTCGTTATCGTTGTCGCTGTCGATGAGTGCAAACGGCAATTCTGAGAATACAGAATTGAAAGGGGCTGAGCTGTCGATGCCCGCTTGTAAGCCATCGGTATCTGTAATGGTAGTGGACGCTTCAGCATAGCCGACGTCCATAGCCTTGAGATTCTGTGACTCTGCAATCTCCTCATCGAAACTGTTTTGCCAGACTTATTTGCCCGACGACCCCAAGTCTGCAAGCTGTGGCTCCAGGTTGTTGGTTTCGGTATCGCTGCCTCGAGAGACGTCGTCATTACTGGAAGAGTGCTTGATATCCCAGGGCATTTCGCCCGGTCCTATAGCTTCATCCCCTTCGTTAATGCCCAACTCCAGCTGTTCCATCTCCTGCTGAATCCCATCGATTGTATCAATGAAGTTTTGCAAATGATCTTCTGGGTCAGTTTCTGCAACATAACCAGCCCTGTTGTCGTTTCCAAGACCTTGGGCTACCTGCAGACGCTCGATGCGTACCAAATGCAGAAGGGTCTTGCGAGCCAACCGGCCATCGGGCCCATAGAGTTTGAACAGACCTACGCAAATTTGAGTGAGATAGTCGTGCACTTTAGCCAGGTCCATTCTCGCTTCCGAGATATTCGCGAGTGTATTCAGGGCGAATAGCCTTAAAATTAGAAAAAACCCTCTTGATCGCCAGAAGGATTGTGCAAATCCAGACTTTGGGATGAAATCCTTTCCGCATCGTCATAAAATTTGTGATCATAAAGGAAGTTGCCATACATGCACAGCATGTGCCTGTAGGAGTATGATTTCTGTCCGAAGCATTCCAAGTGCCGTCGTAATGTACGTTGGCAGAACGCGGATGCCAAATAGAAATCGACCTCCCGAGTGAATATGCGGATTAGTCTGCCTTCTAGGTCAAATGTGATGCGTGATCCATAATTGACCAGTCTAAGTGCCATGTCGTACATCATTTGCAAGATCAAGTGGGAAGAGTTGATGCGTCCTCTTGATCTGTGGAGGAGAATCGTTGTAGCCGGATGTGTCTGGCCCAAAAGTCGCCTGGAAACGGTAGCAATGTAGGAGTAAACACTGCAGTGTATTGGTCCCTCCAGGTCAGAGCAAGGCACGTTGCAGTAATCAAGGAGCGCACAGAGGAGACCTTCATCTTCATGTTGAAGCATCGCTACCGTATCTGTGCGTAATTTGGTAAGGAACGTCGCGGTGGATATAGATTCACCACCACGGGCGCCTTCGTCACAGTAGCAGCCGACATCAAAGAAGAAATCGACGGGATTGACAGATCGAGTTGTCTCGACACCCCAGCCCTCAGCCGATCTGGTCTTAGGAGGCGGTTCATTGCGGAGGCGCCATTCGAAGTATTTTTTGACTTGTCTCAAAATGTGCTCAAAATCACGCAGGTCGTCGGAATGGTGCAGTGCAGCCATCGGTATCAATGTACTTCTAGCCACAGCTCGCTGGTTCGAATGCAAGCTGTGGTTAGTGTTCGTTCCTTTTCCCGTTTGGATGATTCCGTGTCTACTAGTGCTCAAGGTCCTCGACGGATGATCGCCATCATCCTGAGACGGATCGGGAGATGGCGTTTGGCACGCCGTATCAGAACCAAGTCGTTGAGAGTCGCTTTTGGGGGAGGTATTCCGGCCCTGTCGAAGCACCGAGCCATTTCTGCCACAGGGGCCAATTCTTTCCGGTGGTAATTCCTTTTAATTCCCCAATTCTTCATCCGGTGTTTGTACATGTGAAGCCTGACTATGTGAGGAGAGAACCACGGCGAGGACAGGACACTTACGCAGCATCGAACTCATAGTCCTGCTTGAGAATATCTGCGATCCGCCACAATGGAAGTCGCTGCACGATACAGAGCCTTCTCAAGGGTTCCTTGATGCGTTCCCACTCAGCCTCACTTGGGGCGCGCTTTCGACGGCCTTTCGGCCCCATGGCAGTTGGCAAGGTTCGCATTGGCATGAGTGTGATCAGCGATTCAACAAACAACGTCCGAAGGAGGGAGTTCAATCTAGCAATAAGTCATTCAGTACAAAGAGTGTCTGTCGTGACAGAAAGAAAAAGGAAGTCGGTTTGGGAAGGGAGCCCTTGGGATTCATATGGATCGCAGAGACTGTGTAGTCTCGTAGTAACAAAAGTCGTTATTGTTTGGGACCAACCATGATTGGCAAAAGGAGGTGAACGAGAGAATCCTTGCAATTGGGTGCTCCAATTCCTCAGGTTTCAGCAGAACTACTTTTGCTAGCTGCTGACGAGGCACGAATCAAATGAGTGGCATTTCAGCCACCGTATGCCTGGAGGTTACACAAAGACCCCAGGCTGCGTGTTGACCACGCCCAACGGAGGTCAGGGAGGAGGGAGGCGCAGCCTCAGCGTGGCCGAAAAGCCAAGGGTGTTGTACTGCCAACCTCGGTCGCAGGCGTATCGAGCCCTTCAAGTGACCGTTGTATCCAGCCATTCCTGAGGGGTTCTCGAAGGGACACCGTGTCGCAAGAATGTGTAGAGTAAGTACTCAAGGTAAGGAAGACGAAGTTCGTAAGGTACGTAGGTACTTTGTTCAGGTCGTCAGTATCAGCGGTTATATTCCCTCCGGCGGATCATTTCTTCTCCAAACGAAGTCTCTCCGGCGGACTGCAGGGCTTATCCTGGCAGCCGCAGTTTCTGGTTCAACGAGGCTGGACAATCGCTGTCCGACCATCTAGCAGTATAACAGTTCCTCAATACCATCTCATGCTCGTGTCCAGTTACGCCATGATATGCTAAATCTGTTCAGGTCATCTCATTCGGTTACGGGAGTTCCGTCTGGATTCCAGCATATACTCCATAAGGTACAATAGCATACTCATTTTCCTGACTCATGGTGTAGACACGATACCATAATCGAGACAATGCAAACCAACTTTTATCGTCGTCCCCAATTAGGGCATCGATGAACCCAAGAACGTGGGATGGGCCGCCTCACTCCATCAGTGAGAATGGTCAGAGACTCGTCTTGGTACAGGAGATGAGGTAGACATCAACAGTAATCCGAAAATGCAGTGGTTCCTAAGAACCCAAGCGAGACCTCTTAAAGGCCAGGCAACAGCTTGCTACTCCCAACGCTCTGTTCTTAGTGGCCACAGCCTGTTCAATCCTCGCGCGTTAATCCCCTTTTGAACCATTTGCCCACACTGCCCAGTCTGGCAGTCTTCTCGTCATCCCTAATAGCGCGGGGAGTTGTAACATTATATCTTTCCTTCTGGCCCTCAGGCATATACATAATGGGAACATCGGCATATGCCAAAGTCGTGGTGCCCCGTTCGTTGTCGGCGTGTCTTGGTATTTGTGGGAAAGGAGACCCCATGTCAGAACGGGTTTCATGTCGTTGATGGCGACCATGAGATGAAGGGATCTGACTGGTTTGCGCATGTTCGTAGTCTGTATGGACGGGTCTGTTACTCAGATCTCTTCGCAACTTCTCTGGGTTTGTCATTTGAAGTGGTCTTTGTTTCCTTCTGACCGTAGGAGAAGCAGAAACAAGTCGTGTCCTTTGCGAACCTGATGGCCGCTGTATCCCTTCGGGAGGTCGGGCAGCAATCACAGTATTAAAGACCTTCTCAGCAGATGCTGAAGGTGCGTTGAACTGTCTTATACTGCATAGGTCTTCCGGCGCCGAAAGTCTCGTTCTCATTTGTGCGTCCGATATGAAACGTTCTGCGGTACGCAATTCGGTGAGGCCTCTTTTCAGCCGGACTAGGGCTGATGGCTTTGATGGCCCACATTTCTCATCATCATCCCAATCGATGTAAGAGACTTCTGACTGAGTCTCATGTAGCGGAGGCATGTGCGACGTCTTGTCTGTATTCCTGTCCAGTACCGTCCCTCTTGTGAGTTTGGCTTCATGAGGTATGGATAGAGCTCGAGGAAAGGCGTCGTTATCATAGCCAGACGACCCTGACAAGCGTGGACAGTTGTCACCAGACCGTGGGGCCTTCGGAAGTCTTTCAAACCTCACGATAGGCATCTTGACTTCAAACCCATCTTGGACGTTCATGTCACGACACTGCTCTGACAGCACTTTTGTGCCACCCCTCGAACGAGTAACTGGTGCCGGTGAATATTCCACGCTTGATGAAGATGCCGTGTTGCGTGAATGGGTCAGTGATGGGACTGGAGTACTTGGCCTGTCGGTCTCCATGGAGGACTTGCGCAGTGACGGACGCAGGTGTTGGTGCAGTTCCAAGACAGCCGGATTCCTCTTCGAAGCATACCATGTATCCGCAGTGGGTTCGATCGGCCCTTGATTTGCAAAGGTTAGGGTTGTTGGTGGAAGGCGGCATTCGACGGCGGTGGGATCTTGCTGGAAGTCACCGCCTCTGAACAGCCTTGGGGCAGGTGACAGTAAGCTTGGAGGCTGCTCCCACGTGTACGCAGAGATCAAGTCGCTAAAATCATCGAGAGCGGTAGTTGAGCCACTGTCGGTGACACTTCTTAACCAGTTTCTGTTGCGAGACACTTTTTCATGGACGAGCGGAGGAGTTTCTTTGGGATTTGACGGCCACGCCTCCAACAAGTCTTCCAAGTACAACGAAGGTGAAGGTATTCTGGGCAGAAGTGATTCGTATGGCCCAGAAATCGAAGGAAGGTGGGCGTCTCGCGGGATAGAGTTCTTGGAAGAAGAGACAGCGAGAGACCTGGCGAGATGTTGATGTGTTGCTGGTGGCATTGTTCTAGGCATGTACTGGCAGTAATCAGGCATGTGGTGAAGAGTCCGGGCTTCTGGCTGTCAGCAAATCAACAATCATAGGCCTCTTCGCGGAGGGATTGGACTCGGAGGAGTGCTCGGTTGGTGAGAACGACTTGGAATCTGGATTCCCCTGGCACAATGAAGGTTATATGAGAATTGCAAGATATTCCTTGCGTTATGAAGGCTGTGATCAAGGACTAAGCGTCGGGCTTTCTACGTCCATCTTGGCCAATCTTGACCAGAGCCATGCGCAGGCGGCATCGCAACCAATGCAGCTGTCATGGGTGCATGCAAGCCATGGTCAGATGCAGAATCTGCCTGTGTCGTCAATCTGGAGAATGGATCTGGCAGTGAAAGAGTGGCAGGGGTAGCGTTACAACAAGCGCGGAAGTCAGGATGAATGTGGTCGACTGCAATGACCACATCCAGACTCTCAAACCACCGCACAGACATGTGGCTGGGGTGGTCGATTGGGACAGGTGTGCCTTAAGCATTCAGCGTGAAGTAATCGCATTGCAAAATGACAAGGCCTCGCCTGGCCACCGCATTCTCCATGCACCACTGACCTTTCCCCGGAAGAAGAGCATCCGACCGTGGAGTCGAAACTAGGACCGCTGTATCCTGGTGGCTTGTATCAAACATCGCGATCGTGGGTCCAAGGGCAAACATCACTGCAGACACACACATCTGCTCATTGCCCAGAGCCGTCAATGTTGGCGCCATCCAGTGTCTGGCAGATCTAGGGGAAGAAAGGGTTGCGTGTGCAAGGGCTGACGTTCCAGCTGGCATGCCGTGACCGGACTCGACCCCTCTCCAAGGCGTCTTACTGATTTGCATTCCAGTCGATTTGCAATTGACTGGTTTCTTGTAGCAAGCTTAGAAGTCAACCTGGTAGGACTAGACTCATATCGAGACCATCAACACCTGTGTGAACAGAGGCAGACCCAGAAAAGAACTGTGATGTGTCGATAGCGCAAGGGACGAGGAGCAGAGGATGACCCTCCCGATACCGCATGCGTACCTAAGGGTATTTGATCCGCGTCGACGCGCAGACAACGTCAAATATTGTGACAGGCGGGCGATGATAGCCCGGTTCCGGCTGGCAGCGAGGGAGGAGGAATGTGAGATCCGAGAAGTCGCCCTGCACCAATAACAAGAGCAAGCGAGGGATCATTCAGCATGCGGATAATAACAGTGGCTCACCCAGATCAGCCTCGCTCTCAAGGCCTTGATCAAACTGCAGCATCAACCGTCTTATTCACACTGGGCCGGAAAAGAAGAGAGGACAGGTCATTTGTGGGCACTCAGCCTCAGTGGCGACAAAGCCCAGGCGCAAGGATCCTAGAGATAGTCGAGTGGCCTAAGGAGCCCTGGCCGGCACGACGCGCGCTGCTTGATGGGGAGTGCCATGTTTCCACACAGGGACCCGATGAATGGGGCGAACAAGAGTCTGGAGTGGCAGCGGTATCTCGATGTCCGATTCGTGAGAGGATTGGAATTCTCAACCAATCCCATTCGCAAACAGCCTCCCAAGCCGTGATGGCAGGTCAGCGCTCGGGACGCTTCGTACCTGGTTCCTGAATGATGGATGGATGGAAAATGGTGGTGGGGGGAGCAAACAGCATCCAGCGATATTTCGAGGTGTCCTAGATATTTGCCTTCTCTTCTACAAATTGACCACTTCGGCAAGTTTGGTGGCAGATCGGAGACTTGGAAGAGGTCGGCGGTCAACGAGGAGCGATCGATGAATGAAGGTGCTGGCAGGGATAAGGTCCAGGGCCATTGATGGCGTTGATGAGCTGGCATGATGGCGCTCACCGCAGTTTGGGTCAAGCAGCAAACTGCGCTCGACTCCGGACTGCTACTGCTACTGCTATGCCCTGTCCAGCCTCCTCACCATCTTGCACAGATCCCGTCTTCAGCTCACCAGAACTTGAAGATCAGAGGACGCGTGTTGTTAGAACATGGCAAACTGTTCAAAGACCCTTTTAGGCCATTCCTCAACCCATTCGCCCTATTTCCGCCTTCCTTTGGGTTTCAACTGTCGGCTGCCACCGTTACTCCCGGCCGAGGCTGTCTCTGAGCCTGCACTCGCGTCTTCTACACAACATCTTAGCAAATACGTCCTATCTTAGAGCATTGTTGCTCATCAATTATCATCATTATCTCTGGTCTTGACTTCTCCACATCAGCTACAGCTCGGCCAGGGTCAAACAGCGGAGAAAAGTGTTGGCCTGTGCGAAAAGAAGGACCCTGCCACACGCGACTGTCTGCGCTTCCTCCCACATTGACCTCGCCGCACCCACCACCTGGTGATCCCGTCCGTGCTGCAACACGGCGCGATTGAACAAGAGTCCATTTGTAGCAAAGAGTGAAAGATATTGATGCCTCAAGATCAGCAATTCGGGTCTACAACATCTGAAAGACACGACTACGGCGCAACTGCAGGCGCGGACTTTCAAGCGAAGCCCAACCACCGTGATTTTGTGGCATTGGACCAGCCACCAAATACCTTCTCTTACCAACTTTCTCCGTCGCCCTGTCAATGCTTCTCTTCAGTGCCTTTGACACCCTGCACAGATGCTGCCTAGTCCTTTACCTGATCAAGAGCCTGTGTATGCCGCATCTTCCCACCGCTGGGCTGAAGTTCCCAATTCCTAGAGCTTTGCGCCGTAGGCGCATTCATCGAGTTGTCTCAATACCCTTCTAGCACAAGACATCTAGCTGTCGAAGTGTCTCAATACGAGTCGCCTCACTTTGACGACCTTTACGAGTCTTACGACCCTCTCCCAGAAACGTCACCCCGACGCCAGCAACAAATACCCACACCGCTCCTCCAAAGAAGCCCGGTATCCTCAGGCCCAAGCACCGCCCAATCTCTGCGAAGAACACCGCGGCTCCCAGAAAGACCAGTCGGGCGACCTCTAGAGTCGCGAGCTGCTCACCCTGAAGTGAGACGGCCAGAGTCACCGTCCGGCACACCTCCTGCCTATTTCGACGATTCCGAACCCACAACCCCCCAATTCTTCCAACGCTTGGTGCAAGAGGAGTCATACTGGCCACGGAGAACTACACATATCTCTCGTAACACTCACGAAGCAATCTTATATGCTTTGGAAGCTATTAGAAGAGGTAGTGGCGTCAACCCGAAGCCACTCACTGCGGATTTGCTTGAAGAGGAGGCTCGAATGTCAGATCTGACAGGGGGATACCCGCCCGGTACCATTGCTGCATCTGGTCGGACGCAAAATGGAGGAGCGACTCGTGCCACTGCCGCTGCCGGTACTGGGCCTATCCCTGCAGAACCACCGCGATATCGTACTCCAACAGATGTCATGCGAGAACGGCGAGCACGGGAAGCTCGTAAAGCCGAGGAGGCAGCCGCCAGACTACGTCAAGAGGAGGAGAGGAGATTAAGGCAAGAGGAACAAGTTGTTGGCGTTGGGGACGATCCAACGCGAAGGGTGTCCGCTAAGCCGGCGGCACAGTCTACTCAGGCCTACAATATTGGTGGACCATCGACTCAAGTACCGAGTTCTTCGGCTCGGCGACAGGAAAATGTCCCTCCAACACAGACCGGTGCCTCCAGACAAAGTGCCACGTACGCTAGACCTGTTCAGAGTGGTGGAAGGGGCACAACTCTCTCTGCAGCAACACAGCGAAATCGTACCGAAGCTTATGAGCAACTGAATATTCCTGCCATCGCTAAGCCTACAGGTCAGCCGGAGCAGATACCGCGAGCTACCCAACAAAATCAACCACCTCCACAGCCGAGCGGCCAGCCTAGCCAGCCAGGCGAGCAGCTGCCTGGAGCCGGAGGAAGGAGAGGGTTTCCGAGCGCCTTCGAGAGGTGGGAGGACTTGTCTTCACATTGGGAAGGGATTGTCTCATCTTTTATCCATCGATTGCAGAATAATGCCGACGAATTAGCTGGCAAGCCGTTGGAAAGACAGATGGCTCGGCAGATCGAAGATCTGTCTGCTGCGGGCGCAAATCTGTTCCACGCTGTTGTCGAGCTCCAACGACTTCGTGCATCTTCCGAGCGGAAATTCCAGCGATGGTTCTTCGAAACGAGGCACGAGCAAGAGCAGGCCCAAGAACGACAAGCGGAGCTCGAACGTCAACTTCGAGCGGAGCGAGAAGCACGGACGCAAAGCTCCGCATCGATCGACGCGGTCCGTGCGGAAAAGGCCCGTGCCGGCGAATTGGTCAAAGAGATGAGAAGAGAACTACAGATCAGTAAAGAGGAAGCTCGGCGTGCCTGGGAAGAATTGGGGAGAAGAGAACAAGAGGAGCGGGAGAGGACGATATCACTGCGAAGCGGAGAACCCACCCTCATTGGAGGAGTACAAGTGGTGCCGATGCAAGGACTTGTAAGTCGGCAAGTAAGCTCAGCGCAGCGACCACAGACCAGAACTGGACCTGCTGCTGGTGCAGGGCCGACTGTCTTGTCCGGTCAGGAACCACAACAGCAGCAGCAGATGCACGGTTCGCAGCAACCTCCCTCTCGAAGTCAGACGACCACAACATCTCTCGACTCTCCTGGCGAGGAAAGTCGACAGTTCAGCTACCAGCCTGACACAGCACATTCCCCTACAATCACGGATCCGTTCACTGATACCTCTCGTGCACGCGACCTACAATCCCCCCATCTTCGGCATGAACCAGATACCCAATTCTACGCGACCTCCCCGCGGCATACACAGCCTCACACCAGTGCTGCTGCGATTGCAGCTGCGCGCGCCGCTACCGTAACGGCAGGGGCTGGTCCGTCGCCCGGCCGAGGTCCGAGTGAGCCGCGCTTCCACCCACAAGCAACCCCTGGCGGGCTGCCGGTCCCGATGCGTTCAGGCACTGGAGACACAGAACAGTCATACATCGCCTCGACGGCGTCGGGGTTCTCCGAAGAGGAATACCATATCAACCCCGACGGTAGCTACCGACTCGACGAGCGCGGTCGACGGATCCCGTATCGGCAGCCGGTCGCGCCGACTCGACCGGCGAGACCTATCGAACCAGAGGGCGAAGAAGAAGACATCAGTGACGACGAGCGAGGGGAGCAAGAAATAGGCGAAGTCGAACTCTCCGACGACGATGACCATACCGCCGACGTTGAACGTGAGAGAATGTATTCTGCACAGTACAGACAGGGCCAGCCTCAACAACAGCCGTCTCGAGCGACCGCCGCGTCGTCAGGCATACCGCGAACCACGTCAGGCGCTTTGCCTACCATCCCGCAGGGCCAGCCAGTTGCCGAGTACGAGGAAGGCGATATCTACGAATCCCCTACCGTCACACAAGCCACTGCAAACTGGGAGAATATCCGCCACCGCCATCCCACCCGACTGAGCGACATTATTGAAGAGCAGACTGCTCACACGAGCCCCAGCCGAGCCAGCCATGTCAGTGCCAGTGGCGCCGGCGGTTCCCTCTCCTCCGGACAGCGATGAGCCATGTTCTATATCGGACACAGTTCCCAGTAATGTCTTTTCGTCAGGGGGGTGGCTATTGACCAATCCTGCACCGATTTCCTTCTCGTCATTCAGATCTACCACCCATCCATCCCGAGTTCTGGAAGGACATGCTTTGTTCCTCCGTACCTGGATTGGACACCAATACCGCACAGAGGACCTTTCGATAAAGGTCTACGCCTACTAATGTGTACAAATGCACGGGACACTTGGTCTGCACATACTACATATAATCTGGATGTGCAAGCCAACCACGGCGCGGGCGGTTCAGTGTGTGTTTTCTGGAATCAACTGCTCAACCTACTCTCTGCAAGCTTGGGACGCAAAACAGTCTTCTTCCGAAGTAGAAGATACAGCTCGAACTACTCCCTGCAAGATCGTGACGGGGAAAGTCGTCTGCTTGCGTCAATTTCAGACCACCGACACAGGCTTCAAAAGGTCACCACCCGTCCGCCTCATCTTTCTGAATGATACTTGGATTCTTCGACCCCCTTTTCACTTCTTACTGCAGTACTACACTGCTCTTCAGCTAGTGTCTAGTGTCTAGCCTAGGAGCACAGAGCCTGAAGGGAGAACACTCTACAGAAGAGACGCGGGCTTTATCTCTTTGCTCTAGACAGCCTCTTCGTGTTTTTGTCATGTTCATGTGTGGTTTCAGCAAGCGATGGCGTAATGGGCAGGATAATACAATCATACTGGGTCCGGGCTGGGTCGTCTTTGAGATAGCACACACAACTACAACAGAGTCGGCCGTGTCTTTTGTGAGCTACGTCGAGGCTCTAGGATAGATACTCGATTAGCCCGAACTGTCACGAATAGAATCCTTTTTTCTACCGCAGTTTGTTTTGCTATTGCAATTTTCGAATTTTCTAAACCTCTTAGGGGTTCTGTCTGCAGACTACTTACTGCCTAGCTAGACTCTGTCGGAACGGAACGATGGTCTGTTCACAATGACAGCTGTCTTCCATGCACTGACTGACCCGACCGATGGCTTTTCTTTTCGTTTGTCTCCCTCCGGTGCGGCATTGTAGCAAGACCGGATTGCACATGCATGAACTTTCTTGTCCAAACTCACTCATCCTGGTACTGTTCCAATCCGCTTGTCTGCGCACAAACTCTTTTCAAAGTTCCATGGCCTGGACTTTGCCCATTTGCAGTGGGTGGTACATCATAGTCGTCGTGTTCATCGCTGCCTCCATAAACATATCGTATCGTTCCGGACAGAGCGAGCCTTCATGCTGGTGGAGTCCAGGCGCTGGGGTTGACCTCGAGGTAGGACGGACTGATGCACCAGCAAGTCAAGCTGAACGGGTTGAACACTGCTGCGCGATCTCCGCCATTGAAGCAAGTCATAGCAGCGCATGCCTCGGGTGTCATCTTGGCATTGTACGCATCTGGCTCAGTCATGTCGCGGGTGGCCATGTTGATTGTCTCGTCGGCTGCGTTGAACATGCAAGCACAAAAGCCATCACTGCTCTTGAGTTGGTGCATATGGTAGAAAGGGCAAGGCTTGTCGCATGGACCACGGAAGATCTGACGTCGCTCAGGCTGAACATATTGAACCATAGCTTCTGGATTGCGCTTGGTGGTACCGGAAGGCAAAGCGACCAGATCCAAAGCCACGCTCTTGTTGGTAACCATCTTGTTGATGTCAAGCACTTTGTTGCTTCCAGTCAGAGAGTAGATTGATCCATCAGGCTTCTGTATCCAATAGTTGACGACGTTAGGGTTGTACATGTTCACTGCGATGCAGAGACAGTCGGCAACCACCACCTGCGGTTCTCCTAGGCCCTGCTGAACGACTTTGGGCACCAAGGCAAGGTTTGGCTCAGGGTCAGTACCGATATTGCCACAAGGCAAAGAGGCACTTGCGTTGACAACCAAGGTATCGGCCACGGGTCCGTTCAGCTGCATGTGAACCTGGAGGAGATTGTCTCGGAAGTATGGGATGATAGAACCGATGGTGGCAGTATTCTGTGGCTGGATGGTGAGGGACTCGTTCAACAGCGCAGGTGTGATATCTGGGTTTGCCGGGGGCAAGAATGTTGGGACCGCAGTATCGACCGGTGCCTCTGGAATGGTGGTTACCTGGCGACGTACCAGATCGACAGCAGGTTCCATGTCAAGCGCAGCCTCGGCCTCAGCGATCTGAGCTTTGAACTCTTTGACAGACTTGCACAGGCATTCATTGTCGAGCATCATGTAGAAAGGTTCTTCGTCGCCATAAGGACATTCCAGGTTTGCGCATGGATCGTTGAACTAGTTGACTGGTCAGTAGGCCGCGACACAAGTAGAGTGGCACTGTTGTCTTACCAAAGGTTGATCTTCCCAGGCAGGACATTCGCAAGTGTAGGTGTCAAGGTTGAAGGTTGGCTCGCCGAAGAGACAGAACTGGGTTTGGCACAAGTGCTTGATGATGAGTTGGTGGTAGTTCAGATCGGTATTCTTGCAATCGACGATCTTGGTCGGCGCCGTGGTCGACAGCGCGATAAGCAGTAGGGTGATGATAACTGTCGCGACAGCCATTGTGAATGGTTTTGCTATCACTGTGGTTGTTGAATTGATGGATGAAGAGGTTACGTGAGGAAGAAGGTGATGAGGAAGTCGGATAAAGAGAATGAGTGAAAAAGATGGTGAGAGGTAGACAGGTTGGTGGAAGTGAGAGAGATATGAACTTGAACCTGCACTGCGTTGAATCGCCCGGGTCTTGGCGAAACTGCGTCGCCATCGCTACACCTGCCTGACGGGCTTGTAGTCAAATGGCAGTGACTATACAATGTCGTCGTCGAGGAGCACTCCTTCCACAGCCTTCACCGATGTGAAGGAGGTGCTCCCGGACCTTCTGGAGTTCGGGGATGGCGTCCATGGAAAAGGCGCGTTGCTCTGGCACACGACATGGAGTCTTGTACAAAGAAGAGATATAGAAAGTATCAGATTGAACATGAACGAACCATTGTTGTCGTGGGCAGGAGTACAGTTTGACATTGAGATGGATGAAGTTGCCATACTGCCGAGGCTGAATGCACGAGGCTGAGCTAGTCCCGATTCTGATGGCAAGGCTGAGAAGTTGTCAGGCTCGGGCCATTCCGCAGTCTTGGCACTCGCAGGGAGCAGCAGATGGTCTGTTTCCCTCTCGTGTGTGTCTGTGCTGTCACCACGCTGGCGGTTCGATCAAAACTACTAATCGTGCCTATATCAAAGTCTTCGCCTCGAAGAAGGTCGCTTTCGACGATGTGTTTCACTCTCATTGCTTCATCACCGAATATGGTGGCTGGGATTCAGCGTAGGCTGTGTTGGCTCCCAACCACCACGAAAATCCCAGCCTCGCGGCCACGTCCTCCATTTCTTTCCTGCAGCTGAAGACTTGACCACTCCATCCATGTGTTTGTTCAAATTTGTTAACGTGTGTGTTTGGTCAGCCTCTGTTCTGTCTTTTGCGCATTGCTGCACGCACTGTTCACTCGGAGAATTACCCGATGAACCTACAGCCAGACGCTCAGATCCAGACAGTCAGGCGAGAGACTCCTCAATACCTCCGCACCCAGTCACTACAATCGTCCTTTGCCACAAACGAGTATTTCTCTGATAATGCTTCCGACGCGGCCAGTGAAGAATCCGACGACACCAAGGCGAGCTATGAGACGCCTCCCTCGAGAATATCGACACCCGTTATTGAACAAAACCAGGCCGACTCCGAGATGACTCTCCCTGCAAGACCCGGCGTAGTCCAACCTGCGCCGCTCGACATTCGGCATGGCCAAAGTGAAGCGCAAAGTACAGTGAGAATGCTGTCAAACTTTGACGACATGAGCCCGCCGACGTCTGAAGTCGATGATACTCCATACATCAGGTTCGCCATTGAGCAGTTGACAAGAGACGAGGATGTACTGGGACGTGGGAGACACAGCACTACAACTCCGGAGGAACCAGCTTTTGGCTTTTCACCAGTAGAGCCGGAGTCACCGCGCAGCTTCAGTACGCCGACACCGTCCCCTCCTCCACCAACGCCTCCACAACAACCGCCAACACCACGTCCACAATCTCACATCCAACGAAAGCCTGTTCCGGAGGAAGTCATGGTCCCAGTTGATCTGTCCAAAGACCTCCGATCTCGATTGGGCTTTGTACCAATACCGCTTCGCCTGCCCATAATTGCCTCATACTTGCTCTTATGCCTATTAATGATCGCCGGGCTGCTCTTCAGCCTCCTATTTGTGTCGAGCAACCACGCACTCTACGACTACGACGGAAACGCCACGCCACGATATTTTGTGTTTCAATACCTCCCCCAACTACTTGGGATAATGCTTGTGATCTGGCTATTCGTGATCGAGGCTGCAGTGTACAGATCGTTGCCTTATTTCCGCATGGGACCGAAATACCGCAGATACTCAGTGTTGCAGGACTTGCGCATTCTGCCATCAAACTATCTCCTACCGGATCTGACTTTTTTCAAAAACGGTGAACCCATGCTGGGCTTGACATTCCTGGTCTTTTGGCTGAGCAGCTTCACCGTCCCGCTGCTCAGTTGTCTCTACGAGACCCAATGGATTACAGATGATGGCCCGGCCCGTTTCCGATGGACCACTGTTCGAGGAGTAGGCTGGACATTATTTGCGCTGTACACTCTCCTCTGCGCCGGGATCGTCTACTGCATGGTCCGCTTTCGGACTCGGAATTCCAATCTTCTATGGGATCCTTGTTCACTGGCCGACCTGATATGTCTATTTCGACGGTCCAATGTGTGCCATGACTTTGAACAGACCGAAGTCTCTCCAGAGCCGAATGGGCGAGTCCTCCCTCAGACCCTCCGTCTAGGCTTTTGGACCACCACCGAACGATCGGATGTATTTCACGGCGTTGGAGAGGAATACGCGCCTATCAAACGCTTTTCCCTCCAAAGACCGCAACCTACGCAAAAGCCTTCTGAGGGCCTCCTACACCCGAACGATGCGATGGACCTGGAGACCCAGCAACGACACTCCTACGGATCTGCCTTTTCTCGGAACATACACTCCCCTTTCGTCCGCTACCGCTGGGTGCCATGGTATCTGCGAGATTCGGCCGTTCTGGCATGGATCATCGCGGCAATCCTGCTATTGATTGCTTTTCTGGTGGTCAGCTTCGTGAACAATGCTGTTGAAAGAGGTTTCGAACCTCTCCTGACATCTCGGACGGATTCCCACGGGTTTTCGCCCGCCGACTTCCTCTACAGCTTCCTGCCGTCATTTCTCGGGATGGTGCTCTTTCTCGCATGGCAGCCGATTGCCATGTATTTTCGTGCGGTACAGCCTTTCTGCAACCTGTCGCAGCCGACCGGCACGGATGCCAGCCACTCGTTGCTGCTGTGCTATCCAGCACAGGGGCCTATTGGTGTTGTTGTCCGTTCTCTACGCAACGGCGATTACAGGGTATCATATGTTAGCTTCATCTCCATTCTGGCACTTTCCATCCCAGTCCTCGCTGGCGGCGTGTTTACTGCTCAGTTCTTCACTGCGGAGAACGAAGTCCGAATGGTGGCCAGCATGCCGGGCTTCATTGCACTGTGTGTCTTGGTCTCGATCTATGCGCTCTCCTACCTCATTATCTGGCCTACCAGAAAACGCTATTTGCCACATAACATCAACACCATTGCCGGCCTGATGAGTTGGCTCTATGCCAGTCCTCTCATGGCCGATGGCGCCTTCCAGAACGTCGGAACCAGAGCAGAACTCGTCGAGAGACTGACAGCTTCCAGCTCGACTCCGGCCACACTCACTGGCGATCCTGGCACGGCCAAGCTGGGCGAAAAGAACCAAGCAGCTCGCCACCAGCGTCGTGCCGACCGTGGCTCAGGGCCACGGTATGCGTTCGGCGTGTATATTGGTCGAGACGGAAAAGAACATCTCGGCATCGATCGCCTGCAGAGACCGGGGAGTCGTGAGATGTTGGTCGTGCCGAGTTCACGGTGAGATTGCCACCACCTGGACTTGGTGCCGGACCGTGTTGGCCATCAATCGACGAATTGGAGTCGACGTGGATCTTGAACGAGCGTGGGTTTCAATCCTTGGAACCTTGTCGAACCTCCAGCTTTTGATGTGCTCCTATCGCTACGGCAGGGCTATGCCGTCGGTCTCAGATGGTTGAAGACTACCTTTCGAGGTCTCAAAAGCATATACAGGATGGTGCCTTTTCTCCTTTTATCTCTTTCTAAAGCATGACATGGAATGGAATGGCTTCATGGGATGATATTTTGACTGTTGTGGCGCAATGGATTCAAGATCTTGCTCATACGCAAACAAGATTACTTTACGACAACAACGACAACGAAAGAGCATGGTAATGATTCGTATACGACGAACCAGATGGGCTTGGAATCATGTGTACAGAGATTGGCTATGGCGCTGGAGAACGAGTAGAAATACTACTGAGATACCCTGGGAAGGATAGAACTTCAATACAGAACACAGACCTAATCCTGCCACACTGGGTTCAGCTTTCCCCTTGATTGTGACGACAACAAAGAACCTGAGCCTAACCTGTGGCTCTCCAAGGTTTGATCTCCAAGGGTTGCTCCATACTAGTCTCTAGATCATACATTCACCCTGTCAATCAGGAATGCGTGGGTAGAACAGTCTCTTACACAACGTAAGAAAGGACGTAAAAAGTGTCAGTGTCAGTGTGAATTTACAACTCGTTGTACCCAGCATCAATACCAACATGATTCAAAACCATGATGCTCATCAATCAACGATCATCAATCATCATCGACAAAGCCAGTGTGACAGTGTCCCCGTCCTAGACTCTAGCCATTAGTCGCATCGAAACTCGATCCTTTCGCCACTGTTTCGACCAGTCAAATTTCAATCCCATTCCATATCGTCATCAGTATCCGGATCCATGGCTTGGGCGTCGAGAACGAGGTTCCCTTCCTTCCAGATCATTAAGTCTGCCATGATCAGCGACCCGGAGCGAGGTGGGCACAAAGGAGCCGGTTTGAGGCGGTACAGCCAAGTTCCTGGGTCAGGCTGGTCGAATTCAGACTCGCTGTCACTGCGTTGAGCATTGTCGTTGACATTATCTTCTTCTTCTTTCTCTTCGACATCATCATCTGTGGACAAGTGGTGCAACGCTTCATGTATGTCACCGACTTTACCAAGGTCGTCGTCATCAGCATCGAAGCCATCTTCGCAATTCTCGGTAGAAGTCATCTAGGATAGAAAACAAGTAGTCAGCATTTTCAATTGTCGTCTTCTGTCTTTTCCCGAATCAACTTCGTTCAGTAGCTGAGTTCAAGTAGGTCATGATCATAACCAGATTCAGAACATTCGTTTCTTTACCATTGCCAAGAAGCGGAACTCTTTGCGATGAAAGTGGTAGTGATAGTAGCAGCAGAGACAGTGATAGGGACAGGGACAGGGAGTGTAGATACATACCTTCAGAAACCTCCCAACAACCTGAAACTTCTGGGTGGAATAGTATCCTCCAAGATCGGGGTCGTACTGTGCCCAACTGTCCTGACCGGCATTGACAGTGACAGCTACAGCTCGAGTAATATCTCCCACTCCTGCTGCCATTCCAGCTCCAGCTCCAGTCCTGGCTTTGACACGCACAACATCTCCAATTTCAAACAACGGCTCAAAGCCTTCTTGGTCCAAAGGGAAGTCCTCGAACCCGTCGTCATCGCCGTCCTCATACGCGTCTCGCCAAAGAAGGTCGAAATGGATGGAAAGAGCAGCGATCATGTCATCTCGTGAAATACTGGAGTCTTGGGACACATGATGGTCATGCTCATGCTCGTGTTCGTGCTGGTGCTTAAGGTCGTGTACATTCCCTTGACGGTGGCAGTTGCAGCTGCAGTTGCAGTGGCAACAAGTCAGATTCGATTGAGATTCAACCACCTTTTCGATCTCACCTGCAGGCTCTGCATCCGAGACAGAGACCTGAACGGTCGACGGTGGCGTTATGCCAGGCGTATCGGAGGAATATTCGACATCCCAACACGAAGCCTCTTCGAGCTGATGATCACTGGTAGCGGTAGCGGATACTACTTCATCAGCAACACCGGACCGTGATGCGATGCCTGTCTTTCCCTCTCCGTTTCCGTTTCCGTTCGATGGTCCCTCCATGGTCCAATTGCCCGGAGCGGGAATACCATCACTGGCAGTCGATACTGGCGGGGTATGGGATTCGGACATGGCTGACGTGGAGTGGTGGATTGTGGTTCAAGTTCGGCGTGGGTGACGCGTGTCTACAGAGTAACCAGAAAAGACGTTGGAATAGGAAAGGCTGTACTGGTCAGGTTGCGGGAGCAACAATCGTACAGGTACAGCGGCCAGCCCGTGGACGACAGCAAAATGAGCGCTCTGAACCAGGGGCCCTGGGCTTTGCGGGTAGGGGGGTTAAAAGGACCCCTGTATGCGCCTGATTGAGTAGAGATGAAGTAGGACCAAGCTGCGCCGCACTGGCTGAGATTGAACGTCCAGCCGATGCAGTGGCAGTTTGGAAGCGCCGACTGAGGAGCAGGCTCTCCACGCACCTTGGAGTGTTTCAGGATTCCGAGACGGAGACCACGATCATGACCAGACTGTATGGGATCAGGTGTGAACGGGGCGAATTGTTGTATATGTAGTGGCCGAGTGAATGGGCCGATAAGCTGATAAGACGGATAACGATAACGCAGCGAGCTGTTGATAAGATGAGAAACTCAAAGATTAGATCTGATAGAAATCATACAAACTACCTAGGTAGACATATCCTTCCAAATGGATGAAGCAGAAGAATATATACAGAGATATTAATATCGTCAGGCACTGTGCGTGCCGGTGGTAGACACCTATCTATCTAATGTACCATCATCTCCGCCGAACCATATTCCAATAGTTCTCCAGATGGAAAAAGGAAGATACGCATGTGGCAGTGTCCGCCTCGCGGGTTCAAGAACAGAAACTGTTACTGTGGTAGGGAATACACATCGATCACCACCAGCCATGGTCAAGGAATAACCCCTTGCATGAGCTGGGTTGCTTGCATACATGACTGTCTCCTGCTATATGGCATCACCACCAAATGCCTCCTCTTCTCCAGTAAATATATGCAAATAGAATTCTCCTTTGACATGGAAAGAGATGGCGGGTAAACTTATAACCAGCCTCGAGCTGGTAACATTTGAATCGAAATCAAGTCCCACGAATCTGCCCCATCCAGCAGTGGTCCTCCCAACTCAAAGAGGAAAATGGGACGCCGGGCTCCTCGCTCAATAGAAAAAGAAGAAAAAGACAGAAAATAATCAAAATATTCGGCCAAGCTGAAGCCACGTAGCATCACATGTTTTCCATAAATCGGCCACCACTGCGTCCACTGCTTCGGCTGACCCGACTGCCATCTTGGCTGGCGAGACTTCTGCCCAGTCCGTCTCTTTGCATCGGTCCAGGCATGAGTCCGCCGTTGGGGAGTGGAGGTACGTCCTCGGCCATGGTCGGTGGTTGTTGGATCGGCAAACGAATCGAACTGGCGGCAGGACTGAGCGTGACTGGAGTTCGAGCCGGGCTGGGTCGCATCACTGCAAACCCTTCCGGTCGGCTCGGGGTGGTCAGGGATAACGAACTGGCATTGTGGTCGGACATGTCTCGTGGCTGGGCAAAGTCTCTCGTGCTAGATCCGATGCCACCATACATATCCGCCTCCCCTCTATAACCACCCGTTGCTGCAGTGATTGGCGAAGGAGGAAATGTGGGCGAATGGGTTCCTTTGCCTCCATAGACTCCGTCGCTGTCACGATAGAACGATGCCCCCGAAAGACCTCTTTCGTTGTTGTTCAATGGATCCGAAGGCCCGGCCGTAGCATCCTTTTCGAACGCACCATAGTTGCCTCCATAAGGGTCCCCGCCACTGCTGAGTACGGGGGGGATTTTGCGACCGGCAATGCGTTGAAAACCCCGCTCCGAGTTCCTGATGCTAGGCTCGGCCATTCCAGTTGCGGTGGTTCCGAAGTTTTGGTTGCTGTGGGGCCGGAGGCGTTTGAGACTGTTGGTGACGGCTGCAGCAATGGGCACTGTAGACGATCGCTGCGACATAGGATATGCGTTGCCACCGTTCCCGGTAAGTTCTCGTGCGGCTCGCTGTTCCGGAAGCTCGCCACGGGCCTTGAGTCGCCGGCGATACCAGCGAAGAACAACCAGCAAGATGATCAGAACGACCGCCACACCAGCTACGCCTCCGACGACACCTCCCACCACTTGTTGCTGTGTTGGGGTAAGGCCTGGGCTACCTCCTCCCGACCCAGAACCGGACCCAGATCCAGACACAGAGCCCGATGTTGCTGCAGATCTGGATGATGTTGTTGCTGATCCCGGTGCTCCAGAGCCCGCAACAGCGGTGGGAGACCCCAAGAAACCACCAGTGCTGTCGGTTATGGTTGTGGAACTTCCAATGAAGGAGGACGAAGTGGTCACTGGGTCACCGAATGTAAAGGTGGCGGAGTCACTACTGGAGGTGCTCTCTGTGACGTGGACGGTGCTCGTCTCTATGCTAGAGAGGTAAGAGGTAGATCCGCCCGCAATGATAGTGCCATTGACGTACGACACCTCAAAGGTGGACGTCGCCGTGACTGTTGCGGTTTGCTGGCTGGACGTGGCATCAGAAAGGACGGCGGTGCCGTTCAGCGCCCCAGAAAAGACAGATGCAGTCGAACTCAGGTCTGTGGTGCTCCCAATGTAGTCGGATGGTGAAGGGGTTGGTGGAGGCGTGGTGAGAGTTTCTTGGGACGAATCAGAGATGCTGGAACCGACCACACTGCTAGCACCTGTCGATCCGGGTACAGTCACAGATCCCACATCTGACAACGACAGCACATTACCCGTCGTTGCAGCAGGAACTTCGGTGACCTTGGAGGTTGAGGTTCCATCATTGACGTTGATCTCAACAACACTGGATGTGACGGTGGGATCAGGCGCCCTGGGGGCTAAGTATATCCCGGCGTTTCTCCGTGGCAGAACAGGCCGGGGTATATGCTGGTATTGGCCGTATATGTCCCTTCTTTGGAAATCTGTCAAGGAGATGGTCCGGGTGGCCCTGCCCTTGCCAGCTGAATTGTCTCCTCGGATCCCAAGCTCAGAGGTGAAAAGCCCTTCCGTCATTCTGGAACCTGTATCGCGCGGATTTCGAATTTCTGGATCGGAGATTCTCATTCGTTTCGTCGGCCTTTCCATAGTAATGATGAGACGAATCCAGACATGTACTCGAAACCAACCGTCCCGTATATCGCTGTGAATGGTATGTCAACTGTGAATAGAACGTGTAGAAATGCCTTGTCGCAACGAGGCGCGGTATATATATGCAACGAGAGAGATGGTGATTTTCGTAAGTGAGCGTGTTTGGTTTGTACTTTGTAGTGAATGAGGGTAGCGATGGTCGGCGCGTGTATCAACCGCTTTGCTAACGAGTGTAGGATTTCGAAGGAATGGCAGCTGGAGACAGGCTCAGCTAAAGGGGTGGAAGAATCGCAAGATTCTACCAAAGAATAGATTCCCAAGGTCAGTTCCCGATGTGAGACATGAGAAGCAGAGGGTGTGGATTACGCACCTCCAGCGTTGCTACTGCATAATGGTACTGTTAATTGCCCTTGGGTATGGTATGCCTCTGTTCCGTTTTCGATAATCCAGATGAATCGAACATAGAGGAGATTTGGAGCATCGATTGAGTCGATTCGCGTCTGAATGTTTGCTGCTGATATAGTTTGCTGGCGCAGATCGTCGTTTCGGCTCCAGGCAGACAAAGGGTATATTATCGGTGTCTCAGGGATGAGAAGGGGAATGGTTCAGGAGGTCAACTATTAGCGGTAGCGAATGCAAAGGATGATAGACTGCATTACTGGAAGGACGAAGACGCCAGACCGGTCGAAGAGTGTCTTTGTAAATTTGACAATTGCGACGAACAGACAAACGAGGGCATGGAAGAAGCGTAGCAAGGAGAGGAGTACGTTTGACACCAGAGCAGTGCGGCCGGGCGCAGGAGACGTCAAAGTCAGCAAGCACTGCACTGCCAGTGCCAGGCAGCTCATCAGGTCAATTCTCATGGCGCAGGCAGTGTGGACTGCACAGTCAGACGCCACGAATGCCATGAGTGGGGGCTTTTAATGGGCCCCAGGTGTCTACTAGGTGTCCTGGGGAGTTCCCACCCATGCCTCTAGGCAGCTTTAGGCGTGCCTAGTTGCTTACTAGGCACGGCTGGTCAGTCTAAAGGCCTCCTTAGCCACCCTAGAACGCTAATAGGTCAACTAGAGCCCATGCCTAGCAATTAAGCGCATCGGTTCCTGCATTAAGCGACAACTTTGAAAGACAACGGGAGATGAACAATTGTGTCTCTCGTCGAATCAATGCTGCTGCTGTGGAGCATTTGGAAATCACTTCATTTGACATCCGTGCAATTCTCCATGCTCTGTCAGTTTTTTGAAGTCCAGGACTCTCCACGACATCCACCCAGGACGTTACCTGACGGGCTTTCATGAATGACACTGGCTTGTGCTGCAATCTCTTGCAGATCCCATCTACCTATTGCAGGTGGCCTACGACCGCGTTTTCGATCTCCTTCTTAGTCCAGGTACCTCCCTGCAATCGTGTCGGTGATGTCCACGAAACTCTATCCTTCACCTGCGGTTGTGTCGTGGCATCTGGAAAAGACATCTGGCTCAGGGGTTTGCACCAGCGGTTGAGGTTTGAAGTGAACAACAGCTGGGACATTGAAATTCCAAGAGAACAGTCCACAACCAGATGGGTGCGCCACTACCTGCTGGAGGCGCTCCTAATTTCTGAGGTTGAGGGCATCGTACTCAGTACGTACTGTCCCGAAGCCAAGAGCGCTTTATTCAAGACCCAATGGACAAGGATATATGGCTTGGCCTGGCTAGTGCCTCAGACTGGCGAGACGGCAAGTATCATTTCACTTGTTGTCCAGGTGGTCACTCATGCCAGGTTCTGCTGCGAGGCTGTTTTCTGCAATCTTGAACCGTTTCTCAAGTTGGCGATTGTCTCGGCCGTCCCCAGTGTCCGGTACTGTTCCAATCAACGATGGCCATGAACAGGTTCTCACCTAACTTGCCAGCTTGAACACGTTTGTGGAACGAATTGCATCTCGCTGCGAGCCGTTGGATATCAGCGTCGCAGAAATGGCGGAGATTCGACGACGGTTGGCCGGCACATTCGACATCGACGCTGCCTCTTCGGGCCCGCATACTGCGTTGGCTTCCAGCAGTGTCGAGTCGGGGCGGCCAGAATGTGCTCGTCGTTGATGTTCAAGGTAAAGAGTACAAACATTCCCATTCCCGAGAAGTGATGAGGTGCGCCTTTAACCTCCTTGATGACAGTCAGCTGCTCAGCACGGTTGGTATCCCAGTCCGCGGGCTTTTATGCCTCGTCTATCAGCATCTTACCAAAGCTAGAACATATATGTTGATATACTACCTGGTACAGCAGAGATCCGACTCATCGTACTTCTGACCCGCGACAAGAGGCGGAGCGTTTACAGAGGTCGTACTATTAATAGTATGATGGGAAATAAGTGCTGGCAGTTTCATCTGCGAGCGAAGAGACGAGTCTGCTATCTTCCTGGAGCTGTGAAATGTATGTCCCAAGGTTACCCGCTCGCCGCCACGCTGCTGCTAAGTATCTACATTCGAAGTGAATATTGTCTATCTGGGTGAATGCTCCGCCGTAAAACAACCGCCCCAATTTCGACTTCGATCGTTACCCATTCGACTAGGACAGATCCAGAGATACGTATCTTTGGACTCGATGAAATCACACAGCTGCATTGCTTTGTGATATGTAACGCCGACTTTTCCAACATCATTGGCCAAACCCCCAGCTTCATTGGCGCTCTGGCCTCGGGGTAAAAATGAGTGTGGATGGGTGACTTAGATGTCGTGGCCAATACTTCATATGGCTCCGGCAGAACGAGACTATTACAATATATGCATGATGCATCTGCGATGGCGAACCGACCATTACCTATTGTTATGTCCGCCATCACGTCGGCACTACTGGTCATCACGCTGTGGAGGGTACAGAGCAGTCCAGCCGTCAGCCGAGTCGATAAAATAGCCATTTCTGTAGCAGCCATGCTTTCCGTCCTTGTCTTCAACGCTATTCGACGGAATCAGAAAACTGAAACCCGTTCACAACAAGCGTCCTCGGAGGTCAAGTTCGAAGGCTTCCACTACGAGCCACTGGAAGAAGGACAGATACGACTGCTTCGATTCTGCCCGCAAGAAGTGGACGAGCTGGACCTCTTTCGCGTTGAACTCTTTCATGCCAGACTGAGCCAGGCGCCGGAGTACGTCGCTCTGTCCTATTCATGGGGCAGTGACGATAGCGCACTGTCCATCGAAATCATGGTAAACAATCAGAAGTACCGTGTCTCGCAACACCTTGCAGGAGCTCTAGACCGGTTGAAGACGAACAATATTTCCGCCATTTGGGTCGACGCTCTCTGTATCAATCAACGAGACATGATTGAGAAGGGCAAAGAAGTAACGAGGATGTTCACTATCTACCGCACAGCCACAGCAGTTATCGTCTGGCTTGGACAAAATGTTGACCTAGGTCATGATGCCGACATGCTCGTCCAAAAGGTCCGGGAGTTTGATCAACCTTTGGAGAAGCATCATCACAACCTGGAGATATCCCAGGCTGCTTTGCGGGCGCTGAAGCGGCTGTTGGCGCAGCCTTACTGGGGTCGTGTCTGGATCATTCAAGAAGTGGCAGCAGCGAGAAGAGCCTTTATTTTCTGGGGCCATAATACGATAGAGCTGCGGTCTTTGGAAGCACTAATAAGAGAGTATAGTGACTTGGTCGAGGGCCACGCCATTATCCCGGGATATGCCCAAACAGTTCTCTCTCTTCGTACTGCATGCCGAGCACAGCAACAACCTCGCTTGCTGGATATATTGGCGATGACCAGTGATTCAGAAACCAGTCATCTGCGAGATAAGGTGTATGGACTTCTTGGGCTAGCATTTGACTGGACGGTCTTTGTGCGGGAGCCAAATTACTCCGCGAGCGTTTCTGAAAAAGGTCTTTGCTTGGAGATGACGGTTGCCCATATCAGCTGGTACAGCTCGGCAGATATCATCTTCCTACGCAGCACACAGCCTTCTCAAGAAGCATTGCCATCATGGTGCCCCGACTATTTCCACTTTCGGGTCCATGACTTTGACAAGAATATGCTTTCATATGTCTGCTTCCGAGACGTCAATCTGGGGTGGGAAAAACGGCGAGCGTTTGGAGCATCGGCTAGGATGAATGAAATCATCCCTGACACATTCCACATATCTGGCAACAGGCTGACTTTGAAGGGCAATCTGGTTGGTCGGATTTCGGCTCTAGGCAGCCTCATGTATGAAGATGCAGGAGATTGCGAGTTTTCGAATGCATTTCCAGCCATGGAGGCCACGGCGACAGAAATTGCCAAAGCTTTCCGTCGACTTCTTTTGCTATGTCATAACCAGACCTTTGGGCACCTCAGTGGGTTAGACTTCCTTACATTGCTCTACGCACTCCCTGAGGAGGTATTTGGGAATGCCCATTGCACCGGATTGAAAACATGGCTCTCCATCCATCAGGGTTTCTTCGAAGGATTTGGTGTCAGAGTCATACATACGCCTAGCACGGAGGGAATAGCTATCAAGATACGTGGAATGTCGGAACCCTTCCTCGTCCGGGATGAGTGGAGGGAGTATTTTGGGTCGAATGATCCGAACACTAGGGCTTCGGCTCGTCGGAGACGTGAATATCCTCTGGACTCGGTGCTCAGATCCATAGATTCCACTCTTCAGGAACGCCTTCGACTTATGTGCATCCGTGACCAGGCTCTCCTCGGTTGGGCCCATCGAGATGCTGAGGTAGGCGATACCGTGTGGCACCTTGAGGGATGTACTTTGCCAGCGATACTCCGAAGGTCTCCGGCGTTATCGCAAGACTATGGAATGGACATATATCGCCTTGTCGGCCATGCCTATGTTGACCCGGTCATGGCGAGTGGGCGGTGGATAGCAAAGGAGCACAAAAGCCGCCTGGTTCACGTCTGTTGATGACGCATTTCGTTCTCCGCTCACGACAGGCCTGGGGAGGCTTTGCGCACTTGGATGCTATCAATATACTTATAGGAACGGAAGAACGCGAAGATACAAGGCTCATGAACGCGAAAAGCTCCATCATGCAGCAGATGGTCCGCCGTACATTGCACTTCCGGACTAATGCTTCCGCGGAGTATCTCCCCCTGCGGCCATTATGTCAGCTCGGAATCGTTTCCGGACGGCCCGATCCAAACCAAATCCACTCCAAGGTTGAGGGAGGGGGCGATGCAGTGCCAGTGGCTGCCAGTCTGGGGCCTGAGATTGGTGGCACGACCACAGTCCTCTGTCCTAATAGCCATCCGGTGACGGTGGCCTGAGCCCCGCCATATTGCTTCTGATGCTACAAGTTCCTGAGGTCTACGCCAGGGTTGACCCCAACCGCGTTCAGAACCTCAGTTCGACCAGCGAGATGCTGATGTCGCCAACGGTCGCTTGCGCCGCTACTGCAACCCCCTGCGGATGGTGTACTGAGAGTAGCGGCAAGCTCGTGACCGCCTCCAGCTGATGAACACCTCGTCACTTCACAAACTGGCCTCCTGGAGCCGATACTCGTCTTTCTTCAGCAAGCCGACTATTGCGTTCTGCACGGGCGGATCAGGTTGAACTTATTGAATGACGGGTCTCCGAGGGGTTCTCCATTCTTGTGGTTCTGCTTGATGCTCCTTGACTTGCAGTGCAGACGACTGTCAGAGAATGAGCACCTCATCGGAGCCGGGTCCATCCACAAACGTGGGAGGGCGTCGTCCGCATGGCCAAAGTGAGCCAATTCCGAGGCGTATCGGGGCTCCTCGGCTTCTCCCACGGCCCACATGGCCGGGAACAAATACGAAAACCATCACAGCACGGGTCTCGGTGCCCAGAACCTGCAGGGTGCCTACGTGCCCTAACAAAAATTGCAAACTCATGAGCCACCGTCTGTATGACCCTACCTCTGGCAAGAAGAAGATTACAACACCGCGACAGAACAAGCCGGAATTCGTTTCTGGTAAAATCGGCCGGGATGGCGTGGATGGCCTCCCACAACTTCCCATCGATGATCCTCTGAACCCCGAACTCCGAGTCCTCTTCCATCATTTCTTCAACTCGGTTTTCGATCGGCTGGCTGGCATCTTTCGAGGCCCTCTGCTCGAACCGGGCTACAAGAATCGCATGTTGGGCGTGGCCTTGAGCAATCAGGCTTATTGTATGGGCCTCATTACCCAAGCTCAAACCGACACTGCCATTTCGAAAGGGACTTTTGCCGAGACGAGAGAGTCCCTCGATCTTTACACCAGGTTGATCAGCATCTTCCGCAACCAACTGGCGGCCAGTACTGCCAACGGCCCACCCAACCCTATGCACATCGAACTTGCTCTGCTGGTTCTGTGTATCCTCTTGTCCTACAATGTGACTCGTGGCAAATATAGCGAACTCAATATGAACTGGACGGCAATGCGACACCTCGTCAATCTGAGGGGAGGTGTCCACAATCTTACGATGGCTCTTGCCTATGTCGTCCACGTGGACAGGCTCTGTGCAACCATGCTAGGTGCGCGCCCAACCTACGTGAGCCCCTCCCCACGACTGCACCAGCTCAATCGGCCCTCTTCGATCACCTATAGTTCGGGGTTTGTGCGCCTCGAAACCTTCCAAAGCCATCTGGTTGGCAGTCCCGTGCTCGAGCATTGCTTAAGCACCTGTGAGCTCCTGTCGCTTCACCAGGCTTTCCACGAAGCTCCATCGTCGGAGCATCGTGCAGGTCCGCCGTTGCCTTCCAGTCCAGAGTATCTATACTACCTCCGCGACAGGGTAGACGAGGATTTTGCCATCCTGTATTCGGAGATGCTGCACCAAAATACGCCGGCTAAATGCATCTTGCTGGCCACAAGGATCGCTGAATATCCTGTCACATGGGCCAACTACGTGCCTTCCATCACCATGGACCTGTGTACCGAATTATGTGCTATGCTACGCAATGAGGACTTGTTTGAATGCTGGTCGGGAGCATTGGACGTTCTCAGCTGGATCCTCTTCGTATTGCTGACCAGTCCTTGGCCGTTCGAGGGTCGAGATTGGGCTTTGTCTTGCCTGCAAGGTATCATTGGGGCTAAGTATGGCGCGGCTCAGTGGCCTAGTAACTGGTGGGAAGACGAGCTAGCCAGTGTCAAGGCTTTTGCATGGTCTGATGCCAAATATTCGGTGAAATTCGCTCAGGTGTGCAAAGAGCTTGAAACTGGAACCCAGAGCCAGTCTGTGCCAGAGGAAAAGCCGAAAACCGAGCCCAAGAGTGATCAGTGACAGCTCAGTTGCATCTGGAGCGACAACAGGCTCCCTACCAAAGCAGAGATGGCCATCCCACTTTGAGTGATCCTGGAATGAGTCCTAATGACTTGCTGAGTCCTACGATGATATCTCTGGCGACTGAAAGCAGGTTGCGATACATGATGTCACACAGCCATTCTGGCAGCATAACGCAAGATCTTGGGACTGTCTCCAATGTCTAACCTGATAATTGGCCGGTTTTTATTCCCAAAGGAGGTGCTGCGTGAGCCAGCATTGGATTTCCGTCCCTCGGTCAATTGCATGCAAGGTTCAGTTTCATACGCGAGAGTATGAAGGCCTGTATACCGCAAGAAGCGCGGTTCAAGTCTCCCACGCCGCGAAGCCCTCATCGATCAGGGAAGTAACACGCCGACCATCGCAAAGCGACAGTCAGCGAAATGCTCCATTTTCAGATGGCCAAATCATGGAAGAAGTGGTCGAGCAACAAGACCTTCGGGGCGATAAGCCTGGAATGTCGAATATCCCAGCCACAGACTATCCAGATGCGCTTTTGAGGCGATCCTAGGGCTAGTCATCTGGTCCGACCCAGCAAGGAGACTGCATCCGTCCGAACGGCCCTTCTGCTTCCATGCGCGTTCTCCACCGTGAAGTGTATAGTCTTTCTAAAAGACACCCCAGAGCAGGTATGTCGGGATGAACATAGTCGAATCTCAGAGGGGGGGAGGATACCACTCACTGTAAGATATTGAAGGATGGGAGGGAAATGGAGATGTGCGTCGTATAAGGCCTTATGGCTGGAAAGAAGCTAAAACCCCGACGACAACGTAGAGACGGCAAGATGGTGGAAATACATCATTCTCTGGGCTATCGAACTAAAACGCCTTGCGACATGGTGACACGGAATTGCTGGCTTTACTGTCCACAGTCGATCCGAAGAGTGCGGTTTCGAAGCCAGTGGCTCAAGGCTCGGCCTTTCAGAAGACAGCCTTCAGGCGACATCAGCTGTCGCAGTGGGTTGCACATCGAACGGTCGCTGATTGACCTCTATCAACATCTCCAGGCTTCCCGTCCGAGTCATTATTACTGCTTACCAGGCTTGGCCTTCCGTCAAATATTTGTCAGCCGATCTCCTTCAGTGGAGAGTACGATGGTACTGCCCTGTATCTTATCTCAAGTGAGATGTCACAAGGCAAAGTTACCTTTTCAAGAAGGTCAGATTACTACTGACAGCGCTCGGATGCGCAGATACTCGAGAGACAACCCCTCTTCTCGCCCGCACGTCGCGACATTGGTTCTTTCTTCCCCAAGATGATCCACAGGACGTTTATCTTCACCCCCAGGATAGAATACCGTTTTTGGTAAGTGAGAGATCGGAGATCAGCTCATCAGCTCACCATCTCTGAACTACTCTCATATTTAAAGCGAAAGAAGGTACTGAATGACCCGTGAGACACGGTGTTCCCCTCTCCTACTCATACATCTACATCACCGATCTCAAACTTCACAATGGCTTCAATGGACAAATTATTTGCCGGCTACAAGTCGCGGCTGGCGGCATTGAAGGCCAGCGACAACCCTCTGTCCCAAGGAGTGGCCTGGGTTGAAGGAGAAATAGTCCCGCTCTCACAGGCACGCATTCCGCTACTGGACCAGGGGTTCCTGCACAGTGACTTGACCTACGATGTGCCTGCCGTCTGGGACGGACGCTTCTTTCGCCTCGATGACCATCTCAGCCGGCTAGAGAAGAGTTGCTCCAAACTGCGTCTAAAACTACCATTCCCGCGCGAGGAAGTCAAGCGGCTCCTCATTGACATGGTGACCAAGAGCGGCATCCGAGACGTCTTCGTCGAGCTTATCGTGACCCGCGGGCTCAAGGGAGTCCGAGAAGCCAAAAACCCTGAAGATCTGGTCAACACTCTTTATATGTTTATCCAACCCTACATCTGGGTCATGGAGCCTGAAGTCCAGCGCGTTGGTGGCAGCGCTGTGATCGCGCGTACGGTTCGACGAACTCCACCAGGCTCCATGGATCCCACCGTCAAGAACCTGCAGTGGGGCGACTTAGTCCGCGCTATGCTCGAGGCATCCGACCGTGGGGCCGCCTATCCCTTCCTGACGGACGGAGATGCCAACATTACTGAAGGGTCGGGCTTCAATATCGTCCTGGTCAAGGATGGCGTTATCTATACTCCGGACCGGGGCGTTTTGGAGGGTGTCACGCGCAAGAGCGTCTTCGACGTCGCCAAGGCGAATGGTATCGAGGTTCGTTTGGAAGTCGTCCCAGTCGAACTGGCTTATCAAGCCGACGAGATTTTCATGTGTACCACGGCTGGCGGGATCATGCCAATCACCTCCCTGGACGGGCAGCCTGTGAAGGATGGCAAGATCGGCCCTGTCACGCAGAAGATCTGGGATGACTACTGGGCGTTGCATTACGACCCTGCGTACAGTTTCGAGATCGATTACGAGGGGGTGGGAAAGAATGGCAGCAACGGCATGAATGGCATCCACTAGTGATGTTTGCAACAGGAGGTCATGGAAGAACATGGCTGAGTCTAGCTAAGTGATCATGTGCTCGAGGGCGGACTGGAGATGACTTGAGGACAAGTCTCTTGAGCATATCGATGTCCAATGCAACGCAGCGTTGGTGAAGCATGGTGCACCGTCACAGGACATGGTCTATATGTCTTCTCATCTGTGTGTCTAGTGCCTCAAATTGCTTCAAAGTCCAGTTCGTCCTAACATCAGGTTGATTGTGTTGGCTCCGGTCTTCTAGATTGATTCTGAACTGCGGAGCGCACAGCAAACTAGGTTCCAGCTCGAAGGCTGGTGAAACCGGTGATGTCTAATCCTTTCTTGGTAGACACGGTGGGCCATGTCGGAGGTAGAAAATAGCAATCAATCCCTATTACCTCCTACGTAACCACAGCCTTGCCGGCATGGTTGGGTTTCAGCCTCGTCGGCCTGTCCCGCACATGCCGGCGGAACCCGCAACTCAAATTCAAGGTGATGGATGCTGACATCTCAACACCTCCTGACATCTCCACGTCTCTTCGTTTCAGCCTTCCTACGTTCTCGAGTCTCTACGTCCCTGTGTCCTGCATCACCGCTGTGCTCTCCTTCACCCCATCCAAATGTTTTCTTTCCCTCCTTCTCTTGCGGCATGATCATGATACGGTCCCCTACGTCTTCCAGCAATCGAACAAGCAGTGCATATGTCTCATGGATCATCTCCCAAAGCCACTGCAACATCTAAACCCTGAGCTGGTCTTCCCCTGTCGATGTGACCCCAATGCCGTTGATGATGGTCCCTTGGAGACTTATCCAGAGCGGCGCGGATATCGTCTCAATCTGTTTGCCGACCTCAATTTTGCGAACATCCTAGCTTTGCACGATGGCTCACGACCAGGTGTGGAACAGGCCACGACTTTGTTGCAGGAATGGCTGTTCTTTGGTCTTCTGCAGGCTGCGCACTTCATCTACGGGGAGGACTTCGACGGCAACGATTACGTCCAAGGTTCGGGCGAGAGCATGGTCTTGACACTTGAAAGACTTCCGCAGCATGCTGATCGCTGGCTCAAGTTAGAAGCCGACAGAGAAAAGACCGTCCGGAAACAACACTTTCATGATATGGAAGCGCATATTATGCGCGCCCTCATGTTCCTCACGAATAACTTCACCCCGTTCAATAATGGGGGCCTCGATTCTACCGGTAGTCCTCGAGTCGTTCCAGAGCAGTCCAAGATTGTGGTTGAACCAAACCTGGAGATTCTGCTCATGGTACTTACGGAAGCCCTGGAATGCATTGCCCAAACAATCCAATTTCGCGAACGGAGGTATGTCCGGTCTGAACAGACCCCTGACTTCGTCTGTTTCTCGACACGCCGCCTGATGGATAGACTCCACTGGTGTCCTAGCGAGTTGAACCTTATCGATCTCGTTTTCGACCACGGTTCTTTTTACTTTGCCAGCCGGCTGGCAAGGAACGCTGCTCAATCCCGGCATTCACAATGCACCATGAACAAGTGTCTGGCGTTTCAAATGAATGTTTCCACTTACAGCACAGTACATATTACAGATTGTGAGGGCTGTAATGATCTGATCGTCGACCAGACTGAACTATCAGCCATCCTGGAAAGGAGTGACGATGATTCCGCTTATCCTCGCGTCAGGGTTACGATCACTGATGCTGACAATGTCGAGCTGTCTTTCACAGATCAAGGCGAGTATGTGGCCGTGTCCCATGTCTGGTCCGACGGCCTCGGACATCCGCCAGGAATCAACTCTCTGCCTGAATGTCAAGTCCGACGACTCCGATCTCTCATCCACCAAACAGGAATGAAGGAAGCCAATATCTGGATCGATTCGCTCTGTGTTCCAGCGCACATTGGTCTCGCAAAGCGGAATGCACTTGCCCGAATGGCTTCTGTCTATCGAGGAGCAAGAGCTGTATTAGTCCTCGATTCAGACCTCCTCTCCATCCCATCTTATTGCTCCAACGAGGAGCTGCTCCTTCGCGTTGCGCTTTGCACGTGGATGCGACGTCTCTGGACGCTGGAGGAGGGCGTCGTCGCCCGCTCCAAGCTGCTGTTCCAGTTCTCCGATCGCTCGATTGCACTACCTCCACCTCGCCCTGCCATCAGCGACAGTATTGCTTTCCACTGTGCAGCGTTGATCGAGCAATACCTGCCTGAGGACACGAGTATATTATCAGTCATCACGGCTCTTCACTTCCGCTCCACATCGTGGAGTTCCGACGAGCCTCTCTGCATCGGCTACATCTTAGATCTTGATGTGTCGTCAATTGTCGCCCTCCACGACGACCCTCGCTTGCGCATGGCGGAGCTGTATCGCCTTCTAGCCAAGAAAACCCCCACTTTCCCTTACCAATTTTTGTTCACCCATGAAGAAAAACTGGACATTCCTCCTTTCAGCTGGGCTCCCGTTTCGTTGATGAATTTAGATCCCAAAGACGTGCTATATCTCCAGGGAACAGGCCCCGAAAGTGGTATTGACGCCACTCAAACCGATCGCGGCCTACAGTTTCAATCGACATATCCGTCTTGTCTGGTCAGTTTCGGTGAGGAAGCCGCTATCAAGAAATGTATGATCATCCAAATTGACGCGGTGTCATATGTGCTCTGCCCTGTCCCCAAGGGCGGCAAATGCCGAACCCACGCAAGATTCTGGGAGGGTTCTGAGAAACAACTGCGCCTCGACGTCGACCCAGATCAAGCTTGGACCGAGCGGTGGAGAGCCAACTATGATGGCTTTCGTCCTCCCGGGGAATGGGGTCTGATATACTCCAAGAGTGCACAGTACGGCGTGATGGTGGCGACGACCGAGTTCGCAGACAAGGGCAAGACAATCTACACGGAACTGGTCGGTCAAGTATACATGTATGAGATCCGCACTTTGCACGCCTCCGTGGTAGCTGGCGTGAACAAAGAAATGTGGGGCCAGCTGGGCATTCCCGACATGGACGAACAGAGCGTGCGGGCTGAACAGGAAAAGGCCGAACGTGAACTCCTTGCTGAAGGACATTATACCCCGGTCAACTGTGACTGGAGGTTGAACGAGACCATTACTTGGTGCGTTGGGTGATTCGTGTATTCAGAGGTGGGCGAAGCAGCAGGTTGTTCGGGCTGATCGATTTTATCGGTGAAGTGGTCGCAAGCTTATGTCCTCTCTATCACAGATTCACAGGGTCTGGGAGTTGTGCTAGCACTGTACGTCCGTTCCAGACACGCATTGACATGGCTTGGAATGTCAAAGTGCAAGGGTACCAAGAACTTGCGAAGCAGCGCGGTCCATTTCTCCCTGAGACTGAAGAAGCGGAGCCATTGAGGCCCATGCAGATATACCCTGCGTTACCATTGAATCTGTCGACGGTCGCATCCTCAGTCGGAAGCGGATTAGATCTGATGGGCATGCGAAGCTGGTAGGTCAGGAACCATGCCCGTCTCCAGCACCTTCCATCCACCTCCTCCCAATCTCTTTCAGTCGAACATGGCCGTGTAGAAGCAGGCCCAAGTCAGGTGGCCTTTCAACACAGTCCACTGGTTGCAGTTCCACATTCAATGGCTGGCTGTCCGCAGGTGTCACCACCTCTGGCTGGGCTGTGGGATTAGTCGTGACGACTTGGTCCAAAATTCCACTGGATTACTGATACCAGGGAGAATATACAGAATGGTCCTCACAGAAGCCCAACACCATTCTCCACGTTTTCGTGGCGGGAAGTCTACGGGGCTTTACCGTCCGACAAATATCCCCGGTGCATTATATGGATTCAAAAGCGCAGGTCCTCAGGCTCGAGCCAATCGCGTCTTATTAGCTTCTAATTCTAATGATGTTTCTGTGTTAGTACGGTATAGCAAAATCAGCAAGGGTCAGTGTCAGGAATATATCATCTATGCGTCGCCCTGTACATTGTATACCTATGTACCGACCCCCAAGCAATCTGTATTGGATCGCTCAAACGCTGACATTAATATTATGCATAGACGACAACCCAGGACATATTCCAGTCTGGATAGACCAAGCAAGACTTTCCCTGATGCAGAAGACCCCAATGACACCTTACTCGTTCTCTTTTAGTGTAGTATATACCAAATCCCCAAGGATTTCTCCCCTAATCCTATCTTCACGGTCTATCTATTCTTAGGCCCAAGCAGATAGACACCAGAGAGCACACATCAACCTTTCACAAAACAAACCTCCTCCAACCTCTTCACCGCCTTGACACAGCGACTCTCCACCTCCCTGGTCCACACGTCCGCGACCCACAACGACACGGCCAAACTCACCGCCCACCCGACGAGAATGGCAAAAGTCCAGACCCCATTCGTCGTATCGACGCCCTGGGTGCCCATGGCCCACCAGATCCGGTGGGGAATCATGTATCCGAACGCATGCAGGATCGGGCCGTGGACCAAGTACAGCCCGAAACTGATCCGGCCGAAATACTGTGCGGGGGCACTGTTTAAGAGATGGCGCCACGTGGATTTAGTAGCGTCGCCGCCAGGACGGGCGAGGAGGAACAAGAGCAGGCCGGTGCCGATGTTGGGGTAGAATTTGTCTTTGCGGTCCATCCATTCGGGGATGAGGAGGTTGAGCGTCATGTAGCCTGGCGCGTAGTCTCTCGAGCCGTCGATCGGGTAGGAGAGCAGGTAGAATGCCACGAGGAATGCGATGAATCGGAGAATAGTGTGTGAGGAAAGATGGCGATCGTTGATTAATGAAGATAGTAGAGTGGATGGGCGGTGGTTGCTGGTATTAGTATTAGGGAGAATCAGATAGGGGGATAAGCGTGACCATGTCTCTGATTGTGATTGTGGTTGGTGTTGGTGTTGGTGTTGGTGTTGATGTTGGTGCTTTTCTTGTAAAAATGCTGGAGAGCGCGGTGGAGATGGTGGAAGGCGGTTCAATGACGCTGGAGTTGGATGTGATACTGGGGGAGTGAGGGTCATTTTCTTTTCTTGCTGGCGCTCCGTGAGAAGGAGGTCGACTTGCGCGACGATTGCGCCGAGAATGTATACCCAGATCTCCCAGTGGTTCCAGAGGAAGAACATGACGGTCATGATACACAGTGCTGCCAGGCGGACTTGTTTGTAGCATTGCGCTGTGGCGATTATGATTAGATACAGAAAAATAGAACCTTTCATCTCGGCGAGGATCGACCACAGATGTTGGTCGTGCCATGGGTAGACGGCGCGCTGGGCGAAAATGTTGGTGAGGTCGAACATTTCGCGCGCCCAGTTATGCATTTGTTCGTAATACGTGGCGAATTGTTCTGGTTTGGGCTCCTCCCAGTCGCCGGGGAAGAGGTTGATATGGTCGAGCAGCAGTGGTCGATTCGGCTCGTAGAGGCCGAAGTAGAGGTAGTGCGCCGTAATTAGTGTGACGATCAGTGTAGGCAAGTAGAGTCGGAATGCGCGCCGAAATAAGGCGCCAGAGACATTGACCAGGACTTGCGAGCGAGAGGCTTGGTCGTGCTTGTCGATCAGTTGAAACAGTCGTAGCGAGGTCAGGTAGCCGGCGATGCCGAAGAAGATGTGCGCTGTGAATCCCGAATAGATGTACCGGATGATAGGGAGCTCGAGGAAGTGCCGGTGGCGGTCGTCGGTGGCCCAGGGCTGAAACCCAAAGTCGCTGTAGACCATGGTGTAGTGAAACGTGAAGACCTTGAGTGAAGTGATGCCTCGTAGGCCATTGAGATAGCTGGTGGGGAACTGCTTCGGCTTTGGAGCTGGGTCGTCCCAGATCTTTGAGCGTAGTAGTTGGGGCACCAAACTGTAGGCGATTCTTTTGATTGTTCGATATGCATGGCCCGGCCGCGTTAAGGTCAGAGTCCTGGTGAGGATTTGTCTGGGGGCCTGTCGCAGGGAGAACCGGTTCTTCTCGACATGGTGGTCGTCGGTGAAATCAGACGAAATAGCCCTTTCTTCTTGGATCAGCGATTCCTTGAGGACATGGGACTCGGTCGATTTCATGGTGACAGCATGACGGGGGAGGTTGAGCTCAGCCAAGGAGTGTCAGCGCCACAGTTGAGAAGTGGCTTATGGCAGATAGAGCGAGTGATGGCAGCGAGGTGCCTTTGAACAGCCACTACCTCGGCAGTAAGGGCTGAAGATACTCAGAGTTTGGATCGGCCAAGCTGAAGATAGAAGGCAGCGTCCACAATCTTTGATTTTGAAAACCAGCGACAAAAGCACAAAAGCACAAAAGCAGATATCTGAGGATACCTTATCCGCCCAAACGAGTGATATCAAAGGTAAATCCGGAGACAAAGAGAGGATGTAGGTTTTGTAGCGGTTGGGGCGATGGAGAAGCTCGATCACCTTATCCTTGGCCGGTGTCTTGAATGTGTTCGCTTGAGCAGAGATACTAGGATGAAAAGCTCTGATAAGCCTGAATCACTGATCTCGGGTATCGTATTTTCAGTCGACTGAAAAGTCTCAAGCCCACCACCGTCGCTTTCTTTGACCTCTGCAAAAACAGCTCCCACGGCCCGTAGGCTCACCGGGGCTAGGGAGAGGGAGGCTTGCGATAGTTGAGATCGTCCCTGTCTTGTTGTATCGTGGGCGTTGTCTAGAGGTTCATCTAGTTCCCGAGCATCCACAGTGGAGGTCTTAGGGTTGATTTAGATTCTTGGATGTCTCGTCTGGCGACGTGGGAACTCCAATCACGCCGGCTTCCGTTGCATCTGAGTCTCCTCACGGCCAGGGCATGATGCGATGAATCCGCCGGGCTTGATGGTGGGTGATAGTCTGTAGTGTCCTCATTTCCAGAGCCTGTATGTTGTAATTGACATTTGCATGTAGGTACATGGCGAGATATCATCGTGTAGGTCCAGTCTGCCCAGTGTATACTCTATAGTATTCCAGAATATTGACTGACTTCCTTCTGTCAACGCTCTGTTAAGCCTGCCGTTGTTATAGTAGTAGCGGATCTGCTGTCTGACGGGAGAAACAGAGTATGACCGCCTATCACGAGCTGCTTGTGGTGCCATTGCTGTATCTGATTTGACGTTGCAATCCCTCCTGAGTCCTGAGTAAGACAAATTGATTGCTGCCGAGGATCGTCAGGGATGGGACCCATATCGAAGCACCAAATATGGAGTACTCTGTTCAGTGCCAGTACGTACATGTAGTATGTTGCGATATAAAGAGTATGTCGGTGAAACTGCCTGGTGCAAACGCCTGCACTTATTCACTGTTCAACTTCTTGCCGACAGATGAGGCCAGTCTGGTGTAACCATGAACTTCATATAATGCAGATGCGGTTGCAAGCACCCGAACAGTCGTCGAAGCAGGCCATGTTGCCGTCATGTTGCTGCCGTATGTTCAACTGTAGTACAGCGTACACTCACCTCCCTGTCTCACGCTTGTTCTGACGCTCCTTGTCTGGTCGCCGCTTCATCAGTGCAAGGTCCAGCCGAGACAAGTAAAGCTAGTGGAGTGAGATACTGAGCCTGTATCCGTATGTGTGGCTACAAGGGAAGAATGTAGCCGCTACAGTGATGATTCTCTATATCGTGATATTGGTTTGCATAACCACATGGCCCATCTGGCATCATCGAGGGCTGCTGTGACCATCCAGCCCCCGTACTCGTTCATGCTCCTTAACAGTTCCTCTCGAGTAGGTGATCATAGTATATACAACGCGCCACAACCTACCCAGTTGCTGAGCAGCAGTAGCATTCGATGCCCTAAACATCTGAGTAGGCTGGGGCTTGACGAGCAAGACACTTGCACATTTGAGCTGTCCGCAGCACTAGAGTCTGCACAGAATTGATTCGAGCAGTGACTTCGCCATGCAGTCACAGGTGACTGTCCCGAGAACACCTTTGGCCAGCTCATACCAGATAGGTCTCGACGGTGACCTGCGTCGAACATGAACATCTGCGGCGGCATAGGATGTTGACTCCATGCACGGCATCGTGGTCCCTGGTGACAGTAAATGAAACGGTACCGCCAAACCGAATTCCAGCCATTCAATCTCAAAAGGTCGCTTCAAGACAACAATATCTCCTACCTTGTGATGGGACTCGTTCACATCAGGGGCATGGCCATGCAGGTCCTCTCTCACCTTGCTGCGATATTCGCACCAAGTTCATGTCATTCCCGCCAGATATACGTGGCATTCCCAAGGCGTCGCAGTCCTTGATGTAACCTTTCCAGTTTCGACCACCAACGAAAGTATCTTACCTCTGTATTGCGTGTTGAGGTTCAAGTTGTTGTGATGATGTTTGGGTGAACAAGTTGCAGTTAGTGGTAGTATGGCACTATCACGGCGCTAGCTCTTTTAGAAGACATAACTTATCATATCCATATCGCCATGTGATTCACTAGCGCAGTCACGTGAAGAAGGGTATCTTATCGATAAGAAACTTGAAGCCGTGGAAATTTTTGATAGAGGAAAACGATCTGGCCATCGGTCGGCCACTCCATTCGCTCCATCGCTCCATCCCACCATCCCACGGTGGCATCGTCCCTCGAAATCACCCAATCGTCCAATCGCCGACTCGCCCACCTGCTCGGTCACCGCCGCCGCCAGCCTTGGACAATGGCAATGCGACCTCGTCGAACTTTGCAAAAATGTCTTCCCTCTTCTCTTCCTTCATCGTCCTTCGCAGGCTGTTTGTCTTCTTCCACAGTGAGCGACTTCTGGAGTTTTGCGCTCGCTAATCGCCATAAAGCTCCCAACCCACCACTTCGTCAAACATCGCTGCCCTCTGTCTACTTGATCGCCCGCCCTACGTCACTATGAGCGACGTCAAAGATCTCGACAAGGCCGTTCGAGCCACCAGCATCGATATCGACGCCGGTCGTGACACTGGCACCTCGTCCGGTTCAAGTGTCCAGGCTCCTTTCCAACATGGCAACCCCGAACTGGTCGAGACGAGTCCCGAAAGGGGTGAAGAGGTCAAAGAGGAGAAAAGTTCCTGGCGCACAAAATTGGCATACTTCAAGACCTGGGATTTTTGGTTCATCTTGGGCCTGGGTCAGGTCCTGGCTCTTTGCATCACTGGCACGAACACATTGACCACACTTCTATCCATGGCCGGGACCAGCATCCCGGCTTTCCAATCCTTCTTCAATTACGTGTTGCTCAATCTCATCTACACGAGTTGGACCATCTACAAATATGGGTTCCGGAAATGGACCAAACTGTTATGGCGAGATGGTTGGAAGTGTAAGGCTTATATCATGGACTTTTTGGTCTTTCGCGCACACGCACGCTAATACCAAGCAGATATTATTCTTGCCTTCTTCGACGTTGAGGGCAACTACTTCACCGTCCTCGCCTATCGATACACGACCATTCTTTCGGCGCAACTGATCAACTTCTGGGCCATCGTCATCGTCGTTGTCATCTCCTTCTGTTTCCTCAAAGTCCGCTACCACTGGGCTCAGATCCTGGGGATCTTCGTGTGTATTGGTGGCATGGGTATTCTCCTTGCCTCGGACCACATCACCGGCTCCAACGGCGGGTCCGTCTCCTCGGGGAACCAACTGAAAGGCGATCTCTTTGCACTGGTCGGGGCCACGGCTTATGGACTGTCCAACGTGTATGAAGAATGGTTTGTCTCGGGTCGTCCCTTGTACGAGGTCATTGGCCAGCTCGCGTTCTGGGGCATGATCATCAACGGTGTCCAAGCCGGTATCTTCGACCGCCACTCGTTCCGAACGGCCCACTGGAACTCGAAAGTCGGCGGTTACCTGACGGGCTACACATTTATCATGACCATCTTCTACACCCTGGTGCCGATCCTGTATCGATTCTCCAGCGCTGCCTTCCAGAACATTTCTCTGTTGACCGGCAATTTCTGGGGTGTCATCGTCGGCCTCCGGGTTTTCCATTACCATGTGCACTGGATGTATCCTATCGCATTCACCCTCATCATGATCGGCCATTTCGTCTACTACTTCGGAAAGGGCGTCATGGGAGAAGCGGCCAAGGCTTGGCTCGGCGAGAATCAAGAGAGAGGCATCGACGGCTTGGGGTCGGCGAAGCGAAGAATCAGAAAGATTCAAGAGAGTACAGCTGGTACCGGAGGTAGAGGTATGGAAGGCACCGAGAGTGCCGGCGTGGTATGATATGGACGCGAAAGAAGATGAGAGGATCTTTTTTGTTGCGAAATATTGGCTCATGGTGCGAGCTGCGAGAAAGCGAGTCAACCCTTACTCGACGACGGTCTTTATATGATCCTGCTTTTTATGAATGCCGCTTGGACCCGTCGGCCTACTACTGCCTTGGTCATTCAATCCCTGACGACGCACGACATCACGGCCTCACAGTACAGCACACAACACACAGCACGAAGTCATCACCGAACTCTTGTCCTCAACGAGAGGATATGAGGGTGGTTTTTGGAAACAAATATCACTAAATGACATATACTAATAATAGTCAATCATTCAATAAAGCTCTTCATGTACAGAATTCAGTGCGTGAATCCATGCACATACCTCCTGCGTTTGATATATGTAGAGGGATACACACAAGACCTCGTCTCATGAGTAGACAAAAAAGGGTTCATCTGTACCTTGTAATCATGAGAGAGGACCGGGTAGATATAAAAATCAGTAGTAGGGCTCAGGTTCCATTAATCCAAACGTCCAGATCGCTTTGGGGATGTTCACTAAGATATCGACCATTCTCGCAATGATTGTTACGATTGCGAGTCTTAGCATCGAAGAGAAAATTGGGCAGAATCGAATGAATTGACAGAACAGAAATGGAACAGGATCAGGATCGGGACCGAATCCATGTCATGGTCCTGATCCAGTTTGGTTGTTTTTCTGTGCATGATCACTGCCAGAAAGTAATTTATTTTCTTTTTTGCTGGCTCCTTTGTTTTGTCTTTCCAGGGAGATCCTTTCCATGTCCCGTATTATGCCACACCGGACCCACTCCATTTTCCGGCCATGCCATGCCATGCCATGTTGGATTGAGACCTGCAGAGTTGTGCCGTGATTTGCCATACTGAGCGGTTCAGTGCGATGTGGTGCTAGCACAGTCCGCCGAACCAGAACCTTTGCAGCAATTCGTCCTGTGTCAAGACTGCTGACGCTGACGCTGACACTCTTCTAAATATTGTCCATTCCGCCCTCAGGAGAGTGGAACATTCAGATCAACCTCCATTGAGCCAGCGCAAAGCTCCCCGACGACGGCGACCACGACGACTGACTGTCACCACAGCATGCATCAACCACCGGCATCAATCCAGCATGCCATCATCTCCATCTACTGCTCAGTCTGGAAGTAGTTCAGCAGGACATTGCGCTCCTGGCTCTCCTCACCCCAGTCCTTGACGACGACGCACGAGCAGTTGACGACCTTGCGGGCGTTGCCCTCGCGGTCGAGGACACACAGGCCGGCCCATTCACCCAACATCTTCCCGTCGGGGACCTTGATCAGGGGGATCTTGTGTTCCGAGCACAGGGCGATCACAAGCTTCTTGTACGCCTCCTCCTCGCAGGCCTCGTTGAGCACACACATGTGCGCCTGACGACGGTCGAGGGCCTTGGAGGCTTCGCGCAGGCCACGGGCCAGACCGTCGTGGATGAGGGCGATTTTGAGGACACCTTTGAGAAACATTGTCAGTATTGGTACACTTTTCGTTTCATTCCCACTCCTTGCATCTCTCTTTCGTGGGGTTGGTGGTCTCACCTTTCAAAGCGTCGAGGACAGACATGGATCCGGACGACGCACCGGTGTCGCCGGAGACTTCGACCTCATCGGCCTGGGGAACGGGGGAAGTGGGCTCTTCTCCGTCCGACTAGAACAAGGACATTCGTCAGCAATAGTCAAAAAAGAAATGTTGGGTTCTGATTCCCATCTCATCTCATGAACCGCAGACAATTCGCAATGCGTAGAGCGTTGGGACCAGATCCGAGTCGCGACCTCAAGAGAATCCCCCTTCAGATGGAAGACTGCGTCCATAGATGAGGTCGGCATGATCAGATCATCCAGACCCGTCCGTCAACAAATTGATTCCCAAAAGGTCGCAACCCGTCGCTCGCCCTGGCCGCCAATGTCCATACTGCAGTCCGGAAGAAGAGAGTCACTACGTACCATTTTGGCGATTCGTGACTTGTAGTTGCAAGTACCAAGATATCAACAATGTCGGATGATCCTCAAAGAGTCACTGGTAGGGAACGAATTGATGAGTTGGTTATACAAACCATGGAAATCGAAAAGGAATCAAAATGTCCGCGTCTTGCGGAACGAATTTCGCTGCCAAGCGGAGATTTGTGCGCCGGCTTGGCATGTTTTCGGAGCGTAGTCACGTGACAGACCTCGCCTTCCCTGGTACCAGGAGCCCCATACTACCTCCTAGAATACCTGTAATAAGTGACCACCAAGCGATCACTCTCACATCTTTTGCCACTACTGCGGTACTGCTGGACTGATCACTGAGATACCACAGTTATCAGTTACTGCGAGAAGTGAACCTTACAAGGAGTCCCACAGGATGACCACAAGTCAATTGACTCTGCATTGGAAAGGTTGAATTATTCCACCCTGAACTACCTGAGTAGCCATCATCGGCATAATCCTGCCTGTTGAGCACACGAGTCGTAACCATTGCTGAGATCTTACAGCGGCAGCATACCATATTCCGTCACACCTAATAATACTTTTCTCGTGTTAACCCTCCCAAGCAATTCATCTCCTCGATAACCATGAGATTCCTCGTCCACCACACCAGCGCGCGGACCGAAGACGTACAATACCTCAGGAACCGAGTCCGTTGCCATAGCCAGTGCTAGAAGTCGAATGCGAGTTGATACCATTTGCGAGCTTTGGTGAAGGGTTCGAGAGGGGCGAAGAAAAAAGTCCATTAGGCACTGGTGACACGGCTTCAGTACGGGCTGGGCCCATCCCAGGAATGACCCTCAAAGAAATCGGTCGCCGCCACAATCGGATACCAGCGAGATGAGGATGCCGAGGCACTTGGTCTTCAAAACCAGAGAGCTGTTCTTAAGTTAGCAGATTCATCAACCGTAAACTCGTGAGAGCACGCACCTTGACCCAGAAAAGTTCCTTCATGGCCATGAACTTTGGTCGCTCCTCCTCTTCTCTTTGTCTGGCTTTGGCAACCGACGTATTCCACGCAGTGGTCTGATATTCGAACGATAGCATATTGCGGGAGACTTGCCACAAGCGTGTTCGTTGGAATGGGGTTACCGGCATGACTTCGAGAGATGTGTAGTTGCGAAGATGCAGGTCCTTAGTCACCAAAAGTCCCGCAACTTGGAAGTTCGGTATCCATAAGTCGTCGTGGGTTGCTGAAGGGGCGTTCGGATCGAGCTGGGCTGTCCGCACGGTGAACAAGGGTAAGAATTTCTTGAGCCAGGCTTCCCCTTTGACGGTAGGATCGTTGTTGTCAATCATCAAAGCGGCGGTGCTGAGCACGATGGGTAATGCCTCCCTACGGCGCCGTTCCATCTCAAGACGTTGTTGACGCAGTTGTTCCTCCTGCCGCCGCTGGCGCTCTTCCAGTTCCCTTCGAAGACGCTCTTGACGTTCCTCTTCTTCCTTTTTCCTCAAAGCAGCAGCTTCCTCTTCAGCTTTCCTGCGGCGTTCTTGTTCTTCTGCCACTCGTTGTTCTTCCGCAGCCTTTTCGGCAGCTTTCTGAGCGGCAATCTTCTCCTCCTCCAACCGCCTTGCTTCTTCTGCTTCTGCTTTTCGTCGTGCCTCTTCTGCCAGTCGTGCTTCATCCGCCTTGCGTGCTTCTTCTGCTAGTCGTGCTTCTTCAGCCTTGCGGGCTTTTTCTGCCAGTCGTGCTTCTTCAGCCTTGCGGGCTTCTTCTGCCAGTCGTGCTTCCTCTTTCTTTCGGGCTTCCTCTACCTTGCGCGCCTGCTCCTCCTGTCTCTGGACCTCCTGCTCGGCCTCAGTCGGACCCACATTGACGGATTCCGTCTTCACTAGACCTTCTGCTGTGGCAGAGCTCTGTTGTGCAGCAGTGCATGCATTAGAAGGACCAGGAGCTTCGGTTGTTTCCTTCCGGTCGCCCACACTGTCAATCTCCATGGCTTCTACCGGTTGTCCCAGAGGAGGCCCGCCGGACCCTTGGCTGTTCTCTTCAAGTAAAGTCTCAGCCGATTTTCGTCTCTGATCGGGGCTTGCTGGTTGACTGCGCTTTCTCGTAGCAGGGAGTAGCCCTTCGGGACTGCTGTCGACTACTGTCCGGCGTTTCTTGACAGTGCCCCGCCCAATCTCACCGTCTTCGGTGGCTGCAGATTCCGGGGACATGCTTTCTCTGGTACGTTTCAATGCAGTGGCTGGTCTGCCTTCAGCCTTGACCGAAACCATTGCCTCTTCGTTGTCGGAAGATTCTTCTGCCACGAGACTCTTGCGGCGTCGATGTTCTTTCCCTGTGACTAGTCTTCGTCGACGATGGGTGTTCTCTGTATGCAGATTCGGCGGTTGAGGCAGATCACTTTGGCTCCGTTTCTTGAGATGAGCCTTCCTCGGGACAAACACGGTTTGATCTTGATCGGAGGAAACCGCCATCGAGGATTCACCAGGCTCTTTCCTTGATGCGGTATGCCTCCGTCGTTCTCCCGCTTCTGCAGAAGTAATATCCCTATCTCTCGATCTGTGTGCGAACTGCGGCGATCTGTTGGGTAATGATTTGTGGGTTAGGGTCGGACTGGAGGAGCTGGAGTTGCGGAGCTTGGTAGACACCGGTGACTGCGATCGGCGGGGCGCCTTTGACTTCACTCTTTCAGAGTCTCTAGTCACCCGTGGAGAGGTAACTTTCCTAGACTTCCCGTTGGTGTACTTGTCGTAGGCGGTTCTGAGAATTTCGTACTCCTTCTGCCACTGGTCCCCCTTTCGTTCCGCTGAGATCTCAAAGTATGTCTTCCCCCTAAGAAGCTTTCGAGCTGGATTGAAGCCAGACTGCTCGACCAGGAGTTTGACGACTTCCGGGTGGCCGCGACCGATAGCTGCAAGCATTGGTGTATTATAACCAGGTTTGATGTTCCTGATCGGGTCTGGATCCGGCTCAGGGTCTCCCATGCCCAATAAGTATTGCAACACCTCTTCGTGCCCTGCCTTGGCCGCAGCTATCAGTGACTCGGTTTCCGCCTTTTGTAAGATGTTGAGAATATTCGCCACTCCTTGAACGTCGCCTTTCGCAGCCAGACGGGTCAAGTTCTCTTGTGTATTGGCTTGCCAAAGAAGGTCGTTTCTTGTCGATTCACTTCGACCAGTTCTACGTCGCGATGTAAAAGTAGGCGGACTTCTAGGCCCAAGAATGGGTGGTGAATCTCGTGGACTTGCGGCGGATGCTGGTTTTGAGGACAACTCGCGCACCGGTTCGGGTTGCTCAACGGGGCCTGGTTGATTGGTTTGTTTCTCTTTCGCGTCGGCAAGGAGCCTCCTGATCTCTTCGTAGTTTTCATCGTCCTGCGGCACAAGTTCATATGGTTCATCGCCCTTAGCGTTGCCCAACCGAGGGTTTGCGCCATACTGGAGTAGGAGGCGAACAACTTCGACGTGGCCATTTTCGACAGCATCAATGAGCGGTGTTTCCTTATCGATATTCCGTGTATTGACTTCACATTTGTTTTCCAACAGGAACTGCACAATATCCGTGAAGCCTTCTAGGGCAGCAATTTGGAGGGGGGTGTTGCCTGCGTTGTCGGCCAAATTCAAGTCTTCAGGTCTTTCTGCAAGCTTCACTTTCGCCATCGCGAGGTCATTGTTGTTACAAGCCCGCGACAAAAAGGTACGCCCATTCTTATCGCGCCATTTGCGAGGACCTGGTGCTGCCGCTTTGGCTGGCGACATCGTGTCGTTGTCTGCCGACGAGAATTTGTGGAGCGTGGGTCTGGATTCCCGCGGCGAATCTGAGTCGGACGAAGTTACTGAACGAGCACGATGCTCTGCTGAACCGCTCCTCCGCGTCTGTATTGCGGGAGGACGCCCGCGCTTTTTCCTTTCAACATCGCCAAGAGTCAACTGCGTTGACACACCGCGCCTGTGTTCCCTTTTCACCACTGGACGAGGCGAAGCGGAACGCTCAGGCGAAGAATGCCGCGGGTAAGTCGCAGACCTGGTTTCCCGTCGCTCTGAAGCACCAAGCTCTCCTCCACCACCACCACCGTTATTCTTTGCTCGATGCTTGCTTATTGAAGGTAAAATATCGCTTGGACGCTGTCTTCGAGACTGAACCTTGACTGACTTGTTGTCGGCATCATCCGAATCGGCCGTATGGTCATCAGGCTCCGGCCTTGCTGGCTTGGATCTTCTTGATATGATATGTGACGATACGTCTGAATCGCTATCTGCCGAATGTGTCGGTATTCGAGGTGATGACAGGGATGAGCTGCGTCGACTCGAGACAGAAAAGGTTGTCTCATCTTGCCCATCGTCACTACTACGTTTGCGCTTTCTGGATTGTTTGTCGGCATCGGTCGTCACTGCATCGCCCAGTGTTTCCTCGTCTTGCGGTCGGGTGGTGTTTGCAGACCCGGCGACAGATACAGCGTCGGCCACAGTTCTTTGCTTTTCCGGTGACTGAATCAGTGTCTCTGCCTCCGAATCTCCCTCAGCATCACCATTACTACCAACAACGATACCGGGCACCCCCTTGTCACTAGCGATCTCGGCGGGCGCATTTTCAGGTTTCATGGTGGCTTCGACTTCTGGTGTGGCCGCTGGACTGGCCGGGCCTCCAGTGGCTGTCTGGACGATGCTTTTGTCGACTGTAGTGACATCCTGGGGCTCACCAAAGCCATCCGGTCCATTCATCACGGCGTCCGCCTCTTCTTCATGGTGTTTCTGCTGATTATCGTCCGCCGTTTTGGAAGTAGGGGCACGAAGATGGATGGAATAGGTGGCTGGGACTGGGGAGCCCGCACGAGTTTGGCGGTGAACAGGCGGCCGTGGTTGCAGTTGTATAGGCGATGCCGGGGAAGCGCTTGGGTCTGGCAGCGTTGAGCGTTGGATGATGATAGAGGGACGGGTCGTTGGGATGGCGCACAATGATGGAGTTGGTCGCCGAAATGGTCTTTTCGATGGGTTTACCACATCATCAAGACGAAGCACAAGCCCAAAGAGCCTGGAGATGGAACTAACGATCTCAAGTTTGGCCAAGTTTGGAGGCGGCCGGGCCACGGTCACGTGAACAACTGCGGCCCCTCCATCTTGCCATCCACTATCGGCCCAGCCCCTGGATTCGAGATTGACCGCAGCCGCATTTGATTTGATCTGCGCCCAATTAATTTTACTCACAGACTTTCTTTTGAGATTTCGTTGCACTGGCCCTTCGCAAGCCACATCTCGCTGACGCCCCAGGCTTCTAGTCAGGCGGGCCCTCGGGCTTGAAAAAAACCAGCCAGTCCAGTCCGGTCGAGAGAGAGATGCTTGAGCCACTCGTTTGGGCGATTAGAGGATTCTACCTTCTTAGCTGCGTTGCCATCCTAGCTGTCCGCCTCATCCCTTCGTTGCGCGACCGCTTCCTTGCATATGGCGCCCGAGATCCTGCCTCAACCGCTGCAAGGCGACCGGATCCGACGAAGACTGTGCTGGGAGCACAACTTCTCGACTTCGCGGCCAGTTTGAAAGTGCCGCACTCGTGGTTCACTCATTTCTATGTCGTTTCTGTGCTGTCATCGCTCTGCTGCATGGTCGCTTTATCCGACAGAAGCCCGGCAGCAGTGTTCGAGGTCCCCAGATTCTGCTCGGCGTTGATGCTCTTCCAGGGTGGTCGAAGACTGCTCGAGTGTGCTTTCGTTTCTCGGCCAGGTAACTCGAGGATGTGGATCGGCCATTACGCGATCGGTCTCGCCTTCTATATGGCCACAAACATAGCCATCTGGGCCGAACACCTTGCTCTGAGTAGCAAGGCGGACACCAGGATGCATGGACACGGTACTCTGTCGCAAAGTCTTTGGACGCCCAGAGTCGTCACCTGCACCCTGCTGTTCTTCTACGCGTCGTACAAGCAACACCGTTACCATCGTTATCTGGCCCAGCTCAGAAAGTACACTTTGCCCGACGTGGATGCTTTCCACTTCATAGTTGCGCCGCATTACACAGCAGAATGCGGAATCTATCTTGCCTTGGCAGTGCTGGATGCACCGCGAGATCATGGCCAGGGAAGACCTGTCAATTGGACGCTGGTTTGTGCTCTCATCTTCGTCATGGTGAACCTTGGTATCACAGCAGATGGGACGCAGACTTGGATGATGGACAAGTTCCCCGACAGGAAGGAGGATGTGCGGCGAAGATGGAAGATGATTCCAGGCCTCTGGTAGGCATGGTTTCTATTGTCTCTCAATCTATCGATTGACTCCAATTTGAGGCTGAAAACCCATCAACGCCGGTTTTCATGTCTCATACTCTGCTCGTCTATTCATGCTGGGCTCTATGTGCAAATGCACCATGCTCCTGTCGATGCCACACTGACAATGCAGATCAGCTCTGAGTGGCAGCTAGATCATAGCCCACCCGACATCAGGCAGATTTTACCTGTCCTTCGCCATCCTTCGCCACACCTTTTTCGTCTTTCTGGGCCGACGTTCCTGCTCCCAGTTCTCTTGAGTCATTTTCCACCTTGCCCTTCGCTTCACCCTTGTTTTCGTTGTCAACGATCTCCTCGGCCGCAGCTCCGAATAATTCTGTGAACAGTCGATGCTTGTCTCGCACTGCTTCTCTCTTCAACTCTTTCTCCGCTTCTCTCTCCTCTTCTTTGTGTCGTCGCTCTTGCGTCGTTTCTTTTATCCAGCGCTGCAGGTCCTCGACCGCCTTGTCCGGGTCCTTCTTGTGGATTAGTAAATAGTCTTGCAAGTCGGCGGGCGAGAAGTCGTAGTCGGGAATCATAGCAGAGAACTCTTTGGCAAGGCTGCGAAGATGTTCGGTCTTTTTGTTCTTAGAAGAGCGCTCGTCGCCATCCATGCCTTCCAGAATGGATTTCCTGTCTAATGGGCTCCCAGTGCTGGGCATGTCCACATACATGCGAAGGAAAATCTCTTCGGCCTGCGTCCTTGAGGCATTCTTGAACTCAACCCGCACACTGATACGACCGGCACGGACGAGGGCGTCATCCAGAGATTTCGGGGAGTTCGTCGTCATAATGAGGACGTGGCCTTCGGGCGAACCAACTCCGTCAATCGCATTCAGTAGCCCACTGAGGGTCACGCGGCTGGCGTTGGCCGTCGCTGCGTCCTCATCACTGTCAATGTCGATGTCATTGCCAATCTTTTTGGTGTTGCTTGCCACCGCACCCTCGGGCATTTTGCCCCGGCGCCGCAACCCCTTTTTACGGGTAGCGCTCGATTGGGCTTTACGATTGAGCCCCGCGGAGTCAATATCTTCAAGCAACAAAAGCGAGCGGCCAGGCAGCTGGTTCAGCAGTGAGATCAAGTCGGAGTCAGTGAGGTCACGGTCCAACAGAGTCATGTTGTACACGTCCAGGTTGAATTTCGAGGCGAGAGCCAACGCGAAAGACGTCTTTCCTACCCCTGGTGGACCATGAAACAAGTATCCTCGCCGATATGGGATGCCATGGCTTGCGTAAAAATTCATAGTTGCTTCGTCCATGTACTCTGCGACATCATCCAGGACTTGTTCTTTCTGAGCGGCGTCAAGGATGACAGTGTCGAGGGCGCGGCGAGGCTTGGACGTGAGTCTTGACCAGGTCAACCGGCCGCCATAACCACCGGTGTAGGGACGGCGGATGATGGTCAAGGAGCGTTCCTTGTCTTTGTTGAGCTGGTAGATATGTTCGATGAGCTCCTTGATCGGGGCGGTGGAGCGGCCCAGGCACGTCACACTCATGATTTCGATCCGTTTGTAACGGTTGCCGAAGTAGGTATGGCCCTCGCCGTACTTTCTGGTGATGTAGAATAACCGCTTCTTGTGGACAAACAATTGGACGCCTTGGCCCTGCTCATACTTGATTTTGGGATCTTCGTTGCGGCGTCCAGACTCCTCGAGATCAGGATCATGCCGCTGGCGACGTCTGCTTTCTTGAGGTGAGTTTGATGTGGCATTGAGCGATTGGTCAGCTCGCAGGGTCCTGCGCTCGGCAATGTATGAGGTCAAATAGGCGAAGAGGTCTTCCTCGGACGAGACATTGACAGTGGCGACGATGAGTGATGAAACTCGAGACCATAGCGATTGCAGGCGGGCCAGCGGTCCAAAGTACCATAAGGCCAGTAGCACACCCAGGAAACGGAAGAGTTGAGGATGAGTCTCGAGCAGAGGCCGTGCTGCTGGGAAAAAGGTGGTGATGATGTATTCGGGCAGATCGACCAGGCTGCCTGTACTGGAGATGGCCGCACGCCGAACCCGTTGCATATCCATGGCTACCTACGAAATGAGAGTCTCTCTGGATATGAAGGGAAAAAGAGGTAAGATAGAAGTTAAGAGGACTGGCTTCTCAGATAATATGCTAGTAAGACGTCTCACAAACAAGTGTAGATGCAGAGTCCCTGCAGATCAGCTGCCAATTCATGAGTGAACACAGCGCCTGCCTGGTTTGTAAGGCCTCTTTGTGCTCTTATGACAAACAATCCCCAAAAAAGAGGTGAAGCAAGGCCAGACGTGTTCGCGTTCTGCCTGAAGCCTGAAGCCTTTTGCCCCTCGTTCTGCCACGGATGCAGTTAGGACTTTGACCGCCTATGTGGTTGTCAAAATCTATGCCACTTTCTGGTCCCGCGTCAGGAATGGGCGTTTGCAGGAAATGCAACAGGCAGACAAGCGTCTACACAACTAGTAATTGGAAGAGGGCAAAGTCCACATCGCTGTGCCAGTCCACAGTGGCACCATGAGTCGTGCTGCGCGGAAGGCCCGTTCAATGACTGGACGGACAATAAATAAATAACCCTTACAACCAGCAAGCGGGTGGCGAGCTGCATGGAACAAGGATTGAATCCCACAAAGGATGCCTCATACTACTACTAGTAGGTATGGTTTACTGGAGGTAATCTTGGGGTGAGATCCAACCGATCAAAGCACAGAATGTTTTATCCTAGTGGGACGCTGAACGCGGAGGGAGGACTATCATAGCGTTGTATTCCTACCTACCTAATACTTCCATCTCTTCGTCCTGCTCTTCGTCTATGCAAACCCTGGACCAGACGCACTATGGCGGTGGTTGTGGCTGATGCTGGCTTGCTTTTCAACATCGACGGCTACTGGTGAAATGTTCAAGAATGGGTTTGCTCCAGGTCCGGGTGAACCCGATCAAGATACCATCTCTTTGACGCTCGCCAGGATATTAGGCAGCATCTTGAAACTGCTTCTGCAGATGCAAAAGGTGTGTCGAACAAGGGAAGGCAGGATCCGATCGTTGAGCGTTGGAACATGGCGTTTAATGGGAGTATAGTATAGCGTGTGATCAGCCAATGTCTGTATGCATCTTTAATGGGAAGAAGGATAACATAGCACGCAGTACCTCCTCTGGATATACGTACTACCTACTACTAGAAAGACTGTGATCCTGCGGTGTTTGCTTTGTTGATGTTGTCAGGCGCAGGCAAGTCTGACGTCATTGTAATTGGCTGCTGCTCCCCGTGTTCTTTTGTGTTGTCGAGACGAATTAAATGAATGCCATCATGGTCAATTCTTCTCTACCCTTCGACCTTGGTCTTTGCCTGCCTCTACATTTAAGCCACGTTGCAACCCAGTTGACAGCAACAGTAACAACATTACTTGACGGCCATGTCCTGCGTCAGTTGATATCCTTCGTCCTCCTAAAGCTCATCCTTTTCGCCATCTCCAATATGCCTGCGGTCCAGCGTAATGGGCGCGCCGTTCCCCCGGAGAAGACACAGGAATCGGTTAAAGAGAGCATTCCTTCTGCAATGACTGCCTCACAAGGCCAACAGAGGCCATCTCCCTACCTCCTACTCGTCTACCCGGTTCTCCTTGCTCTGGGATCTCTCTGGGCTGTGATCTCTCCCACCGCAGCCTCTCCGCCAACAGCGCCTCTCGCTCCAGGTGTCACGTCCGACCTCAATGTGCCGCATTTCCACCACACAAACTATTTCGCTGGGAAACGCAACCTGGTCAACATCTACTTTGTCAAGGTCGGCTGGTTCTGGACCACAATAGCATTCATCCTGCTCCAAACCACGAGTCGCCCGCGTGCCTCAATCGCGAAGAAACACTACATCCAAGCAGGTCTGCGTTATGCACTGGTCACATTCTCCTGGATTCTTACAACACAGTGGTGTTTTGGTCCCGCCCTGATTGACCGCAGCTTCACCATCACTGGTGGCCACTGCGAGCCCCATCCGTTCAATGAAGCCAGCTTGAAAGATGCGGTCAAGTTGTCTCGGGTCAATTCGGGCATTGTATGCAAAGCTTACGGCGGCAACTGGCATGGTGGCCACGACATTTCAGGTCACGTTTTCATATTGGTCCTATCGTCCGCTTTCCTCCTGTACGAACTGTACATTGCCGACTGTCACTCGGCTCACCCCCATGTCTCTCCGCAAGCCGCCGCCGCCGTGGCGCATAACATGACGGACGAGGAACGGACGGCCATGGGAGGATGGGAGTCGGAAACAGTTGCTAAGATTCGGATCTGGTCGCGATACTTCCTGTACGGAGTGGTGGGTTTAGACCTGTGGATGCTCATGATGACGGCGATCTGGTTTCACACGTGGCTGGAGAAGTTGAGTGGGTTGTTGATCGCCGGGTCGACAATCTGGAGCGTCTTTTTCTTGGGGGATTTCCTGCCGCAGTGGAGGAGCATTGTTGGTGGATTATGATGGGGAAGAGAGAAGAAGAAAAAATGGCACAGACGGCAGACAGTATGGACAGACCTGGATGCATTGTATAGGACGTATTATGCATATTAATCGTTGCTTCTAGTCTCATAGACTTGACAGGAATGAAGAGCCCCTCGACTGGGATTGATAGCTGATAACTGATTAGCTGTATATCCCAAACACCGCACTTCCTCTATGTGGGAAGCATCCCGAGCGATTCTCCCATCCTGTTGCAGAAAGGAAAGCACCCAGCCTTGTCATACCATATACAATCCAACCGAAGAATAAAATGTATGTATCAGAAATCCCCCCTAACCTTGACCCATGTATCCTTGAGCTCCTTTGGTTCCCAATGTTCCGCCTTTATTCCCTTTCCAGTCTGTCTCTGAGTGTCTCTGAGTGTGTGTGTATCATTGTACAGTATTATACCTTATCCAGCCTCGCCAGCCGTTTCTGCTGTTCCCGTTTCTGCTCCTCCTGTTCCCTGCGGGCCCGCTCAGCAGCAGACTCCCCATCCCTTTCTCTCACAGCCGCGGCCGAACCGGCCTCTCCCTCGTCGGCATTGTCATCGTCATCACTAAACTCCTCATCGTCCGCCGTAAGCTGGAAATACTCGGCCGCCTCATCCAGCGCGGAAGGCCCGTCCCGACCAGCCACGGCCACGGGCCCCAACTTATGGCCGTCTGTACCCCCGTTCGCTTGGCCGGGTCTCTTCCTCGCGCGGCCCACCACGAGCACCAGCGCGACGATCTGCACGGCGGCCACGGCGATGGCCAACGCGACGGTCAGCCAGCCGTAATGGCGCAACAGCAGACCGGAGATGACGTTGAGCATGCCCAACGGCAAGACGACGCGGCCGAGCCAGACGTGCACCTGGGCCATCCAGGTCGGACGGCCTCTTCCGTACGACTGCATGGTCGAGAGGTACACGATGTGGTGGCGCCAGCCGAGCACGGTCTGGACGGCGAGGGCGCACACCAGCAGAATGCCGAGGTATTGGTGCGCGATGGAGATGGAGCGCGAGTTGACGAAGCCGACGATCGCGCCGATGCTGACGCTCATGCTGCCCAGCGAGTTGATCGTCCAGTGTAGGTTGAAGGACGTGGTGCGGCTGGAGCGCAGGAAGTAGATTCCTAGAGGGTATAGCACAAGAAAGGCGACCGTCATGAGGATGCCGTGGATATGCCTGGAAACAGAGATTGATTAGTTACTTGGTCTGATCTGGTTTGGTTTGCTTTTGGTCATGTAGCTGGTAGCTGGGACTTGAGGCACGACTGGATTTAGAAAGGAACTTGAGGGAAGAAAGGTCAGGGTGGACGGTGGGAGTTGGCTGGTTTGTGCATCACAACATACCACATCAATGAACGAACGTTCCACTGTTTCGGCGTCTTGACAGGTTCTTCGACTTTGTTGCCGTCATCCGCACCGGGGGTGTTTGTCGTCGAGTCGGAATCGGCGACGGCACCTGCACCAGCAGCTGCACCGGCAGCCGCACCAGCTCCAACGGCGAAAGGATCTGATCCAAAAACGCCACTGTTGAACTCCTTCTCTTGAAGGAGGATGGCCTCTCCAACCGTCAATTCGTCATTAGTGGGTGCCGCAGGCTCGCCGGTCTCGCTGACGCCCTTGTGGTCCTCGGTGTCCTTGATGGGTCCAAAGAACGGGACAGGCGACAGGGCATTCTTCAGATCCGTCCACAAGAACCCGAACCCCAGTCCAAACTGATGCATGTCGATATTGCGCTCGGGCGAGAAGTCGCCGCCGAAATCCTGCTTGAAGTTGCTGCTCCAGATCATGGCCTGGCCGGTCGTGGCATTGGAGACAGGCAGCACGGCGGCCGTCCAGCGATTGTATCCGCGCACGATGAACTCGGCGATACCCAGATGCGACGGCTTCTGCTTGAGTTCCTCGTGGAAGAAGTCGCCTGTGTACGGCTCGAAATGGGCCGTGACGACGTCGACGTCGGGCACGTCGCCGCTGTAGAAGTCCTTCATCTCGTCCAGCGGGCGAGGCGGGTGATGGCCGTCGGCGGTGCGCACGGTCATGGTCAGATGGGGGTCGGGCGCCGCAGGGTCGCCGTAGATGATGAACATGAGGGCTCCTTTCATTTCGGGCCCGAGGGCGAGTGCCGCCCAGCCCTGGGCCGACGACTGGTATCGAAACGCCTGCATGCGCACATACAGGTCGGGTTGTTGGCTCGTTTCATTGTAGTGGTTGACCAGGCTGAAGGCTTGGTCGGCCCGGCCGGACTCACCGGTGTGTTTGACGAATTGGACGGGTCGATAGGCGGACACGATCGTGCTCAATACCAGAGCCAGCAGCGCCGGCAGTGATAGTGATGATGATAATGATCGTGATCGGTGCATCGTTGAATATGTGCCCGTTAATGTGGATGGTCGAAGAAGGTATCGAGATGACCAAAGACTGATACCAGGTCGATCAGGTCGTTGAAGGATTCGAAACAGCGCGTCGACGATTCGTCGCGACTGTAAAAATGGAGCTTTGAGGTCAAATGCTTGGGTCGTTTTAAGGTACCAACTACCAGTAAAAGTGGTATTTCCCGCAAACACTAACCACCCAAATAGGTGTACCTTAGGTACCTGAGCAATAGGGGTCTGTCCCTCTTGGAACAGTAAATATATAAATATCAATCAATATCGTCTCTGCGCAAAACTTGAGTGCTAAAGATGTTCAGTCGCTTGATTGTTGACGCCCACAAAAGTGCATCAAGGACGACAAGTAACTAAAGAAGCCAGCTTCAGCCGGTGGACTCGAATGAGCAACAAAATGGGTGAAGTGAGACAGGGAGGAGCTGACAGGGGCCCACAAGGTAGTAAGTAATACTGTGTACAATGAATGGAAACGAGATGATTGACTGACTGATTGGTCTGGCATGTTATTACTGGAGCATATCTGTCAAGGCTGTACCTCTCTCTCTATAAAAAAAAAGTAAGTGGCTGTGTGAGGCGTATACGTACCTGTATCCCTGAGGGGTCCGGCTTCAGGGGGCTGTCAGTAAAGGGGCAGGGGTTGAGATGGCTTGCAGGTGCATATCAGTATCCTATATTAACATTCACTCACCATGCTGTATGGATTTATTGTTTGAAGCCCAGGAATAATGCATCCTTCTCATCATCATATACTCCCCAGGTCATCGCCGTCCCAGGAGATCCTCAATATATCGTCCAGCTACTTCTATGATACAAGTACCCTGCTTTCCAAGAGAAAGCAACCGATGACACCCCCGGGTCGTCAAGTCGACCACGACGCCTAGAATATTGGCACCGAAAGTCTATCCCAACCTGAACTTTATACTCATTCAGACCTCCCCAGCATTGAATCTTTTGCTTGGTTACAATCCTCTCAATTTCTCCCTTCTGGTCTATTTCTTGATATTGAGTCCTCATCTGTTCCATGCTCGATGACCAGACCCACCATCTCCCTCCCCTGTCTATGCCTTCTCCCGCTTTTCCTCCTTAAGTCTATGGCCATTTTACCTGGTTTCCCCCCTTTCATCGCCCTCTCGACAACTCATTCATCCTTTAACAATAACCCTGGTCTCGATCGGCTCCAATTTCTTCTCCAGCGGTGGTGCCGTCGGGGCTCCAAAGACCAATTGGGCCTTGAGTTTCCACGTCTCAGGCAATCCAAACGCCGAAATCGCGTCGGCAGTGATGGCCGGCAAGAAGTTGAAATGCTGCAGGTTGCAGCCCAGTCCTTCGGCGTTGAAGGCAGTCCAGACTATATCGAAGAAAGTCCAAAAGTCAGTGGCCAGTACGAATCGTAAAACAACCGGTGGGTAGAATATCATCGTCATGCAACGGCGGTGAAAGAAATGCCGGTGCTAAGTGCTTTATCTATCGAAGAATTGCTCTTCTCTAGACAGACACAGAACAGACGACACCACGTCGCCAAAACGACCTCGGGTTTGGATTGAGTCGCAATTGGGGGAATACGTACCGATGAATTGGTTCATTCCTGACGAGTGGTCCGAAACTAAACAACAAGACATGTTAGCAACCGTGGACTGACACCAGCAACCCAAATGCACGACGAAACCGCTCACTGAGCCCAATCAACGAAACGAGTGCAAAAGCGGGACGAGCAACCGACAATATCAACCCATCAGAATGCAACAGACAAGAGACCCAAACCCAACCAAATTGATAGCAATGAACAGAACAGAACCGAATGACATCAAGAACATCAACCCTCTCAACCACCGACCATCAAGCAAGGCCAAACAAAAAAGTCCAAGACGATGAACACAACCCTAGGATCAACAAGCGACCCTCTACAACACACCCATCGCTCAAGAATGGCAAAAAAGCAATAAGCAGGCCAAAGCAGGCCCAAAAGGGAACCTCATCGATCCTTCTTCTTCAGTGACCCCAAGTCTTTTCTTTTCAACACTTACATTCCGCCAACAAAGGCTGAACCATAGCATTCTTAGCCCCCAAGGCATCCAGCGCCGCCTGGTCCTCGAAGAACAGCACGGTACCGTACGAGGCCCTGAACGCGGCAATGCGCGCGGTCATGTACGCCTTCGCGCCCTCCGCGATGGGCAGCGGGCTGAAATGCTTGGCCGAGATGTCCCAGAACTGCTGGTGTTCGGCGCGGAACAGCACCACCGCGCGCGCTGACTGCACGTTGTACGTCGAGGGCGCGTATTTGACGGCCGTCTGGACGATCTCGACGATCTTGGAGTCCGGGATCGGCGAGCTTGCTGAGAGCGTGTAGTTGCTCCGTCGGACCTCGACGAGCTTGAGGAAATTGTCCGACGCGGATGTCGACATTTTTGTTTGCAAGGTTGTAGATGGATTTCGATATATATCCAGTTATGTTGCGAGAGTATGACAAGTTGGTATACTGTGTACAAGATAAGAGTGTGGGACGGAGGGTGACGGAGGGGAAAGTGAATGTGTAAAAGCAAAGCAAAGCAAAGACAAGAGACAAGAGACACGGATAGATATATATCTTTTGAACTACTACTAGTAGTAGTAGCTTAGTAGTAGTACCTAGATAAGTATACTAGGATGGAAGTATACTAGACGGATATGGTATACCTTTCAAGGAAGGACGTGGTGCCGTTGTCAGGCTCCTCTTAATTTGAGACGGGGCCGTCTGTCAGCCTTCAAGGCCGTACCGCAGACTATTGTCCTGCCTGGCCGGATGGGGTCCTTGTTGTAGCTACTAGCTAGCTACCACGCTTGCGGTGCAAGTAGAACACGAAGGAATGGGAATTGATGGTCCGGCTCCGGTTCCCGCTTGGCTCGGGCCCGAGAATTTGAATTAAGCATCCTTGTTATAACATGCATTCTGTGTTGTTTCGTTCCAACGCGGCACCGGGCGCACGAGTAAGCTGGTAAGCTGCTGAGCTGCTGAGGTCCGAGGCGGATCGGATTAGGATTGATTGATCGGAAGCGGAATGATTGTTGTGTGCCGCTTCTCGGGCGAGAAGGCGCCGTCACGTGATCCGGTCAATGGTGACGAGGCCCAATCACTTTTCCGCTCGATGAGCTGATGCCAAAAACCATGTGGAGACTTCAAAAAGGGAAAGACTGAGGAGGACGACTTGGATGAACAATGCAAACTCCAGGCACGCCAGGTATGTACATTAGAGAGCAACAGACTGTTCCTGGCGAATCAGACCGTTTGACAACTCCTTCGGCGCCAGAGTATCTTGCTCACAATGTTTGGTGTACATGACGATAGACAGGTGAATCAAAGACCGAGTTGAGAAACGGCCTAGCTCCTCCATCAGGGCTGGAAGAGACAAGTGCTGCTGCATCAGCTCGCCTGCAAATCGCGGGCTTGGAACCGGCAGTAGAAGTCGTGTTCCTTGACAAACCAGGCTGCGACAAAGCCCGACACAGTCAGCAGATATATCCATGGATCCGAGGTACAAGGTATTTGGATGGGGAATCGCTGAAGAAGCCTGGACTCACCATTATGCAACTTCCAATCTTTGCTCGGATCATCGAATCGAATCTGTACCAAGCGATTCGCTTGTCAGCCATGCCCCGGATTCGTGTCTCTGTGCGAAAAGGAAAAATACTCGCCTCGAACCGTCTCAAGAAGGCAGGAATCAACTTATACATCTCCAACAGACTGATGTTCTTGCCAATGCACGTGCGCGCTCCGGCACCGAATTGGAACAGCGTTCCATTCATCTCCTTCAGTTGCTCCTTGTTCGTATCCAGCCAGCGGTCGGGCATGTAGCTGTCCACCTGGGGACCAAAGACCTCTTCACGTTTGTGGATGACCCAGGCATTACAGCCGACTATCGTCCCACCGGGGATGAAGTGGCCGTCGATCTCGATCCCTTGTGGTGGCGTGACTCTCTCAAGCAGCAGACCTGCAGCAGGATGCATTCGGAAGGCCTCCTTGATGCATGCGTCAAGGTATGGGAGGTTCTGCGACTCCGCCCACGTCACCGTGCCGGTCCTGCGGTTCTGGATGTGTCCTTTGTCCACCGCTTCGTTGAGTTCTTGCATCAGTTTCTCGTAGCAGCGTGGGGTTCGAAGCAGGTGGTAGAAAACAGCAGCCAGGCTGATGGCGGTGGTCTCAGAGCCGGCGAATGCCATCGAAACCGCCATGGTCAGGACACGCTGGTCTGTCATGAATTCCGGCCGGTCGGTCTGTGCCTTCAAGAACATGGAGAGAAGGTCTGGCTTCTCCGTGCCCTTCTCGCGACCTTGTGACTCCATCTCGGAAAGACGTTCAGACATGCGTTGGGCCGCGAACGTGGCGACCGGGAACGCGAACAATTTCACACCCAGTCTATCGAGAAGCAGGACCAGCGGGTTCTTCAAGAAGAACAGGTCAAGCCAGGGCATTTGTCCAATCTATGGCCGTGTCAGCCATCAAAGATGATACTAACTGTCCGGTGTTCGGTAGCTTTACCGGCGCAACGTACGAAAACAACTTTCCCAGATATCCAACCATACCGTCGATGTCTTCGTTTCTCTCCACGAAGCCATGTCGCTTGCTGTACGTGATTTGCCCAATGACCTTATGACTGATCAGATCATAGCCTTTTTGCTCAGTCCGGCAGGTGAACTTACATCAAAAGCAAAGTATTGGAGCCACTGTGCAAAGTCACAGACCTGACCAGGCTTCGCATAAAGTCTGTCTGTCTGGTCAAGAAAGACCTCGACCGTGTCGGTGACAGCAGGCTCATATTGGACCAGTTGACTCATTGAAAAGGCATTGTTGACGGAGCGGCGAAGATTGGCGTGATACGACTCGTCGGTGGTGGAGAACAACGACGGCAGTCTCTTTCCTTTGCTGACGCTTTGCTGCACTGGGTAGAAGCCGGACTAGACAGTTGAGGTCAGTCACATCATGTGAATTTCCAGGAACACCTACCTTCGTAAAGCCCTTGTTCAGTCCATATATGGTCTTCAAGGCTTTGGGACTGGAGAACGAAAGCGTGTTGGGCCCGAGTCGAACAATATCCCCGTGTCGTCGGTGCAGCTTCAGGTGGGTGATATCAGGACGGTAGCTGCATACGTCGAAGAACCGCCACCAGTCTGTGAACCTGGCCAAGATTGGCCCTGGATACTTGTTGAGGCCATGGTAGAAGTAATTCCGAAGGAGCCAGCTGGCGACAAGAACGGCTAACGCAACAGGCCAGTTCGTGGCAATCGTGGGCAGGATTGATTCGAGCATCGTCTCAGAGTACAGACAGGAGGAGATTCGAGACAAAGTGCAACTTAAGAGCCTCTTACCAAGTCACTCACCTTCGATCAACGGGAACTCGAGAGTAATGGCGCCCTAAGTCGCAGATGAATGTTTTCAAAAGCCAAAGCGCATAACATGTCAGATGTAGAGGCGACCATCATGCCGCCCGTATTAAGACACTGAGATCCATGGCTGCATCGAGATTGCATGTGCCGGCTTGTGTGGGCAGCGACTCACCTTGCGAAATATGCTCGGCAGTTCATTTTGGGCGGAGGGAAGAGTATGATCGTGCGATCGACGGGACAGGGGACACAAGGCCAGTGTATAGAGACACAAGCATCAGTTCATCTCTGCATGTTGGATCGACGGCACGGCACCTCCGTCCGAGACCACGGTTGGCTTGTTGGCTTGTTGGCTTGTTCAACGTCCCATCCCAGTCCAAGTCATATCATATGGGGTTCGCCACTGATTGTGGGGGAACCGGGGAAAAAAGCTTGAAGGTGGACGGTCAATTAAGGAATGATGATGATGACCCAATTGCTGTTCGACAACAGCGTGGAAAGAGGAAATGGTTGATGCTCCCGCGTCTCTGCCGTCGTGAACCGGCAGATGGTGTTCGACAGCAACTGCCGACCTTTATCCTCGGGCTCTCCTTGTACTGCACTGTCTAGGTGAACCAGATTGGACCCGTCATGTTGACATGACTCGACCAGATGAACAATGGACTTCCTACCAACTGCCGGCTGCTGGTGGCTGATTCCTGCAACGACCACAGCGGCAACCCCATTGCGTTGCCTTGTACACGCCCCAAATTGAACTCTTGCGGTCAAGCGATGGCTAGCAGGTGTGTAGACGGCGCCGCCGCTGCTGTGACGAGAGTGATGACTTGAGCCTATTTGTGTGGCAGGCTGATATTGACATAACCAGTCTAGGAGACCTACTGTGGAACAACTGAGACAATTCAATTAAAAATTCCATTCTGATGCAACGGGACTCAATGGCAGGCAAGCTTGCTACACGATTCCAGCTGGTCATGATGCATGGCCGCTTGACATGGTACAACAAGACTCCTCCTCTCCTTTCTCCGTGCTCGATGCTTTTTAGAGGTCCTCACTACACCCGCTTGAGTCCCGATCTTTCTCCTGCATATGCCTTGCCTCGTGCCCCGAATTCGCCGCGACGATTCGAGACGCCACGGCAACGGAGCTGTCTTTTCACTAGTACAAAGTCGGTGTGGGACTGTGGATTCAAAGGGAAATGCTGTTATTGTGTATCGCGGGCGCGATTGAAAGGTCACTGGAAGTGATCTACTTTCCACCCAGGCTGGGAAAGGCGCTCTCGTCGTGGACAGGGACTGCCGGAGCATCACCGCCGCGGCCACGGCCACGACCACCGCCACCGCGTCCGCGACCGCGGAAATCGCCACGGTCTCCACGGTCTCCACGGTCACCACGTCCACCACGGTCAGCACGATCGCCACGTTCGGCACGGTCACCTCGGCCTCGGCCGCCTCCACGACCACCACGACCACGAGTCTCGCGGGGAGGTTCCTTGAAGCTGTAGTCGATGTCGAGGACTTGCTTCTTGCTGGCACGCTCTCGCTGAGCCTTGCGCCGCTCTTCGCCCTTGAAGTAGTCCTCACTCTGCTCCTTTGTCAACTCCTTGGCCGACTTCCATTTCTTGTCGTCCTTCGCGCCCTCGTTGGGTGCACGGGCTTCCTTCAAGCCAAGACCTTCCAGTTTCTTCGCAGCTTGCTCGGCCAAATACTCGGCATAAGACTTGCTGTTGTCCTCTGGCTCCGGTTCAGCCTCAGGGATGGCGTCACCACCATCGGGAATGGCGACGGCCTCTGCGTTCTCGTTCCATGCCGCTCCTTGGTTGGCGTCCCATCCTTCCTTTTCTTCTTCTTTGGCAATGGCTTCTCCGGCCTTCTCGTCAGCCAATTCACCTTCACCGGTGGCTTCACCCCAACCATGTTCGACCTGCTTAGCATGATCGCTACTTTCATTAGCATAGGATAGACTGTAGTCGGATGCGGGTTTAGCTCACCTCACACCAGTGCGGCTGTGTCGGTCGCCAAACTCGCCGCCTCGACGAGGTCCTCTCCCACCACGACCAACTCGTCCACGTGAGCCAGGAACACGGTCACGAGCAGGACGCTCTTGGCCGTTGCCCTCAGCAGTCTGATCACGGTTGAAGTTTCTGCCTGTGGCTCGGTCACGGAATGCTGTTCGATGGTTAGCAGGCTGGTGTTTATGGCGGACTTTTCAGGTGGGTGTATACCAGCTTCATTTCCACTGAAACCACCTCCTCTTCGTCCACCACGGCCACGGACAGCTACGCTGCCAGCTTCCACTGGTGCGTCCTTCACTGCTTCGCGCTTTCCATGTCGCGGGAGTGGTTTCTCCACCGCCTTTGTGGGAGGTTCAGGCTCGCGATCCGAATCCTGGTCCGAGGTATTTCCTGAATCGTTGCGTCAATTGTCATGTTCGTTTCGAAACGACGGGATGATCTGTACCCAATAGCTCGTAGAGGTTCTGCAATTTAAATCTGTCAGTGGCTGCGACGAGGTGAATGAAGGTGAACAGCATAGAGATGCCGTGTTTGCTCAGCTGATGCTCACCTTGCTCTTGACGTCCGCCATGACGTTTCCTCTCGAGCGCCTTCCGTGAAGGCTTTCTTTATTGAAGCTCCAACTCGAGTTGGAAGGGTTGAGACGCTCGACCAAGACAATGTCCCCGAGATACAGGGCCTTGTCGAGTCGAGTAGATGTGTGTCTGATTGAGCGCTGGTGAGGTAATGCCTGGGTGACCACTGCCTGCGAGACTCCGATGAGGAATTCTCAGGCCGAAAGACTTGGCACATCGCCATGTGACCCAATTAGGATTAGCGTTAGGGCATGATCTTGCAGCTTGCAGCTTGCAGCTTGCAGGTCCAACTTGGGGTACAGGATAGCAGTAGGTAGTACATGATTGAGGTCTGCCTACGGGAGAACTACCTACGAGTCCGCGGTCGGCCTCGCCTGCATTTCAATAGCTATTGATTATGTACGAAATAAAGTTAGGGTGACTGCGCTCGTAAGACTTCAGGTATCATTGACGCCGGCTTCTCATGAATGCATGTCGTTGCGAACCAAAGCCACTCAAGCAGAACGCCGTCGCTAACATGGCCGATTTCGACTTGCCTGTGACCCGACCTGGTTAACCAGTGACTGGAGATGTCGGTATAGAAAGCAGAAACAGAAGTCATTCAAGAACTCCTGGGCGTTTGTCATCGTCGAGAGTGTGACGGCGGATAGGTATATGGATTTGGAAACGTCATGCTGGCGGTGAGACCGAAAGGATCCGCATCCAGCATCGGATCATAGGGATCGATCATGACACCACTGCCGCCATCACTGACAGCGCTGGTCGTCATGGGTGGCGATGCTTGCATACCCATGGACATTCCCGCTGTAGACGACGTAGGAGGCAGTCGAAAATTCGGGATGAAGCTGTCGATGTCGGCATCATCGCCATCCATGTCATCCATCAAGTCGGCTTGGGCATCGTATTCCTGCTCTGTACTCACGGAATTCAGTCTAGGACGAACAAAGCTCCACAAGCAGGGAAGGGGGGAAAGAAGAGGGGTCAGCTTGCCGAGTTGAGTATAATGCTTCTGGAATGCAGCGGGATAGTAGTTCTCCTGCACGATATGGTTCGGTTGAGCTCGAGGCGGATAGGGTTGCGAGTTGTCCGAGTGAGACGTCACCCGTGAGGGATGTCTAGGCTGCGACGGGAATGAGTTGTGTTGCTGCAAAGCTCGGGCCTGTTGCTGCTGTTGTTGCTGTTGCTGTTGCTGTTGCTGTTGCTGTTGCTGCTGAGCTTGCTGAGCTGCCATATCGGTATTCGCGGGTGAAGCCATCCCACCTTGCAGAGCAAAACCTGGCGATCTTGCTGTGGAAGGAGAGGAATGCTGTGACGGCGGTGTAGGCTGTGTTGCAGGTGAGCCTGCGAACCCGCGTGGTCCACCAACCTGGGAAGATGAATTTACAGTCTGGATTGGAGGTGCCATTGCTGGTCGATGTCTCGCTTGCTGTTGCCGATTGAGCATGGCCTTCTGCATGGGCGATGCCTGCCCTGTCACGGGCGGTACGCGATGGGGTCTCAAATTCGGGCTCCCTTTGAGAGCAAGTTCCGCTTGCACATCGATGCCTGCACCCATATAGTTAGCACAGAGCCCAGAAGCGTGACTAGTTTGCCTGACCTTTCTCCAGCAAGATGCGTTCCAGTAAGGAGTTCTTATAACGCAGCATCAAACACTCGTCGGCAGCCGCACGATGGCTCTGCTGTAGATTTTGGAGAGTCTCCTCATGATGCTGGATGGTTGTTTCGAGTTGCTTAATGTATTCAGTTCGCCTCTCACGGAAGGCCGCTTGAGCCTGACGATTCCTTTGCTTCCGTTCTTCTGATGTCGCATAGATCTAGACATCCATGTCAGTAAATGCACTGCGAAAGAAGCACCAGGCAATTGAAGACGTACGGGTTTTCGACCACCTTTGCGCTTGGGAGCGGGAGCAGGCTCTAGTGATGGCTGCTCAGAGCCTGCTCCTGCGATCTCAGTCTGCCCTGGGGTCGAGGCCGGAGACGACGAATATCTTTCGATACTAGACTCACGCTTCGGAACCACAGCGTCGGGAAGCGTCGCCCCGGTATTCGACATAGAGCCCATGCCTGCTCCACGCAAATGAGCCTAATACGACGTGCCTGGCATAAGCGCCAATAACAGGCTGGCACCGCACGACCAGGGATACTATTGCAAGAATTGACGCGGACACCCGAGGGTTTGATAGCAAAAACGTAAAAGAATAGATATGTGACAATTGAAAATAGAGATAAGGGATGTGTAAAGCAGTGAGAAGCCTGGAGGAGAGGATGCCGTGAGGTAATCAAATGAGCTCATAAAATTTGCACCACAAAGGGATCCAACCATGGATGGTGGCGGAGGCAGGGTTGTTATGCGAAGACCTCCTGCAAATTTGAAAGGAGGCGTCTGATCTTCCTCACCCTGGACCGGACAAACGTTGGAAATGTTAAAAGGTGGGTTTCCATTTGCAGCATCCGATCATTGCCCCATCATAAAGGAATGAATTGCAACGTCAGGGCAGGTGTGATCGGTAAGGTGTGTTATGTATGCAGCGGCAGTATGACCAGTCTCGTCATGTCCGAAGCAGGACCGACGGAGAAACAGAGGTTGGGGTGTTTCCTGTATCTGAGACTCGGAGTGGAAAACTCTTTGCCATGGGGCGGTGACGGGAGCAGCAGAAGCGAGTAGGAACACTAGGAAGTCAGGGGACGAAGACATCGCGGGCACGCTCCACGTGGGAAAAATTTTCAGTGGCCGATCGGACCATCCTGCTGCGGGAGCCAATGGGGAAATGTGCACTACCGCAATGGCTGCCTTCATCTGGTGTAGCCCAATGCGCTTGCTCCGAAGACGGAAATGGTGCAGTAAGGCTGATCCAACGTCAGGCGAGCACCGGACAGCCCAGCCACTAACTACCAGCAAGCTCGCAATGGACAAAGTGCTAACTGCGTCAGATGAGCAGCCAACTGCGCTGCCAACACTTGGCTGCACCGGGTTTCCAGGGATCCCTCTTTAGTTGCCCTTCCGTCAATCCATTTCCCCGCCTTCTGAAAATCGTCTTTCTCCGAGGACTGACTGACCTGCCCATGCTCGCCTGGGCACCACTGATCAGTACAGAGTAGGAATCACATCTGGCCAGATCCTTCAAGATGTGAAAGGTGCCCGCAGATATATCAGAGCCCAACTCTACCCCGGCTTCCACCATTGCGTGTCCAGAGGAGAAAGAGCAGAGTTGGAGGACAGGAAGATGTGGTAGGCAAAACCTGCCGATACGGCGAGGACGGGTTCCGTACATGGCCGGGTGCAGGCTTCCGAGCGGTAAGAGCGAGCTTCCTCGCGCCTTTTGATTCAATAATCCATTGTTGTTGGAGACATGATGAAATTGAATGGCAACACCCACATGAACTCCGTGGACGGGAGCTAGCCTCGAGGATGGATGCTTTGCAGAGCTGATCCGCCGTTTCCCGCTGAATCGCCTGGTACAAGCGCAAGGGATCAAAATGATGGTCACATCCTCGAGAGATGGGATACCGTTTGAAGCAACTTCTCTGTAATAATGTGCAGATGTCTGTTGGAGTCTGAGCTGGTGGTGGTAGTCTACGGGTCGTCACGATGCTCAGATATCCAAGCTCGACTGCCCCCAAATGTTCTTCCAGCTTGATGCAGTCTTGAGGGTTTGGTACGCTTGAGTTCATTAACAGCACGCAGACCGCATGGTTCTCTACTACTAGTAGGTAGCCAGCTTATCGTGGCGATCCAGCCTTCAGACAGGCCAAGGTGTACTCATCGCGGAAAACGCATGTGAGTAGGTATGTATTGACCATGATGGCCAGGTCAGGACGCGTGGCTGCAGTTTTCTGCTTCAGCGAGGCAAGAGCTACCTCACAATAGCTGCCCTTGTGCCATCCATTGCAGAGGCTACATCGGCAGCTACAATACGATGGACATGCCTGTGCAAAGACTGCGCACTCTGGTCCATGCTGACTTCTTAACATCTCGACCTCTTTCCAATCGTGATTCCCGTCGCCTATGCCAGTTGAAGACGCTTCATCTTACCCTCCCTCATTCCTTTGCAGAGTGTGAAGCCACGATAGGCCCAACCGAGACTCTCTTTAGTCATATGTCTATTCACGGCTCGCACCCAGTCCCGACCGATGGAGCAGTGGCCTGTGAAAGGTGATGTGCACGCGGCTTGATCTGTTGTCTCTGCTGACCCAGTCCAGATGCCCCCAAGCGGTTCTCTCTGACCAAACGAACGTCTACTGAAGATGGCAAGCCAATGAAATTTCCCATCCATTCTAGCCTTGAGGCCTTCACTCGACCAATCTCCGCTTTGGCAAGACATCGCATCCATCAGCTGTCCGACATTCGAGAAGTCTCTGGGTCTTCCAGGGCAGCAACTGTTGGGAATACAGGCGTTGAATGGTCCGATGGCACCAAAGACAGACCGCAGACACCCGCGCTCCCCAGCGATGCTCTCTCACATACCACGTCCTCCGAATATCTCACTCCTACAGCATTTCGTTCTGGTTGCAAAGCCAACTCATCAGTCCTGGGCAGTCGGACCGCAAGCGCGATCAGTCTGCCTCAGCGCCATGTCCCCGAACGAAGATCCTCTGCCAGCATTTTTTCGCGTGGTCTTAGACCTTCTGGACAAGTTTCGATGCAAGAAATGCCGACGTGGGGAATGCCCGAGTTGGACGATAATTGCAAGGTTGTACCGGATAGGGGTCGAGCTGAATCGCCTGTTCGACAAGCCATAGGCCGCTCTGCTCAATCATCGGAGATTCTTCGACCATCCGCGGCACGTACATTCATCCGTACTTCACCACCACACGAACTCTTGGACAATGGCAGCAGTCGTCATCCCCGTGTTGAGCTGTCGGTACGTCTCCCGTCACCATTGTTTGTTGGGGGCGGTACAGTGGAAGGACAAATAGCTGTCCAGGTCGATGGCGGAGGGACTCGGAAATCGAAGCTGAAGCCCATTCACGTTTCCAAGGCTTCCGTTGATGTGATCGGTGTTGAAGAAATCAGTGATGGCAGGCGCTGGGTCTTTCTATCCCTCGCCACAGAATTGTTCGACAGTGACAATCTCCCACCTCCTTCTCTGGTGACTTCTCAACGCCCTTTACCCGGCCCGGAGTTGTGGTGGGAGCTGAAAGCGTCTACGTCCGTTCTTCCATTTTGTGTCAACCTCCCGCTCAAACTTGGTCCTCCACCTTACGCCTCCCGGCAAGCTTCTATACGGTACCTTTTATGTCCCTCAGTTGTAATCAGAGTAGGAGATAAGCGAAGCGTCGTCAGGCAGACATGGAACGTCCAGATGCTTACCGTCCATGATCCAGAGAAGGCACTGGCGAGCTTACCAAGTCCCCTGTTAGCTGCGGACACCCTCTACCTGACAAGGGAACCGGAAATCCAGACCGTGAAGCTGACAGCAGGGCTACATCGGCAGACGTGGGTCAATGGAGCCGCAATCTTTATCGACATCCATGTTCTCAACAACTCGACAAAGTCGATCAAGAAGATAGAGGTCCAATTGGAAAAGACGACCTTATGGTACACACACGCACCTGCTGGGACCGTCGAAAAGACCGCAAACCACCTTCGCCTGCCCAGACGCACTGACACTGAGATCGTCAGTGGCTCGGCACTGAAAAGGGGCAGCGCATGGAATGGAATTCTGTCACACTCTTCCGAGGTCAGGACCATTGAGCTCGAGGCGCCACGCGGCCATGTCACGATCAGCACTGGAAGATATTTTGAAGTCAGATATTTTGTCAATGTGGTGGTCACCGTTAAGATGTTCAAGACTGTGGCGGTGCAGCTTCCTGTAACACTTATCCCAATCAACTCTCTCGATATCTTGCCCAATTCACTTGCCCAAGTCGCTGCCTCGATTGAAGCCAAGAGGGAAAAAACCGTCCCCGCCCTAGCTGACGGCCCGGGTCATGAGGCTTATCATCAAGGACAAGCATTCACTGCTCCACTCCGTCGGTCAATGGAGCAACAACGAGAAAGAGCGGCCATGCTTCCAAACGATGAGCATACTCTCCAAGAAGATATCGATAGCTCCCCTAGGCGACGAGGACACATCCACCATCACTCCAGGGGAGGACCCGACTCTGAAGTCACCGACGAAAACACGGCCCCTGGTCGTCCAAGCATGGCGTCATCCTCCCACCACCATGTTACCCGACACCCAAGCTGTTACCACTGCCACCTTGCCTTTGAGCAGCAGGATTCGGGTAGGCAGGAAGGTCCGCGGCTGCCTAGACTTCAGGTTTCTACTTCAGGCCTTGGATTCTCGGAATCGGAATTCGAAGTGCCCGCTGACTCCCCACCTCGAAAGGTCATGCTCAGTGAACGGGAACGCAACATGATCAATCAACAAAGAGAACTGAGGAATCGGCAGCAACGAAGCAATCGAAAACAGAAGCGGCCAAGCTCAGAGATCGCACGGGGTCATGCGCCACGCCGTTCTCAGGATCAAGCAAGTTGGAACAATGTCGTGGCTGACTCGGCGACCGGTCCAAAACAGCCCGACTTTGGCAATGTCAGTGCACTGGGAGTCCATCCACAGAGAACCAGCGTAGGCATGAACCCCTCAGATTTTCAAGCGAGAGGTGGGGGCGCGGCAAGAAGCAGATCCAAGACCAATCCCGAGGGACCGAAACGACTGCAAGGAGCAAACAGGCCGAGACGCAGGTCAAGCACAGATCGACTTGACCGCGTCCGTGTGACTGTTGACGCAGCGCCATTCTCCGGGGCGCCTCGCAGGACAAGCAAAGGGGTCGGCTACCGAGGAAGTCTGGATCAATTGTTTTGAGTGCTGTTCGCCTGACTGTTGGGGTCGGTCCTTAATGGTGATATTGATACGATTACGTTATGCCTGCTCAAGACAGATTAGGACAGGATGGGAAGAGCAGACGGATCCCACCAATGTCTGGATATGATAGAAGACATCAAGATAAGATAGCATGGTAGGACAGTGCTCGTCTCTGGACGTTATTGTGTATAGGTGGCAGCAGATAGTTTTTACTAGTTGAAGGCTGCTCCCAGTCTAGCATGTTGTCGACCTACCTTACCTGAATATCGTTCATTCGTTCTTTACGCCAAAGCAATATGACAGGTACGTATAACCACGTCGTAGAGTACCTTAGGTAGCGAGGTATGTAACTCGTTTTGTCACGGGAAGCCTTCTCGCGGCACGGTCGCGCCGTGGTGGGAGGTGAGCAAAGAGGCAACAGAGCTGCTGCAGCAGTATGGCATCGAGCATGACCATAGCGTGAACCACCACGACTGCCAGGCTTAATATCTCCGGACGGGTGACAACTGGACGAAGATCGACTATGGCAAAGGCGGCGGAATGGATGAAATCGTTCAAACAGGGCCAAGAGACAGGTTTTGTCGAAATATAGCCAATTGGTACCTCGACGAGCTACCGCCCATGATGTTCATGAAGGAAGTGCCCAATAGTCATGGATGGGTCAATCCTCAAGACGTGGAAGACCTGTGCCAGTGGTGGGTGAGTAACATTTTTAACCCTGGGTGACCCTTGCAGTTGCTGCAATATCTTTCTTCTTGGGTGACCGAACATCAACTTACACAATGATCAGGAATATTTTGAATACTTTTACCGAGAGTATGACGAGTTCATCTTTCCGACGACCATCCATCTAGACGTGTCGGGTCGTCCGCATGTGTTGCTAATGCATGAGAGACTGAGCGAGCATATCAACAAGCATGAGCGGCCCGAGTGGGTGACCATGGCCGAAGTGGTCGATGACTTCAAGAGCAAGAATAAACCCGCTCAGGGCGCCATGATGCCAGCATCACTAGGGGAGATCTCGAGAAATCGTCGTCGTCGTCGTCGTCGTCGTCGTCGTAAGGGTTGTAACAAACAACTCGACAGGTGCAATCATGATCTTCTGTTGATGAATTTCATGGCACCTCCGAGTTTGGCAACCTTGATAACATCGCGTAGTGTCAGACTTATCCGGGTCTGTCTTTCCGCCGCGCCAGATTCATAGAGTTCCTTGTTTCCCAGAAGGCTCCAGTTGACGATGGCTTGCTCGTTCAGATTCTCATCTGTTGCTATCTCGGAAATGCCGTGCAGGGTGTGCAAATACATATCGCCGGTAGTGACCAGCAGGCTTCGAGGTTCTTGCAGGATGCGCCGGGTAGGTTTCGGCTCGCGCTCCCCTTGTTCATTCTTCTTGTAGATTTCTAGGACCGTATGGCTGCCCAAGCTGATTGTCGCTGTGATTGGACTGTACGCCGGGCCATCCTCGTGAGGCATGATTCCTTCGCCTGGCTTGTATTCGTTGATCAGGACATGGTTGGGAACCTGGTGTGGAGACTGGTCGAAGAACTTCTGGTCTTTGAGCCGCGCAACAACGGAGCTTAGGAAAGAAGGCAAAGGTGTCTCGATCAGAGTATCGCGCGAGGAACCCGTCAGAGTACCTGGGAGGGAAAGCAGTCTCCGGTGAGAGAGGATGGTCCAGCGCGATTCGGGCAGTCTTCGGATCTCGTTGATGATCTGCTCTTCTTCGGTGGCCGTAATGAAACTGTGGATGTAGTAGCACGACCGAGGCAGATCTTCTATGGGAGCGATGCTCATGTCTTGTTTCTTGTTAGCAGAGATACGGTCAACAGGCTCGCGAGACGCATCGGACGCATTCGGAGAGTGTAGTGGTTCATTTTATGGTCTTTCATCCACGGTCTCAATCTGATGTTGGCGCAATAACATTCCAGCGCGGCATGCTCAACCGTAGACAATCTGGTGCTATGGCATGATCCGCCGTATTGTGCCTCGGCTCACTCCACTAATAGTACGTACTGGTACGAGGTACGTCACTTATCAAAAGCCTGTGACCAAGTTCTGTATACATTCTGACCAGCTTTAGGTACATCCTGTTCAACATTAATAAAACCAGTAATGGTCTGGTACGTGGAGCATTGTTGCAACATTCATTGCCCTTGGTTGGGGCTTTTTGATTTAGAAGCCTTATAACTGCAGTGGGACGAAGCGAAAGTATTTATTCATTGCCACACCCACTGCCAGTCCATTTGGTCCAACTCTACCGCGTCATGACTTTGCATGCTAGCCTTGTGCCGGTGCGATCTGGTTCCTTTTAATCTTTGCTGAAACAGAATTCTTGTTCAATCGAACCCATTGCAGCAGAAAATGGCCCAAGAATATGTGTCCCTATATCGCCAGACTTTAGCAGAACGTCAACAGCGATATGATGCTGCAATAGCCTCTGGGCAGTACACGCCTTTTCTTTACCCCTGGGACACCCTACCAGCCCTGTATCTCCTGTTTGGAATAGCGGTGGCACCACGATTTCGTCCGGGGTTGGCCAAGGCTGTCCGATATGGCTGCTTCCTCCTGGTGGTCTTGCACTTCGCATATATCGGGTCTCAGCATCGCACACTCTCGTTTGCTTCTGGCTATATGATGGGAATTTCTGGCGCTTGGGCTGTCATCATGTCCGCGGCTCTTCTTGTCTTCAACGACGTTGCAAAGGATTTCACGAGAATAGAGACGAGGCCTATCGAACCCGCAGGCGATGCAAGCCACCCTAACGGGGTCGTGGCCGTCTCAGGCTCGGACTTTGCTTCCCCGATTGACCTGACCAAGCGAAAGGTTCCGGCCGTATTTACTTCAAAGGACAAGAAGCAGCTCGGCTCTCAAGGAGGTGAGCAGCCTGCTACACGACCATACAAACTGGTATGGCAAGGCTATCCTTACGACTCAGATTGGCTACATATCATTGACTGGGCGGCGGACTTGATCACCAACTTCCGGGGCGTGAATTGGAAGCATCGGATCCAAACAGCGGGAGAAGTCGATGCTCCCATATCTCCAAATCATGGAAATCAAATTTCCAGTGCCAGAGAGGAAGCCGTAAGCGGGCCTCCTGCCGTACCTGAACAAACCCTACGATCGCTCCAATATCGAACGCTGCAAAATTTCATTACCACCTACCTGGTCTTAGACTTGTTAAAAACGACCATGATGACTGATCCTTATTTCCTGGGATTGGAACCATTGGACTCGCCTACACAATGGCCATGGCTATTCCGGCTGAACCAGCACGTTCCTGTTGCCACATCACTTGCCCGACTATTGACGTCAATGGTCGCGGTTATCACAGCGTTGACCTTTGTCTTCGGCCTCAGCCCGCTGTTCTTTGCCGTTATTCTGCCGTGTTTCATGGATGTATCATCCATCACAAAGTCACCGCTGCTTGAGCCTTGGATGTATCCACCTCAATGGTATCCCCTCGGAAGAACCGTATTACAATCTGGTCTGGCAGGCTTCTGGGGCAAGTTTTGGCATCAGATGTTTCGGTTCGGCATCTCAGAACCCTCAAGAGTCATAATCGAGGGGCTTGACCTCAACCAGCGAGGCAATGCTGCGCGAGCGACCCAGGTTCTGATAGGATTTTTGCTTTCCGGGTTGATTCATGCAGCGGGAAGTTATACCTCGTTTTCGCTCAAACCTTCGCATCCAATTTCTGGGCCTCTTGTTTTCTTTTTCTCCCAAGGCGTTGGTGTTTTGCTGCAGCAGTTTCTGGCCAAGATCCTGCGCATATGTATTCCTCAGACAAAATCTCTGCCGCCGCTCGCCCGACAGCTGGCGAAGCTTGTCTTTGTTGTGCTCTATCTTTACTTCACTGGCCCCCTTCTTGCTGACGACTTTGCACGTTGCGGCGTCTGGTTATTCGAACCATTTCCCATCAGCCCTCTCCGAGGACTAGGATTTGGGCCTGGAGGGAAGGATGAAGGGTGGTTTGCATGGTATCAGGAGGGATCGAAATGGGTCGGATGGTGGCAGGGTGACCACTGGTGGCAGAGTGGGTTAGCGATATATTAGACCCTTCTAGAGCAGCCTCAACAACAAGAAAACAATGCCTTGTCTTTCGAAGCTGAACCAAAGGGGAATGCAGTTTTGCTTGAAAATATACCTAGGTAACAATCCTGAGGTATTAATAATAGTATCCTGCCGTTCAAGTAGTAAATGCGTGAGCCTGAGGTTCAATGTCTCAGCCTGCGCTTTCTTCAACCACAACTGCGGAAGGCAATGTGATGTCACTGGCGCACTGCAGAATTCACTGCCTTCCAAGATTGCGCGTTGGGCATCTTCCCGGCATGTTTGCCTGCAGTGTCGCTCGAGAACGCTCCTGAATCTGTATTCAGACATCTTGTATTACACCATCACTACCATTTGCACGACATCTCGTGTTTGTAAGCCTCTTCTGGTTCTTGGAGTCGCGAGAAGTAAACAGAGGCTTTGACCTGACGCGAGAGGCCTTCCACGCTAAACGGCCCAAGCGGTACATTCTACGGCGCCTATAAGGCAGCCCGACGGCGGAACCTTGCCCCTTGCTAAAGCTTCAACGCAGTGGCGGACCGGCCGCTAGATCTGGAGACTCGGACTCGGACTGGCACTACAACAGACCCTGCTGCCCTGTGCTTTTCTCCGAGTGCAGAGATTAAGCAAGCCTAAGGAGCGCGGCCAGGACTCAAAGGAGGCTGCGCTCCTCTTCGCCCGTTTCATGCCACACCGTACATTCTCACATCTGTCAGTCACGAGTATCGCGATTCTCGGTCTTGCATGCACGTCATCTCCACGAACATCCATATTTGCTGCCATTGCTCTCCAGATCACGACCCAGCATTACTGGCAACAAACCCTCGCGATTGCGGTCTGATTCTTTGCGCGCTTCCCGGACATCGTGCGCGCTTGTCTCGGCCTATCGACTGTTTTCGCTCGGCCAGCGTTACCTGCAAATCGTCTCGAACCCACCCCGCGCCACCTGTTCTGTATCACGAACTCCGACATCATCTGTGCACCTCTCCATTCTCGAACCAAGTCAGCAAACGGGTCCGGCTCTGCTCGTTTGCTGATGTCCATTCGTTGTGCCCACTTCCTCCGTCATGGCAATGCCTGCGCCGCTTGCCAACGAGAAGAAGAGGGTGAAGGTTTATGAGCTGCGCGAGAATGACTGGTTTGATAGAGGCACCGGGTTCTGCACCGGGCAGATCATCAATGTACGTCCCGCATCATGTCAACTCATCTATGCGATTGCATCGGCGCGTGTTGGAGTGTAGAACAAGAGACGCGCTGACTTCTTCGTGCTCTAGGATGAACCGCGCATCTATGTGGAGTCGGAAGACCAGCCTGAGCGCATGTTGCTCGAGACCCGGATATTGAAGGATGATGGATATCAAAAACAACAAGGTGAAAATTGATCTGGGTGTCACGTACTGATGGCATGGCTGACACCTTACAGACACGTTGATCGTGTGGACAGAAAACAATGGCACGGATATGGCACTCAGCTTTCAGGAGGCTGAAGGCTGCGCAGTCATCTGGTATGTCCGCCACTTGGCGATATAATGCGCAGTGCTGATTTGGGTTTAGGGATTTTGTGCAGCAAGTGCAGCAACAGCTGCTTTCGCTACCAGGTGAGACTTCCAACAATGCGCCTCTCGGATAACTTACTGATCCGTTTCAAGATGACGGCCTCTCGGACGATGCGCTTGACAACATAACAACTTCTTTCACCCTCAACCCGCCGGAGTTGAGCAATCTCGACGAGATCGAGGCACACATAAGACAAGCGAGCCTGACGCAGGGCGGGCGCGAAGCGTTGGCAAAGTTCCTGATAAAAGAGGAATATCTACTAAAGCTAATCCCCTTGGTGGAAATGGCGGAAGATCTCGAGAGTTTACCAGACCTGCACCGCCTCTGCAATATCATGAAAGCCCTCATTCTGATGAACGACAACACTATAATAGAGCACCTTGTCACCGATGAGATTATAATCGGCGTGGTAGGAGCACTCGAATACGACCCGGATTTCCCGACCCACAAGGCTAACCACCGACAATACCTTTCGGACGAGTCGAGATACAAGGAGGTGGTCGAGATCAAAGACCAGAATATCAAGCGGAAGATCAGGCAGACATGGCGATTGCAGTATCTCAAGGATGTCGTGCTGGCACGAATCCTGGACGATCCTACATTCGGCGTGTTGAACTCGCTCATCTTTTTTAATCAGGTCGACATTGTACAACATCTACAGAACAACACGCCCTTCCTAAAAGAACTCTTTTCCATCTTTAGCGCGGACAATACAGACATCAACCGGAAAGAACAGGCTGTACATTTCCTGCAGCAGTGTACTGCTATTGCCAAAACTCTGCAGATGCAGGCGCGGGCCACTCTACTTAACAACTTCATTGCTCACGGTCTCTTTGCTGTCATCACCTTTGCGGTTAAGCACCCCTCGGCCACGATGCGCACCACGGGCATCGAGATCCTGGTGGCCCTGCTTGATCATGATCCAAACATGATGAGAGGCTACATGCTCAATGCGGTGCATGAGAAGAAGACTCCCTTGACAGATACTCTGATCGACTTGCTACATGCGGAAACAGACCTGGGCGTTAAGAACCAGCTGGCGGATGCCATCAAGATCTTGCTCGATCCTCAGCCTCCTTCCAGCGACCCTATGGCCAACAGACAGAGCTCCGAATTTATGACCAAGCTTTCCAGACCGCCTCACATGACCCAAGCTCAGCAGCAAAACGAGCAGTTTGCGCAGGATAACTTTGATCGATCGTGCCGCAAACTGTTCGCTCCGTTGAAATCCCTGGAATTTCGGGCATCGATGCAGAACTTTTCTTACCAGGAGGTCTCGCTGTTCTCATATCTGGTGGAAATCTTGACCTTCTTCGTCCGGCAGCATTCGATGAGGAGTCGGCCATTCATTTTGTCGGAAAACCTGGCTCCGCGGGTTGCTCAACTGCTCCTGGTTACGCAGAAGCCGCTGAAGCTTACGGCTCTGAAGTTCTTTCGAACAGCGCTTTCATTACAAGATCAGTTCTATGCTGCTCAGGTCGTCAAAAGTGGCGCCTTTGATGCGATTCTGGGGATTGTCATCGACAACATGCCTAGGGATAATCTCCTCAACTCGGCATGCTTGGAGTTGTTTGAATTCATCCGCAAAGAAACGATCAAGCCTATAATCATACACCTTGGCGAGGTGTATCGACAGAAACTCCAGGACATTACCCATGTGGAGACTTTTGAGAACCTTCTGATGCGATATGAGCAACTGACGACTGATCATCCAGCCCCGGAACACACCCTCTTCAGTCAAGACGACGCAACTCCGCCCATGAACCGATCAAATCTGAGTGGAAGATGGCAGGGCATTCCAGAAATGGATGCCAACGAGGAAGATTATTTCAATACCTCGGACGATGACGACGATGATCACGAGGAGGGCGCTGATCGTGAGCCTAACAAAGATGTGTCGGAACGCATGCAGTGGCATCGCAGGCGGATTAAGGCGGAAATCATGAACGGTGGTGCTTCTCCGCTCAGCAAGCCCTTGGTAGACTACCCCGATGATGACGAAGACGAAACCATGGATATAAAGACCGCTGCTACGCCTCAAACACCCTTGACCCCGGATAGTGGGAAAGAGACCTCGCCTCCGGACTCCCGGACTGCAGCTGAGAGGAAGCTGCAACCGTCACCTGATATCAAGTCGTCCAGCGAGTCCGAGCTGCAACACCCTCCTGAACGAGTGACAGAGAAGCGTCGAAGGCAGGAGGATGATGATGACGACGACGAATTAGGAAAGCTGTCTGGCGGACCAAAGCGAAGAAATTCGACTTCCAGTGCATCTAGCCTTACCTCTCAGGGATCTTTACGCCGGAAGAAGGGATTTTTGCGGTCAAAGCGAGCGAGCGATAACGCCACGCTCTCGAGCAACACCGATACTGGAAATCACGCCGAGGGCCGAAAACCGCGGAAGATTGCAATCAGTCTATCGAATCTCACGAATAAAGAAGAAGACCCATTGACCGATCCGAAGGTGCAGAACAAGCAATCTGTGACGGCCGAAGAGGAAGGTTAAGAGAAGATTCAGGGGATCTGACGTGGCTCATATCGGCGACGGTGTTGGAGGTGTCCATTTTTGTATCATGTATCCTACGGGGAATTTTCGCTCCGAGGAACGGGAGCTCTGACTCAGCTGTGTCTTTTGGCCGCATTCATGAGCCGTCCGCAATGGCTTCATTCTTGCCAAAAGCGTACCTGGAGGATGTTGTCTCAATGGCGACCGAGTGAGTCTAATTGATACGACATCGGTTGCGCACTCTTGGTTTGTGCATAGTGGCACAACAGGGGTCTCCTGATGCCTTGCTCGAAAGATAGTACGTATCAGGGCGCCGTTGTCAAGGGGATTGACAATGGTGGCATTCTGAATGAAGATGAATTGCAAGCCACAATAGACTTGGAATCATCGCCACTCTCTCGCTCTGGCATATCATTACCATCAGCCCAGTACTAGGACGAAGCAATGTGGTACTTTGGCAAAAGTTCTTCACAACAACTGAACACTATTTGTTGCTAATGCTGCTTCTCAGATCACTCCATGCATCTTAGGGTTGATCGCTCGTTGGAACCCACTTTGGGACAGTTTAGGGGGAATTACTGTAAAGCAGAACGGTTGGAGAGATATACGCGCACTCGTCTGCAAGTCTACAATGCTGCTACAACCAACGGTAGCATTTTGCAAGGATCTCGACAGAAGACTATCCCTGGAGGAAAAGCCTCTCTAGCCTCCCTAGACACCTAGCCCCTAGCCCCATGGCGCCCCTTTTCAGCCTCGCCGGAAAAGCCCACAAATGTGCCAAGAATGTTTGTTGGGTTTGTTTGTTTCTGCTTCGACTCCATACGAGTATACTCATCAGGTAGTATACTACTTACATGTATGACTCCTCTCCCGTCCGCTCTTCCCAGCACTTCCCCTACACAATCTATGGTACTGATAGAAACAGGTCGCCTAGGTCCGAAGGCGACGGGTCTCTGCGCTTTGCATCACCTAGAAAAGACAAAGTAGAAAAGAGATAAGAAGGTAGTGTTGACACCCAGCACCTGAATCTTGATTGACTTGTCACACCCTCGTTCGCGGAACTGGGACCTCATCTCAACTATCAGCGTGTCCCATTCTCCTCTCCTCTTCTCCTCTTCTCTCCTTGCAGACGGAACGGTTCATTCAGAGGATATCTTTTCAAGGCGCTGTTCATCTTCCGATTGAGGGTCAATCATGAGTCCAGACATCTCAGAATACTCTCACGACCATGTGATCCTTCTGCTTGATACGGCCGACTTTGAGAACCCCCCAGCCTGGTTGAGTGACAACTTCAATCTCATCGAGGGAGGGGTTCATGCAGGTGAGTTGCCTCCATGTTCTTGTTGCTTCCATCTCCCGCTTCTTTCTGCTGGTCATTCTTGTTCTCTTTTCTCCTTCAGTTAATGGGATGTCCGCTATGGATTATGCTTGTACGCAGCCCCTTTTGTTATGTTCTCCGTATGCGAGGTCTGTTTTCAAAATACTTTGTACACTCTGTGGCGTTGAGGCGACCTTGAAACCAGTGCATACCCTAAGATTAAAGCAGCTCCTCTCTTTCCCTCTCCTCTCCTCTCCTATCCTCTCTTTCTAACTCAATCCATTCTCCTCTATCCAAGGCGGCTCCTCACGCAACAAACTCATCATCTTCGCCGACGGAACATACATCGAACTCCTGAACTGGATCGCAGAACCCAAAGAATTCTTCGACTGGGCAGGGAAACCACCGGGCCTGATCGACTTTGCACTCACGACTCCACAGTCCGCACAAGAGACGCACGCCGCAGTCACGAAGCGGTTGCAATCGAAATCATCTTCTTCTTCGGCTCCCACCGACCCCGGTGACGGCGGATTAGGCGTGCACTTCAAGCAGCCCTTGTTTGGCGGCCGCAGACGCAAAGACGGGAAACAGGTCGAATGGTACGTGACGAAGCCGATGTTCGACACCGACGCGCCGAACGTTCCGAAACCGATCGACCAGTTCTTCCCGACTGGCAGGTTGGATGTGCCGTTCTTCTGCCACGACGTCACGGACCGGCTGCTGCGCGTGCCGTACAAGGCGCCGTCTGATATGTCGGTGTCGGCCCATCCTTGCGGCGCCCGCGGGATTTCGTCCGTGGAAGTTCTTGTCCCCGAAGCAAAGTTTGACAGTTATGTGGCGTTGTATACGGCTATCACTGGCGCCAGGCCTGTTGTGCAGGAACAGAATGAGGATGGGACTGAATTGACAGGCAAGAGCGCCGTGTTTAAGTTGAGTTTGCCGAATGGCGGAGAAGAATCTGTCAGAGACCTTAAGGGGAAGGTCGGCATTGAGCTGCGGACGCCCAGGGACAGTGAGGACGAGGCTTGGTTGACTCGTCGCGGAGTCGGGATTAGAGCAGTCCGCCTCTTTGTGGAGGATGAAGTTCATGATGCAGGGGAACGGCCTCTGGACAGTGATGGGATTGGGGCGAGTCTACTGCTCGTGGCGAACGTCTAGGGATATAACCAATATTCAGATATATGCACCCCATCCTTTTTTCCTTTCGCCCAAAAGCCATCTTCATTGATTGCGTAAAATCTGTATTTGGTCGAGACATTTGTGTATGCGGAAACAGGTCCTGCGTATTGAGGCAGAGGGCATTTGATCCTCTTTTTCTACTCCATTTCCCCTATAGCCAGTGATACTACATCCACACAGAGACACAGAGACACAGAGACACAGAGACACAGAGACACAGAGATAATCTTCACATGTCTCCAGACGAGACTGTGTCTAGAAAGTGAGAGTCAGAAACCCCCTAAGCACCGCCGATTCGCTGATTACCATGACCATCACCGTGAGCCTCATGATGCTGCTTCGCATGAAGGTCCTCCACAGGCGCATCGACACGATAATTCATAGTGTTGCGCAGATCCCCGAGAAAGAAACAGGCAACGCAAGCCACGGCCCCGAAAGGCGCGGCAATGATATACACGACGCACAGCGAGTCCGCGAAGGCCTGTTTCAAAGCCACAACCCCCACGCTCACAATGTCAGACGATACACCAGGGACAGCGCCCAGAGCGGCCCTGTCGTTCGCCACAAGAGCGGTGACGAACGCCCCGATCGAACTGGCAGGCAGACCGGCCTGGAGGGTGGCGGCACCCACTTGTTTGGGAATGTTCGTGTCGAGTCTGCTGTTCAGGGCTGCCGAATAGATGGCCGTGAAGACAGTGGCTGCGACGGCTCGGGACGAGGTGGTGACGGCCGTGGCTGTCGCGATCAGTCGGTGCGGTGTGGCCAGCTGGACGCCGGAGATGATGAGGATCAGTGGCGCGCCGAACCCGAAGCCGGCCAGGCCGCCGAGACAGAGCTGTGTGAGTCCGTCGTCGGGCTGGATGGTGGCCCAGCCGACCACGCCCGCCGTGAACAGGAGGTAGCCGAGGAACAGGGGTTCGCGGATCGTGCGGAACCGCGTGCTCGCCATGCCCCATGCCACGGTGGACAGGCAGCCGCAGACCCAGAAGGGCATGGAGCGCGCGGCGACCTGCAAGGGATCTGTTGCGAAGAGATTGGTGGACCTGATGACGGGATTGCACGTATGAGTTGGTCTGTCTATCAATGCCAAATCGAAAGGAAAAGGAAGAAGGAAGAAGAAGTGTCTGTCCTTCTAGGTAGGTTTGCTCTTTCTGGATAACTTACATGACTGGGTAAAAGACAATGAACGAGAACAACATGACCCCCTCGATGAAGATTAGGCCCAGGCAGACGGCGAACGTCCGCCCTTGGGCCTTTCCTCCCTTGAAGAGATCGTGGTGCAGGATGCCCGTCTGGGTACCCTTCCATTCGTAGATGCCGAAGCTGATAAGGATCACGATCCCAGTGATCAAAGTGCTTATTGTGCGCACATTGAGCCAGCTGTACAGCCCGCCACCGAGATTGAGGCCGGTCAGGAACAGTGATAGACCGGCTGTGAGCAGACCGCATCCAGGAAGGTCGAGATGACCCAGTTTCTGCCAGAATGAAAGATGGTCAAGACGCGTATGTCGTTTCGGAGGACGGTAGCCGATGAGAATTCCCAGCGCTGTGGCTCCCCACATGCCCATTTGAATCCACTGTAGTTTGCATGGTCAAGGTCAGCCCCAGCTCGAGCTTTGGAAGAGGCATATGTGTATGGTGAATTCAGGTCAGGGGTTTTTGTGTCAAATGAAGAGGCGGCCTCAGGCAGCTTGCATATTCATTTCATGGAGAATCGAGATGTCGTGTCAGGGCGAGTTTGAGCCGTGGAAAAGAGTATGGTGGAAAAGGGTATAAGAACTGGACGCAATACATACGTAGAATTTGCGCCAGCCATTCTTCTCATCACCCTTGGTAAGGGCTCCGATAATGAGAGGTCCACAAACAGCACCGGTGCATGCCGCAATGTTCATCCCGGCCTGGGCCACTGGTGACCGAAAGACACAAGTTAGAAAGTTTTCCGGTCGACAGAACGTCCCGAACAGCGCGCTGACGGCAGTGTTCGGACTCCTAGAAACTTACTAGGTCTCCATCTGCGAGGCAAGATCTCACTAGGCACAGCATAGGCCAGAGGCACCGAAGCGAAACCTACGCCGATGAGTGTCTGCGCTGCAATCAATCTGTAAATGTCGCCCGAGCCGGGAGCGATGGCAGATCCGACAAGCGAGATCAGACTCGAGCCAACCAGAATAGTCTTTCGAGCCTGGAATGTGTCCGAGGCTGCCGATATCACTGGTCCAAGAACTGCTTGGACGAGAGACAAAGAGTTTGGCACCCAGGTCTCTGCGGGCCTGTTGTTGAGACTCGTTCCGATATATGATAGCTGAAATTACACAAGCGGGCAGTGCTCATCAGCCATGCACTCACAAAGAGCAATAAAGAGATGGTGATATAGTACTCTGTGGTCGGGTTATGGTGTGGAGAGAGAAGTGAATGTGTTTTACGTCGAGGTCAGTCCGCAGGGAAGTTGGGTATGCAATTTGCTGGCTGGACATGACTTACCACGGCAGGTGGCCCCTGAAGAGCCACTACCTGGACCAGATTCAAAAGGCACATGGAGAGAAGTGCAATCCAGGTACGGGCATGGAGTTGCGGCTCCTCATCAACCTCAGTATATATGAGGTTAGGGTTGTTGTTGTGGTCGATGGCTTCCGAGACCTGCTCGTGGTGTTTTTCGTCTGGCAGGCCTGTTTGCTCCTTGATCGAGAGACTTTGGTGATCATGGCGTTCAAGAGGCAGCTTTTCTGCTACTGACCCTCGAGAGTTGGAACTCATGTTTGTGTCGTCGTTATGCAGCGTAGGCGGTGGCGGTGGCTGGCTTCATTTCTTGAGGGATTGCGGAAGGAGGAGGATTTTCCTTCCATGCCTTGTATCAGTCCGATCAAAGTGAATGTCTCGCGTCCAGGTAGTAGGCCAGTACGACAGTCATGTTGTGCACGGGGAGCGGCTAGCTTCGAGAGTGAGGTGGGACAAACAATTGGACCTGGATGATGTGCGGGCGGGCATACTGGTGGGACAGGAGGAGGTGCAGCTAAAGAAAGATCGGGATCTGCAAGGACGCTTGGTGTCATGTTTCTCACACCGCAGTCACTCCGCGATCCAAGATTTTGTCGTTTTGCAGTCCGGATTGGCGTCGAGATTGTTAGGAGTTCCGGACTGCCGATGATCTCCGCCCCTGAAATCTTCAGCCTTGCCAGTCCCTGTAACAGCAGCATTCAGGTTCTACCTCACATCTCTTGGGATTGACTCGTCACTCGGCAAGGTGGTGTGACTTCCCTCGTCTTTTGATATAACACAGCATCGACGAGACGTATGGCCTGCTGTGACACTGTACCATATTTCTAACAGTCTGTCGTGGGGTGATGATTGGTCCCCACATTTCGAACAAAAGCCAAAGTACGGGGATCTTCGTCAAAGGAGACTTCGAGATCGGGGCCAATTTGGGCCCTGAATTAGTCTTCTGGGGAGCATCAGTGGGTAGTTTTCTGTCTGTCGAAGAAACCGAAGCGTCTGCGTCTCAGGTTAGCTTTTGATGGTAGAAGGCAAGCAAGAGGATTTAATAAGGTAACACGCATGAAATCAGCCGGAGCAACTGTCTGTAGAGGACGAAAGATAGACTTACCTCGACGATTCCCCTATATCTGTTCTATTAGACCGAAGCTAGGCGTCATTCGATCGCGCAGTCGCGATACGGATGAGCCTAGACCATGATCTTAGTAGCTCAATCAACGAGAATGGGACCAGCATTGCAGACAAGGTAAAAGGATTCAGAAGAACGAAGAACAGCAGGAATGATCCCATGACCGAGGAAAGCTGAACGTGCTTCAGCATTGTCAATAAGTAAGAAGATGTCTCTTTTGGAAGCTCAGACAAACCAGGATTTTCCAGTCAAGAGATATATTTTGATTCGATTCAAAACAATGGCGTTTCCTCCCAGAGTCTCCATTGTGAATGCTGGTCCAACATTATGCATCCCTAATCGTCCAGAATAGGACGGAATACCACCTTTTGCTTCATGGTTGCTTTGCTGCCGCCTTATCATGCAGATCCTGACCCTCGGCCTCCATGGAACCGACTTTGACTGAATCATCGATCCGCTGGGCTTTGTCACTCGCCATGCCCTCGGGACCTTTCAAAGCCTCGTCCACACTCTCGCTGAATGCCTGGCCCGCTCCGATCTCGGGTAGCGAAGGCGCCGTGGTGGTTTTAGATGTTGGCAGATGCCGGCCAATGTCACGATCAACGGCCGTTTTGATTCCATTGTTCGATTTCTGCTCGTCGATAGTGTTCCTAAAGGAGAAGGATTGAAGTGTCAGTACAAGTCTGCTCTTATTCCACATCCTTCCCCTCGAATAAGGAATCTGGGCGATTCACGTTGTCATCAACGTCCCCCGCGTAAGGGATTGCTGAATATGATCCCCCCTTTCCCGTCCCGTACAGTGGGGTCTTCGAGAGCGGTGAATTAAATGACACTCTCATATGATGCCATGACCAACCGTTTTCGCCCTCCAAATCAAACACCGTTCCTTATATCAAACACAGGACTTTTGATCAGGGGTAGAAGAATTCCAATTCAAGGTGGTAATCTTCCCCCGTACTCTGGACAGGATCCAACAGGGAGTACTGTGTATGGGTGGGATACTTACTGTGCAATGCCATGCTGATTCGCATCGAGGCTGGTGGGTTCGTGTTCTTGTGCATGCCCGCTTTTTGAGTCGGGCATGTTCGTTTGGGCGTCCGTCATTTTGACTTCACTTTGGTTGTACAGGCTGTACGAAACCGAGTCCGAATACTTGGGTAGATTGGTTGTCTGTTGCTTTTCAGGGAGCCAAGATGGAGGTTTCAGCGAGGCTGTGGTGGAGTGGAGGAAGGCGAGATGTAACCGTGTACCGTCAAGAGGGAGAATGTCGATATGTCAGTGGCGAAGGGATGGTTCTGGGTGTTCGGTCAGTTGGTTGCCACAAGCATTGAGGTAACGAGGTTGAAAAGGAGAAATACGTAGGATATGACGTAAAACACGGGAGTTATTGTTAGAAGTTGAAACCATACCTATTCTCCCTATATACATCCCAAGGCTGTGTATTGTTGAATATTGGACTCCACTTGCCACTCAGGGGCATTGAAAGGCACCTCACGGGTGACTATGCTGTGTCCTGCCATCAGCAATGTAGGACGAAAGGCCACAAGGCACCTTATGTTGAGACTTCAATTGACATTTTGACAACGTATGACTTGGTAGGTCTTCTGTCTCGACTACCTCTACAGATGAATCGAATTCATGACGCTTCACAACTCCACGCGGCGTACGACTGACCGGTTGTCCAACCCCACCCAAAGAGCCGTGCTCTTCAATCCATCTAACATTGGAACTCATTTATTCAACTCCGAGCAGTGTAACGTCTCCACATCAACAGCATCAACCGATAGCAGTGCAATGCCCGAATGAATCAGTATATCTCTTTCTAAGCCTTGATTATGAAAATCAGCGTGTAAAGCCACGTCATCTTTTGTTCACGCCATCAATGGATTTCATAGTTTCGTAAACCTCATTGACCAGCTTCTTTCTGAAAGCGCGAGCCTCAGGAGTGTCCACGTCAATGGCATCGGCTTTGAGAAGAACATGTTGCATAACACTTTCGCTCAGCTTTCGGTGCTCTTTCTCTCTCGCCTGAAGATCGGAGGGCGGATTGGAGACGAATTTGCGGCAGAGAGGAAGCCAATCTTCGTGGAAGACATCGGACAGTGTCTGGAGTTTTCCCAAGGGGGTGTTAGGGTCTGCTGCACGAGTTGATGGTGCCGACGTGGAGCCCGGGTTAGGCGAAGTCCCTCGAGTCCGCGATGGTTCTCGTCGATAAGCACGGTCGTCCGGTTCCGGCCTCGAGCTGCCACGAGACTGCCGTTCCGATGCTGTTCCTGAAGGTACATGGCCGTTAGGCGAAAGAAAATGTGAGCCGTTTGGGGTTCTGGGCTGCGACATTTGCTCGCTGCTCCGGTGTCTGATGGATGACAAGGCTCGAGGCCGTCGACGAGGATTCTGGGTTGAGGCCGCCACGCTATCTTCTCCACTGGACGAATGACCCTCCCTGTCGCTGTAATCCAGAACACTTTCTGTCTTGATGGCCGCAACTTCACTATTCTGCTTGATGTTGTATTTTTTCAATGGCCAGGAATCGTGTTTCAGATCGCGCTTCTTGTAAACCAACCGCACTCTTCTGGGGTCCGTCTGAAGCCACTGTGCGACGGTATCTCTCAATTGGCCGACAAATGCTCTTCCTTCACTGATGGAATACGGGGGGAATTCGATGGGGAGGAGCGTGGCCATATAGCGCACACGAATGACATCGGGAGCATCCGGGTCATCACCGTCGCCATGAAACTTTGCTGCCGAAGAGCGTGGCGTGTCTTGCAGCATTCCGTGGTCGGCATCAATATATTCGAAGTGGTTGGAGAGGTTGCGGGCATACGGATCGACCAGGTTGCTGGTATAAGGGGAGCCCCCACTCCGACCACCACCAGAGGTAGCGTAATTGCCGTAGGCGCTCATCAGAGAGCGAAAAAGAACGAAGATGAGAGAGAGGAGGACGGCGCCGACGGTGGTGTAGGACGCGGTTGAGTAGGTTGTAAGAGCAGTATGGACGGTGTCGTGGACGTTGGCGGGCAGGTGTTGTAAAAGCGGTTGGATCAGGCTGGAAAGATTTTGCGGGAGTTCAGAGAACCTGGCCTGAAGACTTGAGGAAGCCACGGTGACAGATGTTGAGGTCTAAGACCAGCGAAGTCAACCCGAGCGCTTGATCAAAACATCAGCCTGATGAAACTGTGCGGGCGGCGATTGTTGATGATGGAGTCAAGGAGAAAACGCGGTCGATAGAAGATCGAAGGCGGCGTCAAGTGGAGCAGCGAAGGAGGTGGATTCGAGGGAATCGTCTGATGTGGCCAGACAGACGAGGGGTAGAGGCAGTGGTTGGACCGGGCAAGATTTTATGGTAGTGAATCGGGCAGAGATCACAGAGATGGTCAAGGATGGTTTTGGTAAGTTGTTGAGTCGCAACGTGAGTGGTAGAGATGCGAGACTGCGCAAGGGGAGAGGCCTCGAACAGATTCTGCTGCTGTTGCTGTTGGTGCTGTGACTTTGTCTCGGCTCAGGCGGATGACGCACGAGACAGAGGGACTGGAGGCGCGATATTGTCCTATTCTACGGCGGTAGGACTTTGCAACAACTGTTTTATTTATGGCAACGCTTGCGTGGCGATGGTTGGGCTATATTGGCTATCGAAGGCAGATGTAGCAAGAACAAGAATACCATCAGCAGAGATGTTGTCCACCGTCCCGAACTGAGAATAGTGCTGATGAAGCACTGTTGTAGGCATCCTCTCTCGGGCGCGGTATTGGCAGCCCCGGAAGGGAACAACGTTCTGCCGATGGGAGTGGTAGTACTTCGCCGTAATGATATCTCCTGCAGCGACTGTCATCACTCTTCGTCTTGTTCCAGGAACACGAGGTATAGACTCCCGGTCACCAAATCGTCCACACCAAAGCTCAAGCACTGCTAACGTGAGTTGCAAGTCGACGTGCTTCTCCGCGTGAGATCTGCCATTGTGCGATGTCCAGTCCCAGCAATGCTACGGTCCGCCTTAACACTTCCAGACGGGAATCTCTCGTCATCTCTGACTAAGACAGCATCACCGCTACCACAACTGCGACGACACCACTACTCTGTACTACCACCACACCGACCTACGAATGCAAGTTCATGCCTTGGATACCTATCCGAATGTACGTCGGTCGTCAATCTCGATCTGCAATCGCCTGATCCTGCGCTTCTCCCTCACAGCGAGCAATGCCACTACCGGACGTCTTGATTAGACCAAGACCGCGCAGGGGACACATGTGACGACAGACTTCGGAGCAACACATCCCCTATCCTTGAAATGCGATTTGATGTCATACTACCTTGGAACCTCCCAACATCCCACGTCGAATACCGCGTCGATTTTAGCCGCAAAGCTGGTACCTGCCTGGCCCTGGCACAAAAGACGTTGCGGGATGATTTCCTTATGCTTGACTTTCTTCACCCACACCACAGGTTCCTGGTTGAGGATGGGAGGGTTTCACGTTCGGGGTCGAGAGGTCGACGGAGGTTTCAGATTCCTTGGAGCGTGAGAGCCGTAAACTGTCGTCCCTCAAGAGTTGCCGTAGAACATAAGGTAGGTCAGGTAGGCTACGACACATCCCACCAGACTATTCTTTGTCGGACCTGGTTGCCGCAACCCCCGCGCAGGGGCTGATGAGGCTTGATACTGCCTGCTCTGTTACAGGGTCGTTCGGAAGGACAACAACGCCCCAGGGACCACGTGCAACTGATTGAAAGGCAGCATTGCGCCCACTAGAAAAGATGAGTGGCTTTCCACTGTGATTGTGATCCGTCATATCTCGGTTTCCATGTTCTCACCGTAGATTTGCTCTTTCCTTGGGCGCCCAGGTCCCCTTTTCTCGTCCAACGGTATGTCATCCGATACGTCGGTCAACATTGTGTGCAACATCCAACCTCTCTCGTCAGCCACATACCTAGGGCTGATCCCTCTTATGTGAGGTAACTGCTCAACTGCTGTTCACACTTGAGTGAAATCATTGGCACACCGCCCAAACTACGTTCAACATTAACTTCCTCGACTTCACTCACAGCCGCGCAAGACGTACCTTTCCCACGCTCCTCACGCTCATCTTCATCCTCAGCCTCTATCCTCTACTCCCACAACTCTGACATGACCGCGGTTTATGATGGATCTGTACACTCTTCCCAATGCCACTGAGCCTCCTCAGCCCACGGCTTCGCCTATCTCAATCCCGTCGATCCTCTCCGCTACTACACTCACGGTCTTTCTGATCAGCCTCGTCTACTGGTGTGTGCAAGACTTTCGTCTTTACATATCTTTGGGGCCTGGTGGTCCTCCATACAACATCTGGGGCTGGTTACTCACCTCTTTCATCGTCAGACCGTTCACTCTCGCTGCTGATGAAACAACATGGACTGGGGATTACCCGGATACTGGGTGTCACAAGGAGATCGAGGCTCTGCCAGAGCGTGCTAGGGGACGACCGGTGGTCCTGGGGATTGCTCCTCAAAGACAACTAACTCAACTTGCTGAACCAGACATGAACAAGGTAAGCTTGCGGAAAAATGAGAAGTCCATCCAGTTCAAATCAACGGTATAATCGGTAACTTCTGCTACTCTCAGCTAATATTGCCAGCGTGTGTTATCTCTCCTGTCATCTGCGGTGCAGAACAACCCCAAGTTGTTGCAACAAAGACTTTCCGAGTTTGAGAAACATCATATTGCGCTGTTTGTCCATCCGAGTCTTTTCTCCAAGCCTGCAAATCTTCCGGAAACGGCCATCAGATCGAGAGGAGAATTGGGGCATATTCACGACGAAACCTCCCTTCACCTGTACTTTTCACCTGCCGACGCCAAGGTCATCATCGAGAAAGGTTGGGCGGAACGACACCGATGTGCACGCACTCAGCCATGGTGGTTTGGTTGCAAGAAATTCATGTTCAAGATCGGTGACACTTTTCTGCTGCTTTACGCCCCTCGAGATGAGGCCGAGTTTGGCGTTCTGAAGACTCTGATCAGAGCAAGTGCCAGGTTTATGACTGGACAGGAGGATATTGCGGAACCGTGATGTCCGGCTTGAGGACTGGGGCAATGCAGGTGCTCAGCAAACGAAGTCACGCTCAGCTTTACGATTTCACGCATGGCGCTAGGGTGGGAATTGCTGTGACTGCGCGGCCTTGAACGCAAAAAGATTGCTGGTGTTGTCAGGCGGTTCAACCGTTAGAGCTGTACATACATGATGCCCTTCGACGTCTCAGCGGGCTAGCACTTATGGCTTTTCAGAACATTCAACACGGTCTTTCATTAACTGTCTCATTCTCCAAACCAACAGAAGTTGCGGCTCTGGTGTTGATCAATTAAGTAGTCCAGGTTCAGGCCAGTTGCTGCCATCCAAATGACCTTTGCATCCCCTGGCTGATCAACTGAGCCGTTGCATTCAGGAATCGGTATCACGCCGCTTTAAAATGTGTCTAGACGTCCTCGCTCTATTGTCCTCCGCAAAGATGTCCGATCCGACATGGTTTTAAAGCGGCTGGATCCGACGGTAGCCGTCTCTCGCCAGCACCGCCAATTCGGCCAATATCTTGACGCATTTGATTACCCATACGTTTCATTCGCCTTTTCGCCAGTCATCCCACTACCACGACCACCTCAACACCATCGGCGAGGAGCTCTATAGCGATGGCCGCGACAATCCCTCGTTACCGTTGCCTCAACGGCCATTCATGGTCCTCCCCGTTCAAGGTCTTCCTCCCGCATGCCACAGCCTCGACCTCTAGCTCAGGACCCTCCCGATCCTTCGCCACCACGACCGACGACCTCCCCACCACCAACCCTCGAGCCAAACGCACCACATTCGCCGACAAGCTCAATGCCGGTCCTTCATTCTCGGACTTTGTTTCTGGGAAAGAAGCCCCTCTCGACCCAGCCGAGGCCTACGCTCTGAAAACGGCGCTTGTAGGCCCAAAGGGCAAGAAAAAAGAAATCACCCGGCTTCCACCATGGCTGAAAACACCCATACCAGACAGCTCATCTTACAAGAAGATCAAAAACGACCTGCGCGGTCTGAATCTGCACACTGTATGCGAAGAGGCGCGATGCCCAAACATTTCCGACTGCTGGGGCGGAAGCAGCAAGTCAGCCGCGACGGCGACAATCATGCTCATGGGCGACACCTGCACGCGAGGCTGTCGCTTCTGCAGTGTGAAGACATCCAAGGCCCCTCCTCCCTTGGATCCTCATGAGCCGGAACATACAGCTGAAGCTCTGTCGCGATGGGGACTGGGCTATGTGGTCCTGACCAGTGTGGACCGTGACGATTTGGCGGATGGTGGTGCCCACCATTTCGCGGAGACGGTTCGCAAGATCAAGTCCAAGGCTCCCGCGATGCTGGTCGAGTGTCTCACGGGTGACTACGCCGGTGATTTGGAGATGGTCAAACTCGTCGCCACTTCCGGGTTGGACGTGTATGCGCACAACGTCGAGACGGTGGAGGCGTTGACGTCGCAGGTGCGCGACCGCCGTGCCACGTTCCGGCAGTCTCTCAGTGTCCTGAAGGCCGCTAAGGAGGCCAAGCCGGGACTGATCACCAAGACCTCCATCATGCTCGGACTCGGCGAGACCGAGGAACAAGTCTGGGCTGCAATGCGCGAATTGCGTGCCATTGACGTCGACGTGGTCACCTTTGGTCAGTACATGCGGCCGACGAAGCGACATATGCCTGTGCATGAATATGTCACGCCTGCTGTGTTCGAGCAGTGGAGAGTGCGGGCTCTCGAGATGGGCTTCTTGTATGTTGCCAGTGGCCCGCTGGTCCGGAGCAGTTATAAAGCCGGCGAAGCGTTTATCGAGAACGTGTTGAAGAAGAGACGGGCGGGCCGAGCGGAGACTGCCAATGCTGATATCGCGGGTGACATTCCTGTCAAGATCATCGAGTCTGGAAACCTTTGATCTTGACTCGAATGACTTTGTTATTTATGGGTTCGGAATGGTATACGGTGTTCAGGTACTCGGTTTGGTGTTTCGCGGGATGTACAGTCGGGATCGAAGAGACCACGCTTGTTCGGCGGTTTCCAAGTTTCTCGTACGATCTGCTTTCGGAGGAGGACATGTCTACAGACCATTCTTTGAATCACGCTTCAAGTATCATGTCACTGTCAACCATTGACCAAGAGAGACTGCTTCTACATCGCGTCCTGGTTCAACAGTGCCACAGATGCAGATGTCATTATAACGAGCCAACCCATTTTTCTGCATCATGTCTAGACATCTCAATGCTTCGTCGTCTTTCTCGGCGTTTGTGTCTATAGCTCCATATTCATCATCTGTAGTACGAAGTGTTAAGTCTTCTGTGTTCATGCGCCATAATATTCTCTCTGCCCCCTACCAAAGACACCTAGGTACTAGTATCTGCCAGGTTAGACCTACGTAGGATAGATATCCATGAGCCCGAGTGAGTCTTCCAAGTCCGGCGTGCCGACCAGACAACACCCTTCCTTTTCCCCTAACGGCTGGAGATACGTATCATATTTCTGTCTCTCATTCTCTCCCTCTCAATTCCCTCGGTTCCTCTACTTCCATGATTCTTTGATCCTCGTTCGGTCTGGACCATTGTAAGTCTCTGTATGCCACAGTCCATGACTTGACTCACACAGTCTGTGTCTCACTGATCATCCACAACTCCCACACTCTGGCCCACGAACATCATCGATCCCACCGAACCGTCTACCTCCAGCGCCGCTTCCAGTTCCAGTTCCAGTATTCCCACCTCTTCCGATCCCACCGACGCCGCCACCACCAGTCCCAGATCGATTAGCACCCCACCTCGGGCGTTCCTGGTACGTATTCGGCCCCTTGGCGCGCGTATTGAACTGCGAATTCTGCGCGGCCGTGTACGGATCCAGACTGAACAGTGAGACGATGTACAGGCCGAGGAAATTGTAGATTGAGTCGGAGAGGCGGGAGATGCGGGCGGTCAAGGGAGGTCTGGATGGGGGAAGGGGACAGTTAGAACAGCGACTCTAATAACAACAAAGGCAACACCATCATGGGATAAGATGGAGAAAAGGGTTCAACCCTATCATGCCAGATGCCAGATAGGATGCTCTGCAGACTGTTGGCCGACCAGGGTTTGGGGCAAGAGATGAGAGAAGGGAGGAGGCGTTCAACTCACGTTTCAAGAACATGTCCCGATGAGGAGATATATTTCGCAGACGAAGAGGACGACGGAGTGGACGAAGTTGCCTTCCTCGGCGCCGAGGGAGGATTGTTGTCTGCCATGCTTCAAGTTGGCTTGTGGGTTGGTTCTTGAGTGCAAGCGGTCACTCGAGTTGTTTTGGTCTTGCGTCTGTTATATAGCTGTTGTCCAGGTTGAATATATTATATCTTGTAATCTCGCCGCACGGTTTCGCGTCGCTTAACGGGTGATCGATAGGTAGAAATCGGTGATCGTGATCTGCGGATGCGAGGGTGCGAGCGAGGCCGACGGATGGAGACGGGAAACGCTATCAACGTCACTCCGCTCGTAAAGGGTTGGTCTGTCTTTTGCGTGCTACTAGACAGAATGTGAATTCGGAGTCGGGGTGATGATGGTGCAAGAGTGCGGTGCGGTTAACAATGAAGAACTACCTAAGGTAGGTATGAATGTATCGTGGAGAGAATATACGTAGCGAATTACGTACGCCTGCGCTGCGATCAACACTCCTCAGTTCTAGATCTCCACCTCTGTTTCAGCCTGATTGTCCTCTCCACTCTTTGGAATGTCAGCCTTGCGTGTGTTGCCATGTCTCTGTCGGGATACATCTTATCTCGTACAATAAGCCCGCGACTTGATTAAGACTTCAGGCTCCCATATGGGTACACGCTCGATTTCCCCTCCGGATACAGTCTTGTAGTCTCCTATGAGCACTACTAGTACATCTTTGTCGAGGCTAGGAAGTAGAACCCAGACTACAAGAATCAAGTCAGATCAAGTCAGACTCGATTGTCGTGCTCGCACAGCAATCTCTTGGATTGCTTGTTGTTACATGGGCACACGAATCTACCTGTGTCCCGTCCTCTGTATCTGTGATCGATACCCTTTTTGTCGGTCACAGCCCGTAGCCCCATGAACAAATGCAGAAAGCACCCATGTTGTTGTCCTCGCAATCGCCACGCTTCGGCGGAATCCCAGCATCATGTCAAACAAGAGAATTAGAATTAAAGTCAGGCTTGAAGCCTAGGTCGATCCACCTTCGCCACGAATCCGCTTGCCCTGGCCACCACCGTCTGCAGCTTCGCCATCATCACGAGCTCGCTTGTTTCCTCCAGGGGTGAATTGAGCAGCTTGGGGATTCAAATTTCCTCGTCCCGGACTGCCTTGAGCACCACCACGGCCTTGCTGAGGGATTCCTGTATTCCCATGCCCGGCTCCGCCTCGACCACCGCGAGCGCCTCCGCGACCTCTGGGGATTCCGCTACCGCGATTGCCTCGAATCGCTCCTCCTCGAGGTATGCCAGATTCAAGTTGCCGCATCAAGGCTGCTCCAGATGCTTGTTGAGATTTAGCTTGCTCTCCAGCAGAGTGTTGAGCAGGTTTGGGGGCTAGCTTCTCCGTCTCCGCCGGTGAGGCTTCTGTTGGTTTAGGGACTCCCTGGCCAGAAGAAGCTGGAGCCTGTTGTCCAGGCTTTGAACCTGCCTGTGTGGCAGCAGGTTGAGGTTGTGCCTGTTTTTCGGCGGCCGCCGGTTGGGTTTGAGGCTGGCCTTGAACATTGCCATTCGGTTTGCTTTCAGCCACTGCCTTCGAGTCTGTCTTTGCGTCTGGCTTCGCTGGTGATTGACCCGGAGCTGGAGCAGCGGTTGTCAATGCTGCCGCGGGAGGTGTCGGTTTTGGAGCTGCCGCCGGTTTGGCGTCTTTAGCAACATCCCACACCTGACCAACAGGCTTCTCAGGGGTCTCTTCGGCGGCTTTCTTGACAACATCGAGTTTAGCAGCTGCCTGTGCTGCTCGACCCTGAGCCATATTGAACTTTACATTTCCACGCTTCTCCCACATCTGCTCCGCATTCTTGAGCTGCTCTTCGATCTTTCTCTGTGCTTCCTTATCGAATTGGAGCTTCTGGTTGGTCAGATCGTCTTGATGTTTGATGATCAGGTCCTGCTTTTCTCGTGCTAGCTTTTCCTCATACTGTTTGACCAGAGCCTCTTTCTCGACAATGAACTCGGATTCCTTCTGTTTGATGATGGACTCTTTCTCCGTGGTGAACTTTTGTTCCAGTTCTTCGATCTTTGCAGAAGCAACTCCATCTTCCCCTGATGAACCAAGCTGTTGGGTAAGCTCCTTACGCAGAGCCTCTCTCTCCTTCTCCACTTGTTTCTTGATGTTGACTTGCAGGATTTTCCGCAGAACCTCATGTTTGGCCACAAGCATTCTGGCTTTCTCTTCTGGCAAATTCAACAGCACTTCATCAGGAATCTGAGCTGGGTCGATAGTTGTTGAAGTCTCGGTGGTCTCTTCACTTGGTTTCTGCAACTCCGCAGCAACCGGAATTGAACCGGCTCTCAGAGCTTCCAGTTCCTGCTGATGTTGTGCATTGAGTCTTTCGGAAAGTTCCTCCAGGGCAGCCTTCTTCGCCTCTTGAGCTTGATGTTTGACCTCAGCCAACCGGTTGTTGAGGACCTTCTCCATAGCAGACACTCTGACCTTGAATTTCTCTTCATTCGTCGACTTGAGCTCTTCAAGTTCTTTCTCTTTTTCTGCTAGGGACTCTTCGAGCTCTTTTACCTTGGTCTCAAGTTCGGAAATATCGACATTAGTTGTGGCAGATACCACGGCAGGTTCCTCGGCAGTTGGCTCATGTTCACCATTGACCTGAGTCGTTGGGGCTGTCTGGCTTTGCGATTGAGCTGTGGCTAATTGTTCCTTCAGGGAATCAAGCTCTGTCTGCAGATCGGCCTTCTCGGACAGTGCCGCGTCAAGTTCAGCTTTTCGCTCCCCGAGGACTGCTCTGTTCTTCCTCAGAACCTCCTTGAACTGATTTTCCAGTCTCGTCTTCAAGTCACCTTTGGCCAGTTCAACTGCGGACTGTGTAGAATTGATCTGCTCTTGAAGGGCTGTCTGCGCTTCGTCGCGTTCAACCTTCACCTTGTCAAGTTCGCTCTTGAGCTCATCACGTTCTGTCTCCAGGCTGGTGAGCTTCTCTTTCAGTGCTTCCAACTCAGCGGGATCAACCCGGTCATACTTGGAAAGAATGTTCTGGGTGCGTTGTTGCCAATGATCACGGTCTTCCTGGCTCAATTTCAGCTCGCCTTCGCGTAGTTCAACCAGATTTTCGAGCTCTGCAACCCGGGCATGCAATGCTTGCACTTGACTTTCCAGTTCCTCGACACGTTTAGATTTCTCTGCAAGCGCTTGGGTGGCCTGTTTGGCCTCCGCTCTAAGCGTAACGCTGCTTTCTCGATAGAGGTTCAGCTCATTCAGGGACTCCATGAGCTTGTTATGTTCAAGTTTGTTCCGCTCAGAGTCAGCGTCCGCGCGGCGCTGTTGATCCAACTTGAGACGCGTTTCATCAAGTTGAGATTGGGTGAAGTCAAGCTGTTGTCTTAGTCTTTTCGCTTCTTGTAGCGACAGCTGATACTGAACATCGACAATGTCCTTCTCGCGCCGCAGATAGGTAATGACCTCCTGTAATCTGTCCAGCTCTGCAGATGGTTGTTCAGTGGCCTCCTCGTTGTCTCCTTCTGCCATTGCGGCACGATCGCGTTGCAGGGCAGTGATTTGCTGCGTGACACTTTCCAGTTGTCCATGCAAGAGGTTATTTTGCTGGACGACTTCCTCACGTCGCTTCTTCAGGTCAGAGATTTCTCTTTCGTATCGTTCCTTCATGTCTTCCCAACTCGCTGCTTTCTGTTCCAGATCTGACTTGTATGTGGAAGCCTGGGTTCGAAGATCCACCATTTCTAGACGAAGTTGATTTGCTTCCTCCCGAATCACATGCAGATTCTTAGCGGCTTCTGCATGTCTGACAAGCTCGTTCTCGTAATTCTGTTGTGCTTCCGTGGCAATTTCTGCTTGGATCTTGGAAGCCTCCAGGTTGAACTGGGCTTGTTCCGCGTTCTTTTCGGCCTCTTCCTTGACACGTTCCACCTCGGCCTCAAAGCTTGCCTTTTGTTCGTCCATTCTGTGTTGAAACTCTGCCTGTTCGTCGCGGAGTTTGGAAAGTTCCGAGTTTGTGGTGCTCAATTCTGAAGAAATGTCCTCAATCCGCTGTTCAAGCTCTTTGATCTTTGCGTCCTTTTCAGCAAGAGCCGCTTCCGTCTCTTCGCGGTATTGGTCATTTGTCTCACTAAGTTCCTGAAGGCGCTCTTCACTGGATTGACTGATGTTTTTATACACCTCAACCTGTTCATTGGCCCGTTCAAGTTCGGAGACCTTGAGCTCAAGGTCACGCTTAAGCTCAGAAACTTCGACGGCCAATTCTTGCTCCTTGGTGATTGGACTCTCTTCCTGCCCATTGGGTTCGTTGGTGGGCTCTGCAGGTTTGGTCAGGACCTCCAACCGTTCTTCCGCAGAACGAAGCTCAACTGTAAGCTCATCCACTCTAGCCTGTAAATGATCTCTGGCCGTCTTTGCGGAGGCGAGCTCTTCTTTTGTTGAGCCGAGACTCGTAACCAAATCATCGATTCTCTTCTGGGCTTGGTTGTGCTCGTACTCTCGTCTCAACGCAGCTTTCTTGCTTTCTTCGTTCTCCTCGTTCAGTTTTCTCTTGACAGATTGGAGTTCAGCCTCCAGGGCTTCTGAATGTGACTGCAGTCGTCGGCGGCCCTCAGCATCGGTTTGCTCCCGCTCATTGATCATAGTTTGGAGGGTGGCGTTGAGCTGATCTAATCGACTTCTCTCGTTGCGAAGAGACTCGTTGTCATCGATCAAACGTTTTTCGACGCTCTTCCACAGGTCCTTCTCGGCTTTGAGGTTTGCGGCATCCCGACGCAGGCTGTCAAGCAGGCCACGAGCCTCAACAAGCTCTTCAGCAACTTGCTGTGTTTTCAGTTCCTGCTTGGTCGCGTTCTCCATGGCCGTCCAGGATCTCTTTTGAATCTCAGCATTTTCAGCCTTGAGAGAGTTGTAATTTGCCTGCAGCATTTCGTAGCGTTGATTGGCAGCGGTAAGTTGTCCCAGGGTCCGACTCATCTCAGTTTGCAGCTGCGAGTTCTTCCTACTCAATTCATCGACTTGGTTCTTCAAGGCAGTGTGATCGGTCGAGGCTTCCTGGCGATACGAGTCAAAGTGTTGCTGAAGATCTCTGAGTAACTTCGCATAGTCGGAATCGCCACCCGTGGCAGATGCTGCGAGTGAATCTGCTCCGCCGGCAGGTATAGGCAATGACCGCGAAAAGTCGGTGGGTTGAACTTGAGCAGGTAGATGACCGCGTCTGGTGAGCATGTTTCGGAACATGTCTCTCTCCTTAACGAAGCTCTGTGTTTGAGCCACCATGGTCCGGAGTTCGTCTTGATACGAAGCAATCTGTGCACGCGCCTGCTCGAGCTCTTGGCTAAGAGCATGGTTCTGCTGCTCTTTCTCCTTGGTCTCATTGCTTTCGAGCTCACTGACCAAATTGCGAATAGTCTTGAGTTGGTTTTCGTTCTGTTGTTGGAGTTCGTGGATGTTCTTGAACACAATCAACCGCTGATTGATCAATTGCTGAGTTTCAGAGAGGTTGGCCATATCTTGGGACATGGCCTCCTTTGCCTGATTTTCTAGATCATCAAACTCCTCCCGCGTGAGATTGCCACCTTGCTCCCGCACATGTTGTTCGATTAGGAGGAAGCGAATCTCTGAGCCCATATCTCGGAGTTGCTGAGTCAGAACCTGAACTTCTTTTGATTTGCCCTCCAGCTGACCCTGACAGTTCCTCAGTTCTTTAATGGCTGAGTCGCGGTCTGCATTCGCCTTATCCACAATAGAAGACATCTCCACCACCTCACTCTGGAGTCGCTCATGGTCTGTTCGAAGCTCTTCAATCTCCGGTTTGTTGCTTTCGAGCTCCTCAACCATAGCGTCAAGGTTCTCCCGCAGTTGCTCGCTGACACGCTTCTCGTTCGCCAATTCTGCTTCAAGCTTCTTGTACTCCGAGAACAGCTGAGTCATAGTCATCTGTGTCCGCGGTCTTGACACACTGGCAGGAGTGAAGATCCCACTGGGCGTTCCAGGGCGTAGAGGAGTGGTGATGCCGGATCCATTGGAGGGTCGCTGAGGAGTGCTAGGTCGGGCACGGGCTTCCTCGAGCTCACCGGACAGTTGTTCCAGGGACTTTTCCAGTTCAGCAACTCGCTGCTCAGCAGCCACGCGGTCATTGTGTTCCGTTTCGATTTCCGCGCGAATAGTCCCGATCTCTTCTGCTGCCTCCTCGCGAGCCTCTTCCAATGCAGCAGACAGTTCTTGAACGCGTTGTTTGGCTGTTTCCGCAGATGCTGCCTGCAACTGTGCAAGGCGATTGACGCTTTCAAGTTCGACACGGAAGGCATCCTCCGCAGAGATTTTCTCTTCCCGTAGCTTCTGTACTTCCTCCAACGTGTCTTCAAACTTGGTCATTTGTTCCTCCAAACGGTGTTTGAGAGAAGTCTCGGATCGTCTCAAAGCCTCAACCTCGGAGATGTACTGCTCGTTCGACCTGGAAAGCTCGGATATGCGTGCGTTCTTCTCCTTACGGAAGTTTGCGTGCTCGTCTGCCTTGATTTTTCTTTCATTTTCAAGCCACTCGTTGTTCTTCTTCAACATCTCCACCTCTTGCTGAAGACTCTGTTCCTTGAACCTGGCGCTGGCGACAGCGGCGTTGGCAGACTGCACCGACTGCTCGAGGGTCGTGATCTGCCTACGAAGTTCAACCGCTTTCTGGTGTTGCGCAGAGAGATCTTGTGACAGGCTCTCGTATGCAGTGGTCTTGGATTCCAATAGGACCAGGGTATCTCTGTTTGCGGCCTCGAGCGAAGAGATACGAGATTTGAGGGTGGTGATCTCGACATTTTCGTTGGCAGTAGCCGAGCGTAATTGCTCGACCTCTGAGTCCAGTCTTGAGCGTGCATTTTCTAGCACGAGTTAATTGACAGCAACGAGTAAATAGAAATTGTCAAAACGTACCAGCAGTCTGGAGGTCCACGCGTAACTTGCTCGCTTCTGCAAGAGCCTTGTCACGGGAGTTTTGCAGAACTTTCACCTTTGACTCATTCGTCCTAACCACCGTTTCCAACTCCACCTCGAGTTTGATCTTTTGCGATTTGTTCTGCTCGCATTCTTTGGCCCGGTTCTCGATACTGCGGAGGAATGACACAACAAGTTCTGTCGTAGGGCTGTCGATCAGAGATGTAATGGAGGTCTCGGGTAGAGAAGAAAACGCTGAAATGACGCGAGTATCTACCTCGGTCGCCATGGTAGATGTGCGAACAGGTGGGAAGCGACCGTGTCAGGTCAAAAGAGAATTAGAACTGTAGACCCACGCCTCCCTCAAAGGCGAAAGGCGACGAGCTTTTCAGAGCAGAATAGAAAGATGCCTGACACCCCTCACCATCGCGCGGAGAAGGCCAAACCCGCGAAACGAAGAGACGACAAGGTGGTGGAAAGAGAGGCAATGTATGAAGGGATGGTGGTGGATGAGACGCAGCGATCTAAACAGACGAAGACGGCGGGCGCGGGCAAGTGAAGAAAACGTGACCTGAGCACTCTTGATTCGCTGGTTTTGGGGGACGGGCGCCTTTCTTGCTGCAGCCTCCAATCAAGCCTTAGAGCCTTACGGGCGCGGCTAATGAGTATCTGCGCTTTTCGGTTTTAGGCAGCCAGGAGCCTAAATTAGCCCGAACTGGGGTTCAAGTTCGCCCAAACATCATATCTAGGTAGGTCGTCACTCTACTTACCTCACTCACTTCTCATCTATACATCATCTATTCCGTTCCTTTCTTCAGCCCTTCGCTTACCTTCATCGTGGACCCCTCTGACCAGCTCTCTGACACTAGAATCACGGTCTGTCAACGGACAGGTCCTGGCCTTTAGCATATCTCTTTGTTCGACCATGAACTGAAACCTCAACCACGAACGGAAGAGATCCTTTCACTAGGCCACCTCTTCCCACCTCACCCACTACTTCCGGCCACGGCCACAACCACCCCTCTCTCATTCCACCGCATTCATTGTCGTCCAAGACACAATGTCTTCATTGTACGCGACACCCACGTCAGCCGCAGGCAGTGATGCGCGGACCAACGTGGTCTACGCCGCCAACCGCCTCAAAGAGAAGTTTCCAGAGAGCATAAGTTGGGACGACCTTGTCGCATTCGTGCTGCCCTCGCATAAGCGGACAGAAGAACAGATCGATATGTTCCGGCGTTTCCTCCAGGTCAATCCCAAAGTCAGCCACGACCCAGCCACGGATAGCTACAGGTTCAAACCGCTCCACGACATCGCGTCGGCCGACGACTTGCTCAAGTACCTCCAGAACCAGGATTCAGCTCTGGGGCTTAATGTGCGCGAGTTGAAGGATGGCTGGACGGATGTTGAGGAGACGATCGACCGGCTCGAGGCCGAACACAAGATCCTGGTGGTCCGCAATAAGAAGGACAACCATCCGCGCATGGTCTGGCTCGACGACCCGACCCTCGTCGCACCTCTGGACCAAGAATTTAAGGACATCTGGTTACAGATCCCGTTGCCGTCGGTCGAAGACACCATCAAGGAATTGCGTCGGATGAATCACAAGTCGACTGGTGAGCCAGCGCGGACCGATGCGATCACCAGGCCCAAGAAGGAGAAGAGAAAAGTGCGGCGTGGACAAAAGGTCACCAACGTGCATATGCAGGGCTTGTTCAGGGACTATTCGGAGAGACGACCACAAGGCGGGAAATGAGCATGCCGGGTGCAGACACGCTTAGTCCTGGCTTTATCGCTACGTTGCTCCCAGAAGAGATCCTTGACTTGCCAGCATGGACAGGGTCCAAAGCAGCTGACAGGTCGGGCCATGGAACCCACATGGAATGGAGAGATGCCTGGCACTTGAATTGGTCCTACGCCAAACACAGACGAGCTAAAGCTCGTTATTTCAAGTGACTGAGGTCGAGAATACTAATTGAGATGATATTCAGCCAGCATGAGAAAAACCATTTTCCATCGAGTGCATGGTACACCCATTCTTCTTTGCGCATTGCTTCTAGGAACCCTTTGAGATTTCTTTTTCTATGTGAACTCCTACCAAGATATGATGCAACCAAGAACCAATCGAAGGCAGGGCTTCAGTGCAGTGCAGTGTCTTGATCATTACCTCAACATCTCTGGGGAGGATATTCAGCGCGATCGAAATATTGAGGACCTATTCTAGCTTCTTCAGCCCAGTCGAAGACAACACTCCGTCCTCTTTCCATGCATGCCTTGAGAAATATAGTTCTTGCTCCAACCCTTCATCCTTCATCCTCGTCCTCCTGCTGCTCTACAGATTGTTCCAACATGGGCCGTATCGAGTAGCCGTCGTCGTTGATCGCCGTGCAATGGGCACGATAAGCGGCTATCATATATCCATAAAAGTCCCGGATGTACAGTAAATGGCATATAATGTATACGTGCAATACCTTTGCATGCGTACGCAGCTAGCAGATGGCACAGTGTTATCATGCTGCATGGTTTTTTTGCTCGAGGTCGCTCGCTATCATACGAATCTGCACTTGCACAGTGGTCCCAAGGTCAGGGAGAAGTTCAGGGACAGTCATCTAATCTGATACTGGGCCTTTATGGTTCCTTCTTTTCATTTCTATTTTTGATATGTGCAAGCACTTCCGTAGGATACACTTGACTGAGTACAGCCCCGATTTTCGATCCCTTCAGCAACCAAGTCCGCCGCAAAGAAGCTCACTCAGCCTTGCTGGCCCCTAGATCTCTTTCCGCAACCGAGCATGACCGACCCCTTTGGTAATTCGACCACACACCTCTCATACTTACCAAGACAAAGCCTAATTGGATCTGCATCCACCTATATACCTGTATATATCAACCCCGTTTGTTCAATGATGTCCATTGGCTGCAATTCCGCCAGCCGGGACCTGTTGTTGTTGTTCTTGTTCTTTCTGCACATATTCGACCAAATCCTCAATCGTACAAACCTTCAGCCCCCACTTCTGGCCAAACTCAAGACAGGCATCTCTCCTCATCATGCCGGGCTCCTTCATGGCGGCCTGTCCGGCAATAGGTTCTCCATCGTCGACCATCTCGCAGATGACCCCGACCTGGGCTTTGCCTGCCAAGCGACAGAATTCCACCGCGGCCTCCGTGTGTCCAGGACGCTCCACGACACCTCCATCCCTCGCTATCAGCGGGAGGACATGGCCCGGCCGTCTCAGGCTGGCGGCAGTGGCCTTGGCGCTTGCCAGGGTCCTGCACGTGAGGGCGCGGTCGTGGGCCGAAATGCCTGTGGTGAGGGTACCGTCGTGCGCGTCGACCGAGACGGTGTAGGCCGTGCCTTTGGGATCTTCGTTGTTCACGACCATTGGCGGCAGCGCCAGGTCGACGGCCCGCTGCGCCGTGAGAGGAGCGCAGACGTAACCGCTGGTGTGGCGGACCATGAAGGCCATTTGCTCGGTGGTCACGTCCTCGGCCGCGATGATCAGGTCGCCTTCATTCTCGCGGTCCTGCGAGTCGAGAACCACGATGAATTCGCCGTTGCGGAAGGCTTCGATGGTGGATGCGATGGAGTCGAAGCGTTTCGTGACAGGAGTGGGAGGATGCATTTTTTTGGAGGTAGCGTCGATTTGTATAGATACAACAAGGATATTGAGATCTGAGAGTCTGGTCGCTGTAACAGTTCCGTTCGAACACTGCAGGAATTCTTCTTCGTGCAAGATTGGGAGTCTCGGATATCCGTATGGACTATCAACCTCTCCCAATCAGATCCACTGGTCTGGTGCGTTCTGCAAGATTTTCGTGGTGGTGGCCTTCGTTCAATTCCTCGTTGTCGGTCAATTCACAGTCGAGTTGTTCCACCGCCGAACGTCAACGAACAACCTCCCGCCGAAAATACCGAGGATACCGAAAATGCCGCGAGATCTGAATTCCCTTTGAAACACTAGGCAAGGACACCTAACGGACAAAAAGCCGTCGATGTCGAGACGTCCAAATCAAATCCTGAAGATCTGTCCAACAAGGACACTCAATAAAGCAGCCAAAAACAATCCCTGATTGGCGTATCCGTGTGATAAGGACCACGGTAAGGATGCGACAACCAACAATAGTAGAAGGTGATAAAGATCAAGATAATCTGATATGTGATGAATTCTGTGAGAATCTACCCCTTCGTCCAGATCGCCTTTCTTGCTGTCGGATTGGGGGGCCGATTTTCTCTTCCTATCGGATTGGCAGGCCGATAATCCTGTAAATAGTTGGGATGGGCGCAATGGCGGAGATGGCGGTTCAATTAATGAGCTGTCACACTTTTGGAGAGAAAGAAGACGACTTGCTGGCGGCGGGGGATGGAAATGGCGGAAGATATATTCATTGCTAATTAATGACTAGTACTATTATTTGGCCTACTACTAGTATGGCACTGGCAGTCTAGACTTATTAAGACTTCGTTACTGCTATGTCCACGCACCACCTACAGATGCCCTTATTAAACAACCGCTCCCTAGACTCCCTAGGCTCCTCCTTCCTGTTCTACCTGCGGGAACTTTCCCGTTCATTTGTCAGGCAGGTGAGAAAATTGGTCAGACAAGAAAAGGGCGCCATAACTAGTGCTAGTAGGTAGTACGTACTAAACTTACTAGTGGTAGTACTACAGGCATCATCATCACCACCACCTCTCACTACAGGTACGTACCTCATTAACAAATTCCCAGATATTTAATAATCGCTCCCACTGAGCACTTATACGTACCATAGAGTCCAACCTCATCCGTCTTTTCGTTTCATCCCAAGTTTACAGGGTAGCCTATGTACCTGTAGGCCATAGATTAAGTCACTGCACTGAACTGCACAATCTTTTCTGCCTCGGCGCGGCAGCTCCGGCATTTACTGAGTCATCAACCGCAATAATATTTGTGCTCTTCCGTGTACAGAGTACAGTGCATGCCTCACTATTAAGGAGATCGAGGTACCTATGAGCCTCACCTATAGACGTCAAGGTACCTCGTCTCATCAATTAGAAAGTGCTTTATCTCCTTACCGAGTCAACAAATCACCCGTTGTGCCCAGCAATGATGTTTCTGTTCTTTCAACAAACTCGAAGCGCAGGCAAAATGCTCAAATACAAGCTCAAATATAATAAGCCAAAGCACATGTTCAGCCGCCTTCTCGTAGGGCGGCACATGATGATTCCGAACACCAGCCAGGCCTTACAGAGTCATGACATCTGCTTCGACAGCATCAGAAAGTTGACAGTTGTCCCTTCGTACTTCGTCGTCGCCGGCAGCTGGTATGTGACACACCTGTCCGGACCTGATTCCCCCGGTACAGCCCTGTCCCTCACCCTGCGGAAACATCAATCTTCCTGCCTCTTGGTCCTCTCGAAGGCGTCTCTACCTGGATCATCTCGTCGCTGGGCGGTGCGTCTGATCCATCGTTATTGAGCCAAGCATGCGAGAACCATCCTCGGCCTCGCACTTGTCGCAGGAATTGACCCATCAAACCGGACTCAGCAGGGGCGACTTCTCGATCTTGATTAGGATCCCATGCATTCTCCATCCTTTCGGTCGATTGATCCCCTTCATGCGCTTCCAGATTAGATTTGCTTCCACAAAGGTCGTCCTCTATATCTTCATCATATCTGAACAGTTCTGTCTTGAGCCTGTTCCCTGACAAAACTCCTGGCGTAAACGGTGACACCATGGGTCTTTTGGGTGTGCCGCGCCTAATAGGATTGGCCACAACAATCTCATCATCCATTCGCACGGGACTTGACAATGGCGAGATTGGCGGTCGTCTTGCCTGCGCCAAAGGTGAGAGAATGCCCCGAGTGGGATAGTTCGAAGGTAATTTGAATCTGCCAAGGTTGGCTTTTGTTCTCGAAGGAGTCGTCAGAATCTTGGGGAGGTTCGAGACAGTGGTGCCGGGGATTTCGACCACGACTTTGGCCTTCTTGACGGGCCGTTTCATGGCGACTTCATCCTCCTCGCCTGATTTCCGTTTCCGTTTGGGCTGTGCAGACTTTGTAACCGTCAATCCGATGTCGCCTTGTCGAAGCCACAAGTCCGGCCGTCGCGTCTTGAGGTCGTCCACCCAGTCGTCACAATCCATGGCCACAAAGTCATCGATTATCCCTTCCCACACGCTCTCTGCCGGTCGAGTACGGTTGACAAAGATGACTCGACCCTTGCCATTCTTACGCGCATGAACCGCTTTGGCAAATTCTCGCACAATCTTCTGTAGGCCGAACACTTTCAACGATGTCCCCATGACGACCATGACTTCTGGCTGACATTTGGCATCAAACGGGATCAACGGCGTGAGCAGTGTATTCAAAGGGTGATCTTCGCCGTACAACACGATATTGGGCCGCAAGGCTCCCGTCGCCAACCCTCGTTTCCCACTTGCCTGCCGTTCCTCGCTTTTTGCTTTGCACTTCGGACAACCAGGTGCTGCTCCTTGCAGGTAAATGTCGGTTTCTTCGTCAGTCCATTCAAACTGCGTGGCACACATCGTGCAGCGCAGTTTTTCCAGGTCACCGTGAAGTTGTACCACTTCACACCCTCCATCGAAGTCGGTTCCTGGTATATACGCAGGTCGTGGGACCTCGACGTGTTTCTTCATGAAGCGACGTTTGTTGCCCTTGCCACGGGCCAGGTCCGTGACTAGACCTTCCCTGCCCTCCAGCCCGTCAATATTTTGTGTATAACATCGCATCAACCTCCCACCATCACGAAGAACTCTGACGAACTTGTGGACAGTACTAGTTGATCGAACCTCGTCTCGGATCTTTTGTCGCAACGAGGCAATGAACTGATAGAACATTGTTGTAGATGCTGCGTTCTGGAACACCCTGGAGTCAAACAAGTCCTGCCCTCTGATTTTCGAGGATGGACTCGCTGAAGATCGGCGGCTGGCGATCGAAGAAGTGGACGATTGCGAGGACGACAAGTCCTCTTCGTTGAAAGACATGACGCGTTTTGTCGCCGGTGTTGACGGTTCAGATGGTGGAGGTGAGGGAAGCATGTTCTGTTCGGGAATCATGTTGTAAAGTCCGTCTTTAGATCGGAAGTCCTTTGCGCAGGTGAGCTTCGAGGGGCCCCATTGTTGCAAAGATGACTTACTGGGATGCCGCAGCTCGTGCTGATTCCAGCACCTGTAACGAGAAGGATCTTGTGCGACGATGCAAGGATGTCTGCGATCTCTTGCAGGAGTCGGTCCTCGCTCGCGGTCACCTCTCGCAAACCCATACTGAAGTCGCGAGAAATCGGTTGGACTCAGATGGAGGGTTTGGTGGATGATGTCGTGGTTGGGAATCTTCAGATGACAACGAGGTGAGATGAACAGGGACAGTCTTTGGGTGTACACCGCGAATATACAAAGGTGCACAGTTCAGCAGGACCACACTCCCCCAGCCAGGTACGCGTTAATTTCGCGTCGGACGTCATTCAATGGAGGTGAAGGACCCACGCGTAGTGCCTCGCATGGCCCGGAGAGACAGGGTAGAATGTAGTGGACAAGTCCTGGGACCTTTGCACTATATACTCGTGTGACAAATATAAATATCTACGGATCAGAATGATGTTTGTCTACCGGGAACATTCTAAGCTTCTGTATGTGAGGCTGCGCATTTGTTTATGGCCCGAGGCTGCCACTTTGCCAATCAGGTTGAGCTCAACGGGAGATCGACCGCTAGATACTAGCTCCCGCCGTACCTGGCCGGAATCGGATCAATGAATTACCGGCCCACGAGTCGCTATACAGCACTGGTGAGTCGCTATACAGCACTGGTGAGGAGGTCTTGCCATGGACAGGAGGTTGCCTGAAACCCTTTGCCTTGGGATCAGTTGCGTCGGTCTGCGTGTGACAGGAGGAGCAACATCCAAATCTGCTTGCTGTGCATTGGCAGACTCGGAGATTGTCTCGCTTTTAGCCACCCGGAATCTGATCCAGTGCCGTGGCTAGAGTGCAAGCAGATGGAAACCTATCGCATAAACGAAAGGCTCCCTAATCCACTGACTTGCTGCATTTCAAAGTTCCTGCGCGTATTCGATGCTGTCGACATCCAATCTTCTCCGTTTAGCACGAGGTCCATCTCCTGCGAAACTCTCCGATGGCAACACCTCTCCAAAGGATTCCCATTCAGCCTGATACTGCACTGACCAGCCCGCGCATTCTTGTGCCGTCTTCCTCATCACTCTTGGACGCGCCCCCAAGCCAGGACTTTCCTCTGACTTGACCATTTCCTCGGATCGAGCACCTAACAACTGCAGTAGACGTGTTTCTTCCAGCTTTCTCGCCTCTTGATCCATCCGTTCCATATAGTCGTCTTGTTCTTCTTCGAGAAGCTGGATCCGGTCTTGCCTTGACAATGGCACATTCGGCTCTGCGTCCCCTTCTGAGCTAGACGATGTGCCCGGCTCGTCAGAGCTACCAAAGACTTCGTCATCACCTTCACGTCCAGGGGAAGCAACCTCGTCGATAGCATCGGCAGCAACATCACTTTCCACGCCAGAGCTTCCTTCGAAATTTGTATCCAATTCACTGCCATCAAAAGAATCGACTGAAGACGCACGACTTCCCTTATTCGAGGCTTCGGACGCAGTTGTTGATATCGACCTCCTTCGCCGGGGGTTTGAGAGTCTTGCTTCGACTTCTTCGTATGACATGAGGTGTTGACGACGGCTACGCCTCTTGGTAGAGTTTGGAACCACTGCCAAGTTGTTCCTCCTGGCCATGCCAATCCAGAAAGTGTCCGCGTTTTTCTTGACACCCAGCACCGACAAGGCAGCTGTCACGTCTCCGGATCTGACTACCTTTGAGGGCTTATGGCCATTGGCCGTCGAGGATCTGATGCGACATTGTGCCATAAAAAGACAAGATTGTACCAATCTCCTGGTGAAGTTGACCACAAGATCGTAGAAACTTGTCACAACGTCCATGGTCATAGTAGGCCCCTGCCCTTCTTCAGCAAGGGTGTCCCACTGATCCGGGCCATCGGAGCCTTGATTCATGAAGTATTGCTTGCTGAGACTGAGGAATGTCGAGAGGTGGAACAGTCCTGTAGCGTCATCTACACCTGGATCGTCCTCATTACCAGAGTCCCGGTCAGAAAGATCACCTGCAGCTTCAGCCTCGTCCGCCTTTTGGTCGAGCTCGGATGCCGTAGTTTGGTCGATGAGCCATAGTGCTGTGTTTCGCAGACCGACGGCGTGATCATACTGCTCCTGGAAAGCTGCAAGAGCATCGGCGGCCTGGTCAAGCAAAGTTTCACACTCAGGACCAATCTCTATGGCGGCGGGTATATCAGCGTGTGACACATTCTTGGTTTCAGGTTCGAAAAGCTGGCGGTCTGTTTCTTGCTCCAGCAGGTTGTCCAAATACGCTTTGACTTCAACCTCAGATTTGGTGCCGATCGCCGCAGACAAGCCTTGCAAGTCGTGTCGACCTTTCTGGCAAAGAGCTTGGTATAGTGCTGCTTTTTCTGAAGGCTGCCAAACAACAGCCCCCAACTGAGTAGGGATTAACTCATCATCAAAAGCCTCCTCCCCACCGTCTCCAGGGTACATCCTGAACAATTCGAGGTATTGATCATTGTAGTGTCGACGGAGTCGCGTCCATTTTCGTTGGTGAAACGGAACCGAATTGGACATTTCGGCTGGTAATGAAATCTTGGAGTTGTCACTCGCACCCGGATCAGATCTAGGATGACCACCATCGTCGAGTAACATTGCATTAGGTATATGAGACAGAAGGTCGTCCGTCTCATCCTGGTTGTCTTGGACGTCCATGGTCTAACTTTTCTTTCCAGGACATGTTATTGTTACAATGCCGAGCACTGAAAAATGCAGGGTTTCCAATCAGGCCGGTGTTAGGCCAGATCAAGACGTTTCACCAAAAGTCACGCAGCACGCACTGGCAGCAGTGTTGAGAGTATAACAAACATTGACGCGATGGCCAACTGTTTGCTCCAATCGAAGTTTGATGCTGAATTAAAGGCAGCTTCAGGCTGATGACAAAAATGGAATAGCTTCAATGACATGGTCACGTGATTGAGCTGCTCCTGGCCGCTTTAACTATTCTTGCTGTTATGTCTACCTAATTGTAACATACTAGGAGTAGGTGCCTGGTAGGTAGGTAGGTATGCCAGTGTGGGTATAGTAATAAATGATGATGCCTCCAGTGGCCGTGATATTTGCGCCGCCTGAAGTACGTACCTTAGTTTTTAGAGTGCACAGCCTTGCGGCCCCACAGCCTTGCATGAACAAACCCCCGGGCGAGCCCCTTGCAAATAAAGCAGCGTGATCTTCTCCAAGACTCACTGGAGTTGCCTTCAAGCCGGTCGAGGGTACCCTACACATTCTTCTTTTGGGTGCGGCCACCTCTGAGATGATTTACATTGTATTATGCTAGCGCCGGTCAGATGGTTGAACAGGGTCACACGATCAGCGCAATGCCTTTTAGGGCCGCGAGAAACTTGGCGCTCGCTTGCCAGCGTCATCAACACGACATCGCCTGCGCTGCGTGAAGAGGGAATCCGGTTGCGCGAATATCAAGAAGAATGCATACAGTCGGTTCTGTCATACCTTGACAAAGGACATAAACGACTGGGGATTTCGCTCGCTACAGGCAGCGGTAAGACGGTAAGGAAGCATAACCCTGTCCAATTGCACCGAGGCTTGGGAAATGTCGACTAAATTCTGTCGCAAAGGTCATTTTCACACAATTGATCAATCGGATCGAGCCACCGAACAAACATGCTCAGCAGACGCTCATCCTTGCTCACCGGCGAGAGCTGGTCGAGCAAGCAGCCCGTCATTGCGCGAAGGCGTATCCTGAGAAAAGCATAGATATCGAGATGGGCGAGACGCACGCTTCTGGGGCCGCAGATATAACGGTTGCCTCTGTGCGCAGCTTGTTGTCCGGAGACCGTCTCAGCAAATACCGCCCGGACAGATTCAAACTTGTGCTAGTCGACGAAGCGCATCACATCGTGGCGGCCGGGTACCTGCAAGTCCTCGAACACTTCGGGTTGGAAGAGAGGCGAGAAGACAGTCCAGCTCTGGTCGGAGTGTCCGCGACGTTTTCTCGCTTCGACGGCCTACGGCTGGGCACTGCGATCGACCACATCGTCTACCACAAGGATTACGTGGATATGATCGGAAAGAAATGGTTGTCGGATGTCATGTTCACGACGGTCAAGTCCCAGGCCGACCTTTCAAGCGTCCGGTCGGGAAAAGACGGCGATTTCCAACCAGGACAACTCTCAGCCGCCGTCAACAACGAGGTTACCAACGAAATCACGGTGCAGGCATGGATGGAAGAAGCGAAAGAACGCAAGTCGACCCTCGTGTTTTGCGTTGATATCAAACATGTTGAGAGCTTGACTTGGACGTTCCGCAAGCACGGAATTGATGCGCGATACATCACAGGGTCCACGAAGAAAAAGGTGCGAGGCGACCGACTCGAGGCCTTCAAGAACCGCGAGTTCCCCGTTCTGCTGAATTGCGGCGTCTTCACCGAAGGAACCGACATGCCCAATATTGATTGTGTCCTTCTCGCCCGCCCAACGAAATCTCGCAACTTGCTCGTCCAGATGATCGGCCGGGGAATGCGCCTATATCCGGGAAAGTCAGACTGCCATGTAATCGACATGGTGGCGTCTCTGGAAACCGGTATCGTCACAGTCCCAACTCTATTCGGGCTCGATCCCTCTGAGACGGTCAAGGAGGCGCGTCCGGATGACCTAAACGAGTTGAAAGAAAAGAAGGAGACAGGGCAGTTGACGGAGTCCAGTCATGTGACTGCGTCCTCTTCTTCCGAAGCTGCTGTCCCGGACCATCGTCTTGACTTTACACATTATGACACGGTTCAGGACCTGATCGAGGATACCTCAGGCGAACGACACGTACGCTCCATGTCACCCAACGCCTGGGTTCAAGTGGACGCCCACAAATACATCCTCGCAGCCAGGGGTGGGGTGTTGACACTGGAACGCCGGGCGGCGTCCGCTTCTACACCATCAGACACAGGGTCCAGCTCTGCACCATCAAATATTTACTCCGTCATATGGAAACACAACCTCCCGTCAACGGAAGCGAGCAAATCGCCCTGGTCGCGACCCCGGACGGTAGCTACAGCAGTCACACTCTCTGACGCTCTCCACGCCGCCGATACCTTCGCTTCTACCAAGTTTGAACGGATCTTCATCGCGACGAGCTCGAAGTGGCGCAGAAGTCCCGCCTCTGAGGGCCAGCTGAACTTCCTCAATCGTCTGCGAGAGGTCTCGGAAGAAGATACAGTCCAGCGCCTGACGGAGGACGACATCACCAAAGGCCAGGCCGGAGACATGATAACGAAGGTCAAATTTGGTGCGCGCGGGCGTTTTGATAAATTGCAGATCAAGACGAGGAAGCAAGAGAGGCAGCTGGAGAAAGCACGTAAAGTTAGAGAGATGAGACAGCGGGAAACCGTCAAGGTTGGGCCGCTGGAGGCCTAGTGCAGCAGGGCCAGGCCGAATGAAGGTTTCAAATGTAGCTCCCTGGTCGAGGCGAAACAAGATTGGTCAACTCATATTTTCGTATGATTCGCTCTAAGAAACTGGATAGTACATCAACCAACCCAAACAGTGCCGCTGTAGCCTCACACCGGCGTCAATATCTCAATATGCAACTTGCCACGAGGAGGCGCGGCACTCCCACCACGGGTCACAGGCATATTTACAGGTGGCTGATGATGGCTTGGGCATACTCGTGCGTCTTGGCCTTTCCGCCCAAATCACCCGTCAGAGTCTTGCCTTCAGCCAGCGTTGCAAAAATGGCACTCTCAATCTTGGCCGCGTACTCGTTCAGGCCCATGTGCCGTAACATCATAATACTGCTGAGAAGCAACGCGGTCGGGTTGGCGAGCCCCTTGCCTGCAATATCAGGAGCTGAGCCGTGGACGGCTTCAAAAATGGAGCATTCGTCACCAATGTTTCCAGATGGAGTGAGACCCAAACCACCAATCAAACCAGCGCACATATCGGACAAAATGTCACCGTAAAGGTTAGGCATGACCAGGACTTTGTCGGAGTATGGGCCTGGGTCGGTTGTAATCTTCAAGCAGGCATTGTCCAGAAGCTCGGCGTCGAATTGAATGTCAGGGAAGTCCTTGGCAACATCCCTTGCGGTGCTGAGGAATAGACCATCGGACATCTTCATGATGGTGGCCTTGTGAACAACGCGGACCTTCTTTCTGTTGACCGCTCGCGCATACTGGAAAGCGTATCTGAGGACTCTTTCCGAAGCTGCACGGGTGATGAGCTTGATCGACTGCACAACGCCATCCACAACCACATGTTCAATGCCGCTGTACTCTCCTTCGGTGTTTTCTCGGATCAGAACTGTGTCGACGTTGTCGTAGGGAGTCTTGTAGCCTTCGATGCTGCGGCAGGGACGGACATTGGCGAAGAGATTGAAAGTTCGTCGGAGAGTGAGGTTGAGAGAAACGTGTCCCTTGCCCACGGGAGTTGCAAGAGGTCCTTTCAGAGCAACATAATTCTTCTGCACCGACTCAATTGCCTCGTCAGGAATCACGGTCCGGCCATCCTTCAAGCGCGGCGTGACATCCACCGGTTCCCAGACAATGGGCACCTTTGCTGCCGTGTAGATGTCCTTGACAGACTGTGAGATTTCTGGGCCGATACCGTCTCCCTCTATTAATGTGACCGTATAGTTCCCATCCGGCCCCTTCTTGCCCTTGAATCTGGCGACTTGGTCTGCCTCTGCAGTAGATGCGAAGCGTCGGGGTTGAGCCTACGTAGCACAAGTCAGCCAAAAGAGTCCGGATAAATGCTTCGGATCATGTACAGTTCGAACCTGAAAGAAAGCCGGAGCCCAGGTCGGCTGTTGACAGGCTTTTCGCAAGCACTGACGAGCGGGAGAAGCAAACACTCGAGAGGCGATCATGATGGGCAGATACCAGCGTAGATGCTGAAAGAAACGGCCAACAAACTTCAGCAATGACTCCTGGTCACAGCACGCAGCATTGAACGAGCGACCAAGCAGAAAGTGAAGCTATTGACCTGAGTTTGGAGCAGGACAGGATAGTGGTGGAGCTCTGAAGAGCATGCTTTTTATCTGGCGTAGCGCAGTTACATCACTTTAATTGGCGCAATTGAGCTCCACGCTGGAGGGCAGCTGCCGAACAGCTGCCGGCGACATCGGATGCGATGCCAATCAAGGTTGTTTATGCCTCAATCTACACGTGACTGCACGTGATTGCCAAGAATGGCATTATATCGCGGCATGCATGGCATCGCGGTGAATGCGGAGCCCCTTTGGTTTGATGAGGCTGATGCACTTGTGTCTAGGTATTTCTCTATCCGACACGACCTGAGATCAAGGAACACGCCTGACAATGAGTTGAACCGCGCTGGTCGCGCTCCCTGTCTATCATCACCATGTCTGAGCAAGAACGGACTATTGTCAATCACTACAACCTGCCAGAACCGTTCCCCAAGGAGTGGCCCAAAGAGCTCGATGACAGTGACGACGATGATCTCCCCGACGCGGTGGGAATTAGGCGTTCTCGCTCCCGCTATTCGGCCCTGGAGAGGAGTGCGAGCGAGAGAAAGAGCCTAATCCCGGGTTCTCAGAGGACCGGTGACGGCCGCGCAAACCTTGTCCAGAAGGATGAGCCCGATCCCCTTGGAGTCCATTCAAGCGTGGTCAGCGTATTGAGGACTCATGGCTTACCGGTAGAACACGATCCGCGGCTGCGAGATAAATTCATGCTTTCGTCGACAACCTTTTCTCCCGGAATCTTTCTCTCCCAAGTTCACATGGAGGCAACCACCGATGATCTACTACGAGGATTGCAATACCTATCCAGATCGATCGACCAGAAGTCTGCTTCACTCAAAGTCCTGGTGGAGACAAATTTCGAGCGCTTCGTCCGTGCCAAAGCCACCATTGACAATGTCTACACAGAAATGCGAAATCAAGGCATGGACTCAACTGCGTCGCCACGACATTCCCGGCGGACAAGTGGAATGCACTTCCGCAATGTGAGCAGTGGCAGTGCTGCTGGAATGACCGCTCCCGCCCATGCACCGAGCAAGAACGCGCTCCGCAAGGAGACGGACTATGGCGTGCAGGGCATCAAAGGTCCACTGCTTGAGGTGTCGCAGAAGGCTGAGGAGGTATGGGGCCCGGCCTTGGGAGGCAAGGAACGTGAGGCAAACCTGAAAGCAATAGTGGAAGCCATCGCAAGCAACCGTTCCCTCTACGAGTTGGGTTCCAATCTCAATGACGCTATCAAACAGAAGGATTATGACAAGGCCATTGACCTCTACAGTGCCGCTCGCCGATACGTCACCGAGGCCAAAATGCTTAGCGACAGGGTTGTGCAACAAGGTCGCACGCTTTCTGACGACGAGGCCAACAGAATTGTGGCCATAGGGAGAATGTGGAATGACATCGAGGACCAAGTCAAGAGTCTGAAGAGAGACATCTGGCGGAAGCTGTCCAATCTTCCAGCGAATCTGCCACTCCCAGGCGCGGCCCCGGCAGATGAACACATGGAACTCATCAATGTGTTATTTCAGCTTGGTGTTGAGGAGAGCCCGATCTGGGTGTATCTTCTCAGTCGGTACGATGCATTGAAAAACAAGATTGCGGCAGTAGTGGAACGTTCCAAGGTCGAGATCGAGATCCTACGGCGTCGTCTTGCTTCGACAGACCCTCCATCGTCACAGATAGTTGCTGCATTCCTGCGACAAGCTTCAAAGGACCGACCAGACGCCCTCGACAGCGATGACGTGGTCGACTTCTGGAATTGTATTCTCACATATGTGACCAAATTACTGTCATTGTCCAGTGGCTTACTTGGTGAAGTCATTGATTTCTGGGAGTCTGCCCAAGGTTTTATTGACGGCACCAAACAAAAATCATTGTCAGTTGGCTTCGAGGGGGAGAGCAGCAAGCATCACCAACTATCCGAAACCGAAACGAGCGGTCTGCGCAGTGGAGCGGTCGAATTGGTCAACCAGCTGAGGGACGCCGTCTTCTCTCTTTTTGCAGATCCCCCAACGGAAGACATCTCTTCTCTGTTCTCGCCAATGCCTGGCTCTGCCGAGACGCCCGTTACTCCGCTCACAGGAACTGCATTTTCACCCACCGATGGCCGTATTGGCTTACTTGATCCTCAAAACCTGCCTGCGGCTGCAGCGAAGAAAGGTGAAGCTTGGGAAGATTTCGCTTTCTGGGCTCCCCATTCGATCGCTCTGAGTGCCATTCAATATCTTGAAAAGATTCTGGCACTTATCGGAACTGCTGCAAGCGAAATGGTAGCTTTGGGCCCGGTGGGTAATAACAATATGGTGTATGAGAAGATCAAAGCAATGATTGGGGCCGCTCGCGAACGCTCTATGAGGGCCGTGTGTGAAGCTTGGAGCAAGGATGCCGAAAGTTGCAAATCCTTGGAGGATTGGGTTCGGGCACCGGAAAAGCGCGATCAAACACGCATGCCATTGTATTTTGAGGCGTACGAAAGAAAAGTCCTGCTAGGCATGCAACAGGTATTGTATTTCTCGGATGCCACGGCGAGACCAGGAGCTCGGGATGTCATCTCGCCGCCGCCCTCAAAACTGCTGCAGATGGTGCGGACTCAGTTTGTCAGCAGCATATACAAGGCGGTCAGCGGCATGCTTGAGAATGCTGAAGCACCGACAGAAGGTGACGAGGATGACTGGGTCCTGGTAACAAGCCTCAGTTCTGTTGTGGATGGGGCGTCTCCGACCGAGATCATCACTCAAGATGCTATCAACGCTTCGAGTCGCAATGTTCGGATGTTATTGACCATGTCGAACCTCAAAGCCTTGCGGAATGAGTATGTGCCTTCACTCATCCAAGTCTTCGAATCGGCCTTTTCTGTCAAGCTGGCCGATGAGTCGAAGACCATCCGAGATGTGTTCGGCCAGATCGATGCGAAGCTATTCCACTCTTACATACGCCCGACCGTCGCACAATTGACCAAGACGATCAAAGAAGGCATCAACTCACCGACTTGGGCGCCAAACACCGCAAGGCCCGACCAAGTTAGACCATATGTGTATGCGACGCTCATGACCCTAGTCATGGTGCATACCGAAGTCTCGACCACCGTGTCCAATGCAGGCTCCAGCAGCCCTCTCCTGAGCGAGATTCTGTCTTATCTGCTTGAAAACGTGTCACAGGCACTTCTCGATGGCTTCAAGGAGCGGAAACCCAACACGTACACGCTGCCTGCGTTGATGCAGGCTACTCTGGACACGGAATTCATCGCGCAAACAATGACACATTATGCCACGTCCAAGGCCGGGGAGATCCAGGGCCAGATCTACACTGAATTGGACAAGCGGACGACAAACGAGGCCAGAACCCGGCTGCAACAGGAACTGGGCGAAATGCGCATCGTGCTAAAAAAGCTCCGTGAAGGTAGCAGGAACACTTTCAGTTGTTTCAAGAGACAGAGGTCCTCGGACAAGGAACGTGGCCGACCAGAGAGGAAGATGACCGGCACGTAAACTTCATAGATAGGCTCTAGCGAGTAGAACCTTCCATCGAATATTGACCATTTGAACAACTTCAATATTGTTTCATCTTCGCCGTCCACGTCTTCCTCGACTTCTCCTGCCACCCCGACGAGTTCTCTTTGCGGGGTTCTTTTTCTCTCCCTCTTCAGGCCCCTCGCTCTCTTCTTCCTCTTCTTCTTCTTCCGCTTCACTCTCTTGATCTTCCTCTTCCTCGTCAGCATCCTCCGTGGCTTGATCTTCTGCAACACTGGCCGCCTTGCTTGTCCTGCGACTCGACCTATCCGTTTCAATTTCGTTCTGTAGACGTGACAATCGTCCTCCGCGTCTTCCTCCTCGAGTTGCTCTCGTGGATCCTCTCGTGGGGCCCGGAACTGGTGACGACCGTGGTTCATCCGTGTCTGCGACCGTGCTCTCTCTTCTGGAGACAGCGGGACTAGACATCCCATCTGGACACAGCCGTCTCTGCCACATCATCTCCTCAAAATCTTCGCGCGGTAGTTCAAATTCTCGCCAATATGACTGACCCTTTGTCCCATCTTCGAGGCCGTCAATGATGGAGTCTTCACGCTCATCTAGTTTCGCAAGGTCGTACAAAGTCTCGAGTTTCCGCCAGATTCCTGCCATGGATGTATGGGAGTCTTCAGGGTTGATCACGCCCTGGTTCAGTAGACTCTCTCTGATTGCAATCATACGAAAGTGTTTGTGCATTCCCACTGGCTTCCAGCGGACAATGGCTTGGAGGAGGGCCGACTCCTGGTCGTCCGTCCATAAAGACGTATCAAATTCCGATTTTGTCGATGTTGTGGAAGTCATTGTCTGCGACACCCGCAAACTTGTAGCGAGGTCTGAGAGGCTGGCAGAAGTGCGCTTGCATTCAGACCGGTACTTGGTAGCTTTCGAAGGTCTTTCTTCTCCTGGCGAGGATTCTGCCAGACTAGTATTATTTATGATGGTCGTGGTTTGCTGGCAGCCGTCTGGCTTAATTCATCTTCACCGATCAACGAGAAAAGCAAGTTGATTTTGTAGAGTAGCTCCCAGTCGATTCTGGATATCTCTTTTCACAGGAAATCCTTCCTTGCTACTTCATTGAGGATTGTAAGTTGAGGCCGTCGTCTATCCAAACGGCGCTCGGCTAAGTTGCCTTTTGAGCCAAAATGACCTTTACCTCTATCGAAGACGCGATACTACGCGTCGCAAGTAAATAATACATACCACGGCGCCTTGACATCTGGAGCATCGTCATACTTACATGTTCAAATCAGTGTCTTCAACATGGTCAAGCTACAGTCGCAATGTCTTTTCATGATCAGATCGACCCTTTTTCTACGGTTGTTATCGAGAAGCTTCCCGCTTTCCAGGTCGACTCCGGCGAGGCATGGGAAGGATTCAAGTTCAACAACAACCTCGAAGGTGGACTCTTTCGGTTGAATGATGTCGACAGCAAGCATCTACCTGATATCACGCCCTCCGTCTTTCATCTGGACCTGCAGCAGATCCCACTACCAGATCTATCCAGTCCTTCTTCCAGCTCATCTTCCGAATCAGGGCAGGAAACGCAACAGACGGAGAGTGGGCAGGGTATCGATGAAGAGATTCTCGATTTCTGGAGCCTGCCTGATATTACACAACGACCACCGAAAAATCGACTCATAGGCTGGGACAGTTTCTTGGACATAGGCCACGTCGAATCTCCTACTCCATACCTCAGCGAAGCGGATCCCCAAGTCTTCAGCGCGATCCTGCGGTCATCTGACCAAGGCCTGCCACTGAAGTCTATCACGACAGACGCCTTGCTTCATGCGGCATTCGAGCTTGGGATGGGGAGGAGCTCTGCGCTTTTCAAATGGAATGAAGAGGAGGGCAAGTTCGCCCGTCAGTGGGGGAATATCGCTGCCCGCGGCTACAGTGCACGTCTTGTTGGAGATTTATTTGAAGAGTTTTTGAAGATTGGTACATACACAAGGATTCTTACGAAGTGCTTTGATTGTCTGGACAACCATACACAACAGTTGGCACCATCGAGAATAGCATTCCTGGCTGCCTCGAGGTCCGTCTTGTATTCAATCCAAGAACACCTGGAGTCCTTCAGACCAGAGATCGTATCTCTACTCCAGTTGAAATGCACCATGAGCAGGGCTGATGCTTTAGTGACAACCCTGAAGGGATTTGTGGATTCGATACAAAACTGCCAAACCGACCCAGTGATTGTATCGGCCTTGATGCAGCAAGCAGCGAATGCATCTTTGAGGCATCCAGGAATGGATGGAGTGTTACAACACATAATGTCGAGGACTTTACGGCCACTGATAACGAGACTACTCAGCACAGTTGGCTTGAGTCGCGCTCCAACGAATGCCCAAGAGGGGCAGTCCCTGGACGACGATCCGGAGGCCGAGACCTATTGGACACCTATTCTTCCCCCCGACCTCTGTGAGACCGTTGCGGAAACAAGGCAGAGCCTCCGAATACTACAATCCAATGCTCTAGACTGGTCGCTGTCTACCTTTGTGTATGGTCCCTCATCTTTCGCCTCAAATCTAGAACTCGGGTGTACATTTGACGAGATATGCGAGTTGCAGGCCGGGGCTGTTGCATATGAAGCTGCAATGAAGAAGTCTCGCACCTTGGGGAGTTCACCAGATCCCACGAGCGTGCCCTGCCATCCCATTGCTGCAACATTGGAGACGAAGGCGCAGGAGGAAGATATCAGCCGGCCCCATTCGGGCGATCCATTCCACCTCGCAACGAAACTATTCGATGAACATGTTCCTATCCTTAATCTCGACAAAGCTGACACATTGCATGACGGAGTCAATGAATATCTCGACAGATCCAAGACAGAAGTATCGCCTTTCCAGCTAGACTACATGGACGCGGTGACTTTGTCTATCACACCCCTTGTCTCAGCGCAACACCGGTTGCTGTCTTACTCCGTACTACGACTCCTCTTTCAGGATCACAAGCTTTTGGCCCACTTGAGGCTGCAACGTGGTTTCCAGTTACTCGGAGATGGCTTCTTCTCCTCGCGCTTGAGCATGGCTCTATTCGATTCCGACCAGAACAGCAGCGAAGGTCACAGACGGACGGGGACTTCTACCGGCCTTCGTCTCCAGGCTCGAGATACTTGGCCACCTGCAAGCTCCGAGCTCAGGCTTGTGCTCATGGGGAGCTTGTCCGACAGTCTTGCCAGTTCCACGGAACGCTTTCTAATGGAGAATCTTTCTTTTGCAATCCGGGACATGCCAGTTGACGAACTGGAGAAGTGCCGCGACGTCAATTCAATCCACGCACTTGACTTCCTTCGTCTCGAGTACAAACCACCGAGCGAGGTACTTGAGACAGTGCTCACTCCGGAGATATTGGACAAGTATGATCGCATCTTTCAGCACTTGTTGCGTGTCTCGCGCGTGCACAGCGTGACTCAATCTCTGTTGAGGCAAAATTTCGACGGTCAATTGACCAAGCCTGGTACGCTTCTGCACCAGAAAGTCATAGTTCAGATGCACCATTTTACCTCTACTTGGGCAGACTACTGCCATAATATCGCGATCGCAGGATGTTGGAAGAAGTTTGAAGACATCTTGCACGACGTCGACAAACATATCACCAACAATGATTATGATCGTACGTTGCAACTGGTCAAGAGTCAGGACTATCTTCGCGCCTTGCACGAGAGGACGCTAGACAAAATTCTCCATGCCTTGTTGCTCAAACGCAAACAATCCGGTGCTAGAGAGGTCTTGGAAGATGTATTTACGTTGATCCTTCGATTTGCGGCAGCAAGAAAGTCCAGTCCCGACAGGCAGACATCGGAGAAGGCTACCAGCTCCAACGAAACAATAACGAATAATGAAGTTCACGAGACCACGACGAAAAACATTGCGAAGGAGTTTGGAGGGAAAGTTACGCGCTTTATACATGCCGTGCAGGCTCAACGTGTTTCAAAGCACGCGTCCCGACCGCAGCGGAATGGTGCGAATGCTACTACTGCGTCCAACGAATCTGCTGAGGACGAGGATGGCGACGACGACAAGAGTATGTTGTTCGATTGTTTGCTTCTCAGGCTGGATATGTTCGGCTACTGGAGCCATGACGATCGCCAGAACAGCGCTATGCATATGATGGAACGAGGGTGAGAATGAGGGTGGCTAGAGCTCACTACGTTTTGGCTGGGATTCTGGTAATTGACTCAACTTCTCAATTCGAACTTGAGGGTCTGTTCACCCCAATGCCTAGACAGCGGCCCAATTGACGCAAGTATTGAGTCAGTCGAAGAATATATCAGATCAGATGAACCAAAGCCTTTCTTCCCATTCGACTGTCCCGTAGCATTTGCATCGGCCGAAACTGTTCAATCACCACATGAGCATTGATATGACAGGTTGGACTCGATGCATCGAGCCGACTAACGAGAAGACGAAAGCCTAGACTCAGCATGGCGGGCATTGACAAGCACCATGATGCTAGCTGATCCATGCCCCTAGACAGGGTGCACAAAGTCTAGACCTTCTTGGTGTCATAAGCCTCATCATGGGATGTGCCCAAAGGCAGGTAAGCTTCGAAGGGCGGCAGTTGTACAAATGCTTAGCTTGAAGCTTAGTTGTCAGTCTCAACTTCAACTTCATGATTCGGGCAGCAACCAAGATGTAGGTTAGTAGGTAGGCAAGCAACTACTACTAGGCATCGTTCCTCACACTGGGGTCACAGGCCAATGCTATTGCCGGCGTCGGCCAGAGGTTTCGTGGGTGGAAGGCCTACCTCAAGCTTGGGCTGCCGCCAGGACAAGGGCAAGGACAAGGATTGAGCTGAGAAAAACATTCCGTGTCTATCTAACTCGACTTGCGCATCCCACGTGTTCCTGTGCTTTGAAAAGGCTTGTACCCCGGATTCATACAACAGTCGTGTGCCGCATCATTTCGGGGTCCCGAGAGCACCCTTCAAGTGGTTCACAAGGGTACAGAGTACGTAAAGATATAGTTTCATAGATCCTGAACCTCTGCTTGGCCAGTATCGTGTATATGGTTACACAGCTCCAGCTTGCGTTGGACTACTAGCATCTTTGGCTCATCAAGTCATCAAATTGGCAAGTCGTCCGCGAACGTCAATATAGCATAGAAAGATTTCAAGCCACTGAGGAAGGGGTCCAGCATTGCCCGAATGACCAGAAGCAATCTGAATCGAATGAATTGACGTTGGAGATAGCATTCGACCGCATTTGAGGGATAGCTGAGCGAGCACCACAACACCAGCACCACGACCGATCTTCCACCGTCCAAGCACACGATCTTCAAAATGTGCCGCGACATCACTCTCAATTTCACCTGCACAGCCTCACACCCGACGCACCAGATGAGCTTCACCCAACCTTGCCCAAAGGCCAAACCGTCCAAAGCCTCCTCTTCCTCCCCAGACTCCTCGGGCTCGGGGTCAGGATTCGGTCTGTCCCTTACACGTAGCATCTCACGTGCCCTCGAGCCGAAACCGGACCCGGCGGTGCTCAGAGCTTATACAGTGACGGCAAACAGGCCGTGTGAAGCGTGCGCCGAGGGCGGCAGCAAAGTCGGCGAGCCGCCGAGCTTGAAGAATCTCGGTGGGAATCTGGGTGATAGACATACGTTGAGCGTAGAGGAAGGGGCGGAGGAGTGTGCTCAATTGGGCGCATGGGTTCAGAGGTTGTGATGAGTATGGGGCCTGATCGTCCATGAATGAACGATGTAGGCGTTTGGGTTCCTTCAAGCGGGTGATAAGAAGTCTCCAGTGGGTGACAGTGGCGAGGTTCGCACGCAGGAGGATTTTTGCTTCTCCTTGTTCAGCGAGCGGACTGTGATGGTTGGACGTTTAAGAGCCTCCAGATCTCGAAGAATGCCATCGAAGCATGCGTAGAGTCAGTCTTGGGCGGGTGGGGAGCAGTATAAGCCTAAATCAGCCTCCCTATAATGGCAGACGCCATCTTCAAGCTCACATAGCCAGCTGCAGTGAGACAGCCTGTGGCAATGAGCAGGGTATTGAGGTTTCTCCTCTCAATTCCGACTGCGTTGGGCTTGGCTTGTTCGTCTCCTCCTCTGGCCGTCAAGACGTGGTAGTCAGGAACATATTTGAAGTCAAACACCGTCTCCTCACCCAAGCCGTGCTTGCCTTCGACGATGACCGCCCAGAACACCTTGCGTAGGCCAGCGACCTTTCGCCTGTCCAATACCGGGATCGAGCGGTACAGATAGCAGATCGACATGAAGAAGATACACTGGCCGGCCATGAGCGCCCAATACCATGTCGAAGGACGACCAAGGCCGAGGGCATCGGACAGTTCGTTCCCATTGAGCCAACGGGCATTAACTTCAAGAAAGGAGCGTGACGCATAGGTTGGTGGCTGGGCTTCGAGGCAGCGGATGATATTGGCCGCCAGAACCTTAGAAGTCTCGGTAGGGTTGATTTCATTCATCAGCAGAGACTCCATCATGGCCTTTGCTTTGGCCGGCGTCTCGAACCATTCGGTCGGAGTGCCCATGTAATGTGCAATAAGACGCCACAGTGCAATGTAATCCAAGATTTCCTGCTCGCGCAACCAGATCCCCTGTCGCGGCAGCGAGAGCCAGATGATGGTTCCGGAGAAAGTGCCGATCGTGGCGATGCAGTCGAGGTCGTTGATCGGAACACCGTACCTCTCCACGCTGTAGTATTCCGGTCGGGTCTTTGCAAGCTTCAGGATACGTTGTCGGACTGCAGCATGCAACAGTCTCACTCGTAGGCTGGACGCGAACCCGGCGCCTCCAGGCTTGATTGACTCGATCGACTTCGTGCACTCCAAGATATGCTGCGTAGTCTCGAAAAGTCTGTGTCGAGCCACTTTCACTGAAAACCCTCCTGTCCGGGCTAACACTTCCACTACTCTGTTTGCTCCCATGCCACCGAGTAGGGATTGGTAGGCAAGTCCGGTCAAGGTCGCCCCTCCGTAGCGGTAGAAGACATCTTGGCCCCGCGCAATCTGATCCCAATCCACCCAGTCCGGAACATTGGTCACTTCATCCCAGAGTTGCTGCAGTTTCTCGTGTTTGTCCAGATTGGCCTGGAGAAGGCGGTACAAATCTCGCTTTGGTGTTGCCGATGCCGGTTTGTCAGTCTCGTTAGAGGCTCGAGACTCCCTTTCAGGAATATTCATCTGGTTCACTATATCATAGCATTCTTCTCCCAGCACATCGTACGTGTATTTCAACGGATGTGCCTGTTCTGGAGTAAGATGTTCCGGTGTTAACTGGAATGTATAGCCCCAGCAAGTCCGGGTATGTTCATCCCTTCTGCGGAAAGGGTTTGGCCACGCCATATCGAGAACAAAAAAGAAGGAAGGCTCTCAGGGCAGCAAGCTGCCAGAGATGAATTGACACACTCCATAAGACGACGAAGACGGAGACGGAGGTCAACTTTAGTACGCATCTCGGCATCTAGTGGTGGCGGATGTCGATGTCAACGCGTCACGAGTCAAGATTCGCTGGTCTCAGAGTGGTCGACTAGTCATGTGCCGAAAGTCTGAAATTTGGGCTTCGACTCTACACTTGGGATTCTGGCAACCTTGTGAAAAGGTCGGAGAAGTTCGAATCAGTTCTGTGCATCTAGGATCATGCAATCAAGTTGTAGGGTCTTTTGGGCTGCTGCCCATGCCTCAAGACCTTCATGCACATCTTTATCTCGCCACGTGCATTCCAGTGCTCGGAATGCCCTGATCTACCCGTCCAGCCAGTCGCTTCCTTCCACGATCCCCAGTGCTTTTGGTGCTGCCCAAGATGTTCACGTCCAGAAAAGGCGTAGATACTCTTTGCATCAAGGCGCACCCGCGCCTACGTCCCCGACCGACCAGGCCAAACAAGACACGCAGGGGCCAAGAGAGACCGAATCTCTCTTCTACAACAAGGAAGATGTTCAACCTATAAGATACAAGAAGCAACATTCCAAATCACAAAAGTCAGAATGGAATGGAGAAAAAGATTCGAACGTAACTTCGCTGAAGAACAGCGTCTTTAAAGACGATCTCGCTTTGGGGAGGCCATCAAAGAGTGACAAGCCGGCAAAGGGTGCAGCTGGTGGGAAAGGAAAGAAGAGACGATTGGAACTCAAAGATTTGGCCGTCTCCAATAAGAAGGAGCCGTGGCAGTTACAAAAGCGAGCGCTGAAGGAGAAGTTCGGCGACAACGGCTGGAATCCTCGAAAGAAGTTATCTCCAGACACCATGGAAGGAATCCGAGCACTCCACGAACAAGACCCGGACAGATGGTCTACCCCGGTACTGGCAGATCACTTCAAAGTCTCTCCTGAAGCCATTCGCCGCATCCTCAAAAGCAAATGGCGACCTTCCGAAAAGGAGCTGGAGAAAAGGAGAGAGCGCTGGGCAAACCGGCATGATCGCATCTGGGATAAGTTGGCAGAACTGGGATTGAGGCCCCAACGGACCAAGGAAAAGCCTCTCGAAGACCCAGATGAATTCGAAGAGAACTTTAAAGCAAAGGAGATTTTGGATAATGCACGGAATGCTTGATTCAGCTGATCTTCCGGCTGTTTCATTGATAAGCTAAAGCTAAGTATGTTCGCGGAGTTGAGTACATTCTGTGTCTGGCCTCTGTCTGGCGATGTGAGCTAGTGTCGAAAGCTCTTTGTCCACTGATTTGCTCTTGCCATGAAGGAGTGTCTGTTTCTCCAGCGAAAACATTTGTAATACCACCGTCAGCTTCGATGCTTGCCATGTCCGTTGACAGTGCAACCCGTTTCATGGGCACTGGTTTATTCCCCATTCATGGTAAAAGCCATGCAATCCTTGTCCCCTTTGGAGCCCATTTTCCTGTATGCTATACGCCGATGAAGAGCATCATCATCCTTCTTGTTTGTTGTGTATGGTGTCTCGGTCCGTTCTTGTTCAGAAGGCGCCGAGAGGTGAGATTGGGAGTCGCCGAGTGCTTAGGGTGGAGCGCTGTTGTCCTTGTGACTCTCCCTCGCCGATCCTTCTCACCACTGTTTATCTCCCACACTCTAGTTATCATTCACGGTTAGGTGACGAATGATCATGAACGAGGCCACCATCAACACTGCACCCATGAAATGAGGAATCTCCAGCCAGAAGCTCTCCTTCGTCCACTTGATGCCTTTGCACTCAGGGCGCGCACGCCAGAGTCCAGTCTGCTTGTCAAAGAACATACGCTCTCGACGTGGAGGCATGCTTGGTGGGAACATGACATAAATGACCGGAGTCAAGAAGAGAGGAACCAGTTCGAGGAGTGAAAGGCCAGGATACCCGACACCAGCGAGAAGACGATGCCAGAAGACGTTGTCCAGGATGACCTGACCGTCAATGGTTGCCTTCATGACCTCATACTTGATGGCACGGATGATGAGAAGGACCATGATGACAACAAGGGCGGCGTGATACAAGATCCCCTCTCTCTTATGGAGGATGCGGAGTCGGCTCAACATTGGAGGGCGATGCTCGGCATCTCTCTCCTTGACCGGTTGATGAGTATCTGCCACGCCAGTGACATCGAATCCGAGACGAAGGCCGCCGATGCTCTTCGGCATTGCACTGAAGAAGACATCTCGAGCGAAGTGAATACCCAACCAAGTGTTGGTCGCCTGACGGCGTCTCAAGTTCCAGAGACTGATCGATTGGGCTGCACGAAATTCCGAGATTCTTGCAAGAACCTTGGTGAAGAAGACGGACATCATCATGGTTTGAAGAGTGGTTGCTGTTGGAGTGGCAATGACCGGACCACGCAGGAAAAGGGCCATAGCAACCAACAACAGCGACAATGCCTTGAAGACGGTGTTGAAGTATGGTCGGCAACAATGATGGAACATGGCAACACGCTGGATGAAGGTTGCTTGTTCCAGACGCTTGTCGTGAAGGGAAAAGTTGGTTCTGAAGGCATCACGAACATGCCCCGTCCACTATCGATTGTCAGTTCTTGGTCAATTCTTCAGACCTCGGTATACACCTACCCAGCGGCGACGTTGTTTGAGGTGCGTCAAGAGACAGTCCGGCTGCAATCCCCACTGGAGAACCTCATGACAAAGAGCGATCTGCCAGCCATGGCCGTGGAGGAACCAGCTGGTCATAAGGTCTTCAGTGATGGTGAATTCCGGAAACCCTCCCATCGACTCCCAGGCCTCCTGACGCATGACGAACCCACTTCCTGGGCACCATGCTGCCCCAACAGAGTCTCTAGCACCATCGTCTGCGCCGGTGCCCGTGACGTTAGACTGATACAATGGGTCATTGTTGGGGATGTTGTAGAAATGCTATGTCCGTCAACATCAACCACAGTCGAAGTGTTTCCGGACGAGCTTACCTGTGCTGTGGTGACCATGCCAACATTGTCAGCTTTCAGAGCATGTGGAACCAAGGCTCGGAGTATGCCAGGCTCGGGGATCATGTCAGCATCGAGAACGGCGACAAACTCGTATTGTCCTCCACGAAGAGTCTTGGTATGTGCCAAGGTGGCGTTGAGGTTGCCTGCTTTGTACCCATGATGGACGCCTTCTTGCTTGTACCGAGCGAAGTAGTGAAGGTTTGCATGTTGTTTACGAAGCTTGTTGACTTCTTCCTTCAGCTCAGCATCATTACCATCGTCCGCAAGGATGATACGCAAGTCGTCAACAGGCCAGTCAACCTGACACGCAGCTTTGACAGTGTCGAGCACAATGTCATTTGGCTCACCGCATGCAACGACAATGAGATCCACTCCTGGGACATAATCACCAAGAATGCGATAAACTGGTCGTGGGACCGGGTTGCGGATGAAGCCAACAGTGAGTCTCCACCAGGTTTCACTGATGGTGGAACCTGCGACGATGTTAGATCAGTGGGTATGAAAGCTCAGACGCTTTACTTACAGTTGTCCAAGACTTGTGCAGCAGCAAACAGCTTTGGAGGAAGCAGGTCCTTTTGTCCATTGCTCTTTGCATTGACAATGTTGATCATCAACGCGATGACATAGCCAGTGGTGTTTGCGAGACCAACGGCTGTCAATGTGCTTGACATGTACGAAGTTGGCATAGGTGGTTTCTTTTCCACTGTGACGATGTTATACGGCACGACAGCTTGCTGATCAACACCCTGAACAGGGGCAGCTGGCCCAGTCTGAGCAGGGACTGGCGCAGGCTGAGTGGCAGCTGGTGCAGTCTCAACCTGCGAGGTGACGTCGAGATGACCGTTGACCGAAATAGGTTCAGCCATGATGCCGGTGTGCTTCAGGGTGGACACGGCAAGGTAGAGAGCTTGATTGAGTGTTTCAGAGGGAGTTTGAGAGACAAGAAGGATGGAATTGTGATGGGTCAAAGTCAGATCGATGGGACTGAGTGAAGACGGTGCTTGTCGAGGTGGCCCCGCAGGCAGTCACCTTCACTGGCGTCCTTCGGAACGTTCGTGAAGATGACTAGGAGACAGGCTTGAAGACGCCTTGGATGATTTGGTCGAGGAGTGATTGTGCTGAAGAATAATGGATGGAGTGATGGTGGAGGAGGAAAGATGGGTTGGGAGGAAAAGAGAGGAAGAAGAGTGAGGAAAGACTTCGACGGCAGAAGCTCTGAATACCCTTCCAAACGGGAAGCACACCCGGCTGCAGTCACGGGTCTACCATTCCCACAGCGCAGGCAATACTCCCTGGGGTGCTCTACTGGTTTTGTTTCCGTCTATGGTCATTTAGATTGGTTCCAGTCGATCTGATTCAGGACATCCATTTGCACTTGGTGAGTCTTAATCTACGATGCTTCCTGATTGCTGTCTGACCTTTTCAGTGCACGGAGACGTGACCTCGCAAGACAAGAGTCTCTATCCACCGAGAGATATCGTTCCTATGCTCCTTTCCCTTGTCGATGATGAGGCAGCTTCGCCGGACAGGCATCACATTGCCATTTCGCCTCTGTCTGCTTGGTAGGAGAGCCCAAAAATAATGAACGTCGCTTCAATGGCTAACTGGCTCATTCACCCACAGACGTGTTCACGGCATTGAACATGCTATCTTGCATGCTTTCGATGTTTGCCTACCTTGCTCTCCTCCTCCTACCATGGCATACTATGGGTCTCTTCGCCTCTTTTGAAGAAAACAAACATCAACCCTACAATTCCTTCTCATAGAACCTTGGTCCTAGATCCTCAGACTTTCTTTCACCCTTCCTCGGGCCTTGTGCAGCACCTCTCCTATTCCGGTCGACCTAGACAACCTCACACACCAAATTTGCTGCAGCTGCGGTCCTTTCATTTGTTGTACAAATCCAGTTGCAGTACACTGCGATCAACGCTGTGGTCTTACTATGAAAGCAGACCAAGGTAATGGTAAGAAGCATTTCAAGCCCACACTACTACTGCGCTTGATCCTGGATTGTACGGAGTAAGGTAAGTGTCACACACTCTTCGATCCCTCTCTCTGATCGACAGAATGTGACAGAAGTCAGAAAATGAAGCTGACTCTGTCTAACAGGCCACACTTACCTCCGAAGGTCCAAAAGACTTGTCTTACTGCATAGCGGAAACAATTTCACGGCCTCCACTGCTCAGAGCGCCTCTGCCTCTAGACTGCCTTATGGAGGACTGGAAGGAGAACACTATGGATTCCAACAACATCCTGAAGGCATCTATAGGCGCCATTGCCGATGCAGCTCGTGTAGAAGCTGTTCACTTTAGCCATGGGAAGAATGCCTTATCATGTTGTCTATGCATGAGTAGGCTGGAAGAACAAAGGAAGTTGATATAGACCTAGTGAAGTCTGTACATGTCTGAAAAACAATATACTGCTTCCCTGTCTACCTACAGTCCTGCATATATGTTGTGGAACTATCTACAGCTACTTGCCACCCTGAACTGGTTAAGCCAAACCTCCTTGACCTGGATTGTTGTCGGGAGGCGGCTTTACTACAACTCTGAGGCTCAAGATTGTTCGAAAACAAACATATCTATATCCTAGATCATGCAACAGGACAGGTCGTGAGAAAGGCTGTAAGCAAACCTCGCAGCTTTCATTGTGATGTACCGTGTTGCTCACTTTCCCCCATATTCATCTATAATAAGGCTGTGGTGTTCCACTTAACCTGGAATGGACACGTCCTTGGTAGGGATGCCCCTTTTTGTCTCTGCCTTGCGCCGCGATTAATAAGCTTCTCAGCGCGCAGGGGCAGGGGCACTAGGAAACGACAGATACCGAGTATCAGCAAACATGCCTAGCGCAGCCTTGTCTCGGCATGTTTGTGTCAAATCTATTGCGGATCCCCAACTTTTTCCACCTGCGCATTGAGTGAGGGCTGTTTAGTAGTATCTTGGTGACCACGGCAATCATTCTTTCACATCTTGTCAGGGAGGCAAAGGATTTAATGCCCTTCAAGTCGACGTGCTTACTATTGTTTAAAGTCTTTGATCTGAAGGCTCTGTGAGCCACCACCACCATGGTTAACATCGCAAAGCGCATGCGAAGCTTCCAACCTGTGAGTTTCTGTGGCACGCGACGGCTTGATGTTCACTAACAATTTATAGAAAGTGAGCCTGCATTCAGAAACTGTCCAGGTCTTTGACTTACTTCTCTAGCTATGGCGAATACGAAATGGACAAGGCGCTGCCATTCTTCCTCCACCACCCTCACCTCAATTAACTCATCTCCTTCTACGATTTCCTCGAGGAGAATGGCGCAAACCGGTACATGGCCCGAGGCTATTTGCGAATGAACACCTACCCCGACTGAAATATCACAATCCTGCTCTGCCCATCAGAGTCGAGACTTTCACAAAATCACAGCTACAAGTGACCTTTGAGAGCAGCGACCGGGGTTCATTAGAAGCACTGGAATCTAGGAACACAGAAGCGGACTCCGAGGGGGAGAAGCTAAACGAAGAATGGTCTACAATAGAATCAAAACCCCAGCCAGCAGCTGACCCGAGCACACCTTCATCCACATCACCTCCCAGCGAGATCTTCGTGAGACGCGCCACGGTTGACATTGCGGGCAAACGCCCTCGACAGATTTGGCATTGGCTCAAGAGCGCTGCTAAATGTGAAGATATAGCCCAATCTCCGGAAGATGTGGAACTGATGAGGCGGCTCAATGCCTTCTTCCAAAAGGCGGACATCGACAGAAAACGTGTCAAGGCCGGCATTGATGAGATGAGAAAGCAGAAGGAAGACTTGAGAAAGGCACGCGAAGCAGCTGAGAGGCTGACCAGCGAGAGCTAAATTGTGGCATGTCCTACGAGATGAAACCCTTGAACTCGAAATATGTGTACATTATTCTCCTTGGCTGGTCCAGACTCACGGCTTCAGTCAAACGTTGCTTCACTTTATGGATATGAGACGACAGATTAGAAGTGGGATTTTCTCTGGTTGCTCCCGCCAGCCCGATGGATGTAACCGGGACTCTGTTGCTTTGGCACGCTTGGGCCCGCAGGTTTGATGGAGGGTGTCGGAGCCAACAGAACTGTGCATTCATCTTGAATCCCAGGCTTCCGTTCTCCTCTGCCATTCGACTTTCTTTGCGCAAGTCACGCTGACATATGCCGAACTTCTTCCGAATACGCTTGTTTCTTTCTTGCAAGATCACCCAGCTTGTGAAATCTTATGATGCAGTCCCGTAAGACTACGTGAGAGAGCCACCCAAGGAACCAGTGGTGCTGAGGCTATACGATTCCCTGCTATACGATTCCCTACTTTCGTTGCTATACTAATTCAAATAGAGCATTTGATCCGCCTCGACGAAGGCCTCCTCAACAGACGAGTATGACAGAAGAAGGCAAGCTTGGTATTGGTGTCACTGACCCTGGCAGCAGTACGATAATCCTGTGAATTGGGAGAATACAAACGAGAACACAAACGTCGACTTCATTCTCATCAATACTCGAGATTGAACGGCAAGAGACACATGGTGACAGAGACTATCACAATCCTACAACCAGATGAGTCTTCTGGCACGTTTTCGGCTTGTCACCTACGTCGACCTGGGCGCCTGCTCAACTTTATAGCACTATTTAAGCTGTCTCGCCAAATCCACCACTCTGGACCCAATTTTGTCGCAGATACATACCTATCTATACTTCCTTCTCGATTGTGGCACCATTGACAACCTTCAAAAAGTAAGAATGAGTATGTCTCAAACGCCTCGGAAGGTAATCCATCCAGCGCCTCAACCAACTTTCGCCTTTGGACGGCTGAATGGAGTTGAGCACCGTTTCTCTAGCCCTCGTCCCACGATCCGGACGAAAAGTGGCGCCAGTCGGCCACAGCCAGAAGATGGTAACGGTTACAACAAAGGGAAGGCACCTGAAAAGGCTCCTGCGTCTCCCGCATCGAAAGGCGACGAACTGTCGAGTGCGCAGCCGGATGTTGCCCGACGTCGACTTGATCCAGGGATACAGCAACGACGGACGCCGCAGGCCGAACAATCTCGACCCCGGTGCACTCCAACTCATCGAGGAAGCCCATCCAACAGGGAGGGAATCCAGATCTCGTGCCGGCAACGCTCAAGGCGGTCCCTTCCAGCTGACCTACGAGCAAGAATGCACGTTGATGCATTTAACGCCGCCAGGGAATGTTTACAAGGCGAGATCTCTGTAATAGAACAGCGTTCCAATGCCAGCGTCCGTGGGGTCCACCAATTTCTGAACTCGCTACAGCAGCAGATCAACCGTGCCATTGCTAGAGCAGGCTTCGATTCAATGTTCGTGGAACAACGCAAGGCTCGCAATGGACATCGACGACTTCCCCGGGCCCGAAGACGACACCATAGCCGACATGGCTTGTCTAGGGATACCTTCTGGGAAGATGCCCAACGCATCGGTGTAGGGGTTGATGGTATGAGATTGGCAGAACCCTTGTACGGTCGCACTCGTTACTCTGTGCATAGCCTAGGGCATACCCTGGCTCCCATCGATCCCATTCTCTATCAGCTATCATCCCAAGACCGCCTCTGGCTCTCTTCTGAGGACACGGACTATGAACCTTTGCGAAGCCCACATACGCGTCGCCGACGGAGAAGGACACAGTCTCCTGCCCGTCATTTTACAGACGTACCATTTGGTCATGGCTACCATCTGCGTCGCTATCTCCACGATATGTCTGACGATGAAAGCAGCCTTGTCCGACCAAGGAGATTTAGATATGGGTCTCGAAAGCTGAACTCTGAAGTCTCAATGACTACATCGTCCGACGATAACTTCAGCAAGGACCATCTGCGGCTTCGAGGTCGTCAAACCCAACGCAGCTCCAACACACCAAACATAGAATCCTATCACCGTGGCCGAAGTGACCACCGACACGATGCTCGCGAATCCAAAGATGAAGGCTACTCTTTCCATAAAATCCCTGGTTCATGGGGTACCTACCTTGGGCCCGTCGACTTGGATGACGACCTTTCGGACTCGACATTCTCACATGACCGCCGTCGCCCAGCCCACCTTATTGAGCGCTCCAAAGAGAGCAATGGCCCGAGCGGCTCTTCGAAGAAGGCAGCCGAAACTCCTACATCACGAGAAGAGACTATGCCTTGTGAGTCCAGACGCCGCAGAACACATCCTTCTCGCTCCAATGTCCGCTCATACGGCTCGGTGAGAGAACCGGATGACGGAGAACCAGGTCCTTCACGCCATCGGTGCCTCGGCTGCTTGGACACGGTGCACTCCGTGGGCAGCATCGAGCGCAGAGGAAAGGATGTGGAGAGTCACTTGTCATCCACATTCAATCAGGGCAGTGTTGTCAACTTTGCTGGAACAGAGCATACGGACAATGATGGTATGGACAATGATGGAGGCTTATCCAAATAGGTCCTGGCTCAAATCGTCCTACATGTGATATCAGAATGGCTCTACAGTATCGAAAAGCAGACCTTGGTGCGAGGAACGGCAGATTAGTTTGAGCTTCTGAGCATGGTCCCTGACGGGCACAAGATCAATTCAAGCATGGTACGTACTTGACAAATTAGATCGATGCTAGAGCAGGCAAGGCAGAGGTCCTTTGTCGTGCTCGACCAGACAGTTCAAACCAAGCTTTCACATCCACCACCTACTTACTCAGGTTCGATCTACGCACTAGGCCGATCTTCTTTACTCTGTAGGGTGAAAGAAGGAAGAGCTTAAACATGAAGAAGATAGGCACGTAATTTCTGCCTAGATTTCTACGCCTGAACCTCAGCCCTCGCCCCTCCTTGGACAATGGCCTCGAATATGCCGTCGTCCTCATCCCCTTCACTGTCCCTGTTGCCCGGGTCTACCCAGCCCACTGTGACTGTAGATCTCAAGCCACCAGTACCAGTAAAATCACCAAGACCATCCACATTCCCATCGCCCACATAAATATCATGCACATCATTCATATCCGTGTCCACATCAGCGCACCTGCCCACAACACCCATCTCAATGCCCCTACTCCATACATCAAGATCGACCATCTCGATCGCCGTGAAATGCACGAACGTATGGGGACTCACGCGCTGGTCATGCCCCGTCCACAGGAGATCCACGCCAGGGATGTTTCTATGGCGGATAACGCTCGTCCGTTTGCTGGCATGACGATGCCGGCCTGCACGATGGGCATGGCCACGTTCCAAGTGCCTCCAGGTGACATCGTGCTCATGGTCATGATGCAACTCGTGCAATGTGAACCCTTGAGCTGCGAGGACCGGCCAGCTGAGCTCTGAGTGCTGCGCGCCAGGGGTGTGGACGACAGGCGAGAGTGTCATTACAGATACATCGAATCCGAACCGGCGCACTGGACCTGGGAGAATTGGCAGGACGACTGTGCCCAAATCTTCGGTTGCGGTTTCAGTCCTATGCCGAGTTTGTGCTTCACGGTAGACCAGGTGCTGATGTTGTGAGGAGGACGGTCGAAATAGCCACAGATCCGCGCATCCATGCGAGGTTGTGTCGGTCCGTAGGATCCAAGGGGTCAATTTCCGAGCATTTCCTGTATTTGCTCTCGTAGGGAGGGCAGCCGTAGCTGGTCCTGAGGTCGGCCTCGAAGACACCGAGGCAACACGAGGTTGCCGACGTCGGTGTTGATGCCGGTCCCTGTCGCGATGTCGAGAAGATGGAGAAGAGTTATGATCAGGTGGGTAAGGGTACGTGGCTGGCATTGGGTATGAATTTGGATTCGTGATGTACGGGTGATGGCGATGGCGACGGCGAGAACGAGAGCGAGAGCGAGAACGAGTACCTGGGTGGAGGCGAAGACTTGCGGGCGACCGCCATGGGCTACATCCGTTTTGCCCATCAGCATATGTTTCAACATTGACACACCTGAAATCGTAATCGGTCACTACCATGATGATTTCTCTCGTACCTATCATGGTGAACGTCCCTATAATCGTCCTCATGATCGCTATAGTCAGTGTCCCAAAACAAGCCGCCGCGTGCAACCCTAATTGACATGGCTAGGTGGTCTGAAAGCAAGGTTGTAGAACAGTGATCTCCTGGTCGCTATACCACGGGAGATACCTTGGCTGGGATAGATGAGTGACGGCTGTCCCAAGGGAAAGATCAGGCTGCTCATAGACGGAGTGACAGGCTGGGCGGGAAGAGGCTGGGTTAGAAGAGGACTGCTTCTGGAAAAGGATGATGAGGGATGCATAGGCTCTTTATTCATCGTTAACAAAGGCTCTAGCCCTTCAGAAACTGATGCAACGAACGAAAAATCCATCAGTCGGTATCAGAGATGTGCCGTCATACTTCACCAGCTCAGTATCATCGCACGAAGTGATGGGTTCGATGACCACTTGTGCCAAATTGTTTGTCTCGCCATTCCGCATACATCTGGACGTTAATATGCCATTGCGTTGGCGGCTCAGGAGAATTATGGGAAGAGACTCTTTGTGTTATATTGTCAACAGTGAACATTGCTTGTTATTAGGGCTTTTGTAAACGAGGCGCGGTGGACGAACAATGGGCAAGCTGAGCGTGGTCGAGGAGTGCGTGCTGTGTAAACGGGGCTAATTGTCACCAAATCATCAATGGTCCGCCATATCCCATCTATGGCGGACCATGCTGCAGAAATGCGCAATTCGTGAACTTCCAACATCAAGTCTTCAACGCATGTGCCGTGACTCTTTCATCTAGAGAATCATCGATGGTCGTCGCAATACTGAATATGTCCTCGATAGGCCGCGCCACCCTCGGAGAGCCTCAAGTAATCACAGCCGCAGTGTGCCATGGCCCTGACTTTAGCCACGGCGCCCTGTTTAGTCTTATTTCCCAGCGTGATTGAGATTCCCGAACACAGCCTTGAGACCAACCATGGGCTCAACCAAAGGAGATGGCAACGATGTCGTCCACGACGGCATCCAGTTGGAAAGAAACGCAGGTCTTTTCATGGCAGTAGGTCCTCCCGTCTGGCAACCGGTGCATGTAGGAACTGGTTCAGTACGGAATACGACTAATACATGGCTGAAAGACCAATACTTCCACCATTGCATTCAAGGGGAATGCGGAGCTTCTATATCTTCCAAAGCCTCACTTTTTCAAGCCATTTTTGAAACAGCCAGTCCGGGCCTCAGCAGCGGTTAATAGGGGGCACTGGCTCAGAATGCGAGCAATCGGCTGGGTAGTCCGTCAGTTCCTCGAGAAGCCATCCGCTCAGCCGAAAGTCATCATCAATCTCGGTTGTGGATAGTAAGTCCCCACCCTGCCCTGCGATCCCAGAGTTGCAGGTCCAGTGCTTATGTCGTCAGTGACCCTTTACCATTCCAGTGGTTGTCTCGCGAGACTCGTCTCTGCGCAAATACAAAATTTGTCGATGTCGATTACGAACCGCTACTGCAGACCAAATGCGAGATTATTCTGAACAGCTATGACATGAGCGACATGTTACACTCCGTGGAGACCAACCCAACTGAAAAAAGTCCGATCTTGCTTGACAGCGAGGAGTATGCCGCCATTGGCTGCGATTTACGAAACCTTCGAAGGTTGGATAGGCTGCTCAAGGCTGTGGTCGTCCCGGAACAGAGCATCGTTCTCTGTATTGCCGAGGACTCACTGGCATACATGGCGACGGACGCAGCCAACGCATTGATATCCTGGAGCTCAAAGTTGTCATCAGGTGAAACTCCAATTCTGCTCATTGCCTCAAGCTTCTAACAGTCTCTAGATGTCACCTTCTGCCTTCTGGATCCTTTCTCTCCGGATCAGCCAGACAATCCCTTTACAGCAAAGATGGCGAACCACTACGCCAAGCAAGGGACGCCGTTGAATTCTATGTTTCAGTATTATGGGCAGTATACACAAACTCAACGCTTCCGGTTGGCGGGATTCACCCAAATTGAGTTCCAAAATCTGTGGCAGCTTTGGGCGGATTCGCGTTTCCTTTCACCCTCCCAACGGATGGCACTTGATCATGTAGAGCCCTTTGATGCATGGGAGGAGTTTGCACTTTGGGCGAGCCATTATTGTTTGGTTGTGGCGCATAACCGTGGCGATCCTGTTCTACCCGAGCGAGTGCTATCTCGACGCAGTTCGGATGCGAGTGATGCCTCGGACATTTCTGCACGAACATCTTCACCAACCCATCCCGACTCCCAACTATTTGCATTTCGCTACTATAAAGATCCTGGCTGCCTATGTCAGCGTCACCATGGCTCATCATACCCCATTCCTGACCAGGACGCCATTGCCATCTACGGAGGCCAAGGCCCCGATTCAATTCTTTCTACAAGTGCCGTTTGCAGGCCACGACATCTTGACGACGAGACGCCAGTTGTTTTGCCGCCCGACGTCGGCCCTCGTTGTTGTCACGTTTTAACATCCATGAACGACGGGGGCAACATTCTCGTCGGTGGCCGCCGTTCTCCAACCCAACCCTTGAAGGATTGTTGGTTACAAAAGGGGACCACATGGTATCGTATCCACGATTTGCCGGAACCACGTTACAGATGCAGAGTTGTGGCCGTTACTTTGCCGAACAATGTCTTTGGTGCCATCTGCTTCGGCGGAAAGACAGGGCCTGCCACTGTCGCCACGGACATTCTGCTCTGGGAACCAAACACTGGCTGGCGTGTGCTGCAAGCTCTGCGAAACACTCCAATACCCCGATTCGGACCCAATTTCATACGTCTCGGATTCAATCACGGCCTGCTCTTTGGCGGGCTGAGACAGGACGGAGTCATCTGCCCGGATCTTTGGCGTTGGCGACTAGTTATCCGCGACAATGTCGTCGCTGGCATCTCTTTTCGTCCTTCGCACGCTTTGGATGCAAGTATCGGGGCATATCCATGGGTTGCGCGATTCGGTGCATCCTATGGCTTTGTCCAGGATTACCTCTTGATCATTGGAGGAGTGGCATCAGGAGGCTGTATACCAAAAACATACGAAATACTATCACTGGTGGGCAGCTTTTCGAATTTGGGAGATGGGAAGGAGTTGAGCCTGAGGGTAACCTCGGTAGCACCAGCACGATCTCCGGACTGTCCTCGACCTTTTCTGATAGGGCATTCAACCCTTCGGACTCGGACCGGTATGTATGTTATCCTTGGAGGAGGGGCAACCTGTTTCAACTATGGCGACTGTTTCAACTCTGGCATCTGGGTTCTTCATGAGAAGGAGGCCGGTCTCACAGCGGATTGGGTCATCGTCCCAACCCGTCCTTCTAGCCTCGTCACAACGAACGCCGACTGTTGCAGGCATGGAACAGCAGTACAGCCTGTGGACATTCCAGTGGAACGAATCCAGCTGAAGGATGGCCTCAACTTTGTTTCGATTGTGCGTCAAGCACAGCCCAGCCTGATGACGGGACTGGACTTCGGACCCTGCGCACGACTCTGGTCGCTTGGGTATCTGATGGCTAAGGCTGGGCTCAATAATAACAAGGCTCGTGCTTCTGACGGAGCATACCAAAGAAGCTCAAATTCTCAGATCCATGGAGAAGCGTGTGTGTCTCGCCATCAGATGCTGTGCCTTGCCAATGGGTGTGAAGGATGTCCCCCTACGTCGAAACTATTGTTGCAGGGCCTGAGCCTCAATCGATTGCCAAGGTTGGCTTCTGACTTCCAAATACCCCAGCGACTGAACAGCATGATGCCTCATTTAGAATCCATTCGTCTGGATCTGTCAAAAGGTACGACGGCACTCAGGTATGACGTGACGGGTACCGTTGTCTTCCAAGTCAAAGGTCTCAGAAAGGTTGTCCTCTTTCCCCCGGCCGATCTGAACCGGCTCGAAATCTTGCCTGGCTCGGCTACAAGTAAGCTCCGTGTCTTCGAAGAAACAACAAGTGCAAAGACGTTGCAGGCCCCATCTGGTACCCGTCCACATGTTTCCCTTATTGGACCAGGAGACACTCTCTTCATTCCTCCATTTTGGACCTACTCAACTACCTCGGCTCAAAATACCGAATATGCGGAGTGTCTTACCAATGTTTCTCAGCAGTTGCAATATCAACCTGCAAGGCCAACGTTATCAACAGGCGCGATGTCTGCCAATTCGTCCTCTTCCGGGTACACGAGCGAGACAGCATCAGAATGCGCACCTCCTCTCAGCTCAATCAGTCCGCAACGGACTCGAGTACACAGTGTGGACATCGCAGTCAGAGTTTCGTTCCGAACAATGACAGCAGATCAGTACACCAAGACTGCCGATGGCGTTGGTGTATCTGGACTCGCGGTTTATGACGCTGGACACAAAGATGTGGATAGCATCATTAGAAGATTTCTTGGTGATGCTCAGCGTGCTCAACCCACATACCAAGAGAAGTCCACTAGACTCCTCAAGGGACAAGCCGATCCCGATTGTCCCTTCTCGACGGATCATGTCCCAGCTGAAGTGACAAAAGCATTTCTGGAGAGACTGGGAAGAGAGCTATTGTCCAAGGCGGCAGACCTATAGGCCCAAAACAACGGTGTGAACCATGGAAGCAACTCCCAGGCGGCCACATTTCATACTCACATCATCCTCCTTCGTCTGAGTGAACGATGTCGTCACGCTACGATCTGACTGACTCTTTCCTCTGAGGCACGAACCACCCAACTGATTAACCAGGGCCAACTAAAACTGCTACTCCAGGCTTACCAGCAGTACCAATGTCTGACCATTTGCACGGCAAACATATGACAGATTTTGCCCAGCGTATAACCAAATCCAACTACCATCTGCATCAGCCTTGCAATCAGCTCCTACCGGTCACCACCCAACAAGTCTGGCCATCAGCCTGGGTATTGAGTCCACAAATATCTTTCTCCATGCAGCTACAGCGCCCCGGACATGACTGGCGCTTTATTTTGAGACCCTTAAGGCAGCCAGCGGAGGATGTCCTGTGCCATCTCTCCGAAACCGATGCCCACGCCCGGCGCAACGTGTGATCAACGCTAATGACAAACTCCAATGCTGGATCTTCTGCTTCTACTTGACGAAACGTGCAGTAGACAGCATTACCGCACGCTCAGCTTTCCGTACCTGGAGGAGAGAAACCCTGGTGCCAGGTAACAAGGATCAGATGAATGCACCTTTAAACTCGTTCTTCCGAAGGGCAGAAGCCCATACAACACAACACCATAGGTCGCGTTAGACATCCAGTGTCGGACTACCCGGAACTCAAGAAAGGTTACAAGTGATATGATGCTGGGTGCAGCAAAATATGGCTGCATCCATTGTCTTACAAAGATATTCTGCCACATTCTGGTCATATATTGTCACATTTCCTTTTCCTTCCCTTGTCCTTTTCTTGTACAGCTACTATGACTGATCCTTCAACCTCGCCAACACAGCCTTGCCGGCTCTCGAATCGTTCTTCCTCCCGAGCTTCTGGGTAATCCACTCGCCGATCTCGGCCATCTTCACCAAATCTACACCAGTCTCACAGCCCAAGCTATGCAACAGATGCAACAAGTCCTCCGTCGCAACATTGCCCGTGGCGCCTTTACTATAAGGACACCCACCCAATCCGCCAACGGAACTATCAAAGACTCGCACACCGTGTTCTAGCCCAACCACGGTGTTGACCAAGGCCATGCCATAAGTATCGTGGAAATGCAGGGCCAAATCCTCGTTCAGGATACCCGCGTCCTTCAACGTCTCGAGTAACTTCAGCGTCCGCGGTGCTGTGCCCATCCCCGTCGTGTCGGCGACGGAGACCTCGTCACAGCCCATTTCCAACAGCGAGGCTGTGATTTCAGCCACCTTGTGTGGATCCACGTCGGGCCCTTCGTAGGGACAGCCCAGTGCCACGGACACATAGCCTCGAACGCGAATCGAGTGTTGCTTTGCCAGGTCGATGATCGGTCGGCATCGAGATAGACTTTCTGCGATACTGCAGTTTGTGTTTTTCTGCGAGAAGGTCTCGGTTGCGGCGGCGAAGAGGGAGATTTCTGTTGAATTGGATGTGGATGCGGATGTGGATGTGGACTCGCCGGTGGACGTGGTGCTAGGACTCGTCCCCGATGTAGACAATTCATCCGGATTCGAACTGGTGGTAGATGACTCCGGTCGTAACGACGGGGATGGAGGAGGTGTAGGCAGCCCTGTCGGATTCTGGGCGTTCTGTGTTTGGAATATCTTCACCAGACTCTCCATCCCGCGGATATTGGGTACGAGGTAGTTATATGCAATGCCGTGCGGTGCAGGAGGTGGATCTGTGAGTATCTTCTCCAGGATCTCGGCCGTGGATGCCATCTGTGAGGGTTCGATTGTTAGAGACTCCCTTCGACCCAATTCTCTTTTGACCTTGTCTGGCTCGGTCTATGAGCGTGAGGGTGGGTGGCTTCTTCTTACGCACCTGAGGGACCCATTTCGCAGGCACAAACGATCCCGCTTCCATATGCGTGACTCCCGTCTGCGCCAGCCGTCGGATCAGTTCCAGCTTTGTGTCCAGTGGGATCGTGCTCTTCTCGTTCTGTAGTCCGTCGCGCGGCCCGACTTCGACTATTCTTACATGGTCGGCGGCGTGGTGTCTGGAGGTGCTGAAAGGGCGGAGGAAGCGAGGTGTTGTTGTGGAGGTGGTCCTCCGCGCGGAGGGAGAGATGCGTGCGACGAGGCTCTTCATGATAGTGTTTCCACGAAAGGTCATGCGCGGCGGGTCAACGGGGGATGATCTGTTGGTGTAGTAGCCCAAACAATCTCGAGGTTGTCTTCCAGAGCCTCGCAGTAATGTGTAGACATTACTGTGCGGGTTCGAGCCTTGAGGTTCTTAGGGTGGTATGATGGTTGACGTGAACAGTGGTGCGGAGATGCAACAACTTTAGGGACCATTGCAGGGGTGGTTGCGGTATCGGCGGGCCGGGATACAGAGTATATGCGGGGGAAAGTTTACGGCAAGGCTGAACAAGGCTGTCCGAGGTGTGGAGGCGGTATGGAAAAAGTATTTCGTATGCATAGATGCATGAATGCATGAATTTAACAGATAGTGTGTACAGGTAAACATGCAGAGAAACCTACAGGGTACGGTACCACGCTGACATGTCTGGCCCAGCGGACATGCTAGGCTTTCAGCTTGAACTGTCCTTTTTCCACCGCGTCAAGCCCTCTCACCGCCGCCGCACAGATACTCGAGAACATCAACAGCGCAAAGTCATACCAGATCAATGATAGATATGCCTGAGGATGAGTGCCTCCTGAAACCAGGGCACCTCCGACAGGCGAGCCCCAGAGAGCGCCTAGTCCGCGGATGAAGTATATAAAGCCGTTGACTGAAGCATACGCTTGGGCACCGAATACCTCGATCACGGTTGTCGGGAAGAGCGAGTTGTAGCCTGGCATCAAACACGCCGTCAGCACTGTTGTTTCTTCTGGGAACGTATCTCATCAGAAGCAGAAAATTGATCCTACCTCCAGCGAAGATACCGTATGTAACAACAAAGATCAACCAGAGACCCATGTCGTCGCCACAGGCACTCGACAGCCAGAACGCCACTACTGTGATGGCGCTCCCCAGTACGCTGAGCACCAGAGTGTTCTGTCTGCCCGCGACATCGGCAAGGAAGCCCATAGCAATTCTGCTGACCGTGTTCACGGCATTGTTGATCGAGAGGAGTGCGGCGCCACTAGATTCACACAACCTTGGTCAGCCCTGTCACATGTGGCATCAAGTTGCTCTGCTTGGTTTGCCTGCTCTGCTCTACTCCACTTACAAGGCAGCTGTATAACCCAGCCTCGTGCTGAACTCGGGTAAGAATGTCAAGGGCACCAGGTTGCCTGCCGCTTGAGCCATCGCAGCCAACGCCTGAAGAATGAAAGTGGCGCGCTTTGCAATCCGGACGTCGACCAGCGTTGGTCGCTTCGACAGACTGCGTGAAGGAGGTGTTCCTAGTACGACAGGGATAGATATGGCGAAATTGATCAGCCCAAAGATTCGCAGAGTCCATGCCGCGCCGAGCTTAGCCAGCATCACACGAGCTGCTGGAGCATATACCAGACCTCCCAGACCGGCAGCTGACAGGATAAAGCCCATTGCAGATCCACGGTGAGCATCGAAGTACTCCGGCGCGACGGCCAGGACGGGAAAATACAGCAGCGACGTGCCCACTCCATATATCAGTCCCTGAGTGAGAAGGAGTTGCCAGACCTGATGCAATGTTAGCCCAAGTCTGAAGAGACTCTCGTCATGTCCATGGGACCTCCGTAAGCAGCTCGTTATCGATGGCAGAATACATACCCTGTGGCAAAAGCTGGCCAGCACATAACCCAATCCGATCAACACTGCTCCAGCTCCAGTAATCCATCTCGGATCTTTGGATCTCGCCATCATGGGATTGACAAAGATACTCCCGCCCCAAGTGAGTCCATAACCCAGTGTTCCTACAAAGGCCAGCATCGCTTTGTTTCTCACCTCGCTTTTGGGGAGGAAGGGGTCCTTCGCGCTGCTCCCTTCGGTGAGGTAGTAGTTGAGAAACACGCCGTACGCCTGATTCAGGCCGATGGTCACGAAGACATCGAAGAATGCACAAAGCAATATCCCTGTTTGCCGCTGCTTCGAGACTTGTCTCATGGCTGGTTGGGCGTTTGCTGGGGTCACGTCGAGGTCGAGCGGAGGTCCATCGTCGACAATGTCAAGTCGGATTGACTCTCTTGGGACGCTGGCGGTATCATCGCCATCGGGCAGAGCGTGTCGGCCGTACATAGTGTTTCGCGCTGCTAGCTAAAAGCTTTGCAGAGGAGCAAAAGAAGTGGGAGATCATAATTCGTTTAGTATGGTACACACTTTTTTGGGAGCTTCGCGTGGTGCCCCACAGTCCATGAGTTGTAGAGCGAAGGGCGCGGACACCCGAAGGCATGGTACTGCAACATCTATAAAGCCATTGTCGGTTCCCATCGTCTGAACACGAATGCGAAGAAATCCTGGACATCGACGTTGACTTTGCTGTCGTAAGCAAATCTCGGGAAGGCTGTGAGAGAATGTCCACTCCAAGTGGCTTACGGGCAGCGAGATCATGCCACTCGTAGCATCGCGGATAGACACGGCCGTAACAGGAGTTCCAGCTGAACGGAGATTATCAAAAGCACAAGATTACTATGCAACGAATAACGGCCAAAACAGGTATTGTGTCAGACACTTTTCTTGAGGAGAGTCCAGCGTCGTCACCGACTCTCATGGTGTTCGGCTTGCGAACCTATCCTGTCCTAATCAGTCGATTTGCTAGTCGCTGTCGCTGTCATAAGAGACCAGCTGGACTGGCTCACCCTTCTTCTGGCTGCCTTCCAAGACTGGATTGTGGTCCAGCTGAGCCTGGCTGTCCCGTCCCATGTCTGCCGCTTCACCCTCGTTGGGCTCCTGTCCTCCCTCGCTGGGTTCCTCTCCTTCCTGGTTGAACTCCTCTCCTCCAGCGCCATCCTCAGCTTGCGCAAGTTCCCGCGCTTCCAAGGGCACGTTGCACTGTGCATCGTTCCATGCGTCGTACAGCTGCTGTGCTGAGAGGCCATCTCCGGTTGCGAGATTGTAACCGTCGGCGATTTTGCCCCAGACGTAGCTCTCCAGCTCCTCGTCGACATCTTCCTTGATGCGTGCGATCAATTTGTCTCTTCTGACAATGGCATTGATGCGTAGGCACTCCTCGCCAATGATGCATGGGTAGGATCTCAGGACTTCTTCTGGCAGCTTGCAAAATGTTAGTAGGGCTTTCAGGGCCGAACCGGTGTAGGTACTCACATCGAGGACTCCTCTGTTGGCAAAGCCCCGAATGATTCTGTAGAATCGATCGGTGAGGGAGAACTTGGACTTCTTTCCGTTGATTCCTTCCCACTTTTGCTCGATCTCTTTCCAATTGCGCTTTAGTTGTCCCGCCGTTGTGTAAAGCATATGGTCGGACTCGTCAGCCCCTTCAGGGGACAGCGGGAATGCGTTGTCTTCGTGTTCCTCTTCCTCGGAAGCAGCGGTCTTTCTGCGCTTGGCTTTTCTGTCGCCTAAGGGCAACGGCGGGGCACCATAGTGCGTTGGCTTTCTCGGACGCTTGCCATCGCTGGTAGTTTGGTTCCTAGATCGGTGTAAGCAGATCGACGAGGACATCAATACTCAACAGACAGCACTTACGACTTGTCACCGGCGTCGTCGCTGTCAAGGTCCATGGCGTCTTCACGAGCCTTGCCTTTGCCTTTGCCTTTGCCTTTGGAAGTAGTACGCTGGGCCTCCTCCGGCTCACCAGTGTATCCTGCCTCGAAATTTGGGTTGTCGTATTCTGCCTCGGCGCTCTTTGAGATTCCAATCCACTCGGTCGGGTTTCGTGTTACAGTGCCAGCAGGATGCCCACGAGTTTCAGTGGGAGAAGGAGCAAAACGATCCTGGCCTGGGACACGCGGAGCAGGATTGATCGCGTTGTCAACATTCGTGGTCGTGGGCTTCTTGGCACTCCCTGATGCAGTCAACAAGCTGGAAAACAAGGATTGCATGTTTGGTCGGGCCTTTTTCCCCAATTGATTGCTTCCAGGGGTAGACATGGTGAACGCTCAGCAGAATTGTACTTTAAATCCCGCTTGCGATTGCGTGCGAAAACAAAAGAGAGGAAGATAAGAAGCGTCGCGAAGTTCTCGCGGTCAAGAGCGGATCTTTATATGTGCGCGAGATGGTAGGCCAAGCAATTCATTCACTGCAACATAGTGACACAGTCTTTCACTCACCTGAAATTCACTGCTCCTGATTCATAGTTGAAATGATGGCGCAAAGGGAAGGCACCAGATGAAACATTGTGTCCTACCATCATAACATCAGGGTGACCGCCTCGATGATAGATTGTGTCCGAAGGTCCATTATTGCAGTCTGCCTTTCAGGGCCTCCTAAAGGAGCTTTCAACATGGGGAGCCCATCCATGCTAAGACTGCTTGACTTGAAGTCGTTTCGCCGCATGTAGACCGCCTTCAAAGGAGTGGCTTGTAGATATCAGGTGACCACCCTGAACTGAGGCATAGAGATTTGATACCTTTGGAGTGATCGCCCAGTTCAAAAGATATTGTGCATGTTTTTCTCTTTCCGGTGGCCACCAGAGCATCTCTTCACTTACCGTATAGAGTGAGTTCCCAAGATTGAAGTCGGTCTGTAACGTCGACGGTGGTCTGGCCAGAATTTTTGATCCACCGTAGGAATCAGACGATCACCACTCATCACGTGACCAGAGCGCTTCTTCCACCAATCACGTGAATGAGGCATTGCTGCCTTGCATCTTGCATCCAACCTCGTCGCCTGCTTGACCTTCCCTTGTGACCACCTACTAAGGTAGTATCCCAATAATCAATCACACAAATGGACTGCGCCTTGCTTCTGTGACAAGAAGCCCGAAGTTAGCCTGACTGTTATTCCCCCTCCAGGTGGCGTCCTTTTACCCTGTAAATGTCGTCTTCGCCACATCGATCTCCCATTGAAGATGTGGGATACCACCCATTTATATGAGTGAAACCATCCGGGACAATTCACTGAATATCTTGGCCGGCAACGATCGATGAGACGCCACCTTCACCGCTGCAGACATCCTTAGCTCGATCCGAGGGGTGTCTTCGATTGTATCTTGTTCTGCGGAAGTCATTATTGTGTCACCTTGCCAACAAAGCGCCCATGACCATGCTTTTGTCTGTTAGATCTGGTTGCGAAAGGAAGAATACCCCGGTTATGATCCTCGACCAACATCCCAGATGACGGCCAAACATCAGCCATGGTGTTCTCTTCAGGAGACCATCCAACTCAACCAATTCTACAGCTTGGATGAGGCCCAATTGCTTAGGCAGATCGAACAAGCTTTCCAACCAGAACTGGGGCGGCTAAAATGTGCACGAGCGGTCGAAGGCACCGAACAGCAACGGCAGGCCAATGGCACAGCTGACCGACCGACTCCCTCGCAGATCCTCTATGGGACCAACTACGACGAGATCAACCGAACGCTTGTTGGTATCCTGGCGTTGCGCTGGATTCATAACGGCGACTATGAACGATTTACTTGCGGCCAGCAGGCCGAGTATCGGTTGACCAGAGAATCATTCGAATGGCTGGGTCAGTTGTTCGCGGCTGGTCTCCAATGTGCAGATGATCTGTTTGCTCTTGTGCTGTCGATGGTCATCAACGACCTGGGAAAAGACCCCAATCTTGAAGTGGACTATTTCCACACAACTCACCTTCAATTACCGGAGAAGAATCATGACAGTCTACTGCTAGAGGCTGCCAAGGCTGGCATGATTCCTGCCCTAGATTATCTTAGTCCCGAAAAGCGACAGGAGGTCATGCTGGGATTGGACCTCGGTTCTGAACTCAATGCGGGTCAACTCGCACAGGCGGAAAGTGTCCCAGTCAACTTAGAAGGCCTTCTCGACATGAGAGGTCACGAACACGCGTTCAACTTGAAATTCTTGGAGCAAATTCTCGACGTTGCCGGCGCGGCTGGACACATAGATTCGAGGGGGGCCAAAAACCTGATCGAACCTGTTTTCCAGGCGTTCAAAACAGTCCACGAAGTTTCGCTGGACATCATAGCCGGCAGGTCCAGTCTGCGGCAAGGGTATGATAAGGTCCTCACGAAGAGGGGAAACATGCTTTTCATCAAAGGCTTCCGTCGGCTGAGCGTCAGTGATAAGGAGGACCGGGCACTGTTGAGGTTACTGACAATGGGCCGCACAGCCGATCTTGAGCAAGCAGAATTGTTTTCCAAGGCGTTCCACGGACTGGACAAACGAGATAAGGAACAGCTCGTCGCTGGCCTTAATGTCGATGGGAATGTAAATGAGACTGCGGTGCTCCCTTACTACATGCCCGCCATCATTTCCACTGCGCTGCAAAACACAAAAGACTCTGACGACAACAGCAAAGCGAGAGCACTCGCAAGCCTGATGAGATACCTTGCCAAAGTCTTGGGCAGCCCTGGGGTAGGCTTGCCTGGCTTCGCGGGAGATGCTGTCTACAACGGCGAGGTCCCTGGGATCATTATAGAACGGAACATGTCGAAAGCGCAGCATGTCATCAACAGTCCAGAATTCAGAAACAACCCGGATCTGTTGGACGGCCTAGCCATCCCTGATGGTCAAGTGCTTCAACGACGAAGGACCAGTCAGACTTGGTAAGGAACTTACCCTAGCCACAAGGTTCACTTCGGCTTTTTCCTTTTGGCTTCTGTACGACTTGAAAACTATTGAAAAGCGTGTCTTCCATGTTTTCATTCGGATGCGCTTCCACTGTAACAGCCCGTGGATATCCATTCGGACACATCCAGGTCAGAGCTTCAGAACCAACAGTCTCCCGCAAGGCTTCTGCCTGCATTTGGTACCGCCCCAGCACCGTGGTTCAGACAAATTAGTACGGCCGTTGAAAACCCGTTTTTCCGTCAAGCCACCAACGCAGGTCCTCAGCGAGGGAGTTTAAAAAGAAGACTCTACGGCCGTCTTCCTCTCTTTCATTGCAATATTCGAAAGCAGTGCTCTGTATACCCTGTCCAGCTTTAGGCCTTACTGCCAGTCCACCCAAACGTCTACTTCCTCGAACGATAGACATCCGACATAGATCTTCTCTTTCGAAGTTGCACTTATAGCTCAACACATTCCACAACATCCAAACCAACGTCTCTTCCAATCATGGCCCCGATGGGGTCCCTAGCCAGCAAGCTTGCCAGAAATTTGGCATCAAGCATTGCCTGGCAGCACGCGGGGGAGGCAGCCGCCTACCTAGGAGATCCTCTTTCGACAGACGCCAACCACAACTCCAACAATCAAATTCCCATGTCCCATTCTACTACCGCCTACCAGTCTTCCCTTGCTCTTGCCGTCACCGCTTCCCCTACGACGCGGGTCCAATTCGACATCCCGAAAGGCTGGGAATGTTTTGCCATCGTTCTAGTCGTGATGCTCATGACCTGCGCCATCGCCCTGTACGTGGCGGAGGTGTACCGAATGTTCAACCGCAAGACCGAGACTCCACCCGAACGTACTCCCCTGATCAAAGAAGGGCTACCGTGTGACGGTTATCTAGAGAGAGCTGCTCCTGCTCCTACTCCTGCCCTTGCCCCTGGTCGAGGTCATGTGGCACCATACAAGGTATCCGGCGACGGGTTCGCTCTCGAAGAAGATAGGCACTCTGGCGCCCGGTCGCGGCTCGATGAAGACTTTGGGTCTTGTGTCTGTCCTGGCTGCTTCATGGAGAACAGTGACCTGTGTGATCGGAGATTGGACCTGGATCTCTGATGTCACAGGTATTCCAGGACAGGAGAAGACTGCTTATCCATGGCCTGACGAGCCGAGAAATTGGGAGGGGAGTGGATCGGATAGCATGTTGCGTACAATATGTAAAGCGGCAGTTGAGGTGCATGTTGAAGCGTTCGCAGTTGAATCGAGGCTTTTGGGTATGCGGGAAGAAGGAACAGGGTATTGGCCTTCCGAATATTATCCAGTGTGTGGTGGCGATGAAATAGTACGAAGTCGGGACACAGCAACAAGGGAGAAGTCTCGATCTCTCTTTACACGGTCTCCATCTGGAGTGTCTAAGAGAACCGTGCAGATTGTCCGTTTGTTGGCGGCTGAACTAGGTAGACAATGATTCTCTTTGACTGACTTGCTCTCGAATCCCATTTGTCTCTCCATTATGTATCTGTCCTTCTACATATATTTACACCTTGCCGTTTCTTCATGTCGCGTATCTAGGCTCGATCTCATCATATAGTACATGCGTATCTCCAGTCGATTGAGCTGCCCCGGCACGACTGACCCCAAGCATGGTGACAACGTCTCAACACCACTCAAGGTGAAGCAGCAAGTGCGTTCAACCATGGTACACAAGTCTGCTGACACGCTCGCTCAAGTTACACCCCTATTCCGCTGTTGTTTGGGGTTCGTATTGGAACTCCCAAATAGATCTCGCCAGAACTCGCGAAAGCCATACCCTTTGCCTTTCACCTCATCCCTGATGCGTCCTTCATGGCCTCGAAATTTCTGAGCCCCGATTCCTTCGCCGAAGCGTTCCAAGACGCCGCCTTCTCGATGAGTTGTGACCGCGATTTTAACGGTGGGCTTGCGGCTCCTCTCGAGAATCGCGTCGGCCAGCGTGGGCGCGACGTCGGCGAAACACCGCGTCAGCTCGCGCTGGAGGTTGTAGTATGGTTTTTGGGCGATCTTAGGCGCCATCAGATTGTAGGAGCGGGTCAGCGAGTTGAGTTCTTGGACCGCGAGTGTCTGGTATGCTAATTCGGCTTTTTCCCATGATGGGTCGCGGAAGGGGTTAGGCATTGGTAAAACATCCGACCGTGGTCGAGGCTGCTGGGGTGCAGTTCCTGGACTAGGTGATGATGATGGAGTTTCGGATGTGGATGTGGATGTGGATGTGGATGCGGAGGTCTCTGTCACTGATGCTGGAGACTGTGCCATAGCAGCAGCAGGAGCACCATCAACACTGCCTTCGCCAACGGCATTGTCAGCACCACCTGCTGCTGGGTTTGTGCTTTCTGCGAGTTCTTGAGGTTCGGTCGTTTCCGTCACATTGATCTCCATCGTCTCAGGCGGCTCAGCAGGCACGCCAGCCGCAATACGTTCCTCAACAGTAATGCTTGTCAAGCGACCGTCGGTGGAAATGGAGCTCAGACTCTCCACTTTACGTACCCGTGGGTTGACTCTTTCTTCGGCAAGGGCGTACCCTTTCGCGCGGCGCACCTGATCGTCCACGCTGCCACCTGTACTTGCGATCATTCTAGCGGCGTGCCGGCGCCAGTCGTTGCGTAGTCTCCCACGAAAGCTGGCCACCGCCTTGACCAGCTCCTGCTGCTTTTCAATCCACGGAGGCACGATCTCCTGCTTCTGAATGATCTTGTTCATAAAATACTCTGTCGTGTCCAGAAACGGGCTGTTGGCGGTGTAATCTCGCTCGATATTCTTGCCTTTCCCTCTAGGGATGTTCTTGAATTGTCCTCTTGCAATGGCGTCCTCTATCCGCTCGTTCGCTAGACTCGACAACCCCTGCAAGGTCGTAGGCATAGGTCGGGCGCCAGGCGAGAACCGGTCCTTGAGTTCTTTCCGCCACTTCTCCCGCTCTTGCTCCGACAGCTCGTTCTGTTGGGTGATCGCATAGATGGATGTTTTGTCTCGGGCATTGGCAAGGCGGTCTCCGGGGGAAAGTTTCTTCTTCGGGGCAGGTCGTAGGTTGACTTTCTGCGGTACTGTCGGGATACGGTATGGTGACCGCAGTCTCTTGTGGCTGTCGTCGAGCATCCGTAGGGCAGAGTCATGGAGGGATTCAGAGCCTTTCCAGGGTTCTGCGCCTGCTATATCCTGCGTGCCTCTCCCGGCAGAAGCCTGTCTTGTCTGTCAGCCATATCCAACAGGATCAGATGTGTTGCTGCCGTTCAGTCCCACAGAGCACATCCCTGGGCTTCGCATACCGGAAGGTTCACCACGCTTGCCGCTCTCTGGTTTTCTGCAGCAAATCCAGTCTGCGCAATCCGCTCTTCCAGCTGTTTCTTCAATTCGTCTGAAAAGCCGGCATCTTGCATTAACTTGCGATCACTTTTACTCCCGGTATCGATGGTCTCCTCCGCCATCCCTGCCAGCCTTCGCGACATGGCACCCTGCTCTTGTTCATCTCGTGCACCCGGACTTGCACTGTGTGTTTTCGGCTCGGACGGGTTTTCATTTTGGAAGGATCTCGTGGCACTGAACAAGCGGAGAGCCTCGACAGGTCTCGAGTGGTGACGGTTCGTAGGAGCACCCCGCAACCGTTGGGCTCGAAGACAGCGAGAGCATGTCCATATCTGGGCGCTCGAGCTGCTCATTTTGCATGATAGCGGAGAATAGGAGATCTGATGTACAGAAACAAAGGAAATAATATAAAGTACAAATGGACAAGGCGACTACGCCCAGCAAGAATCCCTCATGTCGAAGAGACCGAAGTCGAATTCGCCGCAATTGTATCATGCCAACGACTTTCCTCCGGAGCCATTTTCTTAAATCCGTCCAATCAAGGAGCTTCGTTCATTCTTCTTTCGGCCTCACCAAACAATCTCGCAATCTAGTACCTACACCTACCATCGTAGTACCGCACACTTCTACCAGATCCTCCTGTCGATTTGTGCAGTCGGGCAAGAGGCACGGCGAACTGTCTCGATGTCGCTGCTCCAAGCTCATAGCACCTTCGTGCCTAGGGCGGCCATTGAGTTCATTTCCTTGCGAACGCCGGAGAGTACAGTCGGCAAGAGGTATGGTGCAGGTGGGCACAGATCCGACAAGTGTAGGGCTGCCAACTATCAAGACGAAACGGCACGCGCTCGCTGTGCGCCTGATCCTTGCCACGAAATAACGTCTTCTATACCTCAGGAGTCGGAAACATCATCGGCGGCCGCACCGAGCACCCTCAGGCCGCTTACGGGCTCTTATGGCGGCAGAACACTATTCCGCCAGGGCTCGGCACTTGCTGGCCGTCTCAGGGGTTGGACTGCTTTCGCTCCCCTGTCTAGTAGCACGTCGAAAGGCCTCCGGGCAGCAAGGTTCAGTCTTGACAGTCCTTCTGGGAAGCACTCATCGGCTTGTTATGCCATGCATCGTCCATGATCACCTTGCGCGGACCAACCTTGGCTAGGGCTGTCATCCTGCTACACATGGAAGAGTAGGACCACACGTGAGTCGGCTAATAGTCGGCCAGAAACGGGCATTGAATGGTGATATATGCCTTGTGTCTGTTGTTGGATGCTGCTTGCACTGAACAGTAAAGATTGCTTTTAGCCTTCTTTTACTTGAGTTTCTTACTCCCCGGACGTTCGATGGTCCTCAAAGGTTCGTCTGTTAACTCGTTCCAAGTGCGCTCATGGCTTCCAGGTTCATTCCAACGATCGCTTCTCAATCCCTGGGCCGAGCATGGTACCACCGCCTTGAACACAAGCTCAACTTATGCAGAGAACACGGCTTTGATGCCATTGAACTCTTCTTCGAAGATCTTGAGGCTGTTGCCAACGCTCTCCCTCCCTCTCACTCTCCTACATTAGCTGGAACATCCTTCGCCGACTCTACTGAAGACCAAGAAAGACAGTTGGTGGCTGCTGACTACATTCATGAGCTCTGCATCGATTACAAGCTGGAAATCCTATGTCTCCAACCGTTTATGCACTACGAGGGTCGCATCGACACTAACTCTCACGAATCAGCTATCCAAGATCTTCAGTTCTGGGTTCGACTTGCCCATAGGTTAGGGACTGATCTCATCCAGATACCTTCAAACTTCCTCCTCTCCTCGCAATGTATAGGAGACCGCAGCAGGATAGTGACGGACCTCAGGGAGGCTGCAGACATTGGTCTTGCTGCTAGTCCCCCCATTCGGTTCGCATATGAAGCACTTTGCTGGGGCACACACGTTGATACCTGGGATACAGCGTGGTCAATTGTTTCGGAAGTCGACAGACCCAACTTTGGCACATGTATCGACACATTCAACCTTACCGGACGAGTCTACGCTGACCCGGCCTCGCCGTCGGGATTGGTTTCCAACGCCTTCAATGATACGCAACACTCGATAACGAAACTCCGCACAGAGTTGTCTTCTGCCATAGACAAAGTCTTCTATGTTGAGGTTTGCGATGGCGAGAGACTAGACAAGCCAATTCTGCCTGGACATGAGTGGTATGATCCTGAACAACCGGCGCGCATGTCCTGGTCAAGGAATGCCAGACTGTTCCCATTCGAAAAGCCAGGCTATCTACCGGTGTTGGAGATTCTGGAGGCAGTTTGCGACGCTGGATATTCGGGACATGTCTCGTTCGAACTGTTCTCGTGCACGGCCAATGAGGCCAACAAGGAAGTGCCCAAAGACCATGCAAAACGTGCTGCCGCCGCATGGGAAAGACTAGAAGAATACATGAGATGGAATGGCCGAACATCCGTTCTTGCGAGGTAAGAAACCCCTGAAAGAGGCTCTCAGTATGCTCCCCTATTTCATCCATGCAGCAGTATATGAGTTTGATACTGACATTGAAGAACAGCTCATTGGCCACAACCACTGATGTTCATTACATCTCTTCAGACGCCGCCAAAGCAGTACAGGGTTCCAGTCCGCGGCTCTGAGGAAGCTAATATAAGGGTCGGAACGATATGCAAGACATCCTGAAGAACAGCACATAAAAGAAGGTCACCGCCAACAATTCAACTGATGGCGGTCTAAGATACACTCTAAGTGACAGCGGTCGCACAACATGGTCATCGTCTGATACTCTTCAATTGTCAAAGAAGCATACACACGGAGTCTTGCTTCCCACCAAGCGCTCTTACCTGAGAACTTATGCTACTCCAGGTCTAGAGTAGTCCAAATGTCGCACTCTTCGCCAAACTTCTCTGACCAGTCTTTCTTGTCCTTCTCGAGCCGTTTCTCCAGGATTGTCACAAGCGGGTCGAACAGCAAGATACAACCTACTACCCAACTTCGCATCCTCAATGTCAGCAGTCTGAGAGTCCTCCGGCGGATTGGCCGTCGTGAGCAACCCACCGGCCTCTTGCACCAAACATGTTCCCGCGGCGACATCCCATTCCCAACAGCCGCCTTCCCACCAGATATCAAATGCCCCCATAGCTGTATACGCCAAGTCCATTGTAGCGCTACCCAGACTCCTGACGCCATGAACCATGCCCCCTTTTCCACCTCTGGCCCCGACCTCCGCAGCCATATTCACAAAACTGTCGACTTTACGATGCAGATTGCCGTCAGGCTCATCCTTTCTATCCTTCCCCCACTCGCAGGAGAAGATACATTTGGACGGCGCGTTGCGTGGGATCGGTCCGACGCCGACCTTGCCCAGCAAAGGCAGCCTCATGGTCTCGTTCAGCCAAGCGCCTTTGCCCTTGCATGCCGAGAAGAGCTGATTCAGAAGAGGAGCGTGGATGACTCCGATGACAGGTTTCCCTCTGACTACCAAGGCAATGCTGACGCAGAACATGACGAACGAGTGGGTGAAGTTGACGGTGCCGTCGAGAGGGTCAATGACCCATGTCGGAGCGTCTGTTACGAGGTATTCTTTCGTCGAGCCGCTCGAATACGTTTCTTCCCCGATGAATGCGTGTGACGGATAACGAGTGGCCACGGCCGAATGGATGAATTCTTCGACTTCTAACAGGGATTCAGTCAGTTAGTCATGGCAGTGACTCGAACATGATCGAGCCAACTGTATTCAAAGCAGGGACAGACACTTTCATAGGTCACAACCGAGAACCACAAAATGGTCCATAGCACGCTGGCCGGCCCCTTGTTAAGGAAGGGGATCCTGATCATACAGGTGGGGAGAAACGATTTTCAAAAAGAAAGACGGTCCAGCAGTGCATACCACGATCCGTTTCCGTGACAATATCGACAGCATTCAACTTCTCCTCCAAGACCGTCTCCTCTTCGGGCCCCGTACCAACGGCTTCATCTCGTCGTCTTCTGTGTAGACTATTCAGCAGCATTGCCCCGGCATCTCTGCCGAGTTGGATGGCGAATGAGTAGATTTCGGCGAGCTCTGTATCTGACAGCTCCCCGCCTGTCTCTCCTTGTGGTCTTTCAGACAATTCTGCTGCGGAGACCACGCGCACCTCTTCTGCGTGGGGTTGGGTCTGCATCGGAACCGAGGCTGTGATGTCCCATACCCCGTTCAGTCTGCCGGATGTAGTATACTGAAGCAATCGGAAGCTTAGCAAAATGTCGTCAACGGCAGACGAATACTCGATTCAAGCGGTATATCGTGTCTTCCCGAAGACACAGGTGCCGTACTATTCCATTTGAAACTGTCTTGACTGCTCAAGGATCGTTGGGGCAGAGGCATGATTCCCACGGCATGGAAAGGAGGGAACGGTTATCCTCGGCCACAAGTCACATCCTTGATCCAACGTGCTCTTGGATTCTTGCATGCATCACAACTCTGATCATCCGGATGAGTTCTTATCCGCTGGGAATTGTCGCCGAAGAGACTGGACCTCCTCTGATCACCACCCCCGACCGGCAATCAGATAGATGCGAATGATCGATTGTTCTCTGGCTGCGCAGACGCACGGGTAGGTAGTCTTGCATATGCCCTTCTGGAAACGACCTGGATGCCAATCTTACATACGGACCGACCAGTAAGTGGCAGACATGTTTGATACGTCTCATTGTTGAGCAACGAAGTACTCGCCCCTCACATTGTCACTGATTCCGAGAACGATCTTTTTCGGTTTCCCTGTCTCACTCCGCGCTGTATATCAGCCCATTGAATGGGCACCCATAATCTTCATTGAAGGCGAAGAGACTCAGGAGACCACATCCTCGACAGCTCTTCCAGACACAGGATGTCCGACACGCACACCGTCTCCAGTTCTCCCTCGCGGAAGATCCTCTTGATCAACGGCCCCAACCTCAACCTCCTAGGAACCCGCGAGCCACACATCTACGGCTCTACAACGCTTTTGCAGGTCGTCGAGCAGACCATCCACCGAGGAAAAGAGCTGGGCATCACAGTTGTCCCGTTCCAATCGAACCACGAGGGCGCAATTGTTGATTTCTTGCATTCGCATTTCGTGCCTGTCCCAGCTCCAGTGCCAGTTCCAGCAACATCAGCGATGTCCGCATCGACTACAACAACAGCAAAAACAACGACATCTGACCCAGCTACCACTGCTCGCTTCAAACCAGAACCGGCTCTCAGTCCTCCCAAGACAGCCGTGATCATCAACCCGGCGGCATACACCCACACCTCCGTCGCCATCAGGGATGCCTTGCTTGCCACAAGCTTCCCGTTCATCGAGGTCCACATCTCGAACGTTCACGCGCGCGAAGCCTGGCGGCATCACAGTTACTTCAGCGACAAGGCCGTGGCGGTGATTGTGGGGCTCGGTACGTTTGGATATCAAGCTGCGTTGGAGTTCTGGGCACAAAAATGGGAAGAAGAAGATGCTAGGGCATCTTGAACCAGCTCTAAAAGGGGCCAGCTCAAAGTTTCTCGGACTCAAGGAGGCAGCATGGAGGGCTGGAGCATACGGCGGGAATACGAGTGCTGGAAGATTGAGGTCATGCCGGGAGCATGAACTTGGATAACTACATATAAATATAGTAGTCGTATCCTCTTCCTCCGTGTGGGACCTACGTGCTCGATCAAGACTGCTTTCGTGTCTCCTATTTCTCTTCAAGCAACAGTCCTTGGGGCTGGAGATGGCAAATGTGTCCGTCACAGTGGAAGCACTATGTACCAATGTCAACTGAATGCCTGAAATTGGAAATTGGGGGAGAAGGGTGACTCTTATTCAATCTCCGAGTTGCTCTGTGGTGTCTTTTCATACTATGAAGCATTGACTGCCTTGGCCTCAGTTACCCACTATCCATACAGCATAACAGCAGATTCTACACTTTTCCACCGTGTCGAGAAGAACTCTCGATAGTTACCACCTCGGCCTCTTCCACGTTGCCTTTCTCGCCAATTGACTGACGCCTGAATTCTTGATCTTCATATCGGAGATCTGCAAGGACGGCCTTGTGGGCGCGTCTGGCCGGCAGGTCCCGACTGAAGAGACGATCCATCGCTTCCAACGGAATCCCCTTGGTTTCAGGGATCAGGAAGAACACGTAGACAGCGGCACAGAGCATGAGTGAGGCGAAGAAGAAATAGACCCCATAGTACATGCCTTCAAACATCTGAGGTGTGAAGCGGGCGATGATGAAGTTCTAGAAGAGAAGAACATTTGGTTAGCACTTGCCAAATCACATGCAGATGGAAAATAGTTCAGGAGATGCCCAATTCGACTGACCCAGAACCAGTTGTTGGCAGCCGCGAAAGCTTGAGCCAGCGTCCGCACATTCTGGTCAAACATTTCTGAGTTGAGAACCCACGGAGTCCCATTCCAGGAAGGCGTATACGACACTGTCCAGAGGTAAAAGAAGGCCATGGCGCTGATGCCTCCTGAGGACAATTTGGCGGTAGGATGTTCGGCAGGCCGAGCCACGGCAATATAGCCGCCGATATACCACATGCATAACGACCCCGCGACCGCGCCGTACATGAGCAATGCGCGCCGGCCGAGCTTGTCAATCAAGACGAACAGCCAGAAAATGGTGATGACGGTCTTGATCACACCAAATATGCCTGTCGTCAGCAGGGACGTGTTTGTGCCCGTGACGCCAATGCTGTTGAATACGGTGGGACTGTAATAATTGATGGCGTTGATGCCGGTTGCATTCTGCCACAGGAAAAGAGAGCCACCGAGGACGAAGCGATATTTCACCTTGCGGTCCCGGTACACGGCTCGGAAAGGTTGCCAAAACCCGAGACCGATGGTAGACCGTTGGTCTTCAAGGGCGTGGTCGATGGCGAAAATTTCCTCCTGCATGTAGACGTGCTCTGCGGGAAGTTGGCGCAGCCAGCAGAGGTTCTTGATTCCTTCTTCGCGTCGAGCCCGGGAGAAGAGCCATCGAGGCGATTCCTTGATGATCAAAGCCCCGGCGAATAGAAGACCGGCTGGGATAACCTGGATTGCGAAGGGGATGAGCCATTGCCTGTGGGAAGGCTCCATGGTCTCAGAAACGCCGTAGTTGATCCAAAAACCGACAAGTCCGCCGATTTGCCATGACTGTTTGTGTTCAGTAAGACTTTCAGGTCAGATCTTACAAGAGGATCTGGGGACGTACCATTTCATAGAGACCAACTAGACGACCTCTGATGGCTGGAGGAGCAATTTCAGAACAGTAGATAGGAGACAAGTTCGAAGCAGCGCCGACACCGATTCCGGCCAGCACTCGGCCAGCATAGATGAGCCCGAGTCCGCGAGCACCAGTGGCTCCCAACATCAAACCAGCACCCAGAGTGAACAGGGCGCTAAAAATGACCAAACCCCACCTCCTACCTAGGTAGTGACCGGCAGGGTAGGCGAAGAATGCTCCAAAGAATGCTCCTGCTTGGTAGCAGGAGACGATATTGGCGCTGAGCAGGTTGACCTGGGATTTTGACATGTCGCCAAAGCCGAATTCATCCCTAAAGGATGTCAAGGCCAGAGTCCCGCCGATGAAGGCGCTATCGTAGCCGATCATCATGGCAGCAGAGCCAGCAACTGCCGCCGAGAAGTATACTCGCCAATTGTAAACGCATTTTGGTGTTGGACGATCTTCGATGAGATGGAGGAGACCCATATTGAAAGTTCAGAATGGACTTGGAAGAACGGATCCTGGAGCAGTGAGAGGAGGAGTTCAAGGAAATGAGTGAACGAGATAGCATTAAGTACACCAGCAATCGAAGTCTTACCGCGTGGTAGAGTGGATGAATCTTTCCTGCAATAGCCAGCCCTCCAGCCGTAGGCCGGGGGAGAGCTTGGAAAGGATTTCCCCAGTTCCCCATGAAGTTGATGTGTGGTGTGGTCGGCGAGCAAGTGATGACCCCGGACGTTGGCCTGCGCATCAATTGCCGGCAGGAGGTGGCATTGCAGCGTGGAGAGCAAATCCTTGCAAGATCCGCCATCACAGCCAGTCAGGACCGGCAAGATCAGGATATGTTTCCCTTCTCGTGATCCCGGCGGAAAAGAATTCTTCCTTACCGTGAGCAGACGCCGCAGCTTCCACACCAACTCTCCGCCTCTGGCTGTCAACCTGCAAGTCAAAGTTCTGGCTGGATCTATACGGCAGTGCATCGGGAAGAGTCCGATGCAGGTCCATGGTACGGATTCAAGTGACTTACGTGCTCCGCGAAGCGCAACAGAACCGCCAGTCCCTTTTTTTTTAATCGCATAAGACCTTGGTTTAGCAGTGAAAGGGTTGCGAAATCCCATGGTGTGGACTTCTCGACTTTGATGGACTCGTGGTTCTGTTCGACACCAAATGCGACATGTTGCACCCAGAAACTCTTCTTTAAGCGCTTCAACTGACCATGGCCTTCTTACCAGCAAATACGTCTTCTCTTGATCGCGTGGCTTACTTGGTAGGCTATCCAATCGCCCATTCCAAGTCCCCGTCGCTGCACCACGCAATTTATAGCGCAGTTGGGAAGAGATGGGGCCAGTGCCTTTGCGAGACCACCGACCTTGAAAGCTTTCTGGCCTATCTCAAAAAAGATCCAAAGTGCATGGGTAGCGGTGTCACCATGCCCTTCAAAGTCGCCGTGATTCCTCACCTCGACGAACTTACCAATGAAGGCAAGACCATCGGAGCCGTCAACACCATTTTCTTCAAACCCGCAGCAGACGGGTCAAGGATATACTGTGGAACAAATACGGATTGCCTAGGCATTCGTGATGCCTTCCTCAACAATGTCGAGGGCTCGCCCTATCGAGGCAAGCCAGGACTTGTGGTTGGGGGCGGTGGGACTTGCAGAGCAGCCATCTACACACTGCAGAATTTCTTTGGTTGTTCGCCGGTATACATTGTCAACCGTGACCCCGGTGAAGTTGAAGCCGTCTTGCAAGAATGTGGTGCACGCGGAGGAGGGGATGACTTGGTCTACGTCTCAACAACAGAACAAGCCGACAAGGTACCATGTCCGCGCGCAGTGGTGAGTGCTGTGCCAGACTTCCCTCCAGTGACCAAGAACGAGAAGACTGCCAGAGAGATCCTCGCTATTCTGCTAAGATCTGGAGATAAAGGTGCTTTGCTGGAAATGTGCTATCATCCTTCTCCTGATACTGAGATCTCCAGACTCGCGACAGATTTTGGTTGGCAAGTGATTCCAGGTATTGAAGCCATGATCGGGCAAGGGTTAGCACAGGCTCACTTGTGGACCGGTATCAACATTGATGAGGGATTGAGAAACGTGGCAAGAGCCGCAGTGCTCGCGAAACGCGATGACTTCTGCGCACCACTAGACCTTTCGGCATGATATTGAAAGTCACAGATGGAATTCTGGCGGACAGTGGGACTTCGTCGGATCCATAGTAACTTGCATGTGATAAGTTCGTCCTCATCCAACCTGGCAGGGGTTCATGTCAATAACTCCTCCTTGTCCACAAGATACGGCGTATTTTCCTCCAGTGCAGCGTGGACTGCGTCGGCCATGCAACGCTTTGGTGCTTTCCTGCCGGTCATTGACTCAAATTGAGCAGTTGCTTGCTCTATCAGCGTTTCGATGCCGTCAATGATCACCCAAGGTCTCCGGGTAGCTTCGCGAAACCGCTTCATCTGCTTGACCAGCGGCGTTTCCCTGGTCATGTACGCCATCTCGACAACAACGCCTCCGGTGGGTGATTGTAGCCAGGACTCTGGCATCTCAAAACTTGCTCCTGGATTGCCATCAAGAAGCTCGTGAGTGACACAAGATACAATGATGGGTGGAAGGAGGAAAGCGCTTGGCCATGCATCGGTCAAAGACTCCAGCACCATGACTGGTTCTGGAGATGGAGTATACGACGAGGCGTCGCCATTTGACTGTGACATGGCCCAGTGGTTGAAGTGTCTGACTATACCTCTCGTGTTCTCGACAGTTCTGTTGTACACAAAGAGATTCCTGCAACCAAGCTGGAACATGGCATACACTGCAGCTCTGGCCATCCCCCCGGCGCCAATCACCAAGGCTGTCGTCTTTGGCTGAATAGCATTTCGAGGGGAGAGGCTCCCACTCACACAATTCATGATCCCGATAAAATCGGTGTTCTCTCCGAACCAACCCATGATGGGTCCTGCACGGTTTCTTTCCTGAGCCTGAACTTGTAGAGAAGGGACGACCCCGGACGAGTTCGCTCGGAGGGGGATCAGCGTATTGACTGCTCCGATGGCCTTTGCATGACCGCTAAGTGATTTCAGCTTTGGAACAACCCTGACCTTGTACGGCTGTACTATACTCAAACCACCCAGTCTGTCATTTCGAGCAAGTTCTTCAATATCATCCCATGAGTTTATGTTCCTGGTGTTGTAATGGTGCCTCAACCCTAGCCAATCATATGCAGCATTGTGCATTGCTGGCGACAACGATTCGGACACGTTCGCACCAACAATGAGGAATTCGAGCGAGTCAAACACAAAACAGTCAAAGAGAGACTTGGTGATGTCTCTGGCGGAGAGCAGAGGCGCCGAGCCGTCCAAGATTTCAACTGTTGGGACACCAGGATGAGTCACAGAAGTGAGTGTAGGGTTGATGATCTGCGATGTTCGACCTTGAAGGCCAGTATTATACGTGATCGAGACAAGTTGAGGTCCAGGCACACCCTTCAACTCCTCCACAAACCAGCTCCAGGCCTCGTTGTCATGACGCGATATCGGGTTGTTCAGGAGCCGAACGAGATCGAGTTTTAGAGCAACAGCCTTGTTGTATAATCTCATCCACCTGCTGGCTTTCCAACCACCCTCGCCCGGGATGCCGTTGACATAATTGCCAATGAGCTTTGTATACCCCTTCGCAGCCTTCAGCCTCTGAATCACGCTGTTTTCCAAGTCGAGATCCATCGACACGTACTCAACACCCAGCCGCAATCCTTGTAGCATGATCGCGAAATACTTGTCCGAGGCTGACTGTTCGGAAGCCCTGCGATTCGCTGAGAGTAAGATCGGAACTCTGAGAGCTCGTCTGGCCACAGCGACCATCTTGCTTAGGTGTTCGGATGTGCTAGAACCCCAGTCATCGACATATATTTCCAGCAGATCGCCAGCGGACTCCAGTGAGTCGAAGTCGATGTTCCCAGTAACGAACTTAGACATCGGCAGGAAAAGAGCGTGGGTATACGCTCGCAGCTCCACGGGAATGTCCAGGGAGAATGGGGAGTCAAAGGTCGGTCGTGCCGAATGGGTTCCAGTGATGAAACGTACAAAGGATGAGAAGTCAGCTTGTGCGTTTCTGAGCTTGAATGAGTACTTAGGCGAGGTACGATCTGCTGCGTCAGAATCCGGGGATCCATTGATTGACTGATCTTCAAGGTTGAAAAACTCGAAATTCGAACAGTTCCGATGTGTCATATTCCCATGCTCAAGCATTCTTGTAGTTCGGCCATCAAGGTTCAGAAGGATCTTGATCTGTTCCATGTCCCTCAGCACAAAGACTACCGGGCTTTTTTCGCAATACTGCCTCAGATAGTCTTGGAAGCTGCTCGTGAGGCTCACCAGACCGCATTCGATGACGCATTTGTATCGGTTATCTTCCAGCATCTGTATGGAAGTCTCGATATCCTGCGCATGGAATCGCCCGTTGCCATTTGCTTTCAAGTAGTCTTGTCTAGAGAGTCCGTTGATACTTTGGAAGAAATGATCCTCGGTGACAAATCTCCTCCCAAGAGCGGTAGCAGCAATCAGACCCAGAGACCTTTTTCCAGATGCACGAATCCCAATCAAGACAAGGGAAGCATCGGGATGGAAGGGCCGCCCTCCCACAGGGGGTTGGCTACGCTGTGCAGTATCATCGTGAATGGTAGCGAGCGAACTCTGCTGCAAAGGTATCTTCTCTTTCTGGAGAGGAGACGTTTTGCCAGAGTCCGGAGGCATCGACTCTCCACGTTGAGAGGCTGGATCGCACACATTCTGGTCAGCGTGTTCGACTGTGCTTCCGATCTCCATGATCAGTGGTCGAGCAAGGTTATGGACTCCATTGTCTTGTGTTTGCTGTCAATGTAGGCGTCGGTCAATGACGGCCTCAGGCGTTCACGACTGACAACACCTGAAAAATAAGCAAGAGTTCTTCCCAACATCTTGCCGGACGGGGCACTCCTGGCTTTGGAAGCGAGATAATGAGGAGCAAATCGATTCAGGTTCCGGTGGTTGAAGCAGATCTAACTCCGAACAGCCGCCCAGCCTGAAGGGCCTCCGCAGTCTCGGGCCCTTAGGCCCCTTTATTAGCCCAGACACCGAACCCCAGCTTCCAACGTTCCCCCGCAGGTGCTCGATCAACACACTCAAACAGAGGTCGCCAGTCTTTGGAGCCTACCACAGTTTGCATGTCGAAGGGTACCCTCAGTCTCCAACTTACGTTGGGTGAAGCAAGCATGTCGAAATCCCTCGCGAAGCCCCTCGCTCCCAGCTCACATCTCCTGGGTTACGTCTTCCTCCATTCCAATATGGGGGTTGTATTTCGCCCTTACTATGATCTCTATGAATAGTGCCGACGCGGAGGAGATAACACATCAAACAATTGAACGCAATGACGTTGTTTCTAGCCAAGTGCGTACACGCGTCTCACGGGCCTGTACCAGGTGCAGAGCAAGGGTGGGTTCACGCTACACGGTCAGAGCGCTCGAGCGGGAGACAGAAGGCTGATGGTCATCTTCTTGTTCGCAGAAAGACCGCTGCGATGGCGCGCAACCGCAATGCTGGAATTGCACCAATGCCGGCGAACCTTGTCAATACGTGGCCGGAACCAAAAAGAGAGGACTTCCAGAAGGATATGTCCGAGGCCTTGAGAAGTTATGGGCAGTGATGATACAAAAAGCAAATGGTCTCGATGATACTGTTCGTCGAGTCTTGGAGGACAACGGGGAAGAGCTTCTACGGATATGGAACCATCATAAGTACGGCGATGATCTTCATAGGGCCTGGAAAGAATCTAGTGCGCTGGCCGAGTTGGAAAGGCTCCTGGCGCGACTCGAACAACATTCTCAACCTGGCCTGAAACGGAAGAGAGAAAAGGAGGATGACGGCAGGACCACGGCTTCATTGCAAAGTACGTCCAGCGGTCGCTATACCATTTCACCTGTTTTCAGGATTACGGAGATTCCTGACGTGGATACGGAGATCGTGCTTGGTGACAGCGAGACCACTGCTCTACCTCAAAGGAGCATCTTATCCCCAACTCGTGCACCGATACCCTTGCCTCATTCAACACCGCGCCTGATGGACCATTATTTCAAGTATACGCATTGCTTTTTCCCCATACTGGACAGACCTTACACACTCAAGAAGTACTTCGAATATAGTCGAGCAAGTAATCCTCTACCTCCACAGAGCTCCGACCTTGCCTACATATGGGCCATGTGTGCATACACCAAACAGCAGATATTACGCCAGGGTGCCTCGAGCACTGGGCCTGAGGATGCAACCGTTGCCAAGATGCGGACGATAGCCAGAAGCCTGATACCAACAGAATCTGGTCCCTTCTTTCTTGGTCATGTGCAAGCACTACTCCTGCTCACCTTGCTCGATCTTGGAAACGGGAAGGACTCTGCTGCCTGGATCTTAGTTGGGTTCGCAGTACGAATTCTACTTGATAGGATCGATACGACAGGCGACTACCGTACGAGATGGACTGCAGCCTTACAAGGCTGTTTTTTCCTGGATACATTCCTCTCCATGCAGTTGAGAAAACCACCACATTTGCAAACCGAGTATATAATGCACACACAATCGCTTCACGAAGATGGACATGAGGAATGGGAGCCATGGGAAGTGGCCGTAGGGGACACTCTCGGTCCCCGGCCGCCAGCCTTTGTCCTTAGCTGTTTCAACCGTTTGACGGAGCTTTCCATCTTTGCCAACAGCTCGCTCAAGAGCGAGTTTTGTCACGTTCCCACAGAATCACCGTCGACACAAGCTTGCTCCGATATACCAAGATTACAGGAATTGGCAGAGAGGTACCCTTTCCACATCATGCAGATCGAACCACGACCACCTCATCAGATGCTGTTGCAAGCATGTCATTTCGCCATCACGGCCCTGGTGTCGCCGCTTTCTGCCACTACCCGAGCGGTCTTCAAAACGAAGTTTCTTGAGACTCTGGGATTGTTCGAACTTACCTGGAACACGCCTGAGAGATGCGGTATTCCCTCAGTATTGACGGCGCTTTTTCATCTGATCCACCGACTCGAACCGCACGACTTGGTATCTGATAGTCTCAATCGGACTGTGTTGAGCCTGATGTCCATCTGGCCGGCTTTTGCGCCGTATGCAGTTCATTCTGACCCTCAGATTGTTACCCAAGGAACATTGGGCCATGCGGACTTCACAAATGATTATGAACCTGAAGACGTGCTTCGATATACAAGAGCCTTTGCCTCATTATCAGCTGTGCCGCCAAAGCACTCCATGAACTACGTGCCTGGCGGAATGGTCCCAATTGAAGTAACACAAGACGGTCATTCAACAAAGGATATCCAGTATCCTGACGCAGCTCTATTTGACGCCCCAGCTGAGTCGACTTTATACACATCTTCGATGACGATGGATTATGGAGCCATGAATATTGATGTGCCGCAACATAACTTCAACTCTGTATCGATGAGTGACCACAATGCCAGAAAACCAGCGACGGCATCCCACAACTTTGACGGGGATGAGATCGATGCTCTGTTCCTCGAAATGGCACAACTCGACATCACTCAATGGACGATGGATCGGACACAAAATCTCAGAGACTTCGGCTTCGCGGACGACTCGACCTTTGAGGCATTCTGCAACGATCCTGATCGGTTGATGCTGGGTGAAGGATACTTGGTTCCGGCCTCCCAGAACGACCACGGGGTCACCTATGGCACACAGACAACATTCTCGGCTGATGCCGGTCGTCAAGGATCTGCCCACGCCCCTGAGCAAAGAACATTTGACAGTTATGGGGATCCTTGGTGAGAGAAGCATACCAATATGAAAATATGCTGTCAGATCTTGTATCTCACATTCCATGGTGTCTTTAACATTTCTTTTAACATATCTCGTAGTACTACATGATATCATACTACTGGTTGAGCGGTACATAGTCTTCTCGGCATAGCAATAACTTCTGCATATCGCGGTACTAATGCTCTGCAGTAGTCTTGGCGTTGTCTCCGCCGAATTCGAAAAGTCGAGCGCGCAGGTCGATCTCCAACTGCACTTTCAGCAGCTCGCTGGTGTCTTAAAGCAAGCATTATCGTCAATGGGACATTTGTGCCGCGAGGGTGCGACATAATAGCCTTCGTCGTGCTCGGTCGCTATTTCCGAGTCACCTAGCCATCCCTCTTTCCGGACTGGACACCCTACAATTTCCTCCGCAACCGCTCACCGAAATACCGCACCGAACCCGTCCGCGACTCTCCAGCCGATCCGGACTCGAAGTCCTCGCCTTTCCAAAAGTCATTGTCCTTCAAACGCCTGCCCGAGATGCCTCCCAAGGGTGCCTCCACGGCCGTCAACCCGATCAGACTACAAACGGTCTCACGGTTAAAGATCAGAAATCCAGATAAACAGGAACCCAATCCTTGTCTCGGCCCTATGAGCGCAATGCTGAGTACGTTTCACCTTACCCTGTTCTGCAAGAGAAAACCATCAATCTGGAATATCGGTATTTGGAGAGGTTGAGTCAGAAAATGTCCAACCGTGGCTGGGGCGGCCTGACATGTCTCCGGCGTATACCTCTAAACACCCCTCCCCATGATTTCCAAAGCCCTTTGATTATCTATTGTCGGGTATATTGCAGAAGACATGCTAACACCTATTTTCCGCAGATTGCTGGGCAGCCGGCGCAGCCTCCGGAGGCTGCGGCCATCTTGAGAAAGCTCTACGAGATTGCATGGATGCACCTGTAAGTGGCCTCATGCCTTGGATTCCGTCCAGCATTTTTCGACAGGTTATTGGATCTTTGTCAGATTTGATGTCTTGCCCAACCTCCGCGAATTCTCCACTCTCCGAGCACTCATAATTCCAATCCTTCGTTTCATCACGATCACTAACCAGTTTGCGATTTCTAGAGCCCTCCACCGAAGGCGAAATCCACGATCAACTACCATCTGGGTCGCTTGTACCCGAACATTTCAGGACCGAAGAAGAAGACGTGATCCGGCGCCAGGTTTCCTACAATACTCATCTCTTCTTCCTCTTCCTCCTCGTCATCTCTCGGGCAATCATGTATACAATACTCCTGGATACCGAGACACAGATACCAGCCGAGCATGCATACTCTAGCATATCTGACACAGTTGAACACCATCCAATATCGGAGGACGAAAGAGGTCCACTGAATAGACTGGAATAACTTCCCATGGTACTCTCCACCGTATTGGCGGGGGGCTCGTTTACCACAAAGCTATTCGGGCTCTGGTTGGAAACGATGACAGGAGAGTAAAATAAGGACATATCAGAACATGTACAAAAATGCACCAGTTCGGTTGCCTTATGGGAGCACCACCTGCAGTGAGGAAACGAGTTTCTAGACTGATTTGGGGCGGTGTTTGGGCCAGCAGCTGATAGCGGGTGCCCGTTACGGAAGACGGGATGAGGCTTTTGTGTATATGCAAATGCAGTGGAAAGATATTGAGAAGGATAGAGAATCTTCACAGACTTCCCCAAGCTTGCAGAAAGCAGAGTACGACTGATACATTTGATCATGTGACACCTCTCGAAAGGAAGACATGGTTAAAATCAAACCGCGGAAAGTGAGGGTGAGTGCCACTCCCTGCCCTCGCTTTCTCGAGTGTCGGCTAAATCGCATGACCAATCCGATTGTATATTAGGTATGTAAAATGATTAAAGAGTACTGTGGCCAGATCATGCCAGAGGGATGCTATCATCATTGTTTCATTATCATGAAGAATCATTTCAATTCATCCCCGCCGCTTTCCCAAGGTGACACCACAACCTGCCCGTGACATGCCATACTATGCAATGCTATATTTGACCCAAAATGATAGAAGCAGTCCGTCCTTGACACAGGAACATGGAAATAAAGTGTAAACCCCATGCTGTGTGGGTTTCCGGAAAAATGCAAGACATATCGACGCAAACAACAACAGTGCAGCTTCCGTCGTGACAAGACACTTACCAAGAAGGCCGCTCACCCATGCGAACGCCCGAAATGTAATGCCGACAAATGAGCAAAAAGAGATTCATTGCGTCGTGACCAGTCTCGTTAGATCATCCAAACAGCCTGTCATACCCAGCAGGCCTCGCCATTCGACCATTCTATGATCTTTTGAACATGAAGTAGCCATACATGCCGCCCACGTCCTGCTCGACCATGGGGATCTTGTGCATGCCCCACCATCTGGCGCCCATTTTCCAGGGTCGCCAGCCGTCATCGACATCAACGGTCTCGGTGCCGGTCTCGATCGGCTGTCGCACAAACCAGCCTCTACGGCCGATTTCCTTGACCACCCAGTCGGGACGCTTGATGTGAGCATTGCGGCGCTTGACTTCCTGTAGGACATTGGACCCTAGCTCGACGACTTCAAGGGGCAGAGTATCCGTGCCGGTTAGAGAGCTGGGCGAGTAGCTGAGGGACATCTGCGTGACGGAGGGAATGTCGCTGAGGTCGAGGTATCGGATTGCGCTGGCAGGGCTGCTATTGGTTGCATGAGAGATGTCGGAGTCTGTCTCGTCGTCATCGGCGGGTTTGAAGAGTCGTTTGATATCCGATCCGAGGCTAAGGCTGGCACCACGCAGGCCAAGTTCCTCAATGTGAGTGGCGAGTCTTCTCAGCATGGGGATGTGGGTTGCAGTGACTTGGGCGCCGCCAAGATTAAGCGATCGGAGAGTTGGTGGCAGAGAGCTCAGTAGTTTGCTCACATCCTCTACGGACAGAAGTCTGTGGCGGGACGAGTCGGATGCGAGATTGAGATAGACAATGCTGTCTCTGACCGCCGGGTGAGTGGTAAGGAACTTGACCACCGTAGATCCCGTAAGGTGAGTGCAACGTTCGAGGTTGAGGTGTGTGATCTTTGCAGAAGGTGGAATGGAAAGCAGTGCAATGTCGTTGATGAGCGTGTGAGCCACGTCAAGGTTAGTAAGGCTGGACAATTGAGGAAACAAGGCCTCAAAGACGCCTTCTTGTAGCGTAGTGCATTCATGCAGGGAGAGGCGTTTGAGGCCGGGCAGAGGTCCAGCTCCAGATACCCGTGTAGTAACAGCTGTGAATGCTTCGGCAAAGGACCGAGAGGCACAGGCACAGAAATCCAATGCCTGCATCAATGGCATACTGAAGAGCTTCGACAAAACCCCTACGTCAAGCTCGTCGTCCACATGTTCGTGGACGAGGAATGCCTGGAGGTTTGGCAGCATGTCCAGACAGGCGTTGAGAGTTTCGGGCTTCAAATATGGTGTCTGGTTGGTTGTGGTACGGTCCCTGCCGAAACCCATGTTTGAGTAGTGGGAGAAGTCCAGCCATTGCACCATCCCTCCCACACCCTGATGCTCCCTAAGGCTCCACATAAACTTGGAGAATGCTCGTGATTGAGGGATTGAGACGTGTCGGTACATAACTCGCAAAGCTGCAGGGTAGAGATTCTTGGAGGCCAAGGCGCAAGATACCAAATCGACATGAGGCCTGGCATACGGGTCCGCCGTATGGTCGACTGTCACAGACGAGAAGATCAATTCCAGAATCTCCTCAGGCATCGACTCAAGCCACGATGTCCCGGTCGGGTGGGGGAAGTCTAAACACACAGAAGCATCGTCAGAATCGTCGATGGCGCTATCGTTCAGCACCTCCCTAATGCCCAACGAATCCCTGACCTTCTCCCTCCATATTTCGAGGCTGAAGTCAGCAGGGTGTGGATGGACTCGGGTGATTTCGGCGGCGAAAGGGAGGTTGAAGAGTTTCTGAGCAGCCCTCCTCTTGTCGAGCTCGTCGAGAATCTTTTCCAGCTTCCGGGGATTACTGCGAGCGTAGCCCTCCAGGCGGTTTCGAACATGGTCTTCATGCGAGCCTCCCCAATGGAATGAGCATAGTCCCTTTGTCTTGCACCACTGGCTGCAAGGCCATGCAATCCACTCCACTTCTTCGAGGTCTTGGGTCGACAGGGAGGACTCGAATGACTGAGGAAGGCCTTCACCTGGAGTCCATGTCAGTATGCGATCTAAATAAAGTGGCGTGATGCAAACATACCAGGCTCTTCTTTCACAGAAGCATAGGAGAACTTCCTGGTTTGACTCATGTCTTCTGGACGCTGGAGGAAATGACAACAGTCAAGTTTGTGAAGCGACGCCACAACTTCGGAGGCTTGGAATGGTGTTTCAATGTCAGGTCGACTGGTTTTCTTGATCAAGTCGTGCTTGCACCATCTGATTTGTGTTGGCGTTTCCATCGCCATCGTCCGGTCTTGAGGCGGGCTTATGTATCTAGCTGTGTGTCAAGTTTACGGGCAATGTCAGACAACCTCCGCAGGGTATAGATGCAAGACACCAGGAATAGGTCTTGTAGAGGAAAGATGGGGGTAATGGAAACAGTGTGAAAGGTCATCAAGACGGAATCTGTGTCATTGTTTGCGATTCTGGCGCAGATGGCAACATTGCCATCACATAACGCGTACCATCGACAAGGCTTGTCAACTAAGCAGTTAACGGCAGGCGATGATTCATACTCCCCAGATTTTCCTGTCCGGTTTTTCTTTGCAAGGACCACGGCGGCTAGGCTTCCGGAACGGGTGGCTGAGTGTCTGTTCGCATGCTAGGATGCGTGGCTAGCCACGGATTTCACCTCACAACAGCATTCCTTGAACGGAGAGGCATATCTTTGACAGACCAGATGGTGTGCCAGATAGTTGTCCCGCAACGACTCCGTGCCCCTTGGCGATTGGATTCTGGCACATCCAGCCATGCATCTATCTGAAGATCAATTGCAAGGCAAGGGGACTTCAGGCCACGAGCAGAGAAAAATCGACGGGCCAGAGAATATTGTGGTGTCAGAGCGACGTTCAGATTACGTAGCGGAATATCAAAAATTTGCAGGTTGGCAAAATCTGGGGAATTCGCCTGCCTCGTGATGGCATTTGGCATTGGTCTGTGGTCGATTCACGTGTTCGCGCAGAGTTTTTTCATACTGCCAACAAGAGAGAGATTGAAAAGATCGGGAGCCTTCAATTGTAAGCAACCATCATCTTTTCCTTAGTCATGGCTACTTTGTCCTTTGGTAGTAGCCCTTTGATGGGGATAATATCATACCGCTGTCGACGTCAGATCTCATCATTCTGCTATGTTGTTCTTACGGCTATTTCCATGACAAATATGTACAACATCAACCTGCAGCCTCCTGTGCCTTCTCCGCATTTACCTGTATAGTGAGAAACGCCCCCTTATTCGGACATCTCCTCGGGCATAAAGGATCCAGCATCTATATCCAACGACACCGGACTCCTAGACATGAAGAGTTATATACCCCGTAAAGCCCCAGTCAACCCCGGATTTTTATGTGTCAACCCATCCCCCTAGGGTGACATCGAACCTCCTCATCGACGTTCCTGTTCCCTGTCTCGAGGGAGCTGGCGATCCGAGAGTGAAGGCTTCGAATTCTCTGTCTAGAGCCGAAGCTTGTCCTTTCTTCTGCAGACTCTCCCCAGATCGCACTCCTTCACATAGCGCTTTCAGGACACCACCTAACCACTCAAAGTCCTTTAGTTCGAGGTAGATCTGGCCGGAAACTCGTGTCCAGAGCTTTCCCTCGTAGTCGTAGATGGCAACGAAGGTATTGTAGTCGTCCACCAATTTCTTCTGCATCCATGCGATGTGCGTAGGAACATCGGCTTCCTGAACAATGATGGGACCGGCCGAGGGGAGACTCGGAGAGCTGGGGGGAGATGTGGATAGCTTGGAATCACCTAGCATCCCACCCACGGAACCAGAGCGATAAGTTTGTGCTGTTTTGCCGGCACTCGGGAAGCCAAAGGAGGATTGGCGCAGAGCAGGAGACAATCCACCAGCACTTCCTGCGCCCCCAGGTCCCATGCTAATGCTCCCCCGAGAATTGGCGCCCATTATCGTGATCGGGAGTAAAACATTGGCCATGGCACAATCGCGGAGACCGCCGGACCAACCTGTCCTTCCTCCGTCTCGTCGATCGCTGGCTTCATAGCTTCCCATCGTCTTCAGTCCATAGCCTGCGTCGAGATCATCCATGACTTCAGTTCCAAGAATCATGGCAAGAAGATCTGCCCCGCGTTGGGCAACATCACGAATGTAGCTGTAGATGGCATCCTCACCGCCACACAGATTTTGTCGAAAGTTCAGGGCAGCCGGCACACAATAGTATGGCGCGTTGTCGGCGGTAGCGACGAATTGGAACAGCGTCACAAAATCCGACTTTTCGCCAGGCGGGAGCGGATTTCGAATGGAGGAAGACGATGAAGTGGGCGGTTTGTAACCATGAGACGTTGGAAATGTCGTCCGAATGAGATGCTGGTTGCGCTTGGGCACATGCAGTACAGCACACCCGCGAGGAGTAAACAACCATCTGCCCATTGTCAGGATCTTGTTCTTTCATTCGGTGATCGGCATGCTTCGATCCGAACAAGCGAATACATCCCGAGAAACGGTCTCACTTACTTGTGACAATTGCTAACAAAGAAATCGGCATCCAGCTCGGCCAGATTCAGCGGGATTTGACCAATACCATGGGCGGCATCGATGACACTGATGATATGGTACTCTTTGCACATTCTCGTGATCCTCTCAAAGGGAAATCGTGCCCCAGGTAGCGAAGTTATAGTCTCAAAAACGCAGACCTTCGGTCGAAGTCCGTCATACAGGACGCGGGAAATGGTTTGTGAAAGTGCATTGAGTATCTCGGAATGTGTGCAAGGAAGTGAGTAGCCAAAGTCTTGCCCATGTCCGACTTTACGCAATGTAAGTTGAGGGTTTGTTTCGACGATGGACATCAGGGTCTTCTCGACGGCTCCATAGATTGTATCAAAGTAGATTATACAGTCTTTCTCCTTGTACTGGAGATTTCGTAGAACAGTGTTGACGCCTGTGGGGTCAGCCTCCGTTATCAATCAACTAAGCCGGGACGCTTACCTGATGTCGCATTCTGTACAAAGACACATTCGTCGGACGGGACGTTGAGTAATCGCGCAACTCGCTCCCTCGACTTGTCAAGGAGGTCGACATACTGATACCTCAAGAACTTATCCGGTGCGGCCTCCGCGAGCTTCTGATACCCGCGAAGAGCATTGCGCACGGGCAACGAATATGTACCGAAGGATCCTAATATGCCACGTTAAATTTACACTCCTAGACCGCCTTCGAATTTCGAGCGATTGAAGCTGGGAGTCATGACATTGGCAGACTCCGGAAGCCTGGGAAGCCAGGCATAGAGGAGGCATGAAGATGGGTTAAAAGCATAGCATACCGTGATTCAAATTGGTATACTTGGAATCAAACAAGAAATGCGACCTGAAACCATGTCCAAACTCCGTCACATCACCAAAAGAGCCCATTCTGACTATGCGGATAAAGATATCGAAGGAGCGGGACTTTCACGAACTCGGTCCGGAATGCGCACGAGAGCGGGAATATGATAGGACAGGGGTAACCGGGACTATCAGCCGATTCGTTTGTCCAAGTTGTTCTCAAGCATCAACATGCTACGTTGAACTGCGATAAAGGGAATGCGGTCGAGACTAGAGACGTCCTGAACACCTGATCAACATCAACTCTCGTTGGCAACTGTGACTCAGTGCTCGTCGTAATCCTCGCCCAGTCAAGCTGAATCGTTTTCGAGGGTGGAGGAGGCGCATCCGGGGGGCTAATGAAAGGCGGGAAAAGAAAGTAAGGCCAAGTCCCAAGATTGATGTTACGCCTGACGCCAGAATGGGCCGGCGACAACAGCTTGAGTGGGCGGACATGGGCGATCCACTGCCCTTCTTCCTGCGATTGGTGTCGTTCTGGCTTTAGGCCTTTGTGATTGAGTCACAAGCGGCAGCACAACTCGTTTGGTGATTCTGAAGAGATTCAGAGATTGGTGTCATGGACCCCGTCTTCATAGGTACTAGTACTGATTAACAGCCAGGTAATGAAATAGGTCATCTTACAAGTCAGGATTCATTGTTGCTTTCTTGCAGACCGGCTGCCTAATCAAGGGAGCTGTGAGATGATTCCACACCGTTGAGCTCTGGAAGATTATTCCCCCGCGTCCGGATTTCTCGATAACGATAAGGCAGTCCACTATTCAAGTTGTCCCAGCACTGCAGTGCATGATACTAATAATAATTACTTTGTCTGACGCCAGTAAATTGATGCGAATTCGCAATTGATGGTTGAAACATGTGCGGAGTGATTGGTCTTGCCTTCCAAATTCAGCGACAGACTTGAGTTTCTCAACCTCGGTCTTACGGCCACGGTTCGGCATATTGTCATATTGATTATTGAGGGGGGACGACGAGCGTGTGTAATAGTCTGGCAGCACGGTGAGAGCATCATTCTTGTCATCGACATCATCAAGCGACTCCAAATTGAGGCAACCCTCGTGAAAGCATCTTGCTCGCTGATCCCTAAGCATACATCAAACTGTGTCAACAAGGAGATATCCACGGGCTGATAGACCAGCTGCCGTGGTATACTAAGTTGAAATACCAAGCTGCTGCCTAAGACTTGGTGCTACCATGCCTGGAGCAATCTCAATATCCAAGGTCGACGGAAAACCCGGCCAGGTGTACTACCCACTGTCTTTGGACGAAGTGCCCAAGCCATCGCCGACCAGCAAACAAGTCATCATAAAGATCCACGCTGCTGCACTCAACCACCGTGATCTGTTCATCCGTCAGCATCTGTACCCCGGCACCACGTTCGGCGTTCCACTTCTTGCCGATGGCTGTGGCACTGTCGTTGCAATAGGGAGCGAGGTCGATGCCAAATGGAAGGGTCAGAGGGTGGTGGTGAACCCAGGGACCGGGTGGAAGGACAGCCCGGAAGGACCCGAGGACAAGGCCGGGTACAGAATACTCGGCGGCACCAAGATGAATGCCAACGGCACGCTGCAGGAATACATGGCGATTGACGAGTCAGAGCTAGAGCTTGCGCCCGAGCACTTGTCTGCGGTGGAAGCGGCCGCGCTGCCCTTGACGGGGCTCACTGCCTGGCGCGCGGTAGTGACAAAATGCGGCGAGCACAATCTGAAGCCTGGGAAAAATATCTTGGTGACAGGCATTGGTGGTGGCGTGGCTCTTATGGCGTTGGAATTTGCCAGAGCAGCCGGCGCCAACGTCTGGGTTACTAGTGGCAGCGAAGAGAAGATCAAAAAGGCAGTTGGTTTAGGGGCAAAGGGTGGCGTCAATTACAAGGAAGAATCTTGGGAGAAGAAGCTGTTGGCCATGTTGCCGACGGAGAACAAACAAATTGACGCAATCATTGACGGCGCTGGAGGCGATGTGGTGGACAAGGGCGCCAAATTGTTAAAGGTGGGTGTTTGCCGTCGCTTTCTGTCGATCAGCTACTGTTATTCTGTCCTACCTGTTCAATACGCTGACGCCTTTCTAGCCTGGCGGTGTGATCGCAATCTACGGCATGACTGTGGGGCCCAAGATGCCGTTTCTGATGCAGGCTGTCTTGAAGAATATCGACGTCAAAGGCTCAACCATGGGATCGCGAAAAGAGTTCAAGGACATGGTTGATTTTGTGAGATCAACGAAGGCGAAGCCAGTCGTCTCTCGGGTCGTGGCGGGCTTCGACTTGGAAGCGATCAACGGACTCTTCGAAGACATGAAAAAAGGCGCCCAATTCGGCAAACTGGTGATCGAAGTTTCGAAGGAGAGCGCCGACAGTAAGTTGTGATTGTTATTAATAAACCTTTCTAGCATCTTGGAGCTTGCACAAACATGTCTTGTGCCGGGCCACGTCGATATGTATCTATGATGTTGTTTGTGCCATTTGCCTACCGTGACCGATAAGCAGTGCTGTGCTGGCTTGTTGCCACGCGGTGACTCAGTGTTGCTATTTTAGCCATTCTGCAACGAGCTCGTATTCGTGCCAAATGATAGAGCCCTATCTGCCTACCTCAATTGATAGTCGCGATATTGGGGTCCCAACAAGAGAGGATGTCTTTGTGCTCGTGCCTATATCCATGTCAACGTGCAGATCTGCTGCGTGTCTAGCCTGGTATTCAATGATGTGGGATCCTGCAGGCAAAAACGAATGATCCAAAGAGACAATCTTGGGCACCAACTGCGGTATGTCAATGTGACAGTGATTGGCGGTAAAGACTGACAACCAGATTGGGAAACACAGAACAAGGTCTTGAGACCGAGTCGGGAATCAGCTTTGTCGTCTGGCCTGCCTAGGAAACCTCTTTGCGGCTGGATGCTTCCCTTGGCGCAATGAGTGGTCTAGAACCGAGCAGAAGAATCTCTTGTGCCTGGTTTTGAGGCATTGGAACTGGACACATGTACAACCGGGCTTGCAGAACAGCCAACACAGGAAACCAGACCGGCATGAGGCGAGGATGGACCACTGATCACCAAGCATTCCTGCCGGCTGCCTCGAGATTCTGGATGGATTCTTGACATTCTGCTGACAAGGCCCGGTGTTGCAAACGAATCCACAGCGTGTATCGAAGTTACTGGTCAGCCGATCTCGCAGAACGGTGCCCCTTGCACAAGGTCCGCCATTTGTTTGGCCCTTATTCAGGAGTTATGGGCTTCTGTGAATGCAGAGTTGGGGACACAGCAGCACTTGTGAAAGGGAAGTAACCAGCGCAATGGCGTTCGGTTTTTCGGTTTGACGTTCCACAAGTCGAGGGAACGGCCAGTCCAGCAGTTCACGACAGGCTGCTAGTCCCGCCATTTCGCTGCGATACCAAGGGGGCGGGTGTATCATAATGAGTACGATGCTCCTATTTGATTCGATTCCTGGAGTAGCGCTGCGAGGGACGATGTCCAGGCACAAAGCCCTCCTGCAGATGGGGGCACACTCGAACGGGTGTCCCTGCAGGGGCACAACCCTTGCGGTTTAAGCGAACCAGCCAGGAGGCCAAGCAAAAATAGAAAGGTACAGGGCTCATCCAACCACGGGGGATGCTAACTGCTTTCTGTTCAATTCATAGCCTCGCAAACGATTTCCCGTGATCTGGAAACTCTTTCTCCTGCTCTTTTCTCCTAGAACAAACGCTCCCAATTGAAAGGAGCACGCGGCTCGAGAACTCGAATCATGCTTATGCGGTAGTAAGTCAATACGTACACGCTGACATCACGACTAACAGGCGGTGGATAGGGATCGGATATAGTATGCACACCCCGTCTTCGGGTCCCAGGTCCCGAACTGGTGAGCAGATAGATCGGGACGTTTCGTCGACACTTAGTTCAAAGTTACGTCGCCACTGATTGGCAATTATACGCGGTCATAACATGATACCACGTAAGGTACCTCCTAGGTATCATTACTGTGGGAGGCATGAAAAATGCTGTGACGATGCAGATGGACCCTTAACTTTTCCAGACAAGATCCGGAGGATTACGCCTTGGTTTGACGTCTGTTTACCGCGTAAGCAGCATAAAAGCAGTGGATTTTGGACCCGGCATCGAGCGGAAGCAGGGCACGCAGTGGATAAAGAAATTAATGGCGCGAAGGGGAGCACGACTCCAGCACATCGTAGTAGTGGACCTCGCCGCCGTTAGATTTTGTATCTTAAGTTCCTCAGGGACACGGTATTCTGTACCGTGTACGTACAGCCATACGGTAGGCAGGTACATGTGGCGGTGCATAATACTGCAGTACGTACAATCCGTCCAACAGCCTTCGAGGTTACCGAGAATAATGGCATAGCTGTTCAAGTTGTGCAGAGTGTTTTGATTAGTACCAGGTATTCCTTCTATATGGACGACATTCCGGGTTGCCGTCGCCCCTGATTAACGGATCGAAACAAGTGCGGAAATGTTCGCTTAGATGCAGGCAACATGGCCAGGTTGGCAACAATGAAGGGCCACTAGCATGCAGCAGAAATGAAGCACAACACAGCAGTCCTCGCAAACTGTATGAGACGACCTGACGTTGGCAAACGAAGGAAGACTCTCAATGCCACCTCGTAGCTGAACAACAGATGACCCAGAATGGAGAGGTGCATGACTTCGTTTCTTTCGCCGCCACAGTCACGATCACTAAACCAGGGATACTAGACACACGAGTCTGCGCTGATTGAGGCAGTACGTAGTGACAAGTAGCGGTGCTCATCAATCACACAAATTGGTCCAAGATCGAACCATACTTGCAGATTTCGTAGTTTGCACATGCAACCTCAGGAATCACGCATCCGAAGTTCGACGACCTGATACATGACTGACGGCTCCATGGACAGGGAAAAACAAAACAAAGCTCGGCTTCAACGCGTCGATGTTGTTTACTTCGACAACCATCAGGGCCAGACATTTGGACGCGACTGTCATAAACAGAGATTCTTGACGCCTCCCGATCAATGCCGTTCACATCACTTCGGGCTGCTCCTGACGTCGGCGCCTTTCAGCCTCCACCAGACAGGCGCCATCGAGGTTCAAGCAAAGCGTGACGCTGGAGGACCGGGAGGCAAAAAGAATCACAGACCGTCTGTGTGCCTACGTACGCTTTTCCCAGTTGAGGCTAGGAAGACTTTCGGTCGGGCGGCTGACAGGCTAAAGATAGAATACTGCTAGTATGCCCTAGCCACTGCTTAGGCCCCAGTGCACTTCCGCGGGGATCCCTCACAGACCACTGCAGGGGCATGAGACTTTAAAACCTGTGATTCCGAGGGGCGGTGCACCAGGGGCAAGAACATAATTCACCCCTCGAAGCAAGACCTATAGTGTCATCCTACTCGGTCGGTAGAGTAATACGAGAAACCTGCGTGTTTGAGGAGCCATTGCTTTTGAATCTGTTCGGCTGCTAGTAGGAAGGTAGGTAGATAGATGCGGTAGCAGATACTCTAAGGTACTACCTAACCAAGGTGCCTGGTTTGTCGGAGGGAGCCGGGGTGATCGATATGGCCAACCATTTGAACGATAAGTTAGCCGCAGTCAAAAAGAGTGACCCCGGGCGACTTCACCCTACCTTAAACAGGAAAAGGCATCAGATCGTTTACTAGCACGGCTAGTACTGTCTCCATTATTACCTATTGGCAGCTGGTATTTTTGTTCGATTTTTTACCTGACGAGGATGTGGTATTTTTTTTTCGCCCCTCTGTATGTCGTATTAGTACTACGGCTCCATGGATAAGGTATCCTTTCTGTGGCAATCACTTCAAGTTCTACGTACTCCGAGTCTCTCCTGGATTTTTCGTACACGAATCCACCGAAGATGTTACTTGTACTCCATACCGTCCCTTCGATTGCGGCTGTGCAAAATGCACCTTGAGAAACCCACGCTCCCCGGCCATTCTACTCTGTGGTTATCGCAGTCGTGGTCATCTAGCTGTCAGGCCTCCGCCTGACCTGGCTTCGTCGTGTGGATCGCTTGCTGCTGCTGGCGTGTCGGCCGCCGTTAGCACTCATCATCCCTGGTTGAGGTGCAACCAGTCGCCGTCCCTCGTATCGTACACGCAGCCGACCAGATCATTTGTCGAAGCAGGTAGAAAATAGTGCTCACGGGCATTTGCCCCCATAAGTGTCAATAACCAAGTACGTACTCGTAGCCAGCACATCGCACCCATACTGCGCATTCGCCTACCCCTACTTGTTTGATGATGGCTCTCTATGCTTCGCTCCCACCTCTTTTGGTTGGACAGTTTCAAGCAGGGTCTGAGGACGAGGAGGCTGAGCCGGTGTAGAGGTTATGGGACGAGCAGAAATAGCAATGATATGATCATGCAGGATTGACTGTTGTTGGTGCTGGTATGGTAGCACTACGGGCCAGAAGAAGGACACAGCTCGAATCCCATCATTCCGGGCCCCAAATGACAGAGCGAATGCAAGAAAACTGAAGGACACAATTTTTCCTTGCTCTACCACCATTATTGTGACCGCTGGCACCCTGCCGCTGTCCCCGCTTTCCTGTCCACATGCTACTGGCTGCTAATCCTGTCTCCTCCTCTCATGTCGCCTCGCCTCTCATCCCATGGGACAGATCCCCTTGGAGCGACAGATACATGGTGGACAACTTTGGCCTTGACTGACAGTCAGAGGACGGCCAGAGGATCATCGTACGGCTGGAGCTTCTCCTGCCCTGCCGCCTCCTGCCGGCCCTCATGGCACCACCCAAGGGCACCAATCCCCAGTCTCTCGCTGTCGCTCATCCACTCCTTCGTTCCCCTTCCCACTGGCCTCTGCTCCATCAGCTCGACTAAAAGCCTAGTTGCCTTCACTGCCACTAAGCCTGCCTCAAAACTCGCGCAGTCGAACTTCCCCGTCGACTCGCCGAGCCTCTCCTGCGTGACCTGATTGAACACCCGTCGCCTTCCACTGCCCTGTCAAGTCGAAGCTCCTCCGTCTTGGGTCGAGGCCGATATAGTCATTTGGTCCCCCTCTCGGATCGTCCTTTTCCCACTGCCGCTCCACCTTTCCATCACCACGACTTTCGCTCTGTTTGCACTCGACTTACTTTCTGGCTCTGTTCGCAGACCATACTTTCGTTATACTCGAAACACATCTTCGCTCGCTTTCCAAGCCTTTGTATCTCCCTCGTTGGACATCAGTCGCTCACGTCCTTCGATTTCGATTCATTCGCAGAAAGCCCTCCAAAACCCGTTGCATTCGACAAGTATTCCAAGCGTTCAACTTCGCTCGAGTCCACGTCGTAGGGGATTACCTTCACTCGAATTCGGAAGCCTCAAGTTCCGTTATTTCTGGAAACCACCTGCATCCGACTCATATTCAGTTCTTGTTGTCGACAACCCTGTGGCCTGGCCCTACGCTGTGGGAATCCCTCGTTACGTTGACTGCGCGGCTATCCGTCCGTGGACCAACCCATTGGGGAACTTGGCAGCTCAAAAGACGGAGGAGATTCGATTAGAAAGGAGGCCCTCATCTTGGTTCAGATTGCAATCCAGAGACTTGGGTTAGTATACCGTCGGCCCTCCATCGTCATTCGTTACCAGATTTGGACACATCTATACACTTCTCAAACCGTTAGTCCACCCCTCTCCTTGCTTGAAATATCAGTCCTTGCGTTCGAGCAATCTATCGATCATTCTTAATGCTCCTGAGGGAACTCAGGGAAATCACTCGATTGCGATGCTAACGAGCGAGGATAACAGTTGTCTCGGCCCTTTCGCTGAGGATTCACTTCTGCCATCATCCCCTCTACTTGGACGATTCATACTTCCGGGCTCGCCGGTTTTCCCATACAGAACAGGTACAGAGCTCTTCCTCCTACTCTTGTCAAAGGGTTCTCAACTGGCCTGGTGATAGTTTGGCTGATCAGCGTGCATAGTTCGTTCCACTCGGCTGGCATTCTTTGTCTTCGAAATTAAGTCTGCCTCAGCTTCCCGAACCACGAACCTTTTTGGGGCCACCACCGGCATCTGCTCTTCACGCGAATACTTCTCCTGGGAAGGCTGCGACCAAGATTGCGTACCGATCTGGACTCTTCGTCAGCCAGCCTTCGCTCTTATATCCCAGACCGAGCTGGGAGATTGAAACATCATCCACTGCCAATCCCACCGGTCTTACCCGTTATCGAATGTTTACTACGAGAACCGCTATTCTGGCATCTCGAGGTTCTTGCTTACGATAACAAATCGCAACTGTCGCTCGCTTTGATTTGAGGCATCCCTGCCTCGCCCACTACACTCGTTTAGTACCCAGTCACTCGCTTTGTGCTTCAGTCGACACCTCAGCTAATTTACCACCAAACCGGCAATCTGGCTACCATTACCTACGATCGTTTTTCGGTAAGTCCAATTTACACCTTCCCTGGTCTTGTCTTAGCTGCATGCGCTGTGGTGTGAGAGCGGCGCTGGCTCTGCCGGTTCTTGGACTCATTCATATACTGACATGTCCTCAGTCGTTTCCAGACTTCCGTCCCCCTTTCATAGTCGACGATTCTTTCGATTCATCAGATTTTGTTGGAGATCATTTTGCCAGCCAGTTCCAGGACGGCCTTGAGGCCAGACCTGGTCAACTGCTCCCCATGTCCGGATATGATAAGGCGGCTCAACCAGGCCTTATTGGTATGTGCATTCTAGGTCGGATATCAGTCGCCACTTGCTAATTGTGAAAAGATTTCCAACATTCTGCGATCTCCAACCAAATGTTCTACGGCCCCTTTTTACAAACACCTTACGACCATCACCCTCTTCTTCAACCTAGCAATGTTCAAGAGTCAGACTTTCAGTATGCTCCAGGGCACGGCTATCCGGCAGAGAAGAGCTACGAAAATGGCCAACACATTGGTGTGCAATCCTACGACAACCGGGAAATGAGGACCTTTGGCATGCCTCAGCAGCCGGTCCCTTCATCTCACTTTGCTCCCATGAACCCTCGAAAACGCAAGGCCTCCAGTATTGAGGAGTTTGACCAATTTCCAGACCAAAAGAGAGCAACGCTCGCGCAGGTCCAGGTCCAAGATCCCAACGGTGATTATTACGACTTGAGTGGACAAACCTCCCCATACTCCCCGTTTGTCCCCACCCCTACCGGCAGCACCGGCTTTCCAGCGTGTCCACCTCGTGGCGCGTCACCAAGGCCTTCAGGCCATCACTACTCGACATCGACTGCATCGCAGGTCTCCCTGGCGGCTCCGTCACCACACACGCCCGCATTCAGCCCGTCATTCACCACCGTGAAGAGTGAGCAGAGTCCTGGAGCGCCTATGACGCCCATTCCCCGTTCAATTTCGACAACTTCGCCATTGAAATCATCCTTGCCGAAGCTGGTCAGGACTTCCACCATTCAGACATCACCCCCTCCAGGTGTCTTTTCTAACTTGGTCACGGGTCATGCTCAAAGCTTTAACCCGTACGCCATGCATCCTCTCAAGGCCAACCTCAAGCTCAAGGGTGATCTCGATGCCATGAAAGATCATTGGACTCCTGAGGAAAAAGAGGCTCGACGACGGCTTGTCGAGTTCAAGCGCAGCCAAGTGAACAGCACCATCACCGCTGAATTCAACGCTGTTGCCCCACAAGATCGTCAACCAAGCAGCATCTGCATTAGTTGCATTTGGTGGAAGGAGAAGAATGAGTTCTACGTTACCTCGGTAGACACAATCTACCTGCTTGAGGCATTGGTCGGAGTTCGTTTCACCGTGGAGGAGAAGAATCGTATCCGTCGAAACTTGGAAGGATTTCGACCAATGACGATTTCCAAAGCCAAGGCAGACAGTGAGGAGTTTTTCAAGGTCATCATGGGCTTTCCTCACCCCAAGCCTCGCAACATTGAGAAAGATGTCAAAGTGTTCCCCTGGAAGATTTTGTCGACCGCCCTGAAGAAGATCATCTCCAAGTACTCCGCCAGCTACTCCTCGACCGCGGCGTCCCTGCTGACTCCGACTTCGTCAATCTATTCTCATGGAGAGGGCGTTCCAGAGTACCACCACCCTCAATCACCCCATCCAGATTTCTTTAATGGCGCCGGCGCTCCCTATCAAGTCCAGGCAGAGATGTCGTACATGCCCGGACCTGCTCACATGCGCATGCCAGTGTCCCTGGGACCAGCGCCAGTTCCTGAAATGCAGCTACAGATACCAGAATGCATGCCGGCATACGACTTCAACGGCCAATACTGCTATCAGAATATGTCTCAGATTCCGCCAGCGACGATGGCCATGGCTTCTTATCCCATGACAGCGCCGGGTGCTCGTATGCCCCCGTGGGAATTCGCCAGTTTTGTCAACGACAGCCCGGTCACAATGCCGCCGCAAAGTGCGCCACCTATGGCGTATCCTCGTGGTTCTGTGGAGACGGCCGAGTTCATTCCCGCGATGCATTAACGGCCTGAGGCAAGGGTATAATTTACTCCACTTTCTTTTCTTGACTGTCTTTAGCGTTTACCATTTGTGCATAGCACACGTCAATCTGGAGACACCTTACCGCTGGAGGTTTTCTATCACTGCCGCCGTGGTGACAAACGAGCACGGCAAGGAGGATGAATCATGTGCACCACACAATCTGTACATCAGGATGATGATTTTTTGCATAGCGTTTGTTGATATTTGGCCTTCGAATTGGGATTAGGGATCTACATGGACAGTGATGGACTGTCAGGATTGGGAGTAATTGGAAAGGAGTGGGCAAAAAGCATGCAACAGCAATATGGTCAAGGGTTATGTTCGTGTATATGATTGATGAAAGCATAGATTTCTACGTGCCCCTAGAACGAATCACTCGGGAACCCGGAGCAATACACGAATATTTTGGGCAACAAATGGAACCCTTCAGATCTCAGAGCCCACGGTCGAATGTGTTTACATTGGAGAGGTGCTGAATACACGTTGTAGTATGTACCTAGGTCGGTAGGTAGCCTTACAGCGTCCCGTGCTGCTTTTGCGCAAAACCGGCACGTGATGGTAGGAGAAACTCCCATTCTGACCGGTCTAACCGCTTTAGGAGTGTAAACATTTGCCCCCAATCTCGGCGCGTTTGTCTTGAGTGCAAGTCGCAACTATGAAACTCTCGCTGCCAGTCCATGTGCGACATCATTGAATCAGACATCTGTCTAGAAATCCCCCTCCTTTGCCATTACTATGAAGCGCGCAGCTGTCATGAACTATTAAGCACCTTAAACTTACACCACAATCCCCTTGCGCCCAGAGGTTACTGTCACCGAGTATGGCACAAGTTATGACACCCACGCGACAGCAATCTGAACGTGTGGTATGCGTTCTACCTATACTCCCGATGAATGAGAAACAGGCCTTTGTCGACGAAGATACTTCACACGCCTCAGAAGGGGAGGTGATGAGGCCTCTTCTGTCACCGTCCACACGTCATTACACATTCACTCCGCAACGGACCCAAGCCCCGCCGCGCGCTTGGGAACGGCGTCCTGCAACACCATATGTGCCGCGAACCGAGGCGCAGAAAATATGGAAACGCGTCCCCCTTGGAGCGATCGATCTGAGCGATGGCCACAGCTGGAGAAAAGTGCCTCAACCAGCGGACAGAAGGTCGGTGAAAAGATTGAGAGTTGCCCAGACCAATGGAGAAGACAAGGAAAACGAAGACTATGTGACTTCCAAATGGGATGAAGATGGCATGGTAGCAAACAGTCCTAAGCGCAAGCTGTTTGGCTATGATGGAGCCACACAAGGGGAAACAACAAGCGACGAATCTGACGAACCATCCACCAGGATTTCAAGGGACAGCAATGGTCGCAGCGACAAGGATGACAATGTCATCAATGAACAAACGGAACGGGACCCTGCTATCGCAACAAGTGTTGAGGATGTGGATGTCTCTATTTCTATTCCAGCTGTCCAAATCAGTAATGGAGACAATGGAACTTCTTCTCAGGAGGCGAGAGATCCTTTGGTCCCGGAGCCAGTGTCGTCAGAATGCGTTGACAGTGTAAACTCAAGTGCCTCCTCCCTTCCGGAGGCAACGCCATCCGATCACAACCTATCCACTTTCAAGAGCAACGCCCAACCATGCAGTCCGCAAGCAGAAACCGAACCTCAAAGACTATCGCATGAAGGCAGCGATGTTCCACGGCTTGGTGAAGTGGTCAACTTCCCGATCGACCACGATGATTTTCCTTTCTTGCAGAATTTCTTGTCTCAACGTCAAGCAAGGAAAGCAGCGAAAATGGAGACTGCTCAAGAAGACGCTCAGCAGCCTGTCGGTCCGGAAGAAGTAGCAGATCAGATCACGCAAGAGCCCGCTACTGCTCCTCCGCAGGGCATGGAGCAGCCGGTCAATGGAGCCATGGGAGACATGAATACCACCCTTTCAGGCCATGTTAACAGCGACCCCACAACAGGTCACGACCAGAGCGTGGCACTCGAGCCTGATCAGGGAGTGGATGCCAACATCTCGTCGCCCTGCCGGCGTAGCTCACGGCTCAACACGAAACTGGCCGGACCGAAGAGACCGGTTGCAACATTACCAAGCAATATCTCTCTCAAACGCCTCAACGGGAATGAATTTATCGCCACACAACGCGAAGGACAGTCCTTGGCCATTGTCACGCGAAGTAACACGAAGCGCAACAAGGGGCCTGCAGTGTCAGTTAAGGTGAAATTGATTCAGCTGCGTGCTGAAGCGGAAGCAAGAGGATTAAACGCCACAGCTGCTACCCCAATTGGCAATTATGGAGCAGATGGGACAAAAAAGGCCGCGACACGGGTCAAATGGGATGGCATACTTGCTCGCTTTGAGGACGGAAGTGTGGTCGAGAATATGCCAGACGTGGAGGCACCTTGTGAAGCCGCCAAGGAGACGGGATGCGACTCTGGAGACGTTGCAGCAGAAGATCAGCCACCGCATGAGCCGCGGAAAGCTGAAGATGAGGCCCAAGCACAGGAGAAGCCAGCCAGAAAGGTTCGGAAGCTGAGGAAGCTGAATGCCGGTACAGTCAACGGGACGCCGGCACCGAAGAGAACCACGAGCATACCGGTTCCTGCCAGGGCAAGCTCAGCAGAGAAGCCATCCGATGTCAGCATCAATGGCAAAGGACCTCGAACTAGCGAAGCCAAGGCTGTGGGATGCGAAAGGCGGGCGCAAAGCCGCCCGCAGAGACGTCTGGGTACGTGTGCCTGAGCCTGAAGCTGTGGAAAGGGTCGTTCGATGACCATGTACATGTCTCATGAAGTGTGTACCTAGCATGATCGGTTTGAGCTGGCATACATGTGCAATGTATGATGAGTAACAATGATAACGCTGAACAGACTCGGTTAGTCCGGGGTTTGATGTGTAGAGAGATCGAGCTGAATCTATGATGGAGTATGAAAAACTTTGCACGACTCCATGTATCTTCCGTGTGCTGATGAAAATATGTGTAACCTGGTCCGCGGCAACCGCTTGATATCGGCTTTCCAAATATCTCGTATGATTCTGCGTGACTCCAACAGCACTGTTGCTTTGTGGGAAAGTAACCGTTTCACATGGACTATACCATTAGAAGGCTGTCGGCGTCGATCATCTAGTAGGTACATCACATTGAGTGATGCTATCATCCATCGTCCTGTGTCAAGGGACTTTCGGCCCGGTTGTCATCACTCTCGGCCCGTGCTCTAGTTTTCGCTTGTTCGCTTTGATGGATTCTACCATTCTCTTCGCCTACTTTCTTCTCCGTTCTCATGACTTCGGTGGCATATGATATGCCGTAACTTGAGCTCCCGTCGCGGTCTTAACCCTGGGCAACATCTCGACGGTTCGATGTCCTCTGATTGGAGCAACCCCGAGTTCATGTTTGTAATTCCTTGCGGTGCAATGTCCCCGATTGGCGCAGTTCCGACGTCAAGGCTGTCGAATGATGGGTTCCATGGTGGTCTGCGTTTTCTTTCCCGTGGAGATGGCCTTGCCCGGATGCTGGCGTCCGGTAAACCGCGTGCTCGAAGCCTCGTCCAATTCAAGGCATTGATTGTATAAAAGAACCCGCATATTTGTGAGAAACCTTTTGCTTTTGACAGCTTTGGAATTGCATTGAAACAACCACCCATACTGTATACTTGAACGCCTCCTACAACATGTCTGGCAAATCTGTTTTTCTGATCGGAGCAGGCTTCATCGGCCGGGAAGTTCTCGACCGGTTGCTTGCGGAGAACTACTCCGTCACAACACTTGTCCGGCGCGAAGCACATGCAGCGGAGCTCCAACAAAGTGGTGCAAAGACGGTTCTAGGGACTTTAGAAGAAAAGGAAATCATCACGACACAGGCGGCCGCACACGACATCATTTTCCACACGGCCACGGCGGACCACGTACCGTCCGTGGAGGCGGTGATTGCGGGCATCGAGGCACGAGCCAAGCAAGGCAAGAAGACGATCTACATCCACACCAGCGGCACCAGCCTGCTCGGCGACGACTCCAAGGGCGAATATAAATCCGACAAGATCTTTTACGACGACAAGCCCGAAGACATCGACGCCCTCCCTGACACGGCGGCCCACCGAGAAGTCGACCTGGCGATCCTGCGGGCGAGTAAGCGGCTCGGCACTGCCGCGAAGCTGGCTATCATGATCCCGCCGTTGATCTATGGCTTCAACCCGAAATACCAGCGGCTCTCGATTCAGTTACCTACCTTGACACGCTTCGCGCTGAAGCACAAGTACGCCGGCTACGTGGGCAAGGGGGCCGCGGTGTGGAATCAAATCCATGTCTACGATCTGGCGAGAGGGTACATGACGCTGCTCCACTGGCTCGAGCAGACCGACGCCCAGAACGTCCTGCATGACCCTTACTTCTTCTGCGAGAACGGGCTCGAGTTCTCGTGGGGCGAGGCGGTGGCCGTGATCGCCAAGGAGCTGTATAAGGCACGACGGATCGAGTCGTCGGAACCCAAGACGATCCCGGAGAACCTGTACGACGATCTCTTTGGTGACACGACCCCGTGGGTGGTCGGCTCCAATGCGAGGTGTCGGGCAAACAGACTGCGGGCGCTGGGCTGGAAGCCGCAGGAAAAGACGCTCTACGAATCCCTCGTGCAGGACGAGATTCCGGCTATTTTGAAGGAGGACGTGGCAAACTTCCATGGTTATGCCGGCGTTGCCGCCGTGGTCGGGAAAAGCTCTTGAGTCTTGGGAATACATGCAACGACTCCTGGGACTGGACTGGATTGCACGACCTACCTCATGTACAACTTACCTTAGTCTCCCGGAAGGGACGATTTTCAAATAACGGACACATAGTAGTAATGAATAATTGACATGACATGAGGAGTGGAGTCTGATCGGGTTTGAGCATCACATCGCATCGCTGTTCTTGCGTTGCGTCGCCTGATTTCCCATAAAACCGTGCATGTCTGACAGGGACTTGGCAAAAAGTCTAGTCGTTAGCGAAAAATCGCCTACAAAACGTGAAAAGAATAATCAGTCAGAAGAAATACTTTCTGCTCGCTGTTCTGGCCCTTTTGATCTGCAGGGTGGCCGAGGCCTTGCGGAACATTCATCGGATCTGGGGAAAGCGTTTAAAGCGTGGGGAAGCAGTCGACTTGATCTCCACATGCACATCCGCTTCTGTCTGCCGACTTCTGCTCCTGCTCTCCTTCACACGTCATCTCTCCTGTCTTACTCCCCTGTATCATCTTACTCCTCCTCTTGGCCTGCTCACATATATCCGAGTTGATGCTGGAGACGAGTCTGGATTCTGATCATTGATTTCTCGTGTACGTAGAAGCACAATAGCATTCCAGAACAAACTTACAACCAGCATGACTTCGAACAAACCTCCCTCTCCGCCCACAGCATCCAGCTTCTTCGGAGCCGAAGACTCTGAAGGGCCAAGTTCTTCATTTTCCAATTCCAATTCATCGTCCACCATCGACCCAGTCTACTCTCGACGACTGGTCTCCGACGACGTCCCCGGCAACCATAAGTCGTATACACGACCAATCTCGGATTCCGAAGGCACCCATACAGCCAAAGGAACTGCAGATAACGCTGCGTCATCGCGAGTCGAGGCGGCTGGAGATGACGAAGAAGGACCAATTGCGAATTCCAATTCTTCCTCTAGCCAAGTCAACGATCCGGTCTACGGACAGTCTGTGACCAAAGCGGCGACACCTGGCCAAACGATCGCCACGGGGAAAGGTGCTGGGCAAGTCAGCCCGGCCACTGATCCGGTCTATTCGCAATCACAACCTCGATCCCGGCCTGAGTCGCCCATTGCGTCGAACAGGCTGGGCCAGCTGTCGTCCCAGATCACATCTGATCAAGGTAAACCAGAATCCGAGTCTTAAGTTCGGACCGCGTATATACGCAACATGAATGGGCCCGGTACCTTCCCCCGTGCTATACCACTCGACACCATCGACTCTCTTTGAGCTGTCACAGGCATTAACGTTTGGATGGTCAAACCCCAGACTTACATCTGTTCTTTGGTCTTAGTTCGATAGCTTGTGTCTCGGCAGACCGGCTCGCTAGTGTCTTTGACATGACACAGGTCTTGCGAGAATAAGAAAGCACATAAATAACAGATCTCCTCACTATGACAACGAAATGCTGGTCATTTGTCTTGAACAATCCTTTCGAACGTTTGGTAGATGAACTTGATGCAAATTCCAAGTATATTGTCTCCATTTCTTGGATGTTTGATGTGCCTGAAACCAGAACATGTAGACAACTCGAGGAACACGCATATCCCCTTGTATTATATTGCAGAGGTCCTGACCGACCACACACGTAGGGATTCTATTGCTAGAGGGTGCGTTCCAGTACCTGCTTGTACTGCTTGCTGGGGGTTTCGCAGGGCCCAACCCCCTGCCCTGGTAGAAATTCGGTTATCATAATTGTGATCGTGTTTCTTCATATCCTGTGACACCTTCTTGGCCACCATCATTCTTTTGCTACACAGGGCATCGACACAGGATGGTCGCACGCACACAGTCTCCGAGCGACCTGGGACCACCCTGGATACGGTAGGGCCTCGAGTTTCCCCAGAAATATAGTGTCACCACTTCTGGTCATCCCGCATTCCGCACCAGATCCAAGATGTTGCCGGCGGCATCCATGCTCAAGGTTGTGAATAATAGCGAGACGACCCTCTCTTATGCAGCCTGTCGGGACTCGCGCAGTCTTCCTCTCACCACGCCATTCAGTTCCGTCATCGAGACGAGTTGACGTAGGAGGCAGAGAACCGAACGCCCCGACGTCGTCGTCGTTCGGATTGGAGGCTTGGAGGGACTCTCGTCGTCCTAGCATCTGATAATGTGCTATGGCATGCCGTTGCCTGGAGTTGAGGCAACATTTGCCATGCCATTGTGAGCCATAGAGACTGTGCAATATAGACGTGTCGTATCGCCATTGCATGTGTTTGTTGGTGGACCACGCAGGCCGTGACGCAAAACGCCTTTTCAGAGACTGTCACCAGTTTTGTTTCTACTCTTTCTCTTCCATCTCCTGTTGCAGTTTTTCAAATCCACTAGGAGCTTGCTTGGCTTCCTCCATCTTTCCAATGCCTTGCAAGGTGAGGTAGACGTCCGTGCCCCAGCCATACATGGACTGCAGAGCAATGCCACCGCCAAAATATTCGGCGTAGGCTCTACTCAACGGCAACCCGTACCCAAGCCCCGCGATGGAGCTCTGGTCGGAGCCACTATTAGCAATAGCATTGAGCCCTGCATCCGTTCCATTGTCTTCCACTGCAGCAGCCGCCTCCTCATTGTTGAATGTCGTGAAGCTGTACGACCATATGTTATTAAGTGCGTCAGGAGGGATTCCTCCGCCTCGGTCACGGATCCTCAGCGTGATACACGGCGCCGCGGAGTTGAGTGGTCCGATGTCTGCATCTGGTGAAGAACAATATTCCTCCAGACCGTCTTGTGAGAAATCATAGGAGTTCTCTTCGTTCACCGACAATTTCATCAAGGCTTGCAGTTTTGTTGTGGACACGTCCGGTGCCGTGGCAATGGTAACTTCAATTGGTTCACGCTCATTGCCAGACTCGATCGTGGCTCGAAATGCATTCTTCAATAATTCCGTGATGATATACTCGAGATGCATCGGTATGTGAGCAAACTCGGCGTCCTTGTCGCCATTGATGACGAGAGATGGTCTCACGCCATACTTGAGTTCACATACTTCCGACACGAACCCCTCACATTGTCGGACGATGTCAGCAGGGCGCAAGGCAAGATCGATGACGCCGACGTGATTGGGGTCTGGCTTTTGCGTGGCCGCGTCACCGGTAGAAGCCATATGAAGCGCGAGGTGCTGCTCGGCAACTAGTCGGGTTCCTATTCTCGCGCGGAGGTGTTGATCCAGAAATCTGGTGACTTCGGCTGCATCGATATATTTGCGACACTGTAGAAACCCTTTTGCCAGAGTGGGAATAGTGTTGGAATGAGTTCGAACCAAGTCGGCCATTGCCTCTGTGAAATTCATCTCCTCTTCTATCGTCTCGATGGGTTTCTTGTAGAATGGCTCCAGGGTGGACAAAGAGTGGAGGTAGTTGTTGTAGATCTTGGAGACATTCGGGTTGGCGACCACGATGAACGGTAGGTTTCGAAGGGCTTGGATTCGATGGGCTAATCGGGCTGGAAGGAGTGAGACGGTGAAGTTTGCCGAAGAAAGGAGATCAGCATCTCGTAACGGAGGTTTGCCATGTCTGTGTTGAATCAGTGGACTGCGTATAGTCACTATGGGCGGAACGGAGAACATACTTGACTAGATCCGCAAGTGTGAGAGGTCGGCGAGGTTTCGAGGCCAGTCTGGAGATTTCTTCGTCGGACACAGTAGCTTTTGATGGAGGATGCGACCACTCGTGGATGTCTGGGGGAAAGGGTTGGTGTGTTGGATGCGTGGCCCATCGACGTTGGGGTAGGGGAAGAAGGCGTCGAGGCAAGGCGGGTTTCAACATGTCGGATACAAAGAGTGTATCGATATCATGCTTCAATCCTATCACCAGAGAGTGTGCAGGGGACAACGGAGATCCGAATACTATGGATGTTGGAGGATTGACAATTGTGTAAGGATGATGACTGTTTCCGTATCTTATTTACACATGCGGCTCGCCCTGCGCTCGTTCTCCGCAAGGGAGTTCCAGCCCACTTGAGCCCGCTTCTGATCGCTTTATCAAGGGAAATTCATCCGAGATCCTCCAGAGAGCCTTTCTGTGGCAAGGCTGTGATTCCCCAGTCTTTGAAGGCATCATGGCTCCACAACGAAGCTTAGTCTTCCGATGGTCAATTAGCTGGAACAATTCTTCTTGTTGATGAACGCTTTTGAGTGACTGCCAGTGAGTCTTCTTCCAGCTAGTAGCACGGCGTAGTTCTTCGTCGTGGTTTCACATCAGCCATGACCCAACGCCGTCTTGATTCCGTACGATCAATGTACGATGAGAGGAGTGATCAATACGATGAAAATGAGGTTCATGTCAAACAAGCTCGCGATTATCTTCAGTGGGCTCAGCTGAAGGAAGGAGAAAGTGTGCTGGATCTGGCATGCGGAACCGGCCTTGTCGCCCTGGGAGCCAAGAGCGTGGTCGGTCCATCGGGTCACGTTGTTGGGGTCGACATCAGCGAAGGCATGCTGAATGTGGCAAGGCGCAAGGCTGAAGCTGATGGTGTCGAAGTGCTGTTCCTCAATCACGACATATCAGACTTTAGCGGTCTGGACATCATACCCAAGGGCTCAAGGGGGTTCGACGTGATAACGTGCGCAGCGGCTTTAATCCTCCTTCAGAATCCTCTCCAAGCTCTCCGACATTGGAAAACGTTACTGTGCCCTGGTGGCCGCTTCATCACGGACGTACAAACCAAGGATGCCAATCTTATTATGAACATCTTTGCAGCTATTGCGCCCGAGGTAGAGGAGTCAGTGCCCTGGGAAGCGCAGCGCTGGCAGTCGCAGGATGCGCTCGAACAACTGGTGGTTGATGCAGGTCTCGTTGTGCAAAAGATCTTCGAGACCGATTCGTATGCCACCACACGTTACGAGCGTGCCATGGCACCAGACCTTTTCGATCGAGCTGTCGTAAAGTCGATGTTCAAGAACTTTGGCCGAGAGGCAATCCGCGAGAAAGCGAGAGCACTGTTTATAGACAGAATTGAACGATTTGCCAGGCCTTCGGGGACAGTCAATGAGGAATGCAGATACTGGGTTGTCATAGCCACGGTGCCGTAGTGACTCATATCAAGAGGAACTAGGATAGACCAGGTGCCATCTCGTATTCAGGTGGTTAACCTGAGGAGTTCGGGCTCTCTGTTGTCAGCTTTCTACAACCATGTCCATTGTCTACGGCTCCTCGCAGAGGTCGAATGAGCCGCTGGTGACGGTCCTCATCTATGAACCTTCAGCCGCATGGAGCTGTGTAGACTTCCCACATAGAAGAGTAACAAAAAGAGTGTTGTTATATAATACACAAGGATGTCGAATCAATTCGGTGCTAGACATGGTGCTCGACCTCGAATTCTCGAACGTAGAATACTTAAAGCAGCATGATATGTGTCCTGTTCAGGGATGACGAACACGTCACTGCCAGTACTATGACATGCGGCTTCGTAGGCACTGCAGGCTAGGGAGGCTTACAACATGCTTGCTACTACAACGTCCAGTGACGACGGTACAGAACCCCTCAACTTGCACATCTCAACGCCTGCTATCTGGTTGGCCATGTCCGAGAGTCTTTTTTCCCTCGACATCCTGGGGTAAGGGGAGCCAAATCTCTCGACGATGGCTTTACCTCTGCCTGGTTCACCTTCATCCTCATGGGCCGTTTTCCGGGAACGCCTGAAGCATACTTTCAGCGGTGCTGACCCAAGAGTCTGCACGGCGTTCTGGCTCTTTGGTAAGTCCATCAAGCATGCGCTCTGCAGCTCGATGTCGTCGCGCTTCGTATGAGCAGCTACTAACTGCTCATAGGCCTGATCAACAATGTCCTCTACGTGATCATCCTCTCCGCCGCCCTCGACCTTGTTGGCCCCAATGTTCCCAAAGGAGTCGTTCTTCTCGCCGATGTCATTCCTTCGTTCCTGACCAAACTCTGCGCTCCCTATTTCATCCATGCAGTGCCGTACCCTGTCCGAATCCTGATCTTTGTCGGCTTGTCTGCGGCAGGGATGCTATTGATAGCACTGACGCCCAGTTACACTGATGGTGGGACGATAGCAACCAAGATGGCTGGTGTAATCTTGGCATCTTTGAGCAGCGGCGGCGGGGAGTTGACTTTTGTTGGGCTGGTGCATTACTATGGTCCGTTCAGTCTGGCGGCCTGGGGCAGCGGAACCGGAGGTGCAGGGCTGATAGGAGCTGGAGCATATGCGGTGGCAACTACGTCTTTCGGCCTCAGCGTCAAGACCACTTTGTTGGCTTCCGCTTGCTTGCCAGCAATCATGCTGGTGAGTTTCTTCGTCGTTCTTCCGCTGCAACCTCTTCGCTTGCACTCCAAAGTACATCATGGCGTTCCAGACCTAACAGGGGACAACGAGGAGGAGGAGGAGGAGGAGGAGGATGAGGCCGAGGCCGAGCAACGAGAGGGGTTGCTCTCCTCCGAGAGACCTCCTAAACCTGCCTTTGCTTCGCGTCGAGATTCGTCTTCTGCTTGGGCGAGGTTCACCCATAACCTAGTGCGCGCAAAGGCTCTCTTCTTCCCTTTCATGCTACCACTTCTTCTGGTATACGTGGCCGAATATACCATCAACCAAGGAGTGGCGCCAACGCTCTTGTTCCCGCTCCGAAAGACCCCATTCAAACACTTCCGGGCGTTCTATCCGAGCTATAACGCTATCTACCAAGCTGGAGTGTTCATCTCACGATCTTCAACACCGTTCGTACGGATTCACAACCTCTATCTGCCGTCATTCTTGCAGGTTGCGAACCTGTGCATCTTGGCTTCGCACGCCATCTTCAATTTCATCCCAAATGTCTACGTTGTTTTCGCTATAATATTCTGGGAGGGCCTGCTGGGTGGACTTGTCTACGTCAATACTTTCGCCGAGATCCGTGACACCGTTGCAAGGGAGGATCGGGAGTTTTCGTTGTCGGCGACCACCGTGAGCGATTCAGGGGGGATATGCATTGCCGGGTTCATTAGCATGGTCTTTGAGGTGTGGTTGTGCAATTGGCAGGTTCGGCATGGTAGGGATTACTGCAAGAAATTATGATGGAGTCTTGAGCGCCAGATAACGTCTTGAAAAGCCCAATATCGCACCACAACTAACGAGCATCATGCTCGGTAAGTTTGGACTACGTAGTAATCAAGGCCCGGGTGTACAATTCCCGGCAGGGGGAATCTGTCCGTTGTATCGACTTTGACTGCGATGGGTTGTATATTTCCTTCGTAGTGTCCAGGAGCGGTGACAGCTGTCATCACGGCAATAGCGCTTCGAACCGGCTTATGCAGGTGAACAGCGACTTGTTCAGATGGATTAGTAGTAGCCACCGATAAAAAAGACATGTGCCATAAACATGACCACAGAATATAAAGCCTGGCGATTCTGCCTTTTCTGGAAGCTGAGAACTCAGGTTGACCCAGGATTCGAGAGGTTGACTTTCCTATGCGGACGAGACCGAGGTAGTAGGTCAATATCTATCCGAAGTAGAGCAGTGTTTGGCAGTTTCTAAACTTCCTGTCCCTAACGTCTGGAGGTTCGGTGACTCTCCTTTTGAGATAGAGAGACATAGTGAGTAGCCTGCGGATCAATCATCATGCAACAATGGTGACGAGGTATGGTAGATATGGTAGGTAGCTTAGGTAGACAATGTTTTTGGCCAAACGGACTCCATGGATTCGCGAGGAGACTGTCAACGAAGACGACCTGTTTTGTACCGTGCCAATGGCGAGTAGCATATACCTTAGGTTAGGTATGTCCTTTCGGATGTTTTTATTCAGATTGGTGCGCCCAATCTTCATGCACGGCCCCGTAGACCCATGTTTGCTAGGGCCCACTGGTGCGCACTGTTGTGGCATGCCATCCCATCAGGAAATGTGGCATCAGGAGAGCCGACAACGCAGGTCCAGTACGGTTGCCTGCCACGGGCCAAGGAAGTCTAGCCAGGATTTTGAGCCACCATCACATCGTCTTTAGTCGTCGAAGGAGTCCGGATGGGGAGGATGATACATATTGGCCATCTGGCCGCCTATCAAACTAGGCATGAAATCGCGACTGGAACCGGGTAGGTATGTACCTACCTTGAGATATATAAGAGCAAAAGCCAGGTTGAAGAACGGAGGCACCTTATACCGGGTACTTGTACCTAGCTTGCTGGATACCGTAGGTAGTAGTCAGGTCCTCCTTAGTACCTCAGGCGATGCTCACGGATACAGGTTAAGCCACGATACGTCACGTTAACCGGGTTGATCCATGTCCAGGAGCGAGGTGGCAGAATAGACTGTTGAGGCTGGCCTGAAATGGCACTGACACTGGCACTGGCATGCAGTGGGTGACCCTTAGGCTCTCGGGTCCCTAGCTGGAGCCTCGACCGTGTAGACGAAAGCTGTCTAGGCTTCCTCAGGCCTGTCGGCTAACCAGCATCTGAACTTTACACATCCTTGGGCCGCCTCGGATCTTTCCCTCGACTCGAGCTTTAAGCTTGATTGGTCCAGTTAGGTGCCTGCAGTTCAGTTGTTCGGGATGGGCGCAAGCTCCCTGCATTCAGTGATACCTGGTGAGGTACCCATCCTCTGTAAAGTACTGCGTGTACCTCGAGGTACCTTGGTATGTACCTGTAGGTAGGAATCGGAGCGCCATCCGCCGCACGTCGCTCCCCTGTCAGCGTCGGCTGTGCCTTCTGCGGGCTTCTGTCTGTTCCTGTTGCTGGTGCATGTTGTTGGTGTCGTGCGCGCCTCCCCCCGGACAGCTGGCCCACGTCAACTTGAAAGATCCTTATGCTTGATCCAGCATCCACTGTCCAGTACGTACCCGCCGCCACACAGGGATCCATCCATATCCATATCCATCCCCATCATGCTTATCCACTTCCACTTCCCCCCCAAAAACCAATATTCGCACATCTGCCAGTCTGCCAACTGGATGCGTTTCTCGCTGCCACTTGACATCCTCGAATCCTCTTTCCAGCATACGCACACTGCACACCTCAGAATCTCTTCTCTCCTATATTGATCGCCTTTCGATGTAACAACAGCACCATCACCACCATTCTTTCTCGTAGAGCACCCGATCATCGAAGCTGTCTTCCTCATCTTGATGTCTTAACTACTACCACACAAACCATCCATGCTGTCTATGCTGATCTCCGAGCCTCCCTTTCTCGAACCAGCTGCAGCCGCAGCCACTCCAGTATCCACATCCTCGTCCGATCCTGCGCAACAGCCTCCACATCATTATTTGCTGCACCTGCACCTGCAGAGCACCATACTCTCCCTCTGTTGATCACCATCCCGCATTCCAGCATCCTTCCTCTCTCTCGATCGAGCTTCGACGAGACCTAGCATCCGTTCGCTATGGCGATGCCAGGCCACTCTCCTCATTACAACGCTCCCTCGAGTCCTCGGCGTTCATTCAACGGTACGTCTGTCCCTTACCCTGTCATACACCCTGATGCCAGATGTGCGCTATGAATCAAGATACATGAGCACTTCACTGCCAACATACTTCGCGCCGTGTTCCGTCACGCGAGTGAATCAGCATCTTCAACTCTTCTGACCATCATCTGTAGCCTATACTGAACCCCAAGGCCCTCCTACAATATACAGCGCACCTTCACGACCCATGTTGCCGCCATCTCCACAGCACTTTCCGCTTCCGCGATTTTCGCAACCTCCTCTCCCAGCGCCTTCTCCTACAATGGCCACTACAACAAATGGAGCCGGGGCCCCTCCGCCCCCTCCGCCCCTTGCTCCTCACAAGAGACCGGGCAGTAGCATGTCGATATCATCAATGTTGGGCACAGAACCCGAAAGAGCCGTACACGAAGTATACCCGCCGCGCAGCCAGCCCTCGCGCACATCTTCCCGGCAGCCCTCCATGTCAGGCCCGTCGATGTCGCTCGGTGCACTCATGTCACCTCCTCAGTACCCATCCAAACCGACCGGCAGCGAGTACCCATGGAAACCCAGATCAACGACCCCAGACCGGATTGCAGCCCCCGTTTTGGGCCCGAGACAGCATCGTTCAAATTCCGGCACTATGGCACAGCACCCGGGGTCTTTCTACGAACCTGTACCAAGATCAAGCACGGGCGCTTATCCCGAACCGAGATATACTCCCCCATTCGGCCCGACGGCGGTGCCCAAGGATGAATTTGAAGATCGTGCTCGTCGCACAAGCATCAGTGGTATCCTGCAGAGTCTCCAACAAAGACCAGACAGTCAACCTCAACCAAGTACCGTCATAACGACGTTCCCGCCGGCTACCAACCCGCATATTCGTCCGGAAAGCATTCCGCCGGCCTTGGGACACAACGACAGAGCGGCTCAGCCGCTCCACGCTGAGCCTGAACATCTACGTCCGAATGGCTTGGCTGGTTCGTACGATACTCGTCCTCCGGCCCAACCTGCTCTACCCCGTTTCTCACAAAACGTGCCAGCGCAGCAGCCGGGACCCAGTATATCAGATCGACCGGTACCACAATCCCTGTCACCAGAAATGCGGCGTCCACAGTCGCAGGTCAACGAGAGTCGGGGTCTGGCCGGCCTCTTGAATCAGCAACTCGATTCCGGCTTTGGCGCACAGAGTATGATGCGGCAAGATTCTGTTCAATCTCAGAGCGAGCGATCAATCTTTGGTGATCGACTGCGTAACCGCCCTTACTCGCCTTTCGCAGGCTCCGTCGCCTCACAAACAGGGCCGTTGGATGATCAACTCCGCAAAGGCAGCGACGAGATGTCTCAGCATAGAACGGTTCTAGGCCTCGCGAATGAGTCAAAACGGGGCAGATACTCACCTGTTCCTCAAGCAGTACAAGGCGCCCAGGCGCAAACACCCCAGCCCGACGCAGGCATTAAGGCGGAGCATGGTCGAGTCTTTTCTGGAATTGGCAGCGGACTAGGTTCGACCTCTGCTGCACAAACCCCGACTCCTCAGCCTCTGTCTGCTAGTCCATTCAAACGGGACGAAGCTGGGAATCGGCTGAGCGAAGAAAATCTAATGAAGATGTCGCGCAGTGCCTCTGGAATCAGCAAGCGAAATCGTAAAGCTCTCGATGAAGATGCCCGAGCTGAGAGTGACATGGGCGAGGCCAAGAAGACCGGCCCTGGTCGAGGCAAGAGGAGCAAGCATCACCATTCTTATAAAATGGACTTGGAAGACTCTACCCCAGGAGCCGGGAAGAACACTGCTAGCCAACTTCGCCGTGCTCCTACTCCCACATCCAACCCTTCACAACCGCAGCATCATCACCACCATCTGCAGCGCCAGCCTCGGACCGCCGAAAACACTCCGAGCTTTAGGCCCAGAAAGATCATCAGGATATCTTCCGTTGTAGCACTTGCGCGGCGAAACCCACGACGCCATCTCGGATTCTTCACGTACGATCCTGAAGTCGGGCCTGTGGATCTGAACAAACCCGGCAACCCAAAGTTTGATGTTGCGGTACGGCCGAATCTTCTTCCTTCCTTTACTGAGGCGGAACACATCAATTGTACATACACAGTTCGTGTACCCAGGATCTGGCTCCGACGGCGTGAAAGGGGTTTGATCTGCCAAGAACGGTACCTCTGGGGATCTGGCATTTACACCGACGATTCAGATCCTGTTGCTGCAGCAATGCATGCTGGATTCATTACTTCTGTGCTCCCCCCAGGCATTGATGAAGCCCTGTTGCAGCGAGTCATTGAAGAGCAGAACCCAAGGATCGAAGGTGGCACGGCCCCGGAAAAACCGATGGCCGTGGATGAGAACAAAGATCTACACATCACACTACTCGTGCTTCCACAATTGGAGTGTTATGTCGACAGTGTGCGGTTTGGAATCAAATCCAGGCGCTGGCCAGACGAACCGGAGTCTCCACCATCCGCCACCACTAGCTCAGGATCCCCCAGCTCCAACAAAACTCCTCATGATGGCGTGAGTTTCATGGTTCTTAAAACCGAGTTTGTTGACGATGGCGTGGAAGTGAAGCGAGTGGGACGCACTGGTAAGGAGAAAAGGAAAAGGTTGTACCGAGAGTTGATGGAGCGCAAACGGGGCTTTGAGCTGGAGAAGCAGAAGATCGAGATGGCGGCGGAAAAGGCCCGGATGCGCAAGGAAGTCCTAAAGCGAGAAGGGAAGGCTGGAAATAAAGGGTTGAGTATCGCAACGTCCGATGCATCGGAGGGTTCATCAGACATGCATCACAGGACCAATGTTCAACGGCAGTCAGAAAAGCCTGGTGGCAGCAAGGAAGATATGATGAAGCTTGACGTCGGCCAGAGTCCGGGCGATTGGATACGACAGCTTGCTGTTGCCGCCGCCTGACCTGGTATGCAATATCAATATATCGAATAACAAGCTCATTGAGACGGCTGCCTATCTTTCACTATCTTCATGCGATGATGGCCTTGATGCCAAGTATATGTGTAGAGGTTTGATGCGTACCTGTTGTGGCCACAGGAGACCAGTGAGTGAAATAATGCCAGACTACAGATCAGAGACCAGGGACCGATGATTATACTGCAATCTAATACCAAAGCAACTTTGCACGCTTCACTGGATCCAATTGTGGTAGGAAAATACAAATTGCGCTCTCGCTAGCGTTTGGCCACACGAGGAAAGGGTGCGAGAAGGGCGGCTGCATGCAACGATGCCTGCGTACACTTCTCCCCTGCCGCACTCACCCTTTCTGTTCACCAAGGGCTGGAGTGGATCATAGGAGACTGGCGGCGATTGGCAACGCAGATACAGTAGGAGATGCTCATTTGTGGCTGATGCTCCCTTTGGTAACGCTCGAATTCACACGCTTACTCCTTGCCCGATGTACATCCCTTCTTCCGCACGCCAAACTTTCCTTCCTCGGTGGATAGGGAGAGGGTCTTGTCGCAGTCGAGGTAATGATGCTCTTCACATGCGGCTCTCCTTGAGTGGTGACCATCTTCTACTTCTCACTTCCCCTTCCTACGGTGCCGACAACGAAATCCCCTAGCTTTGCCGCCGAGACCATTGGATTTTCATATCAGAAACACAAAACCAGGCAGGCAACGAAAAGGCTTGATGTTAAATACACGTAATCATTGCTTTCTGGTGAGCTGGAAGGCGAAGACTGTCTGTTTACTGGCCCGGCGCAATCAGCATGCCCTTCTTGGCAGCATCCGGTTCCCAGCCACCAGCGTGAGGCTCGCCCCCGTTGAGCTTGGCGTAGTCTTTGACGCGAGCTTCGAGTTGCGGTCGGAAATGACGGATCAAACCCTGGATGGGCCAGGCAAATGCTTCTCCGAGAGCTGGATTATCAGAACGTCAGTATATCTTGTCAAGACTCTTATGGAGGTGGAAAGGGGGTAGCGGTGGACAGAGCAAAAGACTTTTCTTCGCCCAGATCGTTGAGACCGTGATGAGACGTCCTGGGCAAGTGGTGCATCTAAACGCAGTGGACGGGAAGATAGGGTGAGATGTAGAGAGAAGAAGATTGACCTACCGCAAATACTGTGCCCCTCGACCTGCTTGGTCAGTTCCTGGATCATGTCGATCTCACGGGCGCGGGCCTGTCCCTTTTCGAAGCGCTCCATCATCTTGGCGGTCCAGGCGCTGCCCTCGCGGCAAGGCGTGCACTGGCCGCAACTCTCGTGCCTGTAGAACTGGCTCAGGCGAGAAATCATCCTGACCACATCGGCCGACTTGTCCATGACGATGACCGCGGCGGTGCCGAGACCGGACTGAGAATCCTTAAGCGCGTCATAGTCCATGAGCTGGTCGTCACAGATGTGTTTCGGCAAGACCGGTGTCGACGAGCCGCCGGGGATGATGGCTTGCAGGTTGTCCCAACCACCGCGGACACCGCCGCAGTGTTTCTCGATCAGCTCCCGCAGAGGAATCGACATTTCTTCCTCAACGGTGCACGGGTTGTTGACATGGCCAGATATGCAGTACAGCTTGGTGCCCGCGTTGCGCTCGCGGCCGAAGCTGGCGAACCACTTGCCCCCACGGCGGGCGATGGTTGGGACTACGGCGACGGTCTCAACGTTGGTCACCGTCGACGGGCAACCGAAGAGGCCGACAGCTGCTGGGAAGGGCGGCTTCAGGCGCGGCTTGCCGGCCTTGCCTTCGAGCGATTCGATCAAAGACGTCTCCTCTCCGCACACGTACGCTCCCATGCCTCGGTGCAGATACACGTCGAAATCGTAGCCTGAACCGCATGCGTTCTTGCCGATCAGGCCTTCTTTGTATGCTTCTTGAATCGCGCGCTGCAGCACCGTCGCTTCATGGTAGAACTCGCCGCGGATGTAGATATAGGCGGCGGTGGCGTTCATGGCGCGCCCGACCACCAGGCACCCCTCGACGAGCTTGTGCGGGTCTTTGCGCATGATTTCTCGGTCCTTGCATGTACCTGGCTCGCCTTCGTCGGCGTTGACCACGAGGTATCGAGGTCTTTTGTCTTGCTGCCAGCCTTTGAAGTTCATAAATGACTAACGGAAAGGTCCCGAGGTCAGCATAGCCCTAGTACAAGAAATCTGACAATCTTTCCACCTTGGAGCTGGTGAACATACATATTTTAACCCTGACGGAAAGCCAGCGCCTCCTCTTCCTCTCAACCCAGAGGCTTTTATCTCATTGATCAACCAGTCGTCGCCTTTCAGCACAATCTCCTTGGTCTTATACCAGTCCCCGTATTTCATTGCACTCTTGAGATCTGTGCCATGATGGCCGTACAGATTCGTGAATATCCTGTCTTGGTCTTTCAGACCGCCATATCTTCGCTGTTGAGGTTGTCCCTCTTGCACGGTGGCATAGGATCGAGTCTGGGAGCTTGTGGCGGCGGCAACGGAGGAAGTCGTCGATGATCGGGAAGCTGCCTTCGCGGCAGCTGTGGCCACGCCTCTGGCGGCTGAAGATCGGATGATCATAGCTGCGCGGTACAGTGGCTCTTGTCGTGTAGGAAGGCGGACGTGGCGGTAATCAACAGATGCAGGACAGAGGTAGAGGCGTCGGACGATTAACTGTATGTCGTCCGGTGCAATATCGAATTGAGCTTTTCTGATTGGCCGGGAGCTAGAGCCAAGCCGGCATCTCCTTCATACTACCGCGGAGTATACGGCCTTCACTGTATATATTCATCAAATTGCCTTATGGTCCGCCGAAGAGGCGAGGAGAATAAATGATGTCTACGCTATGATATCCTCTATTCAACGTCCACAGATGCCCTGGCCTTGTGCTTTTAGATGCCTTACAGTTTTCCCATTCCCGGCCAAAATCCCGGAAGCATTCCGGCGTACGCTTAAAATTCAGAACACGTTGTCGAACCCTGGTCCTGTTGGATCTCCGTGTCCCCTCCGGATTAGTACCGGGGGCAATAGATCAGAATGGAGCTCGAGGGCCGCCCAGGCTCTGCCCCTGTGTTGCCAGGATCCAAGACAGTGGTTGGTACTCGAACCAGTTCCTCCTCCATGACGTTCCATCCCCAACAGATTCTCTCTGGTCGCAACCAGCGCTTGAAATTAGACTCGGCGGGCATCTTGGGAGACATAGCAGCCCGAGCAGCAAGAAGATTCATCAACTCAGCGGGGGGTTCTTCTCCTGGTTCCCAAGGACCAGGGGCTGGTACGTAGGCCCACGACTCGCTGTCTAGGGGATACCACTCGACGAGTTGCTGCAACCACTGGGAAATGCGATGAGGCAACCTGACTCCGTGGGCGTATTCTCCATAGAGTGCTGATACGATGATTGCCAGGCGAGTCTTGTCCAGGTTCGCGGAAGTATCTCGCTGCCAACCGTTGACACGTTGCAGGTTGTTCTCAACTTCCGACGAGCATTTTTGCAACGCCATCGATAAGCTGTCGGGGAGCATTCCCAGTAGCGCTGTACTGTGAAGGAGTTCGTGTGGATGGGTTAGACGGTCGTGTCGTGAGGAAAGGGACTGGAGATTCTGGAAGATAGAAGCTGGCATTTCCCGACTCAAGCTTGCCAAGATTCCTTGGTTCGTCTCCTCAGTTGTCGCAGATTTGAGGACATATTTACAGACTGCAATGGCGGTCTGAATGATGCTGAGTTGACTGTCTCTGTAGATTTTCGCATGTTGCTGTTTGGTATTAGCGGGCGCGATGGTAGGATGCTTTGTCGCAGGGTCGGTAGCTCTGAGTCTCGCCGCTCGTTCAGTGCAATCCGTCAATAATTGACTAATTGTAGCAAGGATGATGCGGCCGTCCTCAAATGTAGGTTTCTCGCCGAGACAAGCGCTCATTATTGTCTGCTTCCGTGCATTTACGGGGTTGAGTTCACGCTCGTTTGCGCATAGTAGCGAGACACTGTCCAAAAGGTCAAAGGAGAACAGGGATGTCTCTAATGACCTTGCTGAGGTTGATTGAGGGTGCTGATGGCTGAATATGAAGCATCTTCTCTCTGGATCCGATCTCGGATCCGGTTTCCACGTGCGAGCAACCGCTAATGGCGAGCCTGGGGGAACTCTAATACTTATCGCAACATGGTCAAAGGGATTGTTTGGAATTGTAAAACCGTACGCGAGAAGAAGACCTTCGTTGTCTCGAGGACCGTAATTGTTGCACAGCTCTTCACCAGACTCATAGGGCTCCAGGATTTGGAGACCTACGAAACTGTAGCGGGCCTGCCATTCAACTTTGGCCCCCGGTTTGTGATTGAGAAGATCCACCAACGGCAGGAGAACCCCGAATCGCTGAGAGAACAGTTTCGCAAGATCACAGGGGTCTTTGTTGTCTCGACGCTGTTGTAGGCGCGCCCTGTCCGCAGGGAGTGTGTCATCGAGGACCTGCGAAGTGAATGAGCGGCTTCCGAAGATTGCCGCCGCCCATCGAAAACGTGGCCTGTTCAGGTCATGAGTCGTGCTTCTGCGGAGGCTGTGATTTTCCCGACGTACCATGTATAAGCCCCATTGACGGCATTGCTCCAGTGCAGCTGCTTCAGTTGATCGATGCCTCGCAAGAACATGCCATGCCATTTGGCAGTCTGCGCAGAGAAGCCGCCTTTCAAGTTAGTGCCCTCGAGCCAGAGCAGGTCGGCTTCGTTTTCAAACTGGGCGTGAGAGACGTCGTCGACGGTAGGTAGCGTGTAGATGTAAGGAGCCCACCATGACTTCGCCCCAAGAACCAGTTGCTCCAGTAGAAAGAAGGCTTGCAAAGACTCTGGCTGACTGGCCTGAGAGCGAAGGAAAGAGTCCGGAAAGTGGGTTCCATGGTTGGAAAAGGGCGCGACATCAAGAGCGTTTAGCACTGATAGGGTGATTGGCATAGGACAGCTCGCAATCCGAGTGCCGCTGGCAAGGCTGCGGCCATCCGCCACCACAGCATGAAATCCCTTGCGGGCACTGAGCGCAATTTGGGCATCAGGATGAAAGAACCCGTCGTTGGTTAACACCCAATGCACGAGAGACCGATGTCTCTCAAAGATGTCGTGACTTGCCGTGACTTGTCCATCCATGCGTAGAGGGGGAGTTGAGCTTTGCGCTCTTGTGTCCAGAACATCTTGGCCCAGGTTGCTAGAGTCAGGCTCCATGGTATTTCAAGACGCGACAGGCCCTCATATGCTGTAATGCAATAAGAAGTGCCTCCTCAGGCCAGTTCCGACGTCGATCTTCCAACCAGAGCAATTCTCTGAGTGCATGAAAACAGAAAGCTCGAAACGACCGAGAAAATTTAAGAGAGATGCAACCAGATATGGTCTCCAAAAAAAGGAGTGACAACCGCAAGTGAAGTGTTTGGATGTGTGAATATATATGACAGCAAAAGTTCTATCAAAGAATTGCAGAGGACCAAAATGTCAGCTAGAAGAAGAGCTGGATCGCCTTTGACTTCTGCACTGTTTGTCACCTGTTCACTTGCCCTTGCCAACATGTCATGATATGTTGTCCAGCAAACAAGCTGATCAAGGCCAGCATTCTGTCCCTAGCAACAACAAGGGGGGAGAGAAGGGTGTAATGCAGTCTGGGAACCCTCTACCGTCACAGGGGCAGTCTATTATTGTCTTAAACGGGCCGCACTCTTTTATTATTACTTAGGTAAGTACGTACGTCTTCTGTACTGCTGCTTTTGAAGCCCACCCGCACATTCGCTTTCTTGAGGTGCGCTACTGGCAGTGTTGTGGACGGAGCTGTCTGTTATCCGCATTTAGCGTGTCGCTGTAGCCTACCTAGGCTACAGGGTGCGTAAAATACTAAGATTACCAACTACCGATTGCTAACAGGCAAACTCCTGATAGGTATCCTCTTGATAGGCAATCTTCTGATAGACACCTTCCTGATAAGCAGCCCCTCATAGGTACTGACCAGCTCGACTTTCTCCAAGCAGAGCGAGGGAGAGAGGGCAAGCGGACAACTCCTAACTCCTGACAATGCGAGGCAAGATTTTCGATAAGCAGGGATATAGCTCATGTTTGTATCAACATTTATATTATTGTGTACTTCCAGAGATCCTGATAAGCCTTCTCCGATTCCGTTGCGCCATTATATATCTTGTTGGAGCATAGACAGATCTTGGTTACTGGGCGATGCCCACGTCGCCTGTATATCTGACCAGGTTGTCTTCCCGGCTGCTGTTGGGATCTCCCAGAGCATTCAGACTCAGATCCAACCACTCCGCCTTACCTAATACCAGACGGTCCAACCTGGGAGCTATGGCTGTCAACGGCCTCAATGGCGTCAACGGTACGCGCTCGAAGCACGACATATCAACCCTCAAAGTCAACCAGTCTCGGCTGATGGACGCCATTCATGGTGGCTGCAAGTACGGCGCGGCTCATCGATATGGAGAGTAGGTCATCCTGTTCGTGGACTCTGAGATCATCCTGACTTATTGTCGGTAGCCATCCCACCGAGACAGGTATGGCAAGGCTTAGTCTCAACGATGCGGACAAGCAGATCCGGGATTGGTTCCTTGCCACGGCAAAGTCTTTGAACTGCAAAACCAGCATCGACCAGATGGGCAATCTCTTTGCCATTAGACCCGGTAAGAATGCAGCAGCGCCTCCGATCATGATGGGCTCTCATCTGGATACACAACCTACGGGTGGCCGATACGATGGCATCCTTGGAGTCAACGCGGGCCTCGAAGTACTCAAGGTGCTGCATGAGAACAATGTGGAGACCGAGGGAAGCATCGGGGTGGTCAACTGGACTAACGAAGAAGGGGCGCGGTTTCCAATGATGGCGGTGGCCTCGGGTGTCTGGGCTGAAGTGGTTCCTCTGGAGACCGCATGGAACCTGGCTGAGGTCTCGCCGGGCGAAGATGGCCACAAGCGAACCATGAAGCAGGAGCTCGAAAGGATCGGCTATCTAGGCTCCCAGCCAGCCTCTTATCGGGCCATGCCCATGGCTTGTCATTTCGAACTTCACATTGAACAAGGCCCTAGCCTTGAAACAGAGCGGAAGAGAATTGGCGTTGTGAAAGGTAGGCCGTCCCCAAAGGGTTTGCCGGAGTCTCGACTGACGAGGACAAGGCGTCCAAGCTTTCAAGTGGTTTGAGATCACGGTCAAAGGCCGTGACACTCATGCTGGCACCACCCCGTTCTATGCTCGGATGGACTCGATGCTTTGTGCCGCAAAGCTGATAGTCGAGTCCAATGCCATCGTGAAAAAGTTCGGTGGTCTGGCGACGACGGGAATATTAAATGCGGATCCAGGCTCGATAAACACCATGGCTCATACAGTCACTTTCACGCTCGACATTCGACACGTCGAGGATGACAAGCTCTCCGAGATTGAGAAGGCGTGTCGGGAAGCGTTCTCGAGAATCTCGGAGAAAGAAAGCGAAAAGGGCTGCAAGATAGAGTGGAAAGAGCTGGTCGATAGCCCCGCGGTGAAATTCCATCCCGACTGTATCGCCGCAGTCGAGGCCAGCACGAAGGAAGTCTGTCAGGATTTGCCCATGACATCGGAAGATGGCCAGTTGTGGAGATATATGATCAGTGGTGCTGGCCATGACAGTTGCTACACAAACCGTCGTTGCCCGACAAGCATGATTTTCACTCCTACCAAAGATGGAATCAGTCATAACCCTCAGGAGTATTGTAGCCCCGAAGATTGGTATGTCGTCTCCTCCGGTCTTCCTTGTGCCTGCTGACCCATTGTAGCGCGATTGGTGCCCAGGTGCTGCTCGGTGCTGTGTTGCGATACGACAAACTGCGGGCCGATCGAGGTGACTTCTCATGAAAACTGGCAGACTCGGTCCTTGTTTAGCACAAAGTACTCCCGAATGTTCTGAGTCTGCCCTGCGAGAGTGTGTCATCCAGTGTCGCCCAGCCAGCATTTAGCTGGACACACCACGAGCACGAACAGGGGCACAAAGGCTCCCCATGTTTAGCGATTCGCCTTCGGACACGGCGTCCATCTGCGTGTTCAAATAGACGAGTAACTAGGACCGGAATAGCTCCAAGAGGCCTCCACATAGGGGAGCTCGAAAAGAATTTTGCATCTCCGCTGTTGTCTTGTTGGAGTGTTGCCAAAGACGGCGAGGCTTTGACTAGTAGGTAATGCAGAGACCTATGAGGGCGTGCTGTGTGGATAGTATTGAAGCTGAATATTCGGCCAACGCAAGGGGAAGGACAGCAGTGCCCGTGACTACCCTTTTCCTCGCCTACTGCAGGTCTCATGCTCCATCAGTTAAGAGCGCCCGCTTTCTCCTTGCTGTCTTCTACCTGCTGCTGCTTAGGCTTGGGAGGCTTCACATGATGCTTTGGTTTCTTCCCATCTAATCGTTCAACCTCCTGCGCCCATTTTGCATAATAATGCCGCATCTCTTTCTCGCAGTCACGTTTGTCGCTCTCTCTGCATCCTTTCAGATTGACCACAAGATCTCCTTCTTGCCACATACTATCGTAGGTTTGCGTCTGGCCTGTCACCTGGTCTCGAACAGGCGGACTGGCAAAGTTGTAGGAGTTCAAGCGGCGCTGCTCAATCAACACCAGTTTTGCTAATATTGTGGGATGCCATTGAACAAGATGCTCAAGCGCATGGTTCTCGGCTTTCTGGAACAAGTAGGCCCGGTATAACGGATCAAACCATGCGTCCAGAAAATAGTGAGCCCAGTTATCCGTCGTGGTGGGTGTGAAGGGCGTGTTGCGCAGGATGAACGAGGTGTGAGCAATGTTATCTGCGTCTTGGGAGAGTATGAGGTGCGTGCGAGAAGGTCTCAAGTGAGAAAAAGTATGGATGACGGAGTCGGGAGGGACCACCGGCACGTCCTTCAGCATGAGTGATTCCAAAGGCTGGAGGATATGCGTTTCTAACGATAGCGAGGGGTTCGTGATGAAGGCGTCGGCGGACAATGACCAGAAGAATGTGCTGGAGGAGTGCTCTGTCAATGCATGTCGAAGGGCGGGTACTATCGACCAGGAGGTCGGAGAAGGGTGGACGAGTTTGGAGTAGGCGCTGGTATTGGTGTAGAAGTTCTTGTATCCTGGAGACTCATGAGCCCACGCTTGAGAGTAATCCAACAGAAAGACTGCATCTACCGTGTCTAGCAGCGTAATCGTCCCGGTTCGCCTTCACTATCTTGATGTAGTCCTCGCTCATCGCGTCATTATCGAAGACCGTAACCAGAACAACGTCCTGGTGGCCTTCAATCGCACTTGGACCGTCTTCATGGCTCCCTGCTGAGGTCGCAAATAGCACCAGTCTGAAGCAGAGGTACAAGGTCAAGAGCCCCAACACTGCATAGCTGACGATCTGCAACTGTTTCCGTCGTCTGTAAGTTGCAGAGACGGAGGTGTTTCCACGAGCGTAAGGGGGAGGTTGGGACGTTTTGCGCGGTGGTAATGCGAAGTGCATTATATTTGAACGCAGAACGGTAGGAGCCGGAGATCAGAGGAGGGTCATTGCAGTGTTGACAGATCGAGCTTTATTCCAGACAAGTGCATGACTCGCCCTTTACCTCTGTAGTATAGACCGTGGAGGGCGAGAGGGATAAGTTTGGTTTCCGCCTGTGTTTATCGTGGTTGCATGGCCTCCGCGTTTGGACGGTTTGCCGAGCCTCAACCTTGGCCCTGCGGTTGGAGTCGCAAGCACTGCACCCACCCCCTGTTTCCGAGCCACACTGCGCTGGCACTTGTCATGCAGTGGTTGGTACATGTATGTAAGAAATAGTATCAGGTCGATGACTAAGATTTGGTGGTTGATATAGAAGTTCTATTCGTGATATGGTAACCTGGTAGACTACCACTACCTATTGCATTCTCGTTTCAGCCTGTTCTTGGCTCACCAGATACCTGGCAGCATGGTGTACCGTTTTCTCTTATACTTGTCTCCGAAGTCCTGGCGGTACCTCCGCTCCTTCTTTTTGGCCCACTGTGCCATCTGAGCCACAGACACGAGCAGGAATATCAGGACGCTCCAGCTAAGGCCGCTGATCAAGTAGACCCCAATCCACGAGATAGTCTCCGTCAGATAGTTCGGGCAGGTAACAAGGCGGAATAAAGGGCCTTGCGGAATGCCGCGCTCGGCGCTTCCGGAGCTTCTCAGTCCCCTCAAAGTCAGATGCGTTTGGAGGTTTCCAATTTCCCCGAGAGCGAACAGAACTAGGCCAGGATACAACAGTAGGGGGTTGGCCTCTCGTGCACTTGCAGAAGACGGCGAATATATGAAGGCTGCCACCATCACTCCTGACAGAATCCAGTAGTGGAAACTGTTCTTGAATATGTTCCGAAGTGGCATTGTCGCAGCAGAGAACCGGTGGACGAACAAGGTCTCCAATTCCCGCTTGACAAAATGTAGGCATACTAGCCAGCAGAGCAGCGTCTGGATCTGAGATGCATCTTTTGCTGCCGAAGGATAAAGGTACGGCCGCAATGAGAATACCAATGGGTGTATCAATAACGGGCCAAGATACTCGACGAGGAAGACCGTCCGCCATGCAACCTGTGGACCAAGATCTTTAACATAGACCGTACTCTGGTCACGGAGGCCGGTGGAATGAATAGAGGTGTCCTTGTTGTTGGAAAGCACAGTTCCATCGGAGCCTTTCGTCAGGCGTAACCGATGGATCGAATAGTTCGTTCGCCGTGCGAGTTCGGAATAGAGGTCGGTGACTGTGGCATTGGGCGCCAACTCGAGGGACTCAGGGAGAGACTTGATCGGTTTTCCTGGTAGCGGCGAAAACAGTGAGTAGGCATGCTGGCTAGGAGCTACCACCGAGCTTACCTCGAGGGCGGATTTGCAAAACAACAGGCTTCGATGCCATCTTGTCTCATGAAGCCCAAGCCGCTGCAAGATGTATGTTACCGAAGGTGTCAAACGAGGTTTGAGTGATGAGACGAAAGAGCTTCAGGGCGCGATCGACCGAGGGCCAGAACTTTAGGGGAGAAGTGTATCGCAGAAGGATGTTGAGGTCGTGGGGTCGTTTTTGGGGCAAGGTAAATTATTTATGATTACCTACCACTTGAACTGGTGGGGTAGATAGATATCATTACTAATAGCACATGGTAGTCACCTACCTACCTACCTAGGTACAATCTACCTACTACGTACGTACCTACCTAGTTACGATAGGATTTGTTCGCAGTACAAGGTTGCAGCTCAACGAAGAGTGGTAAATTACGTTACCTCTTGGACATGGGCAATGCCAACAAGCCCACCCTGCTGATCCTTCTCTCGAGCGAGATCCTTCGAGATGTCGCTCGTGTTCGGCCAGAGCTAAACAATATGGAGAGATGTATCTCTCCTCGTATCCATTTGAATTCAAGGTACGGTGTGCACCACTGGCTGGCGGTGCTCCTGAGTATCAATCAAGTCGACATGCTGGTTGTCCGGGGGTTCTCCGGGGACTGCGCCAAACCGTTGGACCGGTGATCTTTGGTTCGCAAAGCGAGCACATAGAGGATCTGGCTCGTAGCAGCGGACTGACCACATCTTCAGTGGTACCCTTAAAGGAGTTCAATAACCATTCCAGACCAATCGTGATGAGGCCATGGCTAAATTGCAACTCGGTTCCCGCGAGGGACAAACTCATTGGGACGAAAACTGAACTAACGGCAGATATATATGCCAAAAAAACAGTTGTCGCCCTCATGAAGGCGTTGAAAAATACTTCCTCCAGACCTTAATAACTCCGAAAGGTGTGGCAAGTCGAACGCAAGGCTGAAGTCAGCATCATCTGCCCATCATCGAGCGCTGCTCCCTATTCTCCACAAGTGCAATATGCCAACCAAACATTTATTTATTTTTTTCCAACCCAAACTGGTCGCATCTTCTGAATCGATCTTCCGTGCATTGCCAAACAGCATCGTGATGAAGGCGTTGTGAGTGATGGTGCGACTGACCAGTGGTCTGGTCATTCTCCATCGCGTCGGAAGTGGTCGCCACTTGAGTTGATGCCTTCCAAGACTTCCTAATTCACGAGTACGCTGGGCACATTGCAGCTGCAGGTGATCACAGAGAGAGCGACCAGATACGTAGAGGGATTACTCGTAAAGTCGAAAGTCAGCCCTATAGTATAGAGTGCACGAGGTGTGAATTAGCTGCACACTCGTTGCAGTCGCGCAAACGGGTAGGCACAAGAGGCAAGCCTAAAGCTGGGTGCGAAGTGACCTGACCATTGCTGAGGATAAAATTAAGGTACTGAACACTGATGCTGGATTGTGATCATGTGGCAATCGATATCAAAGAGCACCACCCGAAGGTCACTGGCAGTTGGGCTTCGAGTCGACTTGTTTCAGGTATATCACCGCAATGGTTTGGAGTCATGGGCGCTTCGAATTCGGGTCTGGGACAGTCGTACGAAGAGGAAAGACATGACGGTCGCATTCATAAGGAGAGTCCATAGTTGGAGCCGTAATCCAGGCAACCAAGTCTCTGCAGGTAGCAAGAAGTGTAGAGGGGGCAGACCGAAGGCAGCAACCGTTAGGTAGACTGTCTCGGCCGACGTTGGGAAGTTCGAACGTCATTCCTTGAAATTTGGCCTGTGTAGACCTTTACGCAGAAACGCGCTACTAACCACCGGCGACTGAGGTTTCTTCATCTAGCATCACTCCAAGCTTGAATTTACGAACAACACTTGTCCCGTTCTAATTCACTTCTTGTCACTGCCTTTGTACAATACTTCTCTTGCAATCCTTGGCATTGCTACATTTATTGCACGGAGTCTCGGGCAAGTGAACTCGCAGACGATTTGTCTTTCAACACCCCGGCTTCCTACGCTACTCCGAACTCTGATCATTCTGGAGAATCGGGTCCAATTCACCTTCATCACTTGAGCGCCTAATAGCCACAATCCCGTTGCCTTTGGGATTCAAAAGGACTGTCCCCTGGGCAATCTGCACACCTTCTCCGATACTGGCTGCGCTTCTGAGGCTGGACAGAGATCCGCTTTTCTGATGCAGCCTATGCTGCCACACCACGGAGTCTAGAGAAGATGGGGAAGGTTACGAGGAAGCCACAAGAGAAGCACAAAGTCTCCCTGGTAGGTCGGGTCCTCCTTTTGTGCATACATAACTGACATGAGATGTGATAGTCGCCTGCCGTATCAGACCTGGTCAAGAAGATCTCCACCGTTCCTTTGGCAGAATTGCCAGCCCTTTTCAGCGGCTGGTCGCAGAGATGGCCTTACCCTCGAGGTGACCTGAATAACTGGATAGAACCTCTTGATCGGTTTGACAGCATACTGGGAGATTTTAATGCGAAATATGGGCTGGACAAAGGTCCCCAGACCATACCGTTCGGTGTCTCGTTACTCTTGGAAGGAAGTCCCGGAGTCGATGAAAAGCGTCTCAAAGAGCTAGGTTTCGGTCCGGAAGGCGACAGAGAGCTGGTGGAGGCAGTCTTGGTGTTTTCCAAATTGCTCGTGGAGAAATGTGCCAACCGCGCAGTCTACAACAGCACTGATCGGTTGAACGACCTTCTCAACACCACCTCCTTGTCTTTGCTGCACAGCACGCTGCGCATCACTTTCTACCTCGCCCAGAGATATGCGGAGCGTACACCGCCTTCACGCCAACACACCACGAAGTTCTACGACTTCGATCATGAACGTCTTCAGCGCCTTGCTGCTCCCTTCGGACAACCTATCAGTCTGCTTGCCAAGCGAGGAGCCACATCCCCTGTCAAGACTACCAAGTCGAAAGAAAAGCCACCTCACGCGAACAAGGCTAGACGGGGATCCTCTGCTGTGAACCCGAATGATTTCCGCTCTCTTTGCAAAGATACATCCTCACAGGGGGACCGCGGAAAGTCAACAGCTACACCGGATCGAGATTGGATGACATGGGCACATGTACGAGTCTCCTGGTCTCCAGCAGGTGCGGGACAGAAGTCTGCTCCTGGCGAAACATCCCAGACTTCCGAACCGCCGCCAACCCCGACGCCAACCAGACAGTCTCCTTCCGGGCTAGGCAGAATTGACGCTATAAGCTCGCCGACTGGAAGCATAAGTCGAGCGGCCGCGGCAATAGATGGAGGCGAAGTGAGATACATTGAGTATGGTCCTGGAGACTTGACCGATACTACGATTGAGTCGATATTGCGAAGTCAGCCTGATGATCTGCCGCCGAAGACTCGATATGAGCTGCTGCACCAGCTTCGTATCGCCTACGGCCTCATGACGTCGGTCAAGACGCGAAAGGAGCTGTTGGCTGTGCGACTCCTGGCCATTTCTAGCCTAGCAAACGTGTTTAACGAGCCCGAGCTTTCGCAGAAGTTGTTCCCCACCGAGTCAGGAGGTCCCAAACCTCACGATCTTGTCCAACAAATTGTCGCCCTGATACATGACGCCAAGAAAGCACAATCATCAGTGTCTCTGTATCTTCAGACACTTGCGATGGATGCAATAGGGGTACTCGCACGGTTGAAGACATTTGCACCAGACATCAATGCTGCCCTAGGGGCGGGATCGAGTCAAGGCCTTCTTTCTCAGTTGATCCAGAAAGGATTGAATGACATAGGGAAGGACAATGACAGCACCGACACTCCAACTGGTGACGACTGGAGAGAGGCCGTTTTCTCGATGCCAGCGACTCTTATTGAAGCCACGGGCCATCATGGTCGTTCTAGTGAGGCAGTAATCGCGTCCACTTTCCTCACTTCGTATCTGTCAGGCTTCAACATCACCACCGGTAAGGCACTGCGGGTTCATTTGCGCATGCTCGACTTCATCAAGACGTTCTTCCATCACTTCAAGGATGGATTGGCTACCATGTTAGCAAACAGCGCATTCGAGGCAATAAGCAATCTTCTCAACACCTTAGTAACCAGTGCATGGACTCTGCTACAAGCTGGTGATGGAATTCCAGCACAATACAAGACTCGCGCTACGGACTACGAAATTCCATATGTGCACCAACAAATCATCCGGTCTATTATTGATATGATCAATGATATTAGCGGCCATCAAGGACCGCAAGCTGATCGGGTGCTGAGGAGTCTGGTCGACTCTCAGGCCTTGCTTCGAGCATTCCGTGTCATCGTTGACCACCTATCTGCATTCGGTGCGCATACCTGGAGTGAGCTTGTAAAGGCAGTCGGTGGGTTCCTTCATAACGAGCCTACCAGCTACACGGTCATATCTGAAGCCGGGATTGTGCAAAGCCTGCTCAGCACTGTCACTGCTTCGCAGGGCGACTCCACCCAGAGACATTCGAAGTCGGTATCATCAGAGCCTGAGAATCTGCCGCAGGGCATTCCTCCCGTCGTCGACGCCATCATCCAGGTTGCCCAGATCTTCAGTGCCATCTGCCTTACAAATGCAGGGTTCGAACTTTTCAAGGCTTCCGGTGCCTTGGAGAAGTACTTTGAAATGTTCGAATCACCTGCCCATGTCAAAGTGTTGAACGACGCAAACATCCTATCACATTTAGGCTCGACTTTTGACGAATTCGTGAGACATCACCCAAACCTGCGCAATCTCGTCTTGAGCGCAGTGATAGTCATGATAGCTCGGATCCGGCATATCAGCAGGTCGCTCGCTGTCGATTTTGGAGCTGGACCGAAGCTGTGGCTGGGTTCGGGCGATGAGCTTGTCCCTTGCGGCGGACGCGAAAGTCTCACTCTTGAGATATTACCTCCTCCCGCCACGAGCTTTGATGAATCCACAAGTCCGAGGACGATCGACTTGCCCAACGGCAAGAAGCTCACTCTAATGGCCGAAGTCCTGCCACCGAGCAATGTTTCCGGGAATGCAAGCGATCAGGACAGCCATGGTCTGAAAGCCAATGACTACGCAAGACCCGCCATTGCCTTTTTGGTCGCTTTCTTCGAGAATCAATCTCTTTGTACCAGCTTTCTTGATTATGGAGGCTGTGACCTGGTCCTTGACTTCATCACTCTACCGAGTTTGCCAGTCGCAAATGAGCCCTTTGACCGACCCGATGGCATGCTTTCTGAACTCGCGGCGGCTGTTCATATGATGGCGGAGACCAAGCCTCACTTAGTCCTACCCGCCCTTGTGGATCGCGCGCAATTCGCTTGCTCAGAGTTGAAGCAGTTCAGCCAGTCCCAGCCGACGAATTGGACGAGTTACTTCGCACCTCTGGTTAAAGCTGACGCCACATCTGAGGGCCCGGCACCTACTGTCCACAAAGTTACCGCTAACGGCACCCGGGTGGTAAAAGCCATGATGGCTGTCTTCTGTCTAGCCCAAGTTCTAGCCGAGGTCTTCAATGTTCCGATGTACAGTACCAGGTCGTCACAAAACTATCTCTTCGGCCTTGTAAACCTTGCGGATGTTTTGGCGGATGTGTGCAAGATGATGGGTGGAATTTCGGCCGCCTGCTATCGAGAAGACATCGCCATACAACGATCAATACCTGACCCTTGGATCTCAGCAACGCGGCCTGAACACTTTTCCACTGGTGATGAAGAAGTTGACAAGGTCCTTAGTGTTCAAGACAGCAATGCACGCCCGAATTCGGAGGTGAACGCTGGGGACTCAGCCATGGACACGACATCCGAGTCTGTGACTGCTGACTTGGACAGTGACAAAAAGAACCCTTTCTTTCAGAATGCGCGCGTACTTCGATATCTTTCGGTCGAGACGCCGGCTGCTATCACCGAGTTTCTCTGCCGGCTTGGGCGCGGCCTTGCCGGCCGTCGACGCCCAGACACTTTCGCACGACAGAAGGCCACTCTTGTTGCAGACGCTCTTGCATCGGCGTACCTGACTCCGCTCGAGCCATATTTCCTTACCTCGAGCGATGCACCACGAGACTGTGAATCTCGTTTCACCTACCTGGTTATCGCCCTCGACAATGTGCGTCGCAGCTTCTATGATGATAGTCACCCATCATCGGGGCCAATGCTCAGTCCCGCCAGACAGAGTTTTGTTGTGGAGTCGTTTCGAAAAGCCGGCGGAGTGAAGATGCTAGCAAAGATTGGGACACAATTCTTCGAAAAGCTGAAGTCGTGCGAGGTGGAACATTCAACATTCTCTGCCAATACTGGTCTCAAAATCTGTCTAGACATCTTGGATCAATTCACAGATTCGAAGTGCATCATGGAATCCTTGCAAGCCAACATCCTGAGAAACAATGATCCGACGAAGCCGTTCTACTTCAATCCGGCGCAAACGCTGCTAAGTCTCCGAATGGAAGCGCTACCACTGACCCGTTTGATCTGGGAGAGCGAATACGCGGACCAAGCGTCCAAAGACGTTGTGCAAAAGCTGGTATCTATTCTCAAACACGTTTTTACCGGCGACCACGAGAGTGAAGCCGTACAGAACGATGAGCATCAACCCCCAATGTCGTCATTTTCGCCGAGAAGAATGGTAATTGATGCTCAAAAGGTTGCTTTGCTCAAAGACACAGGCTACGAAGAAGATCTTGCACGTGAAGCTCTGTACCGCACGAATTCACAAGCGACAAGCAGTCTCGCAGGGGCTGAGGAGTATTGCAAAGCCATGACCTCCAATCCACGACGAAGACGCCTGCCTATCCCGGATAGAGAGGCCGACGTTACAATCACCTCTCGCGCTACACCGGGACTGACGAGTCCCCAAACGGCTTCGAACTCACTGACGAATGCGCTCTCGGGATCCCCATCAGGTGGTGCTATTGCAGCTGCACTTGCTGATGTGGTAAACAATGCTGCTGATGACAGTTCCATGGAAGGGGTCACCGGTCCGGATCATCAAACATCGGGCAGTCCCAGACATCCAGACAGCACTGCGCATGACGCAGTCAGTGCCGAGGGTGAGCATCAGCCTGCATCCGAAGCTTCTCGGCAAGAACCGCCGGCTTCGTATTCCGTCGAGTCCATCACAGCAGAGAGGACGATAATTCGAGAGGATTTAGCGGATCGCTGCAACAATATCCTCAACAACCACCAAAATCTGACCTTTGAGCTCTCAGACCTCATCATCAGTGCAACCAAGAAACTGCCCGAAGACGCCGCCAAGGATTACTGGAGGACGACCTCAGATCTTTTGGTCAGCTCGTTGTTATCCATGCAAGTTGAGGATGATATCAACGAGGCGCGAGGGAAGAAGATTGGTGCTTCCGCGCACCTTGTCGCTCTGCTCATTCAAGATGGCGAGGTTTTCAAGGAAACACTGAGCATATATCAAGAGGCCTTTGATGGACTCCTATCCTTTCTACGACTGCCAGCTGCCGATGGACGCTCTGCGCAGGAGTCATTTCCCTGGATTGCCCCTGTCCTGCTCATTGTTGAAAAGATGCTGTCGAAGGATTGTGAACCCGCAGAAGTCAAATGGACGCCTCCCAACGATCTCGACACTGTGAGCAAGGCAGAGCTCATTTCTTTCTCCGTCCTCGACTTGTCGGCGAAGTTAGAACTATTCGAGACCCTTATCAATCTGCTACCGCGTGTTGGCAAAGACAAGCTGATGGCTTTGGCCATCACAAGAGTCCTAGTCATTCTTACACGAGAGCGGGACGTTGCCTCGCGTCTCGCCGAGAGACGGAATCTGCAAAGACTCTTCCTGATGATCAAACAGCTGGCGAACAACGTCGGTCACCGACTTCAGAGCTCTTTCATGATTGTCCTTCGACACATCGTGGAGGACGTGGAAATCCAGAAGCAAATCATGCGCAGCGAGATCAAGGCATTCTTCAACTTGCGCAGCTCTTCACGACAAATCGATATCACGACGTACCTGCGCGAGATGTATCATCTTGTTCTTCGCTCCCCGGACACTTTCGTTGAGGTCACGAATGAGCTGGTCAAGCTTTCGGGGTGGTTGCCGCCACATCACCACGGGAGTGCCGCCGGCCTTGTACTAAAGGAAACTGCCGAATCCAAGCCAGATGGCGTCGGCCACAGCGGACATGCTAGTCCGAATGGCGAAAGTGACGACGTGACGATGCAACCAACCACCAGTGTTGAGCCCCCAGATCATGCCGTGGGAGACATTGGCAAGAGCAAGGCTTCTGAAATAAAGGCTCCGGTTGTGGAGCATCCTGACGGTGTTATTCACTTCATTCTTTCAGAACTTTTGAATTACAAAGATGTCGACGACAAGGACGCCACTGCTGAGTCGTCGTCGACAACAGGTGCAAGCGGGGCAACCGACACAGCCCAAGGAGACTCGCTACGTCCAAGTGAGGATGCTGGTACTACTTCTCTGGAACAGCCCGGATCAGAGAAGGGCAAGTTCAAACCTGACGAGCATCCGATCTTCGCCTATAGGTGCTTCCTTATGTACAGCCTGACGGAGCTTTTGCACTCATACAACCGCACCAAGTTTGAGCTTATCAATTTCTCTCGCAAGGCCGACCCTATGGCTGTAACACCATCAAAGCCTCGGGCGGGTGTTCTAAACTATCTTTTGAATGGCTTGATTCCATCTGGATACATTGACAAGGAAGACACTGCACAATTCAAGAAAAAGGTGCTAACAAGCGACTGGGCCATCCGAGTTGTTGTTGCCTTGTGTTCCAAAACCGGCGAAATGGGGATGACCGGCTCATCTTCGCGGTTTCCGTCACATCCGCAGGTTGACGATACCGACGATGAGCCAGACCTCACTTTCGTGCGTCGCTTCGTCTTGGAGCATGCTATCAAGTCCTATAAAGACGCGTTCTCCTCAACCGAGCCAGTCCAAATGAAATACAGTCGTCTGCTCTGCCTTGCAGATTTGTTCAACCGACTTCTGTCGAAGCCAGCCGTAGCTGAAGGTTCGGCTGGGTCCCAGAACACATCCTACAAGGTGCTTGCTCGAATGATGTTCGAGAAAAATCTGACGCAGGTCCTGACAAGTTCCCTGGCTGATATCGATTTGTCGTATCCTGGGTCAAAGAGAGTCGTCAAATTTATTCTTCGGCCTTTACAAGAACTCACCAGTCTAGCCGCCCACCTCAGTCTAACTTCACCCGATTTTTTGAACTCCGTCGCCGGAAACATGTCCGATGACGTGATCTCGTCTGCCTCGTCCGTTTCTGATGTCGAGGACGATCGCGAAGACACTCCTGACCTCTTCCGAAACTCTGCTCTCGGCATACTTGATCGTAACAGAGAGTCTGAGTCCTCTTCTGCTTCAGAGGAAGAAGACGAGGACGAGGAAATGTACGATGAAGAGTACGAAGACGAAATGGAGTATGACGAAGGAGTTGTTCCTGCAGCCCCTGACGATGAGGCTGTGAGCGACGAAGAGATTGATGAGGAGATGGCTGCCGACGGCGACATCGAGGGCCTTCCCGGCGATGTTCCCATGGATATCGAATTCGTCATGAACGATCCTCATATGGACATCGATACCGAGGATGACGAAGACGATGAAGACGATGAAGACGATACCGATGACGAGGACGACGAGGACGATGAAGACGAAGACGAAGACGGCGAAGACTTCATGGTTGAGGACGACGACGAAGCTGGCGAGATCAATGGGGACGATGAGAACCACAGTCTCAACGGAGCACCAGAAGATGAGGGCGATTGGGAGGATGAAGACGACCATGATGATGAAGGAAGCGAGGAGCAGCATGGCATGGGTGGCATGACTTTCAACGGCGACGAAATGCCTCTCGAAGCTCATGATGACGGCGGGACTCCCGGCGTGCTCAGCAATCTTCTCCGCGTTTTAGGCGACCATGACTTAGACGGTCACGCCGGCTTACATCACGTCCCCACCGAACTTATCGTTCCTGCAGCCGGCTCCGGCGATCGTGGTGATGAAGATGACGAAGAGGACGATGACGAAGAGGGCGACGAGATGGACGAAAATGACGAGATGGATTATGGCGATTTCAACTTTGATCACTTTCTCGCCGGAGGAGGTGCTAACGACCTTGACGACCAGGATGAGCCCTTACTCTGGAACGAAATTCCCATCATTCGTCGTCCTCGACACTTCCGCGCTCCAGGTGGCCATTCGCCCAGTTTTGTTGGACGGCGGATTGGGCATCGGGATGAATTAAATCCAATGACCCGAGCAGGCCGGCTTCCGCAACATGGCAGATCCGCAGGCGATGATGGCATGAACCCGCTGTTACGGAGACCTGAACAGCCACACGATTCCCGTCAGCTAAGTATCTCTGAAATGAGTCCTGGTATTTATATGCCCCCTGGATTCGATAACCTGACTGGCATTGGTAACTTTCCTCCCATTGGGGCTACGTTCCAGACCGTCATCCGAAGTGGAGATGCCTTTGAGACCGGGGGTCACGGTGCGATGTTAGATGCTATCCTTCAGACGCTCCACCGGCGCGACCAAGGAGAGGGCCGATTACAGTTCAGCATGACGGCGCCGCTTTCCGAGATACGCCAAGTGTTACGGCCAACCCTCTCGGGTATCGGCCATCGGCACCATTCTCGCGACGAATCTTCACGATCTGGCAACTTTATTCCAGCACTTACAATCACACGATGGCAAGAAGAGGCGCGACTGCTTTTTCCAAACGCACATATGGAGAAAACACAACGCGTCCAACTTCGGATCATGGCTGTCTTAGTGCCTCTTGCTCAGCGTGAGGAGAAAGAGCGGCGGCGCAAACGCGAAGAAGAGCAAAAGGCCGAACGCGAAGAAATGGAGAGAGTCAGATTGGAGGCAGAAAAGCATAAGAAAGAGGCCGAGGAGCGCGAAGCGGCTGCGAAAGCGGAGGAGGAACGTATACGAGCCGAATCCGAGGCAGCAGCTGCCGAGAGCGGTGTAGTTCGCGAGTCTGCCGAGCATGACGATAGCGACACGGAACCGATGGAAGATATCCAGGGTACCGACACTGCGGCCGCACAGGAAGCCCAAGAAAGTGCAGCCCCGGGCGGAGATGCAGCAGGAGGACAAGCTCGCGTATTCACCACAATTCGGGGTCGTCAGATCGATATCACTGGTCTCTCAATCGATCAGGAATACCTTGAAGCGCTGCCAGAAGAGCTTCGAGAAGAGGTCATCATGCAACAATACGCTACCCGACGTGAGCAAGCCCGCCAAGAAGGGAATCAATCTAGCGGCATTGATCCGGACTTCCTCGATGCTCTCCCTGAGGATATTCGCGAAGAGATACGACAACAAGAGGCACATGCTCAACGCAGACGGGAGCGCGAAGCATCACGCAGACAGACTGGCAATACAGCCGCACGTCCTCAGCCAGAAGATATGGACGGTGACTCTATCCTGGCCACCTTCGAGCCGAGTCTGCGTCGCGAGGTCCTTGCCGAGCAAACAGAAGAAATTCTCAGTCATCTGGATCCACGACATGCTGCGGAAGGTCGCGCACATGCTCGACATCTTTTCAGATACACTCCTATGGCCGACCGTGGAGCTCAGGACCCGCGTGGTGACGGTGACCTCCCTCAACGGGAGAACAAACGACAAATCATCCAGATGGTTGACAAATCTGGAGTTGCGACATTATTGCGTCTAATGTTCATCCCGCAACAAGGCTCTTTGCGGACAAATCTTTGGCACATACTTCGTAACATCTGCGGGAACCGTCAGACTCGGTTTGAAGTCATCAGCCTCCTGCTTATTATTCTCAAAGAAGGTTCCACCGATGTGACGGCCGTTGAACGAAGCCTTGCCAATTTATCCCTACGCGCAAAAGCAGCAGTGGGGCAGAAAACTCCGCAACCTTTGAAGCGTACTCTTTCTATGCAAGCGGTTGGAGGAATCAGTGAAGAAGTTACTCCCCTTGTGGTTGTGCAACAGTGTCTTTCCGCCTTGAAACAGTTGTGCCAAAGCAGTATCCATACCAGAACCCTCTTCTTACGCGAAGTCGATGTCAGCACAGCTTCGAGGAAAGGAAAAGGAAAAGGAAAGGATTCCAGGGCGGTCAAATATCCTCTCAACGACCTGATCAGCCTCCTTGATAGGAAACTGATAGTGGAGAGTTCATCTTGCCTTCAATCACTAGCAGAACTCTTGTCGGCTGTAACACAGCCTTTGCCAATGTTACTACGCAAGGACAAAGAAAAGGTCCCTGACGAAGAAAAAGCTGTCGACCATGACGCCGACACCCAAGCACGAGAAGCTTCTAGCTCTGCAAGGTCGGCTGACGTTGAGCATACCACTGCTAGTCAGCGTGGTGTCATTGGCGGTGAAACTTCAGCAGTCGCACTCAGTGCAGATGCAGCTGACACGGCAACGAGCGAAACCCAGCAGGTCGAGAGTTCTGAGTCTGCCGCAAAGGCCCCTTCTGATCACGGAAATGACGACGTGAGCCTGGACGATGCGAAATCCAGGAAGACATTTGAACCACCAGAGATCTCGCAGCGCAATCTGCAGCTTGTCGTAAGCATATTCGTCGCTCCAGAATGCAACAGCGACACCTTCCACTCCACCTTGGAGACCCTATCCAGTCTCTCTTGCATTCCAGGAACAGCGGCCATCTTCAGCCGAGAATTGATCGGCCACGTCAAGAATCTCGCTCAAGCTATCTCGGCTGACCTCGATGAGTTGCTACCACACCTGAGAGACGCGCAGTCCATTACAGATCTTCACGCAATCTCTTCTACAAAGTTCTCTCACGGGGGTTCTGATCAGGTCAAGCTCTTGCGAGTTCTTCAGGCCCTTGATTATCTCTCAGCACCAAAACCGGACCGGGACGACAATGACGAAAGCGCCGAGGTGAAGGACTCCTTGGCAGATTCATACGAGAGTCTCAAGCCTGTTTGGGCCAAGCTCAGTGAGTGCCTGAGCGTGGTTCGCGAGAAAGACAATATCACCGGCTTTGCGACGATCCTGCTGCCACTGATAGAGTCGTTGATGGTCGTGTGCAAAAACACCTCACTCAAGGAACCGGCAATGCCACGCCAGCCTAGAGAGCAAGGGTCAGGAAGTCCCGCACCCGAAGGCATGGATGATCTCCAAGAACTCTTCTTCAACTTCACCACGGAACATCGCAAGATCCTCAACGATATCATCCGGCAAACTCCGAAATTGATGCAAGGCAATGGCAGTTTCAGTCTTCTGGTCAAGAACCCGAAAGTACTGGACTTTGATAACAAGCGTGCCTATTTTACCAAGCAAATCCATTCTCGTCTCCATCAACAGCGACATGTCCAGCCGCCATTGACTTTGAACGTCCGTCGTGACCAAATCTTCCTGGATTCATACAAGGCACTGTATTACAAGACGGCCGAGGAGATGAAATATGGCAAACTCAACATCCGTTTCAACGGTGAGGAGGGCGTTGACGCCGGCGGTGTTACGAGGGAATGGTTCCAGGTGCTTGCTCGAGGTATGTTCAATCCCGATTGGGCATTATGGCAACCTGTTGCGGCCGATCGCACGACGTTCCATCCGAATCCCCTCAGCTGGATCAACGGCGAGCATCTGCTCTATTTCAAGTTCATTGGCCGTATCATTGGAAAAGCATTGCACGAAGGTCGCGTTCTTGATTGCCACTTCAGCCGCGCCGTGTACAAACGCCTGCTTGGGAAGGAACCCAACCTTAAGGATCTGGAGTCAATGGATCTCGACTACTACAAGAGTCTGTTGTGGATTCTGGAAAATGATATCACAGACGTCATCACGGAGGACTTTTCAGTCATCGAGGAGCAGTTCGGTGAAGAGAAGGTGGTTGATCTTATCCCTAATGGGCGAAACATCCCGGTGACCGAGGAGAATAAGAGAGAATATGTCAATGCACAGGTTCGCTATCGGCTTACAACCTCGGTCAAGGATCAGCTTGAGGCATTCGTCCGTGGTTTCCACGACATTATCCCTGCCGAACTAATCGCAATATTCGACGAGCAGGAGCTCGAACTTCTGATATCCGGGCTACCAGAAATTGACGTCGACGATTGGAAAGCGCATACGGAGTATCACAACTACAACGCCAACAGTCCTCAGGTCATATGGTTCTGGCGCGTCGTGCGGAACATGAGCAATGAGGAACGAGCAAAATTGCTGCAATTCGTCACTGGTACTAGTAAGGTCCCTCTGAATGGTTTCAAGGACCTTGAGGGGATGCAGGGGAACACACTGTTCAGCATTCACAAGTAAGCCCAACCCCATTTGCCTAGATTTTGCCAGACACTGACCGCTTCAAACAGGGATCCAAGCCAATCTCGCCTTCCGACAAGCCACACTTGCTTCAATCAACTCGACCTCCCCGCTTATGATGACTATGAAACACTGAAGAATAACGTGATGAAAGCGATTAGTCTCGGTGCCGACTATTTCGGTTTTGCTTGATTTGCACTTTATTCACCCTCTCGTTCTGGAGGCACGGCGTTGTTTCACGAGTTTGATGGCTGATAGGGGTCATGCATGTACACGGCGTTCGCTTTCATTCTACAAGGGCCCTTTGCGGTACGGGTCGCTGGCACAGTGATACAGGACATGCATTAATGGGCTGGACAGCGCTGTTGTGTCTCAAAAAGTGGGCAGTAACATTGCGGCCGACCCAAATCGCACTTGATTGGGACTGGCAGAGGGTGGTGTGTAATGGGAGCACTGACTGGTGCTGGGAAGAGAAGTGCAGATCTCAGACCAACGCCCAGATGGCTTCTATGCAGTTTCCATCCTAGATAGATTATTAGTTAGTAGTGGATAAAGGCATCGCCCTGAAAGAAGCGCTTCGTGATGCAGTGGTGAGTTCCACGTAGCCTTGCGCCCACAAAACTACATACAGGTACCTAGGTAGTGTAGTACCTCGAACCTCAGCCTTGCGAGGTTTGAGCCTGGGCGCCAAGACCAGGTGTCCGCCAAGACAGGCTATTCCGTGTTCGGACATATTGGATTCCACACAACGCCCTGCCCTGCGACTTGGAAACTTTTCATTCCGAGCGCATTTGTTTGTATCTACCTTACGCTTCTCATCTTCCAAAGGCCGTCACCTACCCGAGTCGACCTATCGTCCTTTACAATGGTAAGCTAGAAGTCATATCCTTCTTCCTCCGTCACGCCGGCGATCTGCGCACCGAGTTTGTTACAACCGAAAGCCTTCCCGGCTGTGTAGCACGATTTCCGCCGACCAGGACTGGGAGCGTCATGTCTGAACTCTTGACCGAGATCTCAGCATACTGCCTCATGCCCATCGGTGATGAGTCCGGCTGGAGAAGACAGGAGTGAGCGTGTGTGAAAACCGCTTGCTCTTCGCTCTTCTCCTTAGAGTCAAAAGAACTGATCATGGAACATGATGTGCTGATGATCGTTCTTTTCTCAATGATAGCCACCCAAAGGAAAGAAACCCGCGCCTGCGCCTTTCCCGCAAGGGAAGGCCGGTGCCAGCAAGAAGGCCGCAAAGGTGAGTTGTCCCATCCAGTTTGCAAGCCCCGGCGGCTTGTCCCCGGTGTTGGACGAGACTGACCTGCTTCTAGAACCCACTCCTCGAGAAGCGAGCCCGAAACTTCGGCATCGGTCAAGACGTTCAACCTCCCCGCAATCTCTCTCGCATGGTGAAGTGAGTGATTCTGCCCTGCCACGCCCACGAGTCCGCTGGAAGCGAGCTGACAAAATGTTGCAGATGGCCAGAATACGTTCGCCTGCAGAGACAAAAGAAGATCTTGAACATGCGTTTGAAGGTCCCTCCTGCGATTGCGCAATTCTCCAACACCCTCGACCGAAACACTGCCGCCCAGACCCTTAAGCTCTTGAACAAGTACCGCCCGGAGACCAAGGTGCAGAAGAAGGAGCGTCTCCTGCAAGAAGCCACCGCTGTGCAGGAGGGGAAGAAGAAGGAGGATGTTTCCAAGGTATGTTGTTGTTGGATCTAAACTCTCCCGGCTCTTCCCTACGGAAGGGATTTGGGAGGTGACTTGCCGAGAGACGAATTGTTCTGACGGTTGGTTCCGTAGAAACCATACACCGTCAAATACGGTCTTAACCATGTCGTTGGCCTGATCGAGTCCAAGAAGGCCTCGTTGGTCCTGATCGCCCATGACGTGGACCCGATCGAGCTCGTCGTCTTCCTGCCGGCCCTGTGCCGCAAGATGGGTGTCCCCTACGCCATCATCAAGGGCAAGGCCCGTCTTGGAACGGTCGTGCACAAGAAGACCGCCGCCGTGCTGGCTCTGACCGAGGTCAAGTCCGAGGACAAGGCCGAGCTGAGCAAGCTGGTCAGCGCCGTCAACGAGGGCTTCATCAGCAAGTACGAGGACCACAGACGTCACTGGGGTGGTGGTATCATGGGTCCCAAGGCCATCGCGAAACAGGAGAAGGCGAGAAAGGCCGTCGAGTCTGCCATCAAGATCTAAGCCTACTGCATTGCTATACCACTTCCGAGTGAACGTGGTTCTGTGGCGTGGGTGAGACTTTTGATCTGGTTGTGGTGGTCTGCCATTAGCAGCTGGCGTGGTTTATGGATGACGGACGACGGGAACAGGCATGCTCTTGTTGCAATCTTCCAGCTGGTGACTACAGACTGCAAAGCTCGTCCTGGTCAGGTCATCTTGACCATCCTACCATCGTGACGGGGAACCTGCCCTGACGCCGCTTTTATTCATGGGCTTGACTACGTACTATCGACGTTGAACGTGTCATGAAGCTACTAGCACGCTGCTAGCATTAGCCCGAGGGAAAAGTGGTTTTGATTCCTTGAGCGAATGTTCAGCAGATATCCCAGATGACTGGACTGAACCTGCTCAGGCTCAAGCCAGTCGCAAAATGAAATGATACCAAACAAAATAAATCTCGACCAAGTATCTCTTGCTTCACGTATTGCTTGTCCCATCTCTGCCGCTCGCAGCATTGTCTATTTCGTGTACTTCTGACCCTGTAAGTAAGGTACAGTCCGAGATTTCGTCTTGAGCACAAGCTACGACGACGGTAGATGGACTAAAGATGAACAAAGCTTACTTTGACATGTAACAAGCCAACATCACACTGGGTAGACTGATATGAGAACTTGATGAGAGAGTTCGCAGCAGCAGACTTTATGAGTGAGAACTTTACATTTTCATAGTCATCTTCGCGACATGAGTAACAAGCATGAATCATCGGGGTTCAACTAGTGTACACCCAATGTCAGCAGATCACTCTCGTTGGTATTAACTCTGCTATCACACGCCGACGAGACACCTCTTTTACTGTGGCCGAATCGAGTCTGTACAAAGCCTTAAGGCTGAATGAAAGGGTATCTGTTGCGCCCATGGGTCCTTAGCGCCAATCCCCGACTCGAGGTGATCCCAGCCCGACATCATCAAAGGGCTCCTAGAATCCTCTTTCCTCGCCTTCACCCATTTGACGGGACGTCTGAAATGTCCAGCAAAAGCCCACAAGCACGCAAAGCAACGATGGCACCTCGTGACTGAGCCCTGATAAATAACGCAGAATGCCGGGAGACTCGAGACAGTGAAGAAACACGAACAATTGTGGTATCGGGGCAAGAGAGAAAAAGAGAGAGGAAGAAAGAGAAAGAAAGCTCGAATGCCACATCACATCATCCCAATCATCGTCGAACCTGGCCTGGCCATATGCATTGTCTTTCCAGCATGCTGATGCTATGCTATCACAGTCATAGTTCCAACAGCAAACGGAGCACAGCAGAGCTGATGCCGAAGCGAAGTTGGTGAGTCAGCCAGGAGGGCTGAGGAGACGACCTTGGTGGTTCGGGAGGTCTTGACTCTGTACAATCCAAGTCGTGTCTGCCTGGTCATGCCAGGTCGCACGTATGCCATCATGAAGCCGAAGTAAGTAGCAGCCGATGACATGTCGGCCGAGTCATAAAGATCAGACCGAGTGCGCGATTGGCTAGGGCTTTGGATGCGATCTCATCGCATTATCACTGCCGAGTCAATCCTTGACGTGCCTACAAAGCGATTGTTAGCAAGACTGATTTCGTCGATTGCACCGGAGGAAATGCGATCAATGACATACCTTCATAGCCTCGATCCTCGCCTTCAGTTGACTCGTCACTTCGGCTGCTCTCTTCCAGTTCTCCTCCGCTCTTGGTTCCCTAGACGCAACAGTACCGGAATCGCTTGTGTCTCTGCTGGAGAAAGTAGGTCGCTGCGGACTGGTTCTGTCACTGCCATTGGGTGCTCCGGCGACGGGTGGGCTGATCTTCCGTCTCCCAGTCAAAACATCGAGACCGCTATTCTCCTTTTCCTCGCTCGGACTGACCTCTAGTCGATTTGCCGAGTATCCGCTCTGAGGTCGTGGTCTTGAGGTCTGTGTACGACTGCTCTGCGCGCTCTGGGTGCTCTGGGTGCTTCCATTTCTCTGCAGAGCGCTGCTAGTCGGCCTCGGAGGAATGGTGCTACCGTTCGCAGGGAATCGATTCATGGTGTGATCTTCGTAGATGCCAGCACTTTCGCTGCCATAATTCAGACTGTCATCCATGGTTCGTCCACGCATCAGATCTTCTCTTTCGCGCCCGATACCTTCACGTCCCAATCTTGTGACTTCTCGCTTGTACCGTTCGCATTCTTTCCGCACACTCTCCACCTCAGCCTTCAACACATCGCACTCTCCTCGCGCTCTCACCAGTTGGGTCTCTTTGGCTTTGATCTGGAGCACGTCCCGGGTGTGATCCTCTATCAACTGCGCATTCTGGTTTTGCAGCTCGGTTATCTCGGTGGTTAATTTGGCATTGCTGCTTCGCAGGCTCTCGGTCAAGGCCAAAAGTCGTTCTTTTTCGGCACGTAACTCTTCCAGCTCCTCACGTTCGAGTGCGGAAAGACCATTTGAAACCGGTGCTGCTGGTGGGGGAGACGAGGGAGTGGCGGCAGGTCGGGATAAAGGGCGTCCAGCGAGACCACCCCGTCCCATACCAAACTTTGATGGTGAGGGAGCGGGTGCTTCATCATAACTCTCGGCACTTCTGGGAGGCGACATCACTCGTCGCTGCGGGCTGGCAGCTGCACTTCCAAGACCACCAGCCGTAGGCTTCTTGAGTCCGCCTAGCTTGAGAGCAGACGGTTGTGCCAGACCAGGGCGGGCCAGGCCCCCAGTCTTTGGAAGGGCTTTCGCCGTCGGTTTTGGGCGAAGCGGTGTAGCCTCTTGCGGGTGTGCAGCTGGCGGCGGCTTCTTCGCAACTGGCTTCTTTGAGCCTGCAACAACTTTCCGTCCGACAGCAGAGGTTGGTTTCGCAGGCGGCGGGGCTGCCTTGGGCTTCTCTTTCGCCTTTACCTCCGCTGTATCATAAAACTCCTTGATTTTGGATTTCCGGATATCGTCTAGACCATCCAGATGAGGGTTCATTGCGCGTTCACCGATGATCTTCATCAGCGTCCCAAGGATCTCTGCACCTCCGGCTCTGATCGCCTCGGTAGACTCGGTCAACAATTTTGTCGCCGCATCGGCAATAAGCTTCTGTTCCGCTTTTGAAGGCACGTCTGGCGTCTTTCGCAGACATCCCACAAGGAATTTGATTGTCTCTGCCTTGACGTTGGGGTTCTTGTTGGACAGAAAGCCTAATGTCTCTTCGAGACAATCTGTAAGGGACGTGACAGTAAATACTGCGTCAAGGGCGGCGCCGAGCGCATCGGCAACAGACTGTTTCTTCTCCTTGAGTCTTTCCATCATTGGCGACATGATCGTCGACCGATATCTGGCAAAGGGTCTTCTTAGACCGAGTGCCAGCTTTTCTACGCAGTTGGCTGCCACCGTCACAACTGCAATATTGGCGTCCTTCATGCATTTCGCCAACGCGCGCACCAAGTCGTCGAAGGGGCCTTCCTTGATTCTTAGCGTATTGACGATATTGAAGAGGCCATCCAGGGCATCTTTTCGCTCCTTCCATTTCGTTGAGCCCACCATGTCGAAGAAGTCGGCGGGAATTTTTGAGTAGACATCGACTGGTTCTGCAAAATCGAAAGGATCCAGACTTTCGGGTTCGGCCTGGCCTTCAGCCTCGTCAACCTCGGCCCCATCTTCGGGCTGTTCGGTCCCGGAGGCTGCTGGTGCGGTAGCCAATGCGGCCTGTTGAGATCTCGTGAGACGTTCTTGCTTTGGAGGAGGCTCTTCTTTGACTTTTTCGAACAACTTCTCGAGATCCTGTTGCTGCACGGGTTTCAGTTCGTTCCAGAAAAGCGGCTTCAGCGCGTCCTTCAGCCACCGATACAACTCCACCGTAAGATTTTGTGCCTCCGCTCGGACGTTCTTGTCGGCATGTCCAAACACCTTCGGTAACAATTTGATCACCGGCTTCGGATCGACGACCTTGATACCATAATTGTGAAAAATGGCGGTAATGGCAGCGAGGGTGGCCGCGATGACTTTAGGCTGTTTGTGCGACAACCCAGGCAGTAACTCTTCGATGACGGGTTCGGCCTTGTCCAACTCGATGTACAATAACAAAGCCTCAAGAGCGCTTACTTTGGCCTGGGGCTTACTCGACACCAATCCCTTTTCGTAGATCGGTTGCAGGGTGTAGTTGCGCGATCTGGCGGCCGCTTGTAGTCCTCCATATTTCAAGAATGCGCACAAAGCAGCCAGTCCTTCCTGCTGTGCCGCAACATTGGCGTCTCCAGCCGCCGACTTCCAGAGGCCGGGATCTTGTAGGAAAGGTCTAAACGCGGGGTCTGATTCATCGGGAGTAATCTCGAACTGTTTGGCGGCGGCTTCGTAGCCCTCCTTTCGAACTTTCCAGTTTTTGTGCACAAATCTATCGGGAAGAGGGAGCTGAGAGAAGTCTTCTTCTTGTTCGGCCATCGTGAAGCGAGAGAAGAAGCGCAAGCGAGCGAGGAGTTTCGCAGCCGGTTTCTTCTCAGACCGGTGCGCAAACGATCTGTGAGAGAACATTGGTTAGAGAATCGAAGTCGAATGGGTCAGGTTATTCGGGGCAAGCACAGGATAGAGGTGGCGCCGAGATGTTAGGCAGAGGATACTCACTGATGGCACTGCTGTCGTCCTCATACGTTTGTTGTCTCTGAGGATGCTCGCCGAGCTTCTGCAGTCGCGACTTGAGGAGATCGCTAGGATGACGGGCGGAGACAGGATGTACGCAGAGGCAGAAAGGAGAGAACCTTGCGCGTGCAAGCCTAAATGTTAACGCGACAAAGAAGAAGGTGGGTAGAAGTGGTTGTGAGAAGGGGGCATAGTAGTAGGATTGCACCAAAAGTCAGTGAGAGATGATGTGGGTTGCAAGTATAAACAATTGGGAGACTATGACAACAACGACAACGGGAACCCACGGCCACTCTTCCCACACCAATGTTTCCATTCCACCACTACGGTGTCTACACATTCACTCTACAAGTCGCAGACGTGGTTTGGGCAATACCAACACACTCTTATCAGTGTTTGGCCTCTCAAAGCCCACTGGGAGACTTCCGGGCACGTATATTCCAATTCCTCGCCGTCGCGATTCCTGTGACGCCCACCTGCAGTGGACACCAGAGACACTCGGAGAGACAGTAGCCGCACGCATTCACTGCGCCAGTGCCAGTGCGATAGCCGCCCCGAGATCACAAACGGGACTACGCGTAGAGCAACCTCCGACCATTGCATGAGTGGCTAGAGATTGACCTCCGGGCCATTGAGCCCTGCCCGCCAAACATGAGCCAGCTGCTCACCTCCCGACAAGCGGAGGAGCTGTATGTCGTGGTTCCATGCCTTGTTTCTCGTAACATGCTGACAAGACTAGGCACAAATCCATGATCGCATATATGCTGTCCGTTGGCATGACCGAGAGCGCCGCAGGTCTCCGCCGAGAATCCAACTTGGCCGACACGTTTGACGATGCTACGGCTAAAAAGTATGAGACTCTACTGGAAAAGAAATGGACGTCTGTTGTCCGACTCCAAAAGAAGATAATGGACTTGGAAGCAAAGAATGCCGCTCTGCAGCACGAAATTGACACGGCCGCACCCCTTTCGTCAAATCGCAAAATTGACCCGGTGACATGGCTCCCGAGAGCACCAGCTCGACACACATTACAAGGCCACCGACTCCCGGTCACGTCGGTTGCGTTTCACCCCATCTTCAGCTCGCTTGCGTCGGGCTCAGAAGACTCGACCATCAAAATCTGGGACTGGGAGTTGGGCGAACTCGAAAGGACGTTAAAGGGCCATACCAAGGCAGTGCTCGACGTGGACTTTGGCGGCCCACGAGGGGCCACGCTACTCGCCAGTTGTAGCAGCGACTTAACCATCAGATTATGGGATCCAAGCGACGAATACAAGAACATCCGAACTCTACCTGGTCACGACCATTCGATTTCATCACTTCGGTTTATTCCTTCGGGCGCAGCCGGCGCTCCGCTCTCGGGGAACATGCTGGTCTCGGCCTCGAGAGACAAGACGCTTCGGATATGGGATGTCACTACGGGATATTGTTTGAAAACACTAAAGGGACATACGGAATGGGTGAGGACGGTGACACCATCAATTGATGGACGATGGCTATTAAGCGCTGGGAACGACCAAATACCCCGGTTATGGGATGCAAGCTCTGGCGAGGTCAAGATCACGTTTTTGGGCCATGAGCATGTGGTTGAATGCGTGGCTTTTGCGCCGAGCTCGTCCTATGCACATTTGGCCAGCATTGCTGGTTACAAAAAGCCACCACCAGCAAGCAGTAGCGGAGAGTTCTTAGCCACAGGAGGCCGAGACAAAATCATCAAAATCTGGGACAATCGGGGAACGTGCCACAAGACACTGGTGGGACATGATAACTGGGTGAGAGGCCTCGTATTCCATCCAGGTGGCCGGTATTTGCTCTCGATATCCGACGACAAGACCATCCGATGTTGGGATCTTTCTCAGGAGTGCAAATGCGTCAAAGTTGTGGATGACGCCCATCAGCATTTCATTAGCAGCATCCGATGGGCACCAGACATTCCGGTCCAGCCAGCCTCAAATGGAGAAAGCAACGGCGGGACGGTGCCCAGCAAGAAAGAAGACAGCGGAGGAGGAGGGAAGATTCGGTGTGTGATAGCCACCGCCAGTGTCGACCTAAATGTCCGCGTCTTTGCTGGCTGAAGGTCCAATATCTGAACTCGTACGATGGCATTGAATTGTTTGGCCACCGTTCTAGCAGGATTGGATGATAGACAAAACAAGAGAGATGGTTAGATGATGATTGTATGAGTATGACTAGACGAAGAAATGAACTAGCCAGCTCTCCCTGGATATTCACCAGTTTGTTGACTCGACGTTTGAGTAAATGGCGTAGAGACAGAGGCTGTCGTGGTGAGAAAGAGCCAATACGTAACTGTTGTGATTATTATATTCTGTCCTCTGAGAAATCTGCAATCTGCCTGCTCAACAACAGCAACAGCAACAGCAATTGCGTTCAGACGACAGCCACTCTGTGCACAATGAAGATGGAAACCGCAGGGACAAAGCTCCTCACTTACTGTCCTGGTACTGTCCGTCAACTCGCTGGCCATGTGCCCATGTCACCACGTAGGCCGCCTCGCCTCCGCTCCCCTCGTGGATGAAGGATGAATCAAACAAACACTCCCGTCGGACTGTTACAGCCGCCACCCATGCATCAGCGACATGTGGTTGATATTCGCCATGTATGTGTCTCTCCTTTACTCCTTACGGCATCAAGTCAACGGATGGATAAGTTGACGCACAGAACAGGTTTCGTCTGAACGAGTGACAGTCTTTTCATCTCTCTGCTCCTCTCCGATTCCTACAGCCTCCCCAAGACCCAGACTGCTGCAAAGCCTACTAGTATTGCATCCAATCAGCATGCGGACGTGACTTATCACGTTTGATGACCTTTGAAGGAGGGCGGTTTGACACGAAACTCAAGGAGTCATCCGTGCTCACTCCCTCCGATTGTGAATCGAACCGACCTGGAATCAAAGTCTTCAGCTCCCGCGGCGTGGCATAGTGGACGTTCAGTCTCCAGTGGCCCAAGTCTCCATGAACAACGATCCACCTGACACTCTGCAACGAACCTCATTCTTTGTCTGCTCTGCATTCCTGCAGGTATTGTTTCGGGTGCACGGTGATTGGTACCGCATTTTCCCGCATTGGGACCAGCAGAGAACAAAGCAAACCAAGACAACGACATGACCCCAGCCTCGTTGCTGCCCGTCACCGTGGCAGGTCAATCTGCTGGCTACAGGAGACTCAGGCTGAGAGGAACAAAGACAGACGTCGAGAAGAAGGTAGGGCGAGGATGGCGAGTGCCTCCTTTCTCATACAAAGACCAAATGCTGTCTTTCTGCCGGTTCATCCATCTCCGCTGCTCAGGTATTTGGATGGCCCAAGTCAAAGAATTCCTTTCTCTGCGCTATGACTTCGCCAGTTCATGCACCCTATCCTCCAGCATGGTATCGTCGCCTTCCCAGACCTCCCACCGAGCATAATCCTGCTTTGCGTCGCCCTTCTTTACTCTCGCAGCATCATTTGTTTCGTGATCATTCGCCTGGGCGCCCGTTGGAGGATGATCCACCTCGAAGGAACACAATTCATCTTCCGGAAACCTCGAAACCTCCTCCTAACCCGGCAGACAATGTAGAGAGATACCAGCCGCCTGCAAATGGTGCCTTGGAGCTGGCCCCGCCCTTGCAGCGAGGTCGCTCCTTGGACATGGCAGAGGAGCAGCCTAAAACCAACGACACGGTAAATGGTTCGCATCCGCACCCAAGAGAGCACCTCTGCCTGTGCCCGCCAGATCCAAAGATCCCCAGACCACGAAACTGTAAGCTTGTCGAAGTCTGTGTCGAACAGCCGGGCGCGTCAAATTTGGTGTATCCACGCTGACTCTGGTCCCAGCCTTCATTCTTTTCCGTCAACATCAACAGGCTAGTATTCTGGCACAGAACCCTGGTATTCCCAATCCGGAGGTGTCAAAGATTATTGGAGAACAATGGCGGCGTCTGTCAGCCGAGTCCAAGGAGGAATGGAATTTGCTTGCGGAAGTGGGTTAATGAGCACCAGTAACCCAAACAAAGGGCTTTGTACTAACCTGTCTGCCATAGGAAGAGAAAGCCCGCCATCAACAGCAATATCCAGGCTACCGTTATCAGCCACGTCGGAACGGTAAAATCAGCAATCAATCCTCGGTGTCAGGCCCCTCTACCGCGGAACTACAGGAACCTTGCCCCAAGTGTGGAGGGAAACCGATGAACTATTACAGCAACCCGACTCCCGTCTACACACCGCCTGCTTCCCAGGCACAGGAGAATATGGGGGTTCAAGTCCCAGCCAAACGTGGGTATGTTGTCAGTGCCGCTCCTGCTCAGCGGATGCATGGACAGCCAGCGCTATCACCGGAGCATATGGCTCAGCAGAAAGCCTTCGTGGAAGCCTATCCTTTCCAGCGAGTCGACCCTCGATTGATATACGCTGTCCCTCCTGCTCAACCCCTGCCTACTCCTCCGTCGTCCGATTCGCAAGATGCAAAGAGACGGAGATTCAACATCAGCGGTGGCTATGTGACAACTCGCGAGCACTACCCCGACGCACCCTACGCCTACGCTCACGCTCATTCACCCATTGCAACCAGTGCATACGCGCGTCCGGAGATGTTACAGCAAATTCATGCCTCGCAGCTCCCCGTGCAAGGGCTACAAGTCGCGAAGCCTGCGATGGTATCACCCCCGCGAGCCGTTTATCCTCACCCACCACAGTTACAGCCGATCCGACCTCCTCAGCATCATCAGCGCAATAGATCGGCCGTTGCACTCCCGCCAATTGAGACGGTGGTGCCGCAGACGCCGGCGAAATCATCATCAGTTCAGGCACAAAGCTCTGGGGTGGAGGCAATGATCATGTCAATCCCCATATTGAACAAGGTCAAAGTGCTCGCCCAGATCTCTCCGCCACTGCTACCTCCTGGTCCCACATCACCTAAACCAGAAATGCGCGGCGCAATCATCGCAATCGAAGGCATGGATGCAAGAACCGTCGACGGCATGACCAGTTCTCTAGCCGAGCAGCTTGAAAGAGAAGGGAAATTTGCAGTCAGGGTGTTTGGCGGACCAGACCCTTATCCACTCATTCGTGATGCGACAACTGGTCCACCTGATAGCCGCCACTCCTTGACTACCGAAGGATACTTGAGCATGCTCAGCCAATGGCACAAGATCAATAAAGAAATGGTCGAATTCATTACGACGAGACCTGCGTCACAGACAGAACACGGCGGGTATGCGGGTTCGGGAACTTCGCCAATGTCTGTGGATAGTCCTGGCAATGACATGCATCCAACCGAAGGCAATGGTGATCCAGCAACCTCGTATACCTCAGCAGGTCCGAAGAATATGTACGACTCCGCCATAAGCCCAAAGACGATCACCAAGACGGCCGAGCTTTCCATCCTTTCGCCCCCAGCAAAGGTGCGCAGTCAGAGCACGCCCGGTTTATCCCTGTACGAGTCTACAAACAACAATACCGGGGCAGTACACCTTAATGCTACTCGGCCTCTGCCACTGGCCTTTCCACGACCACTGAAATCCAAGCGTATTCCACCTCCGCCGCCGACGCCGCCTCATTCCATGCCAATGTCACAACCGCCGCCCCCGCCCCCGCCCCCGCCCCCGCCCCCGCCCCCGCCCCCGCCCCCGCCAACTGCAAAGTCTGCATGGCAAATGCCGCCTCCGAGCATGCTTCAAGCCGACTCCTCTGCATCAGAGCGCCAGCCTCCGACACGACAGCAACAACAGCCAACCAGCCAAGGTGATTCAGGAAGACAACAACATCATTCGCCCACCGTGGGCTTTGGTATTGGCCAAACCCCAACTCCAATCGCTTTGGTCCCGCATTACCAGCTTACCACGGTCGACGCTTCGTCCATTTCCATGCCCATCAGTGACGGCTTCTCCCCACCAGCTCACTGGCAATGGTTCGCAACGCTCTGGCGCGGCAGTGTGGGACCCGACATCACCGTAGTGATCAAGGGACTAGATGAAGAACACGACACCGGCGCCGAAGGTCCGAGAACAACAACCACCGGAACTAGTGGTGCTGCAGCGAATGCGAACGCGAACACCAATACTCCCGTGGGTGGCGCGACTGTACGTGGCCGGACCTCGTCTGCTGGGTTGAGCTCGACCTCGACCGGATCTCATTCTGGCGTGGAGATTCGACTGCATGACTGTCGCGCCGTCATTGTCAAGACCGGTATCATCGGTGCTTCGTCGACATCTTCGACCACAACAGTGGACAAGGGCGATGGTAAGACGGGGACGTCACATTCGTTCAACGCAGCGTATCATGCCAAAGAGATGGAGAATTGGGAAAAGGCGAAACGCAGAGTCGGTTTCGAAGTCGATGAGTTTTTGAGAAGATGAGATGATGCTCTCAAATCACCATTCATGCAGGAGATGAAGAGGAACAAGGTCGACTCGGCCTCCCGTCAGCCCTGACACAGGGGCCTAAGCCCTTTCGTGGCTCGCTTGTCCTGCAGCACAGCACGGCTTGAGGCAGGCAGGAATCCGAGTCAGGGTCCGGAGGTTGCAGTTCACCAATTCCCAACGCTCAAGACGTTCTATTTCTCTCATGTTGAAGCAGGCCTTCTATTTAGTATTGGAAACACTACATTTCGCTACAGGCCGGGGTGGCACGCACTAAAGCATTTCCTTGAGGAGCATAGCAGGTAGCAGCATCATAGAACACTGCCGGTATAGCAGCAAGTACGTAGCTCAAGATTCTGATTGTCCTTTACCAACGAACTGTTCTGACATTGACGTAAATGAATGTAAACAATCATTATCAAAACTTGACCCAACAAAACCCCCCAACACCACTGCAAAGCGGCGAATGATGAATTTGATGCTGTGGGATGCTCCGTTCTAAGTTCAGCCTCGTCCCGTGATACGACCTGGCCCCTAATTGTCAGTAGGTAGGTAAGGTAGTGAGCGATATGCGATACACCAAGTACCAGATACGAGGTACGAGATACGAGATACAACATGCAATGCATATGACAAACTTACCTATACCATCGCAGCACTCTGTCCTCCCTGGGTCCAGCCTTCAGGAATCTAAATTGCGGGCAGCAGAGTATGAACATGAAAAGGCGAAGGTGACCGCTATGGGACATACCAATTAACGACCGCAGCAGAACTTGAAGAGCATTTGAACGCGAAAGGGATTCTTTCTTGGGTTTTGGCAGGGGTGCCCAATGTCTGCGTCAATTGTCATACCACATCCATAGATAGGTAGGGGAGAATACGTAAGGGATAATATCACCACCTTCCCCTGGGGAATCGTCCCGCTCATTCACTATGGGCTTCCCGAGCCTCCCAAATCAACATCGACGCGATACCTCCTCAGTCGAATATCCCTCCCTGAATGTACAGGTTGGAGCGTGGGTCAATCGTGTCAAAATGATCATGTGCCTTGGAGCATACTTGGTGTGTTTTCTCCGACATCACCGCGGACCGGGCGTCATTGCCATCGGGGAACCAAAAACGATTGGAAGCACCCGCACTCGACTAAGGAACTGAAGATGCAACATCTGAAACCGTCATGAATTTCATTGCTTGGACCAAACCAGACCGCAGCCGGAGAGAAACAGCTTGGCGCTAAGTGATTGGATCGTGAATGGAAGTTGGACCCCATCTTCATACAGATAGCAGAGAGTGTACCTCGCATATCGCATATCGCATATCCAATGGCTTGCAACGCGTTCGCGCAATTCTGGCCATTTTTCCTGGGACGGCCCGGCGAATGTCCTCGTAATCAATTGGATGAAGAAGTAGAGGATGTTGCGCCAAGGCTGAAATGATTCCACTTTTCAATCAGCATCTCATAAGGCTCGTCTTGCGTGATTGCCGTCGTCGGCTTGGGGGGTTCGGGGTTGAATGTGTCCGTACGAGAAGCCACCACGCCCTCAAGCTTGGCAGCGAAAACCCTAGCCTCCCAGAGCTCATTGGTTTCTCTGAACATCTCCTTGATATCCTTCGAGGTCATGAGTTGGCGCTGGCGCAATTTCAGTTGCAACATGCGGAGCAAGCTTTCGGCGGAGACCGAACGGCGCGACAGGCTGTGCAGGGAAATGGCGAGCTTCATGAAAGCGGCCTTATGTTCGATGGGTTCCAGATCACTCATGACGGCTGCAAGCGCAGCGTCAATCGGTTGCAGGAAACTGAACGGGATATGTTCCACGCCCCAGGCCCTACATTGTCGGTACACAAGCTCGGCAATCTCCAGAGCCGCAGTCATGTGCTGCATATGAATGACCGGGATGAGTAATGCAAGTGTCGAGTCGTCCTCGTCCTCGATTGGCATGGTGAAGTTCAGCTCGGCTAGAACAATTACTGCCCAATGATACTGCGCGCTATAGACAATAGGTCAGAAAGATCAGCCATTGCCAGACGACAACTCACTTACTGCAAACTATAAGTGTGAGGAGCGTTGATGCCGACAAGCTGAACACAATCGATTAGATCGTCATGCCAAAGTGCAAGCTCACGGTGTTGGTCTTCGAGGAGGTCGCGGGAAACTGAAGATGTTGGCTTTCCCGCCGTAAAGAAAACGGTTTTGTTGATGTTATAAAAAATCTCAAACAGCCTTCCATGATAATACATGTGACATTGAGCATGAGACAGGATCGGAGGAGATTTGCGGGGATAGGGCAGCCAGAATTGTTTTGAATCTCCCTGGCAGGGAGCTGGTAGTTCTCGTCTCGGGGGCTCCATCACGGGAATGCTCCGCAGTGAGAACGTGGCTCTTGTGACCGCCATGAACGTGGCCCACGCGGCATGGACGAAGCCTTGTCCGGCAGCTAGCGCCTCGTCTTCGGTTAGCTGTGATTGCAGTTTCTCGAGTCGTCCAGGCTTGTCCAGCCGCTGCAAGCGATACACGGCATCATGCATGACGGAAAGCGACAACTTCTCCACGCCCATGGTGTCCAAGCTGCAAAATTGTCAGGTGAGGCTCGTGCTGGATGAGAGGAAGTCACTCACTACATCGACTGAATTGCGAGAAATTGTATCGCAGGAATAGATCCCGTCTTCTTCGCTCGGTCGGCAAGCCGCTTCCCCTCGGCATAGAACAGGTCCCGTAGGGGTTTCTGAGGCGAGTAATTGGTGGACTCTTCGGCATAGTCGTAGTCAAACTAGGATCGTCAACCGGCTGGAATCACCGTACTAGTAAGGCTGTCAGGAACTAACGCATGCGTCCGCAAGGATCATGTTGACCAAGTAAGGGGTACATATAGCACCCTGTGCATTTCCGGCCTCCATTGCTGGAATGAAGGTTTCGCGGTCAACAAACGGGTAGCACCAGTGTCGCCATGTAAACCACAGCGAGATGAGATGCGACACGAGATCATCATCGTCAGTCACAGTCGTCCACGGTTTGGCAGTCACCGAAACGAGCGGATGAAAGTGGTTTCGAGACGACTTCCGGAGTCGGATCTGATGTGAGGACGGGGACTGTTGGCCTGTGGAAGCTCTGCTGCGACCTTCTTCATCTTCTGCAGTTGATTCCGGTTGCGGGAAGTTCACCTCAATGAAGTCGACAATCTCCTCGTGCGAAGCACTATCACGAATGAGCGCAATAAGCTTGTCGACCTGTGTCGTGTCTCCATTGCGGATGGCTTCCATGAGGCGGGGAAAGAACTGTTGGTCGGCCTCCAACTCTTCCACCTTTCTCTTCCATGCAACCTTCTTTCGTCCGTCTTCAGCTTGGTCGCGGACACACTCGGTCTGCTTTGCGATACACTGGGAGCACGGCGTACTGTCATCGCACTATGAACACTCGTCAGCCTTGTCCATGCCAAAATTGAGGCGCTTGAGGCATTGCCGGCCATGGTTGGGAAGGAATATAATGGCTCTCTGGAGGAGAGCATAGCAAGTGGACAGCAGAATGTGTGGCATGTAAACGCTGGATACGCGTCCTCGTCTGGTAGACCGCACGTACCTTGGAACGACGTTTTCGGCAAGCTCTGCAAGCCGTTGTGATGTTTCGACGCGGTCTGCTAGTGGATGATGATGGCAGAGAACTGGTGCTCGACGCCTGGGTAGGCGTGAGAGGGACGGCGGGAGCCAGTGGTCTTGGATGTTGTTTCGGTGGCATTGTTAAGCGCAAAAAGTCGTGTGTGATCTCAAAAGAGTTTCACGTATGGATCACGACAATCAAATATCGAGACCGGAGATATTGGTAACGGGGGGGCCGAATCGCATCGTCCAGGCAGGAACGAGTCACGGACCCTATGGCCCGCTACGTGTCATAGCCCCGGGAAAAGTGTGAGTCGGCGTTGCCTTCTGCTCCATTGGGCTCGCGATCAAAGAAATATTTTGTCGGCAGCAGGCGAAACGAGTGCTGAAAGCCACCGGTGATGGACTTCCAGAGGCACGTGATGGCTTTTAACAGATCTCAAGTCATGGGTCTGGTCGAAGAGCCCCTGGTGAAAAATATCCGGGCACAGATCGAAGACATGGCGAACCCCGAGATTGACGTGCACTCGAGTCGTCCATTTGTTGCATAGCCCGAGGTGAAATGCAATGGTGCTCGCTGCCGGGTTGCAATAGCGGGAAAAACAACCGGCCTTAGGCCTGTGTCGGGCCTGGAGCTTTGCGGTGGACCAGGAAACCGAAAAGCCCAGCTAAAGGAGGACACCAAAAGGTGGTAAGTGGTATCGGAGGCATTATTTGTGCTGGGTGATGGTGAACAACGGCATTTTTGACTCCTACCTGAGTGGCCGTTGTGCTGTTAATTTGAATCAAATAGACCGGTCCAGCATCACCAACGAGGAAATACAATTCCACTGCATTTCATTCGCGAGATCAAATTGTTGGCATTTGACCTCATCTTTCAACAGCTCCACGAATATCCTCAATGACCCAGCCGGCGTACATTTAGTTATTGCCTCTCCTCTGTAGTCGATCAATCGAATCTCGGTAGCAGTATCTCTTCTTTTGGCACAAACCGCTTAAACAGATGCTCAAAGGAGTTGATCTGGAGAGAGTTCGCCTCTTCTCATTGCGTCTTCTCATGCAATCAGCCCATGCGAGGTTTACCACTGATATGCTGCCGTGAAGGACGACTCCAGGCGTCATCGTCCAACCGGCCCAGCCTTCCAGGTCGTCAAGAATGAAAGTGCCGGAGAGCCCGCTGATCCAAGCCCTGGACAGTTTTTCCGGGCTCGAAAAAGGATTGCGAGGAATTGTTGTGGTACTCTGTATCGTTTGAAGTTGCTTCCACGACCCGTCAGAGTCTGGTTAGTCTTTCTCATTTTCGCCCCCGTGCTAGCAGCCTGTCAACTAGCAGAGGATCTATACTCCTTGCAGTGTCATTGGGTCTTACTCCTGGATAAGATGCCCACTCGGTAGTCTGGCATGACGGACCAGTAACAATGGAGAATGTGAGAGGCACTGCCAGTGGCAGTTTGTTCAAGTTTGCCGAATTCTCAAGGTGGATGATCATCTCTTGCATCCTTTGGGACTCTGAGGTTCAAGTTGCGCAGTTTGATCAGAGGCGCAGGAGAAAAACATGCACGGTCGACCTATCGTCATTTGAACAGTCGTGCAGCTCAGGTTCATGTCCAGGACTCGGAATTCACCTCCATTATTACATGTCAGACACAACATGGCCCCTCTACCAGTAGGTACATAGTAGATTTGACATGACACCTACTACCAGGTAACCTACTAGTACCCACCGACAACAAGACACCTCGGTGAGTGCGCCGAGAGCTCTCGTTCTACAAACTTACCTACCTGAGGTACTTACCTGGTACCCTAGGTAGGTAGGTAGGTAGGTAGGTAGGTATAGGTACCTAGGTAAGTTTGTCAATCCTGTACTGCTAAAAAGTATTATCTAGTCCCTCCCGGAACTGTTCGCAGTGGACGCGTGCACATCATGCGACGGGAGGTGATCCTGTCCAATGAAGTCTGAGATGAGTGAATAGGTGATAGTATCCACGATGCCTTCTACCTGGAAGCCTACCCGTAGACGTGATCGAACATCATTCCTACCGCCACGCCGAACTGGCAGATAAGAATGCATTGCCCATATGCGATGCAGAGAAGCTAGCCACAGCTGTCGGCGTTTCCAGATAGACACATCGACTTCTTGAAAGAGCCCATCCCAATGGAGGGTTGTGAGGTTTTGCGCACCCTAAATGCAACTCCAGATACCATGCATCGATCCTGACCCGAACAACACCGAACTCGACATTGTTCTTTTCCTCCTCAACTTCATCCAACCTAGCTGGAAGGGGCTTCAACCTCGGATGGACTCCCTTAACTGAATAATGTGGTCAGCGGCATCTGGTTCGTCCCTCCGAGATCATATAGCGTAGAAAGGCGCTTCCTCGGTCACGTTTAAATGGACACGATTCTCAAGGCTGCGGGACTGGGAGACATTGTTTCCACGACCACATGATTTCGCTCAGTGGATGCTTGTTCATGCCAGACGTGCTAAAGAGTTCTCCGTGATGGGGGTGCAGATGGAATGTCGTTGAGCAGGTCCAGCATTTCTGAGTAGGTAGGCTGTAATGTAGCGAGTAGTTCTCAGCCAAAGAGATATCCAACCACCAAATTTTGAAAGACACTTGGGTGCCCCGACCGGCCGGCCTCGGTGAAAGGTATCGTCTATGCCACTGGATGGTTAAACAAGTAACTGACGCTTTCGCCATTGTGTGTTCTTCGGATCGCTTCCGCCAACACAGGGGCAATATCAATGAACTCGAGTCTGCAACCCTTCTGCCCTTCTTCGACCCTCAAGGCCTCGACCTTCTCTTCCGAGATCGGAACTGTATTTGTGATCACCAGCCTTGACAGTGCAGACCCTTTCAGGATCTCTACCGCTTTTCCTGACAAGATTCCGTGGGTAACAAGCGCAACCACGTCCTTGGCTCCATGCTTAATGAGAGTGTCGGCGGCTTTGGCGAGGGTCCCGCAAGTGTCGGCCATATCATCGACCAGGATAGCGACCTTGCCTTCGACATTTCCGACAAGGGTCATGCGGCTGACTTCATTGGGCCGCGAGCGTTCTTTGTGAATCAGAGCGAAAGGGAGATCCAGTTTGTCGGCAATAGATGTTGCTCTCTTTGCACCGCCAGCATCGGGACTGACAATGACGCATTCTTGTCTCGGCCCGTTCACCTCTGAATTCGTCTCTGTCGAGTGCATGAGGTTTTCCCGCACCCATTTCACAGAGTTGGGCTCAGCGTAGAGATTATCGACTGGCACATTGAAAAAGCCTTGAATCTGCGACGCATGCAGGTCCATGGTAATGATATGGTTGCAACCAGCTGTTTGTAGCATGTTCGCCATTAGCTTGGCCGTGATGGGCGCTCTAGATTTATCTTTCTTGTCTTGACGTGCGTAAGGAAAGTTGGGCAGGATGGCCGTGACCCGTCGAGCCGAGGCTGTCTTGCAGGCATTGCAGATGATGAGGAGTTCCATGAGGCCGTCGTTGATATCGTTCGGTCGTGTGGATTGGAGGATAAAGACTATGCAAGAAGTTAATGTCAGGTGCACTCAAAAGGCCAGACCACGGCGAAGAAAGCAGCTGCGGGAGCGCAATGGGTATGAGATACCATCTTCGTCTCTGACGGATTCACCAATAGTCACGCTTGTCTCTTGGTTGGAGTACTGCAAGACCATGATCTTTGTGAGTTCAATCCCCAGCCTGTTGCGTGCGACACCACGGTCAGTCTCCATCTTTCCATTCCAGACATGGTTCCTATGCGCGAGAGGCAGGAACGTACCGGGCGGCCACTGCCTTGGCCAAGTCGGGGTGACTGTTGCCAGTCAGGAGCTTGATCGAGTTCGTCGCCATGCCTGCGTAGTCCAGGGCCGATGTGGTCACCGAGGATACATATTCTTGAGAAGAAGATAGATAGGAAAAGTCGCTGCCCGTCGGCAGTGTCATAAGTGGAAACTCAAAAAACTGCGCGGGATGAGGGACGGCCAGCCCCAGACGGAAAATTCTGGTTGGCCAACCACGGCAAAATGCCCAAATGGCGGAGTCCTCACTGGTTCGCGTACTAGAATTGACCGAAGCATAAGACGAGACGAGTGTGGACGGTAGAATCTGGACCAAATATTCGCAACACAGATGCTAAAGGAAACGAAAGTGCTAGTGAACAAAATAGAATGGAAAGTTCACTGTTGTGGTATGTGGTTGTTCTATCTCTGCCATATTGGCAACACAGAACGATGCACGTAGTATCTGTTACGACCATCAATCGCAAGGTGACACGGCACGCATTCCTGTCCTCCACTTAGAATCCCCTGAACAGCCGAATAGGCTGGTGCTGGGATGTCCATTCATAATCCCCAATGGAGAGTCCAGCAAATCCCGTGACAATTTCCCCTGGCATTGCATGCATGCTATTTTGTCTTCTCAAGGCTGGTGTTGGCGGAAATAACAGGCGTTTACTTCCTCAACGAAGAAGCACGTCTCTTCCTCAGCTCGGTTCTCTTGTCACGCTCCTCGTGCACACGCTTTGCCAACAATTGAGCATACTCGTTGGCAGCATCCTTGGCGGCCTCAGCACGTCTTCTCTTGAGTGCGATTCGGTGTCTCTTGTGTTGCATTCGTTGAGGGGTGACGAGTCTCTGGATCTTTGGGGCCTTGGTGTAAGGTTTGGCACCTTCCTTCTTGGGGACCACTTCACGGCGGATGACGAACTTGCTGTAGACACAAGACTATTAGAACGGATACAGGAAGAACCAGCTAGAGCATGCGACATACCGAACATCATCTTGCTTGGTCAAGCCGAAGAATCTTCGGATCTTAGTGGCTCGCTTGGGACCAAGTCGCTTGGGGTTGACAACGTCTGTAAGACCTGGGATCTCGCCATCGCCTTGCTTGACAATGGACAGGGCCAGGACGGCTAGATCGGGACCGACGATGCAACCACGGACGGACTTGCGCTTGCGCTCACCGTCACGTCGAGGTCGGTAGCAGGAGTGGCCTTCGGAAAGGAGGAGTTTGACACGAGTCGGGAGCATCTATGATGAATCAAGTCTCAGCGAATGTTTCTTCTCGCTGGCGCTTTCAAGAGCAGGGGATTGTACGTACGACACCCTGCTTCATGGGAAAGCCTTGCTTGTCATTACCGCCGGTGATGCGGAAGATCTGGAGCGACCGTCAGAATAATGTCTCTTTTTGCTCTTCGCTGAAGGTAGCTCATACGTAGCCCTTCCATTCATCCCCGAGACTGTCGCCTGGAACCTCGTTGCCCATTCGCTTCTCCATGAAGACGCGCACCTTGCGGTCATCCTCAATGTCGAAAAGTTTCTGCGACCCATTGGCCGGGTAGGAGATGTTCAACTTCATCTTGTCGGCTGGCTGATCACGGCTGTCAAGACTGGCGAGAAGTCCTGACAGTTATCAGCTATTGAATTGTTGAGATGGCGAGAGGGAAAAGAGTTGGTGCTGATGCAGCCTGAAAACCGCAGCCAACCTCGATTCATTTTTCGAGGTGCGTTCAGTGTGCCAAGAGTTCAATACACTAAACCTGTTTTGGACCGCCTTTGCATGGGCCAATCACGTGATCTGGGCTTTTGGTCCAGTTTTTGCGACAGCACATCCATTTGAGCGTATCCATGCACTTATTTGGTAGTATGTAGGAGGACAGCAGTAATATCCAGATTCACCCAACTCGGGCACGACCACTTGGGATACCTCTAGCTAGTAGCGCCCATTTGCTTGACCGTTTCCAATCTGTTCCAGAGCCAAGTATCTCTTTTCGGCCTCCTCGATCGTCCTGATATTCGCGCCGAGCTTGTTCATCGTCTCAAACCATTCATCCTCCTCTATGCTGTCAAACACAATGCCACCGCCAGCCTGCAAATATGCAACACCGTCCTTGACCACCATCGTGCGCAATGCGATACAAGTATCCATGGCGCCTTGATCCTCGATCCTCGATCCGTCTGTGGACACTCGAGAGAACCCAAAGTAACCCACTGCTCCAGCATAAACTCCACGCTTTTCTCCCTCCAGTTCGGCGATTAGCTCCATTGCTTTCACCTTTGGCGCACCCGAGACAGTCCCCGCTGGAAAAATACTTCTGAATGCCGTGAACCTGTTCTCGCCGTCTCTCAACACCCCCGACACCTGACTGACGAGATGCTGGACATGGCTGAATCTTTCCACCGCCATCAACCTGTCTACTCGGGTTGACAGCGGATCGCAGACACGATTGATGTCGTTCCGTGCCAAATCAACCAGCATGACGTGCTCGGCCCTATCCTTGATGCTGTTCCGCAGCTCGTCGGCCAATCTGTCGTCTTCCTCCGGAGTTCTCCCTCGCTTGACCGTGCCTGCAATGGGATGTGTAATGATCCTGCCGGCTTCCTCCTTCACCAGCAGTTCCGGCGACGCACCCACAATGCTAAAATCCTCGCAATCAATGTAGAAAAGATAAGGTGATGGATTGACCGTCCGCAAGTGTCGATATATGTTGAACGGATGTAAAGTCGTAGGTCGTGATATGCGGTGTGACGGGACAGCTTGAATGATGTCTCCCACATTTATATGTTGCTTCAGCCGTGTGACATGGCCCTCATAGCCCTCTTTCCCCATATTGGACTTTGAAGGCTGATTCCGCGCGATCGAAGGTTGATCTGGGAGCGGGATATGTTCAGCCTGCAATGTCGACACCACCGTTTGCAAAATGCCACATGCTTTGTCGTAAGCTGCGGCAATCTCAGACGCAGACTGCGTCTCCGGTACCCGAAGGTACGTAATAACTTTGCAAACGTTGAAGAAGTGGTCGAACGCTACAATGGTCTCATAAAGCATGAAAAGGCTTTCCGGCAGCTTCAGGGTGTCCTTCATGGGCCGAGCGGTCTTGGGCTCGAAGTACCGCACACAGTCATATCCAACGTATCCGATCGCGCCTCCAGTCAGTGGTGGTAGCCGTAGCGAAGGAACACTCGCAACTCTGTATTGTGACAGCTCTTTCTCGAGGCGCGGAAGTGGATCTTCTTCGGGACCGTGTCCAGGACCAGACTTGAAGACTTTTAGAGGATTGGCTCCCACAAAACTGTACCGCCCAATCGTCCCCGTAGTTGCTGCGCTCTCATAAAGAAAGGATAGTTTGGAACCGTGTGAAACTTTCAAATATGCAACTGTGGGAGTAAGGAGGTCTGCGGGAATTTGCGCGCATAACGGTACCAAGTTGGGAGGGTATCGAGAGGATTTCGATTTTGAAAGGATCGAGGTGACCTCCTCCAGAGAAGGTTGGATTTGCGCCTGCATCGTGTAAGCCGTTGAACCTGGGAAGAGCACGCTGAAGTGAAAGTACCATTATATGAAGAAAATATCCAGCAATAATCAGGTACCAAATTCAAGTGGGAAGTTCAGTACATGGCGACCATGCTACGACTCGGTGTAGGCCAACTGAAAGTAGTTCACCTATGAAAACGGAGCGCAACCGGTCAAGTTGTGTGACCACAATGTAGTAGTACTAAGTTAGCAACAGTAGTAGGTGTAGTAGGAATTGAGTCACCGTCCTCTTTCGCGAACTCTTTGAGCGCAGTCGACGTTCCTCACTTTCCCCACACGAAATGTCTGTTCCAATTAGACGGCAGCATCGGCGGACCCTGGACGGCATCCGAAACTACAGCAGGCGTCGTCAATAATAGGAGGACGGTATATTTATACATTATTGCCCAGGTTCCTACTAAGGTACCTCAGGTAGGTAGTAGTCGGTAAATACTTTGGCTAAGTACTCTGTATCATTCTTCTATGAACTAGACTGGGGAGCATTCGATTTTGGACGTGTCAGTTCCCTTCTCTCGAAAACTGTCCAGTGTTCACGTGACAAGGCACCAGCCACCCAACCATCGCCGAACCAGCCACATGACATGTTCTACCTCAAACTGCGTTCAGCTCATCCATCCGACTTGGTGTGTACTCTTTGCTCCAACAACCACCAGCGGTCCCTATCGGAGCACAAGGCATATCACTATTGTCGCATGCGTCCTATCAAGGAAATGATCATTGAGAACGCAGCATAATGTCGCTAGCTGATCAACAGCCCGACGCCGGCTCACCAACTCGTCCCTGGTCATCCTGGACCAACAACTCCCTTTTTGCCGATTCCGCCATTAGTGTAAGGACGAGAACTCCAGGCCCACCGTTCGAGGAGTTGAAGTCTTTTGACACGCACGGCGCGACGACAGATCCCGGAATAGCCGACCGTCTCAAGGGTTTCGTCGCTGAGATCTGGGCTTGGGAGCAAGAAGGTGCTATCAGTGGAGATAAGAGGAGGAGGCTCGAGGGAGCGATTGACGAGATTGAGGCGGCTCTGGTGGAGGAGGACACAAATGTCGAAGAAATCAATGCTGAAACAACCACACCTCGGTCGGAGCCCGTGAGCGATCAAGATCTCGAACACATTCGTACGAGCCTTGCGTCCACGGTGGAAGCGATGCGTATGAGACAACAGGAGCAGCGACACCTCCATCAACTGACGATCGAAAAGCTAGAGGTGGTCGCGCAACGGTGCATACAACAGGAGAGGCGCCTGCGAGAATTCTCGGCAGAGATTGTTCTCCTCAAAGAGCAAAACCACCGGCTGATCCAAGACAATGCAAGGATTACCAGTCAGCTGGATCAAACTCAGACCGAGTCTGCGAGAAAAGATCTTGCGGTTGACGCGATGTCCAGTGCAGTTGCCGGTTTGGAGGGGTGGATTAATAGTTCTGCGCCAGCTCGCACCCCCCGAATGGTCGTAACGAGAGGTCGTGGAAGGTTTCGTGGTCGCTATTATGTGGAAGACCCCGGTGATGCGCCGCCTGGCACTGGCGGCCATGATGCGAAATTGCACGAAGGTGTCACGGCGTGGCTCCGTGGGTTTCGAGACGTACAGGAAGAATTGAGATCCTCCCAAAAGGGTCTGCTCTCTAGACCGAAGGAATTCCACGGCGGCTCCGAGGATGCGGAAGATGACTGGGGAGAGTTCGAGAGCGTCGCTGGGATGTGATCGACTCGCATTGCTTCTTGAAAGCATTTATCGTACAAGTACAGAATTCTTGAACAATTGGGGTCTTGCAATTCTGCATCGGTGTGCTGAGTGAGAGAATCATCTCAACGGACCTAACAGTATTTGAGCCGAATGTAGGAACAGCTCAAATTATCTTCAGTCATGTTCATCCCAAGATTGGATGTGCTTCAGCGTTGAAAATCGATGACGGCAATCTGTACGCGTCAGTCCACTGGCCTCAAAAGGGCACAGAGATGCGACTTACCTGCGACCCAAGGCCAAAAGCAAGCTTCCTGCTCTCGGAATCCCATGCCAGAGTATGATCGGCTATGGCTTGGGGCCCATCTCCATTCATACCAGACATACCACCGATACTCATTATGTCGTCTTCTTTCAGCTTTGAACCACCCCACGAATCTGGTTCACCTTTCCATGTCGCCATGTGGTTGTGGCCGTGCTCAGCATTCCAGATGCGTACTGTGTCGTAACTAGCTGCTGCCAGACAGAAGCCATCGGGAGAATATGAGAGCGTCATCGCAGGCGAAGCATGACCGAGGATGAGCTTGCAGAGTGAGAGAATGGTATTATTAGCCTCGTCGTACAGCCAGACTTTGACGGTCCCATCTGTTGAGGACGTGGCAAATTCTCGTTTCGACGTTGAACTTGATGTGCCAGGTGGGTAAGGGCGCAGTTCGAGGCCGGTGATGGGAGCATCATGCGCTTCTCTTTTCATCAGAGCTTGGACAGGTAACCAGAGAGATCCACTCTCGCCAGACGCCGCAACCACAATGCCATCCATCGGCCCTCCCCAAGCGCATCTGACAAGAGTCCATGAATCATTCTCATTGGGATTCGATGTCCATTTGTGTTCGATGCCGAGGTCGGAAAAGGCCCGACAGTGGTAGACGGCGTTTCCCCCAGCAGCGCAGACAATGCCGTTCATGTCGAATGAGGCGCAGTCGATGTCCATCAAGGTCTCTGGAACCGATACCGATAATGGCCTAGTGATGTTCGACGCCTCCGACAAATCCCACAAGAGAATAGTAGATCCAGCATTGTGAGCCGCTTCAGGTACATCGGACGAGAATGGGGCGATCCCTAGCAGACGTGATCCCTGTCGGTGCCATCGTAATGTCGTGATGGCTTTCTGAGACGCCGGCAAAGCCTCCATAAGGTTGAATTCCTGGCCGTCAAACAACAGTATCTCGCCCGAAGGATCGGTATAAGTAGCCACCGCGAGAATATCGCCAGCCGGATCCCAAGCGAGAGCACTAATCAGTTTAACCTCGGCAGGGTCTACAAGTTCCTGGAAATGAGGATGTTGGTCGGGATAGGAAGGATGGCTCTTGGACCTCCATACCCCACAGAAATTGTCTCCCAGCGCTGTGAGAGAATCTTTGTCGCCGGGTTGCCACGCGGTCCGCGTGATAGATTTCGAGTTATCAAATCCGGCGGAGGATGGAATCTGGAGGAGACTGGTGGAAGCGGAGAGATTTGTGACCTTGGCGGGCGCGACTTGAACACCAATGCTCTCCCCATTGGTTAGGGTATGGGATGGAGGTGGTAAGACTTCAACATGAGGTTCGTGGTGCGCTTGCTCCGCGGGGAGTGAATCATCATCCACGTCCATACGGTCATCCGTCCTGGTTCCATTCACGAGATGGGCGTTGTCGTCGGGGCCCGCTTCTGTTGCAGAGGGCGACCTGGCGTCCGCTCGGGAAGTGGGATGGCCGTTGGTCATTTCCACATCGGTGGCAGGCGCATTTCCATGGCGACTTGCCGATGCCGACACCTTGCGCGCACCACTCCCGTTGCGTTCTGCCTTGCGACTTCTTTTGGCAGGGGGCTGAATAGGGATCTCGGGGAACACATAATCACGACCCTTGTTCTGTAGGGTGGTAGTCGATCCAGCTGGCGAAGTCGCCGAGGTAACGGTCTCTTCAGGCAGTGGCAGTTCTGGTAGAGGTTTGGCACTCTCCGGACCGAAGAAGAACATGGACGGGTCGAGTTGTTTAGACGGCCGGCCATTCTAAAAGTGGATTAGCGTGTCAGGGTGATTCTTGTGGGTGAGGATGGACGAAACATAATACCTCGTCGATGGTCAGTGATAAGTGGTGGTAACGGAGGCCTTTCTGGACGAGAGACACAAGAGCCTGGCCTTTGATGCTCTTAGCGAAGGGAAGACTCTCTGCGTTGACTCTCCAGTCGCGTTGGAGTTTGACAGCTGCTTCAGCATATCCTGGACATTGCAGTTTAGTGGAGAGATTCTAGTGGATCTGGTGCGCGCGGCCTACCGGACTCTTGGAGATATCTGTAAAAGCTGGTCAGTACTGCAGACAATGGATATATAGCGACAATCAAAGGCGCGCATACCTCCAGACAAGATAGTTAAGCTGATCTGAACTCAGCGGGGGCGGCTTCGCGCTGAATGTCGAGGGATTGTCAGCCTCCATGCCGACATTCCGCGCCAGAAGTAGAGGCCGGCCGAGGGTGCAGTGCGCGCAATCTGTAAATTGGTGACCGAGGACGGGTAGAAGATCGCACAGCCGTGAATGTCGCACGCGGGAGTCAAGGTCTAGGAAGGGTCGACTTGATGTTTTCCAAGGGAGATAATGGTTGCGCAAGCTGTTTTGATCGGGTTGGTTGATTGAAGGCAGCAAAAGTCGGATCGGGATTGATGTATGGAGATGGCCCCCAAAGGTACAGCTACAGGTCAACACAAGTGGCCTGTAAGACCATGCACGGGAAAGGACGATGTCGAACGAGATGCGAACTGGTGTATGAAGCTGAGTGGATGATTTGGATCAATGGCGACGGTAGTAGGGGATGAGTGTGTTAAACAGAGTCTAGTCCTGTGGACAGTGATGATGGTTGAAACGTGGACGGAGGATGAGTTTGCGATGGGTGTGTTTTTGTGACATGTCAGAGAAAAAGAAGCTAGACACGACAAGCCACAGACTAGTGGTACTAGGTGCCTTGGGCAATAAGCCTTGGGAGCTTTAGTGGTGTCTAATCTTGCTATGTACCTAGGTAGGTAGGCACCTAATGATGCAGCGACGACGAGCCTATGGGGTATTCTTTGGGGGGCCTGACGAGGCACTCTAGGCCGTGTAATAATAATCCACTCAAGTGCCTAGGTACAATCCTCCCTGCGGATTATTCCCGGCGCCTACATCAAGGTAAACACGGGTGCATTGGAGCCAAGTCACCTTATTACTCGCAGAAGTAGACGCCTTAAGCGGGCACTGTGTTCATGAGGATGTTTTCGGAGAAGTATTGCCCCGGATATTCGATGCTTTCGGTGAGCTTCGAGTCAAACTCGAGGGCAACAATGAGGCTGCTGAGGTCGGTAGATACCTACCTAGGTAGGTAATGCATCAATGTGAACAACCTGTTTCGTGGTTGTCCGCAGTGGGAATTCGTTTGATGATCTTATACAGTATTTCTGCCTAGCCTAGTAGCTCGCAACAACCACTGTGGCACTGCAGCCAGGACCCTTCACTGGCATCGCGCTTGTTGATTTCGGGCCACAGTCTCATCGCATCCCCCCGGAACCAGTAACCAGCGCATCTGTGTTGCTTCGCTAGATCAAGCATCCTTCCTTTCATTCTTGAGCATCAACTATTTCTGGCATCCGCAGCATGCAATCGTCGTCTTGCTCCTGTTCCCGATGGCGCTCAGAATCAACATTCCTCCCGTTACCCGCGTCCTGCTTGCGATCATCATCGCCTTGACCCTACTGTACAACATTGCTCGATGGCGGCTCTCACAGTCTGAGCCCAACGCTGCCACACCATCCTCTCCAACGACGCGGCCTATTGTTCCCTATCTCGCACTCGTTCCTTCGCTGTGCTTGTGGTATCCTTGGACATTTCTTACCGCCACCTTTGTTGAACAGAACATCTTCACCCTCCTCGTCAATGGAACGACCGTCTTCTTCGGCGGGAAATACCTCGAGAGAGCATGGGGCTCCCAAGGCTTCATCTATGCGATTCTCATTGCGGCGGTCATACCGAATCTCATGGCTGTCCCGACGTACATTGTATGGGCAACCGTGACTGGGAATCCCGACAGAGCCTTGACGCCTATCAATGGTGGCATCACTATCCAGGCAGCCTTCCTCGTCGCGTTCAAGCAGCTGGTTCCGGAACATACAGTGAGCATATACAAGGGGATGATCAAGATGCGCGTGAAGCACTTTCCCGCGGTGTTTCTTGCAGTCAACACGTTGTCGGGTCTGCTTCTTGGGACCGACACTGCGTTGATCTTATCCTGGTACGGTCTCGTTAGCACATGGACGTACCTTCGGTTTTTCAAACGACAACCTGACCTTTCGGGCACAAGCACCGACGGTTCAGGTCTCAAAGGCGACGCAAGCGAAACCTTTGCCTTTGCGACTTTCTTCCCCGACATCATGCAACCGCCAATCGCGGTTCTCTGTGACCAGATCTTCCTCCTGTTATGCAACCTCAAGATATGTACTCCGTTCTCCGAGGAAGATATTGCGACAGGTAACGAACAAGCTGCGGCAAGAGGCGAGATGGGTCTACCGAACTACAACAAGCATGCACGGGGTGCACGGGGTTTGAGCAAACGCGAGGAAGCAGAACGACGGAGAGCTCTAGCCCTCAAAGCACTAGACGAGAGACTCAATGCCTCCAGTAATCGGGCTGCAACACAGTCACCCTCGACGACTGCTCCGAATCTGCCGAAGGGACAAGAGATGCTGGGGCAGACCGATTACCGACCGGACGAGTAAATCGACTTCTTTGAAATGACTGAATTTATCGAGGAGATTGCAGCACACTTTCAACCTGAATCTTTGCATTGGCCTCGCTCCTTACTTCTGTAGATGCCATTCTGTTCGTGCGAAGTGCGCCTGATTTTAAGTCCAGCTCTGTATTAGATTGCTGATCGAATACGTAGTACCATCCCCTGTCCTGGATGTTCATGATTGCCAGTAGGTAGTGTATTCGTGGGGTCATGGCCTGTGGAGACACGCTTCATACTCTGTAGTACTAGTGCCAGTGTTTCCAAGGTTATCTGTCTTGGGTAGCATATAAGTACCTACCTAGGGATGTCTCTCCAGGTGGCTTTCAGCTTTCGCGTTTCCAGTCCTCTCCAATCAATTCACCACGAGCAGCTATCGTGGGTGCAGGTACCATTACACCAGCCCATCACTATCTAGTGCTGCTGCTACCCTGGCATTGCATGCATCTGCTGATCGAGGCCGGTAGCCCCCCCCGGACCTGACCTCAGTTCGGCAGGTGCTTGATCCATGATGTCCGACTCGTCGATACGAGCGTTGCTACTGCGTGGAAGTGGGTTTATTTCGCCAATGCTACTTGCAATGATGTAGACACGCCGAGGCGGGAGAAACGTGGAATCCGCCAGCCGCCAGGGTATGAAGAAAGATAGAAAAAAGGATAGACGACATCTGTCTGCTGCTGTATCCTTTTTTCCCTTTTCCCTTTTCCCTGCCTTGAATCCCCTTTCAACGACACCCCGTGTGTCGTGGCGACGAGGGCATGGCGAATCCCAGACACGTTGCCCTGCTGGCTACAACGCTGACCATAGTTGGCATAGCGCAAGCCTCGCTTTATGGCGAGAGCAAGGTCAACCACACCTGCGTGCTAGGTGAGTTCTAAATCCCTGTTAATAGGCCACGACATCTTGGCAGAGACAAAAGGCCAACGGCCAGACACAGAACCGTCCATTCTTTCCTGCTCATCTGGAGCAAATCCGGCCAGCGTGGACACATGCTGCACCGAGACGTACGGCGGTCTTCTACTTTCGACACAGTTCTGGTCGACATGGACCGGCCTCGAGGCTGAAGGCCAGAAGCTTCCCGCCAATACTTGGACCTTGCACGGCCTCTGGCCCGACTTCTGCAACGGTTCGTATACGCAGTACTGCGATCTGTCCCGGCAATACGACCCTGCACCGTCGCCCAACACGACCAATGGCCTGCCCAACGGCACGGTGGTCCCGCCGTACACTGGGCCAAATATCGGGACATTTCTGGAACCATTCGGCAGATATGATCTACTTGACTGGATGAACGAGTACTGGGTGAACCAGGGCGCACCCAATACGGACTTCTGGGGCCACGAGTTCTCCAAGCACGCGACTTGCTATTCGACCTTCGATGTTCCCTGCTACGGACCTCAGTACGTCGAGCATGAAGAGGTCGTGGACTTCTTTGAGACCGCCATCAAATACTACAGGCGCCTTCCTACCTGGGAGTGGTTGAACGAGGCAGACATCGTGCCATCGAACTCGACCACTTACACTCTTGCAGATCTGCAGACCGCGCTGGCAAGTAAGTATGGCGCCACGCCGTACATCGGCTGCTCCGGCCCTCGATATAACGCTACCGATGCTGGAGAAGGTAGCGCGGATAATGGCCGGACGGTTGTCAGTGAAGTCTGGTATTATAGTCATGTGAGTGTGAACAGGGCCATACACCCTTGACCCTTTCGTTTCTTTGTGATACGGGCCTGCTCCGAGACTCGCAATTAACCTGCATTTGCTTTAGGTTGTTGGACGTCCTCAGGATGGAAACTCCATCCCTGTCAATGCCACGAGCCCGAACACCAGCTGCGCAAAGGCAAATGGTGCCTTGCACTATTACGAGATGAGCCCCCGCTCGGTACAGGGAAGTTAGCTCTGTCAATAGGTCTAGGTGTCGAAGGACTGTTTATAGGCAAACATCTGGATGTACATGCATACATGATCTGGAAAGAAAGGAAGAGCCAGGTCGAGAGGATCGTCGTTACTGGTGTATCAAGTGGTATTGCTGTCTGACCGAAGATTGGCACAAAATGAAGATGCACGTCAAAGGACAGCTTACACTCCATAGAGGCGGCTGGTTCCTCGTTGTAACGTCCGTGAGCTCTGTGAATGTATACCTGTAACGCAAGTTGTCCGAGAACATACCTAGATATGTAGGTTGGATCGAGGTTTTGGTCAGCCTGCATCGTGCATCATCGGCGAAGCATAAAATAGAAGATTTGGGCTTCCCCAGAGGCTGAGGCACATTCACTCGGCCAAGACTGGCGAAGCGATGGCAGTCAAGAGGCATTTTGTTGCTTTTTCCCAGGGTAGTGAAAGTTTGGGGGCAATCGTGGACAACTCTCGGGAACGTCGGTGGTGGTGCTGACAAGTAGAAGTCTGGGCGTCAGGGTCTATAGCAGCTGGAGGCAGTATTTGCAGTGGTGGTACGTACTAGAAGCAGACCTGCAGGCAGGCCACAGAGCTATAGAATGACGTTTATGGTACTCGTTCACGGGCGCAGTCCAGCTTCAATCCTTCAATTGTCAGAATTTAAACTCATAAGCGTGATTATTCATTCTGCCTTAAGACAGAAGCGTTGCTGCGACTAGAAGTCTGCAACGGCCCTCCAAAGCAATTGCACTCCATCAAGTCCTTAATCTGAATCGCCGTTGCCGTTGCAGTCGCCATTCATCAGCAGCTGACACCTCGACGGGTTTTGTGGACTTGTCTGCGTCACCAGCCACTCACTGATCACAGCATTGCCCCCATTCATTCTTTGACCGCTGCGATCCAAGTCCAAGTCCTCCAGACCTGCTAGTCTGCGCCACGCCTCAGTTTCCACTTGTCCAGCCGCCCAAAAAGTCAGGTAGAAGCACGGACTGCGAAGACGCTGAGAGCCGATCATAGGTTGGCCGTAATCCACCTCACGTTGCGCTCCCGGCCTCTCCCTCAAGGCTGTTGCAGAGATTCATCGATTGTTCCATCGGCGAATTGGCCTTCTTCGCATCACCTCTTCTCTATTCCAATCTCCCGACAGTGCGTACAGTGACCGATCGAACCGGACGCAGATATTCGGCCGCTGATACGCCTAGCCGCTCGCTTGACTACCAGCCCTCCCGCCGTGGTACCGTTGTCGGCTTCTCAAACGAAGTAGACACCACCCCGAATCCTCGCAGTCAACAATCATCGGCGAACATCTACAGACGATCATCTCTGGAAACTGCGCCTGTTGCGCTTCGAGGAGGGACCATGTCGAAAGTCGTAAGAAGTGTCAAAAATGTCACCAAGGGATACAGCAGCGTGCAGATCAAGGTGCGCAATGGTAAGTGAAGGCTCAGTCGCTCAGCGAGCACCGTGAAAGACGCTGACCGGAGGGAACACAGCGACTTCCAATGATCCATGGGGCCCGACGGGCACAGACATGGCAGAAATCGCAGCTCTGACCTTCAACAAGTGAGTACCGGGCAGAAGGCTCCGCGACCTGATTGGCCTTGCTGACAATGCCTGCGCAGTCCCAGCGACTTCTACGAGATCATGGATATGCTCGATAAGCGCCTCAACGACAAGGGAAAGAATTGGCGACATGTGTTAAAGTCGTTGAAGGTCCTCGACTATTGTCTACACGAGGGCTCCGAACTGGTGGTGACCTGGGCCCGGAAGAATATTTACATCATCAAGACCTTGAGGGAGTTTCAATATATCGACGAAGATGGCAAAGATGTTGGCCAGAATGGTAAGCGCTTCTGTAGCCATGTTACTCGCATCACGCGCTGATCATTACAGTTCGTATCTCTGCGAAGGAGTTGACATCTCTCATCCTGGATGAGGACCGTCTCAGAAGCGAACGCTCGGATCGCAAGCTATGGAAGGCTCGAGTCAGCGGAATCGACGAATATGCCCCCCAGGCAATCGCCGGCCCTGTTCCGCGACCGAGGCAGCGCGCCAGGAGTGGAGCAGATGATGAATATGATTCCGAGATGCAACAAGCTCTCGAAATAAGCAGAAGAGAAGCCGAACGAGAAGCACGCAATAAGCCGCGACAACCCACCAACGAGGTTGACGAGCAAGATCCGGAGCTGAAGCGAGCCATACAGCTCAGTAAGGAAGAGGCTGATCTCCGTGCGCGCCAGCTTGAGGAGCAAAATGCCGCCTCGCTGTTTGACGATACTCCTGCGCCAGCTCAACCTCAGCCCACCGGCTATAACCAAGGCTATCAGCAGCAGCCAGCGGTTGATTGGTTTGGAAATCCGCTTCAACAACAACCCCAAAGCACTGGGTATTTGAGTAATCAATATGCGCAACCACAACAAACGGGATTTCAGACTGCCTTCACAGGAGGTTACGTTCCCACGCAGCCCACTGGATACGATCAATTTGGCCAGCAGCCTTTCCTACAGCAGCAGAATACCCTTCAACCACAACAGACTGCGTTCCAGACCAACAATCCATATGGCATGCCAACTGGAGCGGAGCTTTTCGGAGCGCAGTCACCTCAGCAGCAGGCTGGTCTGCAGCCAGGGACGAACAATCCATTTGCCGCTCAGTCGCCGCAAGCTGCTGACCCACTCAAGCCCCTGCCTACGGGCTCGAACAATCCTTTTGCCCAAAGGACGCAGCAATCCTCGCCTTCGCCCTTCAACCGAACCCACACTCAGCCTTCGCTTGGAACACTCTTCGAGTCGCAACCCACCACGCAGTACAGCCAGCCATCGCAGCCAAATCCAATCCAGAATTATGCTATCCCACAGCCATCTTTCCAGCAGCAGCAGCAACCACAGAAGCCAGTCAACCCCCAGCACGCAAAGCTCAACGCGTTATTGGCCTCAGGAGAAGGCCAGGACACCTTTGGCAATACGGGAGACTTGCGTATCCCTGCCCAACACACCGCTCCTGGTACTTTTGTCAATTCAGCCGGACAGGGTATGGATCGTCTCCGTGCGGCACAGACCGGGACGAATCCGTTCTTTTCAGCCCAGGCCACCGGCTTTGGTCAAGCTCAAGGTGGGTTTGGTCAGCAAGTTCCCTCTCAAACGGGACCTGCGGGTGCATTTGGTGGCGGGTACGGGCAACAAGCCAACAGTCCTTTTGGGGGAAGACCAGTCGGCCAACAGGGTGGTAGCTTGATCGACTTGTAGGATGGGTTGGATCATGAGAAGGATTAATGGGTCTCCTGCCTTGGAAAGGGGACATAGCCTGTCATTGTTTGCAGGTAGCCATTTTATGGTATCAAATTGTTCTCGCGGCAGTTATCTCCTATATACAGCTGCTGCTGGTGACTGCAGGGGAGCAGCACGCCTTGCATGGAGGGTTGTTATCTTTTCCATAAGCTTTATGTACACTTTACTCCGGCGATACAATCAGACGACAATACGACTGGAGGTGCTGACCGGCGTATTGCATCCATGATGCTCATTGTATGGTATGTACTAGGTAGCTACGTAGTACTACCTAGTATCTAAGAAGTCATGTCTCCGACAGTGCGGATGGGCATATGGGGCAGAGGCATTCAAACAGGCTAGGGGGCGGTACTGTACATTCCCGAGCTGCCGCAACGGCCAGTAACCGCAACAGGAAGTTCGAGCCCGCGTTTAGTTATGTAGACCTGGGGAAATCTTTTGGAACGCGTCCTGACATTTTACATGAAGAAACCTAATCTCGAGCGCATCCTCCTCTCTTCGTCTCACCCTTCCTGGTCGTCCTTCGAGGGGATCCGTGGTGATTCGGTTCTTGTCCCGTCCGATGGTGTCTGATAGTGCCTTTACGGGCATCGGACCTGGATCAGACTTCCTCCACGGCCATCGTGATGGAGGGGCACCAACTCTGCAGCTGTTTTCACGTCCAAATCGCCGGCCTCCGGACGACCGCACGATATTTGACCATACAGTCCTTGCACTTGCCCCCAGGTTCTGAGTGCTTTTCTCCACCGCTCTTGCTCTTGAATTCAACAGGCCGGGCGTAGGTCTTACCATTAGGCCAACAGAGATTCTTTACGTGGCACGGCTACTAGGTTGCTCTGGTTGCGCTCGTGCAGACCTTACCTCTCTCTACTCATTGCGATGGAAGAACCCAATCCCGACGGCGTCATGACTGTGGGCAAATCGGCTTGTTGCATGGACACTGTGTCATGTACTGGACTAGAGCCCATTCCGCAGACATCGGTCAGCATATGGGAGTCAAACAATAGGCTATGGGGAACAATTTTGCAGATTGCCGCCCTTACTTTGGAGGGACCCAAGTCTTCATTTCTTGGCCAACCACTGACGATCAGATGGGATATATGCAATGGCCATCGAATGTCTCTTCACGCTTCAGGCATAATCGCCGTTTTGAGATAACAGTGCATATGCGAACTGGATGCGGCTCCGTTGCCGGACGACTCCAGGTCGACTATCCTGTCACGGCTGGTGCGCTCACCAAATACACGGCACGAATATTGCGCATCGGTGGTCCTGTGTGCATGGAAAAATGTCCTCGGCGCGGTCTGTGTGGGGGCGGGCGCAGAAGTTCTTGTGACATCGAACATACCATGTACTCGTTCAAAATCGTTGCTAAAATATCGATTGACCGTGTTGTTGATAGAGCCCAGCAACATCTACTTACAAAGGCATATCTGATCCGGTCAGCGGTCGCAAACGGCGTCTCCGGTGGCTTCAGCCTGCTGCTGCAGGAGGCACGCAAGAAAGCTCTTCTTCACTGGGACGACCTGTTCCTTGTGGGGATGTGCAGGCAAGGTGAGAAACAGAGCAATAGTTATTCCACCAATCACTTTTGGTAGGAAGGGTGGTTGCAGGAAACGACTTGACGAGTCGAAATAAGCGAGGGGCGGTGGCACCGCAGAGCCGCCGAGCAGCTCCAAGACCACAAGGCTATCGGCTACCAGCGATACGTTGACCACCGGCACCCATGCAGCACTATTGGAACCGGTCAAAACCATGGCCTGCCACTGAGACAGTGCTTGTTTGAACGCCTTCTGATGGCGTGGCCAGAGTCGCAGCCCCCTATGAAGTGGCACAAGGCTCCAGGCGACGCAGACAGGGGTCCAAGGCATTGTACAGCCTCCTTCGGCCAGGCGCTTGATAGCTTCTGTGACACCATGGCAGTGCTAGGGTTCTAATGGTGTTCAACTAATTTAAATGGCGGCCTTTCGTTGCCGACCCGTGTTTTTGTCTGAATCCGAAGAGTTCATCTTCGTACACCTTTTCAAGCGGACACTTCAACTCGGCGCAGGGCACCGACCTGACTAGATCTCGAATCCCTTACACTCATTCTTATGTCTACCAGCTGCCAACCTCGAACTGCCGGTCATGCTCAAGAAGCGCTGCAAAGGCGCAACAACAATGCCCCAAAGCGGAAACGTGCGCCGACTCCCGAGCAATGGGAGCGCATGCGGCCGTTGATCGAGCAATATCTACTGGAAGAAGAGAAGCCACTGACAAGGGTTCTGGAGATCTTGTCAAAGTATCATGGCTTTGACGCCGAGTTAGTCATACCTGCAGACATCAATCACGTCCGGGTTGATGCTGACCGTCCTTTCGGGCCAGGCCGCACTCGTACAAGTTGAGATGCAAACAATGGAAGCTCGGGGACAACTTCACGGGTGCAGAGCTCGAAGAGGCAGCCAAAGAAGCCAAGCGATTGTCGGATCTGGGACAAGAGCCTGCTGAAGATTTCGAAGTCCATGGCCGAATCATACCCTGGGACCGTGTCAGGCGGCGATTCAGGAGAGACCAGAGGCAAGCCTGGCAGAGATATGACTGTCCTTTCCTGCGGCAGCCGTTGAGCTCTTCCAACCATTCAATCCGATGGGTGTCTTTGAGGAGTGGACTCCTCGAGGACGACGTCGAGTATATCTTGGTCCAGATCAACAGTTACTATCCCAAATGCCTTGTGACGGAGCCCAGGTCACAGACAGAGGAACTCCGTCCAGTCCGGGCAAGAGCTTCGTGTGTCTATGAGATGAGCCATGTTCTGTCAGAGGGATTGGTTTTGCTGGACGGCGGACGACCCGAGGTGGGCTGGCCCATGATCAACGAGGCGTGTAACCAAGTCAAGGATGCGCTCTGTAAAGAAGAAGTCGACCTGCTCCCGACACTGATCAATATCCTATGCGGCAGACGACTGCACGGTTACAGGGAACTGTACAGCAATCTCTTGGGCTTCTACCGCGCGATGTCTCACAAGATTCTGGGTGTAAAGCATCCGGTGACGGCCATCTTGGACAAGTGGACAAGTGCGGACCAGCCATGGACAGCGTCGGAGCTCATGTACCGTGCACTCCTCAATATCGTCGACAAGAAGAACCCTACCAACCTCGAGCCTGGCGTAGTGTACAGCCTGGAAAGCGACTACATCACCGAGGTCGGCAGCGACCGCGGCAGCGGCAGTGGTGGCGGTAATGCCAGCAATAGCAGAAGAAGAGATGTCTCTGTGGCACAGGCCCTGGCCGAAGCCAAATGGCGCGAACGCCGGGAGAGATTGGGCGCCACCCACCCATACACCGTGGCGATGCTGCACAGGCGGTTCCTGATCTATCGACAGCTAGAACTCACCGACCAGGCCGAGCAAATGGCGCGAGAGATCCTGGAGCTAGGCGACCACGATTACCAGACCAAAGGGAGGAGCTTCCACTACGTCTACGCCATGCATATCGGCCGCGAATACTACAGCGATGGAAGATACGCCGAGGCCGAGGCCTGTTTCGGCCGGGCTGCTCTTTGGGTGGCCACGATCGTCACCAAGGCCGGGAGCTACCATTTCCGGATTGAGAAGGAGCTTGAAGGGCTGCGCAAAATGAGGGAAATGGGGCTGTTTGATCCTCTTCCGCCAAGCTGGAAACTTGACGACGAGGACAGTGAAGCTGTTGGAGTTGCTGGAGATCGGGCACCAGAGGGTTATAGACTGCAGGCCAGCAGTGAACACAGCGACGGCATCGACTCTAGACAACAATCCCAACCTCAATATGAGGACGGAGATGACGACGAAGCCATGACTGACATATGAACTACTGAGGATGTGGACCCATGGCCAGACACGACAATGTTCTGCACGATACAATGTTATAAATGCACAGAAGGGTCTATCAATGTTGCCCCATTTCCATTTCCATGTTTTGTAGCCGTTGTCATACTGAAGGGGCTTCTTCAAGCCTGATCTAAAGAGTCCTGGCAGTATAGTATGTACGGGGATGATCCTGGTGGAATGAGTGTATGTGGATATATAAATTAGGTGGATGGTGGCCTCTTATAAGCCGATACCATCCAATGCTGTGTAGCACCTGGAGAGTACCAAATGTCAAATGCCAGGTGCGTTCTCTGCTGTCTGTCGTGTAACCCACGATGCCCGATATGATCTGTACTGCATCAATGTGAGATTCCCTACAGCCCTTTATAGCCTATGCATACCTGCATGGATTTTGAACGTCTTGCCAGATCCCCATACACCATAGACTCGGAGGTCATGAAATGACTGAAGCACAAGTCCAAATCGAACAAAATATGTTCAACGACGCCTAAAAGGACGTCGGAGTCATGTTCATTTCACGCTCCAGTTCAGTAGCTGGGCAGAGTGACGTTGCCACCGATATCCTTGACCCAAGAGGCACTGTTGAACTCCGTGAAGATGGTCTTGATCTGCCAAGTGTCCTTCTGTGCCCTGGGATTCTCGGCCTTCAGGATGGTAATGCCCTTGACAGGCTCGGGCTGCAAACCGGCGAGCCATCGCAGCGCAATTGTATCACAGGTCACAGCTTCAATAGCAAGCAGCTGGAAGGGCACGGGTGGTTGAGAGCCCTGGCCCGCCTCGAACGCTTGTTTGCTGGGGAAGGTGACGTTGCCGATGGGGATGCCAGACAACGAGTTGATGCTGTCCGAGATATCGGTCAGGTCGTCGGCCAGGAACTTCTCGGCGTTTTCCATCGTATATGCCGAGATGAGCCCGCCGAAGCCGTCGACGAGATACTGCGCCGTCTGCTTGTTCAAGCATTTCGTTGGGTTCAGGTTGCCGAAGAGCCAGCCGTTGCCCCATGGAGCGGCATGGGCGGAGGCGACGAGGCTGGCGGCAACAGCGGCGATGGTGATAAATGAACGCATTTTTCCTGCGACAAATATCGGAAGGCCTGTCCTTGCTTTTCGTACAGAGTGAATGGATCTGTGTGTTATGTACAACGAACGTCTGTGAGTCTGTGGATTTCAGTGGAGAGTGGTGGATTAGTCTGGGGTTCTGAGCAGAGAACGGGCCTCTCTGGGGGAGGGCGGGCAAGATATAGGATCTGGATGATGTCGCCCGCCAAACATGACACGCCCCACAGAGATACCTTCAGTCAGAACAAGACGAAAAGGTCATGGACAGCCAACAGCCCTTTCATGTTTTGGTTTGGAGGCTCCTGCATCGCCCACGAGACCGCAAGGACTCCATCCGCTGGTCAACGGGCTGTGGCCAGAGTTACAACAGAGTTGGAAACATGACAGCCCTATCATGGACGTGTGGTGGAGAGGGATCCATTATCGTGGAGGGTTTCGGCTGTCACGCACAGTCCTCTTCATGCCGCTGTGAGGAGCTCGATGACGGTCTATTACTCCTGTCGTTTTCTCTTCCCCAGCCCTCTGGCTCCCAGCCACCTCGACGATCATTTTTAAAGAGAAGAAACCGCAGCGGCGTAGACCGAGATTGTTGTTGCTCCTGCTGAAAGATGAGCATTTTCCCTATGTTACGGTGGATATGCGTGTTGCCACCGCTAGGAATCGCAGTGCGGTTGTCACAGATTAGAGCCGGATATGCCTCCTGGCTGATACCGATGAACGGGTTGACTTCCCAGGAACAGGTACTAGTAGTCACCATGCTGGGATGAGTGAAAGTGTCGTCTAGCACAGCCACTGAGCGTCGAGACCGATGAGGCGATACGGAGGCGACGACCTGCATCGGGACTAGATGTCAAAGATTGTATTTTTGGTTCCACCAGCCATGATCCGGTTTGGACGGCCCTTTCTCAAAGCAGGTTCTCCTGGGAGTTAGTTGGTAGGCTGGACGCCTTTGGCCATTTCCTCGTGTCGAACCAAGGCTGAGAACGGCATTGCCCAGTTTGATACTGGCCGGTGAACTGGCTTTTCACCACAGACGGTCCCGGTGGTTGATGGCGTTGCTGACATCGTACATCTCCCGGTGTAAAGAGGCTCGCTAGCTGCGTATTACCGATATGGATTTGGGAGTCCCTTGTGTCTATCCCAAGATTTCCATTTCACTCATACAATCCTTCCTCCTCTTTTTCGCATTGCTGAATAGAGACATAAAGATCATGATCTGGACTGGCACAAGCCGCACACCGTATTTGCTGACCAACTCATCCCTGACAGCTGTCAACGCGAACATCGTGCTTGCACACATCGCCGTTTTATTGAAGCGCACAGGTCACTTCACAGTCGAGCTACAACGGTCCAGAAATAGTATCTTTGGCGGATTAACAACCAAAGTATTGTCATTGTAGACTTCCTCTCGGCGGAATGCTCTCATCGCTAAGAGTGACGACGCCTGGCCGATCATGGTCAGTCTCGATTTTGAGCCTTTTCGTCGCATACGGGATTGCGTCCCCGGGCTTGGTGAATTGATGCTTGCTTTTGATAAGCTGCATCAGCATGAAATTGATGGCACACTTGATCCCCTGTTCCTCGCCTCGTCTGACGATATACCCGTTGATGTAGTCAATCTCCGGTTTCTTGCCGTTCCGAATGTCCTCGCGCATGCTGCTGGAGTTCCTTGCCGTCCGTTCGGTGACTGCTCGAAATAGTTGCTCCAATCGCTTGGCTGAAAATCGTACGCGGACATTGGGGATCCCTTCAAGTTCAGGCAAGCCACGAATCACCAAGGAGATTTCTGCAAGCAGCAATCTCTGTACCATGGCAAGCTCGTCGTTGTACAAAAGTGCCCCGTTGGGGACATCCAACAGAGCCGTTAGAGGGTTCAAGACACAGTTGGAGGATAACTTCTCCAACTGCAATTGTAGCAGGTCCAGATAAGGGAAAGCAGCACACGCGAGGACCGGCGATCTGGTCAATGTGCGGAGGAGATATCGAGAAGAAAGATTGGCAAAAAGCTCCTTGTCCGTAGGATAAAATGTTTTGCGTTCGTCCTCCGCCAATTCTGAAATGTTCCGGTTCAGGCGCTTGGGCGGCAAGGGGAAACGATCACGGTCTCGACAAATCCCCAATGCCACCGTTCCAAATCCAGCATGAACCACCGTGGTGGGATCTGTCATGTAGACTCCATGGGAGACAACGCCTTGAAGATAGGTTGGCCGAGTTCTTGGGTCAGTAAAGACCTCTCGATTGAGCTCGTCAACTTGCCCAAGACCATTCTGCATAAAACAAATTGTCGTTCTCGCATCGACACGGTGCCTAATAGATTGAAGCGCCGATACAGTGGCGTGGCCCTTGACTGCTACTATCAAGGACCAGATATAGAGCTCTCCCGAAGGCAATCGTTCGTCTTCCCCGACGGGATTGGATGTGGCCTTTTTCCATTCCTGGTCAGGTATGAACCGCCACCGACCTGTACCATCCGAGGTGTTGCCCTCGAAGAGATCCACGTCGTACCCTCGCTGTTCATCATTGATCTCGTTTTCCTTATTGATCAAAGATATGACCCTTCCGGTCTTCTTGAATTCCTCGTACTGCTGCCGTTTGTGTATCATCAAGGTGACAGGTGGAGGGTTCGGCAGACATCGGAGGGAATGTGCCACAAGCGTTCCAATACTTCCAAGCCCAAGAATATGGATGCGCCGTGTGAGAAGATGTTCAGTTTCTGGTCCTGATAGATCGACATCCGTCAGAGGTGAGGAATCGAATGAGTGCGCTGGTTCTGTATCCTCTGCTTCTGGCGAGCCGGTCCACCATGATCGCGATGCCGCCATTGTCCTGAACTCCGCCTGCGGTGGCCTAACCGCACGGCTTTGACGGAGCAGCAAGGCAGGTCTTGGTGACGCTGGCCATTTGCTCAAAGCCCGAAAGAGCGGGCGGACAAATAGTCGTTGCGACAGCTTGAAGAGGAGCCTATGTTGACAATATCGCAAGTCGAGGATGTCACAGCATCGGCCGAAGAATGTTAATTGGAGACGGACGAGTGTGTGTATGATGGCTCTGCTGCCGTATCAGAAATTTTCGGCAGTCTCAGTAGAAGCAAAGCGGCCAAGTTATGACCACCTAATAAATGTCTGGTTGACAGGGAAGAAAGGGCGTAGGACGAGAACACCCAGGTCTCTCTATGATGATGTCGTCGAGGTCGATAAAGTGAAACGAAAGCAGAGGAAATGAAATGCGGAGAAACAACAAAAGCGCAGTTTCGATTCTTTCTCCAATATGACCAGCACTTTTTCTTACAACAATCTAGCCATATACTTTCTGTCTAACCGGCATCTGAGGGACTTCCTCTCACACTCGCAGACACTATCTCGGAGCCTATCGTCGCTCTCGGCAATGGACACAAAGTCCTTGCTCGCGCTCGTGGAGCAGTTGGAAGACAACATCGACGATCTCGAAGACAATCTACAGCCACTGACTGAGGGCGCGTTGGCTACCACCACCAAAAAGCTACCAGTGCTGGATAGGGCGAAGCTCAACGTTCTTCTCGTATACTCTATCGAGTCGCTGCTTTTCTGTAAGAAAGGCGTTACTGCCCCTCTCCACTCTACTTACTGACGGATCTATAGCGTACCTAAAACTCCACGGAGTTCAGGCCAAAGACCATGCAGTCTTCAGAGAATTGACCAGGGTGAAGCAGTATTTTGAAAAGATTAAAGAAGTAGAAAATGGGCCTTCCGCCCAGCCTTCCCTTACTCTGAACAAAGAGGCTGCAGGCAGAATCATCAAACATGCTTTGGTACGGTCAAAATCCAACTCCCTGTGCATCCCTTTGTGCTAACGAAGTCAAGGCGGGCAACAACAAATACGACCTCGAGCGTGCCGAACGCGAAGCAAGAGAACGAGTCCTAGCGAACAAGAAGCTGAGAAGTCTGGAAGCGAGCATGAAAGAAAAGGCAAAAGCACAGGAGACCAATGATGCTCTGGAGACAAATGCCGCCCTACAGCAAGCCGCCGAGCTGGCGTCTATACAACAAGCAACACCCGCGGAGTCCTCCCCCTCCAGCAGTGAAAATGACTCTGAAGAAGAAGGTGCAGTACTTGAGTCTGATCAATCAACATCGTCCGCGAATATACCCGTCACTGTCGCGCCGCCCAAACCTATAGCAAACTCCAAATCAGGTTCGAAACCCGGGAATGCCTCTAGCCACAAGTCCCATGATAAATTTCCACCATCAGAACCGAAACAAGGCAAGAAGCGAAAGTCAAACCCCACTCAGGAGGAGCAAGAAGCCAAAAAACAGAAGAAACAAGAGAAGAAGGCCAAGAAGGCTCAAAACAAAGCCAACAAGAAGGCGAAAGCGAAGGCGAAGAATGCCTCTGCGGCTGGCTGAAGCGCACTGCTGATCACCCTCAACCCTTAGCTAGCTACATTCAACAATGGGCTGGCATCATTCTTGGGACATATGGCGGTCATCTAAGGTCTGATCTGCCGCAGAGAAAACAGCAGATCTTCGACAGCGGCATATTCATGTCCCGTATGGAGAGCCTGATCAATGTCAGCCCGGCCCCCTCTAGGGTACCCGAACCGGCTGCCTTGATGATGAGCCTGCCTTGTATGAGTCTTCAGGAGGGTGGCAACGCTGACCCGCTCGATTCCTACGGCGACTATCTCAATGCGAAGCACTGTCTATCAGGCTCCCGAATCCAATCCCGGAGCAGTCTTAACGAGGGGATGGATTATTGAGAGATTTGCTTAGCCCTTGAGCGAACGTATTTGTTCAACTGCCACCAAATGCCCAGTCGGCAGACGCTGCACCTGGAATTTGGGATGGCGTTATCGAATCTATGCTGAACGAGATGCCAGGTGCACGCTGCATATTCAGTCTAGGGAGCCATCATAACTCGCTGGTTGCAGGCGATGATGAATTGGTCGGCTTCTTTGCCAGCCCCATCACCAGCATCCTGAGGTTAATCATGCATCTTGGTGCTCTGGCTCACGTCCAGGAACGGCCTTTTGGATGTCTTTTAGATCAAGCCAACGCCCACCGCTACACCAGCTGTGGTCCCCCTCGCCATCTCAGCGGTCGTACAAACGCAGGGAAAAGGAACAAATCAGTTCCCCACGCTTGGGTCGGTCATATATCATGCTCTAGGAATTCATCCACCAGTGCCTCTATATTTTGTTCTTCTGTGCCCAGCCGTTCAGTCCCCAGATTTACTCCATCATTTCGCAGAGCAGGAGTGTCTTCCCGAATCATGTCCCCGGCATGGGTACACAGCTGCAATATCTGCCTCCATCTCTGGACGCACATTCTGTGTCTGGCCTTGGCTTGGGACGATCTCGTCTTTGAGATGTCAGGACCACGAAGTCCTTGTGCTTCGAGGATCTTCTCGTCATCACCGAACCAATGCAGTAGTTCGGTTCGAGAGTTACCGTTGCCATTGCGTCGAGTCTTCTGAGGAGCCAGAAACATCAGCCCCATGAGGCTGTTTTCCGCCACGCTCGCCATCACTTTGATCCAGGCAAGCTGCTTCCTCTTTGCGCGCTCGCTTGGTGTTTGCTTCAGGATAGCAGTTTCATTTGCCGTTGCCTCTTCGCTCGTTCCACCCGTTCCTCTTTTGCGCTTTCTATTGCCGCTGCTGTCTTCGATTCCGTTCCCTTCAGCCGTAAACTGTCTATCTGCCACGGCCGGATCAAACTTTCCCTCCAGGAACCGATTCCACTGGCCAGGAGTTAAGACATCCAGCCAACTCACAACCTCAGACCGCCAGCACAACCCCTCGGGCTTGAGCCAGTAGTCGCCCAAATATCCAGCTTTCTCGAGTGTTTTCTTCTGCGCATCCGTCAAGGATGCGAGGACGACTTCATCCAACTGTACGCCGTCGCTGACATTGCCATCCCCGCCCATGATGAACCCGTACTCGTTCCACAGCAAATCATTGCTGTGGGCGCCGTAGCCCAACAACACTTCTTCGCCTATACCGTGCTCTTGCACTGCTGTCACTTCATATCCTTTCCTATCGTAGGTTGTCCGGCAGTGCGGCTTGTCGGAGTGATTGAACAGGTCCATCCCCGGACACAGGGCCATGGCTTCATTGCTGTCCTTGGGCGCTGGCTGCCCTGGACGCAAGTAGTAGAAACAGCGACTGCCCACGATACACCACATGTGGATGAACTTCCAGTGCAACGGTTCAGTCTGCGAAAGCAGAGCTGATGCTTGGGCCGGGAACGCTTTGGCAATGGTCTTTAAGTGAGACTCCAGCTTGGACCCTAGTTCATCCAGGATTTTGGGCGGCATTCCAGAGGAGTTTTTGTCGCTGTATAGCCACGATCCAGTGAGCGACGGCGGCAGCGGAAGGAATTGAGTCTTCTCCTCCGTTTGCTGAGCGCCATTCCTCTTCGTGTCCCTCTGCTGTGAGATTGGCTGTTTCAGTGCCCCTGGCCAAAAAACTGGCATGGTGCTCGTGAAGTCCGTCAGCCTCGGCCACGTCGCCATCCAGCGCGCATAATGCTCCCGTTTGGCCTCGGACATGCCAAACGCCAGGTATGCGGCCAGCAGCGCATGGACTGGTATCGACTTGCGGGCTTCCTTGCTTGCGAAGCTCAAAGGGACGGAAGAGGTCGTGAACAGCGCGGCGGTCGGGACGTGCATGACGGGATCACCAGGTGTCAGGGGCTTGCTGGTGTATACGCCTAGTCCTTTGCCGGAAACGCGCCTGAGAGAGATGTTCGGCGAGATCGAAATCCCTTGGGCGGCGCAGTAGTCCAGGAGGCCAGCCAGGATGGCGTCCTCGGACGACGTGGACGAAAGACTGTTCATGACGCGCTTAAGGAAACCTGGATTGAAATCCCCAGGATTTCTCGGTGTGGTCCCTTGATATATAGTCAAAGTAGAGCAAGGAGAAGGTACATTGAAATTGTGGTGGGTGGTTGATCGCTTGCGGTAGCTGCCACCTCCATGTTCAATGTTCTCACACCATGTAAATGTTCACCGTGTGCACGAATGCTCAATGTTGCTCATCGTAACGACGGCCGTAGGTCCAGAAAGGTTCACTCAGTTACGAAACATCTGTGTCGGACTTGCGAATAAAACGTCTCTGAGATGAAAGCATAACGGCCTCGATACTTCACAGATCAGTTGGATTCCCTGGTTTACCACCGTTACTATATGTTTTCAATAAGGAGAAGTTGGTCGCCTCTCATCAGGCTGGCTCGACGTTGAAGTTTGGATGCGTTTGAAGTCATGTACTCTACCGTAAACTATCACGGTCGACCATTAAAGCCAAGATATGTCATTCTTTACCCGCAGCATCGTGTTCGTGACTGTTTCCCTTTCGACATCAATCCTGATGCCCATTCCAAGCGAGGGAAATCCTGTGTAAGGCCACCTCTAGGCGAGTCTCTTTCAGGTTGCGTGCACATATTTACCACTACAGGTTTGGATGTTCCAGGCTTGAGCTTGGATCCGCATTCCAGGTCCGTCGACTGTTCGAGTCGGCAACGCTCTGTTTTCGATTTCAGCGAGCCCTCTCCCTCTCCGTCTCCCTCCTCCGACTCTTGAGTCCTACTAGTAGGAGTTTCCCAGGCTAGCTTCACCGAGGCAGATTCTGGACAGTCTGAGAAGCTCGGCTCCTTCATTCGTAGAAGTGCTTGCACTACAAACGCACCATTCGAGGTCCCGGCACTATCTTCTGACCACCGATGGATTGCTTCTTGATCGGTCACGCACCTTGTGGCCCAGAATCAGTGACGAATGCTCAAGATCTTCCTTGGATTGGCGGAGCAAAACTTGACATAACAACCTCCAGCCCCCATGATTTCGAAGACTCGGTCTTTCCCGACACATTCTCTTCTTCTTGCATCTTGGTATGAGTCCGTCATCGGTCGTCAGACCATGGCGTGGGCTTGAATAGCGGGTACGTGTACTAAGAGAAGAGAATAGACCCCTTACAGTCCCAGCCTCGCGATATACAAAATTGATAGCCTCGGGAGGTCAAAGCGTCAACCTCACACGTTCGGCTTCGCAAACCGAACGGCCCTTCCGGACGGCGCACTCCGCTGAAAACATTACAGAGAATATAGCAGACGACAAGGCAAAACACAGTCTCTACACTGGCAATGATTGTCGCATGGATTCAGCAAATATCGGTCTCTATTGCGAACTATCATTCCATGGTGCCGACAAGGCCCGGTCCCCACGGCCCGCTCGGACCATCTCCGACTTATCGAGAACTAACGCTTGGTCCATTTTCGCTAACTCCTCCATTATCGTCGCTATCAGCTGTCGACTTGTACAAAGATCTCTATGAGGCCCGGCAAGCGAAGCATCGACCATGTCTGGCCCTACAAACATCAGCCGCTACCGTCATATGGTCGATCTAAAGTATGAAATACGAGTTCTCGTCATGGAGCGTCTCCTGATGACCCAGTGGCGCAATGGATGGATGATCTGGGTATGGAACGGACAAAGGCAAGACTAGCATTGGACCAGAGGGACGGTACTTCGCTACGTTCCACGAGAGTTCGATGTTAGGGGTAAATGCTGACCCACGAAGTATATAGGACCTCCTTGCCTCGACCACGAGAGAGAAATTTTTTTGGATTTGTTCTGGACCACACCCAAATATACACTTCCCCTTGATGTGACCTGTACGTTTAAGTCAGCTTACTATTGCTGAGCCTCGCTCATGCAGACCATCTTCGTCTTCTCTGCATGAACCCCCGCCGCGCTCATACAAGAATCACCAGCAGAAACCAAAAATCGAGCTTCTGATATCGACACAATGCTGAGCCTTGCTTTCAGGATCCTCGCCATTGCGGCGTGCCTTTATGGCATCGCCGAATGTGCGCACATCAGTAAAGAAGTTCTGAAAGACCACGTCGATAACCCACCCAACTCCTTCGAGCCCCTGTCAAAGGAACCGACGACTCGGAAGAATGCCCTCAAATCGAAGCAAATGCTCGATCCATCGCTGGGGACAAATCTGACTGCAAAGGAGAATCCTGCAGCAATCCTGGTAGAGCTCGCCATGACATTCGTGAAGATCATGGATGGCACCCTCAAACGTCCATTTCTCATGAGTGCATCAGCGCAAAGAATGCGGAAGTATGCTCACTGGACCGCGTCAAGGACGCAAATTCACCCGGCAATCGCTTGACCTGGACCAGCTCGCAGTCTCGCCGTCAAGGCTTCAACAATTTGAAGCGGGGTCTCCACCGTCGATGCCCACAAGGCGCAGATTTGATCATTTGTCTTCGCGCAAAAGCAGATTCCAGAAACATCTTTCACCAAATAAGAGCAATCACAAACTCTGCCAACACATCCCGCCTACACTCGTTATGCTCAATGTTCTGCTCATTCATTTTCCAGCGCCGAGCAGGCAATGCAGGTCTGGTACTACCACACTCGCTCTTCTCCATACAACGCCGAGCTTCTCCTCAATTAGCCGTCATCATACAAGCCGAGCCGGTCTCCTGGATTGGACTTAGGGGACTTCTCAGGCGATATTGCGCTGGCGCCTCCATTGCTGGTCAATGGGTCACTCTTGTGGACAATCAGATACGGCCATCCATGACCAAAGCATACATCAATCACAGGAAACCGAAAACAAAAGGCTCCGAAAACGTTGTCGACGTCTGAGCAAGTTCTGGAACTTGCAAAGCCCGCTCTGATGACGATACAGAGAGGAATGCGTTCTGCCAGTCAGAAATTCCTGGGGGCATCTTGATGCCACTAATATATCCAATCATCGTCCCCAGCTTCACGAAAGCAGAGGCGAAAGGATTGAGGGGTGACCCACAAAAGCAACGACATCTGAGTAGGGCTGGTCTTGAATCATATGTCGCGGCAATCACCACAATGGAGCGTACATCCTCATCTCTTCCGGAGGAAGACAACAACAGCTATGGACCGAGGGCAAGTCCCTTGATCTCATCATCATAGAATCAGCTACAACTTTCTACAACTCAGCAGGAGCGCTGGCCGTCATCTGAGATGATAGATACAACAACACCTACGCCATTGGAGCAGGTCTCCTGGCTTGGATGTCTCGGAAGACAAACGCAGCCACGGCTATACTGTGGTCGCGACCCAGAAGTGACAGGTCATTTTAGGTCCCCTGGAGCTGGATCTCCGAAACCCCTTCTCTGGACCACAGCTGTTGAAACCATGCTCTGGCAGCCATTGGAAACAGATACCTAACAACAACAGCTCTGTTGCGTCCTAAGTTGTGTATCGGCAGGAAGATGATGACCAAAGCCACTCCGCGGGCCGTCTCAAAAGGACACACCGGCGGAGCAGAACGTTGCACCGGAGGCTGGCCCTCGCATGCTGGACTCAGAGATCAACCAGTATTGGACTCAGGCCCTGGCGGTGAAGAGTTCAACCACAACAAGTGCTCAGATGAAGCCGGACTTCTGATGTCGCACAGAATCTTAGGATTGAAAGCCGGCCCTGGTGGTCCGCTTGAGATGAAAATACCGAAACTTCCGCCAGTGATCGTATCGTTGCACCTGAGGCTGGCCGTCACACACTCATTACGAAGTCATGTCCAGGCGGCATAAAACGACCACTCTGAGCGCGCGCCTAGAGCTGACCTCTTAGACGTCCAGAGGTAACCACACCCGACATCGCGCCCTGGTGGCCATCTCGAAATGAAAATGCCAAAGGCATCCATTCGGCTCATTGCACTTAAGACTGGTCTTGAGAGTACGCGACGCCTGCAAGGTCAGCAAATGACGAAATCCAACCCTGGCGCCGAAGGAATCAGTCACAATAAGCACACATCTGAAGGCTGTCTTCCCAATCCGAGCATTGCAGATATCTTGGACAACCACACTCGAGACGCGCCCTGGCGGCCACGTAAACTGATGGGGACAGTATCAAGCAAATCAATCTCAGAGCCGGTCTCTTGCGCCCGGAATAGCGCTGACATAACAACACCTACCCGAACCAAGGCATGGCATGGCTGCCGTGTCAGGAAACCCCGCCAATATTAACAGGTTGTGACTTGGCCTGTCTCTCACAGAGAGCAGATTGGGACTCTTGGACTCGGATGGCAGATTCAACCTACCCGTTCGGACGATCTTTACCCCTCATCAGTGTTCTGTTTCTGGTTTTCTTGTCTTACGTCCTTGGTACTTATCGCTGCATAGCTAGCTGGTCTAGACCCTCGTATATTTATCTATCTACATATAACTGCATCTCTCACTAAACCTCTTTCTTCACTGCTCTTGCCTCATGAACTATACTATCGCCTTCGAGGGACTCTCTCGTCCTATCGACCGAGCATGAAAAACTGTTATGTGCCTAGTACTTGACGCGTGCTAGACCACGTATGTGGGAGGTATAGAAGTAGTCTCCTTGTAAGATATGCTAACCAGCCTCAACGATGAGAAAGAAGTTCAAGGGGGGAGAGAGCATTTGATGTTCATATATATATATATATATTCAGTGTCCAAATCCAGGTCATATTCCATTCCCGTTCCCACTCCCATTCCCACTCCCAATTATATTAATATCTCAGCCGAAGACACTTGGTATGTAGTATGCATGCCTGATGCATATCCAGAGCCCAAAATCAAACATGCCCAAGCAAACCGCTTTTCCATAATTTCTCATGTATCCGTCATGAATCGTCACTTTTGAACCAAAAACAAAATGACTATTCGGCCGTGATTTATGACAAGATATAACCAGGACTTGAACGCACCGACAAAAAGTATTTGAGACGGCGCGGCTCTGTCCCTTCAATCCCATTGCACAATGCAAGACCATAGAACATCGCCTGACCTCGAGTTCGAGACTCCGCCGGCCATCGGTACATGAAACAACCATGGCTGAACAGTCGAGAGTCAAAACAAATCATCGGAACGCTCCGCACGCTCGACGCAGACCAAAATGTTGTAGGGGTAAAAAATGACAGATGAACAATCCAAGCGACAAAGGAACAGCCACAGATCAAACGTCCCAGCCTTGGCATAGATAGCGAAGATGACCATCAGGTAGACATAGAACCCAAACACAACTCCCCACACTCCACACTCTTACCGAACGCGAGAATGCCATCAGTCGCCTCGCGAACTAATACCGAAAACGGGACCCGGGGCAAGAGCCACATCCCCGGAGATGCATTGCGCATTCGTTTCCCCTGTCCTTGCTCCTTATTCTTGATTGGGTTGTCCGTCTCTCACTCTCACTCTCACTCCCAATCATCCCATCTTCCATCGCCGACAATGACAGGAACCCATTCCTGGCCCGGGTACGCCGTGGCGCTCATCGGGATGTCTTCTTCAGATTCGTACCCTTCGGCCTTCGATCCGGGCAGTTCGGCGATGCAGCCTCCCGAAGTGACGTCCCGCGCACTACTGCGTCGATGGTCTGCTGCGTCGGTCGTGACTTGTGGAATATCTTCGAAGACGTGGACGTTTTCTTCGGGAGAGGTTGGTTCGACCTTATCAGTGGCGGCGGCGGCGGCGGCGGCGGAATTGTCACCACTACCAGTACCTACACCACCACTGCCTTCTTCTCTGCTATGACCTGCACCGACGGTGCAATTGTTGGGCCTTGACGCGGACACGGGCACAGTCACAGTCACCTGGTCGTGCAAAAGACCACCATCACCAGCACCAGCACGACCCTTATGATTGTCATCAGACTCGGCACTCATAGGCGTATCACTGTGTCCTCCGCCAGGCTTGACACCTTGATCGGGCCCCTCGAGACGGCCTCGAAGTACTTGCTCGCGTCTGCGCTCAGTATCGTCGATGATCCCATTGTCGAGACGATCATCGTGATCCTGGTCATAATCCAACCCAGGGATATCAATAGCATACGGCCGTTCCTGGTCATCCTCGGCGCGCGGGATGCCGCCGGCGGGACTGATCTTCTTGGAACTGAAAGTCCCGAGTTGCTCAACGAGGCCTGTTGATGACCCGCCGGCAACGGAAGGCTGCAACCCTTGCGCTGGGTGACGACGACTCTGGTGCACGTCAAAATCTTCCGAGGAACTCTTACGACCGAGTCGCGGTGAGCGGGATCGCCTGTGGAGGTCGAATACGTGGGCGCGGCTTTTGTCTTGTTGTTGGGTGGATGCTCGGTGACGGGACGTTGTAGGGCTGGCCATCGTGGTGACACGGGTTGTTGTGGCGGTAGAAGTGGTATTAGACATGGAAACACCCGGGCTGGGACTGGGTCCGTATAGAGTATTGCCAGTGCTGGTAAACGATCCGTTACCTGCTGGATAGATCTGTGCGGGTGCTGTTGCTGGCAGACCGTAAAGACTGCGATGGCTGCCGCTCGTGTCGATGCGGAGATCAGCGGGACGGCGCTGTTCAACGTTACTATACGGAAATGTGTTGGAAGGGACAGGCCTTTGAGGTTGTCGTTGTTGTTGTTGTCCCGGCGGAGGTCCGGGATATTCTTCCGTCGGATAAGGATAGCTGACAGGTCGTGTGCCATGTCGATATGGAGATGCAGCTCTCGCAGATTGATGCTGCTGTTGTCGGCTGGCTCTCTGGGGAGAATCAGGCCGAGTCCGATGCCATTGTTCTGAGATTGGACGGTAACGTTGTCCCGGTCCGTCGTCATACTGATCGTATGCACCGGGAGCAGGATAAGTGTCTGGAGACATGACTGTCCGTGATGGCTGATATTCCGTCTGTCCCCTGGCAGATATCGATGGATCTGGTGTCTGTTGGGTGGGCGCCATTGATGCTCTGGGGCCGCTGCTGTTCTTGGAGAAAAGATTTCCAAATCCCGAGAACCTCTTCTTCTTTGCCTCTGAAGGCTGATCTGGCGTGGGAGTTCTCAAGAGTTCTCTTGACTGCCGTCTGGCAGACCAAGATTGCTTGTCGGCAGGTGGAAGCTGGCCGATTTGACCTGAACCACCGTACTGGCCGCTCTGTTGCGATGAAATACTGTCGTTCCTGCTATTTCGTCTAAATAGACTGTTGCGCTTCTCTTTGTGAGGGCCACCCCGGTTATCAAGATTCTCGCTTCGGTCGATTTTCTGCAATTTCGAACGTGATTTGCTGCTCGATCCGAAAAGGGCCCCGAAGACACCTTTCTTTGCACGCTCGGGTGTAGGAGGCACTGACTGTTTCGTTGGGACTGGCGGAGGACCCATCGATGGCCGTTGAGTTGGAATGATCTGCTCCTGGTGCATGGTTTCTGGCTTCGTCTCATGCGGATGCTGGACATCAACATCGATCGTTTGGCTTGTCTGCGACTGATATGACTGAGGCCTCATTGCCTCTTGTGCAGCATAAGAAGTACTGTCCGGTCGCTGAGGCTGAGTATGTGCTTTGGCATTGTGTCGCTGAAATCTCAAAGTGCTCGGTAGAGGCTCTTCACTGGTCTGGACTTGGGCCTGACTGCGAGCTGTTTTCGGCGCAAAAATCTGCTTGGGAGATCTATACTCCTGAACGTACGGGCCTGGAATGCGATAGTTTTGTGCTTCTGCCAGTTGTGTTTGCGGCGTCCTGTTCGGTTGCCGTTGTTCTCTCGGTCGACTTGGCCGCTCCAACTCAGGTTGAGGCCTTCTGGCGCTTGGTAGGGGATTCTCAGAAGAATACAACCGAGTCCTGTCTACCGTTGGTTGATCAGGTTCTGAATCCCTGAAAGCTGGATGGTTTCTGACACTTGGATCCGCGCCGAACGGTCTTGAATACGATCTAGACTGTTTTCGCCCGGCCGTGGTCGGCGACTCTACCACTTCCTCCGCACTGACCACCGACATTTCCTTGTCGAGAGACTGGCTGCTCAATGTTTGACTGATGGGGCTCAAGGGTTGCGTAGAGACTTTACTTAGGTCCTGACCCGTCGGTTGTGATTGATGTATTTCACCGACCCCTTCAAGCCCAGCAAAGGAGAACGGTCGCTGCTCAAGGTTGGCATCCTGTTCTTGTTCGTTTGGTGGGTTCTGAACGCCTTCGTTGGCACTTTGATGCTCGACCCACACAGCATCCATGTCCTCGTTTTGTGGGCTGGAATAATGTTCTTTTATGCTGGCTGGAGCAGGTTTGTCCGCCAGATGTTGAGGAGGTTGTTTCACATCCGCCGGTACTTCTGAATCTTGCCCCGCTTGAAATGTCGAATGGGATTCTCCTGGCAGCTTCGGTTCGGGGACGAGTGGGGACTCATCTGCTGGCGATATGCTGCCTCTTATAGGTGATCCGGTAGAGCCTGGCTCCGGACCGGGACTGACGCTCGAGACTTCGGAAATGATAGATTGTCGTCGATCAAGAGGCACGTTCAGACTTCTGTCACTGACTTGAGGCTTCAGCGTGGCGCTGCCAGGACGTGCTTTTACCGGATCCGGAGCCGTAAGTGTATCAAATGCGGCGTGGTTATCATCACCAGCGACGCCTTCGTGCTGGAGCAATACAGGTTCTGGCCCGGTGCTGTGCTCTGTTTCTCTTCGCTGAGGCAATTCAATGGGAGAATGTTCAGCTGTTGGCCTGGTGAGTTCGCTGACAGAGCCACTTGGGACCGCGGCATCCTGAGGATGTTCGCTGTCGAGAGCCGAGATCGCCGGGCTCGAAGGAGCCTCGGGCGGTAACACGGCAACAGCAGGACCATCGCTAGGAGTTTCGTCCTGGACCTGTCGCGGTTGATGAACGTCTCTCGCTTCTTGATTGATAGACACGGTGGACGAGGCTGTTCCTCCCAGCTGCATCGAGCCGTGTAAATCACCAGTCGGTGACCTTTGGAACTCTGGTCGTGAGAACCAATCGGACGAGACTGGGGAGATGGTGAGAGGGAGTCGGGGGGCTTCGTCTAGGAATGAGGAATCTCGCGCTTGAGGGGGAGCGAGGGAGTCCTCCGGTTCGGGGCCAGTCGATTTTCGTCGGGTGTTCAGGAATCCCTAGAACAAATGTCAACAATGAAACTTGTGGCAAGGATCTGAAATGAGTGAAAGATGGCTTGTTTTGATTCATTACTACATGACATTGAAGAAGAAAATCTTTCCGGCTGGGCCCCGTATCAAAGGCCAGATATCGGATATCGTCAGAGACCAAAGGAAAAGGCACGGCAAGACAACGCATCCGATCTCGATCGAGGGAGGAATGATGGTCATCACTAATCGTGGACAAAAAGGAAAATGATCAATGAGCTACCTTTTCACCAGAGCTTGCGTGACGCATCTTCTCCTTTCCCTTCGCAAAAAGGCCCTTGGCTGCAACTCCTGCTTTCCCACCAAATCTTCCGGCCGCTGCCATCAGCTTCTTTCCATCCTCTTGCACATGTCTAGCTGGGGCTGATTCGGTGAATATGCGTCGGGGAGACGGTTTGTGGGACAATGCCGGGTCTGCATTGTCTTGAGAGATGCGCCCATTCAAGGCGAACAGCTCCGCATGTTCGGCTGTCTTCAGGGAGAGCAACCATTCTTGCAACTGTCCATCGGGTACGGCAAGAAAATGTCTGGTCTCATTATAGGCGCGAATCCTTTCTTGGGGCGTCTGAAGACTCATGATGGCGCGAAGAGATGCCGGCTCAGGTTGCGACTGTCGCGAGGCCTGGAACGCCGGTCCATCAGTCTCCGTCAGTGTAGACGGCTCCGGTGATAGTGGTGTCCGTGCCTGACTAATGCTCTCAGGCTCGATACTCCTACCCAAGTCCTCATCTGGGCGGTAGGTATTGACTGGCGGGGAGCCCGTTTGACTGGCGATTCTGAGGGTGTCGGGCGAATTCGTGGACTGGGGGCTCATCTGTTTTGGCGTGACAGGGGGAGGAGTTTGATCGGTCTGAGTCTCCCAGGAAAACCTCTGTTGCAGGAATGGCCTGCCGGCTGTTGACGGCCCTTGCTCTCCGTCCAGCTGGGGTGCCGGATTGATGGCAGCATTAGGTGTGCTTCTGTCCGGCATGTGGACGGCTTCTTTTTGAACCTGATCACCATGTTCAGACTGCATTTTCCCGAGATCAATGCTTGTGCCTTGAAAGCCTGGAGGTTCTGTAGCTACAACGCTTCCCTCGGTCTGGAGGACCCGATGTTCGTTTGCCTCCGCCAGGTTTGACGATTTGGGTGTCAAGCTCCTCTCAATCTCCAGCTGTAATCGCTCATTGTCACTCTCCGATGGTGATTGCTCTGGCACCGTAACCTCGGGAATTTGTGGTCGAGTTACTGGAGCATCCCCTCTCGTCATCCGCAGAGGCGCAGGAAAGTAGGAATCAACGTTTGAATAAGTCTCATCCGCTTCCTGCTGATCTGCGTTAGAGGGTGTCTCAGCTGCCGACACATCGGAAGACGGAAGACTTGACGCCAGCTCGCCAGGCACAGCGACAACAGGGGTCTCAGCAACCGTTCCATACTCCTCCTGTTGATCTTGCACTGTTTCTCGATTGTTCAGGGACCCTGCTTCAGGCTTCTCGTTGCTCGACGTGCTCGAGGCATCCCACTCGTTCTCACTCGAACCTTCTGATGCTTCCCGAGGAGTGTGCACGTCCTCCACAGTATGTCGCCCACTAAGTGAATCAGCAAGAGCATTGCCTGCGGAGGCAGCAGCAGCAAAGGCTCTGTGTGTAATGCTGTCTTTCTCCATTGCAGGATTGACAGGTGCTCTTGCAACGGGGATGCTCTCGGTACTGTCCCCATGTGTTGGTGCAAACGGAGGACGAGGCTGTACTAGAGGAGATTCGGACGATTGCTGAACAGGTGTGTTTGTAGACGCCGGAGTCACTGAGGCTGCAGTTGAAGTATATGATTGCCAGCCTCCAGGAAGTGATGGACGGAAACTCTCTAATCGCGACTGTGGTTGTGGTCGATCCTCTACCGGAGGTTGGTTGGTTGTAATATTGTTAGGAGTAGATCTGCCTGACAAAGTTTCGAGTTTGCCAGCCAAGTCCCGAACCGACCCCTTCGCAGGAGTTTCGGAGCGTTGCATAGGGGCAGGCATATCCGATGTGGCCGGACCACTGTCCGGGAGATCTTTCTGAGCATTAAACTGTTCCTTTTGCGCCTCCCATTCATGTTCTACTTCTGCTTTCAAGCTTTCTTCAGAAGGCACATCATGGTCCGATGTTTGGTCATGATCATCAACGCGTTCCGTTGGCTCCGCAGGTAGAGGCTTGTCATCAAGCGTTCTCCCATACGTTGAGCCCTCATGTTTGGTCTCATGCTCCTGTTCTACCACCATGGCGCCGTGTTGAGGCTGCGGACTGGCCGCTACTTCAACACTGAGAGGTCGCTTTGCGGGGCTGTTGTCCACGCTTGGGGGAGTCACGTCTCTTCGATATCCCGTCCGAAGTGGACCAGAAGGAGCGAAGTCGTCATCTTCGAGCTCCTGCGCCTCTCCCGGCCTCACCGTGGCAGTTGACGTTGGACGGGAATCGGATTGCGAAGGCTCTTCAGGAATTGTCGGATGTGCAGACTGGAAATCAGAGACTGTCGACCCTGGTTCCTGACGACGAGGAATGATGGGACTGATGTCTGTCGTCGAAGCGCTGTTCGACCTGTCGATGCTGCTAGAGTTGGAGACTGGGGAAAGTATTGTTGGGTTTTCACTCTCATCAAAAGCCTGCTGGACAATTGATTTGTAACCGAAAGAAGGCTGGTGCTGCAAGCCTCGTACGTCTGACCCAATATTCGGCTCCGGCTTGGCGGATTCTGCGTCTGCAGCTGCACGCGATGCCAGCTGGTCAGACGTCTGGTCCGTCTCGGTCTGTGTCGTTGGGGTAGAAGCGCCAAAATCCATGCCAAAAGCCGACAATCTACCAATTGCTGGCAATGCAAAGGTTGGGCGGACGGGCGACGATCGCTGAGGTTCGGCTTCTGGGATAGTCTCGCTGAGTGAAACGTTGCGAGAAACAGAAGCGGCTGAAACAGGATCAGGACGGTCAGTGTAGATCGAAGAACCCGTCGTTGTCGCACTTCCTCCGTCGGCCGCTGTCTCCGACGATTGAATAGGAGCATCAGAAGCAATGAGAATATTGTCGAATCCGTACTCACTTTTACGCTCTGGAACAGGGTCCAGAGTTGGTTTGAGTCTCCGCGTAAAGTCAGGATCGTCGATGTACTGTGATATAGTGTTGGTGACATCTCTAGGATCGGAAGACGTGGAGCGAGCACCGACTGAGCCTTCTCTCGCATGACCCGTAATAGATTCGATGCTAGGCCGAGACGATTCTTGCGACTTGCGTACTTTCTCCATCTCTTGTGGCATACGTTTGTAGATATCAGAGGGCCGGACAAACACCGGTATTGGTTTGTCTTCGCTGATGTTGAGCGAGTCCACATCCTGAGAAGAAGCAACTGGAGGGCTCCCTTGCGTGAAGTCGGTTTGTGGTGGTAGCTGCTGACTTAGACTTGCCTTACGAGGAGGAAACTGTCTGACCGACGCGCCTGATCCACGGCTGTCAGGTCGCATGGGGCTTTCGTGCCGCTGAAATATGTCCCCGGGAGGTGGGCGATTGCTTGAACCAGATCGTCTTTGCTGAGGGAATGCACCGGGCACAGAGAACGGTGCATCAAAGGACGGCCCATATTGTCTACCTCTTGAGCCTGGTCGGAACATTCCTGGAGGCATTGGCCCTTGTGGTTGCGTGTTCACGCGCAGAGGTGGTTGGTCTCGAAAGTTGGGGGAAGAGGGCTCGAAGTCATGCTCGAGTTCAGGGAAAGGTGCTCGCTGAGTGGTAGGATAGGGCGAATTGAAGCCTCCGGTGGAAGAGGAGAAGGCTCGCCTATCGTCGCCGCGATCGAAGGAAGTCCTTCCACGCAGGCGAGAAGGGGAAGGATTGGTCACGCTTCGGTTCGAAGAGACATTGGGTTGAGGACCCCAATGTTGATGGACGCCGTTGTCTGGAGATACAGCAGCGGGCTCGTCATACTCATCATCGTCTCCCCAGTCGTCACCATCATAACTGATCTGGTTCGCTTCCCTCCATTTCTTTGTTACCGACCTGCCAACATTGGTCTTGTATGCGGCGAATGAATTGGGTGCCGCCATCTGCGGGAGCTTCGAGCTTCGTCTGGGCGGCGCTGGAGGGTTGTCGATCTGGAGTGACGTGTTTGGAAGGAAAACTAAGATATCAATCGCAGCAGCGCGGAATGGACCATTGCGCAGAGTGTTCAATCGCAACAGAGGCGGCGTGTAATGCAGGGCAGGCGGACAGCAGTCGACCACAACGCGCTTTGTGAACACTGAATACCCCGGTGCAGACCCAGCACCAGTCGATCAAACCTGGACAGAGCCTTCGTAGTAGAGTCCGCGACGACGGAATAGAACGATTGATATAAGAAGGGTATACGCAGCGCTGAGGCGAGGGGCGGAGAGGTATGAGCCCAGCCGCGTGTGCACCATGCAAATACTGCGCTGATGCGGGTAAAGCGCAGGCGTTCTCACGTTCTCATAACAAGGAAAATGGGGCCATGAATTGGAGAGATCGAGCCACGGAGGCCGGAGTACGTTAGCGTCTCTCTTGCGTCACCGGAGTTGGATTTGCTACGCCACAGGACTATCTCTACTACCAACATGTGGCACAGCACTATGTCTACTAGTAGCCAATCAGTGGCTATTTGTGGCGTCCGTTTAAAGTCGCATGCGATGGACGCCGTTGCTCTCGGCTGCGTTGCGCCTCGAGGATCTAGATTCGATCCTCCTTCAACAGTATCTCTCTCACTGTACATAGTTTCAGCACATTAGATGTCGGTTGGCACACTTGACTCAACTTACTCGTGTTAGCAGCGCCGTATCCGGATTTGTCATTCCCGCTTGTCGCTTTATCCCAACTTTGCACAAGGATGATCGCTCTGCAACCTCGACCCTGATCCAGACGCCCGCCACAACTACACCTTGAGCGACTGTGAAATCCTGCCGCGGCTCCAACTGGTAGCTCACAATGGTCTCCACTACCATACAAGACCGAACGAACGAATTCCGCACAATCCTCACCCAGGTCCAAAAGCGACAGTCCGCGACCAAAGGAGGCCCTCAGCGGCAGTCTCTCCTGACTGAAGCGCAAAAGCACGAAGCCAATGGCACTCCCAACGGCCCCTCAAGGAGTGCAAGGTCTGAGTTTGCTCGCAATGCAGCCCAGATTAGTCGTGGCATCACGGCCACGATGGGGAAGTTGGAACGGTTGGCGCAACGTATGTAACCGGCGGTCGTGGCGTTGTCGCTACTGAATACATCTAATGCGGACACAGTTGCTAAGAGAAAGGCCATCTTTGACGACCGACCTGTCGAAATATCCGAGCTCACTTACGTTATCAAACAAGATCTGGCGAACCTGAACTCTCAGATCTCGGGATTGCAACATCTCACTCAATCCCAGCATCCCACAGCGTTTCAAGCACGATCAGCAGATCAAGAAGGCCAACATAATAAGAATGTGGTGTTGATGCTACAAAACAAAGTCACCGACGTGGCTGCCAACTTCAAAGATGTGTTGGAAGTTCGGACGAAGAACATCCAGGCCTCCAGGTCCCGGACGGAGAATTTTGTATCCTCTGTGTCTGCACGTTCACAAAGCCATCTCGATGACTCGAGATCCGAATCACCGCTGTATCAGAACACCGCCAGTCGCCAAAGGTCTCCGCAAATATCCACGAATGATCTGCTGACGTTGGAGCCCTCGAATACATCCACGCTGATGAAAAGCGGAGGGCCTTCGGATCACCAATTATTACTCATGGAAGAGGCGCAACCAGCAAACATGTATATTCAAGAGCGCGGCCAGGCCATTGAAGCAATCGAGCGGACGATCAACGAGCTTGGAAGTATTTTCGGTCAGCTTGCAAGTATGGTCTCGGAGCAAGGGGAAATGCTACAACGAATAGACGCCAATACCGAGGATGTGGTAGACAACGTTCAAGGAGCACAACGGGAACTGTTAAAATATTGGAATCGGGTCCAAGGAAACCGGTGGCTCGTGGCGAAAATGTTTGGTGTGCTCATGGTAAGTTTATATAGAACCCCAATGTGCTTTGTATTGCGGTTACTGACTATCTCAGATATTCTTCCTCCTTTGGGTGCTGATATCCGGCTGAAGCACGGTTAGATGGCACCATTTGTTCCAGCAATCGAGCCTTGTCAGCTTGAAGATCAATGTCGAGGGTAGACAACCCCCTACCCATGGACCTTGCATCCGAGGTTCCAGATTATTTAATATGTGATGTTGGTGGTCTCGTCAGGAAGCTTGGTCATTGGCCGTACGTCTGCCGAATGTACAGAATTCCCAGTACCGGAGCATATGGCCACGCTCGATACAATTATGTCGCTGAACGCGTCTGGACTGGCCGCGGCTATCGGCAGTTAGGTGAGTAAGCCATATCATCTCACGCAGCTTGGGGCGCCCGTGTACGATCTTGGGAATGCGCTGTTGGAGGAGCCTAGACCTGTAAGATACTGGGGAGTAAAAAGGCTGGGGATTCTGTGCGTCAGCTGGAAACGATGGCAAGGGCTGGGTAGAAATTACTTGTGGCACTGAAAGCCGTCTAATATATTACATCGAACTATGTTCGTTCGCGCCTCGGTCGCTACATGGCGGAGTTCGAGCAAAGGGTTTTCACTCAGGACATCAGGGGTCGAGTAGTTTGGCGTCAGCTGGGCGGAGCTTGTGTGATTAACCAGACTTGGGCAACCTGCATTTGAGGCCATGGACACAATCACCACACATGTCTGTGAAAGGTAGAGCTGACGGTCAGGCAGCTGGGAACAAGGCCAACACCACATTGTTGACAGTCTCCGTCTGGACCACATGTGCTACCATAGATGGTATGCGTCTCTGTGACAAAGGAAAACGTTGTGCAGCCTCTGCTCGACGATTGATGTCGTCGACATTATTTGTGTATTGACATTACTATTCGTGGGTATCGCTCGTGTTGCACTCAGCTTTTCCAGTTCCCAATTTTGTTATGTACATCGCAGACGAAAGACTCCTCGTTGTCCGTTAGGAAAAAAGGACTGTTGGGATCATCGCTGACTCTGGAGGCGGTCGCGCCGTGGATGAACGAGGGGAGGATAATGTGATCGTGCCCATGCTGACGAGGCCATTTGGGGTGAATCTGAGCGAATGAGGCTGCCGATTCCCATAAAGACACTGCAGATGTTGTGGTTAGACGATGCTGTGAGGCTGAGTCCAACCCCAGATTCAGAAGGCAGCCTACCTGAAGGTTGCGCCAGATCCAACCATGTATTTCCCCAGAGTTCGCATCACCCCTGCCTGGCCCGCACCATATTGGAAGATCGTCACAGTTCCTGGAGAAGGAGGGATCAGTGAGAGGCCTGCGTGAAGCCGATGCTACCAGACTGGGACAAACCATAGATGAACCCCATGATTCCTCCGACAGCTAGCATTTCCATTAGCTTCCATGTCCTCTCATGGTGTTATGAATTCGACTGACTTCCACCCATGAGCATTCCCATCTTCACTGTATTGTATCACGTCAGTCTCATCAGACGATTATGGGTTTGAGCGGCCTAGAACATTACATTTGTCGACCCAGGACGGGCCATGGCGCTGCGCAGAGGCAGGCATTGGAGGCATCTTTGCAGAGATATTTTACTGGTGGTGGCCGGAAGGACGAGGAAAGGTGCAGAAGTGGGTTCAGGCTCGTATGATGTGAATCAATCGAGACGATGGTGGTGACGAAAAGTGCGCGACAGCATCTGCCCAAGCGAGGCACAGGCACATCTCGCAGGTTCGGACAGTCCAAGTTGGGCAGCATCAGTTGATGCGCTGAAGCCTCACGGCAATTCGAGGCGCGCCAAGACCGCCCTGGCGGGTTCTGGAAGGTACGATGTCATAGGCACCAGACGTTCCTTCCCGCGCAACTTCCGGGCATCCAAGCAGTACAAGAAGCACCCGATCTACCACCACCACCTCTTTCTTTCTCTCTTCCAGTCCTCAACAACAAACAAAACGAAATAATACCTAATTCTACCTTTTCACCTTTCACATAAATCATTAAGCTATGGCTGCAACCGGGCCGCAGTTTACTGATCGAAGCGCGAAAGCGCTGACGGACGCTGCAAATCTAGCAGAACAATACGCTCATTCTCAGATCCTACCTGTCCACCTTGCAGTCGCCCTGTTTGATCCCTCCCCAGACGAGTCCAAAGACCAACAGACAACGGCCAATGCCTCACAATCACATGCCTCGGCTCCCCTCTTCCGACAAGTGGTGGATAGAGCCCATGGCGACCCTCAACTCCTCGACAGATCACTCAAGAAGGCTCTGGTGCGGTTACCCAGTCAAGACCCCCCGCCAGAGCATGTCACCATGTCTCCGGCATTGGCCAAGGTGATCAGATCGGCCGCGGAATTGCAAAAGACGCAGAAAGATAGTTTCGTGGCCATCGACCATCTGATTGTCGCCCTGGTACAAGACACCAAGATCCAGGATTGTCTGCGGGAGGCCAATATCCCCAACACCAAACTCATTGAAAACGCCATCCAGCAGATCCGGGGAACGAAACGGGTCGACTCCAAGACCGCCGACACGGAGGAGGAGAATGAAAACCTGAAGAAATTCACCATTGATATGACCCAGCTCGCCCGGGAAGGCAAACTGGATCCAGTCATTGGCCGAGAAGAAGAAATCCGACGAGTGATCCGGATTCTGTCAAGACGGACGAAGAACAACCCCGTCCTGATTGGTGAGCCTGGTGTTGGTAAGACCACCATTATCGAAGGTCTAGCTCAACGAATCATCAATGCCGATGTCCCTGCCAACCTGGCCGCGTGCAGACTACTCTCACTTGATGTGGGATCTCTTGTTGCTGGCAGCAAGTACCGTGGTGAATTCGAAGAGAGGATGAAGGGCGTTCTCAAGGAGATCGAGGAATCACACGAGATGATCGTCTTGTTCGTGGACGAAATCCATCTTCTCATGGGTGCTGGCGCCAGTGGTGAGGGTGGTATGGACGCGGCAAATCTTCTCAAGCCTATGTTGGCCCGGGGTCAACTGCATTGTATCGGTGCTACGACTCTCTCAGAGTATCGGAAGTACATCGAGAAAGATGCCGCCTTCGAACGAAGATTCCAACAGGTTTTGGTCAAAGAGCCTTCGGTACAAGAGACGATTTCCATCCTCCGTGGTCTTAAAGAGCGCTACGAAGTCCATCACGGCGTGACCATTCTCGATGGTGCAATCGTGGCAGCGGCACAACTGGCTGCTCGGTACATCACCTCACGGCGTCTGCCTGATTCGGCTGTTGACTTGATCGATGAAGCGGCGGCAGATGTGCGTGTCATCCGAGAATCTCAACCTGAAGCCCTTGACAACCTCGAACGGAAGCTGCGGCAGTTGGAGATTGAAATCCACGCCCTCCAGAGAGAGACAGACCCGGCTTCAGTCGAACGTCTCGAGCAAGCGCAGCGTGAGGCGGCCAATGTCAAGGAAGAATTGGCGCCTCTGAAGGAGCACTACGAACGTGAGAAGGCTCGGTCGAGGGAAGTCCAGGATTTGAAGATTAAGCTCGACCAACTCAAGAACAAGCGTGATGAGGCCGAGCGGTCCAACGATCTCCAGACAGCTTCCGACTTGACCTACTACGCCATTCCCGATGTGACGGCCAAGATCAAGCAGCTCGAGAACATTCGTGCTCAGGAAGAGGCCGAAACTCGTGCCAGACTCGGTGAGATGGGCGCGGCCACACCCACCGATGCTGTTGGTCCCGACCAGATCCAGGCCATCGTGGCCAAGCAGACCGGTATCCCGATCCAAAGACTCAAGGCTTCGGAGAAGGAGAAGATCCTGCACATGGAACAGCATTTGCAAAAGGTGGTTGTTGGCCAGAAGGAAGCCGTTAAGGCAGTCTCGAATGCCATCAGACTGCAGCGGTCCGGGCTTAGTAACCCCAACCAACCTCCAAGCTTCCTGTTCTGCGGTCCTTCCGGTACGGGTAAGACTCTGTTGACCAAGGCGTTGGCAGAGTTCCTGTTCGACGACCCAAAGGCGATGATTCGGTTCGATATGTCAGAATACCAAGAACGACACTCGCTATCGAGGATGATCGGAGCGCCTCCGGGTTATGTTGGCCACGATGCTGGTGGTCAACTGACGGAAGCACTTCGACGACGACCATTCTCTATCCTGCTGTTCGATGAGGTGGAGAAGGCGGCAAAAGAAGTTCTGACTGTCATGCTTCAACTCATGGATGATGGCAGAATCACCGATGGCCAAGGTCGTGTGGTGGATGCACGGAACTGTATCGTCGTCATGACCAGCAATCTTGGTGCCGAATACTTGTCGCGCCAGAACGCACCGGACGGCAAGATCGATCCAACCACAAAGGAATTGGTGATGAACGCGCTCCGCAACTACTTCTTGCCTGAGTTCCTCAACAGAATCAGCTCGATCGTCATCTTCAACCGGTTAACTAGGAGAGAGATCCGGAAGATTGTCGAGTTGAGATTACACGAAATCCAGAAGCGGTTGGAGGCCAACGACAAGAAGATCACCATCCACGCCAGCGAGGAGGTCAAGGACTACTTGGGTGCTGCAGGTTATTCACCAGCCTACGGTGCTCGTCCTCTGCAAAGATTGATCGAGAAGGAAATTCTCAACCGGCTGGCCATCCTCATCCTCAGAGGTGCGATCAAGGACGGTGAGACTGCCAACGTGGTCTTGGAGGATGGCAAGGTCGCAGTCCTACCGAACCACACCGACAGCGAGATGGAAGATGAAGAAATGTGGGATGAAGATGATGCCATACAAGAGCTTGAAGATTCTCGAGAGGGCACTATGGATCTCTACGAGTAGACGACTACCAACAAGCATAGGCGATGAATGAATTGAATGCGAGTGATGATTTTGATTCCGACAGCAAGGATGGCGTTGCATGGCCTGGACGTACAATTCCCAGGTAAAGGGCAAACATGCTTTCAAATAGTTGAAAGGCCGGTCTTGTACCGGGCCAGGAATGATAGATTAATTCATGTCAAAACAACTTTGTGTGTTTCCAAATCATTTGTGCATAACTCTCCATTAGATTTAGTAGTACTTGTGGTCATTCCGTTATTCATCCACATACCTTGATACTTGAGCAACGATATGATGAATTGTCACTTGTAAGAGTAGCCTGATACTCTCCTCATCCTCCTCATCCAATGGACGTTGTTGGTTTGTGAAGATCCAGAGTCTCCCGTGCCCCATGCGATCTTCCGGCTCCGGGCCCCATCCGGAGAATAAATGAATACGAAGCAGAGTTAGGCTGAGCATCTTATCTACTCGTACCTGAAGCAAGGGCAATACATTGATCCGGGTCTTCCCTGACTTTTCCTAGGGTGCCTCTGCCTTGAACATATCAGTAAGCTTTACTCTCGAGGTCGGTGGGGAGTGGGTGTCCAGCTGGGTGGGAGATGCTCGAGTCAAACCCGTTCAAATACGAGACACAGTTTAGATGTTTCTGTATACGCGGTTGGAGGAATGTTACAGAGTTTATACGAAACGCAGTTAGTCTGAACGGAGTATAGAGGGATGCGGAGACAATGATTGGCTGATGTTCGACGACTCAAAGGAAGGTAGCCAATAAGGGTATAATGTTCTGGTCCTGAACGTGTACTTTGTAGCTCCGACAGACAAGGCGTTCAAGGGCACGGCGAATGTGATGACGCAACAAAGAGGATGAAAGTATATAAAGCATGTCTGATCGGTTGGTGCGAGTAGGTGAGAGTGTTGGAAAGATACAGGTTGCAACCACGGTCACAGTCACAGTCCAGCACTCGCCTTTTCTTTTGTCTCGAACAGCAGTCAAGAAATACCTTGTGTTATTTCGACTCCTACTCGTCCTACAATGCGGGTCTTCGTCACCGGCGCCTCAGGCTACATCGGCCAACCACTAGTCGACGACCTCATCAAGCATGGCCATCAAGTGGTCGGACTAGCCCGCAACGACGCATCCGCCGAACGCATCAGCAAAGCAGGAGCCGAACCGCACCGCGGCTCACTAACCGACCTCGACTCCCTCCAGAGCGGCGCGGCGGCCTGTGACGGGGTCATCCACTTAGCCTTCATCCACGACTTCAGCGACTACGCGGGCGCCGCGACCACCGACCAAGCGGCCATCGAAGCCATGGGCAACGCGCTGGCAGGGACAGGCAAACCGCTGGTGATTGCGTCGGGGACGGCCTTCTGTGCCGCCGGCGAGCTGGCGACCGAGGACGCCGAGCCGGACCGCAATATGCCCATGGCCATCCGACTCAAATCGGCGGACCTGGTGTATGCATTTTCGCGCGACAAGAACGTCCGCGGCACCGTCGTCCGGCTGCCTCCCACCGTGCATGGCAGCGGCGACGCCGGCTTGATCCCACGCTATATCGACGCGGCGCGTGCCGCGGGCGTCGCAGTGTACATTGACGACGGACACGCGCGGTGGCCGGCCGCCCATCGCGTAGACGCTGCCAGGCTGTTCCGCCTCGCGCTCGAGAAGGGGGCTGCGGGCGCCACGTACCATGCCGTCGCGGAGCAAGGTGTATCCTGGAAGGAAATCGCCGGTCTGGTCGGTAAGAAGTTGGGCGTGCCCGTGCAGGGCAAGACGCTGGAGGAAGCTGGTCCGGTGCTGGGGTTCCTGGCGAACGTCGTGGGCCGTGATAATCCGGCCTCGAGCGACAAGACTCAGAAGGAGCTCGGCTGGCATCCTACTGGACCGGGCTTGCTTGAGGACATGGAGGCCCATTACTTCTCTTGATGTGAGGAGGTCTGGTGTCAAGGAAGCTGAAGATGAAGCTCAAGATGAAGCTCAAGTTGGACGTGTGGTGTGGTGTAGTATGACAGGGAATCTGATCATGGTTAATCTGGACTGACCTCGTTCAAACAAGTAGAACCTCTTCATTCGAAGATGTCCCCTGACATGCAACAGCTCGAGAGGAATCTGTGACACATGTCCAGCTCCGAGTCAATTAGTCAACCCATTTGAGCAAAGTAGCTGGAGATAACAAAGGGACAAGCTTGCATATAGTCAACATCACTTAAGAGCCTGTCTTGGTCTCACATCGACTGCATGTCCAGCATCCATTGTGTATATTCGTCGGTGTCAGGCAGCAGATGTTGCGCATATGACTGACAGTTCAAGTAGGACACAATGTTGATGTTGGCATCTTGTCACCGTCACTGGTATGGGAGAAATATATCTAAAATCACGTGACTGCCCCTTTTCTTCCATGTGATCACGTAATCAGCCTTGGCAACATTCTCCGCCAAACTTGAAAGGGGCTACTGTCCGGTGGGAAACACCGATCTTCTGTCCTTGATGTCTGATGTCTAAATCTGATCTCAATCTGGGTCAAAGGAAAGGCCCTAAAGAGCGAGGTATCCCATGGAGCACTAAGTCGAGATTTATGCTGGCTTCATACAGAAGTTACATAAGGTAGGTACCTAGTGTTCAAGCTTCAGCCTTGTCCACACAAGCTTGAAGCAGCACGTAGCCTGGTGTACACCGTTACGTACTCAAAATGATCAGAACATTGGGTAATACTAGATATATGGGTGACAGAGCATTAATCTACTTCCCAATCCTTACAACGCCAGACAGGAAGGGGGTCTCTACCCACACGTTTCCCTCTCATGCCCTGGCCCTAGCCCTGGCTCTCACGACTCGATTGTGAAACGGTGACACGACATGAAGCAAGATATGTGTCGTACAAAGGTACAGCATGGAATATGATATATCGCCAAGGTTACCTACGAAGTACCATCAGCTATCTATGTGTGTAGGACAGGAGATGTGTAGTGTAGCTCGGTGCAATGCGATGCAATGCAATGGAGATCATATTTCGTCCAGAGATGACGTGTCACACAGCAGTGTCTGACGCACGACATGGCCTTATGGGAGGGTAGCACAGTAGGACGATCAAGCCCTGTCAGCCAGATCGATACTGCATGTATGACGGGGTGAACGACCTGTTGAAGGGACCATGATATGACCTCTGACTGGAAGATGGGACGCTCGAGAGTCCGAACAACAACTGTACCACTGAACGAACAAGCACAGGATTGAATGGAAGAAGGGGAAGAGAGGAAGAAGGGAGAACACATAAATGTTACGAAGAGATGTGGTGTAATGTGTAGTTTGTATGTAGCTTGTAGTTTATACTTGCTCTATATCTACCCTCAAGAGGGAGACCCGGGACCACTTTCTGCTTTTGCCATTCCACTTTGTCGTGGGTAATATGAGGCTCCTTATGTATGTGGTATATGTAGGTTGAATATGCCGTAAGCCATACATGCAGATGCAGGACGATATAACGTCCAAGTCCACTCTGGACATCCCAGTTCGTCGCATGACACACAGAAAAGAATGAAGAAAAATTGACGTTTGATCCCGATCCCATGACAATATGCATACCACGATGGGAGAAAAATAATCATATATGTAAGAAAAAGCCCTACGTGCCTTATACTTTGCACGTACACCTGCATGACATGGCTTGAATGTTCAAAGATTCAAGTTTCATGACCGTATTCATGGACCCAGAATCCAATATCGGTGTCCATGACCATTTTCATGGCCTTCTGGATGTCCTATGTCCATATTTTTTTTGGCCACACCTAACATCCCCACACTCTGCGCTCAGATATTCAGAGTAGTCTCATTGATAGACTTAGTGTGATATGGCAAGACCAGGTTTGTCGTGTCAAGGTGGACGGGTATCATTAAAAAAGGACTACTGAGTAGTGAAGAAAGCCACAGCCAGGGCGAGAAGAAGGCCGAAGGGGGCGACGACTGACGTCTGAGTAGCGGCGCCCGTGTATGTAGCTGGGGCCGTGGTGGATGATGTGGTGGTAGAGTTGGTGACGGAGCCGCTGTAGCCGCTGGATCCCGAACCAGACCCAGAGCTGGAGCTGGAGGTTGAGGTTGAGGTTGAAGTGGAGCTGGATCCAGAGCTGGTAGAGGTGGAGGAAGAGTTGCCAGACGCAGAGCCTGAAGCAGAGCTCGAGCTCGAGCCGGTGCCAGGGCAGACCTTGCCGATATCCTTGGGGAGCGTGGGGAAGTTGTCGACAGCATCGAGAATGGCGACAGCCATACCGCCGCTGAAATGCGACTGCACGTGGCAATGGAGCAGCCAAGCACCGGGGGTGTTGACGTAGTATCGGAAGACCATCCAGGAGCCGCCGCCCTCGGCCGGGACCGAAGTGTATCCGTCGACGTAGGGCGGGTTGACCAGGTTGAAGGGCAGGCCGGCGGCCTGGGCCTCGGCGACCGAGGTGTAGTTGAAGTCGCCGACGCCGGCGCCGATGACGAAGAACTTGTTGGCGTGCTTGTGGATCGGATGCGGCTCGGCAATGGGGCCGGCGACCTTGATGATCAGATCGACCCAGGTGTTGAAGCTGGTCTTCAGGATTAAGTCGCTGTCGGGGATGGATGCCGGCGACTGGAACAGCAGAGGCGGCTGCTCGTCGTCGCGCGACTGGTTGTACGACTCCACGCCGGACAGCGTCCAGGCCCACGAGTCGGTCGGCTGCGCAGGAGACTTCATGATGTCCAAGACATAGCTGGTGGCCGCGGTGCTGCCGACCTGCTGGGGCGGGTATGGAGCGGCGGCGCCGGCATCGAAGGGGACGATCTCGGTCGTGTTCTGGCCCCCGTAGTTCATGACAGACACGCCGGCGACTGCGCCGTTGCCGCCCTTGTACGACAGAGTGCCGAAGCCGGAGATGACCTGGTTGATGCCGTCGTTGGCCACGCGGATCGTGTAGTCGCCGGGCGTCTGGTCGAGCTTGACGAAAAACGACATCCGGTCGCCGTTGGCCAACACGAACTGGTCGACGACTTGAGGCACGATGTAGCCGCCGTTGAATTCGTACACGTACAGCTTGTGGCTGTCGATGGTGACCTTGAGCAGCGCGGTTCCACTGGGGTTGATGAACGACATGGCCGCCCAGCCGTTGGCAGCATCGACTTCGTACGTGTAGTTGGCTCCCGTCACCGGCGTGCATGTGTCGTACGCGCCGCTCGGCAGGTTGGACAAGACGCGGGTGTATTGCACGCCTTGGATCAGAGGGTTGCTGGGAGGGATGCAGCCCTTGGGCGTCAGGGTCGTGCCGTTCAGAATTGGTGTCACTTGAGGAGCGGCGTTGGCCATGAGCACATCGACGGGCTCACAGTAGACGCTGCCCTTGCCGTTGAGAATGATCGCGTCGGTGCAGGCGAAGTCGATGTTGGCGGCTTGCTCAATGGCCAAGAACTCGGCCGCGGTGAATTGATTCCAGTCAGAGGCAAACACGGCCTCGACGTCCAACGCCGCGGCGGTCAGCTGGGCCACGTCGTCGCTGATCTGGCTGAATGGCAGGTCGGCATCGTCGGCCGGTTGGATCAGGATCGCTCCGTACAACCCGTCCATCATCTGACCTTTGTAGTGAGCATGGTAGAAGTACGTCCCCGCATCTTCCGCCGTCCATTGGTACATGAAGCTTGTTCCGGGTTGAATCGAGTACTGGCTGACACCGGGCACACCGTCGGCCCAGGGGGTTCCGTACTGGCGAATGCCGTGGAAGTGGACGCCCGTTACCGTGTCGAGCTGGTTGATGACGGTGAAGTCAACGCAGTCGCCGACCTTGAGCTCCAGAGGAGGACCTGGTAGCGAGCCGTTGGTCAAGATGACATCGCGCTCGAGGCCAACGCTGGGGTCGGGTTGGCCCCAGCTCACCTCGATTGTGAAGGGAATGCATTTGGAGGACGTCGAGCAGATCGTACTCGAGTTGCTGTATGCGGCGACGGATTGTATCGAGGATGAAACGAGTGTGAGGGCGGCGAAAGCCTTGAGGAGGCCGGAGACCGCCATGGTATGTCGCGTGGTCGATTAGTTTATTCTTTCCCTCTTGTTGAACCCCCGGTATGTAGTAGGTACCCTGTATGTACGGAGTGAAGGGTTCCAACAAAGAAACGAGAGACACGACAATCAGTGACCTACCACTGAGTCTGGATGAGGAAAAATGAAAAAAAGACGATGGGCGGATAGGATCAATCGAGAAGGAGAAGCAGTCGAATGAACCCGTACCCGGCCACCCAAACCTTTATGTCACATAGCGCGATCTTGTCGGGCTTCAGTCGACACTGGACAGATGAAAGCAGCTGTCACCAATTAGTTGGTGCTCGGGAGGGTGGAGTTCCAGATTGCAAAGGACCACCAGCCATCCTGGGACAACGATGCTGGAGGTTTTGCTCTTCCTTCGTTTGGGGCCGCTTGAGCCTCCTTTCTCTTGCCTGAGGAGACGCCTTTACTGGTTTCAAGTAGTCGAAATCCTGGCCCGGTCCACAGTTTGGGTCAGGTCAGCCCAGTCGATCACCGCACCGCCCACCAGGATGCATCGTATTTGACAGGTCTGAGGCCTGGTAGGGTGCTGGTCACTGGTCACTGGTCACATCGGGTCCCCGAGGCTAGTGTGAGACCTCAGCCTTTCCAGACTGAACTTAGGGCTCCGTTTGGGGGATTAACGGCTGGGAGAGCACACGCGAAGCACTCTGTAGTGCCGGGAATCTGGCGATCAAATTTGTGACCTGTTGGAATTCTAGACATGTTCGACATGCGTCAGAACCTTGGCTGATGTACTCTGTATGGCTGGAGCCATGGCCATCCACCCAGACGGGTGGTGTTTTTTGTCTTTCAAGTCGTCCTGGACGCTTCCTTGTTCTTTCTCCGAGAAATTCCAGGTTCAGGAGATCATCACCTCTAGCCGCCTGCGAGCAAGCTTGCAGCATGCACACCCGGTGTCGGGCTTATGCGCGAGTTGCAGTAGAGGCGACGGCGAAAGCAACGAGAGAGGCGCAATCAATCAGAAGTGACGGTCTGTCTGTAGGCGGGCGGCTGACCCCAGCTCCCGGCTGACCAGCGTGTGATGTGGTTCGTGCCCTGACCTATCTGCCAGGTAAGCGAAGGTGGAAACGGTGGAAACGCTTAGGGAGGCTTGACACCCCATTCAAGATTCGACCAAGCTAAAGCCACAAAATTGGCATGCAGTGCAGTGGCCCGAGGGATTTCGGATGGAGTTCTAGTTCAAGCTTGTTGGTAGCTGATGCTTCGGCAGTCCCAGAAGTCTCCATCCCAGCCATCCTCCCACCCACTGCCCAGGAGTGGTGTAACTCTGTCCCCGACCATGGCCGATCCGGGAATTGATGTAAACAAACATTTGTGCGGGATTCTCGTGGTGCTCAGATCACCCAGCTGTCCATGTCCTCGTTTGTTGTGGGGATGATTTCCACACCGAAGGAGATGAAGAGTGAAGTGTGTCTGATCTGGTGCTTGATGCTAGTCTCTCGTTTACTTGATGCACAGCAAGGCATGATGACGAAAGGTGTGGACTGACTCCCAACTGGGAGTTGTTAGTTGTTGAGGCTGGAGCTTTTCCTCCCACATGATGCTTATTATGGGATGGAGCATTGGTTGGCCTAAAAATAATACGAAGAGCTGAGACTAAGCGAGCAGGGGGGCCGGGTAGTGTGGGAGTGGACAGGCAGGGGACGAAGCAGGGAATTCGGCGAGAATAATGTTCAGGAGAAGCCTTCGCCAGTGGAAAGATAGACCCGAACAAATCCCACCCATCCAACCTATCCAACCTATGGATGTCCCGCGCCGTGTACTTTACATCCAGGTTCTCTCTAGAAGTGAGACAGGTTAACCAGTCTCAATCCCTCTTGATTTTGCCTTTTTCTGATCCCCAACCTCAACCTCAACCTTAACCTTAACCTCAAACCTGACCCTCGACTCGATCCCTACTTCTCATAAACCGTGCATCCTCAGTCATGAAAAAATCCTAGAAAAATGGATCAAACAGTGATAGCAAATCCTCCTCCTCCTTCAAGTTGGGGCTGAAGCCCCTGATTGCCCCACCGCCGTCTGCCCATTCCTCATTGGGAAAACATGATCACGTGTGGTGACCGGGGTGTCCAGATGCGGTAATCTCCATCCCGGATGGTCACAATATCCAGTTAGTATCTATCTCGGTGGCGCCCGTAAATAACAATAATAAACAACAGAATACGGGACGGATATGCGGCAGACTTTAGAACCACCCAATATACACGGCTGGGAAGTTGGGCACTGCTCCTACACGGCACATCGAGAGGGCAACGGAATAGCGTCGCCCACAACCCGTGGTTCGGTCGTTCAACCATCAATCCATCGCACGTGGTAGATGGTCTTTCATCCACAGTTTGATAACGTACGTGCGTACGATATACAACTGGTGGCAGCAGGCTCATCTGACATCCCCATATTTTGGTGGTAGGTAACTGAGACGTCTACAACCTATATTCGACTACACGTACATTGGTGTAGATACTAGGTATGCACATCCAAGTTACATGCATCCCCAACCACTTATCACAACCGCCGCCGCCGTTGCCATTGGCATGCTTTAGCATGGTTGATATGCAACACGTAGCTGGCAGCCGTCAACCTGCAGGCTTGTGTATCTGTACACCTCACAACCGTTTCCACGTTACCTCCCTCTGGTGCAGATTTGATCGGGTGATTGTTGCTTGTCAAAGCCAATACAAGCTGAAGGCAGCTTTTGTTTCGTGGTGCGGACTCTGGCACTCAAAGAAGCTACGTGTAGCCTGGATACTAGCCATGTCTTCCCCTTCAGCCTGTTCAGGCCCAGCCCGGCCGGTGGCTGATATGATAGTCTGGTGGTTGGCAGTTGATGGTCAATTGTCACTCCTCCGAATCTTGATGCCGGTCATTATTGGTGATGTGATATGAAGCTAATCAGAGTCTTCCAACGTATCATTCGTACAGTGTGATATTTTCCCGGGCTGGACCCGTGGCGCAGCCTCCCTGCCACCGCCCATCATCCTTCTAGCCACTCGCTTCCATGATGGTCCTCAGCCGTACCCGTCATATCCGCGGGCTAAGGCGCCGGTGGCCTTGCAATTTCCTGGGATTTCCCAATTCCCAACCTTCTCCTGGTTCTCTTGATGTTGATCCTGGTACGTATGTCATGAGCACACCACTCAACTTCAAACATCCGGTACGTGGACGCTGTGACATCTTGCCCCGGGTTTGCAACATGGCATCCCTGTTCCGGGGTTGACCCCTTGTCTACTCCCCGGATTGGTGTTTGAGCACTCCCGACGACAATTCGGGAGCTCAATCTGAACCAGCAGGTAGGCAGGGTCCGGTCATGCTTCAGCAAGCACTCCATCGAGACTGCAATCTCAGCCACCACTGCCTGGGGCATGTAAAGTCCACTTTTGGGGATGACTTTGATGAGAACTGCACAACGGCGGTAAGATGCGTGGTTCAAATGTTCAGCGCGTCATCTCCCCAAAGACGTGAGGTATCTGCATAGTATATCCACACTGAGTGAGAGAAGTGCGCCTGGCCTCAGTCCTTCCAAATAGCAGTTGCTCTGAGTCAGACAAAGACAAGGCTGTGCCCAGGGAGTTGGAAGAGCGGGTTTGGCTGATCCTCATACGCGAATGGCCGTCCCATCCGGAGTCAGAACGAACGCGGAAGCTCTAGACACCCGATAGAGGCAGTGACATGGCATGAGCTCGAGGGGTTGTCCTTGTACTACATTGGTGCTGCATGCTTGGTTGGTCTATACTCTCAGTTTCATGTTATACAATCGATTCCAGTCCAATTAGACAGCCTTGAACGCCGCCACGTAGACGCCAGCCGCCAATAGGCTTTTGGGCATCGAATCTCCCAGCTCACTAGCCAGTTGAAGAAGCCTTCCAGTCCCTTATTCTACTTAGAGCCTCCGGTTGAGGGGAAGCCCGCCAGCGAGAAGTCGGCTTCCTGTGTGGTTGGTTTTGCCACTAGGACACATGGCCACCCTTTTCATCATTGGCATACCTTTCCCTTCTCGCAATGGCCATCCTCTTCTCCAGCAATATGCCCATCCCTGCTATACCAGAGCTAGCCGCCTCCAGAACCAAGACGGCAATCATCAAGCCCGTGCCCACTTGACTCTCCATACAAAGCCTCTTGAAGCCTGCGGGTATGGGCACACCATTGGTGGTAAAGACCGGGATCTGAAGAGAATGGATGTCGGAATTAAACCCAGCTGCGCCGTCGGAGAACTTGCAGGTCCAAGACTGCAGTGACTCCCGCCGATGGTGGGCGGTCAGGTTGACAAGTGCCTGATTGAAAGGGATGGCGAAAACGCAGAGAGCCAAGCCGAGGATGGACGATCCCAGGAATATCAGGCTGTACAATAGCGTCCGGGAATGTGGCTGAAGGATCAGTTAGGGTAGGAAGAGATCGAGGTGTACAAGGACTTACGCTGGGGATGACCCAGAACACCACATATGCTAGGCTGACAGCAGCAATTATGCAAGCACAAGCCAACACAGCCAAGGTAGGCCTCAAGTCAACATTTTGCGGCCACAAAGATAGGTGCCATTTGCTGCCCAAGTGCGTTGAGTTATACTTGTGCAGCACATGCCCTACAGAACCAGCAGCGGCCACGGCTGAGGCAATTGTCAGGAGGGACAGAGCGAGTCGAACCCATCCCAGCAAGCGTGCTTGCTTCAAGTATGCAGACTCTTGTGCAGATGTGGCCGAATGGCGGGAGTGCAGAGATGAGGTCAAGAGAGGTGATGGGTTTATCATCAAAGCTGAAGCGTCGTAAGAGGGCTGTTTTCGTGTGCTGGAACGAGACCGGGCACTGCCATTGGAGTTTCCCGGGGAAGAAGGACGTGTAGGAGTATCGTCCATGGTAGAATAGCCGCAAAGTTCAGAGGAGAGAACACAGTGAAGGGGTGCGAAACCAGCGCAGAAGAACGAGACAGACAATGAAACAAGAAAAGGGCGCAAGGCTGGATTGCAGATAGAGGACGAGGTTCTTTTATGAGAAGAAGATGTACCTGGCGCCTCTGAGAGTGAGATTCACAGGCTATAGCGCACGAACGGGTTCGGAAAGCCATCATGGTTCTTGAAGCGCCTGGCCTAGTCAAGGACCAGTATAATGAGAAGGAATCTCATGCATGAGCACCACAGCCCAGGGCAGGCAAAGGCAGTGGTGAGGGTGATAAGATGAGCTGGCGGTTACCGGGCTCGCTTCAGAGCCCAGCAGACCCATGAGTGGCCGAGAGGGCAGCATGAGGATGACAACGGCTGAAGAGCTGGAAGAGGATGAAGACGAGGAATTGCATGATTGAAGTTCGACTCGATGTCCAGCGGCTACTGATACAGAGTCTTGGCAGATGAACGACCTGTGATTGGATCGTTTGCTAGGCGCAGGTGCGGACCGTCTATTTATGGTAGGAAGCCCGAATAAGGACGACGATAGAAGAGATGACAGAGAGGAGAGCGATGGGAACGGACGTGGGATGCCCAACAGTCAGTTCGCTGCTGGCAACTATCGACAGGACAGCATCCACTGTTCCCTCCATTCCCTCCCTCACTTCCACTTCCAACACGGCGAAACCAATTGCTCAGAACCCTGTCTCTCATCGATACACTGTAGCATGCGTCCTCTCTAGGCCCTGACCTACCCGGAGCCATTCCTTGCTCCATTGGACCTCCTCTGTCAGCGTTCTGATCGACGGGCCCTCCAGCTCGCACGTCGTATTGGTCCGGTCCGGTCTGCTCTAAGGCAGCCACCATCGGCTGCGGAAAAGCCATATCTGGAGATCTGCCAGTAAAACATGCATTGCAGATCCAAGTTGGAATGGCCTGGTTGACCTTTCGAGCCATGGCAGCAGAAGCTAACTCGATCCTTTCTGGTCTCCTGGGCAAGTTGCAACCTCGGTCCAACCGGCACCTTGCGCTCATCTCAGCGATGCTCGCTTCTGCGACTAGCCCACGCCAGCCATGCTGGATTCGGCTACATCCGCAAATATTGAAGCTGCCAGCTTCACGAGCATCTGGCCATCGCTGCTCGCGAGCTACGCTGCGTCCTCGACTGGCGTCGGTCGTTCCCGTACACATGACACTTCTCTCATGCATAACATATTGCAATGTTGGTGAATCAAGTTCTCAACCTAATCCAAAACAAGTACATGCTTCTCCTGTTTGGGATAGTCGGGTGGCTCCGAATGCGCCGTCAGTGCTTGTGCACGTCCGACAATCCAACACCAGAGGATATCTCGACTAGGTGTTGTCCCAGCATTCTCATGCTGCGTTATAGCTCTAGGTGTGTTGTTTCTCCTGGAAGATAAATGGCGTTAATATGCCCCACCGTCTTCATGCCGGGTCGAACAGAGAAGCAACTTTCTCCATAGCTTGGACCTCCTCAGGATCCACTCGCTTGCCGGGAACCACTGTAGCGTTTTCGGCAACATTCTCGCCGTTGCGCTCCAGCAGTGATCGTGTTCTTTGCTCGATATAGCCACGACGCTCTTCGCGAACCTCGTCCTTAGCGGTGTCCACTGCAAGTCCGGCGTTAGAGTCCTGTAATGTCCTCAACTTTGGTCGAAGGTCTGCTAGCAAGGCCCGGAGCGCAGGTAGTTGAGAGACCGCAAAATTGGTGTTGGTGGTCAGTGTCTGCGCGTCAGAATTCGGTGTATTCCGCAGAAATGAAAGGTCTTCGTTGGTACTGTGTCCTTTCCCCTGGCCTACAATCGCTCGAAGCTGTTGGAGTAATGCCTCGTTGTGGGCATGCTCTTCCAATAACGACCTGGACACAGCTCGTGATGCGGCCAATTTCCGACGAAGGAGCTGGATGCTTTCAGCCGTAGGCGCATTTTCAGAGGGTGGCCATGAAATGTTCTGCTCCGTCAGCTCAATTGCCCGTTCCCCAGAGTGAAAACATGCCTACCTGGTAGTGACTCAGGCGCACCCAATTAACCAAATCCGCTGGGACGGAGAGGACATTCCGCAGGACGTATATCTCCAATTTGTCAAAGTTCTTGTCCACGGTAGAGTTCAACAATGTCTCGAGTTTGTGGAGGCCCTCTTCTATCTCTTGTTTCGCGGCTGGATATTCCGGCGCATCTTGCTCGTTGTCTCTGACTGCCTCGAAACCAAGTTTCTCTGGTGGTGTAGACAGCAGCCCGGTTTCCAAACTTCCGACGCCTTGGTACACAAAATTGTTTACCGAATTGATGATGTCGTCGATCAGCGACTGGAAGGCGAGATGTCAGTATCGTAATACCTAGTATTGCACGGGTCCATGTCTCACCAAAGGAGTGTATTGCAAGTGTTCCGTCAGCAGCGAGGTCGCCGCTTGTGAGTTGTCTACCATAGTTGCAACAGTGTCGTTGACGACTCGAAGACTTCAAAATGAACACATGATCACAATCAGATGAAGAGCGACGTGCCGTGACACGCTGCAGTGCGCTGTGCTGTGCTGTGACGGATTGAGGGTAATAATGTGCATGCCGAGCAATAGATTGTTATGGTTCCCAATCGGGAATAGCTCCCACGGCTTGTCTTTTGAACAAGGGAGGCAGGTAATACCTCATCGGGCGTCACATTTTCGCCGGCAAGCTTGCTGTCATCTCTCATCAGTTGTCAAAAGACATTCTGATTACCACCGCTGCACCCCATTCCCTGATCGTCAATCAAGATGGGAGGGCCAGGCTCTGGTGGCTACAAGAACAAGCCGGGAGATACAGAAACTCATTCGGCATGGGAGATTATTCCTCAGGATCCCGAGGGGACTCAGGTATCCCCCAATGACTCCACGGCGCGCCATCCGTAGACCTAACTAACTTGCTCTCCAGAAACTCGCCCAGGTCCGATGCAAGTTCTGTGGCAGAGAGATGGCTCAGCACACCTCGCGCCAGCGCGTCCACCTACTCGGCTGCCAAAACTACCTTGACGCGATGAAAGAGCAAGGGATAGAAACCAGCATCACGCGTCAAGCCGCCGACCCCGCCGCGTTCTTCCGAAGCGGCGACTGGTCGCAGAAGTCGGTAGAGGCAAAGGCGCCCAAGGTCTTGAAGATGCAGGAACACTCGACTGCTGTGCGCATCCAGGCTCTCGCGCTGGCCGAGGCGAACATTTCCTCGGAGAGAATACAAGAGGTCACCGGTATGGATCCGAAGACACTGGCCGGGTTGCGGAAGCTGGCGCGTGAACGCGGCTACGACCCAAACGTCTCCATGCAACTCAAGGAAGAGTATGTGTTAGATCCGCCGAACGCAAATCGTCCCCGAGGCCGTCCTAAGAAGAGAAAGCCCGAAGACGAACTTGATCCGGCGCTGACCAGTCTTCCCGACCCTGGCCCCCGAACTGCTTCTGAGTTCACTCCGCGCCGGGATAATCTGCCGCCAGGACATTGGGACTTCATGGCTGCTACGGCCAGTGGCTACACCATGACCTAACCGACTACTGTACAGGGGAACGATGAGATGTAAGAGATGATGTAAGGGCTTTACTGTTCGGCGATTCGGCCTTGTCACTGTGATTGAGCTTCGGTGTCAAGGTGTTCAGAGAGTTTCTGTCGCGGATCGAGAGGAGTTAGGAGTTGCTGTTATGTAATGGCTTATGGTGCGTGCTATGGGATGGATCAGAAAGAGAGCTGGTTCGCAGCTATGAGTTACGGTTAATGGTGGAGCGTAGCTAGCAATGCCTGGCAAAGCAACAAGAACAGCCTTGCCCAGATGTATTAGCGACCCTGAGGTAGCAGACTGCAACACTCTAACAGTTAGCTAATCAAGGTATTTCCAAATAAGGAACCATACCTAGCTAGGGCTGTGGCAGCACAACCCGAGATGCTACTCAGTGGCAAGCATCGCTATGGTCGGCACCTCCCTCTTCCGACGGCGAGCTCTTCTTCATGACTCTACCAGAGTGGCTGAGCCTTTAGCCTGGTGTTGAGTTGGTTCCTTGAAACGCGGGAGAGAACGCACCCGAAATGGGTAGGGCAATTACTGGGGAAATGGTAAGGCTGGGCCGTTGCCGAGGCCAGAAGCAGAATGAGATCTGATGAGGTTGGCGTAGTACTAGTAGGAGGATGCAGCAAGATCGGACTAACAAAAGCCGGACAAGTGTTTAGTAGACAAGACTGGCATGATGAGATACAGAGAATGCATGCTACTGGTACAGCATGAGTTTCTTCGATGTCCGCGAGGCTGTGCCCCGTGGGGGGTGTCCCAAAACGGAAGGTGGCCGGAAACGGAAACGGAAAGGAGAAGCGAAACAGGAGACAGACCAGGAGAAACACAAGGTGCTTCAGACTCGCCTCCTCGCGACACACTTCAAACAATGCCGGCGCTTCGAAACCCCATCATCGCCGTCGGACCTGCAACACTCAACGCGCCTGCAGACATTGCTACCGTGCTCTGTCAAGAATAGTACTTTGACGCGCCCAAAGCACGTCTTTCTCCAGGGTCCTTCGCCTGTCGCGTCTCATGCAGGCTCTGCCATCTGATACACATATCCGACAAATGTCTTCAGCCTCCTCCAGGGGCTCCGCCTGACTCGACCAGGCGACGAGACTCTGGAAGTCCCAGGACCCTTGAGATCCAGATCCCTCTGATCATCCTAGCCTCAAGAAAATGGGATTGCTTTGCGGTCGAGTTGGCCTACTTATGTCGACCTCCGACCCCGTTGCTTTCCATCCGGTGATATCTTTGTTTCTTCCAATTCTGTCCTGTCCTTTAACCCCAAAAGCGAAAAGAGCGTGTTTGTTCTGCTAGGTCCCGTACCAGATTGTGTCGGGTCTGTTCCATTCCTTCTGCTGCTTGACGCACTGCAGTTCATCTTCGGTTCCTGCTCGCGCCGGTCGCTCGTTGTCGTTCACCTCCACATCATTCACCATCGCCAGTACCAGCAGGTCTACACGCTTCCTAAGATAACAGAACAAATATCGCAAACTAGTCAACCCCGACATCTTACAGCAAACACAACAATGTCTCTCAAGGCGCTTCTCGTCTCCTCACTACTTGCGGTCTCCACGGTCGCAACGGACTACTCGTCCTGGGGCAGCAGTGGCGGTGGAGGTGGCTCCTGGGGCGGTAGCAAGGGCCCTGACTCTGGCTCGTGGGCAGCAGCAGCATCTTGTCCGGCAGGCTGTCAACCAATCCCAACAAGCTCCGCGCCGCCGCCGCCTGCCTCGACCGGTGCCGGCGAGTTGATCGTGCAAGTCGTGTCGGTCGCCGACGCCAACGGCTCGTTGAAATACTTCCCCAACCAGATCGAAGCCCCGATCGGCTCGGTCGTGCAATTCCAATTCCACCCAAAGGTACGTACTACAGACGTCGGAAACGCACATTCCGCAATCAATCATGGCAAGGACTAACACTTATCGCACTTCCAGAACCACACCATCACCGAATCTAGTTTCGCTTCTCCCTGCAAACCCCTTGCCGCCAATTTGACTTCGCCGACCCGACCGGGCATAAAATCTGGCTTCGTCCCCGTCACCGGCAAAGAAGACTTCACGCCCGTCTACAACGTGCTGATCAACGACACCAAGCCCATCTGGATCTTCTGCGGCCAGACAAACCACTGCCAGAAGGGAATGGCCATGGTGATCAACCAGAACAGCAGCTCGCCCAACACCATCGACAAGTACATCGCCAACGCGATGCAGTTGCCTTTAGCCAACGCGACCGCTGCTCCACCCGTTTCGAGCAGCAGTGTTGCCTCGATTTCGATCGCCCCTCCTCCGGCACCCACAGAGTCCTTTACCTTCGGTGGCGCTCCTGGGGCTGTCAGCAGCAGCTCCATCGTCCAGGCGCCTCCGCCGGCTGAGACCATAGCAACTCCCGCAGCTACCACGACCGCCGCCGCGCAGCCTGCTACCTTCACCGGCGCGGCAGTTGCACGGTTGCAGGCTGGTGATATCTCGTCTGTGGCTGGTTTGGTTGTCGGTGCAGTTCTGGCTTTGTGGTAATTTTTCTTCCTCTCCCTCTCTAGGTGTCAGATCAGAAACGAGAGAGTTCAGTTGGGTCGGATATGGACAAGATTTGAAACGAGAAAATATAGCGGGTGGACCTTGCTCGGCTTGGACTTCCATATTGAAGAAGTCGCCTTGCTGTACAGGCGGACAGCCTAAGCAGGCCAAGCGGTGCGCATGATATATCTGGACAGCGTGAGGCCCCCAGGGACATATTCTGGTGTAGCATCTGTTTTCGGATTTGGCTAGAATGCCTGAATGGGTGTGGCGTGTCAAACTTTACTTCATTCTCCCTTATTGTATGTTGAAGCTCTTGATTTTTCGGCGACCTTGATATCCCCATTGACGCACAACTGCGAGGAGAACGCAGTGAGGCCCTGTTGGCTATGGAAAATCACAAGTGGAAAAACATACCAATATAGAAACATCAGAAATCATTACCGGTACTGTCTTCCTGCCAAACACTGGATGGCCACAGTCTCCTGACAAGCTGGGTGCGGTGAAGAAATGTAATGGTTCTTGTCCAATGTTCTCTTGTCCACCAAGCCGAGGGAAAGGATTAATGAACTCATCCCATCTCCGTCCATCCGCTAGGCTGCTTCAACCCCTTTCTCCGTTCAGAGGACCACAGAGGCAATATGACATGGGACATGATACATTGCGCTCTGCTGGTCTTTGCCCTGACCGACTGTCAGATGGAGATGCGGCCTGCTACAGGCTCCCCTCCTCTTACGCCCTCAATCCAAGGTCTGCTTTTCTTGATTCTGAAAGTCATACCTCCATTAGATCTGGTATTAGGTGGAACAGACCATCGTCTGAGACATTAGGGACACACCAGAGCTGCTTGAGAGCTGTCGTTGGGGTATGTGATCGTGCCACTGCCATGGGTAATCGTCGAGATAGTCCCTTGCAGCTCGAGCTCAACGGTGTAAACTCGTGATTGCAGTCGGATAAATAGAAGTCACCCAGCACTGCTCCAGAGCGAGCAGATTCCAATCGGTAATGGAACAACTGCGACTTTATCGCGTCGTGTGTTCGGAATGTAAACTCGCCGCTCTCTTTCAGAAATCCAAACACAGCTGTGTCGCCACGCTTTCCAGATCCTCCAGTTCTAACCATCCGCTATCCACACCACCTCCACCAACTCCCTCCCGCTCTTTCTTTTCCTCCACGCACCGCCTGATACCTTCTTTTACGAAGATTTCGATATATGTGCCGAACAAGGCGCGCGCGTCCGACGCAATGCTCGTCTTCTCTGGTTCCGTAAAGTGCGACTGCATGATACGGTGGAGGAGCGGCACAGGGATCGCTGGCGCTGAAGAGCCGGCAACAGACTTCGTTGCGTTGGATGCTGTATGTGTGATTTCGGCCAGGATGAATTCTGGCTCAGGAGACGACGGAGCCTCAGGGGATAGAGGTTGCTCTTCCTCTTCCTCTTCCTCGTCATCATCTTCATCTTCGTTATCCTCCTGCTCGCCTTCGTCGCTGTCTTCTGAGACTCCCGGCTCGTCTTCCTCCGATTCTTCCTGTTCTTCTGACTGCTGGTGTCCTCTTCGGTCTGCCTCGTTGTCGTTGTCGCTGTCGCTGTCGTCTTCATCGCCGAGGATCGCTTTCAATGTTCCTCCAGTGCCTCTTCGCCTCTGTTTCTTTTTGGGTGCTTGCTTGCTGGTCGTCTGGCCTGCGCCATTTGAGATCCGTGACCTCTTGTTTGGGCCATTAATACTGCTGGGTTTGACTGATTTGGTCACTTTCGACTTTCCCGGTCGTGGAGGTGAGAACGAGGGTCTTGCACGTTTTGTAGCTGTGGGAGCCATCGCGAATGGGCCGGATTCGATACAGTAACTTGACTTTACGTTGGGGTCGGTTCGGCAAAGTATGTGCTGTAGGCGCCGTCAATTCGCAGCCTCGTTTGACAGTCATGTGTTTGGTTCACTACCACGGCAACTACGTCAGACCTTGACGCGTGGTTGAAGTGGAACGCGTCGAGGGCTTAGCGTGTAGCGCATTAGCGCTAGTACAGATAGGGTTAAAGAGAACAGATCGATTGACAAGTGCGACTGTTCTTTCTGTCACAGCTACTACTCATACTAATACGTCCAAGATCATTTTATGGTGGCTCGTAAGAGCCGGATTTCTACGTACGTACTTCCATATCGTCCAAGTCTCGCTGGATATGACCCAGCATGAACCACTCTTTCACATGCTGTGCACCGAGCTGTTCCTCGACCATCTTCTGAAGGTCTTACCCTTGTAGTAGAAGAGAATGCCAAACAAGCACCACACCAGGATCAAAGACGCATTTGTCATGATAGGTGGAATGTAGCCATCGGCAATGATCCAGTTGGTGATGAACTTGCTGAAACCATAACCCCAGACGTTCTTGTTGACAGTGATGGAGACAAACAAGCTGCCTGCAACCGGCTTGTAGCTGTCCACTGCATAAGTCGAAACCATTCCAGGAATGGCCGACACCTGGATACCGGCACAGGTGTAGCCAATAATCACGATCGCTTGCCATGGCCACTGGTGCTCGTATCCCACACTGACAATGATGTTACCCAGGTACATGATGATCACGTATGGGATCATAGCCGGCAGACGCATCTCGGGTTCTCGAATGCCTTTGTTGCGGGCCGTCGCTCGGGCAGACACCCAATCCGAAAAGGGCCCTGCAGTGGCCAGACCGATCAAGGCACCGGCAAAAATGGCAAAATTGGTGAATCCAATGGTCTGACTGCTCCAGTTGTACGGCGGTGCTGCAAAGGCTTGTGTTTGGGTGAGGTTCAACGTCAGAAACGACGAACAGCTCCAGCTGACAACAAAACTGGCGAACTCGACAATTGGGAACGCGAACAACTTCCATGGGATCCACACGTCCAAAAGGACGCTCTTTATCGGATTCGGGTTGGGCGTGTATAATCCCCATTGCGCTTTACTGGGAGATCCCCGACCCAGCCATGGATCGCGCTGGGCAGTCTCGACTGAAGTAAGGGCGCTGGGCGCCACGGCCGAAACAAGGTCTTCTGCAGGCAGAGGCATTTCGTCGTCACTCTTGGTGTTTTCTCTCGTTTGAACTGAGGCCTTCTGGTCGGTAACTAATCCGCCGGGGTGAATTTCCGTCGGATGTGCTCGATGCCACTTTGTCTCTGGAAACATAAATAAGACCATGACCAGAGACAGCGCGAGTAATCCCACGTTCAGCCACCAGAAGTTCCTCCAACCCACATGAGCGGACATGGTGCCGGCAATGATGGGCGAAATCATGAGCGAACCCATATAGACGACCCAGTACAGCGTATTCCATTTGCCACGGTCGTGGAGGAAGTAAATGTCGGCGATGACTGCCGGTTGGAGGCTCTCTGCTGGACCGGCGCCGATCCCGTTGAGACTGGCACGGTTTAGCATGGCAACACAACAGTGGGGACACAATCAGGCCACATACACACAGGCACCCATGAAACTGCCGTATGTTTGGGCTCGCGCTCGCCAGATGGCGGAGCCGAGACATACGAGTAGGGAGAAAATGAAGACGGGTCGTCGGCCAAATGAAGTACTTAGCGGTACCCTAGACTTTGAATCAGCCAAAGTGTCAATCAAAGGTCAAGCCGTTATCATACCATATGAAATTACTGAACCCGAGGACAAGGATGGCAATCCCAGTAAACTGCACCGCATCCGCCAGAGAGCAATCGAAAGCCTTGATATAGTCTTCAAACATAGGGGCCAACGAAAGAGGGCCGAACCCTTGCATGAAGGTGAGAAAACTGGTCGAAATAATCGCCGATGTCTTCCAGAACGCAGACCAATTCAAGGGGTCGTGCGGGTCATCCGAAGGCTGGGGAACCAGGACACGATGGCTTCTGCCACTGCTCTTGACGAAATGATGCGATCCAACATCCGCCATGATCTCCGTGCCGGGAAGTAACTCGACATGGAGCTCCTCCTCGATTCGGTGGAGCTCCTGTGCAGAAAGAATAAGTCAGCGAATAAGGACTGATAGATGGCCATCTTCCAGAAGTCGAGCAATTACCTTTTCATCATAGTTCATTTCCATGCTGGGCAACCAGTCGAGAGGAATTGACAAGGGCAAATGAGAGAATGGGTGAAAAGTAAATAGGACAGCGGACAGAGCGATAGCTCATATATGTACCTACCTAGGACTCCCTGGGCGAAGAGATTGTGACTTGGGGAAGTTGATTTCCCCAGACAAGCGGACAATTCCCCAGTTGTGGATGACCCCTGCTTCGCTTGCTGGGGTCCCCGCATGGAGTCGAGCTCCATAGGCTCGCCGGCCGCGAGCAAAGCATACCGCAGTACACTGAACAAGTCGATGGGAACCGGACCGAAGGTGTGTATGCCGACTTGGGACGTCGGCACTTGTCTTTCTCATGAAAAGCTGGTTAGTGCTTCCGTCCAGCATGGACTTGATAGGCCCTGGATCTCATGATATCGTCCATGCGGAATTCCCCCGGAAGTCAGCTGGAGTGGAAGAATCGTCCCTGGGTCGACCCAGGATCAAGGTTCGTCAGCGATGATGCGGCAGATAGGATCTTCTCAACCATGCACTCTAACACCGGATATCTCCCTTGTGTGACGGTCCTTGTCTCTTCCAGCAAGTAGCTCCCTGGATCCTTTTGGCCGATGAACGGTCGTCGGAACTGGCCGTCGGCCTTCGTAGTGCTGCCTTCGGCGAGCATTGCGTTCGGGCTTATCACAAAATCGAGCAGGAGCATATGTCAAGGAGCCTGGCTGGATGAGGAGGTGGATTGATGAAAGTTGGCTGAAACCTACGAGGTTTGGATTATCGTCGTCGAAGAATCCTAGTTACCCTTGCCGCGCTTGCCAGGTTTGACTCGGAGTAGTCACACCTTCCTGAATGTCAGGTAGTAGTTGGAAGACTGACTCCGCTCGTCGGGTCTGGATTTTGACTGCGATACTATTCGAACATGTCGACGCCTTTGCTTTTGGTTTGTCAAGTATAGGCAATTTTATGCTGTAGATAAGGGGCGAGGATAGGGCGGCAACACACACATCCAAATGCGGTGTCTGTCTTCTATGGCTGTCGGTACTGTCTTGCATCTTGCTCTTTCGCAGGTTGTCGCAGAACCCTTCACCAGTTCTGGCTGCGGAGGGGAGTGTGTATAGGCTACTCCCACGACATGGTGGCGCCGCTACAGTTGCATGTTAAGAAGAAAATGCGGTGTTGTCGCTCATGATGTGAAATTGCTGAACGATGCGGGTTCTCATTCCGTTCACCAGGACATTGGCCACCCTGAGGGCTATCTTTTGCAGCGATGGGCAAAATACAAGAGGCAGCGAATGCGCAGGATCTTGACGAGGAGACCACGTTGCTAGAAGACGGCGTGCCTACCGCGGACCAAAGTAAGGCTCCTCGGTCCCTCCAATGAACTTATCTTGATCATCCTACAGTGTTCAAAGCTCGATTGAAGCAGTTCGAATATACTGCGACTACGTCCAATACCAGTCTGCAGCGACGCTCTCCTCGACTTGCCGGTTGGCAGTCCTCCGCCCCGGCTAGTCCGGTCAGCAATTCCTCGTCACCGAGAAAACGCAACCGTTTGCATTCGCAGCCATCGAATGGCGGAGATGAGAGCGAAGACGAGGATGCAGAGTCGGTCATGGGAAGTCCAAACACTAAGCATACAGCCTTGATACCCAGGTCGAAGAAGAGACGGAGCACCACGAAAGAACGATCCGCGGGTGATCCATACAGTCCGGACAACAAACTGGTGGACAGCCTCCGACCGGGCCTGATATTGGTGTTCGTTGGCCTGAACCCCGGACTCATGACAGCAGCGACTGGCCACGCTTATGCGCATCCATCCAACAGGTTCTGGCATATTGTCCATGCTAGTGGCATCACGCCGAAAAAGCATGATCCCTCCGAAACACGAGATCTGATGGATATGTACCAGATTGGAAACACGAATATATGTGCCCGGCCAACCAGAAGTGGTGACGGTTTGAGCAAACTAGAGCTTGAACAGGGTGCCTTAATCCTGGATGAAAAGATTGCCAAATATCGCCCGGAAGCGGTAGCAATTGTGGGCAAAGGTATTTGGGAAGCCATCTGGATGGTGAAAAAGGGCCAAAAGAAATTCAAAGATCCAGACTTCCACTGGGGCTGGCAAGACGAGGAGATGCAGCTTGGTAGGAGAACGGATGGGGAAGGGAGGGTGATTTGGGAGGGAGCGAAGACATTTGTCACCACATCCACCAGCGGACTCGCAGCTACTCTTACACCCGCAGAAAAGCTGGCAGTATGGAAGCCTTTAGGCGACTGGATGATGAAGCGGCGAGCGGAAGTCAAGGTGGAAGCTGTCTAACAGTACTGATTCCCGAGAGTGGCCACTGTAAAGATCACCCTCAGCTCAGCCTTGCGCAAATGCCAAGACTTGATATAAACCTCAATTGGGAGACTTTTGGGATAGTCTGGCGGTCACGACCATGCACAACAACTTCATATTTCAGGTGACCACCATTCCCCGGGGAGTAGATGACAAGGCTTTGAGCATTGATATCCTGTTCATCCTCCGCCGAGACGTGTGAAACATCGCCAAGCCGACGAAGTGGGCGTTACGGCGTGATTGGCTTCAGCAGCTGGACTGAAACGCGTCAGAACCAACGACTGCAGCTGAAGGTCTGCACTTAGTACTACTGCAGTGCAAGCTGAGTGGCACGGTGAGTGAAGGTCGCAGCCGCAGCCGCAGTCGCAGTCGCCAGGTTGGTGAACCTTGTTGTCAGATCTTCCACTCGAAGGGATGACATCAAAACTCTCCCTTTGTCTCTTTTTCAAAGCTTGAAATTCCCCAGTATCAGTCCTGTCTCTTTCGTCTCCTGCCAGTGTTACTATCATCTTGTCAACAACAGTCCTAGTTGTGGCTGCCCATCATCCACTCTTATCTCATTCACCTCTCACCGCCTTGACCGCACCCAGTTCCTCTAGCTGTACCCCTCCTCTGATTGGAGTTGCATCCTCATCAAGCCGCCAATATGGCGCTCTCCTCTACCCAAATGATCCTCCTTTGCGCTATTGGCATTGTCCTGCTGGCTAAGCCGGCCCTTGCCTTCGGTGCAGGCAATATCGGCTCAACCTCCAAGATCGAAGGCGAGAACTGGCGTCATGGAGACCTCGAAGACACCCTGCTAACCATTGTTGCTTCACGTGCCATGGGAGGAAAGAAGTTCGGTAAACTCGATGTCAAGAGAGTGGGTTGTCGCCTTCTAGTCTCTTCCTGGCCGTTGACTAATCTTTCCAGGTCTATTTCGGGAACTGGCTTCGTGATTACAGCCAGGCCGTGGATGTTGGGACGGTCAAATATGTCAGCGCTGAAGCCATTCGAATCCTTCTCTGGGTCCTTGGTTTTATGTCCTTCGGCTATGGTTCAGGTGAATTTGAAGTTACCACCGAGCGACTAGGATGCTATCGACCGGAGGAACACATCGAGTAAGTCACCAGTTCCACAAGAGGAGCTTCCCTAACCATCTCAGCAATCCCAAAGACTATGCGGACAATCAGGATGCTCGACAGTACGATCGCCGCCTGCGAGGTCCCGTTGATGAACGTCGTGAGCTGTCCATCAACCCGCAAACTGGACTGAAGAATTACATCGCCTCGGAGGGTATGGGGATTGATACATCTGCCGGCTTGGTTCGAAAACTCTTCGGCCGCTCCATTCAGCTAGGTCGCCAATACTCTCGCAGCAAGGACAAGAAGGACCTCTATGAAGCACTCCGACTCCTGGGCACCGGATCGCACTGCTTGGAAGACTACGCAGCACATTCCAACTACGTCGAACTGGCTCTGATCGAACTCGGCGAGCGCGATATCTTCCCTCATGTAGGTCGTCGTACTGCCATCCAGCTTCAGCAGGTGCGACATGCCGTCTACCCCATCGTGACCGGCACATTTGGCGGCGTCGACTTTCTCCATTCAGTCTGCGGTGAATTCGATGACAAAGCAACCCAATCCGAAATCGAAGAACTAGAAGGTACCATGCAACAGTACGAAAACGGCAATGAGGACAACAGCATCCTGCAAGACCTCCTCAACAAGGTCCCTTCGGGAGTTTTTGGTGGCAAGGATGAGGCGGGAAAAGCAGACGAACTAAAACAAAACTCGCTCAACCACAAGATGCAAAACACCCGCATCTCACCACGACAACCGGAGGAATGGACCCAGTACCTCGACGATGTGCAGAAACAAATCCTTCCCATCATCGAGTGGCATGATGAGATCCTAAAAGGCATCACCGAGACGATCGAAAACATCCCCATTCTGCCAGACCTCATCGAACAGCTCCAGGACGAGATCAATAAGTTTGTCTTCACTCTGCTTGCACCCTACGTGGTCCCTCTTATCAACCAGGTCAAGTCGGAGCTCAATACCGGATCCAGCGAGATCATTAACTCAAGCAAGGAACAACAGCACGTTGTTTTCAACGATGACAGCTCCTCCGATCCCACTCACTCGATGCTTGCCAAGGACCACTTCTCCAATATTCTCAACGAACCTGCAGGTAAAGTTGCGAGACAGACCGTGAAGTGGGTGGTTCCGCAGATCGTTGCTTGCTGGGACGATGAGAGCATCGACGTTGATCGCACTCTAAACCGCATCATCAACGGCGTCCTGCACCATCCTGCCCTACGCGACAACGGTCAAGATGGAGCCAGTGACGGCAGACATCTCATGTTCAGCGTCGTAGAAGAATGGTGGGGGAGCAAGAGCGAGCGGGAGAAGGATGGCTTGCGCCGTCAACTCAGCCGCGAAGGCGTGCGGTCCGGCGAGAACCATAAGCCCGGAGTTGAGGATCATGGTCACGGTAGTAATCGACCTCTCACCATGGCAAACGTCAATTACAACAACCAGTCTGGCAATGGAGGTGATGCTTTCGGCGCCATTGGCTCAGCTCTTGGCGGCGGCGGAAATCAAGCAGGTGGCAGACCTTCCAATGCCGCTGCAGACAGCATTGGCAATATGGCTGGCGCAGCAGTTGGGGGCGGAGTGCTTGGATCTCTCGTCGGAGGATTGGCCAGCGGGCTTGGTGGCAATCTCCTCGGCGGTGGTCTGGACGATAACAAGGAGACGTTCAAGCGAGATTCGTACGCCCGGGACGGTTCATACACCGAGACCGTGACTCAGGTTGGCGAATCGCAATCCGGCGATCGTTATGGTCAAGCACAATACTCGCGCACCACTGGCCCCGGCAGCGGTCCTGCGCACGAGGAATACAACCGCTTCGAGCAGACCGAGTACGGAGGACGCTTACAGTCTGAAGTCCGCCACCAAGAGCGGACCAGCTCTGGGCAGTACCATGAGGAGACTCGGTGAGTATTGGTTCCGATGCCCTGTAAACAAACGACGACGCTAACCATGACAGACGTTACGGAGATGACCATGACAGCGACGACCGTAGTCGTCGACAGGAACATGAACCACCTCGCCACCAGCAATCTCAGTCGTATGGCCACCATGGACGTGACGAAGAGCGGTCCTCCGGCCACGAAGGTCGTCGACATGAAACCGAGTCATCGGGATACGGCGGAGATGAAGGCTTCGGTCGACACGAGCGTCGTGAAGAACATGGTAGACGAGAGGAGAATGAGTACGGGGCCCCTGGTGGGTACGGCCGCCAAGATGAACCCAGCTTTGGAACGGGTGAGTACGGCCGTCGGCAAGAACCAAGCTATGACTCTGCTGGCTACGGTGGACGAACAGAAGAGCCTGGGTTTGTCCCCGGCGGTTTCCCTAGTCGTCAAGATGAACCTGCCTTTGGCGAACGGGAATCTGGCGGGCGTCGAGAGGAATCTGGGTTCGTCCCTGGCGGATTTCCTGGACGTCAAGAGGAACCCAACTTTGGCGGCGGAGGATTCGGCGGGCGTCAAGAAGAGCCTGGACACGTCCCTGGTGGTTTCGGCGGTGGCCGAGATGAGTTCGACTCCGGCCGTGATAACTACGGGGCTCAACAAGGCTATGGAAGACCTGCTGGTGACGAGTATGAACGCCCTCAAGGCCGAGGTGACCACGGAGGCGGGTATGGCGAAGGTGATGACTACGAGAGACCGCGTCAACATCGACGACATGGTCATGATGATGAGGGCGAGAATGAGGGCTACGGCGGCGGTGGCGGGTATTCTCAATACTGAGCTGGAGTTGCCGGGAGGCCTGAGGCAGCTGACCTAACTTCGTCCGACGATAACTGTACTAAGACGAGGGCTTTGCAAATCGCCAGCATGGTGATAAATGGAGAAGCCCATCCGCTCGGGAAGGACTGGGATCAAAGGACGGCCGACCAAGGCGAGGAGTGCTTTGCTGGTCGAGCGATGGCGAAAGCCAGATTGTTTTGAGTGTGATGGGTGCATGTCATGAGCTGAGGTTATCATGGTGCACCGCACGATGAGTCCCGTAGCAAAGTAGGTAGCTGAATGAGAAACGATAGAGGATATGAAAAGTCATTCTACCACAGCCTGATGAATGTCTGTCCTTTTCTGTAGGACAAGTCCGAAAGCGACACTCTGTACCTCTTATGGCTTTGTCAGCTGAACGGCAAGTCAATATATATTACTCTTACACCCCATCGCCCATTCGAACTGTACTTCCTTCCTGCATTCGTGTTGATGCTTTGAATGCTCGGGCTACGGTTGCAGCCAAAGATGCCAACAAATCGACAGCATACCGCTCACTTCCCAGTCTTCAAGCGTGGGGGTCCCCAAGCTGTGACATACGACCTTTCACAACCGAGCCGTGTTACCATCACAGTCCCCAGGGCATCCACGTGGACATCGGGGCCCCATTGGCACGAATCTCACACGGAGTATCTCCAGGTCCTGCAAGGACGCGCGTTCATGAGACTGGGAGATCAAAACCGGCACTATGGGCCACAGGACGGCGTGATCGAGGTACTCAGGTACACCGTGCACGAATGGCACCGCATCGAAGGGAACGAAGGAGATGAAGATCTCGTTGTTAGAGAATGGACGGTCCCAGAAGATGGACAGAAAGAGGCATTCTTTCGAATGTTGAATTCATTCTTGACCGAAGACCATCCGAGCTCTTTGTACACGGCACCATCGATGACACCGACTTGGCTTCGAAAAGTCCTTGAGAGGCAGATCGTGGTCTTGCAGTTGTTCAGCATCTTTCGAGCCTGGGACAACTGGCCTGTTCTGATCGGCAATGACAGTGGATGGATTAGTTGGTCGGTGACACATGCTGTTCTGTGTAGCTGCTCATGGATTGGATATGCTGTTGGACTGCGAGGGGTTTACGTTGAGTATGTCGGAAAGGAACTGGCACCGGGAGTAAAGCTGAAAAAGCAGACATGACGAGCAACGGACATTACATTCAAGTTGTAGGCGCTATTGAGAAGAGACTTGAAGGACAAGGTGCCGGTAGAGGAGAACGCCCACGAAATGGCTAGGGATGGTGGAGGCCAGACGCCTCAAGGAGCTTTGTGTGCAGGCAAAGCCAGAAACCAACTTGCTGAAATAAGAAGAATGGCTGCCATGGAGCGAGATCAGTGATGGCATGAAGCAGAGTCAATTAATGGTAGAGATACAGAGCCAAGTTCAACTGCGCAGCGTGCTTACATATTACAGCAACTGCGCCCTCAGCCCCCGACACCGTCACCCTTGTTACTTTACTCTTCTGTCTGTCTCATCCTTCTCTCCACCACTCAGCCGCTCGTGTCCATTTCCATCCTCGAGGCAATACGACTCTCTTTCTGCTGCTTGCGCAATGTGCTGCTCTCCCTCTCTTTTAGTGATCGCAGGATCATGTTCCGCCCTGCATTTGTGTTGCTCGCTTCCAGGTTGACTGACTGATCCACCGACCGCTCACTCTATCCACCTGTTGTTTCCAGGCGTCCAACCTTGACCTGCCTTGTCAGCTTCATGCTACAAGCGACCCCGGACTGACCTGCACTTGTTCCAGTCACTCTAGTCGACCTGAAATCATCCGTCTTTCTGCATGCTAACAATTGAAGCGCTGGGCCTGTGTGGGAAAGAATGCCACGGCAATACAATCGATTGCGACAAACCAGATTCGATCTCTATATTGAGCGCGATGCCCTCCCGTGGTATATCAAAGCCGTGGCCATCTTTGCCTCATGGCTCACTCTAGGAGGCTATATCCTTTTCGCCCTCGTGTTCACCTCTGCCGAATCTAACCTCAAACCATCTCGCTTCACCCTGACTCTTCTCGCTTCGATCTTTCTCCTCGTTGGCTATGGCGTGAGTGCAGCTACGGCCATCTACAGTCGCAGTCTCCTCTTCGCATTCGATGCCGTCCTCCTGCCTGCCCTTACGTCCTCCGCCATGGGCGTCTTCGTCACTGTCATGAACTATGCCCAGCACCACGATTTCCCCGTTCCCTCACATACTTATATTTACGTCCCGCTGGGAGTCGCCTCTACCACCACAGTCGCATCGGCGATCCTCTGCTACATCACGTATAGAAGATTGGCAAAAGTGAAGAGCCTGGACAATCAAAGAAGACAGCGCGGGCAGAGATGGGATAGAGCGTCCAGCGCGAGCTATGGAGACGCCACTTCCACGACGGAACTATTACCAATGCACAACGACGGGCTACCAGAAGACGAAGCACAACGGCGACAATTCCTCCGACTGTTGCTGGACAAAGACTCGCGTCGTTCGCCTAACTCTCAAGGTCCCTCAAACACCTATCAAATCACTCTACCGGGTGAAAATGGAGATCCCCCACGGTTACAAGTGGTTACGCCTGACGGGCGCCAGCGGAGTGGGAGTCTACCAGACAATCCCAGCAAATGGAACGTGCTGCACAAGTTTGCAAGGGACCCAAGTCCAACCCTCGAGGGCTCCAGAGATCCTCGAGAACGGCGACGACAACAGATCGAGCGGACTTCTGTTCTTCTTGCCCCGGGTTTTTGACAGCTCGTGGGCACAGACGCCAGGCGCGTCACCCCAGCTTCAGTCTCAAACATGGAGTGGTTCCTCGAGATATGCTTGATGAATGGGTCATGTCTACGAGGAACCACAAGATGTCACGGGCATAGTTTGTTTTGTATGAGCACTGTTGTGCCTCCCGAATGTCTATACAAAAACGTAACGCTCTCCAGCTGAGCTGAAGAACAGGCGACCATACCATCCATTGTTTAATTTAGAACATAGCCCCTTGCAGCCTCGTTCTCTCCGCAGTCACGTGCATTTCGTGCAGCAGGCTCCGATTCGTGCCAGTGGAGAATCAACCTCGGTTGTCGCGATGATGTCGTGTTGTCGGCGACCGCAGCATTTCCCATCAGAAGATATATGGTGCTTCTACACAGTAGCAGCTTCGGAACAGTAAATCTTGGAGAACACGGATATCTCGATACCGCATCTCTCCCTGCGAAGTCCACGATCAATATGACTATAGCCTGCCCAAGAACGTATTGAAGGCATTTCACTATCTCCCTTCTTCCGCCAAAAACACCACTCACAAGAACCCGAACCCGAACGCGAAACCTGAACCGTCTATATTCTATCTCATACCCAGCAACTGCTCTATCGCCACTCCTCCACGAGGCTACTCGACACGCACTATGTCTCGACACGCTACTCTCATCAAACCTCCCAAATCGCTGCCTCACCATTCACCCGTCGAGAACGTGCTCTCCCTCCTCCCGCTCCTGGACATCGGACCGGACATCTACACCAATGCGCGACCACTATGGCACCCTCCCGGAGCACGAGGCATCTACGGCGGGGCGGCGATCGCGCAATGTCTGTCGGCGGCGCAAGCCACGATCCCGCCCGACTTCACCGTGCACAGCATGCACTGCTATTTCGTGCTGGCGGGCAACTCGGAGATCCCGATCCTATACCATGTGGAACGAGTCCGAGACGGCCGCAGCTTCATCACTCGCACCGTCCAAGCCCGACAGCGAGGAAAATGCATATTCACCACGACCCTGTCGTTCATGAAAGAAGGCGGCGGCGGCACAGAAAGAGTCGAGCATGCGGTGCCCATGCCCACGGACGTGACGCCGCCGCCAGACGCCGAGACGAGCAGGGCCGCCTGGAGCGCCAACGACTCGGGCGAGTCGCAGCCCTTCGAATCCGTTCGATGCCCCGTGACACGGCGCGGGTCGCCGGCCGAGCGTAAACTGCGCCAGTGGATCCGCGCGCGCGGCCGCATCAGCGACTGTCCGCCCAACGTGCGCGAGGAGGAACTGGCCAAAGGCCAACGTGCCCACCAGCCGGGCAACAACCACCAAGCGCACCTATCGGCGCTGGCGTACATGTCTGACTCGTACTTCATCGGCACCGTGGCCCGCGTGCACAGCCTGATGCGCTTCGCCAATCGCCAGAGCATCGAGCGCACCTTGCGCGGCTTCAAGGGCTCCCAGGAGGAAAGGGACCAGATGAGACGCTATCTCGAGGAAATCGCCCGCGAGGAGGCCGAGGAGAGTAGTCAGTTCGACTCTGTCACCGCCGCCGCGGGTCAGCCCGTGACACACAAGGACGGTCGCCAGATCGGGATGATGGTCTCGCTCGACCATACCATCTACTTCCACAATCCGCGGGCTTTTCGCGCCGATGACTGGATGTTGGCCGAGATGGAGAGTCCGTGGGCCGGCGATGGACGCGGCCTCGTCATCCAGCGCATTTGGAGCAAGACCGGCACGTTGATCGCCACGTGTACTCAAGAGGGCGTGGTTCGGCTGGTTCAGAAGGATGAGAGCAAACTATGAAAAAGATATCGCCGATCAAACAAACCGAGACTGGTTTGGAACGTCGGTGCATCTTGAGTTTTAAGGCCTTCATTTCAGATTGTTAATACATATATTTATGCACGGGCGGGAATTGACGAGCAAATAAAGCAGGAGCAGGACGGCGTTTGGAGAAATGAATCGTCATGATGAGAGGATCTCAGAGGTTCGAACCGGACGATGTAGCGACAGACCAGGAGCGTCCCTTCAAATCCATAGCGATGCCATGCCATGCCACAATGAGAACACTAAGGCTCGCGATGCAGTGGGAATGCGTCCCACGTCATAAAGTCCTTCCTAGCCGAGAATGCACGAGCAAGTCCTAGTTGCGGCAATACCCAGGGTTCTCCTGGCGGCTTATAACAAGCACCCGTGCGTCCAAATACGCATAACATTTGGTCCTTATTCTAGGAGTCCTCAATTCCATTGAACCCGGTTTCAGACGCCCCTCTGACCCATACAGCCAAACAATTTCAGGCAGAGACATCATTCGACCTCAGAATTAGTATCAGGCCTCCAGATTAATGCCCTTCCCAAACCTGGCATACAAGTGCGCCTTCAAAGTCTTGATCTCGTCACGGATCGTGCTCAACTCGTCCTCCACCGTCGAGACCTCCTCGTCCAGCTCTGTCATCGCCGAAGCGAGCAGTTCTTGCGCCTCAGGCAAGGGGACATGCATGAACGATTCTCCGATCTTATAGCTGTGCAACAAAACAACGACGGATCAGATGAAGATAAGGACATGAAGAAGAACCACGGCAGGAGTGGATAAGGAACATGGGTTCTGGTCAGGGAGACGCCGGGGTGATGACTTGATGACTTACGGAATCAATTCATCTTCATCGGCGAGTTCGAGTTCGGTGGAGAGTTCTTCGAGGTCTTCTTTGTCTTTCTGCGGTTGTTGAAAGATGGGTTAGTAATGTATACTTATCTTGACTAGGCAGTAACCAAGACACTTTAGTCCAGCTTGCATTGCTGCTCCAGTAGAGCCTCGCTTCGCCTCGTACCATGGGGAATAGAGCCGCGCTGGAGCCGAAGCAAAGTGGTGTTCGAGGCGGAATGGAATGGATGGAATGGAAGGAATGGAAGGACTGGTGCGGGAGCCGGAGATATCAATCTACTCACCTGCTTTGCAGCCAATTGCTCCTCAAGGAGTTTACTCCGATTATGCAGTTTCGAAAACCTGTTGATCTTGTCTTGGTCTTCCTTTGTGACTTCCGCGTCCGTGGCTTCTGACTCTTCCTTCTTCGAGAGCTGCGTGTTCACATTAGAAAAGGAGTGTCACAATATGTATAGACATAGGGTTATTAAGAAAAAGATGAGTGGATGATCGTTGTATTACATATTTCATTCGAGACCCGAGCGTGTGGGATGGGTTGGGTTGACTTACTACTCTTCTGGAGAGCATTTTGACCCAGATCAAATAATGTGACTGCCTCCCCGGGGCTTGTGTCGAGGTCGAGGATCGCGGGTTGGAGGCGTATAACTTCCGTGTAGCCTGGTGTCAAAAGCCGGCCGGTCGCTGTGGGTTCGAATGCCTTTAGTGGTCGGAGGAGGAGAAGTCCCAAAGTGATATGTCGACGTCGACGCTCCAGGAGGTATAAACCCAAGCAGCTTCTCGCTAATGGCTGTGATGAGTGATGAAGCTCTTAGACCAGAGTACGGCTGAAGATGAATGCTGTGTCGACTTAGAAACGTGAAACAGAGTCCCGGCGAGGCTTGACGTCGGCCGCACGAGGCTCCGATATTGAAGTCTTCGCTGGGGTGACCACTTCGGTGGTGTTTTTGGCTAGATGCGCAGATATTGTACGGCGAAGTATATTGACTTTCCCGAGAAATGCATGATATACGATCAGGTACAGTTGGCATCAGGAGGATAACACTGTTTGCATCATCAAAGAATACCCTATATGGAATGGGCCTCGACGTGCGTATGAGATCACAACCATGTCTCTTGAGTTGAGCCTGCGTCCAGCGACGGCCTACACGCCAACAATGAAGCCCCAAAGGAACGGTATTGAAGCGATAATATAAATCCCGGCAGACCACTGTACGCCATGCCACGAGGCTGTTTTCGTTCCCTTCGTACTCTACAAGTTGACGCATGAACTCAAACCAGCATAATCGATCATACAGCACTGTATCCGCCTCTAGTGCCGCCGCCTGAAACGGTGTCTACCACTTTCCGTGAAAGGTCCTTGACGATATATGGGATATCTCGGATGGTATCGCCGTGAGGGAGTAGATCCCAGCCTCGCGCTCCATAGCGATTGTAGTTGAGCCAGGAACCAAAGATCAAATATGCGGCGATGCCGAGGAATGCACTGTTGGAAGTCCCATGTCAGTGAGAAGCTGGAATGCAAGGAAAAGGGAGAAACATACACCAAGATAAACCAAGTAAAGAAGCCCCAGCCAGTCTTCTTCGCCCCATCACTGTCGGCATAGTCTTCACAAGCGTACTTGGTTTTCCAGTCGAGTCGGAGCACCTCGATCTGCTCCTTGCCCCCAACCGGACCGTAGCTCACAAACGAGAGACTGGACGAGAGAGGCTCCTGTTCCTCATCTCCGTCTTCATCATCATCTCGCTTCACTTTTCTCTTCTCTTCATCGCCTGTTCGGTCTTTGTCACATTGTAACTCGACCACCGCTCGCTGCTTCCGTTTATTGTAGTAGCCGCCATTCAGTTCGATCTGAAGGCCATCGGAATCCGAGTCCTGGGATTTGAGCCGAGAGACTCTCGGAGCTAGACTCTTCCCGGTGGTGGAATCGAAGTTTCCGGCGACAGGAATCACATTCTCGACCTGGACATGCTTTTGCTCGGGATCATCGACGGCATTCCACGACCTCACAACACCACACACTGCAGCTTCATTAGCCGTGACCACAGGAGCGCAAAAGTTGTAGGATTCCTACCTCTGGTACCCGATGGACATTGATCCTCGTCCCGTACACCTTTTAGCTTTTTGAGGGGTGCGCAAAGATCGAGGGTCCAGGTGGTATTATATTCGGCTGGTGGCCTTGTCGTGTCGTGGACGCTGACGGAATGTCGACCGGCAAGCTTCGATAGGTCGAACCTCTTTCCATCCACCACAATACGTTCGCAGTCTATTGTTACAGCTGCTGAGAGTTGTGCCGCCAGTAAGGGAATGGACAGAAGGTATGCCGCGAGCGGCTTCATGGTTGGCTCAGTGGAGAGATGGAGGAGCCTAGGAGTTTGGGCGCAGTTCGCTTGGACGGGTGGAAAGGGGATTTCAAGAGTCGGATGGTTGCAAAAGGACCTGAACGAGCGACACGAAGTGAAGAAGGTTGTAGAAGAGCGGATGTAGGTGGTTGAGGCTGCAGAGCTCGTTCTTGGACGAAGATTGACAGTGAGCTGTTCAGGTTGGATTCAATTATGCCATGTGCCTGCTGTCTGTATCTGGGCACAAATGATCGATACGTCTTCTCTCCATCGGCACCGGCAACCGGGCTCCCGCACTAGGGCTATCACGTGATGAAGCCAAGACTAGCATCCTATTTTGGGATATAATGACGCTGCCTTGAGCATGCAAAGATACATAAATCTACCTAAGGTATCTGTACTTACAGCTCCCTGTCTGTTCGCCTACCATCATCTACTAACCTCTTCCAGCCACATACAACCTCAACGACATTGTGGTCATGGCAGTGATGAGATGAACTCCGGGAGAGTTGATCAGGCATGTGGGCTGCGCATACAGCTCTGAACAATTTTTCACGTTTGCAAACGAACAATTCGAAGCAATATACCGAAGGCACCAAACTTTGGTCCCAACATTCGCGCTCTGTACCCCCTCGTATGTTGTATCTGAGAAGCCAATGACAAGAGAGTAATCTCGGTAGGGAAGACCTGTTATCTTGCTAATCACATATAGTTTCGTCCATCCTCTTCAGCGGCCACGTGATGCCCCCTTTTCACGATTGTGAACTGGCACTGCAGTGGCAGTGCCAATGACATCACTGTACATACCAACCCAAGTCGATCGAGTCTATCAACATGAAAGTGACAGGGGACATGGCAAGATCTTGTAACAACCTCCGGCATGGCAAGGTATCTATCTGCCAGTGCCTGGCGAGGAGATCCAAGGTCCAAGGTACCAAGGGACTTGTATGTGCGAACGAATGATAAATAAATGGCTTTGCACCCAAACAAAAACTGGTCGCTCGCTCTTCACGGAACTACTAGTATTCCACACCCTTTGCCAGACCACGCACCTATGAATGGTGTGGTCGATGCAGTCGATGCAGTCGATGCAGCCGATGCAACAAGAACTATTTCTTTGAGGCGAGAGGGATTCAATATCCTTGAAATCGAGACCAGTCAATAGGAAGTGGCCTTGGATCTGAGAGAAGATCTGGGAATACAGGACACCGGCTTGCACACACACCTGTTGACATACGCGACGTCGTTGGTTGTGCCTTCTTCGACGAGATCCTCTCCTTCACATCTTACATCTTCAGACGACAAATCATTTGAGGATCCGGTGATCTGGTTATCTTTATCTTTATCGTCGCCTTTGCCGATTTATACCTTGATTGACAACACGTGTATTGATACAGCCAGGCGGCTACATCATATACATATCCTTAAGACTCCTGAATTGCTTGCTGGATTCGGCGAGACCTATACAGAAACCAATACGTTGTTTGCAACGAGATAAGGTGACCCCGAAGAAGGGATCCCCTAGGTGCATCACCAAGGATCACTTGCGACTCCCGGAGGGGTTGTTGGACGGGAAGCGAAGGCCTGGCAAACGCACTGAAGACTGCCCGAGGGCTGCCTGGGAGCGACATCGATTGAGGTCACGGCCGCGGTTGCCGTAAGCATACGCTTTAACTCCAGCAATCACATTCAGGATGAGTCGACGGCCTTCAAGGCGGAAAGCTGGCTTCGGCTGCCAGAGAGACACTCCTGAATATCTCCAGCTCGAGCATCACCATCATGACCCATACCGCGTCTCTCGCGCCTCACAAACAGTCACATTACCACGTCTAATATGGTTCTTGTTCGTCCTCGTCGCACTTCAAGGACGTTTCGCTCTCGCCTCCTCCTCACTGAACCACCACCCACGCGATGTCGTTCTCCCACTCCGCGTCACGAACAATTGCAAGGACACCATCTGGCCGGCTATCCTGACCCAGAACGGGATCGGCCCATCTGTGTCCGGTTTTGCGCTGGCGCCGGGCGATTCCAATCCACAAACCGTCAGCGGGGACTGGAGAGGTAGGGTGTGGGCACGAACGAATTGCAGTTTCCCAGTCTCTGGAGCTGGACCGGCAAGTGGACAGGGAGGAGCGGCATGTACAACGGGAGATTGCGGTATGTTTATGGAATGTCAAGGAGCTGTAAGTTGAATCTAGCACCATAGAGCTTGACGCCACAGGTAGCATCCACTGGAGGATGCTAGCCGTTTGTAAGCTCGAGCTGACTTCGACGAATTTCAGGGTCAAGCACCGGCGACGCTGGCGGAATTCACCATGTCGTCCGACACGTATCAGACCTTCTATGATATCTCGCTGGTCGACGGCTACAATCTTCCCGTGGGGATTATAGCCTTGGTCGAAGAGACAGGAAACTCAACATTGGCCGACATCCCGCCAAATCTGACAAATCCAGTCTGCATTGGCACCTCATCTCTCCTCGCATCGATAGGGCGCAGTTCCGACGTCGACTTCGGAACAAACGCCACGTTCCCACTACCCTTGGAGCAGTCGGCAACACCCGCATTCGTCCAAGACTGGTGCCCGTGGCCATTGCAACTTGCTCCACCTCAGAAACCCGGCGACGGAGTGTATCCCTATCCGGACGACAACATCCAACGACCGATTTTCAACCCATGCCTCAGCGCCTGTGCAAAATGGAACAAAGCTAAGTACTGTTGTACCGGAAATCACAATACCCCGGCGACCTGCTCGCCCAGCTTGTACTCAACGCAGGCCAAGAAGGTATGTCCTGATGCGTACAGCTACGCCTATGATGACCAGACCAGCACCTTCATCATTCCCCAAGGCAGCGGGTTTGAAGTGGTTTTCTGTCCCACCGGACGCAGTTCAAACATCCTAGCCGTCTTTGGTGACCAACTGAGACAACTTGCGCAGACGGGACATGTGACGAGAGATATTGTCGGGCTCGCGCAGAACGTCACCTATATCCGCGAGAAGAGCGGTGCTCGAAATGGTAGTCGCCCGAGCCTGGTCTGGGTCGCATCGGTGGTTTTCTTGGTCTGGACGTTACTGGGACAATCTGGAGTGGTCTTGTAAGACATACTGTCTATGACGGATGGGGAAAGAGAACGGCTGCAAGCAGTGCTCAATTCCCCCAATGATGCAAAGAGGTTCCCGGCTCTGTAGATACTAGATGGGCACCTTGTCGACAACCGGGTGGCTTGATAATATATGGCATCGAATGATTGTCGTTCATGTGCTTCACACTTCAAAGTCCTTCAACTGTGCCGCCGCTTGGGTCACGCCAGGGATGACCGTTGACCACGATCCTGGCCAAGGAGAGTCATCACCACCGTACAGCACGGCCCACAGTAGGCGAAGATCGCGAGTTGGGAGCTTCTGCATCAGCACCTTTGTAGCTGCAACCTGTATCTGCTTCTTTCGCTCCAGATCGTACGATGCGAAAGCAAGGGCCTGGCTTTCACTGAGGTAAGAGTCATGTCTGACCGGACTGGCGACCCACTGTGATGAAGTCGTCGATGACACGGCTGATGGCGCTGCCGCAGGAGTCGAAGCAGGTGGCACCGTTGTTGCACGAGGCTTGGGAGGCTCTGGAGGCCCATTCGGGAATAAAGCCGCTCTCATTTCGTCGAGAACATGGTCTGGGATTGGTAACTGCTTCATCGACTTGGGCGTGTGAGGAATGGCTTCGACATTGGCTATTCCCAGGTCGGACTTTGCCTTAGCCAGAATGTCAGACTTATACAAGTCGAGATACTTATCCAGCGGCTTGCCCTCCACCCAGTCGCCCATAAAATCCGACGACGACACCGAGCTGGAGGGTTTCTTCTCGTTCTCGTTCTTGTCCCGGGCGCCTGTGTTCTTCTTCCCACTAGATCTACTAGTCCCATCTTTCGGCGCGTACTTTTCTTCCAACGCTTTCCAAATATCCGAGGCCAGCTCGAGTGGTTCGGCAATCTTCCACGGTTCGCTACCGGGCACGAGGGTTGACATGATCAGGGCTTTCGCTCGAGCATTTTTGGCCTTGAAGTCCTCCGTTGAGGCAGAAGTAGTGGTGGGTGCAGGAACTTTGGTCTGCGTCGGAGAGTCGGATGCTGGAATCTGTGGCGTGCCTGAAGCAGGAGCCCGGCCTTTAGAGCCACTGGACTTGGACTTTTTGTTCGGCATCGCTGCTCTTGAAGAATAGGCGTTGGAGATGTCAAAGCACTATTTCAATAGTGGTATTCGCGGCAACGGGTGAAGCCTGCCTCGTGACACCCAGACACCCAGACATTTCTAATACTGTAGGGCCACAGTACAGCATGCAAGGGGTGGCTTTTTAGCAATGAGTAACAATTGTTGCATCAGCTGTTGGAGATCGTTTGCCCTGTTCGCCGGGGAAGGAGCGCATGGACAATACGGCGAATCATGAAGCCTTGCCGCGTACACGTTATTTTCTGCAAGGCTGAGCCTGTGAAATGCCGCCGCTTTTGCAAGAAGCCCCTTTTTTTCCCGGCTTCTTTTCTATACTCGGCCTCGTCTGTGTTTCTTTCTCACGACAACTCCTTCGTTATACATACACCACAGGGGAGACTCTACTGCGGTGAACGGTGAAAGGATCGGTATGGTCGTCCTGCACACTCCGCCGGGGGTTCTGGCTCAGATATGAAAGTCCGATACTCGTTCCTTGAACGCCTGAGACTATGCTACATGCTAAAGATTGATCCCCACCCCACGACGGCCGATGGAGGCACGTCAACCATTTTCAGCATCCCCCAGACCGTCGTAGCCACGCTGTCGAGCACCACAACCCCGTGGGATTTCTCCCATTCTGCTGCCCGGCGCGCACCTCGGAGGTTTGTGCAATAGATGGCAACGACGTCGGCGCCCTGCTTGGCAACGTCCGCGGCCATCGAATCCAGCTGGGACTCAGTGACCAGGCCGAAATCGGTATTCTGGGTCAGATCGAGATGTCGTTCTCTCTCTGGGAAGATTTCCCAGCCGATGGCAGCATAATTCTTGCGTATCGCATCTACCACGGAACCGAGATATGGTGTGACCAGGCCCATTTTCTCGGCTTTACTGGCTCTGAGAAGCTCATTGAGAGCCTGGATCGAAGAGGTGGCAGGAACACCTGTGGCGTTGTGGATCTCCCTGCACAAGCTTTCGTCCTTGTCGAACCCTAACCAGCCTGCAGATGTGCCACTCCATCCAATAACATCGACCTCTGCATCCGCGAGCAGCTGGGCCGCAGCTAGCATGGCGTTCGTTGTGAACTGGGAGTTTCCATCCTCCGTGAGATCGATTTTGGTGACTCGGAATCTAGAGAAGTGCACCGTCACCTCTATGTCGGGGTGATTGATTGAAGCGACGATCGCTTGAGTGAGGGGTTCAAGGACGGTGTTGGACGATGGGACAATGACTCCCAATCGTACTCGCCGCACCATCTTCCTTTACGGTTTGAAAGCAATTTAGCAATCCACTACTCCGTGCAGAATACCTCCGACAAAATGAGGTCAACAAGACGTCGTGATGGAGGAGCGAAGTCGCCACTTTGTTATCCGCGACCACCACCACTTTCGGAGTTGGCCGTTTCTTCTGATCTAAACATGTGCCGCTAGATTCTCTCTTCCTCGATGTCTTCCATGCCGCAGCAATGCTGGCCAAGTCTTTTTGCAAGAAGGTTCAATACGTATAGCCTACTGTACGTGGCCATCTTCGCCATGTCAGGTCAAGCTTCAAATCGAGAAATGTTGACCGGCGCTGGGCGCAACATGTAATTGGCGTAAACATAAGGATATCTCCCATTGGCTGTCTGCACGAGGCTGCATGGTTTGATACTGCCTACCAGCTCTGTAGCGATCCTACAAAAACGAAAATCGACATAACAGAAGCATTATAGCAAAGGACAAACGGGCAAAAACAATCGACAGCCAGGATTCCCAAATGGTCACCCACTTCAGTACTAACTAGCCGATATCGAGCTTAAGTATAAGCTGAGCGAACGGGAAGCGCTGCAATCTCGTTGGCTCGAGTGCGAATACGTGAACATGTGAGAGCCGACTTCCGATATTCGTCAACCTAAACACCCCCCACGCCCCCCTTTCCTTCTTTTTCCCTTCTGACATATCTGTACCCTCCCATACCCATGTGCGACGTTAACGAGACCAGAGCTCCCTCCAACCTGCTATCTCTTTCATATTCGACGAAGACTGGAGGGTAGGTGAGGTGGACTTGTGGCCTACCGCTCACGCATACGGTTCGAGGATTGGTCACTCTGACTAACAGGTCGATGGCGCTATTTCTGGATTGTGACGAGATAAAACGATGTCATTACCTCCGGTATTGACCTACTCAAGGGGGTCGCAGACCGCTTCACAAGGCATTGCACTAACTAAAATCACAGGCTCGCCTGAAGGACAATCAAGGTGATTCCTGTCATTGTTGTCAGTAAGTCGAGTGTCTCCTATCCTAGTGGAAATAAGGACCCTTCCGCAACTTCTTCTCCTTGATTGCAACCCGCGCTTTTTACGATGTCTCTGCTGTGCTGTAACGGCGGGATGGCATCCGGCATAGAACAAGTCGATGATAATGATGAGTTTGAGCGTCAGAAATGGCGTCACATCTACGAGAAGGCATGGTGCCGGTAGGTTATTTGGTATTCTCATGAAACCTTGCACAAGACTGACATAGGGTCAGATTCTGGAAAGAACCTGTTGGGCAGGACCCCGACAAGATCCTCGAAAACTGTACGGTTGGCGAGCTTTCCACCTACCTGCGCTGGCACTTGGACAACAGGACAAGAACTGCACCCAATGAACCTGCCAAGGTAGGCTCGATGAAGAGACGGATTGACGCATTGGCGAGATTACACATTGTCAAATTCAGAAAGCGTATGAGTGAGACTGTCAAGAATGAAGCCCGCAGTGCAAGTATCAGCAAATTTTTGATGTACCCAGCTGAATGACCATCGTACAATTAGTCCATAAGGGCGGTGAATTGTTCAAGACTTACAATTTGCGGACAGACACCAAGGAGCCCACCACAGTCTCCCTGGATGACTTCCTTGTCTTGTTGTATAACCTGTGGTTGAGTGCCTTCGCCTACTTCACCTGTGGAAGTCTGCGCATCCGGCTGCACCTCCTCCTTTTGCTGATAGCATATAGCGGAACGAGGCCAGGCGCGGTTCTTAGTGGCCGCAGTCCAGAGTCACTGAAGCAGGGGAAGTACCTCCAATGGGCCGACTGTAAGCTTGTCCTTCTGAAGGACGACCGACCGTTACGTTTACTGGAGGTAGCATTTAGGCACCGCAAAGGGGATGCGCATGGGTAAGTACAGCGATCTGAGGATGATTGCTCTCTGACTAGGGCCTAGGGTTACGTTCTTGTTTGAGGAGAATCCCTTACTTGCACTTTGCCCCATCACAATTTTCATCACGGTAGCGCTTGAAAGCAACGCCTTCCACCCTGGGAGTGGAATTAGAACCCTTGAAGACATCGATAAATTGAGAGTACCCTGCGGCGGCCTGTATGTGGGTCCTCAATTATTAGTTGCGAAAAGAGTAACTAAGCTGAGCCACCTTTATGCCGATATAAGATGCTAACCAATGCAGAGCACTTGACCACATCAAACGCCTTCACGCAAAGCTTTTCCCCAAATAGCCTTCTAGGGGTATGTGACCTCAGGACTGGCCTTAGGGGTTGCGCTGGTTGTCGGTACAACGTAGATGGGAAGATAGGAGGAACTCGGTCGGGGGAACGTAGACTAGCATAAGGTGCCATGAGTTGACCAATGCGTCGACTTTGGACGAGAAAACCTTGGGCGTTCAGCTCTTCTGCTCGGCTAGAGAGTTCTTCGATCGTCACACTCAACGGCACGTTGGGCATTCCCATCCCAACTAGTGCAACAGGGCAACTTTTTGGGCCCTACTTTTTTTCCGCGGGTTGTGACACCCGTAAAAGAAGCGGGGCCAGCTATAGTTGAAGAAGTGACGTGGCCGTAAAACCCCTCTTTGAGTCATCTCAATGGTTCACAGTGTCGTTCGTTGGCGTTCGAGCTTGGAATGCAGATATCGTCCTGTCCAGGGTAGCAACCTGACCGCAGCTCCACAAAAACTGCCTGCAGAGTGAGTATTTCCCATAACGCTGATACGTGCGCACTCACACGGCAGATGAAGAGCATAAGCAACACGTCTGGGATAAATTCGCGTGGATAATGGGCCATGGGACCAATCCGTCGTCAGGTGTTGCTTATAGTTAGATCTGTAAGATCTCCTGAAGTTGCTCTCAACCCCACAGCGGGTGGAAGGGAACGGCTCTTACGACCAGTGAACCGGTCTCTCTTGAGGTCTCCTACTCTCATGGACCCAAAATGGTGGACACTGAAGACGCCTCTATTTATCATCAGCAGGATTGGCAACTTGGTGATAGTGTCACCACTCTTTCCGGTCCAGCTGAAAGCATGGCTTTGCTTCAAATGGACGGGTCGACCGATCAATTTGGTTCTAACTAGGTTGTGGAAATGGATCGAATCTCCTTCTCCAATGGAACAGTCAATGGTATAAAGAGGCTCGCGAATCTGCTTTGGGGACAGCCGGACGGATACCCTTTTCTCGTCTCAGATCAACAGCCTTGCGAGAGTGCCCGATCAGCAATCAAGGATTCGGGGAAAGATTATAACATACCAGGATGGTGCTCTAAGATAAAAGGACTATCGAACCAGTTCGCCTTCTCGGTTCTACCACTTTATGTCCAGAACCACCGAAAATGTCCCGTCTGCCCAAGCATCAATTGCATCATGAGAGTCGTATCCAAATACTGGCTCCAGCACCGATCAGAGGCCCCTCCGACGTTTCGACGGTCCATTTCAGCGTTCGTCTCCCTATTTTACAACACTCAGATACGGGTGGGTGCAGGGTCCGGCAGATATGACACAACCTTACGACGTGCCGAAGTACGAGACCATGGACTTATCTTACTCTGCGACAATGAGAACCACAGGGACAGCGACAGCGACACTATAGTGGAGGTTGAGGTTCGCTGCGAAAGCTTCTCGCTTAGTGCTTCAGGAATCAATTTGGCAGACGTGATCCATGACCTCGCCAAGGGCCTGCTTTGTCCTCGAACTCAGCCATTGATGGCAAATCACATTGTATGGAGGTCGACTTCGGATTATCAGCAAGATCCGATCCAGTTTCCTCACGAAATTCAATCGACTCACTGTTGTCATTGACCCCTCCCTGGGCTTGCCGACTCACGAACGGGACGAGGCAATATACCACCTGGAAACCCGCCTATCTTATGAACGTGAAGTCCGCACTTCCGAAGAAATGGAGCACCTGTTGAAGGACGTTCGAGGACGTGTAATACCGAAAGGCCCACGCAGTCTCGAGCAGGGCCTGTGGGGAGCTGCTGCGTCGATCAATTACATACACAGTCCAACGCTCAGGATGGGCATGATCCAGGCGCTGAGGAAAGTCATCCGGCCGGCGCTCGTGGCCTCAAGGCCTATTCGAGATGCGATCTGTCTTCATGATATCTTCATCAATCCGCCTCAGGCCTTGAAACAGGAAGATTATGAAGAGTTGACTCGTGCACGGCAACAAAATGAAGGCATTTTGGTCCAGCTAGTCCAAGATTTGTGGTCGGTTATTGGAAGGCCTGTCCCCGCTGCCGTTCCGAATGAAGCCCAAAGTTTTCGGAGTTTGATGTTACACGTGTTTGCGCTGCTTCAATATTTCCCGGCAGGGCTAGCGAAGACTCAAGAAGAGATGGACGTGGAACATTATTCTCTCACGGCCCTCGACCACGGAGTGTGTCTGAATTTCCCTTCGGCGGAACGGCGCTTCACGTGGCCAGAGTTGGAAGCAGCTTTTCGAAAGGGAGACATGACACATCTACTTGGTCTTAGGTTCAAGACTCTACCCGATATATTCACCCAGATACCACCATTCGAGGGCCTCTACGAGACCTCTTCTCCGACCCTTCAGAAAGGTGCTATTCAGGAAGGATTAGGTCCGACACTGACCTATACATGCTATGCAAGAACTTCGGCAATTTATGAATTGATCGGCCCACTCCGGCGAGAAACTATGTTCTTGTAAGGCCGGTGCGACGATATAATGTCGATCGCGACTGGGTCTATCAGGAGTCCAGTTATCCTTTCACCATGTATACCTGCTTCGACGGCCATGGTCAGCCGGTTCGTTCTATCAAGGTTGCGGAATACAATTTCGAGCACCAGTGGTTCTTTTTTATGGCAGTGATTCTCGATGAGAAGTGCGGGACTACACCGTGTCAGGATCCAGGGATTCTCCAACTGTCTCAGGTATTACCACTATCACCACCGATGGTGTACAATTCTAACCAGAAGCAGAACCAGTCCGGTTCCTTACTTAGCGGTCTGGACCCTTCGTGCAAGAGCTGCATTCGATATCGCCGGATTGTAAAACCTTACGGGAGATTCTGAAAAGCCTGCTCACCAAAACTCGCGCTCATGTCCAGAGTCACCTCGCTCGCGAAAGACCGCCAAATGACGTGGTCGACTATAGCACGCAGTTGGACCTTGAGTTTCATTGCTGGCTGGTCATTCAGTGTTGCACTTTCATTGAGGATCGTCTCCCTGGGCATGATCATTATCTACTTCGCACCGCTCTTCCACAGCTGAAATGGCACGTCGAAGCGGCGAGGCGTTTATGTGTACCGTTTATTAGCAAAGACTCTGGTCTCGAACGACATACGGCCTGTGAGTCGGGGGACGACCGCGGAAGTCTTCCTCTTCAAGGAAACACTTTGGAGGAGCCGTTTCAAACTCCGAACAGTTTTCATGAATTCAGCTCCTTCCTCAAGATCCGTCCAATCATCTGCTATCGAAGGTGTCGGACTTTTCCCTCGCATCTATGGATCGGCCGGCCCCAGAGTAATCAACGAATGCAAAATTGCATCGCATACGGAGATCGACTGGAGGGGACACGACCAGTGCCAGCACCAACAGCCTGCTCAGTGGATATGTCCCGAAGCAAATTTGCCGGATGTCTTTCTTTCACAAATCTACCCACCTCGACGACCATCTCTGGAATGATCATGCGAAGACTTGTGATCTAACAGAGAAATCAGCTGGTGGCATGTCAGACAGAACCACCAACAGTCTTTCTTCTGTCCTCCCTGTGATAAAGTTATTCACACACAGTCTCATGGGTTTGGAAGTGACTGAAGAACGTTTTCGTCATTTACGTACGCACATCCGACCCAGGGATCAGACGCCGACATGGTCTGGGTTGAGAGGGAAGGCCGACGAACACATACAGGAATGGAACGGAGATAGTCCCGAACAAGTAAGAGTGTGGGGGCTATGGTAGGGCTATGACAAGGGGAGAAACAAAATTCCTAGAGTTCCAGTGGGACGCTTTAAGTGAGTGACAGCTACGGGACCGAAGCGGAGAGGCCTATCGGTGGCATATCTAGACAGTTTGGGAAGGCCAATCTTCACAATAGCTGATAGAGACCTGAGTATGGACATGGAAGAAGAATATATTCAAGTCGATCCCGCGGACTTCTACATCCCGAAAACTCAACTTTGGAAGAGCATGGTAACCCGACAATAACATCGCCACTCTTTCCAGTCTAGCCGAAAGCGGACCTCCAAATGGAAAGCTCGATCGATCCATTGTCGCTTTACGAATTTAAATTGACTGCGGACCATACTCTCGCCATCTCTACCCGTCCGCTTGGCATGAGTTGGGCTAGAGGCACCAGCTCCAACGCAGAAAGGGAAAGGACTTCAAACTGGCCGATGTGATTTGCTTCCTGCAGGCCGGCTTGAAACTGCGCTTTCCGTGAGAGGAAATCGCTGCTTTCAAGGACTGCGTCCACACGGTTGCTATTGAGGCTGTTGAGAGCTTCGAGCATCCAGCCTTCAACCTGCTTCGGGACCGCCATCCCGTCTTGCAATGCGAATTGCAGGTTTTCACGTTGTGCCTTCGACAAGAAAGAGAAGAGCAAACTATAAATAGGAATTCCAATTTGGCCGGATAAGCAGTGGTACGCCTGGATATATGGTCAAATGTTCCAGGTCATGACCACGAAAACGCCAACGGCCGTGGAGATTTCCATCATATACGAGCGCGATGGGATAACGCCGCCGCCGCCCAAGTAGGAGATTCGTCAAGACATGTCGGAGCTCAACGTGCAGGGAGTCTACTTCTGGTGAGACGGTCTTGGTTATGCCGGGGAAATTCTCGTGCTCCCCAGAGAGGTGACACCACCACTTCTCCCCCCGGCACAAATTTCTTGATTACAAATGATGAGCTCCAAAGGAATGCTAACGTTAGGTGGATGAACGGTAAGATATTCCGATCACCCACTTTTCCGGCTCTTATGGATATGGACGTTGACCAAACCGGAAGAACATATGCAGTTACCTTATGCGCCGAGGAAAACTTGGCCCCGGGCCGATCACTAGTTGGGGCAAGAGCTTGACGAGACCCGGTCATATCGGTTGAGCGGCCGCTCCAAAGTGCCCGGTGAATGTCTTCGACGACCTGTGGATTTCCTACCGGCTGGATGTCTGTGAGCGAGTCCGCTTGTTTCTCCGAATTGCTGCCCAGGATCTTGTCTCTATGGGTACGGAATGCTTCCCAGAGGAAATTTTCATCGGTACCAAAGTCAAAAAGCCATGCAACAAGAGTCAGCGCAATCTCCCATCCTTGGACCTTCCAATTGGACCCAGTCCTGGAAATGTGACTGTCCAGTTCGGATATGTATTGCGTGGCGTGTACACAATACTCATGGATCCAGCCGCGAGTGAACAAGACACCTCCGGCGGTGACGAAGGAATTCTCAAACCTAGGGTACTTCTGTATCGCCAACTCGGATTTCTCTAGGAACGGTGAGAAGAGAAGCATGATCGAATTCCGTGCATTGACAAAGGGGATGCCACTGGTGAGAGCCTTGGAATAATGAAACTGTTGCCGCACAATATTGGGCCGGGCCAGCACGGCAAGATGGTGTTGAATCCTCTCGGTCGTAGGTGAGCGATCAGCAGCCCGGTTATACCATGTGGGAATTTGCTCTCGCCCGGCCGTACCGTCCTCTGAAAATGGTCGTGCTTGATTTCGAGGCACAGGCAAAGATTTTGATTGACGCGAACGAATTCCTCCAACCTGGGACAGCCAGATGGTATTCAGAACATGGCATTCCATATCGACATGGCTATTTGTTCTGGGGTCCTCCCGGGACAGGCAAATCAAGCATGAGTTTCGCTTTGGCAGGTGTATTTGGACTCGCTATATATTGCCAGTCACTGACTGAAGTTATTCCCACTGAGGACGCACTGATTGCTCTCTTCAATAGACTTCCACGGCGATGCATATTCCTCTTAGAGGACATTGACTCTACTGAGCTTTCCCGATCTCACCCCCAAGAGGAGGAGGAGAACGACCCAAGCGTCGTGCCTGGGGAAGCCAGATAATGCTATTAGCATTTCTGGCTTACTGAACGCTATTGATGGCGTAGCGTCTTCTGAAGGTCGAATTCTGATTATGACAACCAATTACCCGGAGGCGCATGACAGTGCACTCGTGCATCCGGGAAGAGTGGCTATGAGGATTGAGTTCAAGCTGGCGAGTAAGCAGCAAATCAGAGAGCTGTTTCTCTGTATGTACGGTGACGACGCGAAGGATGCTGGTAGGTGTCCAACAAAGCTCAGTGGCGCCCTTAGCCCCGCTCAGATTCAGGGTTTCCTTCTGACCCACAAGAAAGATCCAGCGAAAGCTGTGGAGGAATGTAGCTTCTTACTAAAGGAAGCTAAGGTGGAGGCAGGTGCGGCACCATAGACACAGCGGCCCAGGCTTGTCAGTAAAGCAGATATCCAGCTGACAGTCGTGCCGGGGGTCTTGATGTCTGAAGCTGGAGTCAAGCTGACAATATACGGACCTCTCCTTCTTCCTCGCAACTATTGGTTTGAGGTCCGGGCTAAAGAAATGAGTATCGCAGACATACTACAGCCATCTTTTAGAGACAGACTCGAAGAACTCTGACTTGACCGAGTGTAATGGTTAGTGGGATAGCAGACTTGGTGGTGGGGATAGAGGAATTCATAGTCTCTGACCCTGATTCAGTGATATCAGGAACGGTAATCAGATATACAGCCTAGAGCTCTGTCGTTGAACTTTCATTGAGCACGCTGGCCGACTTCACCACGAGCAGCAACGGACGTCTTACTTTACGCGCTTTCGATGGCTGGCTTGTACGTATAGCCGAGCAAGACCTGCATCCGACTTATGCGAAGAATAGGGTCTTGGTAGTCACCGTGAAACACTGATGACTACGAAACGCGCGTTGGTTGTTCATGGCGACCAAAAACAAGGCCGTCCCCTGCCAAATCTTCGTAGAAAGGGTAATCACATTGACCATAATCTCCGTAATCGCCGTTGCCCAGGCAGGTAGATTCTATGCCTGCAAATCCTGTTGGTGAGTCCGCTCGCCGGTCGACACATTGTCTGGAGGCGTCTTCAGATATTGAGCAAACAGATGAATGAACATCTGAGTCGTATTATTGAGAGCCGTCTCTATTATTTCTATCCTCACCGTAAGGTCTGACATCATGGAGGTACGGACAGTTCGAAGCTCTTGTAATGGGTAGTTTACCGCAGTGAAGAGATGCCGGCCGGCAGGTGGAAGATCTATATTCGGTAGGATTGCCGAGTACTTGGCAAGTCATATCGTTTGCCCGGGACTTGTTCTTCCAGTGCAATACAGGTCAGGTGCTTCCACGAACTCGATCAGGGGTCCCCCTTTTCCGCCCTTCTTCATGATTATATAAAGGGCGAAAGTTCAGTTAACTAGTTAATCTTGATGCAATTACAAACTGCACGTGATAGAATCCGGCCACCGTTGCTGTCGCTCAATGAGGCTATGCATCCACCTGATAGGTCCCAAGACCCTGGCATCTGCCTAAGCGCCCGGCACGCAGACTTGACGACAATGCTGGCAGTCAGCCTCATCTTGATATCACTTCGAGTCGAAGTCAACCTTCCTGTTTTCCTGTTCATCGATGGCCTATTTATGCTTTCTTCTACGCTGTAGGATATGACCTCATGGCTTCCCCAAAGCCGCGTCGAAAGCGTGATCGAGTGTTCCAGTGGATTTCTGGCACGTCCACTCGCCCTAGTAGTCACCACTCGGCATTATCCGCAACCTCCACCTCTCCGCCCAACCCAAATCCTTCAGGAACGTCGATCGTCGGCGCACAGAGTTTCGAAGATCGAGTCTTCCTCTGTCTCTCTCAGCAAGAGCAAGACACTATTCGACAATATACAGTGTCAAATGCGGCGGACATCAATACAATCGTACGGCAAGCGCTTACGGCGACTAGGCAAAAGCAGGCGATATGTCAATCTAAGAGGTGGACTTTTCAGTTCGGTGGACAATCCGTTGTCTTGCAGAAGAAGGCCGACAATATCGTGAGCTGGCTGGATCGATTCAAGGCCGTGGGAGATGTAGTCTCTAATGCAGACCCTATCCATGTCGGTCTGCCCTGGGCTGGCATCCGTCTTCTCCTCGAGGTAGCGTTCGTTATTAAGTGTGGTGGACGAATTATACTAACTATACGCAGGCAGCCACTTCGGAGAAAAGCCAAATGGCGGCTCTTCTTTTGGGTCTCGAAACAGCTCTCTACCTATCGAATCGACTTCAGGCGTATATGACTTATATGGCTACACTACCTCCCAGCCTGACACGGGGCAATCTCGAATCCTGCCTGATCGAGTTTCATGCCCTGATATTACGGTTTCTAGGGAAAGCCATCCGGCTCTATCAGAAGGGCAGCATCACCCGCGTATTTGACGCATTCTGGCGGGTCGAAGACGTGTCGACATTTGAGGACGAGTGCCACAAGATGGCCAACCGTGCCGATATCGAGGCGAGCACCTGTAATCGACATTTGACGGCTAAGCAGCACGAAGAGTTACGTCAAACTTTACTGAAGCTCGATGCTATTCACACAGTCCAGGGAGCGGTTGAGAGGCTAGAACATAAACTCAACCTTGACAAACTCCCTGTGGCAGTTGGTGCGGCGTTTAATTCTTATCAAGATGAACTTGATGCCCGATGCCATCCCGACACTCGCGTCGACTTACTCCGGGATATTTACACGTGGGCAGGCCAAGCCGACGGTAAATCCATCTTTTGGTTGAATGGTGGCGCCGGGACCGGCAAATCCACGATATCTCGCACGGTGGCGCAGACCTTTTCCGATCATGGCCGGCTCGGGGCCAGTTTCTTCTTCAAGCGAGGAGAGCGTGATCGTGAGAATGCGAGGTTGTTCGTCTCGACCATCGTTCGCGAAATGGTGCGGCAGATACCGGCGTTGAGACCTCATGTTCATCAGGCGATCGAGGACGATCCAGAGATCGCAACCCGGGCACTGAAGGAACAATTCGACAAGCTGATTTTCCTGCCTTGCACTAAAGTTGGCTCTATCCCGTTAGCGAGCGTGGTATTAGTGGTCGACGCCCTCGACGAATGTGACCGCGAGGGCGATATCAACGTTATGATCGCTCAACTTTCCCGCCTGCGAGAGTTAAGGACCATTAGTATCCGTGCCTTCCTCACCAGCCGACCAGAGGTGCCAATTCGCCACGCGTTCACGGAAGTGAGTACTGCTAAACATCGAGATCTCATTCTCCACAATATTCCGCCTTCGACAATTCGACACGACATTTCTATATATCTACAAGATGAATTCACGCGGATTCGAGATGCACACCGACGTCTATCGGATCAATCCGTTCCTCCTGGCTGGCCGGATGTTGAATCTCTTAACGCTCTAACTGACTTAGCGGTGCCGCTCTTCATCGTTGCAGCGACAGTCTGCCGCTTTGTCGGTGACTTGAAAGGCAATCCACAGAAGCGACTCCGTCAAGTCCTCGACCAACCTATCGGACAGAGATCACAACTCGAGCTGACATACCTTCCAGTGCTCCGTCAGCTATTAGCTGGTGTTGACGATGCCGAGGAGAAGGAGCAGCTTTGTCGTGATTTTCATGAGATTGTAGGCTCTATCGTCCTCCTTGCCAACCCTTTATCGACAACATCCTTAGCCAAGCTACTTCAAATTGAGAAGACGGATATTGACGACCAATTGCGGTGTCTCCACTCCGTCCTCTGGATCCCCTCCGATCCTAATGCACCAATTCATCTCCTTCATCTCTCCTTCCGAGAATTTCTGCTAAAGAAAAGGCATTCTGATCTTGGACGGCAATTCACGATTGATAAGCCGACCGCACATGGATTTCTACTCGACAAATGTCTCACACTTCTCCGAGGTTCCCAGGGCTTACGTAAAGATATTTGTCACCTAGAGCGCCCGGGAATACTCCGAAGTGAGATCAGTTATGCAACTATCAACGCGTCTATTCCTCAACATCTCCAATACGCGTGCTGCTTCTGGATCTTTCACCTCCAGCAGAGTGAACGCCAGATCCGGGACGGCGACGAGATTGACAGTTTTCTCCGGACGTATTTTCTTCATTGGCTTGAATGTATGAGTCTTATAAGTAAAATCCCGGAAAGTATTGGCTTGATTACTACATTGCAGTCACAAGTGGCCAAGAAAGACAGCCAAGTCTCTACGTTCATGGAGGATGCGCGACGGTTTACCCTGACCTTTAGCTCTATCCTCGCACAGGCGCCATTGCAAGTGTACGGTTCTCCCTGGCATTTCAGCCCATTGAAAAGTCCAGTTCGACACACATTTAGAGGACAACGGTTACCAACTATACAAATACGAAGCCTACTATCGGAACAGTGGAGTGCGTGTCTACAGACTTACGAAGGGCATTCCTCCTTGGTGAACAGCGTGGTGTTCTCGCGTGACGGATCGCGCGTGGCGTCCGGCTCAGGCGACAGCACGGTGCGGGTGTGGGATGTGCAGACGGGCGAGTGTCAACATACGCTCGAAGGGCATTCCGACTGGGTGAACAGCGTGGTGTTCTCGCGTGACGGATCGCGCGTGGCGTCCGGCTCACACGACAGCACGGTGCGGGTGTGGGATATCACTAGCGCGACAGAGGTCCTATGCCATAATACTTATACCACTATGAACGACATCGAATTCAGCGATGATGGCTCAACTATTCTGGTAAATGGTGAACTCCTGCCTCTTCCACCGCAATTACCGTTATCTTCCACAACGCAGCCATCGAATTCGGACGTCACTTCTCGGAGGAAGCTAGGACTTGGTGGTGAATGGATTATGTACGGCTCAGAGAGGATCTTATGGCTACCTCCTGAGTACCGTCCGGGTGACTGGGCAAGTTATATGGATATTGTGGCTATAGGGAGCGGTAATGGTCGAGTTACTATCGTCTCAGTGACTAGGCCCCATGGCATTAATGGCTCGGAGGAGAAGACATGGTAGATTGATTTGGTTACGTATATTGACTAGTCAGGTTCACTCTACATCGAGCAATCCTTCTTTCATTCCTCGATATAGTTGGTGGTTTTTGAAACTGAGGTCGCCGCGAGGTCGTCCACGCCGGAAAGCCATGACAGGAAGGTGTCCCAGGTCGCGTGAGAACCCTGCCACTCACTCATGTTAAAGCAACAATCACGAGCTCGAGTCAGTTTTCCTTGGCGACTACAGGGTAATGGAAGCAGGGCTTGTGAATGAGAGCCTAAATAGCTTCTTCCAATGATGGCGAGTTCATCCCTACTGAAAGCGGCTATTTACAATGGATAGTGTTTCTTCAACGTAATTGGCTCCCTTGCCTCTTTCCACCTTAACCATTTTTAGTGAAGCTAAAGTACCGTGGACTGGATCCACCCATCATTGAAAGAGTTGTCTGTCTGTCAGAGTGACGCCGATTCTGCACATTACTGTACGCGGAGAGACCTTATTTGACCTTATTTGAAAGACTGTATCTGGAGCGGGTACTCGCGGGGACATCCCGGAACTTTTGATCATAAAACGCTTCATCGCATCGAGGAAAAAGGCCTCAGGGGGTAAGCGCGCACCCCGCAGAGGACACGTGTCCTTAGCGCCGGCTGCACCCGCACCCAATGACCACGATGAATCGAACTCCAAGCAGCGCGACCATCACCGTATCGCCAGAAAAGCTCGCCCGAGCACCTCGAAGCAGGCGTGCACCGGCACCGACCTCCAAAGTCCGCGAGAACCAGGCATTGTACCGCACGCGCCGAACGACTCGAGCCGAGAAGACTCTACCATCACGTTTTCGGGATGTCGAAGACAGCGACGACGATTATGAGGAGAACGGAAACACCGCAGCCAGCCTGCAGGAGCTGGTTGCCTTGGTCAAGGACCTCAAGAACACTATTGATCAACAAAACGAGACGATCCAAGAGGCCCAAGCCGAGTTGAAGGAGTTAAAGGAAGAACAGCAATGTGTGAAAGAACAGAACTGCGAGCTCAAGGATGAAATCGGCATGCTCCGGAATCAACTCAGTAGCCTGTCCGCATCTTTGCCCTCGACACAGTCATGGGCGTCCATCGTAGCAAGCCAAACAGGGTCAAATTCGACGCACGGGACATCTGACCGAATAACCACGTACGCCAACCATGTCGCAAGCCATCCCCCCAACCACTGGGCCGCTACAGATACGCTGTACTGCACGATCGACGCCTCCCGAGTGACAGAACAGGACATGGACAAGACCTCTCCAGGCGCCATCAGGGCGACGGTGGAGAAAGAGATGCGAACCGGTGAGGGACAAAACAGTTGGCGCTGCCGGGCTGTGACCAGAGATGCAATGAACGCAAGCCGCGTCAAGATCGCATGCAGAGACGAAACCGAACTGCACATGGTCAAACAGGTGGCGGAAACGAAGATCGCACCCGGCATCAGAGTACTCCGGGACGAGCTCTATCCCGTCAAAGTGGATAATGTCAATCGTCTGGCAATTCTGGATGCAAATGGAAATGTTCAGACGGGGGCAGCAGAGGCCCTCAGTCAAGAGAACGAGACAACGGTGGCAAAAATCGGATGGCTGAGTAACAGAACCGTCGCCAAGGCCTATGGCTCCATGGTGGTCTACCTCACGAAAGGCAGTGACGCGGGTCGCTTTCTGAGGGAGGGATATTTCCATGTGGCCGGAGAATCTGGTTACGCCCGGACGTTTGAACGCCGGTCACGCCCAGAGCAATGCTATACTTGTCAAGAGCCAGGTCACAAGGCGTTTTAGTGCAAGAACACCCAAAAATGCGCGAGGTGTGCTAATGGAGGCCATCGCCACCGCGAGTGTACCGCAACGGTTCTGAAATGTGTGCCATGCGGAGGCCCTCACGAATCGTACAGCCGAAACTGCCGAAAGCTCTACCCATCTCCTCACGAATAGGACGTTTCATATGATCCAGCTCAATGTGAGAAAACAAGGCGAAATACACGACAGCCTGATGAATGACGAAGATATACAAGACGTGATGATCCTCGCGATCCAAGAACCCCATGCACGAACAATCCAAGGGAGATTGTTGACAACACCCATGGGTCATCACAAGTGGACCAAGATGGTCCCCCCATAGTACAGGGAAGGGAGATGGCCAATTCGGAGCATGCTGTGGGTGAACAAAGAGATGGAGGCGGAGCAGTTCGGGATCGAGTCCCCGGACCTGACGGCGGCGGTGGTTAGACTTCCGGAGCGGCTGATCCTAGTGGTCTCGGTCTACATCCCACCAGGAGACCCGCAAGCTCTGCGAGAGGCGTGTGACCATATGCACAAGGCGGTGGAAAAGGTGAGACGAGAGGCAGGCGCGGTGGTGGAGGCAGTGTTCGCGGGAGATTTCAATCAGCATGACCAACTTTGGGGAGGAGATGAGGTGTCCCTCGTGAGACAAGGTGAAGCCAATCGGATCATCGACCTAATGAGCGCCCTCGCCCTCAGTAGCTTGCTCCCTCGAGGGACCAAGACGTGGCAGGGAGGACCGTATGCAACCACTATCGACCTGGTCCTAGCCTCGGAGGAACTGGCAGTGTCGACAGTCAAGTGCTCGATACACAGGAATGAACATGGATCTGACCACCGGGCGATCGAGACGATCTTTGACGTTTCCGTCCCGATCCCAAAGCAGCAAGAACGGCTCCTGCTTAAGAACGCACCGTGGAAAGAAATCAAGGCCAGGATTGCGAAGACGCTGAACGCCCGTCCTTTCGACGGGACAGTACAAACCAAGACAGACACGCTAATGTCAGCGGTGCTGGAAGCGGGACATACTCTCACGCCGAAGGCTCGGCCATCACCGTATGCAAAACGCTGGTGGACAGCTGACCTGACGCAATTGAGGCGCATCTATACCTGCTGGAGAAACCGCGCCCGAAGTGAACGACGGGCAGGGCGACTCGCTGCAAGCCTGGAGGAGACAGCCAGGGCCGCCGCCAGGCAGTATCATGACGCGATCCGACAGCAGAAGAAGAAACACTGGAGCGAATTTCTCTCGGACAATGACAACATCTGGAAAGCTGCGAAGTATCTGCAGTCCAAGGATGATACAGCGTTCGGAAAAGTTCCGCAGCTGGTCAAAAGAGACGAGACAATCACGAGCGATCGTCACGAACAGGCGGAGGAGCTGCTCTCCACGTTCTTTCCTCCTTTGCCACAAGACATCGAAGACGAAGGCCCGAAACCGCAACGAGCGCCCATATCGATGCCGGCCCTCACCATGGAAGAGGTCGAACGGCGATTATTCGCTGCGAGGTCATGGAAAGCACCAGGCGAGGACGGGCTACCGGTGGTTGTCTGGAAGCAAATATGGCCAGCCGTGAGGCATTATGTGCTGGCGTTGTTCCGCGCGTCTCTCGACGAGGGTACACTACCCAGTCAATGGAGGCATGCAAAGATCATTCCGCTGAAAAAGCCGGGCAAGGATGATTACACGCTCGCCAAAGCTTGGAGACCGATCTCACTCCTGGCAACGCTGGGCAAAGTGCTGGAATCGGTGATCGCGGAGAGGATCTCGTATGCTGTCGAGACCTACGGCCTCCTGCCCACTAACCATTTTGGGGCTCGGAAACAACGATCGGCAGAGCAAGCCCTCTTGCTACTACAAGAAGAGATCCTCACCGCCTGGCGCGGGAGGAAGATCCTGAGCTTGGTCAGCTTTGACGTGAAGGGAGCCTACAATGGAGTCTGTGAAGGAAGATTGATCCAGAGAATGAAGGCACGGGGCATGCCGGAGAAGATCCTTCGCTGGACAGAGGCGTTCTGCTCGGACCGCACGGCGACCATTCAGATCAACGGGCAGGCCTCGGAGGTGCGGAGTCTGCCGCAGGCTGGTCTCCCTCAAGGCTCCCCCTTGTCCCCGATTCTGTTTCTGTTCTTCAACGCTGATTTAGTACAGCGACACATTGACAGTTGCGGCGGAGCAATCGCATTCGTCGACGACTTTACAGCATGGGTCACTGGGCCCACGGCACAAAGCAACCGGGAAGGTATCGAAGCCATTATCAATGACGCTCTAGATTGGGAAAGAAGGAGTGGCGCCACATTCGAGGCAGAGAAGACGGCCATCATACACTTCACCCGCAAATCGCACAAGTCCAACGCGGAGCCCTTCGACATCAAGGGACAACAAGTCTCACCGAAACCGCATGTCAAGATTCTGGGAGTGATCATGGATGCCAAGATCAAGTACAAGGAACACATCGCGCGAGCATCATCGAAAGGCCTCGAGGCCGCGCTCGAGCTAAAGCGGCTGAGAGGCTTGTCACCAGCGACGGCACGTCAACTTTTCACGTCGACGGTCGTGCCAGTGGTGGACTACGCCTCCAATGTCTGGATGCACGCTTGTACCAATCGACTCAAAGGTCCAATCAACAGGGTGCAACGGGTGGGAGCACAGGCGATCGTTGGCACCTTTCTCACGGTTGCCACGAGTGTCGCCGAAGCAGAAGCCGACATCGCTCCAGCACAGGATCGAGTTTGGAGGAGAGTCGTCAAGCTCTGGACCGACATCCATACATTGCCAGACACCAATCCACTCCGCCGGAAGACGTCCAAGATGCGGAGATTCAGAAGACAATTTCGCTCGCCGCTGTACGACGTGGCCGAGGTTCTCAAAGGCTTTGCAATGGAGGAGTTGGAGACCATCCACCCGTTCTTGCTAGCGCCCTGGGAGAAGCGAATACAGACGTTCACCGACGGCACCACCCCGGACCAGACCGATGTCGCAGCGCGGGTGGCCGTCAGTTGCTCAGCACGTAACGGCGTGGTAGGGTTTGGCGTGGCGACCCAATTGGCAACATCATCGCGCCGTAAGCCAAAGCGCAAGACCATTTACTCCACGATTGGATCGAGGTCACAACAGAATCCGTACTCCGGAGAACTTGCGGCCATGGCGCAAGCCCTGAAGCAGCTTCCGCCGCTCAGGTTCCGCAAAATCGCGCTATTGACGAGTAACAAGGCAGCGGTGCTCTCACCGAGACACCCACGCCAACAGTCGGGACAGGAGTACATTTGTCACATCTATGTCTCCATACGACGGCTACAGAGAAAGGGCAATACGATGACAGTCATATGGACCCCGGCACACGACGACGACAAGCTAAAGAAGTACGCCAAAGACAGAGCACAGAAAGCAACCAGCCCAGAAAGCCATCCACCACGCCAGCGACCTGGGATGAAGTCCACCATGCTCAACGCCGCGCGGGCCAAACGAGGCACCACTAGATGTTTGCCAGAAAAGGTTGGGGCATATTCCAAGAGAGTGGACACAGCGTTACCGGGCAAGCATACAAGGAAGTTGTACGATAATTTGGCATGGAACGAAGCGAACATATTGGCGCAACTCAGGACCGGCATGGCAAGACTGAACAGCTACCTTCACCGGATCACTGCAGCTCCAAGCGATCAATGCGCGTGCGGGCACGCACGAGAGACAGTAGATCACTTCTTATTCCGATGCACCAGATGGACGACTTTCCGTACGGAGATGCTCCAATGTACAACAAGACACAGAAGCAACCTGTCTTTCTATCTGGGAGGAAAACAAATGGCAGATGACAAGTCTTGGACTCCAAATCTAAAAGCAGTTCGGACGACGATACGATTCGCACTGGCAACAGGACGACTTGACAACATTCGCTGACGAACCATAACTCAACCCTCAATCATCACATCCGTCCTTTCTCACCCTCACCTCGTGTCGCATCAAGCAGGCGCGCTTCAGCCGCCGAGGATAGGACGCTGAACACTTGAAGAAGCAACTTCAAGCCAGACTGCTACGGTAAGATTGCTAATACACGAGAATCCGTACAGACGTAGCAAGCGAGCGAGCGATCGATAAAGAGCAAAAAGTTGTATCTGTACGGGCTTCAAGGAGAGTATGCCCTATCTTGAGAAATGTATTAGTAGAATAGCTTTAGTTGCCCTTTCGGCTTAGCCGCCGGGCGTAATAAATTTTGTGTGTGTGTGTGTGTGTGTGTGTGTGTGTGTGTGTGTGTGTGTGTGTGTGTGTGTGTGTGTGTGTACGCGGAGAAAGTCTCCCATTCCTTCCAGAAATTCGGGCCCTTTTTGGCTTGCATGAATGCTTGGTTTGAGCGGTATGATCCTAGACGGTTGACCCCTAAGGACGGTTGACCCTGGGGATCAAGAGTTTGGTCCAGCTGCGACTTCGCTGTGGAGTTATGGGGTAGTCCTCAGCACGCTACATGGCCAATCATGGACGACCGCCTTTTGGCCACGGGCGACGGGGGACCCAATACGCTAATCGCAACCCGACGACCTCCCTGAGGCTAGGTAGATGGTAACATTTCAACTACAGTAATACGCACCGGTCGCCCCCCTTTCAGCCCGGCCACCCCCTTTTGCCCTCGACGGACCTCCCAAATGCCAGCCAAACCCGTTCTGGTAATCTCGCACATCTCGTGGTGAACGAGCGGACGGGAAGCACTGTTTTCTCGATTCTATGGTCGATTGCGGAGGAAAATGTGCTTCTGCAATTTATGAACCTTAACAGCTATAATCCGGCAGGTGAAGGTCCACTCTGGGACCAGCATGACGTTGTCGAGTATCACGGCGAATAGCTAGGTACCTAGGTACTACGTACTACTCAATTCCCTCGACACTCCCTGCAACTGAAGCTACAATGTGCGGCCTCTGCAGACAAGAGAACTCGATGCTGACTTAAGCCAAAGCCCTGTCGAATCTCCCACCGCAGTGCTTCCATTACAGGTTTGGGCTGATGCAGGGTTCTCACATTGCAACAATCGATGTGAAATGAATCGACACCTGCTCTTCCCAAAAGAAGATTGCAGTGGCAGGCCGGAATTGCTGAGGTTGCGGCTCGAACCAAACCCAGAGTCTAGTAGACTTCTTGTATACCCACCGGATCCTGACGATCACTTCGATAAAAGATCGCGAGTCAGAACTCAGAACAGGCTGGTGATACGCCTGGAACGAAAGATGCGGCCTGGAATCTTGTACTGGGGTAGTGCTCATATTGGTCGTGCTGCGTGCGCCGGTTTCCAGCCTGAATGTAACAACTGTTCTTTTTGAGCCAGCGTTGCTGTTCATCAATGGCCTGCTTCCCGTCTCCAGAATGATCGGAACTTTCCCTTCTCATACTCATCTTCCTTGCTCGAGGTTTCTGTTCTTCGGCTCAGGTCAACAAGGTCGTCAGCACCATTTGGCCTCATCGCTCTTTATTTTCCACTCGAGCTACAGTCACGGAGGTCTGCCTCTCCAGCGGACACGAGCCGAATCGTTCCCAGCCTCGTAGAAAAGGGAGGTTCAGGTTCAAGCTTCAGTGGTGGTTCCAGCGGTATACGTGGCGACCAGGGGGTTCATATGATGACCGTTGGCTGCATGACCTTGATTCTGCTAGTACCATACAACTCGGAAACTTTGTTTGGTAGTACCACCCTACGACAGTGGAGATTGAGGTGCACGAAGATTCAGCCTGCCGTGGATAAACCGACGCAGCTGAAGTTGTATCCGTTGAGAGCGAAGCATGTAATGCAGCCACTCACGGATGAGGAGGAAGACTACCGTCCAGTGCTGGTATCGAACGTGAGTCTGGAGCTAGGCAACTTGGCTTCGAACCGGACTATAGCATCAATAATAGAAGAAACTTCGACTTGATCCGAGAAAAATGGTCGAGGCTGAGGCTGAAGTTTGTTGAGTGTTCATGTTTACTTGCCAAGTTCTTTTTGGGGAAACTTGCCCGATACGGAAATGGCAGAATATCCTCAGTCACGAACAGAAAAACCACTCACGAGTCACACTGTCACTGTGACAGGAAACACGCTCCTGCAGCCTTGCAACATTCGCGTGGTACACGTACAACAGTCGACTGTCGTGTAGCACCAACCACCCATGGGCTGGGCGTGCAACGCGTCCCAGCCGCAAACTCCAAGACCCGTCTGGAACGGTTCAAACTTCATTGTGAGAGTACATGTATATGGCTATGTACGGCCAGGTTTTGTATTACCTAGACTGGTCCATGAGAGGCTCATTCCATCATATAGCCATCCAAGACTTCAGTGTATCTGTTATCCATGAAAGAAACCCCAACGCCGCCGTCTAAAACGCGCAAAAAAGCCGCCGTGAAACCATCGGCTTCGCCCCGAGCACACGCTACTCCCAGAACCAGTAGACAGCGGAATAGTCCACGCTGATGGTAGAAGGTTGGTCTGCACACGATGGAGGTGGACTGCCTCCTGCTGTGCTCAGTCGATAGATAGCTTTGATGTCGCCAACAGTGGTAGACCGGGATTTGAGATAGAGCCAAGGTACGGCACCGTTGCCTTGGCCGTTCACGCCGACTGGAGCATTCGATGGAGCCACAGAATCATTTGTTTTCTGGGCCGTCACTCTGCCAAGCTGCGGTCCTGAGGAAACATCAAAGGAAAATACCGGAGTGGTCGTGTTGGAGAAGAAGTGGTGGCTTGATAGGCCGAGATCAGATGGCTCGAGGGGAGAGTCTGCTCCAGACGGGACAGGGTACGACAGTGCAACAGTCGGTATCAGGTCCAACAGATCCGGGTAATCGCTGGCGACGCAGGAAGCATTGTAAAATTTGGCAATGGCGCCCACTGCGGCGGGAGTAGCAGTGGAGTTGGCACAAGTATAGTTCTATGGCCGTCAGTGTTGTTCCCAATCAACCTGTGATCACACATACCTGCACCCCCCGTCCGATAGCAACATGCACCAGCTTCAAGCCGTCAGGAGTTGGTAAAGGTGTTGGGGCGATGGGCATGGCGGCTTTTGAGAGATCACATGCTGGCGGAGAACCACCGGTAGCCCTTGCTTGCTGGATGTAGCTGTACACAACATCGAAGTAGCCTGCTAACGTCGGTGTCCATGCCATTGTATCTCTCGTAAGCGTAGGTGCCGCCAGAAGCGTGGTAGCCATCGAGGCGAGCAGAACGGCGTACCTCATGGTGAAGCGACAAGAGACCTCACTTCCGATATTACCTAGTATTAATGAAGAAAAGAGTCTGGCCGGCAGATCTGCTGAGACTGCGAAAACAAAAGCGAAAGCAAAAGGGAGGTTATGAAAATACCTGGCTGGAGGCTGGATATGGCCACTGTATATGTTTCGAAGAACCAGGGACAACCCGTCGTCCTCTGAGACCAGCCGCCAACATATAGGACATTGCAAAGTGGACTGCGCTCCTCGACAAAGATAGGTCTCTTGTCATCTTGACTGCAGATTGGCAGGAAGAAGGCGGTGTTTCTATCTTCGGCAGTCAGCTATTGGCGATTGGGCCGTTAGCGAAGGCGGACGCTCGTTCGATGGCATGAGGGAACACGAGGCGGCAAGGGGAGATTTGGCCAGCCGTTTGCAAGATCGACATGGGGAGGACAAGAATAGAAGATGCGTATTGGCGCCCGCGCCAGGGACCCTGACAAGACATTTGACAGGCGAGCAGGGCTCTTCATATACTGAGATGGCCAACCTTGACGATTTGTTTCAGAAATCCTGGCTATCCGGATGGCCGTTTGGATGCCGTTTGACGGCTGCTTGACGGCTTCCCTGCTCCCTATCAGAGTCTCGCACCAGCTGCTCACCCTGTGTGGCTGTTGGTATAGCCGCCCACCAGCCGCTACCCAACCCTGCAAAGCCCTTCATTCTTGCTTTCGACTTTGTACCAATGCATGACGTGCATACGACGAGCCGACGCCGGCTGTCAAAGCTGTACGAGCAAGCCGGTTGGACGAAGGGGTCATCCTAGTATGCTCCCGCAGCTCCTGTTCTTTTTCAAAGGCCTCGGCTACTGCCAGCATCGAGCCATCCGTGCCAGGTTTGGCAGTAACGCATGTCTCGAATGAGGGGCCAGAATCAAGCAGCCAGAGGAGGAGATGGCAATGTCGCGGCGCGCTTACATATCGCCGTGGCAGTCTAGGAAATGGAATTGCTGCCGATAGCGATCAAAATAGGCATAAGATGGAGGATGATGCATTGGCGTCAGATTGCCAAGTGCCGACGGCGTTGGCTCTCGATGGAAGCGTGATCCCCGCGCGGCAGAGAGTAGTCCGACATGACCACAGCGGACTGGGAAGTCCTGTAAGGGAAGCATACGAGGAGTCGAGTTGCGATATGCGTCGGCTGAACAGGCAATAGTGGAGGAGAGAAGAACATCTGCAACCTGAATTTACAAGAACAAATATGCAGCGGCGATGCCATATTAGGCACCCCTGCCTGCCTGCCTTGCCTGTTGTGTTTGCTGACTGCACTATAGGTATAAGACACTCTGCACATTCAAAGCACACAGAAGATCCGATCAAGCTGCACATCGCTTGTCTATACGTCGTCCCTGTTGGTCCGATCTGGGCAGTTTGAGACATAACGCCACGCTTCTCTCGAGACGAACTTCCTGTCTATCCCTCGAGCCTTGAGACCCACGTTGCAAAGCCAACACTCTTAGTCCCCTCATGGGTTCTCCCCGTGGACCAGTCCAGGCATTGCATAGCCAGGCATAAAGTGAGACCTCTGCCTTGAACTCGATCATGCCAACTCTTAGGACCTTTCCCAGTGATGGGCGCGTGTTCCGCTCCAGAAATGTTGCCTGTGGTCGAATCTGAGTGAGATTGTCAGAGAACATCCGCTTGCAGATTAAACGGCAGCCTAATACGAAGAGTTTTGTTGCCCCTCTCACGGCTGATGAATGCAAGAGGATGGAGAGAAGACAATTGGACAAAGTCAACGGTGATGCTCTTCTAAGCTGCAGTTGTGGTTTCGGTATTGAGACAACTGGCTCGAGTCTATCCAAAGTCTTCTTGATGCCAATCTGCACCGTGTGAATCAGGAGCCTGCACACCCACACCCACACCGCCAGCCGTGGCAGCTTCCCCTAGGTGGATAGCACTCCGCTCAATATCGGCTGTGCCCATCCAATATAGCATCATGAAGACCAATATGTGGAGCGCCATGCAATATGCGGCAAAGAGGTTGCGCGAAGTTCTTGTAGCAAGAACGATCCTCGTCAGGGAGAAAATGATCCTCTCTGGGAAGCTCATACGTTTATAGGCCCGAGCAGCCTCACGACCCCGGAATGCCGCAAAGGGTGATATGTTGGCTTCGTACTGGGACTTCCACCGATCCGACGTGGCATCTTCCGCAGTATAAACCGCCGTGTGTCCAGGAGCACCGGAGTATGAAGACGAAGATGTCATCGTCGGGCCACGGCTATACGCAGAGATGTATCTTGTCTTCTCGTATAAGTTCAGATTGTCTTTTTGTAGCGAGGCGACCTCCTGGCGCAGTGAAGTCACGGTCGCGTAAGTCTTTGCAAGCTCTTCCTCGAGTTGCTGGTTCTTTTCCTTGAAGCGATCTCTCTGCGCTTGAATCATTGGCAGAATACCAGAGCCTCCACCAACAGGCTCTCCAGATCGCAAAGCCTCAAGTGTGGTGCTGCGAGGTTGCATCTCGTAGCCTGAGATGATGGACGAGGTTGGCGATGCTCTGCCTCGCCGGAAGGAGCTGGTAGGGTGCCGTGAAACATGGGTCCCCGCCACAGACATTCCGGATGATGGAAGGGCATTGGCAGCCTCCTCCTGTACTCTCAGAAGATCGTTTTCGAGTGTCGATGAGAGCTTCTGGAATTTCTCCAAGTCCGCATTCGTTCGGGAAAACTCTTCTTGAAGATCTTCAAACTGGCTCTGAAGGTCTTGGTACGAAACCCGGAGCAAAGTCAGCTCGTTGCTTAGTTTCTTGTTCCGTGCAAGCAGGAGGTGTTCCAGTGATTGCTTCGAGCCACTCTCCGTCGTCCCATCCAGTCCGCCCTCAGGTGCGTCTTCATCATCTTCAACGGACAGTTCTATCGAACGGAGAGTGTCTAGCTCTCGCTTGAGATCTCCGTAATCGGACCATCTGGCTACCTTGGCTCTCAACTCCTCGTTCTCCGCCACGAACTGGGACCGTTGTCTCTCCGCTTGGCGAAGCTTATCGTCCCATTTTCGCTTCTCCGTATCTCGATCGAAGCGGAGCGATTCAATCTTTCTCAGAAGTGAGGAGTTTTCAGATTGCAAGCGTAGAAAAGATGGGTCGTCTTCGACGGCGTGACTCGTTGCGTTTTGTGACGTTGCCCGAGCTAGGTCGACACGGAGCTGTTCATTCCGAGCCTCGATCTCTGCAAGTCGGACGCTCGTCTTCTCAAGCTCGGACGTCATCAGCTCCAACTCGACATTGGCAGCTTTCGAGGCCGCCATCTCAGCAGAGCCTTCTTCAAGTCGCTGCGAGACTTCATAGCTAGCTTTCAACTCTTTCAACACCCGGTCCTGGTTCTCGACCTTCTCCTCCAGCGCCCGCTCCTTCGCCGCCCAGTTGTTTTGTTTCTCCTCCAAGACCTTCGCCCACTTCTCCTCGATTTCTTGGACTAGACTGCCTGTCCCAGCCTCTGCATCCGACCTAGCTTTGCTTTCTTCTTCCAACTTCTTCTCTGTCTCCTCTAACTGTGCGGATAACTTATTGACCCTTGAGAGCAATTGTTGGTTCTCAACGGTCAGTCGTGGAACGGTGTCTTCGGAGGCGACCAGGGAGTCGACTGAGGCCTCTAGTAGAGGGAAAGGATCGGGTGCCTCGGAAAGAGATTGATACAGTTGAAGGAACGCGGACGAGGCTGTCTTTCCATGGCCGGTAATCAAATCGATGAATCCTTGGTACGCTGGCCACCGTCAGAAGAACCACCGTATCTGAGCAGAAAGTACCTACCTTTCAGTAAGGACTTGTATTCCGTCAATTTTGCTGCATCTTCCAATTTTCTAAAGTCTTTGGTCTTCTGAGCTAGTTCCTTTCGTTCGACAAGTGCATCTCGCTGATGGGCCACGATTTCCGACGCGGTAGAGTCCAGTTGCGGCATTAACGAAGAGAGGTCAATATCTAAGGAATCAGCACCAAACAATACAGCCAGTCCGATCGGAAAACATACTGCGCCATGCTGCTAAGGCTTTCTGAAATTTGTTCTCGCCCTCGCCAGGCGATCTCTCGTCCACGACGGTCTCAGTTGGAGGGCCATCATGCTCTGCCGCCGGAGCATTGGCCTCGGTCAATGCCAATGCATCCATAGATTGAACACTGTATGGTGGTATACAGAATAGACCACCGCGATGCGCGGTGAGGTCTTGATAACGACGACAAACAGAAAGGGTTCGGTTAAGAAGACAACACCTACGCTCGAAGTACGGGATGAGGCCGCGTGCAACTTGAACTCCGGCGCGTCATATGGAGCAAGCGCAACTTTAGGCGCCGCGTTGCATTCAAGCGAAAGACTACAATTAATGTTTCCATGCGTCTCAGGTATATTGCTGAAGACAACAACAGCCTAAGAGGCCACTCAAGCCCATGAATGCCTTCTATCCTCCTTACTAGCAGCTGTCCTCCTCGGGATGGAAGCTCCCGTCGACCACGACGGACGACCAGCTAAACGACAACGACTGTCCCCGCCTGAACCAGGTCCGTATGTACTCCGCAATGTGCTGCAGGACATCCCATTGTCCACCGAGGATGGCCCTGAACAAGTATCCATCACCTGTGTAGAATACTGGAGTAGGTGAGCCCTTATCTGGTATGTTGTCACAGCTATTTATGGAAGAATAGACAACAATCTGTACATCGGGACCTCTGCGGCCGAAATCCTCCATCTTGTCTGTATACCTTCTGATCAAGAAGACGAGCGCGAACCGCCAACGTTCATTCTCGCCTCTCGACTCCAGCCCAGTGGACATGGCGCATCTAAGAGCTCTGCCAATGCGCCTGGCATTCAGCAAATACTTGTCCTCCCTGGTCCATTGAAAGCCTGCGTTCTATGCAATGGCGTCGTCTCGTTCTACACACTACCAGAGTTCAGCCCGGCATTTCCCAATAGAGAGCCGACCGGTGTGCAATGGATCGGTGGAATCGATGAGAATGAAGACTTGAACAACCCTGAAGGTCAGGTGGTTATGTTCGCGACCGCGAGAAAGATCCTTCAGGTAAGGGTGGGTGAGCGGTTGAAGCCGATCCGAAACAACATAGAATACCCTGGCTGTCTCAAGGCAAGCAGAAGAGACTCCATCGCTTGCGTGGCCGATGATAAAAGCTATGCTCTTCTGGATGTTGAGCATCAGCAGAAGATACCTTTGTTCACAATTTCTTCGCAGCCAGTCGAAGATGAAGCATCTGCTATCGACAGTGGTGGCTCGGCTTTATATTCGCCTGCAGTCGACGTAGGTGGACATAACAGAAGCACGAGTATCGGAACCCTAACGACACCGGCGATTGGGGAAAGGGATGACTTGCAGGAGTCTTCAACGGAAGCAGTGGTGAAAGCAGGCTCCGCCAATCCAGCCTCCAGCTCCAGCCCTACCACGGCACCCGATACTTCGCTCCCCGACCGAAGTCGTGGGCCAGATGAGCAGAGCCAGGGTCGTCCTCGCGCGGCAACTGATGCGCCTTCAGTCAAGGCCCCCTCGGAGGCCAACGACAAACCGCCTTCCAAGCGTCTCAGACCTCACGTCCTGTCCCCTTTCCCTGCGGAGTTTATGCTTACTACTGGTACAAGCGAATTAGAACCCGGAGTTGGTATGTTCGTGAACCTAGATGGCGACGTCGTCCGGGGTACAATCGAATTCGAGACTTATCCCGAGGACCTGATGGTAGACAATTTCTGGGTTCCTGAGCATGAGGTTACACTAATGCCAGAAAATGAGAGTCCCGTCGCGATTGCGCTGCTTCGCAAAAGTGATGATGCCACAAAACGGAGATTGGAGATTCAGAGACTGGAAAATGCATCCGAGCTAATACATCCTCGAAGCCTGGTTGATCTCCCCCCCGGAGCGGCAGAGAATACTCGAGCTGGTCTCCGTCATACATTGAGCACGCACAGGCACGTCTTTCATCTCGCGGGAGATTTTCTCCAACTTGTGCCGTTGTCGGGTGCATCGATCGCATCCCAAGAACGCAAGCAAACTTCGGAGAGTGATCCAAGGACGCAATCTGTGGTCGAGCAACTGGAGCAGGAACGTGCCTTGTTTGACAGCCAGTCGACAACACCTACCGCGGAACCCTCTGCAGAGCTCATTCAGAAACGCATTGCCGAAGAAATCAAGCTGGCAAGGCGATTCGGGCGCGCATATACGAGGAATATCGTATGGCAAGGCCAAGAATTGCTCATGATTATTCGGAACCCTTTGATCTGTCAGCTAGAACATCGGTTGATGCAATACATTGCTGATGGCAACCCTGCAAATGTCAAACCGAGCCAGATTTTTGGGTTGCTCGCAAGCATACATGGTCGTGAGCCAAAGGATGAAACAGAATTCCTCACCTTGAACTATATCAGGCAGAAGGCCAGCCTAATATTGTTTTTACACCTCGAAACTCAGGTTTCTGCGGCTGCGAGCCTTGAAGACATGTTTAGAGCGATTGAAAACACCTTGCACGACGGGGGCTTAGACCCAAGGATCATTCTTCTTCTCGCCCCTCCACTCGCCCCTGAAGTGGTGTATGGAGCTGAAGGAATCTGGCTCCATCAAGGCATGGCAGATTTGTTGGAAAACTTTCGACCGCCGATATCTCGCTTCGAAGAAGCACCGACCGAATTTTGGATGATGATGAGACACTTCCTCATGCTGTGGCAGGAAAAACGAGGATACGGCAGCATAACAGATGACAAGCACGTGTTTGATTCCGTGGATGCTGCCCTCCTTCACGTACTTCTTTATCTGGATCAAGCTCTCCCGCCGGACAGCCCGGCTCAAAGATCAGTCCGGACCAAGCTGAACAATGTGGTTGACAACTGGAAGGGCGATTTCAACCGGGCTAGACATCTGCTGGAACGATACAATCGACTATTTGTTCTTAGCCGCCTCTACCAGAGCAGGAAACAAGCGCGAGAAGTGCTGAAAACGTGGAAACGAATTCTTGACGGCGAAAAAGATGCTGATTTTGGATCCAACCCGGCATACGTGGAAGGGCAGTTGAGGCGGTATCTTACAGTCATTCGTGACGTCGACCTCGTTCAGGACTACACAATCTGGCTTGCTCAACGCAACCCCGACCTGGCCGTACAGATTCTGACTGACGACGGTGCGAGGGTCAAGTTCACTCCGCAACAGGTTGTTCCACTTCTCAAAGAACACGCACCTGCAGCCGTACAGCAATATCTGGAACACCTGGTCTTTGGAAAGCACCTCGACAGGTATGTCGACGACCTTATCGGATACTACCTCGACTCGGTCCTTACAGTGTTGGAAGGATCCGAGGAGGCTCGAACATCCCTGGCAGAAAGCTATTCGACCTACCGAGCTCTGGAACCACCCAAGCCCACCTACCTTGAATTCATCAACCAGAACGCGCCGCCGGATTCATGGTGGCAGTCCCGGTTACGGCTTCTTCAACTACTCGGGACCGGCGCCTATGCATCGAGCGGAGAGGCAAGTAAAGAACTGACTTATTCGGTCCCAATGGTTCTGGAACGCATGGCGCCGTTCTCCTCCTACCTCGTTTCCGAATCGATCATCCTCGACGCCAGACAAGGCCGTCACAAGGAGGCACTTCGACTCCTCACCCACGGCCTCGGAGACTTCGACACCGCCACCCGCTACTGCTACTTTGGCGGCCCGGCGCCTGCATATTCCCACACCATCGACGCCAGCGCTCTGCCTTCGAGGGAAATGCAACGAGAGCTATTCGATTTCCTCTTGCATGAGTTCCTCCTGATTGAGGACGAGGAAGACCGCCTCGAACGTTCGAGCTATCTTCTGGGTAAATTTGCGACGTACTTTGATCCTCTGAAGATCCTCCGCGACATCCCCGAGGACTGGAATGTCTCGATGCTGTCGGAATTCCTGATCAGGAGTTTCCGTGCTGCCACTACGGAGAGGAACCAAGCAGTTATCGTGAAAGCACTGAGCGCGGCTCAAAACTTGCAGAAGCAAGTCGAGTTCATAGAGGTTTGTGAGAAGCTTGGTGCTCAGTTCGATCGCGGGCAGGGCATTGACGGGGGCATGTCTGCGGATTTAGATATTGGTGGCTCTTGAGAATACCAAAGTAATTTCCCGGATAGATACTGCATGGCCTTAAAAAGGCCGGAAATCTAGGATATTAAACATTATTTCGCACCCGCTGCGGACCAGCGCATGGCATGGCTGCGAAGGTGTTTGATGGTATGGTTTGTCCAGCAAAGTATACAGAAATGGTTGAATAGCAGCCGGTGGACGCCTTCGCTTGCTTCTTCTAAACCCCACAATCTTCTTCGATCGAATAGGTAGCCAAATGAGACAGCAGATCATTGGTGAATCTCATGAAAAAACAATTCTTTCAGCAGCATCGTGGTCCGCCTCGAGACGCGGGCGGGCGAAAGACATCTTCCCACTCACTGAGCCCCGCCAGGACGCCATTGCGCCCAGCTCCTCGTTTCTTCCGTCTCCTCAGGGTACTCCCTCTCGCATAATCGGCTGTGCCACCCGAGTGGGTGCTGGCGCCGTCCCACGGGCCTCCGCCATCACCATATTGGATGCCGCTGGCCGGGTCGTCGGGGTCGATCTCGCCGAGCTCGATCTTGGTGAGGATCATGCGGGCCAGGCGGTTGAAGAGTTCGTCGACATTTTCGCCCGTCAGCGCCGACACTTCCATGGTAACGGGGACGTGGACCTTGGATGCCCAGCGAGAGGCCATGTCCGGGGTGACTTCGCGGCCGTCCGAGGTCGTAGTGGCGGTCCATTTGCCGGTATTCAGGGAGATGTTGATAGAATTGCCGCGAGAGCGGGTTGACGACGACAGGCCGGCCCCGCCAGCGTCGTAGGGGAAGTAAGACTGTTTACTTGAGACGCTTGAGGCAGATGGTGTGGGCTCTTGTTGTTGTTGTTGTTGCTGTTGTGGTGTACCAGTGCTTCCCTGCACTGAATTCGGTTGTATCTGCGCCTGCGCCTGCGTTCTGGCCTCTGCCAAATCAGCCTTGTTCCCCGCCAATATCACGGTCAAATTCGGACTGGCCAGGGCCCTCGCATCGCTCAGAAACGTCGGCAGCGCATGGAAACTGGCCAGGCTGGCGACATCGTAGACGAGAATGGCGCCCGCGGCGCCTCGATAGTACGATCGACTGACGGAGCGGAAGCGTTCTGTGCCCGCGGTATCCCACAGTTGCAGTTTGATGCGGCGGCGTGTAGGGCCGGAGCCGACCTTGACGATCTTGGAGGCGAATTCGACGCCGATGGTCTGCGACGATAGCACGCGCCATTCTTGCTTGACGAACCGGTGGAGGAGGCATGACTTGCCGGCGCCCGAGGGGCCGAGGAGCACGACTTTCGCCAGGAAATCGTACATGCTGCCGAGTTCCTACTCTCGGGACCATTAGTCTCATTGATAGTTCCGGTCAAGAGACAGGTGGAACTTGAAGTCTCTCTCGCTGTGCAGTGAGATCAGAACGCACCTGGTTTTGGTCCGTCATCGAACTGAGGTCGGACGCCGCAGACGCTCCGCGCGGGCGAGCCATGTCGGCGAAACTGGTGTGCGCGCTGCGTGCACTGCCAGCGCTGGGTGTAGGTGTCGTGAACCGAGTCGTATCATGTATTGAAGAGTGAGGATTATGTGATAGTGGTCGATGGATTGGCTATGTGATTCTCAAAATACATGTGCAATCACTACCAAAGGTAGTAATGCGAACTGCGGATGCCCGCCTTTCAAGTTGTCGAGATTCTGCCGCATTGGCATTTGGCATGCTGGACGGCATCCACAACTTGAAAGGCTTAACGGGGGCTAAGGGGACTGGCCCAGGCTCCCTTCGCAACTGACTGGCGTTCACTTCTCTCGGAAGCAGTATCTGGGGGAGGCTGTCAGAGTTCCCTCAGTCCAGGGACTACGTTTTGGAGCATAAGCAGGTACATAGCAATCATCCCTGGACGACATTTCATTTTCTCCGATGTATGAGACATGTCTAGATAAGAACCTCGAAGCTCAAGCTGAGGCACGGCAGTTGATCGGCCCCCTTTGAACCTATTACACGACAATGTCTTGCGATGCAAAGAGCATCTGTTGCACCAGGATTTGGCAATCTTCAAGTTATGTACCTCGCGGGTATGTGTTCGCAAGGCCTGCCTTGACCCAGGCTGGTGGAAGATCAATAGATGCGGTCCAGACTCTGTCCGTTCTATGAGATACCATTATCCCAGTTTCTTTTCGACCTTGCAGCAGCCTGCCGCCGGTGCAGAAGGTTTATCGGTGACAACTTGACAGGTAGGATCGCTGGTAGCACTGCACTGCACCCAACCTCTGACACTTTATCGGCAGTCATCAGACTTTCCTGGGCAGTGAATTCCTCCAATCAGTTCCACGCCAAAACATTCTTTAGCCTGAGCATGCCAGGGCATGAATAGCAAAGCGGCCGAGTTCGTGATATTCTACTTGAAGGATTCACCCTGCATAAATCTCCCCTGTGTTGGTTGGGTTCGACCTCTTCAGCCAACTCTCCCTTCTTCCAGGATATCCAGCCACTTTTTTCGTCATTGATTCCATTGCCGGTCCAAGCTCGTATCCCTTCAACAACCCTCGTAGCCAACCGGTGTTTAGATGTGACCATCAATTCCCCATAAGGCGAGGTGGCTTCGTTTGGCTTTCGTTAGTGGCCGCTGGCTCGCTTGAGATCTTGTCTGCCGTTGGGCCGGACATGGACTTCGCTGGCTTTCGGGCTATGACAGGTTTGTCCGTCCAATCAAGAGGCGCAACGCTCGATGAGGGCTCCAGGGTGAGAAGAACTGGGGATGATGCGCGAATCTAGGCGACCGGAAGCCCAGGAAAGATCGACAACTGGTGTGGTAGAATGACGGTGGGAGAAGAAGAGGAAAGGAGAGAAGAACAGACATGAGAGACGTTGATCGACGTGTTCAGCGCATTTCCCGTCAGCCTTCTCCGTCACTCGCGCAGGGACTGGGACTAGGTACAGAGTATGCATAGGCTTCTTCCATCTCCTGCATATAACGCTTTTACCTTCTTCTCACCTCTACTCAGACTTTGCGACACTAGTATCAGTTGCTGTTCAATACGCTGGTCACACACGCACGAGGTAAACCTTTCTACCTTGCATCTACAGAGGTACTCGTCGTCGATTTTTAAACACAGCCATGCCACCCCGCAACCTCCAGGCTTTAGGCCTGTCGACATGTCGAACGCCCTCGCCTACAGATTCGTTGAACAGTACATCGTCTTCAAGCACATACGTCTCCACGAGATCAAGTATGAAATCATCACCGCCTTCGTCGCCATCCTTTTCCAAAACACTGCCTGTGCCGCCTCCCATGTATAGCACCTCGGCACCACGGGCCCGACGAGCATCCCCTCCACAGACCCTGCTCGGTGCGATTGACGAGCATAGTGGAATTGTGAAACCCGACGTGCCTCTTTCTGCCGACAAAGAAAACAATCCTGTCGCCAAACTCCATGTCTATTCTTCCGCGATCAATTCAAGGAAGAAGGCCACTCTAGCATCCGCATCGAGTCCACCCGTCAACCACTTCGACGCTCTAGTTGGGCCGAATGGGGAGAAATTCACGGATCTGAGGATGAACCGGAAGGTGGAGGACCCGAGAGGTCGGGGCTGGAAGAGGTTGATGTGCTTCGGCTAGCTCTTCGTCACTAGCACTTTGACCATTGCCTACTGTTCACAGCACACCCATTGCCTTACAGCGGCACTTTTGAATCCCACAGTTAGCCAGCTCAGCACTCGGCGAGCGCGGAGTGGTATGTGGATGACGAGCTTGAGAGCTTCACGATCAGTGATGATGAAAGCAGCGGGGATCAACCACTTCAGCTGTATGAATGATGCCCCGGCTGAAAGACAACCAGTACTGCTCACAGCATGACGACAACACACCGAGATTCCCAGTGACGAATCGGTGGATGATACGTGGAATCATAGAACCGACATGATATCAACCAGCCTGAAGGAGAGGTCAAGCGTGGGGTTTGTACATCATGGACGGGGCACAGCAACAGGCGTTGGGCGTTCTGTACCTTGTGGAGCTCGAGACTTCAGTCAATATTATCGACCTTTCACATTCTGCTTATGGCCTCTTAGCGAACTGTCGCTCTGGAAGTTTTGTTGCAAAGGTGCATGCGAAGCAGCCATGAACAGGTGTTGGTATTGTCACTGGCTGCCAGAGAGGACAAGCAGGATTGCTTGGGTGATTTTTCGCAGCCAGAATTTCGATATTCAGGTTGACGGTCATGTAAGGTAGGATGAAAAGACGGTGTCTGGAGATGCAGAGAAGAAGACACCACTGATGCATCCCCTGGAAGGGTTGTTCTGTCACAGGGCGTCGTGTACGCATCGCACCATGACTAATGCACCAATGTCCACGGGATGCCTATAATAAGTCGTGGAGCGATACGATATGATGGTCTCATCAAAATCCACTCTTCCATGCTACACGAATGCAGTTGAAGTGGGTAGTGATCCACCAACCCCCTACTTCCCCGGCCCTTTACCCTGCTGTGATATCTCTGTTTCAAGGCGTTTAACTGCACTGCATGTGAAGAAAGGTGCTTCTCAGGCCAGCCACACGTACATACCTAGACAGCTACTGAATTTCCTCATGTTGAAGGTCACCATTTATGTACCCGAAGTGGGAACAGCCATTGGGGCTCGCCTTTACCAAAATGGTTTCTATCTATAGAGAGCTTTTGATAGACGTCTATACCATCGTCATGGCCAATCATATCTAGACTAGGCTTGATAAATTGCCTAAAAGGGATGACGGCCCCCGACCCTAAACGTCCGTGTTGTTTGGTCCCCGGATATCTTGGTGACAGTTGGAGACTGACAACTCTACTCTTTCCTCATTTTCACAAGTTCTCCTCTTCCCTCTGCCGTGATAACCGACTCCGCAACCGATCCTTTCTCAACATTGACCTATGATGCCAGCTTGTCCATGACTTGGATTCGTCAAATGTGGATCGGCGTTGCCTCTTTGATGTTTAGCCCAGGATCCCTAAACACCTTTTGGCCTTCCGATTGGGGATTCCACGATACTATGGCGCTCATTCTGCGCGTCAATGCGGTGGGAGTACCCTTCTCCAAGTCCATATATGTTTGTTATCACGCATCCTCCTTGACTTTTCTCATGTAGGTGTTTTCCCTTGATCGCTCGCCTCGCCGCGTTTCCCTCACTCTTTCAGCAGGACCCGAAGATGGGCCTTGGTCCTGACGATGAAGTCCGGCAATCGGTTAAGGGCACATCCATCTTGACGCATGAGTCACGGCCTGTAGTCTCGTCCCCCGGGGTCGAAGGTCCAACACAGTCTGACACTACTGCTCAGAGGCAACCCACCCTCTTCTCGGTCGAGCACGATGGATCCTCAGAAAACAGTCTTTCTGACGAGGTGCAAGTCGGGAGGGTCGATCCTAGGAAGATAGTGTATTTCTCGCCATCTGATCCTGAAAATCCGTACAATTGGTCCAAGGGAAAGAAGCTGTACATGTTTGCTACCGGCATCATCACCGTCTTCAACAGCACGTTGGGGTCGTCCTTACCCAGTGGAGCGATATCCTTTATCGCCAAACATTTTGACATTACAGATGACATCCAACTGCCATTGCCGATATCTTGTTTCCTTGCCGGGTATGTGGTAGGACCGATGCTTTGCGGTCCCCTCTCCGAGAACAATGGTCGAAAACCCGTCCTCCTTGCGTTCTTCCTGGTTTCCACGATATTCACGATGGCGTCGGCCGTGGCGCCTAGTTGGCCGACTCTGCTGTTCTTCCGCTTCATCTGTGGAGTGGGGTTGTCTGCTCCAATTTCCATTGCCGGCGGACTGTACGCGGATATTTACGACGATCCCCGGGAGAGAGGAGTGGCCATGGCTTGGTTCATCGTCGCTACCAGCTCAGGTCCGGTCGTGGCACCCGTCATCTCTGGATTCATCGCCGAGAATGCGACATGGCGATGGGTATTCGGTTTTGCAACACTCTTCTCAGTGGCAACGTTACCCCTCATCATATTCATGCCCGAGTCCTTTGGCCCTGTCCTTCTCAGTCGCAGGGCAAAGAGACTTCGCAGAGAAACAGGCGATCCAGACATCATCGCAAAGGCCGAGCTCCAGAAAAAGACGTTTCGGCATGTTGTCACCGTGGTCATGACACGGCCCTATCGCATGCTCTTCAATGAAGTCATTGTCATGTCTTGTTGTGCGTATTGCGCGCTGGCCTACGGCATCTTCTACCTCTATTTCGAAGCCTATCCGATCATCTTCCAGGGCCCGGATTCGGTGTACAAGTGGTCGTGGGGTATTTCAGGGTTGGCTTTTCTGCCCATTGGCATCGGTTCTTTCCTCGCGGCTCCAATCCTGTTGGCATGGGACTCGTATCTGGCCAAGGCACAGAAACGGAACGCCAAATGGGCCAACCAAGAAGAATATCGACGCTTGCCGCTGGCTTGCCTTGGTGGGCCGCTCTATGTGGTGTCACTGTTCTGGATCGGTTGGAGTGCCAAACCCGGCATGCATTGGCTGGCCCCTGTGGCCTCCGGCGTGCCCTTTGGTTTGGGTTTCGTACTCATCTTCATGGCGTTGCTGAACTATTTGAGCGACTCGTACATGATCTTTGCTGCCAGTGCTCAAGGCATAGCCAGTACCTGTCGCAGCGTCTTTGGCGCGTTACTGCCGTTAGGGGCACATCGCATGTTTTCTTCCCTGGGTGTTCCCTGGGCTTGCAGTCTGCTGGCCTTTTTAAGCCTGGGCATGTGTCTGATCCCTGTGGCCTTCATCAAATATGGAGACCAGATCCGAGATAACAGCAGCTTTTGCAAGCAGTTGAAAGCGATGCAAGACCAGGAGGCTGCTGAGCGAAAGGACAATGAAGCAGAGTCGGCGGACGTGGGAGAGGGAGAGGGACAGGGACAGGAGACAATATATGAAAAGGTGTGAAAACAATCGAGGGTTGAGTATAGAGGTTTGCATGTATTGGACACCTTGAAGCGGCATATAGACTCTTGTTATCTTTAGATTATTAGCATACATAAGGTAGGAAGAGGCTCAAATTCACGTACAGAAACCCCCGAAGATAAAGATGCAGTGATCGACCATAGTCCATGTTGCAGTGTTAATAGGCTTTCCCTAATGTGTGAATACTACCTACTTGTGAATGTCTAGAAGGTTAAGAACACGCCTATCTCTCTTTCTCTGCCCCCATCGAACCTCGCAATGTCACTGACACCATGACCCTCCATCTCACCCCTGCCGAGCGTACGAATATGGTGTTGAATATGGTGTTGAATATGGTGTTGAATATGGTGTTGAATATGGTGTTGAATATGGTGTGCTGAGCCGTTCCGATGTTGGTGCATCAAAAAGGAGATAGGCGCTGGAAGTAGCACTCTAATATCCTAGCAAGGACTAGCTCCAGTAGAAAGGCATCCTCAATTCCTACTGGCCGCTAAATATACGTCTCCGCTGCTTCACTTCACCGCATTGTTAACGTCGGTGTATCAAAGTGCCGAACTTACCGATCAGGCTGTATATAAATTCCACCCCTGAGTCTCGTCTAGTACTACAGAAAGTAGGTCAAGCACAGGACCTGTCCTTAGAATATGGATTTCGATAGAGCAAAGATAAAGAGCAAGACAGACATCATAGTCTCTGGATATGCCAACTTCGGATCGTCTCCTGGCCCAATAGGTAGGCTGGCTGCATGAAGGACTTTGATGGCATCCCATCCCTGGCTCTGCTATACTATTCTGTAAGATGTTCACCCGAGTAAGGTATTTTGTCTTCTCTATCAATAAATGGTGAACTGTGAAGCTGGTGTATCAAGACACCCGTCTCTCGGTCTGTCTGGGAGCTTATAGTCATCGTTTGTCTTCCTGCTACTTTCCTTTCCCCCTCCTTTCCACTCACTCTTCCAAGTCGTGTCTCTCTCCCATCCTCCTGTTTATGCCAAGCATTTTTTTTGTCTCGTCGTTGCACGGAAAGGCAAGCATGCCAGGACGAGAAGTCAATCTACCCGCTTTGTCCAAGCTAACGCGGCTTCTCTTGGCTAAAAGGACACCCCGTCGGTGTATGAAGAATAGGAGACTGCCAGATCAGGGAATCCAACGACTGCTTATGGCGGAGCTATTATGCAATTGCTTGGCTAAAAAGACATCTCGTCGGCACACGGAAAGTAAGAGTCAGCCATATCAGGAAACTCAACGACTCGTTATAGCGGAGCTAATGCGCGTATGCCTGGCTAAAAGGGCCATCTCGTCGGCGCACGGAAAACAAATAGACTGGCCATATCAGGGAATCCAACGATTGCTTATAGCGGAGCTAATGCGCATTTGCTTGGCTAAAAGGGCCATCTCGTCGGTGTGTGAAAGATCTGGATGCTCCAGAACGGGAAACCTGACCACCATCTCCAGCAAAGCTAATGCGGCTTTGCTTGGCTTAAAGATGTCCCGTCGGTGCATGGAGAGCTACAAGCCCGGCTGATTCAGGAAATTCAACTGCCATTCTAACAAACGGAGGTTGAAAGGTTCCTTGTTGTCCATGACAGGGGCCTGGGGAGAGGCCTGACTAAATACACATGAATCATGATTACAGGGCTTCCCAGTACACTAGACAAGGCTGGGAATGCTTAAGTTTAACACATTCTGGCTCTGCTGTGATGGTGAGGGTTAACTGTTCAGGACCAACGTCGGTGCACAAGAGGCTCTTTCTTATACCATATCAGGAAACTATGATACTGGATCTAGTAAGGGAAGCTGACTGGGAATGCTTGGCTAAACAGACAGGTTCGTCGGTCCACGATGTCTGATCTGATGATGCCAGACCAGGAATTGTGATTTCCCTTCTAAGGCTGGCTTTCGCGGCTTCTCTTGGCTCACAAAAGGAATTCGTCGGTGTATCAAAAGCTGATAGTACGCCAGGATAGGAATTGTGAATCTATTCTGGGACAAGCTCTCGCGGCTTCTCTTGGCTAAATTAATAGTGTCGTCGTTGTATCAAAAGCTATTCTGGCGTCAGAAATGGGAATCCTAGTTCTGCTCTAGGTCGGGCTGACGCGGCTTCTCTTGGCTAAATTCAGGCATCGTCGGTGTATCAAAAGCTGGTCTGGCGTCAGAAATGGAAATCACCGTCCTGCTCTGGGTCAAGCTCACACGGCTTCTCTTGGCTAAATAGACGGTGTCGTCGTTGTATCAAAACACGGACAGGGCAGGTGCTTTTCCTTGTTAAGCCCGGGCACCACTGGCACTGCACAGATAGGCGCTTCAAATTGAGCAAGAGCGATGATACGGTATGTCGCACAAAGGACTTAGTCTGGTAAGCGTGTTCGGTAGTAAGAGCGACTCGTGTGGACTGTATCTCTTCCCAAGATATATAGGTCAGGGTAGAAGCCAAAGCGACATGGGGCTGCCATGCCGTCGACGGCAAACCTTGGGTTCCATGTACTCTGACTTGTAGACAAAGGTGCATAGACATGGTGTATATCGATATGGCAGCCACGTTGACCTTTCTGTCGACCATCATGACCTATGGTGTCGTGGAGGTTGGCCCTTACATTACTCCTCATACTTGTTTCATTTGGACTTAATAGAAGTTCTGGAAGATGAGGAGTGTCTGGAAAGAACAGGCTCAAACGGGTGCCTTGTATAAGTTGCTACTTGATCATCCCGCTCGACTGCATCCACCACCCAAATCCAACTCACGTGACAGTTTACCCCTGGCCTCCGCAGCCTTGTGCACACCCGAGCCTCATCCCAAACATAATCCAATCAATCCACCGAATATCTCCTCCACGAAGCCCCAGCATTTATTTTTGTTGTTCGAGTCGGTCCGCAACTGCACGTCCTGGCTTTTAATAGCACTCTTTCATACCGTCCATGATAGCGAGACGTTCGATACCCACAAAATGCACCACTCCAAACACCCTGCCCCCGGGCTTCTGCTCACTCCCATCGGTGCAGATGGACACCTACTGCCGGATATCATCCATAGTGACTTCACCAAAACTATCTCCCATATCAGTGTCCTCAAGCGGGAGAGGCTGGGAGTGCGCTTGATGAGGACTCTTTGGTATCTCTTCAATTTCGGCCACCGAGTCGCGCTTGGGATATCCGTGGTCGAGCTCGGCCAGACCAGCCGTCGCGGAGTGTAAGTTCGGGACCGGCATTCGCATGGGCCCATGATCAGGCTCACTCTGCGCGCGAGGCAGGCCCCGTGTACCGCCACCACTGCCGCCACCGAACCCATCACTGCCAGGGTGCAGTTCGTCCGGTTCCATCGGGACAGAAAGCTGATTGTCTCCATTCTGCCGAAGCTGACATTGTAGCAGAGCCAGTCCATGCGCGCCGTCATGGTCATCGAAAGGCAGCCCACAGGCGTCGCCATTGACATCCTGCATGCTCCGCAGACCCGGGAAACTGTGGTGGCTGTGCAACATTGGGCGGAATATTGATTGCGAGGCAGCCCAGCGTGGTTCATCATGAGGGTGTAATTTGGAAATCCCTTGCACTCGACGACGCAGGGGTGATCCTTGGGACTGTGCCCCAAGGTCGCTCATGGCGCATGCTGCAAGCAGAGCGGAACGCAATGCTTCGTCTTGCTCGTCAACCGGCACCCACGAATGGGCTTGCGGTTTTGTTTGCTGCGGAGCCGGAGCCGCCGAAACCTCCAGTCCATGATTTCCCTCGAGAAATCCGGTCCAGCCGTGCTCGTCAGTCTTGTCCAACTGTGGCGAGTGTGCCTCTGGCTTGATTCCAGACAGCGGTTGTGTTGCAGCGTCCTCCTCCGAGCCGAGCTGTTCTTGCAGTACCTGGTGGGTCTGGATATTGAACCTTGCTAATGGATGCTCATGCATATCAGTCGAGCCTTGTATTGTCTCATGCAGCGAGTATTTCGTGTAAGATGGGTCTGACTGATTGCTAAGGTGTTTCTTGAGCTCCGGAAGCTCGAAGATGTTTGCTGACTCGATGGAATGTTCCCCAATGATTGTCTGTAGATGTTGTTGACTTGCATCGACATGCACATCCAAGGGCCCCATGTCGCACCGTGGAAGGAAAGCTTGTGTTGATGGCAGAGGGAACGAGGATGCTAAATGACCCAAGTCGGGAATCTGAACAGGCTTGAAGGACATGAACCCATCTTGACACAGTTCTTCGTCCATCGACCCCAGGTACATGTTGTACGGAAGACTGTTCTGCGACAAGAACTGACCGCTATTGTCAAAGGAACCAATATTGGGGGAACAGTCATCCATCGCATGCATAGATAGAGGCGGCAAGCCCCTTTCCACAGAATGCAATGTGCTGTTGGTGGAAAGATCTTCTGACGGAGGCACCCATACAGACCGCCATGTCGTTGTGCCGCCGGTACCGAGAGGGGCCTGAGAGAACCTCCAGAGAAGCACGGCCTTCCTCTGCCGCGACTTTCGACCGTGCTTCTCGCCATATTTCCCTGGTCTCATGTCGATCGCAGAGAGTTCCTGCATGATAGTCAGACTGCGGAGGAAGTTGCTGGATTGTTGATTCGCAAGTTCGATAGCCGTCAAGTCTTTGGAGTCTTCAGCCAGCCTTTCGGCTTCTGTAAGGGATGTGAACGTGGAGGCCCACCATCTAGACTGAAAGAATGGTTTGATCTTGCCTCGACCAGAAGCACGACATTCTTCATGACATGAATCAGTGACCTCATGGCCATCGCGATATATGCGAGTCACGCAGGTCCATTCCTTCCAGTCGTCTAAACGTGACGTTGTCGGCCAGTCTTCGTCAATAAAATCCAGTTCGAGCCCAATTCCGAGCTTGGAGTGACGAGGTGGGAAGTCCTCCATAAGCTGGAAGCTCGCGTCGAGGAGGATAAGGTCGCATTGGTTGCCGTTCGACCAGTCATCAACGATGGACGGTAGGTGAGGGAAGAATACTTGCCACCCAACAACATCTTGCAACGGGATAGGCTCCAGCCTGAGGCTTTGAAGTCGAGTATAGTGATGCAAGGCATGCTCCCAATCATCGGGTTGACTAACCCACATCTCAAAAGTCAATCTCTGGAGGTTGATGATATCCGAGCTGGCCACTTGCAGAGACGTATCCCTATCTTCGGAACCATCTGCTTCAAAATCTTCTTGTAGGTGCATGCCGCCCTTCATTGCCTTCTGTTCATTGACCATGTGTTCAATGGAGTTATGATAGAACTTGTGACCCTCGGTTGGGCTGGTGTCTTCGTCATCACCGGGTTTGATCAACCGATCCCCTATGTTGAGGTCAGCCATTTCTTATTGAGGAGTAATGACGATAGCTTACATTCTGGTATTCCTTTGAGGAACCGATCCAGGACCTGGATGTGGCTCGAGACTTGTTTGCGTACACGAACTTCGCCAGTTTCCCGGTATATCCATTCCGCAATAAGCATGTTTCGTCCATATGGCCTCCCACGCTGGGAACATTTCTTCCGTCCCATTGGCTTGATGTGTACCAGTGCTGAGGATTGTTAGGACTTCTCAGTGTGCATTAAACTGCCGGGCTTACCATTCTGGAAAGCAGCTTCAATCCGATCGGGCCAGATTGGCTTGCCATCAGGACCGATATCTTGCCTTGGTCGGGACCGATACTCCAGGTACTTAGGATGCGTAAGATATGGGCGGTCTGCGTTCGTCAAAGGTTTGGATCGGTGAGGTCTATGTAGATTCCGCCGCGGCTTTCGGTCAAAGACCAAGGCTGAAGTATCATTCGATCCGAGCTTAATGAGAGGGCTAGGGAAATGGACTTCCTGTGTCATGGACAGACCGGCACTCAGTTCTGGAAGGGGACGTTGGTTTTCGATCCCTTCGTAGGACACCCCGCCAAATGATCGCGCATTACCAGAAGATGTCGAGAGGGGATCAAAACCAGGCTGGGTGTTGGATCCATCTTCAGACTGCGTCGCCGCAGGTGAAACGGAATGTAGAAGGTCCATAGCAGCCTAGAGCGCCCAGTGCGTGGCCAGCATTGCCAAAGAATGAGAAGGAAAAATGCAGCAAACAATTCTCGAGAGAACAGAAAGACTTTGGAATGATAAGAGGGAATGCTGCAAGAGAGGGAAGGCCATCATCGTGTTATAATTGTCACTACCGGACCATAGGTACTCGTGCAATCTCGTTTTCCCTCGACTCTTCCATTTCATCAACCAGGCCCTTTGCCTCTTTGGTCCGATAGGAATACAAACCCACGGACATTGGTTGTCGAGGGATCCAAAGAATCGAGAACAAGCAAGACAGGCAATCTCACAGAGCCGGCACCGTTTCCTATCCTTGCCGCACAGACTCAAAAGGGCAACGAAGGATAATGCAAGGGATGACAGACTGCCCATTTCAGACTTGCCGCTTGCACGCAGCTGCCGGAGGCAGACAAGTCAGTAAGAGACAACACAATACATGAGGTCGAGGTAGAGAGACGTCATATCGTGGCCAATTTGGCTTAGGAATGAGAACAGAGGCACAGGCCGAGTATCGTTCGATACTTGTCATCTTTTGCCCAAGATCTGATTTCTCTTTCAGTGGTCATGAACCTTTGAAACCTTTACTCAGAAAGGTCGTGAAAAGCATCTGCGCCTGAACGATAATATTCTGCACAAATTAATGGCCATGATTATATCTTTGAAGAGAAACGGTTGAAGCGAAAGAAGTGGGCAGGTCGCTGCAAGGGATAGAACAGGGGTGGGTCTCTGCCTGACGTGGATCTCATACAAGCTCGACATCGTCTCCTGCGCCAATGTTGAATTTCTTCCGGACCGAACCTGTCATCCTGTGGTGGGTTAATGTGTCCTGATGATGCTGGATCTTTTTCTCCATAGCCCGAATCTCAGCTTCAGGATCCACAGCTTCGCCTTCGGCAAAGTCGAGTACAAGCCTGCGACCGAGTAAGTGAGTGTTTGAAAGAGCTTCCAAAGCATTCTCGGCCTCTTTCGCCGTGACAAACTCGGCAAAGGCGAAGCCTCGGGCACTGTTGTCGAACTTCTTGGGCAGCCGTACGGTGCGCAGCTGGCCATAAGCACCAAACAGTGCCCGGATGTCTTTCTTCGTGGCTTCGAACGGCAAGTTCTTGATAATGATTTTTGTCTGCCTGGAGTTGACCTTTTTGGCAATGTCTTCTTTCCGTCGTTCTTCTGCAAGGTCCGTCGATTTCTGTGACAATTGCACGAGTAGCTCATGTCCGTCGAGTCGGCGTTTGTTCATGGTGACGACCGCAGCTTCTGCTTGGGCTTTGGTGCGGAACTCGACAAAGCCGAATCCCATGCTCAGCACTTTCCCAGGCCTTTTGGCATCAGTTCTGGTCTTTACCCGGGCAGACAAAAACCCTGACAGTGGCTTGAAAGCTTCGCTGAGCCTGGCAGTTGTAGTGGAGAAGTTGAGATTGCGCACAAAGACTGTGAAGGTGTTCCCAAGAGGCTGTTCGGTTGCATCTCCTTGTGCCTGCGCAGCATGTGCAATGCCATCAGCAGTTACAGCTGCCTTTTGTTCCCAAAGACCTTCTGGCGCTTTCTCAAGGTATAGGACCGAGCCCTTCAAGTTTCGGTAGGCAAGCTGCTTCAATGCCAAACTTGCAGCAGCCGCGTCTTGATACTGGGCTATAGCCATCGTTCCAGTCGTAGGGAAGACCAGGCGTTCAAGGACGCCATATTGATTCAGCATCTGTGACAGCTCCTCTGAAGTTGTCCCGAAGGAGAAATTCTTCAAAAGGATCGTTCTATCATCGCGAGACCGGTTCTTGAATGAATCAATATTCACGCCATTGGATTTCAGATAATCTTTCGTTTCTTTGATCACACTCGTCTCTGCATGAGCTTGCTTGACGGCGGCGTCCGCTGAGGCAGGGTCAAGCAATTCTGATTTGGACACTCCCAATCGATTGGCTACCGATGCGAGTACAGCATCTGGATTCATGTACAAGGAATTCCAGCTGAACGTCGAAGTTGCGGCATCGTTTTTTCGTTTGATGGCTTTCTGCTTTTTCAACGGCAGTTTGGACAGCTCGAACTCACTAAGTTTCTGTACTTTCTTGTCGGACGCTGGGAGTATGTGAAGAAGGCGGCCCTGAAAATCCTTGCCGTCGAGACTGAGAAGGGCCTTCTCGGCATCCGAGGACTCCACGAACTGGACATATCCGATACCTTTTCCTGTAAGTGTGCGAGTGTCTATGACTACACGGACCTATTGCATAGTTAGCACGCGTTTCATGAAGCGTTGCAAGGACGAAAAGCATGAGTAATGTTGAAATCAGAATGAGAAGCATCTACTAAAACACTCTTTCCCGGTTCACAGCATATGCATAGCATAAGTTGTCCCTATCGGAAATCATCACAAGAATATTGGGGTTCGATGGTGAAAAGCGACATTGGTGAACGTACCTCTGAGATTCTGCCATACGGGGCAAATGTTTTCCTCAGGTCATCCTCTCTTGTATCGAATGGCAGATTGCGTATGAAAAGCCGAGCGTTTGGTATGGACAGCGTGGCAGTGCTCTCCGGTTGAAGGTCAGCTCCCGAATCCGATTTGCTGTCGCTAGCCTGTGCAATCTCATCAGCCTCCGGCCATGTCTCGACGGCAGGAGCGTTATCTAAGGCTGTTCGTGTATCGGCGACATCCTCTTCGACCAGGTCCAACAATCTGCTCGTTTTGCCACGAAGCCAGTCCGCATCTGATGCAGGCACAGCCTGCGTGATGGTTTCCACGTCACCACCGCCCGGTACAGCATCCCCTGATGAATCTTCTTGCTCTTTCGGTTGACCATGTGATTCGGCATCCACGCTGTCAGCCTCCACGACAACCTGTTGTGCGGACTCGAGGGTTGGTGTATCCGTCTCGCCATTGTCGTTTATTTCACGCTTCCTCTTCTTGGAAAGTATATTTTGATCTTGCTGCTTTTCCTCCCCATTCCGTCGAGACCGATGGGAGACTGGGGCTGCTTGTCCCGAAGGATCACGTCTGATCTCGACCGGTCTGGCTAAGGTCACAGATATCCTGGACATTCGGATGAAGGTCTTGTTGAAGTAGTTGACGGCATTTTTAGCATGCTCGTGAGTAGCAAAACCGACAAAACCAATGCGACGATCAGGTATAACATGCGTATCTGTGACCGGGTACTTCTCTGAAAAATGAGATCGCAGTTGATCTTTGGTCATTGATGGGGGTAGACCCGACACGTACACTCTGGTGACAGCCAGGCTATCACTCTCTGCTTCTGCCATGACGAGGAAGGCCGCAGTTTCTACAAGGAGTCTGAAGAGTTGCTTGTCTCTTCAAGCAATAAAGCCCTCGGGAGTGCAAGAAAAGTTTGGAGACAAACCACAATTTGTGCCAAGCCTATTCTGTAAATGGTCCGATGGAGACAATCAATCCCCCGGATGCTTAAACCACAGTTATTGGTTTGTTGATGCTGCAACGCTCCACTACACTTACCGACTTTCGGTGTAGACCTGAATCGCTCTATTGTAGAAATGCTGCAAGGGCGGATAATGCACACCTATTTGCATAATCTCTGTAATAATATGCCTGACGCTTTGTTTGTGGTGGTGGCTTCGGTTCGCTTCTGTCCACCGAGGAGACCATATCACCCAACACTGCAGTGAATTCTTCCATTTCTCAGGTTGTCGCGTTTTTACGTCTTCAACATATTCAATAGTCCATTCGATATTGTTCTCAACCTGTATCCACCGCAATACACATCATGGCGACCGTCGAACTTGCGGCGGAGAAGAAGGTGAAGTTGGAGCGTAAGTCGACCGCCGAGGTGCAACCCCGAGATGAAACGCGCCAGGTCAATGGACTAACGATATATCATGGTAACAGCACAGATCAAATCCGTCGACATGGTAAGCGATGCGCGCGAAAAGCGACCACCTCTTGTTCCTTACCTCCCTGGACCAGCATTGACGATTTGCGAAGAGCGAGGATATGCAACAGGAAGCAATTGAAGTCGGTATGGAACAGCCACGTCCGATAAATCGAGTGTCATGATATTGACCAGGGAACAGCTCAAGAAGCAATGGAGAAGTTTACTGTCGAGAAGGTATGCAGATGACCGCGGCCACACCGGCACTGGCGCATTTACCTGGAAGGCGCTCACATAGATCCAGGACATTGCACAGCACATAAAACGAGAGGTCGGTTGATACGCATGATTCCCTGCGACAGCGGCTCTGATACCTCTACCAGTTCGATGCAAAGAAGGGTGCTACGTGGCATTGCATTGTCGGCAGGAACTTTGGGAGCTTTGTGACCCATGGTAGGAGAGAATTCACTGCCGGGTACAAGTCCAGAAAGGGGAGTTAGCTGACAACTCGATACAGAGACGAAGCATTTCATCTACTTCTACCTCGGCCACGTCGCCATTCTGCTGTTCAAGACCCAATGATCGAGAACTTTGAGCGATTCGGCGTCAGAGAGAGCATCCTGCGTTGATCATGCTCAGCCTTGCCCTCAACTACGGCGCGCATGAAGGCATCCTCAGCGTTCCGATACTCGAGCGGATTAATATGAACGCGGCTGCACATGAGAAACGTTCGACTGTCAGTACATATACCGGAGAAAAAATGGTGTTGTGTTGAAATGATGATATGTTCTCTCAAAACTCATTCTTACGTGATGAAACAGGCTTTGACACTGTCTCGATTTGACCCCCTTTGGCAGCATATGCAGTCCATTCTCGCCATCTAGCCCACTGCCTCGAAGCTGATTATCTGCCGCTGGTACAATTTTCCTCCCTCCAATACAGATTAGAGATATCACGCAGACGCGCAATTGAGGACCATCTAGCATGTGCGATCCAGCCTTCTGTCCGGAAATAACGTGCGCCTCTCTCATTCAGCGGTCTCGAGCTCCATCATCACCGTGGAACTCGATCCGTGGACCACGATAGTGCGCCTTGCCGTAGACGAATCATCAACTCACGAATACCGCAACTGGGTCGATTCAGATGAGGACGGCGGGATAATATAAACCTATGGTTATCAGTATAAACACCAAGAGAAGAGGGTTTAATGACGTCCTCATGTCGCAAAGAGTGACGGGCCTCAAAGATAGAATGAAGAAGGATCTCGTTGACAAGAGCCTAGAGGTTACAGCCGACACGTTGCAACCCAGCCCTTTGGGCGGTGCAGTGGAACGTGGGAACGTGGTTGGCAGGAAGATAATGCGATGACCTTCGCCTGTACAACAGGAGAGCAGCGCCATGAATGCTTTAACAGTCAACCATCCATACTTTGGTCAGTAAATATGTTGTGCTGAAAGATGGCTGTGCTTGTGTCCATACTATCGAGACAAATTATGCTGAAGGGACGCCAATCCTGGTGTATGGCAATATTGCATTCCCATTACCATTAGATCTGGAGTCGTACTAGTAGGACAAAGTGTTGAAGGTCGTGGTTGATGTTGAAGCGTACCTATTCCTCCTGTCTGTTATGATCTCGTGTTTGTCGTCGCCAAGTGACGTGATGGCGCGTCATTGATGCTTCGCCTCGCTTCTTTCGTGCTGCGCAACTTGAGGCATCAACTTGAACTCCATAGAGTCTGCCGCCAACATCCGCTGACTTTACCCTCCTTTGCTCCTCCTAATCAGTGATCCAATATTACAAGCCTCCGTTTCAACACATTCATCCTCATCATGGCATTCTTCTTTGTTGTGGGGACCAAAGGTGAGTGACAGTAGGCTCCGCATCCCACCGCGCCGACTAATATGGCTTCAGACTTCACAAGCCCTTTGAAGGGATACGAGGGGACCACGGCTCAGTGCCACAACTGCGGAAACTGGTCGGCGCATCCAATTTCTAGCTGGGACTGGTTCACATTTTGTTTCGTACCCGTCATTCCTCTCGGAAGCAAGCACAAAGATGTAAGTTTTGTCCTTCAGATGTATACTGCGGGACACACACTGAACTCTTTCGCAGCTTGCCTGCTCAATTTGCCGCTTTCGTCAAGACATACGGTAAGCGCCCATATCCTCTCTAACATCATCTAAGATACTCATTGCTGGTTCAGAAATCGACCAGACGTCCTTTCACAGCAAGGTCAGGGTCCAGGCCCAGCGATACCTCCACATCAACAGGGACCTCCGCTCGGTTGGAACGGCCCTCCTCCTCCTGGACAGCAACCGCGCTATAAGTGAACAGGTTGGTTTGATGGACAATTACAAGAGCAATGGCGCCTGGAGCATACAACAGATAATGCGCGTCTGGTCTCGGGATTTCGGAAACTGTCGCAACCAAATATCATCTTTCTTGACAGATTTGGAGTCATCACTACGGTCGCAGAGCGCTTTATGGAAAGATTTCCACCGTTGAACAAGTTCTGCCTATGTCACGGCCTTCCTCACTCCCTTCAGAACTTCAACCATACAGTCAATGGTTGCATTGGATGGCGGCGTCTTGGCTCGTGCGTGAAGCTACGGTCTGAAGCCTTGTTTCGGCCAAATCACCGCGCTCTACCGCAACATGTAGGCGGTTCAACAGGCATACATCTTTTTGCCGCAACTCTTGGGTCCACCAGCCTCGAAATTCGAATACTGAAGCGGCGACTACACGAGACGCAGCGCAGACAAATCAACCTCCTCGAATGCCTTTGTTCGGGGCTGGAAGGTGTAGGCTACGAACAACAGGATCTCGTGCGACCGCGTCTGGGCATCTTGCGAGCGGCTGGCCTCTTGATGTTTATCATCCTGTACTTCACCTACAGCATTTGCGGCTGGCGGGGGCGTTTTCGGGGATAGTAGGGAGCATCGCAAACCCGACACCCTTTCTCCTCAGCTATCAGCGAGGAACAGGGTTTTGTGCCGGTCGTCCTAGCTGTTCGATCAATACTGGTCTCGAGATCCAGACAGGGCAGGGCTCCTTGGATTTGATGGAACGCTCAGATATTCCCATGACGCACGTCCTTTTCTGCCATTCTGGCATTCTTCCTACTCTCATGCTATCAGTACTATCGGCCTTTGTAGTTGAAATCCTCTTTTTTGCAAGCCGCCGAAGTTGGAACACCTGCTTCACTTCAAATTGCGCCCGCGACAGACGGACATTTTTGACGCCGAAGGGCCAGTCACGTGATGCTTTTTCCCGTCGACGGCTAAAAGCGGCAGCGTAAATATGAGTTGAATATAAATTTCAGGTTCAGAAGAACCCAAACACTTCTACCTCTCTTCCATGCGCCGCCCTCCATCCGCTGCGTTCTCTGCTACAAATACAGACTGCTCCTGCTTTCACCAGCAGTTGAGCGTTCGTCTCTTTTTGCAGATGAGAAATTCGGAGTAATCTTCAACCTCGCACTGTTGTCCCAAATCATCCTTGATTGGGCGACCACAGGACTGCCCGCGAGGGCCTGGCACGATTCCGTGCCTGCAATCGGCATCAGAAATTACAGGGCCTCGGGACAATCATGGTCGACTCGTCGGCCATGTGTCGCCTCTGAGGGTTTCCCTATGGAAGAGCCATTGCGAAGATTGTTTGGCGCTCAAAGCGTTCTCAACTTTAGTGCAATCGCAGCGGGATCTACCCTTTCCTCGTCCTCTGCGGAGGGTGGGATTGGGAGGTTTCAATTCGATTCCGATTACTCTGGAGGGCGGCGCATCAATTACTTTTTCCAAGGTATGTGTTGAATACTTTCCGACCAAAGTATGGGATACTACTAACCTTGAACGATGCAAACCCCCAACAATCAACTACCGGCCTTCACTTGTTCCAAAGAGCACCTTTTTCATTTTCAGTGACCATTCACTCCGTTCGTCTCGTTCGCCTCATTTCTCGCCGCAAATTCTCGAAACGTTTCCAGATCAACTCTCCGCAGAGCGCTGTCCTCGGTCGCTTCCAAGTGGACCTTCGGAACGCCGTTTTTACTGATTCTTCCGTCTTTGTATGCTTGAAAAGCTTCCAGCCACCTTGACGTGCAGAGACACCATTTGCAGCCATCCGTCAGCCCGGCCACTCGAAGATCGTTGCCTTGTGATGCCGAGTAATCCAGAAACTCTTCCGTCACCACTCCTGCGACCGCATGATTACCGAAATCTGCCGCTCCTGTCCTGCAATAGCCGTCTCGATGGAAACCTGTCACGGGACGATTGGAGAAGAAGGCAAGAGGTTGTTTGAGGACTGTGCTGGGTTAGTGGAATGACACCGATAGTCAGTGGTATTCTAGCAAATGAGTGACATATTAGAGGTACTTCACCACTATCAGACGCTTACCATTAAGAGGAGGAGACATCTTTTCTTCGTGCGGCACCTGGGGAGGTGGGTGCGCTTTTCCCGGGGTGCCGAACAACGGAGTCTCTAGTACTCGAGCCCTGAGGCCTTTCCAGAGGCTGAACTTGCGAGTAAGACCGGGGAGTCTCTGATGGAGCTTCATCAACCGCACTTGGCCTCAGCGAAGGATGTATCTGCCCACAGTTCTGTCTGTCAAATGTAGTTGATGGAAGTGTTGTACCTAAGGTATGTTGTCTGTTGTCGAAGAGCGAAACCGCAGGTAGCCTCGCTTCCTCAATTCGTCGAATGATTAGCCCCAAGTGGCATGACGTCAACACATCGAGAAGAGTTCCCATCTATCAACTTGAAGTATCATTGTCTACTAAGACCTCTTTCTTGCCTTTCAATACCCGCAGCGTCAACATACGATTCCAGCTCAGTACACTGGTTCAAGCATTGTCTCTAGCTACCTACGTCGGCCTCCTATCTTGCAGATTTTCCGCCATGCCGTTGCACGCCGGCAAGGCTACTGGACCTACATTCTTGCGTCTTATTCTGCAGTGTAGCATATCATGAGCGCTCGGCACATGGCAAAACTATCTGAACGGACTGGCCTTGCTTGCTATGAATGGATCTCTGGCATTTGGTGCACCTCTTCCAGCTGAGGCACCTCCGAGGTCGCACTTTGTTTTCTTTTCTTACACTCTCAATTCTTGTCGTTACCTGTCCAGACGTTTACCTCGAATTGCATGCCTGTTTCACCCTGTGATTCAAGTCTAGTCTTTGAAACGAGGGCGAAGCGGTTGCTTTGCGGAGCATGGCGCTGAAGTGGTCTCCCAACATATCTGAACAAACGGAGCTACAAATCTAGGAGTGGCATGGCTGACTGCAGGCTGGAAGGATGACGGGAAGCATACTAGCAATGGAGAACGCCCTTTAGAGGGTGTAGAAGGTGTGGATTGAGAGATGAATGTGCTGCAATACAGTTTGTTGTCAGCATAGAATGTTATTGTAGACTTGGTTTGACAAAGAGCACCATGTCAGGCTCAAATGCGCCATTCTCTCTTCAAGTTTGCTACAGACCAGGTTGGCGACAAAGAAGACCATACTTGACTTACACAATGAATACATGGTCTATATGTATATGGCGGCCTCTGCCGATTTTGATATGCTGCAATATATACTACTAGTACGTCGTCACCGTTCTTTAGGTGCTTCACTTGATCCTCACTTCACTGTACAACACTTGCGTTGATCCTTGGCTAACAACCCTGAAAAGAATAAATAAGTGCGCGAACTCAGCGCAGCCTCACCATCATACCAACATCAACGCGTTCGCGATCCTGGTCAGGATGGACTCAAACAGCATGGATCCTCTTACCGTTGACGGCGAAAAGGCTCACTCTGAAGAGCTCGATCCAGTTCTCCCAAATGTCGCACCTTGCGATAGCCCTCCTCATAAAAGTCCTCCTCGCAACAGTCCTCCTTGGGACAGCCCTCCCGATGACAGCCCGCCTCGCCACAGCCCTCTCACCAGACAATTCCTCGAAGACTACGACAATGAGGACGAGGATGACGAAATTCTGGAATGGAATTCGATCTCCAGCATGTCAATCTCATCAGACTCTGAAAGTGAGAATGACAACGCCGAAGACAGCACAAGCGGACGACCAGGTGTAAGACTGAGAGAAAGTGACCATCTCTCGCCATCTCCTCACAACACTCCCAACGATAATGGCTCACCGCGATCATCATCTCAGCCAGCATGTTACCTCGGATGTTCCTCACCAACGGACAAGAAGTACGACGGTCTCAAGCACAGAGAAGAGTCACCAGCCCCCAACGACAATGACCTCCCAACAGTTGTCAAGGAAAAGCACTTCGAGGGGGAAAACGACATGATGAGCGGCGCAGTCAGCCCAGACGACGAGATCAAGGTGCTGTCCACATTCACAGATGATACCATCATGTGTGTGGCCAAGAACGACCTGTCTGCAGCGCTGTCTCATATGCCACTCAAGGTCATCGGCCGATACGAGCTGGCCACATTGCACCTCCCGTTCAACGACATGCGGTCTCTGCGCTTCCTGCCGTTCAATTACCTCAGCACCTACCTCGGCGTGAAGCGGGCGATTGAAGAGGTCACGCAGCACCCGGGATACACAGACCAGGATTTACTCCATGCGTTGCTCAAGCGCGGCGGCTCCTCAAGACGGAGAGTCGTCTATCCGGAGTACATTAACTCTTTCTTTGGGTTTGGGCGTGCTGATGAAGACGATGAGGAGAAAGCCTACAAGTACGACCTTGCGTACTGGCAGCAATTGTATGAACTGGGTGAATTCTGGGAATACATCGATGTCCCCTGAGAAGTGCTCCTGGTCAAGCTGCGGGCTGGGGAGGAAAAGTCATGGGCAGGATCGGCAGGTTGGCAAGGGCACTGTGTTGGGTATGGCATACTGAAATGCCTCAACAAAAGGCTTGTAATGGTTCTCTACTGGTCTTCTGGACATAGCAAACGCATGATGGCGCCACGAAGGGCCCTAGCATGGCTCATGATATTGCTCGATGAGGTCGATAGGAAAGTCAGCGAAACAGAGGCCGTTTGCAGCGATGTTGAACACGTACTAGTATTCGATTACTAAGATGTTCCTAAGACCAATCAGAGTCAGACTTGGCAAGTTTGCATTGCTCTTACCACATTCAGCCCTAGCGCGAATTTCTCTCCACCGCAGCTCCAAATTTCGAGTTTTGGATTCTGCCGCGCAAAGAAAAAGTAGTGTTGTAACTTTAATATCAGCAGCATCGCCTCAACTCAAATTTCACAGGCGAGCAGTATCGCAGCGACAGAACATCGTCGCTACCTTGTATCGTTGCTCTCGCACAGACACTTCGCACCATTACTATCAAGCCGTCGGTCGAGTACACGGTCCAGTCCACCCTTCGAGTTCTGACCCCACGAGAACATATACCGGATTAGAGATGGCTTTTGAACCGCGCGGCGGCCGTGGCGGTGGACGAGGAGGTCCATCTAGAGGAGGCCCAAGAGGCGGCGGTGGACGAGGCGGATTTGGTGGTAGAGGTAAGGCGTGATAAAAAAAAAAGAATTCCCGAATAACCAATGTCGGCAATGACTGGAGGACGGCCTGCTGATTATTTCGGTTACAAATCTAGGCGGCGGTTTCGGTGATCGCGGTGGTTTCGGTGATCGAGGCGGTCGAGGCGGTGGCCGCGGTGCACCCAGAGGTGGTCGTGGCGCGCCCAGAGGAGGACGAGGTGCTCCAAGAGGCGGCCGGGGCGGTGGCAAGCCTGGTATCCGAGGAGGTGCGAAGGTCATCATTGTATGTCCATTGCTCTGAGCAGAATGACCATCCGAAGGGCCATTCTTGTCTGGGAGAACAAGAACTGACATGTTCAACAAGGAACCTCACCGACATCCTGGCGTTTTCGTCGCTCGTGGCGGTAAAGAAGATCTGCTGGTCACCAAGAACTTGACTCCTGGCGAGTCCGTGTACGGCGAGAAGCGCATCAGCGTCGACTCCCCCGACAGCCCGGCCGTCGATGGCGACAGCAGCGCGCCTGCTACCAAGACAGAATACAGAGTTTGGAACCCGTTCCGCTCGAAGTTGGCCGCCGGTATCTTGGGTGGTTTGGACGACATCTTCATCCGACCCGGCGCAAGTGTGCTGTATCTGGGTGCTGCGTCTGGCACGTCCGTGTCCCACGTTGCCGATATTGTCGGTCCCACCGGACGAGTCTATGCCGTCGAATTTTCCCACCGCTCAGGTCGTGACTTGATCACGATGGCCACCCACCGCACCAATGTCATCCCCATCATCGAAGACGCCAGACATCCTCTCCGTTACCGTATGCTGGTCGGCATGGTGGACGTCATTTTCGCCGACGTTGCGCAGCCTGATCAGGCTCGTATCGTGGGTTTGAACGCTCATCTCTTCTTGAAGGTGGGCGGTGGAGTCTTGGTCAGTATCAAGGCCAACTGTATCGACTCGACCGCGAAGCCAGAGGTCGTCTTTGCCAACGAAGTCAAGAAAATGCGCGAGGAGCGTATCAAGCCCAAGGAACAGCTGACTCTGGGTATGTTGTTTTGCTTTCCTATGCCCTAACTCGGCATGCCCTAGCCCTAGGGAGATCCATGTGCTGACCTGTTTGCCTCTCATAGAACCCTTCGAACGTGACCACTGCATCGTGGCGGGCATTTACCAGCATACCGTTCAGTAAGTGGGTGTACACCGGTGTGGTTGAAGTGCAGCGAGTCTAGTTTGACCGTCTACCCCTCGTCGGGATGCCGGTTATAGACCGCAGCATATCGCTCGCACTCTGGTGCATTGTTTGTCTGGCGTCAGTGGTGGTGCTGCACTTGCCCTGATAATGTCTGAGGCTGTTTGCTTCGAGGAGACCCGGCCCATCTCAGGAGATCAAGATGCTCGGCCATGGACATGTGTGATGGTCAAGACTTTTGCTGGATTGAATTCTGTGTGCCGTTGCCGCGGATGGCGATGACCGCCTTTCGGCATCAAGCAACAGGACCTAGCAAACTTCGGCGTTCTCGGTGTTTCAGAAACGGAAGCTGGATAGTAAGGTTCACGGGCGACAATTGGGTTCTAGCTGGAATGGTTTGTCCAAATAAATGCTTTCACAAAATGGGAAGATGATCTTGAAAATGGAGAAGAACTCAACCTCGAATAGCCCAACAACCATCGGGATGTCTACGTGTCTCATCGTGACTAAATCATGGTTGTTTTTGGTCGTCAATTCATTTTGATTTGGGGGGGTTTTTTTTTCATCATGCTCTTTCATCATGCTCAGGCATCTCTTCCTGCCAGAATCGTCGTAAGCCATCTTGATCAATCACTCACGCCTGCCCAGGGCTCTTCTCCTGCGTATTTCCAGCAGAATCTTCTTGCTGTAGTCCTACTACAGGATTGATACCCGGCGTCTGATGACGCCATGTATTTACTTGCTCCCTTCAGTTCCAACTTTCATTGCCTTTGATCGCCGCGACCCGTTGACTGCATTCCTAGTCTGCTCGCGCATGTCAAAGATTCGCGCGCATCTGCATCAAGGCACTGCTGGACCACGCATGGGTACTTCCATTGATTCACACGCTTCTTCCGAGTGAAGTAGCACCTAGACTCCCCGACCTCAAGTACCAGGCCACGTAGGTCGCGGAATTCCCAGCTAGAGCCCAGCATAGCCGTACAAACTGGTTGGCCCTTTGGAACTGACACATGGTGCCAATTTAGTACCCAGAGTCGGTTCGCCGGGTGAGATGGGCGAGGCGGATGATGTTGAGCTCTAACTTTGATGCAGAGGTTTCAGTCCCTTACCTCACCGACTAAAAGCGATACGAGGCTGGCGACATGTCGACTCATGAGACTTTTTGTCTAGACCCTGACAAAGGCTGAAGAAGTAGTCAGCATCATTCCATTCTCTACCAAATGCAGGGATCAACAACTTACTGGCATCAATTTGCTTGACCTGTGGCAATGCTAGACGAACTTTGTTCCTGTAAACAGCGGGTCCAGCCAGCTGTAGAGGGTTCATCTCGAAATATACCGTTTCGAGCTGCTCCTTGTCGGCCAACTCGCGCTCGACTTCTCGGAAATCCGAGAGTTGATTACTGCTGGCCCAGACCTCCTCCAGCTCTTTGAGGTGTCCGATGTTCTCCAGATGCGAGATCTGGTTGTTGGAGATATCGAGGACACGCAGTTTCGGATTGTTGGCGAGCGAACTTGGTGAAATCTCTGTGATGCCGTTGTGTGAAATGTATAGTTCCTCCAGATTGGGCAGCGACTCCAAGCCCGTTATGGCCGTCAAGCGATTTGATTTCAAGTCGAGAAGTTTCAGATTCGTCAACGGGGACAAGCCCTTGATCTCGCTTATCTTGTTCTTCCCCAGCCATAGCTCGCCCAGGTTGGGGACGGGCTCGAGGTTTTCGATCTCTCGGATCCGGTTGGCCCCCAGCTCGAGCATAGTGAGCTTCTCCAGTCCTTCAAGGTTCTCAATCTTGGAGATGCGGTTCTGCACGAAATACAGTTCCTTCAGATTGCGCAGATGGTTGACATTCTTGATATGTTTGATCTTGTTGAAACTAAGATCCAGGCTCGTCAGGCTCTTCAAATCCTCGAGTCCCTTGACATGTGAGATCAAGTTATCGTACAAGTCCAGCTCTTGTAGCGTCTCACCCAGTTCTGAGGGCAGAAATATAGATTGGATGGCATTCTGCCGCAGACACAACCTCTTGAGTTTGGTAAAGCGCTCGAGTTTCAGTGCGGGTATGGAGGATATCCGACAATGCACGAGGTCAATATCCTCAGTATCCAGTGGGTAGTCGTCAAGCAAATCTTCATCGGCCTCGATCTGTTCGACAGGAGGAGCTTCCGGGTCGGAGTAATCTGGATCAGACAGGACTTCAGGGTTGGTCAAGACGGCATTTCGTGGTGGCATGCGCAGTTTGCCGTCCCAACCGCTGCTGTTGACCAGCGGCGCAGAAGAGTTTCCATCTGAAGACCCTCTCGTAGAGACCGCTATTTGGGTGTGTGCGTGTATCTCTACCTGAGCCTGTGCCGGCTCATTCTCATTTTGTTCGTGGTCGTTCGGCGGGTTGGGTTGAGGGGCGTGGTCCGCATCTTGGTCTTGATCCGTCATGACGCGGGGAGAGGCAGGGATGGAGGGCAGGTTTAGCTTCGAAAGATATGTGACACGTCGACAGCAGAGGGGACGAGAGTAATAGAGAAGTTGAACAGAGAGATCTCAGAGGGTTGCCTAAGGAAATAAATTGCTAAGCCGAAGTCTCAAAGATCTGGTGATGCAAATGGGAGTTGAGGGCCAAAGGTTGGCCGCACGACCCGATTGAGCATCGTCACGTTCGAGCTACAAAAGATGCGGTCTAAGTTGTACAGAAATATTTTGTCCGCACTCTAGATATTTCATGAGCATATCCTCGAAGTCGCTCATCGTTCTGGTCTTTGTCATTGATGTAAACTTCAATATCCGCATTGTTCGGAGCATGTTAAGGAGCAAAAACCGGGGTTCGCTCTGGTATGCGCTCTGGTATGTAGCAAATGCGCACTGCAAATAGGTTGCGGAAGCACCACAAGAGGATTTACCATCTGATACCGCAAGGAACAGTAAAGATAGCCAACGTGCGGTATCTCTCGGAGGCTCATGCACACTTGTACTCGCATCCTGCTCCTGATCCATGACTGTAGTCTGGTCGTTCCACAAGCCATGTCCACAAGCTATGCCGAGCGACCTGACTTCGTGCCAGCCCACCAAAGCAAGGCCATGAGTCGCAAATCCAAACGCCTATGAGAATCTCTTCGTGATCTTTGCGATGACTGCGCATGGTCAGTAAGCTTTTTCTTCTAATCGTGAGTTCCCATCCTCTAAGATCTGACTTACGGTGTAGCGCAACCACGCTGAAGATAAACCCCAAGCTCAGGAACAGCACAACCATAGGATCCACCTTCAATCCAGGGCTCTCATCCGTGTACAACCTTAACATCGTTCCTGAAGAGCCACCTGCCCCGGCCGAACGCGTCGAAGTTGGGCGAGCATTCTTGAGAGTTTCCTTGTGGTCGGCAGCTGCGCGACGTCGAATAGCGGATCGAGGGCCTCCTGGAGGTGAGCCGGGGCGCGCGATAGAAGAAGAACCACTGGCTTTCTGAGCTGAAGCAGCCGAGTCAGGCCCGGATTCTGGACCAGAGGTCAGGGGAGATGAAGGTCTAGGAGATGCCTGAGGAACATGTTGTCAGTTTATGCGCTCAACGAGTCATATACATCTTTGCGGTACGAAAGCACGCAAGCAGAGCATGCAGAATAACACGCTCTGCAGAAGGAGAGATCAGGTTTCGTACCATGTCTGTATCTAGCTGCGACGGCGGTGGTGGTAAAGGTGGTTGCGGATAGGGGAAGACAGGGTGGAAGAGTCTGGGTCAGCGACAGATAGCGCAATGCACTAAAGACAGGTCAAATTGCGAAGACGAGAGGCTGAAAGCGGATGCGTAGTAGTCGGAATATCAAACGACTCGTGAACAGAGTGAATGTGCAAGTCTAATCGGTAAGTAGATGATTTGTTAGTGGACACATTTGCGAAGTGCTCGATGTGTCTCCAAACTCTGGGGAACTTGGGTTGCAAGCCCTGGACCACAGCATGCATCAGCCTCAGCACCAGCCTCATTATGTCAGCCACCCTGCGCCTGGCTGCAACCACTGCACGACTCGGACATGGCGTCCTCCATATCCTTCCTTCGGCCTTTCAAGTTGTCAACGACATCTTTGCATATCATCTTACTATATCCTGCTTCCTCGCTGCTCCAGCATGAGCTTGCCATCAGGCCACCCATAGTGGCTGTATCTCATGCTTATACCTGTCAACATCATCATTCTAGAGCTGTTGTCATGTGTTGTGGGCTCTTACATCAGGAGGTGGACTCTCTGGCAGATGTTCCCTGAGTCTCTAGCGGGCTATACGTTTGTTCGAAGGATGAGCACTACACAGGACTTCGGCCGGTAGCATAGCGGTCAGCGACACATTGAGCTGGCACATCAGGCCTGAATGATGCCTGTATTTGCCTGTGTTGAAACGAAGCAGGGTACCATTCACACGCAGTGTTGTCGGCAGACCTCTTGGATAGGCGGCAACACAGTCTACAGATTTACTCAGGAAGCTGGACTGGAGGAAGTGTCATACTGCTGTCGCAAAGGCTGCGTAAGGTCTGAAAGAGCACGAATGATCTATGGTCAGACGTGGGAGGTCGATAACCGCGGGCTTTGTTATAGTGACCCAGATAGCCTACGAGGACGATGAGTGCTGAATGAGCAATACAGACAAAAGCTGTCTTTCTGTTGTCGAACGGATGGATGTTACTGTCTTTCTTGAAGGTCGACTGTGAGTACCTGGTCCACTGGCTCACTTGTTGACGGTCAAGTTGCTGCCTTCAAGTTTGTTGATTTCACTCACTTCACTACCCGGAGTGACTCTCACGCAGCTGCGTTTTCTAACTTATCTCACGCTCTCATCCGACACCTGTGCTCACCCGAACCTCTTTGATTCCTGCAAAGCCTCCTTCCTTCTACCTGCATCAGTCGCCGAGCTATCTCTTCATCCACCACAGTCTCAGCAGCGCTCCTCTCCCCCTCCCCTACCAGTCACCTTGAACACAAATCGTCGCGCTTTCAGCATGGCACTGCACGCTTTTCTGGTTCTAGTGTTGGCCGCTATTGGCGTTCTGGTACATGCACACGGTGCTCTGGTCGTCGACACTGCCCCCGACACTCCCCGTCCATATGTGCTGCCGAATCTCAAGGGCGGGGCGGTCGACTTTGGTGGCTTGATCATTCGAACCCTTGTTTCCAATTCCACCTCTGCCGGCGCTTTGTCAGTCCTGGGCGCCAACTCTGGTCCCAGCGGTCTCAGCATCATCCACTCACACAAGCAAGTCGAAACATTCTACACCATCAAAGGCAGTGTGCAAGTTTTCCACAATACCAACCAGGGTCGTGAGCTTCGAGCCAACGATTTCGTACTTCTCGCACCTGGCAGCAACCACACCTACCGTTTCAATGATCCCGATTGCCAGCTCACCTTGTGCCTGGCTCCTGGCGGCGTGGAAGGCCTCTTCACAGCTGTCGGCAGCCCATACAACTCGTCCGCGCCTTTCAACCCGGAAGACAAGCCGCAGTTGAACGTCACCGAGGTTTTGGAACTTTTTCCCAAATATGGCATCACCCCTGCGCCTTACAATACCATCGATTTGGATTGGACCAACGGAACCACCCGCGATGGCTTGGGCACCTGGCATGTTGCTGATCAGCCCTTACCAAATGACGCCGCCACACCATATTTCATCTCCAGCAACCTAGGACCCAAATATCTGCACCGAAGCACCGGTCAAGTGATTGGTTTGTTGGCATCCGGTACACAGACCAATAACAAACTCACTGTCGCGACGGTTGCTATGAAGCCTGGTTCACAGCCTGCCGCCGTCACCTTCGATGTTCACCAAGCGCTTCAGGTAACCGAAGGTCAGCTTCACCTCGAAATGAACCATGAGACTGTGACCATGACCTTTGGCGATTTGGCGTTCATTCCTAAGGGCACTTTCTTCAGTTACTGGTCCACGGTCGGCTTTACCAAGTTTGTGACCTGGTCTGCAGGGCCGGGACTGGCTGACAGTCTGATCAAGGAGGCAGAGCAATGGAATCATGCGGTCTGGCCGGCATGAAAAGGATCGGAGACGCCCACATCGCCATACGCCACATGACGGTGGTGTTCAGAGGTTGGCAGGTGACCTGCTGCCTGTGTAGCTAGATCTAGTAGCAGATGCTCGGGGCCCGATGATGGGTGCAGTACCATAACAGGTACCTAGTGCTTTCAATGAACACAGAAGCAAATGAAATGGAGAGAGTTTCCACGGAGATTTGCTGCCGCGTTTATGTGTACAAGGCAAGACTCGTAAAGCGGGAAAGTCTTTCCTTGTAATCAGTTCCGACAATGTTACACCCTCGTAAGCTGGGAATATGATGATTGCCAGAGTCTCTCGTTCAAGATGATCTTCTACTTTGTTGACCCTGAAACGCAACATGGTGCACCGTAGAAAAGACGCGGTGTACGAGTACGTGGAAGCATTCGGTGCTCGATGTGCTGAACTTTCACCAGATGAAACTTTCACGTACGAGTCGTTATCCACTCCCTAGGTATCATTTCCAATGTAGTAAAATACGTACGAGCACCATTCACCTCGGGCCATAATCACGCTTCGTTGCCTCGTTACTTGGTCGACAACAATTCCACTGCTTGCCGCTCGAGATTCAGCACCTTGTCGACCACCGCTCAAAAATGCCAATCAACCAGCAAAGCCCCGGGAACGATTTCCTCAACCACCACCAGTACGGCGATGCATGGAGAACATTACTCCATGTCGGGGGTGGATGGGGGACAGTTAGGTCTGTCAATGGTCTTTCCAGACGCGTTTCCCTTTCCTTCGTGCATTTATTTCTCCTCTTTCCTGGCGAATAGCTATCGATCATGCTCCCATTGAGATTTCAATGGGTTCGGCCCATCGAAATTCAAACTAGACAAATGCGCATGGTTTTGTGACGACGATATCTGAACATCGGACTCTGTGCTGACTATGTGATTGTTGCCGTGGGCGTACAGCGGACCCGGGTTATTGTAAGTTCAAATTTCCCGTGTCGCTTGGGAGTTGCCATCTCCATATTTTCCTTTCTCACTCATTAACGATGCTTTCCGACATGAAAAACAGTATGTTTCGTGTCATTCTTTCCGGCACGATTTCCGCAGTATTCGTCGGCATGGCAGGCGCATCAATAGGGGCTGTGATTTGGGAGACGGCGACGATACCCTTCGTGACAGCGGCATGTAGCGGCTTCGTCCTTGGGGCCGTGGGCTTCTACCGCGATGCCGTGCGCAAGTCACTGCGCAGTCTCGATCGCTACCCACGGCTGCTGCGTCTGCATCTCGACGCCAACTTCCCACATCGCGGTTTCGAGACTTGGCCGGTCGACAGGCTCTCCAGCAATATCTTTCGTCAGAGCTGGGTCTTGCGTAGTATGCTGGTCGCTAGCTGGTTGACAGCCACGAGGTCCTTGGATGTAAGTTCCGCTCCCCTGAGGCTCATCCAACTGGTCTTATTCAAGCCTTTGGACGCTTCTCTGGCTACTATGTCATGCCCTTCGCTCGTTTTGAGTTTGCCCGAACCGCTGCGCCGCCGTATATGGCACAAGCCTCGGTATTGGGTCGAAGATATGTCAATTGGGCGTGACAGATCTCCTGGGATTTGGAGAAGTTTGCTAACGAAAGGTGATCTTCGCGGATTGAGCAGAAAATCCTTGAAGCAGAAGAAGAAGCCATCCTCGCCCCACTCACGCTTGCAGAAGACGCGAACCTGACGCAGAAGGTACCCGGGGGAACTGAGAATATATGAGCATTCGCAATTGAACGGTGGGGAGATAGAAGGCGGATTCGCTGCCGTTCCAGTTCACTCTCATTCTCTGCTTGAAGGACTCTATCTCGTCCAACCGCAACCTCAGCCCGACGCAAATGACACTCCTCACGAGAGGTCTGCTGCAACCCTATATCAAGACATGTGCTTGAAGCTCTACATTGTGAAGCTTTGGCCAGTATCGATAAAATAGGGTTAAGAGGTACGAGGCCATTTGAGGCGTTCCAATCGATGCCAGTGTGGGACTGCGGGGGATGTGCCTGTCATGCCCCGGACGGACTACGGACCTTGAAAGTCACGGCTCACCTACCACTGGCAATGAACAGAAATGGAGCTTGGGGTGACAAGGATTACAAAATACTAGAAGATGGCGGAGAAAGGACACGACACCTATCGCAGGCATTCACACTCCCGCTTCCATCCCCATCGCGAACGGGGACAGCGAGCACACCATACGAGAAGAGATGCTTATAAAGCTGCGAGGAGACCTGGACTCTGCCCTTGGAACCCCTCTATCCATGACTCCGCACGTCTCTTAAACATCTGACCATATGGAGTACTACTAGTAGAATAGCACGCAAACACGCTCATCGTCGTCATATCCTCCTCCATCCTCAGTACTTGACCTACAGTACCTTACGAAGAACAGGCCATCTTCCATCCTCTCATGCTCCTAGTATCATACACCGCCTGATATAGGCATTTGATTCATCATCAGATATCTGCTACTGACCTTACACTTCCACTTCCACTTCTTGTACTACAGCAGCAATAACTTCCCTACCTCCTACCTAACAAAGGCAAAGACAGCAAGCAGCACGACCCAACCCTCTACCACCATGTCATCCCCACCCAGCAGCTGGCAGGATCGCCGCTTCATGTTTCCAGCAGGCAAAGAAGTCCACCAGGGCAGTCGCCGCTACTCCCAGTCCAGCGGCAAGGACGATGCAGGGAATACTTCCGCCGCCGCCGCTTTTCCTCCTCCTCTACTACCTGACACCGACGCCACCAATGCCGCCTCGACCACGGCCGAGTCCGGCAAAGTGCTGCCACGGTGGGACGGCGACCGACGCTTCATGTTTCCCGCAGGCAAGGAGATCCATCAGCCTGCACGCCGTCTGTCCTCTTCCTCGAGCGCGTCGTCTTCTGGTGACAAGAAGGTCGATGCTCCGACCAAGACCTCTGCTTCTCCGCCGAAGTCGTCCGGGGGAGGAGTTGCGGCCGCCATTGCGGGAAGAAGAAGGGTACGCATGTCATGCTCGCATACATACACGTTGATTCTTTGATGTTCTCCTTGCTTGAGCTTATATATACACTTACCCTGTCCACCTCTGCCGTGGCAGCTACAGTTTTCTTTTCCTATGTCAATATGCTGCTCGTCTCTTTTCTCGTCTTCTGATCCGTGCCAATTGGATCTCCCTCGCAGCTTTGTAACTTGATTCCATGGTTGCGAGGTGTCGAGACTGTGTCTCATCATGGCCTCTTTTAACTGATTTGGATTAGTCTTCTGCCTCCTCTCAGGGTGGCATGTTCGGCGGCCTCCTGTCCAACCGGAGCAGCGACACACATGCCGAGCGACGACAGGGATGGGAAGAAATGAAGAAATCTGAAGGGCTGGGAGGGTTCCTCAGTGGCTTGGTGAACAAGCCGGCTGACAAGAAATAGGCCATTCCCAGCAGAAATACGGGACCAGCAGTCAGATCCAAAGGTGTATGTTATGATACGAACCAGTATATCACGACACGCGTGGAAGGCTGGAAGTAGGTGGAAAATGCAGATATTGATTGATGTGTATAGCAATATAAAACATAATAATAATCAATTTTTTTATAATAAAAAAAAATAATGCTACTAATATAAAGCCATCAAACAAATAAATAGAAAAATTATAAAATAAAAACAAATGGTATGAAAACAATAATATACAACTAGAAATATTAATAAAGTTAATATGAAGTTTACAAATTTTTACTAGTTTTTTTATAAATGATTGGACTTTTATAGTTACTTTTTTAGATCCCCTGTAAAATTTTTAGTATTAACTATTGCAAATATAATAACAATAAATAATAAAGAATCGTCATTGCTATTTGTTAAATATAATACAGATATATAAAAAATAAGACCGACTAATATATATAAAGCATAGGAAGTAACAACACCTGTACTTAAAATATTAATAGATTTACTTATATCAGTAATTTTTCTTTCTAAACCATAAGGTCCAAAATTTTCTACAGATCCTTTGTCCATAATTTTTGTGGTCTGAGCACCTAAATCTAAGATAATTCCTGAAATATATTTATTATAAAACATTTCTACTAGGAAACGTTGATTTAAAAAACCAAATATATTATAACCAAACTTAGATAATTTGAATTTAATAACTAATTTTGGGTAAAATTCAGTAAAGATTATAGACAGAATACTTAATGTAATAGTAAAAAATAAAGGTAATAATTTATAAAACGTAGGAACGGCAAATTCTGTATCTAACATTATTTCATGTTTAGGGTGTATAAATAAACTATTATCAGAAAAAAAATCTGAACCTAAACCTATAAAAATATCTTTTGTAATATAACCAAAAAATATAGAAAATATAGCTAGTATAATTAAAGGTCTGTGCTCGGTCGCGATTGAAGCACGAAGGGAGATCACAGCCACGCGAGGATGTGTGTTTTTGCACAACTACTTCAATGGGGAAATTTATGTATCAGTATGTTTCAATAGCGACACGTTGTATTCTCAGTCCTCATGTGTTCCCCCGAAGCGATAGAGAGACATGCTCGCCTCTTCACGTTCGGTAACCACATCCTCCTCTACCTGGGTATCTGTGTGAGCGTCGAAGGGCATAAAGAACTACTAGTAAACCAGCTGATGCCTCGGTCCATTCTACTCGCCCTTAGCTCCTCCCACCTTCTCTTCCGGTGTGTCGGAGCTTCTGCATTCATCCTCGACCTCAGAAACACGACCATGAAGCGCCGGTTTCTTCTTGCCCGTCAAGTCGAGCCACATCGACCGAACCGTATGCGCCATGGTCTTGCGGCCTTGCCACAGCGGGAAGATCCCGACGCAAGCGGTGCTGCAGAACAGCCACAGAATGCCGACCACAACCCAGCCTGCATGACGAACGAAGGTTAGTCGTGTGCACTCAACTCAGCACCAATGTTGACCTCGGGTAGGTACGTACCTGTAAAGAACTTCTTGCTGAAAATATAACCCGACCCGTACATCGGCATGGGCCACAGCACAAGCAGGGCAATGGTCATGAACGCGGTCAAGCTTCGGGAGATGAGGGCTGCCTTTTTCAACTTGGTCTGTTCGGCGGCCTCTTGTTCCTGGGATTGGGAGGTGACGGTGGGCACGATCTCCGTGTCGACGCTCGCACGGCGAATGATTTCAGTGTCATCGCCTTTCCGGATTTGCTTCATCGACACCCAGTCATAGTTCTGGCGGCCGAACGTGTAGGTGAGGACAGGGATAAAAATGAGCGGGCTGAGCAGCGCAGTGACGTTGCCTGCAAGCATGGGATTGTTGGAGCCTGTGCAATCGACGTTGAGGACGCCGCATTCCTTCTTGGCCGTCACCAGCCAGGCAATCAACGCACAAATCAAGCCCAAGACAGGCGCGCCGGCCGCCGCCTGCCAGTTCTGATCCTTCCACATCAAGGCCAATGCCGCGGGAATCACGGCCGAGCTGATGATGCAACCCATCATCAGGTACAAGTAACCCATGCTGACACCGGCGTAGAACAGCCCGGTCGAGAACCCGGCCAGAATGATGGCGTAGACAATGCAGGCCACGTGCGACATCCGGATCAAGAACTTTCCAGAGGCTGCCGGGTTGATGTAGGTTTGGTAGATATCGTAAGTCCAGATCGATGAGACGGCAATCAGTTCGGCAGACGAAGCCGAGGTCACAGCCATAAAGATCAACAGAAGCGTGGCCCCAGCGCCACCTTTCCCCAGGAGGGCCGTCGCCGCGTAGGGGAGCACCAACCCGGCACTGACATCGGCCTCAGGCATGCGGTTGGGATACGTCGGGAACACGGGGTTGTTCTCCAGAGCCAGCGCCGCCAGACCCATGGTTGTAGCGCAGAGCCAGGGGATCGCGAACCAAGAGAGGCCGCCCATGACATATCCGGGCAGTGCATCGACTGGTGAGGCCGCAATTGCCTTGTTGTAGTAACCTGTCAATATGAGATCAGCGTCTCCTCTGGCGTCTTGTTGGTGTCTGTCCAAGGCAACTCACCGTTGTCCAAGAAGACAGTGCCAAAATTGCCTACGATGTTGATCACAAAGAAGATGGCCCCTTCGCGGCTCTGCATTGTCAAGTAGCTACCCTCAGCGTTGCCTTTGACTGGATGGCGTTTGGAGGCATCAGCAAGCAGCTGCCAGACCTTGCTAGGGGACCCGACAATGTCGTTCGTCGCGTATGCACTGAACGCGAAGACAAAAATGATCACCAGGATGATCACCGTGTGGATGTAATCGGTGAGGAATGTCGCTTTGATGCCACCAAACATGGTGTACAGCACGACACCAATCGGGAGAAGGAAGCAAGCTGCAGCGGTGGGGACTCCGCACAGAGAACTGGCCACGGCGCTTCCACCGGTCAAGAGCATGGCCGTCACAAGGATGTTGGTCATGAGTCCGAAGACAAGGAACACAATATGGGTGACAACGCCATATCTGGCCTTGATGACCTCCAGGAAGGTATGTGCGTTCGGGGCGCGTCTCTTCAATCTGTGACGGGCTGAGTCAGAGGCTGTCCGACGAGGAGGCAGAGGTGAACGAATTCAAGTTATCACTTACTCGATGGCCAAAGTGGCGAACAGCAAGATCTGGACAGTGGCGCCCGAGGCATACCAGAAAGGTCCGGAAACACCATATCTGTAGGCGACACCCGAAGATTGAAGCAATGTAGCGGCCCAGGTCCAGCTAGACACAACGGCGGCAGCAACGAGACCGGACTTGACTGTTCTTCCCGCGGTCGAGAAGGCTTCGGAGGTTTGGACCTGAGAAAGCAGTCAGAACCGCTGCAATGACGGTCGACCTGACACTCACCTCTCCGTGATATCGCTTCAACGCCCATGTGGTCCCTATCATCCCCAGCGCGAAGGCAAATCCCAGACCCAGGATGATGCCATAGCCGAATCCTTGGGAAAGGGGAACATACGCAGCACCAGCTGTATCAGGCATCTCGAGACGTAAGAAGAAAAAGCAAGCGATCTTTTCCTCGTGATTCTGTTGCTCGAAGACGCTCAGCAGAAACGGGGTGGCAATTTTGGAAATCTCAAAGGCGGACCAGGACTCATATATTCCGGTTGCTCCCACCTTAGAAGTTCACGGCAGAAGAAAAGACGATCTCATTCGATCGGATAGGACGCCTACTGATTGAAAAGCTCACACTCACGCGAAATAGCGGATGGGGCTGGGGAAAATGTCGCTGCTCCTGGCCATCCCGATAACGGGATGCCGAAGAAGAACCCAGGATCTCCATCGTTCGCCCGCTCACAGAAGAATGTTACCACAGGAGCACTGACCAGGGTTTTCTGGCAGGCGGTGCTCCAGAGTTGCTGAACGGTGATGCACAGCTTGTGATGCCAGCTGGAACTGGAGATATGAAACACGTTAGTTTACTGGAGGCTCTGATAAGCAAGCGAGGATATTACTGGATATCCTGCATGTTGAGCGAGGTTGTGACACGACAAGCAAATCATTCCTTTGGATTGGCAAGTTAGAGACATGGGGACAGGATGTGAAAGAGTACCAGGATTGACAAAATCGTTGAAGCAAACGAAAAGGCTTGGAGCGATCTTATCTCACCCTCTTGCCGTCATGATTGGTAGACCCGACGTCCTACCGCCCATCTCCTCCATCATTCACCCCATGGGTCTTGATAAGTCAATCATCCGTGACTAAGTTGTTTGCTGGACCAATCTCGTCGAGTCTCGCGTCTATCAAAGATCGTCAGCCAAAGCCTCATCAGCTGTCTTCTGACCCACACACTGCCTGTCATATTGCTTTTGATGAGCTTGCCAACGGTGGACGTGGATGCTTCTTTTGCTGCCATCTCTTTTTCGGGCTTCATTCCGTTGTTACTTGACATGTCTTCCGGAAGACATGCCCCTCCGAGTTCGAGGAAAAGCAATGTCATTCTCGTTGTTGCACATAACGGACATGTTTCATCGAATTCTGCGTGTTACGCCCTGTGCTTGTCGAGGCCTATTCCGCTGGTCTCGCGAAAGCAGACCATGCGTTCGAACTATGCAAGCCTGCCAGGGACTTCCTTATTTGACATTCAAGTTTGGGCAGTGATCCAAGGCTGCCAGGCTTGCTAAATCTCATCCATGGTTGGTTGACATGGTTGCAGTTCGATGGAGCACCTTGAACTCGGATGCACGGTGGCTGCATCTCACAGAATTTTCGGCGGGCCTCGTACTGGAGTCGATCTGGACCCTGCTAGCTTTGTTCCCCGTTATCTTTGCCAGCTATGGGACTGGTACTTCATATGGCGCTCGCTAATGGAGAAGGAAGTCAGACATCCGGCTTCGGAGCGCTTCCCATGTTACTCTGTCGGCGTCTGAAATTGCTGGCTGCACACTGGGTTGAGTTGACAGAAGAGAATGCTTGAGCCATTCATGTCGTTGAAGAATGGGCATCCTGGCTGTTTACCTCGATTCATGGTAAGGATGCAGTGCAAGTTGCGGTCAGGATTCGACTCAGCTTCTTCGTTTTCACCCGCCAACCTGGAAAAGCACAGGATGCAAGTCTCTAACGGCTGCTGGCAGCTTGGTAATGTTCATAGCGTCAGTTTTCAATTTATGGTGCCTTCCAATCTCTTGTGGAGGGATTCAAACACGGAGTGATTCAATTCCTGGTGAGCATTGTCCTCTTTCATGTTTGATCACCAATTGTGGCATCCCTGCGGCCTCCGTATGTCCTGCATAACGATCAAGGGGATACGTCGGGTCGCCAGTCAGGTGGATTATGGCTCTGAAGAAGCCGAAAGCGGGCACTCCGGTCCTGTGATTGTTAGCATTCGATGCGTGCAAGTAAAGACACAGTGGTCGGTCGTACCCTGCCAAAGGCATGAGGAATAAGGTGTCAGTTTTTGACTTCGATGAATAGGGGAACTCACAACCCTCATCGGAGAGGAACACTGCCCGGAGAGCCATTCGACTTGCAATCTGCTCGTAGCCTCCGAGCTTCATGGTTATCAATGTGCGGATACTAAGAACAAGAATGGAAGAATAACCACACCAGAGATATTGATTGCTCGCAGAAGCGCACGGTGAAGCTGAGACTTAGTGGCAAATCGGGAAGTCACAGGAATGCAAAACTGCAATGGCACGAAGCGATAAGAGCTGCTTCCACCACCTGGAACCAGTCATCATAGAGAGTGGCGTTCGCGTCGCTGGCAAGAAGATGGATACCACAACTGGATCTGAAGTCGCACTGTAGTATGTGTTGGTCTTCACTTCGAATCAGAATACATCAACAAAGAAATCCAGGCTTGAGATGCGACTCAGTATCGTTCATGGCCATAAACCCAATGGACGAAGCCCTGTGCAAGGTGGATTGATCGCGGATGGGACTATACCCATCTTTTCACTCTGAATAGAGCCCTAGCAGTCAATTTCAAGATTCAAATTGAATTGTGCACCAGGATTGTTTGTCAAGTCGTTCTCAAAGCTGATTGCAATCTGACAACAAAGTCGATGTCTCTGGGGCGACATCGGAACAAGAGAAGGAATCTGGTCAATCTGAAGTTATGTATTGCGCTCTCTTTTCCGTGCAGTAAGCTCCTAAGATTACAAGTTGAACCATCTCCAAGAATGTTTCTTGGCTATGCTTTCTTGCCTTCAGCCTGTCTAATGGTCACCGTGAGGTTCACCGCGGTATCCCACAATCTTCATCCTTCCGATCATTTCTCCAACGGTAAAGAAACCGAGAACCTGAGCAAAGATGATACCAGCGTTGGTCAATTGTCTGGAGTTGACGTTGCGAATGGTACTGAGGGCCGATTCCGGGCTGACGGAGCTGGTTAAGGAGCTGGCAACCGACGAGATCGATCGAGGGTTTCGGAAAACGTTGATGAGGGGCTGAAGATAGGATTCGAATTGCGCAAGAGTGCTGTGCGACTGATTAGAATAACATGGTCCTGACATGAAGGTATCTGACACTTACGGTGGTGTCATGTGTTGATTCTTAAAGACAATTCTGGTGAGCTCCAAACCCACCCGGGAGTAGTAGATCGTAGGAGGTATTAATGCTAGAAATCTGTCAGCATCACCGCAATGTCTCTCCACTCATCGCTCGTAGTCGCATACATTCAACAAACCGAATCAGTCTTCCAGTCCTGCCACCGACTCTTCCCAATGCCTTGTATGCGGAGGAGCCAACTTTTGAGATGGCGGCACCGGCAGAGCTCTGAACGCGTGTAAGACCCTCTGAAGCCTTAGAGACAACTTGTTTGCCGGATTCTTGTGCTTTCGAAGCGGCCTCTGAGGTAGTGGAAGCTTGTCTAAAATTGTTCCGGCGCAGGAGCAATCTTGACTGCCGCAGGATGGCACGGGAGGCAGGTGTGGCAGACATGGCTGCTGAAGCTCCTGTAAGAGCGCGGGAGGTCAGCAGGGAGAGTGACGGGTAGTGTGAGGCTGCTGGACCAACGAATATGGTCGTGTGAGGGCGTTGCTTTGCTGAGAACTGACGACCGAAGTGAAAAGCTCCAAAGATCGGAATGAATTGGGACCAAGCCCGCCGAAAGATAGGAGCTCATGATTCGCTAATGCAAGAGGCTGTCCCTGGAAGAGACGCTGCTTTAACTGCAGCATTGATGCACCATCCTCTCGCTGTCATCTACTATCAAACTCACTGCTTCCTACAATGGTACACTACCGTCCATATGCCTAGGTAGTACCTTACTATCCTCATCGGCTGCTCAATGATGAAGCACATTGTCCTCATGACTCGGTGATTGCCGCACTGCTGCTCGACAAATATTGGTGCTGGCTATTGGAGTTTTGCAGGGTATATTCAAGCCTGCTATCACCTTGCAAAAGCCTCAGGGGGTTGATGCCATAAGCAATCCCAGCCACAGACTTTATGGCGCACATTGTGAACGAACAGAACACAGAATTGCAAGCTAAACAACATGTCATTCCATTGCTAGGTATACAGTATATCCCCTCTGTGGCCATCCATGGTGTGGGCAATCCCCCTTGTTCAGATTCGACTGATGTCTTTTCCTGCGGCCTTCCAGCCTGAAACCATCGTTCGAGCCCTATTGACCGGACCCAGTTCAAAAACCGTCTTCCCGGCGCTCCATACTGAACCCCTGCATCCGATCATTTGAACGCATCTATCCTATCTTCTTTTGTCTTCACTGTTGCATGGTGTAATCACTTTGGCGAACCGCCTCTGTAAATATCACTCTTTCGTCTCTACTGCCATCATGTAGAGCGTGGCACCTCGTGCGCGCAGACAGGTTTGTGGGTGTCTGGAGGCGGTATTCTTTGTCTTCTGCGTCTTGAGCCAGGTCATCTTGCACGGTTGCTTGCTTTTGTGTTAGCCGTGTCATCCAGTGCCTCCCGTCTTTGACTTTGTATACTACCTTTGTTGCACTCACCTCATTTCAATCTCAAAAATCTCATCGGCGACGGCAAAGAGCAAAAAGGCATCAATCACCACAGCAAAGCCACTGCCAGCAGCTTTGATCCTCCTGATATGGCTGCCAAGCCTGACCGACCTCAAAACTCGCCTCGAAAGTCGTTGAAACAGAGTCTCAAGGACATCTTCCTGCGCAAACTGCGAAAACCCCCCAGTCCGTGTGTCCGGACCGTAGGATCTGGAATCCTGCGCAGAGGAGGTCCTTCGGACAGTTTCATCTCCTCCGTTTACACCTTCTCTCCTCTCGAATCGGCCGGAAACCTCTGGAGCCCCGATCATCATACTATCTCCCGTGGCATCCCCAATCGATTCCAAACACCAACAAATAGATCTACGAGCCGATTTGAAGCCAGACAATCTCTTCTGCCTGCTACAAGCCTCAGTCATTTCAACCTCCACCATGATTATCTTCAACAACTGGCAGTACCACAAGGAACGGTGCACCAAGCCATATCGCCCACCTTTACCTCTCTCGTAAGCCAGCAAGCGAGCATAGCCCCCTTTTCTCCCAGTCCAAGTACTTCGTCCCTCAAACTACGAGACTCCAGTGTCAATCTTGTGCACCGAGACTCTTTCAAGCACCTTCCATCGCCGTCTTCTGCTCGCCAACTCCAGCAAGGCCGGGGTCAAAACAAGCAGGTCTCGTGGAATCAGTCTGCAACGACCAGCTCCGTGTCTGTGCCCGATCACGACTCAGATGAAGAACATGCGTTTAACTCTGAGGACCATGCTGGTATTCGGCAAGTCGAGCACTTCAAGTCCATCTGTGTACTAGACACTGCACTGCCTGGCTGTCCGGTAGTAGCAACATCCGAGGAGCTGAGATACATCTTCGAACTCGGCGAACACTTTTTTCTCAATAGCTTTGAATGTGAGGGAACCTCCATCGATATTATCACAGGTCAAGATGCTGCTGGCGAACCTATCACTCACCTCGTCCTTTTCACACCTCTCGTCATCCCGAGCAGCGGTCGAAGTCGTTTTATGCTTGCCAGCCTTGTCGACGTGACTCGGTTTATTCATGATGCGGCCTCGCTGCCAGAACCCGACAAGGGCTCCAACCGCTCAACAATCGTGGCCGATTGCGAAACGCCGTTTTACACTCAAGACATAAGATGGAGCTTCACCGCATGCAAATTGTCGGCCGAAGATCTTCTGGGAGGCTGTGTTTTGCCACAAGATCGAGACACTCCTACCAACCCAATCAGGGATCCGACCGATGATATCTGGGTGGACTTGGCCAATGAAGAAAGGAGCCGAACGTCGACGGCAAGAAACACTCCAAGATCGACACCCGGATTCATGGGCACCCCTAGATCTTCAGACGCCTCAACTGCATCGAAAACTAGCATTACCGTGGACGACGTATTGGATGATTTCATGTCTAGCTTGCAAGAACTGTATTCGAACTTCTTCCTTTTAGGCAAATCCCCGCTGGACGACACTTACTTCGAGATCTGCAATGTCTCACCCATGTTGTACGAGGCCGAGGACTATATTCACGGACATCTCTCCCGTACAGGAGAACGGGGACTTGCCGATTTAAGTACACGGCTGGCCTACGGATCGCCGTTCCACGCTCGGGTCAAATGGGGCATGGAGGGCCAGGACAAACGTCTTTATTGTAGTCCGCTATACGGACACAATTCCACCACATGGATTTGTTTCCTCCTGGAACCCAACACGCCGGACCTGTGGTAGAAGAGTGTCAAGTCATTATAGCAACAACCTCCAGGGCCAAATCCAGGTGTACAACGCACACATACAAAGGACTTGACCGTCATTCCTCGGATAGTGGCGAACTTTTGAGTAGGGTTGCTTCGAGATAACGCCACCAATTACCTCAGCACGGAGCTTTCTTTCTTGGGGCCATCGAGATCGACAATGTCGGGGTTGTACCAAGCAGGCATCGTGCGGGATGTTCAACGATCACCTTGGAAGGGCCGAGAACTTTAATGCAGCATCACAACGTCGCATTGCCAGGGTGGATATCTTTGACAGGGGAAACCGCACGTAATCGCAGCAGGCCCAAGGGCGACAGATCACCTACCAGCAATGCCTGTCGCTCGCTGATGGCAATGTATCGCGGCATATCGGCGGCATATCGGCGGCAAACCGAGCGGCGCGAAATGCGACGTACCCTCTTGTATCAACAGTATGTTGTCAAGACGCGCAGCAACTGGCCATTTTATTCCCGCTCAGCTTGGGACTCGAATCTTTCGACAGCGGACCACGGTCACGCCAGCGTGCAATACTTGCCATTTTGAGAAAGGCTCACCCGGCATGACCCCTTGGGTTATCCACACCCATGCAGCGTCTCCTCTGACATCGAATCCTCGCTCATTCTTTCGCTCGTCTATTTTGCATTGGCGATGCCACGATGACACGACGGAGTTTAGCGAACAAACCATCGGCCATGCTTCTTCATCCCTTTCGCAACTTCGCTCCACTTCTAGATGTCCATAGCAGTGCCGGAGGCCTGCTGTCTCATGCTGTCGTTACGCCTCCTCGCGGAGGCATCTGAGACTCCAGTCCTTAACTCGGGCCACAGCAAGAGTTAAAAAGAAAGCCAAAAGTAAAAACGCTTCCCCACAACTCACACTTCCGTGTCTACTACTAGTCCCGTCTCCTACCAGCTGCTTGGGTCCATTGGAACCCTTTGTTCTGTTACTACGTACTAGCCGAACAGGAATGAGGCATTGACAGATATCCTCCTCAGGGCCAACTCGTCGCACACCTGCCTATCTAGACCACCTGACCTTCCTTCCACCGACTGTCCCACCACCACGAATACTAATACACCTATCCTCCCGCAACCTCGCTTATACGCTCGCTCATATCGATCACAGTCAACATGTTCAACGAGAACTTCTCTTTCGGCTCGTCCCCGCCTTCACCCTCTCTCAGCGTCAGCGCCAGTGTCGAGGAATGTACTTCAGCAGATATCTCCCCCTTCACATCCCGATGCTCTTCGCCAAACTCTCGAACACCTGCGCCCTTTCGCGATACTCGATTCGACACCTATAGATACGCTGGCAATCCACGCAACCCATCAGTCACGGCTTTGACAGCACGATTGCAATCTCAAGCCCTCAACGATACCGAAATGCCCTCCCCCTCACTACCTCCCAGCGAAACCGGATCACCCGCAGTCTCGACACCAGAGACACCAGATACGGATGCTGACGAGGGCTTTTATGAAGGACCCGGTACACCTGCAACTGCATATTCTGACTGTTACGAGCCAACCGAGATAGATCCTGCTTTGTGGGACCTTAGCATGTCAGACTCTGTGGTGGCCACTTCGTCGCCCCGACCTTCATTGTCGCTCGAAGCGCAAGCCCTGTCGTCATATACCATGCGTCGGAGGCAACGGCAAGCATTGATTAGACTCCAATGTATGGTCTCCAGGGCTCCCGATCTTGCCATGCTCATCGAAGAGTGCCACCCGAGTTCGTTGCCGCTGGGGCCAGACATGGTTCGACAATACAATGCAAAAGGGGGAAGTGACTCGACTTGCAGTATTTCGGGGTTTGGGTCTACACACGGGACGAGCGAGGGGCGGATCGAGAAGAATCGAAGACCTTCGACTGCAGCCGTTCGAAGAGCGCCTAGAATGAGGAAGAGGACATGATGAACAAGAATAATTGGACAGCAGAGGCAGGAATGTCTGCACGATACTGAGCCACGAGTGGCCATGTGGGCCAGGTACCGATGCCTTGAAAGTTGGGCCGGCATTGTTTCGAATCAAATCGATACGACGAGAGATGTACATTTTGCATCCAGCATCCACAAGAGGAGGCTTTCTCCTTGCACAGTGCAAAAGACCAGTGGCAACTAGCCAGCGCCTTGGAGGCCCTCGCGTTTGAGGAGCCGCTCGATTATCCCAAGGAATTGTATACTGTCTGTGGGTCAAAGCAGACTTCATCGAAGCAACTCAAGTTTAGTGGGTGTGAAACTGCCTTGCGAAAGAGGCCGCCGCCGGTCACCCGACTGAACTTGCCGCAGAATCTTTTGGGGATTCATAGCTGCAGGCCACCAGTGCCCTGAAACAGAGGGCAACAGAACGTCGGCGATACGGATCTCCGTTCTCTGTTTTCGATCAGCGCACACCGAAGTCTCGGGACGGCGAGGCGCACGGGAACCATCACACGAACTCGCACTTACGATCACGCTTTGACGTTCTGTGAATGCAGCGGTGGGACTCGAGCTGAACATGCTTATCACCAGAAGCGGCACGATGACCTCGGAGTTGGACGGCAGTACGGGAGTCTAGACCTGGCGGTTCTCTTTGCTCTAGCAGCCATGATGCATCCGACGCAAAATGGTTCCGCTGACCAGATTCCTGGGATGACATGTCAATGACCACACTTCCAAGATGTACTATGGGTTGATCCCACCGAGGAGGCCATCCTTGTCCCATCCTGGTCGGCAGTATCACGTCCCGAACAGAAACGAATTACTCATGTCAGCGGTCTCGATAAGCCAGTCCATACTTTCTTCAAACCCCTATACCGTCACAGTTTGCACGAGCTTTTCTAGCCAATGCAGTATTATCTCATGATACAGCGGAACAATATGAAGACTACATGCTATGCCACGGCACAATCAAGATCACTCCTTCTTTCATTCCCTAGCGGCTTGTTCCATACCTTCTTTCTCTTCCCTGCTGTTCCCGACCCTAACCCAATGCTCAGCTGCGTCCCCTGAACGCCATCGAACTGGTAGAAAAGTATATCTCAGCCCTAGTCGAAGCTACTCCGATTATCAAACTAGTTTATATTGAACTCTATAGCCTTAATGTCGCTTTGAGCACACGGACTCAACTCACAACACAAACAGCCCTGATCCACCCTGCCAGAACACAACTCCATGAGCACAGAAGGTCCAACGGCACCAGATTGGCTGTTTCCTTCTCCTATTCTCGTTGGGCATTTTTTCGGTTATTTTTACTTTTTTGTTGCTTTTGACTTTATGTACTTGGTGTGACGCATGCAAATTGCCTTTTGTTGGGTGAACACTTTGACACTTCTCCCGCTGTTCTGGAACACGGATCTGGCCGTACTAGATCTGAAGGAAGAAGGAAAATGGACCCCTGAAGTGCATAGGGATCCGTCTGTCTGGAGGAAGTAAATGCGCGGTTGGTCCAACTGTATGGGTTCTCGGGTGATGGGTGGCTCGAGCGTGGGAGACTAGTTAATTGAAGGTTGGAAGTTCAGCCCGAGTTCTGTGCCGGCCGGAAAAGCAACAGCCTGCAAATGAGCGAGGGGAATCATATGGGGAATCTTCAATAAAGCTTACTACTGTCGGAAAAGCAATCGAGGAGGTAAAGCTGGTGGCTCTCTAGTGGGCGAGGAGAGAAGAATAAAGGCAGTATGGTAAGATCTCGGACAGATCTCTGACGGTCCAGAACACACATAGACTTTGGAGTCAAGCCACAAGTGTCAGCCACGGTCTCCGTTCCTTCGCTGTGTCTGCTATGGTTCGGGCGATGACGGGCCTCGATCTCTCCTGGGCGAAAGCTGTGTCATACACAACTGAAGGCATGGTCCTGACTACTGGATCGCAACTTGGTAATGATATTTGTGGTCTGTAGACCAGGTATTTTCCGACCTCGGCATTGTTGCGCTCAAGTCGAGGTCAATCAAATCCTCCCCATTCTGCTCCCGTGTCTCTCTCCTGGGGAGCGGTTCTTCTTGAGAGACTGGCTTGGACGGCGGCACGCTTCCTATTGACTTCCCGTTTCTCGTACCCGCTTTGCGTTCCGATTCGAGCCTTTCGCTTCATTCGTCGGGTTTTCTCGTCGTCGTCCGCATGGATGGCTCGTCGAGATTGCACGCCATGGAGTTTCAGGTCCTTTTTGGCGGTCTTGGACACGTCCGGGAGTGCATGTAACAGCCAAGGTTGAATACCTCCTGCGGGTAAGGATGCTGCAGCACTGTCGCCATTTTCATGGCGATTTGCGGAGCTGGCCTGCGCCTTTTCGCTGGCTGCAATGACATTGGCAATCCCTTTGACGTACTGAATATCCTCCTTGGTGTAGAAGCTGACACAGACACCTCCTCGTCTTCCAGCTCTGCCAGTTCTTCCAGCACGATGGACATAACCGGCCACTGTGGTGGGAATGTCGTAGTTTACAACCACGTTCACCCCTCGGAAATCCACCCCTCGAGAGAGCAAGTCAGTAGTAATCAATACCCATATTTTACCTTCCCGAAACTTCTGCATGATAGAGGACCGGACGTGGTCGGGTAAGGATGAATGGAGGACGGCTATGCGCGAAGAACCACCCGCAGGGGCCGGTATGTCGTATTGAAGTTCATCGTACAGTGACTGTGCTCGAGCTATCGTCTGGGTAAAGACGAGGAAGGGGGTCCGAGGAGGGGGTGCTGCGTCTGCATCGCCTTTGGATGAGGATGTCGCCCGTGTCGGGTGCAGCAATTGTCTCATACCCAGTAACTTGCCAGACTCGGTGGCAGTGTATGTCAAGCGATGAGAGATCGATGGCAAGCTCGTATCTTTCAGGCCGATGATGGTCCGCAGCAGCTGTGGACGCTGACTGCGGGGGATTTTGAGCCGTTTCTGCCGCTGGTATATGGTTGAGATTGCAAGCTCTTCGATGCTCGATCCGATGGTTGCGGACCACAAACTGATCTGTAATGAGGGAGATGTGCATGCTGCCCAGACAGCCAGGGTCTGAGCGCGGAAGAGGGGATCAAGAAGAACATCGGCTTCGTCCAAAATAAGGGTTTCAATGTGCGGTAAAGGATTCGGCGGCTTGGTTTGGTCTTCTTCCCATGCTGGACATAGGGCATGGACCAAGCTCAGAGGGGTAGAGACGAGAATATCGGCTTTGACTAGACGGCTGGGATTGTGGTCCTTCTCGAGGTCGCTGTTATGCTCGACATCTTCATCAACATCAGATTGACTCTCGGCTTCCACAGCGTGTCCTTCCCACAGCTCCATCCCCTTGCGCATGGCCGTGATACTCACTCCAGTCTTGGAACATAGCTTCCGGCCCTCATTGACTATTTGCGAAACCAGTTCCTTTGTAGGCGCGAGAATGATCGAGCTGACATGTTTCTCTGCTTGGTCCCGTCGTTGCCGATGGGCTCGGGAGGTTTTCTCGATCAAAGGAATCAGAAATGCAAGTGTTTTTCCACTGCCTGTCGGTGCAATGGTCAACAGATCCGGTTCCTGTTGGCCTTCCTCGAGCAAAGGCTTCAGCAGTAACGGCAATGTGGCAGCCTGGACCTCGGTAGGCTCAAAATATGCCTGCTGTGCAATGTTGCCTGCCAGAGCTGAATTGATGTTGTACTGCTGGCCAAGTTGGCCAAAGGAAGTAAGTGGTTGTGGGAAAATGCGCGACTGTTCCTTCTGAGATTTTCGGGAATCTGTAGACTTGCTCGCTGCCCGGAAAAGCTTCAAGTCGACGATCTTGATTTTGTGCTTCTTCTGGAACTGTCGTACCTCTTCTTCCGTGAGCAGATGCGACAAGGTCACGGAAGAGTCGCCGTCGTCTGAGTCTTTGCTGTCTCGCTTGCGCTTGCGGCCCACTGTAGAGTCTGATCCATTCTCGCTGGGTATATGTCCTGAAGCGGACGGGACATTTTGGGGCGATGGTTTTGAAATCTTTGTTTTCAGGCCTGTAGACCGGGATAACAGTTTCAAGGCATCCATATCGGCACAGCGTGTTATGAGCCGCTCACGAAAACATACCCTCTGTTTGGTCGCTTCTCTGTTCCAAGACTGGAATCACAACATCTGAGGATCTTTGATCTGAACTCGAACTTGGACTTAAAGGGCGAATTTGATGCCAAGAAGCGGCCGAGAAATCAAGTTAACTCCCGCTTACTAAGCTACATCGAAATCCTAACATTGCGAGTGCCTTTCGATTTCGGGCGTATATGGCATGTAGGAGATGATTTTAACATACTCGTAGATTTCATCAACTGTCTACAGAGAAAATTACATCTTACAGGCTCAAGAATCGGGAATACTGTACTACTACTAGTATGGGTAACGATTCAAGACGGGAAATCGGAAAATTGATACAGCGTGTTCCGTCTTGGCTGGTTTGATCGGTTTGACATGCTGCGGGGTGCCAACTTCCAACTTCCAACTTCCAACTTCCAAGGCCTGCGATCCTTCTCTTCATCTGGTCTAATATGGCGCTCATCGTTATGGGTATGTAACAGTATCTTTGCCTGTAGATGATGAGAGGTTATCTCTCTGGCGGCTGAACCCAGAAAACCAGCTGCCAGCTGCCAGCGCGAAAATGGTCATTGGCCTTCTCATCCTCACCTCGATTCCGACGGTGACCGGTGTCGCCCAAGCGATTTCGGGCCAGAAGACACAGAAAGAGCGGGAGAAAGATGCAAAGCGCATGAAGAAGTTCCACATTGACATCTCCTGTGAAGTGCAAAGCACTCGCATTGGAGAAATTCACGGCAAGAGGCTGGTCTTACGCGACGATCGCGTCTGGCTAGGTCCGCACGAGGCCCTAAATCCATGCTCGGAAGGTTATGTTGCCGAATCATTCTATATCGAATACCCGGACAACGAAGTAAGCGATCCGAGGCATGAGCTGTAATCGCGCGAGTCCGAGAGTTGAGCACTAATATGCACGCGCTTGTAGAGAGTGCCGGTGGAGATAGGTCTGGTCACTCAAGTTCGGGATGATCCTCCGTTATTGAACTGGATTTATGTGGATAAAGACACGATGGAGTTGAAATATGGGAACAAAAGTGTTAGTATAGCACATCATGTTGGGCCTTGGGATTGGACAGAGGATGAAAAAGGTATCACTTTCGATGGCAAAGAACGCTTCACGGCTGTTGAAGACCCTAAGACACACAGGTGGCAGATATATTACGATATGGACAGTGATGGACTGAGCAGATATGTACCAAATAGTAGGCGTAAGATGTCCGTAAGACTTGAGAGAACATTGATACCGGGCGTTTAGATAAATGATACTGTTCATCTTGTATTGTGCTCAATAAATATGTTCTGGTGGACGAGGATATCGAATCTAACAATAATAATAATCATTCAACCCCATCCAATTCACGTTCCACCTCATCTTGAAACCACTCACCCAAACAATCGTACATTGGTCACGACGCGCTCTCAACTTCTCTGATCGGGTCCTTCATCGCACCAAAGAGAGATTGACTGCCGGTACAACCTTAGGCCAGCCTAGACATGACGCCGTCGTCAAAGGTAGCCCCGAGCGATCGCGACGAACTGACGCGACCAACCAAAATATCTCTCACATTGCTCCGGTGGGAGGGCCGGCCAGCAAACTCACGTATCGACCTCACTCGAACATCGCCTCACTTGTCTATGCCTGATCACAATGGCACAGAGAGGTGGAGGTGCGTCGCAGTGGAAAGTCATCGGCAAAAGTGGACAAGTATGGCAAGTCCGGCACATCAACCCCTACAGTGACGGGAGTCCGCGCCACTGGCCAGGAAAGCCTTATCAACCAAGTTCCGAAGAGAAGTATTTGATTCAACTGGCAAAAGCATGGGTCAAGCAAGATGGGCTCGAACAACCCGGTAAGTCCTGCGATACTGGCTGTGAGATGGTTGTCGACCTCTCTCTACGAGTCGGCACAGCTCGTTCACCAGACGCAATTAACTGACTCACAACAGGCGTCGAATACTACCTTGACAAGCTGCCTGCTGGTTATGCTGTGTTCGAAGTACACCAGCCAGGTGGATCTCAAGTCTACAAGAGACTCTTTGGCCATCCATCAGGCAAATACTACGACTCTATTGTGCGGTTCGGGGTGCACTTCTTATGGCTAATGTCTGGCATGCATGGCATCTGCGAATGCGTGCATTGTGGTCACCATAGACCAAAGCCTATTATTCCCCGAACTCGCTTTACCTTTGACAGGGTCGTACTGCCTAAAGAGCAGAACAGAGTACTCTATGAGTATGACAGTGTTGGCTCGACGAGGTCCAACTCAGCAGATGCCCGCCATCCCGGCGGTACTTCGACCAGGCCGCAACGACAAATCAAAGCGGTCGGGGCGCCGTACGCTTATGACGAGGAGGGAGTAGAAGATGTCTACAAGGAATTGCTCAAAAGACTTGAAGCTGCACAAGGAAGCAGGAGAGGCATCGAAGACGATATCAGAGAAGTCAATTCTATGGATTGGAGAGCAGAACACTTTTGGGACGGTATGGGCTCCGATTTGATCCAACGCACATTGACCACAATCGAACATCAGCATTCTTTCGTCCCACGGGTAGGCGAACTTGTCTTGTGGACCCCAAATTTCTTGGACGATCACTATCTGATGCTGGACGAAGAAAGCGGCGAATATAAGTTCTACTCGCCTGACCAGAACTGCTTTCACGGATTCCCCACCTGGAGAGGTGGAGTGGTAGCAGCCGCTCCATCAACTACCGGTAGCGACGGCCCTGTCGACTTTCCTGATATCCAGACTCTCCCCGATAAAAGTAACGCTCTGAATAGGGCTGGCTTCCGGGTCGAGACTTTCCCGGACCCCAACAATGAGGTCGACAAGAAAGCGTCCAAGCAGTACAGATATGTGCCTCTACGCAACATCCGGCCGCTCTCACAGTGGCAAATGCTACTTCGTGGAATCCCGCAGGAGAAGTGGCATCCAACTATCCGTCATGCCTTGACATGTATGACCAGCCTATCTCTGCTTGAAAAGTGGTGGTTTAACGGAGATTGGCCCAACGCTAGCATCCAATGTAAAGGCATCTACATTGGGGCCGAGTTGATCACCGTTGGAGATACCGTTCGTATTATGCCCGATGCCAGCACCAAAGCGAGAAAGTGTACGGATGTCCTCGTCGTCGATTCGATCCGACTGAATCTTCACGATATCACACCTGCACAAACCTCACCAGACTCGCCACTTTTATCATCAGCGTCTTCTATCACACTTGTAGGAAGGGCCTACACACTTGATATCCGCCGTCACTACCAGATGCAAGGAAAAGCCAATGTGATGCAGTCTAAGCTTCCTTCTCCCGTGCCCAAGCAGGAGGTGAAGACTGTCTTCCCACCAGTGGGCTCTGGCGACTATGGCTCGTGGTACCACCTCCATGACCCAAACAACCGCTTCGAGATTTCCCACGACGAAGTTCTGGGCAGGATGTATGAAGCCGCTGCTGTCCAGCTTTGGATGGGCCTGCTGCAACGCAAACCCTCGAAAGGACAGCCCGCCATCAGACCGAAATTGGACTACGATATAAGAGCAATCCAAGAAGGTCGGAGATACGCCACCCAGGTTGACCTGAGATTGGAAGAAGCCCATCAGGCCCAAGTGTTGTGGTTTTGGGCGGACACCAGAGCGGAAGCACTTGATATCGAAACGATCAATGGTGTTGAGGTCAGCAAATATGATGACATACGAGACAAGAAGACTCTGGAGTCATGGAGAACGCAATTAAGGATACTCAACGGCCATCCTGTCCCCACCGACCTGTTCAAGTTCACCTCAGCCTTCCCAGAACTGCCGGGGGCGACCAGAGGAAGAAAGCCAGGCTCAAAGGTTGTGAACGGGAAAGTCATCCTACCTGGAGCTCCAGGATACGATGAAGCTATATCAGACCATATCGCCGATCGTGACGAAGTTCAGCCGACACCGAAACACAAAACCAGTCAACTTGCTGGAGCCGCCTTGGTTTCTACGGACGATGAAGAGGAGGCCTTTGAGGACGCAGAGGAGATTCTGTCAACAGTCGAAGATAACGACGATAAGTATATTGGAAAGCGTATCAAAGAGCATAAGGACCCGGGCGAAGAGCATAGCTTAGATGATGATAATACCGAGCTCCGGACATACCAGCAGCGATGGGGCGCAGCGTTTAGTTTGTTGGAGTCGGATGAAAGCAACCCAGAACATGTGACGAGACAGGACCAGAGTCCCGTGCCGCAACCAAAGCAGGAACGGACGAAGCAGCAAATCATGTCAAATGCCAACGCTTACGTCTCAGACGAAGACGATTGGTACGGCGACCCCATTCCAATCAGAGGAGGCACAGAGGAGTCCGAAGGCGGAGATTATGACCCTCGCATGGAATCCGACTGAAGAGAGCGAACGCCATACTCGAGTTGGAAGTCAGCATAGCTGAAGCAGAACGATTATCCTGCAAGCTGGGATACCTGACTCGTCGAGAACAACAGCGATGAGTGATCTGTTGCTCGGGTAGGAGACAAGGTTCTCTGACCATGCTGGAGGGCACAGATATTGAGCATGACAAAGACCATGGATCGGTCTGAGGAAGACAAGCACTTCAATGGCTTGACGATGGCTTGAACTAGGCGTATGTAGACTAAATGAGATGTCCTATGGATTACAGCCCCCTGTAACGAAGACCTAATTCATGTCGACCGGAAGTGCCTTACTAAGCGGGAGATCATGCCAAGACATGAGTCACCTGACCTGGGGAATTATTCAAGTTACCGTGTTCGGCTGACCTGCTTCTTCCGACCCTCTGCGATTCTTGGCTTGGCACACAACCCAAATTTGATGCAAAGTTGCGACCTCTGAAAGTTGGATTCGACAACGCCGACAACGACCATCTCCTCGCCCAAACGACATTCAAGATGGTACGAAAGATTTCTCGCCCCCGAGAGGCTATCTGAAGAGATGTAATCAAGGACATTCGATCACTAACTCTTCAAACAGGTCCGTTACGCCCCCGCCGATCGAATTCCTTCCGCCAAATCGGCTCGAAGCCGTGGCAGTTACCTGCGTGTCAGCTTCAAGAACACCCGCGAGACTGCCCAAGCCATCAACGGCTGGAAACTCCAGCGCGCCGTCAAGTACCTCGAGAATGTTCAAGAGTTGAAGGAGGCTGTGCCCATGCGAAGATATGCTGGAAGCACTGGTCGAAGCGCACAAGGTATGAACGATCTGAACGTGTGGACGGGAGAATTGTGATTGGAGACCTCTTGTGAAAGATTGCTTTCAGGAATTGTGGTGATGAGCATCATTACAATTTTTGAGTAGCCTGGTCAAGACCAAGAGCCGAACCCGCAATTTATCCTGGTCTGCTCCCGTGTTTTACAATGGCTAATACCTTTCTACAGGAAAGGCATTCGGAGTCTCCAAGGCCCGTCACCCTGTCAAGTCGGCCGAATTCCTTCTCGGTCTGCTCAAGAACGCCGAAGCCAATGCCGACACCAAGGGTCTCGACACCTCCAACCTGATTGTCAAGCACATCCAAGTCAACCAAGCCCCGAAGCAGCGTCGCCGAACATACCGTGCCCACGGTCGTATCAACCCATACATGTCCAACCCTTGCCACATCGAATTGATCCTGACGGAAGCCGAGGAGGCGGTCACCAAGGCTGAGGAATTGGATGTCAAGGGAGCCAAACTCAACTCCAGACAGCGAGGCGCTCAGCGACGGAGAGCCATTGCTTCTTCGTAAGAAGTTTCGCATGCGTTTTTCGTACATGGAGATAATGGCCAAAAGTCGATGGAGGCGCGGGTGGATGGTGGATTCCCCAAACGGCATGTGACGAGGTCGACGAAGTGGCGCCAATGCTAAGAAAAGCCTTGAGCTTGACTGTCACCGCTGACTGCCTAAAATCTCCGGCAGTTCGGACCATCGTCAATGATGTCTCTTGATTTGTAGCAGACATTACCGGCGAGACGAAAAAGACTTGAAATTCCCGAATTCTCAGCGCTTCATTCTTTGTTATGATCCCTCTCTCTTTGCGATTTCCTATCGGAATTGGCTCGTGAATGCGTTGCCTGTGGTTTACTTGGGGAGCTGACCCTCCTTGCTAGGCTACGGTTGATTCGACTTATCCACTGTTCCTGATTGATACAGCCGTTGGCTACCTTGCGCATTTCGTTGATCAAACTAATTCCGAGCCAGGCCAGTCCATCAGAACCTCACCGAGATTGCGAAATGCGAGTCTCTTCGCCCAGCCCGTCCAGCTCAACCACCCCATGTTCATCCGGGCCAGAAGCATGCCCTAGATTGTGCTCAGGCAACTTCCACTGTTGACACCAGCATCCCGTACTCAACGCGTCTGTTCACCCTTCGAACGAGGTTCATTTCAGGACGCACTGCTTGCTGCTCTCTTCTTGCCGCGCGTATTTTCCCCCTCCTCACAGCTTGATCTCAACACCCTCCGAGCACTTCGAGCTTCCACTTGTTCTGTGACATTGTCAAACGCTCCTGCCCTCATCTTATCAATCATCCTCGACCTCATTGCACTCCTCCACTGCATTTGCGGCGCCCTTTCACCGTGACTGTCCTTCCGTCGCTTTGCCGTCCGCGTCCCCCCTTGGTGTCTTTCCGGTGCCGCGTTCAGGCGCAGTGGCTGCCGCGCTGCCGAATTGGGTCTGGTTGAACCGGCCGCCGCCTTCGCGTCGAACTGAAGTCTGACATTGGTGTGAACAGCGTGCCGTCCGGTGCCATGTGGGCTTCGATATGTTCGATATGACGCTGCCAGTGGGAGGGCTTGATACGGCGCAATTTGTCCAAAAGCTCGTATCGGGCAGCCACCAGGTATCCTCCATCTTGGACTTCATGTTGAGCCGGGCGGGATCGTGCCGTTGATATCCTGGATGATGAGGACTGAGCCAGTTGCTCAGCGCCGGGAACCGCAGCCTTGTGCCGAAGTCGACGAGGCATTGTGGTACTGGCCCTAGCAGGGCAGGCGGCGGCAGCGAAAAGGCAAAGGTCCTGGATCTCAGGTCGACAGTGTCGGAGAGGCAGAGAAGTGCCTTGGCGTCAGCAGAAGACGAGCGTACGTTCTGTCCGGAATTTTCTGGCGATGTTGTATGTGTTGAGAGGAGCGCGACAAGGGTTACCAGGCCGATATAAGGACACCAAGCGCAGAAGAAGAGCCAGATTAAGTCGATCATGTTCACTCTCGGTTATGCGCGCAGCAGATTTGCCCAGTGCCTTTTATGGTCCTCTGTCTTGCGTGCCAAGTTGTTGTATCTTCTGATCAGTGAAGAAGTAGCAAGTGAACGAACGACTGACCACAGAAGAGTTCTTTATCATCTTGGCTTCACTGAAAGACAACAAAAGCGCATCCTTTCCCTCACTGCTTTGTTCTGGCAATACGGTCTGGTTCGCAGCAACTCAACACAACAAACCAGTCTACTGAGACCCAGGTGACTTGGAACTGAGACTCATCACAGCTGGCACAATGCAAGGTCCACAACCTCCACAACCAGACACCAGCAACCGAGACAACGACCACGACAAGAACCAGCAACCCGAATACACGAAATACGCTACAGTAGAGCACTTCTTCAATGAAAAGCGACGGGCTCTCTTCGAGTCGATATCGGCGTCGAGGCGGTACGCCTTCAACTTCCGCAAACGCGCCATCTCCACCTCGACAGGCGAACTCCTCTGTCCTCCTCCCCCTTCCGTCCCGCAACGCAAATTATCCCGGCCAAGACTCGCCCGAATCAGGAAGAAATGGCGCAGAAAGAGGAGCAGAGGAAGCGACACCGATCCCCTGTACTGCTTGAGAAGACATCAGCTGCTGGCGATGTGGAATACCCAGCCCACGACAGTGGCACAGTGGGATGAATGTGACCAGGCTCTACCAAAGATAAGGCCCCGGTTGAGCAAGTTTCGGCTGCGCGAAGAGAAGATCGACGAGCCCGAGGATGTTTATGATGATGACCATGGCATGCTGAGAAGCCCACATACTTCGAAGAAGAGGAAACATAGCAGGGTTGACGATGATGGTGTTGCTGCAGAACCACGGGCAAAGAAACTGTCAGGCTGAGGGATTAGGGAGGACTCCGTGGCTATCGAGGTGGTCACGTGATTAGATAATACCATTATCACGTGATAGGTCCTTGTATACAGGGCGTGCCCCTTTTTCGCAAGGCTGAGAATATTGTATGTTGGGGCAAGGGTGCTCCACCATTTGAACCTGGATAAAACAGACCTATACAACACAAGTGCCTGTTATTGCCAAACACTAAGATACTAATTTATACTAGTAGGGAGGACGCCAGGGAAAAAACACAAAATAGTAGATAGTGATGCTAGAGTATATCAGGATGTTAAACAGTATAATAATATATAATATATGCCGGGCAGACACTATTACTATGTTGGAAAAGTTACAAAAATGATTATGGTGAGATCCCTATGATATTATGATTTTGCAAAGTGTATTTTTAGCAAAGGGTATTTTTGTATGCTATTTTCTATAGCACCTTGTCCACCATGTCCACCATGTCCAGCACCATTATCCAGCATTTGTTTACTAGTAATTGCCCATACAATTGTATGTTTCCCTGTGTTTTTTCCATTACCCCCCATAATCCGTTTCCAGCTAGTTGCCTACTTTCAGCAGCACGTATGCTCGTAGCAACGTCCTTGATGTCACATGTCCATTCGGTAGACTGGTTCGCAGTATAACGTGCGGCGTGAATGCCAGTCTGACCGTCGCACCCATCTCCTCCAGCTTCTCTGGTCCCTGCACATTTGGGTGCGTATCCTTTGGTTCCATGGCCTCTTTGCTGAATGGTTGCCCGTACTGTGGCATCTCATACCGGTACTCATTTGGTCCGGAGTACATGAGGGCAGCCAATCTGTGTGCTTCGATCATCAAGCTTAGCAAGTCATCCCAGTCTCGTGATGTCTTCTGATGCATCATCGTTTGCAGATCGGCCCACAGTTCGTTGCCACGGGTTCGAGCCAGGTGCTGCAGATAGGCTTCGAAGTTGGGATTTTGCTTGAGCACTGCCATCTGTTGAACCACCGTGGTGAGCAGCTGGAACTTGACTTGGGCAGGTGTGGCTGGAGGGAATTGTTAGTCCATGTCGCTGTCATACAAGAAGTCCTTGTACTCACATTGGTAGATTTGACTGCGGCACGACGCAATCACCCGGTCGACGTTGTCGTCGAGTCCAGCGAAGCTATCCACCTTCAGAATGGTCTTCAACAGCCACTGCACAATCATCTTTGTCACCAGGAAGTATCGGAACACTGGTGTAGACATGAACTGGAAAGCTGTTGTCCTTGTTGCAGCATTGAGAAGTATGTCTTTGACCCGTTGAGGCATCGCATTGTCCCTTGATGTGCTTGGCAGGTTGACGTGTGAGCGAGCAAACGCCTCTGCCATACTCCAAACTTTTGCAAACTGCACTTTGACCGGATTATCCTCCTGCATCGCAGGGGCCGGGACGACTGCCATGGTGTTTGGATTTGGATTGGATGGCTGTTGTGCCCGTGGCTGGCTACCGAACATGCCTTGGTCGCTCCCAGGTGCTTGATACGGTGTGGCGTGACTGCCATAGCTTGGACCCGTAGGAGTCGTGTGATATCCCATCGGGAATTGGGGCGTCTGTGGACCCTGCCCTTGATATGCCAACTGCTGGTTCCATGGTTGACTGTGGGTTGGACCGGATGGGGACTGCATATTTGCGGGCTGATGTTGCGGACCATGTGCAGAGGCCATGTACGGCTGTTGCTGCGTCGGATTGCCGGGCGTGTTTGTGCTCGTATTGAATGCTGGGAGAGATGGAGGCGGCATATGTTGGCCAGAGCCTTGGCCGAGCATCCTGCCATGCGGTGTATTGTCCCCAAAGCGCACTGGCGTAACATAGTGCCTCTTTGGGTTGGCGATGGCATCGCTCTGTGTCTTGATCGTGGCCTCTTGCCGAGCGATCGTGGCCTTCAGCCCTGTGATCTCCGCCCCCATCTCTAGCAGCAGCTGCTGCATGCGGGCAATTTCTGACCCGGCTCTGCCGGTGTCTACTGCTGACATCGGTGTTGTGGCCCTTGTTTGGACCAAGTTCTGCAGATCCTGCTGCATTCTGGCGTAGGACTGCTCCGTGTGGAGCAGTCTCTCCTGTGCCGCACTGGACACAGGTGTGGTGGCAGGGGCCCAACTGGGCTTGCCACCACCAACGCCGCTGCCGTAAGGATACGACATTTTGATCTGTAAATCTGAGGTGTGAGCAGGAGGACTTGTGGAGCTGTTGAGAGCAAGTAGCAGAGGTCAGACGAGCCGAAAGATATGTGCGATGTCCTCGAAGGTCAGAGTTTTGTGCGCTGATGGCGATCTGATTGTGGTTGTGGGCGAGGTGAGTAGTAGCGTCACTTGTCCTGGACGGGTGTCGATTTCCGGATTGACTGGCGTGAAGCGGTAGAGGAGAGCGAGGACGGCGACGAATGGAAGGAACTGGAGGTAAAAAGAGCAATGCTCACCGAAGATCAAAAAGATTTTGTGCTGAGGAAGTCAGTGAATGTTCATATAGCAATTCTGCGCCAAGCCAAAGTAAATGGACGACGTCGACGAGAGCGCAGGCAATGTGAAACCTCGACAATGGCTGCACGTTTCGAAAAGCTCCTGTTCCTTTCCAGGCCTGTTTCTCTGTCTTTCCAAGGAGACGAATTCCCAGGCTGTTCGGCGCAATTTGGTGCAGGCTCTGATAACCGATAGATCCGTCGGCGAACGATGGCAGAAAAGGGATATCCAAGCCCGGGATCGAGTTCTTCTTTGTCTATGAAGTTTCCAGGACACAGCACGCCGATACCGATTTTGTCCGTCGAGTCCGGCGAGGTCAGAGCGCTTTGAAGGCCGTTTCAGCAGGCACAGCACCGAACGAAATACCGAGGACAGGTAGCAAGAGGTGATGTTGACCTTGACTGAACTGAAGAGGGGTTCAGGCTCAGCCGCTGCAACGTTGATCCAAGTTCTGACGGCCTGGTAGGAACTGCCCGAAATCCAGAAGAGTTTTCAATTAAATGCGCAAAGCAGTATGCGTGCGTCTCAAAGTCCGTTCAAAGAAGTCTGCCGAAATCTCAAATGCTTCTTTTGATCACTAAGACAAGAAGGCCCAAAGCTCAAAATCAAAATCATCCATTTGGGATAAGGGATAGGAAAGAAAGGAGGAACAAGCTCAGCAGAAGATCACCTTTATGTACCCTGAAAAGGGCCGCACATGCAGTGACTTGCTTAAGTGCCTCTTCACCTCAGCTAAACAGAGCCTGCCCACCAGTGGCCAAGTGAAGGGTTGAGCTTCCCACTTGAGGTTCCAGCAGTGACAGGTGACTGAGGTATGAAAACCAGGTCCTGGATCCAGTCCAAAATGGTGAGTATGTCAGGAGAGGCCAGTCGATGAGACTGATGCTGATAAGCCCTGGCCTGCATGTTGTCCAAAGCACGAGGTGTGTTGTTCGGTCGTCAAAGGGTCTTCTGTTCATGGGTGAACCTCTCCCTTGATGGTATGGGGCCAGTCCGTTCAAGAGTTTGTCACCGTCCTCCTTGGGTATACTTTGTCGTTCTTTCTTGCACACATTGTTTCCTCCTCTTGTCGACGTCGTCCAGGATTGAAGGTAACCGGCAAAAGAAGACAAAGATGAGACGTACCAGAAGCACATAATAAGCCCCCCAGCCAGGGGAGGCAGTGCGCTTGTCTTTTTATATAAAAGATTCTACCAAGTGTCAGCCTTGTTGCATGGAAGAGGGTTGTGATCGGATGATTCTACCGCAGTTGAGTTGAGTCACTCAGAAGAAGAAGGCAAGCCTGTCCCAGTGTCCATGACACTGTGCTGATCACAAGGGTGATGCACCATTGCTGATGCATCACCCTTGTTGCTATGTCGATGCCCTGGAACGACAGAAGAGATGGCAGAAGAGAGGAGAGAGAAACAGGATCAGGTGGATGAAGGAAAGGAAGAAGAGGTTCAGAGAGGGAAGAGAAGGGAAGAGATGTCTTAGAAGGTGATCGTGGGCCCTAACCCGTTCCAGCCGCCGATGCAAGCTCCAGCCGCGCCCCTGATGCTTGGGCGACAGCAATTGCGGCTCGGTCATGCGGCTGATGTCCTGGGATAAGCAAGAGAAACGCTGCAAAGGTCTTCAATTCTCCCTGCCTTTACAGTTGCAAAGTGTGATGCTTGTCAATCATGCTCCTTAAAAGCATACCGCCGATTCCATCCACGTTTGTGGCCCATCCTCTTCGGTGAGAAATTCACCAACAACCAGCAGAGCTCTTCCAGGGTACAGAACCCACACCTGTTGTCCCCAAGAGAACAGAGAGACTTTCAGATCTGCTTGAGGAGAGCACAAACGACACATACTCACATGTTGACAGAGAGAAGCCCAGTTTCCGATTCATTTCAAACCTTGAACCAGCCGAACATTGCAACCCGAACGGACCCCCTTTCTCCGTCCTCTCGACCGGTCTCTACCTCCTGTTCAAGATCCTTGATTCGAACGCTGTTCGACACGAGAGCTGAGCTGGAAGCTTTTTCGTCAGCTGAGAACCACGAAGTAGGCCAGCAGTCGCTCAACAGCTCTGGTTGCCGCAGTCACGGCCGCAGGAACGGGCAAGATGAGACAAGGCTGCAGATGGCGAGGCTAACGCTGTGAATAACCGACCTACGCCCATCGTGCTCAAAGCTCCGATGGGCATGAGGTCCGAGATACGGGCAGACTGCAGTGCGGAAGAGAGGGCCCATCTCCGCTATGGCCTTGAACACAGCTACCCAGGGTTCAAGAGAAACAGAAACGCTCACTGCCTCGCTTGACGATCAAGAGATTATTGGGCCCACCTCCATATAAACGGGGGAAGGCTCTTCGCTTTGAACAATAAGTGAAGATTGGTTGCCAATCGACAGGGAACCGACGCCAGCTACCCTTGATGGACGACAACCAAGATGTTCCTTCAGGAGAGCAAACATTGTAGTACTGGTATGGTGCCGACAACGGTGTCAACTTCAGGACCCAGCCCCCCAACCGTCTGTCCGCTTCGCCGTCAAAACACCATGTCATCGTCAAAGTTGTCGGGCCGCTGCGATGGCATGGAAAAAGCATCGGCAATAGTGTCAATAGTGTGGAATCCATCTTCGCGACCGAAAGATTTGGAAAGTGTGTCGTGCTGACACCGGCGTCAACGACGGTGCAGGGGTCTCTGGTTTCGCTGTGCGAATGATTAGTGGTCGTCACTGAAAGACTTCGAGATCATGGGTACAATATTGACACCAGGGTGCCGACCATGGCGCCAGAGACCCAGGTCCAGGTGGTTGCTTGTCCTGACTTAGGTAGGCATGTGTAGGTGGTGATCTTCGCCATCGGCAGGCTTCACCCGCCACAGAAGAAGCTACAATACTAATGATGAGCAGCGACAAAGACACACGGTATGACATTATAGTAGCAGACACACAACGAAAGTGAGGGTTCAGCAATTCGATAAACTGAAATCATGAAATATGAAATCATCATCATCCACGCTTTTTTGGATATCTGTTATGCTCGAGCGGTAGTCATCAAACTTCACAGACGGCAGAAGCGGCGAGGACCTACCGGAGCCTCGGTGAAGTCTTGAGGTGAGGACCGCCCATACCTATCTCAATAATCAGCCTGATGGACTGCCCACATCCCGCATCCCGCATCCCGTGAGCCAGAAGCCAGGAACCGAATGGAAGTTATCTAAAGCAAAGTCAACAGTCAAGTGCTTCCCAAGCTGGAGTCGGTTGGAATCTTCTGCTGACTTGAACTCCCATCGTCCTTCAGCCAGATCAGGGCGGTAGGGCCGCAGTACGTCCTGTCCTAAACGGCACGTCAATGTTCAGGCATGAAGACCTTCTTCCCTCCACTTGCGGCAATTTTTGATGCTACACAGTCCGGCACAAATCGTTGCGGTGGATCACAAAGCTTTGGTCCTCGCAAACAAACTGCTGTAGACGGCGTCAACGACTGGCTGTGCGCTAATTTGCCTACCGCCAAAGTATCGGCCATTGAGGCCCTTGATGGCATTCTCGCCTCCGGAGACACGGTCGAATTTCAGGTAAATGTCGCCTTGTGTGTTCGGATCGACGGAAATGTGAACAACATGGCCATACTTTTCTTCGCATTCGGCACGAACATCGTCCTCGAGTTCTTTGACCCAATTCTCGCCTTCTTCCCTGTAGACGAGTTAGCAATGTCCAGGAGATGGAGAATCAAGGGGGGTGCACTTACTCAGCAGGATCAAACATGTTGCGAAGCAGAACGCATCTGCTCGCCTGGCTGACATTGACTGGAAGAGGCTTGCTTTCCTTTTTAGGCAAGACAGTTCGTTTTGGATCGGCTTCGGCGGGCGAGTCATCTGTCCTAGCAAGTTTCCGCATCAACGCATCCCGGCTGTAATTGTTGAAGTTCACACCGGCCACGTCCGTGTCGTCCAGTGCACTTGCATTGCCAGCGCCCTTTTCGTTATCGCGACCCCCTGCGCGGTCAAATGTGCCTCCAGAGCCGCCGGCCGGAGCACCACGACCACCTGAGCCTGAAAATGCAGACCCTTGGTAGCCAGGCGGATCCCGTCCTTGGAAGCGTTGGAGAAGATTTGCAGTCGATTCGGGAGTGAATTTGTCGTTACCGAGGCCGACTCGAATCGGTCGTCCTGCAAGGTCAAAACCGTTCATCTTTTCAAGAGCCTCACGAGCTTGATTCGGATCACGAAATCTATGGCAAGGGTCAGCGGTCATTTGACGAATATTCTTCGATGCACATACTGGACAAATCCATAGCCTCTGCTCCGTCCGGTCTCATCCTTTTGAAGTTGAACGAACTCCAATTCACCAAAAGGCTCAAAGACGTTCTGCAAATCTTGTTCAGTAATGCTGAAATGGATGTTACCAACATAGAGTCGATGGAAGGGAGCGGAGTTGTGATGTCCAGTGCTGGCTTCTGGATTGCGCGCTTGTCGATTCTTCTCTGCTTCAGTGAGTTGGGCAATGATGGGGATGCCGAGAAGCTTTTGTCCGGTCATCTGGATCGCAAGTGGTACAGACTCTTCGTTTTTGAACTCGACATAGCCAACCCTAGATTGAATTAGCCCACGCAATCTCCGCAGCACGTTGGTTTGACTCACCCTTTGGATCGTCCACTGACTCGATCTTTCACGATCTGTGCCTCCTTAACGGGACCCGCTTTCTCGAAGAACTGGATCAATTCTTTGGTGCGGAGACGGGCAGCAAGCTGTTGAACAAACACTGTTCTCCTATCACGCTCATCTTCAGTGAGTTGTGGCTCAGGGGTCTTGCTCTTGACACGTTTTCTGGGACTTGCCGAGCGTCGTCGGTCCCGATCGCGATCCCGTCGATCATCGTCGTCCCGCTTAGATCGCCCTCCTGGCCGGTAGTGATAGCGTTCAGCATCCGGAGACCTCGATCGTCGACGATGATGGTCCTCATCTCTCTTGGAGCGTCTTCTCTCTTCGTCCCGGCTGCGACTCCTCCTCCTACTTCTGTGACTTCCGTTAGCGCTACCATGGTCGCTGCGGGGACTTTTTGTGTCATCGTCTAGCTCTCGTCGGTGTTCACGGCTTCGATCACGTCGCTTGCGGTCCCTATCGCGATCTCGGGAGCCATCACGGTGTTTCTCTCGTTCGCGCCGATCAGAACGGTCGCTACGATGACGGTCGTCATCATGTTTTGCGCCGTCTTTGACTTCCTCCGCAGCAGTAGAATCTAGGAGAGCCTCAACATCGAGTCCTGACATATTGAGCAGTTGTTGGTGATGCGCTCCGCAGTGTAGGATCTGGCAAAAGGATAGATTCACTTGGACGCGGTCAGAGTTGGTAATAGAGCGAGGTTGTGCGCAGGCAGACCCTTGCAGTAATTTGTGCGCAGAAGCTTGTGGAGACACAAGGTGACCTTCAAGTTGCCACAGGCGGTTGCTTGGATGTACGCAAGTTAGCAGACTCTGAAGAGGGTCTGATCAGAATCGACGAAGTTCCCAAGATGAGTAGACAAAACGACGCACTGCATGAAACGGAGAATTCTCAAGGCAGACAGAAAGCTGGCAGTGTTACTAAACTCTACTGAAGTTAGTCGAGTTAGTAGTACTACTAGTACGTAGTAGTACTAGTATGTGCCTGTCATTTCACGTGATGTGATTACATAACAGGCGGTGAAACCACAAACCAGCACGGATGAAAGTGAAACATTCGTCTCTGATGTGATGGCAGTCAAAGTATGTCTCTTGTCACTTCAGCAATGATAACAAGCAGTATTTCACCAACCAGCTTGCCCTGTCTTTCAAGGCTGTGGCAGCGTGAATTCATTGGGTCATCTACATGACTCTCAGCATTCAGGCCGCATTGTCCGAAAACCTACCAGCTTCTCGAGCAGGAAAGGCAGCTCCATTCCTCCCAGTTCGCTGTACAACATGATTTGCCACAGTCGTTCTTGCGTCGATGACTCCTTCCAGACAAGGTGACACCCTAGGCAAACTCCAAGCTGCACTTGATCTTGCTACCAGCTTTCAATGGCGAGCGTTCACCGCAGTGAAGCCTGAAAGTTGGACACGACCGGCATTTTGCTGTGCAAGATACTCAGCTTCACCTTCTTCCAGTTCTTCCAGCTCATCAGAAGTTTCAATGTCATCCTCCTCTGTGGTCTCACTCTCTGTGGTCTCGTATTTGAAGGATTCATCATCACTCAGTGAATCGGATTCGGACTCCCCCGTCATGCTGTGTGAACAGTTGTTATCTCCAGAACATGCAGAGCCATCAACTTTGCAGTACTTGCAAACAAATCCCTCTTGGGCACAGGCGACATTGTCCAGACCAGAACATCTCAAGTGAATAGCTCCAAACATGCACGAGGTTGAACTGCAATGAACCATACCATCATCGTCAGGTGGCTCTGTGCAGAAACAACGCAACGCACTCGAATCGTGACGTCCAGCACCATCGGGAGTATGCGGGCGTTTCTTTGCATCTGATCCACCTGATTCCGAATGATCGTGTAGGTCACAATACTCAAGACCTTGCTTCTTGTATCTATCCCGGAAAGGCGAGAGATCATGTCGTTTGTGGATTCGAAGGTCGGGAGATTGCGAGCCGGCGTCCCTGGTGGGCATGAGGTATTCTTCCTTTCCCACCAACTGCCCCTCAAGATCCTTTATGATTCGTTCGATCTCATACTGTTTCTGGCGGCGCAAGAGACTTCCTTTCTTGGAGTTGGAGTCTTTTCCCGGGGTCAGGGGTGGCTCCTGGGGAAAGTACATCCATTTGAATTTCTTGCTATCGAGGAGTGGGTGTAGCTTTTCTGCCAACTCGAGCGTCATCTCATTATCGTGAGTTCCATCGACAAGTTGTGGGAGTATCTCATGCGCCATCTCGATTTCGAATTCGTGGTTGAGAACTTGCTCAAGACAATCGAAACAGTAGTACACCGTTCTTGGGTACTCTTCGAAATAGGTCCGGCTCTGATTCGAAGCTTCATCCGTTACGCTTCCATAGCACTCTCCAAGAGGTATCACGTTCATCGGGTTTCGGCAGGTTGGGTAAGAACAGCAGTACACCATGTCCAGATCGGAATGGCGATGCAAGGCGAAGCGGTATCCATCTGATGAGTCAGTACATGAGTCAAGATTCATTCACAATCCTGGATACTTACCAAAAACGAATTCGAAAGCCTGACCTTCAGCATTGGTCTCAATGGGTTGCAGCTGGTTATCGTCCACTGATTGCGAAACAGACACCTCGGCTGTTCCTCCGGGTTGTTCATGCAATGACGATGACATGGTACGGTCTATATCGCCACCACGTTGATGCTGCTCACTGAGGCGACCATTGTTGTACTCATCGGTTGGCAGGTAGGAGCTGGGAAGAGGTATTCCGTCAAGCCTCTCATGCAGTTCCGGCTTCGAGTACAAGATGTAATTGGAAATCTCTTGCTCTGTCATTGTCGAATCTTCATCGACGCAACCCGAGAAGCTCGAGAGACAAGCATTCTCACAGAAGTACGCCCAGTCTGGATCCGCAGTTCGCTGACGGGACGGTGTAGGCCTTGATGCCTCCATCATGAATGAGAGTTTCGCGCTGGCGATGTGGGCGCTGATAGGAGTGGCGTTTCACAGATTGAAGAACGATGGTTTGATGGTACATCTAAACAACGCGTCAGGTATTGTGTGCGGTTATTCACTTTCCGGTGAGGCAGTTCAAAGGTGCAGTTGATGGGTGGACATGTGATCCGGAGGGCACCAACATGTGTCTTTTACACAAAAGATAACACAGACATAGCAGCGAGGATGGCACCAGGAACACCAACATGCACGACGAGCTAGTCTCGATGTTGACGCTGGAAAGTTGACAATGCGGTCTTGTTTTTTTCAGCCGACTTCAATGAGCCTTGTTCAATATTGCCCGAAACAGCCTTTCCCTTCAGCAGCTCTCCACGCCTTGAACGACGTCCTCGCATATTTGGTCCGCTGAAGCTACGGTTTTGATGATCTTGGGAAGTCAGTGACGTTCCGTGAGAGTCACCTGTTGCCGTCATTGTCTAGGAGTTTGCTAGCTGTCTCTCAGCGTTGTCCAGGGATTCCTGCCTCGGTCTTGTCCCCTACAATGCGAACTCCACGTACTCCAACACTCCGGCAGCTATCCAGGACCGCCGATCCTCCAAAAGGCCGAGAATCACAGGATATGGATTCATTCAATGACTCAACCAGACCTTTCCATACTCTTTCTCACCTGGGCTTGCTTCTCACAGTCAGATCATCAAGGACGTCTGCTGTGCCTCCGTCACCTCTCTTCGTTTCGGCGACTTTGAAAGCTTTGCCTTCGCCGCCAGTTTCCAGCCCCTTCTCGGCCATTTCATAGGCTTTATCGCTTCGGTCAGTCAGGATTTGCAGCTCGTCGTCGCTCAGGATGGCTCCTTTGCCGCCCGAGTCGGCGATGTCATACTTTTCGAAGTCATCGCTGGCCAGAACTCCTCGCACATCCTCGATATCCGCAGCGGATGAAAGTAGTGACCTGAACTTCCCCTTCTGGATGACAAGCTTTTCCAGTTTTCGTTTCGAGTCCGCCTTGAGGAGAAGAGTCTCTTCGACCGTACCCCGAGTCGCCAGACGATACACAATCACCGGTCTGGTCTGGCCGATCCGGTGTGCGCGGTCCATCGCCTGCAGATCTTGTTGTGGATTCCAGTCCGAGTCAAACAAAACCACCGTGTCAGCCGCGGTCAGATTGATCCCCTGCCCACCCGCGCGGGTCGATAGCAGGAACAGATTATACGATTTGTCCGTGTTGAACGCCGTGATCGACTTGTACCGGTCTTCTTGAGCCACCGAGCCATCGATCCGACATGCTTTCCAGCCACGGAGATCGACAGCATAGGTCTCCAGGATATCCAGAGTCGTCTTGAATTGGCTGAAGATTAAGACTTTGTGTCCCAACTCAAACAGTCTTGGAAGGAGGGTATCGAGTAGCAGGATCTTTCCTGAGGCAGTGACAAGGCTCTCGTCGACTTGAGGATAGTCGCCCGATTCTTCCTCCGCAATGGTGGCAGGCTTCCAAGGCCAGTAGAAGTTGTGCGGACTATTGCACGCCAGGCGGGCTTGCATGATTGGATTCTGCAGTTTCTTACCCGACATCTCCTTCTTGGCCAGCTTGAGGGTTTTGGCACGTTCGATTTCCTGTTCCTCCTCCGATGCATACTCCGACGCATCCATTGAAGGGGAGTCGGGGTCGAGAGTGACGTTCTCTTCACCATTCTCTAGACGACGTAGACGTGCATTGAATTCACGATCTGTCACATCTCGGTAGCTTGTACGAGCTCCTTTTCTGCCCCGTCGTGCTGATCCTGTCGAGGTTGTGGATGCGGGAGTGGATGCTCGGCTCTGCTTCACACTCTTGACCGGAGTGGCGCGTCCGCTGTCGTTCGCCTTGCGCTTCAATGAGCCGGTTCGGCTTCTGGCCTCGATCCGCGCGACCGCCTTGTCTTCGAGGTAGGACCTGCTGGTCCCAGAAAGGATTTCCCGATAGAGGTCCTTCTGCTCAGAAGTCAAGGGCGCGTAGAGGATATATTCTCGCTTTTTTGGAAGCGATGACTCGACATCTGATTTGACTCGCCGCAGCAGAAACGGTTTGAGAATAGCGTGCATGGTAGAAACCAGATTGTTCTTGCGCTTCGACATCTTCCCGTCCGCGTCGGTCTTGTCTTCCAGCACACTGGAGAAATCGAACCATCCTTCAAAACTGTCAAGGTCATTGAAGACTTCTGGCAGCAAGAAATGGAGGAGAGACCACAACTCGGCAATGTTGTTTTGGAGCGGTGTGCCTGTGATCAGCAGCCTGTTGGCAGAGTTGTATGTCATCAACTCCTTGATCAACTTGCAGTTCATGTTCTTCAATCGATGTCCTTCATCGACAATGATGTATTTCCACTGGTAGTTGGCCAGGAACTTTCGGTCGTTCATGCATATCTCGTAGCTTGTCACCACCACGGGAAATTCGCCCTTGGTCTGGTCTTGCATTTTCATCTTTTTGCGCCTCATTGCCTCCCGGGCATCCTTGCTGCCATGGTAGAGGATAGTATTGATCGACGGGGTCCAGTGCTTGAACTCCTCGATCCAGTTTCTGACTGTACTCAACGGAGCAACTATCAAGAACGGCCCTTGGATATTGTGCTCTTTGAAGAAGGCAATGAGAGAAATGGCCTGCAGCGTCTTGCCTAACCCCATCTCATCTGCCAGGATGCCGCAGAGGCCATTCATCCACAACGACTTCAGCCACTCCAGACCTTCGAGCTGGTACTGTTTCATCTGGCCGCCAGTGACAGGGGCTGGTTGGTCGGTGGCAACAAGATCTTGAGCACCCAGCCCTTCGCCCTCATACTCGTCAGCGGCTTCCGCCAGAGCTTCTTGAACTGTGGGACCATCCTGGGGGATTGCCACCGCATCGGCATCAAAGTAGTCTGCGATATTCTTTTTTCCGACATTCGTCTTCTTCTTAGCTGGTCGACCTCGAGTGTTTTTCTTCTCCGGTGGTTCATCGCGGACATGCTCATCCACAGCGTTGGCCCTAGTAGACTTCCTCGTTGGCCCTTTCGACCCTACAGCTTTGGCATCCTCACTCCGCTGTTTGACTGCAGCGCGTCTAGCTTGTTCCTGACTCTGCTTCTGCTGCTCCTTCATCTTGTCTGCCATGATCGCAACAAACACCGAGCTTGTTTTCAGGAGATTCGTGAGCGCCCGTGATTTGTGGTCCATCTGCTCGTCATCATCATCCTCCCCCTGTTCATGCGTCCTTCCATTCTCATCTTTTGGCATTCTTTCTTCCTTGACGTCTGCAGGACTGTCGCCCAGAGGGGAGGAAGGCGGTGTTGTCTTGACCAAAGACATGGTGGGAGTGGCAGAGTCTTCCGACGTTGTCGGCTCATTAGCCATGGTTGTCTCGTACGTGATGCCTGATCAAGACAGCGCAAAAGCAGGATTGCAAGTGAGGATGCGCACCATTGAATTAAAGAGACTACCGTGTACAAACAGCCATCCGAACACGCTTCAAACAGAGCACACGGCTTCCAAAAGGACCCAAATCACTGTCATGCAAGGGCGGCCGCAATTCAAAGATGGAGCGCACTGGACCAAGGATCGGATCTGCCATCGTTTCTGCTCCCCCCAAGATCTACGATCTGGCTTTCTGTCCCTGCCCAAAAGTCGTGACGCGAGTGGCGAGACGCGTTCCCGATTCGATCGGACGCGTTCCTCTTTGGGCGCGTCAATCGGCGCACGTGCCGCACGTCGAGAAGGCCGATTACTGTGATATTGTGATAGGGAGCAATACTACAGGCGCGAAGAGAAGATTGGCTGCCGCTGTCCATCGAGGGTACATGAGATGCAGCGAGGTCCTTTCGTGGTTTTTGTACAAGCCATTGCTCTCTCTATTACTCGAAGTCATGATACAGTAGCCCAGAACACAAGCAGATGTCATAAAATCATCAAGCAACCGGTATCCTCAGTATAGTCGGCTGGAAGCACTTTGTACAGTCTTACGCCGACACTGCGGTGGCGCCCCTAGCAACCACCCGAGTCCGCTGACGTTCTGGTCGCTTCAATGTGTATCTGGGGTCAAGTGTTAGTAACGGCCAATGCAGTGTCAAAGAAGCTCGAACATACTTCGCGAACGCTCTGGCAAGTGCCTTCTTACAACTGATCTTCTGGCTACCCACAAAAGAATCGACTGTGACGGCAATGGCCCGGTCGATATCCTGTGAGGTGCAGTAGTCGGACAACCGCATCTTGCAGAACGCCTCAGCAATTCGCATGATTGCCTCCAAATGACGGACCTGCGGGCTGTCAGTAATGTCTGAATCACAGTGTTGAATGAACATACAGTGATCGGGTATGCTCCAGTAGCCAGAGACTCTCTTCGCATGTCGGCGAACAATCTGGCGACCTTGTCCTGGTCGATCTGGTAGAGCTTCGGTCTGCACTTCTCCCGCGCGTACAGAATGTACTTTCGCAGCAACTCTTGTGGAATGGCTCCTTCTTGCTGCGGTTCACCATTATTGACCGCGTCGGTTTCTTCGGTATCCATAGCTGCTACATCGCCGGCGTCAACAGCGAGTCTAGCAGGGTGTGCTCGTCCGTGGCTGTTGACCACAAACTTGGCCAAACGCTCGTCTTCGCTAGGATCAACCGTGTCTCGAACAACGCAGAGGATATCAAATCGTGACAAGATGGGCTCGGTGAGCTCCACGTTCTGGCTGAACGGGATCGTGCCATTGTACCGTCCACCAATGGGATTTGCGGCGGCAATGATTGCACATCGTGCCTGGAGGGTGGTGACAATACCAGCTTTACTGATTGAAATGGTTTGTTGTTCCATTGCTTCGTGGATCGAAGTCCGGTCCTGGTCGTTCATCTTGTCGAACTCATCGATAAGACAGGTGCCTCGGTCTGCAAGGACCAGAGCCCCGCCCTCGAGCGTCCATTCTTGTGTGAGAGGATCTCGGCGCACTGATGCGGTCAACCCGACAGCAGACGCACCCTGGCCGGTGGCGAAGACGGCTCGATGGGCAGTCTTCTCAATATACTTCAGCACCTGAGATTTGGCCGTCCCCGGATCACCAAGCAGAAGCACGTTGATATCACCACGGATCTTGTGCTTGCCTTGTGCTTCCTTGCTGACACCTCCAAACAGCGACAAGGCGACTGCCGTTTTGATGTCTCGATGACCGTAAATCGAGGGAGCGATCGAGTCGACAATCTTCTCCACGATGTTGGGATCCTTCGATAGAGCTCGGATTTGTCGCTCGTCTTCCTCGCTCAGCCTGAAGCCAGCAAGTTGATCGTGAGTCTTGATAATGTGGTTCGCCTCGAGCATCGTGGCAAAAACAGGGAACCCATTCTTATTGTTGAGCTGACCACTGTAGTTGTTGCGATAGATACCCGTCACTTCGATCTCTTCTCCTGGCTTGGCTTTGTCGATCAGATCAGCCAGGAGGATGACTTCACGATGCCTAGGGAGTCGGCCGGCCGGAACAGTCCCAGGAGATTCCTGGAGCGTCAGTTTCTGGTAGTTTCGGTACACCGTCTTTTCGCTGTTGATCGTAAACGGTCCGCGGGACTGGCATTCGGGGCAGAACGTCAATTTGACTTCTGACGACGTCGATTCTTGGGCGAACGGTCCCAGTGTGACACCGCATTTGTTGCAAGTAAACTTGACCATCTGGAGTTGAGGGAAGACACCGGTCCGCCTGGTGACGACGCCGGATACTCTGACCAGACAATTGAGATGCGACTGTCGTAGTTGGCGCAAAGTGTACTTGACCGGCAAGTCGGAGATGCGCACATGAATTTCCGGATGGATGAGTTCGTAGTTCGGATAATGCAGTCGAACCACCTCAAATGCCGCCTTGTCAAAGATCTTGAGCATCTCTGCAGGAGCATTCGCCAGGAAGTATGCCAGAATTGCTTTCGTCGAAGACAAATGGTCGTATGACACCTCCAGCGATTCTGAGTTGACCTCACCGAGAGTGCGGATCCGCGTACCATAGACGGACGTGCCATTGGCATCGATGTATTCTGTCAGGAAGGACTTGAACTCGCGTGCAATGGTCTTCATGACTGAAGGCAGAGTGACCCATTCGGTGATGTTTGATGCTTTGACATCCTGCAGTGTCTCTAGAGAAAGCTCTTCCTCCATGATGTTTTCATCCATTTCCATATCTTCTTGGTCTTCATCGTAATGATGTCGGCGCCTGCGGGGCTGTCGGGTCAAGTCAATACCAGCATCATCATCATCATCTGGCATGAACGCGGCGGGCATACGCCGTCTGCGGGCCAGCTCGCGGTCACGCTTGTTGAGACGGGCATCGAGTTGCCGACGAGAAGCTAGGTCAAGCTCATCGTAATCGCCTTCGTCGTCGATCATCCGCCCCTGATAGGTTTCTTGGTCAGGTCGTTCGCGCTCGTCGTCCATGAAAGTGTCTCCAAAGAGGTCGATGCCATCTTCTTCTTCGGCCAGCTCGTCGGCGTCATCGATATCTCCGATAAGATCATCATCGGGGTCCAAATCTTCGTCGTCGATGTCATCATTTTCGTTGGTGGGCAGTAAAGGGGGCGAAGAAGGAAGCGCTGTGGAATCAGCTTTGAGTCTCGATCAAGTTGTTGACAAGGCTCTACGAACCTGCTGGCGAGGACGACATGATCTCATCTTCGTCATCTCTAGCCCGTTTCCGCCTACCAGCGGTACTGGGGCCTCTATTTGCCGCGGACATGCTTGGTCGCAGGGGTGAACTTCACAGTGTTAGCATCAGGGAAAGGTAACATACACCACAGTCAGGTCAACAAAGCAGTATCTCACCTCATTGTCTGAGTCTTGTAAAAAAACTTCCGCACAGTACTAGATCGCAGTTCTCTGTTGGTTAATCGGGTGTAGGATTGAGCAGGGGGGACTTTTGATAACAAGCAAAGTTACGATGAAGTGTCTCAAATTGCACTTTACGCGTGAGCTGCGGCGCGGTGTCGCGGACGTGACGCGCTAATGCAACCTCTTTGAAGGAGGTGGGGCCATACTAGTAGTCTTGTCTGGAGACTCAACCGTAGTAGGTACTACTATGCCTCAAGTTGACTTACAACGTGAACATCGGCCTCCTCGATATCAACAAGTACATCGAGAGTCTGCGCCAACCCCGGCCTACTCTCCATCCTTGGTTTTGGCTGACTCGTCTCAACCGATCTTTACAATCAAGTCTCCCCAATTCATCATCTCACGCAGCCTGTAGCAATGGACTCGGTATCCAGCAACGAGGAGGTCAAGCAGCCAAGTCACAAAGATGGCCAACTCTCTCACGAGTCACAGACTGCATCAGAGTATGTGGTTGTCTAATCATTTGTGTTTGCACGGGTGCTGACGATGTTCGTTTCACAGCTTCATCAATCAACAACTAGCCCTCGAGGCTGATGCGCGAGAAGTGCTCCCCTATGTACACCTCCTCTGTCTCTGTCTCCGTCTGCTTTGCGCCCATCTGACTATCGATAGAAATTTGACAAATGCACCTATCCTCTCGGACCATTGCGCCAGAACATCTTTGCCTGCCTCACATGCAGTCCGCCGCCAGCCTCGGCAGCACAAGTCCACACTCCCGCAGGAGTCTGCTACGCCTGCTCCATCTCCTGCCACGGCGAACACACCCTAGTTGAGCTGTTCAGTCGAAGGAATTTTGTGTGCGACTGCGGAACGACCAGACTTCCCACGACCTCACCCTGCACGCTGCGGCTAGATCCGAAGACCGGAACAAGAGGCGTGCATTCACAAGAAGCCGCGCCGGGAAACCACTACAACCACAATTTCCAGAACCGGTTCTGTGCCTGTGGAGAAGAATATGACGCCGAAACAGAGAAGGGGACCATGTTCCAATGCTTGGGACTTGGCTCGGTCGAGACAGGCGGCTGTGGAGAGGATTGGTATCATCCAGAATGTCTCATGGGACTAGAAAGAGATTGGTATACGACTCTACAAGCGAAGAAAGAGGAGGATGTCAACGGATCCAAAGAGACCACTCAAGAGAATGGAAAAGAACAACAACAGCAGTCACATCCTGTGCCACCAGGCTTCCCCAACGAAGACGACTTCGACTCCATGATCTGCTACAAATGCGTCGACTCCAATCCCTGGATCAAGCGGTACGCAGGCACACCCGGCTTTCTCAAACCAGTGTTCAGACAGACCGAACAATCAAACGCGGGTCCTGTGGATGGCCATGAACCCACTCCTTCCTCCCAAGCTCCCGTGAGCCTCAAGCGCAAAGCTTCCGACAGCGATGATGATGTCGAACCAGCCCCAGCAAGCCCCTCGAAACGCATCAAGGGGGATGAAGCCGACCCAGACGACGACAACACCACGGCTACCGCTCATCCACATCCAACTCCCTCTGGACCAGCAGCAGATGACCATCTGACCGCTGCCGAACCACCATCAAGAAATACTCCCGCATCACACAAACATGACACTCTCCCTCCCGCTCCGCAAGGCACATTCTCATTATTCCTGAAGTCCGATTTCCGCGACCACCTCTGCCACTGTCCGGCCTGCTATCCGAACCTGATCTCGCACCCACAACTCGTGGAGGAAGAAGACACGTACGAGCCATCCCTGTCATCTGCCTCCGGGTCCCAGTCCCAGTCCCACGCCGCTCCCGGGTCAGGCACCCGCTCACACGGCACCGCAAGCCTCCTTGACCGTGGCGAGGCCGCCTTGTCGACCATGGACCGGGTCAAAGCGATCGAGGGCGTCATGGTGTACAATCATCTACGGGATAAAGTTAAGGAGTTCCTCAAGCCGTATGCTGAGAGCGGCCAGGCCGTGTCTGCTGAGGACATCAAAGCGTATTTTGAGAAACTGCGCGGCGATGAGAGCGCCATCAAGGAGGCTGGGACAAAGCCTGTTGATAGTACGGGTGAAGGGAGCGGTGGTGATAGCGGTGGGAATCGTAGGGAACAGTCTGGATACTGACTTGAATTGTTTCGATATCTACCTGACCTGGAATACGTACCTTGGTCTGGAAATCCTGTGGTTGACAGGATACGTGCTCTACACATTCAACAACGAGGCCAATGAAACAATATCGCAACGAGCATTGTGCTTTGTTTTATGGTTTCTGAAGAAGAGCTCACAAGCTAAACTGCCATGTAAGCTACGAGGTAGCCCTGTCACTGGCGCTTGTACACACGCTGGGACCTCTTCGTATGTTCTCATACTTGACTGTCTTCGTCTTGGTCGGTGTCTGATATCCAGCCAAATCGTCCTGAACGAGATCGGACTCCAGCAATAACGGCATCGTCTTCCAACCCCAGCCCCAGATCCAGTTCCTGTTCAAGTACCATTGATGTCTGCTGTTCTGCATTGCTCTGCTCTGCTCTGCTTTGCATGCCTTGATATTCCTACATGTGAGCGGAAACCTTTCGTGCATGGAGTCGGTGCTCTCCATCCCATGGCTTTGGTAATCTGACAAACAGACGACTGTAGCATTCGCGTTGAAAAGGATGTCTCGCCTGCCATCCATACCTCGTGCAGCCTCTGCTGCACAGTTTCCTCAATCTCTTCGCCCAACTTTCGCCTGCCCAGCTGAAGGATGTCCAGCCTGTCGATCTGGCCAATTCCTCATCCGCTCCAGATATCAGGTTGATTTCCTGGATCTCAAGCGAGCCTTGATGCTCACTTTCTGCGCCTGCTCTACCCTCTCCAAGCGTTCCCGGGTCTTTCTGAACGAACGTCTTGGGGCTCTCTTCGCAGGGGTGGATTTGGGCTGCGGTGTGGCCTTCTTCGGAGGGGTCGTGAGACTCTTCGCTCTAGACCTAGTGCCTGCGGCTGCGGCTGCGGTCTCTGCAATGACTGTTCCATCTCTTGACTCGTCCTTGTCCTTGTCCGTTGGCTTTGAAGGCGTCAGATCTTCCTTGCCTCCATCATGGGGAGCATCAGACTCGGTGCCATCGCCCAGATCCTCGGCACTTCCTGGAGTCTCTGATTTCTTAGGAATAGGCTCGGTTTTTGCTTCTGGATCCGCAGTAGGAGTGTCGTGCTGCGCTTTGTTCAATGAGGATGTCGCAGTCCAATATCCCTTTATTCCGCCCTTGGTGTCTTGTGCTTTGACTCGTAGATTTCGCGCACCCGGCCCTCGAAGCAGTGCTTGGTACTCTGGCAAGTGTTCGTTCTCGGAAATGGGAGAGAACGATGGGGGTCTGGTTCGCAGCTTTCGTGCACCTGGACCTCGAAGCAGTGCTTGGAACTCTGGCAAATGTGCGTTCTCTATGGGGCTGAATGAGGGCGTCCTCGGCGAACCTGGGGCGGTGATGGGCGGATAGGATGGTCTTATTGGTGAGCCCGGTAGATTGGCTTTATTCTCTTCGACGCTGTGAGGGAAGCCTGCGTGACCTGAGGGAGATTCAATGCTCATTGACACGTCGTTATCTTTGGTAGAGGTATCCATGTCTCCTGTTCCTCGCAGTTGCTCAACCTCCAAGCTCTGTGACTTCTTCGCTTCAGCCAGAATGAGGTCGACGTTAACGGGTGTATCGATGCGGCTGTCGGGAGCAGTCTTCAGGCTCAGTCTGGCTGAAGTTCGTCGAACCTGCGGAGGACTGAGACGAATATTGGGCTGCGAAGCTCTTCGCTTCAGAGCGTTTGTGGGAGGAGGTCCTTGGCCTTTGGACAGCATCGAACTGCGGCTTTGAGAATGATCGGTCGAAACTGCTGCGGATTCTTCGTCTCTTGATGATGCCATGATTGAGCCTCTAGAATCGCCTATGAGTAGTCTCCTGCCCAACAAGGGCATTTTAGGGTCAAAGTTCGATTTCCTAGCAACTTGACCGTAAGTGGTGGTTATGTCAGATAAAGACGCAGTTGTTGTGTGCGCACGCGCAGAGGTGGCAGAGGTGTTCTCGCGGGAGGCCTCCGGGCGGCATGGCGTCTGGCCCTGTCTGTGTGTTGCAGCACGAGTCTTCACTTTCTTTTTGACAGCGGTGTTCTTGGTTTTCGTCTTCTTGCGAACACTTCGTGGCGGACTTGGCGATGGATCCGGCACCGTGACAGTGGCCAGAGGATGACGGCCCTGTTTCTTCTTTGCTTTAGGACCGGACTGTTTCTTTGCAGACTTGGGAGCAGGAGCCTTTTTCAATACCTTGGGACCAGGGAGTTTGAGTTTCAGCTTGATCCGAATCGGCTGTTTGGGGACCTTGCCAACGTTTGGTGGAGTTTGGGGCTCTTGAACAGCAGAGAGGTCTCCAACAGCCTCCTCCACTGTGGATAGTTCCCCTTTTCCAACTTGATGGCGGTCTTTGTTGCTATTATTCGGACCATGGCTGGCGACAGAGCAGCCAGAGTCAGGCTGAGTCTTGTCCTTGGAATCGTCACGTTTTCTGAACATACGTTGGAGTTTCGGTAAGGATGAATTGGCCTTTAGATCCTCCTGCTCATCGGGGTCGGGTATCCATGTACCAAGCAAATCCACCGGAAGCGAGCGATACCAGAGGAAGGCCGCTGCCTGGTGGAATTCATATTCATGGGCGAATTCATAGTTGCTGGCGAATAACATGCGATCCATAGACGCATGGAGTACCTCTGGAGCAATGCAGGTCTGTGACTCGGGAAGTCCAGGTACAGGGTCGCTATTCTTGACACAATCCTTCCATATCTCGTCCAGAGAAGCTGAATCGTTTTTGCGGAGCTCCACGAATTCCTGGATTCCCTTCGCTTCAAGCTCAGTCAGCCCTAGAGCGGCGTGTAATGGCCCTTGAGAGTATTTTTCTGAGAGGCTTGTGTAGATAAGGTATTGTAGAGACAAGGCAAGTGAGTTCCATGATGGCGTTTGGTAATCCTGTAGTGGATCAGAAGAAGTTCGCGCTGGATTACAACCCAGGTCACTCACCTCTGTACCAAACACGCCGTCTTCCAATGTCGAGGGCCGTCTTCCACTACAGTGCAGGTCCTGCGGATCTTTACTGCCATTGTTATCGGGAGAATCTCCATCATCATCGTCAATATCAAGAGTAATCAGTTCGGACGTGGTGGGAGTGGCAAGACGCTCTTCGGAGGACGATACAGCATCGCGCCCCTCAACGGCATCAGGGCCAGCCTTGTCAGCAGATGTTTCAGAAAGTGAAGGTAGGTGAATGGGAGATTGATATGGTTGTTGTGTTGTGAAGGGAAGAGATGGAAAGGCAGCAGGTGGATGATTTGGATTGAAGGGAACAGCTTGCGCTTTCAGTTTTTCAGGGTACTCCGGCCTCGTGCCATGTCGAGACTGAAGCTGAGAAATCGCTACAACCTCGAGGTCAGTTGCCATGTTAATGCTGCTCCGTTGTTGCATAGATGGTATCAAGGATGATGGATCTATTGCATCACAGAAGAGAAAGGGTTGATAGGTAGGATGGTTGGGGATGGAAACTTTGAGCACAACAATGAGCAGACATGTAAGAGGAATGTGACAGAGTAAATATCAAGACGCAAAACATTGAAGAGCGCGAAAGGAATTGTTGCAGTAGCAGTCCATTGTGCTCCGGGCTCTGGTGAGCGCGATAGAATGCTCGGCATCATGTATCTTGGACAAAGCCCAGCTGAGAGAGCACAAACTGACAAGGCGTGTTTTTTCTCTTCAAAACATGAATGCCACCCCTCAAGGCCTTCAGACAGGACAACATGAGTAAGTCCCCTGAGATTTAAAGTGAGCTTCCACTGCCTCTCTTGGGCAGAGCTCTGCATGGCGTCTCCGTAGGATGGTGGAAGCCTTGAACCTTTTAATTTGCGCGACATGTCGGCTGGTGGTTCAGCTTCTGTGCTGTCGTGTGAGATTGTGATGGCGAAGACCAGGTGGCTCAAGCATTGAGACAACTTCCCATCAAGAAGAGCAGCAACCGGCAGCAGAAGTAGCATGACATTCAGCACATACTAGAAGGCCATTTCATGTGCTTCTGAAGTTGCAGCTGCAGCTTATTTCGCCCTTTTGATGTTCGAAGGAGGGTTGCTTGTCTGAGCCATCATGGGAGGAATGCATCCTCTTAGAGAATTCCCCCTATTGGTCGTCAGGCGAGCATTATGGTGTTCTTCCACTCAACCTGCAACATCTGCAAAGGGAGCAACTCCCTCTCGGACTTCAAGATTTCCGGATTGCTGACTGTCAAGGCCCGCATCGTCGTTGTCATACACATGGTCGATGTTTCTCTTGACAGGCCGTTGAGGCAGTACGAAGGAGGATGCTTGCTGTTGACCAGCTGCAACTTGGCGTTCTGCTTTGACGATCTCTTGCCAATCCAGAAGGACGTTCTTCATCTCATCCGAGGTCGTGATGGAGAACCGTTGGGACTGAATGATGTGAATAGCGGAGACAGCACTGATGCCAAAGGTCGCCATCAAGTATGCCGCCACCAACACCGTAGATCTGTCGTTACCAGACTCGCAAAAGACCAAAATCTTGCCCTTGATGTCCGAAACGTCCTTCGGAGGGGTTCTGATACAGGTTGCCGCGAGATGGTCGTTCATGGCCCTAACGATCGGGCGAAGATTTGGAATGAAGTCATAGGGGGAATCAAAATCGAAGGTCAGCGTTGATATCCCTTCGCTCGAGGGGAACAAGGCAGGATCCAGGAAGGCCGGTCTGGTTCTGACTGAAGTGGTGTTACGGACTGCGACAAGGAGAGTGATGCCGGTGCGTTTGACGAATTCGGGATCTTTTGCAGCGCTGCTTGGACCGAGAAATAGGAAGGGGACGATGGCCTGTGCGGTTCTGCGCATTTCGTACTGCCACGAAAGCATCGTGTGACGCATATTGAGGTTGTAACAGGCGGTCAAGGCCCGTAGGAACGTGGGATCGCCATAAATGCCCGACATCTGACCGAAAGAAGTGCTCGAGACGCGGAATGTTGGTCTGCCATGTTGATAGTCGAGAGCAGGAGGAGGGATTTGGACTCGCGGTGGCTCAAACAGTCGTTTGTCACTGTAAGGAAAGGACTGGACGTAAGGAGTCATACGGTCGCCGCCATAGTTTGAGGACGCAGCCATGTTGAAAGGTAGACTCGAGGTTCAGGAGATGCGTCTCCTTCAATCTCAACCACCGCGTCAGCTGCAACAAGGCGACCTGTCCTTTGTGGATGTTGCCAGTCAACCAGATCGCCCCTTCTTCGAGTGAGGGCGTGCCGCGGCAGAAAGGCAGGGAAACCTTAGCAGTCAGCTTGAAGAAACCAGGGCTTCGGAACTCTATCCATGCCACGCGGAAAGAGATTGAAATCAGCGTGCAAGAGGATCAAGTCCCACGAGAAAGAACGGAATGGAGCGCATGAGGCTAAGTAGACTTTGGCTTCCAGGCTAAACGCGAGGAACGACTGTCTCGAAGAAGGAGTCCTATCAAACAGCAAGCCGCCTGTAATGAAAGTGCTGGAGACCTGCCTGGATCACTGGAGGAGATAGAGAAGTTTGGAAGTAGGCAACGTGGAAGCGAAGTGAAGTGGTTGTTTGCATGAAACTGGAGGTTTGTAGTTGGGACTTCTGTAGGAGGCCATGAATGGACATTTCACTCGCCGCTTTAACACCTGCCTGCGCTCGCTCATCGTCATTGCTAGTTGGCTGGTTCGTTAGGGCAGCGAGAAGGAATGGTATCCGACAATATAGATCCTGATGGGTGTAGCCAGGGAGATTGAACATCTACAGACATGAACTGATGCTTTTGAAAAGGGGAGACCAACTTCCACAGCCTTGCGCAAAGCCTTCTGTCTCTGCGCATTGATTTGGGACTGTGCACTGACTGCCATCACATCTAGTGCCGTTGCCTTCTGGACCGTCACACCCATTGAACAACTGTCCATGGGCAGGCGGCGAATCATTTCTTTGTGCTGTCCTTGTTGGACTCCTTGGATTCTTCCTCCGGCTGTTCTTGAGTTCGCTGGGCCTCCTCCCGTTCAGATTGTCGGTGTATCTGCCACAGGGCACGCTCAACCTCGTTACTCAGTTCTGGGACACCAGTCACTTTGGCAACGACTGTATGGCTGTCTGCAGGGAGTAGAATCTTTTCGGGTGGAGTGCTGCCATCGAGAAGTTGGAGGCGTGTCACAAAGGTAAAGTCGGGCGCATCTGGTACGACTTGTTCGTAAAGTTCTTCGATCTCGGGAGGCGAGAGCAATCGATACAATCGATGATCCAAGATAAAATCCAAATGATCCGACCCCTTCAGAGCTGTCTACCGTCAGTCATCATGTCGGCAATGCGGCAAGAAACTCACCTCTCCAATGAGACCAACACCGGTAAGCCGCGTAAAAGAAGGGGATGTTCGGTACTCTGAAGATGGTCAGCGCGTCTCATTCGTGTGGCTGACAGAATAGGCACCGTACATAGGCACCAATGCGAATGGTATCGTGAATGGCATAGCGATCATGCTTCCTACGAAGCGATTCCAGTGCAACTGCTTCCGTTCTCGAGCCAGTCTGCCCATGACTTTGGGCACATCGTCTTTCCGCATGACATTCCCAGGATAGATCACGTCGTATTTCTTGCCTGCGGCCATTTCTTCTGCCTGCAACTTCGGGTTCGAAGGCGGAAAGCTTTTTAATGCCCACTCCTGGTAGGGTATGCGTTGTAGACCCTGGTTCCCATATTTCACGATTTGTTTCTTCCAGCCTTTATCTGCGGCCTCCCAGCCTGCCCATATTTGCGCCGCCTTGCTAGTCACTCGATCCGCAATGCTTGACTTGCCCGTGACATTTTGCTCCGCGCGTTGGCAATAGATCAAGGCTTGCCGCGTGGTAAGAGGAAGGACGAAGATCCGCATATCAATGGTACGGGCTGCGGCCGGACTCAAGTCGGTAAATCGCACTTGCTTGTGCCTGTAGAACGCTCAAGCGTACAACATGGTTGAGACGACGACAACGGGTAAAAGAGTGACGAATTCGGTACCCGTGCTCTTTTCGAAAATTCCTCGAGAAATGGTGACGAGGACCTTTGTGTGCGAAGGGAACTGTAGCTGTGGCTTTGTCTTTTTGCATCTCGACAATAATGATGGTCGCCTATAAACGTCATGGTGGAATTGTTAGCCATTCGTTCCTTGCTAGCGGAGTCTCCTGAGTCGCTTATAGGGCAGCCTGAGGCTTCAACACCAGCCTAGGGAGCCTAAGGAGCCGACCAGCGGGAGCAGCGGGAGCAGTGGGCTAAGGAGGCTCTAGGCTGGCTAGGGGCGGGTCGTTTCATTAGGCCCGTGAACTTGGAGTAACGTACTACAAACCTAGGTAGAAATCCTGTTGTCTTGTTTACCCATACTGTTTGGTCTGACTACACACTATTCCGTCTGATGCGGCGCAGCAATCTATACACGACTACGGATCACTATAGCTGACAAGGAAATGGACAGCCATTGTTAAGTCGCACCTACTACGGACCACACTCGATATGTTCTTGCTCGAACCCCGATCCTGAGGCCCGACTACAGCTATCCGCCTTTGGGCGGTGTAGAAATATGGCGCAACCTGGCTTTCCGTGGAATTCTCAGTCGCGAGATCTGGAAAAAGAAGCAATACAACCAGTGTTGGGCAATGCTACAGCTGCGTCAGATGCAGGGAAACAAGGCGACCTGTCGAAGCCTGACAAGAACCCTCCTCCCGCCGAACAATCCCAGCAGAGGAAGCCGAGTACGGGGAATGGAAAGCGTCGGAGTGGATCAACCAAAGGCCCTCCCAAGGTCAAGACGCCTGTGGTGAAGCCTTCAGTGGATAGCACGCCCAGGCTGAGAGCTCAGCTCCCAGTTCGAACAATTCCACGTGGGTTCAGTCCTTACGGGATATACAATGCAATGTGACTAACGTAGCACCAGCCTGGGTACAAGATGTCGAAGAAGATGACCTCGAAAACCCCCAATTCCAGTTTCCGGATGCGCCGCATGCTGCGTTCGTTGCGCATCACAACCACGCCCCATCGACGGCCCGACATCCACTTCTTTCGGGCGGCGAACATGCTAAAGACGAGGGATTCCTCACATCTTCGGGTCAGGTCCGTCCAGAGCGGACGTCAAGATGGGTTACCTTTGCGCGCGCCAGCGCTTATCCCCGGGAAGACTTTACCGGCGAGAAGGTGGACGAGGACTATCTCAATCAACATTTCACCGACTATTCGAGGCCCTGGCTCGCCGGCCGCGACGAGGAAAACGCGGATGACAGCAACAGCAGGTATCGTGCATTCCGCAAAAAGAGACAAGCGTGGTACAGGCGGGCTCAGTTCATCATCCTCCGGAACCCATTCATCCCTCTTGCCTTCCGACTGACGGTCTTCATATTCGCAACCACAGCCCTCGCTCTGGGCACTTCGATTTTCCACCAAACTGGAAAGATTGTGAGGTGCCTTCAACAGCGCCCACGTAGTGCGCAATGTGTGGACCTCGTCGGCACGGGAGAGCAAGATTACTACCGCGATCCTTCTGGTCTTATGGCCATTATTGTCGATGCGATTGCGTTGGCGTACACCCTGTACATCACATACGACGAGTACTTTTCCAAACCTCTAGGCCTACGACCTGCTCGGGCCAAGGTCCGGCTTGTCCTCTTGGATTTGTTTTTCGTTGTGTTTCAGTCGGCAAATCTCGCTCTGAGCTTCGAGTCGTTGACCGTGGATGAAGGAGCTTGTAGAGTCGGCAACGAACCCAGGACATCTAGTCGCTTTGACGGTGTTTGCGATCGGGCGCGGGCGCTAAGTGGAGTCCTGCTGGTTTCCTTGGTAGCATGGCTGATGACTTTCTCTGTTAGTGTTCTGAGGTATGTCAACCCTTTTGAAAACCTGTGGTAGTGTGCTGACCAAAGCAGACTGGTGGAAAGAATTGAAACCAAATGAGACATGAACATGCGCGCCTACGGTCTCCAACTCGGAAGGGCCCTTTCTTGCTGACGGATACTGCATGCGCCATTCTGGTCGAAAGCTTTTTGGAGTGTTATACAGCACGCTTGCTTATCAACATCCAGAGCTATGTTCCTATTGATGCAAACTAGGACCGTCCTCACCATATATGGGATCACGTTTGAACCAGCCCAAGTCCGCAATTGTCTTGACTTTTGCCTCCTCTCCCGCGCGGCCATAGCACATATCCCAACTCTTCCCGGTCGGATAAGAACCCACCATCTGGAAGCCACCATAGTCCTCCAGCAAGCGATGACCTACACCCGCGGGCACAATAACTACGTCGCCTTTCTGCAGGACAGGTTCTACTCGGCCTTCATTCTCCTCACCACCAAAACAGCACTTCGCGGAGCCAGCCGCAATGCTCAGGACCTCATGGCTGCTGGAGTGAAAGTGCGTCTCAGTGAACATTGTGTATCTCCATGCAGGTGAGACGACGCCGACGGATTTGAGGTGGGACTCGATAGCGGACGCGGTTGGGTCTGGAAAGACGGAATGGTAGATCATCAAAGGTTTGCCTTGTATTGAGGTGTTCGGAATCCCTTTATACGCCGGGATTTGGTGCTTCGACACGCGCAGGGCGTTCACAGGAGTGATGGACATTCTGATGTATCCTGCAAGGTGTTATGGCATGGACAAGTCTAGAGAAGAAGTTCTCATCTACGCACTGGTTGTCAGCGTGGTTAATTAAGTAGATGGCAATCGTTGAGCATTGTCTACCTACCAGCTTGGTAGAGCGCGAATGGGAGTTTTCTTCTTCTACCTCTCCTTGTGCTTCTCCTTCTTCTTCGTCTCTGTCTTTCACTTTGATCTCTACCGTCCACACTTCTCATTCCATTCACGTCTCCCATCAAATATTGAATCTCAAGTTGTAGCATGACGTCACAGCACCCATTGTCACGGAGGTTCAACTTCCGGTCACCGCCTTTCATGGCTCGCCCGCTGATTGGCGGAACCGGAACAACTACACCGTCAAATCCGAAGGGGCAAACATGCCAAGGTGCTGGGAGCCTGACAACGGTCACGGTCACGGTCACGGTGCCTGTGAGGCTGCTCACTCAACTGAACTGCATGCTACAAACAGACCAGCATCTCCCCTCTCATCTGTGTCTCGACCAAGTCTCTCACTCACTCCTCTATCCTCTGGCGAATACGACAGACCCTCTCCTTCCTAGGCACATCTTCTTCACCGTTCCTCGCATTCTCTCCTGCGGACGAAACCTCTTGGATGAGGGCAGTCATCCACGAGATTGCGTGACCTCACCCCGACTTCGATCTTCTGCGCCCTGGAAACCTGCGCCATCCTCCACTTTCCCTCCTCCAACCGTCCTCTCGTGAATCTACCGAGCGGTGACGAACCCGCCGTCTTCCTGACAGTCTGCGGAACTGTGCACTACCTCGCCGGCATCCGATCTACAACCCTCGGTGGCTGAATCAGCGACTTTGGCCACCTATTTGACTCTCGCCTCTCGAATCCTCTGCTGGCCTGGACGGACAGAAGTTCCATGAGATGGCTCGTGCCACGAATACAGCCGCCGCCCCGGCCTTGAGGGCCCGAGATGATCTGGATTCCACGTGAGGCGCCCGTGGTATTTCAGACTTCATCAACTAACTGTTCATTAGGTGGACCTATCTGGAGAAGAACGTCAACAATGTCATGACAAAGTTGCAGGATGGTTTGGACATGAAGACCTACATGTACGTCGGTACTGCTAACTGCCAGATCGGTTGTTGACTCTGAAATTAGGGGTGTCTATACCGCCGTCCACAACTTCTGTACCTCCCAAAAAGCCGCCAGTTCTCAGCCGCAAGCCGGCACCGGAACGGCGCTCAGTCACAGCCATCGCGGCGCACATCTACTAGGCGAAGAACTCTACACTCTTCTTGGCCAATACCTTACACAGCATCTTGAAGATGTCCTTGCTCAATCCGAATCGCATACCGATGAGGCTCTCCTCGCGTTCTACATCAGAGAGTGGAAGCGCTACACAGATGCGGCCAAATACAACAACCACTTGTTCCGGTACCTTAACCGTCACTGGGTCAAACGAGAGATCGATGAGGGCAAGAAGAACGTTTATGATGTCTATACCCTACATCTGGTGAAATGGAAGGATGTCTTCTTCAAGGCGGTGGAGTCAAAGGTCATGGATGCCGTCCTCCGACTTGTCGAGAAACAGCGCAATGGCGAGACCATCGATCAGATGCAAATCAAGGCAATTGTGGATTCGTTTGTGTCTCTCGGCCTGGACGAGCTTGACAGCACCAAATCGACCTTGGATGTCTACCGCCTCCACTTTGAGCGTCCGTTCATTGCTGCCACCAAGGAGTATTACACCAACGAGTCCAGACGCTTTGTTGCCGAGAATAGTGTCGTCGAATACATGAAGAAGGCCGAGGCTCGACTTGAGGAGGAGAGAGAACGGGTCGGACTCTACCTTCATCCCGACATCATGAAGAAGCTTATGGAGACCTGCAATGAAGCCCTGATCAGTGCTCATTCAACCTTGCTACGAGACGAGTTCCAAGTGCTACTTGACAACGAACGCACCGAAGACCTCGCTCGTATGTATAGGCTCCTCTCCAGAATCAAAGACGGCTTGGATCCACTTCGCAATCGGTTCGAAGTCCACGTGCGCAAGGCTGGTACTGCTGCCGTCGAGAAGGTGGCGACCAACGGCGATAACTTCGAGCCCAAGGTTTACGTCGATGCTTTGCTGGAGATTCACGGCAAATACCAACAGTTGGTCAACGTTGCCTTCAATGGCGAATCCGAGTTTGTCCGGTCACTTGACAATGCTTGCCAGGAGTTTGTCAACCACAACCAAGTCTGCAAGTCGAATTCTACCCGGTCGCCGGAGCTTCTCGCCAAGTATGCCGATCAGCTTCTGAAGAAAGGGGCCAAGGCTGCTGATGAGTCTGAACTGGAAGAACTTCTTGTGCAAATCATGGTCGTGTTCAAGTACATTGAGGATAAGGACGTGTTCCAGAAATTCTATTCTCGCATGTTAGCCAAGCGTCTTGTCCACAGCAGTTCTGTCTCGGACGACGCAGAGACCAGCATGATCAGCAAACTGAAGGAAGCCTGTGGTTACGAATACACCAACAAGCTCCAACGCATGTTCCAGGATGTTCAGATCTCCAAGGATCTCAACACTGCCTACAAGGAATGGCACGAAAAGATCCTCGCCGACAGTGACGAGAAACGCACGGTGGATTCTACCTTCCAGATCCTGGGTACTGGCTTCTGGCCCCTCAATGCCCCCAACACACCGTTCGCACCGCCTGCCGAAATCAACAGAGCTGTCGAGTCATTCACGCGCTTCTACGATCAGAAGCACAACGGTCGAAAGCTGACCTGGTTGTGGCAGCTCTGCAAAGGGGAGATCCGGGCCAATTACATAAAGAGTCAGAAAGTGCCGTACACGTTCCAGGTATCCACGTGGCAAATGGCGATTCTCTTGCTCTTCAACGACTCCGACAAGTTGAATTACTCCGAGATCAAAGAACTAACCAAACTGACCGACGAGACCCTCGAATCAGCCATTGGTATCCTGATCAAGGCTCGCGTCTTGTTGGCCACCCCCGAAGATGGCAAGCCGGCGCCCGGAACGTCCTACGCACTGAACTACAACTTCAAGAACAAGAAGGTCAAGGTCAATCTGAACATCACCGTCAAATCCGAGCAGAAGGTCGAATCGGAAGATACCCACAAAACCATCGAGGAGGACAGAAAGCTACTGCTACAGGTAGGTGTCACACCATTTATTCAGGCTTCGTGCTTACTAACTGTCTTTCAGGCTGTTATTGTTCGCATCATGAAAGGTCGCAAGAAGCTCAAGCACGTGCATCTCGTGGAAGAGGTCATCAACCAAGTGCGCAGCCGGTTCCCACCCAAGATCTCCGACATCAAGAAGAACATCGATGCTCTGATGGAGAAGGACTATCTCGAACGTCTCGACAACGACGAGTTGGCATACATCGCTTAAACCGACATTTCTTCGATTCGAATCGATGGTCCATGGGCGTGGGCGTGGGCGCCGGGCACTGGGAGACCAGCTATTGCATCGAGATTTTCACGCCCGCTTTGCCCCCAGCATTTTCCCCTTTCCCTTGAAATTGTTATCATCAGCTTGCATGGGTGGATGGAGAAAGCGTCGGCGAAGTTCTACGGGGGGTTCATTGATCTGCATGGAGCACATCATTGCTGGGCAAGCCAGACGTCGACTTCCCAAAGCAATGGATGATCTCGACAATGACACGAGTACAAACACGGTGGACAAATCAATTCGCGTATGCATTCGCTGGCTCAAGCACGGAGGAGCGTCGGGGCACCTTTGCTCTGATCCGATCATCCCATCCACACCCCCTTCACCCCTCTTCACGGCCTTCCCTATCTTCACGGCCTTCCCTATCATGTGACGGAACCGGCAGGCAGAGAAGACAGAAACGGTATGGCCTGGGAACGAATGACTGCAATGATTCATGAAGCGTGGCATGGCATGGCATGGTATTGATGGGGGGTTCAAGATCACAGCTAGCTGAGACTATGATGAGCTTTAGGTCAGCTGGGAGAGGCGGCCGGGGGGGCAAGTGCTTGAAACAGACATATCAGCCTGTATTCTGGGGTGATAAATCACTGATGCTGATGCGGATGCGAATGCTAGTTTGCTGCACAAGCAAGGAGAAGATACCTCAGCCCCTTCCACATTGAAAGACGTACGTAGTTGAATCAAATTCCGTCCGCATCGCCACCCAGCTAAGGTATGTATCTCATGTACTGAATCCACCGACAACCGTGCCTGTGCGTGTGCCTGACCGTGTGCCTGACAATAAGATGCATTCCATTCCCTCCCCTCTCGTGTCCAAAATGACAGGATGGTGGAAAATAAAGGGAATTGTTCGTCCGCTGAATGAATGGTTTCTCTGGCTCTGGCTCTAGCTGATGCTGAGACTGAGACTGAGACTGATGCAGAGGGCACCTGTGAATCCCCGTAGAACAAACACATTTCCTGATTGACGTAGCATAGTGACATCTTCCGCCCATTCAATTCAATTCAATTCAAATCAAAACAATTCAATTCAACTCATGTCACGCCCTTCTGTCCTCTATTTGTCCTGCCTGACTGGCGGTACCTCGACGACTCCGCTGCTGTGAACATGCTCGGTGCGATGCCATGCCCTTGAGTTTCTTTTCACCAGATTCTCCCAGTGGTGTTGGATCCGGGGCGGGCACCGCCGGTTCGAGTCCTGTTCCCTCTACCAGATTCTCACTGTATCTCACAGTATCTCACCCTGAGGCCTTTGGCAAGTGCAATTGCAATTACATCGACATCAGAATACGAAGTACATGGCTGCCTACCCACTCACATTGGATCAAGCTGCGTCGCTGATGGGTCCATAGTCCGCAAGTGTTTCTGGTCATGTTCTTTTCCATTGTTCCCTATGCCTAACAATTAAGCTTCGCCGATCCCTGTTTTCCGTCTGGCGGTGTTGGGGGAAACGTGAATATTCGGTCATCGGCGGGATGTAGGATCTCTCAAGAACTCGTACGAGGACCGGGGGTAGATCGTGGTCATTCATGTATGTTCGTATTCGGGTCTGCGTCTGTACTTCTGCGCGTTCCTGTGCTTGTGGAGGAGCGACCAGCTGCTCTGACCGGGCTTGTTCCACCAGGACCGTCACCGTCACCGTCACCGTCGATGTCGCCACGTTCTCCTCCTCCAGCTCCAGCTCCAGCTCCAGCTCCAGCTCTGCCCTGCTGAACTCGCTCCTTGGCCCATGAACTCCAACTGCTCAGATATGCTCCTGCTTTAGCGGCGTTCTCTCGTGCCGCTGCTTGCAGTTGAGCCGTATCGACCGCAGGTTTCTGCCATTGAGTACGCGATGCACGGTCACGGAGTGAGGCGGTCCATCCAACCCCACCACCACCTGCCACTGCGGTATCTGTGGTCGGTGACGACGGCGACAACGGCGGCGTATCTGTCGCTGAAAGCTGAGATGTCCTTGATGGAGTCGTCGCTGTCGTTATCGCATCTGCTGTCGTTTGTGAATGCCCAGATCCCGCAACCTCCCTCCTTTCAGAGTCATTGCTACCCCTTGCCCCACCAGGACTGCTTGGACTCCGACTCAGCCTTTTGGCCTGGCGCTGCTCGCGGGCTTTCTCGACTTCTGCCCAAAACCGCGCCACGCCGGCCCCGACGCGCTCACGACCCACCGCGAGGGTCTTGCCGAGTTGTTCGCGGCCTTCCCGCACACGTTCGTCGAGATGCAGCTCCGCCACGCTCTGTTGCAGGCGACGCTGGACGTCCTCGACACTCAATCCGCCCGCGGTTGGGTGACGGGGCTCGATGATATCGAAGATCCGATTGTCCCGCGTCAGTCTGTCGAAGAGGGCGAAGTTGTTGGTCGCTCGCCACATGATCAGAAATTCCGGGTTGAAGTCTGTCGCGGCGTCACCGGGTTCGGGGTAGTGGTCGATATTGGCGATGGACGCTGGGATTCCCACTTCACCTGTGGACTCGTGGTAGACTTGATACGCCATGCTGGAAAGCAGCGAGAGCAGGTATTCTTCGAACTGCAGCCGGATCGCGTCTTCGGAGCCCGCGTAGCCCAGGTTCTTGGGCCGTGACGGGTTCTCGGGGTCCCAGGTATCCAGGACAGTTTGGGTTAATTGATCAATCCATCGTCGGTCAGCTGCAGACAGGGCCAGGGCGGTGCGGAGGGATGGAGATGTGACGGTGACACTGTTGGATTCGTCCAGGTTGATCAGGATGTCGCTGTACCGCTCCTTGTGCTGCAGGAGCAGGCTGTTGGTCGATCCGACCACGTACGACTTGGTGTCGTAGTCGGCGAGGATGTCGAGCTGCTGGAGAGGGGTGTATGGGCCGAAGAATGAGCCCTGGTGAAGTCAGCACTGTCAGTGTCGGTCTTACACGTCAATAGGGTAGGACGAAAAAAGAGTCTTACCCGACCAAATATCTGTAGCGGCAGTCCCATATATGCCAGCACTATTTTTGTCAATATCAGAGCACCGAACGACAGAGGGAAGAGAGATGCCTACATGAACCTCTCTCGCTTGTTTTCAATGCAGTCGCTCGCACGGCTGTCTGAGCATAGGAGTCTAGACTCGGATCGGCAGCGTCCTGCAGATTCCTGACGAGACCGGGAATGACGGATATCAAGGCGAATTGCATCATGCAGAGTCTTTCGCATTTCGAGCCATAGAACAGCATCTGGAAGCAGAGCAGTCAGTACAAGGCCAACCGAGAATCGGCAAGATGGGCACGGCGCCAATCACCTTCCGTTGTAGCAAAAGACACTTGACCAGGGCCAGCGTTTGGTGTCTAAATTCGTAGATCAACTCTCGCAGCGACAGTCCTGGCGGATCATTAACCAGAGCTCCAAAATCGAATGAGCATGCAGGAAATACCGAAATAGTGGTCTTTGCCTTCCTCATGCACGGCCGGTGACCTGGCAAGGCTTTCTTGAAAGTCCTATTGTCGGAGACACAGATCTCATCAGCCTGCCTGGTCTTGCAGCAATCTGCAGTTCAGAAACTCACCCACCTTCAAAATCGTGGTGTCGGAGAAGTCCCTGTAGAGAACCAGCGGGCGTCAGTATATGTCGACTGAGATAGATGCGCAGCCATAGCCAGAAAGTCAACTTACTCTTGCGCGAACCAAGCGGCCGTCACAGCCCCTAGCCTCTCCCTCAACTCCCCCAGTCCTCTAGCCGTAGGCGAAACCACGACGATGGCCTTCTGCACCGTCGACCGTGTCACATCGACCGAGCGACGTTTCAATCGATCAGACCTGATCTGTCTGGTACATGCGATCCCGAAGAGACTTGTGGCGGTGGTAGTAGTTGGGCTGAGGCGGTGAGCGCTGGCTGATGTCGTATCGTTGTCGGCGTTGGCAGTCCCAGACCCAATCTCTTCGTTGCCGCCATCGCCATTACCATCACCATTACTATTCAGTAACGTGAAATACGAAAACTCCTCGACCATGGCATGCGCGCCATCCGACAAGGCCATGAACGGCAACAAAGACCAATCGTTCCTCCGGGCGAGTCGGTCGCCTTGGGGATCGACCCAGAATTCGACCTCGGGGCCTCTGGAAAGTATTAGCCCAGGGATATTCCCAAGCATGCGGTACCATGCGGTCCTCCCGTCCAGGACCTGTATGCCAAACGTACCGAGCATGGTGGAAATCGACCACGGCGACCTGAGGTGAAATAGGAGCCGTCGTCGTGGTCGGCATCGTCATCGCCGGGGATGTGTTGGAGTGTTGTTGTCGTGGTTCAAGGACTAACGCACGGCGGGCATATCGCGACGGTGGGCGAGGTGTTATTGATCCACTGGACTCTTTGATGGCAACAGAGTAGTCGACATCAGTGAAGACTTGTCGCTTTGATGGAGATCGTGAAAGGGTTGAAATGGCCGTGGATGTTGGAATATCTAATACGCAATAAATCCAAGACATGCTGCTGCTGTCAACTTCAACTTCAACTTCACCGCCTTGGCTCTTTTATCACCGCTACAGACAACAAACGACAGTATGAGTTGGACAGCACCACGCCTCAACAGACTACAAATAAGCAGCAAACACAGATTAACCTGATATTTTGATATCGCTTTTCCTATTCAGCTACTCATACGTATCATGGGCTGTATACTAGTGGTCTACGCACGTCTTCTAGGTAGTCTCCCCCGGCCAGTCTGTCTGTCTGTCTGTGTGTCTGTGCTGTCTAGGAATTTCCAGACCGTCACGTCCAGCATCGGATCCTTCGACGCTGACCCCCAAAAGAATTGAATGCTCCCAGTTGCCGTGCCTCAGGTTACTTGCTCAGTGCACCCATCCTTCTCTTCATGATACGACCGTGGTCGATGACACCCGGACGGTGGTCTAGTTTCCAAGCCCAGTCCGTGCGCGGACCTCATCCTCATCCTTGACCTCAAGGGGCTCAATGTTCCAGATGCTGTCCGCATACTCGTTGATGCATCGATCTAGTTCCCAAGTTAGCACGATTATCGAAGGACTGGTTCTAGACCACATACCGGATGTGAAGAACCCCATTCTTGCCACGCTCAGGATTGACTTGCTCAACCATTCCTCCTGGTTTCTGTATGACTCGTCGATGAGGTCCTGAGTTTTGCAGTAGCTGTGGAAATCGTCGCTGACTGTGGCCATCTGTTAGCAACCGACCATCACCCGAGCCAGCCTCCGCTACTTACCAAGGTAATAGTCGCCGTTGTCCGCAATGGCAGAAATGAGAGAGTCAAAGCCACCTTCCTTACCAAAGGTACCGGATTTGATGCAGTCAAAGACCTTGGCTAATTCAGGGTCGAGAGTGTAATGACCATAATACTGTCATCAAGTCAGCCCGATGGAACCACAACCTTCAAGACTCTTCCAACGTACGTGGTTGTGTCGGAGATCCTCCACATCCTCGGCCAGATTCCCGAACAGGAACACGTTCTGCTCGCCGATTTCCCGAGTGATTTCGATCTGTCCCCGTTAGCCTGGATATCGAACACATTGAAAGATCAACTTACGTTCGCTCCGTCAAGCGTGCCAATGATCAAGCCACCGTTCAGCACAAACTTCATGTTGCTGGTCCCTGAGGCTTCGGTGCCTGCCGTCGAGATATGTTCACTGATGTCGGAGGCAGGGCAGATGATTTCCGCCTTGCTCACATTGTAGTCTTCGATGAAAATGACCTTGAGAAGGTCACCCACGTCGGGATCCTTGTTGACAACCTCTCCGACCTTGTTGATCAGGTGGATGATGGTCTTGGCCATCCAGTAACCCGGAGCAGCCTTGCCGCCGAAGATAGACACACGCGGCAAAAGCTTCTTGCGCTCTTCTGGGGTCATGGCCTTGATGGCGAGGTACCGGCGGATGACCCCGAAGATGTTGAGCTGCTGTCTCTTGTATTCGTGGATACGTTTCACCTGGACGTCAAACATCGACTTGGGGTTGACGCTGACTCCGGTGGTCTTGAGAATGTGTTGTGCAAGTCGGACCTTGTTGGCATACTTGATCTCCGCCCATTCCTTCTTGAATTCCTTGTCATCGATAAAGGGCTCCAGCTTGTTCAGGAGGGTCAAGTCCTTCAAGAAATCGTAGCCTCCCAACTTCGAAGCGATCAGCTCGGACAGGCGAGGGTTGGCCTGATGCAGCCATCGTCGAGGGGTGATCCCGTTGGTCACATTGGTGAATTTGTCGGGGCCGTAGACTTTGACAAAGTCCTTGAAAATGGTCGTTTTGATCAGATCAGAGTGCAACTCGGCCACACCATTGACCTTGTGAGATCCCACGATGGCGAGATACGCCATGCGGACCATCTTAGGCTGCGACTCTTCGATGATCGAGACTCTGGCCAGCATGTCGCGATCCTTGGGGAAGCGGCGCTCCACCGATTGCAGCCAGAACAGGTTGATGTCGTAAATGATCTGTTCCGTAGTATATTAGCAATGTCCTATAGCATAGTCAACGGCAACAATGAGGGATATCCAGTGGATAACCCGATGAGTCCAGAAGCATAAAGGAAAGTACTAGGGACTTACGCTGAGGTGACGAGGGAGGAGATTCTGCATCAAGGGAACCGACCATTTCTCCAAGGCTTCCGGCAACACCGTGTGGTTGGTGTAGCCAAAGGTCTTGGTGACGATGCCCCATGCGACGTCCCATTCCAGCCCCTCCTTGTCCACCAGAATCCGTTGCAGCTCGACGATAGCAAGTGTCGGGTGAGTATCGTTCAATTGTATGGCCACTTGGTCGGGGAACTCGGACCACTTCCGTTGAGTCTTCTTGAATCGACGGACAATGTCATGGAGAGATGCGGCACACCAGAAATACTGCTGCTTCAGTCGAAGTTCCTTGCCTCGCTCGAGGTTGTCGTTGGGGTACAACACCGCCGAGATGGTCTCCGCACGCTGCTGGTCGGCCACCGCGCTTTCGTAGTCACCCGAGTTGAACTTGGAGAAGTCAAACTCGCCACTGGATGCCTTGCTGGACCACAGACGCAGGTTATTGACGGTGGATGTTCCATACCCGGGGATAGGCACATCATAAGCCACCGCGGTGACCAGCTCACCGTCTTGCCAGGACACCACCTGTTTCCCTTCATCGTTGGTGTATTTGTTGACCCAGCCGTAGAATTGGACGTCCACCGTCACATCATGTCGCGCAAACTCCCACGGGTTGAAGTCCAACCAGTAATCGGGAATTTCAACCTGGTAACCATTTTCAATCTCTTGCTTGAAGATGCCGTATCTGTAGCGAAGGCCATAGCCCCAGGCTGGATAGTTCAACGAAGCAAGACTGTCAAGGAAGCAAGCCGCCAATCGACCGAGACCGCCGTTTCCCAGGGCCGCGTCGTGTTCTTGGTTGACGACGTCTTCGATACGGAAACCTAGATCACCGAGGCCCTCTGGTCCTTGAGTTAGCACGGCACGCCGACCATTGCATCACATCGGTCGACGAACCTTGGGCCACTTTCTTCAGACCAACATTGAGCATTGCATTGTCCAAGGTTCGACCCATCAAAAACTCCAGGGACAAGTCTGCACATATGTGTCAGTCACAATGGGAGTTCTCCTGCTTGATTCGTACATACAGTAGATTCTCTTCTGGTCCACGAATGTCTGTCTCTGTTGAGTCTTGTTCCAGTCGATGATCAACCGGTCTCGGAAGGCCAGCGCAGTCCCAGAATATGCAGCTCTGTTTGACCCTGGTCAGCCAGGTCAAGGGAGGCTTTGGGGAGAACATACAGTTCATCGCAGTTGTATAGGGATCTTGCCAATGTCGTCTCGACATGTCTGACGCATTCTGCCTGTGGATGAACCTTTAGCCCGCAGTCCCCCGCACTCAGCCAAGAGCATACACACCTCGAACTCGTCCTTCGTCGTGAAGCCCGCAGGAGACTATCAAGTCATATTAGCCAGGGTGAGATCGTGAGGACGTGGTTTGCCATACGAATTTCCTCCATCTGTTGGGTCAAGTCAGTGGATGCTTCGACCGTCCCCGGTGAGGGCAGTGACTTACGCTTCTCGCATGTGCTCCGGGATGCTGGATTCCACAGCCTTAATGTCTCCCGCGGCAAACCCGGTGGCTGTCCGCTTGTGCTTCGGTCTGGAAAAGCCAGGACCGACGGGACCTTGCAGAGTCGAAATGGGTGCCCCAACCGAGGGCTTGCGCTCTCGGCTTGGGGAGGACGAGACTGCGGCAGCCATTGTGGTGATGATGCCACTGGACGAATGCCGAATAGATGCACGGTCCTAAGGAATAGGGGAGGGACTCGGGAGGAAGAGAGCAAGAAGGAATTGGCGTCGGAGTCGGAGTCGAGGACCAAGGTGGAAGAGGACGGCTGTAAGTAGGGCGGTCAGGACAACACCATTGACCGGGAACAATAATAATGCAAGCAAGCTTCAATGGTATACGTATCGCTCCAGACGGTGGGAGGGAAGAACTGGAGCTCGGGAGCTATGGATGGAGACCAGCTTGCCATGTACTAGTAGTAGTAGTAGGAGTGGAATGCATGCCATGGCACGACATGTGTTCCATGCCCCGGGCAGCCCGCTGTTTATGCATCCTTACAAACCTACCTACAGAGTAGAGGAGCCCGTCTCCAGTAGTAGCTATTGTAGCCGACTATCTGCTACTAAGAGGAGCGGATCTGCAACGCAACAAGCCTTGGTGCCTCTTCAACTGTCGTCTCGTGGTTCAGCTGTTGGTGATAAACGCATGGCAGCGGAGATAGCCAACCACCGCAGCATCAAGAATTGAGATGCCTTTCCTGCCCGTTCCTCGTCTGAACTTGTCTGGAGATTCCGCCGCCCGCGAGTCGTGTCTATGAGGCTTCGGCCATGGAGACAAGGAATGTCTGTAATCGTTGCGCTGAAGATCCATGGGACCATGCTCTCTTGGCCTTGGGAGCCCCCCTGTCCCCTACTACGCTGCCTCCATGGCTCGACTGTGCCCCGCCTCTCTGGGATTCTGGCTACTGGGACTTAGCAACGGCGTTCGATTTGAATCCCCGAGCGAGCGGGAGCGAATGCAGGAACAAGATATACCGCCGCGATCTTGCCTTGAGGATCGATCATAATCAATGATTCGAGGCGAGACCAGACGACGTGGTGAAGAGATAGGAAAGACAATGAGGCAGACGAAGGGTACCTGAGGCAGTAAATCCTACCGCGACAAGCGAGAATGGCGGGGTAGACACAAATAGCTATACTGACCACAGCAGCCCGCACAGGCGCGTCGGTAGCTGGTTGTGGCTGGTTGTGGTGCTGATGGAGGGGCTTCTTAGGTAGTAGTAGTAGGGTAGCAACAAGAGCCTAGATGCATAATTTCTGCACAGCGAGGTGTGGTTCTCAGTTCTCAAGTCACGATCTCAAGTCAGTTTAGGGGACCACCAGCTATCCATTATTACGTCCCTGAAGGCTCCCTAGGCAGGTGTATGCTGCTTAGACACTGGCCGCGGCTTGTTTATCTCCCACGATTCCACCAACACCGCCTTGTATCCACCCTTGCCGGCGCCCGCCTCCACCTCGATGGTATCTGCTTTTGGACCATTACTCGACGTCTGAATGCCAACAGCGTTGCCAAACTGCGATGCCAGTGGGCGAGAAAGCTCTTCAAAAGACATATCCGTCCATCCACTCCTTACACGCCCCGAGTCTCGACTCTCAGGTCCCGACGGTGCGGCCGCAGCGACTGTCGGTGAATCCATTATGTGAGATTTCAAACACTGTTCCTGGTCAGCAAGCACCACGACCTTGCGATACACTACCTGATGATAGCTTGGAAGATCGCTCACTAAGCCACGCGCAGGCTCAGGTCCGGCTGTGCGAATCAGACCACTTCCAATCCACAGTCCTCCTCCGCTCGCCATCACGGGAAAACCTCGCGAGCCCGCTCAACTCATCACGACCGTCCTATATCTATAATCCGGCCTCTGTTTCGTCAGAGCGCGTGTCGCTCCCCTTCCTCATCGGTTAACCCGGCCGAACCGTGGAACAGAGCGCCATGCTAGTAACATTCATCGACTGGCGGAAGAGCGGCTTGGAAAGACGCTTCCATATCCAAAGTATAGGTACGCTATTATGAGTACACGGCGACGGTCCGCTTGCATAAATTCTCGTGTCTTTGCTTTCCCAATCATCCTTCTTGTTCTGCCTCCCACTTCGCCGTCACTCGCATGCCCCGGCGTATCGCAAGAAGGGGACAAGTCAAACATGGTCATCGTCGAGATATGGTCCACCAAGAACCATGCCCTCCGGCAGTCGATGCTGGAGGCTCCCTTACCCAACCGCGCCTGCCAAATAGAATAGTTGCAAAATGCTCCCGCCACAGCAACATCCCTTTGCTCAGGAAAGCCTCCGAGATGTGCCCCTCAAAGCTCTTGACCCATCAACAAGAAAAGTGGTTCAGAGGGTGGAACTTTTGCGGCCAAAAACAAAACCTCGGGACCATTAAACAGCTAACCATGTGCTGAAACACCGCTGTCGAAAGCTGAACCGTTCTGAAAACCCAACCTGCCCAAATGACGGATCCTCCATATCCGTCATGAATCACAGTCATCGCATGCCACGCTGGACGCCAGCAAATGCAAACCACAAAGGAAAAGTAATGGGTGATCGTGACGCTCATAATATCCCCGAATCTTTCAAGGCATTCTGCAATATCGTCTCTTTGACCGCGGCGAAGACCAGCCGGATATTCGTCGTGTCTGTGGCCTGGGTAAGGCTGCACCATTGGTCAGTGACATGATCCAGCCAGCGAACTTCGATGGACAGGAAACTCACTGGGGATAGAGATTGAGTTGGGCGCGGTTGACTTGGTTAAACCGCCAGAGCAGGTACTTGGCTGCCCGGTTGACATCGTTGCCGCCAGAGTAGTCGGGGAAGTAATTCCCCAGGGGGGACCGCCCCAGCTTTTCTTTGAACAGGTCAACCTTGTTGAGAAAGAGAATGATACTCGTCCTCATGAACCACCGAGAATTGACCACCGAATCGAAGAGTACCAAGCTTTCCATCATCCGGTTCTGAAGCCGAGTCAGTGTGTGGCCTCCCATGGAACCGGGACGCTCCCTACCTGGTTTGATTCTTCTAGCAGTACCTGGTCGTACTCACTCAGTGCCACACAGAAGATGATAGATGTGACGTTCTCGAAACAATGGATCCATTTCTTGCGCTCACTGCGTTGACCGCCCACGTCGAACATGCTGGTCTGTTGTTAGCGATGCGCCAGCATTGGTACGGCTCAATTGATTGAACTGACTGTATGCTCAATTGACCCATGGTAAACCTTGTCTCGTAGATACCGGTGGTTTTGGTACGTGCCCGCAGCACATCGGCTTCATTGGGTATATAGTCGGGAGCTGCGATTCGCCTGACTTCCTCGAAGAAGCTGACACATGTTAGCGCGTAGAGCATGAGGCGTGGGAAACAACACCAACGACATACTAGGGGGCTGAGTCCATCAGGTAGAATTCGCTTTGCCGTTCCATCGTTTTCGAAGCTGCTTCATCCTTCCAGATGGCTTCGACTGCTTCCGCCACCTTGGGGTCCAAAGACTGGTCAGGATCCGGGTCCACATTGTATTCCATAAGGTATTCGACGTGGCCCTTGACCACGTCGTCTTTTGGTTCGATTTCGAATTGCTGCATGGCGCTGATCAGCGCCTTCATGCAGTCGATCAGGTTCTTGTAGATGGTAAGCCGGTACAGCGCCCTCTCTTCTTTTGTATAGCCATTCTGATGGATAATCTTCATCTGTTTCACGATCGTCGACTTCCCGCTTTCGCCGGACCCTACAGGACATGCATCAGTTATCCGCCGGCGGGCACGCCATCAACGTTACACCTACCAAGCAGCAAGATTTTGCATTCTCGTCGTAATCTCCGCGAGTCTTCCTCCAGTTTCTTGTCGATGGCCTGACTCCTCTTTTTCTGCTCGGTATCCTCAGCCGACGCCTCTTTGCTTCCACAAGCGCCCATATCGGAGGGACGATGCTAGTTGTGAGGCAACGACAGCGCTGCAAATGCAGCGCAAGTTGCGGCTGCAGCTGCAAAGGGAGCTGCACAGGTGACCTCCTTTGACCGCAGCCCGACGCTTCGGGGATATGTAATGATATTATTGACGGAAAGAATGGTGGGTAGGTCAAGCGCAGTCTCCTCGAGGAGAATGGGTGGTAATGGAAGCCTCCTGGTCGATTATGGTGGCTTGAGGCCGTCGATTACATAGACGTGGACGGCCGAAGGCCTAGGATGCAGTGAAGCTCGGTCGAGGCCGGCGGCGACTTGAAGTTGCTGGATTGAGGCGATGGGACTTGTATGGAAAGGTATAAAGACAGGAACACTAGGTATAGAGCTCGTACTATGTCGTCGGCGCGCGTGGCAGATGTTGGACGGACCGGACTAGCAAGCAAGACAAGGCGAGTCGTTGGAGAGAGAGTCGATACCTGACTTCGAGAGACGATCGTGGAGTGCAGTGCCAGTTAGTGCAGCGAGTGGAGCGGAGTAGCCGAGAAGCGTGCCAGTGTCGAATGTTCAATTGCGGTCCAACGCTGGGAGGCCCCGTGCATTCATTGCATGCGACCGCGCCAGTAAGGTCCAAGATACCTGCTAACGGGTGCCGCCCGTACCTACAGGTACCTATAGGTATCTACCAACCTTAGGTACCTAGTAGGTGCCTACCTAGTACCAGATAAGGAAAATAATGATAGATTGCTACGTGGTCAGTACCGATGATTCAAGGGCAGGTGCCAGTGTCAATTGAAGATTAATACAAACCATTACCTGGGGACCTCTTGTAGGTCAGGTTGTAGGTACATCCTACACCATGGGTCACACAGGTCTCGGTCTCTGCACTAGGAATCTCCTAATGCATGGCTGTGTCTCTGAGGGCATCCTGGACAGCCTCATCGCGCGAGCACTCCACAGCAGCATCACAGCACAGCAGCGTAGTGTTAGATTGGTCAGGTCAGCAACTTTCCCTTTGGTGGAGAGCTGCTTGTTGAGCGATCATGGACGCTACTACAGTATATACACTTCTTCACTGACGACAGTACTCCGTAGGTACCCAGATATCATCGAAGTACAGGTCACGCGTCCGAAGAACTTGCAGCGTGGCTGGCTACGCCGCGGTACGGCCAGTGTTCCAGTTCTCCGTCAATCTCCAGCCGGGCTCGCTCAAAAGGATAAGAAACCATGCCAGAGATGGATGAAAACTTTCGAGGTATGCAAGACAGCTTTCGATCCTGACTGAGAGAGGTGGAGCCTCGCCGAAGGCGCCCGCCTTGCTGAGCATTCGTCGGATTCATAGGGACTGTCCGGCTGAGAACCAGTGTGTGTTCCAACGCCCACAGTACACTGTGCTGAATTCCTGGAGCTCGATGTCTTAAAGTTAGCCTGCAACATCTGGAGCAGACTGTGGGTATGCCAGAATATCTGGAACTGCCAGCGTGTAAATACCGCACTGGAGATCGCAGCCTTGCTATACCGATGTCTTTCGCGATCAGACGGTTACGCCAGCCCTCAACCATTTACCTTTAATTTGGCATAGGCAATGGCCTTGCATCAACACCTTTTCTGCGACCATGATGCACACTTCAAACCATGCCAATGGCGCGTCTGCTGAGATGTTGCCCAAGCAGAAGAGCATGAGTGCACGAAAGGCCGGCAATATCCCGACCCGGGCGCGGAGGCTAAGCACTCGCGTCGATAGAGGCGGAGATGTGATGGGAACGGCTCGCCCTCTATATGGACATGCTCCCCCATACTACCGTCCCACGCTTCTGTGGGACATCTCCTACGGTGCTCAAAAGCCGCATTGCCTTGATGCAACACTGACAGTGCGGTATATCGGGCAGAGAAGTGGCTTGAAAGCTCTTGGCTGGCCACGGCAAATCGGCATGTACACTGTTGATGTTTGAGAAGCTGCTATATCGCCGTAGTGGTGTGTTCTTGATCAGGAGCTTGTCACTCGCAAGCAGCGCAGGATTGGCCGCACAGACATTTCATCGATCTCGCAGTTGGCCATCTTCTCGTCGGGCAGCTTTCAGCTGATATGCAAAGCCACCAGTCCGATCGTAGAGGCGGCGCTTCCCCAAAGCAATCAAGTTACAGTGGGTGACATTTGTGAAATCTCGTTACGTGGATGAGGCCATGATTCCACCACTTTTCACAGTCCTTTTGACCTCGCGGGCAAGGTAGGCTTGCGTGCTCAGGTACGGCAAACAGTTGAAGACAAAGATAGAGACTCGGTCGGTGAATACCACTTTCTTGATTAGTAGGTAGTACTAGTTGACAAGGGGTCCGGGAGGCATTATTGGTACCTCGATAGTACGCGGGAGAAAAGGTCCCTGCGGACTGCATTTCCATGTTCCGTTCTACTGAAGCTGCCGAATGCCCGCTGCAATACTGGGGCCTTCGATTTGATAGGACACCAGATTGTTCGGATGTTATCTCCGTCAATCGGTACAGTTGAGTTCAGTTGAGGTGCGATTTGTGGGTTATCAGGCCATTTTGCAGTCATGGCAAATAGTAGGATGGCAGTATGGGGGCTGCTCAGGGCTGAAGGACTGGCGCTTGGCTTGCAACTGGAGCTCTTTAGGCTGCCCAGAAGCGCAGACTGCGCTCCCTGACCACTACAGACCCGCCTAACTGTGAATCTGAGTAGCGGCCAAATTGCATGCTAAATCCTGATGGAGGGGCAAATACGTGCCTAGGAACTAATGCCCCCGATCCTCATCTCCAGGTACCTCTCCCATATTCATCCAAAAGCACACTTCGGGATCGCCAACCAGAAACGGGACTTCAGATTGAATTAATCCCATCTTACTAACCAAAGCAAAGGTAACGCCGTTTCGTGCCCCACGGTGCCTCGTGTTGCAGCTGAACGAAACACAAAATCTTACCAACTGCTGCCACCTGCCAACTTCCAACAACCCCCAGTGACCTCGAAGTTCAAGTTGACCACCTCCGACTGCCACCAACCTATTTGCAGTACCTTAGTACTACTACTCGTACCCCTGCTCCCGGAAAACCCTGAACGCGGCCACGACAACTTTCGCCTTCAAACCTCCTGTCGACCTGTCGCCTCGCAGACTTGTCACCATCAGGACACCTTGAAACAGCCACTGCAAGACCAAGTTTGTCCTCATCACCGCATCCTGGCACATCTCTTCGCCTTCGATCGATCATCTCTCAAGCGCCGCCATTCCTTGCGTAGACTCGCTACGCATCATCCACCGCCGCATATCCTCCCTCACGATTATCCTGTCAGCGTAACAGAAAGAGCCCCCCTTCGGTCAAGATGGCGGAATTCGTGCGAGCCCAGATCTTTGGCACCACCTTCGAAATCACGAGCAGGTATATAAGGGATTCCGATTGACCGCAAAAGACAGCACTGATTATGAACCAGGTATACCGACTTGCAGCCAGTGGGCATGGGCGCTTTTGGGCTAGTTTGGTGAGGGTCATCCCAGACCGAAGGAGATTCTTCCGCTAACACATCTCCAAGCTCTGCAAAGGATCAATTGACAGGCCAGTCTGTTGCTGTCAAGAAGATCATGAAGCCTTTCTCTACTCCGGTCCTTGCGAAACGAACCTATCGAGAACTCAAGCTGCTGAAGCATCTGCGACATGAAAATGTGAGCCCGAGGAAGAGATGACTACAAACAATATACTGATAGAGCCAGGTCATTTCGCTCAGCGATATTTTCATCTCCCCGCTGGAGGACATGTACGTGATCTCCTCCTCTGTGCCGCGGATCTGAGACTATGCTGATATTGGGCCAGTTACTTTGTCACGGAATTGTTGGGAACAGATCTTCACCGCCTTTTGACCTCCAGGCCACTGGAGAAACAATTCATCCAGTATTTTCTCTATCAGATTCTGGTTCGTTGCATACTCCCGTGCATCTCAATGGATCGAATCTAACCTGTCACCTACATTACAGCGAGGTCTGAAGTATGTCCACTCTGCTGGCGTCGTTCATCGAGACTTGAAGCCCAGCAACATTCTGGTGAATGAAAACTGCGATTTGAAGATTTGCGATTTTGGCCTGGCTCGAATTCAAGACCCTCAGATGACGGGTTACGTGTCAACCCGGTATTACCGAGCCCCGGAAATCATGCTCACCTGGCAGAAGTATGATGTCGAGGTGGACATCTGGAGTGCTGGATGCATCTTTGCCGAAATGCTGGAAGGGAAGCCACTCTTCCCGGGCAAGGACCACGTCAATCAATTCTCCATCATCACCGAACTGCTAGGCACGCCGCCTCAAGACGTGATTGAAACCATCTGCAGCGAGAACACCCTGCGATTTGTTCAGTCACTTCCTAAGAGGGAACGACAACCTCTGAGCACCAAATTCAAGAACGCCGATCCTGCCGCCATCGACCTGCTAGAGAAGATGTTGGTCTTCGACCCACGGAAACGAGTGTCTGCTGCTCAGGCCCTCGAGCACGAATACCTCGCCCCCTACCACGACCCTACCGATGAGCCTGTAGCCGAAGAGAAGTTCGATTGGTCATTCAACGATGCTGATTTGCCGGTCGATACTTGGAAGATCATGATGTATTCGGAAATTCTTGATTACCATAACATTGACAACCAAGAGAGCGACATGGGAAGTAAAGCATTGTCGGTTGAGGAAGCTCAAGCCATCAACGGGCAGACGGTTCAGTAGGCTGCCCGAGCACCTACTGTTTCTGACCGGTCGACCGTTCCAACAGGGGCTCCAACGCTTGATCCCCAGCAATGTGAATTGTCGAGCTACCTGTGTTTTGATTGGGCGCGCGTCGGCAGGTCTCCATGTAAAATTAGACGGAAGCTTCTTGACCGATGAAGCTTCGGGGAGATTCATCAGATCCAACCGCGTCGAGGGACATTACAAGGCATCGGAGACGACAATCAGCCTTTTTGGATTGAGAAGCACCACAAATCAGCATGACTCTTGATGATTGATGCATGCCGGAACACGATGAACGGGTATATGGTAGTGGAAGAACGACGTATATTTGAAGCTGTGATTCGGACAGCAAAGCATGCAACCTCCAGGCGTCCTGCTCGGCTGGAATTTCATTGGGCTCGACATTCCGGAAAGGATTCGTTGTTCTATATGGGCTGCGTTGGACGATTTCCTCACACCAGCGTCCTTCTTGCGACCCGGTTCTTCTTTTGCAGATGTGGGCAGTCTTGACTGGACAGCACAGATGTGGTAGATGGATTTTCTAATGACAAGCAGTCCTGCTGAGTCGAGTATATCACGGTCGAAAGGGGTGATCTTGTGGGATGCAACTTGTATTCATTTCCGGTCCATCTCAGCCTCGTGGTGTGTAGCTTGCCCGTGTGCCCTTTCAAGCGCCCGTGATTCAATCTGGGCTGGTCCTCTTAGGTCTCTTCAAACCGTCTCCGCCCGTCTTCAGCAACCTCGCTTGCTTGGTCTCCTTTTCCCTCTGTAAACTCCCCACAAGATCCAGGTTGTGATGACCGAGCGCGACTTCGGGTCATCGAGTCTGGAGTCTGACAAGTACAGTTTGCCAGTAGTGCTCCCCCATGCCGTGATAGATCCCGGTTGGACGTTCCCGGTGGTGTTAGTCGGGCCGTGAGTCTCTTCGTCCTCCTTCTCGGGACACGCCTCTGCTGAGACATAGGTTTTCGCCTCTGAGAGTTTCAAAGTGGTAGGTGACATTGTGCTGGCTCTGGTCCCGTCACCGAGGGAGTAGAGGGTATGAACTCGCTCCGTGATCTTTTTGGAACGAGGATCGGAACTCGATTTGACCAAATTGTCTCCCGGTTCAGCTTGGGGATTGGATGTGATGTGTGGTCGTCTTTCTGCTATTGCTGTTAAGGAAGACCTCTGTACTCTTTCGGGACGATAGGCTTAAGGAACACTCCTGTGGACAGAATCTTGGAATTGATGTGTGATGCAAGGCAGAATGACTTTGAAGAACGTGCCTGGTGAGCATGTCGTCGAGCAGGCAGCCTGCCGGTGCCACTCGGGCATAGGAAACGAATGCCACCGATTTTGAAGCTGAAGGCAGTAATGAGCGTCCGCGGGAGAATATGATCACAGTATCTGCGGTATGGTGGTCGCGACAAAGAGAGTAGTGAAGATTGCTGCCAGTCCTGCTGACGCGTTGGGCCCAGCGCAGGCACCGGCATTAACATTCATTGTTCACCAAGGCCTTTCTGTCGTGTGTTTCCCACACAGCCTGGGAGGGCTTTTGAGATCAGTCAAACATCTCCAGCTATTGAATCATTTAAATATGCACATGAAAGCAACCAGCACGCCACTAATCTCAGACACCCTCCGCGGAGTCAAGAAAAAGTGTTGACGGATGGATAAGACTCCGGCGTTCACCGTCATGCCATCTCGACAGAGCAGGTCTGGTCATCTTCTCAGGATGATGGATAGTAAGACTGCTGACTCTGACATGAAAATGGTCCTAGAGAGCTCGTTGCAGACTTTGAAGAGCTTACATTAAAGTCCACTGCAATCCGCTTCCTCCGGTGTCTCATTGTCATCAACATCAGCTCACCTACCTTCTTCAAATTGGCACAACTTCAGTAACGACAATAGCAGAAGAACGACCACGACTCGAGCCCATGTCTCCATTGGAAGGTCCTGACCCAGCAAAAGGGTGCTATGATCACGTCATGAAGTCTGCGCGAGACAGTCAAAGGACCGTCCACCAGGTTTGGGGCAGCCAACCCCAATTTCGGGAGGTGCTCCAAGCAAAAGCTGGCATCCCGTTAGATACCTTGAACAAACGCCGTCGTCTGAGCCTCTATTCGGCTCTGAAAAAAAGACGGAACCTGACGGTATGCTTGCATATATGGGCACACGAAATCGCGAACGAGCTGGAGAGAAAGATACAACTGGATCCTGGTCCAAGGCCCGTGCCTCGGCTTGCAATGGATCTTGACCAAAGGCATCTCGCTCCAGACCAGGTACTCCGCACAATATGCCCCAGCTTCGAAAAATGGGCCGGCCTCACCATGCCGGATGCCGGCTGGCTTCCACCACAGCCAACGGCCGGTTGGACTGATGAAGTCTTAAGATGTGATCTGCGTGGGGCCAGGGAAGTTCCCAACTCTGTGTCCGATTCTCTTCCACTGTGTGCCATCCACAATTCCGACAAAGGGGCGATACCTGTCGACCTAGCTACAGACTGACTGTACTACACTCCTACGACCGCAACGTACACAGAAAGAGTCGACACTCGGCAGATACATCTTGGCCAACGGGAGTGCTGACGGGCTTGTGTTCTTTCCGTGAGCTGGCCAGCGTTTCAGCAGTTCAGCAGTTATCAAGGCGGCTCCCACTTCTCCTCTTGACAATCAACATATATCTGGAGTGATCACCCGAGTCTTCACCATCATCGCCGCGCTCATCCAACGTTGTCAACATGACGGCTCCTCCAAATGCCAGCCAGGCAGTGTCGACCAGCATCAAACAAGTCTCATTGCTGGAGAAACTGGACCTCATTCCAGGTTTTCTTTCCATCGGTATCTCTGGGCTCTAGTGTTCATAAATCCACCTCGACTGACGATTTCGCAGTTGGCTCTGCCATCTATGCGGCGGTCACAGCTCCCTTTCGAGGAGAAACTGGGGCATACTATTTTGGGCAGCATGTCAGCCATGCGGCTATCCGCAAGGTGAGTCAAGAGCCCACGAAATGTTCATAAGATGCTGACAAGCGAAGATGGTCAAGAGATTGAGCACCCTCCAACTGCAGTACGTGCGACTCTGACCCCTTTCGCATGTAAATTGACAATCCAAGGTATGTTGGCGAGCCATTGTCCAAGATCTACGAGAAGTGGTATCCAAGCATAGGTGGCAAGCCTGAATTTGTTACATTGAAGTCGGGTTGCAAAGCATTTTGGATGGGCGACTACAAGACCGCCAAGTATATCGTGGTCTACTACCATGGTAGAGTTCCGGTCCAATTTTGCGTTGACGTCCTCAACTCATTCTGTCATAGGTGGCGGCTTCTCCCTCGATGGAGACGATACCCATCTCAAGTTCTGGCATTCTGTCCAGACCGACCTCAACGACAGCAACATTCCTGTTGCCTTCTTGTTCCTCGAGTACACACTTGTACCCCATGCCACGTATCCGACCCAGATCATTGAAGCCATTGAAGCCGTCGAATATGTCTTGACTGGGCTCAAACGACCAGCATCTGATATCATCCTTGCTGGCGATTCTGCTGGCGGCAACATGTGCCTTGCAGTGTTGTCACAGATCATGCATCCTTCGTCTCAAATTCCGGAGCTCAAACTTGCGGAGGGTGACAAGCTGAAGGCGCTTGTTCTCGTCGCACCATGGGTATCTTTCAGAACCGACTGGCCCAGTGTGAAACTTAACGGATACAAAGACCTTCTCGATGACTATGCCGGTCAGAAATGGTCCCAAGACTATCTTGCTGGCAAAGAAACCAGTCCCTATGCCGAGGCAGTTCTTGCACCGGCCGATTGGTGGAAGGATCCCAAAGTTGAACAGTTGATTGCCATTGCTGGAGCGGACGAGGTATTGATTGATCCGATCAATGCATGGGTGGAGAAGTACAAGGTTTGTTCTCCTGTCTCCTAGCTGAACTCTACGTGTGCGTTAGAGAAGCAGCTCACAGATGTACGCGGTTTAGTCTGTCAACCCGGACACCATCACTTATGTGGTTGGAACACACGAAACACATATTGAACCTATCATCCAGTTGAGGTTCGGGAATGCCCCGGAGACCGAAACAGGGAAGGCCATCAAGGCATGGATGAAAGCAAAGCTCTGATTTCACTTGAGATTTTCCTGCTGTATCCAATCGAACCCACTCATTTCAGGTGACTTTGAAAACTATACACTTGTGATACTTGCTGGTCTCCTTCACTACGGATCTACCCCTTAAACTGTCTGAGGAAGCGTTGAAGTTACTGATAACAGGAATTCCATCCCAGAGAAAGCCGTATGACGTGGTGGAAGGGAAGGGTTCACGACTCATCTATTGACCTCGTGGTCTAAGGTGTCTGACGACCACTTCACGGATTGTCTTCACCTCTTACTCGATCACAAGACGCTACTGGCACCGACTTCCCCAAAGAACTTGCTGTCATTATTTCGACGACATCAAACGACTCGTGACACCTCTACGAGGTTTATATGTCACTGTCACAAAGGTCCCGGGTATAGGATATTCCAGAACTTCTGGAAGAGACTGAAACTATGGCAACGGAGCGTTTTATGCCGATCCTGCTTTTGCTTCTAACTCAGGTTCAACAGCATACAAGAGTTGCCCGTATTCGATCCAGTTTCAGATCCGGTACCCTTGACCGACCTCCGTAAGGAAGCTTGAATGGATCCGTCCCAACTTCCACATGATCGAAGCCAATTCAGCTGGACATCTTCCGACATATTTGACACGCCATCGTCATGCAGGTCCCTCTTCGAGTCCCGGGGAAGCCCAACAACCACGATCAGAACCGGATACAGTTCACCAGCCCAAACCACATCCCCAAGGACGCCGGGTTTCGAGTTCACAAATATACCAGCTCCCAATTCGAGACGAAAGAGCTCAAAGCTCTCGTGGTCTCTGCTGAAATCCAAGATCGTGGGCCATGAAGGTTTATCGACTGGTCCAGATGCAGCCGATCACGAGGATAGGCCTTCACCAAAGGCTCACTGGAAGCTACCCAATCATACAGGCATAAAAACATTGAAGAGGAAAAGGTTGAGAACCAGCCCTCCTATTCCTGCGAGACCGGACGAGCAGTTGTTCCAGAGAAGATTGCTCGTGTCGGATTCCCGTCTGGAAAATGGACACGAGCTTAGAATCAGGACAGGGCTACCGTCTGCAGCTCGTACAACTCCTCCGGAAGAACAATTTTTTGATCGGGGACCTGCACGGCTTGCAGACCTGGATCCAGATAAGAAGGGGGACGCATTTGAGCGAATACATCCTGATGGCTGGGGCAAGATCCTACCCAAGCAGTGGGTCGAAGAAGACTTTAGCGACGCTGATAGCAAGGATACCGAAGAGACACGAAGCGTGTATAGTCAAGACAACGGCGAGGAGGATAGACACAGATGGGATCCTCGTGATTTGAGAACTCGACCGAAGACACAAAACCAACCAATCAAGCTCGTGGATAGCGTTGTGGCATACCATGTGCCCGAGGAGGATGTGAGAATCCAACAGTTCAAGAATGGCTTCAACATCGACGGAGAAATAGTTTCGAGGCCAGATGCTACAGCTCGACCACCGCTGGCCATACTTGCAGACCGTCCCTGTTCTCCACGAGCAAGGCAACATGCTCTACCACACGCGAATAGCGACAGCAGAGAAACTCAAAGGTTCAGATCATTCCACAACTGTCGCACAACTCTTCGGGATCTCCTTACGGAGAATGAAGTCAAACCACCAGGGGATCCGTGGCAGCTGCCAGGTCAGACTCAGCAGTTCTACCGATACAATGTTGACGGCATCATTGACGCTGACCTAGTCGGTGAACTTCGACAATACGCTGGCGCAGGTCATTCACAGGATATCATGCCTGTTATCATGGCTGCTGACGACAGAAACAGAGCTCCGTCTCTTTCTCAGTTGGAACAAGCTCAATCCCCGCTGATACCGCTGCCGCTGAAGATTAGACACCGGGAGACCAAGGATCCGCGTGAAACAGTGTCAGAATTCACATCAGCGAGTGGTACCAAGTCCAATCAGACCCAGACTGAGGCGGTACCTTCTCTTCCAACGGATTCTTTCTGGAACATTGACGCCCCGACATACCAGTCGTCAAATAGAGGCAATGAGTTCAAGCAACCTATCCGGACAGGCGCAGCTGATTCACAGTCCGGACTGCGTTCTATGCCGCTAGTTGAAACTTCACGGTCGTCGCCATCTCCACGCTCTTCGTGGTCGTCTGTCGTCCTCCAGAGCGAGGCTCAGGATGAGGAAATGCCAACCGGTCCCCATCGCGGTGCTGAGGATCCCGAGAATAAAGCCCCTGATCGAGAAAGCCGTGCATGTCTTTTCGAACAACATGAAAGCGTCAAAACACCGGCTGCAGAGGTAGGAAGCCAGACAATTACCCCTGTATATTACTTTGGTTCTCGCCAGTCGCCTGAACTCAATGCCAAGCTTGAAGATGGTGGGCTACTCGGTCTTGATGTCCATCTCTGGGACACTCGAAACCACAAGCCAGGCGCTATCACCTCGCTCAATTCACAAGACCACGAAGACTTGGATGCAGACAGGGCTCTGAAGACTGAGATCGAGGATTTGCTCGACATGTATTTCCAACCAAGCGACCTTGACCAGAACGAGACGCTGAATGAGCCCGAACACGAACCAGACCAGAAGAAGAGACAACAATGTCGATCACAGAACCAAAATCCCGTCATCGTCCAACATTATTCTGGCTGCTCTATCAAGGACGATTACCTTCCGGCGACGATACACTCTACTGGATCAGGACCACGCTTTGGTTTCGATTCCAATGTTCGATCTGACTCCGGATCCAAGTCGACTGCTACGATTACTAGGTCGCCGCGAGAGCTGCATCGAATTGAAGAGCTTGACGACGACTACCAAACCCCTAGCATACAGCAGCGCAGCCACCACATCGCTGGGAAAGGCCTTGAGAGAGTGAGAACTGGCTCTATTTCTAATAGTCTCGATTTGAGCCCGACCACCCCGATCACTCTATCCCCTCAAAGACGTCGAGCTAGAGATATCGACCCTGGCTCCAATACAACCAGCAGGTCGCGGCACAGGGACAGGGATTTGCGCGTCTTCGATCACACAGATCTCAAGAATCCTGCTATGGCCTGCACTGGTCGACCCGGTATCGTCAACAACAGATCCAAACCTTCTGATGCGGCTGTCCCCAACTTTCCACAACCAGCAAAGGACTCCTCCACCCCTTTTGGCCCTACCTCGAGCTCCAGCTCGCCGTCCTCGCCGTCTTCACGCTCCGTGATCCATGCTTCTGCAGTCACACCGTATAGGAACAGAGCGAATGGTGCTAAGATCACGTCCTTCCCATCAGTGTCAGAGGATCGTGTAGCTAGGCCGATTATGGTACCTGTTACATTTCTGAACCGGGATGGGCGTAATTGGATATGATAGATATACATACTGTGACTCAAACAAACAGGCATATTCCGCTTCACGTGCTAACAAGCAAAAGACACGCACGCGACTATACGATCCTAAAATGTTTGAGACTCAATCCCGGTCCTGGAACCTGGAGGTGCGTAGAGCACAGCTTTCTTTCATTGATTTTGATACTCGATATTGGATCTGATTCACTCGTGAGGCTACTACACCCACACGGCCGGGAAAAGCCAAGGAGAAACGGCAGAATGTGCGATCATAAACAGGGATCAGACTCGTTGGGGAGTAGCATATCTTGATTGTTAATCACTAAAGTTTCTGATCTCGTTGCTCACAGGCACCCGGTGGTTTGAGGGGTCTGACAATGCTGGGGAATTTCTCTCCCATTTCATCCGGTTCCCAAGCCCTCTAGGATCCGAACGAATGCAGACAGAACCCGACTGAGGAACTGGTGACAGGACTTGATGACAGGATATCATTCACATCCCTCACAACAAACTCTCCACCAGCTTCCGGACCTCATCGTCGCTGTAGCCCTTGATGCCCAGCAACTCATTGTCCAGTCGGCCGGTGAAATTGCAACCATACTCTTCATTGTAGAGGGCCGAGGCAAGCAATCCGCTGATGGCAACCCACATGTTAGCGTCCGGCCCCTTGGCCAATTCAGCCAGACCTTCGCGTTTGGCATCCTCGGTGTCCTTGTGCGTGATGGACCACTCGACGCCGTCTTTGTCCTTGGCGTACTGGATCAGCTTGTTCTGCGTGACCAGGGCGTCCTGGACATAGACGGGCCGGTTTGCAGTCTCGTCAAGATGGCGAATGACGCCGACGACGGCCTTCCCGATGGTGTCGAGCGTGGTGGTGGAGAACGGGACATCGCCGCCGTTGAAGACGACCGCGCTGTGCTTGGCGAGGTTGAGCATGAAGCCGACCTGCAGGCCCCAGTCGAAGAAAGGGCCGTTGATGATTTGCGTGTAGCTAAACCCCGAGCCGGACTGCTCGGCTTTGGCTTGCAAGTAGGCCACAGTGTCGACTTTGCCCTTGTAAAAGGCCAGCTGTTTGGCTTTGGGGTTGAGGGTGTCGCTGCCGAATTCCGAGGGGATGAATCTCGTCACGCCCGCAGCTACAGCGGCGTCGATCAGCGGTTTCTGCGTCTCCACGGACTCGGTCCCCAGAGTTGAGACCACGACGGTGATCCCCTGCAGGGCTTCGGTCAGGGATGCTACGTCGCTGTAGTCGACTTCGCGGATGGTGAGGTTGGGGTCTTGGGGGAGTTTGGATGCGCTGCTGCTGCCTTTGCGCGTCAGGACCGTTACCGGGTAGCCGGCGGCCAGAAGGTTCTTGAGCACGGGCAAGCCGAGGCTACCGGAAGCTCCTGCCTGAGCGACTTTGATAGACATCTTGTAGACAGAATTCTAGAATTGGATGAGGTTGGAGATGGACGCTGTAAGTTATGGCGGTTTCAGGCTTATCCGTCAGGTACCGATCTGGGGTAGAGACCGGATTGGTAATGTGGAGGTAACGAGAGACAACTGATTGTAGTCGTCGAGGATGCAGTGGTGTTTTGTGAAGATACTTGCTTGAGGAGGTGATGCTCATTCGTACAATATGGAGGGGAGGCCTGCTCTTATATAGTTGTTTGTGGCGCCAATTGAATGTTCCCCATCTGGATCAGTTGCAACATGCCCGGAGGACAATGGCGCCATCTCTATCTAAAACTAGGTCAGATTCAAGGTGTTGTCCGGACACTTTCTGCGATGCGGCGTAACATGTTCCGTCCTCGTTTGAAATCAAGACGGCACTGGAGATCCTCTGATCGTGTACCGCACGCTGTCGTCGTAGGTAATGGCAAGGCTACAGGGCCTAGCGAGGGGTCAAGCTGGCCTTGCTTAGTCAAAATGTCTGTCCACGAGGTGGTGGATCTTGTAAACTGGTGGAGTCTGCAGTTGGCGAGTCTCCAATACACCATCTCCGTATCTTCCGGCCACCAGAAAAGTCGCCGAACAGACCAAGACGGAGGAACGTTGCGCCGTTGGAGTCGGCCTGGAAATGTAGAGCTCGTATGTCGCCGCAACCAATTTTAGTCACTGTCAAAGTTGATCATGATGGCACGCCTTCATATTCCCATCCACCATCGCCACGTCGACGACTTCTACTGTTCCTTCGGTTCTCATTGCATTTGACCAGTAAAGTCAACACGGTTAAGACAAGCACGATCAATGCTGCAATCGTCGGAATCAGGACTTGTCGCTGATGATCACCTTCCTCATTACCGGTGTATGGACATGTCGCATTCGGTCCTCCCGTCACCCAGCAGTCAACCTGGTCTAGGGAGTTGAAGTTGATCCACACTCCCGACCGAATGGAGTCGGCGTCGTGGTTCCCAGTCCGTGTATCATTCAGTATCTGTTGGTGAAGGTATGTATTCTCGAGACCTGTCCGTGGCAGATCGAACGTCGTGTGTTCTGGACAAGCCTCGGGTGCTGCGTCAAACGGCACATCATACGTAGACACTCTCCAAGCATATGGCTGGCCTGCGACACGGCATGCGGCTCGACGCTTCTTCGAACACCTGTCTACCCTCCATTGCCCCTGATATCCGCTGGTGGAGTCGATCAGAGCACATCGATACTCATCGTCCGACCCGGTAATATCGGCTTTGGGGTCAGAAACGTTGAGCGGCTCTCCAGTAGCCCACCCAAATGTCGCTGAGCGGATAAACCTCTGATACAAGTCAAGGTTGTGCTGCGCAGCTGCGGCTCCTAATGTGAAGTTCAACGTAGGCGATATGCCGCATAAAGTTAGATTCTGGGCGATGCTTGATATTCGGTCCATGTTGGTTTCGTTGATAGTCACCATAGCCCATGATGAGTTTACGTGTGAGATGGTGGTTTCTTCTGCTCGATAGAAGCAACTCGTCGGATTGTTGTCCTCCACGCTCATCGAGTCATCCGACTGCAGGTAACCCGCGGCGAAAATGTGACCCAAGTCCGCAGGGAAGTTGTAGCCTCTCATCTGTGGGTCAACTTCTCCCCAGCTCACAAGAAGTCGTCTGTTGTCTGTCAGAAGAATCCATTCGTTACCTGGCCAGCCATTCTGAGTGATGGAATTATCGCCTTGCTCGGACGTGCTGAAGTAAGACGTGTCCGTGCTGGTACCAAAGTCATCATGGAACCAAGACCGGTTGAGGTGGGCACGCTCGTCCTGCAACTGCTTTGGGGTGAAAAGTGCTTGAGGAAATCTGGACCTGAACTGCCATCCGATCAGGTCGTCCGACTGAGGTAATCTTCCTTGCATGGGAGTATGCGCGGGATCAAGGGGTGAAGTAAAAGGAGAGGCGGCATGGAGGTTGATGGTTAGATAGTGTAGTCGCGCGGAGACGGTGTTCGCCGTCTGCTCAAAATAGTCATCATACAAGGACAGAATCGAACCCAGGTTCAGGTCCAAACTGCACTTGTACGGTCCCAGCTCGAGTAAAGAGGTGCCCGCAACGCCTGTTGACGTCGGGACCGGTGCTGCACTTGTTCCGGTCCCGGTAGAGGTTGGGCTTGGACTGGCAGAAGACTGGCGTTTCTCAAGACCACGATTTTCAACAGGGTTGGGGATTTGCGTCGCTTCACCCGGCGCCGAGACGGAGGAAGAAGCGCTGGCGGCGGTGATTGAGTATAACGCAGACATGTCGACGCTGTATCCATTGGTGGCATTACCAGCCAGTGGCGGCAGTTCGACGGGACATAGATTGAATTGACGATTGATGTTGTCCCAATAGAGATCGAGGACTAGGCGTCGGAATTGACTCGCAATCAGGTCCGAGATGCATGTCTGAGTCGGGATGTCATCGTAGACCCCGTCGGAAAAGCATGCCTTTGTCAGATGGACTCCTGGGGTGGTGATGAAGTTGATGGGGACTCGTGCAGCTGCGTCACGGAGGGACTGATTCTGGTTAGGACTACTGTTCTGTTCGTCAGGGATCGAGGAAGCCTACCAGGAATATTGTCCCCAAGTGCGGGTCGGGCACAGCAGCAGGATCAGGCTCATATTTGAGCGACATATGGGGAGGATTGGACGCTAGGACATCGCTGGGAGGTGGTGATGTTCAGTTCGCGCAGGACGGCCGTGAAGTAGTGAGGCATAGATCCACCGAATCTCGTCGACGATGCCCTTGAGGTAGCTGGGATATCACAGACAATGGTGTCGGACAAGAGTACGCTCTCACCGTGATGATATCGATGTCGATGTGGAAGAAGGAATGGGACACAGCTCGTTGAAGTCGATGGAAGTTGAAACTGCACCGCCACATTCCGGCATTGACTATTGACTGAGGCTGAAACTGAAACAAGAAACTTGATTCGTCGGACCGCATTTCGCAGCCTGGTGCCTCAGCCCCAAATTTTTGGCCTCAGTCGCAACCCAAAACCGTGTCTTCTCTCCAAATCAGCCAGAACATTCTATTCCTACTACTCCTAGTAATATCGCGTCCTCCTCCCACGATACTTCATGGTGCTTCTTGACCTCGACTATCCCTGACACTTCTCTTCGTCCACGGCAGGTTGTTCGCTAGTTCTTTGGTGAATCAGGCACAACCGCCAACATGGCTCCGGGTCCTCCTCCGGCCGCGCAGCCCTTCTCACCACAGCAGATTCAGCAGATGATAGCCATGGAAGCCCAGAAACGGGGCATGACCATTCCACAGTTCCAAGCCTTCCAACGTCAACAGATCGAAACCGAAGCAGCCAAAGCCGGCATGTCGCCACAGCAATTCATTCAGATGAAGCAAGAGGAGGCCAGACAGGCATACATGCGACAACAAGCCACACAGCAACAACAACAAGGCCAACCTCAGCGTCAAGGACAGCCTCAGCAGGGTCAACCGCAGCCAGGAACGACACAAGTCCAGCATATCCCCGTCAACTCGAGCGTCGAACCTACCCCTGCTGCTTTGGCGGTTGCAAAGTTTCTACGGTCCCAAGACTTGAAGACGCGCACGTGTATATTCAACGGCGAGAGGAAGGACATGTTCAAAGGTGTGAAGATAGAGTCAAGATTGCAACCCCTATACTGACCATGAGCAGTCAAACGAGCATTCCGCGCCCTCAATTCAGATGCCTACAGAAAGGCCCAAAAGAAGAACCCTCTCCTGCCCAAAGTCGAGAACGACCAAGAGGCTCGCGGCGCTCTACAACTCCTCCCTCTATCTATGCTGGCCCTGCGAGTATCCAAGAAAGATCCTCATGAAGGACACAACCATGCCAAACCCAAAAAGGAGAAAAGAGTCAAAGGTCTATGGGAAGTCAAGATCGAACAACAACAGGACTTTGATCCCATGATGCATTACGTGTGGCTGTATGAAGGACCACAGTGGAAAACCAAGATCTGGGCCGGCGTGGTCCTCCTCGCAGTATTCGCGGCAGTTCTGTTCCCGCTGTGGCCATTGATCCTCAGGCAAGGAGTGTGGTACCTCTCTGTCGGCGCGATGGGGTTGATCGGTCTGTTCTTCGCCATGGCCATTTTCCGGCTCATCCTCTTCATCTTCACATACTTCTTGGTCCCACCGGGTCTCTGGCTCTACCCCAACCTCTTTGAAGATGTTGGTTTCTTCGACAGTTTCCGTCCGCTCTGGGGATGGCATGAAACCAAGGAAGACGTCAAGCGCAAGAAGCAGGAGAGAAAAGCTAGGAAAGCCCAAAAGCGAGCCGTCGCGGCCGGGAAGACCGAGGTGACTCAAACCGAGGATGTGAAGACTGCTGCTCCCACGAATGGATCCGCAGTCAGTTCATCGGTTCAACCGTCGACCACATCAATCGCTGCCAAGCGACATGCTGCGCCGACCGTGGAGGAAGTCAACGAGGAATGAGCTTTCATACCAGGTATCATGGATATCATGTAGTCATGAGGTCAGGCTGTATCATCAACAGATGGGCGGTCCATCTGCATCAAAAGAAGCGTGGTCGTCGTTCAAGTCATGTCCATGTCCATCACCATTGCCAGTTTCTGCCGGTCCGTCTGTCCTGATATCAACCGTGATGTATTTTCTGATTGCGTCTCTTCCACTCTCGTCCCCGATATGTTCTTCATCTCCCCAATCCTCCCAGTAACCCTCGCCAGCAAGATCCTCATTCGATCCAGCTCCTTGGCCAACTCTCCATCCCTCGTGACCAGGTTCGGCTGAACATTCGTCTGCGGCTCCTCCAACGGCGCCAGCATTTTCCGTAAATGCCGATACCGCGCCGCCTTTTCTCTCAGCGCATCCCGCTCGTGACTCAGCTCCAGCAACTCCGCACGCAGATCGGTGTAGATAGTGTCTTGGTCCACCGTCTCGTCCTCGCGCTGCTGGTCTGGCCTGAGAAACAACTCGTCGTATTGTTCCGGCAGTAGATCCTCAATGGCGTTTGTATCTGTCAAGTCGGTCTCCGCTCTGATCACGACCGCATCTGGTTCCAGTTCATTTTCTCGCTCTTGCTCTTCCGCTCTTTGTCTCTCTGTGGAGAGAATATTCCAATATAACGTCTCGATCTGCTCGGCGACATGACGCTGCGATTGCTGCGAATAGAGCATGCGGTTATGGTGTTTGATTTTCTCGTTCACTGGCGAAGTTGGGTTCTGGTTAGTTCTTGCAGTGGGCAGCAAGCAGATGAACAGAATACAAAAACTCTAGGCATCTGTCCCTTCCATGTCTCGTGCATCAACATACCTTTTGAAACGATATGTTCTATCACTTTATCGCTGAGATGACTTCCCACACCACCGCCCTCGTTCCCAACTCTCGTTGCGAATTCGCGCCATGGCGTCGACGCTTCGAGCGGGGTGGACAGATGGCGGACTTGGGAGCGGATGAAAGCTGATTTGAGAGCGGTGATGGATTGGGAGTGGTCGTCCATGATCCGGACAGGCTAAAGTGGTCAGCTACTGGTAGCGGTGACGATGTCCGCAGATACAGTGTTGAACGCGGCACTGCTATGGGCGAAAGACGAGGTCAGGGTCCCTATGCAATGCAGTACAAGTCCACAGTACTGTATATACAAGTTTGTCAACAATGCGACGCTCGACGCGGTTGGACGCGTTCAAGTTTCGCGATAGATTGAATGACGAGGCTGTCGGGATAAGATAAGATAAGATTGCGGTTCGGCTACAGATTCTCCGATCGTGCTTGAATCGCCTCGGCTCAATGCCATGCAGTTGTTCATCGAACTCGGCTTTGGCATCGACGTCGACATCGATACTAGTACGTGATATCAACGACGAAGATGGTCCTGTTCTTTCCAACGGCTCTGTTCACAGCAAGGTGCTGAGCATAGCACATGAGATATAGAATCATCCTTCTGGCTGGTCTGTCTGTGTGTCCGAGGACCAGCGTTGGTATATAGTTTATACCTGGCTGGCTACAAGCAACCGATATCCATCATGTCCTCAACCGCCCAGCCTCGTCCGAAGGTTCTAATGTTCGACATTGGCGGCGTCTGTGTAAGTGCATTCACCCACTTTCCTTGCAAGTCGTGTCTTGGAGAAAGTCGAATCAACAAAGGAGCCTCTGGCTTGGCTTTTACAGCAATCGTTCTCAACTCCTCAATGACAATGGCAATGTCAATGACAGAACTAACACTCCTCCCTTCTTTTCCAGGTCGTCTCACCCTTCCAAGCAATTCTCGACTATGAAACCAAGAACGGCATTCCAAAAGGCTACATCAACTACGCGATCCGCGCCCTAACGCCCCACGGCGTTTGGCACCGCCTCGAGCGCGGCGAGATCCCCAACGACGCCGCCTTCATGCGCGCCTTCAAAGCCGACCTCGAGCGACCCGACATCTGGGCCAAATTCCACCGTGAGCGATTGCAGATCAAGGACGCCTCAAAGATCCCCCCCATGCCCAGCATCGACGCCGAGACGCTGTACTGGACCATGATGAGCACCGCCCGTCAGCCAGATCCGTACATGTATCCGGCGCTCAAGCGCCTCAAGGCTTCAGGTAGGTACAAGCTGGCCGCGCTGTCCAATACGACTATCTTCCCGGAGGGCCATGAGTATAATGTGATCGGACCTGACGATGTGCGGCATCTGTTCGAGGTGTTTGTGAGCAGTGCGCATGTCGGGATGCGGAAACCGAACCGCGATATCTACGAGTATGCGCTGAAGTTAATCCGTGAGAGGTGGGGTCGGGATATCGCGCCTCAGGAGATTGTGTTTCTGGACGATATTGGCGAGAATCTCAAGACCGCAAGGAGTTTGGGCATGAGGACGATCAGGGTCGTGCTGGGGAGGACGGATGAGGCTGTTAGGGAGTTGGAGAGGGTTACGGGGCTGGAGTTGTTGGACGGGTCGGGGCCTAAAGCGAGGTTGTAGTCTTAAGGTACTAGTAGTCTATAGATGGGCAAGGCATGTTCTGCAGTTGACATGTTGATTGATTGAGGACGAGCAGATGCTATGACATGTCTACTCAGATGTGTCTAAGTAAGCAGTATTCACAGGCTTCGGCACAGCAGGTCTTGTGCTCAACGCCGTAGATATATCAACGAGACTCCCTCCTCGTCAGTTGGTCGTGACCCAATCTCTCTCATCGTCGTTGTTGCTTCACCCTTGACTTTAGTCGATTACTCCAGAGTTGACAGCCCATGTAATCACATTCCCGCCTTGGACCTACTGTCGACCAAGTCTTCCGTCTTGCCACAGTTGTCTTTCTTCGCATCAATCCTCTGGAGCCACACTGTCCCCGTTCTCCGTGCACAGTCATCACTGTATTAGAGGGCTCATGCTGATCACAGGAAGCCCACCCATATCATGATTGGAGATCAGGCTCCAGCTGGTGATGTCTTTGGAGGACGTGGCCTGGGTAACAGCAATGAAGCCCTGTTGGGCTTTGTATTTTGGCTCGGGGAGATGTCTACATAGTGAATAAACTCGAAGGAGAATGAGAGAAAAATAGGAAAGTATGTGGTGAGAAATATGATATTCCAACCGTGGCAGACTTGATGGTCGGTACATTCGTTCTGACTTACTTGTCACCTGCCCTGCCATACTCCCTCCTTCGGTCTCGCTTATTCGCAAACACACCGATCGAAACCTCATGATAGTGCCTTGCATAGCCATTCATGCTAGCTTGCTGGTGCTTTCATAGCTCAGACTTCCACGATGCCTTTTCCTTTCCTGTGTCCGCATGGACATGTTCTGCCGGGTTACACTGCGATGAGAGCAGCAAAGTTCGAAGTCCAACAGAGTAGATCTTCACAGCCTGTCCCTTCTCGTTGATTGTAATGCGGAACTCGCCCAGTGATCTGCCGGCATACGAGAGGTCGTCGACATCGGTCGCATAGTAGTCATCCCATAATACAGGGGCCTGCTTTTGGTCATGTTCCGGCAACGGCGACGGCAACAGCACGGCCCGCCAGATCTCAGTTGTGGAAGTTGACATGACTGGATCACTCGGTAGCAATCTCACCTGCCAGCCGTCTGGACGCTTAGACGCAGGCGCCCCTTGTAGCCGAGCGTATGTGGTCAAGAAGTCTGTCCCTAGAGAAATCCAAGAAGTTATGCGTAGACCAGGTCCTTGGTTGTCGACTGCAAGTTCGATACTGCTGGCGCTGCTCTTAGAAGCGGTTGTGTCGTCCATGCTTGCCGGTAGCGTATAACATCCCGTATATCTTTTAGATGCTTCTTCACGGAGGAGCTCGTCAGCAACGGGAACAAGGGCAGCTATGATGCTCCGTCGAAGGAGGTCGAGCACTTCCGGAGCACCAGCGATAAGAATAACCAGTGCAAGTTGAAATTCTGGTATTAAGACGATGAGGGAAGGATAGCCGTTGAGCAACCCTCCTTTGGTAACAAGGTCGATCGGTCGCTGGTCAGGAGTAAGAGATGTGGTGCGATAAATTTCCCAAGAAAGTCCGTATGCTGTGGTAGAGCCAGAGCTGGTCCAAGTGGCAGGCTTCATCCACGCATTGAGACGTGCTTGCGGTAACAGAGTCGCTGGGTACAGCATTGACCGCAAGTAGATGGCTAGGTCATTGGGAGTGCTGTATAGACCGGCCGTCCTGTGTACAACCGATGAGCGACTCCCAAAGCTAATTTGGATCATGGAGAAATAGTAGCTTACGCTGTATCAGCATCGAAAGGCTTGTACCAGTCATTGTGATATGCTGGAATGACGCCTTCGCTATCATCTGGCTTCCGTGCCGTCGTCTTTTGCATTTGGAGCGGCTGGAGGATCGACGAATTGATGATCGCATTATAGGGCTTGCCGCCAGCTGACTCTAACACAGCACCCAGTAGAGAGAAACCGGCATTCGAATAGGTGGCTTGAGTATTTGGGAGGAAGACTCGTGCAGCATGTCGCGCAGTCCGCAGTAGATCTAGCCGTATGGTTACCAGCGACTCGGCAGTATCAGAGCTAGAACAAAGTGGCTAGGACAAATACCTTCACGAGTACACTGCCCTCCAGCAGCATCATCTGCTGTTGGCACAACCCGCGGAAACCCGTGCTGCTCGAGCTCGTCACGCCAGTTGGGTTGTAGTCCAAGAACTTCTCGCCATAGAAAGCAAGGTCCACTAGCTATGACATGAGCAGCGATCAGTATTTCAATATAATCGGTTCCAGGCCATGGTGCAGCTTCTTACAGTCTCGATAGATTCCAGCCTGGTGGCTTGCTAATGCCCTGAGTGATATTGAATTCCAATCTATTGCGACATCATCTTCTGTCTGTGGGACTTTCAGCTCTGGAAGCCATTTTGTGACGGGCTCATCGAGATTCAGCTGTTCCAGCAAAAGGGCGTAGACGGTGAATGTCTTCGAGATGCTGGCGATCCGAAAGAATGAGTCGCCTGTAACGACATGAGGCGTATCAGAGCCCTGCTTGCTGGCAGAGTGATACGAAGACCAAATAGTCTCTGTAGCAGAAGTCACCTGCAGTGCGAACGAAGTTGTGCTGGAATCCCAGGAGCCACCAGGGACCTTCCCATGACTCAAGACATCGCCGACGGCCTGGTCAAGTCTGGTTTGGAGCTTTTCGATGCCGGGCGATCCTCTTCCCAGGTTGAGAGCTGGGAATGCAGGACCAGGAGCACCAACGACAGCCTCCACCGTCGACAGGACGCACCAAATAGAGAGAACAAATGACCGCATCTTGTTTCAAGGGTAACTCCCTTGAAGTCGGGACCCAATGCGTCTCGTCCGAACATATCTTCCCGCCGAGCAAGGCTGTACGAGCGCCATTCCTGCTCTATAGGAGATGAGCGATATCCACACTGCCCCAGCGGCTGCATGGCTAAAAGGCTTATCTTTGTGCAATCAATCTGACAGCTATGGTGCCGTCGGAAGTCGTTTCAACCCGGCGGATGTCTTCCTCCACGGATCGTCGTGTGGAAGACAGAATTATACCCGTCGTGCTCACGATAAGGCAGGTTGGAAGAAACCTGGCGAGGCAGCCTGTCGACAGGTACCATGCTTGGTATGTACTCGCTCGTCCTTTTGCTCTCGATATGATCTTATCATGGTGCCCAATAGACTGCGTTGTTTCCATACCACACAGTCCCTCACGTGGTACGGGTGGATACTCACGTAATACGGATTTTAGGCCCATATAATGATGTATAATGATGTACAAATCCGGTTGCTATACGTCCAGGACCTGATATGCAATCATATCAGCTTATCGTGCCACACTGGCGCGTATCATGCGGACTCTCGATAGTATATGGATCTTGATTGATAGTTCCTGGATCGAAATGCCAGCCCCCCACTGATTAACTCCAGATAGCTCCAGATAGTACTTGGTAGATTGATAAGTCGGCGACCAGCTGGGTCCATATTTACATATAAAGATGCCTTTGACTTCAAGTTGGCCATCCCCTATAGCTGAGTCCTTGTCGTGGCAGCAAGCACTGTATTCAAAGTTATTCACCCAGCAAAGGCACAATGGCGGCAACCACTTTACGCCGGCGACTTACTTCTGCCAAAGAGGGCATCAAAGAAAAGATCCAAAGCCACAGAAAGCTGTCGGGTTGGGTTCTTGAGCGTCAAGAATCCAGCTTCGCAGACGACGGTGCATATTCCAACATCGACTCCGATGTCACACCGCCTGAGAGACGAACCTGGACCTCTTTCACCATTCTGGGTTTCTGGTGCAGTGACGCTCTGAATGCCCAAGGCTGGGAAGGCGCCAGCTCTATCATGCAGGCTGGCTTAACCTGGAGAGAGACGATCTATCTCAGTTAGTGCCAAGGCTATCAAGCCCTCAGGAAGGACAGTGACTGACGTGCTCACCAGATCTCACGGGGGCGATGGTCGACACCATACCATTGGTACTCAATGGTCACATTGGTGCAAAGTTCCATATTCCCTTCCCAGTCGCCATCCGGTCCTCTTTCGGGTTCTATTTCTCCCGCTTTGCGGTTGTCGTGCGAATGATCACCGCGCTGTTTTGGCATGGTTAGTCACCAACAAGAACATTGCTTGCATCCAGGGCAAGAAACTGACATCTCTTTCCAAATCTAGGAATCCAAACCTGGACAGGGAGCACGGCCATGTTCCAGATCATCCGCTCAATTTGGCCGTCATTTCTGGACATGCCAAACCATCTGCCGGAGAGTGCTGGTCTCGCCTCCAACATGATGGTTGCTCACTTCGTGTTTTGGTCTGTGCAGCTCCCAATATTGCTCATTCCGCCACACAAGCTCAAATGGTTCTTTGTGTTCAAAATCTTCATCGTTCTCACGGTGAGCGTGGCCACGGTCATTGCCATGACGAAACAAGCTGGAGGAGTAGGCGATATTTGGGATCAAAAGTATGCGATGAGTGGATCGGCGAGATCCTGGGCTATCATGGGCAGCTTCTCAAGCATGTGCGGCGGATGGTACGTTTTGTTCCACACCGGAATTTTTGGCGTGACTGACACCCTCTCCCTTGGTTCAATAGGGCAACAATGGCGACCAACATCCCTGACTTCACGCGATACATGAAGCAGCCTCGCGGGATATACTGGCAGGCACTGTGGCTCCCGGTTATCAACGTCTTGATGGCATCTTTCGGCATGATCGCCACCAGCTGTGCCAAAGTGTTGTATGGAGAATACCTCTGGAGCCCTCTGGATCTGGCCGCGCAGTGGCATGGCCCATGGGGACGCTGTGGCGCTTTCTGGGTCGGCTTTGCCTGGTGTGTGGCTCAAATCGGAACGAATCTTTCGGCCAACGTGATTTCCTGCTCCAACGACATGACCAATCTGTGTCCAAAATACATCAACATCCGCCGCGGTGTCATCATCACTACCGTCATTGCGGGATGGGCCATGGTTCCCTGGAAGATTGTGTACTCGGCCGGCTCATTCTTGACCTTCATGTCCGGTCTGTCAACCTTCCTCGCCCCAATTGCCGCCATCCTTGCTGCAGACTATTGGGTGGTTAAGAGAAAACGCTTCGATGTACCGGCATTGTACCGCCGCTTCGGCCGATACCGCTACATAAGGGGCTTCAACTGGCGAGCCGCGGTGGCATTTGTGGTTTCGGTCGTTCCAAACATGCCAGGGTTGGCCAAGGCCGTGCAGCCCTCGATCAAGCTCAACGCCGGGATCATGCACATCTGGGATATGAATTACCTGTGGGGATTCACCAGCGCTTTCGTCCTGTACTGCGCCTTCAGCCATTTCTTCCCAGCCACGGAAACACTGGTCGAGGAGTCAGTATACGGCGATGTGGTATTTTATGATGGTACACCGACACCGGATGAGACCAAAGAAGCAGAAGAAATAGCCACATCTGTCGATCACAAAGGTGTATATACTTCCTAGATTCGCCTTGAAGGGAAGCTCGTCAAACTGTTGTGGCAATGGCGGAGACGGAATGAAAGCTGAGCCCGTTATCGCTTGGACTCTTGTACCTGGTTTTGACCTGGAGGACCTGAACAGATGCTGGTGTTGGTCGATATGTGCAGAGGGAGGCTTCCTTTCAGTTGCGTGAATTCCAAGGCAAATATACGATTATGTACCTTCAGAATGAGAATACTCGGGCAGTGCGCTAGTCGTGGTGATAGGACGTTCCATCCGGTGAAATGTCCAAGAAGTCGTGAGAAGTATCCCCAAAGAACTGAAGAGGCGAATATGAAATGGAGGGCCCGCTATCACCATTTTCGTCCTTGGAGTCAAGCAAATATTTGAAGTAGATATCGAGCTGACTTAAAGCCTGCTTGAAGTAGGAGTTCGGTCCGTTGTCGCTACACATGGTGAGCAGCCATCGGTATTCTCGTAAACGGGCCTTGCACAACAAGCGGCGTTCGGGATCAGTCTCGGTCATGTACAGATAACAGCCGAAAGTACCTGTGAGGGCAAGGTTCTGGGGAGCTGTCGAGTACCAGAAGCTTGAAAGGTGATTGGGTTTCAGTGACTTCAGAAGGTCAATGGCAAAGATAAATCGCTCGTCAGCCACCGACCGACAGAGCTTGATTAAGGCGGTATCAGTGCTTCCCGGCAAAGCCAGAAGGATCTGGCGATGGAGGGCGATCTCTGCAGTGATGTACGCCAGGCGTAGATAACCGACCGAGGATAGTTTCATGACGTTCGTCACCTCCATAGAGAGCGCGGGTGGCAAATTTGTGAACCATTCCTTCAACCTGATTTGCAATGGTTTTGCTTTCCGGAGTAGAAGTTCCAAGCCGCGTTCGCCCGCGTGTTCAATCTCCTTGATGGCGCGAATTGAAAGAATGTCGTCGAGGATGTCACTCACAATCTCGGAAAGAGCGACAAACTGACAAAAAAGAGCTCGGCCTTTCTCGACCTCTGAGCTACCTTCCTGTTCGTATTCGTGCTGCTCTGGAAAGTCTTCCTCGGTGATGGTTGGGACACCCCAGTGAGAACTGTTGATCAGAGGAGGTTGGTTGTTTGCGAGACTGTTCCACTTATCCTGGCTGTACAGAGCCCAGCTCAGCCTTTTGCGAAGACTTTTCTCCCATGGGGGAATATCCCAGTCAGAAGCGTCAAGATGAAGGCCGACCCCATAAGCCACATTGATAAGCTGGGCTGTCAATTCTTTGGCGTTGGTGGTAGAATATTGCAACAACTGAAGCCCTGCCTGGATGGTGGAAAGTTTCGGCCGGTAATTTATGGCATCGTGCAAGCACTTCCGGCCCAGCGCTTCTAACTTTTCCACGCATGGCTTTTCTTTGTCTTGAAGTGTGACCTCGTGTGACCAGAATCGAATGGCCAGCAAGTAGACGGCTGCTAAGCTTGACGGTGAAAACTCCAGCGGTGATCGGATGTATTTCTCCATGTACACATCTCGGTAGAGAACTGGGAAGCTGGGATAGACAACACGAAAATATATATCGAGCAAGGTCCGACCGTGTGGCGATACAAGCGACTCGACTGTCTCTACCTCCTGGCGTTCTTCGAGATAGCCAGGGGTCCCGAGATCTGGAATGAGCAGGAAGGCGTCCGTCGGGCCAACCCAGCGTAGAGTGCCGCCGGTCGCGACTTCAATCTCCCGGTACATGCTTGTAGACCTAGCCGCCATCATGGCAGGTTCAAAAGAACCAGAGACGCTGAAGTAGCGGCAATGGTACTTGTTAAGCAGTCCCAGAGTTCTCTTCAGAAGGCTGGGATCTTCCATTTGATCATATTCCTCCACGCTGACTCCCTGTCGGGTCCTAATCAGACGCCATTGCTTGTTGGACTCCAGGTCAGATTCGACAGGCCTTTTGCGTCTCTTGGATGGAGGACTTTTTGTTTGTTAGAGACGAAGCAGAATGACTCGATGGTAGCAACCTACCGTGTCTGACCATGTTCCGACGATATTGAAGCCGACTTTCGCTTTCTAGGCGAACTATTGTCCAAGAACTTACATTCTTGCTGATGGAATCTGCAGAGAACGCAGACACCCGCGGCGTCGCCGTCTATCACACATCGAGTCTTCCTTTTGCGACATGTCTCGCATGATCTCTCGGCCCGCTTCCGTGGGATTGGTGTGGCCATGGTCACATTGGGTAACGGGGTTGAGGGCCGTATTCGTGGACACGTAGTCCTTTCGCACGGCAAGATCTCGTAGCTTGAATAATGGCCCACAGCAAGGGATAGCTGACCAGAAGGGATCTTGTTCTCGATCACTGAAGCAACGCCGAACTGCGTAGTTGAAACGGGACCTGAGGTGCGACTCGAAGATACGGGGAAGACCGCACGTCAGGGCCGGTGTGATATTAGAACAAGCATCGGCTTATCGCCGCGGTTCGCTTCCGTCCGATTCGGCTGTCACCACTTGACAGTAGATAACAAGAACAGCCTCCTGGACCTTTGTGGCGAACTCTCTTGGTATTCGATATCCTCCTCCTCGTCGTATTGTTGTCTACACAGTAGATGCTTTCATAACCAATAATGTCAAACGTGCCCCTGATCCTTACAGCCTCGGCACGAATCTTTTGTAGCATATCCTGACATATCGCAGCTTGTACTTGTGGGGCAAAGGTTGGAACGCCACTGACGTTAGTGAGGTACCTAGGTAGGTAATCCTTGAGCTCTTTTTGTCAGTAACACACTGTATAAAAATGGTAACGCTTCCGGACGTGTTCCTTCGCTACTCACAGCGATCAACGATCAATGCTGATGAAGGATTCCCTGGTCATCTGAGCCAGAAAACAAATGGCCTAATTTCGGACTTCCGTCGAGATCAAGATGTGAGGATCCTGGTAGCGGTATGTTTTGAAAGGGGTCCGGCTTTACGAATATGCCCTTCTGAGCTTGTCAGAGAGTTCATTGATCACCTTCCCGGGCTCTTTCTCTCGTCAGGACCGTTGACTATCTCTCGGTACCATCCACATGACGGTATCTCACCCCACAGAAATCATCTTCGCCGATCTGGACCTATCGCGTCGGAGGGGTATGCGGGTGCAGCCCAGCACGCCGCCTCATGGCCATGGGCCGGAACAGGTGAAGGCAAGCTGGACTGAAGGAACGGAGCCATAAAACCTGGTTGAATCTGTCAACATCTGAGTCATGGGCATCTGATAGAGCGCTGTACAATCTCGGGAATGTATGAAGCAAGCTTAAATCAGATCAGGATCTCAGCCTTGCACGACCGAGGCTTAACGAGAGCATACTGCAAGCAACGTGCAGGTTGGAAGGCACTTGGGTAGATCGTCAAAGATGTGAGTCTGATATTGCAGAATGAAGTAGATCGATCTACAGACCAAGTTGCACCTGATTTTGTGCTCACTGTTGTTTCTCGCGAAAAGTCGCCAAGCCAACGTCGCCTGCGCCTGCGCCCGGTGCTGGTGAAGTACAAGTATTCCCAGGCTCAACTTGTGCACTTTCTTCCCTCTCTTCCTCATACACAAAACAACCCATCATTGACAAGCAAGATGGCGTCCTTTTGTGCCGACTGTGGCGATATGTTCTTTGCAAGACAGCGATTTTGTATGGGCTGCGGTGTCGATCTACATGCCCAAGTAGCAACAATGGCTGCTAGACGAGCGCTCCATGCCAGATCCCAAGCCGATCCATATTCCGTTCAGGGACAAGTCAATCAACAAGCCTATTTAGGCCAAGCTCATGCTCATGTACAGCAACTCTCCTCCAATAATGGGATGGGGAGTTATCCTGCTCAGCAGCAGCCTGTCCAAACGCAGACCGTTGAATGGGTGCGTGCACAAGCGCGGACTGCGTATGAGCAAGGGCTTGCACCTGCTTATCAAAATGAACTCGAAGACTACAGATATGAAGAATCTTTACCTTACGAAGAGTCATTCCCTGGTCCACCTTATCGTGGTCACTTCGAGGAACATCAGCAGTCCATTTATGTCGGACGTCCTACTACGAGGAAAGCTCGTCGTAGGCGCCGCGGCACACATAGACAAGCACCTGATGACTTCAATGGCTATGGCCACGGGTCGATGAGTCAAGTTGAGTCAATCGATCCCGATCTGCGATCCGTGGTTGCAATGGAAGGTGAGGCTGCCCACGGCAAAGCAGCAGACACTTCCGTGCAGGTCTACCACGGGTCACCGTCAATCCGCGAGAAACCACTCGCCGACCTAGAAGAGTCATTCCCTTGGGCGTTCTCCGATTTCAAATCTTCGACATTACCAAAAAGCTTAATGCCAGCCAAAGCGGTTCCAGCAAGCAACGCGGTTCCAGCAAGCAAACCGGAATCAGCAAGCAACGCGGAACCAGCAAGTAAAGCTGCGGCTCCAACAGGGCCAAGCCATACCTAGGCAGCCAATCCCGGGCTGTCTGTGGATCATTTTCCTGTTCTGCCAAAGGGTGAAGCTCCTCAGATGTCAAAGCCTACCTCCTTTGCAGCTGCCGTAAACATGGCACCCTTGAAAGCCACCACCCCTGCACCTGTTGCAGAGACCTCGGACTTGCCCACTATGCCAGTGGTCAAATGCTCGCGGCAGAACCAGAATGTGTGGCCTCAAGACTTCTACGATGGCAATAGGTACTACCAGGGGTTCACGCGCAAGAAGCAGTTTCCGAATTGCAAATGCACACGATGTCGAGGTGCACACCCAACCAAGTATCATGATATTTGCTCGAGACTTTATGAGACCTGGAAACTCAAAGGCAGCGGTGGCCATTGCAACGCTCCCACAAGATGTTCCAATCGTGAAAGCCATAACACAGAAGACTGTGGTCTGGGCGAATTTACGGACCACCCTGACAATCCCGAGCTTCCCCAAGAGCTGCAGCCTTTCTTGCGGCCGTGGCCAAAAAATACCAGTCGAGTTCCATTCCCTTTGTACTACTACGTCGGGGATGCCTACCCAATACCGAATGCAGATTGTCCAAAGCTACCATCTCCCTGGGAGCGCGGCTTCAAGGCGGGCCTTTGGGACAAGAGACTAGGTCTTGCCTACTCATTTGAGGTCGCCAAGTCGATAGCTTTGGGCTATGAGAAACCGGACTACGTCGCCGGCAAATATCCATCTGACCAGACACTGATGCAGACGGCTTCCGCAAAGAATGGTCGTGCTGACAACTTCCTGGGTGATGTCAAGATGGCTCTGGACCTTCCACCCAGTGCGAACTCTACTACTGGATCTGAGTGATGAATGCCCGACTTCCTGTATGCAATGGGAAAACGTCTGTTGCCGGAGGAAAAAGGTCGTATTCGAGCTCTTGAAGAACAACAGAGCCGCGACAGCCAAGCATACTTGAAGAGTCATACAAAATCCGCTCTTCACAAGCCCCAAGGACCCATCTCAAAGCTCTGGATATCTTCAGAGCCCCCTGAGACGAGTCAACTGAGTCAGAGATGACAATCTTTCAAGAATTAAACGGAGACAGGACCAACCTGTTCTCGAATCCTACTTGACTGTAGGTCAGTCAGGAAATGGATGAAGTGCGGTGGGGGTCGCCGCCCCACATCCCATTCGTTTCCTGCTGAGGCTTGCGACGAGATCACACCTTCACGTGGTGCATGCTGTCAGTAACTCCATTTGCATGGGGTGAAGCTAAGATGGTCTCCTTTTTAGACGCTGGAAGGGAACACAATCCAATGAACAACACCGCAACAGAAACGAATGACTCGATCATCTCCCCAAATGTCCTGCAGGGCTAGAAACCTTGCAAACACAGACAGCAGCAAGATATACTTTGACACAGAGGAGGCCACGCAGGAAGCCTGAATGGCTCCAGTCAATTTTGTGCATGAAGCAAAGGTGACAGTGATGAAAGCATACAAGATGAAAGCACAGTCCGAAGCAGAAACATCATGGTTCGAACGAGACAATATCGAGGAACCTTCATGGTTCAGATCAATCAAGGCAGTCTCATTCATGCACTCTTCACCGTCATGTATGGCCGCCGTTGGATCGGATTGAAAAGGAAACCGACAGGCAACAGTTGTTTCTCGAGAAGCTCGCTAGCCAAGACCAAGAGATGGAGGAGGTTCGACTGGATTCTGCTGAAAAGAAAGATAGGAGACACTTCCTAAACTTGAGCTTTTCACAATCTTCAGAGACGTCAAGATGCAATCATAGCGGTCGTATCTCAATTCCTTTTCTGAAGAAAGGGGCTCATGGATATCCTCCGGCGATTGGCATTCAAGTACATACTCAATTGTACCCACCGAAAGGGCATCCAATGATCTCTGTTATCAAGATCAACGAAGTCGTCAATATCGGACCTTGATCTCCACATTTATGGGGGCTCTTCGCTCCCGGACCTCCGCAAGCCACTGCCAGCTGACAAATCTGGGCCCTGCCAACTTGGCAAGCCACAATGCATTGACTGGCACTGGCATCCCACCACTCTCCAGCGTTCAAGGTCAAGTAAAGAGCCCCCAGAATCCGAGTTGCTCCTGACACCATAATTCGTATTGAAGCCCATCATGTCGCACAGGATCCTGGTCACCGGCGCGTCGGGCTACCTCGGTGGAAGTCTGCTGGCTCGCTGGACGAGTGCTAACCTTCCGGCATACGACCGACTATACGCGCTCGTTCGAACAGACGAACAGGCGGATGCTGTGAAGAAATACTCCGCCGAGCCGATTCGGTTTGACGTCAAGGACGAGGCTGCAGTCCGCGCTGCCATCGTCGACAACAAGATCACGATCGTTTACTTCCTGATCGACGCTCTTTGGGGGAAGCATCAGAGTTATTTCATCAAGGCGCTTGCCGAGGTCAAGAAAAGTACTGGATCGGACGTCCATTTTCTGCATGTAGGTGTCCACGAACTGATGTGCCGCGTTCTGACAAGTTGACGGTCAAAGACCAGCGGAGCCAAGATCTTTTCCAGCCATGCGGGTGCGCCGACGGATCGGCCTCTTTACGATACAGAGGAGGATCTGTATGACATCCAGAAGGCGCAGAAGCCGGTAATACCCCTGTTGCAATCGGTAAGTACGGTAACGCGGCGGGTCCGGGTGAACGAGAGACTGGAGTCTGACTGGAACAGGCGATTGATGCGAACAATTCGGTCATCGAGCAAGGCGAGGCCTATGGTGCGCGGACATACATCTTTGTGCCTTGTATTGTTTGTAAGTTATGCCCGTTTCTTTTAGATGGAACGTGTTGGCTGATGGAACCGCCTGCGCAGACGGTAAAGGTGAGGGTTTCGGGAACCCGATCTCCATTCAGACGGCCGCCACTATCAAAGCGGCGATCAATGCGAGACGCGTATATAGCGTGGACGATGGACGACCGGTGCGTGGATTCTATCCTGAGAGCAGTCCATCTTTTCGGGACTAACAGTGGCCCAGGAATGGCCTGTGTGCCACGTGATAGACAATTCGACCCTCTACCTTGAAATGCTACGGGCCATATTGGACGGCAAGAACCCAGGCAGTGGGAAGCAAGGCTATTATCTCGCCTCGTCCGGCAGCGTGGCATGGCTCGACTTCTATGAAGCGATTGCCGCGGGTTTGGCTAAACGAGGGCTCGTCGATGAACCCACGGTGGAACAGGCCTCAGAAGCAGCGCTGGAAAAGATGGGCGCTGCTTTGGGATGTCCCAAGGAGCTTGTCGCTTTGAATCTGGGAGGGAAGTAAGTTCTCTGTGCCCTGTCTCTCAAGACGTTCCAATACTAAAATTTGTCTCTAGTTGCACTTTCACAGCAAAACACGGTGAACAGATCGGATGGAAGCCGCAATACCCACCTAAGCATATCCTCGAGTCGGCTGACGAAGAGGTGGAATTGGTTCTTGCGAACATTAAGAAATAATGTCTGCTTCGAGAACCACTAAAGTGCTCGCAGCGTCCATGTTGCAATCCCTCTGAGCCGCGACTGACGTGGGATGAGATGGTTGAGAGGGATCTTGGTGCGAAACCTCGATGTAAGATGAGTAGGAATTGCCAGCGAACTCACAGGCTGGAATTATCTTCAAGAAAGTCAGCAGTGTCCCATCATTCATCGCGATGCGTCCGTTGACTCCGACGGTCCGTTTGTCCACAATTCCCACACCTCGACGAAGAATGATCCAGAGAGGATGTAGTGAGAGATATTGGAGTCGGACCAATGAGCGAAATTCCGGCTGGTAGCCGGCGCCCTCCTTTTCGAGGAACAAGCATCTGCTCCCAGAACCCTTATCGAAAGCACCGCGGCATGACTGAGCAAATCTTTATTGACGACCGTGACTGGAGGACTCTGTGGGGTAACAAGCTTTTCTCGTTGCTCCACATCGCTTCGCCCTTGACAAAGCTCTGACAATGGGGGAAGGTGGATGAGCCGAGCAGCCGAAGGGTACACCGCCTGCTGCTGCATTGAGGACTTGCCTCCACATTCCGAGCCCTCTTGTCGCTTGATAAAGAGTAGGTATACCATGTATGGCGTGGATGCGTGTTGTGTGGTGTCGACGGCGGGTGGTACAGATGCACCAGGTCGTGACAAGGGGGTTAAGGTCAGGGCTGGAGGCACACAAACACAGACACGGCTGTTGTTGAAATAGGCGTCCGCTAGCAGCGCTAAACTTAATGCCCGAGACTCCGCCGCCGAGATCCGAGCCTTATCGATCGTGATCAGGAACATCAATCACATCAGTCATATCGAGTCATCGACTGCAGTTCATCATCCATCAAATGTCTGCTCCACGTATCCTAACCGTGGTAACTCGAATGACCACGGTAATGAGCCTAGCCAAGCTCTTCTTCTCTCCTCCGCAATGCGAATTCAACTCCTGACCTGTTTCCTACGCCGCATCTCCAGTATCGAAATTATCACATTTCTCAGGATGGCCAGTCAGTGCTCCAGCAGCACTGGACGTGACGTTGCTATGCGGGATCGTGCCCGTGACAAGGTGACCGGAGTAAGAGCGAAGAGAAATCCAGGAAGTGACAAAGAAACATGCCCGCCTGACCTCGACGTCCTCCTTGTTGCATTGAAGTTCGTCTGTCCACGTGAACCGCCTGCGCCTTCTCCGTGCAACTTTGTTTACTCCTCGATCGCACCTTCGATGCTATTTATCTCTGACTTCCCATAAGTCCACGACCACCCTGTGATCTTTCTCTGTTCGCTCTCTTCGTCCAATCCCCATACAGACTGCAGTTGATCAAGCAACATCTACATCCACAACATTGAGCAGCGAGCATAATAGCCCGGTTGATTCAGAATGCCTGCCGGCGGGATCTCTCTCGCAGCCACTGGCGATGTCACTCGCGTCGAGGCTCCAGTGTCTTTCCGAGCCTACCTCATGTGTGCTTTTGCGGCATTTGGAGGCATCTTCTTCGGCTATGATTCAGGATACATCAACGGGGTGATGGCAATGCGGTATTTCGTCCGTGAATTCGCTGGCAAGCCATACCCTGGCCCAAATGCGACTCAGGCCGAGAGGAACGCGTTTCTCGTTCCCTCTGCGCGTCAATCGCTCATCGTCTCGATTCTCTCGTGTGGTACATTCTTTGGCGCAAGTAGGTGAAGCTCGATTCCGCAGGAGACTGTTGCTGACCGTGTTCTAGTCATTGCGGGTGACCTTGCCGACTTCATCGGCCGGCGAACCACAATCATCGCAGGCTGCGCCGTCTTCTGCTTCGGGGCGGCTCTCCAGACTGCGTCCTCCTCCTACGGTCTCCTCGTGGCTGGACGTCTGATTGCGGGCTTTGGTGTTGGTTTTGTGTCAGCTATCATCATCCTGTACATGTCGGAAATATCTCCTCGGAAGGTCCGTGGTGCTTTGGTCTCTGGTTATCAGTTCTGCATCACCATTGGGCTGCTACTGGCGTCCTGTGTCGTGTACGGCACCCAGAACTACCCGGACTCACGTTCATACCGCATACCCATCGCTCTTCAAATGTTATGGGCACTCATCCTGGCAGGCGGGCTCTTCTTGTTGCCAGAATCGCCACGGTACTTCGTGCGCCGCGGAGACCTCGACAAGGCCACGACCGTTCTGGCACGTCTTCGAGGACAGCCTCGTGATTCGGAATACATCCAGCAAGAGCTTGCCGAGATCGTAGCAAACCACGAGTATGAACTTCAGGCCACCCCGCAAGGCGGCTATGTCGACAGCTGGCTCAACTGTTTCCGAGGAAGTCTCTTCATGCCTAGCTCCAACTTGCGCCGAACTATTCTGGGAACATCCTTGCAAATGATGCAGCAATGGACCGGTGTCAATTTCATCTTTTACTTCGGCACGAGCTTTTTCGCCCAGCTCGGAACGATCAGCAATCCCTTTTTGATCTCGTTGATCACAACTCTGGTCAATGTTTGCTCGACTCCGCTTTCCTTCTGGATTATTGAGCGCTTTGGTCGACGCACGATCATGATCTGGGGTGCTGCCGGAATGGTGGTATGCCAGTTTATCGTCGCCATCGCCGGAACTGTCGACGGCGGAAACCCCAGCACAGTCAAGGCTGAGATTGCTTTCATCTGCATCTACATCTTTTTCTTCGCCACCACCTGGGGCCCGGGAGCGTGGGTAGTGATTGGAGAGGTGTTTCCTCTTCCTATCCGCTCTCGTGGCGTGGGTCTTTCGACAGCTTCCAACTGGCTCTGGAATTGTGTAAGTTCTTCTGGTCTCCTTTCCTAGGTCTCAACTGCTAATAGTCGCACACAGATCATCGCAGTCATCACCCCATACATGGTCGGCGCCGACAAGGGTAACCTTGGTCCCAAAGTCTTCTTCATCTGGGGCTCGCTCTGTGCATGCGCGTTTGTCTATGCTTACTTCTTGATTCCTGAAACCAAGGGTCTCACGCTCGAGCAAGTGGACCGTATGCTGGAGGAAACCACGCCACGGACTTCATCGGGATGGGTGCCAAAGACCACGTATGCCGCCGAGATGGGTCTGGATGATGCGGGAAGACTTAAGTCGGAGATCACCGAGGATGTACAGCGAAGAGGCTCCGCTGTCTGATAGATGTACTGGCGAGGTTTCGAGTGTCTATCAGAATCCCTGGCCATCCCAGGCGCTTGTGCACTATTTAGTACTGGGTCTGGCAAATGTCCCGCTCATGCTGGCAACGGACGGGGACAATAGTCAATGGATTGCGAATTGAGCTCTTGTTCAGCTTGTAGAGCTGTATTCATGGACACCAAAAGGCGCGGGAGCCACGTTCCAGTCCTGAATAAGAATCACCCGCGTTTATGGACCATATCATACCTAATTGACCAGTCTTCCGCCTTGATCAAAAATATGAGACGAGCACCGACCTGACGTGTCTGATGGGAGGGTACGGTGTTGCTACCAGCCTGGCATTCACAAGGCAGGTTTCCCGAAGTCGGGCCGCGGATCCCATGACGCTCCTTGTTGATGAATCTCCAGGCATCCCTAGTCTTCTGCTATTGTTGTTTCGAGTGTGTGTCTCGCTATCCCAAGTCATTCGCTTTCAGCATGATGTGTTTACGGCCCGTTTTGTGTTATGCGTTTATCGACCTCTGACCTCAACACCTGGGCGTCTTGAGACACAAGAGTCTCTACACCGGCCAGCTCAGTTGAGACCCAGTAATCAGTAATCATGTCCGATTCCTCCACGCCCCCTTCTCCTGGGATCATTCACGAGTTCCCACGGAACCGAATTGAGCGACATCAGAATGGAGACCCCATGCACACTCCTCCACCTACTCTGTACATCCCACCGCAGTTTCTCCCTGGGGGAAGGAGATCGCTGGCAGGGGTGGCCAGCCGGGCCTTTGGGCTCGGGATCGCCCTGGGCTTCTCCGTGCTACTGACTCTGGAGCTTGCATACTGGGGCTACGGGTTATGGCGGGCACCATGTTTTGTCGCGACGCTGGCACTGTTTCATTATCTGGAATTCGACATGACGGCGCGCTACAATCCGCCGGACGCGTCCATTTCCTCGTTTCTGCTCTTGTCCAACGGTGTGGCCTACGCAGCCGCCCACACAGCGGCCATTCTTGAATTACTGATCCGACATTGGCTGCATTCCGACTACAAGCCACAATGGTTGATATTGCCTTTCCACATTCCAGCATTCCTGCCGGTGCCTGAATTGCCATCGCATGTGACCGTTGGAGCTGGGCTGTTCTTCATCGTCCTGGGCCAGCTGGTCAGAAGTGCTGCCATGAGGAAGGCGAGGACAAGTTTCAACCATGTCGTGCAGTGGACTAAGAGGGCAGACCATACCCTGGTGACGGACGGGGTCTACGCCTTCTCAAGGCATCCCTCGTATTTCGGCTTTTTCTGGTGGGGGATAGGGACGCAGATCTTGCTGGAGAATCGGATCTGCTTCGTGGCGTACACGGTGGTGTTGTGGAAGTTCTTCAATCACCGGATCATGCGTAAGCGTTGTCGTATGCGAGGGTGCTTTTTGCGGTGCTGACATTTGTGTAGACGAGGAAAAGCATCTGGTCTCTTTCTTTGGCCAGGATTACCTCGACTACCGCAAACGTACGCCGGTGCGAATACCTTTTATCCGTTGATACGTTCAACCTTCGTCTGGCTGCTTCCTCTTGCGATTGACCTTGTTCCCAGCCAAGGTGGTCTTCACCTTGACCGGGAAGTAATGGGGTCTCTGTGGCTGGTCGAGCCAGGGGACAGTGACCGTTTCAAAGGTTTCGGCAACCAAACGAAGCAGTGCCCCTGCGTCAGAAGCCCCCTCTTCCAGTCCAAGCACTCCGACTCGTGGCTGTTGTAGTGCTTGTGCAATCTTTGCTTCTGCTTGTGGAGACAACTCGACCAGTTGGGATCGACTGGACACCGGCGCCGAAGTAGCCACCAAGAGCGGCATTGAAGAGGACATGATGTCCGGGAGGTTCTGCCGACACACGAATACTACCGAGAGGTTTACGGGATTCTGAGAAGGGGTGGTTGTGGTTGTGGGTGCGGACAGGATGGCTGGGCTCCGGTCACCAGCTAACGCCTCTAGCCTGCGGACTGTACTGTTGAATCCGATGGTCAGATGCGTGTAGAGGTCGGGCATCAAATCATTGTTTGCCGTGTCGACGGTCTTCCCAGCTCTTCCTTTGCCCTTTGACTGCGGTACATGGCTGCGTTTGAATTCACCGATCGGCCGAAGGAGAGGAAGTAGGAGTTGCAGGACTGCTTGTTCTTGATCGCTGGAGACTGGTGGCCTGGCAGGAAATCAGCTGTAGCCTTCCGTACGGACACTCACTTACCATTGGGGATCTGGGTACGGCAACGATAATGCATGGACTGGTTTCTTTTGTTTGCTCATTGCCAGTACCTGGGTACCTACCAGGTAGTTATTGTCGGAGTGCCAGTGTGCAGGCAACAAACAGCCTGCGGGCTGGAAGTTGAAGGTCAAAGGCTGGATGACGTTGAGCCACCAGAAGCAAATGTGATTGGCTGGTCGTTAGTCATCAGTCATCAGTCTCAGGCTCTTTATTATTAGTCGCGCCCAAACGCGTCGGTAGCTTTCTCTCTAGTCTTTCAGCGCGCTGCAGGCAAGTGCCAAAAGCCAAAAACAGCCCTGAACTTTTTGATCCAACTTCCAACGGCGCAATTCAATGTCATCTAAACTGCAGCCTGGTCAAACATGTTCATCCATGTCTCCTTTCCATCCTCAATGACCTTTCACTGCGCTTCAACTTCACTGCTATAGCACCTATCAACAGTTCATCACTCCAATTGAAGCCCCTCTATCATCATCACCTGGGTCACCCCTTTGTACCCGCAGCAAACATTCACCCGTCCTGCCCCGCCTCTCATCATCACCTTGCTCCGTTGGACTTCTCGTTGAAATGGATTCCACGGGCATCTCTTCATCTTTCTACAATCAACCATTCAGACTCTGAAAGTCCCTTGTCTATCACGAAGACCCTTTCTTCTAGACGGACAATCAGGCACTCATCAACCACCAGGGTTTTGTTTGCCTGCTACTTATAGTGGCGGCCTTGTTCGGTTGTGCCAAGACCTCTCACTGCCTACTTGATCACCACTTCACCATCCATCACCCTCATTCAAGACAGCAACTGCGCTCTGCCTTGCGGACGGTCCAGATGCCACTCTAGTAACATGTCGTCCGCAAAGACCGACTTGTCGACGCGCAATCGCAGTGACTCTGCGGCAAGTTCCGAGCTGCCAGAGCATGAGCACAAGCGTCCGAGGCTGAGTGACGCGGAGCCTGATGAGGCCCATATCATGTCTGATCTTCAACATCACGACCCTCATCCTGCTCCTTCCAGCAAAGGTCATGAGGAAGGAGGTCGCAGCCGTACCCCGCCATTACCTCCTCGAGCCGTGATCGCCCCTGCTGCCGCCGCCGCCATTTCCCCCACCAGCAAAGTGACGATTAATACTCGTCCTCTATCTTCCCAATCTGTTACACAGCCAACCACAGGAAGCATGTCGTCGACCTCACCTGCCTTGGAAGCAACTGCCAGTTGTGGCGATGGGACGCAGGACTCCAGACCAGTTGTTGATCCTCAAGACACCATCTCCATCCCTTCCTCCGGGAGCAAGAGTCCTGAAATCGAGATTGCCGAGGTGGAAGATTATGACCAAGACCCTGCTAGGACGAGGTGGACAGGTCGTGTTGGTAGCACGGGTGGAGGATCGATCCCTCGAACCATTCAATCTGGTCATGTTTTCCGCACATTCCCATTCGCACAGGAGATGACCCCTGGAAGCACTCATCGGATGGTTGCCAGAATTGCCGACCGATTTCAAAATGCTGGGCCGCAGGATGGAGACATCTTCCGTCAAGTTAAGAACTGGATGGTCGACTTCCTCTCCTTGTGCGATGAGTTCACGACAAGCATCTACGAAGAGGACCGGGAATTTTGGCAGCACCTACCAGATCTTGTCGAATGCTTGTTGAGACGTGAGGCAGGCCCCCCTGCGCAGGCGCGAACGGAAGACCTCGTCGATTTCTTCGTGGCGTATGGCCAACTCACGAAACTCATCTTGGATTACGATACTCGCAACCTTCGGACCATGTCAGACACTACAGACGCCCGGCGGCTGAAGAGCCTGACGTTGGTGTCGGGTACCTATCTGCAACCACTCGTCTGGCTTTCACAAAACAGGATACCCTTCTATGAAGCTCTGCGAACTTCATTCGATTTCGATGTACCCCAATTCCTCACATTTGTCATTGACAGACTTGGAGATCGTTCAGCGACCGCATTGTTGCCATCTGTTTCGGCACTCCTACCGGAAATATGTGCAATCCTACCAAAGAAACCGGACTGGTTCAGACACGTTACCTCTCTCTTGCTCCTGACCATGCACCTGATGGGTCCGCTTACCAGTACTGTCACGGGCGACCTTGGTTATGAATATTCGAAATTCTCGCACCTCGACGCCATCCGAGATGATGCCGCAGAGATCATACTGAAGGCTGATGACATTGTCCAGCAGGCCATTGTGAAGCAAGCGTCCTGGCTCAACCTCGAGACCGCCCCGAAGATCATCGAGTACCTTGGCCCGATCATGGCAAGCATAGCAGTTGAGATCCCTGCAATTGGTCAAGAGATCATCTCCACGGCCGGCGTTGGCTTCGCAGATTCTGACCTTACGGATCTGCCGGTTACGATGCCTCACGCCTGGAAATTCAAAACACTACGAAAATTCGTCACCCACGGCCGCATGGAGCTTCGTGTATATGGGGTGGACGTCATGTCGAATGAACTCATCCAAATCTACAGAGACCACATTCTCGGAAAGCCACCGCCTCCGACAGCAGATCCGTTGATTCGGTTTCTGGTCAAGTTTATCGAGGAGAACCAGCTTGTCGACTATATCGTGGGCGTCCACTCGCATCCACAAATCATTCGCCGTGCCCCCAACATTGTCGGCTTCCTCTGTGTCTCCGGAACATATACCGATCGTCATACCGACATAATCTGGAAAACGATCGCTGAGAGTGAAGACCCTAACACGGTGCACGAGGTGTTCAGTCTGTTGCAGCAGTGTTTTCACGTCTATAACACACAAGCACTATACTACCTCTGTCAGAAACTTTTGGACTACCCGTTCCAGCGCTTGGACCTTCATGCCTTGAGTTTCATCATCACCGTCTTTGATAACATCAGGGGTCATGTCAGTCAGACGCCGCAACAGACTAACATGGTCAGCAACGCAATCTCGCGCCAGTTGTGTATCAGAATGCTGAGAGAGGCGTCGAAGAAGGAAAATGTCCATTTGGCACATGCGGCCCATATCAGACGAGAATTCCCTCAACAAATGAAGAACCTTCTTGCCTTGGGTCAAACCGTTGTCAAAGATGCCACTATTGGCGACGATGAGCAGGCGGAGATGGTATCGGAGATTGTCGACAATATCAGAGCGCACAACGACCAAGCCACTGGTGACATGCAAGTTCTGACCTGTCTTCTATCCATGTTGGCACAAGAAGCTCTACAGAAGTTGGTACAAAAGTTCGACCTATCAAGTTTAGTGGTGGCCGACTTTGCGCATCTGCACGAGCAATATCGTATTGCGAGCGAGCTGGATGCACCACTTTTGTATTTTGAGGTGCTGTACGATATCAGATCTGACCTCCTCTACCATCTCATCCATCTGGTGCCCGAGTCATTCACCGAAGAGTTGGTTGGCAGCCTTTGGACATCGCTTTTCACAGCGAGAGAGCTTTCTGCCTCCATCAAAGCCAGAGCATGGGAAACTCTCATACTGGCCATACGACAGAATCGGCCCAATCCATTTCTCAATTTGGTTATTGATGAATATCTCCAGAGACTTGCACCTCAGGATTACAGCGAGACCGTCCTGGAGTTTCTCAAAGCATCCGTTTACCACACCATTGGACGGTCGTTGCAAGCCCCGGTAGATTCTGGCGAGGTTGTAGTCATTCCGGGACTGGAAAGATTGTGGAAAGTGATGCTTGAAGCACCACCGAATACCGTGGAAAATCAGGCGACAGATCTCATCATCAATTTATACCTGGATAATGCTCTTGTCACACGACGGCCAAAGTCTGCTATCCACGCGACGCACTCCTCTCTGGTTGATCGCTGCGTCCAGCAGGTGATCACATCAGCCTCGAAGCTCAAATCGTACACAGACGGCATCACGAGTGGGGAAGATGAACCCATGGTGATCATTGCATCCGAAGACGAAATTCGTGCAGAGGAATTGAGATTCGACCGCTCGCTCTTGTTCTTGAGAAAGTTTCTCGAAGGGATGAAGTCGAGACCGAGGTACAGTCCGGTTCCTGGTCAACATGAACAGGGTCTCCCAGAGTTTCAGTCCAGAAAAGGGGAAAGCCTCGAGCTGAACGTCCAGATCTATGGGAGTAAATATGTCAAAAATGACATGCACAAGCTCGCTATCGGTTCTGAAAACACAGCTGACCAGTTGTTCAAGTACCTGTCCAATGCTAGTGGCTTCATGCAGTTCACAGTCTATCACTATGGACGACAGATCCCGTTGGAAGGGCGAGATTCTACCATCGCAGAGATGAAGCTATCTCGAGGTCTTCTCATCGTCAATAAGACCGCCAACAGCCCGGAAACCATACCTCGACAGGTTCGGGCTGCTTCGCCGGTGGACAACAAGATTTTGCATCACTTTGACGACCTATACGATCTCCTGGATGCAGACGAACGACTGTCCAGGGAAGTTTACAGTTTTCTCAGCCTGTTCTCCGCTCAAACCGAAGTGGTTCGGATCGTGAGATCTCGAGAAAGCTCGCCCACAGATCTCCTGCCTCCTAATCGACCTTACAAACTCCTATACTGTGCGAGGGCCTTGAGGTCATGCATCGAGGATGAGTCTTTCAGTGCCAATCCCGATACTCAATTCCTTGTCTACAGCGTTCGAACAATCATAGCCGTTTTCCCGAAGCTGGACCTGAGCAACCCAAGCGACGCTCTACAGGTGTCAATTGCCCGCGGGTTGGTCGAAGCACTTCTTCTGGCGTTTCGAGCGAAAGTGTCGCAGGAGATCTCGCGTGAATACGTCGAGGACCACGGTCAGTTCGCAGCGCAAATGTCAAGGCTGCTGCGCTTCTCTCTTGGGAATTTTGACAACACTGGTGATTTGTCAACATCGGTCATGGTCAAGCTGATAATGGAAACGTTCATTGAGGCATGCTTGCACGATGATCGCATCTGGGATCATCTTAACGCCGAGACAAACTTTGGAACTCTGACCATGACTGCATTTGTCAGAGATCCCCGTGTCGAGGTACGACACTCGCTACTAGAAGTTGTGGTAGGCTTGACTGGCGCCGCTGGGCTGAAATTGCAGCTCAAGGTTAACAATCCACGGGCACCACGATCTCGATTTCCAGAAACAGTCATTGAAAGCTGCCTATCGCATATCTGGGAGGCCTTGGTCGGTGTTTTGCCAGAAGCTTGCCAGCACCCCGAGCAATGTTCCGAATTTTGCGAGACGATGCTTTCCATCATGAGGAGAATCGGCAAATCCTTTTCGATTCCCACTCTATGCAAATATCTTGACCGATGGTGTACCATGCTCGTCAATCACAAGCATGTGGAGGTGGTAGGTCAGCCGCTTCGGGACCATGTCGTCGCAAGCCTCACCAAACTTTTGCTTGAATGCTCCCGGCTATTGAAGAATGCAAAGGCTCTACCATCCAGGAGTCTCGTCCTCGACGATATCATCTCACTTTTCCTGTTCCCTCCACTGTCTGAGGACGGATTGGCAACAGAGAGTACCATCAAAGTACCGGTACTGGATATCACCGTACGAGAAAGTCTCTACAATTTCATCCTGACCCTATGCCAAGGACCTCAAGATATTGCGACTGTTGTGAGCAAGCTGAGCGATGATTTGCTCCCGAAAGACTTTTTTGAGCCAGCCTTTGGGCATGATCGCCAGTGTCTTCGCTCGGAGGTTGGCTATGCAGGCCTTCGAAACCTCTCCAACACGTGCTATCTTAACTCCCTGTTCTCTCAACTCTTCATGAACGTGGAGTTTCGCGATTTCTTCCTGACTGGTCCTGGTTTGCATGGGCCAAAGAAGAAATTGGTCGCGGAACTTTCCAAAGTGTTTGCTCACATGCAAAACTCGTACGAGAAGTCCATCGATCCGTCTGTGGCTGTGGAAGCAATCACGACCTATGAAGGCGAGCAGATAGATGTTACCGTGCAAATGGATGTGGATGAATTCTTCAACCTACTCTTTGACCGCCTCGAGGGACAAATCGACCATCAGGCCAGGGAGGTCTTCAAGTCTATGTACGGCGGACAATTGGTACAACAAGTCAAGTCCAAGGAGTGCGAGCATATCTCGGAGAGACTGGAGCCATTCTCGGCGGTTCAGGTGGAGATCAAAGGCAAAGCTCGTCTAGAAGACAGCCTCCGCGCCTATGTCGAAGGAGAAGTCCTGCAAGGCGAGAACAAATATTCTTGCACTTCTTGTGGGCGTCACGTCGATGCTGTCAAGCGGGCATGTCTGAAGGACGTTCCAGACAATCTCATTTTCAACCTCAAACGCTTCGACTACGACATCATGACTGGAACGCGAGCCAAGATTAACGATGAATTCCAGTTTCCTGATACACTTGACATTGCTCCATATACTCTCGCACGACTCAGTGACGAGGAGACGGACGGGGAACCAGATTATTTCCAGCTCACTGGCGTTATCGTCCATTCCGGTACGGCCGACTCAGGGCATTATTACTCTTTCATCCGTCAACGACCGTCCGCGAAACCGGTTCAAGAATCTTGGGTTCAATTCAACGACCAAGAGGTTGGTGCTTTTGACCCCAGCCAGATGCGGGAGATGTGTTTCGGGGGCAGCGCCGACCTTGGCTTCTATCCTTTGTTGAAGCTTAACAGTGCATACATGCTGTTCTATCAGAGAACATCCAGCATCGAGAGAGTCGAACAGCGATATCGTCAACATGACGCCATCAATCCTGTCCGCCTTCCTCTCCCGCCGGGAATGGAGCAATTCATTGCGCAGCAAAATGAATTGTTCTTACGCTCGTACTGCGCCCAGGACAGCTCCCATGCACAATTCGTTCGTCAATTGCTCGAACGAATGCGTTGCGGTGGGGACGGGTGCAGTAACGACCACACCCTCGAGTCCATCACAATTGAAATGGCGCTAGAGTATGTCCGGCAGATTTCAAGTCGCTGGAAGGAGTGTCCGTCGGTTGAAGACACTATAAAGACGCTGGATCAATATTCCGAAAAGTGTCTGAACTGCTCCAAAACCATCGCACAATGGTTCTCTGCCAATCGGGTCCTTGAAGATGTGATCGTGCGGAGCCCATACCAGCTTGTCAGAAAGTCTTTTGCCCATCTCTTCTGCGTGGTGTTCAGTCGACTCAACATGGCCAAAGAGACCATGGAACCCACGGATGCGAATTATGCTGGGTTGGTCACGGACTACAACAGATCTCTTTCGGATTGTGTCGGGCAACTGTCCCAACTATGGGAATTTGTGACCAGGAGCGGGCGGTGCTGGAACGAGTACTTCGGTATCTTGATTATCATTCCGAAGTGGGGAGATGAGGAGGCCACGATGCTTCTCGACGAAGGGTTGCTCCAAAACTGCATTGACCTGATCATGATTCATCTCAACAACCCAACAGATTTCCCAATATCCAGGAGGCTAAGAGCGCGATACGCCACGTACCTTAACGCACGCGAAAGAAACCGGCCATTCAACCATGGACTTCTGGTCGTCCTTTTTGTGGACATGTTGTTGAGGGTCGACCTTCATAACATACCGGATGGCGATTATCGTATTTCCGACAAGAAGATTGGCCTTACGCCCCGTGAACTCCAATGTCTGGGTATTGCCAGCGTCCCTCCTCAACTGGAATGGCTCCGACGACTCATCGCAGGCCGATATGATGCTGCATCGATTAACAGTCTCGTTGCGTATCTGGCTGTGGACCGCAGACTCGCTGGGTCCCTCTCGGATGTCCTCTTGAAAGGGTTGAATGACCGGATGATCAACATTGCTATCAGGTTCCTTCGACCGGTCTTGATCTTCTGCGAGAATTGCCGATCGGAAAATCAAGTCACTGATCTCGTGCAATCAGCGCTGGAGAGCATTTCTACGGTCGGCATCGAATATGCTAGGGAGTATTTTGATTTTGTCGATGCCCTCTTGAAAGTGCAAAACCCGTTCCTCAACAACGGTCCCGGTTTCATGGAGGAAATGGTTCTGCAATCTCTCCAGCATTGGGCACCGATTTTTCTTCTCGCACCAAGCGACAGTCGAGGCAACATTCGAATAGCAACCTTCGATCTGCTGAAGCGGATTCTGTTCACTCCTCTCCGTGTGGCTGAGGAGCAGGACCAAGATCCAGAAACCATTCGAGTCCTTCATGCTGCTTGCCAGGATCTCGCATGTTGCGCACACAACTTCGTCCAAGGAACCTTCCTGAATGCTCGGAGCCGGGAGAATTCAACTCTCCAGCCCGGGCAGGCCAGTCAACTGATTGACGTGATCGAACATTGTTTGAACTTCTTTGATACCGACAATCCGCTCCAGGAAGAAAAGATTACGGAAATACAGGCTACAATGGGCGCCTTGAAGGCCAAGGCCGAGTCATCACTTGAAACGTTGAGCTCGGCCGAATGGCAGGAGAACAGCAGTGAGATGGCGGAAATGAGTGCGGAGGATTACGAGGACGCGCTCAGTCCCTGAACGGGAAAGCCATTAGCCTCGTCGAGTTGAAGTTGGAGTTACCGGGGTCATCAGGCCTGGGCTGTTGTGCGAGAGTTCATGGAACTGCCCTGTGCATAAAACACGGCGTTGATTGATGGATTTGTGTTTGATGACAAGAAAACTAATATCGACGAGAGTACGAACGACGAACGACGTGCATGGACAACTTCAGAGGCGATTTACCTCTGAATGACGAGGCGCAAAGCGAAGGGTGGGGTTCACATTTTTTTTGGCTTGAGAGTTCGGTTCTTTTCCTGCGGGCGTTAGGATGCCCATCCACGGCGAGGGCACTGGCCTCGGTCGATTCTCGTGCCAGGTCCTTTGCTGGGGCCGCAGACAATGCGTTGGATGGGAGTTCGGAGGGTTGCAACGGCGAGAGCAGAGTAAAGGCAGCAGCCGCATGCCACGACACGAATGAATGAGTATGGAAAGGGAAAAGGAGCACTGGGAGTTTGTGACTGCAAAGTGCACAGGACGGTGCTGGCGAATAGATTTCTTTAGCAATTCATGACTTGAAGCTCTTCTGACCGAGATCGGGTCCAAACGTATTGGTAGTCTCGTAGAATCCATTTGTGTTTATGTCATACATCGTTGGCAATAACTGTTCGTATTGCATTTCCAACAGGGTCATCGCTAGAATACATGAAATCCACGGCACCAGGAAGCTGTCCAGCATCTTCTCAGCAACTCCGACCATGCGGCGCCCATAACATGATGCCAATCAACAGCCCAACCAGCCCTACGCCATGCACAAGATCAATGATCATCAGTCTCAACGTGCCAGACGGGACGAGCATCATCATCCAAGGGGACCTGCCCCCGGGCAGCAGGAACAAGAACCTTCTATAACGTCTTCACCCTCATCCACTCGCCGGTGCCGACACCGAGATTCAGACCATTCCGGCCCCACCACTCTCGGACCTCGCCCTCGCCGCCGCCGCCTACAGCATCCTCCATGGCCTCCTCGATGTCGCAGGTCTTGTATTCGACGCGCACGCCATGTTTGCGACTGACGTCCTTCCACCACTGCAAGACGCCGGCATGGCCGTTCTTGGTGGCGCCGACCAGGACCTGGTTGTCGAAGATCATCTTGGAGCCCTTGAGCTGATGCCACAGCTCGAGAACGGGGACGTGGCCGTGCTGCGAAGCCAGGCGGGCGACACCGTCCTCGTGCGAATAGGGGATGCCGCTCGACTCCCACCACTCGATGCTGTTGGTGCGGCCGGACTGGGCGGCCAGCAGGATGGATTTGCCGACTTTCAAGGGCATTTCGCGCGGCGTGCCGGCCAGCTTGAGCGAGTTTACGCGCCACCACTCCAAGACTTCGACGTGGCCTTTGGCCGAAGCCGATTCGAGCGCCCGTTCCGTGTACGTCAGTTTCAGGCCGGAGTTGAGCCACCAGTCGAGCACCTCGACGAAGCCGGCGCGCGAGGCCCCGTCCATGGCTTCGGGCCCGTATTCCTTCTTGATCACGGCGGGACAGTCGAGCCACCATTGCAGAATGGTGGGCGAGTTGTAGATCAGCGATGCCTTGTGCGGCAACAGGGCCAGGCCGAAGGAGGTCCAGAAGATGTCCTTCTGGTGTAGTGCGAGATATGTGAGGAGGTCGGTCATGCTGAAACGGAAGATGAGTCGGGTTGCGATGGGCGAGAGGGTGGTCGGCGGCTGCGAGGAGGTGTTGTTGGTGAACCAGGCTTTGACCTGCGACATGGGCTGGGTGAGGATGGTGTATTCGAGCGAGCGGCCCTTGTTGGAGGCCGGCTTGGGGATCAGGGGCTCCCATTCGTGCGGCGGCGGGATGTGCGTGTAGATGCCCAGCGCGGTGGCCAGTTCCCAGTCGCCCAGCTGGTCGAGGATCATGGTCCAGATCTCGGTGGGCAGACACGGCTTCCGCGACGCCGAATGGACGTCCCGGAGCTGCAGGTGCTGCGCCGACGGATGCAGTTTCGGGTGGTGCGTCTGGCGCAAGATGATCTGCGCCTCGCTGTCGATGGCTTCAATCATCTCGTTCGGCCCGTCCCACTGCCACTCGATCTCCATCTCCGGGTCGCTGTCCTGGCCGAGCGGGCTGGGACCGGGCTGGGTCAAGTCCTGCGGATCGGTCGCGTAGTCCCAGAGCGCGGGCGACAGGACGTGCACCCAGTCCCATTTGCGCTGCAGTTTCGACAACTGTCTCTTCCACGTCGGGTGCTTCCACTGGTCGACGCTCAGCTCCGGCAGCAGCGCGATGCGCTTCGACACGTCCCAGCACCGCAGCACGTGCAGCACAACGTCGGTCGTGAACCCACTCAGCATCAGCGAGATCATTCCGGCGTCCATCACAATGAACATCAGATCCGCCCACCGCGCCAGCCGGTGGCCGTGCATCATCGTCTGGTTGCGGTACGGGTCTTGCGCCGAGTTCTCGTACCACGCCACCTCGTCCAGACTGATCCCCGGCTCCATGTACGTCTGGAACTCGGCTTTCGAGCTGTCCGAGATCACGCGCAGGTTCAGGTCCGAGTTCTTCATGAGATATGGTAGCACTTCCGGACCGATCTTGGACGTCACGAAGATGAGCACGTTGACCCGTCGGCGTGCCATCCGGGTTCTCGGTGGCGGTGGAGGCGCCATTGCGCAGGAGTGCTGGTCTTGACTTTGTGCTGCGGGCAGTCTGAGTATATCTTTTTTTGTCTTGGTCTCTTCTGCACTTGTCCTAGGAGTCTGTAGGAGAGGGAGCTGCTGGTTGCAACATTGGCGGTGGGAAGTTCAAGTTGAGGTTTGAACGAGCAGCGAGGGTTTCGTTTCGGGTCGTGTTGTGGGTGGTTATCTTATCACTCGGAAGAGGGTTGCAAGGGTTGCATCGGGGGTGGAGCGACGGTTGGCGGACAAGGGGCTTCGAAGAGTGAAACGGTATGAGAAAAAAGTCTTGTCGAAGACGGTGAAGACGGTGAAGATGAGGACGGTTGCTGTGTTGTACAAGAACTGGGTTGAGGGATGTTGTAGTCGAGGTGTGTAGTATGAAATGAAATGGGATGGAATAAAAAACGCATCTATGGCCATCACCGCATTTTCTCGTTCGTTGGTCCATCGGCTGTCGTTCTATCGTCACATGCGCCTGCGTGAGCGTGTAATTAAATTAATAGGCGTCGCAGGCCGGATTCTCTTCCGATTCGATGCCTGCGCATTCTCCATGCCCTGTCAACTCCTCCATCCCCCCGCTCTCCCTCTCATCCTCTCAAGGACATCTGGACATCTCTGGGTCGCAGCCTGATGGATTGGCTAGACACACACACAGTGTCTTTGTCTTTCCCGAGTGAGGTGATGATCGTGTCCGATGCCACCCACCACCCACCTCGATGTCGACGACAACCTCGCGTCCTCCATCTCGGCCACGAACTGATCTATCCACGCTGATTTCGCAGGGAACTTGAACCCCAAGATGAGTCGTACAAAGACCGACGAAATGCCTGCCACCGACGTCGCTTCCTTTGTGCACCATCTGCAGTCCTCCAAACGTATCGTTGCTCTGCTCGGCGCAGGCATTTCGGCCTCGAGTGGGCTGCCTACCTTTCGCGGCGCTGGAGGACTCTGGCGAACGTACGATGCCACCATGCTGGCCACTCCAGAGGCCTTTGAAGCCGACCCGGGTCTTTCATGGCAGTTCTACTCCTACCGACGCCACATGGCTCTCAATGCCAACCCCAATCGTGCCCATCTCGCCTTGGCCGAACTCGCTCGACGGAATCCCGACTTTCTTACCCTCAGTCAGAACGTAGATGGTCTGAGTCCGAGGGCCGGCCATCCTCCAGCCCAACTCAAGCTGCTCCATGGGTCTCTGTTCGACGTGAAGTGCTGGGACCAGTATCGATGTGGCTACATTCGAAGAAACGACTTCACCGATCCCATTGTTCCTGCATTGGGTCTACCATCAGAGAACGAAGGACTCCCAGCTGACGCACAGCTCAAGGAAGCCATACAGAAGAAGAAACATGCACTGGTGCGAGGGGCTGACATCTCAGACGTCAATGTGCAATTGCCTAGTATTAGTCGAGAAGATCTGCCTCATTGTCCGCAATGTAAGAAGAACCTCCTTCGCCCTGGAGTGGTGTGGTTTGGGGAATCACTGCCGGGGGACGTCATGAGTGATGTGAGCGACTGGTTCCAACAGTCGGAACAGATTGATCTCATGCTGGTGATTGGAACCAGCTCCAAGGTCTACCCGGCGGCAGGTTACACGCAGCTGGCACGAGCCAAAGGCGCTCGGGTGGCTGTCGTCAACATGGACCGCGGTGACGCTCGGGAGCTGACGAAGCGTGACTGGTTCTTTGAGGGGGACGCAGCAACGATTGTGCCGGAGATTCTCAAGAGTGTAGTGGGCGAGATAGGCGAGTTTGACGAAACACAGATATCCATGACTTGAACGGCAGCCTGCAGTTACGAAAGATATGACAGCTGAGCTGCGGAGGAGGCCTGCCAGTAGACTGGAAGGCCGGTAGGGCCGTTGTGCCATCATGATGGGTCGAGACACAGTGCGAGCGGGCTCTCGCTGCATTTGATCAGAGTTACGGGGAAATATTGGACGGCATATAGTGAGACTTGTGTTACAGATGCATGTAATCGGGTGGCCTGAAGACGACAGAATGCTGGATCAATAGTAGGTCTGTTGATTGTGGCTGGTGGACACCTAGGAGAACCCTGTTGGGGGCGGTACGCCTTGGGAGCCTCCTTAGCCATCAGTAAAACCACCAGAACAGTGCCAGTATAGACGACCAACTGTCTCCTCTACGACTTGCTCGTAGCAAAAGAACCTCGAGAACTTCCACTGCACCGCTTATTTCGTCTTCCTCGTCTGTCAGCTTCTAGTTCTGCATCTTCTTCTCCCGTCCTTGCAGCTGAGATGCATCTGAGCCGTGTCCTGAACACCGTCCCTTCTTCGCAGCCAATCCTTGCTCGGGGCTGCCGTGCTGCTTGACGGTCTTCCATCGCCATCCGTCTTCCTGTCTCACGAATTGGTCCCTCTCCTTGCATAAGGCCGGCCACCCTTCAGCCCCGTCCGGTCGTGGCTCATGCTCTATCGCCAGGGTCAGACTTCGACTGCGGGTCGGGTGCTATTATGACTCTTTCATGGATCTCTAGCTCGAGGAAGAGTGCCTTGCATGTGCAGGGCGATAGCCGAGTCATGGCAAGCAGAAAGACCAACATTTTCTTCTAGAAGCTGTTGCCATGACCTATGTCCCTCTACCTTTTCGTTTTCGTACGGCCGTTGTCAGTAGGTGATACAGGAAGCACAGGACTATGAAGACTACATTGCCATCTTGATCAGGCTCCGGAGCCAGATTCTGACAAGCAATACTGTGACAGTAACCGGCCCAGCCACGCCACCGTGAGGATGTCGCAGAGAACATTTGTCGAACGGCTTCATGACCGGCTCGCTCTCAACGAGCACTCTCGACGACTCTCGCAGCAAAATACCCCCAGCTATGTTCATACGCCAGCTGGGAGTGCCGACTGCTCCCAGAGTTCGTTTGCTTTTGACTCTTCCCAGGGCGCAAAGGTGACAAGCTTGGATGATATTCAATCCGCTCAATCCAGCGACTGGCCGTCGGACGAGAAATACTACTCGCTATCCATCGACGGGCAGAACCTGCAATGTCCAACTCCAATACTGTGGAAGACTATCCTCCTTCCAACCGCCGTCATCATCTTCCCGATGGCAGCTCTTGTTGCGGGCTTGCTGGCTTTGATCTTGGGCTATCGAGTCAAGTCCGACAACAGTTTGTTTGTCGAGGTATCCAACGCGGAAGCCTTGGGAGACCATGCTGTTGTGCTGGTCAACTACTCAGCTACGAGGATCGTCTTTGTTGCCTCATGGGCATCAACACTTGCTCCCTTGCTTTCGGGATTTATCATGAGCTTGTCCGCCTTCCAACTTGCCCTGGCCATGTATCGTTCCTCTTCCGGGACCGACCAGCATGCGCTGCCGACGCCTTATCAATACAGTCTTCTGGTGGGTCTATGCTTGGCCTCGACAGGACGGTTGAGGAGATACTTTTCCTACTCAAGCAGCGATGGAGTCATCGTCCCTCCAATCCTCCGCCGGGCCGCTCGAACCCTGACTTTGTCTCTTGTCCTTGCCGTTGTCGTCTTCGGGGCCGACACTGCCCTGCATTACACCACCAGCACCATCAACTTCGACCGAATCTCTGTCTCGTCAGACGTGCACAACTACGGGCGTGGACTGTCGTCCGAGTGTCTGGCCCTTGACCGTTCAGCCAACTATGGCCTGCCATGCTCACGCAATGCAGAGCTCGCTGGAGAGGATTACGATGCCTATGTGGCCGGCCAAAACGAGGTCTTCTTCTTGCAACATGGAACATCCAATGAATCTGAGATCCGGCTCGTGCCCAATCCGACATCCCCCAAGGAGAATGTGGCTCTTCTTCTACCGCAGAGTGATCATCTTTCACCCTTTCGTGACTTCCAAACACAAACTGCAGGCGTGATCACCACCTGTGCGCCTATCAGCTCCGAGTGCCAATGGAAGTCATGGGGTCCTTCAGAAAGCTACAGCCAATTCAATTGTAGCAATGCATTCTGGGGCGTCTTGGGCAAAGCAGCAAACATAACCAACACAGGGGCCTTGATCAGCGACATAGACGTCCCACCGTTGGGATTCAAGCCAGGTGCTGCACTACAGTATGGCTTCTACATGGATGAAGATCTCAGCAAGCCGTATGACAGCCAGGGCAACTTGGGGCCGTTCATGACGGACAACGAGCTCATCAATCCCGTCTACCTGGGCATTGCGGGCCGGTTTGCCACGACGTCGCAACGGGCCGGCGTCAACATGTCCGCTGACCCAGGAATGTACAAGGGGCCGACTTCGACAATCGACTTCGTCCTGCGCTGCGAATATACCACGTACCTGGCCGACTACAGCCGGGTGAACTCGACAGCCAAGATCAACACGCTCACAAAATCACCGAACGGTACGCTGGCCGAGATATACCACGGCTATGACCTCGTCGGCAGTGTCAATGCATTTGACAACGAGCTCCAGGACATGATTCTACAAGCAGCACTGGCGTCTGATGCGGGCGAACTGGCCGCCACGTTTGCCAGTAGCTACTCAACGCGTGTCATGAGCGTCATCGGCCCGTTTCTGTCCAGGCGCGCCAACGTCCGCGAACAGACCCGAACGCCTTTACTCGTGGCCAAAGTCCCCAAAGCTCCGCTCGCCATCCTCGCCGCATGCTGTCTGGCTTATGTCTTGTTCGGGGTCACGGCCGCGGTTTGTGCCCACCGAGCGTTGAGTCGGGTTGACGTACGTGATCTGGCCTCCCAGTTCAGCCTGCCGGCATTGGGATTACATGCATTCCGCGACCACGCCACGGACCAGGCTGCTTGTGAGATCGATGGTGCCGGACATAGGCTGTTTGAAGAGTCCAATATCAAGACAGAGACGATGAGGGTTGCTGTCGAGGGCGGGCCGAGGTCTGGATACTCGTTGAAGAGTCTGGTTTGAAGAAAGCCACAATCAGCCGAGAGAGCCGAGCGCTGCAGGAGATGTTGACCAGCCCTTCCAGACCAACACTGACATCGTCAAAGGATGGTCTCGCAGGCGAGCCCTCTTATGGACCTTGTCTGCAGGATGATCTGATGCCCGTTAGTTGCAGAATTGCAAATATGTCAGTGCCTCAATGGGTGCGAAGAGAAGGTGTCACTTTCTTGAACCCCGGCACAGAGTCACAGACTCGCCATAGACCAAGAAAAAGATTAGATCAATAGATCAATCACCATTTCCCTCCGTACCTATGTATACGTCAAGCCACCTTACAAAATAAGTGGCGTCGCATAAATGATACAGGTGTCTACCTGGTAGGTAAGCAGTCCAGAGGGTTGATACAGTAGGCGTTCTCCTTCAACGTAGGTGTACCGCCTCCTAAATGTTTGATATGCCAGTGTGCAAGTCGGTCATGATTCATTGCCCACCTCGGACTCATGCCCGTCATGCTGCCATTTCTACTCCGTTTCGAGCAAAAGACCAGACTGGCTTTGTCTCTTGGGCCGTCCGAAGCAGTGATGGAAAGCAGATTGAATAAGTTCGTAGTGGTAGAAACAAGCAGTATAGAACCTAGATACCTATCTATCTATCTATATCATCTCAGCCTTGTCAACCAACTTACCTGCCAGAGGTAGCTGCCACGATTTACCCAGTATATAAACATAACATAGCTGCCCACTCCCCATGACTCCTGGCTGGCCAGTACAAGAAATCCATCGATGATGACTCTGTAACCTGTTTTCTCTATCCTCTACTCTTCTCTTCTCCTCTGCTCTTCTCTTGTCTTCTAGATCAAGATCAAAATCAAGCTCAATGCACCACAACTCTCTTCGTCCCCGTAAGAATCGGCACGCCCAGCGCCACCCGGTTCAGACCCTCCTTCTTGACCCCCAAAACGCCCATCCTTGCTGCAGCACCGAGGCCCAACATGACCTGGTCCCGCTCCCACAGGCCCGACCCATCAATGACTCTGAAACTCTGCTTGAGACAACGCTGTTCTGTTTGCCCTAGAGTTAAAATTCCAGCTGAGTCAAGCTGGTCATCACTGCCACCACCAGCAACACTGCCACCATCACCACTGGCAAGAACAGCAACAATATTCAACACAATCTCAAACGTCCTGGAGTCGGTGTTGAATATGATCTCTTCGCCGCGCTGTAGGCCGTTCACTAGATCCATGGTGACGAAACTGTCGAAGATGGTCAGATTGATTCCCGCGAGGACGGAGACTGGGTGGCCTGTTGATGTTTGAGTCACGAGCGTCACGGCGTCGTCGTATTGAGTGGGAAGAGTGGCGGATTGGGGAGGATTCTGATCTACTTCTGCATCTGCATCTGCATCTGCTCTGCCTTCATCTTCGTCGATCCCAGTTTTGGATTTGGCTTCGTTTTCGTCGCTCTCACTACTCGCCCCCGCCGCCGCCGCTGCTCCCGATCCAGGCGTATAGCAGCACACAGCTTGGATGTTGGCCGGACAACTGGCTTCGCAGTAGCATGGACAGTCGAGCAATGGACTCTGACCTGCACTGGGGATGTTGGGACGACCACCGACATTTGAACGAGGTTTCGGGTTCGGGTGAGGTTTCGCATTGTTGTCGAAAAGGGGTTTTTGATTGTTCTGGTTCTGACTTGGAGGAGGAGTAGTGTCATCACGCCAACCACTGTTCTTGTTGTTGTTGTCGTTGTTGCCATCCTCGGGATCAGGACCCGGTTTGGCAACTCCAGAACCAGGCGTGACGCAGCATATCGCCTGGATGTTCGGAGGACAGCTGGCTTCGCAGTGGCATGGACAGCCGAGCAGAGGTTGCGGGAGACCGAAGAGGTCGTGTCCGGTTCCAGCACCGCTGGTGGCTCCGCTGCTGGTGCCGTGGTTGGCCGGTGTTAGACTTGTCTGTTTTGGTGGCTCTGCTTGTACTTGTGCGTCTGCTTGTGAAGCAGGAGGCGTTGAACCACTACTTCCATCATCGGGAGCTGGTTTCGCTGCCCCGGAACCCGGTGTGACGCAGCAGATCGCTTGGATATTTGCAGGACAACTAGCTTCACAATGACATGGACATCCGAGCAGTGGTAGAGGTTGCGGCGAATCAGGCTCGCTGCCCTGGTCGTCGGCGGGATTTGGATCAATCTGTTCTGGCGGCTGTACTTTCGCTGGAGAGGTCGAGTTGCCGCCATCACCACCACCATCATCGGGAGCTGGTTTCCCTGCCCCAGAACCTGGCGTGACACAGCAGATCGCTTGGATGTTTGCAGGACAACTGGCTTCGCAGTGGCAGGGACATCCGAGCAATGGCAATGGCGGTGGTGGACCGAACGGGGCATTTCCTGGTGATGTCTCGCTACCTTGCTTCGGCGTCTTCCCTTCTGCCATGCAGGGAGACGAAGACGAACTGGTCTCGCTGACCGTACAGCAAATCGGGTCACAGCCAGGTGCACAGCTAAGACATCTCTCCGAGCAAAGTGCCTCTGGGGTTGCGGGTAGAAGACCGTTCAGCACGTCGGCCCATTTGTACATTTGGTCGAGAACATGCCCTGTTGCAGATGCAGCGCCGTTGCAGCCACTGGCACTGGCACTGGGGACAGGCTTCGGGTTCTGAGGGTAGTCACCGAGCAGAGAACGATATTTCTGGATCTGATCCAGATCGAGGGGCCCGCCACCCACGATGTTGGCAACGACGACGACTTGTTGAGTGGCATTGCCATTGCTGGCGGGATGTCTTTCTGCTAAGACAGATGTCGAGAAGATCAAAGCCGCCGTAGTGACCTTGAGGAGACTCGCTGGTCCCATTGTTGTTTCCTCCAAAGAATGTCCAATCTGCAAGACTCAGGAGTGGAATGCCAAAAAAAAATTGTATTATTGAGAAGGCTGAAGCGATGAAGGGGCGGACGAGAACTCTGAACACCTACCTACCTCGCTGATGGACATTGTTGGAGGCTTTATACTGAACGCCCTGGATTTCCATCTCGTCCATTGCCATCTGGTAGTAGTATACCGGCCAACCGAAAAGAAAACAAGCCTTGCGAAGACAGCGAAGCTTCAGACCGCTCCGGGACGCGGCACGCCTATCTGTGCATGACCGCAGTCCGCAGGAGACTCGAAAATGATTACCACCGGACCGGACAGGAGCTGAAAGTGATGAATGCTGGAGAGACAGACTTGTACACAACGGGCTGTGCTGAGGACATGGGGACACCGAATGCCGGTCTCTCCGCGAGACAGACCGCAGTTGCTGTCGGCGTTGTCGGTGAACAACTCTGTAGAAAAGAACGATGGCCCCGTAGCCCCTCCAGGGTTCAAGTCGTGGAAGTCGGGCGAATAACTCTCGTCCATGGCGCTCAGGTCGTAGTTCGTAAATGCTCGCAGAACCATAATTAGGGGGCCGGGTAAGGCGACCAGTACTAGTATACCGGGGATATGGTAGTCATCATCCAGATGTTGTAGCAGGGGATTTCGTGGCCTGCATGTCAATAGGTTCAGCTGTGCTCGGTCAACGTCGTAAAGGTCGACTCGATCACCCTGGGCCGGACCATGGGTTGGTATCAATTGGTTATACCGAGAATAAATCGGTGACAATGACATGCTCAGCCCGGTCGAAGTCGCTCAGGCCGGCTGTTTGCAGTGTGGTCGGGGGGTAGGGTTCAAGTTCAAGTTGGGGCCAAGGGGCTGGACTCAGCCGCCTTCAGGGGTTGACAGCCTTGCCAATCAGAATCCCGCCTGGTTGTTGCTGCGGAAAATAACACCATCAGAATCTTTTGAATTCGCTCGATGTTACGCTGTTGATCAGAACTCATCCAGGAGCCACGAACCTTACAATCGAAGAACGCCTTATCAGAACGCAATGGCCGGTTCGCTCGTGACTGGCCTCAAATGTAACAACGACGCGTGTGTGCTTCCTAACAGAGACGGTTAGTCATCGGAGAGCCATTCGTTCGTGGGTAGCTGCACTTCCCGTTTGAATCCAGTAAGTGGCCGCCAGAGATGAAAGAAGCGACAAGACCTCCTCCGAGTATGGCGGCGTCACGTCATGGGAGGCATCGACAGCCTCGGTCGGGTGAGTATGACATGCAGTAGTCAAGGAGCAATGGAAGCTCATGAAATTGAACAAGATCATCCCCTCGAAGGAACGGCATCTCTTCAAGGGGGCAACACCAACCACCAGCTTATATCTGGATATGCCCATAGACACCTGTGCTCTTGTCAGTTCAACGTGTTCATCTGTATATGCATACCTACCGAAGTTTCAGCAAAGATATGCAGGCGGAGGAGCATGGAGATCGGAGTCTATACGATGTGCGCAACATTAGAATCAAAATGGAACCAAGCACATCGCCGAACACTGGACCTGGCCGGACTGGCCTTGGGTTTGTTTGGAAATATGATATTCAGTGCTTGTTCGAATGAGCTTTTCCTGCTGGTTGAGAAACGCGTCTGCGCTGGCCTCGTCATCGCCGGCCTGCGATCGTTGCAGCATAGAAACCTGCCATGTGTGATATGCCGAGCTATCAGAAACCTCTCAGGTTTGTTGTTTGCCTGCCCCAGATCTCATTGCCATCGTTTCCCAAAACTCGCCAACTGTCGCATATCCCCATGGACGCGGATGAAAAACGCATTGCATCGAAGGTGAAGACATTTCGCATGCTCTTCTTCTGTACCACTGCCGTGTCGGCTCAATCCCATAAGCTAGATGATGGATTGTTCCGTTGTCGAGCATGATCGAGGCAGTGGATGTAAGGAGAGCTGTCATCTAGCCGACGGTGGCAGCTCGGATGAAGCGGTCCGAATTAGCACGCAAAAGTCTGCCGTTACGTAGACGGTGTGCCTTGTAGTATTGGGTCGCAGTGGTGCAATCCTCGTCCAGGATGGTTTCCTTGGATGTCAACGGAACCTCCCAGTTCTCTGCCTTGAGAGTGTTGCAAGATGTCCACATGGCCAAGCCAATGGTAAGGCAGAAAAAGCCAACCAAAGCGAAGAACGGCATATGCTGATCAATGAACTCGAGGCTCCGTGACGCTATAGCATGGCAAAGCGATCTTAATCCACCAGTGACGCTTGAGATCTTGCCGTGGTATTCTGTGGCTAAGGACATAAGTTCCTCAAGAAAGACTGCAAGATCGTTAGCATTTCTCCTGGGACTGAGCAGTTTGACTTACCATAGGTGGCCATCACACTGTATGAATACTTGCGAGGCGTCCAAAAGTAGAGCACCATAGTCAATGTTGCAAAGAATACCAAGAGTTTCAGATGGAGGTGTTCGGCGAATTGAGAGGGGATTGACAACATGGCAGAAATAGTGGTCAACACCGAGGATGCTTTCTCAACTTGGGCCAATGCTTGGTTGACTTTATCGAGCTTGCAAGAGACCCGTCCTGCAACAAGGCTGGCACTGTCGAGTTCTGATGCCAATGACGCTGTCGAACCTTTGATGTCTTCTCCTAGAACCAAGCTGGCTTTCTGAGCTTCAGTCAACTCCTTGCTGAGTGCCAGATGGCTTTCGACGCCTGTCAATTGAAGGGCTTGTGCAACGAGAACCTGATTCAACTGGGCCTTGACGCGTTGGAACAGCTCATTGAGATCCTGCTGCTGGTTAGCTTGTTTATTTTGGTCATGAGTAGTAAACTTACTTGAGCAATTTCGTTAGCCTGTAGCTCACTCAGAACCTCCGTGGTAGCCAGCGCAAGGGCATGAACGCTATGCATGTCTTTGGCCTGAGCCGCCGCAGCCTCGGCATGGTTCTTTGCAGTGGCTTCGATGATGTTGGCCAAGGAGCTTCGCAAGTTTCCAAAATCAGTCAAAACGTGTCCGAGAACCTGATATTGTCAGTCATGCCTTCACTTTTGTCTAATGAAGAAGCTCACCTCTTGTGTACGGCCGATATCTGAGCCGGTCTTTGCGACAGATTGTTGGAAGCCCCGAGAGACCTCATCCAAGCCTTCTTTAGCAACGTTCATGGCGCGACGCAACGCTCCCAGTTCAATCTTGTGCTGTTCCTTGAGTTCAACTTTGTATTTCTGCTGGAGCTGGTTCACGAGCCGAGCTTCTTCTTCTTGCTGCTTCATGAAACCTTGCCACTGAGACCGAGCTGACAGCAGAGCGTCACGAAACTCAGGAATGAGCTCAGCCAGCTTGCCGTAGGATCGAAGTGCTTCCAATCTTGTCGCCTCAAGTGATCCGGCTTGACACAAGGTGTTGGCATCTTGTCGGTTGTTGCTATAGCTTGTCCAGTAGTAATGTTCGCCCATAAGAGCTTCCAGACAGGTAGACAAAAGCTTGCCGCTGACGACCTCGATTCCCTGGTCAGAGCGGCGTGGAACAGACACGACAGACTCGCATGAGGCAGGAATCGCTGCGCGGCCTTCACCAGTCTCACAGACAGCAACTCTGACTGCGTAGACAGATTTGCCCCGCTCCAAGAGCTCATGCTTGCCCTGCTCTTCAGCGAGGTCTTTTCCAACAGCTTTGCAAGTGATCAGCAATTGAGCTGCGGCGGATTGATGACAGGTAGACCGAGTAGCGAGGTTGTCAATGACGACCATGGCCTTCTTGAGGACCGGGTCTTGGTTGGGGTCTCTGAAAGCGAGTAGATCGGTGAGGTTTGGCTGAAGGTCATCGTTGGCTTTACGCATGCCAATCCAGGCCAAATCGGCTACAGCAGTTAGAGCTGGCTCACAAGATCCTCGTAGAAGCTTACCTTTCAGGAATGACTTGGCTTGCGCAACGTCAGCAAGGAGGAGATTGACGAGGATGAGGAAGCTCAGAAGGGTCAGGACTCGAGAAGCCCCGGCGAAACCCATGTTGTCGATCTGAGGCCTCAGGCCGCTCAACTCGAAGGCGCAGAGAGCAACGATAAAGGATATGGTATCGCAGAGGACGGGATATGAATGAAAGCAAGCTGTAGCCGTAGGAGAGTTTCTCGAAGGCAGATCGACTCAACTCTTTGTGTAGAAAGAAGAAAGAAAGCAAGTTACCTTTTTGTAGAGACGGGAAGAGTATAAATGGTGGTGTAGCTGGTGAACAGGGAAGCGCAAGACCAGTTCCCGCAACTGAACGACATCACCGTCGACCTAGATCCGGAACCTCAAAGAACAGTGCGGATATAGAACTTACTGAGTGAGCGCAGGTGAGAGAAGCGCGGGTGACAAGATGGACGGGGGTTGAATAGGAACAGAGTCAAGTTGTGGCAGGAAGATTGTCAGTTGCGTCGCTGCAGAAGGAGAATTTGCAGCTTCATTCGTCGCATTTCACAATCTCAATTCCTCAATCACAACCGTCACCGCGTCTGTCACCCACTGGCATTGTGTTCCTTGATACTCCAATATCACCTAAGGTGATGAGCAGATTCACTGACAATGATTAGGAGCCGCCAAAGCTTTCCTCTGCAGCAGAAGATGTTGAGTTGAGCTCTCGTTCCTACTCGAGCCGCTTCGGATTCCTCCCTCGAATCCTCGATACCCTGCTGTGATTCTGCACGTTCAAGCTTGCATTTGCACTTCAACTCAGCATATACCCAGGGGTCCATCAGCGAGCCAGTCATTATGCGGGTGAGGCCCACCCGGCCACGAAGGACTGGGAGGGCTCAGAATGTTTCAAGAAGGCCCAAAAAGGTCCAAAAAGGCACAGGAGGACGACAACGTAACAATGGGAGTAGCATTGGACACGAACATGATTGCTGCGATCCAGGATGCCGCCGATGAGGAATTGTCTGCCTGTATGACTATTGACACGCCCGGGTCTCTCCAACTCCTGCCCTCCTCTGATGCTCAATCCTTCCCAGCGCTTGGTACTCTCTCGCTCAAAAAGATGCCACTCACAGGGGACGTGGACAAGGCTTTGAGGAGATCTGGACCAGGACAGTTTTTGCATTCTTCCCGTCCCACCTACATATGATCAGAATGTATGGCCGAACGCCCCCAAGCTCAGAGGTTCCTTGAACCACCAAACCATCTGAGAACGAGCGGCAGGAGGCAGGGTTCAGGATCACAACCCGGGTAGAGGAACGCAGGGGACATTGGAAAAGACTGCTGTATCAGAGTCGTTGGGAAGACTGTTCCTGCCTTGGAAGCTCCTTATCAACAACTGGTCCGCCAGGCCGCCATACCTGATATGACGCGACAGCTAGACCGCGCAGAGAACGACGAGTCAATCCCAACGATAGATGAAGAAGGCGCAAACCAACCCAGTCTCTCCCATTGCAATAAGAGTGAAGCAGGATTGGGCAGCAGACACGGGCAGGCATGGGTATGACCTCCAATAACTATGGCAGGTGTTTCTTCATCGCGCCTCTATACAAGGGTTGCTCATGCTTAAGCCCAGCGATACTCCCCGTTCCCTTTAAATCGCCTGGCTCATTGAAGATGCCGTGTACCGTGCGCGGCCAGTTATTTCTGACTACAAGGAGTTCAACGGAGTGATGACAGCTTCGTAGGAGATGGATATCTCGCTCCAAATCCCAGCCTTGCACGTGACTGTCTAAGCCAAACCGCATCGGGACAGCTGCGGACTTGAACAAATTGTTGTGCCGTACAAACTCCTTGACGAGGAGGATACAAGACCAGATTTGCGACTGGAGGGAAACGAGCGATCAGAATTGCGAGCAACATCGATCACCAGGCTCGAAGCCGATTTGGAAAGATCTCCAGCAAACTCGAACACAATCCCTCCTCCTCAACATGGCCTGTACCGGCCTACAACCCTCTCTGCGCCAGCTCGTCCGCGATGCAGGCCGCACACGAGAAGTGCCATCGTTCCTCGTCCCAGCTTTCTCACAGCGCGTGGCTTGCAGACACAATTCGACAGCCGTCCAAGCTCCCCAGTCGCGAATCGGTCGAACGCCGGTCACCATTCCGCCGGAGGTGTCGTTACGATTTTATGATTTACCCAAATTCAATGCGCGGAGTAGGAATCCAGACACAGCCACCAGTGCGCTGGAGGTCAAGGGCCCATTAGGTATGAAGCGACTGCAAGACGCTGGAGGAAACAATAGCTGATGGAGGATAGGACAACTGACCGTGCCGATCCCACCGTATTTGAAAGCCGAACACGACGAATTCGCCGGCAAACTCAACATTAGCGTCAATGATGCGGCAGAGAAGCACCAGCGATCAATGTGGGGTGAGTCTACACACAATACACAATACCCACTTAGGTGTTGGACGACCTCTGTCGAGCGAGCCGTTACTGACGCTGTTTTTCTCGACTACAGGCACCATGCGCGCTCTAGTACAAAACTCCGTGTCAGGAGTCTCGGAGGGCCACCTCTGCATCTTGCGTCTCGTGGGCGTGGGATACCGTGCGACCGTCGAGGACTCGGCCACCACGAAGAGACCTACATACCCGGGTCAGAAGTTTGTCAACTTGAAGCTGGGATATGCGCATCCGGTCGAGATGCCAGTGCCGAAGGGAGTCAAGGCCAGCGTGCCGCAACCGACGCGGATCCTGCTGGAGGGCTGTGATAAGCAGGCCATTATGCAGTTCGCGGCCGAGATTCGCCGATGGAGGAAGCCGGAGCCGTATAAGGGCAAGGGAATCTTTGTCAATGACGAGACGATACGGCTGAAGGCCAAGAAGATCAAATAGTGAAATCAATCGCCGGCGGGGAAACCCATGGGTGCAGAAACATCATAGTGGTCTTGTTTGTGGGCTTCGGCTGTGTATCAATCATCAGTCGATGGTAAATCTATATCCTGTCATAACCCTGTTATCCTCGCTGTCGAACTTTTGCCCGTTCCCAATCCACACCTTTGACTGCCGAGTCTTCTCGTACGGTCCCCTGCTAGTAGCTTCAACATCCTTTGGCCGTCTATTTGCTGTTCAAGACCTCCTGGACCGCTTTAAGGACCTGGGCATGGACATTTGCCGGCGCGGCAATGACGCCCTTGTTCTCCGTCAGCGTCCTGCCCAGGCCAAAGTTGAGTCTGTTGCCCGCGACATCAGTGACCTGGCCACCGGCCTCGCGCACGATCAGATCGCCAGCGGCATGGTCCCAGATTTTCTCAATGTAGTCCTTGCGCACGGGTAGACGAAGATAGAGGTCGCCGGCGCCGCGAGCCACGGAGCCATATTTGGCCTGACTGTCCATCTGGACGGGTTTGCGCGTGATGCCGAGCTTCTCGGCAATGAGAGCGTTGTCGCCCTTGGAGCTGTGGCCGGGCTCAACGCTCTCGCACATGACGGCCTCGCTGACATCGGAGATCTTGCTGACGTGGATCGGCCGCACCCCAGTGCTGTCGGTGCTGGCTCCACGACGCGTGAGCGGCTGCGACGTCGCGCCCTGGCCCAGCACGGCGGAAAACAATACACCTTTCCCTTCAGCGTCGCTGGCGGCCGCGCCCATGTCTTCGGTCAACGGCTCGCGGTCGTCGATGGGCAGATTCGGACACCCCAGCACGCCGACTTTGACGTCCCCGTCCACAATCAGCGCCAGACACACGGCGTACTGCCCGCCGCGGAGGAAGCCTTTGGTGCCGTCGATGGGGTCGAGAGCCCAAATGCGTCCCTTGTTCCCGCCAGCGCTGTTGCCCATGTCGATGATGTCGAGCATTTCGGCCTCCGACCGGATCGGCCCGCCGAGCAGGGCGTCGCTTTCCGGGTCGTCGAGTTTCACATCCTTGACTAGATTCCAGATCGTGGACGAGAGATCCTTCTGCTCGCGCAGCGACGATGCTTCTTCCTCGCCCACCACTTCGTCCGAGGGGAAGTTGTGCTTAATCGCGGCGATGATGAGTGCTTGCGCGCCAAAGTCGCCGATCGTCACGGGCGACTTGTCGTCTTTGGATACTGTTCCTTTCGCTTTTTCATGGAACACCGCTTTGGTGAGGATTGCGGCGCGCGCAACCGCTAGCTGCGCTACTTGAAGTTCTTTTTCGTACGCCATGTTGGGAATGAGTTGCTGGTGGATAGGGGCGACGAAGTTGTGGCTGTTCAGGTTGGGAGGACTGGATGCTACAGATCTGATGCCAAGGCCGGAGATGATGCTGCCAGTGGTGGGGTGGAAATGCGAGAGGAGCCCAGCAAGTCGAGGCAAGGTTGACGACGGCGGGCGAAGACTGGGGAGAGCGGCCAGGATGATGGCGATGATCACGATGCTGATTGTGCAGAAGAGTCCAAATAAGAGACTGCGGCGGCCGAGGTCGTTGGAACTGCGCAGGGCGGCTTTCATCAAGTTGAGGCTTCCAAGTTACGACGGCTTGAACTCACCGCCTGTGCGTGTCAAGAGTAGACACAAAAAGAATAATGGGGCGGTTGAGTTGGAGTCCGAAGAGTCGACTCCCTCTGCAATCCCAGTCCAGATCCATATGCTACATGTATCAGAGACCTGACCTGCCAAGCTTACAGAGTCCAAGTCCACTGCAGTACCAGTTGGGCTGCAATCGACGACCGGTTTCTTCCACCATCGCGGTGAACAGAGAACACCTACCTGAGAATGTCTATGCCACTTGGGCCTGTAGGAGACACTGGATAACGTTTATGAGAGAAACAACCTTTATCTGAGGATGCCACCATTCCTATTCAATTCCTGCTGCTGCTGGACCTATAGAGCACTAACTCTGTAGAGGACTGTTGGTGATCACGCCATCCCCAGAACAAGTCCATAGCCATGCGGCCGTCGACAGTCCGGGGCTTGTTAGGGACCTATTCTATAAACAGATCAAGAGAGACGATCCTACCTGTCTGTGTATGCCTTGGTCTTCATCCAGACTGGGCCGAATGCCGACTGAATGGGATGCCACTGCAGTTCGAACCAGGGATCACCTAGTTGCTGGTCGTTGTCGCTTGGCCCCTACTCAGTGTGACCCTTGTGTTTACAGGAGAAGACGGTCCAGTATCGAAACTACAGCGTTAGCCCACGGTCAACGTGTTCCTTTGACGTTGCGAAAGGAAGCAGGGTCTCCCTTCTACTGGAGCCATGAATGCTGAGAGAAGCAGAGTAGACAACCTTGCAGTTTGCCTCAATCAATCAGCTTATCCTTCCACACTGACCAGGCAGAATCATATTCGCGGGACTGCTGCTCCCTGGTACCGGAGATTAGACTTCCGTCAGGCTCTTGTTCTGACCGCTTGGACTCTTGTATCAAGTGGATGACAGTGTTGGCCGGCAGTGGTTGTTCGTCCGCATGGGCATGCGGTCTTCAGCTCTTCAAGATGCATCGGTCGCCAAACAGCATCGCACCTCCCGAACATAAAGGGTCACGGCAGCAGGATTCTCGGGCGTGTACTGTCATTGTGCTCCCCATCTGTCCTTCTGCGGGATGGAAATAGCATTGAGGAGCTGGAGGGTGCCGCAGGAAGAGGCAGAGACACCCCTCATTGAAGCTCAGTGAAATGAGCCAACTTTCGAAGTACAGGATGGCCGCGCAAGACCCAGATTGGAGCGTCCAAGATAAGGCACGAGTTGCTTCCTGGCATGCGGTGCCGGGAATGGGTTCGCGAGACGAGATTTGAGGTCAATTCCGACGGGGGATGGCGATTTGACCGGGGAGGGATTCCAAGCTGGATCGTGACCAGTATGGAGGCGGCCTACAGTAGGTATTCAAGGAAGTGATAAACTCAACAGAGCAGTACCACACTCGCGCAGGCGACGGTTCGCGTTGCCGTTTCTCGAAAACAAACCTTGAAGCGGGAGAACATGAACATGAAGTGACAAAAGGGCGGGCGTCTTGGACGTTTGACAGGTGACTTGCAGGCTTCTTAGGCTGCCTCTGTAGAACCAACCTATAACCGTAGCCTTAGGAGGCACCCATCGACAGGGAAGGCGGACTAACCCTTCTAGTCGCTGGCGGCGTTGCTTGTCCGTAACCTGTCTCTTGACTGCCCGCCCCGTCCAACTGCGACGCATCTCGTTCCCGTTTCGATGATCTGAATACTCTGCACGCCCCAGACTACCTGTCCACCTCCGCGTCCCTCTGGTATACATAGGGCCTTGACAGCCATGTTTTCCGCTTCAGTAAGTCCTCCGTCTTTTTCTGCTCGCCCGTCTCTGCCCTGCCTGGGCGCATCTCGCTCGCCTGAGACCCCAATTCATCTACCCCGCCATATCATACTCCAATGAAGCCTACTATGGCTTTGTTCCTGCTGCACGCCCCAGCTTGTGCTCCTGATGCGTGTTTCGTCGACCTACCTAGACAGGAGACGCAAGAGGCGGCATACACATATGAGCTAGACTCTCTGCTACATTCGCAGCAGTCGGAGGAGTGTGACTGTTGTCGCAGGAAGAAACGCCGGAGGTCGTTCGATGCCTTGCCGAAAGATCCTCCTCCAGCTGTTCTTTCCCGGAGGCCTCCTCCTCCCCAGCTGCGCGGCTGCAAGCGCTTGGTTACTGCTCTGTTACACTTTGCTTGTTGTGCTCGCTCGCGCAGAAGATATCAGTTGTTGACACGTTATCGTTACTACAAACAGAAGAAGCCGTTCTCCGCGATCTCGGTCCATGTCGAACAATTGACCTCCGAAACCTACGACGAAGATGATCTCGCCGGTGTCCCTGACCTCCTCGAAGTGGTCAAGTTGCAGGCGACTGGTTCGCAAGAGGTTGCTCGGGCATTGAGAAAGAAACTGAAGTATGGCAATGTACATCGGCAACTCAGGGCCCTGACAATCCTTGATGGCCTTATACAAAATGGCGGGTCTAGAGTGCAACGGGCGCTCTTGTCTGATGGTCCCTTGCTGGAACGACTTCGGATAGCGGCTGCAGACCCAACATCTGACCCCGACGTTCGAGCCAAATGCAAGGTTCTTTTTAGCCAGTGGATGGCCAGTTCGAAGGACAACCCTGGCCTCGAAGGAGCCAAGTCCCTGTACAATCAACTGCCAAAGACCCACAAGCCGGTCCAGCAGAGGCGCGAACAAAGCAGAGTTCTTCGAGAAACGGAGGAAGATGTACAGCGCGAGCAGGAGAGTGAGATGGCCAGGACTAGATCTGACAGCTTTCAAAGAGTTGGCGAGCCTTCTAGTCCCACGCTCCTGCGCAAGCAGACTTCACCGGTCGCACTCGGGCAGTCCTCGACGTTTGCGCCCAAGAAGGTGAAGAAGGACAAGAAAGGCAAGGTGAAGGGATTCGACCTGGAGCGCGAAAAGCCCGCCATCTTGCAGTCGATTGCAGCTTCGTCGGTCGCATCCACGGGCCTGACCAACGCCTTGAGACTGGTCAATCGAGAATCGGAGCGAGTATCTGACAATCCTGAAGTGATGAAACGATTTGAGACGTGTAAACAACTGCGGCGCCAAATACTACGGTACATTCAATTTGTCGAGACGGAAGAGTTCCTTGGCGGTCTGATCCATGCCAACGAGGAACTGGTCAATGCTTTGATGGCCTTTGAAGTCCTGGACAAGTCGGTGGACGACGATTCGGACAGTGAGATGGAAGAAGCGCAGCATCTGAGCAGACAAGCAGCCAGAGGTGAGCATGCTGGTACCCGGGATGCGGAGAGGATGGTGGCAGGTCTGAGTATTTCAAGCCCACCCAAGCCTCCGCGGCCTGGTCCAGGGCACATTGCCATGCCTCCGCCTCGACCAGCAACAAATTGGAGGAATCAACGTGTTGAGAGTGAGAGCGACAACGATAGTGATGTGGACGATGACGACGACGACCCCGACGATCCATTCGGTGACAAGAATGCAATGAAGACACCTGATCCGGACGCTTTGGGTCGAAAGGGATACCCCTGGCGAGAAGTGTAGGGCAGGGAGCAGGGAGCTGGGCAATTGGCAACCAGGGCAAATCAGGACGACCAGGGTATCTGGGAATGGCTCCGGTCTTGATGGCCGAGGGAGTTGCCAGTGTGTCGACGCTTATACAGCAAGCAGAGACACGCTCTGCGGTCATGAAGCTATGAATCTTTGATGTATTCCCCAAGGGCACAGGCGATTGGCCGATTCCAAGTATGATCTAGGCTCTATAGGCGGCATAAGATCTTGAGCCGGCAATTGATTCAAGCAGTGAGCGACTTCGTATTCAACCCCACATCTCATCTTGGTACTATCACTAGACTCAGACTCAAGCTTGCCTCATTTTCTCTACATTGTCCCGCGCGAGCATTTCTGCAGACTTAGCAGCCATCTCCCCTTGAGATCCTTTCGAGCATTTCCCACCATGAGTTCGCGCGACAACTATACCTTCGCCAACCACTCGTCCATCCCAGCCAACCTCGGACCGAAGCTCTCAGCGTTTATCCGCTCCTGGGACGACACGCACTCACAGGAAAACAGATATCTCAGCCTCTCCGCTCCGGACGGAGAACTGGTTTTTGGGCCCACGTCAGCCAAAGGGCGCGATGCCATCCGCGCATTGAGAGACGCCATGATTCATCCGACGAACGGCCCCGTCGTCAACCTCCAACACACGCTGGGAAAGTGTTTCGTGCTCGCTGGCGGAGGTGCTGAGCATGAGGGACGACAGGAGATCATTGTCAACGGGTCGATCTGGTACGAGCTGAAGAACGGACGTCGCGTGTATGCGGATTTTGCCAGCTTCATGGTCTTTGTGGACACCGGGCACGGAGAGCTTCAGGCCGCATTCTACGAGGTGTATCTTGACTCGTTGGGGTGGATGACTGCGATCAAGGAGATGGATGAGTAAGAGTGGGTAGATACATAGGTAGGTAGCGACTGCCAGTGCGGGGAATGCACTCGGCTTACTAGCAGTTCGCTCTTGCCCCGGTTTATGGGGTAATCGTGCATATTTACGTTTTGCCTGATTAAATTTGGTGCGCCCCACGACCGCCCGTTATATATCCTGTTCGTGGTTATCTTGCGTTCCATTTTCTTCTCTCTTCAGCATACTCTTTTCATTCTACCCTCTTCTACATGCTCTCTTCAGCATACATTATGTCGCATGAGTAAGCACCCTCCTCAACATGATGAAAGAATTGTTTGAGCTAACCGAGTCTACCAGTACACAGTACACCTCTCCGGGCGCCTCGGACGCCCCTACCCCTCTTGGGCTAAGGTTGGGTGCCATAACAGATGGCTGTCATCTGGTCATCTCAGAAACACCCCGGTGAGATGACCGCCATCTGTCATGACCCATCCTTAAGCCTTCCTCCTCCCCAGCCGCTGGTAAGGGATCCGTCTGGGGCGACCCCGCCATGAAGACGGTGGTGATCTCGTCGGTGCTGGGCGTGGCCCTCACCGTGGTGACCTAGGCGGTCACCGTGTACAGGTGGCGGCGGAAGCGCCGTCTGGCCCGTCGTGGCCTAATGGAGAGACCCAAGGCGTCGGTGCCGGTGGAGTCGGCGCCTGCCTTGGGAGACCTCGAGGCTGGGGCGGCCTCGGCGGCACCCGCCATAGAGTTGAGGAGTGAGTTACTCAAGCTTCAGAATCAAGTCCACCCCGTTGCTAACTACTATTTACAGGCTGGTTCTTTTCGCGCGCTTAATGCGTGGTTCCGCTCGTTTCGCCTATCGATAACCCCCACCATCCTTCCACTATTCTTAAGCCGACCTGGTCCCTGCCTCCCCATGGCGTCGGTGGAAACTTGGGGGCGATCCCCCCAAGGCTAAAGGGACCAGATATCAGCAAAAGAGGACAACGTTCGAAACGATGCAACCAGCGGGCACCTCCGGGCTATTTGCGCACCTCTATGTCGAGACCACGAGGCAACCAGCTCTTATTGACGCGAAACTTTGGAGCTATTGACTGTACCGAACGGGTTGACAGCGAGTCGCGCAAATTCACTTCTGTACCATAGGGCTTGACCTGGTACCAGCTCTCGACTCGGACAAGGACCATTTACTAGTTGGAATCAGTCCAAGAAAGTTTGTCGATCTGGAAAACTTTGAATGAACACTGAGGACCTTGGGGTTCAAGGCGGGTTCCATCCAACACCGGCAGCCGTCATAAATAGCCTCATCATCTACCGCTCATCTTCCATTCCTCGCCTTCTCATCCTCCTCGACCTTCGACATTTCCTTCTCAACCAAACGCCATTCCACCGTCGGCACCATCCTACCTCAGTCTCACCGATCCGCAGCATTTCGAGCGACCATGAGATCCTTCCTGTTGAGTTCCATCTTGACTAGCTGTGCTCTACTTCATCCAATATCGGCAAGCCCCGTGGATATCAGAGCAGATTCAATCAACTTGTGCAACAAGAACTACCATCCAGACTTTAATTGCACAAAAGGCCTTCTCTGCCAAAGCGACTGGCCCTCTGAGATCGGGAATTATGGATCAATCGATCGTAGGGCCAGGAGTATCAACCGGACTGGACAATCCGCAATAACATTTCAAATGAGCCTGCCAGGAGACATTGCTACAGCAGCCGAAGACGGGACGAATAACGAAACCACGACCACCTTGCTTCATACTCTCCAAGAACGAAGTCCCGCGGAGGCGTGTTGCCGCCCAACGGTGGAATATTTCGAATTCTGGGGCACAATCAAGCTCAAAGGCTTCGCATATCCCACTCGACTCCTGATTGACGGTTTGGAGGTTTGGAAAAGGGCAGAATGGTGTTTGCAAGACTTTCTTACGCCCAAGGCATGGTGTTCTCATCCTCCAGCACGGGAAAGAGCTTTTACTTGGCAAGAACCACCCAAGTGCGCAAGGTTTGGTTAGCATGTCTTCATGCAGGACCACTGGCACACAGGACAGGCAGCTGGGTGGAGCGCATCGGGAGACAAAGGCAGGGGGGTACTTGGGGTAAATCTTCCGATGACTTTCAACAACGTACCCTGAGTAATGATGGTGGAAAGGCACGGGAGGAAGTCGGAAGGATCGAAATCATCTGGAACTACGCTGAAGAGCGGCCAAATGCTAGTGGATATGGATGGATGAGATAGGTGGTGCAAGGATACTTGGGGATATTCGGCTCTTGTATTCCATCGATATTGGGACCGCATCAGTGAAGAGATGCTGATCTAGAGAGTGGAACATGCGATGAGAGACCAAATCTGATACGAATTGCTTTTATTGGCTTCGACTGGCAGAATTCTGGCGGTGACGCACTGTGACAGGCAGCGCAGTCTCATCTCCAACATCGTCCCCCTCCTCTCACTCATCATTGATGATTATTGCATTTCGTAGCCTTCCCGCATACAAAGAATTTGACCTCACAATGCCTGACATTCGATGCCTCCAGAGTCTCAGCAGTACAACGATTCCCCGACCGCGTTCCCCTTCACAATTCCCGCAAAGAACCTCGCCAAATCAAACATGACCGCCGCAAAAAGAGACTCTAGACTTATTATGACATGGACGTTTCCGCTACAGAGATTGAGGTTGCTAGTTTCACCAACTGCCACCATGTTATTGGCTGACCAGCGCAGGCACTGCGAGTGGCATACTGTCCTCCCCTAGACGACGCCCTGTTCTACGGTATTGTTTCCGATTATGACCTCCCTCGGGACCGCGACGCCTTGACCGGAGTGCTCGATAGTCTAAAGGCTGGCGCGATTGAACAAGAAAATGCAGAATTCGATCCCTCCGGTACGGGTGGCTCTCAATATGTTAGGGACACTACGGATACCACCAGATCGAGCCCCGAAGATACAGTGTCCAATGGCGTCACCAGCATAACAACAGGCCTCTCTGACCTACGATGGCAGAACTCAGACAGCCTAGGCCATGATTTGGATGGTTCTACGATCGAACAAAAAACGATATGGCTTCAACGTTTGTTTCCCGATATACCGAAGCGTGAGCTAGGTGACGTTTTGGAGAGTCATGAAGGTTCTCTGGATAAAGCCACGGACGAGTTGCTTAACCTGTCGTTCCTCAGACAAGAAGACGAGGAACAGCCCGCGGAAGATGTCTCGGTCTTGAAAGGAATTGAGGCATTTGCGGAGGAGGTACACTTGAACCGCAAAGGCAGGAAGAAGCGGAAAACACGGACAGGCGAATCTTCACGAGCAAGCTCTGCTTCTTCCAAGCAGGACCCAACACCATCGAACGTGTGGTCTACCATGTCTGATGATGTCGACTTCATTTGCTCGCGGACAGCCCTTCCACCTCAGACAGTGAGATCAGTGTACCATGCCAACGGGGCTCGCCTAGGACCGACCATTCGCGCTCTGGCAAAGAAAGAGGGTTCGGTTTACGATACACTCGAAGAGGTTGACCCCGTCCTAGAGCTTCAGGTTTGTGAGTTTCAGACAGAATTCGAGGAAGTGCCGAAATCTCAGATATACGGTCTCTTGAGTCTGACTCGGAATATTCCATCTGCTGCGCATGAGCTTCTGAAGGCCATGACTGCATCTACAGAGACACATCCTCCTGGAACACTACAGGTGGCTCCTCAATATGCGCCGCCTAACTTGAAGGAGAACACACCGTTGTCGACTTCCGCATCATCGCCTTGGACCACTGCAGATGATGTTGGTGGCCGAGCAACCGCGTCGTCCTACAGACTTGCAGCTGGCCAGAGCTTTGAACAAGCTTCTGCTGCCTACAGAAAAAGCAAGTCCGATCGTCTCTATGGGGGTGTGGCAGCATACCATTCCGAGGTTGGTCGCGAACGAGCCCGGGCGGCCAAAGCGCTCCAAGCAGCTGAAGCGGATGCGCTCGTGTCAAGACAATCATCCTCGACGGTGCTCGATCTTCATGGAGTAAGTGTACAGGATGCTGTCCGCATCGCCGCCAGCAGAACGCAGGCATGGTGGGATGGTCTGGGCGACGCCAAATATGCCCCAGGCGGTGGCGGTCCTGTCAGAGCCGGTTTTCGGATTGTGACTGGAGTTGGCAGTCACAGCAAAAATCATGCACCGAGGATAGGGCCTGCAGTCAGCAGGATGCTCATCCGCGAAGGATGGAAAGTGGAAATTGGACACGGAGAATTGATTGTGAGGGGGAAGAATCGACGATGAGTTGATCTATACCTTTGACAGGACGCAAGCTGTAAGAGTCATGTAGCCAGAAGTGGCATCTTGGTGTACTAGATACAAGCTAGAGCTTGGTATTAATGTTGTCGTGCTTCACAACTTGAATGGACAATTCCAAATCTCTCAGCCTCGTCCCTGAGTGATTCTGGAATCAATTCTCCACTTATCAGGTTCTGCCCAATCATCACGACCTACGGTCTTCGACGATGTCATCATATGCGGCGTCGAGTTGGAGAGGCGCAGGCTGATGAGGCGACGCTTATGATATCTACTGTGATTGCATCTCATCAACCTTCGCTTCATTCATAGCCTCCTCACTGACACCGAGTATATTTAATCGTCGCCTCATATGCGTTTCCCGTCCTTTTCCAACTTCGTCCGCACCCTCTACACATTCGGCAACGCGACAGCACGACTCCAATCACTGTCGCGGGGTAACTCCAGCATTGCCCCCGTCCACCGCGCCATCATCTTGAAATCTATGCCATCAATCCCTTTCCTGGGTTCGTTGTTTGGCACATCTACCTCCGCTTCTCAAAAGATGTCGTTCCCAGAGTCTAAATCCGACGATGAATGGAGGACAGTGTTGAACAAAGGTACCATCAGAATCCCTGCTTTCCGCCTCGGAAGCACGAAGTTATATACTGACTCGGGTTTACTTCCTTGTATACTGACTCGGTTTTACTATCTTAGAGCAGTTCCGCATCCTGCGCGAAAAGGGCACCGAAGCCCCCTTCACCGGCAAATATGACAAACACTACCCCTCCGAGGGCGTTTATACATGCGCCGGCTGCAATGCACCGCTTTACAAGGCCAACCACAAATTCAAATCGGGCTGTGGCTGGCCCGCGTACTTTGACAGCCTTCCAGGTGCTGTAACGCGACACACAGACAGGACTTTTGGTATGGAGAGGACGGAGATTGTTTGTTCGAATTGCGGAGGTCATTTGGGCCATGTCTTCAAGGGCGAGGGCTATCCTACACCGACCGACGAGCGACATTGTGTCAACAGTATCAGTCTGAAGTTCCATGACAAGGAGGATGCCGCTGCGGGAAACGGCGAGGCGAAATAACAAGGAACTCGAGTGTTCGGAGTAAAATATGATATGATGAAAATGTACAACTAGCTTAGTACCTGCGAATGGTCCTGTTGTGAACCATGGGGAGAACAATGCCTCTTTTCGTTCCCACTTCTCTTCGACTTGCAACTCCCCGTTCTGATAGAGTATGGTCGACTTGAGCTATCCTCGAATTATCCTCCTGTCACGTCCAACGCGCTTTGTGGTCGCAGGCAAGCTGAAGTTGTACTCGAATACTGTGCGAGGAACAGGGTCCAGAGGTAGAGATTACCTTAGGCATGCAATCCAAGACGCTTCACGTTCTTCTGCAGTAAGCATGTACCTAGACTTGGGTAGACAGAAACGTAGAGCAGCCGAGTCGAAGTTCTGCGATGGTTTGTGGCTGGCTTATTACATAGCCACTGGCAGCCGAGCTCCAACTCCGAGCAATGAGGATACAAGCTGCCTAGTACGGCGCCACGCCAAGCCAGCCCGGCCTCCAGTTCGGCCTCAGGTTCAAGCTGCCTCCGCTGTCAGTGACCGACTCGGACTCCAAGCCTGAGTTGGCCGTTAAATTGACTGACGTCTGTGAATACCGTGTTCCAAACATTCCGTTATCAACCACTGCACCTCAAGTCACCCGCTTCTTGATCTTTGATATCTCACTCGGAAGGGAGGTCTAATCTCAAGTCTCACTTCTTCACCTCCTGCACCCCCCTGCGTTTCTAAAGAACCTCACCACTCGAAGTCCGCGGTCCGTCACATTCGATGTCGCGCCGGCCTCCTCCCGAGAGGGCGGCTCAGAATGCACAAACCCTGAAGGCTCTGGTCAAACTTGAAGGAAACAAAGTCTGTGCCGATTGCAAGAGAAACAAACATCCACGATGGGCGAGTTGGAACCTGGGCGTCTTCATCTGCATCCGGTGCTCAGGCATCCACCGTGGAATGGGCACCCACATCAGTCGGGTCAAGTCGGTCGATCTCGATGCTTGGACAGATGAACAACTCCAGAGCATACTGAAATGGGGCAACTCACGGGCGAACAAATACTGGGAGGCGAAGCTGGCGCCTGGCCATGTGCCGTCCGAGGCTAAGATCGAGAACTTTATACGCACCAAGTATGAGACTAAGAGATGGGTAATGGACGGTCCTATGCCAGATCCGTCGACCTTGGACGAGAACGGGGACGATGACATGCCTCTCAACATTGTTCAAGAGAAAGCCAAAATCGAGAGATCAGCTTCACAGCGACAAGCACAGACCCAGCCGCCGCCACCGCCTCGTCCAGCAGCGAACATGAACCTCTTTGACGATTTCGCGCCTTCTCCTCCAGTCCGACCAGCCACGGCAGATATCCCTGAAAAGAGGCCGACCAAAACTGGTCCTCCAGCACCAGCACCAGCACCTCGAGCGGCGCCGAAACCACAGGACTCGCTTCTCGGACTGGACTTCTTTGGGAATTCATCTGGCCGTCCGTCAAGTGCGGCATCCAACCCCACACAGTCCACAAACCCCAGGGGTGATCTGAAGAGCTCGATCCTGTCGTTATATGCAAGTGCGCCGAAACCTCAACCAGCTGCTCAACCTCAACATAACCGCGAACCATCATTTGGTGGAACGACATCTCCGCCGGCCAGACCAGACGCTTTCGGAGGGTTGGCTGATGCTTTTGGCGGAATGAGCTTTACCGACACCAGCACGCCGAAACCCACACCACCTATGCAATCTTCCTCTGCATTTTCGGCTTTCGGCGGTCTGACAAACCCAGTCCCTGCAAAGGCGACCCCGTCGGCGCCACAAGTCACTTCTCCGCCTCCTTTGAGTGGTGGTGGCTTTTTCGATAGCATACCGTCGAAGCCCGTGGCCCCCAAGCCCACTATCACCTCACCAGCATCTTCTAACGGGTTGGATTTCTCTTTTACACAAAATGCTACTTCCCCTCAACCTGCACCAGCGCAAGCGACATTACCAGCTTCGACAACAAGAATTCCGGTCGACATGTTTGCATCTGAGGACTTTGGCGGCTTTGCCAGTTCTGTACCTGCCTCGCCGCCTAAGCCAGCGTCACTCAAGATGACTGCCCCTGCAATCATTTCTGCAAGCACCCAATCTCCTTTTAACTTGTCTTCGCAGCCGACACCCGCGCCCGCGCTCGCACACAAACCAGCGAACCAACCCTTCAAAGCTCCGGCAGTCCCTCCAAGCAGTGCACCCATATTTGATCCATGGGGTTCCGGTACTGATAGCAGCCCATGGGGAGCACCAGAACCTGCACCGGCAAAACCAGCCGCACCCAAGGTCGAACTAGGGAGACCGCCAGCTCACATCACGCCCAATGACATCTCTGGAGGATGGGCGGAACCCATCTCATCTGTAGCCAGCAAGCCTGTCCAGCAACCAACGGTGACGGCAGACGAGGACTTTGGAGGATGGACATCTGCACAGTCGCCAGGGGCAGGACCACCACCGCCAAAGGGGACTAGTGGTGGCTTTGGAGGTGCGGCAGATCCATTTGACAATCCGTGGGGTTGAACCTGTGTGTGTGTGTGATGGTCATGGGCATGGGCATTCTCGCAGGAAGAAATAACGATAGCTGTAGACGAAACGAGGTATGGTGCGTAGCATGAGCATGATTGGCAAATGGAAGATAGAAAAAGGTCTCTGTCTCGATCGTCCCAGACAGTCGGCATTGACCCAAGAGGATTTTGACACAATGCCACGATCCTGGAGTCAATCTTGAAGTGGCTCTTGTGTAGTTCGTAGTTGCGAAATGTCGGCGATGCCATTTGACCAGCAGCTCGTGTGGAGATCCGACGCCACCACGTAAAACCGGGCGCTTGCTTGTTGGAAGGACAAGCAAGGGTTTGGGGGCGTCCAACAGGGATCCTGACCGCCGGAGTCGACAGGCACCACTGTATTGGTGGTAACAGCGCCGCCGACTGAACTTCCATCCTGCACTGCAGCACATCACCACGAGCCTGATTTAGCCCTGACTCCCTTGACACAAAAGGAACGGACCTGCTGGAGGGCATGGCACAGGCACACATTCTGTCTTCACCCGTCGCCGCCAGTTCCGTCATTTTGTCCTCCAGCCACGATTAGCTCTTCAAACCCTCCTGGCTTGCGATCTTCGGCCCACTGCCAAATCCGATGATTACAAGAGTCTCCCCCAGAGCACCAACCTGTCGGCCATTGCGCGCAGGAGGCGGGCCTGGAGGAAGGAGATTGTCTCCCATTCACCGCGCCGTCGATCGTATAGAGTCTTGATCCGGACTCCGGGACATTATATCTCAAGCCGCCTGTCCGCTCCATGCAGGTGCGTTTTTATCCAATTGCTCCCACATCGACCGCATCAGCGTGTGAAGTCCGAGGATGCCACGATTGCAGCCGATGTCTGGGTGGTTTTGACGACGACATGGTTGTGCAATCCTGTGCTGACTGACATGATACTTCTTGCAGACTTCCACGCGGAGCAGAGACACGGGCGCGAGCTTCGCAGCCCGGAGGGGGCACCTTCCACAATTGTCGATAAGCGACGAAAACCACCATGTCACCGAAACCATCGGCTACCTCTACGACGATGACCCCGAGACCGAGTCCCGATCTCACCCAACACACTCGCATCAACATGTGGATTCCCATGCCTCCGTTCCGGTGAAACGCGCGCAGATGGAGGCGGAAGTAGGGTCTAGAGGAAGTTCGATATCGCGGAAGCAATTGCCATACCGAGAGGCTTCAACCGTTGATGCTGTCGCACTATCCAATGGGGTCTCGGACGGTTCATCTTCACAACACAGTTCGTGGGATCGGAATCCTACATCGTCGGCACCAGCTCCTGAGTCTCACGAACGCTCTCCATCCGATACCGCCACCTCACATTTCCCTCTCAATAATGTCGACTACGAATCCAGTCCGGCAGGGTTGGCACAAGAGCTCAGTAATTTACAAGCGTTGAGAAGGATGTCAATGAACGTTGGGGCCACCGATGATCCCGACCTACCACAACTCAATGCGGCTGCGATGCCGGATGCCCCTTCGGCCAATTCGAGCGAAGATGATGAGTCGCGGCTTTTCTGGGTGCCAGCTCGTCTCCACCCGGAACTGGCGCCCAAGGAGTTCAAGACATTTCTCGAAGGAAAGGCGGAGCAAATCCGGAGAAGATCTGGCGAACTATCAGCGTTCACGTCCTCGTCGTCCTCTAAATCGAGTTCCTTGAGTCCCGATAGTGGAAGTAGTAGCCTGCGTCGGAAAAAGTCGATGCTGTCGCGCCAGATTGACAGTTCGGTGGGATATCAAGACGGAGCTGAGCGATTGGAGAGAAAGAAGTCAGAGTCCAGGAAGGTCGCTCCGCCCGACCCAAACCTGCTAGAGTTGGAAACGTTGGTTGCAAATACGGCAGGTTTGTCAAATGTGGCTCTGAACAAGCCGGAAGAGGATGAAACGGGCGACATCATCTTGCCGTCCGTGCCCGGTTCCAGCTTGAAGAGGTCTACCCGGACCACATACAGGCGAGGTGGTAGTGTCAAAGGGAGAGGACCAGAAAGAGAGACGTATGCTCAACGGGCGGCCAGAAGGGCGGCGGCTGAGAGTCCCAGCAGCAGCAGACCAGAATCACCGGAAACGACTCACTCTACGGTGCATCCTAATCCCAGCTTTGCGACGGTGGATGTGTCCAACCAGGCACAAACATTGAAGGATCCAACCAGTTTGTCAACATCGGGAAAGACGGCGGCCCCAAACTTTTCAAGACCTGCCGGCCGCGAAGTCTCTCCCCCACCGACTTCTACAAAATTCGGTTCATCTGTTGCGTCTACTGTCGATTCGGTCTTGGCCAATGACGATCTTCCGAGGAGAACAAGTACGGCGAGTATGCCTGAGATGCGAAAACCTCTTCCGGTGTCCAAGTCCCCGCCGCCCACGACGACTCCCGTCGAGCGAAAACCTGTACCACAAATCATAGAAGTACCTCCGCCAGAGGAGCCGCAAGTGCCCCCTCAACCACCCCGATCCTCATCTATGCAGTCACCAGGTTCTCCGGTTCAACGACCACCTGCCCGACATCCCGAACGAGTGTCATCCCGAGATGACAGAATAAAATCAGGGTCTCCGCAAAGGCCACCGATGCCTACCAAACAATCCTTGCCGACCATCGCCCCACGTGCAATGTCTACGAATAGCATGCCACCATCCTCACAACCCCCACAGAGCCTTGAGCAACCCTCACCACTGCCCGGAAACGACACCAACACCAGTAATCTGTCATTTATCCCGACACTTACAGTCGACAAGCGGGCTGACAGCAAGAAGAAGGACGATAGCAAGAAGTCTAGTTGGAGTTGGCTATTGGGCAAAGAGGATGGAGACAAGGAAAAGGTCGAAAAGCCCAAGGCCAAAATCTCCAAGCCTCCTCAGCAACACGACAACACCAGACTGGACGTGCTGCAGACCTCCATTGACGGAGTGGCCAAGGGACGTGAAAGTTTGGTCTTGGACCGGGACAGCGTCAAGCTTGAAGAGGAACGCAAGAAAGAAAGTCACCGGAAGTCGTCGGGGAGTGGCGAGTCCAAGAAGGAGAAGGAAGGATTGTTTTCGTCCATCTTTGGCGGAAAGAAAGCCAAAGCGGAAAAGGACAAGGAAAGCAGCTCGAAGAAACAACGTGATCGTGGACTGTCACCTGAGCCGCCTTATCGCGAATTGAGACCGGACATCGACTATAACTGGACGCGGTTTTCCATCTTGGAAGAAAGGGCCATCTATCGTATGGCACATATCAAGCTTGCCAATCCTCGCCGAGCACTATATTCGCAAGTGTTGTTGAGCAATTTCATGTATAGTTATCTCGCCAAGGTCCAGCAAATGCACCCACAGATGAACCTGCCCACGAGTGCAAAGCAGCAAAGGCAACAGCAACAAAAGGACCAACAGCCGGATGAGTTTGTCCAATACCAGCGGTATCAACAGGTGAGTGATGAGTGGCTACTGGTGTGGAGCGATTGCTAACATCAGTGTCCGAAGCAGCAGCAGCAACAACAGCAGCAACAGCAATCTCCTGGCAATGAGCAACCGTACGGTTCTCAGCAGGACAATAACAGCGATATGTCTGGCTACGACGGCGGCGGTCCAAGGCCCGGGTCAAGGGGTAGCAAATACTCGGGAGATGGCAATGGGGCCGTATACAGCGGAGGAGGAGGAGGATACAATAGGTATCACCGCAACAATCCCAATCAACACCAACACCAACACCAACACCAACACCAACAACAGCAGCACCAACAACGGGGACTCTACGGGTCTCAACTGGACGATGACGATGATGACGACGACATGTGGTAATGTTGTATAACGCCGCGCATTCAGCTTTGGCGGGGCTCGGTCGAGAAAAGAGATCTTTTCCATCTGTTCTCTTCCTCTCTTGGAACCTTGTTGTCTCTGGAGGATGCTCGAAGGATGTGTCTCTCACTTGAGAACTGCCAGCAGGCCAAGCAAGGCTAGTCAAGGCAGGGCACGGCACGCCACGGCAGAGATGTTCTTGTCCCGTCCAGAATGGAAAGCCGCGGTGCGGACATCAGTCCTTTCCTTTGTTTCTCTCCTGTCTCTCTTCCTATTTCTTCTTCAGCATAGCGAATCGGCGAGTTGGTGTTCAGGGACTCGGAGGTGAAGACTGAGATTGTCTCTATCTGGTCTGGTCTGGTTTGGTCTGGTGCCATTGGGAGTTGACTTGAACTTCCCGTGATATGAGGGCGAATATCAAACACAAACTATGGACAATATAGCCAGATCTTCTGCCATTTTTTTGTTTCGTTTCTCTTTCACAGTTCCGACGTAGTATTACGGTCAAGGACGGGCTCGTGTAAGAACAGGGACGATATTAACTGTACGTCCGTATTCGAGCAGCGGTGCAGTGGTTAATTGACCGGAATATGATGAAGTCCCCGGGAATATGCACCAAGGAGACTGAGTTCGTAGTGGTGTTTGACTGAATGATATCACACTGACACTGACACTGACTTGACTTGACTGCGTTTGCATACTGTGTATACTGTATATAGTAGCAGGTAGCCACTGTCCGGTTCTTCAACCTTGACTGGAGGCTGCATTGTGCCGCGGAGAGGAATCCTGTGACTCCGCAGTGCCGCAGTGCGGTAAGAATATAGTACCTTAGGTACCTAGGTACCTTACTAAAGGGAGCAGGCAGTCTTGGGATTCCATCACTCCACAATCCCTGTGGCTCATTGCTCCATTGCTCCATCACTCGTCATTATCGTCCAACTGTCCATCTTCCTCCATCTTCCACCCTCCATCTACTACTGTACATCACCTTCTAGGTATCCAAACTGATCAACCGCCGCGCAACCACCCTTTGCCGTCACGAAAGCAGGCTCACCGAATCCAAGAATCTCGGTTCCATCCTGGTTACCACCCCTCATCCCAATCTTCGAACACAGCCTGGCTCTTCTTACAGGGAACTGAACGGAAGAGAACAACAACAGGACGGAACAGAAAGAGGGAGAGTAATCCGAACAAAACAAGCAAGGAGGCCACAGTTGTACTGTGTAGACATTGGACAGAAATCGATCGGAGGAGCATCGCAGAGCTTTTACCTGCGCGAAAGGCATCGATTGACCCACGAAGTGAACAACCAGCGAACCGAAAGAAGTCGCGCTGTTCAAGTCGGTTGGACAAACTAGACCCTCTGGGACCCGATCCCAACGCTAACGCCAACAGCGACACCACACTGCCGCAGCCATCTCCCCGAACAACCCAAGTCCAGTCCTCCGCCATCTTCTGCGCTCCGCTCCTCTCTTGCTCTGGTTTGCAAAGCGCATCCAGATAGCGAGAGGTGATCGAAACCGAGACAAGCCCAAGACCAACCAAGCCCAAACCCAAACCCAAACCCAAGTCCAAGCCCAACCTGAAGTCAAGTCTGACTGACCAGACAACATTGCAACCATGTCCGACGCCTACGCACGTGAAGAGTATGTTGTCTCCCTCCTTCCCCTAGATTGCCAGGACCAACTACAATCACTGTTCTCATTAACATTGGTGATTCTGTCCTTGTACACTCACTCACTCCTCTTGAATCAACTGCCCCTGAATCTAGTTATTGTTATGCTAACCCACTATCTCTGTGTCCACGTATTAAAGACAAAACAATGACCTCCTCTCATCTCTGTCCCAGAAAACCTCGGCCTTGAAACACATCACCCTCGATATCTACGACAATGCCCGCTCCCAGGAGACCCTGGACCATACAAACGAAGTGTTCAGCAACATGGGCACCAGTATCCGCGGGTCTGCGGGCCGGATGACGCGCATGGCCAGACAAGGGGATAAGACTGCCGTGCTGAAGTTGGCAGGGATCCTGATCGTCGCGGTATTGCTGGTTTATTGGATTGGAGGGTGGATTCTGGGACTGATCTTTGGTCGGTAGACGGTAAAAACCAGAAAGAGGACAAGATCTGGAGATGGGTCAATACCTGGCGATATCGACATTGCCTGCTCAGAAGAAGATTTGAACAGAGGTCGAAGTCGAATGTGGCGAGCGGGGATTGAAGATACGCTTGAAGAGAGACTGTCATCTGATTCGAAAGGAGAGTGGAGAGCTCTGTATCTGGGGACGAAGGGCGTGGAGTTGTCTCATGCTTGGACGATAGCCGCCCAAGACAGAAAATGCGAGAGGGTAGGAGGATACCTAATGAGGTGACCAAGAATGATACTCGGGCGCAGGGCAAACAGAAACAACTGTGCTTGAGAAATACCCCGGAGAGCAGAACACACAGAACGCAAACGAAACAAATGTTGCGAGTGGGAATCCCAGATGCTTGAAACAAAATCCCTGCGGGCGGGGAGACAAGGGGAAATATCAACTCCACGACGGGACCGGTAGCCTGGCTAGCTCTGCTCAGAAGAACCATCTCATCAAGAGATTGCATAGTCCAGCCCAGAAACCAAAAAGAGGAGAGGTCGCGGAGGAGCTAGCCTTCGGGAAGCCCCCCAATTAGGACGGAAGCAAGGACTATTTGAAAGTGGAACGGGAAGCAGCCGATGAGAGGCCAAGGAGGCATTATCGGCGAAGAAGGTCGGGCACAGAGAGAGAGAGAGAGAGGAGCCGCTGGACGTCTCCAGAAGTGGCATCGTTCGGGTCTGCGCCTTGAATTCCAGGGGAGATAATGAAGAGAATGACTACCGTCCCAAATGTTCCACAATAGAACAGAAGCCGAGTGATCAGAGGAGACAGGGAGAGGCGCTTCGCTTCACCGATCACTGTGTACCGATCACTGTGTTCTGTTCCTTACTGATTATGTATACGAGAACCAGAACCAGGATATGGTGCTCATAGGTATTCATACAAAATTTCATTTTCTTGGTGTATGCATCTCGAGCTGCCATGTGCCGGTACAAATGCAGAAGATTTCTCGATGAACCTTGCTTGCTTTTCTTTTCATCTCCTATCGAGCACGCACTTGTGTTCGCTGAACCGTGAGCACGACGACAACAACACCATAACGAGACCCGAACCCACGTAACTCGAGGTCATCGAGATAGATTCATGCCATTTCGCTCCCCAACCGACGCCATGCTTTTCGCAGCCCATTCATTCGGCGGTTGTGGTCTGGTCCCTTGAGCATCGTATCGTGTCCATGCCATTTTCATGGTTCCAGTGCTAGTTTTCCTGTCCAGCACATGTTGGGTAAGGTAGGAAGAATACCTTTGAACGAAGAAACGTGAATGCCACAGCCATGCCATGCCATGATACCACACCATGCCTTGCCTTGAAGGACACCCTGTCTGTGGCTTTCCGCTTGGGTATCGGACCATTCAGTCATATGGCATCCTCAAAGTCCTCGTCTTCTTCGGAATCGCCATCGCCATCGCCATCGCCATCGCCATTCGTCCCAGCATCTGCCGACAAGCCATCCGCTCCGACCTGGCCGTTTCCATTTCCATTTCCGTTTCCAGTTCCGTTCGGTGGAGAAGTGCCGTTCTCGAGCTTGAGTCGCTTGCTGTCCCTGTCCGTGTCTCTCTCGAAAGACACGGCGAAACTGCTGGCGGGCGTATTGGCATCGCTGCTGGGCGGACTACTTGCGTCGAAGTCGCGCTTGAGACCGTTGGCCGGCTTCACGTCTAGACTTTCTTGGTTTTGTCGTTGTTCTTGTTGTGATGGTGGTAATGGTAGTGGTGGTTGCGGTTGCGAACTGCTGACAGGTGTGCCTGCAACGCTGGACCCGACGACATCGACGTCTTCAAACTCCAGATCCTCTTCTTCTTCCGCTTCCTCGTCGTCTTCTTCCTTGTCTCGCTTGGCCGCTTCTTCGCGCTCGCGTTCCATCTCCGCCATGTAAGCGGCGACTTCGTCCTGCAACGAATTGGCGGCGCCACCCGCGACGAGATCGGGCTTCTTTTCGTCTTCGTCTCCATCTTCTTCCTTCTTCGGCATGCCGAGTCCGGCGACATCCACGGAGTCCAGCTGCATTTCCACCTTGACACCGCCCGTGCCCGCGGAGGAGCTGCTCGCGGTCGAGGCTCCAATGGCACTGCTGGTATGCCATACCGGCAACTGGTTCTGCTTGGCCAGCAGTTTCCGCCGTTCTTCCTGACGCTCGGCCTCTTCGCGCTCCGCTTCCGCACCACTGGTCAAATTGACGGCTAGGTTCTCGACCTTGACCATCTCGGGCCCGCGTTTCAAGTTCTTGTTGTCGCGCTTCAGTTCGACGTATTGGTTCTCGGCCTTGCCGCCGCGTTCCTTGGGCACTTCTTTCTTCCTCTCCCACGCGGACATGAAGTCGTTCTCGGGCACGTTCTTTCGGTCGAGCTTGAGGATCATGTCGTCGAATTTCTTGAGCTGGTCGTTCAATCGCCGGATCTTCTCGTGGTTGCCTCGGTCCTGTGTGGCCTGTTCGTTCTGCACCAGCGTGGCACCACATCGGTCACAGTAGAACCCTTCGTCGCCGATCTTGTCGAGAATCTCCAACTCTTCGTACTCCGCCTTGCAGCGTGGACAGCGCCAGTCCTTCCGCTTGGTCTCGTCTTGTTGGTACAGCGCCTCCACCTTCTTCCGGAGTTTGGCGATGCGGTATTTGATGGCGTCGATGGCCGGGTGGAACGGACAGTAATAGTATTCTCGTGGACTGCCGCGTTGGGAACCTACTCGCACTTCCATGCGGGAGTGGGTTTGGATGAGCCGGGCGGCGCGCAGAGGATTCATGATACTGCGGATATCTTTTGGTTGAGCCGACACCAGGACGGCCAGGTCGTCCATTTGTAAGACAGAATGGAGCATGATGGCGTCGACGATGAGGATTTGTTTCGGGTGAGGGAAGAACGTGCGGACTGTGGTCCGGATGAGCGTCTTTGCTTCCTCCATACTGGAAGGCGGTTGTTACAACGATGAGGGAGAAGACGGTGGAAGTCGTTCGCGACAAGATGGAAGAAGATGAAGGAGGGGATGTATGGTCTCGAGGTCCAGCTCAAGGCAGAAGAAGGTGGATATTAGCCATGTCAACCTCCGACAAGCAGTGAAGCCGTTGAAGGAAGCGGTTCGGTCAGAGGACGAGGATGAGCGACGAAGCCTCTCGCACGACTGGCTGATGCGGCGAGCTGACAGCCTGGCGACGGGAAACTAGATTGCACAAAGAAGCGCCCTTGCCGCTGTCCCTGTCAGTGATGGTAAGGACGGAGAGAAGTTGGGGGAGGAAGAGAGCCGTAACAAAAGAACAAAGAAGACGTCGCATGCGGGCCTGGTGACATGCAGTGAGCCGCAGTTCGTAACTTGAACGTCGAATGCGACGAGGCTTGGCGGATTCATGCGGCAGTGCCGCTTTTATAATCGCCATATGATATTCGACTTCTTTGGGGCGGCGTCGCGAAATGGCTATACAGCTGCCTGCATCCTCCATGAACTCATCAAACCTAGATCTCTTTAGCAGATCCTGCTTCGAGACCCGCATCATTCTTTTTACGGGTGTCTGCAGAAAGATGAATCTGTCTAATGCCACATTAGAGCAGCTAGGTAGTCACCACATGAGCCGACACTACATGTACTGGAGATCCAACTTGAGCCCCTTTTCACGGCCAGCCTTCTCATGTCCGTTTATGGCGAGCGTTGCGGGAGTCTTATCAGACTCAGTGAAGAGGGCGTCTTCAAATGCACCATCTCCGTCGTAGATACAGCCACTTTTCACCGACCGTTGGGACATGGAACTTGTGCGATATGATTCATCTGAGGTCTGCATTGCTCCAGAGTCCATTAGCGGCAGATGATATCGGAGGGTGGGTGCGGTCATTCATGACGAAATGATTGATCCCGTATTGTACACTCCTCGTCGCACCGGGTAAAAAGCCTGAGAGGTGCGAGGGTGTATACGTATTTAGCTGGCGGTAAGCTAGAGGCTTCATCTCCATTTTCTCCTCGACCATCTTGGGAATCGGCTTGAGTCTTGATTATTGACCACGCTCCGTCATTCTGGGAGGAGAGGCCTCGATCCCATCAAGTCCAGTGAGAACTGTAGACGTAGATGCTCCTTTCACCGACACGGCGCATCTCATTGCAGACAGACAGAAGATCTGGCGTACTTGATCACCTCCAGATTTCAACCGATGAGCAATCAATTTTCACTCCCTCCCCGTGTAGCACAGTACATCGCAGTGTCGCACCGAGTGAGCACAGGAAGACTTGCGATGCGCAAAGGGATTCCTTTTCAGCAGATCTGCTGGACTGAGCCTGTCTCTGCCCTCGGGGTTGACGAAACGGCGGATTCGAATACTTTTCTGCCCGGTTTGTCATGTAAGATATCGATCCAGGGAAGCCGCTTCAACCTCGCCCGCAGGTCATTCCACTCACGGATTCCGCATAAGTTGACGAGGGCCCGGATCCAAGGCATCAGCCAAACATCGTCGGCCGGGGTGAAAACTGAGATGGCGCCAACCACAAGCAGCCAGAGCAGGAAGTTGAACTGCGGCGTTGACGTTGACGTCGTTGACGTCGTTGTCGTCGTCAACGTGTCCCCGACTCCGAGTCTCAGGTGCAGGAGACAGCTGCGATACGTCTCGGGAAAATAAGTCTGTGGGGCCTCCACCTCTTGCCAGCGAAGGAAGACGTGCGACGAGAAAGCCAGCAGGCCGAGGCGACCGGCTTCGGCTTCGGCGTCGGGGACGGAGGTCGGATCGGATTCGGACCGTCTCTCCAGATGCAGGTTCAGCAGGGGGTACATGACCGAAGTCATTGTGTTGAGCAGTGTTTCTTGGGGGAGTCTGCGCTTATGCTCGGCGGCCGAGTTGATTGCTGAGCAGAAGCGCGTCATGACCGTCCAGGCACGAGATAGGTCTGCAATGGCAGTGGCATCGACGTATGTGCCCAACGTCCAATAGTGCTCGGAATTTGATGGGTCAGACTGCTCTGCTGCGGACGGCGCCAGATCGTAATGCGGCAATGGTTCCACAGGCAAGTCCGTGGAAAACATTGGCTGAGTGCCGTTGTTGAGCGCGATTCCCAAGTCGCATCTACGAAACTGTCAGTGACTCAAGTCTTAGTGGAAGGAGAATCAACTTAATGGAAGGAAATCAACTTAGTGGAAGGAAGGTCAGTCGATCAAAGCAAGTTGTAGGGGAAATACTCACTTCAACAGCTCCATGACAAGTTTCTGGTTATAGCTGAAAGCGCGCAGCCCGCCTCTCATGTCGACGATCTTGCGCAGGCCTTGCATGTGGTGTCTCGCGGAGTCGTTGTCGTTGGTGAAATGCGCATGCCTGGCCAAATACAACACCACGAGCAGCGTGGAGTCTGAGATTTTCTGAGCTTCATTTTCGGCCGACAGTCTCTCGCGAAGGAGTCGGAGCGTTCGGGAATGGTGTTCTAATGTTCTTCGCGTTGCCGTGGGAGTTTCCCCGCCGGACACACGCGAGATGTAGGCCTGCGTGGAGAAGACCACGGCATGCATGTACGCCGCGTCGTAGGCCATGAGCTCGACCCAGATTGTGTCGACTTTGCTCTTTCTGTGGAACGTGATGCAGCTTTCCAAGGGATACATGACTTTCTTGGCCATCAAGCAGACTAGACCTTGCCACGATGTGAGTTAGTGTGAGTGTGAGTGTGAGTGTGAGTGTGAGTGTGAGTGTGAGTGTGAGTGTGGTCGCAAATAGGCGGTGGAGAGTGTTGACTTACGTTTCAATACCTCTCGAATCAACGACGGCTCGACGGTCCCGGCGAAATGTGTAAAGGAAATCTCGGAGCCGACCTTGTTAAGAACCGTAGAATGGCGCACGTTGATCAACAGCCCTGACGACTCGTCTCGATTCTCGCCGAAGTCCTCCAACTGATGCGCGGAGGATATTGTGGTGGGTTTGTTCTTCCGAGGCTTGCCCTGGTTCTTCCCCAGCATCACATACCTCCTGATTAGCTTTCGCTTGTCTGGCTCGGGCTTACTGATGCCGTTGGTGAGAATGAACGGCATCTCTACTGTTCGCTGCTTGTCAGACACTGGCTGTCAGACTCGACTCCGGGTTAGACTTACCAGGTTTCTGGGGGGCCGCCATATTTGGTAGACTGTCAGGACCTATTACAGCGTCCTGGAGGGCTGATGAAGTGGGTTGTTTTGACGTGATGCAGTCTTCGATTCGATTCGATTCGCAGCCACTGCATCAGTGTCACAGACCCAGATCCAGATCCCGATCCCAGATTGCGAAGGCAAGGGCGAGGGCAGGTCGACAGCTCAGCGGGCCATCGCACTCTCTGTACAGAACCGTCGGCAGATCTGACCTCCAAGATTGTTTGTCGAGAACAGTAAGTCTATCTCTGCCCAAATGTGCAACTGATCATATATCATTCAGTACCTTAGGCAACCGTGAAGCGAAGCGAAGCGTGAGAAGTGAGGAATGAAGTTCAAGTTGGATGACATGAACCCCACAGTAAGTCCCACCCACTAACCGCAACCGGAAGGCACTAATGCAGGACATTGGTTGCTCAATCCGGTTAGGCTCAATCTTCCATATTGGACATTCTGATTGGGCCTCGAGACTACTTCCCCCTTCTACCGCAAGGCTGCAGGGTGGAGACAATCACTCAGGAGAGGTAACAAGGTTCGATATCTCTGTACTGTTGCGATGTTTAGAATATGGGCTCATTTCCAACTAAACTCCACAAGTATCAGATTCTTGTTTGGTCGGCACACCATCACTCCACAGAGATCATCTTGTCGGGTGCGGCGAACCACCATGTCCGTCACCGGTCCAGCGTCCTGAATCGAGTCAATGATTGCAGAATTCCACCGACATTGGCAAATGCAAGCTCATCGAGTGTCTCTCGCCAGAGTGCTTCAATAGCGTCCTTCCCCTCCGGTGTGTACAGTACCGGGTTGAACCTAGATGGCGTCTCCACATCAGTAACCAGGATGCAAGCAGCGCCGTTGGACAAATCTAAGTGCTGGGTATGTTCTGGGTAAAGTTTGAGTCTTGACTTACGGATGGATCTTGTAATTCATGATGAAAGCGCCATGAGACTCTTTTCCCTTGGCCACGGCGGCGTCCAGAAACGTCGACGCGCCCATTGCGATACTCCTTCCACATAACGCCCCAAAGACATGATACCCGATCTTGGCTCCTCCGGAGAGCCCGCGGGCAAGATCCGTTTTGACAAAAGCGGGATCTGCCAGATTCACAATGACATCGTCTGCATTGACATGGTCGATGAGCTTCCAAAGGAACATATGGGCCAGCGTCTTGGAAATGCAGTACTGAGCGGGGAAGGCAAAGCGCTTGGGATCATCCAAGGACTGCAAGAACGGTCTTTCCTTGAGGGTGGGAAGCTTCGAGTTCAGAGAGAGCGCCGCGTTGACGATGGTCAGTCGGCCTGGTGTCCCCCGCGGAGATTTGCTCTTGAGCGACGGCAGCAAGAGGACAGCCAACAGCATCGTCGAGATGTAGTTGATCTGGATGATCTCCTCGTGGCCTGTGCTGGGGTTCGTCCTGAATTGAGGATTGTTCAGGCCGGCATTGAGAATGACAATGTCAAGTCGGGCCAGATCGGTTTCCACGCGTCGGGTAAAGGTTTGGATGGATTCGTAGGATGCCATGTCGACGATCCACACCTCGATGTTCGCCTGAGGGTGCCGCGTCCGGAGCTTTTTGGCTGCTGCATCTCCTCGGGCGGCAGACCGGACGGCAATGATCAGGTGGCTGAGTTTGTAGGAGAGGAGTTGAGAGGCGGCTTCGAAGCCCAGGCCGGTGTTCGCGCCTGTGATGATGGCCACTTTTTCGGAAAGGTCGGTCCCCTTGGGTAGTGTTTGGGCTTTTGTGAGGAATTGGTTTCTGAAGAAGATGACGGGGTAAATGGCGTGGGAAGGCGGGAGGTCTTTTGAGCCGACCATTGTGGCTGTGGACAATATTGAGTCAGGTTCTTATTCAGGAATCAGCTGTGTGCAGCCATGAGGGCTGAGTGCCGGCTGACGGTGACAGTGACAGTTTATATATCTTGTATACATTGCCAGCACAGGGAGATGTAGAGACCCTATCCCGAACGGGAATACAATCCAATGAGTGGCGCTTCCACACCCGCATGACATCTCGGATCTGTTTGTGCATAAGGGCCACTTTCCCGTGAGTCACTTGGGCCAGTGGGAGATATGGCACAGAGTGGCGAGGAGGCTCAGACTATACAGGGTTACTCGTGCCAATGGACAAGGGGGATCTCGTATATGAAACATGATTGGTGTAATGAAGAATGAGGATAGGGATGGGTAAGTCCCAGATCATGCCGTTGACTCCTACATACACACCGCCCTCAAATCTACTCGATTCCTTTCTTTTCTTGCTTCCTGAATCTCTGTCATTGTCACGGAGGCTCAACAGCCACCGTTATGAGTACTACACCACAAATTGCTAAAAAAGACAAAGTAACTATTCGACCAGAATTAGTCCCTTGGTGTATATAACCGTCACATCCATTATAGTATCAACTCTTAGCTCCATTCTTCTCCATATCTCCCTACCATTCTCATCCTTCCTCCTTCTATTCAAACTCTTCCCCCCCTTCAAGTCCCCCGTCGCACATTTTCTCTATTTCAACTCAACCTAACTTCCGGCGGCCCCCCATCTCTCCTCGCAGCATCAGCAAACCTCCGAATCCCCTCCTGTGTTCTCTCCAGCAAATCCGCCACCGACGGCCTCCTCGCCGGATCCACGAGCAAACAATCATCCACCAGAGCTCTCAACTTGGAAGAATACCGGAGATTCTGCCACCCAGACAAGACCGAGTATCCGTCCTGACGGAGCGAAGTTTCGGACTTCTCGTAATAATTGACCCGGGTATGGATGTCGAGATTGTGGAGATCGAGTTCCATCAGACCGTAGATGTTGGCGCCCATCTGCCAGATCACGTGGGCCATCGTGAACGGGTGGTTGGAGGAGCCTAGGACCGGGTGACGCCAGTTGCGGCCGTAGGTGCCTTCATTGCGTTGTTCCTTTTATGGATTAGTTGGAACTGGCAATCAATGGGCGTGGTGACAGGAATAGGGTAAGAGCGAGCAAAGGTGGAGGGGAGAGAGGATAGTGTAAGAGTGAGCAAAGGTGGAGGGGAGAGAGGATAGTGTTAAAGTGAGAAAAAAGGAGGGGCGAGAGTATACTTACCGGTGGAGTCCAAACAATCGTGCCATAGTACTTCCATTTCTTACTGTTGTTGACATCCTCGCGGCTAGTATATTCGGCCAATCCCCAGTCGGCGACTTTCAGGGTGGGATAGTCCATGAGGTTTCGGACGGTGCTGGGTTCGCACATGAGGACTGTTGTGGATGGAAGAGTGAAAGTCAGTAAAGGAATAGGGCAGTGCAGAAGGAAAGAAGCACTCGTTCCAATCGACTTTTAAGCCCACTCGAGTCAAAACTAGGAGCATCGACACACTCACCATTCTCATGTTTCAGATCCAGATGCAGAACAAAATGATCCTTCCCAGGCGGCGCCACACTATCGTCGAATCGCACCACGCTCATATGGTATGCTGCTTGAGCGAAATCGTAAAAGGCCTGCCAGATGAATGCTTCGGGGAGGTAGTCTCTGTGATGAAGACAGGTTAGCCAGAAGAAGAACAAGAGAAGAGAAAGAAGAACAGGTTAGCAGAGAAGAAGAACAAGAAAGAGAAAGAAGAACAGGTGAGCCGATAAGAAGAAATAGAAATGGAAAGGAGAAGAACACGAAAGAGAAATTAAAAAAGTAAAACATACTTATGCTTCGGATGCCGCTGGTTATACTCCCTGTATCTCTGGACCAACCCCTCTAAAGTCCCATGTTTATGATACTCCAGATAATACCGCCACCTCATCTTTGGGCTGTGGTCTCGGTCTTGGTCTCTGCTCATGAAGAGCTTGTATTTGCGGAGACCCGCGACGTTGCGACACCCCTGGTTGGCGAGGCCTTTCATGATCAAGACCTCCCAGGGGATGGCGACGCGGTTGTTCCGGTCGACTTCGCGGGTGTCGATGTCGGTTTGTTTGATTGCGAGGGTCTTTGAAGGGATGAAGATGGTTAGCAAAGAAGTAACAAGAAACAAGAAACAGAAAGGAAGAAACTTCCTTCCTCCTTCCTCCTTCTTCCCAACTCCAACTCCAACTCACATCAACAGCTCTACCATGGCTATCGAACTTAGTCCATTGACCAACCATCCCAAAAGAGCCTTTTCCCAACAAGTCGGTGCACTAAAATCAGCAGGAAAAAGAAAACATTAGCATAAGCATGAGTATCGATCGATGCTGATATAATCGACAAGCCACAGGAACCAACATAAAGTAACACCTACTCCGCTTCGCTCCGTAGGATAAAAACATACCTCCCACCATTCATCATCAGCGTACCACGCTCTGGACAATCCAAACTTTTCAGCGCGCGCATCGACCCAGCTTTTCCTCCGCCACCGAGCAACGCGGCGCTCGACTGTGCGTCGGTCACGGGTCCATTTTGCTCGTTCGTGGATGGGGGCGTGGGATATAGGGACTGGGAGAAGCATTTTGAGAGAAGAGATATAGTAGGAGTAGAGTGCAGTCCAGGTCGTTTCGAAATGAGAAGGAAAGGAAAGGAAAGGAAAGGAAAGAAAAGAAAAGAGATAGAAGGAGAGAGAGAAGGAGGGAAAGAAAGAGAACCTGATGCTAGGACTGCTTGCTTGTCTCCCAAACCTTGACATGACTTGATCAGATTCCGTGATCGATCCGTTTTCATCAGATACCGGTCTGAACGCGACCAGATGCGGTAACAATGCATAGATAGATACCTAGATAACATAGACATTCAAGTTGCCTGCCAGTGCTTTGAACCGTTTCTTTGTCCTTTTGTGCTTCGGCCTTTTTCATCATCCGAACCATGCAATCGTCGGTCAAGCCTCACGCTCACGCTCACGCGTACGAGTTGGTTGACATACCTATGGTTCTTTGGCTTCTGCTTTTGTTCCCAGATATCATGTTGTTCATCACCTACCTACCCTACCTTACCCACCTTACCTGCCTTGCAGACCAAGGTATGGAGACGTTACAAGGTGTCAGCATACTTGAAAGTTAATACGTCTGAACCAAGTCTGGGTTTGGGTTTGGGCTTGAGTTGAGTGAGCAGGATGCAGTGGAAGAAGAGGCTGAAAGATACCGTCAAAGGAAGAAGTTCAGGAGAGGTTGGAGACTTGGAGTCGAGCAGTCAAACACGAAGATGAGGACGAATCATGCAAGGATCATATGAATGTTACGCACTGTCCCAACCACGGTCGCTGAACGCGACTACGTAAGGATCAAAGGGATGAGGTACCTTAGGTAATCACTCACCACCGCTGTCAATTCACCCCCTTTATACCTAATGCTACCAAATATTCCGTTTGCGGCGAAAGAACAACTACCTCATCACCCTTGTAGAAGTCGCCCTTGTAGAAGTCGCCCTATACACGCCACAAATCAGTCGATACAGACCCGTTCGTCTCACACACACGTATATACATTAGCTGGATAAGGTAGGTCAGAGGTGCCCGATACACCTACAGACAAATGCTGCTATCGCCAATTCGAGATTGAAGGCAACGTCGAATTCGACAAAAACAGCGACAACGACAACGACAATGACATCAAACATCGTCAACTTCATTCATTGCAAGTGGCAACTGCATCAACAACTCGAATCTCAAAATCAAAATGCTTATACTCCCTCCCATGGACTGCCAGTGGATCGGTGCCCGTGGCCTCATCATGTGTCTCTCTCGCTTCTATCTGCTCTCGTGCCTTGTTCACCATCCATCATCCACTTCCACTACCCTGTATTGTAAATAATGGCCGTAATATTAGCTATTTTCATCGGTAAGGTCAAGCCAGGCCAGACAGGTCAGGGATGGCTTCCAATGCCATTGCCCCCACGCCCGCCGATGATCTGCCTGCCTGCATGCCTTGGGATCACTTTTGTAGTAGTTCCTTTTTGGCGGCTGCCGCTGATGCGTCGAATTAAAGACATATTCCTCCTTGGCTAAAATGCACAGAAAACGGATAAACTCCAATGCTCGTGGTCAGAGTGAGTAAGCGAACGTCTAGTCGGCGACGCAAAGTTCCAGTCGAGTGGCATTCCGCCGAACCACTCGCTTCGATGGAACCACTCTGGACAGACAGGACCTTCGTCAAATCATGAAGCTTGCAACTGGGAAAGCAGGGCATCAAGTTCCGTCCAGTTCGACTGGGTCATGGCGAACTTTCGATGCTTGCGTGAAACGATATGCTAGACACGGTCAGGAATTTATGCCATTAGGGAAGACGTCAGCGGGCTCACCTCTTCAAAATCGTCATATTTGTCACGACAATTCTCGCAATATCCTGGTTTGGGATCTCTCTTGACAACTTTCTTCCTCCGGGTCGACTGCATGGCTCGTTCGGCAGCAAGATCATCGGCATGGGACTCGCCCTCTTCTTGAATACCTCCAAGCTTTTCTTGCGCCTTACTTTTCGCCGCTCGTTGTGGAGCAGGCGCTCGAACAGTCTTCAAAGCCCCGGCAAGGTCATTCATGCGGTGCGACGACGGGATAGACCCGACAGAGAGACTCCCTGTATGGGTCCGTTCCAGGACTTGGCGTTTCAATTGATGATGGACTTCCTTGCTCGTTCCCGCCTTGACACCAGTACCGGCAGTGGAAGAAATCATCTGCGATTGAATGGCAGAAGTCAGATTCGACCGTTGAATTCCCGATGCCGCAGGTTCTCGAGGCATGTGCAGTTGTGCCGGGCGGACAAATTCGAAGGCAGGCCGTTCAGGCATGGGAGGGAAAGAAGATTGTCGTTCTGCGGCGCCATGGTCTCTGTTGTCCTTCTTCTCCACATCCACATCCATGGCTGTGTTGTTCGGGACGACACCCAGTGCCTTCCGTGGGCTTGCACGACGGGGTGGATCGGCTTTCGTCGACTGAACCGTCATGTGTGAGCGTGTTCGAGGGGCCTGCTGTTCCCGTTGTTGTTGTTGCTGCATGGCAGCCAAGTTGGCTCGTTTGCGTTCCTGTTCAATCTCCTTCTTCATCGCCAGGTCTTCGACAAAAGGACATTTGCCCACACTGGCAGAGCGAAACTGGGGCCACTCTCCATCTGACCGTCGGGCCACTTTCGGGTATTCCCTGACCATGGTGGGCCGATATTTCTCCTCCATGTCATGGACATAGATAAAAGGGCCCTTGAACGACACCAGGGACAGAAAAGGCTGTTCTCTCTCCGATGCCGTCCCTAGCTTTTCATTCCTCAACACCTGTCCCAGATCTTCGTGTTGGTGTCGAGTTGTGTGTGTCGACCCCCGAGCATGATGACCATGACCGGCCGAATCTTCCAGGATCGACCCCAATACTCTTTGAAGCTTTTCTGCTGCCCAGATCTTCATCCCCATTTCCTTGCCGCGAACCAGGATATCCATCTGATTCATTCCATCCCGTCTGACATTCGTCGCCATGTGTCCTCGCGGGTTCTTTTCGAGCAGGGACGGGTTGATCGTTTGGGGGTGATCTTCGACGGGAGAAGGATGGTCAGCATCGTTGGCATTTTTGGTGTCGGTAGGAACATGGCGAGTGGTGACGATATGTGTGACTGCTTTTGAGAAGAACTTTTCTTCTTTCTGCCACCTGTCAGTATAACAACCATCTCATTCGAGCAGCAACAAACATACCGCTCCAAGAGATGCTATCTGTCGGAGAAAGCGAGACCGGGCCTCCTCCGACACGCCGTCAAAGTAGAAGTTGAACGAGGGGAACAGCCGGCGGTAATGTTTCTGCCATGTCCGAATGGTCTCTTCCTTGGTGGACAGGTCGACATTCTTGGTCACCCGCAGCCCGGCACTCTTGTCCCGGGCGGCCACCAGCTTTCTTTGGAAAGCCGTCGACCCCGAGTCTCCATGTCCTCGTTCAAAGACGCGATCCTCTGCCACCGAGGGTTGTGGCTGCCTCTGCGGCGTCACGGGAGGATGGGTGTCCCGCATCTTTGTCTCGACAGCCACACGTTTACTGGGGTGTTCGTTTTTCTCTACCGCCAACCGTTTCTGAGGAGGTTCATTCTCTTGTTGGGAGACATTGGCCAGGCTGCGAGGTCGTTTCGAGCCACTGTTGGTGAGTGGGCGGTGTGGAGAGTTGGGGGCGTTGGCAAGGCTCGCCAGAGGCATTCGACGGGAGGGATGGGCCATTTTTGCCAGAGGGTCGTGAGGCGAAGGCGGTACAAATACGGCAGCTGCCATTCATAAGGATATGGGGCGTCGTAATCGAGACACGTCGGATACAATATGTGTCGAGGTCGAGTGTCGATGTCGAATGTGCTCAAGGCAAGGCAAGGCAGTGGAGGGGTAGTATATCGTATCCTGGCCGCTGGACCAGGACAACGCGACGCGTGCGGCTGCTTTTGTGTCGACGGGGGTCGACGTGCTAAGAGATGCGCATGATTAAGAGACGGAGACAGCAAGCGAGTATAAAGAATAGCAGTGCAGAAACCACAGCAGCAACAACACCAGCTTGAGGGGGAGAGCAAGAGACACAGAAGAGATGGGATGGAGGTGACAACAGAGGAAGTGTGTGAGTTGAGTTGCTATGTGATTGTTCAGTGTTGAACTTGAATGGCTGATTGAATTGAATGGAGGCAGTGGAGAGAATCGAGGGCAAAGTGGATCCCGCTGGTTGGCGTGTTGACGCCGGTTGGAGCGCTGTGATTGGTACAGAATGGAAGCTTGCGGTTGGTCGGTTTCGTCGCGGCTCTTTTGCCGGGCAACCACGTTTCTACTCTGAGTCTGTATATAGACAAACAACAGTGTTGTGGTTCTATGACAACAGATCACAACATCTCCACTGCCAATCTGTGTTATCACTGACCACGGTGGCTTGGATAAGGTATCTCATGTTATTACACCATTAGGTATGTGCTCGTAGTTATACAGTTCCTCCCACATCCAATCCCGTCTTCGCCATCTCATCCCATCTCACCATCATGATATGATTCATTGGTAGAACTCCATCATTCCAATACACTCGTAGTCGTTCATCCGGATATGTCGATTGCTGATGATGCCACTCTTCCTCAGTTGATGGACATGCATGTAGACCCCAGCACTTTAGACCGGCTGTCTGTCTGTCCGTCCGCATACCTTGTTGCAACCATGGCCCATCAGCGACCTCACTGGTCTTGCTGACTGGGTACATGACCATGGTTTTGACCGAGACGATATTGGTCCCTGGGTGAGCAGGCTTGATATCCTGCCCTTACATCAATCCTCCCAGTTGGAAAGATTCTCCACCACCTCTCTTCCTGCTCAGCTGATGATATGTCGAGCTCCGTACTTCCCCAACACGCCTGGTTCTCTGGGTTTTGGGCTTCGGTCTCTTCCCTTCTTCCTGCTCAAGAACCCCAACATACTGCCTCCTCCTTTTTCATACCTGACACCAGCTTCTCCTGACCCATCTGCCGGCATAGGAGACGTCTGATCGGCCAAGTTAGACCAGCTCCCAGCCTCGCCCAGCACCATTTGCACTCCACCTCCTTTGCTGGGCTGCCGCGTGGCGGGTACCGGCCTCTGCGGTGGAATAGGTCGACTGAAAGATTTTGATGACGACGCAGGTCGTTGCGTTGGCTGCGAATGTGGTAGCGCGGCCCTCAGTTCATCCAACGGAGGAAAGTGCTCTTCCGGTCCAGCCGCTGCGGCGACCGCGCTCGGCGACAATGGTGGTGACCCATCCGGAGAAGTGTGAGCAGAATGGGGATCGATCTGGTGGGTATCCAACTGGACGTGTTCGTCGGGCACCGTCCCGGCCACGGCAGCAGCAGCATTTCTAACACAACCAGTCAGCACCTCTCGCCGGTCTGGGGCAAGTAAAGAACATCACATACACGTCATAAGTGGCCAGGGTGTAATCAAAAGGCTCGAACATGGTCTCGATCATGCGATGCAATTCGTCTTCGCGGATCTCTTTGCTGCTGGCGTCATTGCGCAATTCCGCTCGGGGCTTTTGTCGCCGTGCCCGCGCCTCCAACGGCGCTTCCTCCAAAAGCAATTCTTCCAGATCGTACGTGGCGTCGAAGTTGGTCTTCTCGCTCGAGGGGATGAAGATGGGAGAGATTTGTTTCCGTTCCAGGGCCTCAAAGTCGATACTCTGGAAGAAAGGGTGGTCGGTGAAGGTGTCGAATCCGGTGGCCCCAATCCGCTTCCGACGATCCTTTTCGATCAACGAGGTCATCGCATGCAGACAAGGCATCGATACGGGAGGTTTAGTGACGAAGTATCGAGGATTGGCCGCGCAGATGGTGTTGGTTAGTTCCTCGTGGCTCTTACCCTCGAATGGTCGTTTGCCATAGATACATTCGTACATGGTCACCCCCAGCGACCACCAGTCCACCTCACTGTAGTAGCCGTGACCGCGAAACACTTCGGGCGCCAGGTACGCCAGCGTCCCGGACTTACTGGTCAGCGGTTTGCCCGGCTTGAAATCGGAGGCGACGTTGAAATCGGCCAAGTGCACATGGCCGTCCGAGTCGAGCAGGATATTGTCGGGTTTGACATCTCGGTGAACAATGCCTTGGCTGTGGATGTATCGGAGAGCACAAGCAAGTTCGGCCATCCAGAACCGCACGGCGTCTTCGGTGAAGGACTTGCGCTGGATGTGGAACCGCAAATCGCCGCCGTTCATCAAGTCGACCACCAAGTATAGATACTCGACATCCTGGAAGCTGTAGCGTAGATTGCAGAGGAATGGATGGTTCAGGTGTTCGAGCATCCGCCGTTCGCGAATAATGTTGCGCACACTTTCGGACCGCACCACTATGACCAGCCACATTAACACATGCACCCCTGGCACATCACCAGGCCACACGTACCTTCGTCCTTGCGAATGTATTTGAGGGCGAACGTCAAGCCCGAGTCTTTGCGCTCGACGATCCGAACTTTGCCGAAAGCACCTTTGCCAACCACTCGGAGAAGCCGAAAGTGGTTGAGGTTGACTGCTGGGCAGTGAGCATAGTCCGCAACATGGTGGTCAGAAGAAACTTACCTTGATCGGTCAGAACGACTGGCTTGCCCTGAGTATTCCCCATTGATAGGGTGGCCGAGTAATCAGAAAGCCCACAGCTCCACTTCTATTCTGATAGCAGCACCGACAAGAACATGTGGGAAGTCGCACAACGGTCGCTCTGATGCGTATTGTCGTCGTCAGTCGTCAAGCAGGAAGCCAGAAACGAAATGGGCGGTGGGATGCCGTAGGGTCAGGGCGGATATCCCAGGCCGGCGGTGAAGGCGTTGGTGAGACGCAGATGGCAATGGAGTTGATAGACCGATTACAGGACTGACGCGAGGTGGACCAATTCGGGAGTTTATCGTAAGCACATGACGGACAAGAGACAATGCTCTTCTGATCCGGGTGGAGGTGTTATGGACAAATTCAGACGCCGATGATTGGGGAGGCTTCGGATGGGGCGGTCGGAGGTGTGGTGCTTATGATGCGATGGTGGTGATGGTGATGGGGATTGTCGTCGTCCGGTAATTGTTGCTCCAGCCAGGAAGCGAACAATGACTGAAAAGGGAGGATGGATGGATCGGCCCTATTTCCTCCCAGCTGAATATTCGTTGAGGGGTGGCCGGATTGCAAGCAGCGACACGAGAGCCAGAAAGGACTGTATGAAGGAGATCGGGATAGGGGGCGCTGTCGTGAATGGTAAGGATGAGAGTAAGCCCGATGTATGGATGTATCGGTAAATGTCCGAGTTTGATGGAACGGGCAAAGACCGATTGATGGACTGGAGGGATTGACGGTGTCCTTGTTTCAGAGATTCCCCAAGTCAGTCTAATCAGTGACTGACAGACTGGAATATGGGAGGATGAGCCTGAAAGAGGATGAGCGTTAGTTTGTAGTTTGGTGGCGGCAGAGGAGAGGATACTAATACGTACAATGACGCCGTAGCCGAAGCCTGCTGTCTACTGTGTACAGAGTAGTTCGATAGGGCGGAGTCGAAGCATGGAAGCAAGTAATCAGGGATGGAGATGGCTTTCGGTTGCAATTGGGATAAGAGATGGGACGGTGCTCAAAGATAGGTAAGAGAGGTAAAGATAGGTAATAAGAGTGTTAGGAGGTAGCTCTGGAGGTAGCAAGGTGTGAGCAAAGCAATGTATGGATGGAGTCAAGCGTGAATCTAGGTTGACGAGAGTGGAACACAGTAGTGACAGGGGATGGGAGGAGAGAGGAGAGAGAGAGAGAAGAGGGATAGGGACCTGGTATCACTGTGTACTGTGTACTCCAGATATTGAAGCATCTACAGATAGATATTCGTGACCATCATTATCTAATAACGTCGTATATATTGAATTGGTCGAAGCGAGGGACGTGCGTATTGCATTGACAGTCATTTCTCCGACAATTAGTGTGTAGGTAGTTAGTTGATCAGAGTCTGTATCGTTTGTATCACCCTCTCCTCCTCTGTACAGACACCACCGACAGTCAGGATCTCTTCAAACCTTCAAGCCACGGCCTAGCCCCCCTGCATCTCTCATTTGACACCGACTTTTCTCGAACAACTTGAACTGCACTGCAGATGTCAAGATGCATGCATCATGCTGCCACCCTCTTCGCTGACTTTTGACAGCTCCCCCGGTTGGTCCAGCCCTGGTGAGCACATGGCAAAAGGAACCAAACCAATTCCTCTCCAGCGTCTACCGAACAAGGCCTGTCCGCCCAATCCGACGTCTGTAACCTCTCCCTCGCCTCTTCTCAGCATCTCAAGCCCCCTTTTTCTCCCCCAGGCCTGCTTAGCCCCGTCAAAAGCTCACACCCAAGCCCAAGCCGGCTCCTGCATCTGCAGAACCACAGACATGGCTGCCGCGTGGTGTTCCCCTGGACACAAGCACATCCACCAGTGCTATGTCCCCAATATCCTCGCTGTCATTCGCTTGCAGTCGCTCGGCTCCTCGACTCTTCTCACCTCGATACGAGGTCCACGAGTCAGGGTAGCGCACCCAAATGTAGTGTGGAGATTGGTCCGTTCCTTAACAGAACAATTGAGGTATCTTGAGTTCGGCCTGACATGCCCTGGGAAGAACCACGTTTCAGATGAGGGGACAAGCCGCTGATCATGGTTCTGCTCGTGCCCCGGGAAGCCTGAAGGGACCTAAGAGAAACCGTTCCGTCCGTGGTACGTAGTAGTTTGCATACCTAGCACCTAGCATGGTAAGTAGAACAGTGGTGGCTTCCATTAGTTCTACTGCTTGTCTGACCTGTTCTCTCCGTCCCCCCTGGCCTCTCCACCGTCATTCATATTCAGCCTAGAAAGGTCCGCCGTCAAATTTCCAGACTAACTCTGTACATACCTTAGAATCCGGCCCGCTGGATCTGGCGCCTCAATTCACAGCTGTCAAAAACTTCCGACTTGTAGCATCGTCGACTTTTACCGAGTAGTAGATCGATATCTGCCGTTTCGTCAGTGGCAAAGGCTCGGGCGTGATCATCCCTCATTGCCTGAAACTTGAAGGCTTTGAAGACGACAGACCTGGCGGGCGACTGACGGGTGATCACTGCCGGTACGGTATTCAGTATCTGTGTGGTGTACGGTCGTTGCTTTCAGCGTCTCTTGCGTCTTCAACGACCACTCCTTCTGATCTTGTCAAGTCAAGGATTTCTTTTGATTCTTCTCTGCATTTTCACTCTCTTCAATTTCCAGAGACATCGCACAGGGATGGGCTCAGGCTCGTTCCAGCAGGACCGTCATCATTACTGGGTGGGCTCCCCCGGCAAGTAAGTGGTGGCTTGACAGCCGCCGGGTCAAAGCGTGCACCGAAGGCAAACGGGGATAGGGATCCTGTGTTGCCCTGTGCCCAGGTCTCGTCTAACAGTTCCTGTTTTGTGGCTGCCACGTTTTCTTTCCTCCTGCGACCTTTGAGACCAACTTGAACCCACCGCCCCAGCTGAAACAGGGGCTCCATAGGCATCCGGTTCGTACAAGCATGCTCACTAACGGCAGGTGTGCAGGCTTTTGTCTTTGCCACTTCGGCTGTAGACCAAATCTTCGGAATCCTCTGGGGAACTGCTGCGTACAGAGTACAGCGAACTACAGTGGTGGTACTAGGTGCCCACCCTGCCTCGATTCGTGGAGGCCGCATGGACTGGCGTGAAGGGATGAGGGCATGTTTTGTGAAGAGAGGAAGTGTCTGCCCGCAAAGTCAGCTTGATTCCGTGTCGGATTTACTACTACCCCGGACATGTGGCTACGTGTGGATACGTAAATGAGGTTAGATGGTGAGAGAGAGCTGGAGACAGCGCGATACCATGTCCAGCCCAGTCGTGAGCATCTCTTCGCTCGGGCGAAACAACGATAGTAAAGTGCAGTGGTTTTGTGTGCCTGCCTTTCAGAAGTTGAGACTGCGCAGCCAAAAATAATTCAAGTTCATTTGATCACTGCACCATATTGAAACTGTCTCCATTGCTCTCTTCGTCTTTTCTACACCTCTGGGACGCTCACCCAATAGTCGAGCCTTACACTGCTTGCTCCAGCCGGGCATCTAGAAGCTCTTGCGATCTGAAAGAATCGAGCCGCAATGCAAAGGAACAAACAAATGGCATGCGCATTCTCAACATGACTAAACCCTCGGACACCCCGAAGATGGATAGGAGAACTCGACAAAACAACCGGACCATGAACCTTCGAATCGAGCCACCCTCCCCGTGAACCATTGCCAATCCCATATTCGAAGTGCACCCGATTGACCTCTCCTCTAGAGTCTAATCTACTCACACATAGGCCAGACCATGCCGGAATCATCCACCGAGACGCCAAATCATATGGAATGCATCGACCATTGCCCAGCATCATTGTCAACGTCAATGAATCACCATCTCCGACCATAGATCTCATGCTCCTTGCGAGCAATCTTCGCCCCGTCGCTGATCCGCATCCTCTCACGCCCAGCACTCGCACTAGTGCCCTGACCCTGACTGTAGCCACCGCCCGATCGACCAGCAGCCGACGAGGAAGAAGAGAAGGAGCTTGACTCGACACGAGCCGGAGCGGTGGTGGTGGATGAACTGGACGTCCTACCGCCGCCCCGATCTAGAAGCCCTCGACCCTTGTTCGATCCCAAACCCGAGTGTAGGTTGTTAACCTCGACCGGATGTTCGCTTTCCGCATCCCGGCCAAACAATTTCAACATGTCTTGCAGGGTCAATTTCATGGCTCCCTTCTTGCCTTCAATGGTGGCGTTGGCCAATTCACGCTTTTTGGCCTGGAGCTCCAGGATGCGCTCCTCCACCGAATCCTTGACCGTGAGCTTGTACACCTTGACGTCCTCCGTCTGATTCAGGCGATGAACTCGATCGATGGCTTGCTCCTCGACGAACGGATTCCAGAATGGCTCTAGAATCACCACCCGGCTGGCCGCTGTCAGGTTCAGCCCCAGACTTCCGGCGCGGAGCGAGCAGAGCAATACCCGCGTAGAGGGATTGGTGCGGAGAGAATGCAGACTCGCTTCACGGGCATCATTGCGCATTTTCCCATCATACCGGGCGAAACGGATGCGGTTGTCCTTCAAGAACGGCTCGATCAGGTCCAGCATCGACGTGAAAAAGGAAAACACGATGTACTTGTGTTGATGTGAGTCGGCCTTCAGGATGGAAAGAAGCTGTCGGATCTTGGTGGATTGGAACACGGTTGCTTCTTGCGCGTCAGACTCGTCTGATGAGTATTCGTCCTGGTCGTCATCCTGGTCGTCTTCCTGGGATGAGGAGACACTTTCTGGATCCTCCTCCTCGTCGTTCTCTTCTTCGTCACTGTCCTCGACGATACGCCGGGCCACTTTTCGTTGAGCTTTGACCGCCCGTCGCTCCTGTTGGATTCTCTTTTCTTTCTTTGCCTTCTTCTTCTCCTGGAATACTTGGTTTTGTTCTTGTAGGTCTGCTTCACATTCGACGCAGCGGATGGCGCCTTCTGATGCTTCCCTCCTGCTGAGCTCGATCTGACACACATCGCATCGCTTGGTCTCCACAGTGAGTCCTCCAAGCATATTGGCGATGCTATCCATGTCATCGTCGACATTGGCCTTTCTCCGACTGGGCGTCTGGCTGCCGCTCAACGCGTCATTCTCCTTGCTCAAATCGCTCCCTGTCAGCTTCGGATGATTACAGGCTTGTCGGAGGCGCATGAGAAGCACCAAGGCCGAGGCATAGCTCATTTTGTTCCCTGCCATCATCATCTCCAGACTTCGGTCTGTTCTGGACTCGAGTCGCTTGTAGAATTCTCGCTCGGCTTCTGTAAACTCTGCCTCCACATTCTCGATGGTGCGCGCGACAATCTTGAAGCCCGGCGACTTTCCCTCGCCCGACCCCTTTCCGTCTTTCGATGGCCCTTGTTGTCTCAGGACGTCTTTAGTACGCCGCTTCATGAACGCTTTCAGATAGACTTGCAACCGCCTAAGCGCAAGACCTGCCTTGCCATTATTCCAGGGTTTCGTGATCTGCTCGCGCCATTGATTGAGATCTTCGTAAGGCTTGATTCGTAGAAAGTGAATCAAGCTCTGCAATTCGTCGAGGTTGTTCTGCATCGGAGTTCCTGTCAGACACCAGCGGTACTCTGCGTTCAAGGCACAAGCGGCCTTCGTGGCTTTGGCATTGCGGTTCTTGATTGAGTGTGCCTCGTCCAATATGATTCGATACCAGTGAATGCCGAAGCAGCCGACTTTCAATGAGCCCTCGGACCCGGCGTGTTCGGACGAGAGCGTCTGATATGTGGTGATGACAACATCGTACTTCTGGAGTTCCTTGTAGCTCTTCGCTCGCTGGGGTCCATGGTGCACGCAGACCTTCAGAGCGTGGTCCTTTTCAACACGGTCTTTGATCTCCCCTTCCCACTGCTTGATCAGGGCGAGCGGAGCCACCACAAGAGTTCCTTTCCCGACGCCTTCGGGCATCTTGCGTTTGCTCTTGGCCAACTCTTCCGCACTTGGCTTTGGATTGGTGAGGATTAGCGCGATCGATTGGATGGTCTTGCCCAAGCCCATGTCGTCTGCCAGAATGCCGCCCTTGGGCAACACGCCTCGGGTCTTCTTCGTGCCGGTCTCCTTGTCGCGCATCCAGTTGACGCCTTCGATCTGATGAGGAAGAAGCGTGACCTTGAGTCCAACGACGGTGCCGTCATCTTCGTCATCTTCCTCCTCCTCGTCTGCTGCGCCTGCGTTGCCCTCGCCTTTGACCGTCATGTTCTTGATTTTGTCCGTCAACTCATCCAGCTTCGTGTCCGCTTGCTTCTTTCTACTTCTCGTCCGCGGTTTGTCATCTTCATCCTCGAATGCTCCTTCGAGCAGGGCTTTGATGTTCTCGTTTGCTTGCGCCGAGTCCATGTAGATAGACGGATCCGAAGTTGCGTATGGCTCGTCTCTGAAAACACTATTCGCAGCCATTCCACCGCGCTCCGATGTAAGGTCCACAACATTCTGAGGTTTGAAATAGGGATTCGCCGACGACTGAGAGGAGAATGTGGGAGGAACGAAAGGCTTCGGTTGCCAGCTAGGGAAGTTGGCCGGCTTGGGAATCTCGAGAACATCGTCATCTTCGACGGTCGCGCGAGACGAAGATGATTTCGTGGGCTTGCCGTCACCGGGCTTGAGATCTCGGAACGCTTGCAACGGGTTCGCAGTGACGTGGGGTTTATGCAGCTCTGGTCGCTGGCCGAGATTCTTCGGAGCCACGAAAAGCTTGGAGTATTTGTCTTTCTGGCTTCCGCTTGCCTGTCGGGGCACTGAGACGTTGGCACCCGGTCTCACCAGCGGCTGCGTCTTCGCAAACGGCTGTGGCGAGGCGCCCAGGGTGGTCGGCTTGCCGAATTCCGGCTGGTTAAGAGCGGCATTCTGCAGAGCTGGATAGAATGGCTGTGGCCGAGGTGCTGCTGCTGCTGCTCTCGCGTTCGTGACTCGGTCTCGGTCTTTGTCTTTGGACTGAGGTTTCGGAGGAGGCGCGGAGTTCCCCATGGAGGGCGTGAGCGGGTTGCGCGCCGGTTCCTGCTCTCGTACCATGTCGCACTGAAACGTGAAATCGAAGGACTGCGGAGGTCTCAGTCCAGCGTGCGATTCAACATGAGGTTGACGTTGACCAAAGACGAGTTTCGGTGTACTGGTATATAACCGCGATGGACCCTTGGGAATGGGAGAGTCGGAGATGCCAGAGGCAGAGGGTGGAGGTCCCGCGGTTGTTGCAGGCCTCCACTTGCTACTACTGTTGGCAGGACAACCAGGCGACGACGGACTACTGCTAGTAGTGGTATTCGAGGAGGCCACCAGACTTCGACTTGTATGCACCCTGTTTCTAGGAGAAGTGTGAGTCCTGTACCGGCAGGGAAACGCTCGAGCGCAGTTTCCTCCGGTGGGCTGCTGGTGACGCTGCGTCTGAGAAGTTCTTCAAAACTTAGCCCACGCAGATGGTCTTCTTTCCTGCTTGTCATTCTGGTCAGCTTTCAAACGGTGATGGTGACAATGGACACTGCTTCAACTTACTTCCAGTCCTAGGCAGTTGGATTCTGACTTGACAGAATTTGTTGTGTGTGATCGCTTCACATCGTCCAAGGCGCTGGGTCGGTGAAGAGTGGAAAGGCGAGGCGCTGTTGACATCATTTCAACAACCAAAATCGTGGGCGAGGCAACGCGAGATTTGTCAGTCTCAGCCTCGTCATTCAAGTTATAGCCTTACAGACCAGAGCCTCATTATAGAAGTTCGATGCAACGAAACGCCCTAAATGTTTACGAGTCCAGTACGACGGTATTGCAGGAACATGACTGGCTGATGTGAAGTGCAAGCATTTGCTTCGAGTACGAGATCCGTCGAAATCCAAAGAGAGCTGCGTCGACATATAGAGACGTCATTACTAGCAGAGAAGAATACAATACGCTCCAGCAACGCCCATTCATATGCCAGACCAAAGTCATAGGGAACATCCAAGCCACCACCATAGAGTCACCCAGCAGCCGCTCGTATGACACCCTCCCAGAACTTCCGCAGTCCCAGTACATGTGCTCTGGTCGGATGAGCACAGGCGCCAGTCGCTGCAGTTCTCTTCTCTTGATCCAGCCTTGCGATCTCGACTTCTCTTCCCCATCTTGCCTGCGCCCTCCGTTTCTCCAGACTTATAGAATCAACACTGTCTGCCATCTCCTGGACGAGCTTCCTTGCAGCAAATCTGCGCACCAAGGTCTTGACCGTGATCCGTTCAGCAGCCTCTAGCTCATCGGCCTTTCTCTTCTGTGCCTGTAAAGCCCGTCCCTCCACCCAAGCTCGCAGCCCATCCTTCAGAGACTCTCGAATCACTTTCCGGCGTGTAGCCACGATGGCGGGAGATACACTCCGACGGGCACATTCTTCTGGTAGGATGTTGAGCGACACAAGACTGTTCATGCTGGGTCTCCGCTCGAGCTTGCGACCGAGGTCGTCTATCAGTCTCCGTCGTTGTATGGCTTGTTGCGACTGTATCAGAGCTGGCGACACGGGCGACCAGTAACCCGTGCATGAAGAAGGCAGGATTGCTCTTTCAACCAGGCTACGCGGACTCGGCCTATGCTCGAGATTGTGACTGAGGCGAATGCGGATGAGGCTCTTGCTTATCTGACGGGACAGGACATTGGTCTTGCTCAACCAGATCCACGAATTGGGCGGGCTGATGGAGGATTTCAACGGTCGTCGCGCCAGGGCAATGGCCAAGGTGTACGAGGCATGATGGAGCCGCTCGTGGTGCAGGAGAGGATCGCAGGCGATGTCGCGGAGTGCATGGCATGTGCGACTGACTTGCAGCAGATCTGGGACTTCCAGGAACGAGAATACGCGTAGGAGTACCTCTGCTGGCAGTATGTCGAGGGACTGGGCCATCACGACCTGCCCGGATGTGAAATGTGCCGCAATCCCCAAGGAGGAGACAACTGCGCACGGGTTAATGTACGGGGGATTGACGGTGTAGTAGAGGTCTGATGATGGGGTAACCCCGGTGTTTCAGCATGAGGAGTGATGCTGATGCCGGCGACGGGCGACGTGTAACATCCACTTCAACTTCAAGTAAGTTGAGAAGCTGGCGACAGGTCAGGTCGCGTGGCTGGAGACTGGGTACGTAGTACTACTACTACTAGTATCGTGTAAGGTAATAATGAGGCTTGGGGCAAGATGTCGCGGGATCACAGGGATCGCTAGTAGGCGGTAATGACGCAGTATGGGGCACGGTTGGCACCACCGCCATCTGTCGCCCCTTGTCCCGATCACCAGGTGTCACCACTCACGACTCTCCACATATCAATATGCTTCCTCTGTGCCAGCACGACTATGTACGTGCGCTGCTGGCCTTTGCCAGCGCCTTCGGTTCCGTTTCGAGAAGAGTGATATTGCTGCCAAACTACCACAGCTATAGTGAAAGCACACTGAAAATCAGACCTGACCCCTATGCCTGCTGTCCATCCAGCTCCAGCTCCGAGCGCCACTCATACTCTAGGTCAAACAGCAAACTCCCATATTACTCATTATACGTCTTCCATAGTTCCCGCTGGTTCGTCCTCGCCGTCGCTGTCGAAGTCTTCCACTTCGCTCAATTCCCCATCTGTCTCGCCTTCGTCTTCATCCGCGTCGTTATGGATGTGTGTCGCGTATTGAACGATGTATTCTGGTTGGCCCGTTAGCAACTCCTTCGTCCATAGCACCAATTCAGTATACCTTTGACTCTGGCATCGTAGCTTCTGGGCTCCCTCATTAACAGCGCGGCTGCTTCTCCGTTCAATGGATCGGTAGGGTTCGGGTATCTGAGGAGTTGAGGCAGGAAGACCTCGAATATGTTGATCATGTCGAACATGGGTGACCACGTCTGGTTGATGACATCCAAGCACACTGAGCCCGACCTGCATACACTGGTCAGCACTGGGACTCCTTCAAACTATCCGTCCTTGCAACAACGCACCCCTCATCGATGTTTGGGTGGAAAATCTTGTTGACGAAGCCAATCGAAGGAGATTTGTAAGGGTATTGGTCAGGTAACTCGACGTGGACTTTCCACTTGCCATCTGCAAAGGGTGCTAGACAGAAAGTCCTCGGTCAGCCACCATCATCTTGCACAGTATGGACCACTGCGCCCATTTGCAGGGGAAATTATGCTCTTACTTTCCGATGGGCCCTTAAAAATGACATAGAACTCCTGCATGTTGTCGTTGACCAGAGTCACCTCATAGTCGCTCATCATGAGCTTCATCACGTCCGTCTCTATCCTCCGCTTTGGACTACTCATTGTGCCTCACCGGATGCGAGTGACTGGATGCTGGTGTCCGCCGGTAGGAATCACGCTCTCTGAGGGGTATGGAAAGATTCGTGTCAGCAAAGACGAGACCAATGAAGGCTGGTTCGTCTCGACAGCAGGGAGAAAGCTGAAGCAATGGTGGCGAGGAGGGTGCGAAGTCGGAAGGGTGAGGTATGGTCTTGCGGAGCAGGACCGGAATGGACTGGCGGGTCGAGCTCGGCTCTTTCTCTGGGAGCCGGAGGAGTTAAGGATACTCAAGAGGTCTATAGATGTGACTGAATAGAACGGCTCGTTCGTGGGGGCTGTTGTACGGTTGTATGTGTTCTAACCAGGTTGCAAGGCGCAGAGAGAGGGGACGCTGGTGAGTAGGTTGGATATAGAAGACATGGGAACCCAGATGCGGTGTTGGGCGTTCATATGCGAGATGATGGTTGGAAGCGTGGGGCGGTGGATAGCACGTTGGTTGGCGGCCAGGCTGCGGTGGGAGCGCTTTAAGCACTCACTTTAGGCACCGAAGACCCCCGACTGGCGCCACCGCCCGCCTATGCGATAAGCCAACGACTTACGACACCCAAGTCGGACAGGTGAGATGTAGACTGGTCAGCTGCCCAGCGTCCGTGTTCGGAACAGGAGCAAAATATTGGTTGAACTGAGCATCATTCGCCAGCTCTGCCTCTGCTATCATCTGCCAGTAGTCAAGTCAACTTGACAGCCAGAAGGACGTTCTCAGGTACACATAGGTAGGTGCATGAGACAAAACCTCATTGAAGCCTTAGGGCCACCAGAGGCTTTGCGTACAGAGTGATCTATATCAGGCGAGAGCGCCCGAGTGAGGTGTTTTTCTATCTTGTCAATAGTGACATACCTCTGCTTGTCGAGCAAGTCTACTCACCCAGAGGTACCTAAGGGTTGAGCGTCAACATCTTAGAGTGACTCCTTCGGCTGCTGCAGTGGCTCGCAAAGAAAAAGCGTCTCTGGGTTGATGAGAGAAAGGTACCACGGTACTGAGAACAAAGAAGAGCTGTACGTAGAGGGCGCCTAAGCTCAAACAGTGTTAGGCGGCCATTTCAGCTATAGTCCGCGACCGTCAACACCGAGGCTCATCTGCGCACACTGCGTTCAAATTCACTAAACACCCTTTCTCAGATATACGCTTAAAGAACTCAGCACGACAACAATGAATATAACAACTCTTCCACCGCCACTTTCTCCCAAGATGACTCACGGTAGCTTGAGCTTCTTCTCAATTCTCGAGCAACTGTCATCCTCTCCCACCATACCCAGTCAATTTGGCTGAGAAATGGCCATAATCTCCTGCAGCAACGGAGCCTCTCTGCTCACACGACCACCATCTAGAATATGTCTGAAGACTCTCACACGACAGAGTCAACCATGGCAGCAGCTACGTTGGAGCTCACATTCTCCTTCGGCTCCCTCCCTTCTGGCCCGAGGCCAAAAGCCCGTCACCATCCAGACCCTGCAGAAGATGTACGCGGAAAAAAGCCCAATAACCATGCTGACGGCGCATAATTTCCCATCCGCGCTGATGGCACAAGAGGCGGGGATGGACATCATCTTGGTGGGAGATTCACTCGCAATGGTCTCGCTGGGCATGCCGGACACGTCCGAGGTCACCCTTGACGAAATGATAATGGCCGCTCGAGCCGTCAGTCGCGCAGCCAACCGAGCCTTCACCACTGGAGATTTGCCCATGGGTTCTTACGAAATCAGCCCTGAACAAGCGCTTGCCAGCGCAATCCGAATGGTCAAAGAAGGCCGAATGCAGAGCGTCAAACTCGAAGGCGGTATGGAAATGGCGCCCGCGATCAAAAAGATCACAACGGCAGGCATTCCCGTGTGCGCACACATCGGCCTGACACCTCAACGCCAGCATGCTCTTGGTGGATTTCGTGTCCAGGGAAATACCCTCGACAAAGCCATGTCTCTACTCAAGGATGCCAAAGCGGTAGAGGAGGCTGGCGCGTTCGCCGTCGTCCTGGAATGCGTTCCGTCTGATATCGCGGAAGAAGTGACCGGCGCTCTTAGGATACCCACGATTGGTATCGGCGCAGGCAACAAGACTAGTGGTCAAGTCTTGGTGCAGATCGACATGCTTGGGGTTCGGCCGCCCGACGCCTTCATGCCCAAGTTTGTTAAGAAATATGGATCGATATGGGACGCCGGCTTGGCTGCCATCAGGCAGTACAAGGAAGAAGTTGCCGACCGGAGCTACCCTGGGCCGCAGCATGTGTACAAGAGTGACACAAAGGTGACGGAAGCGTTAAGAGCTGCGATCCGGTCGGGCAAACCATAGGTCTTTCACCGTTATTGATGGTTGTGTTGCATTTCGCAAGCGGTTGCGGGGACTGGGGTTTGGCATGTTTCAACCAAAAGCAGGCGTGGCAGAGTAACTGACGATTAATTGATCGTCTGTCTTGAAACACTACAAAAGTTGGAACTTGATTAGCAATATCATGGACAAGGGGCCTGGATTTGGATACATACCCGAAATAAATTTCCCACGCCCTCGTCCAGACCAGGAGCAAACACGCTGTTGACGTACAGGAACAGCCCATCTCCTTCTTTGATACCGAGCTTCTTTCGTAGGAAGTTCAAGACGACGCTGAATCTAGACGACGCGTTGATCTTGAAGACTCTCTGCTTGAGTATCGGAGCAGACCCAATGGCTTGAAAGCGAACAGAAACTGTAGAACAAAGAGGGGTGGTCAGCGCCATGTAGAAGAGGGATCAAGACCCAGAGCGAGTCCGAGTAGAGCTCAGGTGTCCATCGTCCGCTGGTTTAAGACAAGGTGATCGGGGGAGATGTCCCAACACACAGCTTTTGGGCAACCACTTCATAGATATGGAACTTACCTTTGTGGTTATCAATCTCGTCAACCTCCTTCAGTGCCTGGCTGGCATCTTTCGGCAGATGGGTCAAAATGACACTGGCAGTCATGCTCATGGGCAGGTCACCACCGCCCACGCCCTCTTGATCATCCTCATCTTCGTCGTCAGGCGTCGCAATGTTGTCAGCATTCGTCTTGTGCTGCGGGACGAGCGGCGAGCGTTTCATGGAGGCAGATTCCTTCGAAGGCTGACTGGGTGAAGACATGAAGGATGTAGAGGTGTGTAAATCTTCTTGGGCAAAACCAACACAGATTGTCATGACAAATATAAACTCCCTCCTAGAACCGTCTTCTACACTCCGAAAACAATGAATGTGCTCCCTGTAGAAGAGTAGATGCATTCACTGCGTGGTGCCTGAGTCAGTGTATTTGGTATGTACTGCAGGGAGTAGAGTCAGGGTAGAGCCGATGTATTGCCGGCAACCAGTGACATGCGACGGAACGCGACTGCCAAGCACAAAGACAAAAGCAACATTGACGCGACATTTCAACCTCATTCTTTCAATATGCGAGCCGGTATCAGTATGAGCGTCGCCTTTGATGAGATTGTTGTCTGCTGCTGCCCAAGATCAAAGGTGGGTTTCACGTAGCTGACAATGCCCCAGATCTCAAGTCATTGCCATATAAAGAGTGTGGCCAACGAAGGAGGTGGCAGCAAGATTGAGCACAATGGCAACGACATGAACCGCAGGTTCGGCAGTCACAATGAGCCCAACGGCTGATGGAGGCGACGAGAGCACTACAGATAATTTCGACAATGGAAACAACGGGATCGCCGACCGCAACGGGAGAAGGTACCGATAAAGGTGATAAGAGTACTCAAGGCAACGAAAGCAGAGCACGACAAGAACGGTGCCGACCGCACGACTTACAAAGGTTAGCGACGATGGGAACGATAGGTTTGGCAACGGTAACGAGCTGGACGACCGATAATGGCGACGAGAGCACTCACCCTAACAAAAGGAGTTAATAACAAGACCGGTGCCGACCGTATAACTAACGAATAACAACGACGATGGGAGTGATAGGATCGGGAACTATAACGGAGTATAGGACCGATAAAAGCGACGAGATTATACGAGTCAACAAAGACAGGGGACGACAAGACTGGTGCCGACCGCACAATTAACAGACGAAGTACAGCGACGATGGAACTGCGGCGGCGACTGTAGCGAAAGAAGATGTGAACCGATATGGCCAGCGGCCTCGCATTACTCAAGCATAGCATGCTGTAATGGCTCGCTGTCGGCGGCCTGGGCCAAAGTTCAGGCCGGAAGACCAGGAAATCCGCCTGCCTGGCGAATCTTCGACAACCACTCCAGCATCAGCGCCTTTTCGGCGACGTGGCTGCCAGCGACGTGCCCAGCCTTCTCCAGGTCCTGGGCGACCTCCTCCTCCCTCTCCAGGCCCTGCAGAGCAGCAAGGTACTGCTTGCTCTCTCGGGTGCTGCCTGGCCTCGGGTCCTGGCCGCCGTGCGTGACCCGCCACTTGTTCAGAGCCAGCTTTTCTTTTGCCCGATCGCGAAGCTTGGCCCGGACCTCGGCGTCGTTGGTGGTGGAGGTGGTGGCGGCGGCATAGTCCAGCGCCTTCCGAAGGTAGTATGGGCTCCAATTGAGCGTGTCGTCGCGTGCCACCAGCCGATCTACCAGTGCGCCCGGTTGCTCCTCTCCATCGTCTCCCCAGGCCAGTTCTCCGACGACCTCCTCGACAAGAACTCTGAGATTTGCGAGATGTGTTTGGTCCGGTATGTCGTAGGAGGCCGGGATGTAGTCCTGCTTCAGGACCCAGGCGATCTCGCGAGGCTGCATACCATGCAAGGCCAACCAGAGGAGCAAGTCGCGATCGTTGTCGTCTAGGAAGTCGTAGACGGAGCGAGTGGGAGTGTTTGGGTTGACGAAATCTGCAGCGCGAAAAGCCTTTCTCCATACTGCGGCGGTGTCGGCGGGCCGAATGGTTCCTGACATTATGAGGCTTGATTTGACTGTGATGGACTGCTGTGAGGTGCGTGGAGAGGTCTTTGACTGTGATGAAGCGTGTGGAAAGGTATTCGGTCTGGTATCTGACGTTTCAAGAATCAAGGTAGGTTCTGTGATGGTTGGTGGTGCAAGAGATGAAGCGAGTTGCGAGGTGGATGAAGAGGATAAGGCGAGGTCAACGAAGGGTGCGGCAGGAATACCTGATACCTAACACATGGGAGATGCCCTGTTTTTCCTACGTGAAGGTGAGGTGAGGTGAGGGCGAGGTACAGCGCAACGCTTGTGAGCCATACTGACCGGCAGATGTCTGCGCGAAACTGCAATGAGTGCGGCTTCAGATCGATTGCTGCACCACTACTATTCTACGAGATCCGCTGCATCTGACACAGTTCAACTGGGTACGGGAGGGTATATGTTCGATGGACCGCTGCCACTATGCGTTGCTAAGCTATCATGAAAGCCGTACATTATGCCTCCTTTGGCACAACCGATCCACGGAGAAGATCCAAAACTCCTACACAATGCATCGATCGCTCAAGATCTCATCAATAACTTTCAGGGAGGTCGCTAAAATCGGGGACATCGGAATCACACTTGAACGACGGCGAGTAAGCCTTGTCCGGCAATATGCCAGCCTTCAGACCCAACATCCAGCTCCACTGGGTAGCACTCTCGGTCTTCCAGGTCCAATAGAACCAGCCCCAGGCCTGTTCGAAGCTATGCATTTGTGCCTCAGCATACATCTGCAAGAATTGCTTGTACGAGTCACTGTACTGGCTGGGGTCAGCGTTGGCTTGTGCGCAGGAACAGGGCGGCTCAGCGCAGGTAGGAGTCAAAACAGCCGTCTGCGAATCTCCCGTGTCGAGCGTGCCAGCCCACCTGGAGCCTACGCCGACATTGTTGAGATTGGGCGTACAGTCCGTATCGGCTTGAGACCACTCGCCGTCCAGAATCGGACCCCATCCGGTGTCGGGATTGTTTGCTGCCACGATCAGCCCAGTCCAGCCGGAGCAGGCGAGGTTGATTTTGTCTTTGTGTTTCAGCTTGAGCTGGCCGGTGTTGAAGATCTGGTATTGATGCGTGTCCATGACCAGCTTGTCGTCGACGCCGTGGAACATGTTGTCCCAAGAGTCCAGACTCAAAAACCCATCGCCGAACACGAGATACTGTTTGATGCCATTGCCACGGATCACCGCGACGGCTTTCTTGTTCCAGTCCACCACCGAGTCCGGCGGGATGACGAGCATCTTGGGCTCATTTACCAGGCCGTAGATGGTCACCACGTTTTTGTATCGATCTTGGGCGAAGAATTTGGACAGCTGATCATGGATATCCAAAGATCTCTGTGCATTTGTGGTGCCATTCGCCCCCAAGATCCAGCCAATGTCGCCTTGGTGGCCGCTGTGTGCCCATCCATTCTGACTTCCAGGCAAGGAGTGTAAGTCCAAATTCACCCGCAATCCGTTCTCTCGTGCATATTCGATGGCACGAAGCAGATATCGCCAGGCGACCTTTGGCAGATAGGGATCGCCTTCGTACGTGGTCACAGCCCAGTAGGGGAACGGGATTCTCACATGGTCCAGGCCGGCGTTTCGGATGTCGACGAAGCTCTGCTTGGTGATGAACGTGGCATAATGCGACTCGAGGACCCGCTGGGCCGATGAGCCCAGTTTCTGCGTCAAGGTCCATTCATCCACGACTTTGGCTGAGGCGGGATAGCTGAACAGCGATGGAGTGATGAATGGTTCCAGCGAAAGCCAGCCTCCAATGTTGACTCCGCGGATGGGCACCTTGCCATATTCCCAGTTCTCATTCAGGGCGGGAACGTTGTCGTTTGCTTTGGCCGAGTCGTCCCAGCTCGAATGGAGGCCCATGACAGACAATCCGCCGACCGTCTCATTTGTGTATGTACAGTTGAAATCCGTGGTATCCAGCCACGTCGAGATGTCGGTGTATGTACCTTCTGCACTCTCTGGTACAGAACTCGAATCACAATCATTTTTTGGATCAGACGAAGTCGACGAGGAAGCAGAATTCGAGGAAGATGAAGATGAAGACCCTCCCGATGACTTTTTGCTGTTATTGCTCACGACCACGCCGACGGGGATGAGGATCGCCAACAACACCGCCACGGCGAGTAATGCCCACCACAGCTTCTTCCGTGACCGTCGTCCATGCCCTTCATAGAATTCTTCGTTCTCGTATCGACCACCACCTCCACCTCCTCCGCCAGGTTTATGACGAGTGTGCTTGTGCGCTCTGCCCTCCTCGAGGATCGCCCCACTGACATTGCGATTTTTCTGCTTCTGCTTCTGCTTTTTGCGCTGTTTCTGCTGCGACACCTCGACGGCCTTGAGTTCCTTGTACTGTTTCTGTCGGCGTTTGCGTTGGTCGTATTTCTCCTGGAACTCGGCTTTCTCGTTGTAAGCGTTCAGCTTGGCCAAAGCGTCGCTACTGAGCAATTGGCTCGTGCTGTTCGTCGAGGTGCCGGAACTGTATTTTGCCCTGTCTCTCTTTGGTTCTCGCTCTGCTTCTATTCTCGTTGTCTCGCGTCTCGAAGTGTAACGGTAGTCACGGTTTCCTCCGCCAGCGCCAGCGCCACCGCTCGTACTTCTATGTCTTCCACTCGCGCGCCGGGGTTTCTTCTCCGGTGACGGCACAGGCGATGACTTGGCTTTCTCTTTCGTCCTCCGTTTCGGGGTCGTGCGTGGATGTTCGTCATCGGTATTGTCATCCACGTGCGCAGGCGGTGCAGGGGCCGCAGGGCGAGCCCCGGGAGGACGGTTGAATGCTGGGCGGGTGTCGGCCCTCGCCGTGGAGTCGCGACGGGGCTTCGACATGCAAAAGCAGCTGCGCGTGAGCGTAGAGGAGATGCTTCATATCAGAGTCGAGTTCTGGGGATTATGGTTCATTGATCGCATGAAAGGAATGCTGTACTACTGTTGCTGGCCGCGTATGTAGAAGGCATTCATTCCAATCGCTGGGGTCCGTCGAGTCTTGGTTTCTTTGTGTTTACGGGATTTGCGTTGACGTGGCAACGAGACCATGTGCGACTTTCTTCCACATCTCAATTCTACCATCTGGTAAGGCTTCCAAGCGATAGTAGTTATTAATTCTATATGTCCAACCAAGGCACGATGAACTTCATCCTCAGATTATGTAGGAATATATGCCTTTCGCGTCGTATCATGCGCCTGGAAGGGAACACAACAAATCGTCCAACTGAATGCCGCATACACAGTCAAGGCAACTAACTAACGATCTATCCCTTACAAACCTACCTCCAGTTCTCTGGACTTGTCAGGGCTCGTTCACCGCATTCAGCGCAATCTCGCGATTCCCCCGATTCACCTCCGACACATAACGGTCCAGGTACGCCGGGATCTGCGCGACTTTATTCGTCGCACTCGGTACGGGAGCGTCGAGAGCCTCATACACGGGCACGACGCCGGTCCAGACCTTGTCGGTGATCTCGTCTCTGGTCTGATCCTTCGGCTCGTCATGCGGACCACCCTGGCGGACCTTGCCACTGCCGCTCTCGATCTTGACTCGGAGAATCGTGGTCGAGGTCATCTCGACATTGTCGGGCGGGACGCGGGTATTCTCCCACCGCCCGGCCACCACTTTGTCGGTGATCAGCTGCATGGCGTACACTTTCTCCTCGGCCGTCTCCACGAGTCTGGCGTACCCCTGCAGCACGGCCGAGCGGTAGTTGTAGCTATGTGAGTTGGGCGTCAGCGACAGCACGAAGCCGTCCACTTTGGTCGCGGCGACGCAGATCGGGAGACCGTCGGGAGACTCTCGTGCCAGACGCATCAGGCGCGAACTGACGTAGCCGTGGAGATAGCAGTCCAGTGGCTCGTCGAGGCCGGAGGATGGATACTCGAAGGATCCCATGGCCCCGATCATGGGGAGGATTGCTGGGAAGGGCTGGTCGGCGCTGGGGGCGAAGGAGACATGGAGGACAGAAGTCGTGTTGATGATGGAATGGATGGCGCCTAGGTCATAGGTTGCTACAGAGTCCCAATCAGGAGATCAGTTTTTCCTGTCTACTAGCCGATAGACAGATCCTAGGCAGAAATATACTTCTCTGGGCACCTTGAAGTACTCACCTCTGCTGTTGTATCGCTTGACTGTATTCTCGGGCTTTTTGGGGTATTCCAGATTTCGAACCATTTTGGCGGTCTGTCTGCGCCTGTAGGCAATTGTTCTGCAATAGATCTGGACTGGACGGGGTCAACAGCATTCATGTGTATCTTATAACGGACAAGGACAACATCATAGTCGATCGTATGAGTCACTGACAGTCCAATGCCCATGAGTCGGAATCAAATGCGAAGGGCGTCAATGGACATGTCCATGTCTGTCCGAGTGAGGAAACTCGATGCGACTGACAGCAGCATTTGGAGAAGAGCGACGCCGCCAGTTCGTTCGTCTTCTTGATGAGATCAGTGTCTACTCGTATCTGTCTGTCTAGATATATACACTTCTGCTACCACTGTCTCGCCCTGCATGTCGATGCGGAGGACATTATGGCAGACGCTCAAGTGTGCCGATAATGTCCTCAATGGCCTCAACGGCCGGACACCCAGCAACGCTGCTCGTCTCAGCAGAAAATGCCCTCGATCCTCACGCCGCAGCTACAACACCATCACGGTGAACGCTGCGGACCTTTCCTTCGGCCAGCCCGTGCATGAGACGCATCCACACCTCCTCCAGCCAGGCGAGCTGACGCCGGGCATCACCGCGCAAGAATATGCCGACCGACGAACCAAGCTGGCTGCCAGACTCCCCGACCGGGCCATCGCGATTGTGGCGGCGTCCGACATCCAATTCCGGTCCGGCAGCGTGTTCTACGAGTTCCACCAAGACCCGGACTTCCTGTATCTGACGGGATTCAACGAGCCGGAAGCGCTGGCGGTGATCGGCAAAGATCCCACAGGAACAGACCATACATTCCACCTGTTCGTGCGCGAGAAGGACCGCAAGGCGGAGATCTGGGACGGCGCGCGATCCGGCACGCAGGCGGCTCGAGACGTGTTCAACGCCGACGAGACGGGCGACATCACACGGCTGAAGAAGGTTCTGCCGCAGCTCGTGGGCGAGGCGTCGCAGGTCTATACCGACATCACGACGCCCGACCCGAACCAGTCCGCTCTCCGGCGATTCCTGTACGGGCCGTCGCGCAAGAAGACCGACTTCTCCGAACTGATCGAGGCCAGCAAAGTGCATCGACTGCGCCCGATCCTCAACGATCTCCGCGCCTTCAAAAGCCCCGCGGAGATCGAGGTCATGCGAAGAGCCGGGAAGGCGTCAGGCCGAGCACACACCGAAGCCATGCGGCGGGCGTGGACGCGCGAAAAGGACCTCGATGCATATCTCCGCTACCGGTTCGTCGCGGACGGATGCGACACCATCGCCTTCGAGCCCGTCGTGGCCGGCGGCAAGAATGCGCTGAGCATCCACTACGTGCGCAACGACGACGTGCTGCAGGATGACGAGATGGTGTTGGTCGACGGCGCTGGCAAATCCGCCGGATACATCTCCGACATCACCAGAACGTGGCCCGTCGGCGGGAAGTTCTCTGACGCCCAGCGCGATCTGTACCAGGCCGTCCTAACCGTGCAGAGGACGTTGATCTCGTTGTGTCGAGGCAGCGCCAACATGTCGCTGGACAAATTGCACAGCATTGCCGAGGACTATCTGGCGAAAGAGCTGCAACAGATCGGATTCGACGTCACGTCCAAGACCATCGAGGCCCTGTTTCCCCATCATTTGAGCCACTACATCGGCATGGACGTCCACGATACCGTGGGATATACCCGGAAAACCGTGTTGCAGGAAGGTCATTGTATCACTATCGAGCCAGGTATCTATGTGCCGGATGATGAGCGATGGCCTAAGCATTTCAGGAACATGGGTGTGCGGATCGAAGACAGCATCAGCGTGCAGGAGGATTCTCCCTACGTCTTGACTACGGAGGCGGTCAAGGAGGTGGTGGACATTGAAGCCTTGAGAGATTGAGCCATCCGTATCTGCTGGTCTAGAAGGACTCCATCTGGCGTAAAAGTAGAATTGGAATTGAACAAACAAAATGTACAACATGCTGCTGGTCAAAGTACAGGAGATGCCTTCTCTTCATACCATCAGCATATTATATTGGCTATATGTAGATTACTACTACTCTTGACGTCTTCATCCCCGACTCGCTAACGTGAGAGATGTGTCTGTCGTATATTTACTATATCTCTTAGATCTCTATATCTCCTCTATCTCCATGTCTGCCGTAACCCGCTCTTTTCCTACTCGGGCCATTCCCCAGTCTAACAACCAATCGACGCAGCAGAAACAAAAACCCCCCACCAGGTGTTATCAACTCTTGATCATCTTCCATATCATCGGCTTGACACGCCAGCCAGCCAGTTTCAGAGACCATTCCGAGAAGCAAGAACACAGACAAACAGAGATGGCCATCCCAGTCAAACCCTCCTCGGCTTCAGATCCGTCCGAAACGAGTCCTCTGCTGAACCATCACGGTGATGTTGATGAGAATGCTGTGTCCCACGCCAACAGCTACACCGTCGACCCGGAGAACCATCAACCTCCATCCACCGCTGCAGATGCAGATGGCGACGACAATGACACCGGCGTCAACGAGGTCGTCGCGGTCGCAGAGGAACTGAGCAGGGAGAGACTCGTGGCTATCATGGCCGCGACGTGGATTGGTATCTTCTTCGCCGCTTTGGGTATGTCATGTTTCTCACTTTTTCGGAATCCCCCCGTCGTTGTCGTTGTCGTTGTCGGTAGCAATGTGGTTGTCTGGGTTCTATGGCATGATCTAGGGCAGAAGCGGGCGGTTGAGCAGGATCATACTGGTGCTGCTACTCTGCTCCAGCTACACTGCTCCAGCTACAAGCTGTACAGCCATCATCGGTGCTGGAAATGCACTCAGTACTATATACCCCGTCGACTCCTGCAATGTCTGTCCACCTATTGTCATGATCTGGACTCTCTCAACCCCCATCATCGAACTTACTTACTCATACTAACCAACCCATCTCCTCGTCATCGCTCAGACACAACCATCGTCGCAACCCTCACCGGCCCGATCTCATCAAGTTTCAACTCCCTCAGCCTCCTATCGTGGCTCGCGACCGGCTACCTGATCGCCAATGCCGCATGCCAACCGCTGTCCGGGAAACTGACCGACATCTTCTCGCGCCGGACAGGCCTGATCTTCAGCAACATCTTCTTCGCCGCGGGCACGCTGATGTGCGGCTTGGCCCCGACCGCGGGCGTCATGATCGCCGGACGCGTCGTGGCCGGCGTCGGCGGCGGCGGGCTGACCTGCATCTCGACCTTCGTGACGTCCGACCTGATCCCGCTGCGCAGGCGAGGTCTATGGCAAGGCTACGGCAATCTCGTCTACGGGCTGGGGATGGGGTCCGGGGGTGTGGTCGGCGGCGCCTTGGCCGACTCGTTGTCCTGGCGCTGGGCGTTTCTGATGCAGATCCCGTTCATTGTCGTGTCGACTGTCATGGTGTGGTTTCTGTTGGATATGCCAGTTTCTGTTCTTTCTGGGCATTCTGATGTTAACACCAACAACAATCACAACTCTAACACCAACGACTCTAACAGCCCCAACGACACCAAAAACTCGGCCCTCCGCCGCATCGATTTCTCCGGCTCCGCCCTCCTCGTCATCTCCTTGGTCCTACTTCTTCTCGGCCTCAACAGCGGCGGCAATCAACTGCCCTGGTCGCACCCGCTGATCATAGCTTCTCTGGTGCTTGCTGGCGTCACGCTTCTCGGCTTCATCTATCTCGAATCCCAGGCCGAATTAAACTCGAATCCAAATTCCACTTCGACTCCGGCGTCCCGCCGTCGTCGTCACCGCGAACCAATCCTCCCCGTCCTCCTGATCGCACGCACCCGCACCGTTCTCTCCGCCTGCCTCACGAACTGGTTCAGCACCATGAGCGCCTTCCTAGCACTGTACTACGTGCCACTGTACCTGCAAGTGCGCGGCTTCAGCGCCACGGCCGCCGGCCTGCGCGTCATCCCCTTCGCCGTCGCCACGTCCGTCGGCAGTCTGGGCTCGGGCTACCTGATGCGCCTCACGGGCCGCTACTACTGGCAGCTGGTTGCGGTGATGGGCGTGTACGTCCTCGGCGCCGCCCTGCTGTGCACGTTCCAGCTCGACTCTGCCGGCTGGCAGACCTACCTGTACGTCACGCCGCTGGGCATGGCGTACGGGAGCATGTTGACCATCACGCTGGTCGCCATGATCTCCGCCGTCGACCATGCGCACCAGGCCGTCATTACCGCCGCGAGCTATGCGTTCCGTTCGACCGGCTCGACCATCGGCATCACCGTGGCGAGTGCCGTGTTTCAGAACATCCTGACCAAAGAGCTGGTCGGTCAGTATGGGGATATGCCCGACAGTCGGGGCGAGATCCGCAGAATCAGAAACAGTCTGGATGAACTCGGTCGGTTGCCGCTCGGTTGGGACAGGGCCGTCGTCTTGGATATCTACATGGATGCACTGAGGGGCGCGTTTGTTGCAGGGTTGGGACTGGCCGTGTTGGCTGCTCTTGCTGCGCTGGCTATGAAGGAGCATGTTCTACATCACAATCTCGCTAGGAAATAGGGGAACACTGGTCCGCATAGAAAGAAGCCTGCACGGATCTGAGTTGGACGTGATGGTGATAGACGCTATATAAAATGGGATGGCTAGTAGACTTGATTGAGTTGGCGAGAATATAGAATTCAGCTTAGCTAGATATGATACCGGTGCTGACTAGCTGATATTAGGTGTTCAGAAGTGCATGGCATACAAGGTGATGGATATATATGTCGACACATTATCACCAGATGGGTGTACTTGGTCAGCGTTCAAGATAGCATCCATCATACCAGTCCGGACCACATTCAACGGAGACAACTCTCAATCGCTCACAAGGAGTATCGTGGCCAATCAAGCGGAGCAAACCATCAACAGAGACTTGTCTGATCCCCATGGAATTCGCTGGAACTCGAATCTTACCTTTCGTCTATTCTGTTGCCTTGAGTGCTCACCTCATAAAAATGCCATCAATCGTCCGTCTCAAGTGACAAGCCCACTGTTTCACCCAGCAGACTTTCAGGACAATTTCGAGACATGGTACATTGCTCCGATCCAACAACCACAATGAGCGTTGTGTCATGATTTGATCCATATCTTGCTGACTTGATTCAATGCAGATTCTTCTTGAAGTGGTCTTCACAGTTGGAATATCCGGCATTTGGATCGACAGCGCAGACATGCGCATAATGGGGTCTGATCGTCTCATTGGCTGTTGTCGGAGGGCTATGGGAGGATTGGCACACGGAGCTGTACCTAGAGCTGGTCTGAGAAGACTAGTGGTACCATTCAAGACTCGCAGTTGTCTTCCTAAGGTCCTGATCCGTGGCAGTCACAAATGCAGTGACCGGCGAGACTTCAATGGCAGGAAGGAATCTGCGTGCGGATGGGTACCTGCTGTCAGCATCCGAGGGTTGAATACTCGTCCTCACCTCACAAGGAGGAGAATGGCAACATACCTAAAGTACTGCTATTAGCTGAAGTAGTCTCAAGCCCGACCAGCAAAGGTCGTTGGTCTTCACCGAGATTGTAAACTGCGGTATATCTTGCGTTGTGGAGGGCGCTTCATCAAGTCAGTAGAATCTGTCATTGATCAAAGCCGTAACTCGTGAGAGGAGCAGAAAGAAGCAGGACCACCATCCAGGGACAAGACGTATGGTAGGTTGAGCTGGAGCTGCTGTAGATAGAGTCAATCTTCACGACAGTCCAGGAGACTGACTGACCCAGGAGACGGAGCGTCTTTGGACCGCAGAGCCTCATGCCTCGAGCAGACAGCTATCAGGACTGACTCGAGTAAAGCAAGCTCAAGTGTATCGTTAGTCATGTGGTAGCAAGTCAGACATCCTAGTCCACCTTCACACCTTCACGCGGGCCGGCAATCCTGGCCTCGATGATGTGGCAAGATGGGGTAGGCTTCAGGATGAAAGATCCTGCCATGATCCAACCCATATTGCCTCTGACCTGGGACCATTTATCTGCCCATCACACGGGGAATCTCTGACCCGCTTCCTTGCCGTGCATCGAAGCGAGGATGCTGAGCAAAGTCCGACAAGAAACAGTGTGGGTCCTCGCAGCTTCCTAAAGCCTGCCAGGGCAAAGACCGCTCGCCTCATTCTTCCTACGTTCGGCCCCATGTTGCCATCCACGACTGGAGAATCCCTGACGATAAGGAGGCCATGTGAACTGCTGGCTTGGCAGGAAGACCAGCGTGATGAGACCTAGACCCGTATGATACACTGCCTCCACAGCGTTGTTTCTTCTGACTCGAATGGACTGGAGCAAGCATGAAGCCCGTCAAACTTAAGCATTTCAGCCCAACTGCTCCATACCGATACAGAGTTCACTGGGGGAACGAAGGGGTTGCGTGGTTATTGTCCGCGAAAGCATGCTAGTATGATAGCTGCAGATGTCGAACTCATGGCGTGGAGAAGTGCAAAAGAGTGGATCTTGGAAAGCCATAAGCATGTCGCGTTCAACAGGCACTGACACCCTCTGCGGCGTGGGAGAGACTACAGGCTGCAGGACCAAGGATGACACCCCACCCAGGGGACAAAGGACCAGAAAGCAACGGAGACAGATTACCTCCTCGGGACTTCTTGCCGCCACCGACAGGCAGAAGATATGGATGCCAGGCTCGGAAGCTGGACCTATTTCTCCAGTGGCTTCGTCCGAGGTGGGAAAGAAAGCGAAATCGTGTTCATCCATGCAGTCTGGCCCCTGGAAGTGAGCGGGTTACCAGCAGGGATCAACTTTTGACAGTTGATGCCCACCAATGCCGTCAAGACAGCTCAACACACTGCACAGCTTGATGTGCCAGAGAACATCCGCTAGATATATGAGCGAAATGGCAATATTTCCGCTCCGGGCTGATGCGCTGTCCGATCACTGAGGCTATGGTTAGGTCGACTTTTGGGAGAAAAGGCTGACCAGCCACCAGCTGAGTCGGCCTGCGACGCTGGTCTGGCCAAATCACAAAGGAATGACAACTTCGTCTGGAGCAAGGGGATAGAGAGGGTCTGGTCCAGTGATCGCTTGTCCGTCTCGAGAACCATTCGAGCCACGTTTTGCAATGAAGCTGGCCAAACGTGGCATTGTTGACCAAGGGACCTAGAGACGGTTCGCGCTCCGCATGCCCATGTGGACAAAACTCGTACGATCCCTACCTCCACTGCCGTAGCACCCATCGCCCCTCGTCCCGGCATGCTCTAGCGGGGTCTTTCTGAAAGTATCTTTTTGTACGTCAAAGGTCGATCACGGGCGACCTTCAAGCCAACCGTCAGGAAGAACCCTGGAGCGTCTCACTTCAATGGTTGTAGGTCATGTTTTGAGGCTTTGCCGCGGCCTAGTGGTCTCGGAAACAATGCGACAGATCTGACATATCCGCTAGGCTGTCAAAGATTACCTTTCAATGTAGCCGAACTCCAGGCTTCGGGGAATATGACGGCGATCTGCGGAGTCCAAGAGTCCATGCAGTAAAGGTGTAACAGTTGCCAACTGGCAGCAACAGTTGCATGTTTCCGCCATGACCACGGCTTGCTGCGGCAAGTGATTGCTGTCTAAAGTCCGCAAGCTGATCCACCACTTGGGCCCAAAGGTCGCTTCTGCGGGTCCTGGCAATCCACGACTCACAGTGTGACACTTTTCAACCGCCGTGCTGCTGGTGCTTCTTCCGGAAAGGTCGGACACTCGAGTGCCATAGCGTTGACCTCGGAGGTCGAAGGTAGCCATGGAAACGAAGAACGTTAGCTGCATGATGCGATGAGAGAAGGGCATGTGCTGCAGTATCCATGCCGTCTCGTGCTTGCCATGCTTGGTTGTCATGAAAATCCCCTGGATTTGCTACCTGTGACAATCCATGAAGCAGGGATGGCATGATGCATAGGAGCGGCCACTACCGCTGCCATTGCCGCTGATGGGGTGGGTGAGGGCATGCACTGTGAATCGAAACATTTGTCGTAACTAGTCAGAGTGCGATTGGTCAGTATGGTGGACACGTCTCAAGTTGCCCTGGATAAGAGGTGGCAAAGACGTCCATACTGCAAGCGAGAAGGTCGCATTTGCTGGTTTGGAAAAAGATATATCAATCTCAAGAGGCCCATAGCGCCACTGCGAAGCCTCGAGTTCAGCTCGTCCAAAAGTTTCTGGGCGACAGTGAAACGAGGTCCGAAAATAACAATTGTAGGTGCTTACAGTGAGTCCTCCCAAACCCCATGAGGCGCAAGAGTCAAGCTCCAGACACTGACGATAATGTTCCGATACAGACCAGGGTGCGTTTTAGAATTCGAACGATCAAGACAAGCCACACTGTAGGTACAAAGTCTTGAGGTCGATTGACGTTTGACTGACAACTGTGCGGTCGGTATCCTGACGGCAACCGAAACCGTGCAAGGTAAGTTCGCAACGTCTCCGAAGATGCAACATTCGAGCAGCTGATGGATCTGCACAGCATGTGTTACTTTGCCAGAACCGATTACCGCTGTGGAGATTGGAGATGGGGCAACATGAAAGTCCGATGCCCACGACAACCTCGCATGGGAGAGACATGCGGCGCCAAGTTGTTGGACACGGAGAATGTGACCAGAGTGGACGATGACTGCCGACTCTGCCAGGAGATTATCATCAAGCAGAGGAGACTCCAGAGGGAGAGAGACAACATCCGACGCTGGAGCCTCGAAGGCGACAGATTCCGGGCCAGCATTGAAAGAGCTCAGCGTGAAGCCAAACAACTCGAGCAGACGATCGAGGAAATGCGAAACAGACGGATCTCCGTTGTCGTGAGCCAGAACTGGCAAAACAACCGAGGTCAGCTAAGTGGCATTCCCGCCTCAGAGATGGTTCAGATGCGGCGTGTTTGAGAAGAGCAGCCTAAAGTGTCGGCGGCTGCAGCGACGTTACTTCTCCCGGCGGCTCACATCAGGCCGGCTGATAATGGCACAGTGGCACAAGAATGGCGTGACTAGCTTGGGGAGCGGCTCTGGTGGGGGGACAGATTGTAACAATGGTGGCCGTCATGGCGGAGTACAGGTCTTGGTGTCATTGGAAGTGTTCGAGCCTGCGTGAAGGAAAGTAGCTATTGAATCGGCTGGCGCCATGATCGGGGTCATCCCTCAGACAAAAGAGAGGGCTTCGGAGAGCATGAAGCGGCAGCATGACGATTTCCTTCCTGTTCAGTATCAAGGGCTGTCATGCAGGAGGAACGATAGCAGTCTGTACGCGCCGTGATTCCACACGTTAGGTAGTAGGTAGGTATAGCAGGCGTTTTTGTCCAGGACATTATTGCTCGACGTGGGCTTTTCGTGCCCTTTGAGATCTGAAGACGTCTTTGGCCCTGCAAGAGCATCGCTGCAGACAGCCCATACCGAGACTGTACGGTGTTGCTCATCTTGATCTTGAATTGCCCAAGCTCGATGGTGCATGCTCCGTTCGTTGCATTCAATCCCTTACCGCCTCAGACCTCAGAGCTTGAAGGCAGGTTCGAATTGAGCTTCACGCCAAGACGCTAGATCCAGAAGTGGGACTAGCGTGGGCGGCTGGATAAACTGTTAATCCGGCCGGCCGAGATCCACTTTCCATATCCGAGGTTGGACAGTATCAACAGTATCACAGTATCACAGCATCTTTGACTCCAACCTGTTCTCCTCTCTCTCCTCACTCCTCACTTCCCTCTCCGAGTCTCAGCTGTTAACACTGCTCGGCGAGGTTCACAAAGAGTTATGAGTGTCGCCGAGGCAGAGCATCGGGGGCTGGCCATGTTTGCTGCACATTGGCTTCCCATCTGAAGCTTGAGGACCTGGATATGGGCTCGTGTTGCCGTTTACTGCTCAGAACCATTCGATGCTGTCACTGACTTGAACCCTTTTCACACAGCCCGTAGGCAATATACTTCAATCGTTGGGACCCTCGGCTCGCCCAGGCCAGAGCAGACAAATTTGATCAAACATCAAGAACGCCAGATACAATCTCTTCTCATCCGTCATGGCTCCTGCTGCTCCAAGCTTCAACAACTTAACAATCGAATCCCCTCCCGACGCCCTAGGCGTGCATGTAATACTGATGCACAAGGCCCCCGAGAACCGCTTGAACGTGGAATACGCACAGACAATCATCTCCGCGCTACGGTATGTCGAGACGAATCTCATCCAGCCAGACTCTCCGGGGGCAGTCGTCCTATCATCCTTCTCCGACAAGTTCTGGTGCACGGGGCTAGAGCTGGACGAAGGCGACAGCAACATGTACGCCAACGCCGACGGCTTCTACCCACTCCTCGCGACACTGGTCGACTACCCCTACCCCACGGTCGCGCTGGTAACGGGCCACACGTTCGGCGGCGCCTGTCCGCTGATGCTGGCGTGCGACTACCGCGTGATGAACAGCAAGCGTGGCTTCATCAGCATGCCGCCCGTCAACCTGGGCTTGCATTTCGACGGCATCGGCGCGCTGCCGCGGCTGAAGCTGCAGCCGCAGATCGCGCGCAAGATGTTGCTCGAGGCTCACAGGTGGACAGGCCAGGAGGCTCTGCAGGACGGCATTGTCGACGAAATCTGTCCTCCAGACCAGATGAGGCGGCGTGCCGTCGAGCTGGCTAAGTCTGTGGCTCCGCGCGCCTCGATGGGCGTGTATGGTCTCTTGCGGGCCGAGTTGTGGGGTGAGGCGCTGGACAAGTTCAAAGCCATCAGCTATGTGCATAGGAAGCGGGTTGGGACGGCGCCGAAAGCGAAGATCTAGCGTCTCTGTTCAGGGAATGTGCGTGCGTGCGTGCGTGCGCGTGTGTGCACTTCCTTCCTCGGTGAAATACTTTCTATACACGACACAAGCAGTGAGGTTTCCCAGACGTGGTCGGTTATGAGAGATGAAACTACAATTTCGCCCTCACCACGCCAGACTGCTCATGCCCCGTCGTCCCCAGTGCCAACGATTCCAACCTTCTCCTAGCATTCTCCTCCCCTTCCCCCATAACTATTTCTTCCGTGCGCCAATCCGGATTGAAAGTGACCCGGTTCAACGGATTCTCCTTGTGCGCCTTTTGAAAGAGTCTATTATACATATCCCCGTCATAATTCCCCAGAGCACTTTCCAGCAGATAATCCGGCACAGACCAAGCATCGACGAGCCGAACAGCATGCGGTCTGATTGAAGCCATGAGATTCTGTACCGTCGGCATAACGGCCTGCAGGGTGTCGAGCGAGATTGCGCCAGAGACCAAGAACTCGGAAGCTGAAGCGTCGAGCGTGAACAGTGCGAAGAGCCGGAACAACGTCCTCATGACCTGCAAGGTAGGCTTGTCTAGTGGTATCGAGGTATCATCATCAGCACTACCAGCATCATCAGAGACAGCGCGGTGAAGATTCGAGACCAGCAGACTCTCAGAATGCGCATGGCTAAGCCGATGCAGGCTTATCATCATGTCCGTCCAAGACCTCTTTTCAAGCACTCGCGCATGGTAAGCTTGGTACGAGAGATACGAGGCTCGATGTTGGAATGCTTTGACCAACTCCATCTCATCACCAAGAATACCAAACCCAGCTCTCCGCCTGACGTTGTTGTTCTTACCAAGCTTATCGTCGTCATTTGTGGTAGTCGGCGACTGCAAGAATTCCTGGAACTGCACATCAACGGTGTCCGTGGGCTTGATGCCCGGATTGCTCGCCACTTTTGCCATGCGTTTGATCAAATACGCCGCCGTCTGTTGCGTGATCATCCAATTGTCGCCCTCGACGGTCGGTTTGGAGAGATACTCGTTGTTCAGGGCGATCACGCCGCTCCCGCCGCCGAAGCCGTGGCCGCCCATGGCGCGCCGACAGGTCTCGATCCCGTCCGCGGCCAGAGTGGTACAGAGCGATTTGAGACCTGATGAGGCGGCGTGCATCTCTGCGAGACGGGAAAAGTCGCCGCTGGTCTCGATCGCTTCGCGCGTCCCGTAATATAGCTTATACATAGCCTCGCCGGTATAATGCAGCGCGAAAGTCGTGGCCAACAAGGGCAAAATCCGGATCTGGACTGTCGGGTAATTGAGCACGGCTTGTTCCGGCGCGTTGGTTGGGTCTTTGGAGTCTCGATCGGCAAACTGGCGACGGATGGAGAGGTAGCGGACGGCGATCGTGACTGCTCGAGCGAGCACGAGGCGGGCGTTCATCACGATCTGGGCGCGCACGAACGTCAACGATCCGTACACGACGGCCGGGTTTTTCGGCTTGATGTACATCCAGCTTTCGGAGTCGACGCCTGAGTACCCAGCCAGCAGTGCGGAATGGGGGACTCGGAAATGGTTGAAGAGCATGTAGCCGTTGTCCATGGCTGGATAGCCGTACTTTGGACCGATGTCGCCTATCACAATACCGTCCAGGGGCTGGTGGGTTTTCATGTCGCGGATCTGTATGATGAACTGGTGCGGTCCGTAGGATCTGTATCTGGGAGTGTTTTTGTCTGCTCCATCTGAATCTTTTGTAGAAGTGGCTGGTCCCCTTTCCGGGAGGAAGAGCTGCGCGACCACAATGGCATGGTTGGCTGTGCGGCCCAGCGAGCCATTCCACCATTTACTGGCTGTGATGGTTGGACTGTGGATGATGAACTCTTTGGTGTTGGGATCCCAGCGTGCTTCGCATTCAATACCCTTGACATTGCTGCCGTGACCCAACTCGGTCTGGCCGTAACAGCCGATGATCTCCCAGTTCTCGACTTTCGGGAGCCAGTAGGCCTTTTGTTGCTCGTTGCTTTGCTCGCGGATCGATGTCGCAAACATAGTCGCTTGAAGCGCGTACGGGCCCATTTCGTCCATCAGGTAGTCGGCCATGAGGTAGTCGTCTCGATCCCAGCCATGCTCGATCGATAATCTGCGTAGCATCTTTGCCCGTGCCAGACCCAGGTGATATCTGTCTGGTCGGGCCATATTGAGCTGGTTCTTCTTGCAGAGTATCGGGATCGTCTCCAGGATAGAGAGAATTCTTTTCTGGCGCTGCAGGAAGTCGTTTCTTGACAGCAAGTGGTTCGCGAGCTGGTCGACGTTCAGATTGGATCCGGCTCTCTCTTGCGCCAGAATGCTCGGCCCTTGAGGGTCGGCTGGTCGCAGTTTGTCGGTGAAGTCACCCATGTTGTACAGGTATATCGACCCCGATGAGCGTGGTACTCATCCACCGCTTTCACACGCGTTGTTTTTCCTGTGGTTCGGTGCAGTCAATAGAGGGAGCATGGAGCATGGAGCATGGAGTAGGGACGCCTGAAGCACTCCCCTGGGCGACCCGAGGACGCTCATCTCGTATAGAAAGTTGCTGACTCTGACATCGACACCCCTCACCATGCAATGACTTACAACAACCGGATCGAGGCCGAGGTTAATGGCGTGACTGCCATCATGATTGGGTTGTCTTCAACTCCTGCTGAGGGATGAGCACCCTATTTGGAGATCAATGGAATGTCAGTACTCGATTCAACCTTGTCCGCCTCCAGGCATTGTTGGAGCCGTATTACGATATAACTACCGTTGCTAGACAATGGTCCCTGAGCAAAGACCAGGCAAGTCCTGGCCTGGTGGTGTTGAAGATGAAAGAGCGGGCCACTGCTAAAGGCACTTTCGACAGGACCGACTTTGTACCCAGTCATGAAGCGAATCATATTCTTCCCGCCGACCCATTGTTCACTCGGCTACTGACGCTGGCCCACCGCCCGAACCCTCGGCCGGCGATACGCGACGTCAACGCGGGCACAGAGAGATCGACGGCACAGCTGCTCAGCGACACACTCAGACTGCGGCGAGTCCTCAAACGAGGTCTCAGTACACAGACGATTGACGACCTGCACCATGGCAGAGAAGTGTATATCAGCATCCTCGCCCCAGGAGGATACGAGTTTGCTGTGGGCGTCTTGGCCATCATGGCCCTCGGTGCGGCCGCCAGTCCACACAGCAGCGCCCAGCCGGTCAAGGAGGCCGCATACTACGTGAACAAGTCCCGGTCGGTAGCGGTGCTGACAGCTACGCCGTCGCTGGATCTGGGGGAAGCCCTTGCAAAGGAGATTCGGGCCACGGGCAACCCAGAGTTCGTGTCCGTGCCGATCAACGGCATCGATTGCGAAGCGCCTTTCCCCCTTGACGCCATCAAGATCTCTTCCAACCGTTGGCACGATCCAAATGCGCCTGGAGTGGTCATCTTCACCTCGGGAACGACAGGGCCGCCTAAGGGTGCAGTCCTGCGTCGAGCAGCGGTGATGGAAGGCTCCATGTGCTTCGCGCAGCAGATCGGTCTGCAGGAGTCCGACGTCCTACTTCATCTCTTGCCCGTACATCACGCGACAGGGATCTGGGTATCGTTCTTCCCATTCATCCAGACCGGGGCATGTATCGAGTTTCGGTCAGGCAGCTTCGACCCAAAGTGGACCTGGAATCGTTGGAGACAGGGCGGCTTGACACACTTCACAGGCGTCCCTACTATCTACATGAGATTGATGCGATTTTACCAGGAACATCTGGTGAAGCTGTCGGCCCCTGATCTTGAAACATACAGAGCGGCCGTCGCTGCGTTCAAAGTCTGTCTTTGTGGTACCTCTGCACTGCCGATGCCCATCAATGACTTCTGGAGCGGTCTCATGAATGGCCGCCGGATCATCCAGCGATATGGCTCGACCGAGATGGGCGTCGTATTCAATATGTCCGTTGATCCCGATGAGGACGTTCCTGATGGGTCAGTCGGACAGGTGACATATGGAGTCGAGGTAAAGCTCACTGACGGAGATGAAGGAGAAGTCTCAATCAAGTCCTTCAACATGTTTTCAAGGTATCTCCACGATCCCCAAGAAACAGCAAACGCCCACGACGGGGATGGTTACTTCAAGTCTGGTGATGTTGCACGCCGAGAAGGTAAGTATTATTTCATTGTCGGCCGCGCTTCGGTCGATGTCATCAAATCTGGCGGGTACAAGATCTCGGCCTTGGACATTGAACGGGAGCTGCTCGCCCTGCCATACATCGGCGAGGTTATGGTAGTAGGAGTTCCAGACGATGAATTTGGTCAGCGCGTGGGAGCCGTGGTATCCTTGCGGAATGATCGAGTTGCGCGTGACTTCTTTGTGCGAAGCAAACGAAAGCCTAAGCAGTTGCGGCTCGACGACCTTCGTGCAGACGTGCGAAGTCGTCTGGCAGGATACAAGTTGCCAACGCTGTTGCGAGTCATAGAGGATGAGCTTCCAAAGAGCGGTACCGGGAAGGTGGTGAAAAAGGTTCTCGGGCCTCAGTATTTCCCTCCCGACTATACCAAGGACAAAGCTGTACAGGTTTGGAATAGTACGAAATCTGGTGGGCGCACGAAGTTATGAAGCTGCAATATCCAATGCCAGGCTTTGAGGAACTAAGAATTCGATTTCTGTCTGCTAACGAAAAGGCCAAAGAAGCAAGTAGATCTAGAACAACAATAGCAAAAGATCAAAGCACGTCCAACACGCGCGACTGTAAACTCGAATTTCAATCCACGAATTCAGTCCCATTGGAGTGGAAAGTTTCCCAACAATAACAAGAACGACTGGAACCCCCTTCATCCGTCTCTCTTTGCTGCACCCCTCCGCTCCTTGCAGCAATGCCTCAACCAGCGTCACCGTGCCTCCAACAACAATCGTACTCTGTTCCTAGAGCCCCTTTCACCAGTGGATGCGTCCACATCGTGATCCGCCAGCCCACTCAGTCGCAGTGACGGTGGCAGTAACGGTGTCGGTCTCAGTGGTTGTGGTATATCTAGTCCTTGTGCTTGTCGTAGTGGTCACCGTCCTGGTGGTCCTTGTCCGGGTGGAAGTGTTTGTGATCGTTGAGGCAATAGTGGTGGTAGAGGTCACACTTGCTATGTTGCACGAACCGGTCACGGTTATTGAGACGGTGGTTCCGGTGGCTGGGCAGCTGCTGCTAGTCGTCGTCGTTGCTATTGTCGTAGCGTTAGCTGTTTGAGGTGCGGAGCTGAAGCTCGAGGTGGAAGCAGAGGCGGATGTCGAATTGGCGTAAAAGCTGCTTGTGGTGACTGGAGACACGAAGCCGGTGCTCGACGAGTTCATGGACGTGGTGGTGAAGGTCAGGTTGGAGGAAGTCGTCGAGGAGGGGTTATAGCTGGTGGTGTTGTTGTTGAACATGGCGCTCAAGGTAGTGCTGCTGCCCATGGTACTGCTCGTGAAGGTGTTGGTGATTGCACTAGTATAGGAAGTAGACATTATACTAGTGGAGGTGCCGTTGCTGATACTAGTCGTCTCCGTGGTAGTGGCTGTGGTAGTCACGTTTGCAACGGTCGACGTAGGGCCCACCGTCGCATTGCCGCTTGTGGTGGACCAAGATGGCCAGGCACTCCAGGTACGGCTGCCACGGTAATGGCTATAAGAATGCGACCGGCTGCGACTGGATGTGTTGAAGTCCGAACTTGTCGTCATCGACGAAGCGGTCGTCGATGTGTCATTTGTGTCTTGCAAGCCGCTGTATGTGCTCGAGGACGTCGTGACAGGGGCCACAGTGTCAGACGAACTTGAAGATTCGGTTGTCATAGACTCCATTGAGGTAGTGGAGACAGTCGTAGCATCTGAGGTTGTGCTGGAGGTATCGTTGACAACTCTGCCACAATTTGGATCACGGGATATGAGCAGGGCCACATATTGTGTGTTATCCATCTGACCTTGAGTGCTGCGGAGGACTCTGCAATTGTCAACAGTGGAAATAGGGTCATAGACAATACCGAGACAGGTGCCCGCGCCCTGGTTCTGGTTCAGAGTGTCGCAGCGACGAGCACATAGCTCTGGGTTGCCTCTGGTAAGTGGATTGCCTCGGAAACTGTCATCACTGTAGGTGCGGCCGCACACGTAAGTGTATCTGGCGCAAGACTCGGTCTCACTCGGAAGTGTCTGGCCCGGATAATAGGGGCACGCAGGTGAGGGAGACCCTGTGGAACTAGCAACACTCGACCCGGTCGATGCTTCTGTTGTGCTTGAAGTAAAGTCAGAGATCGGGCCCGGCTCAGCGGAAGTTATGGTGATGAGTCCAGTCGTGGTGTCTGTCGTGCTTGAAGACCACTCAAAAGTCGAACTCGGCTCCGCGGATGATGTGGAGGAGATGGAACCAGCAATTGTGTTTGTCGTGCTTGAGGTCGACTCTGAAACGGGGCTCACTTCTACAGATGTGGTAGACGAAGTATACTCGGCCGTGGTGGTGGTCTCTGAAGACGAGGCAGATGTGGTATAGGAGCTGCCGGAGGACAAGGACGACGTCGTCGCGATTGGCCCATCAGGTGAAGATGTGGCGCCAGTTCCAGCTGTGGTGGTTTCGCTTGCGGAAGAGGTGGTGTCGATTGAACTAGTTTGTTCGACCGAAGACGTGGCGCTGCTTTCAGTTGTCACCGTGGAATCGCTCGCGGCAGAGGTTGCGCTGTTAGAAGTAGTCGACGAGAAAGTGCTGACACCGCTGACAACGACCGTAGACGATCCCGAGACAGAGGTTGAGCGGCTATATCCTGAACTGGTACTCCAGTTTTTGCTGCTGGCCCGCGACCCGGGCGATCGAAGCCAATCAGCCCAGATCGCCGCACCAAAAACAGCTGCATCGGTCGAGGTGGCCTCGGTAGAAGTGCCCACATCGCCGATAGAGGAGGAAAGGCTCTGTTGAGCGGAGGTCACGCTGAGCAAAGAAGTCAAGCCCAACCACAGGGCAGGGGAAAGAAGTGAAGAATGCATAATGAAGGGCTTTCTCGGTCAAGCCTTGGTTGAAAAGAGTGACCGGGCAAAAAAGACGAAAAGAGTGAACAAATGATGGAAGACGAACGAGCGGACTGGTTTGGATGTTCGTAACTGCTGGGAGAGGCAGAAGGGATATATAACAGCAAAAGATGCTGCCACTGTCTGCCCTTGAAGAATGATTCAGTGTAATCTGGCTCATTCTCTCCATGCTCAATGTCTCGCATGTCCTTGACAAGCCTTGTATGACGAGAAGGAGCCAGCATCGGAGGCAGCCTCGTGAGGACAGCAATATAACCCAGCTTGGCAGGGGAGCACCGGATGCAAGGGCGCGATCGGTCACCGACAATAACGAGCATGGTGGTCTTAAGATAGAACAAAACTCATTCCAGCAGTAGAACAGGTAGCGAGGGTTGTTTCATGGAAACTTGCGAGATGCGCAGATCTTGATTGATACCTTACTCCCACTGGGACGATAGAACGATATTGAATTCTTCCTCTTCGTGGCGCCCTTTACAAGAGCTGATCCGCTAGCGGTCGCTTCGTCTTCCAGCTTCAACGAAGGAAATTGAAGCTGGCGGAAGGAGAATGTCACAGCATGACGCTGCCGACAGAAAGGGTGCGGATGGATCGTGAGAGGATCATAAGATGGCGAAGCGCCTCATCTCTGTTCACTCCGGTGGAGGCAAGGGAGCTGATTTTGTTGGACATATTGATCCCTAAATGCCACCAGTATTTGAGTAGTAACTTGCCGCAAGTTTCCTTACAGAGCAGTAGGTGCATGATGATACCCTTGCCAGAGATATTGCCGTAGGAGAGCATGAAGCGAATCAGCTTTGTGGTGGTTGGAGGTAGTAAGGTAAAGAGTACCTGGTACCTAGTAGAGGTGGCAGCTGTGGTAGCATAGGGAGCACAGATCAGTGACGCATGATTTGCCCTGTACGAAATAGTAGCAACTGAAACAAGAATCATCTCTAATGCTACCACTCAACACCACCACCACCACCACCAACAATCCTATCTACACAGAATCCCTCTCTGCTGTAACGTCCAAGAAACAGATCTTTTCGTTTCAACAACACTGTATGAGAGACCACTATACAGCCATGTCCACCCTTCAACATCACATTCCAACCGCCGCATGAGCCTGTGAGCCCATGTAACGACCGGCTGTCCAGTGCGCAGCGCTGTTCCCTTTACTTCCTCCCATCACTCGATCCAGCAATGGGGATATGTCTCTCGTGCTTAGGCTTGCGCAGACACGGCGACACCGAAGTACGTACCTGCAACAACCTAACGCATGGCATGCGATCGCATCAAACAAACTCTTCAATCCGCTGACACAAGTTCCTAACCCTGCTAGGCCGATCGCACTCGCCTTCTCTACGATGACTACGCCGCACCCCATGGCTACGGCACCTGGGGCACTTCGAACATCCCGTCTCAAAATGTCATGAGCCCAGAAGAGGTGCAGCGCGAGCAGGAAGCTCTGGACAACATCACCAGATGGGCTAGCGAGTACGTCTATACCTCTACCTCAAAAAATGAAATTCCCTCATATCGGGGAGACAAAGATCCTGGAATGCTTTGACTGTCCTGATTCTGTTCCTTAAAACCGGCAATCACTAACATGCTCATTCTTCTCAAGTCAAATCGTCGAGATCTTCCCTCACCAGCATGGAAACCTCGCCATGTCCTCCATTTCCCAGTTCAACGGAAGTTTGAACGCTGAACCTAGTAACGGAAATGACAATCACGACAATAACGGCGCCATCCATGCCTCTACTCATCAGGACATCTTGTTATCTCTGATCCCCGGCGACAAATCCAAGCGATCGATTCGAATCTATCCTGCCTCGCGGCCCTCTTCGAAAGATGCACAGTCGTTGCGCAGTAAGACTTCCTTCGCAGGTCTCAATGGCAGCACACGGAGCAAAGAAGCCCCGGTGCTTGTCACTCTTGATGTGAAGTTGCCGTAATTTGGACTGATTGGTCTCGCGAAAGAGATGGGACGGAGCCAATAGACTCAATCCTGTAGGATTATCATAGGGGAGCCGAAGAAATTGAACCAGGCTGGTGCAATATAACATGGGGCATACCCCCAGATCTCGGGTATTTGTCTAAGCGCACGCACGACGGGGTTTATTCTGGGCGAAAAGGTGGAATATGACGAGACGTGATTGTCACAGTGATTCGACTCTCCGCTACGACCATTGATGCCATGTTGTGACGGATAGAGCTTCGGCTGGCTCGGCGTCAGACCTTCCTCGTCGTCCTTTGGCACGGGCGGGTGATCCTCTCGGCGGGAGAGGTTGCGTGTGAGGAATTATATAATACGATCTGGATAGATGGCAGGCTGTCCCAGGCCAAGGGCAAGGGAATCATCACACTAAGTCGAGCAATGTATTCCTTACACGTGCGGACTCCGGTGTATTCAGATGGCCGGTCCGGCAAGCATGTTAACATTACGACATGCGATGCTGACTTCCCACGTGTGACAACGCCGAAAGAGAGTTGGTTCAGGCATGAAGCGCACGCCAAAGGGCAGAAGCATTCTAAGAAATATGAAGATCGTGAAAAAAGCATATGTCATGTCCTATGCTAGAGGAAAACTGACTCTCTGAAGTATCAAGGTTTGGGGGTATCTTAGGATAATGGATCAGACCGCTTTGCTCTGCCCGTCAGGACAGGCGGGGGTATCTCAACGAGGCGATGTGAAAAGGAGCGCAAAACCAGTCCATCCGTTCATAGCCCAATCACATTCAAACTCTTGTGCTGCAGTTGCCTTGCTGGAAAGGAATGGAGTGGGTATCATAATCGACTTCGCATCGGCGTCAAAGGGGGTATAATGCTGATTAGACGCTCTGGATCAAAAGCTAACGGAAAAGCAGTGGGGTGACGGTGGCTTGTTGCTTGTTGCTCGGCTTGCAACAGTCGTGTCGAAGCAATGCTGAGCAGACGATATCGGTCTGCATCGTGTTAAGCCCGTCCTGCCACATCGCGAGGGTCGATGTGGTCAGACGTGCGCGCAGTCGGGAACCGACTATCAAGCATCACTCGCGACTGCCAACATGCCACTATTTCGCAGGCTAGGCCGGCTTGTCAGAAGGCAGGGGCTCGACAGGAGCGGCGCCTGGATGACAGTCAGCTTCCGTGGACATCCGCGAGAATGCCATTTATAATATTCCATCAACTTACCAGCTGGAGGAGCGGTAGGGTCGCTGGTCGATGGAGCAGCTGCCGTATCCGTGGGCGTGGGCTTGGGGATCGCGGCGGGGCTCGCGGCGGCTGGGGCCGGGGTGCCATTTGTATCAGGTTTGGTAGCCGTGGAGCTCTTCTCCTTCTTCCGCTTGAAGAGGGCCTTGAGTTTGTCCATTGTGTCGAGGGCTATTGATATGGAATTGGTATCAGAAGGTAGAAGTACAAACAAGTAGATTGGGCCACTGGTGTTTGGAGCAGTCGGCGCAGGATTATGAGAGAAGACAGGATAATCACTGGAAAGACGTACGAATTCCAGGCATGTGGAGTCGTAGGAAAACGGCCTCTCAGATCTGGGGAAGGGCAGGTTTAAGTAGGTTGAACTGTTTTGATAAGCAGGTAGGCGGCGCCCTTCGGGTCGATAGAGGAGGTGGACGGGACGAGAAGACTGGCTGCTTAGTAGTGGGCAGGCAGTGCAGAAGGCCTGGTCTGCGTGACGCAAGAGGGAAGGCTCGGACGGTGAGAAGGCACGGATGGCACGATGGAGGCTGCGCTCGAACGTGTCTCGTGACAACAATCGAAGATGCAGTGAGGCGAGGGAGAGCGCAGTCTGGAGGGGGAGGTCAGATAGCAGTCTGCAGTGGCAGTCGGAGATAGCCCAAGAAGGAGCTTCAACGGACCACTGGCAGTCAGTAGCAGTCGATGGTCACGCAGCGACGGGAATGATTTGCCAATCGAGATAAGTACCTAATATTTAAATGAAGTGGTATCGCTTATTGAAACAGGAGATGATCGTTGTTCATCGTCGTGGATAGCCTGTCCGCGGGCGAGTGTGAGATGAACCCTACCGGCACTGAGGTACTACTAGGTAGTAGTAATTGGTAAGGGAGGTACCTAGCTATTCTCCCTTGTTTGTTTTGGCTGCGCCAATGGCCTGGCGGGGTTACTAAGATAAGGCTGCGCTGCGCTCTACTGAAAAGACCCAGTGCAGTCCGGGATTCTGTCTGGCTCTCCAATCCTTCAACTTGATTGTGAAACACTGCCAGTGTTGAACCGTTGTCTTCCAGTCTGCTTATAGCGGGCACCATCCCTTGCTTCAGTCGATATCTGACGTGGGCCCCAGACGGCGACGGGTAGGAGATGTCGTTGCTAAAGCGAAGCACTTAAATGCCCCGAGTCTAGAATGCCAGCTCGAGGATTCGGGAAGTCGGCTTCCAACGGCTCGCTGCCGAATAATGACATTGCTATTCATCAAGGCGTTCCTGTCATCGGGGTGAATCCCCGTCGCGCACTGATTGCGAGCCATTTCCGCACTGGCAGTTGGAGAGGCTTGCCAACTATCTTGGACCCCGAATTGAGAAAATGAGAGTGCCCCCGCAATTTGACCCCGAGGCTGGTCAGTGAGGAACGTACCTGAGACAGCTGGAACTGAACATTCTTCCGTGACAAACAACATAGATTGAACTCGCAAATCCATAAGCCCTACAGGGTCATCGAAAACAACTCGAAGGCAGAGCGGAATAGACAGCCCAGCTTGAAATCATGCGTCTCAACTACGTTCCCAACCCGCCGACCAACCTCGCCGCAGAGGACCAAGAGGTCTTGGAACGGGTCAAGGCCCGACGGGGTGCGATGGGCCTCATTCCCCTGGATTTGACGTTGTTGCATGCGCCAAAGGTGGCAGATGGTGAGTAACTTCCTCCTCTTGATGTTGTCGGTAAATGGGCCGTCCAACAGGCGATTTACATACAGGTTGGAACGCTCTGCTTGGTGCGATACGGACTAAGAACTCCTTACCGGACGATATCCGCGAGATTGCCATCTGCCGCCCTGCTTTGATCAACCGCGCCTGGTTCGAATGGAAAGCACATGCGCCGATTCTGCTCAAGTCACCCGGCTTCACGGAAGAGAAACTGGAGGTCGTGAAACAACTGCATCCAGCTTCACAGGGGCCACTTGACGACCGGCAATGGGCTGTTTTGAGATATGCAGACACCATGACAAGAGATGTATCGGTGCCACAAAGCCTGTTCGATGAAGTAAAAGGGGCGGGCTTCAGCGAGCAAGAAATCGTCGAGATCACCGCTACGGTCGCAAGTTATAACATGGTCAGCCGATTCCTTGTCGCATTGGACGTTGGAGAGGCGAACGATAAGGCGCCTGAGTGGGCTAGATAACCAGGACGACTGGGACTGTTGGGCCGCACTTCTGATCCGATCTCTAAGTCTCTCATCTCATGAAAAGGGGAGAGACCATGCTGCCCTGTGCCTGTAGACAACAACGTTGATCTTGTACGGGTGTCAGCTTCAAGTTGTCAGGGCTTTCCCGAAAACAACTGCACTGACTCGATCGTGGTCGAGATCTCCTTGTCCCGAGGACTTGGAGATTCTAGTATGCCTTGGTCTGTCTCGTCTCTCTCTGAAAGCTTTTCTTATAGCTCTGCTCGGCGGCCGCTTCTCGTCCCAGGCTCGCAGCTCGAATACCAAACATAAGGTTCCAATAGCAACCACAGGGCCATTTTGCTATCTTCGGGGATATCGCGTGGACATATCGTGGTTCATTCGATCGTCCGATCGCGAGGCACCTAGAACTGCTACTTCGTAGAAAGGTCCAGCTCCCGATGATCATGGGGAAGCCCAAGCCGAAAGATATGTGCGTGGCCCCTCTGAATGGACAGTGGTGCGTAGAACTGTGCGATCTTGAGAGACCACCGGCGGCACGGGTGCCGCCAACGTCCGTTGAGAGGTTGATAACACCATGTCGAAGCTGTGGAAGTTATCTCACCATGCACCTAGGCCTTAGGAGTTCCTTGTGCATACTCTACGGCTCGCCATCGATCCTCGGGAAGGATGTTCGCACCTCGCTGTAGAATGCCTGAAAGAGGAGTGGTGTTGATACTATCGATGCTGACCGAAACACCGAGATCCTTATCGCCCAACAACAACCGCTCTTATGCTGGAGAGACTGTGCTTAGTATCTGACAGAGAGGTGTCCGAGCAAGGGACCAACAGAGAGACACGTCTTGAGTCCACAGACGACCGTCAAAGTATATAGGGAAAGGTAACAACATTGCTGTTTTGATTATTGATTTCAACGCTGGACGGATGAACACTGCCGTCAGCTCCACCAATTCGAACCCCTCTTATCATTACATGACAGTGAGATCGAAATGCATAATGATAACGCGTTTCTCTAGGTATATTTGACTTCTGTACTAAACTACAACTCCCTCGTTCTCGGAGAGAGTGTTCCTTGTTGACTTGAATCTAGCTGCAAGACATAGAAAGGGTAACAATGGCTCGCACCGTCTCCGAGATCACTGATTTGCGAATCTATCCCATCAAATCGTGTCGCGGGATATCTGTGGAATCCACCAAACTGACGCGGGAAGGCCTAGAGCTTGATAGAAGATGGATGGTGAGCTTTTCAACCTGGTTACTTCTGCCTATGCGGTGGTTGATCAGAGCCATACCGATGAGTGGCAGTTCACGAATGCTAACGCCACTGTGCAATCCTAGTTCATCGACGATGACCATAAATTCATCACCATCCGCTCAAAGCCACAAATGACCTTGATCAATACCTCAATCGATCATGACTCTGATAGTCTTGTCATCAGAATTGGCGATGATGCCACAAAGCTAGTCAAAGTCCCAATCCATCCAGACCAGGAATGGCTCGATACCAACACGAAGCTGGTCTCGGTTGACATATGGGAGCACATCACCGACGCGTATGCTTACACCGACCCAAAACTCAAGTCGATGTTCTCCGAGTTCTTCGGCGAGTCAGTCAGGTTGGTGGTCAAGGGCCCAGAGCCGAGGATCTGTCGCGGCAACGGCGATCCCATGTATCTAGGCCGCGAGGAGAAAGTGAACTTTCCCGATGTGCTTCCTGTTCTTATCGCGTCCGAGACTTCTCTTGCGGAGTTGAATGCGAGACTGAGGGAGCTGGGTCAGAGCGAGATCACCATTGAGCGCTTCCGGCCAAACATAATAATCAAGGGTGGCGAACCGTGGTCCGAAGATTCATGGAAGACAGTGCGATTCAACGGCGACTCATCACTCTTCACCACGATCACAGGGGGCAATCGCCATGCTATCGACCTCGATGTGGTTGCCAGATGTGCGCGCTGCACCGTTCCAAATGTGAATCCAGATACGGCAGAGAAACATCCACATCAGCCTTGGGACCTGTTGGTGAGCTACAGAAGAGTTGACGAGGGAATCAAGTACAAACCATGTTTTGGTATGCTGTGTTGTCCTCGGGACGAAGGAGATGTGGAAGTTGGAATGCGCTTCGAGGTCACGGAGGTCACCCAGGCCCATAAGTACATCAAAGGGTTCTGAGTGTGGTCGAAATTGCAATGTGGTGCTATGACCTACGTTTCCCTGTCATAGTCGATGCCGTAAGATAATGTTCCCGACGGCCGTACCTGAGGCTCTCGCGGTGTAGTATGTTGAGTGACTGAAAGCCACTCTTGGTATGCAGAGAGCTCTTTATGACGAGGTCGCTGAAACAATGAACATACTCTCCTTTCAAATGAAAACCTTCGTTTGGGAAGCGGTTGTCGACAGTACTAGCCTTTGACACGCGGCTTGGCAGCATCGACAGCAAGTACTAGTCGTGCATTGTTGCTGGCTTGAGACCCAATGTCACTGCGTATTCTGCCCGTAGTTGAACATCGGTGCTCGGGTGTGCATATACACGATATGTCAAAGCGGCTTGTTGGCAATGGCGGGCCGGGATGGAGCTTGGACAAAGCACGGGTGCGGTTGTATCTCGTCTCGCCCAGAAGCGAGGGAGCTTCGAAAAGTGATCCTCTGCTCATGATAAACATTATGATGCAACATCTTCTCCTGCAACGCCATTTCCATATCGCCGATCAAGCGTGCTGGTGCTCCGTCAGGAAGATTTAGCCTGCTGGAGAACGTGACGAGTGGAGAGTTCGAAGCCCGCTTAGGACAAGGTAAGCTCGAAGCTGGTTGAGGAGAAGAGAGCTATCTGGAGTGCTCTTATGCGGGATGATGTTACTTGCTGGATGGTTTGACAGCTGGTGTGGGTCAAAGCTCAAGCTTCCCACGGGCACTTGAAGCAGCTTGAAGCGATGGGATTTGTGGACGGGCAATCTTGAGGGAAGCTTGAGCTGCACATGCCCGCAAATTGAAGGAAGCTCTACCTTTCGAGGACCTGGAGCTGTCTGGACGGACGCAGGGCAGCTGTAAGAGCCACTGAGAGATCTCTCGAACGGATAAGGTGGAGCTGTAGCAGTGCATGGAGTCAGTACCTGAGCGGTAAGGAAAGCGGCACCAGTTAGGGGAAGGGGAAATCTGAAGCATTGTCATCATCGACTCGGATGGGATGGGAGCTGCGTTGGCGGGCAAGCCCCATGCCAGTGGGTGGTGTGAGTTGCAGCGCAGTCCACGTATAGTTGACAGGCTTGGAAGTAGGAGCTTGGATTGAGCCACAATACAACTTGAATGAGAAAGCTGCGCTGCAGGAGACGTAGAAAGAATTCAGATGACAGACAGTACAGAGTAAAGCAGAAGGAAATGCCAGACAATTCCATTTATCATCTATCATTTACCATCCATCACCAGTAAAGTACGCGTCGCACCTAGCAGTAAAATCGACGACCGTGGTGCAGTCACAGCAGTGATGGATCAACGGAGAAGTAGAGCTCCAACGATAGAGCTAAAGTGCTGAAACTCCCGAGAGCTCCAGCTTCCATTCCAAGCCCATTGGCTACAGGCGCTTTAGCAGCTCTCTAGGCTGGAGTAACCCTTATCCCTCTTACCGCACCGCAGCCACAGATAGGCGCAGGTAGGTGCAGTTCCGGGCTGCTTCAATGCCTGCGTTGTTTTACCCAATGCCAATGCCCCTCAATATTAATTAACGCTCCGGTAGCATCATCGAAGCCGCGTTTTCCACAATGCTCCAGCGTCCACAATCCACTGGCTTCTAACCAACCCGATAATGACTGCCATCACCACCTAATAATTCTCTCCATCCTCACTCTCTCCTCTCCTACTGCAATCAACCCGCTGTACATTTTGACTTCTATTGTGTGTTTGTTGCGTTCTGTATAGCAAACATAATCGACCTGTCCGCTCCCATCACCAAATCATGTGAGAGGACCCATTGTGTCTGCCGGGATTTTCCTCTCTTCGATACCAGCCAAGCGTGAGAGGACTGTCCGATCGATGCCGTCGACCTCTGTTGTATCCTCCTAAATTCCCTCCTGCGGTCAGCGCAGTAAGGCCATGCCGCCCAAAGCCGCGCTCACTGGCTCTTTTCTTGTGTCAGCAGATGCAGAAAATGAGGTTGTGTGTCCTCTCACAAACCAAGATGGCTCGCTGTGTCGGAAGCGGTGCATTGGAGTGTGTATTTCCCCAACACCCACAATCATGCGCATTTCAGGTCGGCTGACTCCAACCCAACAGGAAAAGCGGTACAGGTCGATGCAAGAGCATATTCGACGCGCCCATCCAGACTATTACATCCCTAAGCTCCCTGCCACGGAGGAAAGTTTCCAGTTGATGATCAACACACCGCCCTCGCAACGCCCGCCACAACCCCAACCGGCAGCGGCGACTACGACGGCTCCTGTTCGAAAAGGACCTTGTATGTTGGATCAGTGTGTTGTCCCGAAAGTTTATACCCATACTAAGACCCAGCAGTGGATGTCGGGGGCCATCCTCCTTCATTGGAACAAACGAGGACACTCGCAGGGACAGGGCAGGCTCCCGGTTCAGGCAGTGCCGCAGTTGCTTTCGCACATCTGCATAACTGGGACTCGGACTTTGTAAGTATCGGCAGGGTGATGGCTACGGTCACAACCAGGACTGTGCTCATTCGCCTCTCAGGACGTGTTCCCCGACCCGGACTTCAAACGCGATATGCCCACCGGTCTTGAATTACCGTCATTGCGTGCGCCGTTTCATGAAGATACCCTGCCGCCATTTCAGCCTTCGCGAAATCGCGAACTATTACCATCTATTTTGCAATCCCCTGGCAGCCGGTACTCGTCGTTACCGCCTATCCAGCGTCGCGATAAACTCCAACAGAGAGATCGCAAGCCCTCCATGGGGCAGAACGCCCGCAAGGGCAAGCACGAACGCGGAAAACCTAGGGAGTTTTCGGCCAAGGAATTTTCCCGAAGGTTGAGCGTCGAAGGCCGAAAGGCCTTGTCCGCCGAACCGCCTACGGCGGCTTGGGTGCAGGGCAAGAGATGGGAAGATCTGATCGAGGCTGCGACGACAGCTACCGAAGCGGATGATGATCGTGATCTCACTCCCGTAAGTCAGACGACATTTTTCGATTGTCCTCTGTTTACTTGCTGCTGTCAAGAGATCGAGATTTTGTAGATGTACCCCCCCAAAAGGAAAGGAGAAATTCCCAACAAGAGGGAGCATTGTGTTGTATTACTTTACTGTCACTACTATTATCAAAACCACCAACGGCACGATTGTTATGGCCTGATGTTGTTACCGCACGAAGGGGACGATGGCGATGCGAGCGGCTTTGTGCGGCCTCGGGCAAGAGGAACTTGCAGTCCCCTACTGGTCCAGTCCTGGTTGAACGAGTTTCGCGGCCCAGGGTCACATCATCACCACGCCTGATGGTTTCACGGACCTCGACGACGTCGACCGAAACCGCATCGACCAGAGACGACGACCTGCCCTGCCCTGGGTCGGCACATGCTGCCAGCAAGAGCCACTGTCCCTTCTTGCTTTTGAACATTTTCTTCTGCAGGTCAGGCCAGGCCGCATTGACAGTCAGGCCCAAGATCTGGGGCGGTCGAGCCACAGGCCGGGGGGTTCGTCTGTCAGGGAAAAGTTTATGCACCCTCAGCTAATTAATGTGTACACCAACCTCCTTACTTTTTTCATCTTTTTTGCGTTAGACTGGCGATAATCAACCTTGCTAACACACCCTTGGCGTTCGACCACAGATGCCGCAGTCGCCAAACTTTCCGCCCTCCACGGATGCTGCCAACAGCACCGGGGTCAGTACCACCACCGGCACTGCGCCCACTACTACCAATGCTACCGCCACTACCACAGCCGCCGCCGCTCGTAGACTGTCCGCGGCGGACAGTGTCGGTGGCAGTGGAGGCGCCTACAAGCGATCATCCCTGCCTCCGGGCTTCCGTCCTCTCGGGCACCATCTCCATCATCCTCATCAGTCAGGACAGTACAATGCCTCTCCGCTGCAGCGCGCGTTGACGCCACCCCCTCCCGATACGATGGGCCCCAACGATCCCGAGCCATTTCCCTCGGTCGAGTCATTGGAGAGCGCGGGATCCGGCCAGAATTTCCACATCTCTGGCTCCGGGCTGCCCACGTCGGCGTCATCGAACGAGAACACTAGTCCGCTGCAGCACTACTCACACCCCTACCAACACTCCCAGTCGTCCTCTTTCGGTAGCAAATCGGATGTGCTAGAGATCTACTGCGCATCGTGCGGTCGGCCATGGCTGCTCAAAAACGCCTTTGCCTGCACCGAGTGTATCTGTGGCGTCTGCAGCGACTGTGTTGGACAGATCATCAGCAGTCCTGTGGTCACCGTCCAACCAGGATACGCGCCGATGCGCCGCGGCTGCCCCCGCTGCGGAGTCATGGGCGGGAAGTGGAAGCGATTTCAGCTGGATTTTCGATAATTAGTGCTTGCGCGCGCAGCGTGGCTCCCAGTATAACAGTATGAGACTAGGATCTCTAGGTCAAGCCCGAGGGTTTGGGGGGTGGGAAGGGGGTCACCATCCAAGCTTCCCACTACCCTCCCTTCACTACGACCATGGCACCCGCCCATGCCACAAATGCGCGGCGCCCCAGGACTTCCGAGCCGAGAAGACTGAGACATTATTTCTCTGGCACCCAGTCCGTAAAATTACCGCAGGGTTCTCCGCCCGCCGCCGAGCCAACCACGGGACGCGGCAGGGGAAAAGGAGCCTTGAAGAGCCCAATTTGACGCGGCGCGACTCGGCAGGAACTCGGAAGGTGTGACGAGCCCGCCAGAAGAAAAATACTTAGAAGCGACTGTTCCGGGGCATAATGGGGGCATCGTTGTCGCGATAGTGCCGAACACCGAATAGACGGCTCTCGGACCAAGACGTCAGCACCGCATCCTCCTCACAACAGGTCGAAGTGATAGAACCAAAGGTCACGTAGCAGTGCTGGCCAGGGCTTCCCTCTATGCGCGTTGAGGATGGATGGTTAGAGCATGGATATCCTAGGCAAGTTTCGAGGGAGATGGTGATTGAGGTCCAATCGCATCAACACGCTGCTTGTCGCGAAGAAGAAAACAATGTGCCGGATGGCCGTGGAGATCGCGATCAGATTGGACAGGAGACGGAAGAAGTGCAACCCCTCTCGAGAGTTGCAAAATCTTGCGGCCCTCCACCAACTACTACTGGCGGACCCGCTCGCCATAAACGAAAGAGCTCGGAAAATATCCTCCACCAGAGCGCCACATTATGGCTGCACTGGATCCCTCTGACCTCATGAAGCGACCAGTGCAATGCCGATCACGATAGTGAGGACCATGAGAAGTGCGTGTTTGCGATAACTCAGGGGGGAAAAGGCAGGGAGGATGGAAGGAAACCCGGACAAGCGTCGCAAACCAACTCCCACTGCAGTAAACATGGCAATCGGGCCTTGGCTCATGCCAGGCGATATGCACACTCATGCACATTCAGCAGGCTGACTGAGATAACCAAGTTTTTGAGGTTCAAGTTGGGTAAAGGGTGGGATGATGAGAGCAGAAGCAACGATACTATCATGCAGACACGCAGTACATTACTACGTAGATTGAACATGACAGGACACCATGGTTACGAATGGGAGAAGGGCGTCCATACTACCACAGAGTACTAGTAGACCATTTCATAGGTGTGGCTGGAAGGGCCGGGGTCTCATGCATGCACTTTAGATGGTAAGTTTGGACTATTTGCACTCTGCAGGCCTACTCTGTACGTATTGTGTCCATGTTCACGGTGCCATGCAGTCAGTGCTATCTTGATGCACGATCGAGGTTGACGGGATGCTGTTGGATAACATATTGTCAACCCAAGAAGACAGACCCTCGACCATGCATGATCATGACATCCCCGCCAGTTCGAGAGAAATCACTGGCATTTGCTGCAGTCTCAATCAGATTCAAGTCGAAGGCCAATGCACAATTGACCGTGTCGCCCTTTTTCTCCCAGAGGCGAGATGCAGTCTCATTGTGTCTGCGTTTCCTGCTTTTTGCCTATCTCACCTTTGTCTATGTCACTATGCTTGACATAGTAGACCGTTCTTGCATTTTTGTTCCTCGTCACCTGGCTGTGTCTATAGGCCATCGGTATATTGCATGTCGCATGAATGTCCGGATGTATAGGGAGGATAGTCTCGTGTTTCAGTGCAATATCGTAAATGCTGAGACCGCATTATAGGTGCCTACAATGGCCTCTGTCTTCTCATAAGCTATCAGCGGACCTGGTACCGGCCTGAGATTCGTAAACAGGGAGGGCGCTTGCTCCTAGACAGCGATAGTAGTATGGTACAACATTGGAAGAAGATGATGCAGAGCCTTTGATAAGATGGGCGCATAGGCGAGTGACGATGTGTCTGACTGACGCCCCGTAACACAATATTCCAGTTCCCAAGTTCTCTGCATCATTTCACGCTCCTGGAAATGTGTCGCCAAGACTTATGAGTCAGCAAGCCCCAGATTTCTGTGGATCACCACAGTGGTAATGGCAATCACGTGGCACTTAGCCGCCAAGCGTGCAGGGTCGACGCGCTAAGCCCCATCAGTCATGCGGATTCGACTACTACTAGCACGCGGATTTAGGTTGTTCCGTTCTCATCTCGAGTTCACCTGTTACACCTCACTTGATCGCGACGTGACTCTCACAACTCATCATCTTTCGGGCCGACGGCCATCATCACAACTCGTTCCATCAAAGCTCTACAAGCAATGGCGGGCAATGTGAACGGACGCGATCCGTCTGGTGATGATCCGAAGCCTAACTTTCCAGTTCCTGGCGCGCCTGAGTTTACTCAAATTACCTACCCTTTCCCTATTGACTCGGAGTTGACCATGCCCTCCAACTATCCTATGCCACAATATCAGCGCCAGCTTGAAGATGTCGCACAACCTGTCGACACTGCTGGTCACGGTTCATTGAACAATACTCCTCTAAATCCCGCCGGCGCAAGTCCTACCGCAGCAAATACTGATCCCGCAATAACAATGTCGCAACCCGCAGACCACGCCCCTCCTTCATTCGCGCCCGGTGCTCTACCTGTTAATGTCGACAACTCTTCCGAACGCGCACAGGCTCCACAGACCGGCGACAAGAGAAAGAGATCAAAGACTTCACGGGCTTGTGATGAATGTCGGAGAAAGAAGGTAGATCCACTATACTCTTGAGAGACATAGGACGTTACTGAACCAGATCCATTACTAGGTGCGATGTGACGCTCCAACTGAGGCCGACGGGACTCCCAAGACTTGCTCCAACTGTCAGAAGGCAGGTGCACTATGCGAATTCGAACGGAAGCCGATGAAGCGTGGACCATCCAGAGGGTGAGCAGAGATCCAGCCTTGTCATGACCACCCGCAACTAATGAAGGCGTAGATACATCCGTGAACTTTCAGAGCGTGTCGAACAAGTTGAGCTTGTACAAAAGCAGGCACTGCGCCAATCCATGGATGCTGGTGTCGCGTTTGCGCCTTATGCCGAGACAATGTTGCCAAAATCTGCCGGCTCTGCTACCAAGCGCACCTTCTCATTCAACGAACCTCGTCCATTTGCACAATCGGACTTCCAGCGTGATAGAATTCCAAGCTCTGGTGCCTGGGGTCTTCATTCGTCTTCCTCTGCTGCCGCTCCTGCGAACCGCCCTCGAGATCGTGGAAGTCTTGCTATCGCACCCGATCAAGCCAATCCTGCTTCAGGACCATTAGAGTCAGAACCAACACAGGCTTTTGAGACCGTGGATCCAAACTGGCCAGCACCTGAAACCTCTCCTCCACCCAAACGTCGGCAACTTGAGCCTTCTGCAAACCTGCAACCGTTCAAGATGGAGACGACCTTCTTGAACAGATACTACAAACAAGTCGAGCCTCTCTTCCCGCTCCTTCCTGATGCCGCCACCGTCGTCAAGGTCATCGCGCAAGCACCAGAGTTCTCCCATGCCTTCGCCGTCGCCGTCGAGTTGTTCCCTTACGCCAACGATGATGTTACTGTCAATGGCGATCACGACAACGGTCCTTCAAACGCAAGCCCCGAAATGAATGGAGACCGCACCAAGCGTGCCCTCTCACCTGACTTGTTTCAGAACTACACCGGTTTGGCAGCCTACATGGCGGAACAGATGAAAGAAGATCCACAGAGTCGTACCGAGGATGAAAACCTGGCCTGTCTCTGGACATTCTTGCTGCTTGCACTGGAGAGCGACAACGACATCAGAACCATCGAGAAAGTGCCTATGTCGAAATCAGAACTACTTCAGTACAGCCTGGTCACCCTCGCTCATCTGCGATCGGGCGGCTCATTTTCATCTGAGGACGACACCATCAAGGATCGTGCCCAATTCGACCGAATCGTCAAACAGGCTTACAACTGCGCATTCGTCCTCGCGAAATACCATTCTCTCAGCATCGGCATAGGAGGCCTCGATCTGGCTGCTATGGGCGACCAGCTTCTGATCGGCCAAGTCGCAGCCACCGAATGTGTGACCCCCGAAGCGGCCTTCATCGCAGAATCCACCACCGCGGTTGGCTATGCCTACGGTGCTCTCTTCGGCACCGAGGGACAGGGCAAGGAAATGGCCATTTTCTTCATCAAGACCCTCATTAGGCCCACCCTGGCAAACACCGTTGAACGATTCTCACAACTTGGCGAAGAGAACCCGATCGTGCAGCAAGTCATGAACTTCGTCGATTCTCTGACCGTCCGTGTCCACCGCCGCATGCTGGATGTTGACATCATGAAGACCTGCGCAGGGATGAGTGCAGCGCTTGCCTCCGAGGCCGCAGCGTCTCCCGAGAACAAGCATCGCTTCAACCCTCTCGACGTCCATGTGTCGGCACTCCTCGTCATCACTCTCTGCGACTTTGTCAACAACTGCAATTCGATTGGCTTGACCGACATTGCCCACATCTACCTGAATCGGGCCCAAGAGCTGCTGCAGAAGAAGTCGGAGGCGTTCCACAAAGGCTACGGGTTCGAATGGTTCTATGCTCCCTATGCGCCCGAGAACAAGGAGGTTGCAGACCAATACCGCATGAGTCACTGGACAGACTGCTTGCTGAGAATGATCGACTGGATTCAGACCAAGCCAGCGACCATCGAAAAGACTCACAACATGAACCTCCTTGTCCTTCCCGACTTCCAGAAGACGGCGAAGACCGGCTGGCTCAACATCCTGTCTCGCTTCTCCGGATGAACGGGTAGGGGCAACAGAGTCCCAACAACGGGTCTCTGAAACACGTGCATTGCTTGGAGCGAACGATGAACGAGCTATGAGATGACGACGTCGGGGTTACGGAGTACTGCACGAGGCCAGAGCGAGCGGGTCGGACCGGACCGGACGGTGGGCTGGCATGCAGCTGAGTGGCACTGGCATGGAATGCTTATCTCTCCCACAACGGCAAAAGTTCCAGAGGAACCGATCAAGAAGGGTTAAGCCCTGGACACAACATCTGATGGGAGTTGAGCTTGAACTTGACTGGCGTCGAACATAGCTAGTCATTACACTGAAGCATGTAGCTGGCAACAATGCCGAAAATCCAAACTGATATTGAGATGAGATAGTAAGACCCGTTGCTCGTGTAGTCTGTAGTCAATCCAGGCCTCCCTCCCTCTCGCTCTGCCATGGGGAGTATCCCAAGCCTCCTTACGTTTGCCATACTGTATACTACCACAGAGTACAGTGTACAGAGAGAGTGCATACAAAGCAGGGCGTCCAGATCAAGACCGCAGGTGGGGTGCGCACGTTGGATGATCTGCTGTATGTCATGTCTCTTGGTGAGACGAGGATTCTGTGGCGGACAGCAATGCAGAAACACGACAGTGAGCATGAACGGCATAAGGAATACGAGGCTAGAGACTGCGATTTCAGGGGCAGGCGAGAAGGAAGCAGACAAGGCTGGCAAGAGCGCTAAGATCCAAATGCTCCACTGGAGTAAATATACAGCGGAGTACGTACTTCATAGAATGCTGTCACCCAGGTGGGGAAACACAGTCCACCGAGTCTGCAAAACTTCATTTCACGGCGGACGCCGACAGTAGTTGCTCTGCGCTTGTTCCATGTTCCAAAGGTCGCAAGTATGGAATCTAGCTCATCGTCTGTCCCGGCGCCAGGCGCGTCTGCGTCATCTACAGCCGCCAACCCCTCCGCCGAGTACAACTCTAGATCAAAAACCGAGAACACCGCGGAGCGAATACCTCAAGAAGCCCGACGTGGCCCGGATGACAGAAGACCGTATTCGAAGGATTTTTCACGCGGAGGCGGGAGAGGTGGTAGAGGGGGTCGTCCAGGCAAGAAAAGAGATATGGGGAGGAACGAATGGGCGTGAGTACTCTTCATGAGACCATACATGTTTTCCTCCAGCACATGGCCATTGTCTGCGGTGGAACGATCTCACATATCGAGATTGCAAGGCTAACCTGCCAAGTAAAACAAAAGTAGACAAGCGGAAACGGAACGATGAAGAGCAAGCCGCAAAGAAGCGCCGACTCGATGAAGGGAAAGCCGAACTGCCGATCTACGCTACCAAGTTCAGCGAGGAAGATTTGGCGGCTGAAGAAAGAAAGCCCAAGAAGAAGGTTGCAGTCCTGATCGGATATGCAGGGACAGGCTACCATGGCATGCAATTGTAAGCAAGGCCTGCTGAGTCTGGGGACTCAACGACGCGGCTAACCTGGGCAGGACAACCGACAAAAAGACCATCGAGGGGGACCTTTTCAAGGCCTTTGTGACCGCGGGCGCCATTTCGAAGGCCAACGCCGACGATCCCAAGAAATCCTCTTTTGTACGATGTGCGCGGACGGACAAAGGTGTCCATGCCGCAGGCAATGTCATTTCGCTGAAATTGATCATCGAGGACCCCGATATTGTGAAGAAGATCAACGATAGTCTGACCCCGCAGATTCGGGTTTGGGGGTTCGAGAGGACGAACAACAGCTTCAGCGCCTATCAAGCAGTAGACTCGCGGATTTATGAGTATCTGATTCCCTCACACAGCTTTCTACCACCACATCCGAGTAGCTTTATGGGAAGGAAGCTCGAGGAATGGGCGGAGAAAAAGGGCGACACGGAAGCATACAGGAAAAGACAAGAAGAAGTTGAAGGGTTCTGGGAAAAGGTCGACGAAGAAGTGATCAAGCCTATCTTGGCCGAATACGACGACGATGTTAGGGCTATTTTGGAAAAAGCGCTCTGGTTGAAAGGCGGGGATCTGGAGGCAGAATTTTCCGACACAAAGGCGCGACCAGACGTTGAGCCAGATGCGGACACCAAAGCTCTCGAAAACCAGGCCGAGGAGGGTAAGGTGGAAGCCGCTGCCACAGTCTCAGGGGGCATTCCTCAAGAGGATGGTTTGGCAGTCAACGCCACCGATTCTGAAGACAAGACGGAAAGTGCTGAAAAGACGACAGCTGCCGATGAAGCCAAAACAGAGGCAGCGGCGGACACCAATCCTGAGGCCAGTGACTCAACTGTCGCTGAGTCCAAACCGTCGCGGTCAGCAATCCTCACCGAAGCAACAAAACGCATCCGACAAGCATACATCAACGCGAAACGGTCCTATCGCATGCCCGCAGCCCGCCTCGCTCGAATCCAGGAAGCGCTCAACTACTACGTCGGCACGAAGAACTACCACAACTTCACGATCCAGAAGACATTCCGAGACCCGTCGTCCAAACGGGTGATCAAGTCCTTCGTCGTCAACCAGAAGCCCATCCTCATCAATGGCACCGAGTGGCTCTCCATGAAAGTCCACGGCCAGAGCTTCATGATGCACCAGATCCGAAAGATGGTCGGAATGGTTGCTCTCGTCGTCCGTTGCGGCTGCGACCCTCATCGCATCTACGAGGCCTTGGGTCCAGAGAACATCTCGATCCCCAAAGCGCCCAGTCTGGGCTTGTTGTTGGAGAGGCCGGTCTTTGACTCGTACAACAAGCGGGCCAAGGGTGATCTGGGCAAGGAGCGGATCGATTTCGACAAGTACAAGGATGAAATGGACCGCTTCAAACAGGAGCAGATCTACGAACGCATGTACCGGGATGAAGAGAAGGATAACGTCTTTGGCAACTTCTTCAACCATGTTGATGCATTCCCTAGCGAGACGTTTCTGTTCGTTACGTCTGGCGGCGTCGAAGCCACCAAGATCCCTATCAAGCCTGAGGGAGAGGACAAGGGGACGGCCGAGAAGGCTCTGGTCGATGTCGACGGGGATCTGGACGGCGCGGATGCTGATAGTGATGCGGATGATGTCGTCAAGGACAGTCATGGCGATGAGGGTTGAGCGGGGGAGGTCATGGGGTTTCCTCTCGCAAGACGAGATCCTCGCAATGCTGAAAGGGCTCAAACTCGTACAATCCAATCCAATACTGTGGAGAGGCCTGCAATAGACCGTTAAAAGTTTTTCACCATGCCTCAGTCGGTCTTGTTATTCTTGTAGACAATAACAACCCCGGCAGACACGGAAGACTGAAAGTGGTGACCTTATATGTCAGGCATGCCCTCTTGCTTCTAATGACCTCAAGTCCAGCCTTGTCGAGTCATCGAGTCGAACACGTCGCCACAGCATCTCGGCCTTGTCGGGCCTGTCGCATCTCATAAGTCTTACCTTCACGTATCATAGCATCCGTTGCCAGCGAGGGAGACTGACCGTGTAGAACCCTTCTGTACTAGCTTAACCGGCGCATGGCATAACGACAAAATCAAGCGAGACGGTGAAACAGCCGGGATGTAATCTGAAACAAGATAGCGTGGCTAGCGGACAAGTCACAATGGTGAACATCAATCAACTTATTTGTATCTATGTACAGCGCCGACGATGAGACCTAAACTGACTAATTAACCCTCAATCTGGAATGTCGTCCTCACCCCCATGGCTGCCAGCTCGACATCCAAATACCTCAGAACACCAGGGACATTGACGACGGTGGTATTGTCACCGCCGACGAACTTGCGCCCGGCGCCATCCTCCCAGACCAGCATCTTGCTATCCTCAAAGGTGGCCGGGCGAGCACATGCACGACAGCGCACGATGCCACTGGGCTCGACGCGACCGCCTTTCTTGCCCAACGTGAACTGGTTCGGAACCATCATGGTACTCAAGAAACTGCCGCACGAGCGACAGACCCAGGAGCGCTGCTTGTCGCTGCAGTCCATCAACCGGTCCTGCAGCAGGTAGGCGCAGCCGTGGGCGATGAGCGAATCCCTCTCCATTTCACCGACACGGATACCGCCGCCTTTACTCCTGCCCTTGATGGGCTGGCCGTGCAGGGCGTTGACGGGGCCCGTGGTGCGGACCTGGAACTTGTCGCTGACCATGTGTCTCAGGCGCTGGTAGTAGACGACGCCGATGTAGATGTCGGCGGCGAACTGCTTGCCCGTGACGCCGCTGTACATGGGCTCGTTGCCGTAGAAGTTGTAGCCGGCCTGGCGCAGCTGGTCGCCGAAGAAGTCGCCCGCCGTGTTGTCCTCGTCGAAGGAGAAGGGCGTGCTGTCCTGCGCCAGACCGTGCAGCGCGCCCGACTTGCCCGCGAGCGACTCGACGAACATGCCGATCGTCATGCGCGACGGGAACGCGTGCGGGTTGATGATGACGTCCGGCTGGATCCCGGACTCGCTGAACGGCATATCCTGGCTGGGCCACAGCATGGAACAGACTCCCTTTTGCCCGTGCCGCGACGAGAATTTGTCGCCGATGATCGGGCGCCGCGGAATCCGGTATTTGATGCTGATGGCTTGGCACGGCTGGTCGCCTGTCTCGGACCCGATCAGCCGGATCTGGTCGATGTACGCCTCTTCCGCGTCTTTGTATTTGAAGAAGCTGGTCTTGCCGTCCAGGTTCTTCAGCTTGCCTTCGGACGGGTCGAACATGACGCTGTGGTAGGCCAGTACCACCGACCCTTCGCTGACTTTCGTCCCCACCGGAGGGAGCCCGTCGGGGTCGAGAGTTCCAAGGACGTCTGTCGAGAGGTTGGGGTCGCCTTCGGCAAAGCCGAATAGAGACTTGATTTCCGTCTTGGACCGACTGCTTCGTGACTTCTCATTCAGTTCGTATACTTTGGTCTTGTACATCACTCCGTCGCCGAATCCGCGCTCGTGCGCCGATTTGTTGATGATCATGGCGTCGTCCATGTCGTATCCAGTATATGAGATGACGGCCACAACCGCGTTTATTCCGTTGGGGAAATTGTCTAGCCCGTACTCGTTGTACAGTGGTGGTCGGACAACCGGTGTTTGTCCGGTTTGGAGGAGATATGCTTTGTTGTCGGTCCGGCACATCATGTTGGACGACGGCGTGCCCATGGCTTGCTTGCTCATTTGGCACTGGTACATGTTTCGGGGCGATTGGTTGAAGTCGGAGAAAGGTGTCATATTGGCGAGGATAGAGAGGATGTTGGTGGGCTTGTACTCGATATGCGTCGTGAGGTTCGGGATGATGTCGGCATCCACACAGGCAATGTTCATGTATTGCTGTTCGAATGGGCCGACATAGTCGAGCTTGTCGGAGGGGAGGTATTTGACAGGACGAAGCATGCGAGATGGGTCGGTGAAGAGGTACAGGCCAGGGTAAAGACCTCCATTTGAAGTAGGCACATACCCAATTTCAAGCTCGGTCGGGATGTTATGCTTGCCGTTGACCTTCCAGTGTCGGAGTAGTTGGGCGATCTCTTTTGCTCGTTTCGCTGAACAGTAACCCAGTATTCGGCCATCCAGCTGAACCGACAGACTATCCTTCACTTCCATCGCGGGTACCGAGTAAAGTCCAAATTGACTGACGGCCTTTTCGATGCCTGTAGTGTCAATGGTCTTGATTTGGACCTGACATTGATGCGCCAGATGATTCAACAGTCCACAAGGTGAACCATCAGGTGTATGGACCGGGCAGAGAAAGCCCCAACTTTCGGGTAATAGTTTTCTGACCGTGGTGGTTTTCAATTGTGCAAAGAATGTACCACGGTGAATACATCTGAAATGGCTGATGAAGCGATAGAAGTTGATCTTTTCGGCAAAGATTGTGAAACCGGATGTCTGCGATAGATCGAGCCCCGTCTGACTGACCAGGTTGCCGGTCGACAGGAAGTATTCCAGCCTACCAGCCAGGTTTTCATTCGTTCTCCGCACGATTTTGGGAAGAAAATCGGCATCGAAACTGGCGTCTGCAAATGTCGAGCCGTTCTTCATCCTCAGCCATTCTCGAGCAGCTCCTCCAATGCCCACTAACCAGTCGTGTATACTCTCCTTCAGGATCATTCCATACAGAAACCCTCCCAGAAGAATCTCCTGATTTGACACGGCATCGGGGTTGTCCAGAGCACAGTCGCCTGCAGCTAGAGCATAGAGCTTTCTGATCATGAAGAGCATCAACTGGAACTTGTCGTTATTCTGAGCTGGAGTCACGTCGACGTTGCCGAGATGTGGGAGAACAACCTTCCTAAGGAAATCTTCGCCCACTTTCTCATCCGGCACCGTGATTGGATTGCCCAGAACAGGCCTGAACTTCTCGCCCAGATAGGCTAGGGTTTGGGCTCTTGTCTTTAGATTGTAGACTTTGTATGTCCGCAGAAGTAGTTCGGCGCGATCAGAGACGAAGGAGCTCGGCGTGGCAGTGCTAGAAGACGTGCCGATGATGCCTTCAGCGATTTCTCGGTCATTTGTATGAACCAAAGCCTTCAGGATCATCATCACTGGCACCAAATACTCATTCTTCCGCCAGGAAAATCGAAAGGTGACATTTCCATCTGTCAAATAATGAAGAACATTGGTCTGGGAGGTCTGATCGGGCCTGACGGAGCGAATCTGGATACCGAATTTTGAAAAGGTCGGCCCTCTTGCAGTGAAAGCATTTCGGGCAATGGCCATGGGATAGTTTCGCCGGGACGCAATCAACATGCGTATCAACTTCTCGTTTCCGTTCACGATGAAATAGCCGCCCAACTCTTCCGATTCCTCCTTATGGCGGACCATCTCGGCGGGAGAGAATTTCTCCAGATGACATCTGTTTGATCGCAGCATGATGGGCATCTGGCCAACTTCCCGTACAGACTCCTTCCAATCTCCATTGTTGATTCTGTATTGTAGCCTTGCTCTTAGCTTTCCACGGTAGGTGGCATGTCTCTCCCGACATTCCGAGGGATAAATGTTTCGATCTTGAATGCTGAACTTATTGGAGGCAGGCAGAACAGCTTTGTCCAACATAACCTCCGTCACTCTCAAATCAAGCTTGTTCCGGGGTATCGTTCGACTGGGATTCCGAAGGTCTCCATCCACAACCGTATAGACGCCAATGTCCTTCAAGCCTGCGTCGATCAACTTCTCGTCCCATAATGCGTTGAATGACTCGATGTGTGGTTTGACGGCAGCTTGGAGGGCTGGAAAGGCGCTGCGATCTTTCGGCGTGTTTCTGAAGAGTTTCTGTCTTCTAACAGTGTCGTACTCTACAGACCATTTTGTGCTGGTCTGCGTCTTCGTGGACGACATGTTGCCGGGTCTGCTGCGTTGCCGCAACGTCAAAAGCCACAGGCACTGTAATTGTACTTTCGTGCTCCGCGCTTCAACAGCGCCGGCCGTTGCTGAGATTGCTGGGACGATTGTATCCAAAAATCTGAGCGGCCGCAGGAACTTGGAAGACAAACTGCGAAAAAGTTTCTGGCGGCTTATCGATAAGATATTTGAGGATCAAAATCTTGCCGCTTTTAAATGACGATGGGATATCACATCCGAAAACCTCCATCTTCACACGACGCACGTTGCTTGACCTACAATTGTCCCGAGATCGAATTGTTTTCTTGCAGCATGGTTTATCACCTCGCCAGTCAGCCCTGATCTCGGAACTCGTACTACATACAAGTTATGCTACGGTGGACTCCCGGACTCTATATGGTCACCACCCAATGCTTCTTCTTTTCAACAATTTGGGCACCGCCTTAGCCTCCGGCTCTCCCATGTCAATCAGCTCGTAGGTAATACTGCCACGCCAATACAACATGCGACAGAGTTTCAGGCTCTCAACCTGAGGAAAGACAACGGGCAACTTCTCTCCGAGCGACCTCATCCTGCCACGCTCTTGTCGAAGGCTTCGATACAGAATGGTCATGCTTGACGCCGGGGCCGTCCTTGCAGTCCACATGATCGGTCTGTTATGCGCCGGCTTTGACAAGGGTGTCGTGAAATAGAACTCCACTTCTCTAAGGTTCGGTAGGTCGGTGGCCCGTCCCACTCTTTCCTTCAACAGTTCTTGAGAGCCGTGTTGGCCAAGATCGAAAAGCTCGTACGACAGTTTGTCCGTCAATTGGTAGCGGATTCGGGTGATTTTATCGCTCAAGAGTGAATGGAGAAGCAGAGCACGCAGGTCGCAGACGGTGGCTCCTGAAAGAGAGGACATGTGCGGCACCGCTCGCGGAGGTATCGCACATAGGGTGAGCGAGATATCTCGTGCCTGCGGGAAGACTGATTGGAGTTGTGGGAGCAGCCGATCCGGTGCAATTGGTAGGTAGATCTTGGCTTTGGGGCGACCTAGCGACAGGCCGGAGTTCTGCTCTGCCATTGGGATGCCGATATCAAGACGGCGTACCAGCTTCCGGTGCGGCAGTCGAGACGGTAATGCCAAAAACCCCGGTTGAGCATAGATGACGACTGTTGCTCGTAGATACATCAGCCGAACTGCTTCGGCGTGGATTTGCCGACACACGAGCAGAATCGGTGGACAGGGTAAGGTCTTTGCGCGATCCAGTTCCACCCATGATTGTTTCGGGCTGAGATAGATGTAACGATCAAGTGGGAGCAGCACGCTTGTGAGAATCGACTGGCGCACCTCCACAGGAAGTTCCAGGAAGCGGCTGTTCGAAGTCGGCTCGGATGGTTTGTCTTTGATCTTCATCTTCTAGCCAGCGATATATACGATATACGCGATATACGCGATATGCAGATCAGACCCGACACATGCTGGACGATAGGCACAGCAGAAGTGGATTTGCCGTATGAGCAAGGCAGAGAATATCCAAGACAAGTAGAAGTATCACAGTTGAGGATGGTGCCCTCGTGGCTTGCAGCTGGGAGTCAGGTATCTGTTGAAATGGTAGCGACACGAAGCGGTGGCGCTGCAGCCTTACGCGGTCAAGATAAAGCCCCGCAGAGGGGATATTGTTGTAAAGACAGGCCGGGAAAGCTGCCACTCACAAAATAATAGCATAATTGAGGTGGTCTGACAGAAATCACATTCCGGTGTTCATGCTTAACTTTGCCACCGACCTGAGGATTCAATATATCTCGCGGCTTTGTCCAAGGCAAGGAAGGTATTGCTCTCAAAACTCCTTGCCGATCCCTGACCACAAACACAACTGGTGGTGATTCACTTCATCATCGAATCGAACGAGATGACGGACGGAGAGCAGGGAACATCCTTTGCAATGCAGCCTTTGAAAGGACGTTCTGATCAGCAGTAAGAGGACAGCTTGAGGAGGCTACCTACAGCCATCAGCCGTTAGTGTGTTATTACACTAAATCCCCAGCAAGCTCAACATGAAGCTGAAGGTCTCGGCCGAGAGATGATTTGATTCTGCTACGTACCTGTCTTCCCCCTTGTTCTGATGACGAATCTCCTCTCCCCTTCGTGCCTATCTCCGGGACCCCTATCTGCGGTCCAGCGAAGATGAGACCGGAGACTCCATTGCGCCGATACAAGAACTACCATTCACTCTTCGGAGTTAAGACGCCGCACTGGCATATTCAGGTTCTGAACCACATTGACCTCAAGGTTGCTGACAAAAGCTCTTCACGTGATCTGGATCTGGTCACGTGCGGTCACGTGGCTGCCTGTTCAATGATTGGCTATCGGCTCTGTTCCCCCTGTTCAATGCCCTCCACAGTTGACCATCTCCCTCGTCTCTCTCGGCCGGGACAGAGAGTCGTCCAACATGCCACGGTCAGGCTCAGTGCTTCGCTTCTCAACCTCAACCACACAATGATTGCACAACAAAAGAAACAGCAGGACGAATGTTGTCCTGATGCCCTTGCTAGTGAATCTGGCTGTGGGGCACCTGCTTGGAAATATGCCATCTCCTCTCCTCCTCTCCTCCTCTCCTCCTCTCTGCTAATATAAATACCCCCTTCCTTCATCAGTCTCACGCGGGCAGTCCTCCTCTCGAAACTGACAAGCAGAAGCAGAACCAAGCAGGATCGAAATCTTTCTCACTGACAGATATCTACTTCTTCGATCGCAGATCTCAATCGAAAGAAACACACAGGCAACCTCCTGACGTCTATCGAACCTTCCACGAGATGTCGTCCTCCCTGCAACCGATCACTCTCTACGCCCATGGACACAGTCCAAAGTAAGTCGAAGCTGTCTACCTACTCTACTTGAACTATATTTGTCTATCCCCCCTACCTATATCTATGGCCCGATAGGTCTTGGACAACACACACACACACACACACACACACACACACACATACAAACACAAGAAAGTCAACTTCCCATCCTCGCATCATCCCGCTTGATCTATATTCTGTCCTTCCCCCCTCCTACATCTCCCCTCTCACCCTCATGATTCCCAGCACCCATTCCCACCCTTACCTCACACCAACAACAGCCACCAAATCTAGATCTAGATCTCGCAATCCTAATACTCCCATTACAGCCCCGTCAAAGTCGCAATCATCCTCGAAGAGCTTGGGTTGCCGTACAAGAAGGTCAACCTCGACGGCCCCGCCCTGAAACAGGAGCCGTTCATCTCCATCAACCCCAACGGCCGCGCCCCGGCCATCGAAGACCCCAACACGGGCATCACGCTCTGGGAGTCCGGCGCGATCATACAGTACCTGGTCGAAACGTACGACGCGGAGCACCACAAACTGTCCTACCCGGCCACGGCCGTGCGCGAATACCACCAGCTCAACCAGTGGCTCATGTTCCAGGTCTCGGGCCAGGGGCCCTACTTCGGCCAGGCCACGTGGTTCCTCTTCTTCCACCCCGAGAAACTGCCCAGCGCGATCGAGCGGTACTTGAACGAGATTGAGCGCGTCACGGGCGTCTTGGATTCGTGGCTGGCCAAGCATGAGTTCCTGGTCGGCGACAAGGTCACTTACGCGGACCTCAGTTTCGTGCCTTATGCCGCATTGGTGGCCAAGGTGCCGATATTGAATCGGGATGGGAAGTTGTTCGTCGCCGAAGGAGAGGAAGGTGGTGAGAAGAAGGAGAAATATCCCGCTTATACGAAGTGGTTGGATACGCTGATGGCTAGGCCGGCAGTGAGCAAGGTTATGGAGCAGTTTGCAGCCGCTGCCGCTAGCATACACTGAATGGTTCGGTCGATGTACCTACCAAACAGTACCAAGGCACCGGGATCCTCAAGAATACTGGTTGAATTCTGGACCTAGTCAGCATCTGCGCGATGAATCGTGACTCGCACTTAGTAGCCCCCTTAATTGATACAGCCTTGTGTTAAACCCCTTACAAGTGCAGACTCTTGACTCCAATGTGGAAGCTTACACTTCACACACCTTGACCAGTTGAACCAAGGATGTTAATATGCATGCTTCTGCTTTTTACACGCTAGACAACTGGAAAGTATAGATGCAGAGATTGATACGCCAACAACAGGAAACCCGACGACCATTGTGCGCAGACAAGACGATCCGCTCCCAAGACCTTCCAGCATCTCAAAACTCTTTGTCCACCGAACCTTCTGGAGTAACACACTGGCCATGAAACCCTCAACCATGACACCCATTATTACCGTTGTAATTTCTCAAGCACCGGTCAGATACTTGACCAATTGATCTCGCTCGCTCGTGGGCACCAAACTCAAAACCTCACGCACTCCTTTCAAGCCGCCCTCCTTGTTGCCCATCAACAATTCAGCCACCTTCTTGCTGATAAATTCGCTCTTGACCGCATCGATCTTGGCGTACACTTCTTTTCTGTGGCTCTCATACCACTCTGCCACCTTGCGGTCATCCTTGTCAAATTCCACATCCAACAATCCAGACCAATGTTTGAGCAAGGCGAGGTTGGTCTCTCTTGTAGATGATGCGCCAGTGGCCACAGGAGCACCACCGGCCGTGATACTGCTGTTTAGCTTCTTGAGCAGGACTTCTTCCGACAATCTTCTTCGAAGACGCCAGTAGAAGAATCGTCTCGCGTTCTGCCATTTCAGTGGCATGCGGATCGTCCCTTTGGCTTGCATACGTCCAGCGCGATCGTGCAGATCGGCGAACTGAAGAGCAATTTGCTGGTAGACAGGGGCAAGAAGTTGCTCGCGTTGTGTCATCTTGGTCTTGATGTCGTTCAGCTGGTCAGGAGTAAGATCTTTGCGGACAGATTGAGCTCGGAGTTCTCCATAGATGGGATCCAATCGAGCCATAGTCTCAAGCTGCTTCTCGCGACGATACTTGATACCCACAATACCCTCCGGCTCCAGGACACCACCACGAGACTCCTCATCGGCGTACATCTCCATCTGCTCCGGGTTGATGGTAGGATCGACGACGACCTTAAGACCACGTTAGCACTTGTGAAAATCAACAGTCAGAGTTTTTCGACTTACCCATGATCCACCGCGGAGTTCCCCAAACGGAGGAATGTAAACGAAAACGGGCTGTTCATACTTGACGAGGGCATCAACGATATACGAACCGTACTTGAGCACCTCGTTGTACATGTCTCGTTGACCACCAGAGAAACCACGCCAATTGGCCAGAATCATGACGGGAAGTTGCTCTCCATAGTTGAAGTCTTTGAGAGCCTGGGCAGTCTTGAAGGCAGAATTGGGATACCAGACACCGCCGGCTTCTTGAACAACTTGCTCCATAGAATCGGCGTTAGCAGGGTCGGCCGGGATGACATTCTCGACAGTGCGTGCCTCGACCGCAATGACACCCATGGGAATGCCACCCAGACGAGCACGACCGATAACGACAGTTCGTGCCCAGCCGCCGAGAGCCTCTTGGAAAGAATCCTGGTCGAACAGACCAGACACAAAGCCTTCGTCATCTTGTTTACCGGCAATGAGATGTCGGACATCATAAGGTTGCCGCGGGGGATAGAAACCAATGTCACGATCCCAAGTATCCGCTGAGGGGCTGACTGGGACTGGCTGACCCTTCTTGTCGGGGATAAAGGACATCCAATCCACGATCTTTTCAACTCCCTGGAAGTCGTCGCTGGCGGTCATGTGGGAGACTCCATTCTTGTACATGATCTGAGTGCCACCAAGCTGTAAGTTGGACGTGTAAACTTCCTTACCCAATACTTTGTTGAGGGCAGGGGCGCCGGTGAGAATGATCGGTTGACCTTCAATCTGAATGGCACGTTGACCCAGACGGACGAGGTAGGCACCAATACCGACAGATCGACACGTGACGAGGGTAATGGTGAAGATGTCCTCATAAGCCTTGGAAGTGGCGCCAGCAATGAGACCAGAGCCTCGCAAGCATTCCACGCCCAATCCATCCTTCGCACCAACGATGGTGGTGATCTTGTGTCTTTCCTCGCCATCCTCGACAATTGGTTCGGTGATCACGTCCTTGGTGCTCAACTGCTTTCTCTTCTCCGGAGTCAGGTAGAGATATTTGAAGCCAGCTTCTGGATGTTCTTCATCATTCCAGGCGACTGAAAAGTGAGGGATGAGTTCATCAGCCATGCCAATACGGGCACCTGAATTGGCAGAGAGGTAGATACGGGGAATACCAAGTTTTCGAGCAAATTCGCTGCACTTAAAGAAGAATTTGTCCTCGACAGGTCCAAAAGAACCGATTTGGTAGGTGATGTCGTTGGCAATGATCACAAACCGTCTGCCTCTCGGATATTCCGGTGTTCTGGCAGTCAGAAGCCAGGCAACCATGCCACAGCTGTTGGTACCGGGCTCACGCGACACCTCGGTGACGTTGTCATTCTCGTCCAGAATCAATTCGCTATAGTCGAGACATGAGCCAATCTCTGGCCTCGATTCTGCGAGAGGAGCATGTCTGGCGATCGCCCTGGCCCAACTGTTCTGGACCGCTTGTCTGAACAACTCCGGGAAGTCGTAGACGTACTGCGTGCCCATAAGGTGAGCCTTGTAGCGCTTCGGCTGCAACCACTCTTTCGTCGGATAGGGGCTGGAGACGGGTCGAAGATGCATAGAGCCAACCTTGGTGGTACCACCGATGCTCTCAAATACCCACTCGCCGGTGCGAGACTTCTTCTCAACATACGACTCAACCTGCACGACATACCCGGAAGTGTTGGTGATCATAACACGAAGAGGATACGGCATTCCGGTTTCAGGATCTGTGCACAGGATTCTGATTTCTGCTCCTGTGATTCGAAGACGTAGAAACCTTCGAGAGAATCGCTCCAAAAAGCCAGCAATTTGCTCTTCAACGTCCCGAGGCTGCAGGTTGAAAGTCGGAGTGAAGTTGATGAAGATGTGATTCAGGTCAGAGTTGTTATTGCCGATGATCTCAAGAGCGTCGCAGATGTCGTTGACCAAGCGGTCGCTCTCGGATATCAGATACTCCGCTGTGGGAATTTCATCCTTTAGACGACCAGGTCGGACAACGGCCCGAGTAAAGTAGCGCTTGTCGACAACCTTGTCTCGTTCCTCTCCCTTACCGATGGCCTCATAAACATGAATGTTTCTGTTCTGTGTGAAAACAGGCTTGATCTTGAACCTTGACAGTCTTCCAAGCTCAAGCTGGAAAGCAAGAGCCGGCTCATTGTGTCGAATATCCATGTCTTCCTCATAGCTAGGGCCTCGGAAAGTAAAGTATCCGGGGTAAGTTCCCTCTCTGTGACCGCAGATGAAAGTGATCCGGCGCACCTTACGCGCAAGGAGCTCTGACTTGTATTCGGCGATCAAACTGTGCAGGCGGCGAAGGATTTCGTCATCATCCAAAGATTCGATGTCACGGATAGCAATGTTGACCACGTTTGTCAATTCGTCATCGGGCACCTCTATCTTCTGCTGTGCCTGTTGTGGTCTTCTCTGGGTGTCGAGCGTTGGCATCAGAGAGGCCTGGCTGGGACGCTTCTCTTTGGGAAACTTGGGAAAGGCCTCTAGGGCACGAGCAAGGGTCTCATCGGCCTCATCCAAGTAATGGCAAGGCGCAATGACGCCCTTGCGCGAAGGCTCGTCGTCCCCTTGCACCCTGTTAAGATACGACAAGTCGCTCACCGAGGTGATGCGTTTGAACGGATTGCCCTGCTGTGAAGGAGTTGCTTGTCCAGACGGGAAGGAGGAAGCCAGTGGCAAGCCAAATTCGGATTGTCCCACCTTCCGCAGGACGAAGTCCCAGGAGATGAAGAAGGGTGGATCAACATCGTTGTGATATTCGATCTCCTTGACGGTGTACGCACGGTACGCGCGGCGAATATACACTTCGAGAGCCGCAAGACCAACCCAAGGGTCATGGTGCGCGAAGAACAGAGGCAGCACATCGAAGACGGTATAACGAGAGTCAACGACTTCTTTCAAGACATCAAGGTCCGGATCCCTATGCTCCCAGCCTGTCTCACCGTATTTCGATTCGACAACCGAAGACTTGAGGATGTGCTCCATCTGTGAGGATCTCTCCTCGAGCGAGGGTAAAGCGCAAAGAATCAGTAACTCTCGCGCCTTCAGGGCAACCTTTGCGGTAGCACGCGACTCCAGCTCGGTGAGCTTGCGAAGAATAGGTCTGAAGTATTTGCCGACATTCCCGACGTTCGGTTGATTGGGTCGGTACATGTCCAAAATGGCGACAACAAGGTTGTTCTTGGCCGAGACGCGGGTGTGAGACAGTACCGTAAAAACAACCGTGGATAGATCGTTCTTGTGCTCCTCGCGAAGCTTCAAGATCACATCCTCATCCCGATGGGTGCCCGAAGCAAATAAGCTCTCGACTTGGTAATATTGCTCGAGTAGCCCAGCGAAGACTGAGAACTCGTGAACCTTGAGTCCATCCGCGTATCTGTTAAGCACTTCATCCAGCGGTTCCAGAGTGCCCCGGAGCGTCGCTCCATCAGCAGGAGACATGTTTTCTTCAATGTAGCGGTTGATGGCCTTTTGAAGCTGCTTCGCGGGGAATTCGGCTTTACGCGAGTGCGCGCGCTCTACAATCTGGTCGAGCTGCGCATCCAGCTTTTGTGGAGTTCTCGCATGCAGTGCTGAGGCTCTTGCCACCCACTCGCCATACGGAAGTTCCGAATCTCTCAGCACGGTTACCAACTCTTTGAGGGTGGAAGCCATGATAACTTGATTGTCGAAGCCCATAAGGATGTTTTGCAGGATGCCCAGGAGGAGGGCGAATCGCTGATGGGGCTTGTTGCCAACGATCTGAGGCGGTCCCATGTCGGGAAGTTGTCCAGTAAACGTTTCGGCCGTCTTGACTCTTGATGGGTCGTCGAGTGCTAAGATGCCGAGAATATCGCCGGCTTCCAGAGTGGCACCTGGCTGCTTGATGAATTGAACAACGCCGTCTTCCTGAGCAATGAGAGGCATGTACATCTTCATAACCTCGACCTCGGCGAAGGGCTGGCCAGCTTTGACGTGAGAGCCATTCTCAACGGTGTACTTGACCAGCTTGCCGGGCGATGGTGTCCGGAGTTGAGTGGGATCATTCTCCTGCTCGAGCAGGCACGTCTTGCTATCGACACTGAGGCGGATAGCAGTGGCTTCTTCCTTCCAGTAGATACTGTGGGATCGACCGGCCAGAAGCATCAACAGACCACCATCGGCAAGAGTTCGAACTCCGACAGAGCATTTTGAACCGTTGATGAAGATATGGTAGCTGTCGAGACTTGCACGGGTGGCAGTGAACTTGTATCTCTGGCCCTCGTAGATGAAGTCAACAGGGAAGACTGTCTTCAGTAGATCTTTTGTTGGCACTTGGCCTTTCTCCAAGCCCTTGCGATATTCAGCAAGGCAGGCCTCGCTGGCAATGTGGGCTTTGGTAAGAGCACCGGCAAGAATGGCAAGCATCCGGTCAGGACGTTCGGCAGTCAATTTCTTCGAGATCAGCTCGTCGAGCCAGCCGGTGGTGATGGTATTGTCCTCAAACGCTGGCGTTTCTAGCAGCTTGATGAGATATTCAATGGTGGTCCGGAAGTCACCACGAATGCTCAATTCCTTCAGCGCGACCACCATGTGTTTCCGAGAAGCAGAACGATTCTCGCCATACGCGAAGATGTGACCGAATTGACTGTCAGAAAAGCTGTGGATGCTGGAGTTTGAAGAAACGGAGAAATAACCCCAAACATTGGAACTCGACCGAAAATTCAGGTCGTGCATTGTTCCACTCGAGGGCTTGAAGCCCTCGCCAGGATCTTCAGAGGTGATACGGCAGGCCGTGGTGTGTCCCTTTGGTCTCGGGCGTCGTTGGGTTCTCAGACTTGCTTCGTTCTTGAAGTGGAAGTCGATCTCGGTCGAAGTGTGTGGCTCCACACCGTACAACAAACGAATGTCACGGATGCGGTGCAGCGGAAGACCCATGGCAATCTGAAGTTGGGCGGCCGGCAGATTGACGCCGCTGACCATTTCAGTGGTAGGGTGTTCCACCTGGAGACGAGGGTTCAGTTCCAGGAAAAAGAACTTGTCCTCTGCGTGCGAGTAGAGGTATTCGACTGTGCCCGCTGAGACGTAACCGACCAATTCACCCAGTCGGACGGCTGCTTGTTCCATGGAGTGGAAGGTCTCTGGACTGGCGATTGTAACCGGAGCTTCTTCGATGATTTTCTGATGTCTCCGCTGCACCGAGCAATCTCTGCCGAAGAGAGAGATATTGTTGCCGTACTGGTCTGCCAACAGCTGCACCTCCAAATGTCGGGCATTGCCTGCGAGTTTCATGATGAAGATGGGCGAGCCAGGGATTTCACTGGCCGCGGCATTGTACAGTGCCTCAAACTCCTCCTCATTCTCGACCTTTCGGATACCCTTGCCACCGCCTCCTTCCGAGGCTTTGACCATCACAGGGAACCCGATTTTCTTTGCGGCTTCCAGACCTTCTTGGGGAGAATGTACGCAACCGCGTTCGTAGGCATCCTCTCTCACGGTGACGATTCCGTGCTCGTCAATCTCCACCTCGTCAACGCCTTCCCCTGACCAGGGAATGCAAGGCACTTTTGCATGTTGCGCGACAATTGTGGAGGAGATCTTGTCACCCAGAGACCGCATGGCAGACCCTGGAGGGCCGATGAAGATGATCTTTTTCGGCGACGCAGCTAAAGATTCTGGCAATTTGGGGTTTTCGGAGGCGTGACCCCAGCCTGCCCAGACTGCGTGGACGTTCATGCGCTCAGCAATATCCACAATCAGCTCAACGTTTGCATAGTTGTTGTTGTTGGTCCCTCCGGGCACCTGTATCCTCAGTGTCAGCCTGTGCTCTTCTTCTCTTTCTGCGATTGCACTTTGTTCCATACCTCAACATATTGATCAGCCATACGAATGTAGTCTGCGTTCGCCTGCAGATCTTCTGGGGTGGCCATGACAGTAAATTGGATGGCGCGCTCGTCGCCGAAAGTCTCGTAGGCCCATTTTCGTACGGAGCGGATCTCTTTGACTGCGGCAATACCGTTGTTCGCAATAAGCACCTGCATTTCACACGTCAGCCGCGCTCTGGAACACGATTCCTTTTGGGCAGAGGAAAGAACTCACGGAGGTGATGACTGAGTGTCCATCATGCTCTTGGACAAAGTCTTTGACTCTGCTGGGAGGAGCATTCTCCAGTCTGTTGCCCCCAATAAAGTGAGGAGCGAGGTTGTGCTTTGCCTGCCATGAGCTGGTGGTTCCGTTCGTCAGCGAGGACTTGCGAGTCCCGTTGACCCCGTTCACCGTGGGAGCCATGGCTGTTGCTAAGACCCTATCTCATACACCCGACACCTCTGTTTCTGGCAGCTCAGAGTTGCGAATTCGCGGGGTCCAAGCTGTCAAGAAAGAATAGGAGACCGGTGATACGCCAATTAAAACCGATGTCCCAAACCACAGACCCGAACGTCTATACTGAAGCTGGCAGAGGAAGAAGGAACGAACGGTTCGGAGGAAAGGTCATACAAGGAAGTCAAGAGAAATTTTGTAAAGGGAGAAAGGGAGTAGTAGGAGGTAGTGAGGTCAGCAATAGTATGAGGCGGGAGCGGCGAGACACGAAGGCGCAGGGTATTATGTTTAATGAAATAAAGAGCAGCAGCCACTGGCCCAACTCTCACTTCAAGTTGTTGGATGGGCAGCGGGATGGGGTTTAGTGCAGCGCAAGGCGGGCCGCAGCCCAGCAGTTCAGCACTGCAGGCCAACTGTCATCGACAACGTTGTTGAAGGGGGTTGAAAGAGGCTTAGGGGGTACCCTCCGGGCTCAGGCTTCAGGCACCTTCACGACCACAGCCGGGAGACCCTGTCTGTCGGGGGCCGCTTATAGGCGTGGAGAGGGCGCCAGGATTTTAGTTGGGAGAGCATCGCCGAAGGAGCCAACCGGGGAGGCGTTGACCATGATTGGGCTTCGGGCTCCTTGGGCTTTCCATAGGCGGTCGATCTCACCGCTGATTAGACACAACAGCTCATGTGTGTCCCACACCAGCTCCTCAGCGCAAAGCCGAGTCCCAACCCCAACTCCAACAGATTTCCCTACAGCACCACAAAATGCTTGCGCCGACGCCATGTTGTTGAGAGCCCGCTCATGACGTCGGCCTTCACGATGTGACGGGTATTGTTCCATATAACTCAACTGTCGTTGAAAATTCTTCCGAGACTCCCTCACCACTGCAGGTTCATGGGCTACTAGCGCAGCTCGTGTGCCCCCAAGAAACCCCACGGGCAGATGGAAGGGCCATCAACAACTTCAAGGACAGGGGAGCGAAGATGGTCGTATGGCCGAGATACACAACTTGAACAGCGCCTCGGCGACTCAATGGGGTCGCACAGATGGAGCCTCGTAATTGGTATAGCCATTTTTTCAAAGTTGCACCATGTGATACGTGTTCTTATTGTGTTCCTCTTTCTTATCCTGTTCAGCCTCAGCTGGGATCCGTGGACAGAGCCTACACTGGCAATTGTGCTAATTGCCAGATCGATCGTGGATGTGGCGCGCCAGGCGGAGTCCGCTACGGTCCTGAGTCCAGCACATAATTTCGGAGTCCGTAGTTGGTGGCATCTTTTGTTATAACCCACCTAAACCCGAAAGTGATTTCCCCAACAGGGGTGTCTCTGACTCTTCTATTCTCGAGTTCTCTTTTCCCCTTGTTTCTTCTGTAAGGCGCCGAGCTGGTTGCGCAGGGAGCATGCAGTGGGAGACTAGGTATCCGTGGGTAGGAAGAAAGGGACAGGGAGTAGCGGAACGGCAGGACCAGGGCCACTCAGGTGGGTGCCGGAGCTGAACGTTCGTGGACGACCATTTTGTCGATTGTCTTTTGCCAGTGTGAGATCTGTCTTGTCAGGGGGTCGGCCGAGTTTTGGCCCCCGATCTCTGAAATGCAGTGTAGTGCTGATGGGTCTTTTTTGATGCCGAATTGGACGAATGTGAGACCTGCGTGGGATTCTAAATTTGGATGTTGGGCGCCCCATCAATCTGGCAGCCCGCAGATGGCTTCGATTTGTGTAGTAGTAGGTCACTACGCAAGTTTTCCGTCAGTTCATGTTCCATTTCTGGTCATTGTGTTCCGGCTTAGTGCTCAGCCCATCGACAGCATATCGTCGTCATCAAACCATCACTGGAATAGACAATAGGACCGTCACATAATATACTAGTACCTAGGAGAGGGAGAGGGAGTCTTCAGTACTACATGAGGACAAACCAGCCAATCTAGTTCTGATTGGCGGTCACGGTCACGCCGCTTGAAGCTCAACCAAAAGGACACTCCACGTGATCTGACTGAACCTCGGCTCAGCCTCGTCCAGGCATTTCGCTTGAAGGTTGGCTTCCGTTTCCTCATTATGGTCGAAATGCTACCTCTCATCAATCAGACATTCCATGTCTTTGGCATGTCAGTACTGTTCTCGTAATCTCGAATGAACTGATCCCAAAACAGCCTGTCGGCAACATCAAGGTTGAAATCATTGCCCAGATTATCCATTCCATCATCGAGACTGCCAAAGAGCGCATCAGCAACACTGTCCGGGGGGGAGAGGAGTAAAGGCGCAGTCTGTGGGACTCCTTCAAGAACATCGTCCTTGAGCATGTTGCTTCCAGGATCGTTCGCGTCTGGGGGTTTGGCCTGTTTGGCCGTGCGTTGAGAGCACCGCAGAGCAGTGATGAACCCCGGTTCTGGCATGGAGTCGGTCGGCGGGTTGGCCGTCCAAGCCTTGAGTGTGACGTTCCCGACAGCGATGTGAATGGCTCTTTTGGCCTCCAGAATTTCAGGGTGATTGGAGAATACGTCTGCCAACTTAGACCAGGCGGTATCCAGCTCTGCAGGGGCGAAGAATCCGGGCCTCACTAGGCTCGTCAGAATGCACAGGAGCGCGTCACCCAGGAAGAAGGACTTGAAGGACCAATGGAACTTCTTCATCCTGGGGTGGCTGTAAACCGCACTATCGGCCTCGAGAATTTTCTGGGCGAGCACACAGAGCGCTCTCCTTTCGTGATCGCCAACGCTCTTCTTCATCAATTGCGGCATACGACTGTGCAATCGCACCACGTTGGCAGCGGACCTGATCCTTCCCAATGTCAGGAAGTGGAGCGGGTCAACAATATCGCAGTACCGGAGATACTTGGCCTCGATGGTGTTCTCGACCTCGTCGATCAGCTTCTCCAGCTGCTCGTTGTCCCTCAATTGAAGGCTAGCACCGACCTCCTTCGTCTTCACGCCGGTGCGGGTGTAGAATTTGCTCAGTTCCGTTCTCGCGAGACAATAGATCATTTCGGTAGCGCCAGTCTGCTCCTCAGGCATCTGTGTCATTCCAGGATAGATCTGGTCGTCGTTGACATTCAATGGCTGTCTGGTGTCCCAGCTATCCGGCGTGATGGAGATGCCGGTTCCCGAGATCTGCCCAGCGTACCCTTCGAGTGGCAGAAGCTGCCAAAAGACTCTGCGCCGCATTTCCACGTCGAATGGAGGCAGTCCGAGGCTCTCGCCATCGTGATGAAGCCCCATGCGCTGCGCAATGCGGACCGCAACACCAGTCAAGATCCAGAACGTGTGAGGATCAATTTGAGTGCGCATCGCCATCAGAAAGAGCACATAGGCCTGCATCACTGGCATCGCCGTCGTCTTCAGCCACGATGCATTGACGAGTGCCTGTCGAACAGCATGTTGGTACCGACCCAGCAAGACCCCCTGTGATTGTCCGAACTCGCGCATGCAGTCCTCATCGGTGATCGAGTATACCGCAAAGTGATAGATGGCGAAGAGAAGGCATTCGTGCATTTTAGACGCAGTGCCGGGCTGTTGCGAGACTCTTTCGACGAGTCTAGCCGTCGACGGAGTATGCAGCACTTTGCACAGCGGCTCGACATTCTCAGTGTACATTGTCCATAATTTCACAACATCTTTGGGGCTGGGATGATACTCGGTGAGGTTATGCGGTTTCCCATGGAGGCTACTCAACAGGAGATCATGGTTGGGTGAGCTGCTGTCCACTGGAGCAGGTAGGCTGTCTTCCTCATTCTCCGACATTTCCAGCATGTCAATTTCTCCCAAATCCCGCCACAAATGGCCGTCAATGTATCGAGCTTTACACTCGCCAGAGAGTAATTTCCCGCTCTTCGTTGTCTCCGGCTGGTCGATGTGAAGAGAGTCTGTTGCCGGTGTGCTCTTGGGCGTGTCGGAACAGGAAACTGGTGTTGTATCAGCCTTGGACAGCAGGCCACTCTCCTGTAATGCGCGCTCATACCGCGCTAGACGCTCATACACGGTTTCGCTGCGTTTCCTCTTCGGCCGCCGGGCTGACGGCGCCTGATAGATGCATTCCACTTTGCCTCTGATGCAGCTCGAGCATGCCGGGATGGTCTTGTCGCATTTGACTTTCCGCCGCACACAGGATTGACATGCATAGGACATTATCTCGAGCGGCGACGGGTGATTGCTTGGTCGGTCACCACTGGTTGGACTTCCATTTCGAATATCAACCATTGCTTTCGATGTCATAATAATTGACCGAGAATATTCGGGTAACAAATGAACGGTAGGAGTCAATGACACGTTGGCATTCGGGCGATGGCTCGGGAGGAGAGACAAGGGGTTTCGGGCCTTATCCATCGGACCCGGTCTGGATACATGCGTCCGATTGGTCAGCCTTGCGCAAACCCAAAGCACCAAAACACCATGTTACCATGGTCGAAATATTCTCCATCTCAGTCGAACGACGTGCTATAAAAGCCATGGCGCCCTTCACATGCTCAAGTGACTTCCTCAGTCGGCATTCTTATAGAAGTCTATCAATGGCAACCAAGCATCTTTGGCTCAATTTCCATCCAGCCTTACATGACTTCTGCACCTTCACCACCCACTACAATGAGCAGTTACACTCAACTTGGTGTTCTAAAGCAGCAAGATCAAAACCTCGACCTGGATCTAGATGCAGCGAAAATACCCACAGGAGAGACTGAGACTTCCGAAGATGAAGTCAAATACAAGGACCCCAATCTCGTGACCTGGGACGGAGCGGACGACCCTCTGAACCCAAAGAACTGGCCGAACAAGACCAAGTGGTCCTATACCGTGGCGGTCTCGCTCTTCACCTTCATCTCACCCGTTTCATCGGCCATGATAGCCCCGGCCCTGTCACACCTGGCTCAAGATCTGCATATGAAGAGCGCCATCGAGGTGGATTTGTCTCTATCCATCTTCATCCTGGCATATGCCGTGGGGCCCGTCTTCTTCGGTCCGGCATCCGAGATCTGGGGCCGCGTGCGGCTCCTACAGCTCAGCAATCTGTGGTACATGGCCTGGAATCTGGGGTGCGGCTTTGCCACGAACAAGGCCGAGATGTTTGTGTTTCGATTTCTAGCTGGCGCTGGCGGAAGTGCGCCGCTTGCCATTGGAGGAGGAGCTTTGAGGTGAGTTACCCTCCTACCATTACCAACAGTTGCTGACCCAACACAGTGATATCTGGACGCCCGAAGACCGCGGCAAAGCAATGGGAATCTACGCGCTCGCCCCGATCCTCGGTCCCGTGGTCGGCCCCATAGCAGGCGGGTTTATTGCCGAAAAGACAACCTGGCGCTGGGTTTTCTGGTCGTCCAGCGCCCTAGCGGTCTTCATCCAAGCAGCCGGGCTGGTGTGGCTGCGCGAGTCGCACGCACCGACCCTCCTCAAACGGAAACGAGACCAGCTGGCCAAAAAGACCGGCAACACCGAATTGTACATCATGGCCCCTACCACAAATACCACGAACACTGCTCTCCAGCATCAGCATCAACAGCCCTCGCAGCTCCTCCTTTCCAGCATCACCGGCGCTCTAATCCGTCCAGCGCGTCTGATCACCACCCAGCCCATCGTCCAAGTCATCGCACTTTACATGGCCTACCTATTTGGCGTGATGTACCTCCTCCTCGTAACGTTCCCCGCCGTGTGGAGCGGCCCGACCATGTACAACGAAAGCCTGGGCGTCGGCGGGATCAACTACGTCTCGATCGCGATCGGGTCGTTCATCGGCATCATCGTCAACTTCCGCTACATCGACCGCATCTACCGCCACTTGAAAGCCCAAAACGGCGGCGTCGGCAAGCCCGAGTTCCGCATGCCGTCTATGTTCGTCGGCTCGGTTCTCGTCACCGTTGGACTGTTCTGGTACGGCTGGAGCGTGCAGGGTCGGGCGCACTGGATCATGCCCAACATCGGTGTTGTCATCTTTTCTGCGGGGACAATGGCATGTCTGCAGAGTATGCAGACGTACACTGTCGACTGCTATACCAGTTTCGCGGCCAGTGCCATGGCTGCTGTGGCGATTCTGCGCAGTCTGGCCGGGTTTGGGTTTCCCTTGTTCGCTCCATACATGTACAAGGCTCTGGGGTATGGTTGGGGGACAAGTGTGCTGGCCTTTGTCAGTATCGGGATTGGGTTTCCGGCTCCGTTTATTTTCTGGTTCTATGGTGAACGCCTACGGGGTATGTCGAAGTATGCTACCGGTTGAGGTGATGGGAGGGCACCTGTGCTATATATGGAATTATAAGAAGCATAGAGTTGTCAGGGGAGGGTACTGTGAATATATATTAGGCCGTATATATATAATGTACTTTAGAGTAGGTAGACGCCTTGAATATATATCTTAAAATACATACTATACTCACCTGGTGGTCACCTGGATATACTATAACCTCTATTTCATGGTCATAGACACGACGCGACAACTAACCCACTATATAGACTTTAGAGTAGGTAGACGCCGTGAATATATACCTTAATATAGTCTATATACCTAGTGGTCTTCTGGATATACTATTATCCCTATTTTGTGGTCATAGACACGACGCAACAGGAACTCACAGAATAGAACTTTGAAGCAGGTGTACGCCGCGACAGAAATGATATAACTACTATACATATATTGTGGCGACCGTGGTCTACTATGTCCTCTTTTTTTCATAGTCACAGACAGGACGCGATAATAAACTCACAGGATAGAACTTTGAAGCAGGTGTACGCCGCGAAAGAAACGACATAACTACAATATATACATAGTGGCGACCGCAATATACTATGACCCCCTATTTCGCGATCACAGACACCGCGCAATAAGGAACTCACAACTATAAACGTCAGAACAGGTGTACGCCTGGAGGTAACGAAAATCACACAAACAAACACTTAGAAATACTCTGACATAGTTGATTCAGAATCTAACAAATCTGAACTACTCCAACATCTCCCATCTCCCAGCTCCCAGCTCCCAACTCCCACCCACTCCCACCAACCAGCAACCACCAAACACCAACAACCACCCCCTTCCTCCCTTCCCCCTCTCACAAGGACGCCACCATGCCCTGCTCGATCGTGCCCCGCGCCGCCAGGTGGTACACATGTACCGGCTTCTCCTGGCGTGGCCGCAGGGCCCGACCGACAGCCTGCTCCATGGTGGCGGCCCTCTCCTCCCGGGACGCCAGCAACAACGGGGACAAGAACAAGACATGGTTGGCCATGTGCAAGTTCCAGCCGGCCGCGTCGGCGCTGTCGGTCTTGAGCACGAGGACCCAAGACCCCGAAGGTTTACCCTTCGCCAACGCCGCCGCGGCCTTCTGGAACCGGCCCACGGCTCCACGGGTGTTCTTGAACCCGTCGATGCAGCCAATGCCCGCCTTCTCGCAGGCTTGGACAAAGGCGGTCTTCACGTCCTCGAACTGGACGAAGACCAGGGCGAGCTCCTCCTTGGCGATGGCTTGTCGGAGGATCGACAAGGCCATCTCCGGTCTCGAGCCCTCGCCGAGCCGGGCAGGAGAAGAGGAGGAGGCGGGAGGAGGGGGCGAGGGAGACGACGGCGACCAAGAAGACCCTCCCTCTGCCACAAAGTGGCTGGCCGGCTTGACGTGATCGGCCGAGAAGCAAGGACAGCACAGCTTGTCGCCCGAGCGGGAGCTGCCGTCCGGAGACGCACAGGCCGGGCAAGCGACGATATGGCCACATCCGCACGAAACCTGGATGTCGCGGTGGTTTGCGTTGGATGGGACTGCGTTGCCGCAGCCCGAACAGGACCCGAGAAGAGGAACCGTTGCATCCACCAGACCCGAGACCAGACGCAAAAGTCGGAGGCGGCAGAATCCCCGAGCCAGGTCGTTGATCAAAGTATGAACCAGGTCCATACGAAGGTCCAATTCATTCTGGACGTCGGGTTTCTTCAGGGTGGCCACGTCGATGGGCTCATCCGGCTTTCTTCCCTTCAGCTTGCGTGCCGGCTTGACAGGGTTCTCCTTAGCGTTCCAGAGAAGATGCTTGATGATGGGCAGCACATCTTGATCTGGCAGAGTGCCATTCGTGACCTCGTACATCAGGGTGATGAAGGACATTGTCACCACGTCGGTGTCCTTGCACTTGTGGTTCATGGCCAAGTACCATAACTCTTGCAACCATTTCAAGAGCTGTTCAGATCTGGCGATGAGAAGCTTTTCGTGCGATTGTGCCAGTTGTTGCAGGACTTGCCCTTCGGTTCGGATCTCTTTGCGCGAAATCTCCACCAGCATCTGCGCCAAAATGGGTGCAGCAGACATGCGTGCGTGGTTCGGACCGCTCTTCTGCGCCACTGCAATTCTGAGCTCGTCTTTGATGGAATCAATGGCGCTTGCATCTTCGTCGTCTCCAGACTCGTCGTCACCATCGTCCGGTGCTTCATCTTCCTCGGCATCGGTTTCGGCCTCAGTCTCAACCTTGACGCTGGCCTTCTTACCGGCCTTGGCTTTTGCCGTGCCTGTAGTTGCTGGTACTGTAGGCTTTCTGTTGAATGTGATGTCCTGTTCCTCCACTATCTGGTCTACTTCCAGGTATGTGACCATTTCGGAAGGGCTGAGGTCGAACAGGCAGTTATGGTCGTGTCGTGGGGGCAAAACGACGTCGGGTTGATTCTTGCGGATGAAGATGGCCGAAAACTCCGTGGCATGGTCATATAAGGTCTTCGCATATGGTGCTGACACAAGGCTCTGATAGGACTGGAACTCCTGAGCGTCTGATCTGTCCCTCACCATCTTGGACCCATCTCTGCCGAAGCCAAACTTTCCACCGTCCTCATCGTAGGTGGAGATGCGCGTGCCCAACAGCTTTGCCATGGTGTTGACGTTGTCGTAGTCGTGGATAGGAGGAGTGCCCGAGAGCATCCATCGGGACCCTGCCGCAAGCTTCAGAAGTGCAAGCAATGTCTTCCCATGGATATACGTAAACTCATCCACGATGACTCTCCGGAAGGAGAACAAATGCAAGAGGGTCGGAAATTCCTCCTCAGCGCGGAAATCATCGAGTTCTTGCTCGAAAGGATCATCTGGCAGAGGGTACGTCTCTTCTTCAATCTCTTCAGGAACCTCTGCTCCAGGCTGGACGGAATCACCATCTGCTGACTTAGGGTTGGTGGCATCAACGGAATCGGAAGCTTCGAAGTCTGCCCTAGTTCTCTTCTGTCCAGCAGTCTTTGTCGTTGCTTTGGCAGCTTTCTGACCGGTGGGCTTCGCAGCTGCAGCTCCTTTGGCAGCCTTTGCTTGCTTAGCGCGCTCTGCCTTATTGCTTGCCCGAGTCTTGAAACCTTTGAAGCGATCATAGTTGTTGCGCCCGGCTCGGATGTCGTCCCAACAACCCCAAAATTGCGTCTTATTCCCTGCAGACTGCTTCCACGCCTGTCCAAAGGTTTGCAGCGAAGATTCCAACCATTCGGAGAAGGCTCGACCAGGATCGCTCGGGATATCAGGGGCGCACGCAAGCTTACGTAGCGGAGTCCAATACTTATCGTCCTCGAACATATCCCAGGGTGCAAGAATGAGAGAAGCTGCCTGCAGACTTTCTTGAGAAATCTTGAGGAAATCTCTGGTGAAGTGGACGAGTATGTAATAAGGTCGAGGGTTGTTGTTGCCCAGTTTCGCAGCATATTTCTTCCACCCTAAGCATTCAACGCACTCAGACTCCCATTGCTTGAGAATGTTTCTCGGAGCGAGAACTAGAGTCGCATCGGTATTGATATGTGTGGCAAGTGGTTCTGCGACGAACGGACGCGGCGTGGGCGACTGGAGGCTCTTGTAATCCAAGGCTACTAAGCCCAGTGATGTAGTCGTCTTCCCGGCTCCCACATCATCCGCAATGATTCCACATCGCACTGCCATCTCAGTCGCGGCCCGGGCTTCGAGACGCCATCCTAGCGCAGGCAAAATCGATTCAACAACCGCCATCTCTTTCCAAATAGGGGGTTCTCGTTCTTGCTTCTGCATCCAGGCGAGAGCCTTGCGCTGCGAAGACCACAGATGGCGACCTCGGACTGTCGTCGTCGCAATTGGTTGTTCCAGCAAGTTAGAGCCTAGCTCAAGAGATCCAAATGTTGGTCGAGCTGCTAGAGGATCATGGCGCGCCAGTCGCCAGCTCGCCTCAATGCCCTGGGCAGACGCTTTTGGGCTTGAAGAAAATTGCGCCTTTGCACGATGGATGAGTGTTGGGAGATTGACCTTTATGTCCAAGAAAGCTGTCTCGCCATGACAGTGTATCGTCGCCGTCGCCGTCTTCGGTCTATGCTTCAATGCGTCCTCATGCACAGCCGCATCTTCTGGATCCTCGAAAGGCTTGATGATATCTCGCTGGCCCACTTTCTTCAGAAGCCATCTCAGTATGGGTGGTTGCGGAGCACATGTGAGGCATGGTGAGACTTGCGCGTCGTTTCCAGATTGCCATTTTCCATCCTTGTCATCGTCCTTGTACAAATAAGGAACCTTTGATGCATGAGACAAGATCCACCCGAAACCGTGAAGGGCGTCAGGTTTGTTTTCCAGGTCAATTGTGATAACGTGGCCTTGGGGAAATTTCTTCCGCTGCTCCTGGTTGAGTGGTAGCTCAAGGACTAGGGAAGTTGAGGCAGCATCGTGGCAAGGCACATTTGCAATGGCATAGGCGTCGGCGTCCTGATACCACTTGTGGATTTGCCGTCCGTCTTCAGGCATGGCTAGCTTCAGGCCTGGCGATGTCGTCCAATGCCCTAGAAGCTCACAGTTGATCTCTTCGCCCTGTGGAGCGTCTGGTACCAAAGCAGGTCTCCATGATGCTTGCAGCTTCGCCAAAACGCTTCGATTATCGACTGAGGTGCCACGAGGCGGTTGCGTAGCAAAAACAAAACAATCAAGAAGCGCGTCTCCCAACGGCTGAGGGTCCAAGAACAAAAAGATAGGACTGTCTTCAGATTCCGATTGAGCGACTCGTCGGTGCAATGTTCCGCTGGCTGCGGGACAGTCCTGGAACAGTCCGTACTTGCCAACGATTCGTCTCATCACGTCAGGTTCGTGGGATCTTGTACCAGTGGCAGATCTGATCTCCAGCTCCGGAAACACATCCATCTTGTTGAACGGGCCTCTCTTGATTCCAAGGGTTTGCTCCCATGCTGGTACTTTAGTGCCGCAACCGGAGATTTGCAACTTGTAAGACTTTTCGGGACCATTCCACAGCGCCCAGTCTCCAGACATCAAGTCCTTGCCGCAACGCATCTTAGCCACCGGATGTTGTAAGAGAATTCGTGATTTGCTTCCAGCCGGCTCGGTGCTCGGAGGTCTCACGAAAAGCAGCCACGTAGGTTCCAAGGTGACATGGTCAAGAATCATTGACGGACCATCTGGAGCTGAAGGACGGTGGGGAAAGATTGGAGTGAAATCGAGCTGTAGCATAGCAGATCCCGACTCATAAGTGGCTTTCCAAGATCGGTCGAACTTGACACCTTGGAAGTAGAGAGGCTGTTGGATGGCAGTCTCCATGATCGCTTGTATGCCCGAGAAGCTGCCTCTGCCAGTGAAATGTTTGAGTACAGAAGCAGAAAGTCCCCGCAAAGCCAAAATCGGAGGCAGACACTCGATCAAATCATCAATGAAGCTTCTGAGAAGGCGGCGAGATCCTGGCTGCACAGACAGGTCTCGTAGACCATGGTGAGGGTCTCTACTGCACGAGTTGCAGGTCGTGTAGAAGCACACCGGACAGATCTTCAGTCCATTGGTCAGATGGCCTAGGCTTTCGCACCGACACAATGGTTGGGAGCTCTGAGCGGCAACGATGAGATCGTCAATTGGAATTGCACTTCGGAGGCTGAATTCAATGTGGTCGCGTTTCAAGGGAGGTTGCCCATGTTGGGTGATGAGCTCCTGTCCAGACATCAAAGGGTACGACAAGGCGCTGCCATCCGTCTCTGAATCGGTCCAAAATTCGTCAACGTACTTCTGAAAAATGCTTTCCGGGCGACCAGAGCCATGCTGCTGTCTTGCCGCCTTGTGACATGCAATCAGGCCGCTGAGTATAGCAGCACCGACGACAGTGGTAGTCATCGCATTCCCTGCAAGATCCTGCAGATCATTGGACGACTCTTTGCTCAGGTTCAAGTCGCCAATGGGCATGCCTTGTAGGCCAAAGACCTCCAGGCCAACCAATGGACCCCCTCTGGCAGTATGGAACAGGCTACCTCTTGGTGTAATGCATCCGACAACACCCCATTGTCGTCGATCCTCGTCGCGATCGATATTCTGGGAGATGTTGAAATTCCTGAATTTCATCCGCATGTCATAATCTCGAAGACACACGTACCGTAATTGGTTGATGTCGAGGGTGTCTATCACTCTCTCGGTCTGTCCAAGTACCCAGCGCTGCCAGGCGTGATCGTCCAGCTTGCACTGGGCGTTGTTCTGGCGTCTGGTATAAGGAGTCGACATTCCCAATTTCAACTGGGCGCGCATAGCCAAATGTCGCTTCCGACATGCAGTCCAGTTGACCATCTTCTCTCGGGTATTGAAGTCGTAGGGATTGGTCTTGGCCAACGCAAGGCGTACGTCGTCTTCTTTGAGAATGAAGTCACTGTAGGGAGATGACGCTCGGCGCTGGAAGCGTGCCATGCAGCGAACAAACTCTCTTCTGGCCTCTTTAAGGTCAAGTCCGACATTGAGAGCATGCTTTTTATTAATCAAAAGGCAGTATCCTCGAACCCGAGTCTGTGGCAGATAATAGTTGAGAGAATTCACCTGCACAGCTGTCACATGATACTGCAAGTCATCATTGTTCCATTTGTCCGAAACCTCATCCCATGGAGCGCTCGCGACGTTTTCCAAGATGACGATATTTGGCTGATGAGCCTTCGCGTAGGCGACAATGCCGAGAAGCGTGCGTCGAGATTCGCCATCCTGCTCCTTCTTGGAATTCAGGATCGAATAGTCGACACAAGATGAACCGGCCACGAGGATATGGACACCGTCTGGGGGATCTGCACGCCTGCCATACGCTGTGTATGGTCTGAGCTGCTCTTTGGGTGGTCTGTGGTTTTTGTTCGCTTCAATCTTGTCATGCGCGTAAGCATTGAACTCGGTAACGTCGCGAAAGATGACGGGAGGGCGGAAATTCCTCTCAATGAATGCCTGCTTTTGTGGCTCTATCTCCGCGCTTCCAAGATGCTGGTAATTGAAATTGTCCACGCCATCTCGCTTCAGTGCCTTCTGAATCAGATCCATGGCGATGATGGGACTTTCGGTGCCAGAGCACATGGTGAATAGTCGCATGTTCTGATTCATGAAGGGCTCAATCGCCTCTTTTAGCCCATGTTTCAGGCCAGTCTGGGCTAGAGAGCGGAATATGTCATTGATATCGGACATAGGAGGCTTGCTGTTATCCAGTCCATTGTGCGTGTAATAGCCATTCTGTACATTGTTGTCGTCTTCCCCTTCATCATCATCATCATCTTCTTCTTCTTCAGCTCCTCCGTCATCTGCATTGTGTCGTCTGGTTCGTGCAGTTTTACCCTCTGGAATTGGTAGACATATCTGGTCCTGGGGTATTTGAAGGAGCGACCTCGTCAGTAGATCTGTTGAGAATTTGGGGGATGCTGCACAGATGGCTTGTAGGATCTGCAGTGCCTCTGAGTCACTTGCACCATTCGGCTTGTCTTTGGAGGTGTTGCTGATACCTGCGTCGGATTGGACAACAAGCTTTCGGTATACCCGTGTGTCTGGAAGTGGCTTTGCCGAAGGTCTACCCTTGGTAGGGATCCGGAAGCGCAATCCGATAGTCGCTGCTTTGATCTTATTCTTGGGTGGATGCGCAAACACGACGTCCTCAGAGCAATTTTCCTCCCAATGCTCATAGCCGCTCGCCATATCTGACAAACCTAGAGACTTCTTGTTGTTGTCATCCGTGGATGCCAACCCTTGAATGTTCAGGCTAGCATTTTGGGGTTTCTTCTTCACCATCTTGCTTCAAATGCTGGCATCACTGTTTCAACCCTGTGCGGAAACAAATTCAGGCGGTGTTGTCACGGGAGAGAGGAGACTTGTAAGCTGCCATGGGTCAGTCCAGAAATGGTCTATGATGGTGTCAGGACTCACCACTGTGCATGGCCAGTAAGAGAGATCGACTCCTTCGCGGGCCTTCCCAGATTGAAAGGATGCAATAGCAATATCCAAGCAATGCCAAAGATCACCAACGCTGGCAGAAGATACGGCGTGGCCGACTTCCGCAAAAGCGCGACAATTGGCTGACTCGTGTAGCTGACCGAAGTCTATGAAGAGATCGGCAGCGCGTATCCAGAGAAGAAGGACAGTCCCAGGCGTACTGGCAAGAGCTAAAAGAAGCGCACCAGTTCAACTGTGTCGATCTGGAAAATTGAGAGACTTGATTCGGGAAACGGAGGAGAGGTCTTGCGGCAAGCTCGCAGGTAGAGCAGAAGCTGTAAGAACAGACTTGCCAAAGACTTGGAGTAGGCTGTACCAAGTCCAAGAAGACTAAAGATTGCTTTTCACTTTGGTTGTGATGGTGATGAGAAAGAAGGAAGAGGAGGAAGAGAAAGAAGAGAAGGAAGAAAAGTTGAGTGACCGTGTTGTTGACGCACAAGACAAAAGGGGTGCGAGCCTCGCGGCTTGTTGTGCGGCTGACCACCGAGGATGCGGCTGATGAGCCAAGCAAAGACAATGAACTCCTTGCGCGGCATATGATGATAGGATAGAGCGGTGAATCCATTATTGTAGATGTCTCTTATAGATCAGCGTTGTCTCAACGGGTTGCGTTGCTGGTGTCTATTCTTTCTTTCCCATTCAGCCACACCATTAACAAGCAGACCATACTAAAGCATCTTGACAATGACCTCTCCCTCGGAGTGCCTCGTCTGCCTTGTCACAAGGCAAGCCTGCCGTGCTATATTCTGAGCTTTGATGTTATTCGGGCTGTGTTGTGGAGACGCTCAATGCCTCGCGGCCTCGAACAGGGCCAAGTGTCGATCCTGTTCGCATGCTGCTCAGTGTTGTCTGACGAGTATGCAGGGCATCATCATCAGACGCAGTAGAACCCCCGCGCCGTTCCTAGGCACATTTACTTCATAGTCTGGCACTAGGAAGGTGCTCGTTGCTGTCGCAAGAGCTTGGAGAACCGTCATTGATTTGCGCATAGTAAACCTCATGTTGAGGGTTCTGATGCATCGACCAGCACCCAGAGGGACTCAGCCTCAAAGTCTCATGATCTCGTCTGGATGGCACCGTTTCGCTGTCGCCTCCAATCTGCAGAATATCAAAACAATGACTTCAACACAACCGTCTCCTGCGAAAGGGCGGATCTGGGCCCCGTTACGCAGGAGGTGACAACAGCAGCCATGAATCCATCAAAATGATGAAGCAACATCTGAAGCACTCAGTCCCAAGATGGAGGAAATAGTGGCGAGTCGTGATACGCGTGGAGCACCAGCGTTTTCATGACGTTGGGTGCGGTGTCTTTATCGAGGTACAGCGTGAAAACTGTGAGTCGTACAGCTTCGAGAAAAAGGAGGCCGGAAGCTTGAAGGCCACCAATCGATTATCTGGTCAGTTGATGCTTGTTTGTCCCTTCGCCAGGAAGCCTTGTTGGGTCATTGCTAATGTCAGCCGCCATCGTCCCAGCGAGGCCCTGAACCCATCCGTCCAGGCCGGACGGACCATTCTTGGAGATTGTAAGGACGGTCTGATTGAAACATTCGACGAGAGGTTGATGATAGCGTGTCGCCCTTGGTTATACGACCCTACCTTAGTCAACCTCAACTGGAAGCTGCGATCAGTCACCTTCCAGTCCAGCATAAAGTTGGGGCATCACTTCTGTTCATATTATTGGTTCAACATCTGAAGTGGATCACCTTGGCAAGAGCTTAAGTAAACAACCACAGCCTTGTCAGCCTTGTCAGCCTCGTCTGTCAAATCGCACCTTCCACCGGTCCTAGCAAGGCCAACAAGAGATGTCGACCGCCGGAAGAGCTTTCTGAACGCGGCAGCTGCGAGTCACTTCAACTCAGCTGTTCAGCACCTTGAACACACTAAATTCTTGAGGAGCACGGAGAGCCTATTGTTTCGGTGCCGTGGCACATTTGCAGAATCACCTGGCAAGCGATTCGGCAACGGAGAAAGACTAGTGGACAGCTGATGCTTTTCTTCCTGTTGCGCCGACATGTACTTCGACAAACGCAGTCAGAATAAGGCCGGATGATTATGTTGGGCATCCTGCGTGAACGATATCTTGACAAAGCATCCGGGGTGTGACCGTAGGAGTCCAGGGGCGGATTGGAAGCAAAACGCTGGACGGTGGCATCGCCACTTTCAATCACAATATGCTGTCGGTGCGGTGGAAGGTTTGGTTTGTGATGGCTTGCCCACCGTAGTGGGACGGTGGCTTAAGTGCCGAGATGCTGACTATTGAGGACCCTTCACTTTGCAGGCCCATGCCTGGTTGTCTGTTCGTCGCCTGCTTTGCAAATGGGATAGCAAGCGAAGATGACATTGGAAGCCTGCTTTGGAGTGAGTCAAGAATAACCGCGCAAGCCGGGACGTCGGGTCAGCCTAGAGCGTTCTCAATCCTGCGAGCCCGAATTGAAATCTGCTACAGTGCTACCACTAAGACATGAAGTTATGTCAGACCAAGACTGCATTACTTCGAGGAACTATAAAAGCTATGCTGGGGATGCTCGGGGAGGCGGTGCAGGGCAGGGATTTGACCACGCTCCTTCCTCAGATCATCGTGGACGGGTACTGAAGACTGCAGGAAGTTTGGATTCATCAATATTCGGGTGTTGTAAAACCCTTAACAGACTGGCAACTACAGGAATAGGTGTAAAAGGTGGCAACCCGCAGGTCACAGTTACTGGGACATCAATGGATACTCGAAAATAGCCCGGCCTCAAGGTTGGGGGAAAGCCCGATAGCAGAAATGAATATCGAAGAAAACTTCGGTGTGGAACACTTGAGCAGAGGACTGCTGATCCCGTAGGAAATGAGGTTGTAACAAGGACACAGAGAGATGAACTGATCCCGAGTGAAGAATTGTTACATTTTGCGCACTGATCGCTAATGGATATACTAACAAAGTAGCCATGAGACCCATGTGCAGCTACATTAGCCCCGTCTCTGTCCCTTCAAACTCTTTCCTACTTTCTTGCTGTCGGATCCTCGCCAGCGTTGACGTTGAGTCCAAGCCCTTGCGCATCAAGGTACAATTTGTTCTTTCCTCCAGATTCCTGCAGGATGGTTGCAATGTTTCGGGCATTTTCGATTTGTCTCAGTTCCACGTAACTTCGGCTCTTCTTGATCGCATCACCGATCAACTCTGCGGACCGGGCCTCACCCTGCGCGTGAACGACAGTCGCTTGCTTTTCTTGTCTTGCCTTGTCGACCACGAATGCTGCTCTCTGTGCATCCTGCTGTGCAACCTGCTTGGCCTCAACCGCGGCCGTGAACTCGGGAGAGAAGGACATATGCGTTATAGACACGTCGTCGAGCAGAATGTTGAATCGCGCGGCTCTTTTTGTGAGGTTGTCTCGGACCAATCTCGCAACGCTCTCTCGCTGCGTGATGAGCTGACTAGCATTGAACTGCGCCACCACGCTTTTGAGCACCTCATTCACGATTGACGGCAGGACGCGTTCGTCGTAATCGGTACCCAGAGTGCGGTAGATTTGAGGTAACGCCTCGACCCGAGGTTTGGAGAGCACACGGCATGTTATGTTAACCATCTGAAGATCCTTGGTTCCTGTCAAAGAGGCAACGTTCCGCGGTTTCGCGCGTACATCGTAGTCGATCGGTGTCTCGAACCAAGGTAGACGGAGATGTGTGCCTGAATTATGTTAGATCCAGCCCGCCTGTCGCCTGCGTGGCAATATGTACATGCCTTCGTTGTAGATCTCCTTCGAAACACCGCCTATTCTCGTGTATTTGATGGCGCGATGACCACCATCAACTATTTGTTCATCAGCAACCACAGAAGCTGATCAGGCCAGTCGGGCATACCGTTGAATATGGAATTTGAGATGACCACGCCAGCAACACCGAGTCCGACCAAGGCCAGAACACCTCTACCAGCAGCGCCGCCGCCTCCGGGCATACCTCCGAACCCTCTGCCACTGCGCTGCTGCAGCGACCGCTGAATCTGCTGGAAATGCTCTCTCGGATCGTACGACATGATTGAGGACCGCTGACCCTGAAGGCAACAAAAGAGATGAGACGAGGAGGGTAACTGCGGCGTGTATGTAGGCAGACACTTGATGAGCCGAGTCGTGACGATTTCCGTAATATAGACGAATAAGCTAAAGTTGAGCCGCTCCAACTTCAGTAGTTCCAGTGTCAGTGCAGGCTGCACTGCAGGCATGCACCGAACTTTGCGGAGTCGCAATAATGGCTTGGCAACTTCTCCCCCATGTTCGAGTTTCCTAGCAACTTCAACTGCGGTGCAGTGTTGGTTGAAAGAGACAATACATCGACACTTCCTACTACTACTGGACCGCGACATTATCTTACACTTCCACCAGTTCAAAACCTACCTAACTTAGAAGTCCCGCCATCCCTGGGCCTTTTGTTCTTGCATAAAGCTTGACTCCAACACTTTCCACCATGGCGCCAGGCCAGAGTCGCAGTGTGTTCGTGGGTAACATCCCATTCAGTAAGCCTGACATGCCCTCTGTCTCCCGGTTCTCACCAGACTTACTGACTTCTAATAGACCTAAGCGAGGAAAATATCGTCAAGATCCTGAGCTATGCGGGGACTGTGGTCAAATTCAGGCTCATGACGAACCCAGAGACCGGCAAATCCAAAGGCTTTGGCTTCGCAGACTTTCAAGATGCAGACTCAGCAGCCAACGCGGTGCGAAATCTGAACGACTTCGAGATCGACGGGCGCAAGATCAGGGTGGACTGGCCTCACAATAACGAAAAAGATTCGGTCCCTACCAACTATGACCAGACGAATGCTCCAGGCGGTGACGGAATGCAGGCTTCTGGTGCAGGCGCACTTCCTCCTCTCCCAACTGGCGTTGACCTGCCTCCCAATCTCAGATGCACAGATGCCATTTCGCAGACGCTCTCCACCCTCCCACCGCCACAGTTACTCGATGTCCTTACACAAATGAAAGCATTAGCCATCTCCGACCCCGCGAAAGCAACGTCGCTTCTGAAAGCCGCACCGCAATTATCCTTTGCCATATTCCAAGCTCTCATCCTCATGAATCTGGTCGATCCCAAAGTGCTGGCACAAGTGGTTGATCAGGCTGCAAGACCGCCTCAGCCAGCGAACATACCTCCTCCACAACCCACCCCTCAGCAGTATCCTGGATATCCTGTCATTCCTGGACAAATGCCTCCTAGAGCAGCTCAGCCATACGCGCCCACACCGACACAACAACCACAGCCACCGGCCCCTCAGCCTGCTTTGGCTCAGCAAGAGATGATTCAACAAGTATTGGCGATGGATCAACGAACAATTGACTCGTTCCCCCCCACCGAGAGGGCACAGATCATGCAGATCAGAGCGCAAATGGGGGTCAGATGAAATTAGCAAGGCGAAGTTTGCGACTATCCCAACCACACCTGAAATCTCCTCGTCTGGAGGATACCTTGAGAGGTCTATATTTGCATCATCGCCAGGGCTCCCACCGACAAGCCTGTTTGCGTCTTTCATCACTGCCATGCACCTCACTCTTGCGCCGCAATGCCTGGAAGGCCTTCAAAATCAGCCGGCAACGCTACCGCCAGCCTTTTTAGCCTCCCCAAGATTACGCAGAGGCCATACCATGGGATAACCATGCCGTCATCGCCAGGCGCGGTTCTGGCATGTCCGTAGGAAGGAATCGGACTGCCAGTTGTTCGTCAAACACGGCCAGCCTTGGCAGGCCAACTTGTGAAGCTGGAGCTGGAGCTGGAGCTACCTTGGAGGCCGAAATCCTATATCATTCAGCTCCAAGATAGCAGGCAACACTGCTAGAATACACTAGACTGGGGATGAGATGATTTTCTTTTCATCAATGCATACTCAATCTATCTGCGCCTCGTGCAAAACAGCAGGGGTATCAACTCTTTTAAAATCCATCATAACTCGTTTCGTTTCTTTGCTCCCCTGCTACGTCCACATGCTTCTGTCAGCAAAGTTCATGCTCCCACGGCTCCCATTGTTCGTTTCATCCCTTCTCCACTCCACTAGCTGGGCTTGTGCCAATTCCTTCGTCCGTGACGGCAGTCTGTGGCCTCAACGGACTTCCCTTCCGACCATCTTCCCTCTTCAACCAAGAAGCGCGACCTCCGCGCCGCCGATCAGCCGGCACGGGCAGTGGCGATGTCCTAGGCGAAGGCGAGGCCTGGAACTGCGAAGCGGCAGAGACTGACCTGGCGTGAGCATTGCGCGGACTCCACGGGCCAGGTGAGCCGCGCGGTGCAGAGTCGGCCGGACTAGGCTGCGGGCTTGGACTGTAATATTGATAGTCCTCGCCGCGTTTCTTCATCGGGCTCTCGTCGTACGGGTCCCATCCGACACGGCGTCTCGCGTCTGCGCGGAGCGCTTGCCTATACTGCTCATCGCCACCTGCGCCGGTGGAAGCGCTCTCCTCGAGGAAGAAGTTCAGCAGTTCGTCGTTGATGGAGAGATGGGGTTGTTGCTGGAATTGTTGCAGCGAGGTCAGACGGAGAAGGAGCTCGAGGAGCGACAGGGACGTCTTGATCGCATTGACCCATGGCGGAGACTGCTTGGTGCGCAACTCGGTTTGAGACGACTGCGAAGTGATGTGCATGTCCGATATGGAATTAGCCAGCTGCGAAGCTTCACCGTCGACGTCTGAGCGCGAAGTGTCAGCTTCCTCGGTCTCGGATCCTGAGTCGTCCGATTCGGACTCGGCGTAGACCTCGAAGGCGATCCATTCGGGGTCCAGAGATGGTGGGAAACGCCAGGGGTCTCGTTCTCTTTGTTCCAGGTCATCGAAAGGTTTATGCTGCTCGTAATCTGCTGGACCGGTTGTAGAGCCCTCCTCAACGTCAGGTTCGTGGTCGACAAGTTCGTCTCTTTCCATCATCCTTCTGGGAGGCACGGCGTTCAGATCTCGCTTGAGCAGTAAGACGGGATGGTTGCTTTCCATGTCTGCCCCGATGTTGAGGACCTTGCTTGTGTCGGCGTAGAAGATCTTGGAGATTTCATGGATTGGAATCATCTCGCGGATGCCCGCCAGTCTCACGTCGTCAAATGGGCCTGGGCATGGTTGATCTTCCTCGAAATCATGGACGCGGTCATCGTCGAAATCCTCAATGATCATCATCTGATAGGCGTATTCATCGGCACGCGCATCCGCAGGTATGGAATTGCTAGCATCGGCGCTTGGGATCGCGATCGGAGATGATATCTCCACGGATGGTATGGCGTCTGACCCAGAGCCTGTGCCCATTACCATATCAAGAGGAACTCGTCGAAGTTTGACCCTCGCTTTATGGATGACTTCTTTCCACGTCGTCTCCCGGACATCCTCCTCATCCTGTGGGCGGTCGTGGCCGGCAAACAGCATATACACTGTCAAAGTGAAAGTGGGTCCGATTTGCACAGCATGCTGCGGGGACATTTGATATTGAGTGTCTCCAGCCGTGAGGAACGTGCTAGCTTGTAACAGCCGCGATGGAGAGACGGTGTGAGGTAGCGATGTCGACAGGCTCGCTCCTGAGGTGGTAATGGCCAAGTTGATGAGGGGAACCGCATCCTCGATCCGTTCAAGCAGCCTCTTTGTATCCTTGACAAGCAGTCTCATCTCATATTCGATCTGAGGATCTGGCTGTCTGCTGCCTCTATTCTTCCGGTTGACTTTCTCAGAGTCAGCAGCAGTCTGGGCAAACCGTTGACCCATAGACTGAATCTCGATGCGTAGCTCTTTTGTCAATGAAACTGCAGACTCTAGAGCGGTGTTGCCCCGAGCCGCAATCAATTCGATCATATCGATTGCCGGGGAGACAATGCGAATTTTATTCTGGAGACGTTGCTGAAGAGCATAGAGTTCATCTCGGACATCGCTCTTAGGAGCACTGTTGAGCAGCTTTGTGGATTGTCTGATCGCATATGAAGCCGTCAAGGTGACCCCCGAGCGAATGGCATAGTTCATTGCCTGCTGGGTCACTTTGCTCAAGAAGATGTCCATTTTGAGGGTAGATTGACTTTAAGGCAATGTCAAATGCCAGATCTTAGTGAGGAAAAGGAACATGGAGGACAGAAAGACAAGGAGACGGAAGAATGGTCTCTTAACTCTGCATCACAAGCCAGCATGGTAATTGTTCAAACATTGCACCGCGAATGATGTATTCACAGGCGGAGAACGAGTGTAAATCTGAGTCTCTGTGCGTGAATGCCGCGGATGTAAAAGTGAATGAGATACAAGTACCCCTCCATCTATCTGAAAGAGCCTTGTCTGCAACATCGTGGTGCCTGATATACAAACAGACGCCGCTTGAACGAACGTGTCATTCAAAATTTGTCATTTCAACATTTGACGTTATTCCAAAGCCTTGCCAGTGCCAAGACAATCCCCAATCCGGCTTAGCGTAGACAGGCAGCCGCTTTGGCAGGTTTGGCGGGTGAATTGAAGCGCCTGTGAAATATCATGACAAGAATCACAACCCCTCCACCGCACTGCATGCAAAGTCCAAAACCGACACAACTACAGTGCCATTACTCCCATTGCCTGTCTGTCACAGTGTTGGTGATCTGTCAAACGTTCCACAGACCCGACTTCCTTCCAATCGAACCAGTAGCCGTATCGCGAAATGTCAGGCAACTACGATTCATGGGAAGAAGCTGCGGCGCAGGATGAAGACCTTTCAAAGCAGACGCAGAACCTCAATTTAAATGCCAACGCCTTCAGGCCCGGAGCCTCTTCATTTCAGCCTGGTGCTTCCTCCTTCCAACCTGGCCAGGCTTACCCCCAGAATGGCTATCAGAACTACGGCTACGGCCAGCAACAGGGCTATAACCAGTACTCTCAATATGGCCAACAAGGCTACAACCAATATCCTCAATACCACCAGCAGCAGCAGCAGCAGCAGCAGCAGCAGCAGCAGCAACCACAACAAGGCTACGGTCAAGGCTACAACAGTGGTCAGTTTGCTGCTTACAACCAGACACCCGGAGGCTTTCAACCAAGACAGGGTGCTCCTATAAGCATTGCCAAAAAGTCGGATGCCCAGCCTACAGCGGCGCCGGCGCCGAAGCCGGCAGCTCAACAAGCGGAGGCTCCCTCTGCTGTGCCCACCACCGCTCCCTCAGCACCCAAAGCACAGCCAGCTGCAGCACCTCCAAAGGCGAAAGTGTTGTCAATTGGCATCCCGACCTCGACAGCAGCTGCGGCTTCGCCCAAGAAACCCGCCTCCCCCACGACCAAAGAGCCAGCAAAAGCCGAAGCAAAGGCCGAAGCAGGATCCAAAGTGACTGCAGCAAAAGCCGTCGAGAAGACAGGAGAAAAAGCGTCCGGAAAGACTTCTCCAGCACCCTCCTCGGGCAAATCATCTCCCACGCCCGCTGAAGCCAAGAAAATGCGAACTGCAGACGAAGTCGCGCAAGAACAGAGCGCCGATGTGGAAGCCTCGGTCCTGGCGGATATGTACGGAAAAGAGCATGTGAACATCATCTTCATCGGACATGTTGATGCTGGAAAGTCGACTCTGGGTGGGCAGGTCCTCATCCAAACGGGCATGGTGGACGATCGTACCTTGGAGAAATACAAGCGAGACGCAAAGGATGCCGGTCGAGAGACGTGGTATATTTCTTGGGTATTGGATCTGAACAAGGAAGAGCGAGCCAAAGGAAAGACTGTCGAAGTCGGTCGAGGTTTCTTCGAGACGGAGAGACGACGATATACTATTCTGGACGCCCCTGGCCACAAGACCTATGTGCCAAGCATGTTGAGTGGTGCGGCGCAAGCAGACGTTGCGATTTTGGTCATCTCAGCCAGAAAGGGTGAGTTCGAGACAGGGTTTGAAAAGGGTGGTCAAACCCAAGAGCACGCCATGTTGATCAAGACAACGGGAGCCAAGGAACTGGTTGTGGCTGTCAACAAGATGGACGACGTCACCGTACAATGGTCGAAAGAACGGTACGACGAGATCTTGGGCAAGCTGAAGCCGTATCTCAAGAAGAGGATTGGTCTCGAATCGACCTTTTTGCCCATCTCTGCGCAGACTGGCATTGGCGTGAAGGACCGAATTCCTCCCGAGGTGGCAGACTGGTACAAGGGCCCATCCCTGCTTGAGTACCTCGACAACCTGCCGAAGATCCAACGAAACGTCAATGCTCCGTTCATGATGCCGGTGGGCGCCAAATACCGAGACATGGGCACAATGATCGAGGGTCGAATCGAAGCTGGTGTGGTGCAGAAGAACTCGAACTACATTATGATGCCGAATCGAGAAGAAGTGGGCATTGCCGCCTTGTATGGCGAGACCGAGGAAGAAATCCCCTATGCCATGTCGGGTGAACAGGTGCGCATGCGTTTGCGAGGCATCGAAGAAGAAGACATCATGCCCGGGTTTGTATTGTGTTCGCCGAAACGTCTTGTCCACTGTGTCAATCAGTTCGAGGCACAAATCAGCATCGTCGAGCTCAAGTCCATTCTCTCGGCCGGCTTCAACTGCGTCATCCACGTCCACGCTGCGACGGAAGAAGTCACCTTCGCCTCGCTCCTGCATAAACTCGAGCCCAAGACTGGTCGCAAGAGTAAGAAACCCCCGGCATTCGCCGCCAAGGGTCAAAACATCATCGCGCGCCTCCAAGTCACCAGTGGCGGTGGTAAGATCTGCGTTGAGCGGTTCGAGGATTATCCCCAGCTTGGCCGGTTCACCCTTCGAGACCAAGGTCAGACCATTGCCGTTGGCAAGATCACGAAACTGATTTTCGACGAGTAAAGTGGCCACCAAGCTTCTGTCTCATTCACATTCGACGTCCATCTACTGGTCACGGTGTAGGGAGAAGGCAGGACATCGGTGTCGACACCAACTTGAGCGGATGCCCATGACATGATGAACACAACGACCATGACAAAAAAAAGCAAAGGGGAGAGCATCGCCATGGACAGAAGTGGACGGCTGGCCAGCTGGCGAGACCAATTGGCCCAGGACAGGACACAATCAAGCAGATCAAAAGAAATAGACAGACCAGAGCATTAAGAACACCTACATACATTCCATGTGTACCAAGCAATGGGCAGACCACGTCCTGGGGGACTTTTGGTCAGGGGTCAGGGGTCAGGGGCGAGGGGCCAGGTCATTTCGTGTCTGTGAGGGAGGATACATAGGACGGCAATGCGATGAATTGGCATCTGACTTGGAAATTCACCCGCGAGTTCTCTCGATGATGATATTGCGTCCCTTAGTTCGCCAGCATAGTCAGGCGTCTGTCTTTCCGGCGTATGTCCACCTCCGTCTAGCAACACACTGAGATCGATACTGTATTGGTCATAAATCACCAATGAGCAGTAGTCAGGGATTCGTTCTGTGCGTCACAAGAGTCTCGTTGGAATCGGTTATCTTTCCCATCATAAGACCGAACATTTCCTGATTTACAATGTACAATTTACACTTGCCAGAAGCCAGACCAAACAGCTACGCCGTGGCAGCACAGCACAGCAGACCATAGAATCCGGGAAGAGGCTCTTTTTGTTCGTCCTGATCGCAACTGCGAAGAGAGGTAGTAGAAGAAGTAGCAATAGTCAGACATATCTCCTTTCACTGCACCACTCACTCCCTTCCTTTCCCTTTTGTCATCTCCATGCCATTCCATTCCATCGAAAGGGCCTTTTTCTTCCTCGCTCGCTCGCACCAATCAAACCGGGCGCCATCCAATGCACTGCACCCATAGTTTTACCACGCGTTGACGTCGAAGCTGGCCTATATGGTTCAGATTTGACACGTCAGTCGCCCGAACCACACACACGAAAGTAGAACGACGTGCTTCGCGGAAACAGATAGATATAGCATGTGTAAGAAAGGGGGAATGCGGAACATACTTCGTCGAAATAAGTGGTCACGACAGTCCGGTCGGCGAACTTGCGCCCAGCCAGGGCCTGCAAGGCTTTCTTCGCGGACGCGGCGTCCTCGTATTTCAAAAAGATCTTGCCCACGCCCGCAGACTGTCTGCTGCCGCCGGAGGGCCGGGGGATCTTCATGGCCAGGATCTTGCCGTATTTGGAGCATTCTTCCATGACGTCTTCGCAGATTTCTAGTTCACACAGACACACGCGGAAATGGTTAGCACGGATTCTTGTCAAGCCAGCCACGTTTTGGAAACCATCAAAAAAGGGTCGGGGTACTTTAATCACCTTCGTAATCGTCATTGTCGATCAGATCTTCAGGAGTCACCATATTCAACAACTGCAAGACCCGACTCTCCTCGAGACCGTCCGAGGTGGTGCCGGCGAACATGGACATGGCGTTGACGCCCATGTCGAGGCCGGCGGCTTGTTGGTAGCCGATGCTGGCGCGGGTCACTTTGATCGTGTGGCCGGCGAGGTCCATGCCGTTCAGGCCTTCCATGGCGACAGTTGTCGCGGCCGGATCGGCGTATTCGCAGAAAGCGATGCCCTGTAAACAACAAATATCTGGTTAGCAGTTGTTTCGTTTATCTAGTTTGAATTGATGAAGCTTGTGATGATTCAATTCAGTTCCAGAACTTACTCTTGACTCTTGAGAATCCGGTTCTCGAACCAGAACGAAAGCCTTCAACTCGCCGAACGCTTTCAATAATTCGATGACCTGGTCGTCCGTCAGGAATGGCGGGAGGTTGGTGACGGCCAGCTTGTTCGCGGTGTCGGGCACTTCCGACGAGATCTCGCCTTCAGTGTAGGCGCCCTCGTCGGCCGAGGGGACGATGTAGTCCTTCGGTCTGCGGATTTCTAGACCCTTGGGCGCGGCGGTTCCGTTTCCATTGCCGTTGAGCTCGGAATGATGCTCTTCCATCGTGATGCCGTCCAGGGCCAAGGCGACAGTGGCGTCGGATGCGGTTTTGAACTCGACCAACGCGAAGCTTCGGTCTTCGGCAATATTGGCCTGGGCACAGGGGTCGCTGCTCTTGGTCACGTTGAGACCGTTGAGCTGCATGTTGAAGAACTGCACGAGACCGTCCTCCGTGACAGAGGCCGGGAGGTTGTGAACGAACAGCCGCTTCGACTGTCGCGCATTGGACGGTTTGAGCGCGGTGTTATTAGCACTGCTGGAGGGAAGGTTCATGAACGCTTGTAATCTGCTGGGATCCATCTGCTGTTGACGAGGCGCGCCGGGCAGCGGGAACATGCCGGACATCTTTGCCTGTTCGGCCGTGACGTTCTCGTAGCCAGGCGGCTTGATGTCCCATTGTGTTAACCTTCTCTTGCGCTCCAGGATGGGCACGACGTCTGTCAGGTCCGGTGTGGGTTCGCGCTTCTTGGGAGGAGGACTGTTGGTTCGGCGCCCGCGCGCTTGAGCGGCGAACTCGTCGCGGTCTTCCCGTCCGCCGCCATCACGGTCACGTCCACCACCACCGCCGCCGCGGCCACCTCCTCTTCGATCGTCGAAGAGATCGCGATCCCTCCTCGGCGGTCTATCGTCGTCACGTCGGCGTTGGCCCCGGTCTCGGTCCCAGTCACCGCGATCATCTCTTCTGGACCCGTATCTGTCTTCTCGCTCCCGAGCGCGATAGTCCCGGCTGGAGGAATATGTGTCGCCTTCGTAGTCACGTCGCGCCGGTCGGTGGTGTGGGGATCTCGACCGTCTTCGCTCGCCTCGATCTCGGTTTCGGTCGCGGTCTCTGCGGTCGTCACGGTCATACCTCGAACCCTGGGATCCTGTTAGTGCTATTGTATTGGGCAAGTTGTGGGGAGGTGCGCGTACATGATGCTCTCGGGGACGACCCGCGTCTGGTTGACTGTTAGCAAGACTGGAATCCAGATATCATGAACCAGACATCTCACCTCTCGCGGAGTAATTGTCTCCGTTCATGGCGACTGACTGCGTCGAGCTTTTGTGTCTTTCAGAGGCACGACTGACTAGGCCAACTGTGGTGGACTGCCAATGGTGCTAATGGTCAGATCTTGGGAATTGCTGTCTAGCAACCAAAAACAAGAGTGTCTGGGAAATGGCAGACTGGGGAAACAACCAGCGGATCAGTGCAGATGTAGGAAGGCGACATGCGATGCCGTGCAGGTTTTCTCTGATTGTAATGTACCTCGAGGCAGCGCAAATAACTACTAGAAAGTCGCTTCAGGCCAGGTCCTTCTATGCGTGAATCAACCACTGGCACAAGTACGTACAACTTTTTGGCCTAGTACAAAGTAGAGGAAATCTTGCGACGGGTGCACACCTTTTTTGGGAGGAGGGTGATGCCGCCCTATTCTTTCTCCTTTTAACCCAGCCGGGTGAATTGCTCCTCGTACTAGTAGTACTAGTACTTTCACTCAGCTCTACTATGCCTAACAAGGTGAGATATAGGTATACTAGGTACCTACTAACGACTATAACTACTTTACCTTAGGTAGAGATAGCCCCCTAGCCACATACGCGCCCTTGGTAAAAAGCTGAAGCTACTCTAGTATTGCACCCCAGGAGTAAATACTACGTAGTAGCAATAACTGGAGATATCTATCTCACGATTGACACCGTGAGTATACTCCACGCAAAAGGACGTTTTTGTCTTATTTGTGAAGTCAGCGTCAACTACGCTGTCCCTACTATATTTGAAGCAAGTTTTCTGTCTCGCCAAATGAAGCTTTTAAATCGTCAACAAAAAAAATTCACAAAAGCACCACTACTTGGTACCTATACTAAGGAAGCAAAGACAAATTGAAGAGAGTGGGATTCGAACCCACGCGGGATTACTCCCATCAGGAAACGTCCATCTAACTCTGTGCGAAATAGATGCTTGAGTGCTAAGACTACAATGCCTTAACCTGACGCCATAACCATGCTCGGCCATCTCTCCGTAGATTGAGTTTTGAAATTTCGTGACTCTAATATAAATGTCCCTTAAGGAGCAGTGGATTCCATGTCTCACTTAACAAGATCGGTTCTAAAGTGGCCCGCTCTGGGTGTGCGTCCACAAAATGAGCTCGAGCAGAATTACAATTGCTTGAGGCACCTAGACAACAACTTTCAGGTTTAGGAGCGTTGGCTGTTGAATGGGCTGCCTGCTGCGTGAACTCCTTGCGATCATTCTCAACGTTGATATTCACACAGTTTCTGATGTTGAGCGTGAACTGTGGGTTTTCTGTCCCGAACAAGGAGCTCATACCGTTGTCATAGACAGTCCTGGTGCTAGAAGGGCACATCTACTGGGTCCTCCGGGAATGAAGATGACGCTCTCTGGCCTCACATGCATTCGAAGTGTTGGGTATATGGGAGCAGGTCATGACCGTGTCAATCACAATGTCCACAATCGGCACCTCAGTCTCTGCTCTCCAAAGACTGCACAATGCTCTTTGATATTCAATGCATCTTTCGTGAGTGACTGAAGGCAATCCCAGAGCAGACAAAGCAAAAACAAATGCAACGCTGATGGACCGCTGATCCAGTGTAGGCATCTCGGACCGTAATGCATCGCTGCAAATGAACCCGTCACTAGCACCCTGAGACGCTGTTGTGGTGGACACGCAGATGCCCATGTACATATACCAGCCATTTCAGAACTTCCCATCGCTTCATCATAAGCGCACCTCGTCGACGACTCGGATGAACTCGTGGTAGAACTTGACCATCTCCACGAGCCCCTTGACCGGCATCCTTTCGTCGACGGTGTGCATCCGAGTCCCTCGCGGGTCATGGCTAGCACGCCACGGCGACATGCGATAGATCTGCGGTGACAAGTCCCAGTAATATCTGGTGTCGGTATTGCCTGGAACTGCCATCAGTGCCTGCTACGCCAACAGAACAGAACAGATCAGGAAACGATGCTTACCACTGAGCATTTCAGGGGCAACGACCACGGTGTCGCCAAACACACCTTTGATGGTACCGGCGAGCCATCTGAACCTCGGATCTTCCCAGTTTGAAACGGGAGACGATTCAAGCTCGTACTGGGCTGCAAGGATCAGATCTCCGCTATCATTGATGCCATTGCATTTGAGGGAATTCTTTTTGGCCGGCCTCCGTTCACCAAAGGCGTCGAGCCTGAAGTCCCACTTGTCGGCCCATGGAGCAAGGAGCTCGACGTAGTGACTCTTGACGTCTTGCACCGAGTCTTGGATTGCGATTCGATGGTTGATGAGGACGGCGGCACTTTCTGGAAGTGAGTTGACTGGATATGTTGTCTTGTCAGCCTGGTACCTCAAATAGCCAATGATATTAGACTGGCGATGGTGAATGATACCAAGGTCAGGAATCAGGAATCAGGAATCAGGATCTGCTCCTACCTTTATCCCCACCTTGTATCACATCCACCGCTGTTGATGTTCTGATCATTGCCCTTCGTTCGCGGTCTGCATCCATATATTCAAGAAGCTTCTTGGAAGACTGAGCACTGAGTATAGCTTCTCGTAAGTCTCCAGGCATGCTCTGGGATAGAAGCGCCGCTTGTCGAAGGAAGGTCAATGTCGGGTTTTGTCGTATCAGCTGGGACTTAAAGGCATGGTCTTCGAGGAGCGCGATGACTTGGGCTAGGAAGCCAACTGTCGCATTGTCAGGACATGCTCTTCCCAATATCTGGCAGGTGGGTACGAACTTGCAGTGTGATCTGGCGGCGTGGAAGAATGTCCACCAGGGAGCCTGACCGTGACCGTGACATCGACGTAGCCCTTTTCCGCTGTTGCCGGTAAGGCAAAGTCGGTGCCGAACCGGTGCTCGATGCCGGCGATCCCTTCGTCGAACTGGAACCCGATAAGTACGAAAAGTCTTTCGTTCTGGTGGCAAGCAGCATACAATCATTTCCAGTCCGTTCTCTCCATATCTCCCCCTCAACGTCTCAGCGAGACATCGCGCGCCGTAGCTTTGGTCGGCGCCACCTTCCTCGTCGAACCCGACTGCGACGATTAACGTCCGATCCGGCCTGAAATTGCATTGAAGCAAACAATCAATGGCCGTCAGCATGGCTATCAAGTTCGACTTGTCGTCCTCTGAGCCACGTCCCCAGATGAATTCGCCGTCATAGTGTCCGGAAAATGGTGGATACGTCCACTCCTTGGAGGTCGAATCTCCAGCTGGGACAACCTGATAGTGTCGGGTCAGTTGAGAACGACCCCGGGAATCTCTCCCTGGTTTGCACCTACATCGGAGTGTGCCATAAACAGAAGGGGCTTCAGGGTTTTCTCAGAGCCTTGCCACGTATACAATAAGCCATGTTCGTTTATTGTCTCCGTTGTGAGTGCTTGATACCTGGAAGCGGCGTGTCAGCACATCCTGCAAGCATGTGGGCGACGGCAAACGCTCACACTCTTGGAAATGCCTTCTTCAAGTAAGCGGAAAATTCGAAAAAGATCTCCCACCGCGGATCTTCGCCCACAGGTCTCATGCCATCATACGTTATGGTAGGGACTCGGACAGCTCCGGCCAGACGTTGAGCAATAGTATCTTGGAAATCTGGTGATTGGAATAAAACGTCGACGTTTTTCTCTGTAATGTCCTGCCGTCTCCTGGGGTGCAGCACAGGAGGCTGATGAAAGTGTCGATCCAGAACCATGATCACCAGCTCGTATCCAGACAGCTCAATGGCATACTCTCCGACCAAGCGGTAAAGTCACCTCTGCATATGCTGACTTTCTGCCAACGTGGACTGTATCATAGATCATATATCATCTGTCTTTTTTGAACAATCATGAAACGGTAGATGGGATGTTAAAGGTATGCCCCAGCTTCGGATCGTAACTTGCATGATGTTCACAAGTCGTCAACAAAGTGCCCGGTCTAGCATCCATCTGCCGACACTTTGAAGTCCAGATCGGCCAAGGGCCGTTCAGCAGTATGTGGAGTAACGATAACGGGACGTTTCTCTCGTGGTTGAAAGAAAACCCGCGCGTCCGTGGTGATACAGTGAGTGTGTAGCGGACACCAATTCGATCGAGTTCCTCTATCCATCGAAGGGGGAGACCCCTGTTCTCACTTCGTATGCCCAATGGAGCAGGTCACCGACAATATCACCACTCACCAAGCCGTTGGTAAGGGACGTGATATCCACAACCTGGTGGACAATGCGCGAGCTTGACTACCGTTCTACCTTCTCACGATTCTCTTCCGAATACCTTGTTATGGTATAGCCTTGTCCTCCCTCGCACTGCTTGATTGGACAGCTCCGCGCGCTGATTGATGCCTCGGGACATTTTTCTTTCTCTCATGTAAATAAACAGTATTGATGTATTGCTAGAGCGTAACGAGGTTCAATGATTATCCTGGATGCACATAAATAAAAGAGCTAGTCTCGCACTGTGAACGCCAGGGCTTGCCCTATGGGTGACCTGACTATGACTATATATAGGTCACATTGAAACATCATATCAAAGAGAACCAAAGCGAAGATATAGCTGTCCAGCCGAGCCAAAGACCATGGTTACGGTGCAGCACACGTCCGACCCAAGAACGCTTTTCGAAGCAACCGTGACATCCATCGTTGGAGCCATGGAGCTGAACACAGTTCGGCAAGAACTCTCATGAAGTCGTGTTCGGACGTGGGAATTTTCGGGACAGAATGTTATAACACCTCCGACGAAGGGAGGTCATATTGCAAGCCTTGTCCAGCTACTCGCCGATGACCACGGTCGTCCACTTTCACACTGCCAGAATCGGGTTTCCGTTGGCGCTATAACGGCGTGCCAATTCAAGCCAATCGTGATCTTCACACGACCAAAGATCCTTCAAGAAGTGAAGGATCTCCAAATAGTGCTTGAAGCCCATACACCTCGCAATACCTTCGTACAGGTTGGCTACGAACGTTTCCCTTTCCCGATGGCCTCGGCATTCGGTTCCGGCGATGAAGACAGGCCACGGTAGGTTCTGTCTGCAGCTGGCATGGTCTTCAAGTTGACTCAGCCGCTCAAACAATACTGTGGCGGAAGCACTGACATCAGCGGCATCGACATGACCTTGAAAGAGGCATCTGTAAGTATACAGCAAGCCCGCGTGATGGTATATGTCGACGATCCGGATGAAGTCCCGCCGCCTGGCATCCCAGCACAGTTCTAATAGTCCGGCAGCCATCAAAGTTGACCCTCGAGCCAGTTCAAACCGAGCCCTGGCATCGGCGGGCGACCAGGGGAGCCTACGGACGCCTGGTTCGGTGGACGAATCGCTTCCCCAATGTTGCCAAGACATGACCGTGATCTGTTGCAGGACGGACAGGTACTCAGAAAAGATGTGCTTGGAATGGTCAGGGGCGGGCAGTATCGCTCCTCGAGTGCTCAAGGAATTGAAGGACGTGGTGGAGGCCAATATGTCGTAGATTGAGAGTTGATTTCTCAAAAAATTGAACAGGTCATTGTTCTCACGATTTGTCGTTGCAAGAGCGTTCACCAGCGTCCGGGCGGCCTGCCGGTGGGAGTCCGCCGCAATGGCCCCTGACTCCGATTCTGCCATCTCATAAGATGCAAGCGTCAGCATTGAAGCGAGCATCCAAACTGCAGTATCGACATCTATCTCACTGGCCAGATCAAACCCGTCAGCGAGACGGCCTGTGACCTGTCGGATCTGGCTGGAGATCATCGTGACCGCTGCATCGCGGGCACGAGCAGAAAAGTCTGACTCGACGTTGGTTGTGACAGCAAGATGCTGTGCAGAAATAGCCAGAATAGCGAGTAGGAGCACCGGCTGACGATTGGCGAGAGGTAACACTAGGCGGCGGTACTCATTCTTGTCTGAGTCAATCCATACCATGAGGCCTGCAATATTCTGATCGTAATGCTCTAACAGGCGAAGTCTAGTAGCCGGCTCAGGGAACCCCGGGAACAGCCTCTCCAGCGGATCGATGAGCGAGGCCGTCGGACGAGGTATGCTTTCAGTCTCTGGAGATTTGGTCGCCTTGGGAAAAGGTGGGTTTTTGGACGAGGCACTGGGCTTCACCGCCTTTTCGACATACGGCGTCGTTCGGCCTTTCAGATGGCCACGGACGGCTACACCATTGGCCCACCTCAGTCGAGGGCCGTAGCCAGGACAAGCTAGGCCCTTTTTCGAGCATTTGATGCACAATGGGAGAGAGCGGTCGCATCGAATTCTCCGACGTACGCAGGTAGGGCAGTCTTCTATACTGTCAGCTTAATAATTAATATCAGTGAAGGCTCCCATGTGGGAGGCTGCAAGATTGCACCTTGTTGGCCCGTTGCGGTCGCGGCCGGGGGAGGCGCTTTCATGTCAGCACCAAGCTGAGTTTGAGCCATGGGAGGAGCCGCCATGCTGACTGCTCTGGTCGAGGCCGATGGTCATATCGGGACGGATATTAGACTGGAGGACAGAGAGCACTATCCGACCGCAAACGACAGAATTCCTCATGCATGTCTTGACGGTCAGCCAAGTCGACTTGCTCTTGTCTGCAGAGTTGAACTGCAGTGTTAGCCGAGAGTCCGTCTTGGTAGAGCACCGTGGAGGGAGAGTGATGATGAAGCTTATCGTGCCAGCAGTTCTTCTACCGCTAGATGGACTGTAGTGCAGTGGAGAGTTTGCTTGCTGAGTAATTGCACGTGACAGAGACTTTGCCTGCGGTGGGGTCAACAAGCTACAAACGTGTCACAACGCAGACTGCGCTCTCCAAAGGTCATTTTTCCACTGGCTGGGCTGTTTTGATAGGGAAAAGAACACGCCATGTTTTTCTGACCTATTATTTATTATCCATTAGGTCGTGGCCCCATCACCTAGCCAGGTTAACAAGGCCCAAGGCGTGGTCAGAGAAGATCTCATTGTTGACATTGATTGTTGCCCTACCTTTCGCAAACGGTCCTCCACTCATCGAATTTCTGTACGTCTAGACGGGAAGCGCCTTTGAGGTATTGTGTCCTCGCGCAGTCCATCCGTAAAAGTAACACATTGGAAGACTGTCTGGAGATCCTAGCGAATATAAGAGTCCAAGTCCTTCACATGCTTCCAGAATCTGTTCCTCAGCGCAGTGATCAGCAAGGAGGATGATCATATGAAGCAGGACGTTTTCTGCTTTTCCCATCAAACGTGCACAACACATGCTCGCGACGACATAAACAACCAGAGGAAAGAGATGGCCGGTGGTGTCGCTTCTATCTGCTAGAGACGCCGGCAACCACAACCTCAGGAGACGAGTCGTCGACCGCTTTGCGGAATGGGCACTGGCCAGCTTCTGGTTTGTTTGACCACCCTCCCCCGCAGCACGCTGGCCCTGACCCTGGCTCGAGGGAGGACCCTGTTACCTATCCTTTGGCCTGTGATAACATAGCGGCGAGGCGGCTGTCGAGCCACGGCTTTCTTATGCCCCGATAACGATATCTGCGTTCTCCTACTATCATGGACTCCGCCCATCCAACACGGTCGACAGTGGAGTACTGACAAGTTAATGCTAGGTTCATGCCACTAGGCCTCCTTTGGCAGCAAGATTGAGAATCTCGAGAACCACGGGTCCCACTTCATCTGGGGTCATCTCGAGCAGGAAATCTTTCTTCCCTCTTGTACCCTTTATCCCGGCATAGTCTGACTCCCTCGAATGGTGAACCTCTCCTACACAAGGAGAGACACTGTTGTCCCCTTCCATGCATCGGAATCCTCCTACAAATTTCTCTTCTGGCGCGAGAAACTCGTTCCCGCAGCACCTGGTGGAATAGATTGAACGGCAACATGGAGCCGGAGAAGCAGGACACGGCCATCATCAACAGCGATGAGGGTCAACTCATCAGCCTCGGTGTCAAGCCGCAGCTCAAGCGAACATATACCTTTTGGAGCTGTAAGAGCCTGGCCATTACCAGAGTTATGACAAGGCTGGACGAATCTGACCCGCTATAGTGATGGCGTACCAGACTACAATTCTCTGTTCCTGGAGTTGCAACATTGTCATGTTCTCATACGTATTCACACTTGGCGGCCCTGTCTGTCTGGTCTGGGGAACGTAAGCGTGCAATGCAGACAACTCCGGAAAGACGCAAGCACTGACCCGAAAGGACTTTATGTAGTCTTGTTGTTACAGTTGGTCAACTCTTGGTCATGGCATCGCTGGCCGAATACTGTTCCCTTTGGCCTACCGCTGGCGGTCAACAATTCTATACACAGGTGACAGCTTCCCATAACAGGTACTGGATAGTGACTGACACTCGACCAGGTCGTTGCACCTCCAAAGTACCGCAGGTTCCTGTCTTACGTCGTTGGTTGGTGCGTACTGGTGGGCGAGATCTCAACGACTAGCAGCTGTGCACTGAACAGCGCAGACATCGTGGCTGCACTGGTCGAGATCATACATCCGGAGGTACATTGGCATGTAAGGCGATTTCCAGGAACAGTTCGTCCCCACGCACTGACTTCGTTAGGCCTGGATGACCTGGTTGATCTACACCGGATTTCTCATTGCGCCCACTATCTCGAACTTCTTACCCAGTTACATGCCGAAATTGCAACTCTTCGGGGCGTTCTTCAATATCTCAAATGCGCTCATCTGGGTGATTGTATTCCTGGTCATGGCCGATAAGAACAGCTCCAAGTTTGTTTTCACCGAGTTTCTCAACACCTCAGGGTGGACCTCGAAAGGCTGGGTCTTCATCCTCAGCATGTACGTCCCGATTTATGGCCTCTATGGGACTGATGGGGTGATGCACTGTAAGCGTGGCAATTTCAGCTACATCAGCTGGACCCGAAGCTGATTGTCATGTTAGTGGTCGAAGAAATGAAGGACGCTTCTCGTGACGCTCCCGTAAGTTGTCCCCATCTGCTTTCATATCTATGCTCATCGAAACAAGCGAGTCATGATGTGGTCCATGCTGTGGGCCGGCGTCACTGCCTGGCTTTCAATGATCGTCATGTGTTACACTGTTGGGCCCAACTGGGAAGACTATTTGGAAGCCACCTCCTCCTACGTGGTGAGTACCGCTCTACGGTCGGATCAAGAAGTTATGCTGACACTTTCGCAGGCGTGGTTCATGGATGTTGTGGACTCGACCTACGGGGGTGGCATCTGGTGTGCCATCATGATGATGGGTTTGAACGTGAGTCCGAGCCTCCCACCCGGCTTCATGGACTGACAATATTGTAGTATCTGATCATCGTCAACATCAATGCTTCTGGTTCTCGACTTACATGGTCGATGGCCCGCGACCGAGCGTTTCCGTTCTCCGACTATTTTGCCCAAGTCAACGAGCGTTTCATGATGCCGTTGCGGGCCCTAGTCGCCTTTCTAGTGGCCAACTTGCTCATTGGCCTTATCGTGCTAGGGAGCGATCTGGCCTTCTATGCCATCATCTCTGGTGGCGGCGTCACCTTGCAAGTCTCTTACTGCGTGCCAATATTGTGTGTGGTATGGAAAGGCCGACAGCACCTACCTCCCCGCCCGCACTTTGATCTCGGTCGCTGGGGATATGCTATCAACATTGCCTCTTTACTCTGGAGCATCATTGTCGTCTTGTTTTACGTCTTTCCACAATATGTGCCTGTCGCTGGAGCAATCGAAAACATGAATTGGGCGGTAGCCATCCTTGGCGGAGTGGTGCTCCTCGGAGGCGCTTACTGGATCGTCAAGGGAAGGCATGAGTACTTGGTTCTCAGGAACACTATTCTCGATGAGACAGTTGTTGTCCATGGGGATGCCGTACTCACTGGCAGGGAGGCAGCAGCTACTTTTGGGCACTCCAGAACAGAGAAACAGATAGGACCTTGATATGCCACGCTCTCCAAAGTGGGCTTTGCCTCGGCCTCCAGTCTTCCCCCGTCAGCCTGTCTGGCCAGCGGCTCCGGCTGAGCGTTGTTTGAGCACCAGTGTGTTTTTGAATCCTCGCGAGGCAATATAGATGCTCAAAAGAGGTGCTTGCCGATCCTGAGGCCGACGGGCTCGTCATGTCGATCAGCGATATTGTCCAAGCGTTCTTTTGGCGTGTTCCTGTTAGTTCACGATATCGCGTGGCCAAAGAGATCCGAGACGCCACTTTTGGGCCCGATGAAATGTCAATCCTGGAGCTCCCTATCGATGGTCGTCCCTACTTCTCGACGTTGCTGCCATCATCGTATGTATATGGGGAGTATGCTGATCTTAAATCGACTTGGCATGCCGACCGGGGAGTTGTGGCATTGAGCACGACGCAGCCGCGGTGATCAGCCATGACTGCTAAGCACTCTCAATTCTTTACACCAAGCACCGTGGCAGTTGGCTGTGTACGGAGTACAAAAACATCAAAGATGGCGGCGAGGTGCGGTCAGCAACAGGGACGTCGATGCCACCGCCACATCCACCGCCACAGCCACATTCGTCAAGACGCTAACCTATTCAAGTAGGGCCCACCTGCTCCTCATTTACGGAGTACTACTTAGTTCTCTCTCTCTCTCTCTCTCTCTCTCTCTCTCTCTCTCTCTCTCTTTTGTTAGACTTACCTATAAACAACAAAGTTGTTTATACTGTATAACAGAGGCATTGCAGCCCACTCAACAGTTCATTATGAGCTTGTCCAACCTTCCATCTCGTTGCCACTGAGATATATACAGGGGGGCTGTTTGCTCAATGCATTTGCTAATTTTCAGACCCCCCACAGGACTACCGCCCTAATGTATCTATAATGTGCTCACTGCTCAGCATGAGCACATTCACGGTGACTCGCCTTGAGCACGTTATGTCGACTCATCTTGAGCACGTTCAGTACCTAGGTAGGTGGTGCGAATACGGAAGAGAGTTGTTGGCAGCACTGCGGCTAGTGCTAATCACCAATCGAACGCTGCGGTTCCGCCGATTTGACCGATTTCAGACTACCCTCTTCTGCGGTATATTTAATCCTGGCCTGTTTCATGCCGTTCAGATCTTCAACACTCTTCACAGAGACTCGGAGTTGCTTATTCGTCCTGTTGCACTATCCTCGTTCGTTGCTTGACTGGGCCGGGCAACCTCTTCTGGGATTACATCGTCATCTATGCGAACACCTGGAAAAGCCGACAGCCACCCGGCACTGAGTTATGGCAGCTGCAGATGGGATCTGGATCGACAGCAATGGGAAAGTCCCAAGAAATGTAGACCAAAGTGTCCACGAAGGGTCCAACAAAGACCTCGATCATCCTGAAGAACTACCATCCAACGATACCTCCGTGGACCCCAGATTCCAGGCCGGTGTTCAAGACATTGAGGCTGTCACCATTTCGTGGTCCACCAAATCCTTGGTGATTGCCTACACACTGATCTGGCTGGTTTACTTCGTTCAAGGCCTCGTGGCGGGAATCAGCAGTGCTCTTCTCCCTTACGTTACCTCTGCCTTCGCACTACATTCTCTCACGGCTACCACCGGCGTCTTGAGTTCGGTCATTGGCGGCGTCACCAACATGAGCATCGCAAAGACTCTGGACGTCTTCGGTCGCCCGCAGGGCTTTCTCTTCTGTGCTGTGCTCGCGACTCTCGGTCTCATTATAGCGGCCGGCTGCAACAATGTCGAAGCGTATGCCGCGTCACAAGTCTTTTACACCGTGGGAATCAACGGGGTGGGCTACAGCCTGAGTGTTTTCGTCGCCGACATCACCTCGCTCCGCCACCGAGGCCTCATGCAGTCTTTATGCACCTCATCCAGTATCATTACTCCCTGGTTAAGCGGTCCCATCTCCACGGCGTTTTTGAATGGAGCTGGCTGGCGCTGGGCTTTTGGGATGGAGAGTATCCTCGTCCCCGCTATGACGATTCCGCTCTTTGGGCTCTTCATGTATCATTTCCTCCGGGCGAAAAAGCAGGGAGTTGTTCCGAAGCGATCAAGTGGCCGGTCAGTATGGGGTCCTTGGAGCTACTACGCGCGGGAGTTTGACCTTGCGGGGCTCTTGCTGCTCTCCGTCGGGGTCGCTTTCTTTCTACTACCCTTCAACCTATACGCGCAGCAGGCTAAAGGATGGGGCTCCGCCATGGTCATCTGCTTCCTGGTATTTGGTATCATTCTTTTGGTCGGATTTGGAATCTGGGAAAGATTCTTTGCGACAAAGTCTTTCATTCCATGGAAGCTCATGAAGGGTCGGACAGTCGTCGGTGCCTGTCTGCTGTCCTTTGCGCTGTTCTTCAGCTACATGTGCTGGGGCACGTTCTTCAGCTCGATCCTCCAAGTCGTCAACAACTTGAGCGTCACAAATGCGAGCTATGTCATGGCCACCTATACCGTCGCCGGCGTCTTCTTCGCCATCGTCGTCGGTGCTTTGATATCCTACACGGGACGCTTCAAGGCAGTCACACTCTACTTTGCAATTCCTCTTTCGATCCTCGGCACCGGGTTGCTAATTTACTTCCGCGAACCTAGCGGGAATATCGGCTACATTGTCATGTCCCAAATTTTCATCGCTTTCGGCAGCGGGGCCATTACGCTCACGGACGAGATCGCGATTTTGGCTGCCGTCAAGTACCAGCAGGAGTTTGCGGTCGCCATCGCTCTAGTGTCTATGTGCGGAAGCATTGGCCAAGCCGTAGGCTTGACCGTTTCTTCCGCCATCTGGCAGGATATCTTCCCCAAGCAGCTCGCGCTATATCTCCCCGAAGACGAACTCCCCAACCTGACCACGATCTACACGGACATTGTGACCCAGTTGTCGTACCCAATTGGCTCGCCCACTCGACTGGCAATTCAGCGGGCGTATGGTGATACACAGAAGTATCTATTCATCGCGGGTACCAGTGTTTGGGTCATTGGAATTGTTGGCACTCTCATGTGGCGGAACATCAACGTCATTGACATCAAACAGACCAAGGGCCGTGTCTTTTAAGCTTGGGTTGGCTCATGAATCTTTCGCAGCGCTCTTTCGCTGATCCGACACTTGACTAATCCCAACGGTCTCCCAGTGGCTGTCCGTCATCTGGCAGGCGACCCCATTCTGTTTCGTGGACTACTTGAGGAACGATGGTCGGACAAGGCTTCTCCTTGCTCTTGCGTTTCGAAAATGCCCTGAGGAATGGAGGAACAGACAAGTTTTGATGGTGCTCTCTAGACCGGTACAATTCACAGACATGGAATCTGTGATTTCGTTATGAGCCTAAATTCTGATTACCCGTGTCGCCCATAGGGTCGGTAAAGCCCGTTGCCTTGTGCTTCATCCTCTCCCTGTGCCGCTGTCATTTTCCGCTTCAAAATCAGAAAGCCCCTCTACTCCCCCCTATGGGTGGCAACGACCTCACAAGTTCTCATAGTATACTGAGCACCTGCTCAAATTGTGCGGCTAGCTAGGGAACAGGACCACGAGCCGGATGGGCCGTACGCATACGCAGCCGGAGGGCGTCAAGTTTGGACAGGAGCGACTACAACTGGGCCGAAGGGCGGGATGATGACCCTTGTCCAAAAGAAACAGGGAACGGGTACGACTTCGATTGTGCTCTTGACTTTGACTTTGTCTAGTGTGCCCTCTGATGTCGGTCGATCATGTCACGCCTAGCAGGATGCTTCCTGTTAAAATTTCCCGGAGACCCTGATTCAAGATCACCTCTCATCCCGGAACTCTGTTGTCGTTCGCTAGACTTCGAGGTCCAGGGGATTCACGAAGGGAGACCTGAGCAAGTGGTTGATTTGGTCCCAGGCTTCATGGCTCTTTTGAACCAGTTACTCTTGGCCTGGTTGGCCATATGAATCAGAGGGACGTTGGGGTCGTCCAGCATGTCAAAACCGTGGAAAGCTCCCGGCCAGACGTGCAGTTCGCAAGTTGATCCACACCTCCACATCGTCGCCGCATAGGCGACGGAAGAGTCGCGAAACACCTCGCACTCGCCCACGTCAATGTACGCAGGCGGAAGGTTCGATAGATCGGAGGCCCTTCCTGGTGCCTGATACGGAGTCACCGTCTCCGATCCGTACGCCTCACCAAGCACCAGCTGCCACATGTTTCGGATCCACGCCGTGCTAGTCGGATTCCCGTACTCAAATTGTCGATCTGACAAACTTTGTAATCGATCGTCCAACATAGGCGAGTACAGCATCTGCGCTTTGATTGGGATTCGAGGAGACTTCCTGTCTCGAGCCATGAGGCACGTTGCAGCTGCCAGCGCGCCGCCACCTGATACACCGAACACGACGATCGCCGAGGGGTCGATTCCCAAGCTTGCGGCATGCTCAGACACCCAGACCAGTCCGGCGTAACAATCTTCGGCCGGGCCCGGCGCACGGGTTTCCGGAGCCAGGCGATGTTCCACAGATACTATCACGCAGTCGATGCCTTCGAGGAGATCAATCACAGGGGTAAGAGCAGTAAAACGGTCCCCGCTGACCATTCCACCTCCGTGAATGTGGTACACTGCTGGTCGTGAAGCCACGGCTGCCTCCTTGGGCATGAACACGGAAAGGATGATTGCATTGTTGTCCGGCCCTGTGATGGTGTGTTCTGTGTGGGTCAAGTGTGGCTTGTCGTGGAAAATGGTCGTGGCGTTGAAGATGAACGCGCCGTCGGAGCAGTCCTGGTCGCCGCTGGCGACGCCGCGCATAAAGTTCAGATCGAACTCCTCTGGCATTGAAGCCAAGTCGAGCATCGGAGCAAGAACAGGGTCGTAAATGGGCCGAGGGACCGTGATCCTCGCGTCAAGCTTTGCTGCTTGAGAATACGGAAAAGGATATGTCGCCATGGTCACGCAGATGGTCGTGATTCTCACCGGAATATCAGGATCAAGCAGTTTGGATCAACTTTGGAGTCGTAGCCTTGGGGGGGGGAAGCGTGATGATGACAACGTCCACGTCGTTCGGGTCATCGAGGTAGAGGAGTTGCTCACCAGGGTTGTATGCTGTATGCTTTGTACAATCAGCAAAAACTAGTGGGATCTATGGGAAGCGGCAATCTCTTGTTTGAGGAGACCGGGGGGGAGGGCCCAGAGTGTGCAGCAATGCAGTCTGATGTTATTCGTCCGAAATATAAGACTTTGAGCAGGTTATTAGTAGTAGTCTCTCTTATACCTAATCTAGTCCCTCTCAGGTCTATGTAGGACAGTTGAGCAGGTTACAGTCTGTCTTGCATGCAAGTTCGACGTCCACTGATGTTAGAGCGGCATGTCCAACTCCTAAAAGAGCTTAAACCCACTTTACGCGCTACTACGCGAGCGCGTCTTGATTAAATTGGGGTCAAAGAATATGTTAGTAAGGGAGGGTCTCAGAGTGTCTCATGGGGCCCTTCAAGTTCGACAAGACCCCCTAGGCCGCAACGCCTACACATCTCCGCCAGAGGTCCAGGAACGCTTTCGCAAGATTCAACGTATAATCTCGAACGCAATCTTTCGCTCAACAATGTCGCGGATAACAGAGTGGCGTAAGTTGCCGGTTTCATTGAATGAACTTTGTATCGCAACCACCCTTCGATGCGGCCAGTCATTCCGATGGCGGCAATGCGACGACCAAACCTGGACGTGCACGCTTCGCGGGCGGATTGTACAACTGTCGCAGGATAATTCGCATTTACATTATCGATCAATATGGCCGACGGCCTTTGAAGCACCTTTAACTCCTCCATCGTCTATCCCGCCCACCGTTGACGAGGACAGTGAGACCGACGATACGAAAAGCTTGATCACCCACTACCTGAACCTCGAACCGAACCTAGAAACATTATATGCGGAATGGTCCAGGTCGGACCCAAACTTCAAGAAGAAGGCGCCCAAGTTCACCGGCGTCAGGATCTTGCGGCAGGATGCCTGGGAAGCCCTGATCGGGTTCATCTGCAGTAGCAACAACAACATTGTGCGCATTTCGCAAATGGTGGACAAATTATGCACACATTATGGAAAATATATTGCAACTCTGGACGGTCGGCCCTACCATGACTTCCCAGACCCGTCTGCTCTGACCGGTATAAACGTCGAGGCACATTTGAGAGAACTGGGATTCGGCTATCGCGCAAAATACATAGCTCGGACGGCCAATATGGTGGCCGAAGCGCGCGAACGTGGCTGGCTCGACAGTCTGCGCAACCCGGAGAGTCCTGCATACGGCCATAGTGCATCACCTGGCGGTATGATGAAGCCGGAAGGCAGAGACGGCTACCGCGAAGCCCACCAAAGCCTGCTCGAGCTACAGGGCGTGGGGCCCAAAGTTGCCGACTGCGTCTGTCTCATGGGACTGGGTTGGGGCGAGGCTGTGCCGGTAGACACGCACGTCTGGCAGATAGCGCAGCGCGACTACAAGTTTGGAAGAGGGAAACATAGCAGCCTGACCAAAGCGACCTACGATGCTGTAGCCAACCACTTCCGCAAGTTGTGGGGCAAAGAGGCTGGTTGGGCGCACAGCGTTCTCTTCACAGCTGATCTCCGGACATTCGCTGAACGGCTGACCGTCAAGGTCGACACAACCGTGGATGGAGGCACCCTGAAATCAGGCGAGCCGGAAGTTCGCCAAAAGGAGATTGTGCAGCGAGCTGCCGTGAAGCGAGAGCTCGACCAAGATGAATCGAAAGCAGTGGTGAAGATGGAAGAAGTGGTGATGAGTAGCTCCGAGCGGGTGAAGCGCCCCCGGCGGAAATGATTTATGAGACAGTCTATGATTGATACATCAAACCTCAACCCTAGCCATAAGGACCGGTATACCCTAGTCACAGAGTGTCGGGGTATGCGCGTCGCTCCGTTTCAGACGAAAACGCTCATTGATCAGACACCGTAAAGAGAGCCTCGTTGCAAGGCAGTGTGTCAGTCCAACTTCTAGAGGTCCAACATTGCACCCCTGAATAGTGACAGACTGGACTCCTGTCATTTTTGAAGACCTTACAGAGGTGTCAATGGAAAGGAGACCGCTGTGGACTCTAGAGGGGAGTTCTCCGCGACGCGTCCGCCCGCAGAGGATCGAACAACACAGTATACACCGTTGAATACCAAGGACGAACAACGTGTAGTTGGCACAACATAGCATACCTTGCCGCCACAAAATTAATGCGATGCGTTGAGATTCGATGATCTTGCTACCTGCATGGATTTTGCGGCCATGATCTGGTTTTGTAGGCCTGCAGATAAAGAGACTCGACCGGAAACCCTGCAACCGCACGCTTCGTGGGCGGGCACCCTCTCCTATCGGGAAATTGCACACCGGCCGTGTCAGAGCCTAGTCTTGTCTCTCTAGCTATGCCCGGCTCTGTCCTGACTTCCAGACAATCCACACATCGATCGAGATCGGAGGATGGTGTTCATTTGTATTTTTACTCGAGGAACGGATGATTTCTTCTGTGAGATGCGTAGAAAATTCCGTGGCCGTTCGTTGTCCAACACCTTCGGAACTGATCTCTGGAGGAATTGATTCGAAAGGAGCTTCTAGACGGCCATTGGTGGCACAAGGAGGAGGTGGAGGGCATCGAGATTGACGGCTAGGGGCATTCCTGAGCCTTGACTGGATGATTGGGTTGGCCTCTCTAGCAACCAGGCCTGGAAGTGGATTGTCGCAACCGGGGAGACAGGGATGGAATGACTGTTTAGTCTGGCCACGAGAAGCCTGGTTGATTCCTTAGCCCGTCATGGGAAGTGTAGCAGCTGTCCAATGCCCTTCATTGTAAGAAACAGAGGCGCGTGGTTGGCTTCCAGGTTGACAGTGTAGAGCCGGGTTCGAGTTCGAGTTCGAGTTGTGGATGTCGACAAACACCAAACACAAAGTCTTGTTTTCTGCACAAACTGCACTGCATCGGACCTTTGTCGACCTAACATTGCTGCGTACCAAGCGCAGTCTGATTTGTATGATCACTGCAAGCCACAACTTGCTAACGACCAGCCAGGTCAAGGTCACCATCACCATCATCATCACCACCACCACTACTATCAATCAGCTTACCAGCTAGCACTGCAGTGATCATCCTACCGACCGCCCTACCACTCAACGCCCGCTTGACTACCTTACCAACTGTTGTCTTCCCGCTACGGACAATTCCCTTTCGTCACTTGCAGTCTCTCCAGCTCCGAGTCCCTCATTCTCCGGATCTTCACTTTCACCTGGGTCTGATCCTCACCTTACGACTGTCACTCTTTCCTGTTCGTCGTCCTCACTTCGGTCACTTATCACTTCTGATCTCGTCGTTGCCCCGAGAGCAGTAGCAGCAACCTTCTCGCATCCTCATCCGCCACGAATACCAAATATCGTTTCAACGGATCCCTGCTTGCCAGAACTCCCTCCGACGCGTAATCCGTCATCCTCTAAACTTCACCGCGCGCACCCAACTCCGATTCCTGTTTTAGAACCCCTACGACTGTCCACCGACTGTCCGTACCTCATGCCTCTACGAATATCAAGGCAGTGACAACAGCTTCTGTCCGTCGCTACGGCGCAGACGCATACATACCATGCATCTGTTGTCACGGTTCGGCCCACCGGTGTCGACCGCTCTAATATTGCTTGCAACGCAAGGAGTCTCCCAGACAGTTCCTGCACCTAATTTGGACCTCAACTCACTCGGTCAAGTCACGCTCGCCGGTAATTTCGACGCCATCTCGGTGTACTCGTCAATTGGACAACAGCAAGGATACAGCAGTAATGGCACGCAGTCAGTTCTGTCACAGTTACCATCGGGGGCATATGACCCTCTCTGGTCCACAGACGCCAGCATACAGGCTATGTGCCCGCTGGTCCTGCAGGATGGCACGATATCAGGACTTGTTGTGGGAGGAAATTTCACCAGCATCGGAGGTGTCGCAGCACGATCTTGCGCCATGTTGAATGTGACGACGCGAAAGATTGAGGCACTCTCTGGATTACAAGGAACAGTGTCGGCACTTTACTGTGATCGTGACACAGAAACAGTCTATGTGGGAGGTGCCTTTGAAGCGCAAAATTCAACAAACGCCATCGCATACAAGTCGGGCAGCTGGGCAAGCCTCCCATTCGCAGGGTTTGACGCGCCAGTGACCTCAATCACAAAGGCTCCAAATGGTCATATTGTCTTTGGTGGCTCCTTCACAGGCCTGGGTAATGTCTCGTCCACCTCATCGAACAATGAGCAAACCCAGGTCATCAATCTTGCTAGCGCCAGTGTCTCAGCACAAGGAAACTCAAGCGATGCTGATTTGGGCAATCCGAGAAACGTTGTATGCCCGTCAAACAGTTCAGATGGAAACACGACCTTCTTGTTTGCCGACAACACTCCGGGCTCCTGGCGTGCCGATCTCGCGTTTGGTTTCGAACCTACTAAACTTCGCTTATGGAACACAAATCAGGACGGCCGCGGAATTCGAACATGGCGGTTCACAGCTTTCCCCATCAACGGTATCATGAACCTTACATATACCGACCCGCAAACTGGAGATACAGCTTATTGCGACGCTCGATGTCCACTGGCGCAAAATGCGTCGCAGCTGTACCAGGACTTCTACTTTGTCAACCGTGTGGGCATGAATAGCTTTAGTATTGATGTTTCGGAGTGGTATGGAGAAGGAGCTGGCTTCGACGGGATTGAGCTCTTCCAGGACGACATTTTCGCTTATGCCATTGAAGCGTTCAATGAGCCCGCCTGCGAGACCTCCGATCTTCGCTCTCAGGCAACTGCTACTGGCCCCTGGTACACAACGCCGTCCAGGCAAAGCGTGTCGGACTATCTCACTGTCGTCGTCGGGCCTACCACAGTTGGCACCACATCTGTTGTCTTCGAACCGGATGTGCAGAAGAGTGGAAACTATTCAATCATCGTCTACACTCCCGGCTGTATACAAGATAGCTCCTGCTCGGCACGGGCGATTGTCAACGTTACTGGCACATTGACGCAAGATGGCAACCAAGCTTTCAACACGCAGCTGTTCCAGACCAACAATTTCGACAAATATGACCAGGTGTACCAGGGACATGTGGACGCAACGAGCGACTCTTTTCGGCCCTCGGTAACACTTCTCCCATCTGGATTACAGTCCGATCAACTCATAGTTGCATCGCGCGTCAGATTCGGTCTCATCTCATCCACGGGAGGACTGAATGGACTGTTCGACTACGACCCGAACAGTGATCTTGTTGACATGGATTTCACCCAGTCGGCGATCAACAATGCTGGGACTAAGCTTCATCAGAATGCCCATGTACTAGCCTTGACAACCCATAATGATACCATCTATGCGGCTGGCCGATTCTCCGACGACACTTTTGAGAATATCATGGCGTTTCAGAACAATAATGCCACCTCATTACCCGGTGGCGGACTCAATGCCCCTGTGAATGCCATGTACAGCATGGACGATTTTCTCTACGCTGGAGGGAACTTTACGGGTGCCAACACAGGCGGAGTGAATGGGTTGAGCAATGCTGCGGCATATCAATACTCGAAAGACGCCTGGGTTGCACTCGGTGCCGGGCTAGACGGACCAGTGGAAGCAGTTGTGCCCTTGAAAATGAACATCTCCGAGGCTGGCAGAGAGACTGTCATTGCTTTCAGTGGCTCGTTCACCCAGGTTTTAGGGTCAGGATCTAGCTCTGCAGCCCGTGCGAATGGTTTGGCCATCTGGGTTCCTTCGAGGACGGCCTGGCTTGAAACTCTTGATATTCCGAAAGAAGCCCTGGCCGGACAACTCTTTGCAGCGACTTTCCTACCCAACAATACCTGGCTTGGAGCCGGAACGCTTGGTTCACTTGGATTAGCAATGAGCGGCGTTGCGGGTGTGCACTCTCAGTCTGGACAAGTTACGCTTCAGCAATTGCCGGTTGATATCACGCCAGACTCCCAGGGCACTTCTTCCAGAAAGCGCGCTGTGGCGGCGATGCAAAATGGGACAGGGGTGAATACCGGGACGTATTACAGTGCCAACGACCAAAACGTCACAATATTCGGAGGCCATTTCAGTGCAACAGCGACGAATGGTTCCACTATCGAGAATCTGATGTTTTTGAACGGTTCCAACAACAATCTCGTGACCGGTGCACCTTCTGGACTCGACTCGAACTCGACCGTAATGGCAATGGCCATTGCTGGGGATTTGCTGTTTGCTGGCGGAAGAATCACAGGTCATCTTGGGGAAACCAACATCGATGGTCTGGTCTTGTACGATATGAGTTCTGCAGACTTTCGCACAGTCCAACCGGCATCTCTAGAAGGTCCCAACGTTATCGTCAATGCCATCGCCCCTCAGCAAGATACATCCGCGGTCTACGTTGGCGGCGCCTTTGACCAAACTTCTCAAGGACTTCCTTGTCCATGTGTCTGCATGTATGACACCGCTACCAGCCAGTGGAACACGGTGGGAACGGAACTTGATGGTACAGTGTCAGCTCTATTCTGGACGTCGGATTCGACCCTGCTGGCTGCAGGAAACTTGTCGGTGGCCAACAACCAGACTTCTTTGGCAACCTATGACACTGACAGTCAAATGTGGACTGCTACGTCGAACTCCGCGATCCCCGGGCCTGGGACCGCCTTCTGCCCTGCTACAGATAATGCCGACCACCTGTGGGTAGCTGGAACAGCAAACAATGGCTCGACATTTCTTGTCGAGATCGATGGGGACAGCTCCCGACCGGTGGTGGATGCTTTCGCGACTGGGACAACTATCCAGGGGTTGCAGATCATGCCATTGTCCAAGAACCACAAGTCGACACCTCTGTTGGACGATGATCAAGCCTTGCTGGTGACAGGCCAGTTGAATATTACTGGGTTTGGAAGTGCTGCTGCAGCATTGTTCAATGGCACTACAATGATGCCGTTGATTCTGGCCTCCACCTTGAATGGAGATGCAGGCAGTATCAGTCAAGTGTTCACGTCCAAGACAAACACACTGAAATCAAGTCGTGAGTAATGGTGTCTTGTCCGTGGGTTTCCATTTGCTAACAGCGGGGTTTTAGATCGTGGCCATTCCAGAGGTATCATTGTCCTCATTGCTCTATGTGCAGCTCTGGGAACAATTTTCCTCATCATCCTACTGGGCATCATCCTGAACCGCATACAACGACGACGAGCCGGCTACAAGACCGTCCCGAGCGTTCCCTATGCCGACAAGAATTCAAACATCCATCGTGTACCTCCTGAAGCGCTGTTAGGTAACCTCGGTTCGAAGCAACCAGGTGCACCTACAGTATGACACGACATCCCAAGGTGTCATGTCTGGGAGGGGCGATGAGAAGACACCGCCCAGGAAAAACGATGCCACGATTACCCACGACTAATGTTACGAACTGCCACGGCCTTGTTCTTCAGTCCCCGAAGATCCATCGACTTCGGGGGCCCGATGGATTGAAAGTTCTCTTTCTATTCGATCTTGATACCCAAAAAGGAAGGGGGGGGCTTTATTTGGCGGCGTATGGTTTCCATAGACAGCGAGACCTGGGAGAGGTCCTTTTTTTTTTGTTTCTTCTTGTTTTCTCTTCTAATGACCCGGAAAGGGGATATCTCGGGGCTTTCGTTTCGACAAAGAAAAGACAATGGTTTGCATGGCGCTGGCGGAGGGCTTGTATTCATCAAATCAGCCGATCTTTTTTCAGCGAGCTGACAGATGCTTCGAGGGGACAGACAGGGTCGAGCCAGATCCCGGGTGATCTGGACAAAGCTTTTTCGCCTATGGACAGAATTGTGACAGAGACAGAGTGAGGCGGAAGGCAGAGGGAACAGCAGAGCTAGCTTTCATTGCCATACCGTGACAGTGACGGATTGGATTGGACACGAGAAGGAAGGAGAAACAGGCGACCACTAGTAGTAGGATACTAGTAGGTAGTCCAAGTCCAAGTCCAACTGTGTCTGTCCATCCTGTCTTTCTACATGCCTACCTACGGAGCGACTAGTCTTGATGATAATACTCTGTACAGAGTGCTCGACGCAGGAGCCGAGGGAGCGTATATACTCTGTATAGGTCCTCTCTCAACAGGGCACTCGACAGAGCGCTCAACAGACTAGAGGATAGCACTCAACAGGGCGCTCACAGGGTAGGACGGGACGCTCAACAGAATAGGGCCACTCGACAGGGCACTCAACAGCGCACTCACAGGATACTCCTAGGATATGACTCTCCATAAAGCGCTCGACAGAAGACTCGCAGAACTTACACAGCATTTCACCGACCAGACCAATCGATAAGCCAGACTCATATCGAGCCAATAAGCATCGCGACTCTCTTAACCAGATTTGTAGTTAACCCTTGGGCTTCACGATAAATCCAAAATGGATTCCAGTATCATGAAAGTTACTATGTGGTAGCATTCACCAAGACGGTGGTAGTACCATACACTCACCAACTCTCATGCCATGTAGGTTTCTCCATTAACTTGGCAGGTAAAGGATCTTGCTTCCGTTGAATATATTTAAACTGCCTGCCCTCGCCTTCGAACAAAATCCTTTAGAATCCTGTCAACCTACCACCCAAGATACTATCACAAGAGAGAAGTCGGACTAGTACCGAAAACAATGGACACGCCGTCTACTAGTACAGCGAACACTGCCACTGCCACTGCCACTGCCACTGCCACTGCCATCTTCTCTCCTGACGATGAACAAGACCTTCTACGGTCTGGTCTGCTTACTCCGCCGGTCGACGGGATGCGAAGAATCCACAAGCGTCGCTTCAACCGGGATAGTGACGTGGATAACTCCCATATCCCGCTCTCGCCGCTCCCACTTCAGTCCAGTGCCACAGAGTCAGATGCGGCTCTGTTCTTTACCGTTCCTGACAGCCTGATATCGCTTGCAACACTCCAATACCTCGGATTCGATGACGATACCGCGAAGAAGATTTGGCAGCAGTGGACCAACCGGCCTGTGGGACCTGTTTTGCGAGAGATAGACGACGACAACTCTGGCGGAGGGGAAGGCGGTCCCGGACCGTCTGTCACGTTCAGCGATTTTGCCATGGGCTACGTGCGAGGACTCCAGATCGATACCTATGACGAAGAAGACGAGTCTTGGTTCGACTGTCTGTCTCGTTGCGGCATTGCTCCGAGTCTTCAAAAAGCAATCATGGATCCTGTCTTTAAAAAGTGTCGATTGTCCGAGACGTGCGTTTTCTGGATTTGCGACACTATGGACTTGCGATATCAAGGACTTGAAGGGGCCCGAAGAGCTTCTTGGGAGCGACAATTGGCTATTCAACGTGCAGCTTCGCGGCCCGAATCCGGCTGAAGGACATGCAAGAAGCAGTCTCGAAATCGTTCCTATCACAACTCTGGAGCTTGAGACTTGGCATAGCGAAACTTCAAGTTCGGTCGGTGTAACAGGGTTGTGGTAGAGTCAAGAACTTGCCTCCTAGCCTTCTGCCGGTTTCCGTTTCCTCAGGTCCGCAATTGTTATGATTCGGGTGGGTGCCCGGTTATAACAAGATCTTAACTACTGGTCCAGGATTGCTAAGCACAAGCGCCTAGAATTCAAGTCTTTTTCCCAGGCCGGCCTCCTGGGCGACGTGGGCCTGTTCGTGACATTACACCGGAAGCACGACCACGGGGTACAGCTCGAGTCGAGTACAAGATGCTCTAGTGTGGTGGATGGCCGAATTGCCGACCCGACGATACGGTCGTGATGCATGCATGCTCGAGTCTCGACCGGGATCTCATTTTGGTTGGAGGCAGGGAAAAAAAGCCATGGCCATGGCCATGACTGGACCGACAGAGATATCTGCACTTGACAGTACAGACGAAGGTGTCGTGTCAGTGTGTGGACGGCCGGAGTTTCCCGAAATAACGAATGGCGGGTAATCAGTACCATTCAAGTTCTGTCGAGGTCAAGTCCTGGCCATGCAGTTCTTGCGACCCCATGAGTGTGGTTAGGCTGGAGGTAGCCAATAAGAGGTGCATCGGTCAAATGGTGATAGATGGCGTGGATGGTCGACATTGGAGGGCTTTGTCTTGGATCTGCTCTGCTCTGTTCGGCTCTGTTCGGCTGAGCTGGAATCAGGCCCAAGCGCAAATCGGGCCTCCAGGGCTAGTCAACCTAGCATTGGATGGGATCATTCCCTGGGACTCATTTTCCTTCCTGGGCTTGTTGTAGGGTGAACACATCTAGAAATGTAGCGGAGTCAACAAGTTCAACCGTGACCACGGCGAAACAACATGTCCTCTTCCTCCTGTTGAGTTGGTCGTCGACCATACACCACATAATGCCTTTGGTAGGAATGAACCTCCTTCATAGCAGCGGCCTTTCTGACATCGGCCAACATGACCTCGATTTCCGGGCGACTCCACCTCAAACCTTCGTTACTGAACAATTTGTAGGTGAAACCTTGGAGACCGGCCAGCCAGTTGTTCAACCACCAGTCGCCAATTCGCTTCAAGCGCTTATCTTTCGGCCATGGTCCTAGCGGGATCTTGGAGATGTGTTCGTGGATGTCGACGTAGCCGGCTGCTTCCATCCAAGTCTTGATGTCGGCGGCGACCCGCACCGGTCGAGCTGGGTAGAGAGATTGAGTCGAGGCATACTCCAGATGCTCGTCCCAGATCTTCAAACCCCAGTCTTCGGGGATGGTGTTGTCGTCGGACACCGGTTGTGGATGGAGTTCTTGACATTCGAGCCAGCCGGTGCCGGGGCGGAGGTACTTGCGGGCGTTCCGAATGAGATCCTGATACGAAGTGAGAGAGCCGGCCATGAAGCGCACATGGCAATAATCCACGGTGCCGTAGGGACGAACCCAATCCTCCTCGGAACAGTCCTGGATCTCGAAATGGACATTTTCGGGCACGTCGAGAGGCTGGACAGCGGACAGATCGGTGCCCGTGATGGTCGCATTCGGCAGCAGTTCCGAGTCGGCCAGTTGAATGGGCCAGATGCCGGTGCCGGTGCCTAAGTCGAGGACAACGCGGACGTTGTCGGCGTTGAGGGGCGCAAAAAACAGCCGGCCATGCAGTTGGTTGAGGATCTCATGCTGATTGTCAAGACGGTTATTCTCGTTCTCGTCGTTGGGGAAGAGGTAGGCTCCTTCTTTGTATCGATGATATCTTCGACCCCAGTAGACGGGGTAGTCGGTGATACTGTCAGTCAAGGAGCGGGTGTCGTATTTGTCTCCATCGTCCGAGGAGAGTGTCGAGTCGGAGTCGGGAACTAGAGGGGAGTCGATGGTTTGAATGGCGCCATTCATGGGTACGGGTGTTATGGAGCCAGACATAGTTGGAAATGAAAAGAGTAGGGGTCGTGGTGGTGGGTGGCGAAGAGCATTGAAAAATGATGGAGGGGACGAAGGAGGGGAACAGGGGGGATATAGTGTTCCGAAAAGAAACAGAAACAGAGAGACGGCCGGGTGGTTGGAGGCCGGGCGGCTAGTAGCGAGAATGATGAGACACCATTGATGGGTATACAAGAAATGGTGGAAAATTTGAGGATGAGAATGAGGAGGAGGGGATGTGTTGATGGTGATAAATGTAGGCGGAAGTAGTGGTAAGTCGGAGTTCTTGGTAGTCGCAATAGTAGTCGCAATGGTAGTCACAGTGGGCTGATGCACTGTAGAGATAGATGTACGTATTGGTGACCAGCGTCAATATGGGGACTAGACTTCAGTCGACTCGAGTGGCGCCCCGTGATCGTGCTCCCTGTGGCGGACCCGAGGGAACGGAAACCGGCAGGAGGCTGAGAAGAGAGAGCGAAGAGAAAGGTGAATAATAGAGCGAGGACGAGACCGATAGACTGACAGGTTGACAGGTTGACAGCCGAACAGACCAACGAACCACCGGGGACGAAGACCTGGACAGACCCTGTCGACTGTCGCCGACCGTTGCCGACCCTGCAAAAATGGATTGAAGGAAGTAAGAGAGAATTGCCAGAACCGAAGAAAACAACGAAGAAACTAAGCTGCTAGTGTTAGGGATCGTTGGGGATCGTGCGAAATTCTCGGGAACTTCCACTCTTTAGCCTGCCACTTCTGCTGCCACTTCTGCTGCTGCTGCCGCTGCTACTGGGGCCAGACGTCGGCGGCAACGAGTCAGTCACTCAGTCTCCAAGGTGTTCGAGGTGTGAGGTATCGATCGACCTGGTAGGCAGCAAGGGCAGGTTGTGATCACAAAGGATTTGTGGGTGTATAGTTGCTGCTGCTGCTGCTCCTTCTCCGCCTAGTCGGTCAATGCATGCATCTCTTGCAGTGATTGAATTGTTTCCCTCATCCATCTCATCATGCAATGCAGCTTGTCATAAACGTCATCCGGATCCAGTCATGGCATGGTTTGCAGTGCCCGTGTGTCTGCGGGAAATTTTCTTCTGTCAGGTCTGGTCCGTTGCGAATTTTCAGTCTGAGTGGCGACGGAGGCAAGGCCGAAGAAAAGTCTGTTACAGAGAGGGACGGCGAAGAGCGACAACACTGCAGAGTGTCGATTCGTCTCTGCTCGATTCATGGTACAGAGTGAAGAAAGGACTGGTCGGGAGAGATGACAATTTGCTAAGAATAAAAATCCTCAGCGCGGGGTTCATTTTGCATCTATTACTAGCTGCAGTTGCAGTGTACTGCGGTGCTGAATCAGATGCTCGGGTCCGGGCAAAGAATAGAACAAGTCAATTACTATAAGGTAGGTACTGAGGTGCTCTGCTGGCTATCTACCTTACTTATTAGGCACCTAGCAGGCTGATAGGCATCCTACCAACGGTCTTAGGACCTCCTTACGACTCGGCAGGTGCTGGCCCCTAACCCCAAGATAGATGTAAAGAGCAGGTACTGTATCTAATAACCCTAACCCCTAGGTACAGTACCTCGATCAAACAACACAACTACGAAAAGCTTGATAAGACCACCCCAAGCACCTATACCCTTGAACTTCAATGCTAGGTATACCTCAGTAGGCTTATCAGCCATTCACGACACCAACTCCTGTGGTATACTAGATCATGCCATGCCATGCCTTCATCCACCTCTGTACATAGTAGATCAACCTGTGCCGATGCTGCCTCAGACTACAGTCCAGACCATGTCGGCCTGCTTGGAGGCTATAACATAAAAGTAGTAGTATTGTAGTTTGTTTGTAGAGTATCAACGCCAGAGCCAGAGTAGCCGAGCCCCCTAACCTTCCGAATTGTCCTCCCATGTAGGTCGCGTTCGTACTCGAATCCCGATCCTTTTTGACCCTCCCCTTCCTTGTCTGCCTGTCTGGCAGGGTTCGCAGTTGACAACACCACCCCTTCATCGACTTGGCCCCTGGCCCTCACCACTGCATGGTATCTGTTGCCTTTCCTCACTTGCATCGCTTCTCGACAATACTGGCGCCGTGCTCCTCGTACTCCTTCTTCGAAATCCACATCTGATGAAACGTGCCCAGACTGGCGACGATGCTGCCTCCGATCCAGCTGCCGAATTTCCGCTCCACCGACATCCCGGACGCCTGGATCCTCACCCGGGCACTGGGATACATCTTGGTCAATTCTTGCTGAATGCGATCCGGGAGACCGCGAATCAACGACGCAGCGCCCGTGATGACCACATTGCCCAGCAACAGCGGCCGAATGTCGACGTCGACCTGACCCAGACTGGCCTTGACCAATCCCGGAATGGTGCCCTGCGGTTCGGGAGCCGGATACAAGGCGCCCTCCTCCTCGCTGCCGGCCGGCGGAGGATAGTAGCATTGGCCGTCGAACATGGACTCGACGAGCCGGAACCCCTCGATCGAGAAGGGCTGGTTGTAGCCGTCGGGGAACTCGAATGGATGAGCATACGGTTGTTCGCGCGTCACCGCTTCGCCCGGCCCGCGGAACGGCGTGTTCGGGTTCGTCCAGGCCTGCAGGGCAATCTCCTTGAATTCCAACACCACCTTCTCTTCCTGGTACCGTCGGAACGACGGCTGGGGTACCTTGAACCCCTCGGGGAATTTCCGCGCCACAAAATTCGCCGGTTGACCCGCGTCCACCGGCTGTTTCGACTGGACCAGGTAATGCGGCGTGATCTTGATCGGCTGCGGCTCGTTGGTCGCCAGCATGTTGCGGATCTGCGACGACATGTAGTTGCCGCCAATGTTGGACCGCATCACGCCCTTCTTCAACACCATCCCGTCGTGCACCGGCGTCACCGACACCTGCGTCGCCCCGAAGTCGATCACCAGCGCCGTCGGTCGGCCCGCTGCGAATGCGGCCATCACGCCCGTCCGTCCCAGGTAGAAAGCCGGCGCCGCCCACGATTCCAGTGCGATCTCGGCGCACTTTTCGCGGTTCTTCGTCGTGTTCCATGCCGGTTCCGTCATGAAGAGAGGGTGTTCTTCCAGACACCGCTCCGTGTCTTCCGCGTCCGCCATCGCTTTCTGTAGGTCCGGCACCGACTTTGGGTCATTGAGCCAGTCCGTCAGGGCTTTGTTGGGCCGCACCCCCGTCAGCTTGTGGGCGAACGAGTGTTTCCAGAGCGCTTCCGCCGCGTCCCAGTCTTCCACGATGCCGTCTCGGTTGATGGGGTTCTTGATCTCCACATCCTCGCGCGATACGTCGATCACATGGTCGCCGAAATATCGTCCCGAGCTTGTCGACGCGTAGAAGGAGGGGATAATCGATTTTGGTGTGTCTTCGCCGGCGAATCCTGCCCGCACGCTTGAGAAACCTGGGTCGAGCACCAATGCAGATACCTCATCTGTAAAGTCCATGCAATGTTAGCATTGTTTCCCTTTAAATCGCCAGTAAACCACCCCAAACGTGCTATTGGCCTGAGACCTGGCTCAAAGGGTTCGCATGTTTCGTCGTACCTCCAGCGTATTCGGCCGTCTTGGGCTCGTCTCGCGATGTCAACCCGGTCGCCATTCTTGCGCGGGCGTGCGAGTCTCACCACCCTGACCGAGATGAACAGGTAAGTTGTAAGTCAAGGCGTCACAATCTTCATCTCCGGCCGGGGGCAAAATAGAGAAAGGCGTAGGGTCGCAGGCGGTGTAGATGAGGATGAGTACCAGGAGTCGAATTGCGGCGTTCCATTCATTGCACTTCAACTCTTCGCGCAGCGCGACAGAGACAACATGATGCCAAGCCTTCTGTCATTTGACGAAACATCTCTAACGAACCCAGCCCTCCAATACTCTCTATTATGTTCTCCTCAGAACCTCAATCTACTACTCCGTAAGGTACATCTCTTTTACCACAAGGTATCTCTGTCTAGTAGATACCTGGTAGGTACCTAATGTGGTGAGGTAGGGGTGCATCACGCAGTCTCCTCTACCTGGACTCAAACAACAAATCGCCTCTGCCCCTTAGAACAAGTCTACTGCTTGAGACATATTTACTTCTGCCTGTCTGTCTGTCCGTTCTTTCACTCTACCGTGGAACAAACTCTGGATATCAAGTCATGTCTCGACAGGCGCCTCAGCCAGGCCCCCCTTTCCGCCCTCGCACCATCAAGTCTGGATTGACTCTATTCTCTGCACAACAATGCCACATAATGCTTGGGCTGCCCTTCCCCGCCAATAGTCATAGTAGCATGCACTCTACCCATATCCCGTCATATCGTTTTGGTTGGCCTTCCCAAATCTGGAGCTCGGGTTGTCCATTGCATGTCGGAAACAACCTCAACAAGTGTCAATGTCCTGTGCACCCAAACGCCACAACGCCGCCTGAATTGTCCATTCCTGCTTGAGCTGTCCACACCGTTACTTGCTTGCCGGATTGAAGACCAGCTCGCCATCATTGGCCGGATCCGCTTGAAGCTCCATCACTGGTGGATCATCTTCATCGTCGTCCACAATGTCCGGGATTTCGGGCGGAGGCGCGCTCTCTCTCAGAATGCGCCCGCCATAGTCTTCGAGCGTGTTGGCTTCACTGTATATGGGATCGTTGAGGGCGTCAGCATCGTCAAGGTCCAGAAGGCTGTGCGCTGGACTCCCAGCATTGCCCTCCACCCTGGTGCTGTCGTTGGAACTTCCCTTGTCACCAAACATGCCGCCATCCTCGGATGGGGCTGGCACCCGTGGACCGACCGGAAGACCATCAAACCCCCAGCTCTCTGCCTGATGCCACATGGGCACATTGTCCTCCATGGCCACCGCTTCATCATCTAGAGCGTCCTGGTACGAAGGCAAGTCCTCATCGGCTGGAGGCCCGAGCAGAGTCGGTGGGCTGTCGCCGACGGCTAGTAGATCTCGATCCTGACTTTCCTCTTCCGCCGCTGAGCCATCCGCTCCCACGCGGTGACCTCGACCGGCTGTGTAAGCGCTCGACAACCCATTGTGGGAGGAGTCGCCGAGTCGCCGACCTTCCCCCGCCACCGGTGAAGATTCCCGCGACCCTGCTGCTGCGTCAGAGTCGGCTTCTCCGTGGCTGCCCGACTCCAACAGCTCTTGCAGTCGGGGCCCCCCTAGAGCGTGCTCTGACCGCCGGCGATAGAACAAAAGGTACGCCGCGCTAGTCACCACCGAGCGTGGATCTGTCTTGGCGGAGACGTGGGAGTCTAACCCAGGGTTAGACATGCGGTCAGAAAAAAAGAGAACGAATTGAGGCACTCACCATTGTACTCATACCAACTGTTGTTGAAGAAATTCTTCGCGTAGGCGGTGTAATGACCCCCTCCTAGGCCTCCGTAGTGATTGTCAACGGCAACCAGATCATAAATCAAGCTCTTGCCGTCTTGCTGATCCCTAACCATTCCAGACAGATCCAGACCTTCAACAGGATAGTCAACCTTTACCTCAAGCTTGTCCCTAAAGTTGCGGTTGCTGCTGAAGCGCTTGAGATGCATCACGAGGATGTCGGGGGCCTTCCACAATTCAAACATCTTGTCCGCTCGTCGGTGTTCTTTGCAACGAGGGCAGTACCACGCATTGGTTTCAGACAGAGTCTCGGACTTCCCAAACTCGTTCAGGCAGTCCTCCAGCGTGATGCCGTTCTTCTTTCGGCTGCTGCGTTGAGCCCGCTTGGCCAGCACCTCTTCGTCGTGAAACAGCTCGACACCCTTCCACGTTGGTGCACCCCGCAGTCCCAGAGGGTCCTGCTCTGACGCTCCAAACAAGCCATCCCATGCGTCCTGTGTCCAGTCAAGAACGATGGCCTCACCCGGTCGAATGAGCTCGCCATTCTCGACCTTGGGCAACGGCTGCGGAGGAGGCAGGGGCGGAGGAGTACGGCGTTGGTTGCGCTTGCCATATCGCTTACCGCGATTTTTGTGTCTCTGTGCCTTTTTCGACATGGCTTGCCGGGGTTTGAGGATTTCTTGCACTTCCGGAAATTCGGTGTCGGAATCCGGCCCTGAAGGTAGTGGGGGGCTGGAGTTTGAATCTGAACCTGAGTCATTGCTGCCAATAGTGGCATCGTCATGCTCAATGTCAGCCAGCTCATCTTCACTGGTCACAGAACCGCTGTCTCCATTGGCAACTTCCGAAGCCGCAGACCCTTTCTTTGTGCGATGAGATACGGCTTTGGGGATCCGATTGATAATGGGCTCATAGTCTTGAGATTCTGATATCTGATTCCATCCAGTAGGAATACCCTCGCCGGTCGTCGCGACATGGATCGTGAAAAGGCTCCGGAGTTGGCGAGGGATCGAAGAGGCTGATTGAAGGATGTGCTGCAAGCCGGCATCGGATGATTGGGACATTGTCTCAGGCGCCTGGCTGGCATCGCGCATCGAAACGTCTATAATGCCGTCCTCGCCCTGTACCGAGACTGCAGTGGGCACGTTAGATTCGGAACCTGACGTGTCGTCTGCCATCACCACAGTATCAGAGCCTTCAGGCGTGGGCTGCCCGTCCTCGGATGCGTTGTCACCCTCGTCAAAAATCTTTCTCGTGGTCATCCCAGCGACGTTTCCGAGGATCTTCTTTAGTATGCCGTCGTATGTCGCACGATCCTCCCTAGTCAGGACGAGATATGTAGGCATGGCAAAGAAAGGTTTCGACCCTACTCGGGATGCTGGAGCTTTGACGAGCCGGTTGTACATTGGGACGAGAAGTCGATCTGCTTCGGGACTGTCGGCGGCCACCAATTCATCTTCAGCATCTCGCCCAATCGTGTAGAGTGAGAACTTTCGAGCCTTGTTAGGATTGTAATTTGTCGGGATCGACTCCAACTCATACACACATATTATATCTGCAGGTTGGATGTTAGCCTCCGAGATGATGATGTTGTTGTCGAAGATCTTGTAAATCTTGTTCTTGTACGCCTCCGCAGCCAGCAATCGATCCACATCAGCATGTGTCCTGGACGCGACGAATTCCTTCAATCCTTTGATGCTGGAGTGCTTGTCGATGTCAACATCAATCCGGATGGGACGCTTGTGAAGTGGAAAGTACAGGATCTCCTTCTGCCAGTTGTTTTCGATTGGGAGCTGCAGCGTGAGATTGTTGAACGGGTCGAAGATGATGCTGACCTTGTGACACACGGGACAGGTCAACGTCGATTTGTACATGCCGGCAAACAGGTCGGTGACGACGGAATCATTCCTCGCCTTGTAGATGTCCCAGTTCTTGTCGGCAAAGGCTTTCAAAGCGGCAAGGTCTTGAACCATATCGTCGGTCGAGTCAGGCTTCTCAATGTAGGGCTTCTTGTGGATGCGATTGAGGTCTTCCTGTAGCCCGTCGAGCAGAAAGAGCAAAAACTCTTGGGAGTCTTGCTGTTGATATCCGGAGAAACTCGGCCCATACTTGCCAATTATTGCCTTGAACCGAGAAGGATTGGTGGAAGAAGTGTTTTCGTCGTAGATCTGATGGAGCAAGTTGGCATAGGCCTTAGCAACCTCTCCATGATGACCTAGAGCGTTGTCCACATTAAGGTCTTGCTTCCATTGGTCGTGCAGGAAATATTGGGTCAATTCTTCGACACTTCGCAAGCACTGCAAGGCCGAGTTCATGTAACAAGTGTTTCCCAGATTACTCAAACCAGTGATGCCGCGTGGTCTGGTGTCTCTCTTCTGTCGACCTCGCGTCATCATGCCAGGAGCTGGACTTGATCTACCACTTGAAGCGAGGTTCTTCGGTGCGGTCTTTAGACCCTTTGCCAGACTGAGTTTGGGATTCTCACTTGGCCACTCATCTTTGCCCGACTTTTGCTCCTCGAGAACGATCACATCGTCCCTACCCAGCCCGACTGTGCCGAGGGTCGACTTGCCGTTGTATTTGGGATTCGCCGTATGATCTGGAACGTTCAATAACTCTCGCTGCTCGCCGATCTGTAAATGAACAAACGTGTTGACATCAAGCAGCATTCGATCTCCGGCACTCGCGATAATCTCTGCACCAGGAGCCGGGGATGCACTGCGCGACACCGCAGGGGTAAGAACGCCTGAGGCCGTAGAGCTCTTCAGACCGCCCAACACCCTCCAAACTCGGACTTTGGTGTTGACGTCGATGTTCAGCAATCTCTTGCCTTCCTTCAGCCATTCTGTGAAATTCTTCTTCTTACTCGCCAATAAACGCTGAGGTGGCAATTCTCTCTCGCGTTGCGTCTGGGGGCTGTGTTCACTGGGGACTTTGAGAAAGGAAAAGACGGGCGGATTCAGCTCCCAGGTGACATTTGGGATAGCACCGGGTTCACTCCAGTTGTGGGCGTATCTCGTTATGATCGGGGAGTCTTTCGCGATACCGTACCAGGAAACGATCAGATCCCAGGCTTCTTGAGGAAAAATTTCGTAGTCTTCGCCCAAGGTCAAACCGGGACGAAGCGGCACATACGGCTCTCCAGCCTCGTCCAACAGTCTGGTCGACTCTTCCATCACCATGGCCACGTCCGAATTGTCAATTGGCCCGACCTCACCTTCCGTTGCTGACTTTTCAATCTTCGCCGCTTCACCGACATGCGAGCCTCGCGCCTGCACTCTTCGGAGCCATTTTGCCGAAATCACGTAACCTTTCTGTCCGTCCTGGAGTTCTTGTTGTGCCAACTGTGTAACCTTGGCGATTTGCTCATCGATGGATGGCAGAGAAGTGGCGGTGGGAGGGACGTCGGCGTTCAGCGAGGTGGCAGCGGTGGATAGGTTGGAGGGACTAGGGATGAGGGATTCTGAGGTCGAACTGCCACTGTTGTCAGAGGCAGCCTGCTGCTGGACAGCCCGAGGATCGCTGGCTTGCGTCAGGCTACCGGAGGCTGCCTTCTCACGGTGCCTAAGGCCTGTGTCTTGCTGCTTTGCTTTTGTGTCCGGATTGGGGGCTGCGTCTGGATTGACGGGCGTGAACCCGGAAGCCGGCCCGTCACCCATCTCGACGTCGCTTGGGTATGTCTCTCTATCTTGGGCTCCCATCACTGACGCCGGCCTCTTGACAGCTGGAGATGCGGATCTCAGATGCCTGCCTAAATCATCCTTCGGTGGTGCGAATTGTTGTTTTTGGGATGCGGGCATGTCCCGAACGGGATTGCTCGGAAGACAGGTTAAGGATGAGGCCTGGGACCTATGCCAGAACCATGGATTGAGAAGATGACGGAGACCTGAGGATGGATGTCTTCGAGAAGACGAGGGACTGAATTTGAGGCGGGATGCGAGGTGGGCCTTCTTTGCTGGAGCGCAGTCAATGAGCGTGGGTGCGAAGGCAATCGCGGCCAGGCTGTCCACCACCTAGTCACCTCACACAGTAGGTAGTACGTAGTAGTGCCTATGGGGCGTAGTGACCTGCAAAAGGGAAAGAGATTTGAGGAGGAAAAAGAAGCAAACAGAGAGTAGCGAGCTGAGCCTAAGTTTGTGAATATCTACCACACTGCAGAAGTGCAATACTAGTAGGGCAGAGATGAATTGTCCTCTCGCAAGTGAGGAATCGATCAGGTACATGGGCGTTTCGTTTGTTAGACTGCGTTTTTATTATTAGCTCGGGCGATCCGTAGGTGCCTGGAAGTCCCTGCAAGTCCCTACAAGTCCCTGAAGGTGCCTATAATAATGGGTGCATTTGGCCATACAATATCGTCGGCCGGGCTGTAATGATGCAGTCCTAAGGCCCCCAAGTGCCCACTGCGTCACTCCTAAAAGGATCCCTTTCCCCCAGCTTGAACACTTTACACAATCATTAACACAGTACTACGTACTTGCTATTTGCCGTTTCGAATACATTATTAGACAGTAGCAGCTCAGGGCTCTATCAATTCGGATAGGATACCAGTTAATTAGGTAGGTAGGTATGCTATTGTGATCACGCCTCCAGATCCCTTGGAGGACTCAGCAGTCACCACCAGTAAAGTTCCGGTGCAGTCAATGCGACACAACGCTGCCAGTGCCCCATGGAAAATTCCAGAGCCATACTATGCCGAAGTGCTATCCCGTACCAGCCATTCCGTTTCCCTTGACACCAGAAGTCGGATACTGACTGGTACCAAGACTACCTGGCAACTATCTTGTCAACTTCTTCCCTTGCTTCCGACCAAGTCTCCAGATTTTTCCGCGCCCATTCGATATGGCATCTGGCATAGGCGATCTGTCGTTGATTAGCAATTGCTTCTTACTGTTCCGTCTGTTCCGGAAGCAGCTTACCATGTATCTCTGAAAGTCGTCTTCCTTCTCCTTTTGGAATCTTTTCAGATCTCGCATGACACCTTGGGTCGCATCTTTGACGTCTTTCTCAGACACTTCGAGTGCCTGTTCCAGCTGAGTCAGGCTCTCCCTCGTTTTTCCAATCTGATCTCGTCGCGTTCTTTCCGGATCAACGTCAACAAACCCGTTGACTGCATGCCTGAAACTGCCGAATATCTTGTTTGTCACGAAATTGCCACTAGGAGACTTCCTGTGGGAGGTTGGCGAAGTCGGACCCGTTGGGGGATTCGGTTCGCCCTGGGCTGCCGATGGAGGTGAAGACGGCGTTTCACCGTGGGTAGGGGGAAAGTCGGAATCGACAGACTCAGTTTCGTCGTGTCCTTCCCTGCCAGGTCCGGCGTGCCGCTCAGAGGCAGTTCGTGCAGAAGCATTGGAAGTGGAGCGACGAGGTGGACTTGAGAGTGTGGTGCTGCCCGAAAGATACGCATCAATTCGTTTCGCTTCCGCTTCACTGCGCTCCAGAGCTTCAAGCAGATTGCGCTTTTTATCCAGGTCGTCTCTCGTCATGTCTTGCTGCACCCGCTTCAAGACTCTGTACCTCAAGACATTGCGCACAACCCCGGCGAATTGTGCACTCTCCCGCATAGGCTCGGCAAAAGTCGCCCCAAGGCCCAAGGCAAGCTCCTCTGTCGAAATGTATGTGCTGTCCACAGCCTGTCCAACCCTCTCGATCGCAGCCGCCACAGTTGGCGATTGCTCGGACAGAGAAAAGCCATTGTAGCGCGCCCCCAACTCTGCAAGGTCCGCAGAAAGCTTGGTCAGATGCTCTAGTGTACGGCGATTGACTTTCTCGATACTTCCTTGAAGCAGCAGTTCGAGCTCACGGGTAGAGGCCTCGAAGTTGATAAAGTAAGGATCCAGGTCTGTCTCACTCAGTTTATCCGTAGTGGGAGGGAAGCGCCCAAACACTTGCGGACCAGGAGTCGTGTGGGAGGCTGCTGAAGGGTATGTCTGCTCGGGAGGAGATATTGGGGTTCCGGAGCTTGAGGTCGGACCAGCAGACTTGAGTTTGGCGGAGACAGAGGGCACTGGTAACCAATTGTGGGCAGGAGTAGGGTTCGCAGGGTCCAGAGGGGGTGCTTTCAGGTTGTTCTTCGGTATGGACGAGATCGGATAGGCATGCAAGACTTCGTTCTGCCGTGATGTTAGAGGGGACGCACAAGTCGGAAAAGACACTTCATACCCAACTGGAATTAGGATCCAGGAACCGCCACCATACACCGTCCTCGACCACATCCTTCATTCTCCGGCAACGATTCAAGAACACACCTAACATGCGTTTCCGCAGGTCGATTATGCCAACATCTTCCTTTGCTTTGGTTGGTTTGGCGGCGTAGTCGGCCATGGTATGCTTCTCCGGTATAGGTGGGATGACCAGAGTCGGGTGAAGATTGACCAGGGCGGCGCGGAGGGAGCTGAACTCAGAGTACCGTCTGGTCACCTCGATATCCTGGTTGATGTGAGTAGGAAGTCTTGCCCGAGGATATGCTTGCCTACACCAGTCCGAATCTTGTACACAATATACCCGCCATCCGAGCTCTTGCCTGCGTCGGTTATGACGATTTCCAGGTCCGGGTTTTCAAACAGGATCTGCTGCACTCGACTGTCGTACCCGCCCTTTGGGGGTGTCGGTGCCGATTCCGGGTTTGCATTGTAGTCTTCGTCTTCATCGCTCAGGTTGTCCGGCCGGGACAAGAACTGCGGCGGCTCGTCCGGAGAGGAGTGTGATGATGGAGGGGAGGACGAGTTGGAGTCTGGATCCGGAAGTCAGCGATCGATGTCAGACAGACTGAGCCATTGCGCGTGTATACAAGAAGCACTTAGAGCTGGATTCGTTGGCACAGTGGAGGAGTCGTGGTTGTCGAACGACCCATATGGGTTGTTGTCTTCATCGTCCTGCCACATCTCTGCGTTTAGGCCCGTCGCCCGTTCGCGAACGCAGTTATCAGGTAGTCAAGGGGCTAGATTCGACTCTAGAACTGTTTCTTGGTCGTCGTTTTGCCGCGAATGGTTGGTACTAGTATGCGTATTCGCGGAGGAGTAGAAGGCCACTGCAATGCCTTGCAACTCGCCCGCACTGCTGCTGTCACGTCATTGGTCACACCGTTCAGGGTGCGCTTTGACCGCCCTTGAGCAAGACAGCCTCACGTCGTGCAAGATACAACCGCGACTACTACTATATGTAGTTCTTCTTGCTCACAACAGGCAAGAAGGGACGGAGGTCGGCTTGTAGCTCTTTCAGACCCAGATGTATCATTCTCCCTTCGCAAGAGCCTATCTAATTGATACATGAGTTCACGCTTCGAGTCTCCCTCCCCACCCCATCCCCTCCTCTCTCTGCCTAATGAGCATCCTGAAGTACGGGTGAATCTGCGTGCGGATCGCTTCATGCTCGCTGCTGGCGTCTTGAAACCTGGTGAACGAGTGCTCTCTCATAGCGCTGGTGTGCGGCACTGAAGCTAGCCCTGGCATTCTGATACTCCAAGCCCTCTCCTTTTCCTGGAAGATGTCAACTGTCAACTCAAAGCCAGCCCAGTGTGATCATTCCGTCCTTCTTGGGATGTACCTAATGCTTGCGAGGCCTGATGTGCAAGTCATGTACCAGTCCTTGCCTGCTTCTTGCGAAACCAGTCCCTAAGACTCCCGCTGAAGCACCTCTCAGACGCAACCTCCCCTCCACCACCGCCTCTTAGGCCTTGTGCATAGCCATATCCTGGATTAGGCTGTCCATGGTTATAAGGCACGTGCGGACCGTTGACCCAAGTTGGTTGTACGATGGAAGGGCCCGGATTGGGTGCTGGCGCAACTGGAGGTGGCGGCGGCCAGCCATGCACCAACCATATGCTACGTCTCTTGCAGCAGCAAAGGAGTATCGCGAGGAGCAGCAGTGCTGCCGAAACCACACCAACGATCAACCCAGCCTTTGCACCCTTGGACCAGCTGTCCCAGCCACCACGTTGCGGTTCGACCACATAAACCCACGGGCTTGGAGGTCCTGAGGATACGGCGGGCTGGTTGGAGCCGGGTAAGGAGATGATCCAGGTGGAGTATAGACTTCCTCGAGGATCTTGCAGGTACACATCAAGCTCGGTCACCGTGGCTGTTGAGGTTTCGGTCGTCGTGGCTATGATTGGGGTGTATTCCGTGGTTGCCGAGGAGGAAGAGGCAAGAGATGGAGGCGAGGGAGGAGAATAGATAGTGACTGTCTGACCGTGTGTGGCTGAAAGGGTCGTGTACAGGTAAGTTGTAATGGTGATAGTCACATCGCTAAGGGTCGTCGATGGGGTCAAATCAGTGGGAATAGCTGTCACTGTCTGAATCTGAGTCTGAGTCACAAACGACATGTTGATTGTTAAGCCTTTCGATTCGGCCACAGGATGGAGGGGTTCACGGCAGGTGTGAGGGTGAGTGAAAAGGAAGACGAGACAGGTCTACCGGTATATGACTGAAATGTGCAGTGGACTGATGTAGTTGAAGGGAGAGTGATTTCTCAAGCTCTCAATGTCGATATTTGCACGTCTGTTGATAACTGACGGCAATTCAGACCATCGTCCTCGACAACCATATCATCCCGTTTGATACCTTGGGTACCTCAGGTCAGGTACCTAGGCATTGAGCCAGCCATCACAATGCAGCGTCCTGTGACTGGCAGTTTGAGCTGTCATACTCTTCAGCATGCTCTATGTTGTGATGTACTTCTGCAGGCTTCCCAGGCCATGCAAGGTCTTCCTACACCTCCCTTATTCGGCGGCATCTCCATTCACAGTCGGTTCTTCTCCAGCAACTGCACGTGCTTCTCCTTCCTCCATCATCCGCAATTGATCCTGCACCAGTGGTATCCACAGCTTCCAGGCTATCCATGTGCACACTGGCGTGACGACGAGAAAACAGACCAGAATGGTCAGACCTGGCTTCATTGTGGTGGCTCTTGGGGAGACGCTGTCTTCAGTTCGAGGGCTGCTTCTGTGGTCAGCGCTTATTTGTCTCTCCCAAGGGGTTTTAACCTACAGTCTGTTGCTTAGGAGTTCTTTGATATGCAGTAAGACAGATAAAAGACGGTAAGTGACTGATGGTGAAGGGGAAGCGTAGGGAGTCAATGCTTTCAGATCCTTTTCTGCGCTCTGCACACGGTCATTTTGTTGTTGTCCAGGATGCTTTGGTTAAGTCTATTGTCCAACGGGAACCATTATCAAGTTCACTGCTCGGCAAGCGCGAGATCAAGTGCTTCCAAGAGGACCTCATTAACTTGCCCTTGTAGACATCCTGCTCGTACCGACTCTAATGTCTCCAGCAATCCTTTGCACACGACGGTACCATCAGCGAGGAGGACGCGAGCGAGGCTGAGAACTCGCAGGAACAGAACGAGGGTGGCGTGCTCGTACGTCGCTCCTACGGGGTGCAGGAATCTGGGGGCTTTGTGAACCTCCTCAGCATCGTATTGATTCGTAGTCGAGATCGGCACCTTGCAGCTGTGTTCCATCTGGAGCGATTGCACAAGCTGGTCCAGTCCTTCTGTGGTCCACTGAACAGCCGCTTCGATTTGCTCCGGTGGTAAACACTGCAGCCCACTGTGATATAGCGTTTGCGACCAGAGTTGGACTTCACGTAGATCATCGACGTACAGGTTTTGTCGTTCTTCTGCGAACAAATCATGCTTGCCTTTGAAGATGGCCAGCAAACTCGACGCGACCGAGGTCTGAAATGGGTCAGTCGTTGTACCTGGGTTGGCTGGAGTCTGCCCGGTTTGTCCGACATTCATTAGTTTCATGACAGCAGCTCGCCCCAGTGCTTGTGTTCCCTGGTATCGCTGATTTATCTCGTCAAGCAGCAACTCCCTGGCAGCAAGCGCGCACATGCCCAGGTCTCCTACCGCCGAGGCCTGGTGCAACTTCATACTCCGGGTAGCTTGAATAGCCTCGAAGCGCACTTCTTCATCGTCGTCGTTCAAGAGATCATACAAGACCAGCATGAGTCGAAGTGAGGCACCTCGCGCTGATCCAAGAGATTCAGAGCCTTCGGACCGCCCATAGTAGATCGATAGCGCTCGAGCTGCGCTCAGCCTTGTTGGAAAATCCAGAGAATCAGCTGCGGCAAGCTCTACCCGGTGCAGCCATTGTCGGGTCCGTTGTTGAATAGACTGAAGGCTCTGTTGACTCGGCAGCTCTATGCACAACAGCAACGACTCTAGTTCCATCGCCGCGTTGCCGAGCCCTCGCGTTGATGACAGCTGTTTGAGACTGATCCTCCAATTAAGCTGGTGCAGCTCACGCGGGATGTCTCCTAGATTCTCGAGACTGCGCGTCAAGCATGAAAATGCTTGCTGGAGAATATCCGGCTGGCAACAAAGCTTGTCATAGCCACCATGTATAAGGTTGACAAGAAAGGTAACCATGGATAGTCGAGGTTTCTTGTAATGGTGGTGCTTGATGACGTCCAGCAAATAACTCAAAGAGTCGGGAGAGGAAATAAGCTCAGCAATCAATGACCTTTCTTGCTCATTTGTAGTTGTAAACGAGGTGTCTCGGAGTATATGGCGATACATCCGAAGCAGGAGGATTCGGCGCAACAGGTAAGGCCAGTGAGCTGAGGTATACTCAGATGAAGACGGCAAGGACATACTTGAAGAAGCCTTTTCAATGACATCGAAATTCCAGGTGTTCTCCAAGCAGAGTGCCGCAACATCATTGAGTACGTCAAGGTAGGAAGCTAGGACATACGGCGACCGCCCACGCAAATCCTTCCATGGTACGCGAGTTGAAAGCAGATTGAGAACGGCGTTGACTTCAGCTTTGGTGGTTGTTCCTTGAGCCGTCCTTGTTATGTACCGGCAACACAGTAATACTCCATGAGCTTGGTTTTCGTTCCTGGTCAAACCAGTCTCCGAGATAAGCCTCTCGATCGCCAACGCCGGGACCATGCCAGACAGGCGCGTTGCCAGAAGAGAAGCTGCATGATCTCTTATAGCCCAAGTCGAATGGGAAATTTGTCGCGCAATGATGCTGTTGGTCTCCTCGGCTCTCCCTTCATCAGAATGTATATGGCTAAGCAAGTCCAAAGCGGCAAATGCATGTTCGGTGGCGATGTGCTGGCCATTTAGAGGGCTTCTGTCAGGCTCTGCGGCTGATTCAAGCAGACTTACCGCGATGGTGGACGGGTCGCTGTTGACCCTTTCGCTCTTGGACCCCTTGCCGTTAAGGGACGTCGTTTCATTCGTACTGGTCGAATCAAGGCGATTTATGCAAGCCCTGAGTAGCATCAAGCCGCAATTGCGGATGGCCCAAATCTTCGAGGAGAGGCAATCGGCCGCCAATTCGAGTATTCTCTCGAGGTACTGTACAACAATAGCAGAAAGGCGAGAGTTGGTCATGATTTCCTTCAGGCAGTTAAGTGCATGGACCTGCGGTAGCTTCTTGTTTCCCGCGCCCTCAGCAGGAAGTTCGTATATTGATCGTCGAGATATGCTCATAAGATCAGACACAGTCGTATCGAAGAAATCAGGGTCGGCGGGACTGAGCAGGGCTACCATCGTTGCAGGAAGACCTGCCGAACGACGGGTGAGACGATCTGATTGCTCGTCAATCTGATTCAGCGCGACCTGTTCAGGTCAGCAACTATTCATGCTTGACTCTGAGAAGGCTGTACTCACTGAATACCACAGCTTTATAAGACCGCGCGTAGCAGAGTCCGGGCTCGCACGAGCTTTCTCGCAACACAGGTTGAACGTCTGCGCAACCGCCGAAAAGGCTCCTCGATGGCGTAATGAAATCAGTTGATCCAGGCAAAGATCGCCTACTGAAAGGTACAATGCCTTGTTAGGCTGTGCGGCGACAAGCAAGGACTGTAGGACAAGGCTGGATCGCTTAGTAAGGACACCAGAGCATGGCGGTGAAGCCCTACCTTGAATCACGTAGTGCCCGCCACGAGTAAGCCAGAAGGTCCATGGGTCCTTCATTAGTGTCTTCATCCTCCGCTCCTAATGAGGTGTCTGGGGAGTCAATACAAAGTCGACTGCTGACTCGGTGCCAGACTTTGGTACAAATGTCGAAAATTCGCACAAACTCAATATCCGTCAACTCATAGCGCTGTACTTTCATGTCTCGGAGTCGATAGTGAATTGACAGCAGGTACGCGTGAATAGGATGCTTTGAGGTCGGCCTCAAATCGCCGGTGTCCGACATCAGTCGTCCCATCGCCGATAGAAGCGGCGATAGGTATGTATCAGTCTTGTCATGTCCTATATGGGAGACAGATGGTGGAGAGTCATGGGAGAAGCGCGACAGAGCCCACAGTCTTCCCATACCATCTGCATGATCACCACGGACAGTGTGGGCTGCCATGAGCCCAATTCTATTGAGCAAATGTGTGTCCACAACGCGAGACACCAGGTCAGGCACGTGAAGGACGAGGAACTGCAGTAGATTGGAAACAGTGCTGCGCACCTCCTCAAATGGGTCGAGTACCAGGCAGCACAGAATCTTAATCATCTCTGTATCATCTTTGTAGACGACAGTTGCAGTTGTCATGTCGAAGAAGTATTGTAGAGAATGCAAACTGAGACTGTGGCGTGGATAGGAGACACCAGGCCTAAGTTCCCTCTTCAAGAAGTTGTAGAAGCGATATTGGAACGATTTGTATTGCGCTTCAACCGTATCAATTTCCTCACTACCACTCTTCGAAGAGGCTGCTTTACGGAGAGATAACCAACTGGCTTCAATCCTTTTTAGCAGTCTTCGTGTGATGCTCAAAATTTCGCTTCTCTCATGCGCTTCAGCGTCATCATGTAAATATTTCGCAGTCGACAAGACACAGCTTAGAACCCCCGAAGGAACGATGGCGGTTGTAGTCGGTGTTGAGGTCAGAAGATTGTACGCGAGAATTCGTATTTCTGGATTAGATGTGCTCATCGTTCGCCTGAAAAATGAGTAGCCATCGTCTCCAGACTCAACAAGGCGAGTGATTCCCAGCATATGCACGGAGCGAAGTATTTGTAGAACTCCTGAAGAAAGGCCCATTAGCTAAGTTACAGTGTGGCAGAGGCATCACGAATACCTTCTTCAGTCAGGATACTTTGCAGCCGTCCAGCCTTCAAGGCAGCAAGGAATACTGCCATATGCGTCTCGCTCGTGGGACATGACCCCAAATATGGTTCAACGAATACCATGAGCTTGTCGTTGGTATTGAGAATGGCAGGCAAGACATTTTCTGCAAATTCACCCAGTGCCGCACGGTTACTCTCGAGGTAGAGCTCGACATGTTTCTGGGCGAGTATTTGCAGGCTCATACCTTCGCGTTGGTTCGGATCTATACTGCATAGCGTTGAGCATAGTTTGAGAGCCGACGTCCTTGTGTCAAGATCTGTCATGGCAAAGACCAAGGCAAGGAAAAGGTTGGTCATACCGCCGCCACCGATATTAAGCACTTGATGCGGAGTAATATTATGTTTAGCAAGAAGTCGTGTCCAGGCCGGTTGATGCAGTTCCGTACACTGCTTGACGAGCGGCTCCAAGTGATCGAGGATTGGGGTCCTTCGAATAAGGCAGGACAACATGAGGCATGCCTTTTTCAGCTCGGCTCGAGGAGACGACAAAAGAACAGTTCTTATCAAGGGGAAGGCGGCTCTGACCAGAATGTCGGTAAGAGTTGCTTCATCAAAATCTTGCAGTAGGCGACAAAGAGTCTCCAGTACTTGAATGGCGGGTTTTGTTTTCCCGTCATTGAATACTCTGTGGCAGCATTGATAAGCGTCAAACCATGCCTCTTCTGAATGGACAAAATCTCGAACTTCGCGGGCTCTGCTCAGGGCAGCTCCATTCAGGAACACGGATAAAGCATTGCACGCCGCTGTGATATGGTTGTGGACCACCTGAGGACTGGTTGCAGTAAGAATGAGCTTACGCCAGAGCGCAGAGATTTGCAGAGGCTCAGATGTCTCAGTATCGCCATGCAAGTACTTTTGAAGACTCCCTTTGCCCAGAGACCATAGTAGCGAGGCTGGGAGCGGGACATCTGCCGCCAGAGCCTCATCTATAGCCTTCATGGCCATTGTCTGCAGCTTTTTCAACCGTGCTTTACCCAGCGAAAGCGGATATGAGTCTGAATAGTCGAGAAGCGGAGGCCATCTCTACTGTCACCGGCCATATCGCCAGGAGCATGGCTTTCCGCCCTGTTTCATCATCTCTTTTTAGAAGTTTTGCCGACAGCAGCCAGAGTTATGTTGCAGCATATCGATCGTTGAAGTATGTGAACATTAAAAATGAAGTGGCCGAGTATATCATATATTTCCCGATTCGGTTAAGCTCGGGATTGCGGCCTTTTGGCTGTATCTTTTGATTCGCATCGAACTTCGAACATTTTCTTCGGGAACTCGATCTCGCCCTTTGCTTGCCCTTCCACTGTGAGCGCAATTCAACCGGCCACTTGACCTGGTTCGATTTCATTTCTGCCCTGCCAGTGTATTCGATCATCGATTCGCTCAGCGCCGCTCAACATGTCGATCTGGGACGCCTTCACCGGCAGAAAATCCTCCAAGCAGAGTGCAGAACCACAGCCTGCAGAGCCTGCGCCTTCGGCTGGAGGTTTCGCGCAAGCACCATCCTTCGACCCTAATGCCCCGACAGACGTATCGTCGTTTCTCGGGAGCGCCTCTCTTCCCGATGCTTCAAAACTTCATCCTCTCGCCGGTCTAAATCAGCAGACACTGGACTATCTGACGTTAGACGAATCCCAACTGTCAGAGCTCCCGGGCTCGAGATCAATATTACCTTCACGCGGCTGGTCGGATGATTTATGTTACGGCACAGGAGTTGTATATCTGACAGCGCTGACGACTGGTGGAGCATGGGGTTTGATAGAAGGGTTGAATCGAACGCCGGCGTCTGCACCGCCCAAGCTGCGGTTGAACAGCGTTTTGAACAGCATCACCAGACGAGGGCCCTTCCTCGGGAACTCGGCTGGTGTGGTTGCGATGGTGTACAATGGTATCAATTCGACCATTGGCTACTACCGGGGAAGACATGATGCGGCAAACAGTATCGTGGCGGGCGCACTAAGCGGTGCGATTTTCAAATGCACAAGAGGCTTGAAGCCCATGTTGATCTCCAGTGGCATCGTTGCTTCACTGGCGGGAGTCTGGGCTGTAAGTCGAGCCCCAGCATGTCTCAAGGTGATCGTTGGCTAACATATACTCCAGCTCACCCGGAAAGTCCTTTTCGAGCCTCCTGAGGACGAAGCCTCTACGTCAGCAAATCTTTAAAAATGCGAACACGCCGACGGCACAGGCTGATACTGTCCTCTTGAACCATCGATCTACGGGCGGTCTTGTCTGAATACACCTTCTGTATAAAACTGCACTTTCTCTTGTGGACCTTTCTGCAGGTCACGAAGGACGACTCTTCGACCAGTTGATGTGTCTAATAAATGATCCTCACTCTGGGATGCGGGCAGCATAGCGGGTTGGGAACAATAGCCGGCGTTCAGGGATTCGGGTTCTATGATAGAGCTCTCAAGAGCCCCAGATCAGGGCTCTGTGGAATGCTAAGAAGGCTTGCTGCTTTGGTGGACGGATGAAGACTAGGTTGCCATACCTGCATTGCGACATAGGACCGTGGAGTCCATCGCGTTCGCAAGTGTTGCTTCACCGCACAGTGCGACAGCGTAATGGGTCTTCATAGTGCCGAGTTGGCAGATCTTTGAGCCTGATTTGAGTTGAAAGAATTGAGCTGCGGGTACATTTCTTCTATAACCGAAGCACAGAGTCTCCGTTCTTTTTGATGCCCGATCGATGATGTTGAAACCTGCCAAATTCTTTTTCATACATATACCAAGGACGCATTGAATACTCCCATATCAGAGCATTGTCCTTCGCCAGGCTTTTGCCGCAAGAGCCTCGATCGACTTTGTATCCACCACGCCCTTCGTTGAATCATCAGCAATAGCTTCCACTATAGCTTCTGCCACCAGGTCTGCTTTCAAGGGCTTTTCGACTGCAGCTCCAAATATGCGAGTCAAGCTGCCTCCAAGCATGCTGTTGACTGTGCTTCCAACCATGCCAGAGGCTGCTATCGGGAGCGTGAACATTCGGCTGTCATCGTATAAGAATCCCGGCCTGAAAAATATGTTTCTCAGCTTCACCATTCTGTTCGCAATTATGCTCTCGGCCTCGCGCTTCGTCGTGATGTATCGGCCGGGGAGCATAGGGGCGCCGGCTGCAGCTGAGACGTAGACAAAAGTCTTTGCACCTTCACGTTCTGCCTCTTGTGCCAGAGCAATCGCAGAGTCTCTGTTCATCAGCTCATACGTGATCTGGCCATCCTTTTCTCCTTTCCCCAATGCTTCGCCCGGCTGGCGGTCCATTGGGTTGTTCGAGCTGCCAGCCTTTGTTGTACTGAATGCCCTCGACAAGCCAGAGAGTATTCCCTCTTTGCCTTGGAGAACTCCCTTGTAGTCCGCCTCGAGGAGGATGCCCATGGTATGCACCACGGCCTCGGCGTCTTTCAGGTGTGAAGTGTAGGTGTCTGGTCTGAGAATGTCTCCCTTGGCCCAAGTGACAGAACTTGACCAAGGAGGAGGGGCCGATTCTGCAGTAACTGAAGACCATTTAGGCTCGCCAGAGCGACTATTCTGCCGTCAGTAATCGTGTGCACCGAGCCGTGGCAGCTGCTTGCCTTATGGAGACGACATCCCAGCCTCGAGCGACGGCGGATTTGCAGATGCGCGACCCTAGAAACCCATTTCCACCGGCGACAACCAGCTTCTTCTTCACCACCTGCGCCATCTGGGAGATTGTTCTTTTCTCTGTGGTCGTGTCGAATCCCTTCAACTGCCAGTGCCGCGTTCCATTGTAGTACCGAGCATATTACAATAAACAGTGGAATGATCGCCAGGGACTTTTTGGAAGAGTTCAACGTCATCGATTTTGTATCCCTATAAGGAAGGTGCGGCGAGCCCGTCTTTTCCGCGCTTCATCAAGTTGGCGATCGATGCAGTGTTTGACAACTGGAGTTTAAGGGCCTGTTCTGAACAAGAGATAAAACCTCGACTATCCCACCGTTTCACATTGTTAATCTACTGCATATCAGTGATCCGACCTGTCGAATTGAGCCACGTCCGTCTGTCTGTTCTTCACTCCGAAGCCAATATGCCACCCGCCAAAAGACGCAAATTGAGCCCAACTCTCGATGAACCTCCCTCGAAGTCGGATTCTCGGAATGTCTCTACAGAGGAGCGTGATGTGACAGAGACTCATAACGATACCACGGCCGGAAAGGAAATCAACGAAGCAGCATCGTCCGAACAGGACGCCATAACTGCAGACTACAGCAAGAATGCTACGACCAGTACCACCCCATCAACAGCGGCGGCAGACAGACTTGCGCGATTTGCGGCGCTGAAGTCACGGGCCAGCGCGTCTGCCAAGTCGAACCTCGCCGAAGCGAAAGCAGAAGCAAAGCGTGCGGCGATGGACCCTGGCTTGCTGGCGAGCCTCAACAGGAAAGCAGCAATCGCATCCCACAACATCCTCAAGGCAGACACCGAGGAAGAAGAAGGCGATGGTGCCTTTGAACGTAGACGAGCTTGGGACTACACCATTGAAGAGAGCGAAAGATGGGACGAGCGAGTGCAACAGAAGAAAGCCAACCGAGACAACACTGCCTTCAAGGATTACAGCCAGGAAGCCAGCAAAATGTACGATCGGCAGATCCGCGAGTTGGAGAAGGCAGCGCGCAAAGACGGCGGCAAGAATCGCGAGGAGTATGAACGGCAGAAAGCCGAAATATTGGAGAATGCCGCGAGAACGGGCGGCCTTGAGATCGTGGAGATGGAGAACGGGGAATTGGTCGCCATTGATAAAGATGGCCGGTTCTACGCCAACGACGACAGCACGGGGTTCGTGGAACAGAAGCCGAAACGTGAGAATGTCGATCGCCTGGTCGCCGACTTGAAGAAAGCAGAGGAAACCAGGTTCAAGAATCGCCGCGATCGTGGTAGGGACACCGATGAAGGCGATGTCACGTATATCAACGACAAGAACAAGCAGTTCAACCTCAAGTTGGCCCGCTTTTATGACCGGTATACGGTTGATATACGGGAGAGCTTTGAGAGAGGGACGGCCATCTGAGGCGCCAAGGGTGGGATGCTGTGTGTGTTGCAGTGTGGGCTGTGGGCGGGCCAGCTCTTTGGAACTGGATCTGAAGACGCGAGCACCACATTCATACTTCTATTTTATCAATCAGTAGAATGGCGACCGCCATCAAGAAATGGCTTCGAGTACAGGCACTGCTTGCCGGTGTTTGGTGTGAGTTGGTGGTCGGCTTAGAGCTCGGTTTGCCGCTGAAATTACCGCCTCGCACTGGCAGGGCACGGCATCTTTGTCGATATACCGATCTTAGATATATACCTACAGGGATGTACCTACGTTTTGCCGTTATACTACCTGGTACGTGAGGCAGCATCGGCTGTCACAACTGCAACGTACTGCTAAAAGAATCAATGGTGACATGGGTATGATGTGAAGACCTCACAGGATATACCTCCCTCTTCTGTCGGATATCGACGCTTATTGAGATCGAGAGTTTTTGCGCCTTCTGATAACTAACGACTTCCGAGTTATTAGAAGCCATTAGGGTTACCTTTGTTATAGCTTTTTTTCTCCTACTTATAGGTACGGAACGACCGTCGCGCTCTACGTGTCTAGGTAGCAGGCACCGAATTCTCATCCCGCGACGGATGGAAACAGGACGCTACATTTATTTCCAACCTTTCATGGATATTTTGAGTTACATTTCACGTGTAATGTCGCTCTGATGCGCCTGAAGGAATAAATACTCCCAATCTTAGCATCTCCAGGGACGGGAGACTAGAGACAGGAGTGGCGCTTTCACAGCCAGAGGGAAAGCAATACTTGTTACAGGTGCAAGACGGTCACAGTTCACAGTTCATCCTCATTATCTATCTACCGTACCCAGGGCCGAGGAAAAGATGTCTCCATTTCAAGAAGACCCCATCATCGTGATTGGAGCAGGGGTGACAGGCCTCTCGGTGGCGACGCTGCTGCAATCCCAGTATCCAGAGATACGCATCACCATCATCGCAGCCGAGACCCCGACCACAACCTCCCCCTCGGCAGACTATGCGTCGATGTGGGCAGGGGCACACTATCGCCCGATTGCCGGATCCACGGCTCAACTCAAGCAAGAAGCGGAGATGGCACAGCGGACAGCAAAGGTGATGCGACGGATTGCACAGGAGAGTCCCGAGGCTGGCGTGGCGTTCCTGCAGGGCGTTGAATATCTGGAAGACCCGCCGGAGGAGATCCTGCGTCTGAAGACCGGGGATGTGTATGCCTCGACAAATGATGAGTTCCGTGTCCTCGAGCATGCGGAACTGCCTTTCGGGGCAAAATGGGGTTGCGAATACCGCACCTGGTGTGTCAACGTGCAGCCTTACTGCCAGTGGCTTCTGGATCGCTTCATCACAAATGGCGGCCAACTCATCGGCCACCGATTGTCGAGCGCCGCGGACGCCTTCGACTTTGCTCGGCAGATAGGACTGGGTAGAGTGAAGATCATCGTCAACTGTTCCGGTCGCAACTTCGACCAGGATCCAAAGGTGAAGATCATCCGCGGTCAGACTGTGCTGGTGAAGCAGCGATACAGCAAGACAGTGACGCGGCAGAATCGCGATGGGACTTGGACGTTCCTTATCCCTCGTCCGAACGGGGGTGGCACCATCGTAGGCGGCACGAAGGAGATTGGGGATCCGGAGACACGGCCCCGGCCGGAAACCCGACAAAAGTTGCTTGAGCAAGCTGCCCAAGCATACCCTGACTTCGTCGACTCGGTTGACAAGTTCGAGGTGTTAAAAGAGAATGTCGGGAGAAGACCATGGCGGGAAGGCGGGTTCCGAATCGAGACTGAGTCGGTTGCTCCTGGCCAGAGAATCGTCCATGGGTACGGCGGCGGCGGCCGGGGATACGAGTTGAGCTGGGGTGCCGCTGAGAGGATTGTTGAGCTCGTCAAAGCATCCGCTCCAGCCAAAGCCCGATTATAGATTGTGACTTGGACAGCACACATCCTGTCCGATGAGTATAAACTAGCGTGCATCCAGCAATACCCTGCAGCTTCACTTCTTCTTGACAGGCTTTCCCTCGGTCTTTTCCAGCTCTTGTAGCCTCGCTTCCTCTTTGACAAGCTTGGCCTTTTCCTCCACAATCAATCTCTGAACAGTCTTGGCCGCTTCGGTCAGCCGGTCGAGCTCCTTGCTCTCTTCCTCCTTGCTGAACTTGTTGCCGGGGTTACTTTTCAATGGTATTTCCGCTGTCGGTAGGGCCTTGACCGCACTCTTGCCGCCTTTCCCTGATTTTGATTTCCCAACCTGCGGGCCGCCTGTCAAGATGTCGTAGAAGGCCTCGACAGGTTCGTTGAACAAGACTTCTTCGTAGCATACGCTGGAAACCATGCTCCGGTCCCGCTTCTGCTGTTCGATGTCGCCATGGTACGGATGCAGCTTGAGACCGTGCCAGATCTGTTGTGGTTTCTCGTTGCTTTCGGGGACGAAGTAGAACTTGATGGCAATCTCGAATTCACCCCAACCGGTCTCTTCGACTTCAAACGGTGGACTCTCGATCATCCGCACGCTGTTAGCGTACGTATCGTGCAGTTTGAATTGCACCTTCTTCAGCCAATATGAAATATCCTCGTTGTTCACCCCGCGCACGAAGACCTTCCATTTATGTGTATGATCGGGCGGCGCATCTTTGGGACGGTTCTCGGGGTCGAAGGGGATCGCCTCGGTGCCGTAGACGAAGGGACGGTAGATTTGCACACCGCGCACGCGTTTCGTCCCTGTGGGAGCGGGCATCTCGACTGGCACGCACGAATAGTCTGATTGAATGAAGATGATTCAAGTCATCGATTGCAGCGCGTCGATGTGAAAGCGATGGTGACTTGGAGGGGACTGCGACTGCGTCACGGAAGTTGTTTGGAACTTTTACAGATGTGATCCGGATCCTGTCTCATACGCCACCGGCTTGCGATCTTGATTTACGGGGGCGAGGCTGGACCGCACTGCAACACTGTGACAATTCTTGAGTTCGAAGAGGCCGCCAGTATAGGACGGCCGCGGACTGCCCTTTAGGCACTACTAGTACTAGTACGTAGTACGTGCTAGTTGTCTTAGCATCTCAAACTGCGGCTGGCACGTGATTCTGTCACGTGACTATCTCTACGAGCCAATGAAAAATTACTTGCATATTTTTGGCGCAGGGGAAGTAATACTCCCAAAGACTCAAGACTCAACGATAAGATTATGACGTTGACCATAGAGCCTGCTAGTTGCAAGTAGCTCCTATGCCTCAACTTTCACAGTTCAAGTTTGTCTTCACGGTCCAGACAACGACTTTTATGTTGCGACTGGAGAAAACGTACCGATGACCGTGGCAAGCGAGGGCTTTTTATATCCCGTCGCCGTTTAATGCCAAGCCAGAGATCGGTACAACCACTGACTCACTACAGTACTAGTAGTACCTTACCTGATTTATGAGGAGGCATTCAGCGGAGCGAAGTCACCCCATAAACCAACTTCGACCGAGGGGTGAGCCGCAGGCAGTTAGGTGTTCTGTCGAGACGGTGAGGCTCTTGATCGGAGGGAAACAAGAGCGCGGATCGCTGGAGGGTGCCCGAAAGCATGAAACTGCCCTTCTCTCAGATAGTATCTCGAGCCGCACCGTATGTACGGAATGTCTCACCCCGTTCACCAACTGCGCACGTCTGCAATGACCGCAAATGGTGGTCGTCTTCGGCAGCTCACAAGGCCAAGAGGCTGCCCACCTACTACAAGCCATCCACGCTCTCGCTAAATCGGATGGATGCGCTGAAAGGACTTGACACTTCCAACTACTACATTACGGCCGATCTTGCTGGGACTTTGCGAAGACTAGGATTCCAGTCTATTCATACAGTTGTGAGACTCGTCAATCATCACCGGACAGAACTGCAGAACTATAAATGTGCGCCTAATGCCGCCGTCAGGCTTGCGACCACCAGCCAACGTACGGAGAGAACCAGTCCGGCCTTCCTGATGAGCGATTCGCTAACAAGATTGTATTGCAGAATGGCAAACCATGTACGAATCAGCTCTCAACTCTACGGAGGTGAAGCTCCTGCGCGACCCAACAATAGTACGCCAGATATTCCATGCCTTTGGCAGAGCCGACCTTCATTTCCAGAATATCAGAAAGATGGCGCGTTCCGGCATTTACGCGTTACAGATCGCATTTGAATCTGGAGAGAGCGAGGCTGTCATCGATACCGCCCTAGCCGAAGTCAAATCCAGTGGAGGTCTGCGCCGGAAGACATATGACTACATCCGAGAGATGGCATTAGCAAGAGCGGACTGGCGGGCAATGACAATCTACCTGTGGCATATGTTGCAGACGGCGCAGAAGAAGCCGGTTACACAGGAGAACTACCTGCTTGCGAAAGATCTGTATGGCATGATGGAGCCTAGTCAGAAGCAGGACAACAAACTGCCCTTTCTACAAAGTTTCGAGCTTCCCTGGAAATTGCTGCATGATGCGGCCGACCATTACCTCTATCACCTCGAGGACGGCCCCGAGTCTGATGCTGTCCAGGAGGATCTTGATATGGCTCTTCGGGAGGGTGTCTCCAAGTGGAGCGACCCTCGAGCCGCCGAAATGATTCTCAGTCAGATCGGTGAGGTCGAGAAACACAGTCCTCGCTGGGTGTCACTCACCACACAGTCGGCAATGGGCGGGAACTCGGACTCTTGTCTCGAACTGGCCATGTACCATCTGCAGAAAGATGGATGGTATCCAAAACAATCCGACAGCAATAAGGCTAAGAGCTGGATCGGGATCGAATGGCTCGCGCTCAGTGCAGCACTGTCAACCACCGACGCAAGGACAATGGTCAGAAGATATCTTGCGCTAGCGCACATTCTTCGCGAAAACGGCTTTGCTAAGGAAGGATATGCCTGGTTGCCCAATGCGAAAGAGAATGTCCACGAGGCCGGTCTCGACCCGAAAGGTGAAATGATCGAGTACCTCAATGGATTCCAGCGCCACTGGTTTGACGACAAGGTCATGGTGGCCACTTCGGACGAGTTCCTCGACATCAAAGAACCCCAGACCTGATTGCCATGTACGGCCAGGACTTCAAGCATGCCGTTTGCTGGGCGACAATGTCTGGGTTCGAATTGCATCTGAGCAAAGCGAATCCCGACACAGCATGAGGACGCCCAGTTGTCCATGTGTTCATTGCCGATCACAAACTTTTGACATGATGCTGGTGCAGCGGTTGTCGGCCAACGACTTCCAGAGACTGACACAGCGGCCGATTCTGTGCGGCTCCGTCCAAGACTATGGTAAAAGAGGAATGCGCTTGTCGACACTGTACAAAAAGACGACGATTGAATTTTCCAATTCAAACCAATACCATGTATATCTACCTATGTACGAGTTGAATCTATATACCCACTCAATCGACAAGTTGTTCTTACTACACAAACTGAACCCGATTCAGGCCCCAGATGTTGGCTATTCAGAATGCTCGAGGGTGCAGAACATACCCCCAGCCGGCAGGCCCACTATTACGGATATCTAGCCCCATTTCATCCCTTTTTCAGCATGAGGTTACACACGTCTTTTCGTCCCGATCTTCCCCATTGCACGGCCATCAGAAACTCCCATCATGCCAACATCGCAATCATGGAGATGGACCGACCTTGCCGAAACGCCGATCTTTATCGCTCAGAAGTCAGACCACCCAGCCTTCAATAACTTGCAAGACTCCAGCTGCAATGTGCCTGTGCCCAGCTGGCTTATCATACCACACTACAGAGCGTGTATCATTTTATCTCCACTTACCCACTCACTGAGTACGTACCATCTTTCGATCTGTCTACTCGGCAAGGAGTGTTCATCCCGATGTCTGTTGTGTCTTGACAACATAGCAGATCGATAGTGAGTTCGTACACCGTCCAGGTAGGTCGCTTCTCAGATTGCTGCCGAGTTTCTTGCCGATTATCCATTGTCAACAAACACGGCGTCACATGGGACTTCGGTCGAACAAAGATACGAGAGAGCATAGCTTGAGGGAATGCGCTATAGTGTTACGCTCCCGTCAAGATGCTCGCCAGAGTAACCACGAGCCCCGATCGTTCAGGCATTGCTTCTGTCTCTCTGTTTTGTCACTGGGATATGCCATGAAACCCAAGGCAAGACGGAGTCAAATGATCCGCTCCAGTGCTCGAGGTCAGTCGCTTGGTTAGAACGACGGTGACGCGGCAATATTAGCCACGGCACTGTCGCAAATCTCGATCAGGTTGCTCAGTTCAGGGCCTGCTCTAGTCAGAACAGTCCGTTCTCAGGTCCTTTCAGACTCAAGAGTTGGTCATCTGTGCATGATATCTCCACTTTGTCCGTGGTAGTTGACTGCGACTAACGGAAACATCAGACGGAGAGAGGCATGGAATGACTATCCATCGAGGTCGACTTGCAGGCTTCGTGACATCGTGAAACCCCACCCCAAGAACAGGAGGAGGTGGTCTAGGAAGTGGAAGAGAGTGTGTGTACGTGTAATGGCTGACTGGCCACTTGCATGCCTACCTGTTGGCTTACCCCTTTCTTCACTCTTCAACCGAAATATCTTCGAGGTCCACATTGCGAGGTGGTTGCTTGCGAAATTGATCCATCGTTGAGATGTCCAGCGTCTGTCTCTTGCTTCCACTCCACATGAGTTTTGATATACGAACATCTTGTGGTAAAGACACAAAGCGATGGTCCTGACAATATTGTGCAGAGAGGCAGTATAGTGTCAAGACGAATACAGGAGATGGGAGAGGAGAGAAAAGAAGAAGAATACAGCCTTCTACAATATGATTTGCATGTGCACCATCCGTATATCAAAATCACGGTGGGCCGGAACACGGATAAAGTCTCTCCCCTTTCTGTTGCCATCTCCAGCCTATTGCGGTCAAGTCTGCCTCCGTACTGCAACCAACACTCCTGGTCTGCAAGACCTTTACTATTCCCTTTGTACGAGGTTGTTTCGACTCTCGACAATCTCTTTGCCAATTTGGGCCTGCTACTCTTGGAACCATTGCCTGGCAGGTAGAAAGGCACATACCTCGTCCAGTTCCAAGATGATTCGATAACCGGAATGTTGCTCCGTGTTGGGCCACTATAGAGGGAATGATTCTATTTGTTCTCCAGGTTCACACAGCTCTGAGCCCGCCAGCTTGCCATACCCCTTGAATAAGTATATGTATATCACGACACGATACCATTCTCGAAGTTATGTCGTAGTATTACTGTACTACTTGCGATGACGATGGTTGGTAGAAGTGAAAAGCAGGAAACAATCCACGATAGAGCAACAGAGACTCTGCTTCCACATCTACTCGAATCAACACTGTCTGTCCAGTGTCCACAACAGCCGTATGTCACGATTTCGCTCTGATTTATCGCGCGTATCCATTCCATGGTCCAGAGACAACCAGTCGTTCCCAATCAGCGGTAGAAACTCTGGCTCCAACCATCCACCCACATTGACATAATCAAACTTCGTTCTCCTTTCTCCTTTGAGACTTGCTTTTGCGCCTCCAAAAGTGGAAAGTTCGATAAGAAACTGACCCTGCTCCCCATGTCATCTTTACCTTCATTCAACGGTCCCATGCCGTGCCCGAACAACAAACATGAAACTCTCTCCAGTGGGTCAGACCCAGACTCAGCTCAGCTCAGAACAGAACAGCAGTAACAACAGTTATTCGTCGGTCGAGAGGGTTGTTGACCGTTACTAGCTCCCTGGACAAGTAAATAACCAAGCCATCTCATAGGGATTTAGGGATCTCGGCTACACGGCCCCTTTATATAGGCAGCATTAGCATATCTTGCCCGAGTCATACTTTGTGGAAAGTTTCCACAATATAGACTTCTGGCGAGTTGTGATCAGGTGTTCGTTCGTTTGTTCTGTTTTCTTATGGATCCTTGAATCACAAGAATACCTGTCCCGTCACCAACAATGCACGAATGAGTGATTCCCCTCCCCTGTCTTCTCTCTGTGCTTGTTACGACTCTTCAAGGTATCCACCGGGGACCACTATCTCCGGCCTCGGTTAGGACCCCATAGACCCACAGAACTATAGTTCATGTCCAAGAATCAAGATTTCAATCGAAAGTCGACTGCAGTGCTGGGGTGGTTTCACCAGAGCGGAACCGGTTCCACCTGGCCGACTGCCTGCTTGCTTGACGAAAAGGGTAAACAGCAAACTTGAATGTAACAGGCAAGTTCCGAAATCCAGAAAAAAGAGGAGCTACTGTACAGAGTAAACAGGAATGAAATGCCACTGGACAACAGTCGACACGCGAGTCAGTTGCAAAGGGGCAACAAACACTCGAGCCCATCGACTTTTAGTCTAGATTACTAGTCACTGTGTTAGACTATCACTATCAGGTGCTTTGCTTTGCCGAGTCGATCAGATGTCTGCAGATGCTCTCTCTTTGGTTCCCAGAGCCACTCCACTGCAATCCGGCATCTTGCGCAAATTGATGAGGACATAATCCCTACATTCACAAATGATCAAAGAGGTCAGCTAGTAAGAGTATAAGACAATTCACTCACTCTGCCATGCCTACTATACCACACCACACTAAACCATTCATTATCTTCGGTACGGTCTCCAGCAAATAGAGCAATGAAGACGAACGATGGCCCAGGTGAGGTAGGTATATTGTATATCGGCACTTCAATTCAGACACCTGAGGTACCTGCCCAAGGCACGTAGTAGTGTATGTATGTATGTATGCAGTCAGTATATCTCGCCATCCACCTGTCGCCATGTCCACGAGAGGAGAGCCCATGCGGAAAAGGGACAAGAAGTGGCTCCACTAGTATCTAGCATCACGGAACCAGACCCACAACCAACTTATTCCTTCCAGAATGGGTTCGTTGGAGTGCCGATCCTCCCGCCTGTCTCCACTGGCACTCCACTTGTCACCACAGTGCGCACTGCCACAGTACAACTGCCACAACTGCCACAGAGCCACAATGCACAAAGCACATACCAACAAATGACTGAGCGCAACTGTGAAGTCCAACGGCTGTTTCCAGTGTTTTGAGTGTCTGCATTGCTAGGACCAATAAGCACAAGCAAAAGCAAAAGCAAAAGCAAAAGCAGAGGATAAGACAACCATCTCACCCGAAAACACAACCAAGATGGTCGACCCTTTAGATACCCATTGTGATTGTGAACCTCAGCTGCCGATAGTACTCTGCACAAACTTGAATTGTGCCATATGATACTGTACATGTATTGCACAATCCAAACTACTGACAAAACAAAACATGCCTCGATTCCTCGATGTCTCAAAAGCCTCAAATCACATTCCAGAGAAAGGAACAAGGGAAGAAAACCCTACTAGCACACAAAGTACCTCGTTCAAGTCGTTCCTCACTTAACCGAGATGCGTGACGCCTCGCTTAGAATTCTAGACCCCGCCAGCTTAAGCCCTATGGGTCTGGAACGTGGATTCTGGACCCGTGGTGGCCTCACCACTAGTCCCACTCTTTACTAGTACGGGGTAGATCTAGGCCCTGATGGACCCGAAATCGGCGCATGGCCCACTAACTGGGATCAAAAGAACCACTGGGAGGGGGCATTCTGCGTAAGACAAGGTCGGACATACTATACTACTCCTAAACTAGGTGCCTACTTTAGGTCGACTCCACTTCTTTATCGTGACTTGATACTTAGGTACCTTAGGTGTCTACCTAGGGAATAGACTTGGGTATCTTATGGTAAACAGGGAGCTGGTGGCAAAACCCACGAAAGGTACCTAAGTTATCATGATTCAGGTACTACTTACCTCAGGCAGGTAGTGGGACCTAGTCGGGGGTGTTTCTTTGCTAACCTTCTCTATCACTGTAGCTACCTACCTGCCTTAGGTACCTGAGCTAGCTATTTACCTACTAGTACTAGTACAAGACTACTTGCTGTTCTGCTGCGGGAACCCGGCTACTTTTTCCGCATCCCCTCATCCTATTCTGCCTGTCTGCCTGTCCGCTTTCCCATCCATCACCACTGCAGACAATGCACGGTGTTGCTAGCGAGTCAGCCATGAGGGAAGTAGACGAAACACTTGACACGGCCGCAGAAAGACACCACTGGGATGGCATGACTTAGGTAGTAGTAGCGAGTCGCGACCTCCAGGTACCTTGGTGGAACCGTTTTCACCCGATTTCGATCATCTGCCCAGGACATGGCATGATTGGCAAGTACTAACATTCTACCTTATTACCTAGGTACCTGGTAGGTAGGGAGATAGCCCCTAAGCCCTGCGTCACAAACTATACTGTCCTAATCGCGTTGACCCCCCACAGTGACTTCGACCAGACCTCTATTAGCTCTGTCGCTCTATCCCTTTCCCCCCTGCATGCGCCATCGTTGGCGGGATGCGAATCCAAGTTTCCTGTCCCTCTCCTCTAGATCTGCATCTGGCGTGTGGTGGCTGTGCCCAACTTGAACGTTTCCTGAGTTTTCGGGTCTGGGACATCCCGGCTCTCTCTTCTTCCTCCGCCCTGGCCGACTTCCGCAACCTACTACTAGCCCTTATCGACATATACCTACCTCTACCGACCTGACCGTCTTTTAGCTCGGTTCGCTTGGAGTCAAGTGCTTTTTTATATCTCAGCCGTTTTATCATTCTGACCACACCACATCATACCCATCTCGATGATCCATTACGTGCCTGCAGCGCATGGCAATGGCATGGTCTCTCCACTTCTCCCCGTCCTTGACAATCCTCGTACCGCTTACTTCCAAGGCTCAGGACTCAAAGTCTCTCCGCGTCCATGCTGAATGTTAAACCCAGATTGGAATCTGGATTAGGCGAGACAAGGCTTGTGCGCCAAAAGTCGGGTAGCAAGGCAACAAAGCATTGGCCGTCCAGCTTAGAAACTTTGTTGATCATCCAAACCTCGATTCTCGCTCTATCAACCCAGTCATGTCATTTGGTAGCGCCGAGTCTCAGTCTCATGGAAACTCTAACTCGTCTGTAAGTCCACTGTTTCGGCCACTAATCCAACCGTTTGTTCCTTCAGTCGCGCAATGCACAGTGCCTTCACCGACAACCGAGCCCGCCAGGAGTCCCATCCTGGTCCCAAAGTCTAATCGCTTCCCGGGATCGCGTACTGTGTAACCGCCATTTACAAACACATCGACAGACGGATGTATCATGGCTATTCCTTGGAATTCACGTAAAGTCGTCGATCATATTCCCGCACAAACATGGTGGCCCAAGTGGCCCCATGTGTAAAGAAGAGCTCGGCTCAAGTCTTCTGACAGGGACGCTAGTCAGCTGATGCTGAGGTGTGTGCGTGGATGCCGGAGGCCGGGTAATGCTTCTCATTTCCCAGAGAGTTCAGTCGTAATTATCGTCAACATTCGAATCGTCGTCACTGTCCTGTCCAGATTGACGCCGGCGGCGCCTTTGACCTTCCCGTGTGCCCTTCTTCAGTTTTAGCGGAAAGCCCGCGCCACGCTCCAGTAAACCCCGGACCAGATTCGTGCTGGGTTGTACCTGATCAAAGTCTTTGGCGTTGACCACTCGGAATACCTGACTGATGACTTGGTTGGTGCATGGAACACATGCCCCGGGGACCAGATTGCTATCGTCTAACCTCATGAGATCAAACCGCAGGCGATATTCGCCCGCTTTGCGCACCGAAAGATCGGCAAAGATGAAGAATGCTCCAGGGACTTGGTGTGCTTCTCTCCGTGCTCTGCCTGCAGAGCGCGACGAGGCGGGCAAAAATCTCGACGTCGGACTTGGTGGCGTCGGAGCGGGTTTGGGTTTGGTGATCGGATGAAGGGGCATCGTGGGAGGATCGGGATCATCCGCGGTCGGAGTCACGTTCGCAACATGAGTCCCCAGGAGTAGCCGATGCAACTCTGTCCGGCCGTCCTCTGTGATCAGAGGCATCGTGGTCACATTTGTGTCCGGAGACTGAGCAGCTACCAAGCTGCAATACACCACCCACCATTGGGTCTGCAGCTCGGCGACGTCTGATTCGGAATCCGGGTCGAAGTCGTCCATTAGTAGCTGCAAGATTGGAGGCGGGTCGATGGCTCTTTATACGTCAATCAGCCAGGGGAGGTCGTGAACACTGCAACGAATATACCTTCTGTCCTTTCCATCCGGCCCGGCACGAGCGGCTCTAGGCTGCTGTCTGATATAAAGATGGCACCTTCTGGCTGGCTCGTCAGGCGCATTCGACGCATCCGTTGGAGCTTCCACTCGTGGGGGTTCCAATGGCGCGAAGGCCCGCTGGCCGCCGACAGTTGTTGACGCATCTGATAACGAACTTCGGCTGCTGGATTGTGGATATATAGGCTGTTCTAGAGGTCTCCCAACAAGAGGTCCGAATGACGGCACACCATATGCCGGCCTGCAATCCATCAATAACTGAGTAGCTGGATTTCATAGCCTCGCTCACCTGGACAGCATCGGACTGGTGGCCTCGGAGGGCTGGGTCACAGAGGTCTGCACTGAATATTGTGATGGCTCCGAAGAAGAAGGAAAGGTAGGCCCATTATTGAGCGAGTGGAAACCCGCGAGGGCTTGAGGCTGTGGTAAAGTAATCGGGGCAGTGGGTGGGTTCGCCGCCCAGTAGGTCGGAGGGACATGGACGCCGCTTGGTGCTGTGTTCGTAGAAGATCGAGGGGCGTTCTCGTTCGTGTTCGCACGACTTCGAGATCCAAAATGATTTGGTTGCATCACCCGTGGCGTGGATTCATCAGACGTAGGAAGGTATGGCAAATGCTTTGGTGGAATGAATGCTGAGAAACAAGAGCGGTCGATTGCACAAAAGCAGTCATGGTCAGTCAATCGCGAAAGAGGTATTTCCTAGGCTCATGGCCGTGTACATAAGTGTTGCGAGACACGGCGACCCTTGTCGATGGAACCAATGGAACTATAACACCGAAAGACTTCAGATCTCCCCAGTGCTATGCATAGCTTGGCGTTCGCCAGCGGGCTGCCAGCCTGCCACTGACCTTCAGCTAGGGGATGGGCGGGCGCGATCTGGTGCATCAGGAGGGCGCCACAGACATGGTGTCTGGATACTTGCCAAACTGGAACCGATGCTGAGTGGCGTGACAGAGTTGACAGCGGAGACACAGCGGGAGCCATCGCTTAGAAGCTGTGCCGTTGCTGGGAGACTGAAATTTGGTAGATCTCGTGGGACGGGCCAGGAAAAGACGCGATCACCGAGATTCGGGACAAAGAGGCAAGAGAATAATCTGGTGGAACTCTAGTGGGTTGTGATGCGTGAGTTCGGCTGTGTACCAGCGATACCAATCGGTGATCCGCCCAGGTTGGGTCTCTTGCTGCGTTGTGGCCACTTATCTATCAGTACTAGCCAGTCGCCGATTTCTTGCCCAATGCACTGGCAGGGTTTGATATCTGCGAGCGGACGCGCAGGGGGAGGTAGGGGTCCTCAACTGAGCACTCGGTCCTCCAGTTGCGCCCGTGCTGCCGTTTCAGCGTGCCAGATGCTGCAAGCATCGAGGCTTCGGTCAAGCTTCAAGGAGACAGGGATGGGAGCGAGGCATAAATACGTGGAAAGGAGGAAACGATCTGGAAGCAGTCCATTGGCGATCCTTTGCAGTCCAGGTGCGCCATTTGTGCGAGCGTAGTCATCATTAGATAGATCCGTCAAGATCGTACATCGCCAGGGGACGAGGAGGTGTGCAGCTTCGTGACTGGGACACTTTATTCTGTGAGAGTCACCATCTTCCATCTTGCATCTTTCCCTAGGTAGCCTTGACTGACTTGTCCATCAACTCAAGATCAGTTGTGTCAGTGGCACTCGGGAAGGCGCATACTGTTGGCTCGGTGGGATCCTCCAGCCGCGTAAGAGCTGCGAGCTGTCATAGCAAGGAACCAGACAGAGATCGAGTGGTACAGTGGAGGAAAGGGTGAGCGGTAAGCGGTGGGGAGGGCATATTCCGGGCATGTTGCGTAACAAGCACGTTGGACCTTGGTCGAGAAGGCTAACAACGGTAACGGTAAATGATAGGGTAAGGTACGTAGTAACATACCTGTAGCCAGAGGGTGGACTGACTGATGGAAACTTGAAGTGGAAGGGAGGAGACAGGCCGCGTACCAAATTGGTTAGGCGACATGTGGAGAGTTCAAGCTTCGAGTTCGAGTGGATTTGCAGCCTGACAACCACTGCAGTCCGCTACTATGATCTGTGGAGCGCAGCCACTGCAGTGCAGTGCGCAGTCTGCGAGATGACAGAACAAGTTACCTGACAGTGGACTGGACTGTACATACGTACTACCTGCCGAGCTGCCTACCTAATATACAACCCAGGCCCACGCCGGCGCTGGGTCTTAGCCCATCGATTTTTAGCGATCCGATCAGCCATATGCTATGCGGGCCTGCAAATGCAGTAGAGATGCGACTAAATCTGCGATCAGAGGTACGACACATTGCACGACGATCTATCTCTACCATTGTTAATTCGCCGGTAACCTGAATGTCTCAAGGATGAGGACCGGGTGGTACTGACAACGCAGAACCAAGCGAGAACATACCAGCTGATCAGCTGAATGGACGTCGTCTAAGGTGTCTGAAGGTGATGTAAGTTCTTCAACCGCACCAAAGCAGCAAAAAGATTAGGCTACGTGTACAGGGGTAGTAGGGAGGTTCTCACTTGGTCTGCCAACCTGCCCCGCGCTGGTTGCGGCTTGTGAGTCTGCATCAAGACATCGTCAGCATGACAGCGCCCATCCCGAAACCCAGGATACCAACAACCACTTCAAAGCCACAGCCCAACAGTGAGTTACTGATGAGCATTAAGCGGTGAGCCGGCCTGACGCCAATGCTTGTACCAAAGTGCGGCGTGTAGTAGACTTGACACTATCCACGACCTTCTCCAATACCACGGTGGTCCCAGAAGTGCCCTTCCTGCCTACTTCAGGGTCCCTTCGATGTCCGGCAAGCAAAACAAATCATAGTCCTACACCGTAATTGACGAAGTAACCCTCAGTCGGCTTCTCAACTACTACTACACTCGTTGGGTCAAAGGCTCCGGCAATGGGCGCAGGCAGGCGCAGGCTCAGGCTCAGGCTCGAAGGTCACTATGAAACATACAAGCCACCTGAGAGCTGGTCAAAAGGAACAGGATTACCAGTATGCATGACCGATGACCACGACCGAAGGTCGTGCAAGATCTGAAGTCGGTTATCTGCCTCGATCGGAGTCCATCGATCACAACTCTCCAGCTCACGACAGGGCTAAGGGTCGGTCGGACGCCCATCACACACGAGCAACACGGCCTATACAAGCATGCAGGGCGGCAGCACACAGTCATTCATAAGATGAGCGAAAAGATGAGGTGGACTGTCATACTACTGAGAGTCGGGTCAATGAGCCGTCCAAAGGTGGTCAAGAATCAAGGTCTGTTTCGAGATTCCAGGCCTCTCAGAATGCGTGCATTGCATGAGCAGGGATATACATGCTTTCACTTTCGTACTCGGCATCACAGTGGCATCAGGCTATTCACACCTGACCGCAAATCATGTCTAGATGGCTAAATGTACATGCGCCTTGCTATCGCCGTACTGTGTACTTGTACATTAAGGTTCTCTCCCAACGGCAAGGTCCCTTCGCACGCTTTCAGTCACCGCGGTCCTTTCTTCTGCTCCGCAAGCTGGGGACACTGTCAGAAGGAGCCTTATCAGTCACTAGTAGGGATCACTGAGGTCAGGTTCTAGTCAGGGCGCCAGTGACAGCTGCAGGGGAGTTTCATCTGGTTAGACTGTACTGTTCGCCGAGTTCCACCAAGTCACACATGCAGTGCAGTGCAGTGTTGAGTTTGAAAAGTCCCAGATCTACATGTCTGACCGGCATCTCAAGTCGCATCTCATGTTCCCAGAGAAATGGAACTCTGCAGCTTTGTCCTTTTCTAGCGTCTGCATCGACTTTAGTCACACTCGACCGCCATTATACTTCAGCGAATCAACCATGTCGCCAGCACGTACCTTGGCTCTGACAAGTGACCGCAAGCAGCCCATACAGAAGACAAAGTGCTAGAAGAGCTAAAGGACAGCTTCCACAGCCTGCGAGGCCCCAGATGAATTCAGAGTCCCATCCGCTGTTCCTCCCTCGACCTTTCTCCCTTCGATCGGGTCCAGACTGAATCTCCTACTCCCGAGATGCTGGGTTGGCTTTTAAGTTGCTGCCGCCGTCCTTCAAAGTCAAACTGAAACTCAACCGGAAAAAGATAACCAAGGGCGTGGGTTTGCAACAGAGAAAAGCCAGGGGTAGCAGCTGTCAGATGGCACAAGCGATCCGACACAGCAGGGCGGGGGTCAGCGTTCAAAGGTTCCCTTCAACCACAAGCATCCCTCGTCCTCACCTCACACACGAGATGGTGCTCCTGGCTGCCACTCCATACTACTTGCTTGGTACCGGCAAATGATGCTCTTATGACCCCTTCGAATCACGGCCTGCCCCTTGCTTCGCCCACATCTGACCAAATTGCTGTCTAGTAAGTCCTTGGACGGATCGCAAGGGTCTGCCCCTAAATTCGGCAAATCTATCAGTGGTTCTATGCCGAATCTCTCTTGATCAAAATTCCCGGAGTCTTGCTGCAAATGACGAGCTGATCTGAGGTGTACAACAAGTATTGAGCAGCCGCGGGATTCCCATGGCGTCTCTTGCCCAACACGACCCTGCACTAACTTTGTTGAATCTCTTCATACCTACTCAAAGCTTTCTTTGCCGTCACAGCTCTCTTGCTGCCTGGGTTGATCCTGGCCAATATCGAAGAAAGCTCCCGCATCTGGCCCCGCTGGAGGCCTGCGGCTGACATTGTGCCAAAAAGCTTCCGAAAACCGAACTTCTGGTTCAGCAGTAACTTTTCTAGAGCCGGGTCCACGCCCACGACTCAATTCCATGAGCACTTCCTGCAACATGGCGGGCGCCTCGACTCAGCGACCTTGCCAACTGCATGCACGCAATGCCCGAGCGCGATCACCGATCTCAGCTCTCGTACATCTCTTCACCGCCGTGAATCCTGCATCAGCCATGAAGAATGGTTCTCGGGTCTCGACCTGGTCCAGCGCGGCACTGACCCGTATCGACAGACACCCATGCCCGCTCGACCTTCCTGTCCTTCCTCCTTGCCCTTGCCTGACGCGTGAAGCCGGCAGGAGTCCGTCCGCCCCATTGAACATTGAATTCATGGAAGAAAATTCAAGCGATGATGTGTCAAACATGATCTTTCTGCGTGCATCAGTCTATGCCAGACTTAGCACCACCAGGAACCCCTGGACAGCGCTGACAGGGCACATGCCTTGAGTTCCCTTGGCCGTATTAAGCCATTACTACCGCGCTGGCAGCGGAATCCACACGCCCTTCCGTCAGAACTCTCGTTCACTAGTTTGGATAGTTTGCATTGCCGTGCAGAGATTCGGATCAGCATGCAAGAGAAGGGAGAAATAGGGGAAAAGGAGAAGAATTTTCAACTCCGTGCTTACTCGATCAGGTTTCCATCGAGGTCTCGAACACAGATGCTCCGAAGCTTGCCCTGAGCTCCAGTCCTGCCCATTACCTGACCCGCTTCAAGGACTGTGATGTATTTCTTCCGAGGTCGCTTCAGCACCTCATCCACATCATCTTCACGAAGAAGCACAGGTTCCCCCCTTCCACCCGGAGGGAAGGGTGCGCTCCTCGAGGACAAGTCGCCTAGAGGGGGGAGTAATTGTCATGAATCGGGTGGACTCCCCGTTATGTCAAGATATCGACTACAGACCCAGAATTACTAGGCACAATACCTAGGATTGAAGTCCCCTTTGCCAGGGCGCTCCCTGGGTGAGTGGTGGGTCTGTTCGTGACATTATCCTAGGCTTTGTACAAACAACATGACAGAAGGATCCTACCTCTAGGTAGGTAATTTTATGTCCACTAGAAATACGTAAATTCACCATAAGACCATTCTTCACGATTGTCCGCCCATCTATTTTACACACGTTCAACGACTAGCATACTGCCCGTCAAGGCGTAAAGTGAACAAACATGCTGTGTGGTAGTCCTGGCTTGCGAGAGTTCATCTCGAGTTAACGCGATTAGTCAGTTATGTGTCCCATTCCACGCACAACAAACCCGAGTTGAGCCAGACCAGAACAAGAAACGGACATCTTCGAAGTGCCAGTGACTGTTGGAACCGTAATGTTCAGGGAATGAAGCGCGAGGGATATGGAGAAAGCCAGCCCCACGTCATCAGACATTCACAAACGTGGCTTTCCGTTGCCATTTCGTCGTCCGCGTATGTCGGTTCATAAGTCTTCCACGGTATTCTTGAAGCGAGGTCATCTTCGGCTTGACGTCCGGGAGTCGAGGCTGCAGTCGAGGCTGTCTCGGTCTTGTTCTGGTAGAGGAGGTTGTAGTTTTCACGGACCCCGGATGGGTTCCTTCACATCGGTTGATGCTGGCGACCGCGATGGGCTTCTCTGGAGCTCGTGCGATTGTGCTCGCAGCAATTGTTGTGATCGGTTCTTCGGGTGATGTCGCCTTCTGCTCGGGCAGTATGGCCGAAGTGTCCGTGGGATCGTGGACGGCGTCGAATACAGGGTACATGTAAGCTGGAGATTCGTCGTTGACCACCTGATGGGATGCGTGATCCTCCTTCGAGGTATGTGCTTCGACGACTCCAGCAGCGGACATATCTGGTTCGGGAAGTGCCTGCAAAACTTCTTCTTCTTTGGTAGCTAATCCGGCGTTCAGTGGAGTGTTCGGGTTACCCGTAGAATTGTCGGTCGTGTCATTTGCAGTGTCTCCGGGGGCGTGTCCAGGTGAAGTCGCTGTCGCCGCCGGCAATTCCTCGACCGTGTCGTCTCCTCGATTCGTCGTTCCGATTTCGGTAGACCCCGCTACCGGATCTTTCTGACTCAATTCTGTCGTCTGCGTCACCGCAAGCGTTGAAGGTCCAGCTTCATCTGTTTCCTTCTCCACCCGTACTTCTACAGGCGGCGAAACAGCTCCCGACTCCGACGGCGTCACACTGGCCTCCGGGGCCTTGGCCGTCTTGTTCTTCTTCGTTCTCGAGCTTCGTGAGAACGGATTTGCTGAGCCCAGAACTTGTCGCGCGGCCGCCTTGCTGCTGAGAACCTCGGGCGCATCATTTTCTCCATCAGTGTCGGGTACCTCCAGATTCACACCGCCGGGCTGGCTCGGCGTCTCTTCCTGCAGACCTGTGAGGTCGAAAGTCGAGTCGTCGAGGCCCTCGCTGTCGAAGCGTTTGCGTTTATTCGTAGTCATGGGCGTGAAGTACGATTCTGTGGCTTTTGGACGTTCAGGGAGCTCGGCGTTCATGTCGGAAAGTAATTTTGCACCAGAGACGGGAGAGCTCCTTGCACCATTGGCTGGCGAACCTTTCACAGGGAAATCATGGCCATTAGCGGCGTTTCCCTTCTGTGACTGTTTCGGGATCACAACCTCGACATGCTGGCCACGAGGGACGTCTGCTTCAAGAGACGGGCCATTCTGTTGAGAGACCGTGTCTTTAAGAATGTTCCGCCGCCCATCGTCCGACAAGACATGGAAGGTGGATGTGCGGGCGGGCTTTGATGTTGCTGGAGTGAAGTAGCTTGGGCTGTTGCCCGACGGCGTCGGTGTAGCTGTGAAGAGTGACCGGCCGTTCTGTGAGGCGGATGATGTGGGAGTTTCCTGTATCCTCTTTTCCTGGGATCTTGTTGTCACCATGATGCAAGGAACGTCTAGTCCGGTGAAGAGCGAGTGAGATGCAAGAAAGTCTTGAAATAGCTGGTGTTCGAATTTTGGTCGTGTGGCCCTGCAAAGGGTGCAAATACGAAGCCTTCGGACGCGAAGACGGTGACAGCCAGACAGATATTGAAGGATTTCATAAAAGTTCGCGGCCGAACCATTCATTGTTATCTAATCTAATCTAATCTGACTGCAGTATATATTGATTCAATCTAATCGGGGTAACTTACAACTTACTAATAAGTAATCCAACCTACTATCATGTATTGGGTGTATACCATTACAAAGTCTTCTATTATGTCGCGCTTTAAAATGAAGCAACCAAGTAAGATAATGTGTCATGGAAGGATACCTTCCGGGTTGTTGACAGCGGTCATGAAATATCATTCCATCTCCTGTTCATAGATATTCGTAGACTCATGTACTATTCATTAAGTGCCTGGCATTCACTTCTGAAAACGCTTCGTACTAGGGGTATTGTGCGTGAAGAAAAGGCACCTCAGGATGAAACCACTGCCTGAAGATATCCTCCTTCCTTCTTTGCCATGTCACGACGAATTCGTGACGAGATTGTCGAACAACAGGGATCGTGGATGGGGTGGCGCTCTCTCTCTCTCTCAACATGCCCCATTCCTCCCTGTGACGGCCCTCACGGCCAGAGCCTCGATGCGGCGCGCATACAGATCCATTGCATGAACGACTGGGTCGCCAAAGATGACTTGTCGCAATTGCTCGTCCTTGACGATGGATGCCGTCACATCAGCTTCCTTCCCACCATCCGGCACGCGCAGGACTATCAAGCGGCCAGCATTCGATAAAGTCGCGGGCGGTACTTCCCACCATAGTTTGCCGGTTCCCAAGGCAGGCTTCGATTTATTCGGCTTCTTTGATGGCAGCAATGACAGATCGAGTCGAGACATTGAAGCTCCCAGCACGGTCAAGGGAGAAGTTGACGGACATGTTGTTATTGCAGGACGCTGCATCTTGACTTTGGGTTTGTTGGCAGCCAAAACCGGAACCGGGCTGGCGAGAAGATCAACGAGACTCTTGACGTATGCTCTTTCAGCGCGGACCACTGGATCGCCTTCATTGATGAAGCTGTGGAACAGACATTTGCGTAGTCGCCCGTCAGCGGTCTCGGGTTTTTGTAGAGGCAGCAGAGTTACAGGCGGCGCACCAAAGGTGATGCAGTGGACTCTCTTGAAGCAGCCTGTCAAGATGTTGAGTTCTGACTGCACAGTCTCGGCGAGCATGTGGGCGTATAGAAGACTGGCGACCGCCCCGCCCGCACTGTGGCCAGTGATCAACAGCGAACAGCTGGTCCGGTTGGGGTTCTCTTCCAGAAGATACCGCAGCCTTGCAGCGATAGGCTTGATCATCGCTTTGGCAACCTTCAGAAACCCCGAGTGGCAGAAGTTGCCTTGGTCGTCGAGAAACCCCGCCGGCGACACGAGTTCGGTACTCAGGTTGACGCCCCAGTCGCGGATGCTGAGCATACTGGTCCCGCGGATCGCGAACACGATCGTCTTCCTGTCATCGCACGGTATCGACTTGACTACCATGGCTTTGGTGCCGAGTCGGTTGTCGGCCGAGACGAAATCCTTCCGTTCGACAGCCGAACGCGGCGAGTGATACGCGCTGGCCGAGTACTGTGCTGCCAGGCACAAGAGGGGATATGTCGGCATGTATATTCGTAGAGGCGGCAGGGTTGCAGGCAGTCGGGAATTCATGTATAGCTCGACTTTCGAGAACACATTGACTTGCTTCGACTGACTCCGTGGGTGAGCCCTATCCTGCCTGACCAACGCCCTGGCAGTGGCTGACTGATGCGCTGTGCTGTATATGGGAGCGTCATCCCCATGACTTGAGTAGTCTGGTATTGTTATCGCAAGGTCTCCCGCAGAGCCGAAAAAGGCCTCTTCGTCAATCAGGGATATCACGTCGCCCAACTTGTCTCCAATCTTATCTTGCAAGTCGTGGTTGGCGGACCAGACCGGGTACGAGGCCGCATATCCTGTTTGCGGTTGCGGCTGCGGCTGCGGCTGCGACCAGGTATGATGTGGCTGCAGAGGCCTTGGACTGTACGCTGGTTGCGGGTTGTGAATCTGGGGCAGGGAAACCGTGGAGCCAATGTGAGGCCTTGGGCCAGATGCGGCATAGAGACCCTCGTGCTGGGGCCACACAGCATGAGGCTCCTGCTGCTGGAAGAGAGTCGTCGACGGGTTCAGTGCGTACGGAGGAGAATCGGACGGCGTGGAATAGACAGGAGCAGTTCCACCAGTGGCAGCCCCATACTTCCGTCGTCTGCGCGCTTCACTGAAGAAGAAGGGCATGGTGTCTGCTTTGGTCAGTGGCCGAGATGCATCGCAGTCGTTGACTCGGTTTCGACATCACAGGGAGGCTGTCGTCCTTTTCTTCTTCTCTCTGACGAGGAAGACTTCTGCACGGCTCGGCTCAGGTCACATGTCGACGGGAGAGAACAATGTCATATACGCCCGTTCCCGCCGAGCCTCTTCTTCCGCCTTGTCGCCTTGTATCGACCGGCAAGTCAAGAGGTGGGAGTTGGCCAGTCGTTATCAATCTTCCGTCAACGCCCATCCGGCTCACTCGGCGCCCGGCGTCTGCGCCACGATCGGGCTCCAATCGCAAGGCGAGGACGACATTTGGCTGGCAACCACTGAACAGTGGACGAACGCTGAACGACCCATACACAGTCAACTACTACGGTAGGTACTTTACACCATAGTACTTGCAGGTACAGTCTGGCGCATGGATTATTACAGTAGGAACACATTGGGCTCGAGGACTACAAGACCAAAACAGCGACACAATATTTTGCAACAGTTTCCTTGTTCAACAGTCTCTGGATACCTATCATGGCATGCCTGATCTTTAGAGCTGCTTTCAGCCTCCCGTGGTTGGGTCTATCCACGCTCATACTTCACAATCCTGCTTGAGCAGGATGCCTGCTGGAAACGCTGGAAGTAGAGAAGAGACCCATTGGGTGCCTAGCCTGCGTACCACCGGGTAGGCCATTGTTGCAACAACAAAATCTCTCTCGTCAGTTGGCGTTTAGTGTTGAGATCGAGATGTTGGCATCTCACACCCTGGTCGGTATCGAACCCAGGCTTTCTGTGATATCGTAAGGATCGGCCCTTTCGTCTCGACGACTGGCGGCCGTCGCTTGGGTGAGCAGAGAGCGGCCCCGAAGCTTGAAAGATTGAGGGTGCCAGATCAGGCGATGAGACCACGGCGCTATCTCTGTTTCGAATGCTTCCGCGACGAGGATTGCACGAGTCCGTCGACTTCCATCGTCCCGCTGTTGGGAAGCGGCTATAGCTGTTCGAAGTACTTCGTTCGAAACATGCTCGTTGTGGGAGGAGATATGCCCAGGCCATCCGACCGAATTCTGACTGCCGTCCTGGCGAACACCAGCCTTGATCACTCCAGGCTGGCTGTCCGCGTGGTACCATTGATTCCGGAACGCACCACTTTCCTTTCAAGTCGTGAACAGCGTGTCTTCTTCTCGCAGGTACTCGCCCACGTCTGCCTGTCGGAATGCCACAACTGAAGTAGGTTCCAACTTCCTCGCCTCGGCGGTCGACCGCGCAGTAACGCCAAACCCAAGCGGCGTGTCATCCATCGCCAGAATAACCACCCCGGAATGCTCAGGACAATCTTCGCTCCACCTTCCAACATGTGCTTTCACAACGTTCCCTCCATACAAGAATGGCATCTCGCCATTCGGCTTGATCCATAGCTTATATCTGGCATGCGGTGCGATCACATCCAGTGCAGTTATATGCAGTCTGAATTTGCCCGTTTTTGTGAACTTGCCTATGCAGGTGCCGAGAGAGAGGAGGTTGTCGCGGGCAATCGATGTTGCCAAATTCGCGATCGATAAACGGACATAATACACTCGAGACTCGTGGAGGCGGAAAACGTGGCGATCATCGTCGCCGCCGGTAGAATCACTCGGTGCGATCAGTTGGGTCAGCGAGCGCCCAGTGTAGTTGGCAAGTTTGCTGAAGAGCGTTTGTGTCTCCACATCAGTGAGAGCCCTCATTTCGAATGTGCAGATGTGGCAGGAAAGGATAAACGGCCCGACGGTTGTTATACTTGGGCAGCAGGAAAACAGGGTAGAGACGCAGCCCGGGAGACGTGAGAAAAAATGTCGACCATCAAGAAGTTCCAGATAAATAAAATTGGAGTCGCAGGCGGAGTCGGAAGCAACCGCAGCGAGTCGGAGTACGAGACCCAATCACTATCTCCGACTTGGCATGCTCTATCTCCGCTACGGTCAAGAAATTTTGGTGATAATGCGGATGCAGGCTTGAATTGAAATAGACTCTTTCCCACTGCGAGAGCCATTCAAACATCTGCCGCCATGCCTCACGGACGACCGGCCAAGCGCAGACGGATTACACCTCCAATCGACGACAGCAAACCCTCTGAAACAGTCAAGTCATCTGACCTTTTTGCACGAGCAGCGGACTGGGATCTCGAGCAAGAGTATGAGCAGAGGCGGCGGGGCAAGAAATCCAAGGAATCCAACAGGTTGCCCATCAAGACCGCGGAAGGACATGTTCAACGTGTGAAAGAGGAGGCTACAAAATCTGAAGATGACTCAGACAGCTTTCTAGGTTCTGGTTCCGAGGATGAGGGCGGCGACGAATCAGCTGAAACCCCTCCAACTGAGGCAGAGTCTGTAGTACAGATCCCTTTGAAGCAGCAGATTGTAGCTGCAAAGGAAGAGATTGCTCGAAATGCGGGGCTGTTGAACGAGGATCCGGAAGAACATGCGGGCTCATTCAAGAAGCTGGCACAGATTGGCGGTCCAGGCTCGCCCGTCGCCGTGCAGAAACTGTCCCTTGCTGCGCAAGCCGCCGTCTACAAAGATGTTATACCTGGCTATCGGATACGATCCTACAAGGATGAGGACCTTGGATCCAAGGTGTCGAGGGAGGTGCGGCAAACCAGACAATATGAACAAGCTTTGGTGACCGGATATCAAGTATATGTCAAACGTTTGAGTAGCCTGGCAAAGGTTAGGAAAGGGGATCAGGATGCCCTGACGCTGCGAAGTGTTGCAATCAGTTGTGTCTGCACGCTGCTATTGTCCGTGCCCCATTTCAACTTCCGCACCGAGCTGCTGAACGTCTTGGTGCGCGAGTTAGCCAGCAGAGAGGCCACTCCAGACTTTAGGAGATGTGTTGAGACACTGGAGAAATTCTTCGAAGGGGACGACGATGGCGCGCCGTCCCTGGAAGCTGTTGGTCTTTTGACAAAGATGATGAAAGCAAAAGACTATCGAATTAGGGAAGAAGTTTTGAACACTTTCTTCCACCTCCGTCTTCTCGACGAGCTGTTGGGCCCGACTTTGAGCAGGTCGGAAAGACGAGAAGATATCTCCAAGCTGCATGGAAAGAAGGTGAAGAAAGAAAGGTTTGAGCATCGCTCCAAGAAAGAAAGGAAGCTCGCCAAAGAGCGGAAAGCGGTGGAGAAGGATATGCGCGAGGCCGATGCGATTGTCAACTACGAAGAGCGGGAAAAACTTCAGTCTGAGACACTCAAACTCGTCTTCATCACGTACTTCCGTATCTTGAAGGCCAGAATCCCGGAGCTGATGGGCGCCGTGCTGGAAGGGTTGGCCAGATACGCACATCTGATCAACCAGGATTTCTTCGGTGACATCCTGGAGGCGTTGAAGGACATTATCAACCAAGCCGATGCAGTGTCGAAGGGGGAATTGGATGAGGAGGATGAAGACACCGCCGACACCTCCCAGGAAGTTGATGGCGAGACGATTCGCAACCGGACCCGGGAGAGCCTCCTTGCCACACAGACGGCGTTCACACTCTTGTCAGGCCAAGAAGTCTCCAAAGCCGCCTCTGGTTTGCACCTCGATCTGTCATTCTTCACGGCCCATACCTACCGGTCACTCTATCCACTGAGTCTTGATGCTGACATTGAGTTGGGACCCAAGTCTCTTCGCTTGCCAGACCCTCATGCCGCAAAAGCCTCGGAGAAGCCCAGCATGAGAGTCAATGTTTCAACTCCAATCCTCCTCTTGACGCGTGTCCTGACCTCGATCCTACTGACGCCATCTCAGCCGCCCCCTACGGTTGCTGCCGCCTCATTCTTCAAACGTCTGTTGACTGTATCGCTGCAATTACCAGAAAAGTCCGCCTTGGCGGTTTTGACTCTCTTGGCCAAGATTGCAGACAAGCACGGTCGCAAGATTGAAGCACTATGGTACAGTGACGAAAGGAAAGGGGATGGAATTTTCCGAGGGGAGAGTGAGAGCATTGAGGGTTCCAACGTGCTTGCGACTGGCAGTGGAACATGGGAAACCGAGCTGTTGAAGAAGCATTTTTGTCCAAAGGTCAGGGAACAGATGACGGCGATTCACAAAATCGTTGCCGGCTTGCATAGGTAGCATCCTGACTGGATATGCATAATGCTGTTGGATTACGTGTCCGGCGAACGTCCTGAGCCCCCAAATTCATGTATAGTTTTTATCAACCACAGCAGTTCACTTCAGCCCAGTTCCGGTTGAGATTGTTTGCATCTATGGGCACTGACCGAGAGCACCCATCCATTGTGTTATGTCCGCCACCAGTTTCGGCGAGCAAAGGCCCTCGACATTGCAAGTGATACACCATATGGCGTTGGTTGCCGGGTGGATATTCGACGATACTTCTGTCCAAGTACCCAAGACTATACCTCGAGGAAGGAAGCCTCATAACTGTAGACCGTGCTTTTTGGCGAGGACATGACATGGAGCAGGCGACGCAGCGATGCAATCTAATCTCTGCTAATAGTGTCGATGCTGCTCAGCCGACACTGCTCATTTTGATGTTCAGCCTTTTCTTGACTGACAGGCCAATCTTGGGAAAGGCTGCGGAACCCCATGATCCGGGGATGACAGGGACACGGTGAAACTTGTTGCCAGGCGCTGGAGATCCCAAGCAAAGCGGTAGCTCACGATCAAAGAATGAGCAACGCCACCTGTGGCGTGGATAGTGGTTTGAGAGATCGATGGGAGGCTAACATGGAAATAAGCTGGATGGCACACATTAGCTGGCATTAGCTGTTCATAGACCGACGTCCCAACAAACCCAGCATGCCACTGTCAGTCCTTGTTTTCACATGTCGCTGGATTTGCCCTCTTTTCTCCTCTTCTCCCCACCCAATGGGCACATGGGAGAATTCCGCCGAGATCCAGATTTCATGCAGCAGAAGCGATGGATGATGGACTGCATTGCGCTATGCGTATCTCAAGTCCCACGAGCTTGACGGGTGCCGGATTCCGATTGAAGCATAGGGAGCACCGAGGTCATTCCTTGTCCCACTTCCCACTTCCCACTCAACACTATGCTCAGTGCTCAGTGCACGCGCCTGGGGATAGCCTGGAGATGGAGGTCCGAGCCATACGTAAGGGAGAGCTCGGAGGCTGCGCATATCTGTGGTCTGACGGCCTGACAGCTCGATTCAAAGTTTCCAGCTTGGTCTTCGAGTTCCTTCTTGTGTGCTTTGTTGTGTGTTATAGAACACTGTGACCATCGTCCTGAAGCAGCAGACTTTTGTTTATAAGAGTATCCCCAGCTTCGAGCCTCGAGTGATCTTCTTCCCTCCCTCAGTTCCAGGGTCCATCCTCGTTCTGACCAGGAACCCACAATTTCCGATAGCAATCCGTGTGAACTGGTATGTCGATCTCACCGAAGGCTGAAGCCCTTGTATCGTTCAAGTGCGTATGACCAGACCGCTAACAATGTGTTTCAGACCTTTCGCTCTTCTCAACTGTCATCGTCGCTCCAAGTGCAGGAACTTGTGAGTCAAGGAAGTTCGAGTAGGCCAAAGACACATCTAGAATAGCAGAGTGAGATATTCCGGTAATATCTCTACGATACTCTAGGTGAGACTCTGCCATTTCCGAAGTTGTTCTCTTGCGTTGTTGCGTTGCTGCTCTTTCTCCAAGCGTGGCCAGTTGGCGGGTGGGTGGTGTCGCTTGCAGGAGGAAGGTGTAGGTGACTCGTGGTTGGCACCGCATGACAGTCCGAGGAATGCAGCCGGATGGGATGGGATCTTTGGGCGTATTCGTGTGTCTCCTACGCTTCTTCGAGCGAGTATGGCCAAGGAGCAGTGCGTGAATGGATGCTTAACACGCCTCGCCGGGCAGAGTGATACTGGTCAGTGTCACTGCCGCAGTTACAAACGTCGCCGTCACAGCCATTTCTTCCTGCGGCGGCAAACAAAACAAACGAGCGCAGCAGAAGTGCGAATCTCATCTGTCACCATCGTTCAATCACTTCTGCAGCCTGATGATACATTCCTGCGAGCATTCTTGATGCTGATCAGGACACGCTGACCGTTAAATCCACAGACTCTTGGATCCCAACAACACCCATCTCCTCTAACTGAACAACGTTGCGCCTGGTGCTCTGGCCGTTGTCCTCTGACTTGATCATTGAATCTTGCATTTCCAATTGTACTTATCTCTGTCCGCATTCTTCGGACACCGTCACAAGAAACCCAAACAACAAAATTCCGACACAAACAACAAAATGGTCGCAACTACGATCACTTTCACCAAGCCCGGCGTACAGGCCCCAGTTTATGTTGCTGGAGGCTTCACAGACTGGCAACCCACTGAGATGAACTATGAGGCAGTGGAAAAGGACGGAGTGGTCGAGAACCATTTCTCCTACACCGCCGACCTTCAACGCGGTGAATATCAGTACAAATTCCGACTTGGACCTGGCGACTGGTGGGTTCTTGATGAATCCACCCCAACTTGTATGGCCTACTCAGATCGAATAAATTGCAAAGACTCTTCGTGACTAACCCTGCCTTAGCGGACGATGGTGTCGGAAATATCAACAACCTCCTCATTGTGCAACCTGAAGAGACCAGACTTCCCGCAGATACGCCCGCTGGACGGGAGGCGGAAGTTCCGGTTTCCACCAGCAGTGTTGGAGACACTGAGAGCCCAACTGAGATATCGGCCGAGGAGGAAGCACCCAAGGATACTCCTCCTGAACATGAACCTCAAGCAGCAGCGACCGCCCCACAGACGGCCGTTGAGAACTTTGATGGAACCAAAGAAGACACCATCCCAGATATCGCGCCTCCTCCGTACGAAGAGCATCATGCTGCCCCTGCGTCTGCAACTTCCCATGAGACAGCACCTGCAGTGAGCATTGGCATTGAGAAAAAGCCATCAGACTCTGGCGCAGGGACAGGGACAGGGACAGGAACAAAAAGTGTCCAATCCGAAATCAAACAGACTGTCCCTTCGTGGTTTACGCAGAGGTGAGTTTTACATCTTCTCCGTCGTCCTGAAATTCATACTGACCTGCTGTGAAACAGTCCGGTGTTGGTTGCCGCTATCATCGCGGTGCCTGTCTTCATCTCTTACATCTGGTATCGATAGGATGTCACTCGGGTTTTCCAGCAGATAGCGGTCTCCCAGAACCTTTGAACCCTTCGTGGCTTGCTCCAGCACGGCGACAATTCAGCCGGGCAGATGCCGAACCTTCTATTCTAATTATATTATTTCCTACCTGTCAACTTGTCACAATGGAGTCGGCGTTCAAAATCAATTCAGATGCACGCACTGCATTTAACTAAAGCGTTCCATATTATTGTGCTTGTTTTTCTTTTCCATATGCCTCACGTTTCTTCATTTGAATCATTCAACTCGTGGATTTCTATCCATCCATCCATTTGAGAAGTCTCGATTCCATTCTTCACAACTTACAAAACGTCTCCACAGCACTCTTGGTCTCGTCCTTCGTCTCCTTAATCAGCCCAGCAACCGCCTTGAAACTGGGATCCTTTGCATCGCCCAAAATCTCAAACAATAAGCTCTCGCTCGTCGTCACCACGCACCCTTCCCTCGCCAGCCGCGCCAACGCCACAGGCCTCTCGCCCGCGTTGCAGCTCGACACCCCGTCCTGCAGAATATACACCCTGTGGCCGTGGGCCAGCAGGTCCAGCGCCGTCTGGGTCACGCAGACATGTGTCTCGATGCCGACGATGATCACGCTGAGTCGGCCCTTTTCGGGCCGTGGGAGTTGAGCGCTCAGTTCGGGGACCAGCATGCTGAATGCCGTTTTGTCGATTTCTTTTGTTTTTGTCGTCGTAGTAGTGTCTGAGGAAGAGGATGTGGAAGTGGAAGTGGATGAAGGCAAGGCCGGGAGGAGGTCGGTGAGTTCCGAGACGGTGGAGCCGAGACGGGCGGCGTTTTGTGTCGTTATGTAGATTGGAATATTGAGGATTTTGGCTATAATGGCACAAATCAATGTTTGAGGTCGTTACAAGTGTTGGGTAATGTGGAAGCATGAGGAGTGATGAAGCCTGAAGCTGGACTAGGCCCCCGTTTCTTTTCTTTTCAGGGTATGACTTTTCGGGGTGGCTGTGAGTTGGATTGTGCGCTTGAGGTACATAATATGATGTGATGTGGTGTGATATGGGATAGGTGCTTGAGCGACAGAACGATGTGTAGGAAGTTCCATTGCCTATCAACTGAGATGTCGTCTGTGGAATAGATAGGAAGCGTAGATTGGAAGACAACTTACCTGCTTTGACCATTTTCTGGCTGGTAGCGATCCTATACCCCAGAAAGAGAGGAGTGACATTGTCAGTGATATTGCTCGAAATGTTGAGAGAGAGAAGTTTTCATGTCATCACACCGTATACTCCGCCATGTGAATCAATGACAGTGACAGTGACCATATATCCAAACAAGCATGAGAAGCGAGCAGAAGCAGATGTGGAACGACAAGAGCACGCAGGTGGTAGTGGTAGAGGCACATACACTTTCGGAAACTCCCAGATCGCAGAGCGGAACTTCTCTTGAATATCGCACAGACTGTAGGATGAACGGAAAGGGCGTCAAGTCAGCTGAGACAATTCAAATTCAGTGAATCGTGATCAAGATCAACAATTAGAGTCTGGCTGTGGCCGGATCTTGCACTTTCAGTCAGAGACCGTCAATGTTCCCTGGGAAGACTGTCCTGTCCTGTCCACTGAATCAAGAGTAGATAACCCACTGGGCAGCTGGGGGCCAGATGGAATAGGAGGAAAGCTTGCCGCTTGTATGAGGCTGGCTGTCTCGAGATGGGAGATGAGGCAACACGTACAAGAGCACCGGATTCTCTGTTTCCAAACAGCCGCAGAGATTAGCATGGGGTCTGACCAGTGAGAACCTAGTTGTCTCGTTTGTTGTATCGATATCTAGTATCTCCACCGGAAGGGAAAGAAAGGAAAGGGGAGGAGTAAGGAAGGGTCTTGGGGCATCAACTGCTCTTCTTCTTTTTAGAAGGGTAAGGTTTGAAACTTACCTATCCTCCATGTCGAGGCTGCCATGACTGCTAGGGGTCGTGCTCGTCCCAGACCTGGAATCGGCTTTTGGTGAAGAGCTATGAAGAGATACAAGGGTACAAGGGTTCGACTGTAAGACTCCCGACGCGTGAAGCACGTGGTCCGTGGATACTGCAGAGAGGGGAGAGGGGAGATGGGAGGGATTTGCGTCTCAGGGAATCGAACTCTTCACTTGGTAGGTGAGGTCAAGTGGAATTGGCGGGACCGAAGAACTAGAGTGAGGAGGGACGCAAGATAGAAGAACGAAGGGCAGAAGCTGTCTCCATCCATACGAAGGACTACTAGTAGGTCAGGTAGTCTGTTTGGGGTCCAGGGTCAGCGGGGAAATTGGGTCCGAGGCCAAACCGTGTGGGGGAAAAGGAGACAATTCCGGCCGAGTTGATCACAAAATACTAATACGGGGTAGGGACCCTTGCAGACATAGAAGTAGACGCGAAATCTAATTGCATTCCGGCCCTGAGGCGCTTTTCTGGCTTTTTGGTCTTCGCCCATGGTAACACTGGTGACTCGACCTAGAATACACATCATGGCCAAATGAAGCCCAGCCGCCCTCTTTGATACCTGTCCTATGTCTCTACGAGATCCTTCCATGAAGCCATCACCATGCACGATACAGCCATGGGCCCGTTGGTAATCTTCATATCGTGCAAAGTCCCACTCATGAACCGTTTGCTGTCGTCCGGCGTTGGGGTCCCGAGTTCAGCCAGCCAAAAGCCGTGCCTGAGCCGACAGGGTTGGACTTTGTCGTGGACGGAGGTTGCCCTGCTTTCGCCTGCGCATCTCCCGCCGAACTGGTCGCACTGGTTTTGCGGCCGGCTTCGCTGGATTTGGTAGGTGTGCTTTCCACTCCATTTGTCGTCGTGGTGGAAGAGGCGCTTCGCGTGGCGTTGGCCATCGTCTTCCCTGGCCTGAGAATCTTCATGGGTCGCGCACTACTCGGACGTGCGTAACTGGATGGTGGTTTCGTGCTGGCGTCGGCGGGTCCGCTCGATGATACCGTCCGCCATGAACTCGACCAGGCGCCTGAGGCCGACTTGGACATTGGGGTGCTGAAAGACTTTTCACTCCCCGTGGTGGACTTCGAATCTTCGCCTGCCCTCGAGTGGCTAAGGTCTAAGCTGGGTCTCGCTGAAGAATCATGATGTTCTGTTCTGCGGCTGTCGCCCGGTTCCGACGTCGTCGCTGATGCTATGCCACTGGTGGGGCCCGCTGTGGGTGACCCAGCTCCTCGGATCGAATCCATTCTCCCAGGTCGCCCGATCACCCCGACCGGAGATGCTGGCGGGGGCAAGGCTGCTTCCCCTGCAGAAGCGCGATTGCGAGAAGCAGTGCACAAGTCCTTATAAGAGGCGTCGTCCTCCGGTCTGACCAACGGAATGGAAAGTTGATTCCGCTCCTCATCAAAAATCATCAGCTTGTCCTGCGAAAACAGTATGTCGCCACTATGTGATTTCAACACGTCGCTGCCGAGGATGATCTGTATAGACGAATCGGTCACCGGCTGCTCGTCGACAATGAACTTGACGGTCAAGGTCGGAATGTGAGGGACCGGGCTGGAAGATCTCACGGCTGACGACTGAATCTTGGCTTCTGTCAGGTACACCGGGAGGCGGATTGTACGGGCATCTGCCTCGTCGATTACCGAACCGTTCAATTCGAGTTTGTCTACAAGCGCTGCGCTCACCCATGATGCTGATGAACCGGTGCAAACAACAGCGTAGAGTAACGAGTCGTTGGTAAACGTCTCAGTCAACCAGCAACGGATGATAGACGGACATGGTCCCAAGACGAAAAAGCCCGGCGGAGGGTTGCCGGATACTCGTGGTGAGTTGTGGATGGAACCAAGCAGACGACTCTGCTCCAGCCCGAAGCTATTGGTTCGACCGAAGCCAACACCGCTCGGTCTTCCGTCGGATCGATGCGAAAGGGACCGTTCAGAAAGAGCATGACCACTAAGGCCACTCCCTGTCCGCGGCGGAAGTTCCATCGACTGTCTGGATGGAGCATAGTGGTTGTTTGCGCTTTCATCGAACCGGACCGAGTTGGCCCGCGATGCTGCCACCCGTCGGGAGTCGTCGTTCGCATCCAAGGTCAGCGAGCTCATCATGCTGGTGCCCGCATCGGTGTCAAAATTCCGGAATGCCTCAGCCGCGGGATTGAGCACGCTTTCTGTCGGTACATCAGTAACGGGCGGACTGAATGCGCGGGAGTGCGTAGAATTTTGGCTTACCGTGATGCGAGGAGCCCAAGCCGGCGGGAAATGGAGAGGTTGAACCCCATACACTCCTAGACCTGATTCCATCGGAGTTCTGGCTTTTCTGCTCCAAACGCATGATTCTCTCGGAATGAAGAGCTTGGGTTGCAGAGAGCTCGTGGAGCGTCTCTTGGAAACGCCACAGTTCGTCCTTGGTAGCGAATTCCCGCGTTTCCATTCTTGTCCAGTCACTGAGGTCCCAGCCGCATGGGGAGAGGAAAGACTGTTGGGAAACCAAGTGAAGGATTTAAGATCATCAGAGGCCGCCTAACTAGGTAGGTTGGGCTCATACAACCAGGGGGGGAAAAGATACAAAGGAGCGACAGCACCTCTCCCGGCCTGCGCCAGCCTGGCAAACCCTTCCACCCAGTGTACTTGTGATGGCAACTCTTCAATATCTCATCCAATTATGTTTCTTGCGTCCTTGTGGGGATAGATCAAAGAGAGTAAATGGTCCAGGAATGCGCCGAAGTGTGCACAACGGAGGTTCCGCGACAGCTGACGATTCGATTTTTGGACGGCAGATGTCAAGGTAGGAGATGGAGGGTTAACTAGCGAGATGATTACTCCGTGGTCGTCACATGCGCAGAGCCAGGAATTGCGAGTAGAAGAGGCGACGATGGATCCACGGGCAGGATGCGAAGGGAGCCTGGGACAATTCTCGAGAGGTTGAGTAATGAGTAGAGAACAATAGATTGGAGGATACGAGAGCTCCGGCAGCGTGTATCGGCTTCAGGCTGTGAGTTGGAATATAGAGGATGTTGACTGGCGACGGTAGTGGATTCCCGCAGTACAAGGGTGATATGTATTGTGTAGTATAGCAACTGGAAGGGTGACTCGAGTATGATGAAGAGATGCCAGGCTATACTCTGTAGTTCAACTTTGCCGGCATTGCCAAGCATCGGTGATATAATCATGTACTGGTGCACGGCAGTACGTACTACAGATCAATACCATCACTCCGAGTCGGACTGTACACAGTAGAACGCAGTCTATCATGCTGTCTTCTGGCTATATTCTGCATACCTGTCATCACAGCGTCAACAGAAACATCGTCGTCTAGTGGTTTGAAGCAGATGGGAAGGGGTGTCTATTGCGCAACTAACCAATCTTTGACCAGCCTCCTAAGCCCCTGCGCCGGCACCCCCACGTGGAGGGTTCTCTCAGCGCGAGGCTGAGAGACTTCTAGAGTCGACGATCTACCGGTCTGTTCCAACCAGCTTCAAGGTAAAGCTTGGGAATACCGACCTCGCGGCAAGATGTTGGATGATAGAAGATTGGGTTGCGCATCGACCCACCTGATGGATAGGCAGTGAATGCATTTCATTCCAAGTACAAGACACATCTAGCTGGCTTTTGAGCATGTCAGCAGGGAGGCGTACCGCATCATAGACCTAGTGCGTCCATGATTAACCCTCAGGGGCTCCATGCCACCGCGACGCAATGAATTGAAGAAGAAACAAAACCCCCGACGTTGTCGCCGAAACTCCTATGCCCAATGCTCTCTGCTCGAAAAGAGAAAAGCTGGTGAAGAGAGACGACCCCTCCCCTACGCCCGTCATGAACACCGCGTCAATCCCGTTACCGTCATTTGCCTGTTCGTCTAGCCCAATCCCAAGCCCCAATGCATAAGAACCTCGTCCCAAACTGATGCAACCCGATATAAGTAAGGGTAATCCGGTCGACCACTCTCCATCCCGCCACACATGGTGGACCATCAACGGGAGTCTGACCCTTCTTGCAGCCAGAGTTGCAGTCTGAAGCGCTGTTCTCTCAATGGTAACCGTTGGTTCTTGTGGCACTGGTCGTACGCTGTGAATAGGCGGCAGAACCGGCTGCAAAATAAGGGTGATTGCAAGCTGCTTTAGCAGAAATGCGGTGTGCAGGATCGTACTCCAGCATGGCCTCAAGAAGCTCCAATCCAGCCGGCTCCAGACTAGGCACGATTTTGCTGAGCGGCTCACGACGCCATTTGGGGAATGTGGTTTTGAAATCGGGGAACGAAGTCACACCGGGCCATATCGCCTCGTCGGGTGTGCCCAGAATCCTGGACAGATAATCAGTGTTCCTGCCTCCAGGGCCGTAGAGGATGGGGAAAAACTTACTTGAAGATCTTGAAGATCTCGTCAATCTCAGAATCACCGGGGAAAAGGGGCTTGCGTGTGCACATCTCTGCAAAGATGGCTCCAACCGACCACATGTCGACGCCTGTGGAGTATTGTCGGCCTCCGAGAAGAATCTCTGGGGCACGGTACCATAGAGTAACAACCTGGGATACAGCATTAACACAATATCATCAATAGCCGTGTTTGGATCAAGCCCACCTCGTGAGTGTATGTCCGCAGGGGAACACCAAAAGCTCGTGCCAGACCAAAATCAGCCAGTTTGAGATTGCCTTCTCGGTCAATCAACAGGTTCTGCGGTTTCAAGTCTCGGTGCAGGACACGATGGCTATGACAGTAGCGGACACCTTCGACCAGCTGCGCCATGAACTTCTTCACCATGTCCTTGCCCAGACCAAGTCTCTGCATGTCCAATGTTGATCCTTCTGGAAGAGCCTTGCCCCGACCTCCCTCCGAGGTGGGGAGGGCTTCCATGTATTTCTTGAGGTCACAGTCCAAGAATTCAAAGACGAGGTACAATTTGTGACCATCTGCATGGACAATGTTGAACAGACGCACGATGTTGGGGTCGTTCATCTCCTTCAACAAAGAGATCTCTCGAATGGCCGTGCTCGGGACACCTTCATCTTCAGCCTCCAAACGGATCTTCTTGAGCGCAACGATCCGACCGGCGTTGGAGAGGTCACGGGCTTTGTAAACAACCCCATAGGTTCCTGGATTTCAACATTTAGCGATATTCGATTTGCCGGTCAAGGGTCTCAGACCTTCTCCGATCTTCTCGATCTTCTGATAGTTTTCCATCTTGGATCGGTTGTGTAGCCTCCCGCGGACTGTGTGGTGAAAAGTCGTTCAGTGGATGCCGCAAGCGCAGGATGTGGACGGTTGCCAAAAGGGGTCTGCTACAGTTCGCGGTCGGAGCAGCGTCGGGTGGCAATGCGTAGTTGTAACGGTAGGATGACCTGTTGGTTAGTATTAGACAATTAGTGTCCGCGGGATTGGCAGGAAACAGAAGCAGGCTCAAAAGTCGGCAAAGAGTGGTGTTGATGAGGATGCAGTGCAATGGCTGTGATTGTCTGTGTATGCAATGTTTATTTAGCCGTGACGGACGCGTCTGATTGGTGGAAGCAGTGAAGTGCCTGGGCCAAGATTGAAGCGGGATGCCGGTACAGTTTGTCGCTGCATCATTCGATAATTCTACACATTTTCCCCATTCATCATTCATTGACTCACACCTCACACCTCACACCTCACTGCGAATTGCTATCAGACCTCGACGACGCCATTGCTAGCAATTCCAGGGAAGAGGGACGACCACCAAGCACTACACAGATTTGTGTTCCCTCTGAATCACGCAGCCTAAGAAACCTCTTCCTGCCGCACTCCTGTTGTCACAGTCTCTATCTACGAACCTTCGATTTTGCCCAACATGGCGGGTCGCGAGTTGACCCCGGAGGAGAAGCTCTCGCTCATCACAGATCAATTGCAGGAGGTATTGCACAAGGATATTCTGGAAAATGTGGTACTCAAAGAACAGAGGCCACTGGTCATCTACTGGGGCACTGCGACCACAGGCAGACCTCACTGCGGTTACTTCGTACCCATGATGAAAATCGCACATTTCTTACGAGCGGGCTGTCGCGTCAAGATCCTGTTGGCTGACATCCACGGTTTCCTCGACAATCTCAAAGCCCCCATCGAGTTGGTCAAGTTCCGAGCCGAGTACTACAAATTCATCATCCAAGCACTCCTCCGAGCCGTGGGCGTTAGTATGGAAAAGTTGGAGTTCGTCCTCGGATCATCGTACCAGTTGAGCTCAGATTACACTATGGACATCTTCCGACTCAGCAGTGTGGTCACTGAGCATGACGCAAAGAAGGCTGGTGCAGAAGTGGTCAAACAGGTGGAAAATGCGACACTTTCGGGCCTGATCTACCCGCTCATGCAAGCCTTGGACGAGGAGCATCTTGGGGTTGATGCGCAGTTTGGAGGAGTCGATCAGCGCAAGATCTTCGCCCTGGCACAGGAAACCCTGCCGAGAATCGGCTACAAGGAGCGGGCACATCTCATGAATCCTATGGTGCCTGGCTTGGCTGGAGGCAAGATGTCTTCATCTGACCCGGATTCGAAGGTCGACATTCTCGACACGGCTGAAGCGGTGAAGAGGAAGCTACGGAAGGCATATGCGGCCGCCGGAGAGGTTGAAGGGAACGGGATCATCTCTTTCGTGGAATATGTCTTGTTGCCCATCAGCGCCCTGAGAGATCCAGAGCACAAAGGTCGCTTCGTGTGCGAGAGGAGAGAGGGCGAGGGCGAGCCGCTGATTTACCACGACATCGAGACACTGAAGGCTGATTACAAGGCTGACAGGCTGACACCACAGTTGCTCAAGGCCGGCGCGACAGCTGCTTTGACTGAGTTGTTGGCCCCCATCCAAGCCGAATTCCAGGCATCACCGGAGTGGCAGGAGATTGAGAAGAAGGCCTACCCCCCGGCGGAACCGACCAAGAAAAAGAAACAACCCAAAGACAAAGGCTCCCGACATCCCGGTGCTGCCAATATCAAGAGCAACCCTGACGGTTCGGTCGAAGGACAGGGCAAGGAGAAGGTCGAGGTCGGCAAGACAGCAGAAGAGGCTCTATCAAAATTAGAGATCAACGGCGCCGCGTCGTAAAGACTCATGTCGTGGTCGACAGCGGCTTGTCAACTGGATCTTTCAGAGTCGACATACGCTCGATGCGGTGGGTAGATTGCTAGAAGCAGGGCATGTGTGGGAATGATCCATCTGGGCGTTTTTGACAGTACGGTGATGTGAGTCTGTACGCACCATCAATGATCGGGAGCCGAGCAATCGATGCCCTTCTTCAGTGCGCTGTCGATTGCTCAAGCACCTCCTCACCATCACAGCATATGTAGCATTGAGGGGTTGGGCATATCAGCAGTCTGGTAACCTACCGACCTGTCCTAATTCAGATCACTGACTGCCAGCGGCTGATCGTACACCTCGGTCTGTATGTTTCACACAGGAGACGAGTGGGTTGTGTGTGTGTTTGTGTGCACTTCTTGTTTCGGCGGAATTTTCGGCCGTATTATTTCTTGCAAGCCGAGCCGCAGCGCAGGACAGCGCAATGGTGGGAAGAGAGAAGAAACGCCTTGCATTCTCTTGTCATCTTCGATCATCACCTCCTCCACACGCTTTGCAGACTATGACAGGCATCTTGTTATCATAACTTTAGTTTCAATCGACTCCAGATTTCTCTGGCAGGATATCGTGCACCGGGGAGCAACACCCCCGCAGTTCACATCCTTGATCACTTGTCGTGCTTTTCTCGGCAGCCTCGTGTCCGACGATGAAAGGCAACTGTGGTCTGTCAGGGCAAAGGATCTTGTCCAGCGCCCCCTGCCGTCGGGCTCGCTTTGTACAGTTCGAATCCTGCCTCCCTGTTTCGCCCTAGCGGTGGAACAACCCTCTATATGAAAATGAGAGAAGCACACCCTGACTACGCCGTAGAGCACCCTTTCTCAGGGGATATGAGATATTGAGCCATGGCAAAACAGTATGGGAAGGGCTGCGAGAGGAGAGGACACAAATGGTAACTAATTCATTTGACCTGGGTGGCAGTATTTTTCTACCTCTCGCGACCGATGTCTATCACTACATGGTGTCAGGAACTTAAAGCGGTGTAACTCAACGTCCTCTCCAGACCGTTATGGTTCCGAGAATGTGAGTCCAAGAGAATGGCTTGTCAACATGCAAAAGAGCACATCACATGGCACGAGAACGTTACACGCCACCGACGCAATCGCGTGAAGTCGCGGCCTCGCGCAGCACGTCTGCTATGCAAGGTTTCTAGGATCACAAGAGTTCAGTCGTCTTTAGCCACACATGGTTGCGACAAGGGGACGTCGGCCCGCTCACCAACTTAGAACAACTGTTGGCTCGAACCGCAACCTACAGGGACGATATTACATGTAACGTCCTCGCTTCTGCATGGGCAAGTAGATGCAAAGTGCTGCATCGAGCGTGGCTGGCCGCGGTTTGAACTGGAAGCACGAGACTCACGCACTACAGGTAGAGAGGTGAGGCCAGGGACAATCACCTAGCTACGTATTTCACCCGGCACGATTGCGCCCGCGCTCGCTTCAGGAGCCATGTCACAGTCTATGCCCGGCAATCGGTACGAGTTCGATTCCCATCCCATTTACTCTTGCAAAGGCCGATCGAGAAAGCCTGCAAGACGGCTGCTCGCTGAGGGTAACAAGAGTTGGTGTCAGGTAAATCTAACTCAAAAAGGGGCATCTCGACCAAGGAGTTCAGTGTCAGCATCCCACTTGACACTTTCCCCACAGGCTGGATCGTTCAAATGACCCTGGTGACCCCAGATCATCATCATGCCGATTGTCGAATGAGGATGCTGCCCAGAAAGACGCCTGTTGACAGTTTCCAGTTGACACGCTATGGTCTGAGGAAGGCGGCGCGATTTTGCTCGGCGAGACGACCCATGGAACGTTGCTGTGGCGCGCCGTTCTGCATGGGGTAGTGGAGCAGATCTCGACTCTGAAGACCAGCATAGTGCGGGGTTTTCGAAAGGGCCCAGCACGTAGATGAATCCCTCGTCGACAGTCTCGTCGCTGACTGGATCACCGCCAGCTGGTCCGTTAGTCCTGGTCGCCGGAAGAGGAAACGGATACACCAGTAGCGAGGCTCCCATCATCACGTCCCAGTGCTCGCCTCGTTTGCCAGCCCTGGCGCACCACTCGGGATGTCCACAGCCAAACGAATCCGCTCGTCTTGTATTGCTTCGCTTTACTTTTGCTGCATTGGTCCATGGCATCTGCAGTTCAGAGCGCGCTGAGGGTGCATCCATTCTTTTCGAGGACCGGGCGACTGTCCACACCTGACCATTCGGACACTTTCAGTATTCGACGAACCTGGGCATGAAGTCGCCCCTCATCCAGCCACCCATACACCGTTTGACCGAATCTCGAGACTTATTTCTCCGTGCCAGTCTAGAATCACCACAGCTTCAGACCGGGGCAGCACCCCTGGATACCTCATAGAACACTAGACACCGCTGGGTGAACCCTATAACCTCCAACGACTTTGCTAATTGGCAGCTATCCTGGCCTCACGAGGGCACCCTGCGTCATTTGACTTTGGCCACGGCGAAGGATGTCCGATCACTACCTCTACGCCCACGTATATATGCGTCGATGTCTGGGGATCAGGACCATGGTGCTCCTACCACTGTCCATTTGGCATTGCCCGACAGTCTTCCTGAACACCAGTGCGGTGATATACCTGCTCCTCCATATACTTCTGGATCATCCCTCATACGCCCTTCACCATGAGCTTTGCTCACGACGAAGAGGCCGGCCCTGGCCGCACTGGCCGCCATATGAGCGTTTCCCAATATGCGAACAACATGGGCGCGCCAACCTTTGATACCACTCGCCGCAGGTCTTCGGTTGTTCCAGCTGCGGTCGTCGGGGCACACCAAGATGAAGTCATCTTCAACCAGAGGGATGACACGCTTCGCAAGATGTCCGTGGCTGTTCCCAACTTGGCTGAGCTTACTGCAGATGCCCAAGCAGCTGCGAATTTGGAACACAAGATGGGCTTCCGCGCCGGATGCAAACTCTATCCCAAGGCGATCATGTTCTCCTTCTGCTTGTCCTTGGCCGTCATCATGGAAGGCTACGACACCTACCTTCTGGGTAATTTCTTTGGTCTGCCAACCTTCGCGCGCAAGTACGGTGAGCCGGCCGGTATCAAGGACGGGGTCCAGACATACCAAGTATCTGCATCGTGGCAATCCGCCCTTCAGAACGGCACGGCTGCCGCCCAAATCATCGGACTTATGATCAACGGCATCATTTCCGAGAGGATCGGGTACCGATGGACAATGATCGGAGCGTTGTTGTTCCTGACCGCCGTCATCTTCATTACCTTCTTTGCTGTTGATGTTCAAATGCTGCTGGCCGGCTACGTCTTGTCTGGTCTTCCATGGGGTGTTTTCCAGACCCTCACCACTACATACGCCGCAGAAGTGTGCCCAGTACCTCTCAGGCCCTATTTGACCACCTATGTCAACCTCTGCTGGGTCATTGGTCAACTTCTTGCCGCCGGTGTCCTCAAGGGCTTTGTCAACGCCTCTTCACAATGGGCTTACCGTGTCCCTTACGCCATTCAGTGGATTTGGCCCATCCCAATTGCCATCACTGCGTACCTGGCCCCCGAGTCACCGTGGTGGCTAGTGCGTCACGGCAAGCTTGACGAAGCACGTCAGGCGCTCCTTAAGCTGACTTCCAGGAAAAATACCGAATTCAACGTCGAAGACACACTCGCGATGATGATCCACACCAATGAGCTGGAAATTCAACAGACATCTGGTACCTCGTACTGGGACTGCTTCAGAGGAGTCGATCTCCGGCGAACCGAAGTCACTTGTTCCACCTGGCTCATTCAGCAGACATCGGGCTCTCCCATGATCGGCTGGGGTACTTACTTCATGATTCAGGCCGGTCTTGACGAGTCCGACGCATACTCTCTCGGTGTTGGCCAAAGTGCCATGGGCTTTTGCGGTACTGTGCTCTCTTGGTTCTTGATGCCACACTTTGGTCGGCGCACATTGTATCTCTGGGGCCAGGTCGGCATGTTCATCATTCTCATGATCATCGGTGGTCTAGGAGTTCCGAGCTTGTCCACCTCTGTTGGCTGGGCGTCGGGCGCCTTGATCCTCATTTTGACATTTATATACGACTTCACGGTCGGCCCAGTCTGTTATTCTCTGGTCGCCGAGATCCCGTCGACCCGGCTGCGGATCAAGACCGTCGTGTTGGCCCGCAACGTCTATAACATTATGGGCATCGTGATCGGGACATTGCAGCCTCGCATGATGAACCCGACTGCATGGAACTGGCGCGGAAAGACCTGCTTCTTCTGGGGCGGTCTGAACCTGCTCGGTCTGGTCTGGACTTACTTCCGTCTCCCGGAGCCAAAGGTAAGTCTTGTCGCTGGTCTTGCTCCGCAACGAAATGTTCGTCGGTCTGACTCCATGCTTCTTAGGGCCTCACTTATGCCGAACTTGACGTTCTATTTGAGAATCATGTATCTGCTCGCAAATTCAAGACCGTCAAGGTCGATCCGTTCCGCTCAGACAACCTCGTCGTCATCCCGGACGAAGATGTCAGCAGCCACGAAGGCGGCGAAAAGAAAGGGTACTAAGGATAGTCTATTGCACTGCGGCAAATAGTGAGATTGAAACGAGGAAATTGGTATGGGGAGACGGGTAGTTCGACTACCTAGCTTTTTGCGCTGATGGTGCTTGGTACGACCTCCTGAAACATGTTGTCCGGTTTGGCTCCGACAGCCGTGCGAACCACAAGGATATGTGCCCATGCATAGTTGGACTGAATAACGACGTAGTTAACATCTGTAAACTTCTTCAACTTACCTGCCTTGCTTTATATCAGCCTTGCGCTACTGGGAGAGAAGCAGGGGTAGAGAAGACAGGAAACATGGGTAAGGGACAATTTTAATTCCGGGACAGGCCATACTTCGTAGTAATGACTGGCCTCGAAAGACCCTGACAAGAACGCAAGTTCTCGAACTAATCTTGTCTGAGGTACGCTCTACACTTGTTCAATTGCTCTTGCCTCTCCCGCAACCTGCCAAAGTCATCATGGATCGACAATGGGGTTTGCTTATGTTTGCTCATGGAACCTCGTCGCGGGTCGTCTTCGTTCCACAGTCCATAGACACTGATTAGTCCTCGTCAAGGCGTGCTCGTCTTAAAGAGACCGGCTGATTGGATGAAGGACGCTTCTCGCGCACATACGCCATGTTCGCTTATTGAAGGATCAGGAGCATATGTTGTGCAATGCTGTTCTTGTGAATGCTGCCACGAGCTGCACCTCATGTCCCCCACAAATCCCGCAGGCTGCATGAGGGATCGATCGAGAGGCCTCTCTGATCACTGACTCAAATACGATCTCTGCTGTCCGAGGAAAAAGTAGAATCCCTTGCTACTTGCCACTTGCCCCTAACCCAAAACCTTCAAACCTCCTTTCGTCTTCGGTTGTTTCTTGTTCACGCCGCTGTGTTGAACCTTGTTATGTCCACCCGCACCGCCTTTCCCCTTCTGGTTGTTCTGCTTGAGCGTCGAGGGCCGGACGTCCGTCATCGCCTTCTTCACCACAATCGGATGACTGCCGACATATTTCCCATTCTGCTCTCTCGCGGCGCGGAAGTAGTCGTCACCATTGGCGAAACTGACAAAACCATAGCCTTTCGATTTGGTCGTGCGCTTGTCACGTATGACACGTGCCTTCTGCACAGAAGGGTATTGCGAGAATGCCTTGAGCAGAGATTCATCTGTGACTTCGCCCGCGAGGTTACCGACGAAGATGCGGAAATGTGCTGGATCCCATTCCAGAAGCGTCGGGTCGGTCCATGACGTGCCTCCGCCTGCCCGGTGGACTGTCTTGGGAACACCGTCTGCTTGCGTCGTGGGCTCACTGCGTGATGCCGGAGCAGTCGAAGTTGTCGTTCCTGCTGCAGGTTTCGGTGTGGATGTGGATGTGAATGTGCCTGGTATTCCTGTGCCTGTGCTTGCTCCTGTGGCGCCAGCATCTCGGTTCACGTAGGCGCTCTGCCATTGCTGCACCTGAGCTTCGTATTCGGGGTCATATCCTCCGGCGCCGCCACCGTAGGCAGTTGCGGACGCTGATGGGTCAGAAGGAGGAACGAACGGGTTGCGGATCTGTGGGGTTGCAGAGTATGAAGGGTCATATTGCGGTTGTGCAGAATAGTCTGCGCTCGCTTGGTACTGGCTGGCAGCGCTGTAAGATGGGACGGGTGCGGCGCCGTACTGCGCTGGACTGCTGGTGCGATAGGTACTCGCCGATGCTACTGATCGGGGCGCGAATGCTGTGAAGGCGGGTCTGGTCGAGGCACCGCTCGATGATGTTTTGAATGGCGGGACTGCGCTCACTGTTGACGGCGGAGGGCGAGCTGGTAATGACGGGGGAGGCTGTGTGGTGGAAGACGTGAGACCTGGAGGCGGCGGATACGACATGATGAATGTTTGGTCTGGATCAGGTTCACTGGTTTTCAGAAAACGTACCAGAAGCCTCGGTGAGGCCGAGTTTTGCTGATGTCGGCCTCCCTTTTGAGGATCGACGTCCGCTCTCTTCTGGTGATATGGTTCTAATCTAACGGTGCGTACAGTGCTAGAACTGCGGAAGCCGATTGAGTTGCGACGTCGAGGTCTGGCTGCAAGGTGGTTGTATGATGGAGATTGATGCGGTCGTGGACAACTCGAACAGCGATGATATGCGATGCAGTAGGCATAGGAGTGATACTAGTGGCGCCAACTGGGATAGCATTGCTAGCATGTTCTGGCTGGTATAGACGGAAGGTAAAGCGAGATAGCTTTTCCCCAATCAATTTTAGCGTCAGATTGACTGTTTCACTGCACGTGATATTAGCTTGGCACGTCGAATTTTTCTCCCAGGATCCACTCCTGCACCCGCATCTCAGTCTCAGCCTGAGCATCTTCAGTCATACTGAAGACGCAATCACATCGAATTCCTATGTACCTTAGGTACCTAAGTGTTTGAGGTCTATCTCAGCATATGTTAATGTATTGACCGAGGTTCCTACCGTTAAGAGGTAATACGAGTAGCGATCGGGATCCTTGGGCAATCTGGTAGCCAGCCGGCTGATTTCGGACGACTCGGAAGGGCCAGCCGCAGACAAGCGTCACTATGATGTTACTAATGACACTCCTCTACTCTGCTTAGTCACCTTGAACCTGGTTATTCACCAACCCTGACAGCACATGGCTGTGCCGCAGCCCGTTGCTGGTGTGTCGCTGGACAATCAACATGTTCATATCGCAGTAGTGATGGACAATATGCTCCATTGGGGAACTGAGCGTGCTGTGATGAGTGGCCGACGCCTGGAGTACGTAGCATTGTTAGCCGTAGTGACCACAGTATCAAGTGATTACTGTGGTAATGGTAGATGGGGAGGGCGACTCCGTACCCAGAATGCTGGTGGGAAGATCCAATGGGCGCAGTTGCTGTGCAGCCCCTCCAAACCTTTGCTGCCTCATAGGTGGGGTTGATGTTCTCAGGTGTTCACACTGAGGTTTGCAGACGCTGCTAAACCGCTCAGTGTTTTGTCTGCTGCTACTAGTCAGCATTCATTATTCCTCCTACTTCTTCCTCCTGCTCCCTCTGTCTCTTCCTCTACAACAACTCTCGTGCCTCTCGTCTTTTTCGGTGCATTAGACAGAGACCGACACTTTATCTACTTCGCTCTTCAGCAACCCACTACCAATTCACAAACCTCGCTTCACCTCCATCCCACAGTCAAGATGTCTGGACCAGTGTATGTAGACAACTTCCCACCAAATCTCCTTGACCTTGCAGCTCCTTTACGGCCTACATCGGACGCAGAGCGCTTCAGCTTGCGCCGCGGGCTCTGCAAATACATCCAATTGACAAGCAATATGCTGACTTAGTGCGCGACTGGCTGGCCTCAAGGTCGGCCCTGCGCAGGACGAACCCAGTGGTGATTTTGGTCTTATTGGCCTGGCCGTTATGGGTCAAAACTTGATCCTCAACGCTGCCGACCATGGCTTTACCGTTGTTGCCTTCAACCGGACTGTGTCCAAGGTTGATCGCTTCCTCGAGAACGAGGCCAAGGGTATGTTCACGCTGCACGCTGCAAGCAGCCCCTCCCCGTACATGACTGACCACGTCAACTAGGCAAGTCGATCGTCGGTGCCCACTCCATCGAGGAGTTTTGCTCCAAGCTCAAGACGCCTCGCCGTATCATGCTTTTGGTGATGGCCGGTCCTGCTGTCGACGACTTCATCGACAAGCTGCTCCCCCACGTCGAGAAGGGTGACATCATCATTGATGGAGGAAACTCCCACTTCCCGGACAGCAACCGACGTTGCAGATACTTGGCTGAGAAGGGTATCCGATTCGTCGGTACCGGTGTCTCCGGTGGTGAGGAAGGTGCCCGCTATGGTCCTTCCCTCATGCCCGGTGGTAACGAGGAGGCCTGGCCATTCATCAAGGACATCTTCCAGAGCATTGCCGCCAAATCCGATGGTGAACCGTGCTGCGACTGGGTCGGTGATGAGGGTGCAGGCCACTATGTCAAGATGGTCCACAACGGTATCGAGTATGGTGATATGCAATTGATCTGCGAGGTAAGCGGCCACTTGCCGGTTCCCGGCAAAATACGGGCTCTCACTAACATTTCCAGGCCTACGACATCATGAAGCGCGGTCTTGGTATGAGCTACAAGGAGATGGGTGATGTTTTCGCCGAGTGGGACAGCGGTGTTCTGGATTCTTTCCTGATCGAGATTACCCGCGATGTTCTCCGCTTCAACGACGACGACGGTACTCCTCTTGTTGAGAAGATCCTCGACGCTGCTGGCCAGAAGGGAACCGGCAAGTGGACTGCCATCAACGCCCTCGACCTTGGTATGCCCGTCACTCTTATTGGCGAGGCTGTCTTCGCCCGTTGCTTGAGTTCCATCAAGGATGAGCGTACCCATGCCTCCAAGGTCCTCAGCGGGCCGAAGCCAAGCTTCACTGGAGACAGAGCCCAGTTCTTGAAGAACCTCGAGCAGGGCCTGTACGCGTCCAAGATCATCTCGTACGCCCAGGGCTTCATGCTGATGCAGACTGTGAGTGATCCGCTAAGCCGTCGTCCTGGAACAATCACTAACTCCACTTCTAGGCTGCCAAGCAATATGGGTGGAAACTCAACAAGCCATCCATTGCCCTCATGTGGCGTGGTGGTTGCATCATTCGATCCGTCTTTTTGAAGGATATCACCTCCGCTTACCGCGAGAACCCGGACCTTGAGAACCTTCTGTTCAACGACTTCTTCAACAAGGCTATCCACAACGCTCAGGAAGGCTGGAGAGATGTCATCGCATATGCTGTCAAGGCTGGTATCCCCATGCCGGCGTTCTCCACCGCGCTGTCCTTCTTCGACGGCTACCGTACCAAGGACCTGCCCGCCAACCTTCTCCAGGCGCAACGTGACTACTTTGGAGCCCATACTTTCCAGATCAAGCCCGAGTTCGCCAACGACAAGTTCAAGGTCGGCGCATACAACCATGTCAACTGGACCGGCCGTGGTGGTAACGTTTCTGCCTCAACCTACAACGCATAAGTGGTCGATTACGTCGGTGCTAGGCTTGTTCCCCGGCCACATCCTGTTGGAAGACTCGATAGGCTCCCAGCGGGACTGGACATGTCACATGACTGATGTCTGCAAGCAATGAAACGTGCTCTCCGGAGCGAGAAACGTGTTCGCAGTGCGCTTTGGATGTTATCCTCTCCATTATGCGTAGATAGACATGCAATGCTACGGACTCGTATCTTGTGTACAATTCGGGAATTGAGCATGGCCTGGATGTTGACCTACCAGCGGGCACAAACAAAAGATGAAATACATACCATACTTTTAGAACCGATACCGTCCCCTGTGTAGTGTAATAATGTAGTCCTTCTCTGGTCTTATAACACGTAGTAGAAGTAGTACCTACGGTGTTGTATGTCCCGCGGGAGTCGGGGACATTTTCTCCGACACCCTAATTAGGAAAAGGCCGCTTTCTTCTCCATCTCCAGATTTCCATGAAATTGTGTCCTGCGCTGCGACTCAACTCGACTCGACACGTCTCTTCAAACCAAAATTGTCCCTTCTGGGCGCGTCTCTCTTCTCCTCGCTCTCCTGCACCTCTGACACCTCCTCGAAGCATTGTCATTTGGCGCCTGGCGTACTTCTAGTCTACCACTTTGATCTTGGGTTTTGGCCGTGGAAAGGGTGTTGTTGTAACTGCTAGCGGCCCAGCGGTGATCTGGCGGCCACCGCCTGCCTGAGACAGGTTGACACTGTCTTGTCTCGCCTCAGGTTCTCCACACACACTCTCCACCCTAACACAGTACATCGGACTCGGACAGGCATATTTGAGAGCGTTGCAGTACTGTCTATCTGACTGATTGTCTCTCCTCGTATGAGGATGGCAGCCGATACGAAACGCCAGAATACAGGAGCAAGGGTGCCGGTCGCCTTACCCAAGGCTGAGGCCGCACAGCCAATTGCGTCGTCGGTCTCTTTAGAAGTCGGTCTACAACAAGCCATTGGAAGCCGGTACGCCCGCTGCATGCAATGATATGCAATTGCAGCGTCAGGATGGCTGACACATTTTACAGCATTCGAGTCAACACCATCGTCCCGAACCAGACCAGCGTCGAGGGCACCGTCTACACGGCCGATCCTCTCACCAACCTCCTGGTTCTCAACATCAGTGACACGCCGGCAACCACGATCTCCTCCACCTCACTGGTCGCTCCAGCGGGCGCATACCGAATCATCCCTGTTTCCCAAATAAGCAGCTTCCAAATACTCTCCCTTGCGCAGCCATCGACCGAATCCTCAACCAACCCGACCCATAATTCTATCGACATCAATGCGGTCCAGTCCCGTCTCGCCAGAAACATAGCCGCCCAGCAAGCAGCACAAGCACGAGTCGGTCCTAAGGGCACCACTCCGACAGACCAGGCGCTTTTCGATGCCTTGTCCCGAACACACCCGGCTCGTTGGGCTGGCAACGTGATGCTCATCTCGGATACATACCTGATCGAGAAACCATACGGTGCTGTGAACGTTCGATTTGTTGAGGGTCGGCATGGCGATCTGGAGCGGATGAAGAAGGTGGTTGACATGGAAAGACAGAAGATCACACTGAGAATGTCCAAAGGGTTGATTGATGGGAAACTATCTGATACCATGGCGGGCAAGGGAGCGACTGCGGGCGTCAAGAAGGGTGGCTAGACTGCGGAGGCCGACCTCTGATACTTTGACCAGCTACAGCATGGCAGCCAGTCTATGATCTAGAGAAGCGGCTGAGCTGTCTAGGATGGGAATCCTCGCTTTTAGGCTGAGACTCTCGGACAATGCGAGCCCGCCAGATTTTCACCTTGTGGTTGACTTTCAAGACTCTCTGGATTGCAAGCTGCATCAGGATATGAAGCAAGCGAGCTGAGCTCTCCAGTCGACGCCTTCAGCTTGTCTTCGATCTCGAGGCTCAGGCTTATGTACCGGACTTCGATATCATGTTGGCATTAAGCGCCGATTGCAGTCATACAATGAGCCACCATGGCCTCCGGTTCTGATACAGCGCGGCTCCGGCCCATGATTATCTTGCCAACAGGAGTATTGGCAGTGGAGGACTGGATCTGACCTTGATTGTATAGTCCAGGTACAAAAGCAGAGCCAAGAAACTTGCTCAAATATCTTCTTCGTGCTCGCCGCTGTTGCTATACCTTCCAACACGTCCTCCACTACTTCGGGCTCATTGATTGGGAGCTTAGCTGTGGTCTGGAACAGGCCACTCCTCTTTTATGGCTTCTCGTATCCGCGCTGTTCTGCCACTTGCTCTTCGGTGCCATACTGAAGCCTCTTCTTGGCAAGGCTGAGCAGCCCCTTTCCTTCTTGACACCGCCGTACCGCTAGTAACCGTTAGGTACCTACCAGGTAAGCACCTATATCATTTTTGCGGTGCCAGTTATCTTGTAAGGTGGCTCGACGGTTACCGTGTCTGTCTCCCTTCGACCTATGCTACATGGATTCCATCATAAGGTGCTACGCCTCACAGACGTGGCGAGAGACCATCGTGGCATTAAAGGCATCGGGGGTTTTCCATACTAATATTCTATTCAAAGACTCCAGGTGAAGGTTTGCAAGGCTTACTCGTCGTCCAGCATGACAGACGGATGGATTTGGACCAAAAGTCACTCAGGGAGTAGCAGCATCGCGCGGTCATCGGATGTCACAACCAGCGCTGGTCACAACAAGGCTGCACCAAAAGGTGACATGGTCACAGACTCACAGTTGCTACATCCGTACTTCAACATCAGCACAAGTGTCGTCCAATGCCTGACAGCATGGGTGATATCTGATGATGGGTCTAGGACGCAGAGAAGAAACCAGTCATGTCATTCATTCCTCGAGGCATCCGTTCGCAACAGTTCTCTCCGTTTGAGGAAACCAGTTCGTTGACACCTTGACTGGACTGAGCCGTTTACCAGCTCATGCATCATAGTGAGATCTCATCAGCGTGATATATATCTATATCTCTTCAGTGATGTACCCTCGACAACGGCCTACGATGGAAATGAGTATTTATAGAGGATCAGAACAACAGGTTCACAATGATGGAGATCAATCCCTCAGCACCTCTCCTGCCGCCGCCGCCGCCGCCGCTGCTACCACCAGGACCTCGAGTGTCCCTCGTTTCCAGATACAAAGCACAAGCTCCTGGTCCCAAAGCTCTCGTTCTTCTCTCCGGTGGCAACAGCTGCATCGACAATGGTTGAAAGCACGAGCTGTGCAACCTATCTCGGTCCTGTTCTTCTCGCAGTCTTTCTGTAAGTGCCAACTCTCAGCCCAGCTCATCACCCCAAGGAAATGTGTCGTGTAACACTATCCATTTCGATATCTCTGACAGCAACGATGAGCACAGTCTCAGAGATCTTCTCGAACGTTGGGCTTCCTCGCGAAATCAAGCCCGATACCGTCCATTCGCTTTCCCCAACCCCGAGACGCGAAAGTACCACATCTCCGACGTCAGCATCATAATCCCCACAGTCGACACCGATCCAAGCTTCACCAGATGTCTGTGCGGCTTGCTGAATCATAAACCTCTGGAGATCATCATCGTCGCTACGGAAACTGAGAGGTATCGTGTCCAAGCACTCGTTCACAATGCTACTGTTCAGAAAGCTGCCGCGGCTGCAGGAGGGAAGACGCACATTAGGATTCTGACCGTTCGGCACGCGAATAAGCGCGATCAACTTGTTCAAGGGATCAGCGCGAGCAGAGGGGAGATCTTGGCCCTGGTGGACGATGATGCATTTTGGCAGAATGAACGCTTGTTGTGGCATTTGTTGGCTCCGTTTCAGGAGGATGATATTGGTTTGGTTGGATGCCCTATTACGTGAGTTATTCCGTGCGTATGTTTCTCTTTCATTGCTGATACCCTTCACCTAACTCTGTTTCACTGGGTATACATGCTTGCATTGCTTTTCCTTCTCACACCCGTTATCCTCCTGTCTCCTTCGTCATTTCTCTCCCTTCACATCTTGCCATTATTCTCTCTTTAACTTGTTATTGCCTAGCTGCAGTAAAACTAACCTTGGTCTTCCTGGCAGATCATACATCCCCGAATCAAGAAAGGTCAGCAACATCATCACACCCTGGGAAGTGGCCGCCATTCGTCTCCGCGGAAAACGTCACGGAAGCATGAAAAGCGCCTATGCAGCCGACGGAGGAATCAATTTCTGCGTGTCGGGAGTCACGATGCTTCTTCGCGGCGAGATCCTAAGGGATCCGGAATTCCAGCATGCTTTCACCAATGACTTCTGGATGGGCCACAGACAGAACAGTGGCGACGATAGCTTCATTACGCGCTGGGTATTGTTTCGGCATCAGATGAAGGACGACGATAACAACAATATCATCTCTCAGAGTCATCCTTGGCTGCAGCGGAAGCCGCAGCAAATCAACAACACCGACAATCTCAACCACATCAACGTCGAAAACAATGTTCACGGTAACCCACAACACTCAACAAGAACCCAATGGAGACTCGGCATGCAATTGACTTCTGAAGCCGAAGTCGGGACCTCAATCATGCCCGATGCCCGCTTCGCTGGACAATTGAAGCGCTGGTACCGCAGCGGCCTCCGCCACCGTCTTATGTGTCTGTTCTTCGAGCCCGGGATTCGCGCCATGTGGCGCACGTGTCCATATATGACGAGAAAGATGGTCGAGGGAATGCTGACTCCGGTTCTGTTGCCGCTTCGTCTCTACGCGCTGTACGCGACATTTGATGTTTTTCCTGGATTAGCGTAAGTTTGATCTCGACCCTTTCTTTCATTTGCTTTTTGGGGTTTCGAGAAAGAAACTTGCTCAGACACAGTGCTACAGATCGCATTGATGGATGGGTGGTGTTGCTAAGCAGTGGAGCTGTCACTGTGTATTCCAGAACAGAGATACCAGCACTGCCTTTTCTTTACGCGGACCCCATCCACAAGATGAGCAAAGGCTGGTTTCAATACTGACGATGTCATTGTTTTCTTTTCCATATCTAGGCTCTTCATCCTCACGTGGAAGATATGCAGCTACATTCACGGCCTTTTCACTTTCAGCCTCGAATACCCCTATACCGGAAAATACTGGTGGGCTGCTGTCCTGGTCGATCATCTGTATTTGGTTTCGGATTGGTATTGTTGGGCCACGCTGGGCACTGAAGCGTGGATGACTAGGAGGGATGTCGACCAGGAAGAACGCCAGGTTGAGGTTGTGAGTGAAGGCATGAGTCCGAACACGGACATGAGGAGGGACGTGCGTGAGAATGGAAACGTGACTGAGAATGTGGATGGAGTCGTGGATATGACTGACTGACTGAGAACCCGAGAGCGGATCGTGGAGTACGATCACTAGGAGACCTCTCAGGGACCGATATGAGTGCAAACGCGTGGCCGGGATAAATCTGTGCTGGACCATAGAAGCAAGTCCTCAGGGAATATAATGTACAGATTGTCTGACGACTTGGCTGGCTGCAAAGGAACTTGAGTTTAGCTCTTCGATTGGGAGCCTGCTTCTCTGTGTCGGAGAATTCGGTCGAGTGGACTGAGGAGCTCCGAGATCTCATATCAATCCCCATTTATCAAGTCTTGTATGTATGTGAATTCCAACATATTGACCAGGTTTTAGACTCGCAACGTAATAGTGATGGATTGGTGAGTGTCGGAAGACCCCTTCAACCCCTTATTCACCACAGCCTCGCGGTGGCTCCTGAAGCACGAGGCTGCCCTAAGCCGTAAATAGTCTAGGCCAGCCTTCCGCTGTAAACGCATGGTACTGTCTTTCTACGATCATTAGTGGTACAGTATGCATCGGCACATAATATTGGCATTTCAGGTGGTATTCCAACCACGCGTTGTCTGTACTTGTGTCATGATATACATCTGTTGACTGTTAAATCTAACAAGTATATTCTGGCCATGTGGCCAACTGTTCTCTGTCTTAAGACACTGAGGCAGAACATCATTCCCTAATCATGTCTTCACTTAGGAGCCCCCAAAAAGCCATTAGCTCCAGCTTTCGAAGAGGAACCAGACGTCGGCCTAGCTCCTGACCCAGCACCATTCCTACCTGCCGGCCTGCCTTCTTGGTCCTGCATCAGCGGTACCCTATCGGCAATTATTGCTTCCTCCTCTTCTGCTCGAGGTGTCCTGTTTCCGACAGGGTCGTCGTCCTCCTCGTCGTATAATCTATCGTCGCGCTTCCTCAGCTTCTCGAGAGCATCTTGTCTCATCTTGAAGATCTTCAAGTAATTGTAGATGGCTATACATATGATTGTGATAATCAAGCCAATAATGTTCACCAGGGATAATTTGTCGTGGAACACAATCCCGGCGACACTGATGGTCACCACTTCTTTGAAAATGCCACAGATACTGAGGGTGACAACGCTTGTCCGTTGAAGCAGGGTAAATTCGCTGGCAATCATACAGAAGGCCAGAAACCCCGGGACAATCAGTAGGAGAAGTGATTTGACAATTCCATAGGTGCTGACAAGCACTTGAACCCCTGTAACCACTGCTGCAGGAGTCTCGGATATGCAGGCAATGATAAACAAGCTGACGAACATGATTGGGGCCAGGAAGAAAAGCGTGGCGAATGGGTTCGAGGTTGCAGGATGCCGGAGAAGAAGAATCTGCGTAACAGCCCAGCGAAAGCCCGAGAAGAACGATGCGGACATTGCCAGAGCAAAGCCTAGGGCGTTGAATGCTGTCTCGCCGGCGGCCATCATGAGGACACCAACGGCCATGGTGAGAATAATGAACACCAGTTTGAGAGATGGCTTCTCCAGGCGGAAGATAAAGGCGAATATGAGGACGAAAATGAGGACGGAGGATTTGCACATGGTGTAGAAAGTGAGGGTGATGTAGCGTAGAGAGGTATTGCCCAGTCCAATATCAAGCGATGTTGTCGTCCCAGTAGGAACTAAGCGGGTTATATAAAACATCGGGGTAATCAACGGCTTCGGTGGACGTGACTCGTTTCGATGTGTAGGAGGCTGTGGTTGCGACGGTCGGAGGGAGGGGAATATCATAAGTATAGTGGATGCAAGTCCAAATTGAACCAGCATATGTAGTGAAGTAGCGAATAGCGGAAAGTGGAAATCGAGGTGGTCGGACGAGAACATCATTTTGTTGTACTGGCGAAAGTAGTCAGCCAGGCGTGCGGAAGGGCCGGTCAAGATACACAACTTACAATGGATATCGACAGTGAGAAGAAATACCAGAGGCCGATGAGTACAGCATTGACGAGAAGATTGCGCAGGACGAATTTGTCGGCTTCTTTGGCTTCGTCCTTTGAGATGCCTGCGGTGCCTGCGATTCGGGAGTCGAGACCATGACGTCGTCTCTTTTTCTTCGCATATTTGAGCCTGTCATGCTTGTTGAAACCGGTCTCTTCATCATCGTCGACGTCGACGTCCGCGTCCGAATCCAGGTCGCCAAGTTCGTGTTCTTCTGATCCCGACATGGAAGAGCCTGAATCATCTTCTGAGCCGCCGCTTTTCGTCTCTAGGACAGAACCCGTACCTCGGCGTTTGTATTTGCGACGAGGATTGATGTAAACAGAAGCCTGTTCTCCAGTACGTCCCGGGGGAGCAGTGGCAGGTCTCCGGACGCGATCGCTATAGGGGTTCGTGTCCATGGAAGGCGGAATCGTGGGAAAGTCAGGTCATTGGGGGCAGTTGCCGTCGCAGTGACTTGTAAACAAGCAAGTGGAAAGATCAACACCGTGGCAGAATAGAAAGAAGGCGAGCCACTTCTTGAGAGAATAATTAGTGACAGCAAAAGAAGACGGTGAGAAGGAAAAGAGGAGATGCTGCTGAACTCTGCTGATGTTGTCAAAACAGGGGCCTCCTAACTTTCCCAAGCCGTCACCGCTGTCAATCAGATCCCCAAATTCAAGGTTGCAGGCTTCTCGGCCCGTTTCAGACAAGGCTGCCGCCGCCCTAGAAAAGTGGATAGAACACTTATAGCGGAGTGAGATAGTGATAACGATAACGATAACGATAAGGACCAATAACCACCACCAAAACCCCAACTCACTGCATTGCATCAATTGCATCAGTTGCCTGCTCGTATCTCTCACAGCTCCCTTGCTACAAAACCTGTATCTGATCTTCCCAAACAATCAAATTGAATGCTACCTCTAGTCCCCCGTCCTCCACCCTCACCTCATATCAATTTCGTGAAGCCAGGCTACGGAAAGAGACCCAAAAGGCGACGTAGCCCCTCGTATCCTCCTTAGTCATCTGTTCACGTCCCACTCTGTCTGGACCCTGCGATAGGTTTATGAAACCATGAAACGGTCATAATGCGCTTTCGTTCCACAAGCTCCGCCAGACCTCGAGCCTCAAGCCTTCTTTGTCCGTAACTACCGCTCCCTCATAGAAGATCCGAATCGACTCTTGAAGGTGCATTCAATTCGGATTCTCAGGACATAGAATTCAAAGCGTACCATACCGTTATCGTACCCGGCTGTTCCGCCATCTGCCTCCATTCAGCACAGCATGGGCGAAATGGCTCAACAACCAGTATCTATCCAAATCGAGGACTACGGCATCATCGGTGACATGCGCACGTGTGCCCTGGTGGGAAAGAACGGCAGCATTGATTTCATGTGCTGGCCCAAGTTTGATTCTCCGTCCATCTTCGGCCGAATCCTCGACACCAGCAGAGGAGGCGGCGGCCACTGGAGCATCAGCCCTCAAAGCAGTACCGTGTGCAAGCAGAACTATCGAGCAGCTTCCAACATCCTGCAGACGAAATGGATTGACGAAGACGGCGTGGTGGACGTGACAGACTTCTTCGCGCTCTCCAAGTACAACAAGCTCCTTCGAGAGACATGGAGTGGCTCGACGTTGGTCAGAAAGCTCGAATGTGTGCGAGGGAAAATGTCTTTCGACATCGAACTCTGTCCGCGACCCGGCTATGCCAGGGACAGTGGCACCATGCGCGGATCCGAGATTAACAGCGAAGACGGCACATACCACCAGTCTCTCAAATGGGTTCCCGACAATCCGAAGGAATGCCAGGACATGCCCGAGTTCTTTGCTACTTACTGCACACACGAGCGGCCACTCAGTTCTCCTCCCAAGATGTTCCAGCCCGTCGCTTCGCCCGACGGCGCTGAAGACAAGTTGCGCGCCCGATTTGACCTCGAAGAAGGCCAGCAGATTTTCATGATCATGTGTAGCAAACACGTGGCGCCGCATCTGACCAAAGACCTGATGGTGAATCTCGAGACGGAGACGCACAAATTCTGGACGTCGTGGATTCGGTCATGTAAATACTCGGGTCGCTTCCAGCAAGAAGTTGAGCGCAGCATGCTTGTTCTGAAACTGTTGACCTACGACCCGACCGGTGCCATCGTGGCAGCGCCGACATTCTCACTCCCCGAGGCCATCGGCGGCCCTCGAAACTGGGACTATCGGTATTCGTGGGTGCGCGACTCGAGCTTCACCGTTTACGTGTTCCTGAAGATGGGCTTTGCCAGCGAAGCAGAGGCTTATATCAACTTCATCTTCGCGCGGATTGCTGAGTGGCGCAAGACTACCGAGGCGTCGGACACCATCCGCCACCTGCCGTTGATGTTCAGCATCGACGGCGACACGTCCCTGCCGGAGGTCACTTTGGATCACCTCTCGGGATATCAGGACAGTGTTCCGGTCCGCATCGGCAACGCGGCCACCGACCACGTCCAGCTCGACATCTACGGCGAGCTCATGGATTCCATCTACCTGTTTAACAAGCACGGCAAGCCCATCTCGTATGCGCAGTGGCTGGACATCCGCTACCTGACGGATTTCGTGTGCCGGGTCTGGGACCAGCCCGACATGTCCATCTGGGAAGTGCGCGGCCAGAGACAACATTTCACCTATTCCAAAATGCTCCTCTGGGTGGCCGTGGACCGCGCATTGCGACTGGCGGATAAACGCAACTTCCCTTGCCCAAATCGCCACAAATGGCTGGAGACCCGCGATACCATCTACGAGCAAGTCATGGAGAAAGGTTTCAATTACGACATGAATTGTTTCGTGCAGAGCTACGAGGCAAACACCACTCTCGATTCGGCCGTGCTGATTGCTCCACTGGTATTCTTCATGTCACCCAATGACCCGCAGTTCGTGGGCACGCTGGACAACATCTTGCGGACTCCTGAGAAAGGCGGCTTGACGTCCGCAGGATTTGTCTTTCGTTATGACCATCAGAAAACCGATGATGGTATGTCTGCACATCTCTTGTTTTGTTTGAAGCTTAATGAAGCCCCGTCCTTGCTTTTCTTCCGAGCATTGTCGTGTCAGACCTTTTATGCTGAGGATTTTCCTCCCGATGTCTCCGACTTGATTTCGTTTCGTTTCGTATTTCTTTGCGCTGCTTCTCCAATGCTTGTCTTTCTCCGCCATTGTCCTCGTTTGTTCTCCCATAATTGTTGCTGACTTTTTTCCTTCTCAATGGCAGGAATCGGTGGCAAAGAAGGAACATTCGTCATGTGCACGCTATGGCTCGTCGAAGCACTCGTCCGGGCCGGCAAATACTCGAAGCAATACCTCGACGTGGCCACGACCATGTTCGAGACAGTCAGCAACTTCCGCAACCACGTCGGCATGTTGAGCGAGGAGATTTCAGTCAGTGGCGAGCAGCTAGGCAATACTCCGCAGGCATTCAGCCATTTGGCCTTTGTAAGCGCTGCAATCAACTTGGAAAGGGTCAGAAGAGGCGACTAGACCACCGCAGGTATCGACCCAAAGTTGAATGGGCTGGGCAATTATTGCCAGTATCTTTGTAAGATAGTTCTCGTTGAACAATAGTCGACTGAGCTCGCTTTGGAAGTAATGGATTCCCTTTTCCTTGGTTCTCACATTCTTTCTCTCAATGATTTGTTTGATTTGTTTCATGGAGGATGATTTGAGTGGTCCTGGCGGAGTCTGTGGAATCGTCGATGCCACCGCCTTGGACCTTCGGTCATGATGCCCAATTCCTTCGCCAGTCGAAGATACGCTGCTTCCGAGATCTCTGAGTATTTCGCGCCAGGGCGCTCCGTTTGCAGCAATGCTTGACTTCTTGTTTGATGATGACAAGTGCTTGTCCCATGGTTGTAGTAGGCTCCGTCGAAAGTGTTTCTGCACGTTTTCTGCTTGACTGTAGTTGAGAGTCGAGACCGGTGGTTGCAAACAAGTTGATGCTCTCCTGGCCATCTCATGCTTCGGTCACTGTGCCTTTTCGATGTTGAGGAAAATTTGAACAGGTAATGGACTTGGTGCCTCATTGAATCTGATGTTGAACGAGAAGTTTTGACGATGAGACAAGTGGATGCTTTCTGATGCAATCACACAGCCGATTTGGCAACGTTGAGAGGTGAATTTGGTGAAAATGAAGTTTTGGTTTTGCGATTTCGGATGTCGATTCAATGCAATCGATGCACTGGTCCCCGAGCCACTCTTTTGTGTTGATGGCATTTGGACGAAGAAGAAAAAAGCAACCCACACCGCATGCTTGAGTTCTTTGCTGTTGAAAGTGACAAACTCCAACGCCGAACTCCGGAAGAAAGAAGAAGCAAGCAAGCAAGAAAGAAAGAAAAAGAACAACACACACTGTCCCAGCCCACCACCACCACCACTCGTCTATAGGGCAGTGCCCTACTCCTCCTCCGAGACCTCCTCCTCCTCCTCCTCCACCTGCGCCTGCGACTGCGCCTCTGCCTGCGAAGCTGCCGCTGTCGGAGCGGGAGCGAGGGCCCATTGCGCAACGCGCTGGGCAGCCGGACCGCTCTCCTCGGTCATGGGCTTCTTGGCCTCTTTCAACGCCAGGTTGCTTTCGCTGGCCACTCGCTTCCCCTTGCGAGCGCCATCCTGACGCTGAGGGTCTGACCCGCCGACCTGGCTCCTCAACTCGTCGACGGCACGCTTCTCGGCCTCGAACTGGATCCTGGCGACCTCCATCTTGTTTGATGCGACGGTCAGGTCGATCTCCTTCGTCCGGAGCTGCCACTCCATGTCACCAATGGCGACACGGTGCTGGTCGAGCTGAGCCCGCATTTCTGCCTGGGCCTCCAGCTCGTCCTCTGCGTGCAGCTCCTTCAGCAGAGCCAGTTCCACATCGAGGCCGTCCTTGGCCTCACGCAGCGCCTCCGCCTCCTCCGCTGCCGCCGCCTTCTCCTCCGCCAGCGCCTTGTTCTTGCGCGTCAAGTCGTCGATCAGGTGCTGGTATGTCTCAATCACGCCCCTGCTGGAAGGTGACGGTCGGGGTCGTGACAACAGCGGCGACTCTCCCAGCCTCGGTGTGCTGGCTGCTGCTCCCGCTCGTCCGGCACTTGAGACTGTCGACGCCGGCGTCAACGAGCCCAAGAATCTGCTGCCGGCCGGAGTCTGCGGGAGCGGGAGAGCGGCCGCTGGCACCAGCGCCCTGCTCGACGACTTTCCCCCCTCTACGGGTTCCTCCTCCTCCACATCCACCTCCATGGCCCCAGTCTGGCCCGGGCCTTGCTCTCGGAGTCGGCGGATCTCCTCGTCCTTGGAAACGGACGCCGCCTGCGCATCGCGCATCTCCTTTGCGAGCTTCCTGCCGGACCATTCCAGGGCCTCCACCTTCAACGCCAGGGCCCGGTTGTCGGCCTCCAGCTTCCGGCCAGCAGCGACGAGTTTTTCCCGTTCTTGGGATCGGGCCGCCTTTTCGGCGACTTCCTCGTCATACTGCTTCTTCAGTTCCTCGAACCGAAGATTGCCAGCTTCGAACTGCTGGCGGCCGGCCTGGAAGCGCCCTTCCAACTGCAGGTGGCCTTGTGAGGCGGCTTCAAGGCTCTGTTGGAGCCGGGCCACCACCTCCCCTTGTCGGGCCAACTCTGCATTGCCCTGGTCGTTGGCCGTCTGGAGCTCGCTCACCCGAGCGACGGCCGCTTGTCGTGCCTGGTCACAGGCCCCGAGAGTGCCCACCGTCTGGTGGTAGGCGTGTTCAAGGCTGCCGAAGCGAGCCTGGCTCTCGGTCAGCTCCTGGCTGACGGCACCAATGGCATTCTGAGCAGTGGCCAGCTCACCAGTCTTCAGCTGGATTTGTGCATGGAGTTCATCCAGCCCGGCCCTCAACGACCGGGCCTCCGCCTCGCGGGACTCCATGGCAGCCTTGGCTGCCTGCAGTTCCTCCACCAACTCCTCGTAGTTGGTGGCGGGGACAGTGGCGGCGGGGACGGCAGCGGGAAGGACAGGGGCAGCGGCAGGAGAAGCAGGAGAGGGGCAAGCAGGAGGAGAGACAGGGACCAGGTCTGCCTGGATACCAGCATCGGTGGTGTCGACGTGTTCTGTTTGTGTCGTCTTTTCGACGACAGATGACACTTCCTCAATCAGAGGAAGGTCGGTCTGAACCACCTTGTCGGCGTAGACAGGGGACGCCACTTCAACTTCCTTTTCAGGAAGAGGAAGGTCGTCCGTCTGCACGCCGACTTCGGTGGTATCGACAACCACCGGCGCAGGGACAGCGACCACCACAGGGGCAGTCTTTTTGGCCTTGGCCAGGCCCTCCAAGAGATCTACGATCTCTGCCTCCTTGACCTCGAGCTCGCGCTCAAGGTTTCGGAGGCGTCCAAGGACAGACGGGGTGACTACCTCGTCTGCCACTGGGGGAGAAGGACCAAATGGCCACTTCTCGAAAGGAGGGCGCCCTGGCCGGGCCTTCTGTCTGCCAGGCACGATCATGTTGATCACCTGGTTCTTTTCTGCCTCCACCGCCCGCTTATTGGCCTCCTCGACCCGCTTCTCGGCCTCCTCGAGTTTGCTCTCGAGGAAGGCAACCGATGCCCTACATTTGCCCAGCTCTGTGACGAGCCGGGCGTTTGTATTCTCCGTGTCCTTCCTGGCCTGTGCGTCAATGGCCCGGAGACCGGCCAGAACACGAAACTCGTGCTCGTTGACGTCTTGCTGGAACCCCCCGGGGACAAAACCTGGCTCGGGGGCTGGCAGCGCCGCCATTGCCTCTTGCAGGCTGTTGCAAATGCCTTTGAAGGGACGCTGGCACCAGCGGCCATAGGCCACCCCAATGGTGTGTGCGTAAAAACCCTCGACAAGGGCCCCAACAAAGCTTGCAAACCGCCAAAGGCCATCGGCCATCGACCTCATCATGTCCAAAAAGAAGGCCTCGGGGTCCTCGGAGGCTCGGAGGAACAATTTGAACATGCGGTACAGGATGTAAGCCGAAAGAGGCCAGTAGATGGCTGCCCACACCTTCCACTGGTCCTTGCGGTCGATGTCAAGTTCGTAATACATGAAATCGCCGATGGGCTTCTCGAGGTAGTTGACCCATTCCTCGATATCCTTTTCGTCCATGCTGATGATGTAGACAATGGCAGCGTAAAGCTGGAGGAAGAAGGAGATGGTTATCTGCAACATCGTTGCGTTTAGGTGAGAGTTGTGTGAGTGATGAGTTTTTGAGGGAGAGTTTGAGATGTAGCAGCGCGGATCCGAAGAATCTGCGATTGACTGCGATTGATTGCGACCGGTGAGGGCGGACGTCAGAGAATGAAGATGTCGAGGATGAGAGATGTTTGAATGAAGAGGATTCTGGAGTCTTCGTTGAGGGTAACCTGGGTAGCAGCACAGAAAGATTCTGCGATTGACTGCGATTGACTGCGATCTAGTGAGGGCGGACACCAGAGAATGAGGATGTCGAGGATGAGGATGAGGATGAGGATGAGAGAGGTGAGGTTGGCAGCACAGATCTCGAAAGAACTGCGATTGACTGCGATTTGGTTGAGGTGGCTCGAAGACAGTGAGAGAGAGAGAAGAGTTCTGGTTTCGAGCAGGAGAGGTATCTGAAGCGTCCACGAGACTGTAGAGGTTCACACTGACTGATGAGAGTGGTTTTGGTAACGAGGTTGATGGTGAAGGTAGAGAGGAAGAGAAGAGGAAGAGAGAGGAGGAAGAGGAAGAAGGCAGCAGAGATTTCGCAGACGGGGTTGTTGCTAGATCAACGCAGGATTGAATAAAACAGGGTGCGGCAGAATGAGAAACAGTGAATAGGAACGCGGTAGATGAAGGGGAGGCACCCTCGACACTGCCCATTGTCTTGCTGTGTTGGGATCAAAGAGATACATATTCACAGCACCAGCAATATCACCTTTCTATTGTACCATGTGCTCGAGGCAGCCACCGGTGTCACACCATCCCGTCGACAACGACGAGATCCACTAACTTTTCATGCGTAAGGTACGCGTCCCAATGCTGCAATATCCCTTGGACAGATGCCCGTGAAGCCGGTGAATGCGAGGCTGTAATAGTTGCAGAAAGTCGAGTCTGATTTTCAAGAAGATAGTCCGAGTCAAACATCAAAGCACGGTCGCGAGGAACGGCTATTGTCCCCCAAGCAAAGGCTCGCGCTCCCCTTTGCCCTGGCCATTCTTGCGTCGTCGGCGCTTTTTCTTCTTGCTGCCTCCATTCTGTTGTTCTTGGTCCTGGTCACTGCTTCCCCCTCGTAGAATCACCTCCGCTGACAACCGCTTGTTCTCATCATGTGGCGTCCGAACCTTATTCGCACCACTATTATCATCCTCCCCATTGGACTCGCTGCTGGAGGTTGTCTGGAGCACAACTTTGCGAAATCCATTCGTATCCACTATGTTTTCTGTGATGCTACCACTTCTGGCAGGGCCCCTTGGCTGGTAAAACGGACTTCTCGAACGCGTGCGTGAACTTGGCAGGCTCCCGATTGTACTCTCACTGGTCGTGGCCCTTGGTAGAGGTCGAGTCTGGCGCTGGTCGTCATCCTTGTCATGGTCGTCTGGCGTCGAGCGTTCAGCAGTTGGTGAATGGATCTGCTCCCCTTTTGTCGCACTATGTGGCCGTCTGTCACCAGGAGGAGAGGTAGCTCCATAGCCTTGCTGAAGGGCTTGTACCCCGTCGCTGGCCGCTTTTCCACCAGTTGTCACAATGGCTTCGCCAATCCCACTTTGGTAATCGGACGGGGTCTCAGATATCCTCCGGATCGGGCCTGCTCGGCCATCGCCGCCATTTTCTTTGGGCGTTGTATCTGTCGCTCGCTTTATTTTGACCGTGTTATACCGCGTGGACCGTGGTCTGCTCGCGAGATTGGAAGGGCCAAGATGTTTGAAATGCTCCTTGATCTCATCGGTACTTGGTCTTTTGTTGGATTTAGAATCCGTGGCGACACTATTTCCTGCGCTCGATCTCCGTCGTGGACCAGGAATGACTTTGATCTTCTGCTGGGTATTCTCAGAAGTCCTGGCTTTCTGTAAATCTGTTGGAGTGAGCGTTCCGGCCTCATCAATGTCGACAAGCTCTGAAGCGGTGCCATTGTGGGGAGTAGGCTCGGAGACAACGAAAGTCTTTGGAATTCGACGTGTCGGGGCGGGCATCGCGCGCCGAATGGCTCTGTGTACATCAACAAAGACATCCGACTCGTCAACAATCTCTTCGCCAATCAGTTCCTCAATGACGTCCTCCAATGTTACCACTCCAAGAGCACCATGGTCCTCACCTGGAGATTCTGACACCAGAACCATGTGAGACTTGCCCTCTTGGAAGAAGTTGACAATATCGAGGCAGCTTGTCTCTGGACGAGTCTCAGGTAGGGTAGCCAAAGCAAAATCGCGAACTGGCTTAGCGTCCTCTGGATCGTATGTGATCAGCATTTTGACCAGTAACATGCCAACAAAGTTGGAGTCGTTGTCAGGGTGGTGTATAGGTATTCTCGAATAGCCCTGCGAGAGTATGTTGTCCATGGTGGCCTCATCCAAGACATCGTCAAGGGACAGAGTGAAGACATCCTCCATGGGAGTCATGATGCTGCCTACCGACTTGTCCTTGAGGTCGAGAACGGCGCTGATAATTGTGACTTCGTCGGCGTTGAGCTGTTGCCCAGCTTCCCCAAGACTTCTGTGCAGTGATACCAGCGTTTTCAAGCCCGCCTTCTTATATACTGTTCCATGGTCTTCTCCCAAGAGATAGTCGAGTAATTTAGCGGTCGGCCATGCAACCGGGGCAAGGATGTACATGAGGACGAGGACGAACGGCGCCATCCAAGACCCAATTGGCAGACCATAACGCACGCAAACAGATTGAGGGGCGATCTCTCCGAAGATGACTGAAGTAAATCAGCAATTTGTTGCCAGAGAAAATATAAAGGGCAACACATACCAATGAGAATTGTAGACCCTAAAACAGCTGGCCACCCACCGCCGAGCGAACGGTCTAAGACGATGGGGAGGGTTTCGTTGGTGATGACATTGCTGAGCAAGAGTGTGACTAGAACCCAGTGCTTTCCCTTTCGCAGCAGGCTCAGTACTGTTGCGGCGTGTTTTCTCTCCTTGCCCTCGCCAGAATCCCGGATGACCTGAAGATATATTTCATCCTTATTCCCACGTCAGTGTCACACACACTGCCTGCGCACGGTTGCACACTTACTTGTCCCATTAATGCTATTGTCAACCCAGCGAAAGCGCCTCCGAGCAGCACCAATGCCGCTGCCACAGTCAGATATATCCATAGTGAAGGAGACCCAGGATCTTTTTCCTCCGGTGCCTCGGCTGCGGAGAACAGATGGAATGTATGGAGCGGAGCGGCTTGGACAAAGGGGATTTGTGAGATTCCAAGAATAAAGACATTGGCAAGGCCTAAGACCACGGGTCTCAGAGCAAGGTAAGGATTTCTTGTTCGGTTGTCCATGCTGCAAGCAGGATGCAAAGAATCAGAGGGTCATATTGGCGGGGACGGTGTTCGGTAGGAAGAGGAGGCTGGAACACGATCGAGAAGCTCGAAAAGCTGACAAGCGAGAGAAATGGAATCCGGTATAGAGCTGTATCGATTCTATTAGGATCACACCAACTTGAAGGATGTAGAGACAGAGTCGGTTCAGGGTAGTACTAGTAGGCGATGTATTGATGGCCTGCAGTCCTCAACATGCGGTTGATGGCTTGAGCAGGTAATTGGTGGACATGACTATGCACGTGGGTGGAGAGCACCGTCATAGAGGTATACTGGCGAGCATTCTTGCACTCAAGCGTGTCGCGGTTTGTAGAATGCTCCGCCGGTGCGCAAGAACGTCGCTGGGCCTGGCACACTGCACTGCAGGTGGAGTTTACTTCATTGGGGACGCGCCCATGCGCGACCGCGCGCATTGGCCGCAACCAGTCTCGTAAACATACTACTAGTATTGCACGTCTGCATTCTTCGCGCTCCCAACGCCAGCATAAATGAATCGACACGCTCTATTGAGCTGACATTGGCGCAGACGCGCCGTTCAGGTTTTCAGGTGGCATCAATGTCTCAAGCCAACCCTTCGTTCCCAGGCCGCAACGTATATGCCTCGTCGAGTAAACTGCCTGATCGAACGGCATTGAAGTCTGGACCCTCGGCTGTTCCGCAACCATACTCACAGTCGACTTTCGGGCGACGACCAGAGCAGCCCTACCAATTTGGACAATCAACAGCGACACAACAGCAGCATGGCGCGAATAGGCAAAGTATGGAGAAGGAATCGAATGCGCTGAGCGAACTCAGCGAGGAACAAAGAGACGAGATCAACGAAGCAGTCAGCCGCTCCTGCCTCCTTCTGCATCCGCGAGATGTCTGACTTGGTATCTATAGTTCTCCTTATTTGATCTTGACAGAGACCGCCATCTAGACTATCACGAGCTTCGAGTCGCCATGCGGTCACTTGGATTCACCCTACCGAAAGCCGAAGTTGCGCAGATAATGCAGTCGCACGGCGTACCGAAACCACAGTTTAAAAGGGGTCCGCCCGGCAGGGGACAACAATCCTATCATTCAAGCCAACTTCTCCTGCCCCAGAACGCATTTCAACGCGTTGCAGCTCAGAAAGTCTTCGAACGCGATCCGACGGACGAAGTTGAGCGCGCTCTTTTGCTCTTCGACCCCGATCAAAGGGGCTACATTGAGGTAGAGGATATCCGGAGGGTGTCGCGTGAGCTTGGAGAGACCGGACTCGAGGAAGAGGAGATACAAGCCATGGTTGAAGAGTTTGATTATGACGGCACCGGCACCGTTGCGAAAGAAGCGTTCTACGCTATTTGTCTGCAATAAATCCGTCGGCAGTCGGGTTCGACTTGAATTTGAACGACACGCCATGATGGATACGGCCTCGTTGGATTACACCCAAGTCTCGCAATCTGAACTGTCGACGTCTCGGAAGTTGGGCGTTCTTCCGTCTTGGATGCTAAATCACCTTGGAAATTACCATGGAAGCTGGACAGGCCCGTCTTTGGCCGTCTCCTTTCCCATCACGACATCCCAGTTCCCAATGTCCTGAGTTCCCCTAGGGGCCCAGTATGTCCCTGTCTTATCTAGCGAAAACTCTTTCTCAACCCATTCGCCCAAGATTCGGGCAGCTTCTTCGGGTTTGAGCGCACCTCCAGCGTCCCAGAATTTGTCGAACCCGACACCTTTGGTCATTTCGGTCCTCATGAAGCTATGCCAAGTTAGCCAGACTACAATCTCCACATTTGGTGTGCTAGCCCGAAGGCCACCTACCTAGGATGTACCGAGACCACAGCGACACCTTCATCTTTCAAATCAAACGACAATTGCTTGGCCACCATGTTCAGAGCAGCTTTAGAACCATGATGTCCATAATTACCACCTCCCTCCTGCTCATGCCTCAGTGTAATTGAACCAGATTCTGACGATACAAGCACAACTTTGCTACCCTTGGACAAGATGGAGGCCTTGACTAACTCTTGGACGACAAAGACCGGCGCGACCGAAGAGAGCGTGTACATTTTGATTTCCTCGTCCCATTTGGCCTCGCCAAAGTCCTCGGTCACAAAATATCCGGCGGTGACGATACAGGTGTCAATTGTCTTGCCTTTCAGCGAACTTGCGAGGTCCTTCCCACAGCTTGGTTTCGACAGGTCGATGCCGGTCAGCCAGGAAACATTGTCGGCTTTCAGGCTGGGAGATACATCGGATGACCGAGACGTCGCGTACACCGTGTACGAAAGGCGCTCGGCATAGTATGTCACCAGAGCCTTCCCAAGGCCACGTGTGGCACCCACTATGAGTGTAGAAGGCATGATCTCGCAAGCAGGCCGAGAGAAGAGGACTGACTGCCTTATTGTAAAAACGAGGCCAGAAGGAAAAGAGAGAGCTTCAGAAAGTCACCACATGAAGAGTTGAAGATTTGGATATCAAAGAATCACGCAATCTAGTACTCGGTACAATAAGTACTGGGCCAGGTCTTCAATCCTTTGGTCTATCTCCATCCAATCTGCATATGGCCGCGGATTGCCCTTCAAGAATGGCCAATGACGTCACAATTACCTTCTAGACACTTACCCAGTTTGGGTACCTTACCAGTGTCTCCAGATTTTGGGCTGCGAGCGCGCAGATCCTCATACTGCCAAATCTTAACTTTCCGCCTGCGATCATTCTATAGCTGCCCACCTAATCTTCAAAGCTTTGTCAAGAAGAGGTGCAAAGAACAACGGACCTGCATGTCAAAACTACCAAACTGCATACCTCTCCCCTCTTCAGTTGCTACTTTCACCCCTGATACCAGATCCCTCAACCGGTGGTAGACACACTCATCATGGCCGACACCGAAGAAACACCTGCACAGCGACAAGCGAGAATTCGGCGGCAGAAGCGAGAGGCGAAGATCACAAGCGCGGCGACCGAAAGGCTCGACAAAATCACCAAACTTAGTGGAAGGACTCCGGAGAGCTGTGAGTTCCCCATATTAGCGAACACATCCTGCATTGCGCGAGATCACCTGTACATTATGTTTATCGACGGTGTTAAAGGACAAATCATGGAAGCACCAAGCGTTGTTTGAGAATGCTTTCGCAATACAATTGTCACGGAGATAACTAACATCAAGCCCATTCTTCAGTGAAAAGCGACTCTTCTGTATCGACGCCCTCCGGCACGTCTACGCCTTCGCAGGTCCCTACTCCGAACCTTGGGCCGGATGCTCCAGGTTCGGCAAGTCCCGATCAGCTCAAAGCACAGGAGGAATATCTGAGAACATTGTTGAGACAACCAATACCGCAAGATGGCCCAGCACCAGTAGAACAACAAGAAGAGGACCCCATGGTGAAGATGCTACAAGCCATGATGGGAGGGATGGGCGGTCCAGCCGACCCCAGCGTCCCAGGGGGCTTGGGTTCAACCCCCGGGTTTTCTCCGGACGACATATCAAAAGCGACAGGGCTTCCCTCGTTCTTGACTAACATGGTGATGGGAGGACAGAAGGCACCACCCTCAGAAGCGGAGGTGCAAGCCACGAGGTTGTGGAAGGTGCTGCATGTCGTTTTCGCCGTCATGGCAGGGCTGTATTTGGTACTCAGGGTCAACACATCTGTCGAACTGTTTGGCGAGAATCCGCCGGCGCCAGCAACCTTCCAGAATCCCTTTCTAGTGTTTGCAACTGGTGAACTGCTCATGCAGACGACCAGGGTGGCAACCAAAGGGCAGTCGGGCAAAAGCGGATTTGGTTTGTGGCTACAGATGGTTAGGGAATTTATCGGGGATGGGGCAATCCTGGTGTTCATGCTAGGGATAGCGTCCTGGTGGAAAGGAAGTTTATAGACAACGGCACTATTAGTGAACGGGGTCCGCCAGTCTCATCCGCAGCCAGTATTTCTACGCGAAGAGACTTGTTGCACTGTTGTTCTTGCCCATGCTCGCCAGCCTTGTCCGCATTTAAACATGGCGCATCGTACAACACATGTGTCACACCACTGCCGCAGTCGGCTCGCCCACGGCTGAAAGGTCGCGTGGTAAGTACTTCACTGCCAAGGTCGCGGGGATGTGGCCGGACCACGGGCACCGGGCCTGCTGTCAGCCCCTTTCCGGAAAGGTGGAGGCATGGCATATTCTCGGAAATACGAGTAGGTGGATGGACTTCGGACGCTGAAGCATGGGGGACGTTTCTTGCCGGTTTGTTGGCCTTTGCGGGTTTCACGACTTGGTGCAATAGGGCAGACAGCCGTTGCCTACTATGATGGAACACGACCGAGTGAGATCTTCCCGGAATATTACTAGTAGAGGTTATTGAAGGAGCAAGTATCATCAAGGACGATCATCGAAAAGACCGGCACTGGCATTGGCACTTTGGGGAAAGGTACATCAATCTGGAGAAAGACACCGGGGCACCACACACCAGTAGGCCAAGCTCGCAAGCGACACTAGATGAACTCCTGGGTACCAATTATAACCTGGCAGTGCAATCAAGTTGCAATGATTAATCGAAGGGTGTCCGGTGATGCCTTGGGCCGTCGCCCAAAGAGAAGCCGCACGGGTAACAGTCCAAAAGTGTGACCTACCCACGTAGGTACCTTAGATATCTGAAAGAGTGTGTTGGGACAAGGGTCTGCCAGATCTGGGCCTATAGGAGAGCCTTAGGCTAGGATTACAGGGGGTCGATCAACTGAGGCACGGGTAAAAGGATAGATGGTTATGGAGGTTCCTAAGGCCAATACTCTCATTGGGTGAGTTCGCGTTCTCATTTTCCAACGCGACGACAAGAGCTCCAGCTTTCCCCGCAGCGCCCGCCCGACTCGGACCAAATCTTTCGTGGTCTTTTCTTGTCTGACCAGCTCAATCCCTGCAAATCCTCCGGGTCACTCGATCAGCTTGTTCCTAAGGTAAGGTAGTCTGGGGTTGCGCTGGTACGAGCGCTGCATCTGGGCTTCTTGGATTCCGATCGTCATCCACCGCTCTCTCCTACTAGTATATTAAACCTCTTGAACACCCACCTTGATCCCGGTCCCTTTCCTGCGAACCCGCAGCGTCCACTTGCGCGCAGTTCATATAAACAAAAGCAGCACCTGCAGCCTCCGACAGCTCAGAACCTCTATACTGCCTGTCCGTGTCCGTTGTCAGTCGTAACTGGGTGCCTGCGTTGTTCCTATATAGACATGTCCGAGGGCAATGTCAAGCCCTCCAAGGGCCCCGTTGTGGTATGTGACCTCCATTGAGATTTGCAAGCTCCTCATTGACACCATGTGCAGGCCGAAGCCCATGAAGTGGACACTTTCCAGTATGTTACCAATATGCTGCCTTCTTCGCCGTCCTCCTTGTTGACCAACGAACAGCGTTCCGAAGGCGTTTTGGACGAAGGGGCCTGGCAAAACTCACCTAAAAGGCATCGATGAATACAACTCCATGTACAAGGAGTCCATTGAGCAGCCGGACAAATTCTGGGGCAGGCTCGCTCGAGAGCTGCTAACGTGGCAGACGGACTTTCAAACAGTGCGCAACGGAACCCTTGCAAACGGCGACAGTTCTTGGTTCCTGGAGGGCCGGTTGAATGCCTGCTACAACTGCGTTGACCGGCATGCCATCAAGAACCCAGACAAGCCAGCCATCATATACGAGTCTGATGAGCCCGGCGAGGGTCGCGTGCTTACCTATGGCGAGCTTCTGCGTGAAGTATCCCGGGTGGCATATACTCTGAAGCAGATGGGAGTGAAGAAGGGCGACACCGTTGCACTCTACCTTCCCATGATTCCCGAGGCACTGGTCTCCTTCCTGGCCGTCACACGCATCGGCGCTGTCCACTCGGTCGTCTTTGCAGGCTTCTCCTCAGGATCGCTAGCTGACCGGATTATTGACGCCAACTCCAAAGTTGTGATCACCACGGATGAGGGCAAGCGCGGCGGCAAGGTCATTGGAACCAAGAAGATTGTCGACGAAGCTTTGAAAAAATGTCCTGACGTTACTCGCGTCTTGGTGTACAAGAGGACGGGCGCTGATGTGCCCTGGACCAAAGGCCGAGATTTCTGGTGGCATGAGGAGGTCGAGAAATATCCCAATTATATCCCACCGGAGAGCATGGCTTCTGAAGACCCTCTCTTCCTGCTCTACACATCTGGCTCAACGGGCAAACCCAAAGGCGTGATGCATTCAACAGCGGGGTACCTGCTTGGGGCTGCGGCAACCGGCAAATACGTCTTCGATATTCACGATAACGACGTTTTCTTCTGTGGTGGTGACGTTGGTTGGATCACCGGTCATACATATGTTGTGTATGCTCCTCTTCTTTTAGGTGTTGCAACGGTCGTGTTCGAAGGCACTCCTGCGTACCCCGACTTCTCTCGTTATTGGGATGTCATCGACAAGCACAACGTTACCCAATTCTACGTCGCCCCGACGGCGTTGCGCCTGTTGAAGAGAGCTGGTGATGAGCATATCCATCACAAGTTGAGCAAATTGCGAGTATTGGGTTCGGTGGGTGAACCCATTGCTGCCGAGGTGTGGAAATGGTACTTCGAGGTCGTAGGGAAAGAGGAGGCCCATATTGTCGACACGTACTGGCAAACCGAAACAGGGTCTCACGTGATCACCCCCTTGGCCGGCGTCACCCCGACAAAGCCTGGCAGCGCATCCCTGCCCTTCTTCGGTATTGAGCCTGCAATTATCGACCCTGTCTCCGGTGAAGAGATCCAAGGTAACGATGTTGAGGGTGTGTTGGCTTTCAAGCAGGCTTGGCCAAGTATGGCCAGGACCGTGTGGGGCGCCCACAAGAGGTACATGGACACCTACCTAAATGTCTACAAGGGCTACTATGTGAGTGCATCCGTTAACTGTGAAGTATGTATTGAGCGGTAACTAAGCCCTGCCATAGTTCACCGGTGATGGTGCCGGACGCGACCACGAGGGCTATTACTGGATTCGCGGTCGGGTTGATGATGTCGTCAACGTGTCTGGTCATCGTCTATCGACGGCCGAAATCGAGGCTGCATTAATCGAGCATGACGGAGTTGCCGAGGCTGCTGTCGTCGGGATCAATGACGAGCTCACCGGTCAGGCCGTCAATGCCTTTGTGTCACTCAAGGACGGAGCGGACACAGGCGAGGCCATGCGCAAAGACCTTATCCTACAAGTTCGAAAGTCCATCGGTCCTTTTGCAGCGCCTAAGGCCATCTTCATTGTGGATGATCTCCCCAAGACCCGGTCGGGCAAGATCATGAGGAGGATTCTCCGGAAGATCTTGAGTGGCGAGGAGGATAGCCTTGGAGACACTTCCACTCTCAGTGATCCAAGCGTGGTGTCCAAGATCATCGACACGGTCAAGGCCTCGAAGAAGAAGTGAGCGAGAAACGTTTGGAATAAACTGTGTGTGTCGTAATTAGTATACCCTCCGGTTTGTCAGTTTGAGCCTTGGATAGGAAAACGTACACCCTTTCATAGCCAATGAAATATCGCAAACGGTTCGGATTGTCACTCACGACGGAACCACCATGTCTGCCTGCATCTGACTGAGCCTGGATGGGAATGTCGCAGCCAGGATTGGACTGCGCATCCAGAGATTTCTTTCATGCATACCCTCTTTATGTTGTGTCTCTCTCCTGACTCACACGGCGCTGCCTCAAGATCAGGCTTCCCACAACACAGGCAGGCGGACAGATACGGTAGTTGCTGCTTTCTGGTCATATACTAGTACCACAGGTAGTACCATTCAGTATATGCGCTGGCTGTATTGGTGCTTGCATGGCAGACCTGCTGAGTCATCAGTCACTAACTTACCATTAGTACTCTCTAGTACTAACTTAGTACTGGAATCTGGTGTCCGCACTTGGCAGAGACTAAATTCACAGTGCAGCGCAGTTTGTAGCTAACAACTCCCTCTCAGTAAATCAAGGCGCGTCCAACCCTCGACCTAAGCGGCCTACATCGCAATATTGTTGACGAGAGCCTTATTCACAAATTGGCCGTCCAGTGTCGAGGTTCCAATCAAAAGGAGATCCCTGCAGGGAACTGCTGCCTGCGATCCTCGCCTCCTTCGACAACACTGCTCTCTGTGCGGCGCGTCACGAATTTCCCCGCCAGATACAGAGTCGTATTCATTCTGTCGCTCGTTCTTTCCATTCAATCTCGCGCTCTCTAGTTCGATATTGCGCAACGACGCGCATCAACACCGGGCAGCATGTCGTTCGGCAGTGGCGGCGGCTTTTCCTTTGGGTCCAACACCAATCCTCAGCCAACTGGGTTTGGAGCATTCGGGAATAACACCAACACCAACACTGGTAAGTGAAACGTCTACTCGAGGTATATTCACACAGTCTCTGATCTGTCTTGTCTAGGCCCAGCCTTCGGTTCCACAAGCAACACTGGCTTTGGTGCGAGCACTGCTGCCTCGAACCCTTTCGGTGGTAGCACTTTCGGGTCCAACACTGGAGGTGCGTATCAACATTACAATCTGCGCTGCCTTCTCTTTCATCGGCGGCTTCTTTATAAACATGCCTGTGCTCTGCACACCCACTTCTAGCATATAGCACATCGCATCTCCCTCTCCTCGTGTGGTTGCTATGTCTCTTGGAGGAGATCCACGGCTTCGCCGCCGCTACCCCCCTTCACGCCTGGTTATGACTCGTCCTGGTTCAGCGCTCTCGACATACCTCTCAGAAGTCGCAGAAAGAGATGAACTAACAGCACCTCCTTCAGGTTTCGGTGGCACTAGCACCAACACTTCCGGCTCCCTTTTCGGTAGCAAGCCAGCATCCAATCCCTTCGGCACAAGTACTACGAACACAGGAGGTGGGCTCTTTGGTGGTGCCAACAACGCAACCACAAACACAGGTTTCGGAAGCTCAACAGGAGGATTTGGCAGTACTAACAATGCGTTTGGAGGAACCAATACCGGCGGCTCGGGCTTCAGCTTCGGAAATGCGAGTGCGAACAAACCTGCCTTCGGTTCTGCCGCCAACACAACCCCTCTGTTCGGTCAAGGTGGCTCAGGAACGACTGGGGCTTTTGGCACATCAAGTGCCTTTGGCTCTGCTGGCGCAGGCACTGCTCTGAGCAGCCAGCCAGTCCCTCCTCCAGAAGGTACTGCCGCCACTCCGTTCGCTCCCACATTGGAGAAAGACGCCGCTGGCCAGAGCAGCAACTATCAGAGCATCAACTTCATGCCACCATATCAGAAATACTCTTTTGAAGAGCTTCGCTTGGCCGACTACAACGCTGGGCGTCGATTCGGGACGTCCACCGGACAGGCTGGCGCCTTCGGCTCCAGCACATTCGGTGGATTTGGCTCGACGAACACTCCAGCCTTTGGCAGTAATACTGCCAATCCCAGTCCTTTCGGTGCTGCATCCACTTCATCTACAGGATTCGGTTCTACTTCGGCCACCACTGGCTTTGGTGGTGGTGGTCTGTTCGGAAACAAGCCAGCTTCTGGAGGTTTGTTCGGTCAACAATCCTCAGGAACGTCTTCTGGAGGATTATTCGGGACAGCGAACAATACCCCAAGTCCATTTGGAGGCAGTAACCCTGGCTTCGGCTCCGGTGGTGCCAGTGGTGGTCTTTTTGGCTCCAATACTGCCAATCAGAACAAGCCAAATCCGTTCGGCGGTGCCACCAGCACACCTTCGTTCTCTTTTGGTAATGCCAATACCTCAACTCCAGGCACAGGTACGGGTACGGGCACCGGTACCGGGCTGTTCGGCAGCAGTACAAATACCAACACCAATGCATTCGGCGGAAATACTCAGCAACCTTCCGGTGGGCTTTTTGGGACCCAGCAGAAATCCCTCTTCGGCGGCAACACTACTGGAGGCTTCGGCACATCGACAACCCAGGGCCAACCTTCAACCGGAGGACTATTTGGCAGTGCTGGAAATAATGCAAGCAACCCCACCAGCGGCGGTCTCTTCGGCAATACCAACACCCCAAACAACACCAACAATAGTGGAGGACTATTTGGATCAAATAACGCCTCCGGAGGGTCACTCTTCGGGAACAATGCTAACAGCGCTCAGAAGCCTGGTGGTCTTTTCGGAGGGAGTACTTTTGGAAACACAAACACGGGAAATACCAGCGGTGGGCTGTTTGGGAACACGGGCACCAATAACCAACAATCTGGTGGTCTGTTCGGAAACAACAACAACAACACTGGCGGTGGCTTCTCCTTCGGAAATGCTGCTAATAAACCCGCCACGACGTCTCTTTTCTCGAACACCAACACCAACCAACAGGGTGGTCTCTCGGGCTCAACAGGCAACTTCGGTGGCCTTTTCGGCACTTCGCAGGGTGGCCAGCAGTACAACCAGCAGCAACCAGAAGTCAAGCATGCTTCTCTAAACGACCCGAATCCTTATGGTCAAACCTCCATCTGGACGGGCTTACCCGTTCCCACTCCCGACAACTCAAAGCCCATTTTTACCCCGTTGTCAGCTACACAGAAGCTGAAGGAAAGCCAGTCGAAGCCTCCACCAAGCCTGCGATTGAATCAATCTCGCTACATGACACCCCCACGACGCTCTGGCTTCGGCTTTTCCTACTCTACATATGGCACACCCAACAGCGCGGCGAGCACCCCTGGCGGGACTAGCTTGACTAGCAGCATGTACGGTAGCAGAAGTTTCAATGGTGGCAGCTTTGGTCGTTCCTTCAGCAAGAGTGCCTCTGCGAGCAACTTGAGATCGCAATTCAACGGTGATGAAGGGAGCATTCTAAGTCCAAACGCATTTACAGCCACTAACACACGCTGGTCGAGTGGCAACATGCGCCGCCTCACCATTGATCGCAGCATCAGAAACGATCTTTTCAGTCGGCCGTGTCTGCCTGCTTTGCCAGCCACTGCGCCTGAGAAGGCGGTCAACGGTAGCATCGAGCCCGCAGCCACGAACGGCGAACCGTCAAGCGAGCCTCCCAACAAGCTCAAGAAGCGAGTAAGCTTTGACAAAGATACTACAGGTGGTCAGAGTGGTACCTTGAACGGCGACTCCTCGGCTCTTGTGAGAACCGAATCAGATGAAGGAGAAGCAGATGCTCGGGCTCGCCGTGGGGCCTCAAATGGAAGTGCTACACCCGAAGCGGAGCCGGCTTCTAGGGGCAATGAACTTGCTGTTGTCCCTGAAGATCGTGAATCTGACAATGTCATCTCCAAGACGCCCACGACCGTACAGGCGAAGGCAGACCCTCAGCCGGGGGATTACTGGATGAAACCATCCCGTGCGGAACTCAACAAGATGCCCCGCGAGAAGCTGCAAAACTTTGTTGGGTTTGAGGTCGGCCGGAAGGGATGTGGCAAGGTGGTCTTCAACGGTCCGGTCGACTTGACTGCCATTCCTCTGGACGATCTTTTCGAGAAGATTGTCGAGATCCGGTTGCGGTCTGTCACTGTCTACCCAGACCCTAGCACCAAGCCTCCGGTTGGAAAGGGTCTCAACGTGCCGTCCACCATCTCCATCGAGAACTCTTGGCCTCGCTCACGCGGCCAGCCTTCGTCGGCAACCAGCGGGCCTGTCTACGAGAAACATGTTAACCGACTCAAGAAGATGCACGGCACCGAGTTCATCAACTATGAACCTTCGACAGGTGTCTGGACTTTCCGAGTACCTCATTACACGCGCTACGGATTGGATTATGATGACGATGAGGACGAACTTGGCCAGAGTCAACTCTCTCTACCCCCGGACTCAGTTGATCAAACGCGGTCTGCTGGAGCTTCGGCGATGGAAGTCGACAGCGAGGGTCCAGATGATTACGAGGATGACGGAGATGACACGTTCGCTTTCAAGCAGAAGATTGTTCCTGGTGGATTTGGTCGGCGGTCCGCCATTGACTACGACGAATCCATTCCATCGGCACAGACGGCCGAGGAGGATGGCCATGATGTCGACTCTACTGGGGAGTCGGACGCTGAAACCTCTGACAATGAAGTCAGCATGGCCGGCTCATTCCCCCCTCCCGGCGGGTCCCAGGCACTTGACTTCCGGAGCCCAAACAAACCCATTCTCAAAGCCAGTCGTATGGGTACACCCGGTAAAGCGCTCATTTCACTGGAAGGCGACTGGGCTGAGCAGCTGCAACGTACCATCAGCCCGCGCAAGCAGAACCGGGACGCTCTGCGAGAAGTTCAGAGCAAAGTTCTCCTCGACCGTACTTACGAGCCCATGAAGCCCGCAGCTCTGAACAAGAAGGAATTTCGAACCAGCATCGACATCATGAACTCGTTATTCAGTAAACACGAGGAGAGAATGGCGAAGGGCAAAAACGCACAGGCAGGGCCGGACCTTGAGGTTTGATTCCCCCTCTCTTTCTTCCTGTTCATTGCCTTGACTTGAATGTACTGGAATGGAATCATGCGAGTTGCAGCGGTATCGACAGATTGTTACAAAAGCCCACGATTTCCCGAAAGAATTGGTCGCCATAGTTCCTCAACAGCTAGCTTATTGAATGAAAACACATTGCTAAGACATTGTCTGTCCATCTAGTTTCCCTATGCCAAGCGCGCAAAGACAGTCGACGAACATGACATGTCAGAGATTGACCAGCGTTGGCACTCATCGTTCAAGCCTCACTTCACGCCGACGAACGAGTTCACCTGCAAGTCGAAAGCCGGCAACAGATCCGAGGCCGGCTGGACCACGACTGTGCTGCTGGAGAATCCGAGCGGCAGTGTGGTGTTGACTTCACTGGAAGGCCACACCGAAACCGTGAGTCTGCTGTTCATATTGGATCCTTTCCGATCGAAGTATATACTAACTCCTGTCTTTTTCAGAACATGGTTGGTGTCGAGTCACTCCTGGGCAACACCCATATCACTCTCGTCGATCATGTGCCTTTCGCAACGCATGTTGTTGTTCCTTTCTCACAGATCAAGGACCAAATGATCCGCCAACGAAGCAGCAGTGAAGAGATCGACATCTATGAGCTTGCACATGTTCTATTCGACGACTACGAGGATGAGTTCACACTAGGTCTCAGCCGCCAGCAGCAGCAGGAGTTCTCGGGCCGCATCCGGAAACACCGTTTGTCGAAGTATCTATCTGCGCTAGTCTGGGCCAGACATGGAGACGGAATTAAAGCAGCTGAGAAACGAGACGCCGCCACCGCAGCGATACTGCATCTAACAGCAAAGAACGTCAAGGCTGCATGTGATGTGTTGTCGCAAGAAAAGGACTTCCATCTCATGTTGCTCGTGGCGCAGATTGACCAGGCCGACAATGCCTTCCAGGACGACATTGAAGATCAGCTCACCGCATGGCGCCGGCAGGGCATCATCTCCGAAATGACCGAGGAGATTCGCGCCTTGTATGAAATCCTGGCGGGCAATACATGCATTTCTGAGGGCAAGCAAAAGGGTCCGGTGGAGGATCGCACGCCAACATTTGCCATCTCTGAGAAGTTCGGACTCGACTGGGTCCAAGCGTTCTGTCTGTGCCTGTGGTACGGTCAGCAAAAGAATGGGGAGATCCAGCACGCGGTAAAGGATTTCCAGGAGATGTTGGCAACAAAACAGGAATCGGCCAGTCCAGTGGATGGGAATGGCAATGAAGACCCTCTCTGGGTGCTGTTGAAGCTCTTCGCCAGCAAGGTCAAGGGAAAGGGCCCGGCCATCGACGAACCGGTCTTCCCTCAGGCACTGTCTTCGTTGTCTCGACCATGGGATTGTCACAAGACATTCCGCCTGCACCAGGCCATAGCTGCCGTCATCCCGGGCGTCACAGTGGACGGAGCTAAGGCAGATGATCTCGCCATGTCGCTGGCGTTTGAGCGGTCAGCCCGCGGCGATATTCTAGCAGCCACGGTGGCCCTTTTGTATGTCTCGGACTCGACGAAACGCCAGCGTCTCATCATAGACCTGCTCTCGAGACATGCTGCAGCTCTGCCCGACCCACCCAGCGACGACCAGCCAACTCAGTCGCCTCTCTGGACCGGTCTAACCTCGTCCCTGAAAATCCCTACTTCTTGGATCTGCCACGCCAAAGCGCTCTATGCCCGGTCATCAAATCTGCCTCTTGCTGAGCTCAATCTCCTGATCCTAGCGGACGAACTCGCAGAAGCCCACGAGTGCCTTCTTCGTCGCGTGGCTCCCCGTCTGGTCATCGACGAGGACTGGGACACCCTCGGCACAGTACTAGCCAAGTTTGGTGACACGCCCGAGAACAAGGTCGATGCTGGCAGTGACACGGAGTGGCAGGCTGGCGGTGGGGTCTATGCCGACTTTGTCTCGTTGGTAGCTCTCATGGACGGCGGCGCGGCCGGGTCTGGGCCTGGTCGAGCCCGCGCAAGTAATGCTGAAGCCATCGCAAAGCGCAAGACTCTGCTACGCCGTTTACAAACAGCTTTGATGGGCTTGAATGCCCAACTCTCCGCCAACACTATTGATGCCCAAGGATCGCTGGACCAGGATAGGGAGAAATTGGAGGAGCGGGTGGCGCTGTGCGAGATGGCCAGAGCTGTCGCTCGAGCCGTGGAGCTTGAGGATGACAGAAATGTCGGTGACAAGGTATGTGATTTCCTAACTATATCCCGCTGTTGGGTACTGTCCTTTTGCTCTTTTCCGCCTGGAAGGATCCGGTTTTAAGACCATCTACTAACAGTCATGGTCCTTACTTCAGAAATCAATCCTCGATCTCCCTCTCACCTCCGATGCGAGGTTGACTCATGCTCGGGCTCTGGGGGTGGAATACTACCGTGGGGTAATGGCAATGGCTCGTTGATCGTTTGACGCCTGTAAGAAGCATGGGGTTGCCGGCAGGGGAAATGAGAGACCAAAGTTTTCTGCCAGACTTCATTTGATCACTTCGATGCTGCGGATGGTAGAGATTGTGGACTGCATCCGCATCCGCATCCGCATCATGCATGTATGATTACTGCGCACGATGCAGCTTGACCTTCACTCAGGCATGGACTGTGTAAGAAATTGACCGGCAGACGAAAGGGGGAAAATGTCATGAATGTAACCCCATCTTGTCCCTTGTTCCCTGACTCGTATCCTGCTTACAAGCCTCGTGGTGGCTTCCAGACAAAGGAGTTTAGTTTGACAGCTGCTGGGCTGACCATCAGCTCCAACTTCTCGAGTGTCCTCACCTAGTTGGCTCCCTTCGATTTTGAGCCAACGTAACTACCTAGGAATGCCTGGCCTGCCCGAGAGTCTCGCCGGTAGCGGCAGTCCGTTCATTCAGAAAGTCGTCGTCGGTGTCGTCCTTCTTCCTCTTCGTGCAACGAACCGTGTAGCGTCCGTCTTGGTTCGCAAAACAGCAAAATACCTCGAGTCAATGTTCCTCACAGACACACCGGCCCAATCATGTCTGACACCCAAGAAGTCGTTGTGCAAATAGGCTTTCTCAGTTACTGACCCAGTGTCAATCGCCGGTACACCAGGTATGGGAGTCTATTTGTCTTGATGTTTAATCTGGTGTTGGTTCGAATTTCGGAGGTGGAGGTGGAGGTGGAGTTTGGCCACTTTCCCCGAAAGTTGAACTTGTACTCTTGTATCGATCTCCTAAAAAATTCATGATCATGTCCCTGCATTGTGTCTCTGGTTTCACACCCATCGCGCCTATCTCATGTCCTCAACCGAACTCTGAAAGGAAGTTGACAAAGTATTCTCTGGTAACCGGTTGTTGCTTCGATCATCTGGCGAACTGACCTTTCGAAAAACTCAAACTCCAACACCGGCCCGGGCTTTGTCGCCTCGACGTGGCGCGGCGTGGCTGCAGATCTGCGGTAGCCGGTGACCGGTGGCCGGCCAACAGACAGACCGGCGGCGCTGAGTCAAGTGACCGTGACCGTGACCGTGAACCGAGGAGAACTTGCCGCGCGTACTGTACTGTATATTCATGTTTTATGTTTTGATCCGGTCTGCAACAAAGTTTAGGGAAATGTATGGTTTGCCGGCGCGGGCGGGGGGGTTTGGGGGATGTGGAGGATATCGACCCTCAAACCACGTTGACGGCCAACTCAAGAATTCTTTCCCAGTGGGCCTTTCATAACCTCAAGCTCAAGGTAAACTTCCGGGCAAACAAGACGGGATCGTAGCCGTAATTGTAATTGGGCGAGACCCCGTCCTACCATTGCCGGTACGGCCCTCGGTGAGCGGATATGATGCAGTGGTCTAAAGAACGAAAACTCTGTTTCGACCTGTGTGTGAGTGTGAATGTGAATGAATGGTTGATGCAGTTGGGAACGTCACGTCACGTCGTTGGATTTTTGAGATGTAGCATTTGCGGTTGAAACTCGAAAATCTCCGGCGCGCACAAGCCGCCGCTGTCGGACAACAATAAGGTAAGTAAGTATTTTACTCTTGATGGTGCCGATGTCAGAGTTTGCGCTGGGTTCAAGTTCGTCGTAGTAGTAGTCATATCACATGGTTTAATGTCAGAGATGGCAGGAGTCGAGGAGGTCCATGTGGGCGGATGAGAATGACATGCATTGAGCGGAAGCAAATCGGTCAAGATTGATTGATGGATGACTCAGCCTCAGCCTTGTCCGCTCAGGGGTAAACGCCTCACGTGATCCCGCCCCTTAATTAAGGATATACGTGTCGGTGGCCACGAATTGTCGGTTCTATGGCTGATACATTAGGTTTCCATACAATTGGCATGATAATACTGGCATACATGTGAGGGTAGGTGCACAGACAAGTGGATATCATATTATATTACATGTAGCAGGGAAAATGACCTTCGGAAGGAAGGCTTCAACATCGACTCATCGTATAGATACTGATTAGGGATTGTGGGCTCAGGATAGAGAACGGGTATATACAATTCTGTCTAGCCGGGCAAGTGACCCACTATCAATTGTGGAAGGGTTCGCTTGGTCTTGAATGGTTGCCTTTTGCCCAAAAAGTGTCAATTGTCTCGGCCTGAGCCACTTCCTGGCCACTGTTTCGTGTTGGGTGAGCCGTTTCAGGCCTGTCTCTTCTCAGCAGGACAAGGCTCCTCGATCAACGGATTGCCCGTATGAAGGCACTTGTGTGGTCGTGACCAATCTCGAGTCTTGCTTGTTTTCTTTTTGTTTTCTTTTGTTTTGTTTTGTCTTCTGCTATGTGTCTTGAGGATAGGGACGAAGCGATCATGGAGAGTGCGGAACGGCACCACCACAAGGTCCTCGGTTTATGGTCGTGTCTGTTTCGTAGTTCCTGGTAAACTCGCGCAGACTCTCCGTTGCAGAGTTTGACCGTCCCGCTCAGGTTCGAATCTTTGATGGCAGCCAGAGCGGAAGATTGTGTCTGACATCTGTGGGTAAAGTGGTCGGATAGTAGGACTGTGTCAAGAAGAGGGTATAGTCTGAGAAGGACAAATAGAACGTTGGTCGGGTAGATGCCTTACGACGCTTCTTTGCAGACATCTTAGTTCTCCGCTGGTGCTATGACCCACCTGCGTTTTCTGGCTGTGGCGGTTCGAGCTTTCGGCAGACAAGAGCAGTGTAACCCCATAGGGAGAATCGGTCTCGTAGACTAGAGAAGTTAAGACACCGATCAAGACCAGCAAGTCAATCTTGATCATCAAGTCTTGTTGTTGTCCTTGTCGAGAGGAATACTGACAGAGCGGGACGCCCGGCGAGAGCAAGGCTCCAGCAGCGTAGGAACGTCTGCTTGTGATACCTCTTCATGTCCGCTTGAGAGGTCCAGAGGCTCTTCTTCTGCCTGACTCATCCATTGTTCCTATGTGGTCCTAGCTCCGGCTCATCAGCACATGTGTGTCCCAACAAAGACCTTTCGGAGGAGAATATAGTCATATTTCTTCTGCAAATACCATTCAGATCACGACACGGCTGGGGAACTTGGGAGGGACTCGGGAGCTGTATCTGTCAGATCATCCAGACAAAGAAGTCAACACCGAGCAAGAGGAATATAAACAAACCTAGTGATGGACACAGAGGTTGCTGGTTGCTGCCTGTTTCCGCCCCCAGCCCTGCCTGGCTGAACGCCGGGTCGCCCAAGCATCCCGCTTTGCTAGCCCGAGAAGTCCTCGGTCTGGCTGCAATGCCACAGCGGGGCCAGTCTTGTCTCTCGACGCGATGAAGTTGTCATCTGCTTCACGATTAGCATCATCTTCTAACCTAACACAGGTGTCTCCAGTGGCGTAACGTCAGTGTCACGACCAAGTCGTGTAAGCACTGGCAAGCACTCATTGCAGACGTGCAGTGTTCCAGACAACCCGACAATTGCCTCCCATTGCGAATCCGATCCACGACATGATCAGAGCTGACGCACTCCTCATGCAGTAGGGCCTTGGGAGCTCAAGATGCAGATGTATGTCTAGAACAAATCAGCATCCGTCCCATGCGCGATCTACTGCGCTCTGGATATGGGCGGAAGTCGTATTTTGGGGGAACCTGAGGTCCCTGAGAGACAGGGGTGGGCTAGAGACTTGCCTTGCCACTGCATGTTCACTTTGAAGGGATCCAACAAACCGGTGTTTTGCTCGGCCCAATGCGTCAGCATTGCCTCAGATTGGACTCCGGTTCGAGTCTGAGTCCTGACAGACCGCCGGTCCGCGTTGTCTTCGTGAGCTCATGCTTCATCCGATAGCCGGAGACTGGAGTGCCACACTGGCACTTGCACAGCCTGAGCTAAGGCTGATGGCTGGGAGATGATGCCTCCCAGCTGCCAGTATCATGTTCGTAGATGGATGGCCTTCACAATCTTTGGTACATAGACCATCTTACTTTATCCGTCGTCTTCGGTCCTTTGGTTCTGAACTGTCAGCTCCGTAGCCCGCTTCTTCTGGCTGAGTTTGACATGAGATATGTCGGCCGTCGGACCCTGACTCGCTCAAAGTATCGATGTTCGGCCAGTGATCAGAAGAAATGGCACCGTTCTTGGGACGGTATGTGTCTGATGATTATCAGCCAAACTTTATGACAGTCACCCCAAAACAATAGTGTTTGGCTACCAGAGCGTTCTACGCGGAAAGATTTGTTGGTGAAAAACCTATATAAGTCTCATCTTTCTGGCAACTGAAGTTATTCTCTTTTTTTCTCGTCGAGGTTGAAGTCGACTTCTTAATAAATATGACTGGAAATACCAGTGGGTTCACTCTCGGGCCACTTTCTATTGCAGGTTGCTGTCATCATTGACTTTTCTTTCTCACCGAGCTTCAAAATCAGAAAATCACATCCCATCCCATCCGCAATTAAGAGCTCACAGCACAAGTTGGTGGATCTGTCATAAATCCAGGACAAACAATAAAACCCACGATTCGCTGCCGTCATGTCGCTGTTCCAAGTCCCCAACCGCAGCCTGTCGTCCAAATACGCTATGGCATCGACGCAAGCGGACCAAGAACGCCCCATCCTACCCCTTTCCTTCTACATCCAATATTGCCGGCAAAGATCAGATTCCCTAAACGCCCTGAGCTGGAACCGCAGACAGTGACAAAGTTCAAGTCTACCCAAAGTGACGGGTACATCAGCCACCTGATATGAGGCTCAGGTGACCAGCCATGGCCCATTTCCTGCGTTACAGCAGATCAGCGTCAGAGGTGGCGGCGGCCGTTGGGGCCCTGTAGGTCTTGATGGCCATGATGCTTCTGGTGGCCTTTTCGGGAGTCATTGCCCTGAGGATGATTTTGGTAGCTCTGGTAATTTTGGTCACCCTGGTGGCTCTTGTGGCTTTGCTGGCTTCGATATTCTTGCTGGCCTTGCTGGTTGTGGTCGCTCGGGTGGCTTTGGTGGCTTTGATATTCTTGCTGACTTTGCTGGGTTTGGTGAACTTGAAGCCCTTGCAGACCCTGCTGCAGGCCTTGCTGGCTGTGGTCGCTCCGGTGGCTGTGGTGGCTTTGATATTCTTGCTGGACTTGCTGGACTTGCTGGCCTTGCTGGCTGTGGTCGCTCCGGTGGCTTTGCTGGCTTTGCTGGACTTGAAGCACTTGCACGCCTTGCAGCTGTTGGGTACCCTGATCCCATGCATTTGTGCCATCCGAAGCCATCGGAAAGAGACCATGGGGCATGATGGACTGTTGTTCCTGTTGTTGTTGGTCTTGGTAAATGACATCTGTCCACTGAAAATTGGGGAGCATGGCCGGATCCATTCCCATCGGGGGAAGAGGCACCTGGTAAGGCGGATGCGCCATACTGGACGTGGGCACCCACATTGGTGCAGAAGAAAGTGGAGGATCAACGGGCGGCGGAAGGGTACTGGTGGTTGGGTAGCCGAACGCCATAGGGTCAGATGACCCGTGTTTTTTGTTCATATGTTCTCTGAGCCCCAGAAAACCGGGTGCGTGGAAAGTGAGTCGATGAGAGACGTTCTCGCCGCCGTTGATATAAGTTGGACCTGTATAATGGCCACCTCGTACCGGCGGTGGCATCACGCTTGCAGTTACAGGGAGAAAGGTGCTCGCCCAGGCAGCTTGAGCAATTTGATCGGCCGTCCAGTCGGTCTGTGTCATCTTGCGCTTCCTGATTCACAGTCAGCTTTGAAGAACAAAAGCAGAGGATACACTCACGAAGCTTCCTTCCGGATTCTGAGCTTGACTCCCGCTTCACTCAAAGCCTTCGACAACGCCGTTGACTCGCGAAGGGGGAAGGGGACCTTGGATGATTGAACTGCTTGCATGTCAATAAACCTGGAGCAGATTTTGCCATAAGCCTATGGGACGTACTATCGAATGGTTTGGAGTAGACAGTATTGAGCCTGGCTGCAGCCATGCTTGCTGGACTGTTGATGTGTTAGTCACTCCATAACCGCTGAGTAGTACTCTTCGACGACTCACCCTTGACGCATCTCAAAAACCGTAAATTTGAGGCGGAATACACCGGGGTACTTGACGTAGAGGTCACCGAAGACAAAGAAACCATGATCTGTGGGCCGATCAGTACACACTCCCCCGTGAAGCCGCATGGACGCTCTTGTACCTCTGCTGTCATGCATCTTGACCTTATGGAGGGATGATGTCAGGGCGCCGGAAAGGGTGTCGGACTCGAGCGCTTCGTTGTTGACGGCTTCAATTTCGCTGGTACAGAACCAGTAGGGACTATGGAGGTAGGACCTGGATTGATCCCCGTCACGTAGAAACAGCTCTACAACGCAAGGAGGATCGAGTGGCCATTTGACGGCGCCCCTGGCTAAATCCCTGTCAGCATGAGAGGACGAAAGGATTGTCTGAACTTCCATACCATTACGCTTTGGAGACGACAGAGCACGGCCATCGTTTGGTTGTTGAACAACATTTAGCTCATAAGCAGCACTGTTGTGCACAAACCCTGTTAGTTCACCAGCTCGCAATACAGGCAAGTTTTGCATCCTGAATATGAATGTCGCCAGCGACCGACCTCTCAAGAGTGAGCTTTCTTTGGACTATATCCTGGAGGGCCTCTCCCCGCATGGATGCGGACGGTGGTGGTTAAAAGTTGATGGAAGGGTTCTGTGTAGCATTCACCGTCGGGACAGACCAGACACGCTCTGTGCACACCGAGCTGAAGATCGATAGAGCCAACACTATATGGGGCGGCGGGGGATCTCGGACGATAGGATATGGGATGCAGGAGCCAAATAATGTGAATCTGTTCCAAGATAGAATCGGTACAAGGCGAACATATGGAAAGGGGAGAGGAGAGAAGCGAGGTTTTGGGCTGCAGAGGACCTGTAAAAAGGTAGGAGCTACTGCGGCCGGCGCTTGAACAAGCCGGGCAAAGAGCAGGCAATAGTCGACGTGTGAAATCGGAAAGCCGACGGTCCAACGAATGATGTGGTTGTTGAGGATGGGCACTTCGCATGTGTTCTGTGTGCGAACAATCAAGTGCCTTTACCAGATGTTTACGAGCCCAAGGGTGCGGTCCGTCATGGGGCGCAACCATGCAACGATCGCGGATCCCTGCGAAACAGGAAATGAGTGTCGATGACTCTGAAGAGAATGCCGTCGCGTGTTGATCCTTTCCGCTACTTCTGCTGAAGAGGAGCTGCTATATCAGACTCTGCAACACTAGCACGGAATATCTTTTAATGGTTGCCCTCAGATTCTGGCAACTGCCCTATTCTCAAAGGCGGCGAGAGAGGCTCTGTAAAATCGTCGGAAGATTTAGGTGGCCTCTGAAATTTGTCGAATTCGGCACATCCAGCATGGCAATTTCAAGCAACATTCGAGGCCAGGGATGGTGGAGGAGTAAATGGACCGGAAATGGGAGGATTCTCTGGCAGAGAGGTGATCAGAATGTCGATTCGTGGTCGGTGTCTTCTCAAGCAGAGCGAGTGAAGCGTCGCTTCGAGAACAACAACAGGATGTTGTTGTGTGAGGAATACACTCTTCCAAATGCTGACTTCGAGATAGAGAATGACTTCGAGGATGACTGTCGCTGGCGCAGGAGGATCGCTGTCTCCGCTATCCTTCTCAGCCTCTCTGTGGTTGCAGCAATGGTGCAATTCGGTGGGTATAGGCAGCGCAGGTTACATGAAGTGTCGTAAATTGGATCTGGTTGGAAAGGATTGTGACTCGATAGGTACAGAAGAGGGCAGGTTTCGTCCAATACTGATGCAGCAGCCAGGCTGGAAGTTCTGTAAGATGTTGTTGATGTCGATAGCGACGACAGATTCAAAGTGAGATCGAGAGTATACGTTTTTGTTGTTGTTGCGTCGGAGGACAGTGTCTGTGTGTGTTCGGCCTGTTCTCTTCTCTCGTCTCTTCTCGTCTCGTCTCCGCTGGCCACTCGATCGGTCACATCGAATAGCCCTCGCAGAAACACGCAGAGATCTACTGAATCACAACCTCCCGTTGGCCACCCTCCACTTGACCACTCCTCTCCCCGATACCTCTACCCTGCTGTGGCTGCCACGCTCGCTGCGACTGTCCCCTTTTCCTGCAATCCCCACGTTTCGAGCGAATGACACCTTGGGGGCGGACTGCACCCTTGTCCTTCGCACCTCAGAGCAAGCACTCTAGCTGCGTGATCTACTCAGCCGAGGCCGCCATGCTCGGTAATACGAGTAGAAGGACCGTCGAAGAAAGGGATTGGCCGCAAAAGAGTCTTTGAGCGCCAGGCTATACCGAGACTCCTGCTCCGGGATTGGAGATCAGGCTCGAAAATCGGAGCGCCACGACAGACACACCGCTTTCAAACGGAAACATGTGCTGCAACCGTGCTAGGAAGAGATGATGGGCAACACGGAACCTGACTTACGGATGACACTGGCTCGTAAGCGAGATCTCTTTGGCTTGTGGATTGCCAGTTTGCGATCCTGCATTCACAACCTGTCAAAGCTTGACATGTCCAGGAAGCTGGGATAATGCTCTATCCACGGCGTGTAATAAAGGCAGCACCATCGAGCATAAGCTTCACCCTCGTGTTGCCGACTCCTGTGGACATTTCCATACCAATAGCAACTGACAGCTCAGGGATTAGCCTCCGTGCAGCCGTCCATGCCCGGATCTGACATGCCCATTGCTTCATGACCGATCAACATAAGAACCCTTTTGGAGTCGTCCAAACCCTGCTTGGGATTTCCGACACACGCCTCACGGCAAGTGGCTAACGGTCTGCATCGAAAGAGGCTAGTTGAGAGTGTGAGGCTGCAGGACATTGTGTGCCATGTGGGCCTCACGGGACAAGAGCGCCACGAACAACATGCCTGGCCTTGCGACTGGGATGAGGTCGTACAGGGACCCGTGTCACCCGTCTTTATCCCTCTGTCAGGTAGACCCAATGACAGGAGCTTTCCTGTTGCATACCTAACACCCACGATGGTGGAAGGGTGAATGAATTGGCGGTCACACTGTCAGAAAAGCAAAGACCAAAACTCCTTCCGAGATGCTGGGCCGCCACGCGAGAAGCGGGACCAATGTTGACAGGCATGGATGTACGGTCATTCGTATTCGTACCACAATCACACCACCTCATGCATATCCCATGCCAGCCACGTCTCTCGACTCGCAAAGCTAATTGCGCTCTCGCAGCGATCACGTCGATTGTGTTGTGTTCGAGCTAGGCAGAATCTCAGATGTATGGGAACTGCAAGGGGGGGAGCGGCTTGTGGAAAGCCACCAGGCCCAGCAGCCTGTTTGCGTCGACTGATCATATTCTACTTCAGATGCGGTCAATGTCGGCGATCCTGGATCCAGAAGTCTATCGTGACCACCATCAACCTTGGCCAGCATTTCCCTAGTCACAGCCGATGAAGCTCAATGTCGACGGCAGGTTCAATACTATTCGCAAGCCAGTGCCAACTTGGCATGCGCCGCCAAAGCTTCCCCGGTTCAGGACGGCGTCGTCAAGATTGGCGACCGCATGAACGTGGCCGGGGTTATCAGACAGGACTGTGTCCAATGTCCAGTTCGTTCGGAAAGCATCAGATTTGGCCATCGCCGAGCCGAGATGGCCATGACCACCATGATGACGGCAACTGATTCAGTTGCAGTGACTGTCTCCTTGCTCGCAATGGAAGCGTACATTCGAAGTGGGGACAGGATGCGCCCACGATACTAGACGTGGGACGCTGTGTTATGCGCACTCCTGTCTGATGAGAGACTTGCATTATCGAACAGCTTTTGCACGTATTTTTCGTGTTTCAGGCGTCCGCCAACTCTTGGAGAGGTTAGGGCGACACGATAGAACCCCCTGTCATCGGCACTCGGCAACGTCCATTGGTCTACGACGCCAAAACAACGGATGGGATCCTTCTCACTCATGTATCTACTCTCTACCGTACTGGCATACATCCGATCGATTCGGTAATAAGCCTGAGAAATTCCTTGCCTTAATTTTCGGATGAGGAGCTCCTATTATTGCCTTCTCCAGAATCGACTTCCAGAGATGCAGCCGGGGTGGGGTTTCATCCCTGCCGCCTTACTCATGAGTCTGCAGAGCGCGATGAATCAGACCCATCTTCGGCGACCTCGGGTCCAGTGCAGCTTCAAGCTTGCTTGGACACGGTGTTGAGTCTCAAGCCTCGACTTCAACCCATGCGTGGATTCGCCTGCATAAAATACGTTTGCGTCTGTTGTCTTGGCCAGTATGCCACCAGGCATCAACCCGATTCCTTGTTCGCCTCTCGTAAAACACGCTTCAAGTCGCTCGGTGTGGCTTCGACCAGCACAAAAGCGCGTCCAGCTATGTCCTGTATGATTGCGATTCATCCGGACACGGCCAGTCATTTTCGACGCCATCCGAGGGACGGGGTCTGCTTGCGTTGCGATGGGACCTGGCTGGTCGTGCGTGATCATGAGCAAACTGTTAACCGATACGTGCTGCCGACACCAGAGTGGCGTCCAACAATCCCACAGGCGCTCCCCCAGCGTATTTCTGCTTCTCACGCAGGCTGCTGGCTTGCCATCTATCTTCCTATGGCCTTTGTTGATAAAAAAGGTGAAGAAGATGGCGGCAGATGTAGTGCAGACCTCCCTGTTGTAGGTTGTTACCCTTGTCGGTCTAGACCTGGTCTTGTACACCGAGCGGCCGCTCCAGACCTGGTTGTACTCGACACCATTCGGGGTGTCGGGACATGCTACACTTGTACGCTGAAGTGATAGCCAAGCCAGCAAGTTTTACATCTGACATCTTGCGGCCTTGCCACATGGCCGCCTTTGTGCTACCCCTGGTTTCCGGCGGATTGGCCTGTCCTCCGTGATCAGTGCATAGATCGGGGAGGAATGTCCCCGATCGGCACTTGGTGGAGAGACATCCCCTTCAGATCGGGAGCTAGCGAAGCTCGTCGCCGAACATGGAATCATGGTGCATCAGTCTCTGCATTTTCTTGGTCTTTCCATGCAAGTCTGGACGGGCGGACTTCCCAAAGAGGCGCTCGTATAGCAAAGCGATGCACTACATACACGTGGCTACAAGGATGTTTCCACGTGGTACTCCTCGTCGACCGCAAAGATGTCCAACTACCCAGCCTGACATGGATGCATGCACTACTATCTGTTGGGGGTGACCACCAGTTGGCATCCCAGAATGGAAGTGCATTTGCGTTGCGGATCGATCGTGCCCAAAGCGATATCGACCCCCTTTAATGGCGCTCGGAGACCGGTTGGCTTCATTACTATCTACTAGTAGTAGTAGGTGTACTTCGACCATTTTGTGACGAATCCACTCCAAGTCTGTCGGCCAGATATGTGCAGCCTGCAGCCTGCAGCCTGAGTAAAGCAAGGACATCCAGTTGTGGAAGGGGCTTGTTATACCCTGCACCAGACCTGGCGCTTGTCAGAGGCGCAAAGTCAACATTTCAATCGAGGCTGACTTTATTGCTGGGCATGTGCACCAGCAGGACTGCTCTGATCTCATGCACAGCGCATCTTGGTTGATAAGCTTGATCGCGAGATGGCAGACCTAGCGACAAGGCCAGGATCAGATGTGTCCATATCTCAGTCGAGCGTCATGCAGGACGACGTGGCTTACTCCCATGTTGTCTGGGTTTCAGGTAAGATGTCGCTGCTATCCGTTGCCTGTTTTTGGATGCGTCCTCCATCTGCCGCAGCGATGGGGTCTATTCACACCATGATACCTCACGCGCTCAGGGCAATGTCTATCTCCTGTGTATGGTACTGGCAAAGTGACCTACCCTGTTGCTACTATACTGTGGTACGTTGCCAGTAACTTCATCTGCGCCTCCTCTCATCAACTCATGTATGGGACTGCGGGGAGAGGCTCTTGGACAAGTCGACGGCTTGCGCATTACGAGGTTGGATGGCAAGAAGGTACCTAGTATTCAGCGGAAGTCAGCTCGTTCCGATCCATGTCAACGCTCTTTGCGGTGCTCTCCGAGTCTGGTGAAAAGTTGTTGGACGATGTTCCAAGTCGTCGATTGATACTCGCCATCTTATCATTCAAGTTGACTACCTAGGTACCTTAGTGTAGGTAGTAGGTACCTTAACGGTAGGTAGTGAAGCGAGCCTGACGGTGTACATACAATTTCGCACGCCCCAAACTAGAATGGCGACGCTAAGCTGTATGAGGTTGTTTGGGCTTGGCACTGGAGATGCAGTCTCGAAGCTGGGGAACTTGAATCTCAAGTCCGCCCATGCAGTGGTGAATGGACATGAACACAACTTATAATGTACCCATCGCCAGCTGTTCAGACGACACAGCAGTTACTACACGAGACAAGAATGGTCATAGTCGTCACTAATGATTGAAGCACGTCTGAAGGTGTCTGTGTGCTTCTTACCGTCATTACCGCTTCCTATCTTCATGTTGGCCTCCTAAAATGGAGTCTAGCCGGTCCTCGAAAGCAGTCCGCGATCATCCGCTCATACTGCTCTTTGCAATATTCTTGGCTTGGAAACTATGTCTTCTGCTTATCACATTAGCCAGCCCGGGTGGCGGATATGACACCTCTACAAGCCTGCTGTTCGACCAGCAAGGCTCACACAACTCCGCCTCTGGAGAAGTTGGGATGCTGGGAAGACGCTGGTTCAATTTCGTCAGATGGGATGCAGTATATTTCACGCATATGTCGCAGCACGGTCATGTATATGAACAGGAGTGGGCTTTTGGAATGGGCCTCTCAACAGCGATATCAGGGATTGCAAGACGTAGGACGGCCTCTGCCTCTGACAAACGGTGACTGACAAGACACTTAGTTCTTTCAAAATCGTTCAGCTTTTTCAGTGCGCAATCATCTGTCCTTATAGCAGGTCTTGCTTTATCCCATTTGGCACACTGGCTGTCTGTGATCCAACTGTTCGCGCTTGCGACGACACTCACTGGCAGCAAGAAGACCACCACCCCTTCCCTGATACCGTTCTATGCCGCTGCATTTCACATCCTCTCTCCGGCGGGAGTGTTTCTGTCAGCTCCATATACTGAAAGCTTGTTCGCCTTCTTTTCCATTTCTGGGTTCCTGGCGTTTGTCCGTGCCGTCCACCATTCCGCCCATGGCCCGTTTACGGGCTGCATCGGTATGATTGGTGCAGGAATTGCCTTCGGTACGGCAACTTTTGTTAGAAGCAACGGCATACTAGCAGGTATTACTTTTGTTCTCGCAGCTTGCGCAACGGCGTTCGCAATCCTCTCCCAAGGGCCATCGTTGCCTCGAGTCAGCCTGCTCGCGTCAGTCCTCGTCGGTGGCCTACTGGTGGCGGTCGGGATGGTAACGCCACAAGTTGTCGCATACATGGAATACTGTAATGGACGATACCCTGGACAGAGGAGGCCATGGTGCGAGGCCAACATCCCATCAATCTTCACATGGGTTCAATCTCACTACTGGTAGGTCTTTACACAGCTCACCCGTGCAGAAACGCTGACAGCGGCTCCAGGAACGTCGGTCCCTTCCGGTATTGGACACTTTCGAATGTCCCACTGTTCTTGCTCGCAGCTCCCACGCTTTGGCTGCTCGTCTACTCCGCGATAGACGTGCTTCGCAACCCTGGCGCACTTTTGGCAGCTCCATCTGGCTCGTCATCCCAGATAGCCACCGCACAGCAGAAGAGTGCGGTCATGAGCTTGGCACTGCCTCAACTCGTGCTCGCAGTGCTTGCGTTGACGAGTTACCATGTGCAGATCATCACTCGAATATCTTCGGGATATCCCTTGTGGTACATCTGGTTGGCAGCCAGAACACAGGAGAACACGACTCGCACGGCACCCATCATACGCTGGATGGTGATATATGCGTTGGTCCAGGCCGGCTTGTACGCGTCCTTCCTACCTCCGGCATGAAGAAGGCATCGTCTGTCCATCATCCATCAAATAAGTCGGTGGTTTCGTGGTATTGTAACCACCGAACGTGGCTCTCAATGTGTCGTATATTTGCTCCCGTGTTGCTCTGCTTGTACAGCTGCATCTCATAGTGGGATCAACGAATGCAAGCCTATTCCTCGGGCGTCAAGCTCTGGCGTGGGACACCGTCAAAAATCGACTTCGATGCATCGTGCCAATACGTACTTCTTCCCGATATTCCCTTACATTGATGGAACAGTTCAAAGTTGTGCAGGTTGTATTCAAGTTAAAGGAATACGACTCGGAAAGTGCAGTTTGCTATCCGGGGTTCCAACCGGGCCGAATGGGCCATACCGCGGGTTGCTTCAATCCTCCCTTATAGAAATGAGACCCATAGTATGAAGGATAATTCTCCCCATCGAAAATGTGGCACGATGCAGCATGTAGCGTGTGACGGTAAGAGGGGAGGATGGGACGCCAGAATAGATAGGCCTACCAAAAATACATGTAAGGTAATACGAAGGCCGCAAGACCCCAAGTTGTTTGCTTGCAAGGCTCAGATGCGAATGTGGCAGATTCATCCCATACAGAAACATCAGAAGGACTGTTTGAATTGTTTCAGGAGCAGCACAGACTCCCTACTCCATGTCTACATCGTTTTGTTGGTACATGTATCACTCCAGCTTCCCCTTCGGAGACAGCGTCTGCTATATCCGGTCACTCCGCCAAGCCTCTCCATGCGGAGTGCGGTATGCAGTCAATGTTGTAGTATACAGTCAAGCAAACAATACCGTTGTGAATGCTGTGAACACTCTATCCGGCTCAACTATCGCTGTCACAGTCGTTGGAACATTCCACAATATCTTCCTGGCTCATTCAACCCTGTTGTTGCCCTTTAAATCCCAACCCCCGTCCTCCGCAGGCATAAACGTGACGTAGCAAGGCTGCACCGCAGCTTGCTAAGCGCTACTCCTCGACCACATCTACGACTCGGACGACTGCCTGATTGTGCCACCACCTTCTCCGATTGAAGGCCTTTTCGGACTCTTCGCCTCGCTTTTATCTCTCAGAAACATGAGATAGTCGATTTAGCCTCACTGTGATCTCCCCAACCTCCATGAGTCCACGACCGTTACAATCGAACCATGGAAAATCATAGACAGCAGATGGAGGGCCTGCCGCTCGGCAGTCATGTCAAACATGGCTGGGAAACATCAAGAGCAACCTCTCCCGCCGGGACTGTCGCGATGGATCAATCACAGATCTCGGACGTTGAACATCAAGTCAAGCGCAACAGACCGCGGACGTTTCCATATTTCAGCACTTTGCCTTACCCGGTGGAAGATGAGACACAGAGACAGAAGAACTTGTCCGAGATCCTCAAACACCTCTATATTGCCATTCAGGCCAGTGATTTTACACCAGGGGCGGTGCACTGGACGAGAGAACTTCGCAGCTGGCTTTCCCTGAAGTTCGACCCGACTAGGGAGCAGCGTGTGAAACTCGTCAAGCTGTACTATGAACTGGCTCTGGCTCCTGGTATTGATTCTGGTGTTGCTGAACGCTTTGCAAGCATGTTCATGCTCCTTACAAAGTATGTCACAATCGCTGACACGCTGCTACTGAGAGTTCACCTGCTGACACGTCTACAGGCGCAAGCACTACTTGCGACCACTCAAAGACCTGACCCTCGACTGGCGGACCCTTTACAGAGAACTCAAAGTATTTGTGCTCCCGAGTGAATCTGGACTCATGCAAACAACCAGTCTAAAGAGAAACATCAAGACACTCACAAAGATCGCCTCATTCGCGCAGTTGTACTTCGACCCAGGAGATATTCCTGCTATGCTGGAGGGAATCCTCCCTCACTTCACCATGTCCTCCGCCGAGGGAGCCTTTGTGGTCATAGGGTTACTCAATATACTTTTGCCAACCAGTCCACCACCACAAAACCGCTCCGACTTGACCCCTCAGCAGTTCCTTCCCACTCTCTTCCACTTGTGGTCGTTGGTCAATCGATCTCGGACTGTGGACGTGGCATGTCTCGATCTCTGTTCTCGCCTCGCTCGAGACGCCTTGCCCAGTCCCAACGTAGAGTTTTCCGAATGCGGTATCTTTACATTGGAACAGTCAACCTTGATCACGACTTCAATCTTGCGGTTGCTCGAGATCCCTGTCGGACAGTCGACCTCACCATACAGCACGCTTGTCGATTTGTCGGCTGGCATGGGCATTTTACTTGAGCGAGACTCGCGAAAGCATCCAGTGTCCCATCACATTGCTCGCTGGTTCGTCATGTCCCTTTCGCCAGCGTGTCTGACACAACGGACCTCGGTCCTGTCGCTCCTCGAGACATTGATTCAGGCGGTCGAGACATTCTTCCACCCTTCCAATTCGGGCTCGTGGACGCGTACTTTGGCGCAGCTGGTGTTCTATCTCGCAGATTTCTTTGTCATGCGCTGGAACCGAGAACGAAATGGAGAAATGGAAGTGCCAGAGGAGCGTAGGCTCAATGAGCCGCTCCGAAAGCGCTTCGTCTTGTGTTTGCGAGAAGTCATCTTCATGGGCATCTATGCAAAGAGCGGAACGGCCATGAGCTATTCCTTGTCCACCCTCCAAGCGCTCGCATTCCTAGAGCCAGATTTGATTCTTCCAGGGGCGCTGCAGCGCATCTACCCGTCTATGCAGGGACTAGTGGAAGTCCATCGCACAATCTCCTCCTTGCGGTCTCTGCAAATTCTTGCAAGAACAATGATCAGAACCAAAGGGTACCGCTGCCATGTCACTGCGCTGCTCGGCTTGGCACTCCCAGGTATTGATGCCAATGATTTGGAGAAGACGCTGTACACGTTGTCATTTTTCGCCAACGTTTGTTACAACATACCGTTCGAAGATCTTTCTAAAGGTCGTGAAGACATCCAGGGGAACATGTTGGCCATGGAATGGATCACGGGGGAAATGGAGCGAATGGAGCAGGAGGGTGCCAGTGTGGAACTCAACTATGCCTCGCTCAACGAGAAAGACGAGGAGATGATTCTCGCATCCTCCACCGCCGGATTCAGCGAGTTTGTAACGTCGTTCTTGGGCAGGGTCTTCACGCTTCTGGAGAATTTGCCGGATGCAGCCAGAGTCCGCAGTGGCTCTCCTGAAGAGAACATTGTCAACACATTGCCTGCGGCTTTCATGCCGTTGCTGGCATCTCTCTCGCCCGAGCTCTACGACTTGGCCTTAAACAAGATTGTCGACTTTGTTGCGAATCATGTCATACATCAGTCGCGGGATGCGATGGCATTTATTTGCAACTGCCTATGCAAAGTCAACCCTGAGAAGGCTTTGGCTAAATTCATCCCTGTCTTGATCGGCGCCATTCGGACAGAAATCGACGAGAATGGTGCCGGCTCAACTAGAAACGCAGCCTCCGACGTCCTACCTCGAGATCGGGGCCTCGTATGGAACATCAGCATGCTAAGTATGTGCGTGGTCCATGTCGGGTCGGCAGTTCTCAAGTACAAGCAGGAACTGTTCGATATCGCGGTTTACATGCAGCAGAAATGCAAAGGCATGCCCACCGTGCATGTCTCCAACTATGTGCACCACTTACTTCTCAATCTCACGGTCACATATACCGCCGACTATTCACTCTATGAGCCGGAGAGGATTGCTAATGGCATCACAGCGGACCTTTGGGGCTATGCGGAGCCGCCCACCGCAATCAAACTGAAGTGGCATGTGCCTTGCAAAGAAGAAATTGACTTTGCGGTTGAACTTTTTCAAAATCAAGCGGAGAGTGCCCTCAAGCATCTCACAGGTCTCATTCGAGGCACTTCAAGCGTCAAGCGAGATGGCAGTGGCAAGGAATGGTCGGATGAAGTCTCGAGAAATCTTGTGTTGCTGCGACTCTTACTGGCCGGAGTATCGGTTCTGTTTGATGCCAAGGGCGTTAACGAAGGGCTCACCACGACCGCAGCAGGAGTTGATGCCGACACTGCAATGTCTCAAGCAAATGGACACGTCCCGGAGGAGGGTGAGAATGCCGCCGACACCGACGCCTCCCTCGATGGCACAGACGAGACGTCAATCAAACCGTCTTTTCAGTATCCGGCAGGCGTGACCCTTAAGCCGGAGGATGAGAACTACAAGTTGATCCATCGACTCCGACAAGATGTCGGTCGTGTATTGCATGAGGTCCACGAATTCTTGACCCGAGAAGGCGAAGATGATGTGTCCTCGTTTGCCCCGCTGTACACGGCATATCGATCGTGGTTTGTTGATGTGGGAATTGAGCGGTCGGCACATGTCCTTGACAGAGTTACGCGCCTTCTGCATGCCGATGAGCAGCCGTACAAAGTGAGCGGCATCAGGAAAGATTATCCGCGCTCCATTCTGGTTCGCCGGGCCAATGTCTACCACACTCAGAGACTCCGACACAATGCCGCACCCCGACCCCGTTCTGAATTGGACGAACGGCTATTGCTGGATCTCGCGGAGTCAGCCGTGTCGTTGTACACTGAGGTCCGCCGAAATGCGCAGAGTGCTGGGGAGTCTGCCCTGAAGGTGGTCTTTGGAGCTCGTCTTTTCATTATTCCTCCACTTCTGGCGTCCTTCCACAAGGCCGTAGAACGGCACGACTTTCCTCGAATCAAAGGCAGTCTTTTTGCACTCTTGTTCGGCAGTCTGGCAAAGACAGTGGGCAGGCATTGGAAATATACTCCAGCAGTGATCAGAACCTTCATCGAAGCCAGTACAGCTGACAAACCTTCAATACAGAAACTTTGCAGTGGTGGGCTCTTCCAGATCATGGATTATGGAAGGCCTGGCGACCGCATGGCCATCATCGACAGAGCAGTTGTTGATCCCTTCACTCCCGACGAAGACGTCGAGAGCACAGTCTCCAAGAAGAAGGCCTTCGTCTTGAGCAAGCGTGCCAACATTGAACGGAAGAAGACAGAACTGGCAGAAGAGCTCATCGAAATGGCCAGAGTCTCGCACTGGAAGAAGGCGACACGGGTCGCCACACTCGTCATGTCATTGGGAATGCGATTTGATCACATATGTTCAGACAATATGATCGATCTCATCACTCGAGGCACCGTCGATCCCCATCCCGGACTGCGAGGACTTTACTCCCAGGGCTTAGTGGCCCTGTTTACTATGACAGATGTCCGAGCAGTCTGCAACCATGACTACGCCAATTATATTCAAGCTTTGCAGGAATTCCCTGCAAAGGTCAAAGTGCCCGTCCATGCCGAGGAAGAAATGTGGACAGACAACTTTCTGAAAGCCTTCTCTCAGCCGGAGACGGATGTGTACATTGATCATGATTATCCTGGGTGGCTGGTCTGGTCAAAGTTCATGCCTGGCTACAAGGCCAATGTGAAGAATGACATCTTGTATGACGATCTCGAATGGAAGAAACGAACAGTCATTGGTAAACTTCTGGACCGAGAATGGTTCGTGAAGTTCTTTAAATACCTGAAGCAGGAACCTCGGGATCAATCTGCCGACAGGTTTCGCATGGCAAGTGCAGCGATGCTCACCTATGCGTTCGAATTGATCATTCGGGACGGGCTGGCTGTCGCCACGTTCGAGGAGATCAAGGAAGAAACCCTCGCCGTGTTTGAAGACGGTACTGACAAACATCAACACCGCGCCACCGCCGAGATCCTGGCCGGATTGGTTACGTCGGTCATGGACAACTCAATTGAACGGCGGACGATGGTATGGGAGTTTGCGTTCCCTATCATTCAGCGGGTCTTCTCAGATGGACTGACGCCGGAAAACTCGGGGTATTGGACCACTTTCCTCCACATGATTCTTCAGGCACGAGATCCTCGTCGGGCATGGCCTCTGGTAGAATGGCTCTCGAATTTCCGATTGGACATGAACTCGAACGCTGCTTTCAAAGAGAGTTCGAAGATACATCTTCTTCATCAAGTCATAATGGATGCAGGATGGCATTTCCAACTGGAGAAGCCGATTGCCGAGGATTTCCTCCGCCATATCGACCATCCTTACAAAGGCGTGCGTGAAGCCATGGCCCATACACTCGCCACCATCATTCGGACCAGATACCACGAATCGTTTAAAGACGTCAAAGAACTCATCGCAACTCAACAGGCTGCTGGCTCCATCGGCGTGCAACCGTACCTACCCACGAAAGAGTTTGATGAAACAATGCATGAGGTTTTTGAGCGACTCGAAAAATGGCGACACGAACGTGCACCGGGTCAACAAACACCTTCGTCGTACACCTCGGGAAGCAAGACGGTATTGTTGTGGCTCGACTCAATGTTATCATCGTATGAGTGCACCCAGCTTCTCACCTACTTCCCCGACCTCTTCACCGAACAATTCTTGCATATGATGGACGTCAAGGAGGATCCGGAATTGCAATCTCTGGCATATCATGTGTTCCGTCATCTGCCAAACATCCCTCACCGCATCGGAGAGGATCAGAGATTAATCGAGTCGTTGATCCGGATCGGGAGAACGTCCCCATCGTGGCATCAACGCCTTCGGGTCATGATCAATATGCAGATCATCTTTTTCAGACGCTTGTTCCTGCTCTCAGAAGAGAGTAAACAGAAGCTGTTCAACTGCGTCGCTGATATGCTAGAGGACTCTCAGCATGAAGTCCGTGCCGGTGCGGCCACCACGTTGTCCGGGATGATTCGTTGCTCGCCGCTCGACTTGCGCGAGAGAATGATCGTCAAGTTGCGAGACCGTTTCACGCAGACTCTCATCGACAATCCTCTGCCAAAGAAGCCTAGACGGCCGTTGGGTGGAATTGCAGCCGAATTGTCGTCGGCACGGACTTCAGGGACGAATACCCCGACTCCTGAGGCACAGCGCTTGGTCATAGTTCGACACGCCGCCGTGCTCGGTCTGGGCGCTTTGATCCAAGCATTCCCATATTCAAGCCCACCCCCTCCTTGGATGCCCGATGTCCTGGTGACGTTGAGTAGCAAAGCGGCAAATGATCCGGCCACCGTGGGTAACAGTGTCAAGAGCATCATCAGCGACTTCAAAAAGACGAGGCAGGATACCTGGCATATTGACGTCAAGGTAAGTGGTTTACAGTCACAGACGTTGTCGTTGAAAGATGGCGTGCTAACAATTGCTAGGCATTCAAACCCGAGCAAATTGAAGATCTCTCCGGGGTCCTATGGAAGAGCTATTTTGCTTAGCGATGTAGCAGTTGCCGCGATACAGGGAGATATCAACATGATGAAAATGACTTTTGAGACTTTTGAGCATAGCGTTGGCGTTCCAATCTTGGAGTCCGTATCATTCAAACATGGCTGCGTTTCTCCACACGCTTCCTAGTGATCAAAGCAAACGCCAGTCTTCATCTGTCCTTACCAGTCTGAACACCATATTAGGAACTTGAGGAATGACTTGAAGTCCAATAATAGTCCGTCTGTTAGCTTGGATATTGGCCAAGATGAACATTGGTGGACATGGAGGCTAATTTGTCGCTCGCGGAATGGAGTGGGAATGAAAACGCCATGGGACATCTGCCGACTTTGCAAGTGAAGAGCGGAGTGCACCACTGGCGATATTAGAATTGCGCCTGTAACATAGATAGTATTGAGCAGGAAGATGTCATCGTCGACCTCTGTCTAAAACCGTACTTACCAGCTGCCTCCTCGATAGGATCCAGATCGTGGCGAGGCTGAGGACTGCATGTATGATGTAATGTTCCACCGTACTCTCGCCGCTCTTAGGCTGGGTCCAATGCAGTTAGCGTGCCAAGCTGGATGGGAGCTGCGAACTGCCAGTGTCGGTGCAGTCACGGTGTCACTTGGAGTGCAGCCCCTCGGAGACGCCTCCTTCAAGTTCGAGGTGGTAGATCAGGCAGGCCTCCATCCTTCATCAGACCCTACCACCCTTACCTAGAGGAGAGGCATCGAACTCCCTGCTCTCTCTTGTATATTTCAGTCTCTGCACTCGGCCTGGGCGGCTTATCTCCTTCTTCGCTCAACCGCCCAGCATGGCCCACAAGGACACCCTCTTCCGCTCGGCGAGCATGTCCCTGACGCAGCTCTATATTTCCAACGAAATCGGTCGTGAGGTCGTTTCCGCCCTGGGAGAACTTGGTGTCGTACAGTTCCGAGACCTCAATGCAGACACCAACGCGTTCCAGCGTACCTTCACCACCGAGATCCGTCGGTTGGACAACGTGGAGCGGCAACTGCGCTACTTCAAATCCCAGATGGAGAAGTCCAACATCGAGATGCGAAGCCATTGGGACTTTGACCAGGATATGCTGGCCGCACCAGAAGCCAACGAGATCGACGAACTCGCTGACCGTTCGGAGACGCTGGAACATCGGATCAGCAGCTTGAATGAGAGCTATGAAACGTTGAAGAAGAGAGAGGTCGAGCTATCAGAATGGCGTTGGGTCCTTAAGGAGGCCGGCGGCTTTTTTGACCGTGCCCATGGCCAGACAGATGATATTCGAGCAAGTGTCGAGGAAGACGACGCTCCCCTCCTCCGTAACGCCGAAGTCGAAGAAGGCCGAGCCAACGGCGACGCCGGTCACCAGCAGAGCTTCGCCGTGATGAATATCGGATTTGTGGCGGGTGTCATCCCCCGTGAGCGACTGGCAGCCTTCGAACGAATTCTGTGGAGAACCCTCCGCGGCAATCTCTACATGAACCAGTCTGAGATCCCAGAGCCAATCGTCAACCCGGAGACGAATGAAGAAATCAGGAAGAATGTCTTTGTCATCTTCGCGCACGGCAAGGAAATCATAGCCAAGATTCGAAAGATCTCAGAGTCCCTCGGCGCGGATCTGTACAACGTGGACGAGAACAGCGACATTAGACGGGATCAGATCCACGAAGTGAACACCCGGCTGAGCGACCTTGCCAGTGTCCTGCGAAACACCAAGAACACTTTGGACGCCGAACTTACCGCCATTTCTCGCTCGCTTGCTGCGTGGTTGATTGTGATCAAGAAAGAGAAGGCAGTCTTCAATGCATTGAACATGTGCTCCTACGATCAAGCGAGAAAGACTCTCATTGCAGAAGCTTGGTGCCCTACCAATGCCCTGCCACAGATTCGAGCTACGTTGCAGGATGTCAATGATCGTGCTGGACTTTCTGTACCCACCATCGTGAACCAGATCAAGACCAACAAGACTCCTCCGACCTACAACAAGACCAACAAGTTCACGGAAGGGTTTCAGACCATCATCAACGCCTACGGTACCGCCAAGTATCAGGAAGTCAATCCAGGCCTTTACACCATCGTGACGTTCCCATTCCTGTTCGCCGTCATGTTTGGTGATTTCGGACATGGATGTCTGATGACGATGGCCGCTGCCGCAATGATCTACTGGGAGAAGCCACTGCTGAGGTCCAAGCAGGACGAACTGTTCGCCATGGCATTCTATGGCCGATATATCATGCTGATGATGGGCATTTTTTCGATGTATACAGGTCTAATCTATAACGACGTCTTTTCCAAGGGGTTCACCCCATTCGCGTCGGCGTGGGAGTTTCCGGAGGAAGGCCGGCCGGAAGTCGGCGCTCATCTCAAAGGGAGCTATCGATATCCCTTTGGTCTTGACTGGGCCTGGCATGGATCCGAGAACGACTTGCTCTTCAACAACAGTTTGAAGATGAAGCTGTCCATTCTTATGGGTTGGGTGCACATGACCTATGCATTGTGCTTCTCCTACATCAACGCCAAGCACTTCAAGACTCCCATCGACATCTGGGGTAACTTTGTCCCGGGCATGATCTTTTTCCAGAGTATCTTTGGATATCTCAGCTTCTGTATCGTCTACAAATGGTCCATCGATTGGCCAGCCCAAGGGAGGAGTCCGCCCTCATTACTCAATATGTTGATCCAGATGTTCTTGTCACCAGGCAATGTGGATGAAGGCGACCAGCTATACAGGGGCCAAGCCGGTGTCCAGGTTTTCCTGGTTCTGATCGCTATCATCAACGTGCCTATCCTGCTTTTGTTGAAGCCTCTGTATCTGCGTTGGCAGCACCAGAAGACGGCTGCTCAGGGCTATCGCGGCATCGGAGATACCAGTGTTGTTGCTCATGCGACGGATCTCGATGATGACGAACATGATGCTGGACGGCGCATGAACGGTCGCGCTAGTCAGGAGGATGACGACGAGGGAGCTATGATCACTGAGAACATCGGAGAAGATGAAGAACATGAGGAATTCGAGTTCTCAGAGGTCATGATACATCAAACGATCCGTAAGACTTGACCCTCGCCACTGAAAAATCATGCATCGGTGCTGACATTCCTTTCTAGATACAATCGAGTTCTGCCTCAACTGCGTCTCCCATACGGCTTCCTATCTCCGTCTTTGGGCGCTTTCGCTTGCTCATCAGCAGCTCTCGGTGGTGCTGTGGAACATGACTCTCGGCAATGCGTTCGCCATGTCTGGCGGCATGCAGATCGTCATGATCATCATCACCTTCTACATCTGGTTTGCTCTGACCATTGCCGTCCTGTGTGTTATGGAAGGCACCTCCGCCATGTTGCACAGTCTACGTCTGCATTGGGTCGAAGCTATGAGTAAGCATTTTGTGGGCGAGGGCATTCCGTTTGAACCGTTCAGCTTCAAACTGCTGCTGGAGGAGGATCCTGTGGACTGAGCAACGAGACTTGGTTGAAGCCAGTAATAGAGGCATTGCTAGTATGTAGATGATAATCTATTCGTGTATTACCAAGAATATGCTCCTTGACGTTTGTCAATTGGTTAAGAATGGAGGTCTTCGTTGCAGCTACCGACGAGTTGCGAACGTTCTGGCTAGCAAGTGCGAGATCTCAACTTGACACAACTTGCGCTCAGATGAACGATGGTATCAATGGCCTTTGGAGGCTCCATTACTTGAGTGACTAATCAGATAACCGCACGTCACCGCAGAGTGCAAGCCCAAAATATGTCTCGCCTAAGTTGCCTTATTACAGTCAGACCCAACACGTGACAGCAAGTCTTGGCTCCCGGTTCCGCACACTGCACCTTCGCAAAACTTCATCTCGCACGCCGCCCCTGCCACTGAACCTCGTCATCGAACAACCACGAAGTATCCCCAGTGACCAGAAGATCTTGTCAAGAGTAAGTCCCTGACTTCAGTTCAGCTCGCTGTTAATCATGATACTGACTTCGCAACAGTGCAGATGTAAGTCCACCCGCTTCACCTGACACGAATCCGAAGTCGAAAGTCCTATTCTCGTGCGATGGCGACGGCGACGGCGACCGAACGACCATGGTCAGCGGTCGTTTTCCGAAGCGTTGAGGATATCTCTCTCCTGGAGGCAGCCAAAACACGACATATCAAGAAGCTGGAATAAGAGACTGACAAGTTATTGAACCAACAGCTTCGTCAAGACCCTCACGGGCAAGACCATCACCCTTGAGGTCGAGTCGTCGGACACCATCGACAACGTCAAGTCCAAGATCCAGGACAAGGAAGGCATCCCGCCCGACCAGCAGCGTTTGATCTTCGCCGGCAAGCAGCTCGAGGATGGCCGCACGTTGAGCGACTACAACATCCAAAAGGTATATATACACCTCTCCACACGTTCCGTCTGGATCCGGCACAACTGGGTTTTCACCGCCCATGTCTACTACTACACGACAATCCTAAATCCAGCGTGGGCTGGTAGTATACATTGCGGTTGCTCGTGTCTTTCTGTGTTGTGACTTCTGAGGGAGATTCATGTGTGGCTGACCGATGTTCGTTTCAAAAATCAAACAGGAGTCCACCCTTCATTTGGTCCTCCGTCTGCGTGGCGGTATCATCGAACCCTCCCTCAAGGCCCTTGCCTCCAAATACAACTGCGAGAAGATGATCTGCCGGAAGTGCTACGCCCGTCTGCCCCCGCGAGCCACCAACTGCCGCAAGAAGAAGTGCGGTCACTCCAACCAGCTCCGACCGAAGAAGAAGATAAAGTAAAGGTTGTGCGCTATTTACGTACTGGTATCCTGCTGTTCGGTCTGCGCGGTGGGACGGAAGACAGGTGGGGGGAAACGCGAAGAAGTGGCGTGGCCAAGTTTTGCTGGAGGTTTGCATGCTCAGTCCGCTGCATTCAAGGATGAGAGCATGCGCAACAGAGGCAATACTATGGCGAGAATGGGGTTTCTGCAGATCAAGGAATGGACAATTAGCTGCTTAGGCTAGATCAAGTTCATTGTTTTTCATGACTTAGTTGTGTCTTCTACTTCTGCATCTCCCGCTCTGCTATCTTCCTTTCTGGTCGCACCTTGGATGTGGGCACTTGAGGCTGTCCCATATCATGTCCAAGCGTGCAAGGCCAGGCATGGGTTTTGAAGGTGATCATGTCACTAGAAAAGGTTTGGAATCTTCAAGGCTGTGAACATGACAGCACTATCTGAACACTACAACGGCTTAGCTTACAGGAACTCGGCAGTTGAATATTAAGTCTTGTAAATGAGTCAAGGCTCCGTTGTCAAGCCTCAGTCATGATTGATACATAAATGCCATCTTAAGATGTCAATTGTCTCGCAACCCCGGCAGCGCATGGCCGCACCGCACAGTGATCCCAGTTTAGTTTCTGACATTGATCATGCTACACAGAGACATTCTCTAGAAACGCATCGACGCCGTCATTCTCCTGCCCGCATCGTCCTTGGCAGGACTCCCATGGCTGAAGAACAAGATCTTGATAGCGATCGCCAACCCAGCCTGCAGCAGCACCACAGCCAGCAGAAGGACCTGGCTGATTTTCTTCTCGGTGGCGCGGATGACAGGGTACAGGTTCTTGACTAGGAAAAACACGCTGACAGCATACCCGAGCCCGACAATGGCATAGTTGAGCCCACTCAAGGGCGACCACGAGACCAGCGCCACGGCGATCCAGAACAGGTTGCTGTACCCGTACAGGGCCCAACACTCGACCAGCTCGAGCGACTGGGCGCCGAACCACCTCAGGGCCGCCCACAGCCCGAGCGGCACGAACAGCGTGTACCCGTAGACCAGGCCGGCGGCGCCGCTCAACAGTCGGAAATCATATTCGAAATGCTTCTTGCCTTCCGTCGCGAGCTTGTGGCTGATCGTGCCCGTCAGGAACAAAATCACCACCACCGTCGTCGCGATCCAGAACGGGCCGTACAGGTCGGGATTGCCGTCCATCGTATCGAGAAACGGAGGCGTGTTGGGCAGGAAAGGTAGAATTGCGGTGCGGCATCGGTGCAGTACCGTCGTTGTGTCGACGTCGAAGAATTGCGCGTAGAACCCGAGCGACCAGAGCATGTGTTTCCGAGGCACCGCTGACGGGTCGTTGGGCAGAGTCGCTGGGTTGGTGGCGCTGTTGGCGAGAAACGCTGTCGACGACGAGTCTGGTTGCACCTTGCGCGTCGAGCTTGTCTCGAAGTCTGTTTCGTTAGTCTTTCTGTCTGGCCGCTTGGAATGCGTAGATTCGGAGGATGAGAGTAGACGAGAGTAGATGAGAGAGGAAGAAAAAGGGTAAGGGTAAGCCAAAGAGGATGTACGTGTCCGCGGCCAGAGGCGCTTCAGCTTACTGGAAGAGTGGAATTCAAGGTCGTCGTCCTGGAGATCGGTATGTCCGAGGTCGCCCTGTCCAGAAATCTTGTCAGTTTCTCATATCTCTCAAGGGTTTAGCTGTGCCAACGGCCGGCGTGGATGCCGCGCGCGGAGGCCGTGTCTGGTGGAGGGAGAGGAGGAAGGGAGACGCACTTCGGTGTCGACGTCCACGACGACATCGTACCCTCGATTAGCCATATTGCTGGAGCGTGCAGGATTGGACGATTGAGGTGCAGAGCGGTTACTCTGTTGCGGTGGAAGAGTAGGAGTAAAGAGGATTTCTCGCGGTGGACGTGAAAGTGAGAGCAGTTCAGTTAAGTTTGGCATTGGAAACACGTCGCCTGTCTGCAGCTTTGCGCTTCGAGTTCGCAGTTTGACGTGCCGAGCACCACTCGGGAGCGCAGCCAGCTGAAATAATTTTGTAATTACAGCAATAAACTGGTCAATTAAGCGTTGAAGCACGTAATTACCTGTTTTGGGATTCTGTTTCCCATTGAGGTACCTCTCACCTGCTACCTACCCAGGTACATCAGGTATTGTGTACTATCAAGCTTATATACCTACATCGGGAGGTATAGTCTTTTTTGGTGCCTTCTTTCAGAACCCGGAATAGACACCTAGGTAAGGTATCTTATGAAAGACCTGGTTTACAACGTCCAACGTCCAGACATGTATGTCTATACGTACACGGCACAGGATGTCCAAGACTCTTGGATTACATTCATTCGGGAGCAACCAGCTTCTGGTTTGCGCGAAGAGGAGGTGCACCCTCAAGAGACTGCAGATTGCAGCTCTCTATTCCGCCATTGGATATGTCGAGGCCACCGTATTGCCTATCGGCTGATCCTTGTCATCAATGATGTGGCATGATACGTCGTAGCTCTATCACAACGGCCGTCATTCGGAACTGTCCAGTCCTGGTCTCAATGAAGATCCACCTCAACATTGCTTCAGTTGAGCAGACTTCGAAAGAAATATGCATAGCATCGCCGATGAAAGAAGCTGACTGTGCGCAGCTGACCCTATGCCAGGCTATGTGTTCTTGTGGCGGCGCTACCGTTTGGGCGCTGGGTTCGGATTCTCTCTGTTCCGAACAGCCTTGCAGGCGCTACCGCAGATGACCATTTATCGTCGTGAAATGTTGCAACCGGGAGTGATGCTGGCCAAGGAGCGAAAGAAGCTCGGGTGCAGCAACAACTCTCTCACCTGCGTCGAAGGATTGATGTGATACACAGGCTGACCATGACCAATGTGGCAGACGATGTGAGACGCTCATTGCCCAATCCCAAGGGTATCTATTATGGAAGATGACTTCGTTGTCATGCGCAGCATCATCGTACAACACCAAGGTCGTCCAACGTGGCTTCTTCCTGCTGGCTTTGACATAAAAATTGGCATCTGTCGTGATCCCGGCGCAGTCTCATTGACCGCTGTTGTCAGGCAGGGATGTTTGACCAAAGCGTCGGGTCAAGCTTCTGTCCTACCGTGCTTTCGAAAACAGATGCGAGGTTGAAGAGATTAGAGTCCAGAGGAATTTGTCCTGCCCACTCTTCCGGAACCAGACCGACATTGCGGCGACCAGAAGGGCGGCAGTCAAGGAAAAGATGGGTCTTCGGTGCTGCAGGAGCAACCTTGCAGTCTTCTTCATTGATTCATCCCTGCGTAATTGGGCAATCTGCTTGTGGCAGAGCATTTGGGCTTCCGCGAGGCTGTGGGGGCGGCTGATATCGCGCGATGTCTTGAGGACGCTGTACTGGGACACTCGCCACCAAATGAAGCCATTGAGTTGTTCCGGTGGGTTCTGGCGGAACAGGGTAAGAGTATCCAAGATCAACGCGTCAATATTTAGGGACTTCGGTAGCTTCGATATCATGAAGGTGAGTATGTCCGACTCATCTGCAGGCATCTCGAGCAGTTCCGAGCGTCGTGATATCGTAATGGCAGCAAATAGATAGATGGTCATGACTGGCTCGTGTGCAAGCAGAAAATCGTACAACCGAGCAATGTCGCCATAGTCTTGGATGTCATGGGCGAATAAGGAGTGGGTGGCCGACAAGGCGAAGCTATTCTCAGCTTGCGAGATGTGTTCAGCCAGCTCGGGATCTGCAGATTTCACGATAGCTGAGACAAGCTCAAAGTGCTTTCTGGCTGGCGCTATGGTGGGCAGCATGTAGTCGCGAAGCCGAAGCAGAGATATTCGTGAGACCGCGGCCGCCGCGGGTCCGTCTCCAAGGACAAGGAGCAGGACTTGTACCACATCGTGATAACTCTGAAAGTAGGAGAGCATGGGATGCTTCCTCAACGTTGATACAATCAGGTCCGAGAGCTGTTTCTTTTTCGTCTCCAGGGACTGTTCGGATTCGTCTAGTTACGTTTAGACCCGTGTTGCCAGGATGGAAAGACGGAAAGCAAACCTTTGGGATAGTATACAAAAGCACGGGCAACGTCGAGTTGGACCTGGTCCTCGTCGACATGCCGGGGAAGCTCACGCCAGGATTGACTAGCTTCTATGCCATCTGCTCCTTCGCCTTCCGGGCTGTAGCCCAATAAGATAGGCCCTGCCCAGTTCGTCAGTCAGTCAATGTGTCACCGGCGAATCAATGAGATAGAAAAAGAGACATACAAGCTTGTCGGCGCAGTTCATCGGTCAGAAGACCGCCAGTTGAGGTTGCTAGCCTGACCAGGGTTTCAAAGTCGCGCCGGACGCACGCTTCTTCAATGGATTTGCGCTTCTCCCGATCATCATCTGCATGGTTCACAGCGTGCTCCTTGGAGCCAAGCTCCGTCTTCTCGTTAAACTCAGATTCCATATCGGCGTCGTCGTGCATCGTGTTGCGAGGGGAAGTCAGCGTCCCATGGCCATGTCCGCTCGAATCAAAATGGTTCCCTAGACGGACAGGCTCCGAGAGACGTTGCAAACGCTCTCCGCCCTTTGAGTCCAGATTGAAATGCACCCGAAGGAGAGAGTGGCTGTTTGGCCGCAGCTGTCAATGGCCGCCTGGGGATGATTCTGAAGTCGGCGAAGAAGGTGCCAGGTGACACGAGCGGCCGCGTCTTGTCTGTGTCAACTTGTCAACTTTGTCCACCGCAGTTGTCCATCAGGCTTGCTCCTATTGACCGGGAGATGCAAGGTATCGCCTGCTACCGTGGGGGTGTGGTCTGTATTTGTTTGTCCAATTCCACTTGAGGACTGTGGCATTGATGAGATGAGATGAGGGAGGAAAGGAAGATGGAGGTCGAGGTCGAAGTCGAGGTCGAGGGGAGATTTGCCCCGTTCGGTCGAATAAACATCGGCCAACTTCAACTTCAGCTTCCGCCTGAATCGACACAACGTCTTCGCCATCATGCACAGGCCTTCTCTTTCGTGACCTTCCCAATCCGAACGCGCATGTCAGTGGTTTGAAGTGCTGCGTTTTTCCTTTGTATCGAATCATGCCCTGAAGGACGGCGACAGGGGTGTTGGTTCTATGGCGCTTCGGATCAGGCTCTGCAACTTTGCCTTGCCCCTCGCTGGACCCCGACCTGCCTCACCATTGCTGCATTGTCGACGATCCTATGTCTCTCGTGATCCTTGTTGGCAAAAGAGCTGGCAAAGATAGGTATTAGGAATGCTTTGTCCGATTCTTGTGAGAAGATCCGCGTTGTGGCATCACAGCTGGAGCATAAAATCAGACAGCTATCTACCCGCGCCCTGCTGCGCTTTCATCTCAACCTCTTCACTCAGTTGACTGTCTCTGTCGCCCTCAAACCATTCATGTTGACTGATTGATCGGGGCTTTGGCGCTTGGTCAAGTCTTGGATCATGTCAAGTCTACATGAGTCGACGAGCGAGGCGAACTCCCCAGGCTTTGGAAACCGGCAACAGGATGTGCAACGACGAGTTGGCGTCCTGTCGAGGACTCTCAACTCCAGCTCTAGTATCAGATGGATTCTCCCTGCCAGGATACGCTCGCCCTCCAAGAACGACGTCGTCTTTGTAGGGTCGACTTTTGTTCAGCTTCATGAGTTCCTGGACACCGGGCAGCTCGTGAACACAACGGCCAAGCTGGACTTCGGTACTCAGATTACAGATGCCAAAGTCATCTCAGCCAACCTGAAAATCGTCCCCGTCGTTGATGCAATCTTCAAGCAAGAACGAGACCAAGAACAGTACACAATCCGGGGGCAACCCCTTACCCAGACACAACCGCCACAGCTGCTGGTTCTGGCCACCGTCGACAATGAATTGATTTATGTTTACGCAACGGAGGACATCGCCAGCGACGTCAAACTAGTCTTTGCGAAGAGGCCGTTGCTGAGAGGAGCAGGCCTGCCCCGTAGCCAATGTCGCTATCTGGCCGTTGACTACGAGTGAGTAATAACATATCCGTCGAAAGCAAGAGTTGTCATTGACTGGGAAATACAGGTCTCGCGCGCTCGCCGTGGCTTCGCCATCGGGCTACTTCGGAGTCTTCAAGCTACGACCCCTTGATGATATAAAGGCTGAGATCGATCGCTGGGATCCTCTCAGCCACGGCTCCTTCCGCCCTTCTGATGAGGTAGGTGGTGTTGCCAGATGATTATGCACACCGCTAACAGTTCCAGCAACGTTTCATCCAAGTGGATGGTGATATCATCATGCTTGATTTCCTTCGCAGCCCCGATTCCGACTCTACCAAAGTGCTCTTACTCATCCTCGTCCATGCTGCGGATGGATCCAACACGACCCTTCAGTACCTGTACCGATGGGATACTCGGTCCCCTCTTCAGACTCTCAAGGCCATGTCTTGCAGCGGGCGCCGACTTAAGGAGGATCAGCTCCCTTTGATGTTGATTCCGTCGACCAGACCATATTCATTTGTCCTGGTATTGGAAACGGGGATTAGCTACTTTGAGAATGTCCATTCTTCCGAGTCCAAACGCATCAATTGCCAGTTCGTGGGTAAGGCAGCAGGACCTCTGCAATGGGTTCAGTGGGCCAAGCCGAGGCGTCACACCGAATATCTCCAGAAACGCGATGATCTTGTAATCGTTCGCGAAGATGGACTGCTGCAGTACTTTCAAATCGAGAAGGCCTCGAGTACCAAGTTCACCATGAACAACACCATCGGCCACCTGGGCTTTGATGTCGACACGGCTTTCTGCATGCTGGCTGGGCCGCCAGATAAAGGTGGCGACATTATCATAGCCGGTGGCAGTATGACAGACGGAGGCGTCTTCCATGTCTCTGCCCGAGGTTCTCCACAGCGCACACAGAGCATCGAGAACATTGCTCCTCTGAGAGACATGATTGTGGCCTCATCCCCGCTTGGTAGGCCTACGGGGCTCGAAACGCATGAGGTGTCCAATCGATTGTACACTTGCAGCAGCAGAGACGACGGGCGCGGTGAGCTGTCGGAAATTCGATACGGCTTGGAAGCTCAGATTGGGTGGACTATGGACTATCCGGACGCCGCATTCATCGATCAGATCTGGTCACTGGAAATCCCCGACAGGAAAGAGCTTCTGCTACTCGCATCACATACCACGCATACGACCATGGTCTCGTTTGAGCTTGAAACGCAGGACATTTCTTTCACAGACGCCGAGACACATCCCGGCTTTGATTTCGACAGACCCACGCTCGCCGCGGCTGTCATCAAGAACCGGACGATTGTTCAAGTTACGACTGGTGGCATCAACGTTATCCCCACAGGCACCACCTCGACTGCGCCTAGACCTAGGCACGTAAAGGCCGACTTGCGGGTGGCTGCATTCTTTGAAAATGAAGCCACCGTCGCCATTGCAGGCAAGAGCCTGTCAGGCTTTGAAATTGGACTGTCGTCTATTGTGACCTCAAATGATGGGAGCGTACGCTTGACTGCTGCACCTAGCACAGCCTTGGCCGAAACACCTACTAGCATATGTTGCTTTACCGTCAAGGAAACCCGGCTTGTCCTGGTGGGGACGGCTACTGCCAGGTTCCATCTGTATACCGTTTGGCCCGACCGAACCTTGAAGCTTGTATTCCAGAGACAGGTCAAAGACATTGAAGGCAAGCTGGAGAACTCAGCAGTCACTTCGCTCGTTGCACTCTGCTCGGGTGAGCGCGCCGGGGCACTCCTTCTCTGCGGATTACGCCACGGGATCTTACTTTGCTTGGAGCTGTCCCTGGAAAACTCCCGGTCGACCGGCCATGACAGCGTCCTCGCAAGCATATCTGGCGCTGACTATGTCGAAGGCATCAGATGTGATGACTTCTACCTTCTTGGATCAACTCCCGTCCACGTCTTTGAGGAGAAGGTGACTTCCAGCCATGTGGGAACTTCGTCCGCCTTGGTGCTGTGTCAAGGGGATATGCGTCGTGTGACACTTCATCCAAATTCTGCCGTGATGGACTACACGGTCTCTGGTCTTTGGGTCACCGACCGGACTGATGTGAGTGTACCCCCTGTCCTACTGTCTTACTGAAACTGTCCTAACATTGCCTAGCCCTCCGCTGAACCCGTGGTAAACGCTTTCCATCGTGTTCCGAAGCTCGCGACCACTGTTGCAGATCCAGGTGGCTTGCTTGTTTGTGCCACCCATGATGTACTCTTGTTCTGCTCGCTGGTCACGCAAGAACAAGGAATCATCAGAAAGATCCCCATTGAAGGCGACCCGCGACACATGCAGTTCTCACCCTACCTAAACAAATTCGTGGTGGCTTTCGAGAGAGTGTATCATCTGCACAGCGAGGGTTCTTCTGATCCGAAACGCCGTGGTGGAGTCCTGACAGGATCCATCTTGCCTCAAAAGGTGCAGCAGGTTGGCATCCAACTGATTGACCCTGTCTGGAAGGATGTCAAGACCGGCAGGACCTCGATCATCGTTGCGGAGGACACGAGTGAGAGGGTCAACGCCATGATCAATTGGGCGCCAACAGACGGTACGAATCATTACGAATGGATTGTCTTGGCCCTCGAACATAGGATTCCAGGACTTCCACAGCGGAGCGGTCGGGTCACTTGTCTCAATGCCAAAAGTCTCAGCAAAGGCTCCTACGAGAACATCCAGAAGTTAGCATTCCGCAGTCCAGACAAACCCGTCACCGCCATCTGCGCCTACAAGATGTCCTCATTGTTGATTGCTGCTGGGAGGGAGATTCACATCCAAAATCTGGATTTCGCCACGCGAAAATGGAAGACGCTGTCAAAGCACGCCTTGCCGTCCCCGGCCAAAGCCATTTCATGTCAAGGGTCGATCATCTTTGTTGCCACGTCTCAACATTCGCTGTTCGTCCTTGTGGAACAGGATGGCAAGTTGACCCAACATCGAGCAGACACTGAAGCTCGGTGTTCGGTGGACGTGGCCGCCTTTGGTGGCGACTCTGCGGTATTCTCAACCTGGAACGACAGTGGGACCGACCTGGTTGCATTTGGCGGCTTCGACAAGTCGTACAAGGATCCCTTCCCGCTCTTCCACGCCGACTTACCGCTCATGGTCAACCGCATTCGTTTGGACCCACAAGCAAGTTTGCCGACCTCTGGACGCTGTCGCTTCTACGGCAGCGCGAGTGACGGCACCCTTTTCCACTTCACTTTGCTCAGCGGCCGCGAATGGAAGCTGCTACATTTCCTTGAACAAATGAGCTACATGGAGCGCAAGACTGTCAAGCCAGTGCCCATCAAAAAGCGGGACGCGAACAATGAGGAGATTATCATCAATCCTGCCCCTACCAAGCTGAAGGACATGCACGTCCGGGGTGATCGGCTGATGATGATGATCGAGCCAGGTCCCTACCATCTGCAGAACATGTTGAAAGAACCCGGACAGCGGGAGAAGTTCGGTTCTCTGGTGAATGAAGTGCTAGGAGAGGAAGAACATCCGATCGAGGCCACCACTGTTTGGTTGAGGAGATTGCTGAGATATCCTCAAAGATCTTAACCCATCACTCAGGTGAATGAGACCATGAAGGTGGGCTGCGGCGGTCTACGTCCAGCATCGTGGAACATAGTCGAACCCAAGTGTCGGCAATATGAGTCTCTTTGTTAAATGACCGGTGACCTCGACTGACTCGGACTCGTCAGGGCCTAGAGAGGTGACTAGGAGCTGCCTCCGATAGAAGCCCCTTAGCCCAGTAGTAGAGAATGTCATCAGTGACTGACTTTTATGTAGGTATATATACGTACACGTGACGAGGCTGTGGTTCAACCGGTCAGTTGAAGTTGCAGCAACTGCTGGCAAGTGTACCTAGTAGTAGTACAGAGTAATGTAACTGTCCGTGCCAAGCATGTCTATACCTCAGGCACATACATTGCATGTAAACTTGAATCAATCAAGTTTCTACAGCCAAAAAGGTACCTAGGTACTTATTACTTGTCCTACTAAATATTTGACAAGCCGCAAGTCTCGCAGTCCAACAAACGTCAGTCTTGCCCCACCATCTCTTCTCGCCCGCACACCAACGGGCTTCTTCTTTTAAGTCCGGACTGTCAAAAGTTCTATCCACTGTAATCCAACAGGCTTGTGGCGACAGAAAGCTCAAGATTTGGTCGGTCAAGTTGGCCATAAACCATTTTAATATTAATCTTGACCTCAACCCTGTAATTATCAAGGCCGCCTGCTACGAATTTATGTCGCTGCCGCCTCTCAATCCTGAACAACCCATCCCACCGAAAACAACCCTCAACAATACCAGATACCATCATGGCGCCTAAAAAGAAGGGAGGCAAGAAACAGGCCGATGACTGGGAGGCTGACCTGGGCGAGACCATCGATCCGGTGGCACAGGCCACCGAGGACGCAAAGAATGGAGATGCAGAGCCAGCTGCTGCCGATGAAGAGCTCAACGGTGGTGGTGGTCTTCTTGCTGCCCTGCGGAAAAACAAGGACAAACGTGCAAAGAAAGGCAAGGCTGTCTTGAACGACTTTGTTGAAGGCGAAGATGCAGACGGCGTTGTTCCCACCCCGCCTGCAAACGACCTCGATGCCAAAGCACCTACCGAGGCTACCTTCGATGACGGCGACGAGGATGCTTTTGCTAGCAACAACGCGAAGAAGGGCAAGGGAGGCAAGAAGCAGCCAGCCACGCAGGCCGCAGAAGCCGATGCCGCAGACAGTGCCGACGGCGGCGGAGTAAAGTCGAAGAAAGAAAAGGAGCGGGAGAAAAAAGAGCGTGAGAAGCAAAGAAAGAGGGAACAGGTATGTCATGAAAGCTTGTCTAGGTTGATTTTAGAAGACTAACGGATGTGTTATAGGCTGCAAAGAAAAAGACAACCGCTCCAACACCTGCTCCCAAGGCGGAGGAGCAGAAACAGGCTCCCGTCGAAGAAGAAAAGCCCGAAGCTCCGGCTCCGGCTCCGGCTGCGGCTGCGGCACCCATGCCAGAAAAAGAAGATAAGTCAGGGAAGAAGAGGAAAGTGCCTGCTGCCCTCGCCGCCCTCCAGAAACAACAAGAAGCCCTTGCCCGGCAACGAGAGGAACAAGCTCGGATAGAAGCTGAAGAAAAGGCTGCCGAAGAAGAACGCCTCCGAAGAGAAGAAGAAGAGGAGAAAAAGAGAGCTGAAGCAAGACAGCGCAAGAAGGAAAAGGAGAGGGAAAAGAAGGAACAACTCAGAAAGGAGGGCAAGCTTCTGTCCGAGGCCGATCGAAAACGGAAGCAACAGCAAGAGCTTCGATTGAAGCAGATGTTGGAATCCGGTGTCAAGGTGGCTGGATTGACTGGAGGTGCTGAAGAAAAGAAGAAGCCGGCTTACGACAAGAAGCGGAAAGGTCCCAAGAAGGAAGACGTTGACCTTGAAGCGGCCGCACAAAAGGCAAAGGCCGAAGCTGAGGCGGCTGCCGCGGAGCGCCAACGTCGCGCCAAGGAGGCAGAAGAGGCGGCAGCAGCTGCAGCGGCCGCTGATATAGAGGCAGGGAATGACGGCGAGTCGTCCGAAGTCGATGATTGGGAAAAGGCCGCAGAGGAAGAAGTCAAGGACAGCTGGGACGCAGATTCGGATGCTGAACCAACCGTCAACGGCTCCAAAGACACACGCACAACCAACGGTGCTCCGTCAACCTCGGGGGGCAAAGCGTCCAAGGGAGAGTCCGATAGCGACTCGGAGGAGGAATCATCCTCCGATGAAGAGCGCACCGTCACTCAGCGCGCCCTTGCCAAAAAGAAGGCCGAGGCCGCCGCCCGAAGACAAAAGGCTCACGAAGAAGCGCTCGCCGCCCGGTCCAAGGACAACCTACGATCTCCCATCTGCTGTATTCTGGGTCACGTCGATACTGGCAAAACCAAGCTGCTGGATAAGATCAGACAGACGAATGTCCAAGAAGGCGAAGCTGGTGGTATCACCCAGCAGATTGGTGCGACTTACTTCCCCGTCGAGGCACTGGAGCAGAAGACGGCCGTCGTCAACAAAGATGGCAAGTTCGAGTTCAAAGTGCCGGGTTTGTTGGTGATCGACACCCCTGGTCACGAGTCCTTCTCCAATCTTCGGTCTCGTGGCTCGTCTCTGTGCAACATCGCCATTCTCGTGGTGGACATCATGCACGGCCTCGAGCCTCAGACACTGGAGTCGATGCAATTGCTGCGGGATCGTAAGACTCCGTTCATTGTGGCCCTCAACAAGATCGATCGGCTGTACGGGTGGAAGAAGATCGACAACAACGGCTTCCAGGAGAGTTTGGCATTGCAGAGCAAAGGCGTGGTGAACGAATTCTACGACCGCGTGGAGAAGACGAAGCTGGCGTTTGCGGAGAAGGGATTCAATGCCGAGCTCTACTTCGAAAACAGGGACATGAGGCGATATGTGTCGCTCGTGCCGACCTCGGCTCACACCGGCGAGGGTATCCCCGACATGCTCAAGCTTCTGGTGTCGTTGACCCAGGAGCGCATGACGTCTAGTCTGATGTATCTGTCGGAGGTCGAATGTACGGTGCTCGAGGTCAAGGTCATTGAAGGCCTCGGCACGACCATCGATGTTATCCTGTCCAACGGTCACCTTCGCGAAGGGGATCGCATTGTCCTGTGTGGTCTGAACGGGCCCATTGCTACCAACATCAGGGCCCTTCTGACCCCGGCCCCGCTGAAGGAACTCCGGCTTAAGTCGCAGTACGTGCACAACAAGGAGGTCAAGGCAGCCTTGGGTGTGAAGATCGCCGCGAACGATCTGGAAGGCGCCATTGCAGGATCTCGTCTGCTCGTCGTCGGACCGGAAGATGACGAGGAGGACCTGTGCGAGGAAGTCATGGCCGATCTGCAGCAACTTCTCAGCAAGGTGTCCAAAGACAACCGCGGTGTCAGTGTTCAGGCATCCACTTTGGGCTCTTTGGAAGCGTTGTTGGAATTCTTGAAGCAGAGCAAGATCCCCGTGGCCAACATCTCGATTGGCCCGGTGTACAAACGCGATGTGATGATGGCCGGGACCATGTTGGAGAAAGCGAAGCAGTACGCGGTCATGCTATGTTTCGATGTCAAGGTGGACAAAGAAGCACAGCAATATGCGGATGAGAATGGGATCAAGATCTTCACGGCCGACATCATTTACCATCTATTCGACGACTTCACGAGACACATGGCTCAAATCCAGGAGCAGAAGAAGGAGGAGAGCAAGCTGAACGCCGTGTTCCCCTGCGTGCTCAACACTCTGCAGGTGTTCAACAAGAAGGACCCGATCGTCATTGGAGTTGATGTTGTCGAGGGTAGTCTTCGACCGCTGACCCCGATTGCAGCGGTGAAGACGAACCCGGTCACCGGAGTCAAGGAGATCATCAGCTTGGGCCGAGTGTAAGTTTTTACCCTTTCTCTAAAGGTTCCGCAGCGACTGACATATTTATTCTAGGACATCCATTGAACGAGAGCACAAGGCCATCCCGATCTGCAAGAAAGGCCAGCCATCGGTTGCGGTCAAGATCGAAGGACCCAACCAGCCGCTGTACGGACGACAGCTGGAGGACAAGGATACTTTGTATTCGTTGATTTCACGACAGTCGATCGACACGCTCAAAGAGTTCTACCGAGACGAGGTGACGAGGGAGGAGTGGTCCCTGATCAGGAAGCTGAAGCCCCTGTTCGACATTCCTTGAACGAGATGACGAGACGAGGCTGGGCTGGGCTCAGGCGTTTCCCGGGTTGCAAGCGAGCAAAAGTACAGCAATGAAGCATGAGGCATCGTATTGCCGTTAGTGGCTGGATGTATCTTCTCTCTTCTATCTCTTCGGGAAGCATGGACTTTGGCGCAGTAGTGGACAAAAAGGTGAACTGGTTTGCTGGCAGTATTTTATGATGCGCTCCTCTCTTTTTCTAGATGTGAATGAATACGATGAGGAACCAAGACTGTATTGTAAGAATGTAGATTAGAGCGGCGTGGACTGATCAATCCCATGCTTGTGAGTTGTGAGGTTGTGGTGGTATGATCCTGACCAAGATTAGCAGTGATGGTGCTGGTGGTGGTGCTACCTAAGGTAATGTACATACCTACTAAGGTACTCTACTAACTATTCTACTAATACTCTACTAATACTCTACTACTACTCTACTAGGTATTGACACGACTGACACTCTCTACTGAGCAAGAGTATAAAAGTGTCGCCATCCGGAGCAGCCAGGAACCGACGGAGCCGGAACCCGCGCGCGCCAGTTGCCCAATCGACGCCGCGTAAAAAAAAATATACCGGCGCGAGCATCTAAGCATCGACCTCGCGCCATGCAATTAATCTCCTTCGATTCCCGGTGCTGGAGCCCCAAAGAAACAGTCACTACCGCTGCCAATTGTCGTCTAGACCCAGTGTCTCCCTTGTCTCCATTTCTCCCTGCAACACTAAGCTTTTTGGGCGATCAGGAGGTGGAAATCGCCCGCCTCAGTTGATCGTTAAATTGACAGTGGAGAATCTGGTCGGTCGTGTCGGATTCCAGCTCTTCTATCGCTCGACGCTTGCAAAAGAAAGACACTGCAACAATCCCCAATCCCCACCCCTACCGCCGGCGTCGAGATCAGACATCACCAAACAAAAAGGGGGAAACTTGCGTCCGTATTTGTTCTCGTGGGCGACGCCAGGTAGTGAGTGAATACCTAGTCAGGAACGCCGACTGTGTGGTGTTCGTCAGTCAGGAACACCGCTGCGCCCATTCGACCATCGGCAGAAAACCGACCGCATCCGCCGTGCAGTGGTCGATCAAGCTCACGCGACAAATCCTTCGCCATGGATGTGCTGGCCAATGCCACCAGCTTTGTCTCTCCCCTCGCCAATGCCAACTCCAAGATTCAGGCCGTCCGCGCCTCAGGGTTCGTGGGAAGGATTGTAGAATCCCTCAACATCTGGACCGTCTTGTTGACCGTCCTGTTGATCTTGGTGACTTATGATCAATGTAGGAGGAGACCGAAGCCGTACCGATGGAAGACTCGACTGACCTTCTTCGCAGACAGTTACCAATGGCGCAAACATGGGATCGTGGGACCGTCATGGAAGATGCCCTTTATTGGACCTTTCCTGGAATCCGTCCACCCAGATTTCTACAAGTACAAGCAGAAGTGGGAGAGTGGTGATCTGAGCTGTGTGTCGGTCTTTCACAAGTATGATGCATCCATCACCTAGCTCTTGTTCTTTTTCCTGCGTCCGTCATGCTGACCATCTTTGTGTCGGACAGGTTCGTGGTGATTGCCTCGACGCGCGACATGGCTCGAAAAGTGTTCAACTCGCCCGCCTTCCTCAAACCCACCGTGGTCGATGTGGCGCCCAAACTCCTGCGGCCGACCAACTGGGTCTTTTTGGACGGGAGGGAGCATGTGGAATACCGCAAGGGTTTGAACGGACTGTTCACCCGTCAAGCACTGGAAGTCTACCTGCCGGGTCAAGAGGATGTGTACAACCGATACTTCAAGAACTTCGTGGCCATGTCCAAGGAGAACGGCATGAAACCCAAGCCCTGGATGCCCGTCTTCCGCGAACTCATGTGCGCCGTGTCATGCCGGACGTTCGTTGGCCATTACATGAGCGACGCGATCGTCAAGCGAATCGCGCACGACTACTACCTCATTACGGCCGCGATGGAACTGGTCAATTTCCCCATCATCCTTCCCTACACCAAGACGTGGTACGGCAAGAAGGCCGCCGACATGGCGCTGGACGAGTTCGCCAAGTGTGCGGCCAAATGCAAGGTGCGCATGGCCGCGGGCGGCGACGTCACCTGCATCATGGACGCCTGGGTCAAGCAAATGATGGATTCGGAGAAGTACCGCGAAAGGGTGGCCCGGGGCGAGACGGTGGACCAGTCGGAAAAGCCGCCTCAGCTGCTTCGAGACTTCACCGATTTCGAGATTGCCCAGACGGTCTTCACCTTCCTCTTCGCCTCGCAAGACGCCACGTCGAGCGCGTGCACGTGGCTGTTCCAGATCATGGCGGACCGACCGGAGATTCTGGACAAGGTGCGCGAGGAGAACCTGCGGCTACGCGGCGGCGACCGAAACAAGCCGTTCGACATGGACATGCTGGAAGCCATGGTCTGGACCCGGGCCGTGGTCAAGGAGACTCTGCGATACCGACCCCCAGTCATTTTCGTGCCGTATGTCGCCAAGAAGGATTTCCCCGTGTCGGAGAACTACACACTGCCCAAGGGCTCCATGATCATCCCGGCCATCTGGCCCGCCACTCACGATCCCGAGGCGTATCCCAACCCGGACAGTTTCGAGCCCGAACGATGGATCACCGGCGACGCGGACAAGCAGGTCAAGAACTGGTTGGTCTTTGGCACCGGTCCTCATTACTGTCTGGGCCAGACGTATGCCCAGCTGAACCTGATGGCCATGATTGGCAAGGCTAGTATCTTGCTGGACTGGGTGCACGAGCCGACGCCGCTGAGTGAGTCGATCGAGGTGTTTGCCACCATTTTCCCCCAGGTGAGTTCCCCCCACCCGATCAGCCTAAACAGACAAGACATGGCTGCTGACACGTTTGCTTAGGATCATTGCAAATTGGCGTTTTCCGAGCGACCATAGATGTGAGTTTGTGAGTGTTGGGTTTCACCTTCACCCGTTGTTGTGAGAACAATGATGGGGAGTCTTGTCCCAGAACTGCACTGTACATACATACCTATTCCATGGGTGGGCAGGGCTGTCAAGAGCATGGAAAAAAATGTCTTCTGCGGAGGACATGAAGGCGCCTGGACGGTCTCAACCGGCGATCTCGATCTGTTTCTCTTGGGGCGGTTGTATGCATATCAACTCTCAAGAGACTGAGAGAAAGGAGGATTCTGGCTGCACAGAGCAAGAGGCATTCCAGGCCCATCGCCCCATCACTATTTGTATATAGAATTCGAACCACGAGGGGGAAGTTTTTGTTGAGCTTGGATAGCTCGCCGGTAATGGTTATGAGGGCGTTGAAGAGAAATAGAATCAGGAGCATACAATATGAACATAAGTCATTTATTTCCCAGGGCTGTAGACCCTGTCACTACTGGTGCTGTCCTATCGACTGCCGCTAAGAGGGTTGGATAGATACAGTAGAGCGTCCAATGCTATAGACCTGGGTATCTGGGTATAGAACTTGTCTGATATATGATATGATGTTGATGTACAGATTAAGATTTACCAACACCACCCACTAAAGATGTAAGTTAGTACTACTAGTAAGCTTATCTCTGATACTATAGTACTAGTATTCCTACTATTCCTACTACTAGTACCTACCTTATCTACCGACGCTACTAAACACCAAGGTCCTCTAATACTAGCTTGTCTGGTCAACCAAGTATACCCAGGTGGTAGGTACTTACTTGCTATCCTACATTTTCATCACCGTTCTCAAACTAAGTAAGTACCTTCAACTTATGAGTCTATCTTGTTGAAATACTTCGACGCCATCTTGGTAGTGAAACTACATCTTGCAGTCAGGAGGTCTAGAAGCCCGGATGACAGACAACACCCCAGATCTAGAGCCTCGATATGGGATCAATACCACTTCAACTCTCACGTCCGCTCTCGCAGGTGAGGAGCGGGCCAGGAGTAGGAACAGCGACAGCTTTCTCACCGATATGCCAGCGTATCGCTGCTCCTTCGATTACCGTGTCGTCGAGCTCGTCATTGAGGATATGGCATAACCCAACCTCAAGCTCGAGCTCAAGCTCAAGCTCAAGCAGAAACGGAAGCGGAAGCGGAAGCGGAAGCAGAAGTCGATACAGATCATTTTCCACGACGAGGGCGGCCAGTGTGGATTTCACTCATGCTGTACGTTTGTCCACATTTCTTTATTGTGGTTGTGTATGATTTACGGTCGGTTCGTTTGTCTTTTCATCCGTCTCCTTCTTCGCTGTTCAAGGTTTGGGAGTGTTCTCTGGAAAGAGAGGAAGAGAAAAAGGAGAAGGGAACGAGGGCTTTTCTTGGTTTCTCTGCTCGGAAGTCTATATGATGGACTGAGTCCTGGGGTGCATCCCTGAGATTCCATTCCTTTTCAACCCAGAAGAGGAAACTTCAAGATCTTTGTGTCCTGTGATGAGCTGCAGGCTCCTCGGCACGGTAACCTTTTGGCATATCAGGTCACACTGCTCAAAGAATTACTCTCCGAGAGTGTCATGACTCTGTTGTTCTCTCATCCTTGAGAAGGATTCTGCATGGCGGTTGTCACCATTTCATCATTGACTAAGCGAACCTTCTCACCGTTTACTGTTTCTGTTTTCTTCAGATTGCATTTCCGCCCCCATGACACCGAGTCCACAGTCTTTGATCGGCACTTGCGTATTGTTGACAACTCCCAGTTTTGCTCACCACAGATACTGGACTAATTCTTCTCCAGGTCATCGGAGGAGGCGCCGTCGGGCTAGCCATTGCTCGGCAACTGGCCTCTAGAACGGGGACTTCGACCATCTTGATCGAGCGGCATGGTAGAGTCGGATCGGAGACAAGCAGTCGGAACTCAGAGGTACTTTTACATTTTCTTCCCTTTTCTTGCCTCATCTTCACTCTATGTTCCTTGTGTTGTTCTTATCGGAGAGGTTTCGCATAAGGATCGAAACTGGCCCGTCCCATGTCAGGTTGGAATCATTATCCCGAATCCGGACCCGTATTACTTTCCTCCCACTTGACACTACGATTCCATATCCGGTCTCTATGCCATCCCCGTCCTTCCTCTCAAGCATCCATCCCCCGTTCAAGCAGAGAGTCCTCCCCCCTTGACAACCCACCACAGATCTACCAGACAATTCCATACTCCAATCTAACACTTCCATGTTCTGTTCTTACCAGGTCATCCACGCCGGGATCTATTACGGCCCGACGAGCCTCAAAACCAAACTCTGCATCCGCGGCAAACACCTCCTCTACGAGCTCTGTTCCGCGCAGGACATCCCGCACCGCCGCACCAAGAAATGGATCATCGCGCAGAACGCGCAACAAATGGCCGAGCTCGAACTCCTGCACACGTTCACCAAATCCATCGACGTGCCCACGCACTTCCTAACCCGCCGCGAGATCGAGGAGCAAGAACCAGACGTGCGCGCGGACGCGGGGGTTCTCGAGTCCCCCACGACCGGCATCATCGACAGCCACGCCTACATGGCCTATCTGGAAGGCAGTCTAGACGAGCGCGGCGGCGAAGAGATTCTACACACGGTAGTCACCGACATTGAACCGCTCGCGGGCTCCCAAGAAGGAGACCGAATACCCGGCTATTCCATCACCACGCAATCCCGCGACGGCGCCGGCGGCCAAGACACCATCACGGCGGAAACGGTGATCAACTCGGCCGGCCTGGGCGCCGTCGACGTCTCCAACATGCTCCTCCCACCCGAGAGACACCGCAAACCGTACTTCGCCAAGGGAAGCTACTTCAGCTACGCGGCGAGCCACCCGAAGCCGAAAACACTGCTGTATCCCGCCCCGACGCCCGGCCTGGGCGGTCTGGGCACGCACCTGACGCTCGACATGGCCGGCCGCGTCCGCTTCGGGCCGGACGTCGAGTGGATCGACGACCCGACCGATCTGGCGCCCAACCCGGCCAGATTGGAGGCCGCCGTCCCCGTCATCCAGACGTATCTGCCGGGCGTGAGGCGCGACGCGCTGGATCTGGATTACTGCGGCATCAGGCCCAAGTTGGGCCGCACCAGTGGCACGTACGGCAAGGACGGCAAGGGGTTTGCGGATTTCTATATCAAGGAAGAAGCAGGGTTTCCCGGGTTTGTGAATCTGTTGGGCATCGAGAGTCCGGGGTTGACCGCGTCGTTGGCCATTGCTGAGATGGTCGATGATCTTTTGTATGGGAGGAATGCGAGTATTTCCGAATGAAAGATTGACTACCTATGTACCATGATAATGGATAGCTTGAGATGGAGTTGGGACGAAGGGAGAAAGCAAGGCCAGAACAAAGCGTTTGCAAATGATAGCAATTGAGCGAGCGAGTGAGCTTGTGCTTCGAAGGAACATGAAACATGAAAGGCTAGCAAGGATGTTTGTTAATACACGACAAGAAAATACAGCCTGGCCAGCACCGACAAGAGAGAGAGAGAGAGAAGATGAAGATGAAGATGAAGAAGAAGAAGCAAATTGTCCACCTTTTTGTTTCGACGCCGCGATGAGAACGAACAGCGAGATGAGTCGGGTAGTTTCTCATCGTCTTGGGCTTCCCAGCCTCATTTCATATTCCCACTGACGGAGGACCAACGTCCAGCATATCAGATCTATCCATATACTCCTCAGTATTCTCACCTCCCATGGCACAATGAATGGAATTCGGCAAATCTCGACGTTGACAACTACAGCTGGCTGCTCCTGGCCTCTCCTCGCTGCCGATTCGTGGTGCTCACAAGACATATAGGCACAGATAGTGCACATCATACGTACTTGCATACACACGAAAAGACATGGGCAGTGGTATCAAGAGAATATGTTTTGTGATTCTGCGTGTTTGTGGATGGGTCATCGTTCCCTTTCATCTCCAATTCATCTAGTCTCGACGAGTAACGGTAGACCAAGCACTCAACGCACTTGCACAATATGCTAAGATAAGGTGGTATATAGGACTGGGATATATACATCTCTTACGGCCTTGTTGGGTGTATTGACAGATCATCACCCGGCATCGTCTCGCTGTACACTACCCACCACCTGTTCCTTTCAACTCTTAGCAGCGGCAAGCATTTCAGTAACCCTCCCGAACTTTTCTCTCGGCTTGCCTCGTTTGGCACCCTCTGCTTTCTCAACCTTATCTATCTTCTGCCATTGATCCCAATGAATCGGGCGGAGCGGGAGATACAAGGCCTGCGCTTCAGCCTGTACGCCTTTCCAGCCGTCGCGAGGTTCTTTTGCCTGAGAAGCGCTCGAGTACATGGTCTTCCAGTCCTGGACGATCGCTTCGGCCGTTTGAAACGCGTCGGTCATGGTGCTGGCGATCACGCCGGTCGGCCCACGCTTGACCCAGCCTGAACAGTAGACACCAACACCGTTCAAGCTCCCTGTTGGGTTTGTTTCGGTCTTGCCACCCTCCCCAAACGGTACGACTCGTCCTGAGCCGTCATGGCGGATTGTGCCTCTGCGTTCGTCGAACTCTGCACCAACCTCATTCATCCCCGGGATGGCTTCGGCTTTGTATCCTATCGAGCGGAACAATGTGGATGTAGGGATCAACTGCGTCTCGTCTGTGTTTGTCACTTTCGAGTCTGGAGATGTCGGATCCTCAAGTTTCGTCTTGATGAACGTCACGCCTTCCAGGCAATTTGGATCGGAGGCAGACCAGTTGAGGAATTTCGGAGCGAGGAGGAAATCCAGAGACCAGGACTTGGTCGCTTGGTCTCTGACCGGACTACCTTTTTTCAGCAGCTCCATGAGCCTCCTTCTCGGTCGAGGCAGTTGCTTGAGGTCCGGAGGGAACAGCTCTTCGGGGATCGGAGTGAACTGCACATCCTCGAGGTGGAGTAGCTCTCGAATCTCTTTGATGGTGAACGCTGCTTGCATTGGTCCTCGACGGCCCACGACATGGACATGCTTGATCTTGCTGCTCGAGAGAGTCTGCAGAGCGTAGTCTGTTATATCCGTCTTACTCAGGACGTCTACCTTGCTCAGCAGTGTCCTGGCCACATCTAACGCGACGTTTCCTTGGCCGACTACGATTGCCGTCTCGCCCGCCGTCAGATCCGGGTTTAGATCGCGATATTCGGGAAGTCCATTGTACCAGCCGACAAAGGCTCGTGCCGAGTATATATGCGGCTTCTCTTCTCCTTTTAGTCCTAATTGGCGGTCTTTGGACGCACCGTACGCGAAGACGATTGCGTCGTAGTGTTTGGCGAGCAACGGGAGAGGGAGGTCGTGGCCGAGATTGACGTTGCCGATGAACGTGTAGTCGGGGGATGCGGCGACCTCTTGGAAAGTGTCTTGACAGTTCTCAACATGAAGTCAGTATGTGTCGAGTTCGTCCCTAGTTCAGGTTAGGTTGTTACTCACCTTGACTTCCGGGTGGTCTGGTGCCACTCCGAACCGCACCAGACCGAAAGGCACAGGTAGCTGCTCATACATGTCGACCTTGGTCCCATGTATCTCTCGCATCAACTTTTGCGCAGTATAGAAGCCTGCCGGCCCGGACCCAATGACGGCCACGGTGGGAGCCGGACCATTGTATTGAGGCCCATGATGGCTGTACCTCGCAGCTAGAGGGCGAAAGGGAAGAAAGGTGTCATATGTCGGGAAAGACTTGATGGCTGTTGTTCTGGCGCATGGGGAGAAGCGCACGCATCGATTGATTAGCATGGTAGTATGGCAAAGAATACCGCCATCGCACCGTCTGTCTTTATAACTTGAGGCCGGAAGATCAAAAGTGCATTGATTGAGTCACTGCATTCTGAAGAGCCATCAATCAACTCGTCACCGAATATCAGCCGAATTAGTGGTATCAACTAGTGGCTTATCGATAAGACCGGCTTTCGGAGTCTCGCAATCCCGAGTGTCTAACTTGACCGCGTCTCGTCCATCATCTACGAAGATATCTGAGACGGCTCTCCAGGTGGGATTCGAGAGGATACTGATCCGAGTCAGATTGCTACGGATCATGGCTCACATCGTGATGTACCTCTACATCCTTGCATAGTACTGTATGACCAAGATGTGCGCTGAACGGTTGATATCTTAGGCCCCGAGAGTGCCAGTCCTCAAGCATAGCATGTATATTATACACCTTCATACTGCACAGACCGGCACGTAAAATGCTCTAGTCGGAAGGGATGGAACAGATTTCTAAAGAGGCTGCCTTTCGAAGAGCTGCTTGACCCATGCTCTCTCTTGCTCTTACTCTTGACCGCTGTATTCCGACGTGCTCGCTAGGGATATCCATCTTCCCATCGTGACCTGGATAATGTATTGGACCACCTATTTCGTGATTCCCACCTCAAGCTGACTTCCAGGAGCCCGCCGTCCACAACACAACACCACCCATCCGTAAAATACAGGTTCATAATTGGAAAAACCGCAATTTCTTCCGCAAATGACCGAAGTAGCATAAAGAGCCCCATGACCCACCGGCAAACCGGCGGGCATGGCATTCCTCCTCGAAAAGAGTAGGTCTATTGCAGGGTCGGTGGGAGGGGCCTTCCGGATCAGACAGAGGAGGAATGGTCTGATCCAACAACCGGGAAGGTATGATCGGACTCTGTCCGCCGACTTTTTGGCATTTTTGATCAAAGGTCATGGTCTCATTTTTGGTGGTTGGAGATAGATTGTCGTTTGTGTGCGCGCAAATAGTCAACAGCGCGACAAGAACAGGGTCAGAAACAAGTGAAGTGCGCGCGCAACTTCTCCTCAGTACGACTCACTCGATTGGGGTAGTAATAGCCGAAGAAGACACGGGGAACTCCCTGCTGTCAACATAGTCCGTTCAGAGCGTTGTGCCTGGCTCACGCCCATGTGCACAGTTTTGTTGCTGAATATACATAATGATGAAGATGGGATGTTTTCTCTCTTGCTCCTGATATTCGAGGTGTCCTTATCACCACGTGACAGTCCTTATCTGATCCTATTTCGTCATTGCAAGGCTGCCGGCAGCAACTTGAACCTTCAGCCTCGTTGGTGATTCAACGTTTCGACTGACAAAAACATGAAAATACATGACAAGTTTTCGATTCTTCGACCTAACAACCGCCACTCACGAACCTAACCACACCTAGGTATCTTGTAGACCCAAGAACCTCAACTGTGCAGCCTAGCCTAGGCAGCTCTCCAGCCCTCCTCCTCTCCGCTACAACCTTCATCATCTGCATTCTCCTGATCTCCACCAACTCTCGACAACCTTCCGCCGACAGCAGCGCAACAACCATGCGGAAATCAAAGTCGAAATCCCAACACCCTCTATCCCTCTCCACAAGAAGGACTCCCCTCCCCTCCACCTTCAGCGACAACCTCCCTCTCCCATCCCTAATTGTCTTCGACCTAGACTACACGCTATGGCCCTTCTGGGTGGACACGCACGTCACTGCGCCCGTGAAACCCGCCGCCCCCGCAGGGTCAGGCCAGTATAACAGCCACATGGTTGACCGGTACGGCGAGTCGTACGGGTTCTACGACGACGTGCCCGGGATTCTGGCCTCCGCTAAAGAGCGCGGCGTTGCCATGTCTCTGGCCAGCAGAACGCATGCGCCCGATCTTGCGCGCGACATGTTGCGCGGGCTGCATGTGCCAAATAACGCAGAAGGAGGAGATGTTGAGAAGACCACCACCACTACTTCTTCTTCGGCGAAAGGAGACACCACAGCCACGAAGACGGATGGACAACCCTCTTTCCGCCGCGCCATCGATTTCTTCGTCCACCCGCAGATCTACCCGGGTACCAAGACGACGCATTTCCGCCGGATCCATACTGCCATGCAGAAGGCCGACACGCCCGTCGCGTTCGAGGACATGCTGTTCTTCGATGACGAGGGGCGGAATCGGAACGTCGAGACAGAGCTGGGCGTGACGTTCTGGTTGGTCCGTGATGGCGTCTCGAGCGAAGAAGTTGACAAGGGCGTCTGGGAGTGGCGGAAGCGGAAGGGGATCTCTAAACAGGATTTAAGAAGTGCCTCTGACGGAGACGATGTTGCCGAATTGGAGGGTTGAAGATCGATGGAGCATGGCTAAATGAATGAATGGATGGCTGTCCTACAGACCTACGTACCTCAAGTGGGACTATTGTTTGGTTTGGATAGACAGACGATGTCTTGGGTGGAGTTCTGGAGGATAAACATCAAGAAAGAGTCGTTGGTGTTGTGGAATATGCTTCTGTTCTTACGCGTTGCCACATAGCAAGGCGTTTTGAAGCGGTTGTGGGATTGGATCCCCGATTCCATTCTGGAATGGCATTGCAGGAGATGGCCCTTCTTTTTCATTCTTACGACACACCAGATAAACATAAGACATGGACGGATCATCTGGCCACGGTTAGAAGAGAATGTTGAATCTGACAGTTTGCCCCGGTGCACAGGCGAAAGCACGCAGCTGAGAGAGGAGAAGAAACGCGGCAAATGGAAACAGTAGTAAGCACTGGTGCTGATGCATTCGAACTCGCTTTGCTGTCCGCAGTTGGCTCTTATATCTGTATCAAGCAGCCCTATTGTACATTTGACATCTCATCGCCCCTTCGCGCAAGCCGGCCCTCCCTCTCCAACCATCGTGATGCGAGGTATGTCCTCTTGCCTGCTCAGGCCGGCCTCCGAACGTGCCCATCATCGCCAGGCGCCTGCAAGCCGCTCGTGAGGGATGAAACGCCTTTCGATCGTTCTCACCACAACTCCTCCTGGCGTGGACAAGGTCCCATGGTCCGTTGCCACTCCACCCGTCTTTTCGGAGTGCTATGTCATTCAGCGTTTGTCGACGCCATTCTGTGCTGTACGATCGTGGTAGGGGTATCAAAAGTCAAGTGGTGGTGGTTGAAGTGGTAGTGGTTGAAGTGGTAGTGGTGGTCGTTGTCATTGTGTGTTGTACAGATTAGTTTCGTGATCTTTGTCGCAATGGCCCTCAAGAAATGCGGGAGAGATGGCTTCCACCTGCCAACCTCATCAAGGGGGATTTTTCGGACTCGACGTCACAGCTAGCTCCGACGCCCTTGATGGCCATATCATCTCAACACGGAAAATCAACCTCTCGATCTTCGTTTCGAACCGGCAGGCATGGCGATCTCAACAAGCTGGTCCGAATCGTCATCGTCGTCATCCTGGTCGGCCTGACCGGCAAATTCAGAAGCCTGCTCGTCGACATCTGCCATCCCAAAAGCACCGCCCAATTTCTCCTTTTCCATGGGACTCAAAACCTCTTCATCCGAACTGTTAGCTTCATCTTCCTGCGTTGGGGCGACCATCTCTCCCATCTCTTCGTCTTCGAAGACTTCCAAGGGTCGCCGCTCGAGAGTGGTGCGAGCTTCAAGGGGTGGGTTTTGAGGGTCTAGGTCCGATCCCGAGTCGTCTGAGGACGAGTCGTCGAGTGATCCACCAAAGTCGTCTTGCCTCGATCGGCCGTCCCGGTCGTCACTTGCACTGGAAAACAAGCTGGTAAGACCGCGGCTGACTGAGAAGCTGTGGTGGTCTCCCGTGTCTTGGTTGAAAGAATCCGCATTGCTACGCTTGCCAAACGTGGTGATGTCTTGTTCTTCTTCATCCAGCGAGAATGGATCGCCGGATTCATCATCGTTGTTGTCGAGGGCCGCAAACGGATCGTCTCCCTCGGATCCAAACTCCGACGCAGCGGCTTCATTTTCGGCGTCTTGCTTATGCCTCGCTAAGCGATCAGCCAACCGCCGGCGTGCACGTGATGGCTCAATGTTAAGCGGTGCTGGAGGGGGAGGTAACAATGGGACAGGCTGGTCAGACTGCTTCGCAACTTATTAGCCTAAAAGGTAAACAATCATCGGATTGTTCCGGTCGCACTCACATTCTCCGGGGAACCAGCGGCATCAGCAGCCGAGACCTGAGACCCTGTCTTTCCGTGTTCCTCGTCTTCGGCATCATCCATATCCTCATCTTCATCATCTGATGAACTGCCAAAGCCGCTCGATAGCGAACCACCGGAATTGTACCCAGCACTAGTGGCACTTCCGTTGTTCGACAAATCAATGGTATCTAGACCATGTTGGCCTCCGCCAATGCCGGCAGCCGTCAACCCGGTAGAAGCTCCAAAGCCTTGTCCAGCATTAACGGCATTCAGAACCGCCTGTCTAGGACCGAGCCCATTGTCCGGCCTAAACCCTCCAAGAATGGCATTGTCTCGTTCTCTCGTCTCCGCGAGAGTCTTGGTGACGTATTCCTCCCACACCTGGGAATAGATGCAGTCTTGAACGGTGGGCGAAAGAAGCTCTCTGGGGTGGCGTTCGCCGAACTTAACAACCTCTTCGGCCACCAAGGTCAGATGTCCCATGTATCCAAGTCGCATGTTCTTGGACTGTTGCGCCTCATCGCTCCGTCTCTGACCTTCGATGATGGCGTCTGTGATCCTACCAGTCTCGAACAAGTCAAAGGCCAGGAATCGATTGTAGCCTCTATCCATTGGACCGTTGAAGACCTGTTGGACAACATCGTAGACAACGTTGTGGAGAAAATTGTTCCAAGGGAAGCGGAAGAAGAAGCTCTGTCATATCCGTTAGCGCCCCGTTCACCTAGTAGGCATGAGTCTCAACTTACCAAAATGGTTGGCACAACCTTATTCTCTACAAACATGATTTTCAGATGATCTCCAACGACCGGGGCTTCCTCGGCATTGGGTGGTCCTTGCTCTGTAATCTGCATGGTATTGTCTCCAGAAGTTTGGATAGAGTCCCCCTCAAGGTGGCTGACCTGACCAGTCTCTTCACTGTGATCTTTCGCTGCTTCAGATTTGTCGGCCGGTTCTGGACTATGGGCTGTGGGTGTTTTGTTGGGATCTGAAGATGCGGCGAACAATGGTGCAGGCTTGGCTTCTGGATGTGGCGAGTTGTGCTCGGCCTGGTCTCCGTGAACAGAAGAGTGTATGGTCGTCTCAGACTCATTAGAGGGTGAGGTCATATCGGTGTCCTCGACGTTATCCAGGCTCAGACGACGGACAGTATCGTCCAAGTTTCCTGTCGGGGTGGTAGGGTCCTGAGACGGAACGTCAACCTCAGGCAGGCGCGGAGACAATGGTTCGTCCACTAGATCTTGGCCGGACCTAGTCGGGGCCTCGATGGCCTCCGAGACGGCCACCTTCTCGAAACCATCCTCGTCATTCAAATTAGCGATTCGAAGCTCTTCCGTAGAGGTCGACGCGGAGGGGGTGAAAGCAGTCTCGAATCTTGAAGACGTGACAGAGATATCAACTGCGGAATCTTCTGATTGCTTGTTAGACAAAAAGGCGCCCTGCGCTCGCAGTCGTTCTCTCTCCGCGTCTCTTTCTTTGATGAATTCTTCACTACCCTCCTCATTCAGCAGCCCCATGTTGCTGCAATGCAACAATTCAGCCATCAGTTCGCATGTCTTGAATCGATCGAATCCGAGAGGTTCGATTTGAGTTCCCCAGGCAGACTTGAGTTGGCCTCTTTCGACCACGACAGTTGCATCACCCTTGGTGACGGTATGTTTCGAGCTGAGGATCAGATGCATGAAGTCCGGGACATGCTCAGCGAACAGTCTCAACAGAGTACCAAGATAGATAGGGTCATGGTTCGTCGGCGGTGCGTCCGAACTGTGGCCATGATCCGGGTCGTAATCGGAGTTGTTCTTACGGATGACTTCGATGACGATTCCCACACCCACAGTAAGAGGGTTACCACCTTTGAGCATGTAGGAGATCAATTGGCGAATGCACTTCTCCGAGACCAATTGCCGCGTCAGACTGTTGGGGCCGATGCATGATTGCTCGTTCAAAGCAGCATTGGCAGATATCGTGATGATCGCCTTCAGGAAGTCTCCGGCAGAAGTTTGCGTGGACGAGTTGCAATCTGGAGACAGGTTCGAGAGAAGCATTGGAACCAGATCCTGATCATGCAGCCAATCCACGATTCCTGCGCCGCCGTCGGACTTTTCCAAGCTGATGATTTTCAACAGCAAGTCCATCACCATGGGACAGTCCACGTGCTGCAAGATCGCTGGCACAATGCCTGGAAGAGATTTGAAGAAGTCAATCATCTCCTCTGTTTTCTTCTCGAACAAGGTTTCGTTGACTTTGGTGAAATAGCCAGCCTGCAAAGGATCCAATGGAGCGGGTCGTCGCAGGAAGTCCCAAAACTCGGTGAGGTAAGGTGTGTTGGCCATCAGGGATTCAGTGATGGACCAGGTCTCGCATGACAGTATTTCACACGCCACGTATGCATATTTCAACCGCTTCTTCTCGGCCTTCTCCTGATCCTCGTCTGGCAACTTGTCCTCATCTTCGTCGCCCGACGCGGGTTCTATTTCCTTCTCGTCTTCACCGTTGTCGTCGTCGTCCGTCGAAGGGCCCGGCGCTATGACATATTGTAGGAGAGCGTGGAGGTTGGCTTCGTCTCGGAGATATTCTATCAGTTTGGTGTGGTGGGACTTCAGTTCCTGAATGAGATCGGACTCTTCCAGCAGGTCTTCGAGCTTGACATTAGGCTTATCGAGTAAGGTGTCGATCGTCGATATGTTGGAGTAACCTCCAAAGCGCCAAAACATCTTTGTGGCTTCCTTCCTATCGCGACTGGAGGGTGGTGAAAGCGCCGAGCCGTCTTACCGACGGTACAAACTGAGGGTGAAGTGACAGGAGGGTAACGGGCTGTACGCAGTCGTGACTCGTGGATTGATAACTGAGTAAGACATAGACAGGCGTCCCAGCGCTGAAAGAATCTCGCAAGTCAGTCACTTCAACCGATCTCTAGTGGTCGCGCCAACAACAGTGACGGGGTGAGTCCCAAGTTGACGTGTGCTCATCCGCATCCACGGTCAAGATACACGAGTGTACTGACCCGTTGGTGAAAAGGAGTGACTGGAATAGAAGCCGGGCGGATACTAGGAAGGCTTGGATGGTAGCCTCGGATGGGGGCGCACTTTGTTGTTGTACAGTGGTCAGAGGCTGGTTCGCGAGAGAGTTGTGTACAAGTGAGTGCAGTGCAGTCAGTGGTTGGAGATGCGATGTGGTGGAGAGAGACTCCGATGGTGAAGAACTGGGCAGCACCAGCGCCAGCGCCATCTGGCATCTGCCCGTCTGCCGTCTGCCATGCGCTTAACACCCGTGGCATTGTTCATGTTTAGTGAAGTCTGATCCATTAGAGCCAATCAGAACATTTCCAGGCTTGGATAGTTCAACAAAACAAAAGCAGCCGGGTTTGATCCCTATTAGGAAAGTATCACAAAGTATGTCTATTTACAGATTACTTCCAGGACCGAACCCTGTACTTCTGTCACCAACAACTTGAACCACTCTCTTCTATATAGCGAGCGACTAAATATAGTCATTGACAGATAGAGCTACAGCTTCTTGTACGTATTCCCTTTGCATCTCCCAGACTCACACAACACTCCATGTCATCTCATTGTAAGGCACGTCTTTAATAAGGCAGCAGGTATCAGCTCATGTCACGACGACAGTCAGTCCGCACCGTCGCTTGTGCTTTTGGCTTTGATTGCAACCTCTATCCTCGTCTTCAAGCAAATTAGATCTCATCAGCATCACCTACTAAAAATGAAACCCCGCAAATCCAGGTTGTGAGAATCAGCAACTCGGCAACCAAGAGACATGGCGGATAAGTAACGAGGCCGAACTGCGCGTGATACTCCCTGTCCCTCCAGCAGAAGGTCCCGCCGGCCCTAGGCCATCATGTCTGGAGCCCGTAGTTGCTCACACATTGTCATTGCTGATTCATAATAAGTCCTCCTTTTCTCCATTCTACGACTTGCGCCGCAGCTGGTGCTGTTCAAGTCCGGGGTCATAGGATCGTGTGTCAAGCCAGCCGAGGATGAGGACGCTTGTAGAGAGGAGCAAGTGTATACGAATCGACTCAGTCCTTGCCAACTCACTGTAGAGCATGCCAAATGTCAAATCTGACATTTGTAGGATCTATGCCCCCTGGTGGTGTTCTTGTAGAATGGTAACTTGGAGATGTCATGAATGTCGTAAATAATAGAAGCCGGATGATCCCCGGAGCAGCAATTCCGCCGTGACCTGCTGCGGGGATGACCATAATTCACACAGGCCACTACTACCATACTTCGCTCCATCAAGCAGCAGGCAACCTTACTGTTCTCCATAGAGACAGCCTCAGCTCTACCCAAAGAGACAAACTCTACGAACTCTAACGGCAAGACGAGGATAACGACCATATACCCAGCCAGTGGTTGGAGCCGGGAGACAAGATGAATCGTCTGTTCGGCACAAAGCCCACGGGACCCAAGCCGACCCTCAACGGCGCCATCCAGAATGTTTGTCAACCCCTGTCTCCCACTCCTCCGATCCGGCTGTGTATATGCTAATAGTGATACCAGGTCGACACGCGAGTCGAGTCGATCGACGTGAAACTGGCCCAAATCAACGCCGAGCTGTCCACATACCAGCAAAAGCTGAGCAAGATGCGCGACGGACCCGGCAAGCAGGCCATCAAGCAGAAAGCCCTGAAACTGCTCCAGCGGCGCAAGATGTACGAGTCGCAACGAGACCAACTCCAGCAACAATCGTGGAACATGGAACAGGCGGGGATGATGCAGGATAACCTGAAGAACGTGATGACGACGGTGGATGCGATGAAGACGACCAACAAGGCCCTGAAACAACAGTACGGCAAAATCAACATCGACAAGATCGAGAAGATGCAGGACGAAATGGCCGACTTGATGGAAATCGGGAACGAGATCAACGAGAGCATCAGCCGCGCCTACGATGTGCCGGAAGACGTGGACGAGGCCGAGCTCGATGCCGAGCTGGAGGCCCTTGGGGAAGATATGATGTTTGAGCAAGAGATGGGCATTGGAGAGAGTACGCCGGGCTTCTTGCAGGACGAGGTGGCGCCGCCGCAGTTTGTGGATGAACCGCCTGAGCAGACTAAGATCAAGGAGGCTGCCGGTGGTGTTGGTTAACGTCTCTGGCCAGATGCGCGGAGTTTCTTTTGCTTTGTATGGTCTGTTGACATTCTAGCACGAAATCGAGGTGTTCATGAAGCGTTCGGATACCCTTGGAGAGTTCGTCATTTCGTTACGGTCATATTACATATACCCATGCATGGCTGTTCAAAGCCACCACGCTGTATCAGCCGGCAATTCCTCCCGGAACGTCTGTGTTGTCAATGACTGGACTCTTGCCCCAGTCGGTACATCTTGCCCGAGTCGTGTACAGACTGACCCAGGCTTCTCGAGACTTGACCACCGGCATATGGTGGTTTGTGCTACTATTCCAGATCTCCCAGACCAATGCACGACCTTCACGTAATCTTCTTCAAATCCTGAGTCCAGGCCCTGACCGCTTTAGGCCCTTCATGTGCAGCCTTGAACAACTGACGCTCAGTCTCGTCCAAGCCTCTCAAAAACTCGGCTCCGTCGCCCAGCGCCCCGCGCGGATTGTGCGCCTGGTCTGCAATTTCCGCGGCTCGCATCTTGAACGTCTACACCTCATGAAGTCAGTCATATCTCTCCATTGGTTGGACTTCTTCCCTGATAGAATAGCTCTAAAGCCCATTGCTGACCACTCCGTAAACCGTGGACCGTGGACCGTGGACCTTACATTTATCAGCGTATCCAATACCGCTGTATCGTCAAATAACTCCATGATTCGCGCCCCGAGGGCGTAGAAATGTGGTGCTTGAGCGCGCAGGTCGACTGTCCTGGGGTCCGCCTTCAAGGCGTTGATCACACGCTGTTGTAGCGGCGTGGGAAAGTCCAGCGTCACGAGCTGCGAGGAATCAGGTGCGTTTCTGCGATATACACAATCTTTGTGAGCAGGGGAGTCCCCATCATAGAGTAAAGTAGACCAGAAGTGACAAGCAGATCATAGGTATGCCAAAATAGGCTCTGTCAAAATTGCACTTACCCCGTTGACACGGCCAACATGATCCCTAGCCACATGGGCAGATCGATTTTCGTACCGGCTTTGACCTAGTCGCCCAAAATATCAGTCTCTCTATGACTCCTATCGGTCTTTCGAGATCTGGAAGCAGACAGACTTACCATTCCGCCAACATTGCCTTCAAGGTAGCCTAGTCCAGGCACGTCCAGCTCGAATGTACATGGCAATTTCTGGGAGTCGGTCAAGATGGCGTCGACATCGTAGTAGGACATTCTTCTTCTCGTGGGGACATGGATCACAGCAACTCGCCAACTCGCCAACTCGCCAACTCGTCAACCCAGACAGTCTCTTGTGATTCTATATCTCGTCGCTGGGAGCCTTGATCATACACGAGAGATCAACTATCATACACCTCGAATGTGGTGATCAATACTGTAGCGAGCAGTGTACACTGGCATGATGTGGTTGGTTTCCATCCAATTCCACGCGTCGCGCTGGCAATTTCACGGACGCGTTTCAACTCCCTTAATGGCTTACATAATGCATCACCTTGCGGCAAGGCTGCGATCACATCAACTACTAACATTATCAATACCGCTTTGCCAACTTAAAGATATCTCCCCTTGTCGCGTAGAGGTTAGGTATCTATAGGTGTTCTAAACTCCGCCTATCGACACTTCCTTCTGGAGACTCTCAAGGGCGCTGTCACCCAGCCATTCCGTCTGCGGCGCAAAACAGCAGTCTATCTCCCGATGCAATGAGCAGCCAACCCGCCTCTGTGGCACCGCAGACAACAGCATCAACAACCTCATCCTCATCATCAGCAAGGCCACCCGTAACGCTCGGCCAAACAACCCATCTCGACCCAGGAGCCTACGTCCGCGGCAGCCACGGGATCACAATCGGCGAGCAGACACTCATCCACCCACGCGCACAGCTCATCGCAACTCACGGACCACTATCGATCGGCGACAGATGCATCATTTCCGAGAAAAGCATCATCGGCGGTCCTCTGGAATCACCATCAACGCTTCCTCCGGCGAGTGGGAGTGGTAGTTCCCTTCTACCAGCGCCCCAAAAGCCTGTTGACCAGGACAACGATGAATCAGATCCCATGAAGACGACCATCTACCCGAATGTCTACATTCATGCCTATTCACGTGTACATGCTGGAGCAACCATCAAAGAAGCTGCAGTTGTTGAGGCGCATGTTACCATCTTTGCTGGTGTCACGGTGGGATCTCATGCGAAGATCTGTGCTGGCGTGACGGTGGACCAGGATGTTGATGATTGGACTGTGGTCTATGGCAATGGGGATGTCAAACGGCAAAGGACGAACGGGCAGTCACCGGATGTCGGAGCGCAGCACATGGAAGTCGTAGAGGCAATGAGGCTGAAAGCTATGGACAAAGAGCGGGAGGGGACCGTCGCGATTCTCAAGATGGCAGCGAGGATGGCAACCCTTGCAAAAAAGAAATGATGGGATCAGATTCATATCAGATCAAGGCTTATGTGAAGTCTTCGGAGATTCTGGTAGACAAAAGAAATGGATTGCGGCTTGGGAAACTTTTGGCCTGAAGCCGGAGAAAGCTTTGAGGCATGTACGCCCCACGGCATCGCTTGCCTATCGATGGATTCAGCCCTTCATTGCTGCTGCAAATGCAGACTTGGCAAAACACCTGTGGCTAGGCATGGCTGCTTCCAGGTCTCCATCTTTGGCCACGGAAGTCGAGAAAGGTCATGGATACAGTGCCGTGTCCCGCGTTAGCCAACATTGAGCCACGAGAACAGAGCCGTGATATACTCGAGTCTCTGGATGTATACTTGCCAGGTGGCGAAGCTGCACTCCAGATCGCTCGTGGCTCAGGCAGCCAGAGGTATCGTGACAACGAACACCGGAAACAATGGACAACTGCGTGGGAAGTCAAGTCAAGCTTGAGCCGATCTCTGTCTTGAACATCCAGCAACGGATACAACATCTGTGGCTCTGGAAGAACACATGATGGTCCACCGGCACAGCAGTGAGGCATCACGGGTGTGCTGAAAAAGCGAGAGGCAGAAGTCGTGCGAAGTAGCGCGCCGGTGAGATTGCCTGATGCTGTCGCCACCTTAATCTTGCACCCGTCCACAACTGGAGAACACACTAGAGCATTTCGAAAAAGTCAACGGTTAGCTTGCGATTAATTCCCTTCTAACCTCCTCTCGCTTCCCATCCGCCAGTATTACCATCTTATCCAATGTGAATGGAAGCGATTCAAGCCTCTCCCATCATGCCGGTTGCTGCATCGCTATCAGCGTCCCGTCAGCTAGCCTGGGATTGCTCCTCGGCAGGGTTTGTGCAAGAAGGGGCGAGCATCCGCACCATTCAAGGAACTGGGTCGGTCGACGGTTGACCTTGGGTCAAGGATTCAGTGGAGTGGCTTCCAATTCGACCTTCGTGGTCTAGCCGGTACTCTGGGACAGGACCCTCTGCACAAACATCAGCATATACGGGCAGAGCCTCCCTTCCTCTTGTCCAGGTGTCGGCTTTGGTGACCGGATCGTCTAGACGCCATTTCTGTACATCCTCGGGTTTGAGAAGACAATCTTCCGCCGGAGCATGAGTGCCTCTGTAGTTGCCATCTTTGTCCTTCGCATAATGCTTGCGCCAGACATCGTAGGGAATCTGCCGCAGCACAAAAGGCGGCAAGTCGTCCGCTGCTGCATCTCGCTCACGTCGACTAGTTAACCCGACTTTGCGCAAGAAGCTCTTTCTCCGGCTGTGCTCCGGATCCCGAACCGGCCCATTGTGCTCCCAGCCGATGCTTTCGCGGCAGGTGAATGCGTCGTACATGTCGACACCCTGGGGAGCAACTATGTCGTGCAGGAACCGTGGTGGGAGAACAGCACAAGATACCATCTTCACCAATGGGGGAGTGGCGTCCGATTGTGAAATTACCCTTAGGCGGGCGACGGATTCGCGGCGAGACATGCTGGAGGAAAATGAGACGATACCTAAGAGAAAGCGAGCAGGTTGGGCATATGTGCCCTAGGCATCATTCAAGAGGATGGTTGAATACTTGGACACTTGTCAGAAGTCCGAATAACACCGAGGCCGTGGGAGCATTTAGCGTGCAACGGACGAGGCCTCGAAGGGAAACTTCGTCAAGGGGCCTGATACACCGGGGTAGGGATCAGTCATTATGGAGATGGTGCCGGGCTGAGGAGATGGAGGATACGAGGGTGATGGAAATGCAAGTGTAGGTAGGGGACGAGGATGCCTTGTACCGAACATGTACCTACCTTGTTGTAAGATGTACTTTGAGTTCCTACAAAACTGCGCTTCCGGAACTTGACAACGACCGGAGTGCCAAGCCTCTCAGGCTGCGCTGTGCTACGGTGGAGTTCAGCATGCAGTGGGACACCAACACTGCGACGCGTGGATTCAATCCATCAACTCCACTCGTCAACCTCTTTCTCCTTCACGTCGCCTGCAACGACCGCGTCAAGGGTTATTAACCCTAGAAATTCAAAGGACTTCATGATACTGTTACTCCACTCCATCTCCGTATCACCATGCCTCCCCGCCGGGCGGTTCGCTCGGTGAGCAGGAAGAGCACTCCTCTATCGCCTCCAAGGGCATCTTCGACCAACGTTCCTGTCGACACGCCAACTCCAAACAAACGCGCTACCAGATCCTCCAGTCGCAATGTCACCGCTGCCCACCAGCAGCCGCGAAGTATTGACGAGGTCCTGGCCACCGTGCACGAGGGATATGAATCACAGCGCGACGACGAGCTCGGCGATAGGAATCCGCCCTCTCGCGAACTGAGTACTGATGGCTCTGACCTGGAGAGCATGCTGAACAACTTGGATCTGGACGCCATTGTTGATAATATCAACCTTCTGCATGATGATGCCAGAGACCTGCTTAGTCTCTTTGAGAGACATGATACCGCTGGACTCCATACCTTGGTTGCAAAGTTGTCCCAAATAAATTCTTCTGAACGTAAACGCCTCAGGATACGAGAAAGGAGATTCGAGACGAGTCGAGAGCCATATGTTGAGTCGAACTACATAAAACCTAGCATCGTCGTTGGCTCTCTGGCTGCAAGAGACCCCGATGGAGACATTCATGGTCCCTGGCGCCCAGATCCTGTCCTCTACCTTGCTAATCTTGCCTCGCAAATGGTGGCAGTGTTGAGCACAAACCCCGAACACCGATCCGACTACCTCCAATACATGTTTAATAACTTCCCTCTGCCCTTCACCGACATGGACCTCTTTGCAATTGAGGAACCAATGCTTGATCAGACCGTCGACCTAAGCCTCGACATTCTCACTCAATTTTTCATCTACCGAGCAAAAGCGGACCAAAAACGCGTTGAATTCGACCCGGACGCCCTGGCCCGCCAAGTGTTTTGGACCGATGAGGGAGCTTTGCGAGTCTTCGTTCATGACAGCACCCTGGACAAGACCACCGAGCGCCTCCAAGCTCTGAGAAAGCATTTCAGTCTTGACCCCCAGCAACCGGTGGACATCCATACTTTGGAAGAACAGTTTTCGTGGCCGGGCTTCGTCGTTGAAGTCACGAAGTGGACTATGAGCCGCAAGCAAGACCTGGACCAATTCATCAGTTCAATTGGCGGCATAGATACCATCGCTGACTTCCTTTCCGCAAAGTTTCTGGCAGACAGTCAGCAGATTAAGGAAGGAGCTCACGATGAGCCCGATGTTGGTGCAGAGCATCGCGTGGAGCAGCGAGCCGTCGACCCCAATCTTGGTCCAGCATCCAATAGGCAGGACAGCCCGGCAGGACCTCCGACAGGCAGCAAGCTCAGTTCCCGCCTTAATAGGTTCAACACGCTCAAGGCAACCTATGCTGCCAAGGCATCAGGCGCCGACATAAGCCTGGCTATGGTGACCGAAGTTGAGTCAATTCGCGAAACTCCACAGTCACCGACACCTGTGGAAAATGATGATGACGGAATGATGGATGAGGACCAAGCATCCGCACAGTACCCGCATACTTCTCAAGCGGGCGGCCAAACTGACAACGGTGACAGCCACAGCGATGACGACAGCGAACTCGTTCGACAGAGGATCGAATTCTTCCGGACTGCTCGCCGACAGCAGGAACAGAGCGAAAAGGAGAATAAGAAGATGGCGGCCAAAAAGCCGTCTCTCTTAGATCGACAAGAAGATGCCGAACGAGTCTCTTTTTCCGAAGCTCCCGAAGAAGATTACCCAGCTCCACAACCGCATAAACGTCAGAGATTAGATAGTGAGCCGTCAGAAGAGGAGGAGGATGCGTTCGAGATAGACCAAAGAGCTGCGAAAAAGCGTCGAGTCGATGATGTACAAGATAGGCAGCGATCAGTGGCGGTCAGTGATGCCGGCCGCAGGATTCGTGGAGAGCCGCCCATCACAGAAGCCGATCCCGTTGTGGACAGCGACGACGACTACGTCAACAATGATGATGAAGATGATGATGATGCGGAAAATGAACCACAAGTTATCCCCGCTACTCAGAGATGGACGCCCAGATCGACTCTAGCAATGCAGGCTGCTCGCGCCGCTCAACAAGGCCTCACCCAACGGCGCCCTCCACCATCGACAGCACCACAACCACGTCCGCCACCAACAAGTACGCAACAATCAAGCCACACCCTCAACCGCGCACCGTTGGGAACCGTCATCGGATCTCGCCCTCCCGCCTCAAGCGCACCGAATCCCCGGCACCGCGCTGCTCCCGCCGAGGCCCCCGCTCGCCGCGTGTCTCCTCCACGCCGCAATGATCCATACGACCCCGAACCGCCTCGGTCCCAGATCGCCCAGGTGAACCGGGAAGCCAAGCTGGCCACTCGACTGTCGCGCGAATTCAGATGCCCCAAAGTCCAAGTGCGCCGAGGCTACACGGACGAGGAAGTCGAACGTCTCATGGAGATGGTGGCCCTGTACGGAACAAGCTGGGCCACCATTTTGAAAGAGGACCAGTTCCATCCCGACGGACCGCGGCTACAGGGGCGAGGCCAGGTCCAGCTGAAAGACAAGGCTCGGAATATCAAGATGGATTTCTTGAAGTATGTCTTTTTCCCTCCCCCAATGTCCACGCTTGCCCCCTCAATCAATCCATTGGAGTCCACATTGCGTGGAATCTGTTCTGTTTTTCTGATCTCTGATGTTTGACCATCTATTGATCTAATGATCATTTGATCGATTGTTAATATGCTGGTTTCATTTAGAGCCCGTCGTCGCCTGCCACCGGGATTCGAGCTCGTCAGCATCGGAGACAGACAAATCGAACGCCTGCAGGAGCTTGGGATCACCGTTGAAGGTCGTCTTCAGCTTGGTGACACCTAGCGACCGTATGATTGGCAGTGACAGCTGGGACCGGAGCCGGGTTCTTCCCGGTCTTCTTGTGCCCTCTTCCTCTTCCTCTTTTCCTTCTTTCGGTTCACTTTTGTGTATTACCAACATACTAGTATATGGTGCTTGATGCTGCGGCTTGGCACCAATACGCTGTTTCACCGGGAGTTTGGATATCGGCAACTGCTTGCTCCTGGAGTCTGGCTTGGATGCAAGCGGATGGGGGTTGAAGGGACAAGTCCAACTTGGCCGAGCCCGAAGTGCTCGGTTGTAGGCACTACATTTGTATAACGATTCCGGGAAAGAAAACGAAGGACTCCAACGAAGACATGTTTGGACAAGCACAACTTCTTCTGACTTCTTCTTCTCGCAACAATTCATTAAGTGAATGAGGAGTATAAGATAAGATTACCTTTTGCCAGGCTGGGGTGTGCCATCGTCGAACTATATATCAGAAAGAATCCGCCTTGACGCTTGCTCCACGTAGTGACATCGCTCACAGCTTGTCTTCATCCATGTCCATCGATAACCTCGCTCGGCTCAAAAGTGTCAAGGATAGAGAAAAACAAAAACAAAGAAAGAATGTCCTCTGAACACGAATCATCCTCCCAACTTGAAGCCAAATAAGTCCGCCCGCCCGCCACCCGTGATCGTATACATACCAGCGACAATACTGTATGTCAAGCGTACGACAAAGCCTCCCAACCACAATCCTGATCCAGTATCACGATGGTGGTTCCCCTCTCAGACATTGCATTCATCACCATTTTCGTAGACCCAACCAGGCTCGCGAAAAAGTAAGTCAAAAACGCCATGCTCAAGATCATCGACCGACTTGGACGGCAGACACACACGGCCAGCTAGTATGGCAATGTCCCCAGCCTGAGAGAACAGATGGTGTTGGAACCGGCAGACCATATTCTCAACGGACAAGATCAAGCGTGAAGAAGCTTCAAATCAACCCTCCAGCACAAACTCCACCAGCGCTCTGTCCTGCGCTGTCCAGTTCTCGGGGTGTTGAACATCGACGCCGAGCTGTTGCAGCTGCGACTCTCCCACCGAGAACTGAGGTTTCTCAATGGACTCGTAGGGGGAGCCATCCTCGCCCATGATGATGTCTAGATCACCAATGTTCTCGAAAGGAGACGTGTCGTTGAGACCGCTCAGATCGAGTCCTTCGATGCCGTCAAGATTGACCATCCATGAGTCGTCCTCGGTCTTCTTTGGCTGTGCAGCTTTCTTGTCCTCGCCCGCGGCGCCCTCGGAAGGAGCATCTTTGTCGCTACCGTCACCCGGGCTCTTGGACTTCTCGGTCGAGGTATCTGTCAAGGCGCCATTAGGGCCCTCCACAATCTTTCTCCATCTGTCGCTGGTGTTGCGGTATGCTTCATAGAACTTGGACTGGTATTCCTCGGTCTTCTCTTGCGACGGAAACAGCTCCTCCCAGTCGTCGCCGCCAAACGCCGTCCGTAATTGGTCAAGTGTAATGTTGCTATGCCTCCATGGATCGTCGTCTCCAGTAGTGGCGTCGGCCGCCTTCGCAGCAGCCCCTTGCCCACCTTGGCTCGGGATCTTGGACATTGGAATCGGGGTGGCAACATGGCTTTCGGCTTTCACAGCGGAAACAGCTGCGCCCTGACTGTCCGATTTCGGCTTCTTGATTTGTTTGAGATTTTCATCCAGGTTAAAGGCAGACCGCAACGACTCGTGCAGGAAGGCAAGGGGGTCCGTGACCGGCTCCATATCCAGCTTGTGGGTGACATTATGGTGTCGATCGAGCTCAGCCTGACTAGCAAAACCTTTGAGCTGGTGTTCACACCCCACAACCGGACACTTGAACGTCTCGACCGGCTTGGGTGCTTTCGTTGCCTGCGGCGAGGTCGTGGCGGGAGCAGCCGATGCGCCCTGTTGCCCGGCTGTGGCCGCGCTCTGTTGCTGATTCTTCTTCCGTCGTTTCGGATCCGCGGGAAGCTTGAGATCCTCTTGCTTGAGCCCCGGTGTTGCATACCTGGGGGTGCCGTGTCCTCTGGGATCGCCAATCTGGAAGGGTGGCTGGGTGGCTGTTGGCGCGGGAGGGGCATGGTTGGCCTTCAGGGCTTTCTTACGCTCTTGCTCCTGCGCTTCCAGCAGGCTCAGATTCTCCGGAGTCAGCTGCGCGGGTTGCGGGCGAGGTTTGTTTTGATGAGGGATTTGAGCGGCGGTTTGCTGGAATTTGGCGGTGATATTGTTGATGATGGCTTCAGCTGCGTCTGGTGTGATGCTGAAATTGTCCACCATCTCAAATGTTCGGTTCTGGAGCGATTGTGGCTTGAACTGTGCGATCAGCTGCAACTTCTGAGCAACCAGCTGCTTGATAGCCTGATCATTGGGCTCGATCCTATAGAAGGCCATGAGAAACGCGTCAAACCGTCCCAGCATGTTCTTGACGTTGTCGGAAGTCAGCAGCGTGGTGATGCGCTTTCTACTTGCAGCATCCATGTTCGTGATGGGCCGCGGTTTCGGTATGCTGGCCTGGACTTCTTTTCCTAGTTCCACGATTCTGCGCATTGTTGCCTGTTGACGTTGATAATTCATGTATTGCTGCTTCTTGACGGGGTCCAGCGCGTTGAACTGTTCCTTGGTGAGAGTCTGGCCTCCCGGAATCTTAGCGGAGTCTATCTGAGCCTGTGCCTGCTTAGTTGGATTGGGCACTTGGAGAACGTCGTCGTCGCCGGGCCTCTTCATCGGGAGGCCATTCACCTGCATTGGCCGAGCTTGTTCAGGGGCTTGAGCTGAGGGTGGCCGTTGCTGTTGTACAGCTTGCATGTTGGGCTGAACAGGCGCCTGGGCCTGCAACTGTCCTTGCATGCCAAACTGCTGTCCAGGCGCGCCAGCCTGGGAAGGCATGAAGTGCATTGGCTGTGCCATGGGTTGCTGGCCAGGTTGCTGTTGCATCGCCTTCTGTTGCATTTGACGGTGACGGTTGATCAGCAGTGCCCGTATTTGTTCATCGGGGAGAGTTGCTAGCTTAGGGTTGTGAGCTCGCAGTCTCAGGATGTCTTGTTGACTTGGTGGCCGGAATGCCGGCACCGCCCCAGGAGCCATTCCAGGAGCCTGACCAGGCATGCCTTGTGCCGGACCTTGAGGCATTTGCTGAATCTGCTGAGGATGTTGTACCGGAACTGGACCAGCCTTTGGATTGTTCTGCTGTTGAGCATTCTGCCCGCGGGTCTTCATGATATGGGCAAAATGGGTTGCCTGGATGTCCAAGGCTTGAGCAATGGGCAGATTCGGCACAGGGTTTGCTGTCAACCATTGCTTGAGCTGGCCCCAGTTCTTAACGTCAGGAATTGCCGTGTGCTGCCTTATATTGTTCAATACCGCTGGGGGCACCGGCTGTTGGTCCATGACTTTCATTTGTTGAGGCGTCAACTGCTGACGCTGGGTTTGAGGATGACCTGCAGCATGAGGAGGCGCCTGCTGCTGTGACTGCTGCTGCTGCTGCTGCTGCTGCATCTGCATTTGACGTTGTCTCATCAACTCCTGGTTCTGTTGCATTTGCCCTTGCGAGCTAGGCATCGCTACCATATCCTGGCCCTGAAGAGAGACTGCTCCAGCGGAGAGGGACTGCTGCATTGGCATTGGCCCTATATTTGCGCCGCCAACAAAAGCACCATTCTGCATCTGAGCCGCAGGTTGAGGCTGCTGCTGTTGCTGTTGTTGCTGCGGTTGCTGCGACAAGCTTCTTTTCATATTGCTGCTTTGCTGGAATTGTTGCAGAATGGCTCGCCACTCGCTCTGGGGCTTCTGCCGAAGGATCGCTTGGACAGGTCCAGGAAAGCTGGCCAGAGCCTGTTCCCGCTTCTGGATCTCCTGCATACCCATCTGTGGCTGCTGCTGTTGCTGCTGCCCGGGCTGCATCTGCCCCGGCATCTGTCCTTGTTGTTGATTCATCACCGGTGTGCCAGAAGGAACCCGGGGCACAGTCTGGGGACTGGCTCCAGAGACATTAGGACCGACTGGTCGGTTGATGGTGGAGAGGGGAGTGTTGGACTGAGGCATGCCCTGCATTTGACCCCGTTGACCTGCCATTTGGGCCTGTGCAGCGGCAGCTTGGGCACGAGCCTGGGCTTGGGCCTGGTTCTGGGCCTGCAGTTGAGCCTGCTGCATCTTGGTCGCCTGAGCCTGTTGCAGACGCTGCTGTTGCGCAATGAAAGCCGGGTTCATGGCATGGTTCTGATGCTGCTGCTGCTGTTGCTGTTGGCCCATTCGCTGGTTGGCCAACATCTGCTGTTGAATCCGCATCTGCTCCGACATGATGGTCTGGCTGTTGCTGGCGGGCACAACCAATTGCCCTTCTTCTTGGGACCTTAGCCCTTCTGCTTGTAGTCCTTGATATCGACCCATATCGCCTGGGAATCCGTTGGAATTGACGTTCAAGCCTTGGTTCATGGTATTCTGATTGGCTTGGTTCTGTAGCTGGCCCATCGTGTTGGCGTTGTTGCCCATCTGGCCAGGATTGCCCGCTCCACTCATCCCGGCTTCCATCTGCTTTCGTCGGCGGAATTCCTTGGTGGCAAGCATTCGGAAGTAGTAGATGATTGGGTCGACGGACTTTTGTGCCAGATTCGCCCTGAGTTGAGGGGCCATCTTCTCCACGATATTACGCATCTCTTCCTTCGGGGTACTTTTCGCCAGTTCGGCGGCTCGGACGTTGATGGCCTTGTTATCTTCGGCAGTCAATTCGGACAGTTGCATCTGCTTCTGCTGGTTATTTGTTTGCATCATGGGGGTCTGGGCCTGGTTCATCTTGGGAGCTCCCTGGTTCATCATCGGCGGTGCTTGATTGAACATAGGCGAGCCTTGCATTTGCTGCTGCATGTGCGGGGCCATGGACATGTTCGGATTCATGTTCTGGCCCATCTGCTGCATCTGCGCCATATTCTGGTTGGGCATTTGCATATTAGGCATGCCCATTTGCATGTTCTGCATCATACCGGCAGCGCCCTGGTTCATCTGTTGTGCCCGTTGATCGCGGATCCTACCGAGCTTCTCACTGCATTCTCGGACATAGTCTTCTTTGCTGGCACTTTGGGTAAAACACTTGCGTTCGAACTGGAGCGCAACTTCGATGGCCCGTGGGAGTTCGACTGGCGGCCTGACCAGACGCAACGAGTCCACCAACAGTTTGATCTGCGCCGCTCGTTCCTTGATGTGAACGTTGGCCTGCCATCCGCTGAACGGCCCTTGTGCCGTGAGCATATCAAATATGTGTTGCTGCACCGACGGGTGACTGAGACTCAATTGACCAGCCATCTGCTGCGGCATACCTCTGGGCATCTGGCCACCCATTTGGGCGCCCATCTGGCCCATCTGGCCCATTTGTCCCATCTGACCTCCCATCTGGCCTCCCATCTGACCCCCCATTTGCCCACCCATTTGTCCACCCATTTGCCCACCCATTTGCCCACCCATTTGCCCACCCATCTGATTAGCCATGGCCTTTTGTTGCATGTTATTGGGCATGCCACGTCCCATGCCCGCCATGTTCTGAAACTGTTGAGGGTTCATGACTGCGGCAACGCTCGCGAGCGAGGATCGCTCAGGCTAGGCGGCGTCTTCTAAGGCATCCGGTGTTGAGTAGGAGATATGAGACAATCGATCGTATAGAAGAAGTTGGCACTTCGTGTGGGTTGTCGAGATCGTTCGTTACAAAAGGAGAATGGTAGACAGAGCGGGAGGTAATGGTAAGGCTCTCGAAGGACCGGACTCGCAGGAGCGACAGGCGACACAAATTGAAGTGAAAGCTGCTTCGGTTTGCGTTTGCTGAATGTATCGTGGGTGTGTGACACAAGGCAGCCACGGCAGGATTAAACGTTCGAGGTGGACCGGACGTGAAGGCAGGTATCGTGAATCATGGGGCGGAGGAGATCTGTGTTCGCAATTATATCCGACGGTGGTTGAAGGCAGGCAGACAGAATCAGTCGAGGCAGACAATGGCCGGTACAAATAGCAGGGCCTGAAGAGAAACAATGAGGTGCGGTTCTGGTTGGACGTCAGCGGGCGCGTCCATGGAAGAATCGAGGCCAACACATAGGATGTAGGCACGTCGCGCCTTTCCACCCCGGCCAGGAGGGGTTAAAGATAGACTGGTGTCAGAGGAAGGCTGCGAAAGGAGTAAAGCAATATAACGAGAGAAGATTGTAAATCGTTCGTCAGTCAGTCAGTCGGTCGTGAGGCGGGTAATTGTAGATAGTATGAAAATGCTGCTGGTCGCAGATGATAGTATGATGGAGGAACGCCGATCGATGGGCTAGATTCGCTTTTAGTGAGAACAGAAGTTTAGACGTTAGACTTGAGGTGTGAGGCGTGAGGCCCTTAGTAGTAGGCTAGGGAGGCCCGTGGGTCTCGGCAGGCGTTATAGGCTCGCGTTCCTCAACAGCGAGCAGGCTGGACAGTGTCGGAGGATGCAGGATAGGTATAGGGATATGACAAGATGTAGATATAAAAGATATGAAAGGAGTATTCTGTCCGCGATATATGCGCAAGACACACAAGTTATTGGATGGTCATGTTGAGGGAGTCGTATAGAGAGATAGAGTGAGCACCATTTTTGCTGTGATAAGAGGAAGGAGAACGAGAACCAGCAGATAAAAGAGGAAACGGGTCATTGATCTGACCCGGAGCTTGGACTTTTAGTGGAGGAGGAGGAACATTACTGTTGGACGCCTTCAGGGTCAAGGAAATGATGTCGTTTTGTTATAACTTCCTCTGGTTTAGAGGTCATCAAAAGCCTAAAGTACCTAAAGTTCCCCTTTCATCGCGAAAAGCAGTCCTTAGGCACACCGCCCCCCCCTCTAAAAACCACACCGCCTCTAAAGACCACCACCTCTATAAAAACCACACCTCCTCTAGAGACCCCACCCCCCCTCTGAAGACCACACCTCCTCTAAAAACCACCCCCCCCTCCTCTAAGCCTTGGGAGCCTTAACTGTGATTTGGTGCCTTAAACACACCCCCCTCCCCCTCCCCTTCTAAGCCTAAGGAACGATGTGCACATAACGCTTAATACAACACCCCCCTCCCCCCAAGGCAGGGCTTAGGGTCAGGCACCCACGTCACTCTAGGTAGTTAAGCGCCTCACAGCCCAATAATAATGATTTGAGATTGCAGTTGGCTAGTAGATGCACTGTGGATGTGCCAGCATTCATTATTCTCATACTGGTATTGTGCATGCACCTCAATAATGCTTCACGCTTCCAGTTCTGGTCTTCATTATTGAATTGTCGACCTGCAGTGTCTTAACAGTCCTTGTCGTTGAGCCAGCATCGTCCATCGTGTTGCGGCCCAGCATCATTTGAAGTTCCTGACTCTCGCTGAATTGACCAGCTCCGATCTGTGGCCCGTCAATACTAGTAGCCGGTTGCCTTCCGACATGTCCGAACTGTCGACCATGGCAAGCTGAACTGGCATTCACTCTACAGTGTTGAAGGAAACAACCCTCCCGGCAACCATGGCGTCCTCTGTCGGCTCCGACGTGTTTGCGATCCTCGCATTCCTGACCATCTCGACAGTAGTCCTGTTCGTCCTGCGACACTATCTCCCGCTGCGAAAGACGCCGGCCTTCCTTTTGATCCCGATCTTCCTCGCCCTCGCCCTCCCTGCGAGCGCCATCCTATTGGTGCCGGTCGATCTCGCGTCGAGCGCACGAGAGAGCAATCATGGAGGAAAAGGAATCTGGCTGCCAAACAGAGCGGTGTTGGTCGCATGGAGAATCGTCTATTGGCTGACCTTCGTCCTGACCTGGGTCGTGCTGCCACTTCTGGGGGATTACATGGACGCCGGGTACCGCGACCCACGATCTCGCATGATCTACTCGTTGCGGTCGAATGCACGGTACCAGCTCATTGTGCTTGGCTGCGCCGTCGCGGGTCTGGTCTACATGATCTTGTCCTACGGCTTCGACTTCACGGCTATCCGAGGCCTCGTCATGGCGCTGGCCTATGTCTGGGGTCTGATTCTGGCCATCTACCTCATGGGCCACGGCCTGGTTGCGTTGCCGAGAAAGATGTTCCGGAAAGCAGATATCAGCGGCAGCTTGCGCCGAGTCCACACCCAAGCACCCAGAGTGCACGATAACCTGGAGGATGCCAGTCTCGCCCTGGAGGAACTCGAAGCGCAGGTGATGCAGCTGAAGCAGAGGAAGACCGGAACGGCCCGAGATTTTCAAGAATGGATAGAAGACCTGGTCGACATGACGGGTCAAGTGGAAAGCCGCATCTTTGCCAACCCAACCACCATCGACGCCTCGGCGAAGGTCCCAGCCGTCATCACCGAACGATATCTCGCCGACCTGACTCGAAGACTCGTCCGAGCCCGCCACCGCCGGGCAAGATATATTCGCGAATGGGACAATCTCGTGCAGACGGCTTCCGACCTCCAAACGATCCTCGATTCTCGGGCATCCAAAAGGCTGGATTTCGGCCGGTCCCCGTCCTCGTCCTTCTTGGGCCGCGTTTCCCTCATGACTCCATTCATGCGCTACCACCTGTACGTCCACGTCATTCCAGCCTGGAGGATCGCCACGGGCGGACTCTTCTCGCTCGCCTCCGTGGCCGTGATCTGGTCTGAGATCATCAAATTCCCCGCCCCGCATCTCTCCGCGGTCAGCCTCACGGTCATCCACCATCCCAGCGACAAGAACTACCAGATTGGGTTCGGCGGCCAGGTCATGGCGTCCGTGTGGATCACATACATGTGCGTGTGCGCGCTGAGCAGCTTCAGCGACGTACCGACCTGGAAGCAGCGGGCGCTGGTCAAGAGGAACACGTATCCGGAATCGGCCTGCTGGTATTCCGGCCAGATCGCCAAGCTGACCGTCCCGTTGGCCTACAATTTCCTCACCTTCCTCCCCCAGGACATCCAGCAGACCTCCACCTTCTACCACTTCCTCGGCCGGCTCATCAACCTGACCCCGCTGGGCACATGGTTCGACTACCTGTTCCCCATCTTCATCTTGATCCCCGTGTGCGCCACGCTTTTCAACCTGTACGGGAAAATCAAACATGTCTTGGGCTTCGGCATCCTCGAGGAGGCCGATGACGAGGAGGAGGGTAATCCGTCCGGCTTCGGCACCGGCGGATGGCGCGAGGGCCGCGACCTCATCACCCGTGATCTACACGGCAACAGCCGGCACACGAGTCTGGGCGTCTCCGATCCGCCGCGGTCGTCTTCTTCCTTTGACGTGGCCCGCACATCCCGTCCCAGCCCGACGAGATGGGTGCCCTCCTCCGCGGCGGACAGGGCGACGTTAGGCGTCTCCAACTCACGCACATCAGCTACGGGCCGTGCTGGCTCGAGGGCCGCTCTGGACCCGGAACCGGAGGAGGAGAACTTCTTCGCCCTGTTCGGCCGGAGGGTCAAGAATACACTCGACTCCCTGGACACCCCGAAGTGGATGCAGGTGACGGGTCCGAGGTCTCGCGCCGGAGGTGGAGCCCTCAAGCGCCCGAAATGGTTGGGAGGCGGTAGTGATGAATCTTCATCTTCCCGACCTCCAGACGCGAATTCCGGCGTCGACTCGGGCCCTAATATCCTGGGATTATTTGGTTCACGCTCAAGTGACGGAAGAATCATGTTATAGTTGGTACCATATAGATTTCGATCGAATATAGATTTAATCCATTCGCCCATGTTCATCTCAGCACGTAATATCTGCAGATGGCGGCAATTGAACAAGCTCATCTCTGCTGGAGCATTACACCTTGTCAGTGGTGTTCCATGTATCTCAGCAGGACATCTAAAGTCTGGAGTTATTCCTATTTCCTCTCCAAGCGCACCCTTGTATACATGTACAATCATCCTCTCAAGTCATCTCGGTTGAGAGCACACATAAGCCTGCTTGAACTCGCATTCGTAATTACCATATCGTGCCTGAACTGAAGCCCACATCGCAAAAGAAGCGAGGGACGTCACCGAGGAGAAGTCGGAAGGAAACTCGTGGATGTCATCGCTTTCTCCCAAGTAGTTCTTTTTCATCATTTTATATCTCTCTTACCGGCATCCCACCGGGTCCAGGCGGTGGTGGCGTTGCCAGAGGATACCTTCCATCCGCCCCTGCACCGACAGCGCTAGCCGGAGGGATCCTCGAAGTGCCTAGCATCGTCATTCCGCCGCCTCTCATGCCAGGGCCACCGCCGCCTCGTCCTCTACCGATCGGTCGCGCAGGTAGATTCATGCCCGGGAGTTCAAAGTCGGGGTTTCCCTCCAACAACACATCTCGCTTCATTTGCTGGTCTCGTCTTCGACTAGGAGGTCCGAAAGAGCCAAATTCCCCGCCCGCGCCAGGTCTCCAGTTGGGGTTGACACCACGTTGGCTGACCGACGTGAAGTTGCTGGTTTCGCTCTCAGCAGGCGACCGAGCGCCAGGGAGGTCTTCGTAAGAATTGGTCTGAGGGAGTGGTCCCAGAGAATCAGGTCGCTGGTGTCCGGCTTGTCCCGGCGTCAGAAGGGGCGGCACGTGGGCTTGATCGGAGTTTGGTGGCATGACTGGCATTGGGGGCATTGGTTCGGGGTCGGCCGCAAACCGAGGATTTACGTCTTCGTAGTATGCTTCACTGCCACCGGAATTCACCCGTGGGCGTCGATTGTGGCCACCATAGCCTGCCGCTTGACTGCCGCCCGTGGGAAGCTCTACGGGGCCATAGCGCCCAGAGGGTATGGGCTGAGCATAATCATCACGAGGCATGTTGTTCCACTGGGCGCGAGGGGGAACGTATCTGACCAAATTAGTTTGACATCTAGTGCTTGGAGGGGACGACTTACGGATCTTGACTCTGAGATCTACCTGGATGGAAATCCCGCGTCGAAGTGCCTGCGAGTTCCGCCGCTTGCATGCCGGGTAACTGGGGCATCTCCGGAGGCGGTGATGGTTGGCGGGTTGTGCCAGATGGGGACTGGACTCGGCTGCCGTATGGTGACCTCCTGCTCTGGGCAGGCGACTGTGCCCGGGCGCCATACGGACCCTGACGGTCGTCTGGTCCAGTCGTGTATATAGACGGGCTTGCTACATCAAATCTCCTGTCTCCCCCTTCGATGAAGGGCTGCGAGGCGGCAATGGTCGGATGTCGACCATTCGGATCTGAGTATTCTTCGGGCGGTATGTATCCGGATGAGGAGCCATCACGGCCATTGGGAGGATATCCTGGAGGCGGCCGTCGCTGGCCACCGTCCATCATTGCTCCTGCGGCCATACCACCGGCAACAGCAGCACCCATCGGCATCCCACCTCTGCCCCTCCCACCGTAGCCTCCGCGCATGTCAGTTGAGAACCCTCCTCGTCCTGGGTAACCTTGAGGCGGGGGAGGCCCTCGAGAGCCGTAACCACCTCGTGGAGGATAGCCACCACGAGGGGGATAGCCACCCCTGCCTCGGGAACCGTATCCCCTACTACCGGGTGGTGGCATACTCCCATCGCGATATGGCCCAGGAGGCGGGTATCCATCCCCTGGTCTTCGGCCCTGCATGGGCATGGGCGGACCACCGACTGCCCCGGGTGGAGGAGCACTTGGGAAGGCATCCCGACGATCATCCGGAGGTGGTCGACTGTTAGATCTTGAAGGAGGGCCATAATATTTTTCTGAAGCACCATCTCGAGAAGGGACCAGAGTAGGATCGTCGGATAAGGCTTGCGACCTGAGGGGTTGGAGATCTTCGTCTGTCTTTGAAGCGGGATTGAACGTCGCAAACGCAGGTAGCCTGTCTGCTCCAGGAGCGCCATTGACCATCGGAACGGTGGGTTCAGTCGTGAAAGTTTGAGCGCCCGCCTTCGACTCTTGGGCCTGTCGGCTGTAGTAGTTCTCGCCGCTCATTTCAGCATTTTCCGCAATCCTCTTCTTGCGAGCCTTGCGCGAAACCAGGGTCCGCCGCATAGCACAAGTCACCACCCCGGAGGCAGTTATCAATATTGTAGAAGCGAGAACAATCCATCCGCCCCATTGTAAATGCGGAACAAACAAGAGTATATCCACCAGGAAAGCGAGAAGAGTAACTAGCAGTGTTGGTAGGAGAAGGATCAGAAGGCCGAGGAGATACCGGGCGGAGTGAGATGGAGAGTGCAAGTGTGCAGCCGCAGCCAAAGCGAGGCAGACCAGATTGCAGAATGCGGCGACCGGATGGACGATGAGCAGAGAAGATAAGGAATGTCGTGCACTAGAGGGCAGGTTGAAGTCGCCATCACCTCCGGGACCGAATAGGCCATCTGGAACCAGTTAACGACAATCCATGCGCATGAGGGAAAGAAGAAATTAGTCAGTACCCGTTGTATATCCCACGCGGATACCACTGCATTGGGAAGTTGTACAGTATCCGAAGACACCAAAGTTGACTCCCTGATAGGTTGCAATGGGGATGCTTTTGACGACAGGGGTCGATATGACAGATAACAGCAAGAGAACGAAGGATATAAGCAGCAAAATCGTCAGAGGGGTGGCGGGTCTGAGCATCGTTTACAATGCAATATATGATGCCGTCAAGATAGAGGAAGATGATCAGGTCGACGGCGCAAACGCGCAAAGCTGCCGGAGACCGTAAGTGCGCATGGAGGTGACAAGAGCGAGTGAGGGAGACCGCGGGCCGACGTTGGACAACTATCGACAAGACGGTGGAAATGCCCGAGATGGATGAAGATGGATGTGATATATCGACCCAGGTGAATGCGTATGAGGGTGAAGCTGAAGCGGGAGTGGTAAGTTGGACGATGGATGAATCCGTGGTCTACGGAGATGGATGGTGGTAGGACAGTGAGGCGCAGTCTCGAGGGTCAAGCGAGTTGTAAGTTTGTCGCATGCGCTTCAGGTTCAAGTTGGCCGTTGGCCGTTGCATGGAAACTGGGCAAGTGGGTGGCAGGGGAGCGGGAACTTGAAGTGGGATGCAGTTACCCCCTGTTACTACTTAGTACGTACTACTAGCCTAATCGGTGCTTGCTAAATGACACTAAAGACCTGATGGAGGGACTAATACGCACTACTCTGTTAGTACAGCCTTTAGGATACGTTATCTACTGCCGTCGGGGAACCTTATCTATCACTAAGCTCCCTAGCGTTTACTATGCATCCACTTGACTCACCTCCCAGAAACCCATCTCCATCAATTACCCCTGATATCAGGCCCGGTAAAGAGTGAATCAAGGTAGCCAACTTCTACTAGTCGGTGTCGAACGTGGACGAGTGCCCCGCCTCATAGAAGCCCAGGGGCGTCTCAGGCCCAGTTTAGACGGGCGCGGGTAGATTGGTGGTAATTAAGGATAAAATGTCCCTTCGTGTTTCAATCTCGACGGGAAATGCAGATGCGACACCCATAATACCAGCCCTATCAGGCGCCTCCTTCGCCCTCCTTCTAGTGTACCTGGAGAGAGCTAGGTACACTCGCAGTGTATCAACCTTGATGACAAGTGTCAATTTTATATTCGTCTTGCTGGTCTCTGGCAGGTCATTTTCCTAACAGGCGCAGCGATGGATACCTACCTACCTTATGGGCAGCAGATCTCCCCACAAAATGGCTCCAGGTGACGTTGGTTCAATTATTGCTGTGATATTGGTGGCAGTCCCACGGCATAGGGTCTGGACCAAAGGGGCATTGAAGCCTAAGGTGCCCGAGCGCAATACTTAGTAGGTGGATGCTAAGCCTAACATAGGTGCTTAGGTGCCATAAATACTGCCTCCTTACTGCTAAAGGCTAGGTGGCATCGGTCCCTAGTGCAGGTCTAAGACAATTTTGCTTTGGGGAAGAACGATTGCGACGTCATTCAGAATTCCATCCACATCTCCCATGTGCCTACCTACGTGCTTTTTGTCAAGGCTTCCACTCCATAATAAGGACCATGGTCGCCCATGTCTTCAGTTTCTTCTGCTCGCCTATCATGGCACCACGCATGAAGCATATGTTCGACATCTTGCCTCTGTGCCCTGTATAGCATGGGCGACACGTGTCGGCTGTGCTTCCGATTGCCCTGCTTCCTCCCTCCATACCACGGTCGTGTCCTCCGCGGCAAATGATCGTCGCAAGATGAACGACCCTGGCCTAGAGGATGATATCGTTGACGCATCCAATCAAGTCTCCGAAAATCGCGACAAGGCTTACACGGACGAGGAAGAGGAGGAGAGGAGTTTCTTGACGCCCGCCAGATGGTGGTATGCCTCGACCGCCTTCCCTCTCATGGCCGGCACTTTTGGCCCCATGGCCAGTGCCTTCAACATCTGCGCACTCGTGGAGGACTGGCGGGTGGAAATCCCCACGAAAGGCACCGAGGAGCATGGCCTCGACATCCAGGACCCAGAATGGTAGGTGGCTTCAAATACGGTGCGATTGGAGATATTGACATGATTTCTCGACAGGCTGATCGCTGTTAATGCCGTCTCGCTCGTCTGCGCTCTCATTGCCAACTTGGCCCTGTTGCTCAATATGGCGCGTCGCGTGCCATTTAAAATAGCGCAGCCGGTCACCATTATCGGCTTCTGGCTCGCTTCCATTCTTCTCATTGCTCTCATCGCTGTCGCCTCTCATAGATTTGACGCACCAGGCATCCAGAACCAAGCATTGACGCAAGCCTATTACTACGCCATCTTCGCGGCCGGCCTGTACCAGCTCATTTCCTACCTCATGTGTGTGACTGTGTATGGAGCGTACAAGGACCACTACCGCAAAGAATTCAGGCTAACCGTTGCCCAACGGACGTTGATGCTGCAGACCATCGCGTTTCTTGTCTACCTGCTTCTGGGCGCTCTGATCTACTCCAAAATTGAGGGCTGGAAGTTCTCAGATGCCGTATACTGGGCAGACTTCACCTCGCTTACCATTGGCATTGGTGCCGACTACGTGCCCAGAACGCGTGTCGGACGGGGGTTGCTATTTCCTTTCGCCATGGGTAGCATCATTATCTTAGGTCTCGTGGTGAGCTCCATCCGGTCACTCATTCTGGATAGAGGGAAGAAGAAGATGTCTGCACGATTGACCGAGAAGACTCGACTTCGATTGATCAAGGAGATTGATAACGTCGTCCACGAGAAAAGGAGGCTGAGAGCGCACATGATTAGCTTGGACAAAAGCACCGCCCAGACATTGGCTGCGAAACCTGGTGACGATAAGTTTGCTGAAATGGACCGAAGGCAGGCGGAATTCGAGGCGATGCGAAAGGTCCAGGAAAGGGCAACGACCGAGCGGAAATACATGAGCCTAGTGGTGTCGACCTTTGCATTTGCATTCCTAGTGAGTGATGATTTTGCTCAGCAATTTGAGCTGCGCTAACCAGAGAAAGTGGACGATCGGGGCTTTGGTATTCATGAAAGCTGAACAGAACCAGAACTGGTCATATTTCGAAAGTGTCTACTTTTCATATACCACCCTTTTGACCATCGGATATGGAGATTTGGAGCCCATGAGCAACAGTGGAAAGCCCTTTTTTGTGTTCTGGTCGCTGCTCGCGGTGCCCACGCTGACTATCCTGGTCTCGGACATGGGAGACACGGTGGTGAAGGCAGTGAAAGACGCCACGATCTGGCTCGGTGAGATTACCGTTCTTCCCAGCGATGAAGATAGCACGAGGAACCGATTGAAGTACGGTATTTACAAGGCAACCCTTGGGAAGGCCGGTTATTCTCATTCGTATTTGAAAGACGTGGAGGAGGGTTCCGGGATTGATGACGGCGAACAAGAACTTCAGCCTGGTCTAGCGCGCCTATTCGGCAGACATGGCAGAAGTCGGCCAAATAGGAACGTCCGTGAGACCGGAGATCGAGTGGCTGCAGACTTTGAACGCTCGGAGAAGGCTGATGAATCCCACGCGAGAAAGCATGGTGAACGATCGGAGGAAGGTAGGTGTTTTTGGTCGCATGCGGCTGTACATTGCTGACGCGGGCAGATGAGCATCATTATCGCCACGCTCTCCTTTCTGAGATCCGCAAAGTGTACGCAGACACCACGGCCGCCACGCCTAAAAGGTACAGCTATGCTGAGTGGGCACGATTCCTCCAGTTACTTGGAGAAGACGAGCATGATTCTTCCTATCACAGCCGTGCCATTGATGCAGAGCGCGGATCTTCGACGGAAGAAGGGCCCAATGAAAGCAAACAAGAGGCTACTTTTTCCAGAAAAGATGAAGGAAAGGACGCCGAACAGAAGAAGAGTTGGAGTTGGTTAGGCGTTCGGAGCCCACTGATGGGAGACAAGGAGGAAGCTGAATGGTTGTTAGAGAAATTGCTCCAGCGGTTGGAACAGAGCTTGCACGGCGAAGGCAAGGAGAAAGAAGAGGGTGTGAAGCAAGAGACACAGAACCATCACCGGCGCAAAAGGTCACACCCTGAGGCGGCAGAAAAAGAAGCAGATGACGGAACAAGCGAGAATACTGTGACTGGCACTCGATCACAGGGTGGTCAGAAAGGCACATCTGAGGGAGGGGGCCACCATGACTGATGGCAATAATGGACCGATCTTGCGACGGGAGTATTTGTGATATCGATTTAGCGACGGCGCTGAAGGTGGATTAACAAGTCACTGGCATAAAAGGACAAGATCTAGGCGTTCGAAGAACCGCTGGCTAGAGCAGGAGAACATACGAGGGCATTGCAACATCAATTACCATATGTGGACAGACAGCCAGGATTCTTGCATCGTATATCACCCGTGTATGAGCCTCGTAGTTCCCGCCTCCTTCACTGTACTCAACTTCTTGAGCCTAGACAATCCTCCGATGGTTAGGGAGGCTCTGCACTCGCAAGGGAGAATAAAGGACTCGGAGAGCGCTGCGTTTGAGGAGGAGGCTTCGAGTCGAGGCAACGACGAGCGGCAGGTTTGAGCGAGGCCGCGTCTGCATGTATCGTATCGACATCGTTTTTGTGCTGGGGGAATATAGCAGTATATCATCCCTCGTGCAGTCGAAAGGCGCAGGAGACGAAGGAGGTGGTGGCTGGCTCTCTCGGTGCTTGCTTCTCCGGAATACGAGTACGAACGAGCATTGCAATGCTTAACTCAACCTTCTCCTCGCAATGAATACGAGGTGGCATGCCCAGCTCGAGGATTCCATCTCAACGCTTCAACCTCGGGACAACGAAGAATGACGAAGACAAGCGAGGGGGGACGAGGTAAGAGAGTCCATGATCAGACTGTCTACGCAGGTATGTGCTTTGGAATCGCTGCTGATGGTATCTACTACTCACTAGAGGAGGGATGAAGTGCTGGCGCAGCTGCGGGACCTGACCTCGAAACTGCATCCATCGCCTTTTCCGCTTGCTCTTCTCAAAAACCTAGCATCCACATCGTTGCAAGTCACTGTAATCAAGACCATCTCTTGACTGATTGTCTCCTCAAATTGCGAGTACCTTGATCTCGCCAATTCCTGTCCTGGAGAAGCAGGCATGGCCGCCTCTCGCCAGGGTACAAGGTCTGGGGCCACCGCCAGACCTGCGGGTCTATCAACATGAGGAGAGGTTATCATACACCTTTGCTCGACCAGCCTGTGTCCTTTGCCCTCGCTCGAAATGCCTTTGCCACGTCCTCGCGGCCCTGCAGTTCTCCTCCACCATCGAGCGGAATGATATCGACCCTGAGGGCGTTCTCCAATCATATCTACGGACTACACCTCCGCTAAGGTCCTCCCCTCTATTGCATATCTGGGGAAACCGGCGGCACCGGCTCACGCTTCGAACAGACCGAGGCTTCCTCCAACTCCTCGATCATCGATCAGTCCTGTCCATTGGCTCTCTAGGATAAATCAGTATCGAAATCAAGTCGGACACTCCTTTGGCCCGCTTACAACCCCTCATCACTCTCCTCCACACCAAGAGATGATGATCCACATATCGATGCATCGTCTGGGGTTCCGGGGCACGCGGGGTATATCAATCAAAGTACAAATCTCGTCTGAGTTTCCGAGCATCGGCCTGCCCGGGCGACCAACCTCTTCTCGATCTTTGTGACAGGCTTCTTGTCCCCTTCCGGCATTCCAAGATGGGGTCTCAACAGATCGAAGAGATTGACGTATTACTCGTTGGCGCAGGGTTTGCCTCTTTTACTTTATTGAACCGGTAAGAATGTGATGAGAATTTATATTGATGGACACTCCGTTGAACTCACATACCTAGTCTCCGCAAACTGGGCTTCTCCGTTCGTATCTTCGAGAAGGGATCTTCCAGCGGCGGCATCTGGTATTGGAATTGCTATCCCGGTGCGCGCGTCGACACTGACTCCCCCATCTATCAACTCTTCGACAAAGAACTGTGGGAAGACTTCACATTCAAGGAACGCTATCCCGGCTGGCAAGAACTGCGTCGCTATTTCGATCATGTCGAAAAGAAGTGGCATATCAGGGACTATACCTCGTTCAACAAGCACGTCGACAGTGCAGTCTTCGATGAGCAGCGCCAGCAATGGCTGGTTGAATGCGCCGATGGAACAGAGATCTACGCCAACTGGTTTCTCCCTTGCATCGGCTTCGCGAGCAGACGGTATACACCGCCATTTCCCGGTCTAGGAAACTTCAAGGGGGACATCTACCACACCGCGGTCTGGCCGCAACACGGGGTGAATCTGAAAGGCAAACGTGTCGCCGAGGTCGGCACAGGCGCCTCAGGGATCCAGGTCATCCAAGAGATCGGGGACAAGGTGAAAGAATTGACCGTCTACCTCCGCACGCCGAACATGTGTCTGCCTATGAACCAACGCCTGTTAGATCCCAAGGAGGAGGAAGAGAAGAAGAAGAACGGCACTTACGAAAGGGAAATCGAAAAGACTCGTCACACGTTCGCCGGTTTCACCTATGACTTTGTGCAAAGAAACACTTTTGACGACACACCGGAAGAACGAGAGAAGCTCTATCACAAGCTGATGGTTGAGGAAGGAGGATTCATGTTCTGGCTGGCCACATACAAGGACATGTTGTTCGACCTCAAAGCCAACGAGGAAGCCTACAAGTTCTGGCGGAAACAAGTGTTGAAACGGCTCAAGGATCCCAAGAAACAAGAACTCTTGGCTCCCGAAACTCCTCCCCATCCATGGGGCACGAAGCGGCCTTCGCTGGAACAGAGATTCTACGAAGTGGTAGACCAGCCACACGTGAAGATCATCGACGTGAACAAGTCTCCCATCGAGGAAGTCACGGCGACCGGTCTCCGGACTAAAGACGGCCATGTCGAAGTGGACGTCATCATCTTGGCCACTGGATTTGACTCCGTGACGGGTTCTCTCGCGCAGCTCAACATCCAAGGTACCGACGGCGGCACCATCGCAGACCACTGGAAAGATGGCACAAGGACAGCCATGGGGATCGCCATGCCGAATTTCCCCAACATGTTCTTCCTGTATGGACCGCAGGCGCCCACCGCGTTCAGCTCCGGGCCGAGCTGCACCCAGTTCCAGGCCGAATGGGTCGAAAAGACGTTCAAGATGATCAAGGAAAAAGGTATCACGCGACTCGAGGCCACGCAGGAAAGCGAAGACGATTGGTGCAAGAGACTGCGAGCGGAATGGGACGCCTCGCTGTTCCCGCTAGCAAAGAGCTGGTATCAAGGTGCCAATATCCCGGGCCGGAAGGTCGAGCCTTTGAACTGGTGAGTTATATCGGACATGTTGTTCCCCAGCTCCAACATTGAGTCATTGACTGATTGACTGATTTGCTACTACAGGTCTGGTGGCATGGTCAAGTATGTGGAGACTCTTAATCGCAGTCTCGAGAATGACATGCAAGGCTGGACATATGCTACTGCCGATGCATGATGTCCAGTATGTTGTACAATGTCGTCAAGTCGAATCAAGCAAGTGTTTCTTGTTTATTGCATGTTACGAAGCAGGAGGGGGTGTAACATGAGAGTGCAATCGTAAAGTCTGGGCTTTATATCTTCTGAAGATACTAGTTTTAAGATGGTAAAGAAGGGTCAACAACACTTACTCTTCTTCTTCAACACTCCCTCTTCTCTTTCAACGACATTGTCTGCTCGCTTTGTTCATCCCTGCTGAAGCTAGCACACCTGTTGACTGATAGGAGATTGATTGTAAGTTCGAGGTTCGCAGCCTGGCCCCTGACATTATCTTATCTCACAGCCTTGCAAAGCGGGGCGATTAGATAAGCACCGTCTATAAATGGCAGTTGACACGATAAAGTAGATTATAAAGTGGACGATAAAGTAGCGATAAGGAGACACGATTGATGTCTGACCCCTGAATCACAAATTCCCTTCATTTCGGTCCTCCATGTGTGTCGAATCCTAGCCTTGCCATTCCCCTTGCAACCAGGGACCTCCTGACCCAATTCCGTCCGATGATGAACATGAATAATGCTCTGACAATCTTAACAAGGAACCCCATCTCTTCCGACGAAACCGCCGGTATATACTATATCAGCTCATATGTCTTGTGCCAGCTGCGATCGCTTCAGCCCCTGCTCTCACTGGCTCTCATCCTCGATGATCTTCAGACTACCCCGTCGTGGTTTCCGCCAGAGGGGAACCGACCTTCCTAGTTCACCCTGTTCCAAACGAAGATCTGCGAGCCACAATGTCCCTTTCAGTGCGCGCCTGACTGTCGATATCGATCATATCCTGGGCGTGTTACTCTCTGACAAGAGTTTCGCTCAGCCACACCCGGCGAGCATGGGGAGGCATTTTCCTTGTATGGTTGAGGATCGTCGAGATCTGCTGCATGCTCAATCCTCTGCTCAGAGCATTCGCCCTGTACCTGGCTTCCTCAATCTTGAGATCGTCTCTCTCAGCCGGTTGCTTTTCTGTTCGAGGTACGCCAACTTGTGTAAGTGGAGGCATTCGGTCCCATGCTCGGCTTTCTGCGGTCGAATCTATGGTGGCGACATAACCTCCCCGATGCGGCGGAACACGATCTTCGATCACAACTACTTCCTCCCCCTGCTCCTCCATCTCGTCCTCTTCTACTTGCTTTCGATCTTGGCTGTAGTATTGCATCAAGCGGGTCAACTTGTCGCGGTCGGACAGGTCTGGCTCCAGAAGGACCTTCAAGACTAGATTCTCAAAGCTCGGCCTCTTTTCCGCAGTGGTAGACGGAAGCGGCGAATCCGGATTTGGGAGCCTATCCATGTTGATGCTTTGGTACGGAGGGTATTCCTGGATACGGCGTGGCTTGGAATTGAACCTTGTCTCGGCTCTCGGTGGGCTTTGGGATATTCGTAGTTCTCGCGACTTTGTTGCATTGGTTGTGGTGGGATAACTTGTAAAGGAATCGTGTTTTGCAGCGCCTAGATTGTCTCGTCTGTATCCAAAATGGTTCAGTCCACGATCCTCTCGTGAAAGGTCCCCCCTTTCTTGCGAGAAAGGGGATCCATCGTATGGATCCCATTCCATCACCCGACTAGATCCTCCAATGCCATCCATGGTGATTCGAACAGTTCCCGGCGGCACGCTGACATAGTTCCATTCTCGCGTGGCGCCGTCAACTGCGTTGCCTATTTTCCCGCCGGCAATTACGTTACCTTGATAGCCACTTGTGTCGTAGAAATCTCTTGCATTTCCTGCTTCGCTGTGACGTACAGCGGGTGTGATAAAAGGGCGTGGCTCGTCAATAGGCCTTATCAGGTTTTCTCTCCGAGGCGAACTTCCTCGTGCGCCAAACCAATTGTGAGGAAATGCATCTTCCATCGACAGCATTCGTTTCTCCTCCGGAAGCATGTCAACGTCAGTGGGCGCCCCCTCTCGGCGGTCTGCGCGTTGACGGGGAGAGGTTGACCTCGGCCTTCGCGGATCGGAAATTGTCTGCGCGTCGGCATCGGACTTTTGAAATTCGGCGCTCTTTGCAACAACCTCATCGATATTGGCCGCACTCAATGCCTTCCCAATGACAAAATCATCATTCTGCCCTTGTCAGCGTCATTCTTGACGAAAGCCGTCGTATCTCACCTCTTTATAATATGAATACCCCAAGTCGAACAATGCTCGTGGGTGAACGAGCCACTTCCGCATTTTGGTGCGTCCCGGCCTCGGCCATGGCTCTTGCGCAACCGGCTTGCCGCCGTCAAGGTCTTTTCCCACGGTGTCTTTGTACGCTGGATCCCTCATTTCGTGGTGTATTTCGTCTCGGCCCTTGCTGTAGTAGCTTGTATTTCGACGTCCGTCACTTCTCCTCTGTGCGCCATACTCAATATTTGCTTCAGCGCCCGCCCAAGGCTGGTGAACAAGTGCACCTTCAACCGCCCGAGAGGATGGCCATCGAGCGTCAAACTCCCTTTCGATGATGGGCGGAGAGCGCCATCGTGTGTGAGTCTCCCGTCGAAGGCGTGTATCGGAGACCTTTTGTCCTTCCACTGTTGCTTGGGTTCCTCGGTCATCATTTTCCTTGTCCTGTTGCTCACCATCGTGCTTTGAATGGCGGGCGCGTCCCCTGATGACAATGTCATCGCCGCGTGTCCTACTCGTACCCAGGTACTGTACATACGCTTCTCTAGCAGTTTTGGTGGCAGTGATTTGAGGAGTTTGTCGTCCTGAACCGGTAGGAACCGTTATGGAAATTCGGATAGGCGAGCCACGTCGTTTTCCAGCGTCGGACTCGTTTATGATGATCTCCGTGACTGATGAATGGCTTGGGCGTCGGGCCTTGTCAAAATGGCGCTCGGTCGAACTTGACGAAGTCGAGCTTGCCGAAGCATCTTCCTGGTCGTCATGATTATGAACGCGAGTAACAACGATTTCTTCCGGCAAAGCTCGCGGCCTTCTTTTGGGAAGCTCCCTCTCCCGTGCTTCAAGCTCTCTCTCTCGTGCGTCAAGCTCTCTCTCCCGTGCGTCAAGCTCTCTCTCCCGTGCGTCAAGCTCTCTCTCACGTGCGTCAAGCTCCCTCTCTTGTGCTTCAGACGTGAATTCGGGTCTATTAGTAATCGCCGGTTCATAATACAGCGGCTCCGGCCTGTCAGTGGGTGAAGATGGATTCTCGTGGGCGTGTGCGTCTTCTTCTACAAGATATGAGTTTCAGGCTTCCAACAAGCGACTCGCAGTAAGCATGACTTACCTTTTCCTGTCCCACGGCTGTCATTCTCCTGCTGATCGGGCCATATACTGTTGCCGCCTCTCGTATTACCGTCATCGCTGTCGCCGCTATTAATGCTCGTGATTCTCTGCTGTACAGAATCATGCACAGAGCTCACGTAGCTGGCCATGTGCTCTTCCGGGCCACGCCCAGCCGGATCGACCCCGGCCGGAGCAGGTGCTGATTGCTCACTGCAGGGATCACTTGTGGAACTCTGGGCAGTCGTTAAGGCAGTCGTTGCGGGTAGATCTGGGAGTACTGCTGGTTCAGGCTGGCTCTCCGGCAATCCATAAACAACGGGTCTGGATCCGCCTGTGAAGGTCGCGATACTATCGAAGATCTTCGACATAGACAAGCAGAAAGAACAATTCTGCTGTCTCGACGACGCTACAATCATCCCATACAGTTCGCCGGTGATCAAGTCCATGACCCAGCTACCACAGTCTCCCGGAGCTAAGGAACGATTTAGCATGACTCTTTGAAGCATTGACACGACAAGGGCCTGGTTTACCACTGGTGCTTTGAACTGTCCATGCGGATATCATTTGGGCGGAATTTGGCATAAGGACCCCGACAGTTCTTCCTGACGCTTCGGCCGTGTGCAAGGCGCCAAACCCTGCGGCAACAGCGACTTTCCCTCGTGGAGGCATGCTGGCTACACCTGAGCATCTTATCGTCCTACCATCAACTGTGAAAAGATTGGGGAGGTGAAACCTCGGGTCAGAGATTTTGATCAGAGCCCAGTCTTCAGTCCAACTTAGCCAGGGTGCGCTGGGGTTTGCTCCATGTAGTTCGCCAAGGACATGCTCCGTAAGCGTTTCGGGTGTTGTTCCAGTTTGTGTAGGACGAATCGAACCAGCATGATCTGCGTGTGTCTCGTAAGGGGCAGTGTCCATGTATACTCTCGTTCCAGAGCTTGCCGGGGACAATGACCCGTCAGAAGCCAAGGACTTTGCTTCACTCCTGGTGGAATGAGAAGGGGAACTCGCGCCACTGTCGCTATGCTCTTCGATCCCATCATCTGAACATGTCTCCTCGAGGAAGGCATGAGCAGCGGTGAGGCCGTAGTATGCGTTATCGAGGCAAATAAGCCCACCGAGTGTGGCATGCCTCCGACGAGACGGATCACCTCCCACGCCAGTAGCAATTGCGATTCTGAGCCCACAGAGCGTCGCCAAAGGGGGATCTTGAGGCAGGGGTTGCTGCCCTGCACAAATCCTGGTGTCCACCGGTCTTGGATCGGCATAGAAGTCGAACCCAGAGTTAAGCCGCCGGATGATAGGGTTTCCTGAAAGCACTGTCACCATAATATGGGCATACTTCGGCTTCGCGCATGAAGCGACCACTGTTGGCCTGGCCGTTCTCCAGAGCGTCGTGGTGCTGGTCATGTAACATTTGATGTGCGAGCCGGGCCTCCGCCGGGTCCCAAAGATTTGATTCAGATTCCTGTTGAACAAATTTTCCAGCTTTGGGTACATGAAAATAGACCAGATCTGGTCCTCGAAATCGTTGGTCGGATGCCACACAAAGCGCTCGCCAAGCTTAAAATGAGTGCTGGGATCGATATAAGATAGTCGTGTCGTCTCATCCAACCGGTCCCATTGGAAGGATGCCGTAATGGTCGTCGTTGTAGCTGCCTGCATTGTTTGTGTCGCCGTTCCAGCCATCGTGGACAAGACATTGGGTGAATGTGAGGTCAGGCAACAGACGTTTGGCTTGAGAAGAGATTTGTTCAGCCTGATAACTGGCAGGTGGCAGTAGCTCTCTCACACAGCTGAGTGATGAGGCGCGAACCTCAACTGCAACTAGTGTTAGCTGCTTCTCTGGGCTGTGTCGGCTATGCCAGAACAACCATAGGCTGGGCGGCCTGAACAAGCTGATGATGAGGCTATGCGCAGGCGGCAGCTCGCTCTGTCACCACACTGGGCAAGCCCCAGGTAATATATATGTTTATTGACAGTGCAAACCCTCGTTGTTGTGCAACACTAGAGAGGAGACGCTTTGTCCTCGTTATCTGCAACCTGGGACGAACGTTTGCCTGTTCCCTGAGGCCATGGCCATATTTCGAACCCTGAGACGACTCCGACCAGCCGGGCGGAATAATGGCGACGCGACGTCGAAGTTGATCCGCGAATTGTGGCGCATAAGCGACGACTTGGATGCATATCAGGTTCAATCATACAAGGAGCACGCGAGAGATTGTCGCAAGGTCAAGGATGACCCGGCCGTTCCATGCTCAAACGTGGCCCAGATTGTGAACTTATGCGACTCGGTCAACGACCGGCTGTTGCTGCCTCTGGATGATGCGTACAAGGAACTTTGGCTCCAATATGCCCCAGATCCGTTGAAACCGCAAATCCAGGACAAGTCTGTGCAGCAGGCCATCGAATATGCGATCCAACTGTGTTATTTCGTTTCATTGCGACAGCTGCGCAGGGGTCCGCAACGATTGCAAGACGTGCTACTCCATAGGCTGTACAGTTGCACTTCGGTCGGGCCAGACCTTGTTCTGAAGGACGACTTTCATGAGAAGAACCTGACTCGGAGAGCTGGTATCAAAATCCGCTATACAAGCGACTTGACAAATCATCTCCAGCTATCGGGGAAACAGCTCTTCGTGTTCCGTCATGGCACCGTTTTAAAAGCCTACGCAGAAGACGGCACAAGGTTAGTTCGAAGCAGGGGTTTCTTTTCGAAGAAAGGATATTGCTTACTCACCCATGAACAGAAGTAATGTCTATCCGCCTGGTTTCTTATCTGAAACACAAGCAACGATCGACCTCCTATTCCCCGTAAGTGAGGGGCGTATGGCCCGGCGGAGGGCCAGACTGAGCGAGAAGCATTTTGCAGATCTTGAGGTCGGCCCTTTGATGACACAGGATGGCGAGCCTGAACGAAATCTCAGCAGGTACATCTTTTGGGGCCATCGTCTTGCTGCCATTGATGATCTGTACCAATCTTCGAGACCCTCGCGGCTAAAGCAGTGGTATTTCGACCGGCGAGATAAGACTTCCTTCACCACTTTCTGGTTCGCATTGTGGGCGTTTGTGATTGCCGTTGTCTTCGGCTTGATTTCATCTGTGACAGCGATTATGCAGACTTGGAAAGCATTCCATCCTTGAGAGGCGACACGAACGTACTCAGCAAAGGTTCAGTCCGGTGAATCCATGATTCATGGATGAAACTTGGGTTTGGCAAGGCTGCGTTGAAGTTTTGGTCTGCAGCTTGGTTGCTCGTAGGGAAGGGACGTTCACGACGACATCCTTCTGACAACAATTACAAAGATGGAAGGCGCCGGACTGGGAAGGACCATTTCTTACTCGAGACAACATCGTCTTTGCCTCCTTGCCGCAGATGGCGGGCTGAAATTGACAGGTGATTCGTCCGCCACCATTTGACTTATTTATGTGTACTTCGTTGCCTGTGCCGCCAAAAGCTGGATGCTGGGAGATTGTTGCAAGAGACATGTGCTCACTGTATCTCGTCTTTGGTCTCTGAGGCTGTTGGCCTCATGCAGGCAAGCAATGAGCAGCATGAAGATGCATATGAAGCCCGCAGCTCCTGTGTCCACAGCTCCTCCTCTTTTTCCTTGCCCGAAGGACCCGATATCTCCCCCAGGATTTGGTGTCGCCGGTGGCGGCCGTGCGATGCTGCCGACAATCCAATGGCGATTCACCCAAAAATGGGACTTGACTGTCAACTCAGGGGTACTTCTGCGTGCTTTTGTATTTTGTGACGCGTCTTCAATCGAATGCTGACAACTGTTGCTTGGGAGTGAACTTCTCGAAAGGCCATCTCCCACGCCCATCACATTTTTCGTTGCCTACTCGTCAGCATACGCCAATTGCAGCTCCAAGGGCATCATCGACCAGCTTGCAGATACTTTCTGTAAGCGTTGGTGGGTGTGAGTATTGACACAGGGAACTGAGGGACCGGATTGATCTTGCCGTCAGTGAGATCAGCTGTTCTTCCTCAGCTTCTCAATAAAGCCCCTCAGGCCCATTAGCCCTAGCCATACGGCTTCCTCGGTCCTGATCGTACGGCTCCCTTGTCCAGGTAGGACATTCACCCAACAATCGAACAACTCCTTCACATTCTGCCCAGTGAGCCCCATGTTTCGTAGCTCAGGGTCATTTTTGGATGCATGTTCCAGACCCGCGACTCCACCGAAAACAAGGAGAACATGCTGGAATGAAAGTGCTTCTGGGTCAGAGAGATCCGGTCTTGTAAAGACTTCGCTCAGAGGAGCGCCTCTCTCTGAGGTGCCTATGGATAAATTGTAGCCTCCATCGAATGGGGATTCCGTAAAAACATTCGAGAGGCTGCTGCACTGTCGCACGGCGTAGCCCCAGTAATACCCTTTCACCTCTCTGGGCGTGCTGGGGGAGACAGCTGCAGCGACCTTGGACCTAGGATCTTCCAGCTCAATTGTGACGCGAGTTCCGCGAGGAATTTCGGCTTCAAGAATCTCCCGTGGCTCGGACAGACCGACATCTACGAGAGTTCCGTTTCCACCAGGAGAAGGGCCCACAGCCACGCCATCACGATATTCACACCATTCATTCGCTCTCAAATGGTGTGGCATATCCAAGCTAGGCAGCGTCCCTGCTGTTCGAAGATTGGGGTGCATAGGGAATAAAGTTCTGCGCAAGTGCGGCGGCGTCTCGAGGTAGGACAAGACGTGGGCAAGGAAGTGATCAGGATGCGAAAAGGCGGTATAGTCGTACTCGGCGATGGCAGGTCGTCTTCGCTGTACTTCGGGATCTTCATCGTCGAAAATGATGATTTCGTCAACGCAGAAAACGGCCAATGCTCGGGCAACTTGGCCGGCTAGATACGTCTTTTGCTCGTGAGATTTGGCATTGGCAATGATACTGCCGGGCAAGGCAACGCTCAAGGTATAGGAGCGGCCGCCGGTGGGTTGGAAGACTGCCGACGGCTTGGATGTGTCGACGTCGAGTCCTTCATGGTCCACACCAATTTTTCCATCCACGGCTTTGCGTTCCCCTGCTTCTCTTTTGCGCTTCTAAAATGGAATGGTCAGTGGTGGTCAACAACATGAGAGGGAACGGACGCTCGCCCACCTTCACCTTAGGCATGTTGACAACAGCAACAGGACATATACACGAAACTGACTATGACACAACAACACTCTTGCAGTTAAGATTCGGCGGTGGTAGTACAATTCAAGTTGGAACACAATGCATTCAATGGTGGAAGATTTTCCACGTTCAGCCTCATCGAAAAATGCACCGCCACAGATTCCACCGCAGCCACCGCCACAGTCAACGCCAAGCCTGCAGCGTCATTGTGGCTGGAGCGCCGCAAATGGAAGTCGAAGCCGAAAGTTGAACGTGACTTCAAGATGAAAGGGGGAAAAGGAGTCAAATGCGCCTTTGAGCCGTTGCAATCAATTGTCAGTTCGACTTCAATCCAACACACGGGACAGACTTCATCCCCCCAAGTCTAATAAGTCTGTCTTTTCCGTCCCTGTACTACTACTTCTCCTTCTATTCTTCATTCTGTAATTCCTCCCACTTTCTTCTTCGTCCAGTCGCTCCTTGCTACATTGCCTGCGCCTCGTCTTACGCGCCTGGTCCCAACACGTCAGCGTCTCCGTACCCTCTCTCCTCTGACACGCTTACGCGACTACAAGATGAAGTTCGGACGCCGGCGCGCTCCCCTTCTCCTCCTTCTCCTAGCATCCGTCCTCTCCTGCGACGCCTCCCTGGCCACCCTCCCCCGGGGATTGTCGCCTGCGAAGAATCTCAAGGCCGCCGGCTCGCTGGGAGAAGTTGTCGCGGCATCAGGGGGAGGAGCAGTCGGTGGAACTGGAAAGCCCCTGGGAACGGAACATGCACCTGTTGATGGTCGAGATGGCATGCCTCACGAGGGACCATTCGTCGAGACGACAGGAGAGCGATCAAGAAAGAAGACCCTGGCGTCTAGCCTGGATGATGATCTCGAGGTAGACGATTCTAAGATCAAGAAGACTTACTCCGAACAATATTCCGATGCAGACATACCGGTGTCCAACGACGCGGTCATGGATGATCGGCTCAGATCCAATCCCGCCGAAGGAACGAGAGGCGTGGAAGGCGGCATCTCCGAAAAATCCAAGGAGAGCAGACTCACAGACAAGAAACCTGATGCTCCCAAAGACGCCAGGCCACTGCCGCATAGTGAGGTGGAACACATCAAAGAAGTCGACGGCTCTGAAGTGACAGGGGCATTGGAGGAGGATTCTAAGAAGGTTCTTGCGGTAAGTGGGACGTTCTATCTACCATCGTACGCTCAAGAGACTCATTTGTTGCTTTGCAGGCCCCGACCGACCTTCCAGAAAAGCCCTATGACATCCCACACCCTGAGAATCCGTCGTCGCCGAAAGACACCACGCTCTCCTCTGAGACTGGCAGTAAGCTTTCCAAGTCGAAGGAACCCGACAGCGCTGTGATCCGACCGATGCACTCACTGGTCCTGTCGTTCATGATGATCCTCGTTTCCGAGGTTGGCGACAAAACATTTTTGGTGGCCGCTCTCATGGCCATGCGTCACCCTAGGGTTGTGGTGTTCACAGCCGCCTTCTCTGCTCTGATCACCATGACCGTTCTCTCCGCAGTTCTGGGCCATGCCGTCCCGACATTGATCCCAAAGTGGCTCACAAATTTCGCCGCTGCAGGTTTGTTTCTCGTCTTTGGAGTGAAGATGCTCCTGGAAGCCCGAGCAATGAGTCCGGACGAGGGTGTCAGTGAGGAAATGAAGGAAGTCGAAATGGAGCTGGAAGAAAAGGAACATCAACAACGACGAATGTCCCGACGTCGATCATCCATTTCTCCGTACGCTCTAGAAGCAGGTCGCGCTCCAATCGGACGCAAGCACACGAACGGCCGCCTTCCCTCTCCGCCGGAAAGTCCCGCCAGTTCTCGAGAAAGCTCTCCCATTCGTGGATCGATGCTCAACAACGTTCTTGCCGGGGTCAACAACCTGTGCTCCTTACTCCTCAGTCCCGCTTGGGTGCAGACCTTCATCATGACCTTCCTGGGCGAGTGGGGTGACAGGTCACAGATTGCGACCATCGCCATGGCAGCTGGACAGGACTACTGGTGGGTGACTGCTGGTGCGCTCGGAGGACACGCCATTTGTACCGCCGCGGCCGTGTTGGGCGGCAAGGCGATTGCTGGAAAAGTTAGTCTGAAAACAGGTAAGTTTCTGAAGAGCTGTCCGTTCCATTTCTTTGCAAAATTGCTCCATGCTGACATTGTCGCTACAGTCACCATGGGCGGCGCGATTGCCTTCTTGGTGTTTGGTATCCTTTACCTACTAGAGGCCGTGTATTGATTTTCGGACTACTTTGGGTAATGTGGCTTGTCTCAAACTCGCCTTACACCGGAGACCATCGCACCGGCTTGTATTACCACCGGAGCCGGCATGTCGCTGCTCACCGGGAAAGACCAGAAATCCTTTCGAATTGGTGTTTCTTTGGTGGCAATGTCAAACCAAAAGCGGGCCCGACCTCAGAGTCCCTGGAATGAAAGGTCCGCCATGGTGCAAGTACGACTTTTCGATTAATGGGATGGGAAGGCGTGTAACCAACAGTTGGAACGGGACTATACAATGATTGCCCCGGGGACGGAGTGAACACATTGTACAACGCCTTTTACCACGCCCACCACGGACAAGGTTCAATTTCTGAACTCTTTTCTTTGGCATGACTCTGATGGTCACTGCTACTCGACCGGACGGGCCATTTGGACTGTCAGATGAGTATTTCCTTTCGATTGCATAGCGACGGTGTAGGTTTCTATATCGGGACCGGGACCGGGACCGTTCCTGGGGTTATGATCGGAGCTGGAGCTGAGGCTGGGTTTGCGCTTGATATCATCAAGGAGGCAGACTTGTAAAGTCGCCTTGCGGTTCAGGGGCTAGTTGGTCTTCGCGCGCGGTATCGGGGCATGGAAACGCCCAGCTCCATGTTGTTATTATGAAGGATTGCTAATCAATCAATGAGATCATATGGGTTCCATTGAAGTTGAGTTGACTTGAGTTGAGTTGGCTCCGTTGGATTATGATCAAATACCCGTACTGGAGTTCCATCTCACTCGACCCTTCAACCCTGTGACCTTGTAATGTTTCAGCCCAGACAGACCCGATCCATTCCATACATGCCATCCCTCTTGATCAGGTAGATGGCTGGCGACCGGTGTCACTGCTAGATCAGGTCTCGCGGGTGGGACACCACAGACCTTGAGAACAAGAAAGACCAGAGCTGGAAAATTCAACGCACCAGATGTCGGAACAGAAAAAGGAAAAGAAAAGGAAAGGGAAAGGAAAGCAGGTTACAACACATGGATCATTTCATTTGATTTCATACTGTAGAGTCCACTTTCTGCAAGACCACGCACGCTGCTAAGGGAAGGAGACACAACAAGAAGACCAACACCAGCAGTCCTCAGATCTGGCTTTTGCTGCCTTTGTCCGCTGAGCCCTGCGCTGGTCTTTCGCGTCATGTCATGTCGTATCGTATCGTAGCATATCCAGACCACTCGCCTGGTGTTTCGGCCCTATTTCGCCATGCGCACACCGAACAAGAACTCCCCAAGTCTCAGTCTCAAGATTACCTTGACAAAGCCATTACCCGTGCTTCGAACTCCAACAAGACATATCTCGATGATTGAGCTCCCCATCCGTGACCGTGTCCGTGTTCGTAAACCATACCGAGAAGAGAAGACAAGCATAAAACAAAACAAAACAAAACAACACACAAAGATGCATTCAACCAAGACGCAGACTTGATTGCCTCTCTGGTTCCAAAAGAGAACTTTTCCGTGATACCAGTATGGAGTGATACTGATCAAAGCCAACCCCGACGGAGCCCATTTCCTGTCTTGGCCGTAGCCTTGCAGCCTGACCGCTTGGCTTCGTGTGCGCCCGGTGTCCTCGAGGTGTCCCTTGACAAACAAAAAATGCTAAAGCAATGCCCGATTTCGACAGTTTCTTCATTCATACAAGACTCGGTGTCTCTTATCGACTCAAGTGACAAAAGAGGAGTTTGGTTGTTCGCGGTGGAAAAAGGTGTGACTCGAGACACAAGGCTGACCGGCGAGACGAGTGCTCAAGCTCTCTGCTTCGGACGACTGAGCATGTTCAAGCGGCTGAGACTCAGGATGCCTCTGTTCTTGCGATCCTTAGCATTATTCTTAGCCATCTCGCGTGCCGAGCTTTGTCTCGGCTTCTTGTTCTTGGTTTCGACTTTGGCAGCCGGGTGCTCGGCCTTGTCGACTCGAAGTCGTTTGCCGCCGCGCTTTTCACCTTCGTCCGGACTCTCAAGCGCCGGGCTATCCTGCCAACCGCCCGGGACGGCACGCATGACCGAGATCCGACGGTTCTCCTTCGCGTCGTCGGCATTGGTGTCCGAATCCGCCGAGACTGTCGACTCGCGCCGACGTTTCTTGCCAGGCAGCCCGTGAGGGACGGTCTGGACCTCAGTGTCTTCGAACGGCTGCACGATCTCAGTCACGCCGGAAGTGCGGACGCGCCGGATAGTGGAAGGAGAAGGCCTGGAGAAGTTGTGGTTGCTAGGAGATCGCATGACTCTGTTGGCATGCGTGGTGGAATCGGTCTGCTTCACCGTGGTATTGACTGAGGTCAGTGTGGATGGAGCAGCTGCGCGCGACGGGTGGTGCAAGGTGGTGAAAATTGACTTGAATTCGCTAGACTCGCGACGGTTGTGATCTTTGGCCGTTGTAGAAAAGACTCCTTCGTCCTTGGCCAGGGATGGGCTCGACGAAGCTGCTGGCAACGTAGGGTATCCGATCTCGCTCTCGGCATCCTCCCAGTCCTCGTCACCATCTTCATCTTGGATAACGTATGCAGCTGGATCGTACGGTACAGTTGGCGGTTTTCCAGGGGTGAGATGCGGTAATTTGGCTGGACTAGGGCTCCCTGCTGCCAGTTTGACAGCATACCGGGACTTGACGCTCGGGGTGAAATCAACTTTCTTCACAGAACCAGTGCCAGAGGTTGCGCTGTCGGAGTTGGAATGCTTGGGAGTGGATTGTTTTTGTTCAGTGTGCGCTGCAGTATCTGCTTTTCGTCCAGGGCGCAAGATTGATTTAAGGCCGGCAAACTTCGGAAGTCTGGATGAGAAGCTCTGAGCACTGGCGAAAGCAGACATGCCGGTTCGATGCGGCGATGCCATGTCGGGACGAGCTGCAGTTGAATCGTCCTTCGGCAAGGCCGGATACGGTCTATCCAGATTCAGATACTCGGTCGATAACAGCTTGGATGGGGATTGTGTGGATATTCCTGCCTGTGCAGCAGCTGGTCTAGTCTTTGGCACTGTCGACGCTGTCCTCAAAGATTTGACAGAGGCGGTGCGTGTCAGACCGGGGACTTTGTTGGGCGAGGCAACCGGAATCTGACTTGTGGTATTTCTTGCCAAAGACGCTTTTGTAGGGGACAGCAAACTGCTCGACACGCCTTTCGGAGCTGCGAGGAGCCGTGCAGACTGCTGTACTTCTGCAGGTCGGCCGGCAGAGACATCGTGAAGCTGCGAATGTCGAGCGCGCTTGGCGGGAGTTGTGTTCTCAAGACGTTCTGGTTGAGCAGGGATGGACTTGAAAGGGCTGATTGAAGTTGGGCGGCCAAGGAAAGGCGGTGGGATTCGGCCTGGTGTGCCCTTACCAGCAGTTCGTGGTCGGTCAAGCTCGTCAAGGCCAGCCTTCGACCCACTTCTCTTCAATGACTGTGTCGTGGGCTGAGCGAAGCCTGGTTTTGCTCGATATGCGGAAGGATGATTGGCAATTGAGTCCATCTTCTTGAACTGTGCCATGTGGATGTCGCTGAATCTTCCAGCCTTGCCCTTTGGCTTCGCAATTCTTCGGCCGGAAGCGTTGAGCCCACTGAAGGACGCTTCAGCTTCGTCGTCCTTGATCTGTTGAGCTTCCTTTTCTGCTTGCATCTGCGCCTTGATTCGCGCGGCCTCTTCTCGGACATTATCCATCAGCTTTTGGGCCTCGCTACTCAGCTGCGACTCTGAGCCAAACTTGAAATCAAACGACGTGGATGACAGGTCTGCCGGCATATTCGATCGGGCTTTTGATGGAGTGTTCTGTGCGCTGGCGATAGAATGTCGTGGCTGCGCAGGAACATCGACGAATCCAAGCTTCAGGCCAGAGTCTGGGGCTTTGGTGGTGCTATGATGAAGCAATTCAGGGTGCATCTCGCCTCGATCGGGTCGCGGTTCGGTTCGTGGGGTCTTGAGGCCGGACAGCTTCGAGAGCTGAGACTGAACAGCGTCGGTGGATGCGGGAGTAGCAAGGACATTGTCGATAGATTGTGGCTCTCCAGTATCTGGAGTCTCATCCCGTTCTACAAGTGATTCGAGGTGCGTAGTCGAAGGAGCTTTACGTGGCGTGGCACGCTATCACAGAATTAGTCCATACATACGGATGACGATACCTAGCAAGGCAGCAAGGCAGCAAGGCATGAAAATGGCGTAGCACATGAAATCTGGGGTGCCCTGCGTGGGATTGAATGGCAAACATTACCTGTTTCTGAGTAGCCTTGCTCAATCGTGCAGAGCGACGACGAGGGGTAGCCATTGTGTATGACCATGCAGAGCCTTGAGAAACGCGCACAGGACAGAGGACTGAAGGTGAGAAGGGGCGGGAATTGACTTGTATCAGAGTAGATGGTCCGTGGAGGAGAATGTGGAGGAGGATTGGGCCGCGAGGAGATTGTTGATACTAACGAGAGGGAGTTTGTTTGGGCCAACACATGTACCCTGCAGTGAAGTACTAGTAGTCACAGCTGCGATCTCAATCGATCGATTTGTTTGGGCGGGCAGCTGAATTTGTCCGCCGGTGTTACGTCAGCGATAAACAATGCCCGATTCGGACTCGGAGTGCAGGGCGGACGGAGCTTGGCGCGGGAACGGAACGCGGAGTCACCTGACCAAATGTATCACGTGAGGCTCTTTTTCCGCCCAGTTTCGGACGTTGAAGAGTTTCTCCTCCTGATGCATCCCATCTATCGTAAATATTCATTGTTCAACTTCCTCCACGCCAATCCTTTGGTTCTGTTGCTCATGAGTAGCTTCCAATGGTAAGACTTCTTCGATTCAAAGGACGACCTGGTTTGTTCAAATGTGCGATGGGGCAGTGTTCCACGGCGTCTACACCTGGAATCTCGCTCATATCGATCCCGACTTCGACTTATTATATCCATTAAAGCCTGGTGCTATCAGAACGTCGTGCTCCGGACGAGGCCCATTAGCCTCCCTACCGTTTCGGGATCTTTGGTCTCCCACAGTGCTGGCCTCGTTAACCCCTTCGCTATCATATTAGAGCTGACTCGGGAAATGAAGGACCAAGCTGCAGAGTAGCAGATCGTCAAATTTATGAAGATTGGCACACTTTATATCAATGAGGGCATCGGAACCTACGCCGACTTCGGCACAGACGGGCAGCAGGATCCCAACACCATCATGTTTGGCATCAGTAGTGAGTGGTTTGATCAAGTGACAAGTTTACTTTTGTGGACTCTAGTGGAACGATCGCCGGAAGAGCCTGTGTATGGAACTTGCCGAAAAGAATCGAATACCAAGGCTCCTCTCCCGTCGTCGACCGGATGGGCTTATGGAAATGGAATGAAAGGGCTAGGGCATTTAGAGAGAGAGGGCGAATGTCTGTGGTGGCCATAGCCAGACAAGGCGGGATTTATTCTGTATGTTGGCTCAGTGGTGGTAATAATTATATGCCAGGTAGTACTCAATACGTAACTGCTATCTTGTCCTTCTGTATGCAGGTGGATGTCAGTCGTATCTCCACTTGAGGGTAAAGACCGGAGTAAATGGCCGGTCTCGCCCTAGGTAAGCATATCCAGGGATGCAGCCTCGTACGAAAACACCATTAATACCAACATGATGCCTCCCTTTGAATTGGGTACACCATCAGTCTGTTCATCAAGCTTCACCTGGCCATTTTTATTCACAGAAACGACATTCGCAAGACTGATACCCCGTGTGTGCTAAAGAGGTTATATACACCCACTACCATTTATTACTTGATGTGGTCCGGATGTGCCGGAATTTACTCGGTAGCCACTTGCAAACTTCTCGGACAACTTATTAATCATCTGTGGTTTCTTGACCGTAGCGTCCCCGGATCAGAAATCTCTGACATAATATCCTTTTCCAGTGGTGGAAGAAGGTGAATGTCGGTCATCACCTCTCCCGTTTTTCGACACGGTATATTGAAAATATCCCAGCCCGAGTCAGACGTTATGACCGCTGATAGTAGGAGGGTCCTGCAAACCCCCGTCCGCATCGGTAATTCCCTTGAGGCGGCAATCCTCGATTGAAGTGTCAAGGGTACCTAATGTAGGTCCCCACATTGCCACACCATTTTCCCTCCCAAACTAGCCCTGTATAGCGGGAGCATTAAGTAATATTGGACTATTGTGATTGGCCCTGGCCAACCGATCAACGTCGGACAAGGCTGGACGGATGCGGGACCTGCACATTCCACTGTGATTCCGCTCGCCATCATGACGTCGAAGGGAGCCAGGAGTTGGGGATCGAACAGAAAGTCGCATATGGTATCATCGTGCATTATTGTCCATATTGGTAATCACTTTGCGCTTCCCATTTTCTCTCTTCTCGATAGTAAGGAATTGCAAGGCCCGTTGATTATACTCCCCTTGGAACCAGTCGCTGCCCGAGACTCTGCACACAAGACATTGGCAGTGTCTACGACATCTTTGGCCGGGTATGGCGTCTCGCTCGCCGACTCTCCGCCCGTCGTCCGATCCATTCGGTGCAGATCCTGAGAAAGACGCTCCCAACACTCTTAACCATGTGAACAACAACCAGACGCAAAGAGAGGCCTCTGGCATGGAACCCACGGCGGAGAAGAGACGCTCCTCTCTCAGCTCGGCTCTTCGACGGTTGAGCGTGAATCCGAATGCAGAACCTTTTGGGGAGGACGAGGGCGAGGATGGAGTCAAATATCGTACCTTGAAGTGGTGGTAAGTACAAACCGGGGTGACGCCCTTTGCGCGCAATAATCTTTTTATATATTGACGTCGGCGGCTGATGATCCTTCGTATGAACAGGCAATGCAGTATGAGTACGTACCAATCTTGTGAGAAGACACACATGTGCCTTGACTGAACTGTTTGCTTTTCCTGTAGTCATGATCGCAGAGACCATTTCTCTCGGGATTCTATCGCTGCCATCTGTCTTGGCCACGATCGGGATGGCTCCGGGGGCCATTCTCATTCTTGGTCTCGGTATTGTAGCGACCTATTCAGGATATGTTATCGGGCAGTTCAAAGCCGCACACCCCTGGGTAAGTGCCATGGACATGACTTGTCATCCGTAAACAAACCTGTATCTGCTGAGTACGAGCTGACCATTGAAAAAAAGGTCCATAACATGGCTGATGCCGGATATGTCCTATTCCAACCGCTGGGACCACGCTGGGCTGCCGTTGGCCGCGAGGTCTTCGGCGCAGCCCAAACAATCTTTCTCGTCTTCAGCATGGCTAGCCATATCTTGACCTGGACCATCTGTCTCAACACTCTGACGGATGGTGCGGCCTGCACAATAGCTTGGGGTGTTGTGGGTCTCGTTATATTCTGGATTTTCGACATACCACGGACATTGCTGAAGGTCTCCTGGCTCTCTTGTGGCAGTTGTCTCAGCATCACTTCCGCCGTCATTGTCACCATGGCCGGGGTCGGCGCCAGAGACCCAGCTCAAGGTCACTTCCGCGCCACGCAGTCGCCCACGTTTATCACGGCATTTTCTAGCGTGACCAACATCGTCTTTGCATACGCCGGGCATGTGGCGTTCTTCAGCTTTATATCTGAGATGAAGGATCCCAAGGACTTTCCGAAGGCCTTAGTTGCGTTGCAGATCTCCGACACCGGCATGTATTTCCTCGTGGCCATGGTCATTTACGCATACGGAGGTGATCAGGTCGAGTCGCCGGCGCTGGGTACAGCTGGTCCAATTGTCGGAAAGGTGGCGTGGGGCCTGGCAATACCTACCATCATCATCGCTGGAGTGATATATGGCCATGTCGCCTCGAAGTACATTTACGTGCGGCTCTTCCGAGGCACAAAGCACATGTCAAAGCGGACGGTGCTCGCGGTGGGCAGCTGGCTTGCCATTACGCTGGTATTGTGGGTGGTCGCCTGGATCATTGCTGAATCCATCCCGAACTTCAATAATTTGCTGTCTCTGATATCGAGCTTGTTCGCCTCTTGGTTCACGTACGGGATTTCTGGCATCTTCTGGCTCTTCCTCAACAAGGGCCAATACACCAAGAATTGGCGGAAGATCTGCCTGACTGTTGCGAATCTGTTGTTGTTCGGACTGGGTGCTGCCATTTGTGGCATGGGTCTTTATGCCAGCGGCACTGCCATCAGCAATGAGCCGGGAGGAAACAGCTGGACCTGTAAGAGTAATGCAGAGTAAGGTAGAGGAGGTCGTCATGATATCGTGTAATTTGATACCACTCTTTTCCCATACAATATGAGACAGATGGATTGTTCTCTCCTCAGAGGAATCTGTTGGTCGGTCCATTGAGGCGGGCTTGCAAGCAAACCAAGCTGATGTTTCATTCTTTCATCGTGACTTCGATCGGGAGGCTTCCCTGTAGTCATTGATGGCACAGAATCAGCTGATGTCCATTGTCACACAGTGTCTGTTCCAGTGCAGTGATATGCACAGTCTTGAGTATCTGTGACTTGTCTCTTGTCTCTTGTCTCTTGTCCTCGCCTCACCTCACCTCATGCTGCCACTGCTCACGCACCTTCACTCAGATGACACCGACTTTGTATCCGCACAAGCGTAATGTCTAAGAGAAAAGGAGAAGTTGCAGAGCCGGATCACTATTCGTTCGCCGACCGCGCAAACGCACCAACGGGCGCAGGAGCGAAGCGACAAGCGACAGATGATCGCGCAACTGCCTGGAAGAGGTATGAAACGATGGGGAATTCGAAGCCAGTAAAGACTGCAGGGGCCTTGAAGCCGGAGCTACAGGGGGAAGAGACAGACCATGCCACAGCCCACCAAGCCTCTAGTCGTGGGAACGACGCCCGGCAGAACAGCCCCGGCGGCAAACAGACTGCGGCTAGACATACCAGGATCCTGCCTAATTCGAGAAAATTCGAAGAGGACGAGAAGTCTTGTCTTGCTGAGCAGAATCACCGACAACGAGACCAGCAACAGCGACCGAAGCACGATAGAGAACTACCACCCGTGTCCCAAGCCCCCAAAAGTCCCCTGAAGGCGAGTCTGAAAGCAACAATCGGCAAGCTGCACCGCCCATCCGCACGCTCTACCTCCTACACCACTCCTCTCCCGCTGTTGGGCGACGAGTCAAACCTAGAGGCGGGAACGACGGCAGCTACGCAGGCACCCTTGACTGAGCAAAACCTTCGAAGTCTCCTACACTCACTGGAGAATAGCGGCGGCAGAAGAGCTGCTGGACGTGCTGCCGGTGTCAGTGTTACTGATCCCAATCCTGCCCCACCCACATCGGCAACGACTGGTCTAAATCCATCTTCACCATTCATGCGGAAGTCAAAATCCCCAAAGAAGCACGACAAGGACAAGAACAAGAAAAAGTACAAGCACGACTCCGACACGCATCCTTTGAACCTGCCTCCGGACCAACTACGTAAACTCACCGTCCAGATGGCTCGACAAGAGGCTGAGGCTGAGGCCAACGCCAACAAGCAATCAGCGGCCCCAGAAAAAGATGTCCCGGAGACAAACAAGACTGAATTCACCTTGCCCCAGGGCAACTCGCCACCAGGCCAACCGTCCAAAAATGCTCCAGACGCTTCTCCCGAGGCAGCCGATGAAGAGACGACGAACGGTGTCAATGGTCATGACGAGCGAAGTCCGACACCTCCACCGCACCGAGTTCCTCCTGCGCCTAAAGTCGATCCGGAAGCATGCAAGGCCGCAGGTAACAAATTCTTCAAGGCTAAAGATTATGATCGAGCCATCGAGGAATATACCAAAGGTATTGATGTTCCCCTCGTGCGCTGATGCAAACCGACGCTGACATTTGACTTTTCGCAGCCGTCGAAGCAGATCCTTCCAATCCGACCTATCTGTCGAACAGAGCCGCCGCTTACATATCCGCCAACAAATACAGCCAGGCACTGGGAGATGCATTGCAGGCGAGCAGATTAGATCCCGATAATGACAAAATCCTCCACCGTCTTGCTCGAATTTACACCTCTCTTGGTCGACCTCAAGATGCCTTGGACACATATGCAAGAATTCCAAATGCGTCGGCCACAGATACAGCTGCGGCCCACAAAGCCCTGCAAGCCATCGAAGTCGCGGAGAAACAAATCAACTCAGAGGACGGCAACGGCAACATGGCGATCTGGAGCATTGAACAAGCCAGGCAGACGTTGGGACCTGGCACACCCACGCCACGGAGATGGCAGATCTTGAAGGCGCTTGCCAATCTCAAGGTTGGGACTGCAAATGCGCTTGGGGAGGTTCAAGCAATTGCCCAGAGCCTACTGCGTGAGAATCCAATGGATGCTGAAGCCATGGTCCTCGCTGGACGAGCATTCTATCTGAGAGATGAGAAATCTCAGCAGGGCAAGAGTGATTATGAACGTGCAGAAGATTATTTCCGACAAGCATTGTCGCTTGATCCTGACAATGCCGATGCACGGAAATACTTGCGCACAATGAAGAAACTGGACAGAGCCAAGACGGAGGCCAACGATTTGTTTAAACGAGGCAGGTATTCGGAGGCAGTGGCGGCATACACGGAAGCCTTGACAATTGATCCCACCAACAAGGCCACCAATGCCAAACTCTTGGGGAACCGGGCCATGGCCCACATGAAGATCAAGGAATTCGAGGAGGCCAAGGCCGACTGTGATCAAGCGTTGAAACTGGACCCGTCCTACATGAAAGCGCGCAAAACTCGCGCCAAAGCCACAGGAGAGGCCGGTGATTGGGAGCAAGCCGTGAAAGACTGGAAGGCGTTGGTGGAGGACAACCCATCTGATTCCGAGTTGAACAAGGAACTGCGCAATGCAGAGCTGGAGCTCAAGAAGTCCAAGCGCAAGGATTACTACAAGATCCTCGGAGTCGACAAGGACGCTGGTGACAAGGAGATTGAGAAGGCCTACAAACGCAAAGCGGCGGTCCTGCATCCTGACAAGACGATGGGAGACAAGGCCAAAGAAGAAGAATTCAAAGACTGTCTCGAGGCCAAGGAGACGTTGCTCGATCCGCAGAAACGCCATATCTACGATACGGGAGCGGATCTGATGGAGCCTGGCATGGGGGGCATGGGAGGGTACCCTGGCGGAATGGGAGGCTTCGGCGGCATGGGCGGTGGCGGCGGTGGTGTCCAGATCGACCCTGAAATGCTGTTCAACATGATGAATGGCATGGGTGGAGGAGGAGGTGGTGGTGGTGGTGGAGGCGGGTTTAGATACAGCAATGGTGGTGGACGGGGTGGATACTCGCCATTTGGTTGATTGATCATGCTGGGGAAGACGACTTCGAGGTGTACGGATGAGTTGTCTTGTTTGTGGCCGCAATGGAGCATACGGTGACGGATGTACTCTGCGATCCGCAGAGAGGTTGTATGTCGTCACGTCTTTGAAATGAAAAGGAGGCTCCCTCGACCTGGGCTCCAATGGCTCAACAAAGCAACACTCGAGGGAAAGCAGTCTCGCCTACGAGGTCCGTTCGGACTCATCAGCAAGCGAATTCTGACAAAAAGCACTTGCTTCCAAACGGAGCACGCTTGCCTGGGAGTCTGGGTGGTGCAATCAATGACCTGGTCCTTCACCACCTCCATCATCCACCTCGACTCTGCTAGTCACGATCACGTTGACACGTTGCTGAACAGCAAGAGGCGGCGCAAACACAGCACATGGAAAGCGTATCCTCTTGGTTCTTGCGGACATGCATCTATCACATGCACGACACACTCCTGGAATGGTACCACAACAAGGGCATTGCACGCGGGTGGCGTTGGGCGGTGGTGATCTGCTTGGACATCCAGTGGGCATCCGAGAAGGAAGATAGACGTCTGCAGCATCTGATGGCGTTCTTGGAGAGGGTTTCCTCCGGGATACCTGACTTGACGACTTAGGTATTCAGGACATACATAGACAGGTGCTATTGCACGCACGAATCTAATAGCCGTGGATGATTGTCAGGGATAGAATCAGAATGCAATAGTTGGGTGTGATAGAATTCAATGCACAACCAATACATGTGTGCAAAATGAATCCAAAAGTCCATTCTTCCGACAGGGTCAAGTCCGGCTCCTCCCTGATGGGGAGGACACACCGTCCCTTGCGTTGTGACAAGGTATATATACTGGTCAAGTAGTCAATAGCATGACTGCAGGATAGCATCATACACCAGGTGTTTGAGTCACATCGAATGGGCCAGTCATCATAGACAGTATCCGATAAACAGACAGCGCTGGTGGCAGCGTCCGCAAGAGACAGAAGTTTGACCTTCAAAGGAGAGCGAGAGAGAGAGAGCAGCTCTTCAATTAATAGTTCATTCGTCTCATCATTATCCTGGGCGTCATTCATTTCATCGCCCGGCCCTCATACTCCGCTGCAGCCTTTGCCTGGACGCTCCGGCCTGAGTGAGCGTACGTGTGGATTCTTCCTCCGCCGCCAACTCGTCCTCACTGGGCTCAGCTTCTGCTTCCTGGTCACCATGCCTCGCCTTATCACCGGCGAGTTTGATGCCGAGGCTGCGCGAGAGCCGAGCATTGAGCTCGTCTTCTTCGGTCTTGACGACGCCTCTGCCACCTCCACCTCCGTCTTCTCCATCTTCCCCGTCGCGGTGACCTTTTCCCTTAGACGACGACACCGCGCCATAGCCATAAACGCTCCTAACCAGCCCCGCGACGCCTCGAACGCCGACCTCGACTTTCCCCCTAGGGCCCGGGGCGAACTCGACGACCTCCTCACCACTGCTCGTGTCCCTGCGCTTCTCGACATATCCTTCACGGATCATGCGCTGCAGCAGCTTCTCCAGACTGCCACACGGCGTGAACGTGTCTGCATTGACGCGCTTCAAGTACCGCTCCAGCTTCTGCTCCGTGAGAGAATTGTTGTTGAGGTAGATCAGCGACAGGATGAACGTGTACAGCGCCGTGTACGACGCCTCGGTCTCGACGCTGGGGGCTCGTGCCGGTTGCACAATGTCCGGATTCGTCTTCAGCTCGGCCGGCAGCACGGACACTAGGATCCAGGCTTTCGAAGACGTCGACGAGGCACTCGATTTCGTCTGCGCCGCTTGGTTGCGGCGGTCTTTGATCGTCGTTTTCTCGCGCGACGGCAGCTCCACGAGTTGCATGCCGAATGTGTCTTTGAGGGTTTGTTGCGCGCCGTCGAAGACCGCTTTGAAGCCGCGGCCTCCGGCGTTGCTCTCTTTGAAGACTTTCGCGGTGATGTCGGTTCGGCGCAGAGGCGTGCGTGAGTACTCTGTGGACAGGGCGAGCCGGACTAGTTTCTTGATCAGGGTGTTTATTTGCACGTGGCTCGTGGACGGCTCAGATGGCGCGGAGGAGGCTGACGATGCGTCGGCGGATGAGGATGACGAGGACCGTCTTCGCCGACGGGTGGGTTGGGTGCGTGGGATGTCGTTTTCGGATTCGGATTCGGGTTCGTGTGCTGGGTTGGGGCCATCGCGTGATATTGCGCCTGATCGACGCTTGGTGGCTGGCATTGTAGAGAGCAGGAGGATAAGGATCTAGACAAGGGCTGTAAGTCGAGATTGAGATCGACTGGAGGAGAGTTGGTGGACGGAGAACGACGAGGAACTTTGCTAGAGTTGTAACGAGGTGCAGTGTACGGAGGTGGTGGCTGATTTGGATTGCTTGCTCCAAGAATTAGTGACACAGTATGTAGACAGTGAACATATAGAGTGGTGGTGGTGGTGGTGATGCTTCAGCCGCATACACGCAGTGGTTTCCTTTGACGCGTCTGTTCCCGATACGCGTCGGGCGATTAATTGCTGGTCTTGGGGCGACTGTGAGCAAGAAGTCACGTTCTTGACACGTGACATACTAAGTGGATTACAGATTATTTGCAGCACCTTCAGCACTGGGCTTGGCAGTCTTAGCTAAGGTACTAGTACTGAACCGGCAATAGTTCCCTACTAGTAGTACATACACAGTCTAAGGTTCGACGAGTCGATGTCGACAGAGTCACATTGCTTCCAGAAGATCTTAAGCTTACGTATGTACCTTCCCTACCTAGGCCGGGTAGGTACTGAGTTGCTCTGTAGAGCCCTACACAACTCACACAACAGTCGTCAAGCTCAGTATATCTACAGTGTTGGAGTCTTTCATGGCATACAAGGACAAGAATAAGAGCCAAACATCGAGGATGGTGAGCGCCCTCCCTTTTCGACAATCTAAGAGTATGCTCCGATGTACAGTACCCTTCGTCCATAAGGTGTGTATCAGTCCTCGAGCCTGTCGAATGACGCGGCAGACTCCGCTCTCCCGCCAGGTACTTGAAAGTTGAAACCTCCCTTCCTAGCCAGCCGCGCAATCACACCAACGAGGCTGGGTGCGACACGGAGCATACGCTACCCCCGGTGATCGCCCTGAGAATTGACAGTATGGGGTGAACAACGAGGCTCCATTGCAGCCAGATACCCAGAGCGTTTGACCAATGTGGTCGTTGCTAATTCCAAGACAAAGTTACGTCTCCTCATATCGTGCAACTGGCCTTCGACGGTGACGAGTCCCCCTGAGGCGTATTGTTGTGGGTTGTCTGGGACGATGACAGTCGTGTGCAATGCGCATTCGAGGTCCTCCCATGCGTAGCTGAGCAACCACAACATAAATACAGGTAGGGCTCCCCGGACTTGAGGACTCCTCCAAGTGCCTACTTCGAGTTGCTTTCACCCGTGTCTTTTTTTTTCATCATGGTCTCTTTCTCGTCTCTGTGCACTGCCGCCCTGCTGGCAAGCTATGCAGCAGTCATGGCACATCCCGGCCACAACGTGGCCGAAGAGGCTGCGGAGCGTGCAGAGTTCTTCAAGCGCAACCCGAAGACAATCCGATCTTGTGCGAGCAAACTGAAAGCTCGGGGCCACGAACAAGCCAATATCGCACGCCGCCAGGCGTTGGCCAGGAACATTAGGGCCAAGCGTGGCCTGTCCACCAAACCCATTGTTCACCGTCGCGATTTCAGCTCGTACAATTTCACTCATTTGGTCGACGATCCGACCATCTCCACCGGCCTGGATGAGGCAGTCCTCTTCGCAGACAACTCGTCGTGCACTCTCCAGACCGATGTTACTCAGGGACCCTACTACGTCACCGGTGAATTGGTCCGCGAGAACATCACCGAGGACCAAATAGGCATTCCCCTGACGCTGGACATCCAAGTAATTGACACGTCAACGTGCGAGCCCGTCCCTGCGCTGTACATGGATCTCTGGCATTGCAATGCCACCGGAGTCTACAGTGGAGTGGTCGCCAGCGGGAACGGTAACACCAACGACACGGCCAATCTCAACAAGACCGCCTTGAGAGGAATTCAACAGACCAACCGCAACGGCATTCTCCAGTTCGAGACCATCTTCCCCGGACATTATACAAGTATGCTCTCATCATCGAGAAGATGAAAAGGGAAGACAACTGACACCATCGCAGGCCGAGCCACGCACATCCACATCCTCACCCACAACCCTAATTCGACCACCATCCGGGTCAACGACACACTGCTCGATACCAATGCTACCACAGTGCGCGCTTCGCACGTCGGGCAGCTCTTCTTCGACCAAGATCTCATCACGCAGGCCGACACCATTGAACCATACAGCTCGAACACGCAACAAGTCACCCCGAACTCGGTCGATTCAATCTTGTCTGAAGAGGCGGACACCACCGATCCTTTCGTCGAATATGCCTTGCTGGGCGACTCCCTCGAGGACGGCATTCTGGCATGGATCAGCATCGGCATCGATCCAACCGAGGACAGCGAAATTACCAGCGCCGCCGTTCACTACAAGGACGGCGGAGTTACAAACAGCGACGGCGGGATGGGCATGGGAGGTGGTGGCGGTGGTGGTGGCGGTGCACCGAGCGGAAGCGCAATGCCAGCTGGCACTGCGGTGCCAACCATGTGAGGTATATCAAGCACCTGACCGTCGACCACTTGGACATGGAAGAAGAATAGATGTATATGATTTTTTTGGCCCCTCCTTCCTCGTCACTCTCATTGCACTTCTATATAGCCAATCAATCCTTTGTAGTGAGTCCGACACAACAGCTATTAGTCACCCCGGCGTCGGGTTTCCTTTCAAGTTGTGCGTGACATGATCAACCACCAGGTCCACCAACCACTGCCACTCCTACACTACGTACTCATCGATCTATGTAGGGTAGCATGGCTGTGACAACGCAAAACGGCAGGAAGTTGTTGCGATGATAGCATCAAGACTTGACGAAGCCAAAGACACCGTTGAATTTGGAGAAGGACAAAAGTCTGGCAATCCCTCGCCCGAGCACCATGCACAGCGAGGTACATCATACCCCTTGAGCCTGAGCTGGAGTCATGCTCAATGGCCCCAGTGATAGAGTACAGTCCAGCTGTTCGTCATCATTGGAGTCCGGCTGAAGTAATTGCTCCATCCAGCCATCGCTGCTTGAAGGGAACTGATATTCGAGTTGCGCAACAGGATGAGAGTCGAACTGCTGGACCATGGCCGACGACGACGTTGAGGTAGGGTCACCGCCGACGTTTGGTTGCGTCAAGACCTCGCGGGCAAACTTGGCCACTTGATTTCTGGTCACCATTGCTCGTGGCCAGATGTGGCCGAACGACCCCAGTTCGTTGTAGTCTTCGTCGGGCCCGGGCAGAGGCACGTCCGTGGGAATGGAGTATGTTTTGAAGCGCTGCGCTTGACCTCCGACGACGGAGACCATGCTCTCGATCACGAGGAGAGTCCACCATGTGCGGCGCCATGATTCTTGCAGGGTGGGATTGCTTTCCCCGTTGCGGATGGCGAAGCTGGCCCGGTTCATTCCAAGCCGTACTGCAATCTCGATGGCTTTGTCCAGAGCCGCAACACCGCCTTCTTGGTCAAACCTCGAGTAGCATACAAAGGCATACAGCAGCAGGCCCTGGACTTTGTGTCCGTCGTCGGGGACATCGTCGGAGAAAATGACCTGTGCAGCTTTCCCTAGTGTGGCGCGATTGGCTTGTGGGAGATAGTGGCTGGCCAGATATCGAATGACCGCTCACACCGGGTACGGGATGGACAAAGGGCTCTCGAGAAACATTTTCCTGGGTACGACGAAGGGGTGGGCATGGTAGAAATGCTTGTAGAACAGGTCATTCAGGTTCGTGGACTCGGCCTCGGTCTCGGCCTCCAGAGCTAGACTGGTATCTCGTGGGATGGGCATGGTGGGACTGCTTTGATTGCTGGGACTGCTGGAGTTCTGCGCCATCTCCAGGACCGTGTTTTGGTATTCGGTCGCTTCGGACGTAAAGCCAGGGTCCGCAGCTAATAGCTCTTGGAAGGAGGCTGCCTGTGCCACTGCCTGGTTCGGGTCAACCTCTTGCCAGCCTCGGAAGCCATCAATCTTTGGTGGCGTCGGCGCAGGCTGAGACTCTTGGAAGACCTCGCTTGCATCTGACTGCTGCCGGCGCTTATCGTCATGTGCGCCCGGCTGCTTGCGATATTCACGATACCCGCGACGGGATTCAACCCAGAAACAATTCCCCTTGCGGCCGGCACATCTGCTGCATAGTGGCGTTTGGCCATCGCATTTCAGGTGGCTTCTCCGGCAGGGGATACAGGCCAGTAGGCTTGGGTGCTGGGTCCGGGGTTTCAGAGACGTCGCGGTCGACTCTGGGCCTGACTTCTCACTGCACGACATTTGTACCTCCTGTATGCGACCTTGTGATTGACCTGCAGAACTAATCGTGACAGGCGACTGGAAGGAAAGAAATTCATGTCAAAGCCTACAGTAAGAATGACATCAATGGCCAAAATACTCTCACTTTGCATCAGACCGAAGAGGTCTTCGTCTGTGCCTGGGAACATTTTTCTGCTCAGGCCCCAAGCGATCAAGTACCATGAGGTCGGTCACGGAGCAGCGGCAAACGCCGAGACCGTGGAGATCCAGAAATGTCTAGACGTAAGTTGTTACTAAGTTTGAAAGACTAGGCGAGTCTCACGATTCATGCACAGCAGCTGAACATCTGTAGCATCTGTAGCATAGTATGCCCTTGATGACTCCCTCCTCACCGGTCGGGGACTACGTGGGGACAGAGTTTGGTCTGGTCTTGTTTGGGTTTAGGTGCCGAGGCGGATTATGCTTGAGTGGACGTCCGTGCCAAGACTTCTCGGGGACCAAGATTCCACCTTTGAGTTATCGGCGTCTAGAATGCTACACTCTCCTCGTAACTCCTAAGAGTATCACTACCACTCTAGCCATGAGTAAGGCCAGACGTGGGATAAGAAGAGTGTTGTTAGCATTTCCTGACCTTCAAGCAGAAGCGCATGAGAGGGATATTCTAGGAATGCCGCCCTTCTGATCCTTCTGCGCGACCCTCTTCATATGTGGCCGTTGATCGACCTGGCTTCCTTCAATGGCCCGATAATATTGAATGAAGTCGCGCCAGGCGCCTCGCTTCCTCTTTGGTGTGTCCGGTCAGAGCTAAATCCTGCCATACATACCTGTTTCATTGTCGGTTCAACAGCGTGCTTTAGGTAGAACGAGCGAAGGTCGAGGATCCGCGCCCAATCTGTGCATCAATGATACAAAGCCTCCAGCGCGCCACTCGACAGGCATGAATGACTCCAACGACTCTGATGATGCCACTGGCATCGCAGCTTATCTTGCATCATTGCTGGAAGAGCGGCTCTCTGTCATCGAGTCAGTATATTTACAGTCGCCTAGAAATATCCAAATAATTCTCCGACGCCAACTGGGAAGGAACCTTGGTAAGAAGGAAGAAGGTGGTCATCAGCCAGTCTGTCGCATCCAGGGCGAACAAGCCCTGCTAGAGGCATTGCGCCTGCTACCTTTCGCAGATGCTCTATTCACACTCGCTCGCATTTATGACGCGGGCCATATTGCGCTCTGCAAAGACTACGGCTCAGCGAAAAAGGGCAAACCTCATAATGTTCATTTTGTCAGAGATCCATGCATTGATGTCAGCCGCCTCACAGAAGGAATTCTACAAGACCAACAAAAGCGCCATGATGAAATCAGACTAGTCACCGGTGATGGGCTGCCAAATGTTCTCGAGGCTACTTGGATACCGGTCGCTACAATGAACTTCGATCATCTGCCAACCCTTGAGTCCCTCTCGGAAATACTGCCTGGTGAAGTCTCTCCCGGTAAGGAATATGCTGGCATTGGAGGCGGGGGAGGCTCAGACATAATTAGTGCAAGTCTCGTGGGCCATCTTCTTCGGCGAAATGGCAAAGAAATGGACCTTCTCGTCTCCACCCGAACATGGCGAACCGGTTCACAAGGCAAGGCAGGCTCGAAAATAGGCGTCAAGCGCGAAGTGCAACATCACGGCGGACCTGCAATGCTAGCTGGCAATGCTATTGCGGGGACCTATCATATAACACCGGAGACCTCGACGGAAGGCCGCGACCTCGAAACAGTCCCTATTCAGCACCATAACAACATTTATATCGTCCTCGACCAAGGTGAGGAGCCAGATGGAATTCCTGAGGACGAAAAGGCAGATCTGCCTCAACAATTTCGCGCTGTTTTGTCACAATGCTCCAAGTTGGACACGGTCATCGTTGTCGACACAGGCGGAGATGTATTCGGTGGTGACTTTGTAGGATTCAGCACGCCTGACCAAGATGTGAGAGTTCAGCGCGCGGTAGCCCAACTCCGCAACACGTATCCAAATCTGGTGACCGCGGTGCTGGCTCCGGGTGTGGACGCGCCTGCTGATGCGCCAGAGAAGGCTAAGCTGGCTGGTGGCAAAATCTACAAATTGACCGCCGAAGAGCGGGATCTCTTGCTCGATATCCTCAGTGGTGAATATCGGATGGACGGCTCGGACCCAGATCGATTTGGCAAGACAAATCTTTGTCTCCAGGCGGCATTGAAGGGTGAGCGAGGCTGGACGTGTTTGGATCTTCCCACGCATGTCCTGGATACATGGGACAACCCGTGGAGCTGTTTCGCATATGTCCGGGAATGCATGTGCGACCTTATACTGATGCCGCTGCAGGATCTGTTGCCCCTGATTGATCCGGGAGCAGTGTGAGACTGTCTGTCGCCTTTTGTAAAAGGGTGGATGCAGACTATCAACAGAGAGTGATATCGGGTCATCCAATCAGTCTAGCTGTCGACTCAGATGAGTTTATTTCAACCAGTCACTGCGAACCGAAGGCCACCATGACGCGACAGAAACAGGCTCACCATCAGCATCCTTTTTTACCTAATTCTTCTGGTTAGCAGTGGCAAATGGCTGCTTGCATCAACGCGTCCTAAGCTGCTTTCCCCTTCGCTCCTGGATGAAGTGGAGCATGTTGATCTTCTGCAACGAGACCGCATGATTCCAATGAGAGTGCTTGAAGTCTCCGAGCTTGAACTGCAGCGCAGATGTCTTGGTCACCCCACGCTCAGCCCCAATCCTCCAAGCAGACAAGATACTTCATACTCAGGGGATGTTCGAGGCCTCGGTGCGAGATGCACAATCTGATCGCCTGCCACAACTTTTCTGCTGCTTCAACGTTGTGGTGTGGATCCTGTGTTATGACCGCTAGCCGACGTTGTGCTCTGGCACCCGTGAACAGACCGCTGCAAGTCAGATCGACAAATCTCTCATAATCCTCCAGTACGAATGCAAAAGCCGCACGTACTATCTTCTCCCCAATGGCGATGCACTCTCGTCCGCGTCCGAGGTCAAAGAGCACCTCGGCTAGCGTGTCCCAGAGCTTCAGTGTCCGCAAATCCTCGGGGCCCATCTCATGCTCGCAGTGCTCTGCGAGCTCACAAATCTAGGATTCGGCAAGCTCCAGGCTATCCAACCCGATGGTCAACTGCATATACTCGAGTCGTATACGGAGCGTCGAGTAGTGCAGTCGCCCAAGAGCATCGGCGAAACTGTCGATGGCACCTCGCCATACTAACAGCAGATAGGGTTGGAAATCGAGACGAGGAGCCCGAAGCAGACGGACAAAAACTTCACTAACTGGGTGCTCGGCACCGAGACGCATGCACGCGAACGACCTCAATTGCCGGAGTACGATCATGGCGACTTCGGCGCGGCGTCGTCTGATGAGGTGGATGACAAGATCGAAGAAGGCCGTCTGCATTCAAGGGTGTTGTGCTTTGATGAGAGTTTGGAACCCAGAGGAGGCGCGTCGGAGCACGAGACCGGCTTCATCCGCACGGTCCGTGTCGAGTAGCTCACATGCCAGGTCGTGCGCTGTATAGAGACTTGAGACCGAGCATGTCCTGGGCGTTGGGAAGAGTGCTGTAGACGTCCACGGTCACCCCGCGCATCGACCATGAGCTCCCGGCAAAGGAAGAGGCAAAGTAGTGACCAAGCCTTTGTAGCATCTCCAGAGGCGCTGCATGGCCGAATGGCCGCGCCGGGCTATTGGTGCGTGGAGGCGTCGTGTAACCAAGTTTGTTGCGGACTGATGGAATCCTCTTCTACGATGAGTCCGCGTGGGCCGACAAGGCAGCCATAAATTCGCACTCGGAGCGGTACTTGCGCTAGAGGTAACGTTCAACATTCACCGGGATCACGTGGCCTGCGGAGTCTATGGAGTGGAAGAATGTCTGTTTCCCGTCGGCAGCAGCTCTTCTTCTCGCGCTGCGAGCCATCACCCGTGCAAGCTGGCCATGGACGTGTTTGTGGAAACCCCACTTGGCAAGTCGACTTTTGTACATGCTAGGGCTGAACGGGCGACCGACGCCAGCTAAACCCGTACCTTCGAAAGGCCGGGCGATGCGAGCGTTTACGTCGCTTTCAGTTGGAATTGGCTTTGCATGATCTGCGAAAGTTCTCTCAAAGTCTTACCCTCGTCAAGTAAATGCTTTCGGATGAGGGGCTTCGCCTTCTCCCAGACAGCCTCGTCCTGTGTCCATTGCATATTCGTCATATTGACCGAAGGAATGTGGGAAAGCCCAAAGTTCGGTGTTAGGCTAGTATTCATGCCTGTCGCGTGATGGAGGGACTAGCAGCCTCAGTCCATATGTCTCTGTCAGTGACTATAACTACCTCCCTCACCCCTCCAGCAGGTGTCAGCCTCCCTGCTTGGCAACACATAATGTTCGAGCCTTTCAGGCCCCTATTGACCGACGAGGGCACAGGATTGGGTTACTACAGAAGTATATTGCATTACCCTGACGTGCCGAGACATGCTTGACCCTCATTGGCTCTCTTGTTTCCCTGGAGGTAGCATGTTTCCAAGAGGTACATGTGGCGAAGCAAATGATTAAGGTCTGTTTGGCAGACAAGAGTTGAAGACAGCTTCTGCTTTGTTTATTTAAAGGTGAGTATATCCTCAGCGTCTTGCTTCAGATACGGGCAGAAGTACAAGTCTTGCCCTACATCAGCATACCCACATACCCATACACATTGGGTCAGGATTTCAGCATAAATGTTGCACGTAACAGAATCAAGGACCTTCTCTTCAGCAGTGCAAAGCATGGAAACGGCCGCAAGGGCCCGACCATGGAAGAACACAACATCGCCAGACCATGGGCTTCCGGACTCTGCCCTTAGCTCGGCAGACCAAGATGGTGCCGCATCCATGCGAGTCCAAGTTCCACCATTGTCGTCTGCCGGCGATACCAGTATCAGGAACCAAGCTCGCCTCTCAGACGTCATGCTCGGTCAAAGTGTCGACAACACAGACCAGACGATCATGCAGCCACAGGCGGCGGATATGGTCGTCTTCGCGGATCCCTTTGACGAGTGGACAGGGCCAAGCAACTCGAGCTGGCCGACCAACTTGGACTCAGCGGACTGCGTCGTCGAGGACTTTGGCGCACACAGTCCGAATTCAACTCTTGCTGGACAGCATGAGGTTCCTTCAGGGCCGCAGCGACCCCAGACATGTTCACTCTCACATAAGGTCTGTGGGTGCTGCTGCAGCAGATCGAGTCGAGCAGCAGGTCTCAGCAGACTCCAACCGGGATGCTCCAGAAGCCAATCCCACCAATGTCGAATACTGGCCCATTGCCGAGCGATTCCAACTGCCCGGACATCGAATCTCAGACGCGGAGCATAGCCCTGCATTGGCAAGATGGCTCACGGCGCCGCCCGGTTCTGATCCCTACAACATGATCATTCCTGCGAAGCATATGGAGAGAGAGCAGGCGTGCTGCCATTGTGCAGCATATCAGGTCACCAACAACAAGTGCAGGGAAGCAGAACTCGAGCTCGACTCTGCCACAGAATCCATCCCATAGAGCTGTGCCTGCTTGTCTGAGACTGGTAACGGTTGTACCACGTCCACAGGAGCAATACCATCTGATGTGCATGGGTATATGGGTGGGTAGCTTAGCTGTTCGACCAAGTCAAATATCTTGATCTTCTCATTGACCGCCGATTCAGTCATTTCCGCCCCACGTAGTCTCCTAGATAGTTGATCAGAATTCATCAATACCGATTCAGAGGTCGTCTAGAGGTTCCCTAATGGCACTTTCAGGGCTCCTCTCGCCGCCCAGGGAGATTTGCAATCTTTAATATGTATACCTCACGAAGCTTATTGCCAGTGAGCTATTGTTAGCAGGAAGTGCAGATTGTTTTTCGTCACTGATGCCCCGTCAAACGACGCGCGGACGGAATCTTTGGACCAGCAGGAAGCCAAGGGGACGGGGATGGGGATTCTCTCAGCTGCGTAGATAGGATAGATAGGTTGTCAGGCATACAGGCAGACAGACAGGCAGGTAGGAGTATCATACATGAATCTCCAATATCATCGCAACAGCGAGCCAGCACGTTGCTTAATAAGGACTGGGGAGACTGTGAGGGAGGGATGGTTCATTGCTCTGTGGGGGCTGATACGAGTGAGGTGCGTATAAGCAGCGACCTTTGAGCATAGGGCGGCAAGTATCCTCGTTCCAAAGCGGAGACTGCGGGGCCATCTTATCTTATCGGTTGTGGGACTGAGGCTATATTTATACTGGTACGTACATACCTAACTAAGTATTCCAGCCCTCCAGGGGTCTCAGCCTCCTTCCTTGGCCTCACCTATTGCCCAAAAAGGCGAAAACCAAAACCGACATCACATCATTCTCTAGCGTTCTAGCTTTGAATGCATGAATGTGCAACAGATGTGATATATTGCCCAATTCTGCAGTAAGGCCTACCGCCCAAGCCGGTTGGTATGGATCGTGTCCATTCTATATCCAGTCAGCGGTGGAATATCTCTCACCCTAGTACCACTCTGCTCAGGTATACCAGCTATGGCTTCACATCTGTACGACTCCAAACCAAACCACCGCTGCGTGGCTGCTTACCAAACATGCATTGCCCACGCCGGCCATTTTGTGATCAAGCTGAGAAATGCGAGTAAAAGAAACCCAAGAAACCCTGGGGACCATGGAAAAGGCTAAGGTATGTCATGAAGTATAAGGGCCAGAGCCGATGTCTCTGAATGATAGAGTCTCTCTCGCTCGCAAGGTACAGCAGGCAGAGGATACAGAAGAGCCCCTACACCCGCCAGACTAAATAAGTACAAGACCATCTCAAGTCCTGACCATCAAGTCTTTTCTCTCTCCATTCTCTCCGTCAGCTCTCCTAACAGAAGGAACCAACACCTTACGAGGCCCTATACCAGACGACTCTCGATCCAACCATGACAGCCGCAGCACCCTTGAAGAACGTGGCCGTCTTTGGCGTATGTTCTGCAGAAACCCATCCCTACCGCCACCCTCTTTGACAGAAGACCCCATCTTCACAGAACATATTGAACCCAATAAATAAAAAGAGTTGGACTAGACTGACACGAAGTAACTGACATTTCTTAGGCCGGAGGCACCAACATCGGCCACCACGTGGTAAAAGCGCTAGCCTCGAACCCCGACGAGTTCACCGTCTCCATCATCGCCAGGAAATCGACCAAGTCCCAATTCCAGCCCCGCGTGCAGATCCACTACGTCGACGACAGCCTCCCCCACGACCAGCTCGTCGCGGCCCTGCATGGTCAAGACGCACTGGTTTCCGCGATCGGGTTCAGCGCCATCGCGCTCGAGGAGAAGCTCATCGCCGCGGCCGTCGAGGCTGGCGTCAAACGCTTCCTGCCGTCCGAGTATGGTGTCAACAACACCTATCCGCCAGCGAGGGCGCTGTGTCCTGTATTCGACGCCAAGGGGGCGGTCATTGATCTTCTCCGTGAGAAAGAAGAGACGGGGTTGACCTGGACGGCTGTGCCGAATGGGTTATGGCTTGATTGGTGAGTTGTTGTTGTTGACTTATTCGTTCTCTCGCTTGCAAAAACCCTACCTCCTCGATCGACCATGTCGTATCTATGACCACTACAACTAACCCTACCGAACTATGGTCCATAATCGTTACAACTGGCTCGAGACACGAGAATATCTATTACTGCTAATCTGTACAATGTACACTAACAATGTGACTCAAAGGACTCTCGACCCATCCATCAAGTTCGCCGACATCGATATCAAAGCCCACACCGCAACCCTATGGCCCTCTCACAAATCCCAAGCCCACACTCTCTCTTGGTCCACTCTACCCTGGGCCGCCGCGGGAATCGTCCAGATCCTACTCAACCCCGCATCAACCGTGAACAAGGTAGTCCCCATCCGCGCTTTTGAGGCGTCGCAGGCCGACCTTGTTGCTGTGCTCGAGAAAGTCCAGAACACGAAATACACGATTTCGCAATTCGACGATCCCGCTACGCTGATTCCAAGCGCGCAGCGGTCGTGGTGTGACAACAAGGATACAGAGTCTGCTTTGATGCTGGTGAAAGCCGGCTTCTTTCTCGACGGGTATGGGAGTGATTTCGTCAACGAGGCTACGGCAGAATTGGGAAACAAGTCTCTTGAGTTGGAGGAGTTGAAGATGGAGGATGTTATCAGGCAGGCTGTGGAGCGGTGGGCTTGTAAGTAGAAGATCAAGAAGATTAAGACGTCATGAAAAGAAGGACGTGTATTCGACGAGTTGAAGTCAGAACTTGATGAATGTCGAGGATGTTCCGATGATGGCGTCCACTGATGGCATAACTCGTCGGATAGGATACACATTGGGCACTTCCGCAAATTGTCCACCGAGGAAGTGGGCAGGCTTGTAGCCATGATTCATTCATTATTCGTTAGGAAACACCGCGCAGAGTTTCCCCATGTCATTTATATATATATACCTCAGGCAGTATATATACTATATCCAGCCCGAAGCCCTCGACCGAGTCAATACACATCTCCGGGTACGGTTCAGGTTTCAAAGAGTCATGTTCATCGGCATTGGCATTTGGGGCCGCCGAGTCCCAGACATTCCTTTCATGGCATGGCAGGGCAACTCTCTTCAAGTACAAACCGTCCAAATATAATATAATCAACTCCAAACCATGCTCTCAGACCCTGCGTGGTAGTTGAGTTCAAATCTAGTCACACAAGGCGTCTGTCTTATCTCTTTCTTCTCTCTTCTTTTCTTTCTTTCTCTTAATGCGTAATCTTTTCTTCATGCATCACGCTCTCCGACCTCTTCTCCGTCTCGAGGTCATGCACCCGATTCTCCAAATCATGACTGATATAGCTTTCCTTGCTCTTACCCACGACGATCCACGGCGCATGGGTGAACAGGTAATTCATCTCCTCGAGCGGCCGGCGAGCGGTCTCAGGCAGAAACAACCAGAAGAAGATAGCGTTGGTGAAGTTGCAGACGATGAAGAGGATGTAAAACTTATAGCCGATGTTTTTCATCGCGATGGGAGTGACTTGGCCCTAAAATGGACAAAGGAAAAAGATTGTTAGTTTATTGTTTCCTTTTCGTCGTTTCAGAAATTCAGAAACGAGAGTGAAACCCAATGAGTGCCTTAGGGACATAGCAACGCTGATTTGTGGTGTATGTGGGTAAATTCCATGGGGGGGTGTACTTACAATCATGGTATTAAACGCAAAGCTGGTCATGGTCACTATACTCACACCCTTGCTGCGCGTGCGAGTGTCGAAGACTTCGGACGGAATGATCCAGCTCAGAGGGCCACAGGTACAGCTGAAGCTGAAGTTGTACAGCCAAGTCACGACAATGAAACCCCACTGAGCTCCGACGTTTGTTGAGACGCCGGGAGGGAACTTGGCCAGTAGAACGGTGGCGACGATGAACATCACCATGTTGCCGATGTTGCCGCCGATCAGGGGCCATCGACGACCCGTGCGGTCGATGAAGAGGACGGTGCAGAATTGGGCGACGAGGGCGATGATGCTGTTGATGCCTTGGTATTTGAGGGTGTCGGCGCCGGTGATGCCTATTGATTGAGACAGATAGATCTGGTTAGTGAGAAGTTCGGAAATATACAATCAAGATGGGTTTATGGCGCTCGAGGAATGCTTTTCTTGTGACAACAACAACAAACTTGTATTGTAGAAGCTTTTCTTTTCTTGTTTCTTGTGCTAATGTTCAGAATACACATACCAATCTGTCCATAGATCGTCACCGAGTAGTATTGAATGGCCGAGACACCGGTCATCTGCACCGAGGCTTGAAGCGCACAGCAGAGAAAAAGTCTTCGGAATGCCGACCGGTTGGTGAAGAGCTCGAGGTAGGATTTGGCTTCGTGTTCATGTTCAAGGTCGATCGAGCTTTGGATCTGTTCGTACTCCGCGACGACCCACGGGTCCTGTTCATCGCCGTGCGAGTGCAGTTGCGCGAGTGTTTTCAGGGCTTTCTCGCGTTTGCCATGGTCCATGAGCCATCTGAACACAGGTTGATTGCTGTCAGTATACGTATACCTATGCGTAAGGAATATATGGCCCAGATGTCCCAGGCCCAAGAAGAAGGTCGAAAGAAAGAGGGCATCGAAAAAAAGAGTGAACGGGGTTGTAACCACTTACCTAGGAGATTCCGGGAACAAAAAGATCAGTCCCGCTAAAAAGATTGCAGGAAGAAGCTGCAGACCCAGCGGGATTCTCCATTGCCCGCTGTTGTTTTTGATATCGACAAAGGTGCCCCATGAGATCCAGGCAGCCACTACGGAGCCCACGCCGAGCATGAATTGCTGCAAGGCTGTGACGCGGCCTCGAATGCTAGGATGGGCCAACTCGGCTTGATACAACGGGATGACCATGACGAGGAAGCCGACACCCAAACCGGCCAGGAATCGACCGGCATAGAGAAAATGGATGCTTTGTGCCCCGGTCTGGAGGCTGCCGCCGAGGATGAAGATGACGGCTCCCAGGGTGATTGTCCATCGACGGCCCAAGTAATCACCGCTGGGACCGCCAAATCCGGAACCGAAGAAAGCGCCGGTCGTGAACATGGACACGACGAGCCCGGAGGACGTGGCGTCGGGCTTGAACGCGGACACAAATGTGTTGCTGGCCACGACTTCGGCGATGACTCCCAGGTCATAACCGTAGAGGTAGGACCCTAGTGAGGCGAAGACGCTCACGAGGAACTGATACCATTTCGGAGGGAGGGCCATGGTGCTGAAGGACTCCAGTAGTCGTTACCAGATGGACAGAGTAGTGATTTAAGCAGTCAAGGAATCTGAGAGAAGGGTGTTGCTTGCCTCTCACGGACGACAATATGAATGGGAGAGGCGCGATTGCTGTTAAGCTGTGAGAACATATAGGAATCTCGACAGGCGGGTGGCATGAGGCAGTAGATATGTGGCTGTGGGTCTCATTCACCCCCTGGCACTGTTCTCGTATATCGAGTGGTCGAAGCACTGCTCTAGCACGCTTGCACTCTTGCCCTCGTGATGTCCGCGCTAGACTCCCGCAGTTTTTCCCACACGAGTCACATCCCCGCAAAAAAGAGGATTGCTCCCAGACCGGAGCGAAATGTGTGGGTTATGGATGATGGAGAGCGGCCTTAGCTTCGGTCTTCGGCAGCAATGATATCGCCATCACATCAACTCCTGAAGGCAGCGGCGGCAGGTGCGATCGGAGGCGAGTGAAGGAGCATCAAGCCTTGTTGTGGGGGAGGAGAACCTCCGGCGGGGGAGAACCGGTCGCCCAATATGGAAGTTGTCCGGCGTTTGCAGATCATCACGGAGAAGGTGCCGGTTAGTAGAGCGAGTAAATCACTCTGACTCCTTCCTGCCTGTCGCTCACGGCTGAGCAGTTCCGGTGCCGCAAAGCCTTGAGCATCTCGTGACAGCCAGGTAAGCGTACTGTGGATGCTCTAACTTACCCCGTAACCCGTTCAATCATGACAACCTAGGCATTGTAGACTCTTGTCGGACATATCCCGGCATTGGCCTCAATCTCAGTGACCGGAGCTTCGCCCAAAGAGGAAATTCCACCTGGTGACAGCCCCTGGATCGAGCCTCCGGACATTGCACCCACCATGAACAGTACCATAGGTGTCGTGGGACTCGTGCCTTGATAATTAGCCGGGCTTCATGTATCTCGACATACAGAAGATACTGAGGTTGAGTGCTTGTCCAAGATCAGGAACATCCACGTGGACCATCATCACGTGGTTGGATTGAAATTTCGACAGAACGACCAGTGAAGAATTAATCACTTCATTGCTGAAAGTCTTATACTCGTCGTAGACTGTATTGAACTGAGCAACCCTGTCTCCTTTCTTCTTTCAAGGGTGATTGCCTACCTGGTCCATCAAGATGACGACCGTTACCAGCAGTTCGACGCCTTCAATCACCGTTTTCCCCTCCCACAAAGTCGCGAGTATAAATCGCAATATATATTCTGGCTTTACGGAGCACATGGGCCGCTGTATATACGGAGGAATCTACGATCCAACCAATCCAAACAAAGAACTGGTTGACTCGCATGGATTTCGAAAGGACGTCCTGGAAGCACTCAAACCGCTCGACGTTCCCGTCTTCCGCTACCCAGGAGGCAACTTCTGCGCCACATACCACTGGCAAGACGGAATAGGACCGGTCAAGGATCGCCCAGCCAGACCAGAACTGGCATGGGGAAACGTCGAAAGCAACCATTTCGGCACTGATGAGTTCATGGAATGGTGCAAGGCTGCCAACACGGAGCCGTATCTGTGTCTCAATTTCGGTACGGGCACCCTCGACGAGGCCATGGCCTGGGTGGAGTACTGCAACGGCACCAAAGACACGTACTATGCCAATCTGCGACGGAAGAACGGCCACCCGGAGCCGTACAATGTCCAGTACTGGGCTCTGGGCAACGAGATGTGGGGACCGTGGCAGATTGAGCAGATGACTCAAGAGGCCTACGCCGCACGAGCAGTGCAATGGGCGAAGGCGCTCAAGCTCCTCGACCCGTCCGTTCAGCTCATCCTGTGCGGCAAGGAAGGCGCCACCACTTGGGACTACTACACCCTGAAACACTGTCTGCAGCCCGCCGGGTTGAGTGATCTGGGCGAAGAACGCCTTCCGTTGATCGACATGCACAGCATCCATCTATACACGGCGAGCGAAGACCATTACGAAAATGTGACCGCGCCGTTGGCGGCCGAGCGCAGTATTGAGGTCTGTTCTGGCCTCATCGATTTGGCCATTGTCGAGAACAAAATCCCCGCCTTGCAGAAACGGCCGACCATCTGCTTCGACGAATGGAATGTCTGGTCGCCACCGCGTGCTCCTGGAAGTAAGGGCGCCGAGGAGCTATATACCCTCTCAGATGCTCTCGCCGTAGCCGTCTGGCTGAACGTGCTAGTCCGGAAAGCCCGGGACGTCGGCATGGCGTGCATTGCTCAGAGCGTCAATGTCATCAGTCCGCTCATGACCACGGAGACAGGCATCATCCGGCAGACCATCTGGTGGCCATATGAGCTATTCTGTAGGTTCATGAAAGGTCATACTGTGGCGGTCCATCTGGCCTGTGAATCCTATACTGGATCGACGAAGCCTGACTGGGTGAGAGCGGTCAAAGAGACTCCATGGCTCGATGTCAGTGCCACAGTTGACGATGACGGTTGGGTCAGCGTCTGTGTGGTCAACATGCATCTGGAGTCTGATATGAGGACCGTCATGGGAGGAGTTGGCGACCAGAAGGTAAAGGTGTATACGATCACCGGTTCGGATGCGAACGCCACAAATATGGCTGGAAAAGAAGAGGTTGGGTTGAAGGAATCGGATTGGGATCCGGCCAGAGATGCTACTTTCGTCTTTCCCAAGTGTTCCATAACGATGCTGAGGTGGAAAAGCTCATAGAACGATATCACCTGTCAAAATAAAGCTGTGAGATGATGAAGTCGCCCGGTAGTCCAAGCCTAGACCAGATCTTTTGAATTCTTTTCTCTGCCCATGCCCCATATCAGCAGCGGGACTGGGATTCGGCTGTAGATACAGATCCTATCGTTGATGACTTCCATAGACTATTCAACACCAAAATCAACGCCTCCCTCGACGGACGTATACTCGGTTTTACCCAGCCTTTCTGAGCTCTGCCAATTTCACCAAGATGTCATGATATTCTCGGCTTACACCCCAACATGCGAGTCTAGTTCGTAACAACTTGGCACCCTCGATCAGAACTTTCTGTGGTGTCTTACAAATGTCGCCTACGTTGCTCATGTGTCCCGACATGTTATGGCCATTGCGCACAAAATGCTGAATCATCTCATCATCACACGGGCGGTCCAGATGGATGAATTCCGGCTGCTCGTCGGACGAAGAGGTTCCTTCATCGCCGTCAGAGTCGATGCTGCGCGGCGGAGAAGTCGTCGAGGGGATTTGTTCGCTGACGGCTACGACACCGCCATCGGAAGGAGGGTTCGGCACCTGTTTTGCGACATTTGATGTTGAAGAGGCCATATCTTTTGGAGAGGTCAAATCAGAGTTTTCTTCTGCATGAGCAGTAGCCTTGTTGATGAACTCGACGGGGTCCTGCTTCCTCTCGATGCGAGAAAGCTGGATTGCAGCACCTGCGTCAGGTCCACTCGGCCCTCCCTCGGGTCGATGGTTGGCAGCAGCAGCAGCGTCACGTTCCAAAGCAGCAGACTTGTACGAGCCGTAGGTCCACAGAACGAGAGCGGCCAGATACACGGCTACCGGCTCGAAGAAACTCGTCGCTGAATATCGCCGAACATACCAGAACACGGAGCCAGCGTGGACCATGGCTAATCGGGCCTTGTGTTGGTCCTCTCGTAGCCAGCGCCATGTGATCTTGCGGATTTGCGGCAACTTGGCACTATTGCGGGGCTGGTAGCTGCCGTCGTGCACGTAGAAGGATGCTCTGGTGGAACTGTTGACTTTGCCAATTAGCGAAAAGAGTAGGTCTTGGATCTCCTGGAACGGTGTGAGGAGGATGATCCGGGCAAGGTGGAGGTGAAGCACGACTGGGTGTTCGACTCCCGATGCTTTGGCCACGACGCTGGATGCCTGCCACTGCAGTACATCAAGGCAGTCACAGGCACTGTTCCGCCAGTTCGCATATAGTGGATACAGAGGGAGCCAGAAGTTATCCTTTGATGGCGTATTCAAGAAACCCCGAGCCTTGCCTGTTGGCACCCATTCACTCAGCGGCTGTTTGATATGAGTTCCCACTTCCCACGTGCGTAGGTAAAGAGCGTGAATCAACAAGGTCTGTGATAGCTCACTGTAGGTGGGATCAACCTTCTTTTTGTTGTACAGCGTCTCGAGCCCGGCACATAGAGACGGCGTTGGGGGCACGTCCTGTACTTCCTTTGCCCAGGTTTCGGGCGAAGGCGCATTCCAGACGGTCTCGGCACACGGCATTGGGGTCCGCGCATCATCAAGATTGCATAGCGGCCGAGCGTTAGCCATATATCCAAGGCAACAATCCAGCATCCATGCCATGTATCCGACCCGGCGTAAAGTTTCCACTTCAACCCAGTCCTTCCAAGGTTGCCACCGGTTATCAATGTCTTCAATGATGGCGATGTCTGTCCTAACGCCGGATTCCGGATGCTGAAGTATGCCAGACTCCAGACACCAGCGCGAAAGGTCTGCATGATAACGTGGCGCCATGGACCGCAATTGATCGCGGTCAGACTGAACAAGTCCGATAAGGTTTAGTATTCTAGCCTGTGCGAGTGGGACATCCAGGGCGGCGTCATTGGCACCATCTGCATACATTTGGACAGCTCGGCGAAGGAATTCCTGGTAGGCTTCGCGGAGGTCAAGGGCATGTTGACCTTTCGAGAAGGTACTGCCTATTGCAGCGACCGCGAGGATCGCCAGCCAATGTGACTGAAACCCAAAGGATGGCCGATGGATGAATGAGTAGTTCTGGTGGAAGTTGTCAAAATACAGGCCGATGCAGGCATTGAAAGTGGCAACATCTGGAAATGAGTTGCCTTCAAAGGAATCCCGCAACGCATTCGCCCCGCACAATGTGCGAAATATGCTTGATAGTGTATCGTGAGTGGTCGGGGAGCAGTATTGATGACTATCGCCGGGGGATGAAAGCATCGGAGGATCCGGAAATGCATAGCCGTCTTTTTGCTCTCTCGGCTTAGTGAAGACATCTGCGGTGAAGGAGACTTTGCGCTTCTTGCGTCTGACATCCGAGGTCGTCGTTGAGGCGTTAGTCAGCCTGGCTGAGATCATGCCGTCGCTTGCAGAGGAGGCGGGACTTTGTTCCATTGCCACCAAGGCCGCAGGGGCTGCTCCGGTGACGGACATTTCCTGGACAGGATTTGGGGGCATTTGATATAACTGCGCAGTAGGATCGAGAGGGAGAGCCATTCCATAATCTGTCCCGAGCTGAGGAGGGTCAGAGAGAGAGGGTAGAATGAAAGAGAAATCCTGTTCGAGTTCCGCATCATAAGGCGAAGGATATATACTCGGTGGAATCCAATTGAGTGGTTCATCAAATGCAGAATAGTCGTAGGTAGAAGGGGAAACAAAATCGGCATTGAAGTGAGAACGCATCTGGACGTCTCCGTAGTCCCCGCCTTGCAGCATTCGACTGGTGGTTGAATTCAAGTGGTTGGCTTCCATGGATGCTTGATCGCTGGGGGGAACTGGCATATTTCCGCCAGTGTACTCTGGGCCAAAGCCTGGTTGTATCAGGGGCGACTCCACCTCCATAGGTCCAGGATTGGTGGCTGGCAAGATCGTAGGGACAGGTGATTTTATCTTCTCGCCATTGTTTGATGTCTGTTGGACTGGCTCATGGTCTTGGAAGACTAGTTGGCTGAAGTGTCCTAGTAGATGTTGTTTCGGCCTGTCATTCTCGGTTTTGGTCGAGTTCTCGGGCGACGAACCCTTCCGCCGTTTATTAGGATAGCTGCAGTCGATATTACGGACATTGCATCGTCCACATGGCATTCCACCGGAGCATCTGGACCTTGCTGTCGCACAAGCACGACAAGCTCTGAACGTGCCGTGGGTGACACGGTGGACTGGACCGCGGTCTTCTGTTGCTTGATGGCTTTTCTCATGGCGGAGCAGGGTGTCCGAGCGGGCAAATGTCTTTCCACACGTGGCACATGCCGCCGACCGCTCAGCGGTTTTATCTCCTGCGATATCCTTCATGTCGGTGACAAACAGGTCCCGCCCGACGACATCAGGGAGCTAGGATTTTGAGGCCTGCGTCTCATCGATAATGGACCGTGCCGTGGCGAGGACGCACCTTCAGGGTGCGGAGGTCATGGTGAAGTCAATGTCCAGGATCGGGGGAAGTTGAATTTGGAACACGAGATGCGCTTCTGGAGAAACGAAATTGCGGGGAGAAGTATCTCACACACGTGACATGCGACCAGATGAGGGCAGTCCACGTGACACCCTACTAGCAACACTACTGAGGAGCATTGGCAGCTGAACTGCAACTGAGTGCCCCTTTTTCTTTCGAACTCGAGATTGTGTTTCATTCTGACCTTGGCTGGCTTGCGGAGTCAAGTAGCCGATCTCCCATAGACGCATACCTTGACGAGATGGAATGTTCAGTCTCCCATTGCTCCGGGTTTGAGGTGGTCTTGGTCGGTCAAGGCCATTTGGCATAAATGGTTAGTTACATATGGACCATGGTGCGAGCTACGATCTTCTGGCGAGTCCACGGACCATGACTGTAGACGCCAAACGGGAGACCGTGATGAACCAGTGGAAGAAGAACGGTACGATGGGCTTTTGACGATAGTATTATATCTAGTGATACGAAGGCTGGTAAGCAACATCGCCTCTCCAGACCATTTTGTCTTCCATCAACTACCAGGGCCGCTGGTGAGTGAACTTTGGTCCTGGCTGTCTGGGAAGAAATACGCCCCGACACTACACATATGCTGTTAGTTGCTGCGGAAGAGAGTGCAGAGATAGAGACGGATGCGCCCCAGGGGAAGAACGATGTACTTACGCAACAATAATGTAGCACGCACACAAAAGCGCACCTTCAAGATAATTGCTCCTCCCATCGAGGACAAGAAAGTTGACGATAAAGGTGGCCACGAACAGCGACCCTGTCTCGAAGAGGCTGAAGTAGAGCGACATGTCCTTGCTCAGGATCCATCCGAGGATGACAACCACCGGCGTGACAAACAGGGCGATCTGGATGGAACTTCCAAGGGCCACGCCCAGTGCCAGGTCGAGTTTATTCTTTGCCGCCACCGTCACCGCCGTGACGTGTTCGGCGGCATTGCCGACAATGGGCAAGATGATCAGCCCGACAAACGCCTCGGATAACGGCGAATTGTCCACCAAGTGCTCGATGCTGCCCACAAGGAACTCGGCACACAACGCTACAAGAGCGGTGGAAATGAGCAGTAGGACGATCGAGGCGGTTTGGCCAATTGGAGGTGCATCGACAGTTTCTTCGGGGATACTGCTGGGGGCACCACGACGGACTTGACCTGAGGAGTCCCGACGGAAGTTTGGAGTGTGGTCGGGGTTTGACCGGTATCGGCGGAGATTGTGAATATGAGGATCTGGCGGGTTCTTATTCCTCGTGGGCGGGAGTGTCGTAGACCGGAACACTGGTGGTGTACGGAAGGAGATCCCTCGAGGGCCCAAAATCGGCTTCTTCTCCTTGGCTGAAATATATGGGGCAGTCGTAGGCGCAGCCATGGGCGGGTGCAGCTCTACGGCCATTTCCTCTGGTTCTTCTGTCTTCTCCGCCAGAATGTCCGGCAGAGCTGAATCGACGTGAGGGGCGGCCTCCACATCATCCTCGTGTTCAATTTCAGTCTTCTGGTGTCGCTTTCTGCCTAACTGCGCTCTCAATCGCTTACGAACGCGGCGCTGCGATCCCGAGCTATGGGTTGAAGTCCGCGACTGGTTGGTGGACGACGAGCTTGTGGAATCGAAACGAGCCAAGAATCCAGGCACCGCTTCCTCGTCGATGATGTGTTGAGGAGTCCCTTGATAGAGGTATGCATGAGATTTCAGTTGGAACAATAGGTAAAGAAAGTATATGATCAGAAGAATCACTGAGGTCCCACGGCTGAGTTTGACAACGGCTCGATCTGCAATGGCCAAATCATTGAAGGAAGCGTGGAACGCCGTCTGCAGTCCTGGTCAGTATTTTGAGACAACTAGAAAGCATGCATATATGCCTTACTGGAATCAGCAGACTGAGGACAGCAAGCGCCAACAAGCAAGCCGACATCTGGGTGACAGTGCTGTCGTATATCTGTTCCCGATACTCGAGGCCACCAATCAAGAATGCCATTCCCAAAATCAAAAGCAGATTCGCCAGCAGGGAGCCGATGAGGGATGCCTGGACAATGCGAATCTCATTCTTGACAAGGGCAATGATGAAGATGATCAGTTCAACCGCGTTACCGAAACTGACATTCAACAGAGCACCCAGGGTTGGACCAAGTCGATGTGCAACACTTTCTGTGGCAAACGTCAAGAGGCCAGCCAAGGGGATGATGGCCACGGCATTCAGGGCAAAGACCACGTTGGGGTCGACACCGGCAAAATGGACGGCAATACCGACCGGTACGAACACCAACAAGACATTGACCCAACTATGAAGCAGGGCTATCTTGAAGTTCTTCAGTATACGTTTCACCATCGAGCTCTTGGGCTGTTCAGAGGCCCCTGATGGAGCATTCTGGTGCTGACTGGACGCTGTGCGCTTTGCTTCGGAATTGCCATCCATATGAGACCATGGATTGAAGTTGTTTTGGTGCGCAGCGGAATGCGCCCACGCGCGGAACCGATCTGTAGAAGTGTTAGTGATATATGTCAGAAGTTTTGGCGGCGGAAGCACACGTACGCATTGCTATTATTGAATAGGGGTATTGAACTTGAACACTGGCATCACTCCAAAGGAAGATGTTGGCATATGCTCAGCGGCGATGGAACCAAGGGTGACCAGAACCTGTCTGGGAGAAAGCACAGCTGCAAGACTCGATCATAGAACTTTGTCCTAGAGGTACGAGTACCTAGGAAGTACCCATCAACTTGGCAAATGGGAGGCGAAGAGGATGATGATGTTCAAATTGGACTGCAAGGCCTTAAGCATGATAATAAGCATATCTATCGTTAATAGTTTGATGCAAACAAGGCACGAAACAAACTTGGCCAGGCCGCGCCGCGCTAACCAGCTTGGGGCTTGGCGTCATGTATTACTGATGTCATGTCTCCATATAAATTTGTAGAAACCACCAATAGTCAGCATTCATGAAGATCTAAACCAACTCTGGATTAGATTACCAGCTGGTGCAGACTCGCCTCCCATTGGACGCTGTGAACATCATCTGCACTCCTCGAGTTGTAAATCATAGTGATAGAGGGTGAAGAGCATATAGACAAGACTCTTCCCACCTCGAGACTACCATCGTAAATATTGCAGGCAGGCAGTAAGTTCACAATACTGCGTTGTAGTGGGCTGAGGCTAGCAAGGTCATTCTACCGTCATCCGAAGACTCAATGGGCATCCTCCTACAAGTGATCAGCAACGGAATCATGGTAGAGTCTATGGGCACCATTATGCAGCGGGTAGTATACGTGCATAGATAGTACCTGGGCTTGTGTCTATCTAGCCCTACAATTAATTCGAGGTTCTAAACCTGAAGGTAAGCAGCGCTGCGTTCTTGAACCTGGCGACCTTCCATCTCTAGAGTTCGTCTGAACTCATCATTACTACCCTGCAATCCTCCCTCCACCCACCTCAGGATATTGTCGTTGTTGGACGTTATAAAGCGTAGAGTGTGTGACCTCGGGAGTGTAAACCCAAAGTCATAGCCCCTTCTTCATATTGAAGCCATAAATTCGGTGAGTGCCGAACAGTGGCTGGGGACGTGGCGCTGCAATGTCTGCCTAGGTCTGCCGAAGGAGGCACAACACTACCACCTATACCGGGCCACGGCTGACAATTGGCAATATTGGCCGAACAGGAGTTGGAAGCTGTCGCGCTTCATGTCAAACTGGGTTTGGATGGCACTCCAGATCGTCTCCAGATGGTGCAACCGTCTCCAGGGTCGTCCATTCCAGGCAAAATCTCCCTGAGCAGATCGTTAATGTTGAGACCCCTATCCTTTGCGGCCTGCCATTGTCGAGGGTACCCCAAGCTGACTTCCTCGAATCTCACCCCGTCAATCCAGTCTGTCCTCCGGACATGCAAGTGCCCCGTGACCACGACTTTGGCGTTGAAGCGGGTGTGCCAGTGTTGAGTTTTCTTCGTCCCGCACCATATACTGAACCTTGGTATACTGGGTATGGTGACCAGGTCTTCTCGGAGAGGCCAGTGGTTGATGATCACCAGTGGAAATCCTCTGGCAGCAGCGGCTTCTAAGCGCTCTTCTGTCTTTGAAACCAGCTGCTCACACCATGCATCTCTTGTTGCGTAGGGGTCGGGATGTAGAAGTGCTTCGTCAGTCGCATAGACGTTTTCCTCCATCGCCCAGTCGACGGCTTTGTCTCGTGGTACGTCGGGCGGTCTGAAGCTGTAGTCGTACAACGTGAAAATCGGGCAGATAATGCATGGGCCCCCATTGCCTTCGCTTTCCCATTTGACGAACTCATCCTCCGGGGTGATGACGCCGAACTCATTCGCAACTCTCACGCACTCCTGGTATTTGGACTCCCCTCGGAGCTCTTTGTCCAGGTCGTCTTCCGTGGTGATTCCCGGTAGTGTGTACAACTCATGATTGCCAGGCACCCAAAAAACCTGCTTGAAGCGGTCCGTAGCGATCTCGAAAGCCTCCTGAAGATGTTCGAGACGTTCGCCCACATCACCGCATATGATCAAGCTGTCCTCGGGGTGAGGTGCGAGTTCATCCAGTGCCTCACGGTTATGCTTGTAGCTGATATGAAGATCTGAGATCGCATATAGACGCATTGTAATGGCAAACCCAAGGTGTAATAGTATCTTATTCGATGGTAAGTTGAGTCTAGCTAGCACTTCGGCTCCAAGGTTTCGCAGTCCGGCTTGGTCAACGACCAGACCAATATAGTAGACGAGATCCGGATCGTAGGTCAATGGCCGGAAGAAGGGTGCAATAGATTTGGATCATTTGTGGCTCTCACTGACGGTATCTCATTTGAGGCAACGAGCAGACCCAGGGGTCAAAAAGAGCGGTGAGGCCTTAAACCAGTTGTGAAACATCACGTTCTTGGTAGAAGCATCTTCTATGAACGCTTTGTCAAAAGCTACGACTGCAGGAATAGACGATACGACTGCAGGAATAGACGAGTCAAGCGCTGGAAAGGATATGAATCGATCCATATGAACAGATATATGATAAGAACATCGCTAGGGAGCCTGATGAGGTTGTCTCGACTCTCCAGGACGGAAAAAGGTAATTCCGCCGCAATCGGTGCCAAGGCGGGGCGGGGGTTCTGATATTATCTTATCGCAGCCTCAGACAGACTGCGTTGCGGTGAAAGAACATTTGGCGCAGTTGCAACTGCCTGGTGTCTGCATTCTACCACATTCAAGTTGTACCTAAGTTGTTCGGTTGTGCCGCAACTCACTGGTATTCCAAGCAACAATGGTGGCAGCAGGTCCTCGGTCGATGTCTTGGGATTCCACTGATTTCTATTCGTGACAGCGGCTACTGATCACCTTGCAAAGACCATCAGGCAAGAAGTCCATGCTGAGACTCGTGGTGACTTGCAAGCCGCTGAGTCCTTTCTCACCTTGACTGGCTTGTCTCCCTGCCTCGCTGCAAGGGCCCTGAGCAATGATACTGCGAACGGTCTCCTGGAAAAGGTTGGATGGAAGCCTCAGTTCAGCTAATTGAGGCAGTCAAGTTGTTCGAGCCTTGCACCAGCATCTTCTGCAGTCGACTCAGTCCTAAGAACCCCATGACTCCAACTTCCCATGGTCTCACATCCGTTGCTGCCTGTCTACTAATGCATTTACAAGCATGCTGGGACTGTCCGAGACTAATGCAGAGTTCCTCGTCGAGAATGTCCATACGCTGACTGTCCCTCGGCCGCCAACGCCTTGTAACGGACCGCCGTGATTCCCGCAGAATCGAGCCCTACACGAGACGCCCCCGGAAACCACATTCAGACAACACAAAGATCATTAGAACGTCTCCATCAAGAACAGGAAGAATCACACAAGCCGCTGCAGCGTTTCAACACAGCAGTGCAAGTGAGCGATATATCGACATCCAATAGCGCCCAATGAAGAGCTCTGGTCTAGCACCATATCCGGCTGCGGTTGGGCCACGATGCCTCCATCTGGGCGGAGAAATCATCGCCAGGGGCCGGCAAACCACCTTCCTGCCTGGGTGGCCGCTCTGCTGCCCATGTCCTCCCTTGCAAGGACACCCAGGTTGCGGAATCGCTCACTTGTCGGCATTGGTGTATAAATGCGTCACTACCATCTGTCGAGATGTAGAACTTGAATTGGGAATGGAAATCGACGACGGCATTGCAGTCAACTATCGGCCCTGTTTCCTCTCGTATGTCGGGCCAGAACCCTCGGAAGCAACGTCAGCAGGTCTTAAAGTTCAGGCGTACGATACTCAAGTAGTCACGACCAGGACCATTAGGCCTAGATCCAATATCTGATTTTCCGGGAAGTCGAAGTTTGAAGGACTCCAACCCTGGTCGAGTATTCTGGATTCGGGGTATTTCTCCTGGTCCCAGATTGGCTCCAACTCAAACGGAATCTCGAAGTAACAAATGACCAGGATGTTGGCTTTCGATAATGTTATCAAATATGTCCGTCTGAAACTTTTGTGTCTCAGCCTCCGCTGGGTGCTCGCAGGGTGGCAAAGAACCAAACAGGGACGACCCTGTCCGGCTCTCCAGAGCTACTCTACCAGTCGAAGTTGTAACAGGGTTGTGTTCGATGCACATTCGTGGCCGCACGCCGCCTGCAAGCTCGCCTCCGCGAAAATGCGGAGAAATCAACCAAAATACGTTGGCTGCATATCGAGAATTTAGCGTTGCGTGAACCGCGGACGCCATCGTCTATCATCCCTCCGAAAACCGGCCAGTCTACCAGGGTGGGAAGAGATGTATCCTGCTCCCAACTAACCGTTGTGGGTAGCCTGCTGCCTTTAACTGCACTGCGAGTTTGTGACACCAACCCACCGATGAACTTCCGAAAGACCATACATAGCACACAGTGACACATGAAGGCATGTCCTCTTCGCAAAGCCCGTGTCGCGGCGTAGTGATCATTACGTTGGAAAGATCCTCTCACGAAAACTGTTGGCAGCTCAACGAGCTGGTATGGAGGCATGTTTCAAACAAGGTGTGAGTGGTGACATTTTGCCTTGCCGACCAGGGTCTGCCAGGATTCCATTAGACGATGCACTAATGCAACGTCAGCTGTTCGAATGCTAGAAGTCTGGCGTCTTTTCTGCGGGAGCACGGTTGTCTCTGGGTGTCACTGGTTGGCCTGCATACGCCCTTCAACCCGTTGACTGCCTCCCAATTCAACAAAGCATACTCACAGTGCAGAAAAGTACTTACCAGTCTTGCCGTAGCGGTTGGACCGAATTTCAAGAGTTCGATCATTGACCACCTACAGAGTTATGCACGAAGCTCGGTTCGGTGGAGGGATCATCACTGGAGCTCGGACCACTACTCTGTAAAGCTTCCCTGTACAAGCTTCTCCAGAAAAAGCCCTGAGAGGGCGCAACAGGGGGCGCAACAGCAGCAATGGTAGGCGCGTCGACATCAAAGTCCCCATCTACGAGACAAACGTCATCCACTTGCCTGCTCTTCCGGACCACCTTCTCGGTCTCTGGACCACTGTCATTCGCAGCACCTTGCGTGGCAGGTCTGTCTCAGTCCTGTCAACGGGGTCTCTTGCTGTCATAGACCCGCCTAGTGTGGCGTCAACATTTGGGTCCGATCCACATAACCTGCCATCCGAACATTCCTCCTCGAAGGGTCTCTCGGAGTAACTATTTGCAGTTACGATGCTGATCCTTCTTGCGAGTACCGGGGGCATGAGGTGCTGGGGTGAAACCTAGGACACTGTGATGAAACTTCATGATATTGTCCGATGGGAGGAAATCTATCTGCTTCAACGGTCACGAGGCCCAAAACACGGGCTTTTCATGACGAAACCATTGGATAGGAAGGTGGAATGTCGACTCCAACGATGTCTTTCCACCGTGTCTCCTGAGACATGCATGCATCCATACCCAGCAACCGATGTGGGAAGAGGCTAGGTTCAACTGCCAGTGCGATACTCTCATCGGGTGGAGTGACGGCACGTACTAGTCGAGCTGCATGGAAAGTTGAGTCGAGGTGAATCTGAGGCTCACCCTTTTCTAGTTCTTGGTCAAAAGACCTTCTCATTACGAGCACATCAAGTCGCCTTACTGAAAGATTACCTGGACACTAGTGGTACCTCTTGTTCTCTCAGCCTTGTCCGATTCCTTGTTGTCGACCGTAAAGCAGCCATGGCCTTTTTCGAATACCAGCAGGTGCCAGTTGCAACCTCTCTTCCATTGCCGGTGTCGACCCATCCATACCAACCACCTGGCTGGACTGGTTAAGTCTAGGTCAGAAGGACTAGCACTGTGTACACAGAACGTCTCCTGCGTTCGAAGCGGGCTGTACATGATCCCATCAGACGAGTTCCACTCACCGGAGAGGTGATGGCGATTGCTACAACACAACTTTCTTCTTTCTGGTCAACGTTGGACTATCCGATCTTGCATATCGAGTTTGGTGAAATACCCTCATAGACGATGCACACCAAAGTCTCACAATCAGAAGCAAACTTGTGTACATTTCCGGAAAAAAGCATTTCAAAAGGAGTGAATTATTCTTTTTAAGGCTGGCTGATCAATACTGCCCTGATCAATACTGCCCTAATGACCACTTGACATGATATTATCAATTATGCTCCCATGCCGGCCGTGGACGATAGCCACACACCGGTGGAAAAACAGTAGCCCGTCGTCAGCCAGCCCGACAAGCACTGGATGCAGCTGATTATCTACACCAAAAGACTGGGAGATTTTGGTTTCAACCCGCCAAAGGCTGATATGCATCAATTCCGCCCTCCGCTGATGTGCCGACCACGCTGTAGTCACTTCAATGTGCTTTCCACTCCAGCATGCATATGCAAAAATAAAGGGGATTTTTCCCAGATCAATCCAGGTTCAAAAAGGAGTGTGGTAATCAGAATGGGTGACGGACTATGCAGTCATACCCAACAACAAGTTCGAAAAGAGAGAGCAAGAAAGTCGAGGAGGTGGATGCAGGATCCTGAATGCTGCACCTGCTCTGCTTGCCATATGCATGCATGCACGCATGGTTCGGAAGAATCGAATTCGGTCCGTTTCGTTTCCTCAGGATTTTAGAGGAGAACGACGGCGCCAGCGATACCGGCCACGACTGCAAGGCCGCCGCAGAGACCATCACGGTGTGCTGCACCAGTGTAGGCGGCTGGCGCGGCGGAGGCGGAGCCTGTCACGGCCTCGACGGTGGCAGTCGGGGCTTGAGGCTGACCATCCGAGATCTGGGATACAGCAGCTCCAGTGGGTGCCTGTGGTTGGCCATCTGAGATCTGAGAAACCGGAGTAGCGGTAGATGTAGCTGTTGGGGCCTGTGGCTGGCCGTCTGAGATCTGCGAGACTGGAGCACCGGTGGCGGCTTGTGGCTGGCCGTCAGAGATTTGAGAAACCGGAGTAGCTGTGGGTGTAGCTGTAGCGGTTGGTGCCTGGGGCTGACCGTCGGAGATTTGAGAAACGGGTGCCCCGGTAGGCGCTTGAGGTTGACCGTCCGAGATCTCTGAAACGGGAGCCCCAGTTGGACCTTGCGGCTGACCGTCAGAGAGCTGAGAAACTGGAATTCCAGTAGCGGCTTGAGGTTGGCCATCGCTGATTCTGTAAGAGGTCAATCGGGCGTTCTCTTTGAAATAAGATTTCAAAAAGTGTGAACTTACTGAGTGACAGGAGCAGCAGTGTTTCCTTGAGGTTGGCCATCACTGATTCTGATTAAGTATTAGTTTTATTCTGACCAGCTCTTTCAGACTACCAGCTCGGGTGGACTGGATCTGGGTAAACAAAAACACTTACTGAGTGACAGCGACCGAAGTGACTTGGGGCTGTCCATCAGAGATCCTGAAGTTCAACTGAGTCAGTATTGTATCCCACCAAAGGACGGACATCGGGTGTGCTGGCACGGGAGTTGACCGTCAGGGAATACTGCTGGGATGACTTACTGAGTAATTGAAGGAACGACAGTAGTGGCAACTGCTTGGCCATCACTGGCCTGAGTAGCGGCAGGAGCTGAAGAGCCGATCAAAGCGACGAAGTAGACAGGGAAGCAGTGCGGGGCCCAATCGCGATCCTAGAAAACAGACGAACAGGTCAGTTTCCAATTCGGTCAATCAATCATGATTCGAGAACAATGACATACATAAAGATTGTAGAAATCTCCACTCAAGCACTCGTACCTGAGAGTTCGAAGAGTCGTTAGCGAATGGTCAACTTCCAAGACACCACAAAATACCAGCCTCAGATTGAGGAGGGCTTATGTTGCGATCGCATAAACTTACCAGATAGCCGAGCCTCCCAAGGCAAGAGTGTTGTTCGAGCAGAGCGAGAAACCTGAAGTATAGATGGCCCCGGCTTGAGGAGGAGCATCGAATTGGAATTGATAGTTCGAGGCGATGTAGCCGGTTCGGCCAGCTTGGTCGTGAAGAACGGATCCGGAGAGCGTGAGTTCGAGGTTTTGACGCTGTGAAGGTTGAAATGAATGTGTTAGCCAGGTATACCATGACACCAAATGGGTAAAGGTAAGGGAAGAAAGAGGGATGGCACGTAATAACAACAGCAACAGCAACGGCAACATTGGCATCGCACGATATGTAAGGGTTGAACCCTTCTTCCGCAAGGCTCTTGCGAGTGATGTCCAAAGGGAACAACCACAAACGACCCCAGAGCTCGGCATCACAAGCAATGTCTCTCCTTTGATGCTCTCTTGCTTGTTGAACAGTGTGTACAGTACACAGGACCAGTGTAGGTAGTGTGTGGGTTGTACAATATGCAATGTGGAAACAGGGTATAGTACATACTCTTCCCAGATCTCTCTTAGAAGTCGTCGAGGACGAGACATTCACCACGGTGATTTCAAACTCGCCATCGTGCGACGTCTGGCATCCCTCGGGGGTTCCGCTCGACGGGGCAATGGCGGAGGTCACTGCCTGAGGCAGAGCCGAGACGGCCGAGGCCAGCGAGAGGAGCGCGGCGGCAGCGAGCGAGCGACGCATGTTTGTTTGTTTGTTGACTCGAAGATCGATGGGATAACTGAATGTCCGACGAGGTTCTCTTCGGGTTTGGTTTGCGTTCCTCAAGATCCCAATAGCAGGTATTGAGGTCTTCAAGGTAGGGTTCAGGGGAGACAATAAGTAGCACTTTGTTTCGCAAAACGATAGTAAACGGGCAATCCCAACACAGATTTGATTGATTGCCTTGAAGCGAGCGAGTGATCAATAAGAACCTAGAGCCTTGCCCAAAAGTACACCTTTTCTCTTTCTTCACGTGGGAGAAGGAAGAGACAAATCGAAGGAAAAAGGAGAGAAATATAAAATAGTGAGGCTATAACCGCACCTTTAGTATCAAGTGACATGGGCCGAACTCACTCTTGAACTATTGACTGACATCGGAGTGCCCGCATGCGGTATACCATTTACCTTGGGTAGGTGGGCAGAAGAAGCGTGCGTCCCATCCATCCATCCAGCCATGCATCTCAGATGCGTTACGTGTCTTTTCTCGCATGCTCCATCGCCAGCCCGCCAGTCCGCTGGCTGGGTCGGAAAAGAGGATCTGGGACAAGAATGGTCCAAAGCTAAAGCGTGATTCGATGTCCTGGCCCCGAGACAGATGTCTCCATGTCGTCTTCTAGTTCCTCCATGCGAAAGTCGGTAGGAGGCGGATGCATGGAGCACCCTGCGTTGGAGTGGAAGGGAAGTGGTTGGAAGTTCAGAGTGACAGCTCGTGCGTGACGGTTTGATATACGCGGTAACGATCGATACTGGCGTCTGCCTTGTTTGGGACTAGTGGTATTGCTAGTTGGTAATGGTGTGCTCATTGCGTCGTCATCGACTGCTGCTTTAACGGCTCTAGGGGCTCCACTCCCAGCCTCGTCAGGACAGTCGCCAGCGTCCCTCTCATTGGCCAGAGGAAGAGGGCTGGTTCACAACGTAACTACAGAATACCTAGAGTATAGAGCACGGTGCCTGATTGAGGAGGTATGCATGTCTCGTGTTCACATGGCCTTGCTTGAGATCTCTGGACAAACTTCCTAGTGGACACAATGATGGGCTCGCAGTTGTCCTGTTCAATATGTCCAGACACAAATGTTCGTGCAAGAGAAGATGTGCCCAGCAGGCGAGCAGGCGACCTGCGTTCAAAGAACATGTGTTGGCCACTGGCTACATTGTCCGTAGAAACCAGCAACAATGGTGAGTTCATATACTAGTACGTTATTCTTCTGCCTGCCCCGAAGCAACATGTCTTGTCCACCGTCCATTGGAAAAGGTGCCAGCAGCCACGCCTGGGCACGAATATACAAGGTGCACCGGGAAGGAGGGAGATTTGGGGAAGGGAAAGAAGACAGCTTGACTCCATTCTGAAAGTCAGGCCTGGGTACTCAGTAGTCTTCAGCCCAAACGACTAGGGATTGCTGTGCTGCGCTGGACCCAGGATTGGACACAGGAATACCATTCATCGGCATTCGCTCTTTGGAATGCTGCCAGCGAATATCAACAACATCCATTGGAATGTCGATCCAATTTTAGGTACCACCTCAACTTCTTCCAAGAACAACAAATGCCCTGCCCTGGTCAAGCAAGAACAATCCCCACGGCTTGCGCTCTCCTGACGCTGGACAACTATTTGCACTTCGCACCGGCAAGACCATCGACACGCCTCCTTCCTTGCAATGAAAGCCCCCGGCATATCGACGGGCGGTGGCACGCTTCGTCGCAAACCAAAGTTGTCTCGCGATCTGATAAGCCAGCAATTTGCTGTACCCTACGCCACCGACAATCCCAACTATTCCCAGCTCGAATGGAAACCGTGCGATACACGCTTCGTTCTCTGGTTCCACCTCACCACGAATCTCCAGTTCGAGAGCATCGCCATTGCTTTCAACTCCACATACCCGGATAGCACCATCCAAATGACAGGCGAGGATGTCTTGAGCATAGTCGAGGTGCTGCAAGAGCGATTTCCGCTCATTTGGGATCAATTGACGCCCAATGGACACTGGAACAAGCCGACGGAACGGGGATGGACGCCGTGTGATCATGGAATGTATTGTACCAAGATGGCAGCTTTGGAACGAAAGGCCTCCGTCAACAGGAATTTCAAGACCAGGACAAGATATGAGCGAGAACTTGCCGAGATGGCAACCACCTTATGGCAGGGCACCTGGCAGGAGCTACTGACGTGCCCCAGGGTGCATGACATGGGCTTCAAATCATCGGCTAGAATCAGCGCTGATTCGGGATCAACTAAACTGTCGGGCTCGAGCAAAGAAAATCACAGCGCCGCCGACTTCGATGCCAGCAACACGTTGGTGGCGAGGGTCGATTCGCAAGGGTTGCCCGTCCTTCCCCGGGGTCTTTCATCTGGACCGTCTTTGTCAGACAGCTCGGTCCCCGCCAAATCAAAGGCATCTTCATCGCCACATATTTGGATTGACTCATCGGCGCGAACCTCACGTTCACCAAGGAAGAAGTCGGCTCTTTCCTCCGGAAGTTCGCGTCCATCTGGTGACAAGGTGATGCCGTCCGTTGAGGAGGCAGATCCAGACCAAGTCTGGGTTGACACGTCCGTTCGAGGGTCACGGTCATCTGCTAGGAGTTCATCCGGGAGAAGATCGGCAATATCTGCTGCGAGATCACGCGCCTCTGCCGAGAAAGTGGCCCTGGCCACAGAAGAATCAGGCTCTGTTGGAGCATCAAGTTACCGTTCCGCCAAGTCACATCTGTCAGGCACAAGCACGCGAGCGCCGAGCAGAAGATCCCGTACATCATCCACAAGACCGCGTGCGGAGGACGCAGGCATTGATGAATCTGACCAACTGCCTCAGACCCGGTTTCAACAGCTGTTGATGTCCACGGGGGGGACAGGCAGCATTTGGTACATCCTTCAGAAGACAGTCGTCAACATCACCTGGGTGTCTGCATTGAATCCTATCTGGAGGCTCATCATGCATGATCTCGAAGACCCGGCCTCGGAGCCTCCAATCATCAGGCCAGCTCTACTATTCTTGTTTGTCTGCGCGTATTTGGGCGCGAATCTTCTCATAAAAAGGTCACTTGTGTTCATGCAGCAAATGATCTTTCGTTGGTGGGGTTTAGCGTTCAATCCGCCCGAAGCAGCCGATTTGTCACATACCAGATACATGACCCTTTGGATATCAGCACAGTGCCTGTCGATGGGCATTTTTTTCGCCTGTGGTCTGCTGGACCCTGTCCTGCAGCTGGTGCAGACATCTGCAGTTCATTTCGAGACGGGAAGGGATCTGTCCCGGGGATGAAAACACCCCAGTTCTATCGATCATCATTTCCACAGTCGAGGCACTTCATTATCCCCACCATCGAGATTTGCCTCTCACACTGCCTCCAGCTTCATATGCCGATTCTTCTTCCTCAAACTGCAGTCTTTCCACGACTTGCCGGGCACGGAAGCTCTTCACGAATTTCCATGCTTCTGTGTCGGCCAAGTTCCATGCCTCTGCCACACTGCGGATCTTGACCACAGCCGGGTCTTTGCTATTAATGGTCTCCCTAGCCTTGCGCAGAAGCTCCACCTCGACTGCCGCCTGCTCTTCTGAGGGTGGGTCCGGATCGGAGCTCTTCTTACGCTCGGCTGGAAGACCAGCAGGAGATTTGGCCCAACGCTCAGGTCCGGGTACCGGAGGCAGAGACTCGCCATGAGAGATCCCTGTCCTAGGAACCGGAAATCCAAAGTGCCAATCAAGGTTCTCAAGCCAGTCTTCAGGGAATGGCGAGACTTTCTCCTCGACCGGATGAGGGTCGTTGGTCGGCGACTTTGGTGGAGGCGGAGGTGGCCAAAAAGATGCAGGGAAGTGCTCGGTCGTGAACCATAGCGACCGGGTGCTACCATATTCTGACGCCACGGCGTCTTTCAATGCCACCACTCGACTAGGACCTCCTCGTGCATCGCCTAGGAGATCTCGGGTGACGGCGGTAATCCAAGGATCGCGTTCGGTGTGACGTCGTATATGGGCGACCGTAATCGAATCTGAGCGGTTGGCGAGCGTGATCATAGTGTAGGGATGGGGGACGACCCCGATGGTGAACAAGGAAGAAGTGTTGCGGAATGAAGGGGCAGTGTTGATCCTCAACTTGGTGCCGACACAGGGACTGCATCTGGGCCGGTTCGGCGGACAAGATGACTGTAGAATCGAGCTTGGACACTCGGCAAGAAGACGGGCCAGATCCTTTGCAGGTTTCACCAAGGAGAAGGTGTGGGCAGCGAGCGGTTGCAAGACGGCGATGCCGGTGCTGAAACTGTTCTGCCAGATGGTGTGCAGATGGGCGATTATCAGTTGATTGAGAGAAAGTCGACCCTTGAGAGGATCCTGGACGATTAGTTCTGCTAGGATGGGATATTTGGAGGTTATGGTCTGCGAATCGTAGTGTGCAATCGATGTTGGCTGTTCAACCTTGAAGCGTTCCGAATCTATAGCTTCGACCACCGTTGTGAAAGTGCTCAACTTGACGCTGTCCAGTGCCGACTTGATGGCGTCGTTAATCTGGATTTGCTCCCCTGCGAACAGACCCGACCCCAAGCCTTCAAATTTGATCAGATTTGGGTACTGCCCTCGCCGGAGATGGGCCAGCAGAAGATCATCGTATGCAGCCATGGGCAGACAGTACCAACTGGAGAGCAATCCTGTCCCCATGTGGGCCCATGCCAGCCATTGTCTAAAATCTTGTTCCAGAGCCGTGGGCATGCCTTTCTGTTGGAGAGTTTGGTACAATGGATGGCTCATGGCCTCTGCCTCGGTGAGGATGATCGGCCGGAAACCATGCGCCCACCAGGCCCGACGCCATGTCAACAGTAGTTCTTTGTCCACCTTCTTGGTATTCTCATCTCTTTTGATGGTTGTGTCGTAAAATGTGTACACAGGAGGCCGTTGGGCGAGGGGCGGAAGGACGACACGGTCCTCATCGAGCGTCACAGAGGATGAAAATGGATTCAGCCATTTCCAGTCGCTGTACCACGAGCTATCGCCGTGCGTGCTGTTCTTCTGCTCGGGGGGTTTGTGCACTGAGCTCTGGAATGAGAAGCGAAACCCCGGGACATTGAGCTTGGGGATTGACCCTCGAAGATTATCCGCATAGGCCAACTGATCACTGACGACGCCGGAGGCTGTCTGTGAAGTGGCGGAAAAGATGACGATGCCGACCAAGAAGACTGCGCCAACAAAGATATACCTGGAAAAGTGCCGAGGCGGCATGGTGATTGAACGAGAGACAGGCTGGAGCGATGAAAGACAAAGAGCAGACCCAAACGTGCGCCAAAGATGAATGTCTAGAAGAGGAGGAGTAACATGATGGACAAGTTGAACTTCATTACTGTCACTGTCTCCTGTGCAACGGAGTGTAACTCTCTATAGCGCAGGCGAGGAACGCAGCACGAATTCGCTTGTGTTTCGAGATTCCGCATTGCGTAACACTCTATGGAGCACTACTACTACTACATACTATCTCCGGCAGAACTACTATACTCTATAGGATGGATTGTGCTCTATCCCTTATACAGTTCCATCGTCCTAATCACTTCTGTTGTCTCTGCTTTCTCCTTTAGGAAGATGCTGCTCTCCCAGTGCAACGAGACTTTTCATGGCTGGCCGCACGCATCGTGCAGTGGACGTCGGATATTGAATGACTCGGTCTCAAAGAGTAAAATGCCAAGACCCTGACTCGTGTCTCCGGACCGACATTTTTCCGATATCGGCTTCGAAAAATAAAATTGTCTGGGGTTCAAAGTCCGGTGGATGGATGTTTGACTCATCTCGGTCCCTCGATCACTCTGATTGTATATGCGCCCTCAAGCAGACTGAAAGAGATTGCCCCCCATGGCGTCAGAAGCTGGAGGTAACGACCGCCTGGGCTGGTGGGTAGAGTATCTCAAGGACCAGACACTGTCCCCGTTGACCAGAGACTATCCCGAAGCTACATCAGAGAACGTAGCCAAAAGACCCATCGAGGCCGTTGAGGCACTGAGTGTCCCTAGCAGTACTTCAAAGGCTCTAAAGAAACTCGCAGACTTGGGGTCGCTCACAACTGTCTTACAGACTGTTCTTCTTGTCCTGGTGGGCCGACTGACAGGAGACGAGGACATCAGCATTGGAACCAACGCTCAGCAAGATGGACCAGCATTCGTCCTCAGGACGTCACTCACCGCCTCAGAACCCTTTGCGAAGTTGTTCACAAGGGTACGGGAGCTATCGTCCCAGGCTGAAGCCAACGCCGTTCCACTCGACACCGTTCAAGCGCATCTCAAGGCGCCGGCCCTGTTCCGGTTCGCTGCTTTCAATGGAAGCCCGGAGAATGCAAGCTTTCCGGGCAGTGTCGAGACTACTGATCTACAGTTGACCTATTCATACTCTACGTCTTACGACCTCCGATTAACCGCACGTTATAACCAGCGTCTCTTTTCGAGCGCGAGGATAGCGGGGATTCTGGCTCAGATCGCGCGATTTCTTGAGGATGTCGCAGCTGATGTCAATGCTGAGGTCGGACGGATCGTTTTCATGACTCCGGAGGAACAGAAGCTGATTCCCGATCCGACAAGCGATCTTGAATGGTCGAGCTTCCGTGGCGCCATCCATGACATCTTTTCCGCCAATGCCGAAGCCCACCCTGAGCGGACTTGCGTGGTGGAGACAAAGTCCGAGGATGGCCCAGAACGCAAGTTCACATATCAGCAGATCCATGAGTCTTCGAACATCTTGGCCCATCATTTGGTGCAGTCGGGGCTGGAGAGAGGGGATGTGGTGATGATCTACTCCTATCGTGGAGTGGACCTCGTGGTGGCCGTAATGGGCACGCTCAAGGCTGGTGGCACGTTTTCGGTGCTGGATCCTGCATACCCTCCTGATCGACAGAACGTTTATCTCGACGTCTCGAGGCCGCGAGCGTTGGTCGTGATTGAAAAGGCCACGCAAGATGCTGGCGAACTGTCCGAAAAGGTTCGCGAGTTCATCGGCGAAAACCTGCACCTGAAGACCGAGGTTCCTGCGCTGCGACTAGGAGACGATGGCACTCTTCAGGGAGGCGAAGTTGGAGGCAAGGATGTGTTTGAGTCTGTGCGAGGTCTGAAAGCCAAAAGTCCCGGCGTCGTGGTTGGGCCTGATTCAATACCCACTTTGTCTTTCACGTCGGGCTCAGAGGGGAAGCCGAAAGGGGTGCGAGGCCGACATTTTTCTTTGGCTTTCTACTTTGACTGGATGGCAAAGACTTTTAACCTGTCGGAAAAGGACAAGTTTACCATGCTCAGCGGCATTGCACATGACCCGATCCAGAGAGATATGTTCACCCCCTTGTTCTTGGGTGCTCAATTGCTGGTACCCTCCAAGAACGACATCCAGAATGAACGGCTGGCCGAATGGATGAAGGAACATGGCGCAACAGTGACTCACCTGACTCCTGCCATGGGTCAGATCCTGGTGGGAGGCGCAGTGGCGCGATTCGCGGGACTGCATCATGCCTTCTTCGTTGGCGATATTCTGATCAAACGAGACTGCAAGTCGTTGCAGAATTTGGCGCCCAACGTACGAATCGTCAACATGTACGGCACAACAGAGACGCAACGAGCTGTGAGTTACTACGAGATACCCAGTCGGAATGAACGAGAAGGGTACTTGGATGGAATGAAGGATGTGATTCCCGCCGGCCGCGGGATGTACAATGTCCAGATGCTGGTTGTGAACCGCCACGACCGGACCAAGCTCTGCGCAGTGGGCGAGATTGGTGAGATCTATGTCCGAGCATCGGGTCTAGCCGAAGGGTACCTGGGAACGCCGGAGCTTACGAAGAAGAAGTTCGTGGACAACTGGTTCACGGGTCACGAAAAGGGGCTTGAGATCGACCGTGCCAGGTTCGAAGCGAAATACAAGAATGAACCCTGGGCGAAGTACTACCTTGGACCCCGCGACCGACTCTATCGCAGTGGCGACTTGGGCCGGTATACTCCCACCGGAGATGTCGAGTGCTCTGGTCGAGCCGACGATCAAGTCAAGATCCGGGGCTTTCGAATTGAGCTCGGGGAAATCGACACGCATCTGTCACAACATCCTCTAGTGCGGGAGAATGTCACGCTCGTACGACGAGACAAGTTTGAGGAACAGACGCTGGTCAGCTATGTCGTGCCACAGTTGAAGGCATGGACACAGTTCCTTTCGGAGAAAGGTCTGCAGGACGAACAAGACGACGGATCTCTGGTGGGCAGATTTGAACGGTTCCGGCTCCTCCAGCAGGAAGTGCAGGAATACCTCCGCACCAAGCTTCCAGCCTACGCCGTGCCGGCGATCATCGTGCCCATGAGAGCGATGCCGCTGAACCCGAACGGCAAGATCGACAAACCCAAACTCCCCTTCCCGGACACGACTTTGCTGTCAGCCAGCAGACGGCGCAAATCATCGATGGCGCACCAACTCACAGAGACCGAACTGGCCCTCGCTCACATCTGGGCCAAACTGGTGCCAGGACTGCCCCCGCGATCGATCAAGCCGAGCGAGTCGTTCTTCAACATCGGCGGTGAAAGCATGAAGGCGCAACAGCTCGCATACCAAGTCCGACGAACGCTGGGGGTCGATCTACCCATCAGCAAGATCTACAACCGACCGACGTTGAAAGAGATGGCGGCCATCATCGACCACATGCACGCGGCCAACTCTCTAGAAGGCGGCAACGAGGACGAGAAGCCCGACGGCGTCACAAACGGAGTCAAATCGGAAGACGACTACGGCGCCGATGCGATACGGATGGCCGAGCAACTCCCTGCATCATTCCCCAGCGCGTCAGCAGAGATTCCTTCCTCGCCGGTCGTGTTCCTGACCGGGGCTACGGGATTCTTGGGCTCCTACATCCTGAAGGACCTCCTGGATCGTCAATCGCCGCAGATCTCCAAAGTGATTGTCCTCGTGCGGGCAAAGGACGACGAAACCGCCATGTCTCGCGTCAAAGTGACATGTCAAGCATACGGAGTATGGGCGGATTCATGGGCTTCACGCATCCAAGGCGTGGCAGGCAGTCTAGGTCCGGCCAGATTTGGCTTATCCGAGACAGCGTGGAACACACTCATCGACGAGGTCGACGTGGTGATCCACAACGGCGCGCAAGTGCACTGGATCAACACGTACGAGATGCTCAAGCCGGCGAACGTGCTAGGGACGATTGAAGCCCTGAAGATCTGTGCAGCAAGAAATAGCCGCAACAAGTCCAAACTATTTGCGTTTGTGTCGTCCACCAGCGTCCTCGACCACGACCACTACGTGTTCGAGTCGGAACGCATCATCGCCGCCGGCGGCGAAGGCATCAGCGAAGACGACGACCTCCAGGCCAGCCGCCACGGCCTGGGCACGGGCTACGGCCAGAGCAAATGGGTGGCCGAGTATCTGACGCGCGAAGCCGGCCGGCGCGGGCTGCGCGGCTGCATCGTGCGCCCGGGCTACGTGCTTGGCTCGTCGCAGACGGGCGTCACCAACACGGACGACTTCCTGATCCGCATGCTCAAGGGCTGTGTGCAGCTCGGCACGCGTCCGAACATCAACAACACCGTCAACATGGTGCCGGTCGACCACGTCGCCCGCACCGTCGCCGCCTGTGCCTTCCATCCGCCCTCGCCCCACGGCGTCGCCGTCGCCCACGTCACCGGCCACCCGCGCCTGCGCTTCAACCAGTACCTCGCCGCCCTGCAGACCTATGGCTACAAGGCCGATCTGGTCGACTATGTGCCGTGGGCGTCGTCGCTGGAACACTATGTCAGCTCGCAGCAGGATTTCGCGCTGATGCCGCTGTTCACGTTCGTCGCCAATGATTTGCCCTCCAACACCCGTGCGCCGGAACTCGATGACCGCAATGCCGAGAAGGCTCTGTACGAAGACAGCGAGTGGACCAAAGTCGATGTCAGCGAGGGCAGCGGCGTCACCAAGAACACCGTCGGCCTCTACTTGGCGTATTTGGTGGAAATTGGGTTTCTGCCGCCGCCGAATGCGGTCGCGCAGGATGGCGCGGTCAAGAGACTTCCTCGCGTCTCCATTAGCGAGGAGCAGCGCAAGGCTTTGGCCAGCGTCGGTGGGCGAGGTGGCTTGAGTTGAGTTGAGCGAGACTGAGCGAAACTGACCTGAACGGAACCTGGTCAGATCAAGGGGGATGGTTGAGCGTGGCAGCGCATGTGTGATAGGCTGGAGAGGAGAACTGAGCATTTGGGAGTTTCGCTTTGGTTGGTCATTGTCGTGAATCAATGCAAATTATGTCAAAAGTTGTGGTGCTAGAATTGATCACAGAATTAGATTGCTGCCAGAGTCAAGCTTGAAATAGACTCAAGGATTGGGGAGTGCAAGCCACGAAGATATACTGTATTGCATGCTGATCGGTCTCTTGCGAGCTCTAGGACCTGAAGATTTCCTGAATTTCCTGAAAATGTACTATGCGAAGTACTTTAGAGCTGGAAGAACTAGTTGCTTTACGTGCTGAGGGCCTTGACGCCGCTGTCCTCGTGCTCGTGGAGATAACTGCAAATAGCCAGCTCATGCCGCTCAACAAGACATGTCGAGTCACCTGGCTGTCTACGATAAATCTTCTGAAATATGATCGTGATACCGAGAAGCATGATATAGGAGATTTATTTCGATATAACTCATGGTGAGAGAGCATCAGACACAAGTCTCATCGAGGTATCGACCCAATCCGACCTGCTTTGGAGACAGTATATATCACGGTCCCAATCCAGCGTCATCCAAAAGCGTACTGGAACCTTGGCTCGGCCAATCCATATCCGCATTGTATCAAAGGAGGAATTGATCAACCGCTGGTAGCCGCCTTCGTCTCCTCACGGTATTTCTTCGTTCCCAGAGTCGACACATCGTAGCCATTCTGGACCAGATAAGCTCTGAACCTCTCGTCTTCATCGGTGATAGTATCTTGACCGATTTCCGGGAGACAAAACAGAGCAATGAGGCCGCTGAAAATGCACAGGGCGCTGGAGACGTAGAAGGGATACTGGCCCTGCTTGATGACGTCGTCGCCGGCAGCCTTGATGATATCGGGAAAGATGTAGTTCCCGACAAAGGCGCCAATCTTTCCACAAGCGGCGGCGATGCCGTAGTACATGCCTCGCACCGAAGTGGCCGACGTCTTGGAGGCGACCAGCCCGATGTTGTCGCCAGGACCGACTTCACCTAGGGCGAGGAAGATGCCGTAGATGACGACAAAGCCGCCGACCTGGGATGGTTGGTCCAGATGCTTGTAGATGCCGGTCATGATGAAGCCGATGATGCCCTGCAACGTGACGCCGAGGATGAGGCAGCGTTTGGGACCGATCCAATCCGACAGAAACGCTCCCGCCACGGCCCCGGGGACATAGAACAGATTGATGACCGTGTTCCAGCCGAAGGTCTTCCACAGCGGAGCGTCGGCTGGAAGCAGGAAGGCCAGCCACGACGAGGAGTAGATACTGAACGAGTATGCGGAAAAGTCGTAGATAAACCAGATCAATGATACGACGACCAGGCGCCACCAGTAAAACTTGAGGATGAGCCAATACGGGTAGTGGTTCATCTTGTTCCGGTTGTACTCTTCGGGTTCTTGTAGCTTGAATCGCAGGTACAAGAGAGACAGCGGCGGAATCACGCCCAATCCCAAGGCCACCCGCCACGCGGCTCTCATGTGGTGTTCGGTGAAAATCAACATGAGGATCATCGGGACGAAAGAGGCGACAACGAAGCCCACGTCGATGGATAGATTCGTGAAGCAGATGAACCAGCGGTTTCGGTGGCCTCGTTTCAGCTCTCCTGTGGCTTCGGCGCAGGCTACAGAGCCCGCGGGATATTCGCCGCCAATTCCTATGCCGAGCAGAAACCGGTAGGCAGTCAGGGCAGCGAAAAGCCCCTGGATGCTCCCTCCGGCTCCGTATGATCCGGCTCCGAGAGCGGCGAAGATGATCAAAATGAACGTGGAGATGAGGAGCGAATGCCGCCGTGACCAGTGATCTGACAGGTATCCAAAGACCAGTTGTCCCAGTACAGTACCGGCAAAGGCGATGGAGGAGACATTGCTTTGAGCGTCCGACTTGGCGTATTCATCCTTGTAGATGGTTTTGAGCATTGTGTTGACCGACCCAATAACCTGCATGGCGGAGATGAGTCAGTGATCTGTACAGTGAGCAGGCACGGGAGTCAACATACGCTATTCAGATATCCATCTGAGAACAACCCGGCGCCACAAGCAATGGTAGGCCAGCTTCGTTCCCATCTTGTCTTTGGGACGGCATCTAGGGGAGCCACGTGGACTGATAGACCACGGTCGTCCGTAGCCTGACTCTCGGTGATGATCTTTTCGTTGTCCATCGCGATGGTACGATACAGTCAGGCGATCTAAGATCTGTTTTTCTGGAACAAGATTGGAATAAATGGGTGGGAGGCTGTCTAGATATAGGGTCCATCAGACGGCGCCCCCCCCCCCCCCCCCCCCCCCCCCCCCCCCCCCCCCCCCCCCCCCCCCCGGGAGGCACCGAATGCACAAGGATCGGTAGAAGATCGAAAGGCTGAACGAGATAGGGCGAGCTAACAGAACCGTTTCGAGGGGTGCAGTGGGTCTCAATTGGGGCCACGACGCTTGATAGAGGCGACTGAGTAGCCAGTACTTCGAGAACGTGGGTTCACCCTGGTGGTCTTCTCTTCCAGAACATGCAGTACTCTGTAGCCGTTGATTGGGGTATCGACACCCTCTTGGTGTTGATCGCGGTTTGATTGTCCCCATTCTTGACGCACAATCGACGACTCGGCACTGCCATTGATATCCGGAGAGACCGATTGCAAGACTTGTTGTCTGGCGATTTGCAGCTAGTTCTTCTGAGTGGGTACAGAGAATGAGATGGGGAAACGCGTCGAGTGTTTGATTGTAACGTCGTGCTTCCACGTCCGTATCATGATCGAGGCAGTTCTGAGGTCCCTAGTCGCCAACATCGCCAGGATCGACCCCCTCAAATTGATAAGTCAAGGTGGTGGTTGCATTGCTAGCCAGTCAGCGTCAGCAGCTAACACGATAACGAAGGTACTATAACTACTGTGAAAAAACGAAAAGCCCGGCAGCGTGGCATCTTGCCCATTCGTTGCTTGTCATCCATAAAGCAAAGGGCGCAGGGAGGAAACTCGCTGTTCTTGTTCCCCCTGCCGATGGTTATTACTTTAGAGTTTTATAGATTTCATGCTTGAAATCCTTATTTTTATGCTTGTCTACTCTAAATCTGGCTTTAATTCTCAGGTGAAGAAAGTGAGGCAAACTTTTACTTCGAGGCAGGCGCTATCCAGATCCACAGCGGCGCAAAGCTTGGTACTCGCCTTATCTGTCATTGGCTTTCCGCTTGTCTGCGCAATGACGTCGCCACCCCAGTGCCAGTGTGACCCTTTGATAACGGCTGGCACCTTACTGCGTACTATACCAACTGTGTATAAACCACCAGCCCTGTGGAACGAGTTAACCGAGAACTTCGGAATTAATGCCGTATCTTGGTATACAAATCCACATGAACATTGAGGCTACTAGCCCAGATGCAGCGAGTAAATGATTGCCCAACATATACCTACTGTGACGAACACATCTTTCTCTTCTCTGTCGACCGAGTTCACAACTTGGCTTTCGCAGGCTTTGGCGCATCTTCTTGCTTCGCCTTTTCCTTCAATACCCGTCGCAGAATCTTGCCCGCTGCACTCTTGGGAATCTCGTCGATGAAACGCACTCCTCCTCTCAGCCTCTTATGGTTGGCCACTTTCCCTGCGAACCAAGTTACGATCTCTTCTGCGTCTTGCTTGGTGGTCTTTCCCTCCGCAGCCACGACATAGGCTCGAGGCACCTCTGTATGTTGTTGTTCATCATTGACTCCAATCACGGCCACGTCATTGATCCCCGGATGATCCATCAGCTTGCCCTCAAGCTCAGCGGGAGCCACTTGGAAGCCTTTGTATTTGATCAGCTCCTTGACTCGATCGGTGATGTAAAAGTTGTGGTCTTGATCCTGGTAGCCCACATCACCCGTCTTGAAATATCCGTCTGGGGTCATGGCGTCTTTGGTCGCCATTTCGTTCTTCCAGTATCCCTTGAAGATGTTCGGACCAGACAGATACAGTTCGCCCGTTTCGCCAGGCCCGACTTCTTGGCCGTCTGGGGAGATATACTTCGCCGTCATGTTAGGAAACATCTTGCCCACACTGCCAACCGAAGAATACCATTCGTCCCATGGCTTGAATCGAGATCAGTCATGTCCAGGCCTAGAATTCCGTCACTGTGCTTACCTGGGTATGTGTCATGGGACTGGTCTCGCTCAAACCGTACGCTTGGTTGATCTTGATGTCCAATCGCTTATGCAGCGCATCAACAAGTTCCCGGGTCAAAGGTGCCGCTCCACTCGTAATCATCCGGATGCTGCTGAGGTCATATCTGTCCACCACTTTGTCACGAGCCAACCGCACGATGACGGGTGGTGCCACGTAGATAAAGGTGATTTTGTGCTCTTCGATGGCTCTCAAAAATACCTCCAGGTTGAAGGCTGGCATAACCACCAACTCGATGCCCCTGTGTAGTGGTTGATGGACGAGACCGGTGAGCCCGTATATGTGGAAAAAAGGCAACACTCCCAGGATTTTATCTCGTCCACTCGAATACCATTTCCCGACGGCTCCTTTGACCATGAGAACATCGGCAACGATATTGCGATGACTCAACATTACCCCTTTCGGGAGCCCGGTTGTCCCTGAACTGTACACGAGGAATGCGAGATCTTTGTCGGAATCCATTTTCCGTCCAAGGTAACGGCTCGACCCGCTTGTCTTGCGGATACTAGTCCAGTGCTTGATTCCATGGGAGGCGTCTCGTCCGTTGCCTAACAAGATTACACGATCCTGCGGGATGTTGGATTGTTTTGCTGCCTTCAAGGCTGTCGCCAGGAAGTCCGTCGTGGTGACGATGGCCTTGGAACCGGAATTGGTTAGCTGGAAGGATAATTCCTCGGCCGAATATGCTGGGTTTGCTGGGGACACGATGCCGCCCGCATAAAACACGCCGTAGACAATGGCGGCGAAATCGACATCATTCGGTGCAAAGATGTTGAGGACATCCCCCTTTTGCCAGTCCCATAGATTCCGAAGTCCTCCCCCAAATGCCGTTGCAGCTTCCCTGACGTCCTTCCACGTATATTGACGTGTAGCATCAACGGAGCGGTATATCACTGGACTCCGATATTAGCCAGCCATCAAAGAATCCCGCTGGTGTCCTTCAATTTACCTTGGGAGTCAGAGAAATCTCGAGGCTGCTCAAACATGAGCCCCCAAAGGTCGACATTAGGAATATGAATGTCGGCAAAGGAGGATCTTGTAGGCATGGTGAGTTTGGTTTCCGTCCACCTAATCTCGGCCACTGCTGCAATTCTCAGGGAACAACAGAACAGGAAAAGCGGAGTATGGGGAAGGGGGTGTCTGGGACAAGGGTGTAAAACAGTCCAGCTTGTAAGGCATCCAAGAGCGACACCACTGGCGCCCAAGGTATGTACTTGCAAGATATGGCCACCTACTTCTGAGAACGAAAGGAATCATCCCGATGGAGCTGTACTGTTGCCTACGCCCAAGACCCCGAGAGTCCCATCCTACAGCTGGGAATATGGCGAGATGGCTTCCATGGCATCATCCCCGCACGAGACCGCGGAGGTGCGGGAACCAAACGGCAGAGGCTCATTGTGGTTGACCGGCAAGGAGAATTGCCGTACTCTGTATACTAGTACGAGGTACCTTACATTTGAGACAGCACCCACAAGGCTGCGTCGACCGCTTGTTCAGGCTGATTTGGTGCAAACGCTCGCTGTCCTCTCGAGGTCCGCCGGTCCAGCCTTCTCGAGACAAAGATTGGAGTCTGCCAGGTCTGCGCGTGATTCGGGTTGTTGAACTCAGAGAGTCACGATACGTTTACCGTCGGGAGAAAGGCCGCATGCTGAGTGGACCACCCAACTACGCTCTTTGGAGAGCATAATTCAGAGGTCGCGATGAAGCCTGCTTTGTTGTATGGCTTGATGGTAGATATATCAATGGCAGTAAAATGACTACGTACTGGGATTTGTATGTATGTGTGGCTGATGCACTGCAAGGAACTACGGGATCACGTGGGGTCACGTGGAATGGGCCACGAAGCTGACGCGAGACGTCAGACCGGAACAAACCGCTACACACCAATAATGAAGAGGTACCGAGGTTAACAACCACATGTCGGTGAAAGGGAGAAATCCGGAGAAGAGAAGGAGAAGCCTCAAGGGAGCCCGCGCTCTTCAAAGTTTGGCTTGATCTCCCCCAATATCAATCCGTCTCGCGTGTCACTAGGTATTCTCATCGTCACCTCAATTCATATCATCTCCTTTTCCCTCCTCCTAGCCTACATCCGGTTTTCGCGTCGCCTCGCTCTCTTCCGATCTGATTCCGTTTGCGGGTCCCGAATCTTACGTGTTGCAGCCATGGTCGCGGACGCCCTAGTCTATCACCCGGCGGTGACCCATTACCTCCGATATGTCGCGACTACAGGTAAGCACATCGCGTTCACGTCGACCTGCTTGGACTGACCCAGTGTTGTTGTCTAGTCGGCCGCGACAAGGTTCTGCGTACCATCCAGTACTTCAGTCGATTCTATGCCTGGTATCTCTATCGGACCAACAACCCGACCAGTACTATTCTGCCATGGGTGGCCCTCAAGAACCAATTTGGTCTGACGAGGAAGATCCTGCGCATTGGCAAATTCGTCGAACATATCCGCGCGGCGTCAGAGATCTATGATGCAGCAGTCAAAGCAGGCAATGGGGACAAGATTACACAATACCTTCAGATTCTCCGCCAGATTGGCTATGCCGGCTATTTGCTGTTCGATACGATGACAGTGTTGGACGCAATGGGCGTCAAGAAGGATCCCAGCGCAAAGAAACTTCAAGCGAATGCCTATCGTTTCTGGTTCACGGGTTTGATGGCCAGCGCCCTCGCAGGAATCTACAACACCTATAAGTTGAGGCAAAGAGCAAAGATTGTGGACGAGAAAGACGCAGAAGCGAAGGTAGAGAAGGTCAAGATTGCAAGGTACGTTCTGCGTCGAGATGAGCCGTCCGCAAGACAGAAACATACTGACTGTTGAAATCAGACAACAACGAGCAGTCAATATCCAACTGGTGTCCGACCTTTGCGATATCACAGTGCCCAGCTCGGCTTTGGGGTACGCCAATTTTGACGATGGCATCGTTGGGTTGGCTGGCACAACCAGTAGCTTGCTTGGGGTGTATAGTGCATGGCAGAAGACTGCTTGATCTCGATTCCCTGGGAAGGAGACATTTCTCTATACATCGCGTCGTATATCCCCGTCAATTACATTTCGCAGTTCCTGGGACCCCGGACGAATGGATCCTGACTGGTCGATCGTGCCACCACAGACTACTGTATGTCCAGGCGATGGCCATGCTCAAGCTGTTTGAGGAGGTGGTATCCGCTGTGACCATGATTTATTGGGGAATACTCCGTCATCATTGGCATTTAACAGAACACCTTGCTGGCTACCTATAGTAGTTGACTGCTTTGTACGAGCCATCTGCTCTTGTTTGAATCCCGACCAACAGGCTGTTTTCCTGGAACGTTTGTCAGGCGATCCCAATGCTCTTCCATGCAGTACAGTCCCTGTTCCAGCCCAAACGCTGTCTATCCAGGCAAACTCTGCTTGTTAGCGTTGACATTCCAACCCCTGTGCGGAGGCGGACCGTGCAGGAGCCCTGGGCCTTGGAGGAGGAATTGCCGTGAGGTGGTAGTGGCGGGCGGTGGTGGTGAAATGATGGCAAGGGTCAGGTTGGCGGGGGGTGAGCGCAGGCGAGACATGACGGTTTGTCATAGGACGAACGCGGTGAATAGGTACAAGTACCTCCACCTTTGAATGTGTTGCGTTGCGGTGTTGCCCCTCCGTCAGGCTTCATCACCGGTAGTACTACTGCGAGCCTGCCCTTCAGGGATTCCATCATCTCTTCAAATCTCTGTTCTCGACTGCGAGAATATAAGACCGCCACTGCACTGCGATCCCTTTTCGCATGCTCCGCATTGATCTCCAATTATCACAGCATTTGACACCCACGCCCTATCACCGTCGCCAATTAGCAGCGCTCGGGAAGAATCGGATAGCGTCTCCAGGGCAAACCACCACATCTGTCTCCGAAGTTTCCCGACTCTGTATCGGGAATTGCACTTTACATCGGGTTGGCCCCGGCATCAGGAAGATACAAGTGCAAGGGCATTTCTCCCCGATGGCTTCAGATTACTCTGCTCGTCTTCAAGCTATCCATCAAATTCGTCCTCTATCGCCCTCTCCAGCCTCGGGCAAAGCACGTTCTGATCTTGCCAAAACTCAACTGCGTTCATTTTCTGCCAGAATGGTTTCTCAATCGGTCAACAAGACCGCCCTCCACCCGAGTGGTGTCGAGTACGTTGCTGTCCTCTATCGTTGTCGACTGTCCCAGCCGCTAATCAGTCACCATCTAGGCCTTCCCGCGAGCACACCGAGCTGGAAGAAGAACTTCACTCGACAGCCCACATTGACTACGATCGGGTGGCCATCGTTGCCAACCCATCTGTTTCTGCTCTCTACGAGGATGCTCTGGTCTACGAAACCGGCTCTGCCATCACCTCTTCGGGGGCCCTGACAGCCTACTCGGGCTCAAAGACGGGCCGTTCGCCGCTCGACAAGCGTGTCGTCAAAGAGGAAAGCTCGGAGAAGGACATCTGGTGGGGACCTGTGAACAAACCCATGACACCAGAGGTCAGTCGATTTCCCATTATTTCTTGTATTCTATTGCTTCCATGCTTCCGCTGTGTGACTCTCCCCTCATCCCCTCCGGTGGAAATGATCATGAGTCTCTGGCATCCGTGTCTTGATGCCACGTTGGGACCTCATCCTCACCCTCCCCCGCAGTGAGAGAATTGGTTTGGGATCACATGTGGGCGGGCATCAGGAGAAACATCTCCATATCGCCCGGTTGCCCCGCGTTGAGCCCCCCTGCCAACCATGACGCACTGGCACTACAGTTGCAGTGGTGTCCAGGCGTTCTGGGCCCGGCAGCCGCGGCTGAGGGACGAGAATTTCTTGGCTGCGGGTTCAAAACGGGGCCGCAACCCTCAGCCACCTAATTCAGGCTTCGGCAACTGCACCGGATGCTCTTCGTACCCCACCCCAGTACCACCAGTCGTCCATCTTGCTACACTACGGAAGATTCAGGAAGACCAATGCTGACGTTAGTGTGATCGTTGTGGAACAGGTCTGGAAGATCAATCGTGAACGAGCCGTTGACTACCTCAACACCCGAAATCGCATCTACGTGATCGATGGCTACGCCGGTTGGGATGAACGCTACCGCATCAGCGTCCGCGTTGTCTGCGCCCGTGCCTACCATGCCCTCTTCATGCGCAACATGCTCATCCGACCCAGTCGAGAAGAGCTGAAGGACTTCCACCCAGACTATGTCATCTACAATGCCGGTTCATTCCCGGCCAACAGATACACCGCCGGCATGACCAGCGCTACTAGCGTTGCCATCAACTTTGCTGAGAAGGAGATGGTCATCCTGGGTACAGAATACGCGGGAGAGATGAAGAAGGGAGTCTTCACTGTCCTCTTCTATGAGATGCCCGTCAAGCACAACGTCCTGACGCTCCACTCGTCTGCCAACGAGGGTGAGAACGGCGACGTAACGGTGTTCTTCGGCTTGTCTGGCACGGGCAAGACCACGCTGTCAGCCGACCCCAAGCGCAAGCTCATCGGTGATGATGAACACTGCTGGTCTGACAAGGGCATCTTCAACATCGAGGGAGGCTGCTATGCCAAGTGCATCGGCTTGTCTGCCGAAAAGGAGCCCGACATCTTCAACGCGATCCGATTTGGGTCGGTGTTGGAGAACGTCGTCTTCGACCCTGAGACTCGAGAGGTCGACTATGATGACGCCACCTTGACAGAAAACACACGTTGTGCGTACCCTATCGAGTACATCAGCAACGCCAAGATCCCTTGCTTGACGGAAAACCACCCCAGCAACATCATCCTGCTCACCTGTGACGCCCGTGGTGTGCTGCCACCCATCTCCAAGCTCAACACTGCGCAGACCATGTTCCACTTCATCTCCGGTTACACGTCCAAGATGGCCGGGACGGAAGATGGTGTCACGGAACCGCAAGCGACCTTTTCTTCCTGCTTTGCTCAACCGTTCTTGGCCTTGCATCCCATGAGGTACGCCAAGATGCTTGCAGACAAGATCTCGCAGCACAACTCGAACGCGTGGCTCCTCAACACCGGCTGGGTTGGTGCGGGTGCGAGCACCGGCGGCAAGCGCTGCCCGTTGAAGTATACCCGCGCCATCTTGGACGCCATTCACTCTGGAGAGCTGGCCAAGGCGGAGTATGAGACCTACGACGTGTTCAACCTGAGCGTGCCCAAGACATGCCCTGGTGTGCCCGACGAGCTTCTCAACCCCAAGAAGAGCTGGACTGGCTCCGCCAGCTTCACCGATGAGGTGTCCAAGTTGGGCAAGCTGTTCAACGAGAACTTCAAGAAGTACGCCGACGAGGCCACCGAGGAAGTCATCAAGGCTGGTCCAGTGGTGTAGTCGTGTTCTTTGAGTGAGATTTGCTGTTGCCCAGACGCTCTGGGTATTGTACAGAATGCGTTGAAAATTGGGAGTGCATTTGTTTGTGGCGTTGGGACAGTAAGCGTTCGGTTGGTTGAAGACAGTAACAACACGAACGCGAGACGCGAGAGGCATCACGAATGCAACGAACTGACAATCCGATGATGGCCGGCTCTCCGTGTCCGTCCAGCCAAGTGGTTGGTTGACATGTTGAGAATGAAACGCCTCAGAAATATGCCTGCTAGATACTGTGCGACGAGAGGTACGAGAGGTACGAGATTGGAGATGTACATCTGCAGCTTTTCATGTCATATAACTGATAATTTTATCAAACATGAAATAAAAGCATTTTAACCAGACTTGGGTGACATGGCCGACGCTTTCCTGTGACCGAGGAATGTCCGCAGGTACCGAGTCGACAGTTTTGCTAACCCACTGTACGTAGTTCGCAGCCAACGAGGAGCACAGGAAGACGGCGCGCCTTGTGGCAGGTGAAGGGCGTACAACGCGAGAGATACAGTAGAGAGTGCGTCGTTGTAGTCATCGACTGTGGCCGGTCAGATACAATTTGGTGGCGAAATCGAGGATCGCAGGCACCGGCCACGGCATCAGAGGGGTGTCAGGATGCGTTCAGAGATGAGACTCGGCGATAAATCGATGGGTGACGCTAATAGTAAGTGGGAGGAAGGAATAGGGTAAATCGCAATAGTAATCGTGTCATCCGAGTTGAGTTCATCGATCGAGGCCGGGGACGTGAGATGCAGTGGTAGAGGCAGAAGCAGTGGTGAAGCTTGAAGGAATCAATAGCGCCAGAGAAAATCCAGCAATAGTGACTCAATAATTAATTAGTAGGTGAATGAATGGCATGAATCTCCCGCCCTGATCCTCCCGCCCGCTCGGTCTTTTCTGGAGCACGAGTTCCTCTCTTTGCGCCTCTTCTCGCTCTCTGCACGGGGCGCACAATGTGACTAAGATCGAGTGGCCTCCCGAACGACCCGAGGGCAGGAATTCCACCTCCCACAACTGCGGCAACTGCAGTAAAACTGTTCGCGGGCGTCCACCACTGTCCAGACGGCACTGGATTGTACTGTGTGTTACTCCCACGCACCGTCGCCGTCCACAACCTGCGGCGGGCTTCGATTCCTTCGATTCCTTCTCCTCGTTTACCACTCTGCATCTCGAATGCTCCCAACCCACTTCCGCTCACCCATCTCGTCGTCACCAAACCACACTGCATCACCTCCCTCTCCGGAACACTCTCACCATTTCAGCCTCGTCTTCGCTGAAGCAGTCCTACACCATCATGGCTGATCCGGATCCATAGTCATCGGATCTCCTCTCTTCGAATCTCTCCTCCTCGGCGTCTGACGGTCGGCGGTCTTCGTCAAACTTTTTCCGGAATCCCCCCTCCACACGAGTCCTCCAGCATCAACCACGAAAATCCAAATCCCCTGCGTGTTACAATTCCGGATTCGCCGACTCCATTTCACACGCCTTTCAGTCTCCGCGATTGCACGCGCACTTGTTTGCTTTCCTCCCTGTCGCCCTTCCGGTGTGAAGGCGCCCGATTCACTGGCCTCGGCTAGAGCCTGGGTTGCGGTCGCACCGGGTCCGAATCCGTCGCAGCTCGTCTGTCCACGGCCCTCGATAATTCCATCTTCCAGTTGCGCCCATCGTATGTGAAGGGAGGAGTCCTGCGGGTCTACAACTACTCAAAATGCTCATAAACGGAGAGAAATTTGCCTGCGAGGCCTGTGTGCGCGGTCATCGTGTCAGTTCTTGCCATCATCAAGGTAAGAAGAGTCGCTGTAAAAAGCATGCAAGATCTGGTGAGCATATACTGACTCTCACCATGATTTAGACCGCCCTCTGGTCCATGTCAACAAGAAAGGCCGTCCTGTGTCGCAATGCCAGCATTGTCGAGGCTTGCGCAAGGCTCGCTCACAACATGTGAAATGCGAGTGCCACGACAAGGCTCACCCAAAAGACGAATGTCCACACGTCAAGACCGAAAACAAAGCCGGTTCGTAACACTGAATCTTTTTGGTCCACCCAAGTTATTGATTGTTCTCTAGAGCCGCATACTTGTTGTTGCACGCACGGTCAGCGATGTACTTGTTCCTTGAAAAAGGACCTCGATTCTGTCCCCGAAGACATTCCACCCCTGATCCAACCCAAAGAACATGCCAAACAACGGCCGAACATGAATTCGCACGAGTCCAAGACGACGATATTCACCAATGGTCATCACAAGCCTGTTCACAAATTCAACGATGCGCATAATCAGCTCGGAGCCCCTTACAAGATCCCTTCACGATCGCATTCTCTTCATGGCCACCGCGATCTGGCTCACAGGTCCACGGACAGCCTTCCGCTTCTAAAAACCTCCAGACCGTTTCACGAGTCGCCACTACACAATTCCATGACCGACGCTGTGGACATTATGCAACGTCGAGTCAAATCCGAACACAACTCTCCCGCGCTGGGACCGACGAACGGCATGGTGGACCCTGCAATACAGGATCTCGCAATCCCGAGTTTCGATCCCAAGGCCTATTCATATTCTCCTTTCGGCACTGATACCCCTCCAACCCAGACCAATGGTCTGCAAAATGGTCAGACCCCCGGCCAGCAAGATTTGTCGTTACCAGAACGCTTTCCCGAGAGCTGGTTCATGACATACGAACAGGCCCATGAATACGAACCTCCACCTGGGTCGAGATATACCGATTTTACGGCGGTTGACTGGTCCACGTTCAATCTGGACACAAATCCAACTCCTTATAACAGCAGTCAGAGCAACTCGCCCTATCTGGCTCAACAAGCTCCCTATCCACAGATCGACCTGTCCAACCAGATGAACAATGCGGGAATCACCTCCTCAAGCGGAGAGGTGTCAGAAGTCGACGATCAATCGCCGCCGTCTCATCTGGCCGTGAATAATCGACCTCTGAACAACGTTGAACGGTCGAGTGGGTTAGACGGCTACAGCGATTTCAACAGCATCGGCGGCGACGACGTTTCTGATCGACATCGCTTGAGCTCCGCATCATCGTATTACGGCACTCCACAAGCGAACTTGTTGGCCGCGGACAACCTAGGAACCCTCGACATCGACGAGTACATCAAACAGGCCGAAGCGGAAACCAAGCGAATGCAGATGCAACAGCAAATGGCGCAGATGCAGATGAGCCCTCAAGACGTGCAGTCGTCGCGCATGTCGAGCGTCAGTCGGGCCATGACCCCCACTATTTCCACTCCCGGCAGTACAGCGAATGGCGAACACCCGTTCACGATCCGGGAGGCTCAACGCTACGCTCATATGGATGGCGGAATGTCTAATCAGATCTCGGTGGGGAATACCAACAGCAGCAGCAGTAACAACAGCAGCAACAGTAACAATCACCACGCCGGCGGCGGCGCAGTCATTCCTCCCGCCGTCACTATGACTGACGATCCTGCTTGGTCTGTTGCGCCGGATATGTCGAATCCAGAGTTATCCTTGGACGACGAACAGGAAGACGAAGACTGGGTCCGGTGACAAAGGCAGATGATGTAGGATGGTTCGTCTTAAAAAGAAGGAACAAAAATACCCCTTATACACCGAACATACTTTTCGGGTTGACCCAAAGATCGACGGACATACAGCAAGACCATTGGAGAGAGGAACGATATATCATCTGCCTGCCTGTGAGCAATTCCTGGTCTCAAATACCTCCCAAGTGTCGAAAATGGAAACTAGTCCGAATTCGCGTCCGCGCCCGCGTCCGGTCTTTGATGAGTTACGATTGTCGATTGTCGCCATGCACATGCACATGCACATTTTTTTTTGTCTGTCTGATATTTGCATTATTCAGTCAGTATTAATAGATACCACGGCGCTTGGCCTTTGGTTCTTGGTTTTTGGGGGTTTTGCCCGTTGGTTTTCGAATACCCAGACCAGACGAGACGAGACGAGACGATGCAGATCATCCAGTTGTTGATAGGGTTTGAAAGTCTTGAGATTGAAGCAAATGCGGGATTGTGATTGTGGTTATGGTTATGGTTGTGATTATGGCTATGGTCTACAGTCTCACTGTTGTGTCTATCGGTCGTCGTTGACTCTTTGTTTGGATGATCAGAAAGAACAAATGGAAGTCCGAACCTGTGAGACCTGTGAGACCTGTGAGACCTGTGAGACCTGTGGAACCAGTTTTCACCTACCTTCCATATCACTCACACTATACTACTACGTACTTGGAAGTTACTAGACCACTAGACTACTGCCTAGACTACCATCAAGTACAGAGTACAGAGTATAGAGTACAAAAGCCATGATTCCGTCTTTCATCTTTCATCTTTCATCTTTCATCTTTCATCTTTCGTCTTTCGTCTTTCGTCTTTCGTCTTTCAGGGAAGTACGGCCCATACCTAATGTACCCTTGTCCATATCCATCCATACTATAGACCCCATACCCATACCCATACACATACCCCTGGGTATCCCTTATATATACGTATTATCGGTGATTGTGAGATGTCTGAAAGCTTGGTACTGTGGTACTATGGTACCTAGGTAGGTACGTAGGTAGTTACATCCCTTACCTTACTCTACATACCTAAGATAAGATATGTCAAGTATAAAGGACCTGGACCTCAGACCTCAGACCCCTAACGTCGGGTACCTAACTACCTACTGTACATAGTACCAATTTAGTACAGTATGTATATATTTCAAGATACTCACTTTTAAGTTACTTACTCCTGAATCGAAAAAAGAAAAAAGCTTCAGTATCTAATAATAACTAGAGGAGAGGGCATGGACATAAGGTAGGTAGGTAGGTAGGTAGATAGGTACCTCGGTAGACAATATACCTGATATAATAGTGGTTTGACTATATACGTACATACGTACATACATACATACATACATACAGGTCATCATTCAGATCCAAGACTGTTGTCTCTATTTCAACTTCAAGATCAACTTTCAAGTTCAAGTTCTTGCGTCTGTCTGCCTGTCTTACTTCCTCTTCCTCTCTCCCTTTCTGTCTGTCCCTCACCGCTTCAATATCTCCGCAACCCATCTCATCTCCACAGCACTCACGCCCCTCGCGTACGCTTTGGTCCCGGTATATACGAATTCATTGTAGACGATCCCCTCGAATTTCCTGGTTGGTCCACCAGGAGAATTCGTACCGGCAAGTCCAGAATTGTCGTTGGTTGTAGTGTGATTTCTTTCTCCTTTTCCTCCATAACCACCACCACCAACACCACCACCACTTCTCCCTCCTTCTCCTCCTCCTCCTCCTCCTCCAGGAACAGAAAACAATACACTGCTTGGATGAATTGCAACAACTTGATTCGTCAGAATGGTGCGATAACTGCCGTCCGGACTCAAGCGGGCGACGTTGGCGTGGAAGCCAGTCAGAAGACATTTCAGGATTCGGGTGGGTAGAGTTGATGGATCATGTAGATGGTGATGATCAGAGTGAGAGTCAGAGTCGTGAAATTGGTTGTTGTTGTTATTGCCATCAACCTCACCCTCGACATTAACCTCGTTGTTGGCAGTACTCTTGTTGTCTCCCATTCCGTTCTTTTTCGATTTCGGTTTCGCTGTCGCTCCCGTTGTCGCTCCCGTTGTCGCTCCTGCTGTCGCAGTCGCTCTCGCCCTTTTCTGTCTATTGGCCATCAACGCGGTCAACTGTTTCCGAACGTCCATGGCCCCCGTCATGGCTCGGTGGGAGATGAAGCGGTCTTCACACCAGCGGCGGCGGTCGGTCTGTTCCGCGGCGTAGGCTTGCATGGTGGCCAGGAGAGTCAGGTGGTCGCCTTCACGGCGGAAGAGGGCGCGACGGTGCCGCTGGGCGCGAGATTCGCGGGTCTCGGATTCCATGTCGGAAGAATCTGTAGCTTCGACTCCAAATCGGTCGTCGTCATCATCGTCCATACCGCCTTCTGATCGCGTTGACAAGACTTCAGGTTTGTTGCCGTTCGTGGGTTTACTCTTGTTACGCAACAACCCAGAGATTCCTTCTTGTTGCTGTGTCTGATTCAGATCATCATGATTCTGACTGCGGTTGCGATTGTGGTTGATATTCAGAAAAACATTCTCCACACTCAATGCGGACACGATATCGATGATCTCGTCGACACAATCGAACTCCGGCTCCGCGCTGGCCAGCAACACACGCGCCAGACTCGCCGGCAGAGGCAAACCACTCATATCCCTCCCCAAAGGCGTGATCCGACCACTGGTCGTGTCCAGCGCATTCAGCTGGACCAGATGGATCATTGCCCTCTCCAACGCGCGGCGCGGCGGAGCAGTCAGAAACGGAAACCTCAGCAGATCGTCGATCCCGTGCGCCTTGAGCGTCAGGACCAACTGGCTCAGATCACAGCGGAGGATCTCCGGTTCCGTGTCCTGCGGCAGCTGGTAGAAGTCGGATTCGGTGTACAGTCTGTACGCCGTGCCGGGGGCGTCTCGACCGGCCCGGCCGGAGCGCTGGTTGGCGGAACTGCGCGAGATCGGAACGGTCAACAGTGTGTCCAGATTCAACGATGGGCGGAACAGTCGCTGCTTCACCTTCCCAGTGTCGATCACGTATCGGATCCCCGGCACGGTGATACTGGTTTCGGCGATGTTGGTCGCCAGAATGATTTTGCGCGTGAACTTCGGTGTCGCCTGGAAGACCCGCTGTTGCAAGTGAGACGGCAATGCCGCGTACAGTGGCAGGATCAGGAGTCTGGGAAGTTGTCTCGACAGTTTCACGTCTTTCTGGATCTCGGTGGCCCAGGTGCGAAGCAGGCTGAGGAGAGATTCTACCGTTTCTTGGCCCGTGAGGAAGACCAGGATGTCGCCTGGCAAAGGGGTGTGCGAGTGGATATGCGTGATTCGTTGGTAGGCGGCGTCTAGGATATCCGGGACCGGGGCGGGCGTGTAGTTTATCGTCACTGGGTGTTGGCGACCTTTGATGAAGAGCGAAGTGGCTTTGGTGGGTTGGGACGAAGTCGTCGAATCTTTGGGAGTGGTGGAAGACATGTGTGATGTTGGCTTAGTCGAAGCATCGTTCTGGCTGTCTGATTTACTCGTTTGATATGACTTCTTCTTTGCCGACTCCTTCCCATTAGCGGCACCAGACTGCTCTTCCTCCGCTTTTTCTGGCTCTCCATTCGTCAGATGATCAATGTCAAGTGAATGTGGATTCTGACCGCCGTTGAAGAAATCCTGAATCTTCTCCATATCCGCCGTAGCACTCATGACGACGACTTTGATGCCGACGCCGCCCCTGCCGTCGTCTTGACTTCTCCGATCCTGCATGCGCCTCAGAAATCCCAGCACGAGATCGACATTGACGCCGCGCTCGTGAACCTCGTCGACCACGACGGCCGAATACTCCTTCAGCCACGGATCACGCAGCATCTCCTGCAACAGCATCCCCTCGGTCAAGAATTTGATGCGCGTAGACGGACCCGTACTGTTGTCGAACCGGACAGAGTATCCGACTTGAGACGCGGGACTGGAGGTTCCCAGCGGCGTGCCCATTTCCTCGGCGACCCGTCGAGCCAGAGAGATGGCGGCGACCCGTCGGGGCTGCGTGATGGCGATACATCCGCCCACCGCGCCTTTTCCTTCGATCCGCTTCTTCTGGCACCATGGCTCGTTGACCAGGAATTGCGGGATCTGCGTCGACTTGCCGGACCCCGTCTCTCCCACTAGAAGCAACACGTCGTGGTCTCGGAGTTTTGTCCGAATCCGCTCCGCGTGGCTGGAGATGGGCAGTTGCTGTCTGGACGACAGTAGCTGGCGGGCACGCTCTTTGAGGTGGAGACCTCTGTTGGATAACTTCGGGGGCTCGGGCGTGGCTGACCAGGCGAGACCGTCGTCGTCGTCGTCTTCGTCTCTGTGGTCTTTGAAATTCACCACCTTGCCTGACGCGCCTGCTCCAGCGGTATGAGACCGGTGTAGTTTGAGCGAATCCCCGAATGTTTTGGTTTGTGATGGAAACGCCTCTGTTGCAGACCGCTTCTTTCCTTTCTGTGCCATTGTCCCTGGCGATTCGGATTGCTTGTTAGGCATTCCCGCCGCGGATTTGGTATGCGGGCCTTTGGACATGACGCACGTTCAGTTGCTGATTATTGCGACGGTGTTATTGGAGACATTGCACAAGATCATGTCATCTTGGGCCCTGTAAAATGGGGAATTGTGCAGCAGTTGAAGTGATACTTGCATCAGAAGTCGATACAAAATCTCTTCGCCCGCAGCCTTGCGCCACCTCCGGGTCTTGGCAAGGCTGCTATCAAAATCCAATCTGAACTTCACCAACCACCTACATACTCCATTCACCTACATACAGGTACATAACATTACCCACTGGTAACCTATATTATATCCCAGCTACCACTGCCATCCGTACCTGCCGTAACTATTCATTACCCACACAACTCTCACTTGCTGTCCCCTTCGAAGGACCACAACTACAACCAATCCCTCCGTCATACTCTCTGATCTACTCATAGAGACAGCGACACTGAACAAATCATGTTTTATCTCCTCCAGATCATGGAGTCTAACAAGATGGTAAAAATGCTTTTGGACACACTGCCTCAATGTCAACCAAGCTTTTCTACTTTTACAAGGTATCCCATGATCCAATCACTTTTCGAAGACTCCCACCCATCGTCTTCCATTCTTGATCCTTGGTCCTTTATGGCCGACCTCGTGGAGTGCTTCTTCCTGCTTCAGCACGCTTGATCTCCTCTAGGATCAAATCGCGGGCCGACTCTACACCCTCCTTCTTGCCCACAATAGTAATGGCATCTCCTTCATCTGCTCCTCCTCGGTTGGAATTCTTGTTTGGAACTTGAATGTCACAGCCAGATGCCTTGCGAATGGCGTTGATGGTGTGTCCACCTTGTCCAATAATGTGGCGATGCAGTCGGGGGTCCGGGAGAACCAGATACCCGGTGTGTTGAGGCTCTTTCGCCCTTTCCATCAATGACTGGATCTTCTGTTTGATCTTCGCCACCGTTTCTTCCGAAGCATCTTTGCCAGGCAGAATCACCCACGGGATCTCTCCTGCCTCACCATCCAAGACGTCTTGGTTCGACACAATATCCCAAGAATAGGACTCCTCTCCCGGCTGGTCAGTGATCAGGGGCAGGCTGCCATTGGTGTTGGGTGCCTTAGGCCCGCGGGCACCGGCCTTGCCTTTTGGCGGCGGCTTCTGTCCGTTATGGTCGACGCGAACGCCGTCTCTGGACAACTCGCGGAAGAGAGCACCATTTCTAGAAATGACGTGATGCAACGACCGCGGGACCATGATGGTCTCGCCTTGTGGCCGGCTGGTCATCTTTCGGAAATGTTCCTTGGCCTTTTGGACGTTCTCTGGTCGACCAGTAACCTTGACCCCCGTGTCACCACTTCCTTGACGAGGTACGTTGATGGTCACCCCAAACTCTGCTTCCAACTTCTTCCGGCTACTTCCGTTGGGTCCGATCAATTCTCGGTGCTGCGTGACGGGGACATCAACTGTCTCCGTAGTCTGGTTTTCCTTCTCGTCCACAAAGCTTTGAATTGCTGCCACGATTTGGTCAACCACATCGGCGGTTCCCTTGACAACGAGAGTTTCGGATTCCTCTCCGGGACGAGGGAAACGAACATGTTCCGCACTTGTGTTTGTACCACCAGCTTTGGCCACGATACTCTGGATGTTGGACCCTGGGAAAGTCAGCTTACTTCTGGTTCCGTTTAGAGGTGGTAAGAGAACTTACCGCCAGCACCAATCAGAGCACGGTGATGTCTTCTGTCGACGTTCAGGTTCCGGGTGACAATGTCGTCAAAAGCTTTGGATCGCTTCTCAAGCTCCTGTTTGGCCTTATCCACTTGTTGTTTGGTACCTCTGATCTGAATGGTGACACGGTCCGAGCCATCAGGTTTGGGAATGTCAATCTGAGCTCCTGTGTCGGCCCTCAACTTCTCCATCTCCTGACCACGTTTGCCGATGAGGGAAGCAATCTGCCCCTGCGCCACCGACACGGTTGCCGTATGGGAATTGTCGACCAAGTATTGGTACAAACTCAGCAGCTCGTCGCGCACCTTTTCGGCCTTTGCCCGGGGTCCTCGGATTCTGATCTCATCGTGGGCATGACTTTTATTACCACCAGCCTCGCTGGCATTATCTGCCACGGAAGCGTCGTCACTGACTCTGGTGGCTTTGGGGAAGTCAATCCGCACGGCATTGTCCACCTTGCTTTGGATCTTTTGCAGATTCTCTCCGCTCTTGCCCACCAGCATGCCGTGATACTTGGGATCGATCTTGATGGCAAAGCTGACCTCGTCTTCCCACTGCTTGGCCAGTCGCTGGATCTCAGCTTTACAAGCCTCGGCCTTCTTCTGCGGCCCTTGAATGGTGATTTTGCCAGGCTCGCGAGTGTTAATATCCACGTCATGCTTTTCCTGAAGGGCTTTGATGTTTGCACCTTGTTTTCCGATCAGATTCTTGTTGAATTGAGCCGGGAATGCCAAGGTCGTGGTGTAACCGCGCTCCCTCTCGTCCTGCTCGGCCTCTTTTAAGAAAGCTTCGATCTTGCTGCGAAGGTCTGCAACATCCGCCTCGCTTGGTCCTCTCAAATATAACCGCTCGGACGGGGAGCCTCGCGAGACACCATTGGACTGCTTCTGGTCTCTAGGGACACCAAACTCGACTTGCACTGGGAAGGCTTCTGGAGGAGAGGGTTGGGGTTCGTTCTTCACAAACCTCCGAACCTTGTCCTGGAACTTTTTGGGAACATGAACGTCCTGCACTGATATACCTTGATGTGGGATGTTGCTCAACAATTGTGCTTGAGCCTGTTGCAAAGCCTTCTCGAAGTTAGCAATATCGGCTTTGGTGGGTTTTGTTCGTGGGATCGAGGAAGCCTCGCTTTGAGAAGCCTCGCTTTGAGAAGGGCCTTCATAAACCAGAACGACTGGATCGGAGCCGTCTTGGGGAACAATCATGTGGACTCCATAATCATCCTTCAGGCGCGATCCTTGCATTTGTTGGAGGTGGGGATGGAAGAATGGATCCACCTCAACAAGCTGCAGTCTCGCCGATGGGTACGCCTGCGCGATCTTGGACAGCTCATTGCGGGCGGAAAGGGCCTTCTGGGGGTCATTGCTAATGACACTCCAGCTTGGCGAAGCACTCGAGCTTTGGGGGAAGACGATTTCCGCGCCGTGGGAATTCATGAATTCGCGCTCAATGGCCTTCTGCTGCAAGTACTGAGCAAGTGCTCTGGAATGTCGTTCGGGGCCCTGTGGAGCGTCTTGAAAATGCTTGTGCATGTCGACTGCGCGGTTGTGCTTTCTGGACATCAATTCCTCTGCTAGGTTGCGGCCAGCACTGAGCTTGTCCTTCGGCCCAATGATGTGAATATCCTCAGTCTCATGCTGCGGAGGAGGCAGAATGACCACGCAGCCAGTCTCCTCCAAAAACTTCAGCGGATCCATCCCACGGTCGCCCACGATGTAAGGGTGGAGAATCTGTTCCGCTGCGACTTCTTCGAGCATGAGTTCTTTCTGTAGCTCTTCCGCCAATTGCTCGAGCAAAGCACGGGCTTCCACGGCGGCAGCTTGTTCCCCAGAAATAACAATATGACTATCTCCGTGAGGGACGAATGCGGGGCCGTGGTTGTCCTCGGCGGGCCGCGATGGTGGTTGTTGTTGCCAGGTGTAATATGGTGGCACGTTGATATGGAGATCACGCTCTTGCTCCAATTGTCGGAGACGGTCTGCATGCTGCCCAGCGATAAATGGGTAGAATTCCGGAGGGATTCCTCGCACTGGAAGGTCGACCTTTGGCTGAAGAGCTTTGACCTGGTTGGAGATTTGTTCGTAGACTTGTCGTACTTGGGCAGCATTGCCGCGAATCTCGACAACATCGGTTCTCACCTCTTCAGGGCTGGCCACTGGTCTTGTGTCTCGCTCGATGCGGATCTTCACGTTAAACTGGTTCTCAAGCTTCTTGATGTTTGCGCCTCCCTTGCCGATGATTTGTGCCGACACCGCCGAGGGGATCTCGAGTTTGACTTGTTTCTCCAGTGTCAACTCCTTCGACACGTACATCAAGGCCTCGGTCACACGGGCCTTGGGGCCTTCTGCAATGAATTCGGTCCGGGTTGCGAAATTGGTCGATTTGGGTGTGACGATGACGTTGAACTTCTTCTTCACATCGTCTAGGATGCGTTTTACCGGTTTGCTCTTGTCGAGATCGGCATTGTCAATCTCAAAGGAGTCGCGATATCTGCCTGGGAGCAAGACATTGCCACGAGCACCCGGTGCGGTGGTGACCGGGGTTCTGGCGCCTGGAGGTGAGATGGGAGTGCCCGCCCCAGACGAAGTTGGTCGTGGTCCAAGGGCTGGTGAGCCATTTGTCGGAGGAGCCTTTGCGGAGGCACTGGCAACCCAACCCGGAGCACGAGCTGCCGGGACTGCAGTCGGTTTCGTCGCAGCTCCCAAGGCAGGGAAAGCTTCGTCGGATTGAGTGTCCAGAACGGTGGGTTTGTCGGTAGCCTTCTGCTTGCCTGCGGCCTTTTCTGACAATGGAGGATCGGTCGTGCCGTTAGTTGTACTTGTAGTGTGCTTCGCCTTTTCCACATGTTCATGGGGAGGTGGAGGGTGCTGAAGGTCATCTTCGTCTGGGACGTCTTCAACAGTGACCCGATGGACCTCCGCAGCCTCATGCTGTTCTTTCATCAACTGCGCAGGAGTTTTTATGATGTTTGACTTGCCATCTGCAGCAGGATCGGCTGTAATGGTGGCCATGATCGTGGTGGCTTCCAGGAAGCCTCGAGAAAACCGGTAGAGTTAAGACCGTAGGAAGGGGACGACGACCGAGGGGTTTGGAGAGGTTAGGATGCGACGACCATGAATCAATCGCACGGTAAAGGCTGTTGGATAGAGGGGAAAAGTTAGGACGTCTGTCGATGCGACGTGCGAGGGGATTGAAGTCACAGTGACAAGGTACTTTTGTGCAAGAAGAGCGTGAAGTTGATGTAGGCGTTGAATGGAAGATCGTCGTGCTCCTGCTTCTGCTTCTGATTCTGGAGAGATTCCCATGGAAAGTCGCGCTTCGGATCGGATCATTATAAAGCCGATCCCGTTGAGGACTAACCTTATAAGGAGGTCAAAGCCTTGTCCTACCGCAGCACCACTACACCATACACACTGCCGTTCATGGTTGAATTGCTATTCTTACAATGGGACATTTGGGATGTCCAGGATAGCTAGTGACTTCCTGTAACTCATATACCACTACTACTCTCTTATGTTTGCAAAGGTGCCAACACTCACTGAAAGCCAGACCAGAGACACGGTCAACCACCCGTTCACCTATCCAACATATGAGGAGAGTGGTCCTGACTGGGTCGACACTCACAGACATAGTCAGTCACCATAACCATCGTCGTGTCATCTATCAGACCTTGTTGTCTCGCTTCACAAACCCAACCTTGACTCCTTCCGCAGGCGTGAGAATGATCTCTGTGTGTAAAATGCGCTGGTTGCCATAGTCAATGATCTGGTCAAACTCCTGCAGAATTCTGACCACCGTATATGCAATCTCGACCATGGCGAATTGCTGTCCAATGCAGATTCTCGGCCCTCCATTGAATGGAATGAACTGCCATGACTTGGGTGTCCAGGTCGCCCACCGATCCGGCACCCAGTCATGCGGATCGTAGGGAAACGAGTCGGAGATTGGAGGGTAAAGATCCTTCCGTCGCTGCATGACGAGCGTGCTGTATCCGACGACGGTGCCACGAGGACATCCCACCAGACCCATGCCGTCGGGACCTGCGCCGTGTGGGAGAGTTGTATCGGTCAGGGCCGACCTGACATTGAACGGTACCACGGGATACAACCGCAGTGTCTCGTTGATGGTGTACGTCAGGTATTTCATGTCTTTGACCTCTTGATATGTGGGAGGGCGGCCATCTTGGCCCAAGACCTCCAAGATCTCCTCTCGGAGCTTGTCGACCACGCGAGGGTTCTTTGCTAGTTCGAGGAATAGCCAGGACAATGTTGAGGCTGTGGTGTCTCTCCCAGCGAGGAGCAGGGCCACCAGCTGGTCACGCACGACTTTGCGGTCTCGAGTATGCCGGGCGAGGGCGTGGAGGAAAGTGTCCGAGCGAGACAGCTTGGACTCCAGCTCCTCGGGACTCATGGACAAGGCTTCGGTAATGAAAGGCTCAATGAACTGCTCCATGGTCTTTAATGCCTCATTGTAGGACCGTGTGGAGAAGAGGTGTTTCAATGGTCTAATGGCACATAAGCTCAAGTCCCCTTCGGCGGGCTCACAGAACAGACTCACCCCAAGCGCCCGATCAGAGATTGTACCCTCTGCACCTCGTCAAATGCAGCTGCAAACTCGGACTGTTCCTTGTCTAGACTGCCGACGCTGTGACCGAACAAGAAATGGGTCGATGCATCAAGACTGAACCGAAAGAGCAAGTTGTTCAACATGACCATCTGCCCGTCGCCAGGGCCCATCAGGGACATTAGTTTGCGGACGTGCGTCTCGATCAGGGGCAAATCGGCAACCCTTTCTCTGACAAACATTGGCCTGATCAGTTGACGGGAGTTGTGCCATTGCTGTCCATCGGTGGTGAAGATACTGTCTCCAAGGAAGGCTTTCCATTCCTTGTGGAACTCCTCGCCTGATGATGGCCGATTAAGGTCAGTCACATCCCAACAACAAGCCGAAGAAAGGTCTTGAGAGACGGCGAGCACTGACCTTTGCCAAAGTCTTGGAATTGGGTGGCGAGGATGGCCTTGATATTCTCCGGGTCTGCTGTGAAGATGACACGACCGTCGGCAAGGATCCGTAGTTCAGTGGTATACGATCCTGTCCCGCTTTGTGACGTTCCCGTGTGCTCGTAGATCCATTCCCAAAATTCTAACGCTTGATTTCTCAAGATGGCGAGCGTCGAGTGGACGGGAAAGTCGAGGCCTTCCTAGGTAGTTAGGGGGTGATCATGACTTGTATTGCCGGCATATCACACGTACCAAAGATGAACCTGGTCCTGACCCCGGGACATTCGCCTCCCAATCTGCGAATTTGTTTTCGCTTGTTATATCTCCTGACATATACAGACCCGACGTAGGCGAGATACGCAGAGACGAGTAGATATTGCCAGGACAGGAAGTGCAAGACCATCCTGATGATGAGTCTGATGGAGTTGCCAGGGACGGATCCTCTATAAGGTAGACGTCAGGATCGATTGATCCAGTTCAGCCTTGATGAACGATAATGCCATGGAGGAGGGGAGATATCACAAATATGGTGAATTGTTTCGGCGTGTAGTTAAACTGCTGCCTGGGGTGTTTCTCGATTGAATGAATATCGCTTGAATATCGCTTGATAGACGGTTGGACAAAAGAGCCTCCATTGTATCGTCCGGCCCGAATACGACATACGGTCATCCAACCAGCGTCCATCGCATCTGGTGTCAGAAATTCAGATAGTCGGTGGTTGGTCGCGATTGGACAACAGCGACAGCCCAATCCACCGCTATCTTGCGTGTACCCGTTGTGCGTCGAGGTCAATGCATGCTGGATTGACCAGGCACCCGTGTATCGTGTGTCGTGTATCGTTAGAGGTTGCATCCACCCTCCATTAGACACCAAGTCATATGGACCGGCGACACAGCCGTTTGGAAATCCGTGACTTCTCGCTCCCTCCATTCCCCCAGCCTCCGAGATGCATCTTCAAGCATCGTTTCATCCCTGACACCCGTCCAGAGCACTTCTGCCGCAGCCGCCACTCTAGGCCAGAGCTTGGAATCGAGGTCTATGGAATCAGTCTGCTCACTCCACATCAGAACTTCTCCGCCCTCCACGTTATCAACCAGATCGGGGCTGATATTCGCCAAAGGATCATAGGTGTACATGTCACGCCAATTATGGAATGGGTTGCAATAATCCAGATATGGTTTCTTTAGTTTGCTCGGATGTCCTCCCGATGTGTTGTACGGTACGCCGACGGGCGACTTGCCGGCAGGGTAAGGGTTGAGGAAGCCGCCAAAGCCACCTAGGAACATGAGAAATGCTTCGCTTCAGATACACCGAGGACATACTCACAGTCAAGATACCAGTGATGATAATCGCCAAATATGGCTCGATGGCCCTTCTTCAACACTTCTTCGATTCGTTCGCTGTTACGCCAGACTTGGACCAGAGTGCTTACAGTTCTGTTGCCGCCCAGCTTAACCCAAGGCAGGGTCAGATTCCAGTCAAGCAGCATTTCTTCCCAGACGATTGGTTGAAAGCCATGTTGGTAGGCGATGCTCACGACATGATCAAAGAAAATCTGCAACAGCGGCTGCAAAACCTGGGGGTCGTCACTGGCCACCGTCTCATCAAGGAGGTAGGCGGCGCGATTGACCTCGTCACCCCCAATGTGATAAAGTGAGGTGTATCGGCCTGTGCGAGGCAAGATATCCATGAGAAGCGTCGAGACGAAGGCGAACACGAGGGACGAATTGAGCTTCAGTTGCCCGCTTAGTGGCTCTGCGGCAAATGTTGACCAGTCTAATTCATTGTATGCCGCTACTAACTCGGGATATGCGTGAGCAACAGATGCTGTGTGGCCTGGCATATCAATCTCGACAAATACCGATATACCCCGGGAGGCGCCATGAACCTGAATCTCGTTGAGGTCATGGGCGGTCCAAACTAGGTGAGGCTGGTAGGCACCTTTCCTGGCTAGATCAGGCAGTGACGGAATCTCAAGTGGCCAACTCTGAGAATCTGTGGCATGAATGTGCAATCTGTTCATCTTGGTCCGTGCCATTGCATCGATCGTACGTATTAGGTCTGAAGGGAGGAAAGGGTTTCGAGCTATGTCAATGCTCAATCCCCGGTGACGCCACTTTGGGCGGTCAACGATTCGCATCGGCACATTTGGTAAGTACGATCCCGAATGGGACGAGTGCGCATAGAACAATTGCTGGAAAGTTTGAAGCGCCCACAATATGCCGATTGTACCATTGGTCTGAATTGTCGCTGTTGCATTGTCGATGACAATGTCATAAGATTCATCGGCGGCAAAGAAAGTAACGGGGTCGAAACTTTCAGCATCAGGGCAGTAACTCTGCTGTATCTGCAACATAGATAGGTGATGGCGCTCAGCCGTAACATCAGGTTCGAAAGTCGAGTGCCTTCCATGAAGCTTCCATGGGACATATCTGGTATCGCGTATCGATTTGATAGCTTCGTGGACAGCGCCCTGTACGATCGAGGCTTCCGTGAGAGCTTCTTTGCTTTCCTCGAAACGTCGTTGCCAAGTAAAGCCTTGAAATCTAGTCAAGACATTTTGGCCGAACTGAAAGGCAATGCTCATGAAAGCTGAGATGGGAATTTCTCCAAATCCAGGAGACTGGCTAGTCAAGATGGCATCTTCTCCGTTGCAGCGCAAGATAACCTTGACCGCAGGATCTAGCCACAACACCTCAGAGCCGGTAGAGAACTCCACAGGCTTGGGCCATAGAGCAATGGCATTGGTGATGTAGAAAAGGAGGACAAACGCGTGGGAAAGCATGGCTGGTGAATAATGGAACAGCGTGATAGGCTCTGGCAGTGAGCGCCGGAGATAGACACCCCTAAGTCTCCTGTGATTGAATCGTTACAGCTGATTTACCTTGGACGAGCGTGAAGAGCATGAAGAGCTTAACAGAAGCATATCACCGTCGGAGCGCACTGTGTCACCGTTCTCTATGGCACCAGAGCAATTGATGATCACATGCCCGTCGGAGGTAGACAAAGGCTAGGTCTTACCTTGCTCGGCACGCAAGAGGGTAGAAGAGATATGAGGACACGGTAGCGTGGTTGGACTGCAGATACTGCAGTGTGATACTGTGAAACTGTGATGAGATGGTCGTGAAGATGGAGTTGACATAAGATGCCCAAATAGGCATAGTCACTAGAGACTTTTCACGTGAGCTGATTGTCATCACGTGATGTGGCTGACTAAAATGACTTGGCAGAATGTCGCCACCTTCTGCAACCAGCTTGCCGCTTTTACGGCGTGATTCGAGTTACACGGCAAATCATCGTTCAGAAAGACACCAACAGACGCCAGTGGTAACTTCGTCTGACTCCAGAGATACAGAGATATTCTAGTTCTACCTCTTCTCTTCCCTACATCATCCCACCACATCTGCGCACTTCATCCATCCCGAGTCTCCTTTGTGCGCATCCCGATCCTACGAACCGACAACGTCGATCAGGCAGCGCAAAAGCCGATCAGAAGCTGTCTTTCATTGTTTCCGCAAACATCACCAAGGCGCGACTTTCGAATCTTCCCATCACCTAGGCGTGTTCTGCCTTGTCGAACCCCTCCATCCTTTTCGCCTTGCGTTCATTTCTACGATGTCGGCCATCGCTCTCGAGACACCGCTGGCCGAGGCCCTAAACAGTGCTGTCCACTCCAAAATTGTCGAAGAAGGCTGGACACAAGAGGATGATACTTCGTTAGCCGAGTACATTGTGCTCATGCTTGCCAATGGCAAAACTCAAGAGCAAATCGCATCAGAGCTCGCGGGCGAGTTATTGCAGGATGCGAAGGGCACGACAGAGTTTGCGCAGTGGTTATTTGACCAGGTCAATCAACTCTCCAGCGGCACAACAAGGTCTGGTGCCGCAGATCCATCGCAATCCTCCGGCCAGACTAGTCAGGCTGTCGCATCAGAGACAGCGTCGGGCAACTCGACAGAAAATGGCAATTCGGCGATACCGGCGGCGTACGACCAGGACATGGCCGATAATGCCCCCGAAAATGCGTATGTTCATCGTCCCACGCTTTGTCTAATTTAGGATTGCTAACATCTTCCACAGGCCTCGAGGACCAAAGAGCTTGCACGGAGGCCGAGGATCTGGCAGAGGTGGACGAGGCGGCGGAAATAACAAGACCGGCGAGTCGGCGCTCCATCGAGTGCGCGGCAACGATCGGATCAACACACACTCGCGCGGCACACCGAAAGGGCCCCGCAATGCTCAGAACCGTGATGTGCGCCCTGGCATGCAGAAAGCCTTGAACAACATGGCCATGCCCGGAGCGCATCAAGGATTGCAGAACCCCATGATGATGAATGGAGGGCAACAGGGTCAGCCGATCATGACCCCACAACAACAGATGGAGTTTATGGCGATGATGGAACAACAAACTCGAATGCTCGCACAGATGACGGGCATGATGCCCGGCGCGGTCAACTCTTTCCAACCGGGCGGTAGCCCACAGAACAGCCAAGGCCGGTCATTGTTTGATAGAGTCGAGCCCGGGCGCGGTCGCGGAGGCATTCGAGGACGAGGACGTGGCGGCAACCATCAGAACGGACACATCAAGGGTGCAGCCAAACCGACCGACCAAGAGACTGCAACTGAAGGCGACGGACAGAGTTCCGAAGCCGGCACGTCCGCGATGGATGTGGAGCAGAACTCTCAAAGCGAACGAAAGCCCCTTGATCCCGCCACCACCATGTGTCACTTCAACCTACGTTGCACCAACAAAGATTGTCCTTACGTGCATCAGTCGCCCGCGGCGCCTGAAGGCACGGTGGTCGACATGAACGACACCTGCTCCTTCGGCGCGGCGTGCAAGAATGTCAAGTGTGTCGGCAAGCATCCATCACCGTCCCAGGTGCGAGCGTTCCAAGCACAAGAGCTGTGCAAGTTCTTCCCCAATTGCACGAAACCGAACTGTCCATTCAAACACCCATCGATGCCGGTATGCCGGTTCGGAGCCAACTGCAAGACGCCGAACTGCCAGTTCACGCATCTCCAGACTCCTTGCCGCTATAACCCCTGCACAAATCTACGGTGCCCCTTCAAACACGAGCCGGGCCAGCAGAAGGTCAACAACTTTTCCGATTTCACATGGACCCCTGACAAGCAGGCCGATGCGAACGCAAGCAAAGACCATCTCAGCAACCGCAAATTCGTCGACGAGCAAGCTGGGGAGGAGGAACTGGTAAGACCAGAGGACGGCAATGTCGATTCGAATGGAGATGCGGGTATGACCCAGGAGGTGATTACTTGATCTTGGCCCGGTACCCAACTTGAAGGGCGGAAAGGAGAGCCAAATGGCTGGGAAGGAACAAGGAAGTCTGTCTGATTCAAGGATGATCGACGGCCATCATGGGAATTGTACATTACTACCTCCGCGGGAATGAGAAAGACAACAGAGATCTGTGCTCCGGCTCAGCATGGCTGTCAGTGAGCAGGGACACTGGACGAGGTATAGCTATGAGAGGCACCGTTGATTCCACGGGCACTGCCCTTCTGTTTGATGGACTCCAACCATGGGACAGGGCATTGAATCAGTAAATGGTCTGCTTGGGTTGCAGGGCCATGATACGAATGAAATAGTTTGGATGCGTTGCCATGAATTTGCTCCTCGTCTCTTTCTGCCCGTGACTTTGCATTCATAATTGGACTACGTAGTAGTGGTAATAGTGATATCTCATTTTGTGCTCCTCAGATAACGGAGTCAATGAGATGGAGATGACTGAACATTAGTATTGGTAGCTGTGATTTGTACCTGATTAAGGCGAGATGTTGACCGTGGACATCGGCAATGACAGAAGGCGGTGGGTGTCATGTAATTTCTCATCTGCCTCTTGTTTCTGTGCTTGACATACCATACTTCTGACCTACCTTGAGATATTATGATTTGTCGTGATTCATAATCAAGAAACAAGAAACAAGATCCTCTTTCGCCGATCACCTCACATCTGGATTGATTACTTTGGCCGTTGACGTGTCATAGCTGCCCGTATTTCACGGGAGACGAGGACAGGAAAAAATCACAGCGACATAATAAACACCGAGCAGAATAGTGTGGGAGACAAAGACCATTGATCGAATGAGATCTACGTTCGTCTGACGATCCGGTCTGCTCAGGAGTCAGAAGAAGGGTCCTTGTTGTCAGCCATCTTGTTGCTCCAGAGTGTCTGAGTCTGCGTCTGCTGGAGGCTTGGGACATCACTCCAGACAGACCGCAAGGCAGGATAGTTGTCTTTACTCGAGACAGGTGGTTCACATGTCGAACATGGTGTGAGGACTTCATGCTGACGAACACGCAGACTTATATCAGACCCTGACTCATCAGACTCGCAGTGTCAGAACAGAACAGAACAAACACCTTTGAGCATTCAGACCGAAGACAGAGGGCTGGACAGGATGGACCACTCTCCTGATACCGATACTACTGTCTCTGACAGAGGCAGTCTGGCCCAGGTCATCTCAACACTGCAAACAATTCTATCAACCACCAACCTCGACCAAGACAGGCGATCTCTACCGATCATCCCCCAGAACATTCCTGACCTTGCGCAGCTCCAGTCCCGAGCTGCGAGTCTGTTTCTGACGAGTTCACGCCCAGAAGCAGAAGCAGAAGCAGATTCAAATTGCGATTCGAAGTCTGCCTCTGCCTCTGCCGCTACAGCCTTGGAGCATACTGCTTCTGAGGACATCGAATCTCTATCCCGCCTATCGACACATCTCGCCAACGACATCCTCCCCTATCTCAACCTAGCATCGCTCTCGCCGAACTATTACGGCTTCGTCATCGGCGGAGCCACTCCCGCCGCTCTGCTCGGCGACTTCCTCGCCTCGATATACGACCAGAATGTACACGTGCATCTCCCGCGCGAAACGATCTCGACGACACTCGAGGCCGTGACACTGAACAAACTCGTGCAGTTGTTCCGACTACCTGAGTCTGGGTGGGCAGTTGGTGGCTCCGGGCCCGGCGGCGGCGTCTTCACGACGGGCGCCACGGCGAGTAATGTGCTCGGACTGGCGCTGGGGCGGGAATATGTGCTTCGGAGGGCTCTGGAGAGGAAAAGCAAAGCAGAAAACATATCGTTATCGTCGTCAGCCAGCACAAGCACCAGCTTCTCTTGTGGAGAATACGGAATCGCAGAATTGATGGTCCAGGCTGGCGTGCGTAGGATCCAAGTTCTCAGCACGCTTTCGCATTCGAGTATTGCCAAAGCAGCCAGCGTGGTCGGGATTGGACGGAGGAATGTTGTTTCCATTCTTGCGGAGAACGACAACGACGACAACAGCAGCAGCAGCAGCAGCAACACTCATCATAATCCATTACGGATCGACATCGACAAGCTCGAAAACGAGGCGCGCAAATGCCACGAAGGCGTCATCAGCATCCTAACCATTTCGGCCGGAGAGGTCAATACGGGCCGCTTCGCAACAGACTCTCTCGACATGATGGCCCGCGTGCGCAGGATCTGCGACCAGTACGGTGTCTGGATCCACGTCGACGGCGCTTTCGGTCTGTTCGGCCGCATCCTCGACCCGGAGCGGGATCTCGAGTACCAGGAAATCAGTCGCGGCGTGCAAGGTCTGGAACTCGCCGACTCCATCACGGCCGACTGTCATAAACTGCTCAATGTCCCTTATGACTGTGGAGTCTTCTTCACCCGACATAAAGCACTCAGCGAGCATATATTTGGCAATGGCAGCGCCGCGTATTTGAACAGATCCAAAGATCTGGGCGAGGAGGAGGACAACAACAACAACAACAACAACAACAACAACAACAATGGTGGTAATGGTAATGGTGGTGGTGAGCATGTACAGTCGCCTATAAATCTCGGTCTGGAAAACTCGCGCAGATTCCGTGCTCTCCCGGTCTATTGTACCCTCATGGCGTACGGACGAGAAGGATATCTGGACATGTTAAAACGGCAGATCTCACTGGCGCGCCGCGTGACCCAGTGGCTGCTCCAGGATGAACGCTTTGAAGTGCTACCCGACGCGGTGTCCGAACCGGAGGAGATCCTGGCGAAGACGTTCATGGTGGTTTTGTTTCGGGTCAGAGATGAGGACAAGAGACTGGATTTCGTCAACAACGTCAATGCGACCGGCAGGATCTATCTGAGCGGCACGGTGTGGGATGGCAAGCCTGCTGCACGGATCGCGGTCAGCAATTGGCAGGTGGATGTCGAGAGGGACGCGAGGATCATAGAGGAGGTGTTGGATCAGGTGGTGGGAGCAGAGACTGAGACTTGAAATGGAGTGTCGTGATGTGAGATGACTCCTTTGCATGAGAGAGAGAGAGTTGGTTTATGAAGACGAGAAAAGCCACCATATGATGAAGACTGATTTCATTCGTGTCTATGTGATATTCACTGTTCGCTGTACCGGGCAAACTCTACCGTATATTCAGAATACCGCTCCGCCGATGATGAAAATCCGCTCTTCTTCCCTCTGCACCCATTGCAAGACTTTATTTGCACTCTGGGCCAGAGCATTCCTGGAAGTAGAGGGGCTAGCAACGCAGTAGAGCTCAAACATGGGAGTGACCCAGGCCAGTGCAGTGGCCGACGTGCTGACGCTGTGATGAACCTTGACGGCGGCATGTTTGGCGTGCACGCTGGCATGGAGGTTGTGGTACAACGACATCAGTCGCCTGCGCTGCCTAAGGGTTTCGAAGTTCGGCGAGTACGACGGCATGAAGAACTGAACATTGCCCTTGGACTTGTAGAGGAAATGGCGTAGCACAGTACCGGCAATAATGTCGGTGGGCGCGGGCCGACCGGCTTGAACTGCCATATGGATGATATGCATGCTCTGGTTCCGTCGAAACTCGTGCACGAGATAGTTCTTCATGCTGTGCAGGTCCTCGAAACTCTCCTTGTTTGCGCTCAGAAGGATGATGGCCACCGAATCTTCCTTGGCTATGCGCTCGTTTGCCGCCATTTCGCGGGCCTGGTCGCCGCGCATGTCGAGAAAGCTTACGTACATGTACAGGTAGCCGGTGTTGTTGAAGCCTGGGAGGCAGATAGGGACCCAGGAATCGCCACCACCGGCTTTGATTCCTTCGGCTTCGAAGATCATATTGAAAATCAATTGGAGGTCGCTTGGATGCAGAGAGTGCTTCTTGGGTCTGATGACACTGACGAGCCTTCCTCCTGCAACGACAAGACCATATAGTAGATCGTCCACACGCGCTCTGATCATGGTGTTGTTGATTACGTTTCGATGCGACTTTCTGATCTTCAAGCACTCCAGAGCCGACAGCAACGCTGAGGGCGACCCTTTCGTGAAAGTATCGGCCAGCGACGACAACAACACTTCTGTACCTTGCAACGGTCGTCTGAGGTCGGATGAAGGCCTTACCGAGAATATATGCGTCAAGGTTGGTAAGGTGAGAGTCGACAAGATCTGCATGTACAACGCTTCCAGTTGGACGCGGAGCTGAGCCTCACTTTCCGGAAGGCTCGTGATGCCGACGAGGAACAGATTCGACTGGGAGAGGATGGTGAACAGCACTCCGTCGGCACGGAAACTCCTCAATTGATCACCCCATTCAAGGTACGAGGAGATGATTGTCTGGATGATGCCAACATAAGAGGAGATGACGGCGTCCGAACCATGTCTGGTGTATATCGGCTTGCCTGCGGCAGACAGTATGATAAAGTGCTTTCGCTTGGACTTCCAAATGCTTTGAGCCAGCTCCTCTCCTACAATCTTGTCGTCAGGGTCGTCAAACTCTTTTTCGAAATCCACATCTTGTTCATCGTCGAAGTTGTCTGTATCGTCTTCAAACATTCCATCGCCGAATGACGACGAGAGCCCATGTTCCTCTTGTACCTCGCCGTCAAAGATGCTCTCCGTGTCCTGCGTGTAGCGGCCGAAAGGCGCGTAGCTTCTGATGCTGGAGTTGTCCTCCCCAATCTCACTTGTTTTGTTACTGGCGACTGCTCGAATCGAGGGGCTCGAAGAAACACGAGACGGTGTGACGCGCAACTCCTGCGATCCGTCAGGTCGGTTGAAGCTGTTGACGTCGGCCATGGACACTGCGGTCGTGGCTCCTGCCACAAGGCCTGCTCGTGTAGGAGGACGAGAAGCATCGCTCGATGACGAGGTTGACTGCATGAAGTTTATTTGGCTGGGTCTGGGTGGTAGAGGTGGTCGCTCTCCCTCTTCGGTTGAGGGCCGAGGACTTGGGCTCTCTTGAGATGGGTTCTCTTCCATGTTGGTAGATGTAAACAATCCACTCTCACATCCGGTGGTGATCATTCGGGGTCGAACGATTGCGCTGCTGTCCAGAGTTACGATGGAGTTTAGCCTCCATTATAGGCTCTTTGCCAGGCACACATCCCACAGCTCACGGCATGCATGATGCCATAACCTCGTTGCTGCACGCCTGGAGGCAGATGGTAGCGATGCTCCCAGTCTGATGTGGACAACTTTATGCGTGAAGTACGAGAACATTTGTAGTGTCTCTCATATTGACGTCTGCATAAGTCAAGAATAGTGGTTGCCGCCTTAAACTCATGGTATTGGTCGCGACAGCTTCACTTAAAGTGGCATGGAGACTCTTCCCAAATTGGATGCTTACCTTGGCAGCGAATTCGCGTCCGTGATTGAGCCTCGCCGCAAACCACCGTGTCTTCAATGCCATTCCTGTTTCAATTTGGCCGCGGGAATTTCGTGGTGATGATATACTGAACTGGCCGACAATGGGAATCTAAGTATACCGGTGCTTCCCTCAGTTGTGAGGCTCGGAAAACCAACGCCTGGTTCGGTAACCAAGAGTTTGTCCCATGTTAGTCTCGGACCCCAGATCTTGAACCCCTGAGAATGGAGCCTTGAAGCTCAGCACCCCTACCGCTTCGTCTGCGCAACGGGCAATGCCATTCAACAATCATGTCAGCAGACCCTAAAGCGATTCGTCGCTACCAAGCCGGCGTCGAAAGGGCTCTTGGTCTATTCGATGCCTCGAATGAATGGGCCGATTACATCGCCTTTCTCAGCCGCCTGACGAAGGCATTACAGGCGGCCCCACCACATGCCGACGTGCCTTTGAAGCCGACTTTGGCCAAATATCTTGCCTTGTGTCTGAAGCCATCCCTGCCTTCAGGAGTGCATCAAAAGGCTCTAGAGGTCTACAACCTGGTCTTCACTTTACTCGGAAAGGAAGGCTTGTCGCGCGATTTGCCTATCTGGCTTCCTGGTGTCTCTCACACTCTCACCTTTGCCTCGCTGACTACGAGACCCTTGTTTCTGTCTCTCTACGATGAACATATCTTGAAGCTGTCAAGCCAAGTTTTAAGACCTGCGTTGAGGGCAATCGCGTTGTCTCTCCTTCCCGGCATAGAAGAGGAAAACAGTGAGGACTTTGACAGGACCTTAGGGACTTTCAATCGCCTTAAGGAGATCTTTGCCGAAGATGGGCACGAGGAGTTGTTTTGGCAGAGTTTGTTCCTTGCATCTATCACGAGTAGGAACAGGCGACCAGGTGCCCTTGTATACTTGAACCGACAACTTCCCAAGCTAGGACCAACTTCAATCAATGGTCCAGCGCAAAATGGGGTTGAAACGAACGCTTCAACTACCATTGAGCAAGTCGTCAAGGCAGTGACGACTCCAGAACCGGGTCTTCTTGTGCGGTGTTTTGCTACTGGACTTCAAGATGAACAGGCATTGGTCCAGCGCGGATTTCTGGATCTATTGGTCTCGCATCTCCCGCTCAACGCCTCCATTCTCCAGACACATATTCCCAAGAATGACCTCGATGTCTTAGTTACTTCGGCAATGTCTGTTGTGCTGAGAAGGGACATGAGCCTGAATCGGCGGCTGTGGACATGGTTCATTGGCAGGGAAGATAAACGGGAAGGGTCAACCGACATGGTTCCGGAGTCGGCGGTTGATATCACGTCACCGTCGGATGAGGGCAAAGTTGTCCAACTGACTAGTAAACGCAACTATTTCGAACAACATGGTCTGCAGTCCGTCATACGCAGTCTTGAAAAGATGCTCAGAAAGGAGTCTGTGTCTCCTGTGGACCGAGCTCGTCCTTTCCGCATTATGCTTTCCTTGATGGATCGCTGGGTCATTGGCAAGCTGCCTGTTGAGGCTCTGTTTATTCCGGCGATGCAAGATTTGCGGAGATACCAGACTTCGGCCCCGTCACAAGCCTCATTCGATGAGGTGTTCCGCAGCGCCAACGTATTCTTCGATGCCATCGAGCCCCAACTGATAACTAGCCAGCTGTTTCAACTTCTTGAACAGAGACAGTTGGACGTTATTGAGTTCATCATGGCGAACTTCAGTCTACAAGAGGATGAGATGGCCACAACACATTTACCGCTACTCTGTCTGGCAGTTTCCGAACGAATACTGGGACAGACCACCTCTGGGTTGAGCGAGGCTGATGCAGAAGTAGAGCAGCTGTCTAAACTGCTCGAAGGTCTGCTCACGCTGCTTCCGCCTCAATCTGTGATGGGCCTTGCTGAGACAATAGACGACATTCCCCGCGATGGCTGGATGATGAAGATCAAAGACCTGTATGAAAACTCCTCCTACGTCAAGAAGGCACTGGTCGATGTCATTTCTCCAGGTGCGGCAGCTCAACTGTTACTCCGAAATATTACATTAATCGTCCTGGACTGTTTCAAGACGCCGAGTCGGAAAACCTTTCTCGGAACATCGGCCAGAGCTTTGGCCAGGGCTATATCCAGAAGCAATACACTTCAAACATTGCAGCGGCTTGAATTCGGCGCGCAGCTTTATGCAGCGTTGCGGAGCATGTCTTCGAAGCCAACAGGCTTGAGGTATGAGATGGCGAAGACTATTGCAGTCATAGTCGATACGATTTATGCCTTTGACTCCGACCACGAGGCACTTACAGAACGCCATTTGCTTCAGCTCGTACCGGAACTTATTTCCCAGTTTTGGGGTGTCCTCCTTCCTCAGACGCCGCAATACCACGTAGAAGCTGTGGAACAGATTTGGAAACTTCGCCTCATCTCTCAAGATCTACTCCTTGTGGACAGCAAGATTATGGAATTGATGTGCGAGGAACACTCGACACGAGTTGTTTTGGAAGAGCGTATGGCCAGGTTTTCAACGTTATGGATACATACACGGTTTCCGGAAATCAACGTGGAAATGTTTTCAATGACGATTCGTTTTGAGGATGATGAAGTACCATGGGCTCTCCTCCGTCACCCTGTATTGAGCATCATCGACGGGGTGGATCTCCCGCAGTCGCACGATCCGCGTCGGATATGGTTGAACAATCTCTCATCGATGCTCCCAGTGTTTTGGATCGCTTACGTTGAATCTGTCGGTGCATCGACCCCGCAGCTCGCCATCCTCGGCCTCAACCGACTGCAAAAGGTTTTGTCCATTGCCCGGCAATCCAATGTACACCGGCACGAGATATTCTCACCGCGCGGGTTTTCTGAGATGATACTGGACCTTTGCATGGACAACATTGACTCTAGCCAAAGCGAAGCAACTATAAAGGTGGCACTTTCTATGCTGCGTATGGTGATAGAGGAGACTGAGCTCCGTAATCTCCATACACTGGTGCCCCTTCTAATCCAGCAGTTGACGAACCTGGCTTCGGACAGCTCCCTTCAGGAGACTATGCTCGACACTTTACAAGCGATTTTTGCAAAGCCCAATTCCAAGCCTCCCCCCGGTGAACTCTTGACAACTCTCATGACAGGGATATCGTCAAAAGCGATCGATGCCACCATTGACAAGTGGATCACAGTCCTCTGCAACACCATTCCTCTATACTCTACTCAAACCCTTTTCGCAAACATGCTTAAACTGACGGCTTGCTTCTGCCAACGGGCGAAGGCTTACTTTGAGCAGATGAAGCTGCTGTATGAAAAGGCAGAATCAACCGCTCAGACCAATGGTGGTGATTTCTTACCAAGTGCGAAGAACCCCGAACGATCTCTCGGGAACCTTCTCGCGGGTCTGGAGTATATCCTCGCGCGGGCACATACGCATCTAGTAGATCAGGCAGCTGTGCCAGAGTCAGCGAGCGCCAGCGCCACAGATATGTCCCAGGGTCGATCCATTGCCAATAACCGGCTTACGGTGATCTTATGCATGCAAGACACAATCAAACTCTGCGGAGAGATCTGGGCTTGGAGGATAGTGAAGCGGTCGTCAAACGCGGTTCCAGACAGCAAGTCCTTCGCCTACATATCCGCGCGACTTCGTACCCGAACCAGAAGACTTCTAGAGCATCTGACGGATGCCGAACCACAAGAATGTCTCGAAACCTTGATGGGAATGTGGGTCGATGCTAGCCGGCGCGATTCAGAGCAGGATGTCACCCTGAACTTAATGCAGAGCCTCGACGGAGCAAGACCCAAATTCATGATGCCAGCAACGTTCAATGCTATTTACAATCGGACGAATCCAGCCGCTCTAGACCAGTCTCAGAAATCCAGTCTGTCGGTCGATGTCAATGCACCGGAGCTGATGGCATTCCTGATAGCATACACCAAGGCCTTGGAGGATGATCTGTTGGAAGAGATCTGGACCGACTGCACAGCCTTCCTACGAGAAGTGCTTGCCAATCCCATGCCCCATCGTCAAATCCTACTGAGATTGCTGGAATTTGTGGGCGTCATCTGCCAGAAGATGGAGAATACCAATTTTGGGGAAGTCCTGCGGATGCGGCGAGATTTAAGCGATCTCTGCGCCCGGCTTTTCACTGCCATCTTTACCATCAGACCAGCTGGACTTGACGCGACTGCACAACGACCGTCGGATTCGGGTTCAGGTCCTCGAAGAAGCTCCGTGCAACCTGGCAATGCCATCCATGTGATTTGCGAGACACTGCCGGTGATCGGAAACGCTCTGGGGGACTTAGACCGGCTGAACACGACCATGTCTGGGATAGCCTTGCATATCACAGGACCTGCGCTACGATCACGACAGTTCCCGCAGTCTGTCAACGTTGACATCCTTCAGCTGGTTTATCTTATGGGCAAGTCGCAACCCAGCAATAAAGCGTGGAAGAAGGACGTCCTGGACGCCTACAACGACGGAAAGTTCTTCCAGTCGCCTGCCGAACTGGCCGAACTGGGTTGGATGCCCCTGCTCAAACAACTCTGGCTCTCGGACAAGGGTCTGATGAGTGAACTACTCTCCAGGCTGACACCACCCACTACGGCAGGCTTGATGTTTGGGGTGGGAGCGACAGCAGCACGCATCGAAGCTGATAGACGGACACAACTCACCTTGAGGCGGATTACACTGCTTTTGCTGGCCGCGGATGTGGATGCGTTCGTGTCGGACCTCAGCCAGATAATGCTGAAGATGGAAGAGCTCTTGACCGCGACGGTGTCGTCCTCGCCATCGTCAGGCACTCGAGGAGACATCTACCTGGTTCTTCGAGCCATGACATTGGCCTATTCCCACGTCCACTTGGTTTCAATCTGGCCGATCGTGGATGGAGAGCTTCGGGAACTCCTTTTGAGCATGCGACCGGGCGAAGAGTCTCGTTTCACCAGTTACTCGCAGTTGCAGGGCGCCAAACTCTTAGATCTTCTTCTGCTGTTGAAGCCGGAGGAGTTTCAGTTGCATGAATGGCTTTTTGTTACGGACACCGTCGACGCTGTCTATCCGCCGCATGACGCGGAGTCGGTGGCAATCGCCGATCAGATCGTGGGCAAAAGCACCAATGAGGTCGAGCTTCCTACGGTCTCCGAGGACGAGGTCAGGAGGCCATGGCTGTGTAGCGACTTGACTCGGACCATTGAGGACCCTCAGGGCCTGTTGATGCCGTTCTTCCGGCAGTTGAGCATCCATGCATTTGAAGATACATATAGCCTACAGCCTGTCGACGTGGAGGCATGTCGGAAGGACTTGGTGGCGGATTTGTTCGTGGATTGAAGGGGGGACAGGGTTGACTACCTCACCAGATACATGGGGCTATGACTGGCAGAGGCCAGGGACATTGGCTCTGTTTGTCACAGAACCAATCCATTTGAGGTTGGTGTGCTCTCTGAGAACATGATTCAGCGGTGTCTGATGACAGTGCCAAAGATGTAGAATCCTAGTAGTTCAATAGGAAGAGGCCGCTTGTTAAGCAGCGCCATACTAGTATCTGTAAACCCCTTGCCCGTCGTCCCTTCAAGCAGCGTGTGGCAGTGCCGAAAAGACTCAGCCACACATTCAGCCGCAGGCTGGTTCTACACTGCACTGCACTGCACGTGACGCCCCCGATGTCATCGCTTACTATTGAGCTATCATCAATTGCAGCCTTGGCCGCGCTTTCCCCGGTTCATTCGGTTTCAGATGGGACTGCTTCAACCACCGAGGCGCCGAGTGGAGAACTTGAACTGAAAGTGATTTCGATTGATTCCTATTGCTGCCGACTAGTACACAGGTACTTCAGCTCCACCATCTTTGATCTCCCCTTCCGTGGCCATACCTACGAATCTGCCCGGCTCGTGGCTGATTGCTTGCCAAATATCTCGGTCCGGTTCCTCTATATTCAAAGTCGTCGCCATCCCAGCGTGATACTGACCGAAACAAAAGCTCGACTGTTTGCGACGCCGATCGATCCATCACGCCCGCTACAATGGCTTCCCGCCTCCTCATCCCGCGCATCTCTTCTGCGACCAGAACCATTACTCCTTCCGCTCCCTCGCTCTCCAGATCGTTCCAAACCACGAGTAGACGCTTGCAAGATGTCCCAGTCGCGCCCGTGAAGAAGCCGATTGGAGCTTTCAGAGGAGGGTGAGCTACCTACAAGCCAAACTGGGTGTGCACAGGCGACTCTCATGGGAGCATAAGCTCAAGTGCAGGACATGGGAGTCGGAGTCGGGGTCGGCGGGTTTGGAACGTCAACTAATGTGTGCTGTACCAGACTTTTCGGATTCTTGCTCGGCTCGACTCTCGCGGGAGCGTCGGTCTACTACTACATCCTTCAAGAATACAAGGTGTCCAACGAGCTGTTGACAGAAGATATCTATGTATGTCACCAGATTCCCTTGTTATACACATCATATCTCTCCAGTCCGTTGCAGCTGAGCAACGACTGTACTGAGATTGTCCCTCATTACAACCCTCTCCCCCGCGGCTTGGGAACTGCGCGCACCTAGCTAACCTCAGATACAGGCTCTTCAAGCAGCTGTTCAACGGATCCACTCCTACGTGACGGAACTCGAGAACAAAATGTCTCAAATGAAAAAGTAAAGCTACACGGATTGAGGGGGCTGCTTTGGGAGACAACGTGGGCACGCACGAGATGAGATGGGCTTGATTTCCTCTCTTGAGGCGGAATGCGCGCTGCTGTACTGCTAGCACATACTCGGGCACGCTTTTTCCAGGTTTCAGGTTTCAGCGTTATGTAAAAGTACAACTCCTGTGTCAACCTGCCATTTCCGCTCAAGGTCTCCCTTCCCGGTTGCCGCAATGCTGTTCTCACGCTGATGTACAGAGTACATCACCCCCGCGGCGGCTGTACGGCCATCAGGCGGCAGGTCCCGAACATCCGCATTATTGCGGAGGCATCCTCTGAGATGCTGTTCTGCATGAAAGATGCCAAAACACCTTCCGTGCCTCCCGGGTCTCCAGGAAGCCTTCGGCGCTCGTTCGGTGCATGTGAGGAGCAAACACATGGTCATGTGTACATGGTGACGTAGACAACCCGCGTCTGCCGCTCCAGTTGAAGCCTTGCATGTGTCCAGCAAAACCATATAAGCGCTGCATGACAAGGCTGTGTATCTTCCTCACTGCCGAGGGACTGACGGTTCATGCTTAGAGAGGCCACGCGGCGCTGTTCGCGTGATTTATATTGACGTATAATAACTGTAGGATTCGGCAACCCGCCGGACTGAATCAGAATTGCGTCTCCAGGCAAGGGCACCGCGTGCTACTCCATGGGTATCTCTCTTTCAACACGCCAAATATACTTGTTTCGTGTAGACTAGACATTTGCTAGACGACAAGAACACGTCCCTGCAGGCAGAGGTAAGAGCCAGGCATGGGTGCAATGGTGATAGCCTGGGTGATTGATGAGCAAGGCTGAGACAAATAGGGTGTTAAAGCGGCAAGGCGATGGATGTGAAGCGGCCCGCGCAAAACAGCCGAGTCACTCACTACGGACTGACACAACTCTCGCGGACACTTGCTAAATACTACTACGTAGCAGACTACCGTAAGAGGCGTTAGTTGTCAAAGACTCTCTCCCCTTGAACCACTGTACTCCTCTACACTTCCCTCTTTTCCTCTCCCAGGAAATGAAATGCCTCTGATCGAAGAACTCCCCGTGACTTCAACCCACAACCGCCCATCTCACGGCTGGACCTACGTTCCCGACACGGGCGCCCCCAACCCGATCCCCTCTGCACCACTCTTACTCGGCTCGCGCAAACGCGGCCGCGATGGAACAACCACACACGCGTCAACTGCGCAGTCGCAGGCCGCGGCGCACAAATTGTCCGCGAAACAGGAGAAAGCCATCCAACAGCGCCTGAACGATCTGGGCAAAGAAAACTACCGCGACGTCCACATCCCCGTGCCGAAGAGAGATGGAGTGGCGGCTGGGAAAGGCAGAGAGCGGGAAAAGGAAAAAGATCGAAAACCGTCGCAGAACGTTCGCCGGATTCTGGCGTATAGTCGCACGTTTCAGCATTATCTGGCCGACGAGGAGGCTGGGGTCAATGTCTATGGGAGTGCTGGGATCGTGAGTGGCGTCGTGGGAGGAGTGTCGAATACGGGCGCAGCTAGCGGTGGGCATGCACAAGGACAGCAACAGCAGAAACCGGCAGATTCGAAAAGAGTACGAGGAGGGGCGATGGTCGATAAGGAGCAGGAGAAGATGACCACTGCAGCAGGGCGGCGAAATGGGTCGTTGAAACAGAAACAGACAGTTTCAACGCCGACAATGACAACGACATCTACGAATACAACTACAAGGACGACCAAGACCAGGAAAGGTGGAGCTATTGAATCCGACACGTCTGTTAAAACTGAGAGTCGGGCTGTCATGGGAGATACGGATGTCGATATGGCTGATGCCCCTGATATTCCTTTGGTGTCGGTGTCAGCGGAAACAGGAACAAGTGCACAACAAACGCAAATCCAACAGTCTCCGTTGCCATCGACGTCGACTGATCCGAATCAACTATCGCAATCGCAATCGCAATCGAACCAGATACCAGAAGACTCTGTCGTTAGTTACGATCCAGCACTGGACCGCGACCCTCTTCTCCGCACGCGCGACCTGCCCAAAATGCCCTCGGAGCGCGTGATGCAGGCGCTCCTCGCCGAGCCGCCACTCAGCTATACGGCAGCACGGGCGAAGCCGCTTGGAGGGGCCGTTGATGGGATGTCGGTGTCGACACGCGCAGGTGGTGTTAGTGGTGGTGGTGGTTCGTCCAGTCTACTCCGACCTCAGCGCTGGTTTTGCACTATTTGCGGATACTGGGGTAAAGTGCGGTGCAAAAATGGCTGTGGTGAGAGGGTGTGTGGCTTGCTCGAGTGTTGGAGGGGACATGAGGGCGTTTGTTCTCTGGGTGCGTATTGACGGAGCCTCGTGGGTTCTCTGTCGACTCGTCGAAGGCAGAGGAGGGGTGGTCATTCAATAGCCCTTGATGTCTCTCTTCCTTGAAGGGTAGAATGGTGGCTATGAGCTTTTCCTCCTCTCCGGGTCGCCCTCTCTCTGTCTTCCCAACGCTGAGGAACTACGCTGCTGTGGAGGAGTTGACGTTGCCATGAGCCGAGCGGACGGTGAACGGCAAATGGAAATGGAAACGGAAGGAGAAACAGGAGAAACAGGAGAAACAGGAGAAACAGGAGAAACAGGAGAAACAGGAGAAACAGGAGAAACAGGAGAGAGAGAGGACATTGACTGACGGTGTCTAGCTTTTTGGTTTTATTTCGATGCAGCGTTCAAGCGATGTCTACCTGGTACACAGCTCTTCTCCTAACGTACTGTCCCGTCCTGAGGGTAAGTTATGCGAAGATCCGGTCTTCAGGACTGATGCTGATATGACCATGCATAGCATAGCATATTGATGCGAATATGATACCCCCCCATCTGTACTACTTGTCCTTATTCATATTACATATATATAGAAACTACGTTACCCATTTGTCAAAGAGCATGTTTTCTCTCAGCATGGTAGATTTGCCAGTGTCCATGGTTTCTACTTGTTCCTACTATCAAGCATCTTCCAAGTTGAATTCATTATGTCTATTTTGTTTTTAGGTGAAGTTCAAGCCTATACTTTATACAGCGATCCGAACACGGTGGGTATCGGTTCCCAAGGAGTAAACGAAGATCCGAGTCGTACGGGACATCGAGTCTTCATCATAGTCAGAACAATTATCTGCTTCTTCTTCTGCTTCTTCATCTTCTCCATCATCGTTATGATGAAGTGAAGTTCAATTTCATGAAATGGGGGTGCACTCTGCCCTGCCTGTCTTTCCAGTCAAAACATTTCGCAAGCAGACTCGGTGCACGCTCTCCGCCACTGCAACCCAGGAACATGAGCATGAGCATGACTCCCTTCTACTTACTTATAGACAGTGCTCCTGAGGCCTTTATAAAGAGACCAATTCAATCTTGTCCCCGTTTTGCACCACAAATCCCACAGACGCCCGCATCTCCGGAATTCAAGTATCGAGGCGCGCTCCTCGCTCTGCACGTCTCGCTGCGACATGACCAGTTTCGTGGGTCTTTGTTGGGGTCTAGCACGTGGGAACATGCTGTGCAAGTGGCGGTTAGACGAGAGCTTTTCAGGGAGCAGATTGGACAGGAAATCGTGGCGGGAGACGTCGTTGCGGTGGAGGAGGAGGAGGAGGAGGAGGAGGAGGAGGTGGTGGTGGTGGTGGCGGCGGATGTTAAGTGAAGTGTTCGTGTTTTTGCTGCACTGGTCGTCACAGGTGTTTTCTCTGTCATGATTCTGCTCGTTGTGAGTGTAGTGTCTGCTGCCGCTAGGGAGGGCGTCAATGGAGGAGAGTCTGCGACGGTTATGGTGGTGGTAGGTTCTGCTTTGGAGGCTGGAGTAGTCGTCGAAGCTGGACGGGGCTGTAGAGTCGGTGAAGTGCTAGATTTGCTGGTGGTACAAGTCGATGGGAGGTATGGGGATGTCGGGTCTTGTGGTGTATGGTCATCTTGGGATGGATGTGTTGACGGCTGTTCTGACGGCGTTACGATATTGGAAGACTTGTCTTGCTTCGTCGTCCTCCTAGACCTTCTGTCCGTCTTTGAGTTGTTTCCGGCAGTATCTGCTGAGTTTGATGCATTGGTAGCAGATCCAGTTGATTTCGGTTCCGCATCAACTGTGTAAGACTGTGGGTTTGACCCATCACCGTCACCATCAACATCGCCGCTACCGTCGTCATCACCATTACCCTTACCATCACCGTGCTGTGGCTGTGGCTGTCGCCGTGGCCGTGTCTGTTGTTTCTGCATCGGTTTGAAATAGCGATCCAAAGCGCCCAACTCTTGCAGCTCGTGCTGGACATTAACATCATCCACATCTTCGTCATCACATACCCGCACCATCCCATGCCCATGGCTATCCAGGAGTTTGACGCCATTGACATCCCTTGCATCTTCCTCGCCCGCATCAACATCGACCTCCTCATACTCCTCCTCTTCTTCTTCCATCTCTTCTCCTTTCACTGCATTCTCAACCTTTTTGTTCGTCTCAAACCTCGCCAACGCAGCAGCCGCCCGCAGCTCTCTTCCGCGCTTACTCTGCGCGACACGGGGTTTCGTCCCAACAGGGCCCCTGCGACTGAACTCCAACCGAAGACGCTGGTCCTCATCCTCGCCGAGCGCGACGCCATTCTTGCCGAATTTCTTCTCGATGCGACGATCGCGCTTCTCCTTCCACGTCAAATCGTTGGCGTTTCCGTTCGCACCCTTCCTCTGTCTTTTCCGTCTCCGACTCCGAAACGTACCACCACACAACGGCAGCCCTTGCAGCTGATCACTCCCCAAAACATTATTACCCATAACAGCGCCCATCTCGCTCAGCGTCCTCCCACTGCCCCAGAACCCTTCACCCGTATACCCCCTGGTCCACAACGCCTTCAGTTCCTCGGCGTACATGTTCCTCGTTTTCCAGAAATCCCGGCCGTGGTTCATGTGCGCGTTATGCGCCAGTTCGTGCATCATGACCATCTGGACCATGTTGAAGGGGATCCAGCCGCCGTTCTTGCTCTGCAGGACGAGCTGGATGATCTCGCCGTTGTTGAAGTTGCGGCCGATGAATTCGCGGTTCGGTTCGTATTCTTCCAGCGTCGTCACTGAGAGGTAGTGCTTCTTCATGATCGGTAGGCATTGCGCGGCGATCGCCCGGAGATATGTGTCTGCGAGGTCGTAGGAGGCTTGGTCAGAGGCCGGGCGGGGAAGGGGCTTGATGAATACGATTCGGTCGTTGGGGTGGCTTGATTTCTGGTGGTTGAGTCGGAGGGTGTTGAGCGGCATTTTTTGAGAAAGAGGGCTTGTATGTACACAGTCTCTCTGAATCGTATAAAGTGCGACACAGGATGAAAATTAGGGAATAGAGCAAGCCATAGACAGTACAATACAATGTATGCTGGGCTCACGTAGGGCCGGCAGTTGACTTGGTAGTCAGTGTTGGGTTTGGGTTCTTTGTTCTCTAGAATCAATCGTCGCCGTCGCCACTGTCAAAGGGTCCGATCCTCTCTCGACGTACTTTAATTTGGAGACGCGGTGGGTGCGAGTCAGTATTGTGAATCTGGGGTTGGCTGCTGACTCGTGGACACGGTGCACGATCCGACAGCCGAGGTCAAACAACGACGTGGATTGATTGAGACATGGAGGTGGAGGCGGAGGCGGAGGCGGAGGATGTCCGGTCAATGTATCTCACTGCATACGAGACTCTGGCGTCTACGAATAGTCTGTCTGATCCTCTCAGAGAGGAGGTCTTCTGGCATCACCAGAACGGGCTTGTCTCAAAGGGATTTATATGTGGATCCTCTAGAAGAATACATAAGATAGGTGAAGCCCTTTCGGCTCTAATATCTTGCTCTGATATTCTGAACACCCCGTGGACTGTACTGGCATCATGGACGGCTGCAAACCATCATCAGCAACATCCGGCTTCTTCCAGGCTTCACCTACCATCCCACCTCAATATAGCCGGCCTGGATCAAGCAGCACCTCCGACCACGACACTTCAGACGACACCGTCCTGTCTCGCATTCTATCTATATACCTCCCCAATACGATCCCGTCCGAGATATCCAAGCCCCTACATGACTTCTCACGACTCGTCCTCCACCCATCAACACTAGCACACACGGTCGACTGTGACACGGATGTGCCCACGCTCCACCCGCTGACGACGTTCGGGGAAGAGAACAAAACGAGTCCTCTCCGCACGAGCGAAGGATGGCGAGCGCTGAAACAGATCCAAACCCGCGCCGGCGTGGTGGGATACGGATACCCGCATCTCGCGATCCACCAGAGCTTCAACCGTCGAGTGCATCAGTTCGCAACGCTGCATCTGTGGCACGGGTCCTGCGCCGTGACGACGTGTCCGATGGCCATGACCGACGGGGCGGCGGTGCTTCTGCGGCGCCACCTCAACGATTTGGACGGAGACCAGCCGGGACGTGCGGAGGTGTTCGTCGAATCTTACAAGCGCCTTGTCTCCCTCGACCCAGCCTACGCGTGGACCAGTGGACAATGGATGACCGAGCGGTCGGGAGGCAGCGACGTGCGCGGCACCGAGACCGTTGCGCGGCGAATGACGGCCAAGGAGATCGAAAGTGATGTGGTGAGCGGTCGCGATCGAGACGCCCACGGCCTTCCGCTCGGGCCGTGGCTTGTCGACGGCTTCAAGTGGTTCTCTTCTGCCACGGATGCCGACATGGCTGTCCTCCTGGCGCAGACGAGTCGAGGCCTCAGCGCATTCTACGCACCTCTCCGCCGTTGCGTGGGTGGTTCGTCCCCACTCGGCACGGAGGCCGGGTCATCCGAGTCGTCAAGACATGACTTCACCAGTGAAATGAACGGCGTGCGTCTCCAGAGGTTGAAATCGAAACTCGGCACAAAAGGCCTGCCGACCGCAGAGCTCGAGTTGAAGGGGATGCGGGCTTTCCTGATCGGCACCGAGGGTCAGGGCGTCAAGGAAATCAGCGCCGTCCTCAACATCACGCGGCTGTATACCGCCAGTGCTGGGGCCGGCTATCTTGCACGTGGCCTGGCTGTGAGCCGCGCATACACGCACGTACGGCGAGTCCGGGGCGGCCAGCTACTATGCGACAATGCTCAGCATTTGGCCTGGATGGCCGACGAGAGCGTCAAGTACCGCGCCCACACACACCTGGTCTTCCTGGGCGTCGCGCTGCTCGGCGCCAGCGAGCAGGGTCACGAGGCTGTTGTGGCGAGTACACGCGCTGGAGTTCTGATTCCGCGCAACAAAGAAACCGTCGACACGCTACTGCGCATCCTCACGCCTGTCATGAAGGCTCAGGTGACCCTGAACAGTGTATCGGGTCTGCGGGCGTGTATGGAGTCGCTGGGAGGCGTTGGATACTGCGAGAACAACGATGACGGAGGCGTTCTCAACATAGCCCGATTGTTCCGCGACAGTGTCGTCGGTACCATTTGGGAGGGCACCACGAGCGTCATGGCGGAAGACGTCGTGAGAGTCCTCAAGAACCCGAAAGTCAAGGTCAGTGTGCTTGACCGCGTTTTTGGCGCTTGGATGCGTGCCGTGCTCGCGGCTGTGGATCCGACCTTCTCCAAGGAGTGCGAGACTGTGAACAATCGCTATGATGCTTTGCAGAATTTGGTCGACAAACTGGACGCTGACCAGCTGCACCGCCGTGGAAGGGAGGTTCTGGACCATATCGAGGCCATCGCTTGCGCGTGTCTCCTTATGTATGATGCGTCGGTCGATAGAGACATTGCCGCCATGGCGGTTGCTAGGAGGTGGATTGTGACCAACGCTTTACCATTGGATAAGGTACAACAAGACAGTTCGGGAGATTGGACCAAAGAGGTCGATCTCGACCGGAGGATATATCTCGGGCCAGACGCTGTGTCATTGATGACTGTACAGGCGAAGCTCTAAAAACAGTGACAGAGTTGGCATTTGGCATTCGGCATTGTAGCATGTCTCAGGCTGACCATAATGCAACATTGAACACCTCACCCGTAGCAATGGCTGTAGAACTGTAGAACCGAATAAGGTCAGGAAAATACCTCGCGCAATCTGCCAACGAAGCCAGCCAACCCGGAGATATTGGAGACCGCCGGCCCCGTGACAGGTCCGGGGGCGGCCACCGTGGGTATGACGAGGACTTGATCCCCTGTCTCCATCCACTCAAATGTACTACCAAAGCGGAAGGTGATTCGGATTTCCTTCTGGTTGTCATTGCTGCCGTCTCCAAAGCTTTCTCCCTCGTCGGCGTCGAAGCCGAATACATCTCCATCGGGGGAAGCCGGGACAGCCTCACCATCGTCTCCCTGCTCATCTAATGCCACTCCAGTCACCTTGACAGCGGCCCGTACACTGTTAATGTATGCAGTGGCATGGCCGCCCAGTATCAAAGGAGGCGAACCTCGTCGAGCAAAGTCGGAGGAGGGAAAGGATGCCGAGAAGGAATGGTAGCCGACGAGTTCGGTATTGCTTGGATCTCCCACCAGCACCATGCCTTTCCGAGCCCTCTCGAGTATCGTCGACTCCGGCCCGCGGTTGACAGGCTCGACCCCAATGGTTCCGGTTTCTCCTTGCTGCATGCGGACTACTGGAAGTCTAAGATTGCGTAGTGACACGACGCGTACAGTCAGAAACGTCGTCGCGGCTGGCCCTTGTCGGGCCGTGGGAGATCGAGAACCCTCGCCTTGATATGACCGTGCAACATTGGTCATAAGTCGCTGCGCATAAGGCGTTTCTGACCCGTAGGACCTTGACCTCACAATCGGTTGGGAAGACCGACTCGTTGACCTTTCCCTGTCTATAGTCAGAGGTCCCAGACGCAGAATATTGCCAATTGAGAGTGTTCCTCGGGAGACATAGCCACATAAGACTACTCCCTGATTGGCAATCCGGTCTTTGGGGTCTGATGAGTAGACGCGCGATGGCGGAATGCTGAAAACCTCGTCAACATGGAATAGAGAGAAATACCCCGACATGGATTGTTGGATGTCCTGAGGTCTGACAATGGGAACGGATCGAAGGAGGGCATGAAGTTTACTGATTCCAGATCCTGTCACTGCGCTGGTCATGAGAATAGGAACTGCTGGGTTGCCATCTTTCTCTCCGATTGTAGCCACGATCCGATCGACCTCCGCCTGGTCGGTAATATTAATCAATTGAAGCTCAGGAAAAGCGCCCGCAGAGTCCGCTATCAGTGGAGGAACAGAAGAAGTGTTGAGCATGACAGGCTTCCTTCCGGCCGCCTTGAGGCGTGAGAGAAGCTTTGCCAACACCAGTCGCAGCCCGGTCCGGTTGGCGAGATCCATTTTGGTAATCGTAATAATCAACTGCATCCCCAACCTCAGACATAGATCTAAGTATGAGAGCGAAAGATCCGTGCTCTCTGAGCTGCTGGCCTCCGCAGGTGGCCTCCCTGCGAGGTTTGATGTTTGGACGCGAGGTGTCTCCTGTAGGTAATCGTCCGCCGCAACACAAAGGACAGTCCATGACGGCTTCCAAGATATCACACTCCGAAGCGTAGATTTGGCAAACCGAGGAAGTCCGGGTGAATCTGAGAGAAATACCAAGCGATCGGCTAGGTTATGAATGTCTGTCCAAGACGAAACATTGCCGGAGGCATAATTGATGACCGGGCGTGAGGTGCTCTGCTCCTTTAGGTAGCCAATGATTTCCTGGGCGACCGAGCTGGTGATGCCGGACGCTATCTCATGTCGATGCTTGAGCAATGACAGACGACTTTTTCCTCGGCCGTTATCCAGAGTAGAAGTCGAGAGTGTGCCTAGCAAAGAAGACTTGCCAGCTGAAGTTGCTCCCACTAACGTGACTCGGATTTGCTCGGAGGAAGATATCTCCGCCATGGATCCGTCCTCTTGCTCGGGCAGCCTGGGGGATTGCTCAAGGTCCGCCCTGGCTGATTCCCGGGAATCAGGATAGACCAGAACTTCTGCGACCCAGAGCTTGTCCGCCCTCAAATTGTCTCCGTTAGAATCATCGTCATCCTCAGCCCACTGGCATGATCCCACTGCTACTTTCCGTACAACGTTCGTGGTGCAGCCCAAGCTTGCGGCCATGGCGTCAAGATTAGTGAGACTTTCTGTTAGTTCGTCCTCAGCCAAGCCGACGAGTGTGCCATCATCAGCCACACCAATCTCATAAAGTGCTCCTTGACTCTCTTCCAGCCCAGGCAACAGGTTTGCTGGCCGTTCCGGGGCGCCCAGTCTGGGTGTTGCTTCTGGAAGCACTGGTAGGACCAGCTGGGCATTCGATGAGGAATGGAAAGGCGACGACTGTTGTAGTCTCCATAGCAGCTGTGTTGTCAGTTGCTGTAGTCTGGCTTGACGAGCATGCGCTGATGGCTGAGAAGTGGCGGAACGGTCTACACTCGACTCACTGGAGCAGCCTTGTTGAACGAAAATGGACTGCGAAAGGTAATGCTGAGGATGAAGCACCACAGCAGCCGTGGAAGTCGAGACAAATCGACGCCTTGGGCGCAGCAGTAAATGCAGTTTATATTCCGTGGAGCCTTCCTGGTTCTCGGGTTCTAACTTTGTGAGCCCGGTTATTTCAGCTAGTCCTCCATTCAGTGGTGTCTCGCTCAGATGTAGCGGCTGGGGAGAAGAAGTGCCAGGGGTGGACCATGGTGACTGTATTCGAGGTGGCTCATCCTGAAAGGTGAAGATGGAGGCCATAATGTTCCCTGACGGAGCTTGTCTCTCCTACTCTTTCGCAAGTTTTATATGGGATATCGCTGTAAGGATGGACACAATAATGACAGAGGTAAAGACCGGGTGATCGTATGAGAATAGTAGAGGAGTTGGGACAAGCGAAGACACATCGTTGCGGCGACTGTAGGTTGGATGAGACAAGAGTGTCTTGATGAGCAGGCTGGTGGTACTTATGATTCCGTCGAGCAGATGAAGAGGGCAGTCATGGTTGTAGGGGCTGCGATCTGGATGGATCTCATGGCACAGCAGCTGTCGACTCACCTCCAGTTACGCTTTGAAGTGATGTCGAGTCACAGATGCTCGATGAGCCACTCACTGCACGCGACGGCCCGGGGATGCGGTTAAGCCGGGGACCTTGAAGAGCGGCGGACCGGCCTTGGCACCGGTACAACATGAACTTGGTCAACTTGAATCAATATGACCTCTTCTGTCTATGCGCATCCTCTTGTCATGTATAATATTGCACGCCTCGGATGGTTGATCTTGCTAGAAAAGGCCAGATATTTGACGTCAGACTCAATCAACTCGTCTGGGCTGAACGTGTGTAGATCATGCAATACGTGGCAAAAAGACAGGTATAGTGGACGCACGCTTCACAGGGTCCATCATTCCATTGATCGGGTATCTTGGGTATATATGAGCTCGCTGAAATCGACATTGACCTGACTTGGCCGCTTCCACACAAATGCCTCAGCATTGCTTTGGGATAAATCAGTGCACCGTTTGTGCTGGGAGAATAGTCTCTCTAATTGTGCTCTCATCCATCAAAATGTAGCACGACCTGACTGAGTGTTGGCTCTCCATTTATGGTTCGACTGCGCAGGAACGAGAGACGCGCTCATTTGCTCTTGTCGTCTCCCTCAGAGACCTTCTCCCACTCGCTATCAGTACTCACATAGCCGGAACTTTCGCCCAGGCTGCGCCGACGCCTAACCTCTTCGACACTTTCTGACCTCTTAGGCTCCAGCAAGGTTGGGGATAGCTGCTTGGGTCTCTCATGACTTTGACTTGGCACAGCCGCCGATGGTGTGGTGGTGGTCGTAGCTGAAGATTCCGGGCCCGGTGTCTCCGTCTCCGTATCGGTGTCACTCGCGTGCTCTGGTTCGGGTTTCTTCTCCTTGTTTTCCTTCGCCGATTGCATCTGCTGTTCTCTTGCCATTTCTTGGGCGAACCAATTGATGGCGTACCAAAGACCGCCGCACAAGCCCGACAGCACGACGAAGTGAATGGAGTATGTCGCAATGAGGAGTACTAGGAGGAGGAATTGGAGGGCGGCAAAGGAGGCATTGGTCGCAACCAGCAGCGTCGGTGTCGGTCCGGGGGTAAAGATAGACTCCCAAAGATCTTGGAGGAATGAAGCCATCTTGTGAGTGTGTTCTTCATGAAACGTGCAGAAACGCGTAGAGGAAGAGTGTCGCAGAGTATTGGCCAAACGGCTGGCGGTAGAGATGCCCCGCCTCTCAGGGATCGTGCAGCAGAGCTTTAGCAGATTCAGAACAGAGCGCCTGTCCTGCAGCCCTTCAGACGTGTTTAGATGAGTCCTCTGGGAAAGATAGGTGCCTCTTGTGAGTGTTTCTGGAAAGGTTGAGACCGCCGACGTGGCATGGAGGGAGAAACAACAGGGCGAGTGACGGACTTCGAGATGCAGCCGACATCGTCATCGGCCGGCCACCAAGTCATGTGCTTCTCTCATGCGGCGCCCGGGCCTTAGTCAGCCACCAGCGGTCATTGCCGGTCTTTCATGAGCTCCCTCTTGGAACAAGGTCAGCCTGCTTCTTGCCTTTTCACCAGCGCTCTTCTCTTGGCACAACAACTACGAGTATCATACATCTCCAAGGCCCCGAACCTGGTCGGTCGCGCTTGTCGAGGAGCATGCTTTGTGGTATGGCAGCCTTCGCCTTTTTCTGGCCTACGGTCCACGCGCTTCAATCGAACCAACAGACGTTGCTCGACCATGCTTCTTATTTCTACGACATACGGTGTCCTTTTCCCCTTCAGTGCTTGGTCCTCCTTCTCTTGCCAGATTGGTCCCCCGTGTTTGCACCTGAAACGGAAGACTGCTGCCTGCTGTCCCAAATCTGTTGGGGCAAATGGGAAATAACAACGAGAAAACAGGACACCCTGGCGTCTAGGCTATGCTGGGCAAGCTCTTCAAGTTCCCAGTTGTATGATCATGGGACTCGGTCGTCTTGCAGTGGTTGGGCGTTGGCCCATGATGATACAAAGCTCCAGTCATTGGCAACAAGCCCTGGACGCCTGCTCCTTTACCCTGATCACACAATCCTTCTTAAGTCTGATTCCATTGCTGAAGATGAATATGCAACACCGACTGAGATAATGTGACCTTGGGTTTCAAGGAAGATTGACCGTTCGATACATTGCTTGAAAAGTTGCAGTTCCCCAGAGGGTTCTCCCCAATTGTTTTGCTTTCACTTTCCACGAGGCTCTCAAGTACTGCAAAGTCTGCTTCTTGGGCTGTCTTGTAGGACGAATCAGGCGTGACCGAAGGCTTCATGGGTGCCGGGTTGGTCCTTTCGTGTCCACCTGTGAATCACCGTTGTCCCGTTCATTCAGGCAGCGCTGTCTCGCTTAACTGCTTAGGTATTCTGGCTTATTTTGATGTTGACCGCGTCAATGGGCTTGTGTTTTATGCGGGTAATATGAGCTGCCGAGATCTTGTGCCATGCCGTGTTCACTGTTCGTCGCAATGGGGTGAGCCGGGATACATAGGTATGTATCGCAGATCTAGGGTCAAACCTAGCATTGACCTCAATCAGATCTTATCATCTGCCGCGATACCACGAATGTGTCTACTGTGTGGCAAGTCATCTTTCCTCTGATTGCCGACACCTAAGGACTTGGGATATCAGCGCAATATTGGATACGGGGGCCGGAAGGGAAAAGCTGGACCGCGGCAGGGAGTGTCTCCAGCATCGGACCAGGGTAAGACGGCTGTGGGGGTTGGTGTTGACTCGCTTGCTTGTGAGAAGAACGTTAGTGGAAAGCCCAAAAGTATAGGTCGTCGCCAGTCGCTCCCCCAGGTGCGGAATGTCGGCCTAGTAAGGGGTTTCTGATGAAGGGAGATGTGACGCCTGACAATGGGTCTACATACTACCTTAGGTCCTATACTATCGACCTCTTCCTTACCTAGGTATAGGTTAGATAGGTCCTGCAGGGTAATGAGGACCTTACGAGGCACTAGAGTTTCGCTAGCAACTTGAATGGCATAGTAGTTGAGAGAGTACTTGGTACAAGGTACTAGTAGTACTTGAAGCATCCAGCAGACAGCGGTGACTGAATGGAGTACATTATTATTAGGTACACTTACTCCACATAGTACTAAGATGCCTAGGTGCAGTACTAGGACTGCCAGTTAGTGTCCTGTGGGGTGCTGTGATACTATTTCATGGCTTGCTGAGCATCTCATTGGGGAGCACCGAAAGACCAATGAAATCACGTGGTGACGAGCTCTAGCCCCCGCGGCCGCCAAAACTGCAACTCCGCCTGCGCCTGCGCCTGCGACTGCGGCCCCTTTTGGGGGCGGAAATGTGTCATTGAATCTTTCGGTCTCTCCGTCCATTCTCAAACAACGTTTCTCCGCCAGTAAAAGCACGTCTACAGACTACTCACCTCGCTCTATGCGCCTCCATCGGGCCATAGATGTAAGTCACTTGGTGGAGCCAGAAACCTGTCGTTCGTCGTGGGTAAGCATCTCATCGGTCACCACTGCTGGCCCGCTCGATCGTGGATGGCCTGTCTACCTGGTATCCCTCGAAACAGAAATACAAACCTGAGCAGCGTTCTCGTCCTCAAGATGCCGTCACCCGCTATTTATGCGAGGAAAGGGCATTGCTTTGGCCAAATGAAGCATTCGAGACGGGCTCAGGATTGATGGATATCGTATCAATGGTTGTATTGTACTGTGGTCAGCTCGGCTTTTAGCCGTCAGATCTCAGCATCATCTGACCAGGCTGCGGTGGCCACACTGCAACGAGCACCGTCTGCTTACCCAGTTTCTCACAGGCTCATTGCAGCCACTGGGGGCTTGGCCCACTGATGATGCCTTACCTTAAGCCGGCTTTCACAACCACCGTGTCTCCGCTCGTCAACCAACAGGCGACCATTCGAGGTCCCCGCGAGCCGATGTCTTGCAATGCCCGGTACGAAGCTTACCATCATGTCCCAATTCAACACCCACGGCCCCACCGGTGATGAGTGTTGTAAGTCAGCGCTGCTGACTGTGGCTGAAGTGACCTCGCTATTCATGGACGTCGAGTGGAGATTGGCGATGCGACAGACGGTGATGGCAAGCTGAAGTTGTTCTCCGCGCATCTACAATCCGTTTACTCACGCTCGTCCGTCATGTGGTTGCCTACAACGGCAATGTTTTCGATCGCCTGTGATTCCCCGGAGTTGGTGCTTCTCATACACATACTTGGCTGAAGCGATCAGCTTGTGTCAGACCCGGTTTTAACCTATTACTAGAAAGTCTCTCCTATACAGTAGCCTTACGGGCTGCCGTCACTGGTGCTCTCACTATTAACACCAACGGGAATAACCAAATGGCCCCTCCCGCTCAGGTAGTCCTCGATTGACCGCTCTCTGCCTCGATTGGACAATTCATCTGCTCGCTGCTGGGTAGTAGTGTTGGCAGCCACATCTACCTGTACGACACGTACGCGATTCTACTAGAGATCGATCAGGCCCCCAGAGAGGATTGTCGGTCCCTAGTGACCAGCGAACAGGATACGAATTCGCTAAGACCAGCTATTACCGTTAAAAGAAGCTGTCCCTGGAGGCCAACCGCGGCTTATGCCATCAGCAACTCTATCAATACCATCAACGAGCCTGTGCCAAAACGCCTATTCAGATGGTCTTATCAACCAACTGAACATTACTACCGTACGAAGTCTGCCTCCACCAGCATAAGAACGGACTCAGCAAGCGAGGAGACACAGCATTATTATATAGGACTGGACCGGTCTATTGACGGGGACGTCTGTCTGCAGCCTGTCGCATCTTCACCAGCCGAACGAAATAACTGTTGTCTTATTCGGGTGAAAACGCACGCAGATTCGCTTTCGAGCTTGCTCGCGCAAGCTCGACCCTGTGTCTATCAACATTGCTCACCAAATTCCGTCGCAACTGGCCCATCGCATACCGTCAACCTCGGTCTCGAGTTCGCAGCGTCCAACGTACCAGGGTCAGGGGGTGTATAGAAGCGGCCGCCTATCGAGCGCAACTGGTCGAGCGGGTGCTGATGCGGCATCATTAGAGGTCGGACATGAGCAAGTTGCATCACGTACTCAGGGCGACATCATTCTGCAGTCGGAACATACAGAAGGTGGGCACGCAGCTAGCATCTCCTTCCCTGGCCATCAATACTCCTGGATTTCCAGTCAGCGACAAGCACCTCAAATTGATTTACAGGCACCCAATGTACCGTCATTTACACTGCAACGCCAAAGGTTGGTGGTTTTTACAACCTTTCGTCCCTGGAATTGCTAACAAGGACTCAAGGATGGCCGCTCATGTGCTTCCGACGCCGGCGACGCAGTATGCTCCGACCCAGATGTCCTATGGGACTGACGACCTCCATAATCCGAACGAGACTACAAGACGGCAATGGTGGCCTACAGACTCGGGAGCGACCTTTGGAGGTCTACAATCCGGAGACTCTTCGTATAGTTCCAACGATTTGCAACCTGTGACGATGGTCTCCCCTCCTTCCGTCTACTCCGACACGTATTTAGGACGCCAATCATCGCAGTCACCACGGGCGCCCTTGGGTGTGAACATTCGGGACCGAACACCCATTCGACATTACCAGTCAAACGACATGCGACGGCGCAGTCACAATAGGAGCGAGATGTTACTAGCATACGCGGAGCAGAATCAATTGCATGAGTCGCAATCACTACCAATCATGGCCACCATTTCCTCCCAGAGTGGTGCGGGCATGGCACGGATGTGCAATATGCCTACATATAATATGTCACCCCCGATGACCAATTTTCCGCCTGGAGATGACATGTTCGCTTCCTCAATCCTGCAAACCACAGCACAGCAAGAGGCGGGAATGATGTTGCGGCACCAGAATGCAGGAGACGTACAAACTTTCTTTCCGATCGAGCGAACTTCACCACACAGTTCCCAAATGGCTCTGCGGCAGCAGCCTCGGCCAGACGCACACAATGCGACTTACGCCATCGGACCAACCGATACTGGCCCGCAAGCATTCCCACCCGTCACTTTGACTCTGGAGTCCAGTCCTGCGGAGATCGAAATCAGGCCGTCACGACCGAAACCGCAGTGCTGGGAGCACGGTTGTAATGGGAGACAATTCAGTACATTCTCGAACTTGCTGCGGCATCAGAGAGAAAAGAGTGGGAGTGCGATAAAAGCGATTTGTCCACACTGCGGTACGGAGTTCACACGGACGACAGCGAGGAATGGACACATGTCCGGTGGCAAGTGCAAGGGCAAGGCCGATGCCGAAGCCTCGAACCGGGCCATCTAAGATTACAGAGCCATTGTCCAGAGTCGGCCTTGGGCTTATTGGACGAATATATGACCATCGATGGACGACAATTTAATGAGACTCTTGTACGAATCAGCTTGGCAAGGAGAGGACAATGACATTGACTAAACACAGATGGCTCCACGGTCGAGCACAACAGTGGCGGAAGGCGGACACGATGACCCTAACAACAATAGCAAGAAGCAACGGCATTAACACGTGGTACCAACAAACAATCGGGATGTTGTTTGACAAGGGGCATCTTCCATCGTTTGAGAGTGGCGAAGCTGAGCTAAGCTGAGCAGAGCACAGCATCTGGCTTGTGGCTGTTATGTTCCACCGCTGTGAGAGCTGGTCAGCTGCAATGCTACATCGTATCAGCCATGAGACTCGAACCAGGGGAAAGGGTCATGCCCGGTGGAAAGAAAGACGTGACAGAGGCGACGGCACCAATAGCAGTTGTGTGTCTTCATGCCCCGAACAGGCCTTCCAGGATCCTTACCCCTGCGCAATTGCAATTGTCGAAGAGCTGCTATTCTGCTTGACTACTTGTGCGATGAAGCAACCCGACGGCACAAATAAAATAGGGAGTTTCAGTATTTTCACTCGTCAAGAGTGTCCTTACTTCTGGGATTTCCTCTATACTTCCCTGCGTTCAGGGGCGAGCATTGGGCGGCGGGCGGCGAGGCTGACACAGGCTTGGCTACTTGGCGATGGGCTCCTGAAGGCTCCGGTCTCCGCGTCCAAGTTGAAGTTAAAGTCACTTCTACTGGTATTGACAGCCTGATGAACTCATATTCAACTTGAATGCTGCTGTCTGCACTCATTCGTTTGGCCGCCTTATCGAATTACCGTCGTCCCAATATCAGTATCAATATCAACCCTTGTACTGTGGTACTGTTGTATCGTGGTACTTGTATTTCCCCTAAAAGTCCAAGTCAAGAAGTAAGGTATTGATTGGAGTACTACAGCAGCATCAGCTTATGCTGACACGGTTGAACCTCAATGCGACAGATCACTCGCTCCATTTGGTATTTGACACGTTTCCACGGAGCTATCTCTATCTATACCGGTACCTGCATCTACAGTGGCATCTGCATCTGCATCGGCACTCTGGGCCGTCCAATTTCGAGTCCTCCACTGCATTCGGCGGCCGCAGAGGCTCAGGGAGCTTACCAATCTGGAATGGCTGTCAAGAACAAGGAGAAGAGTGTCACTCTGTGTGGGAGAGCTTTGCCTATCTACCTAGATATACTCAGATCATAGGATGTACTTCAGCTGGTATCATGACCTTGCCCACGGCATCACACGGATTCGCTCTGATGTCCGGGCCCCGAAAAGGTTTCTTCCCGCCTTACGATCTCCTGCCATCCACCGCCTTTCTGCACTGCCATGTTTGCAGAATCGCGCCGGGATATGCCTGTCTCATCGATTAAACACGGGCTTGCTTCTGTATTGTGTCCAGCCTTATTTGAAACCCTTATAACCGTCCATGTCGGGCCTTGAAAATGGAGATCTTATCATCGTAGAACAAGATCTCCCTCAGACGCCAGGTTCGCTTGGGCGCGTTAGAGTCGTCGCCTCGTTCGACTTCTTCGTCACTCCCGTCATCGCCGGTATCCGAGACGCCTTCGAAGTCGCTTGAGTCATCGTCTTCATCGTCGCCACGGCCGTCCTCGTGAACAGCGTGGTGGGCGTGCTGGGCATGGCTGTGTGGGAGATGCGTATGATTGTGATTGTGATTGTGATTGAGGTGGTGATGGTTAGGATGTGTAAGGCCTCCTCCACCACCACCCGTCGGTCCGACATCTTGATCCGTTTCAATGTCTTCAAGTTCTCCAGGGTAAAAGACGGCATTGGATCCACTAGGCGGCGCCACACCGGACACTTTCCGTGTATTGGCGAACTCCAGGATCTCGAAACACTGGGTCTGCACGCCCAGATAGCACAGCTCCAGTTCCGGCCGGAGAGCAACAATGTCCAGCACCTGCAAGGCTGCCTCACGGGAATGGACTGTGCCCTGCACATGTTCGGCAATATGCGGGATGTGTAGGGACCTCAAGGTCGTAGCGTTGGGCAACCGGCGCAGGAAATAATGCCAGTCTTTGTAGTCGATCGACATGCTCAACTCGCGCAGTTTCATCTTGCCGCTGGTGATGCAGGTGATCAATTCCCGGTTCACTACCCACCGTCGCCAGTTGATGTCTGAAGCATCTGGGTCTTCTGTTCTCCATGTACTGTCCACGAGTAGTTTGGTCAAACTGGACCGATGCCGTCGGATGGCACCCTTGTAGATCATGTCGACCGTAACTGGGGATTTGTAGGTCGAGTTTTCCTGCAGAAAGAGCCACTCTAGACTGTCTGGTGCCAGTGTGTCTTTGATGAAAGAAATTAGAGAGGGAGACACGGTATCGGTGTGCAATCTTTTCAAATTCAACACGTAGTCCGAGAAAGCCGGTGTTGCTGACGGTCCAGAGTCCGGGGCGCCGGCGCCGTTGGACGAACCTCTGAAGGCTGCGGAAGACGCCCTTCTACGACTGGTGGGTGTGAAACGCTTTCGAAGCGCCCTCCATAGTTGTTCGTGGTTTCGACACCCCAACAGCGTGAGCGTGGTCAACCGTGACCAGTCAATCGCGTTGGATAACACCGTGATCGATAGATAGACTCGTTCGATTTCGAGAGTTTCCAGTTCAAGCTTTCGCTCTGCACCCCCGGCCTTGCCGCACGACTGGAATAGATACCCACCGGTATGACCATGGTGTGCGTTGAGGACTTGTGGCTGACTGTAGGGAAGATTTCGCTTTGTCGGAGCAATTGATATCGTCTCTGGGTCATCATCTTGGATGTTATGGGCAGACAGCAAGACCCCAAGATGGTTGATGTCTGAAGGGTTAACTGGTGCCTCAAGCTCGTCTTCCTTTCCTTGATCTGCGTCTTTGTCTGCTCCAGCATATCTATCGAACACAGTCTTCTGGGGGTCGAGAATCGAAGACGGACCGCTTTGGTGATGATGCGAAAAGGCGTTGCAGAACCGATGAACCAAGATGCCGAGGATACCACCGGGACGGGGTGACTGATCGCCTAGTCCGTTCATCAGTGGAGGTAGAACAGGAGCTCTGTCCTCGGCCGGTCGAGCCCAGATGTCAAACTGCGCATGCGAGGCCATCCCCACTCTGAGTTCTTGCAACTTCCCCAGAGATCTTTCAATCAACACACTCATCTCCTCGGCATAGGGCAACTCATCGATGTCGAGCACACTCAAACTTCGGAGAGGTGGTAATATTGAGAACGTTGGGAACTCCACTCTGGGATAGGGCGGGATTTGGAATAGAGAATGTGCAGAGCCGGCAAGGATGGAAGGCAAATTCGACGCCTGTAGACCTGGGCCGGTACCAGGTGGTGGGGGAGAAGCCAGAGGGCCCTGATCTTGATTGTCGTGCCAGCGTACCCAGACTCGGTCGAGGCGGCATTCTTGTCCATCATCCCGATTGCCGAGAGAAGCCAGGGCAAGCCAAACATCTCGAAGAACACCTGTCGGCATATCCCATATGAAGGCTTCAAGGTTTCGCATCCTCCCAACCGCGAGCGCCACGAGAGTACCCAGCATCTTTCCGCCCTCTTTTGTAATAAGATACTCCTGAACCCAGTCAGCAGGGCCATTGCCCAAACTGAACTTCCGAGTATATCTCGCAAAGTAGTTTCCACGTCGGATCTTGCGAGGTCGGTTGGTCGGTTGAAGGGGCGGCTGGGTATAATGGCCACAATGTGAACATGGATGCGGGGATTCTTGTTGATATGGCGCCTCGCCGAACACGTCTTGTGCCATGACCAGGGTTGCCAGTCCATATGTCAAAGCGTCCACCCCCATACGGTTTTCGAAGGTCGCATTCACATCAGGCCAGACGATGTCGAACCTCGAGTAGATGTGGGGTATCACCAACGCATGCAAGGCCGAGTGCGTCAGCGCGAGCGATGTAAGGTCATTTGTATGTGTCAGTTCCCGCAGAATTGCCTGCAGAATATCAACTGGCAGATCAAGCAGCCTTAGTGGTTCCTTCTGTGCCGTAATGGCATCCCATTCTGACTTCTTCTCCTTCAGATGTTTCGCCAGCAGTGTTTGGGATTCATTGTTCTTCGGTCTTTGGGCCCACTCCTGACTCTCAGCGCCAGAGTCCATCCTGAGGCTCTGCGGGTGGTTGTCTTGATGTCTCATCAGGTTCTGAGACGGTGTCTGCGGTGCTTGGTTCAGGCAATGGCAGGAGGCTCAGAGCATCAGCCCTGAGCCGGTGAGGACTATATCAGCTGGTCATGAGGTGTCAACGGGGATGGGTATGAGTGGTGGAAGGGGCCGACGAGTGAAGAGACGGCAAGCGGTTGAAACAGGCCTGAGGTTGGGCAGTAAAGAGTTCGTCACTGGAGTCTTGAGTCTTAAGCGCAGGAGTCAAATTGACGCCGGCTGATGCTAATGTACTCTGTAGACGACATCGAGACGCCCAAACGGATGGTTGCGCGGTTAGACGCTGGAGGCTGGTAGCAGGTTGGCCGGGAGCTGGAGGCGCGCTAGTGAAGGGCTTTATTTGGTTTAACGGGCACTAACGATCTCTAATGGATAACCTCTAACAGCATAGTGTTACTAGTGCCATAAGCGATAACGATAGTACAGAAATAGGCACTTGCGGAGGGGCAGCCGCAGCCGCAGCCGGGTTGGAACCACTTTACGCGCTCCACGTCTCGGTGCCGCATTGGAGGCCTACTAGGTACCTACAGAATAGCCTGGGGAGTACCTCAGGCAAGAGTACCCAGAGGGTTCCTAGGTACCTTAGGTACCGAAGGGTCCCATGATCCCCACGTCAAACGGGGATAGAGTTACTGCACTGTACCTAAGTACAGTGTGACAGTAGAAATAATAATAACAGCGATACGAGTCTGCAGTAGCAGTAGCATGTCTTCACCCTAGACTCATTGAGGCTTTACAAACAAAATGCTTTGTGACTCCAACATCTAGGGGCTTGCTGTTCGATTAGGTAGCAATCATGCTCTCTCAAGTTTGTAGTGAATGAGGCCTTGCATTTTGCACGGTGAACGGCCCTGCGTCTGTCTGTGCCACCACCGCACCGTGTGACTGCCGTTTGCTTGTAGCTGCCGGTGGTAACACTCTTTCACTCCACCCACTCGCTGCACTGCACCACCTGCTCACACGGGATTGTGCTTCAAACAACGAAGCTGCCTTCATGCCAGGGATTCTTTCGCTACAGCTTTATCTACTTCAAATTTGTCTTGCAACGCCCCGCTGACTCTTACTTATTATCTGCTGTGAAGCAGCCTCCTTGACCCAACGTCACTTGATCTCTTCTCCTCCTCTCACTCTCGTACTACTTCCTATTCTTCGTCCGCGATTGCGTCCACACGAGTTAAGCTGCTGCTTTCCTCACCGGTTCCCATCCTTGGGGCCTCGGAGCTCGCTTTCTTGCTACCTTGCAATCCCCAGACGAGCACCTGCCTAAGCTGCCTGCGCCAGGGTGCTACAAGGCCACTGCGTCGGAGTGCCCCTCATCTAACCAGTTTCACGGAATACACACCACACCGTCCTTCTCCTCGTGTCACCTCGACCCGCGATCGGCGCACAGCGTCACGATGGACGGCTGCCCGGATGAGGTCCTGCTCAAAATCTGCAACCGCCTAGACTTCAAAGATGTGGCAAATCTGCGGAGGGTCAACAAACACCTGGCCGAGGTCGGAGCTGAGGCACTGGTGAAGAGAGTACGTTTCCACTGCAGTCAAGAGTCACTTGAGCGTCTCCATGCCATCGCCAACCATGATGTGTTCAACAAGTACGTGGACACCGTTGTCTTTGAGGGCAATATTCTGGCCAACGTTGGTTGCATCCACACCTACACGGCACATTACAAACTTGACCATCACAATAATGACAGACCACAACCACCGGGGAAAAATGCTACCGCTCGGGAGAGGAGGCTGTATGAACGCAATGTGGCCAAATTCAACCATGACATGATGGTCAAATATGAGCGATACCGCAATTTCTATGACCGGCAACAGAAAGTGCTCAAATCAACCGCCTATGACGACCTCATCTCACCCAGCATTCCATGCTTCCCACGACTTGAAAACATTGTCTTATCCACGATCGGCAGGTGCAAACACGTCCTGTCGAAACGATTCCTCGAGATGTTTGCGGTCGACTGTGCCATGCCGCCCGAGTCCGACACCAAATACACCAAAGAGCAATTGAAGCACCTCCTGTTTCCACGGGGTGAGCCTCTGACTACCCTTCGCTCCTTGGAAGTGAACGTCGTCAGCCCCAAGTTCTTCGCCGGATATTTGCCTCGCGATCTGATGTGTCAGGCCTTCCAAAACCTCAAAATCATCAACCTCAATTTCCGCCTCGAGAAAGATGATCGATACGATCTGGAGTATCTCACGGCGGACTCCTGCTACAAGGGCTTGAATGAAGGACATCTTCGAGCTGCGCTCGCGGCAGCTGAGGGCCTGCAAGATCTGACCATCAATTTCGACGACTTCGGCTTCTTCGGGGCGTGTACGGACATCAAGCATGTGTTGGGTGATCATTCCTGGCCAAACCTCGACACACTGGACTTGGACTGCATGTCAGCCACGGAGGACAATCTCTTAAGCATGTTGAAACGCCAGCCGGCCCTTCGGAGCCTCAAGTTGGGCTTCATCACCCTCGAAGAAGGAAGATGGCCCACTGCCACGTTGCAGATGCGCAGAGACCTGAAACTCACCAAGTTTGCCGCGCATGGTTTCCTGGAAGATCCGGACCAAATGTATCCTATGCATTTCATCGATGCCGAGGCCTATCTTGTCGATTTCACCCACTCTACTCTGGACGCAGCCCTCGACGTTTATGTCACCGACAGTTTTGACGAGTCTGATGACTATCACCCCCTGGAGGACACCGAATTCGCCGATCCGGAGGATGTCCGCGAAGAATACGGTCCATTTGACGACTCGGAATTTTCCGACATGGATTGCAGCGACTAGACAGAAGCAAGGAAGCGTGCTGTGTCCTCCGATGCCGGTTGATGTATCAAATGATTTTACGACTTTTCCGAGTATCGACTGTACAGTATGAAGAAAGCGCGCATTTTATGAGAGACGGACTACAACAGATACCCCCGTGCGAGCTTTTTTTTTTCGGTCTTTGCGTTTCGAGTGCGCCTCAACTCGGGCTAGAGGCCAACATTTGGCTGGGCTTGCTGGTTTTTGATCAAAAGGCGACAGTGCAAGGGTTCGCAGGAGTTCGTAGGAGATGGTGGTCCGGACTCACCTGAGGTGCAAACATGTGCATTTCAGACGCGGGTCATCTGTGTGATCCTCGATTTCATAGCCGGTGAAGATTCCTGTACATAGACGACGAAACAACCACAACCCGTCAAGCAATGTCAATGTTGCCGCCTGTGTCTTGTAAACTCGTTAAGCTTACAGTCGTGAACTTGTTGTACTGGATGTTGGTGGATCGGCTGAACTTCGGAATGGCATGGCAAAAGTCCCCATGATGAAGTCAACATCCCTCCTGGTTCCTTCTTCTTGCTTCGTGCCACATTACGCTCTGTACAGTCTTCAACATTCTACTGTAGACACCTTGTGGCTACAGCTCCGATGCGTCCAAACGTACGTCTCCTCGCGGCGCCGGTCACGCCCCGGTTTCGACCAGGCCAACGTGCTCCTGCTCTGGCTCTCCTGCCACCCATTCCTCTGTACCGCCGACTACTCCGCATCCACCGCAAGAAGCTCAGTCCGGAAGAGCGGGTGTTCGGCGACACCTACCTCAAGGCGGAGTTCCGACGACACCGAGACATCGAGAACCCTCTCCATATTGTTGGATTTCTGACCGAGTGGCAACAATACGGACAACAGCTGGAGGGAGACGATTGGAAGGGGCGAAAGATCGACAACGACCTCCTTGAGCGGATGAGCGACCAACAGATTGGGCAACTATACGAGCTGATGCAAGCCATCCAGACCAGAGGACGGGACAGTGTAGATGAGGAAGAGGCGGGTTCCATGTCCCAGGCAATTGAAGACGCTACGGCAGGTGATAAAAAGGCGTCCTAATATTCATCGGGCGATCGGCCTCGCTGCTATGAGAGATACGTCGCTTTCTAGGTGAACTTCAGGTCTCTGGGAACGGTGTATTTCTGCTTGACAAGTGAGGCGACCAAGTGACACACACATCACCGAGCTCAGTCTACGTTTACCACCCTGCCTCTTGTGCAAACGAGCGTCAATCGCCCCAGAGATGGTATATGTCACTACTGGTTCCGGTTCCTCTTCATCGACTTTCCACCCAGGCCATGCTTCCTACGACGTTCTCTCGAGAGGCCAGGAAATCCAATCTTGAATCCACCGAAACAGCTACCTGGCCAAAAAGACAACTACGATTGACGAAGTTCAAGACAATCAAGAGCCTCTAAGCCACAACTGCCTTCGGCCACAATGTGCCAGGTTGAATCGCATAAATCGCAGACCTGCGGTCACAAGTGGGCGACGATTGTCGAGCAGTGCCACAAAGGAGCAGGGTTCAGCAAGACTTCTGTCCACCCCATCACCAAAGCGCGAACAGGACTCTGCCAACCAAGATACATTTCAGCGCCTGCGGGTAGCTGCCCGAACTGCGACAAGAAAGGGGACTATGATGCCAACGGGACGCGCATGATCCTGGGGAAGAGAGATCGAGGGACATTGGGAAATGGGTATACCATGACCGACGGTTACGGAAAGCCGCTACCTATGTCTGGATCCTATCCTTATGGGTACAGTGTCACTGCCTGTGGCATGACACACGCACCCATGCCTCCATCGGGAAAGGGCTGCGGTCTCGGCGGATGCAGCATGATGTGAAGGACAAGAACATGCCATGGAAGACGAAAAGCATGCATGCTCCATACTAAGCACGAGTGCGGCAGAGGAGGGATTGATGGAGCCACAGTAACCTGACGAGGACGAGGACCATGGGTCTTATAGCCAACTAGCACAGTACCTACGATACTGGTCACCATCATCATCGTTGCTGTTATATCAATGGCTGACGTGCATCCAGTGGCTTGTTATACTCCAAACCTGTATCCTGTACCATCGGTATTTATTTATTATATATACATCCCATTGCTCAACAGAGATCGGATACTACCAATTTTACAGGATCAGCATCTCAATCACGATTATTGACAGCATCTACAGTATTCACCACTAGCATTAGCCCGAGCACTAGCAAAAGCACATCATCGCCGGTTGAATGGCAACGAAGACCGACTCCAATTCACCAAAGACAAGTCAATCACGCCATCTCCCCACTCAATTGGATCAACATCAACCCCTCTCATTCACTGGCTCTGGCCCTACATTGCGCAACAATAAGTCGTGCTCTACGCCCACGCCATGGCGAGATGTTCCGCTCGGAGGTGCCCTTGGTCCAATACGATGGCCAGCGAGGGGTCCGCGAGGTTGTCGACCTTCTTGTTCTTGTTTCCTGTCGATGGAAGAAATAGGGACGAGTTTTCTCCTTCAAGTTCCCCATCTATTTAAATACCGAGACACACTGCGGCCTGTCTTACGAAGTATACTCTCAATCCAAGTCGTGAGTACGGATATCTCTCTCTAGACTCACTCGACCAAACGACTCAGTCGCCTGTCACCATGGCGCCCACCGCAGTCACCGACGCCGTCCCGGCTCCCACCACCACGCCCGGCAAGACCGCCAACGTCGACAACACCTCAAAGCCAGTTGACCTGAGCATCTTCCCCGACGGGTTCAAGACGTCGGGCCAACACCCACCCCTGTACGACCAGCTGTACCCGTACAGCGCGTTCCCCAAACATATCAGCGGCCCGACAGTCTGGTCGGCCGAAGAGTACGCAGCGCACCCAGAGCAATGGACGCACGTCTTCTCGGAAGAGGAGATCGCCGAACTCTCCTCAGCCGCGGACCAGTTCGCGGCGCAGAAGCTCCCATTGACGGGCATCAACCCCAGCAACTTCCCGCTGCCGAAGCTGGCGGGGTCCCTTAAAGCCATGCGCAACGAACTGCTCAACGGCAAAGGCTTCATTCTGTACAAAGGCTTCCCCGTCGAGGAATGGGGCACGCACAAGAGCGCGATCGCCTACATGGGCCTGGGCACATACATCGGCTACCCGGTCAGCCAGAACGGCAAGGGCCACATCCTCGGACACGTGAAGGACCTGGGCGAAGACAGCACGCAGATCGACAAGGTGCGCATCTACCGCACCAACGCGCGCCAATTCTTCCACGCCGACGACTCGGACGTGGTCGGCCTGCTCTGCATCGCGCGCGCCCAAGAAGGCGGCGAGTCCGACGTCGCTTGCGTCCACCACGTCTGGAACATCCTGCAGGAGGAATACCCGGACGTGGCCGAGCTGCTGACCCAGCCCATCTGGTACTTCGACCGCAAGGGCGAAGTCTCCCAGGGCGAGGAACCCTACATCCGCACCAGCGTCTTCTATCTCGAGACGCCCGACCCGCAAGACCCCAGCAAGGAGCAGCGCCTCTACAGCAAGTGGGACCCGTACTTTGTGCGCTCGCTCACCCGCTTCTCCGACAAGGGCATCATCCCGCCGCTGTCGCCGCAGCAGGTCCACGCCATGGAGACCCTCGAGGCCGTCTGCAATCGCGTCAGACTCCATATGGTGCTCGAGGTCGGCGACATCCAGTTCGTCTCCAACGAACATATCTTGCATGCCCGCACCGCTTATACCGACTTTGCCCCGCACACCGGGCACCCGCGACGCCATCTCATGCGTCTGTGGTTGAGCACCCCCATCAGTGAAGGCGGTTGGAGGTTGCCGTTCCATGACGCAAATGAGAGGAAGAGGGGCGGTATTCAGGTCGACGACACTCCTCCGGTGGCGAGATTGGATGCTGATTAGTTGATTGATTGATGAATGCTTCCATGGTAACCTGAACTGCTTGCTGGCTTGATTGTGGTCATGGTCTTGAAGCCATCAGAAGCTTTGAATCTGTAGTGAAATATAAATCCAAATAGAGAGGCTCAAAAGAAAGGGTAACCTCACATCTGGCGTTGATAGTCACAACACCAACAATACCATTGCACTTGAATTCAGAAATCCATCTACTATCACCACGATCATCATCATGGAAAGTTTACCAGTCCAATCATGCCTCAGCGGCGTATCTCTCGTACTTCTTACTTCGTATTCTGCGACAGTCAAGATTGCTCGCCGGTTCATCCGATCCCATTCGAGCTCATGAACCGAGACCTGGAGACAACTTCCCCTTGATGCGCGTCGAGTAAAAGAAAAAGGATAAGACTTGTAAGCGCCCTCGCACACGTCTATTTCTTGTAAAACCAACCGACGCTGCTACATCCAGCATTATCCGTTAAAGGGACAATCAAGCATTCCTTGTTCGGCAACGGATGATTCGAACCATCAAACAATGTTGTTTTTACATCCGATCTCATGAAAAAAAAGTGAGAAAGCTATGCATACAATGATAAACCGCATAGTCAGACAGAACCCAACACCCCTCCCCCGTATGCACACCACCGACCGAAACATCATGAAGAGACCTTGTATGCACCGCCGTGGCCGACCTCCAAGACGCCATCTCGAATCATGCCGGCCAAAAACTCCTTCAACTCCTCATTGCTGAAGGGGAACCCGCCCGGCACGACGATTCCCAGCATCATGGCGATGCGCGGCAAAGGCATGGCGCCCTGGTTGGTCAACATACTGACAATGAACTGGTGGTACATTGCGATTTTCTGCTTCCGCTCCGCCTCTTCGGCCTCCTTGGCTGCCTGAGCGGCGGCGACTTCGGCAGCCACTGCAGCGGCGGCAGAGTCGTGGGGTTGTTGTTTCTGTCTATTTCCTGGTCGGCCGGTATCGTCGTCGCCCATCATCACGACATCGTCGTCGTCTGGGAGTGTCTCGAGCACGGCGAAAGTGTCCCGGCGGACTTCGATCAGGATGCGCTTCGAGACCCAGAATATACATGCTGATCGGACGAGTGTGGGGGACATGGCCAGCTCGGCCGTCAGGTCTGTGATTGTCTTTGTCTTTTGCACGGTCGCAGTTTGGACTGGCTCGTCCGCTTTGACCTCACCACTGTTGTCATGGAATGCATAAATCACAGCGGCTTGCCAGGGCAGCACTTCCTCCTGGTACACGCGGTCTTCCAGCTCCAACTCGACTTCGACCTGTCCGATGGCGTTGAGCCAGGTCAGTTTGCGCGACTGTTTCAGCGACTCAAATCCTCGCTCGTAGGTCTCCTGTTGGTCCTGCACCACTTTGGGCACGTGGAACGCCTGTTCCGGCATCGTGGGCCAGAAGAGCCGCGACAAGATCTTCGCGTGCAGCTGGACGTCGCTGTCCTGCCGGGGCCGGCCCTTGTCGTCTTGCATGCCCTGGTCCTTTCGGATCACATTGTCGACTTTCCGCGAATCCAGCACGTCGCGCAGCATGACTTCGCAGCCTTGCAGAGCCGCGTCGCCCAGTCGGATCTTCAGGTGCTCCAGCACGCCGATCTCCTGGTTGAAGTCGGCCTTGTTTTTCAACAGACGCTCCGCCAGGGTGTTTTGCAGTTCCTTGACAAGCACATCCTTGCTGTCGAACAGCGTGATCAGACTGCCGATCACGTCGGTGTTTTTCGATTTCATGTAGTCGGGCGCCGCGTCCACCGGGTCTGGCACCCACTCCATGTCGTTCCAGTCGAATTCGCCGTCGTTGCCACCGCCGTCTTGCCCGTCATGCTTGGAGAGCTCGATGGCGAGGTCGGTCAGGATTTCCGGGTCTGGGGATGAAGGCTGTCCATGTCCGTCTTCGCCTACGGGGTCGCTTAGCAGGCCCGCCACAATTACTTTGACCGTGTCTTCCCGTTCGCGCAGGTACCGACGAATCTTCTTGGCGACTCGGTCGAGTAGGACGCCCTTTGGGTCGAGGATCCGGAAAGCCCGGATGATCGATATGTAGACTTGGAGGATGTTGATGGTCGATGCGCCCGGGTGCAGCAGCCGGGTCTGGAGCACATTGGAAAAGTGGTGCGTCAAGTAGCTTCTCGTTGCCGGGTTTGTAGTGAAGTGTCTCAGGTCGTCGATTGCGGGGGCGGTGGCGTCCCAGTCGACTACGATGTCGAACAGCTCGTCCACCCGTAGAGCGCCTAGGCGTGCAGTGGCCATGTCTTTCCACTTTTTGAGGTCGGACTCTGCGACATCAAGGGTGGATTGCCCTCCTCTCAGGCTGGACAGCGCCTTCTGGGTGATTCGGGCGAATAGATGCGTAACCCAGAAGTCCAGGTGAAGATGGAGGTTCGGCCGGTAGACTCCCGCATAAGACCAGGTCACATACTCGGTCATCTGGTTGTTGAGCACCGCTGCAAGTAGTCTCTTCATCGTTTCGGATCCAACCACGCTTCTCCATCTGGGTAGACTGGTCCATAGCGGCGACTCGGCCTCTCTTGCGTTCTGGGCTGCGTGGTCGGCTGCTGTTGGCTGTCGAATCTGATCGGCGGGCGGAGACGACTCGAAGTGGCTGTGGAATGGGCCGCCCAGGTTCGGTAAATGTCGGTTCTGACCGTAGAAGAAGCCCTCGTCTCCGATACCAAGCAGAGATCTCAAATGGCTGTTTAATGATCTTTTGATCTCGGGGATTTTCGACGTTGCCGCCGGAGTGAAGCGCTGCCTATGTTTGGGTGGTTTGATTCCAGTCGGTGGGAAGACTGAAGCGAAGACTCCGCCCGGCGCGGGCAGCGGCGCAGGTATCTGGACTTGTGCCATCACGAAAGCAAAGTTTGCACGCCCATAATGCAACCAAGTCGCCGGCAGCAGGGGAGGCAGACAGTGTTGACGGTCTTGTTGTAATACAGTGAGAGACAAGTGAAGGAGGTTGACGCGCAGCGAATGAGACGCGTCCAAAATGCCAAGAGATTAGATAAGATGGCGGTTTGATCAATATATCTCCAAGGTTGTTTATCGTTTGATTTCTACCTTCTGGTTGAAATATCATCAACTTTCTCACTCGAAGGAGTCTTCAGATATACTGTTCCGGAAGGGCACCGACAGTCTATATGGCATGCGACCAGCTGTTCCCCAAGCTTCGTGGGGGATACTGGTCTGTGAATCTACTTATATTCAGTTTATTACTGTTGGAGGAGAGGCACTCCTGGCCAAGTCGGATCTCTGGCCAGGGTGACCCGAGTGAAGCTGCTTCAAGGTCTGTACCGGGCTGCATACTCAGGAATTCTTCGCTGTGGCAGATAATCAATGTCGTACTTTGCAGAGAGCATCCGTCGTGGTCCCCAACCAGGAGAAGCAAATCATGCCCCTTCTCACGGCTCTGCCACTGGATGGACAATCACTCCACGCCAGCCTGTTCTCTGCTCTATCTCTCCCACCTCTAAGGCCCGGAGGCTAGATTTATGTGAGTGATTGGCGGTCATTCCCAGACCTTCTCTCGTTACAACTCTCCCCATACAACTGCAGGTCTGCTGAATTAAGCTGGCTATTCGAATGAAGACTTCCTCTCAGGACTGGCAGCCGCCAAGGTTGGATGCTGGAATGATGACAGCAGACAATCCGCTGACGAGACACATCCTACTCTTTCCCTCTCTCGACTTGATCTGCGGCTTCCAGAGCAGAATGTGTCGTCCTCTCGTCTATGCGATCTTGTGCCTGAATATGGTCAAATTATGCCATGCCATGGAAATCGAAGTGGCTGGTTGTCATGGGGGAAACAAGCGTCTCCCGCAAAGATAAGGTCGACTGCTGCGCACACTGGCCATGTGAGAAAGGTATGGCAAGACTGTGGTGCGACCTTGTACCCATCAGTGTATCGCCTCGCCCGGGGTGAATAAGTCTCTGTGGGTGCTCTGAAGATGGGTATTCGCCTTGACGGGGTCACGATTCAGCACTCCAGACCAAGATAGACAATCAAGCCTGTTCAAAGGTTGACGGCACACACACACGGTAGCACAGCAGCACGCCAGCACAGCTCCGCGTCAAAATAGTAGCGAACGATATGTTCCGAACTCAACTGGAAAGCAAGAGTTAGGCGCTGGTATGGAAGAGAACAACTGCCCTGGTCATGGCCATAGCCATGGTGGGTTCACCTCGGCTGTTTGTGGTAGTACTGGAGGAAGGCAAGCGTTTTACATAGCCTCAAAGCGCAATCAACCGGTCAATCACCGTGTCCAATCTCTGTATATTTCTCAATCTCATGACATGGACCGAGATATAATCCTAGTTTCCCCAAGGGGTCAGTAGGTACCCAAAGATTGTAAACAACAACCATCGATTAGACCGAAGATTTCCCGAAAATATATATGAAATGTTATATCCATTTTCCAGGCCAACGTTTGGCACAAGAACCCTTTCTTCTCTGACGACATACTATCTGACAGTCATATTGCTATTCAGCGAAAGACAATTCAACGTTCGCGGCCTAAGTAAATCGTGTATATGCACCCGGAAAGACCGCTGATTCAAAGACAACTCCATTTTCCGAAAACTTACCACCAACGAATGACCTGGAGCAATCATTCCTCTGAGTGTCCCGTTCGGCTGTGACTTGTGACTTGTGGCTGTATGGATTTGGTCTACAGATATTACCACCCTATAAATATTTGCAGCGGTCAGCGCACCTTCGCTGAACGAGTGCCTGCACTCCTGGCGGGTCCTATCAAGCAGGCCTCAACCTGACCAGACGGAAAGATGCTTCCAACGCCCTCAACGTCGCATGTTTCGTACGACAGAATCTACGAACCCGCCGAAGACTCGTACCTATTTCTCGACACGCTCTCATCGGCCTCGGAGACAGCATGGCTCCATTCGCGCTTCAGTACTGCTTCTTCCAACACCCAGAACCAGCAGACCACGGTATCAACGACCTCATCGACCTCAACACTATTGCGGAAACGAACACCATCGACGAAACCAACACCACCACCGCTCGTGGTTGAACTAGGTCCCGGATCCGGCGTCATCATAGCCTTCCTCACCGCCCATGCGCACACCATCTTCGGTCGCGAAATCCTGAGTCTCAGCGTCGACGTGAATCCTCACGCATGTCGAGCTACACGGACGACAGTCGAGACGGCACTCAACGAATCTAAAGCAACAAGACACCAAGAAGTAGTGTCTGACACGGAGCAGACAACCCAACGGGAACATCATGGACCGCCGCCTACCCCCGACGACAACACCGATCACAAACAGCCGTCCACCAGCATCTACCTAGCCTCCCTTACAGGGGATCTGACGACTCCTTTGCGGCAAGGCGAAGTCGACGTCCTGATCTTCAATCCACCCTACGTGCCGACCGATTCTGTGCCGGACATTGACGTTCTTCGAAATACGTTCCCGGCGCCGGCGCCGAGTCCAATCTCAATTCAGCGCGATAGAGATGGCAGCGGATGTATGAATGGGAGTAACGCACGGCGCAAACTAGAGTTGTCGTTCGAAGAATCATCGCATCTCCTGGCCCTCTCGTACGCTGGTGGCGTCGACGGCATGCAAGTCACGATGCGGCTGCTGAATGAGCTACCGTCTATCCTGAGTCCTAGGGGAGTGGCGTATATTTTGTTCTGCCGGGGGAATAAACCTGACGAAGTCAAAGATTGGATTCGTGGGTGGAACAATCATGGTGATGGTCATGATGATAATGGCAAGAATGGAGACGGAAATAGGCCAGCCGGTAGCGGTGCGAGGTGGTCGGCCGAGACGGTGGGAAGCAGTGGGAAGACGGCTGGGTGGGAGAAGTTGGAAATTGTGAGGATATGCAGAGAACCGTTTGCCGATGGGCCAAGGGATTGAGGAAGACCGCTACAGAATGCTCAGGGGTGCTCAGGTACTAGCACAAGGTGCGCGTTTTCTATGCCAATGCTCATCCAAAACGTGGTCATCACCAATCCATGTCACGACGCAGTCTCATCAGCCAGAAATACCCATCAGGTCTAATCGTCCATGTCTTCCAATATCCAACGACAAGCCTTGATCGTTCTGTCTGGATATATCCTTGGTCTCATGATACCATCGTGTCATCAAAAGCTTCACTTCTCAGTAACCCAACCCATATCCCTTGACCCTGGAAAAGTAGAACGGCTTATCATTCCTCAAAGTGAACTCGGCCCAGTCATTGGTGAGCAGGTTGTAACTCCAGAACCCTTTCCACTGCAGTTTGTTGTTCTTGGTGGTATGTTTTGCGCGGGCCGATCCGGCCGATTTCAAGGCCAGATGGAGCGTATACATGTATCTAGGACCGGCGCCTTCTGTCTCAATATGCAGATCACCGGGATAAATCGGCCTTGGAGTGGACGTGGCCGCCCCAGGATTGATGGGCTCGGCGGGCTCGAGGCTAGGGTGGCAAAGCCGCCAACGGCCACGGAGGGCATGCTTCATGATTTGCTGCGCAGAGGGAGGCGGCGCGGCTGTGCCGGACGACGAGGTCGTGCCAGATTCTTTGAAGAGGGCAGGCGCAGAAGAGGTGAAGTTCAACGGGTGATGTCCGCCGGCCTCCTTCTTGCCGGCGCGGACGTAGTTGAGGTTCTCCGGTGTGAGGTGGTGAACTACCTCGATAGGCTCGTTGGTTGTGAGAAGGGAGATGCAAGTCCCGTCTCGGAAGAATCGGAGATACCGATAGTACGTGACGATGTGGATGGGATTGCTCCAGGTATATGTCGTGGCTGAGGGGCCTCCCGGCCGTGTATAATTGACCGTCGAAATATATACACCGCTGAAGCGGATGCGAGGATAATTGTGGAAGACGTCACGCCAGATGGTGTCTTTTGGGAACGATGCCTCTGTGACGATCGAGGGCGTTGTATTCTCATCCTCGTCCTCGCCCTCGACGTCTACACCTAGTGTACGATTGATGGATTCTCGTCCTTGGATGTCTGTGACGAAGTCGTATTGTTGACTGGCAAGGCCAAACTCCGAGCCTAATGCGACTCGCTTCCAGATGGCATTGTCGGTCGAAACGTGATATGCGAGCTTCTTGCATACCAGGGATAGGCGGACAAACATGGCCGGATCGCGGATTGCCACGTGTCGCAAAAGCTCCAGTAGGACTTCGGTGGGCAGCTTCTTGATTCCGCATGGCGGAGGTGGGTCGCCTTCGACGGGGGGAGGTACGCCGCAGATCTGCGTGTCGGCGAAGCTTTCGATGAGTTGAGTAAAAGTCAATGTCTCCGTGGGTTCTTTCGATGAGTGGTGGGCGGTTGACGGCACCGTGACAGCAGCATTGGACGGGTTAGAGTTAGTAGGTTTCGACTTTGCTGGAAAGTGTTTGTTTCTGTATGATTGGTCGACCTTTGCATCAAGTCGGTAGGCCTGTCTGTAGTGAGCCAGACTGTCTCCAAGATTGCCCTGGCTCTCCTTTTCCACTGCCCGCTCATAGTGTTCCAATGCACTTTTCGGTTCCTTGGACGAGCCTCTCACCGAAAAGTCGTCATCGTCGACATTGCGGACACTGAGCCCTTCAATGCGTTGGATCATGCCTGAGGTATCATTGTCCAGGCGCTCGACGTCGCTGTAGTGGTCGGATTCATCTTTGATGTCGGCTGCTGGGTGGCGAGTCGGCGGTTTATGTACAGGTCTTTCTAACCGGACATCGCTGGGTCTTCGACCTTTTTCGAGTGTTCTCGGCTCTGAAGGTCTCCTATCTGACTTTCTGGAACGTGCACTGACTTCTTCTTTCCACTGCTTGCGGAACTGTTCAAGAGCCGACGTCGACTGATCCATGATTCCGCAGGCGGGGCGGGTGTAGAACTTCCTTGCTTGCTCAGGCTGAGTCACAGTGATTTGCTCTAAAAGCGTCCCATCCACTCACCCCATGGGGATATACGTTCTGGGTGTTCTAGGGTCTGGGTGTGTCAATCGTATGAGCCGTAGCCAGGCAATTCTGCCCCAAGGAACCGACTAACAAGATCTTAGGTTGCCACAGATTGGAGTGACCCTCACGAAAGATGTTGCCGCCAAAGAATGATGACGGATGAATTAAGGTTATCTTATCTGCCTACCGCGCTATCTCCGTTATCCGCGAGTCCATCGGCTTTAGTGATAATGAGCTGGAGGCTGCAGCCGATAACGGGCCGAACATCATTTTTCCTCATCATCGAAAGGAACATGACTACATGACCATCACATTCGCCTCCCTCCTTCATGTCCTTACATCTCCTGTGCTCATCACGGTAGCCACGATTGCTGACGGACTTCGTGGTGGATGGTTGGGTTGGAGGAATCGTCTTCTTGAAGTTTTCTAATCTCACGGCTTGAATGTCCTACACCTTCACCTCCGAACCCGCGCAGGCGCTGGACGAGCATTCCCATCCTCAACCCAAACCCACGCTTGGGCATGATGTACAGTTGGTGCGAGAGGGACAGCGGCATGACAGAATACAGTTCCAGGGACAGAATACTGGCAACATGTCGAGCTCCGACGGCGTGGAGATCACGACCTGGCAGCGCATCTTATCTGCGACTTGGGGAAGTCTCCTGACTTCTTTGCTCGGTATGCTGGGCCATGACAGACCTACACTCGTATCCTACTGACCACTATATAGTCACTCCGCTCGATGTCGTCCGCGTCCGACTACAATCGCAACACATTCCAAAACCCTTGAACCTTTCTCGGTTTCCTGCCTATTCCACTTCATTCAAACAATTACCGCCCGACCTCGGGGTCAACTCGTGTTGTCGAGAAGTGTTCTGGCTAGGGCACAATGGCGACTTCTGCATAGCTGGGAGCGGATCGGCACAGTCTTCTGCATCTGCAGCCGAGTGTGCTGTGGAGGAGACTCAAAAGCGAACTTTCAACTCCACGTTGGATGGACTAAAGAAGATTGCACGGAATGAGGGTTATCTGACACTATGGCGCGGTCTCTCGCCGACCCTGGTAATGTCCATTCCAGCCAATGTCATCTACTTCACCGGGTACGACTGGCTGCGATATCACCAGGGGAGCCCCATCAGGAAGATCTCCAATGACACGTACGCACCCCTTGTTGCGGGTTCTATTGCCCGAATCGCGGCTGCAATGGCAGTCTCGCCGATCGAGATGTTCCGAACCCGACTACAAGCCACCCACGGAAGCACGACTGGGGTCTTCAAAGACACCATGATGGGATTGCATCGCATGACCCAGACTCACGGCTACACCTCTCTTTGGCGAGGGTTGACGCTGACAATGTGGCGGGATGTTCCCTTTTCTGCGATTTACTGGTGGGGATATGAAGCGATCCGGAATGAATTGACGGATGCCCGCGAAGCCGTGCGAGGCCATAAGCTGGATCCTGGCCGGTCCATGACTGGTGCACGGGCAGCTCAGATGGAGGAAAACCACACGACCACCTTTGTTGACAGTTTTATCGCCGGGGCAGGCTCGGGTGCTGTAGCCGCGTTGGTCACCACGCCGTTCGATGTGGGCAAGACTCGTCAACAAGTGCACCATCACGCTGGCGACGATGCACCATCAGCGGCAGCTGCCCGAGAAGTTGCCAAGAAGGGCAGACACATTCCCGAGGAGTTGTCCATGCCTCGGTTCTTGTACCATATCGTCAAGGAGGAAGGCATGAGAGGACTCTTCAAGGGGTGGGCGGCGAGATGTCTGAAAGTGGCTCCTGCGTGCGCCATCATGATCAGCAGTTATGAGGTGGGCAAGAAGTGGGCCAAGAAAATCAACGAGAAGAAGGAAGGTCGTCAGGCTGAGGCGTGATTTCGAGCAATTTTGTGCGAAGAGGAGTCACAATCGTGGCAACCTAAGAGGCTCACGGGACGATAACCTTGAAAAGTGGAGCGTTCAATGTCCAAATCATCCCGAGAGCGAGAAGCGTGGAAGCATGAAAGCGTGGAAAGCTCCATCCATGTCGCGACTCTTGGAGCCGGGGTGATGATGATGATGTTTGGGTTTGGGTTTGTTACAATACGGTCGGCATTTGCCTATCCTGCTTCAGCATGGCGCGCTCTCGGCACAGAGAAAGGTTTCTGGAGGTTCTGAGCTCATTCTCTCCTCGATGGAGTATGCTGCATGGTTGGAATATTTAGATATGCAATCAGCTCTTCAGTGGTCGGATGCTACGGTTCATAGCGGTGCAATAGTATCGTCGAGCGTTTGAAAGGGCTGTCAAAAAGGCTCTTGAATGAGACAACACTGTTTCCTGAACATCCAATCTCTAGTGCAATGTGTATCCTAGACATAGTGTCGTTCAATGCCGGTTCGTGTATTCTTGAGCGTTTGTATGAGCGAATGTTTGTACCACAGTCATTTTCTCTGCGCTCCCAATGATTCCCGTACAGCAGTGCCATGTCATGTCAATCCCCCTTCCGACGGAAACTAAACCATGACACGAACCAAAGTTGACAGGAGACCGCTGTACGTACGCTGCAATTGATGAACATTCATGGCGGCCTAAACCCGCTGCGGCGAGCCGCCCCAGATCGCGCAGGTCGGCTGAGCTAATCTGGCGCCGCTTTTGGCGGCGCCACTATTCCAACTCTACGCTCCCCTAATTAATTATTATCGGCTAGATAACCTATTCCTCTAGATAGGACGTAGTATACGACCTACGATTAAAGATATAAGGGGCTGCCATTCCTCTTGGTTTAGTAGGCGCTCCTCTACTATTCGATACCGTACCTAGGTATAAGTTGAAAGCTTGACTTCCCACCAGTGCTGGTGTTTCTCCCTCCATCCGCCCTATCAGAGTGTATATCTCATGGTTCAAATCAAAGACCATAGCCACAAATGCCAAATGTGACCCTCTCTGATGGTCCTCAATCCACCGTCGGTCCTCGTTTGACATGGGAAATAAGGTGTTCATGTTGTCAACCGCGAGAAGACATCGGGCTAGATTAACCCTAGATACTGGCAGTGCTCGGCAACACATACTAAGTACTAGGTAACTTAAGTTCAATACCAATACCAATTTGGTAAGTACTAAGTACTACAGTATTGATCGGGGTAGTGTCTTAGGGTTAGGGTTAGGGCGGGCTACGCACGCGGGTGCAGAGGTGGCTAAAAGCGGCGCCCACACCGCCGTTTTCGGCGGCCATTTCACCAACATAAGTATTGAGCTTCCCCGCACTTGAACTCCCTACTATCTAGGTACCTTATCTACCTAGGTAGGTATCAGATCTAGAGCGACGATATCAGTAGCTCGTCCGCCCGCGTGCCGGTATCCGTCTCGTAGGGAACGGGGGGTGGATGGTGGGGGGAAAGGAGGTTCGCCTCGGTTCCCAAGCCATATAATCAATCGCCTATATAGGATATATATATCAGACGAGGAAGTAAGAGTTGGCACCCCATCTACTAGGTATTTGCTTATATTCTACTTACCTACAGATCCACCTTCATCGAAGCGAAGCGGTTCGTGGGTGAAGAGAATCTATACACCCAGTCGTCCAACGATTTGGAGTTCGACGTCAACTCCCACTCCAACCCTGAACATACTACCGACACCAGACGTCACGGTCGAGGCACTTTGAAAGGTTCTCAACAGCAATGGCCCCCGCACTCGACGTCTACGACGCCTCGTCCCAAGAGAACCGCGCCGTCGGGGCTCTCGGCAAGACGACGTCCGGCAAGAAGCTGAGGATCCGCGCATACCCGCAATTCACGTCGCTCGAGGAGGAGCGCTTGTACCGGAAACAGCATCTGGCGGCGGCGTTCCGGGTATTTGCTGATAGAGGCTTTGACGAGGGCGTTGCGGGACATATCAGTGTGCGGGATCCGATTTTGAGAGATCATTTCTGTAAGTGAAATATCACAAAGACCTAGCTCTTTTCCTATATCATATCTCCTAATTCGTATTTGCTGGTGACTTGGAAACCATCATCTCTACTTTCCTCTGTTTGATATATCATACATTCCATGTTCAAACCTCTAAGCCGAGAGGCGAAGGAGGATTGAGACGGTGGAAGCGAAGAGCCGCTCGCCGAAATTTGTTTGCAACAGCGACCAGAGCCCGTCATATCATACCTTATTCACAAGAGTCACTGCATCCTAGTCCTTACTTACTTACCTAAACATCCAGGGCTCAACCCGCTCTCAACGCACTTCTCCCAAATCAGCGTGTCCGACCTGATCCTCGTCAACGAAGAAGGCGAAGTCGTGGTCGGTGACGAACCCATCAACGCGGCCGCCTTCGCCATCCACTCGGAGATCCACAAAGCCCGCCCGGACGTAGACGCGGCGTGCCACGCGCACAGCGTGTACGGGAAGGCCTTTTCCGTCTTCGGCCGCCCGCTCGACATGATGACCCAGGACGCCCTGCGCTTCTACAAGTCGCACGCCGTCTACGACAACTTTGGCGGTGTCGTGCTGGACCGCGACGAAGGCAAACGCATCGCAAAGGCCCTGGGGTCCGGCAAGGCCGTCATCTTGCAGAACCATGGCCTGCTGACGTGTGCGAAGACGGTCGACGCCGCCGCATTTTGGTTCATCAGCCTCGACAAGACCTGTCATGCGCAGTTGCTTGTGGACGCGGCGAGCGCGGGGTCTGGATACAAAAAGATCCTGATCTCGGATGACGAGGCCGAGTTCACGTATGCCCAGGTCGGCACGGACGAGAAGGGCTGGTTGGCGTTTCAGGGATATTATGATGAACAACTGGCTAAGACGAATGGAAGTTTCTTGAAATGAGTGAAGGAAAGTGAAGCAAAGGCAGGGCAAGGGAATGAACGAATCCGCTGTCAGTGCCAGTGCCAGTGCCAGTGCCAGTGCCAGTGCCAACAGTGAGTCTGTTGATTGTTGTAAGCCTCCGGAGGATATAGGAAGGCAGGGACCGAGTTGGGTGGAAAGAGATCCAAGCCTGGATCATCGTATATGCATTCTCTTCCGTTTGTCATTGTTGATACTCTCCTGTCATTGTCGTTCCCTCTGGTCTGGCGTGCACGTAAGCCGGACTGGCCTAGCTGGCATACAGTGACCTTTTCTCCCTTGGTAAGATTTGCGACTCGCCTCTGGAATCGTCAAGCATGCCTCCATTGATGACTGCATTCCTCTCGGATTGAAACCGTGATATATGTATCAGTCCAGTATGGAGTGTTCAGCTCGGGCCGCTGCTTGGGAACGTGGACATGATTGGTGTCTTATCCCCCGGATCGATGACACCTCCACCTTTGTAGCGCGCAGCAACCGAACAAGATCTCACTCGCGACAATCAACCTAGTCCGTTTGGGGAAAATGTTGGCTGTTGCATGAACCTGCGAATCTATCAGGTGCCTCGACAAAGTTGGATTTGAATCAATCTCGACTGCTGACACAGACCATATCTTCTTCTTCGAACGCGGTCAGATACTGGTCCAGACTCCGGGAGGATACTGTCACTCGGTTTATTTTAAGCATGTCTGCGGCAGACGCAGCCTCGGTAACCAGCCTGAATCCGCTAGCCATGGAAAATGCGATAAGTGATTCGATCATGCCGCTCAAGGTATGACCCCGCCGCGGCTGAGCGGTGACGATGTCGAAGAGTCCCCCCGAGTAGGGGGCAACTGGCGCGGTCTTTCGTTTGTAGACTGTTGAACAGGTATATGAGTCTGGCGCTGCTCTGACTTGATTCAAATCGTGCATACTCTTTCGAAACTTCACAACCCACACCAACCATCCCAACCCTGCATAGATAGCAATATCACATAACCCCAAGCACACATAGACAGGAAACACACTCACTTTGAAGCCGCCATCATGCCGACCGGGAGCTGTTTCTGCGGAAACATCAAAATCGAATATTCCGGAGAGCCTGCAATGATCGTGAGTTGTGATAGCGATTCCAATCTCGATAACGCCACATCGCTGTTGCGGTCTGGTCGTGGACTGACATCTCATGTACACCGTACAGGCACTGTGTCATTGTGCAGACTGTCGCAAGATCTCGGGCGGTCTGTACAGCTATAACGTTGTCGTCCCGAGCTCCAATTTCAAGATCACCGCAGGGAAACCCAGCGAGATCTCCAAGACGGCTGATACAGGCAAGCCTATCACCAACTGCTTCTGTCGTGATTGTGGTAAGTTATGCAGTGATGTTCAACGAGGCTCATTCGGCCTGCCGCGCTCTCCCTTCTTCCCATGCACGAAATAAACGCTGATCATCACCTTTTGCCCCAGGTACAACATTGTTCCGATATGGCGACACTTTCGGCGGTGTCGATGGAATGAGGCTCATCAAGGCCGGCATCCTAGACGACATCACGGTGATTAACGACCAAAAGCCCGGTGCTGAGTTTTTTGCTCCTCAGCGGGTGGAATGGGTGGCGGCCATTGATGGAGCGGGCCAAGTTGAGGCAATGCCGCCGTCCTGATGTCCCACATAAACAGGAGATGGACTACACGTAGAACAGTCTGGATGAGATTGCTAGCATGGTCTGGCGCCCACACAGCCCACACCGTAGGAAGTTGGAGCCGGAAATGGCTACGCAGCGGAGTGGTTTCGAGAATAAGAGCAAGTGCAGAATACTTGTCCGGCAAATAAATTCACTATTGTTGGAATGTATACATTGAATCAACTGACTCTGAGGCCCGTCTGAACAAGGCAAGGTAACCGCAATTTGATCCTTTGAGGATATGATGGAATGGTCACTGTCAAGGTACCATCGGCGTCTTCAATATGTCGACATGGGTAACGCCTGCTTCATAACATTTGCCGTGGGTATCGTAATGCTTGAGAAAACAAATCTGTCCAATGAAAAGATGTCCCTGAAATAACTTGGCCGAGCTTCCTCATGCCTCAAGACTCTTCGTCACAGATGCTGAGCGCTCGCCCCGGAGTGGGACTCTCTGGTGGGCTGGATGTACTGGTATCCTTTGAAGGACTCCCCAGAGGGCTCGGAGCGACTGCTATTCTTTTGGAAGGACTGGGAAGAGCGGGAGTTGGCGAGGCTTTCCTGGCCGGACTGGACAAAGGACTGGCCAGTGCCAGGCTGCGTGCGCGAGCATGTAATTTCCGTTCTTCCTCACCACTCCAGTCTTTGGCAAGTTCAGCACGAACTCCCCGGCTCCATTGTCGAACAGCCCCTTCAAAGGACAACCAGGTGGCGGTGGTGTCCACGGGAGTGGCAACAGCCATCACGTCCAGCCGAAGTCGAAGCTCCCATCTCAACTCCGCAGCCTTGAGCCAGTATCGGAGATTGTCAGCACGTCGATATGGTTTTGCGACATCCTCGTGAAAGCCTTTGATATAATCGAAATGCTTCTTGGACCGAGTCACGGCCGCGTTATGCATACGGACAAGGTCTTTCCCATCGGCTAGATTCCGGAAGTAGTCTGGAGGGGCATCCTGCTGATTCCACGGCGCCTGACACTGTCCTTTCAGCAGAAAGTCGAGAAAGTTGATGTCACGTTCCTTCTCCCGGTCGGCCCAGTTGGAGTCGTTCATCCAGTGCCAATCCTTCCGCTCATACCGATCTGCGTCTTCAAGCTTTGCTTCTCGGTCAACCATCATGCCCATATCGCTGACCCAGACTAGAATCGCCAATCTTTCATCTTCCCGAAACCCTCCTGCGAAGTTGCGGGATGCACATTTCTTCAGCACATCGAGGACAGAATAAAGGTCTCTGCGCAAATCCTGGTCTGATCGTATTGAGTTCAGCCGCTGGGGGTTGGGATGTAGAGTGTAATAGAGTCTTGCGGCACGGATCGCTTGAGTGGTGGTGTCCAGGACATGGAGGCCTTGTATCTGATAAAAACCTTGGCTTTGTTCTTCCGGGTCTTCCTTTGCAACCTTCTCGCATGATTCCACGGCCTGGAGAGCATTTTCCAACGCTTCCACCAATTCCCTCTTCATTGTTTTCTGGTCCGGAGGTGGAGCCACGAAATCCGAGCGATGACTGTATGTCGACACTGTGGGAGGCAACATCACTTCGGTACCATCTTCCTGCGCAGCTTCCCACAAAGCTTGGGCCTCATCTTCAATGGGAGACTCGACGATACTCCGACTTGCAGCTAAAGACAACTTGGGAATGTCATACTCTCCGTTCTGCTTCTTCTTGGCTAGTTGACCCCCCTTGCCATCCAAAAGACCCGTCCGAGCGAAATAATATTGCAAATGCGCGATACTGCCCAAGCTCATGACACTTTCCCTGTTCTTAGCTGACTCGGCAAAAGAGCCTCCTTGGGGACGTAGATATCCACGCCGCCGAGCAGCCGCACTGGTTCGAGAAGCGGAAGAGGCATTGGAGGACGAGGAGGAGCTTGACACAGAAGAGACGCCTGAACACGATCGATTGGAGGCGAGGCTGGCTGTATCAGGGGTCGGAAGAAGATTCGGAGAAGGCGAAGGTGAAGCCGATTGACAAGGAGCGTGTGTCAAGGCAGATTTGAGATCATTGCTCATGGCTGACATCCAAGATGTGGAACGAGGGGTGTCCGTTGGAGGAACGCAGGGCGCAGGGTCGAAGGAATGTAGTGGAAGTATATTTCTGCCACCTTTGGAGAGTTGTGAACAGCTGGCTGGTAAGGAGCAGAAGGAAGACACCATAACAACGCACTGCAGGCGGTAACGAGAGGAACCTGAAGCACAGGAGAGTTCTTGTAAAGCAGATGGAGATGGAGAGCGAGGTGAAATTGGATGGATGACGCTAGTGGCAGATGAAGGTGAAAGGGGAACTTGAACAAACGCAGGCAATCATCCTCGACTCCCTCACATTTACTAATTAATTCTTACCTCCATCAATAAAGTCCGGGAGCTACAGCTGTCCTTAACCGGGGTTCCGAGGTTCAAGTTGTACTATACCCTCTTTATTACGCTCTTGGGCAATTCTGCCTTTGAACCCTCTCCGAAGTGATTGTTGACATTTAGTCAAAAGCGTCCCGCTGGCTGCCAGGATGATTGTTGACGGGTCGCAGCCAGTGGACAGAGAGCCAGGGACGCGTTCCCGCGGCCCACGACAGCGCGCCAAAGGAGTACTATAACAATCCCTGACCGTACAGTAGTTACCCCCTCAAGGCCTAAGGAGCCCCTTTAGCCCCTAAAGTTAGAATCTTCGGCAGCCAACTGAGCGATGCTTCTAGGCTTGATAGGGATCCTTAGGCTCCTTTCTGGCGTCATCACCACAAACGTCCGGGCGTCTGGTGCGGTGGGCCTGCCCCGCACTATCATCATTACTTGGGTGCATCGCATTTTCGAGAAGCTGTACCTGAATAAAGTAATGATGCTTCATGACGAATATGGATTGCTCAAACGAGAGTTCTTTCTCACAACTCGATCAATGCTAAGATCTGCTTGCTCCCCTACATACCCATAGATCACGGCAGCGCGTACCATGTCGAACGTAAAACGAATTGCTTTCACCGTCCACGGCACCGTCCAGGGCGTTGGCTTTCGGTAGGGTTCCTCACCAATGTGGCGCTCACCTGCGTTGTGGCAAAGTGCTGACGCTCCGAAAGTGACTTCGTGCAGCGGAAAGCCACCAGTTATGGCCTCACCGGCTACGTGAAGAATACTCCCAATGGCAAGGTTGGTGCCATTCCCTGAGGGGTTTGTTGGAGCACGAGCTGATGGATTCCTAGGTCGCAGGCGAAGCCCAAGGCGACGAGGGCTCCCTGAAGAAGTTGAAAGCGGACCTGAACGACGGCCCTAGATTAGCACATGTCGTCAAGCTCGAGACCAAAGAGCTGGATCCCAAAGAAGGCGAGTCTTCGTTTGAAGCATAGAACAATCTCTTGAGCGCGGAAGAACATATACACTGCGAGAACGAGATCTTAACGATGAGCGAGCGTGTAATCCAGAGCCGTCATCGCTGGCCGCAGGGAGGAACGTTGGCTTGAGGACTTCTATGAAGACCTGCCACTTCAGCAGACATGATAGAGAACGTTGTAGCGATTCGCCCGGATACACGAATGCCCGAGAGGCAGAGGGAGAGGTAATGACCTATGAGCAAATATTCATTACTGTACCAACAGCGATAATGTCAAAAAGATCATGACCAAGTATCAACATTCAACCGAAAATATTTCGAAATCGGTCAGCCTCGAGGTGGCCGCCCCAAAGTCACCGATATTTCCCGATATCTTGCTCATTGACCGTATAGGGCCAGCCAAGATGTCCACAGCATTTCCACAGCCTCCTCCTGATTGTCGCAGCCTCTTCCATCCGATCTCTCCCGATCATTCACAAGTCATATGGCCATCGCAGCTTTGCCATCTTTGTTCCAGATGATCGAGTGGTCCCCGAGAAGCCACAAAACTTGAAGCTAGACCCCTGGGAAACACGCGTGTCCACGGGGCCAAACTGGCAGTGGGAGCCAGTGGGGCCTGATTGACCATGAAGGCGAAGGTTAGATCAGTCCCTCCGAGGCGCAAAGGATATCTGTTGGTGTCTTCCAAAGTCTGAGTAGGGTCAGGGCCTGGGTCAAGACCATGCTGGCTTGGTCGAGTCCCAGAACCATGGAATTAAATTAAACATCGGGAAATAGGACTCGAAGCATGCCGTGAGTCAGCAATATACTAGTATGTGGTGGCACAGCTAAAATACACAGAATGTAAGCAGCAAGTCGCTGGAGCCCGAGGAGTTGCAACAGGCTCTATCCACAGGCCGAGTCCAGCGGAAACTAAACCTCAAACGGAGACGAGAATGACTACGAGAATCAACCGCCTCCTTCATTGTGCCTTGCCTTCCATCCTCACTGATGCATACCTACCAACCGTGGATGGGCGGACATTGCCCTACGGTGAGCATGGCCAAAGAATTCTCGCACCCTGCGCATGATGGCTGCTGGCAGTTTGCCTCGCGCATCCCGTTGTGTATCAATCAATGCCTCCTGCTTTAGGATTGATATATTATGCTCCCAGCGCCCAGGGCTGTCCGACCTTCACTTGCTAACCATACACTCTCAAATACATTGTGCTAACATTATACCTCCCTGATCATCCTCAACATGAGTACAACAAAGGTCCTCATCACTCCTACCCTTACCACCAATATCTTCAGAGCAGCCAGCCGGGGTTTCACTATCTCGACTGCTACCGCAGCAGGTCTGCGGGCTGGCTATACTGCCCTCGGATCGTTGAATCCTGCCTCGCATCGAAACTTCTCGGTGTCCCACAAGTCCCAGTTGGAGTTCTTTCCCCCTCCCAAGAACCTTCCCAATATCAAATTGACGTGCGGTCCCCCGGTCTGCTAAACATCCTCTGTCTAACATCTGGCAGTCCTGCATCATGGCCCCATCCCGAGGCCAGAGAGGAACAACTCAAGAGCATCGAGATTGCTCATCGTGAATGCCGCACCCTTTCAGACAAGACGGCGTACAATATGGTTAGGTTTCTGAGATGGGCTACAGACCTAGTCACGGGCTACCGCCATGATCCCAACAAGCCGTACGTGATGAACGAGAGGAAATGGCTGATCCGATTCATCTTCCTCGAGACTGTCGCCGGTGTCCCGGGCATGGTTGCAGGCATGTTGAGACATTTCCGCAGTCTACGAAGAATGAAGAGAGATAACGGTTGGTAAGTGGACACAAATCTTGTCAAACTTTCAGCAATGGAGAACTTACTGACATGACCAGGATCGAGACACTTCTCGAAGATGCCTACAACGAGCGGATGCATCTCCTCACCTTTCTCAAGATGGCCGAGCCAGGCTGGTTCATGAAGCTGATGATCCTGGGTGCTCAGGGTGTCTTTTCCAATGGTTTCTTCTTGGCCTACGTCGTTTCTCCAAAGACATGCCACCGGTTTGTCGGGTACCTGGAAGAGGAAGCCACAAAGACTTACACCTATGCCATTGAAGACTTGGAGAGTGGCAAGCTCCCGGCCTGGCAGAATCTGGAAGCCCCAGAGATTGCCGTCAAGTACTGGAATATGCCAGAGGGGCATAGGTCCATGAAAGATCTTCTGCTCTACATCAGGGCGGACGAAGCCAAACACCGGGAGATTCATCATACCCTAGGCAACCTCAACCAGGCCGAAGACCCAAACCCATTCGTTTCCGAGTACAAAGATCCTGCCAAACCGCATCCGGGCAAAGGATTTGACCATATCAAGCCCAAGGGCTGGGAGAGAGAGGAGGTCATCTGAGTGCGCATTTCCCAAATGGTTGGGTGAGTCGTCCGTTATAAAGCGACGGCCTGTCCGGTGCCTTTGGGGCTATATCCATGTATACTACTAATGGCAAGAGTTTCGGGGCGTCGGATCATCGGGCATTGAATTGATAGAGTGCTCGATATTGGAAAGGGTGTTGAAACAAATAGACGGGGATGGTATGCACACATATCTGCCATCCGGCTGGCGGCAGTCCTGGGTTGGCAACATCACTGTCATGATGCTGACTGCCGGTGTGACCTGGACGGACCCGAACCAGAACATCAAACATCAAACATTCTCCAATCTGAAAACGACTACATGAATACAAACAAGTCGATGTTACTGTTCTCCCTTGATTATCACCATTAACTCCTCTGTCGTGTATTATTGTTGTTGACCGCGAACCGCGTTTGACTTTCCGAACTGATGTCAGACTGCATGGAACAAGACACGAGAAAGAGTCGCCTACTGGCTGAGAATGTCCACGACCCTGTCTGTCCATCTGCAAGGCGCGTTCTGCTGTAACCTTTAGGCTTTAGGCCAATCGCTGCTACGCCCAAACAGTTAATCTCAGGCCAAACACGCCAGACCAGTCCGCTGGGTCTGGCCTGCGCTGCCCATCTACCACTACTTAGTACTCTGTACATACTTCACTACATTAGATATTCTGTACCAACTATTAGCATACGACTCTTGTTACCTACCTACCTACCTTTGCTCGCAATCATCACTTGTATTAGAACCAGGTTTGCCCATCTTCACATTCACCAGCATCTTCCGCACCGTCGAGCGTTCTGATTGCATGTTCTTCGCGCCTGTTCCGCAGGACCTCTCACCACACACCAGCTTCGCTCTCCGGTCTCTGAACATACGCCTATGAACGACGACGCAGTCTCTATTCCTCCCATCCCTCCCATCAAGCCTCCTACTTGAGCGCCTCCGGAGCCAGGCAGGGTCAGCCACACTGTCTGGCATGACCTCTGCCTTTCGACGTTCATCAATGGTGGAAACCCAAAGCGAAGTCGATCTCCATCAGTTACTCGTCCCCACGCCTACCAACGATGTGCCTCCTCCGCGTCAGCACTCCTCTGCTTCATCCGGACCTAGCAGCGATGCCGGCTCCTATTTGTTCCCGGATAATCTATCTCGAAGTGACTCAGTCTATTCGTTCTCGAGAGCCTCATTCAGCAGCCAACTCGCCAGCCTGACCGGCATCAACGTGCCCCAGTTTGAATCGCTTGCTGCCACGGTCACCACCCTTCCGACAGCCCGCAAGGCAGTTAAGGCCCTTACGACCGCCGCGGAGCAGATACAAGCATGGAACAAGAAGGCTTTGAAGGTGCTGGAGAATCTCGACGCAGATGATGATGTGGAATGGGCCGCCGCCGCAGGCAGAATAGGGCTCGTTGAGACCGACAAGACTATCCGAAGATTCGAAAATCTGATCAATGTCTACGTCCTGTCGATTGAAAGGCTACAGTCACGCTCCGACATCGGTACCGTCAAGCCCGAAGACTTGCAGGCGGTCGTCGAGCAAATGGAGGTGACACTCGAAGGGTGGGACAACGTCCGGCACGATCTGAAAAAGGTCCATGAGCAAGTGGAACTGGCTATGGAATGGGAAGAGCTGTGGGCCAAGGTACTTGGAGATGTTGCAGCGGAAATGGACAATCTCAGCCAGCTGGTGTTTGAAATGGAGGAGAAAAGGCACGCTGCATACCAGGCGCAAAAGCCTGCCAGTCCAAGTCAGGCCATCGATTTGAACGAGCTCGAAAGCTTTATCGACAAGCCCTCTCAGAAGAGGAATACTCCCGGCTCCCGTTTCAGTCTTCCTACTTTGGAGTCGTCTCCTTTGGGGTCGCCGATCATCGAGAATCCTCAGGACGATTCTAATCTATTGGCCCTTTTCGCCCGCATGCAACCGCTTCGTGCCTCTCTGGATTTCCTGCCGATGAGGTTATCCATGTTCCAGTCACGGGCAGAAAAGCTCTTTCCTATGGCATGTCAGGAGCTTGATGAAAAGCGAGCACGGCTAGAGAGGAATTGGACGGCACTCTCCAAGGAGGCGGACAATCTACGGCGTGAACTCAGTGAGGATCGGTGGGTGATCGTCTTCCGCAACGCTGGCCGGCAGGCCCAGAAAATGGTTGAGTCGGTGGAGAGAAGTATTCTCAAGGTCCAAGAGGCGATCACCGAAAATTATCAGATGATGAACCCGGCGGCATTGGCCAAGAGGATTGAGAGTTTCGAGGCGAAAAGGATGCATTATGGTCCAGCGATCAGCCGGGTTCTCGCCATCATCCAGAAAGGTCTCAAAGACCGCTTGACCGTCAATGGAGAAATCCTTCGTCTACACAAAGACTTGTCGTCTCGAATGAGAGATCTGACCGATACGATGGAGGACCTCGAATCTCTTCTTGAGCATTACAGTACGCAACAAAATTCCAGATTACGCGAGTCGATCTCCAGCATCGTCTCCGCGGATCGTTCCTTCACCAGCACTACCTTTGCCGGAACTCCGGGGAGTTCACCACCTTCGTCGGTCGACCTCCCACCACAAAGAATAGACAAGTCAACGCCCAAATACGGTCTCAACGGCTACACGAAGCAACGGACCCCGTCTTCGAGTCGACCACCGCCCCCGACTTCGAGCAACCGACGAGGATCTCTTCTTCCCTCAAATAGACGGCCAATGACGCCTATGTCGCATGCTAGTGGGAGTGCAATCAGACGTGGGGTGTCACCTATGCCAGGGCCTTCGTCAGTCTATCGTCAAGGCGTCTACTCTCCTCCCGTGGTACAGGTACCATCTCGACCGAGTCCGACTCCGCTGCCGAACAAACCACGATGGTCAGCTGTTGTGAAATCGGCCGATGCTCCCTTGGCACCGACATATCGTTCGTCGTCAGCCACAAAACCACCCACCGCGCGGAAATATACCCCACGCTCCATCTCTTCCAGTACTGCATTACCATTGAGGAGTCCCCGAAGTCGGGAGGCCACATCATCACCTTCACCCATGCTACCGACGCCTCCGCAACGAGACCAACAATTCAGGTCGTTTGCCGAGCGCGTGGCTGACCATTCCCCCGTCAGGCCGAGTCGATTGATGGACCCGGTGCCGTACCATCGAGGACGGAACTCCAGTTCACCCGCAGTTGGCACTATCCGATCGCCCTCTTCGCTGGCGGTCCACAGCTACAGTAAGCTCGCCATGAGCGGCTCTACCGTGTCCAGGCCGCCGTCGTCACTAAGTCGGAGTTACGGCCCATCGACCGGCCTACCGTTACGATCAATCACCCATAATCCGAGGACTATCTCGAGGATAGGCCAGAGCGAAGCCGGCTCGGAGGAACTTGACCGGCCGAGTGACCATGAAGAAGACGATCAGGTCACCGAACCAAACTCGAGTCCGTTGTCCAAGCGAACCATTACCCGGCCGAGCAGTGTGTTAGCCATGGCGAACGGGAAGGGGAGGCGCATGTCATTGCTGCCAGTGCCGGTGGGCAGTGGTAGACAAAGTTCTCTCGGGTCAAGGATGTCTTGAAACTTCCCAGCAGGCCTGTGAAGTTGTTTGACAATCCAACCAAGTGTTTCAGTTGGGCGCTCAGTGGGAAAGCGAAAGGGTGCCAACAAATTTCAGCAGAGCGAGCGTGGTAATGTCTCTTGTGTTTTGTCTCTGTCAGCGTCCAAGCGTGTTCAAGTCTCTTCGGCCTTGGTGTTTTCTGCATTCTCTGGCCCCGGCATCCCTCATTCCCAAGATAGCTAGCTAGCTTAATCGATCATCATTAATACAGCTCTACTAAAGGACAGGTTGATCGTTGTCTCTTATATCCCTGAAGTGCCACCGCAAGGCTAGTCCCAATGTGGTCGGTCGACGAGGCTGAAAATGTCTTTTCGAGCAGGATACGACGATCCAAACCGAACCGACTAAAGGTGCGTTGAGGTTGGGCATTTATGCTTATTATATAAGAAAGCTTGAAGAAAGCTTGACGCAACCTAATACGTACAGAGTAGTAGTAGGCACGTAGATATAGGGATGACAGTACATGTGCGCATGTAATAGGTATATACGTAGTCCGGCTCCGGCTCCGATTCCGTGTCCGTGTCAGGCTCCGACTACAGCCAATCAATTGTCCCTGAAGTGGGACACCGGCACCCGGCATTCTTGCGCTTTGGTTCGGACGGGCCATTCGGGTTGAGGTACGGCTACGTATAAGTATTACTAGTAGCAGACCGAAGTCCTTCATTTTAAAGCGGTGGTTGCCTGTTTCTCTGCTGTCTGTTGGTTTTCATTGTGATCTGTCTAATCTGACGACTGGTTAGAAGATCAATTGACCTGCTGCCAGATTCAAATTACCATCCCCGTTATAGGGTATACCTGACTGTGGACGCAGCCTTGGATCAAGAGACGAGTACAACACTACGTGGATTGTTGTCAGTAGCGACACGACACATCGTCTTCGAGCACGTACACGACCTGCAACAGCCAGCCGAAGGGCGATCCACAGCTCAAAGGATCGACGGACGAGAGAGCAAGGTGTCCAGGACGACCAAGGGAAACTTGTGTTCCGTTTCCGAGCCTGATTGGGATATATATCGCAACACCAGTCCATTAGGCCTGTTCGTCAACTGCCAACACAGCGTAACCTCGCTATGGCTTCCACCGAGCAACCATCTCAGCGCCCGGCTCCCAGGGACAAAACATTCCGGAACTACGACAGCTCCTCGGCCGCCGCGTATGCACAGTACCGGCCCCCATACCCCAACCAACTGATCGACATCATCATCGACAAACATGTCTCGACCGGCGGCGGCCTAGATCTGCTTCTCGACGTAGGGTGCGGCCCCGGAACTGCGACCCGGTCCCTCGCTCCGCGATTCACGCACGCCGTGGCCGCCGACCCAGGCCAAAGTATGGTCGAAACGGCGCGGAAGATCCCGAGCACGACCAAGTCCGGCACGCCGGTCCGGTTCGAGATGTGCGAGGCAGAGAAAGTCAGCAGCCTCTTGCCGGTCCTGCAGGAAGTGGCCGGCACCGGCAGCCCGGAGTGCGTGGATCTCATCACCGCGGCGGCGGCAGCGCACTGGTTCGACCTGCCACGCTTCTACGGCGAGGCCGCCAAGATCCTCAAACCGGGCGGCAGCATTATTTTCTGGTGCACCAAGAGCGGCTACTGCAGTCCCGACACGCCGAATGCGGAGAAGTTGACTCGTCTCTTCCAGGAATTCGAAGACACGGTGGCCAGCGAGTTTGAGCAGCCTGGAAACAGGCTGGCTCGTGGCCTGTATGCTGGCTTGACGCTGCCTTGGGACGCAGAATCGGAGGCGGCGACTGATAAAGAGTCAGGTGATGGGGTCGGTGTCAAGTTGTCGGAAGTGTTTCCCAAGGAGGAGTTCCAACGGTTGGAGTTCAACAAGGACGGACATGTCCCGCCGGGAGAACAGTTCCTGGTTGGTAGGAAATTCACTCTCGACCAGGTCAAGATGGCTTTGGGCACGGTGAGTCCTATCACGCGCTGGAGGGAGGCATATAAAGACAAGATCGCCTCGGGGGAGACGGAGGATTGCGTCGAAAAGCTCGTCAGGCAGATGAAGGAGATTCTGGAGGAAGTGCCTGAAGGGAAAGGGAGGGACTGGATTGAGGGTGGGAGTGCGGTTGTGGTGTTGATCATCAAGAAGAGAAAGTGATGTGCTTGTCTCATACTACAAGACGAGGCTATCATATAGTGTACAGTAATTGGAGCTCAAAGAGGTCAAATCCACAATCAAAAATATCGATCCATCAATGGATCAATCTGATGCTCAGCGGCTTAGCTGCAATTGAGTATATCTTGTCTCGAAGTAAAGTCCCCGGTGTGTTCGTGTTGTGTCGACGACCCGGAGTACTCTGTAGTCATCCAAAGTTGTAAGTCAGTGCGAGGGACTAGGTCCTTCCAAATCCTGATCCATCCAATGGTGTATCTCGTGATCTCGTACTGTTACACCCAATCAATTTCTCTTCAGGCACATGGTAGTCGCAGACACGTACCTAGTATGTACCTAGGAACTAAGGAGGTTACTATACATCAAACAGCGAACCCGCAAGGCTGAGGCTGCGACAAACATGCCAAGCCTTCAGTCTTGGCACCAGCAGCGCGGACGTCGAGTCGGTCCTGCACTGCAGTGTCCAACTTCAAGGCTGTGCCCGCAAACTTCAAGTTGAAGTCGACGACTGACTCCTCACAAACAATACCTCACAAAGTGTCCGAATTGTGCGCGTCCAACTGCTCCTCAGCTATCAATCAATACGTCCGGTCCTCTCCCACGAACGAGTGCTGTTTGTTCCCAGCAAAATCACAACTAGATCGAACCTGCACACATACATACATCTCCCACTACAGCGGCGCAAAGTCGACCCAGTCACCAAACCTCGACCAAGATGAAGCTAGTCAGGTCCGTACTCCTGTTTTGATCTTCGTTTCCAATCCGTCCTGTCTGGCGCGGTGTCGACCTATTTCTCTGTTCTGTTCTGTTGTGACGTGCTATTCTTCAAGGTCGTGGGAAGAAAGTATCCAATTCCATATCCAAGCTAATACTTGACGCGGTACAGATTCCTCATGAAATGCACCAATGAAACGGTCACCGTCGAACTCAAGAACGGCACCATCGTCCACGGCACCATCACAGCCGTCTCGCCGCAGATGAACACGGCCCTGCGCGCCGTCAAGATGACCACCAAGAACCGCGTCAACACCTCCGCCCCGGGCGAGACCATTTCCCTCGACACCATCAACATCCGCGGCTCGACCATCAGATACTTCATCCTGCCGGACTCGTTACCGCTTGATACGCTGTTGATTGACGACCAGCCGAAACCCAAAAACAAGGCCAGAAAGGAGGGCGATAGCACTCGCGCGAGAGGGCGGGGGATGGGGAGAGGTCGTGGTGCCCCTCGAGGACGTGGACGAGGTAGAGGAAGGGGGTTCTAGGCGATTGGAGGTCCGAATACGGTTGTGGCTGCGATTGCGATTGCGACTGCGTTTGCATTTGCATGTTGTGGATTTTCATGTCTCTTCGGTCTGGGAAAAATGGGGAAAGCAGGGATATTACTGGGTGAAGAGAGGCGATCTCTTGCATTGTGCTGATACTGCAGCGCCCAAGACGTCGGGGGTGTTTGCTAGAGCATGGCGCTTCTCTTTGGATTCCTACGATATGGACCCGTAGAGGCACAGCGCGATGTCATGCTGCATGGAGGTCACGCCACAGGATCCAAGCACAGCCAGTCTGCGCCATGCTGGTAACAGTATCATGCCGTCGGGCGGACTGGACTACTGGGCATACGATTTTTCATATGGAACCTAAGCTGAAACGGGACTTTCCAGGCGAATTTCGGCATTTGACAGTCAAAGGGAAACCGAGATCGTACCCAAATGGTATCCGTTTCTCGCGCTCTCAATAAGCGGGATTGTGTGCTGTACAACAAACAAGTCTTCGCAGGGACAGGAGCAGAGGATATCAAGTGAGGCTGAGAACGGCCATGGATCCAAGCCGTCAGCGGAACCGAACATCGCGTTTGTTACCGGGTGGTGTCCGTGACTTTATCGATTCACCGAGGTATCGATCGGTTTCTCGCCTCAAATATCGAATGCGAAGAGTGTCTCCCTATTTTTCAAAGTTGTTTTCTCATTCTCCTTTGCCTTTTCCCGTTTCCATTTCTCTCTTGTCTCTTCCCCCCACTTTCCCACACCCCTTCTTCCCAAGGCCACCACGTGGGAGAATTAGTATGCTCAGATATTGACTGGTCCAATTTCCTATCCTAATGCTGTTGTTGCTATGATATCTACATCATGCTCTGGGACCATGATTTCGTCTCACGGTTCCCAATAAATAATGCGAAAATATATGTGAGAACCTCCCCCTACATCCGCTCGTCTCCTCGGTACCACAATAGCATAATGTCATGATTCCTTCTGGAACACAGTAAGTCGTTGCAGTCAGATTGGTGGAGTGTTCAATTCGAAAGCGCCTGGCGTGCAATGTCAAATTTGGCATAGTTGCCCTGCACTAGATGTACAGGTGGATGTTGAGGGATCAAATTACAAAAAGGTTAAGACATTCAAGTCCAGAAAAGAAAAGACATGTCGCTCCTCCAGGACCCAAGAACGAAAGCAAAAGAATAGAAGAACCAAAGCCATCAAGATATAAGCCAAGGGAAGCCAAGCCAACCTCCTCTCACCCTGTACATCTCTCTTCAGGAGGACGGTATCCGAATCCCAGACCGTCCATCAATCTCCGTTCACGGTCCTGCCAGGTATCTGCATCGTCCATCTCATCATCAGCAGCGGCATCACCGTCATTATGTTCTTGTTCTGTTGTTCTCGAAGGTGCGTCTGTAGTTTTGGTATTGTGCCGTTCTGTGAAGCCGGCACCTTTCGTGTCGTCATGGCCGGCGTTTCCCTTTTTCCCGGTTTCGGTTTTTGTACTATCATGGCCTCTCCTTCTAGGTCCCTCGAGGTCGAGAACCTGACCGGTCGCTCTGTCACGCACGCCTGAGCTGTCAAACTTCCATCCGCGCGTGTTGGCGACGAAGCGGCGCAGATCGCGCTGGAAGGTATTGCCGCCGCTCCAGCCGAGTATGGCACAGCCGACAGTGCGCCACGAGGAGATGATGATATCGACGCGACGGTGGATATTCGGGTTCTTGACCTTGACCTTGTCCGGGTCAGGGTCAGGGTCGTCGCCCTGTTTTCGATCGGGGACTTCGAAATGCGGATCCTGCCACACGCACAGCGCCTTGTCGAGACTGTCGAAGCCGCCACGACCTCTACGCTCCGCGTGGAACGGGAGAGTGGCCTGTCCACGGTCACTAGTCGTAGTGTGCAAGGTGAGAGTATGGGTGATCCAGCCCTCGAGCTCGAGGCTGCGCACGACGTAGCCGACCAGGTCCTGGGTCTTGGACTCGTCACGGTGGCTGAGTACGACGTCGACGTCGCCCGATGCCTGCTTGCCGCGCCGGTACCCGCCGACGATGACACATTCGACGTCGTCAGGCGTGCCGTACTGCGCGGGGTTGATGTCCAGCACGCTCCGGGCGTGGCGGTGGATGACTTGGCCGATGTGCTCGACCTCGGCGCGCGGGATCTTGTCCAGGAACTCGTCGTAGTATTTGACTCCGATCTGCTGCACGCGCGTCAGCGTCGACCAGCCGAACTCGATCACGTCGTTCAGGTCCTGCCAGCCGTGCTCGAAGTAGAATTTGCGCGCCGTCTCAGCCCCGACGCCCCAGATGTTCCAGAAGAGCTGCAGGTGCTGGAGGTCGACGTCGTTGTCCAGGTCGCGTACCGTCTGGATCGATCGTTCCGAGTCCTCTTCGCCGGAGTGGTACCATTCGCTCCACAGCATCGCGATCTTCTCGTTGCAGCCAGGTAGGCGGTTCACCTCTTCCGGGTGCCGGATTGGATGCGGGTACGCGGCAATGCTGGCGATCGACGTCGAGTAGGCGCGCACGCCGATGTCGTCGAGTGTGAGGATCCGCGCGTCGCGGATTTTCGTCAGTTGGCCGATAAACGCAGAGTTGGGGCTGTTCATCGGCGTCGATCGGCAGCATGAATACGCTGCGTACGGTCCCTTCGCCCATTCGGGAAGAGGGGGCAGTGGATGCGCTGCCAGTTCCTCGAATTCGGAAGTGGTTGTTCGGTGCAGCTTTGGCGGTGCATGCGCCTTGCGCGTGCTGGGCGATGTAGAGTCTCCGCTGTGGTCTCCATAGCGTCGACGCGATGGGTACGAGCCGGACGAGGAAGGGAGGTTCGATGCGTCGGCTTTTGCGCGTTCGAGGATCGACGTGGGCACGTTGCGCTTTTTGTGCGCCAAAGAGCCTTGCGTGCCCGTGTCTGAAGTCGTTTTGATGTATGTCACTGAATCCTGCAGTGGTCTGGGCGATGCCTCACCTGCAGGCTTGGGTACGACCTTTGCAGTGTAGATGATGTATGGTTTGTAGGGCACCAGTTCCTGCTGGCTAAGACATGTTTCAAGCCACGAGAGTTTGACGATCAGGATATGGTCTGAGAGATCGGGCCAGAAAGGTGCGGCTGGAGGCGTAGGGAAGCGAGTGTCGATCGTTGACACGGCTGATGCGGTCGAACTCAAACTCGAACTCAAACTCCTCCGGCCACGTCTGGCGTCCATCCTCCTGTCGCGTTCGCTGTGTTCAACACCAACTCTGCGCTTCTTCCTTGCCGGCCCGTCTTCGCCGGAATCTCCATCTTCGCGCCCCTTTGAGTGGGTATTGGGGCTTACTTCAGGCAGGGCGGCCTCCTCTGTCCAGACACCCCTGGCGCGCAAGTCGAACGCCGCGCGCTTTTTCTGAGTGATGCGGCCCAGGAAGATCCTCGCTTCTTTGGGGTCGTACGTCAACGCGCCGCCCAAGCTGAAGACCTTATCCTCGATTTCATGAAGCTCTTCCGGTTTGAGGTGGGTGGGAAGAATATATATGGGTGGCAACGACTTGAGGTCCAACTGACTGGACGGCTGCAAGGGCGCCATCGCCATGATCCAAAAAGTTGACTCAATATCCAAAATGGGCACTCGATATTGACAGGAGCTCGTGACGAGTTCGTGGTCAGACACATAGGAATGGCGCAGTCATGATCAGCAGGATATGTGGCACTCGTCAACCGCGTCGTATGTTCTTCTCCGATCGTAGCGATATGTCTCTGGCGTTGCCATGACCGAGCAATGAGATATCATACCGTGTTGTCCCGGCCAACACTCGATTGTTGGAGACACGAAGGAGAGATGAGGGTTATAAGTGAATGTCAGTTTAGTCTTCTCCCTCTTGTCTCTTCCGAGTCGCTGGTCACAAGATTCGAAGGGCGGATGATTGTCCCGTCTCCGCACCACAATATATGGATTACGTCATGCAGAGCAGTCAGCTCACGAGGCTACGAGGCTACGAGGCTACGAGGCTGTACAGCGTCAGGGATGATACCTGCACCATCGGACTATATATCAGAGAGAACAACGGACTGGAGTCGCCGTCGTGAATATACATGTCTTGTCGAAAATAGCATGACATTGACAGAATACGCTCTGGAAGACATGGATTTGCACTACTAGTATTGAAAGCCGCAAGCTCTACCGTATTACATATTTGAACCAACCTATGGTGAAATATGCTTCTTTCTTCCCCGGAACAGTAAGATTCCTGCGTCATCACCATCCGTAAAGGGCTCCAACTCTTCATGTTGCCTCTCATGAGGCCGCATTTGGTCCAGTTTGTTGCTTGACTCGTGCTCAGTTGACGCTGTGTCTTCCTCGGACGTGTCATTCCCGGCATTCTCTCCCTCAGAATTGCTCGACACTGCCAGTGATTCCCCAAAATCGTTTGAATCATTGTCGTCGTGGTCGTCGTGTGACTGACTAGTGTGTCGAGCGGAGGCCAGAAGTGCGTCCACATCAAGCACGACGCTGGACATTCCTGTCGTCGAATTTGGTAGCCTTGCTCTCTTGGGTCTTCTAGACAAGATTTGTTCTTGCAAGTCTCGGCGGATGTAGATAAGCATGTCCTGTAGCATTTTGAAGGTATGGTGCTCCTGTGGCTGGGCTGTGTTCCTGGTGGCACGACGGTCAGCCAGCGGGAGCGGATATGGAGGTGGATCCACAGATTCCCATGACAGGGCCGAGGAGCGAATCGGCCCGGGTGGCATTGCATATAGATATGGCAGCAGTAGCATGAAGGCTTGCTGCAGCCGATGTATCTATCATCCGTGACGAAGTCGAGGCCATTACGATGGAAGTGCTCGAGAACAAGTAACTCTGCGTGCGGACGAGGTTTGATCTGCGCATATTCTTCGCGAAATCTGTCCTCGACCTGAGCAACCGCATTTGCTTCTGAAAGTGCTTGACTCAGCTGTTCAACCAGCGAAATCTGGTCTGCAGGAACCATGCGTCTCACGACGCCACTGAGATCAGTCGAGGAAAGCCTATTCGGCAGGTCAGCTGGCCCATTGGTTCCAATGATTTCGACTTTGGCATTTTCGATCCGCTGGGGAAACGTCACTGCACCGAGAATCAGCATTCGCACAGCCTTGGACCAGGACCCCAGCCGCCCGAGGTCATGACGGATGTCAGACCAGATCCCACGATGTGAGTGTGCGATATGCCGTATGCTGAGGATTTCCACCAGTCTGTGTCTCCAAAGAGCGTGAGCATGTGAACATAGTTGGTAAGGAGTAGATGTGAGGGTCTCCAACCGCTGGAACTCCTTCAACATATATGCATCTACCGATCGTGTTAGAAGGAGGCCTGCTTCAATCTGGATGATGCTCGCGCAGAGGTGTACCTTCAGCGTTCGAGCCTGCACCCATGGTCCGAGTAGTGTTTCGAATGGCGCGAAGCAGCCATGTAGAATATACCTTGACCCTTCGATGGCTAAGATGGATGCATCGACTGAATATCTCATCTTCCACTTGGAGAGCTGGCTTTTCATTCGTGTTCATTTGGCATAGAGAAGCGAGAACCCAACGAACGTGGTCGCTCGCTTTAGATTTCGACTTTGAGTTGATGCAAGGGAAAAGATTGAATGTTCTATATTCCTTTGTGCAGAAATTGCAGTCACCGTATCTCCACCCTTTTCGAAATCGCATATAAATGCAAGTTGATCAAGAAAGTTACGCCAAAGCTTTGACTGTTCGTCCAAGCCACGGTCCGATGCCAAATCAGGACGCTGCGCTCCGCGAGTGAGATCCATCACCCTAAGTAGAGTCAATGGTTCGTAGAAGCGACGGAGCAGTTTACCATGCACGTCGAGCGGGTGATGCTGGAACATGGTCAGGTTGGAGTTGGGATATGCCTTTGGCAAAGGTAGAATGTCGATGGCATCAACCTGTTCCTCTTCTCGTTCTATGCCCTCCCTCAAAAGGTGAGTGTGTTTACCTCGGGATCGCGTCGTATCCGTTCTGAAGCTGGCAAGGAGCCAATGAGGCAACATGAATCCAGACAGCCGCTGGACTTGGGATTGCTTATCAGCTGAGGTGTCGGCCGGTCATAATCAGCCACGTAGCAGCATGCGAGACATGTCAGTTCTGCCGACGCACTCACTGGACGTCTCTATATCGTCGCCCCACGCGACTTCCTCGCTGCTCGGTCTCAACGACGGAGTGCGCGTCCTCCTGAGCCTCACCCCTGGTTTAAACGGCTACCTCGGCGTCTGTCACGGCGGGATCGTGGCCGCCATTCCTGACGAGGCCCTGAGTCTGCTGGTGCACGTCTGTCGACAGTTGCAGGGTCTGCGGCCAGACAACGTCACGGACGACCTGCAGGGCCGTGCTGTTGGTCAAGGCCAAGATCCGAAATATCAGGGGCCGAAAGTACTATGCCGACGGCTAGATGTTTGAAGGGACAGGTCATGTGCTGGCCAAGGTTGACACCCCCTCGTCAACGTGCAGAAGGAGAACCTGTAAGACGAGACCCATGGCTGGGCGAAACCTATGTGGATAGGAGGAATATTGGCGTCAATGGAATGTGGATGAGCTGTCCAGCGATCTGGTCGACTTGACACAGTCTCGCTAGACTGGAATCTGCTTTGAGACGCAGACAAAAGAGTCAAGACTGAGGAATTAAAGAGACCACTAAGTCACGATATAAGCATGTTGCGTACGGTTGCTGGTACCTGATACCCATGTGCAGACGTATAGGGTTAGGGTTACACAATACCGCCCTCTCAATGAGCACCCTCCCACTTCCATGGACGAGCCTCGTACCGGATCAAAATCCACATCGCTTTACAACTTACAGAATTATGTTAGTATTGGGAAAGATTTCACGAGTTAATTGTTCATCTGCAGGTGGTAGAGACTGCTTGGCTCGCATGATGATATTTTCATTACTCGTCTCGGGAATTCAGCCCATCACCAAGCTACTGGCATCATTCAATCTAGTACATATCGTCATCCAAGTCTTCATCCGGGTAGAGGACCTTTCTCGGATGCTTGAGGTCAACCCAGCCGAGGAAAGGAGCACTGAGGCCATAACCGAGAATATCCTGGATATGCCTGGGATATTGCTTGACGGCCTCTTGTGAAACACCGAGATACATGTTCTCCTCCTGTTTTGTGTGTCAGTGTCTTGTATAATAGGGAAAGGTTGTTCATTGTAGTGGATCATACCTGGCGAAGATATCCTTTGGTCATGAAGCCAGCCAACATCAGTCGTTCCTCATTTTCGGTAGTATTCGCCGATCCACCGTGGTAGCAGGAGGCCAGCATGATGAAAGCGTCACCGGGATCCATTTCGGCGTAGATGGCCCTGCTCTCGTCGGGCTTCTCCAAATAATGCTCGAGGTGCGAGCCCGGGATGAAGCGCGTGGTGCCGTTGGCCTTGGTGGCCTTCTTGCCCGCGACAAAGATGTCGATGGCCGAGTCCCTGCCCATCTTGTACTCTGCGGCGGTGATGGCCGGGTGACGGTTATGGTGGGCAATCGAGTCGCGATGCAGACCCTGGGCTCTGGCGCCAGGACCAATGGAAAAGGCGATGGTCGCATTGACTTGCGGTGGCGAGATGGATTTCTCGTACACATCGCCCGTCCAGGATTCGATCTCGGACGAGAGCATCTTGTCGCACACCTCGAGATAGAGCGGGTTGGCCAGAACCCTATGGATGAAGGTCGGAGACTTTTCGGCCAGCGAGCAGACTCGACGGGTTTCTTTGGGAAAGAAATCGCCGGTCCATGCCACATCGGCGTCGATGTACGGGCGGATGTCGGACACAATGGTGTCGACTTCTTGGGTTGACAGGAGGTTCTTGACAAAGCATCCGCCGTTGCGCACCAACGAGTCAATCACCATCTCAGGCGTCGTAGTCGCGGCGTCGAAGTAGTCCACGCCCGGGCTGGACTTTGCCGTCTTAGGCGTGATTGGGAGAATCTCCGGGGAGTCTGCGACGGGAGCCATGATGGGAGATGGCTGAAGGCGTTCTGTCTAAGGTGCAAGTCTAAGGTGCAAGACTGGGTGACGGGGAGCAGTGTGTTGATGGGAGTGAACCGAGTCAAACCATCAAATGAGAAGACAGTTTGCTTAAATATAATAACTCAGGTTGCTTGCTGATCGTTCTGTTCACAGACTGACCCGCCGAGTCTTGTGTGACTAGAAGCGACGGCTCTGCCAATTCTCCAGCCTCAGCTCTCACGAGTGGTACTCGCCCTCGGCTTCCTCACTCCGGATGCACGGGTGTGTCGCATCTGGCTTATCATAGTACATCTTGCTGCCAGTTCTGGTTGAGTTCCTTTGTTCGTGGAAGACTGCGCGTACTCTTGCTCTAGAACGCGGCCTTATCTGGCTGGACCTTAGTGTCGTGTGTCACCACTAGTCAAGTGGCACTTGGGCTGATAGGAGGGATAAGGAGGACTCGCTGTGAACTGAACCAACGGAAGGGTCTCGCTGTGACCTGCACGGACCCACCCAGTCTCCAAGCAATGGGAGAGCTGCTACTGGGTATTCTGGCTTATCAAGCCTAAGTCAGATCTAGCGGAGATAACTCACATCTCGGTACTTGGCTTTAAGAGGCCCACTTTTTTCTATACACGGCTGGGGAGGGCCACTTGTGCAGACCACACAACAGATAAGAGACTCACTATATTCCCCCCTACATGATAAGGCTAACCACACCAACGGGACTGCCTCGAATGGACGCGGCTCGACGGCTGAAGACAGAGAACACGACGACGTTGAGGATAAGGAGTCAGCATCTTTCTCCTGCGAGCTACGGGGCTCAGTGCGCTGCCTATATAACTGGGTAGGTCCAGGGGTCACAAACCGGAAACACATCAAACCACCCCTTCGAACACAGACTTTCCCTTTCACTCACCCAGCTGCAAATCGCCGACATGGAGAAGCAAACTCCCGTCACCGGCACGGAGAAGCATGACCTCGTCTCATCGGCCAGTTCAGGAGACTACAATGTCGCGGCCGAGCCCGTCGTCATCGAGGGTACTCAAGGTCCCAAGCTGGAAAAGCCATTCAGCATCTGGAGCACTGTGGGCATCCAATACAGTTGCATGTCGACGCCTTACGCCGTCGGGGCATTTCTCTCCCTCAGCGTGGGCGTTGGCGGCAGTCCTGTTTTCTTCTTCGCCTACCTGCTGGTTGTCATCATGAACATGTTTGTCGCCTGTTCTCTCGCAGAGATTGCTGCAGTCTATCCCCATGCTTCAGGTATGTCACCTTCGGCAGATTAGGCGTCTATACATGCAAAATACTGACAAATGTGTCAGGTCAAATTTACTGGGCGGGAGTCCTAGCACCGCCGAAACACAGGCGTGGGCTCAGTTACATTACCGGATGGCTCACCAGTTCCGGGTGGTTCTTTTGGACGTGCGGCACTCTCCTGATCTCGTCTCAGCTGCTCTGGGCTTTGATTCAAGTTTGCTATCGGTCCTTCGAGATTCATCCATGGCATTACTACATGGGCTACCTCGCCATCGGCGTCATCGGCGTCATCGTGAACATTCCTCTGTTCAACATCTATCCATACCTGCTGAAGTTCCTGGTGGTATACATCAACGCTGGGGCCTTATTCATCATCATCGCCCTCCTTGTCCGAGCAAATCCCAAGCAGTCAGCAAGCTACGTGTTCGCCGATTTTGTCAACCTCACCGGATGGTCTTCCAACGGAGTCGTCTTTTTCCTGGGTATGCTCCCAGGTGCCTCATCTGTCAACGGATTCGATGGGGCCGCACACATGGCGGATGAAATGCCAAATCCGAAGAAACAAATCCCACAAGTCATGGTTGGAAGCACCTTTGCAGCTGGGTTGAGCGGAATCCCAATGATCTTGGTCTTGATGTTCTGCGTCGTCAAGCCGGAAAACCTTCTTGCACCCATTGGGGGCCAGCCGATTGTCCAACTGATGCTGGACGGGTTTGACTCAATGGCCTTGACCATCATCGGGTGCCTCCTGTTCTTCACGGTCACACTGGCGGCTGCAGCGGCACAAGTCACCACCTTCAGCAGAGTGTGGTGGTCGTTTGCGAGAGCCAACGGGGTTCCATTCTCGCCTTTCATGGGTCGAGTCAGTGAGAGATGGCGCCTCCCGGTCAACTCAATTCTCTTCACTTTAGTCGCAGGCGCGTTAATCGGCCTAATCGAACTCGGATCAGCCATCGCACTGAACGCCATCCTGGGCACCGCGATCCTTTGCATATTTGCCTCCTACTCGATCCCGATTACCTGTCTTCTGTTGGAACGAAGACGATCCTTCCCCGCACGACGATACTTCAACATGGGAAAAATCGCGGGGCCGATCGTTAACATCATCTCGGTCTTTTGGACGGCCTTCATGTTTGTTTGGTTGTGCTTCCCGCTGTACCTTCCCGTTACCTCCGCATCGATGAATTACGCGGTTGCTGTGTTTGCTGGTGTATGCTTGGTCAGTACGGTCAACTGGTTTTGCTATTCCAAGAAAGCGTATCTATCTCCCGTCAGCACAGATGAGCACATTGATGGGCTGGAGCCGTCGGATCACGCCTAAGAGAGAGGCTAGCTTTCGCACCCTTCCTTCAGACAGAATGTGTCTGCAGATTGTCTCGGGTCATAGCAGATATATATGTATATATATATGAGAAATAGGGTCAGAAGGAAGATGCTCACAGCTCCTTCAAAAGAATATAACAACGGTTAAAGTACCAGCGTTAAAATCATGAGCAATAAACTGAGTCGAAATTTGAAGTCGATTTTTGTCTTTGGCACACTGGCACTATACCGTCTCTCTGCTGAATGAAATTGATGATTTTCCCTCGAACTGTCTATCTCAGAGGAAGGAAGGGATCTCGCTATTCCACTGAGTGCCAATTGTTTGGTGCTAGACAGCAGGCACCTGGACACACACCTAAGACACATCCATTTGACGACACTGGCCCAACTCTAGAACCTGAGGTCCAACAAAGAACTACCGCGCATACAATCTTGTGATCAAAAATGTTACCAGTGACAAAGAGTAAAGAGTCAGAACATTCCTTGTAAATTTAACGCCTAGTTCTATGGAGCAGCCTAGCTACATGGTAACCGTTTCCTCTAGACGTCAACAGGGATCTCCGACGAGGAGAAGATGTCCATGTTGCGCTCAACGTTAGGATCCAAGACAATTCGTGGATCCGCCGCATTCACCCAGCCCAAGAATGGTTCCGACAGACTGTATCCCACCAGTTTTTGGATCTCCACGGGCAACCGCTGCATGACCTCCTTCTCATACGTCAAATATTGGTTCTCCTCCTGCCTCAGCCAGCCTCTGGTCATGAAGTTTGCGAAAATGAGGCGTTCCTCGTCCGTGGTATGGTTGGCGCTCCCGCCGTGGAAGACGCCCGACAACATGAAAAAGGCATCGCCCTTTTCGAGTTCTGCATATTGGCAGAGTGACTCGTCGGGCGGCTGCTCGTGAGCCCAGAGATGGCTTCCGGGGATGAATCTCGTGGCCCCGTTCTCTTTCGTCGCTTTCTTGCCTGCGACTAGGAAGCCGAGGCTGGTGTCGCGTTTGAGATCGGCCGGGTAGGAGTCAATGGCTTTAGGAATACGGTGATGGATACCGTCATCGCGATGGAGCGGCTGAGCCGTAGCACCAGGTCCAATGCTGAAGACCGTGGTGTTCATTAACTGGGGCTTGCTGACTGCCCAGCGCTTTTCCGTCCCCTCCCAGAACCAGTTGGCGTCTGTGAGTAGCATGCTGGCGACGGCCTGGAAGAGTGGGTTCAGGACGACCTCGCAAGCTGCGTCGGATTTTCCCAACACGCCGTAGCAGCGCTTCGTGTTGGCAGGGAAGAAAGACCCAACCCACGGGGTGTCTTGGTCCAAGGCTGGTCGGATATCCTTTCTAGACGAGGCTGTTAGATGGTGTGGTTGGATGGGATACGCTTGACGCCTTACTCGACCTGATCGACAATCTCGACCGGGACAGCCCGTCTAACGATGCATCCTCCAGCCACCTTGAGCGCCTCAACTACCTCCTCTGGGGTCGTTGTAGGGCCATCAACAACGGGGATTGGAGGCGTCGGTTTGACCTTGTATGTTTGGGTCTTGGGGGTTTCAGTGATGGTCGCCATTTTCAAATCGACTTTGATGGGATTAAAGACAGGAATGTGGACAACGTTCCAGACACAGGAGATTGTAGCTGGGTAGTCCTACAATATATATCAGGTTGTTGCCTCCTACGCCATCGTTTCTGTGCTAGTGGCTACTGCCAAATGAGAGTTAAGGGGCTTAACGCAGCAATCAGACCCTGAGAGAACGAGAAGCGTTATCTAGCACCACCGTCATCGCTGTGACTTCCCAGCAGCCTATTTGCCTCGCTATCAACGATGTGACTGACGCGTCAGGTAGCTGCCGTGTCTCGACTCTCTCTATCTTGCGAATGGGAGACTTCGAAAAGACATGACAGCCCCATAGGTCGCAGCGACACTTGAAGCTGAGGGGGCTGACAGTGACTACAAGTGGAGGGGAATTGACAGCGAGTCCTTTTAGCTCCAAGCTTCTTCTATAACGTGCAAATAAGCTATGTGGGGCGAGATAAGCACACCTCCTTCTCCACCCTTATCTGGTGCTCCATGCTTTGATATCTCCCTGTTCCCATTGCGCACAGCTGTTTCGTAAACAGGGCCATTTACCCCATCGTAAAGTCGGCAGTTCTCTCTGTCACCTGCATGCTTGGGGGAGTCCAGCTCTAGCTGATTTGCGATCTAATAGCTCTGGCCGCACGAATATGCCCTACGGGAAACACAACCCAAAGAGATTACAACGAACCAAACGAACCAAGACCTTCACCGGGTGTTGGACGTGTCGCCTTCGGGGCGTCAAGTGCGATGAAGGAAAGCCTACATGCGGTCGATGCAACAGGGCTGGATTGTCCTGTTCCGGCTACGGCGAGCGGCTTGTCTGGGAAGATGCCAGAGAGCGCAATCAGAAAGGCCTACAGCGGCGTGTTATGACCAATAGCTGGGAGGGCTATCGTCCTATTCTCGATGAGCAGGAGATTGATGCAGTCCTCGAAACCATCGATGTTGTTCAGACTGGCGAGGAGTTTCAGGCGGGTGTCTTCGCTGTCTTCCCGGCGTCGGGCTGTGGTAAACGACCCTGCTGGGACCGTGACGATGTGGGCGTTTCCGCCAATGCTGACACCGAGTCTGTCTCGACCACCTCCAGTCAAGCCACTGCCGACTTGAGCCTGTCCCTCACAGCTAAATGGTGTGAATCGATACCAGCAGAGGTCGAGAGATCATTTGAGGCTTCTGACTTTGACGAAATCGACACTCTGTCCCCAATAGAGCTTCCGGTCGACGATGGCCTGTTGGAGTGTTATCCTTTCCCTTCTGCCGCTCCTCTCTTCCCACCCTTGCAGGAAGGAAGCCAGTTGATGCATCACTGGGTCACGGTCTTCAGCGGCCTCATGATTCCGACCGAACATGCCGACAATCCCTTCCAAACAATCTATGTCCCACTGGCGCTCGCGGCCCCCGAACAAACCCAGCTCGCATCCGGGTACACTGCTCTCTTACATGCCATGTATGCGGTTTCAGCCTTCCACCAAGCTCGCTTGCGCCCCGTCGAGCAAGGCTTCTTCGCCGTCGGGACAAACCATCATCGTCTGAGCCTCAAATACCTACATCGCAGCCTGACGGAACGGCCGGAAACACAGCGACAGGCCATATTGGCTGCGATGATTGCGTTACATTTGATCGACATGATCAACGGGCACTCGTCGAGTTGGCGTCTTCATCTCCGCGGGGCGAGAGACTGGCTTCAGTCTCTCAGCCGGATCAGTTGGAGCAGTGGCCGCAGCTCCTCCACCCTCTACCAACTCTTCCTCTGCATTGAAGCTCTCGGGCCGTCCATCGGCGGCATGACCACTTCGTCACGCTCCGTCAAGGTACACCCACCCACCGACGTCCTGGCGCCCGACTACACGCTGGATAGTTTCTTCGGCATCACCAGCACCGACACAAGCTACTGCCTGGACCGACTGTACGGCGTGACCCGCCCGATCTTCGAGGTCATTGTGCACATTAACCAGCTGTTGAAATCAGGGACATTCCCGTCCGATTCGGAACTGAACAACATCGAGCTCAAGATCGTCCTGAATAATCCTGCCTTCCTCCGGTTCCCCTGCGCGACCACCACCTTGGAAGAATTGACAAGGCATCATGCAAGCAGTTTCTACAATGCTTGCTATATCTACTTCAAAAGGACCCTCCGGAGGGCACCTCTGAGCACCACACAGAACCTGGTGAGAAAGAGCCTCGAGCATCTGGAGGCCATTGAGCGGCTAGAAAACCGTGGCACTGGCTGGGGTCTTATATGGCCTGGGTTCATCACTGCCTGCGAGGCGAGGGACCAGGATCTACGGCATCGCGCGATGCGGTACTTCCAAAGAGGGACGAGGCTGGGTATGGAGACGTTTGATTCGGCGGCGAGAGTCGTTCACGAGGTCTGGCGTCGAATGGAGACCGAAGACAGCACTCATTTGGATTGGAGAGTTATAATGGAGGAACTAAATATAGATCTGATCCTTGTATAACTGTTATGTACTCATGATTATGATCATGTCTTATGCCCGCGGTATTGAGCAAAGCCTCTCCTGCGCCAAGTTGATGGTATCATCTACCTCTTGTATACAGACTCGTACATACCCGGGCTTCTTCTACCCAGGGAGATATTTATCATCCATGAGTGGAGCACCAGCAGATGCCGGGATACTACATCAGTACTACTATACTAGTAGTATGTCAGCCAGCCAATCCACTTTTTCCAAGGCGCTTTTCCCTTAAAGAGACACTGCCACTTCCCCCAAAGTCCCAGAGCGTCTGCCTTGAGAATGCTGTGGCTCGTCCACGACGAGATATTTTGTAGCAGCAGAGAGAGCACCACTACACCGAGCTAAAGGCGTACGGGACCGGTCATGGTAGCAGTTGAAATTTATACATGTACGCAATCATTCCTATTCCCCTCTACCTCAAGGTCATACGTACTTCTTATAGAGACTTGGGCTAGGGGGCTCCCTTCCGGATTCGGTATCATGACCTTCGTCCAGCTCTCCAGATCCCAGTCTCGTCTTATACGCCTCGCTAGTTAGGTAAGCAGGCGAGATTATCAATAATAAGGATTACTTATCACAGTAAGTCATATAAGCGTAAGTTGGATCGACGACGAGGTCAAAAGGTATGAGATCCCAGAATTTGATGGTGAGGTACAAAGATTTATTAGTTAAACGCTAATAAAGCTAGGTACCTTTACATAAGCGAGCCACTTATCGTACAACTAACTCATAGTGGGCAATAGCCGAATATGGTGCGGTACGAATATGGTGTTGAATATGGTGCCCTGAGACATTCCGATAAGCTCCATCAGGTTGACGAGAAAGTCCTTAGACATCTGAGGGCTGGAGGATTCGGTGAGCAAAAAAGAGCAATTTTCTTTTTGGACCAGTTGCCGAGCTGGTTCACGATCAATACCGGGAGCTGAAACCTCTGCCTTCTCCGATTACGGACTGTTCGGCAGAAGCTCATAGTTTCCCCTGATGTTGGGAGTTGTGGTAGGAACGGCAGCGACAGCATTTGGTTCAGCTCGATCCTTGCCATAAGAAGTGGATGATGGCCACATAGAGCTCATTAAGGTATCTCTACCTACTACTTCTCGCTATATACTACTTTTTCAGATAATCGACGCTTTGACGGCAGCATGAAACCAGAATTGCAGAACAATGAGATAGGTTAACACGGCATGTATGTCTGTCTCCTGTACAAGTCTTAACTTTTATTTTATCCTCGGCCAAACCCCACACGGCCTCCTAATAAACCTCGAGGACGTATCTTCCCTCGTCCTTCAGCTTCATGATTTCTCGGGCAGGATCGATCTTCTTGACACCACTGTCTCTGGCATTGCGAGCAATAGCCTCCTCCAGGACGTCGGTCACGTCTGGCACGGGCCACGTCGGCCCGCAGAGGTAGAAGGCACCATCTTCTTGAATGTACGCCTTGACAATGTCATCGATGGTTTGCCGCATCCGATCCTGGATGTAGATCTTCTGAGGCTGGTCTCGGCTGAAAGCACGGCCCAGCAGAGTGATGACACCGGCGGCCTGGTATGCCTCCCATTCTTCACCGTAGCAGTATTCCTCCCGCTGGTGACGGGAGCCCATGTACAGCAGAACAGACCCGATCTCCTTGCCTTGGGCCTTCTCCATGGCTCGGTGTTGGACAAATGCTCGGAACGGCGCAAGACCCGTGCCCAGTCCGGCCATGATGATCGGCTGGGTCGACTTGGGCGGCAGTTTCATGACCGACGGCTTCACGCTGACCGTGACGGGAGCGCCCACTTTGAGCGCGCTGAGGTATTTGGTGGCCTGTCCGAATCGGTCGCGGCCCTTGGGATCCACCCAGTTGACAACCACGATCATCAGGGCCACCAGGTTGGGGCTGACGGCTTGGCACGAGGCAATCGAGTACTCACGGCGCTTCATGGGGGCCACGATCCGTACAAGCTCGTGGAACGAAGGACGGGCCGAAGGGAATTCGAGGAGGACGTCCGCATAGGTGACTGTGTCGACTTCGGCTCGGCGTTGGAACTCCTTGAAGCCTTCGGGGCCGGCCAGAGTCAGTAGGTTCTTCTTTTCCGTCTCGTCGGTGGCGAAGTCCGCGAGTGCCTCGTAGAATTTCTTAGGCGGTCGGCCGAAGATGTCGACGTTCTGCTTCAAAGCCTGGTAGATGGTGCGGTTTTCGAAGACTTCAGGATCCTCTCGCGAGGCAACCTCGACCACATCGTCGGGATTCAGCCCGTACCAGTTGATGAATTCCATGACTTCGGCGTGGTCATTCTCAGCGTGAATGCCCAATGCCTCGCCGATATCGTACTTGAGGCCGGAAGTGCCCAGATCGAACTCGATGTGGAAGATGTTGCGGTCGTACGTCACAGGTGTCAGACGACGGTTCTCCTTAACGTGGACGGTGAACGTCTTGGTAGGTAGGTCGGGTCGAAGAGAGTTTGTGGTGTTGTACGCTTCCTTGAAGAGGAAGCCCTTGGCCGCCTTCTGCCAGTTACGGAGCTTGGAAGGTGGCTCTTCTTCTGTCTTGTCGAAGGCGCTAAAGCTGCTTGGTGCAAGATCCACGGGCAGGGTCTGTTTAGCATCCACTTCTAGTTCAGCCCAGTCGTTCGGGACCTCGATCTGGCGGAGTGTCTTGTCGAGGTCAGCAGCCACCTGTTCAAGGCCGTGAATGTCGCTGCTATTGGTCGCCGCAAGCTTCTGCAAGCCTACGTCCTCCGATTTTCCGAGGGCCACGCGAAGGAACGCTGTCTGCAGGATAAGAGACTCGAGCTCCGGGTTTTCGACTGCCAACGCCGTGCTCGTAGGGTCGATGAGATACAGAGCGATCTGGTTCTCCGCCACTGCCTTCTTGAAAGCGGCAGGCAATTTCTTCTCAACATCCTCATCCTTGACGCCGGGCAGCAACAAAACAATTCTGCCGCCTTGCTTGATCGACTTGACCACGTCGACCTTCTCCAGCAGCTTCACATCCGTGACCACGGCGGTGTCAGCGGCCGTGATGGGATAAGCAGCATCCAGACTCTTGGGAGATTTCCGAATGTCAATTCTATGCGAGCCCCCTTGCACCAGGTTGTCGTGGGTCGTGTGTACCGTGACGTTCTGGGCAGAGTCCTTAGCCAAAGCTTCTGCCAGGTAAGCCGCTGCAGAGGCGGACGGGGCATCGTCAACGTTCCAGAAGGTATATTGTTGGACTGAGTCGTCCAAGAACGTTGTAATACCCTGGTCACTGGCCGGTTTGCCGAGAAGCATCTGGAACAGGGCCGAAATGGATGATGGAGCCCACACTTCGGCACGGGGGTATTTCAGCTCACGAACCTCGGGAGTGTGACGAATAGAGGAGCCATAAGATATCGAGGCGAGCACATCCGTAAAGAGCTGCGAGCGTACGCCGCTTTCCTGCACAGCTTGTGCATCGGCGACCTGACCAAGAACACCAACGACGCGGACGCCGTCCGGAATGAGTTTCAAGAACTGTTCTTCCGCGAATGGTCGGTATAGTCGGACGTTGATGGCCCCAACCCTGTTACCGGATTTGGCCAACGCCGCCGCAGCCTGCGCGGCAAGAGAAGACTCCACCGAACCGAACGAAACAAGAATAACCTCGGGCTGTTCGTGACCAGAGTACTCGAAAGGCTTGTAGTCGGTTCCCAGCTCTTCATTCAGGGCACGGAGGGTCTTCAATGCTTTGCCCTCAATGCTCAGATGTTTCCTGTCCTCATCCGTGACCGAGTCGAGCACGGTCTTGTAGGTACTACCAAGACCAGATTTGTCCAGAACGTCGATGACTCTTGTCGTATCTCGGCCGATCCTCAAGCCGTCATAGACGTGGAACATGGGGAGGTCCCGGGCCAGGAGGGTAGCGAACAACGACATGTGCTGTGCCTCGTGTGCTGAGAGGGTCGAGACCAAACCAAACCCAAGATCCTCGGCGGCAGACAGAGCTGAGATATAGTCCGAGACCAATCCACTGGTTTTTCCGCCGTCATAGTCCAAGGCGGCCACATGAGCGACAAGAGGATTGCTGACCGAGTAGAGGAGCGAAAGCTGGTCAAGAACGGGTCTCAGGAACTGCAGCGCAGAGGAAGACGCCAAGAGGCCCTGGGGAATGTGTCTCTTCTTGAGGTCGAAGTCCTTGGAGAACATATAGCCCAGAGCAATTGACCCTGCGCCATTCCGAATCTGCATGGACTGGACCCCTGTCTTGTAACCGTTGACGTTGGTTTCCTCCGCCTCGTTCCACGTTTTTGCAGCCACATCAAGATCGAAGGTCTCGGGAGAGTAAGAGAAGATTTTGTCGGACAGGGAATATGCGACCTGCTGGACCAGTGTTTGGGCCGTCACATACGAAGGGCCGGCGACTGAGGAGAAGGCCGGCGGCTGACCGAAGGGGAGGCTCTTAGAAGACTGGGGAGCCATCTTCGAGTCTGTGTGTGCGTCGGGTGCAGTGCCGTTCGACGAGGGTAACTCAAGACGCATGTTGGCGACTTCAGAGAGGGCAAGAACTTGAATGAATAGAAGACCAAAACTCGAAGGGCTCCATGGCGATAGAAATTACCAAGTACGGCTCCCCGAGGACCGACTGCCGACTCCATTTCGACTGCGTTCGCCGCTCTCCCCAAGGATCGGCCAGCCCGAGCGTGTCGCCATCGAGAATGAAAAAAATAATGGCAGACGTCGAGCACGCCATCGGCGCTATCCGACTAGCGCAGAACGTAATACTGGAACCAGATCACGTGCTAGGGCATCGATAAGGCTGACAAGGCTTCGTGCCTCGGTCTCAGCCCTGGATTCTAGATTCCGACAACACTCGTCCGCTCCTCCACCGACAGTCCGGCCCAATCCGGAACGCCCATGAGATATCTCCATCCGTCCCTTCATAAGTCAGCAACCGTGCTGCAGATCCCCTTTGCCACGCAGTCAACGTCAGAGGGTTAGTAAATAACTGTTGCGTGATTCAATTTCCCTAACATGCGGGCGTAAATTGGCCATACCCTCATCTTCCATCCCCCTTCGCCAGCAACAGACGTGGACATAGTACATATACCACACGCGCATCGCATCGCATCGCAGGCACGACTGCACTCAGATTTCCTACGCATCAAGCAGAAATCCAGTCATTCAACAGACACGATGCCATCGGCACTTGTCTTGGGCGCAACAGGTCTTGTGGTAAGTTCCTCGAAGATGCCAATCCGCAACATTGTTACCTGACACTGCAACAAGGGATCGCATATTCTATCGACCTTGAAGTCGCTGTCGCCGTCCTTCTTCTCGAGCATTGAGATCGTCGCGCGCCGCTCTCCTCCCGCTAACTCGGACGCCGGGGCCCCGGTTCAAGAATTCATCGACAAGGATACCACTAAATGGGTGTCGCATGTTTCCTCGTTGTCTCCCGCGCCGTCGGTCCTGTTCTCCGCGCTCGCGACCACTCGCGCCGCAGCTGGGAGTTTTGAGAACCAGTACAAGCTCGAGCATGACCTGAACATCGAGCTTGCCAAGGCTGCCAAAGAAGCAGGCACCAAAACCTACGTGTTGATCTCGGCTGCTGGCGCAAATCCGCACGCCTATCTCGCCTACCCTAAGATGAAGGGCGAGATTGAAGAGCACGTCAAGGAGTTGGGATTTGAACATACCATCATAATACGTCCGGGCCTGATTGTGGGCAAGCGTGAAGAGAGCCGTTTTGTTGAAGGCATCTTCCGTACAGTTGCTACGGGACTAGGCCACGTTCACAGCTACTTGAAGGACACTTGGGCCCAAGACGCCGATGCCATCGCAAAGGCTGCTGTTTCCGCCGCCATCAAGGCTGAAAAAGGCGAGGTCAAAGACAAAGTTTGGATCATCGGACAGAAGGACATTGTTCGACTTGGATTGCATGAATGGAAATCATCTTGATCCACGTCAGGGAAGAGGTGGATGTTGGAACCCGGTTGTTTTGGCGCGTAAACTGATACCCTAGGTAGTTATAATAGATGCTGAAGTGCTGGGCAATAATCGATTTACTTGAATTTCTCTTGCCGACTAGGATGCCATCGCAGTATTTACAGTGTCAGCTTGCCACACACTGTGCTTCATTGCACACCAAACCCCGTATTGTCCTTGACTCAGACACTCTGTTCTCCCTTGCTAGCATCACCGCCGCCTTATCTCCCGCCACCATCCTCGGAGGGCTTTTTCTTCGATCCTCCCTTTGCTTCGTCCGTGCCTTGGCTGATTTCTGGATTTGCGGGACTGTCCTCCAGAGGGTTCACCTCGTTCCCTTCACCGGCCTTCTGCTTCGCCTCTTCAGGATCCGTGATGTTAGGGTCAAAGGCCGCGTCCTCGTTGGCGGCAGCCGTGTCGTCTGAGCCGGACTTGGAGTATTCACTTGCCTCCGGATCCAGCTTGTTGCGGTCGACTTGGGCCTCGCGCTGCGGGTGTGTGTTACGGTCAGGATCTTGGTCCGCCGCAAAGCGATAAGGGGTCGTGGAGAGGGGTCGTAGGCCGGATTGAGGTCGGAAAGATGTGCGCAAAGAAAATACACTGCGTGAAATACGCAGAAGTGTTGATGGTGGCATGTTGTGATTGACTTTCTGTGCTTGGAGCTTCGAACCTCCGTTCGAAAGAAAAGATGGTTGCGATAGACTCTATCAGTCGGTGGATTGAGTCTAGTTTCGGCTTATGGTATGAGAAGAAGTATGAGTAGGCTGGGTATGATGCTCGAAAATGAACAAGAGGGATGACAGGCAGTAAGTACCTTGGTATGGAGGTATTAGCAGTGCAGTAGTGACGGTATGAGGGACAGAAACATCATCGATTGTCGTTTGGGCGGGTATGTGTTTGACGTCATATCGGAGCGACACGACTCCGGACTTCATTTCCGCGCATTCCAATCAACTGCCACCAGCTCCTAATCACCCCCAAACGTAATGCAGTGGTGTGGTAGCCTGGGTGTGTACATCGAGCAGTTGTCTTCATGTTCTCGTTGCAGGGGCTTCAGGTATTGTGACTCCAAACACAATGGGATGGGGTGCTGAAGATTCATAACTGCCTCAATCATTCAACCTAACATGTCCGTTGGAAGCTGTTGACGTGCGGAAGCTGGCAGGTGTTTGTGGGACTCCTCAAAAGTCCTGGTTAAGGATCCTCTAGCATTTATCCATCTGCATTTCTTCAGCATCATAGAATAGTGTTTGATATTCTCGAGTGTCTCAAGGTTTCATAGCAGAGCCAGCGTCAAGAAACAACGCAGCATGCTACGCCGACCGGCATTTTCTGACCAGGTGGTGTTTCTTTTGTCCAGCATTTTCTGTGGAGTGATATCTTAACACTTCAGCCGAATACCATGCCTTTTCTCTTCCTCCCGATGCTCAAACATGACCTGCACGCCAACGAAAAGCGCAAAGCAAGCACCGAGCATGAACATCGCGCCTTGCCAACTGCCAATGATACCGTTCACCAGTCCCATCAGCCCGTCCAGTCCGACCGCAAATCCGACCAGGTTGGCAGCCATCATAAGGAGGATATTGATCACTGCGCCGATGCCGCAGAGGACGCGGTACGCTTCAGGCCGATTTCTCCATTTTGATTTCGGGAATGCCATGGTCGCAAGGACCTCTGGCAAGACGAAAAGCACGACCAGCCACCCCCACATCAACAGCCTCAGGTTGATGTCGTGCCACAAGGCGACAAAGGAGAAGACAGCGAGCATGTTGAGGATACCGCGTACCCTCCCTGTCCCACCGCCGACGCCACCCCCAAGAGGAATGTAGAGGTACCGAATTGTCCACCGATTGAAGCTTCTGTGCCATGAACGCCAAAATCCAAACGCCGAATAGTTGTCACTCATGCAGCGGACCATGTTCTCCGGAGGATCCATACCGTCAATCAATGCCCAGAGCCGGAAGAAACGCCAGGGGATCATTAATTTCAGCCAGATAATATGCAGGTTGAAATATGCCAGCATACTGAGTTGGAAGGGCGTATATGTGGACCAATCCGGAGAGGCCTTGGAAATCGCAACGACGTAGATGGTGTGCAGTAAAAACTCCATGCAAAACAGGGTGATCAGAAATCTGATGCCGTAGAGGATCGTCCGTCTTGTCGTTATCGAAGGTGCCGGGTGCATGGATTGAGAAATGTAGTCGTTGAATGTCACAATGGGTCCCGCAAGATAGAGTGGTGGGTACAGGACGTAGGCGACGTAAGTTCGAAATGATTTGTATGTTGCTTCTGGAGCCGGCATGGCGACTCGGTCCCTTTCGGACAACGCTGCCGGATCGAGTTGTTTCTTCTTGATCATCTTGTCAATGACAGAGCTCCGGATATTTGGAGATATGTAGCTCAACCACTACGGAGAGAAGAGACAAAACATACCTCGATAGGGCTCCCGACCCTGGCCCGATCCAACGACCAGTAGTGGTCGAAATTGAAGGATATCATTCTCAACACGGTGATCTTGAAAAGAACCTCCCACCGCGGATTCAAGCCTGCATGCGAGTCCAGGAACTTGGCCCAGTCGGACGCAGCCGGGAGAAATGGGGCAAGAGTCTGCACCAAAGTCGAATACGGGTAGCCTTGCGTCAGCTCATTGGCGAAGAGAATGACAATGTTGAACACCCAGGTCGCAGCGGGAATGCGGTTTCGAGGAAGCGAGGTGCCGATTTTGAAATTCACGTAAAGGATGAGAAGAATCTTGAGCATGGAAAAGCCATTCAGAGCGGAAATGTAGACCAATGCAGAATAGAAGTCGAAGGAGACCCGGCTCTGAAGACGGAGATATGCTTCAACCGACGAATACTTGGCCTTGCCATTCCCGTTTACTGTCGGTGTACCGTGCCCAGTGAGCTGTTCATACAGCCGTCGAAGCAGTGGATGAAGGACAAGAAGAACGGCAAGATACAGGACGTTGTCTCGGAAACTGGCATACTGGCCATCTGAATTGTCCTATATCCTACATAAGCCTTCTGAACGATGATAGGACAGGGTTCTGTTCCTACATACCACTTTCCGACCCAACAGCCAGCCTGGGGACAACAGATGCTCGTATTTTGAATAGTTCGGTGAATCGGCTATTCCACTCTTGTCAAATTCATCGTTCCCATCATGCCTGCGCCTGTCGAATCTTACGTTGTGAAACCTCCACTACAGCCCAGTACATCTGCGGTACGCAGAACAGAAATACCAGCGTGTAGAAGTAGAACTCGGGAGTTCTCCATCGTGGCGGCGAGACATCCGTAGGCAAAGCTTTGCCCTCTCTTTCTACAGACTTGTGCGAGTTCTCGTCAACCGATTTCAGGGGAACCGAGGAGGAAGTCGTGAACCGAGTGTCGAGAGTGTCGAGGGAATATAACTCCCGGAGCAATGATGATGCGCCCATATCGTCCTAGGCATGCTGCACCTGTTGTGATGGAGCGCACAGCAATGATGGCGGTGGGCAAGAAACGTCCTGCTTGCTGTTGCAGCCTTGCAGCAAGCGCCAGTGCAGTGTTGATGGACGTTTGATCGCGTCACGGTGCCTCGTCGACTTGGCGCGCAGCCGTCCCCATTGAATGATGCAGGCTCACGCCGCTTTGAATCAGCCTTCCATGGTCATCAATCTTTCTTACCCACAGACTGTATCTACCCTCGCTACCCTATTTGATCTATACGCTTTGGTACTGGTCTAGCTGGTGGATAGTACGGCCCATTATTAAGCAAGCATGCACAAATATGTAAATATCATCTACATCAATTCATGATTGCGTCTCTGGATTCCTCAGCCTTGCCAGCCTCGGCCTCAGGGGTTAAATTGTAAAAGCAGCATGTTATCTGTGGACTTTCGACGTATCGCTCTAAACGCAACGTCAGGCCAACAAATCCTATTCCGAAACTTGATTTACTATGATATAAATACAGACCGAGATCGCCACGCTTATGAACAGCTCGAGAGTGGCTTGGTGACGATGTTGCAAAGGCATGCATGTGACTCACGGCCCTGCAGTACTGTCAGAGATCCCGGGTCAACAACAACGCGACTTCTAGCAAGGAGGCCACCTCAACTAGGGGAGGGCTCCCAAGATACAAATCCAATACGTATGGCATCTGCCATCTATCTAGACGGTTGGCCATAACAGAAAGACATGTTCAGGTCAGTCAACAACAGTATGATACCGAGTCCAGTGAGATCCAATTCGAATCAAGAAACGTACATTTCGGCACTTCACTTTGCAATTCTGCCGCACCTTCACATGAACAGGGCACACTCCCGCACCCGCGCACAAAACCCAAGCACAAATGAGTTCTGAAACCCAAAAACAAAAAGTACAAAAAAGTTTGGTAGTGGTAGTAGGGAGGAATCGAACCTCCTACTATACCTTTTCCCACTCGGTCCCAACACCCCCTAGGGCTGTCGGTCCGGAGAATAGAGGCGAGGCTCCCGTTCAGGTGAATGCAGGGAAACCGAGTACCTTTACTTGATCTACGCTCCTCCTTTCAACAATGGGCAGGGGGGAAGACGGGGATCATCCACGGGCGCTCTATCCGGGAAAAGGCCCACCAACCGAACCACGACAAAGCCCATCCCGAAGGTTTGGGAGCCTCTTTGTGGATGATTTGGGGTGAACTTCTTTCGGGCTTTGTTGGACAAAATTCTGCGAGTTACAATAATAACCCTGTGATTTTACGGGATTGGTGGCATGTGATCAGGGCCCGGGGCTTGTGTTAAGGTCACGGTGCGTTAGTGGTGAGTGTTGGCATGACGATGAGGCTGCAGTGAATACTCGCGTTATCTGGCATGTGACGATCCCTGGCACACGAGCATAGAGGCTTTTAGCCCCACTGCGCAGGTAACAAGATCTCGATCTCTTGTACCATCTCTGTCTATGATGACTGCCTACCTTGCTGGCATTCCGATTCCTGGCCAAATTGACCAGGGTTCGGTTGTATTACAATCTGATCAGAGGAAGGCCTCGATTCATACTACGGAAGGGATGAGATTGTAGGCTCTACTTTGTCAATCAAGCACTCGAACTATTGGAGGTGAGACCGTGCTGGGAATCATGAAGGTATTGCAGAACGTTTGATTGCGAGGTGCGCATTGTCGACGGTCAAACGCCCAGATCAATCCGCTCTCTCGCTGCAGACGGTTTATCGTCCTGCATTCCCAGGGGTTTGCTTATCACTGGAGAAAGATATATGCTTGACTTGCCCAGGTCGCGCTCGAATGTCGCTATCCGGAAATGCAAGCCTCAGCATTGTCAGTTGGTGGATACCTCGGAATGGCAGGGACCGTCGGGCGTGTCGGCAATGAGTAGCTAGGACAGGGTTTCGTTTGTGTCAATTGGGAAAGACTAGTGCTCCTTATATACTCCCACAGAAATCAATGAGGAAACTATAGGGGTACAGAAGGTTCGAGGTACTTTTGAGTTTCCTATTCTCGCGACCTGGAGACGATCTCTATCAAATACACGCTTGTGAAGTGATATACTCTTCTCACCTTCACAACACCGCCTCCGGCGCTTGGATGCTATGCCTGCTCTATTTGAGGGGCACTTGCTCATTTCTGCTTTTTCCCAATACTAGTATCAATACTTCCGACCAGGTACGCAAGGACAAACACGCCTGCCACTCCCGCAAAGATCGTCAGGGGCTTCCTCAATGCCGCGAAAAAGGTGTACTCGTATGTGACCAAGACAGTGACATCCCTTGCCTCATCAACAACATTGGTCGCCGTGAGCGTGAGCACCGTACGACCAAGCGTGTCCATGAACGTTTTATGCAGACCATGCTCGGCCTGGAGGGTGGGCACGCCCGTGCCGCCGTGGGTTTGGTATTTGACATTGGTCGCGCCCTCCGGCAGGATGACGCGGAACACGAGCTTTTCGTATTGAATACCCTCAGGGTTCTTGGGACCTTCCACCAATGGGACAGCCAGGATGTATGTGTCGGCGGGAGTCTGGAGTTTGCGTAGAGACGACGAGAGATCGTTGTTCCAACCGATCCGGAAAGTGTAGTTCCAACCACCGAAGAGCGGGTACCGCGGCCTAAGTTCCAGACTGGCCTCGCGGACATTGTTAGGTCGGAAGCGAGAAGTCGAGACATTGCCGATCTCGTCGGTGAAGTAGGCGTCGACGCTGCCCGGTTTCAATGGGACCTTGAGTTCTCGTAGTGCAGAAGTCGTCATTTGGCCGGCATTGATGTAGAAGTTCTGCGTGCTCCATGCCACACGAGAAAACTGGTTTGCCAGTCTAGCTCCGTCGTGGCGAAGCCAGTATCGTTCTTCGGTCGCCAGATTGCCGCCCCAGTGAGATACTTCGACGTCTCGTTCTAGCACACTGCACACCAGAAGCGGCTTGTTGAACTCATAGCGCACCGTCACTGGGTAGACTGTCCCGGGGGGGACTTTTGCAGTGTCGTAAGGCCCGTATGAGAATGAAGAGCCTTGTTTCTCTGGATCAGCGGCTGAGGTCAGGCCGCTTGTCGTCGTGTATTCGGGGACATCTGATGAAGGAAACTTGACTTTGGTCTTTTGTTTGATGGTCGGGTAGACGGTGGGAACGTAGGCCGAGAAATAGTAGGTCAGGTATTGCTTTTCTTCTTGTTTGATGGACGCCGGTAATGGTCGTAGAGCTTCCAGTATGTGGTAGGAGATGGACAGAGTGACAGCACCCTTGGGGGGTAGGGGCTCCGTGAGATGGATGATATAGTATTGGGTCGACCTTTCGTACAAGTCAGCCAGCACTACGGTGAATGGGTAGCATAGTAACATACTTGGATGACGATGGCTCTTTTGCATCAGATACACCGGCCAGAGTGCCAATGGTCACTTCCAACGGCCCTCGCTCTGCATGCTTCTTGTCCCGGGCGTCAAACCCGCCAATCTTCCCGACCAAGTCATAATCGAAGGGGATATAATACTCCGATTGAGGGTTTTTGTCTGTGTTGGTGACCAGGACGTTGGTTGTCTCCCTAACATACCCTTTTTCAAGATTGATGGTCCGGACGAGGTTCGTGTTCTCGAAGACCGGAGCAGGCTTGAAGTCGCCCGTTAATATCCTCTGCGTCAGTTCTGGTGTGGTGAGGTTCGACTGTTGTGCGGAAGATAAAGACGTATGAAAACACAGTCCGAAGACTGCGCTCACCACCGAGGAGAACCGCATCCTCGTATTCTAGGTGGGAGCAAGATCAAATCAGTGCGGCATCGTCGTTGAACTGCGACCAGAGGCCAGCGTGGAGAACCGAGTTGATGCTCTGTCGGCGGAGTTCACTTGGAGGCCGAGAGATTCACCGTGATCACTCGGGCGCCGCATATTTCTCGAAGCGAACTATACGGAGGATCTTTTGGCGCTCCGGCACACCTTCTCCCAATGACTGACTCGTTTTCGAGACTGACAACCAGCTGCCGTTGATTGGTCGAAGCTCTTTAGGGACATACCTACGACGTCTAGCAGTTCCGTGGTTTCGCAGTCTCGCTTCAGGGCACCTCGAAGTTGTTGGACTGCGAGAGAGGTTTGAGACAGCACAGAGCCAATAATGGCGTCAAAATTCGTTCCTCAGCTGGTGCGCCAGGCATCACGAAGCCTGTCCAAAGCTCCTCGCAGCAGACAGCAGATCAGACAGACGTTCCGACCCAGACAATTCTCCAGCACGCCGTTGTCGCGGAGCGAGGCGCTCTCAGTGGTGAGTGTTACACCTCTTCCCGCTCACTGGGATTGAATTTCAGAACTCGGATATGAGGGAAGTTTGTCCGGAGCTGACTTGGACTCTTATAGCACCGCAATACTCCCGACAACAATCCGTCGATTCCCTTCAAGTTCAACGAGACCAACTTGCGGCTCATCGATGAGATCCTCAAACGATACCCACCACAATACAAAAAAGCCGCGGTGATGCCGCTGCTGGACCTGGGCCAGCGCCAGCACGGTTGGACGACCATCAGCGTGATGAACGAGGTGGCGAGGATCCTGGAGATGCCGCCGATGCGGGTGTACGAGGTAGCCACGTTTTACACCATGTACAACCGCCAGCCAGTGGGCAAGTACTTTGTTCAAGTATGCACGACGACGCCGTGCATGTTGGGCGGCTGCGGCAGCGACAAGATCATGAAGGCCTGCGAGGAGTTTTTGGGGATCCACTCTGGCCACATGACCGAGGACAAGCTGTTCAGCTTACTTGAGGTCGAATGCCTGGGAGCTTGTGCCAATGCGCCCATGGTGCAGATCAACGACGACTATTACGAGGATTTGACCCCGGAGACGATTACACAGATATTGCAAGCGCTGAAGGATTCGTCGACCATCAGCGGATATGATTTGAGCAAGGTGCCGCGCCCGGGCCCGCAACCATACGAGGGCGAGCAGAGAATGAGCTGCGAGCCGAGGGGGGGTCTGACCACGTTGACGGGCGAACCATATCATATCAAAGATTTCATGAGAACTGATGGAGAGTTGTGAATAGTCGAACAGTGAGGGTGGCGCACGTAGGTGTGCCTGGCGATTGACTCTATTGTCTTCAAGAGACGACACTCTGAGAACCCGGCAGCGACAGCGGCGATTCGGCAAGAGGGTAGGCGGCTCTGTACATACGAGGAGAGATGTCTTGAGATCGCAAGAGCAGAAGATGGAAATGCCAAACAACGTTTTAAGCCAACGAAGCAGATGCTTTTTCCTCCCAGTCCTGTAACTGTTATCTGGCTTGCCCCCTGTACAAAAGATCGGATAAAACAACGCGCACCCAGAATACAAGCATATCCGCGTCTGTCTCATGCTGGCAGAGCGAGGGTCGACTGATATAGCGACTCCATGAGCCTGCTGCTGCCTCAGTTCATATCATATCCCATCATGTCACATCACATCGTTAAGTACCGTGCGTTTCCTTTCTAAAGTCCACTTCGGACCATATCTCGCCTGATCAAATACTCCATTCCAACTTCCAAAACCAAGACCAAATCCATATCCATATCCATATCCATATCCATGACCAAACCAACCCTGGCCGAGCATAGGACATATCAAGCCCCATGGCGAACATCCAGAATGCTCGATCCTGCAGAGTTTGGAAGAAGATCGGGCGTTCTTCAAGGTACGCAGAGCAACGTGGCGTGTGGCCATCTGGTCCATGGTCGCCTAGCTTTGCAGTCACCATTTGCTCGTGCTGGTACTTGCGCTTGTAAGCTTTCCGGGAATGCTAATCGACTTGGGGTGATACATCGTTGAGCTTGATGTCGACAGTGAGCTCGGAAACGGGTGGTGGACGGTAGGTGGCTTGGGCTTGGTCTTGTTGATGGTTGAGAAATTGAAGACCATGTCAACGTCAATGGCATTGTCGGCGTTGCCCAGTACCTTTATCGGCTCCTCAGGGTCTTCCCAATGCGCAGTACCCTGATTTATTGGGGAGTTAGTGTCGCCAGAGGCCGAGGAAACCTCGGAACCTCCGGCCGAAGAAATGCTGAAGGACGGCTCGGTCAATGTCCAATCCATCTCGTCACCAAGGCGATTTGAATACACCATCGCCCATGTCATGTCGCCTTCGTATTCCTCACCGTTTGCCGGCTTGGCAACATCACTTTGGTTGGGTTTGATGGCGATGGGTTCCAGAGGACACTCCCGGATGCGATTGTCCACGACATAACGTTCCACCCGAGCTTTTAACCTGTCCACGCATACGCTGTCTTTGGCCACAAACCATTGTTGACGTCCACCGTTACTGAACCAACCACTGAAGGATACCGAGGTGAGCTTCAAATCCGTCTTGATGTTTTTGATCAGCTTGACCCAACATTCTCGACGGTCTTCGCTCCCCAGGAGCGTGATGTTGGAGAGTTCCAGACGACGCAGAGTAGAAGCATGGATCTTCAAGAAGTGCATCAAATCTTCGTCATGGCAAATACACGCCTCAATCATCAAGGCCTCGAGTCGAGGCAAGAGCGGTCGAGATATCCAGCTTCCTGTGGGGGTTTCCAAGAGGCCACCTAGATCTGACAGTAACTCGTCGTCCGCGTACTGATGATGTGTCACAGAGCAATCGGTCAAGCGTAACCTAAGGGTTCTGAGCTTCTTTGCAGATTTTAGTAGAGCCTGGACTGCATCGACGTGGTTGGCAGTAGTCATTAGAGTATCATTGCGGAAAGAAAGGTCAAGGAACCGGAGATTCTCCATCATGGCCTGGAAGATCCTCAATTGCTGGTGTGCTGCAGAGGACTTCATGGGCACCACGCCGAACAAGGCACGACCGTCTAGATTTGTCATCTTGAAGCCCTGTAACCGACAGCCCGCGGAATAGGCGGCTGTGAGGATGCCCTTTGAGAAAGACCTCCCAGAGCCGCCCGCCATGAGTTTGAAGTTGACGATTTCTGGATCGACCTTTATGGATTTGCAAATGTGTTGATAGAAGTATGGGATTTTGGCGAAGGCAATTCTAGTTCCGTCGTCACAGTCTCGGACACGGACATCGCGCAGGTTGGGCAGTAGCTTCAATGCTCTGGTGAGCATCGCGACCTCGATGGCCATATCCTCGTAAGGCTGAAAACGACCTTGGGCGGCACGGTCCAGCAATGCCTCTGCACGAGCCTTTTCCTCGTCGGACATTGGAGGCCGTGCAGCATTCGACCCGTATTTCTTGATATGGCCGAAGAAAGAACCAAAACGGGCGTCGTATTTTACTTTCGTGATGAGCTGAGTGACCTTGGAGCGTTTCAGTGCTTTGATGAAGCCGAGGATGCAATGTTCATTTGGGACCAGCACGACTTTGCGCCACAGATATGGGTCGGCCATTTGAGCCAGGCTTTTGGAGGCCAATCGCACATTTTTGAGAGTGGCACGGGAGCAATTTTGGACGACAAGCAGAAGGATCTCATTTGGAAGGTCGGGAAGGGGACCGTTGGTCTGGGGAGCTGAATGGAAGGAGGCCATTATGAGCGACAAATTTGAGAGCATTGCAGCGTGCTGAGCGGATTGATACCTGGATGGTTATGGGAGGAGCGAAGGAGGTATTCACGAAGCAGATTGCGAATGAGTATAGTCCACGGATACAAATCCACAGAGTTCTGATGAGGCTGCCTCGTGCCGATGGTTTGGGGTTTCAGGCTTTGAGGCTTGAGGTTTCAGGCTTGCGCTGGGCTAGTGCGGTTGCCTGCGGCTGGAATGTGAATTGCGGCCAGGAAGCGGCAGTGATGAGGTGGGCGGAATTGGTCGAGCAATCCGCCGACAAGGGATCAAATGGCAGGCATTATGCTTGCAGAGCGAATGATCTTGGTGGAAGAGAGACAGATGGCGGGTTGTCCCAATTCGAATACAAAGAAAATGGAAGAGATGGCGGCGAGTCGCAGGAAATAAGGCAGCAATATCACCAGGTCATGGTAAAGCTCATCCAGTTGAGTGAAAGCTGCTCGTCAATCCCCTTTCTTCACCCACCGGCTCTAACATCCCATTTACTCTCGCCTCTATCCGGCTCGAGAATGCGATTTTATATATATTATATATATACTATATAGTCATGCCACGAAGCACGCAGGTCAGGCTGAACAACCATCTACAGTCGACAAGGCACGTAGACCTTCCATTCTTGACCAGCCTGAAGCAGTTCACCTGGTAGGAGCCTCGCCCACTAGACAACCTGTTCATGTTGTCATGTCGGTCTCTTGCTGCTGCCACCCACGATCATGTTATTGTGCCAATTCCCAACCGCATGGTGTCATTTACATGTTCCAGATCGCCGTTCCACTCCTAGGCCTCAAGGAGGGTGTGGTCCGCTCGTTGCTGAGATTCGGGGTCTCAGACCTGAGTCGTCGTCTGGCTCGACTTGGAGGGCGTTCGCGCACAGAAGAGGAGGCATCGAGAGGTGGCTACAGGAGGTAGTTGACGTCCGATAGAATGGTGGGGTCGATGATGTTACAAAGTAGAATGTCACTGCAATGAAACGGATTAGTTTAGGCACTTTAGGTGACATGGTTAGCTGGAGGCTAATGGCTAGGCGCGACACCCGACCTTTTAGATAATTTTAGGCTTGAGATCGGAGACGCCTTAGGCACCCTAGGCCTCTATCTACAGCGTGCTTGCCCTGATTCCAGCCCCTCTCCAGGCACGTTCTTGCCTGCCTCTTCCCATTGGAGGGGCCGCCCAAAGCCTCTTGTTGATACGACGTAGTAGCGAGGTGAGGCAGGCGTTATTTTTCGCGATACGCAGCTTTTCCTCATTACTTGGAAGGCTTGGAGCTTTTGCGGTTTTTGCTTTTGCCAGTTCGGTTGTACAAATCTTTCAAGTTGTATCTTCTCCTTGGTTTCTTTCTGATTTCTATACCTTCAATAGTATCATTGTCGCTGTACTCGACCGCCTGGCTAGGCCAACACTCTGTCACCCGATCGCTTCCCCGATGCTGTAGTTGGGCCAATATGAAGTCCGTCCTCCGGCCCACCCCGCGCTGCTCCTCTTCCGTGGCTAACAATTGTCTCTGTGCAGGTTCGGGCAGCAGCTTCGTCAGTCCTTGATTAAAGACTACTATTGGCATTACATTGCCTATGACGAACTCAAAAATGCCCTCAAGAAACCCTTCGTTAACGGCAAGAACGGCGAGCGCGAGCCTTGGACGGACGATGATGAAGCGGCATTCATCCGACAGCTCGAAGGCGAGCTCGACAAAGTCTACACCTTCCAGAAGCTCAAGAGCCAAGAGATAGTATCGAGGATCAAGGCTGCCGAGGCCGAAGTCAGACAGGTGATTGAACGGCAAGAGAACCAGGGCTCGTCCGATGTCGAAAGCGACGAGGATCTGGAACAGGACTTTGAACTGCTCGAGGCCGACCTCAGCGACATCATCGCTGATGTCCATGACCTGGCAAAGTTCACCCAGCTGAATTATACTGGTTTCCAGAAGATCATCAAGAAGCACGACAAACAGACGGGTCTGATCCTACGGCCTTCCTTTGCGACCAGACTCAAAGCGAAGCCTTTCTTCCAAGACAACTACGATGCCTTTATCGTCACTTTGTCCAAACTCTACGACCTCGTAAGGACCAGAGGCCACCCTGCGAAAGGCGACAGCTCTGCAGGTGGTTCTCAACAGAACTTCGTTCGACAGACCACCAAGTACTGGGTACACCCCGACAACATTACAGAACTTAAGCTCATCATCCTGAAGCATCTGCCCGTGCTGGTCTTCAACCCCAATAAAGAGTTTGAAGATAAAGATTCCGCCATATCTTCCATCTATTATGACAACCCAGAGACATGGGAACTTTACGAGGGTCGACTGAAAAAGACCGAAGGGGCAGAAGCCATCCGTCTGCGATGGTACGGCGGGATGGAGAATGAAACAATCTTCGTCGAGAGAAAGACACACCGAGAAGACTGGACCGGTGAAAAATCGGTCAAGGCTCGCTTCACGCTCAAGGAGAAGAACGTGAATGCTTTTTTGGCTGGCAAGATGACGGTCGAAGAGGCCTTCGCAAAAATGAGAAGAGACGGCAAGAAAAGCATCCAGGAGATCGAAGATCTTGAACAGCTCGCCCGAGAAGTCCAATATCGAGTCATCACCAGAAGACTGAAACCGGTCTGCAGATCATTCTACCACCGTACAGCTTTCCAGCTTCCTGGCGATGCCCGAGTCCGCATTTCGCTGGACACCGAGTTGACCTTGATTCGGGAAGACAACCTTGATGGTAGACAAAGAGCCGGCAACAACTGGCGGCGAATGGACATTGGCATTGACTGGCCATTCTCTCAGCTTCCCCCGGAGGACATTGAGCGGTTCCCCTATGCTGTCCTGGAAGTCAAGTTGCAGACACAAGCAGGTCAAGAACCGCCTCAGTGGGTTCGTGATCTTACTGCCAGCCATCTCGTGGAAGCCGTGCCGAAATTTTCCAAGTTCATCCACGGCGTGGCCACCTTGTTCCCCACGCGCATAAACCTCCTTCCCTACTGGTTACCGCAGATGGACGTCGATATCCGCAAACCCATCACCCATCGATTCGGTATCGAACGGCCCGCGAACACGGCCAGCTATTCCACTAGTGACGTTGATGACGATGATGTAGATTCCGACGACGAGCAAGGGGACGGTCAAACTACGGGAAGGACTACCCCCTTCGTGGACGGGTCAACCAACGGCGACGATGAACAAACGATAAGGTTGAAGGCCGCCAGGCGTGCTCTGAACGAGCATAGCCGTGCCCAAGAGGAAGACAGCCGACAGAATGGAGATGCCAACGCCGCTCCTGGCAACTCTCTGGATGAGGAAGAGCGGGTGGCCGCACTTCCCCTGGGGGACGAAGAATACATCTACGACTCGGAGGCGGATGAAGAAGACGAGAATGAGCTTGAGGAGGCACGTCATTCGAAGTCGTGGAGATACTATCCCTTGCTGGTGAAACATCACGTCCAACAAGCGGGCGACGCACTCGTTCGAACCTTCAGAAAGGTCCCAACCTCGACTCCTCTCCCACAAAACGGCGGTGTCGGCAGCGTCAACCCGCTAGGCGGGCAGATCCAAGTCAAGCGATTCAAAGCGCCCCCTGGCAAACGGATCCACGTCCCCGTCCGAGTCGAGCCGAAAGTGTACTTCGCCGCTGAAAGGACGTTTCTGTCCTGGCTGGAATTCAGCATCATCCTCGGCTCTATCGCCGCCACGTTGTTGAATTTCGGTGACGGCATCAGCCTCGCCTCGGCCTGGGGCTTTACCATTGTCGCATGCGCCGCATTGGTCTATAGTGTGGTCATCTACTACTTGCGCGTGCAGATGATTCGGAAACGTAGGGCGAGTATTTCCCGGTATTATGACAAGTACGGCACCACGGCGCTGTGCATGGGTCTGTTTGCGGCGACGGCGGTCAGTTTTGGCTTCAGGATCAGAGAAGATGGATGGTTTGGATGATTGCGAGCCTGTCTTGCAGGGACGAGAAAAGAGAACAGACCCGCTTGAAACATGGGTGCCTCTTTGTTGCCTTTCTCCTCGATGATTGCACAGTGCCCGAAAACGAAAACGAAAGGAGAAAAACAAGACCAGGAGTGAAGTCCGGCCGGTACCACTGCTCCCAAAGAGCATATGGACTGTATTTGATTATCATCATTATCAGGATAATATGTAGACCTGACCAACCAGACTAGTTGCCTGACAAAGCTATCTTATAGAAGACCTGGCCATGTCGGAGAAGACATTAGCCAGCATCCTGGATTTCGTTACGTTGAGACCTGACATTCCTTGTGCCCCAAAACTGTACTGCTTTGCTCATACTGCATTCGACCATCACCGTCGCCGTCACAGTCAAGACTCGATGGCACCAGGCCAGAATTGCCGTGAGGACAACACGCATGATACCCACGCCGAAACCAGAAACCCCCTGGCCCCTGATCACAGTGATGATTCCCTTTGAATTGAAGAATCGACCAGTCCGCAGAACAGACAGGATGGATCATTTCCTTTGAGTCATAGTCGATCCAATCAATGATAATCCCCGTAGATACCGCGACAAGGCAAGACTCGAACTTCGGTTTCAATCATCTTCGATATCGTCGTCTGAGATATACAGTTTTTCGACAGTCACTGTCATCGAAGTCGAAGGTTCATTTCCGTGTCCTTGTAATTGTCCCTGCGTATTCCCGGTTCGATTTCCGTGAGTAGTCGAGGTGCTTGCATTGATAGACGGCCCGCGACCGCGATTCGGTCCTGCTGCGACCACAGAAGGGACGGACCCGTATGTATATGAAGTAGCATTCGTAGTCGCATTCGCCCTCGTCGGGCCAGTCATCGTATTTGTGCCAATTTTGGATGCTGAACCGGTAGCTGCGTGCGCAAGGTTATCGTGATCATCGGCGTCTAGTCGTTCTGCGTCCGCCTCCGCCTCCACTTCTTCTCCAGTAGCGGACGTGAGGAACGCGCCTGGCTTGAATCTCGTGATGCGTTCCAGCACATTCGTCGTCGTCGTGGAGATCGCCGTGACAGGAGTGTCATGCTGCTTCCTAGCGCCCAAGATGCGAGTCATGTACGGCAACATCTCACAGACCAGAGTGTCTTTGGGGCGATGAACAGGTCGGGGATCAAGACTTTCTTCGCTGTCGTCGTTGCTATCGTCCCCTTGGAGGCCTGGTTCAGACTTGATTGTTGGAGCAGACGTCGGCCCAAAGGCTCTGCTCTGCCAACTCGCGACGCCGCCATCACCACCACGACCATTGCCAGCACCAGCAGCAGTCGGCAAAGCTGACGAATTGCCAAATCCAGAACCAAACCCAGAAACGGAGCCAGAGCCATGGACAAACATGTCAATCAGACTTTCCATTTCCTCTCTAGGTTTCCACAGTCTTAGACTCGCTGGATAGAACATCTTGAACGCGTCGCCCTTCTTGCCGCCCGGCGGACTCGCTCGATTGACAGGATACGGTAGATTGAACAGCAACCCCCTCGTCGCGACATGAAAGCTGATTTCATCCTGACGCAGCGTATCCGAAGAGCCCGCCTGCAAGCTCGCTTGGACGAGGGAAGCATTCGGATTCGAGGTGGCACGCCGTGATGGTCGGCTCTCCGGATTCAGGATGTCTGTGGTCGAGAGAATATCCGCACATCCATCGAATGACTCCTCAAAGCTGTCGCCGTTGCAGGAAAGGATGTAGTTCTGGTGTAGAGTGGAGATGAAAGTCTGGATATCTGTCCCCGTCTCATTGAGGAGGGCTTCGATATCGACTTGGGAAGCCTTGGGCGTGTACGAATGCATCAAATGGTCCGGCGGCTTGGGTGGCGGTTCTGCTCGGGTGTCCAGGACTCGCGGGTCTTCGCGCTTGTTGTACACGATCTTGCCGGCTGCGTGGAACATGTCCAGAGTGGTCTCGCGCTGGGTCACGAGCTGGAGCGAATTCTTCTCCATTTCCGTCAGCGGTATGCGGTCTTTGTCCTTTGCGGTCTTCTTCGGTTTGGCTGCGATTGTGCCGGACCATTCGGAGCCATCGCCGCCTCTCAGACAGAGAAACTCCAGAGAGTTGACTGCGCTCCGGACATCGCCCATCTCGGCCAGCCGTTGCATGACCGCGGGACCTGGCATGCGGCGTCGGCGAGAGTCTCTGGCCTCCTTTTTCATGACTAGATCGAGAGCCTTGGTCACAAATGTGGCTGCCACAGGGTTGAAATCCATCACTGTCACGAAGGGATGGTTCAAGATGTCCGGACCGAGGAGTCTGTGAGCTGTGAAACTGTCGCTCATGGCTGTGGAGGAGGACAGCAACGTCTCAGAAATGATCATGACAAGGGGTGGAGCGCTTTCATCAGAATGATGCTGGGAAGGGAACGTCGAGGCGACCGTCTTACTTCGGGCTAGAAACTGTAGGATGACCGACCTGAATGACTGAAGCGCGCCAGAGTACGTCGATATCGTCGCCGGGAATTCTTCCACCACAAGCACTCGATGCCCAGGTTCCGCGACCGGGGAGGTTGAATTCAAGGAGTCGTGGTCAAAAGCGAGGCTGCCGAACTGGCCTCCACGGTTCAAAAACTCGTCAAACTGATGTGCAATGGAACTGTTGGCGCCGGAGTCGGACACGACAGGATTGTGCCATGGTACTAGGTGCAAACCCATCGCTTTCGCAAGCAACGCCAGGGTCGTGGTCTTTCCACTGCCTGCAGGTCCTTTCAGGATGAGCAGTTTCTGGTTGTTCCGCCCAGTGATCTTGCCTTGCAACCATCCCTGGACATCGGCCACCTTCTTCTTGTGCACGACCAGCTCTTCAAGATTGCTGGGTCCATATCGATCAGCCCACGGTAGATGGTGAAGCTCGGCGACAGGTTGCGGCTTATCTGCTCGGGTACTAGTAGTCGGTCGACCAGAAGTTGCCGGCTTGAAGAATCGCTGGCTTGGTGCTAGACTTCCTCCATTGGCCTCACCCTTTTGTTTAGTTATGGGAGGTGCGAGAGGTTGAGGTTTCAGTCTGCCAGATGAAACGCTTGCATTGTCTGTCTTGACCCCGAGTTCCTGTAGCGTTTTGTCGGATAGTTCATCGTCTTCTATGGCATCGTCCAGCTCTCCATTCGCCCAGTCCAATTCTGGTGTGGCCGACTTCTTCCTCCATCTCTCTTCTTCACTGATCTTGCCGAAGAAGGAATGTAACGATTTGGACTTCTCGGGCTCGGTAGGTTTGGTACTCTTTCTTGCTTTCTCCGGAGAAGACTTGGGGGATGGTTTGGGAGCGGCTCGTCGCGTCGTCGGCCTCCCTTTGCCCGCTTTGGCCGGTGATGTTGTCAGGGAAGTCTTTCCATCAAGGGTAATCTCACGCTGGGCAGCCTTCGGGGCTTTCGAAGAAGGCACCTCAAAATCGTCGTCGCTATCGTCGGAGAGGATAATGGTAGATCTGCGCTGCCGTTTGGCAGGTCGTGGAGCCATTTGCGGGCATCCTGAACATGTATCTCTACATGGAGAGAGTGGCTTCTGTTAGTCTGTTGGTTCGCCTATACAAAGAGCGGGCAACGAGAGACTGCGTTTACAATCAATGATGCTGAATGTGGTGAATGATTTATTTCATTATTTGGTTTAATGGCAGTGGATGCGGGTGCACGTGACCGTCGCCTCGCCTTAAGTGTTCATGGCGATGGGAGAACAGTAGGAACTCCCTGCCACCAGCAAGGTGTCAGCTCCATATAATACTTGTTTGTCAATGAGGCTGGAGCATGTATTTTCTAATCGTAACCTTTCAGGAATGTCTCTATTGTTCAGCCTCGGTTGAAGAGCCCATCAACCAGATTGTCCCAAAAGCCCAGGTCATAAAGATTCTCGACTTCCGCAATGGACTTGACCTTGACCCATCGCTCATCAGGCTCTTCTTTGGGTTGGTCGGGATCCGTGTGTGATGCTTCCCCCACGATCTTCTTCATCGGTGGCTTGCCATTCTTTGTCCGGATCATCCACCATTTGGCCCTGACTCCCGCCGGCCATCTGACTTGTTCCTCCCGAGGCTCGACATCTTCAGGCAGTGGCGGATAGCTTTCTCTGATCCTGCGCATCTCGGCTCTGTAAGCCATACCGTCCGCGATGTCCTCCTTCCACTCCCCCCATTTGGCACTCTCGTTTGTAGTCATTCCCGCCCAAAGCAAGTAGACGTGGTAGATCAGAAATGCCACCGCGAGTGGACATGACATGACTGCCAGCATCATGACGGCACCGATGCGCCATTCCCTGCTGATCACCCAAGCCCAGCAGTTCGCAAAATCACTCCAGGTCATTGTGGTGCTCCAGCGTTTCGCAGTAAGACTCCCCTTTGTGAGAGCAGCAGGAACGAACCTCTGCTGTAGTTGTGCATCTAAGACCAGATAGCCGAGGATGGCCCCGTAAGCCAGCAGAACGGCTATACTGACTAGCAGGAGGTTGAACCACAGGTAGTTGTTCCGGCCGACACAGTTGTTGATCCAGATGCAGTGATGATCCTGTTTCTGGACACACGCCTTGCAGAGAGAACAGTGCTTCGAACGAGGCGGCTTCGCGTGGCGACAGGTGCTGCAGAAGTAGCCCGGGTGGAAGAGAGCGTAGTCATAGGGATACGCAAGCATCGAAGAGCGGTGGTTTTGCGCAGTGATGTTGCTGGAGGTCGTGGTTGACAGATAGAGAAACACCAAGGGCGCGAGGACCAGGGGAGGCAATGCCACGATTTGAGATGTCGAGAGTCGCCCCCATGCCGCTGGGATGAAGAGAAGCTCTGAGATGACTTGTAGCAACACGAAAAAGATCTATCCATAACCATATAAGCCCATAACGCTGACGACAGTAGTCAACACATACCAGAACCAGTGGGTGAGCTTCATTCATAAGATAGTCGCCCGTCCGAGCGAGGCTCCGGGTGATGCGGCGGTCGGTCACTCGGTCATCCACCGCGATGAAGCCATTGGGGATGTGCTTCCAGAGCAGTCGGTGCAGGAAAGCAACAGGCGTACGTCTAGAGAACAGGCTGGGTTCAGCAATTGACTCGTCTCACACAGAAGCGCCGTCTTACCTGAAGATGGGCAGCCGGCCAAAGAGCGCGACAAAGAGCGCGAACGAGATACTGAGGATGACGATCGCAATCGTTCGGATGACACTCATCTCAGTACCATACAGGAGGGAGGATTCAGCGGCTCCCAAATTGTAGAAGTTGTAGACAGAGAGATGTATAGGACATAATGTTGTTGCTTTCAGTGGCTGTTTATTTGGTCAACGACGATGATTGGGCGCCTGACTGATATATACAGCCACAGGCAACCACCGTGTGAAAGAGTACTGTTATGTTACTCTGTATCTCTTCAATAGATTAAAATCCCATTGCATTCATTCAATCGCTTTCTTATTCACACATCACGGTAACTACGGTAACTTCGAATTGACCTACTACCCAGCACAATTCGGCTTCTTCTAGCAAGCCTCGCTATTCCATTGATCGTGTGCTGCGTAAACTCGTCCGCCATTAGAAGACAAGCAACAGCATGCATGGTCAGAACCCTCATTGACAAACACCCAGCCGCCGTGATCCATTCTTGTCCAACGCCGCCCAGAGACCAACAGACTCCAAACCGAACTCGTAGATTGCGCTCAACCACCTGTTGAAGTTGAATCATGCCCATTACCTCCTTTCACGCGTGCATACTTCTGGTCTTCCGATGATAGCCCTCGTGGTGGCCGCTCCTCGACTTGACCGGACTACTGGTCTGACTGATGCCAGCCCCGGCATGGTAAGTCTCTGTTCGCAGGTGACCCGCGCTGGGTCTCGGCAAATGTGAAGGCGTCGATGCTTCGGCCTGCAACTTCTTCTCTCGCTTGAGGACCAGATCGGCCCAGCCCTTGACTGGAGCAGAGTTTCCCGGGACACTCTGGCCGACCGCCTCTGAGAGGACCTTCATCCACTCATCTTTTTCCGCTGGAGAGTCGGCATAGAAGTCAATAACTTCGCCATTGGCAAAGCGAATCCGGAAGCCCTCCTCCACGAACATGTATCCTTCTTCTTCCTCGGCAAACCCACTCTTACGTCGACCGCCACCCTTGGTGGGAATCTCTCTTTGCGTGAGGCTGGATTTGTCATCGATGAGCCGTGTGGCTTTGGCAAGGTTGATGGTCGCCCGTGGTTGAAGGGTGGTCTCGTGGAAGGCGGTCAACTTGGAGCCGGCAAGCTTGAAGAATCGTCGTCGCCAGTACTAGACTTTGTTAGCTAGACACTTCATCGAGTCCGTCGCTCAGATCACTTACCGGGCAATCGCCTCCTTGTTGACTCAAGTAGCCTTCAAAGCTCTTGATATTGGCCTGCTGCTGCATCCGGTCTTCCGCATCTCGAAGTGCCCGAATTGCACCATTCATGCTTTTGGGCATGTCTTCATCCTTGGCCCCCTTTGGCTTGGGCACGTACAACAGCTGCAGCTCAAGCTTGCCTATTTCATACGGTGGACGCCGTCGCAGCTGTGTCACTCCTTTCTTGCTCCTCGAACTGCCGACGTATACCTCTTCCAGAGCCCATTCGTTGAAGCAGGTAATGTCAACCGTGTACGGTCTGCCGTATGCGTGCTTCTCATGCTCGCTCAGGGCGACGTAAGCACGAGCAAACGAACCGTCCTTTGCAACGAGACCTTGTACCATTTCGTATGCCGACGGTGGCGTGACAGGTCTTCGCACAGCTTGGGCTTCCAGTTGTGCCCTCATTTCCAGTTCCTTTTTCTTCTTTGGCGAACCAAAGAACCTGCCAAAGGCGCCCTGCTTCTTGGGCGAGGGGGGTGGTTTGGAAGGAGACTGGGGTCGTTCAACCTTTGGTTGTTCCAACTTCATCTGGAGCGTGAGTTGGAATTCCAGATCATTTAGAACGACCAGCTCAAACTCCTGTCCGATTGGCGCTTTACGAGCAAGCTCCAGCCAAGCAGTCGTCACACAGTGCAGCCCATTGTCGAGGGTGAGAGCAAAGTAGGTACGTTCATCTGTCCGTGGTCAGTCACATCTGTAGTCAGAACTGCACGTAGAGGTGTCAACTCACGTCGAGGAAACGGCATCTGCAAGTCTTTGACACCGACAACTTTGACGAACAGCCGACCACGTTCGGCGCCGTCCTCCCAGTCCTCTTCCTCTCCGAGCTCGTCTTCTACCACTGACTCAAGACTCTCTTGGGCATTGCTTGCTTGGCCCGGCAGAGGCGGGACAGCACTCTCGACTGGTGGTTTCCTCTTGCTGACTGCCTTCTCACCGCCAACCCGAATGCTCTTCCGTCTGATCTTACCATTCCAGGGTTCGGTGCTCCATGTGGGCTGACTTGTCTTGCGAGGAGACGGCTGAACCTTGTTGGGCGGGAGATTCGGCGGTGCTAGCGAATTCTCATCATCCGCGCTGGGAAGGACGGGGGATTTGCCTTCATCCTCCACGGCAATACGTTCGCTTGCAACGACAATCTTGGTGTTCTGTCGCATCACATAACCTCTCTGTCGGTGGGCGGATCGATTAGCAAATGAGTCTTCATCAAGGGATGCAGCAGGGGTAACGGGAGCGTCTTTGCCCGGTAGAGCGCGGGCTCCACGGGGCTTGGGTAGCAGAGGGATGTTTTCCAGGGGGTTCGCAACCTTCGAGCCCTTCGTGTCAGGGTACTCGCTAGATGGGAAACGTCCGTTGAAAGGGTAGTATAGGCGCCGCAACGAGAGTTCGAACTGTACCTTTTGGGCTTCTACAACGCGGTCAAACTCCTTCTCCAGGCCCAATCCGAGACCTTCATCCAGTTCGTCATATGGGATGTCCAACTGTACCAAGCTGCTGACTCGCTTGTTTTCCCTTGGCTTACTTTCGGTGGTGACACGTAGTTCCTCACTCCCTGTGTTGTCCGCAGGCTCAGACACGGGAGACTCGGCTTCACGATTAAAATCAGACGAGATTGGTGAGACGGGGGAGGCCTGTTTCCCATTGACCACCACAGATCCCGTCTCAGATGGGGAGACCGATCGCTCACTCTCTGCTTCCGGATCAGCGCCTGCCTCGGGCGCGTTCATGTCCTTATCCTCCGGGAATCCAGAGTCTGCAGTGGAGTGTTGAACCACCGAGCTTGGAGTTCCGGGGGTCGCTCTGTCCAGCTCCAGTCTCAGTGGGCTGTGCTGCCGTCTTGTCTGAACATCAGGGGTGTACGAGCGCTGGATCGACTGGCGCAACGCCGCAAGATCAGGGAGGTCCGTTGATGGTGGATCTACGACGGCAGTGTGTACCTTCTCCTCCTTCTTGATAAGATAGGGGCCGAAGCCCATGTCGAAGCTATCCTCTCTGCCGAAGTCAGGGAACTCAGGCAAGGACACACGATGGTCAGACTCCGCAGCTCTCGAGATTCTTTCTGGCACTGGGCTCTGAGCCTTGGGGGTGTCCTGGCCTTCGTTCTGAGTAGCTGGAGGTGCCACAGCTAGAGAGGCTTGTGAATACTGGCTCGTGAGATCATCGTCCTGGTTGGCGCTGGTCTCCGATTCCGACCCGTCACGGCCAATGTACATGTCTGCAATGGAATACAGGTCTTGTTCCTGCAGGTCCTCCTCCTCCTTGATGCGAGGTTGAGTGGGATCCTCCAGGGACGGGATTGGAACGTCTGGATCGAGTGGAGATCGGCCTCGGTGGCCCGAAGCCTCAGACACATCCTCGCTGCTTTCTCGGCTGTCTTGGTCACGCAGGCCAGACAAGATGGACGCCCTCGAAAGCTGCGGTGTAGAGTCTCCAGACTCAATGATCTCCGGACCAGGCTCGCCGTGATCGACCGAGATGTCCTCCGCACTGGCACTGCGGACGGGACTGGACTCTTTGGATCCCATTCTCCTCAGCCGGCGTTCTCTCTCTTGGTCCTGAAGGGCCATCAGGCGGAGTCGATCCTCGACGGACAGAGAGCTCGAGGTGCTCATCTTCTGGATGTCAGTTTTGGAAATCCCCGCGGGCATGGGCGGTGTCGGGAGAGAACGATGGGCGACACTCATTCGTTCAAATGCGCCGGACAGACTCTCACCCCTGGAGTGGCCATGAACCCCTGTGGGTGGAAGTGGTGGAAGCGGACGGACGTGCCCGTCAGAGTCGACGGAACCTGCACTGGTTTGATGTGGGCGAGATGCCATGGTGCTGGGCTTAGCAGAAGGAGCCGGACTCCCGCAGTCTTCTTGGAAAACATCCTCATCATGACGAGCCAAAGCGGTGTTGGCGGTTTCAGGGCTCATGAAGCGCCAATCTTCAGGCAGCACCACGGGGGTCTTTGCGGTATCTTCCAACGAAGCATCAAAGCTGTCATCATGGTCGGCGGACGACCCTCGCTCAAAACTTGGTTCTTCTTCCTCATCATCGTCCTCGGTAGTGTCGTAGCTACCCTCTCGGGATCCAGAAGCACAGGACTCGGACGGCGCGGGCGTCGTCATTTCATATTCATTGACCTGAGGAGGGGCCTGGTCAAAGGTGACGCTCTTGTGATGGCGATGCAAGCCCCGACCTTCAGGAAGCTGTTTGCCTTCAATGTCATCCTCATCTTCCCAGATGCCTTTCTCTGGGTCAAACCCACTCCGTCTGAATCCCGCGCCGGTCTTTTTGGAGAGCGATGATTTGGCAGGTGAAGTGTTGAATCTGCTTGGTGACAGAGGTGCGACAATGGCTGTCGAGTCTTTGTGCTCTGGCTGCATCTGAGTCTGCACGGGAGAACTATATCTGTTGGATGGAGCGACGTTTTCTTTGCGAATCGCATCGGCCCCACGGAAAGGCGATTGTTGTCGGGAGTATTGCATGCTATGCGGACGCCCGTCAAGAATCGCCGGACGCGTGGGGTCGTAGCGATTGCTCTGCTCAATGGCGAACATACTGCTGTTCTTGACCCGCGAAGCCTTCTTGAGATTCTCAATCGACGATCGTTTCTTTGGAGAGACAGAAGGGGGAGGGGGAGGGGGACTTTCGAATCCGTGGTGGACTTCTCTGGCAGGGGAGTTGGGATCCCGTCCCTGCCAGAACAGACGGGGCGAGGTGTTTGTGAAAGGAGACGATCCGGCTGGAGAGGTTTCGGTGGCCAACAACTTGCCCTGCGACTTGTGAGATGAAGTTGTTTGAATCGACGACGCAAGAATCAAGACAGGCAAAAACAACGTACTTTGACTTGAGGGAAGCTCGGAGAGTTTCGACGAATGGCCATAGGACTCAACTCTGACAAGGGGCGATTGGTTACTCGGGGCAGCTTGGATGGCGAGGCACCATTGCTGCCCTTCTGGATACGTAGCGGTGGAACCTGTGGGTGACGATGTCAGCAGACTCTCTTGAGGAGGGGTGCGGCAAAGGACGTCGAGGTCAACGTCAACAATGACAATCGCACGTACCTCCGACGCCATGGCGGCTAGAACTAAAACAATGGCGTTGTATTCGATGCTCAGACACGCTCAGACCACGAATGATGGATGGAATGAACAGTGCGTCGGCGAGGAATGAATGACAGATGGCTCCAGCCTGGAGTTCGGCAGACCAGCCGCGAGCGCAGGTTGAATGCTTTTTCTTGAAGGAAAAGACTGTGTGAAGAGTCGAAGGGAGAGCCGCACAGACTGCGGCCGCAATGTAGACCGCTTCAATTGAGCAATAAGAGAGGAAGATTGCAAGAAGGGAGAGAGGATGGAGTCGAACTGCTTCACAACTTGCACTTGGTATTATTTACTAGCAGCCAACAGCAGCAGTGGTCGTACTACTAGTGGTGCAGTGGGTGATGGTAGTGTCGGGGCCCCTTCAACTTCGCCTCAGGCTTGTTGTATGTGTGACCGTCAAACTTCAACTTGAAAGGCGTTTCGCGTCCAGTGAAAGCGGGGGAAAACAACGGCCTGCGTAGTAAAGGGCAACCATGCTTTAGTGCCACTACAGATCGACGCTACTCCAGAAATGGAATTCTAAGAAAAGTTTCGAGACCTACACTACATCTTTTTGTATGGCGCAGACGAGGCATCACTGGCAGTGATCCAGGACATCCATCCCGTCTCTCCTGATATATCAACCTCCCAGTCCCATGTCTTCCTCGGCTGCCGTGTGTCCGGCATGTCAGCTCAGAGCCCTCCTCTCTGCTTTGAGCCCCTCGGTCCGGCAATGGCAGGGCCAAAGAACCATGGCCTCGGCCATGCGTCAGCGCAAGACACCCTCCAGAATGACTCTCAGTCAAGATGTCAGCAGGACGCGGACAGAGAACAAAGGACCGAAACGAGAAACTGCAGGTCCATTCGCTGGAATGAACCAGACAGAGGCGAGGCTTCCTGACCGAAGAGCGCCTCGCGCAATCCCCTCCCGGCCCAGAATGGCTCTGCGGACAGAAATCAGGAAGCGCACGTCGCAGCCCCGGCCATCGACTGCAACCACCGTTCTTGACCCCGAAAGCAATGCGACAGCCGGAACAGGAACCGCAACCACTGAACTTCCGAAAAGGAAGACCAGCGCGAACAAAGACAAGGACGAGAGGCCCCTCTTCCACGCTCTGAAGATGCAGCAGACTTTAGCACCCCTGTCCTACAACCAACGAGACAAAATAAAAGCCAAACTGGAGAAGATCAATTCCTTTGAAGAGCTAGGGCTGATGCCTCCGGTGTCGAGCGCGGTGTATACGCAAGTCCTGCCCAGTTTGACGGAATACGTGCCGACGCCGATCCAAAAACTGGCGATTCCAGCGCTGCTCAGCAAGAAGAACGAATTCCAGAAGCAGAAAAACGCAGACGGCCAGCCCAACTTCGACCAGGTGCTGATCGCCGCTGAGACCGGGTCCGGCAAGACTCTAGCGTACTTGCTACCGATAATCCACCACGTCAAGGAGCAAGAGGAGCTGGACCGGATTGAAGAAGCGGAACGCGAGGCCCAGGAGGCCCAGGACAAGGAAGACCGAGAGAAGCGCCTGGTCTTCGAAGCCGATCCGTCTGAAGACGAGCCGAAAATCCACCCGTCGATGGGCCGACCACGGGCCCTGATCCTCGTTCCCTCCTCGGAACTCGTGGCCCAAGTGACCAAAGTGGTCAAATTGCTCTCACACACGGTGAAATACAAGTCGGCGGGGATCTCGGCGTACAACAGCCCAACGGTGATTCGCAACCGGCTGTTCAACCCGAACGGGATCGACATTCTCGTGTCGTCGCCGCATCTGATCGGGAGCATTGCGAAGAAAGAGCCCAACATCCTGTCTCGGGTGCAATACCTGGTCATGGACGAGGCCGATTCCCTATTTGACCGATCCTTCAGCGAGACGTCATGCGCCATCATCGACCGGGCGGCGCCGTCTCTGAAACAGCTGATCCTGTGCTCCGCGACGGTCCCGAACTCGCTCGACCGCTTCATCGACCGTCGCTTCCCCGAGTGCAAACGCATCGTCACGCCGAAACTGCACACCATCCCACGCCGCGTCCAGCTCGGCGCCGTCGACATCGACAAAGACCCGTACCGGGGCTCTCGAGATCTCGCCTGCGCCGACGTCATCTGGACGCTGGGCAAGGCGGTGCACGAAGACCTGAACGCGCGCAACACGGTCAAACATATCCTCGTATTCGTCAACGAGCGCGAACGGGCCGAAGAGTTGGCCCGTTTTCTGGCCAGCAAGGGCATCGACGCCGTCGCCTTGACCCGAGACACCACCGAGCAACGACAAAACGAGATCCTGTCGACATTCACGGCATCCACGGCCGTCGAAGGGTCCGAGAAGCCCTCGACCGGCAACAAGAAAAACAAGCTGTTCAACGACTTTGTGCCCTTCGACAGCTCCACGTCTGACCCGTCGGCCTCGTCGTCGAGCGGCGGCAAACCTACACGTCATCTGCCCGACACCAAGGTGTTGGTGACCACGGACTTGGGATCACGGGGCGTCGACACGCTGGCCGTGCGACACGTGGTGCTGTATGATGTGCCGCATACCACGATCGATTTCGTACACCGGCTAGGTCGACTGGGTCGCATGAATCGCCGAGGCAGGGCCATTGTGTTGATGGGCCGACATGATCGGAAGGATATTATCCGGGAAGTCAGAGAGGCCATGTATAAGGGACAAGCGTTGATATGAACGTCGTCGATCGATGGGCATTTCGACCACCCTCACTCGTTGTCCTGACCGCCTGCTCAGGCCATTGTACAACAATCACACATCAATACGTACGACCTATGATCGCACTCATACATCACGGCATGTAAAACTACGCAAGCGACTCTTCATCTCTCATACATAAAATTGTGATGAATAATCAAAAGCATCTTACTTATTATAACCCTCCGCAAGCATTTCATCTAAATCTGAATCATGTAGAGGCTATCTTAACCAAACCAAACAAGGACCCGAGCAAGACTTGAGAAGTCAAAAGACTACTGTCCTCCCACTGTGCGAACAAGAACCCATTCAATTTCTTTACAAGATTAAGGTGGTGGTGTCGAGGTTCAAGAGAACTAGTATTCTGGTTTTGTACTGTTTTTCCTTTTCTGCTTCGAGATCCAAGGCAGATATATGGTGAATAGCTTATCAGATGGGGTGTAGATATCTTCCTTCTCCTTCCCTTCTCTTCTGTCTTTCATCCCGTATGCCACCGAGTAACCCAAGCCATCCAAGCGACTTTTTTCAGATACACCGTGTCTGTGATGCATTGAAAATATACCATAAGTTTTTGACCGATTCCAGTTTCCATTGTAGACCAGTCCATTCCGTTTCTGGCCAATTCCTGACCCCTAATCCCAACCCCAATCCCAAATTCAATGTCCATCATCAATGTCCAAAACTGCCGATCCAGCTCCCAGTCGGCCTGACAATATCGATAGGAACACTGCCCGCCCCGAAACTGCTGCCTAGCCCAGCCTCACTGTCGGCTTTCTCGTCCACGCCTCCATCTTCGGAGATCGGATCAACCTCGAGTTCCAGCTCAAAAGGTTTCTCGCGCAACCCGGGACTGGCCAGTTCCTCATCTAGTTCAAAGAATCCAACCCCGCTGCCGCCGTCGTCAGCCTGGTCAAGACCCTTGGCGAATCCGGATTCGTCTGGAGACGCGAGGAGCGAACTCGAACTTCCCTCGGTGGTGGGAGACGGCGACGGACTGGGCAAAGGTGATGGCATGGGGGAGAGGAAACGACCTGCTCGCGCTCGCTTTCTATCCTTTACGACGGGTAGTTTCAAATGCTTGGGACTGCCTTTTCTTCGCGCACTGATGGTTCCACCCTTGCTGTGAGAATGGCCCCGATCATGACTGTTTGTCCCATCTTCAATCACTACCTCCTTGTCTGGACTCAACGCGGGGCTTGGACTCTCCTCGTAACTGCTGCTCGGATCGACGACCGTGAAATCCGCCAGTTGGAAGTGGACATGTTTCCCCTTTCTCGCTCCGCTTTTGGACGATCTCAGCGCACTTGGTAGGCTGCCACTAGATAGTTCGCCGGTAGATTTCGCCCTCTTGCTGGCAACGATAATGGTGGGGGAGACGGGCTGTGGCGGTAGGGATTGTGAAGATTCTAGTATTGGTTTTTGTCGTTCGGCTTCTTTTTTGGTGTCCTCGTCCAATTGACGAAGTTGTTTCGTTTCCTCTTCCTGAGTGGTCATGGGTTTTGGACTGTAGACGAATGGGGGCCGGTCACGGGACTCGAGCAGCGGAAGATAGGCCGGGGTGAAAACACCAGCGAAACTATCCGTTCTGTCACTCGACGGAGTAGGAGGTCGACGTGCCGATTCGGTCTTCGATCGTGGAGGAGTCGTGTTGCTCGAGGTGGTAGGAGAAGACCGAGAATTTGTTCTGGAGAGTAACAAATTCGCAGGAGGCGTTGCCAGATCACCCGAGGACGGCAGCGTTTCGCCTGTGATGTTCAACTTGTCAATCGACAGAGTGGCTTTACTCAACGGTGCCGGTTTGACGGTTTTATCCCCAACATCATCTCCTGCTCTTTTGGCTTTATATCCCGTCGAACCGTTCGAAGGGCCGCCAAGTTGCGTCGAGGCCAGCAAAGTCAGAACGGCGGTACTGGTGGCTGACGATGCAGAGTTCTTGTCCACGGAGCAGCTTTGGTGGTTACTGTGGGCTCCCCGAGGCTTTGTCCGGTTCATACGCAATGCCTTCTCGAAGTCCCGAAATTCCCGATCTTTGGCCGCCTTGAACCTTGCAATTTCCTCATCAAGCTGCCGTCTCTTTCGATCGAGGGCGTCAAGGATGTCGGACTCGGAATCGCTGGTGCTGTCCGGCGAAGGAGGAGCATTTCTCGGTATATAATTGAGTTGGGCGGAGTTTCTATACATTGCGGACACGTGCAGTAATACTGCGATGGGACCCTGTCTCCCTCTTACGGATATCAAGCCACGACCTCAAGCTGCGAACGCCGGAGGGTAAGTGAGTGAGTGAGATCGTGCATGAAGGCGTGATTCTTGCTGTTAGGAGGAGCCGGACCTAGTAATGTGATCACGAAAAGGTTGAGCGAGAGAATTAAAATTTGCAGAGCAGTTGCGTCGGTTTGTAGACAATCCAAAAACGATCCTCAGGTACACGACCGTGTCGACGACGCAGGGATGCCGGAAGAATTGGAGGCGATGACGCAGGTGTGCATATGCTTGTTGGAAGAGCGGCGCCGGCGGAGTGGGAGGATGGGAGGGTGGGAGGATTCCAAGGGTGACCTTGTTGAAGCAGCCTGTCAGGGAAGGTCGTTGTTCTTGTTCCTTTGATGTCTTGTCGAGAGTGGGAGGAAGAAAGTCCCGGGAGATGGATAGATGGATAGATGGAAAAGTTTTGTATTAGACAGGGCGGACGAAGGTTTCCGACCTTTTGATTCTGCCGACAACGCCGACACTGAACTCCGCCTGCAACAGCGGCGTACTGTGTACGTGGTTGTTGTAAGAACTCTTGACACCGACACGAGCGAGTGGGAGTCGAGTGGCAGTGGGATGGAGTTGGTGTTTGCGTATGAACCCGAATTTTGTCTCACCCACGGACGTGTGGCAGTGGCTTCGAGTCCCAATTTTCGGGGGGTTCGGGGAAAAGAAGCTCTAGCGGAATCCAAGCTGGAAAATACTCGAAGCAGAAGTTTCTCCTCCACTTTTCCCGAACTTTTACTCTTTAGACGTTGTAGTGGCGGTCAGGAGGGAAGATGAATGGTGGAATTGGAGGCGGATGCGGATGTGGATGGCGTCGTTCGGCGTGGGCGTGGACAGTGCGGGCGCAGGGGCCCGATCGATATATTACGGAGTATCGAGTCTGTGCAGAGGAGGCCGGACGAGACTGATAGATAGTAGAGAGGCGAGCGAGACGTGGGAAGAAGGAAAGAAGAAAGAGAAAAGAAGACAAAGAAGATGAAAAGGTGCAAGCTGTCAACAGGTACAAGGAAGAGGATGGATTCGACTCGATCCGGATCTTGACTCCTGCTCCTGATGTGAGTCCTGTATGTCAATAATGTATGAGGCGAGCTGCTTGAACCAACACCGGTTTAATATGGAGAAAGATGTAGTTGTTCTGTATCAGTGGTGGTGCTAATGAAGTGCGTGCTCCATTGCGGTGGGTATCTGGAGAGTCCAGATGCAGTGGAGGTGGTGAGAGAGACGCTGCGATGGTTTGATTGATGCTGATGGGCTGATTGACGACAGCAAGCGATGAGCGGCGAAGATTAAACGAACACCGTCAACAACAGATGAAGTCGAGGACTCGAAGGATTCACGATTTCAAGGATCCGACGATTCCAGATACCTGGAGCCGAGGGACAACCACGAATTGCACGATGAAGAAAGAGTGGGATGATATGCAATTGCCTGCGTCTTGCAAGACCGACGACGACAGACGTACTACTGCTGTGGTACCTATAGGTGCTAACGTAGGGAGGTAGTACTACTGGAAGACTGCGGGAAAAGTATTAAGCCCAGACAGCGCAGTCAGTCAAGGTATATCAGTGGGTTGCTCAGTAGTAGTAGCACGGGCACCACGAAACGAGGAATAATGGCCGGTCTAGGGTCGATGGGCTTGGGGGTCTCGTTAAGCAAAGGACAAATTAGGGGCCTGCTTTAACTAATAATGCCGGTCCTCGTTCATGTGCAAGCAGCAATAAACCGCCGATCTAGGTGATAGTGGCTGCAGCCGATAGGCACCTAACGCCTAAACAGGGGGGAAAGAGAAAGCAAGGGCCCGAAAACGTGGGGGAGCGAAGAGAGCACTCAATCATCAACAATAATGGGCAATCGTCTAAATGCCATGCTATCACAGCAATGATCGTGTTGACGATGCGTTCAATCAGGAAGTGATAGGCATGGCTGTCGCCGGCCAGTAGCCTAGGGAGCCTACTTTTTCCGTCCTCCAGGCCTTTCAGGCATCAATTTTCGGCGCCTCCGGGCACTGACCCCCTCCTAACAATCACTGTATTCTTGCTCTATAGGCGTGGCCCTTAACCAAACTCGCCCCCGTGGTACATATCCATCTGCCTCGAAAACTCCCGCAACCCCTGCCAATTTCCTCGGGCTAATCAGGCCGAGACAACCAACGGCCCAGCGACAGGCTGTCAGACATGTGATCTCAGTTCTCAACTTCCCAATCCTTGTCCTTTTCCGCCTCCTTCTTCACCGCCAAAGCGGGAATATCCAGATTGAGATTTCCGAGAGGATCCAGCCCTCCCGGATTTCGCCGAAGGCGAACGTATCACAGCAGGGCATGAGCAGTGCTGATATCAGAGATCAGATTCGTCGTGGTTGGTGTCACTGGATGTTACTCTTGTTTGTTATACTGCAGTTGGTTGAAACCTGCCAGACAGAGTCTAGGAGATGGATGCATCATCGACAACAGCAACGCGTTGGCACAGGAGGCTCCCACAGCGTTATTAGATCAGCCCCTATATTGGTCTAGATCCTGTATACACAATGTATATACCCCGTCCAGGTGAGGAGCCAGCCTTGCCTGCCCCATTTTCGACATCGAGACCCAGCTCGTACTCCCCGCTACAAGACTCTATCGCCACTACTGCCATCCACCCGGATCCAGATTCCATCCAACAAATATGAAACCCTATCAAAGAGACAACAAAGCACACTTCTCCACGAACAGATGGAAGGCGCCGGCGCCCCGTCGACACCATTCCACTTCCTCGTCTCTCCATGTCTCCTGATGAAGATGACGCTCTCCCGGACGACAACAACATACCCTGTACTCACCCATCAACGAATCTGCTCTTCCTTCATTGTGCGAACGTCTAGTTGTTTGCTTCGCTGCATCTGTCGTCTGCGGTCGCGGTATTGACGACTATATGCGTCCGCCGGGTCCTGATACTCCTGGACATCGCTAAATCGAGGCCAGTTGTATTCTTGATGGCTGACTACTCGCTGGCGATGGCCGTCCGCAGACTGGATTGGCGAGACGGGACTTAGGGTAGCGCTGCGCATCTGCTGGTGAGATACACTCCCTTGCTGTGGACGTGCAGTGGTGGTAGTGGTGGACGCTTCCATCTCGTGGATGCCCCTCCCGTTCCCATGATCAACGATAGGCGAGACTGGCGAGTGGACGAGGGCACGCCGCTGTCGCCGCCGCTCGTGATAATCTGCTTGTCTCCGCTGCTTCTCTGTATCGTCCAGGCTGCCCAGCATCGCCGTGACTTCTTCCACGAGTCCATTGTTACTAAATTCCATCGAAGGAATTCGTGGTTCTTGATATTTCGGGTGCCGACGTCGAGGAGCCACCAGGCCCACTTGGGCAGGGTTGGAGTTGAGAAACAACTCTTCGTCAAAGTCCACCAGGGGCCACGAATATCGAGGGGGCTGAGGGTCTGTAAGGCCATCTGGTTTATCATTCCCTGGCTGAGGCATGTTAGTAGTTGAATAGCGCATGCTGGGCCACAAGCGTCCAGCATGACCAGCTCGGAGCATGGGTGGCACTCCCCCTGCCCATCCGGCTTGCAGATTGGGAGGGACGTAACTTACCTTGATCTCGCCAGGATACGCTTTGAACTGTCCCGCACCTCCCCGGCCGGATGGCCCAACAGATGTGGTGGTGACAGGTATTGGGGTAGAGTCGATGAGAGGATGAGCAGTGAGTTCGGCTGCGGCTTCTGTCGATTTAACGGAGATAGCTGCATGGGACTGCCCTCGATGATGTCGTGCTTTGTTTGTTTCCACCGACACAGAATGCGACTCCAGCTCGGTCCGACCGCGCAAGTCAGAGGTAAATCGATTGAAATCATCCGGAGTATCAATAGTTGTAACATGGCCAGGTTGATTCTGACGGGTCATATTTGGATGCACACCACTGCTACCCGCAAGCAACAGAGGTTGCTGCCACTCGTTCACGAGTCCGCTGCCCGACAGAGTCGACGAGAGCGAAATTTCGCTTGTTGAAATAGCGATTTGGTTGTCCGCCGACTGCGATTTCTCAAACCATTTCGAAAAACTGGTGGTAGGTCGGGCCTCGAACGGCAACTCGTTCAAGTACTCACCCACTCGAGATGTCTGTGGAGACTTGCCCTGAGCTGGCGAACCTGACCGTGACAGATTGCCTGCCAACTTGCTGCGTCGGCTGCTGTGACTGCTTGGACTATCTCCTAAGTGGAAATCTCGGATCTGTGCCGATGGAAGCTGTTCAGTCAACTCATCATCTTTCTCAGCCTTGACACATCCCGAAAAGCATCTTCGATACCAGCTGCGGGTCGGAGTCACCTTCCGTGTCGAACCTTTGACTCGCTTCAGCAAGCTGGCCGGGTCGGGTCTCGCGGGTTGGGCAATCTGGGCTTGGTCAGGCATGACTGTCATGGTCGGTTAGGTTGAGGAGGAGTGAATATTGTAAGACGATCACAGTGACTGGTCTGCGGTGGAATCGTCGGGCTGGAATCGTCAGCCCAGGTCAACCTACCAGCAGAAAGGCGATGCTGAGTGTCAAGGGAGCCGGAGAGACTGCTGCATTTTATCAATGCAGGCAATGGAGATCGTCCATTATGTCCTCGCCGTAGATGATAGAGTCGATGTGAACAAAGACTTCTTTGCTTCGTTCTGTCTTAGAAGGCAAGACACAAATGGAAGTTGAAAGCCCAGCGTGACTTTCTTTGTTAGTCACAATGACGAAAGAACAGCTGAATTGACAAGGTCCTGAAACTTGAAGCCCGTTGCTTTGTTCCTCAGGTCACAGAATGGTCGACAGAGCGATCACAGAAAGTATATTCAAATCCAGTAGAACAAAGCCCGCGGGTTTTACAGACTCACTGTTTGTCTAGCAGGAATGGTCTCGGAGTCCTTCGAGCAGCAGACCAGCTAGACATGTGCCAGGGCACTATTCAAGAGCTGGACTAGCCATGCAGGCTCTCGAATCTTTTCGGGTGCTTGCCATGCACACATGCATCCTATAGCCTGCCATGGGTCCTTGTAGGACGTGGACGCTGAGCAACATTCCAAGGCGTAGTAATCACCATGTCGGGGATGTAGTCATAAGTATAGGATTGTCTCTCTCCATATCATAGGAAGGAAATGCAGTCTCTGGAGTGATGAGGTACTAGACGCCCTCGCCCTTCTGTTATCGCGACCGATTCGAACGTATCGTTCGCTTCGAGCCCAACAGCGAAAAAGATGAGGCGAACCGACACCGGCAAGAAGATTAGGCCCGAGTCTCCTGGAGCCAGGCAGACAGGTCCCTTACCCAAGAGAAGGAATCCCGATCATTTCTTCTATTCAACAAGACGCAAGAAGAAAAGACCTTCAGGAAAAACACCAGCGTCAAGAACAAAGGCCGACTTACCTTCGATAGACAGCGGAATAGGTTGAGCGACCGTCGAATTGTCCGCTTGTCTTTATCCTCGTGCTGGCCACGGTCTGGATCCAGTGGAATAGAGAGCTGGGCTTGATGTTTTGGAGATGCTGTCTATAGATATTCTGCAGGACTGCTCTGGCTCCAAGCCAAGCAGGGACAGCAGTGTTGGAATACCATCTCGGGAATACTTTTTCTGTATGGCCAAGAGTCTGGGCGAGAGGATACATCTCTTGTGCTCCTACCATTGTTACCCTACGCATCTGACCCATAACACCTTCGCTTGTAAAGCCATGGTAGGTCGTGTCTTTTCCAGTACCTATGTAGCTACGAGTGTTTACACTGCACTGCCGAGGTGAGGTGAATACAATTGCGCCAAGGCTGCGCTAGAGGTGAACGCACCAGTATGAGAGGTCTGGATTATATACCAAAACCGCAGAAAACTCTTTCGATTTATGGCTCCAAATCCCTTACGAAACGGAGTTTCATAAATCTGGTCGGGATGGTGTAGTGGTCATCACGTGTCGTTCACAGAAATGCGAACTTAGTACCCGACAAGGTCCCCGGTTCGACCCCGGGTCTCGACAATCTTTTTTGCTTTTTGCTTTTCACTTAACATACCTACCTAGTAGTAGACAACCAGCTCGGTAAATACGTACCTAACATATGCGTCTTTGCACTGAGAATCATCATGCTTATAAGGGCAGCTAGTCTTTTTATTGCTCAGCTACACTGATATGGGGGACGGAGTTGAAACATGCTATCTCGTAGCATACCTTACTAGGTAGGTAGGTAGGTATCTATCTGCTTCAAGGCAGACGAGTTCAATGTGAAAGTTAGGTATCCTAGGTAGTTGTGAGCGAACAGTCCGTCATTATTGACCAGTACATTGGCGCCACGTACTTGACTAGTTCTACAGCCACAAAGGCTCTGATCTTCTCATGGCGGCGTATTTTGCACTTTTTCTTCTAATGTGTTTCCACTGCAAAGCTATATCCGCGCCACAAGAGTTATCAAGGTAATAGATAGCCTTGCATCCGACGAAAATACAAGAACAAAAGCCCTGATTTTCCGGACAGTGTAATAAGTTGCTGCAAGGAGATACCTACTACCTCAATAACCTTCCTGTGCGGTTTTGACAAATTGAACTTGCGGCAGCAGGTTACACGAAAGACAGCCTTATCAAGTGGAAAGATCAAACATCCTTTCTAGATACTTGCAAGTCGGATCGCAATGAAATGATAAGAACAGACCTCGACCTTGCCTTGAAGTCATGGGAGAACATACCTCTGCCAGATCGCGTGTCATGACGCTTCGACTTTGATGGATCTGATAAGTCGCAGTGGCGGGTTGCCGCCATCTACGGGCCATGTTGTCTGGAGTGTATGGCCCTTGATAGGCATTTCCTGGCTCAAGAGAGGGCTGGTGCCAGGCCGTTGAGACCAATGCCTCCTTCTGGCAGTGATGATGCCGCAATCTTGCCATGCCGCTTTCCATCCAATCAAGGGGGGAAGACTCTGACCGATCTGGACTTCCAGATGGTCTCCCACTATCAGCCGGCGATGTTGACTTTTACCTTGACCGGATAAACATATCCCTGTACACAGATAGCCGTGGTCGATGATCCCTTCTCGGATCACCCAGTGTAAGAGCTCCAAATGCAAGATTTTGGACTAATGTCCATCTATACTTTTCTTTTCTTTTGCCAGGAGCACAGATAACGACAAGTTTACAGACTCTGCAATCGTAGTCTATAAATAACCACCAAGATAAGGCACGACAGAGTTTTGCTCCTTGAGGGTCAGAAAGGGTCGCTAGCTCACCTATCCATGATAACCTGAACGTGAAGAGACAAGGATGAAGTGATTGATAGCATCTCCATTGGGAGAGGCTCATAGACTCGCCTGCCGATTGCCTGAGCCGGTATTGCGCAACTGTCACGGTGCCCCTTCTTCGGAACTGCCAGCGACTGCTTTCTCTTGACTTTGAAGTCGATCCAGCCAGCACTGAGCGGTATTACTGCAAACGCCAGGTGTGTCTAGGCGAGTCCATCCTGGACCTGATCTGCGTGACAGGTTTGCTTGGGCGGCCCGCATTATGGCTCGCGTCACCATCTTGGTACGGACAATGTTTCCGTTTGAATCCATAGATCTCTTCGCCCGAAGTGCATATCGATGGACGATCTTGACAGGTGACAGTCCCGACGATGAGACCAAGACCAGTTGTTTAGATAGATACATTTTGACCAAGCAACCGTGATTTTCTCACCTTGCGTAAAGTGCGAAGTGACAGCATGTCCGGAGACATTGAGCTTTCTTCTCAGTAAGTATGCCACGCATTCATCAAGCTGCAAAGGAACCGCAAGCACGTGCCTGGAGCGGCACGAAAATGCTTTCTGTGGATACCCATCATGGTACCTATTGAGATAGTGTCAACATACAGCTTATCCAGCTTCGTACATGTATATGCACTAATAAGCTGGCTAAAATCTGCCCGCTGTCAAAACAATCTGAGTTCATGCGGGACGGCATGCCTAGCAGGGCGTCTCACCTGGGGTATCCAAGGAAGGTCTGAAACAGATCCAATCCGACGGTCTTCGTGCACAGAGGGCTCTCTCTCCCTGCTTGATCGATTATAAGCGAGCAGTGAGGCGGCCGTACTAGTCACTGCTGTGGCTCGGGAGCGCTGGGTCTCTCCTCGGTTGAATCGTGGCAATGACAGCCGGGATACAATCGGGAAGCAACAGCCTGATCAGGTCAGGACGATTTTCAACGAGGAGACTCGATCTGAGACAGATGCGGATGAATATTGGCCCGCGTGACCATCCTCAGGGTCATCTTGTCCTCGCGACCACCGTCAACCAAGAGCTCTGTGAGAGGTATTCGGCGAATGCGACAGCCTCTCGGCGGATGGAAATCGCGTTGTTGGTTCTTGATATATGTTGTGCAACGCGGGGGCTGTAATACTTCCGCGAGCGAGTTGGTACCCAATCGGAAGCTCGTGTCGGCTCGATTGCTATATGCAGATATTGCTATGCGAACCAATATCGAGCATAACGGTGGCACTACTTAACGATCATGACGCCCGTGAAACAACGACGAGAGTTGATGAAAGAAAGGCCCCTTGCGTCGCATGAATGTGACAGCCTAGAGTGCAATGCGATACGACTGCTGAGGCCGGGCGAGGAGAGAAGCCTACCACCTGGATCGCGGGATGGTACAATTGAATGGAGCCGACTCGTCCTTGATGCATGTTGTAGTCTCTCCTTGTGCTCCTCGTCGCCAGGTCAACGATTTCTTGGTGGGTACAACACAGCTGGCTTGAAAAGCCTGGTCCAGCCTTTGACACATCGTCAAGCAGCCTGGATTGAGCAATGTGGATGTCGCGACTGCCCGAGTGTATCTCGGTAGAGCAGCGTTCAGGACCGGGATAGCCTTGCAAGCATGGGACGCGACTTTTCAAATGTATTCGTCACCATGGTGATCTGTGCCGACCTACTTCGAAGCGTGTACAGGCCTTCGACGCGTTGAGAATTTGTATCTGATGGAGTTTCTCTGCCCCAAGTCGTTTGAACATAGATATATTGGTTGAGAAATCGACGGGTCTGTAGCACGAGATTCCACCTCAAGGCAAGAGGACATGGCGGTGCTCTTGCACCGGTCCACGTACGTTGTGGATGCAATGCCACTCACACCCTACCTTCCACTGCGTCTCCCTTTGTGAAGGGCCTGGTTTTCGTTTTCGGTTGCAGCCAGCAGTTCATGCAAGAGCGTGAGTCTCGTGTACAACACCAGTTGTGTCAAGGTTAGCAAGATTGTTTTGGTATTCTGTAGATGTCATCCGGGATTACCGACCGCGCCTCGTACCGGTGGTCTGCCGAACGAATCCGAGATGGACAACAAATGCTAGGGTTCCCCCTTACTACTGCTCATATGCAGCGCTCCAATTCGCGTGAACCTAGCGCGGCTGCGATGGCCTGACTGCGAAGGGTGCCCCCAGACCTCTATAGCCAGGTAGATAAGGTAGATAGAGGCGGGATAAAAGCCATAGATGCTGACACCTTGAACAGGCTGAGTCAGGTTGTGTGGCCCTTGGCATTTGACCTCAAGGCGGTACCCCGGCGAGTTATCGAGATCTAGACCGTGCTCACAAGAGTTTCGCTGAATCTTTGACCTGCCGCTGCAGTTGCATACTTTGTGGAGGGCCTTGCATTACTTTCAGATGGAGCATATCCAGAGGTTGCAGGATATTGTCCTGCCTTGATATTGCCACATCCCAGACAGTTCGGCCGTTCGTTGACTGAGAGATAAGCTGCTCTTCGCCTACTAGTGGATTTGAGTCAAATAGGGAGAGAGGGAGTATCTGCCGGGGACCCTGTAAGCAACGCGTTCTAGAAACACCCACATGTGTATGTTGTCAGTTGGTCGAACGGGTGTCAAAGTAACTTCCTCTGGCAGAAAGAAACCGGCTTCGACCATGGCGACGACCGCAGCAACGACTATCTTGAATGCGAAGCTTCTGCAGAAATTCGCCGAAGACACCGTGCCCCGCTATAGATTGAGTTTGCCCAGCAGATTGTCGTTGATTCATCATTGTAATCCAGTCAAAGTCTCGGAACCTGCAGTGCGCACGGACTGCAGAGCTGCTTGCCGTGAAGTTGGGGAAGTACGTAGTCTGAACTTAGAGGCAGCTCTCCATTGTACATTCAAGTTGTCTTCTGGGGTTGAGGTGGCGGGGATCTACGCTCGATGAGGCCGAACGAAGATCACCAGACGCCCAACCGAGTTCAAGAGACTTGTGATCTCTTCATATGTTCTAGGGACCACTTCCTCCTCCAATGGTGAAGCCTGATTGGCGGTCACATCGAGAATGAGTTCACGCAATTGCTGGTCTAACCACGAAGCGTCGACAAGAAGGCAGTCTCGGCAAGTAGACTCAAGGCTAGAAATGATATGGCGCAACCAAGGTGTGAGATTTTGAAATGACAGAGACTTGTCGCCCCTTCGATGTATTGGTACACCTAATACGAAGGGACCTACCTCCTCGCTTTCTTGATGAGTGAGGCTGAAGGAGGGGTCCCGCATCCAAGCGGGCTCTGCAGCGATAGTAGGTGGATGCGTATATTGCCCTGTCGCTGAGCTGGCATCGCGGCGGTTGTAGGTGCTCCTCGCATATGCCAGATGTGAAAATTCCCGTGTACGTTGAAGGGAAGAGGGATCACCGCATTGCACCCAAATTGGGTAAATGTAGACATTGGAACAGGATGAGCTGGCAACACAATTACCAGCATCTCTTTCAACTAGAACATTGGCACAACGTTTGAATGGCTCTTTCAATACTAGCGACGCGCAGAAGCAGTAACGTACGGAGAGAAAAAAAAGTCACTGACATCACTCTCGCTGAGGGCGGCTGAGGATGGCTGAGGATGGCTGGCTGAGAATTGTGACTATTTTTCGAGCTTAGCCTGATCGTGAATGACCGTTTCTTGGTTCGAAAGAGCAGTGACCGAGTTGGCACTGGTGGATGCCAGACGGGTGAAAAGCCAAGTTGGGCGACAAGGCATGGCAATACTCGCACGCATGTGCACAGTTGCTCGCCCACTTCGGCCATGGTTAGCATGGTTTTCGTGTTATCTTGCTAGTAGCGGAGGGGTTTGCGCCATGATGGGCACGAGGCATTGCAAGACTGGACGCCGCTGCCATAAGCCTGTTGTTCTCCACGACGACGTGGCTTGCAGGTCGCTTGTTGGTTGCTCTGCCACCCGTGTAGTGTCTTTTTCATGGGGTACAGGCCCCAAAAGTCCATCATGTTGAAGCAGCTGTCACCATCTGGTGCAACCATTTGAGGAAGAGCCACAGTCTGTCGGTCATCATCAAGGACCAGGGCAGCTCGCAACCGAGCGCGATTAATAAGGTGGCCAGGAGTGACAGGGGTCGAGGACGAGGACGAGGACGAGGACTCAGAGAGGAGGACGGCAGAAGAACAAGAGTTTAATGGAATTAAACGAGCAGAATGCAATATTTGACATAGTAGCACCGCATCCAAAGAGTAAGACACGGCAACAGGTGGTCGATGCGCAGTGCAGTGCATCCATGAGTGGTACCAGCTAAGGTTGGCATGATTTGGCTTGAGCTCTCGGCTGTCAAGGGGAGTGACGGCGCGGAAAAGGTACCCTCCACGGGTCCAACGACTTGTAATATTGTGACGGAGTCAAGACGCCGGTGAGTGCCTTACTGGTAGGTAGGTTCCTAGTAGGAAACAAATAAATCCCGAGCGAGTGATCGGAAGCCGAATTGGCATCTGTCACCATGAGAGAGATCCTTACTGTATGCAGAATTTCGTTTGGCCATTGTTGAATCAGGCGAGGACTGCTTTTTCCAGCGCCACTCCCTTTGAACGATCCTGACCGAGCCTCCTCTTTTCAGCCCAGGTTTTTGGGGGATGGTGAGGTCAGCCCATCCAGGCAAAGCAACAGTGGCTATTTCAGGGCACGCCAAAATCTCCAGAGGCCATTGTGCAAGTTGCATTGCCGCCCCTCCATGGTGTATAACCATTTCGGTACCAGGGTGTAAAAGGGTGTCAAGGAATGATGATGATGATATGGAGTGAAAGGCACAAATTGTCAGAGGCGCCCAATGATCTGGGTCTGAGTGCCTGAAGGGTGCCCCCCTTCTTAGGCTTCTCGGGCCCATCAAGCCTAGGGTCTTCCGTGGAGTCTGTGCACGCAACAGGCTTATTCGCAGGGCGGCAGATTTAAGATGCGTTCCCCGCGCCCGACCTGCCCCATTGCCCACAGGCCACTGTTGCCCTTGCTTGTTCACCGGCTTGAAGGGGGCCCTGTTCTCGTATTTTGCTGCTGCATCCCCAAAGGGGCTGGATGGCAGCAACTACTAGTAGTAATGAAATGTCACCACCAGCGGGCTGTGAGAGGGCTTAGGGTTGAGGGTATCTCCCTTCTCAGGGTCCCTGACCGCTCCTCTCATACGATAGGCATCTACTAACCGAGTGGAGGACGGGACGGGGGCAATATAACAATCTTGAACCTCAACAATGGTAGGTATCTTGCCATGTATGGGAGGTATCATCAGGTTACAGACGGGACGTACCTCAGGTACCACTTTTAGGAGTAAGATACCTTATCCATGTACCTAAAATTATTCGACTGCAGTGCCGTCATCATCTTCCTGCCGAGGTGTGGACAAAAGCGCCCTCAGCCGTACCAACCAAGCTCTTTTCCCGGACAGTGTTGATTGTGACGGTGGGTTTTGTCAACCTTGGAAAGGTACTAGTGGTCATACCGGTATCAATGAGATTCAATCAAAGTCATGATGATTGACTCTCGTCGCCCTATCTGGGTCTTTTCCTGCCCTGCAAAGTACAGACAGGCCAATGCTAGAAATGGCTCCCTGATACTAATAACCCTAGTCGAAATGGCTGCCCACTGCATTGCATAGTACATGCGATGCAAGAGTGAGGGAGTGTGGGTGTCGCCAGCCCTGCTTCTTGTCTGGTCTCCCCCATGCACGCTTGCATGGGCTCCATCCCATCGTCGTCGATCTTTTGGATCTCTTACTAAGTAGAGAGCTGACCCGCGTCTCTTACCTCTCTGTACTACTGGGGGGCTCATACTCGTCAATCATCCTCGTCCTCACTCTTTCGTATATGCTCATCTGCTCACCTCTTACTTTCGCTCAGCACACATTCTCTGCTACTGTCCTGCCTCTCGTTGCGCCTTTCGGGTTATTCACGTTCGCTCCCAGTCTACCCAACCGACACACTATCGTTCGCCCTCAGCCCCTTAGATAATGCTAATTTGCATCCAACCTGATCGTCTTTCTGCCCTCCCAACTGGTTCCAGTCGTCGCCCCTCCTCAGGCTGCGGGCCGCTTGGGCAGCCTTGATATCAAGCTGGAGGGAAAAGAGCAGGAACTTCGGATGCATCGAACCTTGTGCCATACCCGGCCTACTGCTACGAAACCCGTCGTCGTCCTCTGAATCCAACCCCCATGGATTCCCCGATTGAACGCATGCCCATCGCCTGCGTTCATTGTGCGAAGGCAAAGGCCAAGTGTGACAAGAAGGTCAGTTCGACCCCAACCATGAACACAATCAATACTCCCTCTCTCTCTCTCTTCGCGCGCAGGGCTCCAGTGGCCGGGGTGAAGCGATGAGGAATTGAAGGCGGCACAAGCCGTCCACCGGCTGGGCTCATTTCATTCCCGGGCTGCTATATTGACTGGTACTAACAACGAGGCTGTAGGTCCCATGTTCACGATGTGTGAGCAAGCAGATTGTGTGCCAGTCTCGAGCCACTCGACGATCTTCTCATAATCCCACTCGCCGTAATCCTCTTCCTCGGGCGAACTCCGAGCGTGCTCTGCATTCCTCTGCCTCATATCACGTATCACAACTGTCCCATTTTGCTGCTGCCACTCCAGGCGTCAATGGAGGACCGCCTAGTGAGTTTGGACTGAGGCCGTGCGATGATGTGGTACTGTCTAATCTTTTGCAGATACCATGAGTCCGCATATCATCCCACAGCACCGACTGAGTCTTCCTGATAGTAATCACCATGTCCCGATTGCGCCTGCAATGTTTGGTGCCGAAATGGAGCCTCAACTGCTGCGGAATGGATTTACCCAAACTCCTCCAGACATGGCGTTTCCCATCACGCCGATGATGCCAACGATGCCCCAGATGGAGAACTTCATCCAGATGCACGGGACGCCATACGACCACGACGGTGACAACCATTTCTTGACCATGAATAGTGGTCAAGCAAGCATGATAGATTTCGACTCAACCAACCTGCTGGTCGACTTTATGAGCCCTCCTGCGATGTTACAGGATCCCAATGATCACTTTCTGACGGGGGGGAAGATCGGCATGCAGACCCCCAACCACATGCCTTCGTACATGCAGATGCATGAGGGAGCAACACCACTTGGACTTCGACTGGAGATGGAAAGCCCACCCAATCATCTGCAGTACCCCCCCCCTGTCGGTCTTTCTCCGTCAAACTCCTCCACCTCCACAAGTGGTCTGCAAGAGCCTGATGCTGTATCGGCTGCCCATCATGCCTGGCCATTCTTCCAGTGCAACCGCGTTGAAAAATATTCCTTTGCCCCACCTAAAACCGCCGCGATCTACCTTGAAGGTCTGGCTCAAACCCTCCGGAATCAGGCAACCTGGACGGCGTGGACCGCTCAGCTGGATGAATCCTCTTTAGACATCTCAACTGAGAGAAAGATTGTCACAGAGCCAATCGTGGGTTGGTCGCGGGAGAAGTTGCTTGCCATCACTCAAGGCTTCCTCCACAAGGCATTGGAAATCCACAAGGCTGTCCATGCCATTCGTGAGGAGACGCCGTCAAGCCCCGACTCTAGCCGCGACGCGTTCTTGATGCTCCCTCCCCCTGATGTCATGCAGTACTTTCTGAGAAGTTATGTGGTCCGCTACGAGCCCTATTACTCGTCAGTTCCAGGTGGACGTCTCGATCCCAATGTCTTCATGCAGTCACATAACAGCAAAGCGGCCAGTCTGCTCATCCTCCTCATGGTTGCATCCGGGGCTTCGTCGACCGCCACCGTCGAGGCGCGATATGTAGCCAGCGGATTGACGGAAGCCTGCCGGATTTCTCTATTCGACACGATTGAGAAAGATGTCCTCCAATCTCGAGAGGTCTTGGTACTCCGATCGGCCCTTCTGTTCACCTGTCTTGCCGCGTGGTCCGGTGATAAATGGCATATGGATGTAAGTCTGCATGTCGTTTGGACGCACGAGGTCATCTAACCCGGTTTACAGATGGCGATGGGCCAGCGGGGCATGTACCTGGCTGTAAGTTCTGTACCACCCAAGTCGAGAGACCTGCACTGACCTTGTTTAGATGCTTGATCATTCAGGCATGCTCAATGCCGCTGATTCATGTATCAACGTCGATCGGTGTAGACATGAGCCAGACAAGGCTTGGGAAGACTGGAAAGAACATGAAGGCAAGCACAGGTAAGTGCTCACGCCAGCTCACCTTTTGAAGAAAAATTCGTGCTTACTGGGTGCAACGGCAGGCTTACTCACTCTTGGGTTATCGTCGACCAAGAGATGAGTCTTTTCTCGGACACGACCCCGCTGTTGTCAGTAGTAAACCTTCACGCACCCATGCCGGATTCGGATGACCTCTGGCATGCCGAGTCTGCCGTGGACTGGCTCGAGCTATTCGAGAAAGTCCATGGCTCCACGTATCAAAGTCCTGCGTCGGTACGGGACTTTTTCACCAGCTTTGTCGACGGAGAGCTGGCTGGCAAAGTGTTATCGCCGACACAGCTACGGCTGCTGCTGCATCCTTTGCAAGCTCAGGTGTGCCAGTTGCGACAGTTCATCACATGCTTACCAGATGGTGGTAACCAGGGCAAAGCATCCCGGAGCGTCTCCCGGGTAGCAACCAAGGCACGGTTGGAGGAGATTTCTTCTCTCCTGCAGCACTGGTATGCAATCAGCAAGCAAAGCTTCTCGGGCAACAAGGGGACATGTTGGACGACCTGCGCCAATCTCATCATGTATCACCTCATCTCTCTGAATGTGATCTCGAGTTTCAAGGACATTGAGCAGTTTGCCCGGCATGAGGTCGCTCTGGGATCCTTCCGGTTTGAATCGTGGCTTCAGATGAGATGTATCGATCAGCCGGCCGAGGCCTACTTCCATTGTGGACAAATCCTTCGCCTGATCCGATCTATGCCACGACCTGTCCGGCCTCCCTGGTGGGCAGGTGCTGTCTATCGGGTTGCGTTGACAGGTTGGGCCACCAGTATGGCGGGAGGAGGCGGGCGGTATTCGCCCACTCAGGCTCAGTTCGAGCCTGACCGACCGTTTCCCATTGATGATCTGACTCCAGAGAATGAGGCAATCAGCCGATACATGAAGTACCAAGAAGGGACGCCGATGTTGTCGCGGCCGGATGGCTCGCTTGCGCCGATGGACGTGCCCTCGAACGTGCTTCAGCACTGTATTGAGCTCCTTGAGGACGACTCGACGATGCGCTTGGCCGATGGCATCAAACACAAGCTCCAGATATTCATGCACAACTGGAAGGACAGCAATTGACGGGCCCACCGACATGTTCGATTCGCCAGGGAGTGAAGCAAGCCATCGCGATGTCGAGCTCGACCCTCTCCACCACTTTCGCTTTGATTGCAAACTAGGCGTGATGTCACCGCCTTGTATATATATGCCAGACAGCAGTTTTGATGATGACGATGACATAGCTTGGGCGTTTCGAGGCATAGAAGAGTGGGAGTGTCGTGCCCTAATGAGGATTGGATTGGTAGTTTCATCTTGGACCTCTCGGACCCTGTGTGATACTACCCACCATATCCTGGAGGATTTGTCTTTGGATCATATCTTTGGATCATAATATCCCGGAAGGCACCATTGGAGGATGCTGGCATGGGATGGCAGGCAGGACTTTGGAGTATTATTGGTAGCCCGACATGCATTTGCTCATTGGTTGCTGATTTGATCACGGGAAGCCTTGATCAACCCATGCCAGAAAACGGTCATCTGGACGACGTCGATACTGGCGTCGTTGTAACTGGCCATCCTTTCTCTCCAGCACGTAGACCACTTCTTCGATAGTCTTCGAGTTTCCAGAAGAGAGGTATCCTGGGCCCATCAGGAGGGGAAGGAAGAGGAAAATGGAGAGGACAGAGGACCCCTGGTTCCTTATGTGCTTCTGGACGAAGACTAGCAGTCCGTAGTTGGGCTCGGAGAGGGGTGGTGGCACTGGCCGTTTATGAATCAAAGCGATCGATCGAACCAGTCCTTGATTACGTCGACATATCCCCGTCCCCATACTGGACTGTCCACTGTCCACTGTCCACTATGTACCTAGGTATAACGCTACAACGCTACCTGACAGTGTCAATCCAACACGCGAACGCAGTGACCAGGGGGAGTTTCCGAGCTATCTAATTCGTATTACACAGTACAGGGGAGAGGGGGTCATTTGGGCTCAACGTTTTCCTCTTTAGTGCTCTTGAAGCGCGGGTCGAGTCAACGCCTGAACGTCTGAACGTCTGAACGTCGGAGGGTCTGAAGGTCTGATCTGGTAGGAGGAGGAGATCACGACTCGTTTTGACAGCCTTGAGTGTTACTACTAGTTAGGATGTTAAGGTTTAGATTCGACGATGGACGTCCGGACAGTCGGGATGTCGGAGTTTGGTTGTCGCCGATACCGTGGTCTGCAGTGCCAGTGCAGGGCGTGGACTACTGCTACAGGTCCAGAGGTCCCTACGGGGCTCGACTAGATACGTACTAAAACCACGACGTATATTGGATCTACTGTTCTAGTACTGCGCATCACAGTAGTAGTACAGGAGGAGGAAGAGGGAAGGGGAAATGAAGATCGCACACGGCACGTTTCCTATGGCTTTCTTTGGCCACCCTGGAGCGAAAGTGATGAGAGCGAGACTGATAGACCCAAGGCTGTTGTTTCTTGTTTAGGTATCTGCCTAGGTAGGTAGCTATTGTTCTGAGGTAGTATATCAAAGGAATACGTACTCTGACTTTTAATGGTCCCCACCTCAACCAGGGACATAGAGATGCCTCTTCCCCGGTGACAGTTGGCGCAACGGCGTGACAGTATGGACGGGACGAGGTAGCGGGCTCTGAGCTACGTCCTATGAGCCGCGGCTCGGTGACAAAGACGCCACGATACGGAGTTACGTTCCACTAAGGTACCCCAGAGACTAGGTACGGAGTTTGTCTCAGCGACGGATTTGATCAGGGACCGAGGAGAGGAGACTGAGACCCTTTTTCTGCCCTCTGCTCCGTCGGTTGGAAAGTGAATGGAGGATACGGGTGTGTCATGGCATCGAATTCGAAGCGGCTTTTGTGGTGGGACATGTACGACGTTTCCGCTACCAAGCAACATATATAGGTACCTGGTATGTACCGTATAGTACGGGTAGGTTATATATGGGAGACAAGCGGGATAGGTATATCAAACATGACGTATAGTCTAAAAAGGTAGTGATCCTGGGGGCTGGACGCTAACTCAATAGCTAAGGTAGTAGTAGGTGCTCTGGAGGCATATGAATGTTGGAACGAGGCGTCAAGGTACTAGGGCTGGCTGGGTGCCGGTGCAGTAGTACTGTATGTACTATGGTAGGTACCTGGGTGGCTAAAGCCTTGTCTAAATAATGGTCGGAGTGTTATTCTGGCAGGAAAGGATGAGAGGCATCAGGACATAGTAGGGAATCGAAAGATATACTACGTCGTAATATACCTAAAGAAGAGGTAGAAGAGAAGATCCTGACCGTCAGTACCTAGGTACTAGGTACCTAGTAAGTAGGTAGTCAACTGCAGGGAGAGCAAAGTAAGAAGAAAGATATACAAGATAGCCTCGTTAGGTACGGGTTGACTTGTCTTCTGCTAACCGGAGAGTAGAGCAATGGAGATCATCGGGGCAATTGATATAGGCATATACTGATAGGCATCTGCAAGTACGCTGCCACATACCATCCACAAGAGACCCGCAGTCTCATTCAACTCCGTTGGGTTGAGCTGTTGAGATCCATCATGTGTTACCATAGGATGAGGCCACTTGGCTTCTTGATGGCAGACCCAGCCAGAAGAAGTTGGGATTGGAAAGGAATTTGAAGTGGGACTCTGTTCAAGGCACAAGGCCGCGAAAGAGCTAAAAATAAACTGAAATTGAAGATGCCTTGGAAAAAGAGCTGAGGACCACAGACATCAACACGTCCGACTAGCGTTCGGACTGTGCTGAGTAGCGAGTGGGCTGCGTGGAAGGGGTCAGTACAAGGCATGCAGTGGTGGGTAAAAGGGTCAGCCTCCTAATAAGCTGTGACAGGGAGAGACGGACGGTGGGGGTGAGTAGGTGCCTATAGTACGAATATGGTGCTCGTGAATGACACTCACTATACAGTATATTGCCTTGGTTGGCTCCCTTCAGCGACCTACCACGTACCTATAGGCTCATCCTTCATTACTACCTTATCGTCGCTCTGCCATCTCCTCATAACTCATCGTTGGTGACTGATCGATATTTGATGAACCCTGGTACAGGCACTGCAGGACCTAAAGGTGCCTGGGACAACAAACACCTTGGGGCTAGGGTGGCACTTTCAGCCCCTGAGGCTGTTCACCATTCGGCCCCTCTTCGCCCCGCTACACCTAGGATTCACCGCCACACGTATTCTAAGGGCCGGGGCTGATCTAACCACCGTACTCCGTCAACCATCTTGTTGGCAAGTTGCTGACCTAGAAGTGCATCTCGAGGACCGGGAGATCTAAAGATCTAGCCTTGAAGGCTTCTCAACCCGAGTTGGTGGGTTCGGGCTGATATTCTTATAGTCGAACTACTACCTGGGACGACAGTGGGCATGTTTCCAGTCATCCGCATACCGTTGGTGATTATAATAACCCTACAGAGTATAACATGTTTAGCTGGCCGGAGACCAAATTGATGTGACCGCAGTCCGAATTAGTTAGTGTCGGAAAGGAGACTCCTCCTGCTACTCCTGCTGGTCCTCCCGCTGCCCTCCTGCTACTGCTATTGCTGCGCTGCTACGGCTAAGAATAAGGTAAGGAGCACACTTGTCACTGCCACACACGCGCACAACCAGACCGCATCGGAGGAAGGGCCGGACCCGTATCGTGTTTCCCCCTTTTTCCTGTTACCCGTCCGTTGTCCTTTAATTCCTTCAACTCCATCCTCACCATCACCATCACCATCAGACTACTACTAGTATCATTCTCACTTTGCTTTGGTCCGTCTTTCAGTCTGTCATCTATCCGCACCGTATTCTTCCTCATCGCATCGTTCGTGTTGTTGATATCGCGTTGTCGATCATCTCACCCGCACCGTTCAATTCAGCATCCACCCCTGAACAACAGCTTCCGCCGCACTCGTTTCTCTCTCCCAACAAGAATTCTTTCGATCCCATATCCAACATGAGCTCTCAATCTAACATCCGCCTCGACGGCAAGGTCGCCCTCATCACTGGTGCTGGCCGTGGTCTGGGTTCCGGCCTGGCCAAAACCCTCTCGGAGCGTGGTGCCGCCGTCATCATCAACTATGCCAGTTCGGCCAAGCCGGCTCTGGCCACGGTCGCCGAGATTGAGAAAGCTGGTGGTCGAGCGGTCGCCATCCAGGCCAACGTCTCCAAGACTCCCGAGGTCACCAAGCTCTTCGAGGAGGCCATAAAGGCCTTTGGCAAACTCGACATTGTCATCAACAATGCCGGCATGGAGGCCTTCTCCAAGCCTGAGGACGTCACCGAGGAGCTGTATGACCAAGTCTTTGGCCTCAACACACGTGCTCAATTCTTCGTCGGTCAACATGCCCTGAAGTACCTAAGCGGTAAGTTTGGTCCGCGCGATTGCGATCAGTTCCGTTGAGGTACCTCTTTTTTCTTTCGGTGGCTGATTCATCCGTGATGACAGAGGGAGGTCGTATCATCTTCATGTCCTCCATCGCTGCTGGTCTGGGTGTCCCGAACCATGCCTTGTATGCTGGTTCCAAGTCTGCCGTCGAGGGTTTCGCCCGGTCTTTCGCGGCCGACGGTGGCCCCAAGCGTATCACTGCCAACGCCATCGCCCCTGGCGGTATCAAGACCGACATGTTCGCCCAAAACGCATGGCATTACTCTCCTGGTGCCACCAAGGACACTCCTCTGGAGCAAATCGAGGCCGGCATTGCGAAGTTGATTCCCCTCGGTCGATGCGCCGTTCCAGACGACATTGCCAAGGTGGTCATCTTCTTGTGCCATCCTGACAGCGAATGGGTGAACGGTGAGTGCTTCTGGCTTCTTGTACTGCCTTTTCGGCCACTTTTACTGACCACAAATGCTACAGGTCAAGTTATCCGTCTCACTGGTGGCAGTGCCATTGCCTAGATGTTCGTCTGGTGTACGCAACTCCTAACATCACTGCACTCCACTGTAGGGAGATATTTGGGCATCCAAAAGCCGACGGGTGTGGGGAAAAGTTCTTTTGGGTTAGCAAGCCGGTCATGTCGAAAGCCTACTTTACGATTGGAAGTGAGCGGGTTTCGGAGTATCCTAGAAGTCAACGGGGCTCGATCAGATCTATACGAGTTCCCGCTTGATTCGGTGAATAGATCTATGGTCGACTCGAACATGAAGAAACGAATGCATATGCGTCCTGTGGTCGATTTGTGATTTATGTTCGCTCTCAGCTTTTCGATGCAACTGATATACATGTATCCATCTGAACTTAATGTCGGGATTCGGTATAGCTGTCGAATAGACCAGGAACGCAATGTAAGATAGACAATCAAGGAATGGGTTTGATATACGTACTTACTGACTAGTAGTATGGACGGTCAACGGGTCCTGCGGTCAGTTTCAACCCCTCGTGAGGAGAGCAGCGGCATCATGCGGCATCGAGCCACCTTCTACTTCTAGAACAGGCAAACCGCTCTCAGCCTTGCTCGATATAATATTAATATTATTAGGTATGTAGAGATTCGCTATCTTATTTACTCTTAATCAAGAATACCCACCAAGTACCTACCCAACTGTCTAGGTCCTCTCAATCTTACTTTGACTCTCACTCAGCGGACAAAATGTCTTCCTCATCACCATCCATCGATCTCAAGAACCTTGCCACCCCGCCCAAATGTACCGCCGACTTCTGTCTCATCCCCATCGGCACCCCGACCGCTTCCGTGTCCGCCCAGATCGCCGAGGTCCAGAGACTGATGAAGGCCAGTGGGTTGAAGTATAGTATGCATTCGGCGGGGACTACTGTTGGTAAGTTGCACATACCACTACCTTAGTTACAGAGAAAACAGAGGCTTTCAAGTTGGCGGATCTGGGCAGACAGATGATTACTTGGATTCCCCTTGCTTGAAGCTGGTTGCTGGTTGGATGTGTGAGTGAGAAGAGGGTATATCATCTTCTTTGGCTTCTTGTTGATCATCTTGGTATTTTCTTGATTTCTGGTTCAGCAGCTCAAGGTCCATGGTTGGAGATGCTAGGGAAGGATCAAGTCGGATGTCTCATTGACAAGCGTCACGGACGCTTGGAAGTTATCATTTGTCACTGCTACAGCAGCCAGCCGCTGATACTGTTAAGCGTTTTCATGTTTCTACATCCTTCAAGATCGGTCTGTTCATATGCTGATTCTGCTTGCTGCTCTCCAACAGAAGGATCCTGGGACGATGTCACCCGCCTCATCGGCCAGGCTCACACACTGTTGCACGAAAAGGGCATCGTACGGATTCAGACCGACGTCCGCATTGGAAGCCGGACGGACAAGGCACAGACCATGGAGGACAAGGTCGCCGCCGTGGAGAAGCTTCTTGCGAGTGATCAATAAGAACGAAGGGCGAGGTGGACGTTAGGCACAGGTGAATGAATGCTTCAAGCCAGGATGCCATCACTTGTATATAGCTTCAAGGGATACGGCTTTTCGCCTGAAGTATCACGGACAGTGCATCAGGTCCCAGCATCGAGTCAACGCAGCTTGAGTGTACATAAACTTGAGGTCGATGACAGCGCAGGCCTAGACCTGGTGTAAGAATCACAGGCGAATCTGGAGCGTCAAGAGTCTCTCTCAACCGGCATGATCTGCGCGAGAGATCCCTGCGCCACAACTCCAACGACCCAGCCACAGCGTGGCTATGCTTATCCTCGTCCAACCACCAACATTCAATCGTCGACACTTGCCAGGCAATGAAGCAGAGCCACGCAACTCATCCTGCGACAATGCTCCTGTAATTGGTGACAATTGACAATGCCTCAGGACTTGCCGCCCTCTGTGGTCGAGTCTTTCTCTGCAGGAGACAAAAGACTCGAGCCATCTTCTGGGTGACCTCCTTTGTTGTCTTATCGTAGGTCTTTGTTGACCGACTCTTTCTCCAGCCATGCCATTTTTGTGATTAACATTCACCAAAAGAGTCGGCATCACACTGTCTTCTTATTGACAATACCCCTGCTCCGACTTCGTTTTCGTACCAACGTCACTTTGTCCCTCACCTGCCCATTCAGTCCAGCGTCCTTTCATAACAGCAGAAGTACCATCTAGGCTATCTTCCCACTCATCGAGTCAGGATGGCCGCCATCACACAGACCATAGCAATCGTCGATAGATCCAACAAAGTGGTCAGTACAAGCAAACAGTTGAAAAATGTCTTCAAGGAAGCGAAAATTGCATACCTCGAGCGAAAGGCGGAGCTTGTGGCTGAGCGGAGAGCCAAAGAAGAAAGACAACTGCGGAAGTCCATGAAGGCAATGACCATGGCCGAAGACGCACGGTCGGACACATCGCACCGCTCAAGCGGGCACCGCAGTCGAAGAGGAGAACACGGCCATGACCGGGAGAGACCATCAGCCGGCGGTCATCACTATTCAGCCGACTCGCTAGGGAGACAGGGCTTCAACCAGACATACTACGCTCCAAGCACAGTGTCCGCTGTTGATGCTCGTCCGAATCTAGCACAGTTTAACGAGGAGCTATATGGCCATTATCGCTCTGCGCCGACTTCCCCAATCGATCATCATGAACGTGGCACGCTCGCTCGCCGAACCACCGACCTTCCTTTGGACTCGTCTCATCCGCATCGTCCCCCACCTATGCGGTCACATTCGACTTCAGACATGGAGGCACACATTGACATGGATCTTGCGTATGGAGAATTCCACCCCGAATCACTCATGTTGGATCCCAAGGTGGAGCAAACGCTACAAAAGCAAGAGATGTCCAGCCTGGTTTTGAAGTGCAAGCTCCTCATGGAGGAGGCCAACTGTGCCCAACACAGTGTCAAAGCCATCATCGCGCACCTGCAGAAGAACCCCGACGCCATGGCCGCCGTCGCCCTGACCTTGGCCGAGATCAGCAATCTGGCAAGTAAGATGGCCCCGGCTGCTCTCATGGCGTTCAAGACGGGTGCGCCCACGGTCTTTGCCATCCTTGCCGCGCCGGAGTTTCTCATCGCCGTTGGCGTGGGCGTCGGCCTCACGGTGGTCATGTTTGGGGGCTACAAGATCATCAAGAAGATCAAGGCCAGAATTGGCGATAAGGAGGGAGACCCGGTGGATGAAATGTTGGACGTGCATGAACTCGATCGAATCGACCATTGGAGACGTGGCATTTCAGACGTCGAGACCGCGAGCGTCTCCACAAGCGTCGAGGGCGAGTTCATCACCCCCATGGCGGCCGCTAGTATGGGCCATCTGCCGCTACCGAGGGAGCGGGCTGAAGATAAGCATAGGGGCAAGAAACGGGCAGGTAGCAGGAGGAAGCACAGCGTCCTCGATGAGGATCCTGACCGTACGCTGGTGGGAAGTGACAGATCGAAATCACGCAAGAGCAGCAAGTCGGAGAAGAGAGAAAAGGCACTCGTGAAGGTTAAGAAGCCAAGTCCATTGAGAAGGATGTTCGCCATGAAGGACACTGATTCCTTGTCCAGGCGGTGATGTCGAAGCCGAGGCCAGTCTTGGAAGTCTGTCTATTTCGAGCCTTTTGGTATATATACTTTTCCTTTCTGAACGGCAGTTGGACGGAGCACATATGGCCCGCTTCTAGTTACGAATTGATGAGTTGAATGATAGCACAAAATCGACTTCTCTAGAAATATACATATGCTCTAAGCTCCGATATGAACAATGCGCCATGTACAAGTGACTGCTCTGCATCGATGGATTGACGGTTAGCAGCAGTTGATCTGACATGGAGTCACGTGGCATGCGGCGAAATTTCGAAAATGCCCGGATGTCGATCTGTGAGAACATTATCGTCTTGGTTTCCATCGCAGACTCGACCACTTTCTCTCTACGCTACCGACCTTCATTGATTTGTTTGTCTAAGCCCAATTTACTACCCTCTGGGAGCTGTCGAGGGGGACCCAAGACTGGACTCCTCTACCATCGCCAACGGTTCCTATCCCCGTGCGTCGTCCGCGAGCCTCGACTTCAAAGTTCGCAGCAATTGTCTCTATCTGGATATCTGAGTGCACGCTTTCTTCGCCTAAGGATCTTCTTTATTACGGCTCTTACCTCTCCTCCTCCTCTACCTGTCGGTCTTGACCTTCTCCTTGAATCTATACCATAACAATGGATCACTCTCGAGATCCCTGCCCTTGGGTTGCCTTGTCCGATTTTGGAGGCGCGTTCTGTATGGGCGCCCTGGGAGGTGAGACACACAGATGGTTCACACTGGCACATGGCCCTCTGACATGATCACAGGCACATTATGGCACGGCATCAAGGGATTCAGAAACTCGCCCTACGGTGAACGAAGGATAGGCATGTTAACGGCCATCAAAGCTCGAGCACCGGTCACAGGAGGCAACTTCGGCGTCTGGGGCGGCATGTTCAGCACATTTGACTGCGCGGTCAAGGGAATCAGAAAGAAGGAAGATCCATACAACTCCATCATCGCGGGATTCTTCACGGGCGGCGCCCTCGCGGTTCGAGGAGGCTACAAGGCCGCGAGGAACGGCGCCATCATGTGTGCGATCTTCCTGGCCGTGATTGAGGGTGTTGGTATCGGTGTTCAACGATTAATGGCCGAGAACACAAGGCTTGATGTAAGTCGGCGCGACTGACCCGCGAGCCACTGCGGGAACGATATGTTGACTTTTCTTCTCTAGCTACCTCCTCCTGGAACAGCACCGCCAGAGTCGGGTCGTATGGCTGCTTGACTGGAGATGACTACCACTCCACATTTTATTTAAAGGAGTCTTGGTGGAGATGCGATTGCGGAAAGAATGGTTGCTGCTTGTTGCTTCCTCGGTTCTCTACTCTCCTCGGAACTTTGGGTTTCTTCTGCCACTGGAAGGAAGACCTCTTGTGCATAGCGGGCGTATGGATGGACATGAATGGCACGTGGATGCTTTTGCTGTTCGAAGACTCGCCGAGCAGCGCGAATGGTGATCGTTGCCGATGCTTGCAGCCGGCAGGAAATGCTGGTCAGCAACGACCCTTCCCGACGGCGGCAGTGCGTCACAAATGTTGAAATAAATGAGCCTTCAATCACCTCAACAGTGTAGTTGTATAGTGTATGATGATGAAATATACAATCTTTGTTGCTTGTCAAGGGTTGGTCTTGTGCGAAGGCCATAGATAAGGTACCTGTTATCGGGTATTTCGCTTCGATCTTTCAGCTCGTCGAGAATTGCCTCAGCAGCCTGTCAAAAGGAAGGTGGAGTCACGAGGCTGAAGCCTGTCTGTTCTGTCTGTGCTGTCGCCTGCCATCTCCGCAATCCATCTGCGAATCTACCTACACAGCTGGCCCATTACCAGTGACCTCATTTACTTTCGTTCCGTTACACTCATATTTTCGCGATATTGCAGGCGTATTGATTTTCTGTTGTGTTGTCAGCGTCGAGTCTTCGTTGGTCATGCATTATGCGAAACATGCTTCTAGGAGCGGCAGCCTGGACGATTCCAGCCACGAGGGACTCGACAGACAGTCTCGAGTGAAGGCGTCCGACCTGGGATTCGAGGTCCCCGACCACATCCTGCCTGATATCATACCGATTTCGGATCCAAAACTCGTCTACGCCAACGTCCATGCGCAGCGTGACCGCCGCCTTCGCCTTCTGATCCGTCGTTACACGAATCAAATCCAGCATGGCTGCAGGAATGTCAATTGCACAACGCCCACGTGCTTGAGTTACAGAAAGAGGAACAGTACTGGACCGCTGAGGCGATATACGGATCTCAGCGCCAGAACGCTAGCCTGCCAGTTGGTCGAAGAATATACACGTGGTGGCAAGGACTCGGTCGCTGGGCTCTGCCAGAATCAGCCGGTGGTTCCCTGGTATGAGGACCCCGACGTTACTAAGAGAAGGAGAAACAGCATTGAGAAACCACCACATCAGCGACGTGAGAATGCCGCTGTGTCGAAGACTGCGAGCCCAACACAACGCACTAAAGAACCGTTGAAGGTGGGTTTACCAATTGAGCATCCGCCACAGAGGCCCTCGCAGGATGGGGTCGTCCAGGCCGGGAGACGTCTTCGCACGCTTGATATTTCCAAGAACGACGAGGATATTGCCGAAGAGATCACTGGGGTACTGAACTCGATCTCCTGCGATGAGTCTGGCAATGCAGCCTCTGAACCGGGGACGGATATTCATACCAACGATGACATCCACAGACAGAGTCCTGCCGAAGCGAAACCCAGAGATATTGCCTCCTTCACGCAGACGCTATTCGACATGCTGCCCCTGCGACTACTGAGTTGGTTGCCGGGAAGAGAAAGCCTTCAACCGACAAAACCTGCAAAGTCCGCAGACGATTCCACAACGCATCAGCAAGACAATGTCGTTGCAGATGATGTACATGCCGACAGCCCTCCCGAAGAGTCACATAGTGTACCAGGTCAAAGTGCGGCTGCCCAGCAGGCCCGATCGACGACGGAGGAGCACCATGGCCAAGCATACACTCTTCGAACGCTCACCTGGACCACTATTCCCTGGCTTCGGTCATTCCAGACAAACGACAACCTTGAAGCATCACATAAACAATTCCTTGTCTTCCTGAAGCAGAGCTTTGTATATTGCTTCAGCGATCCCGAGCGCCTCATCCGGACCATCAAGGATCTCCAGGAGAGCTACGGCACATCATCAATGTCAACAGGACCGAGAACAAAGTTTATTGGACCTGCTTACGCGCACCCGAAGATGGACTCACAGCTGATGGCGCGGCCTGTCCTTGCGCCATATTGTCTTTGTGTAGCTTGGCCAAAGATTAGAACATATACAGAGGCTGACATGACCGCACTTCTGTTCAGCCTTGCCTTCATTGATTCCTTCAAGTACCGCGAGCTCATCCTGAACAGCATATTCACTGCACTCCAGCATTGCTACCGTCTGCCGTCCTGGTTACAACGGCGGCAAAGAAAGCAAAGTCGATCGGCGAGTGGGAGTGCTGAACGAGGCTCAACAAATCTGCGCGAGCTTCCCGAACCCCATTCCACATCAGAGTTGTTTCCGGACGACTTGGTAGGACTTACGGAGCTGCAGGACGATGAAGAGCGACTTGCGCCACTGAACGACGCCCAGATTGCAGAATTGTGTCTGGTCGCTTTGGTGTTGATTGCTTCCTTGGTGTTCGGTGGTCGCAGTACTCAAGCATTTGGTGGAAAGGAAGCTTTTGCCGGGTTTACCTCGCTGCGGAACAGTGGTCTGGCACACTCCCGTTGGCCTAAAGCCCGCGCAGATGCAATCAGAGATCGTGCCTCTGATCTTGTGGGCTTGATCATTGATGCCATTGATGTGTGCGATGACTGGTCGGTTCTGCGCGTACTCGTTGCTACAATGGACATCATCAGCCACCGTCTTACTGTGGCTAAATGGGAAGCCAACATGAACTGCATAGATTCGCCCAAAGCGAAGAAGACGGGCAACAAGACGATTGTCGATTTGCTGATAGATCGATTTGACCGACGGACATTGGGTGGATGGGACCGATTCGAGGAGAAGTCCAGCTGGATTGGCACCGCTGTGGTCGAGCTCGTCAGGACGGTCATGCTCAAGAACTGGGATCGCCGCCCCATCATCCAGCGGACAGGCCCTGTTGGTGGTGCTCTGGAACTTTTGGCTGGCATCTATCGTGAAAGGAGGGATCTCAATCTCGAATCGACGTCCTTTCACATGCCTTTCATTGCCGACAGTTTCGACGAGATGGCCATGCCCATTGAGTGGATGGCTTTCCGCGCCGACGCTCGGCAGATGCATCTACTCTCGTTCTCCTTTCTCTTCGAACCCGCGACATTGGTACGGTACTTCCGAGCGATCAACATTGAGATGATGCGCAAATCACACGAGAGCGCGACAATGGTGTACAACGACACGAGACATTATATGTGGGCTCCCGCAATTCCGGTGTATGAGGCGCGAGAAGTGTTGGCAAGCCTGCGACCTCACATGGCAAAGTACTTTGTCCTCACCATCCGAAGAGACGACGTCCTCAATGACGCCATCAACCAGATATGGCGACGGCAGCGGAGGGAGCTGATGCGTCCTCTGCGTGTCAGGCTCGGCAAGGATGAAGGTGAAGACGGACTCGATCATGGTGGAGTGCAACAAGAGTTCTTTCGAGTCGTGTTCGCCGAGGCCTTTCGACCCGACTACGGCATGTTCACGGTGGACAGCACGACTAGAATGACCTGGTTCCAGCCCGGCTCCTTTGAGCCACTTTACAGATTTGAGGCTCTGGGTGTTTTGATGTCCATTGCCATCTACAATGGCATTACCCTGCCCATCACTTTCCCTCTCGCCTTCTACCGCAAGCTCCTGGGACTGAAAGTGAAAACCCTGGAGCACATTTCAGACGGTTGGCCCGACCTGACCAGAGGTCTTAGAAGTTTGCTCGAGTGGACCGATGGCGACGTTGGCGACGTTATCGCCCGGACGTACGAATTCAGCTACGATCTCTGCGGGAGCACCGTAAGCGTGGACATGCACAAAGTCGGTCACGACGACCCGTGGCCCCCAACACCGGTCGGCAGCAGTGCTCTCAGCAGCAGCAGCAGCAGTAGAAAAGGTCGAGGCAAAGGGAAAGGAAAAGGAAAAGCGAAATCCACATCCTTCGAGCTTCCCATCGAACCATCACTGACTCCACCCGTCCAACCCTGTTCGCCAGACTTACATCCTACTGTGGTGCCTATCCTCAACCGAACTCCTTCCATGGACATCAAAGGGATGACGACGCCCTCCAGCATCGACAGCGACCTACTCGAGGAGGAAGCCGCGCTAGTCACCAACGCCAACCGAGACCAATACGTCAAAGACTACATTCTCTGGCTGACGCATAAGTCAATCGAACCGCAGTTTGAGGCGTTCGCCAAAGGCTTCTACACTTGTCTCGATCGCACAGCCTTGTCCATCTTCACACCCGAAGCCTTGAAAGCCGTGATCGAGGGCCATCCGGAGATCAACATCGACGAGCTCGAGCGCACGGCCACATACGACGACTACGAGCGACACTCGCCGACCATTGTCAACTTCTGGCATGTCGTGCGCAACTTCAGCCCGGACCAGCACAGACAGCTGCTCGAGTTCGTGACCGCCAGCGACCGGGTGCCTGTCAACGGCCTCGCTAGTATCCAGTTCATCGTGCAGAAGAATGGGGACGATGATTCCAGGTTGCCTAGTAGTAGCACCTGTTACGGACGGTTGCTGTTGCCGCAGTATTCGAGTCGTGAGATCCTCGAGGAGAAGTTGGCCAAGGCTATTGAGAATTCTGTCGGGTTTGGAACATTATAGAAGAGGAAGCGAAGAGAAATCCTGGCCGTCGGATGCTCGTTACATTTCTCGTGGAAAAGAAGAGCCTCCGTGATGCACTGTTCTGGGTCGAAACAAGGCTGAGAATAAATCAAGACGGTCAGTAGACCAGGAGAGAACTCGGTTGAATGCATCCAGCGCCTTGTCCCGACTTTGTCAGGGACATTCGATATTGTTCATTTCTTACGGGACTTGCTGATCGTTCGTTCTCCAGTATTCATAGCCTTGAATTTTGATAACTCTCAGCCTCGGCTGAATCTGCATACCGCGGGTCTATCGGCTTTCTATATATATTCTATGTGTAACCAGTCAACCATTTCACCAGTCTATTGCATGATTCCTGGCCTCTATGTCTCTTATCTTGTCGTGTTATCATGCAGCCCCGTACCTTTATCCAGCCCCCTGGAGTCGCTATGCAAACGGTCGCTTCCAGCTGTCGATTCCTGTATTCCGGCTCCAAAAGCACGACCAAGACTCCATTTTCTTTCTTTTGAAAATGAAAATTGGTGTTGCACACCTGCCGTCCCCTCGGCGCCACAAAAATCGGATTCCATCAAGCCTTAACAGAGACATCACTCGACCTCTTATTCGTCGAGACCTTCACATTCTTGGCCGCCGGCTCCTGGCCCTGTTTGGCCTCATTCTCGACCTCGACCTCGGTGACGTCCGAATCCTCGGGCTTCAATGCCTGCGCATCACCATTGGTGTTGTTCAATTTGGCGGGGTTCTGCAACCCGGCTTCCTCCCAGCCCTGCATAGCCAGCGTGAACAACTCGGCCTGTTTGTCTCGGGGGAGCATGGGATAGGTCTTGCCCCTGCGGGCGCGCGACTCGGCGGTCTCGACCAAAAACGCCTCCGTAGCGTCATTGTCATTGTCATTTTCAAACTCATACGTGCGGTGTTCGCAATTCGTCCAAGCCGTGCCGCCAACCTTATTCGCATCTTCCCAGTCGTTGGTCAGGTAGTGCAGGAAGCTGCCGTGGGTGACCAGCACGATCTCAACGTCGGCGTCGCCCGCGGCCGCCAACTGCTGGGCCTTCTCACGCAACAGCAGCCGCACCGCTCGCGCGCGCGCCTTGATGGCGTCGCTGGCCGGCGAGTAGCGGCCGTCGAGGGTCTTGACGTTCCACCCCTCGCGCACCAGCGACAGGTCGACGCGCCAGCCCTGCTCGGCGCAGATCGCCGCCAGCGTCGCCGGGTCGCTGCCCGTGTCGCACGGGAAGTCGCTCGTCTCTTGGGCGTCCGGGACCGCGAGGATCGCGGGCGGTTGGCATTTCCCGTTCGTCAGCGCAGGCGAGAACACCAGGTGCGCCGTGTGGATGGTGCGGCACAGCGGCGAGGCCGTCACGAGCGAGATGTTCTGTTGTCGCTCCGGCGGGAAGTGTGTCGTTTGTAGGGTCTTGCATTGCGATTCGCCCAGCGGCGTCAGTCGCGGGTCGGGCAGACTGTGGAATTCCACGCCTAGGTTGTGGTAGCCTTGCGCGTGGCGCACGAGGTGGATTCTCGGCTGGGAGGGCATCGTTGGTGGTCTTCTAGGCAGTCGATAGGACCAGGGAAAAGAGCGTGTGTGTGTATAAGGAAAAGTCAATAGGTATGGGTCGATGGAGGATTAGAGGGGTGGCTGCGGGCGAGGATCTGGATCTGGATTGCTATTTAGATTTGGATTGGGTGTTTTCCGGTGACGAGAGCCTGTTGGGTGGTTGATGGACTTGATCTGTTGCGTGGAGCAAGGAAGAGAAGATAAAAAGAAATAGGTGAGGTCTATTTCTATGTCTATTGTTCTGTATGATGCGAGAGAGAGAGTTGTGAGTAATAATGACAAGAGAGGCGGGAAGGAATAATGTATGGAAAATATACTTGCAAGGTAACTTGCGTCAATTATTGTAATTCACCATGATCGATACGCTACTTAGTACGTACTACTAGTACTATCGCTGGCAAATGGCCCGTTGGACGTGTCAGTGACTGTACTGTGTTCAGACTGACAAAATCGGGGTCAACCTTCAATGCTCTCACTGAAGAGTTCGCCGCCAAATGGCCCGAGGGTGGAGTCTCGAAGACATGGACAGGCCATCTGATGGTGCTGGCTGGCCCGCTGGCTGGCTGGCTACAGCAGATAAATGCCGCGAGATGCTATAGCGTATCTACTCTGTAGACAAGTCTCGAGACGGGAATGACTGGTAAGGGGTGACCCGATTAGGATATAGACAAGGTCAGAACCAGGAACTGGCGGGATGAGATTGGATCCAAAGAACGGTCAAAATAGTCTGTGAACGACGTCGAAGACTCATTATATTGGCTGCTTCTTGACTTCTTGACTCTATTCTGACTGCAAAACGCCTTTCAAAAAAGAGTCACTGGTATAAGGTATTCTTCTTTCACGTCAGTTGGCTGTCTCCCAACCCTTCTGTCTAGTCCTGTTGGGCCTCAATCGTACTGCCGCGGAGCCATCCAATCCAACTTCCCCTGTTGGCTCGTTTCTGCATGTCCTCATCCAGCTGGCTCTGCTCCTGAACCAACCGTAAGGGTCTCAATTGGTTCTGCTTCATCACCGCTCCAGGAATATTGCCATTGCCCTGTCCTTGTCCAGGTCCTTGACTCTGGCTGTGCCCGCCTGTCACTGCGGCGGTAGAACTTCCATCCGTGTTAGATTTGACATCTTCGCTGTTCTCGCTGGCGACACTGTTGGCTGAGCTTCCTCCTGCCGCACCCAGACCCGAGCCTGACAGCGCGCGAGGAGTGGCAGCTGGTGCCCCAAAGTAGGAACTCCGCCGCTGTTGGGCCAACTGAGGACTGAGCGGTCGAATCCCTGGACTCAGCGGTCCTCCAGACGCGGTCCGCATGGGAGACGCACGATTCATTTGCTGCACAACCGCTGCAGCTGCCATGTCGGCCTGCGCCTGGTCAGATCGAGTCCGACGATGTCCCCGGTTCAGTGGGATGCTAGGTGCCGTTTCTGGGTTCTCGTTCGCCGACGGCGTGGCTGGCGGCTGAGCGTACGACATGGGACGCCCTCTGGCCCCGGGACGTGACACGACCGATCTGGCCCTCTGTAGAAAGTTGTTGGTGACTCCTCCTGCCGCTCCACTCGCCTGCTGATCTGGTACCGATGGAAGCGCCTTCTCGGTGACAACTGGCTTGGTCGGAGGCGGCGGTCGATCCTCTTTGTCGTGGATGATGTGCTCGAATCCTTCATGCTGAAGTAGCCGCCCGACGATTTTGTCGATATACAGCGTGAGAGCCTTATTCTCCTCCTTGGCCGCCTTCACCTCGGCTTCAAGCTTCTTATAGGCTTCGCCCTGACCTTCAGGGTCCTCCTCGGTGGACTCAAGTTCCTCGGCGAGCGTGCTCATTCCACCAACCTCTTCATCGTTGTGGTGATGGTGGACAAAGTCTCCCTTCAAAGTCTTCTCGCTTAGGAGCATCTGGAAACTCTCGTTCTCTTCCACAAGCCTCGCATTCTGCATTTTCAACTCCATGACGGCTGTCTCCAGTGTCTGGAGCCTGCTGTCGCCCACGTGTTCCTGTTCGGCAAGCTTCAATTGTGCTTCGGCCAGATCATATCGGAGACTTTCAAGATCGGTTTCCTTTTGCCGCAGCGTCTGAAGCAAGTCTGGATCCGGCTCGTCCCGCTTGTTTGTCTCGCCGGGTTCACTTGTATCCGGCAAAGGGGAATTCGTGTTACTTGCTGCTGACAGATTAACTCAGACCATGAATGTTCGACGACGCCAACCTACCGGAACGACTGGCGCTGATTCTTTCCGCGCTCCGAGTCCGCAATGCCTCATTCAACCTGCTAATTACACATTGCAGATCTGCCTCCTTGCCTGCTTGTCTTTCGCGCTCGTGCAGAAAGGTTTGTTTATCCTCGCTGTATGCCAGTTCGAGTTCTCGGCGTTGTCTGTTGAGATCCTTGATCTCCGCTTTCAATCGATCCAATTCCGATTGTCTCTGGTAATCTCGTTCCTCCGCACTGGTCTGCTCCGCCGCCGCTTCATCCAAACGTTGCTGCATCATCTCCAATTGCTTTCTATATTGTTCAGACGCCTGTTCAGCCCGCTGGACCTGCTCTTTCAAATCGGCGATCAACTGCGCATTTACCGATTTGCTCTCGTCGTCTTCGACTTCCGGTTCGACGGAGGAGGGAAAGGAAGTGCTCATGCGACTCGGCGCTTTTCGCAAGGGCCGGGTTTGTCGGATAGAAGGGGTACGAGCGAGGCCTTGACCTGAACTCGCCGGCATAGTGCTCGCGGCAGCAGACCTACTTGGGCTATTCGTGGAGCCACTCCGCACCGATGGAGACGCATTCGAACGGTCAGTCAGCGGTTTCTTGGAGTTGGGAGTCGCCATGTTTTGTGTCTCTCGGAACCACAACGGCTTTGATGAAGCGGGTTGAGGGCTGCGATGATAACAATGACAATGGCGATGATGGTTGCCGAGTTTGGGTCACTGGCGGGATCAGCGGATGGCGAGTCTCAGCTGCAACATAAAAATAGTCGAAGTCGTATGCAGAGTATTGGTGAGACTGAATGGATGTTGGTATTGGTTCGGAAAGCGAGCCTGCGCCTCGATTGATGGATATGAAAAGGTTGGCGCTCAAATCTACCAACCTGGAAAATAATGTATCAAAGTCGAATTAAGAGGGTATAGAGTATCAAAGGATGTACGACGGGAGGCACCTAAAACATTCGGCAACCACAATAGTATTCAATCACAACATAACAACACAGGCTTGATGCCAAATGTCGGGAAGATTGATCACGGCTCATACCCCCCCTTTGGGGCGAGAGTAACGCCGCCCTATACTCAAGCCCAGCTCGCGCGGATCATGTCAGCAACAGCCCTTTACCCGTCCAGGCCGTCCTCACTTTCCTTAGCACTAGTGGTAGTAGTACTCCCGCGAAATGCCAAGATTTTCACACAGTGCTAGTGCGAATGCCTCAACAGCGCCGACAATTCTGCAAATCTCAGGCTCAAGATCAACCCAGCACCTCTTCACCCACCACCAACTGCAATCAATCCCGCCGGAGCGCACTTCTCAGTCAATTCTACTACAATCGGTAGAGCGCAACGATGGCACCAAAAAAGGCGAGAAAGACCACCGACAGCATCAACTCGCGCCTGGCGCTTGTGATGAAGTCCGGTAAAGGTTGGTTCATCTGAAGTACAATTTCACCGCAGGCTTCTAACGAGTCAATCCAGTCACTCTCGGTTACAAGTCGACCCTCAAGTGCCTTCGCTCGGGCAAGGCCAAGCTGGTCATCATTGCCGGCAACACTCCTCCTCTGCGCAAGAGTGAACTGGAATACTACTCCATGCTGTCCAAGACGAACGTTCACCACTTCGCCGGAAACAACGTGAGTTATATAAAAAGACCCTGAGAAGAAGCTCTTCTGGGCTTTGGAGGGACAATGGCTAACGATCCCTCGTTGCAGATTGAATTGGGCACTGCCTGTGGAAAGCTGTACCGATGCTCGACCATGGCTGTCCTCGATGCAGGCGACTCTGATATCCTGGGAGCTGCATCGTAAGCCAGCAGCGAACTCATGCAAATACACATGGACATGATCGTGCTCTCTCGATACCCATATCATGCGCTTGAGAAGGCGGGAGATTAAATCGAGGCTCTGCTGTTTCAGTTGATGACCGATTCTGGCAGTGGACTTGGCCCGGCAGAACTTCAAGATCAAGACCAAGATCTCTGTGTTCTTTGAAGAGTATACAGAGAAATCAATCAAGAGTCGCTGGCCTCCATTCGTTCTACTTGTGCCCGTTCCATTCGTAAACTGTACATGTACATAAAGCATTCAAGTTTAGTCCCAAGCAAGACTAGCGTCACGTGATCACTCGAGTTAGGGCTTCAGGTCGGACCTGGTCTTGGCATGTCGCTTTGAAATCAAGTCTGCGGGCCAACCCATTACAACTTGAAGTTCGCCGTCGACTCTTGCACTCTCCTCCATCTCTCACATTGTTCGCAGGAAGTGCGTCTACAACAAAACAACCGTCAAAATGGCCAGAAGACCTGCGAGATGTTACAGATACTGCAAGAACAAGGTCAGTGACAGTTGCGCCTCCAAAACATATGCGGCGATACTAATTCTTCGCAGCCATACCCAAAGTCCCGATTCAACCGTGGTGTGCCAGACCCTAAGATCCGAATCTTCGATCTGGGACGAAAGCGTGCCAATGTCGACGAGTTCCCTCTTTGCGTCCACATGGTTTCCAACGAGTACGAACAACTGAGTTCCGAAGCACTCGAAGCCGCCCGTATCTGCGCCAACAAGTACGTTGATCCAAAGTTGTCGGTCCGTTACATCGAAAATCTAACACTATCACAGGTACCTCGTCAAGATTGCCGGAAAGGAAGGTTTCCATCTCCGAGTCCGAGCTCACCCGTTCCACGTCGTCCGAATCAACAAGATGTTGTCCTGTGCCGGTGCCGATAGACTGCAGACCGGAATGAGAGGTGCTTGGGGCAAGCCAAACGGCAGTGTCGCTCGCGTCAACATTGGCCAAATCCTGATGTCCGTCCGAACCCGAGACTCCCACCGAGCTACTGCCATCGAGGCTCTTCGACGATCCATGTACAAGTTCCCTGGTCGCCAAAAGATCATTGTCAGCAAGAACTGGGGCTTCACTCCCCTTCGACGGGATGAGTATGTCAAGTTGAAGCAGGAGGGCCGAGTTTTGATCGACGGTGCGTATGTTCAGTTCCTGAGGAACCGGGGCAAGATCGCAGACAACATGCGCCGTTTCCCCCAGGCCTTCCAGGTCGCTGCGGAGGCATAAATTTGACAATTGGGCGAAATGGCAATGTGTATTCCCAGGTCTCAGAGCATTAGATAGCGTGCAGGACGACAGTCGGTCGTTGAGTATGCACTTCTAGTACGCAGTTTTGAACCGGCCACGGTTGAATGAGAAGAATGGTCTGCAATCAAGCCTACGGAGGGTTCTTTCCCCAAGTCGGGGGAGTGTGATACTACAAGACACCCGATACTGCATCAGCCTGGTTTCATCCTCCTGACTTTGGAGCAAGCCTTCGTAAAAGTGTAAGTGACGGAAGGACGTCATGGCGAAAATGAATCGTAAGCAAATTTTAGTAAAGACTTCCTTGATGGTGACTCAAGTTGGAATATGCCGCAACATTGCCGCCAGATGGCGTGCCCCGTAAGTGGTGGTCCTCTGGAGTGGTCGTTACCGCAATCGAGACAGCGACTTCGTGCGGCTGCTTATAAAGCGCGCAGAATGTAAGCGCATGAGCATCACTGCAAGCATATCGAAAACAGAGTCAAGGAGTCTGCTGAATACAAGGAACATACATGGTCGAGAATACCTACGAGCCACCCGAATGCCAGGCTTGTAGGAAGCCCAACAATTCGGCCGCTGGATCTGTCACTGGTTCAGGCGGGAGGACTGTCACACGTACCACAGTCAAATCGATAGATTAGCAGATCTTGGGCCGCCGAACGGGCCCCGAGCCCACTACTGGAAGAGTTAACCGGCCAGCGGAAGCCTCGAAACGCGCAAAGAGAGCCTGGAGCTTGGATCTCGTCATGCACCGCTTCCCACCTCCTTTGATGTGATCATCTGCGGCTGCGGCCCCCGAGACCTACTCGCATCACCCTTTTCAGGAATCACTATAGTAGGAAGTATCCACGATTACTTGACCTGTCATCAGTTCATTCAAGCTGAGTGCATAGTCACTTACCCTCCGTGCCTCAAGGTCTACTTCTTTCTCTTCTTCTCAATCATCCTGCATCCCCGCGAATTCGCCGAAGGCCTGTCCGTACTAAGCAACGCAATCCAGGCTCGCGCCTCCACCATCCCCACCTAAACCTTGTGACTACAGAGTATCATATCCGAAGGCGACTACGAACTGCGTATCTCCTTAAATCGGATCAGGACCCGTACAAGTCGAAGAGGTCGGGTTTGAATGACAAGAATCGAGAGAGGTTTTCCATGAGACAAAGAACACTACCCATCATCCGCTGATACGACATCTGCTCCCTATAAAGGCCACCCTTTCACTTCTCGTGCTCATCGCAGCACGGCCCGCCCGTACGTCCGCGGGTTGGGAATCATGGCCTTTCAACAATCCGCCGCGCCGCGCCCTATTGTCTTCAACGCAAATCAATCCCAAGAGTCTTCGTCTCACACAGAATTACGACCAGCAGTAGAAGATTCACAGGAATGGGTTCTTTTCTCACCGTCCCAGGCGGAGTCTACCGTGAGCCGGACACAAACGAGTCAGACCGTTGGCCTATCGAGGGCGAGCGATCTCTCTCTCAATACTGCGGGGAGATCCGGTAGACATGAATCTTTGGTTTTGGATGAGGATGCCACAGAAGATGGCGACCTTGACAGCCTAGACGACGGACTGCATGCTTTCCGTGAACATCCTTTGGATCCGACCGTCTCTCATCAGACACCCGGTGCCGTGTTACCGGCCCATGACGGACTGGGGACGTTTCCCGCCTCGAGTGCCCCTGTCTTGGAGCAGTTATGGCAACACGAAGCCTACAATCCCAAGAGAAAGTACGATGGACAACACAGACGGCCTTCTAGCGTCCAAAGAAGACTTGATACCATAGATGAGATTGAGTTCCAGGCAAAAGAGGAGAAGCGAATGAGGATAGAACAATGGCGCTTGGAACAAAGCCAAGCACTGATGGAAGAGGTGGAACGGGAAACTCGTCGCCGTCTGCGACGGGATTCACGCCAGTCCGGTTATCAGGAGACTGTCGGCTCCCTCACCAATGATATACTTGGGTCGACGCCGAAGCAGAGCGACTATATTTATAGGTCTACTCAAGAACCCGAAGAAAACGAGCCTTTCTGGCGACGGATTACTAGGAAGTTTATTCGCGACGTCATTGGTATCGACGAGCCTCTTCTGTCTGTGATATTCGGAGAGAGTCTTCCAGAGGATGCCGAGCCTAGGCCCTCTTCTTCTGGTGGTCTGCCCACAATACCGGAGCAGATCCTGGAAGAAAGCAACAACGCCGAGGACGATTCGTGGAGAGATCGGCTACTTCAACGCATCGCTCGAGAATTGGGAGTCTTCGTCCATCAGCTCTCGCCTCACCCCGGTGCATTTACTGCGTACTCGCGCAGTCCCGATTACGCGGGGATGCCGGTGTCCATGCCACAGACGAGGCCTCGCACACCGATGATCCCAACTGTCGGTGACGGACAAATGCCAGAGACGGCAACTTCAGTGTTAACGCCCAACTTCCCGCCTACCGTACATGACGCCGCGCACGCCGAGAGCTGGGGCTTCGAGGAAGACCATGTGTCTACTACGTCGCCTCTTGACTCATCTATCAGTCTCCAGCGTGAGCGTGAATACTGGGAACGCGAGCTCGACTTAAAGATGGTTTTCAGGTACTTGAGGGACAAGTTCGTCACCAGGCCTACGGCACAACCGGCGGAAGCCTCGAGGCAAGTCACGGAGGACGCCGCAGCGCGCACGGCGATCATTCGTCAGCATCACCCTCTTGTGGCTCGGGCCCAGCGGTCTCCTGTAAGGACACGACGAGAATCAAGAACCAATATCAGAAGACCCGCAAGCAGCTGTGCCAGCGAGAGCGTTCGCAGTAGCAGGAAAGCTTCTGTGGTCAGGAGTGGTTCGAGTCGGAATTACTGGGACATTGGCGGGAGCGTGGGCAGCGGGAGTATCATGGCATCTGGTGGAGCTTGGGGTGAAGTATAGCATATTTCATTATTGCATTGACACGCGAAGGATATTGCTTCAACGCACCATATGGGCATCATTGGGGTGGGACAACTGTATGAATACTACGGATCACGACTTATTCCTTATCTGGGAGGTGGCTTTAATTCTGGGTTTATAGACATGACTGATCGAGCTAGCCGCATAGAACAAACAAGGATGCATTTCCAGAATTGCATCTTGAGAAATATACGATGTTAGTCCTTTCCCAACGGTATAGGTATAGTACTCTTGTGGTAGTAGGGGCATGAAAGATGTTGATGGTAATAATGATGGCGATGTGACTGACGTCCGTCACTTTTGCCACCTAGAACTTCAATGCTGGCTGCCTTGCTGAGCCCTACCACGTGACCACGACAGCTTGATCAGGCTGCAGTCACATGACCGATTGTGATTGGGTGCGTCGCAATTGCACAGTCGCACTCCAGTTTAGGTGGCGCGTGGGGTTTCTTTGTTTACTGGATCTAATTGCCATCTGGCTAATAAGTGGCATAATAAGTTGGAAGAGAAAATCGACTCTTCTCCTGTCAACTCTCCTTCTCTTGTCGCTGCTCTCATCCTGCGTCTCAGACGGCTTTCCACCGCGATCGCCGCCCATCCGGTCACTCTGAGCTGATACTGACCGGTCGGTGACTGCACGTCGTCTTAGCCATGGCAGAAGAGGACGAACTCTACTTTCTCCAGCCGGGATTTGATCTCAATAGTTTGACAATCCCCAAAATACGGTCGATCCTCGTCTCCCAAAATGTCGCATATCCGGCGTCAGCAAAGAAAGGTCAGCTGCTGGAGATACTAGATCAAGAAGTTGTACAGCACGCGAGCAAATTATTGAAAGCGCAGGCAAGAGTTCGGCGCACGAGCAAAGGCATAACGGATGTCCCTAGCAGTCAAGACAGCACAGGGGCTGGAGAGGATGAAGGCGACAAACAATTGATGCCACCTCCGCGTGCCCCCAAAACTCCACGCAGCAGGAAGAGCAGGTCGGATCTGTCAACTGCGGAGTCAGCGGCCACGACACCATCAACCTCATTGCGCTCTAAATCAACAAGCCGACGGAGGACAACGAGGACGCCGCGAGTATCCGACACCGAACCGGAAGTGGAAAAGTCCACTCGCAAACCACGAAAGAGTGCGTCGACCCAGGCTTTTTTAGAACCGTCGGTCAAGATTGAAGAGCCAGACCTTGGTCTGAAGAGAGAATCCTTGGAGTCTGGGACAAGTCCATTCTCAGATGAGAACCCGTTTCAATCAGGGTCCAGTCCACCTTCTGCTTCTGACCGACGGCAATCCGCTTCCAGATCGCGAAAATCCCTGACGGCGACAAGCACCAACAAAAGTCCTACCAAACGCCGACAGACAACTTCGCCATCTGTTGTGTCAGGACAAACACGCTCGAGCTACTCGTTTCCGGCGTCAAGAATCAGCTCGAGTGGAACAGAAGACGGTGTCCCTGTGACCGAGGAATTTACCCCAGATGCCGCCCAAGAGCTCGCCGAGCAAGAGAGGAACGGCCAAGTTGTATCAGGCAGGACCTCGACACTCGTGCGGCGGAAGAAGAAGCAGCCGCCCAGCACCGTGGCGAAAACTGCGCCGTGGGCTGTCATTACCACCATCATAGCGGCTCTGGGAGCATGGTATAGACAAGAGAAGATCAGTGTCGGCTATTGTGGAGTAGGCGAGCCCAACTGGTCTCTTGCGACCAATCCACACATTCCTGCCTGGGTGCACGATAGCTTACAGCCAGCATGTGAACCTTGCCCACAGCATGCAGTCTGCTATCCCGACATGCAGGTGCAGTGCGAAACCGACTTTGTTCTCAAGCCTCATCCGTTAAGTTTGAATGGGTTGGTTCCTCTGCCCCCGACTTGTGAGCCTGACAGCGAAAAGGAGAGGAGGATCAAAGCTGTTGCAGACAGGGCGATCGAAGAACTCCGAGCACAAAGAGCTGCATATGAATGTGGGGACAAGGCCATCAGCTCGAAAAAGGCAGTTCCATCTTCATCTGGGAGTGCTCGCGCAGTTGCCAAATCCAAGGCTACCAAGTTGGAAGTTGGGGAGGAAGAACTGAAGAAAACAGTTTCCAGCGCCAGAAGAAAGGGAATGAGTCCGGACGAGTTTGAAGATCTTTGGCGCGGAGCATTAGGAGATATTATGGGCAGGGAGGAAGTGACTGTCACTCGCGATGGGTAAGTTGTGGCCCAGCCTCTCCCTTATTCTGTTCCTTTCGCCCCAGAGCTTTCATTTCTTTTTCAACTTTGCGAATCGCTGACTGACCAAGTGTCTCCGTTACGTCTTCAGATCTGGGAGAGTCCTCCTCTCCAGCTCCTCCCTCGCAAGGCTACCCCTCACCTGCGCAGTCCGACGATCCGTATTCCGAGCGATTACGCAACATCGAATCCCTGTTGGCATTTTAATGCTCCTGCTATCCAGTGTGGCGTATGGGCGCAACAAACTGATCGCCCATCGACGAGCTACGGCACAGATTCCAGGACTCGTTGCCACGACCTTGGACAGATTGGCGACTCAGGCGGCGCTCAAAGAGGATGGACGCACCTCGGAAGCCTTCATCAGCGTTAGCCAGCTCAGAGACGATGTGCTGAGAAATGTCTTCAGTGCATCAGAGAGAGAACGGGTGTGGCAGAACGTAAGGAAGATCGTGGAGGGCAACTCCAACGTGAGGGCAGCAACGAGAGAAGGAGGCAAGACCGGGGAATGGAGTCGAGTATGGGAGTGGATTGGACCGGTCGACCTCGCGCCGGGTCTAGAAGGTCGAAGGTCTGGCGGGCTGATCACGGATGGTAGAGCAGCGCCGGGTGGAGGAAGTAATGGAAGTGTCGAGAGAGGAGAGGATCGGTCGAACTTGGAGATCAGGAGATGGGATGAGGGCAGGCCCATCTACTGATCTGGCTGTCACGACTTGTTTATTTGGCCATTCCTTTCTTCGGGCCATGCGTGGTACAGCAGTGGTTCAGTTTTTCGAAGTTGATATCCCCCAAGGCTGGAATCATAGAGATGCTCCGGGGATCCTGTCGATTGCGGTTTCGCGTTCTCTCTGGGTTCTGCAACCATTTTCTAATGAATGACATACCATGGCCTTTGCCCGCTACTGTGGATTGTCAAAAGGGTGCAGGGTATTTTCAAAACAAGTCGATGTGTGATTAAGGAAAGATACTATGTTGCACGGGCACCTCTGATGTAGTAGTCTATTATGGTTTAGAGCCTCGACATATTACTGATCGACGCCGAATGGTATTGACAATATACGAAGTAGAGTCTTTGATGACTTCATCTCTTTCACTCGAACCACAGAACGAAGACCATCATGTTCAGACATACACTGCAACTTGTTCATAGCCTCTCGTACACTAAGCAGCCGGTGTTACTGCTAGGTAGTAGGGCGGCGTTGCCGCATAGCCGAAACAGGATTTAATGAGTGTTAGTACTAGTAATTAGTCCTTGCCTTAGCCATGATTAGTTAGTCTCCCCACGATTTAGCGCGGACACCGCGTTTTCTCTGTTTGCACTTCTCCAGACAATTTGGCGGCATCCGCTTTCCTTGCAGCCAGCAGCCGGCAGCCAGCACCTGGCAACATCCCATATCTAGACTGAGGAGGTTCTCTGTCCAATCCGTCCTGCAACAATGAATGAAGATCTTGCACCGCCGTCCAAGCGACGTCGAACTTCGAGCGTCGGGTCAGTCACTTCACGAGATCCCTCTCCCCACGCTCGATCCCGACCTTCAGAACAACACCATTCGGACTCTGCTCGTTCCAGAGGAACCACAAGAAGAGAGAGGACATACTCGAGTTCGCGAAGTCGAGACGGCAGCAGAGATGACACTCCACGTCGGAGACCGCGTCTGAGTCGGAGTCGAAGCCGATCCCGGTCTCCTACTACAAGGAGACGTTCCAGCAGAAGTCCAACAGGCAGTTCCGCATACGATTCGGCACGGGAACACCAGAACCAACAATCTCGCTCTCGCTCTCGATCTCGGTCGCACTCACGCTCACGAGCACGACGGCGCTCGATGTCAAGGTCACGGTCAAGGTCGACTACATATACTCCTCGCTCGTATGATGGGACCAGATCACACTCGCGCTCACGTTCCCGCTCCACGGAATCGGCTGTTCGACAGTCGTCGTCAGAGAAGCCGAAACTTCTAACCTTCGTCCCTCTTGTTACGATCCCACGCGCCCACGCCCGAGGAATCACATCCCTCAAGTTCTCACCCGACATGGCGCTCCTGGCCACAGCGTCTGCCGACAACACGATCAACATCTACGCTGTACCGGCGAACCCAACACCCAACGTACCCTTCAAACTCCTCCGGACTTTGCGTGCCCACCTTGCCGGAGTCAACGCGATCGCATGGTCGCCTGTCGGCCCACCATACACACTCGCGTCAGCCAGTGACGACAAATCGATTCTTCTATGGTCACCACTGGCCTCCGACTTCCCGATCTCGCCGTCTCCGCTGGTCGGACACAGCAACTACGTGTACTCGCTGGCATTCAGCCCGAAAGGCAACATGCTGGTAACTGGATCCTACGACGAAGCAGTGTTTCTATGGGACGTACGCGCTGGCCGCGTGATGAGAAGCTTGCCCGCGCACTCTGATCCGGTGGGAGGGGTGGACTTCCTGCACGACGGGACGATGGTTTGCTCGTGTGCAGGCGACGGACTGATCCGCATTTGGGATTCCGGGTCCGGCCAATGCCTCAAGACACTGGTCGACGAGGACCGCCGGCCCGTCACCAGCGCTCGATTCACGCCGAATGGCAAGTTCGTACTCGCATGGACACTGGACAATTCGATCCGTCTGTGGCGCTATACCGAGGGCACCTGTGTCAAGACTTACCAAGGGCACGTGAACCAGGAATACAGTCTCAGCGGGACCGTCGGGAGCTACTATCCGTCTACGAGTGGTGGCCAGGGCCAGGGCCATGGCGTCGCTGAAGCGTTTCTGGCCAGCGGAAGCGAAGACGGCGACGTGGTCGCGTGGGACGTGACTAGCAAGGATATCCTCTGGCGTGGCAAGGGACACAAGGATGTCGTCTTGTCTGTAGACTTTGGGAGGACCAAGGCCGGGAAGGGCCTGTTGGTCAGCGGAGGCAAGGACCGTGATGTACGTGTCTGGATGCTCGAGGGCGAATCGAGACACGACCTTGCAGAACGCGGTGGGGACGAGATGGATCCCAATATGGGCATGGAGATGGATGTCGATATGCAGATGCCTGCTGAACCAGAGACGGAGACGGAGGTGGAGGCGGAATCGGATCTCATCAACGGCGAAAGAGAACATGCCAGACACAAAGGAGGACGGACGGAGCAGAATCCAGCTGGTGGGAATGGATCAGCTATGGATGTTGATGTTGATGACGCTGTCGGCACCCCTGGTCTTGGGAGTGCCTGACTGTTACTTCCGGCTGGGTGATCGCAAAAGCCCTACAAGGCACTTGCAACGACAGCTATAGAAATCCACGACCCCTTACAAATGCCAATCGCGATGCTGCAATCGAAGTTTGAAGTCCATACGCTCTGCAGAGTCAAGGTGCTGTTGTGAAATAGCTCGCTCCAACATCTCATTATTCAACGCTACTACTACACACCGTAGCTGCTGTATAGGTAGACTAAGGAAAGTGAACACAACTCAACCAAGTACGGAATTAGATCCAAGAAATCAATATCCCACCATCTCGATTGAAGGGGTTCTTGATGTAAGGCATGGGTGGTTGTCTCGAATCAGATAGCAACCGTTTTAGCCTTCTGCAATGCGCACTCTGATCGATCGCTGACTAGCAAGACACCCAAGATAGACAGACAGACATACATCAGGTACAATGGCACCCATACTCGGACACAAATGATATCGGTCCGTCCGCGCCCGTCCACGCCTTCAAGCATTCATGGCATTCCATCTAAGCCAAGCAATCTAGCCAAGTTCAACCGACTATCTAGAGACATGCATCCCTTGCTGTAGAATGCAGTAGCAAGTCCCGACCAGGGACGTCATCTCGCGACGCGAAAGTTCCCTCTAGCCTGCTCGGCTTTGAAACCGTCGCTCTGACTGGGCAGTGGTCCACGCCTGCGTACTCCGTCACTGCCACTGCCACTGGCGGCCGTGCCTCCTCCAGGTCCAAGTAGACCCGGTATACCGCCTGGATTTGGCGAGGTTTGCATGCCGAGGCCTGGAAGACCGCCAACACCGCCACTACCACCGGCATTAGGAATGGGAAGCGGCGGCATCTGGAAGCCAGGCGGCAGATTGAGTTGTGAAAAGTCGATTGGAGCGGCGGCGCCAGCTTGACCCGGATATCCGGCTGGTGGTGGAATGGCCCCTGAGGGAGGAGCTTGGTATTGTGCATGTTGTTGCGACATGGCGAGGAGTCGTTGGAGGGCTTCGGCGTCAATGCCTGGGATGGAGGGGAATGGCAGCGGTGGTTGTTGTTGGAAGCCCGAGCCGGAGGATTGAGGTCGGCCGGGCATGAGAGATAGTGGAGGCGGTGGGATGGTGAAGCCAGGCGGGCCAGACGATGGTTGCTGCTGCTGCTGCGTTGATCCGTTCATTTGGCCGATGCCAGGAAGACCAGGTAGACCTGGGATGGAGAAGGCAGCACCGGCAGCTTGCGAGCCAGGGGCGGTGCCTTGGTCTTCCAGACCCTCGGCTTCGTCTTCGGCCTCTTGCTCTTCCAGTTCTCTGGCTTGGCGGCGCCCGAACTTGCGGTCCCATGTGCCTTGAGCCTCGGCGCCCTCTTCGCCCAGATGGAACTGGTCTTTGAAGCACATGCTTTGGCCAGGCTGCGCGCGAGACCAGAACCGCGTGTAATGGTCGTTGGAGCCGGATGCTAGGATATGGCCCAGCGGATGCCAGTCGAGCGACCAGATGGAGGAGTCGTGCGCGTGCGGGATCCGGTGGGCTGGATAAATGGATTGTGCGGGCGCCGATCTCGGGTCGGACGAGGCGTAGGGGGAGATTGTTGTTGAAGAGATGCCAGGAGGGGTATTGGGTTCGGTGAGCAAGTAAGTGTGTAAGGAACCGTCATCGCCGCCCGTGCTGATCAAGCTGGGATGGATGGGATGCCATGACAATGTGGTCACGCCTTTCTCGTGCCCCCGTAGGACTGCCACGTCTCGCATCAGCCGCAAGTCAAAGATGCGGATCTGGCCATCTCTACCGGCCGTGGCGAGCAACTGGTCACGTAGACGGCTGAAGACGGTGGCGGTGATGGCATTCTTATGCCCATGGAGCGTCGTCAGATTCCGGGTCGTGCGAGGGTCCCATAACCTGACACTGTGGTCTTTGCTTCCGGAAACGACCAGGCCCTTGGTGGGATGCCAGTCGCACGCCTTGACGTCCCATCCGTGCTCCTTGAAGGTGGATTCGTTGGTGGACGAGGTGAAGTCCCAGATCTTGAGGGTGTTGTCGTCCGAGGCCGTCACGAATTTCGTGTCCGAGGGCGCAAACGCAATATCCCGAATGGGCGCGTCATGGCCTCGGAATTGATGCGGATTGTTCAGCGTCGGCTGGAGATAGTAGACGGTGCCCTCGTCGTTGGCTGCAACCAGCCAGTCCTTTCGATTCGACCACTCGGCAGCGCGTAGTGAGCTCGATCCCATGGCGGTGACAGTCTCGAAGTTAAAGGACATGCCGTTCCACAGCATAAACTCCCCATTGTGCACGCCTGCCAGCAGTCGACGGCCTTCTGGCATCCACCGGACCACGGTCACGGGCTTTTTCGACTTGCCCAACGAGGTGTGTAGATGGCGCACTGGAATGGATTCGGCTGGGGCGTCGCGCCGTGCTGCCGGCGGCAACATGTCAATCACATAGCTCAGACTCGGCCGTTCCTGTTCATAGTGATAGCTTCCTTTGTACGCCGGTTTCCGATGGCTCATCCATTGAACCATGGAGGAGCCATAGTCGGTGATTGGTCGCGGCCTCCTTCGCCGAAGACCACCTTCACCCTGGTCATCGTACATATTGGCCATCTTGAGTAGGAACCGAACTCATGGGCGCGCCGTTGACGAGTGAAGGGCAACCTGACGAGCGCGATTTGAGGTTGTTCCAAAGGATATTCGATGAGTTAGTGGTGGAATGACAGGGCAAATCGAGGTACCAGACAGACCCCTGGGTCCAACCCCGAGAAAATATTTGTAGAGTTCTGCAGGCTCAGTCGAAGTCACCAGTTTGCAGACTATCATGTGAAGGATTGAGATGGACGTGTTAGAGATGGTTGTTGAGTGGTTGCGGATGGAAGTTGTCGTGGTTGTAGTTCTGACGTCCAATCAATGTACATGTCACGTGGTGTCACGTGACACGGCTGGCTCCCCCATGGCGAGGGAGAGTGAAGGAGAGGGCTACAGAGTATTCACCACGAAGGAAGGGGACCTAAAGTCTTTATGAAGTTCTATAGATGACAGATTATATAACATTCCTATATTTTCACTACTACGTAGCCAAACTGCCAAACTTAGCCTGCCAGGAGAAAAAGTAGATCATGACCGCCAACGGCTGGCCAACGAACACAAAATTGATCCAAAAGATACAGTTCCCGATCACCTTCCCTGTGCCATCTTTCCTGGTCAATGACTCTGTAAATTGAATTAAAGGCAACTGGAGCACCATCCCCAGGAATGCAACCCCGAGAATGCTGTGGCACGGTACCCCGACCGCCAGTTCGTGTAAAAGTCCCGAAAACGCAAAGACCAACGCGCTGGCAACTTGAGGAGGCCACCCGCGACCGACGAGTGGGGAGTAAATATGTCGGCGCATGAAGTGGTAGACCGGCTTGTTCCACGTCGCCCAGTACATTTTGAGACTCGTGCTGTTCCACCAATCCTCATAAAAGCCACGATCGCCAAACATCATGATTTCAGCCAGAGCATTCAAGAATGACTGGAAAAGGGCAAAGAACCCTGCCAGCCAGACGATCAAGGAGATGGTTGACAACTTCATCAACCGTTCGGCAATCGAGGAGAAGTCGAGGACGGCCATGCCGTCGAGAGAGTTGTGAAGGACGGGAATAGCATATTGAGCACAGATGAGCCAGATGAAAACGCACAAGGCGAGCACCTCTCCCACCCGTTTGAAGAAGAAGGTCCATCTTATCCGATCCGTCCGTGGATAGTAGGGTTGATACACAAGGGTCGGCGCCCACCAGAAGTAACACAGATTCCGCAAGGTGACGTTCCGGGGGTAGGGACATTTCGAGTAGATCTCAGGCAGAGCTGACTCTGGTCCACCCGGGTGTAACATGGCATGTCGAAGATCCCGATTGGTGAATGCGTAGGAGCAAGTTTTCAACCAGACGACGATAGCATGGAGTTCGCTGATCATGCCCAAACCGGGATTGTAGACATGGTAATAAACCACATAGCTACTGATCAGCAGGGCCAGAGACGCATTCAAGGTATGAGCAAAGGCAATCCACCACCAGGTATAGTAGAAATCACTCTTCTCCTTTTCCGTCTCGGGTTTGCTGCCGTCCGGATCGTCCTTTTTGCGCCTGCCCACGGCCCCTTTGGCATTCTCCATCGCCACCCGCTCGATGATATAGGCGACGAAGAGGTGGCATGGCGTGAGGGCATACAGGATCAATGCGGTATTGATGTCCTGGCTGCGTATGTTGAACTTGAGCGTAATCAACAGGCCGTACTTCTGAGCGTTCTCGACCACCAACCGTAGGTTCATGACGATGATGGTCAGCACCATGAGGTTGCGGAACCCGATGAAGCTCGGGGTTTCCGATGCCTCATGGCTCAGACACGACGGCTGCACCTTGGAGTGTAGAGCCGCGACATGGCGATACTTGCTGCGAATCCTAGGTCCCGACTGGTCATTGCCAGCAGAGCCACCGGGCACTTCCACAGGTCCTCTAACGTCGCCCAAGCCCTTGTTCGTGACGTTATGGGCCTCGCTCAGTACAGTATGTACATTGCTAGACATTATGCGTATGCGTCCTGCCAAGTGCAAAGAGAAGGTATCTTATGGTCTTGTAAGAGATCCGGTGCGTGAAATTTTCGGTCTTGATCTAAGATTCATCCTTCAAGTACATTCATTCGTCGGACATGTTCCAGATGAGGCGGAATGGAGGGAGGGACATGGGCAGGCAGGAGGTTGCGGCCAGACATGCTGAAGGGTCTAGGGCATGTCAGAGGATCGGCCGTGCGGGCGCCATGGCGTAAAGGGAAATCGGCAGAAGATGACGAAAGGATACGGGAGGAGATCATGCAAGAAACACGGACGTGTACGTGTCACTCTAGTCCATCCAAGGAACAAACTCGCTTGAAGCTTGAGAAAATGGTGGGGAGAGTCCAAGATGGCAAGATGGGAAGTGATCTCATGTTGGGCTTGGGAGGCCTAGGGCCTGTCATCGACAACCCCATAGTATTGGCCATCTTCGACTATATCAACCCCCCTACGCTACCTCAGTACGTAGTAATTAATTAGTGCTCAGTACCTAGTAGGTGCACAGAGAGCAAAGAACGGAGTAATTACGGTGAATATCCTCGCCCATACTACCAGGTATAATTGTACAGAGTGGTCGTACTGCGCAGACAGCTGCAGACCCCTTGCAGCATGCGGTATTCCTTGGGCAAGTACGGAATTGAGTAGGGAGGATTTTGTATTGATCTCACAATAAAATAGTTTGAGACAGACTCTTTTGGCTGTCTCTGCCAATATATCCTGAGGGAAGAGGAATCGTTTTCAGCTGCTGTCGGCTGTCGGCTTGATATCTTATGATCCATCAGTTCTTCTTCGGTTCAATGGCCTCTTTCACCACCTCTTGAGCCTTGCTACCTTCGATTTCGTCGTCGTTGTCGCCTTCATCCGCCGCTTCCAAGTCTGCCTCAATCTCGTCCTTCTCGGTCGGTGGCCCGGTCCGGTCTGCGTCTATAGCAAATTCATTGACATCGCTTCGAGGCGCTTCACCGCCACTCATTTGCCACTCCATCAGTTTGGTAAAAGCTCCATCCGGTCGACTGCTGAGTTCTCGGTACGTGCCCATTTCCGCGACATGGCCATCGCTACTCAAGCAGATGACCGTGTCGGATCGTTTGATCGTCGAAAGTCGATGGGCGATAGAGATGGTGGTGTTACTCGCCCTCAGTAATGACGCCAAAGCTTCATTAACAAGAGTTTCTGACTCGGCATCGAGGGCGGAAGTAGCTTCGTCCAATATCAGAATGTCAGGTTCCTTGACCAGGGCTCGAGCAATGGCAATTCTCTGCTTTTGCCCACCAGACAATTGTGTCCCACGTGCGCCGACATGCGTGTCGAGACCATCGGGGAAATCGCTGATGAACTGGCAGTTGGCTCGTCTCGCTGCTCGCAAGATCTCGGCTCTAGTGGCGTGCGGCCTGCCATAGGCAATGTTCTCGGCGATGGTCCCAGAAAACAGGACCGGCTCCTGCGATACAATACCGATCTTCCGGCGCAGAGATTTGACATTCATTGTCGCAATGTCCTTTCCATTGATCAAGATTTGACCTTCAGTAGGTGCGTAAAATCTCAAAAGTAAGGAGGCGATGGTGCTTTTCCCTCCACCCGACGGCCCGACAATGGCCACATTGGAGCCCTGAGGGATCTCAAAGTCAAGGTCCTGGAAGATCTTCACGGCAGGTCTTGTCGGGTAACTGAAGGAGACGTTCTTAAACCGAATGGGTCCCCGGGCTGACACAACCTTTTCGCCTTTGGTGGGCGAGATGGTGGGTTGGCGGTCCTGCAGTTCAAACAGCCGGGATGCTGCACCAACGCCCTTCATAAGTTCGGAATAGAATGATGATAGTCCAAAAAGTGAAGATCCCGCGTATGCTGTATACATGAGAAATGAGGTAAGTTCGCCAATGGAGATAGTTCCATTCGAGACCATACCGCCGCCGACGTAGAGAAGTGTCAGTATGGTCATATTACCCATTAGTCCTGTCGTCGAGAAGAATGTGGCGCTGATCAAAGACTCTTTCCTCCCAAGGTCAAAGATTTTGCGGACTTGAGTGTTATATCGATGTACCTCGAGGATCTCTCCGGCGAATGCTTGCGAGGTTCGCACATTTCCCAGCCTCTCCTCCGCAATCTTCGTCAGTGTTCCAAGATTCTTTTGAATCTTTCGGCTGAGGTTTCGTATCGATCGCCCGTAGAAGAAGGCGCCCAGCGCAATAGGCGGGAACAGCAGAAACAAGAGGCCAGTCAGTTTGAGGGAAACCCAGGCCATCAGACCAAATCCCGCGGCCCCACTGACGAAGGAGCGTAATCCGTCAGAAAGATTTTGTGTGATGGATTTTCCAACAATGATGGTGTCCGACCCGAGTCTGGAGATCAAATCGCCTACTCTGTTCGCATCGAAGAACTCCGCATCTTGGATAAACGTCTGTCGAAAGAGTTTCGACCTAAGCCTTGCGACAATTCGTTCTCCCACGATTCGAAGGATGATGATTCGCCCGTAGTTGGCCGCCGCGCCGGCTGCAAGGACCGCAGCGAGAGCAGTATAAAAGGTGGTCAAAGTGAGACCGAACAGCATGTCAGTCTTGTCTTCAGCCTCAGGACCTTCTGTCTTTGCTCCTCCCTTGGTGGCAATGTCCAGAATCTTCCCAATGGAGAAAGGAATCGACATGCTAATGGTCGAAGAGATCAGTAGGAATAGAAACGCCCATCCAAGGACTTTGGCCTCTGGCCGAGCAATCTTGATCAGACGCCACACTTCCCCAAAGCCTGAGTTCTTGGTCGTAGATCCTTCCTTTGATAGTCTTGCGCTGAGGTTGACGTGGGAAGCCTGCGCCGCTTTCTCACTCTTCTCGAAAGCCTCCTCTTCCTCCACATCATCGTTCTTTTTTGACCGAGCTTGGTCCTTGATGACCGGCGTTGGATACTCTTGAAGGATGCGACAGTTGGAGAAATGTTTGGCCTGTACAGCTATGCCAGATTGGCGAGGAGCGAATAGCTGGAGTAGTTTCGATCTCGAGAGCGCGCGGGATGCTGTTGAATCGAAAGGGCTCCGGCAGCGGACAGCCGATGCAGCAGCAGCATGAATCGCTCGAGCCTGTATCCGCGAGTGTCGTGGAGAGGAGTTGTACAAGGAGAGGAGGATTTTCTGATCGACTTGATTCAGACGAGGCCCATGTTGAAAGGGCCTGAAAGCAAGCAGCACCGAGCTGCGGGTGGCATTCATGCCGTTGGCGAGGACTGATCACGAAGTATCTGATGTGATCAGGGCATGTTATTCGTTCTCTCCATCTTGATGAGAGCCGCACACGAGGAAGACCGCAGGAGATCCAGGTGCTTCGGAGTGTTGGGAGCGCATTGAAAAGAGATGGAAAAGCGACTTTACACCTGCTGCCTCTAAAACGCGGGTCAATGACGAGAGCGTGGCCGATTGAATGAGGAACTGCAATTCTGACTGGGTCTGCCAAAGGTCCAGTTGCGGCGGCCTGAGCTTGTCCAGGACTTCGTCCCGTACAGGTGGCCGCAGGTGCCTACTGGGTGCGTTAGGCGGCAGAAAGGGTGATGCTTAGTGCCTGGAGATATGGAGCTCCTTAGGCCTAAGCCTGTCAAACTCCCCACTATTAGTAGTAGCTGGTGGTACACGCACCATTAATAACAGAGTGCAGACACCGCGTCCCTCACGCTACGTGCACAGCACTACAGGACCACTGGCACCCCTCCAATTCTAGAAGCATCCTCCCGCCGTGGGCAAACATCCAACATAACCAGAATACAAACCAAATAAACCAACGACCACATCCTTTGACAGCCAGAATCTGTCTATTCCAATTTCCTACTTCCCTTCAAACCTTACCACTCATCCAAACCATCACCATGCCCATTTCATACGACAAATGGGACAAGCTTGAAGTATCGGACGACAGTGACGTCGAGGTACACCCCAACGTTGACACCAAGAGTTTCATCCGAGCCAAGCAGCGACAGATCCACGAACAACGGGCTCAGAGGAAGCACGAGATTGAGACACTCAAATACGAACGCATCATAAACGATGGTCTCCTAGAACGCATCAATGCCCTGCTAGATGCCCTGAAGAAACATCAAGAGGAAGCAAGCACAAAGAACCCCGAGGAGCTGGTATTTCAATCCTTGATTGAAAGTGCAGGAGATCCCGCCAAAGATGAGCCACCCAGACCACCCGAGGGTGTTCATACGCACCAACAGGAGCAACCGCGCTATTCCAAGATGATGGGTGCGTTGGTGGACCAGGTGAAGAAGGAGGTGGACGAAAAGAGTTCTCCAGACCGCTATAAGGACTTCATCGACGGTGTCAATGGCCACCTCACCAAGGTCCAGAAGCTACAGCAGGATCTGTTGAAGCGGCTAGCGGAGCTGGAAAAGGAAGCATCGGCGAAGATTACCAGTGAAGACATCCACGTCGGATTCGACTCATCATTTATCAACAAACCCAAAGCAAAGTCCTCCTCGACCGAGAAGTCGAAAAAGCCGGAGAAGAAGGCAACGGAAACCGTCGAGCTTCTTAACGCGCCCAAGGGGCTCACTTCGCAGACACGGGATGCCTTAAAGTCAGCAGACGGTGCCATCTCCTCTGGGGCAGAGGCTGATGTTGAGGATGATGCGCTGCTCGAGAAGGGCAAGGGCCAAAGTGAAGGTGAAGACGACGAAGACGAAACGAATCTCAAACTCACCCCGGAGGGCAAGCAATTCGCAAAGATCAAGTTGGGCGACTACCGCACATGCCTCCAATACATCTCGGAACATCCAGAGATAGTCAATGAACGTACCCAGGATGCCCTCATGATTGAGGCATTCAATGCACAAATGAAAGGAGAAGATAACTATGCTAAACAATGCGTCCACCAGAGTCTGCTGATTCAATATTGCCGTCAACTGGGCCGAGACGGCGTTGGACTGTTCTTCAAGCGCATCACCACAAAGGGCCATCAAGCACAACAAGTGTTCAACAAGGACCTGACAGAGACTTACGGCAGGATCAAGACTCGGGCGGCCGAGTTGAGCAAGGAAGAAGGTACAGACCCTGCGGGAGTGGAACAGATTCAACTCCATGCTGTCGAACCTGGCACTGAGATTCACATCAATGTGCCCCAGGCTGGCTCGGATGATCCTGTCGAGCAAGAAGCGCGGGAGATCTACGAGAGATTCCCTCCTGGCCTGCAGCGTGCTCTGGAGAGTGGCAGCCTTGACGAGGTCAACATGGTGCTCGGGAAGATGAGCGTCGATGAGGCTGAAGAGATCGTGGAGCTCTTGGGCCAGGGCGGGATGCTGAGTCTGCAGGAAGGTGTGATCGATGCCACTAATGAAGAGGGCCAGAAGCGTCTGAAGGAGATTGAGGAAGAGGAGAGACGTAAGAAGGCCGAGAAAAGCAAGCAGCTCGAGGCTGAAGGAGAACCTGGCGAGGCTGTCGAGGCGTAGAATTGCAGCGGGAAGAGTGATTGACGAGGCAGCGGCATTCTTCAGATACCATGTGTAATGTTCGGCGTCCATGGTTGATATTGATACCAAAAGCAAATGATGTAACTCCTGCTTGCTCGTTTATTATGATTGTAGAACGTGTCAATGTCTCCCTCCGTCCAGCTCGCACTGCCAGTGGTTCACTCGACAGGCGTCAAATCAAGATGCGCCCAAGACGACATCTCCGCTTCGTCCCTTCTTTCCTTCATATTCACACATGCACGAGTATACGAGTGGCTCCATACAGCATCCATGACCAATGAGGGGGGCCTGACGAACTCACCGTCGACCGACTTTACTACGGTCACGAGCCCAGCCATCCAGAGGATATCCCTACCATCCACGACGATTTGCCTGTTCATGTTGACCTCAGCCCGAGTCAGCCGCTCGAGAGAATGTGGCAGAGAAACAGCGCACGGCATATTTGACACCCACTTGCTGGAAGGGCATCCAGGCTACGGCTGAGAGCTATCAAGCATATTGTCCCTCGAACTGGTGTACGGCCTGGAAAGGATAACCGAGAGCTGCAGCTTGTCGACCGCTAATTGCTGGACGCTCCAACTCACTGGGGTTCGGCGGCCTGAAATACAATGGCTAGGCCTGCCTTGACCAGATTCTGTACTTGTCCACCCTCCTCTTCTACCGAGTCACTCGATGGGCCTGATGTGGCAAAAGGCTCCAACAATGATTGTGGGAAGGTTGCGGCATGGACAGTGGCAGCACAGGCACCATAAGTATAATGGCTGTTCCAACAGAGATTGTACGCACCAGAGATGGTCCTTCGCAGCCTCATCTTTTCGTTGTCCTGTTGCCGCTTCGACTTCAACTGCAGTTCTCATACTCCAGCAGTGGCCTGGATAGTATGACTGCCCAATGTCTGCTCAAGAAACGATGATGTCGAGACTTCTTCTTCTCCTTCTCCTCCTCGCTCTGTTTTTCAGCCTCGTCTCCTCGGAACCCTGCGAGCCTGAGGGACCGAAAGTACAGGACTGTCCCATCAAGGGAAACAGCGACTTCTACGGACTTGGAGTTCGCATGGGCATATGTACGTACAGGAAAGCGTCGCTCCGTGTTTAATTTGCAGATTGCAAGATTCTCTCTTCCAGCTCCACTGACGCTTATTTGTGTCCTCCAGACTCAGCCTGGCTCACATCGTGGTTGGCCAACAATTTTCTCTCCGAGGAAATCACAGGCAGTCTGGAAACCAATTCGATATTCCTGTTTGCCCTTTTCGCAACCGTGCTTTTCTACTCAGTTCAGGAGAACGGCATCCGTGTGATTGACGTCCTCGTCATCCATCAGCTATGTACGGGTTTCCTATTCAGCGTCATGTCCCTGTGGGGTTACCGGACCATGTACTATCGGACAGAAGGACCAGGAGGTCGCCGCCATTTTGGTGGATTTGGAACACATTTCCGACTCGTGCTGATGGGCATGATCACCGCCTACGGCGTCTGGTTCTGGATCGAGGGCGTCGAGGACGGCTTGAGCGACTGTGATCGACGTAGAAACTGTGGCGGTTTGCAATCATTCTTCGTCGTGCCCGTTAAAGTGGACAGTTGGGCCAACAGAAGCATCCAGCTCGTGGTAAGCGTCGGCGCAGCCACATATTACGGTATCATGAATCTTGCCGCGCTTGCAGGCGGAACAGCATATATCGTCCGTCGCATCGCGGGTAAAGCAGTCCACTGGGAACTGATCAAAGAGCAGGATTCGAGCGTCAACTTGACGAAACGAGAGTGAGTGTTGCACCTCCCCCTCTTGCCCATCTCCCAGACAAGAGGGCTTTCTGTCTCTTCTCACATCAGAGCAGCGTTCCATATGAGAACAGAGCCGGTTGCTTGGTTGGTTACTTGTAGGTACCCGGACTAATCTGTTTCAGGCTCACGAAATGGTATATCGGCCTCTCATGCTTCAATCTTGCATGGATTGTCTACGCGATCGTCAGCATCGAATTCACCCTGAACTTGAACCACATGAACAACGTCATTGGAACTTCAGGCCTCGTCGGCCCAGGTCAATTGATTCCTTTGGCGATCGGCCTCCTCAGCCTCACGCGGGTACTATACATACTCTCACGCCAGCACATTCCGTGGCTTCGAAAAAAAAACAGGGGCAGCAACGATGACGACGATAGCCAAGTCGGACACTTCTCTCCAACGTCCGACCGGAATTACATAGCTGGCATCGGCCTCACCATGACAAACACCCAGACCATCTATTCGCCGCACTCTTCTTCGCCCGGCCAGACACCGTCGGTGGATAGAGGTTCGATCTCGACGTTACCGCCACTTCCAGCGATAGCGGCTCCGTCACAGAGACGATCGCTGCCGCACCGCATCCTACTAGCATGGCTGCCTTGGCTCGGGCTTTTTGAATGGTCCAAGCATTCGCTCACCCCGTCGTTGGGCCATTATTCGAGTTTCGGCGGTCTGAGTCTGAATGGTCTCTATGTGCGGGGTGGGAAGGCGACAAAGACCAAAGATGCCGAAGCTGGGTTCGAGGTTACGAGAAGGACAGAACCAGCATTCGAACTCACGAAGACTCGAACAGTCGATTCTGGCATGAATCCGCAGGCAATGAAGCCACTACGATATTCCAAGTCTCGCTACGTCCGGATCAGAAGCCCTCCTGGTCAGCAGCATGATCATGACCATGATCAAAGTCAGCCATCGTCGACGACCACGACGACCAGTCCTGTAGAAGTGTCAATCAACACAAAAAGGGAAAGGGAAAGGGAAAACGAACAGCCATCGATAATCACGGCCGGTCTGCTGAGTTCCCCGCCGCAATTGGCTCCCGGGCAGAAAGGGTTGATGTCTCCAGACACGGGTGATAACAAGATGGATATCCAGGTGGATTTACAGGGCCAGCGACGGTCAGAATCAAGTGAGGTTGGGATCACAGGACATGCTAGAGGCATCTACGATGGAGAAGGTTATGACCATGACGATTACGAAGATTATGATATAAGTTGGCGATCTCATGAATGAGTATTAATAGGATCAATGAAGGTATATGATGACCATAGACCATCTTGGAAGAAGAACGCCACGGTCACGAATGATCGTGACTATCAATACCTGCAATAATAAGTACATGTATCAAATATGACAAACTAGGAAATGCTGTTTCAACCTTCTTCTAATCCCCAAGAGTCTACTTTTCACGATATGACATCTGATGCTGAGGGCTCGGTCTGGAAACATCCAAGGTGTTCATCGCATGGTATCTGATACGCCTACATGAGGTAGGTAGATATCTCGTCTTGCCAATACATTATTGAGGCCGCCGCCCAGTATCTGTCCCACAAATGGATGACGAGGAGTGATCAAGCTGCTCATGACAAGGAACGGTTGCGAAGAATATGGTCACCTCTACAGGGGTCTTGTCCTGTCTGCGCGTAAAATCTTCCTTCATGATTTGGTTATATCCGTCACCTGCTGAGGCAGTTCGATTCTCGATACCCAGTCCATCTGCATTGCCCACATGTATGGCTTACAAGTTGTCTCCTCAACCCCTCTCTATACCTGGATATCTCCACTATGCAAGTTGGTTCTCGTCGTGATATCAATCAGAACCACCAAAGGCCAGAGCGAGCCAGGACCGCAGGTTTGTTTGGGAATCTGGGAACCCAAAACCAGGCAGCCAGGAACGTATAATGGACCATCCGATCCATCGTTGGCAAGTAAGTCGTCCACCAACCAGCTTCGACACCGCGGGAACGCCAAAAAAAGACAGAAAGGGATCAGATTCCATAAGCAAGATCATCCAATGCAGAAATATTGCGCCGGCGTAGCCATTCCGAGGGCAGTCCGCGCGTCAAAACACCGTAGCTCCCAGCCGCGCAAAGAAAAGGCCAAAACGAATCGAATCGAATACCAAAGTGTCACCTTTGGAGATAGATATACTGAGGAGGTGGTATGGGAGAGACTGTAGCCAAAAGACCATTGTCTTTCAGGAGATGAAAGGATAAAAACCAGAATCAATATTGCTGATATGATATAGGAGATTTCTTCACATCATCATCATCATCCGCGTGGCCCGTTTGCTGCTGAAGCTCGGTCTCGGAGAACTCTCGCCCTGAGCCCAGGGTTTGTGCAGGAAAGGTTGGCCGTCGATATTGTCCCAATGCGCGCCCTGCAAGGTCGCCGTGCTGCTTCGGTTCTGACTGTTCATGTGCGTCCTGGGGATTGGCATCATGTCGATCGTGCTGCCTCGGTATAAGGGACCCATGAGTCGGTCTTTGACGGATTTGTTTCTTCGAGGCATGGCCGCCGGCGCGGGAGGGCTGGGGGCGAATTTGTCCGGCTTGTCTGAGCCATCTTGGTTCTTCTCGCCCGCGAGCACGGCTCGGTCTGTGTTGATCTGGGCCAGGTGTCGTGATCGTCGGAGGTGGATGACGAAGAAGGTGATCAGGCCAATGGCCAGGATGGCGGCGACGGCGATGCCGACGCCCAGACCGGCTTTGGCGCCCGCGGACATGTCGCGCTTATAGAGATGTGAAACGGGTGAGGCGAGCGTTGTGGAGGGCAAAATTGTCAAAAGGAAGGCGAACACGCTGAGAGGTTGTAATCGAGCCATGTTTGATGGATGGATAGCCTTGTCTCCTGGCCGGGAGGTATGTAGTCGTTCAGATCGACGTCGTGAGAGATGTCACTTGCGCCTGTTCGTCCTCGTCCGGTCAGAGAAAGTCGTATAGCAAGTGGGACGTCGATCAAAATGTCTCGTCACGCAGGAAGAGGGATTGGCCTTGTAGTTGTATAGAGCCTCGTGGGAACTGAATGGTTTGGATTGGGATCTGGGTAGGGTCTGCTAAAACTGTATACAAGCTCAAAGAACCGAGATAGTGGTATAGAGAAGGGGAGAGAAAGTCCGTCGTGGTCAGTACTTGTTCCAAAGAAGTGTCAGGAAAACGAGCAGGAGCAGGAGTAGAAGGAGAAGATGAGAACGCATGAGACAGCGCGCGGTGATGTTCACTTCCTCTTCTGGCCTGGCATAAGGCCTGCAAAGTGGCACGACACACACCCCCAAGCTGCGAGGCGGCACGGGACATGGGGTAAGTAGACGTAGCGCATTTGTTGCATGTGGCTAGCCGCAATCATGAAATGGACGATCCTTCACTGGGAGGAGAGCTGGTCTGAAACGCTGGGACCTGCATAGGCTGGATGGTGGAGAATGAAGCTGCTGGGTTGAGGCTTGTCAGGCTCGAGAATAGAAAACATCTAAGAGCCATCACAGAGCTGAAAGTCTGACAGATGGAGATGATTGGATGTGGAGCCCCTGGGATGCACCAAAGGACTGGGGTATACTCTGTACTCTGTATATCCTCTGCTGTCGTCTGGTTTCTCGCGTCTTCGGGTCTGCTGAAGTCAGGTCGATGACAGAAAGCCAAACCCGAAAATAATATTATGGTTGTCACTTTTGAGCCTTGTCTCATTGGAGGCTCCACCACGACGCTTTGATCGTAGCGTATGTCTGACTATACGCTTGTCTTTCTTGGGCTGTACTCTGTATGTATGCGGACCACATCTGACTCTTTTTCCGGGGGGATAGTAGCACACTGAGAGTTGTGCTCCCCCTTGACAACAAATGTTACGTATATGTCGTCTCGGTGGTCCTGGCTGGTCAAGGCAGCTCGTCCTTCGATGGCGGCCATGGTGTTCCCTGGATTTCATCGAAGAGTTTCAGGTTTGCGCCTCCTTGCGGAAAACAGGCTTCGGGCCGCAAATTGATTGCGAGCAGACCTTGCGAGCTGGTCAGTCAAGCGGGGGACTGACTGCCTAACCTTGTCAAGTCGTGAATGTCCATAAGTCCTGCTGGGCAGTGATTGGTATTGGTCTTTGCTCGGGATGGGTCAAGGCTGGATCACCCAGGGATCATGGGGGTTCGCAGGCGGCGGTAGACTGTGACTTTCGAGCCAGCCAGCCAGCCAGCGTGGCAAGGCCATGGTCCAGCTGTACTCTGTACGGAGAGATGGAGACAACAATGGTCCATTTGGCTGGAGACGCTTTTCCTGTTCCTGAAAACCATCGTCGCGCTACGGACTTGTCACGTCGGCGTCGGCGTTTCACCTCCGATGTTCCGGCGCTAGCTCTCTTTACCCCTTGCACGTGATATCAATCTCCGTCGCCGTCTCATGTTCCTCTCTCGGCTCTACAGAGGATGGCAGAAGAGACGACTGTGGTGTCTACCGGGTGATATCAAGCACTTTGAGCATTCAACAACAGCTTCGAAGGGTTTGGTGAGTGCGGTTGCACAGTGTGCAGCTGTAGAAGTACACTGTACGACTCTCCCCAGCATAATCACATAATGCTCCGGCCAAATCGGCGCCGACTTCGCCTACCGTCCCTTCTGACACCATGGGCAATCTGATAGATCCCCCGTCACAAGAAAACGTCTCTGCTGTCAAACTCGAACAGGACATACCCGTGAGGCTGTGTGCTCGCCTTATGGCTTGCTGTGTCTAAGCCAGTCGTCATCGTTGCTTACCTTCCTCGCTATGCGCCAGGAAGCGAAGTATCGTCCTTGGTGCAACTCCTTTTCTCATAGCTATGTATCCTACATTCCCTCGCGTCCAGGTTGCACAGGGGTCTGAGTATCTTCCCGACGAGAAGTCTTGCTTGTCCCCAAGCTTCCCTTTCAGCTGATATCAGGGGCCATGCAGCCGTAATGGAGGTGAGCGATACGTCATCGACCAGACCCATCAAGTAGTCAGTGCGCACATGGGTAGCCCCCAACGTTCGACAGTGCTTCTTATTGAGCGAATGACAGCCATTGTTCTCAGACGCGTTGAAAAAGCCCCAAGCCTAACCAGATGCGCACACCACCTCTTGCGCCGAGAACAAGGCTGCGTTTGAGGATCCAATAACAACATGCACCTGACAATGGCTTGAAGCCTACATACTCAATGACATGGGACAATGTCAAAGTCCTGCCACGGTAGCTTCAACACATGCTCCAAAAGTTATTGGAGTTTGGCCGTACTCGTGTCAAATGTGGCCTCGGAGGACAATTGCTCGTGCTTGATCCTTCTAAACATCTCCGAGTAAGAAGCTGAGCAGACTGCCGACAGTCAGACCGCCGACAAGCATCAACCCCATGAATCCACCCGCTGCCTCACGTTCCTCTGGTGCAACCCAGTCTCCAGAACCCATCATACATTCGCTGCCCAGATATCCGTTGGTGAGACCAAACAGAAACTGAACAACGACCAGATAGAAGAAGTCGCTTTGCACGACGGCGCCTCTGCCCTTGATGTTGCACAGGAAGTACAAGGGAATGAATAGTAGTCTCGCCACAGCCAAGCAGAAGAGGGCAAAGGGATAGTGAGTCAGAGAGATCCGTTTCCACAACGTCGCCAGCCGACCAAGCAAGTCTCCTATATTCCACAACAAGAACGCTGTAGGGATGAAGACTGCAGAGTCGATGCCTCTGACCGATCGAATTGAGGCCGTGAATACGGGGAAGACCATAGTGACGCCAAAGCAAACGAAGACGGCGGCAGAAAGGAACGGTAGCTTCTTGAACAATGTCGTAAGAGGTACTTCGGGCCGCTCATTAGGCTCGAGGTCTTCGTTGCTCGTAGTCGCTCTCGAACTGCCGGTGAGTGCATCTCCTTCAGACGTCTCGTCTGCCGTCGATTTAGACGCGGCACGAAGCGCGCGAGCCTGGCTCTCTTTCCTCAAAAGATAGAAGAAAGCAAACAAAGAGATGATCGAGATGGCAGTGGCCGTCAAGAAATAGACCAATGCAGAGGTCGGAGACTCATCAGCACTGCCTGGATCACCCGCCTTCTTCGCAGGCACTGCAACCACTGAAATGATCTGTGCGAGTGGGGGCAAGACCCCTGCCACAGCCTGACCAGTCATAATAGCTTGAGTATATTCGCTTCTCCCGAAGCCTGATGCGAACGAGAAGAGTCCATTCTGGATAAGGCCGGTCGAGAAACTGGCGCAGAAAATGGCAATAAGCAAGAAGCCGAAGTAGACTCCGGCGGGGGCGGGGACCAGTGTCGACAAAGACAGGATCCCAAACACTACTGTGTTGATGAGTAGTGATGCTGTTATTCGCTTTGGATAGGATGCCCCCTTTTGTATTTTGGTCAACGCTGTCATCGAGGTGAGGTTCGTAACCGTCGACACGGAGATCTCGGCGGCCTGAAAGTGGTTGAGGATCCATTCGCTCGTTCGGAACCGGTGTTGGAAGTAGGGTGCTGCAGCTAGAAACATGTTCCTAGAACGGTGTCAGTACTTCTGTCTTGGGGGGATGAGGACGTTGGAGCTTACCAAGCCCAGAGCATGGCAATGCCGAGCAACAGGAAGATCGCGTATTCAACCCATGAAAAGGGCGCCGTGGCCTCTTCGTCTTCCGATTCATTGTGAATACTCTCTTCGTCTCTTTCCACGTCGGTGTGTATAGGCTCGTACTCCGGGCCAGAGCGAAAGAAGCGCTTGACTCGGTCCATGTTGGACAATTCTTGTAGTTCGAATGGTGGTTGCTGCGATTGGGACTGGAGGGGCATAAAGAAGACGGGCGCGGCCGTCAAATCGAGGAATCTACCGTGTCATCTTATGCCACAGTTTAGTAAATAGGCAGTGAAAGCCACAGAAAGGGCTTGATCGATCAGCGGAACGGACAATTAGTAGAGGTTGTCGTGTCGTGCGAAAGAAGGAGGGATGGTGACCTGTCGACGTGATCGTGATCGTGGAGAATCGACGCTTGCGGATGACCGCATACAAGTACATGGATGGATCTTAGTCACAGATAAGGCATCGAGTCCTAGGGTCCCAGCCTTCCGCCTTAACATCACGCTCTCCATCAAACCTTCCTCTTCTTGTCCTCCTTGATGATTATCAGTGCTAGTAGTCCACTGCTTCCGTGACATCTCTACGACAACTCAACCAAAAAAGACACGAATGAACGGGTTTGTGGTTCAGCATGATCATTACTCATCACTCATGACTGGCCGCAATGCGGCTTGCCCATCGGGCCAACGCCAGCGCTATGCATGAACAAAAATGAACGCTTCTCTCCCTCATCCCCTACCCTCCTACTCATCCAGCTGGTCTCTGAACACCGCCATGTCGGCCGGCGTCAGCCATCTCTGCTCCACCGCCGTGGCCAGCAGGTCGCCGGCACTCTCCGGCATGAAAGTCGGAGAGGTGCCATTGACATAGACGTCGACCTCCTCCAACGTCCTCCACATGGCCAACTGCAGCCTCTTGGCCGCTCTGCTGCTGCCCGGCAGACTGGCCCCTCTGCCCACCGCGCCCTTCAACAAGAGGTGGGCCACCAAGTATCCCAGCCACATGACGTTGGACTTTGGGAGGAACCTGGAGTACTTGTCCACCTCGTCGTACTCGACTCCCTCGAGTTCGGCCAAGGCTTGCGCCCTGGCTGCCTCTGCCCTCGCCCAATCCCGCACCTTGCGGTACGTGTCGTATTGGATCTTGTCTGATTCTGTTTCGCCTCGGGCGTCGTTCTCTTCCCAATACTTAATCGGGTCGAAAACGACGAGGTCGACCTCAGAATCTTTGCCGACTTTGGCTCGGGCGAGGGTGTAGTCGATGACGGTGACTTGCAGGTTCGAGAGCCCCAACGTCACTGCCGGTTCCTTCGACATGTCTTCGACGACCGCCTGCGCGACATCGCCGGGGCCGTTCCGCTTGAGTGGCTTGTAGCAGACGTTGCCGTTGTGTAGGTCTCGGTGTTCGAATTCCACCTTCTGCTCGGCATTCGCCAGTACCATCGTCGTTTTCCAGAAAATGTCAAACGCTTGAAATGCTGACGGGTTCTTGAGTTTCCACACTGGCGTGCCGGCGTCGTCCATCTCGATGACCACATACAGTTGGTCGGCGGGAGTGGTCTTGGTTGGATCAGGGTTGATGGCGTCGCTGGGATCCGTTGATTTGTACATCTGAAATGCGTCGAGGAGAACGTCGGGGTACCTGCCACTGACGACGTGGACGCCTCTGCAGCGAGCGAAGCCATGAAGCGGGTCGAGGGTTTGTAGGACTCTAACTTCTCGCGTGATTGACTCCAGGTCTCCAATGTCGTCATCTTCGGTCTTGTCGACGGTGAAAGGGATGACTTTGATCACAAGTCCGCCGCACTCGTACACTTGCATGGCTTCTTCGAGGTCTTTTGGTTTGAGTTTGAAGACGTCGGCGAAGGCTCCCTCTCCGAGTTTGGTGCAAATGTACTTCGTTCCCATGCTTCTGCCGAATTCCTGAAAGTCTTGGACCTCTGTCTTGACCAGCGAAAGTAGTGGTTCAAGTGCTTGGAGCTTATCTTTTGTGAGGGTCTGGCATTCCCAAAATCAGTATCTTGTTGGTGGCAGATCGGCTGGAAATAGTTCGTGAAGAGACTTACCGCCATTTTCTTTGATGTTGTTGCCTTGCGTCGTCCTCGAAGCCGGGGGTTGTTCTCTGCTGGATCTGCTTTTTCAGGTAAAGGCTTGTCTTGAACAAGCTGCTTGGACGCGTCTGTATCATTTTTGATCGTCAGCTTCTCCATCTCGTCCACGATCTTGTTCTCGTCGCCGCCTCCGAACAGGTCGAAATGCACTGCGCGAGCTTGTGCCATGGCTGGTTTCTTCTTGCCATAGGTCTTCTCGAAGCGACGGCTTGGTCGCTGCTGGTTCTTCAGCTCGCCCAAAGCGTGCGAGTCGGCCATCTTGGAATACACAAAGTCACTATGGTACAAAGAGAAGGTCACTTACCAGTGCTTGAGGGTTGAATATGTGAATGAAGTTGTCTAGTCCAGATATCGTTAGCGTCGGATGTAGCCGTTCGTTGCCCGGTGACGGTGATATGTAAAAGCGGCGTGAGATGATGTGAGCCAAAGAGTGGCATGATATATGTGTGAGGCACATATCACATGCCGCTTTTAACACAGGGGTGCGGCAGAATCATCTCGGCAGAATTATGTCTATTGTTCTTGTCTATTCAGACACAACTGGTTCCAATACTATTGTTCATTTCTCATAATCTTGCCAAGATGCATGGAAGAGATCTCTATACACAACAATGCCGTCTTCTTTCTTAGTCCCTCCTTCTTGAGTTGCCCCAATCGCTGGCTTTCCCTCAGCTTCTTGAGGTGTCCGGAAAGGCATTGGGACCTGTTGTCGGGTTACCTGACCTGCTCTTGTCCTTCTCATTTGCAGAATGACCTTGTTGCGATCATATCCCAGATGGCTAGCTGGTTTCATATCCCACATGATGTCGTACAACTCCCAGTAACGATCAGCAGGAGTAATATTTCGCGTCCGAGTCCACATATTGTGCGCTTTCAGCCGTATGCCTGCAGCGAAGAGCCAACGAAGACGGCGGATAAAGATCCAGCGGATGATCGGTTCTTTGACCTCAACACCGTAGACATCACGCAGCCTCTTCAGGATACGAGTCCACCTCAAGCAGTGCTCTGGCGTGACCGCGTTCATACCCCTATGTGGTCTGAAACACCACGATACCAGAGACTTTTGGACTTTCTCATCGAAGAGGACACCCAGCCCAGACAACTTGGGAGCATCTTGTTCCAAATCACCCAGCTGATGTAATCCTTGAGCCTTGTACTGTTCGGCGATCCAGTATGTCAAGCACTCTAATTCTTTCATCCGCCCAAGTCTGCCCAGAGCTCGAAGAGGCCATCGCCAATACTTGATGTCAAAGTGTGTTCCTGAAGCGAGTATGTCCTGCAAAAGGCCAATCAAGTATGCAATCCGATCCACGTTCTCAGCATGAGCGAATACACTTGATTTGGTATCCCGGAAGAGGCGATTTATGCAACGGACGATTGACACCGAGATGGTCAAGCCGCGCGCTTGCAAATCTCTTACCAAATCCAATGCTCTGGCCCAATCACCTGCTTCAAGCATGATTCGAAGTACCAAATTCCCAGCACGAGCTTGGGCTGTGTCATCGAAGACCCCGTCGTTGAGAATGACGAGTGTCCGGTTGAGTTGCAACCAGTCTCTTGTCCGGTAGTACTCAGTTAGTAGTCTTTCCTGTAATCCCAGATTCTCAAAAACCTCATGGTGGAGATCATTGTTAACAAGGGCTTGGACCATTTCCCAGCGTCCAGCATTGCACACCTTCCTGAGGATTCGAACAAAGGCAGAAGACCCGGTGTCGATCCCGAGATCATCAAACTTGTTGAACCTTGCCTGGAGTGTAGCTAGGTCGGGCGCGGTCAATGCCGCCTGGCGGACAGCCAGCGGCCCTGCTTCAATCAACCCGATCATTCTCAGACTGTTGACCGTAAAATCGAAAGAAAACGCCCTGGTCGCAAATGCTCGGGCCACAAATTGGTCACTGAGTTTCGTCGGATTGACCCCAAGGGTCTTGCTCGCAACGATGTTCAGAGATTCTGGAGACAAGCCGGTGATCCTGCTTCTCTCTCGCGACCAGAAGCGACGGGCCTGGGACTCGAAGGATGCCCCCGCCGCGTTCAGGGGTAACAGGAAACTGCTGAGCTTTTTGTGGTGAACGACCAGATAGCTGAGGAACGGTTCCAGCACTTCGAACCGTGGGGGCAGGTCCCCTCTTGAGATGAGAAAAGAGTGCATCATAAATGCGTCGGAGGGCCGATCGTGCTCCCAGAGAGTAGAGGTTACGTCGGTGTAGATTTGAGTTTTGGGCACCAATTCATGAACTTTGCAGAAATCCTTGAGCACATTCGCCGACTCCGCACGGCAAGCAGAATCGAAGACTGCCAGAAGATCCTCCCGACCTCTGTAGTGGGATTGCAAGAGGAAGCTCGCAAAGTCGACTGCTCTTTGAGGCGCACTGCCCTCTAAAGCAGCCCCTACCACCTCGGCGAAGAGGGCAGGACGGTCGAATTTGTTACGTTTGGCAACTTTGCAAAGTGACCATAAGAACTGATGGTCGGCCGCACCAGCAGAAAGGAAAATCTGCCAGAGGACATTCGCTTGAGGATCTCTATCATCAAAGCGAATGGCCTTGCCACGATATTGGAGGCCACGCCATATTGCCTTGATGCCATCATGACCATTTTGGAGAGCTTGGGCTCGCAGCAGGATACGCCACAGGTCGATGTTTTGACGAGCTGGAGGTTTGTCAACGAGTCTGGTACCTATATCCAAAGCATGGCCGACGTCCGCCTCGTATAACAGCTGTTCTTTACTGCGGATGCCGTAGAAGAATGCGTCTTCCAAGATCGGCTCCCATCTCGGGTCAACTGGAGTGGAATTGTCTCCGGACTCAATTTGTAAAGCTTCATCGGAAAATCCTTGACCGGCAAGATCGCTTGTATAGGATGAAGTCGTTAAGCCATTGCGTCTCGGACATGACACCCAATTCCCGCGACGTGCTCGGGCTGCTGCCCATGGGGATGCTGTCGTTACCAATCGTCGGATGCTGCGAGCGCTAGGAGATACTGATGGTAGACATGGTGTCCTCGGGCTTTTGACAAGACGGACCCAGGACACTGTCATGTAGCATGAACCAGAGTGGATTTGGAGACCCTTCCGCTCGACGCGATGTGCTGCATGGGATCGTACTCGGTACCTCTGGTACTTTTGAGAGGAAACGGGAGTCTACCAACTCTTGACGAGAATGACCAATGTGCTTCGACATAATGGAAAGATTGTGGTGGATCACGAGACGTCGATACCAACAATACCGGCGGGTCACGTGGCCGCAGGCTTGGGCTTGGCACGAGCTTCTCTAAGTTGCGAGCGTCGAACGTCGAACCTCGAGCCTCAACGTCCCGGAAGCTCAACATCGTTGTCGTCGCCCTTTGAAGCTCTCAACTCCTCGCCGTTGCTCTCGATCGACCAAGTAACTGCCATATATCGCCAAAATGGTTGCGCCTACAGCTGCCCGCATGATGCATGCCACTCGGGCACGCATGTTCACCCAGTCATCGGCTCAAAGATGGGGGTAAGTAACTTGCGCGGCAACTACCACCACACCAAGAATCAGCCATTGGAGAATGGTGTTTTGTATGGGATAGCAGATGGCTGACTTGGCGTATCAACAGATTTGTCTACCGCGAGAACAGGGTTCCGTACTACCAGCGCCTCTTCCAAAAGCATGACGGGAAACGACAATGGTGGAAGGTTAGTGAGCTTTCTGTTACTACAATCGTCCTTCTTTTCATTCCGCAATGTTCCGAAAGAAAAGACACCTTTACAAAAGGGCGAATCTTGAGGACGACGTGATGCTGGCGCATGAGCATTGTCCCCAATGGAGACGAATACGCGACCGAGATTGAACACCCTGGGCTGAAGAGCCGGGATCCCAATCGGGGAATATGCTTCCTACACTGCTCTTCTTCTGCATTGAATAAAATCGCTGACGTCAGCTGTACCAGACTTCCCGAAGCCCCTACATCCTCTACCCATACTACACCATGCTCATCGGCAGTTTCACTTACGCCTTTTACGGCATGACCCGCATGTTGTTTGGCCACAAGACACCCTTCTAGATTGGACGGCTTGGAGTCAGATGGGATGGAATGGTGACAGGTCCACGATTGCACCGGACAAGAACGTTGTACATACGCACAAGTTAAAATCAAAGGAAACCACAATCAACAGCTCTTTAGTCTGTTTTTCGGCTCTGATGGCATGTGCCTTGGCATCTTTGAAAGTTTGTCCTTTTATTTCGTCTATGTCCCAGAAGGACAAATATATTCAATCACGCAGCGATCAGCACCGGTTCGAGCACTTCGCGGACCAACTTCCGGCCACTGGTCTAGCTGCGTTGAGCATCTCTGGGTCACTCACACACCGCACGAGAGACTCTTGACCCATGCCGAAGTTCGCTCCAGTCGCTGTTCTGCGAACAGCAGGCCTTCCGGCTACGTTGACGAAGTGTTTGAGATCCTCAACCCTGACACTGCTCTGGGAATCTGCTTATAGCCATCCCCGCAAGCTGATTGGTCACTTTCGGGAAGATTGTTGCGAGCTTGTCATGAAATGCCATTCCAGGAGTGGATCGCTTACCAGCGAGCGTGATTGAGGTGTTGGGCCCATATTGGCAACTGGACAGCCTGTTTCAACGAGCGCAGACTCGTCACGCCGCATTCGGTGTTGTGTTTTTACATGTTTCCTGCTCTTATGGGCTGAAAGTCTACAACGCTTAAATTGCTGCTCGCATTCGAATCCCACATTCACACAATTGACCAAATTGGCCCGAAGACAAGTTCCCGCCCTCTTCGAAATGCAGACTTACTTAAGTGAACCGTCCCCGGATGGCCCGTTCCTGTGTGATACGATGGACAGCGCGCGATATACAACATGGTGTTTACTCTCTCAGCTTTTGGATTTGTGCTGGTTACTGCCACCCTTGCATTTCCTCTCACCCCTATACAGAAGCGTGGCCTACCTGACTTCGTGCGTCAATATGGTATCCTTGCGACTCCGACTGACACATCTAATGACCCAGACTAACATGATTGCAGCACCAGTAGCATATCTCCATTCCCAAGAGTTCTACTTTCCCAGCGACATCGGGTCACATTTAGCGCACAGCCATGCTGAAGACAATTCAGGAGCGACACTCACGCCTACTTCGCCATTGACGCTAAGCAACCTCGACGAGCTCAATGTCTTCGCCAACTCCGGCGTGGAGGTCTATCTGACCTCCAACGAAGGCATCCAAGCGCTCCCTTCCTGGTTTCAAGGCTCCCGCCCCTCCACAGACGGCACGCTACCGCCATCGACCACCGCCATCATCACCGTCTCCAAAGCCAACGACACCATCGACGCCTTCTACTTCTACTTCTACGCCTACAACCAGGGCAACTGGGTCCTAGGTCTTCCGGCGCTAGAATTCGGCGACCACGTCGGCGACTGGGAGCACACGATGGTCCGCTTCGTCCGGGGCGTGCCGCAATCCGTCTATTTCAGTCAACATTCGTCAGGCCAGGCCTTTACCTATTCGGCGGTACAGAAAGCAGATACAGATATGCACTCAAGGAACGGGCTTGGAGTGCGACCCGTGGTCTACATCGCCAACGGCACCCACGCCAACTACGCGACACCCGGTCCGCACGACCATACCATTCCAAACGTCAATACCCTGGTAGGTCCGCTCACAGACCACACGGACGCAGCAGGGATAATTTGGGATCCGTTGCCACAGGCGCTGTGCTATGATTACGACGTTGACGCGGACGTGTTTACGGCGTATAGTAGTGGCGGCGGCAGTCCGCCAATGCCGATTTCTGCAGCAGGCTGGCTCAATTTCAATGGTCGTTGGGGTGATCGTCAGCTCCCGGACGATACGGATGGGCAGCTCGATGTGTTTGGGCAGAGAAAATACGTGTCTGGCCCGACGGGACCAAGAGATAAAGGACTTGCGAGGACGAAGGTTTGTCCTGATGGGCATGAATGTGTGGTTTTGCCGTTTTTGGTGCCTTGATGGTGAAGAGAAGAGAGTCAAAAAAGAGAGGAGAGAATGTTGGGTGGGTTGGTGAAGCCTGTATATGTGAAGACTCGTTGGAATAGATCTGTACGAGGAGAATGCAATGTCAAAGACATATACACGCACGGCTGCATGAAATCTATCAAGACTGAAGAAAAGGGTAAAGGCTGGGAGAACAAGCAAGGGGATTTTGTATGTTTGTTGTCGTTAGGTAGACCTCGGCGAGATGAAGGTCGAGTTCGCTGTTGTCGCAGCAGGTGGGTGACATTAAACTGTCTATGGCACCAAGGCAGAAAAGAATACATTAATGGTTGGACGGCAAGGCGGAGTGGCGGTCAGGTAAGTAGTACAAGGAAGAGCATACTAAAAGCAGCTCGTCTGACAGAATATTTATTTTTCGTTTTGGAGGCGGATTTTCGCTGGCGACTAGCGTTTTTGCCAACTCTCTGTCAGACAAAACAGCACATGGTTCCGGAACAAACGTGATTGAGATGCAAGTTTGAGGATCAGATTTACAACCGACAAGAATTTTGGAGTCTGTTGAGATCTGGTTGAGGACGTGATGCCCACTCCCTAACTCTAAGGTAACTAATAAAACAATTCTGTCACTGAACATCAACCACACTCCCAAACCAACCCTTCAACGCTGTGGCCAAAACACCAGGCAAATCTCTCACATCTCGGACAACGAGGTAGTACGGAAACGGGAAGTCTTCGAGGTATCTCTTGGTGCGGACTCTCATTTCCACCGGGCCACCTTCAACTGTCGACTGCGGGTCAGGCTCGAAGACGGCCTCCTTGAGATCAAGAATGCTCTCTGGGCCGGCGTCGACAATGACAAAGACAATCACAATCTTCTCGGCCTGGGCTTGGCGGACGAGACGAGCAATGGCCTCATGGTCCGAACAGTGCCCGTCACTGACGACCAGCTGCAGCTGCCACAGATCCTCCGCGGCGGAATGGCCCTTGCGTCTTGCGTCCTGGAACAGCTGGATGCTCTGACGGAGGAGGTTGCGGACATTCGTGCCGCGCTGGTTGAAGCTGAAGGCGCGGAAGACGTTAGGTCCCGACTCGGCGGGCGAGAAGGGCGTGCCGAACGGGTGCGCGACCGTGATGTGTTCCTGGTCGCCGAAGCCGACGACGCAGAGCTCCCCGACCTCGAGCATGGAGAGCGACTTGGTCAGCATCGCCAGCGTCTCGAATGCCAGCACGTCCGCGCCGGACTCGCTCATCGACTTGCTGTCGTCCACGGCAATCATGATCTGGTAGCTGCGTTTGCTCGGCACCGCCCGCCGCATCCAGATCTTGTCCCGTTTGTAGTTGGACGCGATGTACGGGATGATGCGCTTGATGTTCAGCCGCTTGCCGGTGCGGTAGTCGCCGCGCAGTTTGGTCGCTGTCGTCGGCGACAGGATTAGTCGGAGCTGCTCTGTCAATACCAGTGAGAATTGATGCGTCACTGCCGAGCAATGGTTCCATAGTGCCGCTGCGTCTGAAGTACTTGTTGGAGGGGAGGCCTGTGCTGCTTCGTGCTGCTCGAGGTCCAAATGCTCGATCTCGGGCGCTAGATCGTCCGACGCTTCGTCGGCTTCCGGAGCTGCACTGTTCTGGTCGTTGCGGCGTGATTCCTGGTCTGGTATGAATCCGCTAGACATGCTCGCTTCTTGCGCCTTGGACTGAGCCTGCAGGCGGTGGAATCTGTCGGCAATGTTCTCCGGTATTTCCGGCTCTGGGACATCGGGAAGGTCTGTGTCTTCGTTGATGGGCGCCTCGTCGTCTTCGATGGCTCGGCTCTGGTCGAGATTTTGGGCTTGGTCTGCGCCCGCGGCACCCAGCGCTTGTGTATCTCCTTCAGCCTCGTCCTGGACATGTTCGAAATCAACGTCGGTCATGTTCACGTCCACATCCTGGTCCTTGTCTTCTTGCCGCTGCTCGTTAGAAGCGGGTAGGATCTCTCGCCGCTGATGGTATTGGTCCAGGACATCGGCCAGCTTCCTGAGGGCCTCGTTCTGTTGATGCTCGAGAGTATCTGCCCGACCCGTGCCCAGTTCAATGGCGCCAGTGCCGGTCTCGCCCTGCTCCTCATTTTCCAAAGCCTTGCCAGGTTGTGATTGCTGCGGGTCCGGCTCCTTCTCAGTTTGATTCATGCCTTGGGTCATCTGTTCTGGATCGACAGAATCTTGAACTTGATTGGCAGCTCCAGATTCGCCACCCGCGGTTTCGTCCATGTCGTGAGCTGTATCATCTTCGCGGGTATCGTGGTCGGCTTGTTCTTCGTCCTCTCTCTCTTCAGGTTGATCCTCCATGATCTCGTCGTCCTGCGCAACGCCATCTTCGAGTTCATCCTCGTCAGCGCCTGGTTCTTCACTTTCAACAGTGTCATCCATAGGTTTCTCCTGCATCTCGCTTTCTTCCTCCACGTCTCCCTCGACAACCTCCTCGGCAGGGTTGTCGATGTCTGAAAGCTCATCCATACCGTCGTCCGATATGTCATCGTCCTTGGTTTCATCTTCACCATTCAACTGAAGTTCGTCTGGAAGATCCAAGGCCTTCTCGTTCTCCAGGTAGGGATCCATATTCTCGGCTTCAGGTCGTTCCGCCCCTTCACCTTCTTCAACCTCTTCGTCATTCAGTTCTTCTCCTTCTTGGCCCTCCATGTCCTCCCCTTCTGATTGGTGGCCCTCTGCTGCTGTCTGGTCATCCGACTTCTTGCCTTGTGCCTTGTCGTTCTTCATTTCTTTATCTTCCTTTGATTCATCCTTCATGTCATCCCACATCTTTTCATCCACAGCAGAAGGATCTAGCTCGTCAACTGAGCCTGTCTCCTCGTCAATATCATTGTCTCCTTCCTCATCTGAGCGCTCTTCATCTCCGTCTTGGCCTGATTCCTGTTCTCCCTGGTCTCCCATCTCGCCTTGCAAATCATCGTTGCCCATATCAACGGCGTCATCTGCTTCTTCCATTTCGCCTTCTTCTTCCTCTTTCTGTCCTGATTGTGCAAGCTCAGACAGATCCTCGTCGTCGCCAACGTCTTTACTAATATCCTCGGCAGCTTCACCTTCACCGAGACCCATGCCGCTCTCGAGCTTACCAGATTGCTCTTCTCCGCTGGCAGGCTCTGAAGGTCGACAAAGGCCTTGGCTTGCAAGGATGGTAAAAGATCTCGCCAGTTGTAGAGCAACCCGGCACGTTTCAAGGTGAACTGCGGTTTGATAACGATGGAGATGTTCCTGGATATAGTAATACTGTTCGATAATCGGAGCTGCCACGAGCAGCAAGTTGCTGACATTCGCAAGATCATCCCTTTCAAAGTAGTGGAGCTTACCGAGTAACGATCGGAGACCTTGACTGATAGTCTTTGCTTGGAGGGAACGGATCGTTCGTGCAATATGATTATCAGACTTCGAGAGCCAGCCGGCGTCCTCCACTGTCTTCGGTAGGCCTGCTTGGGAGGAAGAAAATGCTTGCAAGGCCACGAAAATCTGATCGAGCAGGATGCGAAGGTCGTAATCAAAGGATTGCAGATTGAAGTTGCCGACACCATTGACAGATCCATCTTGAAACTCTGATATCTCTTCAGTCCAAGGAATGATTTGTCTGAGAACAGACTCTAGCAGCGGCTCCTTGACTTGCCACGTCATCAATAATGTACCAAGCTGCGAAAGGAGCTCAGCTGCTTGGATTTGCAGATCATGTGCATGGTGACTCTGCAAGCCCGCGGGCATAGGAGGTATGCTCTCAAGTCCTGTTTTCATTTCCTTGAGCCGGCTGCTGTAAGACCGTATTGACTCAACCAATTCGGTGATATCAAGACTGGCATGTTTCGCTTGGAAGTTCAATATCCGGTCAGCGAGCTTCAACACCTCAAGGAGCCAGGCAAGTCGTTTTATTAGTGTTTGTCTCTCAGCAGGACCCGCACTGGATGACAGCATGTCCGATGAGCAGGTATGAAAGGTCCGGAGTAGCAATATCTGTTCATGCAGATCTCTCAAGCCCTCAGTGGTGAGTGCGATGTTTCGGCGTTGATTCGTTGCCATGAATAGAAGACCTTCCAGTAACCCGGCACCGCGATTGATTTCGCCCTCAGTGAGATCGTCAGAATGGTCAACCCGAGCAGCGCGGACTTGAGACATTGTGTCAAGAAGATCGTGGAATGCGCTGTTGGCAGCATATAAGACGGGAGAAACGTTCTCTAGCGAGAACTCCGGTGAAGAAGCCAGTATAACGGCTGTCGAAGACTGCTTCTCAAGTTCGGACGTTGCCAAATTCCTCCTGATGCCCATTTGGCTGACTGCTTTCATAGTGTCCGCGAGGAGCCGTCGCTTTCTCTCCTGTAGATGGCGGACGAAAGCAGTATTCTCTTCTGTTAGCGTGGATGGTGTTTGTGCCCTTAATTCTTTGATCGCTTCGCTCAGATCTTCACGGAACGAAGCCAACTCTAGGTGAGGCTGGATCTCGAGACTGGTGCTCGTGTACAGATGACGCATGGTCTGAATGGCCCCTAGAGGGTTCGTCACACGCTCAGGCCGGGCATCCCAACCTGTGATCACCTGTCGGCACTGATGTTGCGCACGAGTAACTGCCTTCTCTTCGTGAAAGGAATGGCTCAGCGCGCCGACGGCATCATCAATTCGCATTTGCAAACTAGTATCTTCGGATGGTTTGAACACTGTGAGAGGTTGATTCAGGAGACCGCGATACTTCCGGACGATCTTGAACAGTTTGTGATGCGACCGCCGGGCACTGTCACGAAGTGCTGTCACGTTTGTATCTTTCCAGCTGGCCAACTTGATCTGCTCTGTTAATGCCTTCTCAAGATCCGCACGGCCGGTCTGCAGAGAGACGGCGACGTTCGCTTCATATCTTCGGTAATGGTCGATGATATTGGCAACGCAGTTGCGCACGGGCAGCAGCTGCTTTTCATGGCACGAGAGGTCGTCCAGCAATCTGTTCAACGCATCGAGCACTCTCAACCTTGACGAATACTGACCTGCTGTTGTTTGTTTCAGAAACTCTTCCAAGGTTCGTGCGAGTGACGTGCAATAAGACTGCCCAACGTCGTCGTTAACCTGCATCCTCGTAGCATTGTATATGATGGCTTCATATGCAACGAAGTACCAGCCCTGCGCATCCTGTTCGTGCCTGTGTTGTTCCTCGTCAAGTAGGCGGGACCATGATAGCAGCTCCATCCGTCTCCAGTTGACAATCATGGCTGAGAGCTGTCCAAGGAGGGTGGCGACAGACCACTCACGACTGGCAATGCTCTGCCACTGTGACACGATTTCGTAAAGCTTCTCGGTTTTCGCAAGAAGCTTTGCAAGTGGATCTCTGATGCTCAGATGTAAAACCTCTGCGCAGAAAGAGAGAACCTCTGCAGGTACAGCATGCTCTGGCCACCTCTCCAGGATTGCTTGGAATCTCGATTCGACTTGGCGGACCAAATCAAAAAGCTTCTGACTCTCGGCGATATTGTAATCGGTGTAGATATTGAAATGGATATCAGACTGGCTTCCACTGAGCGCTGTCAGCTCAGCTTCCATCTGCAGGAGGATTCCAGGCAAGAGGTCGGTGAGTGCGGCTCCAGCATTGTCGCTCTCACTCACGTCTAAATCTGAAATTGTCTCCAAAGCACGCACGATGTAGCCTTGGAGAGCATCTGTGAAATCCTGGCGAGGGTAGATCTTCTGAAGTGCGGCAGCCAATCTTATGGAAACATTGCGTGCATCATACTTTTCCTCCCGCTGACTGTCCTCTGAGCGGGCGTCGTCGAATTGTGGAAACATTTCCCTCAGTTCCTGACTTGCACTCTCTTCGTCCTGCTCAGCATCACCACGGTAAGTGTAATAGCGGGATCGGATTTCAGATTCGGCTTGTGCGCTGGTAAGGCGCGCTTTCCATTCGCCGTAAAACTCGTCCAGTAAGTTGAGCAGGCCGCGAGATACTGCCCAGCCTTGTTCCGGCACAAGATGTGTAGCCATACCAATGTACTCGAGCCAAAGGAACCGGAGAGCTGGTCTGGATACAGTAGGGGCATTCCATATGAGAAGATGTGTTGGTTCGGCACCCAGCATCGGAGTATGACTGACGACTTCCTGAATGACACCAGGTTTGCAGTCTGGACCAGCAATCGTTGACTCAAGCTCGAGTCCAAGCAACAGAGTCTTCAAGAACCACGCGATAGGCTTTACGAAGTCATCGTAGACCCGGTGAGAATGCTCAAGGCGATCGATTATGATTGCTAGATTTGACCTGCTCTGCTGGCTGGACCATTGCTTCAACCACTCGTCACTGCCTGGTAGAGGAGACATGTGAGATTGACCGGGAGACACGATATCCGCGACCCTCGAAAATACCTGTTGAAGGCTTGGGAGTTCAGACTGACTCGGTCTGAAGACTGCTGGAGGTGAAAATGCATGACCCAGGTCGTGGGCTTCCTGCTCCAGGACTCGAATTACGAGACTGGTCTTTTGTCCCATGACCTCGCTATGGAAGAGCCGTTGCCCATCTATCCGGGAATGAAGTTCGGTTAATCTTCGTTGGTGCTGCTGGAATTCGATCGTCGGTAGGATTGCGGGATCAAAGACTTTATCTGGCACCATCAATATAAGGCCTGCGAGTGATAAGTTGAGCAGACATGTTTTGACATCATCCAGAGTAGGCGGATGTTGGCTGCTTAAGACGGAAAGAGTCGGATGAAGATAGTGCTGAAACACTGCCTGGAAGTAGGCCTTGTCCTGCTCATCGACAACGACAGCATGCTCAGGGAGCGCAGCAAGTCTATCAAGATCAAACGCTTCATTAGCAGCATAGCAAGCCCTGGCCTCTTCTGTCAGAAAATCATAGTGTGCCCACAGCACCCCGGAGACCACAGTCCGTATATGCGCGACAAGTGGCAGAATGAATCTGTCCAAGGTCAATTGGTGCGATGTCGTTGTCTTTATCAACACAGTCAGCTCTTCCTTCGCGTGTTCAAGCGTGCCGAGGGGCTGTTCTCGAACTTCAAACAAGCGTCTGATGAGATCCAGTCCGACATGCTCATGGCCCGATATCACGTCCTTGTCTAGAGATCCAATTTGGTTCAGAGAAGCGGCCACCGACGTATTGTCCCCGATGGTAAGTAGGTTTCTTTTCGATTCAGGTATGAACATTTCGAGCACAGCCAAATCACGGGAATTGTTGGAATTGTTGGAATTGTTTTGTCGTCTTTGCAACTTCAGCATCTGATAGATGAAGTTGAGCTCGTTTTGGAATTTGCCTTCTGATAAGAAGCCGCGTTGTGATTGTGCCTCCAACTGTGCCACAGCTTCCTGCAAAGCCAATAGGGACGTTTCCGGCTGATCGGATTCGACAATGGACACATAGGTGTCTTGTAACTTTGACCTTAGAGCCGACAATGAACCCCTTGACTGAGGCAAAAATCGACATAGCTGATCAAACCGGGCGATCAATCCTTCTAGCCTCAGTTGCGTTTCAAGCTGCGGCAGTGATTTTGCTGTCTTCGGCTGGAAGGGCTGCCACATAAGTTGGAGGCCCAAGCCAGTACTTAGTCCGCTGTCATGGGCTGAAAGCATGTGCAGGTGCTGCAGAAACACAGAGGCTAGGCCTTCAAGACTGGCTGCCTGGGAACGAGCGAGCTTAGATCCTAGTTGCATATAAGCATGAAGCAGGGCAAAGTCTAGCGTTTTCGTGTCAAGATTATCGATGACATCTTGACTGAAAACAAGGATCCGCTCTGTGGCCTCTAGCAAAGGAACACTCAACCTAGCCCTGAATGTAGTCTTGAGGGCTCTTGACAAATCGGAGATGAGATGAGTGGCAAAAGAGGCCACCTGGGGGATCGTGCCCAGCGCCTTTCTCCTATCGACAGCCGTAGTTGACTTTTGAAGCATTGTTTGCGCACTGAAAGGGACGGAGAGAGCGACAGCAGAAGCCTCTCTCAGTCTTGCTTGAATGTCTTCTGCACGTCGAGAGACGTACCATCCTCGAGTAAGGATTTCAGCAGTCATATGACGCAAAGACTCAACGTCAAGCTGTCTCTGGAGCAAGAACCATGGCTCGTTAAGTGTGACCAGTAGAGGAAGTCCGGTAGAAGCCAGAAGATCGGCGGGTGCAACCAAATCTCCAAAGGTCTCAGAACCCAGAGTCTGTCTCTTGTTCAGCTCGATCGCAAGGGTCTGATCAGCCACATCAACAGGCAGATGTTTCAAGTTGGCCAATGCTAAAGCCATTTCTTTGAGGGATAGGTTATCAATGAGTGATTCGATCGTTGTCTCTATATTCCCGGTCATTGTAGCCTGAAGCAAGCTTCGTAGACGGGCGACCGCCGAAGCACAAGGATACTGGATCACCGGCGTGGACTTTTGATCAAGTGGTACAGCAGGCATGGCAATCTCCAAGGACCGGTTTCGCATCGCTCGGGAGAGATCTCCATACTGTGGATCCATGGTCAGGAAGATTCGGAAACCCGGGTGAGGCCTGACAACTCTGGCGTCAGTCCCAGCGTTGTGCTGCTCGCTGACGGCAAGGAAGCCATCCGGTTCAAGAAGTGAATTGAGTCTGTCCAGGACAGACGGATTGCAAAGATTGGCGTTGTCAAGAACGAGCCATGAGCCTCGTTCCAATGCGTCCACAAGTATGCCGTCGTTCCAAACGAATCGTGAGTGAGAAGTGTCTGGCGAGCTGAGAAGGTCTGACAGCCTCGCCAAGCAGTCTTGAACCTCGGGCAAGAAAGGGACTGCAGATGACAGGACCCGTTGCAGATGGACGGGATCGAGATTGCCAGTTGCAAGAGCCTCCCACAACTCAAGCAGCTGGCGCACTTGACTCTGATCTCGCATTGCAACAGCGAGGCGTTTCTGTACAGCCTCCTTGACTTCGCTCAGGTAGGCCACGACGTCGCGCCGGACGTCGTACTGCTCGAAGCCACCGACAAGATCCATTGTGTCCACATCGGCATTCATTGAGAATGCCACGAGTTCCACCCCAGATGCAGCAGCGATAGATCGAATTAGCGAAGTCTTGCCGCAGCCAGAAGGCCCCGCCAGAACTACTGGCCATTTTTGGTTGATGGCCGTGATAACAGAATTTGCCGCGGGCAAATGTGCAACCGGGATTGCAAAACCAGGGGCGCTTGTGTGTTGCAACACGCCATCTCTGGCTAGGAAAGCAGTGCCAATCTGTATAAAAGACGGCTCCAGACTGCAGTAGAAGCTCTCGAGAGGATCGTGGTCGGCTATGTCCAACACAAGTTCTCTTTGCGCAGCAGTACGGAAACGTTCGGCCACAATGGTGCGAAAGTGACAGGACGGAGTAAGAGTTGGCTGCTGCTCACACAATCTCAGCCATCGATCAACATCACGCAGGTTGAGCTCCCACGGGCCTCCTTGACTGAATGCTGGTGCACGAGACACGACACGCTCGACATTGGTGATTGTCTTTATCACTGTGCTAAGTCGGTCTGCTGCAATGCTGGGATATTTGTGTTCGCAAATGCGCAGCAAATCTTCTTCCCGGAAGGAATCTGCATAGACGACGGTAAAGCGATTGACAAAGGATGCAGGAAGGCCTTTCCGTCCCCCACCTTGGTGATGAGGGTTTTGCGCAGCAAACAATGTGAAATCGGGATGACACGTGAAGGATTTGTCCAGTTCAGCAATATAAACTTCCCTGCGGTGGTCGAGACAAGAGTTGAGACCTTCAAGCACGGACTGAGAAGCCAGATTCATCTCGTCCAGGAGGACCCACCCACCGCTTTCCATTGCTTTGAGCAGCGGTCCATTCTGCCAGGAGAAATTACCCAGTTCTTCACTTTCGGAAGGCGTATCTGCACCGAATAGATCCATGAGGTCGGTCTGGTCCGACAGATTTATGCGAGTAAGTTCCTTGCCAGAAGCTCGAGCAAGTGCAGTCACAATAGCTGTCTTGCCGACACCAGGACTCCCCTCGAGAAGGATTGGCCTTGACATTTGCAGAGCGCGTACAATTCGCATGGTATTTTGGAGGGTTGTTGGAGCGTCGAATACAAGATCGGGAGCATGCTCAGGTTCTCCTAAGGAGCGAGGCAGCAAGTATCGTCCAACTCGGAGACCTTCAGAAGCTATCTTCAGTATCGGCGCCTCTTCGTAGTTCTCGTAAACATCGGCTTTCACCAGGTTTTGCAGGTAATTCAAACATTTCCGTCTTGATTCGTCCAGGTCAACAACGCCACTCGATGTCATACCTGCAGGGTTCGCGCCAATGGAGTCAACGTAGACCATGAAGGCGCCTTGGAGGAAAGCAGGTTCATCATCAAGGAAAGGGACACGATTGATGAAGTCTGCCCATGCCAGGAGACCGCGTAGAGGAATGGCCATGGATGCAGAATTGTGAAAGGTGCTGCGGAACCAGATGGCGAAGTCGAGCATGGCTCCGGCAAGATACCTTCTTGTCAAGCTCAGCTTGCTCCGAACAATGGGCAGTATATCTTCTTCGTGCGACAGGGGCGGAACCCAGATCTCAGTCAACCGGTTGCGAAGGGCTGCTGACAACTCACGTTTCCCGTAGTCTCCCCCGGGGTTCATCGTAGCCAAAAACTGGAAGCTTGGGTGAGCGATCACAAGGTTATCCACGGAGCCTTTCTCTGCAAGGAGTATCGTTCGCGAGGGCTCGAGCACGCTGTTCAGCCGCTCAAGGACGGAGTCATCAGCTAGCGAGATCTCATCTAGTAAGAAATGGTCGCCCGACTTCATAGCTCTTACTAGGCTGCCATCGGACCAAGTGAAAAGGGACTGGTAGGCAGCAATGCTAGCCCTGGTCCGTTCCACGGTCTCGGGGTCAAAGGCCGATTTGTCGAGGCTCGTGAACTGTGCGATCAGTTGCTCGACCTCGCCGTCCGTGGATAAGCCGTCTGGCGTAGGTACAGCTAGATCACGCCAATTCTCTCGTATTTGGTTCGCCAGCTCAGAGCGATTTCGAATAGGGCGTTGCGACCCGATGAGATCACCTGTCTCGGTATTCGTGTGTGCATTGTAGATACGAAGGGGCCGACCAAATGCTTCACCGATGACCTGGCAGATCTGAGTTTTCCCACAACCGGTCTCGCCCACCAGAAGAACAGGCTCGTTGCTCTTCAGGGCCTCAGATACCAGTACGAAGAGTCGTCTCATGGCTGACGTCCACACAACAGAACCGAAATTTTGGACAGAGTTGGGAATTGCTGATAAGCCGTACATGGACTCCTCGTCAATGACCACTCTCATGGTCTCCTCAATCGACTTTTTGACCACTGTCCGTTCTGCAGGATCCCTCACTCGCTCAGCTAAAAGCATGAACCCGTGGTTTGCCAACTGTTGCCGATCATCCACAGGCCTGGCTGCCCATCTGAATAAGTCACGCAAGGTTGCAAAGCTATTTCTCTGCTCAAATAGCCTTGCAGATTGTCTCTGCAATGACAACTTTTTGTACACAGCGACAATTTGGGTGCAGAAAGATGGAGCTATCTGTGCACGTTCTCTGAGGATGATTTCCAATTCATCTTCGGGGATGTCATCAAAATGGAGCTCTAGAAAGCGGTTCCTGAATGCCCGTGATAATCTCTTTCGTCCCCCATAGAGCCCAGCAGGGTTCTGCGTAGCAAAGAGCATGAAGTTCGGATGTGGATGGACGATCTCTTGTGATTCAGGTATGAGCAGCTCCCTGTTGTCATCAAGTAAGCGATTGAGGGCTTCTAAGACATCGCTCGGAGCTAGATTCAGTTCGTCGAGGACAATCCAGTGCCCGCGCCGCAGAGCATCGACCAAGACTCCCTCCCGGTATACCAGCTTTCCTTCGGCGTCCGAAACGTAACTTCCAAGGTATTCCTGGAGGTCTGTGTGTTCATGGTTATTGATCCTCACAAACTTGTTACCAGAGAGCTTTGCAAGATATTCTACCATGCTAGTCTTTCCGGCAGAGGTCGGACCTTGAAGGAGAATAGGAAAGCGTCGCATCGAAGCTGCTCGAGCCAAATTGACCAGGTTGCGCTCTACAGATGCCGTCCGGATGTAGTGGGGTTGCAAGTCGGGGCTCATAGGACCTTTCTTGACAAGATGATGCTTGAAAATGATGTATTGCTCTTGATCAAACGCCATCTTCAGTTGTTGACTGAGGAAGGATTTCTTGTTTTTGATATTGGAAAGGAGATGCTTTTCGAGCAAGAGAAGAGCCAGGCTCTCAGATGCTCTGCTAAGCACTGTGAAAAAGCTCATTGAAAAGCCTTCAAACATCGCACGCCGTAAACCATGGCTCGCACCATGTTGTGAGACGTACATGAGGCATCGGACAAGCGACCGAATGCTGAAGTGTGGAACATCCCCGGCCCCATCGGTGAGCTTGTTCTCCTGATTGAGTTGCTTGAGGTCAATGTAGGCCTTTGCAAGATCCAGAGCAGCCCGTTTGTCGTTCTCCAGCTGCGAGCCTAGGTAGGTCTGAATAATCTTTGTGAGATCCTCAACATCGCTATCACCAGAAGGGACATAGACCTCTGTGAAACGAGATCGCAACCCGGGTGGAAGGTCCTTTTTCCCAGTATCCGTAGCCGGATTCATCGCGGCGAAGATTCGGAAGTTCGGGTGCGCAACAATAGATTCAATATTGCCGGCTTCGGCAAGAAGAAGGGTTGGTTTTTCATCGTCACCGTTCTGGAGCAGACTTACAATGTGATCAAGGGTGTCGGGAGAGGCGAGGTTGATTTCATCGAGGAGAAGCCATTCGCCATCGCGGACCGCTTGTACTAGCCTTCCTTCCACGAAAGCAAAAGTCTGGTTCTTGTTTCCGTGGTCAATTTGTGGACGTAATCTGTTGAGGCTTTCAGAGAAGTCGGACCATCTCGTGCGCAATGCATCATATTTCGGCGTTGTGAGTTTCCGTCTTTTGTTCACATGGACGGCACCCTCTCCGTTGGATGGTTCTAACGAGACATTCAGCGAACCTGCCGCCAGCTGAATGGCTTCATTCCACAAGATCATCAATCTCTGCCAGTTTTGCCTCGTGACTGCTCTCTGAATGGCCAATTGGAATTTTTCGTTCTTCCTTGCAGAGAACGTATCCTCGAATAGTATGTTGAACTGTTCCACCAAAGGGAGAATCAGAGACCTGGTGGTGACGGGCTTCAATCCTCCAAGCAGGTCGCTTGCTTCGCTCTGTTGCGAGAGATTCACCACGGTGAGTGTCTGACCTACTAGGCCCGCAACATACTGTACCAGGGTCGTTTTTCCAACACCGGTCTCACCCACCAACATACAGGGCTCTGAGCAAGTTACACCGGCAGAAATGCGACCAAGTGTCCTCTGAGCATGTCTGGTGAGAGCGAATGGACCCTTATTCGTCTGGCGACGACGATGAGCCACCTTGTGTAGAGTGCTTCGACCGACGCGAATAGTAGAATTCGTCTCCGATATAGTGACAAATGCTTCGTCCAGGCAATGTCGCATTTGTTGTGGCGATATTCCCATCTCTTGGGCAATGCATGAAGCCACCAAATCATGGAGATCACCATCGTTCAGATAGCCCGCATAGCAGTCGACTGCATCGTTGAAAATCTGGAGTTTTATTGTCTCAGGTAGAGCTGCAGATACCGGTCCTTGTCCGTAATTTCCGAGCCTCTTGACTGTTCTTCGCGACCATTTGAGCAAGTCTCGAAGAGAAGGAGACCGTGTCTGTAAGGCTTTGAGACGGGGCTCGTGTCTGTACAACGCAACGACTTGGGTATGTGCTTGTAAGATGGTGGGAATAAAGGCTTCTGCAGATGGAAACCTGGAGCGAAGCAGAGACTCGACCTCTGACGTTTCATAGTCTTCTATCTCGATTAGAGACCATAACCGAGGACTCAAAAGCCAGGAATGACGTGAAGCCACGTTGGCTGGAGAGCGCCCGGAAGTTTTCAGAGTCGCAATTATGCGGAAGCCATCCTTTGGTTGAATCCTTTCCTTTCGGTTGGGCAGAAACAGCTCACCATCCTCAAGTATGGGGCGAAGCACTCCCATGACCTCTGCTGGGGCTCGGTCGATATCTTCGATCAGGACCCACCTTCCCTGTTGTATTGCTTTGGTTAATACACCGGCTTTCCAGGTGAAAGATTTGCCATCAGAAGAGGATGTATAGAGTCCCAACAAACTTTTGGCGTCAGTTTGCTCATTGATATGCAGAGTGACCATAGAAGAGTGTTGATTGAGCAATCTCGCGGCCTCATGAACAAGGGCTGTCTTGCTCGAGCCTGCTGAGCCGCAGAGCAGAACAGGCCGTCGATCTGATAAGCAACTGCCCAGTCGATGCAGATTGCGCTTCGCTGTGGCTGTGAGGACAAACTTCGAGACTGAGGAATCCAAAAGACCCGAGCGTGGGAGAAGGATTCCACCAACATCGGCTGTTCGCGGGGAGATGCTGTCCGGATTGAATCTTTGCGTCGAAGAGAGAGCAGAGGCGGTTGCGAAGCGCTTCTCGATATCGACCACCTCCGTAGAAACGTCCTTCCATCGCTTTTCCTCCCAGAGTTTCAATAGACGATGATCAATATTCCTGCCTTCCCACCGCCCCCAGATTGGCCCATCTCCCACGTACGACTCAACCATCTGATCGGAAAATGCATCGCTGAAGTGCATGACCATACAGAGACATTGAATGGCCAGATACCTGATTGGTGAAGACGAATGCTGGAGCAATGACGATAAAAACAAAGGGCTAGAGCTCTGAGCAAGGATATCTCGATCAAACGACAGAAGGCGAAATAAGGCGAGCAAGAAAAGATTCAACTCCTCGTCACTCAGTTCAAGAAAGCCGCCTTTTGCAGCCGTCGCATGAGCCCGCATAGGCTCCGATTGCAGGAGGATTTGCACATATTGGCGAAGACAGCCAACGAAAGGCAGGATCCTAGCCAAGGACGAGATTGTAAGGATGATTTCCTTATGGTCGTGAGAAGTCGACTCGATCCACCTGGCCACCAACTCCGGATATAATGGTTTGTAAAGCGGAAAGAGAATATCCGCATGTTGTGTCAACCGGGCGGCGTGTGCAAGACATTCTAGGTATTGAGAGTCGGTCGACTGGAGTATGATAGACCGGAGTTCTGTCGGCAGCCGCTGAAAGATTGAGGCATCGCTATTCAATTGCGTATCAGCCCAGGAGCAGTACACTGCTATGTCTTCCATGGTGCATCTCTGGTGCGGCGACGAAATAGTACTTCGAGAGAAAGACACAACTCCCCACTCTGAAGATATTTCGACAGAAGATTTGGTTTACCTCAAATCTTCAGTCTCATGAAGAAGTTCGCCATCACTGCATGCATGTATGGGGCTTGGCATAGAAAATTTTGCCAAGGATTTTAGCATGGCAAATTGACCTGTTAACCAGAATGTGACTTCCTTTTGGCGTTAGCGCAATGTACCCGCTTTGGAGCTCTCAGCCTTGCTCACCCTGGGCTGGCAGCCTTGTCCGGGGTCAGGCAGCCCCTGGTCAGGAAGCCGTACTATACCAAAGCAACCTTTGTTATTTTGCACAAGGGCATCGACTGTACAATGTATGTGGCTATACGCAGAACCGGTGATTAACCGGTCCACAGTGTAGCGCTGCCTACGGGCAAACTATTACTATTTTCTTGGACCTCTGTCTCTCCTATTTAGGCATGAAAAGGGGAGTGAGTACATCCAGCTTGGAAGAGGAATCCACCATCTGGGGTACCTGACTTGGGAGGTCAATGTTGCATCAAACTGCTTCAGACCGTTTTGACATGGAGCTATGAAGAGCTGAAGGTGGTTGAGATCCTACGGGATGTTACACTAAATTGAACGCAGTGGACAGTATGTAGTTGTGAAGCGCTAATGAGGATTACCTAATACTACAGGGGTTCGAATCCATCAGGCGGGGACAGTACTAGTACGGAACGCTTGTTGGCCAGTCAAAAAAGGTTACTACCTATGTACGTAGTAGCGCTAACTTGAAGTCCACGGTCACCCAAGCCTGTAAAGAAGGAGACGCGCTATCCGAGTCGGCAATGCACCTGCACCCGCTGGACAACTCTATATTGCATTCGTTCGTGGTCATCGCAACCTGAATACTATATGGTCACAGAAGTGGCCCTCTACCGTTGTTGATGATGATGATCTGTCCTATCCAGGCAAGAGTCCTCTTCCTATCTGGCCACCATGCCGGGCGCTGAAAGCCACGACAGCGATCAGTCAGATCTAGAACTGTTCACCACCGAGGACGCAGTCGACATTCCACAGTAAGTATGCATCGGTTGGCTGTGGTAAGAATTTGTATCGATCCTGACATTGGAACCACAGAGTGTCGCCGTCACTGAAACATGCCTCTGGATCTCGGCTATCGCGTCCTACCGCTTCAGCCTCCTCACCGTTGGGAGAACCCTTCTCACCAGACGTGGCCACACAGCCGAATCGCAACCGTGCCGCAGAGGAGCATAGCGATACGATGGAAGGATTAGAGTCATACAACATAGGACATCAACGCCAAAAGGACAAGGGGCCGCATGACTGGTATATCGAGGGGCCGGGTCGAAGAGTTGGCTACGATGACCTGACCGCCATCGATTGGATCTATGAGTACACGAAAGAACGCCAGCGGCTGAGAAAGCTGTTTGCTTCTGATAATGGAATAATAGGGCATCTGAGGCAATTGTTCGACGCGAGTCACGTCTGGCTGGTCTTGGTCGCTAGCGGAGTCTCTGTCGGCTGTGTTGCAGCGTTCATCAACATTGCTTCAGACTGGCTGGGAGATATCAAAACTGGCTACTGCAAATCGGGCCTCGGCGGTGGACAGTTTTATCTCAACAAACAATTCTGCTGTTGGGGACATGACGACTTCTCTCAATGTCAAGATTGGACACCCTGGCCCTCTGCAATGGGTATCGGACCTGTTGGTGGCCAGTATGTGATCAGCTATATCTTCTTTGTCATATTCTCAGTATGTTTATTCCCTTTAACCATTGGATGTTGCTGACCTTGGTTTGACAGGTTTTGTTTGCAGTTTCAGCAGCTCTTCTGGTGGGACACTACTCCATTTATGCTCGACATAGCGGAATTCCTGAAATCAAGACTGTTCTGGGTGGCTTCATCATCAGGCGTTTTCTTGGCTTCAGGACTCTGGTCACTAAGTCTTTGGGACTGGTAAGTGCTAAGACCCTCCACGTCTTCAAAATGCTCATGTCCAAAGTGCCTCGCAGTGGCCTCCGGGATGTGGCTCGGAAAGGAAGGCCCCTTCGTACACCTCGCATGCTGCTGTGCCAACGTCATCATGAAACCTTTCAAATCATTGAGTGAGAACGAAGCTCGCAAAAGGGAGGTCCTCTCTGCTGCGGCTGCATCGGGGATTTCTGTCGCTTTCGGCTCACCTATTGGGGGAGTCCTCTTCTCCCTCGAACAGTTGTCCTACTATTTTCCGGATAAAACCATGTGGCAGTCATTTGTGTGCGCTATGGTTGCGGCTGTGACTCTCCAGGCCTTGAATCCATTCCATACTGGCAAAATTGTATTATATCAGGTCACCTATACGACGGGATGGTACAGCTTTGAGCTTGTTCCGTTTGTCCTGCTCGGCATCATAGGTGGGTTGTACGGTGGTATGTTCATCAAGCTGAATATGTTGATTGCACGTCTCCGGAAATCTTCAAGCTATCCCCTTCGCGACAAACCAATCGTCGAAGTTCTGGTCGTTTCGGCACTTTCCGCGGTTATCAACTACCCCAACACTTTCATGCGAGCACAGCTGTCTGAACTGGTCTATTACCTGTTCGCAGAGTGTGCAACTATAGGCAACAACGATATTTTTGGCCTCTGCAGAGCCACGACGGCCGGAACCTTGTCGATGGCATGGTTGTTAATTGCCGGTTCCATTTTGGGATTTCTGTTAGCTAGCATCACATTCGGTTTACAGATCCCAGCAGGGATTATACTCCCTTCTCTGGCCATCGGCGCGCTGTATGGTCGCGCCCTGGGTGTCCTTCTGGAACTTCTTCAGCAGCATTTCTCCACGTCTCTCGTGTTCGCAGCCTGTGAGCCTGGCGTGCCCTGCGTTATTCCTGGCACTTACGCCATTGTTGGGGCAGCTTCAGCCTTAGCAGGCGTGACACGACTCACGGTCTCGATTGTTGTGATCATGTTCGAACTGACTGGCGCCCTTTCCTACGTCTTGCCGATCATGATTGCCGTCATGCTGGCAAAATGGATTGGTGACGCTCTGTCTCCTCGCGGGATCTACGAGTCTTGGATTGGCGTCAATGAATACCCCTACCTTGAGAGCAACGAAGATGCGGATATACCTCATATATCTGTTGCCGCCATCATGACAAGAATAGAGGAAATGAAGTGCTTGGACGCCAATCGGCTTCATACAGTGGAAGACCTGGAGAATGTTCTACGGTCGACCACTTACCGTGGGTTCCCCGTGGTGGCTTTCAAGGAGACCAGTGGCGATGTGGTGGCCGATGCGCCTATCAGCCCGCATTTCCTGCGTGACAACACTCTTCTGGGATATATATCCCGGGTTGAACTCTCCTTTGCGTTGGAACAGGTCACTACCAAACCCGCCCATCATGTGCCTGGTCCTGGTCTGCAATACGTCGGACCTGATACGCCTTGCTATTTCACCTACCGTCCAGACCTGGGCTCTTCCCAAGGCCTAGACTTGCGACCTTGGATGGACCAGACACCAATCACTTTGAACGCCAACAGTTCACTGCAACTGGCAGTTCACATGTTTCAGAAGCTTGGCCTGCGCTACCTTCTCCTTGTTGAGCGTGGAGCATTCCGAGGTATTCTCACCAAGAAGGATGTTTGTTGGGTTCTGTCAGCAGCCGCTGGAGGCGAAAAGGTTGGATCTTTCATTGCTGGTGCTGAAGTCCTTCGTGACCTGAGCACCGGCGATGAAATTGATGAGGCCAGAGGACTCCTCCAAAGAGAATCAGAAGCGCTCGCTCAACCCGGAAACTCGGGGTAAGGACGCCTGCATAAATGTTCTTTCACAATCTTGGAATGTGCAACTATCGAACCTCAGGCCCGGGTACTGCATGCTTGCGACAAAGAAAAAATGGACATTTCAAATTACCGCATCGTCTGAAAGAATGAGAATGTGCAGGCAAGTACTTGTCACGACTTCGTACTGTCATTGAAAACGAGCCGTGCCAGGAGTGTTGTTCAGGCAACTATCAACAGTATAAGGAGCAAGGCGCACTACTTTGCCCTGCTGGATATGGTTTCATTGCAATTCTGTAAGCGACCTTTCTCCAGATCTATTCTTGTTCGAAACCTATGTATTCCTAGCCTGCCTTCGGGAGAAAGCGGTGGCAGAATTGAGTCAGTGGACCGCGCCGTCCACAGCACGATCATTGCTAGTGGAGTATGGAATGTCGGTTCGAAGAAACCAGAGAAAAGAGCGAACAGTCACCGAGCACATGGCATCTGGGGCCTACCCAGCACCCACGAGGCAAAGACGCATTGCAACTAGACGAGCACGGGAAGAGCTTCATATCATTCTGGGCAGTTCATTTCGCCCCCCTGGCATTCACTATCGCGGCATCCAGCGTATGACCGACCGGCTCCAAAGTCCATTTTACATGCTCAGGGATCAATACATGTCTCTAGATGGTGCTGTCGGTCGTCGCCTGCCCCGTCTTCAACGGCCTCGGTTGTGAAAACATCACAACATGAACTGCTGCTGGTGGTAGCAGCTACGTTTAACGTCTCACTAAAATCTCCCCTGCCAGAATAGCATCGGTTCGGCCAGACGAAGCCTAGATAAGAGATTCGTTGGACGCCTCCTTTCCGACCAGGCCCGAATGAGGTACCAGGCTCCGGCTTCGTCGCCTAATGCTTTTCGGGGAAACAGCCAGAAGCCTGGTCTGACCAATAAAGCCTAAAACAACCGAAACCAGACCGAACCTGGCCTTTATGCATGGCTATCACAGTACGGTGGTACGTCAGTGGAAGCAAGTAGCAGCCATACGGCCACTCTTTCAAACAGTCAACGAAAGCCACGGTGAACTGAAGAAAGCCTCCCTAGCCTTGGAGCAGGCTACTTGTCTCGATTGGTACTAGTCACCGCGCCCGCGAGACACTGTTACTTAGCGTCCGCCGCCGGCTTCTACTCTGTAGTGGGTCAGCAGAATTGGGCAACCATCGCGTCGACCCACCCTTTGTCAAATTCATGAGCCGTAGATCATGAATGCCGCGCTCTCCAGACAACCGTGAGAGCTTGGTTTCCGTGTCATTTGTCATATGGGTGAGGGAGCGTTCCGTGAGAGGTACCTGCTGCATTGCTGCTGGTCGTCGATTCGGCCATCGACAGCTTGTTTTGCTGCTCTAGTCCGTCAAGAATCAGCAAGATTCTTTCCTGTAGGCCCGAGGCCCTTTCGGGGATCGAGGTCCGGCACAGTCGAAAGACCGGCTCGAAAGCGGACGTCTTTGCTTTGGCCCAACCCGGTCCCCACCATGGGTGTGAAGCAGGTCGCCGATTGCAAGCCAGGTTCTGGTAAGTGGCAATAGTACTAGAGACACAGACACATCTGTATCGGTGGCTTGCGAACGATGTTCGAGGAAACGGCAAAATGACCCTCGGATGTACGTCCGTCGTGCGGCCAGTCCGTGGTGATTTCCTTCTGCCACTCGGCGTCCATCCCACTCCTGCGGATCGACATCCATGCTGTCAGCGGCACGATCTACTGACCGGCCTGTCAGCTATCATCCCGCACGCTTTTGGGACCTGTGACATTATTCGAGAAGCCGCTGGCATCTTGAGATAATGGGGCAGCGGGTCAGTACTTTAAGGAGAGAAAGAAAAGACAAAACGCAGTTCTACTCTGCGTCATTGGTCGATCCTTTACAATTTGACGTACAACCTGTGGCCATGGTTCCTTTACGTGTCTCGGATCACGCCTTTGCCCGATGTTTCCTCTCAACGACTTCCCAACGGAAAGGCAGAGCTGTTTTGTTCCTGAACGTCAGCAGTCAGGGCACCGTCAACGGCGGACAAGCGTCGACAGCACTAGCTCTACCACCAAGCTATGGCAAGCCTCGTGGTCCTCATCGCTAGCAGTGGCTAGTGGCCACATTCTTTGGCGAGCAACTGGAGTTGCAGTGGTCAGGGAGTTGTTTCAAAGGGCAATGCCCGCTCTTCCCTCTCACTCAATCCCGGACCGAAAAGGTACAGACGTAGAGAGACAATCTCTAGCCCAGCAGTCCTGTGGTGCGCTGAAAGACACGAGGACTCAGGCCCACAGGTTGAAGGAAGGTTCGCAGGACCTTCCAACTGGGAACGCTACTGATGACACTACGTATTCCTTATCTCCGATCCCTGCTCGCACCGCACGTCTCTGGACGCCTTTGAAGCCGCGCGAGGCTGCCTAACCCCAAACACGTGGATCGGACGGAGATCATCAACACACCAGCAGTGCAGTCATCTCAGCATACTTTTAATGCCGTCTCTGCGTTGTGGGTGAGACAACCAAGCCACCTCCTCGAATACCACCGGATGAGGTGAGCGATACCGATTCGAAGCCTCAGGCAGACACACACTGCTGATTTCCAGTTTCCAGGAAGCGAATACGGACATGCAACCCATGACAAGGTCTGTCGATCACCATGACAAAGTCTGTTGATCACTACTGCGAAGAGAAACAAACTACCGAGCACATGTGTTAGTACCTAGCATCGAGTAACATACGCCCAGAAGACGGCGGTCACTGGCATGGTGTTCGTTTCCAGGCTACTGTTCTGCTGAGCAGCCTATCCTCTCCTCAGTCATCCACGGGACTGCCAAAGACCAACAGTACACTATTATGTTCTCTTGTGATATTATGCCCATGGATATACAACGTTTGAGCGATGCTCGGTGCATTTCGGATCTACCCTGCAGCAGCAGTTCTGATGCTCGGGTGCCTTGTTTGGTGGCTGTTTCGAACGACGGGCTCATCACGGACCAAGACCCTATCACTGGGTGCTGAGGAGGCTGCGGCAATTGTTCCTGATAGAGTACAAATCTGACGGCGTTTGGCTCGACCTCTTATGTGGGAGGTCCTAGTCCCTCATGAAACGCACTGCTCGATCTCCTTCTGGCCGTGGCGGACGTTTGAGAAGACGCCACATAAGCCCCGAGATAAGTCATGCTCACTGGCTGCATAACTTGCAGGGCTGTCTGTCATCCTGGACTGTGTGATGTACCCCGGCATTGGGTCGAATAGATCCCATAACCGACTAGGAGGTCAAGCAGCCCACGGCGTTGACCTACGAAAGTAGGTGACTGCACAAACACCAACGGCACTACAGAGTACAGAGTACAATGCAGACTAGCTGGCCCACGACAGGAACAGGCGAGCTACTGTACGTATTTCACCGGATTGGCAGGCTGCGCGCATCTGCCATCCTTCTTACGTATGATGTGGCGGGCGCCCGCGATAGATGACAGTTGACAGTTGACAGTTGACAGACACGTGCATGTTCCCGCGAAAGGTCCTCGACTCATCGAGGCACGTCCGATGATTGCATGTCGCCAACCCGTGATATCTGACTGGTATCACGGTCTGCGTCACTTGACTCGCATCGGCCTGCCCGGGGCCCTGATGAATTGCGTTGCTTCTGGCGGTGGTCCTACAACGACGTCCTCTCCCCGAGGGATGTCCACCTCTTCCAATAACATCAAACGCTTCAGCTTAGGTGACCTCTTGTTGCGAGAAGCCTCCTTGGGCATAAATGACCTCGAACGTGTCACCCTTTACGGGCAGAGGTTTCATGGCTTCTACTTGCGTTCCTACCCGAAAAGTGCTTGACCCGGAAGAGGGCGAGGGTCACAATATATCGATTGATGCGGAAAGGCCCCTGCCAAGTGCCTGGCTTACTTTGTTGCGCACTATTTCATGTACCATGCGCCATTCCGCCATCCGGCAGACATGGTTCCCGGGGATCAGTGAACCAGGGGTTTTTCCCGGTTTGTTTCAAACAGTAACCCAAAGTCAACCGGCGAAGGAGACGGGGTTCTGTGTTTCCAGGGCCGATTACGTTACTACGTACACTCGACGTAACAGGATTCGTCGATATGATCTCTGGATCATCTCTGGGTCTCGCTTGTGCCCCGGACCCAGAAGGAAGGACTAGGAACTTGATGATCTCGATGAAGGCCTCCCATCACCTTTCAGTCTCGATGCTGAGAGAAGAGGAGTGTTAGCCTATTGCTTACGTGTCGGGGATATCGAATGGCTGCTACGTACTCAAAAAGACTGGTCTTGATGAGTTGCTGCCAAAATGACCCATTGTTCCCTCGCTTTGTCTCGCTTCATCTCGTCTCGTTGGAACAAGGAAGCAGTCGGCCGATCATCTGCCCGTCGATTTCTTCACCTGACGCTGCATCTTGCCCGAGGAGTCGTCACAGAGCACCTGAGGTACGTCTTCGTGATGAGCTCACAGGCCCAGACTTCACAGCTGTTTGCCAGGAGCAGCGATAATGAGCAAAAGCGTGATAAGTGTCGAAACACCTGCAGCTAACCTACTCGACGCAGCAGACGCCTCGGGGCTTTTGTCTATAGTGTAACGCTCGACCAGCCTGAGGTTTCTAGGTCCTGTACCACCGTTGAGAACGAAGCGAGTATGTTTCAGTGGGCCTACAAACATATTATTAAAGGCCGGGCCATCCTTGCTCTCAGCGCCACGTATCTGCAGAGTCGTAGTAGTGTGAGTCCATGATCATACAATGAACTACCCAGTGCCCAGCAGAGTCCGGAATTTTCTGTCGACAGTGATCAGTAGCGTGGGAGCAATTGACTGGTTTCAGCTAGACAAGTCTCTGAACTTTGCGATGTTTCCAAGATGCCTGTCTCCATCACAGCCACATACGAACCGGGCTGGGAAGACACCTACTAAGGTACTGGAGGTACAGCAGCGGGAGGGCGTAATGGTGTAACAACATCGCCCGATCCTACTGTTATATGCTACAGGACTAGGGACACAACAAGTTGACATCAGGATCTGCCTAGGGACAGTAGGTACTCTAGTATCTTAGGTAGGCACTGACCGACTACGGTACCACCCTACGTGGATCGTAGGATCAACAGGACTGTATCTGTCGAGGTTGCCTTTTCGTATATGCTTGTGCCTGGACCTGTCTGTAGATGCCCCTACAACCACTGGCCCTGCTTCGGGCATTATAATTCTGCACTGTGAGTGTGGTAAAGACACAAGATTGACACCGCGTCCCACCAAGCTGTTCAGTGGTCTGTCCGCCTGCGGCCTGGAAAAGCCTAAGGAACCCCCCCCAAACCTGCCCGTCGGAAGAGCGATCCCGGGCTACAAGGCGCTGTTCTAGACACTAACAACCCTATGATCCTAGGCGCAACCCGCCCACTTACGGGCTAATAATAAGTCTTCTAGGCTTCTGATTGAGGCTCCTGGGGCCGCAGATGCTCCGCTGATCCTTGACCTGCGGTGCCTGCAGTGTCTGCATTGTGCCCTGGGCAGCATTATTGGCCGCGGACGTCAGGGGAACAATTGGCGGGGAAGGCATCCTGCGATTTGTTCCCGACCTCGCCGTCAAGTCTCCAATCCCCAGTCTCTCTCATTCAGCTTCAAGTTCATCGTCAGAGGCTTGGGAGGTGAGGTCTCCGTGGGTAGCGTTACTAGTATGGTTGGTCCTGGTGCGTCTAGTATCTACTCTGTATTATTGCGGCTTCGAGTTGACCGGCGTGCTGCGTTGCCGTCATCGGCATAGTTCCAGGAGACGAGTGCAACACCATCTCCATCCCTGGTTCCTCCTTAGTCTTCGCTGCGAAAGAAGGCGCAGCGCTGCTCATGCACCATGCAGGCCTTCAAGGTTCTCGCATGCTTCGACCCACCGGCATCCCAGCAAGCGGTCGGCGGCGCCATCAAGACACAGAAGCCGCCGACTCGCTCCAGTATCAGACCTCATCGTCTCCCCCGGTTGGCCGCTGGTGCGCCCTGGCATGCACCCACCGTGCCGGTCACATATCGATCATCCTGGGACCTGCCAAGGTCTGAAGGCTCGTGGAGTCAGAGACCGACATCAACTCATCCCAGGGAAAATGTCCCCACTGATTTAATCCGACCTGATCTGACCCCGATGGCGATTGTCCTGAACCTACCCACAAATTGGCCTACCCTTCCCTCGTTTGCGAAAAGGGCTCCCCCGAGTTCAAAGTCCATACCAGAGAGGGATGGACCACTGAAGGCCAACAAGAGCTGCTAAAAACCACCTTCGTCTATACACTGCAACCTAGGTACCTCGCCATTCATTGATTGCAACCCCTCTGAGATGCTCTTCTGATATCCCCGGCCTACCGAGAACCCACTTCTGAAGGATACAAGGTGCAAGAGTCTCCACGTGGCCGCTGGATTCCTTGTAGCTCTCTCCAGGATCTTCCTTCAATTCTATGGCCTTGACGAGATTGCTGTTACGCTCACGCTACTGCGCCTAGAGCGCTGTCAGACCGGGCAGCTCAATCCATGACCAAACACGATCGGTCCAACAACAGCGCTGAGGTGTCGAGAGGGACCGCCGAAAACCTATACGAGCTGGGCCTTCTCAACCGTCCTCGACAACGGTCACGGTCGAGCACAACTGAATCCAGGGCGGCGCACTGTAAGACATTGTTGACAAAGAATCGTCGGCTCCGCGCTGGCAGCAAAGAAGCCGTGTTTCAGTGGGCAAAGAGACAACACTGACACATGGTTCTCCATTTCGCAGACCACCACTCGCGAGGCCGCCACGACGGCTACCCTCCTCGCGCAGGTTCTTCTTTGAGTGGTGCCGCACTCAACTCCAGCTTCAAACAGTCGAGCATCACCACCGGCTCCCTGAGCAGACCACACACTCCGCACGACAGTCGGCCTCGCACTCGAGACCAGCGTCTTCCTCCTTCCCCGACCGCAAGTGTCCCAGGCGCGGGGCATCCTATGGCGGGCATGCTAGACTCGGACCGCACACGCTCAAGACGAGAGAGAACATTTGTAGGAGAGATATGTGCCGCTTGCGAAGAGCCGTTGGAGCATACATTAAGAGGGGAGAGGGTGCTGCAGTTCTCCTGCGGGCATGTCGCCCATGAAGCTTGCTTCTATGAGTACATTCGGGAAGCGGACTCGCAATACTGCCCAACATGCAAGGCTCCTTTAGCTCTGGATTCTTTCCGAGGGGGTAGTATATTGGACTTGAGTACGTCTATGTCGTCTGTCACGGGAAACGGGGTCAGATAGGCTAACCCGCACAGGCAAGCTGAGCAACATGGTCCGAGCGGTGGCCCAGAAGGATGTCACCTCACCCAGAAGTTCCCAAAATACCCCAATGCCCTGGGATATCCAGGACGACGCCTACAGCACCCGAGATGTGTCGCAGCGACACAGCCGCGAGAATCCCAATCGAGACAGTCGAGATAGCCAACGAATGCGCATTGAACGCTTGGGCATTGGACAAGCACCAGCACCAGCACCAGCACAACCTCAAATCCAACCCCAGCCCCATGCGCATCCTCATCCACCGCCAGGCCATGCACGAACCGACAGTGGCGGCAATGCCTCCTCGACCGACTGTACCCACGAGCATGGCAGTCAGCCAGCCCGAAAGCATGATTACGATCTGCATGCCATGGAAACGGCCCTTGCAGGAGCCCAGATCAGAGACACCAAGCACTCCATCCCCGCGCCAGTTGTGACTGTGCGCAGTGAATACCCGACGCTGACTCGCTCGCTCCAACAACAGAGCGTGACGTGCCTGGTGACGATCGAGGTGCCCGAAAGTAAATGGCATCCACAATTCGACGACGTCCAACACACCCCGCCAGTTCCACCCCTGCCGACCGATTCGGGCATCGGTATACCAGCCAGGCAAAGACGGGAGCCTTCACAAGAGCCTATGGCCTACGAGTCCCCCGAAGTGCTCGACCGGATTACCGAAGAGCTCCAGATGCGCGTGGACAATTGGCACGGACTCGAATTCCAGAGGTTTGGCAATCTTCGCCTGCATGGTGTGGTCCGCGTGGGCAAGGACCGGCATTCGTGGCAAGAGCTCGAGTGCTACTTGTTTGGAGAAATGCTCATCTGCGTCAAGGAAAAGAAGAATGCTCCGCCTGTCATCGCTGATTCCGGGCGCAAGATGACGAGGTGCACTCTGAAGGGCTCCATCCTGATCAGGAAACACTTGAAGCAAGTGCACGCGTCACTGGAGGAGAACATCCTGACGTTAAATCTCTCTGTGGCGGAATTGCCGACATTCCATCTGCTTTTCCCCGAGAGGGAGGAGCTCCAGCTCTGGCAGCGTGCTCTGAGAGATCTACATGTTACCGAGCCTTCTCCCCGATATCCCCCAGACTATGACCAGGACACTTCGGGGACGGACGAAGAAGATTATGGTCGGCAGCACAGAACAGTGCGACGCGTCCCCTCCGTCGCCTCGTCATATGGTGGGCCGAAGTCAGCCACGACCGCAGCCACCGAGTACTCCATGCACAGGCCGGTCTTTGAGAGGCGGGTGCCTCCTTCGTTGCATGTTCCGATCGATGTCGTCGTGGTGATCCCCATCTCGTCGTCCATGCAAGGGTTGAAGATCACCCTGTTGAGAGACACCCTCCGGTTTTTGGTCTCCAATCTGGGAGAGCGTGATCGGATGGGCTTGGTTACCTTTGGTTCAAGTGGCGGGGGCGTGCCCGTCGTGAGCATGACGACCAAAACCTGGTCTGGCTGGAACAACGTTCTCAATTCAATCCGACCGGTTGGACAAAAGAGCTTGCGTGCAGACGTGGTGGAGGGAGCCAATATGGCCATGGATCTTCTGATGCAGCGAAAATCCGCCAACCCGATCTCCACCATCCTCTTGATCAGTGACTCGTCGACCGCGGAGAGTGACAGTGTGGATTTTGTCGTCCAGAGAGCTGAAGCTGCGAAGTGAGTGTCGACGTGATGATTATTGCTAGGAGAGAAATGCTAATGCATGCATGTAGGGTCGGAATCTACTCCTTTGGGCTCGGGCTCACCCATAAACCGGAGAGCATGATCGAGCTCTCCAGCCGCACCAAAGCATCCTACCTATATGTGAAAGACTGGATGATGCTGCGCGAATGCGCCGGTGGCGTGCTCGGGGCTCTCCAGTCCACCTCACACCAGAATGTCAAACTCAGACTCAAGCTCCCCGAGGGATCTCCGGCGAAGTTCATCAAAATTAATGGCGCCCTGCAAACCACCAGAAGAGCGAGCGGTCGGGACGCGGAAGCGGCTCTGGGGGATCTTCGATTTGGCGACAAGCGAGATATTCTGGTACAATTGGCCATTGATCCGGATAATACCACTCCAGAAGCTGTTCCCCAGGATCCCTGGGAGTCTATTGTGTCTGGCCTCGAGGCTCTGGGAGGCTCGCTCGACAGCGATGTTGAACGTGTGCAAAGTATCGAGGAAGTGCCTCTGCTTCAAGCAGATCTCTCATTTGGAGATCTTCTGCGGGATGGCGCCATCACGCAACTCCCACGACCGTCTTTGCTGGCCATCACCATGCTACCTTCGAGCCAATCAGCCCGTCAAAGCGGGCGACCACCAACACCTCCCATTCCTCCCCATCCTCATATCGTCCAGCGGCGAATGGAGCTGCTGACCTCGGACATGTTGAGCCGTGCTCTCACCCTGGTGTCCCGTGGTCAGCACGAGCGTGCCCACCATCTGTTGAACGAGACCAGGACGATCCTTAAAGGTCTGGGCAAAGGCGGACTGCCCCCTCTACCTCCGGGCGCCAGTCACCATGTTGTCAACAAGCGACACACTCCTCCGTCCAAGGATGCGAGTCCAAGAGCTGGATCACCCGAGCGAACCCGTGATCGTAGCCCTCATTCTGACGCCAGCACACCGATCCCACGTACGACTGGCATTGACCACACCGTCATGAACGCTCTTGATGCCGATATTGAAGGCGGGCTGGAATGGATCAGCCACCCGGCCGTGTTCTCGCGTGACGCCCGCAAGGCCGTTCTCCAAGCCATTGGAGTGATTTCATCTCAACGAGGGTACACTTTCCGCACCGCATCCGAGTCGATCTGGGCTGAGCGGATACCTGGAGTCAAACGGCTGACGGAGCAATCCCGAGAATGGAGGGAAGCCGGTGACGATGCCCTGACTGAAGAGTGATGATGTTTACGACCTGATTCAGATCCCGTGTACAGTTTCTCCGTCGCCGATGTACAGTTTTTGTCGACTATGTGAATCACTTCTATGAGCGCACGGATGGGATATGTGTTCATCAGTGGGAACAAGATGTCGCAGCCACCAAGCGTTTACCTATCCTTGCGCTGTTTCGGCCTTACTTTTCTTTTTTTTCGAATGGGAAATACCCGTGTCTTCTTCAGCCACTGCAGCGCTTGATGATTGCCGGTCTCAAGAATTGTTGATAGAATAGTCCTTGCTCGAGCATACCTACTTTTAGGTAGTTACCTCAGTACCTTGTATTGAGCTTGTTGGCGGTTGAGCTTTCGTCCACCACATAAGTAATACGCCTGCATGCGACGTATCCGGTGTGTGAGCAACGTAGGCTTTATTCGGGTAGGTATGTTTGTCTGCGGTGTTTATCTAACGTAGCATTGGATCACAAGTAATGCCCGTGAAGTGGAAGTAGACGTTGGTCGTTGCCGCTGCGCTGCGTCCTCCAAGGCTGCGGTTCTTGGCATCAGATTCTCCGCCGGCGTGCGATCGATGTTGGAGCCTCGCGTCGGACTGCAACAAATAATTTCATCCCGCATTTGTCCTTCATCGTCTAATTACCAAGTCGAAGTCAACCCTCCGCTCTCCATACACCACCTGATACTGCTGTAAACCGTTGCAATGTCCTTGACGATACCGCAGCCCTCACAGGCCGGTCTTTTCAAGCCTGGTTACAACAGCTACGACGCCGAAGATGGCGCTGTCATCCGCAATGTATGCTTCCCTTGCCCCCCCACAGGCCGTGCTGGACTGTATTTATTGACTTGGTGCAGATCGACGCCTGTCGGACGATTGCGCAGACCGTCCAGACGTCCCTGGGACCGTATGGACGAAACAAAATCGTCATTAACCACTTGTCCAAGATGATCCTGACGTCCGACGCCGCTACAATCCTACGTGAACTCGAGGTGGTCCATCCAGCAGCCAAACTACTGGTTATGGCGAGTCAACAGCAAGAAGCGGAAATGGGTGACGGAACCAACATGGTCATCGTCCTGGCTGGAGAGTTACTGAAGAAAGCGGAAGAGTTGATACGCATGGGGCTCAAGACGAGCGATATTGTGTCTGGATATCAAAAGGCACAGGCATTTGCTCTGAAGGCACTCGAACGTTTGTACCACTAGTGTCCGGCTTACATCAAGGAAAGCTAACACTGTATCAGAACTTGAAGTCGACAGTATTGCCGACCTCCGGTCCGCCGAAGAACTGCGCAAAGCCATTCGAACCGTCGTCGCCTCCAAACAGTCGGGATCCGAAGATGTCTTGTCCAAGTTGATCGCCGAGGCTGTCCTGGCCGTACTCCCCAAAAACCCTGCCAACTTCAACGTCGACAACATCCGAGTGGTGAAGATCATGGGAGGAGACTTGTCGTCGTCCAGAGTCGTGAAGGGTATGGTGTTCGGCCGCGAACCCGAGGGCACCGTGAAACGAGCCAAGAACGCCAAAGTCGGCGTCTTTTCATGTCCGATCGACACCTCGCAGACCGAGACGAAAGGGACAGTGCTTCTGCACAATGCCAAGGAGATGATGGACTTTTCGAAAGGAGAAGAAGCCCAACTAGAGGCGGCAATCAAGGAACTCTACGACAGCGGGTTGAGAGTGGTCGTGGCTGGGTCTACCGTGGGCGAGCTGGCGCTGCACTACCTCAACCGAATGGGGATACTGGTGATCAAGATCATGTCCAAGTTCGAACTTCGTCGACTTTGCCGAGTGTGCGGCGCCACCCCACTCGCACGTCTAGGCGCGCCCATGCCCGACGAGATGGGCAGCATCGACATCGTCGAGACGACCGAGATCGGCGGCGACAGAGTCACGGTGTTCCGCCAAGAATCCGACTCGGCCGTCACGCGGACAGCGACGATCGTGCTCCGCGGGGCAACCCAGAACCACCTAGACGACGTGGAACGGGCGATCGACGACGGTGTCAATGTCATCAAAGCCGTGACCAAAGATTCCCGTCTCGTTCCCGGTGCCGGGGCCACGGAAATGCAACTCGTCGAACGTATCAGCCACTACGCAGACAAGACGCCCGGCCTGCCGCAATACGCGATCCGAAAATACGCCGAGGCCTTTGAAGTGATTCCACGCACCCTGGCCGAAACCGCCGGGCTCGACGCCACGGAAGTCCTCGCCCGCCTGTACACCGCGCACCAACAACGTCTGACCTCAAATGAAGTCAAGAGCCGGCATTCCTCCAGCAAAGCGGAGGCGAAAGTCGAAAGTGAAAGTGACGACGAAGAAGAAGAGGGCGAAGAAGGCTCCTCATCCTCGTCCTCGACAGGCACGTCAGACTCCGAAGAGCCGTACTGGACGACCGGCGTCGATCTGGAAGGATCCGATGCTACCGGTCTCCTCGACGCCGTGGAAGAGCAGATCCTCGATCTCCTCGTCACCAAGAGCTGGGCGATTCGGCTCGCGACCGAAGCGGCCAGGACGGTGCTCAGTGTCGATCAGATCATTGTCGCGCGGCAGGCCGGTGGGCCCAAACCGCCAGGGCCGAATCCGAACTGGGACGAGGACTGAAGATTGAAGCTTTGAAGCTTTGAGGCTGAAGCTTGAGGCCTTTTGAACCCTTGAAAATTAGAGAAGATTAATGAACAATCTTGAACTTGAACTTGACCCCTGTTCGGAATTCGTAACTTGATTTGGACGGCAATTGCCGTGTTCTACTGAGTTTCTACGGAGAATGAAAGAGGGAAACTGATTCAAGTAGGGACATCGATTGCTTTAGAACCAGAAAGGGAGGTGGCGACCGAGAGAGGACAGAGGAAATCGAATAGACGAAAAGGAAACGACAAGTAGAGTATGACCGACTAGATTGATACTCATAAACTGAGTGTTGACGATAAAGACAAGACACGGAGAAGAAGATGAGATGAGAAGGCATGTTATATGGACTTGGCCATGCTGACAACCTCTTCTACTCCTACATTAAGAAGCGAAGGAAGGTTCTGTAAAGTTTACTTCCTGGTATTGAGTGATGGTCTGCTTTGCCAGCTCGTTCATATCTCATAGCGTAGTCTGCTGAATATCTTGCTCTGCTCTCACGATACACTGACGGACTGACAAGTAGCATGGTGGAGCGCCCCGCCCGCCCGTCCCCCCCCAATGCCCCGGAATTTTCTATGCCACGCCATGCCATATCGCACTGCGATTCTTGGCTTCATAGATGGTTGAATGGAGGAGTGCGTGGACATGCGACTTTCCCAGGCACAACCGCCTCCTCGGTCAGATGTAGGCCTCTGGAACCTTGGGAAGAGAGCATTTGTCAGTGCCTCCACCACGTCGGAATGTGAATGTCTTGGACAAAAAGACCAATGCCAAAAGATGTCCACGGTCTCTGGGTTGGGGTTTATCGACTTCTGGAAAATGCGTGATGTAGACTTCCTGCAAGTTCAAGATTCTGGCTCGACCGTAGCCTGGTGTCCAATTCAAGTTGCGTCGCTTTGGTGTCGTGGCAGCTGTTGACAGCTGTATCGAAGATAGCTAAGTACTTTCAACGCCGTGTATGGCCCGAACCCCTGCTGTGTGGAGACTGGTACTCCGTATGGTTTGCATTGGCCGGACTGGAAAGCTGCATCGAGAATCTAGAACTCGGAGGAATGGCGTGTTGTGTAAGATACGTTGGTGGCGGTGTGGTGTGATAACTTGCTGCGCCGTGGTTGACAAACCCTCTCTAAGAGTTGATGGCAGAAAATCCGCCTGATGAGGCTTCGCGTCGCGAGGCTCTCTTGAATGCGTCCATCGCGGCCTGGTACTCCCTCATCTGGTCTTCGTATCTGTCATCCCACAGCTTCCGATTTTCCGCGCTCAAGTTCTCCCACTCCGCCTTGATACGGGCTGCTATTTGGTCCTGGGGGTAGTTGTCGGCTTCAAGCTGCGGCCGCATATGGGCGGTGAACTGATTGTAAGGGGTTTCTGGTCGTTCTGGCCGTGTAGCCACCGTTGGGGCACGTCCAACACCGTTAGAGTCCACAGTGTTGGAGGACAAGCTTGGCGGTCTTGGCTGCGTCGATCCATGATACGGCATGCCCAGGTGTTGATTCATCGCGATAGGCGAGGACTGGCCGTAACGCGGTTCAGGCGCCAGCTGAGGCTGGGCCCCCGGGGTCCCCACGGCCTGGGGAGTAGCAGACGAGATGCGGAAGGAAGAGGTCATGGCGGCCGGATCGATGGGGGGAGGGGCTGGAGAGTACGAAGAATTTGCGGGAGCCAGGTTTGGCAGGCTGGATTGTTGATACACGCTTGAGATGGAATCGGTGGGAGGGTCTGTATTCATAATAGTCTCGCGGTAAGTGTTGTTGACCCGTCTGCGTCTTTCCGGTCGCTCTGCAGGCTGTGGCGAGTAAGCGCATGCGCTTAGGGAGCAAGGGGCCTTCTAACCTCGGGTTCATCCTCCACCGTCTCTTCTGAGCTGTCATCCAAGAGCCCTTCTCCGTCGGCCAGGGAGTTGGGTTGTAGGTCCTGGGACACAGCAGGGCCAAGCTGTTCGGCCACGGAAGTATTCATCCCGGCTGCCATGGCGCGGACTCTTTCGAGTTGTTCGTCGCTCAGGTGCTTGGCCGGTGTGCTCATGATCTCCTTCAACTGGTTGAGGAGAATGGCACGAAGGAGGCGCATCTTCTGGACATGCTCATTTTCCTGCAAGATTCTCCTGCGCGTCGCGTCATTGTTTGCTTCGATCTCGGCAAGCCGTTTTCTAAGATCAATGCATTTCTTGCGGTATGCTAGTTCTTGTGTAGGGGCGAGGGGCGCGTTGCGATGAAGAGGAGCCTCGCCTGGAGGAGGGAAGGCGAGGTCTTTGGAGGAATCCATTCTGCACGCCGTGTCTGATGGAAGGGCTGAGATGGTACAATGAGAATGTCGTCAATCACTGCAGCGCGGAAATGACGGGAGGACAGCTGAAGAAATGAGCATTAAACTGGTTGCAAAAGATGGGAAGAAGTTTAGATGATGAGGTGTGTAGAAGGCGCTCCAGAGAAGTTGAGTGACACCAGACGTCGGTGTGCGGGAGCAACTGCTATAATAGTATGGCACGTTGATATATACGTACCAAGAGGTATATTCTATTCAACTCTATATCGGACACGCTGCGCTTCAAATTGGGGAAAGTAGTACTAGTACTAGTTGTGCGTTAGTTTGGAGCGTTAGAGTCTCACAGAGGAAGGTCTACCGAGTTCCCAATTAGTGTGCGAATCCTTCCTCTCCATTCATCATTCACCCTCTTCTCTCTTCTCTCTTCTCTCTTCTCTCTTCTCTCTTCTCTCTTCTCTCTTCTCTCTTCTCTCTTCTCTCTTCTCTCTTCTCTCTTTTCTCTTTTACTACCTGCGAATGCTGTGGATTTGATATATCTCCGCGAGAGACTCAGCCTTCGGTTCCTACAATGCCTCAGTTTGAGCCATTCCCCTTCCCCAGTGCTGTCAACCCTAGAAACGCTGCGGGCAGGGAAGATACAGTAAGTCTCTTCAGAGGAAGTGTAAGAAGTGCCGCTCCGTTGGCAGAGGGCACGATGTCCCCGCAATACTGGCTCCAGCTCTGTGACAATGTAAGACAGCCACAGTCAATCTGCCATCCTACTGCTTTCGCTTGATCCAGAGTTTGGCTCTGTGACTGCAGGGTAGGCGTCCTAGAAGCAAACAGCCACCACCCATGCAAGCTATCGCTCAGTCGACTACAGCGCTCCAAAGTCCGACAAAGACTATATCTGGCAGAATGATAAGTTTATCCCGCAACGAGCAATGGCCACCTCCAGATATCGGAGAGCGAGGATAGGTATCTCCAGGCAGGCCTTCACGCACACAGATCTATCCTTGTTGCACTTCAGCACTGCTCTTCGGTCAATCATCAGTGACCAGGCATAGGGGATTCAGACCTGGCACCGAAGATTAAGGTCTGAAGGCCTCTTCGGGGGTTGCTTTCAGCGACATCCAAATCTGCATATACCTATTCATAGTTTTTGCTTTGGCTGCATACCTTCCAACCTTGCCCCTGACTATTGCGTCCCGACACTTCATGGCGAGCACGCGTCTTCTATCAATCGCGTGTTTGCTGATGCGGCACACATGCTAGGATCAATCTTACCCGTATTATCTCCTACAGACTGCATTACTGGTCTCCTCTCCTAATCCTGGGCCGAGGAGGTGCGGATTGCACCACCACAATTCCCCACAAGCTGGGGTAGTGGAGATTCTCAGGGCTGTAGTTGCCAGTGGATTCTCCCACTCAACTCAGTCGCAGCAGTTAGGTCAAGTTTTGGCAAACATGTCAGGGTTCAGAGTCCTTCGGTCTCGGTGTTTTGCAGCGAAAGAAAACGGCTGGCCGAACTTCTTACCGCCTTCATCAGATGACGGACGACCTTCCTGATGAATTTTGCACCACTCCTTCGGGATAAAAACCACCTTTCTGAATGTGCATGATTGAGAAGGAAATTTACAAGCCCCAGACCGGAGACGGAGGGGTTCCTAACATCAAGCAGCACCACACGCCTCGACGAAACTCTCATCAACCCTAATGCCAGGGCACAGGTAAAGGTTCAAGCGGACAGAAAGCCTCGTGCGAACTGCTGGGATCGTTGTTGTTCACACCCTGCGGCTGCTGAAATTCGTCCGCATTCGCCAGACTAATCAATTCACCAGGGCCAATGAGCCGCATCGAAACGACATTTTCAAAGGCGGCCCTTTCAGGGGTCATCCCAAGTAGCCATTTACAGAAGCATGCATCTCGCGCTAGGAGGTATATCGTGCCTTTCTCGCGTGCCCTTGGTCAATCCCGCTGCCGCCTTCACACCACATACGGTCTCGATCACGCCTCGCGGCTCAATATGCGCTCTCCATGAGGGCATGCTTTGGAGGAAAGATGAATCCTAACAAGGTCTAACATTGGCTGAACATGCCGCAAAGAGAAGGGTCCTCTTCGCACAGCCGGCCAAAACATGCAACGCCTCACCACAGGTGCGGCCTGCAGCGTCATGACGGTGTTAAACTTGCAGGAGAGTGTTGGGCATATAGCGCCGACCTCTCCTCTCGACGATCGAGATATTCGACATGCAATGTTTGTCCCTCGTCGTCTCTGCATCGAAAGTTTCTTCCCTTCTCGTCTGCAGCAATTCGCTGTCACGTTACGCGCCAACAAGAACGAAGCGATCCTCGCTTACTATCTACTTTGCCATCGATCACAGGCACCAGACCTTCCAAGCGGGATCTGAACATTGAATTATCATGAGCAGCCTTCCCTCTCCAGCCGAGGCGGCCTTGCTTCCTCACAATTCTTCTGTTGGGGAGCTGTACCGCTTGAACATTGCATTCATCGCTGTGACGTCCACAATCATTGGACTGCGCCTTGTCGTGCGAATCTTCGTCGTCAAGCATGTTGCTGCTGATGACTTTCTCATGGTGGCCGCCGGGCTATTCGCAACCACCTTCTCCGCTATGGCCATTGTTGGTACGCTTCAACCAGTGTACGCCTTTCCCGTCACCATCTGATCAGATACAGGGATACGATATGGTTTGGGAAAACATATATGGGACCTTCCGCAAGACGTGCAGTTCATCGAGCGGACCAAGAAAGTGATCCAGGTACGTTGAACACCAGACTTCTTGATACCTGTCTGACAGCTTCAGACACTATGGATATGTCAAGTCATGTACGTGACGGCACTTATGCTGGTCAAGATATCCATCGTCGTCTCCTACCTTCGAGTTTTCCCTACCACAGATTTCCGCCGAGTCATGTACGCTCTTAGCGTAGGCATTGTCTGCGTCTGGATTTGCAGCATCCTTGTCACGATCTTCCAGTGCCACCCGGTTCAAGGAGCTTGGGACTTTACTCTTCCCAGGGACTGCCTGCCTATCGTGAAGTTCTACTATTTTACCACCGCCTTCTCCATCTTCACGGACTTTCTACTCTGCACGCTACCCTTGCCTGTCTTCTGGAGACTCAAGCTTCCGTCACGGCAGAAGTACATCGTGTCCCTGCTGTTTGCGATTGGCCTGTTTGCGACTGTGGCATCGGGCCTACGCATTAGCGTTCTGCAAAGTGTTGACAGTCTTGACGTGACCATGGGCTCGGTGTCAACCATGAAATGGTCCGTTGTGGAGGTCGGTACTGGCATTGTCTGCGCTTGCATACCCTGTCTGAAACCGCTGTTCAAGAACTTCCTGCTGGAAAAGAATACGTCAAACACCTCGGGAGTTCGATCCGTGGGTAAAGGCCCACATACACCTATGTTGGCCACTGTCAGCGAAGAAAGGCACGAACTAACTAAGCCTCCTTCACGAGGCTGGACTCCAACCTCACACCCCCGGGTTCGTCAGGAGGACTCCAGGACGAAAGCCAGTTCCGTGGTGATGACCAAGAACTTCATTTGAACAATCCTGGCAGCTTCAAAGGCTGCAACACTTACACAACGGTTTTGGTTCCCTTTCATCTGGTCGAGTTTCGACAACTGGATCACTTCTTCATGTTTCTTTTTGATGGTTTTGAATATCCCATCAGGCCTATCCTATGTTTTATTAACCAAGATTTTGCGGCCGCGCAAGCGCCCAGCGATGGGAATGATTTACTTTGGACTGCTGTGGCTGGACCACATCAGACACAACAGCATCACCTTTTGTCCTTCCTTCCAGATACGACATTATCTAGCCTTCCACTACTTCAGTTCTTTCGAGACAGTGGTACAACGACCCCTTAACCAGCAAAGGATAACTCTACTTTGCCTTTCTTTCAATTGAAAAAGGGCAAGCAGGTTTTCACATTTCTCAAAGCTTAAGATATGCATTACCCGGTTCTTCCATATCGACAAGTTACGACATTCCCGGGTCTTACACTACGGTATATACGGTATATACGAGAGATGACCCTTTCCGCGAATCACGTGGAGGTATATCTACACCTGAATATTCGTATGCTGGCATATCTGCATTTGCTGTTTGCTTCAAGGGTGGCACTTCTATCACCCACAATTGCTATTTAAAGAGAGGCTTCTTTGAGTGTCCGTCTGTCTCCTTTTCTACTGTACCAGGCAGCCCTCTTGCAAGGAGTTCCACCTCGTCTGACCTCCTGGTCTATTTGGCGGATGCTTTCTCTCTCACCATTTAGCGGCACTGAGCTGCTCGATCGGCCTGTTCTGCCGCCACCGCCGTGGCAATTTATATCGCCTGAAGCCATGTGGTCCCCGGCCGTCGGGTACTGTATCAGACTTATCGATTGCATGGCATAAAGCCAGACCCTGCGAAATTGGCGACCCCAGGCCTACTATATACCTTATACACTGAATCTCACGACAGGCGGAACACTCACTTTGATTATTGATCCAGATAGCATATATGCGCAGGATGGATGCCTCAAAAAGGCTCGCATTCCTCTCGAGCTGTGATGCGAAGCATTCTCTGACTTCAATCGTCGTCGTCTTCGGCTCAGCACGGAGGCTTTGCTCGAAAGGTGTCATACTTTCCCCCTCTTTCATTCCGGTTCAGAATAGTCACGGCCCTGGAGCACTCAGTCTGAGGTTCTTCCATATCCATGCGCAGCGCCACGAGGACCGAGCTTGTGTGCAATCATTTAGTCGATCCGCCAGCCTTGTGTCTCTTCTAAGAAGAACACCTTTGGAGCAGGTGCCCCCATGGTCCATCATGTCAAAATTTCTGGACAGCTAGAGTTTATCAATGTACTTAGCTGAAGTCGACCTCCTCCAGGACAGCTAATCCATATTGAACGGTTGGTGGATACCTTTGACAGACTTGCCTGGAGCTGGGCTCCTTCTCTTGGTCACAGGGAACACGCCTCGTCAAATGTACATCAGCATATGTGTACTTCACTGAATTGTCATACCTCACAACAGGCAGCGACAATGCCCTTTCATCCCACTTCCTTGTTGCTCGGGAGCACGCTGTGAAGATGGATCCAGCTTTCTTTGTTGCTTGGGCTTTGGGAGGCAGCTAGAGCCAGGGTACATGCTGCCTCAAATCCCGCAAGGCTGTGAAGTGTGTGAAGACAGTGCATGTGTTCACTGCATTCCCTACGCATCGCCATGGGCAGTGAACACACAGGTTGGACAGCCTTCGTCGCGGTGAAGCTTGCATTTTTCCCACGGCTTTGTATTTATGTCTCTGCTCTCATCGCGTCGCAGTTCCTTGTCTCCTTCCACTCAGCCATCTGCGCGATATCATCTTCCTCTGCAATATATTATTGCGCAATCATCATCTGCAATCATGGAGATGTCCCAAATTGAGCACGACATCACCAGAGACCTTCGTCGACATATGAGAAGAAGAAGACAACAACACGGTTCTGATCTCTTTCGCTTTGCGGACGCCATGGCAGACAATCCACGTCCTTGGACACCACCACAGATGCAGACACAGATACAACCACAACTGCCAACCCAGCCGCCTCTGCAGTTTCCATATCTCATTAATCAGGAACAACGATGGCGTCCTTCAACAATGCAAGCTCACGGTGCTGGAACTCGACCGGAGCCAGCACAAACTGCGCCCTCTCCTTTCACACCTTGGGGGAATCCCAACATCACACTCTCGACCAGCCCCGGTAGCGGCCGAGCCACAGCCGCAGCCTCGTTGTCGAAACCGAGCTAGATCTCCTCCTCGAGGCCAAACGACCCCCGCGAACGTGCTCGCCGGCAAATTCGGTCGCGCGGAGTTCACAGCCCCTACCAGCATCCCAATGGTAACGCGGCGGCCACCCAATGCAGACAGAGACAGAAGACTCCTCCGCGATTACCGCCTCTATCCTCCACAGCCAGCCTCTGGCGAGAACTCGATCGACCCCACCGTTCTTACAAGGAACGACCCAAGATTGTTTGGCGATTGGGAAGCTTTCACGCGCCAGGGAGGCTACCTGGTCGACGACGTTGATATCAGCGTCGACCCGAACCAGAACAACTTCGAAAATGCGATTGGACCGACTCTTTTGCCAGATCTGAACTGGGGACCCCACAACATATACAACGAGGACGGCTCGTACAACGTGCATCCTCCACATGGAGCTTGCAGTGCTCCTCACATGCTGGTTAGGACGAAGCCACCACAAAATATAACAGCGGCACCTGCCAGAGCGGCCGGACAAGAGTTTGGATACCGAGACGCGCTTGTCGAAGTCGGACTTCTTGGCCAGCCTCAATATGCAGAAGCAGGCAGCGGTCCCGGTGCAGGTGCAGGTGCAGAAGAAGAACACAACAACGCTGAGGTTGACGACATCCCTTGGGATGAATGGATCAACTTCGACGGCACGGAGTAGGTCTTTGGATTCAATCACCTCCTGGAGATCTCTGTTCGAGTCAAACCAGCTGGAGTGAAAGGACGGTTAGATTACGCAGGCGGCGTTTGAGTGCTGGAGTTTGCAACAATGAGAGACAGGAAGACGCCTCGCTGCTCTTGGGCCATTGCACGTGTTGTAAGAGTCATTTCATGATTTTGTTTCATAGGAAGGGCAGACTGTTGAGACCGGAATGTATCGTCAAGCAATAAAGCTGTCGATCAAAGCAGAGCAACTAGGCTTACTCAGAGATAGAGTAGCTCATCCCTGACCACCCCTACCATCCATACTTGCTCCCAGCTTCCTTTTTGTTCCTTCTACTCGTAGCAAAGCTTTCTTCAAGCGCTTCCTTCTGGCCCGTAGCAACAGTCACCAACTGTTTCAGACTGTGCTTGCCTGGAGCAATGGTTCGGACGGGATTATGTTGTATTTGTTCGCCGCTGGCGCGTAAGGCTTCGTTTGCTCTCCATTCCTCATCCGTATTGAAATTTACCACGTTGATTGCCGAGGCTGTACCCTGCCCACGCCGTCCGAACAGCTGCCGCCGGTCAGCTTTCGAGAGGTTGAGGTCTGAAGCAATGGCATCCAGAGACTGTGGTTGAGGATGACTAGATGTGCTCGTGGATAGTCCGCCGGACATAGAGTAGGTCTCATCGCCCACAGGTTCGTCAAGAAACTCGACTATCTCGTCCTCAGCTTCATCAGGCTCAACTCCCACTTGTGCTTCCGGCTCGCTGTTTATAGAAAACAGGCTCACCTTCTTCGGCGGGGCGTCGGGCTTTACAGGCTCAACTGTGGTCGAATTGGAAGAGTCGGCCGTTGGCACTGTTGGGCCAGCCGGGCCCTTTGATTCTGCAGGGCGACTACGTTTGGGTTTCTTGTTGTTGCGTGCCACAGATAGTGGTTTGAACATGAAAGGGTTTCCTTTCACCGGCTGATCTTTCGGCACATCTGCTGTTGGACTCGCTCTCTTGGGGACCGGTGGTAATGTGTCGTCTCCGTTCGATTGTGTGGTGCCGTCGGCCTTTTGTCCTGCGAATAGGTGTCGAAGTTCCGCATCTGCTTCCCGACTGAAGGCAGGTTCGGCGCCCGTCCTGAGACTAAACACTTTCCTCGCCGTGGACTTTGACTCGGCCTTGGTCTCGGCATCTCGTTTTGGCGCAGGGAGCATTGCGTTGAACCCACTGAACGCTCCTCCTCCTCCTACTCGAGGTCGCTTCGGCGCTCGTTCCCCATCGTCGTCCCCTTTTGTAGCCACCTCGTTGAGTTTGACCTGTATCTTCCTCGGATTGGTTTTGTTGACTGTGAAATTCGAATTGTGAGGCGCGGTAGCCGGCTTCGGTGCAGGCCTCTCAGGTTTCGTCTGTGGTTGGTCATCTTCAGACCCCTCAGAGTCCGAATAGGCGACGAGAGACATCTTCAAGCCTGTGAAGATAATAACCCTCTGTGATCCTTCTCGACAGTCTCTGGGGTAATTGACCAGACACCACGACGACAGTCGAACGCGGCCATGGAGCCTGACGTCGGTCACAAAATATTCCGACGATCACATGACCGTCGGGGAGTGGGGTTGAACTGCCCCGAACTCAAACTCCGCTGTAGCGACGTTTATTGATGGCCCAGAACTTTCTGGTAATGTTTATACGACAATAATGACGAGGGCGCAGGCAGCTTTTTGGTCAGCTTCAACGGCCTTTTAGGAGGGCAAACCCCTCCTGGGGATTCCGCCCGATCTGATACTCCTACTACCATAGGCCTGCCATGTATACTCTCCGCGCTGGGCTGAGGTCTGCCGGTCGAGCAACTCGACCACTTGCGACACCAAGGCCCCAGTTCCAGCGAGTTCCGTCCTTCCACCCGCGCCGTTCGATCTACCAGCGTCCACGGTATAGACGATTCGATGACAAGAGGGGAGGTCAGAAACAGTGGGACAATTACCAGGGACAATGGAGCAACTTCGGCCCTGTATACCGGGCTCAATATCTCTGGAGATCCTATCAAAAGCCCATAATCATCGTCGGTACCGGAGGTGCTGTCTTCTACGTTTACAACCTCGAGGAAGTTCCGATCACGCACCGTCGGCGGTTCAACATTCTGTCACCAGAAAGTGAGAAGGGAATTAGCGAAGGCACGTATCAAACGACCCTTGAGCAATTCAAAGGCCGAATCCTGCCTGCGAACCACCCTGTGACGAAGCAAGTGGCACGGGTGGTCGAACGGCTTATTCCTACGACAGGTGGTCTCGCCGGTGATGGCTGGCGAGTGCATGTTATTGAGGATCCGAGTATGGTGAATGCATTTGTCATTCCCGGAGGAAAGGTGTTTGTCTTTACAGGCATCCTCCCAGTATGCGAGAACGAAGCCGGACTCGCCACGGTCCTAGGTCATGAAATCGCCCATAATGTTGCCCATCATGTATCGGAAAGGCTGTCAAGGTCTAGCTTGACTCTGATAGCTTCCATGCTCTTCACCCTGATATTCCAGGTCGACACTCGGGTGTCGAACTCTGTCTTCGACCTGTTGCTTTCACTTCCCAACTCGAGGACTCAGGAGACCGAAGCGGATCACATCGGCTTGCTCATGATGGCGGAAGCCTGCTATGACCCACGCGAAGCTCTCGCATTCTGGGAAAGGATGAAGAAGACGGAGAAGGTTGCACCGCCGCAACTCCTGTCTACGCATCCGAGCTCTTACAACCGCATCGACCATATCAAGAAATGGCTACCGGACGCCCAGAACATCTATGTCGATACAGGCTGTGGTGGCCTGAGCCACTTTGCAAATGACTTCAGGCAGACAATGCGGTCACAACGTCCAAAGAATGTCCAGGTACAAGTGAAGCCAGCGTGGAGGGGCAAGACGGATGACGACGACTTCTTTTAAGTGACTTTGGCAATGTCCTTAATGCCATTACACTCCACTCAATCAACTGTTGCTGACTAGTCGAGATTTCACCACATGTGCCGCCTCCCAATAAGATCAGACGAGAGCTCGCTATATCCGCCCCAGGCATTTCAGCTGCTCACACGTGACGGCTCCCCTACCGGCTGTCCCCAAATCTGGAGTTCCTGATCTCCAACGCGCCCGGGTTGGGCAACTACTCCCGCCTTGACGTGGCAAGCGCATCTTCACCCGGCGCCTATTGCTGATATAAGGCATCAGTTTTCTTTCATTAGCGGAAGCCAGCACAATCTCCTACGATCATCTCTACCACTAGAAACGGCGAGCTGTCTACTGTGACAACACTTATCATGGCTACAAAGATTGACGTTCCCGGAGTAGCCTTGATTACTGGTGCTGCGTCAGGTACGGTTGGGCTCTGGAATCTCCCCACCCACATGATCACGGTCGATCCCTTTCGGAACCTATTCTGACCGTCTTGTGCAGGAATTGGACGCGCAACAGCTATCGCGTTTGCGCAAGCAGGCTGCACAAAGTTTGCCCTTCTCGACCTGAATGAAGGCGGGTTGCAAGAAACCAAGGGACTTGTGGAACAGTCTGTATCCGCTACAGATATCTCGGTTGGCACCTACAAATGCGACGTCTCCTCCCCGGAAAGCGTCGTGTCCGCCTACACTGCCGCCAAGGAGCACTTCACTCGTGTCGACTACTCAGTCCATTGTGCAGGCATCATCGTCTTCGGCGGACCCAGCGCCGACTTCCCCGTCGAGGACTTCGACCGGCAGAACTCCATCAACTACCGGGGCTTGTGGCTATGTTGCCGCGAGGCCATCAAGATCATGCGCTCACAGCCTTTCGATTGCGAGGCTTACCCTGATGCCAACATTTCTTCCGTCCGAGCCCAGCGCGGTGCGATCGTCAATATTTCCTCTGGCCTGGCGCTGTACGCACAGCCGAACTGTCCCGCATATTGTGGCGCAAAGGCCGGTGTCTTAGCACTCACGCGCTGCGATGCACTTGACTACGTCGCCGACCGAATCCGTGTCAATGCCATCCTGCCTGGCATTATCGATTCGCCCATGACCAATCCCAGCCCGGAGATCAGGGCCTGGCTGGAATCCAACCCAGTGCAACATACGCCCATGAAGCGATTCGGCAAGCCCGAGGAGATTGCCGATGTGGCGGTGTTTCTAGCTGGCAACAAGGCGAGCCTGGTCACCGGTGCTAGCTGGGCTGTCGACGGAGGGCTCCTGGCCGGGTACAACTGAACAATAAGCAAAAGCAGAGCAAAACCGGTTACCTGTTGTTGTGTAGCCGTAGCCAACCAGAGCTGACCACGAATAGAGCATGCTTCACTCTTGCTAGCCTAACATTCATTTATTCGTTCATGACGCCCCATATGTCCCACATGCCGATTATGCCTATAATGCATCCAGCTACGCTGCATTCCAGATCTCATATCTCATCTCAACTGGGGGTCGTATATCATAATATGTAAATATACATTACCGGTGCACTAACACTCCCATCATGCCTTGCGCAAACAGACTTAAGATGTCATGCCACGACAGGCGAACGAGGCCTCGGACTCTGTTCGCTCTCGATCTTAGTCCTCAGCATCTTGACATAGGTGTTGTGGCTGTTCGGGCTCGCACTCAACACGTCAAACAGATACCGCAACTCGTGGCTCTCGGACCAATTGTAATTGGCAATAGTCAGGGCGTCCATCAGGGTATACGCGACCTCGAAGAGTTTCTCGAAGATGCCCATGCCATGGACCAGGATGGCGTCGTAGGTCAAGTCGTGCAGGGCCATGCACAGATCCTTGGCGATGGTGATGGGATATGTGGACGAGAAGATGGGGTCGGCAGCGACGTAGCTGATGAAGCCCTGGCGCATGGACGCCTGCCAGAACACCAGGCGCAGCCACTGCTGGGTGATGAGCACGTCGGCTTTCTGGATGTCTGTCATGGCGGCCTTGTCGAACGTCATCTCGTTCAGGGAATGCTGGATCGCCGCGACGTTGTCGACGGGCTCGTACGGCGCCGACACGTCGCCGGGACACGTGGCGCTCCAGAGCCGCACGAACTTCTCGTCCAGCACGGAAAACAGATTCACCAGCGCGGAGAAGCCGGCAAGCACGATCGCGTCCTGTTCGTCAAAGTACTCCGTCGAGAGGCGTGGGAGGCGCGTGATCTGGGTCGATTTGTTGCGCAGGATCGCCAGGCCGCGCTCGGTGATGAACAGCAGGGCGAAGGTCCGCCGGGAGCAGATCGCCTGGATCTCGTCCATGCCGGCGTAAGTCGATTCGACGTTCAAGCCCTGTTCGATGGCCATGCCGATGGCTTCGCGCAGGTAGAAGTGGTGGGCCCGCGGCTTTTTGAGCTCAAACAGCGCCACGCACATATGGTAGCTTGCCTGGATCGACAGCAGCGTGCTCGTTTCTGTCCAGTCGCTCGAACACCGGAGGTAGCAGCACAGTTCTACGAACCGATTCCCCAATTGCAACTTCTTTTCTAGCGGTAGGTCTGATTGCGGGGCCGCATGGAGCACGGTGGTGGCGCAGAGTGACAGTACGAGGATCTTTTCTTCGTTGCAGAGCTCCTCGGGCTGGTTCAGACGTTGGAGAAATGATCCTTCGTGGATGATAGGACGGATCGAGTACATGTGTGTGAAGTATTGCCGGATGCACTGCGACATTAGGTAGACCGACAAGCCGAGTTCTGCTGCCAGACTCTGTAGCCGCGGTTCGCTTTGGAAGTTAGAAGAATCACTGCGGTACAAACATTTTGGTCCATGAGGCGGCGCAGGTGAGCTCGTGGATGTTGTGGTCGGAGAAGGTGCTCCGTTCGTCAATATCGCGTCTAGAGAGGTGGGTTTTGTCAGTGGGGTTGAAGTCCTTGATGGAGTCGGCGGTTGTGATCTTGGAGCCAGTCCAGGTAGCAACGGAGCTGGTGCTTCCTGGAAGATCTTTTGCGCCAGGTCATTGACGGATACGTAACCTGTGGGAGAAACTGGTGCTTGGAACTGGAGTAGCTGAGACGCCTGGGTCTGCCATGAGACAGGTAGTTGGATCCCTGCTTGAGCAAATGCTGTGTGGAATATGGTGTCGGAGGACTCGGCTTCGTTCTGTAACAGAGGAACAGACCGCGAGACATCGAGAGGCTCTATCACTGGGCCAAGGCTGTCCCCAAACTGTGAGTTCGATGGCGAGGTCAGTGGCGAGGTCATCTGCGATCCGAAAGGGCTGTCATTCGACAACGTCCGGTTCAGAAACGGCATCTGTTGTTGCAATTGGGACAAGTCGAACGGTGGCAGGCTTAAATCATGTGGTAGAGCCGGCTGGGTTTCATCCCTCAGCTTTGCGATCACCGAGCCTGAGCCTTTCTTCGGTCCTCTCTTCTTCCGCACGATATCCCGTGTACATCTTAAACCTGTCGAGACACATCTGTCACAAGGCTCGGACTTGGAGCACTTGACCTTACGTCGTCGACAGGCGTCGCAAGGGAGGAGAGAGTCGGCGGAGGCGGAGGCTCCAGCTTCGTTCTGGGGAGAGGTCTCCATTCATGTGTTGGCGAGCGTCCGCGTGTCCGACGTCAATGCTTCGATGTGACAAGGCTCTGGGAGGAGCACTTCCGATGTGATTCCTGACTGGACATGCGCCCCAGTCAAAGGTCTGTCATCCACGTGGCTAGAAGAGGCGGGCTCATCGAAGCTTGACATCACTGGAGGTCAGAGTTACAGATGACGATGAGAACCGGGAGCCGAGGCACTCAGGCTGGCAGAGAATGTCCGTCTGATGTGAAAACGTCTAAAGATTGGGATGAAGAGGAAGAAGCACAAAGAGGCCATCTTGGTCGGGCCAACAGCAGTACATATGCATCGTGTGATTGATGATGACAGGGAGACTGACACCCTCTCATGCCTAGGTAGGAAGAGACTTTGGTGATGTGGGGGGCTGAGGGTGAGGGTTCAGGTGCGGTTGAGGTGTTGAGAGCAACCCTTCGGCTGGCGGGCGGACGATTCCGTCCCTACATTCGAATCCTACCTTAGTATTGGATGGACGGCGATCCAGTTGCAGTTCCAGGAGTTGTTGAAAGGCACCTAAGGAACCCAAAAGCTGGGGAAAAGCTAGGACTCATCAGACCCCAACTTTAGGCAGATTAGGCTCCTCTAATCGGCGGCGGCTCAATCCTTTCCCGGGCGTTCCACAGGTACCAACACGGCTTCTTAGGCTGTTAGTATGGCAGAGCTAGCACCTAGCTGGCATTGGAGTGGTACCTGGTTACCTGGTAGTTGGGTACCTTACCTAAGTTCCAGGTACGGTATACTACCCACAACCACCACCGACGCTCATCTGTTGCGTCTTTTTCTTTACTGTATGCTCAACCACTGCAGGTCACCTCGTTGTCGACTCGGACTGCAACCATTTGCTATATGGCCTCCGCTGTGGCCATGGCCACCTCGCCGCCATTCACTCTCGACCAGGGGACGGCGCTCTCCCTCGCAGTCGCCTTCTCTCTTATGCCATCTGCTCAAATCCTCGCGGCCAAAGCTCTGAAGCCCTCCGTTCCTCGAAAATACTACCTTCTCTTCCTGTGGCACGCCTACGACTTCCTCACCCACTTCATTATAGAAGGCAGCTACTTGTACCACTGCTTCTTCTCGTACGTTGAAGTGCCTGTCTCCCCATCGCATTCACAATATGAAGGGACCGTCGAGCAGCAAGCATACCTATTCAACCGACCGGACCGTCGGTACGGCGCCCTGTATTCACAAGCACCTATGGCGAGGTTATGGCAAGAATATGCAAAAGCTGATCGAAGATGGCAAGGAGCTGACTTGACCGTCATCTCACTGGAGATTCTCACGGTGGGCTTGGGTGGCCCGGCTGCGGTATACGTCTGCTACCTCATAGCCAAGGTCGTCAATTCTGATGATCAGGCGGTCAAGGCTCGATCTCAATCGCGACTCTGGTTCGTGGCGGTCATGCTGGCCACCGCAGAACTTTACGGCGGCTTCATCACATTTGCACCTGAATGGTTGAGCGGGAATACGGCACTGGCTGGAGAAGATCCCGTCTACCTCTGGCTATACCTGGTTTTCTTCAATATGCTATGGGTTTTCATCCCATTATGGATTCTCTTTGTCGCCTATCAGGAGATTTCGGGGACGTTCAGCCTTGCATATGCCCAGAAAGCGGCCCAGAAGTCCAAATGAGCCTGCCCTGAAATCCACCCAAATGCGTTTGCAAGAGTAAGGGAAAGCGAGGTCGTCGCCGAGCAGGTGTTCATTAATGCACATTTACTTTGCCCATTTCCTCATCATAAAAATGTTTCATTCAACCCACAGCCCTCGCATAAACGGTCGGGAAGACGCCCATGTCGCCAGCATAGACACCAAACGACCAGTCTTCATTGATATCCTCGACCTCTCGAACTTCCGCATGCTTCGGGAACATCAGTTCGCCTTTCCCATTCTCGCCTTCCTCTGGATAATAGCTCCACAAGGCGCGGCAGACTTTACCCATCCCACCATCCGCCGGGACTTTGGTGGTGTTCGGCAGGGCAGCTGTTCGGGCACGAGTTGCTCGCCGTGTGCCCGAGGAGTCCTCCCGCCAAACCCACTGTCCTCGAAGACCAGGAACCACAAATGCCGCTGGGTCACCTTCAGCAGTAGTAGCAGTACGTTGAGTACTATTCGAAGTTGAGTTGAGCTGAGTATTGGCCAGTTTCCATGCTACCATGTCTGTTTCGGTCATCTTCGCTCCACCCACTAGGTCCCGAAGAATCACTCGCCGTTGGCCCTCGTCTCTGTCCTGTTCAAACGCCACCTCGATCATGCGATGTCCGCCGAGGCACAGGCGCCATCCGTCCGGACCGTCGTCTCGCTTTATTCGGCCGACCTTAATGAAGCCGTGGTAACAGGAGCTGCAGATATCAAAGTCGCCTTTTTGGTCCGGGTGCCCTGGTGACGGGGTCGGGTGGCCTGGGCAGTGGTATCGGATTTCGTCCGGTGACACTGGGCGCAAGCAGATGTCACAATTTGTCGTGATCACCAGTGGAACAAAATCCGGTCTAAGACCAGCAGATGTGCCGTTCATTGAGGTTGCGCTCGATGGTGCACTTTGTACTGGCGAAGGGATACGACCGGCAGCGCTGAAAGGGCTGAGGGTAGCAGGAGCCCCAGCCTCGGTTCCTGCAGTGCCAGGCCGAGAGGTGGTAGACTGATGGGCCACCGGTTTATGTGCGACCGGCAACAGAGGATGGGTGCAACAATGGTTGGTGTTCACGCAGTCGTTGCAAAATCCCCACTCGCCTTCGTTGCAATAACCACAAGACCAGAAGCATTCATTCGCGAAGTTGCCGCACCGATCGCAGAAATTGCCCTCCTGCAACCGTGTAGCTGGGTCGAGCAAAGACATTGCGGCTGTCGCGCTGTCATCCAGGCTCGCGGGTGAGGGTGGCCTTCGATACCGGCGTCCGATCAGTAAATGGGGAAGTTCGATGGCCTGGCTGCTCCTATTCAAAGGCTGTGACGTCTCGAATTTGAACATGGCTGCGTGGCCAAAACCAAACCAGTGATTACATCCCCGCCCGGCTCTGTAACATCTCAAACAGAGATCAAGCTTACAGGAAGGACAGTGTTTATGGACCTCATATTGAATGCTTGGGCGCAAACAGCGGGCGCATGTGATTGACGGTTCTTCAAATCTTGTCGAGAGAGTAGTCGCAGAAGATGTGAAATGTTCAGGAGCAGGAATTGCGGCTTCTGTAGTTGGGATGGATGTAGGGACCGGTGCAGTATTGACGCTTGACATGAGTGACCGAATATCATCCTCACTGAGTATCTGGACAGCCGGAGTTTCAGGGGGAGGTGGACTGGCCACCTGGCGTCCAGTGGAATGCCACACCTCCGAGACTCGAGGTGCTGCTCTAGGCTCGGTGTTCGACCGGGGTGGATTTGCCTGTTGGGGTCGGCGTTGCGACGTAAGGGCCATAGATTGAGGTCTGTCCGAAAGATCCGTTGCGGACCTGGCAGCGGACGCACTGCTGGAATCTGTGTTTCTGCCAGTTCTCGTGGCTGAGTTATCTCTTCTCCCGCTCTCGTTTGAGGCTCGGCGACGATGTGCCGTACCATGAGGTGGCGTGAGTGTCTGCTCGGCTGCTGGCTGGGGAAAGGCTGATGGTGGTCGTCCATCTGTGCCTCCAATCGTCACACTGCGGCTGGATCGAGGACTGGGTTGTGTCTGCTGTCGCTGACTACTTCGGGAAGATTGACGAGGACGACGGTCTGCCTCTTCGATTTGCACGTCAGGCTGGTGCGTCTCGTTTGCCACAGCATCTGTTCTGGCCCTGTCTGACGCTGCTCTTCGCATCCTCTCCGGATGCAGTTGCCTGTATCTTTCAGCAATCATTTCGCTAAGCTCGTCTTGTTCTGCCTCAGTCAGTTGCTCAACGTTGATGCCATCGAGTAGACCCTCAGCCAGAATCTCTTGCATTAGCTGCGCCTCATTGAGGCTCTCCCCAGTACCTGTGCCACTTTCGGATGCGCTGACCAGAGATATCAGGCTTGCTTGATGAGCCACGGTCCGAGCCCCTCTTTGGCGCGCCTCTACTGCATCTGGATGCCTCGGTGAGCCCTCCGGAGGTGATAGAGATGATGATAACTCCGTAGAGCTGGGGGAGCCCGCTATGCGAGGACGAGGGACGGTGGCCTCCGTGCCGGATTGTGCTTGCCGCCGCTCGTGATCTCTCGACCGCTCTGTCCTGTCTCTGCGCTCACGACTTCTGCTGCTCGCGGCCAATGACTGGGGTGTCAACCCGATGTCAGTCGATGCAGCGTATAACTGTTGATCCCGTCGGCTTCTCCCCTGTAGCGCATGACTGGTACTCGGCGACTCCCTGCCAAGGCCTTCCTCCTCTTCTCGCCGCCTGCGTTCTCGCCTCCGGTGACTCTCAGTTTTGGGCAGGATCTGGTCACCGGATTTGTATATCTTTGCCATCTCGGCCTTCTCTTCTGCCGTCCTGTCCTTCCCAGGGTTGGCTGCCAGAAACATGTCCAACAGAGTATTGATCATGGCGTTGCGCTGGACGTCTTTCACCGGGGCACGACATGTTGGGCAGGTGTACGGGTATGCTGTGAACGAGTGGGAGTGGACGACCTTCCGATGCTGATGAGAGAACCATTCTTTCAAACAAGAGCCGCAGAAGGTATGCAAGCAATCGAGCAGAGTCAAGGGATGGTATAGAACTTCGGTACAGATGAAGCAGACAAGTTCTTTCTCTAGGTTGAGCAGGCCTGTGGAAGGCGGTTCGGTGGCAGCCATGGGGATGGACATGGGCATGGATCGATGAGGTTCATGTTATAGTAATTATGGTTTTAAAGCATCCGATATTGGATGTGAGCCACACTATTTACGCGCTGAATTCGAAGGACAAAACACAACCAAGAACAGGTAGCTGAAAAAGCCGAACCTGTACAAAAGAAACGAGTGTTGGTCGTCGAGCTGAAGAAACACGAATCGTAGGAGGCGGCGAGTCAGCGCAAGAACGAGTAGGACGAACGGTCTGCAGGAGTCTGACAAATATAATTATTCTGTCAGACTTCTCTATTTTCCGACACTGTGCAGTGCATATCAGTGTGGCTTCCTCCTTCAAATTCCGTGTCAGCAAGAACCCTTGCTGGAAAAATCCTTTATCAGACACAATAGAATATACCTAAACATCACTGCCAGCGCATGCACTGCAAATTATTAGGCAGAATAAGCGCCTCGTTTCAACTACCTAGGTATGCTCGAGGTATAGACCTAGGTATATCGCCACGTCTCGTCCTCTTCCCTCGAACGAAAACACAATCGGCGTGGAGGAAGCAAGGTATCTCTCAAGGCCTTAGGATGTGATGCATGGCCCTAAGGTCTACGCGAGTAGGCTGCCCGTCATCTCGAAGACGGCTGCCTTCTACCATATATCAAGAAGACGAGTCTCCGAGATTCGAAGAGTGTCCCCGAAGAGCCCTCAGCCACCAGTGACGTCCTTCCTCTGACCCATGCCTCCTTCGGACAGAACGGCTTGTCCAAGTATCAACCTGTTCACGCAACAGTCCGCCGCCGTGTACCTGAAGGTCACCGATGCCATTGGTAGAAGACGGCGAGGTCCTGCCATCAGAAAGACACCCGCAGTATAGTCAATACTAGATTCCAAGGTAGGGCATACAAGTCGATGACCATCTTAAGGTTTCCTGGTATATGACATGGATGTGGGGGACTTCGGAATGGCTTGATGATACTCCACCCTCGGAATCGATCAACTGCCTGTCCCTGTGTCAATGGAGCCATTCCTAATTTGCAGCAGATACAGCCCGGCTTGTGCTTGCAGCTTTGTTGATTGCGAAATCAATAATGATGATGCTACGCCTCGCTATATCGAAGTTACCAACACGTCTACTGAGCAGGACCTTTTCGCCCTCAGTGAACTATCAAAAGCAGCTTCAAGTCACAACGACAAGACCTTACATATGAAGCATTGGCATGGGCCATCCCGTGCAAGTTAGCAATCCAGCGCATTCTGAGTCACATCAGATCGCATCACGTTACGGGACATGTGAGCAGGTAAGAGCCGTGTCCACGGGGGAAGATCGATGTCCACATTACCAAGCGAAGACAAGGCTGCGCCAGCCTCAGGGGCTCGGTATGCATGACATTTATCACCTCAGAGAGTCTTCACATACTTCCCCTTCGCAATGTCTTATTTGGCATGGGTCGGGCCTTTGACCTTCACTTGCCCGACGAAACTACCTACCCCAGGTGATCCAGCAACGGCTCTTTGCATCGGTAATCATTCAAATTGGTTCTGATGTTGCTGGTTACCTGCGTTCGTCTGTGTGACTGTCATTCGCATTCAATGACTATATCAGACTGCTGACGACAATTGCATGACTGATCCGGTGATGCGCAATTCGCTCCTTTCACTTACCCTGCTATCTTTCCTGATACTAATATATACTCATTGTTGACCTCCCTGCCTCTCGCTTGTGGCCGGAGCAGCTCGCGGCGGATCAACTGGTTGTACTGAAATTGATTGCTCCCAATGTCGAGCTCATCCGCACCTCCATCCTACAAGTCTCCAGAGATGCCAACCGAGACGAGCAGACCACTGCAACCGATGTATATCATTGATCCAGAGACAAATACCACGGCACTGCCCTATCGACCTGGTCACTCTTCGAGTCTGGAAAAGCTATACCGCCGAGCATGCTGTGGCTCCCCTGCGGGACTACTTCTCTGGATTCTGGGATTATTGGTGGCAATCGTGGTTCCGATCGCTGTTCTCTATGCTCGCGGGCGTCTCTCACATGATCCAAAGCCCATGGCCGCCGAGCTAGAGTCTTCGGCTTCCCCCATTTCTCTAGTGTCCGTGACACTTCCGGAGCCATCGACCACGATATCAATCTCCACATCCATCACGACCACCACCATTAGCTCTATCTCGACCGAGACAGTACTGAGCACAGCAACGCTGATGACGACAGTCACCTCAGTTTCGGTTTCCACTGTCACTTACTCTCCGCCGTCTACAGTCTTGGTGACAACGTCTGTCGTTACAACCGCCACTCCTACCGCCGCCCCCACACCTGCAACTCCGAAGATCATTGTCTCTCTTGCCACTGAACTCGTCAAATCCACGGTCGCAGGAGCCTCTACGGTAACGGTCGAGGGGCCCTCAACTGTCACCGTCGCAACCACTACCGTTCACCCTAGTTTGACTACACGATTCGTGACGCCAGTGACAGGCCCGCTGCGTCGCCCGACAGAGTCTGATTCTGCTGTGTCGAAAGGGCCGAACGCCTCATGTCCGGGCAGTCGGACAGATGAGGATTGCCAGAAGATCTGTAAGAATGCGCAGCGCTGCGGAGACAATAGTGTCGGCGCTTTTGCTGGCCTGCAGGAGTGTTGTGTTTACTGTGACTGTCGTTCAACATCTATGGTGTCGTCGCGTTCCCCTAGATCAGCATCATGGTTGCCATCGCCGTCGCCGTCACGGTCCGATCCCCCTTCATCGAAATCCAGTGTTAGCCCTGCTCATTCCGAAGGCCCCAATAAATCGTGTCTCGGCACCCCAACAGGCAAAGAATGCCAACAGATCTGCAGAAACTATCAGCTCTGCCGTGATCCGAGTCTGGCACCATGGGATGATCTACAGCAGTGCTGTGTTTATTGCGACTGCAAGGCTGCTTCCTAGCCAGTTTACAGTCCGAGAATGGCTGCAACACTGTCTCTTATGGACCAGGACGAGACTTGTCTGGGAGACCAACTAAGGGACTACCAGCGATACCGGCCGCCTTGATTGAAGGAGACTTTGATAGTCTCCTCGTTTTGGCAAACGACATGCCATAGTTGTCATTGGACAATCTCAGGCTGCTGATGGGCGACGCCTCAGGTGATAACTGGGAAAACAAGAAATACTGCATGTCTAGAGACTTGCGGCTGTGTGTCGTATTCTTTGGTATGGCAGGTTATCTCCCGCCTTCGGGTTGACGATAGCTACAACATTGCGATCCAGATTCTGAGCAATAGGGATGTATGGGAGTATTCGGGGTGTATAGCACTGCTAGATCGAGCGCCTCACTTAGTTCATAGGAACGGGTCCTCCCGGTCGCGATGAGAATCATACTGGAGATACTTACTAGGTCTTTGCCTCGAGCATGCTTAAAGCGGCTGTATAGATTTTAGGCATATTCAACAGGGTCTAACAACGGTATTCTTCAGCAGGGGCCGTTGCTGATATGGACTTTGGAGGAGGAGCCGAGTTCGTGTATAAAATATTCGCTGCACGTCGGACTCTCCAAGCCGATCTCGGCTTAGTTGCCTTTCCAACCAGCTGTCCAAAAGCGGCGAAGGGATCTGGAACGCCGGTCTGCGCACGCGGTTCAGCTAGAAGACAGACGCAATGGCCCCTTGACTGTCTCACGTTCACAATTGTGTCTTTGATAGCAGCTTGGGGACTGCAGGTTCAGTCTTTGGAGTTCCGCAACATTGTACTTTTCCAGCAACTTTTTCCAGCGATTATTCTGCGGGAAACAACAATGGCAAACCGCTTCGTTCGCTCCTCTAAATACCGGCATGTGTTTGGCCGCCCGACTCGAAAGGTTCGCCCATGCCCCAGAGCCATTCCACGACCTAGGTTAAGAGATTTAGGAACAATGCTATGACAATGTGAAGGTTTCGAAGAACGCCTGGGACACCAACTTGATCAAGGTCTGCGAGACCAATCGCTGCCTGGTGCCGGATGCTAACCGGTCAGGCCAATCCCGAATACCTCTCGGTCAACTGGGATAGCAGCGGTGGCGGCGCGTTCGCAGTCATTCCTCTCAGTGAACGGGGGCGATTACCGGAGCGGATACCACTCTTTCGAGGACATACCGCGGTGGTCTTGGACACGGACTGGTGAGCGCCTGCGGGACGCGAGGCACGAGGGCAACGCTGATGGATGTAGGAACCCTTTCAACGATTCACTGATAGCATCGGGCTCCGACGATGGCAAGGTAATGTTTCAGAATCAGCTTCTGTGCGCAGAGCTTACTCGTCCAGGTGTTTCTGTGGAGAGTCCCGGAAGATTTCACGCTTCATGTAGATCTGCCAGTGGACGAGATCCAGGACATTGCTCCTGTCGGCAAGCTCAGCGGTCATCCTAAGTACAGATATCTCCTTCCGCCGACGGACCGAAGATCTAACATGTCCTAGAAAAGTCGGCCATGTCCTGTTCAACCCTGCGGCCGAGAATGTCCTTGCGTCAGCGGCTGGAGACTTCACAATCAAACTATGGGACATCGAGGCCGGTGCTTCCAAACTCTCTTTAAAAGTGGGCGAAGTGATACAGTCCATGTCATGGAGCGCCAACGGATCTTTGATGGTCACCACCTCTCGAGACAAGAAACTGAGAATATGGGATACAAGGCAAGAGAGGCCGGCTCATGAGGTGCCAGGCCATGCCGGCGCAAAGAACAGCAGGGCAGTATGGATGGGTGAACACGACCGGATAGCTACAACTGGGTTCTCCCGCATGAGTGACCGTCAACTCGCCCTTTGGGACATAAGAGCTCCCGAGCAACCCGTGGACGGGTTCCAGTTGCTGGATTCGATCTCGGGCGTATGCATGCCCTTCTGGGATGACGGCACACAATGCCTCTATCTTGCCGGTAAGGGAGACGGGAACATCCGCTATTACGAATACGAGCACGACAAGTTCGAGTATTTGTCCGAGTACAAATCGTCCGACCCTCAGCGCGGCGTCGCATTTATTCCGAAGCGGGGAGTGAACATGCATGAAAACGAAGTTATGCGCGCCTACAAGACGGTGAACGACAGTTATATCGAACCAATCTCCTTCATTGTGCCCCGGAGAGCGGAGACCTTCCAGGAAGATATCTACCCACCTGCCGTTGGATTGAAACCAGCCATGAGCAGTGAAGAATGGTTTGGAGGCGCCGAGGGGCTACCGCCAAAGATCTCACTGGAGAGCATATATGATGGGACAGGCTTGAAAGAAGTGTCAGCAGACGAGGCTAAGCGTGTGCAGAAAGCTCCAGAGCCTGCGAAGGCGCCGGAGCCCAAGAAAGAAGTCGCGAAACCGGAACCGGAACCAGAGCCGACACCAACAATCATACAGACGCCACCTCCATCGATGAAGGAGCAAGGGGCTACCATGATGGCCGCGGCTACCAAATTCCAAGACACTGAGCCAGTGGAGGATGATGATGACGCTTCTAGTTTCGAGGAGGTCCAGCCCCCCTTTGAACGAAAAGCCGCGACCAAGCCGGCTGTTGCTGAGGCGGAAAAGGTCGCCCCAGCACCGGTGACGAGCAGTGTCTGGGAAGATGTTGAAGCGCCCGAGCCACAGCCTGCCTCGCCTGTTAAGGTAAGAACTAAAGATGATTTGCATGAACGCAGCTGACAGATTACAGAAGACCGAGCCGCCAAGTACCACAAATCATGTTGACGAAAAAGAGCCGGCCAAGAGCAGTGACGCGGCTTCGGATTCGGTGGAGAGCGAAATCAAGACCATGCGGGCGATGATAGCGCAGCAATCGCAACAGTTGACCAGCTTGACGCAGACGCTGACGGAACTCGTAGCTGAGGTGAAAGCTCTCAAGTCATAATAAGAGTTGGGAAATTCTTTCTGGCAGCATTGAATTCATGATGTCCTCCTCATCTTCCTTGATCAATATTCAGGGGATATGGCACTCTGTTCTTGATCGGCCATGGCGCTGCGGAGAAGCTTGTCGAATTGCCCAGACTTTTAACAGCTAACAAGAGTGTTGTCTCGTATACGGTCACGTAGGTCTGCAGCGAGTAAGGCGATCCAGATACTAGTATGTAGGTAAGCTGGCCAAAAGGGAGAAGGGTTCATCAGTGCCTAGAGAGCCCTTCAGACGTCAGCCGGAGTAACTTGTAGATAAGTGAATGAGATGGTATTGGATGGATCCTTTGCGGAGAGCCATGTGCTCGATATGACAAGGACATTCGAGGTGATGACCGATGCAAGCTGTCGCATGTCGCCGATGCCAGAGAGTAGTACGTACAACAGTGAATACAGGCAGTAAGTAGGTACCTCAGGTAGGTCAGGTATCTAAGGTACAGGTACCTTAGGTTACTAGTACCTTGTAAAGGAGGGAGCACGGCTGCGGTTCCCTAAAGTTGCTAAGCATTGCGGGCACCGGGCTTGGGAAGCTTGAATCCACATCCACGGCCACGGTTCAATTTTTGGTAGCATCTACAAACTGTACAGAGCCGCCATTTGCCATTTACCATTTGCCATCTGCCATCTGCCACCTCCCATCAAGGGGGAAGCGGGCCTCACCACGGCACTGATGGTTCAAGGGTAAAATACGGAGCCGCTGACTACCTGTCATAACTAACGAAGAAGCCTGTGTGTGGCCCGTCTCACTCGTGTCTCCAGCTCACGTCACCAGCAAAGAGTTGTGCCCCAGTGTCCAGTGTCCACATACACAATTATTCCATCAATGATTATGAATGTAACATCCCCAGGTACGTTCCAATCAGCCCGGTCCAGCTGTTCCGTGCGCTGCCGATATCAGTGGGCTAGCGATCTCAATGCCTGTTTCTTCGACTTCTCACTGGTTCGAGCAGATGAGCTGCGATAACAGCGTGTTACCGTTGGAGGATGCAAATGGCCATCAGCTTTCGATCCCACCCAGATGGCATCGCACAGTAGTCAGCCTTGCGATAAAGCTCTCCGCCCATCTCTCCCTTCCTCGTGCAGACGCTCGGATAATGCGGTCATTTTGCATTGTCATGGGTGCGCCACCCGATCCACATCCCGCTGGGTCTGGTTACATATTTTGAAAGGGATTCCTGTCTGTTGTTACTTCTTCTGGCTGCTCAAATTTCCAACTGTCGCTCTGTGAGTTCAAGCTGGTCGTCGCTGGTTTGCGCCGTTGGAGCTGTTTCTTTGGTATTCTTCCCCGGTCGCCTACACTTTCTCTTAGCCTTTTTGGCCCAACATCGTCCCGTAAGCGGTGCGGTTGACCATGGCGGACACTGCCACGCCAGTCGACCTCTCTTCAGAGAAGACGGAGAAGAAGGAGACGCTGCCTCCCACCGACATTGAGGGAGCATCCAAAGACCTGGACCCTTTGGAGCTTCTAGAAAAGATTCGAAGCACCGATGATGCCCATCCCCAACGTTGGCCCTTGTGGAAGAAATGGCCCATTGTCTTTATATACTGTCTGCTTCAGGCCTTCGTCACCATCACGTCCACCAGTTATGTGTCGGTCGAATTTCTGATCCAGGAGAAATGGCCCTCGACGACTCAAGTCGTGACTCTGGGACAGTCCATGTTTGTCGTGGGCACTGCTGTCGGGCCTGCGTTCCTGGGTATGATGTCGCTCGCTTCAGAGGATCGATAACGGGTGTGGCTGATGTCTTCTTAGGACCTTTATCCGATATTGGAGGTCGCAAATGGGTCTATGTCGGCTCAAGTAAGGATCCACGCCTTTTTTGTCTCTCAACCTGGATCGACAATTCAACTGGGGATCAAGAGGTAGTCAAGATCGTAGCTAACCATGACCAGTTCTCCTTTACGCGATCCTCAACATTGGCACAGCTCTAGCAGATAATCTGCCCATGCTGATTATTTTCTGCTTCCTCATCGGAGTGGCAGGGTCGGTGGCCTTGAGCAATGTCGCCGGAACAATCGCAGATCTCTTCGGGGTATGAGTACCCATTCCGCGAGCCTCGAAGCCAAGCTAATGTTTCGCTTGCAGGATGCCGATGATGCCGCACAGCCCATGGCTCTGTTCGTGTTGAGCGCAAACTTCGGTCCTAGCTTTGGTTCGCCCATTGGTGAATGGATAGCAGAGAATCCCTCGCTCTCATGGCGCTGGAGTATGTTTCTTGCTTCCAGACACGACACACCCAAACAAGGCGAACAGCACTGACTTTTGTGCCCCACAGTTTTCTATATCAACATCATCATTGGCGGCGCATTTGCATTTGTGCTGTGCTTTGTGCCGGAAACACTCCCCCGGATTGTCATCTCTCGAGCAGTAAAGCGCCGAGGAAGCGTGGATCAGAATGCCGTCGAGATCGCTCTTGCGTCCAGCAGATTGACCATTCTCAAGGAAATGAGATTCGTGGCGACTATGGCGTTGAGGATCATGGTGACCGAACCGATCGTGATGTCGCTTGGACTGTAAGCAGACTGCCAGAGTATCAACGACTCGAGGGGCATTTGAAACTGACCTGTGGCGTATCAGGTACAACGGATTCGCGTATGGATTGCTCTTTCTGTACCTCGACGGCGTGTTCGATGTGTTCGTCGTCAACAACGGACTCAGCTATATCGACGCAGATCTCACGTATCTGAACTTCTGTGTTGGTAAGTCGACGTGCATAAGCCCGTCCTTGGTGCTTATGGCAGGGACCGGGCCCTACAAGACCCCTGCGCGGAACTCGCATGCTGACCCGTCACGATAGGAGTCACTATAACGTTCTGCTTCGTCCCAGTACAGACCTACCTCTTCCGCCGCTACAGGCTGAAACACGGGCATAAACCAGAAGCCCGGTTCCTCACCTCCCTGGTGGCTGTCTGGGGGTTCCCAATTTCGCTGTTTTGGTTCGCCTGGACCAGCGATGGTACGTTCCTACCTGACTAAGCAAACCTTGAGTTGCTGCCGTTGCACGTCTGATAGGTTCTTGGTGTGCTGACCATCCGTTTCACTCAGGAAATACATCATATTGGTCGCCCATCGTTGCCGGCGCTGTTCTTGGGTTCTGTGATCCGCTTCTCTGGCTCGCCATGTTGAACTACATCACCGACTCCTATCCCAACGTCGCAGGGAGCGCGATTGCTGCCTTCCTGATCCCGAGTTTCCTCATCGCCGCTGCGCTGGCCCACGCCGGTGTGGCCATGTTCGAGAACATGGATTCCGACTGGGCGTTTTCGACACTGGGCTTCATCAGCATTGGTCTGGTCGCCCTGGTGTATGTGCTGTTCTTCTTCGGACCGAAGTTGAGGTCGTGGAGTAAATTGGCAAGGAAATTCTGATGGCAATTCCCTGTGGGAAGGGGTGTATAATTGGTGGCGGGCGCGAGGATGTTGATGGCGGACGGAAGCTCCCGAACCATACGGTATTCTCGTCCAGGCTGTGTTAATTCCGGGCTTGCACAAGCTCAAGATGTACAAAGTTGACTTACGCTCGTAGGCAAGAGCAATAATCAGATCTACAACGCATACCTTGTCAATGACCGGCTTTTGCGATGAGCCCGGTGTCTCAAGGCATACTCCCTCCATTGAGGGGTAACGGTATACTGATAAGAACACGATGCATCATTGGAAGAGTACGGCACTCCCCAAGAAGTGCCATTCAGTAGAATGTGCAACCCTTATCAACGATGGCATGGGATTTTCATTGCTAGAGAGAGACTGACAGGCTTCAACCAGAACCTGGAGTTATAAGAGCCGACCGAGCATCATTAAGTTCATGTGTTGACAGCAGCTTTACAGAGCCGCAGCAAGCGTCATGCGGCTCGACTTCCTCATCACCCTTCCAAGACCTTGCAAGAAAAACGAGCTTCGAGGCTGGACTGTTCTAGGTCAGCTCGGCGTCGCTTACGCTCAGCCTTGGCCTGGTGTGCGCAGGGTTGATGGATCCCTAGGTAGGTACAACAAGATATCCCGAAGCCTTGCTCCTGATCGAGTCACGCAACGCAATCGGCACGTTCAAAACAGGCCATGCGACTCAGGCACGCCGTTGTTGTGACTCTATGGTCTACCGCAACAGGAGTACCCACGCAAGGGATTTTTCTCTGGAGCCATCACACTAGGTCAAACCATGTCTGCTCTCCTGTCCATAAAGACGAGGTTCATTGAACGTACAGGGAGTCCTTGAGCCCTCATTGGCAAAAAGCATGCTATTCATTTGCCGATCTGTCGGGCTCGGCAAACTCTGATCATTACTAGTTCATCCCGTTTTGTGCGCATCGCGTGTCGTCGGCAATTTGGCTCCAAAAAGCTGAGAGTCAAATCCCTAATCAAGCTTACGTACGGTATGATGCGCGACAGACAGATCGCCCAACTCGGCTACTAGTTGACACTTACAGCCTGCAATCACAGATGCATCGACATCTATGAAAGGTTTCGGGCATCTTCAGGCGGTCGGCGATGCTGGCCTATGGAGCCAAGTGATACAGCAAAAGTATAACGAGACTATAGACGCTGTCTGCCGCGTAGAAAGAAGCAAGATCTGTCTGCCCCTGCGAAGTAATGCCATGACTGTCGGACAGGCAGGAACCAATAGGATAGGTCAGATGGTAGCCTGGTATCTTGATAAAAGAAAGCACCCACTTTCGAATTTTTGTCGATCGTATTGCGGACTCTATGTAACATCATAGGGGCTGGCGAGAGGATAGCCGACACCCTGCCGGAGAGAGGGGCCTCTTCGTCCTAGCTCTGAGTCTGGGGACCCGGCCGACGAAGCTCTGCAATAGGCTAGCAATCAGCAAGACGGGGCCGATCCCTTGCAAGGGAACAGCGGGCGCTTGTATGAACACTGGAGCCGAAGAAGATAACGTCGACCAGAACAAAACTGTGGCCAACCAGCGACACGAAGGAGAAAAAGGAATGATTCGAGAGAAATGGTCATCCCAAAACGAGCCAAGTCGCCTATCTCCCTATTCGGGCACCTCCGGGCCAATCAGCGTGCTGGAAGTCTCGAGATAGTGGATCCCTACCGGGGCGGAAAGCTGAGGTGTGAAGGAGCCTGCCCAGAAATTCTCATTCGTCTCTAGCAGAAGCTGGATGGCAATCCTCATCTGGGGACTTTTCTCATTGCCATGGGGGATCCCGATCCACCGATCCAGGCGACGGCCGCTTGCGGGAACCAGGCCTCGACTTGACTTTTTGCTTGGCTTTTGCAAATCTTCCCCTACAGAGTACTACCAGGTATCATCTGTCACAGGTCACTACCCTCTCCGTACTCCGGCCTCCGTCAAATTGATGCTCGGCCTAAGTTTGCGCAGGGCACACTGCTAGGAGGTGACCTGCTCTCGTCGCCGCTGGCCGTCAGCCTCGGCGCAGCGCCCCAAATTTTTGATGTCTCCACCTCGCAACAGGGGGGCACATCCGCTGCACAGACTGTTGTATGCAGGAAGCCTAGAAGCAAGACTGCTTGGAAGATTGACGGAACTGGCCACTGCCCGACGAAGAGTATGCGAAGCTAGATATGCTTCACATTGACATGTACTTTGTATAAGAGTCTCCAGCCATCTCGGCACACTGTGAGGTAATAGTTCCCCCAGACTACATTGCTCCATCACCATTCGTCGCTCATCCTCTCTCGAGCTTGCGACCAGCCATATATACATACGGTGTCTCTCGTCTCCCTTGTGTTGCTCCTTGATCCATGCCCAACGTTCCTTGGTAATCTACCAATTGACTTCACAGCCAGCACCAAGCAGCCATCAACACAAAAAAAGGGCCCATCATGAGTGAAGCAGATAGAATCGGGCCAGATATGAGCCACAAGCAAACTCTGGCCGACCGGATCAATGGCGTCCGGAAGACTTTCTTCACCAAAAACGGCCTGGTTGGCTCATACGACTACGCATTCCTGTTTCGACCGAACATTCCCTTCATGAAGAAGCCTCGGCGCGCGAGCCCATTCTTCGGCTTGAATGATACCATGCCTGTCGTCCTGGCTCTTTTGCTCGGATTTCAGCACGCCCTGGCCATGTTGGCCGGTGTCATGTCCCCTCCCATCATCTTGTCCGGTCAAGGCGGTGCCAACCTGACTCAGGAGGATCAGCAATACCTCGTCTCGACGTCCTTGATTGTGTGCGGCATCCTGTCGTCCGTCCAGATCACTCGCTTCCACATCTACAAGACTCCGTAAGTTCCATCTTTTTCAGCCTCTACCCTTTTCTGGGAGGCACCCATTCCCCAAAAGAGCGTGTCGGGAATGACCCAGAAACGAGTCTGACATCTCTATGATTTTAGATACTACATTGGAACCGGCCTGATTTCTGTCGTTGGCACATCCTTCGCCATTATTCCAGTCGCCCAGGGTGCCTTTAATCAAATGTATGCAAACGGATTTTGCCCGGTCGACGCAGACGGCAACAAACTACCCTGCCGAGAAGCATATGGAGCACTGATCGGAACCTGCGCGGTCTGCGCCTTGGTGGAAATCGCCATTTCTTTCATGCCGCCGAAAGTTTTGCAACGGATCTTCCCTCCCATCGTGACCGGCCCTACCGTCATGCTCATCGGCGTGCATCTGATCGAGACTGGCTTCCAGAACTGGGCTGGCGGCAGTGGTCTCTGCAACACGCTACCCGACGAGGGATTCTATCGATTGTGTCCGGACATTACTGCGCCGCACGCTCTTCGCTGGGGAAGTGCCGAGTTCATCGGCCTCGGATTCCTCGTCTTCCTGACCATCATTCTGTGCGAACGCTTCGGGTCTCCCATCATGAAATCCACCAGCGTCATCATCGGCCTGTTGATGGGCTGCATTGTCGCCGCTGGTTGTGGCTACTTCGACGATTCGGGCATCAAGACTGCTCCCGTGGCCTCGTTCATCTGGGTCAAGACGTTCCCTCTCTCCGTGTACGGCCCGCTCGTCTTGCCCGTCATGACTGTCTTCATCATCTGCGCCTGCGAAGCCATCGGCGATGTGACTGCTACTTGCGATGTCTCGCGCCTTGAAGTCGAGGGACCACAATTCGAATCCCGTATCCAGGGTGGTGTGTTGGCGGATGGACTGAATGGCATTATCGCTGCCTTGATGACCATTACTCCCATGTCCACTTTCGCTCAGAACAACGGCGTCATTGCACTCACCCGCTGCGCCAACCGGAGAGCCGGATATTGCTGCTGCTGTGAGTCCGACCTCTTGTTTGATAAATTTTCTGATCAGCAAGTTTTACTGACACGAATTTACAGTGTTCCTGATCATCATGGGCCTCTTCGCCAAATTCTCCGCGGCGCTGGTCGCTATCCCATCAGCCGTTCTTGGAGGCATGACGACTTTCCTCTTCTGCGCTGTAAGTATCAGAAACGTCCACTCAAAACTCGTTGGATTCAAAAGCTAACCAAAAATGAAAAAAATAGGTCGCTGTTTCTGGTATGGCCATTGTCAGCCATGTCCCTTTCAACCGACGAACCCGATTCGTTCTGACGGCTTCGCTTGCCGTCGGCTACGGCTCGACCCTTGTCCCGACCTGGTTCGACAACGTGTTTACCTATGATGGCGGTAACCATGCTCTGCGTGGCTTCTATGATGCCATTGTCCTGGTCATGGAAACTGGCTTTGCCGTCACCGCTTTCCTCGCCATGATCTTGAACTTGGTCCTGCCTGAGGAGTTTGAGGATACTCCTGAAGGAATCAAGCAGGACGCCCTGGCGCAGCATAATTCATCAGATACTCCCAGCTTCGCTGGCGAGTCCTTCGCTGGCGAGTCGTCTAAGGTCCAGGATCTACCTTCGAAGGAAGTCGCATAGATTACGACCCTGAGTCGAAGGGGTATCTTGAGGGATCGTGTGACTTTTCACAACGCAGCTTAATGAATAGATGGTCTGCTAAAAAAAAGGGGGTATGAGGGAATGAATCAGTACTATGTGAATGAGATGTATGTGTCTGTTTTGACGATGCTGTCGCTCTGTGGACTGAAGGGTGGCACTGTTTCGGTAGACTGATACCCATCTTGAATAATGAGAAACATCTACCAAAACGCCCAAGATTCATGATTGCCACGTTCTCTTATCCAGGAGAACCCCTAACTCCCTTCGAACACAGCCAGACTACACCTTTTTTATTGTGAAAGTCGGTGTTGCCTTGAGTTGGGTTAGGCGTGGAAGACATCTCCGTAGTCCAGCTGCAGGATTTAGCCAGTACGGCTTCTGCATTGCCTTTGCTCTGTACATGTACGTAGTATAGAAATGGAAAGCGCTTGATGTTGGGCAAGGCTGTGAGCACACGTACATCTACCCAATCAAGCAAGACAGCCGGCCCCTATGTTAAATGGTAGGTTAGCCGGTCACTAATATTATACTTTGGCAGGTTTGCCGACACGTTGTTTGCTTGTCGTGGACGCTTTCGGTGGAAGCAGATCGACTAACAGACAAGAATCCTGCCCTGCCACTGTCACTGCCGTTGATTGCAATTTCGCTACTACCAACAACAACTCATGCCAGGAATTTTCCAACAAATCACTCAACCTGCACACGTCGACGATATTCCTATTGCAAACCATATCTCACATATCTGCACCTTCAAAGTCAGTCCAGTGTCCGCCTAAGGTCGCGTCGACTGCCGAACAGCCCCCATCACACGACCTCGTCAGACCACCCGCACCGCAGGCATGTGCGTTGTGTGATTGTCTGCCAGAAATTCCACTACCGCGCAATTATTGCTACTCTCTCGCCCAAAAGCCATGATTGTCGCATTCGAGTGTTACTTGTTGCCCTGATAGACAAAACCTGCGAGGCCACGGCCTGAACAATGGCCTTCAATTTCAACTGGTCTCCGTTATCTACGGACGCCGGATTTCTCCCACGAGCCCAGGAACTCCTGACCAATGCTCTCAATCGAGCCGACCCGAAACCGGCCATCATTGTCGACGAGATCATAGTGAATGAGCTCAATCTGGGCGATGTCCCTCCGGAGTTGGAGATCTTGGAAATCGGCGACCTGGCCGAGGATAGATTTCGTGGGACTTTCAAGATGACCTACAAAGGGAATGCATATCTTACACTGAAGACAAAAGTGCAGGCGAACCCTTTGAACACATATCTAGGGACGCGCTCAGCCTTCGCATCACCACAGCCGTTGGCCGCTGATAAGGGATTGACGATTCCCTTGCAAATCACCCTTTCGGAGTTTCGATTGTCCGGATTCATCATCCTCGTGTTCTCGCGACAGAAGGGGTTGACTTTGGTCTTTCGAAATGATCCTTTAGAGTCTCTGCGGGTCTCTTCGACTTTTGACTCCATCCCTTTTGTTGCGAACTTCTTGCAGAAAGAAATCGAGACTCAGTTGCGAGGGCTTCTTATGGACGAGCTGCCTGCCATCATTCACCGGCTTTCGCTAAGGCTGTGGGTGCCTGAATACAGAGCGCGCGAAGAACGCGAGCTCGGACCTGCCGATATGTCCAAGGACGAAGTCGTAGTCGACCCGCTGGCAAGTCCTCCTCAGGACCCTGTGGACTCGACAGGCGCGGTGTTGACTCCAGCCGAAGTGGCGTCATTGTCTTTAGACTCGTCGATCGAGACGCAATCACTCTTCTCGCGGAAGAACCTACTCCGTCTTGCAACGCTGACCGACTCGCACCGCACGTTGTCGCTATTCACTCCATCGATAAGAGAGGCTGTGTTTCGGGCATGGACAGGCCCCATGGAGCGTGGAGAAATGACTGGCATTCAAAGCCGAGCGGCCACACCGGCACTGTCCAGGGCACATTCATATGCCGGAAGCCTTAGTACTACTACCACCTACACATTTGACAGTTCGCCCCACTCTCGCCCTGGCTTGCCGAGCTTTCCTTCTGCTGGCAGTGGGCTAGGTATGAACAGCACACGCCACGGCCAAGGAGGACACAGAACGCGTAGGAGGAAGAAGCGCGTTGTCGACCTACGATCACATCCAGAGACAGGAGTGCTAGAAATGGTGAGTGAAGACGGCTCGACGGCCGACACAGAAAGTGTGGCGGAAAGTACTTCAACCGGGCCGACTGTGCTATCTGCACCTGCAGCAACCATGGCTTCAAATCCCACTCACGGGCTGGGTCTCGTCACGCCGCCTAAGAGTCCATTGGCGGGTCAGCGGGTTGGTATTTCTACCGGTCGAAGGAATAATTCGTACGAAACACGGAGCGTCAGCGAAGGAGCTCCAGGCCCTGCCATTCCGAGTACAGTCGAAGAGCCCACGGGTGACACTCGCAAGGCTTCTCGCGTGCCAGACCTTGATGCAACCATCCGTGTGCGGTCACGCAAACGGATTCCTATATCTCTTGATGATGATGAGACGCCAAGCGCATCGATGTATCTGCCTGATCCGAAAGATGGTTCTGCCCCTCAACCAGCAACTGAAGCGCATTCGAACCAGCCAGAAAGGCCTGGCTTCCATGGCGAGGCTGGGCCTTCGCGGCCACCACTCCCCAACTTCCTTTCCTTCGTCTCAGACTCCTCCAACGCCGGTACGATTGCGGAGCGGGCGTGGATGATGAAGATGGCCAGTGAGATGGCCAGACGGTATGAGGAGGAACGATTAAGGGGCGATTTTGGGCCGATGTCTGCTCGGGACATGGAGCAACCTCCCCCTCCTGCCTATGCCCGATGAGGAGGAGTTGGGGGTCTTTGAAACCAGGGTGGAGTCAACCGGCGTTGACAAATGTACCACAAATGTAATGGCGTGACGATGCTATGAGATATAATGTCTATAGATGATGTTGACAATGCAAGCGTGGTATTGGATCCTCTTGCTGGGCTGGGAAACAGTCCGTCCGTGGCTGGTCTGGGTCGTGTATTGGTCTATTTCATAGCAGCATGGTTACCAAGTAGTAGGATATTCATCCCTTACTATCTACACCTACACAGTGCTGGTATCTTTCCCAGCTGAGTCGGGACAGTAGTACAAGGATCTTTGTATGCCCACAGGTACTTTCATCGCACTGCCGTATGGACTGATATACTATGTTATGAATTGTGATAAAGACACAGGCTCGACAGTTAGCACACCAAGGCTGTGGCTGTGGTTGTGGCTGTCGAATCAAGCTGCGGCTGCTGTGGCTGGAGGAGTGTGGGACTCTTCGTGGGACTTGGCAGATTACGTTAGCACCAAATGTAACGAACTCTCTCGATTGATACATTGCGTGGGGAGCTTCAACTGTCGCTTTCATTGTTGGAATAGTATCTGACATCCAGTTTGGAAGTTGGGTCCTTACTGTTTTGGCGTCTTGGATATGGATTATTTCAAATCCCTAATGGGCGGGCAGCCCTCCCAGGCGCCGATAGCTGCAGACGACTCTGGTCAGTACAAGTCGAGACATCGACACCCGTCCGTCTCTGTCCTCGTCCCCCTCTTGCTAACGTCTTGTGTCTCCAGACTTTGCCGACTTCGCTGATGCGCCAGCACCCTCACCAGTGTCTATCCCCGCCTCTCCTGCCGATACACAGGCCGCGGAACCGACTGCAGCAACTCTGGGCCAGCGCGGAGTGTACACGAAATGGTATCGAGTATGGGAGCGCACCCAGCCGTCGGATTTCCTGATGGAAGCGATCATCCTCCCGATCATCATCGTGGCCTTACTGGTGCATTACTGGGGCACGCGCTGGAACCGCAGTAAAGCGAAGAAGTGGATGGCCGTGCATGCGCCGTTACTGGAGCGGGAATTCGCCTTGGTGGGATACGCGCAAGTGCCCAAAGTCACCCCCTACGGCGAAGTCCAGGGCGACAGCCTTCTCGAGGCTAGTGCGAAACTTTCCGGCGACAACCTCCCCAACGACCTGCTGAAGGAGAAGGCGGCCTGGGAATTCGAGACGTACGCGAGCGGCCGACAGAACGTGGCTTTTGTGGATTTCCGACTCTACTTGAAGAGACGCATGAACCCGATGTACATGGCCGCAGAGGGGATCACGGGCATGTTCTTCGACTCGGTCAAGCCCAAGCCCGAAAGGATGGAGGCGGTGATGTACACGTTTGACGGCAAGGAGAAGGATTTCGTGCCGCCGCCAGTCCCGGGCTCGGAGGAAATAGGCAAGTCGAAGCCGACGGGCCATTCGGCCTACGACCCGTTCGTGTTCGCGATCGTCAGCAAGATGGTGATGCGCCGTCTGCGCGACGAGCGGTACGATCTGTCGTTGACCTTCACCAAGGACAATGCCAAACTGCCCAACTGGACGACGGTGATGAGCGAGAGCGCCGAAGTCACCGAGACGATGTTGACCAAGGACCTGGTTGCCGCGGTCAACCAGGCGGGTGATCTGTTCGAGTACCTCATCGTCACTGACCAGCCGACGGACAAGCCGACGACGCTGGGCGAGACGACGCCGAAGAAACGCCTCCACCTTTCGCTGAAACTGCCGTCCGACGGTAACTATCTGCCCACATTGCCCCTCTTCCAGGCCTTCCTCCGACTGCCGGACTTCTTGGTCGCGCAGGCCCATTTCCGACCGGAGGTGCTGAAGAAGGTCCATGCGATCCGCGAGGCGGAGAAGGCCAAGCTGAAGAAGATCAGTGACAAGGAGGCGGAAGAGGAGCGGTTGAAGGCGCTGGAGAAGATGAAGAAGGAGGAGCGAGATCGCAAAATGAAGGGCATGAGTGCCGAGGAGCAGCGCAAGTTCTTGGAACGGGAAAACGAGAAGCAGAGGAAGAAGGCGGAGAAGAAGATGACGAGGAGAGCGTGAGCCGTGGACGTCTTGCATATCTCGGGGAGCTCACTGCTTGTCTCGTTCTCTCGATTTCTACCTTGGTACATACCGGACCTTGTGTCTCACGGTTAGCAGCCCGGGGCTTTCTTGCAGTGGGACGCGTTTGGACTGAGCGATATGGGAACGCCAGCAGACATGTTCTGGGCTACTATTAGTAGTATGCTGCTCATTGCCGAGACCAAAAATTGCATATATTTGTCCAGATGTCAGACACTGACGGTGCTCTGCTATATATACTGAATCTTGAGGGTCCTGTACTTGCCCACGTAGGGGATCGGTAGGTAGCCGGGTACTTGCTCATGTATATGTATATATATACATACCTAGTACATAGTATATCTGTCAGTCAACCCTAGATCCAAGATCCAGGAATATCGAGAATCTCTGTACATTAATTCCCCTCTCTCCTTTCCCCAATCATTCATCTCATCTCAATAACATCCTCATTTGTTGTTTGTTTGCTGTTTGTAACACATTGCTGCTTCTCCTGAGCTTTGCTTCTTGACACGGCGTCTGTCACTGCCAGGTGTTTCGTTTCAGCCCCAGACCACTTACCCTCACCACCCCTACTATACCTAGCACAGTTCAGTTCCCCGGCTGTCAATCTTGCTCGGCGAAGCGATGGGTACCTAAGGCACCTAAGGTAGGTAGTACCAGTATTGCGTAACTGAGCAAAGATTGCGCCTCCGCCAACCCACCGATGGAGTTTGACACTGACTGACACGTCTGACGTCCGCGCGGCCTAAGCCTGTGCTATTTGGCAAGGCCAGGCGTTCAAGTCATGGCATGGCATTTGCACGATTGGGTCTTGGTGGTTCCTTTCCCTAGGCCTCTCGTTGGCCCTGGTTTCAGAGTTCAGGCCCCGACCACTGCACGACCGGTTTGATGCCCATGGTTACGAATCGTTCTCCGTCTTTGCATCGCTGCCCGTTCTGGGGAGGCTACGTAAGATGCCTAGCCATCTCAGGCTTTCCCAAGTCCGCACTGCTGCACTCCTGCACTGCCCTCGGGACAGCTTGGACTTTGCGTTGTGTGTGTCCTGTGTACACAGAACGGAGGAGACATTGCTCATGGACAGAAAGGTGAAGTCAAGTGCTGAGAAGTCGTGTTCAGTGTTCAGTGTTCAGTGTTCATCTGGCTTCACTCTTCTTTGATTTGTCTGGTCTTCAAGTTGTTTGTTTGCATTCCTTGTGATTTTCTGAGGAAAATCATCTGACCAGTGTGAAACCTTGAAGTCTGTTGTTCCCTGCTACTAGATATTGGGTACTGCTGGCTGTGTTGTTGCTCAGTTGATGGTGGTGTTGAGGGAAAAACTTCCTCTCTCTCCTTTCTAGTTGTCTCTTGATCTTGCTCGCAGTCATGTTATTACGACTACTCATGTCCTTCCTTTCTCTTCTTTCTCAGAGTACAGCACTGTCGATCGACGTCTCGAAACCAACAAGAAGCACATCAAGTGACCTCTCGAAACGGACATCCTCAGCCTGCAACAACTCGCCTGACCTCTGCTCCAAGGCGTACAACAGCATCGTCCATCTCGGCGCCCACGACTCCCCCTTCGTCCGCGACGCCTCGACAGACTACTCGACGTCCGGAAACCAATACTATAACTCGACCGTGCAACTCTCGGCCGGCGTGCGGCTGCTGTCGGCCCAAGTGCACAAGACCAACGGGCAATGGCACCTCTGCCACTCGTCCTGCGACCTGATGGACGCGGGCCTCCTGTCTGACTGGCTGGAAGAGATCAAGGAATGGCTCGACTCCAACGCCAACGACGTCGTGACACTGCTCCTGGTCAATTCCGACGATGCAACAGCCGCCGAACTAGCCCAGCAGTTCGCAGCCGCCTCCATCGCCGACTACGCATATACACCGGCATCCAGTACTTCGGCGCCCGCCACCTGGCCGACCCTGCAAGAACTCATCAGCTCAGGCAAGAGACTCATGACGTTCGTCGCGTCGCTGGACACCAGCACGCTCTCGTCCAACGCGTCCGAGTCCTACCTCATGGACGAGTTCACGTTCATCTTCGAGAACGCCTACGACAACACCAACGCCAGCGACTTCAGCTGCACGCCGGACCGCCCGAGTTCGGTGAAAGGCGACTCGCAGCGTGCCATTGCGTCGAACCGCATGGCATTGACCAACCATTTCTTGTACAAGGAGGGTCTGTTTGATATCGAAACCCCCGACTCCGATCAGATCAATGTCACCAACTCACCTTCCAACTCGGTGGGGAATCTCGGCTACGCTCTGAACGCGTGCAATTCCGAGTACGGCCAGCCGTCGACCTTCGTGCTGGTCGATTTCTTCGACCAGGGTCCAGCCATCGACGCTGTCGATGCCGCAAATGGCGTCACCAGTCCTGTCGGTCGGACGGCGCCGCCGGCGCGAGACACGCGCGAAGACTCGAATAGTCAGAGTCTCAGCCAGTCGTCGTTTCAGGGCATCGTCGATCTCGTCAATCAGGTCAAAGAGGGCGAGAAGCCAAAGTTGGGCGCCTGGATCTGGGCCGCGGGGAAGTGGACTTTGGGTGGCATCAATTTGAGTGGAGGGAGTGTTGTGACTTGAAAAGAACGGGGAGACTAAGAATGATAGAACAACATCCCCCTCTCTCTTGAGGGAAGGGAGTGAGTCCAAAATGGAAACGGACATCAGCTCATGATCTCAGTTCCGTCAAAAGAGGCGCACGCACCGAACTTACTCGACAGACTCGACCCGCACCGCCGCAAAAGAGGAAAAGAGTCAGTTGCTTCGAGAGAAGGTGCCCAAAAGACTTCCATACGACGCTTACCAATACGTTACGCGAAGCTCCCAATGCATGTGCAATTGACACCCAGTACCATCTGAAGCAGACCAGAGAGAAGGAGTTTTCCATCGAATTACGATATCCCGACTCACCGGGTCTCGCCACACAAACAGATTTGGGGAATTGGATATGATTGATCGTTCTCGACCGTCAGGATGCCATCGCGGGGACTGCCTGAAGGGAAATGAAAAACACTCCCCACTACGCCGAGAGAGGGAGTCCGTTCCAGGATATCTGCTGGTCTGCACATCAGAGAAGAAACTGATGGAGAGTGTTTGTTTTGATGCATTCTTTCGCAATCGGGATGATGGTACATGAGCATAGCGGTCGGCTCGCCTGGGAATCTTTCTTGGAGTATTAGAAAACCGTGAAGGGAATCCAAATGACAAGGAAAAGGGAAAGGAGGGTTAATGATACCTAGGATTGGATACCCCTTATACCCAGACAGAATATGTGCTCTTGGATTTTGAAATGGATTGGAAAAAGAAGCGAAACTGCTAGGGCCTAACTGGACATGATGATGTCCGTGGCCTTGATGGCAGACAATCAGAGTCATAGACTTCGAAGTAGTCATGGATATGGTTCTTGGAATTTTCGAAAGACTCAATTTGGGGACTTTTATGCCTATGCTACCTGGATTATGCTAGCATGGAAGCAATCATGGTTCATGTATGCCGGACAGATCTTTCATACAGTAGTCTTCAAAAGTGATCCCCAAGTGGCCAGTCATGCCTCGAATACTCGGGGAAAACGTTCATATGAATATATATTGCAGTGATCAGACTCAGAAACGATGTTGTCTCTATTCCTTTGCTCCACGCCTCCAGAGACCTCTGGTTTCGATTGATCTTACTTTTTGTCTCTGAACCATACTGTTACAACCCTTCGGAAACGTTGAAAGGGAAACCACTATATCTTACACCCGTTCTCGTCAACTCCCGCCCTGAAGGATCCAAAATGCCGGCCTTGCTCCCAAAGACTCTATCCTATCAGTAATATCCCTCTGCCTCGACAGAGAGCGCATGACACGTTCACAAGCTCGCAAAAACGCGCTTCAACACCTCTCGACCCTTCCAGAGATTCTCCACCCTCATCCGCTCGTTATCCAGATGTGCATTATCACTCGCCTGGCCCATGGGGAACATGGCGGCGGGAGCATCGAACTCGTGCTCCAGGAAGCTGAGCGCGGGGATGGATCCACCTTCACGAATGAAGAGTGGTTCACGTGGTAAAGTCGACACGGTGAAAGTGCCGGTGGTGGCGAGGGAGGAGGCTCGACGGTGTGACGCGCGTTTGGTCGTGTCGGACGATGCTGATGCCTCGACCGGAACCCATGACATCGTCCCCGGAGTAGGGGTAGGTGTAGATGTGGGCGTAGAGCTGGTCGTCGAAGTCTGGAACGAGCGCTGCGACGAACTGGCCGCCTCTGGGTTCCAGACGTCGACAATGGCCGCCTTGAGCGTCGTGTAGATTTCGCTGCGCACGTTGCCGAGCCATGGGTCCGCCTTGGACGTGATGTTCACGTTGAGGCTATTGGAGCTTTGCAGTCTGGCGAACTGCTCGTGCAGGAAAGACGATAGACTGTTGGCGATTTGCTCCGCCGTCTGTGATGGCACGATGCGGATCGACAGCGTGGCTTTGGCCGAGCCGCTGATTGTCACCGCTGTCTTTGCCTCAGGCACTTCAATCCGGTGGACCGTCAGGTTCGGGTACCGCCAGCGCTGCATGAGCGATAGAGAAAAGTTCTTTTCGTCCTTGATCTCGGGGTGGCCCGGTAGCAGGGCGGAAGTGATGGATGAGTAGGCCTTCATCTCCGCTTCCGACAGCTCGTCAACGGTGTCGTAAAAGCCAGGAATCATGACCTTGGTGCCGGATGGTCCGATAAGCGAGGCAAGCAACACCGTCAGATCCTTCAGTGGTTCATGCTGGATCGACTTCCCATCCATACCTGAATGTAGGTCTGGCTTGTTGGAGGAGATGGTCACGCTGGCATGTACAACACCGCGCATACCGAATGTCAGGCACGGGATGTGGTCGTCCAGCCAGTAACTGTTGGAAAGTAGAATGTAGTCGACAGGTCCGATGGCGTGGTGCATTGACTGCACGGTATTGCGGAACCCGCGCGAACCGGCTTCCTCGTCCCCTTCAAGAAGAAAGGTCACGTTGCAGGACAAGGAGCCATGTTGCATCAAATCTGCCACGGCATAGATCGCAGCGAGGATGGGACCCTTATCATCTGTCACGCCGCGCCCGTAGAGAAAGCCATTCAAAGGCTGCAGACTGAATGGATCGCCGTACCAGGCGTGGTTGGGGTTCGAAGAGTCGTATTCAGCGTCTACTACGTCGTAGTGGCCATAGAACAGGACAGATCTGGTGGGTTCGGAGACATTGGAAGCAGAGAATTTGGCTAGTAGAATTGGATTGACACCTTCCTGTGGCGAGAAGAGGTTGGTGGTGGCACCAAAGGCGTTGCAGAGTTTACGGAGGAATGTCACCGCGTCGTGGCAATCGCGCACACAGGTTAGATTCAAAGCGACGGTACGGTAAGAGACGAACTCTCTGAGGGCGTTCAGTAATTCATCTGTAACACATTAGTACTCCACAAGTGAAGAACAGTAGAGAAGTCCCACCATTGCTGCGAGCAGAAGATGCCATAGATGTATGGGGGGCGGCTTCTGCATCCCACAATGACACAACCCTGTCGTTACCTCCTACAACAAGCAAGTCGTGGTCAGGAGTGGTGGTCAGACTCATTGCCAGAATCTTCCCATTCGTTGCTTGCCAGCTTTCGGTCTCTGTGAAATGGTCGTTGAAGCGCTGGAACAAGAGTTAGCAAAATATGTACTTTGGCATATGAAACTTTTCCCACCTTGACCCATCCTTCCGTGGTCCCACACAGAATGCTGTCTGCGCTGACAACAATCTGGCTGACATCCCCATGACCAACATTTAATCTCTGAACGAGTTGTCCTGATGCGAGGTTGTAGACGTTGGCTGTGCCGTCCGACAGGCCGGCATAGAGGAACGATGCTTTGTATGAGAGACTTAGCACTGATTTATCTGGGTTCTTGAACTTAGTTATCTGCAAGATGCCGGTCAAGTAGAGTGCGTCAAGTGACCACATCTTGATCGTGCCATCACCGGCGCCAGTGACGAGAACCTCTTCGTCCTTGTTATGGTTGAAGAGCCCTTTCACCAAGATCATGCTGTAGATGTAGCTCTTGTGGGCGTATTGAAGGTAGTTGCGAGTGGGTATTGTCAGCACTCGACCGCCCAAGCTGTCCAGCGTGGTTGAGGTGCCATCTTCATCCGAGATGACATTTGCAATCCCGCCGGGTCCCAAAGAGTCAAAGAAACGATGCTTTCGAGAACCAGGAGCAGCTGAATGAGTGGGAGATGAGACGCCGGCGGCGCCATCAGTGCTGAGCTTGAACCATTGAATGCTGGAGTTCTGAGCGCCCCAAAACAAGGTCTGCTCTTTGGTGGAATGGTTGACACAGAAGACATCGCCAATTTCAAAGTAAGAATGCAAAGAGTACAGTCTCTGTAACGTCTGAGTTGACCAGACATTGACAATTGAGTCGGCTCCGGTGGAAAAGAGAAGAGATTTGTCTTCCGATAGAGAAAGGCTTAAGACACTCTCCTTGTGGGCGGGTACCGTAGCCAGCAATTCGTACGTCTGCAGGGACCATACAACAATGCTGCCTCCCTGGACACCTGTAAAGAGAACATCGTCGTCCACTGCGAGAGCTTGTACGCTTCCCGGGGCATTGATTCGGTGGATGGGAGGCTTTGGCTTATGGGATGTGGGGAGAGAAGAGGTTGATTCAGAGTCTTCCACATGTCGGCCATCCTGCAAGTCAGACGTGACTGCGGTTGGGCCGGTCCGGGCATGAAGACGGCCTGAGGAGCTCTGATTCGGCTCGTCAGTCGTGGCCATGGCCAGGCCGAATCGCCCAAGCCGGAATGGAAATGGACGGGAGAGAAGGGTGGTGGATGTGGCACTCACTAGAGTAGCCCTGGCAGCGGTAGGAGCTGTAGCAGCTGTAACAGTGGCAGCATTCGGAATCTGGCGCAGTTCAAGTTGGAAAAGACTCGATTTTCCCCACGTCGAACTCGAATGCGCAAGCGGCGGATTAGGGCGCAGGCAGCACGTTGATTCGCTGATCTGGCACATCTTCACCCCCCTTGACGCTCCTCCACGCCTCCTATCGACGTCTTCCTCAGCTATCCTCTATCTGCTAGTATCTCGTAGGCTGGGTACTGGACGACAGGGGGTCGTGAGCCTGGTATAAAGAGGTGGGAAGAGCTGCAAAAGGAATACGCCGTTGTTGTCACTCAAGCAAACAAGACAGAGCAAACAACCCCCCAGCCGCCATCGGACAGGGAGTCACATCTATGGCGTGATGTTGGCCCCCTGTTGCACGTTCGTGTAACAACAGCAGACCTCCGGAGACAACAACAATGGCGACGAGGGCGACTGAAAAGTCGTCGCCTCTGGGTCCCTACAGACCAACACTCATCCTTCATGGCGGTGCAGGCTCTATCTCACGCGCCAGCCTTCCCCCTGAACTCTGGTCGCAATATCATACTTCTTTGCTGAAATATTTGACGTTGACCCGCGAGTTGCTCGACTCCGGAGCCTCCGCCCTGGATGCCGCATGTCATGCTGTGACTCAACTCGAAGATGACCCTTTGTTCAACTGCGGCCGCGGCGCTGTGTTTACGGAACAGGGCACCATTGAGATGGAGGCAAGTGTAATGGTCTGTTCACTTGACCCCGCTGGTCCGCCTGCTGGTGCCATCAAGCGCGGTGCAGCAGTGAGTCTTGTGCGGAACACACGTCATCCAATTCTACTGGCCAAAGAGGTCCTGGTTGCGCCAGACGACGAGGATGGTCTGGGCGGGACGAGCACCATGCATTGCCATTTGAGTGGGAGGCAGGTGGAGGAATGGGGCTGGAACGAGAGAGGTCTGGAGAGGAAACCCGACGAGTGGTTCTGGACCAAGAAACGCTGGGAGGAGCATAGGAGAGGTCTGCATAAGCCTAGTTCTTACACTTCCGAGAATATCTTTGCTCCCGAGGCCCCACCCTCGAAGTCCCGAATCCAGAACAACCACGAAGACATGGACAGCTCCGAGATCCCGAGTCAAGGGACGGTCGGAGCAGTTTGCCTAGACTCATGGGGAAATCTGGCTGTCGCGACCTCGACCGGTGGCCTGACGAACAAGAAAGCCGGACGCATTGGTGATACACCGACAATTGGTGCTGGCTTCTGGGCAGAAGCCTGGGAAGAGCCCACCAGCTGTCCAGCTCGGCGCGACCACGATGCGGTACAACGGCAACTGTTCGAACACCGTAATCAACCAGTTCTGAACCAGGCGTGGGCAAAACTGGGCGAGCTGGTCGCATCATGTATGACTGTCCTAGGCCCCGACGTCAGATACCATCAACTGAACAAGGCATCTCCCGCGGCGGCGACTTCGTATCCCCAATCCTATCACTCGCCATTCTCTCCCGCAGACTTCTCAGCTCGCAGAAAACGAAAACGCCGTCGAGCGGTAGCCATGTCAGGGACCGGCAACGGCGACTCCTTCCTCCGCACCAACGCCGTACGCACTGCCGCGGCAATGTGTCGCTATTCCCCTGCTACATCTCTTTCGGACGCGGTGACTGCGATTACTGGACCAGGCGGCGAGTTGCAATCCTCTGCTGGCGATCGATGGGGACGAACAGGTGAAGGCCAGGGCGGGATCATCGGGATCGAGGTCATCAATGATGAATTTGATTTTGACAATGAACGGTGCAGATATAGTGCCAGCCCAGAGAGCATCTACTGCGCTACCACCAATGGTGGCAAGACGACTCCAAAGAAGAAAATGGGCAGGGCGGTTTTTGACTTCAACTGCGGTGGGCTCTTCAGAGCTTATTATGAACATCAGGAACGGGAACGGGAAGAGAAGCCTAAAGTGATGGTCTTTAAAGATGAATACTGATTGACATCCCGCACTGGGATAATTACACAGATAGAGGTCGCACAGTGCGTATCAGGAGACTTCATAGAAGCTAGTGCATAGATCCCGACGACATAAAGGTAAATCGATCATTTTTGACCCGTTTTGCGATCTATGCCCCAGCGACGACGGAAGATGGCCTCGAGGTTGCAACAGCGCATTCAACGGCTCGGATAGAAGGTAGTATTTGTGGCCCATGCCATACGAGCCTTTGTATACTCTAGGAGTGGCTCCAGCACTCTGCCTTTCGTCACTCCACTTTTGAGAGAGAATGACAATTCAAGGGGGAATCCGTTGCGAATTGTGTCACATGCCCAAGGATGCATGAGTGGGCAGGACAATCCCGATCGAGGATCTCGGGTCCGCTGCTGGCGTGGCGCCTCGTCAGGACCATGGCCATGGTCGAAAGGTAGAAGTCCGCTGCTGGGAAGGCGAATGTGCACGCTTAGCCATCAGACCAGCACACTCTCGGCATGACGAGTGACACGTGTATCCGATAGGGCAAAGCTCGTTCAGGTATCCTTGAGAAGTCCCTTTTGTCTCCGCAGACGGATATCGGTGGATGGCCACTTGTTGGGTGGAGGTCGTTTGAGAAATAGGGGCGCGGCGCTCCCAAGGTTGGCGGAAGGTTGTGTCAAGTTGGCTGGTTCCAATCTTGAATGCTGTTTAGTATTCCAACGTTTTCTTCATTGCATCGTATATTCCTTTAATTCAATTAGCACCTCATAAGCATACAAGCTTTCAAGTGAACTCACTCGTGATGTCTGGGATATAAAACTTCTCATATACCAAGCCGTGATGGGTACTCCAACTTGTAACCCTTGCCACAGGCGCTTCGAGTCGAAGAAAGGCTCCTTCCTGTATGCTCGCGGCCACCTCGGCCCCTACACCGGCATTGTACATGCTCTCATGGACAACGACCGCTCTGCCTGTCTTTTTAGCGCTTTCCATAATCGTGGCACGGTCCCAAGGATAGATTGCTCTCAAGTCAATGAGCTCCACGCTCAGACCTTTGATCTCCTTCTCCAGAGCTTCGATCGCTGCAGAGCAGAGATACAGTGGCTGTCCATACGATATGACCGTAAGGTCCTTGCCCTTTTTGAGGACCTCGGCTTTGTCCAGTGGTAGGCTGTAGGGTTCACGAGGCACAAATTCCTCGGCGGCTCGATACAGAATCTTCGGCTCCAGGAAAATGACGGGGTCATTGCACTCGAGAATCGACGCGGTCAGAAGACCCTTGGCTTGCGAGGGTGACCGAGGCATAACGACCCGTAGCCCCGGGATGTGCGTGAACAAGGCCTCCGGGCTCTGGGAGTGGTATAGAGCACCGTGTCCAACACTGCCGCAGGGCATTCGGACGACCAGTCCTCCACAGTGTCCACCCGTGCTTCCCTCTCGGTAGCGCAGCTTGGCCGCTTCGTTGACGAGCTGGTCGAAGGCAGGGTAGACGTAGTCGGCAAATTGAATCTCAGCGACAGGCTTCATTCCCTCCGCCGCACAACCGATTGCAAAGCCCACAATGCCTTGTTCGGTCAAAGGCGTGTTGAACACTCGCGCCGCGCCGAACTCGTCGGCTAGCCCCTTGGAACATCGAAATACACCTCCAAATGCCACGTCTTCGCCGAACAGAAGCACGCTCTCGTCGCTTTTCAGGGCATGGTGCAGCGTTGTGTTGATTGCACCGTGCAGGTTCACCCAGTCGACGGGGGCGTCCTGAGCCAGGCCGAACGCTGTCCGGGCACTGTTCTGTGACTGATGTAAGATCGCCGTCTTCTTGAAATCGATGGGCTTGTTTAGACGGGCTCCGGCGGATGCTTGACTCGCCGAGCGACGCTGGAGCGAGGAGTTGAGCAGTCTCGAGACCACAGTACTCCTCCGGCAGCTGAACATGGCTACCTAAACAGGACTTTTCGCCGCGAAGACATTGAAGAGGCAGACGGCGAAGAGGTGGACGACGCCCAGGTATTTGAAGGGGTTCTATTGTGCTAGCCGAGGATAAGCGAGACCTAGCAGGCCGGAAAGTTGATGCGGGTCAAGTTTGCCGCAGCCGAAATCAGTCACGTGCCGCTCGTGACTGGCTCTCAACGTACAGTTAATCTGGTGGAGCAGAGAGCTCAGAAGAGCGAATCCTTTACTGTGGAGTACAGAGCATCATCGTCAACTCTTGGTCATCCTCACTTGTCGCGTCCCGCAACAGCAGAACACATTCAGGACGTAGCACAGAATCGGGAGCCATACCGAGAGCGACGTACTCACCTTCGCGCCCACAAAGATGATCTTACGACGATTATGCAGAATGCTCGGAGTCTGCAACGAGATGACAGCCGTATAATCATCCATTTCGACTACGATTGCTTCTATGCTTCCGTGGTCGAGAACGAGAATCCTGCCCTCAAGTCGGTACCGCTCGCGATCCAGCAGAAACAGATCGTGGTAACATGCAACTATGAGGCCCGGCGGCGGGGCCTGCGAAAACTACAACTCATAACCGAAGCTAAAAGAGTCTGTCCCGATGCCGTGATCGTCCTTGGTGAGGATTTGACTCGATTCCGCGATGCATCCAAGGAACTGTACGGCTTTCTCCAGCGGTCCGTATGGAGTGGCAGGGCAGAGCGCCTCGGATTTGACGAAGTGTGGTAGGTGCGATATTGTGCAGGTCGTGTTTGGTCTGCTTACCTGGTCGCAGGCTGGATTGTACGGACATGGTCGACTACAATGTAGGTCTACTCAACCAAAACGACCTCACCCACTCCTTCTTCTGCCTAGCCAGAGATGACCCTACGGTTGGATTCGATTACGACGCTTCGACGGTCTTCGGCCCCACGTTTCCCGCTCACGCGTTCCAACGTGCATCGTGCACTGAGGAGGAGGCACAATTGAGGCAACGCTTGGTCGTCGGCTCCCATCTGGCCAGGCATCTCCGTCATGAGTTGGAAAGCCAGAAAGGCTACACCTCTACTGTTGGCATCGCTACGAACAAGTTATTGGCGAAATTGGTTGGCAACGTGAACAAGCCCAAAAGCCAGACTACAATCCTGCCGCCATACCGACCTGTCGGCCATGTGGATGCGACCGTTACCCAGTTCCTTGACAAGCATGACATTGGCAAAATCCCAGGCATTGGTTTCAAACTTGCGCAAAAGATCAGAACGTGCGTGTTGGGTCGCCAGCTGGGACTTCCTCAGCCGTACACTTGTGGAGATGCGAAATATTCGGTAACTGTCCAGGACGTCCGTAGTCATTCTGGCATGGGACCCGAGATGCTCGAAGAGATCCTTGGCGGTGCGGGATCGCCTAGGGGCATCGGCGGAAAAGTGTGGGAGTTGATTCACGGTATTGACGACAGTGAAGTTGGTAAAGTCAAGCGCGTTCCGTCACAGATCAGTCAGGAGGACTCGTACCCGAGATACTTGGTTACATTCGCAGAGGTGAAGAAGCAGCTGCACACCCTGAGCGAAAGACTTATCCGTCGGATGCGCATGGACCTTCTAGAGGACGAGGAAGGGGAAGGGGAAGAAGAGTTCCGTCCACGCGAAGCTGGCCCACGACGTCGGTGGATGGCACACCCGCGAACCATCAGGCTATCAACGAGGGCTCGTCCAGCAACTGCACCAGATGGTGCTCGACAGAGGATGTCTAACCGGATCTCGCGGTCGGCGCCTATGCCCAACCTGGTCTTCAGCCTCGTTGAGGAGCCTTCCATTCTCGCTGACCGCTTGGTAGAGGAGACTTTGGTGCCGATGTTCCGCAAATTGCACCATGAGAAAGCTGGATGGAACCTTAACCTGATCAATGTCGCGGTGACCAACATGGCCGAGACTGCAGCGGAAAGCAAAGACAGCCAAGGCAGGGATATTGGGAGGATGTTCCGGCGCCAGGACGAGGTGCTGAAAGATTTCAGAGTCACCGTCGATTCAGAAGGAGATGACGGGACCGGGTCTCTCTCGCCGAGAGGCGAACATCTGGATCCCGAGATACCAGACTCGATCCGGAACGCACCCAAAGCTGATTGCTTGGCTACGGATGATTGGGACTTCGAGGGCGACGACGGTCAACAGGCCGACCGCTGCGAGTATTGTCACTACGAAGTTCCTTCATTCGCATTGGCGGCTCATCGGAGATATCATGAATTGGGTACTTGAAAGCTATGTATCTTTTCAGCTTGACAGGGAACATCCAGACGCCTTGGTCTGTGACCCACAGTAGAGATGCATACAGAGTAGAGCGCACGACATCGCAGGTTTTAGGTAAACCCCACGATATGGACCATAGAGTTGGGCCCATTATCAGCCACGATTCAATAATGCTGTCTCGACATATGAGATACTTAGATACCTGGGCAAGGTCGGGTACTACTCGGCCCGGATCCAGAGTAACAATACAGAGTGAATTACTCGAAGAGGCCTAGCCCCGAGCTGGATGGATCTCACTTCAGCTGCGCTGAGTCGCTGACACTTGACTCTCCAAATACTAGTACGTACTTACTCCAGCAACCTATTTTCATCCATCCCTCAATCCATCCATCCTTCGTCTACTTTGTACACGCGCATCCTTCGTTGACCCCATCTTACCTTCTGCCCCAATCGCGTCACCTCCAACATTGACCTTCTGGCCTGGCGTCTCAACCATCTCGTCAACCCCTGCAATATGCTGCCATCCCCTATCCCGCCATGTGCCTCTAGCCGGGCAAGCCACTGCTGAAAATAGAACTATCGGCGGTTACAGCCTGCGATGCGGTTCACATCTGGCCTCACCTTCTTTAGCTTCACCCTGGATCGCTCCCTCGTATCTTATTGCTCACCAAAGCAGATTGTCCTACGCTAGTGGTCTTCCGCTACCCCAGCTCTTTCAATCTGGTACGAGACACGCCCTCTCCCTCCCTCTGGGACCAGCCACGAGTGGCCAGTATCATTGCAAAATGGGAACTCCGCTGCTCCTAAAGTAAGAAGTGATATATTCGAAGCCTGCCCGATATAGATAATGGGGCGGCAAAGACATGTTCTCTGGCGTCTATCCGGGTGACACGGTTGGCACCGTCGTCAACATCAGCTTTACAGCTCCGTCAGGTTTGAGCAGGGCTCCCTACTATTGTCTTGTTATTTCCGCGTCTCCCCAACCTCACATCTCGGCGGGATCGATGTTGGCTTGATTACTTTATAGTGGACCTTGGGACCACGTTGGCTTGTTGCAAGAGGTTTGACGAGGAAGGCCAGTGTCTATTTGAAGGTGGACTCATTCCCTTCTGTGCTTATGCGGCCCCGCGAATGGACACAACATTACGGACGCTCCTTTCCGTGGACTTGCCTCAAAGACCGGATCGGCTTCACAAGCATTGAAAGACTCTTGAAGTGGACCATCCATGAGTTTTCCCTGCAATAGGAAGGGAACGATTGCTGTCATCAAAGTTGTGCTCGACACAGATCACGACCATGCTTGTCAGAGCAATGTGCCCCTCTCCGACGCCCTACCTTCAGTCTCCACCAGTCCTGGACAGCACGCTGTCTGCCTGTTCTCGAGAAAGTGTCCAGTCCTTGGGTACCATGGCTGCAGGTAACAGGCCAAAGTTGTCTCTGAAGACTTCAGGTCTTACGGTCAACTATAATGCGAGCACCACCAGTCGGATTTCAGTCAATACGGGTGTGACCATGACGCCGACTAGTTCGAATACTTTTGCCAACACTTTCGACCTTGTCTACCGCCCATCGCCGGTCTCTACGATTTCGTCGCCAGCAACAGTGACGCAGCGGAAACCGGCGGGCCATCCTCTGTCTGCCACAGCGAGATCCCCAGGGCAACCATATAGCCTCAATCTACCGTTCGGGTTGCAATCAATCTTGAAGAACAGTCCTCTACCCAAGGATATTCGTCGACCATCCGCCTGTTCGGCTGATGCGTCCACTCGAATCTCAGGGAGGCGTGTCTTCTTTCCGCCGACAAAGAAGGTGACGTTCCGGGTGATCCTGGAGGAGGAAATCGTCACAACGGAATATGTGAAATGCCATGCAGACCTGAGCTCGTCCGATGACGAGTCATCTTCGTCTGAGCTTGAGGAGGAGAGCAGCACTCCCTTAGGAGATGGCAACAAAGGCTTTAGGGAGACCCAGGTTCGAGTAGATGAATACACTGGACGTGGGAGGCGGAAGAGAAAGTCTGTAACTTCTTCTGAAGCCGATGAGGGGGACTGGACACGAGGGAGACGCAGTAGATCGAGAAGCACATCCGCCCGGAGGACAAAGCGGAAAAAGAGGAGGTGGGAATGGACCGCAGAGCTGGGTCCGCCCGTGGTTGACCTCGAAGTTGGAACAGAAGCCACGATTGTGGGAGTTCAAGCCGTCACGCATGGGCAGCCACCGGCATCTGATGTATCTGTAGAGAAAGCCGTACACCTGGATCAGGCAGCGACTCAATGAATGGCCATGACTGCAAATTCTTACATACCCACCTACCCAAGTGGTATTCTGATGCAATGAAATGCAAACAATCAGATATAACCATCCTGTGGTTGCTTGCATACCTCACAGCACTCTGTAATCTTGAGATGGTGCTGTATCGCTTTTACAGGTCCGTCTCGTGGGGCGAGGCGAAGACATGTCAAAGATAGATGTATCGTCCAGTGTCCACAAACGCCTCGTTGGTTGTTCACTCCATCATTATTACTCTCGGTCCATCTTGTCCGTATTCGACTTGCTCTGGCGCCGTCCCTAAAAACGTATATTCTTGGTACTAATGTTTGTTGCATCAAAAACCGACCTTAATACATAGTATAAGCATTAACAAAATAACATCAACCCTTCAGCCACCTCCACACCTCCAGGTGCATCTAATAAACTTGACAAATTCTTCCCCAGCGAATAACAATTATGTCACATCATCCCTCAGATGCCGAGCCACCTTATATAAACTTAATGAAGTGGCACCGCAAAATGATATAGGTACCTACCTGGTAGGCAAGCAGTCCGTAAGGTTGATACAACAGGCGTTCTCATCCAACGTAGGTGTACTACCGCCTATTGAGGTTGTGAAGGGCGCCCCTACCAAGATCTGGCGGTGTCACTTATTTTACAGGGTGGCTTGATGCTTCGGCCTCTGTATTTCCTCCCCCCTCGGCTGCAATGCTGCCACCACCTGTTCCGTCGTCGGCCGAAAGCAGCTCATTAAGATCAAGTCGCAAAAGGAAGCGAAGTGATGTGGAAAGTGCAGCTGCCTCTGGTACATCGTGCAGCTGGAGGCCTTTACTGGCGCTATACTCTACGTGACTTCTTCCCTGTCCATGCGGATAAGAGCTTCATACCGGGATTAGGTCCCTTCAAGGGGCCAGGAGAGTGGTCCGGCGCGCCGTTGGCCGCATTGACACGCGTCTTCCACATCATCGGCAACCCTACCATGGAGGGAATCCCCGAGCCTCAGCTAGAGCAGTTGTGGCAGCTGCGCAAGTTGTACGCTCGAAAAGTCACATCCACAGGTCTGCATGAATCTTCTCGACGCGAGCGAAGTGCAGAAGAAATCGCCTCAATGCGAAATGATGGCCAAACTCCAGCCAATACGCCCGCGACCGTCCCATCAGTGCCTACCTATTCAGGAGCAATGTCAAGAGATCGTGACCATAGGGACCACGATCCGATATCAGTGACTGGCGTGCGAGGCTCGAGCACCATGCAAGGAGGTCGGAAACCAGCAAGACTGAGGGATCCAGAAAGTGCCCAGCTCTTGAGGTTTGGACGTGGAGCTTCAACTGAGACCAATGTCCAGCGATATGTCACAATGATAATGTCCTAGCCAGTACCACTAGACCGACGTGGGTTATTTCTTGATCGCGATCAAGCCGGATCTTTTCTGGGGTATGCTAAATTGCTGCTAGGAGTTTGGCTTGTGATTGAGGAGCGTGCGATTTCACGGAGGACTTGTCCTATTACCACGGGGCCCTTCCTCAATCCTGCAAAGGGGCACACGACGCAGCCTAAGGGTGGGTGCCATAACAGATAGCGGTCATCTAACCCGGGTGGTACTGAGATGACCGCCTTCTGTTGGTTAGATGACCGCCATCTGTTATGGCACCCACCCTTAGCCTACCTCCAGACACCCGCAGGATTTTGTAGTTCTTGACCAGGAGGGCTTCGTTCAAGAGACGCGGGTGGATGGAAGGAAAGTGTGGGCAAGTTCCTCAAGCTCATAATCATTATTCTGGTGTGATTCCACAACTTGGACAGGGAGTACAGAGTATTTGTCCACGACCACTGCTTATGTAATTCTGTCTCTTTGCTGCCAGTCTTGTGGAAGGCTCGCATGCTCGCTGTCGCCAGCATCAAGCCAGTACTGACGAGACCGGCCTTTGCCGGAGACGCGAGGTCGATCTTGATCTTGATGACTGGGGAAGGACGGTTGGCGTCATAAGCTCCAACTGTGGTGGGCCGAACGGGCTTGACATCTCCATTTCTTGGTGCGTTTGTGGCTTGATGTCGAGATCTGATTGCAGTTAGCGGCGAGTCTGGTGGATGATTTTCATGGCACTGGCGTCACTCGGCTTTCTCTGTACAGAGTAGATCTTATCCGCCAGCGACTTGTATACCTGTGTGTCAGTCAATCAATCAATGTTGTCCAGTCGGGTGGGTGTTTATATGTGTATCTTGTGTGTGTGTGGCACCTTCGTGCAGTTGAGCAGTTGCTGATCTGGGCCCCGTTTTCTTTGAGGCACTGAAACGCAGTTCTCAAACAGTTGCACTGCAGTAAGTGATGAAAGCTGGCTGCGGTGGAACTGACACTTACGTCACTGGTACTTTCGAAGTCAAACAAGCTGCTGGCCTCTTCTTGCCGGACACTGGCATCCATCATCTCCCAGCTTCTCCTTAATGTCCAAGATTCTTTGCTTAAACCTTCTCTCCTAATCCTACTGATCCCATCTATTCTATCAGTACCTGCCTGTCTTTCCGTTTTTCTTTTGGTGCTGTTCATCTTAAAGGAGGTCGCCGTTGTAAACCGTGGTATGCGCTCGTGACGCCGTCCACTCCCCAATCGAAGCCCCTTCGAGCAGCTAGCAACGCCGTACCTCCCACACTGTGCCCATGGAGGCCCAGCAGCAGAAGTCGGGGAAGCCTTGGAGTGGCACGAACAAAATCCCAAACATCAAGGAATTTGTTGCACGACTCGACAAGGACAAGGCCGATCGAGACAAGGACATCGATTCACACACTCAGAACCAGCGCGCAGCCAATCCTAATGAAGCTACGCCTCACAAAAACGAGAAGCGCCATGAACATGGCAAAACTGTTACAGACCCGGTCACTGGCAACGAAATCGTCATCGCAGATGTGGGCAAGGAGTATATGGCGAGGGCAGACAATCCTCAGGTAAGGATTGGTGGCTCACTGTTGCAGCCTTCTTTTTCTAAACAGAAAACTGACAGCCTGGTAGCTTTCAGTTCCGAATGCCAACCTAGGCAAGCCTACGCCTGTTAAGACAGAGCACTCCCAGTCGAACCCGGAATACAAAGAGAAGCAAGACATCACAGCTCCTCCGGACCCGATCGCTGAAGGAAGCACCTCCGATGTCCCCATCCATGGCGAGAAGACCAATATCTTGTTCCACCCTACCCCTTCGGTCAGCTATGAACCGATGTTCGCAATGCTCGAGAAGCGGGCGGGTGGTCTTTGCATTGCCATTTTGGCCTCGGTTGTGGTTATTGGTAAGATGTTTGGCGGATCACTCAAGGGTCTGATACCCCTGGGAATGTGTCTTGCCTCCGGCGTTTGGCTATGGATGAAGGAGGTGGTGAGGAGTGGGCGAGAAGTCGAGTGGCACAGCGAGCAGACGAGAGGAGAAACGGTATGTCTCTTACTCTTATCGACACCTAGGAACTGCTAACATTCGCAGGCGGTCGCAAACCTCCTACCCGAATCAGTGGAGTGGATGAACACCTTCCTTGGCGTGGTCTGGGGCCTAATCAACCCGGACATGTTTGCGGGCGTGGCAGACACCTTGGAGGACGTCATGCAAGCGTCTGTTCCTGGCGTCATCAACAATGTCCGAGTCGCGGAAATCGATCAAGGAAACAATCCCATCCGAATTCTTAGCCTACGTGCACTACCCGACTCCAGAGTGGGCGATTTGAAACAGAGTATTCATGAGGAGAACAAGAAGACCAAAGACCCTCAAGAGGCTGCTGCCGACGAAGAAGGCGGTGACTATTACAACCTGGAGATTGCTTTCGCCTACCATGCCAAACCTGCCGGAGCAAGTGCTTCTTCAAAAGCGAGAAACATTCACATGAATCTTGTCTTCTACCTTGGCGTCAAAGGAGTTATCGGCGTACCGTTGCCCATCTTCGTCGAGCTCCAAGAGCTGATTGGAACGGTTCGCCTGCGGCTGCAGATGACCCCGGAACCACCTTTCGCCAAGAGCCTGACTTTCACTTTGATGGGCGTCCCTCATGTGCAGGCAGGCTGTATTCCGATGGTCAAGTACGGGGTTAACATCCTCAACCTGCCTCTGATCTCGAATTTTGTCAACTATGCCATCGGAGCAGCTGCCAGCATGTATGTTGCTCCAAAGTCGATGCAACTGGACCTGAAGTCGATGCTGCAAGGTGATGACATCACCAAGGACACTCAAGCGATTGGAGTCATGTGGATCCGGATTCATCGTGCCATCGGGCTCAGCAAGCAAGATCGCCGAGGCAGCAAATACGGCGGAAGCGATCCGTACATTAACTTGTCCTTCTCCAAGTATGGCAAGCCGATGTACTGTACTCGTGTCATCTGCGATGATCTTAACCCGGTCTTTGAGGAGACAGCTGCACTTTTGGTAACGCCGGAGCTGATCAAGGCCGACGAACAGCTCAGCGTTGAGCTATGGGATTCGGATCGCAATTCAGCCGATGACATGGTGGGTAAAGTTGAATTGTCGATGCAAAAGATGATTCAACATCCGGGTAAGATGTATCCTCAGATCTCCAAACTGGCTGGTGTGCAAGATGGCACAGAAATGCCCGGCGAGTTGCACTGGGAAGTTGGGTACTTTGGCAAACCTAAATTCCGCCCTGCCATGCGAACCGATGGTAAGGACAAGAACCTGCCCTTGAAACTGCAAGACAACGCCCAGTTTCAAGATGAAAAAGGCACGATTGACACTGAAGATTCGGATGCCGTGGCACACACACCTCCCGATCCTCTGTGGCCAAGCGGCATTTGCAGCGTGATTGTCCACCAGATTGTCAGTTTGGAACTTGAGAACATCAAAGGCAGTCAGGGTAACAGAAAGGGTAAAGAGTTTGAGCCGGCCAAACCATATGGTGAGGCCACCGAGGAGGAATCTATCAGTGAGTATGCCCAGCGATCCAGAGAGGAAGAATGTTTCTAACTGAAACAGGATTGCCGACCTCGTATTGTACCATTCTTTTCAATGACGCGCTTGTCTACCGTACCCGAGCCAAGGCCGTCAGCAGCAAGCCCATCTTCAACGCCGGCACAGAGCGATTCATGCGTGACTGGAGATCCGGGATGGTCACTGTCACTGTCCGTGATCAGCGGAATCGCGAGCATGACCCTATCCTGGGTGTGGTGCCTCTGCGTCTGTCCGACCTTCTCACCACGAGCTCGCAGGTGACGAGATGGTATCCACTTGACGGCGGCATTGGCTTTGGCCGCATCAGGATCTCAGTTCTCTTCCGAAGTGTGGAGCTCAAGCTTCCTCCGAACATGCTTGGTTGGGACGTTGGTACATTCGAGTTCATCTCGGACCAGATCGTGGCCAAAGGCTGGACGGCCAACACCAAGCTCAAGCTCCGTACCGGCGGTAGCACGGCCAAGGTTTCTCGGACGCAATGCCACAGCAGTGAAGAGGGTGATGGCGTCTACTGGGATGTGTCTCCGCAAAACAATCATCATGTACGCCTTCCGGTCAAGTACCGATATCGGTCGCCTGTCATTTTCGAGTTCCATGTAACGGGCAAACGTGGTGCAGCGGCGTACGCTTCGATCTGGTTACAGAACCTGGTTGACAATCAGGAAACCCCGATCGACATTCCCATCTGGAAGACGAAGAACGGAAGCCGGATTGTGCAGAACTACATCACAGCCGAGAATCTCCGTGCCTTCAAGGACCCGGGTCTAGAAGACCTGGAGGAGGTCGGAAGATTGCAATTCCGTGGTCGCTTCAAGGCAGGCATGGATGAATCGCACCGGGACTTTGTGGTGGATAATGACACGCGCGAGACATTCGAGACATGGGAAGCCTGCCTGACTGAGGGCGTTCGCGAGCGGGTGATCGAGGCGGAGGTGCCGGAAAGCGTTCAAAAATTGCACGAAGCTTCTTTGACTGAAGGTCGAGATGTGCTCAAGCAAGACGTTTCGGAGGATGAGCGAAGTAAGTGGCTGAGCAAATCGCCAGAACAATGGTCTGGCGCGTTCGGCCATGACCCGAGAGCATACACCAACAAGCAACATGAAAAGATTGCCGAGCCCGGTGTGGATGACCCTCCGCATGATCCTTACAACCCGTCAAGCGATGATGACGACGATGGGAACAGCGATTCGTCATCCGATCTGGGCATAACCGATGCCAGCAGCGCCCCGGATGGGGCAATGAGTGCCCATTCAATGACGACACGGTCGAACGGGACAGAGGAGACACATGACGAGGCTGGCCGTCCAAGCGCAGATACAACGATGACAACCGATACGAAGTACACCACCATGACTGAAGCTTCGACAGATTCCGTGCTTCCCGTGACCAAGAAGGACGCTAGATGGGACAAAAAGGCGGGGAAGCGAGCAGAAGATCGTAAACATCGCGGATTGTCGCAGTGGACGCCCGCGCGGAATGTCAAGTTCGCAAAGGATGAAGCGAAGATCGGAATGAGCAAAATCAAGAAGAGATTCGCCGGGGGCTTGGGCGGAAGAGAGCCTGGGGTCGAGACTGAAACAGGCGCCTAAGCAGGACAACGAATACCAGCCGACCCGGTGGATTAAGTGAGGTTCGATGGAGGAAGAGAACTCCGTAGGGCCGAGACAACAGTCCCAGTATGTACTTGTGTACTCTACAACTGATAGGTAATAACGACCTTATTGATCTTAGCGACCACTTTAATAGTTGTGGAATACGACTGATAAAAAACGAGATTACCTCAACGACTCTCACAGTGATGTGCGCATTGCGAGAGAATGATACCTATCGTGTCATGAACGTTTGAGGCTAACATACGAACAGAGGCTGAAGTCTTGTGAAACAGAGGAACAGTAGCAACGGGATCGACCCAGCATGCCCTGACTCAGTGAGTACTAGTACTCGTTATAAGCATTAATAATCACTCCGTACCCACCTGTACCCATCTGTACCCAGCGCGCCAGCAAGCCAGCACAGTGGTGGTAGCAGGGAGAGGCTATGGCCGGGGTTCCCGAGACGAGATGCTTCCCCTACTAGGAGGGCCCCAAGCCGGAAACCGGGACAAGAAAAGTTGAAAGGATCGTTGGTGATCCGGCCCTGCCTTGGACAAGGTGGATTCATTGGTCATGGAGGTTCAGTCTCTGTAGAGGAGTGTCCAGTGGCGGCCGGAGGATGGTGAGGCTGTGTAGTGGCGTTGTTCTGGGCAAAACTCCATCCTACCATCTAACGCACTGCAGTGCTAGCTGAGGAGATAGGTATGTTCTGTAACTTCTGTATACGGCGTAGACTGAGGACACAGCTTAGAGATTGTTCCCGTGTGCACCTAGATACCTGTAGTATCAACTATTCTGTATATTAGCTAAGTACGCGAGACCTTTGCTGAGAAGGGGCCTAAGGTATACCTGATAGAGGATTGTAAGTCAGAAACTGTTGCTGGGGCGGGCTTTAATGTTGTTATACTGCTGCTCTGTATTTACAGAGTACCGTTTAGGTGCACTGCAGGGCAATGCATTGGTGATGATCAAGTGGAAACCTTAATAAACTTAGCAGGGCCCAGAGGTGGACCAAGATTATCTTTCCACCAATGGTAGTCGAGAATCAATTGGGACTAGTATATTAGTGTGAGAGATGCTACTTTAGTAGCAACCGGCGGTCGCAGTTGGGCGTCTCGGAGTGGGACAGCTCTTGGCGACGTCGTCAACCTCCTCTCGGCGTTTAGTCAGTTCAGCCCCGAACTGGAGGCCAATTCCTTCTACAGCGGACGGCAGTGCAGCGCAAAGCCGCCAGACTGCAGCCGGCGCAGGTTCCAACTTCTGGTTGTCTTGCACTGGAAGGCAACCCTCCCTCCTTCACCGTCAGCATAAGTACCAGGTATCAACATCACCGACGACCATCTACTAGGTAGCGTTAGCATCTTGTACGGATACCGCCGACTGCTCAGCGCGTCTGCAAACTCCGCCTGGGCAGACGACAGCCGCTCGCTCTCTCTGATCTTCGTCTCACATTTCTCTTTTCCGCCATATCTCTCCAAGCGCTTCAGCATTGGCCGTCGTTCTCCTTTGTGGACGCTACATTCCGGACTACGTGCACTCTTCAGCCGTCCTAGGTCTGCAACAAGAGCGCTGGTTCACGAGGCTTCCGTGGAAAGAACAGGCCGACTAATACAAGGATTTGCCTGTGGCCGTTCGTTCATTCGATATACTCACTCAGCATCTTCATTTCTCATGCCACCCTCCTGACCTGTGTTCGTGACTACTTGTCTGCTCAGGCGCCATGCGCCTCTTCGAACATCTGGCTGTCGTGGTGGCATCATGGCTTCTCCTCACCTCTACAGTCGACGCCCACTCAAAATCGAGAAGCCCATTAAACTATCTGTCATTAATTGAACATCCTCGAATACACTCGCCCTCGCACAGGGTTAATGCCTACTCAAGTTTTGACCTCACCTTCGACCTGCACCAGAACTCCGAACATGTTAGACTCAGTCTCGAACCAAACCACGATATCCTTCATGAAGATTCATATATTGAGTTTCTCGACAAACATGGCAATGTCAAACACGCGGAAAAGATGGCACGCGAGGACCACAAAGTGTACCAGGGAAAGGCATTCGTGGTCGATGCGGACGGAGTGTCGGAGTATGTTGGGTGGGCTCGGATAGTGGTAAGACGAGACGGTGTACACCCTCTGTTCGAAGGCGCCTTTACGGTCAATGGCAACCACCACCACATTCAAATGAAGTCCAGTTATATGGCCACCAAGCACCTGATGGACCCGGACCTCGAGGATGACGATGACGAGTATATGGCTGTCTGGCGAGATTCCGACGTTAGTCGACAAACACATACCGAGCTGAAGCGCAGTGCTGGGCTGACCTGTGCCTCGGACAAGCTGGAGTTCAACTCGAATCCAGACCATCCAATCTTCCGAGACTTGACGCTCAAGCGTGACGTTGGCTACTGGGGGGCAGTGTCCTTTTCCAACCTGCTCGGAAAGCGCCAAAACATCGATGGCGGCGGCGCGGGGAATGGTAATTCAGCCGGTGTCAATCTCAGGTCGACGATTGGTAGCACGGCCGGCTGCCCTACAACCCGCAAGGTCGCCCTGCTCGGTGTGGCCACCGACTGTGGCTATACCGCCAGCTTCAACTCGACAGATAGCCTACGACAAAATGTCATCACCCAGGTCAACACTGCATCCGACCTTTACCAATCGACTTTCAACATCACTCTAGGACTGAGGAATCTGACCGTCTCGGAAGCCGAGTGTCCTGGCACCGCAAGCAGCCAAACTCCCTGGAACATCGGCTGCACTGGTAGCACTGACATGACCCAACGCCTGAACCTCTTCTCGCAATGGCGCGGGCAACGGGGCGATGACAATGCTTACTGGTCGCTCTTCACGACCTGCAACACTGGTGCAGAGGTTGGTCTTTCATGGCTGGGGCAACTATGCAACCATGGGTCCACCGACCAGCAAGACACCAACGGGACAACCCAAAGCGTTACGGGAGCCAACGTCGTTGCAAGGACTTCGACCGAGTGGCAAGTCTTTGCGCACGAAACCGGCCATACATTTGGCGCGGTGCATGATTGTGACTCGAGCACCTGTGCGGATGCCAACACAGTCAATTCCGGTCAATGCTGCCCACTGTCCGCCACCACATGCGATGCAAACGCTCAGTATATGATGAATCCTTATTCATCATCCGACATAACGAGATTTTCCCCTTGCTCCATTGGCAATATTTGCAGTGCTCTGGGTCGCAATTCTGTACAGTCGACCTGTCTCACAGATAACAAAGGAGTGGTCACTATCAGCGGTAATCAGTGCGGTAATGGTATTGTGGAAGAGGGCGAGGACTGCGACTGCGGTGGCGAAGAAGGCTGTGCCGGAAACTCTTGCTGCAATCCTACCACATGCAAGTTCAACGACGGCGCCGTATGCGACCCTGGGAACGAAGGGTGCTGCACGACTTCTTGCCAGTTTGCCAGCGCGGGAACTGTCTGCCGTGCAAGTACGAGCCAATGTGATCCTCAGGAGACCTGCTCGGGAACCAATGGTACTTGCCCCGCGGACACGACCGCACCCGACGGCACTGATTGTGGCAACGGTCTCGAATGTGCAAGCGGCCAATGCACCAGTCGTGATCTTCAGTGCCGAACGCTCATGGGTAGTTACACTTCCAACAACGATACCTACGCTTGCAACAGTCAGACCTGCACCCTGAGCTGTGCCAGCCCCGACTTTGGACCAAATGTCTGCTATAGTATGCAGCAGAACTTTTTGGACGGTACTCCCTGTGGTGGTGGTGGACACTGTCAGAACGGCGTTTGTCGTGGGAGCTCAGTGGGTGGCGAGGTCAAGTCGTGGATCGATGACCACAAAACCCTCGTGATTGCTCTGGCCAGTACAATCGGTGGGCTGATTCTTCTTGCCATCCTTGGCTGCTGCGTGCGGGCCTGCAGACGGCCCAGAGGCAAGAGATTGGGTGGGATGGTGCCGACAAGCCGGCCGAGAAGGAGAGCAGGACCTGGCAACCCATCGTCAGGATGGGACGGGCCACAGATTCCTCCGCAGATGAGAGATCGTGGGTACGGAGGTGCCTGGCAGTCGCCTCCAGTACAGATGCAACCCGCTCCCCCGAATGGTTGGTATCCTTCTCAACCGCCTCCGGCCTACGCTGGCTGGGGAGACGCTCCTCGAACGAACACTGTTAGGTACGCCTGAGTGGGCTGATATTTGGGGTTTCCGAGACCTATTAAAAAGAAGGCGTGAGCAGGATTGTACAGCCTCGACGCAGCATAATGCCAGGCCAAGATCATTGGGAATGCTCTTGGGATATGGGAGTACATTGCATGGGCGGCGTTGAGCTGATTGCTTTAACTCTTGCTACGACCGCCTTGACGACCAGATGGACATGATCCGCATGATAAATATGGAAGAATCGCAGTGTAGATTTGCGCTGTCTTTCAGCCTGCGTGTAAGAAACGAGACACTTGACATATAAGTCGGGTTGATGTCTACCTAGGGACTGCACATATATGCCTATATGCCTATATGTCTAGGTCTGTATGTGAGATGCGGTGGTCGTGGTGATATAGAAAAGGAGAAAAAGCCTCGACGTTTATTCGTCCCGCATTCGGCGCCCTTTAAACGCGATGTCATCATCTGCAAATCCGATCTCGCATCATTTCCTGCGTCTCTGACTGGCCAATTGATAGATATCGCACTCTTCCGCTGAGGAACTCTCATTTGGATACGAAGGCCGATGAGATAGAAGTAGCATGTTCGTGTCCCTGTTGACTCACGTTCCAGGTCTGCTGTCCTCATGAACCTGAGCTATTCGACAACCACAGCGGCCATCCGATCTGCGTCCCGTCACATCACGCGAGCCGAACTCCCCTCTTGCTCCAATCTGCCTTGGTTGAGTCGGTCCACGATCCATCGGCGTACCCTCTCCTCTCTCAGAATGTCCACCAAATATGCCCCGGCGCAGCGCGTCGCCAATCAAAAGCAGGATGTGTGGTCTATTATTAATGAGGCTGCCGCTGCCTCTCCCGTTCAGCCGATTGTGAACATGGGACAAGGGTTTTTGTGAGTACGCAGCATTGGCAAGGCACTTGTCCGGGCAGCGCACCAAGACATCCACGGCTAATGTGTTGGGCACAGTGGGTACAACCCTCCTCAATTCATCCTCGACGCGGCGAAAAGCGCCCTTGACCGGGTAGAGTGCAACCAATACTCACCGACGAAGGGAAGACCGAGGTTGAAGAAGGCTATCGCGGATGCGTACACCCCCTTCTTTGGGAGGAAGCTGGACCCGGAGACTGAAGTGACCATCACAACGGGAGCCAATGAAGGTTGGTTCCAGGGCAGCTTGAAATCAAAGACCAAGGACTAATAGACACAAAAGGCATGCTCAGCGCATTCATGGCCTTCATCGAGCCGGGCGACGAGGTCATCATCTTCGAACCTTTCTTCGACCAATACATCAGCAACATTGAGATGCCCGGCGGCGTGATCAGATACGTTCCGATGCACCCTCCGGCAGATGGCGCGGAAAGGACGTCCTCGGCCGCAAACTGGACCATCGACTTTGACGAGCTGGAAAAGGCCTTTAATGACAAGACGAAGATGATTGTGCTCAATTCGCCGCACAACCCCGTTGGCAAGGTGCTCAGCAAGGAAGAACTGACACGGATCGGCGAGCTCTGCCTCAAATATAAAGTCATCATTCTCTCGGACGAGGTCTACGATCGGTTATATTATGTCCCTTTCACTCGAATGGCGACTCTGTCTCCAGAACTGGCGCAGACCACTCTGACCGTGGGTTCGGCAGGCAAAAACTTCTACGCGACAGGGTGGCGGGTCGGATATCTGATCGGGCCTCCGAACCTGATCAAATACGTCGCCGCGGCTCACACCCGGATCTGCTATTCCAGTGTCTCTCCTCTGCAGGAAGCCGCCGCGATTGGCTTTGAGCAGGCCGACAAGGTCGGATTCTGGAATGCCGCGGTCAAAGAAATGAAGGGCAAGATGGATCGTTTCTGTCAGGTGTTTGACGAGCTCAACATCCCTTATTCCATTCCAGAAGGTGGCTATTTCGTGCTCGCCAATCTGTCCAAAGTGAAGTTGCCCGACGGTTACGACTTCCCCGACCATCTTAAGGACCGACCGAGGGATTTCAAGATGGCATGGTTCATCATCGTCGAACTAGGTGTGGCGGCCATTCCCCCTTCGGAGTTCTACACAGACGAGCGGGCACATTTGGCCGAGGATTGGATGCGGTTCGCCGTTTGCAAGAATGATGATGTGCTGGAGCACGCCAAGGAAAGACTGAGAGGGTTGAAGAAGTACATGCAATCGTGAACCACGCGTTGGACACCCAGCCACCGAAGAGATAGAACATCTCCTGTAGTCTGTCCTCCTCATCGTTGCAGCTACGATGCAGCGTGCTCGGCGCGGGCAGGGTGATTTCGTGAGTAGAATAGGACAAGGTAAATACAGTATCTTCTGCTACCTACATCCCGCCTATCCTGAATTTGCTCCAGTACAGCACAAGTATTGGGTCTTCTGACGGTCGCAGCTCGGAGGGATCTCGATGATCAAAAGACCGGCCGGAAGCCATCCGTCACATTGCAGTCGCCGTTTTGCTCCGGGATCAGACACAAGTCGAATGTCAAGAAAATGCCATGCAACCGAATGTACGTTCTCATGCGACAACTGTCGCTTCTGGTCAGTGCAGGACAAACGTGATTGGTACATGGTGATATGGTCAGGCTTATCTATATTGGGTATTCCACACCTACACATATCTGATGTTACAAGACTTGCGCATGCCAGATAGCAGATCGCAAAACAGATGTCAGTCTGGACCGATGACTGCCGTCGGGGTTCAGGGAGGATGCCGAGCCTTTGTATTGCGACGTAGGGGCCCTTCATGCGTCAATCCTAGTCCCCGGTTGGAGACAAAAATGGTATGGGCGAACATCACGGTAACAGCAATTCCTGACTTCAGGTAGTTGTCGAATGAAACCCCGGGCATCAACCGTTGATAGCCATGGATATCCAATAGGGCAACTGCAACGTGTACGAAATGACGGTTATGGCACCTTTGATAAGGTCGACCAGGAGGACCAGCCAAGCCTGGTTGATTCGTCTAGGGAGGTCGGCAGAGGATAGGAGTCCTTTCGAAGCCTTTATCAAGATACCACAGAAGTAACGTTACCAACCCTAGTGGCATGGAAGCAACCGAATGGCTGGACAAGAACTGCTCGTCGCCTCCAAGCAGCAGCATCCCAGAAACTAGTAGGGGGCTTCAGCCTTGGTGTCTCTTGGCCGTTCTTGGCCCGCTCCGCGCTGCGGACGCTACTATTGGACCAGGCTCGCGTCAGTGTTCGTGTAACAGACCGGAGGGGCAAGGGGACCCCCAACAACATCATCCTCCGCGCAGTGCATCCAACTGGACGATAGCAGCAAGAACCAGTGCTTGACTGATATCCCGGTCAGGCCATCAGCGGTGGTTATGAGGTCAGGTAAGTCAGTGGTAGGAGAGTATGCTCCGTGCAACTTCAGGGTTGCACTGGGGATCATGTCGCCCATCCACTCCATGCTTGTCGTCCCTACATGTATACGACGTTCCCTTGACCAGCGCTGGTGAGCATCTTTTTGATTCTCTCTCTTTATTCTATTCTGTCTTTGCCGCTCTTTCTCCACTGGAATACCCTCTGATCAGGAGCACCATGTCTTCTGGCGCTGCGAACCTCGAGTCGGGGGAGATAGCCAAGGCTGGAGTCCCCGCCCTCGAGAAAGGGTACGTTGACGAGAAACAACCTCAGGAGTACGACAAGGAAGGAGCCCTTCACCCCTCTGACTCCGAGATCTCGTCTGATCTCCTGGTGGGGCCCAATGGAGAACAGTACCCCAGCGAAGAGGAGTGGAAAACGCTGAGGCGCACACAAGGACATGTCCCGTGGATCATATACACCATCGGCCTTGTCGAACTGTGCGAGAGATTCGCCTACTACGGCACAATCGTCGTGTGTGAGTTCGACCCAGACTTCTATAGGAAGGAGGGATGTTGTGTTGCTAACGCCAGAGGATTCCAGTCAACAACTACATCAACTGGCCGTTACCGCCCGGTTCGAAGACTGGAGAGGCCGGAACTGATGGCCAGGCGGGTGCCTTGGGTTACGGAACGCAAGCGGCGACAGGACTGACTCTGTTCAACTCTTTTTGGTCATACCTGATGCCCATGGTCGGCGGCTACTTGGCAGACACTTACTGGGGTCGATACAAGACCATCAACGTCGCCATCGGAATCGCCACCTTTGGACATATCATCATCTTGATCTCGGCCATCCCAGGGGTTATTGAGCACTCGGACGTTGCCATTGGCGTTTTCTGTCTCGGATTGATCTTCTTTGGCATGGGTGTCGGCTTCTTCAAGTGCAATATCTCCCCGCTCGTCGCTGAACAGTATGAAGACAAACATCCAAGGGCTGTGGTAATCACCGAGAAGAGTGGTGAAAGAGTAAGTTTCTGACTGTTCGAACATTCTGTGACATTCACTTCTCTTGTCAACAGTTTCCCCGCTGGCTGTTGCTGACACAAGGTTTTAGGTCATTCATGACCCAGTCATGACAATCTCACGTATCTATGTACGGTACTACTTCATGATTAACGTTGGTGCTCTCGCAGGGCAGATCAGTATGGGACCCCATTCCTCCTTGGTGTCTATATCTCAATACTAACGCGCTGAATCTAGGTATGGTTTACGCGGTTCGTTTAACCTTTTCCTTTCCTGCTCTCTGCTCCCGAGAGGCAATGTTTCTCATTGAAATAAGCCTTGCGGGGATGCAGTGTACCTTTAAATGGCACGCTGTTAAATTGGAAGGCTTTGTCAGACTAACATTTGAACTTTTTCTGTTTTTTTAGGAGAAATACGTTGGTTTTTGGCTCGCCTATCTCCTACCGACCATCCTGTTCCTCCTCACGCCTCTCATCATGATCTGGTGCCGACACCGGTACGTAAGACGACCACCGACAGGCTCAGTCTTCTCCAAGAGCACGCATCTGGTTATTTTCGCCCTGAAACGCAATGGGTCTTGGAACCCCAAGACGCTGATCAGGCGAATGCGCTCCGATGAGTTCTGGAACAGCGTGAAGCCAAGCAACGTGGCCTCGAAACCATCCTGGATGACATTCGATGATGCGTGGGTCGACGAGGTCCGCCGAGGCATTTCAGCCTGTGCCGTCTTCACCTTCCTGCCCATCTACTGGCTGTCGTACTCGCAGATGACCAACAACCTGGTGACCCAGGCGGGAACCATGAAACTGAACGGACTGCCCAACGACCTGGTGCAGAACCTTGACCCAATTGCGCTGCTGATCTTCATCCCCATCTGCGACAAGCTGGTCTACCCTGCGCTCCTGCGGGCGGGCATCAAGTTCACCCCGATCAAGAAGATCACGGTGGGCTTCGGCATAGGGGCTATTTCGATGATGGTGGCCGCGATCATCCAGCATTACATTTATGTCAAGTCTCCTTGCGGCAATCACGCCACTGACGGCGACTGTATCGCCGAGCTCGGGCCGCCGGATATGTCGGTCTGGATCCAGACGCCGGCGTACGTGCTGATTGCCCTCGCCGAGATCTTCACGTCCATCACGGGCCTAGAGTACGCTTTCACCAAGGCGCCCAAGAACATGCGATCCTTCATCACCGGCATCTTCTGGTTCACCAACGCCTTCTCCAGCGCTATCGGTCAAGCTTTCGTCCCCTTGGCCAAAGACCCTCTGTTCATCTGGCTGTACACTATCATCGCCTGTCTCAGCTTTGTCGCCATGTTTCTGTTCTGGTATACTTTCAAAGAGCTGGATGCTGAAGAAGACGCTCTCAACGCCCTCCCGGAAAGTACCTACCAGGGGAGAAGGAGCAGTGTTGTCGACGTCGAGGCTTTGAGGCAGAGGCAGATCGAACAAGACAGAATTCGGAAAGCCCAGGGCCTTACAATTGGAACCGGGAACTCTTCTCAGAAGTGAATGGTAGCCTTGCAAGTGACTGGTCGAAAATGGTTGCGTGGTAGTCACAAGAGGTGAAGACAAGGTACGATGACTGCGCCTGCTTCGATACAGATCATCGATGCGCCCCTAGGTGCGTTCGACGGATAATGATCCCTATGTCGATAGGTAGAAGGCCGAGAAAGAACACGGGTTGCTCCAGTAGATAGAAGTACAGGTCAGAAGCATGCTGGTAGGTAAGCATACTATTATTTCCTCGTGGAGGACCGTGTGTGCACAGTGCGGTCAAGATCTAAGAACATGTCAGTGCTAAAAAAGGGGCACCTCAGCCTCGTCGCGGGGTTTGATCAAGGTTATAAGCTTAAGTGGCGGGGCGGCGGCAGCCTGACGCGTAAAGTGTCGTGGCGCGTGCTGTATCATGATATATTATTTCTCTATACTATACGCACCCAGTAGATAAAGTGACGCTCGACATCAACACATCACCCTCTCCATCCCACCCTTGGCCTGCCGTATCCGTGTCAAGCTGTGAGCAGTCTTGCAATATACGTCGACCTTTCTCCCTGGCTGCGCACAGTCCCCTTTAGCATGGAGGCGTCAAGATGGTCAATTGTCCTATCTGCGGCAAGGCGGTGAGCGCAGCCAATATCAACGCCCATCTCGACTCGGATTGCGTCGAGCACGTTGAGGACACGAATGTCACCGACAACAACAACACCCACACTACTACCAATCACAACGAAAATGCGAACGGATATCCCAGCGGAAATGTATCCTCACCGGCCGTCGCCCCGCTGTTCAAGACACCCGGCGCCAGCACGAGGCGCGACGGCGCAGGACCTTCGTCATTTGCGTCCTTCTTCTCCTCGTCCCAGCCTGTACCGCTACAGTCGCCGAGCGAACATCGAGCATCAACACCAGCGGTGAAACGATCGTTTGATCATGCCTCGTCAGCGCAAGCGAATAGCAATGGTCAGACGAAACGAGGGTTCGACTTCTCATCGACACAGCCTGCCGGCCAGACATCGACGAAGCGGACGTTAGAATTCCCATCGACGCAAAAGCAGACGTTGATCGGCCCATCAATACAGTCCAATTCCAACGGACATACTACGCAAGTGAAGAGGGAGGACGACAAAGATACCCAGCATAACGATGGCCAATCTAGCAATGGAGCGGCTGTTCATGAACAACCTCCCAACAAGAGACCCAAAACGAAACCCCCCAACGCCTTCGAAAAGGTCGCACCGCTAGCCGAGCGCATGCGCCCCAAGACCCTCGACGACGTATGCGGCCAGGACCTGGTCGGCGCGAACGGCGTGTTGCGAGGCCTGATCGAGCAGGACCGGGTGCCGAGCATGATTCTCTGGGGCGGCGCGGGGACGGGCAAAACGACGATCGCGCGGGTCATCGCCAGCATGGTCGGCAGCCGCTTCGTCGAGATCAACAGCACCAGCAGCGGCGTGGCAGAAGTGAAGAAGATCTTTGCGGAAGCGCGCAACGAGTTGGCCCTCACAGGTCGCAAAACCATCATCTTCTGCGACGAGATCCACCGCTTCTCCAAGTCGCAGCAGGACGTGTTCCTGGGTCCCGTCGAGGCCGGCCACGTCACGCTGATCGGCGCGACGACCGAGAACCCGTCGTTCAAGGTCCAGAACGCGCTCCTGTCGCGCTGTCGCACATTCACTCTCCAGAAACTCGGCGACGCGGACATCTGCCATATCCTCACGCGCGCCCTCGAGACGGAACAGGAAACATACAACCCGTCCCCGGCACTAGTGAATGACGAACTGATTAGATATCTCGCCGCGTTCGCCGACGGCGATGCCCGAACGGGTCTCAACCTGCTCGAACTGGCAATGACGCTGTCGCGCCATCCGGGGATGACCACGCCGCAGCTCAAACAGGCATTGACCAAGACCCTGGTGTATGACCGCGCGGGCGACCAGCACTACGACACCATTTCTGCGTTCCACAAGGCCGTGCGCGGCTCCGACCCGGACGCGGCACTCTACTATCTCGCGCGCATGATCCAGTCCGGCGAAGACGCGCTGTACATTGCGCGCCGCATGGTCGTTATCGCCTCGGAGGACGTCGGGCTCGCGGACCCGAGTCTGCTCCCGCTCGCGACCGCCGCGTACACGGCCGCCGAGAAGATCGGCATGCCCGAAGCCCGCATCAACCTGGCCCACGTGGCTGTCGCGTTGTGTCTGGCGCCGAAATCCACCCGCGTCTACCGCAGCTTGAATAATGCCATGCATGCCGTCCAGCAGGAGCCGGGCGTCGCGGGCCTGCCCATCCCAATCCATCTCCGGAATGCGCCGACCAGGCTCATGAAGGAGCTCGGGTATGGAAGGGAATATAAATATAATCCGAAATATGTCGGCGGGAAGGTCGTGCAGGAATATTTGCCCGATGCGCTGAAGGGCCGCAAGTTCTTCGAGGACGGCGATTTCGGAGACATGGTCGATGAAGATCTGGTCAGGCAGGAACAGGAAGAACAAAACGGAGAACCTGGTGTTGACCACAGTGCTGGCGTCGATGGGAGGAGTGTAAAGAATAATCATGCTGGTAACAGTGATGGAGTCGACGCTGATGTTGTTGGTGATGGTGCTGATGTTGGTCAGCTGGATTCACCACCAGTGTGATGTCCAGCCAACCGTGTCGAGACAGATCAAGTCAAGCATTGGATACGGAAAGACTGATGGACCAAATGTTGGATACATGGGCCAGCCGAATTCCAACGACATGACGACCAAAAACATTACAATACATAGCCTATTCGGTGGCCGCATATAAGAAGATAGACGGTTTAATTGATGGATTACGAAGAAGGCACAGGATTCTCGGGATGTTCGATGCTACTTTTCTCAGACTGGGTGAATCATGTGGGAAATGACATGACGCCAAAAGCGCTGTAGTCAGGGTACAATCATTGGATAAGGTATGAGAAGGACAAAGTGTCGATGTTGAGACAGGGCGACGCTCTGCCTTTGTTACCGTCAATGAAAGAGAAGGTCGCACCATGAGCAATGAGATCAGGTCACTTGGTTTCACCGACTTGAAAGTCGGACCAACTCATGTTGCCCATATTCTACCACCTCCGGGAACAAGACTCTCGACGCGACAATGCCTCGATGTCTCTGCCACTACATCCCCATTCAGTCTGCTCCCAATGTTGTCGGGGTGGATACCAAGGACACACAGCGAAGCAAGACATCTTGACGCTTGGACAGATTCGCGTCAAAAGCCGAGCTGGAGTCATCCAGCCCTCCCTGTTCCTCCACGATCCCGACATAGACGTCGGAGGGTGATCCAGTAGCGCCTCGGTCCTCCTATTGCTTCCTCTTTCCTTCATCTGGATTTACACCCTAATTCCCCAAGGATATTCCCGGCAGAGGGGGGAGCCCTCGAATCTCTTCATCGCTCCAGCCAGCAGCATGGAGTGCATCTAGACCATCTTCAAAATACGTCTGCTCCGCTTCAGAAACAGTTAAAAGGCGGTCGATCTGACCTGTCATCAGGGTGTATCGCGGGGTTGGTCCGACTCCAATGTAAGGAAAGCGATGCCTATGCTCAATGTAAGGAAAGCGATGCCTATGCTTAGGCTTTCCGATAGTAGGAAAGTAACAAGCCTCGTCTTCTAGCCATGTGTCAAGGAAGTGTCTAGGTATCACGCGCCATGGTTCTTTAGGACCGAGGACAATAATCTGCTTGGAGCTGCCTGTGGCTCCAACCTCGCTCAACAAATGGCACAGAGTCTCCTTCCATATGCTCATTGCCAGAAGTTCCCGAGCGGTCCATTCGCAAATGATGACTCGGTCATATTGCTGCGACATCGGAGGCCGACGATTCGAGAACCACCAATCTGCCTCAGGTTGCGAAATATGGTAGGGTAGAGGAAGGGTGGGGTCCGCGCCGGCTTGCAGACATACCTTCAGGGCATGCCCCCATAGCGCAACGTCGTCCTTTCCGGTGGACGCGTATGGCAACATGCGCAGGATGCGACGCCAGATGGTATAGGTATGATCCACCCATGATGAGCAGACATTCGGACCCATTGTTCCGTTCACATCGGCTCCAAGATTGACCAAAAGAGACACTGTTTGAGCAGTCTCCCGCGAAGGTTGGGAACAGACCTTCAAATAACGTCGAAGCAGCCCGGTCAGATAACCGGTGTTATGTCGCATGCTGGAGCCCTCGAGTTTGTGCTTCGTGTAGCACACATGGTTCATATCCAAGAACGCTGCCGTGTAATCAACTTCCTTTGTATGTTGGTCGACAGGCCACTTATCTCGGAAGCCAATTGTATCAGAAGATGCCAACGAAAGAATCGTCTCACAGACTGCCTCCAATTGTGACAGCATTTCAACGGAGTCATCCTCTTCGAACGGGAATCTATACACGTCGAACATATTACGTAGGCCCCGGGGCGTCGGATCGCAAATCAGAACCAAGGCCAGAACCAAATTGCATCGGAAGAATATCTTGAGTAAGTCTTCTTCGCACATTGGCTGAGCCTCGAGTAATTGCTGACCTTAAGGCGTGCGTAGCCATTCATGTGCCGTCCGATGCATGAACGAAACCCTGAATGTGCGATAACTCTTTCGAAGCTCGAGCAGTCTGTTGAGCGTTGCAGGACATCGCCCGACAGCACTCTTTTGCAGAGTAGATAGGTGTTTCTTGTCGTAATGCTCTTCAATAATATGGTCCTCATGGACCTCCAAAAACCCGGCACAACATGCCAACAATCTCTTTCGAGATCTCTCGAGGTCGATACTTCCTCCCAGATCCTCGACTTTCAGACTGTCTAAATTGTCTAGATACCGACGCTGCAGATTCTCATCACCCGCGATCGCATATACAACTAGAGTCTCATCAAGGTATCTCTGGGCGAGCCGAAGATAAAGCACGGCCTCTTTGGCGTAGAGCGGATGATCTGCTTCCATTCTCCTCCACATGTGGGCATAGAGATTGAAGATACCTTCCGGGATCTGCTCAAGACGAGATGACAGTGTCCGCCAATCATCCCCGTTCCTGACACCCCGCAGGAGCGAGTGAATGGCTAAGCGAACCCAGAGAAATACTCCATCAGCTTTGGCGACAACACGTTTGACCAAGTCAGCAGTCTCATTGGGGTATGACTGATGTAGGAATTGTGTTTCTGGGTCGTGTATCAGATTGTCCTCGACGTATCTCACGATGTCGGGTTCGGTCAGATCCTGCAGCCTTAGCTTAGGACAGGTGCGGTATAGTCTCTCGATTGCCGTGGAAGGTCGACTGGAAATGCATATCTTGACGCCAGTCTTACCGCGGAGAATGGCGAGGATCTCTGTGATGGCACTGAAGTCTTCCTGCAGCGCTGGAAACTCATCCAGTCCGTCGAGAAAGAAACATAACCGGCTGGGCACCGCCTGGATCACCAAGGAAAGGAGATGTAGAAGTTGCTTTCTTGTCCAGATTGTGGGTGTGTCCACAGCTACCTTTTGCCGGATCAAGTCCGACCAAATTCGGGGTCTGGCTGTCCGGTCAAGCGACGTGAGCATCTGCCAAATCAATGATCGTAGGAGCCCGATTTCATTCTTCTGTAGGTCAACCCCGGCTTCCCAGAAGAAAAAGGTCAAAAGGAGTACGGGAAGGTCGGACGACCGCAGCAAAAGTGCAGCTTTCGTCCTGTCATCTTGTACGATAAAGTTCATCAAAGTCGACTTTCCAGAACCAGGTTTACCGAGAATCCAATATAGCTGACTGTCATTTTGTGCCCAATCAAAGAAATTGCTCCACGGCTTTGCAAGACCTATGGACTTGTCAAAGATCCATTCGTACGTTTTCCTGTGGGCATCCTCGATGCTATTTTGGCGAAGTTCGATTTCCGGGAAATGTAGGCTTTTGATAAGGTGGTCAAGCTTGACATCCTGGGTCTGTGTATCTAGCAAGCGGTCAATCTCCTGGGTGGTGTGGTGCCTTGTGACAAGATGCTCTTTGGTAATATGACGGGTAGTCTCGTCATTCAATGCGGTGATAAGATTCTTGACACGTGTATTGCCGTCTAAGATTTCATGCACGAGTCTTTGCTGCACATTGGAAAGACTGTCGCCGACGTTGGTCTGTTGGGTAGCAATGCTGCCCATATTTTGGCTTCCAACACTGTTAGCCCGCGTATCAATTTTCAAATGCTCAGTGATAGACACATACCTAAGATGGACCAGTATCTTTGAGTCTAAGACCTTTACGTACTGGTCCAGCTCGCTCTTCAACTCTTCAACTTGTCGCCAACGTCTTTTGGCGTTGTAGCCTTTCAACAAGGCGGCGAGAGTCCGCTGTCTTGTTGCTGGCGAGCTCTCCAAGGTTAGAAGTAGTTCCCGAAGCTTGTGGGCAACGCCTCCACACTTTTTGGCCAGGTCGACGAGGTCAACGTTGCTCTTTAGAAGCCGAATCTTGTTTGGGTCATTGTTCAGCGAATCTTGCAGTGACTGGTAGCATTCCGACACTTGCTGGGTTGCATAGAGCATAGCCTCGATCTCCTTGGCCGTTCCTCGCTCACGGAACTGTTTATAGACTTCCACCGCTCGCCAGGAGGCGCCCACGAGTTGCAAGACGTTACAGACCAAACCCAACGCAATAAAACCTTCCATGGTGGAGAGGTAGCAGCCTAGCAACAAGCGAGGTCGGACGGTTCGCGGTGGTGCATGAATAAAGTCGAGACTGAAGGTGGTGGCAGAACCTAATGAGAGATTCTACAAGCTCAATGCCTGCCTCAAGTCCACAAAGTACCGCGACGACGGGCGACGACGGTAGTGGAACCGTTGAGAATGATTGAAGTGTGAAGTAACAGGAAGATAAAAGGAATCTTCGCACTGGGCTCTTGATGTGGCTGAGGGCAGCCAGAGTGGGAGCCCCTCTTCAGCATGCTTAACGCCTGCTGACGGTATGCGGTTTGGTGTAGGCTGCCTGGAGGTACTGAACTTCTGGCAAGGCAGAAAACGGTCGGCTGTGCTGTGCTGTGTTGTCTTGCTCTGGGTGGCTGGGTGCGTGCAGAAGCGCGACGCCGGACCAATGGTCCCTTACCTGTAATGGTCTCTCCTCCCTGTCCAGTTCGACGTAGTGAGGCTGCATCCCGGCGGCCTTAAGAGGGTCATCAGCCTATCATGGTCAGGAGGCCACCCAGAGACCAAGGCACATGAGACTTGAAATCGATTGAAGGTAGCTGTGACCTACTAGGAGGTAGGCGCTCAACTACCGGTACAAAGTTGAAGAAGGTGGTCGAGAAGGAAGAAGGGAGAGAGCCAGCCAAAGAATATGGAGGAACTTGAAGGCGGTTACGAGGATGTCAGTGATTGCTGTTGTCGGTTGTGCCTGCTTCCTTCCTGCTTCTTGCCTTCTTTCTGCGCTTGCCGAACGGGAAAATAAATAATAATTTTTGCGATGATGGTGTTGAATATGGTGCCCTGAAAAGACGTTCCGTGTTGGCTCATCAAATCCGCGGACAAATTCCTAATTGGGTACTGGAATTCCCTGTTCAAGACAAGATTTCCTTTTTCATCACGTGATACCGGCCAGGAGTGAGTTCATCACCGGGCTGTGGCTATATCCTAATATAGCACAGAATATCTGTATCTGTGTTTACAATACAAAGTAAAGGAATGAACAGGGATCGCTTTGCGACATTGTCAGGCCAGATCATGACATTCGTATCTATCTAAGCAGCTGCCTATCTACACGCGAAAAGAATTGACCCGCCTCCCGAATCCGAGGCAAGAGACGGCGTAAACAGACAACGCTTTGATCTAGCCCACGGCCTTTTTTTGTTTTCCTTGTGGAGTTGGGGTAATGTCGAACCGCACGGTTGACTTGTTTTTGTTCATTCGTGCGATCCGGCAGAGGAGGGGTTGTGTGGACTCGGAGCAAGTGCTACACAAGTCCGTCCTGGAGTCCGTATGCTCCAGCATGCCGGTGACGATCGGATCCCGCATGCTAGGACCCGGGCCACCTGGAGCATACAGACAGAGAGGACCTTCTTCGAAATGAACCGTCGCAATAGTCGTCCCCTCTTCTCGACTCTCGATCTGTTCTGGCAAGACATGCGATGATCGACAGATCGGTTGAGTTGGCGGGTGTAGTCGAAATTGAAGAAACCAACTTTGCAGAGCTCACCCCGAAGGTGAACTCATTCGGTTGGACGCCAATAAATGACCTCCGGATCATCTTCTCACCAAGCACACCACTTTCGACTTTCTCCGAAGATCAGTGAAGAGACAATGGCCCTGGCCGAAACAAGACCCTGGCTGAACCAAGAAGCTTCCGAGGAGACAACCCGCAGGAGACCGACGCCAACGCAAATGAGGGCCTCAACATCCACGCACACTTCAACAGCTGCCATGAGATATCCCCCGAGACCATAGCTCAACAACAACAAAAATGCCTGGGTCGGAAGAGCCTACGCAACATCGCCCTACCATAATAGGACGAATGGGGGCTCTAAACCGACTTGGTTCCAAACGTTCAAAAAACAAGACCTGCTTCGTCCCCGAGATACCACCATTGCCCTGAAAGGGCACAATGAGGTATATAAGATCGATAGGACTTATGGTTCCACTCCATCACGCGACTCCGGCTGCGATAAAAGGCGCAGTGCCACTAATCTCAGTACACCGAATGCCTTACTTATCACCTCTCTCGTGCAAGAAAGGCGCGAGGGCCACTCTGGGGAGTCGAGGGCCATCGAAAGGTCGGCGGAAAAAAGAGCAAAGGCTCTCAACCGAAGGAAGAGAGACTGTCTGCGCCACCGGAGAAGGGGCAGGGAAGGAATATTGGTCCCTCGGTGTTGGCTGAGGGTTTATTGCCTGGTGAGATGCGAGGCCGGACGTTTCTTGCTTTCTTTTGTTCAAAGATCGGTACAAAGAAAATCCCGGCGTCGTTCTCTTCCCAGGACAAAGAGATGCCCTCGCAAAGCATATCATCATTCACATCACACGCGCGTGACGCAATGCCACCCGTGAAATCTCGTAAATCACGGTCTGGCTCCAATCAGAATTCCATTACTTCTCCACAAACGTTCATTTGCTCTCCGCGTTATGCCACTCTGGTAGATGAGCGAACTCGGGAATTTCCGAATTCGGCTGCTTGTACCCTGCACAAACTGATCATTGAGCAGAATCCCCTCGCTCCTCGCTCCTCAACTGTTCCAGATGCTCCCCTGTTTGATGTCGATTCCAGTGGGTGGAGTCTCCTCATGCGCCCGCCATCCAGCAATTCCGAGCTTTGATCCTTGATAGCCGCCTTCCCGCACGTCAGCCTCCTTGGATGGGGTATACCTGGGTGCTGGCGACGTTGGTCTGGTATTGTTCACTGCCGACAGCGGGATATCTGCGAACCCGGTATACCGGTCTTGGTCGTTGGAGCGAAAGTCATGATTTGACGCAGTGGACGAAGGAAATGCCGGAGCACCACCTTCACCCCTAACTTTCTCCCGCCCAGCCCAAAGTGAAAGAGCCCGAATGACCCCAATGAGCACGACCAAAATCCATACAAGAAGAATGACGGTGGAAATGATGGCCTCTGTCCGAATGGTGTCTGATACTATGGTGATAACCCGGGCAACAGCGCTGGTAATCTTGTCGCTTGCTGCATCACCCGGACTCGCAAGAAACGAGTCACCGGAGTTGCTGGATGATGCAAGACTGGCCACGGCACCCAAGCTGAAAGTGTCATTCGGAAGAGTTGGGAAGTCGACATGCGCATTATCGTGGACCCAGGTCAACCCTTTCTCAATCCCCGCGATTTTCATGAGAACGAGGCAGTTCAGGACTTCCAGGATTGGGTCATACAGAGGCGTGCCGCCAAATGTCGTGTTCAGCACGTCTGTTGTCTTGTCCACAAATGCATTGAGAGTATCGTTGATTGCGGTCGTGGTGGTGTTGACCCACCCCAGCATGTCCTGATTGATGTCGCGGCTAGTGGACGCAATGGCGGCGTTGGTGCCAATGGCCCATGCCTGGGATGCATTGTTGAGTTGAGTTACGACCTTGTCGGAGAAGGCACCCACTTGGTTGGAAAGATTCGGGACCTCTTTTTGTAGGGACCGCAGCAGGATGGCCTGACAAAGACATGAAAAGAGACCCGCCAGTGCGAGGGCAAGGACAAATAACGCCGCGTCGGAGGTAGCATAGGCAATGACCCAACGAATAAGATTCTTCTTTCGCTGAGATTCCACAGAGTGTGAAGCCTTGAGCCCAGCAGATGAAGTGTAAGGCCGACTGACCAGGTACACAACTTCCATGGGGTCACGCGAATCTGATTGAATCAATTGGCTACGCTCCTGCATCTTCCGCCAACGACGAATCTCGCGCCATGCCATAGGGACCATTGCCAGGATAGCCAGGGTAAGCAGGACACCAATGAAAACTCGGCGAGCAATGGCAGCTAGGTTAACTAGATTGTCAAAGAAGTCATTGATTCCGTCATTGTCACTGCAAAAGCTCAGCTCCTGCTTCTCAGGTACAGGAAACATAGAACGATTGAACGTGTAGTTGCCAAGGGAGCCATTGATGAGCTGCTTGACCTCTTCGAAGGGAAGCCGAATAACACCTTCGGTGAAGTTCTTGACTTGATCGAAGGTAGGGATCGACTTGTTGAGCTTTTGGAGATCGGCATCCAGGTTCGCCGGTAACTTGAGACCTTGTAAGGTTTTGACTTGCTGGGTCAAGTTCAGTGGTGGAGGTTGCGGAACCGAGAGTCCAAACGCTGTGATGCCCTTGAGGGCATCTACAAACTTGTCGTACGCTGATTCGAAATCCTTCACCGCGCCTGACATGTCATTTCCGAGATTCTTGGTGAGTGTGTTGAGACCAGTTTGTGCAGAGTCCAGGGCTCCAATAACTGTATTCAAACTTCCGCTGACGGCCAAAGTGATCAGGCAGAGGTAGGTATTTGTCATCATGCCGATGACAAACACGACAATCTCTTCAACAGCTGTAACGCTCAAGCTGGTCATCTGCATCAGACCGTTGACCGACTTCTCAACACTGGTGGCAGCCATTTCATTTACGCCCTGCGACATGTAATGAGGCATGGATGCCATGGTGGAGCCCATCGATTCAACGTCCGAACATGCCGAAAGTGCTTCGCGTCGTGCCGAGCCCAAGTCGTTGTCGATACCAGAAATGGCGATAAGGGTGCGAGCGAGAACGAGCAGGAGCAGTATGGTCCATCGATTGAGCCATATCTGTGATAAACGAGCCCGGAGGCCTAGGTAGGGTGTAATGGATGGTGCAGTGTGTGCCAACGACCGAGGTGGGCCTTGGTTGGAGTAGTAGTCTCGTATCTCATGGCTGCCTGCAGGCATGGACGGAGGAGGGCCAGCCGGAAAGGCTGACGAGGCGGACATGGAAGAGAGATCGACGAGGAATTATCTGGATATTAAATTCGAAGTCAGTAATCTGTGAGGATGGTGGAAGTAGAATTGCAGGTAGGGCTCGCTCAGTCAAAGAAGCAAATGAGAAAGAGAAGTCTTGGTGGTGCAGCAACAAGTGACAGCCAGACAGGCATGTCCGGTTGACAAGGAAAGTCATTCAGATTTTGTCAAAGAAGAATTATTTAGAGCAAACAAAAGGAGATTTGTGACTCTGAATAGTGCAACAGACTGCAACAATAGCGACCACAGTGAATGGATTGATTGACAAAGAACAATAGGACAATAGGACAATAGGACAATAGGACAAGAATAGGAAATTCTGCCACACGTACCGCTTTCCCCGTAAATCTTTCCTCCACGCCGCAGAGCCACCAGCAACATATCGCACAAGGCTATTCCTGGCGTGAAACAGAATTTCAAATGTCAGAAAAGCCGTGCTTGTTGCGGCCAAGGACGTCAACTGGTAGCGATGTTTCCATCCAGGTCGGCGCCTAAGTCTGAAAACAGCGCCACCAGGCTGGAGAAGCGCCCACCAACCATCTCTCCCGGGTTTCTTTCACGTCAAACACGCGCTCTCACGTGAGTCCTGAGACTCGAAACTTGTTGACACGGCGGAAGAGATGGGTGTAGCAGGCGATCTCCAGGTTGCGTCGCCATCTTCCCAACTGCATCGGTGCCGTTTCGAGCACGATGCGCCCGGCTGAAACCTGCTGAGCAGGTAGTTATCTTCTCTGGCCCACCAAGACGCAGTCCTCGACAACGACACCGGACAGTTGGGAATGAGGCACGACGATGCAACTTGACGTCCAAGCTTGTGCCTCAGCAAGAGCCCGTTAAGTGACAAGGCGAAGGAAAGCAGGCTTTTAAAGAGTGAGGTCAGCCACCGCCAGAACCCACCCCTGTGGCGTCTGGGGGGCATCCAGCAGACATCGTATTAAGGTATTAAGGTTGGCTGGAAATGAGGTCATTCCTTGTTTACACCCTTGTCGATTCCGTCCTTAGCACACCGCTTCTGTCTTAGTGTCTCCCCGAGCATCATTGCGCTTCAAGTTCTTCTACCTGTAAGCTGTTGTTGGCTTTTGTCAACCGCCTCATTCACGTCGGATCTGGTCTATGGGATTCACGCGGATGTCAGGCAATATTGTACACATCTACTTGCTTGGCGATAAATCGCACAGCCAGACCTATGCTGCTGTAGCGGCCCTGTCGATCTGGACGCGAGCAACAATGTATGCGACATCGATATCTCTCCTTTGCACAACCGCACTGCTTCAATCACTGCGGCAGCGGTGATTGTTTTGTGGCTCAATAGGTGCAACTAAGCATTTCATCTGAGCTGATAGCGGGAAGCCAAGCCATCATATATATCAGGCCTGGCGCGGAAAATCTCGGGAGGGCGAGGTGAGCGCAGAGTCTTTGAGTGTCCAGGCACGAGGCAGTCATCAGCACAACGGGGTTCGTGTCACGCTGGTCAGTCTTTGCGTATCATCCACCGGTCACCAAGGTGGAATAATGCCTCCAAGAGCCCGGGTGGCACTCATCAACAATCACAGCATGCACGACGTTGCGAGGAGGTTTTTGCGAGGAGTTTGGGACAGCTCATCCATAGTTTCGAGAAGGCGGGTCAAGTCGTCAAACGGTTCGGGTGGTTCGAGTGGGTCGAGGTCCACCAGCAGAGGCACACAGTCCAGTCACGAACCCGGTCACAGTCAACTCACGGGCCTTTACCGTTGCTCACCTTGACCTGGAACACCTTGTTGTTGGTTCGCCGCAAGTGCTGAGTACCACATCTGAAGATAATTCTGGTAGCCGCCGTAGGCAGCATAGGGGTCGGCCGCACCGGCAGCTGGGGGTGGGAGAGCCGAGGGACCCGGCGGAGCTGGCTGAGCGGGAGGGATCCCACTGACAGGATAGACGGGCGGCGGCGCCGAGTATCGATCCGAATAGTCGTCGCGCGGCTCACGGCCTTGAGTGCGAGCACGCTGAGCTTGCGATCAGCGTGGTCCTTCTCGGAACGGTCTTGAATAACTTACCACAGTGTCAACCTTCTCCATGATAGCACGTTTGGCAGCGTCGATAGCATGTCTGCTACCGACCAAACCAATCTCTCGTTCGACGTCGCGGCCACTTGCGGGCGAGACGTTGATCTTGCATCCTGTCTGATTCTGCATGTCGCGAATGGACTCACCACCTGCCAACAACATTAGCAGCAGTTCCGCGGCGAGGAGTTACAACCGTTACCTTTCCCAATAATCATGCCAACGGCCTCGCCGGGCACGATAATGCTGTCGTTCACTTTGCCTTGTGGTTCCTCTCGCTCCCGGTGAAGGTCCTTGACGCTAATGCCTTTCTGATCGCTCTCCACGATCTCTAGAATTAGGTCTCTGGCATACTGCTGGGCCGATAAACTGCCGATCAGATTCACTGGCCGTAATCCATTGACGCTTTTGTTTTCTCCCACGATATTAATGTGACAGCCACTCCGGTCCTGCAGGTCTCGGATCGTCTCACCGCCCCTGCCGATAATAAGGCCCACCGTTCGGTCGGGAACCATCATCTGCAGACTGTCGCCTTCCTTGGTGGTAACCACCGAGACCTTGCTCTGAGTGCGGGGCTTGTCCTGTCCTCTCTTCGCCAAGTCATTGTCGTCAATGATCTTGTAGATCTCGGCTTTAGCGGCTGCACGAGAAGACCGACTGCCAGAAATCCTGCAATGTCTCTGACTGCCTGCGACTTCTGGGCCATCCAGGAATTGAACTCGAGCACCGGTTGTGTTCTCGACTCGTCGAAGGGTCTCCCCAGAGCGTCCTATGATCAAGCCCACCACACTTTTATCCAACGGAAGGACTTCAGATTCACCTTCAGCCCCTCTGTCCTTGCCTGGTGATCGATCGTCTCTATACCGGGCAGGGGAATGACGGCCGCCTCTAGGCGAAAATGAACGCTCCCTACTGTAGCCAGGTGCAACGTTACGCCGGTCGTCACGATACGGGTTGTAAGAATCGCGAAAACCATCTCTGCCTGGGCGAGGCGGAGAGCGCGAGGGGGACCTTGATCGTCGGTAGCCTCGGCCACCTGCGCGAGGGTCGGAGTTCATAGGAGCTATCCCTCATGTCAGTATGGAGAAGATATGGCTTGCGGGTCATCTTACGTCTGCTGGGATCATAGGACAGACCCTTTTCCGCCGCGATACCACGGGCTTTGGCAATGGCATCTGCGATGCTAACAGAGCCGGAACTGACTGGTTTGATGTTGGCTAAATCGACGCTGCCGGAGCTGATCGGCTGAGGAAGTCCGTAAGGGGTTGCGCTGGTCGGTGGGGTGGCATACTGAGGTGGAGGGTAGGGCGCCCCAGGCACAGGCGGAGGAAGAGGAGGAGGAGGAGCTTGCGAAGGTGTTCCACCCTGTCTCTGGGCTGCGAGAGCAGCAAGTATGTTGCTGAGATCCGCCATGGCGGAGGGAATATAGCGATAATTCGGGATGGACGAGACCCTAAAACTGAAAAAAAAGAATAGAATAAATGAACTGGAGTGAGACTGAGAAGTGAAAGCCCGAGTCTGGCAGCTGCATTCGATCACTGGTGCTATGAGTTGCGGGGGTTCCAGCCAATTTTGCAAACTTGAACGCAGCCAACTTGAACTTGAACTTGGAAGGTGTCGCACGGCAGTCAGCAATACCACACACGTGATTAAGTGGTTGTCTCTAAGCCTTAAGTGGATTAGTGCAATATCTCAGTCACGTGAGGATGAACTTCCTCCATCCAACGCCCCCTTTTTTGTCGTTCTATCACAACTGGAAAACATTACTATATACCGTATATCGACGGCTTCATATCTGTGGACTGAATGCATCATGCTCCAGCCTGGGATATCGTTGTTTGTGACTTGGTTGTCCTCACATATCAGCTCATGCCATGATCCACGCCCTCTTCAAGAGCTCTTTGTAGTTGACAAGACCACCCGCGACCCTTTAGCCTTGGGACGAAACACCTTTCCACCTCTGGAGAAACGTTATCTTCAACGCGTTGTTGCTCTGGCTACGCGCACGATGGTTCTGAACTTAGCTCGGAATGGCCAACGTCCCGTGTACCGCTGCATTGAATGTTTCATTTTTTGAATCTCTGTTCATCGACGTGTGCTGAAGACTAAGTTGTAGTCCTGTCAGCTCCGACGAAGCATGATAGATGAAGATTTCTACGCTGGAACATTCGATACGTGTTCAAAGCTGTTTCATCTGGCAAAAACAACGAGCCCATTTCGAATAGGCCGTGACTCTGGAAATGCCTTGTCAAACATCACCAGGCTGGATTCCGCACAAAGACACTGTGGGGGCGGACCTGGTGGTGAGTCCCCAGTCGTGCCTGTCATCAGATCCGGCCTGACAGCACCAGGCCAACATGGTAGTGGTATTGTTCCCTAGCCGGAGCAATAGTCACTGCGGCACGGGAAACCCATTCGCAATGATCAAAGGACGGAGAAGCAGCGGCAAACGAGGATGACATACCGCATGCTGATGAGTTATGCGGTTGCTTAGTCGTCAAATAAACAAGGCCAGAGTCTACAGCGCAGTCAGTCCCTTTTGGAGAGAACGCGAGCACGTTCTCATAATGCTGGGCTCTGTGCGCAGTGTATCATCCTCTTTTACTCACACTCCTTCCCTTGTTGACGAAGGGCTTTGTTCTTCAGATTTCTCATGGCAGAGACAAAGGACGAGAAGCTGGGCGAAGATACCGGCGACGAGGTCGCTGAGATCGCTCAGGCAAATGAACCCATGAAATCGAAGAAGGGAAAGAAACCCAAGAAGAAAAACAAGCCGAAGCAAAGAAAGATACAGAGGAAGCCGTACGCTGCCCATAAACGCGATGAAGAGCCTCCCTCGGCTTCTCAAGGTACGCCTGACTTACATGATCAATACTTGGGCCAAGCTCGCTGATGTTTTTCTTGCAGAAACGCTTGATTCTTCAGCTCTGCTGAACCAAGGCCTCACTCGTCCATTGGAGAATGTAACACCTGGCACTGCTTCTGTCAGCCAATCCCCGCGCGTGACGAACAGCGCAGTTGTCCCAGACGTTGATTGTTTATCTTCGCCTGCGGAAATCAAAAAGTCCCACAAGCAGAAGGTCTCGCCAAGCCCACAGCAACAGAAACTCGAGAATACTTCACACATCATCAGGAGACACGTCGAGAGAACTATGGCTACCGTTGGTTCGACCAGCGAAGGCTCGGGACTGGGCAAAAGCCCGTGTGCTGAAGACCGGGTCAAGGAAGACAGTGCAATCGGTCGCCAGGCCATGGAAAACAAGCGAATTCACCAAGAGGCAGATGAGGATCTTGTCGCAGGTTTATCGGCACCGCTACAAAACGTGCATCTTACAGGCGACTTGACCAATACTCAGGTAAGTGTTTGAGATGCGGGGAGAAACCGCAGTCACTGACGAGACCTCCAGACGTCGACCACGTCCGCCGTATCATCAACTGTCCCCAAGTTCAAGTTCGACAGCATGGATCCTCGACTGTTATGCCCGAAGCCGGATTGCCGCCGAATGACCAGCTGCTGGGGTAGGCGCTCCCGAGGATTGATAACTGTGACCAAATACTGATTTTGTCGACTTCTAGACTCTCTTGTTGTTATCTGCCCTGCCTGTGGACCAGAAAGCTACGTACGCTATTGTCGCAAAGAACATCTTTTCGAAGACATCCAACGTCACTGGGTGATGGAATGCGAAAAAGCCAGGATACTAGGGCCAATCGATCGAGATACGATACGGAAGAGTCAAACACCAACTAGGGCATATGTCGTCGGCCACCGGCATAATCTGGTTGAACGTCACCGACAGGCGGTCTACCGTGCGATGTCGGAAAGCGACTATTTTATCTTCAACGATGTTGAGATGGTCGACCGCGACATTGCCAGGCCGAGCAATGAGGAATGGAACGCAGTACGTGGAACAGGCCAAGTCGTGCTGCAATTGGTCTTTCCAGACGACATGACTCCCCAATCAAGCCGAAGATTGTTCGAACACCACATCGTGCAGTGCCTGATGTATGGAAATCCATTGGCCCGTGAAAGTTGTTTGACTGCGTTCCACTTAATTCGAGAGGCTCTCATCATCTCTGGTAACTGGACGGAACAGATAGTGACCTATCTGTGTATGCAGTTGGCGGGAGAATGGGGTGGCTTCGCTGTTCCCGAACACTTTCGGAATGTGCTTGAGGTGAACAAGATGTGGCGAGAGCGAGGGCTTCTTCCAATATTGCAGAGTGAATAAGGATGATAGGGGAGCCTGTCATCTTCGCACTGCTATGTGATTGGGCAGTTGGCGATCTGGCTGTGGAGAAAATGTGGTAGACTTCTCGAACAGCATTGGCCTTGGGGAAGCGTGTCTGGCCTGTTCTCGTCTGGCAATAACGACGAACGGGAGAACAGTAATGTATGTTATGGGTCGCGTTCAGCATGGACAACAGTGCTGGTGTACTGAGTAGCTAGCTACCTATGTACCGAAGTTCGCTCCGACATCCCTGGGTTCGTACAATCTCCCCTGGTTGCCGTCGCCCGCTTCCACCCTCTTGGGGTGTGGTTGACCGGAGGTCTCCGATGACCACGTGACCGAGATAAGCGGAATCTCCATTTCTGGACGATCTGATTGGCGCGGCGGGCGTGCAACTCCTTTGTACTATCGTTCCATCGGCCGTCCCCTCTACATCTTTGGCCTCGTACTGCTAACAACGTCCTCTCTGTGATTCGTGCGCCGCCACCTCCATGCAGAGGTTGCATATGGTCCTATCGATTCCATGAGCAATTGCTATGATGTGAGATCCAGATATCGCCGATAAGTTTGCTGTTCTTTTTCTCTGCTTTCTTTATCTCCTCTGGAAGAAGTATTGCTTTTGTACCGTTGTTGCTGGACTGTTATTTCATGCTCTCTCGAGCCAGAAAGACGGATTTGGAATGCTAATTCTATAGAGGACCTTCCACTTCCCTTCCTCCTCCACCTCAACATCGACCGGTGTCGTCTGGTTTCATATGGCTCCTGGCCTCCTCGAGCCAGCCGCGACGGCTGAGAAAGTCGTCACCCTAGCCTCTCTGACCGAAAGCTATGATGATACGATCCGATTCTATCTTAATGGCACCAAGGTCGAATTGGACGCCGTTGACCCCGAAGTCACACTTTTGGAGTATCTAAGAGGCATCGGGCTGACAGGGACAAAACTGGGCTGCGCAGAAGGTGGATGCGGTGCGTGCACCGTCGTAGTATCACAACTGAACCCGACCACGGGCAAAATATATCATGCTTCGGTCAATGCCTGTCTGGCTCCCTTGGCCAGTATTGATGGAAAGCATGTCATTACAGTGGAGGGCATTGGGAGTTCCAAAAACCCACATCCCGCACAGCAGCGGATCGCCATGGCCAGTGGCAGTCAATGCGGCTTCTGCACACCAGGCATTGTCATGAGCCTGTACGCTCTGCTCCGGAATAATGGGCCGGAGCCCTCTGAGGAAGAGGTTGAAGAGGCCTTCGATGGCAATTTGTGTCGCTGCACAGGCTACAGACCTATCCTTGATGCCGCCCAAAGTTTCAATAAGAAATGCGGCAGATCCATTGCCAACGGCGGTTCGGGCTGCTGCATGGAGAACGGTGGCTCGTGCAACGGAGGTGCCTCAAATGGCACGGATGAAGCGACGGAAAAGAAATTTACGCCTCCTTCTTTCATCCATTACGACAAGTCTACTGAACTGATATACCCTCCTGCTCTCAAAAAGCATGAGTTCAAGCCTCTGGCGTTTGGCAACAAGCGGAAGAAGTGGTATAGACCAGTCACGCTGCAGCAGTTGCTGGAAATCAAAAACGCATTCCCTGGTGCCAAGTTAATTGGTGGAAGCACGGAAACACAGATCGAAATCAAATTCAAGGCCATGCAATATTCCACCTCGGTCTATGTCGGAGACATCGCTGAACTACGCAAGTATTCCTTCCACGATGACTATCTTGAGATTGGTGGCAATGTGGCGTTGACCGATCTCGAGAACATCTGTGACGAAGCCGTCAAGCATTACGGCGCTGCCAAAGCCCAGTCATTCAAGGCGATCAAGAAGGCAATCAGATATTTTGCCGGTCGTCAGATTCGAAACGTTGGCACTCCAGCAGGTAATCTTGCGACAGCCTCTCCCATCTCAGACCTCAACCCTGTGTTTGTGGCCACCAACTCTACACTGATTGCCAAGTCGCTAAAGAAGACGACTGAGATTCCAATGTCGAGTTTCTTCAAGAGCTACAGAGTGACTGCATTGCCCGAGGACGCTGTCATTGCAGCCATGCGAATCCCCGTTGCTTCAGAAAAAGGGGAATATATCAGGACATACAAGCAATCGAAAAGGAAAGATGACGACATTGCCATTGTCAATGCTTGTCTGCGGGTGGCACTGGATGATTCTTACACGGTCAAGGATGCGAGCCTGGTGTACGGAGGCATGGCTCCAACCACGATCCAAGCGAAGAATGCTTCTGAATACATTGTCGGAAAGACATTCACGGACCCTCAAACATTGGAGGGTGTGATGAACGCCTTGGAGAAGGATTTCAATCTCCCATTCGGTGTCCCAGGTGGCATGGCAACGTATAGGAAGTCACTGGCCCTAGGGTTCTTCTACCGTTTCTACCATGACGTCCTTGTCAACATTGAGGAAGCTAGCAAGAAGGCCGACAAGGAAGCCATTGCTGAGATTGAACGAGAGATCTCCCGCGGTCACAAGGATCATGATGCTGCTGTTGCCTATTCGCAGAAGATATTGGGCAAGTCGAATCCGCATCTTGCTGCTTTGAAACAGTGCACGGGCGAGGCTCAGTATACCGATGACATTCCCCATCAGAAGGACGAGCTCATTGGCTGCCTGGTGCTGTCGACCAAAGCACATGCCAAACTTCTGAAGGTGGATGCCAGCCCGGCTTTGGACCTTCCAGGCGTGGTCGCTTGGGTCGACAGGCATGATTTTGTCGATCCCAAGGCGAACTGGTGGGGAGCTCCTCTTGCCGATGAAACCTTCTTCGCTGAGGATGAGGTCTTCACGGCGGGGCAACCAATTGGTATGATTCTCGCGAACAATTCACATCAAGCTGCTGCAGGAGCTCGTGCTGTTCTCGTCGAGTACGAGGAACTTCCTGCAATTTTCACCATTGAAGAAGCCATTGAAAAGCAGAGCTTCTTCGAACACTATCGCTACATCCGCCAAGGCGATGTGGAGAAGGCATTCAAGGAAAGCGATTACGTCTTCGAGGGAACAGCAAGAATGGGTGGCCAGGAACATTTCTACCTGGAGACACAGGCCTGTCTTGCCATCCCCAAACCAGAAGACGGCGAGATGGAACTCTGGGCCAGTACGCAAAACCCGTCCGAGACGCAGGCGTACGCTTCCAAGGCGCTTGGCGTACAGTCCAACAAGATTGTGGCTAGAGTGAAGAGACTTGGTGGCGGGTTTGGTGGGAAGGAGACTCGGTCGATCCAACTCTCAACCATTTGCGCCGTTGCTGCCAACAAGGTCCGACGGCCTGTCCGATGTATGCTTAACCGCGACGAAGACATTGTGACCTCTGGCCAGAGACATCCATTCCTGGGTATATGGAAGGTTGGCGTGAACAAGGACGGCAAAATTCAAGCGCTCAAGGCCAGCGCCTTCAACAACGGTGGATGGTCGCAGGATCTGTCCGCTGCGGTGATCGATCGGGCTCTGTCCCATATTGACGGATGTTACAAGATCCCGAACATTGACGTCGACGGTCGCATCTGTAAAACAAATACAGTCTCGAATAGTGCCTTCCGCGGATTTGGCGGGCCACAGGGCATGTTCATCGCCGAGACCTATATGGAAGAGATTGCAGACCACCTGAAGATCCCAGTCGAGAAGCTCCGGGAGATCAACTTTTACAAGGACAATGAACTGACGCACTTCAACCAGGCCCTCGAAGACTGGCATGTTCCTCTCATGTACAAGCAAGTCAAGGAGTCGTCAGACTATGAAGCTCGACGGAAGGCGGTGGATGAGTTCAATGCCACCCACAAATGGCAGAAGAAGGGGCTCGCTTTGATCCCGACCAAGTTCGGCATTTCGTTCACGGCACTATTCCTCAACCAGGCGGGCGCTCTGGTGCACATCTACCACGACGGCTCTATTCTTGTCGCCCACGGCGGCACGGAGATGGGTCAAGGTCTGCATACCAAGATCTGCATGATCGTAGCCGAAGCGCTTCAAGTGCCGCTGTCCAATGTGCACATATCAGAAACGGCCACCAACACGGTCGTGAACACCTCCAGCACAGCTGCGTCGGCATCTTCCGATCTCAACGGCTACGCGGCCTACAATGCGTGCGTGCAACTCAACGAGCGTCTGGCCCCCTACCGAGAGAAGTTGGGCCCGAAGGCGACGATGAAAGAACTCGCGCACGCCGCCTACTTCGACCGTGTCAACCTGAGCGCCAACGGCTTCTACCGCACGCCCGAGATCGGCTACGTCTGGGGTCCGAACCCAGAAGACCCGTCGGTCGAGAACACAGGCAAGATGTTCTTCTACTTCACCCAGGGCGTGACGGCGTCGGAAGTGCTCATCGACACGCTGACTGGCGACTGGACGTGCCTGCGGACTGACATCGAAATGGACGTGGGTCGCAGCATCAACCCGGTGATCGACTACGGCCAGGTCGAAGGCGCCTACGTCCAGGGCCAAGGTCTGTTCACGACCGAGGAATCGCTGTGGCACCGCGGCTCCGGCCAGATCTTCACGCGCGGACCGGGCGCGTACAAGATCCCCGGCTTCCGCGACATCCCGCAGGTCATGAACATCTCGCTGCTCAAGGACGTCGAGTGGAAGAACCTGCGCACCATCCAACGCAGCCGCGGCGTCGGCGAGCCGCCCCTTTTCATGGGCAGCGCCGCCTTCTTCGCCATCCGCGATGCCCTGAAGGCCGCGCGCGCCGAGCATGGCGAGAACGCCATCTTGAACCTGCGCAGTCCCGCCACCCCGGAGAGAATCCGCATCTCTTGCGCCGATCCCATCATCAAGCGCTGCGTCGTGGAGCCCAGGGAGGGCGAGAAGAGTTTCTTCATTTCAATATAGCCGGTCACTCCCAGAGTTGCTACTGCAGTATCTTGGAGGATAGATGGGTTTCCCTGGTCCGTTTGGTGTTTGGCTCCCAGAAGGAATGGCGGCCATGTGTGAGATTGTGCTACGTGTTTCGGACACGCGGAAGGAGAGGATTTTGGTGTCTTTCTTTTGAACTGATCAATGGCGCACACGTCCATCTCTAGCTGTCGTTACCTATATGCCCTGTTAATGCGATACTGTGTTCGATAGCACTCATGATAGTTATATATACCAGAAAGCAACCCGCTCGTTCCAATGTTGAATTCAGCTATTTGTCTTGAATCAGATCCCGTGAGCGTATACACTTGCCACATAGTCATGATCTCATCAAGCCCATGTTTCCAGCGCCATCATCGTCGTAATTTTCGTCGTCGGCAATATCGACCCTCAGACGAGCTCCACGAGTATGAATGCACCCTCGAACTCAGCTGCGTCAGATCAGGTCGGATCTGGATCCATTGCACTTCTTCAGGAGCTGTCTCCCATGTCTGTTGACCAGATCCTCACGCTCTTTTTAGGTTTCTTATCCATGGTGTATGCCGTCCCAGCCGAAGACATGGTGTCGGCTTGAGAAGCTGGAGTTGATACCCGAGAAAGGAGTATAGAAGAAGATCCGTTGCCCACAACCTCTGGGCCACCAAGAGCAACCGACTTAGAGCTTCCCTTGCCCGTGTCGCCAACACTCGTTTCCCTCCCGGTCTTCCTTTTCTTTGCAGTGTGGCGATATGCGTCTTCCAAGGCACGAAACATCTCGTCATTCTGACCACCTTGGCCTTGACCTTGACCTTGAGTGTGTGCTTGGCGATCATCTCCCGCACTGAGACTATTTGTACTGCCATTCCTAGGACGTCTTCCAAACAAAGGCACAGGAACATCCAACTTCCCACCCTTCAGCGCGTGTTCTTCACCATCCACAATCTCCAAGAAGCCCTCCCCACGAACGATTTCGTTCATAATCCCATCATCCAAGAGGCTTTTCTCGGCTCTGACCAGCTCGGCATTACTCATTTGTCTTCTCCGCTTGAGGATCTTTTCCTCCAACGTCCCCTTCAACACCAATGTCTCCACATAGACGGGCCGAGTCTGGCCGATACGATGAGCACGTTTGATGGCCTGCGACTCGACCGCAGGCTGCCAGATCGGCGAGACTATGAAGACGCGACTGGCGCATGCAACGTGCAGGCCGTGAGAGGCTTGTTTCAAGTCCATCAGCAACACGCGGAACTCGTCGGAGTGGTTGAAGGTCGCGAGATACGCGGCGCGTCGGCTCACGGAGAGGGTGTTTGCGTAGATGAGGAACTGGACCGACAAGAGCTCGAGAGCTTCGGCGATCCAGAAGGCGATGTTGTTCGAGTCGTAGAAGATGATGATCTTCTCCGTCGTGTGGAGTGCCAGGATGCGTGAGCAGAGATAGTTGAGTTTCGCGGATGTGAATCCGAGAACTCTGGTTCCGGTGAGAGACGCTGGTAGTGGCGGTGGTGGTGGTGTGGTCTTGGTTGACGGTGATATTATTGCTGCTGCTGGTAGCGGCCGTCTGTGAGTCGGGGTAGTGGGAGCAGGAGAAACGGTAGGAAGGGTATCGTTAGGTTGTACGTCAGGGTTTGTGGAGACAGGAGCAGCAGCGCGAATGCTGGGCGGTGATGAGAGCGAGGCAGAAAAGGTCGCCTGGCTCTTGACTTTTGGTTCGTCGCCTGCGCTGGCGGATGCGGTTTTGCCGCTGGTACTGGTACTGTTGAATGTGTCTTTGCTCCTTGTCTTTTGTTCTTCTGCGGCTCGTGACCTTGCGGCTTGCATGGAGCGCAGCCCGGCGCCCGTCAGGCCGGCGGCAGGGTCGATGTCGTTGCAGTCCAGTTGTTTCCAGACATGCTGTTGCGCTTCTCTGGCTTGAACCGTTCCCAGTAAGAGCGGGTTCGAATGTTTTCTGTGCAAGGCCCATGCCTGAGCCGCGTGGTCTGGGAAGCCTTCAACGTACACGCCAATCTCGTGGAGCGTCGAGAAAGCGAGCCAGCCCGGGTCGTTGAGAGCGCGGTGTCCGTTCTGTATCGCTTCAGTCAAAGCCCGGCCATCGTCGCTGGAGATCTTGTCGTGATTCTCTTCCATGTAGGCGTTGCTCACTCGCAAGGTCTGCGAGACGTCTTCGTGGGTGTGTCCTACCCAGTGGAAACTCGCTCGTCGGAGGTTGGTGATCAGTTCATCCAGGTATTTGCGATTCTTGGGATGGAACATGTAGTCCTCATCGATGCGTTCAGAGGTTACGGCGTTGGATGTCAGCTTCAGCCGGAACAGATTCATATTGAGCTTGTCATAGTAACTCGGCTCCAGGTGAACGGCGGTGTTGTACAGTGGAGGAAGACAAAGATCAGTGTCGATGTCTTCGATGCGATGTCGAACGATGAGAGACTGTAGTATCACCCGTAGAGCAGGTGCGAATCTTCTTTTACCCGAACCGTCGAACGGCGCCAGGTACTTCTTCCAATCGGCGTGATCGGCTCCCTTTTGATTTGCCCAAGGCTGCAGCTTCAGAAATTTTACCACCATGACACGCAGTCTCTCCATGTCTTTGATCTCCTCAGTTGCTGAGTCTTGAACCTTGCGCCGTGTCAGAGTTTCGCGGATTGTTTCGGCACGAGACGGACCGCCTGCTTGATTGACATCGTTACTGGCGAGATCCACCTCAATACCGTGAAGAGTGTGGGATGGCGTGCCGGAGACAACCCAACGTCTTTCAATCGACATCTTGTCCAGCATTGCCATTGCGTTCGTGCGATAATTTGATCCTGCAAAGCCGTGACCTTCGTCGCAGATTACACGCAACCAGCGAACCTCGGTCAATTGAGACTGGAACTTGTCTTGTCCCTGCATACGCCTGCCCAGGTTCTGATCGTCGTCCCGGTATTCTTGCTCAAAGCGAGCTTTAGTGATCAACACGATATCATGCTTCATCAGTTCCCGGTAATGAGGTATCTCTTTCGTCGACGAGTCAAGGACAAGGACATCAACGGCTCCTGGCTCGGTATGCTTCTCGATCTCGTGCTGCCACTGAACAAGAAGATTGGGCGGAACGATAAGAAGCGTTGCATAGCACAAACGCAAAACTCTAAACTCTTCTCGTTTCTTGCCTGATCGGCTCGGCATCGTAGGTTGATATATCGGCTCGGCGTACTCGGCATTATATCGGTCGACTGCCTCGATACATCGATCGAAGCTGTACCCTTCCTGTGCGAGAGCAGCAAAGTGCCCTTTCCACGGAACAGCTGCACGTTTCAGTGATTTGGCGGCCAGCTCCAGCAGACTTGGAGTTTGACGATTTTGATGATCCCCGAACGCATCGAGTCTCCCTTCTGGTATCTGCGGATAGTGCCCCCTCGTTGCCAGGATGAGGGCTATGCATATGAGGGTCTTTCCATAGCCCATAGTCTCCGCGAGGATCCCACCTCGAGGCTCACTATACAGATATGGGTGGGAGAGTAGCACACCTTCGAGCACATCAAAGTAGAATTCTCTTCCTCGCATGTCCTGAAACCGGGGCTTCCGTGGGTCAAGTGAGTTGGCCGGGTTTGCTTCTTTCTGGAGCATAGCAGCAGTCGAGCGCTTTTGGTACGGGTACAAGGAGGTTTTGAGTCCGGGGATGTCATCGTCGAAGATGGCGGCCATTGCCTGTTCACTGTGTGAGCAATGTCCAGCACTATCCACGGATGTCTGAGGTGATGACAAGGTATTGAAGATGTAAAACAAGGACTCTTCTTGGGTTGGTGCAGGCGAAAGGTAAGTGCGGATAGGAGAATCGATCGCATAAGTCCCCTCCCATGCTGCCGGAGATATGTCAATGAAGGAAGAGAGGAATCTGAGGACCTTTCTAAAATCCTTGAGCGAGCCTCGAGTGCTTCGATTGACATCCTCCGGAAAAGCGTACACCCTCAGAGAAGCGCGATCGTTGTAGGTAGCGTGGTGCAGGAGTTGAGTTTGAATCCATTGCCGCTTTTCACCTAGACTGAGCAGTGGATGGGGATGAGCCACTTCTTGATGCGGACCAACCATCAGCCACTGTGACTCTTCATTGTGTTCGGGCCTTTGGACGAGGCGAACGGTCCCAAGGGCTAGATAGTCATCCGTTGGGGATGGTTGTGGCTGATGGGCTCGTTTCGGCAGTTGAGAAAGAACAGAATCCATAGCCTTGGTGGTGGAGAAGAACTCGGTCATATGAGACGAGCGAGGCTGCGGAAAGTCAATTTGAGAAGGGTACAAGAATGACCTGATATAGCCTTACCATCTGGGATGCTTCGAGGGCGATGTTGCCACAGGGTGTAGTGACTGGAGCTCGGCTGTTGATGCTCGACGGACCAACAAAGAATCCGTCGAGATTGAAAGATATATCATCCTCGATGGTCTGATTCGTCGGAGAGTAACCACTGGACATATCAAACGGACCTGATATCCAGTGGGAGACTTCGGAAATCAACTCTGTGCGAAGTTGTGAATGAAAAGAGGGAGAGATGAACAAGCAGAATGCCTGATGTCTGATGTCGAGAAACTGTCTTGTCTGACAGAAACCTTATGCTATGGCTTAGCATAGTAATGTGCGCTGACAGTCTCGAACTTGAACATCCAGCCTTATCGATTTGTGTCAGACAGAATACTTTATATTTACAACACTCCTGCTGTGGCTGCTACTTGTTGTTGAGCCTATTCTAACAAATGCATGAAGATATGTCATGTCACTTATGGCCAGAGCGACTTCAGTTATTGAGAGGTCCGTCCACACCAGAGGGAAGAGGTTTGACCACGGCGTCCTCGCGGGTCGATACGAAGCCCTGATCCGACCTCCACAACTTGAACCTGAAGGCGGCAAGGCAAAGGTTTTTAGCCTGTTTGAATTCAGCACATACACAGTACTATGAAAGCGGTGCAAAGACAAGAGACAGATACACAATACAGAAAGAGAGAGAGAGTGTGTGTGTGTAGAGGTCGAGAGTGTTTTAAAGCGGCGAGGGCTGGGTGAGCGCCCTGTCTTCTAGAAACCTCGGGGTGTGAAAGGCGAGTTGATGTACAGGCTACCTTAGGTTCCACAGTGATCTGTAGTAGATGGTGGGCAAGAAGGTGGCGTCCCGGATCTTACCAAAGCGGGATGAAGGTGCGAGCAGCCGGGTTTCTATGACTTCGTACAGTGTTCTAACTGTACAAGACTGTGAGGTAGAGGTAGGATCTCGAGGGGCCCGAGGCTGACAAATACAAATATATATAGTACAAGAGTACACCTCCAACTCAAGGTTGCCATCTCTCATAACCCAACTAGCTACGCCTTCAACAAGAACATCCCCAAATATACAGGAAAGAGAAGAACAGAAACACCAACAGAAACAGCCATCTTGACTTTCTGTTCCTTCCACCAATTTTCTAATTGATGCGATTTCAGCCCACAGGCGGCCTCCTCGCAGCCATGACGAACTACAACATCATAATCACCTCAGACGTCGTATGCCCATGGTGTTACATTGGGCATAGCAGGCTCTCCAAAGCCATCGCCGAACACAAAAAGCATTATCCAGACGACAAGTTCCAGATGAAATACCTGCCTTTCTACCTGAACCCGCCTCCTCAACTCACGACCACCAACGGCCCAGTCCCGCCGCCGTTCCCCGTACAATCGCGCCCGCGGAGGGAGATGTACGCGGCCAAATTCGGTGCGGAGCGGGCCAAGCAGCTGGAGGCCATGATGACACAGGTCGCGGCGGGCGAGGGTCTCAACTTCAAATTCGGTGGCATGACGGGCCCCAGTCGCAATGGCCATCGGCTGGTCTATTGGGCGCAGCACCATGGCGGAGAGGAGGCCCAGAATAAGGTCATGCTGGGTCTGTGGAAACGCTATTTCGAACAGGAGGTCGACATCACCACCCTGGACACGCTCGTCGAGGTCGGTCTCGAAGCTGGTCTCGGCAGCAAGGAGCAAATCAAGGAGTACTTGGAAAGCGGGAAGGATGGAGAGGAGGTCGATAGAATAGCGGAAGAGGCAAGGTTGAAAGGCATCAGCGGCGTTCCGCACTACGAGATCAACGAGCGCTGGGAAGTCAGTGGTGCTCAAGAGCCGTCGGCCTTTACGAGGTTGTTTCAGCGCTGGAAGGATCTGGAGGCAAAGGGCCAGGTCGCTGGCTCTGGGGCGAATTCCACAAGCGGAGATGGGTGCTAGTGATGATGATAACGTCAATTATGGAGATGGATGGATGATATGGGTTATGCACAGATATATGGGTTAGGAGGCTGTTGTAGCGAAATAGAGACTCGGCCGGTAAAGTTTGCATCATGACAAGTTCTGAGTTTTGATGATGGAAAGGAAACGTGACGCTCTTGATATAGGAGGCCAGTATATGTTCTGAACATGACTATCAGGTCAATGATACGTCTGCAGCTGCCTCTAGTATACAATGTCGTCGCCGCCCGTGGTGCAACGTCCCAGCCCCTTGATAATGACCGTCCTTGGAAGTGTGTCAAGGACGAAGTGCTCTCCATAGGGCGTGGACGCCCGACTCGGCGCATATGCCTTCAATCATGCTACTCGCATCCAATCATCAAGGCTTGCAAGGCTTGCCAGGCCTCGGTCCAGCGACGTTTCTGGCCACTGCTGTAGGCGAATGGCCGAGTCCTGGTCGATTTCCAAACACCCTTCTTGCAAATTGGCAACCGTAGCGAATCCCTTCCAAGGCGGCGGCCTATTCAACGTCAACGGCAGGTTTCTCTTCCTGCATCTTGCTTTCCACAGCAACATTGGTCTTCACAGCAGCTGCAATATGCGATCTGGTTCGATCCCGCGCCAGCCGCTCAGGAAGATCCAACGTACTTGGACTGCGCCGTTGCAGCGTCTCCAGTTTAGGGATGTGGTACGCTTCCTTCTCTCCATTTTCCATCCAGTGTTTCTGCACATGACTCTCGAATCTTGCAGCTGCCTCGCGGAGGTCCTGCCATGCCGCCTCTTGCTGCTCGATAAACTTGGCCCTCTGCCCTTCATCATTCCACGCCGCCTCGAAGGTCCCGACCGGCGAAAACGCGGTCGGCAAGTTATGTTCCTTCCGTTGTTTGGCATACTTCTCTTGCCATTTCGGAGACGTCATCACCAGCCAGCGGAGCTTCCAACCCAGCAGACCCAATTCCTTTATCCGGGCCGGCTTCGTCCCGGTGACATATTCGTCCAGTCCACCGCATTTCTGTATCGTCCTCCGAACACGAGCCGTGACTGGGATTTTGAGTTCTGTGTCCAACGCCTCACTCCGGAGTGTTTCTATCCGTACGTTGGGGAACCACTTTCTCAGCGTCTTGCCCTTGTTCCTCCCCTTGGAAATCTTGTTTCCTGATTGAAGGGTAGCTCCGCCGTAGAGACCAAAGTTTGCTTCCTTGAAGGCAGGATTCTTGCCGTACGGGTAGGCCGGCATTAAAGGATCTGTATAGCGGATCATGGGCATGCCAAATGTATGCTTGCGGTCTTCGCTTTTGAAAGTAAACCGGGGCTTGAAGTATGGGTCGTGCGATCGGTTGCCTAGGTATTCGAGATACTGCAGCGTCGTCGGGCTGCGCACAACGGGCGGTAACTTGGTGATTGAAGACGAAGCCATACTGCGAACGTCAGGACCGAAGTCCAATTAGTAGAGTGGAAGAAGAAAAAAAGAGGCTTGAGAATAGCTGTTGGCGCAGGGTAGGATGGGAGCGCCAAATGAGTTGCTGGTGCGCCAGTGCAGTGACCAGGAGAGTTTGCGAATATCGAAGTTGAAGTTGAGCTCAACTTTTTAGCGTGATTTTGGACCGTCGCGGACCATGGCTGGAGTCTTGAATCTTGATACAATACAGCCACGCATTCTCCTACACAAACTCTTACTTCAACGCATTCCCGGCTTTACGACAGAAGAGTCTCTAACACTGTCTAATCTTCTTTGAATTCTTTCAATTGCCGGGCATTTCTCGCCCGCCGCTACAGGATGGTCAACATCAGCGAAGTCAAGGGCACTTCGCGCGAAAACAGAACCGCGGCGCATACACATATCAAAGGCTTAGGCCTACGACCCGACGGCACTGCTGAGACCTCTGGAAATGGATTCGTCGGTCAGGTTGCTGCCCGCGAGGTGCGATATACAGTCCTTGGAAAATAGTAGCGCTGTGCATCTCTAACGGGAATAGGCGTGCGGCGTGGTTGTCGACCTCATCAAAGCGAAAAAGATGTCCGGCAGGGCGGTTCTATTGGCAGGAGGGCCAGGAACGGGCAAAACCGCATTAGCTTTGGCGGTGTCGCAAGAACTAGGGACCAAGGTGCCTTTCTGTCCCATCGTGGGCAGCGAAGTGTACTCGACCGAAGTCAAGAAGACGGAAGCGTTGATGGAAAATTTCAGAAGGGCAATAGGTGAGATGGGCGCACGTGAATGTGAGCGTGCTGAAGGCTAAACAACTGCGACCAGGACTTCGAGTACGCGAAACAAAAGAAGTCTACGAAGGCGAAGTGACAGAACTCATCCCCGAAGAATCAGAGAATCCCCTCGGCGGCTTCGGTCGCACCATTTCCCATCTTGTCATCACACTCAAGTCCGCCAAAGGCACGAAGAAACTCAGACTCGACCCTAGCATCTACGAAGCGATCCAAAAAGAAAGAGTCATGGTTGGCGATGTCGTCTACATCGAAGCAAACACAGGCGCGTGCAAGAGAGTCGGACGATCGGACGCCTACGCTACAGAGTTCGACCTGGAGGCGGAAGAATACGTCCCTGTGCCGAAGGGAGAAGTGCATAAAAAGAAGGAGGTCGTACAGGACGTGACGCTGCACGATCTGGACATCGCCAACGCCAGACCTCAAGGCGGCCAAGATGTAATGAGCATGATGGGCCAGCTGATGAAGCCCAAGAAGACGGAGATCACAGACAAGTTGAGAGCAGAGATCAACAAGGTCGTCAGCAGATATATCGACCAGGGCGTGGCCGAATTGGTGCCCGGCGTGCTGTTCATCGATGAGGTGAGTTTACCTTTGTTGTCGTGACAACTCCACGAGACTGACGTTGTGACTCTAGGTACACATGCTCGACATCGAATGCTTCACTTACCTCAATCGCGCTCTCGAATCGCCCATCTCGCCCATCGTCATTCTAGCTTCGAATAGAGGAAACACCGTCATTCGCGGCACACAAGACATCAGAGGTGCACATGGCGTGCCCCCCGATCTTCTGGCTCGTCTGCTCATCATTCCGACACACCCCTACAACGCCTCCGAAGTCCAAACCATCATTCGTCTCCGCGCAAAGACGGAAGGCCTGTCCATCTCCGACGCGGCTATTGAAACACTTTCCCAGCATGGCACCAACGTGTCATTACGGTACGCATTGCAGCTGTTGACGCCCAGCAGCATACTCGCCAAAGTCAATGGGAGACAGGAGATCGCTCCCGAAGATGTCGCCGAGTGTCAGGATCTCTTCATCGACGCCAAACGAAGCGCCCAAATCGTGGAGGCTTCGAACGGGTCGTTTATCAGCTGAAAAGGCTGGCGCAGGAGGAATCCACGAGTGAAAATGAGAATTCAATTACTGCTGTGTTCCGCATAAATGTTCCCATGCTTCACTTCACAGCATTGCACTGAGGCGTGGAAAGCTTGCTGTTCTAAGCGCAGGTGCTTCCGGCTTTGAGGGTGGCCGGCTGATTGGGAAAATCTTGAACTTGAGCCGACATGGAAGCCAACTCGAGTGGCCGGATCAGATCTCGTGTCTACGGTGTATTACCAGGTAGGAATGGCTCTTTCAGCGCCACGGACTGACGGCGGAGGACGACTACTGATGCGAAGAATATTGCAGGGCAGAATCCACGCCTACAACGAGTTTGTATTGCCTGACATAGTTTCTATTTGCTGTCCTGGCCAATGGCCCAAGAGAAAGAGACCGGATACCCAACGTAAAACGCAATGTTCCTGAGCTCTTCCAATCCAATCTCTTGCCTAGAACCCTCACATATGATCCTGCATCAATTCTCTTCTTGTCGCCTACAGAGATGAACTTAATGGGGCTACCTGTATTCAGATAATGTCAGCTTCGCAGGAACATGACAAAACATTCAAGTAGCATGAGTGCAGATATATTGCGAGTCAGACATCCAAGGAAGATTGCGCGCTCATCGACACCTGGACTTACAATGGGTTCATGCCAGGGCTAGCGTGGAAACTGCGAATGTGGAAAAGGTTTTCATCATAGAAAAAGGGAGTGTCGGGGAGGAATAACAGGGGAGGAACGTACATTGACAAACAGACATAGTCTGAATTCGAGACGAAGAAAACAAACCCTAGCACATCAGTCTGTATAGGCGTTAGCATCGATCCCGAAAAAAAACTTCAAGATCAAATTGAGTAGATGTTCACAGTCAGACATGATATACTGGCTAGTAACAGACCGTCCAGCGATGACGATCCGAATGTTTCTTCAAGGGCGACTCAGGATATGGTAAAGAAGTAGATTAAGATGTCATCTTTTGAGAAGTGCAGAGCAGGTGTGGAAGCTGATGGAGGAAGAAGGGCAACTCACCAAGGTAGTATGTCTGCAGGCGGTAGCAGGAAGAGATCAGTAGCCGAGTCAGAAAGCATGCTGTGAAACGTCTGGGCTCAGCATCAGAGCCTTACGTTTGTGCGGAACAGCGCAAACAGCAGCTGGAAGATGGGAAGGTGGAAGGAAGATTGGGAGAATGCAAAACAGAAAATATAGAAAATCTTTAATTACAGGGTGCAGAGCGCAGGCCGCAAAAGCAGCAAGATATATTCGTCCCCATTAAGTTAGAGGCACTTCAAGACTCGGGGCGCAGGCTTGGCAACCTGGCGCCTGCGCCGTTAGAACTGAACCACTGCTGCTGCAGCCCCCGAAGTGTGAGAACTGAAGTGACTGGCGGCCGCCTCCCAGCCAGCAGCCCGAACTCCCTCGCCGATCCTGCAGACTACCTGCTGCTACTACTACTGCTACCACTGCTACTGCACCTGCAACCACCACCACTACCACCACTACCTTGAACAACTGGTCCTTTGCATCTTCCGACACTATCGTCGCGGTCATCTTCAGCGACACACACTTCATCGTCCTTTGAGTCTCCCTGCTAGTCGCTCTTTCTCTCCTTCCTCTCTTTTTCTCCTCCTACGCCGCGCCAAGCGGGAAATCCGATTCCTCCTTCCGCTGTCGCTCTGCCGAAGCACCTGTTACCCGATAACACACCACACGTACACGATAGCCCAACCATCAACCTCACCTGATCCAGCAGTTCCACCCCTGCAATAGAGATCAGTCGAATATGAGGCCTATGCGCGCCAGCACCCGAGCCATCAGCCACCGATGAACCTGCTGTGTTCGTTGTCGCAACACTGACGCTGCCCCCATAGTACGAAACCCTCCCAGGAACATCCACACCGTTCCTCTGCGACGACACTTCTGCTGCGCATTGCACAGAACGGCAAGGGCTCGCATCGCAGACACGAAAGACCCCGCCGAATGCCCGATCTCGTCGACTACTCTACTCAAATGTAATCACAGTTCATCTTGTCGCAACCACCATACACATTCGGTAAAAGTGGGGCCAGAGGAATCGGAGGCGGACAGAAGAGACGGACGCTCAGAGAGATCCCAAAGTCCGCGAACGAACCGTTATTAGACGACGTCGCTTGTGCACCTTGGGCGTGCACAGGATTTTGGTTGTTTGGTGGTAGATCCCATCCAAGAGTAGGCGCCGCCGAAGATGATGGCCCAAAGCTTTCCGCCCCATGCGGGCATGGCTCCCGGACACCCAGGTATGCCCCATGGACATCCTATGGCGGGAATGCAACATCCAGGAGCCGGGCACATGGGAGGTCAGCCCGCACCTGGTATGATGCAGGGGATGCATCCTGGTGTATCGGGGCCACAGGTCACACAAGGACCTATGGTTACGGGTATGCCTCCAGGTGCCGGCACGCCTGCACCTGGCCCTATGCATAACGGCACTATGGCAATGGCACATCTGGGTCCCCAACAAGCCATGTTTCAACAACAACAACAACAACAACACCAACAACAACAAATGAACTTTGCTCAGATGCCCATGACGCCGCAACAGCAACAGATGCTTGCCCGACAGCGCATGATGCAGCAGATGCAACAACAGCAACAACAGGGTATGCCCATGGGGATGCCAAACGGTCCGGCTTACAATCAAGCCCAGTTGCAACAGATGAAGATGGGCATGGGAATCCATCCACAGATGCAAATGAACCCGAATAACCACCAGGTTCAGAATTTTCAGCAACAGCAACACCAGCAACGCTTGATACAGGCGCAACAAGCCCAAGCAGCACATCACGCCGCTCAAATGGCTGTCGCTCAGAATCAAAGAGTAGCTGCCCAGCAGATGCAAATGTCTCGATCTCAGGAACAACCAAATCAGACACCGGTGTCCCAACCCACGCCTGTCCCTCAGACTCAAGCGCCACAGCAACCCGTCCCAGCTTCTCAGCCTCAACCCCAACCTTCGCAACCGAAACCTCAGCAGCAGCAGCCACAGCCACAGCCCGGAGGTAACCATCAACAAAGCCAGCCCAACAGTCAGCAAGGGAAGACGAGTGTGCCGGAGGAAGAACCGGCCATCAAGCAACAACAACAGCAACACCACCCCCACGACGTGGCCGCGACCATGCTCATGCCGGAGGTGTCCAAACCGGATGTGATGATGGGAGGGCAGTGTATTCTGCAACTCATCATGTATCAGGACACATTGGCCTACCCGGACAGACCTAATGACCTGGAGTACTGGGAGCAGACCATTGCACGGTACTTTTCGCCGTTCGGATCGATACGACAACAGTTGTTCAGCAGTAAGAATGGTGACAAGTCCTTCCAGCTTCAGTTTCCGTCCCTGGCTCGCTACTATCACACGCACTTTGCGAGCGGCGTGAAACAAATTCTGTTGCAGTCGTACGACCACAACCAGAGCAAACTGCCGAATGGTGGGGTCCATATATGGAGCAGCAATGCGAGTCTGACCTATGTCTTCCACAACGACATCCGGGTGACGACGACCGGACAGCTGCGAGTTGTCTTCGACGAATTGGCGAAGATCGAACATCTCAACATTAGCACGTCTGGCTGGCAGGAATATATTCCTCGAAATGTGCTCTTGCAGCCGCCGTCGCCTGAAACGAAACAAAGTCCCAAGATCAACAAAAATGTCAAACGCGCTCAAGGAAAGGCAGCCGGAGCCAGTGCGCCGCCCATTATTCCTAGCTCTGGGGTTGGCGACTGGGGAGTGCCAAACCATGTCTTCCAATTTCTCGAGGTCAGTTGGTACGAGTGTGGGTGTTGAAGTCAAGTGCTAACAATCATTTTCCAGGTTGCGGAAGTGATGACCGCCATGGGGCCGCTCATGGAGTATTTCCATACTCATCCCGGAATCGGCATCAAGGAGACATTATACCGGGTCACCCACGAAAATGCCCAGGCCATGGCTCAGGTTAACAATGCGCGAATGCAGAATCACATGGCCCGCACCGCCAACGGTCAAGTGCAATACGCCAACCCAATGAACCCGGGCATGAACGGTCCTACAATGATGAATTCGCCTGGCATGGGACATTTGGGAGTTCCTCAAGCCCAGGGGTCGCCGCTTATGGGAGGTCCTGTACATACTCCGAGCCCAGCACAAAACCCCGCGGCAGGCGGCGTGGCGATGATGCACCAGATGAGTGCTCAGGGATCCAATCTTAGCGGAAGTCAGGGTCCCAGCACCAACACCAGCCCTAACGTCTCGAACAAGCGGCGCCGTGCAAGTGCTGTCAAGCTTGAGGAAGAGAATGCTGGCGGGGAGTCCACCGGGGCCAACAAAGTCAAGCCCAGCCCCAAGATTGGGGGAAAAAGGCAAAAGGGTGCCGCGGGTGCTTCATGAGAGAAGCTCGGATCGCTTTGGACGTCGAGACGAGGATTTCCGAGAAGGCGAACCAGCGTGATGTTTGAGATTAGTTGTTGAGCGATGTGTTTTTGCTGTTGTCGTCTTTTCTTTTGACTCCATTTGCATATAGTCCTTTGGATCTACTACAGGGGTTGTCGGTGTCGCCGTTCAGGGACAAATGTGAAAGGACATTACCGCCTGGGTCGTCGACGCTGTTATCCGGTCATGTCGGTCTTCAGCCTACAGAAACTCCCTGTCTAATGTCCACTACAGTTACCTTCAGACCTGGGGGTCAAGTCAGAGGAGATGGGGCGAGACAGGAGCTTATACTCCAGCGGTTCCTTCTCAGCTTCACCTTCAGCTCCAATTGATTTGTATCATATTAGTGTTTGTGGGAGACTCATCCTGGATATTCTTTCTCCCGCGTTTCACCTGTTTCGACCTGCCACTGGACGTTTTCCTCGCCACTGGAGAGATCGAATGAATGTCTGTTGGATGAAGTCTCAGGAGGGGAGATGAGGTGTGGCCTCGCTGGTCTATGTTTCGTCTGTCACCTGACACCTATTGTGTCTCTCCTCACGCGGCCGCCAAAGAAAAAGCAAGAAATGAACGGAGATGCGTCGTTCGGACCATGGAAAGGAGTTGGGGTCCGTGCAGTCCAGGGATGGCGGACGGATGGGACTGGGAGAGGGCATGGAAACGGACAAAGGGGCATGGCATGCGAATGCGAATGGTACTGGTATTGTTCTTGGGCTTGGACTTGCCACTGGAACTGGAAATGGTATTGGGAGTGGTGTTGAGACCGATCATCGACGTTGGAAATGCCATTGGTATTGGTCTTCGAGTTTGGCATTTGGCGAGTTTCAGCCGGATGCTTGCTTTAATAGAGATCGAAACGTCGCTATGTGTGTTTTTGAATCTTCTTGTTCTTCGCGTCGTTGGAATTGTGTTTGTGTAACCTACAGTAGTGGTGGTAGGAAAAGATCGAGTGACTAAGTCGTTCGTCCATCTGTATGGCGCCACAGGACCTGACTGTATCGCGGAGTAAAGGCAGTTCAAAGGTTGAAGATGCGAGTCAGATCGGGGGTAGGGGGAAATAAATACCTGTTTACATACTACCTACATGGCGAGATAGGTGCTAGGTAGCTGTAGCTGTAGCTGTAGCTATAAAACTCTTTCCGGCTGACGGATGATCTCAAATATACTGGATCTTCACCCTATTCCTACAAGAAGTTAAAATCAAACCACTATTCTGGTCTTCTCTCGCTCACATCACGGTTCGGGTTTCGTCATACTCCGGTTCAAGTCTCACGTTTTTAGATAAATATACCTCTATTGACAACTCCACTTACAGGCCCCTTCAAGTTCAGCATATCCGGGTTCCTTCGTGAGTCCAGAAGGTGTGGAGCAACCTGCAGAGACCTTCCCCAAGAACAAGTATCATTATCGTTAGACAAGAAGATATCACTACGGATACAGATACATATACGGATGATCGGAAGAGCCCACCCGATGATCTGAGAGACAGGAATCAGTACTACCTGACTTCGGAAGCTAATTCGGTCGTTGGAGTTGAATCAAGAGAGCTTGCAAGGCGAAATGTCATCCACATCACCATCGACGAAGGATTCTTCGATCCAGGAATCTGCCACTTTACGCGACACTCAAGTCGGAGGGAGGGAGAAGGGAAATGGGAACGGAAACACAGCGCTGAATACTATTCTGATTGGCATCTCGGGTCCGTCGAGCAGTGGGAAAACGACGCTGGCGAGGCTGTTGCGGACGATCTTTGACTTTGAGGTCACGGTCACGATCCCGGTCACTATTCAAGAGAAGACGGAGTGCCGGACGGAGAAGTGGAAGCTCACGCTGTTCGTGCTGCATGAGGATGATTTCTACAAGACGGATCAAGAGTGAGTCCCGTTTCCTCTTGCTCTACTACGCCTCTTTTCTCTTCTCCTTGTTCCTGAGAGCCTCTTTTTTTCTTGGATATCCTGTCACCGGGCGCCTGTCGCCGGTCGATGTCTGATATTCTCACTTGAGAGGACGCCATTGTCGGCTCATGGGGTTAGGGGACTATCATCCCTCGCAACCCAGAGAAACACAAGTACAGGCGAAGTCAGGCGTGTCCCGGTCATCCAGGCCCAAAACATCACGTCTTCGGTTCGGGTGCAACAAACATATCTCCCTCCCTACCGTCTCACACTGTCAAAGTGTAGCGCATCCCCCTGTGTCCTCTTACCTCTCACAAGCCTTGTCCCTTTCTCCCTGAGGCCATGATCCCCGTCCGAGAACGGACTTTCACTCAAGCCCCCCGACTCTCTTCAAGATATACCCGTCACGGATGTGTCTGTACCTTTTCCCGGTCATCTACTGAGCATGCTATCTCGTCTCTCCATTTGTATTATAACTGCTAACAAGATTTGATTCTTCTTCGCCTACAGCGTCCCAATCCGACAAGTAACCTCGCCTGAACACGGCACCCGCGACCTCCAAGACTGGGACTGCGTCGAGTCGCTCGACCTCCCCCTTCTGGAGAACACATTCCGCCACGTGCGCGACCACGGCACGCTGCCGCCCGAGCTGGCGAGCAAAGAGGATCAAAACGCCATCGGGCCCAGCGCGATCAGCGACGCCGACGTCCAGAACGTCAAAGAACAGGTGAAGACGTGGTTTGAGAAAATCGTTCAAGACCATCTTGCTGCCGCTGCTCGGACGACGAACCCTCCATCACAAGATCCCGACACGAGCCATCCAGGTTTGGGACTAGACAGAAGCCGCGAGATCCGCATCTGCGTCCTCGATGGGTTTCTGTTATACCCGGCGCCTCCTGAATCGACATCAACAACAACAGATCTCACCTCTTCTGCTGCTGCTGCTGCTGCTGCTGCTGCTTCCTCCTCTTCACGTTCGCCACAATCCGGCTCACGCTTGTCTCCTCCACCACCATCGACATCATCCTCCCTGCTCACCCATCTTCACGAAATCTCCCTCAGCCTTCTCGACCGCCGGCTCTTCCTCCCCGTGACGCGCGACCAGATGCTGACCCGCCGCCAGGCGCGCATGGGCTACGTCACGCTCGAAGGCTTCTGGGTTGATCCGCCGGGCTATGTCGAGGACGTGGTGTGGCCGAACTATGCGCGCGACCATGCCTGGATGTTTGTGGACGGGGATGTCGACGGTGCTGGGGTCATCGACCAGGAGAAGTGCAAGAGACATGGAGTCGACGTGTGTCCCGGTCGAGGAAGTATGGGGTTGCGCGACGTGTTGGATTGGGCTGTGGAGAGGGTGGAGGAGACCGTCGTGCAGAAGTTGAAATGAATCTGCTGCAATTGATATGAATGAGACAGCAGATTTCAGAGACGGCGGGCGCTGCTGCGTATGGAGACAAGGGAAATGATATGCTCGGATGTCATCCATCGTCTTGGATAAACGGTTGCATGGGACCAATGTTTGTAACGATGTGGGCATGGTATCTACGATCAGAGTTGGGCGACTGATGATGCTCTTGTAATCTGTATATGTATATCTCTCTCTCAAAAAATACATATCTATAGACATAGACTCCTAGACTCATGCTAGACTCCAGAGCTCAGAGACTTGCCTCGAGACGTAGATGACACAAAGGTGATCATGGCTGACACGGCATTGCATTTTGAATTATCTCATCTATCAACGCTCTTCAACCTCTAGTGTCCTTCGAGTCCATGATATTCACCTGGATTTGCCTCGTTGATAGAGCACATAGTCAACGAAGCGGTACCCCTTGTCCGGCCATGTCTCCTCCGTGTCCATCTATCAGGTGCAGGATCATAGCGACCACTGGCTCTGTGGACAGCATCATTGTCGAACTTTGACCGTGTCGCGCACCTTGTCCTCTTCCTGCGTTGGAAAGCCCAACCTTGGTGTCTTCTTCTGCTTGCCACGCTTGTCGCCAAACTGCTCGTCGAATTTCCTGATCTCTCTCAACGAGCTCATGTCCTCGGAAATACTGGCCGAGATCTCATCAAGAGCTCTCTCAAAGTGGGTCCACCGTAATGTCCGGCGCTCGGGATACTGGTACGGCTCCTCTCCAGTGTGTTTCTTCGCGAGCTCATTCTCCTCACGAACGGCATTCAGAGCGGCGGCAACTGCAATGTTCTTCAGGTCTGAGCCGGAGTAGAAGGGCGTCTTCTTCGCAAGGACCGACAAATCCACGTCTTCGGCGAGGTCTTCGTGTCGGAGATGGATCTTCAAAATCTCCAACCTGTCCGGCTCCGTAGGTAAATCCACAAGCAGGCGTCGAGGAAGACGACGTAGCACAGCGTCGTCAAGGTCCATCGGGCGGTTGGTGGCAACCATGATGAATGCGCTGCCGGAGTCATTGCTCATGCCGTCCCACTCTTTGAGGAATTGGTTCAGCAGCTCGCGATGACTGACACGGCGACCTTGATTGCCTCGAGCGCTGAACATGGCGTCCGCTTCGTCGAGGAAAACAACGCACGGCGAAAGCTTCTTGGCAAGACTGAACAACGCTTTCACGTTCTTCTCACCTTCGCCCACATACATGTCGTTGATGTCTGCCGCGCTGACCTCGAGCATGGTCGCGCCAGATTCTTTGGCAACGGCTTTGGCAGCCAATGTCTTGCCAGTACCAGGAGGTCCGTACAACAGCAGCCCGGGGATTTTGTCCGACGCCAGCACTCCGTACTTGAACGCGTCGGGCCGAATGAGTGAGAGAGTCGTCAAGGTCTGAAGAGTGTCGATGGTTTCAACAGGCATATGAACATCATTGAACGTCGTGTTGATGTTCTTTGCCTCAATGATCCCACCCATCAATCGTTTCTCATACTTCGAAGCCGAAGAGCGAATGCCGGCCAACCGCACATCCTCCTTAGATTTGGGTTTGGCTTGGTCTGGTAGCTCAACCTTCATTTCCTTTTCCTGCTTTTCCGCCCATCGTATCTTGGTCTTGTCGCTGTGGTTTAAGTGGGCGGTGGCAGCAGAGATGATGGGTTCAGAGATCCCTTGAACAGCAGCCAGTGAATCTTGGAGTTCTTTCTTGTCGGTAATGCCCGGGATGTTGCTGATCGGCGGAGCCGCTCCAGCTATGTATGTTGCCAGCCGTTGCACATATGAATAGCTCCACAGATGTGCTTCCAAACATGTCCTGTCGCTCCTGGTGACGTGGTTGAAGAAATCCCGTCGCCAGAACCCTGGCTCGAGATGGGCGAATACAGACGGTTTACGAAGACGCATCATTTCCCAAAGGTGTCGCATGTTGATTGTGGCAATTCGCTGTTTCCGGTCGTGAAGGAGGGCAAGCTTGGAAGTGGTGTTGGGTAGAACCGGAGTCAGAACGATATTCTGTGATACTTCGTCTCGCTCGCCCGTCTGCGTGTCATTGATCCGCTGTTTGGTGAACGGTTCGTGGTCTTCTCGTGCAGAATCTGTGCCCACCAGGAGAATGCTCGCCCCTGAGCTCCTGCGTTTTGCGACTTGGCGGTAAAGTTCTTGGAGGAATTGATTGCCAATGTTGACCTCCTGGATTGCCTCGAGATCCTTGACGTGTATAATGGCTGCATCTTTTGGTACACCGGTTTGCTTTGCCGTGTATTCGCGGAGTTCCTGCAACTTCAGAGTTCTTGCCGAGGATTGAGTTCGTCCCTTGTCAGCCGGTTCCAACCGCCGTTCCAGGAAGCCCGTCAGTAGGCTATCAACTGTTGGGGCGAAAAGGCGGTTTGGTTCTTGAGATGGGGTGCCGCTATTCATGTTCAACATATCAGAGACCAGCTTCATGGGTGATACAGGTATGTCTGACCTTGTTGTTCGTCCTGGAGCCGAAAACATCGTCTTCAGATCAATGGATATTGGCTTGCCAATGAATACAGGCATACCCATCTGAGGAGAAGAGGGCGGTGTTTCAAAATCGTCCATCATATCTTCATCATCCTCGTCCTCTTCTTTGGAGAGCTGCATTTGTCCCGCTTCAGAAGCAGTGGGATAAGCATTGGAAAAGACATCGTAGCTCAACATGCGCCCTGATTTCGCAACTCGCGATGGTTGATTTGACCGGTTGATCAAGTCTGCAATATCATGAGCATCCAGCACCATGAGATCGCAACCCAGATTTCGAGCTAGATCTTCGACAACATGATCTAGCAGTAAATCCCCATCTTTGCCAGCATACTGTAAGAGCAGATGGTCTTTCATGAAATCGCCGTCGGTCGAGGCTTTCGGGCTCTCTGGTATTTGCATAAGACCTCTTGCGGTCCTCTCCACCTCTTCATACTGTTCATCGATGACATAGTATCTCTTCCCAGATGAAGAACTCTGTCCGGCTTTTATTGATGACAGTTCCCCGGTCTCGGGACTCACTCCGTTCGATCCCTCGCCGTCTTCCAACGACGATTGTAAATTCACATCTGACTCTCCATCTTTGCTATCTCCGCCATTGGGATCACGGGGATTCCCACCCGGACTCGAGGGGTTGGTATGATCCAGTGGCTCGCCAGTGATCAGATCCGCGGGAACAACCTGAACCCTCGAGGGCGCGCCGACCGCAAGTGTCCCTTCGCCATATAAATGTATGTTGTTGGCCAACAACCACTCTGGAGTAGGGTTCTCGGGCTCTGCGTCCTTGAGCATGCGGCTTCGTAGTCTCCTCCTTGCAGACGAGCCATAGAAGTTCTGCGTTTGTGGTTGGTCCGCATTGTCGGAGGGAGTAAGGCTGGCGGTGGATTTGGTCTCTTCGAATCGTGCCTTGTCTCGTGCTATCTCCGACCGGACTTCGAGGCTGCTTGCATCTTCGCCGAGGTCACGACCGTTTATTGAGCTGGAATTGCTTGTAGGATCTTGGGGGGCACGAAATCGGGGTGCGGTATGAAAGGAACGTGTTCTGCTGGATTGCCGTCGGGCGCACTGCCGGCAAGTGGACTTTAGTATCTGCGTGAACCTAAGTTCCGCATGCAAAGTAGACTGCATTCGAGCGAGCGACGAGCAGTATAGGTCAGCGATGAGCAGAGCGCCGACTTTTCCTTCTCCCTTGTTAACTTCGAGATCATTTCTACACCATTTGCAATCACAGGCGTCTAGATACTAATGATTCTCCGTATAGATAGTAATGTCTGAATGCACCACCGTAGGATCTGATAGAAGTCTTTCATATATTCGCCGCTTTATGAGATTTTCTTCATGTAATTCTTTCCATCGTCAACAGCCAAGTCGAGAACAGAATGCCGCCTTCGATATGCGAAGTCTGCAAGGACGCTCGAGCGGCTGTCATCAGGCCTAAAAACTCACAAAAGATTTGCAAGCAATGCTTCCTGACGGTCTTTGAGAGGGAGATCCACGAAACAATAGTGGCTAACAACCTCTTTCATCGCGGAGAACGAGTTGCCATAGGCGCTTCTGGTGGAAAAGATTCAACTGTCCTGGCCTCGGTGTTGAAGACTCTGAACGAGCGTCATGACTATGGTCTGGACCTGGTCTTGTTATCCATCGATGAGGGAATCAAAGGCTATCGGGACGACAGCCTCGAGACCGTCAAGCGGAATGCTTTACAGTACCAGATGCCTCTTGAAATTGTGGGATACGACCAACTTTATGGCTGGACCATGGACCAAGTGGTGGCACAGGTAGGGAAGAAGGGGAATTGCACCTATTGTGGCGTATTCCGCAGACAGGCGTTGGATCGAGGCGCCGCCAAACTGGGAATCAAACATGTGGTGACTGGCCACAATGCGGACGACGTTGCCGAAACCGTCATGATGAATCTCCTCCGTGGAGATCTACCACGCCTTGCAAGGTCTACTTCTATTGTCACCTCCAGCGCGGCCAGCGACATCAAACGAAGCAAACCTCTCAAATATGCCTATGAGAAGGAAATCGTGCTATATGCCCATCACAAGAAGTTGGATTACTTCAGCACAGAGTGCATCTACTCGCCAGAGGCATTCAGAGGAAGTGCAAGGACGCTGATCAAAGACCTGGAGAAAATCCGACCGAGCAGTATTCTGGACATTGTCAAAAGTGGAGAGGACATGGCAGCACTTGTGCCACCCGAAGTGAGCGGGTCGATATCTTGTGCAGCAGAGGCCGAAGGAGAAGCGAACGGTTGCGGGAGTAGGAATACAAATGGTGACTCGATGGATCTCATGGAGAAGCAGATCGCAGCCAATGAAGCGGCCGCCTCTCTAGAGACCGAGATAAAGCTGCCAACCGCACCAGCCGAACCAGCGGCGAGAGATTCAGCACCCGTGGTGAGCATCCATGACAAGAAAAGCAAAGGACGCCGAAAGGGCAAAATAAACAAACAAGTCATGGGTCAGTGCGAGAGATGTGGCTACATGTCCAGTCAGCAGGTCTGCAAGGCTTGTTCGCTCCTTGAAGGCCTCAACAAGAGCCGCCCGCAGACGTCAATTGAAGTGGGTGTTGAGGACGAGGAAGGCAGCACAACTTTGATGAGGCAGATTGCTGGCATTGTCATATCGGCCGGTTAGGTGTCTGTCAAGCACTTCTCCGTGATGCTATCCGTCTATCTACGACAGTCGCCAGTCTACGCCAGCTGCCTTCAGCAAGCAATATCGCTATCTGCACTATCAGGACAAACAGCCTCAACAGATGGTCCTTGATGGTCAATGCCGGCTTCCCACCACAGAAGACTGCCGAATCGACAAACTCAAATGGCAGTGTTGCTCCTAAATGGTACATTGCAACAGACAGCCCGCTTCTGAAACCAGCTTCATGAAACCCATCACCGGTCCACGCGCCGCAGTAACTGATGTTCCGAGTGTTCTGTATGCTGGGCAAGAGTCGCTGAGCTTCGGTTGCAGCGGCATGGAACTGCGGATGAGAATATTCCCAGATACCATGAGCTTGTCTAGGATCCGGCATCGTCAGGGGATTCAGAGTGAGCAGAACGGGACCGAATTCATCTCCGGAAATATGCTGGAGCGAGTTCGCCCAAGAAGTCAGGCAGACTTTGGGTACGTTTCGGGTTCGTCTCGGAGGAAATGGAGATTCTGTGATACAATTCCACGACGACCATGCCGTGCGAAGCTTCGGCATTAACGAGATGTCCGAATGCAGAACTGCAAGATTCCTAGTGCTATGGAATCTACTTAAGACCTGAGCTTCTTCCGTGGTCGCTGCAAGCCCCAAGATCTGAAGAGCCTGGTCTCCATGGGTGGCCAGGATGACGTGGTCGAATTCCTGGTCTCGGCTGTTGGCTATGAGCCTCACAGAAGCTGTCCCTGTGGACGCCAGAGCAGTGACTTTGCATTCGAGGTGAATTCTCTCTGTGGGGAAATCCTTCAACACTGCGTCAATGTACTGGTTCGCACCACCGGGAATGATAAGCCAGTTCGACCGCTTCGCAGCTGTACTCAACAGATGGTGGTTGTACATAAAGCGAATCAGAGTGTGGGCGGGAAACTCCAAAGGACACATGTCGAGACTTGTACTCCAGATTGCGGCAGCCACAGGAACAAGATAGTCGTCACGAAAGCCCTGAGAATAGCCTTCTCGGTCAAGGTATTTCGCGATGGTCTCTCGGCAACTGGTTTCCTCATTCTCGCTATCTTGCTTATCATTCAAGACATCAAGGGCAAACTTATCGAACCGGATGACATCGAATATCAGTCGCCACATACTCAGACTGAATAAATTTCTCCTTTGCGCGAAGATGGAAAACAGCGAGGTCTCAGCCCACTCAAACGTCCCTTGATCACGAGAGATCCCGAACGTCATCTCAGTTTTCGCCGTCGGGACACCTATTTCGTTCAGGAATGCGAGGAAGTTTGGACAAGTAGCTTCGTACAGGACAGTGAAGCCCGTGTCAACCTGAATTGCGCTCCCATTGGGGCCATTGTATGTCACGGTATTGGAGTGTCCACCCAGTCTTGATGCCGATTCGAACAAGTGCACTTCATGATCGGTACTGGTGTGCAGCGCCCACAGAGCACCTATCCCCGAGCATCCGCTCCCGACGATAGCTACTCGTTTCCCCATCCTTGAAGTATTGAGATGGACGGATGGAGGCGCCGTAAGGACGAGCAGAGGCTAATGTCGCCTTACTCATGATCGGCGCAGGCGAACAGTACCGTCAGGTAGCACGTGCGGGGCCCACGTATGCCCTAGAGCTGGGAAGATTTGTGGACAGCTGATAGACCAGAATGCCTAAAGAGTCTCAACCAAATATGTATCTCTTCGCTCGCCAGATTCCATATCTCAGGGTTAGCCCGTTAAAGCGGCTAGATTTTTCGAAGCGTTTAGAGTGGCTCGGGGCTTATAGCAGCAACATCCTCAACCAATCTGGGCCAGGAACCACTGCAGGCTGCGGCATCTTCCAACATGTTCCCTCCGCATCAAACCATCTCATATCGCCGCATATCCACTTCCTTGGTTGCGCATTGGGTCTCAAGTTCCACCAACGTACACTACCCAGAGAACTCACGCAACTGGCACATCCGAGACAGTTCCCGCGAAGCAATAAACCTTCCTGTCTCCGAAGCCTTCCTTCAGGACGTTCCAACTCGATCGAGGACCCGTTAGGCGCCATTGAATCCATCGCCGACAGACCACCGTGGCCATGGCGAACCCTCTCGACACCGATGCCGGCTCGGAGCTGTTCAGCACCTACGAGGCCGAACTGAAACTTGTGGAAGCCGACATCAACCAGAAACTAGACCAGGTACCAGAGCTGGCCGGCGAAGAGCGCAAAGCCGCCATCCGCGGTGCGGAGCGGGCACTCGAGGAGGCGAAGGAGCTGGTACGTGAACACTCGGAGACCCTTGCGGTGTTGTTGGCTTTTATGATACAAGCATCACTGACATACTAACTGTGGGACACAGCTGGACCAGATGAACCTAGAGAAATCCAATATTCCGACCTCGGTGCGGTCCAAGGTGAACGCTCGATTTCGCAATCACCAGTCCGACGTGGACGGCTTGAAACGCAAGTTGAAGTCGCTGGCCGACACGGACCGCAAACAACTCTTCGGCGATCGATACACAGATGACCCTGAGGCCGGCCTCCGGGATCCGCAACTCGAGCAGCGTCAACAGTTGTTGTCGGGCACGGAACGGTTAGGACGCAGCAGTGACAGACTGAGGGATTCGCAGCGGATTGCGCTCGAGACGGAGCAGATTGGTGCTTCGACCCTGGCAGATCTGCACCAGCAGCGCAATGTCATTGAAAACACACATCGCAATCTACTGCAAAGTGAGGGTTATGTGGACAGGAGCGTCAAGACGCTGAGGGGGATGGCGCGTAGGTGAGAACCATTTCATTCCCATTCCCATTCCTTGATCCCTTGGCTGGGGCGCCGTCACATCAGCCGCGAGCACATGGCTCTTCCCGGTACCATGCAACGCCGTGCTAACTGGGAAGCATGACAGGATGGCTACCAATCGGGTAATCACGATCGCGATCATTACGGTGCTGGTACTCCTTATCATTGGCGTGATTTACAGCAAGTTCAAGTGAAGCGGTGCTGGGTTTATGCACATTGTATCGGTCGGAAGGGGACTGGCAGATGGGGTGTTTCGGCGTTTTGAGAGGGTGTCGCAAAACCTTCCCGTCCTTATCTGTAATCGGATATACAAAATTATAGAGCGGGAACCCGACACAGAAGGCCAAATCGTACAAACGAAGTCCTGGGTAGCCTTTCATTTTATGCCCTTGTCTCTCTCGATCTCTCTCTTGGGTATCACTGGCGAGCCCGGCGCCATGTGCCTGGCTGCAAGGGTCAACGTAAATGGAAGGGTGAAGGTGACTATAACACTGGCAGTGACCGCCCGGTCGCCTCATCTACCCTGTATATCTAATGATGCCCAATCCGATATTCAACATGAAGCCAACCATGACTGCCATCTTGCGCCGCTGGCTCCAGATGCCTTCCTCGCGCACTCCCCACATAAGACAGCCGATTGGCCAGAAGAAGCCCATTGCAGTCCCCCAAATCATATCATCCAGCGCCCCAACTTGCGTGTCTTCGTCCCCGGCCCCTGCACCTGTGCCGAAACCACCAGGTCCATCGCCCAATGTCCCTGGATCTCCTCCCGCCGTGTCCGAGCTGTCGAGCCATCGATCTTCCATGTCGCGTAGCGTGTTCGGGCTCGGCATCGTGTCGGGAGTGTGCGTGTGCGCCTGGATGGCTAGAAACTGGAGCCGAAGAGATTGGACCTCCGCCGGGGTGAAGCCAGCATTCAACAGCCTGTCGAATCCTCGGGGCGCTGGAGTCGTGGTTGTTGGAGGCACCCCACCGGTGGCAGCAGTGCTGGTCCCTTTTCCCTTGTCATACACATCTTGTTCTCCATCGCCATTCTGTGTCGACGCACCGTTCTGAGCGCAGGTGGCTTCGGCAGCTAGTTCGGCGGGGGAGAGCACGATATCTCCGATCGAACAGTGGATGTAGATGCGCGACTGGGCGGGTGGATCGCGCACAGCGAGTTTGCCTTTCCCATTGTCCCGGGTTCTGTCCTTGTCCTTTTGCGCTGCGCCGCCATTCGACTTGCTATTGGGGGATCCATGGTAGGGCCCTGGCGTGCCGATGCGTGAAGTCGGCCTGCTCACGTTCCGTCTGAGAGATGCACTAAGTGGGACGTCGTCAACAAGGGCCTTCCCAGAGTAGATCAGGCGGATACGTCGTGTCGCATATTCGTCTGGGAGACGGGAGCGGATCAATTGCTTCAGGGTCGCTGTATTGGCGTGCAGTGAGCAAGGGATCGTGAGGAGGAGATCGGGGAGGGAGGCGGAAAAGCGGATGGTTAGGTCCAAGTCGACATCGTGGTCTTCGTCGGCATGCGGGACGGACGGTGGTTTTAGGGACATACTAGAGGCGGCATCGATGGGAGGATGTTGGCGCTGCTGCGAACAGGCATGCTGTGCACACAACGTCCGCGGAGCGTTGTGGCGTCAAGCAAGTCCTGCCTTGCGGTGGATGGACTTGGAAGCAACACTAGTGGTATTCTCAGGTGCAAGGGAGAATCAGAGAGGGGATGTACTACTAAGTACCCCAGGAGACGTCGTCCCGCTGCCAGCCTTGGCTTGAGGTTGCCAAGCCCGGTCAGGGTCCAGACGAGGCTGAACATATACGTACATTAGGTAGGTACCTACATATACCTAGGTACCTTATGTACCTACTAGGTAGTAGCAAAGTACATACCTCAAGTATACAAATGTACGTACGTACATATATCATTCGACACCTAGATGCTTTGCCTTTACAAGACGTGTCAACCCAATCTTACACGGCTGACCTCGTCTCCATGAGCCAGGTCATGGTATATTGACTTTTACCAACATGTGATCACTGATCAATACTTCGTGCTTCGTCCTTAAGCAGCAGCGACAGCAACAAACGTGGGTGCTGAGTCTGGGCCTGCCCCTAAGTCTGCGAGCTGCTGATATCACCTAGATCCTCGTTCTCGAACTTCTTCTTTTCCTCCTCCGTTCTTGGCCTATCTCTCGATTCTCTCAGGCATCAACATTGGCTCTCTTCACTTTGTGCTCTTCACGGGGATGTGGCAGCTAGAGACTCCCGTCCATTGAATCTTCCTGCTCGGCTTCTTTTCCAATATCGCCCGATCTGGGTGGCTGGGGGAAAAGGGTGATGGTTTCGTGTTGTTGGGGTTTCGTACGACTCAAGTTGAAGGTTCAAAGGTCCACCGGGGGAAAACAAATGGCACGGTAGTATTCAGCAAGGATGTGGTTGAGATATATGCTTTGGACCTTCCCTCAATGGGGATGTTTTCCAAGAAATATAGTCGAGGTTGAGCATTGGAGGGAGAGCGTACCAGACTCGGACCCAATAGCCCAAACCTACCTTTATATAGTTGGTTCAGCGAGTTCTTCGTACCAAGCAGGCTGCTGAATAGCATCTTGAAAGAGATTGAGTGGAAAGCAGTAAACTGGATGTCGTCGTCCACCCCCAATGCCCCTTGGCAGCTTTCTTCTCAGGAATCAAGATATATGTATGCCCTTGTCTTTCTGTTCTCTGCTTCTTTTTTCTTGTCTTCTCTTTCTTCAGACACTCACACAATTCACAAGACTCTCATACAAGTTTCTCATACAAGTCATAAGACACATACAAGTCACAAGACTCTCATACAATTCATAGAGAGCTTCACACACAAACATATGTGACTGCCAATATCAGGACACAACACAAGCACTCATCATCCACAAACACAAGCAAAAAGTCCTTTCAAGACTCACCGCTGCCAGCAATACTCACTGGTCTCCATCATCACGACGAAAGTCATTGAACACATCTTCTTCCTCCAGCAAGGAAAGACATCAAGACATTAAAATGGGTTGCATGTGCTCCAAACCCAAGGGACATCCCAGCCATCCTATGAGTATGGGACCTCAAATTGTCGTTCCCGTGGCAGTTCAAAGCATATCCCCAACAGTAACAATCAGAGGCACGCCTCTACAAGCCTCACAAGCAAGCAACAGCCATCACACAAGGGGGTCGTCGGCCAGAGTCACGCCCCCAAGAGCCTCACATTCAACCAACAGCCATCACACTGTGGTTCACACAAGAGCATCATCGAGCAGAGTCACAGCTGCAAGCAACAGCCAGGGCAACAGCAACAGCCAGGGCAACAGCAACAGCCAGGGCAACAGCAACAGCCAGAGCAACAGCAACAGCAACAAGACCGGGGCCTCTAGTGACTCGGTCCAGAGGGAGTGGAACAGTTTGGTGCGGAATACAGACTTCGTAATTCCAGCAGCACTAGCTCGCTAGGGCGCCCAAAAGTGGCATCTCGGGGAAGGATCAAGACTCAACAGTATGGAGGGGGCATCTTGGGCAAGAATTTGACATCAAGATTTGGGAAGATACTGCTCACATCAGAGCCAGAAGGGAGAAAAAAACGGGAAAAAGGGAAAAAAACACAAAAAAGAGGGGGGAGCCCAGCGAAAGACAGGCACCTTCTCGTGGTGTTGGGCGTGAGTAGCCAGGTGGGATGGGAGCGTTGAAGACCTACTGACGAAACCAAGACCTGTCTGATGATAGTAGTAGTACCGTAGGGACCTGAGGCATTGTAGTAGGGGACAGTGAGGCGGAGGAGACTTCGAGTTGGCACAAATGGGTGGTTGATGGTTCGCGAAGTGATATACTATTGAATGCGTACCTACGGTAGGCATGAAGTGTAAAAGTCGGAGTGTCGTCTCCAATATTTATCAATGGTGGAAGTTTAAGAGGCGGCAAGGATTCCGAGTCTGAAGGCTGGAGAGAAGCATAAATCTGTAATCTGTAATCTGCGGGGCTCCCTAGGCTCCATGGGAGGCTCTTAAGGCTTAGGAGGCTGCCAGTTAGATCGTCAATCAATCGTCATGCCTTTGAAAGGTTCCCACTGCATGATGGCGTCAAAGCGCCTACCTTAGGTATCTACTAGTACTACTATTAGTACCTAGCAACTACTCCACCACGTCTGTGCAGCCACGTGAGGAGATCGATTTTCGATTGAATGCTCCAGCGGGTGATAATCCCATACTATTACTACCTTGGGTAGGTAAGTATAACACAACAAGTGACACTGACACGGAGGAGGAGAACAGAAAAGAATAGAGGTAGACACCCCTGTTCGATACGCACAGCTGTGAGATGGTGGCACCTGGGAGCCGTGACGGAGTGAGACTGAGATAGGCTGCGTGTTGTTTTAGGTACCTGTATGCCTATATGCTACAGTACTCTAAGTCCCGAGGTGAGAGAATGATGTCTGCAGCAAGCTAAGATCACGCAAGGCAGGTCTATCCACTTGCTCTCTCATTTTCATCCTCCAACTGTCGATTGATGAAGCAATCATCACGAATCGTCCCGTGGAACGGGTCAAAGAAAAGCTCTTCGCACCTCTTCACTACTCGTAGTTGTGTGACTGACCCATTGCACTTTTGTTAGTCTACCAGTAGTAGGTCAAGGATTGAGTGGGTAGTAACTTACCTAGGTAGTTACTATGTACCTTATGCAGAGTACGATCCCTTATTCCCCCATCGCCCTTATGCCAGTGGCGCATTGCAATGGACCTATGATTCGATAGGCCGCGTCACTCCTCGACCAACAACAAGAGCCTCAATGCTTCCAAAGTCATGATTGGGGGCTTCTCGTCCGTCATCAGCGTATCACGAACCAGCGCGACCGTTAGACCCAACGATTGCCCCGGACAGTGACTACTAGCAGTAGTGGTTGACAGTCAGAGTGGGTGGATCGAACTAGGAACTGCGCTCTTCCGTGACATCTCGGCCCACGCCAGAATGCACGCGCACAGGCACCGGCAAAAATCTTAGAATCCACCTGGAAGGACTCGTGAGGGTCAGATTGCAAATGTTCAATGCCCATGGTTGAAGCACAGATGGGGAGAGATGATGGGTGACCCCTCCAATATCTGAGTCGGCAACTTGGCCACTCCTTGTGAAGCGTAGCACTTCTCTCGATGAAATCAAACAACTATCACTGCAGTGAAGGGCTCGTGGGCTGGTTATCGTACGAGTGAAGACAATCGTATTCATCTAACCACTAAAAGAGGTCGAGCTCATTCATACCCAGTAACGAAAGATAAAAATCATTCATGAACTTGAAGACGTAGTCCACGGGGGAGATGGCTACCCAGCCTAAGCCCCAAACCCGCCTACCCTAGCCCCCAGCGCTGCCCCCCGGGGACGTGTGGCGCCTTCTCATTGCGGATGCTGGTAATCTCACGCGGGTGGTTCTGAGATGACCTCGACTGGCCTCCAAGTCTGTTTTCGCACCACGCCTCAGCCTGTGACTCGACAATCATCCTCTACTACCTCCTGCATCATCAGATCCGGTCAATTCCACCCAAACTCGCTCGGCCACCTGCGGTACGGTAGATTGCGTACTTTTGCCTGCACCACACCTTCGAACCCCACCACCACCTACTGTCCTCCCATCTTGTGTCAATAGTCGGAGAAGAACCAGCAAGAGTCGGTCAACCATATCACACTCATATTCTGAGAGTATTTTTTGCAGACAGCCCTCTAGTACGCACTTGCACGCACAGCCCCGGTGTGACTCCGACCCCCTCTCTGGCAGACACAAAGAGAGCGACGCTGTAGGTTATTGCCAACACCGCAGCCATGAGGTTTGTGAATCCGTTTCACGAGTCTTCTTGCAGATAGATGTCGTGCCCAGACGTCGGAGTCCAAGAATGGGTCGCGGAAGAGACCAAGTGGGAGACGCAGGTGCCTGGAGCAGGCAGACCCTGGGTCAAACACCTCAGCTCAACCAGCGCGAGTCCATTGAAGTTCATCTAGTTGGTGGCATCATGAACCCCGGAATACCGATGAGTCTTGAAACGGGATTGTACCAAACGCCAGTGTTGCAGAATTGTTGACGTCGGCAGGAAGCCCAAATGTGTGTAGACTTGTTCACAAGGCACTGACACCGCGTTCCTACAGTTCCACCAAATCCACGATTGGAAGCGTCTCAGACTCGGCTCGCTCGACTTCTTCGCGCAATTCCGTCGGCGCCACGTCCAATGTATCGTCCGGCTCTTCGACCTCCATTGGTGCCGACGATGAGGAAAAGCCCATGTTGAGGCACTACCTCGATGAGCTGCGACTCGATGGACCATACTATCTTGGTCAGCCGCCAAAAGAGCGGAGGAACCAGCTGAATGGTAGAGTGGCCGGGATTCTCGAGCGCATGCACATGGCTTCGATGAATGCTGCGCAAGATCAGGAGTAGCGACATCGAAGGGATACTGTTGCTTTCATCTGGTCAGTGCATATTGGCCCGACACCAACGACGACTATTTCCACTGATGATGACAGACCACCCTCGTTTACAGTTCTCTTTCCTTTGTTCGAACCACCAGCCCATCCGGCGGAACAACTTTCCTATTTCCAAGGTCAGCAGGGGAGTTGGCTGTTCTCACATATATGCATCCAGAACGAAGGCATCTTCCGGTGGACCACACCGTCCGGGAACCTATTTCTCAGCGACAGCGACCTCTCGCCATGTCTTGAACCCTGGAACGCCGCATACTGGAAAAAAGATAATCCGACCCGGGGTTGGAAGACTGGGTGGTGCAAGCCACAAACCATTCATTGGGGTCAAAAGGCAACCGGCAGTCGAGCTGAAAGGCAACAATTTGGTTGATAAGCCGGCCCAAACCGTTCAGCCTCATGGAATCTAATATCGATGCGATGCTTCGAATGCAAGCCCGAGCACCTTTTCACACGATCACAATTTGGACAAGAACAATTCTGAGATTCATCAAATCCACTGACGACTGCCGGAAGCCGGGGACCTCAGCCCCTACGGCATTCGAGCAACGGCCAGAGTCGGGGAGAGATTGAATCAAGAGAGCCACGGAATGCTGCAAGTGATCTCAGAGTATGCTGTTGGGGTTGTTCCATTGTTGGGCAGGAAGGAGGCACTTTCTATATGCCTCGGAGAAGAGGAAATGCCAGCCTCCGACTCAGGCGCTGCAAGGTCTCTTATGAGCACAGCTGGCCGCCTCCCGGGTCTGCTCAAATGTTGTTGTCCGCCCTTGCCGCGAAACCCCACCGGGGTCATCGACGCCATATGCCTCAGGCGCAATTTCCATCAATCAATGAGAAGCAGCAACCAGACGAATTGCACATGGCCCCGCAAACGATGACACGGGTCAAGCAGCCATCTTGCCTGTTGCGGCTTAGTGCGGTATGAACGTTACTCCTTATCACACAGTCATCAGGCCTTGGGGTCAAGAACTGGCTTTCAGCTCGGGGCACTGCAGCGCCGCCCGCCTTCATTTACCAGGCATCCTGCCCTGCATCCAAGTCATCAGTCGTGAATGGTGCCACACACATCTGCACTACAGACGAATGACAGCCTGTTGCCGCTGCAGGCGTCTCGCCATTATCATCGCTTGTAGCATGGCCATGGATTTCATGTCGCAAGGCTGTATGAGAAGTTTGGCCTAAGCTGCGGGAAGGACGGCATGGCAATGCGTTGTCTCTGGGTGAGTCGCAACTCGACAACGAGTCTCACTCCTAGGCCGTCAATGCTCGTGTACTTCGACATTGAGAAGAACTGCGACCTCCCCAGGCTGGGGTTGCCGCGACAAATTACTGAATTGGTACCAACGAGCATGCAAAAGATTGCCTGGCTTCATCTGACATACTGCTCTTGGGTCGAAATGTCCCAGCTGTGTGCCACTCGGGAAACATGAGCTCCTTGCTCCTGACCAGTGTCAGCAAGAGCCAGGAGCAATTGACCTAGGGTTGTTTCCAAGCATCGCTCGTATTGGGCAGGCTGGTCTGGATGCTGCCTAATCATGGTCGGAGCAGACATACAGAATGACCCAAGAAGACGAGTCACACAGAGGGTCGAATGCTGGGGCGAGTATCTTTGCCTCGTTTGCCACGTGTCGCATCTCCTGCGCCCAAAAGGCTGCTTGCACTGCTGACTGTGTCGATATGAGCCGGCCTAATTATATGGATTCCCAGGTGGAAGGAAGGGATGGTCTACTAATTCTGCTTTTTCCTATTCTGAATGCTGATGATTCGGTAACATATGAAAGATTTCGCGTGGACCCCGGAGAAGTGACTGGGCTAGCTGCCACCAAAAAAAAACAGTCTAAACATCAGAACTCATGGCCAAAAAAAAAGAGTCGACTGTGAAACCACACACGTCAGTACCGCAGCACAGGTTGCATCGAGCGAAGAGGTGCAATACACTGTTTCGCACGACAGCTACTATTTCCTACCCAGGTCAAGTCGGTTGGCGTTTGATGGCGTTTTTGAAGAAGTGACATGTGGAAAGGGCGATTTGGTCAATGGCCACCGAAATATATATTGAAACCCAGGTAAACATGTTTGATGGGAACCCAGGAACAATCAGAGCACAGACTTCATTCGATGGATCAGACCACCAGACACGCCATGGGGTGCTGATAATGGATCACATGAACCAGCCATCACATCACTCAGGCAGGCAGCACTCCTTCTGACGGAGAGCATGTCTGGCTTCTTACGGTCAACAGCACGAACGAGGGCAGCTTGGGATCGGATCAGACATGGGTGACTACATTGCAATTTTATCAGACTTTGTTTGCGTTATCACGGATAACAAGAGGGGAGCATCTCTCGAACAGAAATGTATTGTTGAGAGTCGCACTGGATGATGTCCTCTCCGTCTAGGGAGCTGCAGGGGATTGCTACAGAGTTATATATGGTGCTTAGACCTGCTTATTTTATGTATTTCCATCCTCTTGTCGCTCAAGTTACGTACCTCAATACACGATAGGGGGCCATTACAGTCAGATTCCACCAGCACTAGGTGATCTCATGCAATGAATAAAACAACCAAAAGAAAGACATTATCTATAGTCTTGTAAGGCATAGGAAGCAATGCAAGCAAGTGGAAAAAGAAGACGATGATGCTGACTATGATGACTCTCTATTCGAGAATGTCTTCATTCATGTTTCTGCGGTTCTATGCAGCCATCGACAGTCCGGCTACAGAATAGGCACTCTTCTACCCAAAACACTACAGCTGGTGCGTACACCGACCACAGGATCGAAGAGAGCACGAGATGAAAGGCATGGGGGAGAAGACTCCAAGGACAGGATTCATTGTTGTTCAGCGCGTAGAGCCAGAGCCAGAGCCATAGCCAGTCCATAATCGTTAATTACTAGTATCATCAATCCAAACATCCCGATCGGTGTTGACCGGCATCAATTCCGCTCCAAGGTCGTCCGCCCAAGGCGATACGCCGTCGATCTGCCCAATGGCATCGCAGATGTAATCCTGTCCCGCCAAATCAATCACATGCGCTGGATGATGGGCTGGATGGGCAACAAGAGCTCGGGCTTTCTCGAGACATAAGAGCGGGCCAAATTCAGGCTAGAATTCTTTGTCACGACAGGGAAACTGCAGTGGCAGACTACTAATCCGGTCACTGTTGCGGCTAGATGAGTCCGTCCAGTCTGAAACCGCCGGGTGTTGGAAGGTAGGAGAGGGAAGATTGGTCGAACGTGAGCAAAGGTGGTGGAACGATTGGTGGATCAGATTTCGAGACCTTGTTTGAGGCCGTTGTTTGGTATCTTGCATGCTCGTTGAATCCGCGCTGCGCCCGAAAATCAAGTGTCTGCCTGCCTGCATCGTGCATATCAACTGCAACAAGGCATCCATGCTCTCTTTTGGTTGTGTTTTTCTCATACAGACATCGACTCCATGCATTCGTCAACTCGTCATTTCGTTTCTATGTCGTCCAGCTTTGCATTCTGTGCCAGAGATTTTGGTCTGCTCTAATGTATGCTCTTGAGATGCTCCACGAGGGCTTGGACCTGCTCTCGAACCTCATCGGTCAACTGCTCCTCAGGCTGCCCGAGCACGCTCACCATGATAGGAGCGAGCTTTGGGGTAAGCTGTTGCACTGTCGCGTCCTGTTCGCGGTAGAGTTGAACAATCATCTTCCAGACCGGTTCGTTCTCCTGGTAGTCGTCCTGCAGAGGGAGAATTCCTCCATCGACAAGGGCGGGGAGGACCTGTGACACTGGCACCTTGTCCTTATGTTTCATGATTAGACGCGCCAAACAGCCAGCTGCGTTGTCGGTGCAGCGCGCTTCTTGAATGTGAAGGATAGGTTCGAGTTTCTGAAGAATCTGTGGATATGCCTTGGTAGTGGTAGCGTCGTCGTTGGATTTCTCGACCAGACGCCCAACAGCATAAGCTGCGTTTGACTTTGTCTGCGCATCTTCGTCACTGAGACGCTTGAGCAGAACATTCATCATCTGAGCCGTGAACGGGGTAACTGCGCCTTCCATCCCAGTGATGACTTCTGCAAGTACGCCGCATGCAGACGCGCGGCCTAGAGCTTCGCCACCGCTCGCATAACGCAGGACCTGTTTCTCGAAGATCTTCCATAGTTCTCCAAAACTGGGGCCTAGGGCAGCGGCGAGGCCGGAGATGACATCCATGGCGCTGTCAACAACCAACCATTCCAGCTCGGTCGATTCCATATCTTCTTCATCCAAGGCTTCATCTGCCATGTCAATTTGGCAGGGGTGCTTCTTCGTAATCAAATCCGTTAAGGTCTGCACGATCTTGCCGAGGACATCAGGATAGGAGAGGAGTGATGGTCCGGTCATCTTGAGGTTCTCGGAGAGAGATCTTGAGATCTCAGTAACTGTGGCACTATTTCTTCTGGTCAGCATGTAACTCATGATAAGACGAGTTGAAGAAGCTGCATTCAAATGGGCCATCAAATTCAGAGGGTTGAAGATCGTGTTCGCTTCATCCACGTTTTTCGTGTCGGAGTGAGCTGGGATAACGAATGTAACTCATCATGATAGTTGGACTGCAGATGGGAGAACAGGGGTGGCAACTTACGTGTCTTCCTCCTCGGTCCAGACATTCAGGGTCGCGGCCATCAGAATCTCACCGAACTTCTTGAGCTCTTGGGTCGGTTCGACCTGAACCGGAAGACCAGGCTTCCACTTCTGAAGTTGGCCAGACTCTTCGGACACGTCGTACAATGCTGCATACGCCCGGTGCAACGTGCTGAGTGTCGCTTTGCGCACATTTTCGTAACTGTGTTCCACTAGAGGTAGCAACTTCTCGATCGTCTTCTCGAAGTATGGTAGGTAGGCGGTCTTCGTATTGGAGACAAGGTCGCCAATGACTTCAATTGCGATCTCCTTCTCGAGAGCAATTGGTGTGACAGTGGCCAGGTCGCCCCAGTCACTGTCGTCGTCACCGTCAATCTCAACATCTTCAATGGTGCCATCTTCGGCTTCGTCGTCACTATCCGCAGCTGCCACCTTGACCTTTTGGCCGGCGATAGTCACCTCCTTTCCCAGCAGATCTCTGGCACTTTCTCCCAGTGAAACCTCCAAATCGGCTTCCTCTTGGTCGATGCAGGCGAACAGTCCCTGCACCACACCACCAAGGAAAGGAGCAAAGTCTTCTTCGTACACTTTGGCCAGAGAGCCCCACAGAATGTAAGTACTCTCCTTGAGCCTCGAATGGTCAAGGTGCAAAGCTTCCTCGCTCGATTGCATCAGTGGATGGACATAGTCCTTGAACTGGGCAGCACCAACAGCGACAGCCATTTCTCCAATTGCATCGATACAGCTGGCACGGAGGTCGAGTTCTTCCTCGCTCTCTTTCTTCAAGATGTACTCTTGCATGGCATTCATGGAATCTGCCAGATATGGTAGGAAAGGTGCCTCGACTGTCGAAGCAAGTGATCCGAGCGCGCCAGCCGCCAATGCCTTGATCTTGAAGTCGGGATGCTTGAAAAGTTCCTGCAAGAGCGGAGCCAACTTGTCCAGGTACTGCACGGCATCTTGCGCATCCATGCCATCGACAACTGCATCAATAGCACCTGTCCCGGATTTCATAATGTCAACCGTAGGTCCTTCATCTTCCCCTTTGTACCCACTCATGGCGGCAGTCAAATTGTGGATCAGTAAAGGCATCAATTTCTCATGCTGCTTGGTAATATCTTCTGGCATATCATCTGCAAGTCGGGCAGTCGTCTGCAGAGCGGCTCGGCGAACAGTGACCTCAGAGTCTTCTAACAGCGTGAACAGGATAGGCAATACGGATGACAACTGAGTGCTCAAGAAATCCGGGGCACCCTCGACCGCCATGCCTAGGGCGAGAATTCCAGCTCGGCGATAGTTTGGGTCTGGGCTTTTCGAATACTGGGGCAATGCATCCAGTAACGGAACCACTACCTGGCTGGCGGGCAGAGACTGGGCCATGGTATCGATCAGTCCCAGCGCTGACCGAGCGGGCGTGACATCGTCGTCCTCGTCGTCATCGTCATCCATCTCTGCGACGATTCGCAGCATGCTCTTCGTCAACGGCTCGCCCATCTTGGCACCCTGAACTCGGAGTCTCCGGTAGACGACACACTGCATCAGGAAGCTAATGGCTTGAGTCCGGATGTCATCGGACATGGCGGTGTTGGTAGCGATGTCGTTCATGAAGCTGACTAGTTCTTGGAAGTGCTTTGACATGAGTTGATACTCCGCAGTCAGGAGGGTGTTAAAGACCTCGAATGTCAGCATAACCTGGTCGTCCTTGCCGGCAGCAATTGTGTCTTTCAGGACAGCGACCATGGAGGGGAATATGCTCTGGAATGCTTTGATGGACGCTTGGTCCTCGTCGGCGTCAACCACCAGTGCCATCTTGGATATCGCCAACATAGTATTGACGCGCACCTCCAGACTCTCTGGGTCTGTGATTGTCTTGCTGAACAATGCGAAGAGCTCTTTAAACTTGGAACTGAAACCATCACCCATTGTTTCGAGGATGCTGTACAGCACGTAGACGCCAACAGCACGCTCGGCTGCCTTGGCGCTTGTGGCTGCCTGCTGTAGCATGGCCGGCAACTCTGGCCACTCCCCATCTTCCAGGTCGATCTTTGCGATGGAACTAATCAAGCGAGATGCGGAATGCCGAACAAGGGAGGAAGGTTCTGACAGTGTAGCCTGAAACAGCTGGCTTCTCGCATGTTGCCGCTGGTCGCTGCGAATCTTGGTCCAGTGTTTCGACACCAATGGCCGCGCCTGGGTAGCGGCGAGTTGTTTCAGGTCGGGGCTGTCGTGGGAGATGACAAGTTGGATGAGAAAGAGGAGGGACTCGGGGATCTTGTAGAATTCATTCTGGAGGACATTGGTCGCAGTCTTCACATTGCCTTTCTTTGGGTCCAGGACAATGGCAAGCTGCTGCAGAAATCTCTGCTGATCCATGGTGCAGACCGACTGCGCAGGTCGTGGTTGCCCGACTGTGCCTGGATGACAACGTAGAGGCAGCGGACAGGACGTCGGGCAGAAGCGAACTAGAGCGGTAACAACGATTCAGGCTCTCAACGCTCACAAGCCAGTCTCGCAGAAAGTTAGGCAACAGAAAGAAAAGTTGAATGAAGGCAAGGACTGGAGAATTTTGTCTCAATCCACTGATCTGGTGAATAAATAATGGGGGGAAAATTTATTAGACCGATTTCATGTATTTGTTAGTAGGCTGCGGCCCGGATAACCATCAAACAGGGTCGACTGGGGGTCACCCACAGAGCAAACATGCCAAGTCAGGAGCACTAACTACATGTACTTAGTAGTACTATAGTACTATTACTACTAGTAGTAGTAAAACACTAAGGTGATAGTAACTACGTACTTTAATGTTGCAGTATTGTAGGTTATGTAATCACGGCAAGTAATAGAGCAATTTGGACAGGGACTAATCGCGTAGATACGTAGTCATGTGACATGCTTCACCTCTTTCACGTGACTTTCAGGGGACGGCTTCCAGTCAGGCCCAGTTTGCGACAGATGGACAGCCCGCTGAGGTCTGTAAAGCCATCGAGGCATCTCATCCTGCCAGCCTCTGGAGGGATACATCGTTTTGCAGCTCCGTGACCCAAAAAAGTGGTACCAGCCGCGGATGGGCATCTGAACTCTCCAGGATCCGGTCACGTGAGGCGGCAGCTTTCTCTTAGCAAGGGGACCTCCTGACTAATCTGACCTCTGATGTCGCGGTTACTATGGCAGGATATGGATATAGGGTATTCATGATCGGTACGGACTGTTGGCCAGCTTGTTGAGGCGAGAGGTTCCCTCGGCTACCTCCGCAAATTGACGGAGGTTTCGTCCAAGCTGGAACGGAGCGACTCGAAGAAACTCAGTCCCAAGCCAGACATTGCCTGCTAGCCATCGGCCGTCGCCAAACGCCACCATATATGCTTTTATTCGGAGACCTTTACGAACCTCGAAGATGTTGAAGTCGCGATCAAGACAGACCCCAAGGAATGGGCTGTTGTTGGGAGCTATTAAGTTAAGTCCTGCGGCGGCGTCCGACCTATTTACCAAGAAAAATGGTCAAATCAGCGTGCCCGGAAATTGGCTCCGGGTCCTCACTCTGGGGTCAATCAACGACCGCGGCGGCTTCACTCTCGAGGCTTCAGGCTCCATGGACGCCCCTCCCAGGCGTTGTTGGGTGGCTCCTCGATCCCTTTACCCAAACTTATGGCTTCCGAGCCTGGAATAGCCAAAGGACCACTTTCGATATGGGTGAAGATACCCTCAAAATGACCAGCAATGGTGGATTTCCCCAGACAACGGATCAGGCTCTGCTATTTTCAAGTGAAACTACAGCGCCTCAGGGTCCAAGCGGGCGTTAAATTGAATTCCAACAGTGGAATCGGATCATCGTCACAACGGACGAGTCAGTTGCGTGATCTCCGTATCTACATGCCCTACCTTACACACCTGACCTACCTGACCTACCCATATAAGGTACGTACCCCTTATATATTTTGGACCGCACCCATTATCACAAACCCCTCGTCGCCTCCCGGGGCTGACTTCCGGCTGCTCTTCCATACGCTTGTCGACCGCCACTGCTTCTGCATTATTACAGTGTTGTGGCACCCTGACGCTCCAGGGAAACTGCCTACATATTAGATCTACATTCTGCCAATGTTCTGCCTTTCCTCCGCTTCTTCTATTGTCCTTGAATCTAAGCTCGCTCGCCGCATGTTGTCGAACCATTACCTGATCTATCCAAGTGCTCAACAGTCTCAATTGTGCACGCACGCCGACTGTGAGTCTTTGATATATAACCAATGTGGTTGGGGAAGCGTAGCTGCTCCCATGTCTCAATCTTTGGCACCTCGGCCGTCGCGGGGCTCAACCAGCTCGAGTGGTTCGCGAGATTTGGCAAGTCCCCAGCGACCTCGAAAAATCTCCACAGCGTGCGGCGCCTGTAAACAGAGAAAGACAAGAGTAAGCATCCAAGGCCCGCGTTCCTCCATTCTTGCAACTGACCAAGTGCAGTGCAACGGCAGTAACCCATGCGACGCATGTGCCACGAGAAGGAGTCCCTGTATCTACGACGCATCTTCCGACCAGCGCAGGAAGATTGCCAACCAGCGCAATGTCCAGGATCTGGCAGACGCCATTGTCCAGCTCGAACGGCACAAACAACTGCTCGGAGGTATCATTGCCACCATCAGAGCGGGTGACGCCGATGCCAACAACGATCTTTTCCGCGTCATACGGTCGCGCGTCGACCTATCGCAACTTGCAGCGCACGTGAGAAACGAATGCCGCGCGAATCTGGCCATTCAGCAGGTCTATGAACAGATCGATTTCGTTATCGACGGGCCCCGAGATCTACCATCGCCCGACCAGATCCTTGGCGATATGGCTCCTCCTGCCGACTTCACTCACCGCAAGTGGCAGGAAGCGGCGTCAACGAGCGAAACAGTACGCAAAATAGGTTGACCAGCGAGGCTGGACAGGAGGGTTGATCCTCTCACCATAGGAACGGCGTGAGTCAACAGAATGAGAAACCATGGCTGTGGTGGAGCCGTCTCTCGCTCATTCCAACAAAGAGCTGAAAAGACATGCTCTAGGCGAGATCTGCATTGCATCATGGGCTTCCGATGATTGTCTCACACAAAAAAGTCTTGGGAGGTAAAAAGAAGGCCCGGAAAGCTTCTCCCGAGGGTCTTCCTTCTTCGGCTGTTAGTTCGAATGACAGGTCCAGCCAGTCTTACGACTCGTCGGCTGAACGCAAACAGATGTCAGAGGATGGAGGTTAGCAGAATCGCGTGCAGACCCTACGAAAACCGCTCTCGCTGAATCAGAGGAGCATGAATTCTTCTACTTTCAGTACAACAGAAATCAGAGGATCGATATGGATATGACGATGAAGAAGGATGTTGGATTTGGCGTTCATGTCGCTCGACAGATTTGGCAATGTCTGAGCGTGGGATATGGCTTCCAGCTTTGGATCGCTTCAAGCGCTGGATATGGTATCCAGCCAATCCGCCGGAGGATTCGAGCATGGTATTTTTCGGACAAGGGGTACATTCAAATGTGCGATCCCATATATTCCGTCGCATGAAGTCAGATGTGCAGGTGCTCAACAACTATATCGCACGGAGCGGCTGCTACAGCTTTAGGTGGAAACGTGTTGTCATCAATCAAAAGTACCTGTCCTAAAACAGAGACTCTACCAGCAAAGCTCCGGCCACTTGCGCCTTTGGAAAAGGCTCACCATAAGATGTCCGTGAGTCTAACAGCATCGAATGCCTATGATGTAGGCGCATATTGTATAAGGAATTCCAAAGAGCGTGCCCAAGAGGCGTGGGCGACAATCAATTAGATAGCCGTTGGGTAAGATATCTGGTAAAAATTACATACAATACGTGACATTACAGTGGTCAAGGCGATGGAGTGTGCGGGGTGACGAAAATGACGATGCCTCGACAACTTGAACTGTACCTGACCTATTATTGTTTGTTATCTCGAGTCAGTGTCAACGTCTAACGTCTCCACACCCCTCGCCTTACAAGTCGCCATCACCTGTTGATATCTTCCAAGATACCTGGCTACAAGCATGATTTTGTCGCCTGACCCTCGACGAAAGGGGTTTCCCGGCCATCGTCATCTCAACAACGGTCGCCTCCCCTCATTTTCCCAAACTGGCCATGTCGAGCCGTGTCGCGCTTATGGGCCAGCCAATGAACGACCGACCGCTTGGATCTCGATCTTGGATAGAATCTCCGGCCACAGAGCCGGCGTACTGCCTACGTAGCCTTATGTAACTGTTTCTCGCCTCCTACTGAAATCCTCTTTCAATTCAGCCTTATGGTGGCACGAAGTACGTACCTCGCCACACCGTGACATCTGACAAGGTACCTAGGAATGGACTTTTGACGCGGGAATTCCTCCCGGCTACATGATCCCCATCCGCGCTTCGGACCGGAAGACAAATCTCTTCACCCGGCGCTCGTTGCAATGCCCTGAGATATCATCCGCTGTTCTTTTTGACCCTGATGTCAAGGGGCCTGGTTCATCTGTTGGTTCACCACATGACGATCAGAGGCGTCATTGGGGGCGAGGGAATACCAATGTACCCTTCAGGGCACTGGAGACTGAACATCTCGGTATGAAGGTTTCTGCCGCCCCCAACCGCCCCCGGGCTCCCCAGGTTTCCGAGCATTTGCCGGAGAGACATGCTTTATCATGGCTGTGCAGATGCTTGTGGCTGGTACACTATTTCTGTGTATTGTCATCATGGTCACCGCTGACTCGTAGACCGAGGTTGACATCGGCATACTACGTAGAATGCCATCGAGGAACCGACATGGAGTGTTTCCAGGAGATGAAGTCTATCCTGATTCCTGCAAGACATGGCAAATCTTAGGTGAGTACCAGTATTTATTTTACTTATTATTGCGCTTCTATCGTCAGTCTCATACACGTTCACAACAGCTGGCTTTCTGCCGCTGTGTGAACTCTTGCCGGAGGAGTATAGAAAGCAGGAACAGATTCTGGGCAAACGACCTTGGCAGGATCTGACCCAGCACGAAGTAGGCCCAAAGCCGAGGAATTTTGTAGCGCGCACCTGGATGTGTCTTGTGAATATGTGAATACCAGAGGAAATATCTGGTCTTGGAATGTATATACAATACGCGGGACGCTCATATATATGTTCCACTTATAAGAGTATGACAACGCCATCTGTGTCTAAAGTCAACGGGGATGGTTGCAGATCCGTCTCGCCAAAAACCAGGAACAGATGCGACTGGACGGACCAATTCAGATGTTCGGGATAGAGATATGCTTCGTATATGCAACATAATGGCTGGAGATTGGTCGATGTTGACTTGCCACGGCAGTATCCCCCAGAGCCCAAATCTGGTCCGACCGCACCAGGAAATCGAGCATGTGGCATGATAGAACAGCGAGCTTACGTCGCCAGCCCGGCCAAGGTTGATAGATGCGAGACATTGCTCTCGCTGCTGGCTCGATCACAGATTGGTGAGAAGAGGGGAACAACGGTCAACGAAGTCCAAGAAAGGGGTGGTATGGATATGCCGTATAGATTGTTTTTCTCGGTCTGGCGTGGTTCTTGAGGATATGAACTAACTTGCAACACAGATCTTCTGTTGTCAACAAGGCCTTGGAACTTTGTTATATCTTCGGCGCGGTCCATGCTGGAAGATTGTGCTCCAGACTGCGTACCTGAGCTTTTCAAGTGACAACGTCTTATTCGCTCTATACTCTTCCTTGCAATCGAGTTGGATTCAAAGATCCCCTGAAGGACAAGTATATTTCTATTTCGCCCCATAACCCACCTTTGTGCTTCTCTTATGTCCGCCTGCGCAGGTCTTCAAATGCCACGAACCAGATCTGGAAGTCGAACCTTTGTTGCGACAACAAGCGGACATGGGATGATCATCGTATCCTTCGAAAGACGTAGAGTTGCTCATGTCAGGTCGAAGCAGTCTGGTGAAACATCTCTTGATGTGTCGGGCAAGGAACAGGTCCAACACTCATGTGTCTATTTCTTGGTATGGAACCAGCCAAAGCACCCTAAAAACATCGACGTTTTCCTCGTGTTGGATGTCTCAATGGCCCGGGAAGGATCGACGAGCAGGGGGGAGGACCATGTCTTCGAAACCGATGAGGTGTCAATAGTGACCAGTGGGGACGTGTGCGAGTTCCGATCGGTCTGTATGAGCTCTCGTCAACCTATCTTCTATCCTCGAGAACCGTCCCCCGTAGGGATGGGAAATAACAGCTTGCGTAGGTCTGTCATCGTGATGAAACGAAGGGAAGGGGAAAGGAAGGGAGAGAATGATGAACCAAAACTGAACAAGTTTGATGGTCTGTTGGCCAAGCCGGCTCTGGGGACCGAGTCCCGCCGACCCCTATGTACGGGTTGTCCCGGGTCGTCACGCTGGCTGAGAAGCAATCGAGCGTCGTGACGGAAAGCACATGTAGCTTGACGCTGCTTCATGATGTCTCAGAGCACTGGCTGCATTGGCAGACTGACCAAGAACAAGGAAAGGGGGTGTTGGGATTCTCAGATTTGAGGCGTTGGCCGAACCAAGGATGAATACAGCGCTTCCAAGGCGAAGACGAACAAGATGAGCAAACCCATGATAATTTCATTCAGGTCAAGCAAGGCCTGGTGGTCCTCTTTGCCGGCGTGTTTGAGCCTTCTGGAAAGAAGTCCCGGGCCTTGACAGACAATTCCTTTCATAGTAATCCAATCAGGAAGAAAATCCCGGGGGGTGTGGAAGTATTTTCCGACAAGAACATATATCTCTGTACCTTTTCTCCGGGGGCCGGATCACAGTTGCCTGTTTGTTCCTTCCTTTGCTGTCTGCGAGTCTGGCGCAACCGCATCCTCATAGGAACCGTTGACTTCGGCAGCCGGATAGATTCTGAATTTCTCCGGCGCAACAAACAGTCCACTGAATCAGATGCCCCTTGAGCAGCTTGTTGGGTTAACGAGGTCCCGGAGCTTTGGCTTTCAGCCTTAATGCCACGGAGCGGAAAGATCGCGAAAACCATTTGACATCAGTCCTAGCGCGGCCCCGAAACAAAACATACACACAGCATCGCCAGCTGATGTGATTGACGCAGTAGTTTGACCCTTATCTATTCGACCGAGACACTCTACTCAATGCCTCTGTGTACCGAAGAACGAACGGTGCTTACCTCTTTGATCTGCCTGGAAAGGTAGACAAGAAAGGGCGTCTTGACGTGACAAGGGAGGGTTGAGCAGAGCCCGGATATGAAGAGAGTCGCTGTCGCATAATATCGCCCACACTCAGGACCTGGTCTTGGATCAAGAAAAAAACTATTCCGTGCAGGTGGATTTGGTGGGTATGAATGTGTGACGAGATGTGTGCAAATTGCTGGTCTCGGCAGACTCACTCACCACCTGCACCCTATCTGAAAAGACAACAAGACCCCAAACCAGATCGCTTCAGGTGAGTCAACAGACCTCTAAAGTATCAACGACAGTTCGAGAATGCCGCCAGAATGGACGATTAGTTTGGCGGGATTAGATAAGACCACGAAGAGAGCGAACTTGGGAGTCGGGAGTTGTGGAACGCTGCCGCAGGAGCAATCGATGTCGTCGACGGTTTTGGTACGTTACCGTCGGTACGTCGTTACGCCAGCATTGATTTTCTTGGAAATACGAGCGAATTTTGCACGTCAGGCAGGTTATTTGCCCATGCATATCAGTCTTTTAAAGAAGCGCAAAGGTCAGTCCGATGCACCAATCACAGGAATTACTGAGGCGAGCCGGGATCAAGCGACAAGCAGGAGCCTGCCTTATTTCCACGCCATCAGTCAGGTCGACTTCTTCATACATTCTCGTGTCACGTCCTCCGCCCCTTTCTGTCATGCTGAAAGCGGTATCGAGGAGCGCCGGAGCTGGGTGAGGCGCATTGGGCTAATTGGAGAGTACCCTGAAGGCTATACGACAACTTAATCGACGACGTGAACCCTGCCCCGAATTAACGGCCACAGGCGAAGGTCACGAATTCGCTTCAGACTTGCTGGAGGCTTTCATAGCCTGCTAGTCAGCAACCCTCAAGGATCCAATACAAAGACACCGGGCGGCCAGACACCGGAGGATACCGCTCGGCAGTCATTGAGATGAGCAATCCGGTTTTCGTCGAAATATATATTTGGACACCACTATGCCTTTCCGCGTGCTTGTCTTCAGTCAAGCGTGAGAGTCAAGTACGAATGTCTTGTCCTCACGGGTTGAACACCACGGCTCACTTTCTCCAAAATCGGGCATGCCAAGGGGTTGGTCGTTGGGTGTATGCACTGCGAGGACGACTTGCTTTTCTAACAGCGAGGCTGCGGGATTCAGGGTGGCTATTCCTCATGGAAATTATCAAAAGCACAGTGGAGGCATATCTATTATCAAGCGAGGAATCCAGCAGGGCTGAACGGGCCTGGACGAGGCGCCGGTCTTGGCAGTGTGGGTCTGGACCGGCACTTTCCTACCAGTGGGGAGCCACCAACCGGCTACATGAAACCTGTTTGCAACTTCAACTTCCAACCACTGCATGACATCATAAGGGAGCCGGCCCGTTATCCGCTGCAAATGCTCGTGACCGGCGCTCCAGCCCTGTCGCACGAGTGTATTGATGAAACCTCCACCGGTAGGATCTCAAGCTATTATTGACGCGATACGTCTCGCAGCGGTGGTCAGAGACCGACCGTGTCCATGCGGGTGGTTAAGTTAAGCTTCTCCGTCTCTTTCTTACCTCAAGTGAACTCTGACCGGGCCCTGTGGATATACGCCGAATTGACTCGCGGTACTAAGCATGCCTGCCGGAGATTCTGTGGCCGCCTTTGTCCCGGTCACCGAGTTCTGTACTTGGCTCCACGACTGATGGCAGGCCCGGTTCCTGCCCCGCTCCAATATCATATTGTTTTCCATTCGCATTGAAGACCATAATCAAATCGATAAGAACCAGGAGTAACCCCTTCAGACGCCTCAGTTCTATTCCTGATGGGTATCGGACCACCTCGGGCCAACTTTGCCCAAAGTCTCTGCGTGTGTGCTGTGCTCATACGTTGGATACAGTCCTGGCAATGCCTCACACTATGTTCGTTTCTTTGATTGCTGACGCAAAGGAGCACCATCCACCAGGGTTACCCCATGTTGCCACCTCGGAAGTCATACTCAGCTACCATTCATCAAATGTTTAGAGTCCTCACCACAAGCATGGCCCAGAAAGCCACCTCAGTCGGGCCCATAAAATTGCTTGTTGTTGTCGAACACCTCAAAATGAGCGCGGTAGAGTCTTCGGGGTAGCCAGGCTAAAAGGTCGAATATCTTTGTGCCGGTGACGCAAGCAATTGTGGCAATGAATTGCCAAGCGACGACGAGGAAGACTCCCACGCCCCAGGGTACCAGGAACTTGATGAACTCGCTCGTCTGATAGAGATCATTTTGCGATTGAATGTAGTATTGTTCTCCCGCAGATTGTTGCGATGGTGCGGACTCCGAAGAGGTCTCCCCGTTTCTTGCAGCCCTCTTGCGTGTGCCCCCAGTGTCGAATGTGACCTTCCTCCTGCCTTTCATTTCGCCGTTCCCCTGTTCGGGCGAGGGTGATTTCTCGGCAAACTCGGAGGGTTCAGGTCCGTGTGGAATCGGGTCCGTGGTCAGTTGCAGAACCGTAACAAACTTGACAGGAGCGTTGTAGAAGGGAACAACCCAGAGTTTGAAGTTCTGGTGCATTGAAACATAGAGCAGTAGGTTGTCCTTGTCGAACGCTAGTCATGTGTCAGCTCTAAAACCAGGTGAAGCAAGGACAAGTATCACATACCAACACTGTCTATCCAGATGTCAATGTGAGGGCTGAGGATCTTGTACCAGCGGTAGACCATCATGATGAGCCATATCGAACCCGCGAAACTGCCTGTGCGACAGAAGGGATGGGTGAAGGAGGCGGTGGGTGTGAAATAGGCTTCTATCGTTGCTCGCTGAACATCTGGAGGAGCTGTGCAGAGGGCTCTGATAATGCGTGGTATCTCGGCGACTGCGCATACGCATGTCAGACTGTGCGATCTCATTTCGTACGACCAAATGTAGAGACTTACCAGGGTCGTCCATTGCGTCGGCAGTCTATGGACCAGACACTGTGCCCAGTAGAAGGGATCTGAGATTATATGCCCGCGTGGAGGCTTGCGTGAGAGACAGTATAACAGGAACGGTTGAAGAAGTGGCCGAAGGTGATATAATGTTGCGGAAAGCACTTTCGCGGCTTCTCGACGCTATCTGCATCACTAGAAGAGGCAGCTACACGCTGGCGGAACACACGGCAAAGCTGAAGGCGTAGATACCAGCAGGAAGGCAGTAATATTCATCGCTATCTACTAGGTACAATTACATTAGGTAGTATGTCCACAATACTACCAGGTAAGGTTACTGCAGTCTGGAAAGCCGACTCAACTTTTGGCCCGCAGCCTTGCTGAACACATGTGACGTCACCCGGTGCCGACCAATTCGCCTATCACATGGCCCACACAGGAAACGATCCGCTCCGCGTCATATTGACGCTGACACCGGTGTGCCGGCAACTTCAATGCCACCTAAATTGTCCACGCTTATGAAAGCTTTGAATATACTTCGAATTTTCTCTACTCAGCGATGATACTTTTGCTGTAGCCCAAGCCATTCCTCAGCCTGTCTTCCTTCTCGACCACTTTAGCTGGCAAGTCTTGGCCAATGCCAAACAAGACGAAGAGAGCCCACTTCCATCTGAAAGGGTTGATCAGCGTGACAAAGCAGAACCAGTAGATCAATTCTGAGTATGTGAAGAAGTCGAAGGCCTTGGTGGGAGCCAACGACTTGACTGCACTGGTGAAGTCGACCCATCGCTTCATCCACCAAGTCCGCGGCGTAGTAAGAGGGTCAACCAGGAACATCAGCAGCATGCGCGTATAGATACCGATATGATAGTTTCCAACGGTGCTGTCGCAGAAAGTCAGCTTCAATCCGCACCACATTTTTTCTCTTGAACTCACCCGATGGCCGAAACGTATGTTGCGTTGATCGCGCAGATGGATGGAGTCGCAGGAGGAAAGCATTGTATGAACCATCGAGGAGGTACGTATCCGTCGTCGAAGCACTCTTCCGGAAGAAAATCGAGACTGGGTCGTTTATAGCCGGTTGCCATGATAATCACATCTCCTTCCACCAATTTGTGACGCCCAGGCCCGCCTTTGGGGACATTCTTTGTTCGATGGTTGAAGAAAATGCCATCCTCGCGGACCTCATCGATATCGCCACGTAGCCAAGCGGCCTTGCCGGCACGTATCCAATGGAAGATTTCACTGTTCACCATGGGCGTTTCCGTAAACAAACCTTGATCAGCGGGAGCTATATCCTTCAAATCTCGGTAGAAGAACAAGCGTAGGAGATTCTCGGGGATCCACGACAGAAAGGTTTCTTGGCCGAAGATGTTGAAGGCAAGGAGAACGTCGACAAATGCATTCCTGGGGATGATCCATTTGTCGGATCTAGCAAGGACCTTGATCTCGGCAGCTCCCGTGTTAACCGCCCATTCGAGGGCCTCGACAGCACTGGCACCACCCCCAACAATGAGAACTCTCTTTCCCTCCGCATCCTTTTTGTCCAGGTCGGATGAGTGGTAGATTTCGCCCTTGAACGCTTCTTGGCCTGGGAGAGCAGGCATTTTAGGAGCACCGCAGGTTCCAATGGCTGGAATGATGCCGTCGAATCTGCCATTGGAGACATCGTTGATCACCCAGCGACCTTGTTTATCCTTGTAGATCTTTTCCACCGGTGTGTTGAACTTTGTCCTTTCGTCGAGATGATAGCGTTCCCAGAGCTGTCGGATCTGACCAACGATCTGATTTTGCTTGGGATAGCCTCCTTCCCATTTAACGGAGGGATGGAATCTGTACATGACGCTGTGAATCTGGAGCCCAGACGTGGTGTTCACATGGCTCCATATCCCACCAAGATGCTTCTCGTCTGCGGCCTCAAATATCGTCACCTCGAAACCATGACCAATGCAATGTGCTGCAGCAGAGACACCGGTAAGTCCGGCCCCAATGACTGCAATCCTTGGCCGTCGCAGTCGCACACCTGGCGGAGGAGGAGTGGGTGAGAAGATCTTATCGAGTATCCATTGAAGAATAGTATAGAACCAGAAGACTGGACTGAAATGCATGGCCTTGGTTGTTTCGTCCTGCAGCAGCAAACACGAACGATCGCAACAGAGTAAGAATGGGCAAACAAAACTAGACTCGATGTTGGGAACACATGCAGTGTGCCGCGATGAAATATAATAACAGCGTCATCAACGTCATAGGCATTCGGATATAAGCAACGAGGTTGGAAACTGCTCCGCTGACTACTTTCCAGTGAAACCCACAACTCGTACCATACTTTACTGCACGGGAGGTACCTCGATGGGTGGGTATACCTTGCGCGAGATGCCCCATACTAGTAGCATGTGAAAACAGGTAATTCGTTTACCTGAGACACTAGGGTAGATTATCGAATGCTACCTGGCGACGAGGCTGCAGCTCAGGCGGACTGCACGCAATGTTGGTCTTGCCGGTACTGATGGGAAGTTGTTGGTCTCCTGCTTCATCACAAAAACGATGGCAGGACTGAACGGTTGAATAGTCGTCTATAGCTGCGCCTTGAAGGCTTCGTAGCCCACCGCTGAACACAGTCGAGGCCGGAGGCGCCGCCTGTAAGCCTCCATACTGGTAGAGAGCGTCGCTTTGGAAGGGCAGCGCATGCCGAAAAGGAGAAGCAGAAAACAAGTCCTGATCAACGGCGTACTCGTATACCTTTGTATCCCAAGCCAACATTCCAGACTACGGGCTCTTGACCATAGGAGACCAAAACTTGCTAATCTAACGTACGGGTATCTCCTTAAGTTGCTCCGCCGTCCGTAGCCAGCATGAGCATGAGCCTCCGAGGTTCCTTAGGTGGACTCCTCAGGCTCTCTGGGCTTCTCAGGCGCGGCGCGAATACCCGTGGCGCAGCTGGAGACGCCTATTAGAGCCTCGCCTCCACGGGGTCGTAGCTTGCGCGTCACCGAAATCATGGCGGGACTGTCCGAATCATGTTTCACGACGGTTGAGGCACATACGTCAAGCGCTCCTACTCCTTGTTTCGCATGCCGGAGGAACGCTTCAACTTAAGACCTCGATGAATCTCATCAACGGCCACAAATACTGCCATCCTTCATCCCTATAAGCTGACATTCGACCTGCAACGACCCAATCACTCTCCGAGTCAGTAAGTTAAGGCTACGTCTGCAGCTATCCCGTACCTTGCTGACATTCTAGAACCTACCCACACAACCACTTCATCGAAACCAACCATGCCTCCTTCATCCACCTCCTCTACTTCAAGTATCACCAAGGGTGTCAAGGGTCCCACCAAACCCTGTATTCCCTGCGACTGCGGAGACTACGAGTGCGATTGCTGCATCATCCCTTGCACAGTTATGTGACGAGCTTGAACTACACTCTGAATTGCGGCTTGAGCGGACAGCATGCGGGCGTTTGAGCATTCAAGGACTAGAGGCATCGGTGTCTCTTGGAAATGATGACTGTGGCAACACTCTATGGAACTTTGCACTCTGCCTGATGGGAGGCACAAGCATTGCTTAGCGACCACAAGATAGCAATGAAATCATAATATTATCATGATCATGAAGTGCTGAAGAAGCTCTGGAAGACTGCCACGCTAGACCACACAAGATAGTATCTTGTTCATCATACAGTTTATGGGGGTCGCTCGGCCGTCACTGGCGATTGTGCATGTGTGAGAGGGTAGGATTGTGCCTCATCCTCAGATATTCCGTCCAAAGAGAAATCTCCATCGATCTGCTGCTCCAAATCCCGGTTCTTGTTCTGGAACCTTGCTTCATATTCTGCAGGGTTGGGATATGGGACATCGCATTTCGGGTGCTTGAGCGGACGGTAGTAGCGCCGGTAAGAGAGATATGCAATAGCCATGCCCAGGAGACTCCCGCAAGTAACATCAAACACATCATGCCTGTAGTCGGCAAGCCGTGACATGGCAATCAGCGAAGCTCCAACCAGAGGAGCCAGCACAACCAAGGCTCTGGCCAAATCTGCATGCGGTCGAAACACGCGGAGCTGTCCAGCAAGGAACAAAGCCAAGTATCCAAGCCCAGAGAAAGCCCAACTGCTGTGTCCACTGGGAAAACTGCGCCAGCCGTCATGCAGTCTATGATGGTCTGACTCAGTACAGACAGAGATCGTGACAAGCTCATGCTCAGGTGTTCCTGGCTCTGGCTTGCAACGCGCGATCAGATCAGGACGGGGCCGACCAACTGCGTTCTTGATGATGTCCGTCAGGAGTGCAGTCAGGAAAAGGCTGATGAGAAGTCCGAGCACCGTAACGTGTGCTTTGTGGAAACCTGGTCGGAACACCATCGACCAAATGATCACGAGAGCTAGAGGCCCTGCTCCAGAATACAGAATGTTTTCCCAGGAGGAGACCCGCTGTACTGTGGCATGGGGATATTGTTTTGCATGGTCATCCAGACTGAACATCCGATGAAAAGGTTCGACGAAAGATTGCACCTGAGCCCGTCAGTAGGGAGCGAGCATACGCGCACCAGGTACCAACACATATATACGCCGTGAACAGCAGCGCAAATCCAACATAGTCGGAGGCATATGACCGTTGCCAGAACCGCCACACTGAGCCTGCGATTCCCCCTGCGTCGGTGGTTGGACTCAACATCTGGATTGGCGGAGGTGTCTGACAATGTCCGCCAGAGCTTTTGGACTCATTGACAGGTGCTTCTGGTAAAGAGTTGAGAATGTTGTTCAATAATGACAGAAGAAAAGAGGCGTTGGGGTGACGAGTTCAATCCCGCAAATGGCGATTCTCAATTGGTCCAGCTGACAACAACGCTCTCCAATCCATCGCCAACTCAACTTGTGTCTTCGACTTTCTTACAACAGCGCGCAAATTGTTTCGCTTGTCGCCAACCATGTTCACCCCTTGAAAGCCATCGGACTAAGATCCTTCCATGTTGCAACAGGCATGGCGGACCAGGAACAACAGCAACAGCTGCCCGAGGCGCCGTTCCCTGCACCACCTCCCTTCTGGAAACATTTCACGGTCGCCAACGAAGATCGGCTGAAGCAGATCGAAGCTACCGAAGGCTCATCACCAGCCAAACTACCCCTTCCTTTGGCATATCTACGACCTCCTCCTGCGCCTCCGGCATCGGCGGAATACTACACCACTTTCGGACAGAAGCAAGTCATCGATCCTACGAAGCCTTCGTCGTTACCGAGGGAGCAACTCCTGTTTAACCCGGATGACCCGAACCTCAACCATGCCGTCCTCCTAAGCCGTCTCACCAAATCACTCCTGCTCAATTTCCTCGAGCTGACCAGCATTCTTTCACTCGACCCTACAAAACACGTGGAGAAGATGGAGGACATCAGACAGCTGGTGCTCAATATCCACGTCGTGATCAACATGTACCGTCCGCATCAGGCTCGCGAAAGTGTCAAAGAGATGCTGGAGGAGGTCCTTGTGAACGGACAGAAAGAGATCGACGAATGCGACCGACTGAAAGAGAGAGTTGATGGTTTTCTACGAAGTGTGGGTGAACTCAAGACCGCCCACGCGACAGATGGTCAATTACCTGCCGACGGTTCTCCCGCACCACAAGCTACCGACAATGCGAAACTGGAGGAGCAGCGAAAACTGTGGAAACTAATTCATGAAACGACTGATTGAAGAGGACGATCAACTTTTATTGAAAGGAATTTTCTCCGCAGCCTAAGAAAGAGCATGTAAGCATGGGTTTCCCCTGCCACTGCGTCCTTCACGGGTATCAAAGTCCAGCCGCCACCTTTCCACTGCCCAGGTTGTGCCATCACGTCTCGAGCTCGGTTTAAACATGAATTTCCGCGGCCGCAGCACCTTGAATTTGGTTCTTGTAAGCCGCCAACGCTGGCTCAACCTCCTCTTCGACAAACTCGTCCACTTGTTCAGCAGATCGGCCCACGAACTTTGCAGGGTTCAGCAAATCGTCCTCGGTCAGTTCATTCCAGATGGGCTCGAAGAACTTCTCCTTTCGGACGCGCTCTACCAAATCGTTTGGCTTGCCCTCCTGTTTGACCACAGCACCAGCCTGGTGGGACAAGACCCGGATCTGCTCATGAGTTTCTTGCCTGCTGGCGCCCTTCGCGCACATGCGCATAATCATCGTCTCAGTTGCCATGAACGGCAGTTCTTGCTGTAGACGGCTGTTGATGACGGCGGGGTACACCACCAAGCCCGAGGATACATTGTCGAGAAGGATACACAATGCGTCTGCGATCAGAAACATTTCTGGAATGTCTATCCGTCGAATGGCCGAGTCATCCAGTGATCGTTCAAACCATTGGTGAGCATATGTCGCGCCGAATCCGAGTGGGAGAAAAGTCAGTTTTCGGCCAAGCGAGCACATACGTTCCGAGCGCATGGGGTTCCGCTTGTAAGCCATGGCGGAGGATCCAATTTGATCTTTCTCGAATGGTTCTTCCAGTTCCTTCAACATGGCCAGATGCCGAATGTCTGTACCGATATGCTCGCACGTGGTACCAAACGATGCCAGAGCGTTGGCAATATCGAAGTCGATCTTACGGTTGTAGGTCTGTACTGAGACAATAGACCTCTTGCTGAATCCCGCCTTCTTGGTGACTATCTCGTCGAGCTTCTTGACTTTTTCATGGTTTCCGTGGAACAGCTCCAGGAAGGAGGCCTGGGTTCCTGTGGTTCCTTTGACTCCTCTGAATCGGATATCGGACCTGGCTCGTTCAATATTCCTCAAGTCCATCAGAAGGGATTCGACCCATTGAACGGCACGTCGGCCAACGGTGATCGGCTGTGCAGGTTGGCCATGGGTGAACCCTAGGCACGGCAGAGCCTTGTACTCGACCGCAAAGTCCGACAGCTTTTGGATGCACCTGGCCAGCTTAGGTAGGAGAAGAGTCAGACCCTCTCTCAATGACAGTAAATCCCCATTGTCGGTCACGTAGCATGATGTAGCACCGAGATGAATAATCCCAGCGGCCGCCGGTGCCCGTTGACCAAATGCATGGACGTGAGCCATCACATCGTGCCGTCGCCGTTTCTCCTCTACTGCAGCCACCTGGAAATCATCCTCGGTCATGACTTTTGCCGCCTTCATCTGAGTGATTGCCTCGTCGGAAATGTCGAGTCCGAGTTCCTTCTCGCCCTCGGCCAGCCAGATCCATAGCTGTCTCCAGTTTTCCGATCGAGTGCGCGGCGAGAACAGTGTGAGCATCTCCTTGCTAGCGTATCGCGCGCCCAGCGGGCTCTGCCATGAATCGTACGACATGTTGGCGTCAACTGTTGAAAAGAACGATGAATCGGCACGGCAAGAATCACGAAGAGCCTGAGGGTCTTCTCCTGTCACGGTCTGAGGGGGTTATGTGCAATAATTTTTTGTCCCATTGAGTGTACCGTCTTGCGGGCGATCCCGGCTGGGGAATCTGAGATGCCAAGCCCAATTGGTCCAGACCTGGATCAATGCAGGCAAAATACCTGTAGGAATTACTGTTTGGTCCGGCGCAGACTGCGTTCAGAGATCGCCATGCGATAACTGCTTCGGGATTCGTCTATTATACGTCCTCTTCTAAGAATCCCTGCAACCGGGGCCCCTCGTGGCTGAGTTAGGTACCTATATATTCCAGGACTCAGTGGTATCGTGGGATCTCTTGCCAGTTTAAACATTATGTACGGTGGAGCATAGCAGCTGCCTAAGTGGCCTTGGTGGGTGGACCCTTGCATGTCTGTTGGAATGCTCCGCAGTAGTTCTCACTGCTGCTTGTACTTCACCGTACGGAACATCCCGCCGCTGTACGTCATAGCCAACCACCATCCCTGCGCTCCTCAAAGCGAAGCTCGTCACCATGAACGAAACTCCAACTCCGCAGTATGCAACTTGCGCGTACAAACACAACCCGCCCCTCCATGTTCCAACTCATGAGCAGGGAAATCAAATCGCCTCTATACTGAGACGAGTAAGTATATTCATAACCAGGCACCGGATCTCTGATCTCCTTGTCATCCCTGCCTGCGTGTTTTTTCGATCCTATCGATCCTATTCTCTCATTTCCTCATCTCATCAAGCTGCTCTTCTCTCCCTCCTCCTCTTCTCCTCCGTTGTTCCCTTTGCGACCATTAGATCTCATTCTAAATGACACACCGAAGACGACGCTGTTGAGCATCTACTTTCCCCATTGTATCACCACCTATACACAGATTCCACCAAGATGGTCCGCATCGAGATGGGCGGCTTGCCGCGGGTCAACATCGACACTTCGCGCCCGGGAGACGTCAACATCGGCGAGATAAAGCAAGATATCCGACGGCGGATGAAAGGTGGCGGCGGCCGCGCAGTCCATTTGAGCTGGGACACAGCGAAGCCACGGCTCGTGCTGACCAGCGACACCGACGACTTCGATCCCACCATCATCTCGCATTTCCAGGAAGAAGGGTTCCAGTTGAGTTACCTCGTCTACTCGGGCAACCGGGCCGACTATATGAATAATTTGCAGCATTTGCAAGATCCACTTGAGTTGGGCGAGAGATACGCAATTGTAGGTAAGTCAGTACCTGGGAAATCTTGCCTGGGAACCGACCCTCTAGGACGATAAGACGAGCACCAGATTCGCGTGATTAGGGAACGGCAAAAATTCCTATAGGGTCATTGTAACTGGATGGTTGTCCTACTGTCCCGGTCAAGAGTGCCGCCTCTCAAAGGCCTCAAGCGAAGACTGGCCATACGACACTCTATCCATCATTGATCGCTGCCCCCAAGTTGAATTATAGACGCAAGATGTTCTAACACCTAGTCAAACACCCAGCGTACGGTGACGCGGCCGCCCTCGTCCTTGAAGCCTGCATGAAACCCATGCCCAAATTAGTCGCCGTTGTTGCTTACTATCCGCCATACATGCCGCGCACGACGACGAATTTCCCACCGACGCTCAACGTGTTGTTGCACCTCGCAGGTAACCAGAAATTCGGCACGCGACACCCGTCCTACCGATACCCCGGCACAGTGGCCGGCTTCGCAGAACACGATCTCGACGAATACGACAAGATTGGCGCCTCACTGGCATGGTCACGTACTTTGTCTGTTCTCCGAACAGCATTCAATGTGGAGCCATTCGACATCGAGGCGGCATGGGAGGCGCATCTGCGGCTCGAATTTGGGGACAAAGATGCCGACAAGACGATGAATACTATGGCAAGGCACCCGTATGTGAACCACGCCCCGACCATGACCGGCGGGGTCGGACGACACGATTTGCACCGCTTTTACGAGGACTTCTTCTGTCCAGGCCACCCGAAGGACTTGACGATCCGACTGCTCAGCCGAACCGTTGGCGTGGATCGCATTGTGGACGAAATGTATGTCAAGTTCACGCACACGACGGAGATCCCCTGGCTGCTGCCCGGTGTGCCCCCGACAGACAAGAAGGTCGAGGTGGTGGTTGTCAGCGTGGTGGCCTTCCGGGGTGGTAGACTATATCATGAGCATGTCCATTGGGATCAAGCCTCGGTGTTGGTGCAGGTCGGATTGCTTGATCCAAAATATATTCCCAAGACGTTCACAACCGCCGAGGAAGGTCGAGAAGAGGAGGTTGACAGACTGCCAGTTGTTGGAAGGGAGGCTGCCAGAAAGGTGCTCGACGAGGACAGTGCACCGAGTAATGAACTGATCCCTGACTGGTAAGAAAGGCATGTCATTCTCATTAGAGTCGTCCGCCAGGGACTCGAGAATCGTTTATGTCCCTGACACGGCCATCATAGCCTTGGATATTTATTTCAGGCGCTCGTTGTGTATCAGCTCAGTCCAATATCATAATGAAGTCGAATTTGTCACATCAGACTCTGCTCTCCAATGGTTGCTTTGAGAAGAAAGCAGATATCTACCAGCATCTCTTTACACCTTGTCACCTAGCATCCACTTTTCCCATATCTAGGTCTGGTTTCGTGTCTCCCATTTCACTCATTATCATCACTCATAACTTGCCATTGACGTATTGTCGATAATACGCCCTCACGCCCATCATGAACTGGTCCTCGGTCAATCGATCATAAATCTCCTTGAACCCAGCGAGATCGGTGCGCGCATAGTCCTCGACATCTCTCCAGACTTTCCGTTTCGTCAGCCCGTCGCTTTTATCCACGATCTCCAGGTCAGGCGTCAGGACCTGCGTCTTCATATACTCTCTCCCGAGACGCTGGCTTTCGAGAGGATCCAGGATCCGCTCCAGGGCGGGGATCTGCTCGCCCGACTCGACCTTCATGTGCTCGAGCAGGTCGGCGAACAGCTTCTCGATGACCATGTCGAACTCGTCAAAGTCGAGGACAGCGTTGGCCTTACTGGATGTAGTAGTGTCCGTGTCCGTGTCCGTGTCCGTGTCGATAGGAGTCGAACAATCCGACTCGACAAGACGCACGCGGTCGAATAGAGCCAACAGCTCGACTTTGGCCCGTTCGTGGTCTGATCGGTCGTGCTCGGCCATCTGCACCCCGACTTCGCCCAGATGTTCGATAAAGGCGGGCCGCATGACCAGGTCCTCGGAGACGTCGTGTCGGACGAGGAGCCAGGTGACTTCGCGGAGGAGGCGGGCTCGCTCGGACGGGGTCCGCGCCCTTTTCAGCCGGCCTGCGCCCCAGTTGATGGCGTTGTGGTCGTCGTCGATCACGGTCGAGAATGTGATGGGTGCGTCGTATGCTGGTGTTGTTGCCATGGTGGTAGGGACAGAGGCGGATGAGGATGGTATACTGGTCACGGTGCCGGTAGGACTAGTATTTTGGTTGGATGTTGACAAGGATGAGGCTTGAGGCTGCTGTTCGTCTGACGGTATATTCAACCTTTTCAGACCGACTTCTGCTTTAGGTTCTGCTTCTGCTTCTGCTTCTGCTTCTGTCTCTGCTGTCTTCTTCGACCTCTCGTTCTCCTTCAACAGTGAGCACCGACACCGTGGCCCCGGCGAAGGAGGCCGGGGATCTTTATAGTTCCCAATCGTGGCTCAGGTTCAAGATATCACTTCACGCGTTATCAGGATCCCTATCAGCACCCTGTATGGTCGGTCCTGGCCGAAATCAGATCCACCGGTGAGACACAGAGAATCAATCGGTCACAGTGCATTCCCACGTAGGACGTTTGAGATTGGGAGAAGGACGAGGCCGAGGACACAGAGGGACATTGGCCTTGATATGAGGCCCGTCGTACTCGTGGCAAATCTGGGCGGCCAACAAGCATCAAGTTGCGAGTACACGCTCAGTTGACCAGAAGCCATCGCTAATAGAGGGGCAGATGGTCAGCCTGACACACCAGCACCCAGTAACAATGAATGAATGACCAGGCCGTGCTGAACTGGGCGCAGTTACTAGTTGGAACTCACATCGGCCGTTTCCGTTTGCGAGAAGATGCAACCCTGGAGTCGAGTCGAGGAGACGGATCAACGAGATGATGAAGTAGACTCGACGAATCAGATGGTGATGGCGACGACGGAGAACAAAAGTACTTCCCCAACTGCAACTCTTGTTGAAGCTCTAGTTTGTTCCCCGTCCCTTTCCCCTGTCCCCTGTCCCTGTACTTCCTAACGTGATTCTAGGCGGATCCGAACGGCGGCTTGCGGCAGACGGCTGAAGGACGCTCGCTCCCTTATCATTGATACTGTGCATTGAATCAGTCTCGCTGTGTCACAATAGCTTAAGATGACCATGGAGATGGCCAACTTGACAAGTGGTTTCACATTCCTGATAGACATCTGATGTAACATCGTATTTGATGATCAAGCTACAGGTCACCCGCCACATGTCAGGTCTTTCTGAGACTGGAATTGATTGTTGAGGGTTTCATTACGGACGACTGGTCACAGTCAAGCCCCCGTCAATCACTGAACTGGACCCTCGTTCTCCGGCTCCTGTAAGGCCCCCAGCCAGTCAATGCGAGCAAATGCATCCGTCGTGTCTCGCCCTCCACCAGGAATGGCCGAGGTAATGTGGTTTGACTCTTTCCCGAGATCCCTGTGCCATACCGACTGTGAACCTGTTTGGACTATGTTCTCCGGTGAAGCGTGTCCCATTAATGCTCCCCATGCAACAAAATTTACCTGCCCACCATGACTCTCAATAACACGTAACAACATGGAATATGGTCCTGGAAACGTCGTGATCCCGCTCGAACGCAGCACAAGAAAATGGCATAATGAATGCAGACAGTGCTTCGGCACCGAGACACCGAAGAAACCCTGTCCATTCATCTGGTCGATAAATGCTCTCCGGCATCGTATACCTCCCTGCTGTCCCAGATTCGTCGTATCAGAGCTTCCTCGGGTGAGAGCCCATCCTGCTCGTCGATTTGGTTCTCATCTGGGCTTCCGTGGGATGGCGTGATTTCAATGTCATCGTGGCTGTTCTGGCGCTGGAAATGGACCCGGCCTCCTCGAAACTTGCTGCTGGGGTGCGATGCGAGCGGCGATGACTTCGCGTCCTCGAGGCTGCGACTTACGCCGGCCTTTGTGTGGCCATGCCCGTGAGGCATACTCAGTTCACGACGACTTTGAGGCCGGTTTTTAGTAGTGCCGCCTGGCGGCATCACACCGATATCTGACGGGAGAAGGTTGATCTCCTTGAGTCTGGTCATACTCTCGATAATGGGGCTCCGGAATCTTCGCACAACCAGCAGATGCCTGACTGCGGTCTCATAATCTTGCTTCACGGCTTTGACCTCTCCTGCCAAAGATCGGTTGCGGCTTCTAGAGCTTTGCCGACTTTGCAACGATGTGGTGGAACCCATGGGAAGACCCATGCCCGTCGCCGGTGGTGTTGTCGGCGTGGCCGCACCAGCGCGTAGCATTTCTCTTCGTTGAAGCTCGAGTCTCTGTTGCGTCCGAGAGGGATTTTGTGGCATTCGTGCCTTGTGGATCGTCTTGGTCTTCTCCAGCGATTCTGACGGTTGAGGTTTGTAGTTGGCGAGGAAGTTCGAAGGGGAATCTTCATCTGAGCCGTCCGCCATCTGCTGAAGTGAGGTGCTGGGTGTGTCGGCTGGTAGAAAGCGCGAAACACCGCCATCAACGGAGGAGGCTGCAGCCCCGGGGCCTGAGGCGGATCCTGAACTGGTTGGAGTGATATTCACCGATGATGCATCGGCATGGGAGATATGGGTGAAGGATTTCGTTGACTCGCTTCGCATAATCTGGCTTGGGCCAACATGGGCAGACACCGTAGACATTGCGGGAGGGGCGCGGGATGCTCGAGGGTTTTGGTGGAGCAACGCAGGGTTGGACGGAAGTTCGGATGGCGATATACCGGAGTCTCTCCTCAGATCAGGGGCTGATCGGTTGTTGTTCTTGAGCGACGGCGGAGGGGGAGAGGATGTCTTATGGGGATGAACCTTATCGGACATTGCGGCCCTTCCAGGTATCCGTTCGCCATTTGGCGTAGATGCCCGGTTTGGAGTGGAAGTCTTCGAACTGTTGCGTGTGAGCTCCGGTGATTGTGTCGTCGAATCTTCCCATTCCGCTTCCTCTTCTTCATCATCCGACGACCGGTCCCCAAGTTGGAATACTCCCTCCTTCTTGCCCTTACCCTTAGGTTTCGGTGCCGGGGCAAGCCCAATCTTCTTCAATGCCGGATGTGACAGATTTCGAGCCAGCGCATTGGCCGACTGATTCTTTCGCAGGTTCCCGTAAGAAGTGTTCTTCGGCAACGTCACATGGGAGCTATTCCGTTTGACCAGGGCTGCTCGCGGGCTATGTGGCGGTGTGGTGCCTCCCGATCTCTTCCTCTGATGGTGGTGGTCAGTAGTGATATTGGCGGTCGAATGAACTTTTCCCAATTTCACAAGACCCTTTCCATGTGACACGTTCCTAGAGTGCCGATTGACAACATGAGGACGATGGGCCTTATAGCCCGTAGTTTGTTTCCCGGACGACGAGAGAGAATGTGTCGAGGACGTTCGTTCGTTAAGCGACGGTCGTTTGAGCGGGGAGGGCGATGCGGAAGGCATTCTGTCAAGGAAGGACTTCAGGAGGGTATGAAGAGGCAGATGAAAGTTAGACTGTCGTCTAAGATAAATGTTCGGAATAGACGGGCATTGTCAGGTTCAGCAAGCCCGCACAGAAGACACTTGACATGAGATGAAGGAAAGCGCAGCTCATTGCTGGCCAGCACGGTTTGCAGTGTCGCAACCGCAGTCACAGTCGCATCTGGCCCGAACTTGAAGGCGAACTGCGCATCCTAATTTGGGAGCTCCACACGTGACAAATTGGGACCCAATACGTACTACAACTCCAATCAACCTTGCTTCAACTCATCCCTGGACATCACGAACATCTACAGATGAAAGGCAATAGCACATGTTGGTATTGGTTGATCTAGGTACCATACTGCGACACGGTGTTCACACAGCTAGGCGCTGCAGACAGTGCTCTACCATTCGAAATGTCGAGTCGAAACAAGCGCACCCACTGCACCCTCGTTGGACCTACTACTCCAGTCATAGGAACTCACAGAAATCAATGCCCTTCAAGTTATGCTGTGCCACCCGCCTTATCGGTCCAATATCGTCCTCTCTTTTGTTGACAGGCGAAAGATGCATCGTTGGCAAGGCTTTGAAAGAACACTGGGTGACAAGGATATGGCCCTGACCTGCCATGATTGTCTCTGCAGCAGAAACGCAAGTGATGTCGGGCACACACAAAGTACGTTACAGACGATGCTCATCCACTGCTATCAAGCATTGAAGGTAAATGTGTGTTGTACTGCCGGCTGGTTGAAAAGATCCAACGTCCGGGGAACAGCCCAAACACTAATCATAGTAGCTACCCAGGCGGTCAACAAGCCATGCTGTAGTAGATCGTTCGCAAGCACATGTGCATGTGTGAGGTCCGAAATACGGAGACATAGCGTCTTGAAGGGAGCACGTGAGGCATTGGTAGTCCTATACAGTGATTCGCGAGCTAGCCTGTGGTGTGAATACGGTCGGGATAACGAAGAGGCATAAGGCGAGATCGGTTGAAGTAGCTACGCACTGCACTGTAATAATAGTAGCAAAGGGATACATGTGCCAGTGTTATTCCCCTAACAAACGTGGGCTTGATGAATTATTTCTTGTACACAGTATTAGTATATCTGGTATACGGGTGCCTGAGTACTAGTACCTGCCCTGGTATGAAACCCTCGCCGCAAGTCGGAGCGGAAAGCCTGCGATCCGATCACGTTACTTTTAGCTTCCGTGTTGGCAAGTACCATACATTCGCTTACTAATCCTTGTGAGTGGGCGTGGGCGCAGGCACGTACCTAACGTACGTACTCTGTAGTACTATACGAGTACAGCCTGGCTGTTCAGGGTTCAACCACTCTACCACTCTGCCACTCTCCCTGCGATCTTCCCCGACGAGAGTTCCCGCCCGTCAGTGCTTCCCGCCTCGCCTCAGTTATTGATTCATGATTGACGGCGCCATCACGATTGAGGAGCAATGGCCCATCAATACAGCGGAGTCTCCACCGTCCTGATTGGTATCTGATTGCACCATCCGTTGGTGCACCGACTCATCCTCCTCATCGCGTCAGCCATCGCCGCGCACCGACTGTGCTAGCCTCGTCCGATTCCAAGACTCGATTCGCCTCTGGCCTGCCCATCGGTGTCCCCTCAAAGATGAAGTGAGTGAGGTGGCAATAATCGATCTGCATCTCGTTTGCGCACAGCACCATACTCCGTGCCTGACAGTCTCACAGGATGGAAGCCTGACGGTCTCTTATCTGGCGGTCTGGTCTCGAGCCTTTTCCGGCCTGTCCTATTGTGCAGGGTCCTGGCCTCATGCACAACCTTATCTCACCTCATTATTTCGACTATTCTGGAGCTAGGCAAACGCGTTCTCGGCGTCCTCCTTTCGAATCCACAGTTCCCGCAGTCCGCTCTTGTTTCATCCCAATCGTCGACCCTTGCCAGATATGCGCCGGTTTGGCGGTAACGCTACCTCCGAAGTCCCAGTCTTCTCGAATTCCAGCCCATATCGAGGTCCATCCCCCCGGTCACTTTTCTCCTCCGGCCTTCGAACCGACACCATGATCAAGCCAACTTCCACAAAATTCACCCTTTCCCTTTGCTCTTCCTTGACTTCATTTCTCAAGGTATAGGCCGGTTCTTCGTACGAATCATTCGACGACACTTTGCTCCAGCCGTTGATTGCTTACGAAGAAAAAGTCTATGGCGTCATGTCGTTGATATTCGGGACGTTCCAGGGCGGCCATTTTATTCCCTGCCATCTGATCGAGGAACCACGATCCAGCTTCTCATAAACAGTCGCGTCCTGAGATCCTACCGACGACGATCGGTTCACAGATCACTCGTTCACTATCTGGCGAGATTGTCAGAAGAAGCCCTCGTACCGGCCATTCACAGTGCACTATCAAATTGGGCATACTTCCATTGGCGTTTTATCCTCAATCATCAGTGCAAAATGGCTTTCACACGCCAGGTTGCATTTCCAACACCGCTTACGCCCTCAATGCCCCTGCCTGGTCCCGTTCCAGAGCAGATCGAGTCATTACCAATAACGCCGCCCGACATTTCGGACTGCTTTGGGGAGAAGGACGTTAAACCTGACAGCCGAGCCATCAGGAAGGCCTTGCATGTGCTCGCAACCGAAAGATTGGCCCTTTCCCACCTTGAACACCTCTACACGACTTCGCAGCATATTCAAGACTCTCTTCTGAGGGCCATCGCTCACATTATCCATTCCGAGTCTCGGCATGGGAAAACCATCTTTACGGGGGTGGGCAAGTCGGGCCATATTGCGAAGAAACTAGTGGCAACATTTGTGTCGTTGGGCATTCACGCACAATTTTTGCATCCCATCGAGGCCTTGCATGGCGATCTTGGAGTCATTCGTCCGAATGATACCATAGTCATGATCACCTTTTCCGGAAAAACACCCGAACTTCTATCTCTGCTTCCGCACCTCAACCCTGCCGTACCCTTGGTCGCGATGACTGCGCATCTCAACCCGAGCACATGCCCTGTTCTCTCGCACCCGACCAGATCCGGTTCCTTTGACGTTCTCTTACCCACGGTCATACCTGAATCCGAGATCGCATCCTTCGGAGTGTCCGCGCCGACGACATCCACAACAATTACCCTCGCATTGGGGGACAGCTTAGCGCTGGCCGTTGCCGAAGAACTGCATTCATCTTCTGGGCTTCAGACGCCCGCCATTTTCGCCGCGAACCATCCTGGAGGGGCTATCGGCGCCGCCATGAAGCCTTCACCGCCAGAAATCCCCCGGATGTCTGACGTGGCAACGAAAGTGTCCGAGGTGCCCATTGCCGTGGGACGACCTGGCAACACGCTGATGGGCCTGGATCTTCTTGTGACTGCTGTGCGGTCACCCCGTGGATATGTTCGAACGTCTGCAAATCATATTGTTGGACCTCGGCGGATTCAAAATCTACAGGACCCTGGCCTGCCGATCTCGGAGCTGGAGGACCAATTCGGCAAAATCGTAGTTGAAAAAGGTGATTGGATTTCCGTACTCAGCACCACCACAGTTGATGAGTGTAGGCAATGGATTCGCCAGATGCGGGAAGAGGGCACCGGGCGAGGCAAGGAATTTCTTCGGCGAGGAACCCTGCTCGGCATTGTCGAGCGTAACGAGGTCACAGGCATCGTCGAGATAGAGGATGTGCTGGGTGAAGATTTGTTTTGACAGCGTTGATTTTGCTTGCTTCGAAGACGCTTGGATTGACGAGATGAACAACCGCAAAGGACGGCTGGCTGTAACCGTGTACTTGGCCCCTTCATGGATTGAATGACTATCATGCGTACCAGTCATCTTCTTCTTCTTCTTCTTCAGCATCGTCTTCTTCATTATCGTTGTCAGGCACATCCGCGACCTGCGGAGTGACCCCATCGCCGATTCCGTTGACACTTTTCGCATGGTCGCTTTGACCAGTGTCTCTTCCTGCGAGCACAGCATGTTTCAGAGCATCCCTCTTTTCTCGAAGTCTGCGGACACGCTCTTCCATCTCCTCCATAACCTCGAACTCGTCTTCCAGCCTTCTTTCCTCGTCTTCCTTCTCCGCGTCTGCGTCGACTTCCAATTTCCTTCGTCCGTCTTCAGCTGCCTGTGCCTCCATCTGTGCTGCAGTGACTGGTGCCGCGATTATCGTGTGAGAGACGTAATCGGCCGGCGCGGCCTTTAGGGGAGCAACCTCCGCCTCGAAGGCAGCCCACTCAGCCTCGTCCACAGTCGGGCTCTTAGCAGATGTGCCTTGTACGGAGGGCGCATCTTTGGGACCACCCTCTAGGGGAGTGTCATCTTCGCCTGGCTGGTCCGAGTCTTCGAGCTCTGTCTGGGCCTGTCGGTCTTCTGCATGTGTGCCCACACTCTCCGGCCGCGATTTCGGCTTCTTTCTCGCATCTGTGTCAGCCTCATCGTGCTCCTCTGGTGCCTCATCCACATCTTCAAGCTTCCTCTTGACACCTTTGTTTGTAGTATTCTCCTGACTAGCCTGGGCATTTTTTCGGTGATTGGCACTTCTGAGATGACCTTCCCACAGTGTTTCGGACTTGACGTTCAGATTGCATAGTGTACATATGAGTCCGGTTTTGGTGTAGGAGAGGTGAGGATGAGAGATTCGTCGTGACTGCCGCTCCGCAGCGAGAAGAGCACGGACATCAGCCATACTGGATCCGGTGCGTTGGCTGATGGTGAGAAAGCACAGGAGAGCAAATAGATTCGCAGGAATGTCCAACGCGTCTTTGGTGAACCGGACGCTCGATCCTGAAAAGCAGTATCAGACTGCACTGGGTATGGAGAGTCACGTGTATTTTCTGCGCCGATGACGATGTGCCGTCTGCATTGTGCCGGTGGTCTACAGAGCTGTTGGTACCTCTAGGTAGGTAGTACTAGTATCTCATTCTGCCACTAAAAGTTATTATCGTGTACAGTGTATAATGGGCCAATCCCCACCTCACCTCATCGTACCAGCAGGCTTCGGCAGACCTTCCTCTAATTCGCCAGATCGTCATCTCCGCTATTCTCAGGCTTGGCGTCTCCCAGCTGTCAGTGTGAAGTTGGACCTCTTCTCCCGCATCAACTGCGCTGCGCTGATTGTCGCCGTTCGATATTTCCATCAATTCCAAGCGCGTGTGCCTTCGCTACATCACGCCCTATTCGATCGGAGGCTCGCGCAGTTTCGAGCAGGCAGGATTTGGGGCTATTGAGTTTCAACTCCAGAAGTGCGCCTTCAGGCGCATTCGTTTCCGTGGTCTCGTGAACAAACACGCTCGCCTCCTCCACCTGTTGTAGATCGCGACCATAGACGTGATTTGTGACAAGCGCCCACGCTCTACGTGTGTGTCTAGTAGTATTACACGCCTTACTCTTTATCAACATGGCTGGTAAGCAGTCACCCATAAGCGCACCACATGCGGCGCGACATATCGCAGTACGTTATGCTGACTCGTGGCAGACGAACCTCGACGCTCCGGTCGCGCCACCAAGGGCCAGTACACCAAAGATCGCGATATACTCGAAGATGTACCTGCGAAGAAGAAAGGCAAAGGAAAAGGCGGCAAAGCGAAAACAACCGACCAGGAGGAAGAAGGGGACGAAATCATACGTTGTGTATGCGGCACATACGAGGAGGAAGAAGATGTCCCTCGAGCTATGATCTGCTGCGACACTTGCTCAGCATGGCAGCATAACAGTTGTATGGGTCTTCCGGAGGACTACGAAGCTGACTCGTACTTTTGCGAACAATGCAAACCCGGAAACCACAAGGCGCTGTTGCAAGCTATTACGAGAGGAGAAAAGCCATGGGAAGAAGCAGCCAGGCAAAGAAGGGCAGCTGTGGAGGCAGAAAAGGCAAAGAAGAGAGGCGGCAGAAAAGGTCGAAAATCAGGAGGCCCTCGGACCAGTGAAGTGACCTCTCACGCGTCGCCCGAGGCAGAAGAGACGACGCCGCAGGCTCCTGCAACTGGACAGAAGCGCAAGCTTGAAGGCTCCCCCAGTGTTATATCCGAGATCAAGGTATGTTACTTGTTCAGACAGCATCTGACACAGGACTGACATTGCGACAGAACAAAAAGGCTCGAGCGACACCTGCGGCGGAAACCAATGGCGCCAAAGCCACAACTCCTGCCCGCAAACCCAGTCAGTCCGAAGGACCCTCGAGGCAGGCATCAATATCAGAGTCGGTGTCGGGCGTTGCGTTGGATGCGACGGAACTCAACAACACTGCGCGAAAGCATGCGGCCTCCACCTTGATCAAGCTCATAGATCAACAAATCAAAGATGCTGTGAGCGAAAAGGAGTATGCTATTCCCGCGGGCTCGACGCAAGTTGACATCGCGAATCGCCTTGGTTTGGCTCTCGAGCATGCGCTGTATCAGGTCCAGGCTGGTGGCAACGGCGACCCGAATGATGCCTACAAAAACCAGCTACGGTCGATAACCTTCAACGTCAAGAAGAACCATGCACTAAGACTACGACTACTCAAGGGCGAGCTTGCCCCACATACACTCGCGGCAATGGATCCGAAGGACATGGCTAGTGAAGAATTGAAACGTAAGGACGCGGCCATTGTGAAGGAGCTGGAGAAGCAACACACCATCATCGAAGACCAGGGACCTCGAATTCGGCGGACACACAAGGGGGAAGAGTACGTGGACGAATCGAGGCAGGTTGCGGCCGAGTCTGCGACTTCGAATGCACCTGTCAAGAAACCCAGCCTTGCAGAAGGAGATACGGAGATGAAGAGTCCTGTGGTGGAGAGCCCTCGAGAGACGACAGGCAGTTCTGGCAAAGGAGCCACGCCGGCGAAAACCAAAGCAACCGCGGATCCTGCGAGAAGACAGTCCTCTGCCAACTTCGATATAGACAAAGTATGGTCTAATGTCCAGGGTTCCCCGGATGCCGAAGGCCAGCGGTTTGGCGAACTTCCCCGGCAATCACCCGGTCTGCCCATTCAAGAACCCGTGGGGCCCGGCGCCAAGGCAGATGCGGATATTGATGAACTTCTCAAGGATGAGGATGCCGAATCGCCTCCATACTCGCCCAAGGAAACTTCAGAAGCGGACGGGGTCGTGTGGAGGGGAACGGTCAACGGCGGCAGTCTGGGTAGATTCCACGCTGTAGCCAAGTATGCAGCTGGAGCCACTCCGGATTGTGACACTCTGCGGATGACCTACGACCAACTGATCCCGCCGGACATCGCCATAGGAGGGCGAATTCAACCTCTGCGCGCGGACGAATATCTCTGCGGTCTCGAGTACAGCAACTCGTCAGATCTGGTTATTGTCTGGATGCCCGAGCCACAGAACTCACATGACCAAGAACAATTTGACCGACTGTTCCGGTACTTCAAGGCCAAAGATCGATTTGGAGTTGGCATTCAGCATCAGAATCCGGCCATCAAAGACATCTATCTCATCCCCCTGGACGTCGGTCAGGAACTACCTACCTTTGTTAAGAAGCTCGAAACGGATTTCCCAGACCCTGCACGCGAGCGCATGCTTCTGATTCCCATCGTTATTAAGAACAGCGAGTTGCCTCACAACATGACGGCCGCGGTGCTGGAGGGATCTGTGCCGAGTCCATCGACGAGGGGTTCTCTGGTCGCGCAGACCCCGATCACACCGCACGATGGCAGCTTCGAACTTTCTCAGCCCGGCGCATATTCCCAGTCGCCCGTGCCTGGTCAATATGGCGGCGTCAACGGCGGTCTTCAAATGGTGCCACCGCAACCTCATCCACACCCTAGTCTGACACCACAATCCCATCATCCTCCTACGTTCTCGACATCAACCGCTGCTGGCTCACCGTACCCACCCCAGCAGCACCAACAGCAGCACCAACAGCAGCACCAACCGCCACAGTCAGTGGCCATGGTCAACGCACAGAAAGTCCTAGGGCCTCTGGCGGGCAGTCCTGCTGTGGTCCAACTCTGCTCACAAGTTCCTGGAGCCGGCGAGAACGAGTTCAAAGTCGTCAAAGAGTGTCTGGAGAAGAACCCAGAGGCTGGAAACAGTCTGGAAGTGTTGACCGGGATGCTACAGCATTTCACGAACGCTGCTAGTGGTGCTAATGCCAACGCCAATCCTGCCGGTGATGGCGCTGGAGGACAGTAACAGTGAGTAACAAGGGGCAAGAAATGAGTCTCGGAACCGACCCGTGTGACGAACCTTCTGCTACCCTCATCGGGGGTTGGATATTGTTTCTGTCAAGGGAGGATCGGTTGGGTGGTGATGCTTGTTGATGTATCAAGTGCTCTTTGTGGCAAGAGAAACGATACGGCGGAGAGCTGTGAGGATTAGCAAGTGCTCAAGGCACAGAGCCTACGGATGTTTGTGTCGATGGACCCTTCAATAGGAGGACAGCAGCGCGTTTCAGTGCAACCTTGTGGTCCGGCTGTCATGGCCGTCCATGTGCTTGTCTGTGTTGTAAGAGCAAATAGTGAACTGTGAGCAGAGAGACAGGCTCCAGGCTGGAATCCTGCTTGAGCGAGTTGAATTGCAGAGCTAGGTAGCGAGCTATTCATGCTTCAATCACTGGCGGCGGTGATGGTCCAATACTGGATTCTGCCCCTCGTCACTCTTATTAATTCGACAAGTCTGCATCGCTTGCTTGTTCCAAGTTGCAAGCCATTCGTACAGTCTCGAACATAAAGATTAGACAGGATGAATAGGATCCATGTCGGGACAATAGCCCCATGCTTGGTTTCTTTTGCTAGATAGCCACGTTCTTCTGGTCGTCTCCTATTCAATTGTCTCTTAGGGATACCAGCCTAGGGAGATAGGTCTTATATGCTGAATGGCAAGCATCACTGCGTCTCTAGAAACGTTCTGACCAGCTCATCTCTCCTCCCTTCGTCAAGTGTATAGAACCTCAGATCCCTTAACACACTGTCCGGCAAGTCGTGTAGGTCCATACCTCTCTTCAGCAGTGCCTTATCCACGCCTTTGAGCAACGCCACCAGATCTTTCCGCCGCTCTGCTTCGCCGGTCTTCAATTTCGCGACGAACTCGCGATACAGCTTCTCCCGGTCCTTCTCCGGCATAGCGACGTCCCGCAATTCCGGTTCTTTCTTGAACTTACGCTTGAACTCCGGCCAGTAGAGCTTGGGCGTGGCGTGGCGCTGCAGGAAGCGCAGGTATTCGACTTTCGGGTCGCGCGCTTTCTTCTCAGACTCTTTGCGCGCTTGGAGTTCGACGATGCGATCCTTCGACCACGCGACAAACGCTTCTTTGCGGCTCGTGGTGTTGGGCAATGCTACCCAACGTGGGTCTTCGACGATGGCGAGGTCTTCGATCAGCCTCTCAAACGTCGAGTACGGCGAGATGCCGCAATCGTCGAGCAAGGAGCGGAAAAGGGCGATGTTGTCGCTCGCAGTGAGCGGGAGGCCTTGATCTTCTTCTCCGTGTCCTTCCCCGTCGGCATTCACCTCTCCTGCGGCGTCGTCGCCGTAGTCTTCCTCCATCTGGGCTAGCTGCCATGCTATGTCGTCTTCGTCGAACTCGACGGGGCCCGCTGGTGCTGAGGGAGACCCTGCTGCGCCCCCGGGTTCCTGGGACAGGCGAGGCCGTTTGTTGGGCGAGCCAGGGCCCTCTTCCTCGTCGTCGGTAACCTCGATCTCCTCATACGAGTCGCTGTCGTACTCTCCTTGTCCGTGACCATTAGCCGGCGCGGAGGGTTGTCGTTCAGCAGAGGCTGCTGGTGTCGGTGCGCTGTCTTTGCTTTGTGTTTGCGATCCTGTAGCACCCTCCTCCTGAGTCTGAGGTTGTTCCTGGGGTTGACTTTCCGCCTTCTTCTTTGCCTCCCACTCAAGTCTGTCCATCTCGATCACAGCCATCATGACGTCTTGGGGGAATTTCCACAAACTCTGTTTCGTCTCGGTGTTGTGCACAAATCTCCTTCCCAGCTTCGTCTTGACCAGTACCCATGACGCGCAGTTGGGTATCGCTGCCTTCGACTTTGGCCTGTCACCTTGGTTGCCTCTGCGGCGAGCATGGTCCTGATAGCTTCTTCCACCTGTAAAATGACCAGGTCCGACGCCTGGTCCTAGTGTAGCGCTGGTGCTCTTGTGGAACGCATCCATCGCCTGCATGGATGCGCGCAGCACATGGTCGGGTTCCGTCGCGCCATAGTCAATTTGTAGAGGCTCGTCGGAGGGCGCAGTAGGCCGACTGTAGGTGGATTGTTTCGTGGCGGCATTGTAGTAATATGTATGACCCGTCGGGGCTTTGTGTTCGGTCCAACCTGCTGGGAGAGGAGAGTCCGTAGCGGACTGACCCGCGGTACGATATGTGGATTTCAACATGATGACCAGAGTGAAACTTATAGGACACTCTCACTACCTCCAGTAGTGAGAGCACAGCGACGAGTTGACTGCAAGTTGAAGCACGCACTGCAGTTGCAGCTCTGGGCCAGTATCAGTCACCTAGGACTTGGAGGACTTCGGCGTGGCAAGACTTATATAGTACTACATACATAGTACTAGTAGCACGAGAGGTTATCATACTTCTATTATTCTATCCATAGGATGGTGTCAATCTATTCGCTAGTAAATTAGAGTAACGCTAAATAAGGCTAGGGTATATAGCACTAGCCAAATCCACAATTAGCACGACTCATTCGCTGGATATATGGAAAACTTCCGAAATTTCTCTCAACAACGATCTGGGTTTCCAGCGTTCGAACAGGTCGGATGGTGTAGTTGGTTCATCACATCTCCTTAACACGGAGAAGGTCCTGGGTTCGAACCCCAGTCTGATCATTTCATTAACCATTTCTTTTTTGAGATTGACAACTCGACTCTTATGATCGGGGTTGTGTTGTTTTGGGTTTCTTTAAATTTTTGTCTCCAACTGAAATGACTGCTAGGCCACCAGCACGATGGGGTTCCCGCCCGCGTTGCTTTCTGTGGTATAACACCGTACAATCTTATGGGATAACGCTGCCTTTAGATCAGTGTGTGGCCGAGGATCAAGATAGAGCAGCACCATCTGAGTCCCAAACGGGCGAGATTGGAGCTGCTTTTACAATTCATCTTAAGATACAGCTGATTGGATCAAAGAAACAGACGACGCGTGAAGGCCGTGCCTGAACTGAAGTGGTTGAATCCAACTACGTACTGAATTGTTCCCTCCGCACCCAATCTACATCCATTCGACAACTGCTTGCCTTTCCTCGTACCTTTTCTTCATCTGTTTCGTCTCACGCATTCCGTGACCTTCCCTGAACCTCGAAATAAACGGTCACAATGTCTCGCAGATACGACTCCAGAGTAAGTCTTGTTGCCAGTGCTACAACGCATGATCAACCGCTGAACCAGAGGTGCATAGACAACCATCTTCTCCCCCGAAGGCCGGTTATATCAGGTCGAATACGCCCTTGAAGCCATCTCGCATGCCGGCACAGCTCTGGGGATATTAGCACAGGATGGCATTGTTTTGGCTGCGGAGCGAAAAGTGACGAGCAAACTGCTCGAACAGGATACGTCGGCGGAGAAGCTCTACATCTTGAACGAGTAAGCTTCCCGTTTGTCACAGCAGGCTTCAGGCCTGGCTCTTTGCGGCCACAGAAGCTGACATCTGTTTCCAGCAATATGATCTGCGCCGTCGCTGGCATGACGGCCGACGCCAACATCCTGATCAACTACGCCCGACAAGCCGCGCAACGGTATCTGCTGACGTACAATGAAGACATCCCCTGCGAACAATTGGTGCGACGACTGTGTGATCTGAAACAAGGCTACACACAGCATGGTGGTCTGCGACCCTTTGGCGTTTCCTTCATCTATGCAGGCTGGGACCCTCAACGCCAGTTTCAATTATACCAAAGCAATCCTTCGGGGAACTATGGTGGGTGGAAGGCCACGAGTGTGGGAGCAAACAATGCCAGTGCGCAAAGTCTGCTCAAGCAAGATTACAAAGAAGATTGCGATTTGAAGGAGGCATGTGGAACGGCGGTCAAGGTGTTGAGTAAGACGATGGATTCGACAAAGTTGAGCAGTGAAAAGAGTAAGTTCTACAACACCTGGGCGAACCACAACTTGTATCAGGATCTTACGTGGACAAGACACTAATACGTTTGGTGCAAACAGTCGAGTTCGCGACCGTCGGTAAGACGAAAGACGGCAAAATCTACCACCACCTGTGGTCCGGCGACGAGATCATGACGTTGCTGAAAGAGCACGGCCTCGCCAAAGAAGAGGAGGCCGAGACTGGTTAGAACTTCCAACCCGATTACTCCTATGGCTCAGGCAACTGGGTTTGTTCGATATGTCATGGGGATGGAGAATCCAGACAGATTGCGAGAGGAAGGGGGGACCGAAACCTTTGCAATGTAAATCAGACAAGGAATGGCATAGCACCGGCGTTTACGGTTGCAGGGCATGGAGAAGTACGATCGAAAAGACTTCAGAACCTATCATTTCACTCCAGATGCCGGGTTCTTTCTGTTTTCTGTTTGACCATGGAGCCTGATTCTCAAAGATCGGCTCTACTTCGCCGAGACCTTTTTCAAGTCCGTTCCCAATCTAACGGGTGATAACGTGGCCTCTGATGCAAAGACCGCTTGGGGCCAGACATGCTCCTTTGATGTCAGCCTGCCTTTGAACCTATGCCTGGCTTCTCGTCGGCCTCTCCACCGTTACATGACTGAATTCTTTCACTCTTCCGCGCCGCCTGGCTCCTTTAATCATCTTGTTTTGCTCTACCTGAAAACTCATGTCCCGCTATCTACGCATGCCGTGTCCATAATTCGACGTCGAGGCTGACGTAGACCTCAAAATCCTCACCACCCGACACTAGCACCTGATCCCTTGGTCGCCGGTGTCCCGTGTCTCGAGGTCTCAACGCTCGGCAGGGCGGGAACAATCTGTTCTTGTCGTAGGCAAATCCTCAATGGAAAAGCATGGAAAGAGTGACGCAAATATACACGGATCGAGTCAGTCTAACATTGCATACACGAAGGCTGAAGAAGCCATGGTGGCCGGAAGAGAAACATCAGGCATACGTATACCTCGCGCCTACTAACATGGTCAATTCAAGGACAGGTCACAGTATCTATGTTGCCTTGAGTACCCGGGTAGGATGAGGTCAGCTTGCATGCCTTAGGTATGCATTACGTGCAGCATACCTAGCATTCGTAGAAAGCTAAGCTACCTACCTAGGTAGCCAGGTGAACCGGTGAGGCCAGCAGGCAGGCAGATAAAAAGATGGACACCTGAGTCGCCTGCAGATTGGACTTCAAGTTACGCAATCCATGCATCGCATTCCAGTGGTCTAAGTAGATGTTATGATGAGCCTCTTCACCGTCAACACGAGATATGAGGGTCTAATGGTCTCGAGACATGAAGAGAGGATTTACTGATCCTGCATGAGCTCGTATACATACCTTGTACACAGCCTCAGCCGGTGTGCATAGTGGCATCTTTCGCATCCTGCAGCTCGGAAAAGGAACCCGATTAGGTCTGTCGAACCCGAGACTTGGAGAATTTATCTTAGGAATGAGCATTGGGAACTGTCTGAGTCGTGTTCACCTTCAGCTGAACAAGGAACACGAGGAGAGAGAAAACAAGGTTTATACGAGTTCGAGTTTCCCCCTGTGTTTAGATCTGCGGCTCAATCTCGACAAGGTAGTAGGTACAAGTAGTAACAAATGATACGAAGGGCCAGAACTTTGTACGGTAGCAGGGTAGGGTCAACTTGACGGGAAGTATGCGTGAAGCAATATAGACAGATAGATACGACCATGCATGCGAAGAGGGTACAAACTCGACCGGGAATATCTTATATGCGCGAGGAACTTTCGAGCGCAACAAAAACAGAACTGATAGCATACACTGCAGAGGAATGTTGATCGTGTGATCGTGATCGAGGTTGTCTGGGGTCTTTGAACAATCGATCCTAGTACTGTTCATGTAGAGGTAAGTAAAAGGTATAAGGGAGAGATACTCTGTAGACAGCATTGACAGGCCCCTGCAGGAGTCTCAGCCTTGCGCTCAGCCTTGCAGCCGTTTGTGTGATCAGTTCAGGCGACCCGCCCAAATCCTCACACCCTCCCAAAATCTAGGTTCCCTCGGTTGGCATGTTATGTTTCACCACAGCGAACGGGGCGGAAACATCTGATATGTATCGTGATGGACTACCCCGGAGATGTTGGTTTCACTGCCTCGAGAGTTCTAGTCTCTTTCATGATCCCAATCTCCAGTCTTCCTGGCCAGGGTCAGTGCCAGTCCTTGATCCAACCGAGCCTTGCTCTGCCCTAGTGGTCTGCATCTGACTTGCTTTGGGTTTGGATCTGCAATGCTTTGGTATTGAATTTGAATTGTATCTACCTATTCTATTCTCAATCTGCATACACAGGTAACAAGTGTTACAATGTGGACAGATATGTCGCTATACTGTAGCATCGCAGATCTCCATCTCAGGTACAAGACGACTGGGACGAGCGGGTCCCACAAGGCATCTGTTCTCTCCTTCTCTCTCGTTTTTGATATTGCAGGACTTAACAATATCCACAGACACGCACGCACGCATGGTAAGCAGGACTGCAAGGGATGGAAAGTCAAGATCCAGACGCGAGTGACTGTGTCTTCCATGAGCCTGAGCCATTGCTGATCATAGCAGTCGAACCCAAAATATTCGAACGTAGAGTCCACGTCGACCGCGCTCCATCGCATGTTGTGACCACATCCTCAGCTGGACTGGGTTGTTGCAAGTCGAGCTCTCCTTTGCATCGGGTCGTTGCTGGACCACCCAGTTTGTGGTATCCTCGCTCAAGGCTTATTGTAGATACCTGCTTCAAGCCAAACATCCTTTGTGATGCTAGGCCACCCAAGAGGGATCATGTGCCGTGGTCGATGTTTTGTTTTGTTTTGTTGTGGTGGTGATGTGGTGGTGTTGTTTTGTTGATGTCATAAGTGTACATTCCAGTCATTCTTGCTGCCGTTCTAATCACATGATAAAGTTTCCCAACACCAAATGCTCATCACCGTCTCGAACGTCGTCGCGGAGGTTCGGCGACAATGACAATCGGTTGTTCCTCGTACCGTTGCCGCTGCTCCTTTTCGATTTCGTCCCTGTGGTACAAGCTTCCTCTCCTCTCCATGTAGCTGACAGGCCTTGTTTGACGTTCTGGCCTAGACCGGTCGTTAACCTGGTCATGGTGGACCCGTTCCCTCCTCTCACGACGAGCGGAGGCTGGGATGATCTCAACCATATCGACGTCATCCTGGCGATAGCGCCTCTCTCTTGGGTGGTCCTCAATGGGATACTCCCGCCTCCGTTCTGTCTGTGGTGAGTGATAGGACGAAGGCCGTTCGGGCCTTGCCACCCTCTCTGGCCTTTCGCTGTCCACCGCGTGCGTGACCACCACCGGTCTAGGATTACGCTGCTCGAAGGCCTTGACGAGGTTGCTGATGACCTCAAAGCCAACCGGAATCTCAATCTGGACACGGTCCCCTCCCCAGCGGTCAACGACTGAGAAGGGCTTCCCGCCTTTGGAGTAGACGTATTTGGCAACATCTCTGGCCAGGGCCTTTCCTTTGTGGCAGAGTGGGATGTCCTTCCTGTATGCCAGGTAAGGGTCTTTGCAGATACTGCACCTGGAAGCATGTTTGGCAAAATGAGCCATAACCGAATATTCTTCGTCCCTCGCCGGCCGGATGGAGTTGACCTCCGTCGCGAAGCCGACGACGCGCTGGCTCGTGGCTCCTCGAGCCATTGTCTCAATGGGAGTTGATGGAGAGCTGATGACAGGGGTAGAAGTGGTGGAATGAACCAACGATGGGGTGGGGATTGGGATTGGACTGTATGTCCTTGGTGCCGGCGCACGAGTGACGGTGATGTACTCGTAGGCGGGAGTCAATGGGTCAGAAGCACGAGACTTCGTGGAATAATAGTAGTAGGTGACGGAACGTGGAGTCGACAGCGTGACGACTTGTGTCGAGGTTGGGTTGAGGGTGTAGGCAGTCCGGATGGACGGCGACGACGGGTGTGTTTGGGCAGTGAGTGAGAGTGAGGGATGTAAGACTGATTGAACACTTGGAAGCTTTGGATATAGATGCAATGTGAGTAGAAGAAAAAACAAGAATCAATGGATAGATTGAGGGGGGTTTGCGAGGAGTTATAGCCTTGAGGTGGGAAAAGGCCAATGGAGAGTAGGACACAAAGGCGCATTTGCTGGTGAATGGAGGGACATTTGGATCAAGGGGATTTTGGTTGGATGCCTGGACCAGGGCCAGAATCATTATACTGCATCAGGAAGGGCGATGACGGCCATGGGACCAAATCGCCAGGCTGCCATCGACCTGGATATGGTAGAAGAGAGCGTGTACGTGCGTTGAAGTGACTGTAAACGGGCCCAGGGTGAGTCAGAGACAGATGGAAGTCAATGGGGACAGAACAGGCAGTGCCCCGTCGGCGCCCTGGTTGTTCCGACGGGAGTGGACACCGATGACTGACACGAAGTCGAGAGACCATGTGGCCAGCGTGTAAAGTATGTTTGAGAAGAGAAAAGAGAGAAACAGAAATGAACACGAGGAGACGAGGGACCGAAAGGGGGCCAAAAGGGAAATGGCGAGGATGGTGATAGAGGAGGAAGAAGGATGAAGCTACAGTGAGCTGGTGCTACTATAGTGGTGGTAGTATTGTGGTTGTTGCTAATGACATTAGTAGTGATACTAAAGCAGTAGTCCGCTTCAACAGTGGCGGTGAACTACTCCAACGTGACTGCGCCCCATTAAAAGAGGTATAGCTAAATGTTTAGTTAATCTGCTTATACGAGGTCTGGTTGGTCTGTGGGGGCTGAGGTGGGCCTAAAGAGTGCGGGGACACTTTCTGTTGGCTGTTTCTTCACCGGTCGAGATAGTGTTACTGTAACATACAACAATCCCATTCTTCCAACCCTGAGGGTGCCTAGAGTTTGGTATTGAACTGTACAGTTTAGCCTTATGGAGGCTGAGACTGCGCCTCCACTGGCTGCCAGTGGCACCGATAAGATACAAAACTACCTATGGGTACCTACGAGATAGGTAGTCGGTACCTGGGTACCACCCGTTAGTACCTGGGATCTTCATGGGACCGTCTAAATGTGCCGTAAGAATTCCACTCTGTATGAACCTACAATTGACTAGGTACACCACACTGCAGTAGGTACGTAAGATAGGTAGATTCTTTCTCTCTCACCCCGCTGGTACTTCTGTAAATGTCCTACAAAGATTCCAATCGACAGCAGCGACGAGGTTGATGTACTAGTACATCAGCTGATGCTGGAGATTGCGTAAGGCAGGTACCAAATCCACCAGTTCTCTATCCCTCCTCCTTCGCATCCCACCGCTCTATACTGGACTCATCCTCTCCCCTCCTCTGCTACACGAGGCCGATGCTGCTCGACATCCCACCCTCGACGCCTTTCAACGCCAATCCATCATCGGATCCCACTTCCCGAGCGCTGCTCGTAAGCCTAGCAATCAATCGATCCGTCCTCCACAAACTCCGAGCAGTCTTCTCCACTACGGCCGAAACTGGACGTATCCTCTTCTTCTTGTGCCTGCGTTCCCCAGCGCCTTGCTGTGCAACACTGCCTCGCCTACGCAATTCTGTCCACTTTCCTCTCAGAACGTTGAATCTAGCTGTGTATCATCGTATTATTCACTCTAATGCCGCCATCCATTGCCAACTACAATCCCGATAAGTCACACGCAGTCATTTCTGCTCCGTTCCGACATACCTCATCGGAACAGTCAACCCGTTGGCTGGAAACAAGGTCCTGGCTGCAGAAAGCGCAGTTGTTGACACACCCAGCCTCCTTCAGCTACAAGATGCGACCAACTCGAGTATACGAGAAAAACACGAGACACACCTCGCGAACAGCTCCTCATGCCTCAAGTTCTCATTTATTCACCCACGACAACCACAACCTTTCCCCTTGCATGTTTGGTTTTCAGCCGTTCAATTGCCTTCGGAGCGTCCTCCATGCGAAAGACCTCGTCCTTGACCGCCCTGATTTTCCCTTCACGCATCCACTGCCCCATCTCTGCCAGTTGTGTAGCATCTCCGTAGCAACCTAGGAAGTGAAATTTGCGCTTGCCGCCGCCCAAGAAGCCTGGCCACAAGGACTTGCTCGCCATATCCAGCCCGGTGCGCCATGACATTTCTGCACCGACTTGAACATATGTCGCCTCGGGCGTCGTATATTCATGGCAGTGCCAGTACAACGCAGCATGTGAGCCAACGTTGTCCACAATCAGGTCAAACTTGCCTGGTCCCGGCTGGTGTGATGCATTCCCAGAAGTGGAAGCCGAGGTAGACCCAGCCCTCTTCCTCAAAGCCTCGACGACATCCTCGTTTGTGTAATCAACCACCTCATCCGCACCCAGCGACTTGCACAGCTCCGCATTGGGTCCGGAACAGCTCGTGACCACATAACATCCCAGCGCCTTTGCGATCTGAATGCCCCAGGACCCCGTGCCGCCGCTGCCTCCATTGATGAACACTCTGCTACCTTCTCCTCTCTTCACGTAGGGCGCGATGCACTGATACGCCGTGAGTCCGGCAGTGCCCACGCACGCAACATCCTGAGCGCTGACGCCCTCGGGCACCACCGCCAACACCTGCCTCCGTGCCACCGTAAATTCGGCCAGTGTCCCAAACTGCGTGGGTGTATCGAGCCGGCCAAAGACCATAGTGGATGGTTCCAATGCTGATGCCGGGTCTCCCCCTTCACCATGTCCAGTAGCAGGAGGGGCGACTATTTTCCCTGAAAAATCCAGCCCCGGCGACGCAGGCTTCTTGATCGCCAACCGTCCTACCACGGGCAGCTCGGGGAACTTGTAGTCGATCGGGTTGAGCGACATCGCTAGAACCTGGACCAGCACTTTATCGCCGCCCAGCGCTTTGGCATCGTGAGGCGGTAGCGGCGCAGCGTTGTTCAATGTCAAGTTCTTCTCCAGCCCGCCGTGCGTCTGGCTGTATTGCCACGCACGCATGCTTGACGGGATTTGCGGAGACGCCATGTCTGGGGTTGACTCGATCGTCACCGTGGGTTGTGATAGGGTTCGGGAGGGTTGTATGGCGTTGTTTAAGACTGTTGTTTCTCAAGACGTTGTTGATATTTGAACACTGGCACCTAACAGTCCATCCAATATAGACTGAGCCTTCTTTTCACTATACCTTCGAGGAGTCCTGACTGTCCAGCCACAGCAGCCTGGTGATGGTATTCGTAAGCAGAATCAGTTCTCTCTGGTTCCGTCGAAGACAAGTGGTGTGCTGCGTGGTCCACAGATACACGGTTCACTATACTACTACTCGAACGGATGCTGCACGCAGGTGCTAGAGTGTCTTGGCTCTTGGAAACAAATACTACTACATGTAGTAGTAGTAATTACTAGAAGTAAGTAGCTGACAAGAGTGTTCATTTTGATGTATCTTGTAGGTAGAATTTGGAGCCAGAGGACAGTTGTGTAGACCCTTGTCCATGTCGTCACCATCTGGTGCACGGCTTCCCATCGTCAATTGTCCAGAGAGTCCAGTGAAGAGGCCATTGTAGGAGCACTTGTTCCGATGCTCTGCGCGACTTGAACTGCAGGGTATGAGAGACTGTTGAACAATGTTCGAGGTGATGATCTGGTCATACGCGGCTACAATCTACCAACTGACTGTTGAGTATCTCCAGTCCGACGTCGCTGCTGTCCGGTCCGCAGCACTCACTACAAAGTGCTCCACGGTACCAGCCCCCGGAATTCGACGCGAAATGGCACATGAGAGGCCGATTATTGCGGCAGTGGAGAGCCAGGTTTCACGAGCATGAAGGTAAGCATGAAGGTCGGACTAGTATAGCCCTAAAAGGATACCGTGTCGATACGTCTATCCGGCGAGGCCTGCTGCTCCGCTTCTTCAATGCTTTTTCGCAAGCAATGCCGCACACTCATGGATCATGACGTCCACATCTGGATTCTTCAAATACTTTTCTGTATAGTCACGCAACTTGGGCATCTTGAGGTAATCGCTCAAATCGATCTGCTCTTTCTCCGTGGGTGCGTTGAATCGAAAATAGCCAGTAGGCCGGTCTGGCCGACGCCGGTTGCGCTGGCGCATGTTTCGCTCAAAATCCCGGTGCTTGGCCTCGGTGTTGGTGACGAAGGCAACTGTCTTGGATACAGTATTGAAGAATCTGGCCACAAACCGTCCAGGAGGCTTCTTATTGGGGTCATAGTCGGGGTGAGTGGTTCCCAAGCTCACAATGCATCTGATATGTGGAGACTGATGTTCACGAGCAACCAGATCATATCTGTTGTCCCAGACTTGGTCGATTGGATTGTTGTTGAGAAGTCCGCCATCCCAAAAGTTCAGACCCTGGATGTTGACCTGTTTCAGGTAGGTTGGGGCGGCCGAGGTCGCCCGTGCGGCTTCTTTGATGCTAATGGCATTGAAATTGAGGTCCTTAGCCCCAGCGGAGACAGGGAGAGGTGCAAATGGAGGATCGTAGTTGCGCAGGAGAATACTCTCTCCTTTGTCGGCGAGCGTGGCACACATGAACCTGTCGAGTCAGCACTGAACCAACCATTGTGCCACACTGCTGGACGCTTACATTTGACCTTGGCTGTCCTTGACGAGCGCGGCGTCCCCTTTCCGTGCCTTGTCGTCGTCATCGAGGGGAAATGCCCCGACGACTGTGTCGATGGCCTTCTCCAATGGCTTGTGGGAGAATTGAGATTGGCCCGTCAACATCTTGAACTTGATCCAAAGATCGCCCACATGCTTTCCGAGCCGACCAAGCCGGTACAGAGAGACCGGGCCTATTCTGGGGCTGAATACTTCTTTGGCCAGGTCGTGGTATTGACCAATGACCTCGCTACACTTCATGTGAAGTCGAAATAGCATGAGTGCGATGAGTCCTCCAGTACTTGTGCCTGCTGCAAGGTCAAAATAATCCACAGGTCTTCTCTCGTCTGTGTCAAGAGGTCTGCCCTCTACTGCTGCTGTCTCATTTTCAATGTCCCGTACCCGATCCATGACTTTCTTGAGGATGATCATGCTCGATATGCCTTTGACGCCACCGCCATCAAACGACAATAGGTTGTATGCGCCCTCAAATCCTGCCTGAGGACCGGGCAAGACCGGTGCACTTGCATCCGTCGACATGCCTGTCCAAGCTTGTCGGGTTGTGCTCAGGTTTGCTTCAGAGTTGTAACAATTCCACCTGTTTGCTTCGTTCCTGAGACAAATTCTCGTAATCGTGATCTTCAATAAGGGGATATCACGAAGTGCAAAGGAGGCTGGAGCTGTTTGCCTGGGCCCAGGGGGTCCTCGAATCCGCCCGTGGACTGGGGCGTTGTGGCTATGGCAAGCGCTGTTGAACAGAGATCGGAGAGCAATGAGCGGCCGAGAGGCAGTCCTCGGCCTTAGTAGACTTTGCGGGCGAGGTTGAAGGAGAGAGACGGATTGTCATACAAAGGAAGGCTATGTCAGTCTTTTCATGATGTTGTAAAAGGTGCTTCAAAAGCTGAAGCGAGCGTAGCTTGCCATGAACTCCCCTCTGACTGCAGACTGCAGGGATTTATTTCAATTGAGGCAGGATGCCCACGCGCAGGCTGGTAGGTACGATTGACACTGCCCGGTCTTGCGAAAGATCCTCCTTCAATCTCACCGGTCTGAAGTCATGTGTGTCTCTTTGTGACGGAAAGTGGCAGAACTGAGACGGGTGCAAACAGCAGGCAGACAAGCAGCCTGTCTCTTGCCATGAGATCCAATCACTCCCGTTCCACCGCAGTTCTCTGCGTGCCATTTCCTCGAACATAGTCCTCGCTGATGATTTATCAAGTGTCCCAGCCGCTGGTCCAGAAGTGATATTTCAAAGATTCAGAGAGACACAGTCTGTTTGCTCGTTTCACCGACCTTCGAGGAACGCACCGTCCATCTTGCCATTCAGCAATGCCTCCATATCAACCGCTCCACCGGCCAGATATCGTTCACTCACTCCCAGATTGACCCTCTTATCCAACATGGCCGCCAGTTCAGCTCGCCACTGAGCGATCTGTTCCTTCCCCACGGCACCTTTTACCTTCTCTTTGGCTGCTTTCCCACCACCTCGGCCTCGTTTGTTTTTATTTCCCAGATTTTCGAACTCTTCGCTATCATAGTCCACGCCAAGTTCCTCTGCTGCGGACTTCAGCCAATCGTCCTTGCTCGCTGCTTTCTCCTTGGCCTGGGTTGCACCAGTAATCTTCTGAGCCAGACTCACACGGCTTTCAAGCCTTTTCAGGAGCCGACCATCTACCTCCATCGTTTCCGGCGCTTTATCTGCCTTGTGCACTTCGAGAATCAGTCTCGTTACGCCTGCCACCTCGTCGGGAGAACAGAGCATGATCGACCGGCCCGAGGTTTCGGCTCGAGCAGTCCTCCCAGACCGATGCACGTAAGTGTCCGCAGTCCGGGGAACATGGTAGTGAATGATCAAGTCAATGCTCTTGATATCCAGACCCCGGGCAGCAACGTCTGTAGCAACCAGCACTGTCCGCTGAGATGAGAATTTTTCCAACGAGCGTAGGCGAGATTTCTGAGGCATGGTAGAGTGTAATCCGGTTGCTGGCTGTTTGAGGCTCTGCAACAAAGAGGTCAATCTCCTGACAGCAGAGATGCTGTTTGTAAAAACAAGCGCCTTCGCATTAGGATTCTGTAAAAGCAAAGCATAAAGGTAGAGATCCTTCTTCATTGCAGGACATTCCACGATAGACTCGGACAATGCAGAAGCCATTTGGGAAGCTGGATTGACATCGATAAAAGTCGGTTTAGCTTCGCGGAATGAGAGCTTTTTGAGGAGATATTCCATGGACTGGTGGTTATCAAGGAGTTCACTTCCCTTTCGCGCGCCTGGTCGGATTTTGGTGGTAAGTTTTCGCTGCAAACCTTTGTGAAAAGTTGCTGAGAAGACAAGCGTTTGGCGCTCAGATTTCGCTGGGTCCTTTGAATCTTTTGTTCCGCCGTCTTCCTCGATGACCTCTCTGTCCAATGCATCTAGGATGTTTTCCACTTCCTTGAAGTGACCCTCACTGAGCAGACGATCAGCCTCGTCAACAACCAAGAATTTGATCTTCTTGAGCCGATCTACCACGGCAACTGTGTCATGATTGGTAGATGTCTCGTTCATCACTTCCCATAGTCGGCCAGGGGTCGCAACCACGATGTCTGCCGATGTCAACTGCCGCTGTTGTTTGTATACGGACAATCCACCAGTCACGGCGCAGATCCTAGGGTAACTCTCAAGTCCAATACACAGCTCATTAAGATGTCTGTTCAGCTGCAATGCGAGCTCCCTTGTTGGCGCCAAGATGAGCGCCAGGATAGAACTTTTGGTCGTTGCCGGGCCATTCAACGACAGATCCTCCATGGCCAGCCAGGTTTCGAATATGGGTAATCCAAAAGCCAACGTTTTGCCTGAACCCGTCACAGCCTTCCCAATCACATCGTGGCCCTGCAGAATGGCAGGTATCGCAGCCTCTTGAATTGGTGTAGGCTTCGAAAAGCCCACCTTAGCAAGCTGTGACAATGTCACAGGAGACAATTCGAGACCTTTCCATGCCGATACGTCTGTTTTGGGATCATCCGTGGAATCGGGAAGAATATTAAATCCCAGGTGAGCATCAATTTCGTCCTTTCGCTGGGATTTGGAATTAGGTCTTGCCCCAGCTGCTGGTATCGGCTGCGCGAGTCCAGGTGCTGGACGAGGAAACTCCTTCCTGCTCTTGGTCTGCTCAACTTCGTCGTCGAATCCTTGCCAGTCGTCACCCTCAGACTTGCCAATATGCTCCTCATCTACCGCTCCAGCTGATCGTGGCCGGAACGACACTTGGTGACTCGCCTCATCTCGGACGACTTCGACATCTTCAATCTCCTCAAGTCCGTAAAGGCCCTCTGCATCCTCGAGCCGCTCTGGCAAAGGGACTGGCTTCCATTTCAACGCATCGTGGCGAAGAATTGCATGTCCTACCTCGGGGCTTGCCGTGGATTGCACAGGCTTCTGTTTCTTTCGTGGTTGCTGATTTGGGGAAGCCACCTTTCTCTTCACCGACTTCGACATTGGATTCCAGTAGAGAGATTACAAACACAACATATGAGCATGTATGAACTTGATAGAGCATAAACCGACTTGTCTCGAAAAAAAAGTCTTGAACCGGTTCACTGGGACGGAGAATCTCAACTCCGCGTTCCTTGGCATTTACATGTGAAGTCTCTACACTCCGCTGGGATTGCAGAGCAGGCTCGTCTACGGTGACACATTCAATATCTAGCGCAGAACAACGACTATCAAGCACGGCAAGTTGTGGACGTCCGCAGCTCAGAATTGCGCGAGCGGCATCACCATGACTGTCCTTGCTGGAGCATTGACTCGAAGGTCAATAAGTGGACGCTGGTCAAAACTACCTGTTTCATGGCGTCGGAGCCTCTCCGGGCGAGACAAGCTCTTCCGCGTGTCGGAAGAAGTTCAAGATGCTCTCGCAACCGGCAAGCCCGTCGTTGCTTTAGAGACAACTATCTATACGCATGGTAAACCGATCTGAAGAGCCTCCAGCACATATCACTCAATCTCATGGCTCACCAGGCTTTCCATATCCGGACAATGTCGCCCTGGCTTCCCACCTCGAATCACTGGTCCGCGTCAATGGCGGAGTGCCCGCAACCATTGGCATTCTGAACGGTAGGGCGATTGTTGGCATGGACCCGGAAGAAATAATACAACTCGTGTCTACGGCTGGAAGTGAGAACACCTGGAAGGTATCGAGGCGCGATCTGGGCTTCATTGGTGGTATGGGTTTGAGAGGCCAGAAAGTACACGGCGGCACCACGGTTGCTGGGACAATGATCCTCGCCCATCTGGCGGGCATCAAGATATTTGCCACTGGCGGTCTCGGAGGCGTTCACCGAGGAGGACAAAACTCTCTGGATATTTCTGCAGATTTGACCGAGCTAGGCCGGACGCCCGTGGCTGTTATCAGCTCCGGATGCAAGAGCTTCCTCGACATTCCTCGTACACTGGAATATCTGGAAACTCAGGGAGTCGGCGTGGGGACCTTTGCGGATGGCAGGACTGGCCATGTCGATTTTCCTGCTTTCTTCTCCCGAGACAGTGGCGTCCGAAGCCCTAAAGTCATTCTGGACGAAGCGGATGCCGCAGCCGTCATCTATGCGCAGTCGCATTTTCCAATCCATTCGGGGCTAGTCCTTGCAAACCCCGTTCCAGAGCACTCTGCCATTCCAAAGGATGAGATGGACACAATCATCGTCCAAGCCTTGGCAGAGGCCGACGAGAAGGGCATTGGCGGAAGCGCAAATACTCCCTACATCTTGAAGCGCATTCGTGAGTTGAGCAATGGAGCAAGCGTCAAAGCAAATACGGCTCTGATCGAGGGCAATGTTATACGCGGCACCAAGGTCGCGGTGGAATTGGAAAAGCTCGAGCGACGGGATGGAGCAGTTCCGAAGCGGTGAGCCATGTTAGAATTCCGCTGTCATGATCGTGACGTCGATTGACATTTGTTAGAGGAGACAGTAATACCACAACTATCGCGAAACCCGTCATCCCCAAAGACATTGACGAAAGCATTCCGGACATTAAGCCGGCATCTCATCCAGTAGAGATATTGGTGGCTGGCTCGCTGGCAAGTGACACGATATGCGACTATCAGCCTTTTGAGGACGCCTCTTCTCCTATCTCGCCAGCCTGGCACACTTCGAATCCCTCCAGTGTCTCTCAGGCTGCCGGTGGCGTTGGGAGGAATGTGGCAGTGGCTGCGCACCTTGCCGGTGCGAACGTGGCCCTAGCGAGTGTAGTAGCAGATGATCTTGCTGGGTCGTCGCTACTCGATCACGTCCAAAAGACTGGCCTCTCTACTACCAGCATCCTCCGTCTCCCTGTAGACAGTGGCGCCCGGACTGCACAATACATTGCGGTCAATGACAGGAACAAAGATTTAGTCGTCGCCATGGCGGATATGTCAATCCTCTCCCGTCCGGAGCTGGAAGACCCGGCATATTGGACGGAGAAAATGGAGCAAAGCCGGCCCAAATGGGTCGTGGTAGATGCCAATTGGTCTCCAGCTATTTTGTCGTTGATACTTAGTGCTGCAAGAGCACAACAGGCTCGAATAGCCTTCGAGCCTGTGTCAACAGCCAAAGCTACGGGTCTCTTCGACAAATCCGTCTTGGCCATCTCAAGCACAATGGTTGTGCCAGATCACGTTGTCAATCTTGCTTCTCCCAACAGCCTGGAACTGACTGCGATCTACAACGCTGCAAGGAACGCAATGATGCTCGAATCAGAGCAATGGTGGACGGTCATTGACAGTCTAGGTCTTTCTGGTGCAAGCTCACGCGATCGCCTGGCATCGGTGGCAGGCCACGACCTTATTGAGGAGGGTATCCCTCAAAAATGCATACAGCTTCTGCCATTTATTCCGAACCTGGTCACCAAGCTTGGCTACAAAGGCTGTCTGGTGGTGAGCTTGCTCAGGCGGACCGATGCGAAACTGACCAGCCCGGAGCACGCCCCGTACATTATTTCGCGGAATTTATCCCACAACTCGGAGGTCGGAGGCGTCTACATGCGCCGGATGCCCCCGTCTGTCGAAGTTGATCAAGCAGAGATCGTGTCGGTCAATGGAATCGGTGACACCATGTTGGGCGTCATCGTGGCCGGCCTCGTAAAGGGGCGTGCGCTTGAGGACGTGGTGTCGGTTGCTCAAGATGCGGCCGTGCTCACTCTGAAATCTGCAGAAGCTGTATCACCTGAAGTGCGAAGCATCCAGACGAGATTGTGCCTGGACAAATGAGATCTCTCACACAAGAGTTTGCCCACTCATCATATCAGTGGTTTGGGGCGGTCCCCGACGCACCAATGACAATCTCACACGGATCCCAGGCGTCTTACTCATCATCCGGGGACCGGAATATGCAGGAGAACTGGATTTCTCAAATGCTGTTTATCTACCATCCCAAGCAATTCCTGGAACAACCTCGAGCTGACCAACAACGATGCTGCTTCGTATCTATAACTTTAAGCTAGCATTGGACCCATGAAGCCTATGGTCATCTCCGGCCTGATCTTTTGTGTTATTGCACTCAAAACAGTCGCGCAAAGTGTCGAAGTTCGCGATACCCTGGATCCGGCGATATCCGATGCACCAAGTAACAGTCTCAACACGACCAAGTCGCTCTACCAACAACTCAATCTTTTGGACCAAGCACCAGCAAGCCACCTAGACGCTGGGATTGCGTCGCGGCAAACATCGTGTCCTGATGCATCGACCAACGATCTTTGCGGGTCGGGCTCTTGCTTTCTCTCCCAAGATAACGGCGATTCGACCTGGGGAACATGCTGTCCAGCAGGCTTCAATCTATGGTTAAACTCGGCGGACTGGTCGAAGCAGAAATGCTGTCCGGCCGGATTGACGACCGACGAATGTGGGAGCAGTGCGTCGTCTGAGCCACCGTCGCAGCCTATTTCATGCGGCAATGGAGGAACCAAGTCGGGATGGGCTTGTGTGTATTCAAATCAGAATGTGAATTCAGCTTTGCGAGCAACCATTTCGAGAATATTGGCCATGTTATTGCTGGGGTTATGGGTTAGCAGGTGGCTCTATTGATGACTTTGGCAGTATGGTTAGTTATGTTTGCTGCGATGCGATGCGATGCGATGCTATGAAGAGTGATGCCAGAATCATGAGAGCCTTCAAGCAAAAACCTTCAGTCTCAAGTACCCTACCTTACTACCATGTATCTCTATCAGTCCGTTCCGTATCAGGAGATGGGGTGTAACGACTGGCATCGGGCTCTAGGAGTAAGCAAGCCTGTCAAGTCTGTCACCACTTATCGTCCCCGATCACCAATGCGGGGCCGAGCTGACTGACAGTTGTAGCTGTAAGAACGTGCTATCTAGTACCTACAGAACTGTTCGATATTGTAATCAACTTAAATATCTGTGAGTATCCCCGCCGACAACACTTGAGGACGGCCACCTGGAGCTTCAGAAGGAACCCCAATCTGTTCAAGACTGCTCTATTGTGTCAACCCCAAGCGACGAAAAGCGGTATCGGAATCGGAATCAGACAAGCCAGCAAGAACAGAAAAGAAAAATAAAAGAACCCTTTCCAAGATGTGTATGAAACAAACGTGTCCCACCTGTGGTAAGGCCTCCCAACCCTCAAGTTCCTCATGAGACCTTGTTCCATCCATATCACTTGTCCTGTCAATGGTCATCCAGCGGTGATGTTGCTGGGGCCTTTCAACCCACCGTTTCGTCACACGAACTACTGTTTCCAGTGAAGGTAGCTAGCCACCTTGTTTGCGGTTCAGTGTGCCTGGTGGGAATGGACCCTAGTCATGACCTTTTGTTCTCACAAACTAACTCCCCCGGGATTTCTGCCACCACATACCTATCTACCTATCTACCTATCTATCTAGGCACTGACAGTTGAAACGTGAACAGAGAAAGCAACGTGGTGGGGTTGCGGCAAGCATATCCCTGCGGTGCTCGACTCGATTCCGCAGGAGGAACGGTGCACCTGCAAGCCCAAGGTCGTGGTGGACGGGAAGAGCTACCCGCCGAAGCAGGGGGAAGGCAAAGCTGAATGAAGCCGTGACGAGATACTATCATGGGGGAAGGAAATCAGTGCCTGAAGCCATGGACTGGGAAACCCTGGGTTTTGGTTTGTCTAGAGTGGAAAGATACAACGCGAAAGGAGCTGCTCTAGTTCGAGGTCAAATGCTTGAGCAGGATTTTTTTGTGTATCTCGAAATGATCCATCCACAGAATTCCAGGATCTCAAGTGAACACGATCCCACCGTCGACGACAATTGTCTGACCGGTGACGAAGTCGGAATCCTTAGAACAGAGAAAGCCACCCACAACATTGCTCACATCGTCGGGCACACTCACTCTGCCGAGGGCAGTCAAGTCGGTGGAGTATTTCTTGACCGTCTCGCCCTTGGGCCGACCTTCGATCTCGCCCAGCTTCTCATCGATGACATCCCACATAGCAGTCCCGACGATCCCCGGCGCATACGCGTTGACGTTGATTTTATGCTTGGCCATTTCCATCGCAAACACCTGCGAAAAGCCGCGAACAGCCCACTTGGACGCGCTGTAATGCGCCAGCAACGGGAACGGCTTGAACGCGACGATGCTGGCAGCGCCGAGGATCTTGTAGGAGCTGCTGCCCTCGGCCACAGGGCCCTGCTTGATCATCTGCCGTGCCGCGTGCGTATAGCAAAGCCACACGCCCATGAAGTTGACGTTGAACATGCGCTGTACGTCCTCGTCCGAGATGTCCAGGGCCGGTGCAACCTGCGCGATCCCTGCGTTCGCGACCATGACGTGTAACGGGCCCAACTTGTCCACCGACTCTTGAATCAGGTTTTGCACCTGCGTCGACGAAGTCACATCTGCAACCACCCCGATCGCCGTCCCGGAGCCGTGGGTCTGGTTCAATTCATCCACCAGCTTGTCGATGCCTGCTTTGTTGGCTGAGACATCATTGACGGTTACTGCGTATCCTTCGACGGCGAGACGGCGGACTATCGCTTCACCACTGCATACTAGAGTCAGCCATCGACAGGACAGGCTGAGGGCAAATGGGAAGAGAACTCTTACATGCCACGCGCCGAGCCTGTGACAATCGCTGTTCGCTTGGCCATCTGTTCCTTGTGCTGTTCTGTCTCCGCAGGATCGTATCGTGTCTCGTGGTCGTCGGGGTATGAAAAAGGCTCCTGCTCTGTTGATCATGAATCCGGGATCGTTCAGATAGTATGCGAGGAGAGAATGGCACCCGGGTATTGCAAGCTCCCAGACTAGCCATATATAACCCAACTGCTGGCCCGGGTCTGCATGCTATCCCGCGGCTTTCCCCTCCAGGCGCGCGGGGATTGTCGATTGGGCGTTAGGTCATTTCATCTGCCTGTCCATTTCCTGTCTATTTGAGGTTCTCCAATCGCCCAAAAGTGTGGAGTAAAGGGACGAGTTAGAGACTCCACGGGGTCCATTGAGAACGAGGAGAAATGGATGCGGGGCCATTCAGCACCAAACACAGCGCGGCGGAATTCCTCCGGCAAGCGACGACCACTTCGCTGCCACTGTGGTAGACAAAGACATATTTCTGAGGTGTGAGGGGTTGAAGAGATGATGCCGACTGGTCTATCCCGGCGGTACCGGAGGGTATGTTGAAAACTGGCCGTCACCCTAACGCCTGCGCAGAGTCCAAGATCAAGGTAGATCTCTTGAGCCACGGGTAGAGCTGATGAAGAATAGCCGTCGGCAATCGGCTGCATCGGGTGATGCCGAGCGACCCTTTGTTTGGGAGGGTATCATCTCCTGTATTGGGCTGCTCTGATCATCCCAATGGAGGCATCCAACAATCTCAAGCCCTCATACTCGAATGATGCCCACTGACAATAAAGTCATATCAGTCCATGAATTTACAGACTGGGAGCCGGTAGCTGTGCACGTTCCAGTACTTCCGCCGGACCCCTTCCCACTCCTGGTCGAGATCGGGCAGAGCGACATCGTCCCATTCCACGTCAAAACCAGATTCGAAGAGATCCATTTCAACGACTTTCTGGTAGACGTCGTAGCTGATTTGTCGATCCGCACCCATACCGTTGAAGAAGGACCACTTGCCAATCTGACTCAGTAGACCAATCACCTGCTCGGAGAAGAAGTCTCGAAAGTCGGAGTATGATTCTGCAAAGGTGTCGAAATAGATGGCATCAAAGGTCTCGCCCTCGGCGACGAGTTGTGGAAGGACATCCTGCCATTTCCCGCTGTGTACGACGACATTGCGCTTCTCCATCCACCCTTTGGCCCGCATCTCCGCCAAAACGGCCGGGTGGGCCTCGACGATGTGGTGACTTGCTGGTGCATTGACGTGGTCTTGGATGTATGAGTCGATGATGCCCATTCCGAAACCAATGTTCAGAATCTGCATGCCTGGCTCCGATAACAGAGCATCTGCCGACCGGCGCATGATGTCGCTTTCCCATGCCATCATCACGCCATTCTGCTGGTCGTCGAGAAGCTTGTTGTTGCTGAGGGCCAGGGCAGACGAGAGATAGAATGAACTGCTCACGTCCTGGGCCGTCGAAACGGTGGCTGTCTGGGTCTGGTCCACAGTCTCCGGCTCATGATTCTCGCCAGTCTCTCCCTCCTCCTCGGCCTCTGCTTCCGTGCCGTCATCTTCATCATCGCTCTCATCGTCGTTCAGTCTTCCATACTCTTCGAGACGACTAAGTAGCATTTCGGCGCGGACGCCCGCGTCGACCATGAGCTGATATAGGTCGAACAGACCGAGTCGGTAAGCTAAGCAGCCTGGAGTCTCGTCGTTATGGTCGACCTGATTCCAGATAGCACCGTTCTCCAACAGGAATTTGACCGTCGTCGCAGCGACATCCTCCCCTTTAGCGCCTTCGTCTTGTGCCACACTTCCATTGACTGCAGGCCGGCACGACGCGATCGCTGCGTGTAGAGGCGAATGCCCTGTTTCCCCGTCCTGCACGTCAACAACCTTGCAATCTGGAAAGGAATGTTGGTCAATGTACACTTCCAGCTTTTCAAGGTCATGTAAGGATGATGCCAGGATGATCTCCTTGACGCATTCGTCCAAGGACTGGTCTTTGACCGATGTCACTGGCTGAGCCGCCATTTCTGTATGACAGTCAAGGGTCTGATGACTTTACAGACTGGCAATCTTCCTCTCTCTCTCTTGGTGACGGTGGTGTCAAACTTGAATGATACGAAGACAAATGCAAACCTTGAAGCCTCGCCGCGGTATCTGTAACGTCCTGTCAGAAAGTTTCTTTACTATACCGGATAAAAGATAATCCGATGAGCGGGCCGTTGGCCAAGACTCCGTGGATCCCGTGACCGACACCAACTTGAACGACACCTTCGAGTTCATCGAGCCTCAGCTTTGGTGCATTTGTCTTTATCAACGGGACTTCCTGTAAGCCTCACCTCGTCGACTCCAAGATCCTTGGTTCTGTAGGGCTCTGTCTGAGATGTGAAGACGATACATGTCGACTCCTCCGCCCTAGCCACATCCTAGAGGCAGCATTGTCTCCGACAGACAACCTCCGCTGTGTCGCCGCTTTTCGCCTCGGTGACCTTCACAGACAGACACTCGGCGGCCGTGTGCAATTCTCATCAGCATCAGTCCTGACGCCGTTCTTGCTTCTCAGGAAAATATGTGGTGGCTTGCATCTGAACCATGTTTGTTCATGCCGTCAAACCGTGAGGCAGAATTCCTGGATCTGACAGAGTCCTGCTATCAGCCTCGGGGTGGCCGCTGTCTAGAGGTTCCCGGCAAACATTGCATCCTGGGTGACATTGGGACCAGTATCGCCGGTTAAGACTTAGTTTCTTGCCTGTGACTGGACATTGCCACCTCAAAGCGTGGTTCCTCCACGCTACCATCAATTAAAGCCAGCCCAGCGCTCATACTTGAAAGGCTCGCTTCACAGCTGATTTGAGCATCGAGCACGACATCGATATTCAGATTCTCCCATTTATCAGCTTCGGCCTCGGTCAGCTCCGTTGGTGGTACAAAACTCCCTTCTGGAAAAGCAATGGGTAAGCCGAAAGACAAGAGCCTCAAACCGGCGCCCAGCAAACATTCATCCGACGTTCTGTCCGATACACTATCTGCGTTTGCATCTGTTCCTTCGTTGAGGGCTGCGGATGGGCATAACGTTGATGGCTGGGCCGACGAAGACATCCGAATATACAACGAATTGCTCAGCGAAAGAGCAAAACTCGAAAAGGAGAAAAACGAACTGGAGCAAAAGTCGTCGCGACATCAGACTCAGCGAGCGCTGCTTGATGAGAACTCCACCACTTTGGATGGCTTGTTCAAGGCCCAATTCGGGGGAGACTTCAAGTTCACCGGTGGAAGCTCATGCTGCTTGGATGCAGACCTCGGCAATGCGTGTGCAGAGCCTGAGGGTTCCAAACCTGGTAGCCTTCCGTGTGAACATGAAATATGTGCACGCGCAAAGACCAAGGGTGTCTCGTGGATGGAAATGGACACGATCAAATATTACCATGCACGGATCATGTCGGAAAGGTCTCCGAGAATGCAGAATGCGCTGCGCAAACAAAGAGACGTTGAGCTAGTTCGTGTCAAGAAGGATGATGAAGAGGAACTCGCATGGAGGGCAAGGAGGGCAGCTGCTGCGGACAAAGCATTGGGCAGCAGTGCTGAGATGCCGCAGGTGATGCCCGGTGAAGGTGCTAGTCCGGTGATTCCTGCATCTTTAGACATGGTTGCCTCGCGACAAGTCTTGCTTGATCCCAAGAACAGTGCCATCTTGGAGGCTGCTAAGGAGAACGAGCATGTTGTTCGCCGCATCCGAGGTCGGTTGGACAGAATCCGACAGGATGTAAATGCCGGCAGAGTCTCGCCAGCAGATGCTCGTGTCTCGTTGGACCAGGCAAACTTTGAGATGGCTGAGGCGGAGAGAAAGAACAATGAATTCAGGCAGTTGATCGTGGATGCCGAGCCGCCTCTCTCTCACAATCCTCAACCAAACCCTGCCACTCTCTCCAACATCCTTCAAAACACGCTGGCCTCATCGACCACTGACACCTTCTCCAATGCCCTCAGCGTCATGAGGGGCTTCTTTAGCACTTCTGACCCTCAGGAGGTCCAGGCCGCCATCGGCGAGCTGCGTCGGGTCCTCGAAATAAACGGACCGATGACCCCCGTCCTCGAGAAGTCCTTTCAAGCTCTTACAGATATGGTGGCCAAACCCAAAACCAAGGGCCTGAGCGCCGAAGACTCTGCGACCGACCGGCATGGCTTGGTGGAAGTAATGATGCACCTCAGACAGAAAGTGCAAGCTTCCATCGACCCGTCCTCTGCCCTTGGCTCTCGCGAAATGAGCCTCGACGAAGACACAATTAAAGCCAACTTCGAATGTATCAAAGTAGAAGAGGCGGCTAAGAAGGACATGGAGAAGATTGCAGAGAGAATGTTCGATGACACTGTTGAAAACGTTGTCGCATCGCTTAAGAAGGTCAAATCGAAGGCCTTACTGAAGTCTCCTATCCCACCTCTCTCCGATATCGTCCTCGAAGATGTCATTACGGACATCTTATTCCAGCGGTCCATCAAACTCCTAGTCATCGAGGCAGCTGGTCCTGTCAATCTTTCCTCGGTATCGGGCAAACTGACCTCACTGGTGATCAACATGGCTCACAAAGAGCCAGAAAAATACATGGCTACATTGGACATCATTAAAGACTGCATCCAGAAGACCTTAGCAGCACAGAAGAAGGAGCCGCCTGTCGTTCTGTTAGATGCTGTATCAAAGGTGGAAGAATCAATTCCCAAATTCGTCGCGGCGCATGAGCAGAAGTCAAGAAAGTACGTCACCGACAACAAACCACCTGCGGCTGGCTCTGTGCCAGCAACCCAGGCTGTATCAGGCTCTGGCAAAGACGTCTCCTTCGCCAAATACCTTCTCACTGGCGACGTTGTCGACAAGGAGTCTTGGAACGCCTTCAGAAACTTCTTCAGAACGCCACTTGTCCACGATGCGGCCAAGGTTAGAGACCGAGTCATTGAACATTACCGCAAACATCGGGACGAAGGGATCTGGGAGATATTTCGGGTGGTGGCCGATCATCACACTCTACACACCTTCCGCTTCGAATCATGGGCGGCCGAGAAAGAGCTGTACTGTGCCAACATGGCGGTTGCTGCTGTGAGCCGTGAGAAAGTCCTCGACGCCATCGTGGGCTATCAAAAACGCGGCATCTGCCCTGGCATGACGGCCGTGGTGATCTCGCAACGCCTCACGTACCAGGTCAGAGAAGACTTTGATGCTGCTAAAGCCAGTACGATGCTGCTTCGAAACATCTTCGACCACTACAAACCGCCTGCTGACAGCCGAGAATGGTTCCAGTCATTCAATTTCATAGCCCAAGCCATGATCGACCTCTTTGCGGTCATGATCTTCCAGGTGAAAGGCCTTGACCGGAAAGATGCCCCGATCCTGGCCGCCGATGTCATTGGCACTGTCTGCACATTCGTGCTGGGCGCGGAGAATGCTGCTCATGCTGCCGCCAACCTTCACGTCGTGCAAGCTTTCGTATCCAGTACTTTGGTGAACAACAAGGATGCCAGCGAGGTCGGCAAGTTGCAAGGTGTTCTGCTCCGATTCCTTCATATGTGTGAGGACTCACGGTACAGATGTCCGCCGGAGCATGCATGCAAATCACAGGTCAAAGCGTTCAATGCTGAAAAATATAAGGCCCTTATCCCTGCGCCACTGAACGTCAGCAAGCAGCCTCAGCCGACGACTCTCAAGAAACAAAGTCTACCGACACCAACTAGTACGATCGAATATCTGAAGCAATGTTTGGCAAGCCAACCAGCAGAGAAACTCCGCCCCCTCCGGATCTACATGCAATGTGTCCACGATTGGGAGACAGCGACGTTACTTGCGCCCCATTTGAGATGCCTACATGCAGGAAAGTCTTGCACTTGCACGAGAGAGCAGCAGGAAGCTGCAGAAGAGTTTCAAATTCGCAAGGATATCTTGGATGCCGGATTCGAGGAACTGAAGACCTACCTTAAAACCGACGAAGATCCACCCGGAGCCCTATGGGTCCGTCTGGACAAGGAAGCAAAAGCGCTTCGTGAACTGACTTTGCGGAAAGCCGACGAGGTTGAGAAGGAGAGTGACCCGCACACTGTGCAGGTCAAGTCTCGTTTCGCCGAGCATCTTGGAAACGGTTCCAAAGCAGAGCAGCGTCCAGATACCCAAGAAATCAAACTGAAACAAGTTGCGGTCAATGTTCCAAGCGTGCAGAACAGTCTCTCCAGCAATTCATCAGAAAGTGGCAACCTGGAGAGAGACGTATCGGAGGATTCGGCCAACCATCACCCGGGCAAAACAATCTCCAGTGCGACCCCGGCGTCGAATTCGAAGCCAGGACCACTCAACTCAACCGACAATCGCTCCAAGACCAACAATGTGTCACAGCGGTCAACATCGGCCGTGAAGGACAAATCTCCGTTGGCTCCAGGGGAACTGGCGATGCTGAATCAGTTGGTCAGATTTGTCGAGGGAGTGTTCAGGCTGGGAGACACCAACTCGGATCTCGCTGCTTTCACACGGAAAGACGCCCTTACCGGCATCACGAACCAGCTTCGCGAAATGGCGATTGGACACATCGAGATGGCATGGATCATCGCAGAAGCTCACGGATACTCTGGCCTGCAATCCTGGATCCAGCATAATTTCGGGAGAAGAGGTGTATATAGCACAGACAATGGTGACGAGGAAGACCTCCCCGCGTCCAAGGATGCTGCCACCGCAGCTTATGGAGAGAAAGATCCTCCCAAAGAGAGCCTACAACGGACCCAGGGTGGGAAAGTCAACCAAGCAGCGGACAGCGCATTGTTGTCATCTTTGCCGAACCAGCCGCCGCAACAAGCCGCCACCGATACGGACAACACTATTCAACCCCAGCTGATCCAGAAGCACACTGGCTCTCAGCGACGCAAAAACCTTCCCAAGCGCAAGCGATAGGTGATTGTTTCAGAGTACGCATCGTTACGCTCGGGTCGGAGATGGGCTCGGTCCACGAGCCCGTGTCATGCGTCGGTTTTCTCCTTTCTTTCTCGAATGAGCGGATTAGGCGTCTAGGGCGCAAAAAGTGTATGCATAAGACATGGATGGCATTGGATGGAAATTGTCGACATTATCAGAACATGGCACGTGGGAGTGGGATTCGATTCGTGGGGAAGTCTCTTCGCTTTTCGATGTGGTTCGGTCTGTGGAATACATATGACTTTGAAATTCTCAATACCCGGAAATCGAGGCAGGTTGAGGTGTGACGGATCGCATTGCTGTAACTTGGGAATACGAGAGCTCTCCATCACGAGCTCTTTCTTTCGGGCTGTCGTCTTGTTTGTTTTCGGCTCTTCACTACCTATCCTTGGTGCAGGATTTGTGCCACCCCTATTTTCTCTCGACCCCTGTACTTGGTTATAAAGGGGTGAAGGTCGCAAAAACATGTGTACAAAAGAGGCAGTCCGAGCTTAACAAAGTGACCGCAGACGACTGGCGCAGTGGAACAGGCAAGGAAAGCCGGAAAATAAGTAGACAGTAGACGAGTTTCAATCTACACATCGAGCAACGTCCGATCACAACGCATGGCTAGAACCTTCATCATCGTTTCATTTGTGTAGCTCCTTTCTGGGAAGAAGTTGACGTCCGGCTGGCACCGGCAGCTCGCTCATATTCAACACACTGTCTACCGTACTCAGGAGTATGGCATCCCTCACCTGGACTGACACGAGGCGACATCCCTGATGGAGTTCCTCCCGCGCGATCCCCACGCCCATGTCTACGGTCCTTGCGGATGAGTGCAAGATATGTTCTCGGGCGTTCCGGCGGGGACCACACTGGGCCACCACCATCCCCAGCAGAGATGGAAGACACACCGACCTTGGGGTCCTGAAATGCTCCCAGACTGAGCGATGCACCCGAACATTCTGGCCCGGCATGCAACCGTAAGACCCGACACCTGGTATGGAATATTTTGGGACCAATCTGCTCTCAGATGCCACCTGCACCAGGAGCGTCCTTGTCTCCCTTCAGATTCAGCAACAGATCCCGCATAATCTTTTTCGAGGATCCGTCTCCGCCTCCTGATTTACCTTTGCCGCTCAAATCGACCAGCTTGGCAATGCGCTCCCAACTGGTACCTCCGGCCGTGGTATCCTCTCTCTTAGCCAGGAATTCCTCGGCCTCTTTGGCAGTTTGAGCTTTCTGCTTGTCGACTTTGCGATTGTAAGATTCGTAGAAGGCATCGATGTCCTTTCGGGCAGTCGCGATGGTCTCTTCCTTCTTGCGGGCAGAAGCCTCGTCGCGTCGGGCGATATCTGCGTCTCTTTTGGCTCGCCATTCTCGGATCGGCTCGGTCTCTTCTTCTTCTTCTGGAGGGGCAGTGTAGTTCGAGTAGCCGGGGGTGGTGCCGTGGAAAGGAGTGGCCGAGTCTGTGATCGTGCCGCCGGGACCGACGTTCTATAAAATACGTTAGCTGAGTGTTGCGGTAACCAATAGCTCTTGGCTTTGGGTAAGAGGCAGTGGTTGAGGAGGGCGGCAAGCATACCTCGTTTCGTGTGTCAATTGCGGGAAAGGAGCTCTCGAAGTCGTCCAACTCATTCTGCGCTTCCCCTGATGGCTCGGCCGGCGCAGATATGAAGTCTCCATCGTCACCGCCTAGCAGATCATCGCCATCCTCGACCGTCGCTGCTCCGGGCCTATCGTTGGTAGCAAAGAGCTCTGCATCGTCTCCTAGAAGGGCCCTCTCGCGCTCCTCCAGACTGCCTTGAGCGGCGGGATTGGCTCCAATATCTGTTTCACCTTCGAACGTGTTAGTTTCGCTAGCGAAAGAGTAGAGCAGGCATGTTTGGGTAGCGGGAGCCCTCACCGGCGTCAATGTCTTCGATCGACGGAAATCGGTCGGCCATGATAGGCAATGGAGAGGGAGCGAGAGCAGGCGGCGGAGACAAGGATGGTGCTTTGAACACCAAATTTGCAATTCCTTCTTTCAATAGAGTGAAGATGGAATGGACTCTCTGGGGACCGAGACAGTGGGCAATAAACGCGAGTTCTGCAAAGTTGTCGTTCAAAGGGACAATTGGCACTTTCGTGAGATTGAGTGTTGCGCCTGCGTTCTAAGAGAGGAGCATGTAGTGAAAACAGATACCGTCAGACGGGGATTTCCTTGGCTGGTGGGCGTGAAGGAGCAGCACCCCTGACAATGATCCTTTGTCAGACAGGGGTAGTTTATCTACTGTTCAACGCTGTTATAGATTCTAGATTTGACTCCCTTGTTGAAAAGGAATGAACCTTCGGCAATCCGGCAATACTGCCAGTTGTCAATCTTCATATTAAAACAGCAGAGATCGCAGGGTCTAAGGGTCGATCCGTCCTCCAACCGCAACCATGAGCGACTGCGACTGCGCGGTGTCCAGAAGCAATGCTCGAATGCTCGGCCGTAATCGGGTCTGGAGGGTCAGTACGGAGGAGTATCATGATTGGATTATTGGATTCAGCCTTGGCAGCGCAAAGCAACTTCAACTTCAACTTCACTGCTTCTCCTCCTCCTTTTCTTCTGCTTTTGCTCATCTATATCTACCATCATCATCACCATAAGCTCTTCCACAGACGTGAGCTTGAGCTTGAGCTTGAGCTTGAGATTGACTTTGGCGGGAGTATATCCAAGCCAGCGCGCTTCCACAGCACAGGATCACCTTGTTCATTCGTGGCCGAAGTCATCAACTCTGTATTGTTGTTTGTCATAGCTTGTAGCATAGTCCTCAATTGTGACTCTATCCCGTGTCGCGCCAGGGGCTGGCGACTTGCCTCAACACACATCCAGTAATCGAAATCAACACGGAGATCGTGATAGCTGCGGAAGAAGCGTGGTATACGCTCCGAGTCTACTAGACCAGCAACGATGGCATTCAGCGAGTCGGGTCTCAGCGCGAAATTGTCGACGCTCAATGAGACCCAGGACAGTATCGTCTCGGTGTCGCAATGGATCATGTTCCATAAGTACGTGACTACAGGGCCTTTCATCTGGCCATATCTCTCTATTAGCACCCAGATCTGACCATCCCATCAGGAGACATGCCGATCGCATCGCCAGCTACTGGCTCACCCGCCTCCGCGACTCTCCGCCTTCCAAACGCCTGAATTTCATCTATCTGGTCAACGACATTGTCCAGAACGCCCGGGCTCGGAAACGCACCGAGTTCCCAGACGCCTTCGCGCCCCTGATGGCCGAGGCCATACAGACTGCATACCGCTCCTCGCCGGCCGACATCCAAGGCAAGATCCGCCGCGTGGTGGAAGTGTGGCGGACACGCAATGTGTTTGAAATTCCCATTCTCGAAGCCATTGAGGCTCGTATCGACGAGATCGACAAGTCGAAGGGGTCGAGCGGCAAGAAGACGCTCATGGGGAACTCGCTCTTCAACTCGACTTCATCAACAGGAATGCCAAAGGAACTCGAAACGCTGGCGCCTTTGCAGATAGCCGTGACCAAGGAGACCATCTCGGCGCGACCAGCAATCGACGCCGCGCAGACAGAGTACACAAAGCTCAACGACCCTTCAGCTGCATTGCCTAGTCCACCGGTACACGCTGCACGCTTGTCGAGTCTGATCAAATCTCTCGCGGCCGCGGAATCGTCCGTGTCCGCCAGCATCAAGGCGCGCAAGGCTCTGATCGCCGACCTCGAGCGCATTCTGGAAATCAACAAATCCGCACTGGCCAAGGACGAGGAGACGCATCTGGAGCTCGACAGTCGAAAGGCCAGCACTGAAGCCAAGAAGCGTGAGGTCGAAGACGGAATCATCCGCGGATTGTCCGCAGTCGATCATTCCTCCGCCGAGACCAGCGCTGGCACAGGGACCGTTTATTCCCCAGGTCTCGACAACGGCGCTGGGTTATCCGAGCGTCCGGAGATCGAAGAACTGACTCCCGAACGTGCATTCCCCGGAGACGACTTTGCCATCGGCGGATTCTACGAACCTAACCAGCAGCCTGTGCCGGCGACCGAATCTTCTGCATCAGACCAACCTAGTAATCCCGCCGTGGCTGCCGCGTTGGCCGGCTTCTCAGGAGGCGACTATGATCCTCTGACCAGCCACTTCAGTGACAATACCTATGGCTATACGAGCGCGGTGCCGCGCGTCCGGTCCGCAAGTGGAGGCCCAGGCGTGAATGGACTCGGTGTCAAAAGGCGCAAAATGTCCCACGGGGAAGGAGACGCCGTACCGGATCTAGGAGAGATGGGCATGGAAGGGTTTGGACGGCAAGAGGCGGCCGGCCTGGAAGGAGGGAACCTACCGAACGAAGATTTCTTGAAGAACTTGGACGAGGACGTTGATGAGCTATTGAGGCAGGAGGGCGGTGGGTATTAGAGCCCGACTGGTCACAGATACTGCGAGAGAATTTTTGAGCACTACAAGAGCTCGAAATCTTGCCAACGTAGGTCGAGGCGCGATCATGGACGATTCGATGGAACGAATTTGCAATGTAAACTGCTCCTTGGGGCAACAGCGGGATCTGAGTGTCTATCTGCGTGTCGAAGGCCGGCACAGAGCGCATGCCACATCCTACTTGAGAGCGGAATGCCACGCATATCCTCTTGGGGCATTAATCGAATTGGCGACATCGTGTTAAGCATGATGCGCGATTGTGGACCAAGTACCCAATGAATATATATTTCTTCAGGGGCAAGCTATGAGCTTCGTTAAGCAGGGCCGGCGACAACCATAGCCGACTGGTTTTTCTCTGTGCTCGCAAGCGTAAGCTGTATTAGGTAACCAAGGGTTTCGGGTTTGAGTAGCAGACGGGTGCTAGAGCTCTGGGAAGCAAGTCCTGAGGTACTAGTATATGTACAGCGTGCCATGGAGGCTGTCTGCAACCTGGAAAAGCCTTGTGGTGCCAGTGTGAAGCTCTGAATGCCCAACAGTGCTTCTTGTGAAAGATTAGTTAGTCGCGAAGCCTGTGAAGGGCGTCTGTCCGAAAATCATCCAAGTTGTCCGTAACACAGCGCAGCCATCCAAGGTTCTAACTGCTTCTCTAACGGAAATGCCGAGTCATTGGAGGTCTAACTCTGGACCACGGCCCGCTCCAGCGGTGGAATGCGTGTGAGTAGCATAGATCTCTTCCAGGAAGGCCCTTTCGTCGAACGAGCCGATGAGGAAGATGCATTTGCCATGTGATGGACGAAGCTGATGTCCAGTGCCCAGGGGGCCTTCAACAAATCCAGGAATAAGGACAGATCTTCCACACCAGTATGGGCTCAGTGGCCTCAAGTCGTGGGTCTTTTGAAGGGATGTGCCTCGGTATTGAGAACCCACTCGTCCAGATTGACGAGGGATGGATCACTGAAGATGAGGTAGAAGTACTTCAGAGTCTCGGCGAGCCAGAAGCTCTCCATGCGATCGCTCTTTTCCGGGACGGGATATCGAACATCGTCGACGGCGGCGTGGGCGATCGGCGTCCTGGTGGCCGTGTCGATGGACTGGAACATGTTCCACGCCATATCCTGGTACTTGGGGTCCCCTGTGATGCGGTACATGATGAAGACCGACTCGATGGCTTCGGGCCGCAGGATGTAGCGATTATCACGGTGGTCGGTGAAGCCCGGGAAGATCATGCGCTTCTTAGCGGTGTACTGTCCCCGCTCGACGACGCTCATCTGCTTTGTCTCCTCCGTGGGGGAGTGTCTTTTGGATATGGCTTCGTACCACTTATCGTCACTCCATTCGCATTCTCTCGGTGGAGGATCGCCCACTCCTACATGGCACGGTGCCACGTGGAACGTTTCAGGCATCAAGCCAGAGGGCATTGCGTTGTAGGCCCAGACGCATCCGTCTATCAGCCGACGAGCGATACCGAGCTCCTCTGGCCGGTTGAAGATCTTTGCGCCCATGCCCACCATTCCGCCGACGAAGCAGGCCAAATGTTGGCCTTGCGGTTCCAGGGTCGGTACGGGCACCGTGTTCGTCGAGGTCAACGCGGCGTTGCCGCTGAAGAGGATATCCTCGCCGGACGGCACCATGGGCCTGTAGAATAGATGTTGTTTGGCGGCTTCGATTGCTGCTTCGTACATACGCCGATACTTCTGGTCTCGACCTCCGAGCATCATGTACTGTTTGGGAAGGTATTCGTAGGTGGAGTCGGCCATGCCTCCGAAAGTGAAGTGGTTATATTCGAATTTCAGTTCTTTGGCGTCGACAATCGTGGGCCAAAGACCTGGAATAGTGGTCGCGTTCTGAACATGGTCCATCTCCTCCGCAATTCTCTGGACAGCGTCAAAGTACTTCAGATCCCCCGTCACCTGGCTTAGCCTTGTAAACTCGACGGTCAGACTTCCCAGCTCGGCCAGCAGCGTGTTTGTACTTGGCTCGATCTGCCCGCCCACGGCACTCTTTCTCCACGTCCAGCGTGCCATGGGCATATGGTTGGGCGTGTCGAAGGCCGAATACAGGATTTCGCCTAATTCTCTCGCCTTTTCCAGAAGAACGCTGTGCTGTCCATTCGAGAGGTCGTAAGCGGCCAGCAGCCCGCCGAGGTATCGGATGGTCGTCTCGAACACGTTCAAGGTTTCCTCCTCATTGGTGGTGAAATCAATGTCTCGGACGGCCTCGAGACACTGTTCAAAATCGGTCTTCAGGTCCATGATCCATAGCGTGTCCATTGTATCGACCAGGGTAGCCCCCCATCCTCCAAAACTCGACCGATAGAGCCCGCTGAGTGGCGCCACTTCATCCCGTCCCCAGGCATATTTCTTGTATCCATTCCACGCATGGACGAACGCTTCCTTGACGGCTTCCTGCCTCGAAACGCGCGTCTTATTCGCCTCGTCTGACTCGCCGCGCGACACAAAGTCAAACTGAATCTGGGGGATCCGCTCGAGTGGGCCGGTAGGGAATTCGCGGAATCTGGCGACGGGATACCGTTCGGGCCGCTTCGTCCAGTGTAGATTGCTATACGGACGCTTTGCAGAAGGGTATGGGCCGGTGTCGCTAGAATTCACAACCAGATAGTAGAAGATACAGGCCAGCAAGAGAGCCGGTACCAGCCATAGTCTTCGGATCAGTCGCATGGTGGCTGCACGACTGCTGGGCCGCGGTCAAGGCCGATTGCCAACTACTAGTAGAAGGGCTGGGCTTGAACAGCGATCAGATGCAGCAGGTCAAATGCAGTGATGGCCTGCATCTGCATGTGGAGGCTGTGCTATACAAGAGATGTAGCGGGCATTGTTGGAGGTCCCCGAGAAAACAATTCCAAGAACTGCTTGAGGTCTCAGGGGTCGGCCGGGATGCCAGTGTGATACTGATACTCTCTTCCTTGTCGTTGCCACTGGATGGGTGGATGTCACTGATTAGGGCTGCAGTTCAAGTTGCAAGACGTTTTCTCCGCATTCTCGCTCTAATAGACATGCGCCATCAAATGTCTACAACAATCATAGACTCAACAACCTGACCAGATCTCTGGGAGAGCAGACAGAGACTTCTTCAGGACGATGTCTCCAAGATGCCATCGACAGGACTCTTCTTTCTGCCTATTGCGCCCAACCAGCCCTCGCCGTCAGCACTTCTCGTATCGCACATCTCGCGATCGTTCCCCGCCGAAACGCTCCCGACCTTCCACCTCGACCACCGTCTATTCGTCGATACCTCCTCCCTGCTGCCCAACTCGGACACATCTCTACGCAGATACACGAGCATCCTGACCCTCTGCCACAGCCCCGGGACGACATATGTCGGGACGACGCCGCCGAAAGAGAAACCCCCAGCAGCAGCATCCGACCCGCCTGCTACTTCTCCGACATCGACACTCATCACCATTCCATCTGCCCATGCAGACCCATTTACGCAACTGATCGGGACCAAGCTACAGTCTCACTGGGCCCATCGGCAGTCTCTGGTCGTGGACAATGGCACCGCACTGGCCCTGCAACATGAAGAATGGATCGTTCGCATCGGAGACGTCAGAACACCTACAGGCCGTTCGGGCCAGCAGACCGCATCGAATCTGCGCGGGATGATAGTCGAGGTCTCCTTCAACGACACTACATCTGTCAGACCTGGACGCAAGGATTCTGCGGACCAGCAAGACACTCAGCACAGCGGGGTCGGCAAGGACGACGAGACTCTGATCCGAGGATTCCTCGACTCGTTGTTCGACGGCACGGGTGTGCAGATGGCGAGTAGTCGCGCCCTGTTCCGCAACACCAGGTCTACCAATCCAGAGGACAAAGACAGGAGTGGTGTTGCGGACTGGGATCTCGCGAGTCTCTACATGGACATGCTCCGAACGCCACGATGAGGCAGTCTCCCACGATACCACGCGACACGTGCGCTGTATGGAAACATCATGTAATATGCAAAGTCCCAGCCCTCTCCCGTCGACATGGATGGGGTCGATTGTCCTAAAGAAATATCAAGGTCGCTTGTCCTATCTTGGAGGACTCATCTAGTGCTTCGACCTGGAAGCTTGAGCTGCATGAAATGAAGATGACTGCGGACAGCCAGCACCGGATTCGGACGCGGTCAGATGCCGTGAAGCAACAACACACGCCATGGCCATGTCCTCACTCACCTTGGCCTACCCTAAGCGTCGCTTTGCCCTCGCATAAGACAATCAGGATTACTGTCACATTCTCCACCCATTAGATCTTCCACCCGGCAACCTGAAGCGCAAGAACTTAATGATTCCATGCCAGCGCATCCCCTCACCTTCCAAAATGGTCACTTGTCACATCAATCGAACAGACAAATGATAGACTGTGTCGATAGAATCGTGGTCTGATGGTTGTATGTCTTCCCATACGGAAACAGAGGTGTCGGGCGAAGAGAGAGAGAGAGCGACAATGCCCCTGGGTAGATAGGGGGTGTGTGGGACCCAGCAGACCAACCATCTCAGAAGTTCACGATCTGGGAACTCCTTGCGAGCAACTCTGGTCTGCAATTGAGGAGATCCAACAATCATCAACCCGGTCTGAGTATGTCTGTCTGTTCAGATAACATGCGAGATGTTTGATTGGCCGTTCACTTTGATCGACTACAACAGAAGAGACCAGGGGACCACGACATTGACATATTACATGAATATTTCCAATTCTTGATCTCATATATACATCGAGTTTGAGACGCCATCCGATCTCTTCACCAAACCAGTGAGGCCGCTCTGATGCTGGTCTGTTGCCTAGTATCACACCCAAAGAGTGCTTGATACTTCCATACCATGTACGTGGTAGTCACTGGACAAGTAGTGTTGTTCAGTGTCCACGAGTATTGGTGAACGCCTCCCATATGCCGCTGGTTTTCGCCCATTATTCTCCCAATCCCATCCTAGACGCCAAATGACAGCCTGATACGCCACCGTCCCAATGCCCCAACCTGGTAGAACACAAATCAAAATATATCACACACTCCACCCTTCTGGTAATCCCTTGACGGGAGGACATCGCCCGTTGTCACATGCATTGAGCCACCTTTTCAAAATGAGACTCGGCAAATATGCCATGCTTTTTTTCGTTGCTGCTTGAATCGTTGAGCGGGCCAAGCAGGCCCCAAGGACTGTCGGATTCGCGCCCACAAAGTACCTCCCGGATGCTTTTGTGCTTTTGGTTCTTTCCTGGTGACAATAACAGCGCTGGACTGGAGTCCACCACATGCGTGGAATGCAAATGAAAGCAAAGTGCTGCTCACTATAGCCTCCCAAATACTTCGAGGCCTATCATTTCGGCTCTATATTTTCGGTTCGTCGGTCCTGGTTCCCAGTTTACCAGGTCTCGGCAATGTACTGGCCAGATTTCTTCTTCTCGTCCCAGAAGCTCTGTGCTTCATCGGGGTTTAACTTTCCCTTCGCCATGGCGACATCGACGAGTGCGGCCTCCACACCTTCGCCCATTCCTTTTGAGCTACCACAAACAAAAATCCTCCCATCGACGGCGTTAATAATGAACCAGACGAGATCGGCCTGAGCGCGCACTTCTTCCTGCACGTATCGTCCCTCTCCTCGTCGAGACTGGACCACCTTTTTGACTTTGTCTTCGTGCACGCCCCAATCTCCAGAGTAGAGTTCGTCGAGCAGACTATCGCGTACACCTTGAAGAACCCAGACTTTGTTCGCACAGTTGGCAGACTTGAGCCTCCGGTGCACAAAGCCTCGGAAGGGCGCGACGCCGACGCCTGCACCGATCAGAAGCATGGGGCCATCGCTGACAAACTCTCGCGCAAGCGGGTTGGCCATCAAACCTCGGAACATGGGGATTCGAAGATCGAGGTCACGGGGATTCTTCCCCTGCTTCTCTGCGTCAATGAATTGTCTGGCTATCCTCTCCAGGAAGCCGGAGCTGACTCCCGTGCGACGCCCGCCACGGTAATCTTCGACTTCATGAACCGTCACCGCGATTTCGATCAAGCGGCGCGACCCATCGCCGTTTCTTTCCGACGAGATCACAGGATCTTGCGAGAGGGAGTAAAAGCGTGGCATAAGTTGGTTGAGGGCGGAACATAGGTAGTCCAAAGGTGGGTTTGCGGACGGGAAAGCTTCGAGAAGCTGTGGAACGGTGACATAGGGACCGGTCCGTAGATCGCAGAACGCGCCTTGACCCTGCGCCGAACACAGGAACATCAAAATCTTCTTTTCGTGTTCGTCCTCGGCATATTCGGCCATGATTCGCAACAAGTGCTTGGTGGGCGGGTAGCTTTGAAGGTCCGAGCACCACGTCAAGAGCTCTCTCCTGGTGGTCACAAGCTCTCGGGCTTGCTCCTCGCCCCAGATCGTGGGCCACCTTCCAGTGGTTGTCTTCAACAAAACCGGCTTGTCACGGACGAACTTGGGGATTCCGAGTAAATGAAAGACCTGGTCCACCACCTCGGGTGAGTTGGGAACGCAGACTCCAATGGCTCCTCCGACCACAAAATCCACATCTCCGCCTTCTTTGGGGTAGTCTGTGACATCAATGTCGAAGTGATATGTCCTCTTCTCGGCGCCCTCTTTCGTCAACTCGCGGGCGTGATAGAGCGGGGCGGAGAAGACCTGGTATGGGGGATGAGGTGTGACAAAGTTTGGGGGATGTTTGAAAACTTCCGCGGTATTTTTGGTTGGCGGTTCGGCGTAACTGGTTGGCTGTGATGAGGATAACGACTCGAGTGAGACGGTCTTTGGGGGCAAGTCGATAACTGCGGTCAGTTCACTATCCAGATCCAAACCAACCAACTTGAGGTTCAAACTTCGGTACGCGGGATTGTCCGGGGGTCTGATGGGATTTGTTCCGGGCGACGCGCTCGTCATCTTCAATTCTTGTAGCATACAACAGCCACCACCACAGCACGCCTTCTGTATCATTTGGGTGGCTGTACCCTTCTCGCCCAGAAACCGTCTCGCATCCTCCGAATCCTCCGATACCAGAACGGTCGAAGCGCGTCTCTTCCTGGTGGCCGGGTCGGACTTGTTTTGCATTTCGTCTAAGGAATCGTCGGAGAGACCTTCAGTGATTGGCGTAGTCGGTGCCGTGTCGACGCTGGAGGCATCGTCGGAGTAGGCGCCGCTGGTCATGGTGGATGCGGATGACCGGCTCAGCTGTGAGGCAGTCACGGACAATGTTCTCGAATGTGTAGGATCTTCAGGGATAGGATTGTTGGGATGCGAGTGCGCGGTTAAAGGCACCGGATGGCCTGGGGTGACTGTTCGTAAGGATTGCATTTTCGATCTTGCGTGGATAAAGGAACGGCGAACTGCGTGGAGAAGCGTGTCAGTATAACCCAGTCAATGCAAGTTCAGACAAGCCACCGAGCGCACGAGGGCATCGAGAGATTTGGCAGCATGATCAAATCGCTTAGAAAAGAGGCCGGAACTGCATGGATGGTTGTGTGATGAATTGGGCGAAACTTACGAGCAGGGTGGATGATGTAAGGTGCGGAAAGCGAAGCCGCACAGGCCAAACCAAGCCCTGTACCTGCGCGTCGACACACTTTGGAGAGCAGACTGTGTGACTGGGGAAGGGTGTCAGTTCGAAGATTGCAGGCTGTGCATGGAGAGTGTTGAGACTCGAAGTGCTAGGGAGCGTGGATAAGGAGGAGGAGGTGGTGGTGGTGGTGGTGGTGGTGGTGGTGGTGGAGGTTGCAAGAAATGGCGTTGTGGCGTGATGGAAATGTGGATGAGAGCGCAAGTCTGGAAGATGGGGAATGTTGGATCGTACAAGCAAAGTCGACTTCAAGTTCTCGAGTCTGGACTGTCGGCTGATAAGAGGCAGAGTTGAAAGCACCCAGGACAGCGAAGAGAAGAGAGAAGAGAGAGTTATGAGAGAAAGAGTTGGAAGCACGTACTATGAGGTACCCTGTAGTTAATGTAAGATACCTAGTAGGTACGAATAGTAGTAGGAGTACTATGTCAGGTACCTAGGGCAAAGGGCGCATAGGCTTGATTGATGGGCTGATGGACAGACCACCGGCACCCGGCACTGGCTGGCAATGGCGCTGCTGTACAGAGTGTACTTGTACTTTCTTCCCCGTACTTCGGACGCCTGTCTTTTCCAGTGCCCCCAACACAACAGATAAGTACTAATATTCTGGAAGTTGAAGTTTCTGAGCTCTATCCCCCCAACTTGATCGGCTGATTGATTGTCTTTGCCAACTTTGTCTTTTCGCTGGAATCATCCTTCTGCAGGGGCTATTCAAAGGATCCAGATCTTTTTGGGCTACTAGTACAGTATCTCCCCCACCATCCACTCGTACAACCCCGACCAGGATTGGATCAACGCTCACGGCATCTCGATCGATAGGATAAGATGGATCTGATATGATACACACGGTCCCACTGTTCCGGGTCCGCGTTGCAGCCCTAAAAACTGGCCGAATTGCCGCGGGAGGACTGCCGGCGAGTCTTGTCCTGCAGTGTGTAACAATACATGTACTACTTTCAGCCGCATCGTGGCCTTGTTCGATCTTTCATTCCCAATCGCCAGCCACATAAGGTAGGTACTGTATACTCACATAGCATGGCGCAGAGGATAGAGAAAACGCCAGCAGTTCCTATTGTGACCAGAGATAGAGTGACTCACAGCACAGTGACGGCATGGCCCCGCGTGTTGATGCGATCGCAGTCAAGATCGCCAACTCGTTGTTTCTGTTGGGACTCGATCGACCTCTACAAAAGTCTCCAGGTACAAGCTATTACTTGGGCGGTTGTACGAAGATGATCATGGGCAAGCTCCAAATGATACATTTCCGATACCGGCCATCGGCCATCGGCAGAGCTGAGTGGCAACACTGAGATAAGGTCTTTGGATTGGAGCTATACTGCCGTGTCTACTAGTACTGTGGAGGGCGTGGTTGTCTTGGAAAATTCCATCTTGTCTTATCCAATCAATCTCATCTGGGGCAGATAATCATTACGAGTCCTTGTAATCTGATCAAAATTGTCTCGCTGCAATCTCCGCCCGTGGCCGCGGTCTCCGCCGAAGCCCCCTGCAGTGTTGGCCATTCTTCTTCAGTAGTAGTACGACAGTGTACTGTAATACCCTATACGTACGTATCTACGTACGTGGGCCATAAACCCCGTCCCTTTCTTCCAACCTTCCCCTCGGCCTCCTGCAGTTACTTCAAAAGTACTGCAGTAGTACGTACTAGTAGTAGTCAAACACTATACTGGATCTCGGAAGCCCCCGCTCCATCGCAGTCAGTATAGTGATGGTTCAACCTGATACGTAGTACCACCGCCTCGCTCGGTCGGTCCTCTGTCAAAGCAATCTGCAACTCCCCCAATCCGTTCAGCATCATCATTACCAGTGCAGTGGTAATATGTCCTGGCCCTTCGATCACCTACTGCAGAGTCCCAGATCTGTGGCCATTACAAGTCCTTCCACTGTAGATACCTATGGAGGCGGTCTTCCCCGAATCTCTGAAACCATAGTCTTTGTATTAGTACATTTTTGTGCCCGCCGTATCACCGTCTGTCCAACGTTTGCCCCGATGGTCAGAAAGTCGGAACAAGGACCCAGGAGTTGATTCGTCAGTTTCGCCCTGTCGGGACCAATTGCTTTCATGTAACGGCGCGTCCCTGGTCGGATTTGAAGGTGTTGCTCGCTTAGACCAGTGGCCTGTCATATGTGGAGAACCGGGCTCGCCCCTGAACGGCCGCAGCCTTGTCAGCAATCACACTTCTGTCGATGCGTGCGTGGTAGCTTGGTGAGTCCGGGAAAGACGTGCTTGATGTCTCGCCCGTCGCTACCTACTGGGTTGTTCCTACAGTCCAAAGATCTTGAGCATTCGTCGAATTTCTGAGTTGCTAGAGTCTGCCCTGATCCAAGCCTTCGAGAAGTCTACTGCCGTCCCATCGAGGTCGACGTGGGATTCAACAGCGCAACCATCTTGGGTGCCCTCATCTGGCCCGCCTCATGCTGCGCAAAACACCATTGCCCAGATTTCCCGTCTTGCTCACGACCATTGAAAAAACATTTCGAGAAATACACGAAGGGGAGCGGCCGTTGGATTGAATGCGAGCAAAACACAGGTTCGTCATGGAATCGTAGACGTTCTTTGCGCACATTCACATCGATTAGATCATTGACCCAAACCCCTGCCATCCCCTGTGTCCGCAAACAGACATACCTGTTACAGATTCCGACTTTTCTGTTGGAATGCCGCGAAACGTCACAAACACATACAAAGACGGAAAACTTGCGCGAGTATCCCATGCCATGCACAAGGATGTTGCTGCCCAGCCTGAGTGCATTCACGCCCTGTCCCAAAAGCTGTGCTGGGTAGTGACTATCAACCAGTTCAACCTGGCGTGCGGTGAGACCTACCTTCTTCTTAAGGAGGGCAATGCAAGGACGCGCCATCTCGCGGTCTGGGTCACAGCCAATCTTTGATTTGCCGTTGAGACAATGAGATGCTTGCCTCCCTGAAACACCCTTGATAGAGGTGATATTCACTGGTGGCAACCCCACGTAATTCTTCGGTCGTGTCAAACAAAGCTCGTCCTCTATCATCCACGTCAAAACCTCCGCGGCCGTCTCTTGACTCGCTTCCTAGTGTCTGACTCACTGGGAAGAAGAGACAGGGATATAGATGTAAAGCCACCTTGGATTGTCTGACTTGCGGCAAATTTCAGGGTAGTCTCCCACAACACAACAGTCACACAGTTGCCCAGATGCCAGAAAGTGTAGTTGAAGCCGGGGCTGAAATCATCTCTTCCATAGACAGATGGAACACCCGCTTCCTCGCAATCCCCAATGCTAGCGTTCTTGGTACTGGCCCTCCTCTTTTTCGGCGCTCAAGTCAATTGTAGGGAATGCGATCGTGTTCAAGGTCGTCGAGGGCGCTCAATCATCAGCCGGGGCCGAGGTCGGGCTGTATTGCTCACAGCCATCGGGACTACTATCCTGTATTTCTGTAATTCAAATGGAGTAGAGCGCCTTCGCCAGGCTCTGTTCCTATATATGCATCAGAATAGTTGAGGACGCCCTGGAACCAACCACCTCTTCCACTGTGGACGGCGACCATGTGGAAATTATAGAGAGTTGGAATGAGCATGTCACCTCGAGCTATTGCTCTATCGCATTGCTTAAACATTCCCGTAGACTTCCTGTCAACGGCAAAAGGTTGTTCTGTCAAAAGTCCCAGGATTGAGCGCCGCAGGAACCGATGTCTCTATCGTGGACCTATCAGTCAGGAGGAAGAGGGGAGAGAAACCTGCACCATCTATGGGAACTCCAATTCGGTATCGATGTCACACGCAAACTCTGGAACGACCAGTGATATAGTACAAAAATGGATGATCTGGGCGTCTGCGCCGTGGAAGGATAGCAGTGATCCGGCACCCTCTGTAGAGCTGTCGGCTTCGGGGGCAGAAGGCGCGAGAAAACTAGTGAATGTGGCTCCCTCTTCTGACCCTTGTGTGGACTTGAGCCTTGAGAACAACCGCAGAGTGTGTTGCTGCCTTGAACAGGCGGAAATGTATATTTTGCTCTTTCTTCTTGGCTCCTTCCGCGATCATACCAAACTGTCAACCTGCCGCGATAGTAGTTCCCTGCTCGTGTGCGGGCTTGACTTTCGTTGTGGAAAGAAGTAGTGGCATGGCCAAAGGTTCACAGATGGTTGCGATGAAGCAGTCTTCGTATCATCTATTGCGATCGATGACTCTAGAGAGTTACTTCAAGTCTGCGCGGTGCTCTTGCAGGAAGAATCGACGGTTAGAACGCATCGAAGCTGGGGTCCGGGGTAATAAGAGCAAGAGTATTTCACGGGGACACTGTCAACACCTTCCCTTTTATCGCCCCTTCCAGGGGAATCTCCAAAATAAGGGGATGAAAGATGTCAGGTGTCCCAGAAAGTCAATCCAGGGGTGGCAGTTGGCTGAGAGTCGCATCCCTGTGGAAGCTTTCTCAGGCCGAAGTATATATCCTACTGCCCTTCAACAGAGAAGCAAAACCATGGAAAGCAAGGATGGCACTGAATTCACCCCCTCAAGATGCCGACGTGGTGTTGATCCAGCCCGTGCCGTAACTTGCCGCTGGTCGAGAGTGAACTTACACTGTCCGCACAACAGAATTTACCGTTGGCTTTTGTGAAAATCGTGGCTGTAGTCGAACCCTGGCCTAGCGTCTCGTGTTCGGGATTATCGCAAACTGACCAGGTGGGCCCTCGATGAAATGAGCAGAGTAAACACTGTGTCTCGCCAGAGTCTGAAGAGTAGTCCTC